AACCTCTACCTCCCTAAGAAAAACCTCTACCTCCCTAAGAAAAACCTCTACCTCCCTAAGAAAAACCTCTACCTCCCTAAGAAAAACCTCTACCTCCCTAAGAAAACCTCTACCTCCCTAAGAAAACCTCTACCTCCCTAAGAAAAACCTCTACCTCCCTAAGAAAAACCTCTACCTCCCTAAGAAAAACCTCTACCTCCCTAAGAAAACCTCTACCTCCCTAAGAAAAACCTCTACCTCCCTAAAAAAAACCTCTACCTCCCTAAGAAAAACCTCTACCTCCCTAAGAAAAACCTCTACCTCCCTAAGAAAAACCTCTACCTCCCTAAGAAAACCTCTACCTCCTCAATCTAGGGAAGTTCCAAGCGCATCCCGCCCTAATTTTCACAACCGTTAGATGAGTTTTCGAGAACGAAAACGGAAATGAGAGAACAAAATAATAGTAAAATTTCCCATTACCCACTGAGGAGTTTCAGTTAGAAACAAACGTGCCTAGGTCTGCCCCACTCGGTTATCAGCATGAACGACCTCATCACGCTCGGCAAAAAGAGAGTGTTTCTTTTGATAGATTAACTAAATAGACTTACATAGTTGAAGACGAAGTCAATCCTTTGTAACTTGAGCTAGTGCCTCCCCAAAAGAAAAACCTCTACTTCCCCAGATGACTTCTTCGCGCCAGGTTAAAATAACACTTTATGACGCGCACGGAAAAAACTCTTCGCGGGGCTTAGGCACATCAGAGGTATTATGTTCACGACAGAAAGGGATCCAAATTATCATTCTTGAGTTTACAAATTTATCATAATATGAGGTTTATTATTGAAATTCACAAACTGTGTTTGTATGGAGACGTTAAATTATTCAAACAATTAAGTTCAAATATCGATATTAATGAATATATATTAAAGCATGATCAAAGTATGAATTATTGTATTTATAAAGGTGCCTATCTTAATAAATTCTTTTTTGATTTGTTATGTAAATATCGTGATAAACCTTTTTATGTTGATGATGTTATTTATACCCAATTATATGGCATTTATTATTCTAATTCAAATTTAGTTTTTATGAATAAATGTAATATTGATTTCAACATTGAATCTGAAATTCCTTGTAATGCTGATGAGATATTTGATGAACCTTTGGCTAATAAACTTAATACTAAATTTTTTGATATAAAAGGTAAAAATATTGATAGAATTAGTAACTTTGGTATTATACATTTTGATAAATATATATTTAATTTATTTTTAGATAATAAATATATTAGTAATTTTTATTATGATTATACTGAGCATGATATTTTAACTAATACTGATTTAGCTATGTATCTTTATTCTAAAGGAGAACATATTGATTTATGTTTATCACGATTTCTTGTTGTTGATTTTGAAAGAGCAAGTAAATTAGTTAAAAATAATACATTTTTTGTATTTTTTATTAGTACGCCTAAGATATGTTATAATTATGAATTTGATGATCTCGATATTGATTTAAGATTGGTAAATTTGTTAGACTATAAACAAACAATGTTGATTTTTTTCTATATTATACTTTATAGCAAAACAATATTTACAATTAAATACGAATTTATTAAAAAATTTGATTTTGTTGAATATAATATTTTACAATTGGTTAGGTATTATAATAATAAGGAAGATAATAATAAAATTGATAAGCTTTTAAAAACACGCAAAATAGTTAAATTATTTGATATTTCTTCTAAGCAATATTTGTATGAAGAAACAAATGACGTCGAGAGTATTTCAGAATACGAGTATAAATGTTTAATACACAATTTGAATTTTTAGAACAATATGTACTTTCTTATATTTCACTCTTTGAGTAACCTTTATAATAAATCGCCAACTTCAAGTTTTCGGTCCTTAGTTTTTGTAAGTCTCTGTGCCAGTTGGAATTTTTCACATCGTTCCTTCTCCCTTTCAACACTTAATCCTATCTCTAGTTTCTTTAGAACCTGTGTAAAATATGTATCAATACTTCTATGAATTCTTTGTGTATATAGAATTATCCATCTTCAACTGCTTTGATCTTGCTACTCTAGAACCTCTGTAAATTCTCTTGATAATTCCTGCTTTCCTACCAGCTGTATTCTTTGAACTTTCTTTCTGTACCGTACACTAATTTCCGCCTTATCTCTATTCCATCATATTTGTCAACTAATTTTCATCTCTTACTTATTAAACTCCTTGAATAGTTTGTAGAGCACCTTAGTACTATTTGATAATCCTCTATGTCCTTGCAATTCTCTTTCTACTCCTCTATAGCAATTGCCTATTCGTGCTGCTATTGGTGAGGCAATCACTCCATGTCGGTCATCCACAACTACCGATAATCCTTATCGACACGCTGATTACTGCCTTGGAGATGACTATGCGGTACCACTTCTATGACACTTCAGGGGATGAGGCTACCCTGCCAGTTTCGCCGCTTCTTGACTATTGCATTCAAAGGTGACACGACCCTTAAGGTTAAGTACAACGAAGTATGGGAAACTCATACAGCTCGACAGTATAGATGTATAGCTGAGAAATTTTTGTTTGCTAGAAAATTTATTAATAACAATTCTCCAGAAGACCCGAGTAAGATAAATATATGTCAAATCCAATCCTGCGAGGGACGAAATTGCAATAATCTACGATTACCGCGCAAAAATCGAAGAATCTATTACAACCGAATATTTCGCTGAAGATCATTCACTCACCACTCCGTCTAACGAAAATGGACAGATAAGATATCAGGAATCAATTTTAGACACATTTCGACGGATAGATTGAAAAGAGCTCCAACTGCGAGATTAAGTACCGAATGTACGTAAATCTGCGCATCGTTAGACCCACCGACGAATTGATCCATGGATCTGCAGGACAGCCCACTTAAGCGCTGTCTCTCATAGAAGAACAACTTCCCAATTGTTAGAATCTGCAGACTTTATTCTACCCACTGGGAAGTCTCAGTTTGGAGCGAACGTGCAAACATACGTATCATTGAGCGCATACGATCCAGGGTTGATCAAGAGTTATCTTCCCGCGCCTGTAAAGTTGTTTGCCTCTACTGGAGTAATCGGTGTTGCCTTCCTTTCCTTCCCAATAGGAGACAAACTTTTCTTGACCTTGTATTCTGTAACTACATTTTGCAACCAGTGAGACATTTATCTACCATCGAGAGGATGTCATACAACACCAATACTATAACCGTCCTGGAAATAGAGGTGAAGTCTCGAGTATTCACCAAGTGCCATTATATAGCTTGGCCGTATGGCATAGCAGTAAGCGGGATATCTCTGTAGAATTGTAACGTGTCACCCATTCCTGTTCCGAAGGAAGTTGTCTGGAGCTCTCCGTTATTATCGATCTGTGAAGCAAGTCTGAGGATCCTTGACGCTTCAAGAGATGCTCATTCTTACATTTCTTGCTCTGCAAACCAGTCTGGTTGGCCCTGACTCTCTCCACCATGAGGCGTTTCTCCTCTTCTGTGAAGCAGTGAGCTTTCATAGGTGATTCGGGGGTCAGTACAAGACAAAAGTCCCCCAAACCACTGTGAGAGCACCGTAAACATGAAACAAAATTTTCCAATTTCTCAACTTCGCATTGTAGAGAAGAGTGAAAAAGTAAGCAAGATCACCACCCACAATCTGTTGCCCACCGTTCATCATTTGCAAGACAGCAACAATGAAGGCATGCTCCTCAGATTTGTACCACATGGCCGATGGTATGATTAATAATGCACATCGATAACAGTTAAGACTGATCCCCCAACGGAAATATCTTCTTCGCCTTCAATAGTGATGCTTCCAGCTCTGTTTAATGCAGTAACCTGGCTCACCTGTTATGCCAGTAATATTTTGTGAATCACGAAGAGAAGCGGCGGTGGCTCCAGACCCTGATCCACAAACTGGATCTTCCTTCACTCCAACCAATGGTACAAAGGTTCTCACCTCATACTTATGATGGCTGTGCCGCCCAATCACGTGGAATCCAGAAACTTGCAAGTGCTTCAAAACTTCGATCAAAAGAGCATCTTGTGTGGCTAGTTGGAGCACAGCTTCTGCACTACCTAAAAGAATCGTCAAGCAAATTGGACCAAAATCGTACACTGCCGCATCAATGACATTGGATGCGTCAAGAGCTTCAGTAACGGTGGCAATATCTTGCCCACTGAAATCTCTACTTTTGGCATATAGCAACTTGAAACGAATGATTGTGGGCTCCGTGTCAGTTACTTCCAAAGTGACTACTCCACATTCCCGCACCACCTTGCCATACTTGGGTTCGATTATTCCCGCTTCTGATAGAGCGCGACATTTACCAACAGTAGGGTGCTCAGCAAAGGGCAATTCCAGTTCCAAATTAAAAAATCTTGCCTTGTTGTCAGCCTTTGGCGTTGTAGTGGGCACAATAAATGTGGCTTCCGACAAGTTCATCCATGTCGAAACTGGCTCTTTTCCTTATCAGTTGAATGCTAGCTATCAAAGAAGACGGCTACGGGGTTCCTTTTGTATTTTTCGCAGTAAAGACATTCATTTGTTTACGAGGCATGGTATAGAGTATTGCGGGGTGGGTTTCACCAGTAAGTGGGTAAGATGCACACTTCAAGACTACTAATGATCAATTGTGCATAGTCTTCCCCTTGCATACAGTTTTGCAATAATGCCTTTATTGGAGTAATACTCTCCAATGAAGAAGTCAACGGCTCGAACCACAATGTGTGATACAATACACGTGTTTGGATCAGATGCACACATGTTTGGATTAGATACACACATGTTTCCCTTAACTTTTGATTCTGTTCTCCATATGTGCTCAAGTATATAGTATTAATCCTCAGGAATTGCCTATGATGAACGAGATTTTCAAGCACAGAATCATTTTCTAGAATAATCCTTAAGTGTAATTTGGAGTACAATATTGAGTAGCAAATGTTGATCATCGAGGTTTCCCGGCTCTTCTGGCTCTAGAATAATGTGGACAAATTGAACATTGATGTTTTATTGATCTAATGGTAACACTGTAATTTCTCTCAGTTATGTAGATGTCAGTATATCAAACGTAAGCAATGATAAATCACGCAATTCTAAATTAAACACAATGCGTCTCACCATTTGCATGTGTATGGCATTCAGTACCACCATGAGCTGCTTCAGGCTCTTCTGATTCAGTTGCAGTGGCAGTAGCAGGGCTTGCAACCTCACTGGAGCTGTCACTCTCATCGCTCTCATCGTGGCCCTCAGGAAGGTCACCAGTGCATCCAACACCAGGCTCTGCAACTTCGAAGGCATAGACATCCAACGCATAGTATCTCAAAGTTGCGGAATTTCTAACAGCCAATGTCTGGTTATGCTCACCAAGCTCCAAACATTCTTCGAAAGTATCAGCGTAGTGGCCAACAACACCCTGGCCAATCTTGTCAGTGTGCCAGATGCGGTGAAGCAAGTCACCAGCCCAGTAGACGCTATTCTTGGATCCTGCAACGGTATAGCCCCTAGAACAAACCTGAGACAAGAATAATCTGCTGGTGTAAGATAAATCACAGATCACGGTCTCATCTGTACCGTTCTCTCCTCTCCAATGACCAGCCCAGCCATCCAATTTACAATTTCCATCGATGTCGTCACATCTAAACAAGACTCCTGTTTTATTGGCAGAGATCACGTTCTCGTAGATACCAACGACCTCGCCAGTTGGAGCATTGCCAAAGTACCTCCGGTAGATCTCGGAGGAGTTACCATAACGGAGAGTGTGGTCTTTAGCTTGTTGAGCCAATATTTTGGTTTCTGCAAAAGCCTGATTCAATTGATTCACCTGAGTGTGGTTACATGACTCGTGAATTTCAAAGTCCTGATTCCAAGTAGGATCAAAAACGAAGAAGCTTTCAATTGAAGTGGAGTTGCTTGGAGTCTCAATAATAAACGCAGGAGCAGCAGCTACCATTGAGGCAGAAAGGAGAACAGACAATTTCATGATCGATGGTTTTGGTTATTGAATTTATAAAAATGAGAGAGCCATCATCTTGTTTATATACTTTTTCAAGTAACCACATTCTTTTCGGGCTTGGTAGTTTTCGCAATCACTTTTCCTAATTAGATACCATAGTAGTTATATAAAGTCTTGGCAAATATCAATTAATACCAAACGATGCAAATTACTGGTCAAAGAATTTTCTTGCCTAATTGAACATTCCTTACTATTGTGGTTATTGCATGACCAAATTAGAATGCTTTATTGTTGACCTTCCGTAAGTCGAACATCAGGCCAAGAAATCGAGTATTTTGAGGTTATTGGACGATGAAATCGAGATTGCTGGGTTCTTCATTCATTACTAGAGCTTCCATTAAGAAGAAGTGCTCCTTCCAGGTATTACAACGAGTATAACAAGGTTTACTTGTCAATGAATAAAAAAAAAAAAGAACAAATAAAACTCGATATTCGCATTGATTTCATTGCTAAAGAGTTCAAGAATATTGATTCATTTGGAAAATTTTCAATGAGACAAACTTAACCACAGGAGGCATTCTTCAGGTAGCCGTCATAATCTTGAATGGGGCTGTAATTTATTATTTGTCAGTTTTCACAATAGAAAGTTTTTCAATTTTAATATGTGTTTTCCAAGGGAGAGGACAGTGATGGGATAACGACTTCGTGTTTCTTAGACTCACAATGGAGTGCAGAATCAGTTTCTTTATTTTTTTTATTCTTGATACTTAAAAATACTACGGTGCTATTTTTACAAGGATTTGTTAATTCAGCGAACATTAAATTTTCAAAGTCTTCTGCGTTATGGGTGCGGTTTGGTTAAAAAACAAGCGAAACATACACGTGAGAAAGAAATAAAAATAATACAAAACGTCCGCAAAAATCGAGTTTTTAATGAATTTCAACAAGTAATCAAAACGCTAACAACCACTTGGAACTGGTACGGACAAGGGGAATCTGACTGTCTAATTAAAACATAGCATTGCGATGGTCAGAAAGTGATGCTGACGCAATGTGATTTATGCCCAGTGCTGTGAATGTCAAAGTGAAGAAATTAAATGACCTAATTTACATTCCTTTTATCTATTGGACAATTTTAGTTTCAAATTTTCGTCAAATATGCTAAATTACATTTGGACTTTATAGTGGGCTGCATATAGGTAGTAAGTCTCCATTTTAACTATGTACCATTTAGATATTTCCTTTCGACCAACGGAAGTTGTCCCAATAAGGTATCTTGAATATTATGCCGTTTAACTTTCAAAGATTCTAATTTCCAATGGTGCACATTGAAGCAAATTGAATGCCGCCCGCGAGAGAAATTTTGTTACATGTTGGGCACTAAAGTGGATCGTTGAAGTCAATCCTATTCAACTAGGAATGTTTATTCACTCAAATGCGTGAAAGTTCTGAAGTAAAAACAACTGGCCTCTGCAAATCTAATTTCATTTTCTAAGGAACCAAGTGGAAACTCTAAATAGGACAATCAAATTCATATGATCCAGACTCTACCTTTATCACTGTGCCGTTTGGCAAAGTCACTTCAGCAGATGTATTCAAGGGAATAGCAACCTTCAAGCGGAACACTGACTCAGCAATGTTCCATGTGGAGGAGATTTTGCCGTAGGGACTCTCATGGGCCACTTGACAAAATTTGATTCCACCGCCTGGTTGTGGATGAATTTTAAACTTCTTGTACCCTGCTTCACCTACGGATAAACCTCCGACAATCTCGTGCAAAGTGTTAGCCACAGACCCTAAAGCGTAATGGTTAAAGGAGGTCATGTCTCCTGGGTTGATAGAGCCATCGGGCATCATACTATTCCATCTTTCCCAAATAGTCGTTGCTCCCATTGTGATTGGATAGAGCCACGATGGGCATTCCGTTTGTAAAAGCATACCATATGCATCTTCCAAATGTCCGGTAACAGCCAATGCCAGAGCAACAAATGGGGTTCCTGCGAAACCTGTGCTGATTTTGAAGTCATTAGACCTTACGATTTGACTCAACCGATTTCCAGCATATTGGACTTGCTCTGGAAATTCAAAGAGGTCAAAACTTATAGCAAGTGCATATGCCGTTTGAGTGTCACTAGTCATTTGTCCAGTGGGTAAGATGTAATTTTTTTGAAAGCTCCTTTTACTCATCCTGGCCATTTCAATGTATTTCTCAGTGTCTTGGGGTGAAACAATTGAGCTGATTTCGACCATGAAGCTAAGAACCAGGCACAAGAACGAGTCCGCCACTAGATAGGAATCGGTCATAGCCTTCAAAGGATCATCTGGAGGAGCCAGAGGATCCAACCAGTCACCGAGTTGGATCTGAACCTTTTCTTTGTTCCAACGCACTTCTCCGGGCACCTTGGGTATACAATTTATCCATTTTTCCATACTCTCGTACTGTTGTTTCAAAATAAAGGTTGAACCAGTAGAATCGAAGAGTGCTTTGGGCAAATAAACAGCACAATCTTGCCAAATAGCACTGATTTGATTATCCCAGAAATGCTTCGCGTATTTGATCATGTTAGGTACTGTTACCGGTGGGGAATACGGATACTTGCTCCCTGAGTTAAGTTGTTGTTCACTCCATAAGTCTTTCAACCAGTTATTTAACATTGGAGAGCAATCGAAAAGGAACGACGCTGTCTTACCAAAGATGGCGATATCTCCCGTCCATCCCATTCGTTCATCCCTTTGAGGGCAGTCTGTTGGGAGTGTGATAAAATTACCCACGGTGCTTCGAATAATGTTGGAATGCAACTGGTTCAAAAGATCATTATCACATTCGAATTCTCCAATCCGGTTCATTGCAGTTGAAATCACAATTGCCTCTAGGTTTTCAAGACTAATCAAATTCTCTGGATCATCAATCTGGCAGTATCTAAATCCATGGAATGTGAAGTGGGGCTCATACAGCTCACCACTTTCATCACCCTTGAAAACGTATGTATCAGTTGCCTTTGCAGCCCTCAAAGGACGAGTTCCCAATTCTCCATTTTCCATAACTTCTGCAAACATAAAAATTGCTTTGTATCCTTTGGGCGCAGTCACATTCTTAAAAGAAAGAAATCCGACAATGTTTTCACCAAAATCAAGAATTTTCTTTCCACAAGGAGTGATGGGAAGTACCTCAGCCTTAATCAGTCTCCTCTTAGTAACGTGAGCAAATTCTTGAGGGACGATTTTGCTGGTGTCAAATGGAATAACATCCACTCCTGGCCAATCTTCGAATTGCTTCGCTCCCGGCAGTGACCAGCCCTCAATTTCTTCGTTTGCATCATAAGTTTCTCCTTCGTAAAGTCCGACTGCAATAATGGGTCCAGCAGACGAAGCCCATGTGTCATCGGTGGAAACTTGAAGAGTTGATTCATCTTCAAATTTGATCTCCAAAAACAAGCTGATGGCACGCTTTTCACCATAGATGTTTGTTAAACCACCGTCAAAGCCAACTAAGCCAGAGTACCAACCTGGCCCGACCCTTACTCCGATTGCGTTCTCACCTACCTTCACTAAGTGTGTCACATCATACATTTGGTGCAACAATCTCTTTTCATAAGTCGTCCACCCTGGACTCAAATAGTCCTTTCCAGCAGAACTTCCATTGATTTCCAAGTTGTAGATACCCAACGCAGTACTCCACAACCTTGCATGCTTAACTTCCTTCGAGATGGAAAATTGCTTGCGGAATAGAGTCTCTGGTGCAGTCGAAGCATCACATCGAGGCTGATTGGCTGCGGCCACAAATTTTGCTGGCCACTCTTCCATCGAGGACAAGAACCCCACCTGTCCTTCTACTGGAGCACTCCAATCAGAAAACTTTCCACCTCCCAGAACTCTAACGCAGATCTCGAACGACTCTCTGGATTTCAACGAGCGACCTGGCCAAGCCACAAATTGTGAATTCTCCGATTTAACTGAAGGTAACTCTTTCCATTCAGTGTCGTCTTCATAGCGAAGCTTGATTTGATACTCTCTCTGGAACCAATTAGTTTCGTCTCCAACTACCTGCCATGACACCTGAGGCTGAGTGGATGATAACGTTCCTTGGAGAGGTCCAGGAGTGTTCAATTGCAATTTCACTTTTTGAACTTTCATGTTTGTCGCTGAGTTTTTCCATGGCAACGAATGAGATTATATTCTTTCACTGTTCTAACATTGATGCGATTTCCGATCTTTGGTTGCGAGCGCTGGAAGTGGGGTTCAATTTTCCGTTCCATATGCTGGTCCCTTCATTTCAATATTGACATACTTTCGAAAAAGGTCCAGATTCGTACGTGAGAGAAACCTCTTCTAGTGGATAATGCTTGTCAGTAGGTTGCACTGTTTCTAGTCATTATGCATCTAATGACTGTCACTATGCTCCGAGAGATTTGCGGTATTGCAAGAATGATTGCGGAACATCAATAGTGCGGTATACTGACAGAGACCATTCGATGGTTATGTAGTAACTGCCAATTCAGTATCAATGTGGGGTAAATTTTCCAACGGTGTATTATTAATATGATATAGCTGTCATGCAACTAATGGAAACTAAACCCTCAAAGTTTAAACCACATGATCTCTTTTTGGAGTATTGATTGACTCCCTTCGTATTTGAACAAATGTCTCGCTTAAAGTTTCGCCTCCGCTTTTGAGGAGAATTGTTGACTACGTAAGCTGTCATATAAATTTCTAATAGAGGAATGAGACTGTTGTTGAAAGCAGCTTGATAAAGAATATCATCTACGGCTCTTGGAGCACGCAAAGCATGGTCAAGAAGTGCGAAAATCATGCCTAGCTCAATGAATGTAATCTAATAAATAAATTATTCGCAAACTTCAAAACCTTTATTCTTGCAAGTACTAACTATTTTCCACATGAGTGGTCTCAATCTTCATCTGCTCGTGTACCACTTCTTCGGATTCAATCTTCTCACGAGTTACATACTTCCTCCACTGGCGAGGGGGAACTCTCTCCTTGTACATCTCGTCAACCTCTTCGAACGAACGACCAGCGGTTTCTGGTAAGAAGAAGTAGAAAATGAAGACAGCAGTGAAAGAGCATCCAGCGAAAATAAAGTTGATATTCGAACCCATATTAGCCTGATCAGGATTGAACATGTATGGAAGCACGAAAGACCACATGCACAGCAATGCATTACTAAAAGCCAAACCCACAGCGATGGATTTCGTTCTTAACTTCGAAGTAGGAATCTCAGAGTTGATCACATAGGCAATCGGACCTATTCCTGAGTTGTAAAAGAAATTGTACATCGTCATGAAGGCTGCTGAAGCTTGGAGGAACGAATACTCCTTCTTGAGACCAAGAGCAGCAGTAAGAACATTCAAGATCGAAAGACTGATCATGGCATATAATGCAACAAATCTTCTTCCTAAACGATCAACAATAAACAATGAGACGATAGTGCCGCTTACTGAAAGCGTTTGCGCCCCACAGCTAATTTGAAAAGACTTGAGAGTGCTAAATCCAAGAAGCTGGTAGTAGTAGGTCTGGTAGCTGGCAACATATGCCAAGCCACACATAGGCTGCATGATGAAAGGAAATATTGCGATCAAGGTTCTTTTATAGTTACTCTTGGTGAAAAGTTCCTTGTAAGACCCAGCAGAAGCTAACTCATTGGCCTCTTCAATATTAGCCCTGATAATCTGCAACTGAGATTCAGCTACACCCGGAGAAGTGTATATCATGCGGAGCGACTTCAAAGCTTTCTCATCTTGGTTCCTGATGACATGGTGGTATGGCGATTCGGGAAGATAATACATTAAGAACATTGTCAGCACTGCAAAAAACCACTGGGTACAGAAAATCGCCCGGTATGCCCATCTGTCTTCCCTTGTAGAGAGCCTGTAGGTAATCAAGGTACAAATAAAGGGACCAATACAAAAAGCCAAATTGACGCAAGTAGTAGCAAAACCTCTCAAAGCTAAAGGTGTCAACTCTGCCATATAAGCAGTGCCCACAGTCTGGATCATTCCTAAGCAAATGGCATTGAGAAACTTTCCAGTAAAAAAAACTTCAATACTAGTAGCAGCAAATTCGACTCCAATCAATGCAATGGTCAAAGTAGATGCGGCCCACATCAAGTTTTTTCTTCCAGTATACTCAGTAATGTATGATGCCACAATGCATCCAAAAACAAAGGCAGCATATGGACCTCCAGAGATAGCAGACTGCCAGTTTCCAGCCAACACATACTGACCTTCAAACTCATGACCAAAGTCTTTTCTGAATGTTGGGACTGAAAGTACAATACCAGAAGCCTGATTTTCGTATCCAACTGTAATCATGGCCCAAACCATAATGCCAATGTATAATGCTGCCCTAGGGTACGCTTTGATGGCTTCCCATCTAGTATAATGGTGTTCTAAGTTCTGTTGAGCACTGGTAATCTTGTGAAGATCGTATTGATCTTCTTCCGACAATGCTTTTTCTAATTCTGACAGACGGCTCATTGTATCAGTGTTTCCTGGAAGGTAATCCATCATGTAAATGTTTCTGTATTTATAATTTATAGGGACTGAGTCAGGTTAGAGTTTTCAAAAGTTTACCCCACATTATTTATTTCTCAATGATGTTATCTGGCACATCTTTAGCCCGGATTCCTTTCCCACTGACGTATCATTTGATTATACCTTTGAGATCGATATGTGGCTCATAACCATACAGCGATTTGCCCTCGATTCAATTGTCTAAATTGAGTGCGATTCTTGAGCCTGTCATCTAACACACTACGACTTCCATTAAACTGCAACCTCACATAGTTTGCTCACTCTAAAATGATGCAAATTGAGAATTGTGTAACCAAATCCTAAGATAACATCATTCCTTTTGGTTAGGTTCTTATTGCGACTTCCCCGCTCAAATTCACCATAGGCGCTTAATTAATTGTTCCGTGGAAGTAACGCCGAGTCGCAATTCCGAAGCAGCTCAATCTTATACTATAGGCGATTCGATACAGATTCTTAATTTTTTTTAGTATACCTAAGAAAAGAAAAGTACAGGTGTAGGCTTTTTATATCTCCGTACGAAAAGGTAGTTTTTTAGTCTTAACCTTTTCCCCTGTTCAACACCTCACGAGAATAATAAGTTGCTTGCGGATGTGACCCAGTCACCGTCATCTGAAAAGTCGATCATTACTTTTGATCCGGTACTTTTCAAATAAATGTAAAAGTTAGGCTATTGCTTTTCACCTTCACTGAATTCCATTCTGGATAGAACTAAATGAGCCTTGATCAAGTGCATGCACTTTCTTGAAATCAACCAATATTCAAAGCAGTCTGGAAAGTTTTATTATTTTCAGTTCACTACCTTGTAGATGCTTCAAAGAATGAAGAATGGCCAACAAACTGGCGACCGATATAATGAGCAGTGAAAAAGTGGTCCAAGCTATCAGTGGTATCAGTTCGCCGAGAAAGAGTAAGGTTTTGCCCACAAATAATCGTTTGCCTAGTATTATCTGGTTCAAGAAGTGATCAAGGACGACCATTAACAGTATCGACTTACACGATATATGAAATTGAATTGAAGTCATATAGTTGACTACTCATTCAATCACGAAAAGATGAGGAATTCATTCCAATCATTTGAAAATCAAGAAGTCATCAGTTGTCAGAGAATTTGAAAATTTATAATTATTAGTCACCAAGTTACTCCTCATTGCCCATTGTCACACTACTCGAACATTTTTCTCTCTCGTTACGACTTGCCCTTATTCGAATCTAAATTTTGGGGACGAGAGTTGCAAACTTCCGTGTTGTATGCCTACTAATTGTCTATGACCGATGGTTCCACCTTCCTTTGTTTCCACCTTCCCTTGCTTCCATCTTCCTTTGTATTCCCGTCCTCACCTTCCTTACTGAATCATTTATGGGTAGAGGGATCATTCAGAAGTGTATTTATCAAGTTTAATGTAACAGTTTCCAATTATTCATAATCTATTTCATGCCAAGCTTAGTGTTCGTCCCTGGGAGCCCAACAATTCATTCCAAGTGAACACACGTCCTTCAGCAATATCCCTTCGTTTCCAAGATGCTTCGACAGTTTCTCGTGCAAGTCTCACACTAGCAAGACCTCTATTACTTTCCATTTCTCTGAATTTATCGATAATAAACCAGCGGTCCTCAAAACTGGCTGAAACAAGCCCAACCACGAACAAAGGCCAAGAGAGTGCCATCGTACAAGATTTCACCATTTTCATTAGACCAATAATAGTGGACGACAATCTTTTCATCTTTGCATACTTTTCTCGAAAACTGGCGGAAGTTGAGGAATCCGATCGACGTAAGGCGAACCAAGTCATATCGATACGTGCAAACAAATATAGTCTTGTTGTGAGTCTTTTAATTTCTGAAATCAAATGGATTCCTTCAAGGGAAGTATAACCAGCCTTGACTTCCTTGTGCTTTGCGAGTTGCTGTAATTCTGAGGCTATACTCTCAGCCTCTCTCCCAATAATTTCTTCGAATAGCTCTCGGTTTGCTTCACTCTCATGTCTTAGAGCCTCATAACAATCACCAAGGTTTGATGTTTTGCTTATGAGCGTCAACAAATATGGCGAACAACCCAATACAAGATCAACATCTACGTCTATGTCATTCTTAAACGTTTCGTAAATTCCCACATCGCCATCCAAAGACATTTCTTCCCCGGAATCTTTGACAGTCTCCCACATAATATCATGGCTGGTGATATATCGAACGAAGAACTTCAACAATAGTTTATTTGAATGTTCGATTATTTGCTGCCGCCCGAGAAGCTTTTTGCCACTGTGAAGATGTTCTAACCACCTTTTATCGCAGTTGCTTGAGATATCAGTGAAACAGAGCATGAGAACGGTCACAAGTATATCGTCCCAGCTCTTTGAGTTAGAAGCATGCTTGTTGTGAATCTGGTCGGGAAGGTTTCTTATCACACTTCTTATATATGAGTTAGAGAACTCACGATAATAGTCTTCACCCGTTTGAAGATAGTACAGGTTTGCTCCAGCGGCAATTATTGAATGGTAAACCACATCGGACCCCATAGCAAGAGGTACAATGTAATCCAAATACGGGTTACCACTTCCAGTCTTGTGCCCATAGCAAACACAGCTCGGGAAGATTGATTCAACCATATAAGTGAACATTACTGTTTCTTCCGCAGAGTACTGTGTCAATGGAAGATACAAGAACACAGTTAGAGACTGACTTTTCTCGTCAATACTTGGGGAGCGGGGCAGGTTGCCATTAGTTCCATCTTCCAGCTTATTTTCCGTGACGGTAGGTTTTGTCGCAAAGTCGTCGGCGGTGAAATTGATATAATAATAGCGGTTCTTAGAGCACGAGAGCCACGTACCTGGAATCTGTTCAGCCTGTTTTGTCAAGCGAAGCTCCAAGTGATTGGAATTCAACTCAACATCAACCTTGGATTTCTTGCAACGACCAAATGCCTTGCCTGACTTCAGAGCATCTGCACCCCATTTCAAGACTAACGAATAGTCACATTTCAAGTTCAACCGAACACAGTTGTTGCATTTGGGTGATGTTTCTTAGTAGGTTAGTTTGATGAACAGATATAAGGAATACTCTTAAGAGAACGTACCATCACATTTCACTCGCCGCCTGCGGCAGTTATTACAACCGGTTTTTGATCTCAATTCTCCCATTAGAACTGATTCGGCTTTAGATTGATTGACTCACCGATCCTGAGTCACTGCCCCTTTCCCCGGGTCAACGAAAAAACAACCAACGAGGCGTGGACGGATTTGGGAACTAATTTCAAATCGCAAGAACCAATAGATTCTTTGCGCTCAAATTCAAGAAAAAAATAGTGGTGCTCATATGAATGGATTGGGCCAAGTTAAAATAGGCGAGAAAGTCGTTACCACCTTCCTAAAAATTTGGTGTTCGGATTAGATCGCGATACGACAAATAGAATGTGGGGCTGAAAGTATAACTAGCAACACAAAATCCACATTCTAAGCTTTGTAAATAATATAATTATAGCTATAAGGATGTCGGTACCAGAAAAGTCGAACGCCCACGAAGTCGACGTGGAGACCATGGACACTCCACAACTGTCTCACAAGAATAAGAACTTAGAGGAAGAGAAGCTCTTCGACAACTCTAAGCAGTTTGTGATCGATAGAGAGAATCTTTACAAAGACATTTCGGATGAAGAAATTAAGCGTACCGTGAGAAAAAACGACTGGATCCTCTTGCCCGTTCTCTTCTTCACCTGTACCATGGGTGCTGTTGATAAGGTGTCTTTAAGTACGGCTGCTATCTATGGGTTGCGTACAGACACTCATTTGCATGGTCAACAGTACTCTTGGTTGGGGTCCATTATCTTTATTGGATCATTAGTGGGTGTTTGGCCCGTTTCTTTCTTGTTGCAGAGATTTCCCCTTGGAAAGGCATTAGCCACTGCTTCATTCTGTTGGTCTGTATTGACATTATTGTTGGCAGCATGCAACAATTATGCCAGCTTGGTATCACTTCGATTCCTTATGGGTATTTTTGAGACTGCTATCGTTCCCGGGGCAACATTAATGATTGGTAGATTCTACCTCAAGAAAGAGCAACCAGTGCGTTTGGGTATTGTGTTCATGTTTGCTTCGTCTGTCATCAATGGATTCTTGTCATGGTTGGTGGGTAACTTTGGAGATTCACTTCCAAAGTGGAAGTACTTGTTCCTCTTGACAGGATCGGTGTCTGTTGCATGGTCGATCTTCATCTTATTCTTCTTGCCAAATTCCCCCATGAACGCTGTTTACTTGACTGATCGGGAGAAATACATCATGGTTCAGAGAGTCTTGCAAAACAAGACCGGAGTAGAAACCACAGACTTCAAGTGGTACCAGGCCAGAGAAGCAGTTTTAGATATCAAAGCCTATATTATCTTCTTCTTCAATGTGGCCATCAACATTCCCAACGGCGGATTATCTACATTCTCTGGAATTATTATCCATAACCTTGGATTCGATTCCAAGCAGTCGTCGTTGATGACCATCCCCACAGGTGTGGTAGCTTCACTTGCAACTATCACCTTCAACTACTTTAGTGGACGTTTGCACAACAAGAGATGCATTATTGCCATCACCTCGTTATTGTTGCCAATATGTGGCGCGGCCATATGTTACGGAGTGAAGAGAAACCATGTTGGCCCTCAGCTCTTGGGATTGTACCTCATGTACTTCTATTTCTCGTCATACGTGACGATGATCTCCTTGTCTCAGGCAAACACGGGAGGAAATACCAAGAAAGCTGTCACTTACGGAATCAACTACCTTGGTTACGCTACTGGAGCACTCATCGGACCCCAGACATTCCGTGCCTCCCAAGCACCTAAGTACACTGGAGGATTCATCTCCATGTTAGGAGCATACTGTGCATGCATCTTCTTTGCTGTGATCTACTGGATAGTGTGTACCGTGGAGAACAAGAGAAAGACAGCGGCACTTTTGGAATGCTCTGCTATTGAAGCCGAAGTAGGCCACTTGGACGATGAAACCTTGTACTCTGACATTACTGATAAGGAGAAGCGGGACTTCATGTATACCAAATGATTATCTATAGTGTTTTATCAATTCAATATGTTTAAACTGCAAATAATAATTGTACTGGTCTTTAGTTTACAAGCATTTTTGCTTATATCTTTCGATAATGGTCACTCTTGTGGTAATCTTGATTAGTCCGGTTCGCTTGACAATAACTGCAACTTACTTACTGGTCGATCGACTGGATGGGAGAAACTTCCTTTTTGGGCTTCCGCATTCGTATTGCATTCAGTTGCAGGATTTGTCGATCATTAAGTGGGTTTGGGGCACATTCAAAAGCACCAATCGAACAAGAAGGTCTAAACGACTTACTTCAAGAAAAATGTGGGGCACCCACAAATTAGGATAAGCGTCTCGACTTGCAAGGGAGCACGAAAGCCGGTTCTTGGTTTCATTTATTAGACTGCAACTCCGTCCAATACTGTTCCCAGCCAGAAATGACAATCAACGACGACAAAGCTACCATCGCCATAGACAGAGGTGGAACCTTCACCGACATCATCTACAAATATAGAGGAAAGGAAGAGGTTTTCAAGATTTTGTCTGTTGATCCCGAAAACTACGACGATGCAAATATTGAAGGAATAAGAAGAGTCCTTGAGGTAATTGAAGGTCGAAAGATTCCCCGCGGCATACCTTTAGATACAAAAATGGTATCTTCTATTCGATTGGGTACTACTGTGGCCACGAATGCTTTGTTGGAAAGGAAAGGTGCAAGGTGCGCCTTGGTGACCACCAAAGGATTCAAGGATTTGCTACACATAGGAGATCAGTCACGTCCAGACTTATTTGCCCTTGACATAGTGAAACCAGATGTACTTTTCGAGCATGTTATTGAAGTTGATGAGCGAGTTACTATGCCAGCCTTTACTGCTGATCCGACTGGTTACGATGCTCAAGACTTGTTTGATGAACATAAATTCGTTCGTGGAGAAACCGGAGAGATATTCGAGATTCTCAAGCCTTTGAATAAAGAGGAGGTAGAGTGCCAGTTGCTTCTTGCGAAGGAGGCTGGTATAAATTCCATTGCTGTTGTTTTTGCACATGGCTACAACTTTCAGGTTCATGAAAAGAAAGTTGGTGAAATTGCGAGTCAGTTAGGATTCACAAACATCTCGTTATCTCACGAGTTATTGCCAGTTATCAAAATGATTACCCGCGGCCAATCCGCTGTTGTGGATGCATATTTAACACCGATAGTTGCAGATTATATCAATAGCTTTTTGTGCGGTTTCAAGGAAGACTTCCAGAAGCATACTAAAATTGAATTCATGCAATCAGACGGTGGATTATGTTCACATCAAAATTTCAAAGGTTTGCGTGCCATTCTCTCGGGTCCTGCTGGTGGTGTCGTTGGTTTGGCTAAAACTTCTTACGACAACGACTTGAAAATACCTGTTATTGGTTTCGATATGGGTGGAACTTCCACAGACGTATCCAGGTATGCTGGATCATATGAGTTCTCTTTTGAGACTTCGGTGGCTGGAATCAAACTTGCTGCTCCTCAGTTGGATATAAATACCGTTGCTGCTGGTGGAGGCTCGATTCTCAGTTATCGAAATGGTGTTTTTGTTGTTGGTCCCGAGTCTGCTGGTGCTCACCCCGGTCCAGCATGCTACCGTAAGGGAGGCCCATTGACCGTTACAGATGCGAATTTGTTCACTGGTCGAATTATTGCAGAGTATTTCCCCAAGATCTTTGGTCCTAATGAGGACCAGCCACTTGACTTCGGAATAACTAAGAGAAAGTTTGAAGAATTGACGGAAATCATTAATAAGGAGAATCCAGGAATTAAAAAGTCATCTCTCGAAGTCGCAATGGGATTTTTAGAGGTTGCAAACTACCAGATGGCTAGACCAATCCGAGATTTGACGGATTCTAAAGGCAATGATGTTTCCAAACATATATTGGCATCATTTGGTGGTGCCGGTGGGCAGCACGCTGTCGGCATTGCCAAATTGTTAAAAATCAAGCAAGTTGTGATTCATAAGCATTCTTCTGTTTTATCAGCATATGGTATCTCTTTGGCTGATATTGTTGTTGAAAAGCAAGAACCGGTATCTTTCGTATACGGTTCTGCTGCTCTTGGTGAGATCAAGCGAAGACTCCTGATCTTGAAGTCATCTGCACAAGAGAGACTTGAAGAGGAAGGTGTCTTGGAGTCCACCATTGAATACACGAGCTATATTAATATGGGATATAAGGGCTCAGATACACGTCTCATGATTCAACATCTGAATGAAATTGACTTCCTCACGCAGTTCTACGAACAGCATCAGAAGGAATTTGCATTCAATGATTCTGACCGAGATGTCCTCGTTTCAGATATTCGTGTCAGAGCGACCGGTAACAGCTTGGGCAATTTAAGCGAACGTTCCGCCCTAAAGGATTTAAGGATCTACAGTGAAAACGAACCGCTTGACAAGTTTCATGCCTCACGTCCTATGTATTTCCAAGACGGAATCCACGAGGCAAAAGTTTACCTCTTACAAGATTTGTCATCGGGAGATGTGATTCAAGGACCTGCGAGCATACTCAACGAAACCCAAACAATCATTGTGACACCCGAGTCAAAAGCAACGATCTTACCAAGGCATATTGTTATCGACTTAGAGACCGACCTGAGGTGTGATGTTGACACTGATGTGGTCGATCCTATCCAGCTCGCTATCTTCTCAAGCAGATTCATGTCCATTGCTGATGACATGTCCAGAACACTTCAAAAGATCTCTGTGAGTGCTAATATCAAAGAACGTTTAGATTATTCTTGCGCTCTTTTTGATAATCAGGGAAATTTGTGCGCGAATGCTCCAAATGTTCCGGTTCATTTGGGCTCGATGTCTTCTGCGATTAAATGTCAATTGGATTATTGGGGCTCTGATTTGAAAGAGGGTGACATTTTGTGCACAAACTCTCCGTCTGTTGGTGGTACTCATCTTCCTGATATTACCGTTATTTCACCCGTTTTCATTGATGGAGTTATTCAATTTGTAGTTGCTGCTCGAGCTCATCATTCTGAAATCGGTGGAACAACGCCGGGATCTTCCTCTTCTTATGCGAGAGATATTCATGAGGAAGGCGTCAACATTGAGTATTGGAAAATTGTATCGGGGGGCCGGTTTGACGATGAAGGCTTGATTAAGCACTTTGTTGATACTCCCAGAACTTGGGGTGTCTCGGGAACTCGAAATCTAGGAGACAATATCTCGGATTTGAAAGCACAGATCGCATCTAATCAACGTGGAATCAATCTTATCAGGGAGCTTTTCGAAGAGTATAGTACCGAAACTGTGTTATTTTACATGAAAAACGTCAAGAGAACTGCCGAGGTTGCAGTGAGAAATTTTCTAAAAGATTACTACCAAACCAATCAAGAAAAGTTACCATTAAAAGCAGTTGACTACATGGATGATGGGTGCAAGATACAAGTAACCATTGATATCTTGAGCGACCTGGGAACAGCAATTATCGACTTTGAGGGTACCTCTCTTGAATCATATTCCAACTTGAATGCTCCAAAATCTACCACTTATTCAGCAATTATATATGTTTTGAGATGTATGATCGACCTTGAAATCCCCTTAAATCAAGGTTTCTTGGATGCTTGTGTCGTGAAAATTCCCGAGAACACTCTTATCAATCCATCAAAGTTCGCTGCTGTTTGTGCTGGAAACGGAATGACATCTCAGAGAGTTACTGACTGTTTATTTAGGGCATTTGGATTAACGTCAGCAACTGGTGGCTGCATGAATGGAATCAACTTTGGAATTGGAGGAGAGCTACCAACTGGAGAAGTCGTGAAGGGATTTGGATACACAGAAACAGTCGGCCAAGGAAACTGTGCTGGAATTGTTAAAAAGGATGGCATTCGTTATGGCTTTCACGGATTTTCAGGTACTCAGACGAACATGACAAATACTCGAATTACTGATCCAGAGGTCTTAGAACAACGGTATCCTTGCTACCTTCACGAGTATTGCGTTAGAAAGGGAAGTGGAGGTAGAGGAAAGTTCAATGGAGGCGATGGATTAATAAGAGAAATTGAATTCCAAAGTGAAGTTCATCTTTCCTTAGTGACCCAAAGAAGAGTTTACAGTCCATGGGGAATTTACGGAGGAGAAGATGGTAAAAAGGGAGAAAATTACTTGGGAAGAAATAGGGGATCTACGATTCAATGGATCCAGCTTCCGTCTTTAGCAGAGATTAAGATGAAGAAGGGCGATATTATTCGGATCTTGACACCAGGTGGTGGTGGTTTTGGAAAAGTAACTGATACAGACGAGTACTGGGGAATTACTGGAAAGAAACGGTCCACAAAACAGGCTCCTTTATCCGGAGGTACTATTGGACGTTTGACGGAAGAAGCTTCGTGTTCCCAATGAACTCACTTTAATTATCATTTGCATAAATATTGTTTCTATAAAAATTTTACAAATCTTACACTTAATCTTTACACATAGCACATTTAGTTTGAAAATGCAAAAAACTTCTCACGACCAAAGAAGAGTAAGCCATTTCCATCCAGTTAGTGGTTGAGCAGGAAGTTCTGGAGTCTCTTCAATTTGTCTGAACAAACTCTTCAAGTCGACATCTTGGGGCGGGATGATCTTTGTTCTCTTAAATAATTTCCAAGCAACAAACAAGATGACAAAAAATGCAATTGTAAAGTAACAACTGAAGAAACTGGAAATCACAAAGCCTCCCTTCATGAAATTTGGAAATCCACTCGTGAATAAGAAGAGTGTGAAAAAGAGCAACAGAATATAGGCACCAACATGTGCAAAAGGCATCTTGTAAGGCAAGTCATCACGGCTGAACCCTTGCGCTCTTAATGCGCGCTGCATTCCAATATGAGCAAGAGAGATGGATATCCAACCAACAAGGATATTTGCTGATGTAATACTTTGAAACCAACTAAATACTTCTGCGGACCCAGAACTTGCACTCATATAGGACAAGGGCATGAAAATTCCCGAAATTATCACACCGTAGTATGGCAAGCCTTTCTTGTTGGTTTTGAGGAAGATCTTGGGTGCCTGACCCTTAGAAGCAAGCGCAAACAAATTTCTCGAAGATTGGACCAAGGCAAGATTAGCTGCGGAGAAAGCTGAACTCAATACCAAAGCATTCACAACACTTGGAAGTCCCTTTACACCTACTCTCTTGATAGCAATAACGAAAGGAGAACCAGTAGCATCTCCGGTAGGTGAAGCAATGGCTGCATCTTCTGATGATAAGATTAAGGTCAAGCCAAACACTGTAAGCATATACAAGCTGAAAACACGATAGAAAACTCTCTTACCAGCAGTACATATAGCTCTTCTGGGGTTTTGAGTTTCACCACCGAAAAGGGAAATAACTGAGATACCCCCAAACGCATAGATAGTGGAGTTAGCAGCCTTCCACCAAGCCAAAAACTTACCAAGTGATCCCACCAGATATTTCGCTTTAAAAGGAGTCTCTTTCCAATAGCGAAATCCAATTCTATCTATGTTATGTGCTCCACCTAAGTCAACGATAGCGCAGAATAAGATCAATCCTGTTATCAAGAGAAGCTTCAAAACACCAAAAACAAACTCCACTTCACCATAGAAGCCAATACTATAAGAGTTGAAAGCAACAATAATGACCATGAAAACGGTCAACCACACAGCTGGATTTAAGTCACTCCAATATTGCATGACCACAGCTGTAGCAGCAAGTTCAACAGGAATCACGTTAGAGTAAACTTGGATCCAGCCCAAGGCAAATCCGTATGATTCGTCAATAAAGTGTTCCGATTGTCTCACAATAGCACCAGTAAAAGGAGCGAGGCAAGATATTTCGATGTTTGCCAATTGGTTCAACCCCACAAGAATACCCACGATGAAGTAAGATAAGAACATTCCAACATTTCCTGTCAAGTACAAAGTTGAGCCACTCGACAAGAAAAGACCGGTACCAAACACTCCCACAAGGGTAAGCATTTGAATATGTCTTTGTTTCAACCCTCGGCTGAGTCGAGATTCTTCCTTGAAAAGCGCTTCATCCTCCAAGCTACTCAACAGAGACTCCACAACCTCAATAGCGGTGTTTTGTTTCTTCTCCTTGTCATATTGCGTGTGTAAAGACACTTCAGGCTGAACGCTCATTGAAATTTTAGATTTCTTTAGCTATTAAAAAAAAGAATTTCTGAATTATTTCGATTATTCGATGTGTTTTATATAGTAAATGGTATTTACGGTGAGATGCTTCGTGCGAACGTTCTCTGATAAGAGACTGGTCTTGCAAAACGGCATCTGATAAGTAAATAATTTCTTTATCATTGACAACCTACAGTGTTAGATTGTGGGGATTCTATGTCCCCTTTGTTGAACCCCTTTTTAAGCCATAGTAATGTTTAAACTGCTATATCAACTCTACCTTCCATTGTAAGTTGGGGGGAAAACTGAGTTCGAATGAATATGTCAATTCAATACTTGCAACATTCAGAAGCTGAACATTGGTCATACAAAGTTCGATACAATCATGCACGTATGAAGACAAATGTTAGTGGTATCGTGGGTCAATTTTTAGGTTGACGGCTGGTGCCGTGAACTCATTATCGAGTCTTATCAGTATATGGACAGGGCTTCAAATAATATTAGTGTCAATGTTCTGGTTAACTTTACAAACTGAAAACGTATCAGAAAAACTAGACTGACCTTCAATTGCTGGTTTCATTCGAGTCAATTCCAGAATATCTTGCCTTTGTCATCCGAACTGAATATGCTTCCAGGCTAGATGTTCTTTAGCTTCGATTCGCGAAGATGCGGACTAAAATGCCACACGATAAGGATGTGAATTCTGGGGTTAAGGATACCGGAGCAAAAGAGATAAGCGGATTCCCTAGACCATAATCCCGCAACCAAAGCACAGATAACAGTGTGCGGACAAATTGGTGGTCACATAGGTTTCAGAATGGCAACCCGAACATTTCATTTGACGCCAATTGAGGTCTAAGGTGTCCATGTGTGCACATCGCCATGGATCCTTGGAGTTCAAGTTCTTATCTCCTTTTTTAATTAGATGCATGAGATGTCTCAGAGCAAATAATCAGAGAAACTTACACGGAAAGATTCAAGTTCAATCATGTTAATCTCTACACTGTGATAAATACAGACCCGTGAAGAAGGATTACAGAGGAATTGATAAGACAATCAAGGAGAACAATTCAATAGAATATTGTACATTTAAAAAAATATCAATAAAGAAATTATTTGATTTCAGGTATTTCATATAATTTGATTCTCATGTAAGGTTTGAGAAATTTGAGATATCATTTTGGAAGTAATTGTCAGGTTTCCGCAACTTTTGCAAAATCGTCAATTGCGAAACCTATGAAAAAAAATACTCAATGAATCAAAACTTTACTATCCAAGAGGTGAATAAAATAACCAGGAAGTAAGCACTCACATAATGGGATTTCAATTCACAAGAACAACCGAATGTCAAGTAAATTCGATGTAAAGAAATTGAGTGCCTGACCTGAGTGTCGCCAACCAAAACTTTTCAATCAATATAATCTCATATTGACTATATGTATCTTTTTGTTTATCGCTTTCCGACTGACTGAATTCTTAGCTTAGTTGTTAATTGATTAACACTGGAGTATCTCACACGATGTCCACAATTAATATTTCCATAGCTGAATGACACATCAAAGCGACAATCTAAATTTACACGATACTTTATTTAAACAGATGAAACATTTTTTTTTTTTTTTTGATTTTCGATTACATTTTACTCTTCTCAAATGAGCCTCCAATCAGAATACTAATTATATGCCACAGATGATTAAACTTGATGATTAATTATTTATACAGAAAGGGTTCTGTAAGTATCGGGCATGTGTCGGGAATTCTCCGATAATTCCGACATCCAAGACCAGGTTGCAATAGATAAGGAATCGTCAGAGAAATTTTGCGAGTGTGTGTTATCTTGGGGGCATAGTGTGAATAAACGACACTACGACTGGCCTGCGTAGATTCACGTCAAGATAAGGAATGACACAATGCTTACAGAATAAAATCATGTTCCCACATCGGAGTAGCACAGTCTTCTTTCCGCAACATAGGATTGCTTGGCATTCCATAATTGTTCAGCCTTCATACTCATCTTGCCAGTTAAATTATCGCACAAAATAGGTGACATCTGAATTAGTTCAACAACGAGTCAGCGAATCGGCTCACCTGGTTGAGTTGCAAACATTCTTACGTGTCAGCCTTAATTTCCATTCAAATTATTTCAAAATTGAAAGGTTGTCGGAAATTTATCATTTATATGTAAAATATTCCAAGAATGCTCTGGAGCCCAGCCCACTACATAGATTTTACAATGAGGTGTGTTCTCAACAGCGACATGACATTTAAAGATGGAGCTCTTCAAGACTGATATCACTTCCAGTAACCCATGTGGATATTTCACTTAAATCCTTGATCTTGTAGTTACCTCCACTGCGCCCTTGCAAGCTCTTCAAATCTCTTTCTTTTCCAGATTCTGGCCGCCAACGCCAGAACTTCTGTTTCTCTTCGTCAAGATTGATAGCGCCGTTCATAATGATTTCTGCAATGTACTTACCAACAATTGGCATGTACTTAAAACCCTGACCAGAATCTCCAGTACCCAAAATCAACCCGGCGTGTTCAGGATGTTTCGAAAACAAAAAGTGACGGTCTGGAGTGTCTGTGCACCAGCATATTTTAGCCACACAAAAGTCTCTCTCAGCGAATTGGGGAAACACCTGTCTAAGAAATGCTCTCATTTGCTTCTCAGCCTCTTCGGGGATAGCATCTTTGAATAACGGCACAGAGTCCTTTCCCACAAAGTTCGTGTAGCCAGGGAACTCGTTGCAAAATTTTAACTCATTGTTCTCGTCAGGCTCAAATATAAATCCGAAATCAAGATTCAACACTACAGGCATGTTTTTGAGAGCCCGTGCTTCTTCTTCTGACAACTTGATGTGGCCAACTGTCCAGCACTTGGCGAGAAGTTGATTTCCGAAGTTCAAAAGTTTATGTGAACATGCTCCAGCACAAATAACGGTCTTATCTGCTGGAAATATTGTTCCACTATAAGTTCTAACACCGCAACATCTCCCCGATGAATCGTATATAATTTCCTCTGCAGCATCCACAACGAAATTTGCACCCAATTTGACACATTCGCGAGCGCAATTTTCAAGGGCTAACCTCGCGAATGTCCATCCACAATTATTCTCTTGTACATATCCATACCAACCTTGGTACTGTCCACCCGCTGGAGATGTTCCATTGATGACCGCTGCGTAATCCTGTGGATTATTCAATCGCTTCACATTGTCGCCTCTTCTCTTCAAATATTCATACCTGTGGTCGATACTAGCTCGTTCCTTCTCATTGAGTGCTGCGTAGATGATTCCAGTCTCATGTAGAGCCGGAGAGAAAACCGGATCCGACCTCCAGGCACTCAAAGCCTCCATTCCTAACTTTGCGTAAAAGTCTGAATCTGATGAAGTCTGTAAAATCTTATTGACGTCGTTTCCTGCGGAAAGAGGTGATGGTACAGCATATGGATCGATCAAGGTTACATTCTTTTGGCCGTTCCTCAAGAGGTGGAGTGCAGTTGAGAGACCAAAGGTTCCAGCACCGATTATAACAATTTTCTCGCTAGACATTTAGAGAATGCGTGACCAGATCACGGGCCAATCAGTCTATATAAACGCAATTCTCAATTATTTTCTCTCCTCTCTTCGACCTTCCTGGAAACTCGGTGAATTAAATGATGTGCGTGGAGTGGAACTCCTTCCCAAAATGGTCCAAAAAATAGCGAACAATCAGTGCTTGTATGCCTTATCAGGAATGAATTCCGCTCCGAGAACAGAATACAATAGTGAATATGAAGATTATTATGATAACAAATATTAGCAATATTGAGATGAGCCTTTCTTGAAAGACTTTTGGTAGGTTTTCTTGATCCTTTGTGCCCATTTCAAAGTCTTTCCGTGGTTGCCTCGTGTTCTGACTTTTCCCCCCATTTCCTTATATGGAATACTTCACCACTCTGGTGGTTACCATAAGCATGACAGGACCATTTGATGGAAGGTGAAGGCGACAAATTGAGGAGAAACTCTACAAGAATGACTACTTTTGGCAGATCTTTCAGCCGCTCCGATCAAAATCTCTTAGACCTTCCAAGTCTCCTTCAGATCTGTGCAGCCCGATGTGGCATTAAGAATTGTATGGATGCACCTTCCTGCCATTCTTCAAATCTGATAGCGCGCTCAAACTCTCCTTATCAGTAATGTGTTTAAATATGTGTAGAAATCTGCCCACTTGTTGCAAAATTAACTGTTCATGAGCGAGGATAAGAAGCTAACTGTTCTGGTCAACACTGAGACTGGTCTTGCACTGATTGAAGAGCCTACTAACTTCAATGATTTGAAGCTTACTTTACAAGAGAAAAGGTCACTTTTCTTCTCCAGGAACAATCCTACTTCCACCAATAGGAAGAAACCTTTCTTCTTTTGGAACCCACCAGGTCGTTCTTCCTATGAGAAGAAGCTTGTGCGCAAGATTGACTGCTTAGTTCTCACTTATGTGTGCTTGTCGTTCTTTGCTAAGTACCTTGACCAGTCTAACATAAGTAATGCCTATGTGTCGGGAATGAGGGAAGCTTTGCACATGGAAGGAAACATGTACAACTGGCTTGGCCAGGCCTTCTTCATCAGTTATGCAATTTGTGGTCTCTTTGGAACCTTGTTGATCACCAGATTCCCTGCTTATATTATTCTTCCACTTTTTGAGATTATCTGGGCTATTATGTGTCTCTTAAATATCACCTGTGACACGTACACCAAGATTCTCATGTTGCGAGTTATCCAGGGTGGCTTTTCGGGTCTTGCTTACCCAGCTGCTAACTACATTTTGGGTAGTTGGTATACAGAAGAGGAACTCAATGTAAGAACTGGTATCTTCGTCGCTGCTGGTTCGGCTGGAGGCATGTTTGGAGGATACATTCAATCTGGAATCCAGGCTCATATGGATGGAAAATCTGGTCTTCCAGGTTGGAAGTGGATTTTTGTGATTGACTTCCTCATCACACTTCCTATCGCAGCTTTTGGGTACTTTCTTCTTCCAGGTGATCCAAACAAGCCTAGAAAATCCTTATTCTTGACTGACGAGGATTTCGAATACTGTCGCAAGAGAATGCAAGTTGTTGAAAATGTTGACAAGGTCAACAAGTTTGACATCACGATAATCAAGCGCTTGTTTACTTCCTGGCAATTCTACACGTTCACGACGGGCTACGTGGTGAGTCAACTAGTGGAAGAAGGCACGAATTATTGGGGCATTGTACTTGAATTACAAGGTTACAATGTTTATGACAGGAATAATATTCCAACAATTCAACCTGCCGTGAAGATTGTGTCGAGTATTATTGCTGGTTTGTACATGGATGTTCGAGGTAAGAAATGGGAAATGTACTTAATTATTTGTGCTTTCTGGATCAGTGGCTTGAGTATTTCTTTAAAATATGATGTCGCTAAATCTGCTCAGTTTTATGGATACTCTATTCTTGGTGTGTGCGCTGCATTTTCAGTAATTATCGTCAGTTGGGCTAATGACATGTGCAGAGAGGATGATCAGTTGAGAGCTGGCGTTTTGGGTTCATTCAATATGGTATTCATGGCTGTGGATATTCCATATGCAACTACGGTATGGAACACTGAAAAGGGACCAAGATTCCATGAGGGTTATTCATTCAGCTTGGGCCTTTGCTCTTTTTTAGTTATATTCCTTGGCCTCATCTTGTTGTTTGACAGATATCAGAACAGAGTGCGTGACTATTATGACGATCTTGTTCATAGCAGGGTTCCTGTGACATTGACAAATGACAAAGAGTCAACATTTACGTGACGATAACTTGGCTCAATATGTTTATGAAAGTTAGATTTTCCATTTACGCTGTATTACGATATTATAGATCGTCCAGAGTTCCAGAAACTACAGTTACTCTGTGTTTACAAAACTCAATCGCCAGAGCAGCACAGCTGCCCTAAAATGTTATAAAATCAAACATCACTTTTTCTCTACTTATCCTCGGTTTAAATAGCCATAAGATTAAAAAACGTAAAAAAAGAGGTTCTATCTATTTGAACTTCTTCAATGAAGTCCAAGCTGTTTTCTATGTACTACTGAATGCAATTCAATAGTACTGTAAACCAGAAGTGAAAAAGTAAAAAAAAAAATAAAACAACTTCTTGTGTCGTATTTTGGGGCGTGGATGTGTGAAGTTAGATCACTGCAAGAACGAAGAGTCCGAGGATCGTTCCCACACCGATTTGCTGAGTTGAGCCAGCACCGACAACCTCCAAAGTAAACGATGAACTGACACTAACAAGACTTAGGGATTGGCTTAGTGTCCTGAAGGTCAAAATTGACAGAGTTGACGATTCCGCATCAGTCACAACAGCCACATTATAAAGAGAATTGGTGACTGACAGAGTTTCCTTTGGGCTGAGTTCCCCGGAGGCATTAGAGCTACTGGCCATCTTCCCAGTGGATTCAGAATTGCCAGGTTCGAGGTGTGTTGATGAGGTGGCAGCTGAGGAATTCTCAAGAATGGGTGCCGTCACCGTGACGGTCAGACCAAGTACGTTCGTGGTAGTATACGTACCTGTGGTCGTTTTAAACTCCAAAATTTCGGCCGCCAAATACTCCAGTCCGGAGTCATCTGTCTTCAATTGCTCAACAGCACAAATAGTAATTAGTTGACCGATCGAGTCAGTCGCATTCACAGTGATTGTGTGCCTATCGAGTACAACAGAAGCCAAAGTAATTTGATTTTCATCAACATCGCCTGTCACGTACACATAACCACACACAGTAGTTGTGTTACCCTCGACAAGAGTCGTGGTCCACGTGGATGAATCAGGAGTAGAATCGGAGCTAACATCATATGTAATCGCCTTGGAACTATCATTTTTATCACCGTAACCTATCGATTCACTAGAAGTTGAACTCAACCTAGTATCAGATGAAACATTCACAATCCCAGAATCTGTCTCGGTAGATCTATCAGATGAGGTGATCCAAATGGAGGAATACACTGTGCCAGGTAAAGAATTTGGAAACGACAAGGTAGTGGTAAACAAAGATCCCGCAGAGTTAGTGCTAACATTCACAACTTCAGAGTCTGTTTTAACTGATCCACCGGAATTAGTAGTGGCCCAAGTAGTTATATACTTAGTACCACCATTATCAAGCATAGAAGTAGTGTCAAACAAAGAGCTAGATGGTTCAGTGGTGACAGACACTGATTCAGTCCCAACAAAAGCCAGAGATAGAGCTGAGGTCCAAGTCAAAATAGATGAAGTGAGGGACAAACAACCCTCTTCATCTCTTCGACAAATAACAACACTATCAGATACCAGTGACAGCGACGTGGTTGAGTTCAACCAGAGGCCCGAATGAGAAGTATAAGACGAACCAATCTGTGTACTCTCGGTGGGGTCTGAACTAATCCAAGTACTTCCCTCACTGGAAAAGATAGGGAAATCAGAGGTGGTAGTAAATAACGAACCCGCAGAAACGGTTTCGACCGATCCATCAGAATTAATAGTCGTCCATGTCGTGGTGTATTCGGTTCCCGCTATTGACTTTGGAAACTCAGAGGTAGTAGTGAAGAACGATCCCGCAGAGTTGGTGCTCACAATGACGACTCCCGAGTCGGTTTCGACCGATCCATCGGAAACAGTAGTCATCCATGTCGTGGTGTATTCGGTTCCCGCTATTGACTTTGGAAACTGAGAGGTAGTAGTGAAGAACGAACCCGCAGAGTTGGTGCTCACAATGACGACTCCAGAGTGGGTTTCGACCGATCCATCGGAATTAGTAGTCGTCCATGTCGTCGTGTGACTAGTCAAGTTAGGGAACTCAGACGTAGTAGTGAAGAACGAACCCGCAGAGTTGGTGCTGATGATCACAATACCAGAGTCGGTTTCGACCGATCCATCGGAATTAGTAGTCGTCCATGTCGTGGTGTATTCGGTTCCCGCTATTGACTTTGGAAACTCAGAGGTAGTAGTGAAGAACGAACCCGCAGAGTTGGTGCTCACAATGACCACTCCAGAGTCGGTTTCGACCGATCCATCGGAATTAGTAGTCGTCCATGTCGTCGTGTAACTAGTCAAGTTAGGGAACTCAGACGTAGTAGTGAAGAACGATCCCGCAGAGTTGGTGCTGATGATCACAATACCAGAGTCGGTTTCGACCGATCCATCGGAATTAGTAGTCGTCCATGTCGTCGTGTAACTAGTCAAGTTAGGGAACTCAGACGTAGTAGTGAAGAACGATCCCGCAGAGTTGGTGCTGATGATCACAATACCAGAGTCGGTTTCGACCGATCCATCGGAATTAGTAGTCGTCCACGTCGTCGTGTAACTAGTCAAGTTAGGGAACTCAGACGTAGTAGTGAAGAACAATCCCGCAGAGTTGGTGCTCACAATGACGACTCCAGAGTCGGTTTCGACCGATCCATCGGAATTAGTAGTCGTCCATGTCGTGGTGTATTCGGTTCCCGCTATTGACTTTGGAAACTCAGAGGTAGTAGTGAAGAACGAACCCGCAGAGTTGGTGCTGATGATCACAATACCAGAGTCGGTTTCGACCGATCCATCGGAATTAGTAGTCGTCCACGTCGTCGTGTAACTAGTCAAGTTAGGGAACTCAGACGTAGTAGTGAAGAACGAACCCGCAGAGTTGGTGCTGATGATCACAATACCAGAGTCGGTTTCGACCGATCCATCGGAATTAGTAGTCGTCCATGTCGTCGTGTAACTAGTCAAGTTAGGGAACTCAGACGTAGTAGTGAAGAACGAACCCGCAGAGTTGGTGCTCACAATGACGACTCCAGAGTCGGTTTCGACCGATCCATCGGAATTAGTAGTCGTCCATGTCGTGGTGTAACTAGTCAAGTTAGGGAACTCAGACGTAGTAGTGAAGAACGATCCCGCAGAGTTGGTGCTGATGATCACAATACCAGAGTCGGTTTCGAACGAACCGTCGGAATTAGTAGTCGTCCATGTCGTCGTGTAACTAGTCAAGTTAGGGAACTCAGACGTAGTAGTGAAGAACGATCCCGCAGAGTTGGTGCTGATGATCACAATACCAGAGTCGGTTTCGACCGATCCATCGGAATTAGTAGTCGTCCACGTCGTCGTGTAACTAGTCAAGTTAGGGAACTCAGACGTAGTAGTGAAGAACAATCCCGCAGAGTTGGTGCTCACAATGACGACTCCAGAGTCGGTTTCGACCGATCCATCGGAATTAGTAGTCGTCCATGTCGTGGTGTATTCGGTTCCCGCTATTGACTTTGGAAACTCAGAGGTAGTAGTGAAGAACGAACCCGCAGAGTTGGTGCTGATGATCACAATACCAGAGTCGGTTTCGACCGATCCATCGGAATTAGTAGTCGTCCACGTCGTCGTGTAACTAGTCAAGTTAGGGAACTCAGACGTAGTAGTGAAGAACGAACCCGCAGAGTTGGTGCTGATGATCACAATACCAGAGTCGGTTTCGACCGATCCATCGGAATTAGTAGTCGTCCATGTCGTCGTGTAACTAGTCAAGTTAGGGAACTCAGACGTAGTAGTGAAGAACGATCCCGCAGAGTTGGTGCTGATGATCACAATACCAGAGTCGGTTTCGACCGATCCATCGGAATTAGTAGTCGTCCATGTCGTCGTGTAACTAGTCAAGTTAGGGAACTCAGACGTAGTAGTGAAGAACGAACCCGCAGAGTTGGTGCTCACAATGACGACTCCAGAGTCGGTTTCGACCGATCCATCGGAATTAGTAGTCGTCCATGTCGTGGTGTAACTAGTCAAGTTAGGGAACTCAGACGTAGTAGTGAAGAACGATCCCGCAGAGTTGGTGCTGATGATCACAATACCAGAGTCGGTTTCGAACGAACCGTCGGAATTAGTAGTCGTCCATGTCGTCGTGTAACTAGTCAAGTTAGGGAACTCAGACGTAGTAGTGAAGAACGATCCCGCAGAGTTGGTGCTGATGATCACAATACCAGAGTCGGTTTCGACCGATCCATCGGAATTAGTAGTCGTCCACGTCGTCGTGTAACTAGTCAAGTTAGGGAACTCAGACGTAGTAGTGAAGAACAATCCCGCAGAGTTGGTGCTCACAATGACGACTCCAGAGTCGGTTTCGACCGATCCATCGGAATTAGTAGTCGTCCATGTCGTGGTGTATTCGGTTCCCGCTATTGACTTTGGAAACTCAGAGGTAGTAGTGAAGAACGAACCCGCAGAGTTGGTGCTGATGATCACAATACCAGAGTCGGTTTCGACCGATCCATCGGAATTAGTAGTCGTCCACGTCGTCGTGTAACTAGTCAAGTTAGGGAACTCAGACGTAGTAGTGAAGAACGAACCCGCAGAGTTGGTGCTGATGATCACAATACCAGAGTCGGTTTCGACCGATCCATCGGAATTAGTAGTCGTCCACGTCGTCGTGTAACTAGTCAAGTTAGGGAACTCAGACGTAGTAGTGAAGAACGAACCCGCAGAGTTGGTGCTGATGATCACAATACCAGAGTCGGTTTCGACCGATCCATCGGAATTAGTAGTCGTCCACGTCGTCGTGTAACTAGTCAAGTTAGGGAACTCAGACGTAGTAGTGAAGAACGAACCCGCAGAGTTGGTGCTGATGATCACAATACCAGAGTCGGTTTCGACCGATCCATCGGAATTAGTAGTCGTCCATGTCGTCGTGTAACTAGTCAAGTTAGGGAACTCAGACGTAGTAGTGAAGAACGATCCCGCAGAGTTGGTGCTGATGATCACAATACCAGAGTCGGTTTCGACCGATCCATCGGAATTAGTAGTCGTCCATGTCGTCGTGTAACTAGTCAAGTTAGGGAACTCAGACGTAGTAGTGAAGAACGAACCCGCAGAGTTGGTGCTCACAATGACGACTCCAGAGTCGGTTTCGACCGATCCATCGGAATTAGTAGTCGTCCATGTCGTGGTGTAACTAGTCAAGTTAGGGAACTCAGACGTAGTAGTGAAGAACGATCCCGCAGAGTTGGTGCTGATGATCACAATACCAGAGTCGGTTTCGAACGAACCGTCGGAATTAGTAGTCGTCCATGTCGTCGTGTAACTAGTCAAGTTAGGGAACTCAGACGTAGTAGTGAAGAACGATCCCGCAGAGTTGGTGCTGATGATCACAATACCAGAGTCGGTTTCGACCGATCCATCGGAATTAGTAGTCGTCCACGTCGTCGTGTAACTAGTCAAGTTAGGGAACTCAGACGTAGTAGTGAAGAACAATCCCGCAGAGTTGGTGCTCACAATGACGACTCCAGAGTCGGTTTCGACCGATCCATCGGAATTAGTAGTCGTCCATGTCGTGGTGTATTCGGTTCCCGCTATTGACTTTGGAAACTCAGAGGTAGTAGTGAAGAACGAACCCGCAGAGTTGGTGCTGATGATCACAATACCAGAGTCGGTTTCGACCGATCCATCGGAATTAGTAGTCGTCCACGTCGTCGTGTAACTAGTCAAGTTAGGGAACTCAGACGTAGTAGTGAAGAACGATCCCGCAGAGTTGGTGCTGATGATCACAATACCAGAGTCGGTTTCGACCGATCCATCGGAATTAGTAGTCGTCCACGTCGTCGTGTAACTAGTCAAGTTAGGGAACTCAGACGTAGTAGTGAAGAACGAACCCGCAGAGTTGGTGCTGATGATCACAATACCAGAGTCGGTTTCGACCGATCCATCGGAATTAGTAGTCGTCCATGTCGTCGTGTAACTAGTCAAGTTAGGGAACTCAGACGTAGTAGTGAAGAACGATCCCGCAGAGTTGGTGCTGATGATCACAATACCAGAGTCGGTTTCGACCGATCCATCGGAATTAGTAGTCGTCCATGTCGTCGTGTAACTAGTCAAGTTAGGGAACTCAGACGTAGTAGTGAAGAACGAACCCGCAGAGTTGGTGCTCACAATGACGACTCCAGAGTCGGTTTCGACCGATCCATCGGAATTAGTAGTCGTCCATGTCGTGGTGTAACTAGTCAAGTTAGGGAACTCAGACGTAGTAGTGAAGAACGATCCCGCAGAGTTGGTGCTGATGATCACAATACCAGAGTCGGTTTCGAACGAACCGTCGGAATTAGTAGTCGTCCATGTCGTCGTGTAACTAGTCAAGTTAGGGAACTCAGACGTAGTAGTGAAGAACGATCCCGCAGAGTTGGTGCTGATGATCACAATACCAGAGTCGGTTTCGACCGATCCATCGGAATTAGTAGTCGTCCACGTCGTCGTGTAACTAGTCAAGTTAGGGAACTCAGACGTAGTAGTGAAGAACAATCCCGCAGAGTTGGTGCTCACAATGACGACTCCAGAGTCGGTTTCGACCGATCCATCGGAATTAGTAGTCGTCCATGTCGTGGTGTATTCGGTTCCCGCTATTGACTTTGGAAACTCAGAGGTAGTAGTGAAGAACGAACCCGCAGAGTTGGTGCTGATGATCACAATACCAGAGTCGGTTTCGACCGATCCATCGGAATTAGTAGTCGTCCACGTCGTCGTGTAACTAGTCAAGTTAGGGAACTCAGACGTAGTAGTGAAGAACGATCCCGCAGAGTTGGTGCTGATGATCACAATACCAGAGTCGGTTTCGACCGATCCATCGGAATTAGTAGTCGTCCACGTCGTCGTGTAACTAGTCAAGTTAGGGAACTCAGACGTAGTAGTGAAGAACGAACCCGCAGAGTTGGTGCTGATGATCACAATACCAGAGTCGGTTTCGACCGATCCATCGGAATTAGTAGTCGTCCATGTCGTCGTGTAACTAGTCAAGTTAGGGAACTCAGACGTAGTAGTGAAGAACGATCCCGCAGAGTTGGTGCTCACAATGACGACTCCAGAGTCGGTTTCGAACGAACCGTCGGAATTAGTAGTCGTCCATGTCGTGGTGTAACTAGTCAAGTTAGGGAACTCAGACGTAGTAGTGAAGAACGAACCCGCAGAGTTGGTGCTGATGATCACAATACCAGAGTCGGTTTCGACCGATCCATCGGAATTAGTAGTCGTCCATGTCGTCGTGTAACTAGTCAAGTTAGGGAACTCAGACGTAGTAGTGAAGAACGAACCCGCAGAGTTGGTGCTCACAATGACGACTCCAGAGTCGGTTTCGACCGATCCATCGGAATTAGTAGTCGTCCATGTCGTCGTGTAACTAGTCAAGTTAGGGAACTCAGACGTAGTAGTGAAGAACGAACCCGCAGAGTTGGTGCTCACAATGACGACTCCAGAGTCGGTTTCGACCGATCCATCGGAATTAGTAGTCGTCCACGTCGTCGTGTAACTAGTCAAGTTAGGGAACTCAGACGTAGTAGTGAAGAACGATCCCGCAGAGTTGGTGCTGATGATCACAATACCAGAGTCGGTTTCGACCGATCCATCGGAATTAGTAGTCGTCCATGTCGTGGTGTAACTAGTCAAGTTAGGGAACTCAGACGTAGTAGTGAAGAACGATCCCGCAGAGTTGGTGCTGATGATCACAATACCAGAGTCGGTTTCGACCGATCCATCGGAATTAGTAGTCGTCCACGTCGTCGTGTAACTAGTCAAGTTAGGGAACTCAGACGTAGTAGTGAAGAACGATCCCGCAGAGTTGGTGCTCACAATGACGACTCCAGAGTCGGTTTCGACCGATCCATCGGAATTAGTAGTCGTCCATGTCGTGGTGTAACTAGTCAAGTTAGGGAACTCAGACGTAGTAGTGAAGAACGATCCCGCAGAGTTGGTGCTGATGATCACAATACCAGAGTCGGTTTCGACCGATCCATCGGAATTAGTAGTCGTCCATGTCGTCGTGTAACTAGTCAAGTTAGGGAACTCAGACGTAGTAGTGAAGAACGAACCCGCAGAGTTGGTGCTCACAATGACGACTCCAGAGTCGGTTTCGACCGATCCATCGGAATTAGTAGTCGTCCATGTCGTGGTGTATTCGGTTCCCGCTATTGACTTTGGAAACTCAGAGGTAGTAGTGAAGAACGAACCCGCAGAGTTGGTGCTGATGATCACAATACCAGAGTCGGTTTCGACCGATCCATCGGAATTAGTAGTCGTCCACGTCGTCGTGTAACTAGTCAAGTTAGGGAACTCAGACGTAGTAGTGAAGAACGAACCCGCAGAGTTGGTGCTGATGATCACAATACCAGAGTCGGTTTCGACCGATCCATCGGAATTAGTAGTCGTCCACGTCGTCGTGTAACTAGTCAAGTTAGGGAACTCAGACGTAGTAGTGAAGAACGAACCCGCAGAGTTGGTGCTGATGATCACAATACCAGAGTCGGTTTCGACCGATCCATCGGAATTAGTAGTCGTCCATGTCGTCGTGTAACTAGTCAAGTTAGGGAACTCAGACGTAGTAGTGAAGAACGATCCCGCAGAGTTGGTGCTGATGATCACAATACCAGAGTCGGTTTTCGACCGATCCATCGGAATTAGTAGTCGTCCATGTCGTCGTGTAACTAGTCAAGTTAGGGAACTCAGACGTAGTAGTGAAGAACGAACCCGCAGAGTTGGTGCTCACAATGACGACTCCAGAGTCGGTTTCGACGATCCATCGGAATTAGTAGTCGTCCATGTCGTGGTGTAACTAGTCAAGTTAGGGAACTCAGACGTAGTAGTGAAGAACGATCCCGCAGAGTTGGTGCTGATGATCACAATACCAGAGTCGGTTTCGAACGAACCGTCGGAATTAGTAGTCGTCCATGTCGTCGTGTAACTAGTCAAGTTAGGGAACTCAGACGTAGTAGTGAAGAACGATCCCGCAGAGTTGGTGCTGATGATCACAATACCAGAGTCGGTTTTCGACCGATCCATCGGAATTAGTAGTCGTCCACGTCGTCGTGTAACTAGTCAAGTTAGGGAACTCAGACGTAGTAGTGAAGAACAATCCCGCAGAGTTGGTGCTCACAATGACGACTCCAGAGTCGGTTTCGACCGATCCATCGGAATTAGTAGTCGTCCATGTCGTGGTGTATTCGGTTCCCGCTATTGACTTTGGAAACTCAGAGGTAGTAGTGAAGAACGAACCCGCAGAGTTGGTGCTGATGATCACAATACCAGAGTCGGTTTCGACCGATCCATCGGAATTAGTAGTCGTCCACGTCGTCGTGTAACTAGTCAAGTTAGGGAACTCAGACGTAGTAGTGAAGAACGATCCGCAGAGTTGGTGCTGATGATCACAATACCAGAGTCGGTTTCGACCGATCCATCGGAATTAGTAGTCGTCCACGTCGTCGTGTAACTAGTCAAGTTAGGGAACTCAGACGTAGTAGTGAAGAACGAACCCGCAGAGTTGGTGCTGATGATCACAATACCAGAGTCGGTTTCGACCGATCCATCGGAATTAGTAGTCGTCCATGTCGTCGTGTAACTAGTCAAGTTAGGGAACTCAGACGTAGTAGTGAAGAACGATCCCGCAGAGTTGGTGCTCACAATGACGACTCCAGAGTCGGTTTCGAACGAACCGTCGGAATTAGTAGTCGTCCATGTCGTGGTGTAACTAGTCAAGTTAGGGAACTCAGACGTAGTAGTGAAGAACGAACCCGCAGAGTTGGTGCTGATGATCACAATACCAGAGTCGGTTTCGACCGATCCATCGGAATTAGTAGTCGTCCATGTCGTCGTGTAACTAGTCAAGTTAGGGAACTCAGACGTAGTAGTGAAGAACGAACCCGCAGAGTTGGTGCTCACAATGACGACTCCAGAGTCGGTTTCGACCGATCCATCGGAATTAGTAGTCGTCCATGTCGTCGTGTAACTAGTCAAGTTAGGGAACTCAGACGTAGTAGTGAAGAACGAACCCGCAGAGTTGGTGCTCACAATGACGACTCCAGAGTCGGTTTCGACCGATCCATCGGAATTAGTAGTCGTCCACGTCGTCGTGTAACTAGTCAAGTTAGGGAACTCAGACGTAGTAGTGAAGAACGATCCCGCAGAGTTTGGTGCTGATGATCACAATACCAGAGTCGGTTTCGACCGATCCATCGGAATTAGTAGTCGTCCATGTCGTGGTGTAACTAGTCAAGTTAGGGAACTCAGACGTAGTAGTGAAGAACGATCCCGCAGAGTTGGTGCTGATGATCACAATACCAGAGTCGGTTTCGACCGATCCATCGGAATTAGTAGTCGTCCACGTCGTCGTGTAACTAGTCAAGTTAGGGAACTCAGACGTAGTAGTGAAGAACGATCCCGCAGAGTTGGTGCTCACAATGACGACTCCAGAGTCGGTTTCGACCGATCCATCGGAATTAGTAGTCGTCCATGTCGTGGTGTAACTAGTCAAGTTAGGGAACTCAGACGTAGTAGTGAAGAACGATCCGCAGAGTTGGTGCTGATGATCACAATACCAGAGTCGGTTTCGACCGATCCATCGGAATTAGTAGTCGTCCATGTCGTCGTGTAACTAGTCAAGTTAGGGAACTCAGACGTAGTAGTGAAGAACGAACCCGCAGAGTTGGTGCTCACAATGACGACTCCAGAGTCGGTTTCGACCGATCCATCGGAATTAGTAGTCGTCCATGTCGTGGTGTATTCGGTTCCCGCTATTGACTTTGGAAACTCAGAGGTAGTAGTGAAGAACGAACCCGCAGAGTTGGTGCTGATGATCACAATACCAGAGTCGGTTTCGACCGATCCATCGGAATTAGTAGTCGTCCACGTCGTCGTGTAACTAGTCAAGTTAGGGAACTCAGACGTAGTAGTGAAGAACGAACCCGCAGAGTTGGTGCTGATGATCACAATACCAGAGTCGGTTTCGACCGATCCATCGGAATTAGTAGTCGTCCACGTCGTCGTGTAACTAGTCAAGTTAGGGAACTCAGACGTAGTAGTGAAGAACGAACCCGCAGAGTTGGTGCTGATGATCACAATACCAGAGTCGGTTTCGACCGATCCATCGGAATTAGTAGTCGTCCATGTCGTCGTGTAACTAGTCAAGTTAGGGAACTCAGACGTAGTAGTGAAGAACGATCCCGCAGAGTTGGTGCTGATGATCACAATACCAGAGTCGGTTTCGACCGATCCATCGGAATTAGTAGTCGTCCATGTCGTCGTGTAACTAGTCAAGTTAGGGAACTCAGACGTAGTAGTGAAGAACGAACCCGCAGAGTTGGTGCTCACAATGACGACTCCAGAGTCGGTTTCGACCGATCCATCGGAATTAGTAGTCGTCCATGTCGTGGTGTAACTAGTCAAGTTAGGGAACTCAGACGTAGTAGTGAAGAACGATCCCGCAGAGTTGGTGCTGATGATCACAATACCAGAGTCGGTTTCGAACGAACCGTCGGAATTAGTAGTCGTCCATGTCGTCGTGTAACTAGTCAAGTTAGGGAACTCAGACGTAGTAGTGAAGAACGATCCCGCAGAGTTGGTGCTGATGATCACAATACCAGAGTCGGTTTCGACCGATCCATCGGAATTAGTAGTCGTCCACGTCGTCGTGTAACTAGTCAAGTTAGGGAACTCAGACGTAGTAGTGAAGAACAATCCCGCAGAGTTGGTGCTCACAATGACGACTCCAGAGTCGGTTTCGACCGATCCATCGGAATTAGTAGTCGTCCATGTCGTGGTGTATTCGGTTCCCGCTATTGACTTTGGAAACTCAGAGGTAGTAGTGAAGAACGAACCCGCAGAGTTGGTGCTGATGATCACAATACCAGAGTCGGTTTCGACCGATCCATCGGAATTAGTAGTCGTCCACGTCGTCGTGTAACTAGTCAAGTTAGGGAACTCAGACGTAGTAGTGAAGAACGATCCCGCAGAGTTGGTGCTGATGATCACAATACCAGAGTCGGTTTCGACCGATCCATCGGAATTAGTAGTCGTCCACGTCGTCGTGTAACTAGTCAAGTTAGGGAACTCAGACGTAGTAGTGAAGAACGAACCCGCAGAGTTGGTGCTGATGATCACAATACCAGAGTCGGTTTTCGACGATCCATCGGAATTAGTAGTCGTCCATGTCGTCGTGTAACTAGTCAAGTTAGGGAACTCAGACGTAGTAGTTGAAGAACGATCCCGCAGAGTTGGTGCTGATGATCACAATACCAGAGTCGGTTTCGACCGATCCATCGGAATTTAGTAGTCGTCCATGTCGTCGGTGTAACTAGTCAAGTTAGGGAACTCAGACGTAGTAGTGAAAGAACGAACCCGCAGAGTTGGTGCTCACAATGACGACTCCAGAGTCGGTTTCGAACCGATCCATCGGAATTAGTAGTCGTCCATGTCGTGGTGTAACTAGTCAAGTTAGGGAACTCAGACGTAGTAGTGAAGAACGATCCCGCAGAGTTGGTGCTGATGATCACAATACCAGAGTCGGTTTCGAACGAACCGTCGGAATTAGTAGTCGTCCATGTCGTCGTGTAACTAGTCAAGTTAGGGAACTCAGACGTAGTAGTGAAGAACGAATCCCGCAGAGTTGGTGCTGATGATCACAATACCAGAGTCGGTTTCGACCGATCCATCGGAATTAGTAGTCGTCCACGTCGTCGTGTAACTAGTCAAGTTAGGGAAACTCAGACGTAGTAGTGAAGAACAATCCCGCAGAGTTGGTGCTCACAATGACGACTCCAGAGTCGGTTTTCGACCGATCCATCGGAATTAGTAGTCGTCCACGTCGTCGTGTAACTAGTCAAGTTAGGGAACTCAGACGTAGTAGTGAAGAAACGAACCCGCAGAGTTGGTGCTCACAATGACGACTCCAGAGTCGGTTTCGACCGATCCATCGGAATTAGTAGTCGTCCATGTCGTGGTGTATTCGGTTCCCGCTATTGACTTTGGAACCTCAGAGGTAGTAGTGAAAGAACGAACCCGCAGAGTTGGTGCTGATGATCACAATACCAGAGTCGGTTTCGACGATCCATCGGAATTAGTAGTCGTCCATGTCGTCGTGTAACTAGTCAAGTTAGGGAAACTCAGACGTAGTAGTGAAGAACGATCCCGCAGAGTTGGTGCTGATGATCACAATACCAGAGTCGGTTTCGACCGATCCATCGGAATTAGTAGTCGTCCACGTCGTCGTGTAACTAGTCAAGTTAGGGAACTCAGACGTAGTAGTGAAGAACGATCCCGCAGAGTTGGTGCTCACAATGACGACTCCAGAGTCGGTTTCGACCGATCCATCGGAATTAGTAGTCGTCCATGTCGTGGTGTATTCGGTTCCCCTATTGACTTTGGAAACTCAGAGGTAGTAGTGAAGAACGAACCCGCAGAGTTGGTTGCTGATGATCACAATACCAGAGTCGGTTTCGAACGAACCGTCGGAATTAGTAGTCGTCCATGTCGTCGTGTAACTAGTCAAGTTAGGGAACTCAGACGTAGTAGTGAAGAACGAACCCGCAGAGTTGGTGCTCACAATGACGACTCCAGAGTCGGTTTCGAACGAACCGTCGGAATTAGTAGTCGTCCATGTCGTGGTGTAACTAGTCAAGTTAGGGAACTCAGACGTAGTAGTGAAGAACGATCCCGCAGAGTTGGTGCTGATGATCACAATACCAGAGTCGGTTTCGACCGATCCATCGGAATTAGTAGTCGTCACGTCGTGGTGTATTCGGTTCCCGCTATTGACTTTGGAACCTCAGAGTAGTAGTGAAGAACGATCCCGCAGAGTTGGTGCTGATGATCACAATACCAGAGTCGGTTTCGACCGATCCATCGGAATTAGTAGTCGTCCATGTCGTCGTGTAACTAGTCAAGTTAGGGAACTCAGACGTAGTAGTGAAGAACGAACCCGCAGAGTTGGTGCTCACAATGACGACTCCAGAGTCGGTTTCGACCGATCCATCGGAATTAGTAGTCGTCCATGTCGTGGTGTATTCGGTTCCCGCTATTGACTTTGGAACCTTCAGAGGTAGTAGTGAAGAAACGAACACCGTCAGTATCGTGTGGTGACTGCAGTTGAACTCAGCAAGTCGACCCAGAGTTCGTGTTTCGACCGATCCATCGGAATTAGTAGTCGTCCATGTCGTCGTGTAACTAGTCAAGTTAGGGAACTCAGACGTAGTAGTGAAGAACGATCCCGCAGAGTTGGTGCTGATGATCACAATACCAGAGTCGGTTTCGACCGATCCATCGGAATTTAGTAGTCGTCCACGTCGTCGTGTAACTAGTCAAGTTAGGGAACTCAGACGTAGTAGTGAAGAACGATCCCGCAGAGTTGGTGCTCACAATGACGACTCCAGAGTCGGTTTTCGACCGATCCATCGGAATTAGTAGTCGTCCATGTCGTGGTGTATTCGGTTCCCGCTATTGACTTTGGAAACTCAGAGGTAGTAGTGAAGAACGAACCCGCAGAGTTGGTGCTGATGATCACAATACCAGAGTCGGTTTCGAACGAACCGTCGGAATTAGTAGTCGTCCATGTCGTCGTGTAACTAGTCAAGTTAGGGAACTCAGACGTAGTAGTGAAGAACGAACCCGCAGAGTTGTGCTCACAATGACGACTCCAGAGTCGGTTTCGAACGAACCGTCGGAATTAGTAGTCGTCCATGTCGTGGTGTAACTAGTCAAGTTAGGGAACTCAGACGTAGTAGTGAAGAACGAACCCGCAGAGTTGGTGCTCACAATGACGACTCCAGAGTCGGTTTCGACCGATCCATCGGAATTAGTAGTCGTCCATGTCGTCGTGTAACTAGTCAAGTTAGGGAACTCAGACGTAGTAGTGAAGAACGATCCCGCAGAGTTGGTGCTGATGATCACAATACCAGAGTCGGTTTCGACCGATCCATCGGAATTAGTAGTCGTCCATGTCGTGGTGTATTCGGTTCCCGCTATTGACTTTGGAAACTCAGAGGTAGTAGTGAAGAACGAACCCGCAGAGTTGGTGCTGATGATCACAATACCAGAGTCGGTTTCGACCGATCCATCGGAATTAGTAGTCGTCCACGTCGTCGTGTAACTAGTCAAGTTAGGGAACTCAGACGTAGTAGTGAAGAACGATCCCGCAGAGTTGGTGCTGATGATCACAATACCAGAGTCGGTTTCGACCGATCCATCGGAATTAGTAGTCGTCCACGTCGTCGTGTAACTAGTCAAGTTAGGGAACTCAGACGTAGTAGTGAAGAACGATCCCGCAGAGTTGGTGCTGATGATCACAATACCAGAGTCGGTTTCGACCGATCCATCGGAATTAGTAGTCGTCCATGTCGTGGTGTATTCGGTTCCCGCTATTGACTTTGGAAACTCAGAGGTAGTAGTGAAGAACGAACCCGCAGAGTTGGTGCTGATGATCACAATACCAGAGTCGGTTTCGACCGATCCATCGGAATTAGTAGTCGTCCACGTCGTCGTGTAACTAGTCAAGTTAGGGAACTCAGACGTAGTAGTGAAGAACGATCCCGCAGAGTTGGTGCTGATGATCACAATACCAGAGTCGGTTTCGACCGATCCATCGGAATTAGTAGTCGTCCACGTCGTCGTGTAACTAGTCAAGTTAGGGAACTCAGACGTAGTAGTGAAGAACGATCCCGCAGAGTTGGTGCTGATGATCACAATACCAGAGTCGGTTTCGACCGATCCATCGGAATTAGTAGTCGTCCATGTCGTCGTGTAACTAGTCAAGTTAGGGAACTCAGACGTAGTAGTGAAGAACGAACCCGCAGAGTTGGTGCTGATGATCACAATACCAGAGTCGGTTTCGAACGAACCGTCGGAATTAGTAGTCGTCCATGTCGTCGTGTAACTAGTCAAGTTAGGGAACTCAGACGTAGTAGTGAAGAACGAACCCGCAGAGTTGGTGCTGATGATCACAATACCAGAGTCGGTTTCGACCGATCCATCGGAATTAGTAGTCGTCCATGTCGTCGTGTAACTAGTCAAGTTAGGGAACTCAGACGTAGTAGTGAAGAACGAACCCGCAGAGTTGGTGCTGATGATCACAATACCAGAGTCGGTTTCGAACGAACCGTCGGAATTAGTAGTCGTCCATGTCGTCGTGTAACTAGTCAAGTTAGGGAACTCAGACGTAGTAGTGAAGAACGAACCCGCAGAGTTGGTGCTGATGATCACAATACCAGAGTCGGTTTCGAACGAACCGTCGGAATTAGTAGTCGTCCATGTCGTCGTGTAACTAGTCAAGTTAGGGAACTCAGACGTAGTAGTCAAGAACGAACCCGCAGAGTTGGTGCTCACAATGACGACTCCAGAGTCGGTTTCGACCGATCCATCGGAATTAGTAGTCGTCCATGTCGTGGTGTAACTAGTCAAGTTAGGGAACTCAGACGTAGTAGTGAAGAACGATCCCGCAGAGTTGGTGCTGATGATCACAATACCAGAGTCGGTTTCGACCGATCCATCGGAATTAGTAGTCGTCCATGTCGTCGTGTAACTAGTCAAGTTAGGGAACTCAGACGTAGTAGTGAAGAACGAACCCGCAGAGTTGGTGCTCACAATGACGACTCCAGAGTCGGTTTCGACCGATCCATCGGAATTAGTAGTCGTCCACGTCGTCGTGTAACTAGTCAAGTTAGGGAACTCAGACGTAGTAGTGAAGAACGATCCCGCAGAGTTGGTGCTGATGATCACAATACCAGAGTCGGTTTCGACCGATCCATCGGAATTAGTAGTCGTCCATGTCGTCGTGTAACTAGTCAAGTTAGGGAACTCAGACGTAGTAGTGAAGAACGATCCCGCAGAGTTGGTGCTGATGATCACAATACCAGAGTCGGTTTCGACCGATCCATCGGAATTAGTAGTCGTCCACGTCGTCGTGTAACTAGTCAAGTTAGGGAACTCAGACGTAGTAGTGAAGAACGATCCCGCAGAGTTGGTGCTCACAATGACGACTCCAGAGTCGGTTTCGACCGATCCATCGGAATTAGTAGTCGTCCATGTCGTGGTGTAACTAGTCAAGTTAGGGAACTCAGACGTAGTAGTGAAGAACGATCCCGCAGAGTTGGTGCTGATGATCACAATACCAGAGTCGGTTTCGACCGATCCATCGGAATTAGTAGTCGTCCACGTCGTCGTGTAACTAGTCAAGTTAGGGAACTCAGACGTAGTAGTGAAGAACAATCCCGCAGAGTTGGTGCTCACAATGACGACTCCAGAGTCGGTTTCGACCGATCCATCGGAATTAGTAGTCGTCCATGTCGTGGTGTATTCGGTTCCCGCTATTGACTTTGGAAACTCAGAGGTAGTAGTGAAGAACGAACCCGCAGAGTTGGTGCTGATGATCACAATACCAGAGTCGGTTTCGAACGAACCGTCGGAATTAGTAGTCGTCCATGTCGTCGTGTAACTAGTCAAGTTAGGGAACTCAGACGTAGTAGTGAAGAACAATCCCGCAGAGTTGGTGCTCACAATGACGACTCCAGAGTCGGTTTCGACCGATCCATCGGAATTAGTAGTCGTCCATGTCGTGGTGTATTCGGTTCCCGCTATTGACTTTGGAAACTCAGAGGTAGTAGTGAAGAACGAACCCGCAGAGTTGGTGCTGATGATCACAATACCAGAGTCGGTTTCGAACGAACCGTCGGAATTAGTAGTCGTCCATGTCGTCGTGTAACTAGTCAAGTTAGGGAACTCAGACGTAGTAGTGAAGAACGAACCCGCAGAGTTGGTGCTCACAATGACGACTCCAGAGTCGGTTTCGACCGATCCATCGGAATTAGTAGTCGTCCATGTCGTGGTGTATTCGGTTCCCGCTATTGACTTTGGAAACTCAGAGGTAGTAGTGAAGAACGAACCCGCAGAGTTGGTGCTGATGATCACAATACCAGAGTCGGTTTCGAACGAACCGTCGGAATTAGTAGTCGTCCATGTCGTCGTGTAACTAGTCAAGTTAGGGAACTCAGACGTAGTAGTGAAGAACGAACCCGCAGAGTTGGTGCTCACAATGACGACTCCAGAGTCGGTTTCGAACGAACCGTCGGAATTAGTAGTCGTCCATGTCGTGGTGTAACTAGTCAAGTTAGGGAACTCAGACGTAGTCGTGAAGAACGAACCTGCGGAGTCGGTGCTAACAATAACGACACCAGAGTCGGTCTCAACTGATCCATCGGAATTGGTGGTGGTCCAGGTTGTAGTGTAAGTTGTCAAGTTAGGGAAATCAGAAGTAGTCGTGAAGAACGAACCTGCGGAGTCGGTGCTAACAATAACGACACCAGAGTCGGTCTCAACTGATCCATCGGAATTGGTGGTGGTCCAGGTTGTAGTGTAAGTTGTCAAGTTAGGGAACTCAGACGTAGTAGTGAAGAACGAACCTGCAGAGTCGGTGCTAACAATAACGACACCAGAGTTGGTTTCAACTGATCCGTCGGAATTGGTCGTCGTCCATGTGGTGGTGTATTCAGTTCCCGCAATAGATCTTGGGAAATCAGAAGTAGTCGTGAAGAACGAACCCGCGGAGTCGGTGCTAACAATAACGACACCAGAGTCGGTCTCAACTGATCCATCGGAATTGGTGGTGGTCCAGGTTGTAGTGTAAGTTGTCAAGTTAGGGAACTCAGAGGTAGTCGTGAAGAACGAACCTGCGGAGTCGGTGCTAACAATAACGACACCAGAGTCGGTCTCAACTGATCCATCGGAATTGGTGGTGGTCCAGGTTGTAGTGTAAGAAGTCACTATTCCAGCGAACTCAGAAGTGGTGGTGAAGAACGAACCGGCAGAGTCGGTGCTGACAATAACGACACCAGAGTCGGTCTCAACTGATCCATCGGAATTGGTGGTGGTCCAGGTTGTAGTGTAAGTTGTCAAGTTAGGGAACTCAGAAGTAGTGGTGAAGAACGAACCCGCAGAGTCGGTGCTAACAATAACGACACCAGAGTCGGTCTCAACTGATCCATCGGAATTGGTGGTGGTCCAGGTTGTAGTGTAAGTTGTCAAGTTAGGGAACTCAGAGGTAGTCGTGAAGAACGAACCCGCAGAGTCGGTGCTAACAATAACGACACCAGAATCGGTCTCAACTGATCCATCGGAATTGGTGGTGGTCCAGGTTGTAGTGTATTCAGTTCCCGCAATAGATCTTGGGAAATCAGAAGTAGTCGTGAAGAACGAACCCGCGGAGTCGGTGCTAACAATAACGACACCAGAGTCGGTCTCAACTGATCCATCGGAATTGGTGGTGGTCCAGGTTGTAGTGTAAGTTGTCAAGTTAGGGAACTCAGAGGTAGTCGTGAAGAACGAACCTGCGGAGTCGGTGCTAACAATAACGACACCAGAGTCGGTCTCAACTGATCCATCGGAATTGGTGGTGGTCCAGGTTGTAGTGTAAGTTGTCAAGTTAGGGAACTCAGAGGTAGTCGTGAAGAACGAACCTGCGGAGTCGGTGCTAACAATAACGACACCAGAGTCGGTCTCAACTGATCCATCGGAATTGGTGGTGGTCCAGGTTGTAGTGTAAGAAGTCACTATTCCAGCGAACTCAGAAGTGGTGGTGAAGAACGAACCTGCGGAGTCGGTGCTAACAATAACGACACCAGAGTCGGTCTCAACTGATCCATCGGAATTGGTGGTGGTCCAGGTTGTAGTGTAAGTTGTCAAGTTAGGAAACTCAGAAGTAGTGGTGAAGAACGAACCCGCAGAGTCGGTGCTAACAATAACGACACCAGAGTCGGTCTCAACTGATCCATCGGAATTGGTGGTGGTCCAGGTTGTAGTGTAAGTTGTCAAGTTAGGAAACTCTGATGATGCCTGTTCACTAGATGATTGTTGAGTGGACGACTGCTCAGTAGAAGACGATTCTTCAGTAGAAGACGATTCTTCCGTAGAAGACGATTCTTCCGTAGAAGACGATTCTTCAGTAGAGGAGGATTCTTCGGTAGAAGATGACTGCTCAGTAGAAGACGATTCTTGAGTAGAAGATGATTCTTCAGTAGAAGACGATTCTTCGGTAGAAGATGACTGCTCAGTAGAAGACGATTCTTGAGTAGAAGATGATTCTTCAGTAGAAGACGATTCTTCGGTAGAAGATGACTGCTCAGTAGAAGACGATTCTTGAGTAGAAGACGATTCTTGAGTAGAAGACGATTCTTCAGTAGAAGACGATTCTTCGGTAGAAGATGACTGCTCAGTAGAAGACGATTCTTCCGTAGAAGACGATTGTTCAGTAGAAGACGATTCTTCAGTAGAAGACGATTCTTCGGTAGAAGATGACTGCTCAGTAGAAGACGATTCTTCAGTAGAGGAGGATTCTTCGGTAGAAGATGACTGCTCAGTAGAAGACGATTCTTGAGTAGAAGACGATTCTTGAGTAGAAGATGATTCTTCAGTAGAAGACGATTCTTCGGTAGAAGATGACTGCTCAGTAGAAGACGATTCTTCAGTAGAAGACGATTGTTCAGTAGAAGACGATTCTTCAGTAGAAGACGATTCTTCGGTAGAAGATGACTGCTCAGTAGAAGACGATTCTTCAGTAGAGGAGGATTCTTCGGTAGAGGAGGATTCTTCGGTAGAAGATGACTGCTCAGTAGAAGACGATTCTTGAGTAGAAGACGATTCTTGAGTAGAAGATGATTCTTCAGTAGAAGACGATTCTTCGGTAGAAGACGATTCTTCAGTAGAAGACGATTCTTCAGTAGAAGACGATTCTTCAGTAGAAGACGATTCTTCAGTAGAAGACGATTCTTCGGTAGAAGATGACTGCTCAGTAGAAGACGATTCTTCAGTAGAGGAGGATTCTTCGGTAGAAGATGACTGCTCAGTAGAAGACGATTCTTGAGTAGAAGACGATTCTTCAGTAGAAGACGATTCTTCAGTAGAAGACGACTCTTCAGTAGAAGACGATTCTTCGGTAGAAGATGATTCTTGAGTTGAAGACGATTCTTGAGTAGAAGAGGACGACTGGACTGTGGAGCTTATTTCATTCACGGGTGGGTCAGGAAAGGCTTGACATGAACAGATGGATGGTGCCACATTGGGTGTTGATCCAGTGTACCAAATCTGAGTACCAGCATTTAGTATACCGTTTGTATCAAACTGATTCGTATCGTAGCCGCTTCCAATAGCAATGTTGATGCGGAAAACTCCGAAAAAGAAAGAAAGGGTAAGAACACCTGAATTGGAGTTGTAACTGTAGGTAGAAAAGCCAAGACTCACTTGGATGATGTTTCCATTTTGGAATCCATAAACAGTATAAGTAGAAGCGCCTGTTAAAGAATTGGATAATCCAGCAATTTCGAGTTTCGAAGTTGGGTCCGACAAGTAGATTTTCTGGTTGGAGCCTATGTTGTACAGGGCAAAATTTAGTTCGAAGGTTGAACTCCTCATGACGTTAATGCAACCGGATCCCAGGATATAAGTGGTTTGGTCCCATTGCAAATTGTAGAAACAAATAGTACCCGCGTTATTCACCGTTCCTAAAGTATTGGTAATAGATAAGAGCGAGGGAAGGCCCCGCTCTTGTCTCATATAGATCTTACCATTATTCGTAAAAGAGGTAGCTGATCCAAGTGTGATTGGAGGAGTCAAGGAAAAACTTGCCGTACCAAGCCACATATTTCCATTATTGACAAAACTTCCAATGGAAATCATACTATAAGAACTGACAACTGTGGAGCGAGTAGAATTGAAAGCAATATCACCATTGTTAAGTAATGTCCCAGAAGTTAAGGAGGCAGAGGCTGCCAACAAATTCGTGGCGGTGACATAAAAAGCACCACCAGAATCAACTTGAAGATTGCCAGTGATAGCTGTTAGCAAATTGTTCACAATAGAATAGTATACATCTGGGTAAACGTGAAGACTTCCAAGCTGTAAGTTGATAGGGCTCAACAACACAGTGTCTTGCGTGATATCAACAGCGTATGTAAAGCACCAAAGAAAGATTGATGCGACCAAAGTTTTCCAGTGCATTTCTTTCAGTGAGGCAGATTGGCAAAGATCTGGCATTACTAAGGTTTTTATAAGTTTCCTTCAAAGAAATTCGGGAAAACAGGAAACATTGGGTGCAAACTTTTAGCCGTCATACATGAACCTGGGGCTCAGAGCCAAGAGACTTGAGAAAGCAGAAAGATATCCAAACCAATCCAGTAAAAGAATTCATCTCATGAGTCTTGAAATTAAGTACCATGAACTTCGAATTAAACTCCCAGTTTCATGCTAACTTGCAAATTGGTTGCACCATGAAGCCATCACATCAATGCAAATATCACCAAGGTCAGCATTGTAGAAGGGCAATAAAACACGGTTGAAGAGGAATATATTTTATGTACGCTTACCAAAAGGGTCAAAATAATCTGCAATTGTGGAGATTAAAATATTTAATGCACCAGAAGCATGCTTTGCATGATCATATTGACGTTCCTATCAAGTTTGTTCGGGTTAATTGAACCTCAAATGCACATTCTGCATTCACCCACTGTCCCGTGCCCCTACGATTATTTTTGAGAATGCACAGGAAGGAATGTGTTTACACCAATGACAATACCCTCAAAAGTGATATGGACTACATAGAGCTCACCAGCATCGAAGTTGGAGCAAGGGAGACTGACCTACCGCCTCTCACTATTACAAGGTTCTAATGGGGTCTGCGTAAAATACAGAAGAAGAGCAAAATTGAATGCCTCAGTTAACCTCTCTGACTAAGTAGGTCCATCGAGAATTGTCAAAGGCAACACTTTAGCTTTTAACATTTTAGCTTTTAACATTTTAGCTTTTATCATCGCTTTCAGAGACGCGCAGCGATTAAATTGCGACCACAATTATATTGGCAAGAGCCCTACACTCGACATTGCAGACGCATATTTAGGAATTGACAAGTTATGATATGCATGTAGGCGAAGCAAACATTGTATAGGCGCATTTAGGTCATATTCGAAATAAAATAAGAATGGAAGATGGAAGATAGGTGAAACCAAAGTTACCCATATTTGAGAAATAGTGATAAAAGATGTTCGAAAATAATACTAGCAGTTCCCAGGTAAGGACGAGTGTGCTTTCTCAACATTGGGCGACTTCCTCAATTGAAGTTGTTGAATTTCGTAAATGTTTCCTAGCTCGAAAAAAAAAGGTTATTATGTGAGGGTAAGGGATCATAACCTGAGCATGCATGTCTAGCGCTGAAATTTAGTTCAGCAGTAAAGGACTCAATTTGTGTTTCCAGGACTAGGGGCTAAGATCTGAGGGAACAGTGAAATTTGCAATATTGTCCATAACCACCGCAATTCTGGCATTGTGAAAACAAGCTAAGCCGGAGGATTAGCTTGTCGCCAAGCGAATAAGCCTCCCGAATATTTGGTCGGAAAGACCATAGTCACAAACCATTTTGCTATGTTACACAGTGGACTTGCCCAACACCAGTGGTCACCTCTAAACCCTTGCCCTTAAACTGGAAATCTCATGCGAAGTTTACTCTGACGTGTAGCGGTTATTATACATCGCATTGCATTACACATTGTGCACGATAGTTGTCTTGTGTGAACTTGAATAAGACCAACCCTACCTAGTGGGATATTCTCTTCACGTGCGGTACTTTACATATTGGCACCAGATCGGATGTTTCTTTCAGTAAGCCATATTAAATCAGAGAACATTGATTCTCGGAATGGGGCCCTAAAAGTATAATGCTCAAATTGAGGATCCAAAAGGTTGTGAAGTGTTGACGTCAAATTTTGATGTGTTGACGTCAAGTTGTTCTGAAGACAACGCCACTCGCATTGCAATTATGTAGCCAAAGTTCGTCATTAATATTTTCCCCGTGCAAATGGCAACAAAATGCAATGAAGTCAGGAAACGCGAACCTAATGAATGCGTAGAATATCCTATGCGTGAAGGTCTAAGCGATTGTCGTCGGAATTGGAGTAAATGTATCCGCAGAAAAAGTCTAGAATTTGTCGAAACTCTGGAGTTCCGTGGTATTGGCAGCTTGTCAAGGCACAAATTACATCTCTCAAAAGTCTTGCAAATAGTATATGTTTATCCTACAGAAAGGTCCCTGGGATCTGCAAAATGAGTCGCTAAGCTAGCAGTTGTGGAACTCGCGACGGAACGTACATCCCTAGGCAATAGAGACAATATTGTTCAGATGTCCATTTCTTAAGCTTCATAGAAACCTAGTTACAGTCTGCATATATATTTACCTGCAGTCGGTACAGTTTCCCATTGCATGTATCTAAACGTCAATATGAACTTGTGCAGGATCTGAAACTAACCTCCAGTTCACGCCCAGAAGTCGGCCAACAGCTTGATGGCAGTTACAGCTTTAACGATTAGGTTGCGTGGTTCATCCCAAAAAGAAGACTTTATCTCAGAAACACCCCAGCAAGCATGAACGTAGATGGCAACAAGATGTACGCGGCCCACTTTCACTTAAGTGGCTATTGTGGAATGGACTGCCTGGTGGCATACTACTCAACCTCGCCAACTACCTGGAGATACTCGTAGTAAAACGCAATAATCTGCAAGTGAGAATCGAAAGGTATATTTTCGTTGGCGCCATGTGCATGGGCCTGAACCAGTGGTACCAACCCCGGTCTGTATCTGTAAATGTGTTTTGTCAAGCCCCAATAATACTGCGTATCGGTGTTACCAGCCGCCATACCTGGAGTTGCTATAATTCGTAAACCTTCAAATTCCTTTAATGTACCACGGCACACAACCTCATAAACATGGCGGAGTGTACCCGCAAATGTTTCCCAATGACCATCGTAAATGGGAGTGAAGGGAGAGGGCTCAAGGTTCCATGAAGTGGAGACTGTTATGTGGCCCTTTGCGGTAGGAGCTGAGATAGTTTCGCCTCCTATCTGGAGTCCCAAGTCAAAATTTTCGGCCACTGCTTGAATGTAGTGGGTATTGCGTTTCATCACTTCATCCACACTGCTTTCCACTGCGATTCGGTGGTTTATTACCAATTCGACGTGTTCAGGCAATGCGTTGGACTTCACGCCTCCATGAACAATATCCACAGCCTGCGAAGTGGTCACCAAGTATCTGCTGCCAAGATCTGAGTTGTAGATGTAATCTGCCACTTTTTTGCTGGCCGCCTTCGAAGTTTGAGACTCTTTGATGAGTCTTCGAATTTCGGGAGACACGGCGTCGGAGTGCTCTGCAATACATTGGTATTCGTAAAAGGTAGGGTTGCGGTCAGAAAATACTGGAGCGAAAGGGTTCTTCTCGAGACGTGTCACCAATTCACTGATGATACCAATAGATGTGTGGTCTGGAGGCACTGAAGAATGGCCACCAGGGGTATCGACCTCCACTTTTACATTTAACATACCCTTTTCGCCCGTTCCAATTAGGGCCAAAGCCACGTTTCCATGTTTCACCAATGATTGTCCACCTTCGTCCACTACGGCATAAAGCCCATTTTCTCCGTACCTTTGCAAAAGGAACTCAGAAATGTGATTTGCTCCTCGCAGTCCACCAATTTCCTCATCGAATCCAAATGCATAGATGATGCTTCTGCGAGGTCTGAAGCCGCTGTTATATAGTTCTTCTGCTGTTTCCAAGAGTGCGATAAGCAAGTTCTTACAATCCGCAGATCCACGGCCCCAGAGTTGGTCTCCATTGTAAAACCCGTCGAAAGGCGGATATTCCCATTGGTCTAGAGACGCCTCCTGGATAGGAACTACATCCTGATGAGCAGTTAGCATCACTGGCTTAAGTGAAGACTCGGAGCCCTCCCAGGTAATTACCAACGAATAATGATTCACTTTTTCAATTTTGCAGAAGTTCCAGACTCCTGGAAAGGTCTTTTCAAGGAAAGTGTGGAATTTTCCAAACCGCTTTTCCCAATACTCTGGGTCCTCGTCCACAGTAGGGGCATCATCGCCCACGTCTGTTCTGACCCGGACTGCCCCAGTCAATTTAGCGGCTGAGGTGTTTCTGAACGCTTCATCGTAAATAATTTTCACCAAAGTGCTGTTATCTTTGCGGTAAGAATCCAGAATCACATACTCCGGCACCGCACAATGGGTTTTAGCTTCAACTTGATTGATTGAATCAGGCGTGTTCCACACGTGCAAGCCAATTGCTAAAATTAGGATCAAGCCAATGACTTTCCACCATATTCTGGCGTATGATCGGGGCAACCGTTTAGTGCCGTCCAAACTTTCGTAATCTTGGACCATTGTTGTAGGAAAGTGTCAAATGCGTCCAATTTGTTCTGTGACAGGAGACATGCGGATCATTGCGATCAAAATCCCGATCCAACTTTCTACTTGAAGAATCCGAAACGCTTTCGAATTCTCCACGATATGTAATTGTCAATAGATGGCATTCGGTGACCTTGATGATTGTAGGGTTTTTTTTTTCCGTTTGTTTCCTTTTTTCAAATGCGCTATTCGTTGTGTTGCTTCTTTGGCTCTTTATCTTATCTACTTTGACACATTCGCACTATCGGCCACACTAAATTCCACACTACCAACTGTGCCAATAATGACCGGATCGTACAGTTTCGACGATCCAACGTCAGGAGCTCCTGGAGCAGTCACCAGGGAAATACTAGAAGAAGAAAATGTGTTGTTGGTCGACTCGGACATTGCGGAACACTATGGATCTACCAAGAATCACATAGAACCTACGATATCTAACCTGGTCCCCGAGATTTCTCCTACTCAGTTTCTTGTAATCTCCATCTCCATTTATTTGGGAATCTTTTTGGCAGCTGTGGACACGACAGTAGTCACCACCATTCTTACCCTTGTGGCGTCGGATTTGGATGCCCTCCCCAACATTTCTTGGATAGCTACTGCCTACCTATTGAGTAGCTCGGTGTTCCAGCCACTCTGGGGAAAATTGTCTGATATTTTCGGCAGAAAGCCACCCCTTGTTCTCTGTTGTATCTTTTTCGCCGTGGGATGTGCTATTTGTAATACGAGCTCGCTTGCCGTGCTCGTTTTGGGCCGTTTTATCACCGGTTTGGGTGGCTCAGGCTTGACAAGTTTGGGTAGCATCACTTTCACCGATATTGTCCCTTTGAGAGATAGAGGAATATACCAAGGTATTGGAAATATTGCTTTTGGACTTGGTGCTGCCTCTGGAGGAGCGGTGGGAGGACTTATTGCTGACAAATTGGGCTGGAGGTATGTATTCCTCACTCAAGTGCCTTTAGCGTTGTTTGTGGGTTTATGTATCGCTTTTTGCCTCAATCTTCCTCCTGGATCGCCTGGTTTGGGAGCTTCTGACCACGAGTTCGTGTCCAAGTTGAAGAGAGTGGACTTTGTGGGATCTCTCTTACTTGTGTTGGCACTCATGGGAATCCTCACAGCTGCCTCATTTGGAGGCCGAGAGATTTCATATACATCACCAACTTTCGTAGTATTGTTGGTCGGAGCTGTCATTTTGCTCGTTGCTTTTGCAAAATGGGAGAATGAGTACGCTGCAGAGCCAACTTTGCCTGTTAAATTGCTCTCCACAAGAGCAGTGTTGTGCACATGTATGACCACCTGGTTCTACACCATGAGTGTGTTTTCGTACTTATTTTATATTCCCGTGTACTATACGTCTGTTATGGGTTTTAGTGCAACAGAAAATGGATCCAGGTTGGTTCCAAACTTCTTTGCTGTGGCTCTCGGCTCTCTTGGAGCGGGTTTTCATATGAAGAAGACTGGAAAGTATTACAAGATGATGTTGGTCATGGACATTGTTTCACTTCTTGGAGTCATCCGTATGATCGGAATTACTCCCCAGATCAGCAAGTTTACCCAGTTCACGCTTTTCTTGCCTTCTGGCTTTGCCTATGCTTGGTGCCTTACTGTGACGTTGCTTTCATTGATCGCTGCTGTTCCATCGAAATACCAAGCGGCCACCACCTCTATCCAGTACACTTTCCGTGCCACAGGCTCAACGTTAGGTGTTGCTGTCGCTTCAGCCATTTTCCAGAACGTCTTGCGGGCTAACTTGACGTCGAAAATTTATGGGCTTCTTCCGCATGATAAAATTTTGGCAAGGGAGATCATTGCGAAGGCGTTGGACAGCACAAAAAACGTGGAGGGGTTTCCTGAGGTCGTAAAGGAGGCTGTAAGGGACTCGTATGCTAATGGATGTAAGGGTTCACTATATTTTGCTGTTGCCAGTATGGCTGTTGGTTGTTTTTTCTCGATTTTCATAGAAGAGCATGTTTTACATTCGACTCTCGAAAGAAAGTAAAACTTCGCGAATTGATTATTTATTGGAGGTTTGTGTTACTTCCTCAAGACTTGATAGAATGAGAAGAATGAAACTTCTGGAATGCCGTAGCAAATCCATCCTGAACAAAAAAGAATGCTAAGCAACGTTTAAGTGCCAGTCATTCAATCAGCGGAGGGGGTAGACAGTAGATTGCAATAGTTGAATCGGGGGAATCTTCACAATTCGAGTCAACGAAACTATTGCGTAGTATAAGGCAAATGAATAAGTTGACTCACGGAATCACTCGAAAGCACAACTTAATAATAGTGAATAAACTATTTTCTCATTTTCAGGTGTACAGTTCTGATAGAGCGTTGACCCCACAATGTAAACTTTAAACCACCCCATTGCATCATTGGAAGGATCATCTATTGAGAATTTAAGAAAAGTCAAAGGTTGATCTGGAAATGGGGATATGACTTACAAGACTATTTCAAAGTAACGATTCAAGAAATTTAGTCCAGTGATCACGCTCCTGTTCATTAATCACTGTTTAACCGTTCTTGCAGAAAATTTTCGACATAGACAAGAAAAACTAGTTGAAAACTCAGAAGAGTACCTGGGATATGAAGCACTAATGCCCAACAATGGAAAGTGAAGGAAAAAGGTAAATAAAATATAGGATGATTTGTTTATGTTCATGAATGATATGCACAAATGTAATTACAAAAACAAACAGAACTCAGACTAGAAAAGTTTTTCTTTTCATTGTCCATACAGATTACCCCGTCAAAAATGGAAACTAACCAATAGAAAGGGACTGCCATTCTGACGATGCACCTTAGTCAATTTTCTTCTGTGCCTAATCAGATTCGCTCGTCGAATTGCTAGATGTTACATCCGGCCTAGTAAGGAAGGCAGATTTATCAACACCAGATCTTCAAATGACACTAAAGAGCCAACTCACCATCATCAATTTATAAAAAAGAAAAAATATTCAGCAAGCTGGTGCTCTCCATCTCCCCACTTCGTTTTATGTCAGGTTGATCGCTCACTCCTCCATACAATATGCGCACTTATGTGGGGCTCCAGCCTTAGTCAAATTCCATAAAGTGGGAACTACGTCATGGTGATGCCCAAACGAGCCAAAAGGCTGGTCAATCCCGAGCTACGGAAGAAGGTCAGCAAAGCGTGTGAGGCTTGCAAGCGGCGCAAAGTCAAGGTATGTGTGCGATGCCCATGGGTGATGAAGCAGAGTTGATGAGATTTTTAATATCATACTAACGGAAAGTGCAATGGGCAACAACCATGTGCGTACTGCTGGCGAAAATCTGCTAAGTGTGAGTATGCTGGAATAGATAAGCGATCGCTTCGGCGAAAACTCAAGGACGATACCGAAGAGAAGCCCAAAAAAGATTGGGATGAGAAGCTGGACCTTTCCCCCAAGACCAAACCCGGTTCCGGCCAGGAATTGAATTTAAGTGGAGAGATCAACGAAGAGGTAGCCCCACTTGGTCAGTTTGCTCCAGATGGTATCAATACGTTGTCGCCATTATCGTCATCCAACGGGTCGGAGTTGGCTCCTGAGTTACAGAAAGATGAAAATCCCTACGAGAATGGTAAACTGACAAGGTTTCTTACCAACTACGCCGGAAATGCCCGATTCTTTGGCGAAAGCAACCCTTTATCGCTTTTACAGGAGTGTCGTATCGTATTCATGGCTATTCAGGGCCCTTCTCACTTTGTATCCGATCCTAAGATTGGAATGGTTCATGATGAGCCTGATCGCATTCGGAGACAGTATCCAGTGCAAGTTCCAAGCAGGGAGGTGACAAGCAAGCTTTTGAAGCTTTTTAAGGAGAATATAAACGATGTTTATTATGTGTTCGACATGGCATATTTTGAAGAGAGCATTGTTGGAGCATTCTATAGAAATCCTCTGGGTATTCCTCCTGAAAAGATTTGCTTACTCTATCTTGTTTTGGCAATCGGAATGCTCTTTGCTGAAACATCTCAACTCGTTCAAATCGAAGAGATCAGCGAGATGGACCCCTCTTATTTCTACGACAGTGCTATCATCGTTCAACGCACGTTAGACTATGATGGGCTCCTCTGGCAGGTTGAAGCCAATCTTCTTATCCATTTCTACTATCAGGCACAGCCAAAACGGACGTTGTCGTGGCTCCATCTAGGAGTGGCAATCCGGCTCGCTCAGGGAATAGGACTCCATCGGAGAGTTGTCAACGAAAAGTACATGTCAGAAAGGTACAACACGCACAGGAGGCGTTTGTGGATGACACTATTTATTTGTGATCGGGTTTCGTCCATTAATTTGGGAAGGCCACTAGGTATCAACGAGTATGAATGGGATGACTTAGGTACAATTGTATCGCTCAAGGATCCAGTGGAAAACCTCAGACTTAGATGTCAGTACGCACTCAGTCAAATATCGGCCATCAATGGAAAAATTGTGGAGAATATATACCACGACTCATCCATCAGACTACGAGGGGCAATTGAGCTAGCCAACGAACTCAAGGTCTGGTCGCTGAATCTTCCAGAAGACTTGAACTTGAAAACCACTTTTCACAAAATAACACAGGAAGATGATTACAATTTGAACTACCTGCTTGTGCTTCTCCATCTTTCGCAATTCTCTGGAATCATGCTCTTGTGCAAGCCATTCTTCATGCACGTTTGTATTCGGAGGCTCAAGCTCATCGAGGTGTCAGACAAGAAGAATGATGAGTTTTACTCCAATTTCAAGAATGCGGCTATCAAGGCTGCGTTTCTCTCGATAAATCTCATCTCGAAATATGTGGATCACAACCTGGAGAGGCTCGAGCTGTTTGCCACGATTTACGGGTGCTTTTTTGCTTCCCTCATTTTAGCATTTACATTGTTTGAGCAAACAAGGTTGAAATCATCGAACAAAGAGTATATCAAGACTTTAACCAGTGCAGTGAATCGTGGAAAGACCATTTTGTACGACTACGGGGACTTCAATGCCACTTCGGAAAGGTGGAGCGAAAACTTGGAGAATATGCTCATTGCTATTTTCAACGACCAGTCAGGGTCACCGTCTGTTGCTAGCCTGTTGGATGACTTCGATATGTTCAAAGAAGAAATCGTGAATATGAATCTTGCAGAGAACGGACCCCAGGAGGAGTCGATAAACTTTCAAGAAACCTTTGTTCCGACCACATTTGGGGCCATAACGGATGATGATTTGATTACCGCTAATATGGAGAATCCCCAATTTTTGGATATCTTCATGTACAAGTAATACACGACATACAGCGAGAAAACGGCCCATTCCGCACGATGGGTTATGTGAAGTTGCTTCCCCATCTGGGTGAGCCCACTTAAAGTTAGTCTGGGGTAACCCACAGATCCCTATTTAAAAAATTGATACCTACAGCGTTAATAATGTAACCTATTATATTCAAATAACTTAGTCAAATAACTTAGTAGTCAGATATACCTTTAAATACCCAAAGTGCCAATGCAACCGTTTCTGTCAAAGAGACTTCTGGTACGAATATATGGGTCCAAAGCAATGTAGTTCAAACCACCTTCAGCACCCAATTGGATCTTGGTGTTCAAAAGCTCAGTGGACTCCTCGGGAGTCTTGGCTTTGATCCACTTCAAAGTATGCTCAAAGAATTGCAAAAGGATATGTTCTCTCTCGGCAACCAACTTCTGGAAGGTCTCATCCTTAGGCTTTTTAGCGCTGTTTTCTTTGGTAGGAGGGATGTAAGTTGGCTCGAAATCATCTAGTCCTCCAAGGTCCAGAGGAATGTGCTTTTTGTCAACGAACTTTTCCAAATCCTTAGTGGTCTTGGTAAAATGAATCTTGGAAGCAACGACTGGGTCCAACCAACCCTTGATAATCTTCCAAACAGCGTTGAAAATCCATGGAGCCTTGTGAATCCAAATGGCAGAAAGAGACTCGGGATAGTTGGCCTCGAACTGCTTGGCCAAAAACTTAACGGCATTCAAGTCAGCATTCTTCAATGAGAACCCGCTCATGTCAAACAAAATATTGGCACCATCGGTACCCAACTCATAGTCTCTCAAGGTCAATCTGGCACTCTCAATGATTTGACAGATGAAAATCTCGAAGTCAACCTCTGGGCAGTCGTGGCCAAAGTGCTTCTTGACACGTACAACGGCAATTTTACCACCCTTAAGATCATTGCCTCTCAAGTATGCCTTCTCCTTCTCAAAGGCGCCGATATATTCTGGCTTCTCCTTGTTAAAGTAGTAGTATGCGTCGGCATCGCTAAGATATTTGTCCACGTTGTGATGAGTGGACTTCCACTCCAATTGATTGGCTGCCATTTCCACGATTGGCAACAACTTGAACTTTCTGGCTCTCACGAAACGGAGAAGCTCGTTGTCTGGCGAATCATTTCTCAAACCATTGATGAAAGCCTGGTGAAGCATAGGATCACTGTGCTTCTCGAAGTGGTGGAAGCGGTCCTTAGAAATAGGTTTGACGCTCTTGTCGTACTCACCCTCTAAATGATTGGCATTACCGTTCATGTGGCGAAAAACCTTGATGGTTCTCTGGGATGGTGGCTGAAGATCCGATAAGATGGACTTCAGGACCTTTGGAAGTGCGTGCTTCGACTTGGACGAGACAAAGTTGGCCTTGTTCTCAATGTCAGCATAAGTCATGTCATCCAAGTCGTAACCGAAATGCTTCAAAATGATTGCCCATGATTGCTTCAACACGATTTCATGGTCACCATCAATGGACCAAATTCTGTCTGGTTTAACTTGTCCTTGAGTCATTATAAAGTTGAAGATGGATTAGGAGCCTGCCCAAATGTATTGCTAGAAGAAGTAGAATTTATTGAAGTACTTTCCAAAGTAGTTTGACATTGAAAGAAGGGCGCAAGCTGTGATTATATATGATGGATGCCCCGCTTCGAACATTGCACTCTGCATAAAAGTTCTACACAAACGTCTTGTCAGCGTGCGATTTGGCTCGAATGTCTGCAGGTGGTAGTCTCCCAACAAGCCGTCTTTCTCATGCATTCCTTTAGTAACATGGTGGGCCCCTCATAAACCAACTTGGCTTCGGTCGAAAGGGGAGATAAAGACATCACATTGGACTATAAGCCAGATGTCCAGGTGAGTTTCCGCGGACCAAACTTTGGGGGCTTATTACCCAATTAGGAAATAGACCAATGCAGCATGTGGTCTTCCACCCAGCCATGTGAAGCAGATCGCGGGGTTGGCAGCAAAGGAGTCCGAAGCGTACATATCACCGACTTGTGCATGGACAGGGACTAGCGAATTAATGACAGAAGTGGAAATGTTCGAAGGGTTTATATGTGATAGTCTTCCAAATCTGGGGCATTGTTATGGTGAGGAGAATACCACGGTTTGTGGAATGAGCGATGGCTTTTGGACTTGGATGAAAAGAAAAGATGAAATTGTGAAACGAGAAATATGCAACTATCAATGTGATAATAGACAAGTTCCATATCCTGCCGTGGTAAAAATTTATGCCATTGCACCTCACAAGGTTTACTAGATAATCTTCTCAGATACAAAAACTACAATAGCCTAGATAAGATTTCGTGACATCATAAACAATTTCGCTGGAGTTGCCATAATCATTACAATAGACACAATGTAAATTTTCCCCTTACGTGAAACCGAGCTTCCCTCAGTCCCCCTCCTTCGCTTTGAATGCATTGTGCGGAGCAACATAGCCTCTCTGCATCCAAACCCTATTTGAAGGAGACTTGAACCCCGTCCATGTGCTGCATGGTAGCATTGGGTGTCTTTCGTGGAGGGTATGTATCACTAAACGAAGCGATCTCCGGGAACAATTGGGCCAAACGGACTATCACGTAGGACGTCTCTGTAAGTGCAAATTGCTGGCCCAAACATACCCGGGGTCCACTGCCAAAGGGCATGAATGCCCATCCGATCTTGGAAAGGTTCGCCCACCTTTCAGGTAAATAGGTTTCTGCGTCTTCTCCGAAGAATTCCCGCAGCCTTTGCACCGAGTAGATGTGAAATGCAACAATTTGGCCCTTATTTACCAAGATTGGCTGAGTACCGTTAGGTCCACCGCCATTGGGCAATGTAGTATCACGGCGAGCCATCCGGAAGTTGGAGCCAACAGGTGGATAAAGTCGAAGTGTTTCGTTAATAACCCATTTTAGATAGGTGCATCTCTTCAAAGATTCAAACGTGATGTTTTCTAGGTCATACGGTGATTCTCCCAGTCCAAAATAGGAAATAACTTCTTGACGAAGCCGCTGCCACACCTTAGGATGGCGGGACAATTCAAATATGGTGGATGTCAAAAGGCTGGCGGTAGTGGAACGCCCAGCGAGCATCACATTGAGCATCTGGTCCCGAACTACAATGGGATCTCTACTTACCTTCACAAGCTCGTAGAGAATGGTGTAGGAGTCTCTGGATTTGAACTCTAATTCTTCGGGAGACATTGCAAGGGCTTGCTGGACGAATCTCAGCGCAAAGTCATGCACGGTTTGGATATCCTCTCGAAACGACTTGAAGTCAATTAGCCAGTAATATTTGAGTAAACTGGCTCTCTGTGCCAAAACCTCCAGTAGTCTCTTGAGAGAATTTTCGAATGACACCCTCTCCTTGCTAAAATCGTAGTCACTACACTTTTCTGAGTCTCGTTTCTCCACGGGGCCATAACTCTCACTTATCTCATCATCCTGTGACTTTTTTGTCTGCTCCATCAATCTATCTCGAAGGAAATGGACGCTTTCCCCTAATAGAAACTCAGTGGACGCATCCAAGGTCAAATCACTGAAAATAGGCTGAATGTCAAATGGCTGGCCATTCTGCTTACGTATGATCAGAACAAACGTCTGCAAATGATGTTCCAATGCTTTGACATGACCAACCTGTTCTCTTGTGAACTGTGGTCGTAACATCATTCGAGAGTCCTTCCATTGGTGGCCATCAGCAGCGAACACTCCATTTCCCAAAAGCGGGCGGAATGCTGCTCTTCTGGGCCCGATTCCGAAGTCATCAAATTGAGTTGATAATGCAGCCTTCATATTTTGTGGACTTCTAGTCACAATTACCTTCTGTCCTAGAACACTTTGGGTAAAAGTGTTGGTATCCAATTCATCATATTGCAGCTTCAAATAATCCTGGAAGTATCCACTACTACGCAAGGCTTTGAGCTTCTTGACATACAAGAGTCCCAGAAATCCCGTTCGGTAAGCTTTTGGCGTGCCTGTGTTCCATTTCCTCAGTAAATAGGCGTTCTTTGCAATGTAGTAGAGGCGATTGGCTGTGATTGCAACTATGAGAAATAGAGCCAAATTGGGCCAATTGACCTCAGCAAACATAGCAGCATAATACATTGAAATTATCTTTCCTAAAAGAGATAATTTAATTCAATCGACTTATGAAGTTGAATTTCATAAAAATTGATTTCATTTGTTATCTATAAGTATTCCATTTGTATATAATTATCACCTGCCTAACCCACTTTAATACAGGCTCACCTCCAAGGGCACGGTTGCAACAAAAGGTCCAATCACGCGAAAAATCGATGCAGTCCTAAATGCTTGCGGACAGTTGAGGTCAAACCCTTGGAGTTTGGAAGCTTGGGTAAACACAACCAAATAACCAATGTAGCAGTGAACATGGCCAAAAACGCAGGAAGCATAACAAAAGCACCTTTGAATTGAGAGATAAGCCCGATCAAGAAAGGGAAGAGTGCTCCACCACTGTAACCAAATGCACTTGCAAACACAAGACTCACCACTTGGATTTTTCTGGGAACAACGCCCGAAACAACCGTAATCATCAATGGATAAATAGGACCGATGCAAATACCTGCCAAAGAAACACAAATACCTTCACCCAAAGTAGATGGAATGGCCCATGTCATACCCACGAGTATAAGAGACAAGCAAATGAGTAACGAGTTGCCCACACGGGCTCCCAAGTAGTGGTGACAGGTGGGGGTCATCACTAAGCGGCCAAATGTGAGGCCAAACCAGTATCCTGAAGCCACGTATCCCACCGAAGTGTCGTGGTTGCCTCTGTAATCTCTGATGTATGTCACCACCCAAGCACCAACGGAGACCTCTGAGCCTTGGTAGAAGAGAACAAAGAATCCCAAGAGCCAGGTAGTTTTGCTCTTGAGGGCCTGAACAAGAATGCTCTTAGGCTGTTCTTCTTTGACTTCGTTGTGCTCTTCAATTGCTTTCATGTCCTTGTCGGCCTCCGAGAAGTGGATGAATGCGTTGATGGCTGCGAAAGCACTGAGACTAAGCAACACGAAGTAGAAGGTGTGCCACTTATAGCCCTTCGATACAAACACCGTGGCAATCAAAGGTGATACTGAGGCACCCAATCCGTAACATCCATGGAAGTACCCAAGGGCCAAAGAGGCCTTTTCATATCGGGATACGAAGATGTTGAGCTGAGAACCTGCAACGGACAATCCAACACCTCCAATGAAGTAAGCCAAACAAATGACGGGGAATTTCGTGCCTGTGCAAACAATAGAATGCATTACTACCGAGCAGCAACATGCTGCCACAAGTGAGTAGCGAAATCCTAGCTTGAGCAAGATGCGATGTGCAATAGGTGCGAAACTTATAACACCCGAGGCATTACAAATCCAGATCAAAGAAACCAAAGAGTATCCAATATGGTAGTATTCTTCCATGTAAGGCAAAAGTGCACCTGGAGCACCATCAGCGAAGCCCTGGCAAAAAGCCCAAAGACACGAGGCGCAGAGTGCCATAACATGCTTTCTACGGGTGAAGGTTAACAAGTGGCTGTCAGAGTGGTCTTTGGTTCCATCTTCCAGATCTGTATGTGACGGGACTTGGTGAAAATCAACTGGAATGTGGTCCAACATCCCTAATTCGATCTCACTGGCATGATACTCCAAGGGTGGCCTTTGTTGTGGCTTTGTATGAGTAGATCCAGGTGTGAAGGGAAAATATGATGGACTGGGTGCAATTACGTCTGGGGTCTGGACCACCGACTCTGTATTAACATGGACGGAGTCGTTATCTTTGATAGGGTTTTCCGAGTCCAATTTTGTCATAGTAGGCAAATTTCACCCCGGAAAGAGCTGTATTTAACTACCTGGTGGGAGATGGGCATCTAAGGTGGAAGGTCCCAAAAAAGGTAATAGAGCCGAGGGCGACAGATTCCGGGGAGTGTGAAAACTTTTGCATTGAGGCTCACTATGAACAGTGAAGGGCCCACTCTCAGTATACACTATGTTTATTTGGCGGGGTAGGTCACATCAATGTGATAGGCTTTTGCTTACAAATTATTGGAGTACGAATAGAGGAGAAAAGCGTAGGGGCAGGGTGACATTGTGCGGGAAGGATGTGGTAAATTATCCACGAGGCGGCTGCGAATCTCCAGGATCGGGGCGACAGATTCCGCGAAGCGTAGTTTTCCCCGGATTTCAATTATGAGTCAGAAATTTTTTAGAGTATACGTGACATTATACCCCTATATCTTTCCCCATTAATTGAAATATTTCGCTGAATACCAAAATTTTTATTTTCAATGTTTTTCGAGGCATTCTTGGTCAGTACTTATGGTTTTTATTTAGCTTCATTCGTTAATCTGTTTCTCCTGCACAAGCCCGTAAGAGTTGTGCCGCCAACCGAGATTAGCAGATCTTTCCTGGCCAATTATGGAAGTGTTGCGCCGATTGGAGGGAAATTCCACTAGCGAATCTTGAAATTTCCTCGCAAAACTCGCAATATTGATTGTTTCGCAAATTGTATCCAGAAAGGAAGGAAATGAGAAGACACCGAGAGTGAAAATGTGGGCTCATCATTATATTGTGGGGACATCTGGGGACATCTGGGGACACCTGGGGACATCGAGGAAAATAAAATTTCTGGGGAACTTACGTATGGAGAAATTATTTTATATCCGGAGAGAATATATGTACATGTGGACCATAGTCTAAATGTTTGAAGATCTGAGGAAAGTTTTTTATGGCGAGAAGACTTACGAGATTTTTGGATAGACAAAAATTTAATCATACAGTTCCTAGACGAAAAAACAACGCCAAATCCAGAATCTAATTTTTCAATCGGTGAAACAATGAACCAATACAAGTTTCTCCCAATCAGGATACCGTTTTATAGTTCAAGATGACCCGACCATCCCACATCCCACATGGATTCGAAGAGATCTGACATTATGTCGGATCCATCTAACTCGATGTAAAGTGCAGGACTATTTCTTCAAGTAGTTCTTCTTGCCAACCTTGTATCCACCTTCATGTAGCTCCACGAGTTTGATCAGTTCACCTTTCCATAAATAGTCTCGCCCGTCATCGGGTCCTGGAACTCTTTCCCAGTACAAATAACTTTCACCGAGTCAAATCCATTAAGTATTTATTCTACGTCATGAGCTTGGCTCAGAGCATAAATCAAACTAGAAAAACTTCATAAAGGGAGCACTCTTACAAGAGCATGGCCAAACCAGCGGCAACACCGGCAGCACCAGCGACGGCGGCGGCAGCAGCACCATTAGCAGTGGTGACAGCTGGAGCAGAAGAAGCAGCAGCAGCAGAGGAGGAGACGACCTCAGCAGAAGAAGCAGCAGCAGTAGTGGCCTCAGCAGCAGAGGAAGCAGCAGCAGAAGAGGCAGCGGCAGAGGTCTCAGCGGCAGAGGAAGCAGCAGCAGAAGAAGCAGCAGCGGAGGTCTCAGCAGCGGCGGCAGAAGAGGCAGCAGCAGAGGTCTCAGCAGCGGAGGTCTGAGCAGCAGCAGAGGAGGTCTCAGCAGCGGAGGTCTGGGCAGCAGCGGAAGTGGTCTCCTCAGCAGTAGTCTCAGCAGCAGTAGAGGTGGTCTCCTCGGCGGTGGTCTCAGCGTTAGCAGATGTGTTTGGAGCCTCAGCGGACAGAGTGGTGCTGGTGGCCTCTTCGGCGGTAGTCTCAGCCTCGGCAGCAGCGGCAGCGGCCAAAGAAGCGGAAGCAGAGGAGTCAATGATCCAGTATGGCTCCCAGACACCAGCTACGGAACAGAGAGAAATGGCCAAAGAGGTAGCCTGGCTGACCTCGGAACCCTTACAGTTCTTGGCGATACAGTCGGCCACGTCAGATGCCCAGGTAGTCATGACACAGAGACATCCAGTGTCCCAGTATGGGCATGGAGTAGAGGAAGTAGCTTGCTCCACACAAGGTCTAGCACACTCTGGCAAAGAAGAGTAGATTCTGTCAGCGAAACCGTTGATGGAAGCGGTTCTAGCCACAGATGGGTAGGTGGCATAAGGGTTGTCAGCGGCAGAGACGAGGGCCAACATGGTGGCAATTGGGTACAAAGCGAACAACATAGCGAGTGAACTTGACTTTAGATAGGTTGAAGTGGACTTGGTGGGGAAGTTAGGTACTTATATAGTCCCTCAAGTACTTCGCTGCAAGCCAGGCATTAAAGCAACCTGCAAGCGATATGTGTAAACACCGGCCCGCCCAATTAGTCAAGGAATTTCCCTTCGCGGAGAGGAAAATCGGGTACTAAGCTACTACGCAAGGCAAACATGAGTAGGTTTCGCCCATGCGGTGCAGGTTGATTTGCCTCATGTCCGACTCGGTGTATGCGTAACAAGAATGATATGCAGTAAGGTCTTATTGGAGATGCATGAAAGCGCAGCGAATGCAACATTTACCCTTGGCACCATCGTGGCCTGTTAGGGCTGTTTGAAAGCAGAATATGCTAATCCAGGGGATCGCTATAATAAGAAGTTTTCCGCCATTGCCCGCTCTTACAGTTTTTTTTTTCTCTGGACCCTTGAGTTGCTAGTCGACTTATTTCTTCTCAGTGGAGGCTGAAGGGGATTTTTATGCGCATTGTGTGTACATACTCACTATACGAGCGCTTAAGGGGCCTATGGACCGAAAAGTCCGTATTCACAAAGGCTTAAGTAAGAGAGCGATGTTTGGTACACCAAGGCTCAGTTGCTTGATGTAATTGTAGCGGGATCGTCCGAAAACGAACACATAGCGAAATATTCTAAAAAAAACCTGGTCTAGAAAGATTCTGCTCTTCACGGTGACAGGGCTACTATCCCTCGGCAAAACGTTCTGTATCTATTCCATCAGTAGTCATCGTACAATAATATTCCGAGCATACTTTACTAATTATTTAATCCGTAATAATTAATCATACATTACTAATTGATTTCATTAGTTCACCAAAATAAGGGCTGCTGCCAACAACGCACCAAGAACACCGGTGGACTTCTGCATGGCGCCATTGGCGGAAGATCCTTGAGTACTCGAAGAGGCAGCAGCCAGAGTCGAGGAAGCAGAGGAGGCCGATGAAGCGGAAGAGGCAGGAGCAGCGGAAGATGCGGAAGAACCAGATGAACCGGAAGAACTGGAAGAACCAGACGAACCGGAAGAAGCACTAGTAGAGTCAACAGACAACGTAGATGGGGTCTGAGTAGTGACAGAACCCGACTGTGAAGAGCCAGACGATCCGGCCAGGGTCGAGGCTACGGTGAGAGTCATCTCAAATCCGTGTGCGGCACTGGAAAGAGCAGTGGAGAGAGAAGCAGGCATCATCCATGTGTTAGCACCAACCTTAGAACACAACGAAATGGCCAAAGCAGTTGCCAGTGCAACGTCAGAGCCCGAGCAGCTTTGAGCGATACAAGCAGCAACCTGTCCAGACCACTGAGGCATCACACAGAAACATCCAGTATCCCAGTATGGACATGGGGTATTACTCGTGGGGAAGTCTGCGCAATCAGAGGCACATTCAGGCAAGAGGGCCTTGATTGGGTCAGAGAATCCATTGATGGAGGCAGTCTTTGGCACAGCTGGGTAGGTTGCCCAGTTAGCAGCGAAGGCGGAGGACACGAGGAGGGAAATTGTTAAGAAGTTCATAGTTGTTGAAAAAAAAAGGATGAAGTTAGAAAGATGAGTGAAATGACTACATCAAATATTGAGATGAAGTTCTCTAACTACCATCCAGGACCGACAACCGTCGGTCCGAATACGGCAAGGATATATCGGTGCATGGGTCCACCGACGTGCCTATGACCGATCACAATCAACCACACCCGGAGTTATACAATGCGAATGTTCGGATATCCTCTCTATATCTTGGTATAAGGTAATATCGGGGCCATTTCTTTTCCAGTTGGATGACAATGATATGAAGAGGCTGTCATGTCCTTAGATTGCCAAGGTTTCCATACACTGGCCTGGCCGCCTGTAATCTGAACCATCAGTGCGTGAAGATTTATGCTCAGCATATGAGCCCTTATGTTGATATGCAGCCGCATGCAACTTGTACAAAGATGGGAGAGATAAAATTTCAACTAGCAGACCGAAATGTCCGGCAAAAAAAAAAAAAAAAGAAAAAAAACATCATACTACAATACCGGCAATGTGGTACTTGAAAGATGGAAACTCTTCCGAAAGATCGTTCCCCTGCCACCTGAGCGATCTTACAATATCCATTCACATAAATCTCCATTCCTCGGATCCACAAGCAGTTACGTCGTTAGCTTGTCACCCCCTGGCTTTCCTCTATACACCTTCCAAGAAATCGGCGGTGACCGAAGGACATATCGCTCCTGTGGGGTTGTATTAATACTGTACTTGATCATATAACCCAGTGAGAATCGTTTCTGGTCGGTCTTCTTGCCATTATTCCTCCTTCAACATGGGTATCCCATTCTACTTACAGTACTTTGCGGAGAAGGATTTAAACTACAAGTATGAGTTCCTCACCATGGCTGTCACCATGCTTCTCCCTTTGGCTCATGGTATTTTGTTCTTATGGATCCCTTGGTTTCTTCGATCCAAAAGAGATGCGGCTTCCTTAAAGTATAAGCCTTACTTCACATTTATCAAGTATTTCGACTCGTTCACTAGGGTTTTCAGGGTTCGTTTATTAGGAAAGACGTTTTTTATCCAGCCCAGTTTGTTGGTGGTGTGGGTGTTTCATTTGGGTATCACTGGATACTTTCTGATTGCTGAGACTTCTAAAATTGATTACCAGCCTCGCTTTTACATTGTATCTAAGAGATTGGGAAGAATCTCCATTGGATCGATCCTCATGATTCTTCTTTTTGTCTCCAAGAACAATTTTGTCTCCGCCCTTAGTGGTTTGACCTTGGATAAGGCAGTGTTCTTTCATAAATGGTTAGGTCGTTACATGTTCATCACAGCAACCATTCATATGATTCTCTCGCTCAAGTATTGGCTTGACTTGAAATTTTATATCATGATTCAGATTCCTCCTCAAATCTTCGGAATGATTGCTTACTCATGTTTGGGTATGTTGAACCTTGCATCTTTCAAATTTATTCGTAATTTTGCGTTTGATTTGTTTTTGGTTCAGCATAGAATTTTCAACTTCATCATGCTTTTATTGGTGTATTTCCATAATGGAGGAAACCATGCTATTGTACTTCTTGGTGTCCATCTTTTGGTGCTTGACAGAATCACAAGTAGAGTATTGGGTGTTCTCCACAAAAGAAGAGGTCCAACAAAAGGTGTTTCTGAGTTTGAGATTTTGGATGAGACTACAATTCGTATTTCTATTCCTATCAAGATCAAAGACTCAGACAACCAGAAGTGGTGGTGGTGTCTTGTTCCCCGATACGGAAACTGGAGAGCAGGTCAGCACGTCCACTTGAACGTCAGCAAGGTTTCTCTCTTTCAGTATCATCCTTTCACTATTGCAAGTTTGTCTGATTCTGGAAAGATTGTCATCGTGATGAAGGTGCACAAGGGCTTCACCAGAAAATTAAAGAAGAAGTTGATTACTCTTATGGAGAAAGAAGATGAGGAAGCTGCTACCGAGAGCAGCAATGAAATAACTTCCACTCATTCTGTTGCTACATCAGAAGACAATACCACAAATTCCTCCGCTTCCGAATCTGGAAGCTTGTTGAAGACTAAGGAAATGGCAGATGTGGAGGTTTACGCTCATCCCGTTCAAGAGTTTAAGGAGATTATTGACTCATTTGAGGCAGCAAGAATCCTTAAATTGAAAGCAGGTATTAACGGTCCTTACGGTGGTGATCACCAGCCATTAACCAGATTTGATTCTGTGGTTTTATTCAGTGCTGGATCTGGAGCTTCGTTCACACTTCCAGTTGCTTTGGATTTATTGAAGACCATTAAAGCCAGAGAAGAAGCAGACGACTACTTATACCGTCCAGCAACTACATCTATTAACATCGTCATGGCTATGAAGAAGATTGCTAATCTTCAATGGTACGACCACTTATGGGAAGAGTTCTTGCCATTCCTCAATAGTGGAAGAGCTCACCTTTCGTTGCACATCACTCAAGAAGTTCCAGATGCTGCTTCAGTCGACGGAGAAGAAAGCGAGTTAGGAGAAGAAAAGGAAGATTCTGCTAAGGTTAGACAGTTTCTTAGCAGGGGAAGTTCCAGCAACAGAAACCAAAGCTTCTCCACTGGCTCATCATCTTATGATCAAATCAGAGGCTTCTCTATCACTTACGCTCGTCCTGACTTTGCTACAATCATCGGGGATGCTGTGAAACAGGTCAGTTCTAAAGATTACAGAAAGTCGTTTGCTTGCTTGGGATGTGGACCAGGCAGCTTCAACGGAGAGATCAAGTTGGCATGTCAAGCCAACAGATGGGTGGAAGGTGCTCCAGATGTCTACTGCTACACTGAATCTTTTGGTTGAGTTTTTAGGTTGAGTTGTTTTGTTGAATCGTTTGTTTTCAAGGGAATTGGCTACCGTCACGGTGATTATGCCGTGATTATATTTAAGTTTTAAGGAAATGCACAAAATAGATAACAGGAGAAACATTCCGAAGGATCTAGAGCGGTCCCATCGGCTCAGAAGTCTGGGATAAAAGAGGAGATCAGCATTGTTCTCCCAGTCTAGAATCTGTTAAGGGCAAAGTTGGCCGGCTATTCAAATATCCAAATTTTCCGCACATAATGGAAGAATTGGGATTTTCTGACAAGAAAATTCCTTGTCATGTAAGAGGTGCATGATGCAGCCATGCACATATTAATTTTACTATTTTTTTTTTTTTCACCTAATGTGGGACTCACGGGCTAAACCGAGGACACAACGGATCTGGAGATTAGGGCTATGACTAATTCAATGAAAGAAAGAAAAAAGATTCATACCTGACTATACATCTCTACTCAAATTAGTTTGTACATGGTTGCATTCATTGAATGACTTCAACTAAAGTCTATACATAGTGAAATAGCCCGAAAATTAATTTTCAGTGGGAACTTGCCCTGTAAAAGAAGTGTAAAGTAACTCAAGGATTGAATTAGATAGCCAAACCAGCCACAAGAAGAGCCAAACCCATAACGACAGAACGTGGGGAAGTCAAACCAGCGTTGTTCTCGCCAATGGTAGTGACAGCTGGAGCAGCAGAAGGAGCAGCAGAGGCAGTAGCAACTGCGCTAGCGCCCTTAGAAGTAGCGTGGCCAGCAATAGTCGAAGTGACAACAGTAGTCTTTCCACCAACAACAGTGGTGTACAAGGTGGTGTAGAGGGTAACATCTTCCTCTGCCGTGGCGTGCTTCTCACCAGAGGTCTTGACCACGGCTGAAGTGACAGTGGTGGTCTTACCACCCTCAACAGTAGTGTAAGTGGTGTAGTCGCACTCTGCAGTGACAGTAGTGGTGACACCCTTGACCACAGTGGTGTAAGTAGTGTAGCTCACGTCGGTGTCACAGTCAGTGGTGACAGTGATGGTGAGACCCTTCTCGACGGTGGTGTAGGTGGTAAGAGGACCGGTCAAGGTCTTGCACTTGGTGCAGACGGTGACGATCTTGGTGGTCAGGTCAGTGACAACAACGGTGAGGTCATCAACGACAGTCTTAGAAGTGTTGGAGTCAGCAGAAGAGGTACCAACGGTGTAAGCAGAAGTCGAGTAGACAGAGCCAGAGACTTCCTCAGAAGCAGCACCGGAGGAGGCAGCATCAGATGCATCGGAGGAAGCGACAGCAGAAGCAGAAGTAGAGTAAACAGACTCAGCAGCACTGGAAGAATCTGCGCCAGCAGAAGCAGACTCAGCTTCAGAGGAAGCGCCAGAAGCTTGAGCGGAGGAATCGAGTTCAACAGAAGAGGTTACCTCAGCAGAAGAAATAACCTCAGCGGAGGAAGTAACCTCAGCAGACGAGGTAACCTCAGCGGAAGAAGATGGGACAGCGGTTGCCAATTCATCGAACAAGGTGGAGTAAGAGGCAGCAACTCTGAAGTAAGGAGTTGGAACACCAACCCAAGCACAGACAGAGTTAGCCAAAGAGACAGCCACGACAATGTCATTACCAACACAGCTCTCAACATAACATTGAGCAACAAGGTTAGCGAAGTTGGTCACACAAAGACATCCTGGCTCCCAGTATGGACAGAAAGAGACTGGCTGGTCGACACACTCCTTAGCACACTCAGGCAATCTGTCGTAGATTGGGTCAGCAAAACCGTTGATAGTGGCCGTTCTGGGCAAAACAAGACGGGATGAAGACGAAGAGCTGGATTCATCAGCGGTGGTGGCTGGGGAGCTACTCTCTGGAGCAGACTCGGCCTCAGAAGTAATGGCTGGAGAGCTAGACACAGCCTCAGAAGAAGTAGGAGCATCGGTAGGAACAACCTCAACAGAAGAAGATGGGACAGCAGTGGCCAATTCATCGAACAAGGTGGAGTAAGAGGCAGCGACTTTGAAGGCTGGAGATGGAACACCGACCCAAGCACAAACAGAGTTAGCCAATGAGACGGCAAGGACGATATCATCACCAATACAGCTGGACACGTAACATTGAGCAACGAGGTTAGCGAAGTTGGTCACACAAAGACATCCTGGCTCCCAGTATGGACAGAAAGACACTGGCTGGTCGACACAGTCTTTGGCACAGGCAGGCAATCTGTCGTAGATTGGGTCAGCAAAACCATTGATAGTAGCAGTTCTAGGCAAAACAAGACGGGATGAAGATGAAGAGCTGGATTCATCAGACGAAGCAGCGGCTGCGAAAACAGCAAGAGAAGCGAGCGTAATAAGTTTCTTGATAAACATTGGCACCTAGTCTAGCGAGCACAAGCTCGGGGGATCTAGTACCTTATATACGATTATCAGGCGGCTGGGGTCCGAAGATGGAGTATTTTTTTTTTTTTAGGGCCTACTTTGTTCCATGAATACTGTCCGTATAGAGACTAGTGCAGTGGCCGCCTGCAGCAGATCGCGTCTTATGTGCCTGTGGTCCCATCCGCTCAAGTATCCGAAGTGCATGGACACCAGTTGCACGCATTGGGCATGCACTGCAACCAACTAGGCAGTCTCTCCTGCTGCCAAGAATGTTTTATCAATTCCATCTATACAGTGATCAATCAGATAGCCGAGTTCATCTGTAGTGTACCCGAAGTCGGCTTCTATAATGGCTGCCGACGCGGGAAATGTCCCACCTTCAAATTCCGTCATGTGGTTTCATTCATACTCTTTCTTGTTCAGAATGGGCTGAAATGTGCATCGAACATTATTTTTCTTTTTTTCTTCATACATGAGCTGCCGGCATTTTATTACCCTCACATTGTTTTGTAATTACGAGTACTGATATGGTTCTTTGTCCTACTATCGCGCAGGGTCTCATTTATTAGAACCCAAGTCGGTGTTAACGGTGGTGTTCACCGATAAGTCCTGTATTGGTGATATTTCCGGATTTACCTGTTGTGCTCCTTGCATCACTTTGTCTTTTCGTTGTGACGCTGCCTCCTGCCCGAAGTTAAAACGGTTTGGGAATTTGTTTTGGTGTATTATCGGCGGGCCTAAATCTCATCCATTCACGGACTTTTCTGGCCCCCGGTCGGACTATTGGTTAAGAATATCTCTGTTGTGTCGGATTATAATTTATGACTAATGACGAAAGACGGTACTTATTTTCTGTTTATTTTTTATTTCATTTGCGCTTTATCTCGTCTTTTTTCGTCTTTTCACCTATTTTCGTTCTTATTTTCTCGTCACGAATATTTCGTGTTTACCATAGAAGTGTACCTTTATCGTCATTCTTTTTTTGTTCTTCGTGCCTTTCGTTTTTTCTTTCTTTGCAATCATATTTCACTTATCTTGGCTATTGAACTATTATTCACTTCACAACGTGCAAGTTAAATCCACATGCATGTTCATGGTTGAATTCTTCCTTCGTATACCTCGAATCTCTTTTTTCTGTACCTACCCTCATGACTTCGGACTTCTGGCGCACTTTCCCATCCTGATTCTCCAAAATTTCGACTATATCGCATTCTCTCTTAATTCACTTAATTAAGTTCAAAATGAAATTTCTACCTGTTCACCAATTTTGGTTGCTTATCTGATGGCAAACACACCGATCGTGCGATTTTCTTCACGTTCCACATCTATTTTTTGTTTGTTTGTCCAAAGATCGTCTGGTTAATGGCCATGGTCCCCCACGTTTGCACATAGTGGACGCAATCTCCGCACATTGGACTCACCAATTAACTACCCACCATGTTCAACCGTTTCAGTTCCAGAAGATCGGTCGTCCACTCCCTCTCAGGGATGGTGGCCTCTTCGCAGCCGCTTGCTAGTGCAGCGGGAGTGAAGATTTTAGAGAAAGGTGGGAACTGCGTCGATGCAGCCGTGGCTGTTTCTGCCGTATTATGCGTCACCGAACCTCCTTCCACTGGTGTTGGAGGAGATTGCTTCGTGTTGTACTACGACAACTCCAACAGAAAGGTACATGGCTTGAATGGCTGTGGCAAGTCGCCCAAGAACATTTCTGTCGATGCTGTCAAAAAACAGGATCCTTCTCTCACTGGTCCTAGACTCCCACTTAATAACGTCCACTCTATCACTGTGCCTGGAGCCATTGCTGGATGGTTGGATGCGATTGAGCTTTGGGGCTCTGGGAAGGTCAGTGTTGCTGACATCTTGGGCCCAGCCATCGATTTGGCTCTGAAGGGCTTTGCTGTGTCGGAGATATCTGCCCATATGTGGAAAGGGGCCCTGCGCAAACTCATTAGACAGAGTGGCGAGAATGCCAAAGTGTTTTTAAACGACGACGGGTCATTTGTTCTGCCAGGTCAGGTGTTCACCAATAAACCTTTAGCTCGGTTGTTGAGAAAGGTTGCAGACGAGGGGAAAGATGGCTTTTACAAGGGCGATGTGGCTGAGAAAATCGTGGCCAAGGTGAAAGAGAAGGGCGGTTTTCTCGAAATGGATGATTTGGCCAGCCATACGTCAAAATTGGTGGACCCAATTTGTTTGGAATTCATGGGCAAGTATCTCTGGGAGATTCCTCCAAACGGACAAGGAATTGTTGCGCTTTTGGCATTGGGGTACTTGCGAGAGCTTCTGAAGCAGTCGAAGATTAGTTTGGAAGCGTTGGAGCACAATTCGGCGGAGTACTTGAATTTGCTCATTGAAGCACTCAAACTCGCATTCCACGATTCGGAACATTGTGTGGCAGACCCTGAGTTTCATCCTGAGATTGATGTTAAGCATGTTCTTTCTGAGAAGTATTTGGCGGATAGAGCACAACTCATCCAGCCAGGAAGAATTTTGTCTCGTGAAATCGTGGATGCTGCTCCAGATCCAATGTACAAGTCGGACACCGTCTATTTCACCACCTCAGATAAGGACGGAAATGCCTGTTCGTTCATTAATTCCGTTTTCTCCCCTTTCGGCACGGGAATCATTCCTGACGATTACGGTTTCGCTTTGCAGAGTCGTGGGGGCAACTTCAACTTGACACCGGGTGCAATCAATGTCTTAGAGGGTGGTAAGCGGCCATACCACACTATCATTCCGTCGTTGATTACCGAAAAGGACCACGATGATAATGATAAGTTGTATGCATCGGTAGCATGTATGGGAGGTTGGGAACAACCGCAGGCACATGTTCAAATTTTCTTGAATATGGTTCTTTTCGGCTTCACACCTCAGGAGGCGATTGATGCACCCAGGTTTTGCTTGGAACCAAATGAAGAACTTAGACATTTAGATGTGGGTAAAGGCTCTTTTGGGCCAGTTTCCACTCCCAAAACTATTGTCAGATTGGAAGAAGGTATATCTGAGGAGACAATTCAAGAGTTGCAGAAAATGGGCCACTTGGTAGATAGAGTATCTGGTTATGCTCGTGAAGTTTTTGGCAGAGCACAATGTATTCAGAATATCGGAAAGGATGGCCAGGTTGTGTGGGCTGGTGGGTCTGATCAACGAGGAGATGGAGCCGCTATTCCTCAGCTTTAGTTCTTATAATATTTTATATTTCTCATTTTTAGTGTATGCAACCTTCTGTTGTCTTTCTACGACATCGTTTGATGAATTTTTTTTGAGTATTTCTCCTTGGGCCTGGTGGAGTACCAAATTTCTCGTTGTGGTAGCTACCGCACTTCTGAAAATCAACCATCTCTGCAATTTCGGGCTTAAAAAAATGTAAACCTCACTTTTATTTTTTCAAAATCAACTATCTACCTAAAATCCTTGATTTTTTCTAGTAGTATGGTGCTGGGAGGTGATTTCGATTTTTAGTGTTGGAATGTACGTTTTTGCAAGATGTTGTCTCCACTGTAAGAATGTGAGAACTGGAAAGTTTGGTCAAGAAACTAGATACAATAAAGCGTTCGAATCTACAAATACAAATATATTCTAAGCTAAACTGCATTGCTAGTCCAAACTAATTGAAACTAAACCGTGTATCTTGTTGGTGATTATCACCTTATTGTTGTAATCAACCCTAAAAAAAAAGTACCGGTACTGATGAATGCTTTCTTCATCGGAGGCAACTCGCATTAGCAAACAAATTGTATGATCACCAGTTCAAACGTGGTTAGAAGTATCTACATTATAGCTAATTATTTGAGATAAAAGAAATTGCTATTATCTACTAGATCATGGATAGAATATTTTAGGTTACACCTTGCTCCTGAAATCACGTAGAAGTGACATCTCTTTTAATTTTGATCATATTGAAAAAATTTCCTGATAGGGTAAGGTGCTGAGCCACTGATTAGGTAGCGCAAAAACTTCCAAATCAGGAAATCAGCATGCATGTCCTTGAGTTCTCTGTCAATCCTACACCAAAATCAAGTAATGGAAATAGAAGTTAGGAAACAGCCAAATGTTTTCAGTCAAGTAACTGTTTCCACCATAGTGAAACTCTTTTCGTTCTCGCAGAACTATCATGGGGTATCGCCAATGGACACTCTTAAAAAAATACTTGCCAGTATCGTTACAAGTTTTCTTGTCCAAATTCACAGGTAGTAGTTGTGTATAAGTTTGTTCAGTTCAGGTTGAAGATTTTCACTTTTCCACAAAAGGATATGCTCTGTTCATTCACCACACCACCAGTGTGCTCATGGCAAAACTTCACTTAATTGAGCTTTCATTTTCCAACCCGAAGTCGTTGTTCAGGTTTTCCTATTTAGGAAGTGCTGAAACTTTGGCTTTGTATCAGTGTCAACTTTTGCTGACTTAAAACAATGCAGTAATCAAACCGAGAATATCAACTTTACCAGTGAAAATGGCAATAACCAAGTTGATAACGTATCTGGTGTAAGTGGAGTTGCCGACGATCTGGCCAACCACAGACAAGGCAACACCCGAACTGAGAAGGGCACTGAGCAAACTCAGCAAGGAAATGTAATTATTGGTGACGAGGTACTTGACCAACTTGACATCGAAGTCATAGAAGCCAGAGTCAACGATAGCGTTGTAGGCCACATTAACACCAAGACCGGACTTATCCAAAGATTCACAAATATCGAGCATAGTGCCGTTGGAACCAAGGAGAGAAATGATATTCTGGTAGAAAATGTCGAGCAAGTCACGCTTGACGATCTCAAACTCTTCGTCAGTAAATTCCTCATCACGCTTCTGGATCTTTTCCAAGACTTCATCAACAGGGAATCCACTCTCACGCAAGAGTTGGAGTAAGTCAACGTTGGAAAGGAGATTCTCAAGCTCACCTCTTTTGTTAATACCGAAGAGACCAGTGATGCCATTGATGAGGCCTGAGAGGCCACCACCAGAAGTTGCAGTGGTGGTGGCAGCACCAGCAGCAGTAGTAGTAGTGGCTGCAGCACCAGCACCAGCAGCAGGAGTAGTAGTGGCTGCAGCAGCACCAGCACCAGCAGGAGTAGTAGTGGCTGCAGCACCAGCACCAGCAGCAGGAGTAGTAGTGGCTGCAGCACCAGCAGCAGGAGTAGTTGCAGCAGTACCAGCGACAGCACCAGCAGTATCAGCGACAGCAGTATCAGCAACAGCAGTATCAGCAATAGCATTACCAGCACCGGCGGTGGAAGAGGCAGCCAAGGCAGCAGCACTATTGGGAGAATCGAACAAATTGAGAAGGTTGGAAAGGCCGCCAGAATTGCTGGTGGGGCTGGATGAAGCGACATTGGAAGTGGTGCCTGAAGAAGAAGAGCTGGAAGAAGAGCCCAATCCAAAAATCGAACCAATTCCTCCAAGAAGATTTCCAAGAAGGCCACCTCCCGAGGAACCGGAGTTAGAGCTGGAGCTGGAGCCGGAGCCGGAGCCAGTGTTAGTGCCAGAACTTGAGCCATTAGAGGAGCCCGTCAACCCACTAAGAGTGGATGAAGAAGAACTTGTTCCCTTGTACTTCTTGACAACCGCAGTCAAGCCTGGGTACACCTCGTAGTGGGTCAAGAAAAGAAGAACAATATCGATAGCCAACCCAGAATCGTCGGCCACCTTTAAGATGGTACTCAAGCCTTTCTCTTGGATCAAGTTAGCCACAAATTTAATAATTTGCTGTTGTGTTAATGGCACCTGAGTGGCACCCTTGATCAAGTTGATACCAGCAGTGTTGTTCATGGTCTTGAAAAGCTGAGTCAACAAAACATTCTCTCTCTTGTCCATTTCATAATATTGGGGCGTGGTGGCTAGTTCATCACGGGCATCAAGCTGCGGATTCACAGCAGTCATACCTACCCCAACTGGTAAAGCAGCAGTGAATGTGAACAACGAGAAAAGAAAAAGTAGGGGCAAGTTTAAAAGCTTCATGGTTGCAAAATCAAGAGTAAACGAGTTGAGAGAAAAAGAAGCGAGGAAAGCAGCAATCTTGCCATGCTCGACCTTTTTATATATATCAGGGTTACTGTTATCCAGCCGCTTGTTTCAGCTGAAAACCCTGGAAATCATCTTTCGCTACAAAATAGGCAAAGTTGGTTACAACTGTTTACCCAAATAGGAAGTATTTGTTCCCATCAGTAGTTCCTACACAAGCGTTCTTGATTACGAGATTCTGTACAGGCTTCAACTTTTCAACTCAAAATATAAAGTGGATAATATGATTAGGTTGGGTAATTAAAATCAAAAAAAAAAAGGAAAATGGATGAAAAGAGAAGAAAATTTGATATGGAAATCGGAATATTGTTTGTAAATGCTTTGTGATGTCTATGTTTAACATCCATTTCTTTTTGGTAATTTCCAAATGCGGAGTACTGGAGCAAAGTGAGGTGGTCTATTGTTACAAAATTAATGACAGGAAAGGAAATTTTCACAAAGTCCATGCGACCCGGGGTAATCTTATCATCTGGAGGCTGATGTCCACAAGGGGAAAATGATGCAAGCTCCACTACTTCTTTTTGACGTTTAGTGTACGTCAGATATGGTTAACACAGCAACTAAGAATTAGACGGAAGGAACTGTAATGAAATATGAAGGTGAAAACCTTCAAGCAGACAAGATACCCATTGAAGAGACTACATGATTTGCCAAAGCAGCCCATGGGATCTGCCCAAGGGGAGCTATCGGGCATTATTAGATAATAACATCGTAGTACACATATTCGGCATAAGTGCTTTCTAGGCAGCGAACCTTTGCATGAAAAGAAGCCAAAGAAACAATACATTTCCCCAGGAAGAGTGCCAGGAAACGACTTCTGCCGGCTTTGCCGCATTACCCAAATGATGCTGGATTTGGACTAATTGGCAGGAGTTGTCACGACCGTTAAAATGTTGAAATTCTAGTATTTACGATGACGACACCTTGAAGCAGTGGAAAAAGTATTCATCTCGTGTTGCATTCGTGCCCTAGTAGACTTGAAGATGTGTAATTGCAGAGGCGACTATTGGATTGATAATCAGTTGCTGTGTGATTTGCTTTGCTTCATATTGACCATCCTTGCTTGAGGTTACCAGAAAAGCATTGATAATATCTAAAAGCTAAATATGAGATTTGCTTGATTTATGAAGTTCTTCTTCTCATTCCCAAATTGATAGTACCAACCTTTCAATTGGTCTTGCTTGAAGCTCTGCTCGCTCATACTGATTTGAAGCATTTCTATCAGACATTTCCAATACCACCCGAAGAGGAGATCTCTCTGACGAGATCCTTCTGATGAGTAGATCCTTCTGACGAGTAGATCTTCTAATTGAGAAAATGAATTCTCAATAACAACATGTCTACAAAAGATAATTATTAGATTGTTAATATTCTGTTCATATATCAATGCAGACCTTTGGGTTACTTGAAAATAAACTCATCAGTAGCCAACTCTCCATAGGAAGCTTACGCCCATGCAAAGTATCATGTACTCTCACACCAGAAAGGCATTTATTGGGACAATGACTCCTTAAATTATCGTCTTCTCCGTAAACGCATTAATTTCATGTTTATTTCGTATTAAAACCGATGCATGAGACAATCGGCCTGGAATGTGTGGTAAATACCAGCATCCGCAAGGAATGTGATATCAGTGGATGATGTAAAGACTTACGATAATGGGTCAAAAAAGTTCTGCAACTTCGTGTTACGGAAAACTCTCATTCCCATGGTGGAACCGTTGACGAAATCGTAGCGTAAACGGGCATTGATGAAATCCTCATCCACGCGGTGCATTCTCCATTTAAAGAACACCGTGAACAGCGCGAGAGCGTAAAGCATTCCCGCAATTAAGTCAAGTCGCCAGTGGTGGTCCAAGTAGATGGTGGCCCACCATTGAAGCACGACAAAGAAGAACAAACCCAATTTGGCTATGGTCCAACGTGAGTAGTAAGCCACAAAGAAGAAGCACATGACGGCCATGGCCGAGTGTAAGGAGGGTAAGGCTCCAAACACAATGGGCGATTTGTGGAAACCCTGAGTGACCAAGTGGGTTCCAGTTCCGAAAGGTGCACGGATGAGCCCCGCAGCATAGCCTTCAGTGTCGTAAGAAGCAACACCATTGTCTCCATTCAAGGTGATGAACCATGGTGGAGCGTTGGGGAATAACAAGTGGGTGATGACACCGGCAATGTTCTGAGCACCCAATGCAAAGGAAAAGAGGCGAAGGGCTCCTGGGGCGTGGAACACGTAGAGCCAAATGGCAGTGAAGAGAGGCACACAGAAATGGCCAATCACATAGGAAAACCACGACACCATATCTTTGGGCACGGTGATGGGCTGGGACATCCAGTGGTCGAAGTTTAGGAGCCACCACGAGGATGCTAATAATGCAGGTGGTACCCAAACCCAGCAATTGTAGGGTCTGTAGCCACTGGGTGACGATATGCTTTGCAAGATCTTTTTGTTTATTGTGGCAGTGTTCTCGGAGACTTCAAACTGCGACATGGCAGGGATGAACTCCAAGGAGCCGATGCGTGGGTGGTCTTGGAAGTCTGCGGGAGCAGTAATATTCTCCTGGTAAAAGTCCTTGGGCGAGTCTTCAATGGATCCGTCCAAGGATGACATTTCAAAGTCGCTGTCGGCGGAGCATGACGACAATGGAGTGAACGAAGGTTTTTGCTGTGGCTGGTACCATCTCAAGTTGATCCACCAAGCAAATGCAGTGGTCAAGGCCAAGGTGAGTAAACACCCCAACGGCGACTTGGTGACGCTGAACATAAAGGTGTCCAAATGGTGAGCCAAGGCAACATGGATGGGGGGCCGGATGTTTTTGGGAATGAGACCGGCATTCTTAAAGATCAATAACCACACAAATACAGGTGAGAAGTTGATTGCGAAGTTGAGCGGTAATGTTAAAACATTTCTGTCGTTAAGTCCCGACCAAAAGATCCGAGACAAGAGGTGGTAAAGAAACACCAAAGGTGCCAACAATGCAGCCATTAGTCTCCGAGGTGATGGCGCCATGGCAGAGCAAAAATGGGCAAAGCGACAATCAACGAGGAAGAAAAGGAAGCGAGATGGATGGCAGGAAGAAAAGGAAAAAAAAAATAATTCGATATGGGTCACTGATAAAGAGGCAATAGAGAAAAAAAAATATGCATCACTTGGTGCATCATTCTAGGAAACAAGGCGTGTGGACAAAGATTGAATGCAGACACTGGCGGAAAGGTGCGTTGAGAGCTATTTATCTAACTCATCTATTTACCATGAAGACGAAGCGGCGGTTTACGGAAAAATAGAAATTAAGACAATGGGTTAAGAATCCACATTTGGAGGTCAGAAAAGGTGATTAGAGCTTGAAGACACGAGAGGAAATTTGTCGTTTGTGGTTCTTGGAGCACTTACGTCAAAACTACCAGCTGCAGGACAAGATAGGGGAAGATGTTAGAAAGGAGCGGTCATTGAGGAGTGGGCAACATGTATTTGGCTTTGTTAGGTCGAATAAATGGTACCAATGACTGGAAGCGCATCAAGAAAATGTCTGGGATTGAAGTAGACGAGAGCAAAAAGGTGAAAAACATATAAGTATGAAACGTTTGGGGGACAAGTGATGAGAAGGGCCGCGGGGAATCGCGGAGTTAGTGCGGGAAAAACAAAAGGCACGGAAATTTGAAAATTTCAACAGGCATGAGCACAGATGTTCCTCGATGATCTAATTGCAGGCGAAAATAAAAATCGATTGAAAAAAAAACAGAATTGGTCTGGCAGCGATGCAACTGGATTGATGAATTGATGAATTGTCGGGTAAAGCATAACAAATTACTTCGCTCGCAGATGAAGTTGCCCGGTGCATTAGAAATAGAGCACAAGCAAACAGCCGTACACCAAAGAGTAAGTATAAGACCCGTACATCAATCGTGACGATGAAGATCCCTACCCCTCGCACGTGTACCTGTTCCATCTGCAAAATTGAAGATTCCACGACTACTGTCCGAAGCACGTGACATGAAGAGAAACATCCATACACCATTGAATTTAGCATAAGATCCGTACATCAGATGCCACACACACCCGTACATTCCAGCAAAAAACCCTCACCCAAAAACTCCCGGGGTAACCCTCCCTACATGCACACCATCACACCATGGACCCTGATGCTCCCGGGAAAACACTCTTCATCTCGTACCCAACACCCTATTCTTCCCGGGATACCCCAGACTTCCCCACAAGAGTGAGAATTCTTCAACTCTTCATCAACTCCGGCTCTTCTCCCTACTCCTCAAGCCCGATGACAAAGCGGCTATCCGCCCAGGAGAAGAAAGACAGAAAACCAGCCCTGCGGGCCTGCACCTTCTGTCACTCCAAGCACCTTCAATGCTCCAACACAAGACCTTGCCAGAATTGTATCAAAAGAAACATCGCTCATGAATGCAAAGACGTGGTTCGCAAACGTGCAAAGTACATGGCCCCTGTGGATTCAGATGGTGCCTCAGAGACCCCGGCGGTCTCGGATCAGTCGTTTTTTGAGCCCATGATCCCGAAGGACCTGATGGTGCCTGCCCACCACAATCAACATCACACCCAACATTCAGCATACAGACTCAGCCCGAAGTTGGAGCACTCCAACTCCATTAACACGTTCCACGACCACGCACACGACTCGCCTAACTCTACGCCGTCAACCAACACCACCAACTTCAACTCCAACTTCCTCAACCAGGAATACATGATGCTCGGCGACCTCATCTCCAAACCTTCATCTCCGCTGTCTTTTGATGTCACCACTGCACCTCCACCACTTGTGTCGCCCAGTTTTCTCTCGGAAATCGAAACGGAAAACAGAACGCGTCCGTTCATCTCGCTTGGCGATGTCAAAGACGATGAATCTCGCTCGCAGGAATTGAACTTCGAGATGCCGCTGCTGGACAAACCCCAGTACGTGTCGCCGTTGATTTCCCACCACATCTACCAAACGGTTCAAGATATCTATTCCAACAAGGTCATCAACTTTGACTACCCGCTGTCGTACCATTCGTTGACGCATTTTCTTAAGTCTCGGTTTTCGTTTCTGAACTCCGAATTGAGTGCAGAGGAGAGGGCCAAAAAACGCAGCAACCTTCTCATAATCTTAAAGTTGATTGCATCGTACCGACCAACTTTCATTTCCGCCCACAAATCGCTTTTCCAACCGTTCGACTTCCAATTTTTGGAGATGTCGTTTCAGAGATGTCTACTTGACTATGAAAATCTTTCACGGTTGAATGCATCACCTACCATCATCTGGCGCCGTACAGGCGAGATCGTGTCCATGTCTAACGACTTGGTTAACATTCTTGGCTTGAGCATCTCCGACATTCTTTCCAAAAGGACCTTCATCATGGAGCTTATGTATGACGACGAGTCCATTGTCGAGTACTTCCGACTCTTTAAGTCAGTAGCAGTGGGCAACTTGCATCTGACTATTAATACGCGATGTAAACTCATCAAAAGATCTACAGCAGATACTCGCAACATTGCAAACACCAACACCCAATTACAAGATTGTGATTTTATTGAGTTTTGTTGTGTGTGGACAGTCAAGCGAGACTTGTTTGATTTACCTATGGTGATAGTGGGGCAATTTCTTCCGGTGCTCCCCACTCGCGACGGGATGCGGACGTATTAGTGACGGGCACAGTAGCTGCACACGTAATAATTATTTATTGGTATTAGGAATACTTTGTAGATTTCGCAGCCATTGGAGATGAAAGTGGTTCGACTGGCTACAGTTGGCCCACCACTTATGTACAGGACAATAAGGAAAGTAACATAATGAACGGGGAGGAGAGAGCCACGAGAAAAAGGATTAAAAAAGTTCTAAAGAAGAGAAAAAAAAGGAGCAAAAGGTAATGAAACATATTCCCAACGATCTACCAAAGAAAGGGAAAACCTAAAAAAATCGGACTTGAAAGGTTTTTTTTTCAATGGTTGAATCCTCGCAAAACTTCAATCATGTATCGAATCATTTTGGAAGTGGTAAGATTCAACCTGGTGGAGTGATTTCATCCCCTACGCCTTATTGTTGACAGAGGAAACTCCACTATAAAACGGGGACAATCTGCCATATGTCTCGCCACTATATCTCATCACACATCACACAAATCTTAAAATATTCAAAATGAACCCTAAAGTTGTTCTCGTTGCTGGCGGCGCTGCTTACACTGCAGGTGCAGTCTGGATGTTCACCAACTACTACAGACGTTCTTCATTCAAGCAGATTTTCGTCAAGACGGATGCTGCATATGAAAACGTCAAGCTTATGCACCACCCATAATCATAACGTATTATATAATGATAATGAACACAATTGAGAGCAAGAATGTAGAAAGTAAAAGGTTGAATGTTGAAGATAAAATGGAGAAGACACTAAAGTGTAGAGAATTTGAAGGTGATTGGAAGAAGAAAAGTCTTAAGAACGGATGGTATCGTCTGGTTTAAGATCTGATTTCACATTGAATTCAATAAGAATCCGGAGAAAGAACTAATACGGAAGAGAGGCTTCTCAACAGAAGGTAACTCTGGCCAGGCTTTGAAACTGAAGATGGATCGAGAATTGAAAAAGTTGGATTAAGAATGAAAATCTTAAGATAGAAAACACTCACAGTATAGGAGAAGACATTAATCATGAAGAGGAAGACGAGGTCATATCGTGTTGTAAAAGTCTAGCGAGGTGAGAAGTCAAATGATTCGGAAATTTTTGCGAAATTGCGTAATTCAGACTATCTATCAAGTTATCTGAAGATGTGTTTCATCTCGCATTTTCTTTCTTTTTTCATTATTTTTTCGTTCAGATTTGCCTTTAGACTTTGTACAGTGCTAACTTCATGTCCGATATATTTCTATACCAGGGCTGATAGTGGTGGAACCGATTGTTTGAGAGGTTCCCAACTGTACAATAGGAAACATAGTGTTGAGTGTATTTCACGAATGTGATGAAGTGAAATATGCGGGGAAATACGACGGTCCAATCTGTCCACCTTCAAAACGCAGAACGTCAAAAACACTCAACGTATAAAGCCAGACATCGGCGTTCACAATTTCTCTGTTCAATATCCGCTCTAAAGACTTGAAATACCAAATTCAATCCTTCAGGATTATATGGACTGAATTTTGGCAACAGTGGATAGACCGTAGAAGATTAGCAACCTTTTTTTCGGATATCCGCAATAGGTGAAACATCTACATTAAACTTCCAGATTAGGTTCCCGAGATACAACAAATACATCGAGATCCATGGAAAAAAAAAGAAACATGTAAAAGCACCCCAGAACAAACTTAGCGTAGCCGGTAACGCTTACTTCAGTTGGGTTCTCCTTTGGGAAAATTACCTACAGCGATCCTCAGACCTGGTATTGGGTAGCAGAATAGCCGAGAAAGACGAGCCCGACTGGCACATGATAGACGAGCAAATGATGCGATTTCCCACCAGTGACGAATTTACAAGCGTGTGAAAGAAGTTAAAATCCAAGTCACGAGTATAAGAGACACGTCCAGAAGAACTATATAAAAAAAATGGAACGAGGTGGAGAAAATGAAATGAGAGATAATTAACCTGTGAAAAACACCAAATCTAATCCCATGCCAAATTTAGCATTCGACCAGTCCAGACAAAACCCCTCAATATACAATGCGGTCCCCAGAACCCCAAAAACTTATTCTCTTTCCACCTTCATAACTCCGTCGTTCCTCTCGCTTACGACACTATCCATTTCCCGTGTCTTGTCGCTAATCCTGCAGTGGCCCTTCTCAGTGCCATTCGTGCAAGTGGACCAAAACGAGCATGTCGAGAATGTGTCGAGCATGAGGTGGGAATGCGTAAGTGAGGTGGGAATGTGTAGGTGGGACCTCCCAACAGACATCAGGTGGTCAAACCTATGCCAAGCAAGGCCAACCTTTTTTCAGAAATCATTTTTTTGCGAGAAAGTCCATATTTCGGAATTACAAACGGTGGCTGATCCCACACCAAAATGTGCCAATTTCCCCATGCGGACGCGGGCTTCCGCCAAAAGCCCCGAAAGGCTCTGCACATATAGAGCAATGCGGCGGGGCACCACATTAATAGCCAATTAGAATCAGGGCCACCAATGTCTCCCAGAAAGGAATCACTCCAAACAACAGTACATGAGCGAAAAAAAAAAAAAAAATTAAAGAAAATTAGTCCCATCTTGACCGGCAACGATTAGATGTGTGGGGGGCTGCGACCTGTGAAGTATGATGGCATCTCGGAGCCTTGCAACCACAGTTTTCAAATTCGGTGACAAATTAGGCATTTATCTCATGAGTTTCTTTTGCGCCAACCGACTTACGTACACAGGATGGAGCCAGTTCATCTTTCTACCATGGGTCTGGCCTTTTGATCTAATTTTTACCCAATATGGCCAACGCCCCCCACAAAGTGATAATACTATGAAGCATTCTCTATTCATTCAACTGGGGGAGTTTTAGTGTCGTTGCACACAGCGACCGTCAGTAAGTGGTTAGACTTGACAGGGCAGTGGCTGCAGCCGCGCGTTGAGTACCGGTGCGCCATGCATGATTTTTCTCTTCTACACTTTGCGATCGGCCATCCCGCCTTATATAGGGAGGAAATCTTGCTATCGCTAAACTGCCATCTCTTTTTGCACTCAGAGTTCTCCGAACAAATCAGATCATGGGCGAAAAATTCGAAGCTGAGAATCTCGCCAACAACAACGTCGACAACTCCTCCGACTACTCGGGTTCCAGACGCCTGGAGTCGTCGTATTCGTCATATGAAACTTATGAGGAGGAAAAGAATCCTGTCAAGCGTTTCATCAACAGCTTCAAGCCCATCAACTTGGAGGATGACGGAATTGACACCTCCAACATGACCGACATGGAAAAGTCTGTGTATGCTACCGCCAGACACCCCTTGGCTAGAAGATTGAAGAGCAGACACTTGCAGATGATTGCCATTGGTGGTTCCATCGGTACTGGTCTTTTCGTGGGAAGTGGTTACGCCTTGTCGCAGGGTGGTCCCGCTGGTGTGCTTATCTCCTACCTTTTGGTGGGTTACTCCTTGTACTGTGTGGTGATGGCCTTGGGTGAGATGTCTGTTCAATTCCCAGTGTCTGGTTCTTTCAACGCCTTCTTTTCTCGTTTCGTCGACCCATCATGGGGTTTCACCTTGGGTTTGTTGTACTCTTTGTCTTGGTTGATTTCGTTCCCCTCCGAATTGGTGGCATGTTCCCTCACTGTTGAGTATTGGATTGACACAGTCAACCCTGCGGTTTGGGTGGCTGTTTTCTACATCATTATTGTCTCCATCAATATGTTCGGTGTCAAGGGTTACGGTGAGGTGGAGTTTGTCCTTTCCATCATCAAAGTCGTCGCCGTTATCGGTTTCATTATTCTCTCCATTTGTATCATTGGAGGTGTAGGTAAGCAAGGTTACGTGGGTGGCCGCTACTGGCACAACCCCGGTGCGTTCAACCACGGATTCAAGGGTGTGTGCTCGTGCTTTATTTCTGCCGCTTTCTCCTTCGGAGGTGTGGAACTTGTGGCTTTGGCTGCTTCCGAAACCGCTAACCCAAGAAAGTCTTTACCAAGAGCTACCAAGCAGGTTTTCTGGAGAATCACCATCTTCTACGTGCTTACTGCTATTGTGATCGGTTGCTTGGTGCCTTACACTGACGACAGATTGCTTAATGGTACTTCTTCTGAGGATATCACCTCGTCTCCTTTCGTTATTGCTATTAACAATGGTGGTATCAAGGTCCTTCCTGATATCATGAATGCCGTTATCTTGGTGGCAGTTGTCTCCGTCGGTAACTCCTCCGTTTACGGTTGCTCGCGTTCTTTGGCTTCTTTGGCTGTCCAAGGCTTGCTCCCAAGATGGATCGGTTACATTGACAGAGCTGGTAGACCTTTGGCTGCCATTATGGTCACCAACGCCTTCGGTTTGTTGGGATTCTTGGCTACTGACAGAGACAACCAGTCAGTTGTGTTCACCTGGTTCTTCTCCATCTGTTCCTTGGCTGCTTTCTTCACCTGGATTGCTATTTGCTTCACTCACGTTAGATTTAGAAGAGCTTTGTCTGCTCAGGGTAGATCGAACGACGAGATTATCTTTGAGTCTCCTTTGGGTATCTATGGATCCATTTCGGGTATGGTGATTTTAGTTTTGATTGTCATTGGATTGATTTGGGTGTCCATCTGGCCAATTTGGGCTGAAGGTGCTGCCTCCAACGTGAACTTTTGGCAGAACTGTCTTTCTTTACCTCTTATAGTGATTTTGTGGCTCGGCTACAAGATCTACACCAAGACCTTGGGAACCTGGATGGTCAAGTTGGCAGATATCGACCTTGACACCGGTAGAAGAGAGATGGACCTTGAGACCTTGAAACAGGAGATCGCCGAAGAGAAAGCTAACATCGCTTCTCGTCCAATTTGGTACCGTGTATACAGATTCTGGTGTTGATTTCTTGGTGTGTATTATATTTAAAGTTTAATTCGTGATTCGTTCAATGTGGTGTAGATGAATCTCCCTCCACTGGTGGTGCCAGAGCACTTGATACTGAAGTTCCTTGTCCGTTCGTAGCACCACCAGCAGTCTCACTACCTGCTCCGTTAGTTGTGGAAGCTCCGCTAGCAAGCCATGCTTGGTCGACTGGGGGAGATTCTCCGTTTCGAATGGCAGCCAACAAGATGTCCTTCTGCTCCTGAGGAAGCTGCACGGTTCCACCCTTCGTGTAATTATACAATGGACAAGACTTTTTTGTTCTGATGTGTCCAAATGCACCACATGATTTACATCTTCTGTTGGTACTTTTTCCTTTTCCGATACCTTTACCTCCAAATGCTAAGGATCCGTCTGGCAACATCACAGTATTTGCATCGATGATGGTACCTCCAGCTGCAGCCGCCAAATGTAATGGATCCTTGTGGGGTTTACGGCCCTTACTAAGCTTTGCTCTCTTTTGTAAGTTTGCAATCTTCTCTTCCAATGCTTTACGACGAATCTTGTTCATCTCTGCATCATTCGTCGGAATAATGTCGTTGACATCTGCCATCGACATCTTGTCACCTTCGATCTGCTTCTTTCTCTTGATGTATGCCTTAATAAGACGTGGATCCGAAACATATTCCACCCTACGCTGGACCACATCATTCTCGTCTCTAACGAGACGCGTAATCTTCAAAATATTCTGTTTTGCAGTTGCTTGTCCATGTTTTTGGATGTTTTCTTGCTTCTCCTTCTCAAATTTATTCTTGAAGAATTCCGTATGATCAATTGGTTGATACTCCTTATACACATCATCCAAGGTGTGTCCCTCTCTATTGTCAACCGTTAATGAACTTCTCTGGGCATACCAAATACGAGAGATCTCATTCTCGTAGAGTCTCTGCTGGTATGATGCCGTAGTATTCTTTGGAACAGTATCTTTTGGTGGTGGAATGAGAGGGCGGAAGCCATGCTTCTGAGTAGCCCTCAAAAGTGAGAATCCAAGTCCAATACCCGAAGGATCTCCCTCTCCGTTCAATTGCAACATTGCCTTTGTTTGGTTGGATGTGATGAAACTTCTTGAAGAGCTCCATGGCGCAAGACCTTCATCAATGGTCTCTTCCATATCAATATCCTTATCTCTTCTTTTACGCTCTCCGTCCTTTGCCTTTTCTTTTTCATCTTCCTCCTCCTTCTCTTTCTCCTTTTCTTTCTTCTCTCTCTTAATCTCAATCTTACGAGAGTCATCATTATAAAGTGAATCGATATCGTCCATGACTTGTTGACCATGTTGCATACTATCCAACAAAGCGACATCTTCCGGAGAGATCATCGCTTTGATCTCTTCTTCGGTAGGTACTGAGTCACTATTACGGATCTTCCAGAAACCCTGGTCCTCACCTTGTCTCTGATACTCCATAAATTCTTTCAATCTTTGACGATTCTGCATGTCATTCTGATCAGGGAAATGCAGAGAAATATCTTTCACAGATAACCTGGCTGTTCCGTTCTTGTTCATGGTTCTGAAAACAATCATCTTCAACCTATTCTTGGAGGTGTTAGTGACCTTTCTAGAGTGCGGAGCAGGTACCTCCACAGCTGGGAAAATATTACCTACTGCAAACAAGTGGTCAATGGGTCTCAAGTAATACCTTTGGTGATTACCACAGCCTTGAGATCGAATAAGGAGAAAATCTGTGGATTTTGCCTCATGCTTGAAGATAGGTGCTCTGATCATGTTGTTGTAGAGTGTGGGCACAAAATCACCTTTAGCAACATGTCCAAAATTCCAAAATGGAGAGCGATCTTCAACACCCAAAACATGCGTTTCTCCGAGAGGGGCTTTGGGGCGGGAGTTATCGTCCTCCTTTTCTTTTCTGTAATAGTTGATCAATTTACTTCCCATGCCGAAGTTGGACAAAATACCAGGAGCTTCCTCAGAATATTCCATAGCAATAATTGTTCCAGTGTCTGCCACCGTCAAGTCCGATGTACGACTGAAGATTTCCTGTGGAGTCTTGCCACGGTCCTTCTTCTTTTTTCTCACTTTAAGACTCGAGAAGCATATTAATGAACCTTGACGAACCTGGAACTTCGCTCTGTGAAATGCACGCGCCTCGTCCTTGGTGAGTCTGATCTTGTAGTATGGAGTCTGAAGCCGTAACGATGGGATGGAGTGTTCGATGTTCAAATTACTCAACTGACTTCTCACTTTTGTGTTGTAGTTGTTCTTCAAGATATCGTAATTCTTATCGTTGGAGATGTTGAACTTCAAATTGAGAAGCTTCTGGTCAGTTGGGACAACTGCCTTCGATTTGGCACCATCAAGTCGCTTATCGGGCACAAAAAGCAAGTTGGGGTCGTTCATGTTCAACTCAAACGTCTCTGTAGAGAGCTGGCCGTCGAAGATGTTTTCGTCATCGTAATTGACTTCGTCATTATCGAATTCGTCGCTGATCTTCGGTTTGGCATCTCCGTTGTGCAGATCCAAGTCGGAATTGCCGGCATTGAGTACGTCGTCGTCATCCCAGTCTGCCGTTGCCAAGATCAAATCCTTACTGAAGTCCCCAAACTTATCATTTTCCACAGTGTCCTGTTTTATGAATGGCAATACCCGCAAGTTGACCGCTTCTTCGTCATGTGCCTGGATCTCTTCAATGAAGTCCAAATCCTTTTGCAGAATGTGGCGGATACCTTGCAGACTGGCGGTGTCTGCCAATGCATTACGCTTGGATTTAAATGCTTTCTTCTCATCTGGTTGTACCTCCAACGAGAGCTTTAGAGGCACCAAAGGCTTGATATTCATCTTGAATGCTAATGGGGGCCGTTTCCAAGCATAATACATGGGCTCTGAAAGCACCATCATGTGGTAATTAAATGGTTGGTCTCTCTTGTAGGTGGGATAGTACTTCTCCACCATACGAGCCTTGTGTCGCAGCTCCATATCCTGAACCAACCGCTGCAACTTGAGCTTCTTTGCTGCTAGCTGCTCTGGCGATTTGCGCTTTCGGCTCCTGTGTTTGGTGGCAAGTTCTCCCAAGGTTCCATTACTGCCAGCTTCAGCACGCTCTTCTTCAAAACCCAATCCCAAGTCGTTGAGACCATCATCGTCAAAAGCAGGCTGTCCATGAAGATCGAGCAAAATATCTACGCCGCCATGCTCGCTCAAAGACCCGTGTTCCATGTGATCCATGCCATTTTCGTCTTGGGGCATATCATCGTCGCCAAAAAGTGCATCAAACTCATCGTTGGCACCATTTTGGAGGGCTTGCTCATCTTCAGCCGTTGGAGATGCATTCTCAGGCTCTTCCAATGGGGGCAAGTCGTCTTCATCGGCTAATTCGTCGATATCTTCATAATCCACAGCATCATCTGCGTGTTTGGTTGTTTTCTCCGTGAAAATGTCGTCAATCACCTTGTCGTCAGGGACATCAACATTTCCTGTTAGTAGATTGGAGTAGAAGTCATCACCACCGTTATCGGTGTTTTTTCGACCCTTGGCAGCCACCATGATGTTTTATGATGGAGTGGTAGTTGGTAAGAATATATGTGGTGGTCAAGGAGGTACGGGTGCAAGGTTCGACGCTGGTTTGGGATACAATAGTTGGAGATGAAAGTTGTGAAGATTACGGTTTTGTTTATGGAATTTCGAAGATAAGTGGTAATTTTTAAATGGCTGGTTCTATGTTTTACTCTCATGTTTATTACAATCGCCGATAGAGATGTTTTTGAGGAAGATGAGAGCACATTTACAAATAGTTAGAGAAGTAAGTAATATCTTACTTATTCTTAAGAGAAGAAGAAGAAAATATTTGAAGGTTGTGAAAATCGGTAATTATTTGACGATTTTGTGCAATTGTGTTACTGGTTGTGGACATTCTGAATGGCTATTGAATAGGGCTGCTTTAAGTACAATTTGACCAATTTGACATAATGTCGTAGTCTTTCGGCCATATTCACTAAACTACCATTAATATTTTAAAAAAGCATTCACTTAAGAAAAAAGAAAAAAAAAACAATAACAGCAACTAACCAATCAAATCTCTATTTTGAATGTAACATTGAGACTTGGTGGCTGCGAATACTCATAGTGCCTTAAAAGGCACCATTACAATATTCAAAAAATTACTTCAAGTAAAAAGCTACTACTACAACTACAACAACAATATTCATAACCAAATTTGTATTGGTCAAAACTCGTGATCAATTAAAACAATCCGAGGAGCAATGTTCAGAGTTCCTCACCATAGCTAAAATTACCAGAGGGCCTTCACCTCACTTCCTACACCTTACCTTACTCCAACCATCTACACCATCCACAAACTTCCATCTACATGCCTCACGTGTACCTCCTCATAGCGTGCCTGAACCAGCCAGTGCTCTCCACCACTATCAAATACATTTCCGCCCATAATGTCTATATCATTGGACGTGCGCCGCTCTTTCTCTCATACATTGAAACCATCCTTCACAATCATGCGTCTGACTCAATATCGGCGCTCTTAGTCTATGATGACATCAATGTGTTGCTCGACGTGCTTAAAGTGCTCCATAAAGGCAGCTCTGAGGGCAACGTAAACATCCACATGCAGAAATACCTCAAGGATTACAAGAACGAGATGGCCCGAGTGACCGCCACATCTCATCCTGATGCAACAGTGCCACAGGGTCATGACGATGTTCCTTTGGGACTTGACATCTGCATTGTACAGCAATGTGACTTGCTCGATGAGCTAGACCATCTTCTGCCTCAGAACGTGGCTTTACAACAGACTCTACGGTTTATGGCTTTGATACATGGAGCCACGTACGCTGCAGTATCTGGACTTGAGAGACTTGGCCACGATGGACCTCAATTGGTTGCACTAACCCAAGACCTTATTTCCAACGCCATTGAACCCGAAATGCGCGTCTACGACGTTGCTGGATCGACATGGAATGACGATGTGGTGATTCATCAGTTGACACCACCAGCATGGGACTCATGGAACAAAATCGAGCTTGCTGCCAGAACAATCCCTAAAAGTGAAGATACACAACACGATAGGGGTAAAATGCTTGACGGTAACGACGCTTTCTTTGGGTTATACCAAAGCTACTTGGATTACTTTGCTTCGACAGACAGCAACGAGAAGGAGGAGAAATTGAGAGCTATGTTGGTGGATTTGGTGTGTACAGACACAAAGAGAGCTGTTGAGGCTCCAATTGTGATGACCTATGAGGAAACAATCTCCAGACTTCGAGACGAATAAGATTGTATTAAAGGAGATTAACTATGAGAGCTTAACTCTGGTCGCTTAATTATGCACTATGACTGTTAACGTTTACCTGCATAAACCATCTCCCATCACTGTGGTGCACACAGTGGTCGACAATTCAACCCAGAGTATAATCTGGAATCTCCGGGCCATTGACTTGTTAAATTCTTGAAAAAAATACTCGAAATGGAGTCAAAGGACCGCAATGAACACGACGAGCATCTTTCGCAAACAACTGCGCGACTCTCTATATCCATCAAGGAGGAAGGTGTCCTTTCGCAAGTTCGAGAATTTCTCCAGGACCAAAAGCTTCAACGGCGAGATTCGGCAGTGTCAATCACATCGTTGGAGGAGAATGACATCAGAGACACTTCCGAGCAGCCCCAACTGTTAATATCCACGAAGAGACGCCGATCTAGCGTGCAGACAGTTCCTCCTCCTAGAAGAAAGAAGGCCAGAGAACACAAACGAAAAGCCCGGAAACAAAATGCTTCATTAACGATCGAACTTCAAGGTCCTAACAATAAAATTGTAACTCACTCAATCACACACTTGCGGGAGTTTTTGCTTGAGGCGTTGCAGCTCAAGAAGACATCTCCACGGCAGCTTCTAATGGTTACCAAGCCCATGGAGGTAACCAAGATAGTGGTTGCCATTGTTCCAGGGCTACTTCTATCTGATTTTGATACTATTCCATCAAGAGGAGCAGGAGGATCTGTAGAGCTCGAGCTGTTGGAGCCGGATGGAAAGCATAACGAGACACTTCCGTTTTTTCCAGCCAATTTTGAGTATCTACTTCCAACAACAATGGCTACCTCGCAGGATTCGATTTTTCCATGTCCACAGGCACTTGTAAGCTTCCCCGTGTCCAAGGCCGAGCGAAAGCGCCGTGCAGAGGAGCTGCGTGCAAAGAAAATTGTCTTGTATGACCTTCTTGTTACCATAGACCAGATGAGACTGAACAACTACCCTGTTCACAGCAGCTTGGATGAGAATTCGCATCTCGAAGATGGCTGGGTTGAAACTGGGGAGTTTGACCATGAGGGCTCGCATACTTTCGCTCTAGATTGTGAGTTTTGCCAGGCGAAATCTGGCCCTGTTCTCACTCGAGCCTCCATGGTGAATTTCCAGAACGAAGTGATTTACGACACTTTTGTGAAACCAGAGGAGGAGATCACGGACTATGTCACGCGATACTCAGGCATCACTGCTGAAGCACTCAAAGATGTAACCACCACTGCTAAAGACGTGCAGAAGAAGATCTTGGAACTTGTTTCTAGCTCAGACATTCTTATTGGCCATTCTCTTGAATCAGACCTTAACGTGATGAAAATAAGACACCCAAATATCATCGACACTGCGCTCATATATGACCATAATCAAGGTCCCCCACTGAAACCAGGTTTGAGATCGCTAGCGGCTCAACATCTCAACCGCAAGATTCAACAAGGCGAACAGACTGGTGAAGGTCACTCATCAGTTGAAGATCTGAGAGCTTGTCTCGATTTGGTCAAGATGAAGTTACTAAATGGCCCAGGTTTCGGAAAAGTCATTCGAGAAACCACGCTTTTCGAGAAACTATACGAACTGCTGCCTTCGAAAAGATCGGTCATCATAGACTTTTCTCCGGAAATTTATGGCCATGATCTTGGCGAAAGGGTCAACTTGGAAAAGTTCACAGTTGTTAACGACGATGAAGTGGTGGAAACACTAGAAAGAGAGCTCGAAAGCTCCACCCTTGCGTTCATTAGATTCAAAGAAATGGATTTCAATTCTGGAGTGGTGCAAGTTCCAAGCAGGTTTACCGGTAAGTTGTACTCCGAGCTCGATGAGAACAGGAAATCCGCCATCCTTACTGGTGAAAACAGAAATGATTGCTTGAAAAGTTTGAACAACCGTCTACAGAAGGTTTACGACCAACTTCCAGTGGGATGCGTATTTGTCGTGTGCAATGAAGGTGGCGATACCATGGAGTTGACTCAACTACAGGGGGTCAGAAAACGATTTAGACAACTTGAACGGAAGCAGGTAAAATTGAGTGATATTCCTCCGGAAGATTGCTGGGATTTTGACAAACAGACCGCACTTAAGAGGGCTTGTGTTGAGGCTTCTAATGGCTTCACATTTGCTACTGTTATCACCGATGATAATAGCGAGTAGGACCAGGGACCCGGAGTTCTCTGGCAGGCGATATGTATATAATATGGAAGTTGATACACACAGAGATAGTCAATACTTCTGCCCTTTTCTAACATCACCTTAAACCATTCAGTTCCTACTACTTCTAGTTCCAGATGCATTAGGCTCCTTGTATTTCCCCAGGCATTGAGCAATAACCTTTTTATAGCACGTCAAGCCATTCAACATCAAATATGCCATTAACTGTGGGATCCGCAATAGAATCATCTGGAAATCCCTTCATCTGGTGCATCAGCAGCCAGAATACATTGGCGAAGTCCAGAACACCATCTATGCCTGAACTTAGGGAGCTACCTGGCGTCGATGCTGCTTGCTCCAAATCTTCTCCATTTGCTTGAGGGTCCCATTTTGATTGAATACTTGCCTCGACCTCTTGTAGTATTTCCGAGACAAATGAATCGTAGTCAGCTAACATGTCAAGGGTCAACAACAAGTATACCTCCTTACCCCGACGATACTTCAAGAAAAAGTCTTCCCCATTTCGCAACGCCCGAAGACTTTCTTGAACAAAAACGCATTTCCAACTGTAGCAGTATCTTTTGCTGAGTCTGCGGTTACATTCCTCGATGATGCCAACGAATTTGGTCAATTTAAAATATATGTCGACCATCAAGGAATAGCGTGAAGCATATTGCACATCGTTATCGAGATTGTAACGATGCAGAGACAGTTTTTCACACTGCAACACAGAATACCTGGTCCTCATGAGAGCTGACAGCAATAGGATCATGCATCGATGTAAGGCAGCTTCCAAAACAGGAACGAAAGTGAGATGGGAAGTTTCAGCGAACCACACACTGCTATATTTAATAAAACGCTTTGCAATAATGACAACGTTTCTTGCAACGGCACCCATCAATTTCTTATAGTAAAAATACGACAAGTCGATATTTCCTTGCTTCTCATAGTATAGATACAACTGGAAGATAATACCAGTAGCACTTACCGCCGAATTCAAGAACCGTGTAGATTCGAAGACGGTTTCCACAGACAACGGGCCATCAATTTCGTGAATAGTGAGCTTCAAGGTCTTGAAGTACTTGTTCTCCCAATTTTGAATATCCGCACATAGGTCCTTCAACAACACTGGACTACGAATTGAGGTAACATGTTCCAAAACCGGAAGTATAGTATCATAAGACTGGCCCATCAGTAGAAAGTTTGATCGTAGTGATTTTTCTAGGGCAAAACTTTTGACGTTTTCTCCACCTAACACAAAGTGAGGCATATCAACATCGTATTGGTTGAACTGGATGGAAGTCGGAAATCCGTTAGCTGTGCTTCCAACAAATTCAAGATTGATAAGGCTGTACCAGAGCTTCCTCCTTAAGTTATTCATTTTCTTCTCTTCTATTGTGCTTTCCAAATGTGGCTCTCGATGTACACCAAGGCTCAAAGCCATTCGAATAAGTTGTGCAGTAATGCTCTGGTTACTTGGATCCTCAGGCGATTCTCCATATTCTGGAGCGAACATGAAGTAGACCCGTATGTACAAAACTAGTTGAAGCACAGCCAAATTGCATGTACGGAAGTAGTTTGACAGCTGAAGACACAAGTTGGCCACCTCAAGTGACTCAATAACCATAGGATTATCCAATAAGTACTCCCTCTCCGGCAGGGAATATTCGTGCTTTCTTGAAATACAAGGGAACATATTGAGATACCCCAAACGTAGCACTATGAGGATCTGACCGAGATATATCAAGTCCATTTGCTTTGTAATCTTCAATTGGGCAGGCGAGTGGTCATCTGCATGATGAATCAACCTGTGAACAGTATCTTCGAAGAAATCCTGGTCGATGAAAGGGAATACTGGATACACTTGATTGAAGTAAATTTCAAGGTATCTCCACATGGCCTGCCGTCGAGGAATCAAAAGACGTATCTTTTGTGTCAAGTCATTTTCTAACAGTATATCTACTGGACACACAGGAAAGCCTAAGAGACGGGCATTCTTGTTGAATGCGTCCAACTGACTGATCTGCAAACGCAGATCTCTGGACTGCTGTTTGAAAGGCTTGAACTCCAAATCCTCATTGACAATGGGATCCTGGGAGGAGGTTTTGAAAGCGGTGCCCGCAGGTCTGTTTGTTGGATCGCCATGCTTGGTGAGAACCTCGTCTTTCTTGAGCTGAATTACCGGCGCTAGGGCAGGATCACTTTTCAACATGGCCAACCAACTGAGTGGGCCGAAGTATCTAGCAGAGGTGGTACCAATCTGGTCAAGCAAGCCAAAGTTTTCCAGAAACGAGATATTGTCGGTGTCATGGTCATATGGCACAACTCCCCACGTCTTTTCGCTGAAATCTTGTAGTTGGTATTGCCACAAGGGGACGTTGGTTTTCGAAGACTCTTTTTCCAGCAAATACTTCTCCAACCGTTCAACCTTACTTCGAAGTGCCACTAACTCCGCCTCCATTGGGTCCGAAGGGTCCTTTGGTGACAACTGGGGAGGCTCATGCGGAATCAGATGATGATGGCCATTGCCTTCAACGGTCGATAATTCACGGAGCAGCGACCTCTTATAGTTGTCAGAGGTATCGATATCTTTATCGTCTTTTATAGTCGGAGTTTGATACGAACAATCGGAGTTACCATGAGTAACGCAAGACGAGCACGGCTGCTTCTTGTCGCACCGGATTTTGCGACGTTTGCAAAAGGTGCAAACCAACGTCAGTCTATTTCGTTTTCTGGCCAAATTGCCCATTTTTGGTGCTCAACAGTGGCTTCTTACGTAAGTTATTGATGATAACGGTTTTTGTAGACAGGAAGAGATGGTTTAGTCAGATTCTTGATGTAATGTGGAGAAGCTACTTGAAATCGTGTTGACAGGTTTTTTTTTTCGTTGGATCAATAAACAATAGCTTAAATCCAAGCCTGATTGCTTTTCACCTCTGAAAATTTTATTTAGTGTGGCAAAGGAAGAATTGACAGAAATTAGACCATGTGATGCGACTAATAATTTAGAGTTGTAGACTGGATAGTGGCATGGGTTGGCCTTTCCATCATATGTATATATATGTATCACTTCTGACGATCAAATCCAATGAACTCTCAAGAAATTTAGCTTTTATAATAGAAATTTTGGTATTTTAGAGATTTTGTGGCATGTCTGGACTCTCTTTGTGATGAGCCTGGGGTAAACGCTTTAGTTCGGGAGTGTCGGTGCGAAAAGTTAGAGATTATAAGATTGTTGAAGGTTCAGTGTGGGATAATGGGGGATATTGGGGACATTATGGGTTATATTATGGAAGAACATCATGGAGAGATCTTTGGTTTCTAGTTAAAAGCATGGTCGCTAATTTGTAGTGTGGTTATATGTTTAGGCAAGCTTCCAGATTCCAACCCATGTTATTTGCAGGACCCAAAAGCTCGGCCTTGTTCCCTGATCGGGTCTTATATCCGCTTGTCAATGACTTGATTGCTAATTGACATTTCGTAAGAGATGCTTGATTGAAGTTGGTAGTGACATATCCATAGAGGGCTGACAAATCGAGAAAACTCTTTGAATACAAATACCGAGGAAATCTTCTTCATTTAAATTTCAACACTTCACTAAACCCCCAGTAAGTAAATTGCTAATTCCAACCAGGTATCGTTGAATACGATTGGAAAACTATTGGCTGTGAACTTATTGAAGAACTTCGAATCATTCCATTGAAAATTACCAAAACTTCTCCATGTCAACCTTCAATTGGCAACCAAAAAGACTCGAGCACCTTGGTGCTCTCAAAGTCTTGATCGTTGGAGGCACAGGAGGCTTGGGACAGGCAATCGGCCAAAAATTAGCAGCGGGAGGTGCCAATGTTACTGTTGTAGGTCAAACATTCCGTGACAAGGATAATGCCAACATCAGCTTTGTCAAGGCTGACTTGAGCAGCATCAAAGACGCCCGTGAAACAGCCAGGAAATTGGATGTATCCAACACTGACGTGGTGCTATTCACAGCAGGTATTTTTGCTGCTCCCCAAAGACAAGAGACATCAGAGGGCTTGGAGAGAGATCTTGCCGTGAGTTTCTTGAACAGAAAGGTGATGATTGATGAAATTGTCCCTCGTTTGAAGACTGAAAGAAACGAGTTTGGATTCATTCCTCGTGTCTTCAACATGGCATACCCAGGAGACAACAAGTTGGGCAACATTGATGACCTTAATTCTGAGAAGAAGTATAGCACTATGAGTGCACATCTTACCACTGTTGCCGGTAATGAGGCCTTAGTTTATGACAGCGTGTTGGAATTTCCCAAGGTGCATTTCTATGGGTTGAATCCTGGTATTGTCAAGACCTCCATCAGGAACAATTTATTGGGTGAAAACTCGTGGAAATCAACCATTGTTGAAGGCATTTTGAGTTGGTTCACAAAAACCCCCGAGCAATACGCCACTGGTATTGCTCCCTTATTGATTGCTCCGGAGTTGGAGGAGCGTAACGGTAGCTGTTTTGACAATAAGGGCAAGTTGCTTCAACGGTCGAAAGGAATGACGGACGAGTACGCTAGGAATTTCATCAAAGCTGCTCAGGATTTGCTTGCAAGGAAAGGGTTGAACTAGGGCTTTAAGAGTTGCTTTTGTGTTCTTCTAAGAGTGAACCATGGAGTTGGACTTGAATTCGCCTGATTTTTGATCAAGATCATCCCTCAGTGTCTCATAATTGATATTATTTATCGTAAATGATTTGTAGTTACTTTTTGAACCATTTTGGCATCCGACTCAGCTTCTTTTTGCCATCTGTATTCACCACTGGCTTTGGAGCACTAACCTCGTCCATATCCAATTCTCCTCTATGAGTTTCCAATTGAAGGGTTGGCAACTCACTGGCATCCTTGGTGGCGATTCCCTCTTTCAAATAAGGGCCCTTAGAATTCTTCTCCGCAGGCTCCCAGATCAACAAAATTTTCTCCAGCTGAAAGTCCGGATGGGACTTGAGTGATATGTTGTTTTGAGAGAAGCCCACGGCGATCTCTTTGAATGGAGGAAGACCATTTTTGAGTTTGTATGTGTTGATAAACTTTTCAGCCACGTATCCGTCGATTTTTTTAAGAAGCTGTCCCAATTTCAATGATGGATCTTCGAGGGGAAGATCCAATAAGGACCGATCTGGAAATCTGATTCTGATCACATACTTATGAATCTCCACCGCTTCCTTCTTAGTATTGGCGGCACCTTGCATTGACTTGATGATTTTGTAGTATTTTTCTGCCTGGCCAAAAGTCATATTGTAGTCTTCCTCTGGATTTTCGTAGATGGCACTTCTGGAGTGGGGAACATAGAGAGTATCTTCCTTTTCTTCGGGAACTTGGAACACAGGAGCAGGCAGGGAGCCGGAAACAGATCCAGAAGCAGTGGCAGAAGGAGTAGTGGAATCAAATCTATTCAAAGATGAGCTCACTTCACTATTGCTCAAAGGTTTTTCCTCCTTCTCCACAGTCTTGACTCTATCAGCGCCTATCTTATCAATTTGATTCCTTTCGATTCCATCACTATTCTCGACCTCGCTATCAATGTCCATGCGTTCATGCTCCGCATCCTTGGACTCAACCAACCGATGCTCCTCCTCCTTCTTTAACAACCGCTCCTGACGCCTCTGTTCCTCCAATTGTTGCCTAAGAACACGCTGTTCTTCCTGCAACTTGGCTCTTTTCTGCTGTGCATCCTTATTCTCTACCAATAGCCGCATCACCGCATTGGTGGCAGATCCAACCACATTGGACACGCTGATCTGGGAAAAATCGCTGGTTAAGTTGTCTTTGTTGGCCTGTAAAACACTCAATTGTACACGCTTCTCGCTCCAATCGGCTCCAATCCCTGCGCTGGCCCTAAACGCTTCGACCAATGCCGCTAGCGTTGCTGAAGATGCCAACTTCACGATTTTAGTTATTGATTCGTCGCCAATGGAGGCCACAACCTTCAATGTGATCTCAACGTCTCCACCAGTAACAGAGAGCTCCAATTTGGCGTTATTCACGAGATTACTGAGGCGAATAGGTAGAAGTCCATCAAGTTTCTTGCCACTAGAGGAAAGGGAACCATTTTTAGACAGAGACACGGCAAATTTGGCCATGCTGGCCAGAGCTAAGTCATTGATGGTAGCTGACCGTGCACATGTCACCTTCTTGTTGACTTTATTGTATGAGACGTTGAATGTATATGACATGGAGAAGATTAATGGATGAAGAGTGTAGATAAGATTGATTGATGATTATGTAGGTGACAGTGGGGGAGAAAGAAAAGGATGACTAAAAGAGGACAAAATACATTTAGAGAGGCAAGAAGGTTAAAAAGAGAGGTAGAATTAAGGAGAAATTGCCAGAAGTAATCATGTTCCTTCGTTTATAATCAAGGGTATGGTGTTTAGTTGAAAATATTGTTAAAGTACGTTCCAAGTCTTGAAGACGTCAATAGACAATTTTTAAAAGGCAACATTGAACAAGTAGAGGTTAAGAACGACATTACGATCAAAAGTGACAGAATGAGTTTACCATCGCAATGACGATTAACAGGAGTATAAACCAGAAAGCAGATGTTAGAAGTGATTAGTAAGTGTAAGAATAATTTCTGCAGCAATAATTCGCTATTAGCGTTCAGCACCCAAGAACCTATATTCATCTCTACAAGTCATTTCTAGAAAAAGCTTACTATACAGCTCAAAACTATATCGAATCTGCTGGCAGGCTCTTACGTTGGGCCTCCTCCTTCCATCTGGTGCTTTCCATCTTCCACCACATGATCTCGACCTTGGCATTGCGGAGCTCCTCCTCCATCTGCCGAATCCTTGCATCGAGAACTTCAACATCCTTCCGCTGACGTTCCCTGTACCTTCTTGCGGCCATGGTATTGCGCATTCTTCTCGAATCCTCTCCGTTGGCAGAACCTGCCTTCGCAGGCCGATTGCTCCGTCTCTTAAGTCTGCTGCGGACCTGCTCCACGTCGCTGTTCTCAGTCTCTGGCTTTCTCTTCTTCAGAAACTGCTCCGACTCATCTACAAACTTGAACGTCGCGGTTGGAGCTTCAGAGCCAGATGAACATCCGCCATCACTGCTCCTAGCCTCAAACTCGTCGGCGCTCTCAAACTTCACAGCATTCACAGCAAACTCATCGAAACCTGCCACTCCGTCAACAGCAAAGTCTCCAAACCCCGCCCCAACATCTCCTGCCACATCTCCGTATTCGCTAGTGTGGTGGCTTGTACAAGAGTCCGATTGGGAATCTACAACTAAGCTCTCCAACAAAGCATCCGCGCTCAGGCTTGAGTCGTCGGTTTCAAAGTTAAAATGATAGTCTAGCCGATCGGTTAGATCTGGCCACAGATTGCAATTCTCTCCATTCTGGTAATTCACAAATTGTTGCTCCCATAAACCTTCTGTTATCTGTCTCTAAGCGTCGGTTTGGGTGGAAAACCGACGATGTCTAATTTGAAAGTCGCGTGTAAACGTTGACTTTCGGAGATGGTTCAAAGGTGTAGTGGTGGAAACATTGGGGGGTATAGGTGCCCTTATATATTTGGGGCAGGAGCCGTTCCTGCAGGGCCAGAGTGACGTTTTTGGAAGAATGAGTAATCTCAGAACAGAAAGGCCAGGGCACCTACTATCAACAAGGTGGGGCCTTATTTGGTTTAACTTCGAGAAATTACGCCATGTTGAAGAATTAAAGATGAACTGGAGAGAAGAAAATTAAAAATTAAAAAAAAAAAGTTTTGTAGAAGTTTATGTATACGAAGGAGAAATGCCGATATTTATAAAGTGTAATTACTCATCATTATAGGGGAAAGGAGTTAACGAATGCGGAATGAAGGTTATGATATTGATAACGAAGAATGAGACATTATGAGCAGTGTGAGGGAGTAGAAAATGCACGTGGAAGTTGAACATGACGAAAGACTAAAAGGTTTAAGATTGAAGGATAAAGAATGAGTCAAATTGAAGATTTGGAGGTGGTTTTGAGAAGTTTGGGGGAGCAGGTCAGGTTGTGGAGGAGGATAAGGAAAAGGAAGGAAGTGATGCTTGACCGCTTGAAGTTTAATGAAAGATGAAGGAGATCCATGAGAACATATATGGAAAACATTGGGTAGAGAACATATTGGGAGGATTGCTAGAAGGAGAAGGTAAACGTAAATAGAATAAAGATACAAAATTGGGATAATAACAAGGTCTAATGGTAAACGAGAAGAGAGCTGGATACGAAGAAATGCAACCATTCAACATTATTGAATACTCAGTCATAACTATTGAAGGTTGTTTTCAAAAGCTGTTTCATTAATGGAGTCTAGTTGCAATGAACTGCTATAGTTATGCAAGAAACCTAAAATATCCATGAGAATTTCGATTTATTCTACCATAGAACAACTGAAGATCCACAGAATGTCATCTTGCGATAAAGGTCAAAAAGGAATGTTTTAGCTAATCATACCTAAGGGATGTGTCAAATCAATAGTGATTTAGCGATTCATCCTGAGATGATACATTGACATTCAATCCAATTTTCATCAACAATAATGCAACATTACCGACCTCAAAGTAACCTAAAATATGAACTAAGTAATGACAGTTGAATTCCTACTACTTTCCTTGTTTCCATTTTCCTACGGTTACTTGAGAAAACTTCTATTGGGACGTTCTCATCATCAAATCATGTACTTACCAGTCGGCACCTCCCGAAATTCAGGTTCCTTAATTTAGCGGATCTCTCCAAACATTATTAAAAGGAAAATTATAACGTTGTGTTTTCATTGGGCGTTTGGACAAATAGGGTTCCCCCTTCATCTCATTATTCACTGATATTACACAATGTTCTAAAGATAAACTCAAATTTCCGAAGTCTCGAAGTCCATCACTCCAACACTTAATAATTAATCTTCGGCATGTATCTCCTATAGTCTGTTTAAACTATTGTTTTTCAAACTCCTCTGACTTCTGCATCAATGTCATCAAAATCCATCGCAGATCAAGGATTATTTTTTGATTGTCACGGCTCACCGTTATTTTCATCATAATTTTTTCTGTCAATCCGGCACTCCGCCGTAACCACCATATAAATACATACGCTTCTTCAACAAGTAAACCTAACTAAAATTTTCAGTCAAGTGGCGAAAACAATCCTTTCAAGACCGAATATTTTTTCTCCTTGAAATATCCATCAAAACCTTGCCATAATACTTTAAGGATTTCATCAAAAGATTATTATCACGTGACCGTGGTCATTCCTCATATATCTCAAAGCGAAATCCCCAATTCCTCACCGCCATCTTACTTTACTGAATTCCCCAATATATTATCAACCATGTGCTGCTGCTGTTGTGAATGCATGTCAGACATTTGCCTTGTGATTCTCTCTGTTCTTTTCCCGCCACTTCCCGTGTGGATCAGAAGAGGCATCTGTTCATCAGACTCCTTGATCAATATTTTGCTCTGTATTCTCGGATACTTCCCTGGTTTGATCCACTCTTGGTACATCATCGCCAAGTACCCACCTTACACCATCAACCACGAGTCCAAGGTGTACTATGTGTACCAGAATTCATCTGACTTGGAAAGAGGTAGAGGAGGTCACAACGGAAGTCACAACCACCACCACCACCATCACCATACACACAACTACAATACCACCGTGAACTCAGAGCCATTGAATCCTACATCGCCAACTTATGGAGCCACTAACGAGGCTCAGGAGGGTAGTTCTGCTGCTTTGGGAGCACCTCCAGCATACACAGAATTACCTCAGAAGTAGGGCAAGAGTATAATACTATATAATAGACTAATGAGATTTGGACAGCTGTAGAAGTCGGAAAACTATACGACTGATATGTGTGCTTGGTTAAATTGGAAATTTCATCGGTCAACATCTTGAATCGACTGGTACTATAATTTATTCTGGTATCAACATGAATTTACATCATGTGTACATTAACATGTGCATTCATTATCTACTGTCTACCGTATGACTCCCTCCCCGAATTTTTTTTACATTATACTCATATCTCTTGTATTTAACCTTTCTAAATTTCTTGAAAACCATGTCTCTCCATCACTTTATTTACGCCTCTCTAATCCATCTTCTTCGATTTATTCATGCTGAATATAAAATCAGGGTTTGCATACACATCCTGCACACACTTACAAATCCACTTATCGGCCTTATCTATTCACCTTTTCCAATTCTTCCTCAACATGAGTTTGATTCAGGACTCCATCGCCACTATGGGTGATCCGAACACCCAAACAGTATCCGGACTGCCCTCTTCCATCAACTTTTCCCATTCGTTCAAAGATTGGTGGAATTCCTCGTCCAGTCTTCAACGGCCAACAGAAAAGACAGTCGAGCTGGAACAATTTGTAACTTCCAGGTCCAAAAACGCTGCCATCGAGTTCCGCTTGTTTCGGGCCATTTTATCATCGCAAGTCTACTTGGTGGATCCTTTGGAACCGGAGCTATCCGACATTTCGGACACTTCGGACCATAGAATCGTGGGAAGGTTCTTGGATACTGATTTGTCTACCGAGGACCAGAAAATGTTCATTCACGAGTTTGAAATCAGCAACAAATCAAACCCAGAGCTTCCACAGCGTCACATTGTGATTATCCATGGCTATATGGCGGCATTGGGCTATTTTGTCAAAAATTTCGAGCCTCTAGTCAAGCTGTACGGCAATTTGGTGGTTCACGCCATCGACATGCCCGGATTTGGCAACTCTGCCCGTCCGCTGTTCCCCAAAGAGCTTATAAAGTTACCTAAAAACGCCACGTTGCAGGATGAAATTAAACAGATCATGGGCGTGGAAAATTGGTTCATCGATACCTTTGAACAATGGAGAATCAAGAAGGGCATTGACAAATTTGTGCTTGTGGCACATTCCATGGGAGCATATCTTTCATCTTGCTATTTGTTGAAGTATAACAAGCAAAATGACGGATCGCAATTAGTCGATAAGTTCGTGTTGGTAAGTCCAATGGGCACAGAATCTAGTGACGTGAGCTTAATCAACCATAAAGATCTACAATTCAACCATCACGAGTCTGGAGGAGATCCATTCCAGGAAATTTTCACCAATCAGGATTTCAAGCCTTTTGAAGTTGAGCATGAAGATCTTAATACTCTCTGGGAGAAATTGGGCAAGCCCAAGTTTCCTAAAAACACCTTACTCAGAAAATTATGGGAATGGAACGTGCTGCCCTTCCAGGTGCTCCAGTACTTGGGACCAATGTACCTGAAGATATTGTCATTGTGGTCATTCCAAAGATTCAAGAACCTCAAGGCCAATAACTCGGAAGATGGGCCCCAATCCAATACAGATTTGATCTTAAAACTTCACGAGTACTCTTTCTCAATCTTTAACCAGTACCAGGGTTCAGGAGAACTAGCAATCACTAAACTTATCAACCACGAGATTTTGGCTCGGTTACCATTGTGTGACCGTGGATTAGAAAAGTTTTTGACAGAAAACAATATCAGTACTTTGTGGATGTATGGTGACAAGGACTGGATGAACATGAAGGGCGGAGAATATTGCGTGGAGAAACTAAAACAATTGGGTGATAAGAATTCGAGTTTAGTGATTGCTAAGGATGCTGGCCATCATATTTACTTGGATAACCCAGATGAGTTCAACAAAATGTTGATAGAATTCATTGATTTTCATTAAACACTAAAGAAAAGTGTTATATATTGGCACAAATGTCCGCGAGTGTCTCACCAGCGTTGGCCCTTGTTAAGTTTCCAAGGGAATCTAATATGGTTTTTCTTTCAACCAGACTTTTCATGGCCTCGGAAACTCTGTATGCGTTTTCTATAATATTCGTGTCAATTCCTGCCAACTTGGCAACGTTAAGTCCATACAGGTTCGATACAACGCCTTGAACCAACTTGTAGAGGAAAATGACTTCCGGCCAGTCATTTTCCTTTCCTTCTGTTAATGTCTTCTCAATAAACGCCATATGATAATTATTGACCCCCTCGAACTTGTCTAGAACATGTAATGAAGGGTAGTGAGTGATGAAGAGAGTCAACGGTTTTTTGGGGTCTTCGATGATATACTTGAGAATCGCATATGCTAGCGAGATACCGTCGCTTGTTCCAGTTCCTCGTCCAATTTCATCAAGAATAATAAGTGATTTGTCTGTGTAGTTCTGTATAATGTTTGAAGATTCCAACATCTCCACCATGAACGTAGACTTGCCTCTCAAGATATTATCAGATGCACCCATGCGAATAAATATAGAGTCAAAGATTCCCATTCGGGCACTGGTACATGGGAGTTGGCATCCAACTTGCGCCATGATCACCAACAACGCTATCTGCTTGACATACGACGATTTTCCTCCCATATTAGGACCTGTGAGAATAAGTACTCTGTTCTCATCGTAAGAGATATCAATGTCATTTGGAACGTAGTCCAGAGACAATGATGCGAGAATGGGGTTGCTGGCCAGTTTTATGTCGATCAACTGCTCGTCCACCAACGATGGCTTGACATAATTTTGACCAGGAGATGCACTTGCTCTCGCTAGCGACGATAAACAGTCCAAGGTTGCAATGCTGGTTACTATTTGGTTGAAGTACTCATAGTGTGAGTCGATCTCTTTCAAGTACTCATTGAAGCACTTATCAGCGGCCTTCAACACCATATCGTTATGATACTGTAGTTGTTTGTGCAACCGAGAGACAGCAGGTGTCCGGAATCGAGAAACAGATTTCGTGCCACTGATCTTCACCCAATCAGAGGGCAAGGCATCCACGGCCTTTCCATTGCGTACCTCAATGAGATGTGTATCCTTTAGGTTCGTAACAAATGCTAGCTGCGGTCTCTTGAGATATTTCCGGATACTCTCTAGCTCCTCTTGAAGCTCGGATTCGATCAGTGCGATTTGGTCTATTTGGATGGCTACTGAATCGAATTTCTGGTTGCTGAGGTTGAAAAAATGGATCTTCTGCTCGTTCAAATTGGTTGTATTCAACGCTGCACTAGCGTTGATCATCTCCAATAAATCGGACACCACTGGCTCTTGGCTCAAATTTTGTAGCTTCTGAAGAATATCGGATATCATTTGAGAGTTATTTGTGGCCTCAAAATCGGCGATTCCCTTCTGACCAAAATTCTTCGAGACATCAAGAATATCCAGAAAATTCTTTAACATCATGTACACGTCTTTCCGGGACATCTTCTCTGATAGGTAAGTGGCCGAATAGTGGACTTTGATAAGAAGTTTGTCCAAGTCAGTGCCTGATTTTCCGATTTTTATGATGGCACTTTTTAATGCATCCACCAAGTGAGAAAATCCGCCCAGTTTGAAAGTATCAACAGCTCTTAGACGTTCCTCGATATCTTCTCTGGACACTAAGGGTCTATGAATCCATCTTTTCAACATACGGGAGCCATTTCTTGTGTAAGCATGGTCTAAAAGCCAAAGTAATGTGCCTTTTCTGGAAGTTGGCTCGTCCTGAACTTCAAATATATCTAATGCTTTTAAAGTGTTCCCTGGCAATAGCATACACTTGCGAGAGTCTGTTAGACTGGAGAAATTGGATGCAATGGTGAATATATTGCTGAGTTTGAACTCAGCAAGATATTGAATAAGTTCGTGGATGCAGCTTTGGATGGAGATAGAGTAATTGAGAAAATAATACTCTGCCAAATGCGCTGAACTACCCTCTTCGTTCACATCGATAAAGAAATCAGACAATGCAGCTTGGATTTCGCTCTCTTTTTTCTGCTTAATGTATGTGATACTCACCATGGGATTATTCGACCGTAGCACTTTTCTCGTCTCCGGAGAGACACTTTCGCCATTCCCAATCACAATCACCTCACTGGGCTTCAAAAATTGCAATCGAGTGTCTAGCTCATCTCGCGTGAAAGTATCAGGAAACTCATCATAAACGATATCTCCAATCGCTGGGTCGACAGCCACCAAGCTGGATATCTTCGGATGTTTCAGTTCGTTAATACAGAGTATGAAGGTGCTTCCCTCATCAGTCTCCACATTGGCACTTCTGTTGAGCGTTGGGTCGCCAGTGAGAATCTCATCGCCCATATAAGTCGACTTGGTATAAACCCCTGTAACCTTTCTCTCAAAAAGTCCACTTTTGTTTGAACTCTCCACTGATTTGATGGCTGCAGTCTCAGTTTGCTTGACAACACCAACTTTTAGTCCATGGTTGAGCAATCTCTGAAGATGAATATGGAGTCTATTGTCTGGAATGGAGCAGTAGGCAAATCGCTCATGTGTGCGGTCGTCGAGGTCCAAATTGCCTGAAATAAGCATAATATTGAGTAGCTGGGACGCTATTACGGCATCTTGTCCGAAAAACTTGAACTTGTATCCGACTTGGATTGCCAAAACCTTGTCTTGGTGCTGCCTTTTGAGATCGATGAACTGTTTCTCCAAAGGGGTCAATTTTGTCTTTGACGGTCCAGAGAAGGTTGAAATGCTTTTCGGAGTGAAATGGGACGACTTTTCAACTACCTTTTTTGTTGGGATGGCCCTCAATTGGCCCTCACTTCGTGATTTCTTTGGAGAAGACGAATCATTCTCATGCAGAAAACTGTCGAGTTTTCTCTTTGTGGAGGCGTCAACTATGGGCGTTTGAGGAGTATGCGATTGTTTGGATGCGGCAGGTGTGAAGAAACTGCTGATAGCCCTCTGTTTTTTCTTATTGGCAAGAGATTTCATGAAGCCAGTAGTACCTCTTGATCTTGGTAGTGTATGAGACGTGTAACGTGTAGTACGGTGGAAGATTTGCTATTGGAATATGCACTGGATTATGCTGTAAGATTTGCATTTGAAATATGATATTGGAATATGATATTAGGATATATCATAAGACCGTCTCAGGATGTTCATTATTAGCCTATTTTTTTTTTTTCAAATAGATTTTCTTTCCAACTTATCCTGGAATAGCTACTCATGTCTATTTTCTGATTATTGAAGCATCGACCTGTTCAGATCCCACCAAATTAAAATCTATCAGTCCACAAATCCATAAATGGCCCTAATGTATCTGATTCTTTACGTTGCCTACGAAACCGTGTTAAAATCTGTCGAAATGGCGATACACACCCTTCGCCCTAGAATTAACTTGACGTCTATCCAAAATGGGCTTATCGCATTGAGTAATCGCCAAGATCTACTTCATTTATCCAAACACATTCACTTGCATGAATATTTCAGCCACTCAAAAATACATTACAAACAACTTAAGAAAAGAAGAAGAATTTCAAATCAAACTTGAAAAATCCCGAAAATCTTATCTTTTCCATGGTGTATCTTCCTCTCTTCACGCACCCATCTCTAATAAGCACAACCATCTACCTACAGGAGGTTATCTAGCCATCTAGTCATACCCCATGCCCAGAAGAAAACTATCCCGTAAAGGGTGCACAAGCTGCAAACGGCTCAAGATTAAAGTATGTTGTCCGTGATATCTGTTCTTTGAACCTGTAACTAACCGCAGTGTGACGAGGCGAAGCCAGCCTGTGAATATTGTGTAGCTACCAATCGCCAATGTGAGTATCTCTCTGATGATACTCCTACAGTGAGTCCTGATACAAGTCCTGACGATTGGAATCAAATCAATGGCAAGGTTTCTTGCTCTGATCACTCACACCGACTGTCTGTGCCTGGTGCAGCGTTATATCTGTACAATTCACTTGCAACGCAGATGAACTTAACTCGATTCGAGTATCGACTACTACGATTCTTCAACGATGCGTGCATCCCACTTTTCTCCTTCAATATCAATAAGGATGCAGACAGAACATGGAGAAAGTTGCTTCCCAGGGAATTTGCTTCTCTGGATATGGTCAGGCAGTCTGTTTTTGCATTTGCGTGTCTTAATCTCTGGAAATACTCAAATGTCGACAGTGTTCTAGACCAGGACAAAATAGAGTGGACAGATATGGAAACCCAACTCGATGGCAGCTATTCACATGTTTTCGAAACCCTGGCAGTATTCGATAATGGCAAGGATAATATCTTCTCACAAACTGCCCGTTACTTCTCAAAGACAGTGCAGCAATCCTCCAATCTGGAAATTGCACTGGAGCTGTTTTTCTTCTCCAGTTCGCTCATATTTGCGTTCTTGGGTGTCCATCCTCACCTGATCATGCCTGTAGTGGATTTTGATGGCGATCCCCCACTGGACATATTGAGCTTCTCTGCAAGCATACGGAAGCTAATAGACGAGAAAAGTCGCCACTTTTCTGGCATCTTAAGCTTGTTGATAGAGAACATGACAATGCATATTTGGGGAACTCCGATTTACCCAAGTGCCATGGTGGGCCAGTTGAGGGTGGAACTTCACGATTACTACTTTAGCAAGAGTGGTTTCACAGAGATCAACTCGCGAACAAGCAATGAGAACGAAATATTGGAGGAATTGCTTACAGTAATGGAGAACAGTTTCAGCTTCGCTATATACAAGGGCTACCCTATACCGATCTTCCGAATGCTCTACTCTGCACCTTTAGAACTCGGGGATCTTGTGAGAGCACGTCATCCTTTTGCCTTACGTGTCATCTTCGTCTATTGCTGCATGTGTATCTTTGGTGGTTTCTATTTCCTGAGAACCTCAAACATGTGGATGGATTATATCAGATATCACATTAAACATTTTGGCCCGCTTGGAGGGGTAGAGGCATCCATATATAACTATGTTCAGGACAAGGGACGGGTTGATTTCTATAATTTCGCTGCTTCGATGCAAGAGTTTGACTCAACGGTCGCCCACATGGCACAACATGGAGAATTGTCTCTATATTCAAGAATATGCTTCGAGTAATTTTGAAGTCGCCTATTCGTCTCTCACTCGCGTGAAGGAGATACTGCTCACGTTCCGTGCTAGAGAACGGTTTGTAGGGGAAATCTTCTCGTTGCTGCTGTTTCCCAGTGCGGTCGAGTGCTGGCTCAAAGAAGGTCTCTTTGGAGTGTTCGAGAGTCCTAGGGACTGAGAAGGAGGAATCTTAAACAAGAGGTCTGATTTGTTGGAATTGTCTCCATCGAAAAGCACGGAACTCTGGAGTTTTTTCTCAGGCGATATAGTTGTGCTTGATGATTTCACTTGGGGAACAAAGCGAGATGAATCTGCAGAATCCCCGATCAGCATTGCCGCTAGATCAATTGTATCAAGAGAGCCATCAGTACTCAGAGCCTCTAGCACAATATTGCTTTGAAGTGAGTCTCTAGATAAGTCACTAATACTCTGTTTGGACATTCTTCGTGATGCATAATCCATGTTTGTGAAACTGCTGATCACAGGCGTTGAAGCATTGCGTTTAAGTAATGGTGGATGTTTGGAGGCTTTTTCTGTACTAGGGCCATGTGGAAGACGAAACAGCGATCCTCGAGATCGCACAGCGGCTTCTGCGGCAGCACGGGCTGCAATGTAGGAGTCAGATTTTGGTGCATTGGATGTGGATGCACTTCTTTGTCTCTGGATTAATTTATGTGGAGAAAGTGAAAAAGGCGACCTTGTAGATGTTGGGGTGACGGCTGAGCTAGGGCTGCCAGTGACGGCCGTAGGTATACTCGTAGGATTACCTGCGGTGTAGAATCGGGTGAGTTTTGGCTCCGTCTTGATGTCGCTAGCTAGATCTTCGCTTGATCTCCGTTTCGTGTACCGAACCAGCGGCGAAATGGTGACCGACTTGAGCGAAGGTGTTTTCGACAAGTCCAACTTAGACATCTCCATCAGCAAAGGAGTTACTGGTGGAGGAGGCATGGAACCCGAGGCCAAAACTGGAGTTCTGGTAGCCAGAAGTTGTGGAGGACGCAGGCTAAACGCAAACGACGTGTTTGAGCGTTTTCTAGTCTGCGGAGGCCTCTCGGCTATGGGCTCTGGTGTTGCTCCAGGCAAAGAGCGTGAATGCTGTCTTCCTTTTTTCTCGGTTATATCGTTAGAAGTAAAGGGGACAGGTGAATTGTCCAAATTCTCTAAGATTGAACCATGACGTGAACTGGCCAGCAACGGTTGCATTATCAGGTGAATAGGGCTTGCTAACACTCCGGCATCACCGGCCAGTGAGCTCGTTAAGCTTCCGGCGGCCGTATCCACGTGAAGCGACGAACTCAAACTGTTCAGAGACAATTTCGCCAGGCGATCGTGGACAGGATCGTATACATACATTGACAGTGCCGAGTCCGAGTCTGTAAGGTGGCGAAGAGCCAATTCCTCCTCGACGGCACGGTCGATCCAAGTTTCCTTCAACGAATTGTACTTTTTGGCCATTTCGAATGTGGCTGAATAATCCTCGGCCCGCCACCCCTTGTTGTTGGTGATATTCTCAAACTTGGCGATTTCATCTTGCACGGCAGTTCGAATGGCCCATTTGGTCTGGCTCAGAGAATCTGAAGATACCTTAGACATTTTTGAACCTTTGGATTCCTTGAAATCCTTTTCCTTGAATTCTTTCTCTTTCAGTTCCCTCTCTTTCAGGTCCCTCTCTTTCACCTCCTTCTCGTCGTCCGAACTGCTTGATTCCCTTAAGTACTGCTTGAGTCTTCGTGTGGCTGTGAACTTAACAAGCTCCTCTAATCCGTCCAAGTGTCCAAACTCAAAGCAGAGGTGAAGACAAGTATCACCATTTTTGTCCTGAGCGGTCCAATCGGCACCAAACTCGAGTAAAAGCTTGAGTCCATCGGCAAATTGGTGTACGCAGCAGTAATGAAGAGGTGTTCGTGAAAGTGGGCCGCCCCGGTGGTTGATCCAACGGTGGCCAGAGAATTCCTGGAGGAGGAAATGTAAAGTCTGAGAATGATGGTTCATCAAAGGCATGTGGAGCACAGTGAGATTATCGAATGTGATCAAGTCGAGATCGCACACATTGGCTGATTCACGCATGCGGTTCATAAGCGATACCAAATGGAAACACACCAAGTAGTTTCCATGGTATGATGCATAATGGAGGTTACACCACCCGTGGTTGTTGGGATCAATGTTAAGCCAAAGCTCAGGAAAACGAGCCAATAGCCTTTTGGTGATGGGGAGATTGCCCCGGATGATGGCGCCGCGGAGTCTTTGCGGCGGCTCTTGCATGCTAGAGCATGGGTTTTGTCTAGTGTTGGATATGGATTGTGTAGGATTGTGAGAATGTATGGGTGTACTGGAAATCTGTGGAACAAAGGGGCGATGTATTATAATAAAGAGGAGAAATTGAGGGATATTCGGTGGAAAGACAATTATGTCCCTTATTTAATTTTTACTTTCTTTTCTTTCCTTTTTCTTTGTCATCTATACTCAGTGGCTTGTTATTTAGGAATTAGAGTGATGTTCTATGCATGCTCAGTGGCAGAATAGTGAAGTGAAGGAATTTGAAAGTTGAAAGATTGACGTTGAAATTTGTGTTTGGATTACCTTGAAGCTATTGAGTGAATCGTGGAGCTCTTGTGATTTTTTATCGGCTTTCTCTACAGTGATAATAAGAATGTGTCGAATTGAAAACATAGTTGCACCAAATGCAACTGAATGCCAAAAGAATGTGAACAATCTGAAAATCAAATTGTAAAAGTTGAAGAAAAAGAGCCACAAAGAAGAAAGTCGTGAGTGAAATGAATAAGCGAGGGTTAAGAAATAAGACATTCACTCAATTACCCCATCCCAAACTCTTGTAGTAGTCCAATTGCGAGATGTCCACAACCTTGACAACACAAGTCTGCACTGGAACGCACACCTCACTGGCAGTAGTGGCAGAAGTGACAAGTGTGGTGGCCAGTCCGTAATTAACGGACTTCGTGATCACAATCGTGGTTTCCTCGGCACCAGTAGAGACGGCACCCACGATTTCGGAAGTCTCAGTAGCCACAGTCGTCGTGCAATCACCCGATTCACAAACAATAGTGGCAGTAACATAACTTGAAGAAGTCGTTTGAAGGCCGTTAGTATCTGTCGAAGTAACAACTGTGGGGTAGATAGTAACAGTCACATCTTTGTATTCAGATGGGACTGCCTTTGTGATGACTCCACTGGAGGCATCGAAAGTTGTACCTGCGTTATAAACGCAAGAAGTGGTCAAGTATTCAACAGTCTTGGTGGTGACCACGGTGCTGAGGACAGACGATGCAGGGTTGGTGGAGCACGGAACATACACGACATCAGTGGTGACAACGATATCTGTTACAGTAAATGTACTTGTCGATGTTTGCACTGGAAGGACGGGAACAGAAGTGATGCATTCGACATACTTTGTTTTCGTGATGGTTGAAACGACAGAGGAATGAGCATTGGTCTCACAAGGCACAGTCACCGTCTCAGTGGCAAGTTGAGTGGTGAACGTGGTGATCACAGTAACTGGGACAACTGTCTCACACTCAACGGTAGAGGTCTTGTAAATGACGGAAACGGTAAAGAAAGTCTCATTGGTCTCACATGGAACAGTCACAGTCTCAGCAATTACGGATGTAGAAGAGACAGTAATCGTGGTAGCCGGGGGAGAGTTATGAGAACTATAGGGTCCAGAATGACTAGGAGCACTGGAGGAGCTTGCAGATCCAGAAGCACTGGAAGCAATGGAAGAGCTTGCAGATCCAGAAGCACTGGAAGCAATGGAAGAGCTTGCAGATCCAGAAGCACTGGAAGCAATGGAAGAGCTGGAAGCAATGGAAGAGCTGGAAGCAATGGAAGAGCTGGAAGCAATGGAAGAGCTGGAAGCAATGGAAGAGCTGGAAGCAATGGAAGAGCTGGAAGCAATGGAAGAGCTTGCAGATCCAGAAGCACTTGAAGATCCAGAAGAAACACTTGAAGATTCAGAAGCACTGGAAGCAATGGAAGAGCTGGAAGAGCTAGAACTCTTAGAAGTCTCACAAGCACTGGAAGAGCTGGAACTCTTAGAAGTCTCACAAGCACTGGAAGAGCTGGAGGAGATGGAACTCTCAGAAGTCTCACAAGCACTGGAAGAGCTGGAAGAGATAGAACTCTTAGAGGTTTCACAAGCACTGGAAGAGCTGGAAGGGCTGGAAGGGCTGGAAGAACTCTTAGAGGTCTCGCAAGCACTGGAAGAGCTAGATTTCTTAGAAGTCTCACAAGCACTGGAAGAGCTGGAGGAGATGGAACTCTTAGAGGTCTCACAAGCACTGGAAGAGCTGGAAGAGATAGAACTCTTAGAAGTCTCACAAGCACTGGAAGAGCTGGAACTCTTAGAAGTCTCACAAGCACTGGAAGAGCTGGAGGAGATGGAACTCTCAGAAGTCTCACAAGCACTGGAAGAGCTGGAAGAGATAGAACTCTTAGAAGTCTCACAAGCACTGGAAGAGCTGGAAGGGCTGGAAGGGCTGGAAGAACTCTTAGAGGTCTCGCAAGCACTGGAAGAGCTAGATTTCTTAGAAGTCTCACAAGCACTGGAAGAGCTGGAGGAGATGGAACTCTTAGAGGTCTCACAAGCACTGGAAGAGCTGGAAGAGATAGAACTCTTAGAAGTCTCACAAGCACTGGAAGAGCTGGAACTCTTAGAAGTCTCACAAGCACTGGAAGAGCTGGAGGAGATGGAACTCTCAGAAGTCTCACAAGCACTGGAAGAGCTGGAAGAGATAGAACTCTTAGAAGTCTCGCAAGCACTGGAAGAGCTGGAGGAGATGGAAGGGCTGGAAGAACTCTTAGAAGTCTCACAAGCACTGGAAGAGCTGGAAGAGATAGAACTCTTAGAGGTTTCACAAGCACTGGAAGAGCTGGAGGAGATGGAAGGGCTGGAAGAACTCTTAGAAGTCTCACAAGCACTGGAAGAGCTGGAAGAGATAGAACTCTTAGAGGTCTCACAAGCACTGGAAGAGCTGGAGGAGATGGAAGGGCTGGAAGAACTCTTAGAAGTCTCACAAGCACTGGAAGAGCTGGAGGAGATGGAACTCTTAGAAGTCTCACAAGCACTGGAAGAGCTGGAGGAGATGGAACTCTTAGAGGTCTCACAAGCACTGGAAGAGCTGGAAGAGCTGGAAGAGCTGGAAGAGCTGGAAGAGCTGGAAGAAGTTCCTCCACAGTCACAATCCCAACAGAACTGAGTTAAAGGACATGAAGAAGTACTGATAGATTTGAAAATGTTCATGATGTCAGAAAGCTCCACAATTCTCTTCTGTAAGTTGGCGTTCAAATCATTGATGTCTGGCATGTCATCACGCTTCGTAGATGCAAAGAAAGAAGAGGCACTAGAGAACGCATTAAAACCACCACTGAGAGTGCCAACGGACCAAGTGAGCGATGAACTGAACACGTTCGAGAAAGCAAGGGTTAAGTCATCTGCATCAGTTGACTTGTCCACATGACATTGCACTTGAAGCGAAGTTGGTAAACAGCACTTGTTGTTGTATTTAACCGGCTTGACAACAATACTGGCGGACCACTTAGCCCAATTGTTCACCAAACAGGAGGAGGGAGTGATCAAATCGAAATCACGGCCACATCCAGTACCTGTAATGGAGAGTTTCTTGACAGAACTATGCAATTGCAGTAACCAGTCGTATTCATGAGTCTCGAAGTTACAAGCAACCTCGAAAAGGTCATCTTTAAGCTTGTTGACCCCGGAGATAGCAAAGTTAGCTTGAGGAATCAAAGAGAGAGTTCTCTCTTCATTTGCAACATTTTCGACAATTTCGTCCCTCTTCGACGAATCACAAGACCAGATTTGAGGAGGAGTACAAGTCACAGTGTTCGTTGTTGTCCCCCAATGTTGGATTTTGAAGGACGAAGACAAGTCACACCAATCGAACAAACCACCAAAAGTGGCAAACACGGGAAGTGCAAAAAAAGCGTATGCCAAGAGGATATTTGAAATAACGAGCGACTTCATGGCAAGAAATTAAGAACCAATTTATGGATACTCTTGAATGTTTTGAGAAACGGAGACAATTTATACCATTTTAGGCATCAAGTTTGGGTTGCAAAATAGTCTAGACAGATGTCACATAAACACGACTTACGAAATCCAAACAGTCGTTGTGCCAATACGGGCATATATAGCAGCCGTTGCATGATACAGATGTGCACAACAATGCAACCTCGTATCTTTTAGAGGGTTTTTGTTGCCCTATAGGTCCTTGACATCCTCTAGTTCAGTTGGAAAACCAGCTCTGCATCATGATCCCTGCATGAATCACGCTTCTCGCTTGCGATGGTACGCTACCTTGACCGAGGAAGCTAGTCGCTTAAAATGTTGCATCGCTAGAACACATCCAGAAAGAGCCCCCACAAAATGGTCTATTTCAAGTTTACTGGGCAACACACAATCATGTGATGAGGTATGTATGCTTTTGGTGAAGTAGAATTAGATCTAAATCAAATTTCTTGGATTACCACCATGGAAGATTTAAAAAGCAGGGTGGGGAGAAAACACCTAGATGATAATTTTCAAAGATGTGCTCTCATGGACTATTGTCACTATTTTTCGCTTCACGGTCGGTTAGGTTTGGCTCAGGGGTTTAGCTTGCAGCGAGGGCCCGCTTGTTTGCTCGCTAAACCTTAATGCGCAAGGTTTGAAACCTTACGAAAGTGGTGAAAATGAACACGGGCGAATGGCTCCAAGGTTCAAATCCGCGTCGCTAGAATAAATAATACGATTCTTCGAGGAATTGGTACTAATGGCTGAACACATAGGGTGGTTTTGAAACTTTTTTCGTCGGTCTTAACGTCCATGAATTTCACCACAATTCGAGGTAAAGTAAAGGAATGAAAAAGTTCCAAATTTTCATCAATGCAAACCAAAAAAATATTCAGTAGACAAACAAACACAACTATAGGTTTCCGTCATATTGTACTTCGGCCACGACATGGAAGGTCCATCACGGTTCAAACCTCGTATGTCTGGTTAGTGAGCTCTGATCATATCTGGCTCTCCTATCAAATCTACTTTTCCTCTCTCCATGTGAAGGGTCATAAAAACAACGTGAATTTCACAACCGTCTCCATGAAGACGCGTCGGGTGAAAGGCGGAGACGTGTGGTTGTGGAAGACCTTGTCTTGGAGCCATGGCGCAATGTAAAAGATCAAAGTATGGTCACGAACGATTCAAATGATCAAATCGATACTACTTGATTCAACTTTGGTTGGCCTTTCAAAGACCGTAATGGAAGTTTCATCAACTCACAAGTTCAAAATAACAGGTCCTCATTGGTGCAAGGCGTCAAAATCACAGTTTAAGGCATGGCGGCAATGTGTTGAGGCGGTCGAGAAGGGCAGCCGCCGACATATCGGGCAGGACAAAGGCTCTAATATTCTAATAAGCAATGTCACGTAACCCAAATGGGCCCGAAAGCCGCTGTGTTAAGCTGTGATGTTAAACAAGAACAAGTATGACGAAGGTATATTGAAAGGGGAAGAGAGACATTTTAAGGGAGAAGATTTCGCAAGGACGAAAGCAAAGTGAAAGGTCAAAGGTTGAACATAGTTGAAGAACAAAGGAAGCAAATATAGAAAGGGTTTATAAAAAGGGGAGCAGAGTATACGAGGTCACGGAGATAAAGTATCATGACGCATTGCCCTTGATTGGCCATGGTAATCCAGAAACCATTACTTGTGAATTGACCACTTATACATATCTATTTGGAAAACCTCATTGTTGGTGGTTAACTGCGTTCATGTGTTCCAGGCACATTGAATGGTAGGAACAACAAACAACTTGAACGTACATTTTGCCCATATGATTTTGCAAAGGTGTTATTAATTTCAAAATTGATTTCCATACCTTTGATTAATGTTTACTTGTTTTCGAAGCGCATAAAGTTCACTGGATGTTGGGAACGTCTGACATGAATTGTCGAATGGAAAAGGAATACACGCTTTGCGAGAAGATACAAAAGCTACATCTATTTTGGTCTGTTATTTCCGTTTTGGTTGGCCCTTTTCCGTTTTGACCCCTGGTATTTCCATTTTGGACGTTATTAAAGTTTGACCAAAAATGGCTAATACGCTTTGATACGTGACTTATTTTCCTAGTTGGTGACATTTCCTCTCCAAGTTACATTGTTGTAGAATGCAACTTGTAAGTGGAGGAAATTGGATGAGATTGAATATTCTTTTGAACTGAGGGGTAGTCGTTGAGGACTCATCGGCAAATACAACCTAAAGAAGCTTTTTGTCGAGGTTCAAGAATTTTCTTGATATTCTCTTAAGCGCGAAGGGCTCGAATGAGGTACTTGATGGTAGTAAATTTCCAGGACTAACTTTACAGATAGATTATTGGACTTTTTTACTCTTGCTTCTCTGGATTTGGTTTTCAAGCAAATAGTGATTCTTCTTGGATCTCTGTATCCTCATGATTAGATTCGGTGAAGGTTCTAATAATCATGCGCTCAATACTAAGTATGAAGGATTCCCATGGTGTAACATGGAAAGTTTACGTTTCCAATTGAAGGCTTTACTTTCATGAACTTAGTTTCCTCCCGTTGAGGCTGGCAGGATTACTTTCTTCGGTTAACAGCAAACTTTAAGCTTTGGTTGAGGGAACCATCCGGATTCAGTCTTGCAATTCAATGAGATGATGGCAGTCAGGATGGTTTATCTGATGACGTTCTCCAATATCTTGCTTTTTTGGTGTATTGTTCATGCTGGGGGTTTAGAGTACGTGATCATAAATGATGTTAGTGAAAATCTTTGGTTTACTATTATTTCATACTGGTTGCATCCTCTGCAAAACCTGGTGATGTGGTCCAACGGTATTGACAAAATCCGATGAGCGAACCAAAGGAGCTTAAGAATATGCAAATACGAAGCTCGTGAATATGGGGTGCAAAAAGGACTGAATGTTTTCTGGAAGACATCAATATTTCGGCTAATATAAGCCCTCGAGTATCTACTTGGCTGCTCTCGATTTTCATTGACAAGTTCACCAAATCATTCCGTCGCTACCTGCGGTACCACCTCAGTACCGCCTCAGTACTACCACAGTACTAACATAATCTTATCTTGTCTACAAACATGTCACAGCGCAGAAGGAAAACTCGCATCTCTCAATGGTCGATCTTTTCCAGAACAATAGGCTACTAAAACATGAGTGCAGTAGAGGCCACTGATCAGTCTAATTCTTCAAAACATATCTCTGTGTTCTAAGTGGACACTTAAAGGTTCCCGGCGGCACGAAAAAATATTCTCGCCTCTGCCATTGTTCTCTGTTTTGATGTTATCTACACATTTCTTTTTCCTTTCTCAACAGGCCAACATATTCCCACCAATTTCTCACTGTCAAAGTATTTGTCATATGATCAATTTCGAGCTCTCCACCCTTTCCCAAATTGACATGCCGCCCCAAATGGCCCGTTTCTGTCTTGGTAAACGTGTAACTCCACAACCTCGAGAGATGTCTTAGTATTGCATACCAGGGATACATTGCCTGTGTAGGTGCTTACAATCTTGCCGGACATTTGGTGATGATAGGCAACTGGAAAGACCTTCAGTCTTCATCGGACCATAATTAATGAAAATTGCGAGGTTGCACCCCATCCGTTTCCTGTCCATTGTCTTTAGACCATCAAGGGCGATCCGAACATGCCCAGTATCGGACCTTCCGTTACCGAGCCTTGTCTTCCAATCGCATTAGTGGACGCTAAAAAATATAGGTCGCAGCGATCTATGAAGATCCACTCAATGTCTTTTGCGTTATAAAGAATGTCACATTGGCGGTCCCTTTTCAACTCTACTTGTTTGCTAATTCTCTAAAACCCATGAAGTCCCTTCGTGGATTCATAATCGCCAAATCTCGACATTTTTGGTTTATCTCCACCCTATCTTCTCAGCCTTTTTCACTCCACAATTCCCTGCACCGAACATCACGTGTGGCTACTCTCATAACTTCACAACCTCCAAACTTAAGATTTCCTCCTCCATGTCTGGTCCTCCTCTTCGATTAGCGGCAGTCAGCGACATCCAGGGGGATTGGGACTCGTTGGCGGCTATTGCGGCCGAGCAGCACGCCTCATACATTGTTCACACTGGCAATTTCGGCTTCTGGAACCCCACCACCGCTGAAAGAGGAGCAGATTTAGCATATTTGAAACAGATTGTGGCGTTTCTGGCGATCTTGCCTCGATCCTTGGTCGCGGAACTAAATGATTTATCGGTCATTAACGGGAATGCCAGTTTGGGGCCCGATATCGACGGTGAAAAGGCTATAACCGAGGCCTATCAGAATGTTCTCCGTAAACCCAACATGCTCTCGCACATGGACGCTTATTTGGCGGGCACTAAGCAGCTTCCATGTCCCGTATACACCATCATTGGACCTTTAGATGATCCAGCCATCGTGGAGAAGTTTTTGTTAGGGGTTTATCATGTTCCCAATTTGTACATAGTTGACCACAAAAGGGCCTATACGCTCACAGGAGAGGGTCCGAATATCCGCATATACGGTCTTGGCGGCAACTTAAAGGTCCACAGCTTGTTTGATAGCGGTAGCTTGGATACTGAGCTAGAAACAGCAAGTGACTCTGATGATAGTGACTCACTGGAGGTCCCCATCAAAAGTGGAGATTTGTGTGGCCGCACAGGCGACTTGTGGGTTACGCTTTTGCAGGTTGCACGGCTCTACTTGAACGCCCATAAGGAGAAACCTCTGGAGCGGACGGTCAACATTTTCTTGACGCATCTGCCTGTGGTGAAGACTCCACTTCTTGAGCATTTGGCCATTATTACTGGTGCAGACGTTACCGTGAGTCAGGGCCTCCACTTCCGGTATCCTGTCCTGGGAAATGGAATGAGTTTCGTAGATAGCATGGGTGGATCTGCTGGATACATCGAGAACTACCGGTCAAAGTTCTCCCGGTTGCGCATGATTCTCGGGGAGTTATGGTTAGCCATCAAGAACGACGTCTCCAAGCTTTTAGAAGACGATTCTGAGTTGCGTCAGCTCATCGAACTTGGACTTAGTCTTTTCGATAAGATCCCTGTGACCATCAGTGAGTCTATTGACAAGATCGTGAAATTGTCATTGGAAGAGACAGATGAAGACGACGAAGAGAATATGGAGATCTCCAAGTTGACCTTGAAGAAAATCAACGACATGTACTTTTCAGCCTACTACAAGCTCTGGCACTTCAATCTCTGCGATCACTTAATTACAGACGACTTGGAACCTGAAGATCTGGACTCAAGCGACCATGATGGCCCTCCCGAATTCAACGTGATGGTTTTTAGTCTAGATCGGAAGGGATACTTCAGGTTAGTGCATTGCAACAGCCAGGGATTCAACTTTCTGACTATTCGTGATATTCCAGAGGAAGAAGACGACGACGAGCAATTGGAAGATGAGGATGAATCTGAAGAAATTTCCTCTGATAAACAAGATGAAAGTTTGCGAAGAACCAAGGAACTCCTCAACAGCACTTACAAGGACTACAGAGCTCGTGGTCGGGGTCGCGGCCGAGGACGATCGAGAGGCGGCGTGAAGCGGGGACGTTCTACACGAGCCGTTTAGTATATGGGATACAACTTCTAGTTGGAACTTTTGGCTGGAAATTTTTGGCTGGAGCTAGATTTCTGGTGAAGTTTATCATCTCATAATAATAACCAACATGAACATATCAACACAGTTGTGAATGCATCATGATGTCAACCAACATGTGAACTTAACTAGAAATGGAACACTAGCAGGTGTTACTATCTGTCGACTGAGTGCCAGAACGTTGTTATATCTTCTCTTGGTGCTTAAGCATATGATATACCAGAGGACTGTTAATGAAGTGGCCGAGGGATAATTGCAAATGTCATAATAATCCTGGAGGACAGAAATTGCTAATAAAGGCGAGAAGACCTTCACAGACTGATGTGGTTGCTCCTGAAGCCGGCTTCAATCATAAATTAAAACTTGATACTATCACCACAAGCACCTATTCTACACGCTCTAACTTGTAGATTGTATTGCTATATATGCTCGGTGCCACACCGAATGAAATGACGTCGGATAAAAACCTTCCGAAACCCATGAGGTGACGTTTCCACCCTCCAACTAAGTATGCTCAATGGTGTCCACCAATGAAATCCTCCTTGAGTCTGTAAAAGATGTAGAACCACATGGTGGCACCAAGGAACTTTGCACCGTACTTGACCTTAGGGTCCACGTGTGGCTTGCTCACTGGGGCGTGACGAATGTATTTGGCGATGTGGTGGGCAGCCATTATGGATAGATTGTAGTAATGAAGGTTGGTTTTTTAGTGAGGATGTGGTTGGTTGGTCTATCTGCAGGAGCATTAAAGAAGTTTGGCTTTGAGAGTTTTGGTGTACGGATGTACCAATGAGACATCCTTACATCTTTGGTGTACGGGTGTGTAGTTGGTTTTTACTGCATTCTTACCATCACAAATTAAATGATACACTTACAAAAAAAAATCAGATGCGGGTTAATATTTAGGTGTACGGGTGTTACATCCTTTGGTTTAAGCGCCTAGGCATAAGCGAGGATGTGCTTGAATTTGCACTAACCGACATTATGGCAGAAAATATTCTGGCCCCATTAAACACTTGCTAATCAAGGGCCCGGCCAGGATGTTTGTGCATGTAGCCGGATAAGCGACCCCGAATATTTCATGCAGCAGAATATCTCCGTCTGCATGGCAACCGGAAAGATCGAATTCTAATTGACCCTCAATCAACAAATACGGAGAGCCACAATAGTAGACAGTGAGCATGTTTCCATGAAAAAAAAGAGCATTTAAATGTTAAGGTAGGGATTTGAAACTAATAAACTTAGTACTTGTTCATAGATGATCTCACAACGGTGTGTGGTCCTACTTCTATTTCTTATCTTAAGAAAATGTGCCATGACCCACCATCCACATCTCACACCGAATGTGAAAAACCCTGTAAAGAGAATAGTATTGATCAGATCGCAGAAAATCGGGCTAACGGCATCAATAATGAAATTATGAAGGGTCTGTCGATCGGTGTCATCATCACACCTGTAGGTCTCATGGTTGCATGATGTGAGAAGGGAAGTCAAAATTTCGAGGTAATGGTGATATTTTTGAAGTTTATGCATCGGCATCATTTATGACATGCAAAGTCCCGGCCCTTCGTAGTTTGTTTTAATCTGGCGTTATATGCGTGAAACCCTGAAATCTGAAAAGAGAAGGAGGAGAGTCATTCACACTTATCGAGTTTTGGGACAATGTCTCCTTGACACATGGTGAAGATCGCGATTAAGGATTTTTGTCGCTCTTTTAAACACCATGGAGTTTGATGCTCTTGCAAGAAAAAAAAATTGAATCCATTAGAAGTTTGAAGACCCGTAAGTTGCACGTTATAAACAACCGATATTTTTAATGATTCTAATCTTTGTACATCTCTCCTGGATCTTTTATTTTCTTCCCCTTTATCTATTTGCTCCTTTGCCCTTTAATAATCGAATATTTTTTCTTGTACTAATTTTTATTAATGCATTTGCTTTCTTTTTTGAATATTTTGTCTCAAGTCCAAATTTTGGGTATTTTTTTTCTTCGCTCCTTGACTCTTTCTCAATTTTTCCTTGTAAGTAACCTCATCTTTATCATCAAAATAGTATTTGTGTTATTTCAAGTGCTGAATCACTAAGGTACATGCCCACTGATAGACGATCTTTTAGTAGGCTTAAAGACGATCATAACATTTTAGAGGTACCAACTGGGCATGGTGCAGGTGTTGCGTCGGGTAAATCTCCTAACGATATCAAATACCTTACATGGGAGGCAATTGTTTCGAACAACAATAGTCCAAAGCTTAAGAAAATTGTTCGAAATAGAGTCTAAGGAGGTGCAATTAGAGCACAAAGGTAAAATAAAAAAATGTGGAATCCTAATCGCAGAACCTAGTCGGTGCTTCGCACTTGTCCATTTGTTTGCCGACTTTCGTTTGCGTGACAAAGCATCATAAATCAACGAGACAGAGAATGTTGAGGACAGTATCTTGCAGCTGACATTACAGAGATAATATGAGCTGTATGTGCCGGCCGCATGGTGCATATGCCCACATCCTAAAATCATGCAATATTGCCGCGCGTGCAGAACGTTGTCTCAGTATCTTCTTCCATGGAAATGAGCTCAACGGAATTCCAACCAAATTACCGACTTGCATGTCGTAGAATTCACTACACGGCAGGGGTATCACAATGCGAATGTATGTTCAATTTCCTCAAGCGTATCTGTATGGTATCCTCCAAGTATTTTCTAGCCCGCCGGGGTGCGTTGGCGAGCACAAAAACAACAAAACAGATCGACCAAATTTTTATGTGCGCGCATCTGCGACCCACTCTATCATAATGAAATTGGCAAGTTCTAAAGAGGCAGGGTTCTTTTTCATTGTTAATGTTGCTTTGAAATATAGCCGGCGATCGTTTCCCAGAACGTTCTTCGAACATGCACTTACATGAAGCCTTCGACCCGACGCACCATTTCCTTACTTCGCAGAAACTTTTGCCTTGGCTGTGCTGCAGAGAACAAACTATCTGGTGGAAGTGTCACAGGGGGGCAGTGGCTATGGGTTCCTGGCACATCCATGGAAAGAAAGTAGTCACGTGTTGCGAGTTGTAGCTTTACACATAAGAGAGAAATATTTTGAGAAATAGTGATGACAGTGTGGGGAATCTCAGTATGAAGGGAAGAGCAACATTGTCAGGGTTGGAATTGGTCCGTCAAACTATAAAAGCAACGTCATGGGGTATCTTTATTCAGGTGCTTGTCGCTAATCGGGAACGCCCTTCGGCAACATAGTGAGTATATGCATGAGGACCTCTATAGACATGACGTATGCCAATCTGGAGCAGGCAGGAACATGCAGAAGCCGGCAGGATGGCACTCTTCATGAAGAGGTGTAACGTTTGGATTATGGCAAGCCGCATGAGGGTTACATTTTCATGTTGAGGGCATAGACTTTCGTCCATGCAGCATGTTCGAGAGTGGACCCACTGTAATTTGGAGGGGCTGCATACTCCACAAATGTTACATATCTATTACTTCAGAACAATGTATACATGCATCTAGGTGGCAGGGTTTCAGGTGATTTCCTTGTAAGTATTGTACCACTGATCCTGGGACTGGAGAGCGGAGGGAGAGCATGGTGGTATCCCCGTTGGTTGCACTATGCGTTATGCGTTGGCAATCACTGCTGCACTTTTGGAGCACTTAAGGGCTGGTACAAGCAAGGAAAATCCTACTACCAAAGTTGCTGGCACCTGCGTCGCAGAGAAGGTTTGTTAGTTCTACCAAGTAGATTTTGTTGTTGTTTGCGATTTACATTAAATAGGTATAGTTGGGTGTTGCTGGGCAAAGTGATCTGATAATCTATCGAAGATTGCGCTTTCGGAGTTTTCGCTTTGAGCGCCATTTGCGAGTCTTTACGAAAGTTTTTACTTCTAATTGCGAGGCTTTTGTATTGTTCGTATTGTTGATTAAGTTGTGACTTGAGCAGTTGCTTCTGAAGCTCGTTCAAATGCTATTGCAAGCGCTGGTATGGGTGCTTGTGCAACTGGTGAACTTGAGTTTATGCCAGAATAATTTTGTGATCTAATCTTGAACCTTGGAGATGCTTCTCTGGTGATGTGTCACTCTAAATTCTGCGACAGTATTCGGGTACCCTTAAGCAATTTTTTATCCCATGCATCGGTAGTAATTTTTATCTAATAATTTTCTCCAGCATAATTTTATTATCCATCTCGTATTGCCAGTATGTTGCAGTTTACTCTTGCATTTACTCTGTTTAGTGTTTACTCTTGAGATTTCATCTCCAAACAAGTGTGGGTACTGTTATTATGTAGCAATCAGTTCCCACCTGAACTTAAATGTCTAAATTATTTCAAGGTCATTTCCATTATTCAAAAGATTTCATCTTTTCTCTTTCTTTTTTCACTCTTTATATTGGTTCGCTTTCCATCTCTCCTTTCCTCTTCTTTATCTTATTTTCCTCAATTTCTCATTCTCCATTAACACTCCAACCGACTTCAACTTTTTTTTTCTTGCCAACCATTGTGCATCGTTCAAAGCTAGCTTTCTCCGCTTATTGTCTATTATCTCCAGCCTCTCCCATTTGTCTACGCCGCTTGCCCTTCCACGTTGTGTACCCTTAGACTGTATTTGAGAGGCTTGCAAATCCATCCGATTGTTTGCTCATCAATGAAGTCCAACAATAAAACGCTAGTCGAGAAGGTTAGTCCAACACTACGGGAATGTTGGTTTTGAGGTTCATTGTCGACGAGGAGAATGTAGCCGGATGAGGAAATGGATACTGGCTAGCATCAACTTCAACCATGTTCTGCCCAACGTGGAAGTCAAAAGCAAGGTTGTGGGGCCAATGGTTGTTTTGCGATGTTTGAAGCTTGGCTCTTGCGTTGGAAGGAGCCGAAAGCTTGTGAAATAGAGTCTTTCAATGGAGTTAATGTCGATGACAATTGGGTTTGGACAATTTGTCGTGATCCAAATGACTGTGGTGCGCTGAAGAAAGCAACACGAAGGGATTCCAACATCATTCTGTTGGCATTTTTTTGCTTGCATTTTTGCTGGAATCTCTGTTAGTATTCCAAATTGAAATGTCTGTTGGTTATCGAAACGGCTTGTGATTTTAGAGGACTCAGTTAGGGGACATCACCAAAGAAGCACCATTTCACCACATTTTCACCCTTTGAGAGTTACACATCTCACTAAGAATTCATTCTTAATTGCTTCAAATGAGTCTCTGAAGAATAAGAAATCATATTCTGTTGGAATGAACCTTCAAGAACGGCAGGAGGTATATGTTTTCTGAAATCCATCAAAGCTAGCTCTTTACGAAATTTCCCAACCAAAACAAAGAGCACAGCAAGCTTTCATTTAACTCACGGTCTTCTTGAAAGTTGGCAGACTGTTCCCTACATTGAAGGCTAATCATCGAAAATCATCGTAATCGATCGAAAATCATGGTATATCGTGGCACATCAGATTTCCTACATGATTATCCCTTGACACAAAGTCACATTCACGACAAAAGAGAACACTTTAAGGGAGCCTGGGATAAAACAGTCCTTTCATTTGAACTACCTATCTTTAACTACATCTGAATCCAATGGAATCAACATAATAAAAAAATGACACCGTCCTCTATTAACAAACTATAACGCCAGTTCCATAAATAAAACAGCATAAGACTCTAGCCTTTGTCGTTCTTCATATCATTCTTCAAATGAAGCTTGTAGTGTCGGGCCATGTTGGACTTAACGTTAAAAAGACGACCACATCCTTCCCACTCACACTTGTACAACTTGACGCCCGTATGAATGTAAAAATGAATCTGAAGCGATGATGGTCGCTTGAACACCTTCAGACACACTGGGCATTGGTTTTTCTTTGCACCTGGCATTCTGGGCATCTGTAGAGATGCGTCAACAGGCATGGTTCCTGGCATATTGCCTGCCAACGGATGTGTTCCACCACCAGTGTTTCCGTATGGTGTCCGGTTGCCATTACCATCTATCTGATCCATTCCCAACGTTCCTCCAACACCCACGTTGCCTATGCCACCCATTTTCTGTGAATTGGGTCCATATGGCAGCGAGTTCATCTTGAGAAGCGAGGGACTGGTGTTGTACAGTGGCTGCATCATCAGAATGCCGCTTTGCAGCAGCGTCTGGTGCGACTGCAAACCACTGGGTATTGACGCAATCTGGCCGGACATTGGGTACTCGAGTGGTCCCAGGTAGCTTTGTTGTAGCGTCAGCGGGGCCGATTGCAGTTGTGGTGGCTGCTGTGTGGGTTGCAGCTGTAATGTCAGTACCGACAGTGCCGGGGTGCTCCATGGGTTGGTGCCGGCCTGGTACATGGCCGCATTAGCAGTCGAGGCGACCGAGTTTTGCAGCACGTTGTTACTGTTTGGTATCAGCAACAGAGACACGTACTGAGGATGCACGACGCCAGCCAGGGCGCCATTAGCCCCCAATCCCACATTAACATTTCCCATTGCATTCGACGGGCCATTGGACGACACAGGCTGTTGATAGTAGGGGATCATAGGAGGCTGGATGTAATAGTGCAGCTCTTGCTGTTGGAGGTTCGAGGATGCTTGCTGAAACCCGCTGGGGGCGGCATAGTAATCGTTGGTTGGGAAGGGATGCAGCATTGGCTGCGCCGTCAGCATGCGTGGGAGCAAAGCATGCGGAGGTTGGGCCTGCGGAGGAAGCACTGGCGCCTGGGGAGACATGCGGTCTTGAGTTTGCTGGGTAGGCAGATCAGGCTGGGGGTAGAACAGGCGCTGTTGTACCGCTTGGATCTGTGGTTGAGCCAGCGGTGGATACTGCGAATACGCCTGCGACGAAAAGAGCGGCAGGTTCTGCGAGTAGGGGTCGTTCAGTGTCTGGAAGTTGGAAAGTGCCTTCTGAGAAGCAGAGACACCCACAGGTACACCCAGAGACTCTTGGTCGCCTTGTACTGGTGGCTGGTGATGCTGTGTAGTCGAAGGAATCTGACTAGCCTGCGAAGTGTCGTTTGGAGACACTGGAACTCGATGGGAAGTAGAGCTCACAACAGAGGCAGCGTGGGATGCTGGGCGACTCGTGGAAAGATTTGTGTTGGAGGAGGGGCCTTGATTGGTGGGACCTTGGTTTGCAAAACCTTGATTAGCGTACCCTGAGTTGGTAATACCTGGATCGGCAAGATCTGGATTGGAGACACCTGGATTGGAGATATCTGGATTGGAGATACCTGAATTAACGAGAGCTGGATTGCCTGGGTTACTTGGATTTCCTGGATTTCCTGGATTTCCTAAAATGGTGTGATTGACACTATTAGCAGAATTGAAAGAATTGACGCCTGGATTAGCTGGATTAACAGAATTAATCACGCCTGGATGTGCCTGAAAAGCTACAGCAGAAATTCCTGGAACTGACACACCTGACACACCAGGGAGTCCCTTGGAGCCGCTGGAAGAGAGGTTCTGCGCTATAGACGTCTGCGGGTAGGCAAACTGCTGACCGACTTGCAAATAGGAGGAGGAGCCAGTCGTAAAAGGCTGCATGTGCAAGCCAGATGGGACCACCGGGAAGTGTGGAGGGTGGGAAAAATGGACAGTAGGTATGCAATTACCACCCGGTAAGTCGCTTGCGCTGGGTATAAGGGGCGACGAAGCCAACAGGCGATGCAAGGAGCGAAACACTCAGGACGGCTAAAAGCCTATGGGAGTTTTTTGGAGGATGGGAGAAAAGAAAAACAGGACAGTTCACTGCGGTTGGATGGCCGCTAGTTTGAAACGAAGTAAGCGAAGAATGGGAAACAAAGAAGGAAAAACGAGGCCTGCGTAAACTTGGCGATAGAGGCTTTAAGTAGAAAGAGGTCGAGGTGGCTTGCATGGCAACATTAAAGGCGAATTTGGGTGCCCCACTGGTTGGAAAGATGTTCTTTCCTGCTTACTGGAGATTACGACGAACAATCATCCAGGTCCATGCATAAACCTAAGTTTACTGCATTGGGCACGCAACGCACAGCACGAAAGCCGCATAGGACGCATAAGCAGCTGCACGAGGTGCACTGCGCGAGGAGAAGCGTGCGGGAGGACACTTTTCGCTGCTCGTGAGGGAGGGGGAGTCTGTGTTAACTGCAGAGGTCGGGTAGATTACAGTCACTCGAGTGGACTTACATTGTTTTGAATGATTGCATTTGGTTGTTTTCATCAACTTCACTTGCAACTTGTGGACACCTTGAAAGAAGTCCATCACGTTCCACGGTGGATCGTTCTACAAACCTATGACTCTTGCAACGTTCATAATGCAGCACTGCCAAAAGAAACGTACGCAAGCATCTTCATTGCATAGACATTTCATATCGGATCAAAGGCCCCAGAAAACTCGGCCAAACCGTATCCATCTCTGCTGCATTGCCACCTCTTACCTTGCCGCAAGGTGGTTGCGTCCCGTTTGCTCATCTCTGGTCGATCCCACTGCAAATCTCTGCTACCATCCTTCAGTCTGCTTACATTCGCGTTACGACGTGCTCACCGCATCCTTGTACACCTCTTGCATCCCTCTTGCGCCAGTTCTGCCATCCAAGTATTGTTAACCGACTGCCCGTTAATATATCCTCTCAGAACCAAGTTTTATCCATTATGGGCCCTTTCAGAGCTTTGCCTCGGCTGAAACCAACAAAGAAGTTCTATTAATCGTGGGCAATTCTACATTTTTATTCCATCTTTACGTATTCCACTTAACCCCACAGGTGATGTTTTGATTCCTTCCATGCGCCAGTGTCAACTCATCAAACCTCCTGCTTCAAGCGATTCTGACAAGTTTGTGTACATTGAGATATTCGGGAAACCGGCATTTTTTTTGTCTGTGCGGATCGTATTGCACCACTATTCCGCTTTTAACTTTGAGTCTCTGCAGCTCCCATGCATGGTGGACAACGCGCATGGATATTTGAAACAGTCACTAATTATCATAAGGTCATTCAGCTCAAACTCAACCGGTCATGCCCTTGAAAAAAACACAAAGTCGTGTGTGTGGCTAATGAATGGTACGTAAGAGAAATTCAAGTCAGACATATTCTCCGGGCACAATGCTCGCTAGCGATGTTTACACCGAATGTAGTGGATTTATCACCCCTGCGGAGAAAATCGAGCAAATCCAGATCAGCCATGCATAATTTCCGCACCACGTGAGAAGTGAAGAAGCGGAAAAAAGATCACGTGAGTCTGCAGGAGAAAAAGAAAATAGAATAACAGCCGAGTTTTTATAAATCTTCGTCTTCAAGCCTCTATGTCACGTGGAGGGTCTTTACGAGATCGTCTACATCTGACTTTAGTGGAAAAAAAGGTTAGTTGTCAGTGTGCTTTTTTCATCTAAATTCTGTAGATTTACACTCCAGAGCATATTTAATTTTATTCTATTCTACCCCAAAGTTGCTCAGTCACGTGATCTATGTATCCCAACTTTCTAACCTCCATTAATCCCCTATGAAGTTTCATTTCGCAACAAAAGTCTAGATCAACTGAGCCACCCCCAGCCTTTGGAATCTAATGCTGCAGCATTCTCCCCTATTACATTGCTGAAAAGATCTGATTCGTTGAAGTCATGTCAAAACTAACTTGCGCTGGCTAAACTGATCGGTGTGCAGGAAAGCCAGCCTATTATTGACACCTCAGACGTCATTCGCAACCTGTCACTGTGGGTGTCCCCTTTTCAGCACTCTGGCTGATTTCCTGATCCAGCTTTGACAGCCAGCCCAATCGAATATATTGGGACTGTTCGCCAGCATAAATCGACTTGGTGACCGTAACTTCTTCTCCGGATTTTGATCTCAGGGGAAGAAATGCCAGCACAGAAAAAATATATAAGACAATCTAATGGCTGCGAATTAGTTCTTCTCATCATTAGTTTCTTCAACACTTCTCTAGTTTCACATTAAAAAAAAAGAAAATCACATTCTAGCTTCTTGCTATCTACATCTACTACAATATGCATCTTTCACTTGCCACTTTGAGCTTGGCTGCTTCTGCACTCGCTGCTTACATTCCATCGGAGCCTTGGACAACTTTGACACCAGAAGGTGACCTCTTGGGTGCTACCACAGACTACACCCACAAGTTTGGAATCCAGATTGTCACACTTTCGGGCCTGTACTCGGTAGATCCAAACCACCACAAGAGAGCCGTCAACCAGATCAATGATGGACAGATCCAGGAACAGACCCTGGTGCTGTTGTCTACTCCAGCTACCACCACTGCCTCAGTGATTAACCAGATCGGTGACGGTCAAATCCAGCATCAAACAACAACGGCATCCGTGGTCAATCAGATCGGCGATGGCCAGATCCAACATCAAACAACCACTGCTGCTGTCGTCAACCAGATTGGCGATGGTCAGATCCAACATCAGTCATACACTCCATCCACTGTCACCACCGCTCCCGTGATTAACCAGATCGGAGATGGTCAAATTCAGCACCAAACTGCCTCTGTTGTTAACCAAATTGGCGATGGTCAAATTCAACATCAAACTGCCTCAGTTGTTAACCAGATCGGAGATGGCCAGATTCAGCACCAGACTTCTTCTGCTTCCGTTGTCAAGCAAATCAGTGACGGACAGATCCAACACCAGACTTCTACCGCTTCTGCTGTGAACCAGATCTCTGACGGACAAATCCAGCACCAAACCTCATCTCACTCTACTGCCACTGGTGTTTCTCAAGTCAGTGACGGACAAGTGCAAGCTACTGACGTAGCCGGTTCTGATGACGATAACTCCGACATCCCAGTTGCATGTATCACATCCGAGTCGTTGACCATGACTTTGAAGGATTCTGTTTTGACAGATGGTTTGGGAAGAATTGGTGCCATTGTGGCCAACAGACAGTTCCAGTTCGATGGTCCTCCACCACAGGCTGGTTCCATCTACGCTGCTGGCTGGTCCATCACTGATGACGGACTCTTGGCCTTGGGTAACTCTGCCATTTTCTTCCAGTGTAAGTCTGGTGACTTCTACAACTTGTACGACACGAACGTCGCTGCTCAATGTGAACCAGTCCACCTTAGTGTGATTGAGTTGGTTGAGTGCTAAATGGGGGGTATATATAGGTTTGCTTTAAAATGAAATTTCGACTGATTTTTTTTGTAATTTTTATCCTTCTAATAATTTGTTTATCTTTCTAATAACTTGTCTTCCTCTCTCTGCCCTCTTTTCTTTTCTTTCTTTTCTTTCTTTCTTTTCTTTTCTTTTCCCTTTGTTTTTCCTTTCTCTTTCTTATCCATATTCAGTTAAATCTACTACTTCTACTATTGTCTTTCCCTTCCCTGGATTCGAACTATCTATCTTCTATCTCCTTAAGAATCCCTTTTGCTTCCTTGTGCCCGTATCCTGATTAGTCATGGTGTATGCCACACTGGTGTATAGTGAGTTTTCAGACTCTAAAATGTAAGCATCGTCACCGACTCCTTCGTCATAGTGTAAAGTCACTGAACTAAACAGCGCAAATGGATCATCCTCGTTATCGCTCTTTGGCTTGCTTGCAACAGTGGATGGCACTTCTTCTTGACTGAGCTTAGGCTCGGGCTTCTTGTCGTTCTTTTTGCTTTTGGTCAATACGGGGATCATTGGAGGCTTCTGGTTTCTGAGAAGCGCCCACTGTGTGTTTTTGAAAAATGCATGCGATTTGATGTCCGAGGCTCCCATCTTGGACCCCAAACGCTTTGTCTCATCCTTGATCAACAATTTCTTGATGAGCGACCGGCAGTTGGATGATACCAGCTGTGTGTCTAAAAACCGCACGTCACGCTTCAACACATTGCTGAACGTAGCCTTGCGGTCTCTCCCTTTGAAAGGGGTTGTTCCATAGAGCATCTCATAGATAAAAATTCCAAGTGTCCACCAGTCAACTGCACTTGTATGGCCCTTGCCTCTGATCACCTCCGGGGCAATGTATTCCTCGGTTCCGACAAATGAGTTTGTACGGAATCCGTCGATACATGCCTTTGTGTCGATGGTTGGATTGGCTGAGTGGTGGTTTTTGCTAAACTGAATCTCTGGATTTTTGGCACTGGCAGTTTGCTTAGATAAATCGAAGTCACTGAGCATAATGTGTCCCAGCTGGTGAAGCAAGATATTCTCTGGCTTCAAGTCTCTGTAGATGAATCCCATCAAATGTAAGTATTCCAATGCAGCCGTGACTTCAGCGGCGTAGAACTTTGCATCCTCTTCGCCGATTGTCTTTGTTTCTCTCGTTTGCAACGCTCTGAAGAATTCTCCTCCCATACAATATTCCATACAAAGATAAAGTGAATCCTCCAGCTGGAAAGAATGGTACAAGGTCACAATAAACGGGTGATTGCTAGTAGCCAATATCTCCTGCTCAGCCAAAGCTCTTTTGATCTTATTTCTCTCGATCATTTCCTTTTTATTGAGCACTTTCATAGCATAGAGCCGAGACAGCGCCTTTTCCTTGACCAAAAAAACCTTGCCCACGTCACCTTTTCCAAGGAGACGGATCTTAACAAAGCAACTTGGATCAACTTGGATATCCATGATTTTAGTGGCCAGATGCGAGTACATTCTACCCAGTGTATATGTTCTGCTTCTAGCCTTGGTAATTTTGAGCTCACCAATGTGTTCGTTGACGTCAAACTCCTTGGCTGGCTCCAGTGGAGGTGTTTTCTCACTGAGCATCCTATGGACTAGTGGAGCAGAGGCTACTCGGCGAAGAGTCTTTCGAAGACCACTGGCTTGAGATAAAAAGCTGGGATCATTGGCTCTATTCTCTGTGTCAATACGGCTGCTCTCACCTAATAAACCGGTGAACGACTTATTTCCTCTGAGTTTCGATTCCGGAGCAGGACTGTGTAAGTACGATCCTCCTGGGACAGGACTATCGGCCCCACTATATGAGTTGGATCCTCCACTGTAAGCGCTCTGATGCACAATGTCCTCCTCATCGATAAGTTGCTGCTCCACGGTCCTTCCCTCTCTACTTCTCCTTGGGCTTCTGTTATTGGCAAAAGACACCATTGAGTCATTATGACGGAGCGACACGGAAAGATGGCTCTTTGTCCCAAAGTTTCCCAGCACAGTGTCTCCTTCTAAGTGTGGAGGAAGACCCTGGTGGGCGAAATAGAGGCTCAGTTGGACTACTGGGCTGGTATCCAGGACGTCTTCATTTTCCTGCTTTTGGGCGACCTTGAACTGCTTGGGAGGGGTGGAAACCAGCCGCTTCCGACCCAATGAAAATACTCGAAGCATATTTGGAGTGGCCTCCTGCTTCAATGGAGTCTTGGGCACCTCTGTCGTGGAAGATGTGGTTCTAGGTGTTGGAGTGGAGGATTTTTTGTCAGACAGGTCCGTTTTGGAGTCACTAGTATCGGCTCTCGCATCTGAAGTGTCCTTAGTATCCTTCTCTTCGCTTTTGGTGTCTCCAGGCAAGCCCGGGATCTTGAATAACGAGCGGAACCTCGATAGGCTGCCAGGATGTTTATCCTCTCCTAATGAGTCAATGATCTCCACCGGAGGTGGGGTTGAAGCCGGTGTATCGCTATCCTTGAACAATAAACGGCTCATTGAAATGGACCGCCCGCGCAGGCTTCCCTTACTTGCTGCTGGAGGCTTCCAGATGTTGTCGTCTTCGGGATCCGGAGTTTTAGAGGTGTTCTGCTGAAAAAACGACTGATACAAGTTCACCATGGCTGTAACTCGGAATAAATGCTGCTATAGACGTTACAAATTGCTTTCACGCAAGTCTGGATGGATAGTGCCCGGTGTACTGAATCTGGAACGTCCAGTAGCTGCTATAAGTATTGGTGCCAGTCTTGAAATGGAATGGAGCGGTGAACCAACCAGCACTAGGATCAAATTGAGCTTTTGAACGGCTTTGACGTAAAAAGGGTCAAGCTAAAATGGGAGGAAGTCCAATTTCTCGAATCAAGGACGTGGCTGAAAATTTGGCCGTGAATATGGAGAAAGTGGAGTTGAGGTAGCTGGCAGGACTGGAGACTATATGTGGTGCACGGGTCTAGTGGGGGATCCGTGGAGGGGGATTTAGAAACCATTAGGGGAAGTCCACAAGCATAGAGGAAAAGAGGTGAAATTTTTAGATTTTTCGATCCGAAGAGATGGAAATAGCAATATTTGTAATTTTAAGGTTCTTTGCTCTTGTTTCCGATTTTTACGTCCCATCTTCCACTTTTCGTATTCTGTTCACTACAGGCAGAATATGTAGATAATGAGAATCGCGAACAACCTTCAAGTCATCTCAACAATTGGAAGTAGCCTACAGCTTTTGGCAACATATTGAGGATCATCCACTATTCAAAGTCCAGAAACACCATTTGATGCCGTCAGTGGAATCGCTTGTGGCACCTGAACACCTCCACTATGAGCAGGCTCTACTTCAAGATCCAGATAATGAGTCTGTGTGGCTAGATTATGTGGAGCTGGTGTATGGAGACATGCAGAAGGCTCGATTTGTTCTTGATCGTGCCGTTTCAAAGCTCCCTGCGTCATCACTATTATGGAATGCGTATTTTCTGCTTCCGTGGACCTACAAAGACTTGGATGTCCAGCTTTCTATCTACCAGAAGGCATTGGTGGTGATGGGCGCCAGTCCTGCCATCTGGATGCGGTACTTGGCATTGCTCAAGACTTGCGGCGACTACAAATTGCTAAAAAGAGAGTTGGACTCGGCATTGTTTCGGTTGGATCCCCAATACCACGGTCCAGTATGGAAAATCTACTTGGACTTGGCAGACAAGGTTGAGGGCCACTTAGGGGCGCAAATATACTACAGATACATTGAATCTGAAAACTTCAATGACGGGCCCAATATCTGCGTCGACGAAATTGCATTGAAAATAGCTGAATTTGGCAACTCCACCCTAGCTACCAACGTTGTCTCGACATTATGGACCACTAGTAAGCCTCTCTCGAGAATGTTAAGTCTGGTGATCAGCGACTTTTGTGATATTCTTACACAGTCACTGTTTGATGACGATGAGCACTTTGAGCAAATTTGTACGGATGCCATTGGCATGTTCCCAGATTTGGAGACCGAAATTCAGCTCAAATTGGCACAGTACTACGCCTCTCGTGATAACAGGAATCAAGCCTTTCATTTCTTTGTGTGTGGTATTCGTGCATCCAAAAGTACCAAAGACGTTACCACAGCGTTTGACAAGTTCACCGAGTACCTTGAACGGTCAAGTTCCGACCTTCCGGACCACCAACTTTACCTCTACGAAAAGCTTCTTGATGACAGACCGTTATATATCAACGATATTAAGTTGAAACAAGAAATCAACCTGGTTGATAACTGGCTCGAAAGAATCAATCTCCTTCTGGAGATGGGACGGAAAGAGGAAATGCTAAGCACCTATGTTGGGGCAATTAGGTCCATCAATCCATTGAAGTCTGTCTCTTCAGCCAACAACACAGTGGCTACCATATGGATCCAATATGCTGATGTTTATGTTGCACAGGGTGATTACGACACAGCCAACATCATCTTTTCAAGGGCAATCAAATCACAGTTTAAAACAATAGACGAACTCGTGGACATTCATATTGCATGGGCAGAACTCATGTTGGAAAGATCTGATGAGGACGCCCTCAATCACGTTATGGACTTGCTCAAGACAGAAGAAAGCTCCAATACTTCTGAAAATGCCTTAATACAGTCACCGAAACTCTGGGAGTTCCGTTTAGATTTGCTCAAGGCAATTTCCAATGGTGAGCACTCACTTGATAATCCTCAAACTGTGTTAGCAGAAATGCTCACATCCAAGGTCATTACGCTCAAGATTCTTCTCGACTACGCAGAGTACTTGGCATCTGAAAGGCTCTGGGACCGGTATTTTGCAGCTTTAGATATGGGGTTGGGTGCATTTATCCTGAGTGAGGCTCGATACGAAATCTGGCACCTCTATATTCCTAAGCTTGAACAGTTGCACAGTGACAAATTGGACACTTTGAGACAAGCATACGAAAAGTGTACAGAGCAAGTGCCTATTTTCAAGTGCATGGAGTTCTATACCAAGTACGCTCAGTTTGAGAAGAAGAATGGGTTGATCAACAAGGCGGTAAGGATCCTTAAGCAATCCATTACGAAGCTAACAACAGCGTACGATGATGAAAGGAAATCGTACTCTAGACCCGAACTCAATCAAATTGCCGATAACAAATTTGAAATCTACGTGATGATCGTGGAGATGATTTCACAATATTTGAAAGACGTGGAAATGGCACGGGAGGAGTTTGTCATAGCTGTGGAAGACCAGCACTTGACTACACCAAATACGCTAGATCTTTGTCTCCGATTCATCAAATTTGAGACCTATAACAAGGAGTTTACCCGAGCACGCGCTTTGTTCAAATATGCTGGCGGACTTGGTAATCCTCAACACCATATGATGAAGAATATATGGAAGGCCTGGGAAGAGTTTGAACTTGAGAATGGAACAGAAGTCACATATAAACAGATGCTCAAATTCAAAAGAGAAGTGGCTAAAGATCACGAAAAGATGGAGGAAGCGAAAAGCTCCATCAATCCAATGGGTTTCACGAAGGGATCAATCGCTGTGGACAAACCAACTTCCGCAAACCCCGACGCGATCGAATTGGATATGGACATGTAAAATAGAATCAAAGGGTACAGTTTACTTTTCTACATTTGAAACAATATTTAGATCAATGCGTGTATGCGTACATTTGGCCATAATATCATTACATTTTCTTAAAGATTTCCTTCCATTTGTCGAGGAAGGATTCCAAGTTCATCATTTCATCACTGGAGTGGTTGAGTCTGATAGACTGATTTCCCCTCACAAGTTCTCCAGTGCTATTCCAATTGATATGGTAGAATTTGAATACGGTAAGTAAGCATGCTTGATACATCTTAAGAAAGTTCAGCTTCTTGCTCTTTGGAGAATTGGAATACAACACAAGAAGTTGCAAGAAGATGCCAACCAAACTCAAAGATGATGACTTGTAGTAAATCGAAGACAAATTAAGATCCGCCAAGCTCTCCGCAGAACTTGTAGCCAGGTTACCATTGGCACCTTCGAGAAACTCTGCCGATTGTTTGGCGGATGTCAATTGTGCAAAGCCCCCTTGGGAAACAATAGGTGTGGATGGAGCACTCAAGCTCAACGGAAGCTTGTCATTAAGTTGAATAAGAAGCTCAAAAAAACTTCCGGAATTCAAATATTCGAATTCTTTTAAGCTGTCGAACTTGCTTAGAATCTTGTAAGGCATGCTCGATGTTGACATACCAGACAAGTCCTTCCAATTCTTCAACTTCTTGTTCAAATCTCCGAGGATCTCTTCGTTGAAAACGTTCTTGTCAAATAGCTCAATCAAAATGCAAATATTCTCAAATGTTTCTTGGGTCTGGAAAAAGATCAAAAACATGGGTATAATAAAGATCTCATGATGCTTTTTCAATCCACCATCAGAATACGATTTGAGATAAAGAAGATGTTTGTAGTTAGCTTTGAAGGCATCGATATCAAACTCCGAATCTTTTCTATTGGAAACTTCCCGAATGAAGTTTACGTAAACTGGTCGCAGAAGAACAAGGTTGATCACTTTATCAAATTCTGAATCCTTCATGGCCTTCATCTGAGCTGATAAAGACTGATATTTGGTCTCGAGTGCTGCCAAATTCTTCTTGACTTGATCACTGTAGCCCTCTGCTGAATTCAAGGTCAACACTTTCATAAAGAAATCAAAGCAGAACTTTTCAGATATCAATGACTCCCAAGCAACTTTCCTAAGTTTCTCCTTCTCGTATGATAACTTGCCTGCAAATTCTTTATCATCATTAATGGTAATCATCAACTTGAACCAAACTTGTTGATTCAAAATGAACAGTTCTCCAAGTTTTCTTCTAGCTCCATTTTGCTGCTTGGAATTGATTTCAAAACCGGATAATACTCGCTTAAACTCCTTGTTGTGTTTAACTTTATCGGATGCACACTTGGGAGGTAAGTTGATGGGTCTTGACTGATCTATCATCTCAAGCTTCTCTGGTGACATGAGCGTAAGATCATCGATGGAGCTCTGTGAACGGATATAATTAGGAAGCTTGTAAACCATGTGCGCCTCTCGTGATTGCTTCACCAACTTCGAGTAAGACATGGACCTCTGTCCGTAAAACTCCGAAATGTTCTGAGATATCTCACCGTCATTATCATGTGCAAAAGGAAACAGATTTCCTTCTTCGGCGAACTCCTCCAGCGTGTTGTATGGCGCATGCTCAGGCATCGAGCCCAAAGTAGTGTCAACACTCAAAGTGGAGTGGTTGAGACGGCCAGGAAGCGGACATGGTTTCATGGAAGCCATGTTGCTGTGTGGGTGGTATTTGTTATCGTCATCCATAGAAAGATCGTTGTGCGAGAGCATTGAAGACGAGGAATGGTGACGATAACGGTACATTTCTCCAAAGTTTTTGACGACTGGAACATTGAAAACCAAATCTAAGTCATTGGAGAGAATCTCATCATCGTTGTCAAAATCATCATACACCTTTTTGCGTAGCTGCTGGCGTTCTTTTTTCTCCTTGGGATTGTAGTACTTTGTTTTGGTCCGCGTCAACAAGAACGATGACGAGACTGTTCTCGTCTTTGAAAGTGGCACGATCAGATGCAGATCCATGACGCTCGATGTCGACATCGCTCTGAGCTTGGGCTTGACCATTCTATTTGGTATCACATCAGTCAAATCTGAAGCAGACACGTCGTTTTCTAAAGTAATCGTCAGGATTGATGCGCTCATTTGGTCAACATCCTCCTCTGCAAGAGTATTTTTCTCGGAAACCGGCTTCGATATGCTACTGTCTGCGTTTTTTGTCAGATAAAGTGTGTTCATGGTCATGGAACTTAAACGAGAGTCTGGAGGATCAAACTGCGATGAAGCCAACAGAGAGACGTCATCCGAGTCCTTAGAAGTGTCGGAGCTTGTGACAGAGATCCCCGAGGCAGGTCTTCTGACCCGAGGCAAATTCGAAGAGCTGTTTCCAAGCTTCTGGATATAGTAATCACCGGGTCTTTTCGTCTCACTTAATGTGGCAAGCGAAGAGGTCAGTCCAACCCTTCTAGGTGGTATTCCGGGATATTTTTTCTTCAGTTTCAGAGTACCGATGGATATCTCGTATAGATTCTGGTCGTTGAGCGAGTGCAGCGACACGTTTGGGTGGTACATAGCGAATGAATAAAGTGAAAGACCAGTTCAGACTGTGGGCTGAGCAACCACGAACAAATGACTGAAGTCAATGACTTGAGGGAGGGGACAAGTTCGGCAAATGAGTGGAAACCACGAATGTATTGCAGCAACCAGAATCAACAGGAAAAAAAAAATATAAAAAAAAATATAGAGTACAAATTCTTCTCAAGTCAACAAAAATAGACAGGGAGCCTCCAAGGAAGAATCGGTAGTAGTGAGACTGAATCAAGCTTTTACACAGGTCGTGCGGGCCTGAATAGGTTGTGTCTGACACTTTTGTGGATTCACCTGCACTTGCCTGCTATTATTAGAGAGTGCCCAATTGGGAATAGGGCTTGAAGATTGAGGTGTGGAAGGCGAAGTAGGCGAAACTTATACTGGAAGTGCAAGGCTTGAAAAATTTAGAGTGTGGATATCAGGGATCTGGGGTTTGCGGGGTGAATGCTTCTGGCTGCTATTCCCCTATATAGGCCAGGGTGGTCTGGCTGACATTCCAGGTTTGGAACAAAAGAACTTTCGCGTAGGTTGCCGCCTCTATGCACACGAAGGAGCGATGATTGCTCTCAGGGAAATTGCCGGCGCGCTTGGGCGTTCTGGAAGGCTAGAACTGGAAATTGATTGTTCGGTAACTCGAACTTTCAATGGGATTTCGTAATTTGGTAGTTGGTTGAAGGGTGACTTTCGGTATACCTAGGTAAAAATTTCGGGGTTGATTGATTCTTTTTTTTTTATCTCTGGTTTTATTCTGGCATTGTTCTCGTTGTTCACGTTTCATCGTATTCACGCATCTTGGCCGGCTAAATCGTGGGTCGTATTTGTTTTGGTATTTTTTGCCATAGTGTGTCCATTGTTTTTGTCCAAGATCGATTGAATCCAACGGGAATGTTGCATTTACACGATAAGCGTTCGCGACGGTTTTATGGCGAATGATAAACACTCGATGAATGTCTGACAAGCAATTTCGACAAGCATTTTGGCCAAGTTCGACAAGACTTTTGACAGCTTTTCACAGCTTTTGACAGATCTCGACATCTTTTTCAACCGCATTGACACACATCAGATTTTAGCAGCATTTGACAAAATTCGTGGCAAGCTCCTAGAATTCTTATCCACCACCCAACTTTCTTCATCTTGTCGTCTAACCCAGCCCCTTATGCAATGTAATGGTATGTGCTGGGCATTTCATCGTCTCTCTTCAAATACTCCTTCTCTATCAAATCCTCAATGCGCTGCTTAATCAATAATGTAGATGGCTGGAATCGGTTCTGAAGTTGCTTGAGCAATTGCACGATCAAGTCGTTGTGATTGATCGTCTGATTCGCCTTCATGATTCTCACAATGGCAGAATTCACCACATGCTTACGTCCTTCCTCGATATTGCTTCTCACTTCGTCAACCTCTTCCTGCTTGTCTGACTTTTTTGTCAGTTCCGTCTTGGATGACGACAGCGACACAGTAAGAACTTTGACCTTGGATGTAGGCGATTTGAAGTTGCTATTAAGCTTGAAAACATCACCCGGATTCACATCCTTCGACATTGGCGTTTTCACCAATAGCCTCAGCCGAGGTGCCACCGCAATCAGCTGAAGTTGTCTTTTGAGGTCGCCTTCTGGAATTTTGGTCAATTCCATGATTTCCTCGTATGTCAATTCTCTCTTCTCCTCAAACGCCAGCACTGGCTTTCCTGAAGAATTTGATGACTGTGGGGCAAAAAGCAACATGATCACTCCAGCATAAGTGGACATGTTGATATCATATGTTCTTGACGGATAAGTGATTCGGAGATCCATCAGTCCGAACTTAGGGGACCAAAAAAGCGACTTATTATCGTTTCTTTTACCCGTGAGCCAATACTCTTCAAACTTTCTCATGGTTTCTCGTAGCATTTTGGGCCAAATGAAACCAATTTGTCCATCCTCACTCACAAAGCTCTTGTAGTCTTTTGTCATAGACTTTGGCCAATCAGAGACGTTACAAATCTTTAAATCAAGTTCTACCAGCTTGATTTGGTTATTGGAGGCGTAATTCTTCCATTCAAGTGTAAGTTCAGCAGACAGCTGCACGTCTTTCTTCATTCTGATGATTTTCTCCAATGATGCACTGCCCAATTCCTCTCCCAACTTGGCAATCACTAGCTCCTCTAAATCTCCACCGTAACTACCCCCATTAGAAATTGCTGTTGAGCCTTTTGCATTAAGAAACCTTTTGGCAAAATGTGCCGCGTAGTGAACTTCAAAGGCGTCCTTATCCTTCACAAATCCAAGGAATGCAACAGCCTTATTGATAAATTCATCTGTTTCATCAACAGAGACGTTGTTATCGTTAACAGTCCGCTTTGCCCCATTGGATTTGGTCAATTGCTTGATATGGAAGTCCATATAGACTGAAAGCAATTCTGGAGCATTTGTCGTTGGGACAATGGACTGACGCTTCTTGGGTGCTCCATTTGAACTGTTGACAAAATCTCTCATGGCAGAAAAAATAGTGTGCTCAATAGATCCGTTTGAGGAAAATGCGTCCTTTACAAGATTTCTGAATTGTTTCTGATACTCCAACACAGTGTCAATCCATCTAGTAGCGAAAGCTGCCGAAGTTGCGTTGACAGACGCCTTCTTCAGTCCCGACGCAGCGGTAGCCGAAGCCTGCTGCTCCAAGGCTGCCATTACAAGGTCAGGAAGCAGAAGTCCTTGAGAATATACAGCATCCTTCAATCTGAGCTTGAGAAGCTTTCGTTCCAGGTCTATGCGCCCAATAAGAGTATATAGGATGCGGAGTTCGACGGTACTATTGCGAAGGGATGTCAATGGATTGTGGGATACGTTGAGCACGGTTGCATCCAAAAGCGGTTGTAACCAATACAGAAGACCTTCTTGTTCAACGGGCAAACAGATGATCTTATCAATCTTATCCTGGATGAGGATATTGTTCATCAAGGTTATGACTTTGGGATATGTTCTGCCAGGCACAAAGTACTTGGAGCGATTCTCCTCCTCCTGAACAAATTTGTTGACATGCACTAGGTAGGCAGAACCCTTGAGCCGCATGATATAGTCGTTAGCTAAGTTGGAGAAGAAAAGTTCCGAGCTCTTCATAAACTCCGGCTCAAAGTGATCATGATACAAGCTATCGCGTGGAGCGCTGGGCACCGAAGCTTGTGTACCCAGATGCTCTTGCAGTAGCATTTCCAACATGGTGATGACCTGCGAGATGTACAGCCGAGTGGTGATGACCTCGCCGTTTCTACTTTTGGAAATCTCCTCGAGAACTACCGAAATCAATCTGGACCCGACCTCCATGTTGTTGAAACGGATGAAGTTGATGTCAAAGAGAACCATACCCAAATCGTAGATGAGCAACCGTTTGTTCTCCTTAACATAAACTCGGTTAAGGTACATGAGAACGTCACTAATGAACTTCATCAGTTGTAAGTTTTCTGACCATTCCTTGACCACAGCCTTGAGAAACTCCTCGTTACTCCACCACAAGTTGGAGTCAAAGGACAGAAGTAGTGATTGGCGTCTGTTTCGGAGGTGTTGACCAATTAGTGCCGCTACATCATCGTAAAGCCTACCTCCAAACTTTCGAAGCACTAACGTGTAAGACTTTCGATACAATTGCTCATACAGTAAGTTGTAGACACTTTTGTTCTGGATCTGGACTATAGCACTCGCTAGCACCTGCCAAGAGGCGTCGTAGTCGAGGGCGTCCAGAGAGGAGTCCAGTGAGGCAAGCGACTTGCGAGGTGGACGGATTTTAGACCGTCTGCTTCCAGCAGGCAACATGGTAGATGTGAATAGAGAGGAGTTGGAGTGAGTTGGAGATGGAATATAAGTGGAGTGGATACAGTGCGCGAGGTAGATATATTCGAAATGGAGGAGGTGGTAAGTGACGGATTGTAAGAGCAATAAAGGCGAAGGAAATGAGAGAGGTATTGGAAAAATTTTAATGGAGGGTATATGAATAGATAAATGGGAAACTTGAGGCTATGGTGCAAAAACCTGAGATTGGGTGTGTTGAGTAGACTTGTGCGATTGTTGAAGTCGAAGTATGTACTGGAGTTCAGATGACTAGGGGACTACTTCGGGAGAGAAATGAAATAATGGAAAGACAGAGATGAGGACAGAAATAAGAAAGAGAAATAAACGACAGAAATTAATGACAGAATAGAAAGTCAGAAATCTTGTAGGGGCTAGGTATTGAAAGATGGTCTTAATATTAAGATATTAAATACTTGAACCTCAACCAATAGTGGTGGATAAAGAATACACTGGTAATTAACAACAGACTTTGATATCACGTAGAATGAATTCAGTCATTATTAGAGCAATGTTCACGTCGCATAGGTAGATACGATGAACCACTCAGAAATGGCCAGCTAAAGTGAATTTTCCAAACTATAAGTCTTGATGAAACTTGAGATTTCATCAGTTTCAAATTCAATTTACCATAATAGAGAGCACGTAGTTGCTACAGCACTACGGGCTCTCTCTTCTTCTTACGGTCAAACCCCATCGATCAAACCTAACTATTCATTCTCTCGGACCCTACTCAATGCAAACTGACAGAAGCTTTTCAATTTGTATTCATCACATATCAATCATCGATCACAGTATTTTTCACAGATAAATCATCTATGGAGTCATTCTCATAAACAAAATGTAAGCTAAGTAAGATTTCGCAGCCAAAGAATATCTCAATTGCTTGTGATCATAATGATTGCAAGGAACGTTCTCCATATTGGTTTTTTTTTTTGCAGTATTTTATATTTTATGCAAATTTTGTCCACCTGGTATACACTTCTTAGTTCTTCCACCTAGTGTGTAACGATTATCTGGTTAGTTAGCCAATCAACTATCTCAACTACACTGCTCTCTTACGTGGGCTTCTATCTCACCTCAGTAGTTGAGACGACCACTACCTTTATGTTGCATATTTCATACATAGAACTACGCCATTAAAAGAAATCGGAATGCTAACTTATAGAGACTCATGCATTGAAACAGAATCTGGTCATTCATCTGGGAATTATTCGTTGTGTTAGAAAGATTGTGTTTCAAAACTTCGCTTGAACATTTCATCAACAAGCCGATCAAACATTTCTTTCCATTTCATTACAACAATTTTATCATTTCCCTTTCAAATCTACATCTCATGATATTGTTTCAATACTTCATCTCCTGCACCTCTGAGTCACTCTCTATTACTCACCATTATCACCAAAACATCCCGCTCACCGAAATATACAAAAAATGGTCCTCCCACAACGTTTGAAATTTCTCCATGAACTACAACACAGCCAATTAATTAGCAAAGTAATTCGATTCTTTCTTTCTAATGCAATTCTTATTAATTTATCAGCTGCATTGCTCTCAATTCTGAAACCAACCAATACGTTGCTCACACCCGTGCACCAGGTCATTTGACAGGGGACAAATTTTCCCCCCAGTTCCACCGGAACCGGCATTGACACCTTTCTTAAACGGACACTAATTATTGGTGTACGGGTGCAACATTTACAAATCTCGCCCGTGTCATTGGCCCGCTCCCCCGCGCCCGCTACCGGCCCGCTACCGGCAACCTATTGAAAAATCCTCCGCTATATATACTTAATCCTCCCATAATTTCTTCTTCTCCACAACCATGCCTGTTTCAAACAACAGCCCCAAAACTTTGTATGACAAAGTGTTCCAGGACCACATCGTCCACAAAGACGAATCTGGCTCCTACCTCATTTACATTGACCGTCACCTTGTGCACGAAGTCACATCTCCACAGGCATTTGAAGGCTTAAAGAATGCTGGCAGAAAAGTCAGAAGATCCGACTGTACTTTGGCCACCGTCGACCATAACATCCCTACGGACTCTCGTATTAATTTCAAATCTATCGAGACATTTGTGGAGCAGGAAGACTCCAAGTTGCAGGTGATGACCTTGGAACAGAACGTCAAGGATTTTGGCGTCACCTACTTTGGCATGACCGACGACCGTCAGGGTATTGTGCATGTCATTGGTCCCGAACAGGGTTTCACGCTTCCGGGAACCACCGTGGTGTGTGGTGACTCGCACACCTCCACCCACGGAGCCTTCGGAGCTTTGGCTTTCGGTATTGGAACCTCGGAGGTCGAGCACGTCTTGGCCACTCAGACTATCATCCAGGCCAAGTCTAAGAACATGAGAATCAGTGTCAACGGTGACTTGTCTCCAGGCATTACCTCCAAGGACTTGGTCTTACATGTTATTGGAGTCATTGGTACTGCTGGAGGTACCGGATGTGTCATCGAGTTTGCTGGAACTGCCATTGAGGCATTGTCCATGGAGGCTAGAATGTCCATCTGTAACATGGCTATCGAGGCCGGTGCCCGTGCTGGTATGATCCGTCCTGACGAAATCACCTTCAACTACTTGAAGGGCAGACCTTTGGCACCATCTGGTGCCGAATGGGATAAGGCCGTCAAGTACTGGTCCACTCTTCACTCGGATGAGGGTGCCTACTTCGATTACGACATCAATATCAATGCCGCAGACATTGTGCCCACCATTACTTGGGGTAACTCTCCACAGGATGCCTTGCCAATCACAGCCCGTGTTCCAGACCCATCCACGGTGTCTGACCCCATCAAGAAGGCTGGAATGGAGCGTGCTCTCCACTACCAGGGCTTGGTGCCAAACACACCTCTTCAGGAGATTCCTATCGACAAGGCATTCATTGGTTCATGTACCAACTCTCGTATCGAAGACTTGAGAGCTGCAGCTAAGGTTGCCAAGGGCCACAAGAAGGCCGACAATGTTAAGTTGGTATTGGTTGTTCCTGGTTCCGGTTTGGTCAAGACTCAGGCCGAGAAGGAGGGATTGGACAAGATTTTCGAAGCTGCCGGTTTCTCATGGAGAGAAGCTGGATGTTCTATGTGCTTGGGTATGAACCCAGATATCTTGGACCCTGAAGAGAGATGTGCCTCTACTTCTAACAGAAACTTTGAGGGACGTCAAGGTGCCAGATCTAGAACCCACTTGATGTCTCCAGCTATGGCTGCCGCCGCAGCCATCAAGGGTCACTTTACTGACATCAGAGAGTGGCAGTACGACACCTCGGACGAGCCAGCTGTCCACATCGACTCCAACGAGGATCAGGAGTTACAGGAAGCTGTTTATGAGCACGAGAAGCAGCCATTGGAGTCATCCGAGTCGTTGGCTGACGACCGTCTTAAAGACATCCCTCACGAGGAGAAGACTGCCCCAGTCGCTGCTGCTGGTGGTATGGACAAATTTGGTGTTTTGACCGGTATTACCGCTCCTTTGGACAAGGCCAACGTCGACACCGATGCCATCATTCCTAAGCAGTTCTTGAAGACCATCAAGAGAACTGGATTGAAGAAGGGATTGTTCTACGAGTTGAGATTCGAGAAGGACGCTCAGGGAAAGGACGTTGAGACAGACTTTGCATTGAACGTGGAGCCATACAGAAAAGCCGAGATTTTGCTTGTCACTGGTGACAACTTTGGCTGTGGTTCTTCTCGTGAGCACGCTCCTTGGGCCTTGAAGGACTTTGGTATCAAGTGTATGATTGCCCCATCTTTTGGAGACATTTTCTACAACAACTCGTTCAAGAATGGTTTGCTTCCTATCAGAATCTCCCAAGATGTGATTTTGGACAAGTTGTACCCATTGGCTGTTGCTGGCAAGAAGCTTACTATTGATTTGCCTAACCAGCAGATTAAGAACGGCGAGACTGGTGAAGTTTTGGTGGAGCACTTTGATGTCGAGGAGTTCAGAAAGCATTGCTTGATCAACGGTTTGGATGACATTGGATTGACTTTGCAGAAAGAGGAGTACATCAAGAAGTTTGAGGAGAGAAGAAGAGACGTTTTCTCGTTCTTGGAGGGAGGTTCGAGTTTGGTCAAGCCTATTAAGGGAACCAAGAAGTCCAAGTATGGCAACCGTGCCCAGGAGTGGTAATTGCATTTAGAACAACATGGGAATGTATTAATAAGTGATATGATGTAGATGACAAAAGTAGAGGAATGGTTAGGAGGTATAAACTGGTGTCGACATGCTCTACTCTACGGTGTAAAATTACTTTTTAGGCCTTGTCAACGTACTACGAATATATAAATGTTCAAATTGAATTTCGTAAATACAAGAGGATATCAATTGGCTAGTGAAAGTAGTATTTTTTTCATTAACCTGTGAATGCTCTAAACTTAATTATGATCATGATCCTATTACCTCTCCGAAAAAAGTTGTCTTATACTTGCAGTCGACAATAATTCCTCTCAGAAAAATTCTTATTATTCAAACACCTCAAACTATAAACCTCCAGATCTTTTATTTTTCTGCTTTTTTTCCACCATCTTATCATGTTGGGCCTCCATTTCGTTCTCTATAGCCCCAGCCACTAACAGCCCAGATTATGTACACCACCATCATTCATCTACAACTTACTCATCTTCCCCAAATGCACAGAATAAACACTGGTGTCCTACTAATGCGTCGCTACTCGCAGAAAAATGATGCCATCCACTTGGCAGACGCTCTTGGTCTCTTATCGCCCCGCCGAAACGTCAAACCACCGCCAAAGAAACTCACCACTCAGCCTTATAGGCCGCTGATCTTCACTAACCTTAGCAAGGGGCCCGTGGCTGAACATTACAATGAAATCAAAAAGGATCTTTTGGCTGACTACAAGATCCCCATGGTGGACCATTCGAGACAGATGGATACGCTTCTCAAGGATCTCCGAGCTGTCAATGAGATCTCCCATAGAAATGTGCTGCAGAAGAACTTATATAACCACGTAAAGACGCTCCAGAACGAGGATGAGCTCATTGAGTTGACTAACCTCTCATTCTATCAAAATCGCTTGACCATGCCGCTTTTTACAAGATTCATCATGAACAAAAACCTAACTGACCTTTCACGACTTCCCTTCAACGTTCAGAACATCGACAAAGTTGTGCTAGCGAGAAATGGATGGACTGACGTGAACTTTGCGGAGTTGAAGGTGTTGCTAATGAAGAAATACCACGATCTTAACAAACCGCTTCTAATTGTCAAACTCTTGAAGGACAACTTCGACAGCGAGTTCCTTCCATTCATCAGACTGCGCCAATTTTCGCCCTTCTACGAGCGAATCGTGTGGAAGTTCTATTTTGACTACATATCGCAGAATGAGGCAGAGTATATCAAGTCGCTAGATAATGTCCGGTCGTCGTTCATGATCTGGGAGGCGTCCTCGGCAAAATGTTCCGAGATTGCCCAGGTTATGCTAGCACACCACGAGCCCAGTGGGCTACAGCAGTTATTCTTGCAGCTTTGCAGTAGCAATGCCGTAGAAAAGGTGGTTAAATCGGACCTTTCGGAAGGGAGGTCTCTGCTCCTCTCAAGTCTCAAAAAGACCTCGGTGAAGTTCAAGATTTACGATATCAAAACCACCGCTACGGAAAGCGTTGCCAATAGAGCATTGAGATACTCGCTTATCCACGCGATAGAGAACGTGGTCAATGGCCATTTTGGCAACTGGCACCAGGATGTCCAGTTGGCAGCCATTATGGACCAAATGAAGCATTGCCGTACAGATATGGTGCACCAGGGAGTCCCACAGCCGGACACAGAGAATATGGGGGTATTTACGAATTAGGATATTTTAAGAGTATAATTAGATCCATTTTGTAAAGCTCAAACAAAATTGCTGGCCAATCAATAATTCCAGTCTACGCCATCTTCTGTTCTGTGATATACCCGATTAGGACCAAGCGCACTTTATATAATGTTCACCGTACTACTTCCACTTATCACCACTCATGAAGGTTGTCTCAGATAGGCAGGTGGTGGAGCATTTACTAGCTACTCTTAACAAAGAGTCCATTGTCAACGACTACCAGCCGGCACTTTTGTCAGCACTTTCCAATTACGAGAAAGATCCATCTGTATCTCCAGAAAGAACCGTCCAACTTTCCAATACCCCAGGCTCAGACACTACGCATTTGTTCATGCCATGTATTGCTCCACATGGAGTTGGTGTCAAAGTTGTTTCGGGTGGTCCGACCAACGGGAGCAAAGGTCTAGGATTCCAAGGATGTGCGGTTATACTTGACGAATACACCGGCGAATTATTGGCCATTGTCAATGCTAAAGCACTCACAGCGTTCCGCACAGCATTGGCTAGCACGTTTGGATTGATCAAGGTGTTTGACGTGAAAGAAAGCGGAGTTATGCTCCCGGAATTGCTGGTGTTTGGAACAGGTCCGCAAGCGTTCTGGCACGCCGTTTTAGCGGGCAGACTCTACCCTCAGATAAAGAGAATTAACGTTGTGAGCCGCACATTGAAGTCTGGAGAGAATCTTGCGGCAGAATTGGCTCAGGTGTTACATCAAGACGTGGTGGCTTTGGAGCTCACCGACAAAGAGCAAGTACGGACTCATGTACGCAACAGTAGCATCATATTTGGCTGTACTCCCTCGACAGAAGGCATTATTCTTGGTGACTACATAGACGACGATCCTAACAAGAGGAAGTATATTTCGCTTATTGGATCTTACAAGCCACACATGATTGAGCTCAATCTCGAGTTCATTAAGCAGCATTTCACGGGAAAGAAGACGAAGATTTTGGTTGATTCTAAGAGCAATACATTGTCTGAGGCTGGAGAATTGATTCAGGGCGAAATTGGCAAAGATCAGTTGGCAAGCTTGCTGGAGTTGATGACGGGCGAAGTCGATATCGGCGATTGTATTACAGAAACGGGAGTGGTTGTTCTGAAGATTGTGGGGCTACTGATCATGGACATTGCGATGGCCAAGTTTGTGATGGAAAACTGTGAGGGGCTGGTAGTGAATGAATTCTAAGCATGGTAGACAAGAACACTGGACAAACTTGGAAAAGTACCATAGAGTGAAGATAAAGGAAAGGAGAATACGAAAAGCAGGGAAGGAAAGCAGGAAAGAAGAGTCAAGAATTAGAGTCAGCAGAAAAATTTATACAACTCTGGCCAGATCCCAGATGAATGATTGTGAATTTCAGATCTCACTAAAGAGCGAGAGATGTGACCATTAAGTAGAGACCACACTCCAAGCTTCAATCACCCATATCCAAAGCCAGTCGATATGATTGAAATAACATTCGATTCCAATACATAAATCTCTCCATTCAAATAATACAATCCTTCCAATCTATCAAAACTCGGCCCATTTTAGAAAGCCGTCCTTATCTACATTCTCACCCAATCGAGCCAAATCCGATAAGAAGTTCACTTCTATGGTCTATTTCCAACAAAAATAATGAGTTGATACCCTTCCATTTTACCTCAAAGCTTCGTAAATATTCATTAATCATTATCGAACCCATTTCAATCATTCAGCAATCTCCTGCTTCCCTTACCTTTTTCTTTCCTCATCTCCACAAACCTCATTATACTCATGGACGTCGCATGCACACCCAATTAGGTTGGCTTATCAACCACACGTTCTTCTTCCAACATGGAGAAATCCGAGCCCTTTTCGGCCTTTAACACCAAAAAAGCTTCGTGGAAGTCCCGCATCTTCTCGCGGACCGGCGCTCTTTACGCCATTATCTTCTTTTTGGTGGCGTCACACCTTCACTTGTCTTGCCCAGTTCGCCATGCCCAGAAACCAAAAAAGCAGAACGTCATCTTCATGGTGACCGACGGCATGGGCCCGGCATCGTTGTCACTTGCTCGCTCTTTCAAGCAGTACAGAGACCACTTGTCTATTGACGACATTTTAACCATCGACAAGTACCTTACTGGATCTTCGAGAACCAGGTCATCCAGCAGTTTGGTGACCGACTCTGCTGCGGGAGCCACGGCTTTTAGCTGTGCTCTCAAGTCTTACAATGGTGCCATTGGCGTGGATCCTCACAAGAACGCCTGTGGAACCATTTTGGAGGCGTTGAAGTTGGACGGATACCTTACAGGATTAGTTGTGACCACCAGAATCACCGATGCCACGCCAGCAGCATTTTCTGCACACGCAGACTACAGATTCCAGGAGGACTTGATTGCACAGCACCAGTTGGGTGAATACTCGTTGGGTCGTGTCGTGGATTTAATTATTGGAGGAGGCAGATGTCACTTTTTGCCTAATTCCGAAGGTGGGTGTAGAGCTGACTCTAGAAACTTGGTGGAAGATGCCAAGAAGAACAACTGGACATATGTGGGAGACCGTGAAAGCTTTGACGCTTTGGACGGCGGAAACAACGTCCAGTTGCCTCTTTTGGGACTTTTGGCTAACACCGATATTCCTTACGACATTGACAGAGACTCGGCTGAATACCCATCGTTGGCTGAGCAGGTCAAGACTGCTTTGACAGCGCTTAGCAAGGCCACCGAAAATTCAGACAAGGGCTTCTTTTTGCTTATCGAAGGTTCTAGAATTGATCATGCTGGCCACCACAACGATCCTGCTGCTCAGGTGAGAGAAGTTTTAGCATACGACGATGCATTCAAGGAAGTTATCGACTTCATTGACTCTTCTGACGTTGAAACCGTCGCCATCTCCACATCTGACCACGAGACTGGAGGTTTGGTCACCGCCAGACAGGTTTCACCAAGCTACCCAGACTACTTGTGGTACCCACACGTTTTGTTGAACAGCACGCACTCTGGAGAACATTTGGCAAGAAAAGTTTCTGAGACCAAGAGGTCTGGTAAGTTTGACGCTACCGTGTTCGGTCTGTACGTCGCCAAAGAAGTGATCGAGAAGGACATGGGAATTGCCAGCTACACTAAGGAGGAAGTTGAGCAGATTTGCGAATTGAGTGACAAACCCGACCAGCTCTTGTACTTCCTCAATAACATGATCTCGGTGAGATCTCAAACCGGCTGGACCACCCACGGCCATTCGGCTGTGGATGTGAACATCTATGCTCATTCCAACTCTGCCAGAATTAACTCGTTGCTTTACCACCGTGCTCCATACACTGGACTTCTTGGAAACCATGAGAATATCGAAATTGGCTCGTTCATGGAGAAGTTAACTGGTGTCGACTTGCTGGAGATCACCAAGTTAGTCCAAGGTGCCAACAAGCAAGATGCAACAGTAGCAATCAAGGAAGATGCTACAGTGGCTTACAAGGATGACGTCCATTACCATGCTGTTGAATGGAATCAAATTTAATGGAGTTACCATTGTTTCTGAGTACGATTCGTGAGCTTGAGTACTAGATATTTGTTATTATTCGTTTGTGAATCGTTCCTAATTCTACGAGAGTTTGACACAATTTCTCAAGTTGGAAAGATCAATCACATTTCATGAATACGTCTGTTATTAGTTCATATTGAAAGTCTATATTGATACGCTATTAATCGATTGGTTGTCTATATAATATCACAGGTATGAAATCACTAATCTTGGTGAACCGTGTAGTCGCCACTACAAAGTTTAGCACGCAAACCAGCACCAAATTTGTAAAAGCAGAAAGGAATGAGAATCATAGCCAAGGACACAAATGCCAAAAGCCAACTGGCCCATTGAAGTCCCAAACCCTCATACATCTGGGTAACAAACAAGGGGAAGGCAGCACCTCCAGCACTTCTTAAGAAAACCTTTGTGGCCAAGGCAGAGGCGGCATATTTGGCATAAGTATCAATGATATAGTTGTTCAAGGAATAGTAAATCAAAACCATTCCATAACCAAAGGCTAGGCCAGCCAGCGCAGGACCGACCCAGATGATGTGTTTGTAAGAGGTTGCACCCAAAATGAAAAGAGCAATGCATGGGAATGGAGAGCCAAGCATAGCTCCAATCAATCTGTCCTCAGGAGTGGGCGCTCTTCTTTTGCAAAGGGCCAAGTATTTTCTCTCCAAAACGGGAGTAGTAAGCACAGCAAAGAAAGCACCAATAAGAATAGGAATGTACATCATACCGATCTTGTCGTCTCCGAATCCGTACAACGTGTTGAAAATGTATGGGTATGCAAAGAAGAAAGCGTACAACAAGGCGTAGATAAGAGCCACGAACCCGCAAACAAGGTCCAATGCTGGTTCCTGGAAAATGAACTTGACTGGTCTGTACAAATTCTCGTTAAGCAATTCAGCGAATGTCATAGGTGTAGCCTCCTGCTCAGTCATGATCTTCTCATTTCCAGTCTCTTTTCTCAATCTGACTGCTCTCTTCTTCAAAATCACAGGAGCGTAAGTTTCAGGAATCATTGTCAAGAGGATGCACATGACTCCAGCGAAAGCCATGTTCAACCAAACCATAAGATCGTATCTCTTGGTATTGACACTGACAAATCCATTAACAATACCTCCAAGAACTGGACCAGAGTAGGGACAGAAGGAAAAGTAGGCAATGGCCAAACCTCTCGTGTCCGTGTGCATATCTACAAGACTGGCACCGACGATAGTCAAAGCAGACGAGGAGAAAACACCTAGGAGGAAACGGCATACCAACACACCTCCGATGTTTGGCGACAAGGCCACAGGGATATTGAAAATGGTATAAAGGGAGAATGAAAGGAAATAGACGGGACGTCTACCGATTTGTTCAGACAAGGGAGCCCAAAGCAAAGGTCCAACAAGGAAACCAATCACCATCAAGGAAACTGTCAATGTTGACACTTCCGTTGAAACATGGTACTTGTCGTTGATAACGGGCAAACCACCAGCCAAGGAAGATGATCCATAGGCGGCACTGATAACAGCACATGACAAGATAATTGTATATAGCCATTTAATATACATGGGCCAGTTGTGAGGGTTTTCTGGATCATTGATTTGGAAAGTGACAAATTCGATTTCAGGATCTAGTTTGCCCATTTTCTCTTCGGCTTCTGACCCCAAAAGTGACGATACAACCGTCTTAACTCTACCCAAGGAGGCCAAAGTCTGGACTGGAACCAAACCGGTTTCGGTCTCAAGAGTATATTCTTCTGGGAACACTGGATTCTTCACTGGAGGGGCAGTAATGTCGGGCATGGGGGCGTTGCTGCCCACACCTAAATCTCCAAGAGACTTTGCGGTCTCTGTTCTTGTCTTTGTAAGATGGTTGGCATTCTTCTCTGATGCACTTGTAGATAACCTGGAAAGATTACCAGACATTATGGATTGCTCATCATCAGGCTTGATGTACTCGTGAGGAACATAGTCCTCCGAATTTAGCGAGGCAGATGAGGCATTATGTGAGTCCATTGTGTATTGAATTGTATTGATATTGGACAAAACATATTGGATCCTCACCTCTACTTATATCTTGAAAGTGTAGTGTTCCATGGAAGCAACCCTGCGGTCAGCCGCACGGAAGGGCATTCTTCACTGCACATAAACCCGGAAAATCATCCGAACTTGCATAAACGGTGGCTAATCTTCATAACTAGTGAAGCTCATCCGCATATCCGACTACGTGCAGGTTATCATCACGCCCATTAATCCGTTTCGGACTTCACAATACATCGCTTAATGACGTTGTGGCAAGATCCATCCTTGTCAGTGAATATGATGATCAGGGTGTCACTTGAGTTTTTGTACCGGATCATAACATATAAGTGATGTGGATCTCTTCATCATGCAATTTTCATTTGGGTCGAATGCTTAATTGAATATGTGCCCACATGATATTCCGCCTCACGTGTTGACACATTTGACTATGACGATCGCAGACTATGATATACAATGTACACTATGCTTCATAATGTACATTACGCTTGTATGTTCCTATGCTCTAAGCTTCTCCTAGCTAAATAATCTCACGATTGTAAAAGTATACTATATTATGCCCATGTCTGGGAAATGCTATTCCTATGTACCTATGCCATTCCACCAATTCTCTAATTGGCCAACTTCTGCTTCTGCCGTATCACTGCAACATTATACATCTGCTTGTTGCATCTTCTGCCAACGAATGGGTTCCGTAATGCCTCTTGCTTGCACTCCAACAACGCTTGTTTCAAGTTGTCCACCGATTCAGGACTCAATTGGAAGTGGAACGCAATACGTCCTCCCATCAACTTGACATTATGCTTTTCTCCCAATGCAACCAACAAAGCGTCGTCCATTTTGTTCTTCTTGAGGTCAACAAAGACAAAATTCGTATCCACAGGCAGCTCGAGCGCGATGTCGTGTTGCCGGCAGAAGTCTCCAACACTGCGGGCATACTGATGGCCCAAACGGATCTTATTGAAGTTCTCATCAAGAGCAGTGATCGCCATAAGCGCATTAATACCGTTCTGCCGTATTCCACCTCCACATTGCTTCTTGAAATGGTTGGCCTTCTCGATGAACTGGCGGTCTCCCACCAAAATAGATCCAATGGGTGCACCCAAGGACTTGGACAAGCACAAAGATACTGAGTCAAAGTACTGACAGTACTCTGCAATGGAAACGCCAGTCTCCACCGATGCATTAAAGAGACGCGCTCCATCCAAATGGAGCCGTATGTCGTGCTCCTTAGCGAATTTCAGAATTCTGGCGATCTCCTCAATGGGGAGAATCATTCCATGCAAGGTGTTTTCCAAGCTGATGACTTTAGTGGGGGCACCATGGATGTCACCATCAGAAGGAGTGAAGTTCTCGACGATGTCTTCCAACGTCAAGTAGTTGCCGTTTGCAGGCACCACAGGATGAACCATGGCTTGTGACAAGGTTGCGAGACCTCCAGCCTCGTGCAAAAATACGTGTGCACGATAATCGCATAAAATCGAGTAAGGTGGTTGCACCAAATTCACACGGAGTCCAACTTGGTTGGACATCGTTCCGGAAACACAGAAAAGTGCAGCCTCTTTTCCTGCCATCTCGGCTACTTTGGCCTCCAATTGTAACGTCATTGGGTCTTCCTTGTACACGGAGTCTCCAACTTGCAATGTGCCGGTCGTTAAGCCCTGGATCACGGCATCGTTCATGGACTTGGTGGGCACCGTGAACGTGTCACTGCGGAACTCATTATGAGTGGGATAAATAAAGTCGTCAAGTGTCATTGAAGAGAAACACTAGCAATACGCAGATTGGCCCATTATATATGGGTTGCGATGACTAATGGCAATAAAACAGAAAGTGTCAGGATGCCGAAGACTATCAAATTACCTGCAGGACAGTGATAATGCCACTAATGTTGCAAAAAAAAACCGTCCGCATTGTTTAGACTTTCCCTTAAATAAGATTGTATCTGCGGGGAACTTAGGCGGTCAGCATTGCCACATATGGCCACTAGTAACTTTGCGAATGACGGAAAAGTCTCCGCTTGAAAGATCCATGACACTAGTGAAATCCGCCATTAACCGAGAAGTCATCGCAATAGCTGCAGGACTCAGCTTTCCGAGACAAATAGCGGCTAGGAAAAACCTCTCACACCAGATGCAGGTCTGCTCGGCGAAGCAGCAAAATAGCCGTTGAGAATTTGATGCGAACGGAAGCCAACACCGAATTAGTCCTGTACCTGCGTCTGGAACGGTTCTATGGTTGTTGCAGCCATGGGTCTGTTACAGCCACTACGAGGACATGGCAGGAAACACTAGGCAAGACAGGCACCATCAAAGAATAATAGAAATGGAAAGCACACTAGTTTGTCAAACACCAACCGATTCGTTTTACGTAGTCACAATCCAAAAGAAAATCACTCTAGCCACAAAATTACGTGTATGATATTTTTAGTGAGTCATCTATACTGATGCACCACCTGATGCACCACCTGATGCACCAAATCCTCAGTTGCTAGTGTTGATACGATCATCCTTTTCCTTTTTAGGAGAGAACGGCAGAAAGTCAGACCGGAGCCCCAAACTAGGCGAGCCTTCTGCTCTTGCAGGATCTGTCCGCCAAAGTTGGCTAGTGCTAGAAACTGCGCGATTGTGGCTGTAAGAGGTGCTCATAGGTCTGTCCAGCCAAATGCTCGACGAAGGAATCTGCGACGAGTTAGATGAAAGTAAAAGACTGTTAAATAAATTGTCGTGATTTACTTGCGGCACTTGAATTTGTGGCTGAATGAGCTGGCTTGATGCGGTTTGATTGCCAATAGTGGTGCCAATATTAGACCCTATATTGGGTCCGATGTTGGCCCCCATATTAGTTCCCATTGTTGAGCCAATAGTCGCTCCCATGTTATTTCCCACATTGGATCCCATGTTTGCGCCCATTGTATTCTGTCCGTGCAATGAATGAAGCTCCATATTCACCGAAGCTGGCAGAAGGGAGAGTCCCAGAAATGTGCGCCTGGAATCCAAAAAGTTACTCTGGCTTGTATTGTTCCAGAGATTTGGTTGCACTGACTGTCTGTAGCTCTCGGGAGTAGGAGACCGCATTCCATACATATCATCGTAGGGAAAGCTTTGACGAATGTTCTGCGCATATTGTTGCATGGATGATTGAGGGATCGACAGCTGAATGCCTCGGTCCAAGTCGTTGTGGAGATAATTACCTGATGATCCCGAATTGGCCATGGGTTGCGCCAACAAGGAGTATGTACCATCTCCAAGCGCAGTTCCATGTAAGCTTGAGTTTTCGTAGGCTGCATTTTCGTAAGCATTTTCTGTATATGGCGGATCAACGTACGCATTGTCATATGAGTTTTCGAACTGCTGCTCATAAGCCGTAGTCTGTTCATAGGCATTGGTCTGCTCAAATGCATTGGCCCGCTCAAATGCATTAGCCTGGTCATATGCATTGGGTTGCTCTTGGTAGTGCTCGTAGCTCTTTTCGTAGTTGGTTTCTGGATACCTGAAGTTATTGAAATTGGCATCTCCATAAGTATCACCATAATTCTTATCCGCGAAGTTGCCACCATAGGATCCCACAAACTGATTTGCTGGTAGTTGATTTTGGAATTGCGACTCAGAGAAGTTCACAGGCTCTTGGGTATCACCATAAATGGCACCCGTACTCTCCGTATACTGGTGATGCATTGGCTGGTAAATTTCTCTGCCGAAGTCGTTAGCCACGGTAGAGTTTGAGATACTACCAGAGTTCACCGAATTGACAGAGTTCAAAGCTGCTGAATTCATTGCAGCGCTCAACGCGTTCGCTGCTGGTGCAGGTGGTGGACTCAATTCTCCCGAATCATCATAAAACTGGCTGTAACTCTTGTTCCAAGTATCGTTGGCTTCAGGAGACGGAGAAGGCGAGGCAGAGCCCTCATCGACAAACACATAGCCCTTTTTTCTGATTGGTGGTTTTCCTATTGCATTTCCAAAGCCACCAAACTCCACACTGGCCTGATACTCTGTCATTTTTTGAGGTTCGTATGCTTTGTCTTGGCTGGCTCTAAATGCTTCCACAGAATGTTGCACTCCCAAAAACTTGCGAATAGCCGCACGGAAGGTGCTCTTCCAAGAATTCTCCAATGCTTCTATAGCATCGAGCTCTCGCTCGACATCCAACTTCCAGTCTGGTTCGTAGGCGTAGATCTTGCCCAACACTTCTGCTCCCAATTTTGTCAAAGTATTCTCTCGAGTGAAGATCTCCGCGGAAGCACTAGGGGCTTCAGAACCATCGGAAGCAACAGGAATCGTTGGCGGAGTTATAAACTGTTCTACCAATGGCCGGAGTGACAGAACCAAATGAGCAATATCTTTTCTTTCAACGTTGAGTTCCTTGACCCGCTGCTCTAGCGATGCAATGGTCTCCTTATTGGTGGAGATTTCATCGAAAATCTCATCCATCTTTGTGTCCACCTTTGATTTCTCTGCATTTGACGTGTTCACCACATGCTGGCGTTTCTCTCTGAGCTTGGCCACTTTCGCCCGGAGATCAGCAAGCTTGCTGACATGTATATTACGTGCTGTTTCGTAGTTGCGAAGTTGCTTTGCAAGCTTCAGTTTCTCGAACGTGAGCAGATCCTTTTTCTTTTCCAAATCCTTCACATCCAAGTCCTTCTTGGCCCGCACATCCGAACCCTCCTCTAGTTCCTTTTTGAATGCATCAAGCTCATTCTTCAAGCGAATCTCTTCCTGCCGTTGATGGTCAAAGAGAGCGTCGATGTCTGCAGTTACTCGAGAAAGTTCATTCTGGAAAACATAAAGGTACTCGGCCAAAACAGCACGATCCTTGACGTTGACCACATCTGAGGCAGACAAGTCAAGCGAGTAGTTGGTGGATGGACTCTCATGGAAAGAGCTGGGAAGTTCAACCTCTCTGGCTACCGAGAACGGCAAACTTTGAGAATCTTTCCGAGACTCCAGTCTGGCAAGAGTATGGACGTAAACAGCCGGAGACTGGGAACGAAAGTTGCTGATCGCGTTGACAGCCAAGATCTGAATACGGTAGAGTGAGTCAGGCTCCAAGTTGCAAAGTTTGACCGACGTTTGCGCCAAAGTACCAGCATCTTTTCCATTGACCAAGACCACATAGAAGATGTTCTCGTCGGCGAGAATCTCGATGTCCCAGTGCAACACAAGTTGTGTGGCAGATAATTGGTCCACACATACGCTAGGGGTATGCGGAATATCCACGTTCAACTGGCGTGCTAGACGTTCAGCAGGTGTATGAAGAAGCTGGTAACAGCGAAAGACCATCCAACAAAGCGACGGAATCACCGTGAGAAGTACTTCAAGCATAGTGGAATCCGGACAAGGGAGGTTTTTTCAATGTGTTTCTGCGTCCACAGTCGTTGTGAGTCTTGTTGTGGTGGTGTATAGGTACTGTCAAGGTAGGTTTTGTGCTTGTGAGATCAAGTTTTTTTTTGTCGATGGTGGACTGCGAAAACTGGGGAAAACTTGACAGGTGCATGGAATGTTTGAGAATAGACGGAAAAGAATTGGATTAAAAGTCATGGAGAAATGGAGATTGGGGTAATCGGGTGGATACTCGAGTTTCTTCCATAATTTCATAATTCTTTTTTTTTCTTCCGGCGTTGGGAATGCCTTACAATGTCCGAGATACGGAGCTAGGAGAATGGTTGCAAAGCAGGCCAGAACACACCGAAATTGGCTCCGAGAGTTCCGAACAAGACTGAAATTGCAGAAACAAGACGAAAAGACTAGCAAAAAATAATTCATAGCAAAATAATTTCTAAAAAGTCACAATTTTTTTTTTCTCATGAAGCGGAACAGGCGACCTGATTGGCAAGGGTCAGTTCTTTCAGTCGCAAGACTTTCACTTCCAGTAAGCAAGTGTGAATTTAGTCACCAACTTTACACCAACAAGCCTTCAACAGATTTCCACAACATATTTGACCGTTTACCATCCATTAGCCTCTTCTAGTGGCAACAGCTGCAAGGGCAGCGTTAAAAGTTCCTAATAACAAAAATGGCCCAAAGACCCAGTGGTCACTCCACCGACCTCCAATTATGGTGATCACCAAAATCCCAACTCCTCCACACAAACTATACAATCCACTAATGCTTCCAATCACCCGATGCTCCGTACGCTCCACTGTCTGTCCCACACTGCTCACTATACTCATACTGGCAATAATGGTGCCGATTTGCGAAAGTCCGAGGAAACTCACCAATACGAAACAGGTAGCCGTCCGAGGATCATAGACATCTCCACGACCCACCAAACACAACCCGAACGTTCCCAACATTCCAAAAGCCGATGCAACGGCGAGGGTGGCCCGCGAGCCCAACTTCTTGGAATCCACCAATATGCCCCAAATTGGAGACGAAACTAACGCCACTGTCTGGGCCACACCGGTCAAAATGGCCAGAAAAATGTACCCATCATAGCAACTGGTTTTCAGTGGAAGGCCACTACGCAACTTGAGGCTATTCTGTAAATCTTCAGCTCCACAAAGTCCACTGTTGTAGTAAAACTTGTACACCATCAACGGGATGAAGACAGCCGTAGCTACCGCAGTAGACCGCGACACAAAGGCGGCAACGTAGGCAAGCTGAATTCTCAGGTTATTTCTTGAGGCATCCAAGCCCTGTTTGAGCAATTCAAAGTATGTGGTGTCCGGCAGTTCGAGGTCAGGAGTATGTCCACTCAGACGTCTTTGTTTGACGCAATCGTAGGCAAATACAACAACCACAACTCCACAAACTGCAGAAAAGTATCCCAAAAGCGAGTAAGATAACTGCAAACTCTCCTTACTCGATAAATCGGGATACCATGAGCTCAAGCGTACGGGAAGCGTGAGAAAGAACAGCACCGAGAACACGGCACCCAACCCAGTGGAAACTCCGAGCAACGCCGCCAATGAACCGTGTTTTTTGTTTGTTTGCTGGGTAGGGCCCTCCTCAATACGAAAAACATCATCTTCGACCGTTGGAAGTTCATTGTTCTCGCCGTTGTCTGCGTCCGACTCTCCATTTCCATCCAAAAGTCTCTCACCATGATTCTTAAATTGTGTCCTCCAAAAAGCCATATGACTCCAACGAAAATCGGAGTTGTTGACCTCATGAAGCATTACAGTAACAATGCTCATACATCCGGAGACACCAACCGCAAAAATTGCCCTCCAAAACCAGAGATCCGGAAACAATTTCGTCGCAAATTGTCCATACCCTAATAGTGACAAAGCCAACACAGAAAACGACACCAATTCAAGAATCCTCGACCCCGAGGGAAACCGCGAGTGGTTCCAGGCCCAGCCATTAATTCTATCATTTAATGTTCCCAATAGGGGTGCCACAATAACCGCCACAAGCTCATCTACAGCACCCAAAGTTCCAATGGCTGATCCAACCTTCTCTGGAGGAACACCAATGACATCCGAGAGATAGAAAGGCTGAGTGGCCAGAAGGAAAACTACAAGGGAAATACAGGAGAAACCTGCTGCATTCAACACTAGCAAATTGCGTACCTTATAATTTGGGTTGAGAAAGTCCATGGTAGTAGAGAATTAATTAGGCTAATAGGCTGAGAAAGCCGATATGTGGAGAGGCGGTGTATAGAAGATCGATTCTGCACATAAATGGAGATGGAATCGATATCACCGATAGTGAAGTTGAATAATAGTACCAACATCTTTTGGTGCTCCATATGTACTTACACTAAGTACTTCAGTTTTAGTTATAGTCGGTATGCAGAAGAATGTAATTCAAGCAATAAAAAAAGAAAAAGAAAAAAAAAAAAAGAAAAAAATAGTTCTATGATCAGCTAGTTCTCTCCGTTCATCTCAAACCATAGCCACTTTCTCCAAAGTTCGCCTGCCTCGTAGATGATACTATCCATGTAGTCGTACTTGAACACATACTCAGTGCTTACAGCGCCCTTCTCCTTATCCTTCTGCTCCTGGTACTGCTTATACTTGTCACTTAGATTGTAAGACTTCGCAGGAAGACGGGAGAGAAACGTCCGGATCTCATGCTGGTCTAACTCTACCAAGGTATTCTCTTTGGCCTTCAATAGAGCAAGAGACACAAACAATAACTCGATATGAGGATCGATTTTCGAAAAAGGTATAACCTTCTTGAATATCTCCCCGCTTGACTCTGATGTTACCAGCGAAGACGAGAATGTTAGCAGGTTTTCTGCGGACGAAGACAGCGACGGGGTATTGACATGCAAGTCGTTGATCAAGTCTTTGAACGAGTCATCCTTATTGAGCTCGGTACGCAGGTCGTCTTCATAGTTCACGGACCAGAAGGCATCAGGTCCCAATTTCTCAAGAAGACCACCTTCAAGATTGAGTTTCTCCGAGTAGTAAGTGTCGTTGCCCTCCAACTTGCGCTTCTGCAAGCGCCAGCCAATTAAAAGATCCCAAACACGGCCTCTATCTACACGAGACCACACTTTTGAGCCACAATACTTGAGCCACCAGATCAACCACTCGTCGTCGTGCAGCCCAAACTTGTTGAGAATCAGTTCCTCTTGGAAGTACAGCGAAAGCTCAGGCAAGAGGCGCTGAAACACGTAGATGAAAAATGACACGCGCTCTTCGATGGTACCTCCATTCGTTGGAAGAGTGGACTTGTTGATCTTGACCTTGCCAGTCTTTTCACGCTTATTGGCCATTTCTGGCGAGTGCAAGAGCACTAGCGTGAGCCGCTCAAACACTTCGTGGAATTTCATGGTAGAGATCTGGTTGTCTTCTACCATGTCATCCAAAAAGCTACGCAAGTCAGGTACCGAGTCGATGTAAGATTCGTAGTCTTCAAAGACCGAACCAATGCAAGTGTGGGAGCTGGACGACACCTCGCGGCCAAGGAGCACCCACAGGGTGTTGGGGATCGGTGGGAACCATTCTGCAAGTCCCAACGCGATCCATGTGAGCGCCAGGTCGTACTTAATGATCTTTCCCCATTTGGTGACGAATTTGAGCACGGCGCTCTCCAAAATGTCAAAAACATGCAGTTCAGTCTGGGAAAACGGCTCCTCAGCAGATGAGTAGGCAATACGATGCATATATCTGCGCAAGTCTTTGCGGATTCGGCGCTGGAGGAGCAGCTCATGGTCGTCCGAGTCGGATTCCGAGGCCTGCTTCTCCTTATCGATAGAATCCGGCTGGATGAACGGATTTACCACAAAAGGATGGTGCTTGAGCAAGATGGGCCATACTTTGAAGCGCAAAAACGGCGGCACACCCTTCTGGCGGGCCAAAAGCGCTAGGCCATGGACGTTTTTCTCTAAGATGTAGCGTTGAAACTGAACGAACACATCCGTGTCGTAGTTGAATGCGGCGGCCGGGCGGACGGTGCTGGCCGACCCGGAGGACGATTTCCTGCTGGACTGAGGGGGCTCGGACATGGTTGGAGACGAGTAATGTTTAATACATGGTCAAAAGGAGACGATGTGAAAGGTGGGGGAAAATCTGGGAGGAGTGAGGTGGGAGAAGCCGAAAAGCAGAAAAGCAGAAGAGCAGGAAATTCCAATCGGACGTGAACTGGCAGGTTCGGCAAGATATGAATGGTGTCTATTCAAATGGGAGACAAAAAGAAAGTTTTAGAGGTCAGACAATTGAAGCTGAGGATTTTTTTGTTCTGTACCGGCGCACCGGTCTTCTGAGCATTTGACTGATTGAGCAAGAGAGCGCACGAGGAGAGAAAGAGAGGGAAGAAAAGGTGGAATCAAAAAAAAAGGAGGAGAATGAAAAGAATAATTTTTTTTTAATTCATCTTTCAAAAATTAGGATTTTTTTTTGTTTTAGATGGAGAGTGGTGGGAAAAATATACTGGACGGAAATGTGGTAAGACTGCCAAGTTCTCATCTCATCTCGTGGTCCAAATTGTCCAAAATTGTCCAATTTGTCCAATTTACTCAGTTTGCTTCGGTGTTAATGTCACCCATTTGGATTTTTGCACTTTAACGGATTTAACCATGGCACGAACGGGTTTAAAATATACAATATACTCAAAATAAGCCATCACATTTTGATTTTATCCATTCATTCATTCCCTCACTTGATTCGTCCATTCCGTCCAATGTTACTCGATCCGTCCTTCCAGTCGTTCCCTCTAAGTTTTTTCTTCCTCTCAAGTTTCTTCTTCTTTTCTTCGCAATCCTTGCATCCTATTGTCCATGCACACTCACATGAAGTTTTCCCCGGATTGCCCGCCTTATCGCCTGACAGACATCTTCAAAGATAGATGGTCATTACCAAATTTACAAATATGTATAAATACTGCTGAAATCTCCTCCTGAATACCCTGTGATTTTCTTACTCCCCATCCCCACACTTTTTCAGATGAGTGTGAATTTCACTCTTCACTTACGTGATACAGAATGCAGTTCACTGAATAGAACCTGCATGGCCGGAAGTGAACGGTAGCTTATCCAACCGGATGAACCGATGGAGAGTGAAGCTTTATAAATAGTCGGGCATCTTGGAAGTGGCAAGTTTCCGTATTTTTGTCTCATCTGACTTATTTATTTAATTGCCATCTGAATCAGTTCCGGAAAGGAATTCGTGGATACGCATCAAAAGACCCAATTTACCAGTTCATAATTATCGAGGAGAAGATCTGATTGAGAGTTAATTTACGCAATCATAGGTGAAATTAGGAGTATCATCTTTGAGAATATCAAAATAATTGTTGAAATTATCTGTGGGACTACTCGTGGAATTTTATCAATTACACCACTTCGTCATAAACTTTCCTAGTTCATCAATTTGCAATTCTTTCCATATTTGGTCCATCCACTCCATCCACCTTAAATTCCACTACCAGATCTACACTATCACCTTCACATCCGTGTTACTATTTTCTACCATGGTTCTATTTCACTTTGGTAACTCCACCGATGCCAAAATAAGAAGCGGTACGTCTAATCATTACAATCCATCCATAACCATCTCTTCCCTACTAACCTCAGCCATCAATAATGAGCCTCTTGGCCCCTACAACAAAGAACTCTTGGATTTGTCCAACATAACCTATAACCCCAAGGCTGTGGTGATCGTCGAGGATGTGCTCCGGAAGAAATTAGTTCGAACCATCGCTTCGGGAGATAAACCTCGCCGACTGAATTCTTCCGTATCTCATTCGTTCCATTCGGGCCAACTGAATGAGGGTACAGGAAGTAAGTCTCGGACTATGAGAAGATCCGCTAGTGTGCACAGCTCCGGTTCCTCGGATACGAAGTCGGACTTAGTAGTGTTGAAATGCTTGACAGTAATGGTGTATCTCTGCCAATATGGATCGGGGCTGTTCATTAAATGGCTTCGGTCGGAGTACCGCGACATCATTGTTCCGCTCGGAAGACTAGCGTTTCATCCTCAGTATCAGAATGCCATTTACCTGAAGATTTCGCTTTTGGTGCGATATTGTGAAAATGACGATCAATTGGCATCGAGCCGAAATTCTTTGGACGACGTGAGGAAGGAAATTCGTCCGGGTATTGTAGAGCATTCGGTCAACGTTAAGCGTACTACAAGTCCGGTGCCTTTATCGTTAACGATGGGAAAAATGGGGAAAATGGGCAAAAAGTCTTTAGTACATTAGGGGAGAGGAATGTGAAGATTTTAAGAAATCATTGAGAGAATAAGTTTGAGGAAATCATGCCAAAATGAGAATCTGACATGATGAGATAATGAGGAGGAATGATAAGTGATGTGAAAACGAGCACAAATTGTCTCAAAGCAAAAAAAGAACAACAACATACGAGACAGAAATGAGTAACGACATAGGAAATCATGAGATGAGTAATCTGAGACAAAAGAAGGATCCACTTTTACTTAACGAGGGTCCTATGTTCCGAGTGAGTCATTTAATAGTGGTGCTTCCAAGCATGCAATGGCTCTTTATGACCAATACAGAGAAAAATTAATCAAAAACTCAAAGTAAATAGCCAGATTTCAGAAGAGGAATAAGATAAATTTCAAACTAAACAGCAAAAACAAAATAATGTTTTAATGCGGTGGCAGGTTTCAAATCAATACTTGACAGTATCCATAGCACAATTTAATCCATAACCTCTAAACTCATCAACATGACAAGAACAAATGAAATCAAAGACTCGCTGGGTCTGAATATCTTATCGCCCCAATGTCTTGCCTCAATGTCGCCCCAATGTCTCGCCTCAACGTCACCTCGTATTTCTTCCAAGAAAGCCCCTATTGACAACAAATCATCTCTCAAATTCTCTCAAATTCTTTAATTTGCTTCCTCAATTTCTTTTACCTCACCACTATTTACCTCAATTTCATCTTGACTTTCTTTTTTTATCGATTGCATCTCCGCCTCGATCTATTTTTGCCTGCCTAAAGCATGGAACATTCCATAACAAAAAAGACCATGCAGCAGTAGTTGGGAACCTAATTTATAATTTCCCTCCCAACATGTACAATGCACAGAACTCTCCCCTGTAGATCATTGGCTGCTTCTTCAATTACCGGGCTTCCGATTCATTTGTCGGTTTGCATTAACCTTCCACTACCCGAAGGCTGGCAATAATTGCTTTTTGCAAAATGTGTCAACGTGCGGCGCATCATTACCTAATTTGGGAATCCATGCATTGCTTTTTCCCTCTTGCGTGACGTACTAAAACTAGGCACGTGACCCAGCCGCGCCCTCCCCAACCCCTATCCAGTTGTATATAAAGGGGGGCAAATTGCCGCTACAACAGTCTCTTTCTCTATCATCTACACATATACACAATGCAAATCTTTGTTAAGACCTTGACCGGTAAGACCATTACTTTGGAGGTTGAGTCCTCCGACACCATTGACAACGTTAAGTCTAAGATTCAAGATAAGGAGGGAATTCCACCTGACCAGCAGAGACTTATCTTCGCTGGTAAGCAGTTGGAAGACGGTAGAACCTTGTCTGACTATAACATCCAGAAGGAGTCTACTCTTCACTTGGTTCTTAGATTGAGAGGTGGTATGCAAATTTTCGTCAAGACTTTGACCGGTAAGACTATTACTTTGGAAGTCGAGTCTTCCGACACCATTGACAACGTTAAATCTAAGATTCAAGATAAGGAGGGAATTCCACCTGACCAGCAGAGACTTATCTTCGCTGGTAAGCAGTTGGAGGATGGTAGAACCTTGTCTGACTACAACATTCAAAAGGAGTCTACTCTTCATTTGGTTCTTAGATTGAGAGGTGGTATGCAAATTTTTGTCAAGACTTTGACCGGTAAGACTATTACTTTGGAAGTCGAGTCTTCCGACACCATTGACAACGTTAAATCTAAGATTCAAGATAAGGAGGGAATTCCACCTGACCAGCAGAGACTTATCTTCGCTGGTAAGCAGTTGGAGGATGGTAGAACCTTGTCTGACTACAACATTCAAAAGGAGTCTACTCTTCACTTGGTTCTTAGATTGAGAGGTGGTATGCAAATTTTCGTCAAGACTTTGACCGGTAAGACTATTACTTTGGAAGTCGAGTCTTCCGACACCATTGACAACGTTAAATCTAAGATTCAAGATAAGGAGGGAATTCCACCTGACCAGCAGAGACTTATCTTCGCTGGTAAGCAGTTGGAAGACGGTAGAACCTTGTCTGACTACAACATCCAGAAGGAGTCTACTCTTCATTTGGTTCTTAGATTGAGAGGTGGTATGCAAATTTTTGTCAAGACTTTGACCGGTAAGACTATTACTTTGGAAGTCGAGTCTTCCGACACCATTGACAACGTTAAATCTAAGATTCAAGATAAGGAGGGAATTCCACCTGACCAGCAGAGACTTATCTTCGCTGGTAAGCAGTTGGAAGACGGTAGAACCTTGTCTGACTACAACATCCAGAAGGAGTCTACTCTTCATTTGGTCCTCAGATTGAGAGGTGGTCAGTAATTTTTTTTTTCATTGCTCAAGCATTCTATAGGAAATAATACAACTTGAACGGGAATATTGGTATGTAGACCCAAACGTAATCTTCTTTACAATGTTACCTGTTGGAACTCATTAAGAACAACGCTGGACGTCTCAAAGCTTTTAAGTGACTCAATCTTTTCGGTCACAAAGCTGACCAAATGCGTTTGACTGTTCGCTCTAAAGATATCGAGAATCAATTTGGAGTTTCGTGCTAGTATGATCGCATTCTTTTGCAATCTGTATGACTCCCCGAAATCAACAACAGTCTTAAATCCTTCGGAAATTATCTTCAATTGCTTAGCATCGATATCAACATCCAGAACTGCCAAGGGGTCCAATATTCTCTTAATAAATTCGTTAAAGGAATAGCACGTTCTCCAAGACAATTCGTGGCCACTATCCTTAAACTTCTTCATAGAAGCAAATGCAAATTTCAACAAGTCCAGATTAATATTTGAAGTGTCGATAGCATCAAAAGTGTTTCCAATATACGAGAGGTAGAGCTCTTCAACGGTCACAGCAATCTGACTCTTATGAACTTTCGAGTCAGTGTGACCCATGTCAATATCAACATCCTCAAAGTAATCATCTGTCTCGACATCTGTCATAATGTCAATGTAGATGTCGATAAGTTCATCATTGTTCGAGAACACATTGATGAAGTTGCCAACGTCCAAGATGACTTTCATCTGGTAATGCTTGTTACGACGCTTGACTTCAGTAGTGACTGTGCGCTCAACCCTAGTCAATATGTCCCCATGAGATTTCAAGAAATCAACTTTCTTCAAAGCAAACGTAACTAATGCTTTAAACACAACCTCCTTTCCTGACCAAGACTTACCCTGGCAAGAATCTAAAATAATATTGATCAACTTTATAGCGTCTTTCTCAGAATCCACATCAATAGCTGTACACATGTCTGCAATGGACCCAGCAATGATCTTTCTTGTTTCGTAATTGTTGGACTTGCCATATTTCTCACAAAGTTGACAAATTTCCTCAAAATAGTGTTTGATTGCGCTATTTCCACTTGAACTCTCGATCCACATTTTCTCAAAAACTTCTTTTGTAGCCTCGTCAATATCGTGTCTGCCAATGAAGGCTAGGGGCAAGAAGGCAGAAGCCACCGCCTCGAATCTATCGGATCCACAGTATCTGCTCACTGCCTCGGAGGCAACACCAGCGAGGAGACGCGAACTTTCGTCTCCAGACTCGAAGTATAGACTCCTGATTTTGTCACTGTAGGCAAGCACAGAATCTAAATGTGCAATTTTGCAACAATACCCAGCTGCAGCGGCATAAGAGGAGGAAATTGTCGAGTTGCGATCACTCAATTGACCAACACAAATCTCAAGTAAGGTGTTTCCATATGGCTTGGAGATTACATAATGCTTTGTGATAAGACTCACAATGACTCTGCTTCCACAAACCTTAGAAGGTAAACCAACGGACTTCTTAACACATTTGCGAAGCTGCTGCACTGTTTCTGCCATCAACAGTTCATCTAATAAACCCAAGATTTGCTCAATGGCATCCATCATTGGTGAATGGCCCAAGCTCTGAAGTCTCCTGGCATCGACATCGCTGCTTTTGAGATTGTATTTGTCAGCATTCAACACCAAGTAATTAACAATTTCGGGTTCAAGTGTTGACATCAATTCGACAAAGATTCCTAGTAAATTAGGGACATGTGGCCTGATCGCCTTTCCTCCGGTTTTGCATAGCTTCAAAATTGTCTCCAAGGCAAAATTACGAATATCCTCAGCGTCACTCAAAAGTCCTTTGTTTCCCAAGAAAAATGGAATCAAATTGTTAAGGACTTCGGTGGCTTTTGACTCTGTGACATTGCCTGTCTTAACATCAGCTGTGCGAATGACTATTCTTGCTAACGATTTGGCTAACTGGTTTCCTTCTTTTCTCACACTCACCTTGATATCGTCCATCGCACGGAAACTCATGTTCCAGATTTCTTCCAACCTTGCTTCATATTGTTCCAAAGTTTGAGTTTGAAGAAGCTCGTTCAAGGCTGCCGCACTAGCTTGACGAACTCTCCACTCTTTACTACCCATTCCCTTCAAGATCTCATCCAAAATAATGTTGAAGTTGTCACGTACCGTCTTCAGCGAATCCTTTACAAGGGCAGTCCAAATATCGTTCATGGATTTGGACACTTGAGTGTTTGGATCGAATCTGTACCGATAGAGTCTTGGAATTAATCTAGCATTCAACTTTTCGTTCTTTGCTAGCATGTCATCCAAGCTTGATTTGGACAAGATGGATCCCAATCCAAATGCCATACCCCTCCTGGTTGACCACAATGCATTGGATTTTGCCAAGGACATAAACTTATACACCAAGGAGGGATCTCCAACATCAGCTGCCAAATTTAAGACATCTTTATAAGTTGAGACAGAACCATCATGGGTCTTCATCACGTCTTCCTCGAAAAGCTGCGTTTCAAGGTCAACAGTTCCCGCACCCAAAGAGGCGGAGGCCTTGGAATCAGTGAAAGACTTAAACAATCCCTTTACCAATGTTTCCCTCAAGTCAGCATCCCCAAGCTCATAAACTATACTCAAACCACGCGAAGCAGATTCTTGAACTAATTCGGCTCTGTCAGCTAAAAACCTCATGAAAGCCACATGAATCTCTGCTGCATGTTCTTTGATAACCGGTAAATGACCCAAATATTGGACAATGGAAAGCAACCAAATACATGCCGCAGTACGAAGAGAGGGTTTTGTTTGTGAGCAAGCCTGGAGGACTTTCTCGAGAATTATTTCAAGACGACCTGTTTCAGTGGGAACATATTCAACTGCCTCCCCTTCGATGTCAATCATCTGTTGGATCTTCTTGGACTGCCAACCGCCTGCAAGAGTCAGAAGGGCCTCACCACTAGCAAAAATGTACTCCATTTGCTTTGATACGTGTGTGTCATACACGAGCTTCTCAATGGAGTTTAACTCGTCTGAGTCAGACGACTTGTAAGTTTGTGGTAATGAAAGAGCAAGTTTGGATAACGTCAAAACAGATAACTCATGACAGGCTTTAGCTCGGGGCTCAATAATCGCTCTAACATCTGCAACATAAGATGGAACATCCTCAATCAAGTTCAATTTAGGTCCGAAGGCACCAAAAACAGCCAACTGGGAAATAGTTTCTAGGGCAGTGTCATACAAGCGAACATTGGACAAGCTTTGTAACACACTTACAAAATGCTGCTTCACAAGTTTCTTCTCGAGGTCATCCACTCGTGATCTGAGGACCATTCTCGACACAAGAAATGCTGCTGCCATCAATCGTGCTTCAATAGTATGTGAAGCCACTTCTTGCAGTGTTAAGACTCGTAACATGTCGTTCACAGCACTCAGTTCGACTGATGAATGGGTACCGATAATACTTATACTTTCGCAGAGCTCTTCAAGTGCCTTTTTGGCGAGTGGTTTCTCATTTACTAATGCCAACAACTTAGGAAGAGCGGGAATGAGTTTCTCAACAACAGATGATGGAGACATGGACACCAACATCGCAAACACAGAGCCGTAAGTAACATCTGTAGCAATGGCTGTCTTGCCAAAATACTGATCGTAAAGGGCTTCAAAAGTCATTTCGAGGAACAAATGGAAGACATTAAAGGAGTTGCTCGTATCATCTGAAGCATCCATCGAACTATCGACTTGTGACAACACACCAATTTCAGACACAACGAGCAGACGCACAAATTCATCCACTTCCAAAGCCTTATCTATTCTGGAGCTCCAATCGTCATCTGAGACAATAACCGTGGTTTTTCCCTCAACTGCTTGCATGACCAACACCCTCAAAGTAAACCGAACAGCCTCACCGAAGCATTGGAAAATGGGAGAGTTGCTGTCGGCGTTTTTCAATTCGTCCCTGATTGTGACGGTAATATCGGCGAAGGTCGGGAAACGAATTTCAGACTTCTTGCCCAAAAATTCCAAAGATGACTCATAATCAAGGGAATTAGACGATTGGAGAAGGTTGAAGTAGTATGGATGCAAGCCCTTGTTCGCTTCCTCCACAGTCTCTGAGTTATTAACCTTCCAAGTTCCCATAATGCAGAGGAGTCTGGCCTCAGCATCGTTGAAGGGAAATGAGCAATTCACATACTTCATGGCAAGGTATCGACAAGATGATATGCTGGGCCCATGGTTCGAAGAAATCAAGAACTCTCGCAACATTCCCTTCAACTGTTTCTTACATTCACTAGAGAGTTTGGGAAGGTGGACAGTGAGCCGAGAGAGAACATCTTGCAAAACAGGTCTTAAATCTGAGCTCTCGCTTTTCAATGAGTCGAATAAGAATAACAAGTACGATATGTCATTCATCCATAAATCGGGAGTATTTCGTAAAACATCACCTAAAGCTTCATACTGGAGCTGTCTCAGCCCTATAGCCGTTCTATAATTTGAGACTTGGGAGGTGTCAATTTCGGGCCATCCATCTGCCATGATGCTATCCTTCAATTTGGCAGCGATACTGACCTCAAAATTCCCATTCAGGTTGACCGAGGTTTCTGCCAGTGTGACCTTCCTGATGAACGCTACTGCTGTCTGTCTCAACCGGGCATAATCAGACAGGAGACCCAAGCTAGAGATAGCCTCCACCTCCGAATGTGAGATTGCGAATTGGCTTCGACAGAGCACCAGCAAGATCTTCTCCTGCAATGTCGACTTGACTGGAGGAAAGTTGCCCTCCACACCAATGAATAATGTCACCAAGGTCGAGATTAACCGCTCATCTTCGGTGTTCACGGTTAATTTTTTATACCACATATCTGCGCGATCGGCGATAATTGACGATGAATCAGTAGTTGCAATGAGCAACGGCACCACCAAAGCTTCGTCAGAAAAACCCAGGCGCATGAACTCAAGAAGGCGCAATTTGGTGTCGTTAATCTCATGTTGCGTTTTGTACGAGATTCCAGCCTCGCGTGTGAAAAATGCACTGTCGTCGACACTCATTCCTCCAGTCTGAATGGGGACAGCTCCAGAATTGGGCTGGAGCATGAATAATTTCAGAATTTTTTCCGACAAAAAGAGCTCATCTTGAGGATTCTTATCGAATCCATACGCATCTCTAGCTGCTTTATCAGCATCAATATCAGCTGCTGGAGCTTTCCAGTCTTTCAACACTTTTACGAGAATACTAAATATTCTAGCAGCGACATTTGTCGGATAAGAGCTTATACCAGCAACAAGTTCAGGAATTAACGCCGCCTGAGCGTCAGCACTCATTCGTTCCACACCCTTGGAGAGAAATAGAAGCGTGTAAAGCCTTACTTGAGAGGCATTCTGTCCATGAGGGATTTTGGGGTCTTTGACTTGCGAAAGAAGCGCCAGAACAGGCAATTGGAGTGTTCTGGCAGCGGTGATCCGGGGGAAAATATTCTGCACGGACTTGAACACCGCCAGCCGAACTTGGGCATCAGGACTGGCGAGCTTAAGTAGTAATGGAGCCAAGTACAGATGCAAGGCATTCTCCAACTGCGAGTCAGACTCGGCAAGAGCAATGCGAAGGTCAACTTTATTGACTAAATCCAACTCCTTAGAAGCCATTATGACTTGAAGATTGTTGTTGAAAGTAGGTCTGAAGGCAAAATGGAATTATCTAGTAGTGGCGATCTATAGGCTGGCAAGTCACGTGCGAAGAATTGGGGTGTAAACAGATGGATTATTGGGGTCATAAAGTGTAGGCAAGGGAATTAATACGTTTTTTTTAATATCGTAGATTGCATTATTATGTGCTCTTGTACTCTCTCAAAATCACAGGAACAGAAGATGGTGGCAACGACCCCAACTCAGTAACCACCTTGTTGATGAAAGAAGGTGGAGTTAAGTCATACATGATGTTCAAGATATTGAGCGAAGGAATTCTTCTCCAATCTTTTAAAGGATCCACAGCCTCACTCAGCTCCTTCTTATCCTTCTCATTCCCCTGTGCTTTACGTGGCGTAGCCTGTTTCTTCTCATCCTCCTTCAGTTTGATAAACTCATCAAGTGCCAACGACCGTTTGACACGCACGGTTTTACCCTCGGAGTATGCCACCAAATCTTCTGGGTCCGCTAACTCGTTTGTGGTCACCGAATCCAACTGCACACGGTCAGAAAACTTGATGGACTCGCAACATGTCAACACGGGAATGTTTCGTCTATGACACATCATGGCAATCATGGCAGTACCCACTCGCGAGTACAAGTGGCCGTTGGAGAGCATGGCATGAGCGCCCAAGAATGCAATATCCACGTCTTCGAGGATTGTGGATGACAACAGGTTGATCAATACATAGTTGACTTTGAGCTTGTTCTTAGTGATAGGCACACTTGGAGCTTGTTTTCTGATCAGTGAAACCTCCAAGTCACTGTCCGAGGGATTGGCATCACCCACAGGCGTGTCTACCAAGCTCTTCAACAACTTTTTACCTTCAAAAAGAGGACGCGAGTCCACAATCACAAGGTTGAACGTTTTATCCTGCTTTAAAACGCAATGTTGGAAAAGCTTCAACAAAACCTCCGAGTGGCCAAACGTCAACACCGTGCATCCGTTACTGATGTGCTGCGAAGCGCTCTCTATTATAAGTTGGTCGGACAAATCGATTTTCTCCCGGATAAACTCGGTGATATTGGAACACAAAATGTCTTTGGCTTCTTGTTCTGGAGTATCGATGGAGATGTGCGAGATCTCCTGCTTCAACCATCGGATTGCGTTACCCATGGATGTTGACAACGGCCTAGAGCTCTTCAAGTACTCGATTTGATGGGACAAATGGCCCGTCAAGTGTCGCGTTAACGTGGTGTTCTCGGGTGTCTGGTAATCGCCAATAACAACCTTGAAAACGTTCAACATCTCCCGCAAACGGGCTGTTGACCCCACAATCTTGTGGTTGCTAAAATGCAAGCTCAACGTAAGAATGGCAGGGTGCACAATATGGGAAACCGTAGGTGACGAGGCGTATCTTTGCTCTCTGGTTTCCAAATGACTGAAAAGGGCCGGAATCTTCTTGGAATCGTCCTTGACAACCGCCTGACTCAACTGTTTTTTCAAGTTGGTGTTGGTGGCCAGCAGTTTCTTCTTTTCAATCTTCTGCTGGGCAATTTGCTGCTGCTGTTCGGGACTAATACCTGCTGCTTCTTTTTGAGCCGCTCTTTTGGCTGCTTTCTCCTTCTTTTTCAACTCTTTCAACTCCTTGTTTGAAAGTTGCTTGGGTTCGCTATCTGCGGAAGCTTCTGCCGGTTTGGCAGGTTTTTCTTCACTCATAGTCTACTATTTTTTTTATTCTATCTGAGATTAAGTGGATATGATTCACTTCTGTCATTATTCACTTTTTTCTGGTGCTGCCTGTATGCACACCGATGGATCGTCACTATTAACACTGTTACGATTAAATAGTCTTCAAACACCAACATTTACAACTAATTTTCAGCCAATTCTCCATAGGCTCCTCTCTTCTTGGTTGTATCATATAATCTGACGATCTTTTCCAAGTTCTGGTCATCCACTTGTGAGAACGCGAAACCTCTTTGCTTCTTAATTCTTTGCACCTGTCTAACCTTACGAATGGCCTTCTCGAACTGCTCCATCCGTGGTCGATAGTCCTGAATGTTGTACTTTTGGATCTCTTGCACGTAGTGGTAGCTTTCTGGGTTGTAGCTTCTCTTGAAAAACTTCCAGGCGAAGTCACGGAGCAAGCACAAGATTGCAATGCCAAACACAGCAGCCCAGAATGTCAAACTTGGATAGGTGTGCGCCAAAGCTCCATAGTATTCACGAGAGGTACGAGCCATTGGGGCAATAGTAGCATACCCTGGGAACCAAATCAACCAGAAAAGGAACGAACCTGGGATGGCCAATAAAGTAAACTTGGTCCACAACGTCACAACCAATGCCGCCTTACCTAGTGCTGTTAACATACAAGTGGTGTAGACCAAAGTGCCCCATGCCCACTGATTAGCAACTTGACCATTTGGCAAGTAATTGGAATACCTGTTAATTGACATGAGACAAATGAAGATGATTCCAGAGTGATAGAACCCATTAAGAATCCAACCCCAGAAAATTCTGACATTAAAAAACTTTCTCTTCTGGCCCAATTGATACAACTGTGGATATCTATCCAACAAACGAGCGCTCACAAATTGATCGAAAACTCCCATAACAAATGGTGGGAACACAGTAAACAAAACGTTGTATAAGGTCAATGTCCACGATTCAATAAGTGACTGTCCAGAAAAGCCGTTCGTGAAGACAAACCAAAACTGGGTCATATACAATGCAATGTTCTTGTAAAATGAGTACAAGATGGCATTTGAGATACGCTGATAAGACCATGCACCATGAACTAAAAGCAACTTCTTCAAATACTTGAACTGACCAATGGAAATATCGGCACTTCTGGCTGCTTGCATACCTTCCATACCATTGATACCGACACCAACATGCGCTGCTTGAATCATAGACACATCATTGGCACCGTCTCCAATAGCCAACAAAAGTGACCTCTTCTTCTTTCTCTTCACCATTTTCACGACCAATGCCTTTTGTAATGGAGACACTCGACAACAGATGACAGCTCTACACCGCGTAGCCAATCCCAAAAAGGCATCCTCCAACTCAGGCTCAAGTGCGAAGCCAAGAGAATGCCCATCGATAATTAAAGCCAATGAGGAATCAAGAATAGATTCGTCCACGTCGTGTTGGTGTTCATTGATCGCATCCAATTTCTCCTGAAGATTACGTTTTGTGTCAGCCTTTGTTTCTTCGTTGATGATCAAAAGATTCATATCTTCACTCAAAAGCTTACATGACATACCAATGTTGATGGCCGTCTCTTGTCTGTCACCGGTAAGAACCCACACTTTAATTCCAGCGTTCTGTAATGTGTGAATAGTTTCTGGCACTCCATCCTGCAATTTATCTTCAATGGCAGTGGCACCCAAAAGAAAGAGATCTTTCTCAATAATCTCAGCAACTTCGTCTAATTGGTCGGCTCTATTCTCTAAAGCAGTCGATGCCTCATAGTACTTTTCTGCCCATTCCTGATACTCTTGTTCAGGAACGATTCTAGATGCGATACACAAAGTTCTTAAACCTTCTGAGGCAAAATCCTCCAAGTGTCTAATAGTTGCATCAACAAAAGGTTGGGGCTCCATCTCTGAAAGACGCTCCAAGATAACTGTGTCAGCACCTTTACAGAACAATCGAATAACTCCGTCAGGACATCTGAAAATGGCAGACATTCTCTTTCTGGTAGAATTGAATTCACAAATGTTTAAAAGCTCATACTCAGAATCGCTGTTGGTGATCTCCGAATGAATGGTAACTCCCTTGGGTCTACGGATCGTGAATTTGTAACCCAAATCAGCGGCACCTTGAACCAACGCACCCTCATCTGGAGAGGCAGCTTGGTATTTGATAGCACCTGTGTCATCATTGACCTCAGGAATAACCGTGTGACACGTGCTTAACAAAACGAAAAACTCGTTGATGATTGCTGATTGTTGCAGAGAATTATCTCTCAAGTGACTTTGCATGTCAGCAAAGCTATAGAAACCAATCTCAATACCATCAATCAACTGAGCCTGTCCCTCCTCAGGAATCTCCTCAGTGTAGCATTTACCTCCAATTGTGCAAGATTTAAACTCCATTACATTTCTTGTCAAAGTACCAGTTTTGTCGGAGAAAATGTAGTCTATTTGGCCAAGTTCTTCGACTAAAGATGAGGTACGTACTCCAGTAGGGGTGTCAGATTCTGCGTAGTACATGTCCAAGTCACTACCAATCATGTAGGCTTGGTAATACTTAATGATTTCAACAGTAACAAACAATGAGATAGGCACCAAGTTCGAGTATAAAATCCAAAAAGTTAATATGTCCTTGAAGAAAAGTTTGACCATAGATGTTCCTTCCAAGTACAAGTAGCTCAATTCACTCTTGTCGATCTGAATTTTAGCCACGTTACCCACAGTGGAAATCAAGGACAATGCAATTAAGATGGAGAATAATGCAATGATTTGCAAGTTGATGATTCTTTCGACATCAGTACGTTTGATAGGCGCAGCTGTAGCGTTACGCATCAACTTGGTTTCGTGGCCCGTGAAAACGACCACACCGTGAATCCAAGGAGTATTACGCAAGGTTGCACCTCGAAGCAACAACTGCTCAGGAGAAAGAGGGATTTTAGGGACTGATCCGAAGTTCTTAAGAGTACCTTCATATGTGTACAAGGACGAGTTTGGTTGTTCGGACAAGACCTCACATCTGGCAAGTTCACTGACCAATGATTGTGGACTGACCATATGAGCCGTTTCAGGTTTAGCCTGCTTGATTTTGAGATTAGTCTCACCGTCCAAATTGGCAGTTTCGATGTAGCACAAACCCTCGGGCTCAGAAGAACTCAATAGAAGCAAATCAGCCGGGAAAGGCTCCTCGTTGTTGACACGAACAACGTCACCCACATGTACCTGGATCCATTTTTTCAAATGAAATTCTCCGCTGGCCAGATCTAGCACTAATACTCGTGTGTTGTTAAGCTCTTTGTCTGCGTTTGCACGCTTGATATCCTCCATGATCTCTTTGATGGCCGAAACAAGAAGCACCACGGTCAATGTACCAATCGTGGTGTATCTATTGGTTGGCGACACATCCGGAACTTGTTGAATGATTGACGTGAAAAGGAAAAACAAGTTTGCATATTTGCTAAACTGCTCAAAGAGAAACTTGGGCAAGAACGTTGCAAAGTTGTACTTAGTAGTAGAGATATGGTTACCATAGTAGCCAAATGCAGCGTTTTTGGAGCGATCCAATACGAAAATCTCTCTGGGCCCCAAATTTGCAGTTGTCTGGGCCGGTTTCTGTCGTGTGAACACACCCTTCACCTTACCAAAGATCTTCCGGATGTCGAAATCACTCAGACCATTCTGTAAGTTATTGTCCTGAAGACGATCGGTGTAGTCGTCCATACCCATATATGAGGCATCGCCCTGGCCGTTGATATTCGTCCGCAAATTAGAGAAAAAGCCCTTCTTCTGCTGTAGCGGAGGCTCATTGGATGTGCTCAAGAGCGGCACCTGGCGATGTGTCGAATTGTCAGGATAACTCGTTGGCCCGTTATAGTAGCCGTCGTTCTCATCATCCAGTAACATCAAGCTGTCTGCGAATGGATTTTCGGAGGCGTTGGTGCCTGGCCGTCCAGGTTGGGACGACGAAGTTTGATACTGGTATGGAGTATCATAGTCAGGGTAGTTGTCGGGAGAGAATTGTTCGTTATCTCTAGTGGACGGATACCGGTCTAGATCCAAGTCGATCAAGTCGCTCCTGTCCGCAAACGGATTTTGATTATCCTTTGCCATTGGTGAATGGTGAAAGGGTATCCAGGCTATGGTGTTGATCTAGTGACCGCGACGTGTATATAGGAAGTGGACCTGATGGCTAGACGATGGGTAACAGTAAGAGACTGAAGAATTTAGGGAAGATTTAAGTTGAGAGCTATGGTATTGAAGAGATTAATAGAAGGGACTTAGTGACTTAGCGATGGAAGGAACTTGATAGGGTTAAGGTTGGGGTGAATTTATTGGAATGGAGTAATATTCGACCAAGATGCAGAGGTGTTTATTTATAGGTTGAAATGATAAATGGAAGAGAATGAATAATTCTGGGATTGGGGAAAGGAATTAGAAAGTGAAATGAAGGTAATGATCACTCTTAGTCGCTAATACTAAATTTGTAGATGTGATTTGGTAAATGAGGACGGTTTAGTAATTTAGTCCTTTTCTGGTCGTGTCCTCAGGTTAGGTGCTGTTACAAGGATAATTCGCAGCCAAAGTATTTCATGAGGGAATCAAGATTCTAGGAGGATACTACAAATTTGAAAGAATAGAGAAGTTTTTTTTTTTTTAATTTTTATTTTTCAGTCTTTCGATTCTATGATGAGTGTTTCATTTTTGCTCAGCAGTACATTTTTTCCCCTTTTTCTCATTCATGAGGAGAGCTTAATACCATATAAAAATGGACATTGTTAAGTGGAAGGTCTGCGGTCAGTTTGCACTGATAAAAGATACTCAGTGGTGTTTATTGTGTGAATACGAGAAATTAGTCGCAAAGGATGAGAAAGGGATCAGACGAAATAATAAGGATGCAAAATAGGGCATACCTGATAGGACTTTAAGATGGAGGTGAGATGATCATAGTATTTTTTTGATTCCCTATAGGTTCATTGTTTCGTTTATATCTCAGAACATTTGCCGGTTCTACGAGGTTCCTTCAATTGATATAGATTCTCTTAGAAATTACTCCTGTGGTGATACCTCGGAGCATCATTTATCCGTACTTGCAAGCTGATTTAAAAGTTTAACCGTAAATTCAGGTTGCCTCATCCGACTATGGAACATCTTCATTGGAGAACAAAAGAACAAATCAAAAAGAAATCAATGTACCCGTGAACGAAGGACGAAGATTCAATAATTGAGTTTATAAATCATTGACAATCATACTTAACTTAGAGTATAACAATAATGCTTGCATCACTCAGTGACATTCTTGCACCATGGATTCATGACAAATCGACAGCACCTTCGACCATTCAATCCACATCAACTTCAGAATTCATTTCAGCCGCTTACCAAACCTTCTTAGTCACCACTGCGTAGAAACTTCGAAGGCATATTTTCACCGCTCGAATTGATCATAACCATGTGAGTCAAAAACCCTTTAAATTGCACTACCAAACACATAGATTTCATTCAAGAAAAAATAATCAAAACTATCAAAATTGTCCAATGTATTTGAACTACCTAACATGATTCTAACCGTCTACCAACTCTTATTATCTTAAACAATCTCTATTAAATCTTCCTTTTATTCTTCTCTCATTGCTGTCACGGGTCAATGGAGCAACAGGTGCTGTCACCTAGTAGGTGGGCTCGGCCTGAAGGAACCCCGCCATCGCACTCCACATTCCATCTTCTCCATCCATCATCGATCACCGATTTCCAGTTAATGTTTTTCTTCTACTGTTATTTGACCCGTTGAAATCTTTCCGTTTATTTTTACTTACCCTCTCATATCCATACTGAAACTTCCGCATTCAAATGTATATATATATTTATACTTTTACAAAATTATGCCTCCCATTCTTCCCTCCTTTCTTTGCTAATTCGCGACTCGGCTTTGGATCTCGCTTGTCTACCAACCATGTGTAAACTTATTCATATTCAGTGAACTCCAAAAAATCCTCCTATCCAACACTGCAATTATCCAGTTACCTTCTATTAGTTTCAAGAATTTTCACCCTTTTTTTTATGTAAGTTCCCCCCATTATTGCTCATCCTGAAACCCCAGGGCACGTCCGCCTTGTCTTCACGCCTCGCACCCGATTTTCTCCCGGTCAACATCTCAAAACCATATACATTTCTTTCACAAAGCACTCGGGTTTTTCTTTACCAGATTACTTCATTTCCTGACGGGAAAATTATTTTCATATTTGAAACGCTTATAGCTCGTGTTTGCCTTGTTTCTGTTTTCCTTTCTGCCGCTTCAACTTACTCAGCCAACAAGGAAATTCCACCAAGTTCTAAGTTTAGCTCAGTGGACCATCTTCGCAAACACTCTTTATATCACACCTTCCTCACATCATGGTCCCCCAACTAGCGACGCCGTCCAAGCTCTCACAGCTAGGCCATGTTTTGAAGAAATATATGAAGTTCATCGGGCCCGGCCTCATGGTCTCCGTGGCATACATGGATCCCGGCAACTACTCCACTGCTGTGGCTGCGGGCTCGGCTTACCAGTACAAATTGCTCTTTTCCATCTTCCTCCTGAACTGTCTAGCTATTTTCTTGCAGATTTTATCTGCCAAGTTAGGTGCTGTCACGGGGCTAGACCTTGCTGCCAATTGTCGTGAGAATCTACCTCCAAAGCTCAATCTATTCATCTACATCTTGGCTGAAATCGCCATCATCGCAACAGACTTGGCTGAGGTGGTCGGCACTGCCATTGCATTGAACATTCTCTTCAATCTTCCTTTGTTTGTTGGAGTCATTGTCACTGTTGTGGATGTTTTAGTGGTTCTCGCAGCGTATAGACCCAACGGCCCTCTCATGTTCATCAGGGTATTCGAGGGCTTTGTTTCTGTATTGGTGGGGGCCACCGTGGTGTGTTTTGGTATCGAGCTTTTCCAGGTGTCGAAGGAACCCAATTTTTCTGCCATCGAAGTGCTCAAAGGTTTCCTACCCAATGAGAAGGTGGTGGACATGAGCGAAAGAAAAGGTGGAAACGGACTTTTCCTAAGTTTGGCCATTCTCGGTGCTACTGTCATGCCCCACTCTTTGTATCTCGGTTCTGGCCTCGTCCAAGCCAGACTTAAAGACTATGACATCAAACACGGCTTCCACAAGCCAGGAAAACCGGCCCAGGTGGCCGAGGCGGCGCCCCTCCATGAGACCAATGATACCAGTGAAACTTCCATCGACTTCTCAAGTAACGACTACGCTCATGCCGTGGGAATCGTTGAAGAGGAAGAGTGCTACAAGCCTTCTATCCACGCAATTAATGATACAATGACCTACACGATTGTGGAGTTGGTGATTTCACTATTTACCGTGGCACTTTTTGTCAACGCAACCATTCTTATTGTGGCTGGTGCAACTGTAGGCAGCAAATCTAAAAGAGACGATGACGATGACTCCGACAATGACTCTGATAACGAGGGAGACGGCTCGGAGGGTGGCGACTTGTTCACCATCTACAACTTGCTCTCCACTCACTTGTCTCCCACTGCTGGATTCGTGTTTGCCTTGGCACTTCTCTGCCTGGGCCAAAGTGCTGGAGTTGTGTGTACATTGGCTGGCCAGATGGTGCTGGAAGGCTTCTTACTGTGGAGCTTTCCACCTGTCATTAGACGTCTAGTCACTAGAGGATTGGCTATTGCTCCCTGCTTGTTTGTTGTTTCTGTTGCTGGCCGTGAGGGTTTGGCCAGCACCTTGAATGCGCTGCAGGTTGTGCTTTCATTATTGCTTCCTACAGTGACAGCCCCATTGATCTGGTTCACATGTTCCAAGGAGATTATGAAGGTGCCCATATTGGTTCGTGAAGGAGACGAAGACTGCGACACAATTTACGAAACTGACGAAGTCGACCAACACGACCTGGCTACACAGTCTACAATTTACAGCCCTAAGAAGTCAGCACGCTACAACGTCACCGAACCAGCCATTCGCCTTCAAAATCTCAAGAAAGCACATCCTTGTGCCGGTTGGGAAGACAGCGATGACGAGATCCACGAACAGCAATTGCTTGTTCCACCCAATGGGGCCAGATCACGGTCTCATTCTATTACTGGAACGGGAATGATGTCTACGAGTTCACGAGGAGCTTCTAACGACGAAACGTTCCATGGTTTGGACGAAGAAGCAAACCTTTCAGGAGATGATGTGTACGTTGTACGTGGTTACACAGACATGAGTAACGGCCCGGTCATGACTGTGCTTGCAGTTCTTGTGTGGGGATTTGTTACATGTCTCAACATCTTTTTGTTGGGAAGCATGGTGCTTGGGTACGATGTGCCTTTGTAATTGCATTAATAGATAGCATGGTTTCAAAGTGTAGGTGCGAACAGAGACTTTATTGATATAGGGGTTGTATATTATTATGAAGTCGACAATATTGTTAAGGTTATACAATTGTGGTCATGTAATCTCCGGTGATTTACAACAAGTGATTATAGTGGTTATCGGAGACTAGGGTTATCTACTTCGAATACAGGTCTGAGTTTGAAATGGAGATCCTACACCCGTACATCCATCTCTTAATTGATCATCGATCCTAACTTATGTCTAAGAACAATAATCCCCAATTTCAGAATCATTAATATGAAAAAGCTCCATTATAAATGTTGAACACTTCAAAGAAAATATTGTCATCAATTTTATCACGAAAATCAGGTCCAAGACTCAATTCTACAATTTGATTATCGCACGACCTTTTCACCACCTCTTGAATCCTAATCGGTAAATTAAGTCCAACTACAAGATGGAAACCTTCATTCAGTCCACGTCAGACCTCTTGGAGGCGTTTCCAGGAGCTACGGTTCTGATCACATACTCTAATGTGAGCAAGAAAACCAAAAGCGAAGACGCCAAAAGAGCATCCAATGTGTTGAAGTTCAAGGTTTACGATTCCCACCTGGGTAAATGTATCAAATATTCAACACACAAATCTAAGGAATTGTCGAGGTTGTTGACATTTTTGGGTCCTCATGGTGTCAGTATGAAAAGAAAACACGATGGTGGTGATGTTAGTGAAAAGAAGCAGAAGTTGGGCGTGGGAGCTGCTAGCGTCATGAGTAACGTTAAGGTTGAGGAGACGGAACATGAGACTGTGGAGTCTAATGCGGCCACACCAGCTCCCGAGGAGGGTAGTACGGCTACGAGCTCGAAAAAGAAGAAGAAGAAGGGCAAAAAGAAGTGATGAGTGATGACAAGAAACAGTGACGCATGTAATACAGTAGCAGAAGTATATAGCACCTGGATATTATTAATGGCGAGCTTCGTGAAAAGCAACCTTGGGTCAACAAGGCAATTACATGCACAGTAGAACAGGCGTAAAGACCAGTAAAGGGGATGAGGCAAAGCCGGCGAACCAAAAGAAGAAACAGAGACTCTAAGAACGGAACATGCCCTTCAAGCGAGTGATCAAGCCATCGCGACGACTAGGACGCTTCTCGGTGGACTTGACAGGCAGAGGAAACGAGCCCGGAACCTTCAAAATATCCACAGTCTCACTGTCTGGCTGGTGAGGCCGGCCAGTAAAAGAGCTATTGCGAGAGTTAGGGCCAAGAGTGGTAACTTCTGAGTCTTGGGTTGTTCCGGATCCTCCTTGCTTGGCAGCAGCAGTTGCTCCGGAGTTTGAGTTTGTTGGGGTGATATCTTCGGGGGCGTTACGATTCCTCGCCGAGCGATTACTCGCGTCGAAGTCGTTCTCTTCGTCGCGAGAGATGTTCTCGAATGCAGATCCTTCAGATTCGGGAACAGACACAGCTGCATAGGACAGGTCGGAAGTCAGCACGTTGGTAAGCTTCTCGTCACCTTCACGGGACTCCAGCACGAGATTTGCGTGCTTTTCAGCGGGGAAAGCAGTCTCAACAGGAGTCTTGACAGACTCAACAGTCTCGGAAGTCTGAGAAACTGTAGCAGCAGGGGCTTCAGTAACTGGAGTTGTCTTGGCAGCAGAAGTCTCAGCAGCGGTAGCCACGGGGGAAGGAGTAGCCTCCTTGGTGAACTCCTCCACCTCGATCAACTCGTCAGCATCCACATAATTGTTTGAGTTTCCATGCTCGTCATGTTCAAGCTTGTAGGAGTCATGGGTGGTCCATTCGGAGTCGTTGACCACGAACTTGAACACCAACTTCTGGCGCTCGGGAACACGCAAGAGTACCTCGAACGCGTCGAACTCGGCGTCCTTGGTCAAAACTCCCTGAGACTGGGACCAGTCATCAAAGTTGCCGGTGACAACAACGGAATGAGTCTCTGGATTAGCAGGCCTATCGTTAGTAGGGATGTAGGTGAAGATAGATGAAAATAGATTTGAAGGACTTATCAACAAGGAGGAAAATCATTAAGGAGTAGACCATAATGTTGATAACCAATATGGCTGCGTCAAATGATATCGATCGCATATAGGATCAGAAATTGAAGGGCCTGTGACTCCGAATCATCGTTTCATCCGCCACAAATGTACTTACCACGTAAACTTATAAGTGTAGTAGGTCATGGGATATTTATCACAGAAAAGCCAGATGTAGAAGGAGAATTGGATCAGGAGCTAGATCAATTAAATATGGCGAAAAAGCAACCCTGAGTGGAAGCAGGCGGACTGCAGAAATGCACACTTCTCTGCGCCGCAGTAGATAGACTGGATGGGGGTAGTGGTGGAGATGTTGGGGGGCATTTTTCTTCTTTATAACTTTTGATTTATTGAGCCGATTTCATTGGGCCGAGCTTAGGAGTTTAAATAATAGAGTGAGTATCAATGAGCGTCTGGAAATGTATTTCCGAGATGATTTACTATTAAGTTCGTCATTTTAATTGCCAACATTTTCAAGTCCGAAAGCAGATGGTGCTATATTCGTTAGGGAACACTCCTGCAGGCTGCGATAGGCATGTATGGCCATATTCGGGGCGTCCAGTGCCGACACTATAAGCAGGAAAAAAGATTAGTGAACTGTTTGTTTATTTTTTAGACATGAGTCGATCGGGATCGAAGTGAGAGAATCACGATGAGTGTTGACATTTTAAAGTTGATGTTTTGGTTTGATTGGGCGTATTTATTTCTCAGTTTCTATCTTTTTGACCTCTTTTGTTTTAGCGTTTTATTGTAGGTGGGTCTGGCCAGGATTTCAAGGAATAGAGTCAAGAGATTAACGCGAAAATGAGACAATGTTAAGAGTTAATGGTCAACTTTATGAAGAAATCATTTGGAACAGATGGATACACTTAAGGAATTGATTGAGCAAAACAATTAGAGAAACGAAAAAAAAAAAAAAATGAAAAAAAAATGAAAAGTCGAGGAAATTTGGACTAAATTAGGAATGGCTTTACGTGAATCGTGCAAATTTGCGTTGATCTGGTGAAGGGATTTGCGAAGACTGATTTTTGAGTTTATGAATACTTTGTGTGGCTCATAATCGACCGCTATGGCCGAATACAACATCGAGGGCGGAATTTCGAATAATTGCTTGGGTTGTTCTATTGTGTGTGGGATAGTACCATCAAGTATAGAATCTCACACGAGTCATGTAGGAAAAAGTTGACTTTTTCAGTAGTCAATGAATGAATATGAGAGATAAGACTGTGGAATTTGTCTGGATGATAACTCTACAAGGTTTTATAAATAACTCATCCGTAGAACTCCGGAAACCTAGACTTGGTAAATGGACTACAAAGTGAGAATTATTAGTCTGGACCAGAATAGAATTATAAGAGACTCACGAACACTCAGTTTAAAAACAAACTCTAAGGATAAGGGGTAAAGAACGAGTTCGAAGAATAAGCGTTAAAGAAAAATTTGATTACCAAGTTTGTAATCTGAATTCCACGGAATCCTGTCTGCTTGTGTATATTCTCTGTTCTATTCACTCCAACTGGGTCCTTTTTAAACTCTACTCAACCGTACTCTACATAATCAACTTTCCCACGTAACTCAAACCACCATGGACAGTTCAGACGACGTTGCCAACATCCACCAACTGCAATCATCCATCAATGGCCATCTTGCAACCATAAAAAAAAACTTGGGGTTTCACCTGTTGACTCTAGATGTGGACTACTCCACGTTTGACAAGTATATCAGTGCTAAAATCCACAAACATCTACCAGAGTTGGGTGTAAATGAGTATCTTGAGAGTTTGGCACGAAATACTGCCAACGAAGACATTGTAGTCAGCGAAATTCTAGCGGATACCGTTGGAGAGTCCGCGGTGCTTCAATTTGTCTATCTTCCTGAAGGAAACGAGCCTTCGACAATAGTATTCGAAGAAAACATTGTCAAAGTAATTCACACCCCAGGAGGAATCGGAGAGAATGTCGAAGATTTTGGAAAGAATATCCAGGATGCTGCTGAACAGCTGTTGAGTTCATGTTGCGGGTGTAGTTGAAGGATATCTAATCATTCTAGTAGTTTATGGTCCGTGATTAATTTTGAGTATTCTCACTTAACTTCTAACTGAAATTTTCATTGAAACCTTACTCCTACAAAATCGATGAACTACTGAAATTATGATTTACCAAAATCATCAATTACAAATACTATTTATTACAATAATAATAATTTTGTAATTATGGATTACAAATTACAAAATTTCAAAGATTACACACTCTTCATTGTTTCGACTATCTATAACAATCAGGACTACATTAGAAATCTACACATGGCTTACACCTCACTGCACTAAAGGTGACTTGCGTATTATTTTCCGATCGGCGTTGACACATAACGTTCACACATACCCACTTATCAACACCAAATGGTATCCCATTCAGTATGCCATTCTTATTATCCGATAACAATATAGCGGAATATCTGTGATGGGGAACGTCTGTGATGGGGAACGCCCGTAGTGAGAAATGTCCGTGCGTTAGTGTTGACGGAAATTGAATCCCCACATTCATCCCGTCCATTCCGCCAACTTGCCCATTTTCAAAATCCATTTCTCCGTCCATGTTTTCAACTCAAGAAAACCTTTACTGACGTCACGAATTCCCCTCAAAATTGCCTTTCCAAAGACATGCCGAAAGTTATGGCTTTTGTCCCCACTGGTTCTGGAATCAGCAATGTAATCAATGTGCATGCTCAATACAGGCTCTTAACTAATGAATAGGTCTTTGAAGTATATAAAGGGGAACTCCCCAAATGAAAAATTTCACTCATTAACAGTCAATTGATTTTCGATTCTCTCAGTTATTTCAATTTTCTCTTTTGAATTCCCTCAAACTCCGCTTATATACTGTGAACTGTCTATTTCAAGATGCCTTACTTGAAACTCTCTGATGGAACTGATTACTACTACAAGGACTGGGGTACTGGTACGCCAGTGGTGTTCAGCCATGGTTGGCCGTTGAGTGCTGATGCTTTCGAAGATCAAATGATCTTCTTGGCTCTGAAGGGATACAGAGTCATTGCTCACGATAGGAGGGGCCATGGAAGATCTTCGCAGCCATGGGAAGGAAACAATATGGACCAGTATGCTGACGACTTGGCGGAATTGGTCAAACATTTGGACTTGAAAAACGCCATCCATGTGGGTCATTCGACTGGAGGTGGAGAAGTCGCCAGATACGTGGGTCGTCACGGCACCGATAGAGTTCAGAAGGCTGTCTTAATTGGTGCGGTGCCTCCTCTCATGTTGAAGACTTCCAGTAACCCCAATGGAACACCCATCGATGTTTTCGATGACATCAGAAGCAACGTGTTGAAGGATAGATCGCAATTTTTCAAGGATTTGGCTCCAGCTTTTTACGGCTTCAATCACAACAAGGATCAGACTTCCCAAGGTTTGATTGACAGCTTCTGGTTGCAAGGAATGCAAGCTTCCATCAAATCTCTCTACGATTGCGTCAAGGCTTTCTCTGAAACGGATCAGACCGAAGATTTGAAGAAGATGTCCATTCCAACCTTGGTGATCTACGGAGATGACGACCAAATTGTGCCTCCCGTCGCATCGAGCGAGGCTGCAGTGAAGTTGTTGCCTCAAGGTACCAGCAAGGTCTACAAGGGTGCTTCTCATGGATTATGTACCACCCATAAGGACCAGATCAACGAAGATCTTCTTGCGTTTATTGAGAAGTAATGAATATGACGGCCATAACCAGCAACCAATTGGTATAATTAGACCCGTAACATGCCAGTCCGGTAATCTGTCTCTTACACCTTAACGCTCCCATTTATGAGCCTCCATTCCATCAGGTGGACTTGTTTCGAACGTCTTATCCTTAGCCTCCGCCCAATTCGTTGTCAACACTGTACCATTAGACTCAACATAAGATTTCATCATGGCCCTTCTAGTATCGTCGTCCACATCCTTGTACAACTTCGCAAAAAAATCATCCCCACCCTTATCTTCTTCTTCTTGTACTTGGAAACTTGACCAATTGATGGCCTTCTTTGCTGATGATGGATACGCAAGTCCACCAGATGATTGTTCTTGTACTGGAGCAGAATCGGTGGTTCCATCGCCCTCCAATTTGGCCCACTTGCCCGACTGGGCTTTGTATAAGGTAATTTCGAGTTTGGTCGAATACACCTTGAATGTGGACTTCTCAGTGTCAATGGTACCGAACAAAGGCTCCAAGTCATAGTTATACTCCGAGTTGTCTGCACTAGGGAACGATACCGAAACCGATCTAGTAGCAAAATCCACGCTTAGTGTGCTCTCATCTATATTCTTCGCATATATGGTTATGGTCACCGTGTCGTTATTCTGGTACCAGTCATCTCTGATCTTCACCTTCAATGGAGCATTCTTGTTGATTGTATCGACCAGTGTCGATTTCTGCTGAGGTTCTTGGTCCACTTTGGCAGTAACCACCGTCTCCACGGTGTTTCCCGTCTTCTTGAGCTCCCTCTCGGCCTTTGCCAACCAGATGCCCAATCCTGGCTCGGCGCATTGGTATTCCTGAGCCTTCTTGAAGTTCACCACTGCACCATCGTAGTCCTTCTCGGCGTAATTGACAAGCGCAAGTCGATAGTGGCACGTGGCCTTATCCGATCTCTTGCCGCGTCTTTCGGCAATAACGAACGCCTTGGTGATGTCGCTTTTGGCTTCAGCATAACTCGAAAGCTTCGTATACACGGCTGCTCGTTTGACTAGAGCTAGGTATGCGTCGGGGCTTTCTTTTAAAGCAGCAGAGTAGTGGCTAATAGCCGTCAAAAGGTCTTTCTTTTCTGCAGCTTCGTCGCCGTGCTTGATATGGATTTCGACTGCCATTTTGGAAAACCAGAATAGTGTTGAAGTGAGTCAGTAACTTGGGTGCGAAGGTCAGGTACATATAGTCCTAGTACCTAGACTGAGATATGAACTACATATGCGAACGAACAAAAAGAAAGAATGGACAAACTTAAAAAGTTAAATAAGCAATTGGTAGAATTGAAGGGTCTATGCTAGTTTTTTTCCCTCTCTATCACCATACCCGGTGCAAGAACTTTCTCACCTTAGTGTCTGGAATGGGACCTTTAGACTCCACATTTGGTAAGAGAAGCCAAATTACCAACATCACCGAGTACGTAGCAATAAATACAGGCAAGACCACATAGGTTCCCACGGCCTCTGCTCCCAAACCAATGAGAAATGGCAAAATGGCACCTCCACTAGACCCAAACGCAGTCATAATGGTCAAACTCACCACTTGGATCTTTCTGGGAAGCATTGATGACACAATAGTAATCATCAATGGGTATGTTGGCCCAATCATGGTGCCTGCGAGGGACACAAGCACAGAGAGAACAATGTTGTTGGCCACAGTCCAGGTCAACACAATAGCCCCGATTGTGAGTACAGTAAGCACAATGATGCTTCTTCTTGCACCAAAATACTTGTGCAAGGGCCTTGTCAATACCAACCGGCCAAGTGTGAGTCCGCCCCAGAAACCACTCAGGACATATCCGTAACTGTTATTTGCTCCACGAGAGTCCAATAAGTACGAAACAATCCAGCCTCCCAAAGACACCTCCGAACCTTGGTAGCATAAAACAAAGAGTGAAATAAGCCATGTAATGGGATTCTGCAATGCAAGCATCATGGCTCCGGTCTGCTTGGAGGCTGCAGGGCTTTCACGTTCCACTGCAGTAATATGTGTGCCCAAGTCTTGGAGGCCAATACCATCCTCTGAAACTCTAGGAGTATCGATGGGCGAGAGCCCTGCTTCGTCACCATTGGCCAAAAGCAATTCAGCCTCATCATCATGGTCCCAAGGCTTCAAGTCGTCGTCAGCACCGCCAAATGCAAACCAACAGTTGATGCAGTTGAACAACATGAGAACCAATGCAATGAGATAGAAGTAGTGCCACTTGATACCATGGTTCACCATACTGGTAGCAAGAAGAGGAGACAAAGTGGCACCCACGCCGTATGCTCCGTGCATGAATGCCAAATACTTTGAGTTTTTATCCAATTTGGAGAAGAAGACATTGGACTGTGCGAGCACAATGGCCAAGCCAATTCCTCCAAAGAAGAATCCAGTCACAATCAATGGAAACGGACCACCACTGGAAATCAACAGATACATAACCACCGAACACAAACATCCTACTAAAATGGACTTCCTCTTTCCCAACCAAGGCTGAATCTTGTGAGAGAACATCGCAACCAAAATGAACCCTGCAGCATTCAGCATCCAGATCAACGACACCACGGCGTAGCTGATTCCATAGTCACTTTCTATAAATGGCAACAAGGCACCGGGAGCTGCATCGGAGAATCCTCCACTAACGGACCAGATGCACGTTGCAATGATTCTCCAGAGGTTCTTGGGAGGATTTGAAGCTGTCATGATCAAGTTCTCGTCATGCTGCTGGAGAGGCACTGGCGACATGACTGGAGTCAATGCTGGGGTGTTTGGGAGGGTGTTTGGGAGCGACTCAACTGTTTGGTGCTGTGGTGTGAAGCGCAAGTTGGTGATGTCGTCGTTGGAAGGTCTGGAGATGGCATAAGGTCTTCCTCCGATTTTCACTTTTCCAACCAAGGATTTGGGACCCGTTTCAGCAATGTGTGCTGGATCCTGGCGAGAAATTGGCATGGTGATAATGAGAATTTATCCAGTTTTAGCGAAATATATGGTATATATGTAAAAATAAAAAGATTTCGATTACTAACGCTATGTGAGGTTCTTGGCTGCGAAGTGGGGGATCCAACTGATAAGGTGCACGATGACTTCAAAGTTGAAAAATTTTAAGCCCCTAATGTCCCCGATTCTCCACTCCACTCCCCCATAACTGACTAGGTAATTCCAATTCCATGGCTCCCAACATGGTGGTTATGTCATATCCTACTGATAGTTTCTTGTACCGGAACTCTCCTTTGAAATGTTCTATTAATATACACTAACCAAGGCACTAACCATGGAGAGACAGGAGAAACCCTGAAGAGACAGGAGAAACACTTGAGGGACAAAGAAATTCTCGCAAGGTGTTCACCATGTTGTAATCATGCAGTAATCATGTCGTCTATGTCTGCCCCGCAGCCTTCACCAAGTCCAAGAATTTTGCCTTGGAGATCTCATTGACGAGCTCTTCCTTCTTAGTCAGTCCCACCTTCTCCTGGCTGATCTCCTGGTTAGTCTTGACTTGTGTGGCCAAAACTGCGTTGAACAACTTCACCACACCCTTCTGTGCAACCTTTTTCAATCTTCTCTCCTTCTCAATGGCGTCCCTTACCTTCTCTGGCTCATCTGCACTGGGAAGAAGATTCTTGATTCTCTGTCTATCGAAACCCTCCTTCTTTTCTGCACGCATCATTCTCTTAGCTTTGGCTTCCAACTTATCCGACTCCAACTGCTTCAAAGTTCTCTTGTTTCTGGCCAAGATGGGATCCTTTCTGTCATAAGCCTTCAACTTTGATCCAATGATGGCATTAAACGCGCTGGCAAACGACTCACTGCCTGTGTCGGTAACCTTTTTCTTTTTTCTCATTGGAAAACTGTCGTCATCACTATCGCTTCCGCTGGCGGCGCTTTCATCTTCATTTTGACTATCATCTTCACTGTCACTACCTGGTTCATCTGAAGAGACTTCGTTAACATCAAACTCGTCATCAATACCGGAGTCACTTTCATCAGATTGCTCAGCTGCGCTTACTGAAGCGCTGGAATCAGATCCAGACTCGGAAACGGGCTCTTGAACAGCCTTTTGTTTGTGTTTCAATGCCATTTTAGTTGATAGAAGTCCATCGCATCTCATCTTGCTTTTTAGGTGTGGTACATATATGCAGGTCGGTATTCTAGGATAGATAGTAAGGTTTCATGGATATTATTTTCATGAAGCTCAATGTCTCTGAAAGACACGTAGAAGCAAGTGAGCTATATGAGGTATTGAACAACTAGATTTTGTGTGGTACTAAGGGATCCTTAAGTGTAGATGTAATTGTATTTCCCAGATCAGACTGATTTCATCTAAAATCAATACTACATATCTCAAGCACTACCAAATTCCCGTTTTTCATGGACATTATAGACTTCCAAAGCTACTTCTTTAAATAGACTCCTCGAATTACTCCATTCCTACTTACTTCCCCTAATTCTTCATCCTCCACCTTTTCCCATAATAAAACTACACCCGTGCACCAGCTTTTGTGTTTATCTGAATCATGAATCAAACATTCCTACTACAAAGGATGTCCCTTGAAAATGATGTGAGTAGGGTCCGCAAAATGCAAGTTGACCATCGGTCACCATCCAAAAAATTGAAAATCGTCGAAAGATACGCCATGTATTCGACATCCAACACCGATCCAGCCCATAATGCCAAAATGTCATACAATAGACGTATGAACCACCTCGAATCCGAGATCAGAAAGAGAAACGAAGAATTGGAGGAGATCCACACCAGCTCACTAGACTACCGTGCTAATAATGACAAGTTGGAGTTCAACAATTGCGAGTTGGAGGACGATGTCAATGAACTTAATCGAGAACTCCAACTTTCAAATGAGAGTATCAAGAATCTCCATGAAATGGAACAAGAATCGTTGCAGTCAATCAAAAACATGTTTGAAGAGAAGAAGAAGCTAATGCTTGTTCAGCATGAAGAGTCGCTCATGAAAATGAAGGAGTCCACCAGTGATGAAATCAAGGCTGCGTTTGAAGCTTCTAAGGAAAAGCTTGTCAAGAAGAACACTCTTCTTGAAGAGGAAATCCTGACACTTTCAAAGAATATTCAGACGCACACCTCGGAAATGAATAGGAAACTCATAAAACTAAAGGAAGACCATCACAAGAAGTTGCTACTGCTAACTTCCAATTTGAATGATATGCTGACTGAACTTGAGCACGACTCTTACCTCTTGGAGAAGGAAATCGACAAGAAGTCTCACGAAATTGACGCTTTGAGGGCTTTAATAGTGGGCGAATTAGACCAGAAGACATCATCTTTGCACGAGAATTTATCGTCATTAAAAGTCAAGTATGCCAATAAAGAGAGCGAGCTTGCAAGTCTCAGCTCGAGGATAGTTGCTGCCCGCCAGAGAATTGAGCAACTTCAATCGACGTTTGTCTCAAAAATGGAGAAAATCAAGTCATACCAGGTTTCTGCGTCAGAGATGAAGAGCATGTTTCCTTCTTTGGAACAGCAACGCAGAACTTTACACAATCATTTGCAAGAGTTAAAGGGAAACATTCGAGTATTCTGTCGAGTTCGTCCACGGTTGGAATTTGAAGAACCTGATGAAATTGAGATGCTGTTGGAGGAAACCTTAAATGAAAGCGGAAAGCAGAACCTTGTTATTGCCAGGGACGGCGATTCGACCCAAGATTTATACAGGGGTTCCAGCAGAGGAAAGACTAGTAATCACCAATTCCAATTCGATCAGGTTTTCGAACAGTCCATTGGTAACAACGAGATTTTTTCTGAGATCTCTCAGCTCATTCAGTCTAGTTTGGATGGATACAATGTTTGCGTTTTTGCTTACGGCCAGACAGGTTCCGGTAAAACATTTACAATGGCTAACGAAGGTGACGGCATGATTCCTTTATCGTTGAAAAAGATATATGAGGATATTGCCAATTTGAAGGAACATGGATGGAGGCACGAAATCACTGGCCAGTTTGTAGAGATCTACAACGAGCAAATTATTGACTTGCTTTCTGGATCCAATACTGCCCAAAAACATGAAATCAAACACGATGAGGAGGCAGGAATTACTACTATCACCAATGTCACCAACGTCGGAATGCCAACTGAAGAAGATGCACTTGAAACTCTTCACAGGGCAACCAAGAGGAGATCAACAGCTTCCACGAAAGCTAACGAACGCTCGTCGAGATCGCATTCGGTGTTCATCATCAGTATTAACGGAAAACATTCAGAACTGGGTAAAGAAAGTCGAGGTACTCTCAACTTGATTGACCTCGCAGGTTCAGAAAGACTCAATCACTCTCAGGCAAAGGGGGATCGTCTTAAGGAAACACAGGCTATTAACAAATCCCTTTCCAGTTTAGGAGATGTGATACATAACTTGACCAAGCAACAGGCTCTGGGAGCCTCTTCTGCACATATTCCCTACCGGAATTCTAAATTGACATACTTGCTTAAGAATAGTTTGGGCGGAGACTCCAAAACTCTTATGTTTGTCAACATTTCGCCTCTTACGAAAAATTATAATGAAACAGTCAACTCACTCAGGTTTGCTACAAAGGTCAACAACACCAAATTAGCTTAGTGGATAATATACATATATACAAATTAGTCGTGGCCACCATCTATGAGTAAATTAGTGTCTGGCATGTAATTGGAGGCAGTTTTCAATAACCCTGATTGTTTTACCGATTCCCATTCTTCTCTGTGGTTTTCTATTGCCCATTTCTCAATCTCAACTTGCTTTTCCAGATCCAAGCAGTAGTTATACATGGACAAAAGCAAATCGGGAGAGAAGTCGATATTATAGTCGTCGATCTCGTCAACTAATGCGAAAGCATCTTCCGTCAACCCATGATATACATGAGCAATCAAGTACTGCTTGTAAATGTTATAGTCGGGGAAAATGCCAAATTGTGAGAGGTTGTTCCAGAACTTCTTCACATACAACATGTCACTATATGTGTACGTCTTGATCATAATCTGGATGGTTTCCTCATTGATGCCACCATTCTGCTTAGCATTGGCTGAGATCGTCAAGAAGAGGTCTCTGGCCCTTCCAACACTTTGCAAGTTGGAATATGCGTTGAGAATGCAGTTCTGCAAGTCGATATCCTGGTCTTGAATATGAACATCCATGTTCAAGTATTCATGAATCTCAACTACACCTTCTTCATACAAGCGATCCCCAAAAGTCCGGAGAAGAAACATGTACATATCTCTCAGTGGAGGCAAGTACTGGGTTGTGCCGTGAAGTTCATTTAACTTCTTGATCTGGCGAAAAATTACTAACGCTGCGTTCAATCGGTCAACTTTGCAAAAAAACTCGAGTGCTGGCATGTAAGTGTTGTAAGGAACTTCGAAATATTTATGCAACTCTCCATACAACACCCAGTTGGTCTCATGAGTTTCTTCATTTGCGTAGGAAATAACAAAGTTGTGCAAAGTGTTGAAAAGCTCGCCATAGGCATATGCCCAAGGAGGTGTGACTTGAATTCTCGTCACTGAGTCCTTCGGGATGGTAGGGAGCTCTCTTTTAAGAAGTTCCTTGGTATCTCCCACACATTCCTCCACAAGCATTTTCTTTGCCAATGCATTAATGGCTTCTGCACTTACCTGGGTTGACATATGCAGCTTGATCTTTCTGAATTTTGGAAATATGGTCGAAATGCCCTCTTCAGTCTCGCCGAGAGCTTGAATCAACTTGCTCAAGGTCTGCAGAATAGATGGATCACTGTTAAGATTCCAATGCACGGAGCCATACTTCAAACTTTCTTCAAATACTTGATACGATTGCACAGCATCTTCCATTTCAATACCCCTGTCAATTCTGTACTGAAATGACAAAATTGTTGGTTCAAATTCATAGTTAACTTGAAAAACCTCTTTTAATCTCTGAATTATGGTACCGTTTGGCTCTGCTTTTCCAGAAAACATGAGAACTTGCACAATGTTCGTATAACTATCCTGTAAGTTCTCTGTCAGTTCTAAATAGGGAGTAAAAACAGACTTGAGAACTGGTAACAAATCTTCCTCAGAGTCTTCACTTGACTCAATCACCTGCATTATGGCGGCCTTCAATCGAAGTGACAGAGAGAACTTTACATCATCAGCCATAATAAACTCACTTAAGCTCAATCTCATCTGTGCAAAGAGCTCTCTTTGCTTTGTCAACTCCACTAATAATGTGTCTGCCAACGATTCGTCAAACAAGTCATGCTTGAAGATGACTGCCTTTATATCCATGAAATCAGAGTCCTTTCCCTTTTCATTGAGGATGGTAAACATCTTTTGTATTTTTAGCACATCAAGGTCTGATGCAACCACCGTATTCAAGTCTGCCTTGAACTTTAACAATGTCAAGCACGTATTCGTTTGCAAGTGATCGAATGCTTGCTCGATTAACCTGTTAGTCACGAACTGGATCCTGTAGACATTCTTATCCAATTCCTGGTACTCGTGAACTCTAGGGTTTCTCTCTTCAAATAGAGTCTCGACGAAGCTCATAAAAGAAGTAGCAAATTCATCAGTGAGTAATAAAGGAGATATTTCACCATTAGAAACTGACAAGAACGCCTCGTAACTTGCCAAATTCAATTCATTCCGATCCTTTAAATGGTCCAAAACAGCCTTCGAGAATGTGGATGATAGAAGAGACTTTTTGTTCTTGATAATGTATCCTAGAATGGCCGAGAACTCACTGAACTTTAACGATGAACCGAGCGTAATGATCAGTAACAAAGTCTTGTCAGGAACTATCTGGTCTGAAGTCAAGAATTGCTGAGTTAACCTCACCATGAACTCTGGTAATTCAAACAGTCCAGACTGTGGAAGACCACCAGCAGTTTTCTGGAAGAGCTTATATATCTCATCCGGAGACAATATTCCCTCCAAGGACCCGCCGTGGGTTCGATATAGATGCATAAAGACGGCATTTATTGTGGAGATCATCTCCTGATTGGACGAGTAGTCGTCAACGTCATGGACAATCTCTGCCAACTTAGTTTTTAAGAGACTCAATCGGAGCTTCTGAGGGATTTCTGTGGTTTTCAAGTAGTATTTAAAGTCACTGATTCGATTTGATATTTCCGATACTTCGCCAGCTCCTTCGATGATCACATCTCGAGACTTCATCGCAGACTTGGATTTCTTCTTAAAACGATACTTTGGATTGACCCAGTTGGGTCTTCGCAGTACAATAGGCACATTTTTGGATCCTGAAGTGGGTAATAACGTAGAACAGCGAAAAACTCCAGGATTCCTGGCTATCCCAACTAGTCGAGTCCACGAAGTCATCGTGGTGTGAAGGTATATTGAATAATGAAATATCATTTCGCGATGTCGCACAGTTTGTAACACATTAATGCTACCAGATGTTTTACAAAAAAGCTTAATACAAATAATTCAATACCATTTCTATGAGGAATTCTTTTGCAATGTACATATTTATATTTTAAATTGGTTTCTATTTACGAATATTTACAAGGCCACATGTAGAAATAGTGGCCCATCACTCTCCCTCCTCATACTCAGGCAAGTGCTTCTGAAGTCTCTTGATGGCCCAATTCTGGCCTATAAACTGGACACTTGGGTCACTTAAGCCTTCGGACTTGGTGTACTCCTTCCAGAACGCTGGATCATGGAACTTGGGGTTCTCGGGCTTGAAATAGCCCAACTGTTCTCTGATATCCAAAACTTTGTCTCTGAGCTCGGCTGCAAGCTCAGATCGAAGCTTCTGCACCTTCTTTCCGTCTCTCAACTCACCAGACAAGTCCGTAGGGTTCTTCTTGTCCGTGTACTTGTCGCACAATGCTCTCCATTGCGATCTGTAGTGCTCGATTCTTTCGTCGGGAATTGGATCGCCGAAAGCAATATGGATCTCGGCGCCCAAGTTCTGTGGAAGCCATCTCTTAATACCCTGATCTGCCGAGTCCTCCGGAGCAATCTTCTCGAAGCCAAAAGAGAAAATGGGGAGAACAACCGGTGCTCTGGTACTTTCCAAGATCAAGCGAGAAACTCCCCACTTGAAGTATCTCATAGAGTTGTTATCTGGCTCACGGAGCTGCAAAACAAATCCTTCAGGAAAGACATGGAACCACGAGGTCTTTGTTCTGATGAAAGGAGACTTGGACATGAGAATGTTGGTGGATTCAGGCGACGGCTTCACGTGCTTGACCAAATTCGTCACTTTCTCGGGCGCAACACCCAAGTTGTTGATTTCCTGAATGAGAGTGGGCTTCTGCTGTTCTCTAGTCCACGGACTAAACTCCAAGTCCAAGGTATCATCAGGGCTGAGAATTCTGATGGCTGCATCAAGCGATCCCTGGAAAGGACCTTCGCCAAATCGCTTAGTACCCAAAACTTTCCCCAAATTGAAGAACCACGACAAGGTGGGCGTCGAAAAGCAGATGTTATGGGCACCAAACGCCCACCGAATGGTATCGACATCGAAATGGTATCTCCACGGGAGGAGAGCGTAAAAGGAAGGGTCATCCACCACTGACATGTGGTTCATTACGGTCAAAAGAGACCGCTTCTCAAGACGAGCCTTTTGTAGCGCCGCATCGAGCTTTTCGATATCATGAACCTTAGGTTTGTATAAGACGTTGATAAGAAACTTGGACAGAAGAATCATGGTCAAGCAGGTGGCGTGGGAAGCAACATTCCACCACGGAGCAGTTCTTGGATACTCCGAGAGGAAGTCATCGCCACGCTTCAAGACGTCGGGGAACGACATGGTTTGGAGATGTTGTTGGGAGTAATTTTTTTATGGTTTCGCACCCAAAAAACGTGGAGTAGGTGATGACTGGGGTATACGATATGCATATGAAGGCGAACAATAAAATGATAATTAAGAATGGTATTTTCAGAGGCTGATAAAAAAGTGAAAAAAATCGGTTTCATTGTGGTCGTAAATTTAAAAGTCGTCATTTTTTCTTTTTGTTTTTCTTCCTCTATTGTTACTCTTGTCATTTCTTCTGAAAGAGATCAGTGAAAGCAAGCCTGGTATCCTGCCCCAATGTACCCATGTGACGTTTGAGAATATCGATATCAGTGGGTGTAAGTGGTCGGAAAAGTGAATCATCATCAACTTGAGAACCTCCCCGGCTTCCAAAGAGTATATCTCGAGTTAATTTTTCCAGAACCAAGTCGGGGAAGTCAACTGGCTGAATAACTGTAGTACGGCTGATATCACATTTCATAACTTGAGCGATGTAGCGATCATAATGAGTTTCCAGACGCTTTAAAATGGAATAAATGATCATCTTTTCGTTTATTTTCTCTATAGCCAGTGTTAATTCTTGTTGAAAAGCTTCGGAAGGTTGCTCCAATGCATTGCGGTGACTGAATGTGTCGGGACACAAGATCCGGGCCCGGAAGTTGGCAGCCATGTCCGAATTTACTTCATTAAGACTAGCCACTCTATGTTTGTAAGCGTTTCCAGCCTCAAATCTCATTTGCATAGTGTTATCAATTGAGAACTCGCGATACTTGGAGTCCACAAACATGGCTATCAATATCGACGAATCTCCCAACGAAGATATTTGGGACCCCTACGTCCAAAAATCTCAAGCTGCTTCTCAGCGCAAAATCGACTTCCTTCGCCAATTCTACAGGCGAGGGCTCAACTCAGGCGGCGATGTAAGAGACACTTCCATGGTGTATTTGGTGCTCCAGTCTGGTCTTGTGTTTGAAGACGACTACTATATGAGGATTCTAGGGCTCAATCCTCATATTGCAGCACATTTGGCTCTCTACCGACTGCTCAGTCGAGAAGTTAGACTGGTGGCTGGCATTTTGAGACGCAACATTATGGCCCACTCGATGCTTCAGATGCCCATGAGTGATATCCGCAGCTTGTGCTACAGAATTGCCGACAGGTATGAATCTCTCTTCTATGTTCCTGTTAAGACACCAGACGAAGAAAAGCTGTGTGCCATCAGCTTTCTGTGGAAGGACCGCTACAACGGAATGTGGCCCATTGTCAGTATGCTCCATCGTGAATACCAGGAAACTTCCATGTAGAGGAAGACAGCGGCTCAAATGTTTTCGTAATTTTCTCTATATATTTTCTCATATTCAAGATAAAGCTCAGGGACCTCCCTAATTTCATTCTCAAGCGGCGCTGCCCTTTTTACGTCTCTAAGTAGTCGATTTTGGATATAGTTATGGAAAGCTCCAATCTCTGACTTATGAGGATAATAATAGTGAAAGAATTCACATGAAGGATCATTACGATTGTATGAGTACTCAATCAAGTTTTTCAGAGGAAAGAATTGGAAATCCATTGGAGAAATATCGACTTTAGTGCCCACAATAGCCTTGCTCGTCTCTATATGGTGATGGTAAGCTTGGTACCAGTGGCCCCTTCTATATTCATCATAATTGACACCTAATCGACGTAATTTGTGGCAGAGAAAAATCTTAGAGTTCATGCTAGCAATACAGTAGAATGTAATAGTATTGGAAATGCCAAATCGATCACGTTTGGGTTCCATTGGCTAGCAAGGGTGTATTTTGCAACAACACAGAAAGGTCGCACAACGTAAAATGCAAAAGGTGATGGAAGTAAACAGAATATTACATGTAAATTTTGAAATAAGTCAGAACTCATAAAATGGTTCAATAATTTCAATTATCAATTATATGTTCAGAGTATCACAATTTTAATTCGAATAAACCCATTAGATAGTTTCTAAAGTCTATATCTGGTAGTGGCATTGATCTCAGGCTTATCACACATACACTCCTGCTCATCTCTTCGCACCAAAAATTAGAATTTTCAACTACTCATCTCCAAACAAAATGGCCAGAATTAAAAGGAAGGGGAAGTCCGGAGCTGCAAAGAACTTCGTGACCAGAAACCAGGCAATCGCAAAGTTGCAGGTCACATTGGCTGACTTCCGTCGTCTTTGTATCTTCAAAGGTATCTACCCAAGAGAACCTAGAAACAAAAAGAAGGCCAACAAGGGTTCGACAGCTCCTACCACGTTCTACTATGCCAAGGACATCCAGTACTTGCTACATGAGCCAGTGTTGAACAAGTTCAGAGAGCAGAAGACCTTCTCCAAGAAGTTGCAGAGAGCGTTGGGTAGAAAAGAGCTCGGTGATGCTCAAAGACTAGAGAAAGCCCGTCCAAAATATACTTTGGACCATTTGGTCAGAGAGAGATATCCATCGTTTTTGGATGCATTGAGAGACCTTGATGACCCTTTGAACATGTTGTTTTTGTTTGCCAACATGCCTGCCACCGACAAAGTCAGCCACCGTGTGACTAAGGAAGCAGGCAAGTTGACCAACCAGTGGCTTGCATTTGTGGCTAAAGAGAGATTGATCAAGAAGGTGTTTGTATCCATTAAGGGTGTCTATTATGAAGCCAACGTGCGTGGCCAAGAAGTTAGATGGTTGGTGCCATTCAAGTTCCCCACCAACATTCCTTCTGACATCGACTTTAGAATCATGTTGACATTCTTGGAGTTTTACTCCACGTTATTGCACTTTGTATTGTTCAAATTGTACAGTGATGCGGACTTGGTCTACCCTCCACCTATCGACACAGACAAGTTGAAGGGTGTTGGTGGATTATCGGCCTACGTGTTGAAGACCAAAGATGAGAGCGTGAGCTCTTTGCTTCCAGCTGAGCGTTCTAATGAGACCGAGTCTTCTTCTGTCGAGGTTAAGACCCAGTTGTCTACCGAAGACATCAACAAGGCTAAGGCTGCAGATGCTCAAGAGGACGATGACGAAGACGTTGAGGAAAACGTTGAACAGGTCGAGTTGGACGAGTTCTCACTGACTACCAAGACCCCAGGAGATGTTTTGACGCAGCCAACCCAGTTTTCGTCGCCATCGTCCACACTTTTCTCCAAGTTTGTCTTCTACGTTGGCCGTGAGGTAGCATTGGACATCTTGGAACTTTGCATTTTGTCTGCGGGAGGAGTCATCGTTTCTGAGATTGCCGTGGACGACTTGAAGATTAACAACCCCGAGGCATACAGCAAGTTGGACTTGTCGACAATCACGCACCAGATCGTTGACAGACCCAAGGTCGCCAGCAAGGTAGCCGGCCGCACCTACATCCAGCCTCAGTGGGTGTTTGACTCCATCAACAAGGGCGAGTTGGTTCCTGTTGGAGAGTACGCACCAGGCGAAACTTTGCCACCTCATCTTTCTCCATGGGGAGATTCTGGCAACTACAACCCTAACGAGCCTGTTGTTGCCAACGAAGAGAGCGAAAGTGAAGAGGAAGTTGAGGAAGACGAGCAACCAGATGCAGATGAGGAAGAGGAAGAGGAGGATGAGGACTTGAAGGAACAGAAGGAATTGGAGTTGGAGGCAGCTGGTGTCCAGTATTCCGAGGTTGCAAGTGAGCCTAAGAAGAAGAGCAAGAAGAGCAAGAAGAGTGCCGAGGACGAAGAGAAGGAGTTGAAGACCATCATGATGACCAACAAGCAGAAGAAGTTGTACAAGAAGATGCAATACGGAATTGACAAGAAGGAGAGCCGGGTGGAACAGTTGGCCAAGAAGAAGAAGCAGCTTGAGAAGGCTAAGAAGCAGTTGGGCAAGGTGCAGAAATAGCCATGTACATTTAGTTTGGACTAACAGCAATAACATAAGTATTTGAGAGTGAGACATCGTAGACAGTAGAGGATTGAGTTACCAAACATACATCAATTTATAGTATTTTGGAGCAAATGAAAAAAATATCACGATACTTATAAGATAAACATAATACAAGATAAAATTCTATCAACCTTTAAAATCTCCTGAAAGTTCTGAAATCTCGATGATAGTTCTCACTTAAACTTAACTCTACACAACTCTTCCTGTAGTATCTCCAATATCCTACACATGCACTAATCTACCACAACTTATCTTCAAGATGCCCCAAATCACCCCCATTCGGGGCTTCACAAACACTCCCGTCACAAAGTCCATCTGTATCATCTCCACGGTGACTGCGTTGGTCATCCTGATTTTGTCGCTCAAGCCATATGTGGTTCTTGCCATTGATCCATTCATAGTGGAGTTTAGCCAATACTGGCGAGTCATCACTTTCCAGTTGCTGCCGGTCAACGAATCCGATTACATGCTCCTTACCATTCTTTGGTTCCATTTCAAGACACTCGAGCGGTTTTTTGGCTCGCGAAAGTACTTGTCGGCCATAGCACTCTTTGCGGTCTACAATGCTATCATCACCTTCCTAGTTCTTGCTCTAGGTCAACTAACAATTGTGGCACTTGCTGCTCTCTTCCGCCTTGTAGTCCTCAGACAACCATTTGCAGTGTTGTACACGGATACCATTTTCAACTCCATAGCTCTGGGTCCGTTGGGGATTATTTCGCTGTTGTACATGTGCCATGGAGCATATATCCCAGTGTCTTACCAATTCAAGATTCTAATGAAGAAACCCAAGGGCGAAGAGAGTGAAGATGGCGAGCCTCTCAACTCTGGCTCTACCCTTACGCTTACAAACCACTTCCAGGTTCATGTTCTATTCACCATTCTCATGTTGAATCGTGGCTTCTCAACCCTAATTCCATGCCTTGTGGGGCTCTTCATTGGACGATTATATACCCAGGACCTCTTGGCAGGCTCCAAAAGCTGGGCTATGCCTCTGCTCATATTTCGCATGTTTGTCAGTCCTAGAAAGGTCCAGAGATCTGCTGCAAGGTCTCTCGAGCGCAGGTTCCACGAGTACCAACCTGTTTCTGCACAAATACCGTCAGAATCAACTCCGGCTCCCGGGGAAGAAGGGAATGCCGACAGACACGACGAAGACGACACAGAGGTGGCCCTCGATGACATTCGCAGCAACGATGAACGTCAGGATGACCGTTCTGCTACACCTGTGCGTCCTTTGGGCCGCCAGTTCCTAGATACGTTCCGAGCATAGTACAGTTGCATTTGATTATCGGGTTGTGCTGGCTCACATGGGTGGCTTATCGTGTGTCATTAGTCTATATCTTCAAGATCTCGATGCCTCTTCACTCGTACGCAACTTTTTCCTTCTCTCCACGTCCCAGTTATACAATCTGGCGGTGTTGACCTCCATGGTGGTGATGTTCTCTCTCAAAAACTCCAAATCCTCTTTGACAGTGGCCAACTGCTCCTTGTTGTTCTTCAATCTCACATTTAAGAGTTCTACTGCTTCGTCAAGTGGATATTCCAACATGACTTCGGCACCCAACCACAAGTACACCGAGTCTAAGTTTTCTTCATCGATCACAGCCTTCGTATACAATGTGCTGTCCAATTCGTAGTTGGCCTCGATGGTTTTATTATCTGATTCTTCCTTGGTATACTTCATATGTTCAATCACCTCAAGATTCTTCTCGATGTCTGGGATCTTGGTGTTCAAATCGGCTAGCTGCTGTTTCTTGGAGAGCTCCATGTACTTGTACTGCTGCAATCTCTCCTGGAACGCCTGTAATACTCCATCGAACTCCGAATCTGGATTCTTAATGATAGCCTCGACCTTCTCGATGAAAGGGGCCTCTGGAATTCCACGTGGGTTGGTATTCTTTGGTCTAATGGTTAGTAAAAGACTAAAAGAGACGTGAATTGTCTATACATACCTGAGGAAGTCTGCCATGTTGTAGTTACCTAAGATATGGAATGTCGAGATGAAAAGCCTCTTGGGTATGTGCACACCAAGGTAGATGGATCAGTATGGAGTCTTACTGAAATCAAAATATATCAACAAGATTGGATTTGAATATCTATAATTAAAGTCTTTTCAATTTTCGGTAAGTATCACAATTGCGTGATTACATATTCTTCTGATTCTCTCGGAATGTTCGATTATTTTTTGAAATTGATTATTGATCATTGTTGCTAATGGAATCTACATCTTCAACCTACCTATACGAATTCGACTTTACAGATTTCAATACTCTTGATTAACTTTACTCCACATAACCTATTATACATATTAAACACCAACACGCAAAATATTCTGCCTTTGATGACGGAAGCGAATCACCTCATGTCTTTCCATGATGTGCAATGCCTTGTCTAGAGCTTCGGGCGTTGCCTTGCCAGATTCCACAATCTCACGACGAAGCGTCTTGTAGGCGGTCGACCAACCAATAGGCAATCTGCGTCTCAACTCGTGTTCGACGGCCTTGATCTGCTCTGCAAACTTCCCTGAGGCCATCAATGCTCCACTCTGGATTCCCTGGTCTACAGCGTTCATTGTGGAAGCAGAAAACAACCGAATCGCCTCATCCACATGGTCAATGGTTGCAATAGGCAGTAGTGTGAGCTTGGCCAAGGACTCGGTAATACGAATGATAGCTTCAAGCTGACGAACTGTGATTGGAATCAGCGATCTTTCATTCATGTCTGCTTCGTTAACCTGCAAACGACGTCTAATGGCAACGAAATGCGATGATAACTTTTCAGCAGCCTCAGGACTCAATCTTGGTGCACACTTGGACTTAGCATACTGGATGTAACGCTTCATGGTGTCGATAGGGATCTCACCTTCTTGATCATCATTGTTGTTGTTGGAGTTACCAGTGTGGACATTCATGACGTGCTGGGCAATCAGCCTGTCTCTGGCCTCATTGTGATCATCCTTGACGATGAAGATCATATCGAAACGCGAAAGAATGGTGGTTTGGAAATCGATGTTCTCTCCCGGACTTTTTAAGTCGTCGTATCTACCAAAAATAGGATTAGCAGCAGCGAGAACAGAAGTTCTAGAATTGAGAACTGTGGTGATACCAGCCTTGGCAATAGAAATGGTCTGCTGTTCCATGGCTTCGTGGATGGCAACTCTATCCTCATCTCTCATCTTATCAAACTCATCAATACACACCACACCTCCATCGGCCAACACCATGGCACCTCCTTCCAAGTAGAAATCTCTAGTTTGACTATCACGTTGAACAGAAGCTGTTAAACCAGCGGCAGAGGAACCCTTACCAGAGGTGTAGACGGAGATTGGCGAAATTTTCTCCACGAACTTCAACAACTGTGACTTGGCAGTACCTGGATCTCCCAATAACAACACGTTAATGTCTCCACGCAATCTCATGCCATCTGGCAAGATTTTCTTTGAACCTCCCATTAACAAGCATGTTATGGCTCTCTTGATATCATCGTTTCCGTAAATAGAAGGAGCAATCGACTTGGAGAAGACATCGTATAAGTTGGGGATTCTTGATAATCTTAAGAACTCCTCCTCTTCTTCCTCGGTGAAGGTAAGTCCCTGGGCAGCGGTATCCACATCTGTCTGAATTCCCAAGACTTTGAGGTAAGGATTTCTAATGGCCACAGTGTTGTTGGTACCATTTGATCTCTGCTTAGCTTGGTAGATCAGGTAAGTTCCCACCAAGGTGACTCTTGTCCCCGGCACTACTTGGTTGGTCAAGTAGCGGTCAACCTGGACCAAAATGTGACGAGGCATTTCTCCCACTGGAACAGCATCTGGTGACTCCTGCAACTTCAACACCTGTTGGTCGATGAAAGTGGATTTATCGTGCACAACCACATATGGATCTGGAGGACATTTCTGCTGGGAATGTACCTCCTCGTGATTATGAGTTGCCAAACACTTTCCAGGCAAGTTGAGTGAGCCAAATCCGGAGGCCACCTTCATCTTCATGGTGTGTTTACAGTTGCGACACACCAACTGGACCTGAGTGGCTCTAGATGAAAGAACCGAGGCTGAAATGATGATACCACTGACCCTTACAATCTTTGAGATATGCTCAGAGTCAAGGTTACGGATGGAGATCTTACTAGAGTTCGAGTACAAGATCAACTGGCACAAGGGAAAATCTTTGGGCACATCTTCAGTAGAAAGGTAAGCGATTCTTTTGGCGATGTCAGTAATGGCATTCTCAAAGAGTGGTACCATCTCGCCGGGCTCGTCAGACAACTTCTTGTTGAGCTCCTCATTAAATCCAATCAAGTGCTCGGAGCTGACCTTGAGGAAGTAATTCTTGATCAACAAGTTTTCTCTGAGTTGGTCTCTGTAGATGAACAGGTTATTCAATCTGAATTCCAAGATGAACGAACGAAATGCCTTAGTGATCTCATTGAACGAGTTGTCCAGGGGATCTTCACCTGGCAACACTTGGGCAGTGTAAACCTCTGGTCTTTCGTAAGACATATTTGAGGGAAGAAAGAGAGATAGATGAGAAACGTAATTAGTTAGCTGAATTGGGAGAAATAAGTGGACGCGTCGGATTATGTGCAGGTCTAGATAGTAGATGAGGTGAATGGAGTTAAATTGGAAGATGTTTGGAAACTAGGAGAAGGTGATGTATGATGATGAAAAATTCGAAGCCTTGTAATAATGACTGTAAATTTGTGCTGGTGTGAAAATTACTGATTACACTTGGTTATGTGCTCGCATTAATTACGATTGGTAGAGGTAGCAAGTCCGAAGTAAAAAAAACCTTGAAAAATCAGTTAATAAGAGGATACTAATATTATTCGGTCTCTTACTATTTCAAGAGGTTGAAATGAGACTGGGTCACTACAATGACGGCAATGTCACTTTCATGTGAGAGACACTCTTACCAGAAGATTCAAAAATGTAAGAAGACAACGTCCAAGAAAAAAAGCTGATAATTTCATGAAATTAGAGCTTGAACTAGACCAGAAAAAAGAAGTGATTAATACTGTTTTGTTAGATCATTCGCCAATTTCACACCTCTGACGAACTGTAAGTCGGCTCACTCAATATGGAACTTCAGTCCGTATTCTCTATACCCGAAAGGAAATCTAACTCTCAAATTAGGTAAACTTGGATACTGACAAGAAGGACTTGTTTTGGATTGAAGACACTGAAATCAGATTCCAAGGCTACAATTATTTGGGCAGAGAGCCAAAGCAGATGATTGGTTTGCCAAATTCTAAGGTGAACTTAATCATGATTTTCCAAATTTTCTAGCAACTACGCTTTCTGAACTTACTTTTAAAAACATATTTATGGCCAAAAAAATAATAGTAATTATTCTTTCTAGATATTTTTCTCCCTTTTGATTTGGGTTCCAAATATAATAAGAGTGCACCTAATACCAATTTCATCAATGCAAAATGCTACCTTTTCTTCCAGTTTTGAAAAGCATTCCAATTCTGAGTCAAGTTGGAAATATTAGATTAACACGATGGTTTGGTCTGTCCAGTCTCCTTCTGGCTCTACCTAAAAAGCATAAAATGCCTCCACGACCACTCTGGCTCATCAAAGAAGACGAGATCACAGAAGAGTTCTTGAAAGGAGGCAGAGGACCCGGTGGCCAGAAAATTAATAAGAGCAATAGCAAGGTTCAACTAACGCATAAACCTACGGGAATTGTGGTTACATGCCAATATTCGAGGTCTCAAGAGCTGAATCGTAAGCGAGCCAGAGAGATTTTGGCATTGAAGTTGGAGGAGCTAGAAAATCCAGACAATTGCCGGACGGCAGTGATTAACCAACGCAAAATGATGGTCAAAAAGAACAAGTCAAAAAAGTCGAAAAAAAAGTATACCCAGGTTGACGAGGATAGGCAGGCCCAGCGTGCTAAGGAAGAAGAGGAACTCTCTCAGATTATAGATCTCGATGCTGAGCTTGATATGTTGATTGCCAAAAAAGATGTACAATAGCTTATTTAATATGCCTATACTTTTTCCAGTCCTCAAGCGCCTTGATGGCCTCCTGCCACTTCTTCTGGAGCGACTGGTTCTCTTCTTTCAAGGTTTCGATTGTCTTCTTCCAGTCCAGAGTATCCAGTGCTGAATCTGCGTCTAGATTGGAAACCGCCATGTCCACGAGTCCCGACACATAGTGGTAATTCTTGTATATATTGGAGAGTAGTGGCCGAGAAATGAACTCGAACGGTTCCACGTCCGTAGAGGTGTCTTTCATGATTCTGTTGAGGTCGATTTCGTCAGACGGATTGACAAGGCTAGAGGTACCAAGTTTCCGATAATTCAGCACCGACATCTGCGAGTTGAATTTATTGAAGTAGCCATTGAGCTCGTTGACGAAATTTGCAAATTTGCTGTTTTCCTTGATGAGGTTCTCGATCAATTGCGAGAGCTGTGTGGCAATGCCATCGTACTCCTGATCCCGCACAGGTGTTAGCGATACTTCCTCTAGGGGCTTTGTATTGTCAATTATTGGTTTGTTGTTGTAAATCACGTTTGTGTTGATCTCTGGTGATTCCAGTCTATCTCCCAAACTGGATCTCGACGTTAACAGGAATGGTCGACCAAAACTAAGCGTATTAGATAGACTACGAGAGTCCAACAATTTGTCCTTCAATTTCGAAATCTCCAACGATTTTTTCCTCATGTCCACTGCGTATTTGGTCTGGATCTCTGCATTATGGCTCTTAAGTCTAGATACCTCAAGTGCCTGGACTTTCGTCTTTCGTGAGAGCTCGTTGACACGCTCCGTGAGCGATATCTGATCGATGTGAACCGTCTTGTCCAATCTGTCCTCATAATTGTGCACTTGCTGCTCGAGCTGATGAACTTTGGCTCGTAGTTCGTCAATGGTGGCATTTTTTTGCGTTATGGTACGATTGAACGACTTATGCTGAGCCTGGTGACGATCAATAGACTGTGTTAGCGAGTAAATGATGTTTATGACGTTCTTATCGTTGTTATAAACGGTTGGGGTGATTTCGATTTTGGCTAGATCATCTTTATTGGGTTGGTCTTGGATCAATTGGGGCCAGTTGATGACAGGAAACATCAACTCGTCAGTAATAAAGCCTTTGGATACTAGCGACGAGTTGACCAACTCTGCAGCATTTTTTATAGCTTCTATGCTGAGATTATTTTGCATTTGGAAAGCAAAGGTGTTTGTTATGAATGTGGATTCTGTATGTAGGTACGATGGGGTTATACCTTGAGAGATAAATTAGAGATAATAGTATGCAATCTTAAAAGGACAATCTACATCGCTCGTCGAATATTTTTATTTAGAACGTGATGTGTCAATCTATATGACATGACATGATTTAGTGGTGCTCCTCCTCCTCCTCGAAGACGAACCAATCCTCCTCAACAGGAGCAGAACCAGTTGGGGCAGCCTCAGTGTCGACAGGAGCAGCCTCGTAGGAAGCCACAGCATCGGCAGAAATCTCATCAGATGGGACGGAAGGCTTAGCTGGCAACTGGAAAGCCTTAATGTCGGCCTGTGAAGCAGAAAGAGGGTTTGGCTTGAACTGCTTGATCTGCTGAACGTACAAGTCCGAGATCAAGTTGTTTCTCTTTGGAGTCACAGAGAACAATCTTCTGGAAGACAACGCACGCTGGATGTTAGTATATGAGATGGTAGGGGATTTGATATGCCGGCATCATATGTTTTGGTGCCGTACGTCCCATTGAGGTGGAGTGTTGGATCATAATATAAGTGTTGTGCAATGGATTTTGTGGCAGCCATGAGTAGTGATGAGTGACGACATGGGTGAGCATAACTTTATATTGTCTTATTGATGACCTTGGATAACTTGGATGTGGAGATTCAATGTTTGGATTGTTTGGGGTAACAGACCTTTGAAGTGGAAGCCTTGGCGGCTGAAATGCGTGATATTTTGGGATTCCACAAATATAAAGGAAATATACTTCAGCAAGCGTTTAGCTTGAGGAATGATGGAGGGAAAAGGCAACAAATTCGTGGCTACTCGGATCTCGTACCGAAGGTCGGAAACCACTTAGAAAACGAGCAGAAAAATCACCCCTAGACCGCAACACTGCCAGGAAAAAACACTTGGGCATATGCCTCAATGGACGATTAACAGGTACATACAATCGATTGCTTGAACATGATTCCGGTAGGAGTAATGGATGGAGGGATTTCTGGTGAGAAAGTAGACGTTAAATCTTCACCGAGTCTCGGGTGCGTGTGCGGCCCAGAATCGGGTGTAGCACCCACTGCATTCTATTGGACAATTGAAGGTGGTGCACAGAGGTTTTGGACTATGGGACTGGCCAGAGTTGAATTAGGTGTCGATGGATTTAAAGGTTTAAATGGCGAACTTTTATTGACGAAGTATGGATGTGATGAAGATGTAGAGCTCTTTGGAATTTCTATTTGAGATGAAGAGAATGCAGTAAGTTAAGATAAGTGAGAATAGTAGGATTAGTGAGTCCAGTGAGATTAGTGAGTCCAGTGAGATTAGTGAATAGAGAGATGAATGAAACATAGGGTGCCTAAATGGAACTGACAATTTGAGCCAGTAAAGTGACAATTCAGGAGTGCTCATACGTGTGATTAAATTTTCATTGATTATATTTTTTCACTTCTTGTTAGGTTTACCCAAGTTTTCCATAACTCAACTGTTGAGTAACTCTTTACATCACTGCACAGGGCTCATCAAGTTTACCATCTACTATTATTACACCTTCTACACTCCCCATTTCATCTACATTTAAACCTATATCACAGTTCATATCTGCAAGCGTCGTCTGATACATCTACCATCATGCCAAAATACTATTGTGACTACTGCAAGTCGTACTTGACACACGATAAAATGAGTGTCAGAAAGTCACATCTTTCAGGTAAGAACCACATCAAATTATACTGTTCCTACTACGAGGAAAAAGCCAAACAGCTAGGAATTTGGGACGACAGCGAGGCACAGTATGAGATTGGCTTGGATTATTTAACTTCATTCACGCCTTCCCCGGAAAAATACGCTCGAAGTGTCGTTCGAGAAAAGGAAAAGTCAACTGTGAAGCGTAACGATGAAGAACAAGAATTTTGTCTACCTCCTCCACCAACGTTAGCAGATATCCCACCACCTCCTTCAGTTCTTCGAAACACTGAGGAGTATACACATGCTATCAATGTTCATAATGCACGAAACGCTCCCAAGTTCTGAGAAGATGGCAAGTATATGAGATTTGGATGAAATAGGCATACGGACAGGCTAAGAAAGAAATGGCCAGTGGAAAATAAAATTTTAGCATTAGTTCTATAATAGTAACAATAAATGACGGTGGAATATATTTGAGATCAATGAAGATCAAATGGAGTTCAGGATACACCTTGAAAGTGATCAATTATCGATAGATCAACAGACTAACAAAGCAACGGTTTACCAATCTGACAAACCGAATTGATAGAGCAATAGTCAAAAATTCCAGTGTAAATAAAAGATTTCTTCTTCTAACCAATCGCATCAATCACAAATCCACTTCTAAACATAGATGTTTATTACTATATAACCACAAGCCAGAAAACCCAGCTTGGCCCGCCTCGGAACATCCATACTATCTGTAGTAACTGTATCATGTATTCTACAAGTCGGCGTCGTCCTCATCAGGCAATGGCACCTCAGCAGCCTCAGACATCTCCTGCTGGTATTTTTGCATCAAGTCAGCATCGACCTGAACCTCAGGTGGAGCCAAGGCTGGAGAAGCAACAAACTCCAACTGTGGGTTACCAACCAACTTTCTAGCCAACCAAAGGAATGGCTTCTCGAAGTTGTAGTTAGACTTGGCAGAAATGTCGTAGTATTGCAAGTTCTTCTTTCTGTGGAAGGTAATGGTTCTAGCCTTCACCTTACGCTCCTTGACATCGACCTTGTTACCACACAACACAATAGGAATGTTCTCACACACTCTCACCAAGTCTCTGTGCCAGTTTGGCACGTTCTTGTAGGTAATTCTGGAGGTGACATCGAACAATATGATACCACACTGACCGTTGATGTAGTAACCATCTCTCAAACCACCGAACTTCTCCTGACCGGCGGTGTCCCACACGTCGAACTTCAACTCACCGTAGTTGGTGTGGAATCCCAATGGGTGGACTTCGACACCCAAGGTAGCAATGTACTTTTTCTCAAACTCTCCGGTCAAGTGTCTCTTGACGAAAGTGGTCTTACCGGTACCACCGTCACCGACGAGAACCAACTTGAAGGTAGGGACTTCCTGAGTAGCCATGATGATTGATTGATTGATAGATCAAAAGATGAGGAAGAAGATTACAAAAAAACAACGCAATAGGGACGAAAAAACAACTGCGAGCGATGACCTGCAGGTAGAAGGGGAGCCGTAAGATGTGTCGATTTTAAAGTTGAAAAAGATTGGGTTTGATTCAATTGAGTAGGTTTGATTGACATATGGAAAATTATATGTAATAGATTTTTAGTTGGTGATCTTCCTTTTTCGGTTAAAAGTGTTTGGAAGTTTCGTAATGAATTTGATAGAAGCGAATGATCTGTCACGTGATGTGGCACGGATGAATGCCGAGAGACGAGGAAGAGGGAAATGGAAAAAAATGGAAAACACGTGACTTGTGGTCAGGTGATTCGTTAAGTCATGTGGTATTGAGTCATGTGATTTTGCATACCTTATGGACAGAATAGCCAACCCTCCAAAACTGAAGGTTCTATTAAGAAGTCTGTTTTGTCAAAACACAAACCTCTTCTATTTTTCTCATTTCTTCAGAATTCTCTCTTTTTTTTTCGTATTTTCTAATTTCGCTCATATATTATAATGGCTGTGCGTGGGCACCTGAATGGTGCCAAAGAACCACTATCAATGCAATTCTCCAAACATATGACCGATAATCATTCCATTTGTTTACAAAAAATGTTAGCTCTTGGGTACCGATCCTAGAGATGTTCCTTTCTTGGGCAACAAAACAGATTCAGTCGATCGAACTCATAACAACAACTGAAGTCAAGTACCTCATCGCCTTGCTGATCCAATGTTGAATTGTAGGTCCTTTTCATTGTTTGGTCAAAGGTAAATTCTTGCCCGTGGCAAAAGATCTAATTCAGGATCAAATTTTGGTTTATTGCCAGTTACTTACCTTAATTGTCCCTTGTGACATACCCAAATCCTGTAGAGTAGGGAACCACAGGCAGACATGGATTTGTCAGTCCGTTGTATATGAAGGGTGGATCTACAGATTCCGGTAGATCTTAACTAGGCGAATTCTTCTCAAAAACTTGCAAGTTAATCTAAGTTTAGTGTTTGAAGATTCTTACTCTAGTGAGCAATACCACTTGAGAGTTAAAGACTCGCCTGAATAGACAAGAGGCATTTGACGAACTTCGGCCACCAACTTTTCTTTCCGGAAGTGTGGTGTTCTGCACATCGATTGTGCAATTGGTCAAACTTCGTCTGCATTATAAATACCCCCTCCAACATTTTCTAAACTTAAGCGTGTGCACCTGTAAAGGTGTAATTGGTGTCACTGGCTCCGTATAGAAGCCTGAATGAGGAATGATTGATGGGAGACTGATCTATAGAAGACTGAGGCATGAGTCCCAAGAATTTCTGTGTCGAATTGTAGATAACGTTTTGGTTTCGGTTTCTTGCACCATTTGACTATTAAATATTCTGAAATTCCTGTGAAATTTTGTGAAACTCGTAATCATGTCGGCCATCTTCCCCACTCAACCATCAACAAAATTTCTCGATCCTGGTAGTTGTAAACAACACTTTTTCAATACTTGCTCTTTTCATAGATAATTTCAAGAGGAGAATGCCAAACTTGTCATACGGAGTTGGCAACATATGTGCACACTAGAACAGGTTGCACATGGGACATAAGATTTACATGAGACAATAAGGAGAGTAGTTTACGTTGCGGGAAATTCCACAATGTAAAGAGGAAACATTCACATCAAAGAATTCAAGCCCAACATGAGTTCTATGGTAAACACGCACTGATTAAGTGTGTATAAGCTACTTTGCAAGGTGTTCCTGATTGAAAATAATATAAGAAAAAACACTAAAAATTGTCTTGCCGCTAATGCAAAGTACTCGGCTAACCTTTTTCCTTTTTACGAATTGTAGCCTTTAATACTGTGTTCCACCAATTAACGTCCCAATCAATTGGTCAGCGGGGAGGCTTAAGCCCCAGCAATTGTTTTTTAATGCATCTTGTCACGTGACGCGTCAATATCATGCATCAAGCGTCCTGTAGTGGGTGTTATCCGCGCATGGAACGTTTCTGGAAATCCACCAATTAGGAAAGCCTTGTGGCGGGGAGGATTACCCGTTTTGTCAAATGGCCCGGTCTGGCGACGTCGTCCATGATTGTATCTGCGGGGAATACCAATCAGTGATGGTCAGAGTGCAAGAGGGGGTTCCACAATGGCCAGTAAGCTGCACAGAAAAGAAAATAGAAACAAAAAGAAAAGAGACCTACACTTTACGAATTTTTTCTGGAATGCGGCCCACATCGATATGCGAAATCCTCAGACGCATTCGTGGCAGGAAAATCTCACCCACACCTCAGTAGAGGACATACGAGGCGAATGGTCCAAAACATTCATGATTATTAGGTCCTCAAACCGGGTGAATCTCATATAAACAGAATGCGGTGTTTTCCCCGAATGGTGTGATGTATTCTTGGCTTTGGTGACCCACCGATACGGCTAGGCCGTCTATTTTAGCCTACCACTGTGGTGCTAATTCCAAAGATAGCAAGGGTAGCGAAATATGTGTCCCTCTACATTACCCGAGATTTAAGATGAAAGTGCACATGTGTGGAAGCGGGCAATATCTAGTGAGTGAAGTACCAGTGATAGCCGGAACAACCCAGATTCCCGCCAAATCAAGAATTCACATTTTCCTGACAAGTCCGTGTCCGTGATATTGGTGCCCTGTTCAATTCTCTACATTAGTCAAAAGTCACGATGCCACGAACCTACATGGGTGTCAGGGTCTCATGGTGTGCATTATCCAACGCTGCATGGTGCTTGGACGGCATCAAACATAAGTCAGCGATTTCGAATTCATCAAAAATTCGGGAGAAATTTCATTAGAAATTCATAAAAATTCACCATCATCTAGTTTGCACCTCCAAAAACTCTCCTCCACTAGTCCCCTCCGCCAGTCATATCCATTAATCATTTCCCCCAAAAATTCTCTCTTATCCAAAAACCATACTTTCTCTCACCACGGTCCCCAATCAACCGTCTCTGGATGCGGCAATTTTTCCCTCGTGTTTGTCGTCTTGTTCGCACTCAGGCCCATTTTCTATTGTCCCACACCGTCCACTCCGCACTAGTTCTTCAGCCTTGACCCACGATCTGGAGACCACTGCAATGGTGGGACATTTCAACAGGGGTTCCCGAATAGGTTACCTTCCCCTCCAACCCGCCCGCCCATCATCGTTCCCGACAGTAATTCTTGTGTCGTTAACCTATTTTTAACTCGTATCATCACTACGGAATGCCTCCATGGGATGTTGTGCACTCTGGTTTCGCTGAAACGCGGGTGCATTTCGTCTCCACGATCATGAAATGTTATGTGGGAAAAACATGCTAAACATATCTGAGAAGACAATTAACAATACAAAGAAATAGAATTTCTTTCATACTTTCACATTCTTTCAATCAGCCCCATTCATCACTTATCCCCGTCACACTAATTTTTTTTTTCCCTTCCATTCTTCTCTTCCCTACCCACTCTCACTGTGCCCTGTCCATTCATGGTCGCTTTCCAGGGCCCAGGTCCTGCGGGCGGGCATACGCACCGCTGTCTGCAAGATTTCCAAATTCGCCCTATAATTTTCTACTGTGAAATTCCGAATCCCTCCACGCACCGTCTGTTCCACAAAACCACGTCACCTGCGCCTTTTTTCTTACTTCTCCCTAGCTACTTTTGGTGCTTCTGTTTGGTTTATTTTTCTCTGTTGAAGAATTCCTTCCACTAGGACTTTGTTTGTCCCTTGAATTCTCCCGTTTTTCCCTTTCCTGAACTAAGCGCTGGCTGCCGACTTTACGAGTCCCCTCTCGTCGCTGGTCAATCTCAGACTTCACTGGTTTCCACACTCGCTGTCCATCCTCAGTTAGCCTTTCTAACTGACTCGGCCACCATCACCAGTCGCCGCCCCTTAGTCCACTTATCGATCGCTTGTGGCTACGTGGCTGTACCACCACCAGCTTTTCCTGCTTTCGTACACTAGGTGTTGTTCCGCGTGTCTCTAATTGCTTTTGTTGGAACGCTAACGCCCGTGCTTACTTCTCCAGCAAAAACCAGTCCTGTGAAGAAATATAAAAATGTATCTGGGCTATTTCCACCCTTCTGAGTCCCACGCGGTGCATCCATACCCGTCGCCGCTGCTGCTGTTCCAGTACGGCTATGCACCTCAGGTGCCTATGTCTCCCATGGACCTCGCTTATTCCCTGCTGATGCTACCTGCTAACTTGCTTTCAGGTGCACCATCGCCATATACCTCGCGTCAGTCGTATTTCCAGCAGCTGCCTCAACCCGCCCTGCCACTTTATCACCCTAGGATGCACTCGGTACATCTGGCTCAGCCGTATCATAAGGCTTCGCCTCTGCCTGGCCATCCTTACTTGACCCAGCCTACTACCAACACAAGCTTGGACCAGCTCAACTTGTCGCGAACTGTCATCATGAAGAACTTGAGCGCAGATCTCTCGCTAAATGATCTCTTGTCCGAGATCGAGTACGGTCCCATTGAGTACTGTAAGATGTTCGAAACTGCAGCTCCTGCTCATTTCCCAGATGTTGAAAAAGTGAAAACTTGCTATATATCCTTCGTCAACACCCAAGTGCTGGTGAGCTTTCACAGCAAGTACGGCAAGAACACATACAACTTGCGTCTTTTAAGAGAACGCTTGAAGAACTCCAAGTACTTAAAGATCTCCTTGAATGAACCGCACCACCCAGGCAACATGGGCTCCAGCAACTTGAGCAAGCAGGACTTTATCAAATTGAAAACGCTCAACTATATCATGGAGTTCAATGCCACTCGTGCAGTCAAGGTGCTGTTCACCGTCACTGACCCGGAATCGAAGCTGACCTTAAAGGACGATTTTTACGCGCGCTGTGCCAAGTATGGCGAAATCGAGGACTTCCAGACCATCTCTAACGATGAAAATCCAGAGGAGGTAAGTTTCGTCTTACATTTCACGTCCATAGACTCGGCCATCAAGATCTATGAGTACCATTTAAAGCGAATTCAAATAGACCACTTGAATCTGTTGGACCTTGAAGAAAACGATGTGCTCCCGACGATGTGCACTGCCGTCGCATTTCATAAGGATCGTTGTGATAGAACAGAGTTGAACAAAACGCGACGCTCTGCTCCAAACAGCAACTTCTCCAAAGTCGCGTCATCGTCATCGTCATCCTCCGTTGCATCTTCTCCCACTTCCAGCCGAAAGCCAATGACTCGTCACTTCCAATCTGGTGAAAATTATAAATTCAGCAGTGATACCGCAAGGTCTAACGAAAAGTCTGCTAGCCCGCTCCACTCTACATCTATCCAAGAAGAGGATGATGCAGAGGACGATCTGCCTACGGCATCTGCTGATGTTAGTGCAGAGTCCAAAGAGCTGGAGTCTTTCCAGCCTCCTGGACCTCAAAATGAACTTTCCCCCTCTTTGAAGGCAAAGTCCTCTCTCGATAACAGTTCTAGTGGGGCTTTCAATTCATCGATTGCCGGTAGTGAATTCACAGATTTGTCTCACTCCAGAAGCAGAAGACACATTGGCAACTCTTCTGATCCATATTTATATGGTCATCAATCGCTTATGCACCAACCAAGCATGTCTAGTATTGCATCCATGGGCTTGCCAAACAACTACCAATATAACCCGGATCCATTTAATGTTGGTAACAGAACTTTGTACTTGGGTAACTTGCATCCAAGTACTACTGTGGAGGAAATTGCAAATAATGTCAGGGCAGGGGGATTAGTGGAATCCATCAAGTATCACAAACTCAAGAAAGTGTGCTTTATCACTTTTATTGATCCCGCCATTGCTCTCAAGTTTTTCTTAAACCATCAAGTCTTACATCAACTAATCATTCACGGTAATGAAGTCAATGTGTGCTGGGGTAAGAATCATTCCGGTCAATTGTCTCGTGATATTGCTTTGGCTGTTACCGCCGGTGCATCAAGAAATGTTTATATTGGGTTAAAGCCTGGTAAAAATTCTACCAAAGAAGAGAATATTGAACTTCCTGACGAGGAAACGTTGAGGGAGGACTTTGGCAGATTTGGTGAGATGGAACAGATTAATTTTTATAATCACAAAGACTGTGGTTTTATTAATTTCATGAATATTGCTGCTGCTATCAAGGTTGTTGAAATGTTTGAAAGTAAGGATCCTAAAAATGCAGCTGTTGTGGCAAAGGATAATGGTGAGTTTTACGAAAAGTATAAAAACTTCAAAATAAGTTTCGGAAAGGACAGATGTGGCAACCCGCCAAAGTTCAGTTTCAAAAAGAAGAACAGCAGCTTTGATTTCTTGAGAGATAGAGATCTTGTTGATATGCCTGTCCCACGTGCTGACACACTCCACTCAGACAAAGACATTGAGCCCATGAATAATGAGGCTGCGATGGTTTTTGGAATCAGCACGGAGCCTGTCGACTCTCCAGATGAGAAGTTGTCGCCACCTACAGAATATTTGGCAGAAAGTACAGTCTTAGTTGGCGCAAACACAGAAGAAAAGCAAGAGCAAACCTCGTCCAATGAAGATGACATTTCCAGCGATGCACAACTGAAATTGACTATTGAGAATGTTGCAATGGCCTTGAAGGAACATCCCACTGATGAATCGAGTGATCTAGATGCCGGAGCTGACAATGAATTCAAGAAAGATGAGGAAGAAGAAGTCGAAGAGGAAGATGATGAGGACGATATCTCCATAATTATTGGATCCGACACCACAGCCGGATCTCCCCATAAAAAGTCACAAAAGAAGCATCAGAGACTATACCATCACCACTCCTTCCTGAACGATGGAATGAATTCCAACTGGGCGACCTCCAGAAACTCGTCGGCTTTGTCACTTAACTCATCATATGCGACGCACTATAATTATCATCCATCTAGTTTCAGCCCAGTGCCAGCCATCCCGCAACCAGTGATGTATCATCAGGCACCTCAATTTATGCCTCAGATGAGACAGGTCAGTTACTACGGGATTCCTCAAATGGCGCCTATGCCGCAGCCTCAACTTTATCATCACAGTTCGTTTCCTGGGCCAAACATGGGTATGCACAAGAGTCCATATACTGTGTCGGGGTCGCAGGTGATGGCACAATATTTGGCCAAGTCACAACATGATAACTATCTCTATGCGACCAGTATCTTGAACAATGATATCACTTCGGAGGAAATTCGTGAGTACAAGAAGTCATCAAGAAGGTCGTCTAAAAAGAACTAAACATGCAAAAGAAAATCAGGGAGTTGATATGTTTAGGACAAAATGAAAATAAGTTAAATTCCCTTAAGAATCAAGTGAAGTTAATATACATTTAATGCTATACAAGACATTACACTTCGAACACGAAGGAAGCATAAGTTCCGGCAATTGCACCAGATAAACCCAAAGCAATACCGGCAATTGTAAGGCCTCTCAGAAGCGGGGTGAGAATGTCTGCGTTCAACTTCAAGTGGAACATGAGAGGTAAAGTAACGCAAATGGTGAAGCAGATAGCACTGCCCAAAAAGGCAATGACCTTGCCGAACGACGTGAAAACAAAGGACACCAAAAGGAGGAACAAAAGAAAGACTAGCCTGGAAATAAATTTGGTGGTTGTCATTGGAATCACTTTTCTTCCGTTCTTATAAGTGACAACAGAGTGTTCATTCATGCGGAAGTAGCTCTCGTAGACAGAAACGATTGGACGAGTCACCAAGGCCAACTTGGAGATTGGAAGAATGCCCAAAAAGATGGAAAAGAAGGGTTTGACCCACGATGGGTATGATTTGTTCGTCATGATATTCTTGGTCAAAGTATCCGCACAGTTCTGGCCAAACATCAAATAGCCAACAATAGCGATGATGTAGTCGAACTTAAATGTGAACAAAAATGTAACGTTGCAACAGTAATCGAACTTCTTTGGATGTCTCATGTCTCGGTAGAGTTCAGGAAACACGGGATGACCACCCCATGGTGCCATGAAGATACCCAAACTCAAAATTACTTCCCGGAGCGAATTGGGCCATAAGTTAGTAGGCGCCGGGCTCAAGAGCGAACCTGGAGTCTCTTTAGTCAAGAATCCACATAAAGTGATGAGCACCAAAATAGCAATAGTACTGATGATTCCAGTGAGACTGACTAGCGAGATCATTGCCAAAGGCAAGAATGACAAGATAAATGTAACTGCGACAACCAAAACCTTGAAATATCCAGCACTCACGTCAGGGAATATAAGTGTGAAGGAATCGCTGAAGAGAAGAACCAACAATACAGCAGCACCAAGAAGATCCACCATAAAGATGCAGGTGGCCAATACCTGGAATTTTGAGCCTCCGAAGGAATAAGCAATGTCACCGTAAGTGACTAACTCCTTGTTTTTCTTCAAGATAGACCCAAGAATCTTTGCTGTCTTGGATGTTGTCCACGCACATACCAAGAGGAGGATGGTTCCTACCACCCAGCCACTCAAGCGAAATCCATAGGAAAGGGAAAGCATAGCAATTCCCATAAGGGTATTAACTGCGTTGAAGATGGTCTGTGGAGCCGTGGAGTTGTTGTGGAACCCCACCGAGGAACCAATGCTGGACCTGCTGTTCTTACGGCTATGGATAAGTGGGGTGTTCTCATCTTGAGGAAAGTGGAACGTATCAAGGTTCTCAAAACCTCGGTGGCTATTCAGCAGTCCCTTTCGGCCAGCATTGGGACTATCCAGGACTTCATCGATGTTTGCAATGGCAGACTCCTCGTCCTGGGCATTCAGAGTGCAAGGCGAGATTTCATCTGCCAAAACGTTATCAGCGAGAGTGGACCCCACAAAAGACTGCGCACGGGTGTATGAGGAGGCGAAGTTGTTTATGGAATTGGGACCTCCTAAGTCCAAGAAGGACTGGCGTCTGGGTTTGGAGATGGGACTATTAGTTGACGAGGTCATGGCTGGGGAGCGATCAGGCATGGAGAAGTGAGAATAATTATTAACCTCGATATTAAATCAACACCCTCAGCAACAGCAGTAAGTGACGGGTGTGGCAGGGAGTGGGCCGAGTCCAATTAGACACTTCTTACGACAAATAAGGTTAGAAGTTTTGGAGTGGACAAATTTTCCTTTCGCGTGTAGATGAGAAGAGACCATCTTTCTGCATGAGCCAGATGCCGTATGCAAACGAAGCCAAGATGGGCGTTGTGCGCGCATTAGTAGAAACTTCTTCGGCATTATCTCTAGCCACAGTTATTGAGTTAGGGCAAGGTGTTGAGAGTAGTTTGAAGGTCGAGAAGTGGCAGCTATTTCAGAATCGATGCGGCATCTGATAATGTCTTCTTCTTTGCATCGACTATCATTGTCGTCGTTTCTGTGGGGCACATTCTTTCTTTTCTTTTTTCGTTTCTTTTGCTCTTGTTGATACATTTGGATTTGCGGATTGCAAGTTGGTGTGTATAGTCTGTTCAATCGATCTTGGTCCACGGAATCACAGGCCTCTGTTACCAATTGTTCGCCAATTACCAACTATGCTGTCGCTTCCGCATAATGGTAAAACTCAGTGCATCACTGGATGTGGGGTAATGTGGCCTTTATTGATACATCCAGTAGAGTTTCCCATCGTAAATGCCAACTGCTTCGGAAAGTAGAATTACTTGAAACATCCCTCGCCATTCAAAAGAAGGCACGGCGTAGATAAAGGAGCTTCATCGATATCAATGGTTTTATGCATGTTTTGTTGAGCCGTGACTGATTAGTTTTCTTCTTCGAGTTTGTTTTCTGGTACAAGTTACATTTTGGTGATGTATCTACTTGGGCCAGGGTCCTCAGGGTTCGTGCAAAAAAAAAACCATAGCCACTCACATCAAGCATAATCTGGCAGCAAGGGAGCTGGTACTAGGAAGTTCCCTGATCTGGACAGAAGTGGATCCAAGCTGGGACCTCAACATGTTACTGGGTGCATCAGGTTGCATGAACTTGCTTTGAGATGTCGTATTTGAGGTCAAACATGAAAGTCGTGGACCGAAAATTCTAGGCTACAGATCCAACTGATTTCACACTGTCTGCTTTTCTAGTGTGTTGCCACCTTTCTTCTTTATTTCAAATCTCTGTTGCCGAAGCAATAAATATCTAGTGTTGCCGGTATCCTCACTCGCATCATTTTTTTTGCAACTATACCATGGCATCCTACTACGACAATACTTTTGTTCTGCAGTCGATGGCATTCCAACAAAAACACACTATGCATCCGATATTCGACTCTGCTCACCTTAACTGTCCCAAAAACTTGGAGAACAGGGTCGCCTCACCTTCTCTCCAATACCCCGGATCGCATGATGATCTGCTCAAGCTTGAGGATGACATAACTAGGGCCCACCATGTGGAAGTAAATCTGCCTTCTATGTGGTCTAATGTCCCGCAAAATATGAATGTCAGATCTTACTCCCATGATTATTTTCCTATGGCTACTTCCTCTAACCAGACCTTATCAACTGAGCTTCTGCTGTTTGATGAAGACTACCAAATGGGTCACAAATCACAGTATTCTGTCGATAGCGCCGTATCTATGTCACCGCCTTCTATGGTTTCAGCATCTTCTGCAAAATCTAATTTGCGGAAAATTGTCAAGCCTCGGATTGCTACCCTCTACTGGGAAGAGGAACAAACTACATGTTACCAAGTACGTGCGCATAACGTGGTTGTCTCTAGAAGAGAGAACGACAACTACATAAATGGTACAAAGCTACTTAATGTTACAGGTATGACTAGAGGTAAGAGAGACGGGATGTTAAAGATTGAAAAGGGACGTTTGGTTGTACGCAACGGGTCCATGAACCTAAAAGGCGTATGGATTCCCTTCAATAGAGCTATTGAAATCGCACGGAATGAAGGTGTTGATCACTTACTCTATCCACTTTTTGTGGAGAATATTCTGGATTTCTTCAGGAATCATGGACAGGAACTCCGACAAGATGCTATGCTGGATGGCGATGAGGAGGGTGAACATTCAGACAATAGAGCACGCACATCTGGAGTGAGTGGTCATCGATCGCAGAGCTCTCAGAGCTCCCAAGGATGCCATGGATCACGTATGTTCTATTGATTGAGTATTTCTTTTTCTAACTTCCCTTGCCACATCTTTCAGGAGTTCCCCCATTCCATTTATTGTTGAATTGTATTTTAGGTTTACATGATTATATTTTTTTTTAAGAGTAACTTTTGCAGTGGTATCTCGCATGACCCCATGATAGAGCAAAAATTTAAACTAAAAAAACTTCCAGGATTTTATAACGAGAACTAAAATCTGGGGTACAAGGAAGCTGCTTTGCTTTCTAAACCCTTGATAAGTTCTTTCTACCGCTTGCATTTTGCCATACAACTTGGGCTTAACATTTTCCAACCAGACATACATATACAATCTATACTGTAGATTCATGAGAGATAGTGGGAGACAACCCTCACCATCCAACCGCAATGAAAATTTGCTCAGGTATTCAGTCGGCTTCTAGAACATTGAAGGGAATTGTTTGAAGTTGAAACAAACTGATTTGAGGTCAATAATATGTACTCTCAAATGTTAAATTCACGATCCTTTTTAGTCATAAATGCAATATAATTTCACGTACATAGTTGCAGCATGTGTGAGTTTGAGTTGCTAAAGTTTCCTCGTGAGAGTGGAAATTGCTAGCCAGACGTACATCTGATGAAGTACACACAAGTTCTAAAGAAATGAATGGCTATGGACTTTATCTCACGGTAAAGTTCTCTGCTAGCTGCATATCGTATATCTTCTGCTTTCCAAAGTAAATATGTGCATGTTCAAGCAACCTGATTGCTCTCATACTTTGAGATACGAGAACAGTAGAATTTTCTTCCACTAGATGTATTACCACTTTGATTGTTGAGATGTCAATCATCGCGAAAGATCCCATTATTGAGGTAGTGGTTTCATTCTAGCTACTCTTACTCGTTCTTACAGGTGAACACAATATATAATGAAACAAATGAAATAAATGAAACAACAAAACAATGGTAAACTATTTGACCTCATTGGAGGAAAGTGAGCCTCGATTCAGTCGGTTCGAGCTAGCAACTTCATCAATGTAGCCCGTGCTGCACTTCTCGTCCACTTCTCTATCGTTACCTGACTCTTCGTCTACATTCCTTTTGATAGTTGCCAACTTGAGTACGTTTTCTTTACCGAAAACGAAGACTGGATGGAAAGGAATAAAAATAAGGCCAGATATGGTAATCATCGAGGCGTCGAGAGTCATAAGATATACCTCGTGTGAAATAAGATAACCAGTGAAGCCTTCTTCCAACTCCACTACTCTGTAGATACAACGAATGTAGATAAGAAGCACAGCCAAACTAATTGCAGCGGGGTAGTAATGTATGAGACGACGAGCTCTAATACTGGCATACTTGGGATTGTAAAATCTGTCTAGTTCAGTATCTCTGTAAAAGCGAATCCTCTTCGCATTGAACAAAAACAAAAACCAGTTCTTCATAGTCTTTCTCTTATACTGGGAATTAGAGTTAACCTCCTTTCGATCCTTGAAGTATATGCGAGTGATGAACTCAAACCAAAACACAGTGAACACAGTCATTGCCACCACTTGGAATAAGACACCTCCAAACATGATCCAAGTACCTGGCCGGTTGTCTTTGTGTTGTTGTGCGGCCACTGAGGCCATTCCACCACCAATACCTTGGATAATCAATGAAACGACGTCACAGAATACGAAAAAGTATGAATACCACATCGGCTTCAACACTGAATATTGTCTGCCATGTACAATGACATTCTGAGCAAATAAAAAGTATATTCCCGCCATGAGAAAAGCAGGAGATATAGACAAACTCACAAACTGCATCAAGTAGACGTTTAGGTTGGCATTGTCAATGAAGGCCAAAACTCTTCCCAAGAATCCCAAAACTTGTAGAATGAAACCACAGATAAACGTCACGTTATACCAGTGATAGCGCGAGTAACGGAGCATTGCCACATTGAACAAAAGGATTCCGACAACAACAATCAAGAAGAAGATGTTTCCCCCTCTATTCAAGTAGTAGCCGTATAAGTTCTCATCTTGTGCGACCATTTTCAAGTTATATGATGCGTGGAACACATCTACCGAAGCTGAGGCCCTGACTTTGTCATCAGTAGCAGTAGCCAATACCTGTTGGCCAGAGATCATGGTCAAAGACGCCTCACATTCGCGTATCACTTGCGACAAGTCCGCTAAGGCAGCCTGGTCTTTGGCAGTGGCGATGCTGGCCACTGCTTTGGACAACAGAGCACTAAGGTTAGGAATATGAGTAGGACTAATAGACCGGAACGATGTGGGAGTGGAGATGGGATAGCCTCCAGTAGGAGACCATGTCATTGAGGCTAATAGCGCCAGAACATCCATGGTTCAATTCGTGCAAGTAAATTTAATAGACACCTCTGATAGAATGAAGACGAAACAATATACCAAGATTGAAGGGAAAATATTAATCAAAACCTTTTAAAAGAGCAAGAAATATACAACAGTATTCCAAGGAACTGGTTGGTAAAGCAAGGTGAGAAAGCCATATTTATAAATCCATTGAGAAACAATTTCGCAGCCATTCTGTTCCAAGACTTAGTCTCGCCAGGGTCTGCTTAAGTAAGCGGAGAATAACTAACTCATGACCCAAATGTTTGCTTAAGTAAGCGAAATTTTACAACTCAAGTTTCGATAAGCTGCTCAATTAAGCGGAAGCACATAGGGAGGGGGCTGTGGTGGGAAGTAGGTAGATGGGGGGTAACTATCAGTATTTGACTCCTTACAGAGTAGTAATAGGCTTGGGATATTCTTGACACAAAAAAAAGGCATGTAGCATTTGCATCTTTGAAAAGTTTATGGAATGAGATTGAAGAGTAATTAGATTATGCACAGCACATGGTTCTATAACGTTTGACTAACTCAAACCTCATTATAAGTTAATCACTATGCATAATCAGGCGCCCTGAACCGTTATGAACATTCCTACTCGAATCTACTCATGATAACTGGTAAGTATTAATTCTATAAGGGCTGTGGTTGAGTTCTCACGTAGCAATGTTTGTCTGGATGTTGTCCTCATATTCGATTTCCACGTGTGGTCTCTTTCTCTTGGCAGTCTTAGCAGGTGCTTTCTTATTGTCGTCATCGTCTTCTTCGTCATCCTCTTCGTCATCCTCTTCGCTATCACTCGAGTCACCGAGCCATTTCTGCAAATCCTCCATGTCAAGCAACTCGTCATCTCCGTCGTCCTCCACGTACTCTATCTCTCCCACATCGCTCTCGTCCTCATCTCCACTCTCTAAGACAACATCGTCATCCTCATCGAATTCTTCCTCCTCCTCCACCTCGTCAACCTTACCCAAAACCTTTTGCCAGATCTTCTCATCCACATTCAATGGCTTGTCACCGTATGCTCCACTCTTCAATCTGTCCAACAACTCCTTTTCGATGGCCTTCTCGATCTTGGCGGCAGCTAATGCCTTTCTCTCTCTGTTCTCCTCTCTTCTTTTTACCTTGGGCTTCACTCCGACGTAGTGACGTTCCTCTTCTCTCAAGGCTAGTCTCTTCTCAGTGATGGCCACCTGGGTCAACCGCGTCAATCTTTGCTTGCACTTGTGGATTAGAAACTTCTGCCAGTATTGCAAGTGCTCGTCTACCTGCTCCATGGCCTTGTTGTAATTTTTCAGCAAACGCACTCTCTCCCAAAGCTTCGATGGCATGTGTGCTCTTTCGGCAGTCTTCATGTAAAGGTAAAGCTTTCCCTCCACGTTTTTCACAGTGGCATATCTAGCGTTAGCCAACGGACACGAGTTTCTGTCACATAAACCGCTGACGTTATATTCGTTTCTGCAGAAATCCTGGCCCTTGCCAGGTCTGATTTTGAATGAGCAGAAGGAATGGTTGATGACCTGCCAAATGACTTCGTCGGACGACATGCTAATGCTGAGATAAAATGCAAAAAATGGACTTTGTTAATGGAATGACCTAGAGAAAATGTTGATGTCTAGATAGACAATATGTGTAGTTGGCCAATGGATGGATTGTGAATAATACGCAGAAAAAAAAATGATGCGAGCAGAGATGAGATGGATGTACATCCGTACACCAGAATAGACATATGGGAGGGCCATAGGAGAGGCTAGAGGTCAAGAAATTGTATTTGGGTAATGATAGAAATGGAATGCTTAAATTGGTATTGAAAGACGTGATTGTTCTTTTTTAGCTGATTTGCTTTTATTTGTAATTTTCTTCTTCAAAAACTGAGTTCATCGCATACCATGGTGATTCTAATCAAAGAGACCTTCATTTTACATATAAAGGTAAATGATCTTCTTAATCACTCTTGCTGGTAATCAGATCCTATTTTTTCCAATCTCCTTCTATACTACTTAGTCCTAATTATCGAACCCTGCCCATTTTAACATTCGGTCAAGAAGGCTGAGCCAACCAATCAACAAGTACATCTCTAGCCTATCGAATATACATCTGAACATATCTGATCCAGAAAAAAAGACCCTTCTTAATGCCCAGATCTCTAACTCCTCACGACCATACTCAACTTCTCAAACCAATTGGCTTTCGTGGCACCGGAGGCTTCACCTTCACTACCTTAGGACCAATTACTTCCTTAAACACAGCAGCGTTCGTCTCCTTCGCCCGACGAGAAAAAGACATTAGTGTCACTATTACCTGGTATGGATCTTTCCGGTCAAATAAGTCCACCGTCTGGAATATTTCATCGTGTGCAACTCCCACCATTTCACATGCCTTCAAGAAGAACAGAATGTTCTCCATTTGAACAAACGGCATCTTGGAGCTCTTGTATTTCTTGGTGGGACAATTGGCAATTCCCAACAAGTTTCCCAATTGGCACAAGATGTAGCCATCCTTCAAAATCTCAATCAAATCGTACCGTTGATACTGGACTCTCTCATCTTGTGAAGTGTTGAGAGTGTTGAAGATCCACTCCACCACTTCCTTCTCGGAATTCTTATACTTTGCATCTCGAGATAGATGAAGATCCTGATCTAGATTAGTGGAAGCATTCTGATCTGCTGAAGTCGGTGTTTTTCTTGTGTAATAGCTCATTTTAGAGTTGTATCTCGGACACAGTTCCAAGTTGAAGGCAGTGCAGGCATGACCCATAATTGGCATAATACATTTCCACCAGCTTGGTTGCTAAAGTTCCTCCAGCCATCTCCCTTTACATAATTTCTCTCCTCTATAGTTAATTACTGCTACCCTAAAATACAAACTTTTTTTGTGGGCTATGCACCTAGTTGTGCAACTTCTTCTCGTAAGAGTGCAAACCGTGCACTCCACCCTCCAATTGAGCAGAGGCAGTTCTGAACTCAAATCTAACCTCGCCATCGTAAACCAGCTGTCTCAAGTCATCGACAGACTTCACACCGATGTCCTGCAACGAGTGTTGCAAACCATTGAACAAGTATGGAACAAACTTGGTGATAGATCCCTTGTCAACAACTGAACCAGACACACCCTGGGCAACCAACACCTTGTCGGCCTCAGAGAAGTAACGGGAAGTGGAAGCGTTAGCGTTAGTAGAGGTCTGCTGCATAGCATCGATAGAACCCATACCACGGTACACCTTCAATCTCTTACCATCACTGTAGAAGTAGTCACCTGGAGTCTCAGAAGTACCAGCCAACAAACCTCCCATCATAACACAGGATGCACCCAAGGCCAAAGCCTTGGTGATGTGGCCAATGTTTCCAATACCACCGTCAGCAATACATGGAACACCGAATTGCTTGGCAAACTCACAGACGTTGTAAACAGCAGTACCTTGTGGTCTACCGCAAGCCATGACTTCCTGGGTGATACAGATGGATCCGGAACCCATACCGATTCTCAAAGCATCAGCACCGGCCTCAATCAACAAAGCGGCCTGCTCTCTAGTGACAACATTACCAGCAATGACTTCCAATTCTGGGTACTTGCTCTTGATCCACTTGATCATGTCCAACTGGAAAACGGAGGAACCGTTAGAAGAGTCCAACACAACAACGTCCAAACCAGCAGCGACCAACTTGTCCAATCTCTCTCTGTCAGCTGGAAGGGTACCGATGGCAGCACCACACAACAACTGCTTGGAGTGGAAGGACTTAGAGGCGTCTGGGTAAGACTGGTTCTTCTGCAAATCGGTCAAGGAGATCAAAGAGACCAAGTTGCCGTTGTTGTCAACAATTGGCAACTTACCCTTCTTGGAGCTTCTCAACAAGGCATTACCCTCAGTCAAGGTGATGCCCTGCTGGCCGGTGATCAATTCCTTGGTCATGACATCGGAAACTGGGGCAGAGTCGTCGTCATGGAATTGAACATCACGAGAAGTGACAATACCGACGAGCTTACCGTCGACCTTTCCGTTTTCTAAAATATGTTAGTATGACTAATCAAAGAGAAATGCAGCGACTTTCAGGGAAAAGGTGTCCTCAACATCGTGAGATGCTATTCGGTAGAACGAAAGTTATTAAATGGTAAAATTGATCATCAGGAAACGTCACAAGCTAAAAAAAAAAAAAAATTTCGAAAAGTCACATACCAGTAACTGGGAAAGAAGAGAAACCAATTTTCTCCTTCATGGCCTTGATCTCACCAACGGTCACGGATGGAGCAACCACGATTGGGTCACTGATGAATCCGTTCTCGTACTTCTTGACCTTCTTCACCATCTGGGCCTGCTCCTCAGCAGAACAGTTGTGGTGAATGATACCAATACCACCCAACAAAGCCATGTGGATAGCCATGTTCTCTTCGGTAACGGTGTCCATAGGCGAAGACACAAAAGGAGACTTCAAGGAAACCTTCTTGGTCAACTTAGACTCCAAGTTGACAGCAGAGGATGGGAAGTTGATCAAACCTGGCAACACCAAGAAATCGTTGTAGGTCAAACCACCAAAGTTGGCGGAGTCGATCAAGGTCTTAACATCCAATCCGTCCTTCTTGGCGTAAGTCTTCAAGTGAGCAGTAGCGTTAGCACAGTCCAAAACCATTGTAATATGGGGCAATAGTTAGCCAAAAGAGAAAAGTGGATTTAATGGCGATGAGTGTCTTTATATAGGCATTGCGCAAATTTTTTTTTTTTTTTTGTGTCTTCTCAGTTTTACTAAGCGTTCATGCACGATGGAGTCAGACTTATTATTGCTAATTGATCCACTGAAAAGATCTTTTTTCTGTTTGTTCAGATGTCAACTTTCTGTAGCGTTGTTGCCCATAGTTCTACGAGAGAAATGGGGGACTCTGGCCATCTGAAAATTAATGCCGCCGGCAATGCCTCGGCATCTCCGATATGGTAGTGTATCCACTCTGGTAGATTAGTGATAATCGAATCCATGGAATCTGATAAGAAAACGGCTCAACATGCCTCGGAGGGCCCGCTGGGCAATCTCAGTGGGTAGTGATTTCAGTGCATATTATAGGCTATTCCTATACTTTACCCTTCCGAACATGTTTGGGATCTTTTGTTAACATGTCCGTTAATTGACCGTTGGATCTGACTCGACTCCTCACTACACACTACTGAACGTAAACAATTTAGAAAGTGCATTCATTGGCAATGGGGGTTAATCAACATGTAGTAGCCATACATCCTGAATGCTAAGCAAGTGACTAACAGCAGTTCTATATCCTGATTTCAACAAACTTTGTGACGATACCACATTTGAAGATCCTAAATTCAACTGCCCATTCCTCAATGGGCATTAACACCTGAATCAGACATATGGTTGTTCTCGGTGCCCTCCTTACACTTTTTGACGAGCTCGTCGATTTTTCTCCATCCTTCTTGTCTCGATTGTTCTCTCGACTTCTGTTCTTCAACGGATTGGTGGTACAACATTGTGCAATGGTCGTACAAAATTGGGTTGTGGTCCATGAACACCTTCAAAGCACCAAAAGCAAGCTGGTGTATGCTCTTATTCCAGTTGGATGTAGCCAGGTTATGTGGAGGAATATTGCTGAAGTCATCCATCTCCATGTGCTGTTGTGGGGAAGAAAAAGAATCGTAATATTCCTCATCAGTCATGTCATGAATCATATGGGTGTCTTCCATATTGCCACTAGTATCAGCTCCGTTTCCATTGCCATCAAAGGAATTGTTCAAAATGAGCCCCTGGTCAATCAAATTTCCGTTGGCATCTGTAAGAGAGTTCGGATTGTCAATGAGTTTCTGCTGAAGTGTTCCCGTGGCAATTCCAGGCTGAGTGGAGTTGGTCAATTCGTAGAGCGATGCAAATATGATGGGAAGCACCACTTCTGCATTCTCAGTAGCCAAGGTTAAGAAATATTCATTTTGCCAGAAACACAACACCTTCTCGCTGACCTGGAAATGAGATGAAGAAATGCATTTCAGTAACTGGGCAAATAACGGAATCTGAATCTTCAAGAATTCGTTTGGCTCCATCACCTCGAAAATATCCTCAATCTCGTTCAAGAACATCACCTCCTTAGGCGAGTTTATTTTTGGCCAGTATCTCAATAAGCCCATGATCACATCCTCAGTCAATGAAGGGTCCTTTTCCAAAAATTGAACAATACAGTAGGCTAACTGTGGGTGATATAAGGACAAGGACTTAACCTTATGCAAAGGAAGAAGGACTTTGATCAAAAATATTTTATGTTCTTCCTTCAAGGGTAAAGCAAATCCATTGATGATAGATCCCAAAATCTCTAAGAGTTCTCCGATACCATTGAACCTCTCTGTCTCGTAAACAAATTGTAGGAAGACATTATTAATGGACTTCCTAATGAAAGATCTCAAACTCAAGAACTTTCCATAGATACGATGCAAAGTTGTCTTTAAGCAGTCTCTCTCTCTTGGATCCTCGCTATCAAACAACTCCAAAATTCTCAAGATGAAATCGTGATCAATGTACTGTTTGGCCACCTGGTGATGAAAGTCGGGGCTCTCCACGAATCTCAAGAAGAACTCATAGATAGATTGCATGTGGGGCCAGGCCAACTCCGAAACCGGTTCATCTTCATCAGGGTCGTAAAGCTCGCCGATAGGGTTAACTGGGGGCGGAATAGGACGGAATAAGTTCTTTTTGAACATAGTAATGACATGCTTGTACATCTCGTCAGTGTAGTTGAATCTATTGCTGACAATAAATTGGATCAACTCCTGTAATGTGATGCGCTTGATTTCCTTACCTCTAATATCGTGAGTAGGATCACCAAAGTCGAAAAGGATATTGCACTGGTCCACTTTTTGAATGAAAAGTGAAATCTGTTCTTCGGGAGCTACCTCGTCGAAGTTAGGGAGCTTAACTATTTCTCTGTGAAGCTCGGATGTGGTAGGCTCGAAGCGCGACGACGAGTGTCTCTTTGGAGTGACTATCAAGTCGATGTCGAAGGCCTCTCGGTTAGGAGACGAGATGTTGGGGTTCAACGGCGACGTGTGCAGCTGCAGTGAGTGAGTTGCCAAGCGTCCATCTAGGTGGAGGCTGTTTGCTCCGAACGCATTGTTGTGTGCTATGGGCGAGCTAGGGGTGGGTGTGATTGGGGTAGTGTTAGCAAGCGAGGTCTGGGGCTCGTTGATGACGATTTTAGGCGACTCTGGTCCGCCAGTTCCCGTCAGGGAAGTCTGCGCCGGCGGAGGAGGAGTCTGGGGCAGGGTGACGCCAGTAGCAAACTGGGCCACCGCGTTGGCGTTGGTCAGCAGCTTGGCGCCCGATGCCAGATCGGTCAGCTTCGTCTGCAGCAGCGAATCCGGACCAGGCAGTGGCTGGTCTGTTCTGGAAGGGCTCGGGGACACGGACTTGATTGACGAGTTGGAACTCGAAGACTTAGGGGCTGCAAGCAGCTGCGACTGCAGCAGCTGCAGCTTCTTGGGCCCGGACTCCTTGTCCTTATCCTTGACGTCCTTCTTGTCGGACTTCTTCGACGACGACTGGTTTTTGTTTCGGGAAAGCCTATTCTTGAAGCCTTTCATCATCTTGGCGAAGACACGGCACGATGGCTAGGCGCTGGTAGGAAGGCGTGATGAACAGGTGTTTGTGGTGGCCACGGCTCAGGTGTAGATTGTTGGCAAAGCCAGAATCAGCAAGTAGTCAACGGCTCAACCGGGAAAACTCAGCGTTCAAGTGAAAGGATGGGTACTTATTGACGCCGCAGGCAACTGGACTTGTGTGTCGGGGTAATTGCACAAAGTGTCGATAGTGATTTGGACCCGTTGAAACACAGGAACAGTCAACGCCTAATGGTGGAAAGTCGGCTAGGACAACAAGCAGCAAGCAGGAACTGTGGTGGGAAGCGGAGGGTATGTATCGAGCAATGCAGCAGCACGAATGGAGACTCAGAATTGGAATGCTCGCACACAAGATACCTGCAGCAATGAGAGGTGATAGTTGAGGAAATGAGGTTGGAAAGCGCAGACTGTGAACGTCAACATGGATTCCCTGGGTTAGTAACCTCTATCACGCTTTGCCTGGACACGACGGTAGGTGCACGCATTGGAGATTGGAAAAAGGCGTGGAGGGAGTTTGATTTTTAGTAAGGGTTTAGATGTAATAAGACTAATAATATTAGGAATGGTTGTTAATTAGTTAAGATTGGAGTTCAAGAGGTTGTTGTTTCACGGTGGAGAAGGTGCGTAGACGGTGAAGATTGCTCGATTATGGGCAGTGTGCGAACCTGGAACGAGGCGTGGAGTGGAAAAGTTTGGATTGAAATTAGGAGAAGATTTAGAAAAAAAAAATTGAAGATGGGAGTTGAATTAGGTTACAACGTGTGTGAATAGTGGAAGCGTTGACTTATTAAGTTTTTTCATAGTCACTTGTGAGGTAATGGCTGAGGTAATGAAAAGCTAAATGGTGGAGAATGTTTGTAATATTGTGCGAAACGAGAGGTAAAGGAGAAGAATAACGAAACGTTCGAGCGGCCGTTAAAAATGGAATAAAGACAGGGAGAATGAAACAGTGGAGACATTAAAGATATTAGGCGTTTTGAATATAATGAGAGATTTTGGAATGGATTTGGAATAGCTAGAGTATTATTTGTCAATGAAGCTATCTATGGCAGATAATATGAGAGAAACAGTGAATAGTTAGGATACCCAGCATTAGAAAGAATAGTAACAATGCTAATATAAATAGCATGAGAAAGTCGACATTCCGTAAATGCGTATCATGAGAAATGTATTGAAATGATTTATATCTGATCTTGATTCAGAAACTTAATCCACAACTATGGAAGTAATTGACTATATTTAGTTGTAGTTCAAGCTAAAACTGCCTGTCTTCAGCCCATCTTCATCTACACACTAACATGTCTTTCAGTCCATTTTCTTCCCTTAAAATCACCAGTCCTCCTAAATGATCATTTCCTCGTTGATGCTGTCATTCATTACACTCAGCAAATAACAGTTCCATCCAATACTCACCACATTCACCACAAAGAGCCGGAGCTGAACAGGAACAAATCCGAAGTTCAACACCTGAATTGCAGGCCAAACCATCCAATTGGTCGTCAATGTGTCCCACCAGTTTCTTTTAATTTTATTTTGGATTGCAATCCCATCTCCTCCTTCCATTACCGTCATCATCGAGTAGTAGAGCGGAATACCGATGAATGGCGCAAAAACCCCCTGATCCACGGCCACACGTGCAGCTGTATTGACAAACTTGGAGTCTTTATATCCTGGGATATTCACACGGTTCAAGATCTTGTACCATTTGTCTCCAATTGGAGCAAAGATGATACCTCCATAAATGATGGCTCTTAAACTTCGTGAATAATCGTACTTCTCGTCGGTTTCCAGCTTTGAAATCGCTATACGCTGGGCCAAGTAATCGCCAGCACCAAAAAGAAGTCCTGTGGAGGCGACATTGGTCGCCAAAGGTTTAGTTTTCAATAAGTGGTTGTATTTGGCGTAGAAAGACATGGAGATCTTATCGCGAAGAGTGCGATGGAGAAATCTTGATAAAGACCATTTAAACTGGTGGGATACAGATCACTATATCTTTCTGCTGGCGATATTCTCTATTACTCTATTGATATCTATTGTGAATATTCTAGTTAATTATGTTATCCCACTTATGAATGTTCTCGCATCCATAATGCGCCAAAAAACTCTATATCTCTATACTTTACCTATGCGTAAACCATGGTTTGTTCCTCGTCAGCAGTCTCAATATCAACAAGCTCCTCTAGAATCTTGCCAGAGCCCTTTCCGTGGCCCAGGGTATTGTGCACAAAACTCAAGAAACAGTTCCACCCGATGGACCAGACATTGGCTACCACAATACGAAGGTGCACTGGAACAAAAAACAAGTTCACAAGCTGCAAAGGAGGCCAAACCGTCCAGTTGGCTTTCAACACATTCCACCAGTTGTTTCTTAACTTCTCGGCTGCCACATCTAAAAAGTCCTCATGGAGTGCAAGAGCACTCATCACTGTGTTATACATTGGGATCCACACAAGACTAGGCATGAGCAAAGAATCCAAAGTGAGACGGAAGAGATTGTCGTGGATTTCGATACGCCTTAGAGACATTCTGGATCTTCTTAATGCCGAGAGGAATGGACTGTGGATATGAGGAAGCGTTTTGGTGGTCCATTTGACACTAATAGGTGCAAAAAATACCGATCCGTAGATCATCGCTCGAAGAGTTCTGTCAAAATGGAACACGGTAGGCTTATTCACGTCATCATCGATGTGGTGAGGGAAAAGATACTGAGCTAAACAGTCACCAGTACCAAAGAGCACACCGGTGGTGGCCATGTTGGTCTTGTATGGGTGCACCTTGAGCAACTGATTGTAGAACCTGAAAAAGCTTGCCATGGGTGCAAAACGAATAGTTTGTGTCGGTAAAATAAAATAGAAAGTTGAAAGCAGCGAGCGAGCACAAGACAAAAAGTGAGAAAGCAAGTAACAAAAATGGACCTCGGGCGACAATAGTAGGGCGAAGAGAAAAGATTATATAATATAGGGAAATTGTGGTGAGAATGCGCGAGCGATGTATCGGACACTAACCTCCGCCTGTGAGTAGCTCAACAATCGCAGAGTGGTTTTGGGGTGGAACGGGCTGAAACCGAGGTAAAAATGAAGAAGGTAAAGTGGAAACAGAGAGGGGGAGCCAATTGAGGGATGGCGATAGTTTTGTAGTACTTTTGGATGAGAGATGTGGTGTTTTTGGGGATTCTTCAGCAAGGATTGCCGAAGTCGGTAGGAAGTTCTCGCTATCGCTTACCTAATGAGACTAAGCGGGATGAGGATTCTCGTGCGAGCACTACCGAAACTGCGAGGTAACGTCTCTTATTTGCAGGACACAACAAAACAGAACGGCGGATGTGAGATGAGGGAGCCGGGCGGTTTCTTTTTTCCGATGGCTATTGCGGATAATGTGGACAGGAGAATTTGACATTGCGAAAAAGAAAGGGGATATCAGAGATGAGAAGATGTGCGATAAATGATCGGAAAAAAGGACAATGAAATTGAGAAAAAAAAAAAAAAGAAAAGAAGCGGCAAGTAAAATTGCAATATAACAACGAAGAATTCAAGGTCGTTGTTGTGTTGTTGATAAGACATGTAATTGAAGATGACCATGGAGATAGTGAGGACGAAATTGATTGAAAGAATGAAGATATAATGGAAGATAAATCTGAATGAAGAAAGATATCTCTTCAATTGATTGTCATCACAGGTACCATATCATTCTCATCAATTTTTTAACCATAGTACTTAATAGCCTTTGACTCTTCGAGGACATTGCTCAATTATGTAACAATTAACCGCGCGGTATCATGAGAAGGACATCCAAAGCCAACAAGTATTGAGGCTGCCAAAAGAAAAAGTATAATCGGGACAGAATAATACTTCGCTTCTGATAATATTTCAAAATAATTCGATTCTGGTGAAATAAAAATACTTCGTTACTCTATTTCACCTGCCAGATACAGGTCAGAAGTGGTGATTGGCGTTTCACCTCCTGGTGGACCATTTTCAGCCTTAATTGCCTCCTATTATATCTCTCGCGGACGTGTGGCTCCCAAATTAATCTATTGCTATTCGTCTCTTCCTGCACATCGCGGTCAATAGAAGGCGCATTGTTGCAATTTGGAAGTGGAGAACGCCTGATCAAATGTTCCTAGGTGTCAATGGTTGGGCCGAGACCTTCTTCCACATGCATGGGTGCAAATTTAACTGTTCCAAGGCAATCAGAGCATATTCTGAAAGTGTTGTATTTCTTGCTACTAAACTTACCTTCTTCAAAAACATACTTGTCAATCAAATGCGGTAATGATAAGGTGGCTGGTTGTACTGCATAATGGACGTGGGGCCAGTCGTCCATTCAGGCCCCCTGGCACCAACCAGAACAAATAGAGCGCATTCCCCCTGGTGTCACTTTCTTTTTTTCAACACTCTTTTCAGGAAAACCCACCAAAACTTACAACTCGCTATGCACAGAACATACTCCTTGAGATCCCAGAGAGCTCCAACTGCTGCTCAATTGCAGTCTCCTCCACCTCCACCATCGTCTACCAAGTCAAAGTTCTTCGGTAAGAGCTCGATTTCCCACTCGCTCAGAAAGTCCGCTGCCGGAGCTTTGGGTCCAGAGATGGCCAGAAAGTTGGCTCAGTTGATCAAGATGGAGAAGAACTTGATGAGATCCATTGAGATTACCGCTAGAGAGAGAAAGGAGGTTGCTAAGCAATTGTCTGTGTGGGGTGAGACCAACGACGATGACATCTCCGACATCACCGACAAGTTGGGTGTTTTGATTTACGAGATTGGTGAGTTGGAGGACCAGTTCATTGACAGATACGACCAGTACAGAATCACCATGAAGTCTATCAGAGACATTGAGGGCTCTGTGCAGCCATCCAGAGAGAGAAAGCAGAAGATCACCGATCAGATTGCTTACTTGAAGTACAAGGACCCACAGTCCCCAAAGATTAACGTTTTGGAGCAGGAGTTGGTGAGAGCCGAGGCTGAGTCGTTAGTTGCTGAGGCCCAGTTGTCCAACATTACCAGAGAGAAGTTGAAGACTGCATTCAACTACCAATTTGACTCTATGCGTGAGCACGCCGAGAAGATCGCCTTGATTGCTGGCTACGGTAAGGCATTGTTGGAGTTGTTGGATGAGGCACCTGTCACTCCTGGTGAGACCAGACCAGCCTACGACGGCTACGAGGCCTCCAAGCAGATTATCATTGATGCTGAGAATGCCTTGGCCACCTGGACCTTTGACTCTGCTGTTGTCAAGCCAACCTTGTCTTTCGCTGCCCACGAGGAGGACTACGATGCTGACGAGTTGGCTGACGAGGCTGAGCACTTGAAGGTCACCGAGGAGGAGTGGAACGATGAGCAGAAGGTTGCTGCATAAATAAAAGTTGTTCGCTAGCGAAGTATATGTTTATTTGTATCACTATATGATTATTTGTATCTATACGTTTATATGTATCTTATGTTGCCCTGGGTCAGTAGTGTATGATGGAGGGGCATTTACGAGCCACAACCAGACTAGGCAGAGCGAAATACCTAGCAAGAGAGGAACCAAGAGAAACGAATAGGATACGATGCCTTAGAAAGTCAACTTTAAAACAAAAAATATCAGTAATTACGAATAAAACTTAAAGAACTTATTTCGAAGATAATGATATTTGGCCGACAATGTGATCGGCAAAAAAACTTGTAGTCAATGTGACAATCATGGAGAAAAGCCATCCAACGAACAATGTAACGGCAACCCCCAAAATGGATAAAAAATCAATCCAAAATGTTTTATATATTTAACCTATATCAAATCAATTTATTAATATTACAAATCTAACTACTTGCTTCCATAAATTCCATGCTACCGTAAATCCATAATATTTCGTATGTCTATCCACGCCTCATTCCCAATTGACCGCGAATCATCCAGGTATTCCATATCTATATACAGGACAGTCCCAAACATTCTCGCAATGCGAAAACAAAACACTAACTCACCTTCTCCAATCCTTTACTTCTAGTTGGCTCAATAATCTTTTCCTGCTGTCGGGTTCATTCACCAGCATCGCTTTTTTTTCCATTTGGCCTTCGTTTCTGTTGATTAATTGCCCGACGTTTCACAGCATATCTGGCTCTCCCGTTTTTCTCCCGCCATTTCTTCGTCTGGCCCAATTTCATAACTTCCCGTTGAATCCTTGCCCCCATCGGCTCCATCCACCATGTCATCGCCCTCTCGACAGGTGATCGACCCTGCAATGTACAGCTACGCGGATCTGGCCCCTTCAAACAAGCACAACTCCACCACCACCACCACTTCCACGGCATCCTCGGGTGGTGTTCTCCCTCCAGCATCAAAACTTCTCCCTTCCACATCACAAGGTGGCAGTGCTCCGCTCACAGGCTGGACACCATTGATCTCGCGTACGTTTTCAAACGAAATAATTTCTCACAACTCGACTCCGAGCTCCAAAATGCTTCCCTCGATGTATAAACAGGGAACCAACCCAGGATCTGCGTCAGGCTACCAGAATGTCCTGGATTATGATTATCCAGGATTGAACTTGACCCCCTTTTTGACTCACAACTTGAATCTCATGAACAATCCGAATAGTGCTGGCAACTTCTCGAATAACATCAACTTCACTCCTTTCTATGACAAGTCCATGCACTTGGCAGACTTCTTCATGGAGTCTCCCATTAGAAAGACTCCTCTGAAGATCGAGACCATCACTCCGTCCAAGTTTTCCATAAACCAGGGCCTGCTGGGCCCATCACGAACTCTCGAGGCCAAGTTGAACTCTGCACTTTCGCTGAAACGTTCAATTACTCAAATTGACACCCCTGCTAGACACCCATATAAGAAATACGATTTGGGCAACAAAGCAGACTCTGAAGACCTGGACTCCGAGGACAAAGACGATAATGAAAATGTCTTGAATGCCCCCAAGGGATACGGAGATAACTTTGTCACTCCTTCGAAGAAGAAAGTCTTGCATGAGGTTGGTGTGAACACGTTGAACAAGACGCCGAATGTTCATAATTCTGCCAAAGCAAAGAACTTATACCAGACGCCAGCAAAACCAAGTCTTGTGTCTTCTCCATCCACTGTCATCATGTCTAGTGCTGCAAGATCACCAGACAACGAGGTCATCAAACAAATGCCTCCAAGTCCGACTCCGCTTAAGGATAAAATTGAGGTTGCTGAGCCAATCATGGGAATATTCTCTGAGAAAAAGACTCAAGAGCCAAAACCAGCCAGAAAGCAAAAGAAGCAGCTGTCAGGAATGAACAGGTTCCAAATCGTTTTCACTGACGTGCACACTTTGATGAATAGTCGGAAAAAGAAAAACTCCGGTAACGCATCGTCTTCTAAGCCAGAAAGAAGTGAAAAGAAGCGGAGCCACCAAAGGCTACCGAGCAACAATTTGCAGTCGCCTTCGACCAACTTTTCAAACCAAAACCAAGCATCCTATCCCTCGTTCCAGCAGGCACTGTCAAGTCTTTCGGCTTCGCAGGATTTCAATAGCACTATAAACACATCCAGAGAATTTAGCGTGCTTGGGAATAATTCAACAGTGAACACAACCAACTCAAATCTCAACGTTACTTCCGACCATTCATCATTTGAACTTATGCACGGAGGCTTAATGTCTACACCTAATGGCAAATACTTGCTTGATAATCTGTTTGAAAGAGGTTCGCCCCAGTCTATTAATCAAATGCCAATGACCCATATCAACATGGAGGCTAAGAGTCACGAGCATATGAGACACGGAAACACTCAGCACATGCCACCACCACCCAAGTCTCTACAACAGGCCGCACAGCAGGCATTGCGCCATGATCAACAACAGCCCATGAACATGATGATGAGCACGCCTCAACACGAGCACATCAACGGACATCCTGGCGTATATCACAGTGACGAGTATTCCCCATCCAACAAGGACTCTATGGCATACATGTACCATCAATTGCATCAATTTCACAATATGAACTCACCAGGCAATATGAACTTGCACAACATGCATCGACAACCTCCTCCGCAAATGATCCAGGAACAACAGCATCCTAATTTGCACGACAAGCATGAACCACTTCCACAGAACACGGGGTCCAAAACCAAGGCCCGCAAGAAGCGAGTGCGTAGCAGGGCCAAATAATTATCGACTTGTTATATGCTTTCAGAATATATACATGAACACTAAACGTTGGGTGGTAAGAGCAATGCAGCTATCACTCCTGGCCGCTCAGTAGCTAAAAGATCGTAGATTTTGGCAGCATTTTGTGAGTCTCCAACCTCTAGTTGGATTCCCAACTGCGAGAAGTACTTCCGGCTTTCATCAGAAAGACGTCTGGATTTCCTGCCTAGTCCCACCACCACAATTTCTGGTTTTGGGTGGACCTTGCCGAAGATTGCAAGAACTTGCTCCGCGTTGAAATCAACGATAAATCCATTCACTAATTTGTAACCTCCATCTGCCAAATTCACCTCAAAACTCTCATTCTCAATGAGCAACGTACCCACTTCCTGGCCCTGATCGTTTGGGGAAGTGATGAGAATATTATTGGCCAAATGGAATCCATTCTCCTTGACCGACTCGATATAGTTGATTGGCTTCTGCGAGTACATCAAGATGTCGTTTCTCTTCAAAAGGTCAGCCGGATTACTGGCAGTCTCCAGTTTATTGGACGGTGCCATATTCTGGGTCGATCCCACCATTTTGCCTCCGCCAAATAAGTTTCTCGTGACGAGAGACGACGAGAGGTTGCGCCGAAGTACTCTGCTACTCAAGTTTCTGTACATGTTAATGTCCTTAATGAAGAGCAAGTTGTGATGTTACATGCATCTCAAATCTTATTCTGCACCTAACCAGAGTATCATCATTTTTCACTTAAGTTCTCTATTGAATATTTACGACATTTATCTAATGTTTAGATTATCATTTCGAAACTTCAATTTGCCGTAACTCTCGAGCGAGTTTTTCCCGAATTGAATTCTTCGATTTCTCCCAAAGGTCAGCTCGCACTTCTCGTCCATAGAGCGTATTATAGGACAGAGAAGAGTCTCCGAAGCCAGACCCGGAATTTCGTCTTTTTTCCGGGCTTGGAGGTGCTGCAACAGGATTGTAAATCTCATTGGCATTGAAATTAGATATAGATGGCCGTGACGTCAATGAACTCCGTAGATTGGTCAGGGACTTCTTCGGACTCAAGGGCCTCAGAGTTGTGTTTGGGGTGGTAGGCAGAAGGACTCGTGACGGCGATTGTGGTAGGTTAGTGTAAGATCTAACACTTCTGAGCTTTGTAGGCGATGAGGGCCGTGCTGGCTGTTCCATCTTGATGTACTGGTCATATATCCTAATGACCTGAACTATGAAGGCTAGCTCCGTCAAGTACTTGAAGAGAAGATTAGCTTTGGAGTCCTCGGAAAGTGTTATGAATGCATCCTCTGTGGATGTTCCCAAGACTTCTCGCACCACTTTACTGGCAATGTGATATCTGGCTAGAATGGTCACATAGGAAAAATGTTCCACGTATAACAGTGAGTTGGCCAATTCAGAAGCAAGCAGTCTAGCAGTGATTGGAGTATCCACAGGAAGTATGGAGAAAGAAAAATTCACCACTCTTCTCTCTTTATAGTCCTTGAACACTGGAAAGCCATCTTCCATCTCGTCTGAGGATGCTCCAAACTTGGTTGGCGACAGTGGACGAGAGAAATTGGCACTTGGGTACTCAGATAAAATGCAGAGCATGCGGAACTTGTTCTTGGGGAAGTCGATCAACACCCGATGGTTATCGCAGAGTAGTAGCTTCTCAAAAGCTGTCAAATTGTACATTCCATCCAACTTTGGCACGCTCATGTCTGATCCGGACAGAATATCATCCCAGAGCTTCCCATCTGCGTATTTGAGCGAACCTTCAGCAGGAAACAGTGCCAACCGGTTGATACGGAGTCGTTGGAATAGGTAAAGAAGTGATCTGATCTGGAGATCGGTGGAGTCTCGTCCTGAGCCCTGAATGAACGTGGGGATTGAGACGGGAGGGGTAGAGGTGCCCAAGAAGTCAAAGAGTCCCATAGTGGAACTTGGAATTGCCAGGAGTATTTGAAGGTTTTTGTTCAATGGGACGATCACAGGCTGGTGATTCCATACAGGGTGTTGATTGTTACTGGATTGGGTCAGATCGCGAAAACATCTGGATGAGGATAGAGATGGAATTGTGGAAATGAACATGGACGAGTCCATGAGGAGAAATGTGGGGAAATAAAGGTTGACAATATCAGTGTGGGTGAGATTGTTCTATGTTTCGTTTTGAAATTGAAGTGCAGAATTGGTTGAATGACCGTGACCTCCATTGAGATTTCTGAGTATTTCGCAGCTAATGATATCGAAGGTTAACATACGAGGATTAGGAACTTAGGAAATAATTCATAACAAGTCGATAAATGACTTAATCTTAATGGCATCTTCTGTAGAGGATGTGAACACAAGTTCGTGTATAAGTAGCATGGATCAGAAGATGGTATTTGGCCTAGATCAAGTCTCCACAGTGTGACGATTTCCAATGGGTTTTCTCGTTCATATGTGTACTTCAAATTCTTCTACTATCAGTGTGACATGACATCATATTTACCGATTTCAGTTTGTATTGAATTGATTCCTGAACTTTATAAGCCACCCTTTACCAATTGATACCGTTTACAACTTCAATCCCGTCTATCACCCAACCAGTATCTCAGTCTTTATTCTAATCAATATCTGACTCAACATTTGAGCCAATATGTAACTCATAAATTCAGTCTACTTCTATATCTCACCAAACCCTTATCTATTAACTCATTTCCTTCCGAGTATATTTTAGACACATAGTCAACCGTCCTCCACCATACATTTCATACAGGCCACTATCATTACACTTATCATGTCTACCCAATCTGGTATCACGGCCTCGCCGGACCTTCTCCAATCCTTCAAATCATTGGATTCCACTTTGATCATTACCATCTCCGATGATTCGACACAATTGGTCGAAGACAAGTCCTTTTCAGCGCCTTCCTCCACTGACCCCGATGCTGTGTTCTCCAGCTTGTACAGCCACTTCTCGGCCCAGTATCCTAGCCCCGGATACGCCATTTTTTCCCGTGGTCACAACGACTATGTGTTTGTAAGCTTCATTCCCGATCTGGCTCCCATCAGACAGAAGATGCTCTTCGCCTCCACCAAAAACACATTGATCCAGCAACTAGGCTCGGGTTCCTTCGGCAAGAACTACATTTTGGCATTCAGTGAGCTCGACGAGTTGTCCAGCAGTCACTACGAGCATGCTACACTGATCAAAGACGATCCTTCATTGTTAACGGAGTCGGAAAAGTCCTTGAAGGAGATCAATTCGTTACAAAGCTTAACATTGTCTCAAGCAGCAGGTAATTCCTTCAAGAAGGAGTTACCTTCCATGCACGGGCTGAGTGGTGGCGAATTATTCTTCAAAATTGATGAATCTCTCGCTCAAGAGCTTGGGCTGGGCATCGAATCCACGGTGCTTGTCATGAACATTAATTCTTCTGAACAATTGGTCTTAACATCCAAGAAGTCTGGAGTCCAGGTTTCGGATTTGATTGAGGTGATTCTGACTGCTGTAGGTGAAAATTCTGCTTCGCCTTCATATATCTTGTACGGATACGCCCCAGGTAAGGTTGCCTTCATCTACCTGTGTCCATCAGGTTCCAAGGTAAGAGAACGTATGTTGTATGCTGCTAATAAGCAAGGCTTGCTCTCTCACTTGAAGGGTGATTACTTCACACTGGGTCAGATCGACCAGGTTTTGGAAGTGGGTGACTTGGACGAAATCGACACCTCCAAGTTTTCTGAGGAGCCAGCAACAACTGTATCCACCGATAAGAATGGATTGCGTTTCTCTAAGCCCAAGGGGCCCCGTAGAAGATAATGATTAGTTGATCTAATTCCAAGAAAAAACTACTAGTTGAGCTATGAGGTTTAGCGATTTGTTCAGAAACTGGAGGTTGGTTGATCTACTCGTTCCCAGAATACTTTCTTACCCAAAGGTGACGCTTCCTAATCCCTATATAGTGTTCCTGCTATGACTGCCTAAACTTGACTATGTAGTAGTGTTGGTCTTTGCGAGGTTCCAGCCCTCAACATGACCGTCAACCAAAGCCTTTAGCCTCGATTCATCATCAGAGAAGTAGCCATCCAACGCCAGCGGCCCATTTCTCGCACACAGCGACAAGATTGACGCATAAACTTGACGAGAGATGCGTTTGTTGACGTCAATGTATTCCTCTTCGGAGCGAATGTGGCCACTTCCTGGAGATTCATTAGTGCCTAGATCAGAAGGGTGAGGGTTGTATAATGGCCGTAGATGGTTACGGACATACTTCTGTACCCTTCGCTTTTGGTCCAACGTGAGTTCAGTGACATAATTGCACGGCCGTTTGGCATCCAACTCACTTCCCGAATCGCTGTCTGCTAGATTCAGGCATTCGGAGCTGAGAGGAGAGTGCTCATGGGAGACCGCTGTATGTGCTCTGTTGCGGCGGTTGATTTGACTCATTAGGGAAGCGATTCTCGAAGGACGCTGTTCGTTTCCCTCCATGTTTCTGTTAGGGGTAGGGAATGCTTCTCTTTTTACATCGAGGGTACTCTCGTCGTTCTTCACATGGTTTTCCTCTTTCTGTGTGTCCTGAGAGCTACTTTCAGGAGCACGTCTTCTTCTTCTCTTTCTGGCCTCACTAGTAGGTGTCGCTACAGCAGGCTCAAATGTCGCCAGACCATTGCGAGCCAGCTCAAACAACTCCCATGATCTAGCTTCTTCCGGAGAAAGATTCTGGATGGCACGAGCCTCCCGTCGAAGAAGAATGCCACCGTTCAAAACTGACGTCGACCTAATCACCTCTTCAGCGTCGTCAAACTCCTCGATCTCGTTATTATCATTGAAGATCACGAGACCTCTTGAAGGTTCTGCCAAAGTACGTCTGGCCCGCCTTTCCTGGCGAAGAGGGGCAATTTCCTGGCGACAGTCGCATACGGGACAGAACCAGAACGTTTCGTCCCGATGTCCCAAGCACAGTCGGTGGAACTTGGCTCCACAATTAATACATGGTAGTAGTGATCTGGCCAGTCTAGAGTACTGAGCACTGGAACATATGGTGCACACGCCCGAGTTCAGCTCGGGTTCTTCGGAACGCATATTCGTGTATGTATCTGCGTATGCTGGCGGCGGGATGATGAATTCTGGAGGGATTTGGTTGATGGCGTCGTTCTCGATGAGTTTGTCTTTGACATTGATGGTTTCCAACACCTGGTGTTGGATATCATTAGCCACGATATCGATTCCGTAGTAGAGTTTTCGACATGTAGGACATGAGTTGGAATGGGAAGACCACTGCGTGATGCATTGCTTATGATAGTGATGGAGGCAACCATGGATTCGTCCCACCAAGTCTCGCAGACCTAGAGGATCCAAGCAGATGGGGCATTCTGCCATGGCGAACGATCTTGTTTGATTATTATACTTTTGGGAGTCGGAGAAACGGAGAAAACAAAATCTATATATTTTTTTTTTCGATTTCAGTTGTTAGGTAATGTGATGAAAACGATTTGGTTTTGATCAGTGATTTGTTCCCAGTGCGCATCTTATCATGAACGCACAGGTGGGTATGAGAGATAGATTAGCGAAGGAGTACGAAAATTGCGGTAATTTATTTGAAAAATCGGAACTGTTTTCGAAGATAACAGAAACCTGCTACTTGGATACTTTTTTTTGAATTATAATTTATGTTAAGTTGGGCACTCTTTACCTTGATCTATGTTCTTCATCACCATAGGTCATAATAGTATTCAGTTACTCAATATGGAGGCAGTCAAGTTCATTACCAAAAAGGATCCTCAAAAGTATAGAAGGAATGAACTTACTTCGGCTGGCAAAATTGTGATTTTATCGATCCCAATTCATAGATCTCCAGTTATTAATTCCACCACCTGAACTGTCTGACCAACTCCATCTCGAAAATGGTCCACGTGACCTATATCAAAGCTATCTGATTACCATATCGAAATATCTAACTACCACATGTCACGCCACCAGTACGATCTAATACTGTGTATGAAGCGGCCAGGGACCCATTTCGGGAACCTCTGCCAGCTGTGTGATGGTAGGTGTCCTGTTTGTGACTCTTACGTCAAACCTCAAGAGAAGGTAAGAGTGTGTGATGGATGCTCCTATGGCCATGTAGGCAAACGGTGTATCTTATGTGGCCAGCACTTGGGTGATAACTTGGAAAACGCATCTCCCGCATACTACTGCTATGAATGTGTTTTACAGGAGAAACATCGAGAGGGATGTCCACGAATCATCAACGTGGGTAGCTCCAGAGCAGATATGATGGTGAAGAAGAAGAAGGCATTAGACAGGTAGCATATAGACGGGCAAAATATATACAAATTGGGAGTATCTAGTAAAAATCGCCTACCAACCATTGTAGTAGTTACAAGTCAGACACCAAATAAGATGATGGAACGTGAACGGCATTATATTCTAGTACACTTCTTTAACGATAACTAATGATTCTATGAAGAATACTCATTCTTTGGTGTAAATTCATCATGATTCTGTACATTGCTATTCATCAAGTCCTTACTCTTGTGCCCGCTGGATTCCAAGATCAGTCATCAGCCGAATGCCATCTTGCCATCTCTGCTCAAGATAACTGGCCACTGGCTCGAACTCCAACTGTCTTCTTTTGCGGTCGTTATTGATTTCATCCACTCTCAGCCTCTTTCCAGCTGCCTCACGCTGATATACATTGTCCAACTCCGACATGGACGCCAGATGTGTACGCTGGGCATGCTGGAGATGGGGAGCGTTTTGGGTCATTAAAGATGTGCTTCTTTCTCGTAGCATGGAGTACGACAATGCTGTATACATTTGCGGGTAGTTGACATCATCTGCTGTGCCAAACTCAGTATATCTGTCCATGGAGATGCCCTGCGGAAGTATTCTTTCGTCATTAAGTTCTTCTTCGTCGTCATCGTCTTCGAATCGCTGAATATCTTGGAGAAGGGCAGAAGTCCCCGAGTTGGACGAAAGTGGAAGGAGCTCGTTGACCCGTGGATGCATACCGGTATGACCTGCGGGATCTTGAAGGCTTCTTTCGTCCTGAATGAGCAGTTGAACGGCCTGGCGCTCTTGAGGTGTTATAATGACATCGAGAACTGGGTGTTAGTATGATATTGAGAAATGAGGTGGAGGAAATAGCAGCGACAGCATCGTGGCAAAGTTTTCAACATACAAGGTAAGTTTTCCATCGGTTCTGAGTTGATGGGGATCATGTTATCCCACCAGTCGTTGTTGGTCACAGGTTTGGATCTGGGTTTTATTAGTAGGCCAAAATAATTGAGGCTTTCTGCAGGACATTTGTCAGGTATCATAGCGACCGAAATGTTAGCATAAAACGTCTTGATAAGATTTAAAGAGGTCATGAAATGTTTCTGATGTTGGTGAATATGTAAAATATTTCTTCATTCAGACATTCTGAACCACTTATTGTGTGTTTGTATGATGGATGTTTTGTTCGTACAGGAACTGGGGTTGAAGGAAAGAATTATCAATTGTTGGGGTATTAAAACTGTGATTCTAGTTGTGTTGAACTTAAAAAAATGCAGAGAAGATCGTGGAGACATCCTGGGAGAGTTCTGAAGCAGACGCAATAAGGGGTAGCATTGGATTAGAAGTACATATATAGTGTTTGCGAAGGATAGACTTATACTTCATGGGAAACAACCATGGGGTCATTTCAGCCCAATCCAGAGCGAGACAAACAGATTGTATTGCAAAGATTCAAAAGATTTCGGTAACAGTTAGTTCAAATACCTTCCACAAGAATGAACCCACTCTTATCGAAAGTTCTCTTTCAAAGCTTATTTTCTTACTCAAGACTCACTGGTATCTTCTAAGTCCCAACCCTCAACACATTCGTCATCAGTAGCTCCGCCTTATTCTTTTTTTCTCCGTTTCTTTTGCTAGCCTACAACTCTTCTACAACAGTTTCTCGATCACAGATTAATGATTGAAGCTACTTACTTGTGCAAAACCTCAGCATCGTACTTCTGCTTGAACCAAGCAATGGACTCCTCCTGGTTGGTCTTGTGGGAGTTTCCGACTCTACCTCTGCATCTCTTTCTTCTAGCAACTCTAGCACCGTGTCTGCCCATGACAACGTAGAAGTCCATACCGTAAATACCGATACCTGGGTCGTACTTGATACCCAAGTCGATGTGCTCGTCAATACCGAAACCGAAGTTACCAGTGGCAGAGAAGTTTCTTCTCTTCAACTGGAACTCCTTGACTCTCAAACCTCTCTCCAAGATCTCCTCGGCCTTTGGACCTCTGATGGTGACGTGGACAGAAATCTTTTCGTTTCTTCTGATACCGAAAGTTCTGACGGTGTATCTAGCCTTAGACTGGACTGGGGTCTGACCGGACAACTGCTCCAAGACCTTGGAGGCTCTGGTCAATCTGTCACCGGACTCACCGACACAGATGTTCAAGACCAACTTTTCGATACGCAACTCACGCATAGGGTTTTGAGCGGACATGATGGATGGATATGTTGATTGAGAAGAGTGTTCTAAAAATTTTCAGTATAGTGCGAGTGGGAGGAGGCTGCGAGGTCATGTGACAAGGTCATGTGACTGATGGAAGTGCGGTGACGGGTATTTTGCGTTAGGGCACAAACCCTGAGGGTTCGGTTAGACTGCACAGGTAGACATTCAAGGTAATTGGTGGATGTACAGGCTAGACAAGGTAATCTACAAGTTAATAAAGGTTGAAGTTCAACGTGATTTTTGAATTTTTGAATGGTGGTATGAATTAGCATGGACATTGATATTGAAATTGACATTGACATTGAGGTAAGACTGACAATTGACTCAACCGTTCAACAACTGTCCCATTGATACTCGTCGTGCTTTTTCTACACCACCCTACTATTACTCTCTGTTCTATTTATTGAATGCTCTACCCGTCAACATTGTTGAACGAACCCTCCTGGTTCTTGATGTCATAGAAAATATCCCCAACATTGTAGTTACCATGGTAAACCCATCCCTGTTCCGTAACATGGTACAAGTTGATGGATCCTCCAGAGTATGCATCTCTATGGGTGGCTGCCAAAATACTTCTCTTGCCCAAGTACAAAGCATCTTCCACGCTCAAGTCCCACTTGTACTCCGAGTCTAACACACCGTAAGCAAACGTCTGTCCAGATCCCACACAGAACAAGTCCCCCTTCATTCTAGTTCCGTCAGAGTCAACATAGTATATGGTCGGGCCCTCCTTCTTGGTGTATCCACACACCATAGTTCCCATAGACAATCCCATTCCCTTGTATTGGTAAACCAAGTTACCCAAGATCTTGGATGCAGCAGCCACCGAGATTCTCTCCTTCTCTCTCAACTCGTGTAATCTACACTGAGTACCCAACCAAGTCTCCCAGTACTGACAATCAGCAGCACCTCCAGCCATGGTACCCAACAAGAATGGATTGATCCGAATGACTTTGTTAACGGTCTGCGAGGCCACCCAATTGCCGGCAGTGGCTCTGGAGTCTACCGCCACTACAATACCTCCCTGGAATCTGAAAGCTAACGTAGTCGTACCATGAGCAATCTTGATTTTACAGTCTGGGTTGGTGGCATCGTCTGTGTGTGCACGCAAGAAGTCGGTAGGTTGTGAAATGGGCGGTAATTGGATGGTTGGCGCCAAACTCAATTGTGGTGGGCTAACCACGCCTCCTCTGGCCTCGGTGAACTCCCTGTGGACCGAGTTGGCAGAATTAGAGAACTGGCTTGCGATCGAGTTCATGATATGGATGGAAATCGCTGATGAATTGATTTCCTTGTGTTGTGCTGGATGTTTTGGATCCAGTGATAAGAAGTAGGTGTTGAGTTGCCACTAATTGTTGATGGCGAGTGCAGGATCAAATGTGGAGGATCAACTCTGCGATTCAATCCCATCTGGATAATTTGGATAATCTTATCGAAATGACGAGATTTAAGATACTTTAAGTTAATCTAATGAAAATTCTTTAAAATCTTCTAAACTGTCTTATTTTTTTTAAAACTTTCTCTTTTAAGATTATCTTCATAAAACTTTCTGCTCTACATCGTGTCTTTCCAACCTGTATTTCTATGCTAGTGGGTGCGAAAATCACTCCAACTTGATGGTCTTATTTGGTTCCTCTCCGTCTTCATTGGGTCTTTTTTCCACCCTAGGTTTATTGGAGAGGAACTGTGGCGGCTTGTTTAAAGCTCCTGGCTTTGAATAACTCTGCGGCTTCGAAGGTCCTGAAAACGCTGGTCGAGCGGGGCCACCAAAATTGGGTTTGGAGAGTCCAGATGGTGGTCGTACGGGCGGTGTAGTTGTAACTGGAGATGCCGAGCGTGCTAACAGTTCATTCGCAGATGGTCCTGTCGAGGCACTGGGTGTAGGCTTAGAAAGTGCCGGCTTGCTTGGCGTGGGAGGTTGTGGAGTTGACTCTTTGCTTCCTGGCTTAGACGAGAGTCCTTGTTTCTCCTTGATGGATTTGGTCAATGCAATATCCAAGATTTTGCTGACCTGTTGTGGTGCCTTCTCCACGAGGAAGCTCAATGCATTGTCTCCACATCCCGCCTTGGCTCCAATTATATTGACCTGAGCAATGGTGGTTGCAAGTGCCTTGGTGATGATCTCCGTGGTGACTGCTGTGTTGTAGTTGAGCTTGCGTGCTTTGTACAAAGTAAACAACTCCTTTTGGAGGTACGTCAACGACTTCTTGGTGTCCTGGTTCATTGCTGGCAAGGCGGCACTTCCCAACCCTGGTTGCGGTGTAGAAGGTTTACTTGGAACAGATGCTGGCGGACTGATGGCATTGTTCGAGGTGCTGCGCGAGCGATTCGCCGCAAGTTGATCTTTGATATTGGTAGTGCTCGTTTGTCCATCAGGTGTGGTGCTGGCACTGTGAGATTCTCCATGAGGGGTTTGTCTTTGAAAGTACAGTGGAGTCTTGATCAACGTGGAGGTGCCATCCCGTTTAATTTCACTGGCGAGTTCAGCGATCGATTTGGGCTTAGCGCCATCTGGCGTTGAAGGTGTAGATCCGAATCTTGGACTTGCTTCCGACGTCATATATCCACGTCCAAGAACACTGTACTGAGGCATGTCCAACCTTTGTCTCTGGCGAAGCTCCATAGCCTTGAGTGCCGATTCCTTTGCTTTGGCCATGGCCAATTCTTGCTGCTTTTTTCTAATTTTTTCTCTTTCGGTTATGAAATCATCATCCACATTCCAGAGCCATTCAGTCTCGTGGCCAATTTTGACAGTGGCCAAGAAGATCTTGTTGAACCTGATATTATGGGTGACGGTGGCCTGCCAACCATCTGGACAGTATTTAAAGTAAGGAAACATATCCTTGATGGCCTCATGGATTTCGTTTATGGTTAGTCCTTTCTTGTCCGAAGAAACGGTCCTCAACACACTGAGGGTCATCGCCAGAATGCTCACATTAGGCTTTGTCTTGAACTGTTCAGGGATGTCCTTCAAATTTTGCAACTTGGGAGTTTTGCGTACTCCATCCTTCCGTCTTTGAGGAATTTTGGGGGCACTAGACGGTGGTTCGGTCGATTTGAAAACGCAAATAGGTGCTTTTTCAAGCGCTCCCTGGTTGCTGGTGATTGCCTTGAATGGGATGATCAGGTTTGTTATTGGAACGCTGGTGATTGTCTCCACAACCACCTCTAACTTAGGTGGAAGTGGTCTAGACTCCATAGGATTGTATATCGATCCGTTATACCCTCCATATGAGTAGCTAGGGGTGGTTGTCTGATATGTCGATGCAAAAGTTCCTCCTGGTCTCATGGGTATGCTTGGCTGACGGCCGTATACTCTGTTTGCCGGAGGTTGAATGGTTGCGGGTTTCCCCATTCTTGGACCCATTGGCTTTCCCATTAATGGACCAGTTCGAGGCAAATTTGAGTCCGTTGTATCGTAGTATGGTTGGCCATTGGAACCGAATTTTGCTCCAAAAGAGTAGTTGGATCCCAACTTTTTGAGCTCCTCTGCATCCCTTGCCTTCTCTGGATCTAGTCCTTCCGTCTGTGCATCTATAAGTGGAGCCAATGACGCAATCTCCTGATCTAGCATGTTGATGTCCATTTCCTGTTTTCCGGTGTCCTTTCCTCCCGAGTTGTCAGCAATGACGCCTTGCCGCATATTATGTTCGTTGACCAATTTGTCTATTTCGTCTTCTTCTTTTTCGATCTCCGCCTGGGTCATTGACTTTGCGTTATTCAGGTCTAGAAGCTCACGCACCTCGGCATCGAGAAGATCTGGATCAAAATCGTCATCTTCTCCTTCTAGACTATCGAGTTCTTTCAAGAGGGCATTGATCTCGTCGTTTGTGGATGCATGCGATTTTCTTCTGGCTGAAGACAATCTTCTTACGATATCTGCCTTCGAGTTGCGATGTACCTGCCTTGTCTGGTCGTCGATAACAGATTTTTTCTTCTCTCTAACCGGCAGTGAATTCGTCAGGTACAAATTTGTGCGGAGATTGAGAGCATCGCTAGGGTTGAATGGTTTGGCTGCCCCAGGTTTCTTATCGTCTAGCTCATGTAATTCCAAGGAAGGGAGAACGAACGAAAATGGGATGTCACCGATCTGAATTTTGGTTCCGTCTGTGAGAGGCACCGTCATACCCTTCTCAACAAACAGATCATCTACAAAAGCACCGTTACGACCCATAATAGAGATCTCGAATCTTTGGGTGCCAAAATTGTAGAAGATCTTAGCATGTCGTCTAGAAATGGCCTTCTTGGAACTGAGATGCACGTCCACGGAGTGATGTGAGGAGTGGATCTCGTCGTTTGACTTTCTTCCGAGGACAACTTGAAGTGTTTGAACAAAGAAGGTGAAGTTGTCGAAATCTAGACGAGCATATGCGGAAATCTTGGATGCATCTCTATCTGAGTCCTCTGAGACACCCAAAGCAGGTTCGGAGGTGACGGGAATCATGGCTGTGCTTCTTCGTAGCATGTCCAAGTCCGTTCGTTGGTGACCCAGTAGTGGAGAATGAGTGTTGGATGGAGTTTGAGATGCCGGAAGGTCATTTTCAAAATGAACGCGGGCCGGGTCTGACGGCGGAACTGCTGGAGCAGTTGGACTGCTATTGCTAATCTTGTTGCCTGACCAACTCATGGAAATTCGCTAGGTTTCCTTTGAAGAGATAAACTGGATAATGCGATGAGAGACGTTCAGATGTGTAATTCGAGATTCGGGAACGACTTCAGGACGTCAGTAGTTTGATCAACTTTTGGATCAGTTTGTGCAAAGGTCAATTTCTGCAAATTTATTCTTACGTAATGTAATACGTCTGAGTTGGCAACGTGGTATGTCTTGTCTTGATGGTGTTTTCTCACTCATCTCATTTTCGTACAGGAGACGGTGCTATCATAGTTGAAGATATGACATGAGAAGCTCGAATCGGGAAATGCGTTAATGAATGTGAATAACAGATATGTGGGCAGCAACCTTGAATTTCTAGAAGTTTTATTTGATTTAAATTTGAATTGTATTTTTGCTATGCGTTTAAAGTTTTCATAGATGTAATTTCGAGAAGACTTCCACTGGTTTTGAGAATTACTGCGAATTAATTTTTGATGGTAGAAGATGAGTATTACTGAAACTGACAAAAAGAGCTTATCAAAATCAATGATAATTGAAATGAATGAAAGAAGATAATGAAGATGGTGAAATCAAATGTATAAAGATTACAGATGTTTTGTCGACAACTGAGTATTGCAAACGAATTCGATAGAATCTTTAGTTGAACTCCATTGTTTTAATTGATGAGAATTAGCGAAAATCATTAAAGGGTCCCTAGGTTGCTGTAAGCGGTCCTTAGTAAAACCTGAAGTTTCAGATCTTAGATACCTGGTTTACAACTAGCCAATCCAGATATCCTTATCAGTAGAGGCATCACGCACTGCAGACAACCACAGAAGTTTAAGAAATTCTTGTAGCACAAGTAACCAAAAGTAAAATGGTATGTAAAGTGCTTCCAAAAGGATCCAGAACTCACTAACACCGCAGGCAATCAAGAAAAAGTCCGGAATTAGAGCCAAACTGGCCAAGAGAGCCACAATTTCGAGCAAAATCGCCGAATTCAAGCAAGAGCAAGTCCATGAAAATGAATTCCAAGGCAACCCTTTGTTGAAGTTGCTGACTACCACGAAGAAGGAGAAACAGTTGGCCAAATCTACACAATTTAACGAGAAAATCCTTTCTAAAGTAACCTTCAATATGAGTGGAGGAGTGTCCAAATCTGCCCTTCGAAGACGTAAGAGAAAGGAGAGAGAGCAGTTGAAGCCGAAGATGGACGACTTGTTGCTGAGTCTTCCAGAGACGGTGAACGTGGTCGAGTCCAAGCAGAAAAAGAAGGAGGTGAAATACGTTGCCGACAACAAGAAGCCCACCAACCAACCCAACCCCCAGAAGCATACTGGTCACACTAAGCTTCTAGAAGCTGAAAACAAGAGGTTCAACCAGGTGCTCAACAACAGTCAATTTAAGAAGACGCCTTTTGCGTTGCTACAACAGGCGATCAATCAGAACATGGGGAATTAGGACAGAGGGAGTAGAAGTGAAGAAGTCTGAAGGCATGGTGAGCTAAATCATCAGACTAATGGGTTGAAGATGCGAAAGGGTGCAGAATTGAACTTTAATGGATCTTGAAGCATTTGGTTCGTCCGAAAAGAGATGGGAATAGACCCGAAGCAGATAGACTTGGCCAGAAGCAGATGGAGTGGCCAGAAGCAGCCACCATTCCATAGTACTTCTCCACAGCACATAACCTGGGGTTCCAACGCGAACAACCATAAAAAACTACCATACAGTCACAGTGAGGGAGAATTCCGTCAATTTAGTTTCATTCAATGAAAGTGTACAAAACCTATTGAAGAACATGAAATCGACTAAGTGAATTTATAAACCAGTTGGTTTCTGCTGGTATTCTTATGTTCCTCGTAATTCACCAATACTTCTCTTGATATTCCAGACCATTCTCTTTTTTACAAACGTCTATCCTGTATGACCTGATCCAGATGGGCGACTCTGGCCATCACATTGGATTCTCTGCATGAAATTGGCGAGCAAATCTAGACGACAAGTGAACATGAGAAAACACTAGATAAAGACACCAGAGAGTGTCAAAAGCTCACTGAAAAAGAAATATCAGTATTACTTGGACTTTTGACATATTGTTCTTACTTCAAAAATTTTGAATAGATTCATTATCATCCTCAACTCCCTTAGCCAATATCTCTATCCTGGCAGGTGCACCGCGCTCCACCAGGCAACTACACACAGGAAAGGGTAGACGAGTAAACAAAAACATCGTAAACACAGGACTCCATTCCATAGCAGAATCTGCCACCCGTTACAACGTGAAAAACGAGTACATCCCTCAATACACATCAACACACCATGGCTCAGCAAATGGCGGCCGAATGGGATCTTCCCGAGGCTAACCTCTCCTTTGAAGGTGATAATGAGGCCTTCGTGTATAACCGTCACAACGAATCTATCTTTGACGATGTGCGCTACTTTCCTGGGTTGAAGCATGACCAGGAAACCGTTGTCAAGTTTGATGCTTCCAACGACGACTTCATCAACCACGCCACATTACGGGCTCTCATCGTTCAGTTGACCTCTCCGGAGGTCATTGATTACAATCTAATTTGTGACTTCTTTCTCACTTACAGAACCTTTACAGACAGCCACACCGTAATGAATTTGTTGCTTACACGGTTGATATGGTCATTGCAATACGTCAACTCATTCAAACAAGATACAGAGAAGATTGGAAAGTTGGTACTCTTGAGAACGTTCGTGGTATTGAGGCACTGGATCCTCAACTACTTTATCGACGATTTCCTTCCTGACGACAAACTATGCGACACTTTCTCCTTCTACATCAACCAGATAACCCATGAGTCACATCTCATACGGGCCAATATGGTTTTCGAATTGAAGATTATGACTGACTTGAAGATTCACTGGACGTCGCAAATCAACGAGTTTCTCAAGGCGGGGCTTCCGCTGGACGCCGCCCAGAACGTCTTCACATTCTTGTTACCTCCGGTATCGGAGCTAGCCACTTTCAAGAAGCTTTCAAAGTCTAATACAGAGGCGTCCATCCACACTAATCCTTCCTTCAGACGCTCGGCCATGCTCTCGCTATATGACCAGAAAACTCACCACAAATGCCTTATTTACGATGACTCCAACGCCAACGACGAGAACCCACAGCTTTCAATTAACAACTTGCTTTCCCAGCATAAATCGTCCCGAACGTCTTTGAATGACAAGTTAACGGACTTCAAGGGCAAGAATCTCAAGAAACTCGAACGAAGAGCAACTACCTCCAAGAAGGTCGGAAAGGCAAACAAGCACAAATATATTAACCTCACGGATTCATCGCTTGCTCTTAAAAAGACTTCAAATGTGACTGACGATATGGAAACTAAACCATACGAAGTCGAGAAGGAAAACATCGCTCCAGTTGGGTTTTCCACGAATGGCCAAGTCAAACTCCCAACATCCAGGGTTTCTGCAATTGTTCCGCTGACACCAGCCAAGAAGATGGAGTATAAATTAATCAAAGACCTTCCACCAACTCCAAAGAGCCCTGATTTCAACATTGGTCTGGACGACTCAGAGGAGGTGGGCAGAAAGAAATCTTTGAAGAAGATTGTAAATGAATGGAAACGCTCGTTCAACTCCCCAGACTTGAAGAATGAGAAAAGCGATACGTTCGCTCCTTTAAAGTCACCTGCCGATTCTCCACTCTTAGTTGAAGAAAACCCACTTGGTGACAGAATTGATGTATTGAGTGCAAGAATTATTGACGAATTGGAGTATTTGATTCGCTACTACATCACGGATCTGAGTACCATCAATGAAGCTGATGACAGAGATTATATCAGCAGATCCGCAATCGAATACTCGCAAATGGAACAGAATGATCCTAAGACAGACTCACCTTCATACGAAGATAATGAAGGCGAGAACTGGACGAAGGTTGCAGATGCCACGTTGTCCCCACTGGTTAGCAAGGATCAAATGTCAATCCAAGATGTCTCTGAATTGAACATTGACAAGATCGATAACTTATTCAGTCAGGATAACATCCTTCTCGAAGAAAACTATCACGAAATGCCACATGAAGTGTCAAAATTGTCGAATGGAGTTACTGGAGAGGCAAATAATTCAAAAAGATCTTCTTTCGGTGGTAGAGTTGCTAGTATCAACTGGAATGATGAAGGCAATCTTAATCTCGATGTATCTGAGCTGTTGGACGAAGAAGCTTCTCATTCTCTGGACAGTGATTTGAAAGGTTCCCATTTCAATTCTGATAGGATGATCAAGACAAGCACTCAATACTTTGATGTTAGTTCTGAGATCCCGGTCGACACGGAAAGACCAAGAACTCCTTCCTCTGTCTCAACACCTAGTGATCTTGAAAACTACAATGAAGAGGTTTGCGATTTGGGTATTGCAATGAGCCCCCAATCAATGCAAAAAGTATTACTTAAGTCTACCTTGAATGACCAGTTCAACACCATGAACAAGCGAATGTCAGTCCGCTCAAGAAACTCAAGTGGTTCACAGTTTAAGCGTGATTCTGTCAAATCGTACATAAGTTATGACTCTGCATTCTCTATCTCATCTAACAGCAAGTCTGCTAACGCCGATGGTAACTTGAGAAAGAAACATGGGTACAACAACTTGCGCAAGCTCGCATACAAACCTTCCGACTATCCTGAAGACTTGGAAGAAGATCCAACAAGCGAAAGAGTCACCGGTATGCCTGTGAAGTTGAAGTCAAACTCTATGCTCTCGCATATTTCTAGATCATCTTCTCTCAGAAGAAGTGTGAGATTCAGCACCCTTTGTGCTTTAACAGAATTACCCTTTAATTACTTCGGCGAGTCAACCGAATCGGTCATAAGACTGAACACAGAAACAACCGGCAGACTGAGAAAACTGTCAGACATTGCTGATAGCTCGGTGTTCTCCTGTGCAATCATTGGCCGCAAAAGCACAATCTATTCCACCCGAAAATCTAGTGATCAATCATCCACAATGTCTGTGGCAATTCCTGGCATCAGTAATTATGATTTGAAGGAGCTTGCTGCCATTCCAGACGAATCTTATCTCCTTCAAAATCCAGTACAATCTGCGTTGTACAAATTAGAGGGAAAAAAGAAGTCAAATCAAAACTCGACGCGAGCATCAACTGATATTGAGCCTACTTCTAAAGACCTCCTGATCGAAGAGCCAGAACCAGATGTGACGACTTCACACGTTTCGACAAAACCCCAAAGTTCTAATGACTTGAAATTGGAAAAGTCTCCAACAAACAACACTGAAGATATATTGGCAGAGATTAACAACGCTGTCACTGAAGATGCAATTGATTACTCTTCCGAAGTTGAAAAGGAATTGAGGGAAAAGCCGGTCACTCCAATAAAGCCGATGTCAAAGGCATATGGATTGTCATCTGCCTCAACTTCAAATATGAATGCCTTGCTTACAAGTGTGCCCAACAGCGAAAACACCAGTCCTTTCTCAATCCTCAACCCAAAGGTTGTATTAGATGGATACTCACTTACTTCTTCCAATTTATCGATTGAGAATGTCGTGACGAATGGAAAACATGTGTCGTTCGTCTTGAGTTATGCTTCGAAATCCTTAGCCGAGCATCTCACAATTATTGAGAAAGATATGTTGCAAGAAATTGATTGGAAGGAATTGATCGAACTTCAATGGAACAAGGAGTTGACTCCAGTTAACAGTTGGTTGGAAATTATCGTGAACGAGAGCTACTACAATAAGAACAAAGGTGTGAACTTGGTAATTGCCAGATTCAATCTTATGGTTAACTGGGTAATCTCCGAGATACTCTTGACGAAGTCGGAATCGGAGCAGATTGCTATCATTTCCAGATACATTCATGTTGCGTACCATTGTTTGGCAATGCAAAACTTTTCAACTTTGATGCAAATAGTGTTAGCACTTACAAGTGAAAAGGTTGCGAAGTTGAAAAACACTTGGAAGAACTTGCCTCCTGGAGATATCTTGACATTGAAGAACCTTGAGGCATTAACGTCGCCAACTAAAAACTTCATCAAGATTCGTCTTTGCATGAACCAGCTCCAACCATCGAGAGGATGTATCCCATTCGTGGGATTATATCTCTCCGATTTGATTTTCAACGCTGAAAGACCTAAGTTTGTGAAAACAAACAAAACGACATTTGAAGCACCTCAATTGAATGACCCTTTGCCTGGACCGCAGAGATCGCCATCAGTTGGTGGTACTCCTAAGATGCTGGCCGCATGCCCTACACCAATACCTTCAACCCCTCCGAAGATCCGGGACACTTCCGTCACAAGCACTCCGACTATAACAGGACCAAATGCACCGGCTGCATTCAACGATTCCTGTGAACAAAGTGTGACCATTGGAGACCTGACAATCAATTCGGACACGTCAGGAGGAGAAAGAGAGAAGATGATCAACTTCTCGCGATTCCGGACGTCTGTTCACATTGTCAAATCCTTATCGCAGTGTATAGAGTGGTCGAAGAAGTATGAGTTTGACATGAATGATGAATTACTCCGCAAATGTCTATATATCAAGTCGCTCGATGAAGAAGAGATGAACTACTGCCTTGGGTCAATGGAGTCATGAAGGACCAGTGACCCAAAAACGTTAATTAATGGGGATTCAGCAGTGGACGACCCCTCCACGTAATACTAATATTCACTTCATGGTTTGTAGATAGTGGCAATGGGGAAGTGGAGAGTTCAGAGTGGAGAGTGGGATGTTGGGTCGACCAGTTTCCGAGGGAATTTCCGAGGGAGGGCCCGAGGGTAATACGACCATTATATAAGGGTGGTTGGAGCAAGCGTAATAACCATCATCAACCCCGGAAATAATTGGACCCGACTCTCGGAAGTCTATGTGCACTCAGTCGGATTTACTGACACCAACATTCTCATGCTATGTTCGCAGTCAAACTAAACTACTCTTTTCAATTACCAGATCTCCTCCGCAAGCGATAAAACAAAAGTAGTTTGGTATGGCCAGAGGAAGAAAAAACCCCCAGATATGGGCGGCTGCATTCGTGGCCTCGTCACTTGCCGTGATCTCATACAAAATCTACCAGGCAGTGACGAGGACAACCAATGAAGACTCAACTGAGGATCAACCTGGAAAGAGAAGGACAAACTACACAAACAAGTCGATCGCCTTGACTCTACTGCACACCATCTTGAACTCGGACTTGCCACTCAATGAGATCTTGATGAACTCGGAGAACGTCACCTTCATCCTTCCTCCATATCTTTCGGTGGACGACCTAGCATGTAACATCCACGGTGCTGACGGCGACGCCAGCGTGTATGCTTTGCCACGCACGCTCATCAAGAACTACAAGCTTCTCAAATGTCTGAACATTCAAGGATACTTTCACGTGTTGAAGAATTTAAAGCCAGACATGTTATTTGTGTGTTCAGACGATTTGGGTATCACCCTGAAGGTTCCCCCCGACTTGGGACGATTTGTCAAGGAAATCATCACCATTGACCAGAACAAGGACGACGTGCATACGGTGTTGTCAAAAGTGTTTCTCTAGCTTGGTCTAGCAAAGTCATTGTCTAGCCATTGTCTAGCCTTGTTTAAATCTTAGTAAGAAGTCTCACCAACCACTCTATAGTCAGTGCCTGGAGCATTAATATGAATATACACACCTAACGACCTGCGAGCCTCTTCTCAGGAGCAATCGAATCGATACTTACACCAAACATCAACTCTCCCAAATCCGTAGAACACTCCAATATCTTTTGTGGGTCATCGTAGTGGGTGACGGCATCTACAATGGCCTTCGCCAATTTTTCTGGGTTTTTCGACTTGAAGATACCCAGCCCGACAAACACTCCATCACATCCCAACTGCATGCACATTGCTGCGTCACTTGGGGTAGCCACTCCTCCGGCTGCGAAATTCACAACTGGAAGTTTTCCCTTCGATTCCACCAACTGGTCCAAAAGACGACGAGGAACCCTATATTCTGCAGCCAACTTGTCGAGCTCGTCATTCTGACCTGCCAATGAGCAAACGTGTCTGATTTGCTCGGTGACAATTCGAATGTGTTTAATGGCTTCAGAGATGTCTCCAGTGCCAGCTTCACCTTTAGTGCGCAACATGGCTGCACCCTCATTGATTCTTCTCAATGCTTCACCCAAGTCTTTAGCTCCACAGACAAATGGAACTTTGTACGAGCTCTTGGGAATATGTGCCTTCATGTCTGCTGGAGTGAGCACCTCAGACTCGTCAATGTAATCCACGCCCAACTGTTGGAGAACTTGAGCCTCGACGATATGGCCAATTCTGCACTTGGCCATGACAGGAATGGATACTGCCTCCATGATACTTTTAATCATGTGTGGATCGGACATTCTACACACCTGGCCCGAATTTCTCATATCAGCTGGGATTCTCTCCAATGCCATCACTGCACATGCACCGGCCCTTTCGGCGATTTGGGCTTGTTCCACATTTACAACATCCATGATTACTCCACCTTTGAGCATCTGGGCCAATCCGGCCTTGAGTTGAAACTCTGACATAATAAAATTGTTTGAGGGGTGCAATTGGTGCACTTTTCAACCTATATATACCCATACAGTCATTGACATACAGTCATTGACGGTCTATACAGTGTCTTTTTGATCAGTCATTGGCCGTGAGTGTTCGAAGTCAAACGGTTTGGTTATGGACCCCACTATGCATATACGGACACCTTGTGTTGAGATAACGCGAACTTTATCAACGAAGGGAAGTGAGACCAGACAGTAGGAAAGAGATACTGAAATATTGGAAAAAAAAAGGATCAGAAACACAAGCTTGAATCATTCGTATCCAATTACAATTCTATGCTTTCATCTTCTGATTTGTCGTGAAAAATGGAATTTGCTTCATTGCCTTTACATTGGTTCCAAGAGTTAAAGACAATGCGGGTATACAGGCTGCCTAGAATCAGAGTCAAACAATGATTCACCTGGCCGGCAGTGCTGGATCGATAGGAGATTCTTCTACAAAATGCCAACCACCAGCGTGTGTTTTGCCAGAGTTGGGGTATTTGTGACTCATAAGAGGCAATTTTTTTGAGTGATTTGTGTTGTCATTGGTGTGTACAGCTCTGGTAATAAACTATTCGCTTACAGGTCTCCATTTTGCTCCATTTAATCCACCTCCAACCCACAACTTCCCCTCCCCCAGGTATATATCCATCGCCTCCAAATTTCCACCTTTCGGTTGATTTTCGCTACTGGACCATTAATTATCTCACTACTCCATCTGTTGCACTTGGAAAATGACCAGGAATTTCACCGTGGGCGTTTTAGCTCTCCAAGGTGCGTTCGCAGAACATTTGCAACATTTGGCCCTGGCAGCTGAAACACCTAACCTTTCCAAATACACCTTCACATTTCTTCCTGTCCGCACCCCAGACCAACTTGCTACTTGCCATGCGCTCATCATTCCAGGTGGTGAATCCACCTCCATGTCGCTTATTGCAGAACGAACAGGTATGTTGCAACCATTGGTGGATTTTGCTGCCTCTTCCAAACCAGTGTGGGGCACATGCGCGGGCCTCATTTTCCTCGCCTGCGAAATATCCAATGCTCGGCCCCATCAGAAGGCATTGGGTGGAATGTCGGTGCTGGTGGCAAGAAATGCGTTTGGTCGCCAGCTCGACCTGTTTGAATTGGGCCAGGATTTCTCCCTGTTTGCGCCCGGTTTGAGGGATTTTCCTACGGTTTTTATCAGGGCCCCAGTGGTGACTGGAGTGGTGTCAGGTGCGAAGCCAGTGCCAGTGGGCCCGCGGGGCATTACCCAGGGCGAGTTTGGCACTGTAGTGCGCACTGATTGTTCCAACATGGCTCCCGTGGAGATTCTACATACTTTGGACAATGGCTTGGTTGTGGCGGTTCGTCAAGGAAGGAAGTTGGGAACATCATTCCATCCAGAGCTTGCGAATGATACCAGGTTTCATGGGTGGTTTTTAGAAGAGTTTGTCGTGGCATCGGTGTGAAAACTCGGCATAGAGTGACAATTGAGACATTTAGATAGATAATACATATAAATACATTGAAAGACAGAAAGAAGTAAGGACCCACAGACACTTGCGGGAAATTGAAAGACGTAAAATTGTTAAATCAAAAACAGGTGACTATTGGCCATGAATTTGATGCTTGTTTTCAGTCAACTTAATGGTTGACTGGACCCTGTTCACTACACGCACCATTCACCCCAATAATCTATGGAAATCAACCATTTCTCTTAATTTCTATTTTACAGTTCCTTTAGACCCAGTGAAGTTTGCTAATCCCATTGTTTCCCATCCCTCTATAAATTTTTCATCCTTCTCCCATCCTTCGCCCATTCTCTACCCCTCGCTTCCTTCTTCAATCTTTTCCACTTCTCAACCCGTGCACCACAATCATCTACTACTAGATCTAACTCTGGATGCACCGTGCTACCATGGCCACAGGCTCTAAAAAGATGTCCTCGTCCAAAGATAATGATCTCTCTTCATTTCTACGGCTTAAACCTCTGGGCAATGTGCCAATTGGACGCATGAACGCCAATCTGGCCTCGCTCACCGTGGGCACCATGAATGCAACAGGAAGCACACTTATTGTGGGTAAATCCAAGGTCACATCGGTCGCGGGCGTCAAGAACGACCATCGAAGTTTCACAGATCCTGTTATTCTGCAAAAAGCACATATCAATGGCCATGCAAAGAGCTCTAGTCACTCATATATCAGTCATGCTAAAGAGAACAGAACATCTCTCGAACTGCCGCCTCCGATAGGTGCTGAAGATCCAGTGCAAATGACCGCATGGTTCCACGAGCCACGAACATATGAACAAGATGTTGTTATAGATCTGGCTGCGTTACCAGGTCTTAAAACGGGTAATGTATACGAGATAGAACCCATCAAGAAAGATACATCGAAACCATCAAAGAAACTCGTGTTTATCGTGAAGAATCACAACATAATATCAAAAGATCTGACAAATGCCAATGCTGCAACACTCTCCAAGAATAAACCGAACTTTCAGATCTCGTTATTATCCAATTTACAAAAGCTACTTGATATTCCACCTCGGTCTTCGGTCCAAGTCAAACTTATTCCTGACATCGAAACCGTAGAGCTAGATACGGTGGAGGTTTATCTCAAGGATGTCAACTTTCCGCGAGATTCTCAGTGGAGCATCTCCTCTTCCATGGTGGGAACTTGTTGTTACATTGACCAGCGAGTGTCCTACTTGAGCAACAGGATAGGATTTGTCAAAACAATATTTAAAGACGGCCGGAAACTTTTCAGTGGCTACATTGGACCCAGCACAAATGTTATTTTCCGCTCCGAAAGCGCAAAACTTGTTTTCCTAGTCCAGCTTTCTCGAGAAATGTGGAACTTCGAAGAGAATGGAGAGATAATGTTTCACAAGCTTGTCAACACGCTATTCCCGAAGATTTTCAAGAAGTGGCGCACCAGTAATTCCCACCACTCAATTACGATTGTCTTGTTCTCTAGTGTGGACTTAACTATGACTCCATGGATATCACTTGGAGGAGGAGAGCGTCCTTCACAATGCAAAGACTACTACAGAGTGGTGGTGGATCAAGTTAGTGTCTTCAGTTGGGATAAAATTATGGCTAACTTGCGACTCGAGTTTGCAAATTTCAAAAGGGACATCTTGTTGGACTTACAGGATGGGAAGGCAGAAATCAGAGGAGAGCCATGTCCTTCTGTGAAGGCTAATTTACTCGAGGCTATTAATCTAAGCTTGAGTTTGGTTTGTGACCGGTTCAGAAACACAGACTTGAGACACACAATTAACCACTTGGTGGTTGTCTCCCCAGGAACTGGTCTCTTCGATGTCGACTACGATGACATGCTTAGTACCTCTAAAAAGATGTTTAGTCTCGACATTGCTCTTGATATTGTCTGTTTAAGTCAGCCTCCACTACATACTGTACCATTATTTCGATATAGGGATGTTCATGGAAAGGTCTGTCATTGCGTTCCCAAATGGTGCGATATCTCCTTTTACTCTGAACCTTCCGTTCAGTCATTTCATTGGATCCCGAGATGCAAAATCTATGAGCTTCAAATGATGGGTGTGATGGAGAATGAGGTAAGTGAAATTCAGATTGATCGAATGCATTTCAAGGACAAGATCCCCATCACGGAGTCTATGGATATTTACGATGAAAAACTTTTCCGTCCTGTCAATGATAAGTCGTTTTCCTCTCATTCACCTCCGAAACTGAAACTTAAGACTGCCACCCCTGACGACTTCGCAACGTTGTCTTTAATTGGGGGATTTGAGCGGACTACCAAACCAGCCGCTGCCAAAACCAACACTTCTATGACAACTTCATCCGCGCTGGGAACAGTGGCTGGAACAACTAATTCAGCCTTATCTACGCTTTACAATTTGAACAAGAATGGAGAAGAAGTCAAAGGCAAGCTATTTACACCCCTCCGGACTCTTTCTTCCACGCCAACTTTGAGAAGCCAGGAAAGTCGTCTCGCATTAAGAATTGCTCCTATAACGAAGCCGTTAGCAAGGCATCCAACTCCGGACCTTTCACTCAACTCGGATCCTCAGAAAACCATAAAGAACAGATTACGAAAACGAGACCACGATGATTCTAAAAGAACCGAACGAAAGCCAACTGTCTCTGAACAAGAGAAAAACGAAAGAGAGGAGAACAATCCATATTGGATGCCGATCACTAATCCTTCGAAACAATCGTCAGCATCCCAAATCCCCTGTAGCAGATGGGCGGATGTTTTTCCACCGAAAATTGTCAGAAGCATGTTCAAATGGAGATCTCTCAAAGCTCCAGCTGCCCTTCCAATCTCCACCTCCTTATTTCCAACTAGCAAACAATTGGAGGCTCAGTACACATTTCAGATTTATGTGGTGACTTTAAACCTTGAAAATAGACTTGAACTTCAGACAACAAGAGAGCTTATGAGGGAAATGATTAGATTACGTCTTGCTATGGGATTTCAGATCTGCTATGGTGATAAGGTGAAGAAGATAGAAGCAGAAAGAAAACCTGGAGGAAGCCCAGAAAGCATGATCAAGTACTTCCCACCCGGTGATGCAACCGGCGCTCGGATTTATTTATCATTGAATGATGAAATCCATCGCTTGTTTTTCGATTACAACGGAACTTTAAATGTTCAACTCTATCGAAAAGTGAAAAACCAAGAGCATTCCAAGATTTCGTTAGGATCTAGGAAAAAGAATGAGCAGGACTCAATTTTGATCAGAACTAGATACGCTGACGAATACACTCCTTCAAAAATTAAGGATACCAATCCTTCAACTTTCAATTGGAATCAGTTCGATCAGCTCCTTGCTGGTTATGACGATGGTTTGACAAGTGTAACAAAGGAGTTGCACAAGATGAAGTTTGTTGTCATGCCTGGGTCAATTCCTGTCAATGCCTACAATCTTACAAATGAAAAACTTACAGATGAGGAAATCAGAGTTGAAGGATTAAGAAAATTGATTGCAACAATTGAGAGAGGAAAGTACGTTAGAACGGAAGACAAAAAGACAAATAGGAAAAAGGAGGAGATTCTTCCAGAAATCAGCTTTTATACGGGGAACCTCTACGATTTCCTCAATGAGCAGGCTGAGTACTTCGATGTAATTGGGGCCAAACCGGACAATTCATTAATGGTGAATGATGGAGTGCGATTCAATATGAATATCAAATTGTCGACGTTGGCCGTTCAATTACAAGCCCCAGGCGGACTTAAATTGGTGGACAGAGCTTGGCATTTTAAGATTCACCCTCATTGTTTCCTTGGTAGTGAGTTGGTATCTTGGCTCATCGAAGCGTTCGATGATATCGACAGTCGAGAAGATGCAATTATGTACGGTCAGTCTTTGATGGATAAGGGACTCATTAGACACGTGGAACAGAGACACGGATTTTTGGATGGCCATTATTTCTACGAATTCAAGGAGGAGTTCGCAGACCCAACGTACAAGGCAAAACAAGCTTCTACTGGATGGTTCCGAAAGAAAGAAGGGACCGAAAACAATGTTCCAGCTGTACCAACCAACAAGACTTCGCATACAAGAAACAACTCAGATAACGATTCTTCCCTCTCGGCGAATACCGAGGCTCCGCTTGACCTTCGGAGAGTTATCTCTCAAAATTGGCAGCCTGATAGTGAGAACTCTTCACTCGCCGATTCTCAGAAGCTTAAAAAGACTAAGAAGTTCATAATCAGCAAAAAGGTGAAATATGATTGTGATCCACTCCGAAAGTCATTCAGACCTGAAGTAGTCGATGTTCATTATGATCGTGTTCACAATCCTGAGCATTGTTACCATATCCGTCTTCAGTGGCTCAATACCACTCCCAAATTCATTGACGAGGTGATTATCAGTTGGTCACGTCTTTGTGAAAGATATGGGTTAAGATTAGTGGAAACACCCTGGAGAGAATTGTGCACTATCCCACAATTGAATCCATTCCATTCTTTTGTCGATTTGAAACTTGCAGTGAACCCGTTGACAGACCCTGAGTTCAAGGATTCCGATGTTCTCACTGGCAATAAGTTTTACTTTCACCTCCATCTATTGAAGAAGGCAGATTTCTTGTTAGACAACCGAGGCACATCATTCTTTCTGAAAAACAACATAGAAATTTGCTATAGTTGGGGAGCACCCTCATTCAAATATGCTCAGTTCATACACAAGACTGGGGCTTATATTGTTGAATTAAGAGACAATGGCAACTTTTTCATGGCGCCAAACAATGTGCACATTTTAAGAGTGAATACACTATCTAATGCTATCGCTGAGCTGAGCGGAAAGCACACAGTGTTCGACTCACAAAAAGTGATGATGAAGTTTCGAGAGTGCTGCAAAGATCCTACGTATTTGCGTGAAGTCTTTCATGAAGCATCCAGACACTTCCACCAGGAGTACCTGGAAGATTTCTTACTAGGTATGTAACATTACAAGCAACAAAAGTATTGTAAACTTACTGAGCAATTCTCTGAGCAATCTTGAGTGCATCGGCCAAAACACCGTGGGCAGTAACCTCAGCACCAGCACCAGCACCCTGGATGATCAAAGGGTTAGGGTATCTGTCGGTCTTGATGGACACGACGTTGTCAGAGCCCTTCAAAGAGGCAAATGGGTGGTCGAAATCGTACTTGGCAATACCAACAGAGACTTTGTTGGCGGTAAAGTCGACCTGACCAACGTATCTCAACACTTTGTTCTCAGCAAGAGCGTCGTCCTTACGCTTCTGGAAGTCAGCATCGAAGTCAGGCAATTTCTGCAAAAACTCAGCACCAGTAGCGAGTGACTCCAACTCCTTTGGAACCAAAGAGTCAACAGCAAAAGAAGTTGGGGATTCGACCTCGAAACCGGCGATTCTGGCCAAGATGGTCACCTTTCTGGCGAAATCCATACCATTCAAGTCGTCTCTTGGATCTGGCTCAAGGTAGCCCAAGTCCTTGGCAACGTTGACAACGTCAGAGAACTTGGTAGACGATGGCTCGCTGGTAGAAAGAGAGTTGAAGATGTAAGACAAAGATCCAGACAAAATACCCTCGATCTTCTGGACCTTGTCACCGGTTGCAACCAAATCTCTCAATGGACCAATGATAGGCAAACCAGCACCGACAGTGGCCTCGTGATAGACCAAACCACCACCTGGGGCAGCCGAGGAGTCAAAAATCTCATTCCAGGTAGCTAAGTCCGAAGAAAAGGCTTTCTTGTTAGGGGTAGCGATGGAGATACCAGCCTTAATGAACTTAGGGTAATAGTCAGCAATTGTGGCGTTGGAGGTGTTGTCAATCAAGATAGTTGGCTTGGATGCACCGGTCAAGAACTTGGTCAAGTCATCCAATGTCAAAACAGGCTGGGCAGAACCTGTTTTGTAGTTGGCCAAATCCACAGGCTTGTAGTCAGTGGAGTAGAGAGCTTCTTTGGAGCTTCTGGCCAAGTAAACCACATTGAAAGCGATAGGAAACTTCAAGTTCTTCAACTGGTTGATGAAGGCAGAGCCAACAACACCAGCACCAATGATAGCAACGTTAACAGAAGGCATTTTTGTTAGGTTGAGGTTTAAAGTGAATGTTGGAGACTGTTGAAAAATAGCATGCCTGCACGTGACATCCAATCAGGTGTTTTACGAGCAATGAATAGATTAGAAAGCTAAAGGACACTCTTTAGAATTGATCAAGTGAAGAAAAATCGAATACTTGTTATTTTGACCTCAAGTTTCAGAATGCAAAATTGAATTTAATTTTTTTTTTTTTCATCCATCATCATCCTGACATCATAGTGCGAGCATGTTGCAATGTGAGTGTGTTCACACCTTATACCGTTCAATATGCCAGATTAATTCCAGAGATCCCTTATTGATCACTCATTCGCAATCATATCCACAGTTGAACATGACTTAGTCCACTCCAGTAAAATATATAACCAATAAAAAAAATCAAACTTGTGTATTCATATCGGTTTAATCACTCAAAACACAACATAGCCCTAATTCACACACCCATTGTGCTTATTAATATTTATCTCCGAGGAAGGTTGACATATTGGTTGCAAGATGCGCGACAATTTGTAAGCGAATCCACATTACCAGAGTATAAGAACACCAAGTTGAGCCTCAGTTGTTCTACCAAAAAAAAATTAAAAAAGATAAACCTACAGGTAATACTAATAATATGGTCGCAGTTAGAGCTTTGAAAGACACCCAAGTTTTCACACCAACCACAGTTGGTGCCCACACTTTCTCCAACAAGATTGTTTATGCACCAACTACCAGAAGAAGAGCATTAGAAAATAACGTGCCCTCTGATCTTGCCGCACAATACTATGACGACAGATCAAAGTTTCCAGGATCGTTAGTGATTACTGAGGCTACCATTGCATCGCCCAGATTCGGTATGTATGAGCGAGTTCCAGGAATCTACAACGATGAACAGGTTCAGGCATGGAAGAAGATCACCGATAAGGTGCATGCAAACGGATCGTTTGCTTCCATTCAGCTTTGGAACTTGGGACGTGTGGCCGACCCAAAGTATACCAAGGCTACTGGGTACCCATTGGTTGCACCTTCTGCTGTTTACCACAGTGATGAGGCCAAGAGGGCCGCTGAAGAGGCTGGCAACCCATTGCGTGAGTTGACTACGCAAGAGGTCGAGGAGTTTGTTCAGGATTTCATTAAGGCAGGAAAGAACTCTGTGGCTGCTGGCTTCGACTACGTGGAGGTGCACGGTGCTCATGGGTACTTGGTAGACCAGTTTTTCAACCCAAGCACCAACCAAAGGACGGACAAGTATGGTGGGTCTATTGAGAACCGTGCACGCTTTGCTTTGGAGGTGATTGATGGGTTGATTGCTGCCATTGGCGCAGATAAAGTGGCCATCAGACTTTCGCCATGGGCCAAATTCCAGAATGTTAAAGCCGAGAATGAGGACGTCAGCCCTGTAGCTCAATTGGGCTACTTTTTGGGTGAATTACAGAAGAGAGCCAAAGAAGGGAAGGAGCTTGCCTATGTGTCCATTGTGGAGCCAAGAGTGTCGGGTATTGTCAATGTGGACGTCTCAGAGCAGTTTGGTGATAACTCGTTTGTCAGGTCGATCTGGAAGGGTGTGGTGATTAAGGCCGGTAACTACACTTACGATGCTCCTGAGTTCAAGACAGCATTGGAGGATATTTCTGATGGAAAGACGTTGGTTGCTTTCTCGAGATTCTTCACTTCCAACCCCGATTTAGTTCAGAGACTCCATGATGGTGTTGACTTGGTGGCTTATAACAGAGACACCTTTTACAACTCCGACAACTGGGGCTACAACACGTTTAATGCCTCGGGATCTAATATTGTGTTTGACGAGGCTGTCGAGAGACAGAGAATTCCACTGCCAATTCATTGAGTGGAAAGTTATAGAATTGATAGAATAAATGCTTTGGGATACTGAGATACGTAGCCACCAGAAGGTTTTGATTACTGGCCTGTGAAATTCTGCGATCTTATGATCTTAGAGTTGCAATCTTTTAGTGTTATTTCATTGTAAGGGCACTTTCACCTATTTGATGCATTCTATGGTACGAGTAACCTGCTTATAGTATAGTGAGCACCACAGCCACTGGTTGCGAAATTGGTCAGGCATCCCATCCCATCCTAAAACAACTCAAAACTAAAGGATATCTTAAACTTTTGATTACCAGTCCTCAAATCCGAATTTCTTTAATATTCTACCAAGATTCCCTACCATCACAAGTACGTTCAACCTCCATTAATGTTCACGTAAAACTCATTGCCTCCATTCGCGACCCAAGTCTTTTGTTACCCACACGCCCACACTATAAATCTCACTAGTGCCAGATATTTCTCTAACATACCACCCCATGTACAACCCGTATGCCTCGGCCGCAGACGCCCATTCACAGCAGAACAACTTGCAGCATCCTAGGCCTCAGCATGTGGCTCCTGTCAGCTCGTCCAATCAATATTCAAGGTACAATGCTCAGGGCCAGTACCAGCAACAACAATACCTGAACCAATACCAGCCCCAACAGCAATACCAACAACAGCAACAACAACAACAGTACAATTATGAAGGTGGTCAATACCAGGAGAACTACCAACAACCAGCACAACCCCAACCACAGGCACAGCACCGGCAATACCAGCAACAACATCAACAACATGAGCAACATCAGCAACAACACCAACTGAGTCAAGCCGGGCCTTATGCCAACTTTCTTAGTGATCCAGCGGCATCTATGGCGGCTCAGTTTGCCAAAAGCAGTTTTGGTCAGTCCAATCAGTATATCCAACAGAACTTCGGGTCGTACATGCCTCCCGCTGGTGAGTTGAAGTACTACTTCAAAGTGAGCAATTCGTATGTGTGGCGGAAACTTGCGCTAATATTATTTCCTTACCGCCACCTGAATTGGGCACGCATGACTACGGCTGAGACCGCCGGATCCAGTGGCTCTGGAGTGTCGTATGCTCCTCCCAGTGAAGATGTGAATGCTCCAGACTTGTACATTCCTTTGATGTCGTTTATCACATACATTTTGCTCTGGGCGCTTTTCCTGGGGTTGCGTGGAGACTTCCATCCCGAAGTGTTTGGATACTTGGCGTCACAGACGTTGGCATGCCTGTTTTTAGACATTTTGATCTTCAAGGTGGGTCTCTACTTGTTGAACTGCTCCACCCAAAGTCTGTTCTGGGATTTGGTCAGTTTCTCTTCTTACAAATATGTGGCTATTATTGTGTTGTTGTGCTGGAAGACGGCATTTGGCTCTCTGTGGTTAATGTTCTACACGGTGTTTCTACTTGTGGTTGGCAGCTTGTCACTTTTCTTGATGCGGTCGTTGAAGTTCTTGGTGTTGCCCATTGGTGCGACTGATAGTTCTGCCATTACCATTTCCAATAATCAGAGACGTCTTCGCGTGCAGTTTCTCTTCATCTACTCGGTGGTGGTGCAATTTCTTATTGTGTTGTTCATGTCCCGTTAAGTAGATGTAAGTTCAAATTTTCTGACTTTGAATTGACAATATTGGCACTTTTATCCAGTTTGTATTCCCATCGAATTGCTAGGAATTTCTTGAGTTGGATGCAGGAAGGTTGCTTCTACAAGTTTCATGAACTTCTTCAGTAATTGATGCGCGCACGTGACCAAAATCCCATCACACCGCGTCTCCACGCGTACAAGGTCTTACATAGATAATCCACACCATCTCTATATAGCACATCTTCCCCATATTTATGCGCCCGGATGACGGTCGCCACTAACTCAACATTCAAGGGCTCGACCTCGGCCCGCTTCGTGAAAAACAAGCAAACGAAAGTCACCTCCCAGTTCAAAGTTTCCCAACCTATGGACGACAAGACTTCCACCAATCCCATGCTCAATGACTCCATCACTAGGCGTGATTTGGTGGACAAAATCGATGCATTGGACGCTGTCATGGGCTTTGATCGGTTTGACCAGGGTGAAATGGACGGCGCAAAGCCCAGAAAGGGTTGGTTGATCAACATGCATGCTACTACTATCCCATCAGAAGAATATTTGGCGGGATATTCAGGCGTTGACTTCTACTTTTTGGACGAGGAGGGAGGATCCTTCAAATCCACGGTGAAGTACGACCCGTATTTCTTTCTTATTGTGTTTCCCGGCAGAGAAGCCGAGGTGGAGGAGGTTTTAAAGAAGTCTTTGGAACAAGTGAGAGTGAAACTGGTTTCCCGAGAATACAAAGATGACCTTGCACTTCCCAACCACTTGGTAGGGTTGCAACGTTCGCTCATAAGGCTCCTGTTCCATAACGTCTCCGATCTCCTAGGGGCTCGTCGCATATTGACCCCAATTGTAAAGGAAAACCAGAATCGCAGAGATAACAGAGATCTTTTCCAGATAATGAATTTCAACAACTCCACAAGTGTGGGAGGCGGGATGAATGATTACAACATGGACGCAAACTTCACCAAGAATGATACAGTGGCCGATCCATTGACACTCATTGACGATATCAGGGAATATGACGTGCCATACCACGTTAGAGTATCTATTGATCGGAATATTCGTGTGGGTAAATGGTATGATGTGTACGCCAAACATGGCGATATCACTCTCCAAGAAGATACAGAGAAAATTGCATTTGCCGACCCGGTGGTTATGGCGTTTGATATCGAGACCACCAAGGCTCCATTGAAGTTTCCCGATGCCAAGATCGACCAAATCATGATGATTTCTTACATGATTGATGGCGATGGCTATTTAATCACTAACAGAGAGATCATCTCTGAGGACATCGACGACTTCGAGTACACACCCAAGCCAGAATATCCTGGTCAGTTCACTATTTTCAACGAACCAGATGAGAAACATTTGTTGATGAGGTTCTTTGAACATATTCGTGACTGTAGACCCACTGTCATTGCCACCTTTAACGGTGACTTCTTCGATTGGCCCTTTGTCGAGAACAGGACAAACTTTCATGACATGGATATGTTTGAAGAGATTGGTTTTGCCAAAGATAATGAGGGTGAGTATAAATCCAAGTACTGTGTCCATATGGACTGCTTCCGTTGGGTCAAGAGAGACTCTTATTTGCCACAAGGATCTCAAGGTTTGAAAGCAGTCACCACGGCCAAATTAGGCTACAATCCCATCGAGTTGGATCCCGAATTAATGACCCCTTACGCATATGAAAAACCCCAAACATTATCGGAATATTCTGTGTCGGATGCGGTGGCCACGTATTACTTATACTATAAGTATGTTCATCCTTTCATTTTCTCCTTATGCACCATCATTCCATTAAATCCTGACGAGGTGCTAAGAAAGGGAACGGGAACGTTGTGTGAGATGTTGCTAATGGTGCAAGCATACGAGAAGAACATTCTTCTCCCGAACAAGTACACTGACCCTATCGAGAGATTCTATGAGGGCCATTTACTTGAATCAGAAACCTATGTCGGTGGTCATGTTGAATCTCTTGAAGCTGGTGTTTTCAGAAGTGACATTTCCAGTGATTTTAAAATCGACCCAACTGCTATCAATGAGCTCATAAGAGATCTTCGAAACTCTATTAAGTTTTGCATTGAAGTTGAGAGCGGAAAGTCCGTTGAAGATGTCGAGAATTTTGAAGATGTGTACGAAGCAATCAAATCTCAACTTGAAGAATTAAGAGACATCCCTGTCAGAAAAGAGGAGCCATTAATCTATCATGTTGATGTGGCATCCATGTACCCAAATATCATGACTTCCAACAGATTGCAGCCGGACTCCATGAAAACCGAAGAAGACTGCGCTGCGTGTGACTTTAATAGACCAGGCAAGAATTGTGATAGACGTCTTCCTTGGGCCTGGAGAGGAGAGTTTTTTCCTGCTGAGCAGAATGAATACGGTATGGTGAAAAGAACTCTCCAGAACGAATCGTTTCCTGGTGCCAGACCATGGTTGCCTAACCGTACATTCGATGAGCTCCCTTACCCTGAACAAGCACAACTCATCAAGAAGAGATTGTCTGATTATTCGAGAAAGGTTTATAATAGAATCAAGCAAACAAAAACAATAACCAGAGAAGCAATTGTTTGCCAGAGAGAGAATCCATTTTACGTCAACACGGTGAGAAACTTCAGAGACCGTCGTTATGAATTCAAGACTTTGGCGAAAGTGTGGAAGGGAAAAGCTTCTGATTGTAAGGATGCTATTTCCAAAGACGAGGCAAAGAAGATGATTGTGTTGTATGATTCTTTGCAATTAGCGCACAAGGTTATTTTAAACTCTTTTTACGGGTATGTGATGAGAAAGGGTTCACGTTGGTATTCCATGGAAATGGCGGGTATCACTTGTCTTACAGGTGCGACAATCATTCAGATGGCTAGATCCTTGGTCGAAAGAATCGGTCGCCCTTTGGAATTGGATACTGACGGTATTTGGTGTATTTTGCCTAAGTCGTTTCCTGAAAATTTCAATTTGAAGTGCAAAGATGGCAAAAAGATCTTCTTGGAGTATCCTTGTTCTATGTTGAATTATTTGGTTCATCAGAAGTTTACCAACCATCAATATCAAGATTTGGTAGATGCTGATCAGTTCAGATATGAGACAAAATCTGAAAACTCAATCTTTTTCGAAGTCGATGGTCCATACAAAGCTATGATTTTGCCGACATCGAAGGAAGAAGGCAAAGGTTTGAAGAAGAGATATGCTGTGTTCAATAAAGACGGCTCCCTCGCCGAGTTGAAGGGTTTCGAATTGAAGCGAAGAGGAGAATTGCAACTTATCAAGAATTTCCAATCTGATATCTTCAAGCTTTTTCTCGAGGGTGACACTCTTGAGAATTGTTATAAGGCTGTTGCCACTGTTGCAAACAACTGGTTAGATGTGTTGGATACCAAGGGTGGCCACCTTGAAGACGAAGACTTAATTGAACTTATTTGTGAGAACAGGAGTATGAGCAAACCCTTAGCAGAATACGAGGGCCAGAAATCTACCTCCATCACAACAGCTAAAAGATTAGGTGAATTTTTAGGCGAGGAAATGGTGAAGGATGCTGGATTGGCCTGTAAATACATTATCAGTGCACGGCCCCTAGGTAGCCCTGTCACTGAAAGGGCTATTCCTGTTTCTATTTTCTCTTCTGAGAAGAAGGAATTATTTTTGAAGAAGTGGTTGAAGGATCAGTCTATGACTGACTTTGATCCACGTTCAGTGATTGACTGGGAATATTACCATGAGCGTCTCGCATCTGTTGTTCAAAAGATCATTACGATCCCCGCTGCTCTCCAAAACGTGAAGAATCCTGTTCCAAGAATCGCTCACCCCGATTGGTTGCAAAAAAGGATTCGTGCAAGCGAAGATAAATTGCAGCAGAAATCGATTTCAACGTTCTTTCTGTCTTCTACCAAGCAGGACTACCAGACAAAGACGGTGAAAGACATCGAGGATTTTGGAGAAGTCGACGATAATAACATGAAGTCGAAGGTCAGTAAAGTCATTGTCCGTAAAAGAAAGTTGAGAGAGGCTCAAAGGTTGCGGACTGAGGAAGAAGAGAGAGACAACGCAATTCTCAACGGTCCTTGCCCACCAATGACTGAAGATTACGCCGGTTTCCTTCAATTCCAGAAAGCAAAATGGAGATTGCAGGCTAACAATAGACAGAGGAGAAAAAAATTATTTGGTGATAGCTCGGAAGCTTCTCATCGTTCCTCTGTTGGTAACATGATCAGAAAACAAGCTGAGAATGTTGCCGGTTCTGACTGGGAGATCTTAGAATATAAGGTGGACCCGCTCAATGTGGGAGCTCTAAAAGTATTCGTTCTTTCAGGCAAGAAAGTCCACTCCTTCCTATTTCATATCCCCAAGGAAATCTATGCCACGTTTAAGGTTGATTTGTCTAAGAAGAAAACAATTGCTAACTGTGAAATTGAAGAATCGAATGCAATCTTGCCCAATGGACATGATTCCTCTCACTTATACAAGCTCACAATGCCCGAAGCAGTCTACAATGATGAGATCAGCCGCGTTGATGGCTTGTTGAACGACTCAAGAGTCTTGGGTTTGTATGAGACACAAGTTGATTCTATTGATAGGGCGATCATAAATTTGGGAAATACTGTGAGATTCGACGACACTAGAGTTGGTGCCCTCGGTAAATGCATGAAGAACGGTTTCACTACTAAAGATTTGATTCCTGTTGAGAAAGATTCATACTTGAAAAAGTTTGGTCTTGATATCGTTTATCTTTTGCACATTGCCACGAACAACTATGAATTCTTCGGTGTTTTTAACTCTTGGGATCAGAAAGCATCTGTCTTCGTTTTGAAGCCTTCTAGTGGTGCTCAAGAACTTCCAGGCAACCTTCACAAGATTTACCGTGATGTATACCAGGCCAAGAAGGATAAAGTGGCTAAACTCTACAACATCCTTGAGTACCAAGAGGAAATGGAGTTCGAAACCAGCTACTTCAACAATGCATCAAGCATGTACAAGAAGTTGAACTCCACCCTCAGAAAGTTCCATGAAGGAAGAAGCACAAAGGCTTTGCTCACAATTCAATCCCCATACTGCAACCGGGTATTAAATGTCCTTGATGCCGCTTCAAACTTCCCAACTATCAAAATGAGCGTAGGAGAAGTCACTTTACCTGCCATCGGCTGGCAGTCACTAATTCTGAAGAGAATCATGAACCACTATTTCTTGTTGGCATCGTGGCTCAAAAACTTGATTGCATTATCCAACTATGGAAAAATCCCGTTGTGTAATTTGCAAATTGAAAACATGGGGTATATGATTGACATTGACTATGCCAGAAGATTGACGCAAAACAACATAGTGTTATGGTGGTGCAAGTCTCCCTACCCAGATCATGGAGGATTTGAAGACGATAGAATCCAAGATTTTGATAATCTTGACTTTATCACTATTAACAATCCTGAAATTTACGAAACAGCCTGTTTGGAAGTGGAAATTGGTACTTTGACTATTAACACCATCTTGACAGGCTCCCTTATCAATGAAGCAGAGGGAACTGATATGTCAGATGACCCGTTGATTACTGACGAGAACAATGGAACTTCGACATTGGCACTGGACACATTCTCCCCGGCTTCATTGACCATTTTGAGGTCCATGGTCAAGAGTTGGTGGGACGATGCGATGGTCAACAATTCAAATGCTGACTCTATGATGAATACTTTAGTGTCTTGGATACAGAGGAAGGACTCTTTCTTGTATGACTACACTCTCCACAATCATATTCATAACCTTACTTGCAAGTCATTGTTGCAGTTGGTAGGAGAGTTCAAGCGTATGAACGCAAATGTTGTGTTTGCAAACAGGCAAAAGTTGATTATTCAAACCTCCAAGATTTCAGTTGAGAATTCTTATGCATTCGGTCAGTACGTTGTACATGCTACACGCTCAAAGCCTTTGTTCAACTTCCTTGACTTGCGAATCACACGCTACTGGGATCTTTTAGTTTGGATGGACGAATACAACTATGCTGGAAGATGCTGTACCCAGATAACAAATGACGACGTCCAAAGCTTAAACCCTGTGAGCCACTGGCAGATGAAGAAGTTCTTGCCAATAATATTCCAGAACGACTTTGAGGATTGGTTGGTGATCTTTTTGGATGCTTTGACGAAGTACAAGAGCGAGAACTTGTTGGGAGGAACGCAAAAGCAAAACCAAAGAGTTACACAGCTTGCTCACATATTGAAAGGACAGAAGAAACAAGATTCCAAGGAAGAAGACGAGGAAGAGGAATTTGTGAGTGAAGTGATGAATAACTTCAGAAAGCCGCTCCAGAAGAGAATCGAGAAACTTTACCGTCGCCAAAACGAGTCGATTCTTAATCCAGAAATGAAGGAGGAGTATGCATTTCCGCTTCTCCTGGGCTCACATCTCAAAATGAAAAACCCAGTATTGGAGTTAGTGAAGTTCTTGTGTGCTGTTTTTGGGTTGTCCAAAAAGAGAGGTATCGAGGTTCGTATGCTACGGAGAGATCTCTTGGCTGTGATGGATATTAAGGAGTTTAGTCCTGAATCCATATTCGTGAACCCATGTGCATCGTTGAAGTTATCGTCCGTGGTCTGCGACTACTGTAATTTCATTCGTGATATCGAGCTTTGTCATGAAGAAGAGAGGAATATCTGGGCATGCACCAACTGTCATAAATTCTACAATAAGGTTTCATTGGAAGAGGAGCTTATCTCACAGTGCCAGCGACTTGTGACGAAGTATTTGACTCAGGATTACGAGTGCTCAAGATGTCTGCTGATTAAGGCAGATAATATGAGTGAGTTCTGCAAGTGTTCTGGGTCATGGTCGGAGACTGTCCCATTTGCCGAGGTGGAGCACCGGATCGAGACATTCAAGAATGTCTCCCAGAGCTATGGGTTGAAGATGTTGTTAGCCCACATAGAAGAGCATTTTTAGCTCATGTATAATAGATAATTTTAGCATATTTCATTTTACCATATTCCCTCGCAGTATCTCTCGCACCAAATACAAGTACTGCATTACCACCACACATAGTAGAGAAACTTCATGGTCAAATTCCGAGATACCCAATTGGAACTACTCGGTGCATTTGTATCTAAGGACTCGCTCCAGCTGTGTCCCAATGTACTCGTTCAAGGGTTCAAGTCTGTAGGGAAAACTTACACCACACAAAAATACTTGGAGCTGCTCGATGTCAAACATACCATAATAAACTGTGACGTTTGCATTACCCACAAGATCCTTCTACAGCGATGTCTTACTAATATAATAGCAGACAGTGGACACTCCTACGACTTACTTAACTTCATGTACAAAGGGTTGAGAGCAGCACGAACATCAGTACTCTGTGAGAACTTTGCTTACTTTTTGATGCTGTTGGAACAATTCATTGTGGAAACTGGTTATAATGACCATCATGTGTTAGTTTTGGACCGCTTCGATCAATGCTGTGACGCTACCGATGAGCTATTTGCTGAGTTCTTGAAACTCCGAGAGTATTCGCTGATCCGCAATATTTCGGTCATATTCATCACTTCCCATAGTGATCCTCGAGAAATTTCAACACTTTCACTCCCACACATCCATTTTGGACCCTATTCACAGGAAGAATTGACTACAATTCTACAAAATAGTCAACTTGGCCGTTTAGAGAGCGTTTCCGATGAGCGTTCACGATCCTTCTGGTTCCAATTCGCAAAGATCATCGTGGACCTTTTCATCGACTACACGGGATCAGACCTCTCGCTTCTTGGGGATTTGTGTATGAAACTTTGGCCGAAATTCCAGCACGCTGTCGATCTGGGAAGGTTCCAGGCCAACGAATTTATCCAAATCTATAGAGAATTGAAGGAAGATATCTTCAACGACAACGTGATAAGCAACAGTGTTGTGGCCACGTATGCACAGGAAGAAGCCGAAGATGAACTGTCAAGTGCTCTCTCAGATCTCCCCTACCATTCAAAGTTCATTTTATTGGCATCTTATTTGGCATCTTATGTCGAGCCCAAAAATGACCTCCAGGTATTCTCTCGAATCAGCTCCAACAAAAAGAAAAGGGAATCTCGGCCAACAGAACTTATCACAAGACGTCAAATTGACAGCAGGTTGTTGACAGCAGGATTTTTTGACTTGGAGCGCTTGAAGGCCATTTTGTCTGTGATTTATAGGAACGAATCCAAAACTATGTCAACAGAGAACCTGGAGTTTTTCAACCTATACCAGGATCTCACAGAAAGGGAAATCGCCAAAAAAGAAAACGAGCTCGCCACGTTCACTTTGAACTCTAGCGTCGACGTTAATACTCAGTTGTCGACGTTAGTTTCGTTGGGTCTCATCAGTCGAACCTACGCACTGGATATTCTCAGTTCCAAAATCCGGTGGAAATGCAATGTGAACTGGGACATCATCAAGAGCATCTCACAAGAAATCCAGTTTCCTATTAGTAATTATGTCCTATAATCAATGTCGTTGGGAAATTCAGCTTCTGAGATATGTTGGACTTGGTGTTCACCAACTCTTCGAACCTCCACATTGTTCTCAAAGTAGTTGTCCTTCCAGTACTTCATCTCGTAACTGGTGTGTGGTCCATGCCAGACACTCTCCTCGTCTAGCCAACGATACTCCCATTTGGCATCGGCTCCTCGAACTTCTCTTGCCTTTTCCTTCTCTAGTTCATCCTCCCCTGCTTCATCTTCCTCGAGCTGTCGCTTCCGTAGATTTCCACGATAATCTTCACCAGTCTCTCGCTTATACACTCTCATTAGCTCCTCTTTTGTCATATCATAAATCTGCGAGACTCCTTTCTCATTCATGAGACGCTCACAACTCTCTGTTAAGTTGAACACTGTTTGCTTTCTCGCCAAATCTTCAGGCCCAGATACCTTCTTCAGTTTATTCCCCCGTCGAGATTTACATGGCCGGAGCCGTGATAGAGCTTCCATTGGCGTTTCTGCCGGTTCTAGAATATCTAAAACGGCCACAATTAGCGTCTCAGTAGACACTGCAACGGTACTAACGACCTTGTTTTGTCGCCTTAATTGGGCAGCCCTGGCTTTCTCGATATCAATTTTCTTGATGTTTGACATCCAGGCATCCTCATCATTTTCATCGTCGCTTGTCTTTTTCCTGATATAGTTCATGTTTTTATCAAATTCTCCCTCTTCAACCTCTTCTCGCAAATTGAATGCCTCCAAAGCCAATTCCTGTTTGGGACGAGATATATCTTCTCCATTGAAGTCCTCAATATTATTGTGGTAATCTATGAGTTCCTGTTCTTCTTCTGGGTCTGCAAATGGTTGATTTTCCTCTGTGGCTGCAACATTCTGCTCATCGTATTCACCTAGGCCCTGTTCCTGCTCAAACTTGTCCATATCCAAGGTTTTGGACTTCTTCTTCTCATTAACTTCCTCATTGTCACTGGCAAACATGTCATCATCACTGATGTCTTCTTTTTCTTTTTCCTGGTCGCTTTTCAGTAACTCGTCGGACTCATCATCGATCTCTTCATCCAGGTCACCTTGGCCATTATCTTCAGAGTCAGATGCATACCCCAATTGGACAGATTCGCTTCGTGTGTGCTTCTTCCTTTTATTCCCAGGAAGATCCTCAGCGAAGTAATCTTCATTCAGCATTTTATGGAGGTATTTAGTTTCTGATAAGAGTGGTCTACCTCTAAATTGAGACTGCACATCTTCAAGATGACCATTACTTACTCATCATGGATGATTTAACATTAGATGAAGCGTTGGACGTCGAGGAAAATTTCTATGCCGAAGGTTATAGAGACGGTAAGGAACAGTCGGCTAAGGAGCAGTTTTTAGAGGGTAAAGTGTATGGTCTCCAGACTGGCTTTCAACGGTTTCTATTGATTGGATATATTCAAGGACTCATTGAAGAATGGAGGAAAGACGAACGTCCTGGCATATCAAACCATTTAGACCAGCTTGAAAAGTTAGTTACTGAAGTACCGTTGACTAATGGTGATGCAGAGGTTGAAATTTACGAGAAAGCTGTGCTCAAAGCGAGAAACAAGGTGAGAGTTATAGCCACCATCACGAAGACTAGCAATAGGGTGCTGGGTTTGGATAATCTTATTAAGCAGGTTGGGGGATCTCTACAAGTTTCAGAGAACTTGGACGACATGTGGTAAGAGTGTAGGCGACTTTTATTAGTACACTTTAAAAGCTGAAGTCAAAATCTAAAGGCTTATCTGTGGACTCAAGCTGGTAGTTGAGAATCCCGCCTAATGGACAATCGTTGACTCCAATTATGAGTTGCTCGCCGTAGCCGGAGTCTTGTGGACACACGTTGAGTCCAATGCACTTTCCTATGAAGTCAATAGATTGGACCCGAGAATGAACTAGCTCGCAGTCTGTCCTCAAGTCACCGACCTTCATGATTCCAACGTGGTCTAAACTCTCGGCCCACACAAGGTGTCTTCCGTGGTAACTGAACTTACAGTTTCTCACGGGACCTCCACCAATCAGACCATCAATGTCGAATGCGTCAGAACCCAATGCACTGCTCCAGCCAAATATGCTTGCATCGGGCATTCGACGGTCCCAAAGTCTGACCGTTCCATCTTGATTTCCTGAAAGAAGAAGATTCTCGTCTGCTGGTGACCAATCGCAACCAAAGCCATAATCTGAATGTCCTTTGAAAGCGGAAAAGTGGTTAAGCTGTTTTGAGTTGAGCTCTCTTCGGTCAAGAATATAATTGTTGACGTCGTCTGCAGCAACGAAGTATTCATTTGGATTGTGTGGGTTAATTGCAAGGCAGTTGATTGCTAGAGGCAATTGGACTTCTTGGTTTTTTCCGGTCGCCAAATCCACAATCCGGATATTTGCATCATTGGAAGCGATGATAAGCTCCCTGTCGTCTTTACTAATTGAAATGTGGTTTGTAATACCGTCTGTAGAGTCAGTAAGTGAGAATTCGCCCACCATTTGAGGCAAGTCGGGGTCTTCGATATTTTGGAGGATGTAGCCACCCTCAAACGTTCCATTCGCTAGGAACTTGGATGAACATGCACTGGAGGAGATTCTGCTGTTGGAGTTGAACCTCAAGGTTCTCGAATCTAGTACGCAATCTAGCTTCATGGACAGGGAGGAAACTGCCTGGTCGTCTGGCATTAGCCGGATGACTTTGAAAAAGCTGTGATAGTCTTCTACCAGTGAATTGTAGGATTCCTGAGTCACAATCTCGAGGTTGTTGTCGTGATAAAAAGATGTTGGGTAGAACACTCCATTAGCAAGGTTATCGCCACACACCACTAACAGTCGTAGCTGGAAATGTGTGATGTGGTTTTTTAACCTGCTGTAGAAGCTTTTGAACAGGAAGAAATCCGATTTGGTGTGGTAAGATGCAATGTTTAAAGACTGAAGGTAGTTAGTAAAAGTGCCCAAAATGAAGGAAAAGAAACTGGTCAAGGTGACCCGATCAACTTACATTCAACGCTTCAGTGCGAGAATTTAGCACGTTGTTGAACCAAGAAAAGCTCCCGATTCGAGACCGCTCGAGGTAGAACTTTCGGCGTAGACTAGGTGCTAGCCTAACACCCTGGACATTCATATACCCATCTAAGGCAGTGAAGGAGAACGGGAGATTATTTTCTCTCTCCTTGAGCGAGTTAAGAATGCTGAGAATGTCCGTTTTGGAAAGCAACGACTTGTCATCATATAGCAAGTTATATAGAAAAGTCAACGATTCGGACTGGTTGAGTTCGTACTCGTGAGAGGTGATTAGTGTTTCTCCCATGTGAGCATACGCCATCGGCAGCATGTTCGAATCAGCCAATCGGCTTGAAGTCATGGCGACCTGTTCCAGTGTTAATTCCACTGCCATCACTGATGATCTCGGCTATGGATAAGCTATCTTTAGCTCAAATGGGGAATATCAGCACTAGAATGTGGCAGAGTCCACAGTGGGTGGTGGATCCAGAAATATATGATTTATGAAAATAAAAAATTGATATCCTTTCAAAGTGAGTCAGCAACAACGTCGATAATCAGCGGTTCTGACGTCTCCGGTCCTTGGGAGTCTTAGGAAGCAGATGTCTTTTTTTCCCTGGGAAGGACAAATCCTATTTGATATACATTTCGCAGCTATGTCGTAGAGATGTCGTACTCACTTCAAGATAAACTAATACAAAGTAAATTCATGTTATTGGGCTCAATATAGTAGAAGTGAATTTAAAAAGGCAAAGAAATTGTGTCTGAAAATGGAAAAGCTTGGTGTCGTGAGTAGAACGGGGCTCCTCAAAAGTTAACAGTGTACCCCTTCTCCTTCAAAAGTTTAATGTTCTCGGTCCATGTGGCATCAATATTGGCCCTGTTGGTCACCACCTTGGATGGAACTCCAATGGGCCCGCCCTGGTCCAAGTAGGCACCGCTTTTGTCCAGTAAGGTTGGATCCAATGCAGCGCGGAGTGAAGCATACGATCCTTGGTCAGGGGTAATGCCCAACAACGATCCAGTAACTTTAAAGAGTCCAGAGAAAGCGTATCCGAGCACAGGCAAATTCTTCCACCAATTTCCGAGCTCGGTGTCGACGATAAGACCGGGATGGACGGAAAATGCTTCGAACTGAGGATACTCCTCAGCGAGCTTAGTCGTGAACTCGATCTCCGCAGCTTTGGCATTTCCATATCTCACCCATGTGAAGAAAAAGTTCGGGAACTTGTTAATGGTGTCCGAAGGATGGAAATACTTGTGGGCGGTGTTGTGTCCCAAGGACGAAAGACATACCACTCTTGGTTTCTGATCAACAGTGGCCAGTTCCAAAGCAGGCAACAATTCTGATGTGAACAAGAACGGAGCAACAAAATTCACCTGGTATTGGATCTCATATCCGTCGCCGGTCACCTCATAGGGCACAGCCATAATTCCAGCATTGTTGATAAGGATGTGCAACTTGGGCTCTTGAGCCTTGAACTTCTGCGCACAATCCACAACTGACTTCAAGTCCGTACAGTCAAAGTGGATATAAGTCAACGAACCAACAAACCTTTCTCTTTTCTCCTCTTCACTGTAAGCTTCACGACGCTTATGAGCCTCGGCCTCGATGTCCTCAATGGCCTTGGTGACCTTGGATTCGGTTCTTCCTGCAACGTACACTACATACCCATGAAGGTACAAGTGAAGCACGGTATACCAGCCAATTCCCGAGTTGCCACCTGTCACAATGGCCACTCTGCGGTCGACCTTGGGGTTGTAATAAATTGCCAGTTCAGGCTTGTAGAAATTGGAAGTATCAACCATAATGTAGTACGTAAATCCTTGAGAAGAAAAATGAGACGTGGGGTGCGGGGGGGCAAAGGCAATGAACACTACCCGAAGTTCCCGTTCGGGTAATTAAAGCCAACCATAGTTTCCGAGATACACGATTATTCAAGAATTGAAGAAGGGTCTGTTTAGTCGTGACATTGCATAGATTTAGTAAATAGGAGCAGAGAATCACTATATTTAACTTAGCAATTGACTTAGTAAACTCAAGCCTCATAATCCAGCGTTACCATCCCCACCAACTGAACTAGCTCTTCTTCTTATTGCCGGCACCTCCCTTGTTCAAGGATTCAATCAAGAAGTCAAGAATCTTCTTGGTCTCTCTTGGATTGGCGATCCATACCGTACAAGCACTCAACCTGGCCTTGAAATCATTTGCACCCACTGAAGCAAATTGGTCTCCGATGTGTAAACTTTCACTCTTCGTTATGGGGCACACTTCGTCTTCACCATGGAATCGGCATAAATAGCGTTGTAATGCAGCGACTCCGAGTGCCTTATCTCCAATATCTACCCACACATCAGAGCCTCCATTGAATGCACACACCCGAACGTCTGAAGAAGATACCTCGTCGGTGATCGTAATAGGATGGTCAATTTCCGCACCTCCCAAATGGAGTGGTTGGTGTTTCTGGTTCAAAATTTCGTTGAGCTTGTTCAGTAACGACAAGACAATCTCTTCGAGTGTCTCTCGCAGTATTTTGTAATCAGGCACTGGGATAATTCCAAGAGACCGCTCCTTACGGATAATTTTGGTTTTGGCCGAGCTGTCTAAACGCATCTTTTTGCGAAGATAGTCCAAGTGTTGGTACGAAGCTTCCATGATCCGAGCGATTAAGTCCTGATCCCACAGTCTCATCAATGGCAAGTACCAGTCGTCACCTTCGATGAATTCGAGCCCGCGGGCTTCGTAATTGTAGCGGAACAAGTAGTTGGATTCTCCTCCCATAACTAGAAAATTCGACTTCTGTTCGGCCAGTAACATGTTCGTGTTGTTAAGCACTTCAATAAGTCCATGTAATCTCTTGTGATATTCAAAGGCGCCTTGGTGGCCTGGATACCCTGCAGCGGTTACCACTGCAACGAAAAGATTATGTGCTAGCAATTGCACTAAGCACTCCACGATGGGCGACTCGGGAGTTAAGGACTTGCCATCTTCATACAAGGTGACATCTCCATCAAAAGTGATCAACTTGAGTGGCATGTGAGCATTGGAAGTAAGAGCAATTACCTGGGCAGTATTCAAGATGTTTCTAACGTCATTAAACGACGGACTGACGAGACGCCTCCGAGAAATCAGTCGTTTCTTGTCTTCAATGAGAAAGGCTTCTTTCAATGGTAATTTGGTGAAGAATTGCCCCACACTTGGAACCAATTGACGCAATCGGCTGCGTGAAACATGTGACGGATCTTTCACAAGAGAGTCCAAGTAGATTGTGTTGTCAATTAGCTTTTCGACGTCGTGGAATATCTCGAGATATCTGCTTTGACACGCTTTCTCTAATCGTTCCTCATACAATTGAGCATACTTTGGATCTTCTTCGTTGTTCAAGAACCGGCTAAGGTCCTCATCGTAGTTTTCAACATCTGCATGGAGAACGAATGGAACTGCCAAAAGTCCTTTGATCCATTCTATGAATTCGTCTCGTCTGTGAGTTTTGAGAGCATACTCAACTCTATACCGTGAGGTCATATGGATAGTAACAAAGTGGCGAATGTGGTGATTTGCAAAACTAATTTCTCTGACTAAGAGAGTCACTTTTCCTTCTTTTCTTTTTTTCTCTTTTAGTAGCCACGGGTGATTCTTATGAGAAGTGACCAGTGCTAATTTCGGACTACGGTGTGCCCCAATGCAGTATGTTTGCTTATCTTCCACCGAAGAATATTTTCGGCTTCTCTCTATAGCTAAGATTGCTTCCTCACTTCGAAACTGTCAATTTAAACTCTTATCCTATATGCTAATTTACAAACCACCCTGGGCTCTTCTTCTGTCACGCTCCTCAGCAATAGACAACTTGATACCCTTACCCTTTGGCAAGGAAACCCATGGCTTACCAGCCTCAGTACCAACAACGAAAACGTTGGACTGTCTGGTGACGAAGGTGTTGTCCAAAGCGTCCTTGATGTGGACCAAGTCGAAACCACCCTCGTGCTTCTCTCTGTGCACAATGACACCAACTCTACCCAAGTTCTTACCACCAGTGACCATGACCAATCTGCCAGTGTCGAACTTGATAAAGTCGGTAATCTTACCGGTAGCCAAGTCGATCTTGACAGTGTCGTTAGCTCTGACCAATGGGTCTGGGTATCTGATGGTTCTACCGTCGTGGGTGACAGCGTATGGAATACCTCTCTTACCCAAGGCGATCTTCTTGACCTTGCCCAACTTGTAGGCACCCTCCTCAGCGGTGATTCTGTGGACAGTGAATCTACCCTTGATGTCGTACACCAATCTGAAGTTCTCGTTTGTGGCCTCCAAGGTGATGACATCCATGAAACCAGCTGGGAAAGTAGAGTCAGTTCTGACCTTACCGTCAACCTTGACGTGCTCTTGCATCAAGATAGCCTTGACCTCTCTACCGTTCAAAGCATACTTCAATCTGTTTCTCAAGAAAACGATCAAAGGCAAGGACTCTCTCAACTTGTGTGGACCAGCAGATGGTCTTGGAGCGTAGGTACCGGACAATTTGTCCAACATCCAGTGGGATGGGGCTGCCAATCTCTTAAGGTGCTTCTTTCTGTTGGAGTTAGTAACTTGTTTACGAGTTCAGATAAGTCAGACATCAGCAGTGGTGCATAAGTGGAGGATTGAAACCGTGTTTCATCTCGACATGTCGTTAGAACAAGACATTAAAGAGACATTAAAGAGAGGGCCCCGTCATTTCAAAAGGGCTCCAACAAGAGTAACTCCTTACGGAACTTTTCAAAACTTGTTGGCGTCTTCACGAGTTGTCAGTTTGGACAATACCAAAATACGGATCTAACATCCCCGAAAGTCAACCCATTCCCCCACATAGTGCACCACTACTGATTATCATGACAAGGCTCCCATCCGCGCCAATAAATTGACTGGAAATCGACTTAAAGCGTAAACGCCAGCGATATTGTTTAGTTTCTGTCCGATTACAGACGTACTCCTTCTGGTTGCGCCTTTTATCTGACTTCTAAAAAGAAGAACAGGTTAGACATACGGGCCTCTTGCCATTTTTGATAATCAGTTGTAGTTGAGAAGAGAAGAAAAAGTTTGAAAAGTTTTTTTCTTTTCTCATAGGTAGAGTTCACGTGACCAATTAAACATTTTGGTTGGAGCACGTCTTTTTTTCACGTGCGCAGATCTAGGGCTTGAGGTGTGGAGTAGCAATCAGCTACATCATAATGACAGGGGGAATCTACGTGGGGAAAGCTTACGAGGGGAAAAAGATATGCGAGCCCATGTATATTATCCTTATGCAAAAGTGAGGAGGTGAAATAACCTTCCCAGTAAAAGAAAGCATTTCTCCTCACCGAAAGACAGAGTTGCCCAGCAACTGACTTTCGCAGCAGATCAGTAGAAACAGAAATCAGCTTCATCAGTTATAGTGGCAGCTTATTCACAAAATCTTATAAATCAGAGATCAGATCATAGATCATAGATCATGGCGAATCGGTTCGTCATCTGGTCCAAGTTTCAATTTTTCTTGCTTTTCAATGTGTTTGCCTTTCAATCTTCATATATCAAGTTTCAAATATCGAATTAATTGTCCAACAGCCTAAATCACAGTGTTCTTTGGTTCCTCAAACTTGTGCGTGTTGAGTGCAGAGCCTCCGTTTCCTGTAGGCATGTTAGTCTCCATATCCTTGTGGTCGTGGTCAAGCGAGGCATCGTGCTGAAGAGCCAATCTCTCTTTTCTCGACTTAGTAGCAACTTTCTCAACCTCAGCACCAGTCATCACCTTAATCCAGTCCACGTTCAACGAGTAAGGTCCGTATTGTTTGTCGAGCAACCCAATTCCAACGGTCTTTACCTCGGACTTGTTCAACTCGCTACCATCCTGAATTACACCCCAATTGGTCATGACAAAGTCGTTTAATGGAATCACCACCGTCTCCCATTCGCCGGGATGGTGCAAGAACAACCTGTGCTGGAACAAGTCCGTTACCAAAGGAGTGTTTGCCTGAAGGTTAACCAAGTACTTTCTACGGTCACCTTTAACTCTCAACACCAACAGACTGTACTCAGACCAGTCCCAGTAAGAATCTCCAGAGAGCCACGACTCCTTTTGGTCTTTGGTTCTGAACATGGCATAGCCCGATCTCGTGATCTCGGGATTGTTTTTGGGTAAATCCAAGTTTAAGTAACCATGGAATCTTCCGGAGCCAGATTCCTGGTCGATGTCAAAATGAACGGTGGAATATCCACCCATTTCCGAGTCGCATCTCGTCATGATCTTGTCCAAAGATTCTTGTGGATGCTTGCGGAAGTTGACAATGGACTGGACAGCCTTGACCGAGTCAGCGGACTTGGCAAAAATGCGGCTGAAGGTTGAGTTCAAACCAAGAGATCTCAACGACATGATGAAAGAAGAGGGAATAGATGATTATTTGAAGATGCGAATATGTGGGTATAAGTTTCAATCGATAGGTCACGTGGAGTATCAGACAAAATCTCAACAACCTTGACAACTGATATTGATAAGGGACCAGTTCCTGTTAGTATAAAAGGTTTGTACTAGAGATCAGATCTTTAATAAATTTTTTTTGCAATTTGAGAGGAATTATTCAACATTATATATTGGCAGCAAAGTGGGGCAAGACCACCATCATTCACCTATTGCAGTGGGCTAACAGAGGTAGCCAGGGCTATGTACAAGAGCAAGCCACAGTACACAGTCCGGGCTTGCATATCAAAAGAGATTAACCCACATTCCGACATTCTATTCGACAATCTGTCACCTCGGAGTTGGTGTGACCGACCAATTTCATGCAAGAGGGGGCTTATCTACAGGAGACGAGTTCCCCACAGCACCTCCGCATTATCTACGATACTTCCTTGAATGGATAGAATTCATTATAGGGGCAGGGGAGGAGGAGGATGTAAGAAGCTCATCAGAATGATAATGAGGGTGTTGCGTATAGAATAGGCGAACAGAGCACGTTGATTGATACATTGGAAGGCAAAAATATTGCTAACGAGCAAGTAATTCATTTGGTGATCCTTTTCAAGTTCTGGATATTTCTCCATGACTTACACAATATTGATGAAAGAACCCCGACTCCGTCCCCACAGATGCACCTCAATGTGAAAAATTCAAGGAGAACCTACCAAGTAGTAACCACCTACGCAGGAGAATCACAGTTCAAAACCTCAATCAGACAGGATATTAGCTCCACTTACAGGATATGAAGACCTGCTTACAGGATAAGGCCAATTCTACAGGATAATAGTCAACTCTACAGGATTGTGGTGTGGCCTACAGGAGAGTTGCAGAGTTACAGGAAAGTTAGTCACAGGCTTGGTAGTTAATCCTCACACTGTTTTCAATTATACGATGAACCCGAGGAGTTGAAGATAACGGCGTGAATGGTGAAATTAGCTCACTAGGTGAGTTCATGACATGGGCCCATTGTAGCATGGTTAAGATAAACAAAACATCCGGGACCCTGTGAAAAATTCACGGTATTTGCCGGGCTCTACGCCTTGACCCGGGTGGCAAGTGATCTCCCCGGGTTTGCACCGAGTTCACGGAGTCGGAGTAGTTTTTTACGTGAGGGTTTCATAAAGTGCGTCAGATTTTGTGGGGATGGCCGGGCCTAATAATGAGAAATATAATTAAGAAAGGCTTACGGGCAAGGTAGAATCTGTTTAAGGCGCCAAAGTACAAAGCGCAATGGTAAAAAATGGGGAGATACCAAGACATAGGATCCTCGACTAATCATGTAGAAGAATCAATTTGGGTAAGTGTTGTGAAATGCAGAATCATCAATATACCACACCAATGCCAATAATAAAATTCCAATGAAGTCGACTGTTTATGAACTAAATTGTTTTGCGCTTGTCATGTAGGTTTCATGTTATGGTTTTCAGAGTGATATTACATGTCTTGTTTTCCGTCACTCCCAATCTTTTCTCATCTTCTCAATTCTTATCATCTCAATTCTCATCTTCTGGTCTCCTACACCTTCATTTTCTCATTCTCTCATCATCGTTTTCTCTAATCATATTCTAGTACAATATCTATTTTCACCTACTGCACTGGCCAGTAGCCAGGGAATAAATAGTGCATCTTCTCCAACAATTCTTTCTTCACACCATGTGGACTGGTACTCACAGCAAACTTCATGGTGCCCTCCAAATCGCTTCCCAATCCAGACTTTCCTGTGAAAAGTTCGTCTGAAACAACATCAATTAACTTGGCAGCAACCTTGTGTGCATTAGCAGAGTTGGCCTTCAAGTTACCAACAACCGTCTCCACAGTCACTGGCTCCTCACTTTCGTTCCACGAGTCGTAGTCAGTCGACATACAAATCATCTGGTAGGCAATCTCGGCTTCACGAGCCAACTTTGCCTCTGGCAAAACAGACATATTAATCACCGAACCTCCCCAAGTTCTGTAGAGTCTAGACTCTGCACGAGTACTGAACTGAGGGCCCTCCATACAGATCACAGTCAAGTCCTCGCCCTTGTTGGTGTGTTCCTTGGTGTGCAAGATAGGTTTAGCGTCGGTCTCGAAACCCTCCAAGAATCCAGACAGCGGGATGGAGTCCGAGATGATCTTGTTGAGCTTTAAGTCAAAAGGTTCGCCGAACATTGCATGTGCCACGAAGCCACGCTCGAAAAATGTCGACGGACGGATACCCTTGGTACGGTCAATGACCTGGGTGGGCACCACAAAGTCTCTAGGCTTGATTTCTGGCTGCAACGAGCCTACAGCAGAGAAGGCAATGATGGCCCTGACACCAAGCTTCTTCAACGCAGCAATGTTAGCACGAGAAGGCACATCTGAAGGCAACAAGTCGTGATGGAGACCGTGCCTGGCCAAAAAGGCGATTGGATGACCGGACTCCGTGATGGAGACGGTGATCGGGGCCGATGGAAAGCCCCAAGGCGTAGATACTGTAAGTCTAGCCACAGGCTTAAGGTTAGGCAAGTCATAAAGACCAGTGCCGCCGATCACGGCCAATGGAATGGGCTTGTCGAAGGTGTGGGGCAACGAGGCCAACTCAACTTTTTCTCTGTGGACAGACATAAGACGTAGAGGTTTGGGTAAGTTGAATTTGACCATCTATTATATTTTCCATTTTGCGCATCAACGTGCACACTGTGGCTGGGATCCACGTTGGAGACGGGCCTAATTGAAGGGATCATTAGGAAGGCAAAAATGTTTGGGTTTTTGGGGTTGAAGGAATTAGCGTGGTTTTGTTATTATTGTGTTAGTGGTTTAGAAATTTTTATTGTCGTTTTGTGTATAAAATTAATTTTTGGAACCGTTTGTTGTGTATTGAAACCTTTTTTGTAAGTCGGAAGTACAACACATTTTTTTTCGCAATCAACTCCGATTCTGACAAATACACTTTAGGTAAAGAAATAGGAAAAGGAAGAAAACGGGAAAATACAAAAATATCATTTATACCTAAAAGTTATCGTGAATTTTACAAAAGAGCATTTCTCTATGATTTGTGAAACTCCGGGCTGTATAATCACACTTAGACGATCTCTGACTAATACATCAAATATTCTCCACGAAAAAAAACCAAAAAGACTTTGAAAAATCAATCACACCCAAAAATTCACACAAAATTAGATACTATGAACCTTTCTTTTTGTAATTGTCACCCAAAAAGCTCACCAAACAGTCACATCTAATACCTGGGGATGAATCCCGATCCCGGAGTCATGTGACCAGACCCCAACCAAAAAAACCTCATGACTACCACCACCATATCCTCAAACCTATATTCATGTTGTCTCTTGCACTGGCTGCCCGCAGCTTGACGAGACCAAGACCGTCGTCTAGAGCATGGCCCCAAGCCGCTGCATGTATCACCGCCACCAGATTTCTGTCCTCCAAGAAGTCTGATGGCTCAGATGAACCCATCCCTAATAAGCCTACTTTGGCTGCCGCCATCAAAAACAAGAGCGGCGCCAAACTAGAAGGAAGCGTCACTACAGAGAAGAAACCTTCACGTTCACAGAAACCTGTTGAGTCCAAGCCAAAGCCGTCGCTGCTGGGAAAGTTCCTTCCTTTCAATAAACTTCCCAAACCTCCCAGAGAGATCACCGACATGCCGTTGGAGCAGTTCTATGCTAAGGTGTATATGCGAGACCTCCCCGAGCGGCCACAAATCACGCCGTCCAACATTTTTGCCTACAAGTTTGAGATTCCGTCGCAGTTTATACGCGCCAAGAAGCTCGAGAAGGGATCCAAGCCAGAGCAGCCTTCGAGCTCATTTGAGCCCGCCCACAACATTTTGGATATCAAATCCGAATATGATGCCAACAACATGATGCGTTCGCCTGACCATCCGTTGAAGGAGTCCATAACGGGCATGTTTGTGTCCAATCCATTAATGGAAAGCATTGACGACGACTTCCTCTGGGATTTATATCCCAAGGGCAAGTCATTTGGCCACGCGCCATTTGGTGGCGACGCCAGCTTTAACGGTTTTAGAGACTGGGAAAAGGCAGAAAATGCCAAGGTCAAGGAGAAGGAAGCACAGTTTGAAACCAAGTTGAACGAGATGAAAGATTTCAATTCCACGTTGAGCGAATCGAAGTCTTTCTACAGACAAACCCCTATTGCACATGAGAAGAAGGTTGAAACCAAAGAAACGTCAGCGAAAGAGTCATCGAAAGACGAAGTGGAAGCCACAACGAAGAAGGTTGGCGGTAGGCGGAAGTTGGACAGGGGCCTTCTCAAGCAGTATCGTAAGTATAAGAAGGAAGGATGGTTGAGACGGAGAAACTTACGTGATGACGAAGATGACGAATTCTAATAATTATAAGGGGGATCACTTGTTCATAGGTTTTATTTTATTTTACAAAGTCAGCATTCTTAATTGCTAATGTAGCTAATCCGTGATTATAAGCTCCACATCACCGTAGCCAAATTTATGCTTGTTTTCATCGTACACTCTCTGCAACTCTTCGATGTATAGCTTATGGTAGTGGTTGAGAAGATCAGGAGGGATTTGCTTCCGAGCCGGTTTCTTCTTTTTGCTTCCTAAACTCAAGAGTGATGTGATTGAAGACAGCCGTTTGGAGCGCTCCAACGGCTTCTCAGAAGGTTCTTCCTTCTGTTCCAGTAGTAAACCCGAGGGAACATATACTGGCCGGCCAGTCACAATGTTGATGGGAGTTCTGTAAGGAAGCATGCCAAAGTCGTATATGAACACACCTCTGGCGCTGAAGAATGGAATAGTGAATTGAAAGTTCTTCTTGACCCACTGCTGAAAGTAGTGCCCTATGGAGCCAGGTTCTGGCATGGTAAGCTTGTAAATGTCTGCTTCTCCAAAAGCAAAAGTGGGTACCAACGATACATTACCCAACTCCAAGGCAAGCTTAACGAAACCTTTACGGTTCTTCAAAACCAAACGAATTTGCCGTTTTGGCTTTTCTTCCACATGCTCATCTTCCGAATCCGAGTGACCCTGGTAGCCCATGCCGACCTTGATGTCATCGCCCACCATGGCGTTCAACAAGGACTCCTGCGCACCACCCACCACAATACATACGGAATTGTCGCCATTGTTGATGATACTTTTAATGTTCTTTGCACCTGCGCTCGTCAAGCCAAGACTCAACAAGTAGTCCCGGAAGAACGGAATGGTGAACTGTGTTGTCAATGTCAACGGGAAGATGTAACCTATTCCCGGAAAAAGACGCTTGCCCTTGGAAGGATCATGAAATAGCTTTTTTAACATTCTTAATGGGGGCCGAAATGGTTCGTTTCGAAGGGCATTGGTGCCAAAGAGGCCCATGACTCCCATGGAAATAACTCCATGTGGATGATAGCCAAAGATATAACGAGGACCCGTTGATACTTTGCGGTACGTGTGGGTCATGTCTTTCGAAGACTTATCATCTTCATTATCTGAACCTGTAGCAGGAGGGGACGAGCGATCCGAGTCGTTGATTCGCTTCAGCAATCCCAACCACTTGAAAATGCTATCCAACGTAGTACGTGAGTATTCGGAGACTAGATCGTCCTCATCATCGGGTACAGATTCCGATTCCACCAACTCATAAGTGAATGTAGGCTCCAAGTCGCACAGCTTGTACACTTTGATTGGGAAGTAATCAACGAACCACTCCCACAAGATCAAATTCTTCATCCATCCTCGCACACGGTAGACCACCTTGCCGTTGGTGGGAGTGTGGAGATCCACGCCGTAAAACCATACAAAGTACGGCAAAATTATGGACACCCAAGACACCGACCCCAAGTACACCACTAAGAGGAACAAGATGCAGAAGGATGGGATAGATACTGTGTGCCAGATGACTGCCAATGTCTGTAGACGGCGGTGGAGCGGAGTGTTCAACGGAGCAACATTGAGCCGTGATCGTTTACGGGGCTTCTTCACCTTCTTTTGTTTGTCAACCTCAACAGTGTCAGTTTCGGTGGAAGCAACCCGATCACCAGATTCTCGAGCAACTTGAGAGAGTGTGTCGTTCTTTTGAGTGCCATTGATTGTATTGTCACTTTGTTTGGCATTCTGAAGATCACTAGCATTCACGCTGTGTGCCAATCGATGCTTCAATGTGGAGCTGTCTGAATGAGTAACACCCGTAGACATGGCAGAAGTGAGCAGCGGGAGAAAGACGGAGAAAAACTGCCGTGGAGGTGAAGGTTCTGCGTCAAGGGTAAGTTCAGAAGGAGAGCCAAAACTAGACTTGAGCAAACTGGTCCCCACTGGCTCAGCGACTTTAGCTCTTCTCCCCACTGTATTACTGTATGTGGAAACCCCTCTAGTTTGGGCCAGGGCTTATGGACATTGCTCTAGTATGGAGGACTGGAACGACAAATGGAAATTCCACTCCACAGGAATATCACCAGGAATAGCACAAAGAAAAGTATATAGTGCGAGAAAAACCAGAGGTGTCAAGGCAGAAAAGGTCCAAAATAGAAACAGGAAACTTATAGACTAAAGAGAAAGATTTTGGTCCAATTCAGTGTATCTCAGAATTTTCCTCATGAAGCGACTGCTAGACCCCACCTCACAGAAGACTCACTATGTGATTGCGAAACGCCAGAAACGCAACTTCGACAAAGAATCGGTGTTCTGCAAGCTACCGGGAGAATCTGCTGAACATTTAGAACATCGGTATGCTCTTTATACGAAAGTGTGGGCCCACCAACTTGGAGCCATTCGAGCCATCTTAAATTCTGCCAATAATGACTTATTTGCTAGGCTCCTCCAGTGCATCAAGGACCCATTGACAGAGCAGTTGGGAGTGGTGTATTTGGCGCTCAGTTCCAATACTGCTAACAACTTGCGGGTGCTTGATGACTTTTCTGAGTATGCCGCTGGCCGTGGAGAAGGAATGACTATCCGATTGGTTCGTCTCAACTCGAAAGAGTGTTTCAATGTCAAAGCTGCGGTGCGAGAGGTGGTTAAGCAAGTGGTCCATGGACATACAAGACGCGAGAAGATGGATGAGATCAAGGAAGAAGACATAGATGGAGATGGAGAAGGAGAAGGAGATGGAGATGAAGAGGATGAGGAAAACGAGGACAATGATGAAAACGACATTGCCAATGGGGATCATGGTGGCCGTATCTCGTACGATTTTGGCATTGTTGAGGAATGGGCAAGCAGCTTGACCTCAGAATCTCATCCTGTTAGAATTGTGGTGATGCTCGAAGACACAAATGCCTTTTCCAACGAGATTCTTAACCAATTGCTCCAACTATTCAGTGTTTATGCTACAAGATCTCCATTGAAGGTGGTAATGGGGCTCAGCTCCAAGAATGTCAGTGATTGGATCAATAGCAACATTACAAGCAAGCTTAGAACCTTGATATCTGGGTGCAAGTTGGTGGCCAAGGATAATAAGGACATCGGATTCCAGGTGGTGGATGATATCTTGCTTCAGAACGAAATCACTTCGGAGAATCCACTCTTGTTAGATGCTCAACTCTCACTGATTGTGTTGGGCCGCTTTGAGAACTCCAACAATTCCATTGACAGCTTGATTACCGAATTAAAGCTCGCCTACATGACCCATTTCTACCAGCTGCCTCTCTCAGCCTTGGTAGATCCCCATTTTGTTCCAGTCCATTCCCACTACGATGCATTGAGGAAGTTGTCCTCATTCAAGACTCATATGGAGTACTTATTGCATACTTTCAAGGGAATGAAGAAAGAAAGCGCTGAATGGACAGAGGCTCTCCAAACGATGAAGTCGTTGTTGAGCAGCGACGAAGAACTTGGAGTCCTTTTCAACAATGCCAAACTGACGTTCCAGAATTACCAAAATTCTGTCATGAATGCCGTTAACTTGATTTACTTCTTAAGTGGAGGTGAGAAGCACAGGTTCCAGATCTATAAGCTTGTGACTAATAACCAGCTTATCAACTCGGTTTACTTGAGAGATGTCCTTAAAAGAGTCCAGACTTACGATTCGGCCAGAATCGCAACGGTAGTTGACTTCATCAACAGTGAGGTAATCAAGACACGAATAGGCGGAATTACAGACAAGTATATTATTTCGCTCCAGGAAAAATTGCAAGGGGCCAATCTTACCATCAACAAAAGTATCATCGACCATATCACAGAGTACTTGCACTCTAACAAAAACTTGAATATGAAGATCAGTGACAATTTGTTCAATGAGGTATTGACCATTAATGGTGGAATCAGTGAGTTGGACGAATTACGATCTTCTGTAAATCTTGAGGAAAATTATCATAATTTGATGATTCACATTATCCGGCCCAAACTGCGAGAGATTATTGAGGCAGGCTTAGATGAGCCTAGGAAGTATTTGCGAAATCCCCTATTATTGGAGAACGTCAAAGGTACAACTTCAAAGCTCACAGGGCCCCTCTTGAGCAGATTGTACCACGTTTATAAAGATGCACCTGTGAACATCAATATGTGGGATTTCTACGTGGCTTTCAAGCTGTCTTTACAAAGAGAAGGGGTGATTAAGGAGATTAAGAAGGCATTAGAGCTTGAGAAGTTCGACACTGAAGTGAAAAAGGAGTACCAACAGTTGGTGCAAGCTGCAGAGAAAGATGAGAAGGAATGGGACAAAGTGGTGTATTCATGGTTTTTGCAGAGTTGCTTTGAGTTGTCCAACATGGGCTTCATGAGAGAGAAATCAAAGGGGGACTACGTGGAGAAAATGATTTGGAAGAACTTGTAAACGTAACTTATTAACGATAGAATAATAATACAACACCAGACATTGCAAAACTTGTTGATGAATATACTATAAGCAAAACATGGAGGAATGTTAAATTCATGCGTCGAGATCGAAACCGGGATTTTCGTCCTCCAACTTTGCATCTTCATCAGCATTAACTTCAGATTCCTCGTTTTCCTCTGCCTTGTTTTCTTGAGCTTCCTCATTTCCTTTGTTCTCTTCATCAGACACCTCAGAGTTAGGCTTTTCCTTCCCGCCTTTGGCCTCAGGGTCCTTGACAACGTCATCTGTGTTTTCCTTATCTCCAGAGTCGGTTTCCTCCAAGGAAACTTTAAAATCAGAATCAGGTTTTTGTTTAGACTTGTCCTTAGATTTCTCTTTCTCTTCAGATTCGTCTTTAGATTCTTCAGTGGACTTTTCTTTAGATTCTTCTGTGGAGTCTTCTTTAGATTCTTCGGTGGATTCCTCCTTCGATTCTCCAGTGGTGTCTTCTTTGGATTCTTCTTGGGATTCCTCGTTCGATTCCCCTTTGGATTCTTCTTGGGATTCACCAAGCTCTCCGTTAGAATCTTCATTAGAATTTTCGTTAGACTCATCCTTAGAGTCACCTGGAAGACCATCCCATTCATTCTCTGCATTGGCATAATCTGCGACACCATCTCCCAGATCCTCCACATCGGCGTCTGAATCATCTTCAGCCGAGGTTCCAGAGAAGAGATCCAGGAACGAGTTGGTCACGCTACCACTGGCACCCTTAACAGACTGGTAATAGTCGTTCACCTTATCAGGAAGAGCACTCACGTTGACGTATTCATGAGCTGAGATGGAGGTAATGATGAGCAAAGACACAAACACAGTGACTACAAGAAGCACCATATAGCGCTGGGAGCGGAAAAGGCGAGCCGCTATGGCAGTAGAACTGGCAGCCATAGTTTTTAAGTGGTAAATATCCATTGAGATTCCAAGGACGAGACTGGAATCGCCGCACGTGACCTGGCCGAAGTGAAATGTAGGATTTACACAAGATTATTGGAGGATTGATTCGACATCTGATCCAAGACTACCTAGCGATTGTATGCAGAAAATAGAAAGACTATAGAATGTAAGGCTGACATTTTCAATGGAAGTATTCTCACTGTGAAGGAGAGAGAGTGTCCAAACGTACTAGGTGGAGTAAAGATCTGGGATGAAGCCTCAATTTAAGCGCGGTGGCTTATCCTGTAGCTAAGCATGGAGATATCGTTGGTAGGGGAAATTGAGAACAAAATTCAGACTGAGATGGTGAAGCCGAAAAAATGGGGAGAGAAAACAGACATAGAAAGTTAAAGACCGGAAATGGGAAGATTTAATGCAAGACTGAAAAATTTGTTACAATAAATTGCAAAATTACAAACTATCGCAAAATTTGTAAATGAGAGCGCAAATTAGATGAGCATTTAGTAAGAATACTCGACCGCGCGATATAAACAGGAAGTTCCCGCAAAATTCTGAGACACACTTGACATTAGTGCCAAAAAATACGGGAAAGTGTCACTGTCGCTTCGACAGACGGCAGACAATGTCACCCGGGGCAGAGGGGTTGAACCCATTTCCAGATTAAAGTTTCGTCCCGACAACACAACAAAATCTCTGAAGTATTTACTCGTAGCAGCCAAGGTCATCAGCCATAGTGAAGGTAGCAGTCATCACTAGTTATTAAGGTCATTGGCGATAATGTGGGTGACCAGAATGATACAGGAGAGAGAGTGGAGACACAGGAGAGACAGGTAGAAAATAATCCGAGAAGGGAAAACCAGAAAAGGAGAGAGAAGATATGGCAAGTACAAGCCGATACGACTAGACAGGCGGAAGAAAATCAGAAACTAAATGAGACATAGACATGACAAAGAACTCGACATCATGAAACGATCACTAAACTTCGCAGATATTGTTTGCAAAACAATCTTCATCTCACATAGCCAAAGTCCACTTTGAGAGTTAAAAAAGATGCATGAACTCACATGCCTTACTCGTCTGAATACGGACCGTTGAACTGACCATATATGGTGCCAACCCTCGGAATGTGGGCCTGGAGTTAGTTGAACGGCTCCGGCTGTCAGTATATCCGAACCACGCCAACAAGCACCTAATGGAATAAAAAGTAAAAGAAAGACGATTCATTACCAAATAAACCTATTAGTCTATACACTTATTTTTCTTTTCGTAGATTCTTTTTTTCTTTAAAATATCTAATTCGAATATTTAAATACCTTCAATCCGTCGATCACTTCGCTTGGGTTTTAATTATGAGGCCCTGGAATGCCCTCATCCACGTGACCAGAATCCACATCATGCACCACCCCAACTCTCCAGAATCAGCCCACTTTACCCTTTATATACAAAAAAACTGCTGGTGGTCCGTGGTTTTCCGCCATTTTCAATAAAAGTCATCTATACTTAACAATCACCACCGTTTTTTTTCCACCTCCATCTTTCAAACTTCCCGCTGGATTACTGCCTTCCGTGGATTCCTCGACTCTCAGAGGCACATTTTCCTGCCCCGATTTTAGCAAGTTATTACCCCCCAAAATGGAGGACTACTCTAACCAGGTGTTGGACTTTGATGACGCCAGCAACTTTTTGTCTATGCTCCTGTCGACGGTTCCCTCGCTCGACAGAGACAAATGGGAGGTACCGGCACCCGAAGGTCTGCTGTCTGACGCTCACAAACTGTTATTTGACAACTTTGATCAGTTATCTGCCGAGTTCATGGCCCGCTCCGCTACTGACATGGCCAACGACTTGGCCTCCGACTTGATGAACCCACAGCAACAGCAGTTCCAACTGTATGCCCAAGACTTTGCTCCACGTATGCTGTCCTTGAGCCTGGAGTCCTACTCTGACCTGATTGGTTCTCACTTTGGCGTGTCCACCAACGGTACCCCCAACACATCCGTGTCACTGCCGCACGTACTGCCTGCGGCTAATATCAAGAAGGAGCTTGCTCTGCCTTACTATCCGGACTTATTTTCGACTGCTGCGCTCGCAAATGCTTCCAGTGCCGAACTGGAGATTGAGTCAGCCGATACCGCGGAGCCAGTGGAACAAGACGTTTTGTCTCCAAAGCTGAAAGTACTCACCAAAGCAAAGGTGACAAAGCCTACAAAGAAGACAAACGTATCGCACAACATGATTGAGAAGAAGTACAGAACTAACATCAACTCCAAGATCTTGGAGCTCCGTGACGCGGTGCCAACTTTACGAATTGCTACCGGCAAGACAAACGTGCTGGTGGCCGACTTAGAGGGTTTGCTGCCTGCTTCAAAACTCAACAAGGCTTCGGTTTTGACTAAAGCTACAGAATACATCAAGCACTTGGAGCGCAAGAATGAGGTTATGCTCCAACAGATCACCCGCTTGCAGAGCCTCATCCAGGATGCAAACATGAACCCTGCGCCTCAGATGCGGGCTCTTCCTCCCCAATCTAACGACAATAGCGGTTTTGCTTTGAACTCACAGACTTTCGATGGTTCCAATGACTTCATGTTCACCAGCATGCCAATGTCTAACCGCCCATCGCAGCTGAACAACATGAATACAAACATGATGTTGGGAGGCATTGCTTCCGTCATGGGTAGTACATTGATGTCGAACGACAACTTTAGAGGCTTGGCTGCAATGCCATTCGTTCCCTCTGTGCTTTCCAACCCATCTCCACTTACCTTCCAGCTCTTGAGCGTGATCAGATCTGCTGTATTTATGGCTGGTGTGGCTATGATCATGACTCCATTCATTCGTCTGTTGCGAAGATCTGAGAAGGAGTCTGCGGACAATGGCTTGGTTACTTTTGCAATGGTAACTATAGGCTTGCGCATGCCTGCTCCCCTTTCACCCAAAGATAAGGTCGCTTTGCTTGAGCATTTGTTAAACAAACAACCATGTTCAACTCTTGATTTGATCTCGCACTTCACCACTTTGAGTGCAAGCGAGGTCAACTTTGAGAATAATTTCTTGTACGTACTCGTGGGCGCTTTGCTTGTGAAGAGAGCTCCTCTTTTTGCCAGAGCTTTCAAGCTCAATATGAGATGGAGATCTGCATTGTTGTTGAACCTCGATTACTCTGGTGATGATTCCAACTTGAAGAAGCTTAGTATGTTGATCAAGACGTTAGACGGCTTGTCCATGTTTGATTCAGACCGCATGATCTCTCGTCTCAATAACTTGGCCTCCAACAAGCCAATCAATGACAATATCAACAATGGCGAAAACTACCTCAACTACGTGGAATTGTATTTGAGAGATAAGAACGACTTATACGCCATCATCTTCAAGTGGAGAGTGTTGGAGATTATTCATGAGTTGAATGTTACATATTTGAGTGTTTTTGCGGAAGATGCTGACAAGAAAGCTGAGACAATTTCTGAATTAAAAGACGATATCAGGAAGATTGATGACTTATTACTGGGTAACGAGGGTCTCTTGGTTCAGTATTTCATGCTGTTCAAGTGCGTTTTGTTCCCGGAGTCGACTCCTGAATTGATGAAGTACATGAAATGTGAAATTGTCAATAACTTGGCCAAGGTTTCTGCCATTGTTGATGGTGCTAACTTGACCGACGACGAAGAAATAAGTGACGATGAAAGCTATGCTAGTTGCGGCGAGTCTGATGGAACAACTGCTCTTTCCCTTGAGAGTGCTTCCACAACAAAGGATCCTATTGAGACTTTAGTGAACCAAAAGTCCTTGGTGTACTCGTTGAACTTGGTGAACGAAGAAAAATTCATTGTGTTGACATCGTCATTAATTGCATACTATTCAGAGAACAAGAACAATGCCAAATCTCTCGATTTGCTACGTTACTTGAAGTTCAAGACAGGTAAGGTGCCCTTATCATTGCTCTCTTTCACTTGTTTGGTCAAGCTTTTGTGCATCTTGGTTAAGCCAGCTGACGAGGAGGAGGAAAAAGAAGAAGAGGAGACCCTAACTTGTTTAGTGGATTCGTCTACTTCTGTTGTGTTGGAGTCGTTAGTGAAATTGACAAGAGGATGGCTCAACGACCACCGCAAGAAAAATTTCATGACTAACCGTCTTCGGGGCGAGCTTTCGGATTTAGTGATGTCAAAAGGTATGGCATTGAACGAAATATAACCTCGGTGACCAGTGGATGGAATTATAGAAGTCGGGATTAGAATCAGATTTACAGGGGATCAACGGGTATCAAGGTAGCGCGCAAAACGGTTGCAAAAAATTGCAAGGTGAAGAAGTCGAGAGGGTCCAGTTATGGGCAGTACAATGCGATCGCGAGCCGGAGATTGAGTTTCGATTGTTTATTTATTAAGTGTAAAGTAGTATGCGTTAAGTTGCCCAATAAGAAAGTTTTTCGAGATAGTTTAATAATGTAACATAGAGTATTTGGAATCCAATTGTTCGTTAACACTAACCATTGCATAAATGACTACTATCCTGCACTCAGAATATTGAATAGGTATTATAAACAATTTGCACCAGTTCCCTGGATCACCGTATTTGAAGGAGTCAGTCGAAGATGTCTCAACAGGGTAACCGAGGCAGATAGGATTTCCGGAGATAAAGTTTTGTCGAGTTTTGTGTCCTGCCGATGATCTTCCCACTATCGTAACATGCAAATGAACAATATAGCGCAGGGCCCTTCTTGTGTAGTGGGTTGGGCATCTTAACCTTGGAATGCGCCAATTTCAACACAATTCTTATGTTCCCAACGGTCCGAGATCCGGGAGGTATCGGGAAATTTTACTTTGTGCAGTAAATGTAATTACGTAGCCGGGAGAGAAACCAGCCAAACATTTGAAAGTTTTGTGCCTGAAAGCACGAAGGATGATTACAAGATTAGAGGCGGGTTCCGACAGTTAAAAGTAGCCGACGAGCTTGAGTAGTGGAGAAGGCGAAACTTCATGCGCTCTAAATGGAAGGCGTATACAGGAATCGAAACCAGTCAAAAGAACACGACATGGGTTTAACCAAGGTTATAGACAGTATAAATCAGAGCAATTGTTTATCACCAGGCACAGGATGGAATATAGACACACATCTCATTAACAACAGTATCATGCTACAGGACAAAGCAACGGGTTTATGAACAGATAGACAAAGATATCTCGCTGTGTGCATAGATCTGCCTCAATCCGATTATAACAATTCTATGTTGTGGGATCAAACAGGAATACCATGGCCTGTTTCGTAGATTGCTACGAGAAGGCAGGGGGAACAGAGGAAAGGGAGGAAAATTAGTCTTTCGCCAACAGAAGAATACGTAAGTGATAAACACCATGTAAGTTGGGACATATTTTTGAAAGGCATCAACAAGTAATACAATTGTAAAATTTGGAGCCTAGATCAATTATCAGGGATGCATGGTGAAATGAAAAACCAACCATGACATTTGTGTCAAAGTGGAAGGATGTATAGCACCAACAAATTACCATGGTGGCTTGGTAATTGGCAGGTAATACATTGGGAAGAATGCAGAATGCACCATGAGGTATTTCTTGCATGAAAGAAAATCTGAGGGTAGCTTCAGCACTGTGGGGAGGAACGTTCTTCGGGATGAAATGGTTGCCCAGTTTGGATTGATTTGGCCGAGAATTTTCGGGGAGCTAGTAGCAAGCGATTCTTTTTTCAGTTTCATTTCGGGGAGGTGAAGCCAGGCGGTGGCCACTTTTTTTCAAGGTGAAAGGAGCAACTGCGCATGACCACGCAGACGCATGCGCAGTGCAATGCATACGCATGTAAGAATATCCGCCCAGGCAAAACTCTCACAAGGTGCATGAAGGTCCGATTATCTGAAGTGGTGAACACTAAATTTACATGGAGTCTCCCACATCCCTTGTCGTCGTCCGGAAATAACTTTGTTAGTGGTCTACTTGCTCCGGTCCGACATTGCGATGGTCGATGGCATGGCCGCAAATCTCTTCCTCCGTTATCCATGCCAACGAATTTTGAAATTTTAAATTATCACAACTCACACATCCGTACCTGGTCGCAATTTGCAATACGTAAATGCCAGGTGAACATGATGTCAGCATGGATTAGAGAAGTTACCGAGCCGAACGGCGCACTCAAAAAAAAAAAAAAAGAATTACTTTTCAACATTCACGTAATTGCTGCGAATCACATTACATACAAACACTCCCCACAAAAAAAGATAAGACCATCCAACCTATGTTAACCGTGAAGTAGATAAAAAATTCCGCAATGTGGGAAGGTTTCCTATCTGAGATAGGCAGACCATAAATTCCGGTTTGTGGTGCATGGCTAGAGGCACCATAAGGGATAGGAAGATCACTTTACAGGAACAAGTTGTAAATCAGTAAATGGTGTCACCGAGGCCGTCCGGCTATGTCCAAGCAAATCGACAACAGCCACAACAACGACAATATCATTACTGGTTAGTAGCGAGCCCAGACTGGACCCCCGCGTCCCCAAAGCCGTTTTTATTGGAACAATAGAATATCGCAGGAATCCAACATCATTAAAGCTAAACCATTTGATGATCCTGGATAGCATTGGTTGCGGTAGGGAACAATGCACGAGTGGAGGAGAAGAATGGGGGATTCACCATAATAGAAAGACGCATACGCAAGAGTCGCTTTTTAATCCAACTGCCCACGACGCATTGACACAATTGTGCTTGCGCATACACAAACTCACCCTCGCCAGGATGGTAAGCATGGCGCCAGACAGCGATCTAGTAGTTAAGGCTTCGAACGACAAGGAGCAGCGGCGCGGCTCGGGGAAGTTTTAGCCGATAGCGCCTGTTCAAAGAAGACTAGCAAAGTGGATTTTCGCTCTCTTCTGTAGTGTCCTTTTCATGTTTTGATCTGAAATGGGAAAGTTGGTCAAACTTTAAATTGACAAGAACCCTTTGAATATTTTCTTTTTCTACATTTCTTTATCCAAATATTTCCCATCTTCTGCATTGCATTCTGTCTTGGGCATTCCGTTCTACTAATTTCTTTGCTGACGTTAGTGCAAAACAATCTTGCTTCAGCAACTTGTTTCTTCTACTGACATTTCACTCTCCTTCTAGTGACTTTTCCACTGACGCTTTCACTCCATTTTTCCCATCTACTTAACTTCATTGTCATTTATGTCTTGTTGTGGTGATGACCGACTTGTCCAATACAGACACCGATAATGGCGACAAGGACGAGAGTCTAGCTTCTCAAAAGTCCCACCAATACCACCGCCATCGAACATCCCCGCCTAGTGAAGCTTTCCACACCTCCTCCACCGACGAGAACCGCCATTACACGCTTCTGGACTACTACGACTTGACTCTACCGCTAATCAGCGGCAAGTCATTACAGTCTCTGAATGTGCACTCGTTTCTTAGAACATTGGTGGATTTCTCACTCTCACATTCGCTCCAACTCCGAGCACTTCAAAAACGAGAGATCAAATTTGGTGATTTGTCATATCAGCAGATTGGCACCTTCAGGATATTGGTGGTCAATTCCACCTTTCCAAAAACTACCCAGGCCCAGTATAGTGCTTGTGTCCGTCACAAGTTGGTAGAGCTCTGTCCTCAGTTTATTTTGGCTATGTACTTGTTTGCACGGTTCCACATCGAAGACACTTTTGGCGAGTTGGACTTGACAGAAGATTCTACAAACGATTCGCAGCTACTCGAGTACAAGTTGCTCAATGGTGGTAAAAAGCTTCGCCCGCTCTCATATTCTCAACAGTACAAAGCTTCCACCAAGATCCTCAAATTCACCGACGACTTCAAGTCTGTCAATCTTGGAAAGATCTTGACGTCTCAAATTAACAACGATCCTAAGCTCGGTTCAATCCACACCTCCAACTCCATGTTCAAGCCGTTGGCTAACTCTGTTGATGGTATTCTGATTGAGGTGCTCTGCCAACTTGCGGGCTTTGACTCGTCGCTGAAATATCATGTGGAGCGAGCCCAGAAAGATCCACCAGAATCTGTTTTCCAGAAGATCTTCCCGTTTTTAAACGATAGAAAACTTGACACTCCAGGTCCAGAAAACATCTTCTTCAAGGTTTTGGATGGTCTTCGTCGTTCGCTCGTGCAAGATATGGTGGAGATTTACAAGAAGTTTCCAGACAATTTACTCTGCGACCATCCCATCTTCAATCTGGAGGAGTTTTTCAAGTTTGCCGGTGTAGCAGCCGTGCACAAGCAGAGAGCTCCTAAAAGATCTTTCCTGGACGACGAGCAACCATCCCTGCCAGAGGAAGAGTCATTTGGCCCGGACGAAGATGACGAGAGACTGAATCAGGACGAAGACAACGAGGATAACAACGAGGATATCGGCGACAGCGACAGCATGGCCATCGAGATGAAAAGAAAGTCTACAAGGGCAAAAAAACAAAACAAAAGACTTAGAAGCTTAGAGTCAGCAGTTGAGCTGATCCAAACACAGCAAAAAGAACTCGTCAAGGACGTCCGCAACTTTATTGACATACAAGCAGCACAGCTCGCTATGCAAGGACGCAGCCTTAGCGACTTAATCAACTCGACAAATGGACTCAGCATTCTCTTGACGGCACAAAGTGCCAACCGAAACAACTACGCAAGACAGGTGCTTGATGAAAACGTTTATGGTATGGAGGTAATCCGGGCCCAGATCACTGACCAACGCAATGAGCTACTCAAGTCCAAGCAAACATGGAAACTCGACAAAGAGCGGGGAACCTTAAACAATGCCCCACGATCGGCACCCATGCTTCTGGCCACAGCTACCACCATAGCCGAGGTTTGGGAGGACTACAAAAATTGGGAACGAGCTTTGTACGATAAAGGACTTAACAAGGGGGAGTGGGTGAGGGGCCAAACACCTGCCATAATACAACTTCAGGAGACAAGGAGCATTGTGGTTAATTTTATTGAGAAGCAAGCCGGTTTCCGCCAACTTCCAGTCAGTATTGTGATTGAGAAATTGCAAAGATTGATGAGAAAGCACCAACTTCCCCCAAGCATTGCTGAGTTGAGCAAGCAGATCTCTGACGGCTTCACAATTGATTTAGAATAGCATTTCTAATATGGAGTTTAGCTTCAAGTAATAGTAATCTCTTCATTTGCGCAAATCCCTCTCTTCCACCCTCTCATCACCGTACTTTGTATTGGAGACCATAAATGTAGATGGACGACATGTTCCAAGCTTTCTGCAAACAATTAGATTTTCAAGCAAGGTGATGACGTTTTCAGGGTGCTTGAGATGCTGTTGTAGAAAGTTCTAAGCCTTTTGTCTGATCAGGGGCAATTTTTGACCAAAATGGGACTTCTGGCCATTTGCTCAAATACTTGGCTAAGTTGGACAATCAATCGTGGAAGAGCGGGAACCGAAATGATTACAGAATGAAATATAAGACGCCTCGGTCAGTGATAATACTGAAGTTTCTTCAAAAAGTATTGAACAGGGATGACGATGGAGGGCAAATTAAAATCACCCAGTCTCATGAGGACTAGTTGGAAGTAGTCAGTGAATAATCGGCTCCGGGAGCATCCTCCTTAGACTTCCGGAAACCACAATACTCACAACCAACACAATTACAGAGCGGAAGTTTATCGAAATCAAATAACCGACAATGCCTAAAGATTGCAGACAAACATGGTGGAGACAAAGAGAACTGGTAAGTTATGGAAATGAGAGCAAAAATTCAAAGTGGTGAGAGAGGGCCACCCACAATAAAACAGAACAAAAAAATTAATGCTTTCGAAGAGCAATTCAGAAATAATTGAACAAGTCATGAGGAGATTAAATCGAAACCATATTACTGGTCAGGTGTCGATAAAGCGGAATTCTTGAAGATTCCGAACATCACCATACTTATGAAGTCATTGAATTCCACATCTACAGAAAATACCACCCGTGACCAGGCATGGCTACCATTGTATTATAAACAACATCCAATCTATTGCTAATCTCAGGCTAATCCATGGAAAACACCTGACTTGGAGAAAAAAATACCTGATGCATCAAGTTAATTTACAGGGCTTTTGGTCAAATCAATGTCAGGTTGTTGGAAGCGCAAGAAATAAAAAAAAAAACAAAAAAAATATTACTATTAGTGCCCTTACTTTTCATTCTCTGGCTGTTCAAATCCCTACTAACTGCCATGTCCAGCGACTTGAAACTCTCCGTATTGTGTAATGCAGATCATGGGTATATCTGGCCCGAAGCAGCGCAATAGATTCTAGCGGAGTATGGAGGTGAAACAGGAAAGCTTAAATATCAAAATACCTCCACCTTTTTACCCAACGCCAGGGTACTTCTCCATGGCATCGAAAGTGATTCAGCAATGATATCCAGATCCCTGCCTGGCATCATTTAGCCTCTGCACCGGTGCTGCCAGGCACCTAAGCAGCCAAGAGCTTCAGGTGCATGGGCTCGTCTACATTCTTCACGCGTCGAGGTGAAAGCACTGCGTGCTAAGTTTAATGCTACATGCAGAAGACCGCAGCCTCAAATACCCAACAGGTCACATACGTCCAGGAAGCTTAGATCTCGCGGAAAAGTTGAAAAGCCGGACCCTAGGGCTGGCAGGTTTGGTTACCAGAATTCGACTATTCAAGTTTATGAGAAATTTCAAATACACATGGAAATCCCCGCACCTTAAACGCTTCAATGACAGATTTTTCAATAAGTTCCAAAATTCAGAAATGACCTTTTTGTGATGTGTAATTGATAATTTGCACTTGAACTAGTAAATATGAATAAACCTTCATGACCGACAGGTAAAAATTTTCAATCTAAAAAGTTCACTAAGGAAGCATCACTACAAAATATCCCTCGTAATCGGTCCCAATATACTGGTGGATCACGGGTATTTTCTAGCTGCAGCATTGCGTCGATCTTTGAGAAAATATCGCTACTCACACACCATCAAACAGGCAATTTATTTCAGATGATCGCCGGCTCCTACTCTTTTGGTGTTGTCAGCCTCACAAACAACAACCTGATGTTAGTTGGGCGTAGCGTGCAAAGGTGACGAGATTCTCGTGCATGTAACTTTGAAGCTCTTGCGCCTACTATCAGCGCTGTTTATACACTTGCTTTGTGGCTTTGATTTAAGTTTAAACTTTACCTTGTACTAGGCTGCCTGGATAGCCCATTATTTTTTTTTTGTAGCCGTGGAATGGGCACTGCATTCCACGTTTTCTCCTGTATTTATGCTGCCACACAGGTGCAGATCATGCGTTACTGTGCATGATAAGCTCACGGAATCTGCACCTGCATTTATATTGCGTGACAGTGCAGACTACTTCTTCCCTGATATCTTGCTACTCACTTCAACATCCATGACTACGTTGTTCACGATTGATATTGGTATGTTCGCTTCCGTATAGTTTCATTATACATATACTCTATAATTCAATTTTATCAAACGCAAATGGCTCATATGCGTATCCCTCTCCCTCAAAAAATTTAGACATAGCTTCCACCCAATGTAAACGCAACGAGTGTAACATAGCCGAAGTGCCCTCCATCATGACCAAAATACAAACCGTCAACGTGAACCACATGGCAAAAAGAGACACCGTCATGATGATACCAGAAGTTCCTGTAGAGCCGAAGGCATTCTGGAGAGTCATTGTCCACAACACACTGGACAATTGTGCGTGGGCAAGCGAAAGTGCCCATAATCTCAAATATGATGCCGTGTGAGAAACACAGTTGAGACAGAATTCAATAGTATGAATGACTTGATGAATCACAATATCCATAAAGTTGAACTCCTCCTCTCCAGACCCATGGGATGCCGAATTATGGAACATGGGTTCAATGTCGTTGGGGAACGAAAACGCCTCGCTAACCATGCTGACTTGATCGTCAGGAGAGAGCCCAGGTGCATGGGTGTTGTTGTCGACAAAAGTTTCAAGTGCTTCTTCCTCCTCATGCAACTGAATGCTGTGATTGATTTGTGAGTTGATGTCCTTATAACCCAACTCGATGGCACGGTTGTTCTCTCTCCTCAAAATCATTGGCTTATACACCAACAACCATGGCACACATGCAAGAGCTATTAAAACAAGCACAATCTGGACAAATTTTTGACCGGAATAAAGAGGATCCTCGATGCTCCCTGGAGCTAAAAACATATTGATCAACATGTTGAGCAACCCGGGGGGTTGACGTCCAGTCCCAAGCCAGTCCTGACTCCATTTATAAACAATAGTGAGGGCAAGGTATCCGAAAATACTTTGCATGAATAAAAACCCAGGAATAAAGTTTCCGATGATATCCACACGAGACTTGAAAAATCGGTAGTTGACCAAACTGAACATGAGGGAATAATTCATATGAACATATCCCATCAAAATGGACATTTTCATCTTATATGAGTTCGTGAAAAGTAAGCCATTCTCCGATCCGTGCCAAACCCAGTCAAGCCCAAATGGATAAGTTTTGCCGTTGATTTTTTTCGCCGTCAAGGACATTCCTTCCTTGAAATTTTCAGGAAAATCCCACTCCCATCCAGATTTGAACAATGTTAACGACTTAGAAAAGATATCATTGTACATCAATCCCGTGTACATGGAGAAAATTCCCATCAATAACACGATATAACGTCCACTGAATGCCATATCCAAAATCTCGTCTTTGTTTCTAAGGCCGTTGTAATATTTTTCATTTTTGATGAAAAACAAAGCCACTAAAAATACAATGAAACCATGACCCAAATCTCCGAACATGATGGCAAACATAAATGGGAAAGTGATGATGGTTGCTAACCCCGGGTTGACTTCCTGGTAGGTGGCAATACCATAGGTGTCCACAATGGATTGGAATCCAGAAGTGAATTTGTTCACTTTATGATAGGTCGGAGGGGTTCTATTTGTCGACAACTCGTTCACCACTGCTACAAAATTGTAATCCTGATCGTCTTCGTCATCGCTGAAAATATCATCCACTCCAGTGCCATCATTGACGGAGAATAAATTGGTGTTTCTGTTGAATCCTGAAGATGTACCATCGGGAATGGACAAAGTGTCAGTGGATAAGCTGATCGTCTGGCTGGCACCCAACAGCGACGACAGGTTCATTTTTGAGCGAACCAAGGTCTTCAACATGCGTCTGGTTTTGGCAAAGTCACTTTTAGGAATCCAGCCTTCACCCACAAGGCATCGTCTGGTGCTATCTTCATCAAACTTGTTTAGAGTTTCGTAGATTGCCCGTTCTCTTTTCACGATATAAACCCATTCGGGGTACTTTTCTTGCAAAAACATAAGTTCGGTGATCAAATGGGTTTTGGTGGACTCAACCACACTCTTCAAATCCTGGATCTTTAAATTGAGCTCATTTAAAGTCTCAAGCCTCGAACCTGCGTTGCCTTGCACATTATCATAGATGGAACCCTCCAAAGAAGAGATTATCCGCTTGACTCGCGTTTGCAAGTAGTCTCCGTGGATGTAGATGATGAAGGCATTTTTGGCGACAAAGTCCGATTTGCGCAGCGTGGAAATGGGGAGGTCCTCGTCAATAGCCACGTCATTGAAATAAAGATTGCCCCTCAATGTTCTCCAGAGAATCTTTCTGAGGATCGGCACCTTAGACCTGGCGATGGTTCCGCAAATGGAGTTGAAGTTGCTTTCTCCGAGATTGACAGTCGTCTCCTCAAGATCAAAACTATCAGAATGGCGACCTTCGTTCAAAAGTGCTTCCTCATCATCATCTTCGATCTCAAAACGGCGGAACTCGTCATCTTCTGCCGGTGCTCCCGTGATCAAGGAAGACTTGTGGAAATTGTGAACAATATTGAGCACATGACGGTTTTCCACGTGCTCCAACATTTTGAGTTCTAACTCTGTGTATGAGCCATCAAGATGTTTAATTCGGTCATGGATCTCGCCAATGGTATCACTGATTTCGTCGATCTGAGAAGTGGAGGGCAATGGCTGCTGATCTGCCTCCAAAGTGGCGAAAATATCGCCCTTTATTGTGGCGTAAGCCTCCATCATGCTGTATAAGAACGAGAGCTTCAACTCTATAGCATCTACATTGCGCAATTCGTTGACAAATGCCCGCTGGAACGGCGTGAGCTTGGCATTCAAGTCTCGGAAATGAACCTGGCCCAGATTGCCCAAAGTATACACTAGATCACGGGCCAACTCTATGGTCACATAGAATTGCACCAATGTCATGGGTGCAGATCGAAAAATGGCTTCCTGGGTGTCCGGAGCATTGGTAGAGGCGCCGTTGGAAGACGAGCCCCAAAGTTGCATTATATGATGAAGTTTCGAAAGATACTAAATAGGCAGGGAGTTCAAGAAGAAAAATTCGAAACGTTCACACTGAAGTATCGAGCCTGAAGGGATTCGGTGTTATATTTGCCCACGCTCGGGTCTTTTGAAGCTAGCAATAATGAGTAGTTTGATGTACCGAACACCTGTAACTATATCGAGGAGAGTTGGTACTGCAGGCAACACACAGCCCAGACTCCATTATAGGAGATGTAACCGTAAAGAATGGGAGATGAAGAGATTTTGGGTATTGTTGAGGATTCATATGGAGCTGAAGTAAGCACTTGATTGATTTTGTAGAGTTAGCGGCTTTTTTTCGGTATTGCTGGATTGTATCGGATGGAATTTTCAGCTCTATGTGACCATATAAAGAGTTCACTAACAGAAAGATCCAATCATGTACAAAATGTGAAGGCTTCTTTCTTAAACATTGTCAATCTCAAGAGTCAAGTCCATCTCCTCTTCTAAAACATCAAAACTCACTTCACACCTTAATCTTTCCACCAAAATGATTAAACGGTCCTGCACACTTATCAGTTCCACGTATCTGTCACTCCACACTCTACCATACTCAAATCAATAATTGCCACCATGAGGGTTCTCGCGTGGCTACATCTAGTGCAGTTAGTACTAGCGTCGCTGCTGGCCGCAGATCTTCTCAATGAGGCCAAGATTGCCCTCGAAAAGCTTCCCTCTAAGTATCTGGTTGCCACCCCGGTGTATTCTCTGGATAACATCTATGGAGGCATGTACATTCCCCAGTACAATGCAGAAACTCATCAGTACGAGGGTTACCAGCAGATTGAGCCGCCAGCAGAGTTAATCAATGAAATCCTACCCAATCTCGATGCGGCGTCTCAAGCGGGCTTGCAAGAAGCATCAGTAATGTTGGGAGACATTTACATGTTTGGAAACTACTCTGTGGAAGCAAATTATACGAAGGCACTCGAATACTACACAGCATCGGTTGCGGAGCTGGCAAATGGCCATGCATATTTCATGATGGGTTTTTTGTACTCCACAGGAATGTTCGGAGAAATCCCCATAGACAAGGAGAAGGCGAACGTATACTACGAGTACGCAGCGCAAAATGACGACCTCAACGCATTGCTTGTGCTTGCAAACAACCATCTTCACGGGATTGGCCGCCCGCAAAATTGCCAAACAGCTCAATTTTACTACGCAAGACTTGCTAGGTGGTGCATCAAGTACCTCCATGAAACAGGCACAGAACCGTCTTATGATTCCAGTTCATTCAACATCAAGCTCCCAGACTTCAACGGTGGTATTTATGGCAAACACGTCACCGAATCTGAGATGTCGGTGGTGAGCAAAATCGATAGCGTTGCATCATTTCGGAACGACTTCCGGGAAAGAAATATTAACACCCACGATTCAGAAATTGCCGAGAACTACTTTGATGCCGTCACCTACTATTATGGTGGATACTTCACAAAACGTGACCCCAAGAAAGCATTCGAACACGCTCTTTTATGTGCTTACCGTGGAGATGAGAAGTTTAGCAACAAGAATTTGGCAAGCATTTCCAGATACGACCGGTACTTTTGGAGTAGATGCTCCAACCTTCTAGGTCACATGTATCTCAAAGGGCATGGTGTGGAGCGGGACTTGTCCCGTGCTCATGACTGGATGGAAAGGACAAGGAATATTTACACCACGGAAAGAGATATGTTAGATATGGCACTCCTTCATCAGTATGATCCAACTACCGACAAAACACTCAGTCCGCAATGCCAGAGCTGGCTCAATAGTGCCGCGTACAACGGAAGTACTCAGGGTGCTTACCTATATGCCCGGTACCTAATAGGAAGCACCACTAATCCGTTTGATACTACCTACGAGTCACATTCATACGAGTTGCTTAGATCCTGTGTACGTAGAGATCACTACGAATCTATGTTTTACCTCGCCGATGCGGTGGAATGTGGTTATGTGGCATCCGTCGGGGAGTCCTTTACGTGCACTGATTTGGTGTCCTACTACAAAAGGTTTGTGGAGAAATCCGAAAGTTTCCTCCTACCTCACTTGAAGTATGCATTTGATGAGCTATTATACGGAAATTATAAGGGCGCCTTACTTGGTTACCTGATAGCAGCGGAGCAGGGATTGGCAAATGCGCAGATATCTGCATCGTTCTTACTTTATCAATTGGAGCCCATCTTTACTTGGACACCACGTACTTTCGAACCTTCTCGTGTGAAGAGCGCTATGAACTATCTAGAGTTGGCATCCTTACAGGGTAATGTGGATGCTTCCATTGTTCTTGGAGATTTATACTCTGGTTCCCAGCCCTCGGCCAACATCACCAAGGACAACGCAAAGGCTTTTGCGTACTATAATAAAGCAGCACTGTCGTTTTCACCTCACGGCTGTTACAAATTGGGTTATATGTATGAGTATGGAATGGGATCTGCCAACAATACCGTTGACTATTACATGGCAAAAAGATATTACGATCTCAGCATAAAGTACAGACAGGATTATAATTCTCTAGATGATTCCATGAAACTGTCTGGACAAACAGCTAACACATATCCTGTTAGTATTGCTCTTTTGCGACTTCGTTTAAAGGTGTTATGGAGCAGAGATAAAAAGCAACAACAGTTAGAGTCCTCCGGTTGGTTTGGTACGTTCAAAAGTCTCGGACGAGAACAAGAAATTGAGGATGAGGATGAGCGTATAATTTCTAGAGCACAGCAGCACCACGAGGGAGGGGATATTGAAGAGGAAGAGGATTACGACATGTTTGATTATGTGGTTTTGATCTTCACTTTTGCATTCTTCGCTTATATGTTCTTTCAGAACATACGCCGCCAAATACGGAGAGGAAGAGGAGGTGGCGGTGTGGAAAATAACGCTAATGAAGCAAACAACGGGGATGATTTGGGAGTCCGAATCCAGGGACGGAACTTCGAGTTTTTCTTTTTTGCAATCTAGAATTACTTGAAACCATGTATATATCAAAAATAATCAATGCATTAATTGATAAGCATATCCGACAAGATATCGCGGACAATCGGATGTCTGCCGATAACCTTACTTCCAATTTTAGGAAAGTCCGTCTTCGATAGGGAGTCCTGTGTCTCTTTGGGAGGTCTCTCAAAATTGTAGATTTCGGTTGCCGAATCGTCCAAGTCATATACCCATCCCTTGCGTTTAACCAATCCGATGAAATCCCTGATAGATTCTGCGTTCTGTAACGTACCGAGCGAACCTAATACAACAAGCTTTGACCTAGCTCTTGTAACTGCAACATTTACTCTTCTCCAATCTTTTAGCAACTCGCCAGTCTTTTGTTCCTTATTGGATCTGACGAGGGAGATTATGATGCACTCTTTATCTCGTCCTTGAAATCTGTCAGCAGTTAATATTTCAATTTGAGGTCGATGTCTGAAAGAATCCACTAGCAATTTCAACTGTGAACGGTATAAGGTCATGACCCCAATCTTGGACTCTTCTACTCCGCAAACGCAAAGCGCCTCAACAATTTGCCTCGTTAATTCAACCTCCTTGAGATTGCTGATATTTTCGCCAACTGACCTCTCGTATGCTTCCAATTTATCATGGTTCAAGAATATGACATTATTCTCGCGGTTGAAAATGTGATGTAGCCAAAGACGTTTCTTTTCACTTCCGAAGTTTAAATGTTTGCTTAATTGACTTGCTTGTGGTATGATCAACTCTTGTCCAGCAACCTGTTCAGATCCACACTTCAACCGATTCTGATACACCAATGCATTTGAAATAAGCATTATGTCCTGATTCATTCTGTATTGGTAAGTGAGCTCAACCACACTCTGGGGGTGTTCTTCGGCAAGTATTTGAAACAAAGACCTTGAAAGACCTTTCCTTATTTCTGGATTGGGATGGGTGACCAAGGGTGGAAGCTGGAAGTGATCGCCGACTAAAATGAACTTATCACAAAGTGCAAGTGGACCCAAACTCAACGGCATGGACACTTGCGAAGCTTCATCAATGATACAGTAATCGAAATGGTCTCGAACATTGAAAGCCAAATCTCGAATGCTCAAGCAGGTACTGGCCACGACGTATGGCTTTAAGTATATTTCTGAAAATGAAGCAAAGTCTTTCACCACTTTTGAACCTTCTCCAGGAACATACCTCAAAATATTCTTATGAATTCGAGATGAGTTTCCGATTCGAAGAATGTCAATGTCATATTCCTTTACTTTCAACAAGATGTTGTCAACTGCAGAATTTGTATATGAAGTGAGAAGAACCGTCTTCTTTGCTTCAACTAGCATTTTAATGAGATGAGCAATAACAGTCGTCTTTCCAGTTCCAGGCATACCCAAGATCAAAGAATAGTCCTGAGCCAGTAGCGCCTTTCTAAAAGCAGAAACCTGGTCGGGATTAAATTGTTGTTTTTCATTTTCCAACAGCATGATCGGCTCTTCAAGATAACGTGGAGTTTCAAGATCAACAACTAGTCTTCTTCTCTCTATATCACCACTGAGAACAAACAAATTCAATATATTGAATCGAGCAACCCCCATTCCGTAGAACATTTCATCTTTGTCTATTCTGAAAACAACAGCATCGCCATGAGATGGCTGGAGACTCTGAGTGTGCCTGAGAACACCAGCTCTATGGAACTTATCAGTTTTCAGCTCGGTAGGTATTATTCTTCTTCTGGTGGCAACTGTGATAAAATCCGACTCGACGTGACGAACAAAGCCCTGAGCCAAAGCAAAATGGCCATTTTCATCACTAATAATAACTTTATCGTATTTTGATATTTGAGTTGCATTCATCGGGCCGAATTGATTAGGAGCGTTTCTTTTGAAGGTGTAAAGAAATCCATTTGTATCATTCTCTGATTCTGAACTTCTTGCAATTACCAAATTTGCAAGTGCTTTGCCTTGTTCCTTCTCTCTTTCGAAAGCAGAGAGCACCCACAAGTCCTTATTAAATCTTGAAATAAATTCCTCTTCCTTAGAAAGCAATTTATCCCAGGATTCGTAAAAAGCCGCATACTGTGGTTTTTCAAGCAAATGTTCAGTTAACTGCTCATAAACACCCTCGTTCAATCCGCTATTATCCGCTGCACCATCCTCTGTCAAAAAATTCAACGTCATACAACTCTGTTGGATCACACAATTGTCACACTTCTGTTGCCTCATGAGATCCGGTAGCTCATGAAAACCAGGTCGAAGGTACGTTGATATTCTATTCCGCAAGTTTACGAGGGATTTGAGATCTGGAACTGAAATATCATGTTTCTTGGTGGAGCCATCTTCCAGAGTGTAGACCAAAAGGAATGACGAAATATCAACGTTATATCTGTCTTTAAATAGTAAGGAATAAAGAGCTGCTTGAGCTTGGTGACTCAAATATGGGCGACTGGTCTTGATTTCCATTGGCAAAAGGAATTGTCCATTTGAGAGATCTCCCTCCAAATTTGCTTTCAATGTAACATCCGCAATACCTTTGATTCCAAACATAGGGGACCAGACGCTCTCTTCAATGTCCAAGGCCTCAGCAACAGAGAACTTAATTTTTTGGTGCTGTTTGTTGGTTGGAATTGGAATTGGCAATGTTCTGTAGAAGCTGCGAAACCATTGGAGTATGTAGGGGAAATGTGTTCTGATCTTGGTCTTTATATCTTCGAGAACGTCACCCATAGTATATATTTCGAAGATCCGCTTACGCAATTCAATATCCAACAAACTCTCCAAATATTCATTGGTGCATTTCTCCATGATAAAACACGCCTGAAATATTTCATGTACCGTAGTTCCTACGATGAGTGGAATTGACGCTTCTCCAGGAAAAGAGAAACGCTTTGTGATGACTGTTTTTCTCGGACAGAATAGTTGGTCAGCCACAGTGGTGGAAGATACGAGAATGTCGGGATTCCATATGATGAGGTTATTGGTGTTGTCAATTAACCGGGGAGAGTCTGGGGATGTCAAGATGACGTGAATGATATCGTTCGGTTGTAGGTCGAGTTCGGCAGAGTCTCCACGAACAATTAGTCTTGTTTCGCTATCATTTCCATCTCTGACAGTAAGAATAAGTTGTGTCCTTGTGAATCCCTTAAATGGGTATGCTCCTCTTGTGACTGCCTTAATTTGATAACGAACGAAATCTGGACGGTCAAAGGATATTTTGGCACCTTCGTGGGCGTCTTCCAGAAATGAATCTATTCGAAGCGTGGCCAACTGACATGTAGGCTTGGAAAACGAGTCTGTAGCCTTCACCTCAGCTAAGGGAGGTTTCACAGCTACTTTCTCGATCACTGAGAAATCAAGATCGTCAGAAAATGGGTCCGATGTTGGGAGATCCCTTTTAATTGGCAGCAGCTTCTGCTGCTTGGAAGTATTGGCAGTTGTTACTGATGCTAAGGTTGATGGTGTAGTGGATGCTGTGGGGAGAATGTGGTTAATCTGAGTAAACAGCTCAGGCTTTATGCTTGCAAGGAGTGAGTCATCGTCCGAGAATGGATCGTCGTCATCATCTGAAACATCGTTCTGTTCAGTTTCTGTGTTTTTGAGTTCATTGCTATCAACGATAGTATTCTCTCTTTTTAGCCCGTTGGGAGAGACTGTAGTGTAAATTTTGACCTCATCATGCACTTCGAACTTGTCTATCCACGTGTTAAGTCTCGATGTCATTGCCAGTGCATTATTTACAAAATCCTTGTCATAGGAAGACTCTACAGACCGTGGATCAAAAGATTTGGACCTAGCAAGCTGCGGAGACGTCAGCAACATGGTAGGACCTTCAGAGCGAGTCCTGACGCACTTGGGCGCTTCTGCTATAGGCTTGGAAAGTCCCACGCCATACTTGCCAAGGACTGAGTCTGTTACCTCGTTATCCACCGGTCTTGCTGTCTCAGAGCCCGGACTTATGGCTGTTTCTGTATTCTTCAAGGGAGATGAGAAAATAGGACGAGTGCTCTTGTTAGGACTAACTGTGTGTCTCCATCTGACGCCATCGAAGCTATCATCTGAGCTCTGTTGCTCCATGGACTTGTTAGATGCTTTATATCTGACTTGACTAGATCGCGTAGGATCAGCATCATCGGTTGAGTCTGAGTCTAAATTGATAATTTCGGCATAATCTTGATCATGGCGAGAAAGTGTTCCTGACTCAGTTCCACTATTTGGATCTCGAAACCCAGAAGAATCGTGGAGTTCTGACGAATAGTTCTTGGATGTTTGTGGATTGAATGCTAGGGTGTTTTGGGGCTGGAAAAAGAAGGTTTTTCGCGGTTTGCCGTGTTGCTTGGATCTCTTACTGGTCTGGACTGGCGACTGTGGGTTAGTCTGCCTTTCTCTTTTGTCCATATTTGCCAGGTAATAGACTTGGATTGATATTCTATGATTTGCATCCATACGTGTCAATTGTCTGCAGGAAACACCAATAAACAAGGGAAGGTAGTGAACGGGTTTGACAATAAAACAAAAGAGACGATAAATTTGAATAGAGGATGATGAGAAAGGTTTAAGGAAGATGTAGACTTCAAAGAATCTGAGTTTGGGTTCGGATATGTGTATGCATCTTCCTTTGTAGTATTTTTCATTTCACTATGAGTAATGAAAAGTGTATTATAGCTACAGAATCTGCTAAAGAACATATACTGAAGATAAAAGAAAGTAAGAAACGAGAAAACGCCTTGAATGTGGGACGTTTCAATGTGATCCATCATTCGATCAATAATAAAGGTAAATCTGGAGTACACCCGTGCCTCCTTGAAGTCCATCTCGTCCCCATGCACACCAGAAGTTTTTTCTCATCCTCATCGTGAACATTTTTCTACATCCTGACCCTAGTACGACTCCATCCAAAATGGCTTACGTATTGACCGAAACCGCTGCAGGATATGCCCTTTTAAAGGCAGCCGACAAGAAAATCCACAAGTCCTCTAGCTTGCTCGAAGACTTGAACTCGGCCCAGAAGGTCGCCGACCAGTTCAAGATCCACAGATTCGAGAAGTTTCAATCTGCTGCCAACGCCTTGGAGGAGGCCAACGCCGTCATCGAAGGTAGAGTTTCCGACAACTTGAAGAAATTGTTGGAGGATGTTAAGCTTGAGAAGAAGGCTACTTTGATTGTCTCTGAAGCCAAGTTGGGTAATGCCATCAACAAGTTGGGATTGAACTACTCTGTTGTGTCGGACGCTGCATCTTTGGACTTGCACAGATCCATCCGTGAGTTCTTGCCTGAGCTCTTGCCTGGCTTGGACGACTCTGTTTTGAAGCAGATGTCGCTTGGTTTGGCTCACTCCATTGGTAGACACAAGTTGAAGTTCAGTGCCGACAAGGTCGACACTATGATCGTCCAGGCCATTGCCCTCTTGGACGACTTGGACAAGGAGTTGAACACATACGCCATGAGATGTAAGGAGTGGTACGGCTGGCACTTCCCTGAGTTGGCCAAGCTTATAACTGACTCTGTTGCTTACGCTAGAATCATCTTGACCATGGGTGTCAGATCTAACGCTGCCACCACCGACTTGTCTGAGATTCTCCCTGAAGAGATTGAGGAGCAGGTTAAGGGTGCTGCTGAGGTTTCCATGGGTACCGAGATCACCGAGACTGACTTGGACAACATTAAGTCGCTTGCAGAGCAGATTGTTGACTTCGCAGCATACAGAGAGCAATTGTCAAACTACTTGTCTTCGCGTATGAAGGCTATTGCTCCAAACTTGACCTCGCTTGTGGGTGAGTTGGTTGGTGCTAGATTGATTGCACATGCCGGTTCCTTGACCTCTTTGGCCAAGGCTCCTGCCTCTACCATCCAGATTTTGGGTGCCGAAAAGGCCTTGTTCAGAGCCTTGAAGACCAAGCACGATACACCAAAGTACGGTTTGTTGTACCATGCTTCTTTGGTTGGTCAAGCCTCTGGTAAGAACAAGGGTAAGATCGCCAGAGTGTTGGCTGCTAAGGCTGCTGTGGCATTGAGATACGACTCCTTGGCCGAGGAGAGAGACGACAGTGGAGACTTTGGTTTGGAGGTCAGAGCCAAGGTCGAGTCCAGATTGAGTGCTTTGGAGGGTAGAGATTTGAGAACCACTTCTAAGGTCATCAGAGACAACAAGAAGATTGATATCTCTGAGGCCAGAGCTTATAACGCCGATGCTGATGCCACCACTCCACTTGAGACTGCTCCAGCTGAGGATTCTGACGATGAGTCTGATGAGGAAGAGGAGGTGAGCAAGAAGAGAAAGAGAGATGACGATGATGAAGAGACTTCTAAGAAGCTGAAGAAGGAGAAGAAGGAAAAGAAGGACAAGAAGGACAAGAAAGAGAAGAAGGAGAAGAAGGAGAAGAAGGAGAAGAAGGAGAAGAAGGAAAAGAAGGAGAAGAAGGAGAAGAAGGAAAAGAAGGAAAAGAAGGAAAAGAAGTAGACACGGCCATTTTTATTGCATCATATAATCTCTGTAACTGATAAATACTGTAAGAAGAGGTCTGTAGTGCGGCAAGGTTGGGTAGTGAAGAATCTGAATAAAGAAGCCACATTAGCGAAAAGCTAGACGATTCAATGAAGGAACGTACAAAGCACCACCTAATATTCAAAACAAGATTGGCACATTCAAACACACAACCATGTATACCTGTGCCAACAATAGAGTAACAAAGTAACAATCAGGTAAGTTACGAATCCTGCTTGCAAAAATCAGTACTTACATTCAAGAAGAACAGAAACGAAACTTTAAGTTAATAGATAAGAAAACTTAGATACTGAAAAAAAAAATGCCACAAAGATACATCGTTATCAGTTTGACAGCATTAATTAATCGTGTTATGGAAACAAAAGAAAACGGCATTCAATGTCCGTTTACAGAAGCCCCGAACCTTCCCTCAATCTAAAGGCCAAGCATTCGAATGCCACTGGTCATAAACATATTTGTGAAGGTCTGATTCGTTCTCCGGCGTTATGTGCCTGACTTCATCGTTAAACCGACATTTGCACAATGCCGTGGACCACAAGTGGAAGTCCGTTGAGAAAGACGCCAACCTCGGGATTTTCATTAGGCGTTCGGTACACAAGTCATGCGTTCCGGCTCCACCAAATTGTGGGGTGGAAATTCATATTCATTCTATAGTTGATTAGTGGAGAATTTGCAAGTGTGACATTGATGATCGTCTCTGGATAGAATTGTCACTTCGACATTGGTCGTCAAATATCTGTACACGAATTCGGCATTAAGTCGTGACAGCAAAAAGCAATCTCATCGGCCAAAAAAAGCAATTGTGCCGATCATAGTCTATCAACGCCAACATGACTATCTCTATGTTGACCAGATGGACGGTATCTTGGTCTAAAAAGTCGCCAAACGTATCGTCTTACATTTACTCCACGGTATTGATCGTAATAATCCCTCGTCTGGTTTGTGTGGCAAAGCCGCACTCATAATGCCGTAGCGTTGGCGTCGAATGCCTGTACCTGGTTAGGTACTCTACGGCACAAGTAATTTATGTAGGAAGTTGGAAGATAAGATATGGCTGTATGGCGGAGCTATAAACCAGAAATTTCTGGTGCGACCTCTTGAGGTCATATGTTATTAGAAACCAGTGGTAGGAAATTTCCAGTTGAACTTTCCATGGAAATTTGCTTTCCATCACCATTGCTACCGACCTGAAGAATCTCATCCAGTAGCCTCGCTAATCTTGACTGGCGTAATTACTCCCCGCTGGCACCATACAAGACACAAAAAGCAAGTTGCAAACCCGTCAAATGGGCTGGGCAAACCTTCCATGCGCCAGGATGGATTCGCAACTAGCATCCGATAACCAAAAAAAAACCATGGCCGCATGCCAGTTCCGCATGTATTTTCCTCCAAGAATCTATCTCGTACTGATAAGCCCGCACCTCCAGGACCCGCCTGGTCGCCTGTAGATAGCCACAGTACACTGGCAAGTCAGCCCTTCCATAGCAAGCCTAAAGTTTACTGTGTGTGTGGGATTGTTCGTCATGTCAAATGGCCAACAATAGTTTTGACCCAAATTGGAAATCGATCATTGAGATCTTCCTAGTCCGCAAAGTTGACATTGATTGAGCGGGTTGCTTCTCCACATATCAAATGTTCCCCCGCTAGACCGCACGTCGTCAGTGGTGTCAAAACGCCAGTCTCAACCATAATTGACCCACCTCTTAAGGTGCCAAATGCCATTCCTGTCCAGACTATGTGCCGGAATGCGGCAATTTGTCTGCCTCCGCTTTCGCACCCATGATAACCATGATAGACATGGTGAAAGCTTATCAGCTTGTCGTGGGTGCAGGCTCTCCACAAGGTTTCTTTTTCGTCAGTATATATAGTGGGAAGAATTCCAGCAACTTTTGAGGTTTTTTCATTGAAACTTCATCTCGTAATATCATATATAATCATGCCTGAGAAGGAGTTGAACTACGTCACTTCAAGAGACCAGGCCTCTTCTAATGAGAAGAATGGCGGTGTCTATATTGACGCTTTTGATGCCCAGGACAACAAGGCTCCTATGGGTAAGTGGGAATCGTTCATTGACGGTTTCCGTAGATTCGACGAGGCTGACTTGGGTATTGACCCAAACTTGTCTGAAGTCGAGAAGGCTGCTATTATCACTGCTAACTCTCCATTGTCGAGATCCTTGAAGGGAAGACACTTGCAAATGATTGCTATTGGTGGTGCTATTGGTACCGGTTTGTTCATTGGTTCTGGTAAGGTTTTGCGTCAAGGTGGACCTGCCTCTGTCTTGATTGCCTACTTTTTGATTGGTGCTATGATTTTCTGTACTGTGCATGCTTTGGGTGAGTTGGCTATTACTTTCCCAGTTTCTGGTGCTTTCGTTACTTACAACACTCGTTTCGTTGACCCATCTTGGGGTTTTGCCATGGCTTGGAACTATGCCATGCAATGGTTGGTTGTTTTGCCTTTGGAATTGGTCGCTGCTGCTATCGCTGTGCTGTACTGGGACGATAAGACGAATCCTGCTGTTTACTGTGTTGCTTTCTACGTTTTGATTATTACCATCAATTTCTTTGGTGTCAAGGGTTACGGTGAGGCTGAGTTTGTCTTCTCCATCATTAAGGTTACCGCCGTTATCGGTTTCATCATCTTGGGTATCATTTTGGTCTGCGGTGGTGGTCCAAAGGGTGGTTACATTGGTGCTAGATACTGGTACGACCCAGGTGCTTTCCACAATGGTTTCAAGGGTCTTTGTTCCGTGTTCGTCACTGCCGCTTTTGCTTTCGCCGGTACTGAATTGGTTGGTTTGGCTGCTGCTGAGTCTGTTAACCCAAGAAAGTCTATGCCAAAGGCTATCAAGCAGGTGTTCTGGAGAATTACCTTGTTCTACATTGTCTCTTTGATTTTGGTTGGTATGTTGGTTCCTTACAACGACCCTAACTTGTCCAAGGGTGATGGTACTGCTCGTTACTCTCCTTTCGTTATTGCCATTAAGAATGCTGGTATCAAGGGTTTGCCATCCATCATGAACGTTGTTATTATGATTGCTGTCTTGTCCGTCGGTAATTCCTCTGTGTTTGGATCCTCCAGAACCTTGGCTGCTTTGGCTGCTGCTGGTATGGCCCCAAAGATCTTCAACTACATTGACAAGAAGGGTAGACCATTGTTTGGTATTATCTTGCAGGCCATTTTCGGTTTGATTTGTTTCGTCTCTGCTTCTGGTAAGCAGGGTGTTGCTTTCAACTGGATGTTGGCTATTTCTGGTTTGTCCTCCTTGTTCACCTGGGGCTCTATCTGTCTCTGTCACATTAGATTCAGAGCCGCTCTTAAGCTCAATGGCAGAGGTACTGATGAACTTGCCTTCGTTTCCCAGGCAGGTATCATTGGATCTTATTTCGGTGTTACCATGAACATCTTGGTTCTTATTGCTCAGTTCTGGATTGCTGTCTGGCCTCTTGGAGGTAAGCCAGACGCTGAGGATTTCTTCCTGGCTTACTTGTCCTTCCCAATCATCATGGCCTTCTACTTTGGTCACAAGCTCTGGAAGCGTAACTGGAGATTGTACATTCCAGCCTCTGAGATTGATATTGACACTGGTAGAAGAGAATTGGACTTGGATCTCTTGAAGCAGGAGCTTGCCGAGGAGAAGGCATACATTGCATCCAAGCCACTCTACTACAGAGTTTGGAACTTCTTGTGTTAAATTTCGTTTCACTTTGTCACACGTGGCAATAATTTACCCGAAATTTGTATAATAATATTACTTTAAATTGCGTGCTAGATTGAAAAGTAGAAATTTGAGTCGCCAAGAATCTTCGATGGAGATTTCGAAATGCTGGTGTTATCACAAGGTGAAATTGCGAAAAAATTCCCATCGAAGGTTTCGAAATAAGCCACCATGCACACTGTACTGTCAATTCCTTATCTATCCTTGGATTCTAAAAAGAAATCACCCAGCCAATACCGCCTCTCCAATCGCTTAGATAAATGATCTTATCGTGCGTCGGAAGAACAGCTCTGCATGACCATTTTCTTCTTCAGATTCTTGTCTTAGAAGGTCCAAGTCCGGAACAATTCTGCCCGTATCTAAATCTATGTCATGTGCGGCGATAACCATTCTCCAATTTCTCATGTAGATCTTGTAACCTAACCAACTGGCAAGCACAACAGGAACTCCCAAATATCCTTGGAAAAATGCAGAGGCGCTTGGGCTGGCCCCAAGTGGAAAGATTGAGAGCCAGAATTGTGCAATCAACACTAAACCATTCATTGCTAATGCATACCAGGACCCAAGTACTCCAGTGGCTGATTTAAAGGCCAATTCATCAATAGACTTGTTTTGAGCTCTCATGGCAGCACGGAATCGGATGTGGGCGTAATTGATAGACATCCATGTAAAGATGGACGATAGCCCACTGAGTGAGAGGAGCCAATTGAAGGCTTCTTGTTGCTTATCAGAAGCTGCAATGAATGCGAAAAGTCCAAACACATTTGTCATGATAATGGCTACAAGTGGACGTCCCAATCGGTCGACGTATCCTGTCCATTTTGGAGCCATTCCCTGTTCAGCAAGTGAATTGAGCGAACGGGAACAGGCGTATACAGAGGCGTTTCCCACTGATAATACGGCAATCAAAATCACTGCGTTGATAACACTAGGCAAGCCCCTGATGCCCCCATTAACAATAGCAATGACAAAGGGAGAAGTGGTGGCATCTACCGACGACGTGGCGTTCATAAGTCTGCCATCGTTGTAGGGAACCAAACAGGCAATCACTGTAAGAGTGCCAAAGTAGAACAACGCAATACGGACGAACACTTGCTTTATGGCTCTGGGAACGGCCTTTACTGGGTCGGCGGCTTCAGCAGCACCCAATCCGATCATTTCTGTTCCACCAAAAGAAAAGGTGGCCGTAACGAAAACTGAGCACACACCCTTAAATCCATTGGCGAAAGGTCCTGGGTTTCTCCAGTACTTTCCTCCGACAAACTCACCATTTGGTCCTCCGCCACATATGAGCACTATACCCAAAATAATAAAGCCAATAACGGTGACCACCTTAATCAAACAAAACACGAATTCAGCCTCACCGTACCACCTGACACCCATCATTGTAATAATTACAACAGTTAGCCAGAAAATGGCCACGAAAATGTCAGGGTTCAAGGAGTCGTTCCAGTACTTAATGGAGATGGAAGCGGCCACCAACTCAAGGGGGAGCAAAGCGAAGAATTGCATGAAGTAGTTCCATCCAACAGCAAAACCAATTGAGGGTTCAATGAATCTAGTCGCATAAATGTTGAATCCTCCACTGATTGGGAAAGCCGTACATAACTCTCCAAGACCTTGCATGGTGGTATATACTGAAGTGGCAGTGATTATCCATGCAATTATAATACCAGCAGGTCCACCGGTCGAAAGAGCAGATCCCGATCCAACAAAGAGACCAGTACCGATGGATCCTCCAATTGCAATCATTTGTAAATGTCTGTTTTTCAAGCTTCTTGTGAGCTTAGAGTTGGTAGCATTATGGTTAGCTCTCTGCACTAGATCCAATGAAGAGAGGTCTTCTACGGTTGCCTCCGCAGGTTTGAAAGTGTCTTTGAAGTTCTGCCACCTCGAGCCCAGATTCGTTTCATATGCGGAAGTATTGGAGTTCAAGTTCTCTCTGGTTGCAACAGAAGATTCAAAATCATCCTTAGAAGTGACGGGTGTAGACATATTCTACAGTATGCGTGAAAATTAGCGAAGAATATGGTTGAGGGTGGAAAATTCTTACAGAAAACATCATGTCATCTTCACCGGGACACGGACCGAAATGACAATTAATGGTCTGGCAATTATGTTGCAAACTGACTCATCTGGTGATAATGCCAGGGCTCGCGCTGGAAAAGGCATTAGAAAGCGAGAAATGCCGCCATCACGTGATGTGAAATGTAAACTCGCCGTTCAAGGAAGGACCTAGAGAGGCATGATGAGGTATGAAGTAATTAAAATCGGCATAAGAAAGGGAACTGAAAGCAAAAATTCGGACATAGCATTTCGGTTAAATTATCGGAGATCTAGAGAGTTTGGTTGTTTGAAGTCTAAATTTGCATTGATATGATTCTTTAAGTTTGCAATTAAGCGAGATTTTCGCACAATCAATGTTGCATTTGAAAACAGTGGACGGGACAGACCAAAACAACGCATAGAAAATCAAAAATTAGAAGAAAAATAAAACAATTAAGCAGATTTAAGAGAAAAATAAAAGCGACATTAGCAAGATATCTTGGTCCTTTAAATTGGAGCGTAACTAGTATTCCATTGTGGAAAAGTCCGCAAATCATAATAGCCGATATCGCCAGAAAGCAACGAAATTTACATAATAAAACTCGGTTGGCGATCAGGAAACAAACAGCCAAATATTTTGGCTTTGATAATGAAAAATGAAAGAGAAAGATTCAAATCATCCATGCTGCTACAAAATCCATCTCTTCCTACATACAGCCTCAATTTAAGACATAACAAGAGCTTTACTAAAACCACCAACATCATGTCCTCTCTCAAAGAGTACCTTGGGAGTATGTACCATCACCGTCAATTATCTTGTATTAATACTAACATCCAGAAAAAGTCCGTGTGATCACCACCGATGGCAGACTCTTCGAAGGCACCTTAGAGTGCTTTGATCATTCAACCAATCTTGTCATTGCCCACACCGTCGAGTGGATTATACACGCCAACGAAGAAAACGAGAGCCTTCCGTTGGGTGTATATTTGCTTCGAGGTGGCAGTGTTGTTTGTGTTGGAGAGGTTGACGAAACCCAAGGTTTGGATTGGATGAGTGTGAAAGGTGATGACCTTAGAGGAACAAAGAACCCGCTCTGACTTTAAATGCTTCTTCTTGCTTCCATTCATTTTTCCGTTTTCCAGATATTATAATGTCTCATAGAAAGATGTTAGCTCTGGCACATTTGCATCATTGTCAACTCATATTGTGTCGAGTTTGAACAATCTGGTTGAAAAAGCCAGCGTTGTGTTTAAATAAATACGAGAGAGTATGCTCTATGAACTATCGATTATGATTTATTTCAATTAAAACAATGTTTAAAGAAGTTTCTAAAAGAAGTTTCGATACTCAGATGGCCATGAGAACACCAGCAATTAGACCGAAAAGGCCAACCACAGGACCAGCCGATGCAGCACCACCACTGAGAGAACCAGCCGATCTCTGTGAGGCATATTGAATCTGGGCCAGAGATTGCAGAGCCATCACAATCTCAATTGCTAATGAAGTCTCGGAAGCTCCAGAAGCCAACAGAATAGTGTCAAGGTTGGAAGTAGCGTTGACAAATTTCTCCGAATCCAAGGCGCTGGCTTTGCTCTGTCCCAAGGCAATCTCGCTATTGTCGTAATCAATTGCAATATATGCGTGCTGAAGAATATCGAGACCAAATACCGGAATATAATTTGCTGTAATGGTGGCGTAGACCTTACCCAGGCTCTCCTCCACCAATGAAGAAATTGGAACAGAAAGGTTGAAGTTTCCGAAAATAAAGTTCACGGTTTCGTTCAGAGTCAAGTACTTCTTGTCCACGGAATATTTATTCTCAGCCTTGTCAAACTTTCCACCGAGTGCCTTACCAAAAGCATCAAAATAACCCTGAGGCAAGCTAGATTTCAGCATGCCTGGATTCAATCCAACACCCACTGGCTGAGTGAATGACACCGCTGAAGCACTGAGGGAGTCGAGCTTGATTTCCATGTTTTGTGAATGCTCCAAATAAGAAAACGAGTTCACCATTGGGAAGCGGAAAAGGCTGCCGTCATATTTGGCCTCATCAATTCCACCAAATGCAAACTGACCCTCCGTTGTGTTACCTGGATTGACCCAGAGAGAAAGAACACTTGACTCGATATCTCCGTTCTCATGGAGTTGCTGTACAAAGTTCTTGTGGTACCCCCATGTGCCGGTGTATGGCAGTCCAAGTCCAAGAGATCCAAAAGTGCCATTACCTTCAGTAGTAATGAATTCCACATCGTCAACCTCATAGTCACCCAACGTCAATTTGTCTGTAACGATGGTATCACCCAAAGTGCTGTTATATCTCAGCTTCCAGCTGCCCAGGTTGGTGTAGTTAGAAACAGAATTGACATTGTTTCTGAAACTGAAGGAAATAGGAATTTCCTTGTTTTCAGAACCGATTTTGAACGTCGTGTGCCAGGCAATATTGTAGTTGACGTTTTCGACGTCTCTCTTGCTGACTTCAGCTTCAGCAGATTTCAATTGCACATCACAGGTGATGATGGCAGAAACCACCAGGGGGAGAAGATAGTACGCAAATAACATGTTAGCTTTCAATTTTAGAACAATATTTCGAGTTTAAGTAGGCTGCCAAATGTTGATAGGGCACTGCATCTCGTAAAAAAGGCCAAGGTTCATGACAGCTGCAACCGGAATTAAAAGATCCAATAGGGGCATTTCTTTGGGTTCTTTATAACAATTATCAAGAAATTCTTCGAGGAACCTGTTCAATTACTCATTGGATGATCAGGGAAGTGATTTGTCCTACAAATTGAGTCTTTTTGGGAGGTTTTAGGCTCTCGAGACTATGTGGGTGGTGGCTTATGAAGCTCGGGAAAACTGACCTCATTGCCATTATGGCAGTCATGCGGCCGCACTGATACCAGCCATCAATAGCAGGGATCAGTAACAGTCACGCGTCTTCATTGGGCATAAGAGAAAAGTGCCTGTGCTTATCCGGCATGATGTTGGATGTGAGATAAAGCCGGCAGGTGTGAAAGGCATTTTGAAATGTCAGATAAGTGAGAGCCAGCCGCTAATATGCACCAAATATTCCTAATCCTGTCAATAAATCCTGTGAATGAACATGCCACTTTGTGTTTTGTCCTCCGTACTTCCATTGTGAGGATGTCCGATTTCTTGATAAGGTTTTCGCTGCGCCCATGACTGGTGCATAATTTCATCATGTATGGAAACATCCTTCGCCCGTCAACATTTCAGTGATACTTTGTTCATGAGATAATGTCAACAGCATTGAGTAAGTATCTGTAGCGCATGTAAAAGTCAAGGTTAAATGGCTACAGTGGTAGTTGCTACGGTTACTGTGGGTTACTGTGGGGTATTGGCGCCCTTCCTTCCGTCTGCATTGTTATTCGACGAAACCAAACAAGAATCAACTTGTGACTACAAGAATGCCGCGGCACAGAATGAGAGAGCAATATACATTCCTGTCATTTCCCCAATAGTGGAGTTATCCCCTCTCACTTTTTGACCAACGCAATACCATTTTGGTGCATCTTGATGGCCAACTCAAGCAAATAGTCAATGGCTTCATTATACACTTTGGCCTTCCACACGTTTTCGCCCCACACATAAATTCCATGACGACGCACCAACACCGCAGTGGCACCTGGGTACTTGACAATGGCTTCCTGTAACGTTTCCGTCAAGTCCTCCTCATGAGGAGTGTTTTCAATAATTGGAAGTACCATGGTATCGAAAAATTGCATGCTTCCCACCTTCTCGACCTTCCCTGTCTCGCGATTCACCTCAAGCTGGGGAAGAGCTTTGATCTGCTCAATGTGACTCATGCTGAACTCCACTTTATCTTCAAAGATCAATGTAGCCATAACAGCATTCTGACTATGGGTATGGATGCACGCACCAGCGTCTCTCAAGTTGTAACAGCTGAGGAAAAGTGGAGTGCAAGCCAGCGGTTTGTACTGGTAGTTATCCGGAAGATCAAGGTTGCGCTTTCTAGATTCGTCATCGTTGGGTGTTTGCAAGATTTTGCCAGGCAATTCCACAACAAACATTTCGTCCGGACTTAGTCTTTCCTTCTGGATGCCAGAAGGAGCAATGTATACGATATTTGGCTGGTTTTCCACATCACGAATGGAGATGCCTCCTCCAGTACCAGTAACCCATCCGTTGTTATAGAAGAGCTTGCAAAGCTCGGAGATAAGAGTAGCTGGGTGGTTGGGTCCGTATTTTTCTTCTGACATGATGGAATGTTGGCCAAACGTTGGTAATAGGAAATAGGATCGATTGGTGTCCAATACTTTGTTAATTTATTCAGACACATGTGATGATGTACGGATGTTTACACAGTTAAAGATGTACGGATGTTATGTGGATTGAAAATGTACAGGTTTATTCTCGGATGTGCAGATATTGTCATGGACTGATAGAAGTGTGTACGGGTGTGAAGTAGCAAAACAAAAGAACTCTTCTAATACTCAGATTATGCGCCCTCGCGAAAACTATTCCATTTGTATGCAAGAATGCCGTCACGGAACAACTGGATGCCGAATTTGAAGATGCCACAAAAACAGCCAACGAGTACAACTTAGGAATAAAAGACAGTGAAGGGAGCAATGCACGTCGTTGAGGAAGAAATATATGTACTCAGAATATGGCTAAGAAACTTTGGGAAAAAGTACCTCAGAGGTTTAATTATGATTTGTATGCATCCAGCCTTCCGGAAACCCACTTTTAAGTCGTCGTCTAACTTAATTTGATCCGTGTAAACCATGCATGGGAGGGATCTTTTCCAAATCTAGAGTGACTAAAGAGAAGGAAAAGAATCCAATGTTATTAGCTAAGTTATTGTTAGACGTCATTTTTGGACTGACCTCGTATAATTTCCCGAGAGCAACGATCATGGATATTTAATTCGCCTATTAGTTTGCCGTTTATTTTTTTAATAAGATGCGCCATGCTAGAAAACATGCAAGGCTTGCTTGGTTTCAACGCCCCTAAGGGCTTGTATGCAATGACTTTGGTAAGTCTCTGCAGACGACCCCCTTGCATGAAATTATTTTTTGTCTTGACCAAGGCTGATAAGGACTAGTGATGATGGAGACATCAAAACTAGTAAAGAACGAAAAATATCTAGCTGGTTCATGCCGCCTGTTCCGATGGCTGTGTCACATCCGTGCTAATGAGAACCGTTTCTTATTGGTCCATTACAATAGATTGACGATTGGCGCCAGGCATCCATCCCGGCTCATGACCATGCTTTCATTTATTGGACTTTCATCCGCAACGCCACGCTATACCTCATCTCTCTAAAAGCCAATCAATCTTCACGAGTTAACTGGGGTCTGCTTAATTATTAGTATTTTTCTCTCGTTTCTTATCCTTAACTTTAAGATCAACAGGGGTGCGAAAAAGCAAAGGTTTCTGTCCAGTCTGCCCACCTTCATGGCATCCCTCCGAAGTAGACAGCTACGGTCCGAGGAAAAGAGCCCATCGAGCATGACACAAAGGTCCCGACGTCAACACAGGAATATTAGTTGAGCCTCATGAGCAACCCAAACAACCCCCAAATGGCACTCCTTTACATTAGGCGTGCTCGACACAAAGATTATATGCTGTACTCTGGTATCCTGGTAACTTTGGCTTCGCAACTAGTTGTTTCTATAGCAAATTACTCTTTTTCTCCCTATGAAGTTGGTATCGCTCCGAATGTTCTCGTGGCGGTACTTGGCCTTGGCTTGGGTACTCTGCCTCATCCTCTGGTTCGTAAGTTTCGACGCCAGGATGCTGTCGGTGCAAGCCGTACCCAAAACCACCTTAAATAAGTCCAAGCTCATTTCACTTTTCACTCACTTCCATCACAGAAATGTCAACTTGAAGTCCATAACAACACGGTCCAGTGTTTACGACGAGGTTTATAGCCAGGTCAACATCTATGATTTCTTGAAGAGGAACTCCATCCAGGATCGATGCATGCTGTACTTCAATCATCTAGCAATGAGCAACCCTGAGTGGTTGGTCAACCCACACGAATCTACAACGTTTGACCGAGATGCGTTCCGTCTGTTTGATTCTTTCCGGACCGATCAGATCAAGAAGTGGAACGACGAGGCAAAGAAAGCTGAGAGGGAGGGCCGTGATCCTCCCGTCAAACCCACCGAGGAGAACTTGCGCCAGAAGTTCGAAAATTTACGTCATAAAGCTTTGACTGATGAGCAGACTTTGCATGACTTCGTCTCCCATGTTCGAATCTTTGAAAAGTGCTTCATGCATTCACAGGATTCAACAGTCTTGAAACTCGATAACAAGTTTGTCAAGACTCAACAAGAGTTCTTGAAATCCAATGTGAAGTACGAATATGACATAGAAGAGTTGGAAAGCATAGGAAAATCATACAAGGACAAACTTTTGTGTGGCGAAGTGGAACTGAAGATCTTCCCATTTTTGTCAAATGAGTATCCATTGTTCGAAAGATGGAATCAGGAGACTTCATATTTTCCAGGATATGAAAAGAAATTTGCAGACACTGGATGTTTCCTCAATGATTTCAAGAAACGTGTTAATGGTAAGGGAATTGTCATGACTCTTGGAAATGGCCATGTCGAGGATGCTTCAAGATTAATTCGAGTGTTGCGTTACTTCAGAAACACTTACCCTATTCAAATTGTCTTCCATAATAACTTGTCCCCTGAATCACGTTACAACTTGATCAAGGCTGGAAGAAACGATTACATGGACTTTCCTCGGCAGGATATATGGTTTGTCAATGCCGAGAGATCTATTAATGAGCAGTACCGCTCGAAATTCGATGGATTTGCCAACAAAATCATGGCCATCATGTTTAATTCGTTTGAAGATGTCCTCTTCCTTGATGCAGACTCTGTTATCTTGAAGGATGTCGACTATTTTTTTAAGGTCAAGCGTTACGTCCAAACCGGAACTCTCTTCTACAAGGATCGGTCTTCCTTTGAGTTTAGACCGGAGCCGGATAAGGTTTTCTTCGAGAAATTACTTCCTTCCGTCGATGACTCCATGGTGTTCAACATCGCACAAACGTCAAACTACACGATGATGAACGAGTTCTTTGCCAATAACTTCAATCACTATATGGAGAGTGGAGTTGTGGTAGTGAACAGGAAGAAGCATTTTATGATGCCATTTATGATGGCTATCATAAACTTTTATTCTGTAGTCTCCAGCAGAGTCTACGGAGATAAGGAATTGTTCTGGCTTGCATGTGCCCTTCTAGGCGATGAGACTTACGCTTTCAACCAAAACTTTGCCGCAGCTGTGGGAGAATTGACTCCAGAACATGAGCGTCATAAAGACATCAACGAAGTCAAGAGTTTCCACTCTCAGGAAATCTGTTCAAATCATCCAAGTCATATTAGTGATGAAGATGACTCATTGGTCTGGCTTAATTCGGGTTTCCGATTCTGTGGAAATACTCACAAGAAAGAGATGAGCTTTGAAAAGGAGTTTAGCCTGGGAAAGCGGTTTACAAAAATGAAGACTTTGGAAGAATTCAAGACATTCTTCGAGTCAAAACTAAAAATCACACATGCCGTCATTCCTCCATACTATAAGGACCAAAGACGTGCTGTCAATTCGGAACATGAACCCGAGGTCCCGTGGGTAATGACATCTTATTGTATTGGATACTGTTGGTGTGCATACTCTCTGATCGGAGGCTATAACAAGGCGTCAAAAGATGATGCCTCTACTCGACTAGAGGGAAAGGTGATCGAGTTTTCTGAAAAGGACCAAGAGGTCTTCGGGGCGGTCGGAGACGTTTGGATGGCATCACTCAATTAGTACTCAATATTCCCCATCGTGCATTCTTTATTATTATTATCTATAGACAATTCCTCATTTACATTATTTCGTTTTGGATCCTGGTTGTAATGTCTTGTGGCAAACAATAAATTGGGTCGACAGGTCGAAGACCGTATTTGTCGGGTGCCATCAAACTCAATCCAGCAATAGCAAAACACGTATGGTAAATATCCGTTTGATTACCTGGTCTGTCCGCAAATCCTCCATTTTCAAGGTCTTGACATTCCAAAATGAACTTCTCGAGACGATCAAAACTAATCCAATGCTCCTTTTCTAACATAGATAAGCTCAGCAACACCCACCAACTGTAGCAGACATCAGGGAGCTTTTCTGGACGGCCATTGAAACCACCTGAGGGAAGCACTTGACGTTCACTAAGCCAGGCTGGTGTCCTGCTTTCCACTTTGTCTAAATCGCCACATAAAGCCAAACATGCCACGCATGTGTAGATCTGAGCAGCGTGTGACTCGGCACCCGGCAACATTCCAAACCCACCGTCAAAGTTCATGCAGCGCAAGATGAACTTACTGGCCCCATCAGCAACATCCTTAGTTAAAGCTTCTAGTAAAGTTAAGATGTACACTGACACGAAGACAAATCTGGTGTCGACTTCTCCAAAGGCATCACCCTTGAAGCTTCCATCTGGCAATCTCAACGACAAGACAAACTTTATAATTTGTGTTTTCTGGTGCTCTGAAAGAGCATCCATGCGGTCATAGATGAACAAGATCTGGAGGCCGGAGAGAGTCGTTAAGACATGGGCATCATGACCCGGGAAAGCAGCGAATCCACCAACTTTAGAGTCGAAACAAGACAAAACGAACTCCATGACCTCATCCTGAGGCAATGCATCGAGTTTCTTCATGGTCGCTAAAGCCATGATTCCCCAGTAGAGACCATTGAGTCTCAAATGCTCCAGGAGCCAATATTCATAGGACTGCTTGGTGATTTTCGAATCAAGATCTTGGACATACTTGACGTGAATGTCTGGATTGAATGTGTTCTGTGTTTCTGCCATGATGAAGGCGAATAGTGAAGGTGATCTTTGACGCGAAACTATATCGATGGTGGTATGCACACTCCAACGGCCTAGAAGAACAACTCTCTGAAATGATACTTCTTGGAGGCAGGAGAATACTCAGCGTAATTGAGTTTCTTTGAATTCTTATTACTGATGAGGCTTCCGATGTTAGCAACTTTGCACCCGTTGTAAGTCACCTCGAAACATTCGAAGCTGGAATCAAACAACATAATAGTAGTGGGAAGAGGCTCGATTCTTATCAGATGTTGGTAGTTCGTGTTGATCACACGAAGATCCTTGAGCATGGGTTGGAGATCACCTTGGTCCAACAAGGTTTTCACCAATTGTCTTGCCATTTTAATTTTGCTAGGCAAGTGAAGTTCGTCACTAATGATATTTTCGACCTGAGTATCTTTGCCTGAATTTTCCAACTTTACAGCTTCATTCTCCAAATCCAAGTCTGATTGGAACACAATATCATTTCTCTTGAATTTGTTCATTATATCGTCTCTAAAAAGAACAAGTTCTTGTGAAATGTAGTTGACGCGCATGGGGTTCCACCCATGGATCAAGTTTCCTTTCGGAAGAAGCCTCTCAAGTCTTGTAGTAAAAACACGAGGGATAGAATTCTGGGGTAATGCATCAAGGCTGGATCTACCAAGCGAAAAAGTCGACTGCCACGGGTCATTGGGGCCCGGAATTAGCACAAACTTGCATTTGTTAACCACAAGTGGGAACCCAGATAACATCTCTGCAAAATTATCAAAATAGCTCTTGTAATTCTCGGAGCTCAGAATCAGTGAAAGCGAACCGTTTGTCAGCGTAAGTGGTATGGAAACAAATGAACCTGACATGACTATGGCCGTATGTCCTAGCTCACCTTGGTCTTGTTGGTCTTCGAGAGTCTCCTCCATTCGGGCAAAAAACTTTCTCAAGCCTGCCATGACCTTGAAATCATCAAAAAAAATGTTGCAACCAAGAACTATGAACTTATGGTTAACCAATGATTTTTCCAAGGCTGTGAGCCTTTTACGCAATGGCCTATCTATTTTCACCACCGAACTGCTCCGGGCCAGAGCACTTGAGTCACTATGAACGCCCAAAAAATCTAGGTGACCGTATGCATCCAAACTGGCATCTCTTCTTTCTGCCTGTGGGTGCTGAAGATATGACACATGGAAGCAGCCGCTGATGACATTAGCGTCGTTACTCATGGAGCCTCCGGAAGCTGAATATATACCCTCTAAGATCAAGAGCATTCCTGTTGAATAGAATGATCCGGGGGTTTTTCTGGCTTGTTTAATGTTGAGCTCAATGTAGTCAGAACTGTCTTCTAAAATGTAGTTCCCGTTAGCGTTTTTGGAAAGAAGTCCAAACAAAGTAAACTTCTGACCGTCTCGTCCCAACACGTTCTTGATTAGTGTGATTTCAGACGTGGTTCCGGATTGTGTGGTGCTGAGTCCTGCAATGCTGGAAAATGTCAATTTTTGGAAGTTTTCGTCTCGAGACAACCTATCCATCCCCAAATAGTATCGCTGATTATAATATTCTATGGACAGCCGAAGCGTGTTGGAGAGTTTGGTCTTGGCCATCGGCTGTGGTGAAAATTGCTTCCTAACTCTATCAAAGACAAACTTGGGCTGCACATCAGGTGTGACAAACTTGACATAGTCCCGCCATTCGAGATCTGTCACCTCGTTCACTATTGGTGCATTTGCATCGGAAATGGTGTCAAACTTGGATGCTTTCACAGGCTCGATGAAGCTATCCCCAGCTCGGGCAATGTCCTTGTCCTTACTGAGCTCTTTGACAACCTGGCTCAAAGCTGGTCCATCAATGAAGATTCCACGGTCCTGTTGCTTCCATAATTTGGCGATTTCCTCCAAAAACTGTTGGGATTTTGTACCTTTCCATTCTGCTCCAAACTTCGATGCTATGGCATCGGTAAGGACCATTAGTGCATCGGTCTGGATGTTAAGGCCATGCTTTTTTGACAATACCCGATATGCTATGGGTCGTATATTTGAAGGTGTGATTTTCACGGGTAATGAAGCTGGCGCAGACATGTTGTGGCCTTGGGAAAAGTTGGTTTCAACAATAGTAGGTTACGCGTCTGAGTATTTTGGACTGTACACTACGAGATGGTTATTTGATTTCGCAGCCATTTGGAGCATACTATTAATAAAAAGTTAGGAATACATAATTATTGATATTTTACTTGTGGTCGCCAACAATGAGGTGAATTTCCTCGAGTTTTTTCTGGATGGTGGTGAGTTGTTTGAGTGTGGAGACAGCAACATCTTGTTGGCGCAAGAGGTCGGTTATTTCTCTCAATCCATTAATCGACTCCTTCATTGTTAAGAAGTCGTAGTTCTTCTCGTCTACCAACAACAGATTGACCACGTACTGCAACTCTCGAATATTGACCTCCCTTTTCGTCTGCTTCTTTCTGACCGACTTCGTTAGCTGCTTGACTTTCCTTTCCGTTTGCTGGAGTTTTTTTGGTTCGTACAGCTCGTATGCTTTCTGCTTGTCCTCAGCAAACTCAACTCTAAATCTCTCCAAAAAAGAAACAAGGGCACTCAATTTCTCCTCGTATGGGTTAGCAGGCTTTTCTGTTTGTCCACTGGTGTTTTCCAATTCTGACCGTAGCTCGAGAATCTGCGAATTCCATTGGCTTTCCGTCAAGTTGTCCTTCAGAAAGAGCTGTTCGGGCAAGGTGTTCACCAAGTATAACAAGTGATTAAATTGTTTTTCAGTTTTCTTGAGCTCGGTCTCCAACTTGATATGCTCCTTGTTCAATGCTGACATGGCATTCACGTGCTCGATATTGATTTCAGCAAAACTAGTGTTGTGGGAAGTCGTAGCAACAGTCTCGGAAGGCGGATCGGAGGGCTCAGCTTTCGGTGTAACAAACAGCTTTGGTGAACTGAATAGGCTTTTTCTCGCTTCTTCTTGGATTTCTCTTTCCTTCTTGTTGAGCTCTTTCTCTTTTTCTTCCAATCGCAGCTTCATGTCTTCAAACATCCGCACTGTTTCCTTCTGGTAAACCAAAAAAGACTCGTTCTCTTTCCTAACAGATTTCTCCAACTCCTTCAAGCGCTCGTTCTCGATCTCCCTATGTGTGTTTGCTGCCATTTCACTGAGTTGACTGACTCTCTCGTTCAACTCCACAATACGGGCCTCGTAACTTGCCTTTGTTAAGTATAGTTCTCGCTCGTGTTCACTTGTGAGTTCTCGGATCTTTTCATCCTGTTGTTTAACTTTCTCCTCGAGTTCGAGCTGGATTTTGCGCAATCGTTGCTCCTCAAGGCTTTTCTTTGCCAATTGAACGTTTGCATCCACCTCATCGAAGTCCAAATTGTCAGCTTTTTTTTTCTCTAGGAGCAAATGCCTCGTCAAATGATACAGAGCTCTTGTCTTCTGGTTGAATGTTCAATTCCTTCTTGATTGAAGTACTGAGTCTTTTGAACTCATCATTCGGAGGCTTGAGGCCGGTCAAAAAACCTCGAAGTTTCCCAAATACTCCAGCATTCTTCGATTGGACCAATTCTGGTAGAATGCTCCTCTTCAACCACAGACGGTCTTTCTGCACTTTGTTGCTGAACTTCGCTTTGATTTCCATCTTCTGGGGCAGGTAAGGAAGAATCTTGTACATGGAAAATGGTCGTTTTGCCTTCGAAGGAGTCGAGTGGAGAGCCTTGATTGGTGAACCAAATGTTCCAGGAATGCTTTGTGTTCTATTAGCAGTCCCGGAGAATCTTGAGGAGTTGGTCATTCTCTCAATAGGCAGCTTACGCCTATAGGATAGATCAATTCGAGAACTTGAGCCAGCCTTGTATCGTGAAGTCAACTCACCTTTTGCTTGACTGGATGACGAGTTACCCTTGGCTAGGGCATACTTATCTGCTAGCGATAACTTCTTAGCCATGATTACTTTGTTTCAGCAACCTGCATCGACGAGTATTTATCTAAGACGCGAACACTTGAATCAGCTGCCTATATCTATTTCTCCCGAGAGTTCGATCTTTCTGCTGGAACTGGACAAGTAAATCTTGTAAGTTCCTGTCTGGATGATCCATTGCTGTGATTGGGAATCCCAAATACTGAGATCTCGGTGTAGAATCTCAAAGCATACTGTTGCAGAAGTCTTGGGCTCTAAGTACACCTTATCAAACCCTCTCAAGATTTTTGGTGGGGAGTTGACCACTGTGCTGGGAAGCTCTATATATAATTGGGCCACGTATGCACCAGCGTAGTCTCCCTCGTTGGAAACCAGCGCTGTGACTTTGTAGAGTACCTCCCATAAGGCAGGATTTCCTCCAAGTCCTCCTCCGGAAAGAGGAGGCTCTTTACGAGGGTCTGGAGTATAGCCCTTAGGATATTCGAAGCAGTCTTCTTCATCTACTGATCTGACATCTTCGCTGTAAAGGTAAGGGTATATGAAGCCAGGCATGGGATCGAATTCGTCGTGTGGGAAGAGGGCATCTTCTGGATCACAAACGTCGTCTTCAATGGGACGGTTGCTAGGAAGATAATCTCCAGGACAAGGTAAATACTCTGTGGGACTATTTATCTCCTCGATCTTCAAATGATAAACGTGGAACCTGGTGTAGGAGAGACCGTGTCCGAAAGGAAACCGAGGCTTAATAGTATGCTTGTCGAAGAATCGGTAATCCAAGTAAATTCCTCGCTCAAAAGTATCTTGAGGGTCTATCCGTTCGTAGAGGTCATCAACAATGGGAACATAGTGCAGTTTCTTCCTTCCAATCGTGAACGGGAGTTTGCCTGATGGGTTGACGTCTCCGAAAAGCACATCTGCAATTGCCGGGCCAACGAATTGGCCTAATGGAGCAGCGTAGAGTACAGCAACAACATTTGGATGCTCAATCCAGCATTCCATATCAACGGGTCCGACAGCGTTAATGACAATCACGGTTTTTCGGCATCTGTCTGCGATGTGCTCAATGAGCTCGTCACCGTTTCCCCACAAGGAGATGTTCTTACGGTCTCCAAAATTATCATCAACTTCAATATAACCTTCTCCGGAATGGGCATTTACAACGACAATTGACATATCGGCGTAGTCGGCAAGCTCCTCCGCACGTTGAATGTCCCAATTGTCGGACATGTAATCGATGACAATGCCTTCTCTTCTGGCTTTCTCGGAGATTGCTTCATATGGTGTAACAAGGTGTGGGTTGTGAACAGCGGCAGAGCCCCACCCGGAGGTCAACACCCCATCCACGCATGCTTGATCCTTGCAATTGAAACCTTGCGGGTGGGGACCAGCACCTGCGCCAGCTACAAATAATCTTCTAACTCCATCATCTCGAGAGATTGGAAGGTTTTGTCCAGCATTCTTCAAGAGAACAATTGCTTCTCTGGCTATTCCGAGACCAATTTCATCACCAAATTTTGATCTTGCGTCTGCGTGCCAATTTTGCTGAACAATTGCTCCAAAGTGCTGATATGGGAACTGTTGGCCGTAAGTGTGAGAAGTCCACGAGCTGAAGTTAGGGGTTTCTTCTTCCAGTGGAAGAGAAATCTGCTTGCTTGCAAAGAATGGTGTTAAGATCCTTGTAGCCATGTCATTGAGTCTCTCCTGGGGGATGGTTCTGTTGTACACGGCCCTAGTTAATAAGGGACCCCAGTATGACTTCCCACTGAGCCAGTCATCAAAAACTTCCCCAGGCATGGACATGTCCAAACCTGCAAGTGCTGAATTAATGCCCGAATGTTGTGCTCCCCAGTCTGAAACCACAAACCCCTGGAAGCCCAACTCCTCCTTGAGAAGATAATTGAGCAAGTATGAGTTCTCACAAGCATAAGTGTTGTTCACCATATTGTAAGCGCAAACGATTCCTCCACATCCAGCACGAACAACATCAGCGAAAGGCCATAAATAAATTTCATGCAAGCTTCTGTCACCAATATTGGAACTGATGGACGAGTCTAATTCTTCCCAGCCCCCAATATCCCATTCACCAACTTGACGGAAATGTTCTTGCTCGTTTCCAATAAAATGCCTTGCAATAGCCACAATTCCCTCTTCTTGCATCCCTTTTACAACAGCAGCGCCGGCAACGCCTTGAAGATATGGGTCAGCACCAAAGCTCTCCCAATTTCTTCCTCCTTGTGCTTTCAATCCGATGGGACCAACAACTGGTGCTAGGGCCATATGAACATTTTTAGCTTTAAATTCTCTTCCGACTGCCTTTCCTTTTAATTTCATGAGGTCTTTGTTGAAAGTGCTGCCCAATGCCAATCCAGAAGGATAATGTGTTACGAAGTCAGTGAATCGAACTCCATTAGGTCCGTCTTGGAGACACAAACTTGGAATGCCGAGTCTGGGAACCGAGCCTGTGTTTCCTAAGCACGGACCCGAGCCCCACCCGGTCCCAATGGTTAAGTTTACTTTCTCTGGTATGGACATTTTCTCAACTAACTTCTTTGCTTTCTGGTGGGCCTTTTGCATTACATCTTCTAATCTTCCACTCATGGCTGCAAGGTTAGAATTTCGAACTGATTCAAAAAATCTTCTGTTTTACATACGACTTGGGTAGTAGGGTTTCAGCCAGTAGAATTCCAGCGGGTGGTCTTCTGCCATGTAGATGAGTGGGATCTCTTCATGAAACTTTCTCCTTTCTAATTCTTGATCGATTTGACGCTTCGATAAAGTTACATTGCCGGCAATATGACTAACCAACCCCGAGACTAGATTTAAATACATGAGAATAAACATTATAAATTTAATTGGCATTATTAGAATAAGAAGTAGTATATACTGTTCACAAAATCTGAAATTGTTTCTCGATCTTTCGCACCCATTTTTCGCACCCAAATGACGACGAAACTAGATAAACTATTTCTCGACTACCTATTGGAAACCCTCAACCAGAACCTGTACCGGCGTAATTACACTAGGTGCTGGGTTATGTAGCAGCGTCGAATCTAAATCAATTCTGGTCATGGTGCCTGAGCTCTTCAAGGTGGTGGCTGAACTATTGACATTCTGGTGTAACATGGGCGAGTGGAAAGACTGCCTGGTAATGGAAGGAATCTTGTTTGTACATATCTGAGGTTGATTGCTCAAGTTTTGGTTCGGTAGAAGTGGCATGTTGGGTTTGGAAAACGACATTGAGGGACTGGGCAGAACGTTGATTTGGTCTGCAGTCGAAGGAGTCGACACGGTTGGCGTGCTGGATGCTGTAGTGGATGCGGTGGTCATGATGCTTGCGCACTTTCTATTGGCAATGGTTGCCTCTAGGTCCTGAATGTTTAGCAGGGCAATGGATTCTAGGACGTCATTAGAGGACTTTGATTGTCTTTGTTTCAAAATCTGTCTTTCTGGTGTTGTTGGAATGAGTGATTTAGGCAGCTGCTGGGATTCTTGTTGTATCTGGGTTGTTTCTTCCAGTGGAATATCGAATCCCATATATTTCGCAAATGCCTTCATTGCACCGTCAGCATCTAGTAACATGGCACTCTCGAAGTAGCCGGGACGGGAGTCATCCAATTTGATGGTATTTTTGGGCTTGGCGCCGTTGAATAAGTTGAAGAGATCTGCTCTGTAAGTCTTGGGTAGTGGATTGCTGGAGATGTAAATATTGGCGAGTTTGGAGCCACTATCCATAATTTGCCACAATAATGGCTTAAGCAGCTTCATATCCTTGATTTTGTTGCGTCGGAGGTCGATTTTCTCGATGGATGACAAGTTTTGAAGTCCGTCAATGCTTATGATCTTGTTGTTGTTGAAATTAAGGGTGGTGAGATGGACCAAGTTCAGCGGAAGTCTCTCCAAAGACGTAATGTAATTGTCTGCGAAGTTCATATACTTCACGTTGTGAAGCTGATCCAAGCCCTCAGGTAAATCTTCTAGCAAGTTGTTCGAGAGGTTGAGTTTTACCACATTAGACAAGGGCTTGAACACAAATGCAGGGATGGAAGTGATGGAGCTCTCGGTGACGGTCAACTGCTTCAAGTAGAACCACTTGTTGTCCGGCAACGTGGTAGCGTCACGGTCAGGCGAAGTCAGGAATGTGTGTGGCCATTTTCCTTCTCCAGTGTCTCTCACCATATTCCCAGCAGTCATTGCCCTTTCTCTACGTGGACGCTGGAAGGCAGTGCTCATTTCCAGGTGCTCGAAATGGTCATGTTTTTTCTGACGAGTGTCGCTGAAGGATGAACGGCCCGTCTCATCGTCCAATACGAGAGTGAACAATACCTCAGCCACATCACTGACTTTGGAGTTCCGGATAATTAAGATTCTAAGTTGTTCACTTAAAGTATGCCATCCAAACACTTCATTTGGTTCGTATTCCACAAGTTCAAGCACTTGAAGGTTCTTGAACATCTTAAGGGGCACCGAGGTATCACAAGGATATTCTTCGTATCCTGCAATGGTGTTGATCTTTGTTTTTGGATTGAGAATAAGACATGGAATCTTCGTGAACGACGAATACAAGTATTTCACATCCTTCTGGATGATCTTGGGGTCCTTGCTGAAAGCAAATGAGCGCCAATATACCGAAGCACTTGACACTATGGACTTGACGGAGTTGATGGAAGTTATGGAACGAGCATCACTGTCAAACACACGCAGTGTCCGTGCATTGTTGGCCATAAACGAAATGAAAGTGGGTTCGTGGTTCGGTGTATCGAGCTTCACATTGAGCGGGCCCACATCGACCCCTAATGATGATGACTCAATTCGCTCGGTGATATAGTACAAGTGATGGATTGTGAAGCTTGGTCGAAGTGGTTTGACGTTGTTGGCCGCCCGTACCTTGGAAAAGCAGAGCAAGCCGTTGGCAAGCCCTTCTTCATTTTTTCGAATGTAAGTGGCTAGCCGTTGTACATAGACATCCCCCTCGATGGAGGAGTCATTTCCAAATGTTGCCATCATGGAGAGTATGTGGAGACAATTATGGAGGCAGCCGGAGACCAGAGGGAGAACGAAAAAGAAAAAAAAAGATCCGGCTCTTTCGTGCGGTTTATTGCGGGGCCCTCACTCCAGATGAACTTCAATCTTGATGGAAACGTTTGTTTGTTTTGGGTGTCGGAGCTATGTGCACTTCCAGGCTACTTTTGGCTCATTCATGATTTTCCTAATTGAGAAGATTATACTAGAAAGGGCTGGTAATGATTTGGCAGGAAAGGGTTTTATATATCAATTAGAGAGTAAAACTAGAAGGTCCAAATTGGGATTTTAGCACATGAAACTTCCTTTCTTTTCTATTTCTGGAAAAAAGGTCTCCGTCACTTCATCTTTTTAGCGGTAGTCATATCATCGGCCTCATAGAACATTTTGTTGTTGTATACACTCTGCTGACATTCCCCCATGCGACCTTGTACCGTCTAAGCGAAGAAGCAAAAAGATAGAAGACGGAGAACATATGGGATGAATAGTTGAAGGATGCAGGTTGGTGGAGATCGTATGAAAATAGAAATATTAAAAAGCTCAGTAAAGAATAATTGAATAGCCGAAGATCAAAGCCATTGTTAATACCAATTTTGAATTAGACTAGTCAAACCGTATATACTTGTCTTTCCGTGTAATAATCCCTAGACCCTCATTTTCTAATTCTGCTCCACTTCATCAGAGCCGGGCGACATAGGATTCACCGTCAACCGCTCCATAATGCTGGCAGGTGCAATCCCCGCCATGCTACCATTGGTGTCGATGCTTCTTCTCCTCATTCTTCGTGACAGACTGGCCAACGTCACTATGGACTCGCTGTCCCGATCTCTTTCCCTCTCTCTGTCTCTATCACGTTCTCTGTCTCGCTCTCTCGTCGCTGTCGCCTCTCGACTCAGTCCATGGACACCTGGCAGTAGCGAGCCGTGCATACTTGGAGCTAATGAAGTATCTGCTGTAGATGCAACGTATGATGAGTTGTCATTCTGTGGCTCGCCACTTAAAATCGACAGGGGATTGGTGGTGGAACTGTGTGACACAATCAGCTTTAATGGAACCGTACTGACATTATCTGAATGGAACGATCCTTGGGACTCTTCATCACTGGCAAAATCCACACTCTTCAACGACTTTCTAGCAGTTTGTTCACCTGTACTTGCTCTAGGTTGCTTCTCGTATTGTATTTCATAGTTGTGATGTCTTTCGCCAGGCTCCATTGGCCTGTTCTGTCCTTGAACTAACCTCTTGACCCAGCCAAATCGTCCGCGGGCATGGCGCTTGTCATGGATATCCATCCCTAGCCAGTTAGTAAAGGGCAAAAATGACGAGTTAGTGAAAAAAATTCACGACTTCGGTACGTACTCGTAGGGGTAGTTTGAGACATATGGGAGAAAAGATGAGTAGATAATTATCAAGTATATGTGAGTTGCCTAAATGGGAAAAAAGAATGCGCAAGCCCGGAATCGAACCGGGGGCCCAACGATGGCAACGTTGGATTTTACCACTAAACCACTTGCGCAGAAATGCTCCGAGACGGGGAATTGAACCCCGGTCTACCACGCGACAAGCGGTAATTCTAGCCACTAAACTATCTCGGACTTTTCTGAAAAGATTTTAGGGTTGATGAATAAGTAATAGCTTTACAAGAAGAACGGAGCTTAGAGCAAAATTTTAGTTGTTTGGAACCTATGACTTGGTAAATTTCCTGATTTATCAGTAATTAAATCCAATTCAAAAGCTGAAAACTTAATGCTCATGGTGAAATTTTAACCCATACTTGGACCTAATGGTTCGGTTACCACCTGCACCATATCCCTCATGTACTATTGAACATATTCTAGTTGTAAGCATAATATCATGAAAATGCACAGAGGTTTAGTGTTGATAGTTGCTGTAGCTACAATGCTGCTAGCGCTGAAATGCGAAGGCTATATTCGAAGGACCTTCAACGAAGTGGGATTATTGACAAGAGACGGGACAGTAATGATAGACGCAATTAACCTAATAGTTGCATAGCGTACAACAACGTCACCATTAATTCGACCGTAAGTGTGAGTGGACTGAAAGAGCTTCTCGTGACATGGTCGGATGATGATGCTGGTAGGATTAATTTCGATGCAGCTGTGCTTGAATGCTACCGAATATTAGGATTCCTGTTGCAATTTACAGTACGAACATTAGGCAATAATACCATCAATACGTATGCTGGCAAGAGAGTTAATGATTTCACCACTATATTAAATTATAGTGAATTTGAAAACGTGCATCGTAATCAACCCAGTCACTACCGCAGAAGCGGACCTGACTGGAATAACTGAGTGGAGCAATTGTCAAAGGACCATTATGGACACCTCATGAACTATTGTTCCTTCTCAGGCTATTGATATTAATGACCAGGAGGCTACGGCCGGTTACTTTCAAGAAACCCTAGATGCCACCCTTCATTTCTTTCATGACGATACCTAATTGGTAGGAAATCAGCTTCCTCTGAGCCATACGCTAAGCCAAAACTGGCATCATAAACTATGGGCCACATTGCTCGACGCCCCTTCCACAGATAGGACACCATACGACCTGCTGTTCCAATCTCAGACCACAATGGATACCACCTCAAACAAGCGGATTTCCTCCCTAAAGGAACTCTGATTCATGAGAAGTATTTCACTTTATCTCTTCCGATAAAAGAGTCACAGGGCCGCTGTAGTAAGCTCTTCGCAGATCTCAAAGTTTAGCAGCCAATATACCTACAGGTTCAATTCTCTAATTTCTCTAATTTATTTCCCAAACATATGTATAAGTTAAATCAACTACAAGTTAGTCTTGCAGCAAGCCTTGTTGGCAGAAACACCAACGTCAGCCAAGACAGACTTGTTGAAGTTGTTGTTGGCCTGTGGAAGGTCCAAAGCTGGGTTTCTGTCAAAGAAGTTGAATGGCACAAGGTGGATGTTGTGAGTTTCAACTGGCATAACTGGGAAGTCCTCGACTCTTGGGATGTGAGTGAAACCCAAAGTGGCCCAGACAACACAGTCATCGTTTCTGACTGGGTCCTCACCCTTGACCCACTCACCAACACCAGTGTCGATCTGGGACTGGTTAGTGAACTCACCGGCAGCAAACAACTGGTGGTCTCTGTACTTGGTGACCCAGATCTGCTTGGTAGCAAAAGCTGCTCTCTTGGCGTTGAAAGACTCCTCGTCAGCCAAGATCATCTGTCTGGCTGGCATCATAATCTTGTAACCAACATTGCTCTTAGAGATAGGGTTGACAACGTTCTCGTTGATGATCTTGTAGGTTCTGTTGGTGAATGGAGATTGCTCAACGGAACCAGCCTTTTCGACGAAAGTTCTCTCGGTGACGAAACCGACACCGTATGGATTGAATTCATCACGAGGCAACTTGACAACATCGTCGTAACAGACGGTGTTCTTGTGACCATCAACAGCAGGGTCGATTCTGAACGACAAGATGTGCTGGTGGTATGCGGCCATGACGTTTGGACCAACAATGCTTCCCCAAGGAACCTTGACGTTTTCGTCAATTGGCATGGTGGACAAAATACCGGTGGCTCTGACTTCAATGTCGATGGAACCGTCGTTGACAAACTTCAAGTTGACAGCGTACTCGTAGTTGGCAACAGTAGCAATGGTCTGAACAACAAACTCACGTTTTCTGGCAACAACAGCATTCTCAGTTCTGTAATTCATGTGCTTGTACAAAATACCATTGTCCTGCTCGTGCAAGCAGACAGTAGAGGGCTGAACAAATGGCTCACCCTTGGAGTTGATTCCAACACCGTCCAAGTACTTGATGACACCGAGACAGTCGCATCCGAGACGCAAAGAGTTACCGTTAACACCGAAACCACAATCACCCAAGTCGAAAGCCTGCTTTCTGTGGTATGGGGCTCTTGGATCACCGTATGGAACAGTCATTTCAGACAAAGAGATTCTGTAGAACACTTGTCTGCCCTTGAACCAACCGTCGTACACAGCGAAACCCTCTCTGGCGGTTGGAGCCACTCTGAACTGCCATCCCTGCCAGTCAATCTTGGAACCGTCCATGGAGTAGGATGGACCCTCAGGCTGCACAACCAACAAAGGCTTAGGCTGTCTCATAATGGTCTCGCCGTTCAAGTCTGGGTGGTACTCCACACCAGGAACAACCTGCCATGGTTGGGTTGGGGTGGTGGTGGCATCGAATCCACCAGGCAAGAAGTCGATTCTGATGAACTTCTTGGTGAAAGCCTCGAACACTGGCGAGAACTTCAATGGCAAAGAGTAGTGGTTGGACTCAGCGTGGCCGTTGTTGGCCAACACGTACATGAAGAATTGAACCAATGGTCTCTTTTCATTTGCATCGTCAGTGGCATAGATCCATGGGTCACATCTGACCGAGTAGCCTTGAGGCAACTTCAACTTCTCAATCTCAGCCAAGACAACTGGGTGCTGGGTACAGTTGTCCTCCCAGTCCAAAACATCCTCTGGCAAGAATGGACCAACCACACCCTTTGGCAACTGGGTCTTGGTGATCACATGGCCAACCGTGACGTTAACAAGGGCCTTGTTAAAGTCCAAAGTGTTAGTGTAGTAGTAACAGTACAACACTCTAGAGATTGGTGGAAGAGGACCTCCATATTTCTCTGCCTCCAAATATTTGATCATGTCAGCCTTTGGAGGGTCCAATCTATCGATCTGGACAAAGTGAACATTGGCATCGGCTGGGTGAGCGTCCTTGACCAACTTGGAAGCTAATCTGACCTCGTAGTCCCTGACTCCGTCGAATGGGTGAATAGTAGGTGCCATTGAATATGTGAAAAATAGGATAATGAGGAAAAGAAAGTATGGCGGGCCTTGGGGGGTCTTTATATTCCACTAGTGGTTGGACTATCGATTACTGATGGACTTGCCTAATCGGGCCAAGCGCTATCATCGTCATAGAACTGCCCCATTGGAGACAGGGGCGGCACAATAGATTCCGTCGCCAGTCACGTGCTGGGCGGCATTTAACCGCACCTATCCGGCATACTATAGAATATCTTGAACCCTACTGGATGGTAATTTGGCTGTACCCTCCTTCCTAATTGAGGATGGCGAAACTAATAGTTAAGTAATTTTTTCTCTTCTGTATATTTTCGGATAGCCTACGCATCCCCTCTAATCATTAGATCGTCCGGCCGATCCGTTTGACTTTACTTACCTGAATTTTGGCACAGTATAAGATGATTTATAATTTCACTTGTTAAACGATTCGGTTCACTTAGAACCTCTAATCCAAATCTTTCACATTGTTCAATATAGTTAGTGATTTCCACTTCTTCCTATTCTTTGCCCTGCTCACACTCAAACTTGGTCATAACTATCTGAAGTCTCCACAAAATTCCGCAAATTCCATTCAATTTGTTTCAATTCCCCATCTTCAGTAACTCTCTTGCCTAGTAATCCATCCCCCCGCTGTTCTATACCTCAAATCGTTGTGCCGACCATCAATCCGAAAAAGGGTATCTTTTCTTACCATTAGATAGCATAGACTCAACTGTGTGTATGCTTAGTGGTTACTTCCTCTTGTGCAAAAGCTTATCTTTGTTATCTATCAAGGAGAATCGTGGGTTCAGGCCAATCCTTACATTTCAGGCATATCTGACATTTCTTACTTTCCAAGTATTTCATTGATCTACTTGGTCATCTACATTATCAATGTCAATCGTACGTACATGAAATCTCTAACTATGTCAGGCCCGCCTGGTGAAGACGCCTAGCGCATCCAGGGCAGGGCTTGCTCTAAAAGCTGAAAAAAAGGCATCACACATAATCCACATTACAATCCTCATAATCCCATTTTGGCCCAGTCAAACAAGGTCGCATTGTACCTTGGTGTCTCCTCGCATGCCTACTTTGAGACTGCGGGAGAACTTGTGCCAATACGAGCTTTCGTATGGGGATTCACAATGTCGATAGGCTTCTTGATTCTGGGAGTAAGCACTCTAGGTGAAGAAGGGTTCGACATAGGCTGGTCACCTTGGGTGGCTGTGGGTGAGAATACCGATGCTGTGTATGGGTTGAACTTCTTGAAGGTTGGACTCGAGTTGAGCGGCACCGACTCAGGAATGTCTGGACAGAACTCAAGGTCGTCCTCGGCGTCAAACGACTTGGACAAGTAGTAACGCATGCGGGGGTTGTGCAAGGAGTAGTTGGATAAGGACGAGGATGTCGAGGAAGTAGACGAGCCGGAGCTTCCTGAAGCTCCTCCCAAATACTGCAAATGATGGAAGCTGGGCAGCGTGTTGCTCAACTGGCCATCTCCCATAGAGGGAGAGTACTGCTGGTAAGAGTTGTATGAGTATGGATTGGACATTGAGGGGCAAGTAGCATAAACAATAGCGTGGCTGGATCTAGCTGGGGTCAACTAAGTCCAGAGGATATGCAAATGGAAACTGGGTGTAGCAAGGTGAAAAAGCAGGGAGTAGATGGTTTTCGCTGCTAGCAGTAGTATAAAAGGAGTAGTTATGGTTCTGTAATTGATGAACGTTTCTTTTGGTGGAGATTGGGCTAATGCGCAAAGCTTTCCTGTAGATAAGCCGCTGGTCCTGATTAGAACTTTCGCTGGCTGATAACGCTGTGAAAGTCTTGAGGTGTCACGGAAAAAGTAAAGAAGTGTGGGATCCTTTGATAGATGAATTACAATTAGAAATGGGGTATTTTTTTCGGGAATTTCTACTTTTTTATCCCTTGACCTCTTCTTGAAGTCTCTGGTGACTGATCATGCACATATGCGTCGTGACCACTTATATGTAGGGGTTGTGCAGGTACCCCCACCCTTACCTACCTCCACGAAACATTACGTCGATCGAAAAGTATGGAAATGGGGTAGAAGTGTACACTATGGCATAAATATGTCAGTTTTCAATTCGAAAGATTCCGCACGGAAAGACCTTTTTTGTGTCCTTATTGCGATGTTCCCTACCCTCAACTTGGCGGAACCAAAAAAAATACATGACTATGTTTGCTTTTTCGAAATACGGAGGAAAGTCGCGAATTCCACAATATTCTGTGAATTTGCTTGTCAACACAAACAAATGATCCACGTAAAAAAAATGTCAACACCAGATTTAATGGTTTTAGAAATACTTCATTACGACTACAACATATGACTCTCTAACTGAGACTTATTAGTACTCTTTTTTTTCGTTTTCTTCCCAATTTTCCGATCTTTCCTCTCTTTATCAAACTACTCCTTTGTCACTCTCAATTAGGCAGGACACTGAAACCCACCACATTTTGCACCCAATAAAATACTCCGAACGCTGGACTCGTGTGGTTTAACAGATTTTTTTCAGATGTCTTTATCTTTAAAGGTGAGCTCAATAGTGCCTTCTTATCATCTTCCTTTGGCTTATTCTACTAGAAATCACACATTGCTCGTTCTTCCCAATGGACTCAAATGTCTTCTAATCCATGATCCATCTTCTGAAATGATGTGTGGAGCCGTAACAGTCAATTGTGGAGCCTTCAATGATCCTCCGAACGTACCTGGATTGGCCCATTTGACGGAGCACTTGATTCTTAGAGGCTCCAAGACTCATAAATCAGGCAGTTTGGGTCGGAAGCTTGCTGAATGTGGGGGTCAGTTGAATGCCTATACCACCAGCACCCAGTCATGCTTCTATTTCCAAGTCTCAACATTTGCAACCAATACCGTCGGAGATGGCTCTTCTATAGTGGAATCGATATTGCCAATATTCTCGTCATACTTAACTTGTCCGTTATTAAGCGAGAGATATGTTAGCCAGGAAATCCTAGCCGTGGACGACGAACATAATGGCAATCGAAACAATCAGGAAAAAGTACTATTCCATGGGTATCGACTCTTGGCCAATCCAAAACATGTCTTCAGTCGCTTTGCAACCGGAAATTTCGACACACTCTCGATGATTTCATCCAAGAAGATTAAATCTATGGCCAAATCATACTTCAGCAATAATTTCACTCCACAAAATATGTCCTTGGTATTCAAAGGGCCACAAACAGTACTACAGCTCAAAAAGATGGTACTCAGTGAATTCATGTCGTTGGGATCATCACCCAAGACCTTGCCACATCCAAACGATGGAATCTCAACTTCGGAGCCAACGTTACATCTGGAATTCCCCAAAGACGAAATTGATCTTTTTATCACTCAGGGTCCCAATACTATTGTATTGAGAACACCGTTCGCTCCCAAGATCAGAATCTGTTTCCCAATCTACCTAATGAAACAGACAGAAAACTATAATCCTACGGTGCGATCACTCTGCAATCTACTTGGAGAGGAAGGTCCAGAATCTTTGAGTAGCCTCTTGAGTATGGAAAAAGGGTGGATTTCGGCTCTCTTTGTATTTGTTCAAACATTGTATTCCGACGTGCAAATGCTTGTTATTGACTTAGAGCCAACCAAATCAGCATGGAGCCATCTAAAGGAAATAGTCCATGAGATAATATCTTACTTAAAGAGAAATATTGGAGAATGCAAGGAAGAGACTTTAAACGTCCTAGCAGATTACTATTCAAAACTTGACGAATATAATATCATTTCTCAACCAGCTTCTGTGACCCTGCTTGATGATGTGTTGGACTACGCTGAACGATTGAATCGCTCCTTCGCTGATGCAATGCAACCAAACTTCATTTCCTCGTTTAAATCTTGGAGCAATATCTTTGCGGCATCTCAAACTATTAAGAATATGATTAATGTTTGTTTCACCGAATGTCTGGTAAAAGTAATAATCTTGGCTCCTCCCGAAGTATCTGTTGAGCAGACAATCAGAATACAAGAAGAGTACTTTGGCTTTGAGTATGAGCTTTCCAGATTGGATTTCGACAACAGTCCACAATTTGATTTCTCAGAGAAAAAATTACCAAGTCCGAGAGCTGAAATTGTCGGCAACATGATATCCCGGTTGAATAACTCAACAAGGATATCGACCAGCCACATGGTGCGAGGGTTTGAGTCCGAACTGCTTAATCCTCACCTCATGTCCTACGATCAAAGCCACGAAATATGGAAATCAACGAACCCACAAACTAGTTACGAAAACTCGATTGTTACTGTTGCCATAAGATTTCCACATATCAGGGCCTCAGCCACAAATAGTGTCATCTTAGACTTGCTCGTTGAACTCGCTGGCAACGAACTCAGAGGACCCTTGTATGATTTCGAGAAAATTGGAAGTTTCTGGGGTCTTTTTTCTAATATTAATAGATGTAGCTCAATAATGGTGACAACGTCTGGCTCACAAGATGCTGTTGAAAGTATGCTTCTTCAGATATTTGCAACTCTTAGAGAGACAGCAAATAGATTGCACGCATATCCTTACGCTCACTTGAAGAAAGCCCGAGTGAATCTAAGGAAGCGATACGAGCAAAACAAAGATTGCAGCAACATCACAAAGGTGTTATCTGCCTCATATGTTCTTTTGGAGGAGGGTATCATCACTCCAAGAGAGAAGATGGAATCGCTCGAATTGGTTGATGAGAAATGCTTGAAAAGCTTCAAAAATCAGTTCTTGAATTCACAGGAGTACTTATCAGTGGTTAAAACAGGAGAATTAAACACCAGCTGTTTGACCAATTTGTACATCGTGGGGAAGAATTATGGATTTGGAAAGGAATTACGAGATCCATCAAGCGTTGTTCTAAGGGACGGTTCTTTCTATTTATTCGAAACCGAGACGAGAGAGGATGACAATATTTCCGTTGTCATGCACTATACTCAGATCGGAAGTCGCTCCGATACTTCATTATTTGTTTTGGCCAAATTCTACCTGTATTTGGTCTCCACAACCGCCATGGACGAATTGAGAATTCAGAGACAACTTTCGTACAGCGTATATTCTGGACTCCGAATGTTTCATCGACAATTCGGTATATATATTTTGATTCCATCCGCCTGGCATTCTTGCAGTCACCTTACTGATCAGGTCGAGGAATTTTTGCAAGTGGTTGAGGAAATGGTAACTTCATATTCAGAAGAGGAGTTTCATGAACAGTTACTTTTGCCATTTATTCAAACTCTTAGCGGCAACTCCTCAGAATGCGATGCCGAGTCAGGGTTGTTTGCTTCTCTTCAGCCCCAAAAAGGTTCTGGAGACAAACCATGTGGCCCAGAATTTTGTGAACATTGGAATCATCTCAATCAGATATTGAACAGCACATACAAATTCGAAAGCAAGAATTGTGAGGAGCCTTGCGACGTCAATTTGATCAGAGGGATTTCTAGAAAAGAATTTCTCGAGTTCATTGGTCAGCACATGCTTCCAAAATCACTTCAGAGGTCAGTCTTGGTAATTTGCAGCCATCCATTTAACGGCATAGAATTTCAGAGGAAGCAGGTAGTTTCACGGAATCTTTTTCAGAAAATGGAAAGATTGGATATAAATATCGACGAGGACAGTATCTTAGATGCTCTTCTTAAAAGTGACAATGCAGAGGCATACGGAGATGCCTTCAGAATTCTCTCAAAGCGATACCCAAATCAAAAGATCAAACTAAAAAGATTGCAGCTCGAGGCACAATTTGGAAATCTTCTATTAAAAGTTGGTGTTAGCTTAGGAAAATTTTCGTTAATGAAGAACGGGAGGAGGTGCTTCATGGAATCTAGGGTACCTATGGTAAGATGCTCGGATTATCATCAAATTCACCGAGAAAGCTCGGTGACCCCGACAATGCTGCTAACAGAAAAATTCGAGAAGCTTATTCGTATTGAAGAGTATCAGGAGAATAGCATCTACTAATGATTGCAACTTAAGTGCCTTCTTATCTTTGGTTATCTCATTGGTGTGCTAGTGGGGTGGGGCATACTGCATCAATCAGTAGCATTGAAGAAGAAGTCCAACAAAATCATTCCAGAATGACCACCAAGGCAGTTGAGGTGAGTTTGATAGAGTTATCCAATGGGTTGCAGTTAGAGCTTCTTGAAACAGCTTTTGGCCCAGAATCTCTCGGCATTATTATTATTAAAGATCTACCCCAAGAGTACCATGTACTTCGATTAAAGGTTCTCAAGAGTATGTCGCTATTGGCGAATCTACCTGAGCTAGAACTCAAAAAGCTCGAGTCTCCTGAATCTCTGTGGCTTACGGGGTGGTCTTGTGGCAAAGAGTTCTTGAAGTCCACAGGTGGTCCAGATACGAACAAAGGCTCATTCTATGTCAACTGTGCCTTTCACAAAGATGCTGCCCTTGAAGGACCAGAACTAGCGTTGGTAGATGAGTTTGAAAATTTCAAGACATACACCACGCCGAATATTTGGCCACCGCAAGATGCAGAAGGTTTGGAATGTTTCCAAGAGAATGTGAAGAAGTTGGTCAATATGATCATCAATGTGGCAGAGAAGGTGGCAGAGAATTGTGACAGATACATTGAAGGCTCACATTCCAACTACCCTAAAGGATTCTTAAAGAGAGTAGTTCGGGATTCAACGTGCTCAAAGGCAAGGTTGTTGCATTATTTTCCAATGAGTAAAGGAGGAGACTCTGACGATTGGTGTGGAGAACATCTCGACCACTCATGCATCACTGGATTAACCTCTGCACTCTTTCTTGATGAATCAAAGGGTTTGACACATGCATTGGACAAGTCTCCAGACCCCAATGCTGGATTGTACATTCGGAATAGAAACAACCAAGTGCACAAGGTAAACATACCTACGGACTGTCTAGCATTTCAGACAGGCTCAGCGTTGCAAGAAATATCCAGAAATAATTTTAAGGCCGTTCCTCACTACGTTCAAGGTACGTTTATTCCAAATATTGCTCGTAATACTCTCGCAGTGTTTTGTCAGCCAGACTTGGACGAGCCTGTCAATGATGAGGAAAATTTCGCCCAATTCGCCGAGAGAATAGTCAAGAGCAACCACTGAACAATTCAAAAGTCGCTTAAAATATTGGAACCGCCTTTTCCAAGTTGGTTTTATTTACCTATTAAATTCGGTTGTTTTAGACACACTCGCACAATACATGTACCTATACATTCTATAGTACCGTCGATGACATGTCCAATACCTTTGCACCAGTAGTCAACGATCCTCTTACAAATGGTCATGTGGTGAATGCCAACAACTGTCCCACAGATGACCAAGATGTTCGCAAAGAGCTTCGCAAATTGGGCGAACCTATTACACTTTTCGGTGAGCGAGAAGTTGAGAGAAGAGAGAGACTTCTACGGCTCCTTAGTGAACAGAGACACACCGACTTCGGCATTGCCGAGCTCGAGAGGAGCGACGACAACCTGATGGAGCACACAAGTGAGGAAGAAGTTGATGAAGAGGAGTTCTACACGCCTGGACTGGATGAGCTATTGGCTTCTCGAAAGTATATTCTAGAGACCTCTGTAGAGAAGGCTGCAAGAAGATTGAAACTACAGAAACAACAGGCGACAGACTACGACGCTGCACGCACATTGAAGCACAGGCGACACATCAACAGCGAACTTGGAGAGTTTGAATTGAACGGTACATACACTTTACAAGGAAACACCCGGACTTTGAGTGGTATCAGAGTCAATTCGAGCGATAATAAGGTGGCGTGCGGATCTTGGGATGGAAACTTCTTTATTTTGGAGCGTGGAAGTCCAGATAATTTCAAACAGGTCTGTCGGCTGGCACCAGGCAACCATACGGAGAAAGTAACAATAGCATGGAGTCCAAACGAAGAAGACCTTCTTGTTTCTGGAGGAGCAGAAGGAACGCTCAATGTGTGGAAAGTGACTGGTGAGTCCAAATTGAAACCTTCAACATCCGTGAAACAGGCTCATTCCGGTCGAATTGCCAAAACAGAGTTCCATCCCAGTGGAAAATACGTAACCACCACATCTCATGATCAGACTTGGAAGATGTGGGATCTCAACCGCATGAAGGACTTTCTTGTGGAACAGGAGGGCCATGACAAAGAGGTATGTGCTGCAAGCTTCCACCCTGACGGAAGTATACTAGCTACTGGTGGGTTAGACGCCATAGGACGAATTTGGGACCTTCGGAGTGGTCGTTCCATTGCGGTACTCCAGGGTCATATCAAAGGTATTTATAGTATGGACTGGTCTCCCAATGGGTATCACCTTGCCAGTGCTAGCGGAGACTGCTCGGTGAAGATCTGGGACATGAGAAAGACCGAGGCAGAGCTCTTCTCCATTCCAGCCCACACAAAGTTGGTCAGCGACGTGAGATTTCTTCAGCGCATTGAGAACAGTCCATTGGCTGTAGCGCAGACGGATGAAACTGGCAACAACCCCAAGGTACTAGATGCGTCAGGTAGTTGCCTTGCTACATCCTCGTTTGACGGAACCGTCAAGCTCTGGTCCGCAGACAACTGGGTGGCAGTTAAGACGTTACGTGGACATACAGATAAGGTGACGAGCTGTGACATAAGTCGAAACGGGCTGTACGTGGTCAGTTGTGGATGGGACCGGGTCATGAGAGTATGGAGTAAGTTGGTGTGAGCACCTGTAAAGTATAATATCGTAAAATACATTGAAGTAAAGAAACTAGCAAAGTGAGCATGTAAATTCCATTTTAAGCATCTTTTTGTTGGTAATTCGGCGCTACTGCAACTCTATTTTTTATCCAATTCTCTTTTTTGTTTCATATTCCTTTATCAATTTAAGACTGTACAATTCTGAACTGTACGGGATTAGCCATTAGTTCCACTGTCGCGCATATAACCATCTTCAACTACTCTCAGTACCCATGGATTTATTCAGTATTCTAGACGGCACACCCGAGCCGCCAATCGTTGATCTTCATTTGGATAGTATCAACAACTCCGGCGATTACAACTTACCGACACCCATGTTCGAATTTCAGAAAGAACTCACTGACCAGATTGTCTCGTTGCACTATTCGGACATCTTAAAGTACTGTGAAACCAACGACACCACCGACCTCATTATCAAATCGCTAGAGATATGCGTGGATAACTGCATGCTCGTTGCTACACATCCATATTTGCTTATCCAGCATTACATGCCAAAGAACTTAGCGCTTCGAGACATTTCTGCCAAGTTGGCAGAAACAAGCGGGAAGTTCAATGTTCTCAAGGACTTGGTCAATGTGATTCTTCTGAATAACGTTCTGAATGCTACAAAAAATATTGGAATCGTCATGAAAAATGACTTGAAGGTATTCGACTTGACTGAAGCTCTCTTACTGGGTTGTACCGGACAAAAGACCATCCAAAGATATGTGGGAAATAACATCAAGAAGGAGACCGGAAGAAGCAGCAAAACCAAGGATCCCAAAGCAGCTATCATTCACCTAATTTCACATGATGGAGTTCTAAACAAGCATGAGGAAGAGTTGAAGAATGTAAAGTTCGACTTGGTAATTGCTATGGATGGATATGTAGACACTAACTCCGATTTCTTCCTCAACTTGAGACTGCAAAACAGAAGAGGTGACGCCGCGGTGTTGGTTCGCTTAATTCCAATCAACACCATCGAGCACTGCTTACTCCACTACGAGGGATTGAAAAAAGATACTACATACTTATACAAGTTGATCTCGTCCATTGTCTGTTTGAGGGACCAAATCGGCAACTTACCGCCAGATCTATTTCCAATCTACAACCAGAATTTGACCTATTTGTCACACACGTTCTTCGACCATGTTTTTCGTCGGGATCTCAGGTCTTTCCCATCTTGGCCATTGCCTGAGCTAGTGAGCATTCCGAAGTTCTCCGCCACAGATGTGGAAAGATCGTTGTTGACAGAAGTTGTATATCATTACACTCCTTATGACTCCAACGAGAATTCCGTGGAGATTTCGACTAAGAAGAAATCCTATTACGAGTCAAGACGTTTACAGCTGGACTACGTGACCAATCCTCTCAAGAATGACTATAATACGCTAAGTGGTATTCAAAGTCATTATGGTATCAGCGAGAAGCCCATGAAGGACCACACAATATTGACACACAAGCTTATCCTCGAACTTAACTCGACTTACCTAAATTTATCTTTAGTGGAGGAGGAGTACAATGCATACGTTGATTTCAACAAAGACGAAAGACAGAGGAAATTTGGAAGACGAGTTGATGAAATTAAATTGTCGCTTACAAAGATCTTGGATGATGTAGATCATGCACAACATCGAATTGACGTGGCAGAGAAGAAGTCTCTAAAACGAAGCCAAGAGATTGACGAATTGAAAGCTAAGTTACAAGAAAACAAAGACAAGCTATTGAGTTTTTCTGAGTCTCACAAGATAGATGAATCCTCACTCAAGGGTAAATTTGTGACCAATCAAATCAAGATTTGGGAGTTGCAGAAAGAGGTCAAGGATTTGGTCGAGAAGCTCCATTCCAAGGGAGAGGAGAGGAGTTACACAAGTAAGGAAGTGAGTCATTGCGATGAGTCGATTGCCACGTCAAAGGAGCAAGTTACACAACTCAATGAACAAGTTGAGAGCCTTAAGCGAAAGATTGAGGAAGCTACAAGTCTCAACGAGGAAGAAGAGGATAAGTTCAAGAAACAGAGGACGGCTTTGAAGGAAACTATAAGTAGTGCCACAAAGGAAAATGTTGCTTTGAGGGCTAAGTTGTTGAAGTCTTTGAAGTTCTTGAAGGAAACATCTCATCTCAAGAAGAGGAAAGGCAGAGACTTGACGCCGAGTACCCGTTAATGTATTATAAGTAGTATATAGGAATTTCAGATTGGTGGGCATCGAGGATTAAACAGTTGTTGATAGGACTCTCCTTCTTTCCCAAGTATTGGATAACATCTTGAGCCAAAATACCTCCCAAGATCGCAGCCACAGGTGCAAATTCAGCAAACGCTTGATTGGAAAAGAAATGCAAGTACTGGTCGGTTATAACTGACTCGGGAAGACCGAGAACCGAGCAAACCTTCAACAGAGCAGCCTTAAGTTTTTCAATATCCACCACATCTTCTGGATTAGAGAGTCGTTCCAATTCAAAAAGTGAAAGTACCAAAGGCAATGCAGCCGACAACCTCTTGAGCTGACGCTTGGTGAGTTGCGACGGCAACCGAGATGAAGTGAAAATTTCACTGATAGGAACAAATGCGTCAACAATGGTGACAACTTCCTTCTTGTCAGCTTCTTTAATCTCCACTTTTGAAATCGTCTTCACTCCATTGATCTTAGTATTGGCAGTGCGTGGCTGGTTACCCATTTCGCTCTCCACTCTGGACTCGTGCTTGATCAAGTCGGTGAAAATATATCCAAACATACCGTGCAACCCAGCCACATACAAAGGAATACCTTGGGCTCTCGTTAGCGTGTTGACATAGAGGATTTCAATCTTAGTGAGCTCAGTGGCCACAACCAAATCAAAATTCTTGAAATAGTCCTCTGATACATCTTCAAGCTTTGTTGTGTTGATCAGAAGATTGACTCTAGGATTGAGCTCCTTGATTGCTGAAATAACAAGTGGAAGTTTAGGTTTTCCAACGATAGAATCATCATTGGGTAGGAAAAACTGCGTGGCAAAGTCCTCATCTTTGACAACACTAGAATCTAATATTTCTATACTGTTAAGACCTCCAAGAACCAAGTTTTTGATGATCTCGGTTCCAACTCCAGCTAGGTTAATTATGAGAAGTTTAGCTGATCTCAATCTGAGCTGGGTGTCGGCACCCCACAAACGAATCTGTCGATCATAGAGTGCAATTTCGTCTTCACGTTAGCATAATTGGTATTATAACATCGAATAATAATCTTAAACATACCTGGAGTTAATTGTTCGGTCATGGTAAGTTGTAGTTGAAGGTAGAAATGAGAAATGCATAATGAGGTGTTTCGATGCACTCCGTGTTTATGTAAGATATTTAAGTGACTTACAGCATATGATTAAATTCGATGAGCGGAGAAATGTAACTTTTGGGGAAATATGAGAGCAATAACAGATAAACCACAATGCTATCAAGTATGAGACATGCGTATCTTAGTTTGATCCTGACACAACCAACTTTTGCAAGTGAGACATGAACACTTGCAACGATACATCATCAGTCAACACCACAGCGCCTCTAGAAACGTCTTGCGAATTATAAGAGGTACTTGGGTTCAACTTGGAGTACAAGAATCTTGCTTGCGAACCTCCTTCTTCAGTGTCGATGAATCTTGGCAATGGGAAACGATCAACTAACAATTCTCCAGCCTCGAGCTTGGGCTCCTCCAATAATCTTCTGAAGTCCTCGTACTCTTCCTGATCCTGGTATCCGGCTTTACGCCACTGTGCAATAGTTCTACCATGGAAGATCAAGATGTGGAAGAAGGTATCCAAGAGCAAAATGCGGTCATCCTTAATGGACACAGAATCTAACAACACAGCCTCTGGCTCTTCTAGGTCCAAGCCAAAGGAGGTCAATGTAGGCTGAATCATGATCAAGGAGTTGTTTGTATCCTCGGTCATCAAGATGTGTCTGTAGAAGGCGGTCTCGTCAGGAGAATTGTTGAAAACTTGCAAGAACTGAGATCTTCTCAAATAGTAAATGAACTGAGGAAACAAAGCAAACTGTGGATGCAATCTAAAAGACTCTTCGACGTCTTTTCTATAGTCAGCAAATTTCTGACACAACTTGATCAACATACGGTCAATCCATCTCAAAACGTCAGCTCCATCATCTTGTTCTGACTTGAAAAGGGTGACTCTGGCCATCAAGACTGCCGCAGCCTCTTGATCGAACGACTGGGCCAAGATTTGTTCATCTCCAGTCAAGATATTAGACACGGTAGTAACTCTCATTCTATAAGTACCAGAAGAGTGCTGGTAATGTGTAACGAATTGGATGTACGATTGGGCGTTAGGAGGCAATGGAGCGACATTAGCAACATCGAAGAAGATGGCATATGTATGCTGTGGAGAAAGTGCACACATCTTGAACTGATTGGAACCTCCAATACCAACTTCATTTTCAGAGACATTGAAGCCCTTTGAATTCAAGGAAGATGCGTGACCGATCAAACCACTGACCTTCAACTCTCTGGAGGTCTTGATATCGAGGGTGGCGTTGAAACCCATTTGAAGATAGTCGTTAAAGTCCTTGACGAACAACTTCAAGAACGACTGCTTGAAAATGGAAGTGGTGAAGGCATCGGTCAACAACAACACACCACCAGTCTTGCTACACAACTGCTTCATTTCCAAGAAACCCACTTGGTCCAAACAACCACCGAACAAGTCGATTGCGTGCGAGTTTTTAACAGCCCTTGCCGCAATGGCATCATAAAACTTGACAGCCTTCTTGTAGTGCTTGGCATTGTCTTTATCAATATCAGAGTGAGATCTGATAGGCTCTCTCAACTTGTTTCCCACAATCATACCTGGGTTTAAAGTACACAAACCAGCGGAGAACAAGAAGATTCTAGCACCGAAACCCGAGTAGGTGTTTCCAAGCAAACTGGTAGCGACGTTGATAGCAGAACCAGTACAACGCAAAGATCTGTCGCCGTGGGCCACAGGCCAAGGGTCGGCACTCAAGTTCTCTAAAGTAGTGGTCAATTGGTCCTCCACTATCTCGAGTGGCAAGAAGAAACGTTGCAACGAGTTGGCCATGCCCATCTGGGCAGGTTGTGCAACCACAGGCTTATTTAACATGTCAGCAACTTGCTTGTCCAGGTATTCCTTGTCGCCTCTGAAAATGTGCGATCTGTTGACACCGTCGGTGCCCAAGTCGTACACCTGAACCATGGTTCCATAAGTGATCAACCCAACCAATGCATTGGAGGGCAAGTAAGACAAAGAGATGATCAAGGTTTCCTTCATGGCGTTCAAGTTGTCTTCATCTTGACACAAATCTACCACAAAACAGAAGATGGGTGGCTGTTGCACGGGCTTGGCTGTGATGTATTCAATGGTGGAGGCATCTGGTCTCAACTCCAGAGGCAAGTTGTCTTGAGTCAAACCTTGGTAATGTGGAGGCAATTGGCTTCGGTTGCCACACAATGGACATATCCAGAAGCCCGTAGGGTCAATGGAGCAGTAAGGGTTGAGGATGCTTCGACATTGTGGGTTCTGACAATAGCATGGGTCGTAGCCTGCCACAGGCAAGTCCTCGCCACGATATTTAAGCGGCGTATAAAACACACCGGTGGGAACGACTATTTTGGCGGCCTCGGCCTTTGTGGAAGGGAAGGAGTTCCAGGCAAAACGGACGCCGTTGATGTCCTCAGCTTCCTCGAAATCCATGGTAATAAAGGAGTGGGAAACGCTAGCAAAAAGAGGCAAAAGACAGAATGTGGCTGCGGATCTTGAAGTAGCGTGGGAACAGCACCGATTGGGCAGGTGAAGGGTGGCGCCGTAGGTTAGAGGAGGTGTTGATTGATGTTGGAAAAACTCGTCGTTCGAGAGGACAACACACGGTCGTGCGCGACCCAGTTTGGAGACGTGGAGGAAGGTGACAAATTGATGAAGAAATAGATTACGATGGGGAAGGTGAAGAAAAATTTTCGAAAATAAGAGATAATTCATTAAAAAGTTTGATTTTGGAGAATTTCCTTTCTGTGGTTTTGTCAATGGTTGGAGGAATGTATGCTAAACGAGCGAATAATCTGCGTGATTGTAGCACGAATCAAAAGCTATAGGAATAAGACACCTGATGTAGATACTAGGAGCGAGACCGACCGACAGCATTTCAGGTCGATTTCATGAGAACCCACTTGAAGTTTTAGAAACATTAGCAATGTGCAATCGGAGAAAATAAGATAGATAAGAATACTCTTTGAAGATTTCTGTGTTTTGGTTGTCGCAGAATTGATAAGTTTATGGACACTGATGTTAGAGTTCCTGAATACCAGAGGTGTACCAACAGTCTGGAATGCAGTAGGTAACTGATCCAAAGAAAAGCAGGCTTGTTAAATCCTAGGTCTATAATATGAAAATGTGATCATTGGGACGAAGTGTGATAATTTTGGAGCGTTTGATATCACTTAGAATGGGTATGGAAAACAGTTTGCTGGATCTGGTCAATTTCATGTGTCTATTATGGTTTACCCATCGGATGACTGAAAAAGAATTGGAATGAATGCAACTAGTCTAGGCACAAAGTAGACTACGTCTTATATAATGAACATATCCAGGTACATATCTCTATATAGCTGCTTATACGTTCGTAATCTCTCGCAGTGGTTTGTTTATTAAAGATGAATTGCGAAAATGGCACTTTTCAAGTATTTGACTCAGAGATGCCAAATAACTGTCTTTGGCTAACAACAAGCACAGTAGTTAGTTGCTTCGGCAGATACTATACGTATCTTCATAAATATTCAAATAAAGTTATGGATCAAATCACTTTTACTTTTTTCTTGTTTTTCAAGCAAATCAATCAAGACCCAATCATACCTACAAATGGAATTTTCGTTGAATACCACGAAACCTATGAATTATTTCAATCAAGTGGATACACCCTATATGCGTAAAACAAAAAATGTATTCCATCTCTTATGATATAAAGCGATATTTGGTAATTGGCAAGTTTATGTGAGCATTACATTCACCATAATGTCTATATTCCTCTCGATACTTAATATTCAGTCCTAGGTGCTCATTACTAACTTGAAGTAATCTTTACTCAGTCCAGTCTCTACAACCACCAGACTGGTCGCTTACCACAACATTCTCATGTTGTTCCGCACGATATTGCCTCGCTTGGCCATAAGTCGAGCATACTCTTCTAAACTTTCCAACTACTTTGAATTGTTCCCCAAATGCTTCCCGGCCGGAGGTCCTCCAGCAGACCAATTTGCCATCAACTTGCGCCAACTCAGAAGAGAGTACCGTAATGTCCAGAGCGAGCATCATCCGGACGTCATCATGGGCTCTGCTGCGCTCTCCACGGATTCTGATCCCACCGATACGACGTCGGCTCTTGTAAATCGAGCTTACTCCACAATTCGGAACCCCTACACTCGAGCAGCATATGTGATTCAAATTCACCACCCAGAACACATCGATATCACCCAGGACGATGTGTCAAAAGCATTGATTTCGAAATTCCAGGCAGAATCGCCCGAATACTCTGTTGACTACAAAATGTTGCTCATGACTGTGTTGGATGCACACGAGTCGTTGGAATTGGCAGGTTCCGAGGCAGATTTGGAATCGTTACAAACGGAAAACGAAGCTCGCATCGAAGAAACAGAAGGGGCCATCAATACCTTACTCAAGAAACAACCTATTGTATGGGAAGAGGTGATCATCGAGACTATTCGCATGAAGTATTGGGTGAACATCGCCAATGGCATCAAAGACTGGGAGCCGGGAAAGCCCGTCCACTTGACCCACTGACACTCATATATTACAGCTAAACCTATTTAGGCGTCACGAACGACAATATAATGAAGATCTTGAAGGATCCCGACGAGAGTAGACAGAGGCAACCGCATTGGCCAGCCTTGGAAAATCTCTAGAATGACCGACAGGAGCGACACTAGTGAAACCAACCGTGGTGATTACGTACTCCAGGATAATTCGATATTCAGTCGTTCCAAGAGGTCAGCATGGCCAAAACTCCAAGGTGTAAAGTATACCTTGGCGAGCACTGTCAACACCACTACTACGGGCTATACCTGGTCAGATAACCCACTCCTCACAGCTTCAATCCCATAAATACAAACACACTTAAATATCCTCACTGGCCATTGTCTTGTCGTCGTCCATATAGACCTCGTTCTCTGAACCCTCCGAAACTGCCAAATCTAAGTCGCTGGCTGCGTCGTGCGGGATAGAGAGCTCACACTCGTCGAATTCTTTCTTTTCCTCATCATTCTGCGGATACTGTCTCAACCACTTCATCCGTGGACCACTAGCACTGGATTCGTGAATGCGGAAGCCAAACAACCGCAAACCAAAGTTGTCCTGGTTGACCTTGTTAATCCGAATCTTACACTGGTTCTCAATCTCCGGAAACATCTTGACCAATAACCCAGGAAACGTTGTTCCGAAGAAAGCACCGTCAATATTTAGGTACCGCGAGCTCAGCGGAAGATAGATGTCGTTACAGCATGGACAGTACAATCTGACCGTCTCCTGTCCAGGAATGTCGGTGGCACCAACGGGGATGAGATGCATGCCGTCACAGTAATACCGTGGACAGATGCCAAACTCCGACCGCTCGAATTTGCTGGCCATAGCCGTCAACCCAGCCTTGGAAATGATGTATCTTGCGTGTATAAGCCCATACAAAAGCTCAGCCGAATGTGATAGTAATGCCTTGTTGGGTAAGTCGTTTCTTTTGCCCGAGGATCCATTGGGTCCATTATTAGCCAGACCGTTGCCTCCGCTACCACTGTTGTCCTCTGCGGTCTCCACCTGGTAGTCTAAGATGGTGTATAATGCCTCCCTATAGTAGGGCACTTGCAGTGATAAACCAGTTAAGTTGAAGTCATCTTCTATAAATTCCTGGGCTACTGGCACAAAGTAGTCATGACCAAATGCCTCGCAGAATTGTTGGATCCAAGGTACGTAGTCGTCCTCTGGGTCACTAGACATGGCGTTTGAGTGTTGTTCTGGTATCCTTAGATGGGGAAAAAAATGAGTATCAGCAAGCTCACGTGCACGTCCAGGTAACAGTAGAGGAAATGAGCTGGAGAAAAGAGGACAAAACCAAGCAGAAATTGCTTGAAAAGAGACTAGAGGGATTGAAAGCTAAAGGATTTAGAACTGTATATATATTTCATCTTTTCCATTTCATTCTGTTCCCTATCTACCTGATAATTTATCCTCCATCAAGACACGTGACCAAACACTCTCCACCACCTTTCACTAACTGGTCAACAAACCTCAATAACTAGCCAATGTTTGATCTACAATCTTCAACTATTTTGATAGCTATATTTTTGGTTCTTGTAACCAAGCATATTGTGAACTTGATTGGTAAGTCAAACATCCAGAACCAGGCATGGAACGTCTACACTCAAGTGGCTTCTAAAGCAGGTCACCCCAAGTTTGCTGAATTGTCAGCGAAGAGAAAGCAATTGCTTGAAATCAACAAGGAGAGAAAATCCATAAGTGCACAGGATCAGTATGCTAAGTGGACCAAGTTAAATCGTCAGTTTGATACTGTTTCGGCTGAAGTCAAAGCCTTGGGTGACCAAATGTCGGTGGAGAAGGCTTTATTCTCTAAATACGTTGGTTATGCGATTACTGCCGTCACAACGGCTCCTATCTGGTTTTCACGTTATAAGTACCGCAAAAATGTGTTATTCTATTTCCCACCAGGTGTGCTTCCTTCTAAAGTTGAGTGGTTTTTAGCCCTTCCATTCATGAAAAGTGGAGCTGTGGGTTTAACCATTTGGATGTTCGCTGTGAATTCGGTATTGTCTTCGGTGGAGTCACTCGTTAGATTCATTTTAATGCCTCGGGTAGAGAAGCCCGTCAGACCTCCTCCAAAGGTCTCCGAAGTTGAAGAGGTGAACCAAACGTTCCAAGTGCCTGTGGATTTGGACTAATTCTATGCTTTAAGCGATTTCCAACTGCTCTCCGAACCTTGCCAACATCACCAGCTTAAGTTCTGCATTGCTCTCATCAAATAAATATTGACCCTTTTGTCCTTTTCGTATGTTTTCTTGTGCTGTGAGGAACGTCCGTCTGATTAGATCAGTTGTGAACTCAGACAAATTAAACCCTGTCAAATCATTTCTGTCTGTCGCCAAATAGTACCACGAGTCAATGGCTTTCATCCACACTTTCATTTGGTTACAATAAGTGTACACATTATTTGACTTTTCGAGAATAACGTACGGGTGTCCGTTGCTCTCGTCAATTTCAATCGCTTTCACATTTTCAACGATTACGTTTGGTACTGGTGCTGCTTTCTTTTCTTTTTCTGTTGCTCCCACCTTTGGAACTTCAATAGTGGTCTCGCAATTGAGAATAGGTGCAATAGACACGGCCTTTAACACTGATGTGAGGCCCCTGAAGCAATTCCCCAGCCCCTGAAAATGCCAGCAATGGATAAGACCCAGGCTTGTGAGTAAAAGAACAAAGTTTCCCTTTTGCTTGCAGAAAACAACGTTACTTCCAAGTTCAATTCCCGGAAGCAAGTAGTTCCCAGACTCTGCAAAAATGATCTGAACTGTACCTTCAAATGATATCAAGATGTAGTAGACCAATTGCTTGTCGAGAATGACAGGCACAACTTGCTGGATCTTGTAGGGGAAATACAAAATGTAGCTCTTTCTCGATTCCTTTTCAGAATTAGAAACGATCACTTGAGTCGGGTCTTGAAAATCAAGCCTTTGAGAAAAGTCCATGCTGAGAGTCTCGTCTTCATCCGGCCAACTTGGTCCATTTCTTACCTCCACTATAGAAGTGACTAGCTCAGGAGCCGATGCCGTTTCTTCAAACTCCAGTGACTTCACATGCTCGATCGCATTAACTATGACTTGAAAAATCAAATTTTCATCAATTGATTCCAAAGCAGTTGCATTGAGAATTTCGTGATTGTTAAGCGGTGTGATCTCCTTGTTCTGAAGTAGCTTTGATAATTCATAATTCATAACGTTGTGGTTGCTGAATAACACTTCTGGAAGCGAGGAGATCATTTTGAAAGGTGTTGGATACTTGTGAACCATCAACAACTTTCTGTATTTTCTAATGCGCTTTCTGAGGCTGGTTGTAGAGAATGTTTGTAGTTGCGTGTTGGTGGGGTCGTCAAGGCCCATATCTTCATTGTCATTGTCCTGATCATCCTCCTTTTGTTCGTTACCTAAACCTGCCCTTTGAACCCGCAGCCGGAGTCCGTGAACGCTTGTTTGGAGCCCTAATCTCGGAAGATAGTAGGAAGTTTGGGAAATTTTTGAGTTGATATGGAACGACTTACTCACTCTTGCAACTGAAGGAACGTTTGTGGATTTGTCTGAATATGTTGAGACAAGAATGGGAGTAACCCTCTTTTTCCCATCCTTGGTTATCTTGACGCTCTGAGTGAGTTTATTCACCTGCTTTGGAGTCAAATGGTTGGTTGTGGGGGCAGATGATGTTGTTGGCTGTGGAGTGACAGACCTAATTAGTCCCACAGGCGGAGTTTTAACGGAGTGCTCTTCCTTGACAATAGCAGGTTCCTGAAAAGAATTTTTTGACGCTAGGTTCTCCAACTTAAGTTGGTCGACGCTTTCAGCGAAAATGGCAGAGTCTCTATCACCACCATACCTAAGTAATTGAGAGTCATTCACGTCCTCGCTCACCACTTCCCCTAGCTCATTCTTTTCAAAAATAACACAAGTAATAGTTCCATCTAAAGAGCTGATGAAGAGAGCATCGCCGCTAGGTGTCCAGCATATGTCGGTAATGGAGCTCTCCACGATGTCTTCTGCTACAACCAAAGGCTTGGTGGCTGTCGTACTCCACACAGCCAATGTTCTGTCTTGACCGCCAGATGCTAGAATAGTAGTAAATTTTTGAGTTGAAGAACCTGAACGGAATAAGCGTGGGGAAAATGAGCAAACCTCACAAGGAGCCTCATGTCCAATAAGGGATACGTCATGGGCCCAGTCACCTCTGTTGATGATGACTACCGAAGTGACGGGACCATTGGTGGCATTTGGTACAGCAATATGCTGACCATCTGGCGACCAAGACATGCGCCGGAAGTAAGAAGTCAAAGGCGACTTCTTGAATGGATCCATGATGATCTGTTCCATCTGAAACTCATATCCTCCTGTCGAATCGTTTGCCTTGCGGTAGTAGCGAAAAATCCGGACGCTTCTATCGTCAGAAGCAGTAGCAAAAAACTTGTTGGCGGGATCAAATACAATTCCCTTGACCATTGACTGATGGATATCATACCGTTTAATTCTCTCGAAAGTCGTTCCACTCCAGATGATAATGGAGCGATCCAAGCCCACAGTGATGAGAAGAGACCCATCCGGAGACCAGCACATGTCTTGCACGTCATTATCGTGAGCTACCAATCTTTTTCTAACCGTCCAATGTTCAAGATCTGCTTCTGCCTCTCCAAACTGCTTGGGTCTTCGAGACTGTTCCTCATCCTTTTCCCAAATAAGTACGATTTTATCATCCGAACCAGAAGCCAAAAATCGGCCGTCTGGCGAGAATTTTACACATGTCACCGCTCCATTGTGTCTGCTCATAGATGCCAATGGACGTTGCAACACATTTGAAGGTTCCTCCATGCGTAGCGAGAAGCTATCAGCCTCAGGCGGTAGATCCGAGGATTCCAACACTTTGTATTCTATGATTGATTTCAAGTCCCAGATTTTCACTTTTCCATCAAGTCCTCCTGACGCCAACTTGGTGCCTTCACTATTAACACTGATGGCATAGCACTCGACAGACTTATGTTCAGCTGGATGTTAGTATCGATTGGGAGGGTAATTGGATAGAATTCTCTTGCCAAAATACAAACCTCTATGCGCCAACCACGGTAGTTTCAATATACGCATTGGAACAGTGCTGATTGTGAATCTTTGAATCGCGAGTTAGTACATTCTGTATCGTTTTATTCATGCACACCTGAAGGCCAGAAGCTCAGAACTTCCAAAGACTATTAATTTTTTTTTGAAGAAGCTTGAAAACATGAATAGTACTCTTACTTCAGTACTCTTACTTCAGTATCCGATTGCAACTTGAGTACTCCCCAAGTAGTTAAAACCTTTCATCAATTGGAAGTTGGCCTGGAAACTTATTCTCATTTCTTAGTGGTGAAACTTTCGTCTCGTTGCAGCTTACTCCTGCGATAACAATTTTTAGCTATGTATCTATAAATATTCTAGTACTCTAAAGACCAAATTCAAATTTAACGGCACGGCCGAACTTTTCCAAACCAATCTCCAACTGATCCAAAGGAACGGCAGCATAGGTACCTCTGAAGAAAATGCTGTGAGCATGCTCGGCACTCTCCGGGGTAGGAGGCTGTGGTGGGTTGGTGACACCTTCGGCCTTGAACCACGAGCCAGGAACCATCAAAGAACCAAACTCCAAAGCTCTCTCGTAGACTGCAGTCTCCACCTTCAATGGATCCTCGCCAAACTCCTTGAACTTAGGGTGTTTGGAAGCATCAAGGTGCACGACGAAGAACATACCAGCCACAGGAGGTAAAATGGTCACCACCTCCTTTGGGAAGTACTTGTGCAAGCTGTCAATGGCAACATCTCTCTTGTGGGTGTACTCAGCTCTCAAGCCAATCAACCAGTCAAGGTAACCTGCCTGACCCCATGACTGGAACATGCCATTCAAAAATGACTGGGCAAAACCAGAAGGACATTGAATGGAAACTTCGTGCAATCTTACAAATCTTTCCAATAACTTAGCCTGGCCAACAATCCAGCCGAATCTCGAACCAGGTGCGATGGTCTTAGATACAGAGTCCAATCTGATAACTCTACCCTCAACATCCATGGAAAGGTATGATGGCACAAGTGCTTTGACAAACTCCTCGTGGCTGTGGACGTGCTTACTAGATCTCTCCTTCAAGTCAGTGGTGTATGGCTCCATCTGCAAGAAGTAGTATGGCTCGTCTTCAATGATGATGAAGTCGTGCTTCTGCGCCAACTTATAGATGGCCTTTCTTCTCTCTGCATCAAGACACGAACCGGTTGGATTCTGACCAGTACAAATAGTGTAGAACATTTTAGGCTTAGGGCCGACCCAGTTGTCCAAGAGCTTCTCCAAGTCCTCAGGAATGATACCCTCGGTGTCCATTGGAACAGGAACAGTGATGATACCCTGAGCCTGGGCGGTCTCCAAAGCGGACGAGAAAGTGTGCTCCTCAACCAAAATGGCATCACCTCTTGTGACGAAAGTTCTCAAACAGGCATCCCACGACTGGGTGTTACCAACGGACGAGATAAGTGCCCAATCCTCATATGGAACCTTGTGAATGAGGTCAGTATGCTCCTTGAGGAAGTCCAAGATCTCTGGCAGACCTTCAGTGAAACCATATTGCAACGATCTGGACAACTCAATCTGGTTTGGGGAATTTTTGGCCTTCAGCTTGTAGATTTCCAACACAGTCTTGTCTGCGTCAGTGACCTGAGCACCAATTCCGTTGGGGAAAGGCTGCGTTGGGATATCGGCCGAGATCTTGTCAAATGGGAAGTATTGAGAGAGTGGTAAACCTCCACCCAAGTAAGTCATACCTGGCTGGTTGAAGTACTTGAAAGCGCTCTTCAAAGGCGACAGTCTACGAGACTTTGCCTCTTCACTCAAAAGGTGGGACAAATCTTTTGCTTGTGGCTTGGACATTTTGTGATAAAAATACCTGGTGGTAAGATTCTCAACCTGAGTGCGATTCACCGTGCTTTTATATAGATGAGTAATTCTGGAAAGGATTCCGCGCTTTGTTCTATGAGCCCTTATCCAATGCAAAATGTCGATAAGCTATGTCATCTGTTGACGGGACGAGGAAAGTGGAACAGATTAGGGAATTGGAGTTGAATGGGGAAATATCAGCCGTTCGGAATTACTTGTATTGGCCGGGACCCCATTTTTTTTAAATATTTTTATCAATTGCCATTTTATGGTTGGCTCCGATGGATAAATGCCTCCAAGTTTCCGCGCCAGTCGCCGTATACGGCATTTATCGCTACTACCCCAGATTGATAGACAATAATGTATTTTTTTTGGGGGGTTTGTTAAATTTCAACTCAGATAGGCGGGGAAAGTTGACCGAAAGATGGATGGAGAGGGGACGGTGAATAATTGCAATGTAAATACGTCAGTTGCGTGAAGTTTAAGTTACGTAGAGAATGAGTCATTCGGTTATCAAATCTTTTGGACCTGGATAGATAAAGTTGTGGAGACTGCGAAGGTCTATATTACCAATTTTGCGACAATTTCAAACCTCACTGTTCACTCTTTCAACCGTTTCACCCGACTCTATTTATTTATTATTGTAATTTCTAATATCTTTAAATTCTCGAATACAGATTACATTGTCAATCTCCAATTTTTATACCCGTTCATAATTTCTGATTGTGACGTTCATACGTTTACGACCAGTCGATTTCGGCCGTATTGAAATACTCATTGAGATCACTAGATGTGGCATCTAATATCGGAATGCCTGGAAATTTCTGCTCAAGACTCGGCCGGAGCTGTGGAGGATGCTGTACTCGCCTCAAACCCCGAGGTATTTCTGAATACTTGTTGCCTGGAAGGTGGACCTCTAAGTCTGTCAAACTCTCCGGATACTTCGCAAATGGATATGTAGATGTCAATTTTCGAAGTCCACAGGGAAGTTGCACATTTCTGAACATCTGATCACACAAGCCTTGGATGTTGAGTTCTATCAAACTGGAAGGAAACTGAATTGGACCCTTACAATCCTTTATGGACATTGTAGATAAAAGTGGGAGGTTCCAGTGGAAGTCACTGGATACTCCGTGGTGCAACGAGATCTCTTGCAACGTGGAAGGAAGCTTTAAGTCGCAGAACTTTGACTGTGAAGATTCGGGAAACTCTATAAAAAGAACTTCTAAATTAGATGGAAACAACAAGTAACGTGAGTCCTCGACTGTGCTGAATGTCCATCTTTTAAGACCGATTGGAAGTGTCACCTTTGACCAATCCTTCGTCTTGTGTCCATCGGCCAGCAAAGATTCAAGACTAGAAGGAAACCTTACTTTGGAAAAATTGAAGATGTTGTGGTCTTTATTCTTTGCAGAAATGTCAAGCAACTTTAACTGTGGAAATATCACATTGTCTAAACTTTTCAACTGATTAGAGCCAACATAAAGCTCCTGCAAACCATCGGGTAAACACATATCGTCAAGTCTGTTTATGAGACATCCTTGCACATCTATCATTATTAGAGAAGATGGAAACAGAACATCTGCCAAACTCCTTATGGAATTGTACTTTAGGTCTAATCTCTTCAATTGAGGTGGGAATCGGATCTGCCGTAGGTCCTCATCTTTTAAATCACAGAATTGTAAGCTCAAATCCCTAACTTGACTAGGAATGTGGATACATGAAACATCCGAAATACTATGAGATAGGTCCAATAGTCTGAGGCTTGAAGGGTAGGTCGTCCAGAGTTCCATAGAGTCATGGCAAATTAGTTCTTGAAGGCTGTCAGGTAGTAGTATACTCTTCGCGCACCTTGCGTCTTGAATCTTGATGGATTTCAATGTCTTAGGCCAACCTTTCATAATCTGAGTCGGTTGGTCCAGAAATACAATCGAGAATTTCTCCAAGTGTGGTGGACATAAATTCATTGTGAATTCTTCACCTTGAATTAACTCAAGATGTGTGATATTCTCCCAGTATATGACATTGGTCAAAAGTCGGAGGCTCTGCGCTTCTCCAACGACACAAATACTTGGAATTTCCGATATGAATTCTGGATACTGGTTGCAGAAATCCAAAAATGTCTGGAGTGTCCGATGAGTTCGGATAATGATCTTCATTTGCACCACATGTGCTTTTAGTATACGCCTGGCAAGAGCACGAAGTTCTTCAATGGATGCAACATAATGATCGTCTATAATGTCTGAATATTTAGGAACCAGATGGGCTTCCGTGTTTTCTCTTTCTTCTAGGGAGTCTGAATGGTTCCCAGCAACATAGACCAATTTTCCATATATTTCACCTTGAATAATGGACTTAAGTGAGTCTCCTTTGGGAAGCCGTTCATGGAAATACTTCAAATATGACAAGGGAATATACAGTAGGATCTTAGAAACAATTTCCAACGGCAATGGCGGCAAGGCCATGATGTTGTTCTTGACGATGATATTTGGTACTGTAGTGTATGAGAGAGGGCTTCTATTTTTTGTGGGGACGGCACATCTAAAAATTAGTGCCTCGCTTACGGTACAGATCTGCGCTAAATAAGTGTTGTAGTAGTACATTCAAGCTAGAGCTTGGATCCAGCTGTCAAGCTAAGGCAGCTTCGATTATAGAACAATTTGGCCATACTCGGCCATTAGAGTCGACGGAGGCTCGTCTGAACACCATGTTATGTGCAACTTTCACGTTGATTTGTATTAACGCAACTGCAGAAATGCATCAAGTAAAACAGATGACGGAGGCTCATCATTTCTATTCTTTTCAAAAACATTCCAGAACCGAAGCGTTTCATCTCCTGCGCCTGTCACAATAGTCTCTCCGTCGGGTGACAACGAGAGGTACAACACCCTATAAGTGTGCCCCGTCAAATGTGCAATCTGTTGCATGGAAGGATACTTCCACACAATGATCTGGTTCCGTGAGTAGCCATGAGTAGAAACAATTTCATTGGAATTCTTCAGCCAGATCAAGTTGCACACTTGCGAACCAGTCTCCACATTATTGACTCGGTTCCCCGTAAGCGTATTCCACACTTTGATTGTCTTATCGGCCGTTCCGCCACCAGATGCCAAAATGCCTCTTTGGTGAGGAGACCAGGAAATAGCCTTGACTGCGGCATTATGTTCGGTGAACTGGTGAAGAGGTTTCGGATTGAGTCCATCCCAGATGAATAAATTATTGTCATTGCCTCCACTGGCAAGTTTGTTTTCCTCAACGTTCCACTTCAAACCACACACTTCTTGCTTGTGGCTGTCAAAGCTGTTGACGTAATGACTTTGTACTCGAACATCACGATTATAGATTGTTCGATCACGAGAACCAGATGAGAGAATATGCTCGTTCCATGCCAAAGCACTCACTCTAAACTTGTGGCCTGTCATAGTTCTAACACACTTGATTTTAGTTGCATCCCAGATTTCCACCAAACCTTTCAGTGTTCCCACTGCCAAATGGGTGCCTGACCCTATCCAGCTAAGAGATGTGACCTTGTCTTTATTTTCGAGAACACAAAGACGCTCAACAGACTGGGTCAGTCCATCCCATAAGTAGACGGAGTCACCCAACCCAACTGCTAGCACGTCCTGCAGTCCCCAATCCACGAGGTTCAAGTAGAAATCATCAGAAAGCTCTGGGGCATCAAGAACCCTATAAGGGACCTTAGAAATTTTGCGGGGCTTCTTTTGGGGACTAAGCAAGAATTTTTGCGATTCCAGTCGCACTGGTGATAACGAGAAGAGCTCTTGCTGCAAATCCCTAGAGATTGGTCTAGGTTTGCTAGGCAGCTGGTATGTGAACAAATTAGTCAGTCGAGGCGTTGCAGACACTGAACCTGACGTTGATCGAGGCGGAGTCGTCCTGCCCGAGTTGGAGGTGATGGTGGTGGGGCGAGAATTTGAGGATCTTATATTGGCAAGATTATCAGACACAGCATTGTCTCTTGGAGGTGCCGAATTCCGTGAAAGGTCGGCCGTGGCCATAGGAACGTGGTCCCCAAAGAGCTCAGCCTTGAGCACACTGGAAAATGTCCTGTTAGCCTCTTCCACCTTGCGTAATTCGATCTCATTAGCACTTCTCTCCTCATGGTTAGCACTGGAGCCTGCTCCATTGCCAGACACACGGAGGTCGGGCACCACGTCTTGATTGGACAAACTGAATGCAGCTTGCAAATCGATGCCGGTTCTATTGGGGATGTGTCGATCACTGAACAAAGAGCGGCCATTCTGTCTACGACGAGGAGATGTTGATGGATACGACAAGTAATTGTCGCCAGGCTTTGGAGGCGAGAGGCTGCGGGTAGATCTCGAAGGAGAACGCGGCGTCTCTATGGGAGGGGGTGGCTTCAGCAAACGAGAGCCACTGGGAGTTGGCGATTCCGAGCGATTAGAAGGCCCTCTGTTTCCAGACATGGCTGTGTGGATGGAAGCGAAGAATTCGGTCTGAAAATGAAAGCTCTATAGAAAAAAGGGAAGTGATGATTTTTTAGCCGTCAAATTAAGAGCGGATAAAGAGTCTCTCCGGGCACTGATGGATTGATACTGCGACGAGTTTTTGTGATAAAGTGGTAGATAGTTGTGATTCTCACCTGCATGGAGAAGTGTGGGAAGAAGAGGTAGGTTTGTGGGGATTGATGGAGGGTAGATAATAGGAACTCATTGGTTTGGTTTACGTTGGAGAATTGGATCGTAAATGTTTTATTTCTTTTTCGATTCCTTATGAATTTGGAGATGTTACGTGTTGAGGATAGTTCTTGGAAGTTATGATGTAGAGTATTAGGGATGTGCACCTTAACGATTGAGTATTGGCATTCTACTAGACAATTTTCTAAGTTACGAGGTATCCAAGTAATTAAAAACTGTTAGGAAAACTTCATATCCATTGGAATACTTTGATTGTCTCAGGCAATGAATTGTTGATATAACCTAGGCATTATAACTTATTGTCTATAACCACTATCACCATTTGGAGACAAAGAGTTTTTCGTGGGTGCGAAATACACTGCGCACTAAGCACTCCGAGATGGCCCGAAGGAGTAAGATAGAATTATCTACAAACATGCAAAAGTTCAACAACCATCACCTTCATATTCTCGGTAAACTATCCAATCATCCAAAGATTTCCCTCCTCCTTACCGATAACTACCTCCAATGGATTTATTATAGTGGTGTACGGGTGTGCCCACAACCAATGAACACCCACCATTTTCAGGTTACGCAGACTGTACCCAATAACATAAAAAAAATCCCACATAATCGTTAGGTTTTCATTTGGATATATTCTGCTCCCTTGCACATTCCCCCCAGTTTGCTTCCATCAGCACATCCTCGCAGATATCTGCTTCCGTTCAGACCTCCATAACACCTAACCACGGAATTAAAAAAACCATAGCATCATGTTTCGCTACATGCCAAAGAAAATCGGCACCTTCGTTGCTCCAATGAAGATGGCCACCAGAACGAGTATAATCTCTGTGCACAGAGACACCAAGGAAGACAGCCAGCAGCTCCCCTTTGAGTTCACTGCCGAGAACTTGAAGAGAGCCGACGAGATCATCGCCAAATACCCACCTCAGTACAAAAAAGGTGCTTGCATGCCATTGTTGGACTTGGGCCAGCGTCAATTGGGCTTTACCTCCATCTCGGTAATGAACTACGTGGCCAAGATGTTGGACATGCCTCCTATGAGAGTGTATGAGGTTGCCACCTTCTACACCATGTACATGAGACACCCAATGGGTAAGTACAATGTGCAAGTGTGCACCACCACACCCTGCCAGTTGTGTGGTTCGGACGAGATCATGAAGGCTGTGACAGACTTCTTGAAGATCAAGCCTGGCCAGACCACTCCAGACAAGTTGTTCACTTTGCAGGAGGTTGAGTGTTTGGGTGCTTGTGTCAACGCTCCTATGCTTGCCATTAACGATGATTTCCACGAGGATTTGACTGCCGAGAAGACGGTGGAGATCTTGCAGACCTTGAAGGACGGCAAGCCATTGAAACAGATTGGTCCAGTTTCCGGCAGACACTCTTGCGAGCCATTTAGTGGTAGAAATGTGTTGAAGAGTGCTGAACCTAACGACATCCGTAAGTTCACCAGATCCGACTTGTAGGGGTTCATGTAAAATAATTGGCGTTGGCCGCAGCATTAGTATTCTAATAGAAGGTTAGAAGAGAGCCTGTAGAGATTGAAGTTAATAGTGCACAGTATTGGTGAAAAATGCCATGTATAGGTCAGAATTGAAGACGGAAATGAGGGAGGAATACATGAAAGATCAACCAAATGCAAAAGGAAACAGAGAACGAAAGAAAGACAAAAAAAAAAAATAAGTAATACACCTTATCAGTTACTTTAAGTTCAATTGACTATGTTACACAATTCTTAACTTTTGCATAGCTGGTGAACTTAGCAAAGCCCATGAATCTGACTATCTTCCCCAGGTGTTTATCTCCACTAAACAAATCGGGTTTCTTTTCTCATATATGCAATCCATCCAACCTTTCACTCAAAGATTGAACGCCACAAAAATGCAAAGATCAATACAAATTTACTACAAATTACTACAAGTCCAACCCAATTTCCTATTTCTAATTCATATTCCCAGGTCTTTTCTTAATATCTTTCCTTCAATATTTCCATACTTCGTCTCAACATTTTCTCTCCATTCCAGACGTCATTATCAGTTTCGGTATCGCACATCTGTCTCGTGACTGCGTGCAATCGGTGACTAATTTCTTTTTCCTCCAGTGAAAAACCACAAACTGTCGTGGATTTTTCTCGTTGCCAGCATCTATTCTTTCCAATATGACGAAAAAATCATACAATATCGAGACCGAGTTGGTATGGACAAAGTCCACCGACCAGTACAACGCCAGTGTGCCTCCATTGTATCAGTCAGCCACATTCAAGCAAGAGTCCTTGTCCAATATGGGGGAGTACGACTACACGAGATCGGGAAACCCTACCAGAACACATTTGCAGAACCACTTGGCTAAGATCATGAAGGCCAACCAGACATTTGCCGTGACTTCAGGCATGGGATGTCTTGATGTCATCACGAGATTGCTTCAGCCTGGTGACGAAGTGATTGCTGGTGACGATTTATACGGTGGAACCCACCGGTTGTTAACTTACATGAACAATAAGGGTGATTTGAAAGTGAACCACTATGACACCACTAATACCGAGTTGATCAAGTCCAAAATAACTCCTGCCACCAAGATGATTTTCTTGGAGTCTCCTACCAACCCATTGATTAAGGTGTGTGACGTTAAGGCCATTACGGAGCATGCACATGCTGTCAACCCAGACCTCCTTGTTGTTTTCGATAACACCATGATGACCCCATTGTTGATGACTCCGTTGGACTTGGGTGTGGATATTCACTACGAGTCGGCCACCAAGTACTTGAACGGTCACCACGATATCATGGCAGGAGTGATTGCTACGCGCGATCCCAAATTGGCTGAGCGTGTGTATTTTGTCATCAACTCCACCGGTTGTGGCTTGAGTCCCTTCGATCTGTGGTTGTTGAGTAGAGGTTTGAGAACTTTGGCTGTAAGAGTTGAGAGACAGCAACAGAATTGCGTGAAAATCGCCGAGTTCTTGCAACTGGTGGGATTTAAGGTCAGATACCCTGGCTTAAAGTCACATCCCCAGCATGCATTACATCAGAGCCAGTGCAAAGGAGCTGGAGCCGTGTTGAGTTTTGAGACTGGATCCATCAAGACTTCAGAAAAAATCGTGGAGGCAGCAGAGATTTTTGGAATCGCTGTATCGTTCGGTTGCGTCAACTCTTTAATCTCTATGCCTTGTAAGATGTCACATGCTTCCATCGACGCTAAGACTAGAGAGGAGAGAGACTTTCCAGAAGACTTGATTCGGTTGTGCATAGGTATCGAGAACGTCGATGACTTGATCGACGACTTGACTCGGGCCCTCTTGAAGAGTGGAGCCGTAAAGCTCAACGAGAAGGACGAATTGTTCAATGCGGTGGGCGTGGTAGCCAAGTTGTAAGTGTGGGGAACATATTCATTTCTACTTTCCTGTTTCCAACAAACAGGGCCAGACATCTGGACTTATAGACGGGAATTCCCGATTAAAATTAGTATCACGGTACGAGATGTAGCTATGTATAATTTCAATAAGTGACGAAGATGCGTTTACGTTTGAAAATACTAGTTTAGAATGTCCTGCTATTTGAGCATTAATTACAGAGACCGCAGTTTTGCAATTCCTGATACCTAAATTAATCCTGAGAACTGACCTGACAGAAAAAAAAAAAAAAAAGTTAATTACAAAGAGTCCTCTCCTTGGTTAACAAGCCTCCAGGTTTTTTGTTTTCTCCATCCAACTCGTTGTCTCCCATTCTCATCAAACCTATCGTGATGGCTACTTTCCTACATACCACTTACGCGTACAATTTCCGCGTCTTAAACTACAACTCTTCCTCATGGCTGAACAATACGGCGTAGTGCCAGGAACCTTGAAAGACGCTCTCTCTAGAAGCACATGTCACCAGTGGCACGGAAAGGGTCTCCGTGTGCAAGTGACAAACTCAAAGGTCATCAATGAAGCCTCGGCCACCGAAAGAAGATACAGATGCGTGTTATCCGATGGCAAGTACTCCATCCAAGGCTTAATCGAATCCAAGTGCAATTCGTCTTTGGAAGCCAATGGCTTCACCAGATACTCGATTGTGACCATCAATCACTACACCATTGCCAAAACTATGAAGAGAATCTTGCTTATTTCCGATATCGTAGTTGACGTCCCCAAGGCTGGCAGAATCGCGTCCGAAGTCACCAGTCTCGACCAATACTTTGACCAGAATCCTAGTGAAGACATTGCCACTGGTGTGGCGGGCTCTACAACTCCTCAGCAACTGACTCCTCAGCCTCAGGCCGCCCAACCTGTGGCTCCACAAGTGAGAGAGAATCGTCCATCCTCAGACAGACCCGTCAACCCCATCGAGTCGTTGTCACCATACCAGAACAACTGGACCATCAAGGGCCGTGTGTCGTATAAGGGAGATGTGAGAACGTGGTCGAACGCAAAGGGAGAAGGTAAGTTGTTCAATGTGAACTTTTTGGATGAGTCCGATGAGATTCGTGCCACTGCTTTCAACGAAATGGCCGACAAGTTCTACAATTTATTGGAAGAAGGAAAGGTGTACTACATCACCAAGGCACGTATTCAACAGGCAAAGCCTAAGTTCTCTCACTTGAGTCACCCATACGAATTATCCTTAGACAAGGACACTGAAATCACCGAGTGTTTTGATACCTCTGACGTGCCCAAGATTCACTTCAACTTCACTAAATTGGATCACATTCAGAACGCTGACAAGGATTCCATCATCGACGTGATTGGTGTTGTCAAGACTGTCAACGACGTGTTCCAGATTACCGCCAAATCTACAGGAAAGCCTTTCAACAGAAGAAACATCACCATTGTTGATGACTCCAATTTTGCCATTGAGGTCGGTTTGTGGAATGCAACTGCTGTCGACTTCAGTATCCCTGCTGGTTCTGTCGTGGCTATCAAGGGAGTGAAGGTGCAAGACTTTGGAGGAAGATCTTTGAGCTTGACTCACTCGGGAAGTATGATGAGTAACCCTGACATTCCTGAAGCTTACCAATTGAAGGGCTGGTACGATAACAAGGGTGTAAATGAGAACTTCCAGAGCATGAAGTCCGAGTCCTCGGGATCTGGCGAGTCGTTGGGCAACAGAAAGACCATTGTTGAAAGTGAACAATTGGAATTGGGAACTAGCGAGAAGCCCGACTACTTTTCCTTGAAGGCAACTATCAACTATTTCAAGACTGATAACTTCTGTTACCCTGCCTGTAACAACGAAGTCAATGTCTCCTCCAGAGGTCCTACTCCTTGTAATCGTAAGGTTATTCAAGAAAGCGACAACTCATGGAGATGCGAAAGATGTAATTTGACTTACGAAGAACCACACTACAGATATATTTTGAACTGTTCCATTATGGATCATACAGGCCAGATTTGGGCCACTTTGTTCGATGACGAGGCAAAGAAGTTGTTCAACATGAGTGCCGGAGAATTGATGAAATTGAAGGGTTTGGATGGAGATGACAACCACGACTTTTTGACGCTCGTGAACTCAATTACGATGAAGGAATATAACTTCAGATTGAGGGCAAAACAAGAGAGTTTTAACGGGAACATGAGAATCAGATACAACGTGATGTCTATCAACGAGATTGATTTCAATGCAGAGAGTATTCATTTGGCCAAGAAGCTCGAATCGGTTCTATAATTGGTCAGGTAATTAATGTATATCCAGTTAATAAATTTTGTGCAAATTGGATATTTCGTAGGTATCGTCTCTAGAAATTTTGGCTGTTGTACTCGACCAATCCATTGGCAGTGAGCCAGAACAGTTTTAGTACATCATTAGCAGTTCGCCGTCCCCTTGTAATCATAAGCTTGTGAATAAACATATTGGTTTCTTTGGGGTCAGTTCTAGCAAGTGCAGTCTTCTTGAGTTCTTCAAGTGATTCCGTTAACCACTGTTTGAATGGGATTGGGAATTTACCAACAAGACTGCGAAAAACATTGTAGTAATACTCAAGATGTGACCTTGTGCACCTGAGAAATGAAGGGATAAGTTTGAACGTGACCATCTTTCCAAGTCCAAGGTCAATAAACAATCTTGTCAAAATCTCATGATCGTCCTTTGTGCCTCTTTTCAAATTGATAGTAGTGATCCAGAATTTCAGGACTGATTTAATGATAAACGACTCATTGGCATCGAATCCTTCAAGTGCAAATGGAATAATTGTGTTGACAAAAATTGGCAAATGAATGATTAATGATGGTTTGTATTCAATAATCTTGGAGAAGATATCGATTCCACTTTTAATCATATCTGGATCAGTCTTTAAAAATTCGAGTCTCTGGATGAAAAGCCTGTCTATCAATCCTCCAACCAACTCGTCACTCAAATTCCTGAAATTCGTGACGATCATACTTTCGAAGAGCCCAAAAATGTAAGGAACAGCATTTGGATTTCTGTTGTTTTCCATCACCGAAACGAGGTATTGAGCAATGGTATCTTGATCAAATTCGAAAGGTCCGCCAAGTGATTCCCCCAACCCCATCTTGAACACTTGTAAGCATTTCTCAATTACCATAGTGTTCTGTGAAAGTGTCTGGTTTTCAAGTGAGTACTTCGTAACGATTTCCAAAACAGCAGGTTTGATGCCCAAAGGATCTGCCTTCCAAAACTGTCTGTAGTTTACCTCTTGTTCCGTCAGCAATTGCTCGATCTCCTCATCTGTGAGGGAGCTTCCTTTTCCAATATTAACCAAACATGATACCAAAGATACTAGATATTCTTCGTCACTTTCCGAAAAAGTGGAGCCTACAGCGCTCATCATCGCTTGGGAAGCCTCGTTGATTGTCAAAATCATTCCTTTGATGATTTCAGCATGCTCGTTGACATCACCTATGTTCTTGGCAATAACACTATAGGCGTTGAACATGCGCAGCCTAATTAAACTGTCAATTGAGGAGTTCCTTAGCATTTCAATAACGATGACTTCCAAATTAGGAAGAAATCCAGTAAGACTGAGGCTACATTCCTCGCATATTTTTGTTGCTGTTTTGGAGGCTAGTAGGGAGAGGTTTGAAGAATTTGCCATGATAATTGGAAATAGCATGTCGAAGACTTGTCCGAGGTATACGTTACCCTCGCTAGTTTTGAAGTAAAACTCATTAGAAGCAATGTACAGAATTAGAGTAGAATTGAACAAGTGACCCTTATCATCAGAGATGGAAGTGTTTTTGAAAGTTCCCAAAAGGTTGCTTGCAAAGATCTTCTGCGAAAAAGGTGTGATCAATCGTTCCTGTGACTCAAAGTACACTGTATCATCGTTAATCTTGTAAAGGAGGTACAACGTTGCTTCTATGTCAGCTATCAACACGGGGTTCTCTGAAAACTTGCCAATATACTCAATGAGTGACTCGCACATCATTTCGTAAAAGTCAGATTTAAGAAGAGCATATACCCCTATGAAGAATTCCGCAACGGCAATTCGGTAACCAATGAATTCGCTTCGAATATCCTTATAGATTGATAGATTTGGTAAGTGGATTTTTCTCCAGTAAACTTTTGCCACCTCATTAAAAATAGTTTTCTTCTCCAGTTCAAAATTATCTCTGAATAGTGGGTCTTGTGCTTCTTGGAATAAAATATCGAACATGTCGTTTGATTCCTGGTAGACGTTAGCCAACTCTTCCCAGAACTCCAACATTCGTTCACTAATAAATTCTTCCGAATTTGGAGTGCCATCAATCGATGTCAACCTTAGAGCGATTGATAGAATGTTCTGAGTGGAAGCATCCAAGATCGATTTAGAGAGCCTGATTGCATTCAATTGCAAGACGGTGAGAACCAAATCCACAAAAGCAGTTACTTCCTCGGTAAATTCTTCTCGTCTCTCGCTGAAAATAATTTGATTCATAAACTGGTCTCCCCACTCACCCAGAGTAAACAATATAGAGTAAAGTGACAGTTTCTGTTCCATACTTAGCAATGGAGAGTTCACTTCAAGGATTTCGTTGAAAATCTGTAGCACAAGCTTGAAGGAGGCCATCTTTTGTTCATTGTTGCCATCCACAGGCTGTTGGAAATGTTGTAGAAGGAATTTGATTATGAGTGCGATTTCCTTGGAGTCATACCGGGCATCGCCATTATTATTAGGAATATATGACATCCACGAATTCAATGTTTCAAGCGATTGGATATCCATGTCATCCAGAAGCTGCTTGTTCTCTTTCAAGTACATCAAGTACTCGAATGTCACCTCTAGGAGGGGGAAAACGTCTTTTTTCACAGCAGAGTTGATGGCTGAAGCATGGTCGTTAAGCTTCAAAACATCTTCCACCAAGATGGAAAAATACATTAGGAGGAGTCCTAATTGTACAGAGTTCAACCTCGAGACTGACGCCGTGAATGTCAGGATGTCGGACCCTTGGTCGTTTCCCATGGCTTTGAGAAATACCCAAATAGGATTGGCAAATGATGGATTCTTTATGTACAACATCGACAAATCAGACATAAGCTTCTTCAAAATGAATAAATGAGACGATATTTGTGGCGAGTCATTCAACAATTGGCCAATGTGGCCCTGAATACTCCCTGTTAAAGCTTGTAAGGTCTCATTGTTGAGATCAGAGTTCTGGATCACCACGGCATAGGTTAAAGCGCCAAAATACTTACAATTCCTCGATTGCTGTTCTAGCAAGTACGAGGCCACCGCAAAACCTTGAGGAGATTTTTGGATGGCTTGAAGTTCCTTTTGGTACGCAAACACTGCATTGGGGTCATTGGACGAATAAAGTGTTTCCACTAGCTGAAAATGTCAGTATGGAAAAAAGTGGAGAAAAGTGAAATGAACTTACCTTTGCTACTTCCTGAAAATCGCCCTGGAAGTCCAGCATGGGGAAGAATAGATCAGGCACTTGTTAACTATGTGTCTTGCAAATGTGTAGGTGCACTCCGAGAAGAGAAGGTCAGATCAACAGATGGTTTTACGAATCGAATAGCCTTGATGAAACTTGTCAAGTCTACAGTTTCCAGTCTTATTTTAATTTTTTGAGAATTCCCAAGGCCTTTCAGTTGGATTTCTGAATACTGAATGTCCACTATCAACACCCTTATCACTAGGTGTTGAAACCCAAATTGCGTAGAATAATACTTCCGGTACATGCCAATAACTGAATTTACCCATTCCTGTGAATGAGGTGAGATTGATATGCCGATTTCATGTAGCTACAAGATATTGAAAATCTTTCAAATATCACAATGCTCAACTACTTCCATTCTTTTTTCCCCACTTGTCCATGATTTTTTTCTATTGTATGGATTACAATATTGATCGCACCATGGTGAAATTTGATGTCTGTACGATGGTATAGATTACAACCCCCTGCAGGTGTATAGCCAGCCCTCACCAGCAACAAATGTTGGTCGTGTCATCCAACAAAAAGGTATGGCAATAACGGGTCAAGAGAACCTACTGATATCTTGATAAGCTTTACGGTCGCCAGTCGCCGCAGATATCTTTAGAAACCACCAATGTAGTCACAATCGGATGACATCTTTACTATGTGCATTATTGGCTCATGAATCAGTCAGTCACAGCCACAATCGTTTAAATTCGAACGAACAAATATTTCAAATCATGTAGAAGTAGCCTCCTGGTCTAGATACTCATTTGTGTCCTCTTAAATAAAAAAAATAACCCACCAGCACTAACTATGTCCATCCACTCACATGGCTTCCAGAAGCTGCTTACATAAGCGTAAATGTGTAGAAACCAACCCTCCCGGTGCACAACCATCATCCAATTTTTCTCTTCTACTGTTTCATACCCACCAAAATGAGAGTTGCAAACAGAAGAGTGAGTAGAGCAGACTGTGCTAATTGCACATGCTCGCCAGGTTTATTGTCCCGTACCAATAGGCGGTCTTCGGTCATTGCCAGAAGAATCAGTATCAAGAGAAGCAACTCAGGCAGCACCTCGCCTAATGGATCCAGAAAAGGTTCGGTGTTCACCATCGATGCTGCGTCGCTTTGTTTGCCCGAGATTAAAGAGGTCAACACATCGCAAAGATTGCAGGCCTTGAGAACCTTGATGGCTGAGAACGATTTGGGTGCCTACATTGTGCCCAGTGAGGACCAGCATCAGAGCGAGTATGTTGCACCTCTTGACCAGAGACGGAGCTTCATCTCCGGTTTCTCCGGCAGTGCTGGTGTAGCTATCATCACTCGTGATGTCACCTGTATGAATGATGTTCCAGAAGGTTTGGCTGCGTTATCTACTGATGGTAGATACTTCAACCAAGCAACTAATGAGTTAGATTTCAACTGGACCTTGTTGAAGCAGGGCGCCAAGGATGAGCCTTCGTGGCAAGAATGGACAGTCAGAAACGCCGTGCAGCAGTCCTTAGATTCGGGTGTCAAGATCAATATCGGTGTGGACCCAAAGTTGGTCAGCTTCCTGACTTTCGAGAAAATTACCAGCGTCATCAGGGAGGAGTTGAAAAAGTCTCCAAACGCAAGAGTTGACTTTGTCCCTGTCAGAGAGAACTTGATCGATAAGATTTGGAGCAAGTTCGAAGAAATCCCAAGTTCCAGTCAGCATATCGTCAAGACCTTGGATATCAAGTTTTCCGGAGAAGATGTCAAGTCTAAGGTTGAAAAAGTTGCCAAAGTTCTCGAGTCTAAAAATGCTGATGGTTTGATTGTTACTGCGTTGGATGAAGTTGCCTGGTTATTGAATATGAGAGGTTCAGACATTGAGTTTAATCCTGTTTTCTACAGTTATGCTATTGTTAAGAAAGATAGGCTGGTTACGTTATATGCTGACAACAATAAGTTCGATACAGATGTTGGTAAACATTTGTCCTCCAACGATATTACTGTGAAGCCGTACAAAACGTTCTGGAATGACCTAGTATCTACCTCAATGGATTTCAGTTTAGCCAACAAGAAAATTTTGGTCAATGCTTCTGGTTCGTCTTGGGAAATCATTCGTCAATTGAAATGTGGTTTTGAGTCAGTGTCTCCGTCTCCGATCGAAGACTTGAAGGCTATCAAAAATGAAACTGAACTTGCTGGTGCTAGAAGCGCACACTTGAAGGACGGAAGAGCTTTGGTTAAGTTTTTCGCGTGGTTAGAGAACCAGTTAATTGAACAGTCTGAACTTATTAATGAAGTTGAAGCTGATGAAAAGCTTTCTGAATTCAGAAGACAAGAAAAGAACTTTGTTGGTTTGTCTTTCGACACCATCAGCGCAACCGGTGCTAATGGCGCTGTGATTCACTACAAACCTGTGAAAGGTTCGTGTTCCACCATCGACCCTAACAAGATATACCTTAATGACTCTGGTTCGCAGTTCTTGGAGGGAACCACTGATACCACCAGAACAGTCCATTTTGGTACTCCTAGGGCAGAAGAAATTAAGAACTACACTTTGGTGTTGAAGGGAAATATTGCCCTTGGTAGATTAAACTTCCCAGAAAACACATCCGGAAGCTTGATTGACTCTGTTGCTAGACAATTTTTGTGGGAGCATGGTTTAGACTACGGACACGGTACATCCCATGGAATCGGTTCATACCTTAATGTTCATGAGGGACCAATCGGAATTGGTCCACGTCCTGCTGCTGCTAAGAACGCTTTGAAGCCTGGCCACTTGCTTTCCAACGAACCCGGTTATTATGAGGATGGAGAATACGGTATCCGTATCGAAAATGTGATGTTCGTCAAGGAGACCGGCCGTGTTTACAATGGTAAAAAGTTCCTCGAGTTCGAGACTGTTACTCGTGTGCCTTTCTGTCGCCGTTTGATTGATGTTAAGCTTTTAACCAGTGAGGAAAAGGCCTGGATCAACGAGTATCATGCTACTGTTTGGGAAGAATTGCACCAGTCCTTTGACAAGCATTCACTCGAATTGTCTTGGTTGAGAAGAGAGACTGCTCCATTGTAAGTTCTTTGAGTCGAAATTTCCGTTTGTTGTAGTTGATGGTGGATAGACTCCTGGAATTCTCAGGACAATGAGAAGCTACTACCAGTGAATGAAATCACATTGAAGAAAGCATAATGGGATTTACGTTTTATTTTTACATTGATAATCTAATTATTGGTTTGATGTCATGTTACTTGACCTCTTAGAACTTCACTAGTATATTTGAACTTACAGGAGACACTAATCTCATGGGTTTAATTGGTTGCGAATTGACAACCAATAGGTACCCTGCCAATTGATGACCTAAAGGTCAAAACAGTCATTCATGGCCATTTGGACCATCAACGCAAGTAAATACTTTACAATTACCCCGAAAAGTACCTAGTCCGATCCACTTGATCGTCACTACAATCAACAATGACCTCAACTATTATACTCTTTCCCCAGATATCAAAAGATCCATACCCGTCCGAGATGTTCCCCACAGCTCGGCACCGAATTCGGGGTCCGCGTTCGGGCCCGAATATTGGCCAATCAAACATGTTAAATTATTGCTTATTAGTGACCTCGGACCTGCAGGTAATTTTCTCTTGGTTAAAGAATAGGATCTAAACTCTGACTAATTACTATCATCCTTTTCTTCTCAACACATAGTACCAATTTCTTACCATGTTGAGATACCCACGTCTTCTCAGGACATCGAGCAATTTCGTCAGATACAACTCGCATGAGGGTAATAAGAGATTCATGCAAACGGTGCCAGCGGCTACCAAGAGATCTCCTGCCGCCAACTTTGGCAATTTGAACTATAAACTCAACACCGAGATGAATGCTACACCTGACACTAGATCGTCCTCACCTAGATTGGCCAAGTGGGCCAAGCACTCATTGTCATTTCCAACGGATTTTAAAAAGAGCAACCCAGTCAATGACCAACTCAACATTGAGCTCCCGCCTAAACCGGTGGTGAGAAGATCAAGAAAGTCTCGGTTTGCTAGCGAAGCTGCAAAGGAGGAGAAGCAGGTCGCTCCTCAAGTACAGCGGGAAACACAACAGAACATAGAACAGACGCAGGCGCCAGTCCGGGCAGCTGAGCTTCCCAAGGTTTCCTCGGAGGAGCCCGTGAAGCAAAAGAAGCCCAGAAGAAAGTTGCGCCCTAGAATGGCATTGATCACATTGAGTCCCAACGCAGTCGAACACCTCCGTGCATTGCTTGACCAGCCCGAGCCTCAACTCATACGCATAGGTGTCAGAAACAGAGGATGTTCTGGATTGACTTACCACTTGGAGTATGTGACAGAGCCTGGAAAGTTCGACGAGTTGGTAGAGCAGGATGGCGTTAAGGTTTTCATTGATTCCAAGGCCCTCTTCTCCATCGTGGGCTCCGAGATGGACTGGATCGATGACAAGCTTTCATCCCGTTTCATCTTCAAGAACCCAAACTCCAAGGGCACTTGTGGCTGTGGAGAGTCTTTCATGGTGTAGAAACCAGCTTAATTTATTACCGCATATAGCATACGAACTTAATGGACCTTGCATTTTTGTACTCTCACTATAAATAGCTAGCGGTGCCGCGCTCACTGCTTTCGCAACTATTTGTACTTGTGCTCATTCTCTACCATCAGCCCTTCTTCGATGTTCGTATCCGATTTTGTAACGCTTATTCTTTTTGTTTTTTCACATGCCTTGGCTGCTAGTGCCCCAGTAATCCTAAAGAATCCCCTTGGTGCCGTTGCGGTGGCCGACTTCCCTAGTGGAGGACCGTTCACACTGGCCAGAGGTTATGTCTACTTCTACAGTCACAATGGTCAAGAAGTTCAGGTCCATGTCGACATGTCTGGCTTGCCCAAAGAGAATGGTCCATTTGTCTACCACATTCACGATAATGCCATTTCTAACGACGATTGTGAGACTGCCGGTTTGCACTTCAACCCATATGGAGCCACCCCGGATTGTGACAATCAGGAAGACGATTCCTGGTGCCAGGTTGGAGATTTGTCTGGCAAACACGGCAATATTAACACCACATGCTTCTCAACAAGCTTTGGTGATCCATACCTTTCTTTGGGTGAGTCTGTGTCCAACATTGTAGGCAAATCCGTGGTATTCCACTATGCGGACTTAACCAAGTTTGCTTGCGCCAGTATCCAATTGGCTGACGAGGAGCAGATTGAACGATTCAATGAATTGAAATTGCACGAAAAGAAGAGTTACGAAGATACGGAGTCGGTGTTGGCCCCAAGTAATACGTCTGAAACTGCCACCGAGTCGATTGAACTCGATAGTGATGAACATGCCAATGATACCAACGACACCCATGAAGTGAACGACATGACGAATGGCAACACCAACGACACGAACAGCATTTGGAATTCCACCAAGTTGGCATATGAGAGCTGCAGTTCCGAAGCACAGGCAGCCAGTGTTCATAGAGGTGTGGGGATGGTGATCGGAGCCGTTATTGGGGCGCTTCTCTAGAGGTTATAGCTAAATGAGGGCCGTATATTATTATGTGATTTTTCTGCATTCAAAGTAAGTGGCGTCAATGTCGTTAGGCAACAGACAGAAGTACTCAAGGTGTTGCATGTGCTTGAAGAGTTCAATCAGGTTGTACATCAACTTCAAGCACGTTTTGTTTCCTCTCTCGTCGTTAGTACAGATGATGCTCTCATTGGCGTACTTTTCACCGTCAATGATAAACATGTTCTTTGGTCTCTGCTCTACAAACGTTGTCACCAGCTCGTTTGTCTGTTTGCGGGATTCTCCTGTCAATACCTTGACTCTTGGTTGAGAATCATCAGAAGCAATTTGGTTTAATGTGTGAGCAATATCTGAGTCCTTTGGCGCAACATTGAGTGGAGTATGAGAACGTTGCTCAATCTGGACGGAAGACAAAGTGCTCTCGCCGGAACTTTTACCAAATGGAAGCCATACCATGATTATTGACGTCTCCACAAGTTGTTCAGAATTCACTCATTGCTCACGGCCTATACAGGCTGACACCTCCCCCACACTATAGTAGAAGACCTTGAGTTTCATTGAGTCCCATCACTGTCGTCTCATACTGAAGGAACCCTGCAAAGTTCGCCTTGCCTGTGTTGTATAGCCTGTTTAATTCCTTTTTCGATGCGCTGTGTTTCTCCAATTCGCCGTAAAACCGTCTTGTCTCATCCACCCATTTATATGAGTAGTCGTACTTTAAAGCAGGCGGCTTTTCGTTCTCCATTAGAAGAATGGTAGCTACCACCGACGTCTCAATGCGTATTTTTGAGGCAGATTTTAGGTCCTCGTAGAACTGGACATCTGGAACAGTATCTGATATGTTACAGGTCGAGTTGAAGATGAATGCAATGGTATTGGCTAGACGTCCAGCCATTTCGTCATGTGTAAGCGGTTGGTCGATTCCAAGAACCTTAATACGGCGAATGTTGAAATTGGTTTTGGTGAACCGCCGTCGAAGCACATTTCGATAGTTTGCAATGCTTGATTCAGACCTGTTGACGAAGTGTCGAAGGCGGTACATTCTTCTATACGCAGCCAAATACATGGCTTGGGGCGCTAAGGACTGCAAGTGCAGAGTCAAAGGAAGACTGGTTGCAGCATTGTGTAAGGTGAGGAGCGGTCCGATGCTAGTATTTTTGAACACCAGCTTCATTGCTTATTCTATTGAGTGCGATGCGCATCTACATCCAACTACTCTTTTTCTCATGGACCGCCTTATACTCTCGCACGACGACAACACCTTCGGCATTGAATACAAGGCTCTGTACAAGACAGCCGGGGTCAGTGCGGATTTCATTGTGCCCAAGTCCCGAATGTTGGTAAGTTGCCTCATTTGAATGTTCATTAGCGGCACTAACAATAGATCCTGGTGAATGTAGTGGTAAACGGTGCCAACATGCCGCCAGGGCACGAGGTTGGTGTTTTGATGAGGCAAAGCATTATAGAGTCACCTCTATGGAACTCTCTCATGTATGAAGTGGCAGATATTCTGAATGTTAGCATTGGATCTGAGAATGTCGAAGGCGAATTTGACGCTAATACCTGTAATCATGACTCTCTCACCCCATCCATCTTTCTACAACTCAGATGCAACTTATTTAACAAAATCTCAGATGATTTTGCCTATCTCTCCGTCAATGAATTGAGCCATCTCGCAGTCACTTTCCGGTGTTGGACACCTAACCCACGTATTCACTGCGATACCCTCATGGACTACTTCCAATACACCTTCACTTCACTCATAGTTAACTTGGAGTATAAGTTTCCGCTTGTATTTTCTGTCTATGGCAAACGTCTTGTGAAGGTAAATTACAGTAACTTAGTTCGGTCCACTTTAGAGTTAGCTACCCCTCTAGATGGAAGTTCTACTCCGGATCACAATATGGTCCTCTCTCAAGTCCTACGCAAGCTTCAATCTTTCATTCTCTATGAATACAACACACTCAACATCATGATGGAATGTGACACGAACAAATATCGTTCCAAAATGTGCAAGGAGTCAATGACTACTGGGAAATGTGATTTTGCTTTGAAATCTTTGAAGAATTCTGCCTTCTGTCTAAGGGTCCCAGCTTCGCACTCCCCAAGCGACTTTGTATAACCGAAAGGTGCACCACTGAATCGGGAAAGATTGTAAACATTCACGCAGTCTATCATCAATACCAACTACTCCATTCATCACTTATTGAATTCGTTTGCTGCATGTCGTTTTTCCTGAATTTCAATACTCATTCGTTGAGGTCTACTCGAGGCTTCAAGTTGAAGCTGGGCTCGCCCATCTCCAGTCCACAACCTATTTCTAGTTCGAATCTTCCTCCGTTGCCTCTGAATCAGCTTTTGACTCATCAGTCGCAGATCTTTGGTGAGGATGATCAGGAGAATCCTTACCAGACTATGAACTTGACCTCTGGCCAGAGAGTGCAGCTGGTTACTTCCCACAAAGATATCCGCAACTACGCAGAGCAGACTCTAGGGTCCGACAACGCCTTGATCAACGCAGTCAAACTCCCAAAGGACGAAGACATTAACGAGTGGTTGGCCGTTCATGTCGTTGACTTCTACAACCAAATCAATATGCTCTACGGTACAATCACCGAGTTCTGTTCTCCTCAAACCTGTCCACGAATGATCGCTACCGAGGAGTACGAGTACTTATGGCAGGAGACCAATGCTTCTCCCAACGGGTCGATATCTCCCAGAAAGCCAGTCTCTTTACCTGCTTGTCAGTATGTGGAGAATTTGATGAATTGGATCCAGAACTTTTTCGATAATGATAACATCTTTCCTTCAAAGATTGGTGCTCCTTTCCCGCTGCAGTTCCCTAACTTGATCAAGACCATCTTCAAGAGGCTCTTAAGAGTATATGCTCACATCTACTGCCACCACTTCCATGAGATTTCGGAGTTGGGTTTGCAGAGTCACCTCAACACAAGTTTGAAACATTATGTGCTCTTTAGTAAGGAATTCGACTTGATCAGCAAAAAGGACTATGGACCTTTGGAGGACTTGATTCTGACAATGTTGAAAGATTAGATTCTGGTTTTGGTTTATGTATAGTGAAATATTCTAAATGGTATGTTTATGTGTCTAACATAGTTCAATTTTGGCTATGATACAAAGGTGGTCTGACGGATACTGGCCGGTTCGAGGTTGGCCGGATGGTTCTGGCCCCATCTCGTTTGGTGTGGGCAACCGAAGGAGGCTCAATAACTTGACGTGATTGTCTCTCTCCAATTGCTCTAATGAATCGACCTTATTTGCGAATGATTCTTGTTTATCCCAATCGGAAACAACAAAAATGTAGTCAAGCAAACCCCTCCATGCGTGGGCCCAATTCGAGAAAAATGGTTCATTCCGTTCGTTGTCTAAACCAGCATTCTCTTTATGCACAAGATGATATCCGACTGAATAGAGCGAAATCGCTCTCATGTCAAGATTGTTGTGTAAATCTTCCATTGCCTGAATCTTTTGAAGCACCTCTGGCGAAAACTTGAATGTCTTGGGCACTGGTGAATCCTCGACGTCGATATCCGCTTCTTTTCTATCTCCATCAGCCTCTCCTTCGATTTCATTGGTTGTACTGATTTTGCCTTCCTTCTCATCCTCTTTATCTTTATCTTCATCTTCTGGTCCCTCATCTTCTTTTACCTCCTTGCTTTCATCCCATTGATGAGCTAGGGACCTTCCAATGACGTTTTTGGCTCTATCAGTATATGTTGTGGGTTTTGCTGTCATTGAGAGATATGGGGAATCATAAGGCTGTGAGTTGAAATCTCCAGCAAAAAATCGATAGAATCTCTTCTCTGCACCATATAAGACATTCAATATTCTCGTGAACTCTTTCATCTGCTGTAATACTACGCATGTTTGACGGGTACGCTCTGCAGTTCCGTAGGGATGCCAAAACAAGTGTGTAGTTCCCACAATGATTCCTTCTCTAGTGAGATTTGGATACTGTTTACGAAGCTTCTCCGAAAACTGCAAGTAAACCAACATTCCTACGTTTCTTGTGATCGCTGTAGGTCTAACATTTCCAGTTTTCTCCTTATCGTAATTGATGAAACTGGAATGCTGGAACGCAAACTTTTCAGACTTGAAGAAGATGGCCACTCCATGGTTTTTGCTATCTGCTCGATAATATTGAGACAAGTATCCCAAGTTCTTGAATTCCAGCTTCCAGAAACTATTGTATTGGATGAAATCAACTTCTTGAAGACACAAGATATCAGAGTCATAGTACTTGAATTCGGAGAGAAGCACCTGTGACCTATTGCCCCATTTCAATGCATTTCCGCTGGTTGGAAATAGCTTTCTCCTAATGAGAGCTTGCGCCAATATGTTGTACGACATGATGGTAATCTCTACACCTCCGTCGCTGGTCTGGCCAGGGATATCCAACATTGGCCTCTTGATGAATTGTAACCTTGGATCGTTATTGTTCTTCTTTTCATTAGCTTGTAATCTTTTCTTCTCCTTTCTTTCCTCTCGGATCTTTTTGGCTTTTTCAATGAACTCAGGACTCAGGAAATCTGGTTTTGGTGGAGCATTCTTTGTTTTAGGGTCTTCTTTCTTGGTGCTTTCTGTCATCTTGTCCACTTTTCAAATCGTTTGACCAAAGTTCTCTTGGTGTCTTTATGTAAAGAAAGCACGTTTAGAATGGCCAATTCTCAATTTCATTTTGCACCGAAATATGGTACATTAGCGAAAAGATGTAAAGTCGGGAAGGCAAGAAATAATCCAATTTGCGATGCTTAAAAATATAATCAACTTATTCAATTTCAATCTCCAAAAGTTCAGTTACAATGTGAACTTCTACAATCTGCATCAAGCTTCAAATTACAGTTGTTGGCATTCTGTTTTGGTGGAACCTTCATAACCTGCACTGCGCAAGTTTCTAGTACCTTACCGGTGAACTTGCTACTCTAACAGATCAATGGCCATAAATAATATCAACGCATACTTTCTGGAAATTGACCGAATACAATTTCAGGTATTTGAGAAAATAAATGAGATCACATCATTAAACAGAGGTTCGCAGGATCAGTCTGAGTCACTTGATGAAAGAAGAGGATCAATAGCCAAAAGTGCCAACGGTCTCATTAGGAAGATCCCAGGCTTGTTGGATGTAATAAGCATTCAGATCAAACAGGAGAGCCACACATTAATTGAGAAGAACTTTTTAAAGGAGAAGCTCGAGTTATATAAAGAGAAGGTTAGTTACTTGAAGCTGAAGTTGAAGGAGAGCCAATTAGTTGCTTACTCTTTAGAGAGTGAGTTGACCCATAAGCAAAGACTTGAAGAGTACGTTAAGGATGCTAACGAAGTCTCTTCAGACATGAGAGAGGAGTTGTTTGCTGGAAGATCACATACTCAAGCCACTGACACCGAAAAGCCAATCAACGAACAGATTTTGACCCAGAATCAAAACATCACATCTTCATTGAAGTTGACCAAGCAATTGATGACAATGTCAGTCATGCAGACAGAATTGAATATTGACGGTTTAGATCAGCAATCTAAGGATTTGAACAAGTTGAACGATAAGCTCGTTAACTTGGAAGGTGTCTTATTGAAGTCGAAGCAGATCGTCAAGTTCATTGAGAAGCAGGATAAACGGGATAAGAGAAGAATTTATCTTAGTATAGGTTTCTTACTTATTTGTTGTGCATGGGTATTGTGGAGACGAGTTCTTAAAATGCCAGTCAAGATTCTCTTGTGGTCTCTTTTGAAATTCTTTGGTGTTTTAAACTGGATATACTCCAAATATCCTTCAGATAAGCTTGGAATACAGGTGACGAGCAATGAACTTGCATCTTCTTCCGAATCATTGGCCTCTTCACAAAGCGTTGAGCATGAATTTTCAACTCTCATTGATTTGATTAATGAGGAGACTCAATTCTCAATTCTTCCTATAAAAGAAGAAGTCGAGGAAGAGACCGAGTTTTCGATACTTCCTATAAATGAAGAAGATGAGGAGGAAATAACTTTCTCGATTCTTCCTATTGACGTTGAAACACAAACAGAACTGACAGAGAATGTTCTTAAATCTACTGTAGCTCCTGAGGCTTCTGAAAAGAATGAGAGTTCCAATTTGGGTACCGTGAGCGAAGAAGTAGATTTCGAACCCATAGATTTGGACAAGCTGAATGATGAGGCTCAACTATATTATGGAGAGCATTCACCGGAGAATGAACAGGTCGCTGACGACTCAAACCTATTGGACGACTCAATAGAAATGGTAGAAGACATCTCGCCGCTTTCCTTGCAATCAGACCATGCGGAGAGCACCGTTCAAGAAGGTAAGGCAGTGGTAGAAGAATCAGATGAAGTGCCCGTGGAGGAGGACGGGGTTCACAAATTCGAGGAGCCCGAATGGAACAGAGGATACGAGGAAGTTATCGAGGAACAACCATTCGTGCAACCAATGGGCGAAGAGTCAGTTGAAGAGGCAGTTGAAGAGGCAGTTGAAATCCCAGTCGTGGAGCCTTTTGTTCGCCTAGTTGAACAACAAGACGAAGAGCAAGAAGTTGAAGAACAACAACAAGAAGAACAACAACAAGAAGATCAACAAGAAGAAGAACAACAAGTTGAAGTGACAGCATTTGCTCAGGTCAACGACAAGCCCATCCCAGAAGAGATTGAAGAATCTGTGGAGGCATCTCTTGATAATCCTGTAGAGGCAGTTCAAAGTACAGGTGAAATAGTCGAAGAGTTCACTTTGATAGAATCAATTGAGCAAAAGGAAGAACCAATGGAGCAACCAATATTGCAGGCTGAAGAGCCAATTTTGCAGGTTCAAGAACCTAACTCGCTCAGCAGAGACCCAGTAGATGACTTGGGCAACATATCATTAGACGAGTCGACTGAGGCAGCTCATACAACAGTGGAAAATGCTGCTGAGAAGATAGTGCAAGAGGCAGTTGGCCACTCAGAATACATCCAAGATGTAGGGGAGAATCAAGAGGCTCAGACTTGGGAAGCTACACATGAGTTGTAATTAATTACTTTCAATACACACATTTTATGGCCCTTAAGCCTCCTCGACCGCCACAGAACTTCCCCCGTTCTTAGTAGATTCGAGAGCAGCAGCAACAATTGCCAAGTGATGGAAGGCTTTAGTTGGTGGAACCTTGTACAAAGTCTTGTCCTTAGCTTCGACAGCAGCAGCAAAGTTCTTAAACTCTTCTTGAACAGAGTCAACCTCATCAACCTCGATAACAGTCTTGCCAGAAGCCTCCAGTGAGTTACCACCAGTTTGGTATGTGATAGTTGGTTTCTTCAAGGTTGGAGAGAAGTCGTAGACAATGGAGCCGTTTGTGCCGAAAATGATCAAACTGGTGGACTTGTCGGTGGCACCGAAGGCAGAACCGTAGGTAAAAGTTCCAATAGCACCAGATTTCAACTTCAAGGTGGAGAACAAGATGTCGTCAGTTCCACTCTGTTCTCTCACCTGCTTAGTGAGACCACTGACGGTTGCAACTGGACCCAAAATCTCGGTTAATAAGGCCAATTGATGCACACCACCATCACTTAAGAAACCGCCAATGTGCTCGGGCTTTTGGCGCCACGAGGTATTCAAGTATTTGTTGTTTGGATTCCAAGCACCAGTGGCTCTGTAAGTGAACGAGACAACTTCACCAATCTTGGGCAACACTTTCTTGACCTCACTGATTCCTTTGAAGTAGGCCCATTGCTCTAAGATACCAATTGGCAAGTCAGTCTCGCTGGCAATCTTGACGATCTCACGGGCCTGCTCCATGTTGGCAGCAATGGGTTTCTCCACCACGATAGGCTTATTGAACTTGATAGCAGTCTTGATGATCTCGACATTGGTTTGCACGGGCAACAATGCGTCTACAAAATCCACCTTAGGATTCTGGAAAAGCTCCTCCACGGAGTCGTAGACGTTCTGTTTGTCAATGCTGGCCTTTTCAGCAAATGCCACAGCTTTAGACTTAGTTCTGTTGTATGCTGCATAAGGCTCAAGTGAGTCGATAGACTGGATGGTAGGCAAGTGCTGATCGGTGGCGAAGATACCCGTTCCCACAATTCCAACGTTTAAAGGCATGATTAAGAGGAGGAATTAAATTTATTTGGTGAATATGTGTAGAGTTGGGGGACGCTGGCAACCTTATATAATAGTTGTGACTATGCATGTCGGAGTTGTGGGCCCGGAGACTGCGTGGGGGACAGGTAATTGTTCCGGCCAGTTTTTGGGAGAGTCACCAGATGGACAGAAAACGGTCATGGAGAAGTCGTTGGCACTTGTTGAGACCACCTCATTCCGTAGCACGAAACTCGCTTCAATGGGGCTCATGTATATGAATAAATTCTGACACTGCTTTTAGCAGATCGTTTTTAACACAATTCAATTTCATCAATGCCCCGCCGACATCAATGTCCGTTACTGCAGGTAGTGATGAAAGACGAGCCACTAAAAAAACTCAGGAAGGTCCTTCCACATTCACCCATCTCATAACGATACCATGGAAGTGACGCCAATCACTTTGCACGGAGCCAATAACGAAGCATCTCACGACTTGCCACCTCATGACTCTCCTGAACTGAAAAATTCCGCACAAGTAGATGTTGACCTGACAGTTGAAGAAAAGGAGGCTGAAGTGTCAAAATCGACAAAGGTCGAGATCGAGGACGCAACGCCTGGCAATGGCAGCGAAGTCACCAAGGACGAAGAAGATGATTACCAGCCTTTTGTACCTTCAGAAGCCTCGCAGGGTGAGGAATCCACCTCTGCTGAGGCTTCTCAGCACCGTTCCGAATTGGCGGACCCAGCAGACACCCAGGACACCCAGGACACTCAGGATAGTCACGAAGCTGCGGACATCTCAGAACTTGCCAGTTCAAGTAAGGAGCAGTTAGCCCAAGAAACCAGTGCCCAAAACGACGAATCGAACTCTGGCGATGAAGACGAGTATGATCCAGAGACAGCCCGTGAAGAAGGCGAAAACAACTTGCCTACTCTCCCTCCTCCTCCTCCTCCTCATCCACAAGAAGATGCATTCAGCGACTCCCATGCAGCAAGACTGCCTTCAATCTCCGTAAAGAGCATCGGTCTCCCTCCCAAACCTCCCACCCTGCAGCCCCAAGACAGTGCTACTAAGTTTAAAGAAGCCTATGAAGCGATCATGCAAAGCGACATTGTGAAAGATCCTCTGTTTACCAGCATGTCCCAGCAAGAGCAGATGGACACTATCCAGCGACTCCTCCAAGAAAGAAACATTAGCTTGCCCCTGCAGAGCAGCCCATCCATAGACCCAGACATGAACTTCGACCAAGTGTACTCTTACAACAAGCCTTTCAAGAACATTAAGGATCCTATCCCTTTGGTTCCTGTGGGAAAATACTGCCGCCGTCCTAACATAACTCGTCCGATGAACCCTGCCGAACGGGCAGCTTATGAGGACTTTCTTGCCACTGAAGCTCGTCACTCTGGCTGGGGACAACTCGACGATTTGCCTGAAAACCTGAGACTTTTCGTTGGTAATCTTCCCGCAAACACAATCACCAAAGAAGACCTTTTCAGAATCTTCAGCCAGTACGGTGAAGTGTTGCAGATCTCTATCAAGGCTGGTTATGGCTTCATCCAATATCGTACCGCAGAAGCCTGTGCCGAAAGTATCAAAGGTGAAACCAACGTGCCTCTCCACAACAAGTATATGCGTTTAGCAGCCTCTAAATCTCAGAAGAATAGGGCGACGGGTTCTCGCGGGAGAGAAAGAAGTGGAGACGAATACTCCGGTGAACACGACTCTAAGAGACGCAGGACCAATGACGTTCAGCTTCTCAGAAATGAGGAAACTTCCCAAATTTACTTTAGTGAGGTGGAGGATGCGCTCAGAAGAGGCAATGTCTCATATACAACCATCAATACCACTATCCAGAGTGTTTCCGACGAGGTTCGCGAAGCTGCATACCTGGGGGTCATTGGAGCGTGCGTTGTGAAAGATTCAAAGATTGACTTGCAAACGTTCGAAGAGACTCCGGATGGAGGCATAAAGTTCGACGAGTACGTGAACGTGGATATCGCTACCGTGTTGGAAGTCGTTAACAAGGTGAAGGCTTCCAAACCTCTGGCACCGCCTTCTAGGAAATTCAATTCCTATGACGATAGACGTAGTCTGAACAGAAGAGGTGACAGTTATCAGGGTTCAGCATACTCCTCTCGCGGTGATAGGAGCTATGGTGATAGCAGAGGCTTTGGAAGAAACCAAACTTGGCAACGAGGAGACCGCGAATGGTCGCAACCCTCAAGACCTCCCAGAGGTCAATGGTCCAGAAATGATGGTCAAGGTTACAATGAGCCACCATATCATCGTCAGAACCATGGTAACCAGTATGGTGGTCCACTGAACTATAATCAGGACTACGGAAGAGGTTACAACCAAGGTTACAATGGAGGTTATGATCTGCAAATGCCTCCAGGACCTCCAGGACCTCCAGGACCCCCAGGACCTTCGGGACCCCAACAAGGATACCCACCCAATCTGGGATTCCCTCAACAAGGATACCAAGGCTACAACAATGGCCCATCTCCACCACAAAACTTTTCACAACCGGGGTTCAATTTGCCCCAACAGAAGGCCGATCCAGCTCTTCTCCAGACACTTCAAAACCTAGACCCCGGTACTATGCAAAACGTGATTTCTTTGCTTCAACAAAATAAGGGTCCAAGCCCTCAGATGTCTCAAGCTCAGCCTAATTTTTCAGGATATGGACAGAACCCACCACCACCACCGCCTTCACAGAACGTTGCGCAGCCAATTAACTCTTTACTCTCTTCCCTCCAATCGAATCAGAACAACTACAATGGTAACCAACAACAACCGGGCCAGAACCCATCCAGTGCATTGATGGATATGTTGGCAAGATTAGGGAAGTAACTGGTCGCTCCAATTACACTATGTAAAATTTGTAAACTAATCAACAGTATCAACAGTATCAACAGTATTAAGCCCTTCCTCTTTCAAATTTTTCTCTTCGTAGTCATGCTTCAATTGCTCAAACTCTTGTTCATTCTCCAAAACACCACTAATCCCAATTACACCACACTCATTAAATACCTCTAAAGCTTTCTCTGCATCATCAATCTTCATGGTAGCAAAAATCTTATTCACTTCTTCTAAAGAGCCGGATCTGATAGCAGTTTGCATTTCAGGCGAAAGTTTGGTCAGGAAAGAAACGTATTGCTCTGTGCCTTCCTCAGGTGGATTGACCACAAGTTCAGTACTCTCATCCAATGATTTCAATTGGATCAACTGCTCTTCACCCTCATCATTCTGTTCGTTTTCTTGCTTAAGAATGGCACATCTATTCTTGATGTGGTTGACAGTGTTTTCCACGTCAGCCAAGAATGCCTGACTAGCAGGAGCTCTGGTGTCTTCCAATTTAGAAAAGAAGAGCTTTATGGCACGGATCTTCAGGTCATTCGAGGAGCCTGGACCACTCAACTGAGATATGTATTGCAACAATAACGACTGGTAGATCACTTGTCTGGCACCGGCAGTATCTCCCTGGAGCTCAAAATCGAATGCAGTCATAATTAAAGAGTCCTTTTGGTTCTCAGTACAGATGGAAGGGTGCCTCACCAAAAATTCAGCACTCTTACGAAGGTCCTTGTAGGGTATCCTTGCAAATTCTGCGGTGGCGGGTAAAACCTCCAACTCATCATAAAGCTCTTGATCAGTTTTTTCAACTTTCTTAGACTTTTGAGGAGAATTAATGGTTTCAACAGTTGTGACACTTTCCTTTGCTTTCGCCTTTGGTGTCTCTGCGGGCTTCTCCTTGTCTTCATCCTTGTTTAAGAACGAACGGTCAAAACCAGTATGGTAGTCGTCACTACTAATTAACAAAGACTTCTCGTATAGCAAGTTGTCGAGCGAAATGGTCTGCTTCAGTAACACATCATCGATCTTGCGTCTGTGCTCGCGAAGGTGCTCAATCAACTTCTCACCATTAATCATGACCTCTGGGTGATCTTCTTTAATCTGGGAGAACAAGTCTTCGATCATCTCATTGTATGTTGGGGTGTTTGCAATCTCCTCCTTGTCGAAGGTCAAATCACGCAAACCTTTTCTTAATTCACTGCCCTTCTCTTCCTTCAATTTGTCAAAGTCAAACCTTTCATTCTTGTCAAAATGTGCGTTGAGCACGCTCATCACTTTCGTCACGTCGAGAAGTTCTGAAGCACTAAGTGTCTTCAACAAGTAGTCGACGCGTGCATTCAATTTCGTATACATGGTCAACTGCACCAACATGGTCTTGATCTGGATGTTACGTTCATGACGCTTCTCGTGGATATCTCTTTGCTTCCATTTGATGAACGACTGTTTGTCGACATTGGGATGTACCTCAATGTCGGAATCATCGGACAACTCTATTTTGTCCCACTTTGAGTAATCAATAGGCATAGTGTGAATTGATTGAAGGGAATCGTTCAGTGGTGGCTATTAAGTAATTGGTCGGTGCAGGAGGCTCGTTGCAAAGTAAGGGTACCAAAGGTACATCAAGAAGCTTCCAGAAAAAAATGATAAACTACATTTCGAATCTTAAATCGCCAATGTATACCGTCAACAAGTAATTCCTGCTGTGAAATCTAAAAAATCACCAATCGTGAATTTGTCACCTGATGATCACCTTCATAGATGGAACCATCTACACTAAATAACTGAGTTCCTTCCTACATCTCACTATATATACATCCAAGCGCATACTGTTTCACGTGGGAACATCAACATCTTCTTTATGACCATCAAGACTATCTACGTCGCCCGCCACGGATACCGTTCCAATTGGCTCCCTGAGCCTCATCCTCCTAACCCTACGGGTATCGACAGCGATCCTCCTTTGGCACCACATGGTGTGGAACAAGCTAAAGAACTAGCCAACTACCTAACATCGTTGCCAGAAGACGAGAGACCCCAGTTCATCATCTCGTCGCCGTTCTACCGTTGCCTCCAAACGTCTGAGCCCATCGCCAAAGCATTGCATTTGAAAGTGACTATAGATACTGGAGTGGGGGAATGGTTCAAGACCACTAGAGAAGTTATTCCCAAGCCAGCCGGTTACGAGCAGCTCCGCCAGTTTTTTGCTGACACAATTGGTGACGAAACACTCTGGAGTGGGTCTGGAGTTATTCCCAGTGGTTCTGGTGAGACGGAAGAGGCCATCTTCTTCCGGGCCCAAAAATTTTGGAAAGCATTCATTCCAGCGTTTGAGAAGGCTCATCCAGAAGTCTCCAGAGTGTTATTTGTCACGCACGCTGCCTCTAAGATCGCATTAGGCTTGTCGTTGTTGGGAAAACTGTCTGTGCACGATACTATTGAGTTCAAGGGTAAAGAAACCAAGTTGCATTCTGGAGCTTGTTCTATTGACAAGTACGAGAACCAGAACGGCGAGTGGACCATTTTGGAGAACGGCAAGACAGACTTTTTGAAGGACGGCGAGGAGATGAACTGGAATTTCGACGTGAAGTTTGAGGCTGGGTCCGACGAGGACATCAAGGCCAGGAAAGCTGCTGCTGCTGCCACTGCTGCTGCTGCGAAAAACACCGAATTTGAGGTACGTAGCAAAGTGTGAAATGTATAGACTATTTTCTTTTCCATTTTTGTTCTTCGATTTCTGATCTATACTTTTCTCCTCTATTCTTCAAACACATTTACTAACTTGCCAGGAAGTTTTCCTCACTGTGGATATCCCCATCATGGCTCCATCATATTACGAGGAGGCCAATCGAGATGGACCCAAAGACGAGAACCAGACCAAACCTTTCTCTGAGCAATTGTTGATCAATCCAAATGCAAAATTTCAAATATCCAGACTCGATGAGCAACACCCCCTTTTTAAAGTGTCCGACAATGCCAATTCGGCTGCTGATCCTGAAAGTCTCTCTTTCAGCAACTTGAGTGCTATTGACGGCCAAATCCACCAGACAAATTGGTCTAAACTCCTAGGAACAGAATTGATTTTCAACGAAAATGGTGACTTGGTGGGCACTGTCAGAGAGCACTTGCTCACAGATCTGTCGGTGAAAGTGAAGCTCAAGCCACAGGGTGGTGACGAGACTGTAGAAGAAGTGCCAGGAGCAGAGTCTGACTCTCGAACGGCTTTCTTGAAAAAAGCTCAAGCAGTGGCTAGAGCTAAGGCTCGTGAGTCATAATGGACATTCGTTCAATTTTGTCTTGTTTCCTGCCTTGTGTTCGTCTCGCCTATCGCTATCATGATTGGGTGCAAATGTCCTGCACTGGATTGTCAAGTTCTCTCGAGTCCATTTCTTCCTTGACTATCGACCTTCCTCCAATTTCCCACTTATGTTCGACCATCCACTCTTCCAGAAACTTCAGAATTACCAATTTGTGTTGGGATCGTCGTCGCCTCGCAGAAAGGAGATCTTGGCCGCTAATCTCAACATCTCCAACTTTATAGTGGTGAAGTCAACCTTTGAGGAAAACCTCTCCAAGCAGAATACATTAGCTATTGACTACGTGACTGCCACTGCAGAACATAAAATAGATAGTATTGTCACTCAACTCTTGCCCGGAAAACCGTACGTGCTTTTGGTGGCCGACACTGTGGTATCGTGTGGGGGCCACATATTCGAGAAACCAGGCACCAGAGAAAAGCAAATGGAGATGCTCCGCCATTACAGAAGTCATCCAAATGATATCCAAGTCATCACGGCCATTCAGGTATGTGAAATTGACTCTAGCTTACGTGTTATTAGCAGGTTGCTGGATTGTGAAATCACCACCTTGAAGTTCAATGCTCAATTGTCCGATACTCCGCTCCAGTACTACGTGAACTCGGAAGAGGGGATTGATGTGGCTGGAGGTTTCAAGTATCAGTGCTTGGGTAGTCTCCTTTTCTCCGGAATCGAAGGCGACTACTTCAATGTAGTGGGGCTTCCTGCTGCGAAGACCTTCTACTTGTTGGACCGTCTTCTAAGCTGAGCCACAAAAGAAGTTCAACAAGATCCATTCCATTGATTCATTTGCATCACTAGCCTATTTGTTGGTTTGCTGACAATGTTTGAGATTTCCTCGTTTTCTGCATTTTCTTTGATAACCTCCCACTCCATCCATACTACTCCGGCCTGCACACCACCTACTCACCATTTTTTCTCGATGAGATGGAGATGCCAACTTCAAGCTCTTCACACTAAATATGGCAAAGAAGTCGACTAAACCCGCTGCTAAGCCTAAGGCTGCTGCCAAGACCGAGGAGACTTTGTCTGTCGACCATGTGTCCGACTCCTCCTCTTCTGAGGAGTTGTCCAGTGACGAAGAAATCGAAATGGAAGAGCCACAAGCTGACACCCCAGCACAGAAGGGTCAAAAGGGACACAGCGTGAACCTTCAGAAGCAGGGAGCCAGTGAGACCACCAAAATTAAGAAACTGGGTGGTGTCATCTACGTGGGAAGACTCCCCAAGCAGTTGGAAGAGCGCGAGTTGAAGAAGTACTTTGGCCAGTTTGGCGACATCACCAACGTTAGAGTGTCCAGAAATAAAAAGACCGGTTCCTCCAGACATTATGCATTTGTTAAGTTCAAGCAGCACGATGTGGCTGCCATCGCTGCAGAGACCATGAACAACTACCTCATTTTCGGCCACTTGTTGAAGGTGCATGTAATCGAGAACCCTAAGGACAACTTGTTTTCGGCTAAGATGACGCCTGGCTTCAAAGAGTTTGACTGGAGAGGCAAGGAATATGCTGAGGCCATGAAGGCTAAGCCATTGGAGACCTGGAAGAAGTTGCAGCTGGAGTATGAGCAGCAGAAGGTTGAGAAATTTGAAGAGTTGAAATCCCTCGGGTTTGACTATGTTCTCGAGGCGTAGTTGTACATTAATGCATTCACAATGAGAGAATAGATGTAGAAACTGTAGAGGGTGGTGGTTTGTGTTGCAGATCACATGACGATGGAGATTGGTGAGACTATTGAGATTCCATAAATTAGTTAAGTTGCTTTATAATTGAAATCGACCATGCCCCCAAAAAAACAACCAAAGGCATCCAGTCCGAGCTATGAGTTTCCTCAAAAGTTCTATGCGTTGAAATCTTCTCTCGAGAAGCTGTTTTATAAGCCACAACCAGAGAGTTTGGTGGATGACCAGATTGTTGTCATTGACCACTTCTTCTCATCTGAATTCTGCGATGAGCTCATCGCTTCCTTCCTGAGCAGCCTCAAAATGGAAACCACGCCGTTGATAAAGTCTCGGGACTATGCAGCCCGCTTCAACGACAGAGCGTCGTTCACTTCGTACGACGCTGCAGACTCACTCTGGCAATACTTAAAAGAGATTCTTCTACAGCAGCTCGAGTACGAAGACGAGGATATGGAGGCGGTCGGTTCCATTTTCCGCAATGCTAAGAGTCTCAATCCCCAATTGAGAATTTATCGGTACACAAAAGGACACCATTTTGGTAAGCATTATGACGAGTCAGTGAGATGTCCGCTAGCACACGATCCCAAGATTCAGGGCAAGACTAAATGGACATTGCTAATATACTTGACAGGAGATGACGAGTTCAAAGGAGGAGGAACCATTTTTTATCCTGATGTGGGCAAAGAATACTTGAATGTTCATCCAAGCAAGGGTATGGCATTGCTTCATAAACATGGAGACGATTGCTTGAAGCACGAGGCAGAATTGGTAAAAGATGGAGTTAAATGGGTGTTAAGAAGTGATGTGACATATTAGACTGTATTAGGTTTAGATTTATTTGTGGTATTACATTCTATGGATTCAATTGTAACGGAAAGAATCTACTATGCTTGCTCGTGTTGCCTGGTTTGCATTCTAAAAGGTTCTAATGGGACATTGATTGATTTCATAAATTACATTCTATATTCGACCAAAGAAATACCATTTGTAAGTTTGCAAAGGGTAGTAACTTCAAGGTTGTGTGTGCGAACTGGACAATGTCAGTAGCTTTCGAGGAAAGATAGCTGAATCATTTAAAATTGATTCTATCAATAGCACCTTGAGCCATTATGAACACAGATTGGAATGCTCCAATTACTCTTCCTTCTCTCCAACTCGACAACCAAAGATGCTAATTTCTGTACAAATTCGAGTCTGACTAAACATTTTCTTTAGTGTATTTATTATGTCTATTATTCCCTATCCCATTGAATTGCTCGCTTACAATCTGCTCTTTCTGAGCATTTTGTTGTAGTTGTTCAAAGTCTCGTCATTAGTGCAAGAACCACCACATACAACCACAACAACAATGTCATCCTCAGCTAAGTCAGGGATAGACTTTTTCAAGAAGTCAATCTGGTTGTATACGACAGAGACGGCAGCGCCACAAGCTGGCTCGATTACCTTGTTAAAGTCTTTGTGGAATGCGATGGAGCCTCTGACAGCATCTAGATCGTCAATCACTCGAAGGAAAGACTTATTTGTGGACTGGTCATTGTACATCTCAAGAGTTTCTGGAGACACATATGAACATGCAAGCGAAGTAGCCACCGAATTGACGGAATTGAGAGTAATGACAGATCCAGCTCGAATTGACTCAGACAAAGTTGGAGCCTGCTTGGTTTCAAGCAATAAACATGAAGCTCCGCTACCGTTATCTTTCAAGCCCTTCATGATTCCATTATAGAGGCCACCACCTCCAACGGAGCAAATCACTCCTCTAAGCTTCTTTGCTTCCTCGACAGTCAATTGGGAGTCAAAGATCTCGTCAATCATCTGCGAGTGACCTTCCCAAATCAATGGGTGATCGAATGGATGGCAGTAAATTGTGTGGATACTAGAATCGCAAAGAGTCATCAACTTTCTTGCATTCTTGTCTGCTTCACTGATGGTCTTACCCTTAAGTACTACCTTGGCTCCGAACAGTTTGAGCTTTTCGACAATCTGTGGCATGGCAAATGTAGGAACAACCACAGTACATGGAACATTGTAGAACTGGGCGGAATATGCAGCAGCAAGGCCAGCGTTACCACCGCTAGAAGCGAAAACTTCGATCTCGGTCTTCCCCTCCAGTCTTGCTTTAATAATAGACGAGTGAATTAAGTGACCAATACCTCTGAGCTTAAAACTTCCAGAAGGCTGCTCCAGCTCATTCTTCAAGAGAATACGGCAGGGCAAGTCCTTGGTAGTGGAGACAAGTTCAGTCACATCGACCAAGCTGGTCTGTACGGATGGCTTCTGGGTGACAGTACTGGAGGTGTGAATTGGCTGCGAAATAGTCGACATGGGGAAAGTGCGTAGGGTGCAACAAATAAGTGGCATTGCTTGCTTTATATAAGCATTATCAAGTACAGACACACATAGGAGTAGAAACCACAAGCATGGCAAGAGGGGGAGTTAAAGTGAAGAAGTCAATATAATGAACGGCTTTTGTAAGGCGAGTCAGATCGATATGCGTTTGCGGAATCGTAGTTCCGCCTCGAATCATCCGGAACTACGATTCCGGAGTGTCGGAACTACAATTCCAGGGTTCCGGAGATGCAATTCCATCTTTTCATGTCTATATTTTCCACAATATCTATAATGCCAAACTCTTATATACCGTTTGGAGGTTTTAGCCATTATAGTCGGCTTTTTCCCAAACTTGTCCGTAGTGATGACAGTGCCTTGTTTTTCTTCGATTGGCGACTTCTTTAGCTCTCAACGAAATGTCTTTCCTGTCCTTAAGATCTAACTGTTAAATATAGGTGTGAATGTACACATGACTGCAGAATACTTCAGAGAGAAGATCTTTAGGTCAGAAGTACAGATTTTATCCTGCCTTGAATTGCAGAACTCAACACTAACTTTGTCTCTCCTGACATTTACCATCGAAGGATTATGGCTTCTGACTTAAACTCCTCCAAGTTTCTTCCGAGTTATTCGATCAGAAACATTTTGTGGGGCTTTCAATTGGCGATTCTCGGAACTTACTACTCATTGAGAAATCCAAAACTCTTCAAAGAACGCTACTATGTCGAAGCTTGTCGGTCAATCTTTTTTGCAAGGTATTTACATTTGTTTGTGCGGTCTCCCTCCGTGATGATCAAGATCCTGGTTGTGTGTATTGGAGTTTTTCTAGTTCTGGTGGGAATCTTTAACCTAGAGTGTATTGCCAATGATTTTCAGTTTTCACTTTTCTTGTCTGGGAGGGTGGTGAGTGTGTCTCAAAATTTCACTAAAGACTTGAACGGGTTGTTTTTTGCTAGTCTTGAGTGGGTCGATTCGAATTATCTAGTGAAACATCCTGAAGATACGCTTCACCAGTATTACTGCAAGTTGGAGGCATTATCCACAGACAGAATTACTGCTGGCAAATCTGCATTATTCTTCAAGCAACACATAATCACGGCTCTCTTAATTATGATTTTATCATGTTTTCCATATTTGCACTTGGTTGGCTCCATTGTACTTGCTTTGATCATCTTTCTAGGTTTGAGGAGTAGAATAGGTACAGTTCGATCTTGTGTGATATCTTCTGTTCTCCTACTTCTCCCCATAGAGCTCATGATGACGTTGTTAATGTTATATTGTGGCATCCGAAACTTGGTGCACGATCTTTTGCTCCCTTACTTCTCCAGAGTAAAATTTTCCAAGATGGACAAAGATCAATGGATCAAATCTCGCGAGGGGCTCCTCTTAGGCTTTGGTATGTGCTATTACTTTGCGATTTTTAAGTTCCCTTGGGTGGGTTTGCTAATTTATGGCCTTGCCCAATCCTCCATGGCGTACATGATCACAAAGATTTCGGAACCTCCTCCAGATCTGGCGCAACTTGTAAGCTGGACAGTAGATCAGCTTGTATGGAAAGATAATAAAACCTTGGACGACGGTGAGACCAGAAATGATGAAAAATCTGCTTCGAGCACCGAGGAAGAAGATAAGGTTGATGAGCCTTAAGCGAGTTTCTAGACATTAGAGAACTGAAAAGTTACCATTCTTCCAACTTCAATGCCTTGCGGAAGTGATCAATTTCTGCACTTTGATCTACTGGAAAGAAAGTTTGCTGTGGTTAAATCAACCGCAGGTTGCTTCTTGTTTGCTTCCTCGTAAAAGTATACAATACTTAGAATGCTAAATTAAACGATAAAAGTCAGGAGATGCTGTCATTCCTCAAGTGCTCATCATCTTCTATAGTAGCAACCCAGAATAACAATGGGTATTAACATGGACAAGCGTAGATACTAATTACCAAACACAACCAGCGTTGGTAGGGGAAACAACCTTCAAATGCCATGGGTAGTAAAGTTCATGCCAAACTCTTATATTCAATTTTAGCCCCTATAGTTTTTTTCTTTCAAATTTGTCCGTAGTGATGACAATGCCATGTTTTTCTTCGATTGGCGACTTCTTTAGCTCTAAATAATGTCTTTCCTGTCCTTAAGATCCAACTGTTAAATGTTAGTCCATGATTGTACAGGACTGCAGAATACTTTAGAATGTAGATCTTTAGGTCAGCAGATTTCATCCTTCCTTAAAATGCAGAACTTAGTCTCTCTCCTGACATTTACATAGAAGAATTATGGCTTCTATCTTAAACTCCTCCAAGTTTCTTCCGAGTTATTCGATCAGAAACATTTTGTGGGGCTTTCAATTGGCGATTCTCGGAACATACTACTCCTTAAAAAATCCAAAACTCTTCAAACAAAGCTACTATGTCGAAGCTTGTCGTGTGTCCTTTTTGTCGATAAGCTTGTCTTTGGCTATACGGTACCCCTTCACAATAATCCCCATCTTAGTTGTTTTTATTGGGCTATATATCTTGCTGTTTGAATTGTTTACCTTACAGTGCTTCGTCAATTACTTCCAGTTCACTGTATTCAACTTTTTCAAGGTGGTGCGTGTTTCTGGTAACCTCAACAAAGAATTGAACGAGCTTTTCCTTGTCAGCCTTGAATATATGGATTTGGTTGATCACCAGAAACATCCAGACGATACATTCCACCAGTATCACTACAAGTTAGAAGCGTTGTCCACACGGAGTTCTGCCCTCTTAACTAAGTTGCAGCGAGAGCAGATTATTGAAGGCGAGTCTACCGTTTTCTTCAAGCAACACATTATCACGGCCCTCTTAGTTATGGTTGTATCATGTTTTCCATATTTGCTCTTGGTTGGTTCAATTGTGCCTGCTTTGATCATCTTTCTAGGTTTGAGGAGTAGAATAGGTATTGTTCTATCTTGTGTGATAACGGCTGTCCTCCTTACTCTCCCAAAAGAGTTTTCGATGATGTTTTTGATCTTATATTGGGGCTCCCGAAACATGGTACACGATCTTTTGCTCCCTTATTTCTCCAAAGTAAAATTTTCCAAGATGGACAAAGATCAATGGATCAAATCTCGTGAGGGGCTTCTTTTGGGCTTTAGTATGTGTTATTACACTGCCATTATTAAGTTCCCTTGGGTGGGTTTGCTAATCTATGGCCTTGCCGAATCCTCCATGGCGTACATGATCAGAAAGATTTCGGAACCTCCACCAGATCAGATGCAGCTTGTGCGCTGGACAGTAGATCAGCTTGTATGGAAAGATAATAAAACCTTGGACGACGGTGAGACCAGAAATGATGAAAAATCTGCTTCGAGCACCGAGGAAGAAGATAAGGTTGATGAGCCTTAAGCGAGTTTCTAGACATTAGAGAACTGAAAAGTTACCATTCTTCCAACTTCAATGCCTTGCGGAAGTGATCAATTTCTGCACTTTGATCTACTGGAAAGAAAGTTTGCTGTGGTTAAATCAACCGCAGGTTGCTTCTTGTTTGCTTCCTCGTAAAAGTATACAATACTTAGAATGCTAAATTAAACGATAAAAGTCAGGAGATGCTGTCATTCCTCAAGTGCTCATCATCTTCTACAGTAGCAACCCAGAATAACAATGAGTATTAACATGGACAAGCCTAGATACTAATTATCAAACACAACCAGCGTTGGTAAAGAAAAAAACCCTCAAATGCAGTTGGTAGTAAAGTTCATATACTAAACAATATAATGTATCATGCGTTGCATATAACGGAAGAGTAACCAACAACTTTGACGTTAAATTCCTGTCTCTTGCTCACCTCTATCTACCTTTGAAGAATCAATGGCATCTCCCATTTTTATTTCGAAACCCCCACCGGGATTTTCCGTGGTAGCAATCATACGAGGTTTCCAATTGGCGCTCCTCGGAGCTTATCGCTCCTTGCAGAACCCTCAACTCTTCAAAACCCAGTATTATCGACAAGCGGGCCTTGCGATCGCGCTGTCGGTGTTGCTACAGGTGGTGCTTTGGTCTCCCATCATGATTCTTCGTCTATTGGCTGCGTTTGTAGGCTTGTTCACCTCTCTGGAGAGAATAGCAGATCTTGCATCTTTTCTCAAAGGCCTCCAGTTCAATGTGTTGAACATTAGTGTGTTCGTGGTGAGTGCATCTCGTTTCTTCACAAAGGACTTGGACTATTTGTTTTTGGCCAGTCTCGAGTTCATTGACTCTGTTTATATCCTGAAACATCCAGATCGGACGTCTCAGCAGTACCACGCTAATTTGGTAGCGTTGTCTACAAATGAAAAATACACTGGTTTCTCGTTGAATCTGCTTCAAGCAAAGTACTCTTCTTCAGGCGAATTCGCCGTGTTCATTCAACGCCATATTAGAAATGGGCTCTCCAATTTAGCAGTGTACTTATTGTGCAAGATACCGGTGGTAGGCTCTGTTGTACTTGGGTTCATCTCATTCCTGAGTCTAAATAGTAAAATCGGAACAATAAGAGCCCTTGCGATTTTCGGTACTCTCCAGCTTCTCCCGAGGTACTACGCAGTGAAGTTTCTCACCACGTACTGGGGATCTCGGAGTATGGTACATGATCTATTGCTTCCATACTTCTCGAGAGTAAGATTTACCAAGTTGGAGAAGGATCAATGGATTAAGTCTCGTGAGGGTCTCCTCTTTGGATTTGGTTTGTGCTATTTCACTTTGATCAAAAGGTTGCCATGGGTAGGTTTGCTAATCTTTGGTTTTGCTGAGTCTGCTGTAGCATACTTGATCACCAAGGTTTCGGATCCTCCTCCAAATCAGGTGAGTCTGTTAGTGCACTGGAATGCTTCGCAGCTTGTGTGGAACAAGGAAAAAGAGCTGGATATTCTCCTGGGCCTTTATGTCAGCAAAGATGAGGGTTTCGTGCCTATTCCCGGCTCGTATATTTTCACCTAAACCCCAACCTTAGTGTTGAACGTCCTGGTGCCGGAATACACACAGTAATCGAGCATGTCGAATGCAACGTCATACACCTTGGACCCTAAGTCTTTATAGTTGGAGAAATTATGCAGCTCCAACTCGTTGGACTTGCTCGTCAAATCTAAAATTGGAAGAAAAGTCAAGTCACACCGTGGCCATTTGTGATTTGAGGTGGAGTTCAAATACTTCAAAAAATCGTTTGAAAGCTCACCATCCCGCAACAATTCGAATGTTTCAGTGCATATCTCGGTCGAAATTGTCACTCTTGCCTTCTCGTGGATTTGGCTGCTCTTGTCCTCGCTCAGAATTAGGTGGTAGTTGAGAAGCATAAACTTGTCGAATTCTGCCTCAAATTCTGAGCTGTGTTCTGTAGCATAATGTATAAATATAGACGCCAAATGCACCCGTAGTTTTTGTGAAATTGCATCTTGTTCAGTAGCAAGTGCCATGATAAGATTGTCCAATTCAGTAGAAGTGTTTCCTGGGGGATTCAATGCGTGAAGTGTTCTTAGCACGGAAACGTTCGTAGTGTAAAGCACTTGTAATTTCGAAATCGTGGCGTTGTCTCTAAAATTGTGTGCTAGACTTTCTCCAAGCGATCCCTTCAATTCTACTTCCAAATCAACCGAGCCAATATCACCATAAGATTTGACCTTCCAGCTGTAAACAGACTCAATAAAATCCTTCAATGCGCCAAGTTTGCGCTCAATTATTGCGCTGGAAACGATAGGTATGTTTTCTATGTCATTAACAAAGAGGGTGTTCAACTTACTCAAAGAATTTGAAGTTGGCACAGGTTCGACGCTGAATTCAGGTTCAATCTCCTTGACTGGTAGAAAAGAGATATTGAACTCCATTTTGGATTTGCTCTTATAATGAATTGTGTGTCGGGGTGTCAAATTGTATACGGTCACCAAAGTTCCATTGGTCATGAGTTTAGTTCCATAGTTGTAGAAGTTCGCTTCGACGTTATCCGATAGAAAGTTCAGAAAAACTTGCGAGGGAGCCTTCTGCTTTTCCTTCACAACCAGGACTTGATACTTGTAGAGTGTTTTGTTGACAAGTGTCTGCCATGCGCTAGGGGCTTCCCCGATAGTAATGGATTCTCCCTTCAAGTGGGCCATACATACTTGACCTGATTCGTAAGCGATGAAGACTGAGCTTTTCAGTGAGGTTTCAATAATAGGAATGCTTGACACCGTTGATCTAAAAGGCAACTTGTGGCTGGCAACAGTTCCATTCTCATCGAGAAGGTAAATGGTGGTTGTATCTACAAGCACCAAGTGGTTGTTGCCTGCTAAGATATTCAATTGAGAAATCATAAAGCGAGATGGGCTTTTAATAGCCACGTGAGGAGATCGAAGTCTTCCTTTGCTGTCAATTGGACACAAATGGACAGAATTATCGTTCAATGCATAGTATAAGATGCTGGTCCGAGCATTCCATAATTGCTTGACAACGAGACCCCCAGCATCAAAACTTTCCAATAAAGGTAGCCCGGCCTCCAACTTGTGGATTGACAACTTCCCCGACTCGTGCGCCAAAGAAATGACTAGATCTCCATTCTCAAATTTAGTGAACTCAAATGAGGTCACTTTGAGCTCTAAATACTGTTCATTTCGCAAGATGATGTCTCCCTCGGCAGTCAACCGCTCCTGTGGAATGTGCATCTGGTCAAGGAGACACGTGAAGCTTCTAAATGCAACCGTGTACTCGCTGGCATCCACGGACTGGCGCTTCAAGACGAGAACCTCTCCCGTGTTGAGTAAAATACCCAAGTAGCAGTCTCTGGTGGAATTTTCTATCGGTGACCATTTGTGGCCCACCACTGATGGCTCAGCGATTCTAGTGAAACTAAAGTGGGACTCCCCGTCTTCAATTAAAATTCTAGAAAAGATCTGGAGACCTAGCAGATCGAGATTTTCCATGTGAAGAATGGTACAGACATCATACAATTCGGTAGCTTCAAGGTAGTTTTGAGTTTTTCCATTGATTGTCACTGAGGAGACGGCCTGATGGAGTAGTGGAAGCTTGGGTTCGAGAATTGTTAGATGATCGGAGTTGTTGATGGCTATCTGCGAATTCTGAGATGTTTGGACTGGTTCAAGAAGACCATTACCCACACCTGAGCGTTGGACAGTGATCGATTTGAGCATAAACTATGACAATGGGAAAATCAAGATGCAGTGGTTAACAGTGTTTAACTGTGCAACAAGAAAAAAAAACAAATAGTGAAGGGTGCGGGGTTCGAACCCGCGCGGACTCATGTCCAAAAGATCTTAAGTCTTCCGCCTTAGACCACTCGGCCAACCCTCCTGTAACAACTGTGTACATGCCAAAATAGTTTATTAGTATTATATTGTTCCTTTCTTTCGCCAAAAAGAGCTATTTTTGCTTGCCTATCCGAATGGTGAGAGCTTTGGTGATGATGTCAGCAGAACAGTAACCTCATTTTCTACTATGCTCTACTAGGACTATGACCACGCTCTTACAGCATGGTCCCTGAAATAGTACGTAATAATATGTTCTAAAAAGAAATTTCAGCAACTACACCAACAGGTCTATGATTACATTAGTATTCCATGATATAGAACCTAGTAAACGTTATAAAAAAATTTCATGTCATTGAAGAGATTTCTTAAGCTATTAGGAATATTCTCAGCCACAAATTTGAGAGTTTATACAAAGGTTACTGTAATCCAGGACTTGATTTATGGTAGCCAAGAAGCCATGCAGTAACTACTGTTAAAGAGAATACTATACGATTATAAAAAAAGAAAACCAATAAGGAACTGCAATGAAAAAAAGCTTTGATGCTCAAAAACACTAAGAACTCATCAGCTGGAGTTGAGCATGTTTATCGAACTCTTCTTATGGATCAAGAAAAGAAAATGGTAAGGAGCTTTGACTTGACTAGTAGTGTAATTGAATAAAATAAAAGATTCCAGCAACTTTGAACTTTTAAGAGAAATGGGGCTTTTCGAAAGGGTAAATTGGCGCCCTCCACACGAGAACATACATCATTGTTGATAGAAATGACTAGTGTTGGTTCGCTCAATTTTCCTCGTTGTTATTTACGACGAAAAGCTTTCGAAATTGGTTCCTCTTCTTTCAAGGGAATGGATTATTGGTCTGGAACCCTAAACAGAATTTTGAACAATAAACTAGATCAATTTTAATTGAAATTGGTTCCAGGGACTGTAACTCACTAAATTCAGCGTTGCAAACTGTTAAGCTCACTTTCATCTCTTTAACTCGTTTCAAGCACTTGCTTGTGGTAAGAAACGATAAGTTTGCCACGTGTGTTCAAAGAATAGTGTTCTATGAATTTAAATTTTTGTTCGTAAAATGTTGTAGTATAGTCTGTCCAAAAAAAAGGTGATCAAAAAAAAACTTCTACTGCTGACATCCTAGGATCTATGCACAGTTAGGTTACCTATCCAGAGTCGCTATATGATGACTAACTGTGGTAAAAAATTTACCAACTAAACGTCTAACCGTCCAACCCCGCGTGAATTTTGTTGTCTTCCATTACTACTTGCAAATCGTTTTTTTGTTGTTTCATACTTATCGTTTTCTCAGAATATGTTTTAGACTAAGTCTCACAGTATTTCAAATTCATGATATGGTGTATAGCCGGTTGTCACTTGCACAAATCTTTTCCTTCCAAGTAACATCAACAGTAGCATTGAGTCTTTTCGGTGATGATAAGGTTCAGAATAGGTTTGTTTGTTCCCCAATCCTTGTCCATCTCCTTTCGTAGACAAGTTTGTCTTCAGAGTACACCACCAACGCAAGAGAGTCGTCTTCACTACTTAAGAAGTGTAGCAATTATTGCTTCATTGTGAAATTCAGTGAGCTCATCTACATAATTAAGATTGCGGTATCTGATTTTTATTATTTCGCTAGTTGAATTGGATCTTCCTTTTGACTTCTCATAAGCTCAGCACCTCACTCTGACGGTGAACACCACAATTCAGGAGCAAAGTCCAGAGGAACGCTCAAGATCAAGCGGTCCATATTTTCGATCATAAAACAGCAGAGCTTTTCGACAAAGCTGGGTAAATTGATTGTTTTGCAACTTGAACCGATTCATACTGTGATCAGTAAAAACAACAGCCCGAAATGCGATTATCTTGAATTTTTTTCCTCGCTTTTTATTTTGATACCCTCATTTGGCCTTCAATGAACTTCATTCATTAAGAGTAGTTACTTCAAAAGTTATTTTAATTATCTTTTAAGTAATCATAGAACCCTTTAAACATTAATGTAGCCAAAATTTGGATCTGCAACATGGTTTATTCTATTGCGTCAATCTAAGTCTATGTACAGGCGTTATGCGACCGTTATGCAGCCGCATCGAACTCCAAATACCGTTGACTACAGTCTTTCAAAAAAAGAAAAAAAAAAACAGAACACGCAAAATGCATTAACGGTAATTATGAGTGAACAGCTGTACTGTGCCACAATTAATTCTTTGATTGAAATTTCTGGTATTTCTATGGTTGCTTTCCAATCGAACAATGCACTACTTCACTTTAGGTAAATAGTTTGAAATTATCTTGTTCTATACCCACAGTTTTATTCTTTTTACATATTATACATTGACGCACCAATCATGAAATTGATGATTGTTCACGTCTTGGACGGCCCCTCTTCTTTTTCTGTACTCCTTCTTCTGGAGATGCTGATTCGGAACGCTTCTTTCTGGACTTGAGTGTTCCGTTCACGCGGATTCCCTTGATAGTGACTCCAGTCTGCTCAATTGGGAACTTGCGAGGTCTTCCACGTCGGTCCTTCTGCTCAAGTAACTGCTTCACCGTTTGGTCATTAAGTGAGTCAAAGTTGGTGCCGGTGCTGACAATTTTGCCTACCAGTTCGCTCAGAACAGTTGCCTTGGGTGGATTCGAACTTTCCTTGAGCATCCGATTAAGTCTTTTGTAGTGTTCGTGAGACGAATCAATATACTGGTTGGTTTCTGGGTCAAGTATTAGCTTCTTTGGCCGTCCTCTCTTTTTCTTAGAGCCGTCTCCGTCTGTTGCGGACACAATTTTTGTAAGGATCGAACGTGACACGTCCGAGCCTGGCCCACTAGTGGTAGTCTCCAATGAAGGTGTATTTTGCTGTTGCTCACCAAGCAGAGGTGTCGTTAAATGGGCCAGTGATAATTGATCTTGTTGGGCCTTTTGCTCATCCCGACTAGCTCCATTATTCATTGTGTAATCTTGCACTGGAGGATGTACCAAAGTAGCCTCGCGTTGGAGTATCGGTGAATCCAGGTTTGATGTTGCATTGGTTGTTCCGCTTCCACGTATGAGCGGATTGATTTGGTTCATGCCCTGATAGTATCTATCTTGGCTTTCTGGGTAGTCATTATGCTTTTGATTTTCGTATTGCATACGCTGGTACTGAGAGTACTGCTGTTGAAGCGATTGCTGGCGAATTTGCTGAGGTTGCAGTTGGTGGTTTTGCAACCCCAGTGGGCCCTGGAGCGTATGCACTTGTGGTTGGGTTGGGAATGGCAGCGTATGCGGCGACCGTTGCTGGGGAGCGGGAGACTGACGCAGTGACAGGTGCAGAGGCTGTTGTAGCAGGCTCTGGAAATTCTCTTGGTTCAGTTGATGATGCTGTGCCAGGTGTGGCTGTTGCGCCTGTTGCGGTTGCTGGAACTGGGAGAATACCTGCTGGTGATGTTGAAGCAGTGGATAATTCAGAAGTTGGTCTTGTCCATACTGTTGAGAATTCTGCTGCTGCTGATGCTGGTGCTGCTGTTGATGCTGCATGACTTGGGCAAATGGCTGCTGGTAACCTGTCACTCCTTGGGGTGGGAAGGCTAATGGCAGAGGAACCATCATATGGCCATTGGGAATAATTCGAGAAGAAATGGCGGTTAATGGCGGAGAAGGAGTTCCCAAGTTGAAAGAGGAGGGAGCCGGGCTATTACCTGGTGATTTTCCGTATATCTGGAGCGGGAACGGCTGCTTCTTGGACTCCTGGTTATCGTTGTATTGGTTCTCCACACCTGGGGGCAATTTGGTGCCGGGAAAAGTATAAGGAATGTTCATAATTGAGATTTGCACATGGAACAAAAGATCTGGATGCTAAGTTGAGGTTGGGAACGTGTTTGGGGGCGCTGAAATCAATTATATAATGAGTAGGTGAAATGGGTGCAAGAAGGGAAGAGACAAAAAAAAAAAATACAGGGAAAAACAAAATCGCCTTGGAGTGTACAGACTTTAGAGGCCACGTCTGGATAGGAGAGAGAAAATAGAGACTATATGTATTTTTTTTCCAAATTTCCAATACTTAATATAAAAGGTAATTATATGTTCTTCCATGAGCTACGAGCTCCATGTTTTCGTTGGCTAATTTTGTCATTAAAGTTAGATGTAGCGAACACGATAAGATGCAATGCGCATCTCAACGGCTGAGGGTAGACAGGAAAAAGAAAGAAAGAACAAAGGGCGACAGGTCCGAATTAGGAAATGGAGATTTGGGTTGAAAATAGAACTATCATGGTCAAATATTGTATAAATAACATGATTGGTGATTGGAAGTACAAATTTTTACAACTTGGATCAACTGAGTAAGTTTCGAATGTTTTGTTGAGAAAATGATACAAATCATTGCGTGTAGTTATTGTCGCAAGCTGAAATAATCATTTGTTGAGTGATTAAGTCTACGTAAGAAATTCCAGTTCCGACGTAAAAGAAAAAAAAAACATGGTTTACGGAAGCTACTCTTCGTCCCTGTTCGTATGTCTATTGTGCTGTGTGTGGCTAGCTGTGAATGATCAACTGCTTGGCTGGGATCTGGCTGAGGAGCGAGTCCTGGAAAAACTCCACAAAGTCCTTGGAGTCGGTCAATTTCTCGTCGAACTTGACGGTGAAGTTGACTACGGCAGTGACCGCACCATCAGCCTCGAAGGTGGGGGAGGAGCCCGAGCTTAAGCCCAAAAGCTCATCGAAGCTGTCCACAGGCTCAACACCTCTAGAAGCCTCGCCAATGAACTGGTAAGAAATATCGTTCACGGAGAATCTCTCCTTGGTGACAGGAGCTGCGAGCAAGTCGTCGAAGATGTCTTCCTCGAAAAAGCTCGATGCAGAAGGAGATCTGGCGTACTCAGGAAATCTGGCGGCGTACGTCTGTCTCTTGGCGCCCTCAAGTGCCCTCTCGAAGGCATACTTAAACTTTTCTTTCGAGATGCCCTCGCCTAACTCGGATGTGAATTCAATGGTCAAGATATTTGTCGGTTTGGGCTTCTCAACTGCCTCTCCAGCCTCACCACCCTTAGCAGGCTTGGCTTCCTCCTGAGCCTTTGGAGCAGCGATCTTGATATTGGACAAGTCCAAGTGCTGCTTTTTGTTGATATATTCGGCGACCTTTACGACGGCAGATTGGTCAATCTCTCCCAAGTATGCCTTGACATCTCCAAGAAGAATTCTGCCCTGTGGTCCGGACGCTGGGATCTTCTCGTATGCTTCCAGATCAGAGATGCCATTCTGATGCAACAAAATTTCCACACTAGGGAAGAATCTGAGGTTAGTGTTAGCCTTGACAAGCACGGAGTCTGAAGATGAAGAGACGGGCTCTGATTTCTTTGGTTCTGGTGACTTAGGGGCTTTCTTTTCGGCTGGTTCAGGCTTGGACTCAGCCTTGGACTCGGGCTTCTCTTCCTGAGGGGCGCTCTCGGGTCCATCCAAAGCAGGCTTCTCCAATGAGGCCAAATCGTCACCAGGCTCAGCCAAAAAGGCAATGGGCTTACCAACTGGCACACCGGTGGCGCCGTCGTTCTCCAAAATCTCCCACATGACACCGTCATCCTGAGCCTCCACATCGATGGTGGCCTTATCGGTCTCGACCTCCAACAAGACGTCGCCAGCAGCGAATTCTTCTCCAGCCTTGAGTTTCCACCCCACAATGCCTCCCTCGGTCATTGTAGGCGACATGGCAGGCATTCTAAACACCAGTGCTGCAAGCGAGTGAGGCGACACTGACAAGCGTCTGGCCAGGCGGATTGAGCAGGCCAATGTTCTCAACATGTTAAAGAAGGGTAAGGTAGAGATGATTTAGATGGAAGTGTGCATATTTCGGACTCACACCACCGAGCGGGCGCGACCTATCCGAAAGTTCGTATGGAGGTTGGAGATAGACAGAAATAACACGATAGGGAAGTATTAAGGTGAGCAAGATCTGGATAGGGGAGGTATAAGTGTGATCTTAGAAGATTTCAATATTTGTGGATTGTTGGCAGCAGTTGGTGCTAAGATCATGTTGGATGAGTGTAGACTAGATGGTTGCGAAATAGTTAATGAAAATGAGTGGAGTTGGCTACTTGAGATGGGAAGTTGATTACGAACATTGGTGATAAAATAAAATCTTTTTAAATTTGATCAGGCGGTGATTTTGTTGTCCTATTCTGTCGATGAGATTTTTGAAATGATATGAGAAATAGATGATGTGTTGTATTGTGCAAATTTTGATGTATTGTGGATTGTGAGACAAATCTCATTAAAGTTAAAAAACGTTTAAAGAAGCGGATTACGGTACTTACGAAAAGAAAGGAATAAAAAAAACAACCTCTGAATGCAAAGCAAGACAAAATCTGATACAAAGGCTTACTATGTACTTCTACCTCTAGGGTTGCTATTTAAGGCTGTACTATAGGAATTACCCAAATAACTAATTGTGGATGGGTTAAGGACTAGGTTAAAGTATCGCACCCTCCATGGTATGTCAAATAAGGTCATCAATAGATATCAATGAAATCATTATTAATATGTCCTTGAATTCTATCCCGAATCGAACAAGAAAATTGTAAATAATTATACCTTATTCTTTTGGGCTCACTCACTGATCAAGTCATGATACAGTTCAATGACTTACTGTCCTTGATATTCACTTTAGTTCTAAATGTCATGATTCTCCACGATTCTTACTGATCTGCATCTTTGCTTCATGAAGAATAACCTTAAGTTCAAGACAAAATCACTAAATATTTAATCTTAGTCCTAAGTAGTCATCGATCTAATGGCTTACTTATTCATACACAACTGAGTCATAGGTGCGAAAATTCTGACTTTTGAAACTAGACTTGATTTTAGCATTCACACCAGAATGGCAGAACAAATCGCCAAAGACGCCAACGGTGCATTTGGAATTCTTAAAACACTCACAAATGACCAGAGATCTGATGCGTTGCACAAAATTCACGACGCCTTGAAGGAAGCCAAACTGGCCATTCTTGAAGCTAACAGACTTGACATGCAAGCGGCAGAAAAGAACAACTTGTCCTCCTCCTTGATCAAAAGATTGGATTTGGGAAAGAATGATAAATACGAGGCTATGTTGCAAGGTATCCTTGATGTGGCTGCTTTGCAAGACCCTGTTGGAAAGACCACTTTAGCTAAAAAACTCGACGAGGGCTTGAATTTATACAGAGTAACTGCTCCTCTTGGTGTGCTTCTCATTATTTTCGAGAGTCGACCAGAAGTTATTGCTAACATCTCTGCTCTTGCTATCAAGTCGGGAAACTGTGCCATTTTGAAGGGTGGAAAAGAATCCTACCAGACATTCAGGGCCATCAGTGATGTGATCAACACCACTTTGCAAGAGAAGACACATGTGCCCAAGGCTGCTGTTCAGTTGATCCAGTCGCGTGAGGAAGTGGGTGACTTGTTGGCCCAGGACAAATACATCGACTTGGTGATTCCAAGAGGAAGCAATGCATTGGTGAGAAACATCAAAGAGAACACAAAGATCCCTGTGTTGGGCCACGCCGATGGTATCTGCTCCATTTTCGTCGATAAGGCAGCTGACTTGGACAAGGCATGCCGAATTGTGGTGGACTCCAAGACAAACTACCCTGCCGGATGTAACGCTGTTGAGCAGTTGTTAATTCACGAAGATATCGTTGCAGATAAGACGAAGTTGGCCAAACTTTTATCAAGCCTCACTGATGCGCAAGTTACCCTTCACGTTGTTCCTGAGATTAAACAACAATTGACCGACGCTGTGGACTCCAAGTACGTGGTGGATGCGGATGACGAGTCCTTCGATACTGAGTTTTTGTCATTTGACATTGCGGTTAAGCCAGTAGCATCTGTCACCGCTGCTGTGGAGCACATCAATGACCACTCCTCGAAGCACACCGACTGTGTGGTTACAGAGGACAAAGACACAGCAGACGTTTTCTTGAAGGGTGTCGACTCGGCAGGTGTGTACTGGAACTGTTCCACCAGATTTGCTGACGGCTTCAGATATGGATTTGGAACCGAGGTGGGTATTTCGACCAACAAAATCCATGCTAGGGGCCCAGTGGGCTTGGAAGGCTTGATGAGTTATCAGTATCAGTTGAAGGGAGATGGTCATATTGCTGCCGAGTATGTTGGAGCCGGAGGATCTAAGAAATTTGTTCATGAGGATCTTCCATTTTAATAAAAAGGTTAATAAACAAAAGTCATTACGAGTATGATATTTTTACGAAGCAGGTTTAAATATATGATGGTTAGAGAGTGACTGTGAGAATTCTAATTACTGATGAAGTTAGTAAACTCGCCATAATCGCGAGGAGGAAACTCAGGGTATGTCTCGATCACCTTGTCAACAGCACTTTCGTCCATCTTAACCAAACTCCACTGTCGAAGCGTGAAGAAGTCCGTGAGTGTCTTGATCCATTGCATGCGGGCATCGATCGTAGCCAACGAATTGTCAGGAAGCTTTTTCGCTCTGAGACCCGCACGAATGGCTCCCAATGTGTCCACCGCATTATTGAGTCTAACATCTGCAAATTGTCGGGCGATGTCGTCCTTGATCATCTTCAGAAGTCGTGGAGATTTGCCATTGGTACTGATCATGATCTGAAGTGCATCCTGGTTGAACATTGATCCAAAGTAGAAGTCACACAACGGTGGTTTATCGGCGATATTGACCGGGATCCTAAGATACTTACATTGGTAGTAAACTTGTGTGGATACCACCGGGTCGTCAATGCAGCAACACACAGTCGCAAACTGCTGGTTCATGACAGCATCGTCGATGTGTTTGTAGTGCAATTCGTCGATGTCCTTATACGACTTAACTTCAAAAGATGAGGAGCGTTCGTACATTGTGAGATCCAGCAGCAGGTATGGTCTCTCTAACAACAGGTGGATCTTGCCTTGGCTGTTCAACTCCAAAAGGTCAGGATGAGTTTTGTCACCTGTCACGACGGTGATCTTTGCGTTGGCCCGAATGAGGTGGTAAACTCTGCTGAGTCCAACATCGCCTCCTCCGATCACTAAACAGTGCTTGTCTTTGACTTGCCAGGCCAACAAGAGAGAGCCAGGATGAGCCATTGAGATGAATATGGAGAGTATTGTACAGGTGATGGCTGCGAAAGTAGGTGGAAACTGACGAGCAATGTTAAGAATCCGGAGGTTATTTTGATAGAAGTAGTGGATATTTGGTGTTTGATAGGTTTCGCAATTCTTCTGTTAGGAAGAATCGACTCGTGGGTAATTTCAACTTGAGCCCCGAATCAAGAGCTCTCTAGAATTTCATATGGCTAATATGCTCATAGGTCAAGCAAGTTGATGGAAAAAGATTGCTAAGGTCCGCATTTTGCAACAGAGAGAAGCTAGAAAACCCATGGAGACATCAGCAATCAATTATTTCTATGACTATCAGTCCAAATGACTTTACGAGCTTCACCACCAAACAGAAAAGTGATTAAAAGTGCAAAACTTTGACCGAAGGAGAGTGTAAGATATTGGAAACAGGAAAACAAACTGTTGAGGTAATTTGTAAGGTGAGGAGAAACAAAAGCTTGTTATAATAAACAATTGATATATAAATTGTCTCTCAAGAACACTTTGATGTGCTTGTCAAATGAAATTGAAAGTTGTTCGTTTTACTTTGCAGAAGAGTTATTCTGAACATTCCAAAATGTTCAATTAGAACTCAATATTGGCTTCTCTTAAGAAATCAACGGTAATCTGAGAGGTTGTCTAGGATTCCAACCTCTGGTACTCGCTCCTTCCGAAAATAACTACTTACCATACAATTTTCATGACATGAAGAGATGTAAATTATATCCCCATACTCCCACTTTGTTCTTCTGATGTTCTTAAGGCATGAATCCACAAAATACGGATCCTCAATAGCATAAATGTATATCAAAGGTCAAGCCCGGGCCAACAGTACGTAGGGGTTAAGTCCAAACCATTTGAAGGGATACAGACTTCCCAAGCACCGAATGTACCATGAGCTTTGTGGTTACAAGAAATTGTCAACTAAGCTTTGAGTACCTCCCCAAGCAAAAGAATGTTCAAAATTATGAAACCTCACAAGTTGTGAAACCATAATGTAGCCTCCATCACTTCCCCTCAACTCTCTTGAAAATAAAGACTATGGTACTATGGAACTCTCAAGTTTCACAACTTGATGTTTCATGTGCAATTTCACCATCCTTCTTTACTCACATACTTCCCATTTCCCCCTGTACCTCTTGTTTCCCATTTACTCCAATGTCACGGTCCAGGCCCTTCGTCCCACTCCCCGCTGTTGTGGAACACTATGTGGGGCAGGTGTCACTGCTGTACACAGGACGTATGAGCCCAAAAGTAGAGATAAAGATCATAAGATTGGAGCTCAAGAAACAAAAATCGAGGGTGAATCCGCTCAGAAAATGTCCATCCTCGAAAAGAACCATAATTTCTTCATAAAATAGCCCAAATCGTGAACCCCTTCACCCCCACCACAACTTTTACCTCGATGGTTAGCAACATGTTCTGGAAGCCTCAGGGCCCACCATACAACAGTCAACCCGCAGACAGCCACACCGTATCTATCCGCATTCAGTTTTTTTTCTTTTATCACCGTTAAGTGCCACATAAGACCGGAAGAAACACCCAAGGCTTAAACTCGCCAAAACGATGCCAAATTAGGAAAATTTAACCTTCTGGTCTACTGTCATACTCTATACCTAAAGCCAAAGCCAGCCAATTTTTTTGAGGATAAAGTATACATCTATAACCTTTTCTTGTTTATCCGCATTTTGCCTATCTTTTCCCCGTGTTGCCGGTTCTCTCACGTTTTTTTTTTTTTTTTTTTTGGCCCCCATACAGTCGACCCTCGCAGTTCGAGAAATACAACTAATAGTTATCCCCAGCCAAAAGAACGACAACCAACCCAGGCCTCGGAACACCCTACTGTTTGCTCGCAAACTTCCCGTCGCTTGACTTCATCCATTCATCCCATATATTGTACCCATACTTGTCGGGCCTGCTCCACGTGTTCTAGGTTGTTTCAACCCCACAAAAGACACTATGCCAGCGTTCTCGAGAAATGAACGCCGAAAGTCAATGGCCGAGCGCCGTCCCTCCACCTCGTACTCACCCTCGATCATCCCCCACTTGGACGGATTGGAGCGTCCCAACAGACACAGCTTAAACATCGATCACTGTGACATATTGATCTTGGGCACTGGTTTGGTGGAGCTGATTCTCGCCGCTGCCTTGGCCTGGCAGGGCGTAGAAGTGCTCCACATCGACAGAAACAACTATTATGGTGACCTGTCATCGACTTTGACCATCGACCAGTTGAAGAAATGGTGCGTGGAAGTCAACCACGGCACCATTCGCCACTTTGCTGATGCTCAGATCTACATCCCAGGTGGAAAGCATAACAACCACTTCAACAGTAAGGATTACGGTATCGACTTGAGTCCTCGAGTGATGTTTGCTCAGCTGGACTTGTTGGCTTTGTTGATTAAATCGCGAGTGTACAAGTACCTCGAGTTCCAGAGCTTGTCCAACTTCCATGTGTTCGAAAACGATAACTTCAAGAGCAAGATCTCCAACACCACCAAGGAGGACATTTTCACCGATCAGCTGATGTCGTTGCAGACGAAACGCTCGTTGATGAAGTTTTTAAAATTCGTGTTGCAGGATAACAATGATCCGGCAAAAAAACAGATTCTTATCGACAACTCCAAGAGTTCCATCGAGGAGTTTTTGGAGTCATCCTACAACTTGAAACTGCCTCAGGTGGACGAGCTCATTTACTCAATTGGCCTCGTCAACAAGAAAAACATGCGCACACCAGTGGCTCTTGCTCGTATCAAGAGATTTTTGGTATCTTTTGACGTCTACGGTAACTTCCCCGTGATGGTGCTGAAGTATGGTGGCCCTGGAGAGATTTCCCAGGGATTCTGCAGAAGTGCAGCCGTTGCTGGTACCACATACAAGCTTGACACTAAGCTTAAGGACTTCGATCCCGAGACTAAGATCGCCAAGTTTAGCGACGGTTCCTCGGTAAAAATTAACGAAAAGGTGGTAGTTGCCCCTACGCAAATCCCCAAGTTCTTGACCTCTAGCTACTCCGACTTGGAGCTGCAGGTGGAATCTTATAAGGTGACTCGTCTCATCACCGTTGTCCGCAAAGACTGTAAAGAATGGATGTCCGAGAACGAATCATCTGCCATTGTTGTGTTCCCTCCAGAATCCTTGCCTACAAATAACCAGAGTGCTGTTCAGGTCATCATCCAGAACGGTGGTTCTGGTGTCTGCCCACCTGGAGAGTCTATTTGGTATGCTCATACCTGTGAACAGGATGGAGCCAAAGCCAAAGAAGACTTGGAGAGTGCTTTGAGCAAGATGGAGAAGGCACTCTTACGAGAAAGTGCAACCAACCTTGATGACGTTCTCAACGAGAACGACTTTGTGTTGAGTAATCAAGGCACACCAATCTTAGTGAACTCATTTAAGTTGGGCGAGTCGTTACAAAGCTTTATGCCTGAAGAATCTTTGGATATTGTTTGCAAGATTGCGTTCGTGCAAACCACTTATATCAACCCAGACCTTTCTAATGTGTTATCTGCCCTGACAGCTACATCCACCAACATCTCCAAGTTGGTTGTGAAGGATTCGGAAGATATTATTTTCCTGAACATGCCTTCGTCTGAGGTGAGTTACGACGGTATTATTGGAGAAGTCAAGATGTTGTACGAGAGAATCACTGGCAGTAGTGAGGACTTCTTTGACGTGGATTTTGAGGATGAGGAAGACGAATACTCGCGTGGAGCTGCTGGTGCGGTTGCCGATAACGAGGAAGCTATTGAAGATTCCGACTACGACTCTTCGCACCATGAACCATTTGGAGCAGGGGAAATGGAGCTTTAGGAGGATGTCTAATTATTGCGCGCAGAAGACCCTGGGGGTGACTGCAATTTATATACGTATATATGTGCTACTAATAGAACCACTACGAGTGAAGGTGTATGGGCTATATGAAATGATCGATAAGATCTAAACGATCTGAACTGTATGCTCTGCATGATTTGTATACACTGTATGACGATTCGTATAGTTGATTGATGAGCATCTCCTGCATAATATTTAAAGTACTCGCATTTAGTAACTATGGGTTGAGCAAAACACTACACACATGTCCAACCATCTACTCATTCTAATTAAGAAGGAAACATGAAAAGCTCATTTATTATCCTCCATTTTCAAAAAACTCAGTCCAACATCATTCCGTTTTCCATCAATAAATGCACGTGACTTGAGGGCACCAGCCCTAACCTCTGCCAACCTGCACCCACCGTCTCCCATTGAAAAAAAAAATCTCTTCCCAATAAATCTTTTCTTCTTTACTGAGCAGTAATCTGTCGAAGAAGTCCTAATAGAAAAAATGTCTGACGTCGAAGAACAACAAATTGTCGAGGAAGTTGCCGTTGAGCAGCAAGATGCCTCCATCTCCATTGAGGACGCTTTGAAGGTTGTCTTGAGAACCTCTTTGGTCCACGATGGTTTGGCCAGAGGTTTGAGAGAGGCTTCTAAGGCTTTGTCCAGAAAGGAGGCTCAATTGTGTGTCTTGTGTGACTCCGTCACCGAGGCCTCTATTGTCAAGTTGGTTGAGGCTTTGTGTAACGAGGGTGACGAGAAGATCCCATTGATCAAGGTCTCTGACGCCAAGTTGTTGGGTGAGTGGGCTGGTTTGTGCCAGTTGGACCAGGAGGGTAACGCCAGAAAGGTTGTTGGATGCTCTTGTGTTGTTGTCAAGAACTGGGGTGCTGACTCTGAGGAGAGAAACATCTTGTTGGAGCACTTCTCTCAGCAGTAAGCGGTATAGCCAATTTAAAACAAGCTGACCTGATGTAGATACCACATAATATTAATATAATGTACTATCTATTATACTGATTTGTATTTCACGATCTGTAAAAGTAAGAATCTTGTGGCTTTTGTCTGCTGAATTCGTCTGAATATTTCTGGTTCTGGCTGTAGTACTAAACTTTTCTAGTGCAATTATAGAGTACTTCATCCTACAGTCTATTATTTGTACTGAATCATTGTAAACTTGTACAGAAATTTTGTGATAAGTCAAATAAAAATCTATCGATGATTCTGTATTTGAACTTACTTCATTCAAATTTTTGATAAATACACTGATCTATAACACTTACCCAAGACCATCAAATTGTCAGAGTTACAATTCGTCTTCTACTTCCAACGATATATAACATAACCCCTCAGATAATCCTACTCAACTGTTTCCCCCTGTGCTTATAGTAAAATCTACTTTATTCAAGTTCCCTGTCACTCATTCCAGTTTCCTCATGTTATCATGGCAGCCACTCAGTAGATCTACATATACTCATACACTCATCACTTCAGCATACACAACCACAACACCAATGCCTGATAAGCTAGAAAGACGAGAGGCTCGTGTCAGAGGCTCAGGGTATGTAAGTGAATTTTCAAATCACTCGATTCTTACTAACATCTAGTACTCGTGCAGTGAAAGTGGAGGATCTCCACATCGCGTCTCCTGAGTCAAGCAGACACCAGAAGGTGTTGGCAAATCTTGACTCGGCATTCATCAAGCAAGAGGATAAGAATCTTCCGCGATTGCGACGTGTCTCACAAAGCAGAAGCTCCGAAAAGATTATTGCACGTCATGAATTGCAGAAATCACGGCTGGATCGACGTAAACAAACCTTCAGTTCCGAAGACGAAGACGAAGACGGTGGAGTATCCACCATCAGCGCCCAAGTCGACTACCACGAAGATTCAGCAACACCTAGCTACCCTGATTACGTAGATTACGATAATGACAACAACAATTTTGAAGAAGTTGTCGCCAATGAACCAAAGCTGACCACCGAAGTTGAAATCAAGAAGGAAGAGTCTCAAGAGCCTCCAGCCAAGCGGCGAAGAGGAAGACCGAAGAAAAATGAACAAGAAAAGAAGGAGAAGGTAATCACTCGCCGGTCAAGGCGTATAGTCGAGAACCCGACGCTACGGAAACACCATTCACTGGAACATCCATCACTGATGCTTGTGCCCAAACCACTCCGAGTTACGGGTCTAATACCTGGGAATGGGGGTGCCTATGCCGCTTCGAGTGCTCCCAATACGCTTCTGTTTACGCAGAAGCCCAATGGAAAACAGAAACCCTTGACAATTGATGCCGAAAGACTTCACACATCTAGTTCTCGAGACAAACGGTTCAATCTCACCACACTCGATGTTCTTCGGCAGTTTGTCGAGGAACACTCTCCAAGAGCCACCAAAAACGATTTAATCAATGAGCAGATTGTTCTTGATGAGTTTAAGGCCCATTTGCTCTACCATGTTCGACATTTGATGGATCTCCATGCCAGCATACGAGACATCTCGTATGATATCACCGACGTGCAACGACGCAAAAATGAAACAAGAAAGAGCATTTTGGAGTTGAAGAGAAAGCATGTAGACGTTGGCACTGAACTCGCCAAAGTCCGCAAAGACTACATGGATGATAAACAAGAGTACTCACAATTTCAGAACATGGTGGATGCATTCAATCAATTGAAGGGTGCTGTTTCGCAACAGCAGACAACCAGCCTTAGCGATAAAGTCCAAATGGAACTCGACAATTTAGGACGTATCTATGATCCCCGGCAAGGACTTGCCGTGCAACTACAGGCCATCAATGCCGAATTATCGTCGATGATTGATGACTAAATGAAAGGTTGCTATGAGCATCATCTATAGAGCTAAATAAGGTGGACCAAGGGCAACTTCATCAGCAGTATCGGGAGCAGATACAACATAACAGGTATAGCATTAGCAGATACAACGTCAGCAGCAGTCGAGCATCCCCGGGCCAGTCGTTATGTCGTCTACTCGTCACCGACCAAAGCCATGATCATTCTGTACAAGTAGAAGAAGAACATCAACAAGTGGAATCCCAACTTGGCGAAGCTCTCCTTCTTGTGCTTGGACAATGTTCTGAAGATCTCAGTGGCGTCCAACAAGTGGTTTTTCTTGAGGAACTTGTTGACGTTGTAAGCCAACAATGGCAAGTTCAACAAAAACACAAACCAGTAGCCGTTGAGCAAGAAAAGTAAGGTCAAGAAACCGTGCAATCCGGCTTCAGGAATAAACCATGGGTTCAACTTGTGGCACAACTCGATTGGGTTAATGTAGTCACTCTCCAAATCCGAGTACATGATGGTGAAAAAGACCTGTGAAAACAAGTTAACGGCATTGACAATCACCGCAAAAATAAATAACCTGTGATGTTAGAAGGTGATCACTGTTTATCTCATATAGGTTGTTACATACCAACTCTCTCCAGACATTGTGATTCGTTTCCTATATTAATCTAAAGATTTGTTATCAGAGATGATTTCTCGAGGAAGAAGGATCAATCCTCACCTTTAGACTGCCCAATCCGGCAGCCTGTCGCGCGTGTGGCTTGCTTGCTCGATCTTGAGACATGCATTCTTACTCCACTCTCTTCCAGATGATGCCGTTGGCGTCCTCTTGATTGATCTCCCACTCTTTATAAATGTTTGGAAATTCCCTTTCACCGTATTCAATAAGGCTTGTCCATTCACCCGAAGTCTCATTGTAAAAGCTGCGCATCACACTCAATGGATACTCTGCACCGGTCTCAAAAAGAACTCCTTGCACCCAATTGCCCAACCGGACAATTCGGCCACTAAATCCATTTGAATCAGTATCAAATACCCTCACCCGGACTTCACGCTCGTCTCCTTTCCAATGGCCCTCCCTAACCTCTTCATTCGGAGCGGTCTCTTCTGGGTTCAATGACCGCCACACCTCGACATACTCAGTCACTTTCCCGGTAGCAGGGTTCTCCATTGCTCCTGTCTCCTTGCGGTCTTCTGTTCCTTCGATTGGCCAGAACGCGCCGATGTCAGGCTCTGCTTGACACTCTTCAAGCGGTTTGCCCGTTCTTCCGGACTTGACAATCTCTTGCAGGTTCACACTAGTATGGAATCTCAATTTGTTGGTACCTTTGATTTCCTCTTCCCATCCGATGGATACAAACTGAAACACCTCTTCAATTGGCTCCACTGTGCTGCTCTTTTTGTACGGGTAATGATCTTTGAACACCCTAACATCAGTGAAAAGATCTCTCGGAGTGCTGAGCACCATGGTGCTGGTCAATTCATCTGCTTCTTCTGGAAGCCACTGGATTGTCACTCTGGTGGATAAAACCATTATAAATGTAGTTGATAATTCCGAATGCGCTCCCAGATCCAGCTGCCCTCTTTATCTGCTGGAATAGGAAAGAGCGCGGAATTAATTGAGATGAATTCGACTCTCCATTTGGTTTCTTCTTTCAAGAGAAACGTGACTACCGTCCAAATTCTTGAGCTTAGGGAAAAATTTGATCAAAATGGTCTCATAATTAAGTCGCTCGTTGATACGCTTGTAATTACCTTCAGCTCTCATTCTCGCAAAGAAATCTGCGTCTCTCTCTTCCCATTCCTCTTGGCTCTTCACGAGAGTATTGTAGTGAATAGAAAAGTTCTCGATGTCATCATGAGCTTCCAACGGGATTGGGCTAGAGTCGAAGTTTTTGACATTGGAAGCATTTGCAAGCTCCAACTCGTGAGGGTTGAAGACATACGGGTAGAATTCAAAATTGAACACGTTCAAACGCAAATCAAGAAGCTTCAAAGTCTTTCTGGAATTGCACAAACTGTTGAGAATCATCTCCATTTTTGACATGTTATTACTTACTGCAGTAATCTTTTTGAGTCTGCAAAGCATCGTCAATCCCTCAAGGCTGGTCAACTTATTGAAATTGATATTCAACTCACGTACGTTTCCGAATGTCTTTCCGAAGGAATCGGGTATAGATGTCAACCCCACAGCAGATAAATTCAACTGGTTGAGATTAGCGAATAAATCTGTGGGCAATGGCCCTGACAAGAGCGAAGAGAGAACGTAATTTCCACTTAAGTCCAAAGTAACAATATCTTGCGTTCCCAGAACGATTTGTTCAGTGATATTAGGATTGTCTTGACACTTGGCGGACATTTCAAGAAGGAATTTCAATTTTTTGAGATCTGAAACGAAGTCTAAGGAGTTGCCATCAATACGAAGTATTCTCAAGAATGGGAATGGTTCAACACTCAATTTCTTCAACCTGTTGAATTTTAGAGAAAGCTTCTTCAAGTGGCGATGGATCAGTAAGCATGAGATACCTTCAAGCCTGTTGTCATTTATATTCAAAACTCGGAGATTAGGAACACATTCGAGCCCTGTCACCAACTGAAGTTTGTTTTCAGCCAAATTGAGGACTTGAAGGTTCGGAAAATTGAACTTGTTGAAATTGATGTGACCAATCAAGTCATTGTTTGAAATGTCCAAAGACATAAGATTATTCATCTGTTCTAATCCGTCAAGCTTTCTCACGTTATTGTTGCTGAGATCAAGTTTAGTGAGGTGCACATTGTAGGATAGACAAGACAATGAATTGAGAACATTATAAGAAGCGTCAAGAATTTGCAAATCCCTAAACTTCTTGAAAGATGTAATATTGCCAACGCTGTTATGACTTAAATCCATCTCAAGAATTCCCAGTGGGAGTCCATCAATGAACTCTAGATGATTATTGGCTAAATTCAACTTTCTGAGGCTTGGAAGGTAATCCTCAAGACCTTCCACTCTTTCTAGATTTTTGTTGGCCAAGTCAATGAAATCAATCTTCTCCCAAAGACTTTCATCTGTTGACCCGGTAATCAACGAAATTAATCTTTTATTTGATTGAGTGAATGTCAAATTACCCAAATCAGACAATGAGGTCACATTGGCGTTACCTTTCGGTTGTTCCAATGATTCAGCCGTAGAGTCAGGTACCTGGAAAGATACCTCAAGATTCTTTTCTCTAGATGGGCGATTCGTCAGTTTAAGGATACTCACTTCCCTTCGCTTTTGGGTTAGTCTTGATTTCTCTTCACTTCCCTCGGAAATTAAGTCTTCAATGGAATCCAATTCTCTCATCAGTTGATTTCCTTGGACATTAGAGATCCACTTATGGTTTTCATAGTCAAAAATCATATTCCCATACTTTTCAGGATAGTTGCCAGGTTTCATTGTGCCCTTAACAATATTACTAGCACTACTATCTCTCAAAACTCTCCTGTTAGGCAGAACCTTGGAAAGATCCAACTGCGAGGCTCTCTTCCATTTGATAAGCTGCGAACTTTGGTCGATATGTGGGTCCGTTAAATCAAAGCTCTCGGTAGAACTCTTTGATGGCTGAGGTTGGCTTTTCTGGCCACCCCAATACTGTTTGACGGAAGACATGGAGTTGTCTAGGTGAGAGGGCATTTCACCAAACGGAGAGTTATCGGTGAAGGAGGTCGTGGCTTTGTTCTGAGTCGGGGCATTCTTATATTTCTCCTTCGTCAGTGCATGAAATCCGTGAAGATCGGCATCTGTTTCATCGAAATCGGTCATATCATCAAAGGTGTAAGAGCTAGCATTATCTGGAACTGGAGTTTGACCATGCAACTCTTGATCTTTCTTGGTAAGAAAAGTTCTTTCAATGGACGTGTACTCATGATGGTCGCCTAATGACGACTCAGCCTTTTCATTAATATCTGCAACCGAGCTGCTTTCATCAAAATCCGTCGAGTACGGAGAGTACTCATTGATGGAAGCAATTTCATCTATATCTTGTGTCTTGCGAGCTTTGGGTGTGGAGGTTGCCGTAGTGTGGCTGTGCGACAAAGATTTATGGAATGACAAGGACTCGCTTGAAGGTCTATTAAAGACATTAGAGCCATGTTGTGCCTTTTTCTGAATGTTAGCGAATAAATTATTGGCGTTCTTCTTGAAGTCCTGATCGGTGTAGTCACCAAACTTTGTGAAGTTCTTGATATTTAACTTTGGGGCCGAAAGCTGCATGGGCACTGGAAGCTGCTCCCTTTGCACACTGCTAGTATTGGATCTAACATTTTCCACAAACTTAGTTAGAATAGCCTTGGTGAATGTGTCGTATTCAGTACCGAAGAGCTTCAAGGGGGAACCCTTCATCTGGTAATCATCCGGTTTATCTTTGGCTCTCTCCAACATATCTTCTAGTTGATGAATCTGATGTTGCGTCAAGTGCATGTCAGACTCTCTTGTGGCCACCGGGGTCGAAGCGGTCGAAAACAGCGTGAGCTCCGAATCACCAACCTTAGAGTTTAGTCGAGACTTTGACCCTTCTTTATCTCTCTCAGATGATTCATCAACCGATTGAAAGATACTCTGTAGTGGCTGCAGTGCCTTTGTTTGATACTCATGTGACATGCGTTTCCAAATGGGCGTCGATGCTGGTGCCTGGTCTGATGCGGGTGCATTGTGCACAAAGGTGTTGCTTTCGGAATTGAGAAAGTCCAAGTTTGGGTCACTAACCTTTGGAGGGCGGATCCGAACAGAGCCGGATGATGTTTGGCCCTGTAAGGGCTCTTCGGCAGGTTCGTCCCACTTCTGATCCAATCCAGGCGGCATCCAGCTTGGAGTATTACCTTCGACCTGAGAATTCTCATTAGAGAGTGAGATTCCTTTGACAGTGGAGGTTTTCACGGGCTGGAGAGATTCCATCAGAAGATGCTCCTCGGATGGCACCGAGAGTCCGATTCTTTCCTTTGTTTGGGCATTAGGATGCGATTTGTGTTTGAATGTGTTGGGTACAGAAACTCCACCAATTGACGATATCTCGCCGCAGAAGTTCTCGTTCGGCTTGTACTTGAGCATGTTCTTATACGGATTGTTGTTATTGGCGTTTGCATCGTGGAGGTCTGGCGATTCTTGTACTTGTACATCAAGTTGAGGTGTGGAAGCCATGTTAACCAGATTGTAGTCGGGGCTGTTTTGGGCGAGCGGCGCCGAAAGCAGGTTTGGCATGGAGCCCGAGAGTTGTGTGTCTCGGAGGAAACGGTTGACGTGAGCAGCAGTGGATGACGCCAGCAGGTTTTCCAGTGGATGACGGATCATGAAGAGTTTGTTTATGTTATTGAATAAGATGCAGTGCGAGATAAGACGTAGAAATGGATTTCGAAGTAGATAAATCTTGAAGTGCTGAAGTGATTGCTAAGGTTTTTTTTAGGGCTCTTCGATTGTTTCGTTGTGGGTTAAAAGGTGGCATTATGGTTATTTAGTGATGGTTTCGAATAATTTTAGGAATGGTTCAGTTGTATGGCAATACACTTTCCATTTGGTGAAAGATCTGTGGAGGGCAGAAGTGCGCAAACTGAGGATGAGAAAGGAAGAGGCATTGGGCGCACAGGTAAACAAAATTTCCATAGGACATTTTTTTTATGAGGATAAGAAAGCATATTTAAAATTTTATGATGGAAGTGGAAATGGTTATTTTGTAATTCTGATGATCAATGGGTGATTAGAATGGCTGCCAAACTCAACCTGGGAAGTCTAAATCTTTACTCACAGTTCGAAAGCCATAGATTAATACGAAAACTCCAGAGTCTGAGCTTCTCTGTAGAAAAGAACGACTCAAGTCATTTCATCCAGATTAATTCATGTTGTACTCCAGGTAGATTAGAGAAGTACGTGTAGTTGTTTTCCGCCTTGCTTTACATCTTGTTTCTATTCGACTACCAATACATTTAATGCACAATTTGAAAGGAGAGATATTGGCATCACGAAGTAGCAGGCTCTCATTCAACACACAATTGTCTGCCCTCATAAACGTTCAAGTTGCCGCTTCAAAGTTATGCCAATGAGAAAACCCTACTACTTAGGTATAGATTTACAGAGTTCATTTGAAACTACCTATCAAGAAAGCGTGCTTGTATACAATTTAGTTAGAGAAGGTGTTTTTCTACAGAGTCTTGATTATGTGAATCAAAAAACACTAATCGTGTAATGTTAAGCTTACCATGTATCAAGACAAAATGGGGATCATATTCGTGGTTCACCCGAAGCTGCGAAAAGTACCAGACAACTCTCTGATTTGAAGTGACCAACGGAAATTTTGAGACTAAGTATCGACAAAAAAACAGCGAACAAGTTCCTATATTCACCCTCGATTCTGACTACTGGGTTATCCCTTTTAAATATTCACCAATCTCCAGTATTGGCTACGGATTCCTCACCGCGAAAACATGAAACCAATACAAATAAACACACTCCACATACATCTAGTTAAATGTACAAAAAACACAATGTAACACACCTCAGAACTTATAGATTAATCCATAAATACTTCACCCGGTGCAATGTATTATCATCCATAATAAACTCTAATTAGGCTGAAAAAACTTCATGAATTAGTCTGGTAACTCAGAGGTGACTTAGTCGTCCGCACCGTAAATTAACCTGGCGCATGTATGACGTATTGTGACCATACATGCCACGACCCTGTATTAGACCAAGCCAATAACTACTTAATGGAACCTCCTCTATAATGCCTTCATAATCATTTCTTTGGTTCTTCCTCCAGTTCCATCCACTATTTCTTATTTTTCACTTTCCTCGTTTCTCCTTTCTCCACGGTTGTCACTTCCAAATTTTGGTTTTAAAGATTCGGTCCCAGCTTGCATTTAATGATATTCCCATCTAATACACTTCATCTCTATGAAACCACCACTTCACCTATTCAAGAATCTTCCACTAAGTCACTGTACCCTTCAACTAATGCGCCCATTGTACCAATGGACCATCTCCTAATTTCTCAAATAAATGCCTATCCTTTACTTTATCCCAACTATTTCCTATTGTTCGTACCTTCTCCTTATAGACCCTTCGCATGCAGTAACGAAGCAAGGGAGCCTAGAGTCCCGTCTAGGCCGAACATCTACATCTGGAATCGCAACGCTTTTCACTTACACATAGTGTTCACTATTTTTTTTTTTATTTACACAAACTCCGTTGTTCACCTTTGAACCCCGTGGTTTCCTCCATCAATTCCCCCGTTGCATTTGTGGCTATCTGATCTACTGTCTTTAGTGCTACAGTCCATGGTTTGGTGTCTAGTTTAACTAGTTTGGTTGTATTTGTTTTACTTGTTGCTTGATTATTAGTCATTTGCTAATTTGATTTCTCGATCCCTTGATCCTCTAATCCATTGAGTCACTGATTCTCTGCTTTTTGTTGCTCCGTTGTTGCATTTTGACTTACTGCCTGTTCGCCCTCACACTTCATTGCTATGTCATACCACGACCCAGATTCGTATGACAAAACTGCCGACAAGGACGAGAAGTCCTTCCAGCCTTCGCAGCCTCAGCAGGCCCCTATCATACCCACGGTGGTATCTTCCACCGCGTCACACCAGCACCAACAGGAGCAAGAAATGCTTCTGAGCTTCACTGTCCCTGAACCCCCAATTTCCACCCAGCAGCTGACTGCTGCATCCGATTCCAACACGGACGCTTCGGGTCTATTGGTGTCTGAAACTCCAAGAACTTTGTGGATGGGCGATTTGGACCCGTGGCTCGACGAGGCCGCCATAGTTGACTTGTGGTGGCAGATCTTGGGCAAGAAGGTTGGAATTAAGCTTATCAAACCCAAAAATTCAAAACCTGACGCAGGTTTCATGGGACTCTCCCATTCAGGCTACTGCTTTGTCGAATTCCAACTGTACGAAGACGCTCAGCAGGCGTTGGCCTTGAATGGCCAACTCTTACCGGATATTGCTATGCCTTCCCAGCAACATTTCCCCAATAATCCAGACAACCAGAAAAAGTATTTCCGTCTCAACTGGGCCTCAGGCGCCACACTTTCGGCTCCTATCGTCCATCTGCCTGAGTACTCGTTGTTTGTGGGTGATTTGAGTGCCTCAACAACTGAGGCACACTTGCTTCTGTTCTTCCAGAAATCTTTCCCAACATCTATCAAAACCGTGCGTGTTATGACAGATCCAGTCTCAGGAAAATCCAGATGCTTTGGCTTTGTTCGGTTCACCGACGAGCTGGAACGTCAGAGGGCTTTGGTGGAAATGAATGGTGCATGGTTTGGTGGCCGTCCACTCAGAGTAGCCTTGGCAACTCCACGTAACTCTTCTGCGCTTCGCAAGTCGCCTGATAATAAAGGCGCTCTTCCACCTGGTGTGGGAGCCATGTCAGGTCCCCAGGAGTTCATGTACATGGGTCCTCCGCCTGTTCATGGACACCCACCTGGCACTTCCAATCCGTATGGTTACTTCCCATCGCCAATGATGAACGATAAGGGTGGAGAAATTCCTCCAATGCATTTTGGAATGGGTGTAGGCGGTCAACCATATCTGGATCCAGCTAATACAACGGTGTTTGTTGGGGGACTTCTGTCAGAAGTGAATGAGCAGACGCTATTTACATTGTTCAAGCCATTTGGCACCATCCAGCAAATCAAGATCCCTCCGGGAAAGAACTGTGGGTTCCTCAAATATAGTACTCGTGAGGAGGCTGAGGAGGCCATTCTGGCCATGGAGGGTTTCATTATTGGTGGAAACAGAGTGCGGTTGGGATGGGGCCGTGTCTCGATTAACAACAAAAAATATCATCAACAACGTCAGCAGATTGCACAGGTTGCCCAAATGCAAGCTGCTGCTGCACTCTCCATGGGAATGGATCCAGCCACGGCATTTGCTGCCGCTGCTGCAGGGTTCCCTCCGCATCCTCAAGGTCCAGTGCCGGGATCTTCTCAAGGCTATGGGCCAATTCCAATGGGAATGCCTCAAGTTCCGCCAGGAATGCATGGTATGCCATATGGACCTCCAGACATAACCTCGGGCAGAGATGAAGATACGCAATCGGAGGGAGGAGAGTCGAAGTCACAAGGGTCCGAGGGTGGAGGATACTACTACCAGTACGGTGCGGGTCCTGGCAACGGCACCCAACAAAAAGATTTAGCAGGTGCATTTGAGAAGCTCTCAATGGATGGTGGACCTCCACATCATCAGATCCCTCCTCCCGGGTATCAGTTTGTGCCATATGGAGGATATCCAGTTCCACCCGAGTACCAATACAGACGGGAGGAACAGGAAGAGGAGGAAACAGAAGAGAATGTTGATGATGGAAAGAGTGACGAAAAAGAGGAAATTAAGGAATAGTCGTGAGTGCTCGAGAGATTGCATTTTGGAGTTAAGATTGTGGATTCCTACCAGGAAAGGTATTTGGGTTCATGGTGATGTTTGGCCGGACCTTACGGCATCATCTAAAATTGTAATGCTTATGGTTGTTTAAATCTAGTTCGTTTGATTTTATTGATAGTTTTGTGTATTTTGGAGCCTAGTAGATCACGAAGAGGAGATATGGCGAACACTTGTGGAAATTAGTGAGTAGACGCACTTAAAGGATGTTTCATCGATTTCAAGCAGTTGATAAGGGTAATTTCCACTTGAAGTCCTTCCCTTTGTTTAGCCTCCTATCTTTCCCCTTTACCTGTCCCTGCTCTACTTCCTACATCATCCACTCACAAAATCATATCCATTAAAACAATTTATAAAACAATTTAAAAGTCAGCGCACCGACAAAGAATCAAACCCTTAAGATCTCTCACCTCTCAATCTTCTAGCCAACTGGATGTCCTTCTTCTGGATAGTGACTCTCTTGGCGTGAATAGCACACAAGTTGGTGTCCTCAAACAAAGACACCAAGTAAGCCTCAACGGCTTCCTGCAAAGCACCAATAGCAGAAGACTGGAATCTCAAGTCGGACTTGAAGTCCTGGGCGATTTCTCTAACCAATCTCTGGAATGGCAACTTTCTGATCAAAAGCTCAGTAGACTTCTGGAATCTTCTGATTTCTCTCAAGGCAACGGTACCTGGCTTATATCTGTGAGGCTTCTTGACACCACCGCTGACTGGAGCGGACTTTCTGGCGGCCTTAGAGGCCAACTGTTTTCTAGGTGCCTTACCACCAGTGGACTTTCTGGCTGTCTGTTTAGTTCTAGCCATGTTTAAAAAAAAGAGTAGTAGTGAGCAAAAAAAATGTGCGAGAACGCACCACCGAAATTAGGGGATTTCGGCTCGGCGAGGGGGCGTGACGAAAGCAGTGGCAAGTTCGCACTGGAATAGAGAACGTTTAAACAAGAGAAATTGACCAATCATACTTGCGGATGGTGGGGTGCTGTGGTATATGCAGTACAATAATTCATTTGCACCCATAAATGGATAATTAATTGGGATGGATATGAATAGGAGACTTGGGGGGATATGGAAAAACGGATAACTTTGATTTGTGGTGAAAATTGTGATCTGAGAGATAGTCGGATGTTGTGTAGTGGAAGTAGTGATGGCGGTGTAAGTTGTGATGGAGGTGATAAAGGAAGTAAGTTCGCATTAATGTTGTAGAATTGGTAAAAACATTATAAATGGGAAGATGAGGAGACAATGAGAGGAATCTAATTAAGTTGAGCATAAGTTTAATTACAGAAATTTTATCAGAGGGCGAAGGGAAACAGCACGGTATTATCAGAGTCGGGACAGTTGTTGCAGCCATTGGCAGTGTATATTAAGCAGGGTCATTTGAATTGGACTAAAAGAATATTGTGAAGATTGTCGGTAATAGTCACGGACATGAAAAAAAGTAGTCTCATCAAGAACAGTAGATGTTCGAAGTATATGACTCAAGGGTTTCATTTGCAATTATTATGGATAACTTGGAACGTTCACAATTGAATCAATTGGTAACTATACATGTGCTATTCTTAGTAGCAATGTGAGGTCAACAACTGACGCAAGATCTACTTTCAAGGACCATGGAATATCCAAAAAGAGTTGAACGAAGGGAGGGAATATCCAGTATGGATCCATTCTGGATCCAGAAATAGATGAAAATGGAACCAGGCTGAACCTAGTTGTAAGACAAACCAAGCTCCAGAAGCACCAAGTTACTAGGGAAACAACGCAGAAAATATACACTTCAGACTAGCCTCAAGTCATCCCGTTTCTCTTCAAATGTGTATGTACTATACAATGCAAGCGGTGCATACCAACACCCAGACCTCTACTTACGGTACCACAAACGAGTCACTCTCGTCTTCATCATCTTCTTCTGCAACTGGAAAACTCCGTACATCAATGCCTCGGCAGTAGGTGGACAACCTGGAACATAAACGTCAACAGGCACAACACGGTCACAACCTCTCACCACGGAATACGAGTAGTGGTAGTAGCCTCCTCCATTGGCGCATGAACCCATGGAAATGACCCATCTAGGATCTGGCATCTGATCGTACACCTGTCTCAAAGCAGGTGCCATTTTGTTGGTTAACGTACCGGCGACAATCATGATATCGGACTGACGAGGAGATGCTCTGAAAATAATACCCAATCTATCCTGATCGTATCTTGGGGTAGAGACATGCATCATCTCCACGGCGCAACAGGCCAAACCGAAGGTCACAGGCCAAAACGACGACTTTCTGGCCCACATGGCGATGGCATCCAAGGAAGTTAAAGCATAGTCGATTGGAGCCGAGGCGGTCTTCTTAGACATCAAGGGAAAGTCAGTGGGCATCTCCTTAGGAGTTAAGTCAGATGCTGGGAGCCCGACCTGTTTGGAGGCAAAACGCAAGGAGTGGACCACCAGCGGGCGCAGGAACTTAGCCACATTGGCGAGGGATTTAGTCGACAATGCTAGCATGATAAGTATGAGTTGTTGGTTGTAGTTTTTTTTATGCGATTTTGGGCCTGCAATCAGCAAGAATTTGAGCGTGGTGATTGGATATGTCCATGGTGTACGGGTGTGTATGGGCCATAGAGGTGGAACGAATGCATCAATGTTGTGATTAGTAGATGGTCGATTGGATGTGATTAGGAGGTTGATTTAGGAAATGGTTTGGTTAGTATTTTGGAGCTATTTGAGTTGTTGTTGTACATTTTGTGTATGTCTTTGAGTTTACGATCGAGCACAATACCTCCTGTTGCATGAATAATGAAAGGGTGGTATTTATTAGTTTAGTGAAGAATATTTAGTTGAGCAATTTGTTTTGTGAAGTCGTCTTTTATTTCTGTTTGGTAGGCAATTATTAAAGAGTTGGTCCAGTCGATTGAAGTGACTAGAGTACGCACATCATTATGCATAGAACAAATGTTGTACTACTCATGGCTAAACTGCGATGAGCATACCGGTGAGTATCTCCAGCACCGACAATAATGAAAAGCTCTGGAGAGATTCGAATATCTGGTGATTGCATTGGCAGCAATAGTCAGCATTTCAATTGCAAACCAGAAACCAGTCATTTACATCATCGTCTGAGGTCCGTGAACGTGATAGTGTTGGCTATCTATAATTCCCACAATGAAATCGTTAACAGACACATTTAATAATATGACATCTTATAATTTCGCTCGAGAAGTAATCTATGAATCGCCATTAATGCCATGTTCACCTCTTATTCACTTCGTGCACCTATCTCCTTCTATCTGAATCTATTCAATCACGTCTTCCAAATATGCCTTGATCTTCTCCATAATCTCATCTTTCAACGCATCGGGCACCATCTCCTCCGCCTTGGGCCGAAGTGCCGCATACAACCTATCGAAGTTTGCATCCTTATTGCTTTGAAGCTCTTTGTTGGCTTCCTTGGTGACGTCATCAAACCATCCGGCCTCATAAAGCTTGAGTTTTAACTGCTTGGAAATGACGTCGTAATTGCCCAGCGACACAAGATGATTCTGGATCTTGGCTCTAATGGCATCGAAGTCGTCGGCCATAGTGTAGTTGGAGTAGGTTTCAGTCAACTGCACATTAGTTATGTGAACAACCAAAACTATGTGAACAACTGGTAAGTGTTCCTACCATAAGTTAGCAAACCGTGACCCGAATCTATCTTTGAAAGGGACCTATTTTGCCACATTTGCTGTCAATTACATCATCTGAAGGCAATTGCATAACCACACACTTCGATACCAAATTGCTTACCTCCATTGGTCCAAAAACTTGCCTTTCTTCAACAGTGTTGCTTTCGACTCTCGCCAAAGTCTCTAAGCACCCCAGATTGACAAGAGCATTCAATATCTACTCCCGAAAAATGAAGCAGTCGCCTCATAACGCACATGTTGACTCCATAGAGAGTATGGAGCAAGGTAGCTGGATCCAAACCCGCAAAATCAACTACACGGACCCAGCAGGAAGGCCCAGAGTGTGGGAGATGGCCGTGAGAACCACTCGTTCCGAGACCACCGGCTTGGATGCTGTAAGTATCTTGGGTTTACTCCGTGATGGCGAAAGTCCCAAGCAGGTAGTTTTGGTCAAGCAATTCCGGCCTCCATGTTCGAACGTGGTGATCGAATTGCCAGCTGGATTGATTGACCCGGAAGAGTCGGTAGAATCGACTGCGGAACGAGAATTGATTGAGGAAACTGGATACCATGGAACATTTGTAAGTCTGAACCACAACGACGTGACCATTTACAGTGACCCAGGCTTGACCAATGCCAACATGGCGTTGGTGACTGTGGACATTGATTTGGCGGATGAGAGAAACAAGAATCCCCAGCCGCAATTAGAGGATGGCGAGTTCATTGAAGTTTTCAAGTTGCCTTTGAAGGGGTTTCTTGGAGGTTTGGTCAAGGTTTGTCAGGAGGAGAATTGTGTGATTGATGCCAGGTTGTATCACTTAGCAGTGGGACTTAAGTTGGCCGAGGATCTTCAGTCATAGTTTAGACTTGACGTGATCGCTATGAAAAGTTTATAATTAGGTATGAATGAAGCATAATGAGAGAATCATTGTTGAAGAAGGTGTCAGAACACCACCTAAGATATGAGTAATACGAAGCCTAAATTCGTGGACGGGAATTAAAGGTCTATTAGCAAGTGGCGCATGAGAGTGTAACCAGTTTGAAGTTTCACAAGTAAGAATTCTCCAAGTGGAAAAGGATACTGAAAAATTGAGAGAATGTTGGTAGAATTGAGTCCCTCAAAGTGTGGGGAAAGATACAGATACTTTAAGAACGAGATACATTGACATGAATATCAAAATTCATCAATGAGGACGTAGGATTGAACAGAGAAAAAATAAAAATCGACAAATAAACTTATTATAAATTCCGAATAACAATTAGTATGGAGAATGAGATACATATTGTCACTGAAGTTAGAGTGAGACTAATGCGACTTAGGTGGTGAAAATTCACATATGGACCAATCTGTTGCATTCCTTTTGCTATCGTATACATTCGAATTTAAATTCAAATCCATATTTCATCGCTTTCCCTTGTGCTTTTTTATTCATCACATTTTCTTTTTTTTTTCGATCTTCATTGCAGTCCCATAAACTATCTTCCCCAATTGCTTTTCTCCATATTCCCAACATTGCGAAGTCATGTGTTCCCCAGATTATCTACATATTCCTACACATTCACGAACCTCCACCTTGGGTTCTTCTTTACAATTGCCATGAACGACGAAACATGCGCCTTCTGTCTCGGTGGCCTGCTGGAAATCCCTCCTTTTGGTACAATCAAAGACGCAGAAGACTTGTTCAGGCCTTGCTCCACTTGCTCGTTGGTAGCACACAGAAAGTGTCTTTTAGACTGGTTTAACAGCATTCCACCTTCCAAACTCACGCGCTCCCACGGCAATGTGTTCGATGCTGACAATGTCGAGCGCTCTACCTACACCGCTAGCCCCGCCACAAGCGTCACCGAGGACCCTGACGAAGATACCGATAACGAGCCGAATATCATCAACGTCACGTTCCAGTCGCCTTGGATGTCGTCCGTTGGACTCTTTGTCAGAGACCCCGATTATCATGTCCATGCGGCATTGGCAGACTCGCGCTCCGTGTTTTTACTGACATCGTGTCCACAGTGTAAAAGCAAGATCACATTTTGTATGAAACGTCTGGCGTTCTTAGGCTTCAATTCACTCGTGAGGGCTTCTGTATCTGATTTGGTCCAGTACTCAGGTGTTTTCATAGGTATCTCGGGTGCCGCCACAGGTATTGTCACTATGGGTTACGTGGGACTTGCTCGTTGTGGAATCAACATGTTGGATGCTCTCATGCCGTCGTCATTACTCTTTCCACTTTTGAGCAAGAAGAAGTCTATCGTGGGCGCAAGCTCGTTGATATTCCCGTCCCCGGAAAAACTAGACCGTGCTTTGAATCTTGTAGACCAGCTCAAGTTTCAGCACATTCCACTTTTACCTGTGATGTTGTATCGTATGCGTCATCTGCTGATATTTTCGTGCTTCTTCAATAACACAGCACGCACTGCACTCTCCAACTGGGGTGGAGAGTTCTTGATTTGCAATTATCTATCCTCGCTAGGAAACCATGTTTTTGTCAAGAACATCTACCTGAATTTGAAACTCTACTTCTGGCAAATTCTCAAGAGCCCAACTGCAGCCAAATCGTACCGCCTCGGCCAAATCATAAAGAACATTAACTGGTGGGATCCAAATGTCATGGTTGGCGCTCTCATTCCGGCAAGATGGATCTACGACTTCATATTCCGTTTCACATTCAACAGACTCCATTTCAACTTAACTGCAAAGATCAGACCGAGGGACATTGCAAACAGCTTGAGCAAAGATGCATTGTATCGCTTGGAGACTTTAGAGGGTGACCTAGGTGCCACCCACTTCGAATTCCGTAAAAGAGCCAAAATGGCTGACAAGACCGCTTATACCTTCAAACCACTCCAATTCCTCTCAAGCAAGTTCAAGTTTCTTGGTCTTCTCCTTAAAGACGACTTGGTGTTTAGGTACCTTCGTCTCAAGCTTTTGGTGTTTCTCTACAAGTCGGACGCATGTTTGAGAAGAGACTTTTCCACTTCTCTTTTATACAACCTGGCCATAGTGACCAGTGTAACCACCGTAATCTGGCCATTTTTAGCTTCAGACTTTGGCAAGTTGATTTACAGGCTTGTGTTACTGAAAATTCTGGCTCTAGATTCTGTGGATAAAGACAAGGTGATCTTTCTCTCAAATCTATTGGGATTGTTTGGTGTGGCTATTGTCAAGGACGTTTACAACCTCATTATGGCTTGGAGAAAGGCTAGACAATTATCTGAAATGGCAATTGTGTACCCCAGACCCAACACTCCCCCACAACAACCTACTGCGAGCTTTCCTGGCTCTTATTTGGTCTCTGAAACAAACTGATATTCTACATGAACACTGGATACTAATAAATGGTTAGAATAATACACATTGAAATAAGGAATGTAACACCGTACACATAAGTTAAGCCTAGTCGAAGTCAGGCCAACACTTCCGTGCTACTCACTCGTCATCATAATTTTCATCCTCCTCCACTTTTCTCAATGGAGGCTCAACTGGTTCGTTCTTTTTTTCCGCTTCCTCGTCATCATCGTCATCATCATTTTTAAAGTCCGTTTCGGCGTTCGTCACGTTGCTCGAAAACTTGGGAGCAGTACTATCAGGTTGGGCGCTTTCACCACCACTAGCTGGAGCAGGTGGTTTTGGGGACGCCGTTGTAGCAGCTGCTGGAGTGGCAGTTCCAGAGGTCGTAGCAACGGGAGGTACCTCAACCTTTGGAAGAGCAGCTGGAGTTACCTCCTTTGCATCTGGGGTTGATTCAGGAGGTGCGCTTGTCTTTGCTTCAGTGATATTTGGCTCAGCGGCAGGTGGAGCAGCACTCGTACCAGCAACTGGAGAAAAAACAGGTGCTTGCGTAGCTTCTGCAACAGGTCGAGGGGGAGCTGGGGCACCAAGCGTCATAGAAAGTGCTGGAACAACAACAGATGGCACACTTGGAGGATCCTGTTTTTGAGAAGCTTCCGTAACACTGGATGTTTCAACGGAGGCTTTTTTAAGAACCTTGGTGTCGTCTTTTCCCTCCAAGTCGTGCTTCACAGATCCATTGGCCAATCCATTACGTTCGGGTTCTCCAGGCGTTGGGGATGCAGTCGCAGTCACTTCTCCAGTGCTGGGAGTAACTTCAAGCTTCTGCGTGGGGTTCACCGCTGGAAGTGTTGTGTGTTGATGAATCGGCTGAGATTTTTGAGGCACGGGCAATTGTTCACTTTCGGGGACTGGAATCTGACTAATGTGTGCTGGTGGGAGCTGCTGATGAGTTAAAGGTTGTTGCCCTGGGGGTTGCTGCCTCGAAATCTGTGGTGAAGAATACTGCTGGACTGCCGGAATCAGTCCTGGTTGCTGGTGGAGTGCCTGCTGATGGAAAGCAGCTGATTGCTGTGGTTGCTGCAGAAGCAGTGGTGGCGGTGGAGGAACTTGCTTTATTTGCTGAGGACCAGGTTGTTGGGGTTGCTGAGGCTGTGTGCTCTCCAAGACCATACCTTGAGGCAAACGAGGCTGCTGATTGACTGGAGGAGGCTGTGGAGGGTGGGTGTTACCGTCTTGCTGGTATTTGATAAGCTGATCCAAGCGAGCCTTGATGTGGGGGTTTCCAGGATCCAATCTCTCGGCCTGGCGGTAGGCGTCCAACGCATCGGAGATCTGATTGTTGCAAGTTTCGTACAAAGTACCCAAATCGTACCAGACTTCACTGATGTATGGGTTCAAACGAATGGCCCTTGTGTATGCATCAAGAGCATCCCTATACTGCGATATTTGGTAGTAAAGCACACCAATTGAGCACCAGAACGTTGGGTTACGGGAGTCACGGTTGACAGCCTGTTGGAAAGCTTCATATGCAGCGTTGAAGTCACCTCTAATCATATGGACACGTCCCAAATAGTACCAGGAGTGAGCATCTGACGAGTCGATCTCGATAGACTGTGAGAGATACTTCAAGGCGATATTTAAGTCCTGCTGGAAGGGCTGTTGTTGCTGTGCCTGGCCAGAAGATGGGGCAGGTTCTGCTTGAGAGTACAAACATCCCAATTGCTGTAAAACCTTTGCGTGGTTTGGGTTTACCTCCAACACCTTCTCGTATGCCTCTTTGGCTCCATTCCAATTCTTCTGCTGTTCAAGAACAGAACCAATTTGAAACCACACATCAGGCTGAGTGAGTGGATGTGGAGGATTTGACAAAATGTATTGGAAGCACTCCAAAGCACTTGAGAGCTTTCCTTGATGCTTGTATATGATACCAAGACGGAAGTAGATCTCGTTGGACTTTTCAAAGTTAGGATCCAAATCCAAGACACGAACGAAGGCCTCTTCGGCGTATTCCAATGAGCCATATCTGTCATACAAGATACCAATTCCATGCCACAACTTGGGCACATTGGGGTTGTCCAAGTAGTAAAGGGCCCGCTGATATGCTGCGTAAGCACGCTGCAAGTCGTCCATCATCAAGTAGCAGTGACCTAACAAACCCCAAGTGTCTCCATTCTCCGGGTTAAAGTTCAATGCCTGCTCATAAAGCTCGGCCGCTTTCAAGAAGTGGTCTCTCAGGCGGTAGATGTTCGCCAATCGTGTCAAGGCCTCAGGATTGTTGGGGCTGTGTCTCAATGCTGTGTCGTACAGCGACGAGGCCTTCTCTAAGTCACCCAACGACTCGGCCAATGAGCCTATTGCCAACCATGTAGCACTGGTAGTTTCGCTCAACACTGACGAGCGGTCGCCATGCTGGATCTGATTCTGCTGTGCTTGGGCAATAGCCTGGGCTTGAGCTTGGGCCTGTGCTTGAGCCTGAGCCTGGGCATGTGGCATTATCTGCATTTGTTGTTGGAGGGGGAGGACAGCTGGCGAGGGATTAAGCCCATTCGACAGTTTCATTGCCATCTGGACAGGCAAGGACATTGCGGGCGATCAAGGTGAAGAATGTCAGGATGGGAAGGGTTTTTTTATTTGTTTCGTTTTCTTAGCAACGACTAAGCCAACGAGGATCGACTTTTCAGAGGAATGTGGGGGGGTGTCAAAAAGACGTGGTCTGCAGAACAAAAAAAAATTGGCGAGGAAAAAACCACTTGGTGTGAGCAGTATGAACGAGGGAAAAAATGACAAACCAAAATAAATGGCTACTATGTACTCTCTAGTGGACATGCAGCAGGGCACGCCAAAATACGACAAGCAACACTAGATTAGCCGTAGGAGTCAAGCAAGCTCGGGCCGGGAATCTGTTGCTCTAAAAAAGGAGAGGATCTCGATACTCCCGCATACACAGACATATCTGGCTTACTGGAAGTTTTTTATCACCTGGTTATCGATCAACTGTGGTCTAGCACCTGAGATTTGCACCCAGATATTTGCATGAGCTATAGGAGGTTACGCAATTGGAGTGCATTTAAAGACAGATGATAACCAAGTATCCATAACCGGACCGAAAATGCTGGATCGGAGCCTTGCGGCTTGGTCGGTTGTCCAACTCCAACAAAAAAAGAGAAAATAGCAGAGAATAAAAAATCGGGCCCATATGGTAGCCATACCAGAGGCGATTAATATGAACGTAAGCCCTTACATTTCTGAATTCTATGTAGCGTGGCAGTCGCAGACTAGCCAATGGGCATTTGCGCGAAGGAGAAGATGTGCTTAGTGGTCCGTCCATGCGGTGGCGGTATTAGTGAAGGTTTGGCTGGAACTAGGCGCCACCCCGTGAATTGGCACCCCATCCTGATTCGGAACGGGGTCTGTGGTGCGAACGGGAATGTTGCCGAGGTGCACCGCCCTGTCGATCACGTGCTGCAAAGAATGATAAAATACATTCCGGGTGACCCACAATTTCCGCCCGTGCCCGTTACACTAAAAAAAAAGAAAACTGGTAGGGAGGGGCAGAATCTGACTGTCTAATCACGTGGCTCCAATCATGTGGTTTGATCTGATCCCACCCTCCATTATGCATTACAACTTCTGACCCCGGAAGGATGAGTTGAATCCGAGAAGCTGATTAATACCCTTGATCCAGTCATTTTCTGTTTTGGCAATACAGAAGAGTCCCTTGGGAACTTCCAGTCCGCCACGACCACGGATCCTATTGTCCACGCCTGGTTCAATGAACTGGTCGTATTCAACTCGCTTCAGTAGAGCAGTAGGAGGCTGGTGTTTGCCAGGAATGAAGATAGTGCCGTTCTCACTGACAACATGGATTTCATCTCCGGGTCTAAGATCCAGTTGAGGAATTCCATCGATGTTTAACTTGATGAGACCATTCCGATTTGTATCCGTGAGCCTTATCATTATGTGTGACGTAGATGGTAAGATTAGTGGCCTGAACGATAAAGATCTCGGACATACAGGCGTGAGCAATATGCATGGAACCAAAGGATGGGTAATCGATCCGCCTGCCGAAAGAGAATAAGCTGTAGACCCTGTCGGAGATGCGAACACAATTCCGTCCGAAGTGGTGGTTGTGACGAACTCGTTATCAATGAAAATATCAAGCAGAATAAGATTGGGCTGCAGGCCACGATGTAACGAGATATCGTTCATGGCATGCAACATTACCCCACTCAGGTGCTGTTTGTAGTGTGCAATTTTGTATTGTTCCACCAACCCTTCGAGCACTTCCTTCTCTGCCAGCTTTTCCACCGGTTGTTCTCCGTTTCTTCTTACAACATGGCACTCAAGCCTGCTTCTGTGGAGCGCTTTACTTCTTGACTCGTAAACTGTCCTGAAAGTCTCCTTAAATGTAGCAAAGTCGAACGGAAGCAAGAACCCCAATGTTCCCATGGCAAAACTGAGTACCGGGGGAACTATTCCATTCAGAAACGCCGATACTGCTCTCAATGTGGTACCATCACCGCCTAATGTGACAATCAAATCGGTTCTCACTACAATATCATTCACTTCTCCCGTGTAAACCACTGTTTTACGACCTTCAGCAGTATCTCGATCCTTATAAGCCTCTGTCAACTCATCAGCCACGTCCTCAGATACAATAACTTTCAATTGAGGGTAATCTGTCTGAAGAAAGTCAATAAACTGCATCAAGGCTTCCAATGCTGGCTTGTTCCATGGCTTCTTGACGATATAGATGTTCTGGAGTGGAGATCTCCAGACGACATTATGGAGCTTCAGATGCGGTGAACCCACATACTCGGGTACGGTTCTAGACTCGAGTTTGTGGCACAGTTGCACGGTAAAAGTATTCATGTTTTTGGAGGAGGAATTGGTGGGAGATAATTGCCGAAAAGTGGTGGAAAAGTATCGTGATGTTGGGGTCAGGTATTGAGGCACTATAGTGCGAGGTGGGGAACATGACCCCGTGGAGGGCCATCCAGATATCCAAAGGCGACGAACAGTGTGTCTAATGGCCACACAGGCGCCAGTCGCAGGTGCCATAGCCATGAGGAAGGTGCTGGTGATGGATACTGGTCAATGTCTTCAGACTAAGTCCGCACCCCTCAGGTGATTGTGACACCTGCATGAGTCACCTAAAGTCTGGGGAAGAGGAGGACGGATTGACGGAGCCAGGTGGATTTCATGGAACGGCAAGTCACAAGCGAAACGGACATGAGTTCAATTGGCTAGACTTTGTTTTTTCTTGGAAAGAATTGCTGTTTTTTATCAATGGAGAATGCTTTGGGATCAAAAGTGTCTTAAACCCGAGATTGTGTGTAATTTGACTTTCGCAGAGCACTCAGTAGTACGATACTTGAAGATGATAGACATATGAGAAGTCAGAATGGACAAAAGACACAAGAGACTAAAACCAACGAAACGGAGTTATTGGGAAAAATTGATAATACAAAAGGAAAAATCAGAATACAATTCATTGGAGTCTTTAAGATTGCTTAATATCAAACTACAAATATTATGGGCCAATTCCCCATCCAGAACTACTTCTCCAAACATTTATTTTCTGTAGTATCGTACATGAGCTACGAAGCCTCGTTGAGCTCGTTAATCTCCTTCATCTCTTCCTCGGTCAACTCCTGGCCATTTTTAGTGGTCTCTGAATCTTTGGTCTCAGTTGTTTTGGTCTCTGCATCCTTGATTCCGTTTGAGCTGCCATTCTCAGCAAGGCCGATATGCTTCTCTCCTTGGTCCTTGTCCTCATCGTCGTAAAACTCGTTCTCTGGAACAACATGCTCATCGCGCGCCTGCTGAGATCCTCCCTTGGTATCTATGGCCATAGCTGTGTCCTCTTCTTCGTCTCCCAAATCTTCTGCATCACGAGGAACGTCATTCATCTGCACAGAAGGCGCATGCTTGGTATTTTCCAAGTTGGCAATGATGTTTGTCAAGATTTTATTCAAGAATTCGGGGGCGTTGGCATTGTACATGTTGGAAGGACGAACGTCAAGCTTGTAATCTGGCCCATAGTACTCATAGTACTCATTGTAAGGCAACTCGTTGGGCAATGAAACTTCATTAAGCAAGCCCGACTCGAAGGCCCACGTTCTAGCAACGTTTCTCATTGTGTATCCTCCACCTCCTACAACCATCAACGGAACGCCAAATGACTTGACAAAGTTGATACAATTTGCGTGACCACGCATCAGCAAGTTAAAGCACCCCAAACGGTCTCCACTCAACGAATCTCCTCCACACTGCAAAACAATGGCCGAGGGCTGGTACCATTCCATAATTTTCGAGATTACGGGCTCGAATATAGACTTGTAAGTCAGATCGTCAATACCGTCACGCAATGGCACATTCACCGCATAGTGTTTACCCTTGCCAACACCAATATCTCTTAATTCACCAGTTCCGGGGAAAAACTCTCCGTACTTGTGGAATGAGCAGGTCATGACTCTATCGGTGGTGTAGAAAGCCTCCTCGACACCATCTCCATGGTGCACATCGATATCTATGTACAACACACGTGGGTGATATCTTAACAACTCTATGATTCCCAACACGATATCATTCAAGTAGCAGAAACCGGACGCCTCGGATTTTTTAGCGTGGTGCAAGCCTCCAGCATAGTTGATGGCTATATCACACTTGCCACGGTTCAAACGGGCAGCACCTTCCATGGATCCTCCACCTGAGATTCCACAGTACTCGAAAAGTCCGTCGAAAACTGGGCAGTCATCTCCAACATTGAACTTTATCTGCTCTTTGGCAAACATGTCCAAGTTGTCCGGCAGCACTCTACTCAAAAAGTCGATGTATTCATCTGTGTGGAACTGGCACATCTCCTGCTTGGTGGCTGGTTTGGCCCTGTAAATTTCCATTTTTTTGTAGAGACCGTAGTTCATGATAAGTGAGTGAGCCATTCTTATACGGTGGGGCTTCATTGGATGACCAGCACCGTAGGCGTAGTTTCCCACATCGGCGTCGTAGAAGTACGCCACACGCTTCTTTTTGGTAGGGTCCACTTTGAGCTCGTCAAAGGGTAACTGGACGTACATGATGATGAAGTAGTAGGAATTTGGATTGGAGATATTCTATTCGCGAGTGTGCAGGTGGCTGGTTGGAAGATGATGGTTGGTATTGGGTTGAAGTTATTGGAGTGGGAGAGTGATCAGAGTATTTGGGTTTTCAGTGTTATTAAGGAGCTCAGGACTTATTGGCAATAATTTTGTAAATTCAGGGACTTTTTCATTGTGAGTGAATTTTTCTTGATATGTGGAAGACGATTTTTGATCGTTCACATGGCTTTCTTTCACCAGAAAGAAAGAAAATAAAATGAGAGACGAGTGACCAGAGAATTAATAGTGAGTTTGACAGATTCTTGAATTGGAAAATATGAAAATATGTGGTGATTTTTCCTGCCATGATTGCTTTGTTTCATTGTACATGGCCAAATTCTTTTGGGATATTTTGTTCTCACGAATTGGGTCAACAATCAAGTGTATTTACTCCATCTACCAACTTCTGCAATTATTGTTTTTATGTATTTTCTTTAGTTAACTTCATTCTAAGTTACGTATCCAATTCCTTTCTGTCTTTACCAGAGGACTCGTCCCTCATTGATCGAAGTAAATTACTATGAACCATGCCGTTGTCCCCTCAACCTCTCCCGGTACTCTGCAAGCTGCTGATTAAGCTGGTCTTGCAATTGTGCGTTGTAACAATACTTGTTGTACAAATCTTCGTCCACTTCAAAGTTGATGCCGTTGTTATTTCCTGAAATCGAATGATCGGTTACAGTAGTTGGAAACAACCATCCGATCCACGATGGGCCCATGATGGATATCCAGTTACTCCGCCAACCCAAATCGTAGAGATGGCCCAACTTTTGCTTCTTGCCGTTGGAGTCGAACTCATACTGTCCCGTCTTGTGTTCCAGGTATCCCCATCGATTATCTTGGAACTCGATTGTGGTTGTGTTGCGGAAAAGCATATAGATGGAAAACCCAGTAAAGAGAACCATGGCGAAAGAAAATGCCAACGATACAACAAACAAAAACACCAAGTTAAGCGAGAGATAATGGTTGCTCTCCCATTGCTCGTCCACGAAAAATTGATACAAGATGGAAAACGATACAATCGTGGCCACCAAGCAGAACACAGTGATGTATACGAGCACCTGAACGAAGAATTTTTGGTTGTAGAACCCGATACAGCATGCAAACCAAGGACAATGGTGATCCATCCGCAAGAAGCACTTGTTGCACGTCGAACAGTGGTGGCAGCGGTCAGGTTTCCACACTTGGCATGTGGAACACCATCTATATGCGGGGGCATTATTCTTGAATGAATGGCTGGTGAAGATCTCGGCAGGAGGACTTCTGTGAGTGGTGGTGCTGGAGTATCCAGTATTTAGCAATCTTGCCGAATCTGAGTTCATGTCATGAGAAGTTCTCGATGTATGAGACGAACTCGAAACATGAGAATGGCTGGAGTTGCGTGAATGGCCGGAATCGAGTTCGGAGACAATCTGGCTAGACAACACCGACGGAGTGGCAGATTCGCTGGTGACCAGTTCGTATGGATTATTGGGAACAACTGTGGATCCGATTTTAAGCTCAGGGAAATCGACCGGCGAGCCTGGCCCGACAATTATCACCTTAAAGTATGTATAGATGGTCAAGATGTAGAGCAGCAACATGAATATCTGTAAGAACAATCTGGCAAATTGGCTGTGGAACCCAGACTCTACCAGTGTCACGAACACGTAGAGGGCCCATGTAGATAGCGTCACGACAAACACTTTAGGAAATAGCGATGCGAGAAAACAGCAGAGAGACTCTGCTTGGAGCCATAACCTGCCGTGAGTCCACATTACTGACGGTTGGGTAATAAGCATGGACTCCAACTTAGTCGTGATGGTGGTGTGCATAGGGCCTGACGGTACGAACCTTAGACTGATAAATGATGCAAAATGGAAAAATGTCCAGAGATTTTTCGACGTTAGCAATTTTAGTTTTCTAATTGATTTAATTTGACTCTTTTCTAATTTTTTGATATTTATTATATTTGGTTTTTTGGTCTTGGGTTCTTTTATTGTCGTGGGTTTCATTGTTGTTCGCTTCTTCACCACACCTTGCCTTGCGTCATGCCAGAGGCTTGAAGAAACTCATTACAGTCACCAAAATTAGACCTAGGCATCTCTTTTACTAGACCCATAGATGATATCAGTAGAGTTGGATATTCTTCCGGACTTATTTCCTTTTGGGGCTTTAACTCCATTCTTTTCTCCCCGGATTTATCCTAATTACGAACTCCTGTACGTCAGAACTATTGGCTGAGTAATAGTATGACGAGTATAAAACGCAGGTTTAGGGGTAACGAGATTTTGCACTCACCTAACGAATATTTTTCAATTGACCTATCAATTGGCACCTCAATTGATTCAACAAATTGATATTTGACCTTTTTCGTACGATCTTATCATGTCTGACTTACACCATAAACTTGGATCCTCTGGTCTCAATGTGTCAAAAGTGATTGTGGGGTGCATGTCATTTGGCTTATCAGGATGGGCCAATTGGGTGTTGGAAGATGAAGAGAAAGTGTTTCTGATTTTGAAGAAATGCTACGACAATGGCTTGAGGACGTATGACACCGCTAACATGTACTCCAATGGCCAATCGGAGATCTTGTTGGGAAAGTTCTTGAAGAAGTACAATATTCCCAGAGATCGGGTGGTGATTCTCTCCAAGGTTTTTTTCCCTGTCAACGCAGAAGACCCGAATGTTCGTTTTGGTGCCTCGGACACCCAGACTTACGAGTATATGAACTCACAGGGCTTATCAAGAAAGCATATTCTTGACTCGGCAAAAGCCTCAGTGGAGAGATTAGGAACCTACATGGATGTTCTCCAGATCCATCGTTTGGACAAGACCACGCCAAAACATGAAATTATGAGGGCATTGAACGATACAGTTTTGGAAGGCTACACCAGATATATCGGAGCTTCGTCAATGAGGGCCACTGACTTTGCAGAGTTACAATACGTTGCAGATAAGAACGGCTGGTTCAAGTTCATATCCATGCAAAACTACTACAATTTGGTCTACAGAGAGGAAGAAAGAGAAATGATTCCTTACTGTAACGATAACATCTTTGGAAAGGTTGGATGCATTCCATGGTCGCCAATTGCTAGAGGACTTTTGGCCAGACCTTGGAAGTCGGAGTCTCAGCACAATAGAAACAGTGACACGGATATCTATATTTCCCTCTTGACTGGTCTGCAGTATGCGGATGAAGAGATCATCAACAGAGTGGAGAAGGTTGCAAAGAAACTTGGAGTTTCCATGGCCAATGTTGCAACTGCCTGGGTCATCAGCAAGGGTCATACGCCTATCGTAGGAATTAATACCGAAGAGAGAGTGGACGATACCATTCGAGCTATTTCTTTGAAATTGAGTGAGGAGGATATCAAGTACTTGGAGGAGCCATACGTCCCCAAGCCTGTGTTCGGCTACCAGTAAGGTGTGCTATAAAAAAGCAAAAAATATTTACTTCTACTTGCAATAAATGAGCGAAATTATGTCTATTTTTCTATTTTCCATCCCATGCCTGCCATGTGATACGAACATGCTAGGTTCAACTGTGGGCGCCATATGCTCACTCATATCTCGCTAGTGCTCTATTCAGCCTTCTTCTTCTTCTTCATCTCCTTCTTGGATGCAATCTTCACGTAAGACTCGTAGCCAATGCCTCCAAAAACCAAAACAACACCACCCCATTGCCAAATGTTCAAATGGTGACCAAAGAGGACCACACTGAGAATCATACTGATCATCTTGCGAGTCACTGTCGCAGTCACCAAAATCAAGGAGTCAAACTTCTCCAAAATTATAAATACAAACACCTGTCCCACCGCTCCAAAAACAGCGAATGACAATATGTCCACTAATGCTCTTGGATAGCTTTTGATGAAGTTATAGGTGTACACCAACTCTGAGTCGAACTTGAAAGCCACCATGTACGAGAATGTCAATGCAAACACCATCAAGTTTAAAATACACATCAATGACGCACCAGTGACCTTGGTCGTTTTGCTGCGAAGCTTAAATAACTGATCCTGGGTGGAGTTGGTCAAGCCGTCAAGAAGCATGGACGCCACAAGCTGTGACATTCCCAAGAGCGTATTCCCATCATTGAGAGACTCTTTCTTGCTTCCCGAGTGGCCCAATGTAAACATTGTAACTCCTGCTGTCACCATGGCTGCGACCATGTACTTGTGAGGAGGAAACTTCGTTCTGTAGAGCACAAAGTGGACGAGCATCACCGGAAGCAACTTGCACGATTTGGCCAACAAGTAAGCCAAATAGTCAACGTGCTTGAGCGACTGATAACCTATTGGAGCCGATAAGCTGGATGTTAATGCAATCACCGCAAAGTACTTGAAGAATGTGGCACCGCTGGTACTTCCATGTTCCTTTGGATTTGAGAAAATGGCAAACGGACTCTTCCTATGTGCCACAAGAGAGTACACAAACCCAACAAACGAGGCAAAAAGTGCCTGAATGGTGTTGGTCACCAAAGGTGCCCTAAAGAATATCGGTTGAGAGTCTGCGTAGCCATAAGGTTTGGTGTTGATTCTCTCCTGGAGGAGTGACCACGAGAGGAACAGCGCATAAAGCCCCAATACAGAGAAGATTAGTGTGAACTCCTTTGAGTCTTTCATGATAAGGCCACGCGAGGTGAAAATTGGTATCAACAGACTGCGAATTATACTACACAGTAACGTGTATTTGATTTTAGGTAATGGTCCAGTAGTGTAGATAGGATGTGGAATATGAATCTTGATTTTGGTGAAAAAATTGAAGGCATTGAAGTATTATGAAGGTTTTGATTTGCAATTTGCAGTGGAGTGATAGTAACAATAATGGTATGTTATCACAGATTATAAAGCTCGCATAAGCATTTCTACACTTCCTCAGCATTGCTTCATTAATTATACACTAGCGGCCAAAGATTCCGAAGAATCCTCCCTTCTTTTTCTCCTCCACGTCATCCACAGTTGCATGTGTAGCAGGCTCGGGCTGTGCTCCAGACATGTAACTGATGTAGTTGAATGCAATGTCAAACAACACCGCCTTACTCAACACAGGCGAAATGTGTCCCTTTTGCAACACGTTGGTGATGTTGCTGACGGTATTCCCGGCAATGGAGAACTGGAAAACATCGTCGATGGCCACCTTGGCATTGGTGGAGTTCTCTCTGACAAATTGAGCCAAACTCTGCGTCTTGCTTCTACGTCTAGATACCTCCTCCGTGAGTGATTGCGCCTGGGTATTGCTGGTTACATCGTAAGGGAACTCGTCAACCTTGTAAAAAGTTCCAGAAGCATCGAAAGTCCGCTCGATCTGAGCATAGATCTTTAAAGCCTCGGGGAACTTGCTGGCAAGTGAGTACGAGTCAGCGATCACCACCGACCGTTTGACTGTGAAGAATCTGCCCATGTTTTCTAAGGACTCAAACAAGTCCTCGTCGTTGTAGACACCTGGCAAGTCTTTAAGCTCGTCCACGGTGGAAACTACTGCACTGTATAGTCTCAACACATCCTTGTTGGAATGAAGCCTCTTGGAGACACTGGAGATGGACTGTGCGTTCAACTGGTCTATGAGAAGCAAGTCACGCTTCAACCGAGTAAAAAGCATATTGTACTTGAGATAAGTCAAGAGGACAGCGCCGTCTTGCACTCTCTCCTCGTCGTCCTCGTCCTTCGACTTGGCCAAATCGCCAGTGTGGATATCAACCAACGCAGACCACTGTGAGTAGAGCGAATCGTAATCATTGGCCTCTACAAAGCTCTTCCAATTGGTTCTGTTCAATCTGATAATTTTGATGGAGAGCTCGTCATTGTAAATATTGGCCTCGTGGTCTCTCCAAACCACAGTCTTGGACACCTCCTCCTCTTCCTCGACTTCCTGAACAAACGAATCGTCCACAGATGCAATCAAACCCACAGCAGGCGCAAGGTACGACACAGTTGCATCGCTACAGTGCTTTCTAGCCACAGTTCTCAAGTCGGAAGTGGTCTCCACCACAGAACCTTGGGAAACAGCTAAATTCAACGATGGATCCACCACGGTATCGAGCAATTCGTCAATGAGAGTTCTGTCATACAGGGCATTAGTGTCGTCCTCGACAAGCTGTGTGGCCAAAAGCTCCAAGCCACATCTGGCTACGGAAAACGCATAAAGGGCCTCTTCCCACCTCTTCTTGTTCACAGAGTAAACTCCCTGTGTAAGTGCCGCATACACGTAGAGCTCGATTCTCTTGATAGTATTTGGCTCATCTTCGGTGATTGCAAGCAACTTTGTGCATGTAGACACCGCTTTCTTCAACTTGCTCACCATCAACTTCTTGTAAGACGAGAGCTTGTCTCCGCTAATTTCAAGTAAACTTTTAATTTCGCTGGCAAACAACGAGTCTCTTTCAGCTAGCAAAAGCAAAAGCTCGCCGTGACGAGCATCGGCGGCATATTCTTCCTTCGAAATTGCCGAGGTTTTCTCCTTGTCCTGGTAGTTTCTTGTGTCTCTGGTGACCAAGTTCAAGTCATGACGTAACTTGAGCAAGAACTTGTTGGTGCGTTTTCTATGTTTGCGGAAATCCTCGTATGTGGTGAGATATGCACTCAAACGTGCTCCATATGTAGAGCCCAATGGGCTTGCAAGAGACATTTGGGGTTGAGGGTGGATTCAAGTTGTCGAACATTTTTCCTACAACTGTTTTGGTGTACGGGTGTCTGGAGTGGGCGATTAGAGATCCGATTGAAAGTGTTGAATAAACTCGAGGTAAATGAGCAAAAATATTGAATTTGTATAGTTCTATGGTTTCATGATGGATCCTGATATCCAATTTAGTCTTCTTTCAAACTTTTTTCATTCTGCTCTGTTGTTTTCGCCCCTTCCATTTGCTCAGTGTATTGCCTACTCAATTCTCACCCATTCTTTACATTGTCTCACAGTCCCATTTGGGTGCAAAGTGCGTACATCCCCACATTACTTATGGACGAAATCATCTCTGGAGAAATAGATATTTATCAGAAGCTAGGGCTCGCGTCAGATGCTACTCAGCTGCAGATAAGTAAGGCATACCGACGTCAGGCACTACAGTTGCATCCAGATAAGAACTCATCGCCAGAAGCCAACAGTGAATTCCAGCTCCTTAATGTCATCTACAGCATCCTTTCAGACCCCGACATCCGTACACGATATGATAGGCTCCGAGCCAAGGTTTCAGAGGTTTCTGATGGGTCTACTTGGGAAGATCGAGCGCAGGAGTTCCGAGTAAAGCTTCAGAAGGCAGAATCTGACAAAAGAACACGAGCCGCAAAGGAGCAGTTGCTGAATGCTGGCAATGCGACCAATTTGGCCAAGTTAGAAATGGCAGGACTCCGTCTCAGGTACGAGTATCAGCTGCTGCGCCCAGCATCTAAAGACTACGTGTCTTTTAAAGATCTCCATCAGAACCAGATAATTCAACGTTTATCTCCTTCAAAACAGGTGGAAGTACAATGGAAACAGAAGGAAGATGAGGATGCAATTATCGACGATAAGATTTTGGGAGCGATCATGTCAATATTTGGAGTGGTGGTACTGAGTCACACGACCCACGTACTGGCACGTTACGCAGTGGGAATTGTCGAGTTCGAGAGAGCTGAGGATGCCCAAAGGGCAGCCAGTCACAACTTCAAAGAAAGTGCCAGGCTCTGGGATGGAAGCAAATACCGCAAGCGTGCTAGTTTATTGCGAGCTTGTAAGGTTGTCCATGTGAACCCAAGTATCATGTCAATAGTAGATCTGCGATAAGCAAACAAGGCATAGATAATGACAATAATGGAAGACAAAAGAACTTAGGACAAATAGATTCAAATTTAGACAGGAGACACTAGATACTTCTACAATTTACATGGTTAACTGAACTAAACTGTACATTAGTGAACTCTACCGCTCTATTCCTTTCCTTCGGCGATGGCATCCGACCATCTGAGTCGGTACCAACATGAACGTATTATGCTATCTACTGGAGGTAGAAATAGGCTCCAGCAACCAAGGCAAGCACAGCAGCGGCAAGCAATGGGAATGGGATACCAGAAATGTCAGACGAACCAGAGGCAGACGTGACACCCTTCTGCTCGACGATAACACCTCCTTCAAGCTTACCGATCAACAAGCCCTCCAAGATCTCATGTGCATCATCAGAGTGACCAATGTCGTTGAAAGCTTCAGTGGCGTCGGTGCCTGCAACATCAGCAATCACCTCTTCTCCACCAGGGTGTTCGTCCAAGTAAGAGGTAACGTCGTATACTCTGCCGTTGTAAACAATCCACAAGTCATCAGTGGTGTTGTGCTTCTGCACCTCCTCGATGGTGTAGACTGTAGTTTCTGCTGTTTCGGACATTGTGGGATAAGAAAAAGTGACGTGTGGCGGAAACGAAGAACAATCTGGGTTGTTATACTATCTCGTATCCATGTGATTGGAAAAAAGTTCCTGAGCCCAGTCTATGTACACGACCCAATCAAGTTATCCGTAATGGTCAACGTTCGCACCTGTGAACTGGATTAGGAAAAGTTTGCCATGTGTTGGGTTGACATTTTATTCGGATAGCTCTAGAAGGCTGCTATCACGGTGTCGAGAAGATGTGAGGTGGTTGATCTCAGGAATGGGGGTCGATTATTTGTTCTTCATCTCTCGTCAGTTTTTCTTTTCTTTCTTTTTTTTGTTTAATCTGAAAGTGGGCCCAACACTTGATCTGTGCGCAGGGCACCTAGACGGTTTCTCTGACTTGTCTGTGTCACATGATATTTTTTCACCATCCACCAATTATCTCCGGATGATAGAGGGGATGATTGTACCTCAATCAGGCTACCGAGGTATCAGGCTTCGTTAAGCGTAATTAAAATCATTAAGTAAAACACAAATTGGAATACAAATTGTAGCTTCAACGCGTATCTTCAATACTTTAGACGTTCGCCTTCACAATTAAGGTGTCAAACAATTGTCTCATGCCCAATCTTAGAAGTTGCAACTCGTCCTGCGACTCCACAACATCGTAAGGCAACACTAACATATCGTTCTCAAGCTGAATATCTTTAGCTGTGGACTCAGCAATGAATTCTTCCAACGTTCTGATGTAGTTGATTTCAAGATCGACGTTGGGACCGGCCGACTTGATATACTCCTCAAACTGACTCTCAAACTCCTTGTTTTGGTTTCCAGCGGAACGAATATGAATGTGCACATTATGGTGGGTCACTGCTAACTTTCTCACCAAGTGCAAGCAGATCAAATCCGTAGAGCTCAAGAAATTATCGTGGTTTAACACGCAATGGATAGCTTTGAAGGATTCAGTTCTTGCAGGCTGACTAGTAACCAAAACTCCAACATAAGCATCCACTTCTGTAAATAAGTCCTTGTAGGCAGCCATGGTGACTTCAGACTCCTCTGGTGACAATAAAAAGCTGCTGACCGACGTCAAAAGAAAATTGGACGAGCTGGTGATCTGATCATTCACTGTGGCTGCAAATGCCCGTTGGGGAGCCAAAATTGACTTTGCAGAGAATTTAATGTTGAGCATGGAGCTAAAAGCATTGACGATGGCCAAAATAGATGTCGAATTGGCGAAGTCTTGTTCGTTGTTCCTTGTTTCCTTCTCTCCAGCGCTCGAAGCTTCCAACAAGTGCGAAGTTCTTGATGTGAACTCACGAATATGGATCGCACGAATTTCTCTGTCTTGACTATCAATTTCCAAATCTCTGATGAGATACATGAGCTGCGGAATAGTGTCAATCTTTTTCAACAAGAGGACAATAGCCGAGAGGCTGAAGTTTGATAAGTTATCCACCGTCAATTCATTGGTTGTAAGCAATTCATGCTCCCCATTTTCAGCACTAGCGTAATATTTGGCAAGTTTCTCTCGGTAACTCACAGGATAGACCCAAAGCGTTAAAGGAGTCGTCAAAAAAGTGGTGACCAACGTCATAACAACAAACATGGAGTATACTCTAGACGAAATAATGTGGGCATTTAAACCAACATTCAACACCACAATTTCCACAATACCCTTACACGACATCAAAACACCCACACTTAAGGACTCTCTCCAGAAAAGTCCATTTGCTTTTGCTGCAATAAAACCGCCAGCGATCTTACCAACCATTGCCAATAAAATGATACCTATGGTATAAGCCCAGTCAATTCCGGTATTAAGCTGTCCAAGATTCACACCCAAACCAGCAAGGGTAAAATATACTGGAATCATCACAATGTACACCAAGTCCTCAAGCTTTTCTGTGATTCGAATCACAAAACCATTGTCGCGAGGTAAGATAACCCCAACCATGAATGCACCAAAGATCGGGTGAACTCCAATGATATCAGTGTAGAAGGATGAGATGAACACGAGAACAAGAATAAGCAACATCAGTAATTGTGATGGTTCTCCTGTAGTCAATTCATTGGTGAATCTTCTGAGGTAAAATGTGATGGCCATCCGGACGGGATACATCAAAAGTAAAAACCAAGCCAACGTCAAAAGGAGAATATAAACAGTGTTCACACCATTACCTGCGTTTGCCAAAGTCACTACGAGTGCAAGCAAGATCCATCCGGTCAAGTCATTGATGATACCTGCTGACAACACAACATTACCCACCTTATCGCCAATCAAATTAAGTTCCACAAGAATTCGAGCTAAAACTGGGAAGGCAGTAATACACAACGCCACCGCAATAAACACCATGTATGTGGTAAACTTAACAGGCGGCAAATCAACCTCAGTCAATCTATAGTGATCGTATAAACCTCTGGCAATCCCACATCCCAAACCAAATGGAATGGCCATATTAATAATCCCCACGGAGAAAGCCGCACGAGCGTTTTTCTTGATGTAGTTCAAGTCCACTTCTAGCCCCACAATAAACAAGAACAAGATGATTCCCACGTTAGCTACTAAGGTGAGTCCAGGTTTAGATGCTGTGGGGAACACCGTATTGGTAAAATTCGGAATGCGGCCCATTACGGTGGGTCCAAGAATGATACCCGACAACACCTCTGCGATGACACGAGGCTGTTGGATCTTCTTGAGCGGGAAATGGAGTAGTTGGGCAAAAAAGACAATGATCACCACTTGAAAGAGGAAGATCGTGTAAGGAGATGAAGCGGAGTACTCCAAAGGGTTGCGTCCGGAGACGATTCCGGCAATGGCGCTGGTACTTACAGCCATCGAAGACGATTTTCTGGGTTGTTTGATCGAAATTAGGAAAACGGGTCAAATTTTATTAAGAGAATGTGTACAATGTCGTGTATGCATTAAAGACAATAAAGTCAGGCTTTGGCTGAGTTGCACAGAGAATTGTGAGGCTGTATACAGAAGGTGGGGTGGAGGGGAAGGATCGCCCTGGTATTTGCCTGGTCTGCATTTGTCGGAAGGTGCCATGCATATGTGACTTGAGGTGTTACCATTCACCCTTGCATCCTCTGTAAGCTCTCAACTAGATGCTCAACTTTTAAAGCTGCGCCTCCAAGTTGATCAATAAGCTGTAAGTCTCTCTTGGCATTTTGTACTGAATCATACCGGCGTACACCATGCAATTTTTAGCAATTTGCTTCAAGTTGTGCACCTCGAATCTTTCGTGATCTGCAGCACCATATCTCTTTGTCAAGATGGAGTAATTCATTTGGGCGATACATGTCATGACAATAATTAACAACGAAGGAATTACTCGCAAGAGACACACGTCATAGTTAGCCAAAGCTTCTGCAGAGTGCCTGATGTCAACAAAATCGTCTGATGAAACGATTGGAATCAATCCCAAATCCTTCACTGCAGAGAGGGTGCCCTGCCAATCTTTCTCAATAAATTTTTGTCTGATGTCCACAATTGGTAGTAAGTAGCCGTTGATTTCACGTTGCTTTGAAGACACCTTCTCGATGATGTAGCTATTATTGTTGAAAGTTGTCATAATGCTCTTACTGAGAAGAATTATGTTGTTGTCCACTGTCTCTTCCGGTTTAAGAGCACCCGTGCTGGTCTTGAACTCCGCTCCAGTCAAGAGAGGCTTGTCCAATTCGTTCATCGAAATGACCTCACTTAAGAACTTGTTAAGAAGAGACACCACCGTGTTATACTCCTGGCAAAGCTGGTAAAGACGTAAGGCATCAAAGATTCTTCCTTCCTCTTCACACCTGCTGGCACTTACCTCGATGATTTGATGGTAGAAGTTCTGTAATTCTGGCAAGTTAATCAATGATCTCTGTGTCTTTAAAATTCCTGACGAGCTGTCGCCATTTTCGGAGTTTAATTCTCCCAATAGAAGGCCGAACTCTCTTGAAAGGAGAATGAGCTCACGTAAAGCTTCGTGACACTTGGCAGTTTCTCCCGGCGAGTGACCTCCCTTCGACATACAGATCAAAATGAGGTATTGAGCAGCGACCTTGGGGTCACTGATCTTGAAAGTACGCGTGTATGATCCCAACAATCTGCTGAAATTGATCTCATAAATGTCTTCTGCGGTGATGGAGACAAGCTCATCTGTTTTTGTGGACGATACTCTCAACAATCCATAATAGCCCAATCCGGTTGCCAAATGCACTGCGTCACACTCATTGCTGAATTCATAGACATATTGAACTGCAGTTTCGTATAAACCAAGCATAATCAAACTTTTGGCATACAGCGGGTTGTTTGAAGATGCATTGAACTTGTTTGGACCCAAAGAAACCACCTTTTTCTGTAAGTTTTCTAAAGTGTAGTTCTCGTAAATTAAACTTGAGGATGCCTCAGGGTTAAATTCGTTGATGAGCAGCAAGTGGTACCATAACCAATCCTCAATACTCAAGTTGATAGCGTTTGGCAACGACTTCTTGGCCAAATCACATTTACCAACGATTTTGTAGACCGCATATTTGTATGGATCAAGATTTGTGGAGTCTTCGTTCAAGAACTGGAAAGTTTGACTGAAATCAGAAGAAATTCTTGCTTGCAATTGACTAGGCAATCCAAATCCATCAGCTTTGACGAACGCATTCAAGTAGACAGGGAAATTGCTATCAAACTTGTCGAAAGCATCTCTGTTGACGGCTGTGAGTTCGATGGCCTCAGCATAAAGACCACTTCTCATCAAATAGAAAAGAAGAGCCCAGATTGGAACGCCATTGATGTTCAAAGTACGCTTCATGTACTCTTCGTTGTTATTTTTGGTAATGACCTTATGGATGAAAAACAGCACCTTGTTGATATTGTTAGCTGGAAGATAGACGTCGGGCTTTTTATCGTCCTTGGTGTAGATCTCATCCATATATGCGAAAAACTGACCCTCCAAGTACGCTCTTGAGGTCAGAACTATGCGTTTTTTCAATTTGTTTCCAATCTTTGCACCGCTGTATTCATCAAAAAAGAGTTGCTCTTGGTTGACTTTAACAAATCTCTCATTGCACAAGTCTGCAAGAATTCTCCACACCTCGCCCATCTGTTTCGACTTCAAGTCGGCATTGGATTTGTTTAATTCTTCAAAGCACAGACATAAAGGAAAATTCTTGTCCTGTAAACGGGCCTCATTGAGGTTATAAATCACCTTGGCGTGGCTCTCGAACTTGTCTCTGCTCAACTGTCTTGTGGAAGATGACGCGCCCTTAGCAACCAATGGGGTCAAAATTCGGTAGTTGCCAGGCAAAGACTTGTTCCAAGCAAAAGACTTGGCCAACTCCTCATTGGTGATCTTGTTCTTGATGGGAATACCCAAAGACTTTTTCAAGTGCTCTTTCCGCACCTTCCAGTCGATAACTACGTTCTGATTGATGAACTGATCAAAGTCTTTGGATGCAGAGGCAAGTGACTGCTCGATCGCATTTAGAATATTCTCTTCCTTTTTAGCGATCAAGTAGTTTTCTATAGACTCTGGTCGATCAGCAGGCGCAGAGGACACGGAAGTGTTGTCCAATGCATGTGTTCTAGTAATGTCTGCTCCACTGGAAGAGAGATGTTTCAATTCAGATTCAATATCCGCGGCATTGATTCCACTTCCCGAGAGCAAGTAATGTGCCTGGGTGTAATTTCCACTAACATTATCCTTTTTCTTGAACATCTGCAGCTTGTTCTGCAACTCATTCAAGGGCATGTGGATAGATCCCAAGTTTGCATTGTCCAATTTGGGCAAATTGTTTGCGGAATCTAATAAGTCTTTCAAGATTTTCGTGGACGATGCGTCTGGGGCAATTTCAGAAGGCAACGTGCTGGAAGAGGAGATGCCACTGAAATTGGACTTCCCCAAACCCAGAAATGCAGACGTATTGGTGTTAGTCTGGCTATTCTGAGCATTTTGACCATTCTGAATGTTGGTTGAAAACGTCGATGCTTGAGTTTGAGGCGCCGTTTGCGGGGCAGAAGTGGACCCAAAAGAGAAACCCAGACCTGAAGAAGGCGGCTGTTGTTGCGCAGGTTTAGAGCCAAACAGAAACATCGGTGGTTTTTGATGGTGTACTCTTGACGATGTTATTGTCTTTGACCTCACTGTTAAGTTGCAGAGTGAGCCCGCGAAGAAGGTTACCCGGCGCGAAAAAAATGCTACTTGAAGAGCGAAATTCTCACCAGGCAAAAGTTTTTTCTTCTCAACTTTGTCCAAAAGTAATCCATCACATTAGACAGTGCATCGTTATGGTCTGGAGGACGTTTGTGGCTTGTGGGCAGTTCTTGCTTGGGGGCCACGCCGACTGAATCTGACATTTAGTGTAAATGAGTGCGATAGCTGATGGAGAGAAGAAAACTATGGATCTTTAAGAACCTGTCTGGATCGCAAGAGCTGAAAGAGAGGTGTCAGTAGGTTCATACATTTTAATTATTTTTCTCTGTTTATTATTATTACTATTAGTGTTCTTTTCTTTTTGTCTTCTATCTTCAGTGTTGTAGCTATTTTTCTGGCACTGATCTTGCTAAAGGCTGCAACTAACGCAAAATTACTGTTGTGAGGCTGTTTCTGTGGTGACTCTAGCACTGCTAGCTACTGAATTTTGACTTCATAGTCTCAGTGTCGACCGAGAGTTCAAATGGGTCGGACGTTAGTACTAATCCGTCACATCTCGTGTTAAGTACCACTTGGGATTTGTGATGTTCTGAGCTGTATCACTTTTTTCTTGACCCAATAAGAAACATCAGTTTGAATAAGTAATGTGATTAGTATATAACAAGAAGTAAAGGATGCCAGCAGTCTAGTCTCTTTTTGTTGCAAATCTAATCTAAAGGTCTGTCAAACAAACATCGGGGAACTCCTCCTCTTCGTTGTTTCCGAGACCTCCAGCAAAGTACTCTCTGCATGAGTACTTCTTGATGGGGAAGAACCAGTAGCCGAGTGCCCAACAGATGTAGATGGCATACACCACAGGAACATAATTCATGGTGCCGGCAGTAACTGGCATGAATGTAGGGAATGAGAAGAAAATTAAGGCGAAAAGGGCCCAGGAAATGGTCATGATGTTGGCGAAAAGTCCAAGCTTGCCCAACCAGAAACATCCGTGCTTAATGTTGTTACGGCCCCTGTAGAGCAAACATCCAGTGGGCACCAAGTAACTCAACAACAAGAAAGTAATGCAGCCTACTACCATGGAGTTGAAAGCCGTGCTGGATGCCAAGTACAAGCAGCCCAAAACAGCGACAATGGCGGAAGAGAACAAATGTGCGTTCAATGGAACACCTAAGTTAGGGTCAATAATGGACAAGTACTTGGAAAATGGCAAGCCGTTGTCTCTGCTAAAAGACCAGCACAATCTTGCCTGCCAAGTATGAGCCGAAATGGTGCATCCGCAAGCGGTGAGGAAAAGCAAAGAGCCCAAACAGAGTGTTCCCGCCTTGTTTTTCAAAGCTTGGTAGTAGATATCCAAGATTGGCAAGCCAGTACCACTATTGATAATAGCATCCAAGTTGGTGACGCAGAAGAACATGGCAATGGCGTAAGACAATGCGGTGACCAAACCAATGGTCACAGTACCCAAAATTGCAATAGGGATAACTCTGTCTGCTCCGTGAACTTCTTCAGCCAAGTGAGATGCAGAGTCAAGACAAGAGAAACTCCAGTTGGGATTAACCAATCCAACAATGAAGGCGATTCCGGCCGACTTCCAGCCTGTGTTGTTCTCGAAATCTTTGAAAACAAAGCTTGCGGTATTGTAGTTTCCTCTGGCACACACCAACACGGTGATACTAATGACCACGTAGGAAAACAAAGAGGTATACAAGGCGGAGTTAGCGATGTAGGGCAAGTATTTACCGTAGCAGTTGAACAACACCAAGAAGACGTTGATCAACTGGTAGATTACAAAGAGCTCCCACGGTTTGGTTACGTGATCTGGATGAGACAAGTTCCAGAAACCCATGAGCATCTGAGCAATACTCAAGGCCATGGAGGCCGAAGTGAACAAAGATCCGGCCCATGCCAACGAGCCACACAAGTAAGCCAAAAAACTGGAGTACTTTCTTGGTGACAATACTCGCGTCCACACGTACTGGCCACCAGCGGAAGGGATAGCACTAGAAAGTTCAGATAAGGTGATACCGATGCAGTAGGAAATGAAAGCGATGATGATGATTCCGTAAACGATCAACAAGGGACCTCCAGACTGGATACCTGTGATCAACGAGGCGGAAATACCGAACCAAGAGTTAGTCAAGCCGAAACCGATACCGAGAGTCGACCATACTGAAAATGTTCTCTTGAGTTCTCCACCCTTGTGTAAAGATGGGGAAGGACCATCGAGGTTTTTCTCGTGGTCGGAAGTGAATACTGAGAGTCCCACGTCTGGGGTTTTGTCGAGACTTTTGTCGAAATCCTGCTCAGAAGTCATGGTTACGAAAAAAGTTTGGCTGGGGAAAAAAAAACTCCGGATATCTTGACCCTAAATAGTAGTAAAGTCGCGAGACAGGAGCAAGAACAAAAGAAAAAAAATTAAAAAAAAAAAGGGCAGCAATGTGCGCACCAGGCAGGTTAGAGGGCTAAAATCACATGCTTGCCCCATATTATTGATCTGACTGCGATCGTATATGGACAACAAGTGTAGGTGCCCTGGAATTGAACAAAGTGGGAACGGAGTCAAGTAGGAGATGAGATGAAATTTGACACATGTGGATTGGCTGAGAAAAGACTACAGAAGAAATTGGCGAGATATAGGAGAGGAATCGCTGTCAAACATCGATACTTCGCTTCCATGTATCCTATCTATAGTGGAACTTAGCTCATCGTAAATGCAGCTCATGACCCAACATGGGACGGAGAAAGCCGGAGTAAGCTTACGATTGGCGGAGACGTTATCTGGGAGATAGTGACGCCGCAGAGGCCCGGATAATATGTGAAACGTTACTTCGGGGTCTGCAGGGCCCTGTGGCTCTTGAGGTGCCTGAATGAGAGCCGTATAGTATGGGTGACAACGCTCATTGGCGATGGATACCTTATAGGGTAGTTTGTGGGATTGTGTTGGTTTTATTTCTTTTTTTTTTTTGCAATTCAAGTGTTGTGTATTTCATATGTTGTGTATCTTTATGAGGTATCTGGACATGTTATTGACGTGTCACAATGTGCCATCTTAATTGCTAAGCTGAAATGACCTTGGACTTAATCAACATAGATCGGGTGATAGGTCGCCAGAGAAAGTTCAAAAATTAAAAAATTTACTGAGCAAAGAACGAAAAGAATAATACTCATACTGTTTTAGATTCTCTTCTTCTTGTTTTAACATAGAAGTTCATTCAAGCCAACAACTATTTTCTTGACTTACATATCAAGATCGATTCCCTCATCTAATTATCCATTCAAAAATATTCTAAGTTTTCAAAAGATTCACTAGAAAGTGTAAATAATACTCTACATCGTTTCATTTCACTTCTCAGCCCCATGTAGATTACTTCACAACAACTTGAACTTTTACATTGGATCTTGATATTCCAAATCTACACGCAGTTCTGTGGTGATAACCTTACGGCCTCAAAATTTTCACTTTTGAATTCCTAACTATCTTAACAAAGCCTGGTATCTCACCATCTACCTATGCTGATTTTCTATCTTCAATAAATTGGAAATTTGTTTCCCTTCCCTAGTCTGACCTGCTAACACTATTCTTGGCTACTTTTCCCTTTCCTCATGTCAAATTCGCAACTATTTCCCATTTTGGTCATTTTGTCGGTGTATGCTCAACATACCCACAGAACAAATTACCGGTTTATAAATAGCAAACCTACCCAAAACCTCCTTCAAAACATATAAAATATCATCAAAGCCACATTCATAAACCAGTCTTCAATTGGCTTAATTACCAACTAAATAAAATAATCATAAATCCGTTGCTCCTCTCTGTCTACTCATCCCCCACTGACTCCGCGCAAACATAGTTACCTGCACCATTCACAAGCTTCAAATCTACTGATCCTACTACCTACTCCTTGTACAATGCAATACGTGGGAAAGGTTGGTGACTACGTCTACAACCAATGGAATTCGTTGAATCCGGCCACTCTTTCAGGTGCCATAGATATCATTGTCATCGAGCAACCAGATGGAACCCTTCACACCTCTCCATGGCACGTTCGTTTTGGCTTGTTCCAAATTATCAAGCCGCTGCAGAAAAAGATCGACTTGTATGTCAATGACATCAAGACAGATTTGCCCATGAAGTTGGGTGAAGGAGGAGAAGCCTTCTTTGTGTTTGAGACCGATGCTGACGACTTGGCTCTGTCCTTAATGACTTCCCCCGTTGTCAGTGCTGAAAACTCTCCCAATTCGTCGCCACTGACATCTCCGAGAGCATCATTTTCAGGTACATCGGGTAAGAATGAACCGGATGATTTGGATTTGAACGAGGAAATCAAACTCACCGCCGAGGACCTCGAGGGTAAGATTAAACTCGACAACTCGCCTCCGCCAGCAATGTCTTCTGCGGGATCCAGAAGCGGTACACCAACACTGATTCTGCGACTAGCATTTGAGAGAGCCAAGAAAATTACTCAGCAACTCAATATTCCCTCTAAAATTGATGTAAATGGCGACATGGTCCTAGACATGGATGGTTACAAACCTAACTCTCAGAAGAATATCGACGAATCTGATGAACTTGTGCACAAGGTCTTTTTGAAGGAGATGAACAGTCTTTTGGAAGGCAAGGAACCCATGGTGGATCATGATAGGGAACAAGAAGCCGATGAAGAGTACAGTTTACTCCACAGTGTCATCACCAAGGACAAGGATGGAAACATCCGTATTGTGAATAAAGATCCTGAATATGGACCGACCGATTCAGATCTTATTGACTCCGAGAACTTAACTTTCCCTGATGAAACCGTCGAATCTAACCAGGAGAGTTCAAGCATTCCAGATGAGAATTCCAAAACCTATTTTAAAACATTGAGATTGACGTCTGAACAGTTATTGAGCATGAAGCTTCACTATGGTAAGAATCAGTTGAAGTTCAAGCTGACCTCGGGTTCCGCTGAAATCCTTTCTGACTTATATCTTTGGAAGTCCACCACACCAATCGTTATTTCAGATATCGATGGTACCATCACCAAGTCCGATGCCTTGGGCCATGTACTCAACATGATTGGTAGAGATTGGACTCACCCAGGTGTTGCTAAATTGTTTCAGGATATTAGCATGAACGGCTACAACATTCTATACTTGACGGCCAGATCTGTTGGTCAGGCCGATACAACCAGACAGTATCTTGATAGTATCCTTCAAGAAGGCGTAAAATTGCCGAAGGGCCCAGTTATCCTCAGTCCAGATAGAACCATGGCAGCTTTAAAAAGAGAGATCATCTTAAAGAAACCAGAAGTTTTCAAAATGGCATGCTTGCGTGACATCAAGAGCTTATTCTTTTCTCCACAGTCTCCTTTGACCCAAGATGACATTGAAGATGATCGTACCCCTTTCTATGCTGGATTCGGCAACAGAATCACAGATGCTATCAGTTACAGAAGTGTTAAGATTCCTCCTCATCGTATCTTCACCATCAACCCTAATGGAGAAGTTCATATGGAGTTGTTAGAGCTCGCGGGGTACAAGTCTTCCTATTTGCACATAGGAGAATTGGTTGATCAGTTCTTTCCTCCATTAAAGTTCATCAGTGCTTTCAATAATTACTGGAACGAAGACCAACTCAATCAATACATGGAAAAGAAGGATTCCAGCGAGCGTGGAATTGCCCCTGTGCCTGGATCGCCCCGTTCGATTGATATTCCGGGCTCTCCCAGAAGTGTGACAAGCTTCCACGAAGAGTCAGTGTACAGAGCGGATGAGAAATACACCGATTTGAATTATTGGAGGGATCCTATCCCTAGCATGAGCGATTTCAGTGACTTAGAGGATGATGAGGCAGAGCCTGAAGAGCTTAAGTCTACACCCTCGTCGCCAAAGGTTGGATATTCTAGTGTTCCAGCATCACCATCGCAGTTGTCAGTAAACTCCAGTTCCAGCAGTAGACTGCTGCCAAAAGTGAAGGAAAGACCAACCTCAGGTTCATTTGCATCTCCTTTGAAAAGTTTCATGATGCGTGGAACGACGAGAACTCAAGAACCGAAGGCTTTAGATATTCCATTGAGTTCTCAAAAAGCCAATTTGCTAGATGATGACGACGACTATGATGACTACACAGATGATGATTACGATGACTACACTGATGGGCAGGAGGACATCGACGATGATGATGAGGAAGATGACGAGGAAGATGCAGATGACTATGAAGATGATGACGATGACGACGATAACGATGAAGATGAAGACGACGAGGAAGAATTTGATGGAGAGGATGTTGACGAAGAACCTTCATACAGTTACGACATAGACTTCGATGATGATGATATTGATGAAGACGACGCACTTCCCAAAGCATCTCCAAGAGCACAGGCATACGCACCCAACAGCCCACCTCCTGAGACAGACAGTGACGTTATCGTCTCCAAAGCAAGCGACGTTTTGAAGAAGATATTCGATTAGTCTCACCTGGAAGTTCCAGTTGTCAATTTTCCTGTACACTGAGGTCCCTGCCTAATGGGTATTCTCTGTCAATAGCAAACAAAGGAAACCGACTTAGTACTCGTAAGTAGACCGAACCAAACAGCTTCTCGCAATTCAGTAGTCCGAAATCTTCCCCACTTCTCGCGAGGTGATGTTGGTCATTTTGTCTAGCCTGTTCGTAATTCGGTTCGCTAACTACCTGTCACTTAAGCACAGACACATGATGGCTATGTGAAGGTCATAGACCTTCCAGATTCCCATTAATAGAACATAGCCCACCTCATAGTGTAGTACTCGCCGCTTAGTGTCGGTAAAAAGAGCCGTCAAGTCTAATTTTCTGACCTTTCTAATCTTTTGATGCGCTACTTGGTACAATTTAAGGCAAGACTTGCTTTGCTCGTCTTGGCCCTACTAACACTATGGGTCATAGCAACCACCTCAAGAACTTTGTCGTTTAAGGTCAAGCATACGAAGAGTCCTCGTCAGGTGGATCTCGTCGTTTTTCCACTCAATTTCACAAATGAGCCAGTGTTGTCACTTCGAAAACTGTTCCCTTTACTCAGGTCAAAGGAATATGCTCAAGCAAGGCTTCAACTCGGACCATCAACTTCGGCAAGCAACTTCAAGGCACACTATGGCCAGGGATCCTCGCACCCAATTCAGTTGTTCAACCTGGACCAATTCATAAATATGAATATGGAAAAGTGTGGAGCTCTTGAGAAGAATCTCACAGGTATCAGAGTGTCAGACAAGATATCTTTAGGCACTTCAGTTAAGAAAATTGTCCGGCAGATCATCGAGGGTATTGATAGTGGGTATGACACCTACCTTCAAGAAATGGCTCCTTACTTCATTGAGCAGATTCGCTTACAGTACCACTTTGATGTCTGTGAGAAACATTGGTTCCGCATGGCTGGGTCCTCAGTATGGCTAGAAGCTTACGGGGTACATATGATGGTTTCAAGACTAGCATATAGTCCCGATGGCAGCAGAAACAACCCAAAACTTTCATTTGTCTATACTGAGTTATTTGATTCCAACTGGGAACCCGTCACCCTCAGCTTGGTGGTGCCTTCCAATAGAGCGCAAGGTTATCGTTTTTTCGAGCACAATGGTCATGGATATACCATAGTCAATTATCCCATCATTCTTCCTATACCATTTTTTCATGACTACGATTATAACGAAATGAAATACCTTGGCCCCGAAGATGCTCGGGTCATCTTAGTGAAGAATCCTGCGGGCCACGAAGAGCCACTCCTTGTATTCAACGCCTGGCACCAAAAACTTGCCTATTTGGATGATGACGAGGACGAATACTTAGTGAAGAAAATGCAAGAGTACCGGTCAATGTGGGTTGGTTGGCCATGGCAGTATCAGCGAGGAAAAACAAATGTGGATGGCTTTGCCGATAGCAGATTCGATACTCTAATGTATAACCGGGTAAAAGAACTCATGATCAAGAATATTCCTCGCCAGGTCAAACAGAAAAACTGGACTCCATTAATCAGCGAGATGCTAAGGAGCAAACTGGGATATGACAATGAGCTTCTTTTCATTTACAGATGGGCCAATCTACAAATTCTTAAGTGTGACTTGGTAGGTGAAGGACGTTGTGGTTTTGTCTACAAATTAAACAAGAGATTGGTGACTTCTTCAAAAGTCGGACCATTACGTGGTGGAACACAGCTTATCAATATCAATCAGTTGATTGCTTCTTCCAGCACCAAGGAAATTACGGATAAGCTCATTCCTCCAGGTAGAGAGATTTGGATTGGTTTCGCTCGAGCACACTTGGTGAAGTGTGGCTGTGGTAATGACCTCTACAGACCGAATTTGGTGGTAATAACCAAGGACACTGTTACTGTTGATGGAACTTCCACAGATCACTACAAGGTAAGTCATATCTCTGGGTTCATGTCACTTAATGTGGAAATCATTTCTTGGAACCCAAATAGACCTTATGAGTTGTGCTCGGGCACAAATGCCTTGATTCCAAATGGTATATCGAAGTGGGATCTTAAGGTTGAGATGGACCAAAATGGGAAAGTACGTTTTTACGACGAGGTGCATCTAGCTATATCAGTCTCTGATTCCACGATAGATGGTATCAGTATGAAGGGATTGTTGAATTCGTTGATCAGCTCCCAAAATACTCTTTTCATGACGACTGACGAACTCAACGACAAAGCAAAGCAGGACTTGCAAATCCCGATGTCGGAGGATAACCTCGAAGGTTTAGGCTACAATAACGATAACATAATCTGCGCGATGGATGCTTCTTCCAGATTTTGTTCCGAATATGGAGACGAGAAGATCAGAATCGAAAATGAAAAAGGAGGTAATTATAAAGATAATGAAGTTGACACTTACGAAGAGAAGATGGAGGATTACAAAGCTGCATTATTTGATCTTGGATATGATTATTAGTTTTCAATGCATACTCTAGGAATTGTACTTGCATTTACCCAAAATTCGTTGAGCGGTAGATTGGCCATTTCGTTTTGGGCATTAACTTCACTCGTGGGCTAAAAAACTGAAAAAAAAACTCCGATACGGGGAATCGAACCCCGATCTGCTCGGTGAGAGCGAACCGTGATAGCCATTACACTATATCGGATATTGCGTGGCTTCTAATTTTGCATAATAAATATACCTTATATTTACAAGATAAACACTCAGAATCTTGATATTCTTTTAATAATGTGAACTTTTGGTCGTAAAATGTTATTGAATAGCTTTCAGGGTTGAAAATTAGAGAATTTGAGCAATTCTGTGAGAAAAGATGGATATGTATTAATTTAACGGAAGAGTGTGCAGAGAAATGGGTGGTTGGTGTAATGGTTAGCATTTCTGCCTTCCAAGCAGGAGACATGGGTTCGATTCCCGTACCACTCATATTTTTTTGTTTATTGTCTCTGTTAATCTTATTTTGAGCTAGGTATCATCCCCGCACTGTCATTTTGATTATATACCTTGTAGTTCCCAAAATAGTACGTTGAGCTCATTCTCACTATGGTCGTGAATACTTTTCGGACCATCTTTTTTTTTTTTTCTTTTTCCATCTCGATGAGAGATAAAAGCCGAAGAAACATAAATTATAAATATGAATGTTAACTAAATCTGCATCTGTTTCGAAGGCAATTGTGTATTGTCCATGGTGGTACGGCTCTACTCTACTATAGGTGATGGTGCGCGCAGTCCATTTTTGGAAGGTGTTCCGGCCAGTGTGGGGGACTGGCTATATATATATCTGCCATTGGCATGAGGGTATTTCTCAAACTATGTCGCAACTGTTGACATTGAGGGATTGGCAGTACCGCCAAGCAGGAGAAGAAACATGGAACTTGTCGGTTCCAGGCCCGAGTACCCAGATCCATGCTGATTTACTCCACAATAAATCAATTCCGCATCCATTCATCGACACCAACGAAAAAGATATTCAATGGGTGGGAGAAAAAGATTGGGAGTACCAGGTACAATTTGAAGTTGACAGGACCCTCGAGCAATTGAACAGCCATGTGCTTGTATTCGAAGGTTTGGACACTTTTGCTAGTGTATCTCTTAATGGAGTAGAGATTTTGAACACTAAAAATATGTACTGTGAAGATCGGGTCGATGTCAAAAAGCTACTCAAGTTTGGTAGCCACAACACCGTGCATATCACATTTAAGAGTGCATTGTTGATTGCCAGACGCCTTGAAAAGGAGAATGGTAAATTCGTGTGCTGGAATGGAGAAACTTGTCGTCTCCACATTCGAAAGGCACCATACCATTTTGGTTGGGACTGGGGCCCTGTGATCATGACGTGTGGACCATATAAACCTGTTCGTCTTGAGCTGTACAATTCTACGATCGAAGATTTCTACGTGACTCTGAAGTTGACTGACCTGAGCGACGTGCAATTGGAATTAAATTTAACGGTGGATTCTATCAATGAGGTTGATGCAAAGATCGACATCTACTCTCCGGATGGAGAATTAGTAGCTACTGATAAGCTTGCCAACATCACTTCTGGCACAAGTGTGACCAAATTGAAGCTCTCTCAGCCTCAATTGTGGTTTCCACATACCGTTGGAAAGCCTGCGTTGCACACCTTCAAGGTCGAATTGACTAATAAGGCTGGTGTGATCACTCAATTGGAGAAAAAAATTGGCTTGAGAAATGTTGAGCTTGTCCAGGAACCATTAGACAAAGGTACAAGTTTCTACTTCAAGGTTAATGGCGTCCCAGTATATTGTGCTGGCTCCAATTGGATCCCGGCTCATTCATTGCTGACCATGCTTACCAAGAAGGATTATACTGAGTGGCTTGAGTTGGCAGCTTTTGGAAACCAGTCCATGATTAGGGTATGGGGTGGAGGATACTATGAAGACGATTTTTTCTACGGTGAGTGTGATAGATTGGGACTATTAGTCTGGCAGGATTTCATGTTTGCATGCGGGCAATATCCTGGAGATGAGAAGTTTATTGCAAATGTAGAGAGGGAGGTTACTCACCAACTCCACAGATTGCGCAACTATGCTTGTTTGGCGCTCTTCGCTGGAAACAACGAAGACTACCAAATCGCAGAACAGAGTAATCTTGAGTGGAACAGAAAAGACTTCACAGGCGATTACTCTAAGACAAATTTCCCAGCAAGAACTATTTACGAGCGCACTTTGCCATCTTTGATGAAGAAGTATCTTCCTTCGGTGCCTTATCACCCAGGATCGCCATGGAGTGGAGAGAATCCCACTACAGACCCAACAGTGGGAGACCTTCACCAGTGGAATGTGTGGCACGGAACACAGGAGAAATATCAGGATTGGTATAAGCTTGGTGGCAGATTTGTTTCTGAGTTTGGAATGGAATCGCTCCCTAGTTTGAAAACCTACAAGGAGTGTATCACCAATCCCAAGCAGTTGTACCCACAGAGTGAGTACGTGGACCACCACAATAAAGCTGACGGCTTCGAGCGTCGGCTAGCACTTTATGTGATTGAAAACATTAAAATTACATCATTTGACTTGGACTCGTGGATTTATGCCACTCAATTGATGCAAGCTGAATGTTTAGCTTATGCTTACAAGTGTTGGAGAAGAAACTGGAAAAAAGACAAGCAGAGGGAGACAGGAGGAGCACTTGTATGGCAGCTTAATGATTGTTGGCCGGTAGCCTCTTGGGCAATCGTCGATTTCTACCGTCGTCCCAAGCTCGCATACTATGCTATCAAGAGAGAGTCCAATGCAGTTGCACTTGGTTTGTACCGAAACAAAGTTGGTGGCGTGAAAGACGCAGTTATAGGTGCTCCTCATGATTACAGCAAGGTCACCTACAACTTAGACTTTTGGGGAGTTAATTCATCTTTGAAAGACATTGAGGGTGTTCTCAATGTTGACTTTTATGATGGGAATACAGGAGTAAAATTAGCTACACCATACAACGAAAAAATAATTATCGGAGCCAATTCAAGCACAGAATTTGGAGCTGGATTGGAGATACCCAACGAAAAATGCATTGCATACGCAAGACTTGTGGATTCTAATGGTAACTTGATTGCGAGTGGATCAGACTGGCCGCAACCACTAAAGTACTTGGATCTTCCTCACAAACTAGTGAAGATCGAGGTGGGAAAAGGTAGAATCACTCTTTCGTCGGAAGTTCCAGTCAAAGGTTTAGAGATTCTTTTGCACCTGGACTTATTCTTGGACGACAATGGATTTGATCTCTTCCCCGGAGACACCAAGATCGTCAAGGTTGATGGATTGGAGGAAAGTGCCAAGGTCGACATTCGCTACTACCAGAGCCAGTGAAAATATAGGAGTTAGAAGAAACTTTACAAAAACAGTTTTCGATTTTTTTTTTTTAATCAACTTTTTGGTTTCTTACACGATTGCCAAACGTTGTGTGGCTCGAAACACTCCTATGAGACGGAGAAGCAATATTAAGAGAAAAATCACCATCAGAAAGTCAAGTTCGAAAAGGATTTCAAAGTCTAATAACCCATAAGAACAAATTCTCAGTATTTCAATCAAGCCACACTCAAAGGTTCCCCTAACCACTATAAGCCCCAACCAGCCATTACCCGTTTCTGGCAAAATGTCGTGCACCACACAATACACACAAAGCATCGCAAAATTCGAACTATAATAATTTATCTTTACTACAACCATGTCAGACGAACAATCATACGAACAAGACGCTGTCTCGCCTCCCCAGGATTTCGAGCAACAAGATGCCGCCCCTCAAGTCGACGAGCCTAAGGCTCAGGCTCCAGAGCAACCAAACAAGCTTTTCGTCAGACCTTTGGGTTTTGAGGTTGAGCGTGAACAGGTCGAGGAGCACTTTGGTGAGCTTGGCCCTCTTGCTGACGTCCAGATGATGCGTGGTTATGCTTTCATCACCTATGAGAATGCTGAAGACGCCAGCCGTGCCGTCGACACCTTGACCAACACCGAGCTTGCTGGCCAGCCTTTGCAGATTGAGTTTGCCCGTGAGAAGAAGGAGGACACACGTGGCCAAAACCGTGTTAAGGTGCTTAACTTGCCTGAGGGAACTGCTTGGCAGGACTTCAAGGACTTCGTCAGAGACAAGACCGAGTGTTCGCCATCGTTCGCCAAGGTTTTCCGTGACTACGAGTCTGGCGAGACCATTGGTGCTCTTGAGTTCGCTACCGCTGAGGAGTTGCAGAAGGTTGTTCCTTTGTTGAACGAGGCTGACTTCCAGGGCGCTGTGTTGTCTGCTGAGGAAGACACCTCGCCATTTGTTCCTCCAAGAAGAGATGGAGGTAGAGGCGGCTTCAGAGGAGGAAGAGGCGGTAGAGGCGGTAGAGGTGGCAGAGGTGGCTTCAGAGACGACTTCAGAGGCGGCAGAGGTGGTAGAGGTGGTTTCAGAGACGACTTCAGAGGCGGCAGAGGCGGCTTCAGAGGTGGCCGTGGAGGATTCAGAGATGACCGTGATGGAGGATTCAGAGGTGGCAGAGGTGGATTCAGAGGTGGCAGAGGCGGCTACGACAGAGATAGCTACGACAGAGGCGACTCTTACCAGAGAGACAGATCGCCAACCCGTTACTGATTAACTATTTTTAAATGATTGATACTGAAAATGATGAGAAGATAAAGACAAACCTTGGCGTCCGACTCCGATTATCCAATTTATGATGTATAATAATTACTGTATAACCCTAGTGGGAGGAGCACGATAGAATGATAGAGGGCCCAGGAGTTTATGTTTCACAAAATGTTGATGATTTACGAATAATGAACAATATGTTGCAGAACGTCCACCTGTACAGTGTAGATGGCCCACTATGTATATAAATTTGAGTCTCCACCATCCAGACATGATCGATATATCCAACGGCACCCAGATAGCATATGGAGACGATGTTTTGCAAAAGATTAAGGTGTTCAACTTCTCACCCCACAACTCCCACACCATCGTGTTAATCCATGGTGGCGCCTGGAGAGACCCTAACAACACCTTTCTGGATTTCGAAGACTTGGTTGGGTATTTGCTGAAGGAGCACAATTTGATAGGTGTGAACTATCGACTTTCACCAGATAATAAGCACCCGTGCCACATTGAGGATGTTGTAGCTGGAGTTGGCAAGATCCAGACCTTGGTAGCACCTGGTACTGATTATTCGTTTGTGGGGCATTCGGTAGGTGCCACCCTTCTTCTCCAATTGCTAAATTATCACGAGATTATTGATTTGGGAAACAGGGACTTTACTGTGAGCAAATCGCTCCCTAAGTTGGATTTGAAGATTCGTTACATTTATTTTGTCGACGGGATCTATGATATCCAAGACCTTATTGCCGAGTATGGAGCTCCATATAAACTGTTCGTAGATTGTGCATTTGAGAGCGAAAAACAATATTTGGAGGCCACGCAAATGACATGGAGTCTTTCGAAAGAGTTTTTGTGGGAGTTCAAGGCGGTGGTGATACAATCGGAGGATGACGAACTACTTAGTCAGAGACAATCTGATTCATTTGTTGGCTTTTTGAAGAAAAGACAATGTACAGTTGAATACTTGCAGGGAAACTGGGGCAAACATGAGGAGGTTTACAGACATCCGTATTTAGCTGAGATTATTGAGACCAGGTCTCAGAAACTTTTAAGGAGCGAAGTAGCGGAGTAACGAAGTGGAATGAATGAATGTATGAGTGAATGAGATAGAGAACATCGCGAGGACGCCATGGGCGAAAACACAATAATAACTGAACAAGTACACATAGACAACTAACGAATCGAAAAGAGTCATGAAATACCCATTTATAATATTTATCGATATCATTTCCCATCTTCAGTTTTGGTAGGTAAGTAGGCCATCAGATACAACTATCCAGTTCCTTCACGTCCTGCACATCAAGTCGTGCGCTTCAAGTAACAAAATTTTCCACACAAGAAGACCAACACCCATTAACTTTTAAACACAAAATGTTCCAATCTTGGGCTGATGCAGAGGACGACATTCCCACCCCAGAGGTGACCACAAACCCTGACGGAACCAAAACTGTCGTCAGCTACAGACTCAACGCCAAGGGCCAGAAGGTGAAGATCACTCAGAAAATCAAGGAAGTCAAGGTCAAGGAAAGAGTGCACCCCTCCATCGCCATCCGCAGAAGCTGGGCTAAGTACGGTAAGGAGAAGCACACGCCTCCAGGTCCAGACACCAGAACAACACAGTTGGGAGAAAAGGTGGACTTGAAGCTTGGAGCATCGTGGAAGGAGATCGAAAAGAAGGAGGAGGAAGAGAAGTTGGAGCAGAAGGCTAACTTAGTCAGCACACAGAGACTTAAATGTAGAACCTGTGGTGGAGACCATTTCACATCCAAGTGTCCATTCAAAGACACATTGGGTGCAGAGACTGCTGGTGCTTCTGCTACTCCGGAACCTACCGAGTCTACCAAGTATGTTCCAGTTCACTTGAGAAAGGATGCACCAAGCTTGGAGTCCAGAGACGACTCATGTACGTTGAGAGTGTCGCAGTTGAACAGTGTGGTCAACGAGGACATGTTGAAGCAGGAGTTGTTTGCCAGATATGGCCCATTGCAGAGAGCCACGCTTATCCGCAACAGAGAGACCGGCGAGTCAAAGGGTTTTGCTTATGTTACGTTTGCAACCGAGCAGTTGGCCCAGAAGGCTTTGGACGATTTAAACGGAAAGGGTTACCACTCTTTGATTTTGAGATTGGAGTGGTCCAAGAAGAAGAGAACCTAGCATTTACGGTAATGAAAGAACATAGAGGAAGGTTGTAGGTTTGTTTGGATTAACATTGTTAAGTCCCGTCAAATGTTAATACTGGATTTTTACATGAAGCAAACAAACTCAAGTAGGATGTTCGATCGGATTGTCATCCAGACACTCCTGTGAGATAACCCATCTAACATTCAGATATCTAATCTCTTAAATTCATTTCAACGTTAATTAGGCCAAGACATATGAATTCAGAATGTGCATTTGGTAATTGATTTCTTTTTGTTTCACTTGGATATTTCTATTCATTGTTCTTCCTTTCCTTCCGTTCCTGTTCAAATCTGCAGGTTCCTGCCTTATCTCCATCACCACCGCTCCACCATCAGATACTATCGCCACCAACTGCTACGGCCGTTGATTTGCAAGTCCAAGCCCTTCAATTAATTCATCACTCTCAACCATCTAGTTAATTCCGCCAGTTCCGGCATTCTTCCCCACACTCTCTGAATTAAACATCCTGTAGCAATCATCTCTTATAGTTCGGTCCGGTACAATTTGTCACCTTCTCATCTATAGACTCCACTCTTCCTTGCTCCACACGGATTGCTCTTTCCTAGTTGAAACATATCGAACCGTTAGCTACTTGCTCACCAAACATCATGGCGATGTCTGTGGCGTCCAACTCGTCCCGTAAGCTGAAATCAAGTAGAAGAAGCTTCATAGGCAAATTTCTCCGCAAAAGGCTGCTGCTGGTATCTTCATTGAGTCCCCAGTCTCTGAGTATTGCCGGAAGCTCGGATATTAGCATACAAGCTGCTCAAAATCTCAATATTGATCGTCGCTCACTGCAGACTCTGGCTCGGTCCTTGGATTCTAATGCTTACTTGGACTACGACACTAACTCCATCTACAACCATGATTCAGGTGTGGAAACTGATCCGCATGACGAACTGCTGGACCCACACGATGCAATGCTGGATCCGCATGCCGACATCTTTTCCAACGATTCCGTAGAGGAGTTTGCCTTGAAAAACCAAAAGATTGATTTTCATGGCTTGGAACCTTCTACAACCGGCGAGGACCAGAAGGAAATGCCATGGGCAGGGTTGACCTATGAGGCATTGGTGTTTCCGAAACTTGCAAGGGTTGCTCGCAAAAGTAACAAAAGCCCCAAGCTCTTGAACAACTTGTTCTTGGCTCAGGAACTTCGGAGCAACCCTGCAGAGTCGGTTGAAAATAGTGACGTCTCAGACGACGAAGATGCTCCCGATGAGTCAAGTTTGCAGGAAGAAATGGCACAGTCCATGAATCCCAACGAGGCTTTGGTGATGGAATTTAGTAAGGACGGAAAGTACCTTGCAGTTGCCGGAAGGGACTGTCGAATTACCGTGTGGCAGGTGATTTCGTCTCCACTCAGCAGACTCCAGCATAACAACTACGAGGCTGAAACCGAAAAACAGAAAGAAAAGACAAAGTCCAGGTCGTACCGCTTCGCCCCAGTTTTCCACCTGGAACCCGTGGTCATTTTCGAAGGACATACCAGCACTATTTTAAGCTTGAACTGGAGCAAAAATAACTTCTTGATCTCTGGAAGCATGGACTGGACAGCCAAACTCTGGAATGTGGACCGTGAAGAGTGTCTTGAGACTTTCCAACATGACGATTTCGTTACTACTGTGGCATTTCATCCCACTGATGACCGTTTTTTTGTCAGTGGTTCTCTAGACAATTGTGTAAGATTGTGGTCAATAATGGAGTCATCTGTTTCTTTTGTTAAGAATCTAGGTGACGAAGTGCTCATCACCGCGTTGTCATTCACTCCGACTGGTGGCTACATCATAGTCGGAGGGTTTAATGGTTCGTTGTTTGCACTCGAGACTAACGGTCTTCATTTCATCCACCGAATCGAAGTGAAGGAGAAATCTATCGCACATCCATTCAATCATAAACGGAATCACAAGATCACAGGAATACGCATTTTTGAGAACCCATCTGCTGTTGATGTTGCTCAATCCCTGCTCCAGAAATGGAATATTCTCGTCACGACAAATGATTCAAAAATCAGGTTGATTGACCTTGGCCTCAGGAAACTAGTTACCAGATTTAAAGGCAGCTCTAACACAAGTTCGATAGTGGCATCTTTAACTGATGACGACAAGTATATCATATCAGCTTCTGAAGATCATTGGTGCTATGTGTGGGAGAATAATAATTCCATCATCAACAACAAGTTGCGTACAGCCATAAAGGATATGTATATTGAGGGAAAAACGCAAGTTACGGAAAAACACAAGAAGGTGGTCAAATCATTTCAAGAAAGCAAACTTTGGAAGAAACTCAACATGCAGCATTTCCTTGACGATGTCAACAGCCAAACATTTGTTGCCAACGAAAATAGCAGTTATGCTTCTTTCCATGCACATCATCATAAAGTCAATGCTGCTGTTTTTGCACCCGAGACCACAAAGAAGCTTCTTGAATTTTCGGATGACCTTATTTACGATCTTGTGAAACGAGGTCCAAGCTTGGTAAGAGCTGGTATCGTTAAGCCCAAGAAGACCGCTTCCGACCTAGATTGTGGACATATCATCGTCACATGTGATACCACGGGACTCATCAGAGTATTTCGTCAGGACTCAGCGTTCTACATCCGAAAAGGACTTGTTGAGTTTCGTAAAACTTGCAAATCAGCACGTTGTGCCGATTTGAAGCCACAAGTGAGCAATACCCTAAAGCTAGATATTAGCGGATTGAACAAGAAATTGATCAAGACGAGAAGCTTGAGTCCATCTATTGATCGTTCCCTGACTTTTAAGTCATTCCACAATAAATTGAAACCAAATGGAAGGAATGGTCCTTCCAATCCAAACTTGTATCTGCTCCCAAGACAACAGTCATCAAGAAGCACCCTTGTTGCTGACCATCCAATTGGAAGCAATATTGCTTCCTCGAGCCCCCTGCTTAACATAAGGGAAATTACGAAAACTGTTCCTGGTGCCAAGGAGAAACGACTGGACAATGTCGCATTATCTTTCCGTGATTTTGACGCTCCTAATATTTCCGATGAGTCGACTACAGCAATTAACGTATCGGTCAACACTCCCATGATTGGTGTGTCAGAGTGTACACCTCCAAGAGCAAAGAGTCCTGTTCCAGCATATTCACCCTCAGCCATCCTGTCTTAAGGAATAAGTTCACCTTACGAAGTAACATCTCTATATGTTTATTAGAGTAAATGATGCATGATCTCAATTTTCTACCATAATATCAACTTGAGAAGTTACCAAGTGATCAATATCTTCTTGCTGATTTGATTTCTTTCCTCCCTCCAAAATCTTCTTGTAAAAGTCGCCTAATATGTCAGCGTTGAGCTCCATTCTCTGAAGAATATCAGCTGCGAAGCCACCAGTGTTAGCCAAACTCAATAATTTGACAACGTATACGTACAAGGATTTTTCTGCATCCCATAATACCTGCTTTCTTTTATTCTCCAGTTTGGCCACTTGCTCTGCTTCACGCGCTTGTTCTTCAACCCTTGGATCAATCGTGCCAAGCAAGTCATCCTCCTCGTCATCACTACCACCGAATTCCGTAGGCTCAACATGCACTGGAACTTCAACTACCACTGGCTCCAAAAAGCAAAAGTCTTCTAGGTTGACATCCTCATTTTCCCCTCTCTCTAAAGGTTCTGAAAGTAGCTTAGCAACTTGCGCCTCCTCAATGAGGAAAACATTCAAAAACGAATCTTGAAGTTTTCGAGGAACAGTGCCTTGAACATACTGACCAACACCATCCATGTCAGAAAAGAACGTGTCGAAATTCCGGAAACTATTTCCTCCTCTCAATCTTTGGTAAAAAAACCTCAAGGACAGCATTGCATCAATCAACTGATTGCCTATCAATTTTGAGAGATTCACAAGCTTCTCCACTAGGTGCCGCATTGGGCCACTTGAATCTGCACTATTTTCATTGAGATTCTTGTAAGATAGCTGAACAGATTCGAAAAGTAAAGCCAACGATTTTAAAAGCACGTCAAAATCATCCAAAAACACATCAATGCTGATCTGCAGAGCAGACAGGTCGTTTGAGGCAAAGACAAGGTCTTCAAGTTTCCAGCACAAAGAAATCAAAACAACGTCAAGAACTGCTTTCCACGCTGATTCCATGGAGGACAGGATCTTCAAGTAATTATTTGGCCACAACTCAATGAGCGAACGAAAATCAATTTTTGAAAGAAACTTGGTAGCAATGAAATCCAACAAGCTGCTTTCGAAGTCGAGTATTGGTTCGGTAATGTATTTGTTGATGTTGATCATCTTTGCTATTAGTCCCAACTTCTGCAACGCATTTGAAGACTTAAGAATTTTGTTGCAAAGCATTTTCTGATCTTCTGGTAATATGGTATTGATGTCATCGCCATTAAAATCATCGATCAAATCCTTCGAATTAAATGAGTTCACAGCTTCTGCAGTGAGAGTAGTGAGAAGATCCTCGACTTTCACTGTGATTGCTGTGCTGGATAAGACCTCGGAATCCCTTCCATGATCATTAGAATCCTCAGAGTTGAAGTTCTTCAACATGAGAGCAAAGTATTGCTCATAAATTTTCAGCAAGCTATCGTCGAAGTCCTCAACATCAGCATAGAACTCTAAGATTCTTCCATGTATCAGATTATACTCATCAAGGTTGCCTTCTCTATTATGCATATTTCCAAACGACTGGGAAAGGGGCACTAAAATGATCACCCAGAGATGCATGAACACAACATAGAGATCGGGAGCTTTACTCAGGTACTTTTCAAGCTCGTTTAAGTATTGTGACAACATTGGTAACGCCACAGTTATGTTGTCTTGACTGATTTCATCTTCAGATCTTCTCGACTGTTTCTTAAATCCAATATGTGTAAACGCTCCCAAAATAAAACTTAATAATATCAAGCGTTCAGAGTTGGAATTTATCTCGAGTCTTTCTTTCAACTCATCTTCCTGAGTAAATACGTTCTCAGGGGAATCTTCGTTCTCGAATTTGGCTGACGAGACATCACATAACACGTAACGTATCAAGAGGATCCAGCTGCCCAGTACATCTGAAAGAGGGTACATCGAGCTGAAAAGTTGTGCAACCATTTCGTGAAACTGCAAGTTTTGAGACAGGATCGAAATGCTGGGCCGTTTAGATTCGACGAAATGAGAGTATGACTCCTGGAGATACTTCGCAAGGTTTTTGAATCTGAGACATTGGTCAATCTGGAGTTGATTTTCATCGTCTCCAAACATTGACGAAGTATGAGTACTTAGGAAAACTGAATACCTTTCCAAATCCTTCGTAGTTTTATCGAGGCAAATGAGTGATACTAGCTTCCCCCATTCTGATTTAACTTTCTCTTGTTTGGAGGAAGACTCCACCAAGTAGAAGCCATACAGCCCGATTTCAATAATCTCTTGATCCCCAAAATATCCTAACTTGTAAATCTCGTTGTAGATGCCAAAGAGCTGGAGCTTGGTATTAGCGTGTGTTTCTCTCCAAATCATGTTGATAAACTGCTTCTTGAATCTCTCTGTAAACTGCCTGAAACCTATATTCATGGTTTCACTCCTGCTGGTGACATGCTTGTATAGCTTGTGTAGACTCTTTGTTACTTCCTCTCTAACATGCTCATTCGGATCCGAGAGTAACCATCCAAGATAACGCAAGTACTTTGCCTGAAGAAAGTACTCCTCGTGGACAGTCATCCACAGGCCAAGAGCCTTAACACATTCTAATCGAATACCACTATCGATGTCTCTGAATCGGCGAACAAACACATTGACAAAGATATCGCCCAAATACTCAGCAAGAGTATCATATTGGCGATTGAACCTATCTATCGACTCCGAAATGATTTCTATTTTACGCTGTTGAGCGCTATGATTGCGAACCTTTTTGTTCTTGGCGATATCCAATTGACGCTGCTGTTTCTCCAAAGAAACCATGAGACTCACAGATTGTTCACATAGTGTAGTCTGTATCACCATTAGAATCGACGTCGACACGTAACGGAATGGCCTTACGTTGCTGGAGCATAATGCAGTCAACCATGCTAAAATATCGTTCATCATGGAAGAAGACAAGGATGATGAAGTCGACTCACTAACATCCGTGTACAACATTCCTTTCTCATGAGAGACCAATACAAGTGACTCGAAGAATTCCAGCACATTTCTTCTAAAGAATTTGATGGCCTTATTCGTGGAAACGAACGGATATTCATGGTAACGCTGCTTCTCAAACAAAACACCAAGTTCAGCCACCGTTGCTGGTGCCGAGTCTGCGTTGATCATGTCGTGATTCTTTGTTAGATGAACACATCCACAGCATCGTAACACGAGATTGAACAAGTCTGTGATTGCATTGGACTCATCCAGAAGCACATCATCTGCATAGCTTTCAATCCATTCTAGAGCCAAATCCGACACATCTGCGTCGACCGACGAGAGTGCCTTATATAGCGGGTTTTCGAGAAATTCATCATTTGACTGGATACGTCTTCTTTTCAGCACATGGGCTGCATTTTGAGACTGGGGTGGATGACTAATCTGTGGATCTGACTTGTCAAAGTCATTCTCTGAGTCTTGATCATCATCTTCATCATCATCAACTTCTTCGTCAGCTTCAGCTTCGTTTTCATACTCTGCCTCGGATTCAGACGATAATATATCTGTAAGCTCCAATCTTTTAGCGGCTACACGAGCGGAAGCACGTTTCACTGCTGAAATCATGTTATAGATCGATGTTTGGATAGGACGCGTATGAATGCAGGTGAGAGGAGGTAAAGGATAATCAGAGGACCAAGATTAATATTTTGAATGAAGCAATAGTAAACGAAAAAATAAAGCTTAAAGGACATATAATTCAAATTATGGATAAAACAAAAAACTCAAGCGAAGAATATTTTGACAAATTGAATCTCCATTCTTTTTACATCTTTTTGTTGACTTCGAGGCCTGTATTCGAGGTGCACCCATCAAGTACCCCTTCAACATACCGGTACCCAAAACTTTTTGGGACACTATCCAGAAACAACATCCAAATTAGTCTTATCAACTAGGCTTGAGATTTCCTTTTTTCAATTTTATCCCGATTCACAGGCTCTGATTTACTTTCTTGTCCCTTCATCTCTTGTGGTAGTGCGAGACCAAGTCGTGCGTACTAGAACCTTAACCAGAAAAAACAATCTCCACCTACATTCATCTACTAATGTCGGCTCCACCAGAACCCACGGTCGAAACTCCCGTAGAAGACACGCCTATGGCCGACTCTGAAGTCGACACCAAGGAGTCCAGCGATGCCAATACCGCTGGCCCTGTGGACTCCGCGGACCATGATGCCCCAAACACTGAAACAGCACCTACCGACCAAGAAGCGGCTGCCAAAGACGAATCCAAGGAACCCGAGCCTGTGGACTTGGAGAAGTTGAAAGCAACATTCCAGGAAAAGGCTAAAACATACTTGATCGAGCAGTCGCGTCATGTTGTGATTCCATCCTTCGCAAAATGGTTCAACATGAACGATGTGCACTCAATCGAAAAGAAGCTGTTCCCAGACTTCTTCCCAGTCAAGACACTGGATGACACACCCAAGTCCGTGTACAAGACGCCTGAAGTGTACCAAAACATGCGTGACTTTATGATTAACACCTACCGTCTCAATCCCATTGAGTACTTGACGGTGACGGCGGTGAGAAGAAACTTGGCAGGAGATGTGGCCAGCATCATTCGTATTCACAGATTCTTAGAGAAATGGGGCTTGATTAACTATCAGATCGATCCACGTACAAAGCCATCGCTTGTGGGTCCTCAGTACACGGGCCACTTCCAGATCACCTTAGATACTCCCAAGGGATTGACTCCACTTGTTCCTGAGGAACTAGAGGTTGTATCCAAAAAGACTTCTACCGCTGTGCCCACATCTGAGCCTAAGCAGGTGGAAACACCTAAAATTAAGGAGGAAGATGAAGATAACCTGGTGATTCCTCTCAATTTGGAAATCACAAGTAACATCTTTGAGGAATCGGGATCCAAATCAGCCGTGTCTTCCATCCAATATTTCTGCAATGAAACTTCCAACGACATTTCCAATATCAGATATCACAACCTTAAAAGCAAAGGTGTAACAGGCAACTTTGGACCACTGGAGATCAGCAAGGATGTGTTTGAACAAGGTTTGTTTCCTCTGAACTTCACGTCCTCGGACTTTGTCAAGTTGGAGAAGTCATTCAAGAACACCGAATGGAGCCAACAAGAGGTTTTGCTTCTTTTGGAAGGTATCGAGATGTATGCAACCGTAGACTCCAACCCACTGTCACTATTCATCAACAGCAACGGCCAATGGGACAGAATCAGCGAGCACGTTGCTCTGAAATCCAGAGAAGAGTGTTTGGTGAAGTTCTTACAGTTGCCGATCGAGGACAAGTATTTGCACGCATTGATCAAGCCTGAAACGAAGGACTCGCTTGACCAGAACTTGGACAAGGACACAATCATCCAGGAGGTGGTTGCGAAGTTGATCAAATCTAACGAGGGTAAGGAGTTACTCGATAAGAGTGCTAAATCTGGTTTGGAAGATGCCGTGTTGAACCAAACCAACTTGATTAATCAGGTAATTGAGTTGACGTTGGAGAAGGTGGATGCTAAGTTGAAGCTCATCAACCACCTAGAGGCCGACTTGGTGAAGACAGAAAACTTGTTGAACTTGCAGAGAAAGCAGGTACTCATTGAGAGATGGTTAAATTTTGAGAAGTTAAGCAAATTTAAGAAGGAGAACAACAACCCAGAATTGACGCCTTTATTGGATGACTTGTTGACGCCAATCAACATCAACGAGATCAACAAAAGCTTCAACAAAATTAATTTGGACGCTTCCTCTGACAACCCTACCCCAGAAGTTAGTGAACAGGCTGAGGAGGAAGTCTTGCCCATTAGTGTGACACAGCCTAAGTCTTACCAATTCTGGTCTGCTTAGCTATGTCATTATGTACTATATAGAAAAAACCCTAGAACAGAATTTGCGTAGGTATCTTGGTTAAAGATGATCATTCGATTTCATCCTTGTCTGACTTGCTAAGGTTTTCGATAATCCTACATATTCTAGGGAATTGTAGGTTTCGCATGGATCACTATGGTGATGATAGTGTGCACATACATATTTAAAGTACAACTCCATCTTCTGCCTATGCTTCTAACTTTGCGGCAGTTGACGTGTCGACGGCATTTTGGCTTCAAGAGCTTCCAGAAATACAACGCCCATCCGTCGCTACCGGAACCCTTCGCTTATCCTCAACATATTCCAGGTTCCGAAGATGACATCATAGTAGCGATGAGCTCAGGTGTGGATTCCAGCGTCACAGCCGCTATATATGCGTCCAAATACAAGAATGTCAAGGGAATTTACATGGCCAACTGGTCCCAAACTGCCAAGTGTACGGAAGGAGAATGGACTGATGTGCAGAAGGTATGTGAAAAGTTGAATATTCCATGCCAGAGAGTGAACTTCGAGAAGGAATATTGGAACGAGGTATTCATGCCCATGATCGACCTCTACGAGAAGGGACTAACACCAAATCCCGACTTGGGATGCAATAAGTATGTCAAGTTTGGCAAGATGATTGAACACCTCTCACTTCAATACCAAGACAGTTCAACAAAATGGTGGCTTGCTACTGGTCATTATGCCCGGGTTGTACCGCATGCAAACGGTACCAGGCTCTACAAAGGATACGATGCCAATAAAGACCAAGCATATTACTTGGCAAACATTCCTTCCAAGGTGCTATCTAATGTGCTAATGCCTTTAGGTCATTATACCAAGCCTCAAGTTCGAGAAATGGCGCAGCAGTTTGGGCTCCACACCGCCAGCAAGCCCGATTCTCAAGGTTTGTGCTTTGTAAGTCCAGACCATGCGAAATTTAGAGACTTTTTAAATGAGTTCATACCTCCAAGTCCAGGAAATATCGTTACAGAAGATGGGAGAGTTTGGGGTCAGCATCAGGGCCTTTGGCATGCTACAATTGGACAAAAACTGGGGGTTTCGATGCCTCAAGGAGATGTAAATTACAAAGGGATCTGGTTTGTTAGTGAAAAACGCATAGAATCTAACGAGTTGGTGATTGTTCGGGGAGGTAACAACGAGAAGTTATTCAAAGATGGATTGAACGTTACCGAATGGGAATGGATGGAGGATGGAGAAGAAAGTGTTAAGAACACAACATACGGGGATAAAGGAGCAGCAGCAAATCTATTTGTTCAATTCAGATCCCTCCAGGACCCAGCTGTAGTGGAGAATCTAAAAGTGGATGGAGACAAGTTAACCATCCGTCTAACGGAAAAACAAAGAGCAATGGCGCCAGGCCAGAATATTGTCCTCTATGATAACTACAGAGTGGTTGGATCAGGGATGCTTGTAGATACATTCGACACACATAATATGTAAATAGCCAATAAAAACAAATAGGGTAACCAAACTAAAATGAATATGAAGAAAAGGTAGAAAAGAACTGAAAACCGAGGCCATCACAATCGTTGTGCTCATGCTCCAAAAAGCAACGTCGTTAAAAAGCTGTAATGGTAGGGTACAACGATGTTGGTTGGGATTCCTCTTTCGTGGACTCCTTTTCTTCCTTCTCCTCAGACTCCTTGATCAATTGAGCCAAGTGGTTGCACACAAGGTTGATCATCTCACGGTGCTTCTTAACATGCTCCAAATCGTAAGTCTTGTCATCCTTGATGGACAACTTGCTGAACATAGCAGCAGCAGCATCCTCATCTTCTGTACTCTCCTCCTTTGTCTCCTCGGTAAGCTTCTGACCAGACTTCTGAGTGTTGCTAACACCACCAAACTCAGAAGAAACTGGGAAACTGTGAGCACTACCCAATTGTCTGTTGATCTGGGGGAATCCTGGAGTGTAACCGGAGTTGTGGTTGTTGACGAAGTGGTTGCTTCCATCGGTAACCTTAGACAGGAATTGTGGGAGAACAGGGTGCAACAGCTGAGCTGCTGAAGGCTGTGGAGCACCAGACATGTTCTGGTATTGCATTTCAATGGATGAAGACAAGTTGTTGAAGAATTTCTCGGCTTCGTACAAATTGGCCTGGGATGGCATGTACGAGTAGTGGTTGGAAGGGTGGACGTTGGTGTACAAACCGCCAGTGTTGAAAGTGGTTGTGTTTGGCTGACTCGACACTGACAGATGAGTGGACGAGTGGCCACACATGTTGTCTTCCACATTGTTCAATCTGTTGTAGACATCCATGTTATACTGAGGCTCCATCTTATATCTCTTGGAGTTGTCGCTCATTCCATAGAAGTTGAAGTCATTGAGGATACCGTTGACCATGTGCATGTTCAGTTGAACACTGGAGCCTTCGAGGGCTCTCTTCTTAGAGTCCAAGGGGTTGTGTTGGTGAAGGATGGAAGAGGAGTCAAAAAGTTCCTGGCGGTGGGTCATCTCGGTGCCCAAAGCTGGGTAGTGAATTCCGTTAACATCCACAGGCATATGGTTGCCGTAAGGGAACATTGTGTTACCGAGCTGTCTGTCAGATTGGTCCTTCATTAACTTCTTTTGGGACTTCTTTAACTTGCGCTGGTGGTCATCTTCATGAATCTTGGTGTGTTTCTTCAAATCCTGAGGTCTCTTGAAGCTCTTGGTACACAAGTTGCAGTGGTAAGGCTTCAAAGGGACGTGCACACGCAAGTGAGAAGTGATGTGGTCTCTCTTGACGGTTGTGGTACCACAGTCGTCCCAGTAACAAGTCAAGGACAAATTGTTGGAGGACTTACGGCCAACGTGCTCGTCACACAAGTGGTCGTATAAAACCTCTGGGGTGTCAAAGATTAGAGAACATCCACGCCAGTGACAGTTGAAGGGGCCCTTCATGTCCGAGTCCCTGACTTTCTTGTAAGTCTTCTTTGGCTTCTTGATTTCAGAGTCGGAGTCTGCCTTCACTTCAGGCACATTGTGCACGTTGTTCTGGCCATAGCTAGGGGCCGTAGCGGGGTGCTGTAAAGGGAACGCAGGGTTGTTGAAAGCAGCCAAGTTCTCCAAGTAGTGGGGAGGCTGTGTCTGGTGGGTGGGATGCTTAAAGTCGGCACCCTGTTGCAAGGGCGAGTTGGCAGACAGCTGGGATGTGAAGGAAGCCTGAGGCGAGCCACTGCTGGACTGAGTTCCCGGAGAGTTGGAGGAGACAGCGTCCAAGTCAAAGTCAATTTCCGACTCGACCACCTTCTCGGAAGTTGCGTTAAGATAAGTAACGGGATGTAAGTTGTAATTCATGGAAGCCGACATGGTAGGGGGCTGTTTGAAGCAGGTGTGAAAATTTGCAGTCAAAAAGCTTGAAAGTATCAACTAGACTACAAGAAGAAAAACCAGTAATTAATAATAAAAAACGTTAGACGCCAGAGGGTCATGAGTAGGTTTATTGCCAAGCTGCCAAGACTTGTACCTGCACACAAGTGGTCAGACAAGAAGGAATTGCCAAGGTGCGGAAGGTCGGGAGGTAGAAAAAGAAAAGTATTTGTGAGATTTTTCTTAATTATCTTGTATGCAATGACAAACGTCAGAAGGAGCAATTTGGGGCATGTTCGGATCGGAAAAAGGCTGAGGACCAAGAGAAACGTGGCAATGAAAAACCCACATTGGGGGCAGGTCGTTGACTGGTCACGAGCTCGTCAGTCTTTCGTCACGAATTGATCGCGTGGTAATTTTTAGTAAATATGTGGGAACGGGTCTTAATTACCAATAGTGGTCATCGAAAAGGTCACGTGTGGTGAGTACAAACATCGCACCCTCTTTTTGACCGATTCTTCACAACATTGTTAAAGATTGCTCTACCTGGGGAAATATGGGGAAATTAGTAAAGGTGTTGCAAGAAGAGGCTATGGGTACAAAAAATAATTGCCTTCAGCCAGATTCGAACTGACGATCTCCTCATTACTAGTGAGGTGCCTTACCAACTTGGCCATAAAGGCTAGCAAATCTCCCGGGGGTGAGTCGAACACCCGATCTCAAGATTACAAAATCCATTACAGTCTCGCGCCTTAGCCAGCTTGGCCACCGAGAGGTTGCTTGCAGGAGAAATGAAAGTGAGTTGATGTGAGCAATACCTTTTGGTCACGTGAGACCACACGTGCAGACACTTCCGGTTTTCCTTCAATATGTCCGGGAGCTTTAATTGATCCTTTTGAAAACGTAAAATATTTTGGGAGAACCATTACAAAAGTTATTTCCTCTCAGAAGTGCCACATTGATTCCCGTATAACTCATAATGCCTCATATTTCCCCTGTTTTCTCTTTATTTTTCTTCCTTCCTTCTATTCCGCCATTGCTCTCTATTCCTACATATCTCCTGTGTTTAGGTGGATCACTCCTCTCAAACATTAGATACTAGATTTATACTGAAAATGCTGCAGCAACAAGCAGGCCTGGGCTCGCGGACACAAACTGTCAATATCCAGCCAGTTCTACATCTCCGGGGTCGTGAGGGTGACAAAAAGAAGACCAAGTCGCTGTCCAAAGTAAGATGGACAGAGGATGTGGTTGACAACGAACACATGAACAAGAAGAAAACCAAGATTTGCTGTATTTTCCATCCCCAAAGAGAGTTTGGCGAGAGCTCGGACTCGTCAAGTGATTCATCAAGTGACTCCAGTGATGCCTCTGGTGATGAGGGCGAAGGCAAGCCAGATTTTGGTCAAAACGGTAAGAAGCATGACCATGATGAGAAGGATACAGACGGGCATGAAGCTCCAGATGATGGACATGACCATTCGAAGTGTAACCATAAGAGAAAGCCAAAGAAGAAGCTGGGTCCCAATGCGTATGAGAAGCAGCCTCAATATAAGAACCAGAGTACGGTGCCTGATGACGCCATCTAATAGCATAATAAATGGATCACGGAGTTACTAAAGAGTAAGTGAAGTGCAAGTAAGAGATGGGTGAAGTGGATAGTGAAACTTATCTTGTCGCTAGATCATTGTCGAACAAGAAGTTAAACAACAAAGATTCCACGATAGGATGCTATGCATTGACATACATAAGATTAATGCAACAATTAGTAGCGCCAGAGCACCATCAGTGCTCCTCGGGATTGGCGATATGCAAAATACGTCTCGAATAGTCTTGCTCGTCGGCAAGAGACATCTTGGACTCGTTGTTGGTTTGGAACATTGTGGCAGGATCCAAACGATGGTCAAACTCCAGGATCGGGAACATAGGTCCAGAAAGGTCATTAGTAGAGCCCTTAGGATTAAGTCTCTTCTTCAGCGCGCTCCGGCTAACCGAGGCCCCACCTGTACCAGCTCCCACATTGAATAGGGAGAGAATTGACTTGCTCAGATTATTTCTGTTCAATACGGACTCACGCAGTGATGGCTTCAGGCCACGCACAGGCTTGTCGTTGGCAAGCGACAATTCATCGGATGAGTATTGGTTCTCCTCGTCGGAGTAGTCGTCGCTGTGACGTCCGGCGCCAAAACAGCAGCAGTAGAGAATTCCAGACAAGGCGGCCACCACTACCACCCCCACGGCGGTAAAAGTTCCTGCTACCTTACCTTTGGAATCAAAGAAGGACGACCCACTTTTCAGCTGAACCAGCAGAGAGCTACCAGAAGTTGGTGCAACTTCCGTTACAAATCGTGTGGATACAAGCTGCGATGCTGAGCCGTTGACGGTTGTGACGGAAACCACAGTAGTAGCCCGAACAGAGGTAATCACAACTGAACTGGGCGATTCAGTGGATGAACTGGACAGCGATGAGTTCGATTGGCTCGACAGACTCGACAGACTCAGCAGACTGGAGGATGTGGTTGTAGTGGATGATGTGGTTGGAGTGGTGGATGAAGTTGTTGGTGGAGTGGAAGGTGTGGTTGGGGAGTTTGAAGTGGAGGTGGTGTTAGGCCTAGCAGACGTCGTCGGCTGTGTAGAGGTGGGATCCTCTGTAGAATCCGATGTGTCTTCAGATGCATCTTCGCTAGTTGAAGTTTGCGTAGACGAAGGTGAAGAAGTGGAAGTCAGCAGCAGCGTCAGCAGCAGCAGGGCACCCACGGTGCTGCTGGGTTCCAGCAAGATCACATAGCCGTACACACCGTTTCCTCCACAGTTTTCCTCGTCGCTGTAGCCGGGACAACCCGTATCACAGCGGTTCAACGACACAGTGTCGGCAGGCACATTATTGGAGCACCAGCAGTTGTGATTCTGGGTGATGGCCACGGCAAATCCGGCATTGGAACATGTTGTTTTGCACAAGCCATTCGACATGTATTCAGATGTGGACTGCTGCCATCCCAAGTTGGTTGTTGAGCACATGTTCAAGGCAACGGCAGCCCAGGTATAAGGCAAGAGGGCCACAAGAAACAAATACAACATGGAGACGAAGAATGCACTTGGAAAGGAAGGTTATGACAAGAAGAAGGCGAATGCACTATGCCAAGTCGTCTAGAGTTTGGACAAACAAGAAGCTGACGATATTCCAGTGCTTAAAATAAAATAAAAAAAAAAGAGAAAGATGATTGAAAAGAAGAAACCTTGGATTGAGGGAGGTCAATTAGGAAAAAAAATCGCAATGATAAGGGCTGCACAATCAAGGAAGAAAACATGCCCGCGCAAACCTTATATAAATAGCACAGTGCACCACTCAGTGGGAGTGGGATGATTAAGACGGACGAACACCTCGGAGAAGGGGTCGGCCTAATTACAATGGTGAGAGTTGCCCAGCCATGGCCAACATTTTGATCAATTGGATGCTGCTGTGGTGGTTTGGTCATGGCCAGTTGACGTCAGGTTCTTGCACTGAGACATCCTGTCTGGTTGCCTGCCCTGAGCGGAAGGCATGGATCACCAAGAGCCACCTGATGAGAAATGACAGGGCATTAATGTTGAGCTGTGTGAGGGTGGCATATGGAGGTTCTAATTCAAATAGTAGACAATACCGTATTTCCCCGATATAAATGGCACCTTGGCTCCATCGATAATGTCTCGAGGATTACTTGTGGGTGGGTCCAAGCCATGGTATTGACTGCATTGTTGGAGAATTCCAGTGGGATTTTCTGCATTCTTGCACCTCGAGGGCCTGAAACGCTTCCATCGCAGCGATTGCTCATTCCACCGCCCTGACCCTAATTGTGCCCGCAACCATTGCCCATAGTGTGCCTCTAGAGCTTCTGCCCCCTGATTCACCTTGCCCATGTATCTGGGGTCTTGGTGGCTGGCCGGTGTCCACACTTCAACCTTAATTGGTGCAATTTTCAGTTTAGTGCGCCGCCGTTGGGGTCCTCTGCGGACTATTGTTCTTTACATGCGCACTTGCACAATTGCAACCCCAATCCCCTCGTCAGTGTTTGGTCTGATCTCAATCTTGACTACCGCATGCCACTGGCCGGGCTGGGAGCGGCCAGATGGGGCCATGTACCATTTGCATCCCCAGAACCCTTACTATCTTTCTTTTTTCTGTTTGTCCTTTCAATATGGGCGCAGAGCGCTAATTTCAGACCACTTAATCCCAATATGGGCATTAGCATGCCCCATGAAGCTCACAATGCAGGCAGTCCAGGGCACGAAACTCTCAACAGTGATTTTTCAATCTTATTATTCTCATTTGATTCACCACTGTGCTTCATGTTTGGGCCGATCTTCTCCCGTATATGCTTCTGATCACTTCTGTATCTTTATCTGCCTTCTTTACTATCTATATCTTGCATGTTTCTTTCTCGAACGTTTCTCCCCACCTTTCTGGTCTCAACCAATTATTTCCCCATCTTCTCCCATACCATTTTCAAAACATTACCAATGCATGTTCTGCACACGTCCATCGTCTTCCTACACTCCTTGTCGCATTACACATAAACATCCTCCACTATTTCAACCCTGGCCTTACATACACTCTGCCATCGACTAACCAGTCCTCTTTATATCCACATTGCTCGACTAGGCAATGGACCCGACGCTGCTTGAGTCGCTGCTAGCGGAGCTTTCGGCGGAAATCGCGCTGATCGAATCGCAATTAGGACCTCTCCAAACAACCCATGATGCCCTATTTCGGAAGGTGGCCCAATTCGAACTGGAAAACAAACACAAGAACCTCGCCAAACCTCAACTTCCGAAACTTCCGCAGCCACCATCAGAGGACCCTCCTCTCATTCATTTCTCATATTTCGATGATTCCATCCAACACTTCTTCGCTCCGGCTGGCTCCGGCCCAGTTGTAAATGTTGATGCTCATGATGAGAAGGTGCTCCATCATATAGATATCAAGACTAGAAATGCGGAATCCGCTCTCCAAGAGCTGCTCTGGCGTCTTGGAGGTGTGTCGGCTTTTCCAATCAACAATCGCTTGTACGATGACTCCAGCGACGCCTTACTAGGCCTACGCTTCGATGTCCTCAGCCATACGTTGTTACTGTTTCTCCTGCCCCACTATATCATCCTACGGCGCCGAGAAGACAAGTCAGCATCTAACTTGAAGTGGCTGGTGTTTCGCTATACGACACCTCCATACGTTCCATTGGCGACTTTTTCTCACTTATTACTCGAAAATAGCTTGCACGACTTCGTCCACTGTGTTCGTGAATGCTTAGTGTATACCCAGTACAAGCACGATAAGTTCCAGCTGGTGGCTGAAATGACTTACCACGATGTTTTCGGTGACAACTCATCAGTGAGGTTCATATCCTCGGTGGAAAAGGACCTCGAATGCAACAGAGTCTTGCTCCACCTTGTCAATCACTCCTCTGAATCCAAGCAACTACATAGCATTGAACTCCAGTGTGGGGAATCAGGGATTCGAAAGGTCAATTGTCAGTTGGCGGGAGGTTCTACAGAGGACAATTTGTACGTGGAATCTCTACTCTCCGCGTCTGACTTCCCCAGTTTGTCATCTAGTCTCAAGTCCCTCGCTACTTATTTGAGAAACCATGCACTTCTCTAATAAAATGTTAATAATTTTTAAACAATACGTAATATCAAAGCAAACTTTTCATCTCTAAATGACAGAATATGCATCAACCACAATACAGTACTCTGCCGATTAATAGCTTAGAAAGCATTGCCAAATCCAGCTCCAGTGGGCTGGTAGCCCAATCCAGTGACGTTCTGGCCGATACCTGGACCATTAGTGATCATCAAGGGCTGGCCAATTGTTGGCTCTTCATCGTTCTCCTCAGACGACTTTCTTTTTTGCAAGTCGTCGTAAACTTCATCTAGTTTCTTCTGGTTCTCGTGAGCAATGGAAATCTCGTATGGCTTGATGAAATTGTTCAAGTTGTGCAACCAAGCCAACTCGAGAACGTAGTCAAACTTGATCAAACTGTAACTGGAGTACAAGAGAGCAACGAAGCACTCATGATTTCCTGTCTCGACAAAGTAGTCCAATAGTTCGTGTGCAAGCTTGGTGGACTTAGAGATAGACACTGTCTTTATCAAGTCGCTCCACAACTTGTCACTCTTCAAGATAGAAATGGCCTTGCCAAACTTCTTGTTCTTGGTGTACAATGTTGCAGAAATTTGTCTGAAGAAAATAAGCTTGTGTTTCTCCAATCTCTCAGCCAAATCCAAGGAATTGAATCTGTTGCTACTTTCGCTGTCAATCGCGGAACGCAAGGACTTATAGTCCTCTTCCTCGATCAACAAGTCATGGTAAGCACCGTTCACGATAGAATTGTTCTTCTCGAGGACGGAAATCAAGAATGGTTTGATCAATGGCAAGTTGTCAGACTTGATGAACATTCTAACAACTCTTGGCAAGTCGAGCTTGGGGGTCAACACTGCCAACAAGTCAACCAAAAGAGTTGGATTCTCTGCGAGGTAGAAATTGATAGCCTTGTAGTAAATCTCCAAGTTGGAAACCTTGACGATGATCTCTTTAAAGGAAGAGTGGTCAAAAGCAACCTCAGATTTGTCCATCATGGTCAAAGCAGCATTGTCCCATTCTTCGTAGTGACAGTACAAGAAAATCAACTCTGGATACAAGTGAGCGGCTTCGCAAGCGGTCAACACCTTTGGAATATTAATTCTAGACCAGAACAACTTCAAGTGTTCCATTACCTTCTCTGGGCTGTACTTGGAGTAAAGGACTGCAAGCTCGGTGAACATTCCCATGTGGGCTCTCTCCAAACCCAAACCACTCTCAAAAAGAGCAATGAGCTCGTTGAAGTAACCATTGTGCTCGTAAGTCTTGACCAACTCGGGCAATTCTTCGGCATCGATGATCAAATTCAAACCACAAATTTGAGCCAATCTAAACTCCTTGTTCTCAATACAAGCACTGTTCACTTGCTTCCAAACGCTTGTGTTAGAAGCCTTCCTAGCACAGTCAACAGCACCTTGATAGTCACCCAAATAAACCAAAGTAGTGGCCAATTTGGAGTACTTGGAAATGTTTGAGTACAAGATTTTTGCGGCCTTGTAGTTCTTTGCCTCAAACAATTTGTCACCAATTTCTTCCAAGACAGCAACATTAGCACCCGCCACGAACTTCTCAATCTCGGACAATTTGCCCAAGGAAGCATAACAGTTGATCAAGGCGTTATCTATGACAGGCTCTCTCAAAGTTTCTCTCGCCATGTCCAAGAATGGAATTAACTCCTCTTCCTTTCCAGCGCGCTCGGAAATCTCAATAACCTGTTCATAGTTGGATGGGTTCTTAGACTTCACGTAAGACTCAATTGCCTCAGGAATGCGCAAACCATTCAACTGAGCAGTACCCAATTGGTACCAGAGGTCAGAAGTATCGTATTTCTCGGCGTATTGTTCACCTCTGTCGAGAGACATAATGTCCTCAACCAAAACCTTCATTGCATCAGTTCTCAACTCAAACTTGTCATAAACCTCGAAAGCTTCCTCAAGTAAGTCGTTGTCGATACATAATGGTGCAATTTCAGTAGGGTCAAATTTGTCCAACTTCTCAATGTAGTTGGCAACACGAGTGGGGTCAGCCTTGATGGCAGTCAAAATCAACAATCCCTGCAATGAAGTGTTGTCGTTGAAAGGAGATGGTTCCAAAATGATCTTTTCCAACAACTCGATCAACTCTTGAGGCAAGTCATTCTCCATGAATGCCTTAACAGTGACAGAGATAGGCTCTGGGTCGCTCAATTCTGGGATACCAGTGGAAATCACCTGGTCAATGAGTTGTCTTCTGTGCTCGTTATCAGGAGCCAAAACCTTAGCCCACAAGTCGAAGTCAGACTTAGACAACAAGTATCTTGCTTGGTACTTGTACATCTTGTTCTCATTGGTGATGTTGATCAATTCATCGTCATTGCCACCCTTAGAGTAGGCAATGTAAGCCAAGTATGGGTCTCTCTTCTCACAGTAACGACCGACAGACAACGTGTCGTAGTCGTTGTTCTCCTGCAAGAACTTCTCTGGGCTGTTGTTGGAGTCAATATAGATCTTGGCCAAACTGTTGTAAACCTCTTGGTCGGTGGATCCACCCTCTAAGGTTTTCTCCAAGAAAGGCAACAAAATCTTCAACCGGTTTCTCTTCTCGACTTCGTTAACCAATTCCTTGAGAGGAACTCTACCCAAAACAGATAACAACAAACTCTTGATGATATTCTCATCACAGTCCACATCCAACAAACCTGCAACAACCTGAGGAGTGTTTGCTGGGTTAACTTGCTGAACATAAACTTCGATAAATTTGAAGTATTGGTTCTTGTACAAGTACAAGATCAAGTCGTGGACGAAGTTAAATCTGTCACAGACAATGATCAAAGGCAATTGGTCCTCCAACTTAGCCTCCTTCAAGAAGTTCTTCACCTTCTCGCCGTTGTAGACGTTGTTGTCTCTGACAACTCTCTCGATCTCCTTGGTTTGGTTCATCTTTGCAGCAGCCTCAATGTACTTGAAAACAACATCTGGTTCCTGAGTCAAGTTCACGATAGAAGACAAGTAATAGTACTTACCTTCGTTGCACTTGTATTGCTCAAAAAGCTTAATCAAGTTCAAAGGACCAAGCAAGTCGGAGTATTTTGTGGCAACTTGGATAACCACCTGTAAGTTCTGCTGCAAATCCTTACTCATCAACTCGTTCAAACAAGCCATGGACTGCTGAACGTTCAACTGACCGAAGTATGAGACCAACCAGTCGTTTGGCAAAACATTAGTGTGAACGATGACTCTCTTGATATCCTTCAAGTCATCGTAGTGCTCCAAAGCTCTCTGGAACAAGCCAGACTTCTCACACAACTTACCAATGCTTGGCTTGTCGTAGTGGCTGAACATCTGATTGCCCAAAATGGCATCGGCAACCTGTGGGGCATGTAACAAGTTAATCTCCAAAACCTTTGTTTGCAAGTGACCCTCAGAAGGCGAGTCGTTCTTCAAAGCATCCAACAAGAATGCAGTACCTTGCTGAATGAAGTTCTGGGAGAAGAATAAGTCAGCAATGTTTTCGATGTTCAAGTTAACATCACCATTGCCCAAGAGAGAAGTGGCAAACTCACTTGCCTTGTCTGGGTTAACACGAACCAAGTTCTGGATCAAGTTCGTGTAATCTGGCAGATAGTTGACCTTTTGGCAGTAAGGCAAGATCTTATCGAATTGACCCAATTCGGCCAAACAGGAAACAACCTTGATGTTCACGTTAGCTCTCACATAGACAGCCAAAGCCAAAGCAGTATCGTTGTAGGACTTGACAATGTCACCCAACTCCTCAGAAGAAGTCAACTTGTCTTCTTTCAACCACTTTTCAAACAATGGCTTACGGTCTTGTTGCAAGACAGGTTTAGCAAGCTCAATAGATTCGTACTTGTTCAACGAGCCTCTGTCCAACAAAGTGGAAAAATACTGCAAAATTGGAGATATCTGACCTGGCTGAGGAGTGATATGCTTCAACTTGTTGATGGTATCCTGAGTTCTCAACTGTTCAGAGGAGGCTGCAACCTTGGCGGCGTTGGCGTAGTCGCCTTGGTTCAAGTAGTTCTGGAATTGCTGGTTGAACAAGTTCTCGGCACCTGGGAAACCACCACGGGACGCAAGAGACAAAGCCAAAGAGACGTCCGAGAGCTTCTCCAAAACATAAGGAATGATCTTGTCCTTAGCCACTTCCACGGCCAAAACCTGGCCGGCCTTGTTGATAGTGATAATACCAGTACTGTCGTTATATGGAGCGGCGGTGAATACAGGGTCAGCGGTGATTCTGTTGACGAACAAGTTCGAACCGGTCTCGATATCGTACAAGTGGATAAAACCGTACTTTGTCAAGATGTAAATGATACCGTACTGGTTGGATGCCTGCAAACTAATGGGGAAGTCGTTCGTCGCATCTGGAGGGAAGAAGATGTCCACGGTCTTCTTAGGGAAAGGAGGGTTTCCATCCACATGGTCGATTTCAATGATGTGCAAGTTTCCTTGGCCCGAAGCGGCCTTGTTACCGATACAGAACACCTTGGTAGGCTGAGGAGCACCGTTCAACTTGACCTGGGCAAATCTGCACACATGGCCCTCGATGGCCTGCGAAACATTACGGGCCTTGGAGAACAATTGCACATGGCCAGCGATTCTGCCGTTCTCCTCAGCGATACCGTTGACGGCAAACCAATTTAGGTCAGCATCAGCGACCATATTGGTGATCTGACAGTTGTTCAACAGGTGGTGTCTATCGGTCAACTTAACAGGCCCGTTGTTAGTTCCGTCGAAAATTGCCCAGGTGTAGATGTCGGTGTTGGTAACAAGACCCAACACCTCGTCGTTCAACCACTTCCACAACACAACTGGAGTGTCTAAAGTGTGCAGCTTCAATCTCTGCTTGGTGCCCAAGTTGAACACCTGCAACGCCGTTCCATTGGCACGCAAAGCAATCACATTCTCTTTGGTATGCATTATGGCATTATCGGCGGTCATGTTCTTTCTGGTGACCTCGAAGTTGTTGTGCAAGTCGACAATAGCCACGGTGTTGCCTTGGGGCCCACTTTCACGCACGCAGATGTAGTGATCCGACTCCAAAGTGGTTGATTTGAAGTCGAGCGACTGCTGCTGGATGCCCAACGACGTCAACTGCGACAACTGGGTGAAGTTAATGGGAATATCAGACATGGTAGCCTTGTATCAGAAATTGGAAAAATGGAAGGGTAGGCTGGTCTCTACAAAGAGACGTGGTTCACAGGATTTTTCGGATAAAGACAATTGCCACAATTGGACACTTCACTCGATCGTATGTGGTTGGTGATCGCAGTGGAGATTTCAATTAAGAGCAAGTGGATGTTAGGGGTTCAGAGGTGGTGTTGGTGAGAATGCTACGTCTCGTTGGCTTATGTAAGCGTGGTGGACGGATGTTTGTTGCCTACTGGGGGGCGGTGTAATAATGTTGGTATTGAAAATTCAAGTAAGTTTTTGAATTTATTTGAGAAATTGATCATTAAAATGGTTGATTTGTTATTCATTTTTGTAACTTTATATTGGAGTAGTTTCTTCGAACCTTCCTGTTTTCGTCTATAGGTGTGCCCTATTTTCAGCTGCGAAATGTACCCCACCATAACTACTACATAGCTCTTGACAATAATCAATGCCCAATGCCTGCATTTTGCCATTGACTCCAGAAGATCACAAGATGTGTCGAAGAAGGCGCAAAAATCTTTTTCGATAAATCTTATTAATATTTTGTCTTGATTGTTCCCATCTTTAGCCACCACTTGCAATCTAGATTGGAGGTCGCACTGACTGTAGTACATCCTCTACTACCATATTGGTGTAGCCAGTTGTGGTGCTCTCATCCTTTGTTGAAGAAAACTTTTCCATATAGTCCTTGGCAGTTTCCCATTCACTGCCATACCAATCTCCTGTCAAAATGGTAAGCTCCAATTTCTTGCGGTAGTCGTACTCCATGGAGGTTTCGTTAAAGAGTGTGTTCGTCTCCCAGTCTACAAGCCAATAGCCTATCTTGCGGAATGCCACCTTGATGAATTCCGGAGTGACGAAAAGAACATCTCCTGGTGCTGATCTGAGCACCACCAATGCTTTGGCAAGTAACATGATACCCTCAAGTGCTCGTAACGTGGGCCGCGTGCTTAGTGGTGCTAGTGAACAGAGACGGTGTGACCTGGTGAACACTAGGAGTGAACACACATATTCCTGGATCTGTGCATTAGCGAAAACAGAAGTCAATTTCTGCCGACCATCAAGCACATCGTCCATACTATGCGAATGTTCGCCATGATTTCCTTTACGATGCAAATGGTTGTGATGTGAGTGGTGGTGACCATCTTGTATGGGACAATATTGCGAAAACCAAAATCGCTCTTTAATTTGGGGGTGGATCTTGGGCAAGCTCCTTCCATGTTTCATTACCAGGATCACCAGAAAAAATTCTGGTTTGTTAACCATGTAGCTTCCAAATTGGAAAGGCTCGTCGCTGGAACGGTCTCGAGTCCTAAGCGTATTATATTGTTCCAACTCATTGAAGATGCGAATAATGCTATTCTTGCGGTCGAAATCCATTTCTACCGCCTCCAAATTTTTCCAGATGATAACCTGATGGAGAACAGGCTGCATTCCTTGCAGACGTTTCACCATTTGGTCTGTAACTTGCTTGTAGAAGTCCCCTTGACTATGTAGAAGGTCAACTTCGATGATATCATCAATGCCGTATTCATCCTCAAGTAGCGACCTAAGTTGATTGATACATGAAATACGATTATTCGTCAGTAAAACCAAGTTTCGTTGGGCTATGAAGCACAAGGCGAGAGCTGTTCGGACATTCTCCATTCCGGTTGTGATTGTCTCAAGTAGTAAGAATGTCACAATCAGCATCCGTGCACCATAGATAATTAATGAGTATCAAACCAAAAGAAATCACTTGTTAAAGGTATGTTTTGTCCGGGTCATTGACAAATCTTTTGACAAATCTTTCATCAATTGGATTTCAATTTCTTAGTAAAGTATGCCTTCATAACTGAATTATATTCTTTTTTAGAAGGACCCATAAGGGGTGCAACTGGTTGATATTATACGCAGCGTTTAAACTGATTAATCCATAAAGGGGGCTCCCGAAAAGTCTTCCTGGTTGTTAAATGATTACTTTTATTCTATTCTTTGTAATTCAGGGTTTCTTGGGCAGTTTTCATAATGCTGCTTGCGAAGATGACCTTTATATATAAATTCCCATCAACAAACCGACTCCGTGGCCAAGCTGGTTAAGGCGTAAGACTGTTAATCTTGAGATCGTGAGTTCGATCCTCACCGGGGTCGCTTGTTTTTTTTTGCTGATTGATTGAAGAGGAAGCCTCCTTTATCAGAATATTCACTGTTCATCTCCATTAAATTGATCATTTGGCTCCAACCAGCACTATTTTTGCTCCCTGTGTGTTCACTTACAAATGATTAGACAGGATGAGTGAAGTATAACGTTCATTAGTTTGTTTTCGATTTTTAATTCAACACTTCAAATTTTCTATCTTTTCGACTCGGCTGCGTATTTCTAGTTTTCCCAAGATTATATTGCACCTTTTAGTTGTTCAAGTGCAATGAGAAGAATAAGTTGGGAATAGGAAGTACCAATGCCTTAATACAACAAAAAAAAAACAACAACCCAAAAACTAGTTGAATTGCTAATAAAACAAAAAAATAAGAGCCATTATGCTGGTTTCCACAAGTCTCCTTTGATTCCCGTATCTATTCTCTATGTACCTTCGTCATGATAGACACAAATCTCCGCATCCTACACCTCTTCGCGCATCACCATAATTCATCTCCATACATCATGGCACCACCAATATATGTCAAGGGAGGTGTATGGACCAATGTCGAAGACCAGATTCTTCGGGCAGCAGTGTCGAAGTACGGACTCACCCAGTGGAGTCGTGTGGCTTCCCTTCTACCCAAGAAAACAGCTAAGCAGGCAAAAGCAAGATGGAATGAATACTTGAACCCAACAATCAACCGATCTGAATGGTCTACAGAAGATGACGAAAAGCTCTTGGAGCTTGCTAAGCTCTTACCTCACCAGTGGCGGAGCATAGCACCGATAATGGGCCGTACTGCTACCCAATGTGTGGAGAGATACCAATATCTTCTCGAAGCTGCACTCAAAGGGGAAGATGAAGAAGACGACGATGAAGACGACTTGAAACTATCAGGGCCCGGTATTGAAACACTCCCTGCGCTTGGAAATGCGTTTGAAAGCCTTCCATCTCGACCAGATATGGAGGACATGGATGAAGATGAAAGAGAGATGTTATCTGAAGCCAAAGCCAGGCTCGCCAACACACAGGGAAAGAAAGCCAAAAGAAAAGACAGAGAACGCATGTTGGATGAAAGTAAAAGGATATCTTTACTACAGAAGCGTAGAGAACTCAAGGCCGCGGGGATTAATGTGAGTTTGGAACTGAAAAACAGAAAGAAACGTAATGAATTTGACTACAACGCAGATATTCCCCACGAGCATCTACCTCCTCCAGGTCTCTTTGATGTAGCGCAAGAGGACCAATCAAATGACAGTGACAGAGCCTCGTTCCAGAAACAGGTGAACTTGAAGGGTATAAGTAGGAAGGAAGGTGACAAACAGAAACAGAAACAGGAAGAGCGTGCTAAGCAGGAAGGAAAGCGTCTGAGAAAGGAAATTCTGGCTGCTGCTGAAATCTTCTCGAATATTGCAGAGGAGCAGCAAACCAAAAGAAGAAAACTCGAACTTCCAGCTCCGGGCGAGGAAGAGCACGACGACGTCAGAACTCGAATTCTAGAGAAGTCAAAAGAATTACTCCAGGTGAGTGAGACTTATTTAAAGGATAGTGCTGCGAAGGTAGAGAAGAAGGCACCGCAAACAAGGACGCTACAAGTTGCCAAAGTGAAATCATCAAGAAAACAAATCACAGCCATCATTCACAACGCACTTTCTGCGCTTCCGAAACCGAAAAATAATGTTGAGGTTGTTTTGCCTCAACTTGATTCAAATGAGGAGCAGTTAATCTTACTGGTTCCACAGGACTCCGAGGAAGGTATGTCAAAGAACTTGAAGATCTTACAGCAAGTTGAAACTGAGAAGGAGAAATTACGACGTTCACAGGTTGTGCAAAGAGGATACGTAATTCCTAGCCCGGAAACATTGATACCCATCCCTAGTACATTGAAGGGACTAGAGAAGGATATCGCTTTAGAATTTCAGGCTCTTGTTAGATCAGATTACACTGAGTTCGAAGATCCCTCCTCTGGGTTCAACACTATCGAAGTGGTGGATGAGCAAATTTATGAAGAGGTGCTTAAGCAGATTTCCCAGGAGTTGAAGAACTCAAAGAAGGAGACAATTTCCTCGTCTGACGACTTCTCACTTCCAGAAGGTTCAGAAGTCGCAGATCAAATTAACGATGCGCTAGAAAGATTGGACAGCGCAACAGACATGGCAGAACAGGGCATTCAGGAAGACTTCTCCATGTATGAGGAAGAAGTCAGAGCAAAGTATACCAAATTGCAGGAGGCATTTGAGACTCTCACTGATGCCATTCTCGATGAGAAGCTCAGTGAGAATGCTGCTCGCAACGAGGAAATAGCTATCACCATGAGATCTTCGAGACTTCACGAGTTGGTACAAATGGTGACTGCAGCAGAATCGAGGTGCTCTTGAGTTGATACCACTTTTGTTTTCAATAAAAGATAGTACAGCCAAGGTTCTCATTGCATAATGCAATAAGTAACCTCCGAACATCTTCTTACATTTATAGAGTAGACAATTCCACACAGATTTGGAACGGCTAGAAGTGTTTATCATTTCGAATCTTATAATGACCAGTTTATTGGTGAGTACTGCTACAATTAATTTTCGAATTTCGCTTTTAGTATTGGCACAGCACCGCAAGATCTCAGATGTTGATCATTTCCTGCATTGTCATTACCCCAAGCCGTACTCCTACTATTTAAGCATGTTTGCAAACCTCATATGTGTACCACTCCGGCTCTTGGATCCATTGAATATCAAGGATGCGCTAACCGAAATTATCAAGAAGGATTTTTTCCAACCGGCGTCGGCGTTCTTGGACGATCTCAATCGGATCCAGCAACTTCACAACTACATATCATCCGAGACTTCAAGCTCTGATTTAGACGCATTGGAGTCCGCCCTTTACGAATACTATTACCTAGTTGGAGATATTTCCAGCAAGTTTCCTAACACTGGCCTTACAGTCACCTGGTACGGCACCCTTGGTCATAAACCGGTTAGGTGTCTCGCATCCTCGTGGAGCGAGGTGCAAGGGAGTATTGTTCACCAGTTGGGAAGTTTATACTGCCAGAAAGCCTTCAAGGAAAGTCAGTACACAGATGAGGGCATTAAAGCTGCGTGTTCTTATTTTAAGCTCTCTGCTGGCTGCTACGAGTACGTACAAACCATAGGCGTACTGGGGAGGGATTACGAGGAGACCACTTTACAATGCTTACAATGGCTCATGTTGGCACAAGCCCAAGAACTTACCTGGAATAAGGCCATATCTAACATATCCATGAAGAATACCGTGATTGCAAGATTGTCTATCAAAGTGTCTGAAATGTACGCCAATGCTCTTGAATTTGCCGACAAGTCCGATTCGATAATTTTGGATTGGATCAACCAATTCAAGGTAAAAAAGCGACACTTTAGTGCTGCAGCACAGTACCGCATGTCAATCGTCTCACTAGATGCATTTGAATATGGAAAGCAGGTGGCTTATCTAAAGGAAGCATCATCCTTCTGTTCGGAAGCTGGCAAATATAAGCGTTATGTGAATGCAGCCGTCATAGAAGATCTACAGGGCCTAACCACTATGGTTAATGAAACGCTTCGAAGTGCCCAGAAAGACAATGACTTAGTGTATTTGAAGCCAGTGCCCAATTTCCAAGATCTACCTCCAATAAATGGAGTATCCATGGTCAATGCCGAGGTTCCAAAGCGATTGCACGAGAGAGGAGATATTCCAAAGGCATTTGCCACTCTTTTGCCCTTCGCTATTATCCAAGTTGCTCAAGCCTTTAAGGAGAGGTATGAACAATTTATTTCACAATCGTTCCATATTCCAGTCGAAGCACTCACGAGGATGTTGGTGAAATTCCTCACTGATAATGATTTGCCAGCCTCGATAGATACGCTTCAGAAGCCTGAGAGCTTGCCTGACTCAATCATTCACCACTCGCAGGAAATTATGTCTATCGGAGGTATCAGGTTGATGGAGTCTTCCATGTCAGAAATCTCAAAATTGGCAGCAAAGGCTCACGATCTCATACAATCATGCGAGGAGAGACTTCGTATGGAAAAATATGAAGACAATTTAATGAGAGAGCGCGAGGGCTCGGCGAGATGGAACAGGCTACCTTCTCAAGTTGCGGCTGGTGATTTCACCACCAGATTGGGCAAAATGAAGGAATACCTAGAGCGAGGCCATCAAAGTGATATTATGATTGGGGATAACTATGCCTCTATCAGGAAGTTTTTGGAGATTTATTGTGCTGGTCAGGAGGCGTTGATCAAAGCGATTCCCAGATCCACCCTTTCGAACCTCAGCTCCGCAGTAGCGCATCTGGTAGCAGAGTTGCGAGATCTACTTAGAGAGGCAGACTCCTTAGAGAAGAGCAGACACAGGTTTCTTTCCAGCATTAACATCAAGGCAAGGGACCATAGCATTCTTCCAGCTATTCTCAACGAGTTTAAGAAGAATCCAGAACAGTACCAGGACTCCAAGGGTAATATTGACACAACGAAATTAGAGGCAGTTTACGAACGCCACATCAAATTCTTCAGTTCTGATCTCAAGTTCTTAGAAAATCTGAAAGAACAACAAATCGAACTTGAGAAGAAGATCCACGAGGCGAATGCTGGCTTCTCTCAAGCGAGAACCGTAGACTACGACAAATCGCAGAGAAAACGACTCGAGGTTCTTCAAAGTTTTGAAGAAGCATATGCTCAATACTTGGACCTCGTATCAAACTTGAATCTGGCCTCCAAGTTCTATGGCGATTTTCTCGAGAAAGGAAGTGTGGTTCTACGTGAATTAGATGAGTTTCTCTACTCCAGGCGAGAGGAAGCACGAGAGCTCGAGATCTCCATCCATAATTCCGACAAGTTTAGTGAAATCGAACATTCAATGTCGAATTCAGGGTCGTCCTTGCCTGCACCAAGGGGCCAGAAAGCGAACACCTGGGACACTTCTAAAGGTATTCACTTATCTTGATCATGCACAGGAATCAACAGTGCGCACACTTCACCAAGGTTTTTCGATGAGTATGGAGAGTACATGATCCTACGGTATCTTCGATATATGAAGAATTACGTCATGACGCAACCAAAGAAGAACATCATCACTATTGTTGGCACCACCGGGGTGGGCAAGTCGCAAGTATGTAACAATTCCTTGTATTATGAGAACGTTCTAACAACATTCAGTTAAGTATAGACTTGGCCAAGGCCATCAATGGAGAGATTATCAACGCCGATTCTATGCAAGTATACAAGCGTATCCCCATTATATCCAATAAGCATCCAATAAAAGATAGAAAGGGCGTGCCGCATCATGTCATGGACCATGTTGAGTGGAATGAAGACTACTTTATCCATCGATACAGCGAGGAAGCAAACGCTGCCATTTCAGATATCCATTCGAGAGGTAAGACTCCCATCATTATTGGAGGCACTCATTATTATCTACAGAATCTTATTTTCAAGAATAAAACCGTTGGAGAGAAAGAAGACAAGGAGACTTTGAAGAAACTCAGTGCGGAGGAGCAAGAGCTACTAGATGGCCCAGTCGAGGCGATTTTCCAGAGGTTAACGGAGGTCGACCCAGTGATCAGCGAGAAGTTTCACCCACAAGACAAGAGGAAGCTCAGAAGGGCACTTGAAATATTCTTGACAACTCGCCAGAAACCCAGTGAGATTTATTACGAGCAAAAACTAGATGAGATCGAGGACTCATCATTGAAGTTCAACAGTCTACTTTTCTGGCTATATTGCGAGCCAGAGACTTTAAAGGAACGTCTCGATAAGAGAGTGGACGCCATGATGGACTCGGGAGCGTTGGCGGAAATCCAGGAAATGAACGCTTTCTATCAAAGGGAAGACCCAAGGCCAGATTGTACCAATGGAGTGTGGCAAGTTATTGGATTCAAAGAATTCCTTCCTTGGCTTGAAAGTGGTCAATCCAATCCAAATCTATTTCAAGAAGGTGTCGAACGAATGAAGATTCGAACTCGCCAGTACGCTAAGTATCAAGTCAAGTGGATTAAGAAGTTATTGGGTGTAGAACTCAATAAGGAAGCACGCTTCAATTTCAAATATGGAGGAAAAATGTACCTTCTCGATGCAACGGATTTGAATCAGTGGGAAGCAAATGTCGGAACCCGAGGTTGCAAAATTGCTGAGCAATTCCTTACAAATGGACCACTAGGAGTGGTAGAACCTCAGGCACCAGTGGCCCTTCTCAGCATACTTCCAACTTCCGAATTCTACGAGGAGTTCAACAGCAATAAAACCATTAAATCCGTATCTAACTGGAAACATTTTGAATGTCCTGTTTGCAAAGACTCAGAAGGGAAGCCGTTTATCGCTGTGGGAGACGACAATTGGAAAGTTCATGAGAAAAGTAGAAGACATAAAAAGCAATTAGGCTCTGCTGAGCGGAAGAGAAAGCATGAGGAGACATTGGCCAAGTTCAAGAAGGCCAAGGAGGAGGAAAATGCTGCTTAGAAAGCAGAATTATATATAGCATGTCGATGGTAATCTGGTACTATATAGTTAGAATGCTTTGTCGCTTAAGATTTAGTAGTAGATAATTGTTAATAATATAATAATGAAAGAGAGTGGGAAGCTAATCAGAGACGTATGCTGAACAAACGCTCATTGATAAACAACGGAAAACTGGCTTCAGTGATTGAAGACAATAGGAATTAGGTAGAAAACATGTGGCAGCTAATCAGGAAGCCGATGAGTCCTATTAGTTGGGCAGCCAGTTAGACGTAAAAACACAGCTGGTCATCGTAAAGTGTCTCTAGATGAGTCACCATATCTAATTGTAAGTGGGAACTAGGATTTCAGCAGTAGAAAGGCTTTTGTACGTCCTTTATTTGGATAGACAATTTCAAATAAGTTCATACAATAATAGATATGGCCAATACAAAATTTGTTCCTTCTTGTGAAGAAAATGAAGATTAGGTAAATATGGCATACAACTTCTATATGGGTTTGGTTTTCAGCGTTTATAAAGCTTCAAGCCATGTTTTTTCGTTTTTTCAGTTAGTTTGTTCAATATGATTTACATTTAATTAAAAAATTCATCAGCTTCGTTCCTCATGGCCCAATGGTCAAGGCGTCTGGCTACGATTTCGTAACCACTTCTCGGTTGGAACCAGAAGATTCCAGGTTCGACTCCTGGTGGGGAAGCTCTTTTTTTTTGGCGATTCTTCTTTCGCGAGCTTTTCTTCAATCATCAAAACTGTTCTGTGTCCAAACATACACAAATCCAGTCTTTTTTCCCCTTCATCTAATCCCATCTGATTTCCCTATAAATTACACTACATATTCACCCTCCAGAATCCCGACTTGGCGCTCCCTAATGAAGATTTACAGCATTTACATCCTCAACAAAGCAGGAGGTTTGATCTACCAAGCTGATCTAAATCCTGGCCTTTCGAAACTCTCAGTCAACGACTATTTGGTGTTGGCAGGTACTTTACATGGTGTACATGCTATTGCTACGCGATTGCGTCCAGAAGAAGCTCAGAGTACCCATGATGATCCAGCTACTATCAATTCGTCCATTATTTCTACTGGCAAGGCAAACACTCCTGATTCCAACCGGCTGGGACTTCAGAGCATCGAAACAGATTACTTCAGTCTGTATGTTTTCCAGACATTGACAGGAATCAAGTTTTTTATTATCACATCTCCCGCTAAACCTGTGGACCAGGTTGCGCCCGCAAGTTCGTCGGATCGAAGTTTGAAGAAGCAATTAGACGTTGCCAGTGATATTTTCAAGAAGATATATTTGTACTACTGTGATTATGTGATGAAGGATCCATTCTACTCTCTTGATATGCCGATCAAGAGTCCAGTATTCGAGGCTAAGGTCAAGGGTCTAGCCAAAGCCTGAAGTAGAGGCCTGAAACGAGGTGAAGCATGGACACATAAGGGGCTTAATGAAATACTGTATTTGCATGATGAAATGTCACAGAGATATCAAATATCGTAAAGACTACGATTTTGGGGACAAGTTTGCATGTTTCTGACGCCGCAGCAACTTAAACATTCTACACTACATTCTGGTGTTTCAAGGGATCTGCTGACAACACAGTGGTAGAAATCCGACTTGAATTGATTGAATAGATGGTTATACTAGACTCACAGGTGCAATCTATAAGTCTGAGTGATCCCATAGTGCATGCTCAAATCGTATCCCGTAACTTCCAAAAACTCAAACTAGAAAAGCTTTTACATAATCTATGATTTCAGACCTCCCCAATTATATAATCTTAGATTGTAGTTTTAGATTCCAGAATCCTTTGGTTTGTATTACTATATTCACAAATCCTTATCAGGATATTGTGCACACCCTCATCACAAATTTTTATATCAACCATGACTGAACAGGTGAAAGAGACCAAGCCTGACTTGGACACGAGGATCGGAAAAGATTCGCCCTTTACATTTGGTCAGCGGTTTCTCACAGACGACAAAGATGTGTTTGACCACAATGCTTGGGACCATGTTGAATGGGGAGATGAGCAAGTGGAACAAGCCAAAGAACTCATAGCCAAGCAGTACGAACTGCCGGTGAAAGATTTCGATAAGAAGTTGTATAATGCCAACCCTGCAAAATTCTGGGACATATTTTACAAAAACAACAGAGAAAACTTCTTCAAGGACCGAAAGTGGCTTCAGATTGAATTTCCATCGTTGTACAAGGTAACTGCCGAGGACTACGACAAGCCAGTCACTATTTTGGAGATTGGATGTGGCGCAGGAAACACATTCTACCCAATTTTGAACCAGAACAAAAACCCCAACCTTAAAATCGTGGGATGTGACTACCTGAAAGTTGCCGTGGACTTGGTTAAGAGCAACGAAGAGTTTGAAGCAAACCACGAGAAAGGCGTGGCATTTTCTTCTGTGTGGGACCTTGCCAACCCTGAAGGTAATGTTCCAGAGGACTTAGAGCCGAATTCTGTGGATATTGTCATCATGGTATTTGTCTTTTCTGCATTGCACCCAGACCAGTGGAAACAGGCAGTTGCAAATTTGCAAAAGGTGTTGAAACCCGGAGGAGAGATTCTCTTCCGTGACTATGGCCGTTATGATTTGGCACAGGTGAGATTCAAGAAGGGAAGATTGCTTGACGATAACTTTTACATTCGTGGAGACGGCACTAGAGTGTACTTCTTCACTGAGGAAGAATTGAGGGAGATCTTCTGCACGGAGGGTCCTTTTACCGAGGAAAAGATCGGAACTGATAGACGGTTGCTTGTCAACAGAAAGAAGCAGCTCAAAATGTATAGGATCTGGCTTCAGGGAGTTTTCCGCAAGCCGGAGTAATTGGTCTTGGAGACGGCAACCACAATATACAAGAAATTATCAAGATGACAAAACGTAGACCACACGTCCAAAATAGGTGTGTCATATAAGACGTCCACATTGATTCCGTGGATAAAAGCTTCAGCGGAGTCGCTCCCAAACATCTCTGGTAACCATTGAGCGAGAACATCACGAAGGGTAGTTTGTTTCTCCAGATCTTTAGCAGGGAATACAGGAGCCTGAATTAAAGTTGATGATCCGGCCAAGTAAAGCTTGATAGGGACTCTTAGCAATGTTTTCAGAAGGACTTTATTCATGATTGAAGTGAAGACCCCATAGTCGTGATTTGCTATGGCAGTCCATAGAGATTTCGTATCATTCTCGCTCAAATTCATCACGGCCCGCGAGTTTCCAGTCATAACGTAGCACGACTGCTTGAGATGGTTTATGAAGAGCTCATTGAGCAGCTTTTCATAGTCAATAATACCACCGTTAGCTTGGAATGGGATGATGTCATCTTTTGGAAATGCAACGTCCCGCGTCTCATACTGTAGCTCAAGGGTCCAATTCTCGCTTGCAGAGTGGGTCGGAAGAAAGAGCAAGTCGTAAAGGACTCCCACAGGGAGATTCCACTTTAAAGGTACGTCCTGATACTGTAGCCATATCTTGCGAATGTCTTTACCTAAGATAGTCGTGAAGAATCGGGCAATCACAGGAAAATACAATGGAAAGTATGAATTCCTGTGGACCAGAAGAAGATATTCTGCGCCATCTCGAACAATCCGGACGTTGATGGAGCCATTCCACACTCTATGCTTGATATTGTTCATGATAGTGAGTGAGTGCATAGGATCATTAGGATAAGAGCAGGATGAGAGAATGTGCGAGACGTGAGAGAAAGAGCACCACAATGATAAGAATAGAATGTAACTTCACTAATTCATCTAGTGATTAGGAGAAGCTGACTCAAGTGATAGGTGAATAAAATACAACTCTGGCTTAGATCGGCTATCGTGCTGATGCAGTGCTCAGTGTCAATCATCAAATGTCTCAAAATATATGGCAAATTCTTCCTAACCACACAGGTTATACATAACATCCAACAGGTTTAGATCCTCGGCATTTCATGGCATGTCACGGACCTGACCCAATTCGGCGCGTGTCAAGCTTCAAGGGTTAAGTGTCAAGGTTAAATTTGGACCAACAGCTAATAGATGAAATAAATTTCACAAGTGGAATTGTTGCACCGCACCTCATAATCCTCTGGCAAAATAAACATTTCACCTCATAGGATCAGTGAAATCAAATCCCCGCTTCCGGAAGCAGCCAGCACCTTGACATTGGTGTACGAATGGGTAACATATCACCGTTGCATGCTAATGATCCAGGTTTAGCTTTCGGTGCGTCTAGTCATGCAAGTGACCATCAATTCGCACCCAATCTTGTGGTGCGACCAGCCACCCCGGCACACTATACCTTCTGTTCCACAAAATAATATGACCAAGCGCAGGCACAATGTGGTTCTTAAGTGCTTGGATTGCCGCTCCACTCCGACCTGATCTGCTACTTATATCGCCAAATCCCCACCCCCAGTTTCATTGCCATATGCTGCCTTTTATCATGACTAAAGCGCGCACCAAGAAGCCTTCTCAGGCAAAACCAACCGAGGACTTGATTCCTCCAGTGCGGCCCTCCGAACAACGTTCTCTCGACCTTTCCAATGCCGCAGGATCTTTTGTACCTGCCCAACACACCTTGGACGATATCCCCATGATTCCGTTTCTCACTGCTGACAATACCAAGAGGAGCAAACGTAGAGTTGTGAGTATGCCGGTCTTTCCGCTGATTGACCTGCAAATGCTCAATCGCAGCAAATCGCAAAATGAGGGTAGATCCAAAAACGAAAACCAATTAGGCAACCTGGACGTGCAAAAGACAGAACGCAAATCTGAACGGCCCAAGAGTGAATCTGCTAAACCTAGCAATGATGGCCAAAAGTATAGACTTGAAACATTGGACCAACGGTCGTTGGCCCCACTCCCGTTGCCAGGTAAAGATGTCAAATCCAATGCTGGTTCGGGTTCCGGTACATTGGCCGCGTCAGGGCTGCACACTACACTTGATCCAGGAACGAAATCTGACCTATCTTTGATGGATAAGCTTCGGTTATTGAGGCTGCACCTGGTGAAGGGAGGTAAATCCAAATCGAGATCGTCGAAGTCGAAATCGAAGTCTAAGTTGAAGACGAGGGGAAAAAGAGTGGTGTCGTCGCCTGCTGCTCTCACTCCTCCACCACCTCCACCTAAAGACAAAAAGGTGCAGCCAGCATCGCGCAGAGTGGTGACCAGCCTAGCTAGAGAAACCATTGCCGAGGTGGACGAGGAAAATGACGGAAGTCCCATTGTGGAGAAAGATTTGAAGGCAGAGCAACACTCTAACTTCGCAAAGTACATTGCTGAACAAGTTTCTAATGGTGAACAAACTTCCAATATGGAACAGGTTTCCACTGGCGAACAAACATCATCTATTGGTGAAGTCATCACCATGTCAGACCTTCTGGTTCGTCCACTTCAAATTTATCAACTTCCAGCCTTGGATCCAATTCTGGAATCAACAAAGAATACTCTGCCAACAGATACAATTTCCAACAGCTTTTTACAATCGTATTTGGATAACCTGCTGGACAACAGTCGACGTCTGCTGACAGAATCGGTGCTGAATATTTATGAGACATACTTAGGTTTCGTCTCTGAAGAATCTCTTCATTCAGATGCCAGTTCTGTTCCTTCAGATGTTCACTCGGGTGCTTTGGAATTATCAAGCGAGACAAATTCAGCATCGAGTGTTTACAGCGAATACAATGAAGCCAACAACGAGGTGGATAGTTTATTCGAAAGAGAGGCCAAGGGATCTGATCTGTCTCCTCTCAGTGTTTATCATACTCCGGGCGAGAGGTCTCCAATCAGTGGATACCAGACACCCATCAGTGATATTCTGATCCCTCTGGTCCATCTAGTTCGTCCTCCGCCTGAGTCATTACTGGTTCCACTGTTGCATGTTCTTCCGATTCCAATGCAACCAGGGAACTCAATTCACCAAGCACTCGACTCAGGAGTGGGACAAGGGGGACCAATGGAACCAGAGGAACCACAAGAACCACAAGCACCGCAAACATCACAAGTACCACAGGCATCTCAGGTACAACGGGAGCGACCGGCACCAACGGGACCACTACAAGCACCTCCGTTACCACCTCGAAACGTATTCCTTAATAGGGACCAACCTCAGCATGAACCTCAGCATCAACATCAGCATCAGCATCAGCATCAGCATCAACATCAACATCAACATCAACATCAACATCAGCATCATCAACACGAGAGTGAACTTCAACAACAGCATATGGAGCAACAGACGCAGCAAGATATCTCAGAATTAAATTATCAAATGCATGCATTTCCAAATGTTCCTGGAATTCTGTCTGATCTGATACCCTCGGTTCCTCAGGTGAATGTTATTCCCTTGGAGCATCACGATGGCCCGTTGCTGGTTCCGCTGCTTCAAGTACTTCCTCTACAGCAACAACAGCAGCAGGACTACCACCACCAGATGCAAGATGTACCTAAACAATTACCTCCGGTTCCGGCTCAACTTTTCCCTTTCCCACCATTTCAGCACACCGAGCATTCTCAATTAGCACACCCTCAGCATCCACTGCCTCCACTTCCCCCTCTACCTCCATCACAAGAACAACTTCAACCCCCACAGGTTGCTGTTCCAATGAGAGTCAAGGCAGAGCAACAAAAAGCTGAGGAAGACCTTCGCGAAGTTCCTGAAGTAAAGATCGATCCACCTTCAAAACCAGCAGCCGATCTACAACAGCTTCCACAGGTTATTGTTCAAAAGCCTCGAATTTCTTCTCTTCAAGTGGAATCTAAACGTCGTGTGCACCAGCAGCCTTTCAATCTGTCTTCTCAGACACAAAAAGTCGAACAATCTAAGAGAAAATCACTACCAACCGTCCCCGGCCGTAGAGTCGTCAGTGAATACATGGGTTTAAAGGAGCCATTTGGTTACTGTCTCGACACGGGCGCAGATTACCAAGCTTCACGCTTCATGATCCCTCAAAAGGAAGCTGTGAGGAGGAGGTTGGGCGAAGAATATGCTCCTCTGAACAGACAATACAGTACAGCATACACGGAATACAGAAACAAGAGTCTTCCAGCCTCTCCTAGTCATGAAGAGAAGAGATATTTAACAAAGGAACGAAGACAAGCTTCAAGGGAGATTCCAAGGGAAAACAAGCCTAGTGCAGAGCCAATAGGAAAGCCTCGACCTAGGCCGTTGTCAGTGCCAGTTTTCCAGATCAAGTCATTTATCAGTCATAAGCAAGCTGCACGAGAGAAGGATGTAAAGCGTCGATCGGTAATCTACTAAGAATTTGCTTGTTGATGACCTGATATTTAGAGCTTCACGATGAGCTCATCATTCTTATACAACCTAATTAAGTCAGCAATGCCGTACTTGGCGGCAATGGTATCGTTGATGAACCTTCCTCCCAAGTAATGAACCTTTCCAGGTTTGGAGAACTTTTCAGCACATGGCTTTGGAGCCGTCAAGCTAACTAGCATGGTCGCATCGATATCTTGATCGATGGGACCCTCATCCACATCCCATCCGGAGGGAATATCCACGGAAACTATGGGAGCTATAGACTTTGAATTTTCAGATAAATAGGTAATCAAGTCATCATAAGGAGCACGTATAGGCGGACGGAATGAGAATCCAAAGAGCGAATCTACAATCACTGAAACCGACAGGTCATGCAACAACTGCTTAACCTCTTCCAATGTATCGACCAGAGACACACCCAATTGACTCAATTGGGTGGTCAAGTTAATATAGAGGTCTTTCTTGGGTCTTTTAGGGTAGTACAAGATAGGCTCGTAATTTCTCCAGAGCTTCAAGTGACGAGCACATACCAAACCATCACCTCCGTTATTTCCTGGCCCGACCAACACCAACACCTTATTGGTGGACTTTGTAGGTGGGTACTGGTTGTAAATGGCTTTGGCTACGGCTAGACCTGCTAGCTCCATGAGTTGATCAATGGAAAATGCTCCTGTGGACATGAGTTCCTGATCGAGCTGGGCGGCCGCTTTGGCTGAGAGTGTTTTGAACATAGGAAGAACAGGGTATAGTTAGGTTTATTGGAGATAGATGTGGAGTGTGAGCATATCCAGGTTCCGAAGTCACGCAACTGGGGTATTTGGAACACACAGTACAGAGCAAATAGATCGGAAGTGAGTGGATGGGAAAAAAATACTGGCTGGGTATGGCATGGGTTTCAGACAACACTAATCAGAAATTTGGCTAATCGAAATTTGATTGAAAATCGAATGAAAGTTTGCTGAAAATTGAAAATTGATTGAAAGTTTAATGAAAGTTCATCAATTTTTTGATTGGCAGATATTGAAGTTAATGAAGTGTAACCAAGATTTCGTTGTGTTATCAAGACGTTCACAATTAAACAGACAGTCTTGGAATGTATTCTGATTGGCCTGATCTGAAACAACCTATTCAAATTGGCCAACTTCGCAATCCGCACCAATTGCTCCAGCCAAGTAATTGCTAGTTGTCAAATCTTGATAACACCGAATTCGCGTATCCATTCCTCTCTGCTTTCCACAAATTCATATACAAATTCGCAATTGCCACCAGTAAATCATACAATTGCCTGATATCCACTCCTCGATGCAAAAGCAGATTAATACTTTTAAGGAGCCCCAATGTACCCTATGAACATTATTTTCTTGTATGTTGCTTGACTTGTCTCAGCCAGGATTGCTACGCCCGGAGAAATTTATTCCGACGTGCCGGACAAAGATAAGAAAGATAAGGAGGAGTGGAAGTTAACATTCACCTTCATCCTACTTTTTTTTCTTTCCAGTAGATGTTGGTGTTGTTGTCGTTCTTCACAGCGTTATTTATATTCTGCCACTGGTGTCTCTTCCAGATCCTCTGAATGCGAGCAGTTGGCACTCGTCAATAGGGTGAATGTTGCACTGGCTGAAACACGTAAAATTCAAACGCATAGTAGATAGTCCACCAGCGTATACTGGAAGCTGGTCTTTCGGTACGGGCCTGAAATGGCTTATAGATGAGACTGACTCTCTGTAAAATCATTTCACAAAGGTAAGGTAGTTTTCAGCGTTCGTTGGAAATAGAAAATGTATGTTCAATAATTTCATCGGCACCAGTAGGAGAAATCAGTAGGAACTCCATGTACGAAAATTGAAGGTAAGAAGAAGGTTGCAAAAAGAAAACGGATTCTGAAAATTGGAGAAAGCCCGACTTGTGAACTTGATGTTCAAGACTGAGATTCCCATGATCGTGGAAACTTGATTCCTCAGTTCCTTCAGACAATCCTGTCGTTTCTCTCATTCCTCCATTTTATCTCCCTTAAGTTTTAGTCACAAATAGCCTTCTCCTTTCTAATCATGGCTTAGTTCAATTAACTCCGGATTCACACTATTCAAAAGTTGGGTCTATTCATGTTGCAAATTCAACAGCCATTTTGCTATCACCAGCTTGTGTTGTGAATCTCGTAACTCTGACAGAAGAACATAATGATGACGCGAATATAATATGTGAATGAAAACTGCCAACCAAGCATACATCTTTCTTTTCCCCTCACCCCACACTCCCCGTTTTCAACCTTTCCACAATCGGAAAAGAAGAGAATTATGAAAAGTTTGCTATCATCTATCGACATGTGGAGCTCTCACACCGGGGCCCAAATGATATGAAACACTGATTTAATATAGCCTCTAACCTTGAAATTCTCATCTCCGGAGATAAAATTTTAAATCCGGATGTATAAGGAAATGCATATTTCGGGGCAGTGACGCGGAGATAGGAGCTGAACTCCTCCGCAAGTCTCATCAAACTTCGAATAGTTTTTGCAATATATGTGGAAAGATATTCCCAAATCGAACGGATGACCTCCAACTAGAATGTAGATACAATTATGCGCCCCACTATGCAGCTACTGGTGGCTCAAAAGGTAGAGTATCAGCCATTCACACACGGAGTTGCCGAAACCTGTCAAGTGCTGTACTTACAAACGACCGAGGCGGGTTTAATTTGTGGGGTCCATTGCTGTATAAGTATATTTACCCACAAATGTTTCCTTGTGCCCTATTTACATCAAACAAGAATGGTTAGAAAGAGTATCTCGTTCGAGTCGCAAGGACTAAAGTGTGCTGCCTACTTATATCTTCCAGACACCGAAGAAAAGAGACCTGTTATCGTCATGGCTCATGGCCTTGGAGGGATCAGAGAAATGCGATTGGATTCTTTTGCAGAGGAGTTTTGTAAAGTTGGCTATGCTTGTGTTCTCTTTGACTATAGATATTTTGGTGCATCTGAGGGTACTCCCAGGCAGTTATTGGACATCGAAAGTCAGATCCAGGACTGGAAGGCGGCAATAGACTACGCCAGGCACTATTTGGAGGTGGACCACGAAAAGGTGATAATTTGGGGATCGTCTTTCTCTGGTGGCCACGTCATTCGTTTGGCTTCAGAAGATAAGAACATTTTCGCAGCCATGTCACAGTGTCCATTCACTGATGGGTTTGCATCGGCAGCTACCAGCAATTTATTTACTTCGGTGAAGTTGGGTGCCCTTGCTATTGCGGATTTGGTGGGATCCAAGTTCGGTAGAGACCCGATCTACGTTCCTTTGGCTGGTGAGCCTTCTCTGACTGCGTTCATGACTGCACCCGATTGTCTTCAGGGTTACCTTAATTTGGTTCCAGACAACGAAGACAAAGCTAAGTTTGAGAACAAATGTGCTGCACGGTTAGCACTTCAATTATCAACTGCATTCCCAGGGAAGCGGGCTAAAGATGTCGAATGTCCGATACTTGATGTGTATGTGACAATGATACTCTTGCACCAGCAGAGACCACCATTGCACATGTCAAAAAGGCGAAGAAAGTTGTGGTGAAGCAGTACCCATATGGACATTTTGAAATTTATCTAGGCGACCCATTTGAGACCGTGTTGAAGGACCAACTTGATTTCTTGAAGAAAGTAGCTGGATATTAATGGAGAGCACTGATTTGTTGGATTATGATTACTAGGGTGTACTTTCGTTTCTTTTAACGCTTTCCACTCTATTTATATATTATGTATAAGTAACAATACTCATGGTGTATTGAATTTATTGTTCCAAATTGTTCACGGCATTCATCAGTGCCTCCGTATCCAATCCTTATTTGGCCCACTCCTGCTCAATGCGGATCTCACTAGACGACTATATGCTGTTCGCTAATAATGTATGCGGCTCCTTTCTGTCCTTTCTGGACGATTACCTTGCCGTTTTCGCTTCCGAAATGCAAAACTGAAAAGTAAAAAAAAACCAGAATATTCTAATTTTCCGAATCAGCCTATTTATCTAATTTTTTTTAACTTAATTATCTCCTTTTTCCCCTTAATGCACATTAATTGTCCGTCGCTCCACGGTGCCTGAGTGTTTCGTTGACCGCGACTCCGGCACAAAGTACATACCAAGGTGATCCAGAGAAACTGCGAGAAATTTCCCAATAACAACTCTGGCTATAGATAGGAAGACCAGCTGGGCTCATTCCACGAGAAGCAACACCCTTTCACGCCATGGATTACTCGCTTCAGCTGCCATCGTCGATGGTTAGCAACTCGCCTATGATCAACTACCGGAAAGATGCCAGAAAAGCCATAAAGTTTACCTTCATGGTAGCCGGAGAACTGGGGACAGGTAAGTCCACCTTCATTAACTGTCTATTGAACAGAAAAGTAATGGGCCATACTTACGAGGGAATCAACAAGGCGTTGGATACCAAGACGTTGGCATTCACTCTGGCCACGTCGGTTGCCTTGCCCAATACGGCCATTTTGGCACGCAACGAGTTTGACGCGTCCGCTGCTCATGAGGAGCCTGGAATTGCATTGACAGAGACAAAGGTTGAGAGTATCGACGAAGATAACGTTCGTTTGCAATTAAATATCATCGACACCCCGGGTTTTGGTGATAACTTAAACAACGAACTCTGCTTGAACGAGATTGAAAATTACTTGAAGCAGCAATTTGATTTGGTGTTGGCCGAGGAAACCAGAATCAGAAGAAATCCCCGTTTTGTAGACACAAGAGTCCATGTGTTGCTCTATTTCATCACCCCTACCGGTCATGGATTAAGAGAATTGGACATTACATGTATGAAACGCTTGTCAAAATACGTCAACATCATACCAGTTATTGGCAGAGCAGACTCATTCACCGAATCTGAAATCCAATATTTCAAGCAGCAAATCAGAACAGACATTGAACGCTTCAATGTTCCTGTTTTCCAGTTCGACAACTACATGAACGACTATGATGAAGAAGAAGATTACGACTTGATCCAAGAGTGTAAATATTTGACCAGCTTGCAACCTTTTGCTGTCGTTGCCTCCGAGCAAGATTTCGAGATCAGAGACAACACCACTGGCCAGACCAAGACCATAAAGGCCAGACAGTACCCATGGGGATTGGTGGATGTGAACAACCCCAAGTACAGTGACTTCTCGGTATTGAAGTCTGTTCTTTTAGGGTCGCACTTGCAAGATTTGAGAGACTTGACCCATGACTTCTTGTACGAGACCTATAGAACCGAGAGATTGACCAAGGTTACTGGATCTGGTAACGACCAAGAGGACACATTCCATGACACAACGGAACATGACATTCTGAATGCCACTGTTCCATCAATGTCCAACTTGGCGCAATTGACTGAAGGAGAACCTGATACCACCACCAAGTTTTACGACAAAGAGGATTCGGACGAAAACACATCACTTGCTTCCAACCTGTCAAGAAAACCCAAGACCATGTTGTTGGATGACGACTCATTAGAAGGCTCGCCCAAGCTTAGAGACTCTTCGTCTTTCACGTCATCAGTATCGACATTCTCCGATAACAGGTCTGCCTCTGCCCGTAGCGACAATTCGTTCAAGAGACATTCGATTGGACCTCAACGTAACCAGCTAAGACAGATCTCCGAGACAGTTCCATACGTGATCAGACATGAGAGAATCTTGGAAAGACAGCATAAGCTTGAGGAGATGGAGGTTGCTAGTGCTAAGGAGTTGTCCAGTAGAGCAGCGATGTTGGAGAAGAAGGCAGCTGAATTAAAGGCCAAGGAGAAGATGTTATTACAAAGACTAGAGGAGTACAAGAAAAAGCAGGCCGAAAAAGTTGCAGCCGAGGAAACGATTGACGAGAGCGTGGAGCCGACCGGCAATCAGACGGAGAACGGAGATTTTGACAGCGAACACGCCGTGGAGTCTTCCGGCAATTATTCTAGGATTCAAAAAGAGGAGACACTTACAGATCTACACTCAATTGTGAAGGACGAGTAATAATGGAATACGGATAGCTTTATGGCAGAAACCATTTGCATTGTAGGAACCCAGTAACAGCGATAGCCCCAAGGAGATACACTACCCAAGGAAAAGTGCGCGTAGCCAGAGATTGCATAGTGGCTACAGCAATAGCGAAACCACAAATTTCACTACCAACCTATCAATCCGTGTAAGACTAGAGAAATCACAATTTGCCTTTCGACAACGCACATTTCGAAAAAGCAACTTCAAATCAAACTCAACTTCTCACCCACCTGCTGTCGAACGTTCCAAACCAGCAATTATCCCATACTATCTCCTACACATGGCACAGCAACCACCCACAGGAACACTCCTCTATCGACTTGTTGAGATCAGCACGACCAAACACTAGGAAAAAAAGCCCACTCTCCATCTACCGTCTTCCATCACCCTCCGATTCCGACCCCTTCCCGTCAGAATCAGAACCCCAAACTATTGACGATGGACATTGCTCGTCTTTTGGAATCGGCGTTGCTAGCCACTGACGCCTCTGTGCGTAATCAGGCTGAACAGCAGTTGCAAGAGTTGGCTGCCTCTTCTTACCAGCAATACATGCTCTACCTTTCCGAGGTGTTGGTCAATGCCGAGGCAAAGCCAGAGGTCAGAATGTTGGCCGCACTCGGTATGAAGAACCAGTTGACTTCTAAGGATAGCCGTGTGAGAGCAGATCAACATTCTAAATGGTTAGTATTGGACCCCCAAGTGAAAGAGAAGATTAAGGAGGCTGCTATGCAAGTTTTGTTGGGAAATGAGGAGCGTATGGCCTCATCGGTGCCGCAGTTGGTTAGTGCCATTGCTACCATCGAGTTGCCTCGCAATGAATGGCCTACATTGATTCCCACCATCATTGAGAACACCAAGACCGACAAACCCACCCAGGTGAAACGTTCATGTTTGCTTACCATCGGATACATCTGCGAGAGTGCTGATGCCAATGATCCACAGATTCTTTCCCAGAGTAATGGTATTTTGATTGCCATTGTCCAGGGTGTTCAGTCGAGCGAGCCTTCCACCCAAGTCAGATTGACGGCATTGAATGCGTTGAGCAATTCGTTGCAGTTCATCAAGCTCAACTTCCAACGCGAAGGTGAACGTAACTTCATCATGCAAGTGGTGTGTGAAGCTACCCAGGCTTCCGACTCCGAGTTACAGGCGGCCGCTTTTGGGTGTCTTGCTAAGATCGTGCTGATGTACTATCAACACATGTCCTTGTATATGGAGAAAGCTTTGTATGTATTGTCCATCCTGGGTATGCAGAGCAACGATGACAAGGTGGCATGTATGGCTATCGAGTTCTGGTCCACCATTTGTGAGGAGGAGTTTGACATTGCTTTCCAGCTCCATGAGTACGGTGAGCGTGAGGACCCAGCCACTGCTGACCTCCAATCCTACAACTTTGCACTTCTTGCCACCAACGATGTGTTGCCGGTTTTGTTGACGTTGTTGACGAAACAAAACGAGGACCCTGAAGATGATGACTGGTCTGTGGCCATGGCCGCTGGTTCCTGTTTGCAATTGTTCGCTCAAACCACTGGAATGTACGTGGTGGAGCCTACTCTCAAGTTCTTTGCTGCAAACATTGAACTGCAAGAGTGGAGAAACCGTGAGGCGGCTGTCATGGCTTTCGGTTCTATCTTGGAGGGTCCAGAGATTGACCAATTGAACGGCCCTATCCTGGAGGCGATCAAGCCAATCTTACACTTGATCAAAGACCCAACATTGCAGGTCCAGGAGACTACTGCTTGGTGTTTGGGTAAGCTCACTGAAGTTGCTCTTGCAGTCATCGACCTCGGTACTGAAATGGAGCCTTTGTTGGAAGCTTTGTTGGTTGCTTTGAACGGTCACCCTAAGGTATCTGTTAACGCTTGTTGGGCATTGATGAACATTTTAGAGCAACTATGCCCTGATGCTCCACAGCAGAACTCGAGTGTCATGTCTCGTTACTATGAGACCTTCGTTCCTGCTTTGGTTCAAATCTCCAACAAGGAAGACAACGAATACAACTCGCGCGCTTCCGCATATGAGGCTTTGTCTGCATTTGTTACTTATAGTGCTGTCGATACTATGCATATCATCCAGAGCATTGCTTTGGAAGTCTTGAACCGTTTGGAGACCACCATCTCTATGCAGCAACAAGCATACAACGCAGAGAGCAAGACCGCATTGGAAGAGTTGCAGATAAATATCTTGTCTTTATTGACCAACATTATTAGACGTTTGAGCCATGACGTTCTGGGTGCTGCTGACAAGTTGATGACCATGTTTATCAAGTTGTTGGATGCACAGCAGCCTAACGCTTTGATCGAAGAGGATATTTTCATTGCTATCTCGGCTGTTTCCAGTGCTGTGGGACCAGAGTTCTTGAAGTACATGGATCTCTTTATCCCATACTTGACCAAGGCTTTAACCAACGTTGACTCGCCAACCTGTATTACTGCTGTGGGTCTTGTTGCTGATTTGGCTCAATCATTGGGTACTGCTATTGGCCCATACTTGAATGGATTAATGGACATCATGGGTGCTAACTTGAGCAACAATGCTGTCAAGAGGGAATTGAAGCCCGCCATCTTATCCTGTTTCGGAGATATTGCAGGGGTTGTCGGCGAAGGTTTCTTTCCATACATGGAGATTGTAATGCAAATTTGCACGCAACTTGCCAACAGTGTTCCTGATGATAATTCATACGAGTCTATGGACTACGTCACCAACGTTAAGGAGGCTGTATTGGATTGTTATGTGGGAATTGTCAGCAGCTTGAGCACCAAACCCGACCTATTATACAACTTCCTTGGGCCTATCTTCCAGTTGATTCAACAGATTGCGGGAGACATCGAGTTGGCCATGAACGAGTCTACGGCACGCTCTGCAGTGGGATTGTTGGGTGACATTGCAGCCATGTACCAGGATGGTCAGTTGAGAAGCTTCTACGAGCAGGAGTGGGTCACCTCGTTCATCAAGAAGACTAGAAGCAACCTCACTTTCTCACAACAAACCAAGGATGCAGCTAGATGGGCCAGGGACAGGCAGAAGCGCCAAATCGGCTAGTCTATTTATTACTCTTTATTACCCATCCCTCTCTACTTCTCTCTCTGTCTCTCTCTTCTCACCTCTCAATCTTCTCTCACATCTCTCATCTCACATCTCTCATCTTTCATCTTTCATCTTTCATACTCTGTACATCTTTCATCCTCTACCTCTCTCCCTCTCCATCTCTCATCTCATTCATACTCTCATACTCTCTCATACACATTCTCATCAATCATCTCATCTAATAGATGGACTCTCATGATATCACGTCTCTTCTAAATATATCAATGCATAAATCTTATACATAAAAATGCGACAAAAATTCATACACTCTCTTTACTACCAAATGTCTTACAACCCGATACCGTTTGACCACACGTACATTGTGTACGATCCTTCGGATGTGGTATCTACGATATGCGTGCAATTTTCCCTTTTGCCAGTTTATATTATGGTGTTCTACACGTCGTGGTTTCTAATCACCAGAGAAATCGAGCCGGTTATAGTCGTGGGAGGTCACTTGCTCGGTGAAATTATCAATAAAATCATCAAACATATCGTCAAGCAGCCCAGGCCTGACTTCCATAAGGAGTTTGGTGCTGGTTCCTATGGGTTAACTTATGGTATGCCCTCTGCCCACTCACAGTTTATGGGTTTCTTTGCTGCGTACTTCATGTTGAATGTGTGGTATAGAGTTCCCTTACGAAAGCACTACAAAGTGGGCGCAAACTTGATCTTATCGGGCTGTGCGGTCACTGTGGCATTCTCAAGAGTATACTTATTATATCACAATATCCCTCAAGTAGTTGTGGGTGTGATGGTGGGGAGTACCTTTGGAGTGTTCTTCTTCCTAGTAGTGAGCATAGCAAGGGAGATCGGATTGGTGGACTGGGTGCTAGGCTGGCCCGTGGTACGTCTGTACTATGTCAAAGACTCATACTACCATTGTTACCAGACGTTTGCGCAAGAGCATCGTCACTATCGTCAGCTTCGAGCCAGCAAGTAGAGGGACATTGCAGAGGTAAGGTTCCACAAAAGTTTAGATAGAGGGGAATAGAGCTGTAAAAAAAGCACTTGTAATCTATAATGTATGGCTAGAAATTATCCCACTCGTCGTCATCGTCCTTGAGCAAGTTACTCGTACTTCCGTTCTTGCTGGACGAGCTGGTGTGTCCCAAGGTGGTTCTCTTCTCTGGTCGTTGCACACCAAAGGCAGGTTCTGGTTGCTTGTGCGTCAAGTTCTGGAAGTATTTGTCCACGGTTCCATTGATTCCATTCTGCTGAACGTCCTTGGTGAACGAGTTGAATGTCTCCTGACCATACTTACCTGTTTGCTGCATCTTCTGGCCGAACTGCGCCATGGCTCTCTTAGCTTCTGAACTGAAATCAGACTCCTGCAACTGGTTGAATCCGGGTTTAATCACAGACTCATGCACTTCCGTGACAGACTTGGCCACACTAGACGAGAAAAGGCCCCATCCCTTCGAAAACGTGCCCACAGGGTCCAGTTGCAACAGGTTGAATGAGAATCCACTAAACGACCCTTGGCCCAGGCTACTGGTTGCCTCCGGCGTATTACCAAAGCCACCGTACTTGCCACCTTGCGATGGGGGAAGATGATCTGGTCTCAGCTCGTTTTCACTGCCCAAACGAGCAAAGTATTCTTCGTTTCTAGCTCTGTCTGCACCAGCTGCCTGGTTGGTCTGGTTTCTGTAGTTGGAGGTAGGAGTAGGGGTTGCTGCAGTACTGGTTGCACTTGGCAAGCTCTGCTGTGAACGATCTTTGGCCACATACTCCCGTCCCTCAACCTCACATGCTAAATACTCCTTGTAGTCCTCAGCAACATAGTTATCGAATTTCTGCTTGGCGGGCAACGAAATGTCCACACCATGAGCAACAAAATATTCCTTACATTTGCCATTACCTCCTTTCTCCATGCGCAAAACCTCCTCGGGTTTAAACTGGTCCATGGTGATGGATCTCACAAAGGAAATGTGAACACCCAATCCACGGTGAATACCAGCACATTCAAGACAGATGAAAATACCAAACTTGGGAGAGGCCCACTGGGGGTTAAACGCGTCACAGTCAAAGCATTTCTTATTGCCACCTGTTTTTTGCAACAGCAAGAGCTTACGGCGGGTTTCGGGGTCTATGGACATGGCGGTGTAGTTTCGGATAGTAATTCCTGCGATTTGATAGGAATACTTTTGGTCGTGCGCGCCTGGCGATACGGCTGAGACAAATATTTACTACGTGGGAACAATTCTCATCAATCCACGAATATTTATTAGAATACACTCTAGAGCTTGCCGTTTTCCTGGGCGTTCTTCTTAGTGATCTCGACAGGGTACAAGTGCAGCGTGGACAGCAGGCCCAAGTGCCAACTTCCTCCATCCACAACTTGGACAGTTCCCGTGACATAGCTGGCTGCAGGAGAGAACAAGTACACAGTTGCTTCAGCAATGTCTTGGGTGCTGCCCAACCGTTGAAGTGGTACTTTACGGATACACTCGTTGATGTCGGGTACGAGTCTCTCTAAGCCCTCAGTGCCGGCAATGGGGCCTGGTGCGATGCAGTTGGACCGGATACCCAACGGTCCCAACTCCACAGCTAACGCGTTAGACAACGCATCTACACCTGCTTTGGCAGCTCCCACATGAACCTGGAAAGGCACACCGTAGTAATGCAACGTAGCACTGACAAAAATGATAGAGCCTTTCGTCTTTTTGAGCTCGTTGAATGTGGCTTTCGCGGTGTTGAACGATCCAAGCAAATCGATGTTGACAACCGAGGCGAACGCATTGGATGACAAGTGGTTGAAGTCAGCCAAAAAATTTCCTGCGGCACCTGCAATGACAAAGTCAATTCTACCCAACTCTTTAACGGTGAGCTCCACAGCTTTTGCAATCGACTTGACATCTCTCACGTCAGTGTTGGGACAGCTGATTACCTTCGCGTTTGGTCTCAACTGAGCCATCTCCTGAGCAGCCTTATCGGTTTTCTCCTTGTTTCTACCAACAATAGCAGCATCGGCACCAAGAAGAATCATCGCTTCAGTTTGCACGCGACAGATAGTGCCTGCGCCACCTGTGACGAATACAACCTTCCCTCTGAACAAGTCTGGCTTCCAGACCGAATTAGTTACGTAAGATTGATCCAATCCCATTTCTGTTCTTGTTTTTGAAGTGGAAGCTGTTGCGAAAGTTCTCCACTAAATATCATTCATGATTGATATCCGAGGCATGTGCAGGGTGTGAATGCGGGGGAGCTGCCGAGGGCCATCATACTTAATCCACCAAGGCTAAGTGGTCACACTTTGGTTCAGTGTTCGATTCTGGTCAAGCAGCTGGTCCTCGGGAATAGAAATGCTCACTCGTTTTCTTGAAGTACCGTTTGCTTCGGAGTTTTCTTCCGAACCTCCGAAAACCTCGCCATCCTCCCTCTCCTCATTACCTCTCTTAGTGCCGGAAATTTCCTTCTGGATATTTTCGAACATATTATTGTGATTGCCATTTTCTTGAACTTCTTCTTCGTCTTCTTCTTCACCCTTGCGTATTGGCGATGAGGGGTTGTCCGTGTAGTTCTCCGGCTCGGCATCAACGCTGGTCGCGGTTGGATCATTGAGCAGTTGCACATGGCTCTCCACAGTTAACATCAAATCTCTTCCTGTGGAAACGTAATCAATCTGGGTCTCCAAAAATGTTTTGTAATCGTTGTAGATATGCATGGCCAACTGGCGAAAGTTCTTTCCTATACTGCGCCTGATGATGATCTCCAAGAGGTCGAGGCACAGCGAGTTGGCAAGACTATTTTCATTTGCAACCATTCCAAAAAACTCAAAGTAGTCTTTGAAAAGATTGTTATCAATAATATGGCGACAGAACGGATAGTCATTGAGTAGTATGATGCTCTTGAAACATCTCATCACCCCCAATTTCAATGTGATCTTCAGTTTGGTTCGTAAGATCCTAAGAATACCTTTCAAAATATTATTATTGAAGAAAAATGGGCGGCATATGGACGGCTCATGTTCTCGGCAGCAGAAAGAAATGAGATCACATAAATGTTGGTAAAGAATCGGATCGTTCCTAGTCTTTTCTTCTGCTTCGGCGCATTTTTGTTCATCCTCACTGGCTAAATCAATAAAATCTCGGAAAAGAACAGGGGCAACCTGCTCATAAAATGCAACAAAGTGTCGTCTTGAGTGACTGGATGCGCTCAGCTCCCGCGACTTTTGTTCTGTATCATCTACCATGTCATTGCAACTCTCAGATGCACTCGCTGAAGTAAGTAGAGTCTTTATCGCCTCGTAGGCTTGAATTTTTAGTCCAGGGTTCTTGTCTTCAAGCAACAATTGGCCCAAAACAAGGGTCAACGACATTTCACTTTCCAAGTTAATACCCAAAGGCTCAGAATTGTCATGGTTGGCGTCGTCTGAATCTTCCATTCTATGTTCATGTACTGGTGGATCAAGTTCGTCCACATGCTCTTCAATGGTTGGTGAGTTAACAAGAGAGACATCTTGCTCGATTATCGTCACAAGAAGCTCCGTTCCCACGACACGAATATTACTATCTGTATCTCTTAAAGCAAACTTGACCATTTTGAATAAGCCCGAATCTACTAACGCAGAATAAAAGTCTGGTCGCAGGCTTGCTTGATGCCCCTTTGTAACTAACACGTATTGATGAAGCATCTTTATTCCATCTCTTTTTCTTTGAAGTAGATTTTCGTCGTCGTTCAGGTCATAAAGCGCAAATAATCGCGTGAGCAAATCACCATTGGCTTTGGAATCTTTGAGAAAACTGATGATATCCATCTGGTTGTTATAGATCATGGATGAAAGCGTATTTAGCGTTTGATCATCCAAGTTGCGAGCAAGAACGACATTCTTCAAGTAATTCAAGATGAAATCCCGCCTGAATATGCTCATCTCGGAGTTAGCTGCTTGTGGGGGGAGCGGGATATCCATCACTGACTTGAATTTCGACTCATCAAGTAAATACTCGCGGTGACAGGCCTTGAATTTCGGATAATCTCGATCATACTCGAGAATGCCCACAAATCCTAGAACGTTCTGCTCCGAAACTAGCAACTCGTCTAAGAAAGTGGGCTCATTATACACCAAGAGTATTTTGACGATATCACTCAACTGGTGTAACGTGGGAAGGTCTCTCTCGTCCTCTGCTTTGCGAAATATCTCGAAAAGACTCTGTAGATAGTTTTCTTCGACTAAGAATCGGACAATGTGTGAACGCGTATACTGCGAATTTGATCCCTGATTGATGATGTCCAACACATCATCCAAACACCTCTTTGAGGGCTTAGTTGGAGGATACGTGATGGGCCCCGTCACCAACTCTGTTATTTCCCGAGGGCCATCTCCATTCGTTTCTTGCATGGTAGATAAGACGTAGTAGAGCGAAATCATCGGGCTGAGACTTTGCTGCTGTACTTTGACAATAAAATCACAAAGGTCGGCGCATCCTTCGTTCTCCTGGAACGAAAGGGCCAAGTCTTTCCCTGACAAGTCCGTCCAAACTATAAGTGTCTCTTGCTGGCGCTGATATTGGATAGAGCCCTCCAAAAACGATTTGAGAATGATGTCGTCTGAGTCGAGCTCGTTTCTGACTATGAAATATGGCTTTTTCAGCTTGCTGTCAACCTGGCCCATACAGTAGCCAGTGCCGTTGTCTAACCAGTCCTCTCCTCGAAGTAAGTAGACCTTTACACGTCGAGGCGACTTGCTCTTTAAGTCTAGATTTAGGTCATTCGCGTCGTCAATGCTGGAGTTGTCGCTGGCGTTCGATAGCTCAGTGGATGACTCCGGAGCCCTAATGCCAGGTGAGTCTGGCGTCCCGTCTGCCATGTTTGATTGTTTTCAGGTCTTCTTCAAGAGCAGAGGCGGGTGAAAGTAGGAGTATTAGGGTTAATGAAACCGAGAGTCGCGTGGTTCCTCTGTGGCTAGCCCAACGTAGCCTTTTGTTTGCTAGATAGATGGAGGTAGCCGTTTGTTGGTTAGAGGTACAAGCTGAGTGTCTGCTTTTCTGCAGGATGCACCTTATCAAAGGGAGTGACGATGTATATACTCGACAATGGCAGGATCAATTAAAGAAGATGATTTGCAGGGATTGGTGAGACTCCGGTAATGATGGAGATTCTGATTTCTGGTTGACCTTTTTGTGGATTTTTCAATCAGTTTTATGATGTCCATGTCTAGAAAGTTTTCGCACATCATTGTCAAAATTGTCTAATCGTTTTAAATATTGACAGGTACTTGCACCTCAGGAGTGCTTCAAAAAACTGCAATCACACGTAAAAAATCGAAGAACCAATCGAAGTGGAAAGTAAAACGTTTAGATCTAAGAGCAAATCGATAACAATCAAATATTTTGATTTTCACCATCTGAACATTATTTCTCCATTTCCTGTTCTTGATATCGTCACTATTACTATATACATCTAACGACAAACAAGCGCACACGACGAGAGGTTTCTTAACCAGTCGGCATTGTCCACGTCATGGGTGTCTTCAACTTCTCCCCATTCCTGAGTCTGGAAAATGGTCTCCAAGTTGGCCATTTCAATGAGTTCCTCTACAGTCTTTTTGTAGTAATCGGCCTCGCCAGTCTTGTTCAACTGGTATAACTCTGCCTGTTTGGCCTTATCAGCCACATTGGTACGCAAGATAGTCACGGCGCACAAGAATGACTTGGAAGAAAGAATGGCTTTTTCCAACGCAACGAGGTCGTAAATGGGCAACTGGTCCAACCACAGCAACACAATGTTTTGAGTTGTGAGGGACTGACGGTTACCACGGAGGCCGTCAGTTTCACAGTCAAGGAACTCTAACTTGACCTTGAAGTCAGGCTCTGGCAACAAGTTGTTCTGTCTAGCATACTCAGTGAAGTAGTTCTCATACTCTGCGATCAATGGTCTGTACAATTCCTCCTGGCGCTGTCTCAACTTCCCCTCGTACTCTTCCAATGTGGTGAAGATTAAGCAGGTGTCTGTGTCCAAGTACCGCAACATGTCAATCTTGATATCCTGGAGATCTCCAACTTTGGTTACCAAATTGGGATCAACGGTTTCTGCCTCATGTACGATGGCCAAGTCGGTGGCACGAGATGCCATGGACGTTAATGGCAACGTGTTTGGCTTAATCTTCAAGTCCAGCAAAGTGTCCCATTCGTGGCCAATCAAGTAGGCTAGCTGTTTCTTGTCCTTAGGAATCGAGAGCCTGTAACCCAACGGCGTTCTCAAAGGTTTTCCATCGAGGCAGACATCATACAGACTTGTCTCTTCGTTGAATCTAGCCTTAGCTTCGTTCCAGAACTTCGAGAGTGTCTTCTCCAATCGATTAGTCTCGGATTTGACATTGTTCACATCTCCACCCACTGCCAGACCCGACTTCGCAAAAAAATCATTGACTGGAGCCTTGGTGGCATATCTGACCAGCATGCGGCCTATATTTAGTGCCAGAACCAGTACTACCGGTAACACTCGCGAGATGGTGAACATATTAACTGGTGTGAATGAGTTTTGTATGTGCGGATTTTCCATGTCCAAATTGGAGTGAGAACGACGATCAGGATTCACTCTGAACTCATTCTGAATTCACCATCTTTACACTTTCTGGCACAAAAACGGAATTTCCGAGCCTCTAATTCAATACAATTTTGCAAGGAAGAATAGGAAAATGTCGCTAGATCCACAATCTTTACAGAAGTTGCTCATTGAAATGGACAATCAGCTCAATAAGTCCAGAGCAGAGCTTTCCATGTGCAATGTCCAGTTGGACCGTGTCGATACCAACTTGAAAATCATTGACGCCACCACTAGCAGATTGAACAAACTCACAAGCCCAGGTGACCATGTTTGGAAGGGAGTAGGAAAGGCATTTGTTCAGAACGACGCTAAGGAATACATTGAAGACATTAACAAGGACAAGAAGGAGTTCTTGGAGACACAGAAGCTGTTGAAGACGAAGAAACATTACTTGGAGACCACTTTAGAGAAAACGATCGCCAACATGACAGAGATTGTTGGAAAGAAGTGATCATTACTACTTAATATAAATAGACTGTGCTGACTTCAGAGGCACAGATTATGTGCATTGTGTAATCATTAATTTTGTATCATATGCTAAGAAATTCCAGCTCGAGAATTATCATGCGAGAATCAGTAGTTAGTCCATTTCTCTTATCCCCAAAACCACACCCAACCCAACTTGGTGAAGGCATCATGAAAGGTCACCTAAAAGTGAAACATGCAACACCAACACAATTTGGGTGATTCTTCGACAACATTTCGCTGGAAATCCCAATTTCAACATTGTTCTTATACCCTTAATCGCTGTCTTCATCCACTCCATCGTCTAGAATTCTCCTCTCAATATCGTCATCATCATCCAATTTCCGTTTGTTGGACATCTTTTGCGTCAAGAATTCATTAAGTCTATCTTGCAAAGTGGTCAACTCTGCTCGGAGATGACCCAAAGGAGTGTCTTTGGCGGCAGTAGGTTTGTCTTTGTCATGCCCTCCAGCCTTGATGACTATATCTGATATTTGTGTGGTTTTGCCATCTGTGGAGTGAGGTCCATCCCCTGGAGTCAACGAGACAGGCTTGGACTCACTTGGTGACGTATATAAAGCAGTGGGTACTAGAGACATTGCAATAAAATAGTGAGATTTGTATGATGGTGTAGTTTATCTGGTCTACACCGCACAATTTACAGTATGCACTAGCGACTCAGTTGAATTAATAGCTTATTTACGCATCGAACTTCTCGATGGGGATCCGCGAGGCAGAATTTGAATAGGCACTATACTTCACCTCGATGATCTCATCTGTGTTGAATTCAAGAGAGGGAATGTCGTAACACGAACATGCCATGAGGTACCCATGCAACACTCTAAGGACGGTCTCATCTGCAATAATCAAGATATCGCCCGACATGCGCTCCATTTCAAGAATCAACGGCTCAATCTTGATGGCTAAATCATGATACAGCTCCGCCCGGGAGAATCTGTGGTGGTAGGGGTCTTTCAAAAACAGTTCGTACTCAGAGGGGAACTTCTCTGCGATTTCTTCCTCGCTCATAGTTCCAACTAAGCCAGGGTTTTTCTGCAGCAACTGGATTCTGTGTCTGACTTTAATTCCCATCTCACGGAAATATTTAGTAGTCTCGATGGTTCTTCTCTTGACAGAAGTCCACACGACAAACGAGTCATCATCCACTCCATCAGCTCCAGTTGGTGGATGTCTTTCATCAGTAGACAACGACTTTTTGAGAGGCGGACTCAACAAACCTTCAGGCGAGTTGGGGAACGGACTGCCCTTGGCAGCTTGGTACTTCATCATCGTTTTGGTGATGTTTCTAGCGTACGCCACACCGGCATCATCTAACGGAGGGTCCTTGGAAAAGTCCAATTCGTTCTTGTAGCATCGGGCAAAGAACACTGAACCCAGTTTAATCCGCGAGTTCATCAAGAAAAACACAACCTTATTGATCAAGTAACCGTAATTGGAGTTGTGTAACTCTATACGCTCACCAAAATTGATCATCTTAATATATGAGAGCTCAGCATCAGCACCCTCCAGCTTCATTTCCTTGTAGTAAGGAGTCAAAGCATTGATTCTGTCAGAGTAATCTTTGTAGGCCTTATCGTAGTCCCAGTTGACATAGTCGGGCGACGATCTGGCAGCAGTTTCCATATTCTTGATAAGCATTTTCTCATCGGTGACGGTTGATTCAATGAAGATGCACTGAATGTTCAAGCTGCGGAACTTCTCATGGAGCTGCTTTCTATACTCAGGCAATGCGTTGACTGCGTCGTAGATGGCAACCTGGCCCTTGTCCTTTTCGAAGAAATTCAAAATATCATTCAAGCAGTCGTCGACAGTTTTGTTGCGGAAATCGGTAGCCTTCTCGTTGTTGGGATGCATAACATATAATGCATGGTCCAAGTCGTCTTGGGGAGCTGTGGCACGACGATAGTCACCCAAGTGAAAACTGTGGGTCTTGACACCCAACCAACGCAAGTACCGAGTAAGCGACACCGATAAGTGGGTCTTTCCTCGTCCGGGCAAACCCGCCAATGCGATACAGATCTTACCAGCATGGAACAACCGTCCGGACTCGGTTGAGTAGAGTTGAGCGGGAGAGATATGGTACGGATCGATCTCCTTATGCACCCCGTCGATTCCTGTCACGTCACTGAGCCTTCTTTTGGTGTTGAATCCTGGGGGTCTCTCGACCAAATTTGGCTTGGTACTATTGTGGAATGACCACCTTTTCTTGGTTCTTCTGCCCAGCGACAAGTTTCTCAGAAGTGGAGCCGAACCAAATCCATTGTAGAGCTCGACCTCGACTTCGTTATCTGATTCCACCGCTGACATTTGTGTAGGTAGGTAAGGATTTTAGGTTGGGGTAGTTGAGCACCTACCCCAGTCATTTTCTTGTAGTGTCTGCAGGAGCACCAGGAAAGTATTGTTTGAAGGGTAAGAGGGGGGAGATTGAATGATCTTTTTTATTTTGGGATAGAGTGAGCTATAATCAAGTGGACTGGAGAGTTGATATATTGGGTGTTTATTAGAAAAGTTTGGCCTTGGAAGCATGTATAGTTTAAGGAGTTAAGTGCCGTCAAATGTGCAAGGAATAGCCAAATTCCGAGTATGGAAGTGCACAGGTGACGCTTCGAAGAATACAAGATGCCATCCCAATCCACAAACCAAAATAGTATAGAGTACACCTGAATGTTTTTGTTTTCAATGTAAATTCTGTTAGTCGATGCACCTTCAGTTTAGCCAACATTTCATTTGTCATTTGCGATAGCCTTTACTATACTGCCTTTTGAGGTCAACCTCTACATTATCTGACGTTACAGATGTGTATTATACGATGATTAGAGTACAAAAACGCTTATTCCAACTTACCACCCTTTCTCTCGATCAAGGCCTTTCTCTTGTCGTCCAAGTACAACTTGGTGATGACAACCTTGGATGGGTGAATGTTGATTGGCACGGAAGCACCAGAGGACTTCTCGAACTGCAACTTCTCGATCTGGACAGCGAACTTCAATCTGTAAACGGTGGAGACCTTACCCTCAGAACCCTTCTTGGAACCTCTGACGACGGTGACCTCGTCCTCCTTTCTGATAGGAATGGACTTGATGTTGTACTTTTGTCTCAATTCCTTGGACAATGGAGCAGACAACAACACTCTTCTCTCAGAAGAGGTGGCGTTGAAGTAAGCCTTTCTGGACTTAGAACGAGAAGAAGAAACGTCTGAAACTGTTAGTAAATATTGATTAAATGGGCGACGGTCTTGAACATTGGCAGGGAATTTTTTTCATAGTGGAGTAGGCCATTTTCACGATATGAATATGACATGGGAAATTTTGCAATTATGGAATTTGTGTATCATGCTGATGGGATAAAACGTCTTGGAGGTTTGCGCTGTGGATCACAACGTGGCGGTAACTACATACCTTGACTGATCTTGGCCATTTTGTTTGCTGGTGGATGAACTAGAATAAACCAAATGATAAAAAGTCGCAGTAGATGGACTACCAGGTAGAAAATTTTCGTGGCTCTGTCTGCAGTACACACCAAAATGAGTGCGGAAAACTTGAGGGCTTGTGCCCTAAACTATACATGCAGTGCACCATTACCTAGACATCAAAAGGAAGGTGTTTTACATGTAAGCGGCTAGAAAGCATTAAAATGCATTAAAAGGAGATATTTGGAAGCATAAGTATCAAAAAAATACTGGAGTGATTGCAAAAAAGAAAGCCCAAGGCGGGACTCGAACCCGCAATCACTGTCTCCGGAGGACAGTACCTTAACCAATTAGGCCACTCGGGCGATCTTTAACGCAAGAAGAGCAAATAATAACCCATATACAAATACCTTAAATAAAAAATGGCAAAAAAATGGTGTTAGGGATCCTGGTTTGATCACTTTATGGATGAAAAATAATTACAGTCCATTAACTGAGCATAAATTCCATGGTCTATCCCATTAAACATAAAATAATATTGTCTAACTCTTGTTGATTAGTACCTGTCTGAAACATCTTAGATTGGAACCGGAACACACAATAATTGAAGTTTGTCCCATGATATATTAATAATTCAGAACCTATTTTCTTTCTTTCTATCACTCTTCATAATTACTTGCAATTACTAATTGTATACAATGAAAATTCTCTACGTTCCAATAACTAAATATTCCCCACAGAGGACAAACATAAAAACTGCAAAAACAGACATAAAAAAAGCCCCCACTCCAAACCCACCAAATTGAACACATTCAAGCCAATGGTATTTTGGTTTATCCATTATGATTCTCTGGCAACTTTTTTTTTCCCACCATTCACTTTCTTCTCACTACCCCAGTCATTCACATTAGTGTGCGAACAAAAAAATTCTATTGATCGTGGAGAAGTTAGCCAATATCAGTACCATGATTGGTTTCAAATCCCTCTTGGGGTCATCGCCCGCATTTATGGGTCCCTTACGAGTATTGAATTTCCGCTCTACACCAAGAATTACTTTTGCATTGACTCGTACATATTCTCAATTGGTGCTCAACCACCATCGGGCTTCTGGCCCAGTCAGTTTCTACTCGAAACCAGCATCTTTGCTCAATTTTGCCAAGTACTCGACTAAAACTGCACCTCCACCTCCTCCACCTCCGCCATCTGACAAAAATGCTAGAGGCAGAGCCATTCTTAACAGGATCTCCCGCGTATTCACCTTCTCTATTTCGTCGGTGTTAGTAGTGGGAGCACTTGGTGTGGCAGGACTTGTGATTTACTTGATCCTCTCGGAGTTATTCTTGCCTTCCGGAGACACCAAAACCTTCAATAAGGCTGTCAAGCTCATCGAAAAGAACGAGCAGGCCCAGAAGGCTCTTAATTTTGCTCCTGGGGAACGTCTCAAGGCCTATGGAGAGGTTCCAGGGGACAAATGGGTTAGAAACAGACCCGTGCAGAGCGTGAGACAAAGGGGTGCTGACGGCAAGGATCGTTTGGTGATGAGATTCCATGTGGAGTCAGCTAGTGGCAGACATGCTCGTGTTCTGTTGGAGCAGATCGACACATCATTCTGGTCGTCTGAATTTGCCTACATTGCATTGGACTTGCCTTCGAAACACAGGATTTACGTTGTGGACCCTAAGTTCTTGCCGCTGAACTACGTGCCTAGAAGCGGAGCCTTGGGTAAGAACAACGGCTTCTTGGGCCTCAAGTGGGGCCCCAAGAAAGACGACTAAGCCATGACTCACGATCTCAGCATACTTATGTAGCCAAATATATCGACGATAACACGAGGACACCAATAGCTGCTACCCCTAAATGTGTAACTCGCATACTTCCACCCTTGCTTCTAGATTGAACAAACTTAATTCCTGTCAGAGCAACGCTGACTTGACTTGTGCTCAGTGGGACGACAACCGTGGGCTTCTGCATTGAATCCAAACATTTGCCTAATATGTCTCGACAATTTTTCCCGTCAGCAGTAAATGTGGAGTCCACTGAAGCATCTTCCTTGTTGGTGATCAACACGGCCCGGGATCCAAAGTTACATGCATTGGGATTCCTGTCATTTTGTACCCAATGCTTATTCAATGCATATGAGATCCTCTGCTTGATACCACATACAGAAAACACTCCGTACTTCCCCTGGGACCCATTGCCAATGATTTTCAGGCAGTCTGTCACCAGGCAAACCTCGTAAAGAAGATCCGTTTCGTGAATCCTGACGTATGGAGTGAGAATACACGATAAAGATGCATCCAAACACTCGCAAACTTCAAGCAGTGGAAATTTAGGGAGAATCAGCAGGGCATTCCATGTGGAAGAGACAACTGGGCACTTCACTTGTCCTCTTCTAGATTCCGTATTCCAACTCTTTTGTACGCCTACAGGTCTCGATTCCATGAAACGAAGCTGGACAATCCTATAATCATCAAGTTTGCGCAAAACACCTGGACTAGTTTCTTCAACAAGGCCATACTTGTTTTCGTTCTGGAAGAATTCATAGACAATGCCCCCAGACCATACCTTCAGCATCGAGGGCCCATACAAGGATTCCATTTCGGTAAAGGGCCGAGGACTAACCGTATTGCAACCAAACTCACTGAAGAACACTGGTACGGGCAACTGAGCGAACTCAATAGTTCGTTCTTTGTATCCTGAAGTTGCAAATGACGAATAGCCGCACCATTCGAACATGTTTAGCGAGTAGAAATCAACAGCGGAATCTGTTCCATTATACTCGTCACATACAAAGTAGTTTGCCAGTTCTAGTCGGGTGGCTGTGTCATCGTTGCTGGAGTATCCAATGGGTATCCCTCTATACCCCATATTTCTCACATACCGCTTGATATCTCTTACAGCAGCCTTGACGAACGGGGCAGAATTAGAGTTCAGAGGTGAGGTGATCACCTCGTTTCCGATGTAGAACCCGAGAACATTAGGATATGAGCTCATTGCATCCACTACACTTGTGAATCGCTCGTACAAGTCGAGATCCCAATGAGGGTCGTCTCTGTTGATAGACTGTTCCGGCTCTCCAAGGTCAGCCAATACGTATATGCCACTGTTTGCAAATGCGTTCATACATACATCGTGACTCTGGTCAGGATCGATTTGGTACACTCGTACGGTGTTCACGCCGAGTTCCTTTAAGTACTCCAAGTCTCTGAGACAAAGCGAAGGTTCGGCGAGCGAATCAATATATCTAGGGCCCAATGTCACGTCGTACACCTCACCTTCTCTTCGATTTCTTTGGTAAGCGACACCCTTAATAAAGAACTGGCTCCCGTCGCTAGAATTAAAAAATTTGTTGCCACGAATGACAATTGGTGCAACAGAGGCAACAACAGAGAGCACTAGTAGTCCCATAAATAGGAGTTGGTGAATAAACATGTTCAGATTGATATGTAGTAGATTTTGTTTGTGTAATAGTACAATGGCTGCGAATTGGCTGCGAAAAGTGCAGTGTAATATTACATTAAAATTATACAACCCATAATAAAAAGGAAAAATAACGAAGAGATTTAAAAAAGCTCATATAACCGCTTAAATTCCTTTTTGCCCTTGCATTCCAACATGTAGATCTCCTCATTGCTGACTTTCAACAAGAGAGCTGCCTTACCAATTTGCTCAATAAAATTGAAGATCGTTGCTTCGTCAAAACTAAACTCAAAATGCTCGTTGTCTTCCTCCACAGATTTATCGTGGCAGTCTAAGCTGAAATGATATGACGCCTTGTCGAAACTATCAGTGGAATGGTGAATGCTTAGAGAATACATGTTGATGGTCTTCCAAGACGAAAGACGGTGTATTTCATCATAAGACTCCTGTTGCTTGTGAAGTCTAACGGTAGCACGATCAAGAAGTACCATGTCCCCATCATGAACGATCTCGTCATTTGGAAGGGAGGGAGCAGTCGAGCAAGGAGTTTGCTTGACGTCATTGAGAGCTGTGTAAATGCTGGTGAGCGTTGATGAAGCGCTAGGCTTGTTGCTCATCATTGAAGATGCCAATGTGTTGTTGGAGTCGAAGGTTGCCGACTTCTTCAACGAAGGATCAGTGTTCATTACCTCCAAAATGTTCTCAAGGTTCATTTTAAGGCTTGTTAAGAGGGCACCATTATAGCATCTTGCAATAACAAGCACTCTCTCATTGGTTATCGAGTTCACCGAGTTGATCTCCAAGTCAAGCGCAGATGAGTGTCTGACCTTGGCTGCCGAATCAATGTTAAGAATCAACACAGGTTTGTCCACCTCTTCACCGTACTCCTCATCGTACTCTTCCTTAAATACCAACAACCAACTCTTGTGGAGGAGGTAGTTGGTGACGATCTTGACAAAAAGTTTCTCGTTGGTAGTGATCATTTCCCATTTGCCGTATTTCTGTTTCCATTTGGACACTTTCAATTCCTTCGATGTTGTTGGAGATATGTAAAAATCAATTGACTCATCGGAGTTGATAAGGGATTTCAACTCATTTGGAATCTTCAATACCTCCTCAATTTCAGGAACAGCAAGGCTAGTAGTGGAATTATTGTTGCTGGCAAGACCCGTTGGAGGCTTGAAGAAGTATGTAGAGGTCGAATTTGGCAATGCAAATGGCAGAGGCAAGGTACTAGCGAAATTTGATGAGGTTGCACTCAGAGGCTGACTGGACGACGCGCCGGCTCCAATCTTTGGCACCTCAATAGAGAGTTCCGGACGCTTTGCAGCCAAACTCTTTTTATTGCTGGTCATCTTTTGCTCTGCACTTCCCTTTTCAACTGTCGCTTTTTGCTTTTCCTGGGCATTGTGATCCTTATCTCTCTTCTTTTGTTCCGCCCTAGACAGGCTTGCATGAATCTTCTTATCTGTCTTCGAAGCCTTTGTCTTAGCGGCTGCTGTTGTATCTTCATGAAGAGCCTCCTTCGACTTGTTCTTTCTGAATAATCCGAATATGGACGATGATCTCGATCTGGCGGCTCCTTCCGAGCCCTTCAGCTTGCTGTTTTTTCTAGATTGAGGCAATTCGTCGATGGAAGTAAATGACGGATTATAACTTCTTCCAAAGTTGTTGATGTCGATTCCAGCTGCATTCAGGTACATTGGTTTAGGAGGTTTCACGGAAACAGACAAATCAGGAAGAGATGCGGATGCAAGAGGCTGAATTCTGGGCACTGCCGGTTGGGCCATAACCGGAGCAGTTGCGGAGTTGACAATTTCAAAACCAGTTGCACAATCGTCACTCAAATAGTCGTCAATCACAGACTCGTCGTCAACATACTCAATATTACCTCTGACCGAATTGCGTACTTGGCTAGCGCTCACCACCTCAAGACTTTTCCCTTGCTCGGTAGTAGCGATGCCGTTGTGGGACAACGTCTTCTTCATGATTTCGAAGGAACCTCTTCTGGACTCCTCGGAAAGACGTTCACAGTCATCCAGAGTAGTTGATGGCCCGGAGGCAGACTCCTGAGTGGATACAGATCTCGAATCGCATTCAGAATTGTCAGACACAGTGTTGATGCCCAAACCTTCCAAATTAAGGTCCTGGCTCGACACAAGCTTCGTAGTAGTGGGGAAAATACGAGCTAACTTCTCATACCACCCCTGAAGAAGATCCTCACGAGCTTCCACGGTGAAAGATTCTGACTTCAGTTCAGTATCATCAAAGAGTGCTGGGGGAGTGAACTTAATCATGTTCTCTGAGCGAGACATGGACAATTCATTAAGTCTGAAAGGAGGAAACAACACAGATCTTGCAGTGTCGTCTTCTGGAACACTGACCACCGCTAATGCATTATAGGGAATGTCGGAGGCTGTGACTTTCTTTTCGTTCTGTAAGTTCAACAAGAGAAACTCCACCTTCTTGTAGCCCCAGTAGAGAGGCTCGTTGCGGGTTCTGTCAACAATCTGATTCAAGGTGAAATAGCACGACACGTTGTCACCAGATATGGCGCGAATGCGGTCAAAGCTGATATTGTTCAACCTTAGCTGGTCATTGTAGGCAGCATATTTCTCGAGCAAAGCCTGAGTGCGAGCTTTGCACTCGGTCAATTTATCCACCACGAATGGGTTGCGGATAATGGCAATGGCCGAGTCTGCGAATGCCGGGTAGCAGCCGCAGTGTATAAGTGGTTTTTCAAGCGAAGCCGAATCGCCGTCGATGGGGAAACATTCCAAGAATTTCTCGAACACCACGAAACCGATGTCGAACCAGAGAATGAAATCGTTGGCAAACAGTTTGAAAATGTCCATGGCAGACTCTGGATCACTTGCCACGTCATTGATACTTGTTAATAGCATGGCTCGAAGCTTGCTGTTCTGGGTACAGAGGCCCCGGACTATTGAAGCCACATGGGCGTCGTTTGAGGAGGTTCGAGATGGCTTGATGATGGCCAATACGCCGATGAGATTATTGTTCTGGTCATTCTCACACTCGCGAAGAGCAGAAAGAATGGACGAGACAGTCATGGTAGAAGGAGCAGATAGAACCAGGAGTCGCAGCTAGTAGACAAAATTCTATGCAATGGTTGTAATTGCAATCGTGGTTGTAATCGTAGTTGCAGTCGAGGACGTAGTGGTAGTTGCAGTAGTAGTTGCAGTCCTAGTAGTTCTTGCTCCAAATGTGATAGTAAGATTAAAATCCGTGGGAAGTCAGCAAAAATTCGGAGAAAAAGTCCCAGGTTCATGCAAGCATATATAAGCCCTCCATTAGTGTGCCTAATTAGTGAGAGTGTTTGCATGGGCCAGTTCTCTGCAGTCAAGCGCGTTTGACACGCGAATATTCCTTTGTAACAGGAGTTGTCGCGTTGGCCCAATACAGGAGGATCTGAGTGGGAACCATAGGCAAAGGAGAAAAGAGTGTTGAATAAAGTATAAAAATATAATCGCAAATGGAACTTGCATTGAGATCTGGAATGATAATCTAAAAATTTGTAAAGTCATGGATGGAAATTGTGAATATTATCGTTTCGTCAATGGACTTCTGATCCAGTAAACCTACAATAAACTTCTGGCACTCTTCTGCTGCATAGTACGATGGGCTCACCTAATTGGAATAGATTGTGCACTAATGGGGAAAGCGGTCTTAGACATACATGAAGGCGGACGGATTATATTTGGCTCAGTTATGGGTTGTATCACAAAGATATGATTGTCGGTAGTGACCATTGGCTTCTAATCTTTTCACGTTGGGATTGTTATGTTTATCTGATTGTGTTTTCGCTCTTTTGGGTTACATTCTCATTCTCATTCTTCTTTCAATCTCTTCTCTGAATGTCCTTCTTCCCTCATACTAGTAGGGTGAGTTATTCTGGTGACAGAAATTCATACATCATTTCAAAACTCTCTATGGTTTAAAATGAAATGACTCAATACTTTTTCATGATGTTTTCAATTCTCTATACCATATGATTTGAATTTCTCTTTCGTATTCTTGGATTTCGAAGTCTTATTGCACTAACCTAGAGATGCTCTGATTTCATAGGTCTAGCACCAATTTCATTCTATTCCCGTCTTTATCCCCTATACTCAAAACCTACACTTATCCTAATAATCCTTACCTACCACCCACTCCATTACTGCCTCTAAGCCCTCTCCACTAACTCCAGAAACCGTCTGTATGGTATACTTTTCACTAGGCAACTCTCGCAGAAGTCCAAGTCGCTGCTCAACAGCATAACGAATCTCGTCTCTTTGTTCTTCACCCACCAAGTCTATCTTATTGATCAACACACAGAAGTACGTGCCGACCAACTGGTCTTGTAAGATCACCTTCTCTCGTAGCTCTTGATACAGTTCTTCAAGTCTCTCCATGCTTGAGCTGTCAATCACCCACACAATCACATCCAGCTTATCAAAGTAGTTGCTCCAGAACCCTCGCAACGTGGTCTGACCACCAACATCCCATGCACTGATGTTGTACTCTCCCCATGCAAGGGTATGGATCTGGAACCCAATGGTGGGGAACACCTGGCCAGTGTCTTGTCCCATAAGCCGAGTGATAATGGTTGTTTTGCCCGAATTGTCAAGTCCAAGGACCAACATGCGGATCTCGTTATCCTTGAGCTTCTGCTTCCGTGCAATGGTCAAAAGGCCCATTTCGTTGTCGAAGATTCCTCCATCTCCAAACCTGTGCACACTATTATCTCCACGTGACAGATTGTACTATTCTAACTACTACCGGTGAACTCTCTAGGTAAAGAATGTCACGATGGGTCCCAAAAAGAAGCAGAAGTCAATTCTTGACTTTTCTTTCCTGCGCCCATTGTCCGATCAAGGTGTGGTGGACTTGACAGACCAATCTGATATCTTGTGTCCAGTATGTTCTATTGCTATGGACCAGATGGACTATAACTCGCGTATCAGACACGTTGAGGATTGTCTCTCGATGCTAACTATCAAAGAGGAGTCTCAGGAGTTGTTTGTTGGTGCCGGAACCTCAGATACTGTGGAAACTCGCGTGGAATCCAGTGTGGTCAAGATGGAGAACGTTGAAAACAAGTTAGAAGGCAAGTTAGAGTCGTCTACGGGCCGGAAACGAAAGAGAAAGCCGGAATTAGCTGCTGTTCAGAAGGAGGTTGTCAAGTATATTAATTCTAAAGGAGAAAAGAAGGTCAGGGTGAAGAGTCAACCTGAAACTACTGAAGATGATCAACCTACAGAGCTCCTTCCCTCCAGTCGAAAAACGCCTATTCCACCACTCAAAATCCTCACATTTCGTGTCACAGAAGGAACAGAATATGAAGTTTCTGTTGATGCATTCTGCTATAAACCACACGAACTGATATCTCAATACTTTCTCTCGCATTTCCATTCAGACCATTATGGAGGAATCACTAAGCGATGGTGCAGTGAACGAACGCTTGATTCCAAAATCATCTATTGTTCGCCTATTACTTCGCGCTTGCTTACGTTGCGCTTCAAGGTCAATCCAGCGTTCATTTACGAAATTGCCGCAGATACGAGGCACTTGGTGCATTCATATACTGATGACATTCCACAAGGTGGATGTTTATCCGCAAGCAACACTCCTGGATTGTACGTGACGGCCATAGATGCCAACCATTGTCCCGGAGCTATCATTTTTCTCTTCGAGTCTGTTGCTCTCGACGGACTGTCGACGTATATTCTACATTGTGGAGATTTTCGAATCAATAAGGCCATGATCAACCACCCAGCACTCCAGCCGTTTCACCAGGGCAAGCTGAAATTCCTTGAAAAAGTATACCTCGACACAACTTATATGTCTCCTAAGTATAACTTCCCAAAACAAGAGCTCGTCTGTGAGGCGGTGGCCGATATGTTTGAGAAACTACTGACTCAGGACGAACTATTCAATCAGTGGTTCGGAACATCCATCCAGAGCCGTATCACTGACTTCCTATCGTTTTCCAAATCCGCAAAGAAAAAAAAGTTTCTTGTTCTTGTGGGAACATACCTCATAGGCAAGGAAAGGCTCGCCATGGCCATTCTGAAGAGATTGGGCCGTTGTCCCATATTCGTATCCAACATCAACAGTCGAGGAGACAAAACCGACATTATCCGCGCATTTGATGATCCGTATCTCAATGATGTGATATCGAGCGAGGATATTGGAGACGATGCTTGTGACATAATGGTACACTTGGTACCCATGAAGATAGTAGGAACTGCGCAAGAGATGACCAATTACTTTAACCACAACCAATATTTCCGACATTTCGAGAGGTGTGTGGGGCTTCTACCGACTGGTTGGTCATTCGACGGTGCCACGAACGAGCAAATCGTCGACGCTGAAGACGAACTTCCGATGGTGGAGGACGTGTCGATGCTTTCCACCATCAATGTCCTTCGCAGCCATCCAGAATATTCATACATGGATATTCTACGACAGAACCGACCCAAAGCTGACCGAAAAATGGACCGTAACACCTTCAAAATTTATCTGTTGCCATACAGCGAGCACCTGTCTTTTCGGGAATTGTCTTTCTTTGTTATTTTTCTCAACATTGGCGAGGTGGTTCCCACCGTCAATACTGAGAATGCGTGGAGCAACAACCAAATGAGAGAGATCATCAATATGTGGGAATATTTCCGCCTGGTAAAGACCAAAAGGGAATCATCGCTTCCGGAAGGACTCAACAATGTCATTTACGAATTATCTTTAGACGATTTTTAATGTTATTTATCTTAGTCCACAAACCGTTATGGGTGTGCATGGTTCTGGGTTGTGTAGCCAAATCGCATAGTGAAACTCATAGCCTATCAAGCAAAAAACTTACTAAACTCACACAATGGTGCCTACGCTGTGGAGATCTGCACCCAAATCTACCAAGTTTTCAGTGGTTGCTCTTCTGGTCACATCGCTTTCCATATTGCTAATAAAGATCTATGTCATTCAGCTCTCAGGCAGCCAATCCAAATTACTGGAGATGATCATTCCTCAACTTCAGTTGGTGCCTCGCTATGCCATCTACTATCCATGGGTGTTTGTCACGTCAATTTTCGCTGAAGTTTCGATTTTCTCGTTTCTCTTCTCGTTAGCTGTCCTCTACATTGCCACGTCATACGTTGAAAAGTTTTGGGGTTTCAAGGAGGTTGTTAAGTTCATTTTAGTAATTGGAACCGTCACAAATTTGTCCACAGTGCTTGTTACTATCCTTAGCAACATTGTGCGTGGCGACGTCAATGGAATGGACCAGCCTTTAGGAGGAGGAATCTCGTACTACTTTGGATTTTTGGTTGTACTCAAGCAGCTCATTCCCGAGCACAATGTTATTCTCTTTCAGGGCCTTGTAAATTTCCGTGTCAAGCACTTGCCGTTTATTCTGCTCTTGCTAGTGAGCGGGTGGTCTGCGGTGGCACAATCGTTGTATCCGTTTGTTCCGTCGATGTTCTCGTTCTTTGTCTCGTACAATTACTTGCGGTTCATCCAGACCTTCTTCGAAGATCCAATTTTGCCTGTCACTAACGCCAATGGAGACCAGACGAACTCTACGGTGTTCCGAGGTGATGCATCGGATGCGTTCCAGCTTGTGGAGTTCTTCCCTAGTGTCACTAAGCCATACTTATCAGTTGTGATCAACGCCATTTTCAATGCATTCGTATTCATTGGTGTTGTGCAGCCGTTCAATGATGAGGTGATTGAGCAGAGTAACCTTCGTGCACAGAAGTTGTCTGAGCAGGCCAGTCAAGCCAACAACCAGATTGCCAATTCTGTTGCCGAAAGAAGAAGACAGGTCGCATTGCAGGTGATTGAGGATCGTATTAACCGGACATAGAGATAGATGTGGGAGGAAGAGAACGAAAGTAGTAAGAAGGAGAGCGAAGCTATCAGTTGTGATTGTATAAGAATAGAAGGAGATACGGAAAAGCTCTGGAACAAAGAGTAGTAATCAGAAGACTACAGACTAATTATAGTAATGTTTTTAGCGTGAAATTGAAAATTCATGTCAAATGAGTAATTATATGTGTATCTCATTGGTTGACCATGCCACGTCTAAATTACCTTCTGTGCGGTGTGTCAAACTGACTCTCAGGTACAATAAACATAGGACGGAGCATATCAGTGGCAACAAACAACGGTACAGTATAGAAAAAAAAACCACTTCACAAGAAAAGTACCCAGAAGATCAAGAAATAAGCCTTTGAAATTACTTTTTTTTTGTTGAAAACTGAAGATAAAACCTCCCCTTACATTCCATCCTTAACACCTACACCCTGCACATGGCCCGTTGCCCTGATCGACAATTCACCCATAGAAAAACTTTAACCATTTGTGAATCTACATGCTAGGCGGAATCCGGTTTCGACCTAAAAGCTCAAGATCCTCATATAGGGACGAGGGCGGCTTCTTGCCTGCTCCAGCCTCTTTTTCCCGCATAAGAAGCAGCAAGGGAAACGCTTGGATCCTTGTCCTTCTAGGGTTGTTCCTCTTCTGGGTGTTTGACCCCATCTCCCTCTTTGCACCAAGGTTCACGTCGCCCGATTATCCATCACCACATCCATTTGGATCCCTACACACTATTGGCTCGACCTCGAAGTATTTGTATCCCCCCATCGAGGATGCTCCTTTGTTGAGAGAGTTGGGACTCAGCAAACTCTTTAAAGAAACCAGAGTACGTGACGCTAACGTTCCCGAGGTGGAAAACACCGTGTTTCATTCTTTAAATGTGGACGATGATCCAGATCCAGTGAAGCAGAAGGCTAAAGAAGATACACAGAACCTCATTTCGGCTCATGATCGAGCAAAAAATGCCTTCAAAAATCAAGAGAAAGTGGTGTACCGTCCAAAGTCTAAAGCAGACTATCCTAAGGTAGTGATTGTCACTGCTGTGGATTTCCAAATGTATGGTTTGGATTACTTGGCTAAGGTGGTGCAGAACAGAGTTAACTATGCCCATGCTCAGAACTATGGTGTATACGTGAGATGGTATCAAGAGTTCGTCCCCATCTTGAACTCCAAACAGTTCTTGACTGCCAAAGAAAGAGCAAAGTGGGTTAGATTGTACTGTCTCCGCGCAGCCATGTTCGCATTCCCCGAGGCCGAATGGTTTTGGTATCTTGACCAAGATGGTTTGATTGCTAACGAGAAGGTGAACCTCATTGACTACTTGTTGAACAGAGACGACTTGAGTTCTTCAGCCATTCGCGAGCAGCCAGTAATCCCACCATATGGCCTCATCAAAACCTACAAGACTTTACAGCCAGAGAATGTCAGACTTGTGTTTACGCAATCCGAGACCAAGATTGAAACCAACTCGTTTATTGTCAAGAACGACGTGATTGGCAGGGGGATCATCGACATTTGGAGCGACAAGCTTTTTTTGAACTACAACAATTTTCCACACGGCCCAGACTCCGCCATCACGCATATATTGCAATGGCATCCGTTTGTCTTGAGCAAGACCGTGATCGTTCCAGCGAGAATGATTAACTCCTTACATTCGGAAGAGAAGCTACCAGAGAATGCTAAAGGCAGTGATTATATACATTACTTCACTGGAGATTTGGCTGTACAATGGTCTTCTGTTGGGTCGCCAGAAGAAAGCGCAAAGCTCTTGAAAGAGTACACTAGCCGGGATAAAAAGGCAGCACCTAAGTGAGATTACAATCTTCAATAAAAACAAATAATAAATGTACACTTATACGCGTAATGTCAACGAAGAACAACTTTATAAGATCAACCAGCTTAGAAAGCCTTGGTGGTGTATGTTTTCGTATGAGATGGAGTGAAACTCCAGAATGTAATTTTCACGTTGTCGTTCGAACTCCACCAAGAAGAGACCTTACCAGTATCGTTCTTGCTGGTTCCTCTTGGTTGGAAGACACCTTGGAAAACACCAGACAAAGAAGTTCCAATGTCATCAGGAATATGTGTGGCGGCAACGGCTGGAGCTGCGATGATAACGACAAAGAGCACCAAAATCAAGAAGTACAAAGTACAGTACTTTCTCACCATTCTCTTTCTCAACTTAGCCTGCTTCAATGAGTAGATTGGAGGTCTGATCAATCTCGAAGGCTTCAACCAGAACAACATGGTGGAATGCCATCTGTCAATCAATGGAATGAACAAAATAGGCAATTGAACAATCAAGATGATGTGAGCCAAGACGAAGTCACCTGCAAACTCGGACATCTCGATGATCTTAGCGCAGAATTCTCTGGCTGGTTGAGTGAAGGCCATGTATCCCATACCAGTGTTGTACCACTTACCAGTCCAGAAGGCAGTGTTAGACTTGTCATTCTTAAACTCTCTGGTCAAGAACAATAAAGTCATAATCTTGAACAAAGATCTCTGAATGTAAATCATAGTGATGAGACCGATCAACATTCTGGCGAAGTTGAATCCCTCCAAGACCCACATAACAATGAAGAAAATCAAGTGGACAATAACAGAAACACCATGGGCAACACCGGCAATGACAGCACCTGTCTTCTTGCAGCACATTCCAAGCATTGGACCAGCACAACAAGCCAAACCAAGACAAACACCCAAGCATCCCATGTTGATAACAACAGGAGCCAATGCACAAACAAGCACTCTAACGGTAGAGTTCACTTGAATAGGATCAGTAGAACTTCTACCACTCACTTCCCATCTAGTCACACCAGTCTGGGCGTTAATGTAGGTGTATGCAACAAACAAACCTGCGGTGTAGAAGAGGCAAGGCAACAAGTCAGCCATGATGATGTTGGATCTGTGAGCTCTGCTTGCGTCACCAGCAGACTTCTCAGAAATGTCACCAGTCAACTTTCTCTTGAAACCAGTGACTCTAGATCTAGAAAGCTTGACGTAACCGATCCACGAGTTTCTGTGCCACTTGGTGTTACCACGAGACAACCATCTGATGAAATCACGGTAATCAATGAAGAAATCATCCCAAGCGAACTGATGTGGGTTGAAGACAAATGGAGAGAACATTAATGCAGATAAAGATGCCCAGAACCACAACAATGGAGCTTGCCAGTGGGAAACAGAACCAAACAAAATAATCAACATGGATCTGGCACCCAAGTAGATGGAAGAATCAGCAAATCTCGAGAACAAAATAGAAAATGGAATACGAGAAGTAGCGAAACCTCTACCAGTTGAAATATATCTGGCACCACCAACGGTCAAGTCAGTAAACAAAGATGTGGAGTAAATCTGAGCAATGAAAACTTCGAACAATGGAGACAAAGAGATGAAATGTCTGCAGAATCTTTGAGTGGCCTTCCAAAGACCTCTTTCGATTAACTCCTGAACAGTCAATGGAATGAAAGAAATGAAAAAGACGATGAAAATGGACAAAGTATAACGTCTGATCCAATCAACAGCTGGAGCCAAGTTGTAACAACCGTATGGCTTCAATCTGTCGGTGACAGGAACGTTCTTGTCGTAGTCACACAAAACAGATTCATGAGCCAAAGAGTTCAAGTTAGCCAAGACCAACATAAATGTTTGCAAAGATAACTGAATGAACAAGTTGTTGATGTGAAAACCTGGATGACCGTAGTAGAAAGACAAGAATCTGTCCAATGGCAACTGGGTGGACAAGTAGTAGTATTCTCTGGACAACATTTGTTCACCCATACCAGCACCAATCTTGGTGGTGAAATTGGAAATAGAGCCAAAACCCATATCTCTACCCTTACCACACTGGTAGTATTCACAATGCTTGATTCTACCTCCTCTCAACATAGCTGTCATACCGGCATAAATATCTTCGTTCAAATGCAATCCCTTTTGTGCCTTCGAAACACCACCTCTTGTCAACATGAAAGTAGCGTTCAAGAAATCAGGGTGACCATAATGCAATTTACCACCAATTTGAGCCAAAGTTCTGGCGAACAAAGTACCGAAAGTTTGTTCCTTACCAGCAGCAACATCACCCAAAACACCAGAGTTCTCAGAGAAAATGTATTCTCTGGCACCCAAGATGGCAACAGGAGCAGCCGACTCCTCGACGGAGTTCTTCAAGTTTGGAGCGTAAGGGTTAACATGTTCAACATTCAATTCTTCAAACTCAGCCAAGACAGATCTAATTTTCAAACATTCTTCGAGATAGTTGTCCTGGTTGGCATCAATCAACTGAATATATTCACCTCTGTGGAAAATAACAGCATGGTTCTGGTTATCGGACTTACCGTCACCCAAAATTGGGTTACCGGACAACTGCACTCTGAACTTAGGACGACGTCTACCGTTCTCTAAAACTTCGCAATGACCATCAATCAAAGCAGAGTAGACACGTGGTTCCTCGTCCTCGTTCAATGGAGGCTCTTCGTCCAAGAATGCAATCTGCAAGTCTGGGTAAGCTCTCAACAAGAACTCAGCGTTTTCCATTTCATCCTCCTTGAACTTAGCCAATCTCTGCATGGAGACGACGAACTTGAACTTTCTTCTGGCCATCTTCTCCAATGCAATTTCCAATCCCTCAGGGTCACCACCAAAGTACTGAACCAATTCAGGGTTTTCAACACGGTATAACAACTTGATGGCTCTAGCATAGTTCATGAAACCAGAAACAGTACGGTACAAAGTTTGCGATCTTAAAGATGCCCAGATTCTGGTTCTCAAGGTGTACTCAGGAGCAGCGGACTTAAAACCAATACAGTAGAATGGCAAGTCATCAATCTTTGATTTCAAGCCGTTCTCGTTCTTGTCTTCTTCGTCACCGTTTTCGTAGGCAGCAGTCTCTTCAGCCAAAATCTTAGTGTCCTTGACGAAACAGTCCCACTCAACCGGGTGCAATTGCTTCAAGTACTCCAACAAAGTAACTCTAGAGAATTGGTCATCCTCTCTGATAATTTCTCTCAAAGACAACAAAATCTTCTCGGCGTAGTGAGGAGTGAACACAGTGAAAGTTGGCATGTTATCGACAGGCAATGGCTCCAAAATTGGAGTAGCCAAAGACTGGGCGAAGAAACTAATACGTCTCTCTGCCTCGGAGTTTCTAGGGAAGAACTCAGTCTCGAAGTTGTTGTCATCTTGAGAAACGAAGAAAGTTGGAGCTCTCAAGGTTCTCTTACCCTCAATTTCAGAAGGAACCTGGTGGTATAACAACTTTTGGACGTGATCAATGGCCAACAAATGCTCTCTGTACATGGAGATGACGATAGCATTCCAAACCTGAGAGATCAAAACCTTTGGTTTGTACTTGATTTCCATCTCAGTAGTAGCTAAGATCTTAGAATAGATTCTCTTTGGCAATCTGGTAAAAATGTTTCTCCATGGCGTCAAGATAGAAATACCCAAGTAGAAGGAACGACCGATGGAGAACACACAGTTACAAACAATGTACCACATGTAGGTATCCAAGAAGAACAATAACATATCAACAAGAATCATCAAACCGAGAACAATCTTTGCTTGCTGCTTACATAAAGTGTCACCGAACCAATACTCACCGTTACATCTCATGGTGGTGGTGGACAAGTTTCTGATAGGATCTCTAAGAGACAAAATCAAGAAAAAGTAAGATTCAGAAAACTTTGCGGCAAAAACAGTGACCCAAAGTAAGTAAGACATCCACATGTCCAAGCCCTTTAACTTGTAGAAGTTGGCAGTGAACAACTGGGAAGCCAAGTACTTTCTGGATCTCTTGTTCAAGTACGGCGTGAACAAACCTCCCAAGGGCATGATAGCAAAAAAGATTAAAGTAACCACGGCAATGAAAAAGGAAACAATGGAAAGAATTTGAGCCGATTTAGAAATGGCTTCCAATCCAGCCCAGTAAAAGACATAGACGACGGGTGCGAGGTTAACGAAAAAGATCAACAACAAGAAAAGCAAACGACGAGTCAAGTGTTGAGCGCCAGCCCATTCTCTTGGAACGAACATCCATTCGAAAACAGTAGCAAGAATCTGAATGAAAGAAGCAATAGTACCTCCAATAGCAGGTGCTGCCCACTTGGAAGATTGAGTTGGTTGGTTATTAACAGTCTGAATGTAATTCTTAGTGTACAACGTTGGAGAGTTGTAAGCAGTGTACATCCAGTACATGACGATGTGAATAACCCAAATTCTGTTGAAATTGGTAATGAAATGCAACCAAGTTCTGATTTCTTTATAAGTCTTGAAGAAAACATTCTGCCACTCGACTTCTCCCAAACGCAAATATCTCTCCTCTTGGGGGATTTCGACCAATCTAGTGCCATCAGCAAAAATGATTCTAGAAATACCTTCTGGGTACCAGAACAACTGGTTGACATCATCGTAACCAATAATCTTGTTGTGGTCCTTCTCACGTTTGACAAATCTGCCCTCGTAGATCTCATACACCTGAGATCTCAAGAATCTGTAAATTGGGGTGATAACTCTGTTCAAGTAGTCACCCTCTGGAACAGGCTCCTGTCTCTGCTGACACTGAGGAGACATCAAGTAATCCATAGCAGTCTTGTAGATAAAGCAAAGACATTCTGGAGTGAAACGGACTTGATTGGCCTCACCCCACAATAAGAGGTAAAGAGCAATGTCTCTCACTCTTTCTTCGGGAGACAAGACATTCATCTTTGCCTTCCACTTAATTTCAGCAGCATCCAAAGAGTAATCGCCTTCCAACTCGGAAGCCAAAGCATCCAAGTCTTGGCCGTGCTCTTCGATAGCCTTTCTAGCCTTCTTGGACTTCTTGGAGGCCTTTCTAGCCTTCTTACCCAATTTGCCCAAGTTCATGTTGGCGAAACCAAGGGAGTCATCCAAATCTTGCTGAGATGCAAAGAACCACTTTCTGTAGTTGGCGTTGTCACCACCAATGTAGTCGGCGTGCAAAGACAACAAAGCCTGAGCCGGAGACATACGTGAGGATCTGGAGTCCAACAAGGTCATGAAATAATCAAACATGTTTCTCATAGAATCTCTTTGGAAACCGAATTTGTTGGTCAAGTCAATAAAGATATCCTCAATGTGCTCAATCTTAATTGGAGCCTGAGGGTCGGCAGACCATGCGGGATAAGGCAAGTTAGAGGATAACTGGAACTGAGTTGGATCGTAGTTTGGGTTACCACCATAAATTGGGGTGGAAGCACCGGACGAACGAGGACCACCGTAGCTCATCTGAGATGGAGTGTACTGCGTTCCATACTGGTCGTAACCTGGAGTACCTGGATTCTGGCCACCATAGCTGAAGTCAGAAAAGGCTTCTGGGTCGGCATTGTAGCCGGCCTGTTGACCATAGTTGTTGTAACCATCGTCATAAGGTTGCTGTTGGTACTGCTGGTTTGGGTCGTAGTAGTCACCACCCTCCTGATACTGCTGGACCGGCTGGCCCATCTCATCGTAGGGACCCTGTTGGTAGTAACCCTCACCATCAGCAGGATGAGCCTGCTGTTGGTTAGGATCGTAGTAGTTGTGATTGTTATCGTAAGACATCTTCACAAGGAGTTAGTAAAAGCGAACGGAAGACAGGATATGTCGGTAATTTGTTTCAGAGTGAAAAATCCTTGTGGCCTGTGACAGATCAAAATGGAATAATTCTCAAGCGCGACCCAGTGCAAATAAAGTTCTGGCTTCGAGGAAAAGTCACTGATTCAGCAAGACCACTAAAGGAAATGTGAGATATAAGAGAACCAAGACGGATATAAAAAAGATGAGAGAAAAAAAGAAACCCGCAACTAATCTCAGGAGAACAACCTCGTTATAATTAGAACCGATGGGCGTAGCAAGTGGATGAAACGGGAAGGGGAGACATCAAATCAGGAAGGCGAGCACTGCAAGAGATGCAGGACTTGTTCCGATGACATGCAAAACTCCGCTAAATCAGGAGCGTACCAGTAGAGTTGGTCAGTGCTTTTGTTGTAGTTGTAAACTGTTTGCAATGGTACACGTATCCCAATCTCTCGGTAACTATGGTCAGCAATTTCATCGACCCACTTGACCTTATTGAATTTTGCGTGGTGGACTTGCTGCGCCGACTGCTGCCTGCACACACATAAAGCAAAAAAAGAAAAGGTACTCCACGTGACTTTCCAGACACTACCGAAGCCAACATTCTATTTCCAAAGAGGGAGACAAGAACGGCGTATTGGAAATGTTGGTAGTCGTAACGCTGTCAATTCGATCCGGTTTGGTTGTTTGTGAATAGTAGACATCGAGAAACAAGGGAATGTAAGCCGGGGCAAAATTTCCTGATCAAATATATCAGATGGCCCATTGATGACAATGAAACCCGTCAACGCCGGCGGCTAGAAGCCTGAAGCAATTAGAAATACCAAGACACTCCACAAAACAAAACTATCATGCCGCAATTGCATTCTTAGGAAAAATCAGGGGCCCGGCGTCTTGCTCGGATGGCCAGCCGACCAGATAAAGTATTGAAATGATAAAGAAGAGGAAAAGGAGGAAAAAAAGTGAAACAAATAGCAGACGAAGTCGATGGCGACAGTGATATCACATATGGCCAACGAAAGATTCAAAAAAATTGGAACATACCTCTCGATAACGAAACAGCGACGAAAACAAGAAGAAGCAAGAACAAACCAGGGAAGTAGGGCCAGATCAACCTAGGTGCGAACACGAGTATTGCACGACCGCAGAGATATGACGAAAAACGCGCCTGAATGCCTGGTGTGCACATAACCTAGTTTCGGAAGGATAAAGTTGTAGTGAACTGAGCACTAGTTGCAGGAAATAGTTCAGGGATCCGTTGACCAATGGACAAAATTTGGTATAGAATGGGCAGAGAAGGTTGTGAGAGAATGAGGGAGGAAAAAGTGTACTTGTGTGGAAACATGGAGGGACATGATTGCGAACTCAATTCATAATGCTGTCAGGATGTTCCGACGAATAAATGGATTTTCAATTGTGGAAGATTGTCGATCATCGCAATGTGAAGTATGACACCTTCGGAGAATATCTCAACCCTGGAAACCTTTTTCTCCTATATTGGCACTTTGTGGCATCCGAATTATGTGGGTGTTTGCCGGTTTATGTGCAGGCAATCTGTTCCGCGACGACGGAAGGTTTTAGACACTATTGAATGTCCAGCGTGTTTCTTGGTGAGTTGGTTTTCGATTCTTTCATAATGTTCACGATATCTTTTGAATTTCCATTTTTTTTTCTTCTACTTGTTTACATTTGCTCTTTCGAATTCATTCAATTTCTTCTCCATCATCTTCTAAATTCCTTTACATTTTCTGGATCTACTCCTCCCATTATCACTACCGTAAATTCTTGTCAATCTACCTCTTACTATCGCCTATTCTGTCCACCCCAATTCGCTTAATTCCTTCCGGATATCGTCCTCCTTGTTGATCTTGCTCACTTGGGTGTCTTCCAATGGTTCTCCTCCTGCCTGCTTCATCTTCAATGTCTCGATGGCACGGAGCTTCTTCAACAAAGAACGGATCTTCTTCTCTTCCAACGACACGACGCCTCCAACAACACTTCCTCCTGCTGCTCCTCCGCTCACGGTGGCTACTGGCGTAGGAGTGGACGATGGAGTCTCGGGTGCTGGGCTACTTTCGCTCAGGGCAGCCTTCTTGGCCTCCCTCTTCTTTCTGTTCTTAGCAGCAGTCTTGGACTCCTTCGTGGCTGCAACTGGAGCACCTGGAATAGCGGCACCAGGAACAACCCTTCTCACACCAGGAACGAACGCTGGCGTAGTCGATCCGATGTTGCTTTGCATCTCTTTCTGGTACAACGATGTTGAAGTTGCAGAAGCCCCACTGTTACGTGCATGTGGAGGTCTGTAGGCTCCAGTCTTCTTAACGGTATTTCCTCCGCTCAAAGCAGCTCTTTTGGCCAAGTATTCCTTGGCTGATTGTTGAGGTTCAGGACATGCCTCCAACTGTCTCAATGGTGGGTATTTCTCAATACTCTGTGGCTTCCATGAAATGGAAAACAACTCAGGATACTCTCTGTAGTAAACCAACTTACCACTGGCATGCCACACCTTTAAACCGTTATCCACACGCAACCTTGGCGATGTGGTGGCGGTTAAGATGTAGCGTCCACATGGCGACCACTCGCACACAGAAGTGTTGGATGCCTCAAACGTACACACCTTGCTGAACTTGTTCTGACGGTCGTAAACATCTACAGTTCCCTGCAAGTTACCGAAACCAGCCACTAAAACAAATCTTCCATGAGGAGAGTACAAGATGGTGTTACGTGGAGCAGTGGGCAACGAGTGGATCAGGTTACCTCTAGCATCAAAGAAAGTCGTCTCAGAAGGCATGAAACCATAACTCACAGCAAATTCTCTGGCCGATGGCGACCAGGTAATGTCGTGGATAGGACCCTCTCTCTTCAAATCGATTCTCTCGTAGGAACCAGCAATGCCCAACAAATACAAGTTGGTCTCACCGTAGTAAGATTTGTTGCTTGTGTCATGATCGGTGGATGCTAATGCCAACAATGCCGTTCCCAAGGCGTTCCACTTCAACAGACACTTTTCAGCCTTGAAGAATGTCTTGGAACACACTGGTTGGTTGAAAGAAGGAACGTTGTAAATGAGAACCTGAGCGGGCTTTCCGCCCTTTTCGGGAATAAATACTGCCACAGATGGGTTCAAACCTGGACTCAACTGGAAGTTCTGGAAGGAAGCACCAGCATCTTGTACTTTGAACTTGTGAGATGGCTTCTTAATGTCCAAGGACTCCGACATCTCATAGAAGTGGATTTCTTTGTTGTTAAAGTTCTTAGCCATAAACTTGCCATCCTGGGTGAATTGTGGTTGCCAGCCACCCTGGTGCTTATTGGACCACTTTGTGACTTCTTTCTGAAGCTCAACGTCATACACCACAACGTTCTCCGACCACACTCCACTCTCCTTATCAATCAAGATTGGCTTTGTCCAGAGGGCCAAATATCTTCCGTTGGGGGAGAAATGCAAATCAAAGGTATCTTTGATGTCGAATTTAGCTGCGGCCTTGTCATTGGACTCTCCATCTTTCGTTGACACCACCAAAACGTGTGTTGGCTGTGTGTACGCAAGATAGTGGCCGTTGGAGCTGTAGGATGTGCAGCGGACCTCCGCCGTGGGCTTGGGGAACGTGGTCACCTCCTCATAGTTTTGTATCAAGTCGACCGATCTCGGTTGACGACCTGGTAGATGTTAGTATGGAATTCCTGTAATCATTGTGTGGCAAAGTAGCTTATGCGGAGCATTCTAATGACGAACAAATAATTGATTCTCACTCTGGCCATGCCGGCGTGCCAGCAGGCTAGGACTCCTTCCCCATTGACCCACCTAAAGTGTGTGGTTGCACTCAAACCTGGAGATACTGCCAGAGACACAACCAATGACATTTGGAGAAAATTCTCCATCAAAGGCTACCAAACGATAAGTACATACAATAAAATTGTGTATTTTCCGACATCACGAAAGTAAATGTACCGTGGTTGTGCAAAGGTGGAGGAAAAGATTTGAAGGTGTTGGCACATCGAAAATTTTTGAGCGCGAGCACACTGGATGGTGGAGGTTTGTGCGGCTAGCCAACGGCCATGATGTCTCAGGAAATGGTTATGAATAAGTGAACTTTTAATAATAAATTGTAACTTGATGTGGTTTTTTTTATTTCTACAATAGGCTGTTATCATTTTCTTATTTGTTTTGCTCGTTTATCGTTGATGTTGTTTTTTTCATTATGTGCTGCTAAGTCCTAATGAACTGTGAAATTAGCTATTGGCAGAACGTCATTTCATTATCTCCTTTCAACTCTGGACAACATTTGTTTCTGCCGTTGAATCTTCATTTCCATTACCAATGGTCTCATCTCCTTGGAGGCTGGGTTGGTACCCCAACCTTTCAGCCTCAGCAAACCACTCCTCGGCATTTCCTAACCCAAATCCTTGTTGCCCGTAAATTCCTAACATATGACATGCTTCCGGAGACTGGAATTCCTTGAATGCTCGCTCACACCACTCAACGGCCCTCTGTGGATCAGCGACCGGAATATGCTTGCTCTCTCCGTTGGATCCTTTAAAAAACCAGCGGCTGATACCTAACATGGCCTCTGGGTGACGTTTAAACTTGAGTGGAGATGTCGCAGCCTTGATGTACCACTGGATGGACTTTGCAGCATTCTTTTGTCTGTTCAAATCTCCACTCTCGTAGATATGGCCCAACTTCACTTGTGCGAGAAGACAATGATGCTTGGCTGCCCGGTTGTAATACGACAAACTCTTCGCATAATTCACAGGCGCAAGTTCCAATGACCCACGAACAAATTCGTCATCTGCCTTCAAGTCACCAGGGTAGATGCCTTCATATATGCGACCTAGTTGGTACAGTGCCAAACCAACCACCTCTTCTAATTCATCACGGTCCGATCCGCTGAGCTGGATATCCTTGGATTGCATATCAATATCCGACAAGCTCCGGAAGTACTTAAGGTAATTCAAATTCCTAACTTTAGGAACCATCAACAAAATCAACGCTACACGATAGATACCACGGTAGTATCCCAATCTAGCAGACTCCTTATAGTGATCCAAGGCTCTATCAAATGCTTCCTCAGTTTCTTGCTGCTCGTAAATTTCTGCCAACAGATAATGTGCCTTGAAAAATGCAGGGTTTAGCTCCAAACATTTTTTCAAGTAGACAGTGGCTTGTTCATCATCTCTAGGGATTCCAAAGTCCTGCTCAAATCTCTCAACATACTCATGCTTGAGAAGACATCCATAGATGTAGCATGCTTCGGCCAAAACTGTGTACGTACTTGGCAGTTTAGGACCCTCAAGCTCCTTCACCAACTTCTGAAGATGAGTAACTGCAGACTTCATAAAGAAGCGTTTGTTTTCAGCAATTTGGTCCTGTGCAATGGAGTCTCCCTTGATGTTGATGTATGCATAAACCTTATACTGAATTGCAACAACCAACATCTTCATCCACTTAAGTCTATACTCGACAGACTTATTTCCCGATGCAATGATTTTTCTGAGGTCAACGAACTCATTTATTTTGTCGTTAATAGTGCTATCGGATGACTTAGCTGGAGGTGGTGGCAGACTCCTGAATACACCAGATGTATTGTTTCCATACATCGGCATCATTTGCTGCATCTGCTGAAGTTGCTGGATCTGCTGTTGCATTTGTTGAATATGGAAAGATTCGTTTATGCCTAGGTTGCCGAGAGTGTTTCTTCTGCTGTCTCTTCCAGTCGGCATTGGAGAATGACGTCCCTCATGACCAGGCAGAGTAGGAGCACTCGAGAAGATTGGAGGAGGTGGACCCTGCATTGGAGGAACAAATGATTGAGTATCCTTTGGACGTCTTCGTTTGGAGCTAGTCGAAGTCGAAGGTGTTACCAAACGGTTAGGAATTCTTCCAACTGTAAAATTGTTCTCGCTTTGGAGTGAATTGTACGATGATGTGGAAGCGCTGGAGTCTTGTCTGTTCAATCCATTAGAAGCCTCGGTGCTGTACCCCTGGGGTGGTGGACCCTCTTGAATAATCATATCACGAATATCTTGCTTGGGGCTCGATGTAGCTCTTGCGGGCTCGACAACAGGTGTTGGATTTTTCTTCTCTAAAGAAACAGCCGTTGAATTTTCTGTGATCAATAGTGAATCGAGAACTGGTGGCTCAGGAACATTTGATCCCGGAACAATTTGTGCTTCAGTATTGTCTTGAGAGCTCGTCACCCCTGGGGAACCATCAGATTCCAGAATGTCACCATTGGTGCCGTCTGCTTCAGAGTCTTCAAAGAGGAACGCTTCATAGTCGGAGATCTCCTCTTCACCCTCTTCGTTCAACCTGATCCTCAGCATTCTCTCCGTCATCAGGTGGGATGATGCTTTCCTAACTTGCGAAAACTTCCGTGCGATCGACGCTTGTCTTGAGAGAGGTTTTCTGGTTTTAGGCATTGTGATTGTCTGAGATGAAGTACGAGAGCGTGGTTCCGAGGGTGTCTCTGTGAGATGCACATCTTGGTAGTCATAGCGATCAGAAACAGCATTTGCTTCGCCAGACAGTATAAGTCCTGAAGATGTTCTGGGAATTCTGACTTCAGAAGCCAGTCTCGTGTAAGTATTAACTGCAATAGCAGATGCTCGTCTGGACCCAATGACATTTCTCATGCTGGTCATACTAGAACTGTGTGGAATTTGATCGGCATCAGGAATAGTGACATTGACGGAGACAGCTCTTCCACCCGAAACTTGGGACTGCTTTGGGATTACCAACAGCGGAACTGACGAGGATCTATTCAGCTTTAATGTGTTGCGTCTTGAATGCTGGACAAACTTATTTTCGGCAGCACTTTGGCTAATTTGGTTGCAGTAGGCAAGATAATCTGAACTCTGATGGTTGCTGCCAATGGAGTGGGTGTTTGACGCTAGATTTCCCGTATACATTGAGTGACGGTAATTTGGATTGGCTCTTTGCTGGTTTATTGCCTGATAAGATGCCATGGCTGCGTAGTACTGTTTCCACTGTTCGTAATATGGATGTTTCCGCGATGGTTCAGGCTCGGACTCCGATTCTGACTCTTCCTCTGATCCCGACTCGGAGGTGTATTCTTCTTCAGAAAACTCTGCACTTGTGTCTGCCGAGGCAGGGCCAATTGGGCCCGGCTGATAGAGCTGGCTCTGTCTTTGGATGCTCTGGCTACGTAAGGACGCTTGAGTCCCTTGCGTGGGAAACAGGTATGGTTGTTGAGACATGTAGGACTGGTCATAGCCTTGATAATTTTGGTTTTGAACCTGGTTTTGACTTCGATATTGATATCCATTTTGACCTTGCATCTGGCTCTGTAGTGGAACCTGTGGAAGAACCGGAGCACGGCCCTGATGGTTCTGGTTGTATTGAGTTTGCAATTCACTCAGACTCCGGCTGTGGCCATTAAAGAACAGTTGCTTGTTCAGATGCTGGTATTGCTTCTCATAGTTTTGTAGATACTGCTGCTGGTAGTGTTGCTGGTAGTGCTGCTGCTGCTGGTATAGATTGTGGCTAGATGCTGCCACGTTAGCTGAAGCATAGCCATGCACCAGTCTTCTGTTAGCTTCCTTCGTGTCATGGTTTTGAGTCATACGAGTTTGGGCCATACCCTTAGGAATTTCTGAGTGGCGTTTGTGAGTATCAGCCAGCGAATGGGAAGAGGCCGAGGCCACCAGCAGAAACTCAGAGCCGTCAGCAGCCGAAGATACTGAGATGTTGGTTTTGGAGTGGCCCATGTATGGCTGGGGCACCATCGGAAGCAGCTTGCGACGGTCGTCAGGCCTCAATTTGGTGAAGAGACCCATTGGCTTTTTGCAAATGAAGAAGACGTACAGATGGAGGAGGTTATTAGTTGGTTAGTGCAGGTTATCCAGAAGCCCAATTTGAGTGATGGGCCGTCATGTTGCCTATTGCGGGCACAACCAAAATAAATGGTGTGTGTTCAGGCTCAGTGCACCATAATTAGATCGCATAGTGGCTGAGAAAGTCAAAGCATGCGATCGAAACATTAATATGACAAATCGAAGGTAATAATGTTCTTTTTTCAATTATTTAATTGACATTTGGAGGCTAGTTGGCTCAGTGATTTTTACTTTATACTAAGGAAACCTGGCCGTGTTGGCCGGAGCCAAGAGAGACGGGTGAGAACCTTCGGCGGTGGAAACTACTCGGTATAATTAATGGCTATTTATGGCTACACCGATGGGCCGAGACCAAAGGGGTGTGGAGGTTCTTCTCCAGGTAACAAATAACGAAGAAGGAGGTTAAGTATTTACAGTGTTCTATTTCTGAACATTTGTCATGATGTCCGAGTATTTTTATTTTTGTTTGTTTGTCGAAGTTTTTGTTATTTAATCTGGGTTTCGCAAAATTTTTGAGAACCCGGAGAACATTGTTGAATTTTTCAATTGGGGCTCATCTGTAAAATTAACCTTAAAATATTTTTTATGTGGACAACATTGCATTGAGCATTCTAAATTGAACGCCCCAGTGGCCAATTTCGTCAATTTTTTGAAATTATTTTTGTAAAAATTTGTCCAAAAGTCATCAAGATGAAAATTCTTTCACTGACGGGATAATCTTCATTCAGGAAAAAAAAAATTCTTGAAGAAGATTCTTGAATTAGTGCTCCTTTTCAACTCATTGCAGATCTTTCGTTAGGTTGGATACTATTCGTTGAAATCGTTGTCTGGTCGGAGCACACCTACATTTGTCATCATTGCAGACTTGTAATTGTGCCACTCTTAATTAGTGATCTTGATGGATATTACCCATTGTGGTTACATGCTTCGTTAGTTTAAAGCTAGATGTAACAACTTCTAAATAAGTATTGTGTAGCCACTTTTTCCGTACCTTTTCCCATTGACATTACTCCTGTCGACTTCTCTGGCACGACAATACTCTGTCCTCCGAAGTAATAATTATTAACTCCCATCGTTTTCTTCTTTCCAAGTAAATCCTTTCTCATGACTCAACTATCTTCGAAGTGACAAAAACGTCCTAGAAGCAGTGCTATCAGTAAAGTTATAAAGAGGCGGTAAATTTCTGAGACTACCAGGTTATGCTCTTGAATCCTCCACATGCTCAAGATGCTACATATGTCTTTCCCATTGACAGGAATTACACCGCATAGTAAGCATGATCGGTTCAAAGGGAAGTTACTGGTGGTCAATACTTCGTTAGTATCAGCTGGGATCGTAGTTTGCGGCCCACGTTCTATTGTGAGAACATCTGCAACATCTTCTTTGTTCGCACTAGGAGTGCTCAGTCTGATCAAACTGTATTCAGGTTTATTATTTCACTCTATTACTTAACAAAACTCTTTTCAAGCTGCGAAAACAGCAGCTCTTCCTTGAATTCGTAATTTCGAAACTCTTTTTTTCTTTTAATTAATCAAGTACCAAGAATAAACGCTGCCCCACATTTCAGTTTCGCGGGGGCACATAACCACATTATCGAAAAGATCAAGGCAACCCTCCAGTCAAAATACTCAGGCTTGAAGATTGGTATCGTAAAATTCAATATAAGTTATCAAAATCCATACTGTTCTATATTTTGAACTCAAGGCGTTCTAAGGTGTTTTGTGCACTGTTATGAGAAGTTTCTGAGTGACGCTGGCCGATTCTTACCTCATATGATCAAATTATGACTGCAGTACGTACTAAATTCTTTCAAGGGGATATTTATTTCACTACACGAAATCCTCAGGGTAATTTACGAATTCAAATATTTCATAGCAATGTAATTTACGAATTTTAACATAACCCTTCATCACTAAATATGTGACCCTTTTCTTCTCCTTCTCTGGATCCTGTTTTATTAATTTTCTTAACATTTGGTGATCTCAAATTTTTATCGCTACCATGCCAGTTGTACAGTTAGTTGACTTCGACTTTATGATAAAGTCAGGAATTGACATATTTGCTGATATTCCTCAACAGGAATGGCTCGACTATATCGACAACCTAATGAACCCTTTGGATTCTCCGACCATTGCTGACCTACTCAATGTTATCAACACTCGCACAACACTTGAAGTATTATATGTGCTTATGTATATGAAATGTGATTGGCAGATATTTAACTTGCCACAGGTCAAGGTAGAATTTGAAAGAAGAATGAAGTTAGTAACTGACGCACACTCTACCGATCAATTCGATAAGGTTCTTGTGGAAAAATTCCAAAGAATAATTTTACTAAGGGAGCTTTACTTTATGTTGTTGAAGAAAATGTGTGAGCACATGAATTATACCATTTCAACTTTCACATTCAGAGAGTTTTACGAGCACATGTCATTAGTGAACACTAACTTGATCATAGAAGTGGAGCAAAGTTCAGTAACGAAGCTAATGAACTGCTTCTCTGGAGTAGCACGGCTGAATATGTTCACTTTGCTCAATGGCTGTGGCATCAAGTGTCTCCCTGATCATAGTTTCAACAATTTACCGTACGAAAAGATTCAAACAAATTGGTGGAAGGAATATCACGTATTTATTGAAAATGGCAGCAACCCACCCAAACTAAGAGATATAGGTCCTGTGATCAATATTGTTATGACAACTGCTAGCCGGAACAACGAAGGGAAAACTTTTAAATGGAACGACAGAGAATCGGTATTCATCACAGGCAGGGTTGCTTCCATGTACTCGAGGTTACAGATGCCATCAAACGGTTATTCTGTATCGACTGTTTTCATTGGATCATTCTTGGTACTTGTTCTTGGCTTCATTTTTGTTTTTGGAGCAGCAGTGGACTTATTTTTAGGTCTACCACAGTATCTTTCCAAGTCGAGTTTGTCAACTGACTCAGAAGTGAATAATTGGTTGGACTTAGATGAATACGAACTGGCATATTTGACAAGAGACGTTTATGATAGTCCATGGAAGTACGATATGAGTGACAAGAATAATCGAGCCGCCTATGCCAGGCAACATGCGGATAGGCTTAAGTACTATAATGCGGCTTTACAGAGAAATCAGCAGATATGCTGAAGTAAGTGGATTTCGACAAGCTCTCACTAAGGTAATTCCATCCGCAAATAATTCAAGTCTATTTGGCTAAATCTTGGTAGTGGTGTATTAGTTGCGGTGATACCAACTGATACTGATCAATAGTGTGTTCGTATCTCGATAACCTGATGTACAACACTAATTATGTCAATTACAACACAATTTTTGTCAATTACTTTATGATGTAGATAAATATGTCCATTGAATGCTCATGTTGCCAGTAAGGGACGCCAGAATAACTACACGACTAACAGTAACTACAAACACTCACTTCAATGTCACCTCTTTCAGTAGATCCATGAAGTATTCGCACTTGTGATGTATCTACGAACACTATGCGAGCGTCAATGACACACAGACTTCAATTATCGGAAATTCTGTTTATTGTCAGATAACATCCAATGCAATTGGTTTCACCTTCAGCTTACAAATCCAGATTACACCTCCCCGAAACCCACATTACTGTGGAGTGTGGCTTCCATACAGGGTGGACCCCAGATTATAAATCAACCTCCATTTCTCTTTGCACTCACATTTCTTGCAACGATGGTGAGTGTTTCTGCAGTTACATATACTGAAACAAGCAAGGACATTCCTTCAGTGTTGAAAAACTCGACTTCGGAGATCAATCCATCCAAGCTTGCTCCAAATGAGATCTTGATCAAAGCATTGGGCACTCCCATCAATCCATCTGATTGGAAGCTCTTCGAAGGCAGCTACAAAGCACCAATCGCATTCAAACAAATTGGACAAGATCCAGATGCCCCCAAGGTTGCTGTGGGTGGTAACGAGGGAGTGTTTTCCATTGTTGCTAAGGGTGACGATGTATCCACCTATAACATTGGCGACTGGGTAATCTTGAAGTTGACAGGATTTGGAACATGGCGCACCTATGCCATTGTGGCAGTCACCGAGGACAATAAGGATCCACTTATTGTTGTGCTGAAAAAGGAATCCCCACTCTTGACTCTTGACGAGGCATCCACGATCTCGACTAACCCATCAACTGCTTACCAGCTCTTCACCTATTACATCAAGGACTGGAATAACAAAGGAAATGACTGGATTGTGACAAATGCAGGGAATTCCTTTGTGAACAAATACTTGTTTCAGATTGCTCGCCATTTCAACGTTAAAACTTTAGCAACGGTGAGAGACAAGCCTAATTGGAACGATATCGAGAAGGAATTGACGGATCTCGGTGCTACAGTCGTGGTAAAGGAAGAAGATTTTGTTAAGGAGACCTTCATTACTGAAGAGTTACCTAAAATCATTGGCGATGGAAAAGTTCGCTTGGCGCTTGACTCTTTAGGAGGTCCAACAACGTTAAACTTGACTAATGCTCTTTCACAAGAGGGAACTTTTGTCAATTATGGAGCATTGGCTGGAGGCTTGGTGCTGTTCAGCCCTGGTGCTCAATTGCACAAGAACTTCGAGTTGAAAAGCTACTGGTTGACCAGAAACACTCGCGCAAATCCTCAGTCTAAAGTCGATACAGTGCACGAGGTATTGGATTTGTTTCGCCAAAAGGTGTTCAAGCCAGTGAAATTCACTCATTATGATTACAAAGAGGGCGACAACCTCAGAGACATCTTCGTGAGAGGGATTGAGAACTCGAAGAATGGTAAGATTGTTGTCGTGTACAAATAAAGTCCTTGATATACCTTCATTGTGACTATAAGTCGATTCAACACTATTCTCCCAAACAATTAAATAATATGATGTACGCTGAAATAAATTCTTCCACAGGATAGTTCGGCTTTAATGGCCACCTGCCGTGGCTGGACCAAAGTCGAGCCAGTTCCAGTTGTTGCCATTGCTGTAACCGGGATCATCGATCAAAATCTCATCGGTGGCTTCCAAGCCACCATAGTTGAATTGATGCTCCTTAAAGTCTCCATGATGAGACTCCTCATCAGCAATTACGAATGACTCCTGTTGGAACAAGTTCATATTGAGCAATTTGTCGATCTCATCCGTTCCGTTGGACGCAGAATTGGTGTTATGCTCAAGAGATGACTCCCCAGATGGACCTGTCATCTGGATCGGAGAAGTCTGTTGGAAGTCCAAGAACGTTCTTATATTGTCACCAGCCTTGCCATGGGCAGTGGAGACTGGCACACTCGACGAAAGTCGTGATGTACGGGAGTCTGTGGGACTGGTGATGGAGGAAGGGTGGTCGTTCATACCAATCCTCGAAAACAACTTGGTGTTGTTATTGGAAATTACGCTGTCAATCGACCGTTTCGAAGACGAGTATGGGGCAATATTGACACTTGCAGTGGTGCTTGGAGGCGAGTGTTGTGTCAGGCCTGTATTTGAGCGGGACATGGCCAGTGAATTTGGGTTTTGGCCTGCTGCATTGTTGAGTGGCCGCAAGATGCCATGAAGCTTGTAGAAAAGACCACAAGCATTACAAAGCACATCACCTTGGTTGGTTTTGCGCCATAGTGGAGTTGTTCTGGTGTGACAGTTAGTGCACTGCAAGTAGGATCTCGAAGACGAAGAGTCCAGCTTCAGATGTACCAGCTGTGCTGGAGTGGAAGTTGAGCCCAGAGGACCCGGAGGTGATGTCTGGGCCAACTTGTAATCATGCTTAAGGGTAGACTCAAGCAGATTGATGTAGGAGGACAAGAACGAGTTACTAGGAGGGTTCCCATTTGCAGTGGAGGCGCCGGGCTTGTCCACCTCCATCATCAGCGAATGGCGCTCCACAAGCGGATCGCCCATGGAAATGCTATGGCCCATGGTCATACTGGACGGATGGACAGCCGTGGGAGTGTGAGAGGGCGTCATTCCCAGCGACACTGACGACACGGACTTGGCAGACGACTTATAGTCATAATGCGACGAGCGGAAGTCTTGAGGGTTTCCCGTATACGACTTGTCAGAACCAGAAGCATTCTGGGGGCCCAGAACAGGGTCCTGACCGTATTCCTCCTGAGAGATCCGCCTGATATGGGCAACGTAATCAAACTCATCAACATTCGGATCAGGATGAGACTTTGTAGCCAGTTGGCGAGCGCTCTGCGGTTTCGAGACCTTCGCTCGGTTAGCACCAATCATCTTCTGATTCTGAATACGCCACGCGATGTTGGAAACTCGCTGGTTGTGGGGTAAGTACTTCTTATTCTGGTACATGGAGAATATCTTGAACGAGGCATCGTCAAGGTCACGCACAAGATCGGCCACTTCTGGCTTATCGGATTTGGGAACCATCGTTAAACGTGAAGGTGAAGTGCTCTGCTTTTATTATGGCGGTAGCCGCTGGCGAAGGCAAAGTAAATGGAAATTGTAAGATAGGGCGGGATCGTCCTCTGGCAAGGGGCAGGGATATGATCGGGGAGGGGATGCTCAGAAAAGACGCTGGTCGGGCGATGAGAGCGGCTGGTGTGGATGAGTAGATTCCGACGGCTTGCGGCGAGAAAAAAGGGCAGCACAGGGACAGAAGAAATGAAGCGGATGACTCTTGAGATAGTTTAGCGAGTGTTGAACAAAAGCTTACTCACTTTACTGAGTGCAGTGCCGCCATGGATTTATTTTATGGCAGGTTCGCAGCCCTGGTGGTTACCGTTGGGGCTCCAATGGGAGGAGAGGAGAACACAGTAAGTAGCAGGTTAGTGCGAAAAGAGAAAAAATGGGGAAAAGTGGGTAAAAGGTTGACTTTGTTTGAAAGGGTATAAGGATCGTAAGACTAGAGAATTTTTTTTATGTAAGTTGACAATTAGTAATGATTTCTGGAAATTTGACATCGATTGTTATAAACTGTCGAGGTAGATATCAATCTCGAATTGAAGTGACATATAGTTAGACATTCTCGATGTTAAGTATAGGGCCAGATGTCAGTGCAGGTTGGAGTGACTGTTTGATGAAAGGCATTTGGAAAACTTTAAAGAGTCCTGCAGAAAGTGGGGGAACAAGAGGGGGAATTGGGAGGTGGGGAAGAAAGGCGTACCAGATGATGAGAGAAAACGAAAATGAAAGGAGAGGTAGTGGATAGGAAAGAAAGTGAGAGAAAGATAAAAAAAGAACTGTTAAGATACAAAAAAAAATAAAGAAATTATGACAGTTTAAATAGACTGCTCTACATAAGTCATGTACTTTGATGCAGGATAAGTGAGGCCAGTCGATGATGCCCTCCATACAGGTGCGCATCTTTTATCTTGTATCTTGTACTCTTTCTTCATGGCTGACAAAGTAAGAGACACCCATCAGTTCCTCTACCAGAAGGCCAAATATATTGGGCTTGGCGATGCAGATACGACTCGGGAGCAGTTTATCACTAATGTACAGAGAGATACGCTAGCGTCAGTGGCCATGCACGACAGTTTGCTCACGTATAATGCTGTGGCTACCAATACTCATCGTGAGTTGTTGAGGCAGCAAACTATTAAGAAGATGGTTCAACCAATGAGAAAGACTGAGAATGGACCGTGAGAGTTTGCTGGAAGGAAATGAATTTCGTGGCGGCTCACTGGACTGAAATGACACTTGAAAACTCACGAAAAGTCGTCATAGTTAGGAAATAATGAAGCTCTAGTAAGACATGAAGTGATAAATTTGCAAAAGCCAAGAAAATGTTGAGAGCCATAGTCATGATACTTATTAAACCATGAAAGTGATGGATCTGCTAATTGTCATTACAGCCTTGAACATAAAGGCGTTAAAAATTGTCAAGGAAACGCTGGGATTCGTGATAAAGGTGATAGCATTCACTATCTTGATCACATAGCTCCACTAACCAATGAGCATCTCTCCACAGGTCCGAGTCCGGGCTCTATTAACTTCTAGTTTTCTGCCAGCTTGAAAGTGGAAAGGAATTGAACTTGCACGGAATCGGTAGGGCTATGGAATTGCCAGGGATATGGAATTCCTGAATTTGATATTTCATTGGATTAACTAATTCTGCCATGTGCTCTGCCTGATAATTAATTACTTTGGCCGTCGATCCAGAAGTCTGGGCCACATTTACAATATTTACCTCCAATTGAAAGAATGTTAAGCAGGACATGATAGTAGATTGTGTTTGTCATCTTCAATTCGATCCTGCCATTGGTTCGTATGCCTTGATTCGTCGAAATCCAACTTCTTCTGTTGATTTCTTTTTCCTATCTTGGATTTCTGTCACTGATTTTCGCTCAATAATGAATAATTAGGTGTGATTCCTATATTCCGAAATTTCTCATTCATAATCTGTAATCTCATTTTTCATTTTTAATTTCTGATTTCTAACTCCTAATTAATTTCTAATTAATTTCTATCTAACGATCTCCCTGTTCCCTCCCTAATTTCCGCTCATCCACGTCCAATTTCTTTGTTCAATATATCCGATGTATGCCTTCCCAATTGGGCTGTCGCTGCTTATCTTCAATTAGGCTGTCATAGGCAACTTTTCCGTCCGTTCAGTGCTCACAACAGTCATTCCTTTTACATCATTCCCACTCTGTGCAGATTTATGCCCCCATCGTCCAGCAAGATAAGCTCTAAAGTAACCATCAATACAACAAAAATGCTCCAAAATACTCTGTGAGATTCCCACTTGAATGTCTCCTCCAAACTTTCTTTACTTCCCTTTGATCGACTTCGCCTAATACACGTGGCTTCCATCTCTTGGCGAAATTTGACTTGGTGTGCATAAGTCGAGATATCTAGTACTTAAAAAGCTTCTCTGCCAGGTAAATTCTTTTTTTTCTTCAGGCGCTCTGCTGTATTACCCCGAGTGAAACACTTCTGAGAGATAGTGTAGTTCACCACATACAGTTTTCTTTTGGATCGCTTCGTCTTCGAAATTAAGTCTACTACCGAATTTCAAGTTATTCACAATAGTAAAGATGGACCGGCAATTGGCAAAGAAGATCAAGTTCAAGGCGGTGAAAAACCGAGAACTCTAAGCTACTCACCTCAATCGGAACCGTATAAGGTTGCGGTGGAGAAGGTGGTGGCTGCTTTTGAAACTGATTCGGAGAATGGACTAACAGAGGCTACGGCAAAACACTTGGCTCTGGTTCATGGCTTGAACAATTTAGGCGATGAGCAGTCTATCTCCTATACCACCATTTTGGCCCACCAGGTGTTCAATGCTATGGTTCTTGTTTTGATCATCTCTATGATCATTGCCTTAGCCATCAAGGATTGGATCTCGGGTGGAGTCATCGCTTTTGTTGTGTTCATCAATGTGTTTGTTGGTTTCATTCAAGAAGTCAAAGCCGAAAAGACCATGGGCTCGTTGAGATCGTTGAGTTCGCCAACAGCCGTGGTAATTAGAGATGGGTCTACTCACGAGATCAACGCTGAAGATTTGGTTCCTGGTGACATCGTGTTCATCAAGGTTGGTGATACTATACCTGCTGACTTAAGATTGTTTGATGGAATGAACTTGGAAACAGACGAAGCTCTTCTTACTGGTGAATCCTTGCCCGTAAGTAAAGATCCTTCTGAAGTCTATGATGACGACGAGCCTATCCCTGTAGGTGACCGTTTGAACATGGCTTACTCATCATCGGTGGTTACCAAAGGCAGAGGAACCGGAGTAGTTGTGGCTACTGGTCTTCACACCGAGATTGGTAAAATCGCCGACTCGTTGAAAAATGCTGATGATAAGGTCTTCATCAAGATGGGTGAAGGCGTGAGTTTCTTCCAGGCTTCATGGCGTACTACTATTAACATTATCATGAACGTTTTGGGTGTTAATGTCGGAACTCCTTTACAGAGGAAATTGTCCTGGTTGGCCATCATCTTGTTTTGGGTTGCAGTGTTGTTTGCAATTGTGGTCATGGCTACTCAGAAGATGAACGTTACTAAATCGGTCGCCATCTATGCCATCTGCGTGGCGTTATCTATGATTCCTTCGTCTTTGGTTGTCGTGTTAACAATCACCATGGCAATTGGAGCCCAGGTGATGGTCACCAAGAACGTCATTGTTCGTAAGTTGGACTCTCTTGAGGCTTTGGGTGGCATCGACGATATCTGTTCGGACAAAACAGGAACCTTGACTATGGGTAAAATGATTGCCCGGAAACTTTGGATTCCAAATGTGGGTACTTATTCAGTTACCAACTCCCCTGATGTTTACAATCCTACTGTGGGAGATGTTCTGTTCTCTACGGAATCCCCTCAAGAAATGGCTGACAGTGACGAGGAGCCAAAATACTCTTCCAACCTCCCTCAGCCTCCTTCCACGTTGTTCTCTAAATGGATTGAATGTGGTGTTTTGGCCAACATTTCAAAGATTTATACCAAGAAGAAGGAGTTGGATGAGGTGTGGGAAGCTCAAGGTGACGCAACCGAAATCGCTATCAATGTGTTTTGTACCCGTATGGGATTTGTTCGTGACGATTATATCTCTAAGAACTCGTTGGAACATTTTGGCGAGTTTCCATTTGACTCTAGTGTCAAGAGAATGTCAAGCATTTATGGACGGGATAAGGCAAGTGCGACTGTCTATACCAAAGGTGCAGTGGAGAGAATCTTGGATATTTGTACCACTTATTTCGATGAGAAGGGAAACAAAGTCTCCTTGACTGATAAGGACAGACATAGAATCGAGCTCAACATGAACAACTTGTCAAGTGAAGGCTTGCGTGTGTTGGCTTTTGCTCGTAAAGACATCAATTGCGGAAAGGAGGACTACGAAAACCGTGAAAAGGTCGAGACTGGCTTGTCCTTTTTGGGTCTTATTGGTATTTATGACCCTCCAAGACCAGAGACCCGTGGTTCTGTGAAGTTGTGTCACAAAGCAGGCATCAATGTTCATATGTTGACAGGTGACATGTTGGGTACTGCTAGAGCTATTGCTCAAGAAGTGGGTATTTTACCTCACAATTTGTTCCACTACAGCGAGGATGTCGTAAAAGCCATGTGTATGACTGCAAATGAATTCGATTCTTTGAGCGATGACGAGATTGATGCCTTGCCTGTCTTGCCATTAGTGATTGCTCGTTGCGCGCCTCAGACAAAGGTTAGAATGATTGATGCCTTGCATCGTCGTGGAAAATTCTGTGCTATGACCGGTGATGGTGTCAATGATTCTCCATCATTGAAGAAGGCTGACGTTGGTATTGCTATGGGCCTTAACGGATCTGACGTTGCTAAGGATGCATCTGATATTGTGTTGACCGATGACAACTTTGCTTCCATCTTGAATGCCATTGAGGAGGGAAGAAGAATGTCGTCAAATATCCAGAAGTTTGTGTTGCAATTGCTTGCTGAAAATGTCGCTCAGGCATTGTATTTGCTTATTGGTTTGGCTTTCATTGATGAAAACGGTTTCTCTGTCTTTCCTTTGGCACCAGTGGAAGTTTTGTGGATTATCGTGGTGACTTCTTGTTTCCCAGCTATGGGCTTGGGTCAAGAAAAGGCTAGTGATGATATTTTGGACTTACCCCCAAACAGCAGAATCTTTACGAGGGAAATGATCGTCGACATGTTTGTATATGGTTTCTGGATGGCTGTTTGCTGTTTGATGGTGTTCGTTATCATCGTGTTTGGTAAAGGTGATGGCTACTTGGGTATTAACTGTAACGAAGGCTCTGGCACTGGATGTAAATTGGTCTTTCAAGGTCGTTCAGGTGCCTTTGCTGCGTTCACTTGGTGTGCTCTTTTGTTGGCATGGGAATGTCTTCACATGAGGCTTTCTTTTTTCAGAATGAGACCCGAGTCCGAGTATCCTTGGTACCAATCATTGGCTAAAGATCTCTGGGACAACAAGTTTTTGCTCTGGTCCATTTTGGGTGCATTTGTTTCTGTTTTCCCAGTTATCTACATTCCTGTCATTAACGACAAGGTGTTCTTACATGGTCCTATTGGTTACGAGTGGGGTCTTGCTGTGGCATTCACAATAGTTTTCTTTGCTGGATGTGAAGCCTGGAAATGGGTAAAGAGAATCTACCTTAGAAAGGCGGAAGTTAAGAACCCCGAATACGAGTTGGAGAGGAGCGACCCATTCCAGAAGTACGCTTCGTTCTCCAAATCCAATACCATGGATGTTTAGTTCGTTGTGGACAATTTTTTCTCTCTTTGAGAGTTTTTTTTTCCGTCCCTATTTTTCCTCCATAGCTTCATTAAATTATATATACGTTTTCAAAAGATATCGTTCTCGTATGGACAGTTGAGACTGTTGTGGCCGTCTCTCTCACACAAGCCGCACCAATCATTTCGGCCACTACTGGGATCAAAGCGAGTCTGAGGAGAATAGATAGGGAGACTATCGTTTTTAGCCCACACTTCGGGGTCGGGAAGACTTGTAGATCCCGAAGACGCGCCATTCTTGATTGGACTGTTGTTCACAGGTGTTTTCAAAGGGATTTCATTGTCACATTCAGCAATTCGAATCTTTAAAATATCCACTTCGTGTCGTAACTTAACATTCTCCTCTTTAAGAGCAGTCAACTCTTTCTCTTTCAAGTAGACTTCGTTCGTGTGCAAACGTTCTACATCATCTAGAGCCATTTGAAGCTCTGTAAGCTCATCAAACGAGGGTCTCATCTTGAGCTCATGTTTGAGGTCTTCGATAGTCTTGAGAAGGGGTGCGTCCTCGTTAGAAGAAATTGCGAGGAGCTTCTCTTCTCTGGCAAACGCATCTTGGATAGTCTTTTCCAACTCTTGCTCCTTCGATGTAGCAGTTTTGATAGAGTCTTTGAGTTCCTGCTCCCTGGAGGCTGCAGCCTGAAGCGACTCTTCTAGTTCCCCGATCTTTTTTAACTGCGCTTCTACCTGACTCTTGCTAGAGAGAAGTTCAGCCTCAAGTTTGGTAACTTCACCTGAATCAGTCAGCTTTGGTATCTCATTTTCCTTTCCTTTATGTTCGGCAACCTGCCGTTCGAGATCCTCAATCTGCTTCTTTAATTGAGCCTCCTGGGCACCCCATCCGTCCACAGACAACGCATCTACGCCCTTCAGAAGTGCCAGAATGTTCTCATCTTTGAGGTCGTCTAATGCGATTTCCAACTCCGCAATGCGAGCATCCTTTGCCTTGATTTTTTTCTGGCTCTCTTCTAGTACGATCTCGATGGAACTAACATCTTGAGTCAACATGTAAATTTTCTTTTCGAGCAGCTCGATGTGTTCCAGTTCGTCAACCTCATTAGGTGTAGTTTGAGACAGTTGAAGTTGTAGCTGCAGCTTTAAACGAGCGTTTTCTGTTAACGTCTCGTCCAACCGGGATTGCATTTTTGCAACACCAGGATCAGCTTCTGATTGAAAACCGTTGACACTGAGTTTTGTAAGCTCCTCCTTTAGGTCTTCTATTTGCTGTTCATAAAGACTCTCTGCCTGCTGCTGTGCGCTGAGCATTAAATCAAGACTCTGTCTCCACTCCTCTCTAGCTCTGTCATATTCTTGTCGTTGTTTCTTGAGTTTCTTATCTTTTTCATTCAAGCTATTCTCGTAGTCTCCCAAAAGGGGACTTAATTCGTCCACCGTACGCTGCAACTCCAAGAGAATGGCGTTTTTCTCCTGAAGTTCCCTTGTGCTCGCATCCAACGCAAACTTGGAGGTGGTTAGTTCGCTCTGTAAAGCGGCAAGATCATGCAGCTGGGCTTGACGAGTCCTTTCGAATAAGTCTCCCAGAGAATTTCTCGAACCAACAATAGACAGAGCGGTGCTTGGGGGTCTAGCAAAGTCTCTGGATGCCACACTTCTCTTTGATATATTAATAGACAGACTGCCTAAATGTGGGCTGTCACGGCCATTGGTGGTAGTCCTAGACAAACTGTCCGTGCGTCCTATACTGTTGAGTCTCAGGCCACGTCTGTTGGGTGGCGTTGGCGAATGAGGCACATCACTGCTTCGACTGACAACTGAACTTGCTCTCGACAGTTCCAAAAGGGGAAGCTTGGGGTTGACCGCTCGGAGACGATCCCACGGGAGGAATAGTCCTGTCATGGGTTGAGATACCTCGAAATATTGAATTCCATCAACAGCCCCACTGTTCTTACCACGGGAAGAAGCAGTCGGTCCTTGAAGCTCTACCCCACCAAAAGTGCCGGTCTTGCCCTCTATGGAGCCAACATATTTTAAAATTCCAAACCCTCGAGCCTGGCCCGGAACCACGAGCCGTGAACCTATTAATTCAGACATACTCCGGGATGAATGTCCGTGGGTAGGTAATGAGAATCATTATATTGTTTACACTATACATTCCGCCTGCAGGACACAACATTCCGATCTGGTGCCGGACGAAGCTAGATCTGATCAATGTTCACTTTCTTGACGGTTGGGTTTGCAAACTTAGAAGCAAAGCGCCATTTTTGAGATTTAAAGTTGGTTATCACGCCACTGCTTTGCGGACTCGAAAGAGTTTTTGAGGGCTCTGAGGCATTATCGAGCAAAACCTCTAGTTCTTGGAATTGTTCGCGATAGAGTTTCGATTTGGCATGAATCTCAAACACAACCTGTTCAACTTTTTTGACAAAGTCACGATCAACTTGCTGCTTCATTTTCAATTGCACAATCTTCTCGAGCGCTAACTCGTGGTTCTTTTGCACATTGTCAAAATTCTTTCTTAATTTATAGCACAATGTCTGCGACTTAATATCGAGTGGACGGTTGTATGTTTTAGGAGAGTCAAGTTCTTGCTTGAACATGGCAATTTGCGAGATTATTCGTGACAATTGTTCTTTCAACGAGTCACATTTCTCCACTACTCCCATGAGCCTCGAAAGTGACTTGTATTGGGCTCTGGCATTCACCAAGCTCTCCTCAACTTTGGAGTTCACTTCGTAGGCAATGTCTGTGACGTCCTCTACCGCACCCAAAGTCCATATCTCTGGGTACTCAAGTTCTTCCATACCATACACGTAGTCGTTAAAGTCGCAGTTTTCTATCAACTCCTGAATGGAGAGTGCGTTAAGCTCCAGCACTGTCATGTTTGCATGACTGCTTTCCAACAATTCCAAGATCTCATTGGTGATTTTGTTGTTCGTTCTCTTCGGAGAACTGGTCCATCCTGCGAATAAAGAAAGAGGCTGGAAATCAATTACAGACTGCACTTCGTTATCAGGCTTATTTTCGTCGTTTCTGAATTGGTCGTCACTTTCAGAATCGGCGACTTCGTCAGTTAATCCTGAAGAGTCAGGGTTCAAAACGTTGAGTTTTTGATCTGCAGTGGTGTTCTGCGACATATTTTGTACCTTCTCTGGAATCTTCAAGATGCTTTCTTTCCAGCCCTCTGAGCTTTTCTCAACTGGTGCTTGTTTAGTCTTCAAGGATATTTGTTCCCTTTTAGATTCCTTAACATCGGCCCCAGGAACTTCAACATCAGATTTTGAAACTGATAGTGGTTGCGACTTCGTTGTCTCGGTTTTCTCCTGTTGTGAACGCTCATTTTTAGTTCTTTCAGCCTCAGAAAGAGATGCTTCCGACTCAGACCGATTTACACCGGAATCTTCTTCCGTTCCTAATTCATCACTAGAGTTTCTAGAATTCACGCTCTCTCCTGGCTCTTGAGACTTCAACTTCTCAAACGCAGATGGTTCTGATTTGACTTGGTTTGATCCGAGAGCTGGAAGACTGAACGATTCTTTGTCTTCAGTCTCTTTTGTTGCTTTTGTATCTTCAGCATTGATGGTTGAATGCTCCGAATTTTCGTCCTTCACAGCCACGCCAGAACCGAATAGAGATGTCTTTGGAGCATCGTCTGACTTTTCAGATAAATCCAACTTCCCAAAGGAGGAGGGCCCGAAAAGATCTCCCGAAGACTCTGGAGTCGATTCTTTGTTGGTCTTTTGTTGTTGGAGAGCCCCAAAAGGTGAGCTCGAAGGCTTTGTAGACCCAAATGGAGAAGGAACAGGCTTCATTGTTCCGAACGGAGAAGGAGCAGGCTCTGTAGACCCAAATGGAGAGTCAGCAGGCTTTGTAGACCCAAATGGAGAAGGAACAGGCTTCATTGTTCCGAACGGAGAAGGAGCAGGCTCTGTAGACCCAAATGGAGAGTCAGCAGGCTTTGTAGACCCAAATGGAGAAGGAACAGGCTTCATTGTTCCGAACGGAGAAGGAGCAGGCTCTGTAGACCCAAATGGAGAGTCAGCAGGCTTGGTAGACCCAAATGGAGAAGGAACAGGCTTCATTGTTCCGAACGGAGAAGGAGCAGGCTTTGTAGACTCAAATGGAGATGCAGTAGAAGTTCTAGCGCTTCCAAACGGAGATGGCTCTGAACCCCCAATATTGCCGAATGGTGAATCAGTAGAAGCTTTGGAACCAAATGGAGAGTCGATAGAAGCTTTCACAGCTCCGAAAGGAGATCCACTGGGAGGTTGCGTTTCACCAAATGGTGATTGCCCTGTTTTTGTACTCGAGAAAGAAGAAGAGCTAAAAGAGCCAAAATTACTTGGCTTCGACGATGCAGAAGATCCTGATGTAGCACCAAATCCTGATGAGCCAAATGTTGGCTTGTTTCCGAAGCTAGTCTGGCCAAAAGTTGCACCTCCAAAGCCAGTAGAACCTGCCCCACTGGAGGTCGAATTTGAGTCTTCTTTTTTTGAACCGAAAGATGATTTGCCGAAACCACTAGACCCAAGGCTGGAAGATCCAAACCCAGAAGACCCAAAACCGGATCCAAAACCAGAAGGTTTCTCGGGGCCCGAACTCTCCTGACTGGATTGTGCTAGTGAAGGTTGACCAAAACCTGAGGAGCCGAAACCAGAAGTTTCACTAGGCCGGGAACCGAAAGACAATTGGCCAAAACTAGTGGATCCGAACGCTTGTTTTGGTTCTTCCTTTGCTGTGCTGGTTATTTCAGAATTTTTTTCTTCACTTGCCTCTGACGACGACGTTTTTGATTGCGCAGGGGTGATTGCTTCAAGTGCTCTTGTGAGACTGACAGTGCCCTTTTTGACACCAGTGGTGTCAAACACATACCAGATGAGCAAGTTACCCAAATTATTCAAACACAATAATCTAGGTAACACACCCACAGCTTCTTCCACTCCCTGACACGGCTCCTTCACAGTGAGATCTGTGGCAGATACGTCAATAGCAAAACCCACAGGCAATGTATCGTCACCTGAATCGTCGTCCATCGGTAACTCAGCACGGTCTGTATCATTAAGCTGAGTTACGAGTTTGGAACCGTTACCACACTCCACAGTTGCAATGTCTGTTGACAAAGCCGAGGTGATAAATGCATAAGAAGTTCCAGCAGTCCAGTTGACTAGGGATGTGGAGTAGAGAGAATGTGCTCTTTCAGCGTCGCCGAATGGAGGAGCTAATGCAACAGAAGACACGTTTTTTATAGTGTTCAGCTCCACATTGACGAGGTAATATACGTCTTCCTCGGACTCAGTGGCCAGAATGAACCAATTGTTCGAATCCACACACGAAACATCTTTAAGCTCCACATCGGAAAATTCGTGGGAGACAAGTAACTTGCCATGAACATCGAATACGGAGAATTCAAAGTCAGTAACTGCACCCACCGTCGTGCCCAGAATACTCCATGCAGCAGCATTGATGGCTGGAATAGTTGATTCTTCACCATGCACAATGATGAGAGACTTGTCTACTTTCAAGAAAAAGTACAGCAGGGGCGAGCATGGTGAGGCGGCCATTGTGGACACGTCACCCGAGTCCGTTACTTGGGTCACTTTGGAGTTGCCAGCTTCGATGTCCGCCACAAGCATCGAAACTACATTCGATGCAGAAACTCCGTACAAGGTATCGTTGGAGCTATTGAGCGAGAGACATGTGAGCGAGGGAACATCCATGGTATGAAGACTCAGTCTGATCGAGTCTGGGGAGTTCAAGTCTAACAAATGGCCCACCGCTACCAGGGTTGTGTTCGAAACGGCGTATATCTTCTTTGTGTTTCCCACCGAGAGCAAATGTAACGGTGAGGTGGCGACATTTTCGAAGTCCACGGGATTCTTGAAGAGCTGTACACCATGTTTACCAGTTGCCAATTGGAAACCGATATCTTCAGAGGCGAACTCCTCGATCTCTGGGTAAGACATGGAGGTGTAGTTGGAGAAAGATGAGAAGGTAGGTGCAGGTGAAAATGTAGAATGAGAGGTGGGAAATAGTGTACTTATGAAGTAAGTATTCGGGCGATCAGATGGTCAGGGTTTTTTCGGTGGTTAATGTGCTTCATAGTATCGTCATGTTCTTTTTTTTTTTTTAATTTTCCAGGCATTTGTTTGGGAGACTGAAGTTCGGGTTTCGTTGGTGGCTTGATGTTGATCATCATAGGTTTTAGTGTACCGTTCAAAAGGTGGGTGAAAAATGTAATGCAATTCAAGGGTTCAGACCCGTTTCTATATTGCTACGACGAATTTTCACGGATCGTGTCCATTAACAGTAGACTGTGCATCAGTAATGAGAGAGAGAGGATTATTGATAAATGGACTGTGTGTCCAAAATGAGAGAACATGGAAGAGTGAATGTTGACTGATCTAGCCGAATAACTACGAGGATACATATGATGTACACAATCAGTCTTCTATATGAACATGAGTAGAATAAAAATTAAACGAGATGAAATCATTTTCTCCATAGAGATATCTTAAGGATGCATAGTTTTATTTTTACTGAATGGATGCGAAAATACATATTAATTGTATATCCCCAATAGATACTTGGAAGACATAATTTCCATTACAGCAACTTCTTAATAAATTAGATCCAATTGAATACAAACACAAACACATACAATTTTCAATAATTAATAACTACCAACATATTGCCATTAGGAATCTACACAATACATATCCAGTCTCCATCACATCTCCACCCCCCAATCCACCCCACCGAATCTTCTATTAATGTAAATACCTTGTCCATACTATTGTTTGGCATCACCCAGTGCACCAAACACCTCTGAAGTCACTTAGCCGACCATAAACTGTCAATCCACACCTCTCTCATCTTCAAACCCCATTTCCTGTCATTCGACCTGCACTTCCATAGATCTTGTCCAAAAATATTCCTTTTGTCACTGCACAAGCCAGTCAAGCCGTTCAGTGATGACAATCCATTTCCGCCCCTAAAACGAGCACTGGCATAACATATACCGGATAAAACCTACGGCAGCCCCAAAGAAATACGAGCGGGAGATAAACAACCTTTTATAGTGTAAAAGTCTCCATGCTGGTAAAATTAGTCTTATTTTATACTACTCAGCACGCCAATCCCTTAAAATATTCTATCCACATACTTGCTCTATCAAATGTCTATCTCCACTACACTTTTCACCCATCATCATCGACTTATCTCCCAGTGCAGGCGCAACGGGAAAAAAAAGAAAAAAGCGCATTTTCTCCACAAGTCTCCCCACATAGAAAGACTTTTTTTTTCCCTTATTGTCTTGGTGTTATTCCACCAATCGAGTCACTTTACTTCCATCTTAATGTTTGGCGTACCAATCTCCAGAAACAGCTCGCTGAATATCCTGCTGCCCCCGACCCATTTCAAGGACTCGGCCAGAAATGCCATCTACCAACAGCTACCGCTAGGTGCCCAGTCGTCGGCTCAGTCGGTGCGGTCTGCTCCTTCGCAGTTTAAACAGCATCACCCTTCCCAGAAGCTGCACCGCTCGCTGGCTCTGAGCGTGTTCTCTTGGAGTAAGCGGTCTGTTCGCTCGGCCCCATCTATTTACTCGTCGTCCACCGCCACCATCCCCGAAGACTCGGAACCAACAACAACCACGGTAGAACAACTCATCAACGACATTGCGCTCCATGAGTCTTACGCCGAGGAACGGTACATGGAGCGCAAGTCCCAGATCTATGCACAGAACAAGTTCACTCTGCCTGTCGAGCTTTCTGACGACGAAGCAGAAGAGTACAAGATCCTGTTGGGCAGTGACCTCCAATATCAAAACGTTCCCGAGTCGCTTGTGGACTGGAACTTGAACGTCACGAGGTGCAAACTCATGTTGACCAGCATGCCCATGGTGTCTTCATCTCCCGATCTTCAGTACTCCGCCCAGTCTCTCCCCCAGTTGGTGGGAGACTTGGCTCAAATATGCCACATAATTCTCCTTCAACCACACATCACAGACAAGGAATTCATTTACACTCTCTACTCGTCGACGCTATATCAGGAGCACAACTTGGATGCCAACTTCAAGCGGTCCGTTGCCGAAATATCTGTGAAGCAGTCACGGTTACTTCAGATCAATCAGCCCAAAAAACACTTACCGTCACCACCAATCACCCCGGCAGAACAAACTTTTCTCACTTTTCGTTACAAGGAGATCGCCGTTCGCAACTACTTGGTCAATTTGGCTGCAGCAGCGACTACAGCGTACGAGTACAAGTTGAAGAGCGACACCATGAAGAAAGAGCTACGGTTGCAGCTGATGAATGGCACGAAGCGTAAATTGTCCAAAGACGAGAAAAAGGCTCTTTGGGACGATGTGCGTCTGGACGTTTTCCGTCGCGCTGGCTTGGAAGAATAATAGATTGATAAACTGATATTGTGGGCTTAGGGACTAGGAAAATATAAATTTGAATGCTATTAATGCTAAGGATATTCTGGGACTAATTCCAGTAACTGACTTAAAACCCACGTCTCTTTTCTTTGATCTTCTTGTAGTGTTTCTTGCCTCCGCTGGTACGCTCCTTCTGGATCTCGTAGTACTTTCTACGGAAGTACTTAGAAGTGTCATCATCATGCAAGATCTCCTCTGCAAGGGTCATTCCTCTGTTCTTTCTAGACAATCTGGCGGAATAAAACTCGGTATTTCCCTCGATGATGGTTCCGGTCTGAAAGTACTTGGGTACCTCCCACTTCTCCTTCTTGTAGTGTCTCTTGGGATCCAAGGCGCTTCTGTTCTTCAAAATCAACAAATCTCTCTTCAACTCGGGCGTCATTTCTCGCTTTTTCATGTTAAACCATTTGGATCCGGAGTCTTCCTCTTCCTTAGCTTTTTTCTCAGCCTTCGTGACATGAGTGATTGGGTCGTTGATATTCACAACATCCAGACGTTTCTTCGACTCCTTTTCAGCGTCAGCCATGTTAGCTTCTAGGTTACTCTCGATTTTGGGCAAATTATCTAGTTCTTTCTGAATCTTGGAGAACTCATCGAGATTTTCTTCCGAGGTCTTCCTGGTTTCTTTAGAGAGTTCAGCGAAAAGCTGGTCCAAAGATAGGTCTTTTTGTAGGCCCCTCTCATGACTGGAGTCGCATGTGACATCCGTTTCGGACATTTCAGTAATGTTGTTAAGTTGCATTTGGGTTTGGAGTAGGTGGTGATGAGATGGGTAGAAGTTTAAGAATGTGGTGCACGGGTGTAGTGTGGATCAGGTACAGACATTCAAATCCAATTTATCCTCTTTTGAGAGGTATTCCACGTTGGAGTTTTATTCTTCGTTTCCTACTCTATTGTTTTCTATGGCTTACTTTTAGACTTGTAATTATTCTTCGTTTCCTACTCTATTGTTTTCTATGGCTTACTTTTAGACTTGTAATTTTAATGGGGATGTTGGCCAGCGATAAATTCACAGCTCTTGCTTCTTCTTGACTGACCAACGCAAGAACATCTGCCAAAGTTACCGAACAAATCTGTAGTCAGTTTACCATTTACAATTATAATATATGACGGAGACTATCAAAAAGCCCTTCAACTCTAAACATGATTGTAACTGCCAATTTACAGTATAACTTTTACCCACATTAGATGAATCTATGCCAGACTTCGACAAATAATAGGGTACGCCCGAACGCGGAACGATCCACATTACTTCAAACAAGATATGAATCCACCACTATTTCCCTTGGAAATTATATCCAAGATATTTCTGTATGTACCTTTCTTAATTCTTAAAGACTGGCTTGACGACTTGCTGGCCAGCACCCTCAAATCAGCCATCTCAACTGTGCTCTATGAAAAGATCACAGTAGGTGATGAAGAACTGGTAGGATTCTACCGTGTTTCGTTGAAAGAGCTCAGAGACTTAGGTAGAAGAAAAATAAAGGGTGGTGTAGGGGAATTGTACATCAATTTCAGTGGAAGTACAAGCAAAGATTTCGAGCTAGCTCCCTTTCTTACCTTCTGTAAAGAAAATGCAACGTTTGTCTCTGAAATTCCCAAAATCACTTTCAAAGGAACAGCCAACGAGTACAAAAAGTGCGCTAAGATTTTACCCATTGATAATATCGTGGAATTGAGGTTGAGTGCTGGTAAATCGTTTGCAATGACACTTGTACCTCCAAATGTGGAGATTGTCCAGTTAGATTTTGAAGATCTGAAAGCACTGAAGCTTGAAAACTGGCCGAATTCTTTGAGATCATTGCAAATAGATTGCACTCTGCGAAGTTTTAATATAGAACTCCCTGCCAATCTTAATTCCCTCACATGTGGCGAATCCGAGGATTTATGGTCGACATTTCCCTCAACACTTACAAAGTTGGATCTCTCACAGAATTCTCTGCTACCATTAGACGATTTAACTTTTCCCGAAAGTCTTGCGGAATTGAAGTTAAGTGCTTGCAATTTAGAAGACTTGGGCGCCTTGAAGTTGCCTGCTAGCTTGAAGCTTTTAGACTTGGCGTACAACATGATCTCGAGTATAACTCTGATTACTTTTCCAGAATGTCTTGAAGTTCTTGATCTTCTGTATTGTTCAATTACTAGCCTACAAGGTATTCAATTACCTGTACTGCTCCAAGAGCTATATCTTGCGAATAACTCTTTGACTACTTTGGACAATGTTCAGTTTCCTAATTTGAAGATCCTCAATATTTCCAATTATCTGGAGTTCAACAAAAAGCTTATCAAGAGTTTAGAGAAAGTACAGTTCCCTCCATCTCTTAGTACACTATACGCTGAAGGTCAGCCTATTGCAGACTGGAACAGTACCAAATTCCCTGCTTCTTTGAAAGTATTGAAACTTTTAGTACCAAAAGAAGTCAAAACGATTCATTTCCCATGCCTGTTGGAAAATCTAAAAGTTCAATTCTCCAGCCTGTCAGTGAAATACTCGGCGTTGGAATTTCCACCTGGATTAATACTGTTGGAAATAGTGAACGGCTACTCAAGTGTCTTCGATTGGGGACTTCCATTGCTACAATCTCTCTCGGTGATTAATTTCACTGGACAGATAGAAATTCCCCAGTCAGTGGAAAACCTTACCCTTGAGGGGAAAAAGAAATCATTCGACATGGTTGGTCTTCCTCTTAGTCTTTCAAAGTTGAGAGTATCATATCCGCCCATGTCATATCCTGAGTCATTAGTTGAATTGGAGATACTAAATTTTCAACACTCAAAGGTTCCCTTTCCTAGAGGCTTACTTGATCTTAGTCTTGAACCGGGTGAATTTGGGGATGAGATTAATGGTAGAGGACTTGAGCTTCCTTATAAATTGCAGTGTCTCCAGGGGCCGTTTGATCCCACTCCACAGCTCCCACACAAATTAAGATTCTTTACTCGGGTAGAACAGCTAGAAGACTTTGATGCAAGTAAATATTTTTAGAAGTATATTTTGGGACATCAAAATTGCCTATATCATTTTCAATCTAAAAGTGAACTGCAAATTCATACAGAAGCCAAATTTGTTTATTGATTAATTGTAGATCATACATCCCAAAGTTCTCCACATTCGATCTGCATGAAAAACAGGTACATCCTCGATAAGGATTAACAACACATGCTATGACATTGCCTGCACTTCCTTGTGAAATAGTCTATAAGATCTTGAGTTATGTGCCTTTAAGGGAATTGAAATACTTATTTAGAAGGTTGCCTCTCGATGATCTCTTGAGACTGGTCATTGGGACTATATTATACGAAAGAGTTGTCGTGAGACCCTCCAGTTGTTATTCCATGGATTATTACCACCAAATACTGCCTGACGAGCTTCACGAATTGTCAAAAGAAAAGAGCCCACCGAAGGTTCAATTTTTGAAAATTGACGGTAAGTGTCCCCCAGCAATTGCATCCGGGTACTTGGAATCCATAGACAAAGTTTCATTGCTTGTTGACACTATTGACGATTACAGAGCAAATGCACGATTGGACAATGTTGTGGAATTAGAATTGCTCTCCGCGAGCCTCTTCACAATGAAGGATTGTCCTCCAAGATTGGAATCCATAACACTCAGATACAATGAGAACGATCTTTCCCCAGTGCTTACAGGATGGCCCAAAAGTTTGAAAAAATTAGATATTAGCTTCTGCCAGGATGTTTCTAAAATTACACTTCCTCGTAATCTCGAGGAGTTAAGCTGTCACTATTGTTCAAAAGTCTGGACTGAATATCCCCCTACTTTGAAATCGCTAGACTTGTCCTTGAATTTCGGCTTAAAATTTGATCAGTTCATTTTACCTGATCTGCTAGATAAATTGAGATTACGCAATTGTCACATCGATAATATTGATTGGTTGACAAAAAAATGGCCAATAGAGTTGAGGTGTTTGGATATTGGTAATAATCCACAAATATTTATGAATGAAGTAACCTTTCCAGAATCCCTTGTGACGCTCAACATTCTGCTTTGCAAAATCAAGAGCCTCAATAGTGTCAAGTTTCCAAGCCTGCTCATAGAGCTATGTGTGGCCGATAACGAACTTGAAACGTTGGAGAATGTCAACTTTCCCAATTTGTCTGTTCTTGACATTTCTAGGTGGGACCACTACGAAGACGTTCAAATAAACAAAATATGTCAAGCGAAGTTTCCAACTTCACTACGGAGGTTATTTGCAGATGGGCACAAAATCCAGGATTGGTCCGAAGTAACTTTTCCGAATGAGTTGGTGGAATTGACAATTGATAGCACTGAAGATCTGGAGAAATTGGTATTTCCCCCGAACTTAGAATCTCTCCAGTTGAACCTCTTCAGTGACTCTAAGCCATGCTATTCCAATTTACATCTTCCTCCAACTTTGCAACTGCTCCTGTTACATGGTGGACTTTCCATCGACTTCGATTGGAATCTTCCCAATTTGTCATTCATGTCCGTAGTAGATGTTGTTGGTCCAATTCAAATTCCAAGCTCGGTGAAAGAGCTTGAGCTCGAAACCGTGGATTTCACAACCTTTGAAAGTTTAATTATACCACAAGGAGTGGAGGAATTGACCATCACTTACCCTTTGTCGGCCTATCCTGATACTGTCATCGATTTGCAAATACAATACTGTGATCCTAGCAAACCTTTAATACTACCACTGCAATTGAGAAGTCTATGTCTCTTTGCTGGCACTCTTGGTCCAATATCTAAGGAGCAAATAGTTCTTCCTCCAAGCATCCAACAAATTTCTGGTGATTTTGAGTTGGAGTTCATTGAGACTATCAACGATTTGGGGATTTAATTTAGTAGAGTAGACACATATCTATTTACGGTGCCAAGTGTATATAGAGATGGAGCAAAGTATGCTATGTCTAGTATCGATATTATTTTTCCAAGACATTACTCACCTGCCACAACAATCAAGAATTTTGGACAATTGATCAGAATTTACTTTATTAGAATGGATCCACCTCCAACTTCTTAGGTACCTGATCTTCTCTGCATAGATCTCTGCGACCATCTCTCTACCTCGAACATCAACCATAAATAGATGTGGTGTCGACGGTTATATTCTACTTTTAAAGAAGGTGACACTGTTCTAATTCGCCCACTCAAGAATGTGGCTCAGGCACATTTATCGCGACCTTTAGCCAAAGATTCTGTTGTTCAGACTCAACACGGCGATGTACACCACAACGATATCATCGGTCAGCCAAAACGAGTATTTCTCGGTTACCGTGGCAAAAAAATACACAAGAACCAAAAAGACCTGCGATACATTGCTGTGGAACCAACGTTGGATGAGTATACCAGCATGATCAAGAGAAAGGCCCAGCCAATCTACTCAATGGATGCGAATGTGATAGTGCTGCTTGCAGATATCGATGTGGATGTTCCCGAGGAAGGAGAGGAGCCTAAATGCTTTCTAGAAGCCGGCACGGGAAACGGATCGCTTACTATTTCTATCTGTGGAGCCATCCATGGGTCCAATGCTCTTGCAAGACACTATAATGACGATTCCAGGCGAGGTGCGATTCTCTACTCGATCGACCGAAGAGAAGACCATCTGAAAATGGGAGCATGGAACGTTTGCAACTACAAAAGAGGACGTTATATTGAGGATGTAGAGTTTGGTGTGTATTCACTGCCTCTGGAATGGCTGAAAGCACATTCTACAGTGGAATTGAGTGGGGTATTTCTTGATCTCCCTGATCCACACATCTACTTCGCAGACATTGCCAAACAAATGTGCTTGGATGCTACACTTATAGTATTCTGTCCTTCGGTCACACAAATTCTCAGGTGTCGGGAAGAATTGGCAGATAGCCGGCTTCGAAACGACCCGATTGACTTGCTGTTGGTGAAGACAGTCGAGCTTCCACCAGGTAATGGAGGAGGAACACGAGAATGGGACGTAAACACCGCGTTTACTCGGGAAACAGGAGAAAAGGTTTCTGTTTGTCGGCCCAAAGTGGGTGCACGGGTTGTTGGTGGAGGTTTTGTAGGTATCTTTAAGCGTCTGTCAGTAATTGGAGATTCGCTCCAGGCCACAGTAGATGCTGCGAAGACCAAGGAAATTGGCATCATGTAAAAAAATCATTAATAGAGTCAACCGTACTGGAATTTGGAAATTACTTCACAGGTCATATTTGTAGAGTTTGCAATAGCGTTCTAAACTTTTATTTTCTGTTGATTTTTTTTATTTGCTGATTCTTCTTTCTCAATCGATATCCTGTTTCCTTGTGGTGTATCCATCTCTGCTCGTGTACTGATCTCTGCGCACGGAAAAATAATAAAAAATCAAACATCACCTACAATGAAGATTCTCGCCGAAAGGTCGGCGTTCTTACTGGACTACGAGGTCTTGCAGCATCTAGAAGAGTTGAAGGTGAAATACAATTGGACTTTTACTCCCGAAGATGAGACCAAACAGAAAAATCGTAAGAAGAGATTCACTGCTGCTGGTTTGGGACTAGAAGTGGCTACCAGAGATATCACTCTGTATCTCTCCAAGAATGCAGCCAGCAAGTACCCGAACTCGGAATCATTCACGGCACTCATGACGTTTTTGAATCAGTTTGAGCTCATGAAGGTTGAAAAACTCCAGATCGTGAACTCTCTACCAAGATCCATGGTCCATCTCTATGGATTGGTGGAAGAGTGTGACCTGCGTTTCGATGAGAACACTTGTGAGTCTATTTTGGCTAAAATCAACGAGTTAGTCCCTCTGGATGAGGCTGACGACGATGTCGACGACGCCGAGGAAGAGGAAGAGGAGTAGGCTTGTACTATAGGTTATGCATGGGTATTAATATAAACTTGGGTTCAGCTCTTGTAGATTTACGTTGACAATTCAAATGAACTCTGCCATTACTTTGCCATCTGATTCATCTTCCTCCGACTTAGGATTCTCAACGGTACGGCCATATGAAGTAATCTGGTCCTTGAAGTTGAACACCATGTCACTGATGTCTGAAAGAAGTCCGGCTGGCCCAACAAAGATTTCGCCGTTCTCTTGGGAATTGATCCAAGCATATTCATGTTTCTCCTCAGATCCTTCCCTATCGAGCTCTGCATTTTCTTTTTTGATCAAGTCCATGGAGAGAATTCGAGTCAATGCCTTAGCATCAGCTGAATGGTCCAAAGTATCCTCTCTATGGAGCTCATTAACGACTTTATCATCAACGCAGAAATGATTTTTCACCAAATGATCCAAAACTGGCCAGCCATACGAGTTGGCAAATCTTCGCCGGACAACAATATTATTGTGGGCGTCTGGCTTGAGGTTCACAAGAACCTTTCTCCACAGCATCAGCTTGTGGTACTCACGGGCAATTTCTTCTTCGAGATGCTCGGTGCTACCATTCACAAGTTGACGGAATTCTTCACCCTTGCTCTGAAGAAGCTCTATCATGCCTTTCTTCTTGTTCTCCTCTTTATCGAGTTTTAGTTTCTTTCCGGACCACTCTTGATTATCAGCATCATCAACTTCTGGCAAGTCGCTTTCATGATAGACTTTGTCATGTAGAATGATGTTCTCGCGAGACTCTGGATCCGTTATGTACTTGATGGTGGGCAATGGAGGTAAGATAAGAGACGCAGCACTTTCAAACATAGATGTTTTTGGAAGAGAGCCCATAGCACCTTGCACGTTTGGATTTTCCACCTTTGTTTGAAAGGGATTACCCTTAGGTTTCTGTTTCTGCGGAAAGAAATAGGAAAGCATAGCCTGAACCGCCAGGGTTTGAGATACCTCTGAATCTGGCAATTCATGGGGTATTTTCCTAGTGTCTTCACTTGGAACATGGCTTGTATCTCTGGAAGAATTCTTGCCGCTTGATTCTTTATCTGAATCTTTCGAATTGTCCTTCTCTGGACTATTCTTGGTTCCAGATGTTTCGCTAGATTCCGTAACTTCAAATGCCCCTGAATAATCACTAGATTTATTGTTTGAATCATTCACAGTTCTATCTGAATTACTGCCTGCAAACGTAACTCCATCAAGTGCCTGAAGATCCTCACTTCCGGCCGGTAAATTACTTGCATCAAAAACCTTCGATAGAGCCTTGTAGTCCAAGTACAACAATGCAGATGTCCTCAATGGCACGATTCCATCATTATATACGTTCGCGTAGACAGTCCTTCTGATAAATCGACGCAAGATTCGATGTGTTGGGCCTGAGGGTAGGAGTAATAGCAAAGGCTTTTGGTCCTTCTCAGTAAACTTCAATCCTAAATCCTGGCCAGTTTTTCCAACAATGCCAGCCAGAAGAGCTAGCTTGACGTATCCAGGATTCTCGTGAATTATCCCTAGCATAGGTGATGCAAGAGTGATAAAGTTTACTGGCTGGATCTTCTTGAAAAACCAAGGATAGTTAGATTCAAGGTACGCAATCGCAAACGTCTGCACCAAACCACCTAAGGAGTGGCCGACAAACGAGATTTTAGTCACATTGCTCAATTCTTTGTTCTTTATCAAACCAACCACGTAGTCAGCCACTCTGCTACCCAAGTACTTGACGCCACGCTCAGTCTTACAAATGTTGCCGAAATAGCCTTTCACAACCACGTTTTCATCTCCGGACTGAATTTCTTCCTTCAAGAAGAGCATGTCGGCAGATACATTGGAGTGTAGTCCATGGGTCAAGATCACCAAGTGGATAGGTTTGGAAGAATCAGGCAATGGCAAGTTCCATAAGTCCAAAGTATCATGGATTGTGACATTCAAATTCTGCTCTGGCACCACATAATCGGCCATATCCTTTCCCTCTGCGATGGTCACTTCGAAATTGACCCCCATTGTATTATTGAAGATGATCTGCGATACAACATCGACTGTCCATTGATACTTCTCTTGAAAAGTGTGACACAGTAACTCGGCATAAAACGTCTGGCCTGGTTGTAGTTGCGGCTCAAATACTGGTTGGTCCGCTGTTACAAATGCCTTAGTGGTGGTGGAGTAGTCTCGATGTCTACAGTCCACATAGAGCGAGTATGGGCCAGCCAAGTACGCTGCACGCAATGGTATTGGCTCCGTATTCCTGACACGCACCCAGAGGCTCCGCGGCGGAGTAGAGCTGTACTGTTCAGCTGATGTGAATGGAGAGTAGTCTATTTCCAATCTGATGGTTTGACCGAGTTTAACTTCATGGGTACTTTGGTGTATCAAGGGAGACGCCGGAGAAGCCAGCATAATTGAGCTTTTTAAAGAAGAAGCAATACTTGAAGAATTCCAAAGGATTTTTTTGTCGTAAAGGCAGATTATGTTGGGCTGGGTATTTGAATTGTGACGTTCCCATGTGCAGTTTGATATCGGGATTAGTGATAACAAGGACATGCTTGAATTACACAAAGCCTGAATGAATGGTGAGAATTGTTTTATTAATCGGGGCTGTTGAAAGCTATTATACTGGGAAGCTATTATACTGAGCTTTCAGTGAAATATTGGCGGAGAATTTGTAGCAGTTTACGGAACCATTAAATGATCTTGTGAGCATATGAAGGAAAGTCATCTGACGCTTGTGGAGAGTAAGGACGGAAGAGTATTCTTCGCAGGTATGATGAGGGGCACTGGGGAAATCAAAGTCGTTTCCAGAGTCTGCATAATTGATTCCGTATAAAATAAATGGAGAAAGTAAAGAAGAGCTTTTATATTACCACTGTGGGTGCTTCTGTGTTGAATTGTGCACGTGACCTTGTATTCAAGATTGCTATCAATTCACCAAATAATGGGCAATATTCGTAATAGTTGAGACTGAGTATATCTTTGGTCCTTTCTTTGAATGGAATTCATCCTTATTTGCCGTGTTTCGAGGAAAAATAGTCTCCATTCAGCATTGTGTAGTTTTACCATTTTCAGTCTATTCAATAGTTTCAATGCTCCGCCATTTTGTAGAGAATATGTTAATTCTAAACTCAATTCTTTTGAACTGTCAAAACACACATTTGGTTCAAACGAGATTACGATTTGGTTCCCTAAAGTCCATATCTAGCGCATCCTGCATACATCAACTCTTTACATCGATTCGGTTTATGACACCATTAACGTAAACGTTAGATCTTGAAATCGACAGGTTTATAGTGAAAGGCTTATTGGGTCCGTTGAGATTTTCAAATATTTTGCAATGTGCTCGAGACGTTAATGGAGTGTGGTCACATAGTGCAAGCATTACAACAGCTAACGTTGAATGAGAACCATGATAAATTATATCACGAGCTCTTCAGCCCGAATTTAGGCATAAATAATATGGTTTAGGTCACAAGTGGAGGTGGTGCTTGATTCTTTGTGGATGTTGGAATGTGGCTTTCATACCAACTTTAAATACCAGGCCCTGCATCCAAGATAAGAAATCAAGACTAAACCTATCTACTTGTACTGCCAATGTCTGACGATGACATTGATTTCCATCCTATAGAGCTCACAGCTCACTCACTACTATCTGGGTCGTTAGATACCCTCCATGAGAACTTTGTGCTGCTTCACCAATCGCAACATATACTTCTCACCAGATTACGACTCATAGAAGATAGATTGAAGCAGATCAACACAGAACTGGCGGTATCAGGGAAGGAAATAGTTCAAGTCCAGGCTAGAATCCGTGCTTTGCGGAAAAAGTTGTCAGATGTGGCCAAGATTTTGGTTAAGGTTGACAAAAGAGTAGGACAATTGGAGGGTTGACGATCATGAACGAATGAATTAGTTGATGATACAATTGATTGTTAAGCTGATAAATAGATGAATACTGATGATGTGGCTGACTGCTCAACGATTTGGCTGGGCTATATATCACTGAGCCTTTAATTGTTTGAGATCCCCTGCAACGTTGGGTGGTTATTCCGTTAATCCGTTATTCCGTTATTATCGCTCCCCATGGTCGATGATTGATGATTTATTGTATCTATTTTAAGGAGCAGGCAAGTTGAGGAGAGTGAATGGGTAGCCTTTATACTTCTGAGCAAATACAAACAAGTACAAGCCATATACCAAGTATACCAAGCCCGAAACAAGGATGACAGCGAAAAACTGAACCTTTGCATTCTTAATGCTGCTGACTCTGTTGACCAAGAGCACAAACAACATAGCCAAAAGTCCGTAAACAGTGGAAATCACCTGGGTCTCCAAACCATATTGCATTTGGGCCGAAGGAGCAAAGTACTCAACTTGGTCGCCATTTTCACGGACAAAAGGCGTGCCTCTGATCTGATTGAACATGTAACCTGCAAGGAAAATCAAAATGAGCACAAGAGACAAAGAACCCCACACAAAAGACGAGGTGACCAACGCAGACAAATAGTGGCTAAATTTCCTGAGAAGCATCACTACAGCAAATGCAATGGCACCATTCATGAACATCTTAACGTAATTCACTTTCACGTAGATGTCAAACAGCTTATTAGTGATAGAGGTGATCCATTGCTTGAGCATCTGGGTGTGATCTCCAGCATAGAACTGGTACTGGTCGTTTTTAGTGAGCCAGGCATTGGGCTTGTCCAGAGGAGATGTCGGAGGGAAATGGAAGATTTTTGGAATGGAATCCAATTGCATTTTTTGGAACAAAGTCTTCGAGTTCAAGAACTCCGCCGACAAGAAGTACAAGTTTTCCCCTGCATTGTCGAAACCTTGTGGAAAAGCACGCTGCCACGAGTCAGCCACAGTGTCGAAGACTGGATGCACCTCACGACACAAAATACAATTGAATTGAGGCGAGTCAGATGCCATGTAGAGCACCAAGTGGTAGTCTCTATGGCCCTCCAAGAACTGCTCGTAGTTGTGTTCATCCACTTCGAGAACACCATTGGAGCCCTTCGCGGCCAACAATTGCCGGATGTCCGCATTAGAATATGCGGCTAACACAGCCAGCCATAACGAAGCGAAAACAACAATTGGTGTCCAACACTTCATATTTGAGGAAAAGGTTATACTTGTAGGATTTCCAATGTCGACACGTAGTTAAAGAGGCAAGGGTGTACTGGATGCGCACGGTTTCATGGTTGATTTTCGCACCGTTTCTACCAACGAATTCCTGGCTTAAATACTCACTCTCGCTTTCTCAATTTCTCATTTCACAATTCTCCAGTAATTGTCACTCGTCCACTGCTGCCCACCGTAACTCGGCAAACGCCACTTCCCGTCTCAAATCGCTCCACTAGCAATATGTAGTCATTTGCTGCTTTTGGAAGCGTGCAATCTAAATACACCCCATAGATGCAGTCGTTCCACTGGTTGGTCACCACCACTCCTTCTCCATTGGATGAGTCGAAAATGGAAGCCCGAAGTGCTGGTCGATAAGCAGATGGCGACGTGCCTTCATTGTTGCAGCAGAAACGGAAAGTGACTTCTGTTTGGTTCCGCTCAGCACAGACAAATAGCTTCCGTCGATTGGAGAAGTTCCACTCGAACTGGGTCTTTTGCATGAACGTTCCAAGGGCCCCGGGTGTCTTCTCTAAGTGTAAGGCTTGTATACCACTGTTATAGACCAAAAGTTCGAAATCCCCCTTGTCGTCGGGCGTAAATGCAGAAATCACTAGACGATAGTTGCCGGGCTCAATATGCTTAACCTTTTGCACTTGGAGTTGGTTCTCGTACTTGAAATCAAATAGAATCTTCGACTTGTCGAAGTTGCGGAGTGATTTACCAACTTGAGCCTCATCACAATGTAGAAGGTGAAAATTAATGTACGCATTGGTAGCTGATTTGAGAATAATTAACATATCGGTAACTGAGTCGATTCTCAAATCGTACTGGGGATTGTCAACAAATGACTCGAGACTCCAGTTGCCTCCATTAGATCCAAACTCCCAGCTTCCAACAATTTCTTTTTCAATGTGAGGGTACATAGGTATTGGCTTCGTGAGCCTGAAATCAGCAAAGTCCTGGGACACATGCAATGAGAATGTCAGTGGAAACGTGCCTTGTCCCCTAACAACAACACAATATGTGGAACCAGGTTGCGCTGTGAAGGTGAAAAACTCAATTCGAGAGTTGGTGAATTCTCCTCCCGCAACGAGGGGATACTGACTCTCCGAATAGATCTTGTGGCAAGCTTCGAACACTGACACGCAGAATGGTAGTTGAGGAGAGTCGTCAATAAATTGCTCCACCAAAATCGCCACCTTCTGTACTTCTTGTGTGGTGTTGGTAAATGAGTACTGTGGCCGATCCCCCAAGTACGATGTGGACCACTTCGATGGAGAAAGAAACATGGTGATCGATTGTGAATATTTGTATTTTGGTTTCCAGTTCACGTAAAGATAGGTGAATTGGCCGGCAAGTGAAATCCCCACTTCAAGCATTCGATCAGCCGCTTTATCAGAGGAATTCTGTTGAATCCACGGGTTCTTAAGTGTCATTGTAGACGTCTCTTCGTTGAATTCAATGATAACATAGTCATGAGTAGAAATGACCCCCAACTGCGATGCAAGCGTATAAGACATGCGACCAGTACCTATTCCTAACGTTACTTCACCCTTCTCCTTCAATTTCCAAAGCTCTATAAATTCATTCTTGCTCGCTTCGCTGATCTTCCGTACCTCTGGATACCATCCGGTAAGCATATAGGTATCTTGGGCCATATTGGATCCATTGAAAGCGTAATGTTGGCCCAGGCAAATAAGAAAGGCTTTCTCTATATATGCGGGCCACCGTAGCTCTGCATTGGTGGTCGATCGAACATAGAGGCATCGATGCTGGTAAGGTGGTAATATGTGGGGTAGTACCAGAGTTAGTGCAACTTCCCGTATGGCTCCGTTGAAGCGTAAGCTCACCTTGACTTGCTGGTCATAATTACGTACAAGTGATCGCAAATGTGACTCCATGCCCATATCCACCAACAGGAGTAAAGACAGCACGAAAGAACAATTCGGAAGTAAGTCCTGGTACAAGTCTCCCACGCCCCGTGTGGACCAGTCCAGAAAAGTGTCTTTGAATTCAACCTGAAAGTCTTTGCCCATATCAGGCGTTTTGAGTTCTGTTTCAGTGGCGTCCAACGGCGCTATATCCATCGACGTGATGTTACCCATAGTGAGCACCGGAAACCACTTATATCCATGAACTTTCGAGGCCAACCATAACATCCTCTCGCTCACCAGGAGTGGAGACTGTTTCTCCTTATAAAGCTTTTCGTAATAGTCGGCGGTGTACCGTGCCAACTCCTTGATCTGGTCGATCTGATTATGGTCTTTGTCTCGTAGCAAGGTAGTGACCGTCAGGATGGTCAGTTTGCACTGGATTTTGGCATCTTCAATGCGGTTTGCGGACGCCAAGAAGTGACTCTTTTGAAGGGCCAGTAACGGCTGCGCTAAACAGTCCATTCGCCTCTGGTTCTGGTTTTGTCAAGAGAAATACTCTTGGAGATCTTGTTTCCTGTGCACACCTATCTGGATCCACTTTTTCAAAATCAGGTCAGGCTAACATCCTACGATTGTTCATCTACGGCCAGCGATAGTCAGAGTTGGACTTCTTTAATAATACAATGAGACGACTGTTGCTTGCGGTCTTTTTGGTCAGTCTCATCATCAGACTCTTCAATGCCTTCACAATTCGAACCTTTTTCCAACCAGACGAATACTTTCAGGCCTTGGAACCGGCGCACAAGTTGGTATTTGGTTACGGCTACATCACCTGGGAGTGGACTCAGCGGCTCCGTTCTGCATTGCATCCGCTCATATATGCTGGTGGATACCAATTGATGTACAAAGTGCTACCTCCGTCGAAGGAGGATTTAGCGGTAGAGATTGCGCCCAAGCTCGTCAGTTCTGTGATTGCGGCGCTTGGAGATACATACACATACCGATTTGCGGCTTCTTATACTCTCAACGATGAAGTGGCCATGGTAGCATGGATACTTTCGCTCGCAAGTAGCTGGAATTGGTATGTCTCTACACGATCGTTCTCCAATAACCTTGAGCTGATGTTGACCACCATTGGGCTTTCATATTGGCCATGGCACCGGTTCAAGCTCATGTCTGTGCTTGTGCTGACATTCTTTGGTTTCCACAGTTGTCTTGTCAGGCCCACTAACAGTTTGCTCTGGGGTTACTTAGGTGGGCATCTACTTCTTCGAAACAGAAATAATCCTTCGAGAATCATACGTCTCAGCGTTCCACTTGGAATTGTTTTCGGTGTAGTTGTTGGGATGAGTGCATTGGTGGACTGGTTTTACTATGGTGAATGGACGTTTCCAGCAGTCAACTTCTTGGAGTTCAACGTGGTGAAGAATCTTCTGGTGTTCTACGGTGCTGCACCGTGGCATTTCTACCTTCTCCAGGGCTTGCCATTGATGCTCATGGGGTATTTGCCTATATTCTTAAGTTCGCTCTGGTCAATGCGGTGGTCATTCCTCAGTGGCCTCACCATGTTTGTCACTGGGGCGTTTTCTGCCATTTCTCACAAGGAATTCCGGTTCCTACAGCCTATATACCCCGTAATGCTTGTTCTTACTGCCGTACAAGCGCATCGTTGGAGAAACCTGAAGTATATGAAATATGGAGCAGGGTTGATTATTGCGGTGCACATTTTCGCAGCCTTTTTCTTTACACAAATTAATGAGGTTGGGGAAATTGATGTGGTGCGCTACCTTAAAAATACACCAACAGTGCTGTCGGTGGGGTTCCTCACGCCTTGTCACTCGACTCCGTGGCATAGCATGCTTCACCGGCGTGAGTTGGTGGATTCGTCGTGGTTTCTCACATGCGAGCCTCCATTACATTTGGAGCGAGGTAACTCGGAGAATGTCCGAGAGTACCGAGACGAACTGGATTGGTTTTTTGACGACCCGGTTGGATTCTTGGACCAGCGGTTACCTCGGGATGATGTCGGGAAATGGCCAAGTCACATTGTTATCTTTGAGCCCATGGAGACTATTTTCGACTCATATGTAAATGGATCTGGGTATGAGCAATGCACTCGATTCTTCAACAGCTATTTTCATTGGGACGACAGACGCAGAGGAGACATGATAGTGTACTGTGATACGAGAGTGAAGAAAGAGCATGAGAGTGGAGAAATGAACAACACAACATAAGCATATTGAATGGAAGGAATGGAAGGAATAGAGAACGAATAGAGTGAAAGTTAATAATAAAAAAGACAAATTGTGTGATACAAACGGAAAATTGACAAGATTCAAGAATAAATACTGCCAATCTATAGGAGAAAATGTCGTAGTTCATTAAGTAAGGTAAAAATCAATTATCTCGTTCTCAGCCATAACTTCCCAATCACAACTTCTTAACCAAATCTCTCAACTACATCTTCTAACCACATCTCCCAACCTTTTTCTATCCAATTCATCTCTATTTGTGGGGTCCGGGGTTTCACTCCTGGCCCACAGACCACGGAGTCTACTAAAGTCCGGCAGTAATCCCGAATTCGAGGTGCGGAGTCTGGCCCCCACTGTGGTGGTTACAATGTATAAAAAGGCGTGGTCCCCGACCTATTGCACAACCACCACATAAGTTGAGAACCCTATAATTACTACTATATAAATATATATATTTATTTCTTTACTCCTCACGCATTCAAGCCTCATCAATCTCCATCTTTGGGCCCCAGTATTGCAATTTACTTCGGCCTCATTATCGGCGTTCCAATCGGATACATGTCGGACATTGATTGAAAATACCGGATAATGTCCGGGTATGCCGACATGGAAATCTGGAAATCTGCCACTGGGGTTTAGTGGGGCTTAACACCATGGGCAACACCAGCTTTGACAGCTACAAGACAACAAAAAAAAATTGCGTTCTTTGCGTCAATTTTTTTTTTTTATCGCCTGACCAACCTTAATGATTTTGGTCAGGCAACGGATCAGGAGTGCCCGCGACATTATCAACCACCTGATGGGCCCAGAAGCACCTGACCTGGAAGGCATGTTGCTGGCTAAGTGCATGACAAAAATGCCCCGCCGATAACGCCCTTTAAGTGATGGCTCCCTAAGCGCATGGTCACCTGACTAATAATCCGGAGTTTGCGAGCGAGCTTGTTAGAAGCTTTTCAACTGCCATTGAGGATGTTAAAGACGATCAATTGGAAGGGAAATTTCATCAGCAGAAGCTTCCCTCCTATTACCATCCCCATTGACTCTCCGCACATTTCTGCTTCTAACCATGCTGTGTGCCCGCTCTGGAAGGGAGAATTGTTGCAAGCCCTGCAGTAGGTTAGTTCGCCCTGATGAGAAACATCCCATCCTACTCTACTTGGATGAGCCGCACAATCACCCAATGTCCGACCGTCGCTGGAATCACCACTATAAAAGACCAGGGAGGGCGCTGTAGGGACAAATCTTTTTTTCTCCATCAGTTGATTACTGTAATCACTTTGAACAAACTTGAAAAAAATCGAAATGGCTATCCCTAAAACCCAAAAAGCTGTGGTTTTCGAGACCAACGGCGGTCCATTGGAGTACAAGACCATCCCAGTTCCTACTCCTAAGGACAATGAGCTCTTGATCAACATCAAGTACTCCGGTGTTTGCCACACCGACTTGCACGCCTGGAAGGGTGACTGGCCATTGGCCACCAAGCTTCCATTGGTTGGAGGTCACGAAGGTGCCGGTGAGGTTGTTGCTATCGGTGCCAACGTTAAGGGCTGGAAAGTCGGTGACTACGCCGGTGTCAAGTGGTTGAACGGCTCGTGCATGCAGTGTGAGTTCTGTCAACACGGTGATGAGCCAAACTGTGCCGAGGCTGACTTGTCCGGTTACACCCACGACGGTTCTTTCCAGGAGTACGCTACTGCTGATGCTGTTCAGGCCGCTAAGATTCCAGCTGGCACTGACTTGGCTCTTATTGCTCCAATCTTGTGTGCTGGTATCACAGTCTACAAGGCATTGAAGACCGCTAACTTGAAGGCCGGTCAATGGGTCTGTATCTCTGGTGCTGGTGGAGGATTGGGTTCTTTGGCTGTCCAGTACGCCAAGGCCATGGGCTTCAGAGTTGTTGGTATTGATGGTGGTGATGAGAAGGGTGATTTTGTCAAGTCTTTGGGTGCTGAGGCCTTCGTCGACTTCACCAAGACTAAGGACATCGTTGCCGCTGTCAAGGAGGCCACCAACGGTGGTCCACATGGTGCCATCAACGTGTCTGTCTCCGAGGCTGCTATTTCCCAATCTGTTGACTACGTGAGATCCACTGGTACCGTTGTTTTGGTTGGTTTGCCAGCTGGTGCCAAGGTTGTCGCTCCAGTGTTCGACGCTGTCGTCAAGTCCATTTCCATTTGCGGTTCTTACGTTGGTAACAGAGCCGACTCTGCTGAGGCCATTGACTTCTTCACCAGAGGCTTGATCAAGTGCCCAATCAAGATTGTTGGCTTGTCTGAGTTGCCAGATGTCTACAAGTTGATGGAAGAGGGTAAGATCTTGGGTAGATACGTTGTTGACACCACTAAGTAATGACTAGATGCTGGTATTCCATCTAATAAATGAATGACTGTGAAAATGATATTCTATGATATTTAAAATACTTAGTGATAGTGATGAATTTGTGTAGACTAGGCTATATTCTCTGTGTTCACCTCTATGCTATCAACTATGTAATTAACTACCCGTCCCATCCTCTATCAACTTCTCAATTATCTTCTTAGCTGCTCCTTTTCCTTGGTCAATTGTGCTACTTGATCCTTCAACACATTCACCTGAATCAGGTTGATCAAATGTTCGTCGTTAATTATCTGAATTGATCGGTTCTTTTCGGCTATCTCCTCAGTCAAGTCCGCTATTCTCTGTTGAAGCCTGTGCTGTTTCAGCTCATGACTTTTCACTGATTTTTGAAGCTGTGCAATCTGTTGCTGGTATGACTCCATCTTCATCGCCTGCAGATTTAGCCGTTGCACTAGAGACTCGTTCTCCTGGAGTAACTGGCCATTTTCTTTCCGGAGGAGGTCCCACTCCAAGTTTCCCGACGACTTCCCAAGCAAATTGAGCTGTGAAAACGCGTGGTAGAAAGGCGAGTCTTTTTGTTCAAGCTGATCTCGCTGTTCTAGCCGGAGCTCAACTTGTGCCCATGGATCCATGAAGTTAGTGTGTTAGTATTGGTTTGTGATGTTCTGTGATATCCTGTATATGACTATAGTCTATCAACGTGGGGGAGGCCAAGGCCATTAACTGTGCTTAATGCGAAAATGGTGGGGGGTTGAATGTGCTAAAAACTGAGTAGCATTGGAGCTTCATAAGTAGGATGAGATTTGAATATTATCCAATCTCATATGTTCCACATTAATGTATTTAATGTCTTGTGCTCGCTTACTGATACTAAGTCGAGTACCTGGACTGGGCTCGTATTGAACTGTAGTGGACGTGGGTAGTGAATTTAATGCGAAGTTGATGCCGTAGAGGAATGTCTGTTAATAGAGACCACATCCTCTCAAATTCTATTTTTGTTCCCAATTTCTGACTTTGTTCCCTATTCGTCTCATTGCTCCGTCTCTCTCAAATTTGTGGTTCTCATATTTCATTTAGCATCATCGAAATGTCTCACTCAGTTGTTTCTTCGATTGCACAGATCTCTCTTCACCTCACCTACAGTCCATTTCACCAATGATTATGCATACCAGGAATGTACCTGCATTGGTGGCACTATATAAATGTGTGTGTCGCCAGGATTCCGTGGCCATGGGTTTATTCAACAATATCAAAAAAAAGATCCAGGATGCGGAGGATAAGTTGGTGATGAAGATGACTGACGATTTCTACAAGGATGCGAAGCCAGAGACCGAGCGAGACAGGAAATTAAAAGAACACCATCTCCAGAAGGCTGCAGAACATGCCCACAAAACTGGACAGCCAGCCACCATCCTTGAGAATGGCCAGTGGTATATTTATCATCCTGATGGGAGAAAGGAGCCTTTGGGGCAGGCACCAGAGCCAGAGCATGTGGCTGCTAAATCTGAGTGAATACTAAGTACGAATCTGAGTCTTTTGTTAAATCAAATTATTGCGAGAATTGAAGATTTGTATCAATTTTTGAAATATATCTGTAATTTCATCCGTATAATGGCCCACAAATTGAGTGCTCGGGTCTGTCTTGAGCATAATCAAAACACTAAGCAGGTACAATGTACGCCACTTCAATGATAAATCCTATTACCATCCTTTTTTCGAATCGAATTTGAGAAGGTTATAAAATTCGAGTATGTTTTGAATTTTTCAAGAATGGAATCAATCGCTACCATCTAAATATCTGCGTACTTATCAGTGTGGATCAGCACAAAAATTGTTGTGACTCCAAATATACATACTTCACTATTTTTTTCAAAATTCTGAAAATTTCATATTTCGACTCTAATCTACTCTGCTCAAAATCAGAACTTTACCAATTCCATTACCCCTTAGTCATTTGCCATTGCCATTTTTACCGGCCATATGTCAAACTCTTCACCTTTCTGCACCCAGTCACCTACTCGATAAGCTCACGTGCACTATCTTGCCCTCTACATCTTTCTTCAGTGTTGCCATGTCTACATCACAGTCCCGCTTCTGGTGGCTGCTGCTGCCGCCGCCAGCAGAGGACCCACTGCCTCCTGAGCTGGCAATTCCCGACCCAAAACCCCCGCCGTCGAGATTCTGGACTTGGTCTACTCAAGTAACATCAGACAATGCCGATCTGGCCATGCCGCCTACAAAGGGCCCAGATGACACCGCTGTCAAGAATTCCACAGTAGAAACTTCGAGCTTTTGGGCGCTGATGTTTGGTCTGGGCGCCCAAGAAGATAAGCCTCCATCTGAAAATACTGAAGCAACCAACATGCAAGATGGTGCCAGTTGGTGGTCTGGATGGCCATTCTTCCTGACGGTGGCCGATGATCCTGAAAGCGACGTTGGAGATAGTGCTACAGCAGAGCTTTTCAGATCAGCGAAATTTGCTGTCGAAACATCCAGAGATTCATGTCATTATGCCATCTATTGCAAGTATGGAACTCAAGATGTGGAATTGGCAGTGGCAGGAACCAAAACAGAGGCTCAGGCAGTCAAATATAACCACAAAAAACGTCCACTTACCTCCAGTGAAGTGATGGAAAATGCTTTGGTGAAGCAGAAAAAGGCAGAACTGCCCCCGTGCAATGATACGAACGGTGAGAATACTACGAGCATTGTGAACAAGACTGGTGAGCTTAACAAGAAGTTAGATTCCCAGCTCAAGCTGCCTACAATCTCAGACCTGGGCTGCAATCCGACTCCACTCCCAGCTACCAAGCCAGACAATGCGTCCTCGAGTCTTCGACGAAAAGAACATCACGGAGCTAGTGTATTTCCCAAATTCGACTCCAACTTCCGTACAATCACTGTCACTACCAAAATGAGACTTGTGGGGGAGGCCTTCTTGCATGGTTCTAACACATCGGAAAAGCATTTGTATAAGTCCACTGACAGACAGGTCAGTGCCAAAAAACGCAAGAGGATTAAGAAGGTGGTGGTCATCAGTATCCACAGCTTTCTTCCTGCAAAGTTTGTTAAGTCTCTTATAGGTCAGAGTACTGGCAATGCTGTATCTTTCGCTAGTAAGGCTCTGGCAGCCATTGAGCGGTGGATTTCAAGTAATGAAGATGTCACCTGCGATATTGACACTATTGCATTGGAGGGACAGGGAACCATCAAGAATCGAGTGAACAAATCCTTGAAACTCCTACAGAATTGGAAACATGAAATCAACAGTGCGGATTTTGTATTTGTCGTTGCCAACTCTATCGCTAGTCCCGTGGCTATCAAGCTCGTTTCGCAGATGCTAGAGTCTCCACACTTTGATCAACTACGAGGAAAAAAGGTTGGGTTGCTCAGTATTGCCGGAACCATATTCGGGCCCTTTTACAATACAGATACCAAGATTGTCATTCGGGCTTACACTCAGGCAGAGAATGAGGTGATCAGCGAGATGTTAGAATTGCAACGACCCAAGTCTGCGCTAAGCAAGGATTTGGTGCAGTGTATCGGCCACTTATGCTCATGTAATGTTAAAGTGACTATGGTGGGAGCGGTCAACGACCAATTCGTTCCGCTTTACTCGGCAATTGGTAACCAAATCCGCCATCCCAACCTTTTCAAATGCATGTATGTCGAAGGAAGTAGCGATACTCCTCCGTTCATGGTACAACTCATGTCCATGGCGTTGACAATGATTAACGTTGGATATGGAGACCAGAATCTTGTGCGAGATTTGAGTGACCGACTTCAGGGTGGAGTGACTATGATGGGTTCACATGGAAGTGTCTTCTACGAAAACGAGGTTTACGACGTAGCGGTCCGGTTTGCGTTGGAGACAACTAGTCTTGTGTACCATTCTCCGGCCAGGTGTGAACGACTCGCTCCCATCACCGCCGAGGCTGACAAGAATCTATATAATTTGCCATGGAACGTAAGAGGACTTGTCAATGATCTCGTGAAGATTAAGCACATTCTGAATATGGAGTTGCTACGGAATATTGTTGAAGAGTACATTCGCTGGGAACCCACCACTCGGTCATGGAGAGAGGTTCGATACTGTTTTGCTGCTTTAGAGGATATTACAGTTGATGACCTACTCTTGTAACAAATGTTACCAGAGGCATAAATTATGGAAGTATTCAGATAATAGAATCTTACCGAAGTTATTCTCTGACAAAATTGGCCTAAGAAATGCTCTGAAACCAAATGGGGTTCCAAAAGTATAATTCTGAGAAGGTACCAAATGTGGAAATGCCACGGAATTGTACGACAAAATCTTAATAATAACATCCAAATTGATTAGCATCCAGACCAATTTTATGGACATTATATTCTACATCTCACTTTCGAATCTTATATCTATACATCTAACTTTCCAATCTCTGCTTAATTTTTACTTTACTGCCACGGCGTTGTTCTCTTGTGACTGAGTCACTTATTGCGAATTCTAGCCACGAGCCCATGTGTTTACGACACTGTCAGAAAATAAAGGTTATGAGGCCCCCTACAGGGTCGGTGGAACGAGACGGCGGACAGGCGGAAAAGTAAATGAAACCGTTTATTGTTTCCAAAGAAATGCTACTGGTGCCTTATTGTCTGTGAACCTTCACAATGAACTTTCTCGAAGGTAGAGACTGCCAGATGCATATGTGGGAAAAAAAAAAAACACTCAAACCATGCCGTACTTGAAGATCGCGCAGGTCGCACCTAATTGACCTATTGTGTCGAGTATAAATGCACAGGACACCACCAATCTGGCAGGTCGGTCGGCCTAGTGAGGCCTAGTGAGGCTAATTAAAGTAGTGAGGCTAATCCGAATGTACGCCACATCCATCCCAATCAGATGATCCAGTAGTACCAAAAGATCCAAATTATTGGCCGGTGCCATTCGTTTAGAGCCTCTAAACTTCTCTGAAATTGAAATGAAGAAATTCTTGCTTCCATTTGCTTTCTTTTTTTCGGTTCCATTATTCTCCTTCTCTCCATGGTTATACTCAACCATCAACCTACACAGTGAAATCCTCACTATTATTCTGGGCTTTGCACGCTCATTAACGATTGATATACTTTCTCTTCTTCACTGAGATCGTTTTCTGCTGTCTGGATCTCTATTTATCTCGGGACTTTCCAAAGACGTTTTCGGTCTAACCGTATTTCCAGCCTGCCGACTCTTTGATTGGCTCGCCTGACGTTTAGCATCCCCTGAAAACTGTGGTCGATTTCCCTTACAGTAAAAGTTCCTTCTTGTCTGTTGCGGATAATATCCCTGTGCCAACAACATTTCAAACAACTCCTGATCTGCTGCCGGTTTGACTGCCCACTCAACCTCAGTCCATTTAACTTTGGCCCACGACTGATCCAGTTGGCCTCCTGCTCACACATCCTAACCTACTACCATGGCTGAGGATACAACCGTCAAACGGACACGTGCTTCCGGAGAAGTGCTTGATTATCTTCTACGAGAGTTCGAGAACAATCACAACCCCAGCCCAGAGCTGCGGAAGGACATTAGTGACCGCACAGGCATGTCCGAAAAAGCGGTGAGAATATGGTTCCAGAATAGAAGGGCCAAGCTCAGAAAGTTTGAAAGAATGGGCAAGCCTGTTAATCTGCCTGCGTTAAGCAGTCCTGTCAATGGCATCCCTAGTGGCCAGCGTTCTTACGCCAATACCGCCAGTGGTCACTCGTCCAGATCCAATCTGCTCACGAATATTTCTGCCTCTGGTTTACGAATGCAGAGCAGCATCCCCATCGAGCTCAACGAAAAGTACTGTTTCATCGACTGTCTGTCTCTATCTGTTGGCTCATGGCAGCGGATAATCTCTGGCCATCACGAACCACAGGCTCTCCACCACCAATTAATTAACTTGTCTCCTTTCACGTTGAACACAGTGATGAACAATGTGGACTTGATGGTGATTTTATCTCGCAAGAACCTAGAGATCAACTATTTCTTTTCGGCAATCTCCAACAACTCCAAGATTCTATTTCGGATTTTCTATCCAATCTCCTCCGTGATCTCATGCCTGCTATTGGACAACAACATCAACAAGGAAAATAACGAGTTGCGTCTCAATCTTTCGCGCAAACCTAAGTTCTCTGTCTATTTCTTCAATGGTGTCAACGCTAACTTGAATCAGTGGTCAATCTGCGACGACTTTTCTGAAGGGCAACAAGTGAGTTCAGCCTACTATGCCCAAGGTGGAACATCTACACCCCACGTGTTGGTTGGTGTCAAAAATTCTCTACAGTTTTTGAACACCTTTATCACGGAAAATAACCAGCTTCAGCACCAGCATTACGTGCCAGCATCTTCCAACTTAACGTCAAATGACACCCCTCAGTCATCTTACTCAGTTGCTGGTGATCTTCCAGTCAACAACATGATGCCTGATTCCAAAGATTTCATTTTGGACGAGGAAACAGCAAACAACGCCAACTTTCAAATCAAGCATGAGCGCTGGGAGGACTCTCCTCGTAGTGAGTTGGAGTATCGCATGAAGGGCCTTTCACCCATACCAAACTTCAATGGAAACTCTCCAGGGTCTCTGGAAAGCCATCACTCTCATTCCAACAAAACTTATACTAATGGCAGAACCAAACTGTCTGCTACAGACATTAATAAGAAAGAACCTGGCCAATATGAAGAGATGTTTGGCTCGGCAACTTCAGATTTTTTCAGCACTGTGCAAACGCCGAACTCTAATTTATTGAACGCTGCCGTGGCCAACCGTGACAATGAAAACCTCATCAACAGCCCCTCTACGAATATGCAAGCTTATGGAAATAACGAGTTCGATAAGCACCACAGTCCACGATCAGATGCCAACAATCTGCTGGAATTGAGGTTCCGCAGAGGGGAGCAGGATTTGAATTTTGATGGCTTGAGTGATACACAAGGGATTTACAACGCTGGGAGTGGAGAACCAGCGTATGATTTTGACATTCAACAGGAGAATTCCGGCGATTTCCAGGCCAGTGATCTCATTGTCAACAGTCCAGCCGTTTCGAACTCTGCTGGTACACCAAATGCTAACGGCGCACTGGTGAACCACGTGGACAATTTCATCGACTACAATGCTCACTATTAGAATAAGCACGTCAAGAATTTTGGACTTGCCTCGGAAAGAGTAGTTTATTTGTTGGTCGTTTAAGTGTGTCGACCAATGTGTTCAGTTTCGAGATGACAATTGTATATTATTCAGCATGCCAGACATCACGTTATTTGTACTCTTACCAGAATATATAAAAACATCAACATATTGTGTGGTATTTATGGGGCAAGTAGTGAATGAGAGAATAGCAGAATCTAATTTTTATCGACTTAGCAAAATCGACTTTGCAATAGCAAATTCTAATGGTCCTTTCTCTAAATGTTGCCTCATCGTCAGTCACGTGAGTGATCCAAATGGAAATCTCTAAAATGGAGGTTCAGACATGCTCCAAATTTCACCAAACAAGAGCATTGGATCCACCCCATGTCGCTCCGGATTCCAATAAGGTGTATGTCTTCAAGTAGGCCGCCGTTGGCGTCTATCATCCCCAAGAAAAAAACGTTAAATCGTCTACTTTTTGACGCAGATAGCAGACTCGCATACAGAAAGATCATGCCAGTCTTGTCCAGTGTCTATTCCCACCTCGACGAGCCAAGCAAAATCCAGTTGCCGTCATATACTCAGCATGAAGACCTTATGGCGCTCCGGTCGATATTACAGAACTTGCGGTCAGTAACAAACTCCATCAATAAGAATTTGGTAGACTTGGAAAATGAGTTGGTTGAACAGGCTGCAGAACTTGGCAATTCAGACGCCATCGCAATGTTAGCATTCGAGGCTGTATCACTGAAAGATACTCTGAAAGATGATTATGAGTATGCGAACGAGTTGATCCGCCAGTTGACTGAGAGTAAGCACCCCTTGGTGTTCAAGTTGGCAGGAGACTTTGCTTTCTCCAAAAATTACCATGAGCAAGCTGCACAATATTGGTTCCAATTCTTGGAGCTCGAGGATAAAACTATCCTTGCCAGCCATGTGTATCTGAACTTGGGTGTTTACTTTTACCACTATTCCAAGCCTCGACCAGACTTGACTAAGGCCAAGTTGTGTCTTGAAAAGGCCATCAAGTATGGTGAACTCGACACTCACATTGTCAAGGCACATTACTATTTGGGCCAATTGTACTCCATAACAGATCCAGTGTTGTCACGGTACCATCTAGAAGTCAGTGCATCCCGTGGTTTACAGGAGAGTTTCCCTTCGTTGGGATTCTTGGAGCTCAATGTTTTTGATAACATTCCAAAGGCACTTGAATGGTTCAAGCTTGGTGTCGAGGCCAACTCCGATATTTCATGTTTAGTGGGTCAGTTTGATGCTCATTTCCGTGCTCGTAAGCATACTCTTGCAATGAACGTTCTTTCTAATTTGGAGAGTTTGAAAGTCAAATTGGATAAAGTTCTACGAAATGGCATGAATAACGTTCCTGGTGCGTATAAGGAGATTGCAAAGTCTAATCATGTATTGTTGTCGACGTTCTTCGAGACACGCAAGGATCAAATCCGTCAGTTGTCTAACTAAACACTTTGACCACGCAGATGTTCTAAATGTCCTGATCAGCGTTGATTTCGGATGTGTGTTTCTCTCGGAGGGTTATTGGATGACTGTCGCAATGAACTGGTGCTCTCTGGGTAGATGGAGTTTTACTCTTATCTCCCGCCTTAATCAAAGTCAGGGATGGTAATGAGTCAACCTCGTTGAACCAATAATGGGCACAGGTTTCTTGGACATTGTAACGTTGAGAAGGGTCGATCAAAAGCAAGTTTGTGATCAAATCCAACGCACTGTCGCTAATATCATCCCAGAATGGTGAGTAGAATGCGTACTTGCCTTGGAGAATCTGGTCCCGCATCGATGGGGGACCTAACTCGTCGCTGAAAGGAGGAAATCCACATAAGCACACATACAACAAGACTCCGGCCAGCCAGATATCCACTTTCGTGGAGTAGTTGCGATTATTATTGAGCACTTCCGGAGCAACATATGCGGGTGTACCACAAAGGGTGTTGGTGAACTTGAGTTCGCCGATAAATTTTGCTAATCCGAAGTCTGCGATTTTGACTCGAACGTCAAATTCGTCATGATCCCAAGGTCCAGTCTGCTCCTGGTGTTCAGACGTCCTTGGAGTAATATCTAGCAAAATGTTCTCGGGCTTAATATCCCTGTGAATAATGTTTTTCTCATGTAAATAGCGCAATCCTGATAGAAGTTGCTTGAAAATAGCTCGTGTTTCACTCTGTCCGAGTTTCAGCTTATTGATAATCCTCTGGAATAACTCTCCACTGTTGACCTTTTCGAGTACAAGGTACGTGGTGGACGAGAACTCATTGATGGGTTCTACGTAGTGGGAGATGAACCTAACGATGTTAGGATGATTAATGGAGAGAAGTAACTCCATCTCTTGGCGAAGTTTGGCGTCATCTGTTGCTGATGCGGAACCTGTTTTGTTTGGATGAAAGATCTTCACGGCAACAATGTCTCCGTTTGTCCTATCCCTCGCTTCCTTCACCACAGCGTAATGTCCAGACCCGAGTTGGTTCAAAAGGATGTAGTCATCGAAAAACGACCGGTGGTGGGCGTTCTCTTGTCCATCGTTTAGATAACGAAAAATGTATGTTCCTGATTTAGCGAATGAGATCTTGTCACCGCTACGAAGAAGAATGGTGGATCCTCGGCCCAAAATTTCACTATTAACTCCAGTGCCGTTGGAGCTCAAGTCTGTGAGCATGAGAAATTCTTGTCTGCTATTGCTGGAAAGCGAGAATTGGCAATGACGAGAGGAGATATCCAGACCATTGATCTTGATATCACATGTGCTGCTTCTTCCAACCACTACTCCAGCCGGTTTTCGTGGAAGCAAAATGTGTGCTTGGTCTTCCTTGACACTGAAGAGTTTAGCTATGGCCGTGTACTTATGCACGGGCCGTTTGGACACAGTCGACGTGTCAAATTGCTAAAGATTAGTGATGGAGAATATGAAATGGCTTAAAAAGTTACAATACCTTTTTTCTGGTTAGTGACATTGTGTTGAAGACGTGATGATAACAGGTTTCGCGTGCAAGTATTGATGAAGGCATATAGTAGTGATCCGACTTGGAACCTCACTAAGAATAATAAGAGAAAAAAAATATAGAAAAGATAGTCGGAACATAACATAAATTGTACACTGGCAGCTTAGGTTACAGTCCTCATAGATGAGGAGTACTTTTAAACAGTTCTTGTGCAATTTAGATTATACGGAACAACAAGTCTCTTATATCATTCTCTTCAAGACAATCGAGACGATTCTCAAATTGGCTGCGAATGGTATCATTGCTCTCAACATCTCTCTTCATCAAACGTGCTGTTGCTCCATCAAAATGCTCCATCATCTCAATCGACTGAATCACTTTTTTGAACTTTCTATTGTCAGCATTTGAGTACTTGCATTGAGGATCCATCAACAATGGTCCAGAAAAGCTTTCAACTAAGTAGTCTAAGTCAAGTTGTAGCTGTACGAGCCCATTCTTGTTAAACTTATTGTTGGTAATGATGTACTCGAGAACCACAGTCGAGAAGGAGTCACAAACCTTGCTAGCAACTAGAAAATAGTCGATCTCAGGAAGTGTACGTTCCAAGTATGCCATATAGGTTGGAATGATGGAGGCAAGGGCGGCCAATTTTACCGAAGGCAGATTTCTTGCTTCGAAATCATCGATTGTCCATACACTAGAGTTAACATATTCTTTGAAGCCACCTCTAATTTCTCTCTTGAAGAAATCGGCGTACCTGGTAGCAACTTTGTCTAGAAGGGCGGTATATTGTGCAATTGCAGAGCCGAAAATGGAATCTTCTGCTTCTTTTTTGGTGGACACGCTTCTATACGAATTCCAAAGTTGAATGAATAGCAAATCTTCACTCCATTCTTGCATCTGTTCAATCACAAACTTGATCAGACAGTATAGACCAGTGAGAATCTCCAATCCTTTAAGCCCGTTGGAGATGACTGATTGAGATGTCGCCGAGGTATCTGCTTTCACGCTTCCTGGGAGAAAGTTCGATATCAACTTCAGACTAAGAGACTCGTTGAAATGGCCAAACTGCTTCTGAAGAGCTTGTAAGTACTCATCAAGAAACGTGAGCTGGATGTTAGACACATACATGAGTTGGTATTTCACAATGCTCAAAGTCTTGAAATGAGACGTTAAGTTGTCAAAAAGCTTCACAAGAGCATATGCTGAGTAACTTGGTTTAAGAATGTCAGGTTGTTTTGAAGACGCATTGTACTCGAAATCAATCTCGAAAGCATTCAGAGCATCCATTATTTCTTCATCAAAACGTTGTTTTGCTAGTCTCAACTCTAAGTTGAGCCAGTTAGTGACTGCGGTGTTTTCCTCGTCATTTTCCAATAGAATATCCCCAGTGAGTCCCATCCACTTTCTTTTTGGTGCCTTCTTTAGGTCTGTGATATATGGATTATACTTGTAAGCATTTCTGAGACGTTGATCAAATGAGGTGGTCTCAAAAATGAGATGAGACAAGAGTCTTCCGTTTCGTTCCAAGCCAGTAGCATCATCGCCGCTTCGTGCGATACTTTGATTGATAATTTGTGCCATTTTTAGTAGCTTGCTTCTGACAGGAATCAATGCGGCGGTCAACACCTCCATTACGCCGATTTTTCCGTGCTTTTGGAAGGTGTCTCCAATCACTAGTTCCAAAACTTGCATGTTGTCGTATAAAAATGTCTCCACAAACTGTAATGCCCACTCCGGTCTGGAAATCTTGTTCGTTTCATTGGATTGGTTGAAATGGTAGTTGAATCTCATCGCAAATGGCTGGAGCAATACTTCCAAGCCCCACCATGTTTCCGGGTACTCAGGTACTTGTTGGCCCACCTGGAGATTTACTAATTGGTCAAATATACTAGAGATCTCTTTGAGTGTACTTGAAGCAATCGATACATTTTCTTTCGGAGCGAGCCACTTGATCAGTTGGAGCAATGAGGTTAACTTCTGTATCAACTTTGCTTTTTTATCTTCGACCACCTTGGTCAATTCTTCTGCCAAGGTGAGCCCCACAGCAGTTCCGTCAAACTTACCAAGCTTCTTAGAAATCTCTAACAATTCAGAAATATCAGATGTCTCAGACAATGACAAAATGGCACTCTCCAACAGGGCAGCATCTCTCAAAAGTACATTCTGCGATTGCAATATATTCTTCTCTACCACAGCTTCCTTCAAATCAACAAGAACTTGCAAGTTTCCGTTCCTCTCGATAAGATTTTCTACTATGCTCTCAGTACCTGCTGTGGAGAGCTGTTGGATTGAAGTTAGCAATCCTTCAATATATAGATTCTCTTTATCGGTGACCTCTGCGGAGTCAGCACCGGTGGCCGAATCGATAGCTCTGGATATGCGGAGTTTTTGGTCACTCAAGGCATTGAGTTTATCGTCAATGGAGTCCAAGTCTCGCATTGAGACGAAGTTTGCGTTAAGAAAGTCCATGCTGGAGAAAGGTGTTCTTGGAGTGGTTTATATTGGTGGACGGGTGTATTGAGGCAAGTGTAAGTTGACGGATGGTACTGGACAGGTTTGAACGGTGATTAGGGAAATGTTCTAATAAAAATTCGAAAACTGTTCAATCTCAAATATCTGGAATTATTGTTTTTAGCATTTTCTTTCTGGTTTTGGTGGTGGCGATTTTGGTGAGTTGACACTATTTGATAACCTAGACACAAGTTGACATAATTTAATACATTACGCGAACAATGACTATACAATGAAACTCAAATCAAAAGTAAAAATTACAAAAAAGACCCATGTTTGAAAATTCGAAGACTTTACATTTACTGGCCCAACAAACTCGCCTTACACTATTTTAAACCTAAATATTTTGATCCCGACGCCATAGTTTCAAGTCGCCTTCGCATTTTGCTAGGATCACCTAAGCAAGAGTTCACCCACATTTTCCATTCAACAACGAAAAAAATGAAGGGCCGGTAAATCAAAATGCATAAAACAATACATCGAAAAGCTACCTACAATTTTTTCATTCATTATCAGGCCAGCCAGACTGATTTTCAGACTCTCCACTAAAAAAGTAGTGCATGCACCATCAAATTTACCAACATAGACATTTCCATCAGAGCCTTTTTGCCTACCTATACTCCACAATGCAAGCTCCAGTGGTATATCTCAACACCTCTACCGAGAGACAGACCGGAAGACAAGCACAGGTGTCCAACATCACCGCCGCTAAGGCCGTGGCAGACATCATCAGAACATGCTTGGGTCCAAAAGCCATGTTAAAGATGCTTTTGGACCCCATGGGAGGAATCGTGTTGACCAACGACGGACATGCCATTTTGCGTGAAATCGACGTGTCTCATCCCGCAGCCAAGTCCATGATTGAGCTAAGTAGAACACAGGATGAGGAGGTTGGTGATGGAACAACCACTGTGATCATTTTGGCTGGTGAGATTTTGGCCCAGGCATTCCCCTACATCGAGAAGAATTTGCACCCGGTGGTGATCATCCAGGCGTTGAAGCAGGCGCTTAGCGATGCGTTGGAGATCATCCATGAAGTGTCTGTTCCAGTGGACATCGAGAACGATGCAGCCATGATCAAATTGATTAAGGCATCTATTGGTACCAAGTATATCAACAAGTGGCTGCAGAAAATGTGCGAGTTGGCTCTCAAGGCAGTCAAGACCGTGACTGTGCAGCAGGGTGACCACAAGGAGATCGATATCAAGAGATATGCTCGTGTTGAAAAGATCCCGGGCGGAGAAGTCACTGACAGTGAGGTGTTAGACGGTATTTTATTGAACAAGGACGTGACACACCCTAAGATGAAGAGACACATTGAGAATCCACGTGTCATTTTGTTGGACTGTCCGTTGGAGTACAAGAAGGGAGAGTCTCAGACGAACATCGAGATCACCAAGGAAGAGGACTGGAACCGTATTTTACAGATTGAGGAGGAACAGGTGCGTCTCCTCTGTGAGCAGCTCTTGGAGTTTAAGCCGGATGTAGTTATCACCGAGAAGGGTGTTTCCGACTTGGCCCAGCACTACCTCTTGAAGGGTGGAGTTACTGCATTGAGAAGAGTCAAGAAGTCCGACAACAACCGTATAGCTCGTGCTACGGGTGCCACAATCGTCAACAGAGTCGAGGACTTGAAGGAGTCTGATGTGGGTACTAAGTGTGGCCTCTTCAAGGTTGAGCTCATTGGTGACGAGTACTTTACCTACTTGGTCGAATGTAAGAACCCTCGCGCTTGCACGGTGTTGTTGCGTGGTGCCTCTAAGGACATTTTGAACGAGATAGAGAGAAACTTGCAGGATGCTATGGCCGTGACCAGAAACGTCATGTTCGAGCCTTCATTGAGTCCAGGTGGAGGAGCCACCGAGATGGCAGTGAGTGTTAGACTTGCCGAGAAGGCTAAGACCATCGAAGGAGTCGCACAGTGGCCATACCAGGCGGTTGCCGATGCTTTCGAGGTGATTCCTAGAACCTTGGTGCAAAACTGCGGAGGAAAACCCATCAGAGTCTTGTCGCTGTTGAGAGCCAAGCACGCTGAGGGCCAGCACACGTTTGGTATTGATGGAGATTTGGGTAAGGTAGTGGACATGAATGACTACGGTATCTGGGAGCCAGAAGTGATCAAGCAACAGTCCATCAAGACTGCTATTGAGAGTGCCTGTCTCTTGTTGAGAGTAGACGACATCGTGAGCGGTGTTCGTCAACAGCAGTAGAAGAAGTTCCATTCATAATACCTCAGGCAAGAAAGCTTTTCTGGGCGACGTCGCCCAGAGTTCGATATGAGTTTATCACACAGTCTACAATAGAGAATGAAGTAGAATGTTGCGACATTTTGCTACCATACCATGTCAGTTTCTCTCAGGACACAGAAGCACCAGCCACAATCATATTAATATATATAGCAACCATGTTGCGTGTCCGTATGGAAGAAATAGTTTTGGTTCAAAATCTAAGCGAAATCCGTATTGGGAGATTATGTCATAATTTGATGTAGGGGAGCAACACGTGACCTTTGCTCTAACCCGCTCTTTATTGACGTTCTGGCCAAATCAGGCAGTCACCTACAACCATTCCAAGTACCATGAAGTACAATAGCCGCACTTAGATGCTATCCAGCTGCTATTAAAATCTCATCCACCTACTGTTCTTCTTCATCCCTAATGTCACCTCAAGTTCCCTTTCTAGCCAAAACCATAGTGTCTTGGACAGGAGAACAGGATGGAGACTTGGGTTTTCTAGAAAATGAAATGGTCAAGGTCTTTCACATCGTGGACGAGCTGTGGTGGCAGGGTAGCTTGCTCAGAAATGGTGCCGAGGGTATGTTTCCTAAGGATTTTGCTACACCTGTCTCGAACCCGAACACTCCTACTGGACCTAATTCAAAGATATCGAAGACCATCAAGTCTGGCCCGTCAACCCCAAGCAAAGATCCCCGACAGAACAAGATCATGGCCAATGCCAATGGATCTTTTGTCAATATGGCTTCTACAAATATCTATGGTGCGAACTCAAGACACCTGCCTATGCTGAAGTCTGCGCCGGCATTGAATGAAATCTATGATTCCAGTTTCGACGATACAGAGACCTCGTTTCGGAACGACAATTCATTTTCTCGGAACGACACTTCGTTCAACCGTAACGACAGTCCAGGAAGAAACAGAGCACGCAAAGAAAAACGCCTGTCGCAGTTGTATTCTCAGTATGTTCTTAGTTCCGGACTCACCAAGGCACAGACTACAGACAATTTGCTAGAGACAGGCAGGATGCCAGCATTCTCCCCCGATGCAACGCCAGTGAAAATGAGACAAGATGCTATCCGTGGAATGGATAGAAATGACTACTCGAGAGACTACCGTGAACACAAAGGACAGGATGTCAGAGGAAGCAGAGAGGATTTCATGCAATCAATATCGGCAAAGAAGCAACAACTTGAAATGGAATTGCATGCCTTGCGCCAATTAGAGCGTTCTCACAGACAAAATATGCCCAACCTGATTGACTCCAGCTACATGTCCGAAGATTTGTTGCTGTCACTGCGCAACTGTGTGAACCAGGATGATTTAGGCAACAAGCTAGAGTCGGACCCAGAAACTGAGGATCTGGTACCACCTCCACCTCCACCTAAGCACAAGGGAAGTGCACCCTTCGATTCAGACGATTTCCGTGCTTCTGGAGCGAGCTACAGCGGAGAGGCAAGCAACATGCCAGAAGATTTGAAGGCTTCGCTCAAGTCACTTCAAAGCGACGTCTTAAATCTCTCCGAGCTCAGTGCAACAAGTGCTGGATCTTTTATGCGTCATAAGTACGAGAGAGATGTCCAAGATTACCGAAGGGAAATTGCAGATAGCGAGATGAGAATGAGCAGAATATCGATTACTGAGAAGGACGATGTCATGGATGTTGTTTTCAAAGAGAAGAAGCCCAAGCAGAATATATTCAAGATGTTGAAGAAGAAGAAGCAGGAGCCAAACTTGATGGAACAACGTCTTCAACAAGAACACGACTCGTGGCAGAAAGTGAAAGTGGACTTGAACAGAATGAACTCACTTACTCTGCTGGACAAACAGGCAAGAACAAAGAGAGCAGTTAGGTACGAACCAAATTTTATTGTTAAGCCATTGGAGTATGTTACTGAAATCAACCTCAGTGAGACATTCGGCCCTGACGAAACTTCTCAAATGAATGACTTGAGAGTTAATGTTCGGAAGGTGAACGAGTTCCTGGAGAAATACAATGTCCAGAGTGACTTCAACGATCTAATTTCCGATATCAGTGTCAAGTTTGGCAGCTGGAGACCCAACGAGATTAGGGCTGCTCTCTTGCACTTGTGTAAGTTCCGCATAATTGAGGAGCCAGAAAAGATTTCACAAACCAAGCCAAGGCTCCACGAAATCATGGCTAAGGGTGAGGCAACAATCTTCCAGCTTAATTATTTACTCAAGAAGTTTCTTGCTGCTCTCGGAATCCCCTCTGAAGTTGTTCTTGGGTTTTGGAAGAAGCCTAACGAATTCTATCACTCAGACCAGTTTACAGTCAATCACTGCTGGCTTAGTGTAATGCTTGAAACAGATGAAAGAGGCAACGGATGTTTCCGTCTCATTGATCTCATGTGTTTTCAGAATGGATCGATCTGCAACAAGAGAGGTTTTAACGAACATTACTTCATGGCCCAGCCCATTGACCTCATTTCCACTCATCTTCCTTCGGTTATTGAATTACAGCACGTCACCCCTCCAGTTGACTTGAACATCACTTTCTATTTACCAAGATTTTATTCTGGATTTAAGAAGAATAACCTCGCTTTTAACAACTTCAATAACGCCTTGACAAGAATGCATGATCTCGAATTTTTCGAGGCAGACATTCTTGTGCCTACCGATGTTGAATTGTTCACATTAATCAAAACATCCAATAGCACCACGAATGACTACACACTCTGTCAGATATACTGGGTTGGCCAAAGGAGAATGGCCAAGGTCAAAGCCATTCTTCCAGATAACGAAGAAATCGGGGTTTTACAAATATTTGCTGGCTCAAAGGGAACTCAGACCCATTTTGATAACATTCATGAGCTAGCATGCGTGGTTCCATTGTACCACACTGGTAATGGGAAGCTGTGCAAATTTGTCCCTCGATTCCCCACCATCCAATCTCAGAAAAACGATCTCTACATCAAGCATCCACAATTGAGCACCATTAGTGCGAAAAACGCATATAATTTTGAGGTGGACGTTCACCCTTCGATGGGGATCAACTCCGGCTCTAGACTAATGAATCAGGACTTCAAGCTCGTCATCGAGTCTCCATCTGGCAAATACACCAAACTTACCAAACAGGAATCACAAGAACCATTTGGCACATATAGCTCAAGTCTAATCTGCCAGGAGCCGGGAACATACAGGGCATTAGTGATTGGTGACAGTGGAAACAGCTGGTACGTGTTTGCTCAATGGGAGTGTGCTTGAGGTCTGATTTGCATAAGACGACTTTTGTTTGATTTTCATACTTGCATAAACAACTACGACATAACCAAGCGTATTTTTGATTTTATAATTTTTTTTTCTCTTGAGGGACCTTTTTTTTTTCGTATCTATTTCCTTCCTATCAGCTGTTTCCGTACATCTAGGAGTGCACTATGGCCTCCATATTAGACTGACAAAGTAGTACTTGTGTCTGGAACCTACAAACTTCCTTCGCCATGCCAGTAAGCACGCCAGGTGTACAGAATTACTCAAAGGACAAAAAGGTCGGTGAGGGTACTTATGCTGTGGTTTATGTTGGAAAACAGATCCATTCAAATCGAAGAATCGCCATAAAAGAGATTAAAACCGGACTCTTCAAAGATGGACTTGATATGTCTGCTATTCGTGAAGTCAAGTACTTACAAGAGCTCCGACACATCAACGTCATTGAACTTATTGATGTTTTTATGTCCCAGGATAATAACCTCAACCTAGTATTGGAATTTCTTCCGTGTGACCTAGAGGTGCTCATCAAGGACCAATCAGTGGTGTTCAAATCTGCAGATATCAAGCTGTGGCTTCTCATGACACTCAGAGGTCTCCATCACTGTCATAGGAACTTCATTTTGCACCGAGATTTGAAGCCGAATAACTTGCTTTTAGCTCCTGATGGCCAGTTGAAAATCGCAGATTTTGGTTTAGCCAGAGCATTTGGAAATGCCAATGAAGATTTCACGCCAAAAGTGGTGACCAGATGGTACAGAGCTCCTGAATTGTTATTTGGTTCAAAACATTATACTGGTGCAGTCGATATGTGGGCAGTTGGAATCATCTTCGCTGAGTTGATGTTAAGAACTCCATACCTACCGGGAAAAGATGATCTCGACCAACTAGATGTGACCTTCAAGGCGTTAGGAACACCCACAGAGCAAATTTGGCCGAACGTATCCAGTTTGCCAATGTATAATGCATTAAGAGTTTATCCTCCTCCATCGAGACAAGAATTAAGAAACCGGTTCAGTGCAGCCACGGAAAAGGCATTGGACTTAATGATTTCTATGACACAACTTGATCCCGCCAGAAGATGTGATCTGAACTTAGCGTTGATGCATGAATACTTCACTGAGTCACCTTTGGCCACTGAGCCCGAGGACTTGCCCACAATTGGAAAGGACACAGGCGAGGACAAAAGAAGAAAGGTGGGATGATTTAAGCCATGCTGAGGCATAATTGTTTGGATGCCATGTAGCTATTCTATTATTCTAATATAAACCGGCAACGTATTCACCTATTGCCATGGATGATGTCAAGCCAGGACTCTCAATGCCAACCAAGTTGACGAATCCCTTGAAACCTTCTTCCTCTTTGATGTAAAAGTCGGCGAACTCTTTATAGTTTTGGTCGCGTGATACCAACTTAGGTCTGACTCCCAGATATGATGGCAGAAGATCTTCAGTTTTAATGCTAGGGAAGTAAGTCTTGATAGCAACTTCTGCGAGTTCCAAGTTCTTCGTGCTGACATCGTAGTTGAGTTCTGCAGCGTCTTGAACGGACTCATCTACCCACTCAAGATCTGGACCAAACCGAAGTTGGCCACCCAAGTCAAAGGTTAGGTGAGTACCCAAACTTGAAGAATTTGGATTGGGGCAAGGGTAGATCAACTTTGTAGTGATTTTACTGGTAGCAACAGGAACCAGTGGAGTATACGAGAAGTAACTGCCCTTAGCAAAGTAGCTCTTGAAGTGTCTCTCGAATGGAAGTACCATATTGGAAATCTGTTGGGCGAAAAGTCCTCCAGAATTTACTATATTGTCGGCCGTGATTTCGAACTTTTCCTTGGACCCTTGTTCAGTACAGAAGATTCTATACTGTGGAGTCAGCGACTCGTACTCGATATCATCCACCTTAGTATTTATGGCAATTGTGCCTCCATTGTTCTCCAAGTTCGCCTGATGATACACAGTCAAATCGTGTGCAGAAATGATACCCGTAGTAGGAGAGTCAAGTGCACCGTGCTCAGCCCGAATCAAAGGAAATGTATTTCTTGCCTCTTTGGCAGAAACAAGCGAGACTGGAACACCCATCGAGGAGGCGTTCTTGTGAAGCTTATCCAAGTACTCTTCCTCGCTCTCCGACTGGGCAACCACCCATTTTCCACATTTGGAGTATGGAACGATTTTTGGGTCCAATCTTTCGTAAATCAATTCTTTTCCTCTCAAACAGAGACGAGCTTTCAAAGTGTCCGATGGATAGTAGAGACCAGCATGGATAACCTCGGAGTTGCGGCTGGTAGTTTCCATTCCTAGCATTTCGTGTTGTTCAATCAATGCAACATTGTTGCCAGATTTGGCCAGAAGCTCTGCAGCAATGGCAGTTCCCACTACTCCTCCACCAATTACCACATGAGAGAAGTCTGCAAGTGTAGACTGTGTGGTGGAGAAGGTTCTCTTGGATAATAATCCCGCCAATCTTGAAGATAAAGGACTCATATGAGAAAAGAAGAAGAATAAGAATAAGAAGAATAGATCTGAGAAAAAAGCAATTAGACAGTATGAAAATAAATATGCAATCTGCTTAGAGAAGACTGTCAATTTTGACGTGTAGAATCGTACTGTGCAGTTATCTATTAGCTGATAGGATCCACAGTTGATTTGTTCATACACAGTCCGATGTTACCAGAGTAGTAAATAGAAATCTAGTATACTGATGATTCGAGAAAAGGAATCTCCACATTTTTTGATGCGTGAAGTATATTGTTCTTTTCTTTTGTTTCAAAGTTCATTAGTGTTTGCCTTCTTGAAGATTTGATGCTGTCGTCATGTTTCGCAATAATGAGATCATAGTGAGATCAAGGCGATGTAGGACTTTTGGCAAATCAAGGAATAAGATGCAGAGATAAAGACTAGAGTTGAGTGGAATACCGAGTCACCATCCAAAATGACAAGGCGAAGGAATTATGGAAGTTCCCTTGCAGTGGATTAATGTGAACGGACTACCTGGCTAGTGAAAACCACGAAAATGCCAATAAGTAGGATATTATACTCATGAATACCATTACGAAATTTCCAAAATAGAAGCTTAAAACCCTGAATCGCTTGGAATCGCTTAAAATTGGGAAACAATTATTTAATAAACTCAATGATATAAAAGTAAAACAATTTTTAAGCAACGTTTCGGTTGTATAGTGTAGTGGTTATCACTTTCGGTTTTGATCCGAACAACCCCGGTTCGAATCCGGGTACGACCTTCTTTTTTCCATTTCCAGATCTTTTTGTGCTCCTATTATACCTTCATCCTATGCACCAACCGACGGAAGACCCGGCCCATTCCAAGAGTGTTTGCGCTTCGAGAATACAGCCCACTCCCACAATTTCGGCCCAGTACATCAATCACCCATCCCCATTGCGTGCACACCCTTACCTCCCACATTCTAATTTCCATTTTCCTATCTTCGTTTTCAACCTTAACAAGCCGCATCGTGCACAATAATCTTACATACACTCCGCAATAATGCCCGTAACCATCACTCAACGATAGTAACGAGCAAAAGAAGCAATTCAAAAGTAATAAAACCAAGAGGATCGACAAATTTAGATATTCCGCATCCCATAGAAACCCAGTACAACTATAATGTCATACTTTTTCGAATCTTGCCAATTCAAGTCTCTCCCCAATTTCCTTCATGGCTGACTCTAATCTCGCACGTGGGAGACAGGAAGTTTGAGGCTATCTATAATCGACCAGGTGCCAATTTTTCACTTCTGCTGCTTTTTCTCAGCTCTCATTGACCATGAAGTTCGGAGAGCATTTAAGAAAGGCTCTCATCAAGAATTATAGTTTCTACTACATTGCATACGATGACTTGAAGCATCAATTGAAAAAACGCTTGAAAGACAACGACTATGAGTGGACCAACGAGTTCGAGGAAGAGTTCTTGGCCTCGTTGGAGACCGAGTTGGACAAGGTGTACTCGTTCACCAAGGTGAAGAATACAGAGGTCAACCGTCGTATCAAGGATGCCGAGAAGTACGTGTATGAGGTGGTGGATGCTTTACTGAACCCCAATGTCGCTAACAAGCCGCTGGAGCAGGATTTCGACGAGTTGGAGGAAGAGTTGTCTGATATCATTGCTGATGTCCATGACTTGGCCAAGTTTACCAGATTGAACTACACAGGTTTTCAAAAGATTTTGAAGAAGCACGACAAAACAACCAAGTTCTCCTTGAAGCCTATCTTCCAAGTCAGATTGAATGCTAAACCTTTCTACAAGGATAACTACGACAAGTTGATTGTCAAGTTGTCCAAATTGTACGATTTGGTCAGAACTAGAGGCAATCCAGTGAAAGGAGATTCATCTGCTGGAGGTTCTCAACAGAATTTCGTTAGACAGACCACTAAGTATTGGGTGCACCCTGACAACATCACCGAGTTGAAGTTGATCATCTTGAAGCACTTGCCAGTGTTGGTTTTCAATGCCGATAAGGAGTTCGAGGCCGAGGACTCGGCAATTACCTCCATTTACTTTGACAACAAGGAAATGGACTTATACTATGGAAGATTGAGAAAAGACGAAGGTGCTGAGGCCATCCGTTTGAGATGGTACGGTGGCATGAAATCAGACACTATTTTTGTGGAGAGAAAGACTCACAGAGAGGACTGGACAGGTGAAAAGTCCGTCAAGGCCAGATTCGCCTTGAAGGAGAAGAAGGTCAACAATTTCTTATCTGGTGAGTTCACTGCCACTCAAGCCTTTGAGAAGATGAGAAAGGATGGCAAGAAGCTGCCACAAGAAATTGATAATTTAGAGTCCTTGGCCAAGGAAGTCCAGTATGCTATTCTCAAACACAAGTACCGTCCTGTGATGAGATCGTTCTACAACAGAACTGCTTTCCAGTTGCCTGGTGATGCCAGAGTGCGTATTTCTTTGGACACTGAATTGTCTATGATCAGAGAAGACAACTTTGATGGCTACGATAGAACTAACGGTAATTGGAGAAGAATGGATATTGGTGTGGACTTCCCATTTTCCCAATTGCCAGAGAAGGATATTTGCAGATTTCCATACGCTGTTTTGGAAGTCAAGTTGCAGACTCAATTGGGCCAGGAGCCACCAGTGTGGGTTAGAGACTTGGTCACTAGTCACTTGGTTGAGGCTGTCCCTAAGTACTCCAAGTTTATCCACGGAGGTGCCACTCTTTTGACCGACAGAGTTAATTTGTTACCTTTCTGGTACCCCCAGATGGATGTGGATATCAGAAAACCAAAGGTGGAACAGGGTTATGGTATTTCCAGACAACAACACAAGGCGAAGTCTTCCTCATCTGGTGGAGAGTTGGATGAGGAGGAAATGTTACTGGAGGAATTCAGCAGATATTCCTCAGTTCATTTTTCCAATGACATCAACCCTTTGGAGGAAGATTTGGACGAAAGTTCACCATTGTTGTTGCCATCCAATTACGGATCCAGAACGGGCAACTCTCCAGTGTCCACTTATTTCTTGCATTTGTACGGGAAATTCTTGCACTTCTTCAACGATGACCGTACTTTTACCATTAAGCCGGGAACTAACTATGACTTGAACGCAACTTTTGCCTCAAAGCTTCCAAAGAACAAAACCATTTGCACACCAGTGAGAATTGAGCCCAAGGTTTACCTTGCTGCTGAGCGTACCTTCTTGAGTTGGTTGTCAATTGGAATGATTCTTGGTGCCACCGCTACTACCTTGCTTAACTATGGTAACAAATCTGCGTTGGTAGCTTCCATTGGTTTCTTTATTTCTGCATTGTTTACTATGGCTTACTCCGTGTACAAGTACATCAGAAGAACTCTCGCTATTAGAGAGAGAAAGACTACCGAATACGCGGACAAGTTTGGTCCAAACATGATTTGTGTTTTGATTGCTGCTTCGACGTTTGCAACATTTTTGTTCAAGTTCATTGAAAATTAAATCCCCTACCTTTGTCAAATAAATCATGATATTGAAATATTTGCTAGATGCAATATGTATATGTATGTTCATCACTTAGATGCCTTTTAGACGGTCGTCGATAATCTGGTCAACATCTTCATCTTTGTACATTACTTCCTTCTTCTTCTGGAGCCTTCTGCCTAGCATACCAATTACTCCGCTCTTCTTTACCTTAACCTTAGCACCACTGGGCAAGATTTCATACCCAGCAAGATCTGGATACTCAAAGTCGGAATCCTTGATCACAACACCATCACTACTGGGTGGTAATTCGGTCTCAAGGGGATTAGTTCCTGCGCGCTTTCTATAAATGGCCGACCCGAGGTTTTCATCTTCAACTGCCTCAGCAATATCTGATTCAGAAGTCATGCCAAATAATCGGTGGAACAAACCTAAAAGTCTGCTTCGGGTTGTTGAGGAGTCTCTAGTGAAGGTCCAGCCTTGTTGTAATTCAGTAAATGCGTTATGCTCAAACACTCTTCTCATTTGAGTGTCCGTTTCAAACATTTGGAACAACTCAACATCATTAGGCACAAACATAAACTTGAAAACCTTAACGAATAGGTCAAATAACAACAATAACGTGAACAATAATAGAACGTCCGCCCACCATGAGATATCCGCACCAAATTGGAGAAGACCATAAGCAGCATAATAGATAGCATGCTCTCCACTTCTGTATAGCATCATGATGAGGACGTTCCACAATCCGTAACCAAGAACGGAAATGAGAAAGGATGCAAATGCCAACCACTGCTTGTTACGCATCTCAAGGAAAAGGATCTTGCCATTGATGACGATTACAAGCGCCCAAAATACAGCTGTCCCCAATGGTAGGAGACTGTTGTCCTTCAATGCAGAGAAGCCCCATGTGAAAAACGCAACAAATGAAATGGCCACACTTTGGAATGCAGCAAGAACCATCCAATAAAGGAAGATCCTTAAGTTGAAAGCCCTATACAAACGACCGGTGGAATACAATTCGGGTACAGCAATCAAAGTGGCCGGTCTTAGATCTTTGTCAAACATTCCAATACAAATCACCGCTAATGATGTGAAAAGAGTGTTAAACATCGACAAAGACCAGCTTTCGTACATAGAAGTACCTGTGAATAGAGTGTATCTTTGGTAAACACATTGGGTCAAGTAGAACAACAACTCCTTGTAAAACGTACACAAAACAAACTTTGAAGTTCTAACATAGTTGTAACGGCCATTTACCAACAATAGCTTGATCAAGAACCTGAACTGGGCAATCGCATAATCTGCAGATCTTGCAGCTTGTAATCCTTCCTTTCCCGTTATTCCTACTCCAATATCAGCACTTTGAATCATTGCGATATCATTGGCTCCATCACCGATAGCAAGAGTAACATCCTTCTTCTTAATTTTCCTGACCGCATTGATCATATTTGCCTTCTGCGAGGGAGAGGCTCTGCAGCAAATTGCAGAGTCTGCATCAATACAGAGGTCAATGAAGATGGAGAACATAGTCGGATCGCCCTCAATTTCAGTCAAGGTTCCACCATCAATAACTACAACACAATGAGCAATATGGCCAGCCTTGACTTCACGGCAAGTTTCCGAAATTCTCTGTGCGAGCTTCTCACTTCCTTCGTCGTAAGAAAGAATCACAACTGTAGAATAATCTTTGATAAGACGACAGGAGTATCCAATGTTGATCGCGGTTTCACGCTTATCTCCAGTAAGCATCCACATCTTGATGCCTGCTCTTCTCAACTTCTCGATGGCTTCACTGACACCTTCTTGCAACTTATCCTCAATTGCAGTTGCTCCCAAAAGTTGAAAATTGTGTTCAATTTTCTCTCCCACTTGTTCAAGCTTTTTGGAACGATCCACCAATGCAATTTTGGCTTCCTTATATTCTTCAGCCCAAGTTGCATATTCCGTCTTATCCAACCACCTGAAAGAGTACAACAAAGTACGAAGGCCCTCAGTGGAAAATTCCTCAATGTGTTCTAATGTCTTTTCAATCAAGAACTCATCATTAACCAAAAGCTTATCATTTGGGATAAAGCTTTCTGGAAGCTGTCCCTCCTGGGAACTTCCCCCTTCCAAACTGTATCGCATAGCTTGCTGGTTGTGCAAAGATTTTCTGACCTTATCTGCTATGTCATTTATATCTTGGTCTTCTTTGGCAACCATTCCGTCCAAAGAGCCAAGCCGTTGTGCAATGTCAATACTGTTTCTCAATGACCCTGTGGAATTTCTAGATTCAAGCTCAGAAGAAAGCCTAGCTTGAAGTATGACTTCTGCTTCCATCGTTTTTCGATCAGCAGAACTTAAGGATATTTCCTTCGCCTTTTGTTTGGCTATTTCAGAATCCTTGAGTTTCTCCAAGATAATATTGTCAGCACCTTTGCAAAAGATACCAATACGCGAGTCAGGGAATTTGACCACTATAGACATTCTCTTTCTAACGGAAGTGAACTCAATCACATCCAAAACTTCATAGTCCTCTATTTTAGCGGCTTCTCCAAATCCGTTGGGATAGGTTTTCACTTTCAATATGCCATGCTGCTTATCAAGCACGATAAACCCCAAATCTCGAGCGGCTTGCACAAGAGCAAGTTCATCAGGGGAAGCTGCCTGGTACACAATGCTGGAATCAATATCGATATCAGAAGGATCTTCCTCTTCGTAATCATTCAATGAATATGTAGAAGTGTTGGTGCTTGCACCTTTTGATTCACTTCTTGGTTGACATGTATGACACAATGCTATGCTCAATAGGAAGAAAGTTGCCTTTTTCGCGAATAAGGTCTGTGGGTGCAGTTGAATATACTTGAGCAAGTATAACGATGTTGGAGAACTCTGAGCCTTCAATGGATTTGCGGTAGATTTCCACGTGGTCTGGGAACGTACAGACCGCAATTCAAGACTTTCTCGCACAACTGAGGTAGTGCTATGAGTTGGAGACAAAGTATTGACAGCAGGGAAAGGTTCAGTGGAAGGTTCCAATAAATTGTCACCAAAATGAGGGTCTTGGCGGCCCTTGGCGATGAGGTCAATCTCATGAATCCAATTGGATCCGCAAACACTGAACTTACGGAAAACCATCTTGTTATCTGTCAAAGTTCCTGTCTTATCACTGAAAATGTAAGAAACCTGTCCAAGTTCCTCTAAGATCGTTGCTGTTTTAGCATCTGCTGGAGTGTTCGACTCGACATGGTACATATCGATGTCAAATTGTAAGAAAAGAAGCTGCATCACCTTGATGATTTCCATCGTCACATAAAGCGATAATGGAATCAATGTATTATACATGATAATAAAGCCCATAAATGTGGCAGCAGTGCCCGCATCCTGACCATACATATACCACATCTTGTCAACGTTTTTGTTATAAAATAAGCGTTGGGCCATCAAGGAAAATGCAGAAAGAGACAAAACGACGAACACCATGAAAATGACGATATAATTGATATTCTTTTGAAGCTTAGGAGCCTTTGTACGAGGGTTCCGAAGATTATTCATGCGAATTTTCGTCTCTTCTCCCGTGAACACAACCAAACCCAAAATCGAACGGGTGTTTCGTAAGATGCTGCCTCTATAGATGATATTGTCCGAGCCCAATGCATAATCCTGACCGTTCATAGAAAAATGGCCCTCAAAGTTGTACAAATCAGGATTAGGGTCCTCTACCGTCACTAAAGAGTGGATGTTTTTTAAGGAAACAACTTTTGTTGCCTGCTTCGACAATTCTGGGTGGGCAAACTTCGATTTGAGGTTTGTTTCTCCGTCAAGTGCCATGGTTTCGACGTATGCCTCGGTGTCGGTGCTGTCGACTGCCAAAAGAACAATATCCGCTGGTACCCAGTCACCATCCGATAAATGAAGAATGTCACCTACCTTGACGTCCTTCCATTTGGTCTTGTACAGCTCCAAGTTGTATCTGCTCATAAGACTGGCATTCAGAAAGATATTCCTCACTCCATCTACCAATGATGCTGTAGAAGATGTAGGGGCGTCTTCTTCTTCTCCAACAGGTATTGTTTCTGTCATGATGGTGGTGATGGAGTGAGTATCGTAAACTGCCATCTCGGTATCCTCCCGAATAACTCGTGTTTGTTTGTTGTTCTCTTCCTTATCGTGGCCATGACGTTTCCAGTCATCGTACCCTTCACGTGCCATGGAAATGGAAATGAAAATCAAAAGTGGAACTATTGTGGTGTACTTACCCGTCGTAGACCACGAGGGGATCATCTGCATGATGGCAACCACCATAAAGTAGCAATTGGCAATCTTGGAGAATTGTGCCCGGAGCTGTTTAGGTAGAAATGTGTATAAGTTGTACTTTGAAGACGTGATGCTGTTAGAAATGTAGCCATCTCCCGTGCGTTCGTCAATATACTGGTGTGAACTGGAACTGTAAAACTCGTCATGAAAGAGCAGGTTAGCCAGTTCCTTGGCAACACAGAGTGGAATTACACGTCCGCATTCGGTCCTTCCAATATCGTCAGAGCCAAAGATCTTGTCTTTGATGCGGTTAAGGTTGGCCCTGAACGTACCTCTTGTGCGCCGGCGGGAGAAGAGTCGTCTCGATCGAGGAGTATCGAATGAACTTTCCCTACTGCTGTAGCTCGATCCTGCGGTAAGGTGAGTGGTGCTTCGAGAAACTCCCACAGAATTGTATGTGTAGACATCTCCTTTAGTTTCTGGATAGAATGCACCTGGTTGATCCAGGTCTTCCAAGTCATCGACGGTGATTTCTGGAGGAGGAGGCATCGATGGACTTCGATCGCGAACAGGAAGATTACCAAGTTCTATAGGGGTAGACAGTGACGGAGGAGGCGATGGAGACAGCAGGGCCATGAAAGCCTTGTTAAAAAGTTGAGATCTGAGCGAGAGACCTCTTTTCCGTCGAGTTTTCGGCGACGAGGTCTCTGGCGGAGCCAAATGATCTGGAGAAGCTTGAGACATGTTGGGTTGCCAAAATGAGAGTTAATGGGACAAACACAATGGGCACAACGCTGTGTAATGTCCAACTTTTTTGTTGTCAATGCACCAGGAAGTAGGGTTAGAATCGGCCAGCCAAATTGGTGATCACAAGGTCAAATTGGTACGTCTTATGGCTGAGTCTCGTAGGTGCAGGTGCTAGACTCAGATCAGGTTGATTAAGGGCACTGGAGAGAGAACACACAGGCTGGAGGACACAGGAAGAAAGACAGTTGAGTGGGGAAAAAAAAGCTTGAAGTAGTGTAGAAAGAGTTTCTAGAGTTTGCAATTTGAGGGATGGTTGAGTATGAGTTCTGGTTCACAAAGGTTGGATGGGCTGATTTGAAGGTACTGAGAATGGAAATACACAAATGGTGTATGACAACTAAGATTCCTTGGATTTTATGTGACTTGTTGGGCTGTGAATTGCTTTGAGACGACAGTAAGTTGGCTGAGAAATTCAACTGTGATTCCCCCATTTGGTCCAGTTTTATAATTGATTTTTTTTCTTTTGAGATTTGATCGTCAACGGGCGATCACGTTGTGCGTGCATACCTACTTTTGGCACTTTTGGCTGCGAATGGAAGTGGAACTATTAGTTAGTGTTTTTTTGACATAAATTATTCTTTCTAAGAACCCATTGGTAAACTTTGTACCATTAGAATTAAATGATCATACGAGTTGACAAATGTTTCTGGTAAGCTTTATAACGGTTTTCTTTTTTATTATTATGTGCGTTGTTACCAATCCCCTGCGTGTCACTTTCGCCCATAGACCACGATTATAAAACATTAGATATCGAGAAGGTGTCTCAGTCAACAGCCTCATTATTCTATGGTGATGTGTCTACGTTGTGTTTACTGGGATACCCGCTACATTCTCGTTTCTATGTGGTCTGAGATTCTACTGCATTTTAAATCTGCCAATGGCTTCACGACTTTTCCCTCACCTTGTCGTTACAACAAACTTCCATATCAGCTCACTGAGTTTCCCGAGGGGGAACAATGTCTACGGTCCAAATATGTTAATGCCCAAAATTTCAACATACCACGACCAAGCGACCGTGAATTAACGTTCGAATCCAATAACGTAATCATGTCAACAGTCACATCGAGCATTGTCAACTTCGACCGTATGGCCACGCTTTTTTGACTATTTAATCTTATCGGAATGCTAAGGATCTGAACAGGGCCATTCTTTTGCACAAAGTAGACCCCGTTCAACTTCCACGCTTTCTCTGGAATAATTTTTTTCATTCTATTCTTTCGTTAGTAATGGTGGGGAAAGATGAAAACCCGAGATTACTCCACCTCTGCCAAACATACCCCTTAAACATTGATGCTTGCAACTTCTCACAGAGACATATAAGTCATCAACGGACGTTTTCAGTTAAAGATTTTCAAATTGCGAGATAATCATTGTCAACGTTGACCTCCCTAACGAATGCTAAAGTGGTATTGCAGAAATTCAGCAAAAAATCTTATGTTGCTAACATCGCAAAAATCCCTTACAAGGTTTACGAAAACGAACCAAATTCTATTACTCTCCTCTAGTGACCACCCCTCATCGCTTTCCCATCGTCTTATTTCCCCTGTGGCTAAAAAGGTCAATTGATTATCGTCTCCGACATCGGACTTCATTCCGCAAACCTCACTTTCTTCCCGCCATCAACAACTTCTTCTATGCTCCTAGCGTCGCCCTAATTTTTCCAATGCAATAATCCTTGTACTCCTCGACATATCCCTGGTGGTTGACCTCCACCTCTCCCGTTAACTCCGAGACAATTTCGCCATTTCCAGCAACAAGAACCATTCCCCTGGGCATTTGCGTGAGATCTGGAAATGCCTCAATGAGATGATCGTCGAAGATCAAGGAGGTTAAATTGTTAGCAACCTGTCGTCCCATATAAAGAGCCCAACCGGCGGACTTGATGATGGGAACTTCCACCAAGTCACCGATGCAAAAAACATTCTTCACAAGGTGATGATTCTCAGGATGGAAGAGCTGAAGGTACTCATTAACGTAGATATTGTTTTTGGGAGACACAAAACTCTCAAATGAATCGGCAAAGATATTGGTGTTGTTCTGGAATGACGTGCACCAATATGTGAAGTCAGTTTTAATGGACCCACCGGTGGTAAATTCGATACGTTTGAGGTCCCCAGTCTTCTTCACTCTCAACCCAGTCATAACATTCACCTTTGCTCTTTCGAGAGAGTCTCGAATTGCCTCTCTAAATTTTTCGGTTAACGGCTCCGGTGGAAAGGAGTCATGGGGATGGATTAGGTTGACCACTTTTTCAGGATATTTTGTTTTGACATCTCCGGCGATTTCGATTCCCACGGCACCTGCTCCAACAACTGTAACAATATTGCACTTTTCAACATTTTCGTTGAACTCTACCATTTCTTTCATGTAGCTCTCGTAGTTGTAGGCTACGGGTGACGTAGGCCAGCTTCTATTTCTTCCACAAGCGGCGACAACATAATCATAATCTATCTTGCAAATATTTCTGCTGTCTCCGTTTAAGTGATACTCAGCCCGGGATTCATTAAACCCCGTCACAACACCCTGGACAAATGTAATCTCAATGAAGTTGTTGTTGTTGGGCGAAATGTGTTGACCGAGATTTTCAAGAACATATTTGTCATTTGAAACCAAACAATCGAATCGAATATCATTTAGGTTCTGAAATTGAATATATTGGGTCTTTGCAAACTCTGTGTCAACAATGGAACGAGGAATGCCCAAAATGTTCAAAAGCCCGGCTCTCGGCTCAATCATGGTGACTTTGAGCTTTTGTGGACTGGCTCTTTCGATGAAATGGTTTTTTAATGCAACTAAAGCAGAAAGTCCCGCGTAAGAACCCCCAATAATGAGAATATCGGTTGAAAAGTCCAATGGACTTCTATTGATCGATTGGAGAGAATTCTTCAATGTTCGTACCAGCATTGCAAAAGGGTAACAGTAATATAAAGATATCGACTTTCACAGCCTAGCCACAGTCCAGTTTTTTATACTCGAGCACCTGTCAAACTATGCGAAAGGAAGTGTGATACATCCACAGAAGCAGTACGAAAAAATTTATCACCGATATCGCTGAATGCTAACTCCACGCGGCAATTTATCAAATCCATCTGCGTTTGGAATGGCTCGTAAAGTGCAGTGCCAGGCCGAGAATTTGTCGCAGTGGGTCAGGAATGGCAGCACTAGACAGCGGAAAACAAGCAAAATACACCAAAAACAGCCACTCCCTTCACCCGGTTGCCTCGGATCGAGTAGATCAGTTATTAAGTGACCCTATCACAAGATGACATTCTTCGGAGCTAAATGGAATACGACTCCGAACCGGATACTACCACTCCAAACTATATAAACGCATGCAGGATAATAAACACGACTATGGTTCAACCTTATACAAGTATAGTAGAAGGCAGTTTCTGTGTCAAAATACTCATTCAAAAGGGAGCCGCGAGAAACTTTGTCATAGGGTCCCGAAAGTGTAGATCGAACCATCAATAGGTGCAGGTTAGAAGTTGGATCCATTGTACATGATGATGAGCATTGATTGTGAGTACAGAATTCGGAATTTGCCATCAGCTAACTGCCGAAGAGTGGTGACCGACAGACGATCGCCCAAAATCATACGCAGTGTATGATCGTTGAATGCATGATTATTGGCGGTGATTGGTGGGACAGTCCAAGAATGGCGAACTGGCAGCGTCGGAGTCATTATGATCGGTGGGTGGGGTGGCTGCGTGGGCCCCATCTTCTGGTTTACTTAGCTGAACAGTCTCGGTGACAAATCCATCATAATTAGTCGACTCTTCAAATCCTCTCGTAGACTCGTCGTCCAGCTGGAAGTTGTGTGCGGCCTCATTGAACATTCCGAGAACTTCCTTTGTAGTCATTCGAGAAAACATGGTCATGGTTGGCGAATTTGATTGTTGGGTCGTGTCTTCATCTCGAAGGGGAATCGTTAATGTCTGCGTGAATTCCTTTTCATCTCTAGATTGGACATTTCGTTCCGATTCCGCCATCTGTTCTCGATCCGGCTTTGTTTGGCCATCGAGCATGTTTTTGGAAGAAGAAAACTTTCTTCTTAGTGCAAGAATCTCAGAAAAACAATATTCTTCGCCTTTAGATGGATATACAAGGTCCAAATTAACCATCACCCTTTCTGCTGGCTTCCCTGGTTGGCGCACAATCGAACAATAGCCGTCCAGATCGTTAACTACTTCGAAATCAATCTTGGGCTCACGCTGCTCATCGTCGTCTCGGAAAACTTGAAACTTGGCGGGTTGCTTCTCCGTATCGATCTTCTGCTTGTAAATCTCTCCAGCCCAGGGTCGCGCGGCTATACTGTTTTCTTTCTTTCTGGATGCAATTGTTCCAAGCCGAGCTGCTGGGTCCGAGACAAATACCGTATCCTTGAGCGTAGGGCTTTTCTCGTCCTTAAATACCAGAATTTTCTGTTTTTTGGTTATGGGTTTATCTGTCACCGGAGAAGACGACATTCGTACCGCCGATAGTAGCGCTCTCATATTTGAGCGGCCATCCGCCTCAGGTGCGTTTGTCCGGGCCTTGAATTGGTCAAAGTTTCGTATGAGACGAGGCTGTGGACGAGCATTTCTCTCCAAACCTATCTCGTAAACCTCGCGAGCATCTGCAACCAGGCCCTTTGTCTCCAAGAAGCGAGCAAACTCCTCGTAGAAGAGAGCCAATTGCACGCCTATGTCCTTCTTCGCCAAGTATACGAATATGTCTCGGGGCAGATCTGAATACCCAGCATACTCTAGCCACACTTTCAAGTACCGGGGGTCATTCTTGTAGTAGACGGTATCTCTGAAATTGGAAGTGCATCTTTCAAGCAATTTGAGGAGGCCACTATCGATATTACTTCCCTGTGGATAGTGATTGTGCGTCCATTCGATGTAGTCGATGTAAACCTGAAGAGGGTCATCATGCTCATCAGAAACGAGGTTGTTCTCGAACTCCTCCCGCTGTTTGGCTATCGTGAGGCGTCCTTTCTTTTCTGAAAATGCTGCTCCGAGCTTCAGGGCTGGCCTTCCGCTGCAAAGCGGTTGAATGTTCTCTTTGTGATGATCCAAAACATGAGCATCCATGGTGTTTCCAAATCAGTGGACAACGTGAAGAAGTTGTGCTGTCGAAGGTTTCTGAGGCGGTACCAGGTGAGTGAACGTGAAGGAATCGGTACGTGGAGGACTGGTGTTGGTGGTGTTTAGCTAGTTTTTAGTGGTCCAGTCAGGGTGAAGTAGTATTGTAGTTTATGTAGGCGTTATTTTGGTGATCCTAAGTACGCGCACTGTGAGATGAATAAGAAAGAGCACTAAAGAGAATGAGAAAATTATTATTGCAAAAAACGCTTTTCAAGAGGTAATATCAAATTTATATTTGAATAATCAACCTAAGTTCGAATTGAGAAATACCCGATAACCTAAAAACAAAGCTCCTATAGATTTCTTTCATACTCCCACCAGTCCCACCTTCTCCTGCACACCGCTCCAACCACCAGGTGTCTATTCATTTCTCATACTCGACTACTAACTCAACTAGGCAGTTACCATCACTCTATGCGGCTCTTTTCGCTTCTTGCAATTGCGTCGCTTGCTGCTGCCGGTTCCGACTACTCGGAATCGCTTGGGTTTCGCCCATTGGCCAGAAACAAACTATTGGCATCTTTCCAGTTTGAGGCTCTTCTGGTGCCATATCCGTTAGAATATGTCAATGCATCTCTACCAGTTGATCATGGGCCTCGCCACTATGGAAAATTTCCCAAGGCGCTAGAACCGGTTGTCCGTGCCACAAACACGAGAGACTTGCACTTGAGATTCACTCAAGGTTGGTGGGACGCCGAGAGCTGGGGTAAATTGCCTGCCAACGGCAGCGTGACCGGAGGAACCGGTGTGGAGTTGTGGGCGTCTATTGAAGCATCTAGTATTGACGAGGCCAGGGCAAATTGGCTCCGCTTAGCTGAGTCGCTTTCGGGTTTTTTCTGTGCGCTGTTAAACTTCGTCAACAGCGCTATCACCACATTCCCACGCCATGAATCTATGATTGAGAGCGGGTACGTGGCTTCAGCAAACAACAGCATATACTTGATGCGTGCTGCGCTCCCGGATGAACCCATTTGCACTGAAAACTTGACTCCGTTCTTGAAGATGCTTCCCACTAGAGGTAAGGCTGGAATTGCCTCGCTCTTGGATGGCCACAAGCTCTACGACTCGCTTTGGCACTCTATGAGCATTGATTTATCGACAGAGTGTGGTGACGATGGCTGTCACTTGCGTTTACACCAAAACATCCACCAAATCGTTGATGTTATGCGTCTGATCCGTCGTAAGACGGGCGGGGGTATCCCGAAACCTGTGCTGGGTGATGACCTCAGATGCGACGAGACAAAACAAAAGGATGCGTGGACCTGTTTCCCTTTGGGTGATGAGACCGAGATTGAGTGGGATATCGAAAGTATATTTGGCCGTCCAATCAAAGGGCCCGGCTTTGAGGACTCGCTGAGTTTAAGTGTGATTCACTTCGATACAAACAGAGAGTTCTGGAAGGTCCAGGTCCACAAAATAAGACCCGACAATACCGTTATCATGCATGACGTCGATAATCAGTATGTGTTGGAGGAGCCTCTTATGTTCAACTTCAACTTCAAGTCCAGGGACTCCCGTCAGGTTCAGCAAGTCGAGCGCCCGCCTGTGGCAGTTTCCCGCTCATTGACTGGCTACTCGCAAGATAGAGGTGGAATTAGAGTTAAGTTTCAGAATCCTTCTGATTCCGAGTCTGTTTCTGTTCTTTACTCGGAAACCTTACCTTGGTTTATGAGAGTATACTTGCACACACTAGAGGTATCTGGATCCGGCCTTATTGACTCGCAATTCTACATTCCTGCCATCGACCGTGTGAGACCGGGCTACCTAGAGCTAGAGGTGACATTGCCACCTGGAGGGGCTCTCACGTTTACATACCAGTTCGACAAGTCTCTCTTGTTGTATGCTGAGTATCCTCCCGATGCCAACCATGGGTTCTCCATTGATCCTGCGGTTGTGAAGGTAGTCGATGCAGATAATGAGGTTGTGTACCAGTTGCGCACGGCCAGTTTGCTTCTCACACTTCCTACTCCGGATTTCTCCATGCCATATAATGTGATTATTTTAACATGTACGGTCATGTCGCTTGCATTTGGAACGGTTTTCAATTTGTTGACGAAGAAAGTCATTACTGAGGAAGAATTTGAGGAGATTTCCAAGAATCTGAAGCTTTCTAAATTCAAGGCGAAGATCCAGAGTATCAAGGCCAAAATCAAGGGTACATAGGAAAGTCGAGGACAAAATAAAAGAAATGAATACTATGAAGCCTCTCTAAAACATGAATCCGAATATTGGCTCTTGCAGAAAAAAAAAAATAACAAGCACAACGTCATAGAAGGTTTGATTTAATATTGCAATTCAAGCCATTTCGCAGCCAACTCTCTAAAGTCATGCAGTCACGCGCCGGTTGTCGCCTGTTCCTTCCGTTCTCGGGGCCCGACCCGGAATTCGATCAGCATAAAAACCAACCCACCCCCACAAATCAAAAAACAAAAAAAATTCTTCGTCTGTTCTAGGTACCGTTTACCTTATCAGATTATCTTTCCATCCTGGCAGCATGTTCGAAGACACTATTCCTCATGACGAGAACGTCATGACCACTGCTCTTGGAAACTCTGAAGATATTTTCAACCTACGGCCTGTGGTCGCTTCTACATTAGAACAAACGCTTTCAAAAGACTCGGATGTCTTCCGCTATAATTATGGACGACTTAACGGTATGGTCCCTGAGCGTTCTGCCTATTTCTCGCTGGTATACCCCAAAAAGGCTACAAATCTAGATACTGACTTCCACCATCTAAGTTTCGATGTGGATATCTTGACGAGGTGGATCTCGCGTGATGTGTTGAAGTTTTTGGTTCCCATCTTGCATTTTCAGGACATGCAGTTGGAAAGAATGGAGAAGCGAGCTGCCGCATTAACGGCCAAGCCCGTCCCAACCACCCAGGAACTACAACTTTGTAGTAAATTGAAGGGAGCAGGATATTGGAGCAGGAAGGGCAATTGGTTCTGTACGACGAAAAATGTGTCGAAGTTACATGACGAGTTCGGTCCAAAATGTTTCAATTCTTACAGTGAGTGGGCTGCCTGGGAGCAGAAGATAACTTCTGGTATTAATGATGCTAGAAATGCTGACGATCGTGACATGTTGCAAAAGTTGAGGCAAGCTCGGTATGTGCGGTGGAACGAGTAATATTTATTGGGAAGGACTCTGGGAATAGCTACTGTAGATAGGCATGTGTTGTTGTGATTACTTGTTAATATTGAGAGGACAATATTGTATAGTTGTGGTTTCGAGCATTGTAGTAAAGTGAAGGAGGTTTGTAAGATATCGAATATAACGTCGACGAGGTGAAATTACTCAATTTGGAAAGTTGACTCTTTAAAATGAATTGAACTATAAATTAAAAGAGTGAAAATCCGGCATTGCATGTCTGTCTCAAACGTCTTTTATCACTGTGGCTCTCAATGTTATCAGGTAAACATTTAAATTTGGCAATGACTGTGTACTGTTGACAGTTACTACCTAATAAACTCTGGTGACATTTACTGACAGCAAACTCAAATCGATTCGAAAGTTACGGAAAGGATGGCAAGGCTGAAATATTAGAAAATGAATAACATCAAAGATAGTGCTGGAAGGACTTGAAAAATGACCTCAAAAAGCATACATGCTCTGATTGGTTCACAAGCCATTTGAATCAGCTGGTAAGCAACAATGATGATTCTTAATTTATAAGGAGTGGATTAAAAGAAAAAAGATGTCTAATTAACCGAAATTTTGGCAGATCATGTTCAGAAAACATTGAACTGAGCAAACCGCACTAAGCTAAGATTTCAACAGTTGCCTGGTTAGCTCAATCGGTAGAGCATTTGACTCTTAATCTTTATAAGGTCAATCAAAAGGTTGCGGGTTCGAGCCCCGCATCGGGCTTTCTGTTCGCCTGGTTAGCTCAATCGGTAGAGCATTTGACTCTTAATCTTCATAAGGTCAATCAAAAGGTTGCGGGTTCGAGCCCCGCATCGGGCTTAGTTTTTTTTTCCATTTTCAGTCTCACGATACTATCTGACCTGTTCTTCAGGTTCTCAGATCCTTGTGATGGAAAACATACTTTTTTTTCTAGGTCTTTTGACTTGTATTAAAATGGATCTTCGTATGGATCTTCTTCATCGTAATCATCATCTTTTTCGAACTCATACACAATGGCTCCCCCATACTTTCCCATCTCTGTTTGAGCCTCCATGAATGGCAATTCAACCTGTTCACGTGCCAACTTCTGCTTGGAGCTAGTGGTTAAGTTGAAAGTGGTGAGGCTCTTCAACATTTCCTCATCTTCCTCAACTTCATTGTCTTCCTGGACCTTATAGATTCCATACTCATGCTTGGTAGTATCCAATATGTAATTGTAAGTCAAAGACTTACCTGATTTGCGCCGGTTGGTCAAGGTCAACTTGAAAGTTGGCTGATTGAGATTCTCATTCACAGAGAACTGGAACTTTTGAAGCTTATTGTCAACCTCTTCTTCGTCTTCGATCTTCACGGGCTCCAACTCATAGATAGCCTGTGCAATGTATGACAAAAGTGCTTGTGTGCTTGGATATCCGGTCCTAGACACTGTAGGTACTCCAGTATGGTAGACTCCCACTACAGTAACCTGCAGCAGAACTATAGATGATACAAATGACGCAGCTTGATCGGCCTCAATATAATTGAGCGAGTCGACAATGACCAACAGCTTCTGTCCATTGACAACATTTGCTTGTACAAACTTTTGAATCTGCAGTGGAGAAACTTGTGAACAATCTAGGAAGCTTGATGCGTATGAAGGTTGGGACAGGGCCTCGAAGGATAGGTATATGACTGGCGCTGCAGAGCAATGGACAAACTCTTCAATTAAGTAATGTGATGTCTGGCGAAGTGAGTCCAAAATCAAGCAGAATGGAGAGTTTTCTCGAAGACCGAGATGTCTGTTGAGTAGCACTAATGCCAGTTGTGATGCCATAATGAGAGTCAAATTTGAAGTGTGAAGACGACCACAAGTAAATCGTTCTTATAGACTAATTTTGAATGCCAGTAATGAATTTAAACTTTAACCACTGAACAAGATCAGGTTCACTACTGTTAAATCGATACAGTCCCCAGTATCACCAAAAGTCGAGATGGCCCCAAGTACACTACATACACTACATACACTACCTACAACATCTCCATATACGCATTACATCTTATTAACCAAAAAGTTCATAGGGATGTCAAGGAGAAATCTCACTGGGTCGTACACGGCTCCAGCACATTTGGTGGAGGTAGAGGAAGAGCCACAGAATAACCACATCATTACCAAAAATGACTACAACAGTCAGAGATTCAACCGAACTCTAGACATGGAAGTCAAAAGCTACAAGGAACGAATGCAGGAGAATATCCTCAGAAAGGAAGACCAGAGAGTGACGCAGTTAGTGGAGAAGAAGAAGAAGCTGGAGTTAGCTGAGACTGAGCCACCAAGAAAGAAGCTACGCAATGGAGAAGATCCATATATTGGGAACAAAGAAAGCACTCACAACGAAAGTGGCAACAACAGCGAGCAAGAAGACAAGGAGAGGGACAACGACGTACTGAAAGGGAATGAGACAGAGAAGTCTATGCTACCGACAACTGAAAAGGAGGATCGGAACACAATGGCCAACGTGCCAGTAATTGGAGGCATACCTCTCACAGATGACTTTCTAGACAAAATATTTCCAAAGGGTTTCGTCAAGGCTCCAGTTCCCGAGGGATACACCCAGAAAACGTCCGAGGCTTCTCAAGTGGACTTGTACGTGATGCCTGATAGTCGAGGCATGGAAGCACATCTTATCAATGATACACTTCCAGAGTATGAGGGCATAACGATGAGAAAAGAGGATGTTAAGCACTTCTCCATGCTTGTGAGTATAAAAGTCGAAGCACTCACTGATGCAGACGAGAAAAAACGCTTTCAGGCACTGGACCTAATATTCAGGGCAAAGAACGGTCCTCCTAACATTAGGAAAAAAGCCATGCGGAGTCTAAACTCCAACGCCAAAAGATTGGGCCCAGCTCCACTCATTGGCATTATCTTGCCATTAATGCTTGAACCTGCTCTTGATGAGGCTGATAGACACATCCTAACAAAACTATTGGGAAGATTGGTCTACCAGCTTGACGAGGAAATCAGACCATACACCCACAAGATTATATCTGCGGTGTCTCCTCTGCTTATTGACGAGGATATGACATTGAGATTGGAGTCGCGCGATGTGATCTCTACTACAGCTAGAAGTGCTGGTCTAGCCAACATCGTTTCCAGTTTGCGTCCTGACCTCGACCACTCCGACGAGTATGTCAGAAACCTCACGGCACGAGTGTTTGCAATTGTTGCAATGACTTTGGGATTGACAAAGGTTTTACCGTTTGTGAAGGCTGTAATCCGCTCCAAAAAGAGTTGGCAGGCCCGTCATACTGGTATCAGAATTGTGCACCATTTATGTATTCAGCTTGGAGGTGGAAACGGTGCACTGATACTACCATATCTCCCACAAATGGTAGATGTGTTGAAACCAGGACTTTCGGACGAATTGATTCAGGTCAGAACTGCTACGGCGAACACATTGGCTCAGATGGCGGACAGTGTGCACCCGTACGGAATTGAAGCATTCGAGCCAATTTTGGAGCCATCATGGGCTGGTCTCAAACATCACAGAGGACGTGCACTTGCTGCATTTTTGCGTTGTGTTGGTTCCATGGTTCCATTGATGGATCACGACTCGTCTTATGTGGAATATTCCAACTATTACACAAGGGAACTAATGAATGTTATGACGAGAGAATTTTCGAGTCCTGACGACGAGATGCGAAAATCATTATTGCGTGTGATGGCCCGTCTTCCGCTATCAAGAGCCATTTTTCCCAATTATCGTCGTCAGGTCATTTCTCCGTTCATTCTGAGTTTTTGGACCCGTCGAGTGGCACTGGACTCTGTGCAACTTGGTCGTTTGGTTGTGGAAGCAACTGGTCAGTTGGCTCTGAGATTTAATGTGCCATTTGTTCTTGAACAATTGACTCCATTTGCAAAAGATGCCAACGAAAATCTAAGAAGGATGGCTGCAGATGCTATCCATAAAATTGTTGCAGCTAACCCCAAATCTGTCATTGAATTCGAAACTAAGTTTGATGCTGTTCTTGTGGATGCCGTTCTTTATGCCTTGCAGGAACAGACCGAACCTCATCCAGTCTACTTGCTTGCAATTTCTACTGTCTGTAAAGCGCTCGGGCTTCGCTTAGAACCACACGTTTCTGTGATTCTCAGCACCGTCCTTTATCGACTCAAGAACAATGAGCCTTCTGTCCGCCAACAGTCTGCAGACTTAGTCTCTGGTGTTGCTCTGGTTCTTAGTGAATGTGCTCATGGTGATACTTCTGTTATGCGCAAACTTATCTTGTTCTTGTATGAGCTGTTAGGCGAAGCATATCCCGAAGTTCTTGGTTCTATTGTCGGTGCATTATATGCTTGTATCGAGACACTTGACAGAAATGAGCTTTTAATGTTGGATAACCCCTCCGTGAATATGCTTCTTCCGACTCTTACCCCAATCTTGAAGAATAGACACGAGAAAGTCCAAGAGCAGTGCATCCGTCTAGTAGGACTAATAGCAAAGAGAAACGCAGAGACTATCAATGCAAAAGAATGGATGAGAGTTTGTTTCGATCTTCTTGACATGCTCAAATCTCAGAGGAAGAGAATTCGAATTGCTGCAAATGCAACTTTTGGACATATAGCCAATACCATTGGTCCCCAAGATGTTTTGGCTATGCTTCTTAATAACTTGAGAGTACAAGAACGTCAAATGCGTGTTTGTACAGCAGTTGCAATTGGAATTGTGGCCGACACTTGCTCCCCATTCACTGTGCTTCCTGCTCTCATGAATGAGTACCGTGTTCCAGACAAGAATGTCCAGAATAGTGTGTTGAAAGCAATGAGCTTTATGTTTGAATATCTTGATGGCTCAACTACTAAAGATTACTTGTTTGCAGTGACCCCATTACTTGAGGACGCCTTGACCGATAGAGATCAAGTTCACAGACAAACAGCATCCACGGTCGTACGCCACCTTGCACTCAATTGTGCTGGAATGGCCCATGATGACTACCAGCAGGTATTTATCCATTTTTTGAATCTTGTTTTGCCTAACATCTATGAGTCGTCGCCCCATGTGATTATTCGTATGATAGAATGTTTGGATGCCTTACGTATCGTTGTGGGTCCAGGAATTTTTCTCAACTATGTATGGGCTGGACTTTTTCAGGCCGCAAGAAAAGTCAGATCCCCATACTGGAAGATCTACAATGCTGCCTACGTTCAGAATTGTGATGCCATTGTTCCGTACTATCCTCGCCTAGATACTTTGCCCCACGATCAAGGACAGTCTTACAATGTGGATGAGCTTGATGTTTGGCTCTAAATATGTCGTTCAGACATATCCAGCAGTGACTTCCCCAAACAAATATTCATCTTCCGTGTATACAATTTCACTTTCAGTTGCATTGGCTGAAGTGCTTGTGCATGGCCTTGCCACATCTTGACTTTCAGTGTAATATTGGCGAGTCACTAGCTTTGTGACCTGTCGACATTGATACTCCACTTTATCTTGATCTTCATCACAAATGCTTTCGAGCTCATTGGATGAGCTACTGGATGACACTATCCCAGGATAGCAATCCAGCATCCAGACATTATGATCTGTCTGGAACCACGGAATATTTTGCAACCAGTAATTAATTTTTTCCGAATACAGCATGTTTTTGGCAGCTCGAGAGTTGAACTCCACTGGAATGCCCACATCGGCCCTTGAACTGCCTGTCCGTGATGGTTTCATAGGGCTGGAAACATTACCTGAGACTAACCAGTAACGATCCTTACTAAAGGAGTCCTCGTTATCTTGGTACATAATTGGCGAAGAAGGAATGTATGGTTGAGAAGCAGAGCGACCAATCCCACCCAGATTTCTTAATTGGCTGAAGGCTAAGTTCATATACGAATGGGTGCAAATTTGAAAAGGTGAGTGTTCCTCCACAAATGGTTGTCGCAAATTACATAGTTTATCTAGACCTACATAATAGAGATCATCTGCACATCACGAATACATTACTTCACAAATCCAATACCTGAGTCATGGGAGTGAATTCTCTCTGGGATATAGTAGGACCCGCTGCTCGACCCGTGAAGCTCGAGGCGCTCTCCAGGAAAAAATTGGCTGTGGATGCCTCCATATGGATTTACCAGTTCTTGAAAGCCGTAAGAGATAAAGAAGGCAACTCTCTTGGTCAAACCCACATCGTGGGATTTTTCCGGCGAATTTGCAAATTGCTCTACTTCGGAATTCTTCCTCTATTTGTTTTTGATGGTGATGCTCCTCCGTTGAAGAGACAGACTATCCAGAAAAGAAAAGACCGAAGACAAGGCAACCGTGAGAATGCACTCACAACTGCTCAAAAATTGCTTGCTATCCAAGTCCAAAGACAGGCTCAAGATGCTGTGAAGACATCTAAGCTGAAGAAAGCACCCAGTAAGTCGGAGGACACTGAAGTATACCTTGAGGATCTACCTATTCTTCATCCAGAACATGCGAGGCTGGCCTCTAAGAGCCCAGAGCCAGTGTTGATCGAGAGTTCTCCGGTGAAAAAGTTTGTAAAACGAGACGAGTACCATCTTCCTGAACTCAAGCAGTTCACAGTTCTGAAATCAGATTCGCGTATCATGCCAGCTAGCGAGTTTAATGAATACGCTGATGACGCGAGTTTCGATGTGGTGGACGGAGTAGATATCAACTCCGTGGACCCGAAATCCGAAGCATTCAGTGAGTTGCCCTTGGCCACACAGTATATGATTTTGTCACATTTACGACTCCGATCGAGATTGAGGTTGGGCTACTCTAAAAACCAATTGGAAGAGCTCTTCCCCGACAGCAAAGATTTTTCCAAATTTCAAATCCAGCAGGTACAGAAGCGGAATTTCTATACTCAAAGGCTTATGAACGTGAGCGGGATGGGTGAGGAGAGTGGTAATGCTACGAGAAGAATCGCAGGCGATAAGGATAAACATTATGCATTGGTGAACACCGGAGACGGATGGACGCTTTCTTTGGGAGGCGAAGACTCATCTGAACCAATTGAGCTTGATGAAAATGGCGAAATGAAAGTGAAAACAAAGGAATTAGAGACAATCGAAGAGGTAAGAAAACCAACTTTACCAGAAAGTGATAACGATAGCGATGATTTGGAGGACGTTCCATTACATGAGAATAATGATGGCGATGATGCTGAGATAGATAAGGCGGTAATTGAGTCAATTTACGAAAGGTTCAAAGGTGACTACGAGAACGAGCAACCAGAAGAGTTTGATCCGGTGGAACTCAAACAGGCGATCGAGCTGTCAAAATCAGAATATTTGAAGCTGAAGAACGAAGAAGAGAAACTCCAAAAAGTATTCACGCAAGCAATTGCGAAAGGAGAATTTGATTTTGGCCAATCCCTTTTATTCGGTGGAAGTGAACCACAAGTTGAACACGTTGCTACTGATATTGTTGGGAACTCAGAGCAAGTAAGCCATTCTGCGCCTCCTAATATTCAGTTGGAAGAAATCGAAATACTGTCGGATGAAGAGGTAATAGAGCCCATTCCGAAAGAACCAACCCCACCCAAGGAAATACCGTCCTGGTTTGCTGATCATGACGTTCAGGTCAACAATCCTCATTCTCTTAATGAGTTCTATAACGAGGAGTCCGTGAGTAAGAGACCAGTCAGTGAAAACGAACAAGCCGGAATTATTTCATGGTCGGAAGCTCTAGAGATGATCGACGAACAGCCTGAAGGGACAAAGGAGGTCACTATCAGCGAAGAGGTTGAACTGCAAGATAATTATAGCTCAGACATCGAGGAGATCGCAGAAATCCCAACTCCTCAGAAATCAGTTTCCAAAACTGCGGAACTGAGCGAAAAGAAGCTCCAGAAGGAGCCCCTTGCTCTTTCCTCAGGAATTTCGTCAACTCAGAGGGCTTCAGATAGCTCACATAGACCAGGAAAGACAGAAGCTGCCAATGAAATCCTACAGAGTCCAAGTAAAAAAAGTGTCACTGATCTGAAAAAGAAGGACAAAAGGGCCAAAGTGATCGACTATGACTTTGAAGAAGAAGACGAGGAGCAACTCGTACGTCAACTCAGGGACGAGGAGGAGCAACACCAAGAGTTCACGGCTAAAATCGGTGCTCAGCATCACATTTCTACTGGAACTAGAGTCACTGATGAGCAGTTACTCCAAGAGAAGTTGCAAAAGGCTAAACGAGACTCAGATGAGGTTTCGGAAACAATGATTAGTGAAGTGCAAGAACTCTTAAAACGATTTGGCATACCATACATCACTGCGCCAATGGAGGCTGAGGCTCAATGTGCTGAGTTGTTCAAGTTAGGACTTGTTGATGGAATAGTTACTGATGATAGCGATTGCTTTCTATTCGGAGGCAGTCGGATTTACAAGAATATGTTTAATCAGAAGCAATATGTGGAATGCTACATTTCGGAAGACATCCAGAACACGATTGGGCTTGATAATGACAAGCTCATCGATCTTGCTCTTTTGCTTGGTAGTGATTATACAGAGGGTATCAAGGGAATTGGTCCTGTACTTGCCATGGAGATCCTAGCTGAATTCGGGAACCTTCAGAATTTCAAGCGATGGTTTGACGAGCATACGCAAGTGCAGCAGAATAAAACAATAAAGCCAACATCACTCGAGAAGAATTTACTTAATAAGGTTAGAAACGGCAAACTTTTCCTTCCAGATAACTTTCCTGATCAAGTGGTGAGAGAAGCATATAAACATCCGGAAGTAGATAGAGATGACAGTGAGTTCAAGTGGGGGATACCCAGCTTGGATCAGATACGATCATTCCTCATGTATAATGTTGGATGGAGTCAAAACAAAGTGGATGAAGTTATGATTCCTCTCATCAGAGACATGAATAAGAAAAGAGCAGAGGGGACACAATCGACTATTGGGGAATTCTTCCCCCAAGAGTACATATCTTACAAGAAGGAGGTTAATTTAGGCAAGCGGATGAAGATAGCTGCCACCAAATTGAAGAAATAGACACAAGCTGGCACAAAAAAAATCTAGGATGACAGAAGCTTTATGTGCTTCTCACAGGATGATAATTCTTAGAAATGACAAGTTTTGGATACCCGCATTAAGATTTTGAATACATAGGTTTCTGTTGCGAGAAAACTTGACCAATTTTTTGTGATACTGAAATTGAACGGAACCATACAAATTGGCCTGATATGAATTCATAGGGTATTGAAGAGAGTCAAGCATCGTTTCAGGAAATTTCAGTTTGATTAGTCAATATGGAAATCTCAAGGCAAGACAAGGTATTTATCATCGAAGAATCGGGACAGATTAGGAACCTGAGATACATTCTTGAGCAATAGGCAATAGGCTAGAATATAAAAAATAAATGAATTAGAAAGTGTAGTAGCGAATCTAATTAAAAGATCTTCGGCAGAAATTCGGTATAAAACTAAACTTCATTGGTTATTTCGATCATTGCGCTCGTCTATAAGTATATACTTCTCTCTGTCGCATTCCATTTCCAGATTCCAAACGCCTTAAAGTTAAAGGCAAAAACCACAATTCAAAATTTCGAAATCCTAGATAACAAATTTTCCCGCGTTTACACATCATAAGCATCTAACTTTCATCAAAGATAGCATTTGCCACGATTCACTAGCTGCTGCCATACACCCAGCCGCAGGACAACATTAAGTAGTGCACACAGTCAACAGATAATCAAGAATCCAACTACTACACCTCTTAGAACCCAATGGCTGATCCATTTGCCCGGATCTCGTCCATGCTAGAGTCTGCACGCGACCTCACCATTGAGGCCGCCGTGTCAGCATCCACCAGACTTTCCGAGACGCCCACGGCTAAGCGTCCCCAGGAAATCTCCAAGCTCTTGAACTCAAGAGTTGAACGAGAAGTGCTCAATGGAATGAAGTGTGTGATGGCATTGATCTCCCACGATGAAGATGGAACTCAATACTTTGCTGATGTGGTGAAGAATGTCACTCTGTCCAATTCCCGAGTGAGGGCATTGGTGCTTATCTACTTGCAGAAATACGCTGAGAACGAGCCAGATACGGCACTTCTACTGATCAACTCCATCCAAAAATCTCTAAGTGAAAAGAAGCCAAACGTACGAGTAGCATCTATCCGGACTTTGGGAGGAATCCGTATTCCGGAAATTGCATCTTTATTGGTGCTTTGTATCAAGAGAACATCCTCCGACTCTCTGCCACAAGTGAGGGCTGCCACGGCGTTGGCGGTGGGTAAGGCATATTCCATCGATGGAATCAACAAGGCACAGCTTGCTCAACATTTGTACACACTACTTTCCGACGGCTCGCCGGTGGTGGTGGCCGCTGCAATTAAGGTATACTATAAGTTGAAGCCAGAACTCGTCAAGGTGCTGGCGAAGAAGGCCTGGGCTCCGATCCACAGCAATTTCCGGAGATATACGCGAATCCTTCATGAGTTGGATGAATGGAGTTTGTCGTTTTTGTTGGACATTTTGACTGAGTATTCCCGTCGCTTCTTGGCTAGGCCCATGCTTGTATTAGAAGATGGCAAGCAAATTGAGGTTCCTGAGTCAATGTCTGATTATCCTGAGATTTACAAATATGAAATGGATTCTGACCTCGAGATGTTTGTGGATAGCTTACGACCTCTTACATCATCATTGTCTGATATCGTTGTCCTTAGTGCCGTGAAGGCATTAGCTTCTGTGGCCACTCCAAACCATATCGAGACATTTGGTTACGTGCAAGTGTTGACTAAGATTGCAACTAAGCCATGCAGCCTGCCTACCAAGTTATATGCATTAGAGGTTGTGTTGAAACTCGCCCAGGCATCACCACAGCTCTTCCAAAAGAGTTTCCAAAAGTTTTTCTTGTATCCTCAAGAGTCTTTGGAAGTATCGTATGCCAAGTTGCATATCCTTCTGGCAGTGTTTACCGATTCATCTGCGAAAGCTATTCTTAGCGAATTACAATACTGTGCATTGAGCCAAAAACCAGAGATTGCAAAAATGGCAGTCAATGTTATAGATGTGTGTTCGCAGATGAGCGTGCGCTGGTCCAACAAGGTCTTAAAGTGGTGCTTGCAAAATCTTGAGAGCTCGTCCGCGACATTCATAGTGAGTGAGTTGCTTACAGTGATTCGACATTTACTCCAGGAAAAGCAGAGCAAGGGCTTTGAAAAGGAACCCCTTGTGAGGACCATATACAAGCTTTCCTTACTCTTGAGCGATCCTAATGTGTACCTCAACGCAGAGGCCAAAGCCAGTATCATATGGATTATTGGAGAATTCACTGCTGCATCAGAGAACTTGATTGGACCTGATGTGTTGAGACGATCACTCAAGACCTTTACAATGGAGCCAGACAGTGTTCGTTATGAGCTCCTAGTTTTGGCAGCCAAGTCGTATCTGTATGAGCTTCTGAAGAGCGACGAGGCAGAAGTGGCTAACTCAAGATCAAGTCAAATTTTCAAGCATATCATGCACTTGTGCCATTACGATTCTTCGTTTGATACTAGGGACAGAGTTCGGATGTGGGATCAATTATTAGTCAACTCAGCCAACCATCAGCTTGCTAAGTTGTTCTTGGAAGTACCCAAGCCAACACCGGTTGCTCCAAAACCTGACAGCTCCTCATCGTTGACTTCATACTTTACCCCTGTTCCATGGTCGGATCAGCTGGACCTTCCGCCAAAGTCTATTAGAAAGGAGGTTGAGGTGCCTACGAAGATCACTCACATGGAGAGCAACATTCGCTTGGGCAAGAAGAGCATTCAGCCTAGCATCCATGCCATCTCCAGCGAACTGGTCCAACAGCCAGCAGAACATGCATCCGCTCAATCCAACAAGTTACAAAGTCTAGATGAATTCTTTGCGAATGATGACTCGGAATCAGAATCGGAATCGGAATCGGAATCAGATGAAGAGGAGGAGTCCAATGATGAATCCGAGTCGGAATTTGAGTATTCAAGTGGTGGAAATGAAGCACCACAGCACCACAGCTCAGAAGATGCATACAGCGATTCAGACGATGCCTCTGAAAGTGACGATGGTCAATATTCGAACGACCAAGCTTCAACTCACAGCGATCTGAAATTCTTATAGAAATGAAAAATCAATGCTGCGGAACTATAGATGACAATTTTCATCATATTCTATCAAATAAATAGGTAGGTAATGAACTGGCTCCATGTGTAACAAGAACAGCTCTATTTGCCCATCGGTTGCAACCAGTGTAACGGTACTGCACGGTTTTCTATGGAGTAATGTTTGGAATTGCTATCTTGACATCTGAATATTGAATTCTTGTCCAATTCATCACAGCAATTTTCTTTCATGTTTACGGCAAAGTTGCTTCCCACAAGAGCAGCTGCGAGTGCATTCCGTCGAGCATACACTATTTATTCCAAAAACGACCAAATCTACCTCCATGACGTAAACGGAAAAATCGCTGCTTCATTTTCAAAGGATCCCAAGGACATGGTGATTGGCTACCTGAATTCAAAAACCATGAATCCAGAACAATTCCAACCTAACAAGGGCTTTTTAAAGCTTCTTAACTCGAACATTCACGACAAAGTGACGGAAGACTTTACATTCATAATGGAGGCTGGTGCCAACGCAGACACCTACATGCCCATTTATGATTTCAGAGAGATTCCTAGGTTTGGCCGGACACCAGAAGTGGACAGTATTTTTGGTTATGTAAGGGTGTCTAGTGATGGTAAGATCATTCCAAAGTCATATGAACCCAACGAAATGTATCGACTTTGCAACGGCGCAGGTTTGGTGAAGTTGAGCAACTACATGTTGGAGCAGATCCAGGAAGCAGTAAAGAGTAATTAGGATATTCGATTTTCTAGGAAATTTCCGCTTGGCAGGTTCAATCTAAGGCTTTCAGACAATTGCTTCATACGAAGTCCGCCTAATAGTATTATTTAGCCCTTGACTTAGTAACTACATTACATGAAATTGAAAGATTTAATATTTTGAGAGAAGTAAGAAAGTTTTCCGTGAATTTCTGAGGTTATCTATCTCCATGGAATGATTATTGGAAATGGCCGGACAAGTGACTACTAGATGATTGTTGAATGTAATAAGTATTTTTAATATTTGAGTCTTCGCTTTTAGTTGACGTGGTGCAAGTTTCAATTCTTCTTGGGATTGGTCTAGTAACTCTTTTTCAACATCAAAGTCTAGTTGATTACGTCAATTTCAACTTGAACGACTCACAATCTCCGTCGGCCAATTTAACAGGAATTTGCACAAACTTTCCAGATCCATGCTTTCCCTTTTCATTGAAACACCAATCAAAGTTCCCGCCGTAGCCGATCTCCCGAGTGTTCTTGTCCATCTGGAACTGGTACTTGGATCTAGTGTTTTGTCTATTGCAATTGAGATCACCAGAAGGGGAAATTCCACAAACGCCTTTGGAACTCAACAAGTTTAAACCTCCAAACTGCGAATCAATTAATCTGAACGTGGCGCATGTGCCTTGTCCATACCATTGACCATTGCTAATGACACAACCAGAATGGTCGCTCAATTTCAAGTAGCCACGATTAGCGTTGGGGTCCTTAGGTGGCTGGTTGGGTGGAGGAGAGAATTTACCCTTTGGAAGAAACTTGATTCCTGTTTCAGGACAGTTGGAGTTCAACATGGAAGGAATAGGAACAAACTTCTCCCCTTTCACAGGTCCCTGGACGTGGTGGTAGTACCAGATTTCCTGCAACGCGTGATATCTGTTGCACTTGAAAAAGACGCTGTTGCCGTCAAACTTCTCATTCAAAGCATCAGCTATCTCTGCCTTGGTATATGTCTTATCATTGGAAGGCACAACGCCCTTCTCTGCTAAAAAGTCAAATGTGGGATACTTTTCGTAGAGCAGCATGGATATTTTGAAAAAGTCGTAGATGTTCTCGTTTTTGGTAAACTCTCCACCGTAGCATCTGGGCCGTAACGTCTTGATACAAGTAGCATGCTTGTTCCACTCATGGACCCATAACGACTCGTCATCTCCATTGAAGTTTTTCCACACTTCTTGCATTTTTCCATATAATTCCGGGTCGTTGAACTCGTCCACCAAGATTTTCTTAAGCTCTCCAACTTGCAAATTTAAAGAGTCATCACAGAATTGCTCGTAGGTGCCATCACAGTTATCGGGCCAGAGACCGTGCAATGTGAAGGTATCATTTGCGCCAATGGGTGGATAATAGTCCCAAAACTGCGTTTGCAACATAATTCCGCCCGGGCTCTCAAAGCAACACGAGTTTTCGATAGGCGTATTGTTAGTACATGTCAACGGTATGTCAATAGGACACAGATTGAATGTGGAATCCATGAGTTGTTGAGGGAGAAAATTGAAGAAATTTGGGAGCGACATGGCATTCGTAGAGGCCAAGAGTGCCATAATTATGGGTAAGTTCATGTTGGTGGCAAAGAAAATGGTAATAAGTTTTTGATAGTGGAACATTGATTAGCCTGTAGATTGGGCCAGTAAAATGGTAATGATAACGTCACGTGGGGATAACATGTGTCACAGGTGCGAGGGTCCAAGAAATTTTGTTGGATACTCGTAATTAACTCTAGTATTGTATGTACATTCCCGTTGAGGGTATATAACTATATAGTCTAACCTTGTTTGAATTAGAACCCACTTGAAAAACCGTTCCCGATAAAAAAAATAAGTAGTGAAAAAATCATTAGATGCAGTTGATGCAGTAATGCAAGCAGAAAAAAGACATTGATCTTTCAAGCAGAAAAAGACTTTGGTCTTTCAAGCACAGGAAACTTGCTTAGTACTTGTAGATTTCAGCCTTGAATGGACCTTCCTTTGGAATACCCAAGTACTCAGCCTGAGTGTCAGACAAAACAGACAACTTAGCACCCAAGTGGTCCAAGTGACACTTGGCAACGGTCTCGTCCAAGACCTTTGGCAACAAGTGCACACCAACGTCGAACTTGGAGTTCTTGCCGAACTCTGGGAACTCAGCCTTGAAGGCGTCGTTCTCAGCGTTGAACAAAGCAATCTGAGCCAAGACCTGGTTGGAGAAAGAGCAGGACATCACGAAGGAAGAGTGACCAGTGGCACAACCCAAGTTGACCAATCTACCCTCAGCCAACAAGATGATGTGACGACCGTTCAACAAGTATCTGTCGACCTGAGGCTTGATGTTGACAACAGACTCGGCGTTGGCCTTCAACCAAGCAACGTCAATCTCAATGTCGAAGTGACCAATGTTACAAACAATGGCGTCCTCTGGCATCTGGGAGAAGTGAGCACCAGTGATGATGTCACGGCAACCGGTGGTGGTGACGAAGATCTGACCAATGGAAGCAACATCCTCCATGGTAGCAACCTGATAACCAGAGACAGCAGCCTGCAAAGCGTTGATTGGGTCAATCTCGGTGACAATAACTCTGGCACCCATACCTCTCAAGGCCATGGCACAACCCTTACCAACATCACCGAAACCAGCGACAACGGCAACCTTACCGGCAATCATAACATCGGTGGCTCTCTTGATACCGTCGATGAGGGACTCTCTACATCCGTACAAGTTGTCGAACTTGGACTTGGTGACAGAGTCGTTGACGTTGATGGCTGGAACCTTCAAGATACCGTCCTTCAACATCTTGTACAAGTGGTGGACACCGGTGGTGGTCTCCTCGGACAAACCGAAACAACCCTCCAACATCTCTGGGTGCTTCTGGTGAACCAAAGTGGTCAAGTCTCCACCGTCGTCCAAGATCAAGTTCAACTTCTTGCCGTCCTTGAAAGCAAACAACTGCTGCTCAATACACCACAAGTACTCTTCCTCGGTCTCACCCTTCCAAGCGAAAACTGGAACACCAGCAGCGGCAATGGCAGCGGCGGCGTGGTCCTGGGTGGAGAAAATGTTACAGGAAGACCAGGTAACCTCGGCACCCAAAGCAACCAAGGTCTCGATCAACACAGCGGTCTGGATGGTCATGTGCAAACATCCAGCGATTCTAGCACCCTTCAAAGGCTGAGAAGGTCCGTACTTCTTTCTGATGTACATCAAACCTGGCATTTCGTTCTCGGACAACTCGATGTCCTTTCTGCCGAAAGCGGCGAGGGAGATGTCGGCGACTTTGTAGTTAGAAGCTGGGGAGGCCATTTTGTTCTTGCGATAATTTTTTTTTTCTTGTGGAAATGGGCCATATATATAGGTTTTTTTTTTCCACCCATTATGCAGGGGCAAACGAGGTACGAGGTGTCTAGGAGTTTATACGATTCGATGGAATAAAGATTTATGCTTGAATTTGGGAAACTTCATGTTAATTTATCAAGATTTACTCTAAATTTGGACGCGTCGTTGCGTTTATTCCGTGGTCGTAGGGTCCATAGGACCATTTTCACATGGTGCTCCTTTTCTTTTTTTGGTACCTCATCGACACACACGTTGGCACCACCGTGCACCCGTACCTCTGTTGTATGCTATTATAGGTCTGGACCATTAGGGCGGTAGAGACAATAAGATGGAGATATGGAAGATGGTCTTGAATTTATTGATTTATTATTGTTTTGGTGATCATCCAATCATGGTTATATCACCTTAATAATATCATCCTAATAATTTTGTCTAAATTAATAATAGCTATCGTTGGTTCAAATCACTGACCATTGATGTGTAATACTTTTCTTACTATTATTTCATATTACGAAAATCCTATACCCCCACCAATTCCATAATTGTCAAGCATAGACTGGTTAGTCGAGGCGTTAAAAGCCTCAAAATATGACTCCGGTCCCCCGAAAAATGTTCCCATCACATTATCTAGGTCTTTAGGCACCTCGAATGCTGGAAACCATTGTGGATCTATTCCAAACTCATCAGGCAGCTCAAAAGTCTGGACATCAAGTTCACTTAGTGTACTAGGAAGTCCTTCAAATACAACGTTGCTATCCATGGGATTAAATAACACCTCTCTGCCCATCTCAGGCTTTCCAAGCTTGATTACATCATGAACGATGTTCCAGTAGATGCCAAATCCAGACAAGTCGATATGTTCCATGAGCGGCAGCACAAGTCCAATTAAATCTCTGATTTGAGTATCATCAAAGTTCACCTGTAGCGTTATCTCGTTTTGCCGTGCACGGATCCTCTCATAGAATCCCTCACTCACTAATGACCTCACAATATATGTAAATGTGGTACCAATTCTCCATGCATAGCAGTAGCGATGGTTAATTTTGTGAATACCCATTAGACACACTTTGCAGCATCTGGAAAGTGTCTTCATCAAAAATTTTAAGTGCAAGATCTTGGAGTCGGAGTCATTCTCCTTAGATTTCGCAGCCAGAATTTGGTTTCCCAACCGGACAGTGAAAGCAGCCAAAAATCCCACCGATCGGTGCAAAATGTACTCGAGATGCGGGTTGACCACCATCTGCGCCGAATAGTGGAAAAAAGGATGAGGTTTGTCCAACATATCGTAGGTATATGGAAGAGATTCACGAGCAATGATAGTCAATATCTTTTTGCAATAGAAGAAGGCAAGCAGATTGTTGGTGTTCTCGTAATAGAGATACAACCGGAAATACACCGAAACAATAAATACCTGAATGGGGATGTAATAAGGGAGTTGTACTAACTTCTCGATGGACTCAGCAGTGTTATGAAGATATACCTTATTGACATCTCGGAGTGTGCCATACTTTTCGAATAGATAAACTTCTAAGTTGTTGAGTGCCTTTAACAACTCTACTAGCAGAGTTCCCTTATCGACTTGGAGAACCTTCAGAACAACATCCTTCATCAACGGCAAGAGCTCCTTCAATGGTCGGAACGAGCGATCCACTAATGCATCCATTCCTTCTGTGCAACAATTGGCATTGTTCTCATCAAGGTAGGGGAATTTGGTGTCACTTGCGAATGCCGCAGACACAAACGGAGACCCAAATTTGACAGCATTGACCACGTCACGGAACTGGATAAACGTCCATAGCTTACGTCGAATGTTGTTTACTTTGGCATCTGACAATGTCTCAATCATGCTTGGGTCTCGGTTGAGACCAAGTGTATTTGCTAACTGAAGCAAAACACCATTGTTCACCTGATACATGTCTCTGGCTGGTCCTTCCGCGTCTTCTGGCGACTGCTCCATGTATATACGAGTGAACACCATTAGCTGGAGGACGATGAGATTGGACCGATTTCCTACCTGGTACAGATTTAGGCATGTCTTAGCGAAATCCACAAATTCAATACCAATGGGACATAATAGAAGCATTTGTGTTTCCATGAGTTTTGTATCATTCGTTTCAAGCTCAATGATTTCCTGGTTGCTCTTGTTGTCATTAGAGATGAGCGAGAGGTAGCTCAACCGAAGAAGGAGACACAAGATGCCAATGTAAGCGGTATCAGTTTGTGCAGTAATTTTAATCGAAGTTGCTTTGGCATCTTCATAGGGGTTGGGCTCGAAGATTCTCGAAATTCTTTCTCTGAACAGCTGTTCATCCAAATACGGGAAAAATGGGTACAAGATGCCAAAGAACCGGTTGATGTGGCTCCATACAATTCTTTTCAGAGGCAATATACCCAAGAGTCGCTCTTCATGTCCCACGTTCTGCTTGTCAGAATTGGGATCGTTAAAAGTAAGTCCTAAAGGAAGATTCTTCAAGTGCAGCCCCACCTTCTTGGGATCGAACTTCTGCACCAGCTGTTTACGAATCCGATCCAATACCTTTAGCTGGAGCTTATCTTTATTGAAATCAACACGGACGTCGTGCTTATCGTTGGTATCTCTGGGTTTCACGTCAAACATGAACTTCCAGAGTACTGCGAGTGCTGGATCAACCCGGACAATAGAATGCCACGAAAACGGGCCATGATTACACTCTTCAAGTGTTTCAGGGTCCCGACTGATGGGATTATAGCCCAGATAAAAGTTCACTGCGTCTTGAGGAGATGCTATGGGATTCACACCAATGACACTTCGCAAGTTGGAGAAGTTGGACAATACCTTTGCTGGAGTAGTTGGCGCCAAATATAGAACGTCTTCTCCATCATAATACTTGGAAGAATGTGGAATAGCACCGTTCTTCTTTGGCAGAGACACTTGCAATGGCATTTCCAGCTTCACACTGTCAGGTTTGGCAGCTTTCAATTCACTTTTCTCTATTGAATCGCTAAATGAACATAGGTGTGCGGTCTTGTGCTTGAGACAAGAACTACACGGCAACAACCGGTCACACTTGACCTTTCGTGCTTTGCAGACATTGCACAGAATGGCAATTCTGCGTCTTTTTTTCCCCGACTTGTGTGTGACTTCTGGCTCAGAGGACATAGTTGGAAGAGAACCTCGGTGATAATCGGAGTTTAATGCGGAGTCTCGGTGAATGTATAGAAGAGAATTGTCATATATTTATACAATTCCTGACTCAATTTCGAATCCGGTCATCGGTGCTCCCTGGATGTTAATTTTAGGGATTTGGCATGCATTTCGGAGTGGAATCGGAGTTGGTTATGTGGAATTCTATTTACTGATTGGATGTTGGTGGAATTAAATATGGATTTGATTTCGCACCCACTTCAAAAGAAATTGACATGAGGTGGAAGATGCACATATGTTGACCCTAGTCCTTCACGATTTGCATTTAAAATCTTGGCTCTTACATCATGCTTTTAAATTCTTTATTCGTAATGCTCTAAATTTCAAATTTTAGCCAATCTAGATCACCATTTTCATTAGCGTCGTTATAGGTATTATGGAGCAAGCCTCTGTGCTGGTTGGCTTGTCCTTTGAGTCCGTGAGTAAGAGAGGATGTAGCGTTCGTAGGTTTGATTTCATACCGATTACCCATATCGGTAATCATATTATCATCCTCCAACGGCGTCATCTCGTCGTCCATGTCATTATGAAGAGAAGTGTAGTTTTTGAAGAAATCGTCTGTATCCATATCGTCGGGGTTTTTACTCTTGAGAGAACCAACGTAGTTTGCCAACTCCGACGGAGCAGCAAATGACTGTCTCGCAGTCACTTGACCGCTACTCGAGTACGACGAAGGGGAAGGCACCGAATGGCTATCCTCGGCCAAAGCATTGATTCCCTGTGACAGAGAAATGCTTTCAGGATGAACAAATGATGGTGGTGCCGAAGGGTGATCAAAGTAAGTAGCATTACTTTGCGTAAATGGCTGTGGCGTTGATGCTAGCTTCAAATTTTGGTATCCAATATTGCCAGGCGTAGGCCCACTTGATGGAGGGGTTCCATAGTTCTGCGAGCTTGCGTATGACTGTTTGCGGTTTAGATTTGTCAATGATGTTCTGCGGTTAACAGAAGTAGCCAGGAAGCCTCTCTTGATTGTAGGGTTCAAGTTCGTGAACGAACTACTCATAGTGAGCAGCGAAGGGATCCTCCGGCCATAGGAGTCAGACATTTCATGTATGTTGACCTCAGACTTTTTGCGCTTGTACTCCAGGGTAGCACTTGTGCTATAAGGAGACGAGGGCGTGGATGGGTGAGCCTGGTTGGCGGATCTGAATGTGAAGGAGCCACTGTTGACCGGAGTAGATGCTAAAGAGTTGGAAGCTGAACCAGCAAACGATGGTTTAGGAAGGATTGGCACATTTTTGGGTCTGGAAGCTGGGTCCATGGCCGAACCAACCGAATTGTACATATTATTCCCAAACAGTCCCGAAGTTGCTCCAGTGGAGAAAACAGAAGACGATTGAATAGGTATGCTATCCATACCTTCCGGACGAAGGCGGAAATCTGACACCGAATTCGTACTTCTAGGAAATGAAGAAGGGGTGCTCCCAGAGGGGTTAGCTTGTGCTGCAGTTGCGCCCTTCGGAGTGGAAGATGGGCGACGAGAACTTCTCTTCTTGATGACATCTGTTTTGAGCGACAACGGTCTTGTTGTGCCATGCAACTTGTAAAAGAGCCCACAGGCATTACATAGAGTATTTCCTGTTGGATCCTTACGCCATAGTGGGGTTTTTAGCGTATGACAATTGAAACATTCGGTGTGTTTTTGCCTTGAGGCAGCCTTGGGGTCTGTTGGCTTCTTGTCCTTAGCCTCCAACTCTCGCAGTTGGTTCTGAAGCGAACTTGTGAGATTTGATTTGCGCAGAGTGCTGATGTTATTGGTGTTGATCACATGGGAACCATTAAAGTTGGAGCCATTGATATTGGAGCCATGGTCATGGTTAGCAATATCAGAGATTTTGCCATTGCCATTGATATTGCCATTTCTGCCTAAGGTGACACCGTCACTGTTCATGCTATTAACCGAGTTGTTTGAGGTGGAGCCATTCATATTGAAAGACTGAACTTGGATAGCAGAAACACCTTCAGAAGGTTCTTTCTTAATGGACAGGACCAGCATCGTGGCCTTGGCAGTCCATACGGGATCAGACACCACCAGAGGTGCACAGTTGCTAGGCGGGCTGTCGTTCATGGACGATGGAGTGATTTCCAGCTGAGAAGTCAGTTTCTTGACTTTCACGGGCACCTTAACCACAGTCAGCAATGTGGAGCCCCGTGTGTCGTCCACCAGGAGTGGCAGCAATAAGTCAAGCGCCTTGGATGGATCGTTGGAGAGCACATGGTGCGATGGTGGAGTGACTTCCACCGAGGAGTTTCTCAGCTGTTGGGTGTGGGCGCTATCCTTGCGCAACTGGCGGTTTTCCACACGGGGTTGAAGCGCCAAAAGCTTTTTGGCCTGGGTGAAGATTTCCATGATGGAAGGAGCAGCAGCTAACGCAGCGTGGGACTGGCTGCTGTGCGGATTACTCATGGAGTAACAACCAGAACAGTAGGGGGAAATGGGGCAGTTTTCTTGGGGATTCTTTCGACGTAAATCGGACCTCGAGTGTCTGTTAGATGACCTGTGATTGGGAATGGATACACAAAGCCAGGCAGGGAGGGGAAAGGAAGTCCGGCGACAAGGATGTGGAGAGTGAGCAGTAGTTTTTAGTGGACTTAAAACTCCAATTTTTTATTGTGTGGTGCACACATGCGGAGGGAGAAAAAAAAACTCTCGGGAGTGCATGGAGTGTACCAAGACGTTAGGCTAAATTAAATGGGCGGTGGATATAAAGGGAGGTTTCGCGAGTTTTGAAATGGAAAAAAGATCTTGGGTGGGTTGAAGATGGGAAATATAGTGGGAAAAGATGGAAATATCACGAAGCTTTGTGGCATTTATAACCCATTTGATCAACTCTCCCAATCTTATGGACTCATTAGTCACTAGGTGCGGCTGCACTGCATGACTGCCTAGTCGATGTAGATCAGGAAACAATAAGAGAGTAAAACAAGGTATGACAGAATAACAGAATGAACATAGCCATGAACGAGAGGCCCAAACAACTGAACAGCTTTTATAGTGATTTGTTAGCATGAACAAGATTGTGACTTTTGATTCCGTATGAAAAGTTGGATAAAATTCTGAAATTTTTGTTCCAGCAAGATATTCGCGGACTTGTGGGAGGTACTCCAGACATGATGGACGATCGACGGAATCTGCGCGAGAGTCCCGGTTTGTAGTGATCCAAGGAAGACGGTAGGGATAGGGATGAAGATGATATTCATATTTGGAATGTTTCTTGGTTGGAAATGTGGAATATTCTTATGTCCGAGTGACAGCATCAGCGTACACTTTTCAAGTTTTGGGTAATGATATATGAAATATAGATAAAGTTGAAGATCGGTAGTGCCGTCCAATCCCAAAAGAGTAAACGGTCAGGTGGGAAACAGTCACGATATTTCAATGTTTTGGATCGATGCATTGGGAACGATCTTTTCGATATGCGTTTCATTATACTTTGAATCTGATAATCTTAGTCGATCATCTGTACCATAGAAGTTATCCTCTAATATTGTCGTTGTTTAATATATGGACAGGATCCGATAATAGATTATTTAATATGGTCAGTACTCTGTTACCTTTAGTCAATGCAATTCATCTTTTAATCAGTCCAAAGTTCTGTTATCTCTCAGAACGACTTGAAATTCTACTCTCTTCTGACATTCTCCCATCTTATATTAATACATTATACTTCTTCCTTCTCGTCCTTACCCTCAGGCTTTTCCTCATCCTTATGATAATGATGGTGGTGCTTACCTCTTCGGCGCTCATTGGTGGAATACGTGCTAGAACTGTCCAGATGAAGTCTGTATTCAAATGTCACACCATTCACACGCTCCGTAGACGACTTGGTCGATGTCTCAATGCAATCTGAACCCTGGGTGATCACATCACACTCTCTGATCACACGCAACACTGCATCACAAATAACCCGGCGAGCCTGGAAAGGTGTAAGGCCCCGCTTCTTGTCATCATCATCCAGTCTCTTACCGAAACTCAAGTTTGAGTTCCATACAGATATGATGTCCTCGTCACGACGCACACTCAACACCAAACCGGCAACGTCATTGAGTAACTGGATGCCCTTGGTAGCGCTTTTTTCTGCAATGAGCGATCCCCCCAATGTCCTGAGCACAAGCCTCTCCCAGATCAATGTAGTTCTGCGTCTTACCTTGCGCATGGACTCTTGCACCTCTTTAGCCAGTTCGGGTCCGTTAGCTGGGTTGAACCGGTGATTGAACCGGAACACCCACCGACCACCTTTGGCATTAACCGGGTCCTCCCAAACGGGATTCACACCTGTTTTAAACACCAAAAGTTCACTGCCATTGGCCAAGTCGTGCAGTTTTTTCATCACCGACATTGAGAGCCACATCTGCTCAAGCGACGCAATACTCTTAACCGTGGCATTCTCGTTTCCAAAACAAGGGAACTCAATCTCGTTGGTGGTTTGTAAGTACGAATCGACCGCAGCGGCGGTGGCAGCAGGTTTGGTAGCGTCGGCCACGCCAGCAGATTCTTCGCTGGTCACAACCTTGTTCTTGTTACGCAGGTGATACCAAATAGTCCAACAGTAGGGTAAAACGTGCTGGTCGGGCAGCAACGCATCCACGGCATCCTGGGCCTCCTTGACAGGATCTCTTTTGGGCAAGTCATAGTTTGGGAGTACCGCCGAAGTCTGGTGGCCGTTATGTGAGTAGTTTTTGTACAGTTTGTAGGAGTGGCGATGGTGAGAGTTGCCCTGATTATTACCATTTGAGTGGTGGTAGTGATTGTTGGAGTTGTAAGTGGAGGAGTTGCGTTGGGATGGCTGTTTGGTGTCCGGTTTGTTCTGGTTCATTATGCGGTTGAACAACAGTTCTGCTCTTTTCAAGTTTTCCGACATTGTGGAGGATTTTGTGCAATCGATGATGGAATGATGGAGATGAAGGACGTAAGATGCTAATGGACACTAAAAGAATGCAAGAAGTTGGGCGATATGAATGCAGTCTGGAGAAGAAATTACGATGGAATCGAAGTGGTGGTTTGGCACCAAAAATTTTCCCAGTCGTGCGCAACTGAATCTGGAGGAACGGGAGGAAGAGATAGAAACGGACCGTAATTTCCATGGACATCGAAGAGGAATAGAAAAAAGAAGCTGCGCTGTGTTATGTATAATTCAAGATTGGTTTCTCATGTTAATTAAATTTATTTAATACTTTATTACGTTCACTAGTTATCCAAGCCCTCGCACCACCTACTGCTTACCGTAGTAGTGCAAGTAACCTCCCAAGGTTTTGCACCCATTGATATAGTTGCTGACATTCAACTTCTCGTTAATGGAGTGTGCTCCGTCGTCACCCCTACCCATAGGCAACAAGAGCACCTGAGTCTTGAGCTCCTGTTCGAAAGTCAAAGTGATTGGAATCGAACCTCCTTCTCTAGTAAAGTCTGGCTTGATATTCCACACGTGCTCGGTGGCCTTAGAGGCAGCTGTGAATGACTCATTGAATGGATCAGACACCCAGTATGCACCGTCATGGATCAACTCGACCACCATGGAGTTCTTGGAACCGATCTCATTGAAAACTTTGGTGACGTAGTCAATCACTAACTGGTCCAATTTTGCAGAATCGATATCAGGCACAGTACGGATAGAGAACTTACCAATAACCTTGGCGGGAATCACGGTCTTGGCTCCAGCACCATAAAATGCGCCCTCCACTCCGTGGATCGACAAGGATGGGTATCTCCATCTGTGCTTCAAAATGTCCTTCTTGTTGTCGTACAATCCAGTCTTGGAGCCTGAGGCTGCGTGCAACTCGTCTACAGAGAAGTCAATGTCGTCGTACAAGGTATCCTCTTTCTCAGTCAATGGAGCAACCATGTCGTCCACGCCTGGAATCAAGATCTTACCTGTGGAGTCCACCAACTTGGACAACACCTGGACCAAGTCAGTCATAGGCTCAGCAATGACTCCACCGAAAATACCCGAGTGCAAGTCTGCACCAGGGCCGTTGATGGCCACTTGGTAGTAGTTGCATCCTCTCAATCCGTAAGTCAAAACTGGCTTGGTGGTGCCCAACCAGTAGTTGTCACTGATACACACGGTATCCACTTCCTTGAAGTACTGCTTGGCCTCCTTGGCAATGAGACCGTCCAATCCGAGCGAGCCGGACTCCTCCATACCCTCGAAACAGCACAATAAGTTGACTGGAAGCTCCCAGCCCAAGGCATTGTGAGCTTCCACCACATTCAACCAACCCATCACAGGTCCCTTGTCGTCAGTAGATCCACGTCCGTACAAGATGTCTGCGGCAGTGTCATGGTACATGGTAAATGGCTCAGTAGCCCAGCCGTCCTCCTTCAAGGCAGGCTGCACGTCGTAATGGCCGTAGACCAAGACAGTCTTCTTTGCCGGGTCTGAACCAAATCTAGCTAACACAATTGGTGGCAACTGAAGGTTTGGGTCAGCCACTGGAGGAGGCTGTTTACCCAAATCCTTCAATTGGATGTCTGTAAAGCCCAAGCCAGTGAGTTCGTTCACCAAAAAGGCAGCCATGTCCACCACCTTAGGTCTAAGCAGTTCATCGGACGAAACGGATGGAATTGCAATGGCCTTGCTCAATCTTTCGATGAAGGCAGGCTTCAACTCATCGATTTTGGCGAAAAGAGGTTCTAAGTCAAGTTTCTCGAACGACATGGTCAGGAAGAGAGTAGTATGGAAATATATTGTTTAAGTGCCGTTTCGTGAAGTGGACTAATGTCTGCAGGAGACTGTGGAGCCGTGCCAGGAAGAGATGCCATTCGGGTATTGGCGGGAAAAGGCGATTTAAATGGGGGTAAAAAGATTGGGTTAGGTGCTGGGAGATAAATTGTTGATTAGTCACTTTTTCTGAGGTGTATTCTTTTGGTGATGATGGTGTTTCCTGCTATGGGTACTCTCACCAATCGCAATTGTTCAAAGTAATTTGAAATCAAGGAAAATGTAAGCCACTTCGGGATGATTTTATGGCTAGTTACTTTAACAATATCAATAACTATCTTGCTCAAGATTTCAGTCCTCTTACTTTTGTTTCACTTTTCATTATTGTTTCTTTTTTTATTAGAGCATGGCTTCTTTTCTCAGTTCTCAGCCTGAAGCTAGTCGTCTTTTTGATAGTGCTTGGTGTCTGGAGGCAATCACAAGATTCTTATTAATCACTAAGCATTGCATCTTCTTGTTAAACCAGATTTACCTTGTCGATATAAAGTCTGAAAACTAGTCATTACCTCTCAATTTGTCCATTTTCTAAGGGTGGGTTGTCTCAGTCGTATCCCAATGCCTATCTCTATCGATCTCTACAGTGTGCACAATTCACCAAAACCAATGTCCAATGATGAACACGAGTCTGCGCTGCCAGAACAGACGTCTGATGATCAGGACAAACATACTACATTGGACTACATTGACTCAGGCGATGAACTGATAGAAGATAGTTTAGAGCTGAGCGACGATGAATGGGTCCTCAGCTTGATTGACAGTCAGCTGCCGAAGCGTGAAGCTAGAACGAAGGATTCAGAGCAACGAAATGAGACAAAGCAAGAGCAAGAAGTCGAAAAAAAGACTGTAAAAGTTGCAATCAGGCCAAGTTTCGATGAAGATGACGAAATCCTTATTCCTGCTGTATTCACCACTCAAGGTGCAAAGAATTCTAAACTTTTGAAACAAAGTGAAGAAATTGACCGCCAATTGACTGGAGAGGAGGCCAGAATGAAAGCTCAGGCCGAGGAGCTTGCCAGTCTACGTACAAACATCTTGGATGAGCTCAATGATAACGGCACAATGTTCAGGTATTCTTTGAGAAACGATGGCGAATTGGTGGAGAAAAATGTCCAGCAAGTCTATGCTAAGGACCATTTATTAGAGACCCACAGACACTTCTTCTACTTTGACGATATACTGCAATCTGACAATGTTGTGTTCAACGAATCGGTGGATCTACTATTCAAACTGATGACTCTGCAATGGCATATCAATAATCATGCCAATTTGGTTGAACTTCTCCGTCACAATGGCATCTCAATGGAAGAAGTCGTTAGCTATGCTTGTCAGAAAGTCTGTGACGAAACTCAATTGGATTTGGTGGAGAGATTTGTTGTGTATGCTTCTGATTATGGCCTCGATCACGTTCCACTTGGAAGAACAGATACAAATAGCTCTGGAAGCAGTATCACACAACGCCTAAAGGGCCTAGGTGCACGTATACAACCTACACAACTGTTGAAACTAGTTCATTACAATAACAATGCTAGAATACTCATCCTTAAGCTCTGCATTGTCTTCCACTATAATCTTACAAAACAGATAGATGAATTAGAAGTTGTTGTGAAGCACTTCTTGCTTTCCATGTCGGATTTCATTCTCAACAAAAGAGAAAATGAGTTGCTTTTAACAAAGTTTGTGGGCCCGGTGTTCCATCATATCATATCTGTCTGCAATGATAATGACAAAATGATTATTTTGGTAGAGAACGTGATTAATGGTCTACATACCCATATTTATGGCACGGAAAAGGGGTCTGAACTCAAGGACCACGAATTGCATTATAATATTCTCCATAGTGTATGGATTGCGTTTTGCCAGGAAAGCGGAGATGGGAGGAATGTTGCAGAGCTGCTCATTCTCAATTTCTTGAAATTCAGCGAAAACGACAGTATATCCTATTCAGTGCTAGACTTGGCACTGGTTGTCACCAAAATCGGAAAAACCAAGGTTTGTCCGATCAATCGCTCTTCTATTTACAAAAACATCTACCGTGCACATATCTCCACCTCACTTTTGACCAATCTTATCTACGGCCAGAGAGGTAAAATCAAACACGAATACTTCTCACTCCAGCAAAGTCTCCTAGACTGCAAAGATCATCTCCAGGAATCAATTGGAAGACTTCTGTATATGAGCCTGGATGAGTTGCCAGATAAGGTGCTTTTATCTATGGCCGTGAGTGAAACTTATCATGTGATTGACCAATTCACCAGTGTTTTGGACAAAAACATCATTTTTTTAAAGCGTGATTTCTTTTACAATGAATAAAGCGAACCTAGGACAATCCATTTGTCTGACGATCTTGACATGTGGGTTGTGACTAATATGTCTATGTCATGGAGTGCACACTGAGATACCATGTGGCTATTGATGGCTATCTGACACATCGAAAGTAACTTATTCTTTTCAACCCCTGGCAATTTTTACACTAGAAATGACATTGCCCACATCAACAAGCATCACATACAAGAATCCGGAATTGGCTGAAGCAGATCATCCGGGCTCGGCCGTCGAACTCCAATATGGTTTCGGCCCTTTACCCTCTCAACTCAAGAATAAGAAGATCTTCTTCTTTGACATTGACAATTGTCTCTACCAACGGCTGACGAAAATCCACGACTTGATGCAAGTGAAAATTCACCAGTACTTCAAAGATCACCTTCAGTTGAACGACGACGATGCCCACAATTTGCACATGAATTACTACAAGACTTATGGGTTGGCTCTTGAAGGTCTAGTAAGAAACCACCAAGTGGACGCCTTAGAATACAATGCTAAGGTGGATGACTCATTGGATTTGTCGTCTGTTTTGAACTACGAGCCCGAGTTGCGAGAGATGCTTCAGAGAATTCGTGAATCTGGCGAGTTTGACATCTTCTGGCTAGTGACCAATGCCTATAAGAACCATGCACTCCGTGTGATTTCGTTTTTAGGACTAGGAGACTTGTTTGATGGTTTAACATATTGTGATTATTCCCTGTTCCCCATCGTTTGCAAGCCCATGGACCTGTTTTATTACAAGTGTTTGGGAACAGTCAACTTGGACAAAGAAAATAAAGAGGCAATGGCACTGTTGCACTTTGTCGATGACAGCGAAATAAATGTCAAGGCTGCTCATAAACTTGGGTTTGGTCGGGTATTCCATTATGTGGAGATCGACAAAGAATATGAAGCACTTAAGAGGAAGCCCGATTTTGAAGAGTTCTACGGGAAGGGTGACAATTCCGACAAAAGCAAGATTTCCATTCTTCGTAATATTTTGGAGCTCGAAATTGTTGTTTAGAATATATAGAGCAACGTGTCTTTGATTCCCTCCATGTCTTATATTTCTTTCGTTTCTTTTTTTTTGCCTCGCAATCGCTAGGCATCTCGTATCTATCTGCGTATAGATAATGAAATTTCAGATAGTGAAAGATTCTTTAAACATCATGCCACCTAAGAAGCAAATCGAATACAAGGCCAGAATCCTATTTCTACATGGATTTGCTCAGAGCTCGTCTGTATTTTATGCCAAAACCTCTGCATTACGCAAGAAACTCCAGAGTTTGCAGTACAAGTCTATCTATCTCAATGCACCAGTCAATTTGACTCCAGCGCAGTTGCCTTCCAGCGACTCGTTGTCCAAGTTCAATACGGTGGTTTCTACGGAGGAGGAAGAAACCAACTATCGTGGCTGGTGGACCAGAAAGCCAGACGGAACATACGAAGTTGAAGATGCTATAGAGACAGTTAGAGACTACATTAACAACAACCTGATCATTGTGGGGTCGCCCGAGGATGAAAAGGCAAACAACACAAGTGATAGCGACTTGGAATTGCCTATTGCTGGTATTATCGGCTTTTCTCAGGGAGCTGCATTTGCTGGTGCACTTGTGCATACGTTTGACGAATTGTTTGGTGTTGAGCCCCTTGAGTTTGCTGTCTTGTATTCTGGTTTCAAGATCGATACTCGGATAATGCCTCAATATAAGAAACTTTATAGTGAGAGGGACGGAGAAGACACCAAAGCCAGACTTTTGCATGTGGTGGGTGAATTAGATACTGTTGTGGGAGATGACAGAGGGTACACAATGTATGACGACACCAAAAAGAATCTGCACCTTTTGAAGCATCCAGGAGGACACTTTGTGCCCAACTCCAAGTTGCTGATTGACCAGGTGACAAACTGGATGGCTGGCAAAAATGAGGTAGAGGTGAAGGAGAAGCCTAAAGATGATGTTGCAGACTTGTTGGCCATGATCGATAAACTTGGAGGGTAATAGAATCAACAATATAAGAGCCTACTTAATACTGTATGAATTTGTTTTCTAAATATTTTTGACTGTCGTGCGAGGGAAGCGAGGTTTCAGATGAAGTTGTGATCGACATTATGTTCAGATCATCCTAATTATAGCTCAACTTAATTGCAATTCATCCCGATTACAACTCATCCTTCGAACGCTTCCGTCTTCCTTCCCCTTTCTTTCTCGAATTCTTCTTTGCCAACGAGCCCTCGCCCGGAACTGCTCCTGTCACCTCCATGAGCCACTTTTCCAATTTCTCCTTCAGCTTCAAATTTCCACCAGTGTAACGCTCGAAGGTCTTCGACAATGGCTTGTAGACAAGCAAAATAGGTAAGTTGTCGCCCTCCTTAACAGGAAACTCGATGGTCTCGCCGCCAATAGTAACCGAAGGAACCTCGTGGATCTTTTGCGCCGTGACAGCCGCAAACGACAACGAGCCCAAAAAGTCAATAGCCATAGTCTTGTAAAGCGGGGTTACATCCGCAGACGAAGTGATCAACAACACCTTATCGCGATTCTTTCCCTTGGAAAGCCAATCTGGAAGGCCAGCGCTCTTCAAATTGTGTACTTTCTTGACGTAATTCTTGATTCTCGAAGTCACATAGTCAACCATTGGTTTCAAAGTGCGCTGTCCGTTGTACACCTCCGGAACATGACGTGCCTTCTTGGATTTTCCAGGCTGGAATTTGGGTGGACGGAACACAATCAATGTAGGAAACCCTTGAACTCTGTTTGCTTGGCATAGAGGCTTATTAATATCCTTGTCACAGTTCACTCTAGCAACGTTGACAGCATACTTGCCGTCTCTGTGGAGGAAGCTGGCCATTCGGTGGTAGATGGGCTCCAATTGCTTACAGTAACCACACCATGGGGCATAGAACTCGACTATACTGGTATAATTACTTTGGTTCACCACCTGGTCGAAATTTGCCGGGGTGAGGTCATAGACATGCGAGTTGGCAAGAACACACGCAGTTAGGAATGTCAATATATACCCATACTGAAGATACTTCATGGTGGCAAGTTAGGAAGATGAAAAGTCCAGATGGAAAAGATAGTGCGTTGTACAGTCCTGTAGTGAAGAGGTTAACAGGTATGACTTGGAGTTGTCAACATGAGCAGGAAAGAACGTTTAGAAAAGAAGATTGCGTAATGAGTTTACTATCTGTAAATTCTCTATCATAAGAGTTATCCGGTAGATGTTGTTGGTAGAGTTTCGGTGTCTTAGTCACAAAGACCATGTAAACTACAAAGCATTGTATGAATTTGGGTATGCAAATTCCACAACTCCAAGAGCACTCAAAAATGCCCCTCCTATATCCTACAAGTGACTTCTATAGGTCTACACAACCAACATGAAGTTCACGTCAATACATTATATTCATCTATATATATACACCAAAGAAGTTGCATAAGTAGACACTGCCCAAGGCAATGGAACCGGAGGCCACCACAGCACTTGAAAAGTACTTGACAGCACTACCATTTTTGTTAATGAATGCCAGGGCAAGTGAAATGAAGGCTGGAGTTAGTATTATATTGGTATTGCAAACGAATCGATGGAATTAACGAAGCTTGAATCGAATGGATGGAACTGATGTAAAATGGGTCAAATGGGTAGGAATTGATACAAAATGGTTCGAATGGTCAAAATTATTTTAGATGTATCAAATGTACTTCATTGAATAGTTGGAAATGCTCTGCAGTTTGGTTCAAAATTGAATAAATAATATGGTTAATGCTGACCATGAGTTATCATACCTATAATGACAAGAAGTACCGTGGCGAGGGCCTGCGACCTGGTGGTGCTTGATGAAATAACCTCCAAAGACTCATTGAGGTACTCATTCCGGAGCTTAGTGTAGGCCATAAGATTGCCCAAAACTTGTTCTGCCGACATTGTGTAGAGATTGATTATTGATTGGAGGTCGACGTGTTCTGAGGTGTATGCGGTTATTGGTGCACGGGTTTGTTTCCATTTCCCCAAAGATCCATAGTATGTAAATTAATCATTAAAAGTCAATCAACTATGTCGAGCGGCTGGAATACAATCGATTCCGATGCAGTAAGTAAAGTTCACTTCGATTTTTTAAAGATTTGCTACTAATCTCCAGGGAGTCTTCTCGGAATTGGTGGAGAAGTTGGGTGTGCACGATGTTCAGATAGATGAACTCTATTCCATAGACACGGAATCGCTTCGAGCATTGGCGCCAGTGTACGCCGTGATCTTTCTTTTCAAGTATGGAAACCTTGACAAGGAGTTCGCTGCCAAAAACGAGCCAATCGATGGGGTTTACGACCCCGATTACCAGGACAAGGGCATCTTCTTTGCCAACCAGACCATCCAGAACGCCTGCGCCACTCAGGCCGTGTTGAATTCGCTTTTGAATAAAACGGACGACATTGACGTGGGTGAAGAGCTTGGGAATATCAAACTGTTCATCGCAGGTTTTGACTCAGAAATGTGCGGAGAGACTATCTCCAATAGTGAAACGATCAGAACAGTCCACAACTCCTTTTCTGCCCCGCGATTCATTGACTCTAGTGAGTTGCCTCGGCCAGAAGTCGACAGCAAGGATGATGGGCTTTTCCACTTCGTTACGTTTTTGAACTTAAACAACACCATCTATGAGCTTGACGGCTTGAAACGTTATCCCATCATCCACGACCGCCTCGACTCGCCTAAGGATTTCTACGAGAAATTGCCAGGTGTTCTTCAAAGGCGAATTGCGAAGTATTCGGGCGAGATTCGTTTTTCGCTTTTGGCCATCACAAATAACAAGTTGAACCAGTATCAATTGACCGGTGATGCGCAAGGGGTGGAGCAAGAGCTTGCAAAGAGAGAAACATGGAGTAGTGAAAATGCTCTTAGAAGGCATGACTTCCCGCGTCTCAGCATTGAGCTTTTGAAGAACATTAGTCACGATATGGATGACGACGAGTGGGAAAAGCTCCTACTCCTGGCAAAAAAGGCCGCCATGAAAAGGTATCAGCAGCTCAAGAAGTGAACTGGAAAAAAGGAATGTGGGGAAGATATATTTTGGTTTAATGTGGATCACCAGGCGAATTAAAGTTGGAGAAGATGCTGTAGTACTATGGAGATGTAGATATTCAATGACGCTCTTAGTACAGTAAGCCAATGTAAACTTATTGAGTGTATTTGAGTTAAATAGACCTATTCATATCCTCCAAAGCTAAAAAACCCTCCGCCTTGACGACTATGACGGGAGAAGTAATCGAAGTCTATACTCACGGCATTTCCAAGCAAAACAGCTCTTTGGTCCAACGTCAATGGTCCTGCTACCGACAGATAAAGGTCACCCAATCCTGCAAAACTGGCAGGATCCATCCGAATAATGTAGATACCTGTATCGGTGAAGAGCTCTCTGCCTAAACCAACCCAGTTTCTATCAACGGAAGCAATCACATCACCTTCAGCATTCCTAACTGGAAAGTCAAACGAAAGAAAAGGCGCATCAATAATGCCAAACTGATCATACTCATCAGTTTTCTCATCTTCCAACTTGAATAAATTGTACTTTCTACGCCACAAGTGCCAGCTCTGGACCGACTCGCCAATCACTTCGTACATCATGTCACCACGTGAGTCGTAGCCGGGCAAGAGGCATTTGATGTGCGAATTGATGAAGGAGAACGGTCTTTTGATGGTCATGATCAAGTCACCGTAGTTGTTGAACACGTCAAGCTCAAACGGTCTGTGCAATCGGAAAAACTGTCGACCAATGGCCTTCAAGATCCCGTAGTCTTTTTCCATCATGTAACCTATCTGGTCTCCCAAAGAATTCATGATTTTGTACTTGTTTGCCTGCTCAAAGCCGAGGGCCACATTCAAAAACTCCACCTGACGCTCAATCACTAGCGTGGGCTCTCGAAGGATGTCATAGATTCCGTCCTCTGGAGTGATAATGCCATTTGTGTTTGGAGGCATGTCAAACACCGTCCGAAACTGGGTGGGATCGTCACGGTATGCTCCTGTATCAGATGATGGGCTCTCTTTGTAGTAGAACTGGTCATTTGTTTTCTGACGCTGTTCGTTGAAGCGGCGAACTTCTTCTGGGGAGATTTCACGGACCTGTCTGGTTCTGCGGGCAGCAATTGCCGAAGTGGCAATGTTTCGAGCAAATACTTGAGATGTTCGAGGGGTGACAAAGGTGGAAAGTCGAAAAAGTGGTCGAATAGGTAGCATCTGTAGAAAAGATGAAAAAGAGACGAAAGCAATAGATGGTATGTTCTAGACTGTAGGTGCAGGTTCTATGTGGAGACTATGGGTGTGAGTTGTAAGAGACATGACCCTATTAGTATCATCAACACAACAGTGCTTGACAGCCTTTTTGTTACCGTGTAACTACTATAATTATTGAAATCCTGTTAATTGCCGGAAAGTTTTCCTCACATGTATGGATGGATACTTATAAAGCATAATAAACACTTAGGGTATACACAGGATTCTACTGATTCAGAAGTATCGATCGTATTATTCATCGTACTCAATGCTAATTTTGAATATATAGTAGCCGTAGCCTCCCACTTCAGCAGGAAATAAATATCCTCACGAATTCTCGGTGCGCTTACTCGAGCTTCTTTGTCACACCAGGAACTGGAGTGTTGCCAGACAAGACACCCTTCATGAACTCGTACACTGTGAAAGTCACGGCCTGACCTGGAGCCACTCTCATGATTCTTGGAGTGATACCCTTATATAAGGCACCCACACCCTCTTCCTTGATCAACTGCTTACCAATCTTGGCAATTCTAACCCATCCAGATTCGTTGGATGCATAGGTACTCTTCTGCAATCTGGTCTTGATGGTGTCCAATGGAGCGTTAGACAATGGACCCAAGGCTCCGGAAAACAATCCGATCAACGAAGTTTCCCACGATGGCAACACCTCAACACCATGGTAGTCTTGCAAACGTTCCTTCAACTTGGAGTACACCGTGAAGTTCACACCCTGGTTAGACGCCTGTCTAGCAGCCGTCAACGACACACCTCTATATAAGGTGCTGAAACCCTCCTCCTTGCAAATCAAATAAGCAGCGTGTGGGGCGTTTCTGTACTTTGGAACATCCAATGGGTCAGCCATGGAGTGGTGCTGAGCTTGCAATCTGATCTTGACAACCTCCATAGGGTTCACCACCAACACGGCCTCAGTGACACCAGCACCGACACCTGCAAGAAACGTGTTACCTGTTGAAACTCTGCCATCTGGGCCAGCAAGAAGCGACCGGTAGAACTCGTACGATTGGAAACGAATACCCATCTTAGGCACGATACCCAAAACAACGGCACCTAAACCCTTGTACAAAGACAAAAAAGTCTCCTTTTGAACAATGTTGATACCAGTACGGATGAATCCTGGAGGTTTCTGACCAGATTTTCTGTACAACTGCATTCTCACTTTAATGGTGTCCAATGGGTGACAACACAAGGCCTCAAACAAACCGGCCACACCTCCGGCCACCAAGTCAGTGACGGAGCCTCCTTTCTTTTTCTCTGACATTCTTTATTATATATAATTTTATGGAAGTTTCAGCTAGAATCAGAAAAGTTGGAAGTTCTGGGGAATCGTCACTTTATATACCCCACAAAATTGCTTCCGCGCCAAGTTCCATTTCCCCGGGGTTGTGTTCTGGGGTAGCACCCGTGCACCCATGCCTATTGGGTAACAGTTATGTATGGGGACGAAACATGGGCCAACAAAGTGACAGATCAGGTACCGAGTTCGGCTCCGTTCATATTAATGAGTTTTCATATGGAAAGAGAAATGATTACTGGATGATGTTGATTATTGGCCGAACGTTGAAGTTGATATCTAAAGTGTGGTTGCGAAATCTTTAGACAAAGTTGGAGACCTCCCAGCATTTCCCGCAAATTCTTCAATACCTTCAGAATCTCGACATCCCAACTTGACACCAGTCACTATAGTCACGGGACATGAACATGACCCCAGCGAAAGGTGTTGATTGACTGTGAAAATGTCCGGGGTCACTACATCCGCGGGTCCGGGACGACCTGTATTCAGTGCACCTGGCCAGTGATTTTCTGGGGAATTTGTATAGGAGGGTGGACTCGGGGCAGAATTTCTGTTTCGGAGTTTTAAATAACTCCGGGGGTCTCTATTCTGTGGAGAATAGCCCTTTCGTGTTTTCAATTGCGGAGACTGGCCATTTCTCCTTTTCTCTGGAAGGTTTTTTTCTCGCTGGTGATTTTGCAATTTATCAGCGTCCTTCTATTGGTCACCCTCGGTTAAGGTCTGTTCCAGTGACAATTGTCAGCTTTCTGCACTCCAGCGACTCATTTCGGCCCATCGGAATTACTATGACTCGTCAACAGGTCAACCGGACTTCTGGTGAAAAATCCTCAGTGGTAAGTATGGCCCCTGGTTGGAGATTACATATGATTTGTAATTTTTGAATAATTGACCTTTTTATTTTTCTTTTTCTTTTTGGTGGGTTCTAGGTGCTGTCCAATTCGATATGCTCCAGTAGTTAAGCCTCATGCGGAATTATGGTGACTTGATCGTCCAATCAATGTGGTCATAGATCCGGCGTTTTGCCCAACTTCCGTGTCAGATACAGGTGTTCGGTCATAGCTTGCGGACTTATGAAGCAAAAAATAGTGGGATGTGTTTATCCGGTGTGGTGGAGGTCGTGTTGTGGTTCTGGTAAGGTTTCCCATTTTGGATTCCCAATTTAGTCTTATGTTGTGCTCACAGATAGACTAATGGTTGCAAAATGGAAAACATAGATATGATTCAGTTACTTTGATGATTGAATCTTTGTAGAACCAACGGCATACTGGTAAATCACGTATAGACTAAAATATTTGTTGATTGTACTCGTTGATTACTACAAACGCATACTACTCAATGGCTTCTATTGATGGCATCCAGAGTCCTACTCAAACGGTCTCATACAAGTTCATCGGTGAATTTGTAATTCACCACTCCCTCATCCAAATTCGTCCCGATTCGACTGTCTAGTTCCATGATAACGTTCTTTAATGCTACCTTTTGTGTGCGAGAAACGTTGATCAAACTGGCGTTGATGCTTTTGAGGTATAACAATAATGTTCTCGCAGAAGAGTCAAAGTATACTCCCTCCCGTTCGCTCTCATTCAATACCGTTTCGTAACTTATGTCAGTAACACATTGAGCTATTTGTCTCTGCGAACATACCTAAATGCAAGTGTAGGGTTTCTCCAGATGAGTGGCTGGAGTTTCAAAAGATCATGCTTCAACGAAACATAGCGATTACTCTGGGTCCTCAAAACCTGGTCGACTCCATTTTGAGTATAGCAGCCCTCAGATAGATGGTTAGCCATGATTAATGCGGTGCAAAGGTCCTCTGTCACTTACACAGACAAAAACAAATACCTTGTCTACGAGACGCGCAGTGCCCGCATTATTCAGACAAATTGTCAAGTTCAAAGTCATCGTCGTTTTCGCCAGCAATATTTGCATAGCCAGAAAACCTACTCAACTCTCCTTCCTCATCGTAGCCAACAAGTCTCAAATACAACGCTAACATCATGCTCATCCATAAGTAAATCAAGAAACCAGCTCCTGAGACTACGAGAATGTATGACGAAGCGTCGGCGCCCAAATCGTTGACCATCTGAAGCTGCTCCTCAGTTGCAGACATGAAAAGCAATCCGGACATAACCAAGCAGAATGGAGGGAAATGCTGGGCAATCAAGACCTTTCCAGACTCGCTGCAAGCTGCATTTTTCAACACGAAGCAGATTTCTACGATACGAGTGAGCCCACCTAACATAAGCACATTACCAAACATGGCATGAACTTTTGTGGAAATAGCCAAATGTTGAGTGTGTTGGGACATGGCATAACCGGTGTAGATGAGAAGAACAGCGGGAACAACATTTCTGACTCCATTCTTACGGGACATCCACATTCCGAGAAGTCCTCCGCACCACCAGATGATTCCCATAGATGTGTGTTGGTAGTCGCCATGAGACCATCCTTCACGGCCCCAACGGTGTTCGGTGAAGGTGTTAACGATACCCCACAAGCACATGAGCGAAGAATCCCAGAAATCTTGACTCTTTGTCGTGTTGTCGCCATTGAGCTTCAGATGGTTGCGAATCCAAGGCACTAAGAGCACCCAGAGAAGAAGAAAGCCGTATCCAATGAATGAAGAGCCCATGATGCCATGGGCAATGCACTGCCCAGTAGAACGGTTGTAACAGAAGCCAAAAAGTGCCACCGGAGCCAAACAGACGCGGACCCATCCGGTAAGAACAGAGGTGAATGCCAAAGTCTTGTAAGCACGAATAATGATCCGAGGAGAGGCCAGTGGCTCGCCCGATTTGCCCTTGAAGAAACGGTTGACTATCACGTTCGTTCCATTGATTAGAGTACCACAAAATACCGTGGCTGCAAGCTCCCAGGTAAGAAACCAGATGGTACCATGTGAGGTTCTGTTCTCGTGGCCATTAGGGTCGGGAAATGGAAGAAAGATGGCTTCAACAGCTGCGTATGCCAACACAGCAATGTGAAGAAGAGAAGCAACGTTGAATATCTCTGCAAATGCTAGGGCAGATGCAATTGAAGACGTAACGAGTAACACAAGGACGCTGACCACGAAGTGGAACGATTTGGAGACGGGATTGACCGGATGAAACTCGACTTTCTCGCCCATATCCATGTCCATGTCATCGGAAAGTGCTAGCGAGAAGAGTGCCGCGGATACGACGAGGAATTGCCAAGGTTTCATATGAAAAAAGTGTGGTTGGATATTTGACTTGTTAGAGTGCGAGTCGGCCATTTGGAGCCGACCATAAGTGTAGTAGGTAGGACAGCTGATGTGTAAATTACGAATGAGTGTCAAAAAACTGTAGAAAGTTATAGAAAGTATTCTAGATGATTTTCAACAGGGAGAGTTAAGAATACAAAAAATGGAAATAGGAGAAAGCCGTCTAACATTTTGAGTAATTGGAGGCTGGTCAGAATGTCAGCAATGGCAGTGGTTTGACACAGCTTTCTCAGCTTTTGTTGTGAGAGGTACTCTAATGCAAAAGTATATAAAGCCTAAAGATACATCAATAAATGACAAAAAAAGCCGTAGAACAAAAAAATGTCAAACGTAAATCTCGACTATCCTGGTGTAATATACCACAAGGTACCTAGATGGTCACATTTCATTCACTTCTACCTTGACATTGACAGCACTTTGAAAGACATGCATGGCACTTGGCGACAATGCTTGGCCCTAATTAATTGCCTCGGCTTCAAAGGTCCATTTTCCGGTCACCGAATCTGGACCGTGGTACATTATTCAGCAGTGAGGCATTTGGATTGGATCTGGCACATTTCGGTATGTCATCGCGCCGCATGGAAGGCCATAGATGCATCTCAAAGAACAATTTTCAATCTCTAATTTCCTTTCGATTATGTATTGCTTAGCTGAAAGTTTAACCTTAAAATGAGAATTGGGCATTGGACCTACCTTAGATCAACATTGTAGCCAATCAGATCCAATTTCAAAATGTTCTAGAGTTGGGGCCCACGAGCGTTCCCCACCAAAGTGTAATAGCAACCGAGCCATTATGAGCAGACCGTTGAGAATCATTACGTACAGTTGTCATCGGTATACAAACCATTACTCTTCTACTATATAAGTCATATATCCCACAAGTTCTTTCCAGATATTCGAGATTACCACTTCTCTATTTTCTAACATCTAACTCATTATTACCATGCCTAAAGCTTTACTTGCCATTACCTCCTACAACGGAAAATTCTACGATGACGGTACCAAGACCGGAGTGTTTGTCGTTGAGGCATTGCACCCATATGAGGTTTTGGTGAAGAACGGATTCGAGGTTGATTTCGTCTCCCACACTGGCTCTTTTGGTTGGGATGAGCACTCTTTGGCTCCAGACTTCCTTTCTGCTGAGGAGAAGGCCATCATTGAGGATCCTAACTCGCCTTTCATGAAGGGTATGAACCTGGCTAAGAAGCCTGAGGATGTCAATGCTGCTGATTACGATATCTTCTTCGCTTCTGCCGGACACGGTTCGTGTTTCGACTACCCAAAGTCTGAGGGCTTGCATAAGTTGGTGGCTGAGATCTATGCTAACAACAAGGTGGTTGGTGCCGTGTGTCATGCTCCAGTCATCTTCGATGGCTTGAAGGACGTCAACGGTAACTTGCTCATCAAGGGCAAGAAGATCACTGGATTCACCGATGAGGGTGAAGAGATTTTGGGACTTGTAAAGATTATGGAGAGAGACAACGTGAAGACTGTTCAGAAAGTTGCTGAGGACAATGGAGCTACTTACGTTCAGCCTGAGGGCCCATGGGGATCATTTGCTGTTGTCGATGGCAGACTTGTTACTGGTGTAAACCCAGCTTCTGCTGTTGAGACCACTGAGAAGTGTATTGAGACATTGAAACAGTTGTAAATAATGAATGAAATGATATAAGGTTACATTTTGTACGATCTCCCTGGATAGTGGAAATTATTGACTAGAGCCTTCAAGACTTGGAACATTAAAGTTGGTGCCACTATATACTAATTATCAAATCCTCGATTTAAATAATTCTTTGGTCGTTGCAATTCGTTAGGAACCACTTGATTTATCCATCGTTGTGGATAGTTAGAATTCCCTTAAAAGACACATTGACAATATTTAATCTTGGATGAAAGAATTATTACTATGCATTGTTTTGACATCGAAGTTATTTTCTCACAAGTTCTTGTAAACTATTTCTGTCACTACCCATTCTCTCTTTTTCGATTCGCCGCTTTACCAAATTTTACGCCGCTTTATCTCCCATATATCTCCAATTTACATCTATTTGTCATTTCCTGCTGATTTCTGAAGTTTCACTTATCCAATCTTTGTCTTCATAGAAATTTTATCTTCACGCGCATTCCCTATCTGCATCCGTCTCACACCTCTCATACATTACCCAAATAAGTATATACTTAAAGTTGTTAAGACCCCCCATAAACCATGTAACCTCTATGAAAAACTCTAGCTCCAAATAATCCAAATTCAAGCATTACCTTCGTCTTATTAATCTTGTACGAGGTATTCCAATAATTCCCCTATCTTCCTTCATTCACATACCTTTAAATCTCCGGGCCTACTCCAGACTCTCTGCCTGCAGTGCGACTTTCTGCCTATTACACTGAACACGCTTCACTTTCTGCTTGCAAGTTTCTTTCCACCAATATACCCCAGACCTTATCCAGCATATATTCGCCTAGATGAGATTTGCCACGGTGGTCTTGCTCCAGCTTCTTGCGGCCCTCGCAGCTGCCATGAAGGTGCCTGCCAAAAACTTTGTTGAAAGAGACTATTTCGTGGTGGAAATCGACACCTCCAACTCCACGGCGCCTTTGCATTCGTTTATCACCAACTACAACGATTCATACCGCTTTGAGCATCCCGTCAGAGGTTTGGACGACCATTTTGTGTTCAGTGTGGAGAAAGCCCACCCGCATGCTTCCTTTTTAGGAAATCTAAACTCTAACGATTACAACCACATCAAGAGAGCTGACGGCTTTGAGGAGGCCCATGACGCGTTGGTTTCTCATCCAGGCTTGCGCCTGATACATATGTTGCCACCAAAAAAGCTTGAGCGCCGAATGCCGGTGCCTATGGACGATTTGCCCATCATTGGCGAATCTGTGGAGAAAAGGGAGTTCACCGCAGTGGATTCGTCCCAGTTGCCACTCAAGGAAGTGGCAGATAAATTAGATATCAACGACCCCATTTTTGGTCAGCAGTGGCATTTGGTGAACACCATTAATCCTGGAAATGACGTTAATGTCAAGAATGTGTGGTACAACGGTAACATGGGCCAGGGAATCACAGTGGCCGTGGTGGACGACGGTCTCGATGTCGACCTGGAAGACTTGTATGATAATTTTAATCCTAAGGGTTCGTGGGATTTTAACGACAATAACAACTTGCCAAAACCCAGATTATTCGACGATTACCACGGCACCCGGTGTGCTGGCGAGATTGCCGCCGTCAAAAATGACGTCTGTGGAGTAGGTGTAGCCTACAAGGCCAAAGTGGCTGGTATCCGTATTTTATCCGGTCCTATCACCTCTGAAGATGAGGCTTCTGCTATGATGTATGGTTTGGATGCCAACGACATCTTCTCATGTTCGTGGGGTCCTACCGACAACGGAATGACTGTGGCCGGTCCCGATTTGCTTGTTAAGAAGGCCATCATCAAAGGTATTCAGGATGGCAGAAACAATAAGGGCGCATTGTACGTGTTTGCCAGTGGAAATGGTGGCAGAGTTGGAGATCAGTGTAACTTTGACGGCTACACTAACTCCATTTACTCTATTACTGTCGGTGCTATCGACTATAAGGGGTTGCATCCATCATATGCGGAGGCATGTTCTGCTGTGATGGTAGTGACTTACAGTTCCGGCTCTCTGGAACACATTCACACGACTGATATCAAGAAGAAGTGCTCTGCCACACACGGAGGCACGTCCGCTGCCGCACCTTTAGCTGCCGGGATCTATGCCCTTGCCTTGCTGGCGAACCCCGACCTCACCTGGCGTGATTTGCAGTATGTCAGTGCTATGGCTGCTGTTCCTGTCAATGAGGACGACGGAGATTATCAAGAAGGAGCTTTGGGCCAAAAATACTCGCATAAGTACGGATACGGTAAGCTTGATGCTGAAAAGCTCGTAGAAGCTGCAAAGAATTGGAAGAATGTCAAGCCACAGTCTTGGCTCTACTCAGACGTTGCCAACGTGGACCAGGAAGTCACAGGTCCTGCTACCAAGGAGTCAGAGGTAATTACAAGCACGATCACGATCAGCAAGGAAGATTTGGAAGTGATGAATCTTGAGAGAATCGAACATGTCAACGTTAAAGTGAATATTGACTCTCTGTTTAGAGGTAAAATCGGTGTGAGATTAGTGTCACCAACGGGAATCATATCGCATTTGGCTAGATTTAGACCAATGGACAGCGCCGGTTCTGGACTTAGAGATTGGGTGTTCATGTCGGTTGCTCACTTTGGTGAAGCCGGCGTGGGTGACTGGAAACTTGAAGTATTCAGTGACAAGGGCAACACCATCAAGTTCAAGAACTGGCAAATCCGTCTTTACGGTGAGAGTATTGATGCAGAAAAGGCAGAGAAATACGATGTGGAGAAGGACTATGCTGTGGTGAGAAGAGAAAGACTCGATAAACTTGGTCTGCCGAAGGACACAGAAACAATTCAATCAAGTGTTGCCCCAGGGACGGATACATCGGAATCGGAAACACTTGCTACAGAAACTTTCGCCTCCGAGAGCAACGCTCCGGAATCAGAAACTCATGTCGATACGACTACCGAGCCTATCACAGCCACCGCTAGACCAAGTATTGAGAGCACTACAAACACTGGAACAACTACAAGCACAGCTTCGGCATTACCTTCTGGAACAAACGAAGAAGAAGAGGACAACCATGAAGGTGCCAACAAACAGTACACCTCAACTCACGCAGGACAATACTTCATGGCATTGGCAGTGGTTGGATTCATTGCCGTAATTGTTGTGATGAAGTGGCACAAGACACCAGGCAGCTCGCGCCGCAGAAGAAGAGACGATTTCGAATTTGATATCATTCCTGGCGAGGATTACAGTGACACTGACGAGGACGGAGATTCGCTTGACCTCCGCTCACGCGACCCGGAAGATTTGGACCGTGAACGTCTTTTCGATGACTTTAATGCCGAGTCGTTACCAGACTATGAGGATGACATGTTCCAGATCGGCGATGAGGAAGATCATGACAAAACTGTGAGCAAAACTACTGAAAGTCGGGAACAACAATCTGACATGACCAATATTGACAATCATAGTCCAGAGATTGAAACGGGGGGCTCAATTGAGCCAGGAGAGTCTGAAGACACCACCAACAGACATCAGTAGATTGGTAGTGCTTTATCATGTGTACAATGCACGGCTGAGTAGGTGGGGAACGGGCCAGCGGAATAGAGCTGAGCACACGGAGAAAAGGAAAGTTGATAGAGCTGTGACATTCACTTACAATGACTCAAAATGAGTCATGGTGTCAGTCTCCGACACTACACTTTTACCCATGTGTTCGAACTTGCAACTGGTGTGGGTATGTGAGTGCAGATCTCCGTTCCGCACTACTTCGCTCCGGAAAAACTTATATCAGACTCCGCTTGGGGTGACAAGTCTAGACATTTGACTACACCCACGCTTGCCACGGGACAAACGGCTACAAGTGTCATCCAGACCTAGCGGACCAAGTTGCCAACGACAATACTATCCGAAGTGTCCGAAGTGTATATCGAAATTCTTTCGTCATTTTTTTTATTCCATTGGGAGGCCAATTTGTAATCAGGCACGTGAATGCAGACAATTCGCAACTATATAAAAGCCGAGGCCAACGTAGCAAGGACGAAAGGTAACGATTACCGACAAAACAAGGGCAAATAGAAGGTAAGACAATCCGTCCGTCCGAAGACTTATTGACAGCCAAAATAAAAGAATTGAATTGTTCCCTAAAACCGCTCCCTCATCGTCGTCCCCCACTTCTTATCTAGTGCGAAGTCGGTCAAAAGTGAAAGGTCCTTCATATATATAAGCTACACCCAACTTTTTTTAACGTCACCGTTTTTTCAACGAAACTACCCAATTGCCATGTCTGACTCTTTTGGTGAGCACGTTTCTATTGTTGTGTTTGGCGCCTCCGGCGACCTTGCAAAGAAGAAAACCTTCCCTGCCCTTTTCGGCTTGTACAGAGAGGGCGAATTGCCAGCAACTGTTCAAATCATAGGATATGCCAGATCCAAGTTGTCCACGGAGGAATTGAGAAGCAGAATCAAGGAGAACTTGAAATTGAAGGATGACCGTGCCAAGGAGAAGGTGGACGGTTTCTTGGAATTAATTTCCTACATCTCCGGTCCCTACGACAAGCCAGAAGGCTATCAGCAACTCAACAAAGCCATTGAAGAGTATGACTCCAAAAACAAGGTTACCGAGTCGCAGAGATTGTTTTACTTGGCATTGCCACCATCAGTTTTCACCGAGGTCGGCTCACACATCAAGGAGCACTGTTATCCGGAAAATGGAAAACTCAGACTCATTGTCGAGAAGCCATTTGGCCATGACTTGGAGTCGGCCAGACAATTGCAGCGCGACTTGGCTCCATTGTTCACCGAGGAGGAGTTATACAGAATTGACCACTACTTGGGCAAGGAGATGGTGAAGAACTTGTTGGTGTTACGTTTTGGTAATGAATTGTTGTCTGGAGTTTGGAACAACAAGCACATTTCGTCCGTGCAGATTTCCTTCAAGGAGGCATTCGGTACCGAGGGCAGAGGTGGCTACTTTGACCTGATTGGTATCGTTCGTGATGTCATGCAAAACCACTTGTTGCAGGTGTTGACCCTTTTGACCATGGAAAGACCAGTTTCATTTGACCCAGAGGCCGTGAGAGACGAGAAAGTCAAGGTTCTCAAAGCATTCAGCAAATTGGACGGTGATGACATCTTGTTGGGCCAGTACGGAAAGTCTGAGGACGGCAGCAAGCCTGGATATTTGGACGACGAGACTGTTAAAGGTGACTCCAATTGTGTGACATACGCAGCTATTGGAATGCTGATCAACAACGAGAGATGGGACGGTGTGCCCATCGTTTTGAGAGCTGGTAAGGCCTTGGATGAATCCAAGGTGGAGATCAGAGTGCAGTTTAAGCAGGTTGCTAAGGGTATCTTCAAGGAGATTCACAGAAACGAATTGGTGATCAGAGTACAGCCAAACGAGAGCGTTTACTTGAAGATCAACTCTAAGATCCCAGGTATCTCCACTGAAACTTCGTTGACGGAGTTAGACTTGACCTACGCCAGCAGATACTCGAAGGATTTCTGGATTCCTGAGGCTTATGAGGCATTGATTAGAGACTGCTACTTGGGAAACCATGCCAACTTCGTCAGAGACGATGAGTTGGATGTTTCATGGCAGTTGTTCACTCCATTGTTGGAGTACATTGAATCTGCCGATGCTCCAAAGCCAGAGATCTATCCATATGGCTCGAAGGGTCCAAAGGGCTTGAGGGCGTTCTTGACGAAGCACGGATATGTGTTTGATGGCGAAGGCTCTTACCAATGGCCATTGACCCGTCCAGACGTCAAGGGCAAAATCTGAACGATGTAACCTAATGAAATGAAAGAAACTGAAGTATACCAGTAGTGCGAAAGTATTTCGGAAGTAAAAAGCTCTAAGTGGAGAGTTGAATACACAATAATGGAAGATAGACCCCGAAAGACTGTCTCTCGTCCTCAGATGCCTAGACCTAGAAACTTTCAATTTAGTGAAACCTACGTACGTACAGGTTCCCCAAATCTAACTACTCATACGAACCAAAAGCTCTGGAAAGGTTGAATATCAGACATCCATGGAAGGTCGATAAGCGGTCACCGGCATACTAGATTGGGTTCTAATGTATGCTACCGAGGAAACTGCGAATGTTATGGGATATTTCATCATATTAAACAACCTTGGCCAGAGCACTTGGCTCGTTACCAACAACCCGTACTCTCTTGCACGTGCTTCCAGAGTTCAGCTGCTTGCTGGAGAATGAATCAGTACTGCTCAATACTGGCAAGTATAAGCTCCCAATGCAACCACATAGCAAATGTGGCCATGCGCAAAGGGAACGGTTTTCAACCCTGTCGTCATAGTCGAATCAGACTGGGAAAGAAGAAACTTAGTATCATCATCTTCAATTCTCCATCACGCGGCTGAACGCCAAAAGCCCGAGCAAGAAAGGACGGGTTGATTTCGTTGAGATGCGGAAAGTGAGAAATCTTCGCATCTTTATATACTGAGGCAAGTCATCGGTACTGCAGGTATATAGTGGGTTACCCGGTCGATATTATACTAGGTCAGACCTTGTGGCATGGGACTGACAGAATGTTAATAATTAAATAATTTCCAAAAACAAAGAAAAGTAAAGAAGACAATTCTTTTTCTCAAGTCGCATCTGTTCTGTACTCTTAATTATCTTCTTGGTGGCATCGTTGGTGCCTACATCAATCTCACTGTTTGTACTCCATGCTGAAACGTCGCAAGCTTCTAGCTGTATTTGCAAGAAGCAAATCTTGTCCAGCAATTAACGGAATTGCTCTATCATTCTCTTCTTCAGAGCATTCATTTGTCAATCCTTACGAAACTGTTTCACCCAAATGTACTGAATTCAATCCTTCGCCCAAGCGCAAGAACGATACTATACCTAGTTGGGCGTTCAAAACTACTGAACACTTGTTACAGGAATACGGGTTTAAGGATTATGCACCAACGAAAATCAGATACACTGACCACTCACAGTTCAAGTATGATCTCGTTATGAACGCATTGGTAGAATCGCTTAAGATCGCAACCACCTCTCTAGAATACGTCAACAGGTAGGTCTCATCAGGGGCTCTAATGGGGTCATACTTTAATCGTAAAGCAATTCATTACTAACAAAGAAGCATCTAACAAGCCAGTTCCAGATGCAGCCTGGATTTCAAAGGCATACTTAGATCCAGAACTTGGAGATGTCGCCTCCAGCACCATTGAAGGCAAGAACATTGGGAGAGGCAGCATCAAGACCCTTCACCACATTGGGGGTACCGAATTTGATAAGTCTCTTCTTCAACTCAGCAGGAGTGACTAGATTCTCACCAGAAAATTCGGATCCAAGGTCTGGCTGCAATGACAAGTAGTATGACAACAAGCCAGTGATATGGGGAGCAGCCATAGACGTACCAGACATGGTCATGGTGTCGGACCAGATTCCTACCGACAAGATATCCACTCCGGGAGCCTGGATATCCACACATTTACCCCAGTTGGAAAACGATGCCTTCTGGTCTGCGTTATCTGTGGCACCCACGGTAATTGGGCCGCTAGCTCTAGCTGGCGATACTTCACAAGCATCGTTATCTTCGTTACCTGCAGCCACAGCGATGTGCAAGCCAGCATTGGTACCTGCGTTCACAGCAAGGTCTAAGGCTTCGGAGATTCCTCCGCCAATCAGCATGTTGACAGTCGCACCCTTGTATCCCTTAGTCTTGGAAGAAATATTGGCCCTGTGCTCCTTGACTGCAAACTCCACACCTTTGATGATGTCGGAAGTGGTTCCAGAACCCAAGAGGTTCATCACTCCTATTGCCACCAAGTCGACCTTCTTGGCAATTCCGTAAGTCTTGGAGCCAATAGTACCTGCAACATGACTACCGTGGCCGTGGGCATCCACCTTGAGTTTAGGGAAAGCAATGGCATCACCCCAGACGGCTCTACCCTCGAAATCGGGATGCTCAGTCTTGATTCCGGTATCAATGATGTAGGCGGTAACACCCTTTCCTCCCTCGTTGTCGTAAAGGTAGTCCACAGCAGGAGTTTTCAACTGTCTCTGAGAGACACGTGCCAACCCCCATGGGGCCTCTTCCTGGACGTCGTACTCGTTGATATGCATCACCGAGTCCTGCTCTACAAAATCCACCAATGGGTTTTCCTTAACCAACTGCAAGAGTGCAGGAGGTAAGAAACCCGAGTATCCAACAAGCTCATGGATGGAGAAGAAGTCCAAGGCACCGCCAATCATGTCCTCCACATCGTCAAGGAAGCCTCTCTTGTCCACTTCTCTTTTTGCCATCATCGAGAGTTGGGCGGTTACCCAATCCTCATGGGCAGCATATTCGTCTGCGGAATAGCCACTCTTCAACACTACAATGTATCTGTTTGGGACAGGCTCGTGGGTTTTAACCATAGGAGCAGATACGCCCAGGTTTCCTGGAGATTTGTCGTTGGAGATAGGAATCTGGGGCTGAGCAGGCAAGCCGAAAATAGCGTCGATGTTGAAGTTATTCAAGTTGGGAACAACCAAAGCCGTGGCCAAAGTGACCAAAAGCGGCAAAAAGGGAGCGGTTCTCATGATGTTTTTGATGTTGGGTAGGAAGAGAAGTGTGGATGTGATAAGGGCACTTTTATATGTCTGGAGGCAATTCCTGCAGACAGTGCATATGACTGATAGTCAAGCCACACGATTTGAGGAGGGATAAGCGGATATTTCAAAGAGTATAATTTAGAAGGTTTTAAATGGAGATGCTGATTCAAATTTGGTGGAGGTTAACTATGAATTTTTTGATAATTCCGATCTTCGGATGATGCGTGATTGGTGTTCGTTTTCAATATTCAGCATGTGCGATAGAGCATCGATAAGATCATGAGTTAAATGAAATGAGGTAGGAAGGTGAAAGAAGCTCAACTTCTTGAGATAACTGAAAATTTTGGATTGTTTTCGTCATAGTAGTATCTTTCATAGTATTCATGGCATTCTGCAATGTCTTTAAATAGTCTTATTGTCTGTGGTATTCTGTCAATCTGGAATTGGTCTGGAAGTGAGACAATGACATGTTAAACATACAAATTTGATAAAAATGTTCAATAACACCATGTTTATTTGAAATGGGTAGTGAGATTGCTCCTAAGCAACTTTTCATGTGTCAAGTACCTGTTCATTGCCAAGTAGCCACCAAATCGTTGGGTTCCTTTGTCCATTTGATTGCTTACGGCTCTGTTCATATTGCAAAATGTTTCCGAGACCATGACTTTGGGTCTTTATCAATTATTGTTACTGGGCATTCGTGGCTAGATGTGTCTCATGGATATCATTTTCATTTACACCAATACAACTCGCTCATTGGTCTCACAAAGGATAACTGAAATCAAGAGGTGCCAGTTATTTAAAATAAAAGATAAACTTATTCTAACTTAGCAGCAAGCAAAGTGAAGTGTTACGACTTCGGATATACCGACACTATCCTCCTTTCAGTGTTGTCAACAGGTACGTTGTTTCTTCTGAATACTTTGAGACCATCACTTCCATCTTAATGCCTCTGTTAATTACCGCATGGAGTCCATTTTCCTTGATTTTTCTTTTTCTTAGGTGGAGGTAAATTTCCTTCCTATCTACAGCTCATTTTAAGTACTAATCTAAGTCAACCAACTGGTCTACGAGAATGATACGTAAGATATAACAATTGAAATTACCAATTCATTCCCTGAAATTCCAACACTAAATACCAGCTGTTGTATTTATGACAGACTGATGTCAAATACACATCGAACCATATAGCTTAGTCTGGTCAATACCGAACAAGGTCTGATCTCAATAACCAAGGCAAAGTCCTCAGTCTCCCCTCAATTTTTGTTTCTGACCTCATAGTGACTCATCCTTCATTCCCTTTGTAACGATTCTATTCTTTTTTCTTTTTTAGATTTTCCAACAGTTCATTCCAATTTAATGCATTTCGTGTCTTTCTGGGTGCAAAATGAGAAATCCCAATAAGAGGGTTGATGAGTTGAATAATCAAAAGGACAACATAATCAAAGAAAGACCACAAGGCACAAAGAAGCAATTTAATATACCTTTGAAAATCTAAAATCTATCCCTTACTCTCCATTTTCCCGAGCCCAATCCATTTCGAATTTCTATTCTCCCACCAACATAAGGTCGTGCACCACCCCAAATCTCCTGCCACGTAACTCGACATTTCCATCTTCAAAACCTACCTCTCCACCTTCGAACCGACATGTCCAGAAGAAGAGCTTACCCACAGCCGCAATATGCCACCGCACAACCGGCGGCGGCGCCCCAGTTCAATCAGGGCTACGACTATGACCAATTGAATCAGAACTTCCTGGCAATGAACGTTCAGAATAACAATCCAAACCAGGGTGCTCCAGCGTACCCAAACGCTGATCCTGCGGCCCAACAGGCCCAGACTGGTTATGGTCAACCGGTTGCAGGCGCTGCGCCAGCTTATGGCGCTAACTACGCCCAGAACCAACAATTCCAGCAACCAGCCTATGGAGGTCAACAGTCGTATAATTCCTCGTATGGCGCCGGCGCTGGTTATTCAGGTGCCGCTGCCAATGGCACCCCTAGCTACGGCGGTCAGTCGGGCGCAGCTCCAGCGTTGCCTTTGAATCAGTTGTACACTACGGACTTGTCGAAGGAGCTTCCTCCATCTATCAGTGACTTGTCTTTACCACCACCTCCACTCATTTTGCCTCTGACGGCCCAGCTCATTCCATCATCTGAGACCGCCAATGCACTGCCCGAGTACTTCCGCTCCACATTGAACGTGGTTCCTGCCAACAACTCGCTTTTGAAGAAATCCAAGTTGCCTTTGGCACTTGTGGTTAGACCTTACAACACCTTACATGACGAGACGGAACAGGTACCCGTGGCAAAGGACACGATCATCTCAAGATGTCGTCGTTGTCGTGGTTACATTAACCCATTTGTCTCCTTGACTGAAGGTGGAAAAAGATGGAGATGTAACTTCTGTAGCTTGCAGAACGATATCCCCACCGCATTCGATTACGACGACTTGACCCAGAAGCCCGCAAACCGTTACGATAGAGCAGAGTTGAACCATTCCGTGGTCGAGTTTGTTGCTCCAAAAGAGTATATGGCTAGAGCTCCTCAGCCAATCGTTTACACCTTCATTATCGACGTTTCTCAGGACGCCATCAACTCTGGCATGACATCTACAGTGGCCCGCACAATTTTGGAGAGTTTGGACCGTATTCCTAACAGAAACAATACTGCACGTATATCTATTATCGGTGTGGACTCCAACTTGTATTACTTCCGTTTCAAGGAAGGTTTGCAGGACGGACCCGATATTTTGGTGGTTTCTGACTTGGATGAACCATTCTTGCCTTCCCCTGAGGGCTTGTTGATCAACTTGGAGGAGAACAGAAAAGCTATCGAGAATTTGTTACTAGTTTTGCCTTCATACTTCGAGCACTCTGCAAACAACCACTTTGCTTTGGGCCCTGCCTTGAGATCTGGTCACAAGATGATCTCCAGCATCGGTGGTAAGTTGATTGTGTTCGCCGCCTCCTTGCCAAGCATCGGTGAAGGTAAGTTGTCTGTCAGAGACGAGTCTGCCCATTCCGGCAAACCTAAGGAATCTCAGATGTTGTTGAATGCTGCTGATAAGTTCTACAAGGCATTCGCAGTTGAATGTAACTCTGCTCAGGTGACTATTGACTTGTTCTTGACTGGCTCAAAGTACCAAGATGTTGCAACTTTGTCTAACTTGCCAAGATTCACCGCCGGTCAAACCCACTTCTATCCATCGTGGATTTGCTCTAAGGTTGAAGATGTTAACAAATTGTCTAGAGAAATCAGCGAGCACTTGTCCATGGATATTGCTTTGGAGGCTGTTTTGAGAGTGAGATGCTCCACAGGATTCAGAATGAGCGGTTTCTTTGGAAACTTCTTCAACCGGTCCTCTGATTTGTGCTCTTTCCCAACCTTCCCCAGGGACCAGAGTTATGTTATTGAAGTCAACATTGAGGAGACCATTGCTAAACCAGTCGTTTACTTCCAGGCTGCTGTGCTACATTCCACGTGTTTTGGTGAGAGAAGAATTAGGGTCATGAATTTGGCTATTCCAACTTCTTCCAAGTTGGAAGATATTTATGCTTCCGCTGATCAGTTGGCTCTTACCAACTATTTCACTCATAGAGCTATTGAGAAGGCCTTGGCTGGCTCCTTATCAGATGGTAGAGACTACTTGATTAAGTCAGTTGTGGATGTTTTGAACGTGTTCAAGAAGGACTTGTTCCCAGGAAACTTCACTGGTGGCTCATCCTTACAAATCTCTACCAATTTGAGAATGCTTCCATTGTTGATGTTCTCGTTGACAAAGCACTTGGGTTTTAGAGAACAGAGAGTCCCCGCCGATCACAGAGCCATTGCATTGAACAATTTGGGATCTATGCCTATCCACCAGCTTATCAAGTCCATCTACCCAACGGTGTACTCATTGCATAACATGCCAGATGAATGTGGATTGCCTGAAGAAATCGTTCAGGTCAACGAAGAAACTGGGGAAGAAGAGACTGTTACAAGCACATCGATTTTATTGCCTGAGCCAATCAATGACACCAAGGCCTCCTGGGAGAACTATGGTTTGTATTTGATTGACAATGGCTCAGAATTGTTCTTGTGGGTTTCTGGAGACGTTGTTCCAGGTCTTGTTCAAGACTTGTTTGGAACTGACAACTTGTATGCTGTGCAAACTGGTAAGACCGAGTTGCCAGAGTTTGAATTTGAAGAGTCCGAGTTCAACTACAAAGTCCGCCAGATCATTGCCAAGATTAGAGAGCAGAAGGACTCCATCACGTGGAAGAGTTTGTACATCATTATTGGTGGCTCTTCTAATGAACCAATGGAAATGACCCAGCAGCGTGACTTAATGGCCTTGAGATTGTGGGCTTTGAGCTGCTTGGTTGAGGACAAGACCCAATTTGAGCAGGGCTACAGAGAGTTCTTGACCTCCTTGAGAAGCAAGATCACCGCCTAAAAAAATCACATTGTAGATACAAACTGCTACAATACCTCTCCTTTCTAGTGTATAGAAGAAATGAAAAGTTAAATTATGGACCATGCGAGTTGATTAGCGCCACTGCCTCTGCCATTCCTTCTTTTGCTTTACCATCTAGCACTTTAATCACGGAAGCAGAGATGCTTGCAGAATGAGAGCGCAAATTGCGGGCTATAGGTCCACCTCTAGCCATTGTAGCTACCAAATTCTTCTTGAATTTGTATGACAATCTTGCCCAGTACACATTTGCAATGGATGAACCTTCCAGAGCTAGAGAATTCTCGAAGTTTTCAGACAAATTTTCTTGACTGCTTTTACCATCCAGTTTTATCACTCGACTGTTCATCAACAACTCAGATAGGGTGGCCACAAAGTTTGTTGAGGTCTGATTCACCTCAATCAAAACAGTTTCGAAATTTCTAGGCGATTGAAGCGATCTAGTAAGGGAAGTCAAAGCAACTTGAATGGATTTCGACATGGCGCCTTTATCCAAGAGTGTGAAAAGCTCAGTCTCATCCAATATCGACAATGCAACAAGATTATTCTGTAGGTTCTCATTGGAGGCCACAAAGGAGCTGTGGTGGCCCAAATCGTTGGAAATTTTGGCTGAAAGTTCATTGGTGAGGTCAGTGGTTTTAACCTGGAAAATCGGCTGGTAATCCCGTACCAACTTCAAAGACAAAAGATCCACAGGGTCCTCAGACGTGGAGAAGACGTTTTTCGTGAACATCTCACCTACCTGGCGGTGTAATCTGGCCAACCGAACCACGTTTTTGGAGTCAGACAGCGATTCGTGCTGTTTCTCGCAATCCTGAAGCTGTTGAACAAAAAGAAAGAAAAAACCAGCACCGCGGAGCAAGTTGAGAGTAGCATGAACCCTTTTTATTGCACCGTTGAGCTTCACAGCGTCGTCGTATGGCTGGACGATGTCGTTGTTTATGCGTTGGAAGGCTTTCTTCATTCTGGCAGTCAGAGGGTTGATTTGAGCGTCCAAAAGAGCACGCGTCGATTCTATCCGCGAGAAATTTTCAATCAACAGCTCGTGGTTGGCAGAAGCGAGCTTCTCCATGCGTTTCTCCACTTCGTTGGCATCAAATTGGAGTTTCTTGATTGGAGTCCAGAGGTCTAGCTCACTATCATCGGTCACATTGGTGGCAAGAAGAAGTGAAGCAGAGAATTTCAACGGATCGAACCCGTCTTCAATGAATGCCTCAAAGTCCTCGAGTTCCAGCATTGACACAGTATGAGTTGAAGTAACCAAGTGTACAGGATTTTCCACCAGATCATGAAGTAGTAGTAGCAGCAGTGAACCAAATGAAATCAGGAAATTTAAAAAGTTTAAAAAGTAAAAGAGGAGACAGAAATGAAAGGAAATGATTAAATGACATCTTTGGGAAAACAACTGTACTTGCAAAGGCATTCATCTCTAGGTAGTACCTCCTTAATCTCAGGACAGTATCCATCATTCTCGTTACTTCATATTACCATGGAAAAGTCCCATATCTCCAATTCTATATATTGAAATTTCCATTTCTCATTCTGTCCGGTACTTCGGCTTGCTGGGCTGCTTGACCACCTTTTCCGTCTTTGGCTTGAACTTGCGATACTTCTGCTTCTTGAACCTCGCCTGTTCTTCTCTGAGAAGCTTTTTGGCCGCTTTTTCTCTCTTTTGCTTTCTTTCACGACACTGGATAGCATTCACGCGCTTTTTCATGCCTGGTCTACGCCGTCTGCCTCGAAGTTTTTCCTTTTCGACGTTTTCATTGTGTTTCTTCAAGCTCATCACCTTCCAGGGCCAGCCATCAATGGCGGGCAATTTAAGCTCAGCAAAGATGTCTTCGGCACTGATAGCTGCTTGCTGGAATTTTAACTGCTCCTCTGAGCTGTACTTGGCTCTGTAGTAAGATTCTGGACGCTCATTAACGATGACTTCCTCCTCTTCTTCTTTCATACTCACCGTCATCACTTCTGCAGTTGCTGAACCAAAAAGTGGAAATGCAAATTCTTCTGCCTCAGGCTCCTCTTGGATATCACCATTTTGCTCCTCCTGTTGGGGCCCTTCAACATCAACTTCGACTATATCAAACTCAACCTTGGGTAGATACACTTCCTCATCGGAACTGGACGCTTCCGAGTCATATAGATTCTTTCTGGAAGCTCTGGAGATTAGTAAGGTGGTCATAACGAATAAAATAGGAAAACATACACTTTATACTGTGACATTGCAACTAGCTCAGTAGGTCTTCGCATCTCTCAATTATTCTTGTACGCATCATGGCATTTTCTAATATACACTTCGTAACTCATAATTATTAAAATACTGCTCCAATGTCACCATAGAGGCACACTGGCAGACTGAATAGTCTTTAACACGTCTGGACGCTGCCTCCATTTGGGTGGAATGAATCCACTGGCGTTGGGTTTCTCGTTCACTGGAGGCACTCTCAGAGGTTGTGAGCTTTCTGCTTTGATTTCCAACTTGACCCTCGTCAACTTACCATTCTTCCAGATAAGACTATCCACTTCCGGGTACTGCTCCCGAACAAAATGTGTCACTTCATTCAACTTGAGGTACCGCAAGTCCAACATCTTGAACTTGGCGCAGCCTTGACTGTCAACTCGGTCGTGTCTTCCAACACCAACCATATGGAAAAAGAGTGGCCACATGGCTTCCTTTGCGGGCTGAGGGATCTGTGCGGAGTTGACCATGTTGCAGTGCTTGTGGATGTCTGACACTGGTGCAGCTAAAAGCAATGCAATCTGTAAGTCGACGACCCAGCTATCGCCTCCATGCTCAAAGACATAAAGTGGAGAAAACTTCAATCGCTCATTATCAGAGATTGATCCATTAAAAGATGCCTCCTGCAATCCAATTGGGTACTTTTGGATCACCGACTGGATTTCCATGGTCAGCCTCTTCTTTTCAATCTCTTGCAAAAGACGTTCTGCTTCTTTTGCTTCTTTCAACTTCTCCTCCACTTCTTTTTGCTTCTGTTGCTTCATTTCTTCCATCTTCTTCTCCTCTTCCTCCTTCCTCTTCTTCTCCTTCTCCTTTTCTGCTAGCAAAAACATTTCTCTTCTTGCTCTCTTTTTGGCTTGGACTTTCTCTTGCCAATGTTTGGCTTCTTCAGCAGCCTTTATTTTCTGCTCCTCTTGTGCCTTGGTAAGAGGAACAGGCGATGCAGATGCGCTGCCTTTCTGCTTATTCCTCTTGTAATCTCCTTGATCATACGCGGGTGAGACTTCGCGAGAATCTGCTGTAAGCTCTTTCTTGAAGACTTGCGTTTCAGGCTTCTGCACCTCTGGAAGGCTCTGCTTGCTGGTTACCATCTCCTTTGAATCTTCATTTTTAAAGGGAGCCTCCTTTGACTTATGATCATGACTTCTGATCTGCTCTTTGGCTTTCGGCTCTGGTTCTCCGCTCTTTGCTCTCTTCACAGGCCCCCCTTGGTCTTCAGAAGCTCTTCTTTTCTTCTCAATTGGGCCAGAGGATATTTCGTCATCCACATCCATGTTGGCATCTTCTTCAACTTCATTGGGTTGAGGGGTTGAGGGGTCCTTGGGAATCTGCCCTCGTATATACTGTTCGAGAAGAATTACTTCTCTTGGATCATGTTGGGCTGAGTGTTTTGCAACCTGGAGTGCGTTCAAACCGTCTTGATCACGCTTTAATTTGGGGTTTGCACCCTTAGAGAGCAAAAATTTGACAACCTCATAGTGACCCCTTCCAACGGTTGCCAAGAGAGCGGTTACACCAATTCTGTTAGTTTGGTTGATGTCGAATGAGCCAGGATTCAATCCTAAAAGGATATCTACCAATTCGACATGTCCATTTCTGGCAGCAACATTTAAAATATCAGGAGTTTTCTGTAATGAATAAGCATGAGTGACAAAATCTCCTGCAGCAGCCTCTTTGAGTCCTTGAGCCAAATATCTGAAGATGGTTGCAGAGGTCTTTTTTCGAACTAGATCAGCAAAATAACTTTCAGTTGGATCCTCAATAATTCTTCGAGACGACTGAGATACTGCTTGTAAGCTTGATTTGCCCCCAACCTGAGAGGCGGCATCCAATAAAGCGATAATCTCTTCATAATCTTCTTCCTCATCCTGTAAATGATACAACTTGGTCAATGCAGAGTATCCATCAGCATTGCAGATGTCAGGATCCGCACCATGAGCGAGAAGCAATTTGACAGTTTCAATGTGCTTGTTTTCAGCGGCATCCATCAATGGTGTTTCGAAGTCCCCGAATTCAAGTGCCTGCTTATTGACATTAGCGCCTTGTTCAATCAAATATTTCACAATTTCGGTGTGGCCAGCAAGGGCTGCTTCATGTAGGCACGTAAACCCACCAAAATCACACTCATTGGCATCGGCTCCTCTTTCGATCAAATTTTTCACTTCTTGCAAGTCTCCCTTCTTGCAGGCTCTTTGCAAGAACGAACGACCAGTCGAGTCACGCTTGATCTTGTAATCTTTCTTTCTGAAATTAGATTTGTTCTCATTATGGTCGTCCGTTTCTCCTCCGCTCACTTCAGTATCATTCAGGTGGTCCTCGATTGTGGAATGAGCATCCTTCTTATTCACCTTCAGAGATCCTTGACCCGTGTTGGCGTTTGGCTTTGGAGAAGCTGGTTTTGGAGAAGGACTTTCTTTCGCAAGAGTTTCGTCATCTTTCTCATCAAAATCATCTTCGTCTGAAGAATAAATGACCTTTCGCTTGAGCTTTCTCCTGTGCTCGTCCTTTTCTTTGCGCAAGAAGGATTTGCCCTTCTCCAAGGTCGCAGTTCCTTCTGTGATGATGGTCTCTGCTTCAGAAATATCACCGTCGTTCTCAGCACCTCCATTTTCGTGTTCGTCAATCAGATTCAATCCACGTATGATGTTTGTGTCAGAAATGGGTGATCCCACCGGTGAAAGAGCAGAAGTATCGAAACTGGCAGCCACGGGGGATTCGACGGTCTTCTGATCGGTCGCAATTTCATCTTTTTGAGTTTCTTCATACGATTCCATTAGCTTCGCATCCTCCTTGTTCGATTGCTTGACCGGAGAGGATTCTGGATGGCCCGTCAGATTCGAATGGTCACCTTGACGTTCGTTAGAAGGGCTCTCTTTGGTATCCTCGATTTTACTCTCCTCCTCCCCACCTAGTCCTTCTTCACCAGACTTCGTTCTGGGAGATTCTTCCTTGATTAATTCTGTCAATGTCTCTTCAATAGATGCACCCACTAGCTCTTTGCCACCCTTATTCTTTATATCCTGGTTCGCCGAAAGATCGTTATCTTGAATTGTATTGTAGGCGACGTCTTTATCTGTGGGTTTGCTTGTTTCTTCCACCTCACCCAACTTCGACTTGGAGTCTTCAGTGTCTGATGTCACCTTAACTTCATCAACTCGATCTGTTCCGGAGGTTTCAAGCTCTTGCTTGGTTTCTGGGAGCTTTTCAAGCTTCACTTCTGAATCGTCTGAATCAAAAAGACTCAGTAGTTTTTCGTCTTTCGTTTGCTCATTTCGGCCTCCTAAAGAAGGATAACTTTGACTACTTCCATCTGTTGCTTTGGCCTCTACTGACTGGCTTCGTTGCGATTTCTCAAACTTTTCGGAAGAATCCAAAGATGGAGCCACCGTGTTATTTCCATGTTCAGACCTTCCCAGGCCTTCAATTCGTGATATCTCGGATCTACTCAGTCCTTCAGTTCTTCCCAGGCCCTCAGGTTTATACTGATCCCGTCCATGGTGATTTCTGGAATGATTTCTCTGCTTCGGAAATTGTGATGAGTCCCAGTCGTTCTTACGGCCTGCCGTTCTCCTCTCATCGGCAAAATCATGCCCGGGATCGTCCCCACGTGCGTCGTACCGCTCGTCATAGGGTTTTCTACCCGAGTAATACGAGCCATGGTCATAATCTCCTGGCGCATTATGGTTGGAGTTGTGATTAGTGTTGTGATTGGCATTTGACGAGCCCCATGGTGAGTTGTTGGGATTGCTGCTGCTCTGACTTCCAGACTGGCCACTCTTGCCTCGTGAATTGGGTCTGTATTTGCTTCCTTGGTACGAGTCATACTTATCTGGCCTTCTTCTATTATTTTGTGGCCCGTTGCCACTAGAAGTGCCCAAACCATTCCCTCGACCATATCCTGAGCGATATCCATAATATTCTCGATTATCTTGTCTTCTGTAGGCGCCCAGGCTCAGTTGCTCCTGGTATCCAGCCCCTGGGTTAAATCTTTTCTGCTGATTAGAGTACCGAGGATAATAACCTCGATCTCTGTCTCTATCTCTGTCACGGTCACGATCTCGCTCGCGACTGCTTCCATTTGAAGGCGGATTTGAGGACGAGCCACCGTAATGGCCGTTGTAAGACATTTGTAGTAAGATGAACTGTTTTTATTTTTCTTGTACAAATTAACCTTTGTTCATGATAGCTGGCTGTTATCTGCAGGCCCCAAACATGTGATGGAGAAGAGAAATGAGGTTGAAATCAGAAATGGATTAAGAAGCAGATAATTGAAGTTTGAACTTTCTCTTAACTGAAGTAGAAGAGGAAGTGGACTGAAACGACGCAATTTTTGAATACAGCTGAAATAATCGGGCGGATAGGGATGATTGTCTCAGGTTGAAGAACATTCATGATTGGTTTCATGACTGTGATGCTGAATGAATGAAAGGACCTTTAAGTATTAATTGAAGAAATATCCGAACCTCACTCAACCTGCTCTTACTTTCTTGTGTTTATATGTCCAGCTTGTTGAAGAACTGGTTGATATGTAATTATACACGGATTTCGCACCTATTCAAGGAACCAGAGGTTGAAATAAATCAGTCCCAAAAAAAATTATTATGAAACAATAACGAAACATTAAAGGTGGTTAACAATATACTTACGGTAGTTAGTAGTGAGCTGTACTGGAGGATATAAGAAAAATTTTCAACGGTTAATGATAGAAGTACTCTATGAGATACACCTTAGGATCGTTTCCAGCAGATTGATTATGCATCAAGCCCCGTCACCCACCGAAGACACAAGAGACACAAGAGACACGTCCATCCAATCAAAAATGACAATAACACTCAAAGTTTCATGCTTGAACTCATGAAACTCTAAGAGTGACTGAAATATTGAAAAGCTTGGACAGAGGAGGTTTAATCATTACGTTTGCTGCTCCTATTGTAAGCCGCTCCGAATGATTATTACGGTGATATGCTAATGTGAGCTCGACGTAACCATCGATAGATAGTTGGGAGCCTACCAAAGAGTTCTTATTGTCATCATTTTGACTTCGGAGACCAGTTATGAAAGATGCTGATGATTAGGTGGCAGATATATAAGTTTTGATCAGGAATCAGTGGTTGTAAAAGATGAAAAGGAAGAGTAGGATTAAGTGAGTCGGGATAGTTCGAAATTTTCTCAAGTGGAATTGATAGGATTTTGCTTTAATGAATTTGTAAGATTTAGAGATGGAAAATAACTTTCCAATTTTTCAGACTCAGTAATCATCATTGAAGAAGGTATGTGTTTCAAGGATGCTCAAAGGATTCCTTATGGGGTTTCTTGAACCCCACTTGAAATTGATGACTACAGCAATTGTCTTAATTTAAATCGCTTTGCCAAGAGGGCGGTCTTGTGGATCAATACAAGTGTTAATACCTATTCATGCATTTCAGCCAACGATTCCTCTCGAAAATCGCTTCTGCTTCTCAAATTACAGAAGGTTCGTCACGAATTTATGGTTATTGTCCTCATAAATTTAAACTTCAGTGGATAAAACCCATTTACGGGAAAATCAGCAATTAGCAGCGTGAGAAAAAGTGCCCCTTACCTCTCTTTTTTACTTACTTCTATCAACTTATGAACTGATATCAAACTTTACTGAACAGCACTCTCCTTTGTCCTTTTTTTCATTGTTCTACCAGCCATGGTCAAGTTCAAACGAATTTTCAGAACAATGAACTGTTCTTTAAATTTGTAATAGGTGCTGTATTGGTTCCCAAGAAATTTTTCGAATGGGCAACACACTGAAACAATACGTGTTAGAGCTCACAAGTGAATGAATGTATTTAGTTGATTATGGAAGATCAAAAGGCAGAGGTGAGTCAGGTATAAAAGAAGCTTGAAACACGCCTCAAGTAGCACTCCAAAGTCAATAAAGATAGATGTGTTTATGCTAAGATATTAAATTTCAATCGACAGAACCGGCTTTGGAAAAATCTAATTTTCCGAGGTCTTGCTTGCCAATCGTTCCCCAAAATCCATAAGCTCAAAAATGAGGCTCATGTTGGGACAGATACGGTCACAGGCCTGGACTGTATTGCCCAGATTTGCTATGTTTAGGTTGCACGTCTCGGCCGTGTTGTCAGTACCAGACTTCAACAATTCGTACGCTTCGTTGACGGAGATTTTAAACTTCACCATAAAGTAGGCCACGATGACACATGCCGAGCGCAGAACACCACACTGACAATGAACAAGAATCTTTTTGCCTTGTGTATCAAATTTGGCGATGGTGGAGGTGAGCTCCGGTAGTTTTTCCAGAATAGACAGAGTATGTGACCATGGGATATACACGTACTGTTTTCCTCCAGAAACATCGAACTCACCAGAGAGGTCGCGGCATTCTTTTGCAACATTAATGACAAGATCATAGTTGTTAATATCCACGTATTTCTCTGACAGGAGAGGGTCCAGGTACAAAAATAAAATGGAGTTGAGTACGTTGGCAGGACCATTGACGTATGCGTGTAAATTTGACTGTTCCTGAAGTTCCTCGGGAACAATGAGATGGCCATTGGTGGTATCATTGCGGATTGGATGGGCTGTTGGCGCCGTATTGGCTGTTCTGGCCCCGAGACCTCCAGTTTCATACCCCAACGAATGAACTGCACCATAGGGTGGATTTGGTGGAGCCATAAGGTCCAGCAGCCCAAAGTTCACTTCCAAGTTGTCCTTCAGTGCTGATGCCGACTGTCCTGACGAGCCAAAAGGGCTTTGGAGCATCAGGCTACGCACCAGCATATCCAAGCGGTCCGGAAGCTGGTCCTGGCTCATATCGGACATGGAAGTGGGCAGCAGATGCATGAAGCGACCCACAGGAGCCTCGAAGCTTGTGGTATGTGTGAGGTTGAGTGGCGTAGACATGCCATTGTGGGAATGGTGAGGTAGATGATCAACTGTCGGCAGGAGACCCAGTGGAATGGCCAATGCAAGAGGCTTACCGCGGCGTGGCGGCAGCGTGGTGGAGGAGTTAGTGGAAGGACTCAAGTTGAGCAGGAGGTTTTTCATGTTAATGTTTCGAGAACTCAGTAGGCTCAGCGGTTTGCGTGAGTGCTTTGGCGAGTAATTCATGGATCCCGAAGGCGATGAGAATGCCGACAGCATGTCATAAAGGGTAGACGGCGGCTTGAAATCTGGGTCGGCGCTCATGTCACCTCTTGTGTCCACGGAGGCCAACGGCATTGTCGATTGTGGTTTCAGAGGAGCCAGAGGAATCTTGGAAAGTGGAGTTGTGGGGATAATAGATGCGGGCTAGAAATACCGTAAAAGGATGGAGGCTGCTTGACTGAATGAGAAAAGCGTGATGGCAGCCAGGCAGTTGATGGCGGTGGCCAGGGGTTGGCGACAGCGATGGTAGTAGTAAGTGGCAGACTCTTAAGTCCAAGGAGCTCCGTAAGACGCGGGACGAGAAAGCCGACTACACCGGTGCAAGCGGAAAAAAGCAGGCGGGAGCGCACGAGCAGGCGACAAGGATTGCAAGAGGAACGGCGAACGGCGACAGAGAGAGTCTGGTGAAAAATTTGGATGAAGCGAGTTAGGTGAGTTAAGATGAAGGTAGCCTTCAGACAGGAGAAGGATTTTTGGTTTGGGCGCACTTGGACGCATCGAACAAGAATGTAACAGAAAACAATGCTGGCAGGGGTTTGGCGGGGGTACGGATGTCTGCTGAATAATCCGAGAAGGTAGGAAGGTTGTGAGTTACTGAGAGGAAGAAGTTTGGCTGAAAAAGTTCATGATATTTACTTCAGAACAGAGCCATGATTATGTTATATTCTAAAGCTGATGCACGGAAGGAGAGGGCGTAGCAAGGGAGAATGCGCAAAATGTGCAGGGGCCCGTATTTAACGCTAGTGTGCGTGGACTGGACAAGGAGAATGGAGGGTGGGCTTTGAGAAAATAGGCGACAATAGAAGGAGACGGTATTTTAATGTGATGTGGATGGAGAATAAAAAGATCCAGACGGTGCTTTGCAAATCATTTGAGTCATTTGGGGGACAATTGAAGCTTGGGAGCCGTATTAGGGTGGGGAAATGATACCCTATGTATTTTACCCTATTCTGTTGGTGATTCAGACTAGTGTAAGTTTTGTCGATCGCAGGATGGTACCTTGTACCTGAGTCCTGCGTGGAAACCTTAGAGTTAAAGGGATAAACTGGAGAGAAAAGGTGGATAGAAGAAAGCATAGCGGTTTCTGAGAGTGGGGGAAATGAAGCGAAAAAGGAAAAATGAAAGCGCAATAAAGAATGGGAATGATCGAAGTCTTTGAATTGTCTTGGATGGAAGTTCTTTTCTTGCTCACCTGTCAAAGTCAAGTGGTGCGCGTCTCGATTTTATGCACCCGTCGGGGCTTTGTGAATTGTTCGCAAATCATTAAAAAAATGGCTCATAAATCATTGGAAAGTTATGAAATCGACAAATTTTGAGATCTAGAAATCTTGAAACAGTTCAGAAATCTCCACCAGCGACTATAATACACGCTGACTGTCACATATATTATGTGGCTTTCAGGTTTTCTGGTCCTTGGACACCAATATTTTTCTGGATGCCCGAGATGCTATATCTTTTTTACCACCATATTTATAAGCATCAACAGTAATATGGTGTGGGCCTCTTTACCTGGTCCCATGAATTCATTTCGTCGTTTCACAGCTTTATTGTCTTCACCATGTTTACACCTTGGCCTGTCACCTATTCTAACTTAATTATTGGTAGATCGACCCCTTGTAATACATGCGTGTGACGCTTGCCAACAATAAGGACTTGAACCAGCAGTGCAGATACCTCGCCGGCCACCTATTGAAGGTTGAGTTCAATGCCGATAAATAGAATAACGCACTTCGCTGCATGTACCTGTAAGTGGCCTTGTGCACAACCTGTTTCACTTTAAATCCGCTATTGTTAATAATGAAAGTAAGAAAAGAAGCTTTTGCTACTACTGTCACGGCTGAGATTTTTGAAAAGGTGCAAAACATTATTAAAAAGTTCCCAGTAGGCTTGTTGAGAGACCAACAACATCTTTATGAACGAATACACATGCACCAATGCGAAATCTTTACACTTTCCTCAACAGTCGATCGACACTTTACATTTCTCCAAATTTTATTTTTGCAATATGCAATTGGGTTTCCTAATTTGTCTTGCTTAAAATTCTCCCGCTTGTCGGGCCCCATCATCCACATATTATGAATTCCGTTAATACTTATCCAAGAAATATTCAACATTGTCTTCTTCCCCACTCGTTCTTCAAGCGAAACTTTCCCCATTGTAATCATTACAAGAAAAGCACTGCTTTTCTACTTATTAATAACTGTTGAAAATAGTTGTTTATCTTGTTTAATTAATGCCAATCTATTTCGAGACGTTTGAAATCCATTAAGTTCATGAATTCACATGGTTGAAGTAGCTCTTTTTCTTCGTTGCTAATGCCAGTATTTCCTGATTTATTCTTCATAAATCACTTCTCCAAATGGACTTTCACTTTCTCGATTTTCGCCTTTAGTTTTCCGGACCCTAACTTGTGCCTGGAACCTTTAGGAACACGCGTCAACCAGTACAAGAAGATTGTAGCGATGATATTGAACGCTCCAAAAGAGATAAAAATTCCAATGTCTCTCCAGCGATGGATAAAACTGGCTCCAATTGATTTTAAGAAAACGTTCGTTGATGCAGCTGTACAGTACTTGCAAATACCAGTAGTGCTATTGTCGACCAAGTAACCACCAGCTACGGACATGTATGGAGCCATGTACTCACCACAAGTGTAATTGCCAACAGGTAAGAACTGGAGAAGCTCTCTCTCTGAGCATACAACGTCCGAGTTAGCAAGACCTGTGGAAAGCATCACCGAAACCAAGTATGTGAAAGGGTTCACTCTGTACATAAACTTCCAGAATCTTGGAATTTTGGCGTAAGGAACCAATACTCCACAAAAGTTAAGGCAGATAGCGAAGAGAAGAATAGCCAAATTGGCCGCATTCTCTGCCAACTCAAGGAATGAGATACACAACTGCGATAATGTTGATGAGTAAACGAAGAAGATCACAATTGTAAACCACATGGTAGCTCCTCTGGATGCCACAGTGTTGGTATCTTGAGCGTTATGGTACATTCCGATAGGATAGTACCATACAAAGTAAGAGACTGTTCCCAAGCAGATATTCCAAGGAATTTCACCTGTAATCTGTGCTGCAATGAAGGTTAACCACGAAAAAGTCTTTGATGGCAGCTCTCTAACTTCGTAGAGCGACCTTTGAGCAACGAAGTGTGGAAGATATTGGTGAGACAATGTCACGAAAACAACCAAGAACATAAAGACAGAGAACATCTGATTTTGCAAACCTTGCAATGAATTGTCCTCATTGAAAAACGCAAAGCCATTGAAAATAGATCCGACCACTCCTAGAAGAACTTTGGACATGGTGTATGATGGTGTTCTCCAGTACTGCTCCAACACTCTCTTGGTGACTAATTTGTACTGAACCCAGAAGGGGGCTGCGTACGACTTAAGAAGTTCGGGATCGTCTGATTTGGGAATCTTAATAAGCTCCGTTTCCATATTGTCCAATTCACGCTGGACATCCTGATATTCAGTCGAATTGAGCCAAACTTGATGATAGTCTTGCTCAGCAATTGAGCCCGGTGCTGCGCCAATAACTTCTAACATCCACTCAGCTGGATTTGCTGTTGGTGGACACCTAGGAGCACCATACTTCTCGAAATATTCGATCATCGTCTTGCAGCTCTCTCCAAGATCACCAAAATACACAATTTGTCCTCCTTTCTGTAAGAAGAGCAACCTATCGAAATCTTGCATCAAAATCGCCGAAGGTTGGTGAATAGTACACAAAATTGGCACGCCATGGTCGGCCAACTTTCTAATCAACTTGCAAATGGACCAAGCAGTCTCTGAATCCAATCCGGAAGTGGGTTCATCCAAGAATAAAAGCAATTCTGGTTTAGCTACCAACTCCACACCAATAGTCAATCTCTTTCTCTGCTCAACGTTCAAACCTTCACCTGGAACTCCCACCACAGCCGCAGCATACTTTTCCATGTCTAGTAACTGGATGATTTGCTCAACATACTCGTCTTTCTCCTTCTTGGATACAAAAGATGGCTGCCTCAAATAGGCAGAGAACCTCAAGGCTTCTCTCACAGTGGAAGTCTCCAAATGAAGATCTTGCTGCTGCACGTAACCAATCGACCTCTGGAAAGATGCATCCAAGGAATTTCCATTTACCATTCTGGTTCCATCTGTGATTTCACCCGACGTTAATCTATCGGACAAGGCATTTAACAACGTTGTCTTACCTGCTCCAGACGCACCCATTAAAGCAGTTATTTGTCCTGGCTTGACCCATCCGTCGATGTTGTTCAAGATAACTCTATTCTCAGACTTAATTTTGACTTGATACCGCAATTGTCTCCAATGAAAGATTTGCTTAGATAATGCCAACTGAAGGCCATCATCGCCTTGGCGTGACGAAGTAGAATCCTCCACAGTCTCTTCTGGTTTGAGACCAGCACCGGAGCCGTTCTCCAAGTCTTTCTGCAAGTTTCTTGATTTCTTGAGTGCAGCTCTCTGGAAAACCAAGATTTCTCCACCTTTGTCCTCTGCTCTGTTGAACTCGGCAATGAGAAGGTAACCAATTAAGAATGCAATCAAGAAAGCAATTAAGATACCAAAGTTTCTCCATTTATGCGAATTGTAGTACTCGAAAGACAATTGAACATATCTGTCACCACTCAAGTAAGTTTCTCCAGGCAAAGCACCAACAGTGGCACAAATTGTGGAGTTTCCAGAAGTAGGATACGCTCCTCCTGAAGGAACCATTCGAGAACATGGGAAATGTAGTCCGTGAAACTCGTTCACAATCAAGCTTTCAAAAGCATAGGCAATAGGATCAAGGTAGTTCATCCACCTACACCAACCAGGCATGCTCCTAGGGGGGATCACAAAGCCAGTGAAGATAATCAATGCAAATAAGAAAATTGAGGCTGGTGCCATTGCTTCCTCCAAAGCCTTGAAGCAGGACGCAATTCCACGAAATAAATTAGACATCGTCAAGGTTATGAAAAAGTTCATGAGCAAGAAGAAGAAGAAGCGACCGGCATGTCTTCGCAAATTCACACCAAAGTAAAGAATCAAGTTGAAGCCAAGAGAAGTCAAAATCTTCACTGGGAGCTCAGTGATCAATGAAGCCACTGCATCAGCAGCCGGACGATATAAACCGTATGCTCTGTGCTTCTCAACAATCGGACGAGCTTCAAAAAGAGGAAAAACTTCCAACAAAGAACAGAAACCATTAAACAAAACAGCAAAGAACAACACGGCAGTACGGTAATAAAACGATCCAGTATTAAAATGCAACAGCTGAAATTGAGTAGTAATAAGGATAGAGACACAAATATTTCCACCGATCATGAAGAGGGACACAGAAGGATTACCTTTTGTTCTGAGAATATTTCTCCACATCAAGTATCTGACTTGCATTGGGAATGACACAGTATATGGCTCGCTAGACTTGGTATGCGATGTCTGGGCCGCGTGGTGGTGGTCTTCAAATCGAGCTTTGGACAACTTCACTTCTGATGATGAAATGTAGGCATCAATTCTCTCCAAAAGAGCCTGTCTTTCCTCAGAGTTTCTCCACCGACTGTAGAATTCTTCGGGAGTTCTTGGAACTTTATTTTCATAGCCTTTCTGTGGATTACGCTGCTCAGGGTTGGTCAACGAAGTCAAAAAGTCCGCAGTAGTTTGTCTCGCTGGACATTCCCACCCCATATCGACAAAGTATCTTTTGGCGTCTGTGGCACTTCCACTATAGATCTGGTAGCCTTCGTAAAGCAAAATCACGTTATCAAACATATCGTAGGCATCCTGAGAACATTGATAAATTGCCACTAGGGGTGTAACTTTTGTAATAGACGCAGAGGTTTTAAGTGCACGGATAAACTCCAAAGCTGTAGCAGAATCCAAGCCTCTGGTAGAGTTATCCCAGCACTGCAAAGAGGCTTGAGACAAGTAGACCTCTGCAATAGACACTCTCTTTCTTTCACCTCCAGAAACACCACGCACGAAATCGTTTCCTACTTTCGTGTTTCGGGCTGCTAGCAAACCATAAGTTGCCATAGCCACGTCGGAGATGTGACGAGCATAAACTTCTCTGGAGATACCTTTCGGTCTGTTTTTTGGGGTCCGAAGTCGGGCAGCAAAGTCCAACGTCTCAGATACGGTCAAATAAGGGAAGTGAGATTCAGTCTCCGCACAATAAACCACTTCACCTCGGTAATTTTGGGAGATTTCTTTCTGGCTGAAACCATCGTAAGACAAGAACGAGTTCTCATCAACGTTGAAGCCGTTCGTTTGGGCTGCAATTGTCTTCAAAAAGGTGGAGCATCCAGCACCTGGACGACCAAGGATAACAGTGACTTCTCCAGGCAAACATAATCCTTCCATTGGTTTCAATATATCAAACTTATGATTCTTGATATAGGAAGGCTGATGAGTCAACAATAACAGACGCAATCTCTTGAATAACACGTTACCAAACGTCGTTTGGAAGTCAAAGTCCGAAGACAATCCATAAGCACGTAATTCTTTGAAAGCAACCCCAAGCTGTGCTGGCTTATAATAATCTGGCTCCAGGGTGACCAACTTTCTGAGGTTTTTCACCCAGAATCTCAGGTCGAATCTCTCAGAATTGGGGTCCAAGCGCTGATCGACATCATCCATTGGAACACTTCCTGGCACCTGAGACATATGGCTGATAGTTCTAACAAGGGAGAGTCTATCAGCCTCAGTGGTTGAGTTTTGAGTAAAAGACCTAGCCAAGCTTCGAATCTCGTCCTCCACATCTGGAGTAAAGCCCTCGTACTCAGCCATGGCGGTAATTTGTTGGATTTAGCAATATAATGGAATTGAGTTTAAAAATATTTGGAGTGTGCAAAATGTTCCTTCGACTTTTCCCCATTTTATAGGAAGTGGCAGTAGTATGCTAGGTTGCAAATATGTGGTATGTTTTTGACTGTCTGCAGACGATGACTCTGGAGATATGCATCATTTGTACGAGCCCTGATCTCCGGGGAGATCTCAAAGTGAAAGTTTGCACTATTAGGATTGTCTGCATATGTAGCTATCAATAACTCGGTACGACGAGAAGTTCCGTGATGTCAAGATTTAGACAAGTTAAAGGTCATCTACATATTTTGACATTGTTTTCAAGTAATGGTCATTAAACGATGGAAGTAAGACTAATTTCCGGAACATCCATATGCACTTCCGAATCGGCGTACCCCAGTGTACATGTTGCTTTTCAATTCTCTTTACTGGGGTGGTCTAGATGTAGAAGGTACTATAATTGGATACGTTGTTTGGATTCTTCAAACGCTACCGAAAAAGGTTAGCTCAAATGTGCAACTAAAGGTCCCAAAGTTGCAACCACATATGGTCCGGTGATAAAGTCAATGGAGGCATGTGAAAATGAAGCTTTCCTGCAATGCATTGATCATGGGAGATTCGAAGCAACTAAAAGCTCCATATAATTAATGAAATAAAAACCAGGAAGTGGAACGATCTACGGAGTTAAGATAGCGTAGAGTGCATGACTTGCATGGGTTCGCACGACAACTTGGGCTGAGCCGAGGATGTTGCGAGGTATTTTCATTCTGTCAATTCATAATATTTGGAAGATAAAGTCTATAAAATAATAGATGATTGGCTCTATGTATCCTTAAGAATTCAGGTAAACATTTCTGAATGAGCAAATTTGTTGTTTGCTTCAAGTTAATATGTTCAACCTTCTTCTTATTCAGTTAGGACCATGTACGAGAAGACTTGAGTCGTACGGAGCAGTAGAGCTCCAACGAAAAATCGCCAGTGGGTAGCAGCACTTGTCTAGACGATACTTTCCTACTTGTGGTGTGGAGTATGGTAGTGTTTCTTGAAGCAACTGCAAGGTTAGATTCATACGTCCTTACAAGAACAGCGATTGCCTGATAGAGAAAAATAATATAATCTAAGTGGGGAAAATAGACCAACATATTCTTAATTCTTTAGCTCTTCTAAGATAGCAATATTCTGGATCAAGAAATGTCTTTCCTCGGATTTTCCCCTTCTAAAAGAAATGGTTAACCGATGGAACTCTTGTAAGTGTAGGACAATTCACGTTGGCCCTCAATCTCTCAAAGCTTCTCCAGACTGCTTAATAATGCTCCAATCTATTCTTATTTCCTAGTTGCTGAGAGTCAATATTGGAGTTAGTTGAAGTTTTTGATGGTTTTCATTGATTTATCACTTCAAGTTAATCTTGAATGTGCGACCTCTGTTTTGTTTGCGCGGTTGCAAAATACAATTAGCGTGAGACTATTAATTTTTCCAACACGGTTTCGCTGTTCTATTGTATTTTATCTATTAATTCGATTGGTTTGTCGTGTGCGGGTGTTCCAGGTTTGTCATTTCCACTTCCTTAAACACCATACCTTCTTGAACACGCTAGAAAGTGACAGCTCTGAATACGAATATGGTTCGTATCATTACTTCTTTATTACTGCTTGTGAATAGAGTCAATATTTTTAACTCAACCAATGCTCAGCCCAACATACAATTTCAAAGGACAATAAATAGTCTTCAACAAGTCATTGAATCATTTTTATCCCAATTGTCAACTCAAAGTTGAAAATATAAAGTGATGGAACCCATTTGCCTTCACTGGCCTCACAGTCAGATAAATCACTTCAAAGACGGTGATTTTAAAAATAAAAGCAAATCTTTGACAATCTATCAGAAAAGTTACCTTGAACTTTAACCTCCACCACCATCTCCTCCACCACCACCGTCTCCTCCACCTCCACTATCACCCCCACCTCCGCCATCATAACCTCCATCACCATGATGCCCTCCATGGTGTCCTCCACTGTAGCCCCCATCTCCACTAAGTAAGCCGTCTCCGTATCCTCCATTATCACCACAGCTTCCATCGCAATCTTCACATCCACAACTACCTGAGCAGTCTCCAACATAACCTCCCACAGTATGTCCATCGGAGAGCACATAACCTCCAACAAGTCCGAAGGAACTTGCAAGTATACCGCTTTCTCGAATTTTACCGCTGTAGCCACCACTATTGCTCCTTCCCATACCAACATATCGCGTGTAGGTCTCGAATTCTAGAGTGAGGGCCGTGGCCAATGCCAGAAATGGAAAGAAACCACCCAATTCCCCACGGAGGCCCGACCCACGGAGCTCGAAGTGTCCATAGCCATTTTTGGACTTCCAGGTTGCCACGACTTCATCGACGTTTGTTGTCAGTTTCCGAAACATCTTCTTCTTTGACATTCGGATAAGTTCCCAAGATGACTCAGAGTCAAGCTTTTCTGAATTTTCCTCCATTTGTTTCCTTCTCCATTGAAATTTATTTCCAAAAAGTGCTTTTCGAATTGAAATTCCATATCGAAACAGCTGCCTCAATCCTTCTCGTCCCGGAAGACAAACCCTATATGAATAGGTGTCTTTCCCTTGCAACTTGCAAGGTAGCTGAATTGTGTACCTCGAGTTAGAGTCGTCACAAAATTGAGAAAACAAGATTAGCGGATCTGTCTTCAAGGAACCATCGTAGAAGTACATAAAGCCATGGAAACTCAGTGTCATTTTCAAAAGCCATTGGCGTCCAGTGTTTGGACATGTGAGATGATAGAACGTTCCAAAATGCATTTGGGAGTACGTGACATCTGCCACGGTTGGAACCATTTCTTTGTTTTCATCATATTGTACTACCCGAAGCAGAGAAATAGGCATTGATATGAATAGAATGTGTATAGGTTTTGTTAATGTGGATTTGTTGTCCAAATCTGGGGAATTCCTGTGGAGAATGTGCACCATGACATATTAAGGTAAACATTGTCAGAAAGAGTCGCATTCTGAAAACCCCATCTCTCCAATTGGACTGATTGTCACATTTCCTTGGTTTACAATACAATTTTCTTCATTGATATTACTCACACTTTTTGTTCCAAAGCATTGACCATCGTAATTTAACCATGAAGGAATAGTAACAAGTCCCACAGTAAATCTATCTCAAGATCAATCACGTATAATACGTCTAACTTCATGACTTCAGCATTTAACGTTGAACAGAACCATATACAACAGATACAAATATTAAGACCAAGATCATGGGCAATGTGGCTAAGATATTTTTCTAAGCCTCGGAAGGGCCTTCTTAACCAAGTTTGTCGTGGTCGCTCAGTTTGTTAAATCAAATTCTGCAAGACCATTACCGTGTGTACTAGAAGTTGCTTCAAAAAGGCCAATGATAATATGAATGTTACTAGTCCGGTGTTTGAATATGACATTGGAATCGTGCTTGCTAAAGAGTTAAAGTGTATGGTGAGTTAGTGTTTGGGTGAGTTCTTTGATTGAGAGGCAGATCATTCTTAGAAACATGCCAAACTTCCATTGGAACAAATGGGATCTGATAGTTACTGTAAAGTAAAGATGAAAATAAATTACAGTTCAAGAATATAACGTGCTCCCAGTTCTGATAAGTTTCAGCAGATTAGTTCAGTTTGACTTTGGGATTCCCATTTTCAATCCTGACAGCTGGTGATTAATCTCATACAAGATGTCTTTCACATTAACTTTATAGAGCGAATGTTATATGTGAGAGTTAGCGTAATTCCGTCCCTGTTATCCTCGAATTCGCAAGCCTTATTTCATTTTCTTAAACAAGTCTATTTTATGACTTTCTGAGTGAATACACGGATAATTTATAGAAAAGCCTAACCCGTCCCATCAATTCTATTGCTTCATATACAAATGTTTTGAAAAAAATACCTCACTGATAGTTATTGCATTCAATTGTAAGAGACGATGCCAAAGCCATAAGTATAAACGATTCTCCCAATTCCCCAGTCTTACCTCTTCCTTGAAGCTCAAAATGACCCAAATTATTCAACCCATGGCTAGATCCCCAAACGGCGACCACTTCGCCTCCATCACTGGCGAATCCCATACTACGCAGATGAGGTTGCTTGCCAATTGACTGCCTACGGGGCAGACTTGGCTTCATCACGAGTTTCCACCCCCACGTTGCCATATTTAGACTTTCCACCTCCGATCCATGAGATCTTCTCCATTCAAACCTCTCAGTTCTTCGGCTAGTTTCATAACCTACATCAATCTCGAACCAGTATAATTCATTCTTCGCCAACCCACAAACCCAAGTGAATGTTTCTGATCGTGGTCCTCTTTTCTCATTTGGAGACTCAGGCAATTTTACAGCGAATTTAGTGCCTCGCTTGTTCTCGTGGTGTACAACCATCATGATCGGATCAGCGTTGGTTGGACCATCATGAAAAATAATTGGTCCATGGAACCCGTCCGGCAACCAAACCATCCAGTGTCTACCAGTTTGCAGACTGGTGAGGTTAATCAATACTTTAGTTATCGACTTGGCAAACTTGACATCAACCACTGTAGGCATGCCTGCTTTCAATGTTGTTGCCGTCACTTCAGGTACAAATTTGGATGCTGAAGTACCCATGATCTCTTAGTCGCTTGGATTTCACTCGATGGCACATACTTCTTTTACTTCGTATTTAAGTAAGTTTATTCAATAACCATAATAATCCACTCCTGCATCACAACGTCTATTCAGAGTTCTTAACCAGATATTGTGGGTGGATAAGCCTCCCCTTGGCAATGAGTGACCAATATACGGATACCCGCGGAGATATTCGGCCGTATCATTACCTGAACTGGCATGGAATCGCCGCGTATCGAATTCACCGTCTCTTTATAGACGTTTAAGATAGCTGACCCGGTTGCTAAGTTTGAGATTGTAGCACTGGAGAATGAGGGTCATAAATGACCAGAGAAAAAATCACCATAAGATAACTGAATGACCGTCATTGATGATTATTTCCCAAGTACTAAGATTATAGATTTTTGCACTCTATTGGGATTACCAATTTCGAGCTACTAATGATTTGCCCCAATATGGACTCTACACACTTAACGAATTTATACCGTTATGAATTGGTAAATGTTCTTCTAAATTTAGTTCATTTTGATGATATTTTTCAACCTCGTCGCCTAACATCACGAATATTGTTGCAATGGAATGTGACTGCCGAAGCCAATGCCATTAAGTGATATGTGGGGCCAAAAGCAAGTCCTGTGCCAACCAATTCAAATTGTCCTTCTGGACGAACAGCATCTCTGTATATCCAGCGGGCTACTATTTCTTTTTCATCTTTAATGGTCGACATTCGCTGACTCCTAGCCAGTTTGGTCCTTGATACTTTAATAAGGCTCCATATCGAATCTGTGTCAGAGATTTTACCTTGAGTGGTTGGCCACCATTCAAATCTCTCTCTATTTTTCTCAACTGTAAGCTCAAACCAATAAATTCGTGTAGATAATGCTACTTCTTCGCAATGCATAAGTTCAGTTACCTCACGGAGTTCCATTCCTGATAAAGTGATTTCAAACACCGTGTGTCTTCTAGAAGAAACTGCCATTACTGCATCATCTTCTTTTGGTCCATCATGGAATACAATAGGCCCTGAGTACCCTCGAGGTAGCACTATCACCCACTCTCTCGATGTATGATCACACACAACATGTATTTTACGTTTGAGAATGCTGCCTGAGATTTTGACTCTGGCTAAGGTGGGAAGATCATGGAAGTGTTTAGTGAAAGTGACTGGAGGAATGGAGGCGGAGCTTCCCATGGCGAAGAATGTCCATGAGAATAAAAGGCTGCTGCATGGAATCTATCTTATCTGTTCGTCTATTGTCCTGCATTGCCTCAAACCATCAATGTTGGGGTCTGCATGATCATTTTGCTTGCTATAGGGTGAGATTCAGATGACTCGTGATCTTATTCAGGAATGTGCATTGTGAATTTCAAGTAGTGGATTATGCTTCAGAATTTCAACGGATTGTGGGTCAATTGACATTTAAGTTACGGAGTGATGTTCTTCAGAGACTCCCTTACATTTTAATCGATAGCGAATAGACGACAAGAAAGGCAACGTTCCCCCAAGTTATCTAGTAGTGTTTCAGAATCTTGCACCGTAAAATAGAGTGGTAAGTTGTTTCTTGAATTGTTTTCATGTGACTGCAGTTTAAGTCTTCTTTATTAAAGGTGATAATAATAACTTACACATTACGAGCATTCTGTTCAAAGTCAGTAAACTGATCAACCGACGGCTTCTTCTTATGGATCGACACAGATGAACAATTACGGTTGTGTTCCTTCCTTATCACATTGATTTCAAGAGTGAGCACGGATATCCAAGCCACCATAAGGAACAAAGGTCCCAATTTCTCTCCGGCCAGTAGTAGTTCGAAATGGCCCTTCTTACTGAAAATCCGTTTGGACGACCATACGGCAACGACTTGTGCCCCATCGCTTCCAAAACCGATTTCCCGTTCATCTCGAGGGATTTTAAACGTGGGGTCGTCAACGGTTGAGAGCCGCACAAGCTTCCAACCCTTCGTCGGAAATGCCAGGTTCTGCACTTCTTTACCATACGACCGTCGCCACTCGAACCGTTCCTTTACCCCATCGACTCCGACTGGTATGTCGAACCAGTATAAATCCGACGTGAAAAAATTTCTTATTACATGCAATGTAACTTTAAGACTAGGTAAAGTTAGTTCAAACTTGGATCGCCAGAAATCTATATGATGAGCAAGTGCCATCACTTGATCGTCAAGATTAGGTCCATCATGAAAGAAAAGAGTTCCATAGTAGCCCCGAGGCAAGACAACCAACCACAGTTGAGCATTATTAGTTGTTGTAATAATGATTCTTTTCTTGAACCATCCACGAATTCTAGTGTCTGCCATTGTTGGCATGGGCAGATTGGGAGTAACCCCCTCGATTTCTGGTAGTGATACAGAAGATCCCATAGTACTAATTTCTACTATATTATACACTTTGAGTTTATCTTACTTAAATGGATCCAACAGCAGCCCCTCATGCAAAACCCGTTTTAATTCACGTCAATTCTGCATGACCATGATCGTCATGAAATCTGCGGGATATTACTGTTTTGGGATGCGGCTCAACTAGTTTAATTATTATCCTCAGCAAGGTACCATAACTAATAGTGTTAGTTAACGTAATCAATGACCCGAGCGCCAACAAATAGGTCCGATAGTAGCTTAATAAGCCTGCCTCAAAATATTACACTTTAAAGTAATTCTGACCCTCACGGCCATTCAAACTAACTATTGGCACAATGCTTTTCTGATCAAGAGAACCTAGAGTGCTAGTACTCGGTTTCTCAAACGGCTACAAAGTTCTATTCAACGCTAAAAAAAATTGGTCTTTCGTTGACTTCGAGTAGAATTCTTATTTTCTTTGGTGTAATGGAGGTGGGCCTACCAGATTCTTGCCTTTCATTGAATGTGAACATTCTTTCCATTTGACCTACACAATTCGTTATGTACTGTCTCCAAAAACAAGCGTTAACTCAAACCTGTAGATATCTTTATTGCAGAATTCAATGTTCATAAACGGCAATGGTATGCACTAGTGCCTCAACTCCTGTGGTAATTCTGGTCATTTAATTGTTTGTTGCAATTTTGTAGATCCAAATAATCTGGAAACGCCTTCACAAGCTCAATGGCATCATCAAGCTAGAAAACTGGTCCTCCGGAGTCACATGGAGGTTTCATAAGTCATCATTGATTCATACTGATTGAAATGGTGATATTTTGGCGTGTTTTCAATAGGTCACTTAATATTTTGTTGTTTTCGCATGAAGCACTTATCAAGTATAATAAATGAATAGGACATAGATATGCATCTAGTGAATCTCAGTGAGGTACACAAAATATTCGACTACCAGTATTCTATCAGCGAAAGTTCATATTTGCCAGACGATTGTTACGTCTTTGTCTCTCGATTCTCATCACATTGGCCTCAATTGTCAAAGCAGATGCCATAGCCATCAACCTAAAAGATTGTCCCATCTGTAGTCCTGAACCCATAAGCTCAAAATGTCCAGATTTAGATAGACTGTGTCTCGAGATCCACACACCAACTATCTCACCACCATCACTGGAAATACCAGATTTCCTCGAGTCTCGATGGAGCTTGACGTTAGGCTGTTCAGGTGGAGCCCTCACCAACTTCCAGCCCTTAGATAGCCAGTCTAAACGTCCCAGTTGTACCACCTCTTGGCCGCTAGATCTACGCCATTCAAATCGTTCTGGCATACCTCTATACTGTGTGGGGAAGTCAAACCAATAGATGTCATTCTTGAAGAACTTGTCATACCAGTTGAACACCTCTGTACTTGCATTTCGATACTCAGCTGGAGAAGGCGGCAATTCAATAGAGAATTGTGTACGGTAATGGTCCATGTGATTGACTACTACCATTGGGGCATACTGATTGCTGGGTCCATCGTAGATGATCAATGGGCCAGAATAGCCACCCGGCATCAGTGCGAGCCATTCACGGCCAGTAAATGGACACCTTATTATGATGGAGGATTCAATAAACGAAGAAGAGACTCTTGTCTCGACCATTGTTGGTGTACCCAAACTTACAGAATTCGCTGTTGCTTGCGGAAGAGAGACAGTAGAACCCATGGATATTGATTTGTAGAATAGAAGAAGCTTGGCGGAAATAAGCAATTGAATTTATTCGATGGAAGAAAGTATTTGGCTTTATATTCTGTAATGTGATCTAAGGTGTCCTGTAGGTCAAACAGTTTGACATGACTGATGGCAGTGTACAGTGCATCTGTGCGATAGTGTTATCTCATAAACAACGAAAATACGAGCGATAAGTGAATGCACAAATAGAGTTAGCTTCTACAGCTTTTTTCTTTAAGCCTAAATGGATACAGAATTTAGTTGAAATATGGATGATGACAGTGATTGGTGAATAGCCACCTCTTACGATCAGTGAAATGGTGAAATAATGTAACTCTGAAAGGACCACACGGCTGGAGGCTGTGCAGTACAATGCATGATTCCCATACTTTGGGATTTGCTGGAGGTCATTCCTCTAAGCCACCAATTTGGAGTATCAATCATGCTGCATATCGTGCCCCCACATTGATTGTGCTGTAATTTTCACTGAAATAAAGTGGAAATCATGATCACTTGAAGTCTCGAGAATTGAAGCCCAGATTATGGATATTCATCTTGATGAATTGATGGCCATAGACAGCAAATATCACTGCTTCTGGCTTCTATCTGTTGTATGTTCAGGCATTGAAGAAATATGACTCAGTAAAGAATTTTTGCAATCATTCAGAGGCATTAACCCCTTCAAGTCGCTCTTCAGATTAAGAGAATCTCGTACAATGTTCCTACAACTTATTTTGGATGGTCAGTATTCATTTCCTAAAAATCATTGATGCGGTTTACCATGTCTGCATGTTTATCATCTCTCAATTTCTGTTGATGAATTTCAAGAGAGACAGCAGACGCTAGTGCCATTAGTGTAAACACAGGACCAAGCTTGCTACCAGTTCCATAGAGTTGAAATTCCCGATCTTTCTTTCGTCCTCCGTAAACTGCCACAATTTCTCCTCCATCACTGGACAAACCTGTAGTTCTGAGGTTTTTGACTGGTTTAGACTGCTTCTGGGTAGCCGCCCCTAATTTGACGAGCTTCCATCCGCTTGCGCTTCCAGTACTTCTCACTTCGCGTCCTGATGTTGCTCTCCACTCAAATCGTGTAAAAGCGCCGCCCACAGATAAAGTGAAGGAGTATGTATCACTGCCAAAAGATTTGCCTTTCCAAGAAATTACCTCTATCTTTCTAGGACGATTCAATTTGGGAAAGGCTGGTAAAACAACTTCGAACGGAGAACATCTAATAGAATCGATAGTTAACAAGACAGGAGATTTGGCACTTGATCCATTGTGAAATACTATCGGCCCACGGCACAGTACCTCGATTTTCCAGACGCTAGAGGCAGATCTGAACATTATAGTGGAACTGGATGTTCGCTTGAGATTTCCTCTCAGTGGAACATTTAAAAGTTTGGAGGTGACTTTTGGAACGGAAACTGTAGAGCCCATTGAATTTAATATTGCTGAATCAGAATATCAGGACATTCTCTTGAACTTATAGTTAACTTTGCCGTTTTGGCCGAGGATTATCATACATAAATTTGCGGCCAAGACTAAGAATAGATGATTTGAGATTCAGCCACCACGTATCCTCTGTCGGCTGGAAACTTGGAAGGCAAAGCTAAATATAGCCACACATTAGGGAACTGAGTGTCAACAAGTTGTTAATACCTTAGTATTGTTAACGTAGATTTCTATAATTAAATATGTACATGTGTTGTCAAATTCGTAGCTAATTAACTGAATTGATGTTGTTATCTTCCTCACAATCTGAGCGAGCGATTACTTGCTAATTGTTGTTGTCTCATCCTAGCTGCTTCAAGCACTTCTTCTGCCCTCAAAATATTCAATTGAAGTTTCAATGCTGATGCCAAAGCTATAAGTAGAAATTCCTGCCCAAAATTCCTTCCCGGACCTAGAATCTCAAAGTGAATCAACTTAGAGTATACTCTCTTCGCTCCCCACATTGCAACTATCTGAGCTCCGTCACTATCTCGACCCATTTCTCTTAAATTTTTTAAAGTATTACTATTCTTTTCTTTTGATTTCGGTGCTCTGACAAGTATCCACCCACTCGATACAAAATCCAAATCTAGACCTCCAACCATCTGTGGAGCACACTTTCTCCATTCAAACCTCTCAGTATGGGTATGCAACTCTAGCTCAAACCAATAGATGTCACTTTTGAACTGCTTACTCTCCCAATTTATTCTTTCTACGCTTTTCTTTCTCTTAGGTAATATTGGTAACGTCACTTCGAACTGTCCATATTGAGCCTTTTCAACTTTCACCATGACTGGAGAATCTGCATGGATCCCATCATGTAAATATAGTGGTCCTGAATGACCTTCTGGATATCTGACAAGCCATCGCTTTTCTTCGCTGGAAATGAAGAATGACGTTTCTGACCTCGGTATGGTCACATCTATGGACATAGGTAAGCCATGTCCTACTGGATTGTGTTCACGATGGAGAAGTGATGCGGTGCACCCCATAGATAAGTTCAAAATATGAAATGGAAGTACAGATTTCCCAATAAATGTTGATGTGGGGAAGATTTGATGATCGTTGGCCGTTGATCATCTCCTCTCGTGCATAAAGGGCAGTGTATACTCACTATTTGAGAATTAGTACAATACCTTGATGGTTGATTTAGCTCAATAATGTTTTGGAGCCTATTATTGGTAGTAGAAATGCATGCTTTTGCAGATTAGAAGTGGTAAAGAAATGAACGAGATTTTCTTCAATCGAGATCCTTGATAAGATTTCATCCGGGCCCATTTTCTATTCCATTCATTCAAGATAGTCAATTGAAATCATGAGTTCTCCCTGATCTCTTTATTGCTTCTATATACAACTATTCCGGCCACCATTCGGGAATGTGGGCTTCAACAATCACAGTCACTCCATCTACCTCAAATTTGAACATACTATCCTGTTCCACATCACTTACAGTCGCAAGCATGAAACCATCGTTTCCATCAATTGAGAGGATCTTTCCTAGTTTTCCTCTGCGTGAAACTTTGCCTGAGCTGCCAAAAGGAGACGATGCAGTGTTTGCAAATGGAGATGGTGCACTCTTTTGCTCACTTTTCTGCTCTTTCTGCTCGGACACACGGGAAATGTCAATGTTAGAAACATCAACACCGGCAAGAAGCTCACTCACATTGTCAGGGCCAGAAAATGTCACCGGAACAACACGCTTACGAATCACGCCTCCATTAAATGTCCTGATCGTGAGCTCCTGGCCAATATAGCAGCCCTTTTCGAGCGAAAGTCCATTGACGTAGTCCAAGTTAGCCTCAAAAGGGAGCATAGTCGTACCTGCTGGAGCATCTCCGGTCTCAAATAATCCATTCACGTATCTTCTATGTGTAACAAGCTCTTCTGGTACCTCCTTCACCTCGAAATTATTCTTGAATTCGTCTGATAAAAGTGCTACTGGGTCTTCAACTTTTATATCCGTGACGATCTTCACCCCAAAGCCTGGAATTCTATTGTCGATCGCAAGGCCAACTACATTTTTGGCAAGAGCCTGTGAAATAAACTCCTGGCTGGCAATAAACTGGTTTGCTGCATCCAATGCAGATGCCGGATCCAAGGTAGCCATATACTTCGATTGAATTTTATCGAGCCACTCCTCAAATTCTGGTGTATCGTTGAAATAGTAGTAGGAGTAGCTCTCGCTGGTTTCAATCTTCACTTTGGCACTAAGCTTGTGGATCTTGAGTAATGATAAGAGTGGCCGTGAATGTTTAGGACTGAGTTCAAGCAAGTAATTTGGACCTTCGTCATAGGCAACCTGAAGCGTGTCAGTCGAAGTATGGTAAGGAAATGCATATTGGAAACAGTCATTAACTACTCTTCCCTTGGAGTTGAGAAACATCAGGTAGAGACCGTCTCTTCTGACGAAGATGTGGTTTTCCGGGTCATAGATGTCCTCATGCATGAGACCCCAATTTTCCAGGAGATTGACCACTTCGGCAAGCTTCAAGTGCTTATCTTCATTGGCAGAGATAGTGTGCTGTTTTTTCTTGACCACATTAGGAAGTAGGCGGGTGGTGACTAGACCATTTAGAAACTTCGATGCATCGGGGCCCTTCACTCTAATAAATGACCTTGATAGGTTGCTGAGACCCACGAGCGACATCTGGATGGACTTGAGCTACGATAGAAAATGGTATGCAATTTCAAAATCAACTCAGATGGGAAAGCCCTTATGTGATCAATAACACTATGATTATCATCACCTTGATTTGTCATTAACTACTCCACACGAACATTGGTATCTGCAGTACCCACTACTTGGTAAGTTACAAGAACATGTTTGTATAATGAATAAATAAATAGGCAATCAAAGCTACTTCATCTCCAACTCGCGGCCAATCTGACTCTTGTGTCTATCGGTTCGTTCTGAACTGACAATTTGGTCAAGACTGACATTCAGACCATTCGCACTGCCTGACAATTGGTCTCTGATTTTCTCACTGAGTTTGAGTCTCAAGTCATTCGGCGCAGCGCCGTGTTGCTTACCAAGCTGATGTAAGTTAAGCGTTGAGTGGTGTCTGGATTCGGATCTAGAGGTCACACCGGAGCCAACGCTGGAGTGTGAGTTCATGAAAGATTCGTTTCGAGAAATCTCATCACTACGAAGAGTCACTTCTCCCATGTCGAAGTAGCCATAACCACCCAAGTAACTGAAATCTTCTTCTTTGTTGTCGTCAGATCCCGATCCGGCGTCGATTTCATTCTTTACGAGCTCATCCACATGTGCACTCAGTGGATTGGAGCTCACAGAGATGTCGATTGGGTGACGCGTCGAAGACAAGTGCTTATTGACATTCAACAACTCCTTCTCGATACGTAACTTCTTCAACTCCAACTTACGTGACTCTGAGTCAGCCGAATCCAATAGGACATCCGACTTCTGTTTGACAATATCCTTGATGCCTCTGACCACCGACTTGAAAGTCTTTAAGAAACGTTCCGTTTGTCTGTACTTGGAGGAGACAGTCACCACAACCTTGTCTTTGTGGATGATGTATCCAATACCAAAACCTTGGTCAAGAGATGGAGGAATACCAAAGAGTCTCAAAGCAGGGTTACCACAATTACTGATCAACAACTCTGCGCCTGTGAGCTTCTCGAGGTGCTCATTAGTGATGAATGGAATGTTCAACTTAGCCAACTCGTACTGAGATGGAATGGGTTTCAAACCCATACTCTGTGTTTCTTCTGTCAAGTTGAAGTGAGCTTCAGGTCTCAGCAAGATATGCACCAATGCAGTGAAATGACGTTCAAAACCCTTTCCAGCCATTGCATCACGATATTGAGCAGTATGAATCTCGCAACAGGCTTTGAATCCGTTCCATTTGCGCAAATCATCATCAGATGTAATGTACATCTTGACAAGGTTGGCAATCAGGTCGTTTTGAACGGCAATAAGCTCCGTACGTGCGTCACGAAACTTCCTCGTGGTGATTGGCTCCATTGTGTTGGCGATTCTTCCGTACAAGGCATAGTTGGCAATCTGAAAACCGATTTGCAAGAACGAATCAGTCAGAATTCCGAACTTGGAGAGAAGGTGGGAGTCGAGCTTCATAGTGAGAGTCTTGTACTCATGCTGATTGATCAAGTCTGCAAGCCTTGTTTCAGATAAGTGCACTAGATTTTGCAACTCAGGAGTCTTATTGAATATCAATGGAACGTAGTCTGGCTTGGACTCCTTTCCAGAGGCAAAAGTGATGGTTGGATCAAATAAAGTATTCTCGGCACCGTTGATGTTACGGGCAAGCTTCAAAATAGAATCTGTGTAGATGTCACTAATAAATCTCAAGATAGCAGTACTGTCCATGGATGAAGATTCCCAAACAACACCCGCTACAGCATTTTTCGTCACCACCAACTGCAACTTGTCGTACCATCTCGATGTACAAGACCCGATTTGGATATTGGTGCCTGCCAAAAGCTCAGATGTACCATGCGAAATCACCATGGTTTTCTCCTGGTCTGTGACTGGTGAATTGACGGTGTCCAACACAACCACCATAAGAGCATTGTCGATCAAGCTCAACGCGTCCTTGTTGGAGTTCTCCAACTCGGCTCTGGCACTCTTCCAGTGATGGTAGGTTTGAGTGGTGATGGCACCTACACCGTTGGTCACGGAAGCCACCAGATCCACAGACAGCGCTTCCTCAATGATGGAGTGGATAATTGTGGCCAATTCTGCGTCATTGAACCAAAGACGATGTTTGCATTCTGCAGTTTCGTCAGTGCATTCTGTCAACACTTCCAAGGTGAAGAACTGGTTGTTACAAATGAAGAGAATGTGGCGTGAGTCGTTGAAGTGCGTGTACTTCTTGATAGTGACCATGTGACGGCCAAAATCTGAATCCTGAGGGATACGGGTTGTTCCAAAAAGGTTTCTGTAGCAATTCATAGTGAGTAACTTGCCACTCTTTGGGGTCACGTCAGGCTTCAAAGTACCATTTCTCATGGTAACCATGAACTTAAGAGACGAGTTGACGAGGGAAGCAGCACGCTGCGCCTGGTTTGGTGGATTAATAGTCATGGCATAGGGGTCCTCCTCCAAAACCAAGTATGGGTTCCTAGGTAAGGTATCACCCCGCAAATCACCATAAACACCCGGGTACAGCTCTCCATTCACAGAGTTAAGGTAGCACTTGACATCATCTAAGCTTGCTGCGGCTTCCAAGTGCTCCTGGATTAATTTGATGGCATCATTAGCCAAAAACTGGGAGGCTTCTTCCAAAATTTCGGAGTACTCTTCCGCAGTTAAAAGAGGCTTTAACGCGGCAAGGATTTGGTTGACGGTGGACGCAAGCAGCGGCACAGGCAACTTGGGCACGGTGTGCTCGAGTTTTAAGATTCCATCCATTGATGACGGGTTGGTAGTGGGAATTGCTGGCATTTATATATGTTACCCCAGAAATTTTGAAATGTGGGGGTGCACCACTTCGGGGTTAGCCCACTGTTGGGCTTGTGTGCAAGAATCGAACAAGAATAAAAATCACCCACAAACAACGAACAAATGATTTGGAAATGGTGTAGATGGTATATACGTCTAATAAACTAGATGATAATGTACGTTGAAAGTGTGGGAGGTACAAATGGCAATAATTTTGAGAGATGTTGGTGGAAATGGCAGAGATTGATATTCAAAGTTCGAGAAGAATGGGAATGATTCCATATTGCATATAGAAAAGGTCCAATGGGAGAAAAGTGATTCACGACGGATCTGGGGAAGTGTGGTGTAAACCCATGGAAGATGAGAAGAGGGGAGAGATAAGTTGAGTTTAAGCTGAGTTGCCATTTATGGAGATGTTTCTTGAAATTTCAGAGACTTCAAATATGGCAATAAGGATTCGTGGGATTATATGTAATTGGTGGATGGCTGTAAAGCCAAGTAAGAATTGGCTCTGAGGAATACGGGCAAGAAGGAGATAGAATGAGAAATGAGAAAGAGCTTGAAATTTAGAACTAGATAGGTTTTGCGGAAGAGATACTCGTGAAATGTGAAGAATTGGAATATAAATGATGGAAAGAAGGTGAAAAGAGGTTAATAGGTATAGTATTGAGGGAATGGAAATATGTATGCATTATTGACAGAAGATAGGGCATCAATTGGCGTGATCTCGAAGAAACCTGATCACAATTTGTGAAAAAATCGATTCATAATCGTAGCTTCAGAAAAACATCGTGAAATTGATAGTTTGAACTTTGGAGATTGAAAGTGGGAGGTAACTATCTAGCGAGAGGAGCCAAAAGCTCACCAGACTCAAAATCAATCTGAAGAGATGACTCGAAGTAATCAGCAATAGTAGCAATCCGATATGTTCAAACGACATCACCGACAGACACTCCTAAGCTTTTGCTTCCAAATATTCTAAACTATTAAGAGGAGAATTTTTATAATTTTCAATCTCTGTTCATCTTCTATTTTAAGTACTCTATTGAATCTGAAATCAGAGAATAGTTCATATTTCATGAAATAGTGTATAAATATTGAAGTCTCTTCAGTTGGAAGTTATGGAGCTATTTGAAAGTCAATTGACAGTTTTGATTACTTCTAAACAAATATAGAAATCACACAGGATTCTTGTGTAGCCTTTTCGAGTTGTATCAAGTCTGAAGGATCATGTTTATCATTCATTTAGTTTTGCGGTTGTCATATTCATTGTATTACGTAAGATCTGATGTAATGAAGTAAGCGGTTGTGAGAATCGAGCTAGAACTACAAATCAGATCACCTAGTAAATCAGATTCTTCGTGCATTTATAAAAACTTATTGTCATGTGGCTAATGCCTTATTAAATCATAATTCCCTTACATATGGCGGCGGTGGAGTAGCAGGACTAACAAAGTCTGGGACATGAAAAGGCAACTGCTGAAACGAAGCCACGTTGGCAAGGGCACTCTGGGAGCAATTTGTACATTCAACCGTTTGGACGGCACGTATCTCTGTATTCGAAGCGACCTTGGGTGAACTCTTTTTATCATTATTTTTGGATGATAAAGAGCAGATAATACATATTGATGTGAAAATTATGACCACTATTATTGTCGTTGTGACGAACCCTGGGCTTTTCAATTGTCGTTTTTCAATTTGAATATACATGTGTTATATGATCTATTAATTCTGAGAAGCTTTTAGCGATGATTTACATATTTATTTAGCCATTATTTGATTAACTTATTCTGCACAATATTTGTACCGGGTCATTAAACTATATAATTATGCCAAAGTTCCTGAATCTTCCCACACAGTATCAGTGAGGCCAAGAATTGTATAAAAATAGGGTAGGTGGGAGGCTTTGACTCAATACAATGATCATGGCCAGCGGGTTCTAGGAGGCAATTTTACTTGCTTGTAATGGTAATGCATCTGTAATAGTTTTTTTTTCTTCATTGTCGAATTGGGGTAAGCTTGCTAATCAGATAAATAACAATTATCAAATTCTTGATAGTACTTCATAATCTTCAGAAACCAATGCAGGAAAGTAATGATCGAAATCTTGGGTTACGGTTCAATGTATTTAGGACTTCTTGAGAAGCCATGACTAATTTTAATACCTCGTAAGTCTTCTTCACCTAGCAGGAGCTTACTCATTGCACTTTTTGCATCAATGATAATAGTAGATTGGCCATATCAAGAAACACCCTCTTCTCGTTTCTATATATGGATTCTACAGATGCCCAAGCTGAATATTGATAGAGAGTAATGTTAGGCTGAAGGACTTGAAACAAACGTACAGAGAAATGTATCAATTGGAATGCAGAATTCCAAAAATACTGACGTGCAATCACCCCAAAGACATAAGGTCACATAAGTAAGAACTATTCCTCCTCAAAATACCCTCAATTTTAAGGAAAATGAAGTTATTGATTCTTGGACTATTACTCTTGCCAACGAAAAGCGTCTGACGTGATATTAGAGCTTCTTTGAACTTTCAAATCGTGATTGCAACTCTGAGACATGAAGGTGGGCAGCACCGAACACCGAACCGAAACCAGCGATTTTAAGTTTCTCCTGAGACTAGCCCCTTCTTGATATGAAGAACAAGAAAAGTGAAGAACGCATTCAAGTGACTTCTGATAGCACTTGAAAACTCTGAGAGAATGTGACGGCTTACAGTCTTGAATTCTGTCCTCAATGGACGAGACCCCTTATGAACTAGTCAAACTCTGTGGAAGGTTCTTTCTGGAGAAAACTTCTTTATCAAATGTAGATATGCCGTTCGTCCCTATATAGAAATCTTTTCATGTAATGGGGCATGCATCTCACAATTCTCTCGTCAAATATTTTTTAACGAAGAGATGGTCAAGTGAACGCAATCGATTGGTGTTCTCATCTTGAAAAACTTCATTGTTATATTCTCCATATTCGACTCAGTTTAATATGACTGTTCAAAAACTTGGCATTACCTTGTTTTCGAAAAATTATGCGGATACAAAACTGGCCGATCAAAATACCAAATTACTTTAAAATGTGTAATCGAGAATAGGAGCGAGAAATGACAATCATGAACACAAGGTCCAGCTACACGTCAAATGCTCGCAATGTAAGAGGTCAACACATATTTCTTACTTCCGTATGATTTTACAGTGGCAATCGAAATGCAAACAACGACAAGATAAGACGGAAAAAAGCATTCGTGACATACAAGCCAAGGAGTAACAAAACACTTACACACAACCCACTTCATATCTTTCATATCTGAACATTTTTTTAACTTCTTTGTTTAGCATCCCATCGCCAAATTTTTTACCCGTATTTTGCGCTCTTTCTCAACTTCCACAGGCAAAGACGGAATTCTCAATCCCAAACCAAAAACAAGTCTAGTGGCCAAAGATAGAATAATGTTCGGACTTTTCCAGAAATGGTTAAACACCGACAAAACTAAGCCAATCATCTCAATCTTGCCGATTTGAGGCTTGGGTCCAGACTCTATATGCGGTCTGTATCACAAAAATTTGACGTCCACTGCACATAGAAGGAAACATACCTAACCAATACCACTCAACAAAGTTCGATATTCTTTATTTTCTACGACAAGAATGTTCTACGATCTGATCACCGGAGTCAGTGGTCAAGAAACCAGCATGTTTTCACGTCAAGTTATTAATTTTAGTCTTCCTGTCATCTCATTTCTTTTCCGGAGTTCCACGCAGTGAAACGTCGTATATGCTCACAGTTTTATATCAGACGATCAGACAACGCGGGGCACGTGTATGCCGGTTGAATGCAACAAACAGGAATTACTGTTATTCCCAACATGGTGACATGTTGAACCTGCTGTCCTGATACATTCTGTTCTGAGTTTGTATGTGTGTCTTTTCAGTTTTTGTAATGAGATGTTTCCATGGATCCTAAAGTTTTAAGAATTGCTAAATGTTGTTCAAATGTGAACATGAAATGCTTCATAAGCCATCTCCAATCTTCATACAAAAAAAACAAAAAAAAATGACGCAAGTTTACGAAGGTATCCCGCCTCCAGCACGTGCCATTTTTGAGTGTTACGATCACTTCGTCAGTTCTTCCCGCATGTGGGCGGGTTGGAATTGCGCTGCATGCACCTACATGCATACGCACTTCTTGCTTACTACTCCACCTGTCGGCATTTGAGAAAGGCGCACCTGTATATCCAATGTTATGCTTTACCAAGGCATTGACTTTCTTGGCTCCCTGAACTTAAAGCAAGTAAGGCAAAACAGGAGATTGAAATGTTCAAAGAATTTTGAATCAGGTAAGATTAAAGAAGAATATTGATATTGACATGATTTCGGCGAAATTTGACAATTGTATATACGGCGAATCGGCCAACTGATGGCAAAATAATGCACAAGTTATTATGCCCGCACATAAATGGGGATAGAGGTACATAAATGCGAATAGTGTCTTCCTGTGCATCAGTTGTCTGTCACTAAATCCCTAAGCCGATACGCCAAAAGCAGGAGACCCGCCCAATGCAGGGAGAAGAAATCTTTGGTATGTCTATGCGTTTTGATTTTGTGACTTCGTTTTCTCCTCCATTTCTCCGAGTTAAACATTTAGCTTATAAGATAATGATCACAGAGAAACAAAAACAATCAAATACCTATGCTCCTAGAATATTAACCGTGTTAACCTTTATTAATAATGTAGCGTGCCGTGCCAAGAATAGATGTAGTAATGACTTCAAAAAATGAAATGACGATAATGATGACGTGACGTTTTATAACACTGAGATGGTGTTGTAAACGTTTATGATTTTCATTATAATGATAATGATGATGTTGGAGATGTCGGTGGCGACTGTGTGTGATGATCATAACAATAGTTTATTTGGATGTCAATGCCATAATTTCGGAATTGAGTTCCTCCAGACCCAAATCTCTAGTACTGGTTACGTAGCGGAGGAAGGGCGATCTGGTGGTGAAGATAAGACAGCGGATCTGCAACGTACTTTCCTGTAAGTTGTTCTTGCTCTTTAGCCTCGTCCATAAGAGGCTTAATACAAAGCCACCCAGTCTCAGTCCTGAAATGACGAGCTAACGCATCAGATCGAGCGAATTTTTTCCCACAACCCCATTTGGTTACTCCATCCTTCAAGAAGCCCTCACATCTAAAGTTCTTGACTCCGTCATGCAAAAGCTCGTGACGTTTTCGATCGTGGGAACGGGCAAATGTTTTGGGACATACCAGACACTTGAAAGGGCGCTCAGATGAGTGTGTTTTCATGTGACTCTTTAAGTTGTATGGTTTCTGGAATGTCTTGCCACACTTGGAGCACAGGTGCTTCAGCTTGTCATGGTCAATGTCACTATTCTTGGAATCGGTGCGTCTTCTTCTTTTCGAAACTGGAGACACGGTGCATCCAACAAGCATTGAGTAATCTATAGCACCAGGATTGAGGTGCAGCCTGGCCGACTCTGCATCTGACCTGATGTCTGACTTGCTGTCCGATATATACGAAGAGGGACTCACCGGATATCCATGCGTTGTGCCTGAGGAGGAAAAACCTGGAACTGAGGCGGGCCTATGAGGATTGGACTGACCAACTACTATCGGGACCAGCAGATACTGGAAAGCTGATGCATAATGGTGCTGCTGGGGGAGCTGGATTTGTGGGGCAGCGATGGCCCTCACCATTGGTGCGTTAGGCAGGGAGGTTTGGGCCAACACCGGTGATGTCTTCGAAGACATAGAAGGTGGAACCAGGTGGATCTGCTGCAGCGAGTAGCCATGTGAAATTAATGGATTTTGTGAGTAGTGAGTAGCGAAAGGGCCAAAAGATTCAGCAACGCCTGGCATCCGCAGTAGCTGCTGTGGAATGCTGGGTCGCTGCATCAGCAGGAACTGGTTGGGAAGGTACACAGGCGGATATTGCTGATGTTGCATATCGCTGACCTGTTGGAATGGACGGCCCATTTGGTAGTCTTGCTGAATATAGACTGGGTTGGACATCTTTGATGGTAGTGGCAGTGTCGCAAGATACCAAGAAACGATAGCTTTAGCTAAGAGAAATTGCGGCCAGATGCAATACAAAGGAAAATGCAAGATAAAGACGAAAAATTGTCAAAATGTTGTGTGACTTTTAAGTTCTTACAGAAAACAACGGCGAACTCCCAGAAATATATATTGTAAGGATCTACAAGAGGAGGACATGAATGTAGCCAGCGCGCAGGCAATGCACCGGCATTTCAAAAGCAGGCTTACGCGTTAGGTATCGGGCGTGTACATGATGTCACAAACGCAGCTTGAACTGGCCAGCAGACAAGAACTATTTTGCCAGTAATTGCGTGGTACTCTGTCTCATGGTAGGCACACCAAGGTCACCACAGCCTCAGAATCTTACCCCTGCTGAATGAAGCCATTATGTGGGCAGGGCTTCTCAAAGCTTTCAAGAGGCGGAGTCAAACAATTCCGGCAGATACCAGGACGCGGGAGTGTGCCTAATCGGCATTTGCATTTTTGACGTGTGAGGTTGTTGCCCGCTTTTTGTAATGGTTTTTTTTCCTCATTTAAGCTCCATGTCGGAATTAATCCCAACTAACCCGCCCTAGCCATAAAGGGTAGACAGTCAAGTTTCGAAGAAAGTGGTACATTGGCTTTCAACTATATGGTATAAGTGAGTCCTGTTATAGCAACAAGATAGAAAAATAAAAATTAAAAAATTCCATTCATTGTTGCGATCTGGAATCTGAATTCAACTCCGCCGGGATCTGAAATGCTCGAACCACTGTACTGCATACATAGTTGCATGTCCTCAAGTCTGCTTACGTCTGTCTTGCAGCGCATACTATCCCTGGCGAAATTAGTAATCCGTTTGTCAATACAGCTTTACTTTCTTCATTGCTAAGACATTTCCAAACATACTCTGTAGAGTAGGCTATTTTCAAACACCGACACACAGAACTCTTGACTACCCCACTGCTTCAAATGAGGGCCTCCCGACATTTGTTTCCTCTAAGCCATCCTGCAAGTACCATGCATATCAACACTATTCCGCCAATTGAAAGTTGACACCATAGTTGCATTATGGACATGGAGACGATATTCTTCGAAATAAGCTTGTTTCTCAGTTTGTTTCTTATTGGAACAATTAATGACTCTAGAAATTGTGGGTATTTTGTTTTGTATTTTTTTCTTTTTCCATGTCAACATTGAATATGCGAGATGTACTATGTAAACAATGTCAGCGTAAAAATGGGTCTAGAAAGGCTACCAGTATGTCCAAATGTAGCAAACCTTGTGGACAGGATTCGCTGTCCGTTGTAACGCCAGTTTCCCAAGCCCAGCTTGAACAAGTGACCTGAAACCAGTACACAAAATTATCCCCAAGAAGTAAAGCTGTTTGCCGTCCAGTCAACATGAAAGTTATCGGAATTATTACCAAATCTCTTCAAACAGGGCAAGATGTGGAGTTGTTCACCAAAATCTTTAACATACTTCACATTGGCTTGAGCACCTTTGGCCGCCTCATTGTCTTGGATTTCACCTTTTTCTGCAAGCTCCCCTTCATTTTCAGCCTTGCCCAAGTAGTTCATGAAGAAGTCATGCAATACCGATGTAGGAACATTTTGAGGGAGATCATTGATGGTGACATTGGCACCAGGTAACAATCCAGTCCGGTGGTTAGCAACATACACGGCAGTGTTAATCAACAATGCCATGTCTTGGAAATTGATCCCTCCCATATCGTTCAATCCACTGAAAGAAGAGCCTCTGCGACGTCCCAATGGATTGGTGAAGCCGGAAGGATCGGTGAGAGCACCAAAAAGGTCAAGCTTTAATTCACCCATACTTAAAATGATGAACAGCTTGTGCATGATCGTGGTCCACAAGATATAGAAAGATTTTTGCTGCAACTCATTGGTTAAAATGGCTCCCTTCAAGTTACTGAAGTGTACATTTTCTGGGGTTCCATTTTTAGCAGCAATCTCTTCTTCTTCCTTGTAGTACTTCTCCACATTGGCAAGCTCGGGCTTGAGTCCTACACGTGGCACTCCAAAGCTGTGGACAGACAGCTTTCTCCTCAAACTATCTCCCAGCAACCGTTTTCCAGCAACAGTAGCATGTTCTTCACCGGAAGTTGCCCCGAGAGTCGACTCCTCCAATTTCTCTGCGATAGCAGAAAGCTCGTTGGTGGAACCCAATTTGGTCTGTGAAAGGGCGCTCGCAATGTTGGTTAACGAAGAAGACGATCTCTGCCCACCAGACAATTCTGAATGGAAATTTCCCTTGCTTAAGTCCGTCATCAAGTCCAATTCCTTGCCTTGGAAAATGTACTCGATCAAGTCTCTGTCCAGCTTGTTTGTGCCATTTAAAAATCGGATTTTTTTTCCCACATCCACATGTGAAGCCTCCGATTGAAGTGCTTGCTCCACCAACTTATAACTGTAAGTATTCTGCAAGGAAAAGGGTACCACGTAACCATCCGCTGGATAGGTCTTGAACCCATATGGCTTGTAGCCTTCTCCAATGGCAGAATACAAGTACCAAAAGTACTTTTTGCCCAAGTAATGGTTGACCAAGGTCTTATCGACGGTCCCTCCAGTGGTAACCATCAGTTTCAATGAATCCTTATTTTCTGATGATTTGGCAAGCTCCTTCTTGATAATCTCATCCTCGGTATACTCAATTACCTTCAGCAACAACCTTTTCATCAATCCTTTTCCCCGATAGTCCTTGTGAGTGAACACATGCTCGAGTCTCAATCCAGTTGCCGGTTTCACTCCGAAAGCTGCCGGATCGGGGACGTTGGTGATTCCTCCGCGATCTGCCTCCTTGTAGAAACCTTTGTGTTGAGTGACAACTGCCGAGCATACCAACACTCCACTTTTACTTTGGAGGTAAAAACCTCTGCCGGCTTTACCACTCAAGATCCATTTGACCAAGTAATTGGCCTCATTTTTACCGTATTGCTCAGCAGTAAAAGGAGCACCCCACTCCTCGCCGCTAATTGCATACAATTCAGCCAATTTTTTGGGCTCAACGGTTGATTGAAACTTGAACTCACTCATATTTTATAAAAAGTGACTTATCGTGGATAATCGACCGCATGTTCCGTATTGGGAATTGTACCTGTCCATACAGGATTAGTAATCGTGGAGAGATAGCAATTGACCCGACAATAGTAAGACATCCGGACACCTTGAAAAGCATCAGGTTGTCTTTAAAAACCCGGACACCTTCAATCGGTCCGAATTTCCCCTCACTGCTCACCAGATGCCAGGGTACCCGATCTGCAGTAGGCGCCATTGGCCCGCAAAAAAAAAGTTTCTAGCATTGTTGATCTCGTGATGAGGTCCAAGCCCCGATTTAGGTCAAAAAGAAACCCGCCTCCGGGTAGTCAAAGGTTAGCCGTTTCGGACATTCCTTCACTTGCAGAGTCTAACTTTGAGATCAAATGTGTTCTCTTGCATCAATATGCCAAGCGTAGTGGAAGACATGTGTACCGCATAATGTACTTAATGATCAACGCCCCATGTCAATAGATCCAAAAGAGCAATTCCCACCGGTATCCTTAGCTTTCAACGGTAAAAACCAAAATCCGGTTTCGCTTTTTGTGTACAGGACGTTACGGCAAATTGACTCACGAAATGGCATTTAGAAAAAGCAAACCGCTGACCAACTTGTCATATAAGACTTAACATTCCACCCGCCGTAGACATCTTTAAATCATCTCTAAATCATACAAATTCAATAGGCATGAGTAACGTTCATCCTTATGCTTCTGACTATACTGAAAAGGATAGTAATCCAGATCTTAGTACTCAGGAATATATTTTGCAACCAGATGTGTCGCATTGGCAAAACTTCAAAGATTCGTTTAAAAGAGCTGACCCTAACGATTCATCGGACGATGAAGGCTTAGATGCTCTTGAGAGAGCTGTCAAAAATACTGCCAAAACTTCTCTTCAATCCAAGATTGGCCCACTTGCACAATCGTTGATCGCTTTGGGTGGATGTGTTGGTTCTGGTCTTCTTATTGTCTCTGGTCAGGCTCTTGCCAGTGGTGGACCTGCGGGTGTGTTGATCTCGTGGGCAATTGTCTCTACCTTCTTATATTGTGTTATGCAAGCACTTGCAGAATTGTCCTCGACATTCCCTGTCAGTGGTTCGTTTGCTGTGTATGCTACCAGATTCATTGATCCATCTTTTGGTTTCGCTGCGGGCTGGAACTACGCCATGTTTTGGGTCATTGTGTTGCCTTTAGAATTGGTTGCATCCTCCTTGACAATCAATTTCTGGCAGCTGGACGTTAACTCGGTGGTGTGGGTGGCTATTTTCTTCGTTTTGATCATCGCGTTGAACATTTTTGGAAGCTCCGGTTTCCAAAACTTCGAGGTGTTCGCTTCCATCATCAAGCTTGTGGGTATCGTCGGTTTCGACATTTTGGCCATTGTTTTGGTTTGTGGAGGTGGAAAGCAGGGCTACATCGGCACTAAGCATTGGAAACATCCCGGAGCATTTGCTCACGGCTTCAAAGGAGTGGTGAGTGTTCTTGTCACTGCCACATACTCATTAGCTGGTACTGAGTTGGTCAGTATGACTGCTGCAGAATCCAAGACAAACCCTAGAATTGCTTTACCAAGAGCCATCAAGATGGTCTTCTACAGAATCATTATTTTCTACATGTTCACACTTACACTAATTACGTTCTTGGTGCCTTCTAACAACAAAAACTTAACGGCTGGTTCAGGAGCTTTCGCTTCCCCTTTTGTCATTGCCATCCAGGCTGCTGGAATCACCGCCCTTCCCTCGATCTTCAACGTCATGGTTCTCATTGCGCTTTTGTCAATTGGAAACTCCGCTGTCTTCGGATTCTCCAGAACAATTTTGTCTCTTGCAGAGCAAGGCTTGGCTCCATCTATTTTCAAGTACGTTGACAGATCTGGAAGACCTTTGGTGGGTATTGCCGTCAGTTCCATTGTTGGTCTCCTCGCATTCGTCTCGGCCTCTCCAAAGGAAGGTGAGGTGTTTGCCTGGTTGATTGCGCTCTCCGCTTTGTCTACCTTGTTCACCTGGGCCGCTTGTACTATCGCTCACATTAGATTTAGACAGGCTATGAAGACCCAGGGTCGTTCTCTTGAGGAGTTGCCTTACAGAGCTAACACTGGTGTTTGGGGATCCTATTATGCTACCATCTGTTTGATTGTCGTGTTGGCACTTCAATTCTGGGTGTCTTTGTTCCCATTGGGGGCAAAACCAGATGCTGTTGCCTTCTTCAAGAACTACTTGGGTGCTGTCATTGTGCTTGTCTTCTACGTTGGACACAAGATCTACTCTCGCAAGTTTAACACCATTGTTCCTCTCGCAACCATGGACATTGACACCGGCAGAGGAGAGACAGATATTGATCAGATGTTACAAGATATCGAGGAAGAGAAAGCACAGTACATGGCATTGCCTTGGCACCTTAAGGTATACCGCTACCTTTTCTAATTGGACAAATTTATAGATACGATAGACGAATTTAAGACATGATATAGAATGACAAGTTCAAGTAATTAAAGATTGACTTTTGAGTTGACCATTCAGTTACCAGAGTGAAGGGCCAATACATGGCTATCTAAATGCAAAAAACTGAACCCTAGAATGGAGTCTGCAAGAATCAAACATGCTCCATTCACAAGATATCCCACGTACAAGTAGCCATGCTCAGCCAACTTACCCGTGAATACTGGTCCGATGCACCGAGCAAAGGTCTTTGCAATGTTAACTGTGCCCATGACTCTGATCAAGTCCTGTTTTGGAATAATCGACGTCAAAAGTACCTGACGAGGAACCACATCCATGGAACCAGTGGCACAGAACAAGAAGTACAAAATAGCTGCACTGAAATACGAAGGACAGAATGCAATGCTCAAAAAGAAAATGGCCGAAGGAAGTTGAGCGGCAAGAATGGCCCTAACTGGGCCCAATTTGTAGTAGAGTATCGCAGAGGCAAGCGACGAGCCCGAGTCAATCAAATTAGTGAAGAAAAAGAGTGTCCCCAATGCCGAAGCTGTAACTCCAAACACAGTCTTGAAGTAGTATACAATCCATGCTGGAGGCATGAATCCATAGCCAAACGAATCCAACATGAACACAACAAGTAACCTTGGCAAATATAACTTGGTCTGGGCATCGAACACCGAGGATTTCACTGCAACTGGCGCGTCAGCAGCCTCCACGTCTTGCAGAACCTCGCCCCCAAGAAGATTTGTCTCTTCATCGATAGTTGGGGTCTGAGACAATGTTTTGGTGACTCTGTCCGCAATTTCGGGGGCCAAAATCTCTGTGGGCTCATCGTGCTTAATGAGTTCCAGGAGCTCACAATTCTTACTGAGTAGAAGTGCAATTGCCAACTTCAAGCCAGCCAAAATCGAGTACCCTATGAAAATTCCTCTATAACAATCATGTAATGTCCAGCCACGGGAAAGATTCCAGTAGTCGACCAAAAATCCACATGTGGATGCGCCCAAAGCCGAACCCAAAGTTCCAAGAAAGCCGTAGATGGCAAACGTCGGAGCCCTATTCTTTGGAGGTGTGAGATGAGACAAACTGGCCTCCTCCACTGTCTTGAAAGGTCCCGTCTCATCGCCTGAAGTGGATATCACACCCAATATGGCTGCCGCCAATAACACCCAAAAGTTCAGAAACATGGAAAACACTATACCCGAAGCTCCCATTAGTAGGCACCCAATCACCATTACAGTTCTGCGTCCGATATTGTCGGAGAACCACGTCAAAAAGTATGAAATGAATGTATCACCGATCAACGTCAAGGTCATGAAAATACCAATTCTCAGCTTTGAGATGCCTGCCGACTCGAGGAAGAGCGTAAGCACCTGGTTTGTGAGTCCAAAACTGGCTCTTCTAAGCAACACAGATGCCAATAGTAGTTTGACATCGAAAGAGGTTGGAATCATAAATGCCAATGAAAATGGGAATCAAAATGAGAACAAAATCAAATGAAAAAAAAAACGATTGAATTAGAAAGTTTCAGTTCTTATATTCAAAATCAACTGTGTGAGTCTCCTGCCTGTCAAATTATTGACAGTGGATGCGATCATCTCATCGGTGTGCACACTTAAAAGCTAAGTCTTAAGTTTTCAAGTTTACATCACCACCGTTACAGACTAAGAAGAAGCAGGTCAGCGGAGCAGTTCAGGTATATTTCAATTTTTTAAGAGTCCTACCTTTAATTTTGTAACCATCTGCGCCGCCTATGGACCAAAACACCTCGCTAGATAAGTTGGCTCACATCGCCAACATGTCACGGGAACTCCACGAGCTTAATCGCCAGATCAAGGAGGAGAAAAGCCCGGAGTTGTCAGGAAGTGAGCTCGTCTCCGAAGAAAGATCAGACATCAAGCTCGAGAACTTAACCAAATACAGAAGACTCGCATGTACATGGTGCAGACAGCAAAAGTCCAAATGTGATGCCCGCCAGCAATATCCGAATGCCTGTTCAAGATGCCAGGCGAAAGGTCTTGCGTGCCAGCTCAAACCTGATTTCAAACGGACTTCAAAGAAGGCCAAAATTGCTCTGATTGAGAAAGAGTTTGCGGAGTTGAAGCGGAACTTCATCGGCCCGCTGACTATGGGTGACATCATGAAGATTGCCCCAACACTAGCTACAGAGGGTATTGCATTGTCGGTATCTCCACCACCGCCGTTTATCAGGCAGATGTCGCCTATATACCCCCATATGGGAAGCACTAGTCCTATGCCAGAAATTCCTATCAGACCACCAACTCGTGGCTCTACGGTGTCAGTCCAAATCCCGGACAGTGCTCTTATTTGCGAGGAAAAGTCACTAGATTCTGTAACTTTGGATCCGGAGACAATCCGTCAATTGTTTATGGAATACGTCCATCATTACCACCCGATTCTTCCGGTGGTCGATTTGGCTAAGGGACCTGAACGCATCTACAGACTCTGTCCAGCTCTTTTCTGGGTCATCATGTTTGTAGCACTTCGACGTTATGACGAAAGCAAGTCGCTCCTTCTTCAGTTGTCTCCACTTATCAAGAACATCTTGTCTGAGATAACAATCTCTCCGATCACGCGGTATAATCCCACGGAGGAAGATGAACCCATCATGAATGCTTCGTCGGTCTATTCCGTTCAGGCTTTCATCCTCTACACTCTCTGGCCGCCACTTACGTCGTCCTTGAGTGCTGATTCGTCGTGGAACACCATTGGAGTTGCGCTTTTCCAAGCCATCCGAATTGGTCTCCATTCATCCAGCCAGATCTTGGAGGAGGACCTGAAGAACCAAAAGCCTTCACTGCAGAACTCCATGGCTCAGGAACACTTGAGAACCTGGATTATTTGTAACATTGTCTCTCAGAACATTGCTACTGCCTTTGGATTTCCAGCATTTGTTCAGTTCGACTCGCTTAGAGCTCAGTATGCTGACATCCCGATGTCGACACGCCACAACATGGAAATTGCCCATTTTGAAGACCAGGTTGCCAAAACACTAAATTTGAACTCCACTACTGATACGGGACTCACACATGTCAATGAGAGACTTGCACTTATCAAGGTTTTAATGAGGCAACTAGATGAGCTAGAAATCAAGCTCACTTTTGAGATGGTGGATGAGGACGGATACAGAAAGTTCCAATATATCGTGGCCCGTATTCATCTTCTTACGCATTACTTCCTTGAGGCCACCAAACTACCTCTTGCCGAGTTGTCTAAGGGTCTTGTTCGTCTATACAATGCTGCAATGTCACTCATCAACCATGTTGAAATGTGCCAGGCGAAAAATAAGGACTTTATGAAATACTTGCCTGTTGTATCTATTTTGAATATCTGGCAAGCATCTTGTATAATTGTGAAGTTGGCCAACTCCCCGTTGAAGACTGTTATTGATGTTGACTCTGGCAAACAGATTTACGTGACAGCCATCTCCCTTGTAGCGAAAGCATCCATTTTGAAGCACGATATCGCCTACAGAGCTAGTGGAATCATGAGAAACATGTGGCAATTGTTCAGATCGTTGGATGATAAAGGATTGACCAGCTTTTCCATTAAGATTCGGTCAAGAATGGCTGCGTCAGTTTTTTTCGACTGTTTATCGCTTCTTAGAGACCAAGTGGGTATGGCCAAGTTGAATATCAAAACAGACCTTAGAGAGAACTCGGTGGAAGATGATAACGAGGATGGTGGTGATGAGGGGGCTGTTGAGTCTGAAGTGGAGGCAGATGCTTACTCAGGTGACGAAGGAGAAGTCAAAGGAGACGAAATCGAGTCGTCTGAACATCGCAGTGCTGGTAGCGTGAGCCAGAAATCAACACCCGGGAGCTCCAACTCCAGCAAAGTGCGCAAGAAGAGATCGTTATCTGGGCTTCATGATGCTGAATCCAAGGCCAGAAAAATCATCCGAACCATTCCATTGGATCCCCAACCCATCTCTGCATCCAAGAGAAGTTCTATATTCAAGGTTGTGAACACCAGTGCGGACACTCTGCCCAGTGTTGGCAATGACACCGAAGATTCACGGAGTATGGCATCTCCAGGCAATATCAAGGTCACAGGAGGTATTCCAGCGGTTGTTAGACAAGACATCACTGGATCAAGGATGCACAGTCCACGGCCTATTAGAAGAAATGGAAATGGAAATGGAATTTCCAGACCCGTGCACGATTTGAGTCTTGATTATAACGAGTCACCGTCTCATGGTGTTGACAACTTGGAGCTGGACATTTTTGACATGAACAACGACTCATTATGGAAGGATGTGGATAGTCTTATGAATGACTTCGGGTTCCACACATAATGTACAAATAATGTAATATAATACAGGAAGGAAAGAAAGAAGAAAATGTAAGAAATGGGTGGAATAAGATAGGATTGGGGAAAGAATTTAAATGACGAAATTATAAAAGTTGGAAGATTGTAATAACTACACTTAAGTTGCCAATTTTGGACATTCATGGTTCGGTACTACATAGAATACGTGATATCAACAAACACCATTTTATCCATACAATCATCCTTCCAGTATTTTCCATTATCCACAACTTCACAACTCACCATGTCAAATAAGCTAGCTATGGATAATCCCCACGAGCAAGTACAGGTTGCTCTTCTCTCGCGGATCATTAATAATATGGTATGTACTTGTAAACATGGCTAATCCTCATATACTAACGACAGAAAACACTCAACGACTCTGTACACGACATGAATTTGTGTTTGAATGAGATCAGCAACAAGAACAAGGATACGGAGGTGTTATCGCAGATGTGGGCAAACTATGCACAGAGCGCAGATTATAATTTGGATGCCACGGGTCAGAAGAGAGAGCCACTTTGAATACGTAGTTAAGACGCCATAATTATTGGGACACTTTGACTAAAAAGTCATGGTAATTAGTTGGCAATGACAATTGGGATGTCACGAATACTTGAAAGGTCGAGGAGGATTAACGGGAGTTTGGGTAGAGTTTTCATAATCTAGTCATTTGAACGAGATACTACGGCTCTATGATTAATAAAGAGGGTAATGAGGGCGGAGATACGGATCACTCTCCGGATAAAGCAATCTGGGTGTCTCCGTCTGATTCCACTACCAGCTGACTACCATCGTACCCCTATCAAGCTAGAGCAAGATTTCACTCCAGTGCGTTTCCACTTGGATCATACAAGGAAGTGGGCACCCATTTCAGATGTATAAGAATACAAATATACAAGAACTTCAAAAAGATGTTCCATTTTCTATTCCCATCTGTATTTTCCATCTTCTCTCTCCGTTTCCACATTTTCTCTCCATAACATCTTTCCATCTTTCCTCCTACACTACAAGCATCCTCAAATGATTTTATTCATGCAATATAGTACAAACTTGCACCTTCAGGGAGCATCCCAGCTCCTATACCATCATCCTCTAATTCTGGGTTGGCAACAAACCAAATCTCTTCTTCAAAGTCACTCTCTGTCTGGAGTACTTGTCGTCTGGGGAAAATCTGGCTGGGTGCGCAGACTTGGTGATTTCACCATCCTCGGTGGTCTTAGCCAAAGTATAGACTCTCTTGCCGTCTGGGCCCAAAGTGTACATCAAATGCATAATGGCTGGTTTTGGTAGTAGAAAGTTTTTTGTGAGATGAGGAACTTATGTTCTTGGTGCACGGGTGTGAGGCGATGGAGTTCCTCCATTCGAATACATACTTAGGTGTGATGTACGGGTTTATTGATGAGCCTTATACTTCCATTTTACAATGGATACAATACTCGACTGGCCAGAATAAAAAGAAGATTACAATTTCCTAAATTTATAGAGTCTACTCTTTCTTTCAACTTCATTTAATCAAATTATCCGAAAGCACCTTCATACCTCACTTTCGTCAAGCTTTCCCATATGCGCACGTGACCTCACACCAGTTAAATCGTGTCTCTATCCACTGATCATAAACCACATACCAATGCCACCTAAGAAGGACGCTTTCGCCGATCTTTTCCTGTCAGCGACGGGAAATTCACAGTCGCTGTCGCTAAATTCCTCTCTTAACAATCTTTCCCTCCATGATCAAAAACCAAAGCCACAGAATGCTCCATGGTCCAACCTCGATATCTTATCGCCCCAAATGGCCAGTCCACAAGATACCAAGTCCAACACTCCGAAGCCCAATGCAACTGAGTTTGATCCGTTTTCGATTTTTGACTCCAAGCTTGCTCTGTCGCCATCTTTATCTAGTTCTATGAACCATTCACCCAGCATTTCCCAAGCCAGAGTTCTGCCTGGAATTCAAACGAATAATGAAAAACACACTCGGCCAACCGGGGAGATCTCTCTTTTGGATGATGATTTTACTGATGCATATGTTTCTCCTCCACCCGAGCCCCAGCCACTGCGGCAACCTCGGCCAGATCGTGATTTCCAGTCTGTTTCAAAGCCAATTGCTCATTCGGTTTCTCAGCCAGTTGCACCTACACCTGAAAGAGCCAATATTTCGACTCCAGCTCGCTCGCAGTCGGCACAGGCAATGGATGACAGAGATACGGTATTGGCAGAGCTAATAGATATTGGATTTCCTATTGAGGTTGCCAACAGAGCCATCGACGAAATTGGCACGGACCTACAAGCATGTGTCAATCATATTATGGGCGGTGGTCAATCTAGAGGGTCGAACAGCCAACTGAGAAACAAGCATAGAAATGAAGAGCGCCATTCCACCATGTCTCCGGACTTAGGTTCGTCGTTGCAGGATATTTCCTCGGACATCTTGAAGAAGGCATCTTGGTTTCTCGACAAGTCAAAGAAGACCGTGATCAAAAATATAAACCAGTTCCAGAACGGCCCTATACGCGACAGCAATAACTCAATGCCTACTTGGATGAAGAACCAGAGCAAATACAAGGCTGGAGCCCTTGAAAGAAAAGGAAACGGAGAACTGTATGAGGATTACGGAGAAGACGAAGATAACATCAACTCAGACGAGATTCAACGTATAATGCGGCAGCAGAGAGAACGTGAGGCTGAGAGACAGAGAGAGAGATTGGAGAGTATGAGTAAGTCGTCCTCGGGGAGATCTTCTCGTAGCTCCAACACTCAAGCACGTTCTGAAGAACACGCTACTCTGGGTCGCAGTTCGCCAGCAGTAGCTCCAGGAATACCTCCTAGACCTACTCTGACACCTAATGTTCGTCGAAATAGATTGCAGCAACCAGCGGTTGAATCTAGCAAGGTTGCTGCCACAAAACCTGTGGCTCCTCAACCCACGCCTGCTAGACCCAAGACGCAAGAGCTTGAGGTTGATCTTCTTGGTCTTGGAAGTGTTCAACCACTTTCTAGAGCAGAGAGATTCAAACAAGATTCTGGTGAAGGTCAGACGTACGTTTCCCCCTCCAGACGGAGACCTAACAAGTCCACGAAGCAAAGGAACGCCACAGCGGAAACCTTGAATGCGTTCCAGCAATCTGACTTTGAAACTTTCAAGGTCAAAGCCACGACATCTTTCACTCAGGGAGATTACGGTGACGCCCTTAGTGCATATTCAAAATGTCTTGAAGCATTGCCTCCAAAACATGAGCTTCGTATTGTGATTTACTCCAATCTTGCAATCACTCAAATCAAGCTTGGAAATTACAAGACCGCTAAGGAGCAGTGTGAAGAAGGTATCCAACTTGTGGGCGATAGTGCAGACGATGCGGAGTGGGCAATCAATGAAAAGAGCATAAAGTATTGGTATATCAAATTATTGACGAGAAAAGCCGAAACTTTAGAGATGCTCGAGTGCTTCCCTGAGTCATTGCAATGTTACATGGATTTGGTAACCAAACATGGAGTCACAGACAAGAAAGTGATGGATGCAAAAAGAAGGATCAATAATATAGTCAATCCTCCTAAACCAGTCCCAAAAGCACAGTCCAAGCATGCCTCGCCAGCACCCAATGTTCCACTCCCCAATACTGAGCAAGTGCAAAAAATCAGACAACAACATCAGCAAGAAAAATTACAAGATGAAATGAAATTCAAGCTACATGACCAGGTCCATGACAGAATCGCCGCCTGGACCAACGGAAAGGAAGAAAATTTGCGGACTTTACTCATGTCTTTGGACGAGGTGATTCCAGCCAAACTTGGGTTTCCATTTTTGCAAAAGAAGATCACCATTAGCGATTTGATGTTGACGAAGAAAGTCAAAATCAACTACATGAAGGTGATCAGTAGCATTCATCCAGATAAGTTGAGTAAATTCGACTTGGAGGACCAAATGATTTGCCAAGCTGTTTTTGTTGCCTTGAACAAAGCTTGGGATACGTTCAAGGAGCAGAACTCCTTGAATTAGCATAGTCATAAAATAAAGATTATTGAGGAAGTGTATGTCGTCAGATTAAGGTGTTGACTGCAGAAGTGTAGGATTAACTTTTTTTTTTGTGCAAGGCTTAAAAGTGTTTCAAGCGAGATGATGGTATGCTAGACAAACTGCATTGTAATTAGACAAACACGAATTTATTCATGTATGGCCAAGTTTTTATTGAACGTAAAACAACCACAGCTGTCTGATCATTCTATAGCCTGGAACAGACTTGAAGAAAAAGGAGTATGAAGTAGTATATGAGTATCTGAAGTCTGTGCTTACTTTTTCGTGAACAGCACCATTTTGAGCAAACGAGAAGCACTAAATGGGATCCAGCACTGCCACATACGTTCGGCACGGGTAACAAATCAACGTCAAACCCCGAAAAGGTACTAAACCGACATAGAATGCAATTCAGTGCCAAACCAAATTTTCTGCATCCACATGCACTCTGTCGGACACACACAGAAGGAGAAAGTGGCGATCGGCGATCTTTGATAACGTTTACTACGAAGAAATTACTTGTGCGAAGCGCGTCGAATTCCTCCTTTCTTCCAGACAAGAAATGACAAGACTTGAAAGCGCATTGAGAACACCCCTAAAATTAGATCAGCGCGCGAATTACGAGCGAATCAGTCCAGATCAATGAAAGCGAGCATGATGCAAATGACGGATAGAAAATGCGTTTGGTGCAGAATACATAATGCACACTTAACTTCGCAACGAATGAAAACCTCAGAGTCAGTCACCTGCCACCTCAAATACTGATTGAAACCCCCACCGTAGCCATGGTAAACTTCGAAACGCCAACCTAGCAATTAAGACCATCCTTGCCAGACTGCATCCGTGTGTGGAGGCACCAGTCGCGGAGAAGGCAGTGCTGCAGGAGAATCAGTGAGCAAAAACCAGCCATTTCCCCGAGGTTGATTCAACAAAAAAAACCACAAAGTTTCTTCCATGGCAATTTTTAGAAGTGCCTCCAAGAGCAAGGCTCCACAGTACACGTCCCAGACTGGGGACCATGATGTGAAGATGGACTCATCCAATATCCATGATCCCATTTTGACTGCGGTCAACGAGGCACAGCCTTTCGAAGAAGCTAATGCCAACTTTACCAACAACAGAAGACCTTCCTACTTGTCGCAAGACTCTGCAGACCTCAAGGATATCTTTGGGCAACGGATCCGTAACGCGGACATGCTGAACCCTACCAGAAACAGAAATGAACGTCCCTTGGATACCATTCGAGGGTTTGAGTATGCTATTACAGGAGACTTGAGCTATCGTGAGCAACTTGAGTCCAATAGACTAGGTTGGGGGTTCCACGAGGACTTTCCTCACTACAGCTTGAGTGGACAGGAAGAAACTACTGGACCAGACAATCAAGGATACTCACGTCCTGTTGCCTCTTTTGGAGGAGGAGACCAGCCAATTTACCAGGCCGCAAATTATAGTGCTTCGTCGTTGAATCCTGATCAGAAGAAAAAGAAGAAGGGATTGTTTGGACGCAAGAAGAAGTAAAGAAGTTATTTGTAAATTAGGATTGTTTGGGAGAATGTTTTGAGAATGTACGACTTACGTAATTAATAACGATATGAACCATAGTGACAGGCATATGCTTGAGGAGTAGACACATGAAGATATGTCAAGAAGAAGGATTGGAATTCTGATGCTATGTTAGTAGTCTGATGATCCATATCTACGGATTGTAGCAGTGACATATGGAATGTTGTGAAATGGTACACATCGATAGTGATGGGTATATGGGAGTCTATGACACATGAACGTGAAGGGGTGATAAATGCAAGAAAGGTACACTTATCGAAGGTTGCAATCACTCAAAGAAGGAACGAGTACATTCTAGGAGATATGGTTGTTTCTGATCGATGCGATTCATAACTTTAGTGTCCATCTCTTGTTTAAGCACAACCATGTTCCAGCACACAATGTCCGTCGGACTTATTACTTTGGGTCCTTTTCGCATACACCCCCAGGCATATTCGTCGAATCCCATTCTCGTGTCCAATCGAGCATCTCGTCTATATTTACCATCCTCTACACGTTCAGGTTCTGTTTGATCATATATCTTCGCTGTACGTTACTTTGCCTGTATGTTCAGGCCTACCGAATTACATTTCCTGCTGTATGTAGTTATTTAGCCCTTTTGTTCCTATTGATTTAGCGCCATTGTTCCTACAACCTTTGTATGATTCTCCAGTAGCGCAGTTGTCAAATGCGTCCTACTCCCCCATGCACTTCCATGCAACAGCTGCGAGGCAGTGCAACTCGCCAACACATCTCGCAGCCAGACACAGACCTTGCTTTGACGTGCTTATCGGTGGTAACCAGCCATAAGTCGCCATCAAACCCTTCCAAGTAGTAACCTCCAATGACCAAGTTGTACATTCCAGCTTGTCACATCTATGAGCCTCGTCGTGGCATTCCCCAATAGGATCAGATCGGTGACTCCTGTACACGTTAAGGGCCCACCAGCCTGCATTTCCGATTGAAACCAGACCTGCTACACCATAAAAATATCCACCCAGCCTGCTTCTCATGGACATTCCGAATCAAACGATCCCTGTCCAGGGCAATTCCTACCTTCCCCAGCAGAACATGCAGACGTCCGTGTATCAGCAGCCGCCAGGGCATGCCCACCCTCATCAGCAACCGACTCAGTCGCAGCAATCGCACTCTAAACCTATCGCTTTCAACGTGTCAGATCACTACCAGATTCTTGATGTCGTGGGCCAAGGTGCCTATGGAGTGGTTTGCCTGGCGATCCACAAGCCTACTCAGCAGAAAGTGGCCATCAAGAAAATCGAGCCTTTTGAACGGCTGATGCTCTGTTTGCGGACTTTGAGAGAGTTGAAGTTACTCAAGAATTTCAATCATGAAAACATCATCTCTATCCTCGCCTTGCAGCGACCCGTGCTGTATGAAGAATTCAACGAGATCTATTTGATCCAGGAGCTCATGGAGACCGACTTGCACAAGGTGATTCGGACCCAGAAACTTAGTGATGACCATATCCAATACTTCATCTACCAGACTCTAAGGGCATTGAAGGCGTTACACTCGGCTAACGTCCTTCACCGTGACTTGAAACCTTCGAATTTGCTTCTCAACTCCAACTGTGACCTCAAGATCTGTGATTTTGGTTTGGCTCGTTCAGTTGCCTCATCCGAAGACAATTTCGGTTTCATGACCGAGTATGTTGCAACCAGATGGTACAGAGCACCTGAAATCATGCTCACATTCCAGGAGTATACTACTGCCATCGATGTGTGGAGTGTGGGGTGCATTCTTGCTGAAATGCTCAGTGGGCGTCCTCTCTTCCCCGGACGAGACTATCACAATCAGTTGTGGCTCATAATGGAGGTTTTGGGGACGCCAAACCTGGAGGACTACTACAACATCAAACTGAAGAGAGCGCGTGAGTACATTAGACTGCTTCCATTCTGCAAAAAAGTCCCCCTAGGCGAGCTATTTGGGCTGAACCCGGACGTCAACCCGTTAGCCATTGACCTCTTAGAGCAATTACTAGCTTTTAATCCGGCAAAGAGAATCACAGTTGAGAAGGCTTTACAGCATCCGTACTTCCAGTTGTACCATGATCCAAACGACGAACCAGTGTGTGAACCTATTCCAGAAGACTTTTTTGACTTTGACCGGCGCAAAGACGAACTTTCGATTAGTGAATTGAAACGCTTGCTCTATGACGAGATCATGAAGCCGTTATAATATAGCATACCAGCATGTATACTTTGCATTGAAGTGGTAGAGACTTATTGTCTCTAGTTACATATTGATTGATGAGGTAGGAGAGAAAGTGAAGTCGAAGGATCGACTTTCACTGTTGCTGGTGCCAGCATAACTAAAATCTTAGATAGATGTTTCTTTTAGCTATGAGCCATTCGAACTATAACATAAAGTACTAGTTTTGCCTATACGTAACTACTCTGCGGTAGTTCTTGACTCCAACAAGACAGCTGAATCTACGCTAAATAACATTACCAAGATATCATAAACTGTTTTTTCATTATTTCTATTTTTTTTTTTTCGTCAGTATCATGATTTATTCTTCGTTCTCTCTCATCATTTGGAGTGCTCGTATTTAAATTTCTCTGTAGACATTCTCGGTGGATTTACTCGTTGCTATGCTCGCTATATATAGCGCAGGTAGCGATTCAACAACAGACCACGACACTCTAAAATAAACCGAAAAAAAAACATTCTAATCCTCGTAGCCGATATCATTAACCTTCCAAATATACACAATATTTTACCAGTCTTTCTACACCGCCAAATGACAGCCTCGTCCAAAACTTCATTTGTCGTGCATACACCGCGTCTTGTGAACACGAAATTCCGACAAAGGTTATTTCTTCAATACCACCCTTCACCATGAGATTCGCTGCCCTCTGGGTCTTGTTTGTGGCCGTTGTGTCTGCGCACACGGTGTTGTTGCCTCCTCACGGAAAGCAGTGTTTCTATGAAAACTTGAAGAAAAACGACGAATTGGCCATCTCGTTCCAGGTTGGTTCAAGAGACCCAAATAACGCCGAGCAGTTCACCATCGATTTCCATATCGTCAGTCCTTCCAATAAGGTTGAGCTCTCCAAGAACGGCTTGGACCATGGTGACGAGAGCATCAAGGCTTCCATGGACGGAAAGTACCAGTACTGTTTCTCCAATGAAAGAAGCAGTAGAGTCGATTTGGATGTTTCGTTCAACGTGCACGGAGTGATCTACATTGATGTCAATGATCCCAAGTCTGACACTTTGGACTATGCCATCTCGCGGTTGAACCAGTTGACCAGTGATGTCAAGGCAGAGCAGAACTATTTGGTGATCAGAGAGAGAACACACAGAAACACGGCTGAGTCGACCAACTCGCGGGTCAAGTGGTGGTCTTTGTTCCAGATCATTGTTGTTGCATTGAACTCGTTGTTCCAGATCTACTTTTTGAAGAGATTTTTCGAGGTTCGTTCTGTTGTATAGTAGTGGAGAATTGATGGTTGAGAATGAGAAAATGTAAGAAAGAGTGGGTAGAGAGAGAATTATCAAGGGAAGGTAAAGTACAGAAATAGTAGCCTATAAATTAGACTCAATGAAGTGTCTGAAGTGTGTTGATGATTCTTTACATTTTTGATCACAACCCTTAAAATTATGGAAAAGGTGAGAATGTTGTTAAAGATGTCCAATTGCAAGAATTGTCCATTAAAGAGATGTTGTCAAACGATGGACTAGATCACATAGAAATTCCAAAACAGTATATAGTATCAATTCAAGTTGATGATTGTGGCGTTTTAACATTTTGGGCATTCGACCTATATTCTGCTACTTAGTTCTAATAAGTAGATGGTGGAAGTTCATAAAAATGTTCAAGCGTCTGAGACATTTTGAGATCAAGATACACACAGAGAGATCGAGGATAACATGATTAAACTCGGTTATAAGCTACAACAATCCTTCGAATGTCTACTGTCCTCTGATGAATACTACTTCATGAATGTGAGTGGACTATAGTCATTAGAATAGGGTACTGAGGTACTGGTATGATTGAACTTAAACTCTAGTAATATTCAACGTCTAGAGTACTATCAGCCCACATAATGGTACTAACACTCTCTATGGCACCTTTCTCGTTGTAGCCTCACGTAGCCTCACGTAGCCTCACGTAACCTCACGTAGCCTCACGTAACCTCACGTAGCCTCACACAAGCCTTATAGCCTCACAGTAGATGTATCACAATATCAAAAACTTCACAATATTACCAGCAGTCACAGCGATTCTACTAGTAGCATAAGTAGAGGTCTGAAGGGTGTAGTAGAGTACTGGAGAGTATAGTAGAATGATAGCCACTAAGAAATAACACTCAATTCCAACCAGTATCCAATCATTCACTATTATTGGTTGCAAATTGTGGCCCGATCGCTGTCAACGTTTCATGGATACACCTCGCAATTCTTTCCCATTTACTCAGTTAATCTTTCCATGAACGCGGCAATGGTTGCAGATATTTCCATAATCCAGTCTTTTCTCTCACTACCTTTTCCACTTTCTCTTTCATTTACTCTCCATTGCCAATTCCATATCCAATATGAGTCGTCAATACACTAAATGCCTTTCATCATCTACAAAAGTTTCATAACCACGCCGAAAGATGTTCCAAGAACCCTTTGAGAGAAGAAAAAATTTGTGTAAAAAAACATCTAAAGGATGAGAACATTCCAAAACTCTAAACGATTTTTTTTCCCACAGTTTACAAATAAATAAACGAATGTCAAACAACTTGTCCCCATCCTCACCAACTCCTATCTCTTGAACTTCGCATGCTCACTAAACCCGCACTCCCCTCCTAGGTGTTAATCGCCGCAAAATGTCCCGTTCGCATCCGTTCTCCACTGCTTAAACCCAGGAAAAGCCCAAATATGCCAGTTATCCAACGACTTGAATGCCCCTCGGCACGTGACCATACCCACCATCCACCGTCATATATAACTCCGAGGATGCCCCAGATTCTCGGCTCAAGGGAACTTCTTGTGATAGTGTGCCATAAGTAGAAATACTATATATTCACGGAAAAACTAGACATTTCCCCATCCAAACTACAGGGTTTTTTTTTGTTTGATAAATAGCAGTATGTCCAAATTCTTTACTGAAGTCCAGGAATTGCCTCCTGACCCACTTTTTGGCTTGAAGGCCAGATACGTCGCCGACTCCAGAGATGATAAGGTGGACTTGGGTATTGGTGCCTACAGAGATAACTCTGGAAAGCCATGGATTTTGCCTGCTGTCAGAAAAGCAGAGCGCAAATTGATCGACTCTGAGGGCTACAACCACGAGTATTTGTCAATTTCGGGCTACGAGCCTTTCTTGGCCGAATCTGCCAAGGTTATCTTGGGGAAGGACTCGCCAGCAATCAAGAATAACTTGGTTGTTTCTCAACAGTCATTGTCAGGAACTGGAGCTTTACACTTGGCTGGAGCTTTCTTGAAGACGTTTTTCGCTGGAAATCACACCGTTTACTTATCGAAACCCACTTGGGCAAACCACAACCAGATCTTCTCATCTTTGGGTTTGAAAGTCGAGACTTACCCATACTGGGACGCCGAGAACAAGAAATTGGACATTGATGGCTACGTGAAAACCATCGAATCTGCCCCTGAGGGCTCCATCTTCTTATTGCATGCCTGTGCCCACAATCCAACAGGATTGGATCCTACCCCACAAGAATGGAACACCATCTTAAAAGCCATTGCAAAGAAGGGCCACTTGCCATTGTTCGACTCGGCTTACCAGGGTTTTGCTTCCGGAAATTTGGACAAAGACGCTGCTCCTATTAGAGATGCCATCTCCTCGGGAATTTTTGAGTCTCCGATCTTTATTTGCCAATCTTTCGCTAAGAATGTCGGCATGTACGGTGAGCGTGTGGGAGCTTTGCACGTTGTGTTGCCAGCCTCAGAGCCAGCTGATGTGCGTGAGCCTTTGAAGAGAGCTATCAAGTCGCAATTGAACAAGTTGACCCGTTCCGAGATCTCCAACCCTCCAGCCTATGGAGCAAAGGTGGTTGCTACCATCTTGACGGACGATGAGTTAAGAAACCAGTGGGAAGAGGACTTGGTGACGATGTCATCCAGAATCATTAAGATGAGAAACGAATTGAAGGGTAGATTAGAGAAGTTGGGCACTCCTGGTACTTGGGACCACATTACCAACCAGACGGGAATGTTCTCGTTCACTGGGTTGACCCCAGAGATGGTTGCACGTTTGGAGAAGGTGCATGGAGTTTACTTGGTCAGCTCTGGCCGTGCCAGTGTTGCAGGATTGAACGATGGTAATGTGGAGAAGGTTGCCAATGCGTTTGATGAGGTTATCCGTCACTGCTCCAAGTCCAAGTTGTAATAAGTTAGTCAAGGCAATAAATCTATGACGTGCTGGGATGATTTGGTAGTAGAGAGTGTTTTATAGTTGAACGGATAGATATTATGTGTAAAGTAAGTTGGAAGTGAAGGACCCTTCACGACGTGATTTACTAAGTCCATAGCTGAGTATATGTTTTTCGATAAGAATTCAGTGAATGTTAAAGTTTTTCAATAAGAAGAAAAAAAGCTCAATTAAAGGGAATTAGTGCTCATCAAAAGCAGGTTCTTGATGAAGTATTATTTCAATTTGAGTGTTTCAACGTATTATTATAGGAATTTAGAGCTCAAATTCGAATAAGAATTTAAAGTACATATCACAATGTATTATTGACTTTATAGTCTAGAACTTCAAATAGTATCTTGGAAGTAAGTTGGATTTTTATAGTGTTGAGAATGTAATAACTACATACCTCTTCACTATCCCTGTAGACATGAACTTACCTTCATATTCACACATATGATAGCATCTACGCTTTTCAAATAACACAGCTTTACTTCGTTCGTCTAATTTACAACTAGTCACTTTCCCAATTATCACCAGGCTAGGGCGAGACTAAACCGAATGGAAGCAGAAAAACCAACTGTAAGAAAGACGCCGATTGTGATTGTTTATATATTTTCTTTCAAAACATCAAGTAACTTTTAGTGTCTAGGAAAGAATGTATTGCCTTTTATTTATAATCTTCTGATTGGTTTTGTTTTTCTGCATTCTCTCTTCCTATGCTTCCTCTTAGGCCCGTCCACAGCTACCTTTCACGCTTGTCTCATGTCTTCTAGGCCAAACTTCCAGGCATGATTTTTAACTTTACTTTACTCTTTCTTGTCTTCTATTCCATTTTCCCAATCATCTTCTACCACTACACTTTGTATACTAGTTATGCATTATATAAACGTGAAGATTAATTTATATAAAAGTGTACAGAGAACTTTTATCCGAGACTCTACTTTCTTCTGAAAGAACAGCCCTCGGTCAACTTGGCCTTACCACCGGTTGGAGTACACAACACAGTGGCACAGTTGTCACAAGTGACAGCAGTCTGTGCATGAGAGAACACGGTGGTGATGTTCAAACATCCCTGGCACTTAACATCCATGAAGTAGGATCTTGGAGCCTGAACCAAGGTCTTCAATTTGTACTTTTGGGCCTCGGAGGCTGGGTTTGGGTGCAACAAATCTTGAACTAAAACCTGATTATGTTAGTATGGTGCTAGGAGAGTACCATCAGATATAAAGAGACGTAAACGATCATTTCAAGACGGAAAAAAGCATCAATATGCTACTGGACAGGCTAGCGGAGATGGCGAATGTCAAGAATCGGGCATTGCAGCCGTAGGAAAAAGCAGAATATCAGGACGAACATAGGATATTATTGAAGGAAAACAGTCAGGAGGAAATTATGGATATTTAGGCTATTCGAGCGGGGGAAAGCTATTCGGATCATTGCGTGACGTCTATCTCAATCTGTAAGTCATAAGGGGGTGGGTCACATACCATTTTGTCTGTGTATTCAACAAGCGAAACTAGTGAAAAGATTTGATAAATTTTTCAGAGGTGGAGTGCGGGAATCTGGGCCTGCAGACAGCGGATGGGGCAAAAAAAATTGGTACCTTGTGTGGCTCTAGGATGTACGGGTCTCGGATTTCAAGTTGTGTATACAGTTAAAGTAAACATGATCACGTGTTAGGGTGTGACTGCTTGTCCCTCTACCTATGAAAAAGCCACAACTATCTGGCCATTAGGAAACTTCCAAAACAATCTATGATAATTTACTATCATTATAAAAATATCGGCGTTCATTGAAGATAAAAAAAATTGGTAGAATTCAAACAAAACAAAAAAGCAGCATATGGTTGCAAATCAGCAGCACTCGCACCATAATTCCAGAAGTATTGTATTTCGCCAGATAGCATTTAAAGCACAAGATGCAGACAGCACTTCAATCAGAATCAGAACGCTCCAGCAATCACTCGCTGTTGCATCAGAACCAATATCAGTTCAAACCTGCGCCGCATGTACTCATTATCAGAAAACTATGTAAAACCTATATAAATCAGCCCCGAGAGACAGACAAACTGTAAGAATCTATAGAAAATGAATGAATAATTGTAACTGAAATTTACTCTTCTCTATCTTCCCGTTCGTTCTTCGCTCTTCGTATATGACTAATCTTTGTTCCGTTGCATCAATGAGCGTTTCAGCCGTCAATCTTCAAAAGTATTTACATTTGATTGACGCGAGCGTAGTTTGCTCCCTTCATTGTGTAAGCGCGGTCTCAAATGGTTGCAAATAATGGGCACATCGATGTTCGGTAAGAAAATGACGTGATTAAAATGCATTGAGGGGAGAATGCTGCAGAGCAATTCTTGATTTTGGTTTCAATGATGCTGGGCATAATGAGCATTAAAGTACAAGTGTCGCCGATAATAGCCAGAGAGATCGAAGTAAAAATGAAACCATCGTAGAACTCCAATTGCGCGTTAAAGCTTTAAATGATAGAAAAATAATCGGAGTTGCTAACATTGGTGATCACTCTTACTTAGAGCCTCGCTTGGCCTTTCTTGGTGGAGTAACTGGTCTGTTGTTGCCCACAGAGTTTGGTGGAGGATATCTTGGCTTCTTGTCGGCAGGCTTCAAAATCTGGAAAGAGCATAGTAAACTCTCATCCACACTCATCATAGCACCTGCATTATCGAACTCTCCACAGTAGTTTGGAGCGGAGAATAACGTCACCAATTGTCTCTTCGAGAAGAATTCGTATCCGTCTTCCACGACTTGATGGGCTCTGCAAATCAAATCCATATCGTGCTTCTGCAAGAATCGGGAAACAACGTCAGGGCCAAATGTGAAGGAGACACCACGGTCATTTTCGGACCAGCCAGCAATGTCCTTGTCGGGGTCGGACCATAATAAGTCACACAACAAACCAACGTCAGGGATATCCGTAGGTCTCATGACTCTTCTGATCTGCTCCATGGAGTTCAAGTCTGGGGACAAACCACCGTGCATAGTGAAAATCTTCTCGTCAATGATGGCGGCAATGGGCAAACAGTTGAAGCAGTCAGTAAAAGTCTTCCACAACTTTATATTGTATCTTCTTTTGCACTCGTCGTAGAAACCATAGATACGGTTGATGGATGCGCACTCGTGGTTACCACGCAAAATGAAGAAGTTCTCGGGATATTTGATCTTGTATGCCAATAGTAAACAGATGGTTTCCAAGGATTGCTTTCCTCTGTCGACGTAGTCACCCAAGAATAAGTAGTTTGCCTCTGGAGGGAAGCCACCGTACTCGAAGAGTCGCAATAGATCGTAATACTGACCGTGGATATCACCACAAATCTTGATGGGAGCTTCCAATTCCAACAAAATCGGCTGCTGGATGAAAATCTCACGGGCCTTGGTGCACAAGAAACGAATCTCGTGCTCTAACAAGGTAACTTGCTTGCCTGGTCTGGAGCCTCTGACTTCCAACAATCTGTCGACAATGGAGTCGATGTCTGCCTCTTGATGTTCGGCCATGATATATAGAACGCCACGAAGCTAAGCGAGAAAAAAGGGTGGGGAGCGGATGGGTGGTAATACAACCGGAAATGGAACTAACGCCGATGGAAAATAACGACTAAAATGACCCTGATGTGCTGGCACGATACACGATGGGAGAAAAATAGAGAAAAACCAGTAGTAGTTCGAGCGCACTTTTTGTCGGCGGCAATTAAGGGATGAAGGGCCACGACATTTTTTTTGTTTTTTTGGTGCGGATCACGTGATATACGCTCAATCGGGCAGCAATAACAAAAAAAAAGGACTTCGTCATTGCTTGAAGTGAAATGAGTAATTAGAAGTGATTGTAAAGAGCGTTTCTAGAAGTCTTGAAATTTTTACATTTACGACTTCATACTTTTTAGTACATTTCTATTTCTATTTTTACTGTCAAAATGAGATTGACACATCAATCTCTGTTTGTTCAATCTCTAGCTCATTCCTCAAGTTTCTATTTTTTGTATCTGAGTGTCGTGTTCCCATAGCAATTCGCACAAGTTAAACACCCGCTCAGCGTCTGGGGTTAGACGGTGCAAAGCGCGCACTTTACTCGTGTCACGAAGAAGGTTTCCAAGCCTCGAATTATCTAAGCTAGAGACGTGGCGAATATTATTTGGAACCGGGATGAAACGGAATGGTTTGCTCCGAGCGACATTTGCTTTGCGACATTGTGTTTTGGTCACGTGGAAGGTCTCCACCATACTATGTATGGACGCGTAGACGTTTGGGTATAAAGATTCATGGAGTAGAGGATATTATGGTCGAATTTGCTAGGCGTTGGAATTGAAGGGAATTGATGATTATTGAATTTCTTTTCGAATTTGGGCGTGTTTTTGATTTTTGGAGAAGGTTGGTATGTTTGTAGGAAGTTTGCGAAAGACTGATCAAAATAAGTTGAATTAATAATGAGATTAGGTAGTTGGTAAGAAATGGAGAAAAAAGATAAAACGGATGAAGTGGACGAAGTCGACGAAGCGTAGGAAACATGGAAAGTGGGAAATTTAAATGAATTTTCTACTCCTTCACTGTTTATTCCGTTCCAACTGTTAGTTGATCACTACGGGAATATTACAAGTACTGAAGACTACACTTTCTGATGCCTCCATATCTAAGTGAGTTATAGTTTGGCGTTCTATAATGCAATGAGAAATATATGTATGGATAATTGAAGATTTCGCTGGATTAAATAATTGAAGGTGTATGTATTCAAGTCTACTGCTTCGAGTTCATTCCGTGTGAATACTAGTCGAAGTATAAATCTCGATTTTATATTAAAGTCTTGAATAAATCACATCAAATCAGTTCATTTCAACTCTGAAAACTATTCTACCATCATTACCAGAAGATAAGTCAGTGGTGGTACATTCACTCCTACATCTATCTCAGCCATCTTATTTATAGAGGTCTCAATCTCATCTACACCATGTCGACTCCTCCATTCCCTAACGAATACCAATTGCGTCTCGTAGCAGAGTCAAACGCAAAGGCTTGTCTGGTATGTTATAAACCCACCACATCGGTACTCTTAGCCGGAAACAGCGCAGACTTCTTCTACGTCTGTCCCGGCCATCTTAAAGACGAATCCTTCAGTATTCCCATACATCCAGACTCGTACACAAAGCTTTTGAGCGAAAAAGCAGAGTTAGAGAAGAAAGTTGTTGAAGCAAACTCGAAAGCTGATGCCAATAAACCCTACTCGTGGAATAAGATCATGACATCCATGGGATGGAAACCTGAAAAGAAGCTGGAAGAAGACTCAAAGTCTGACGATGCTAAAGTCAAAGAAAAGACCTACGAGGCGCTTTTGGATGAAGCCAGTGACCTCAAAAAGCAGCTTGCTACGTTAAATGACAATATATCCACGTTTAAGTTCAAAAATTATAGGTTGAATGCTGACATATACAAGATGCGAATCAACAGTCACATCCAGGCCAAGATGCGGGCAAAGCGGCAACTGGAGATCCAGAGCGGGTCCATTTTCCCCTCAGCACCCACCAACAGTCTCCAGTAAAGTTGTGACCACACTTTGGTGACGATTAGCCGATTACATGCCTCCATAATTGACGGCCTTCTCATCAAACCAGTTCTCCCAGTTGGAAACCTTGTTCTTCAGCACAGAGCCTCCAATAAACTCCATGTTACCTTCGAGCATCTCAAAGCGGAACTTACCAGATCCAACCACCGACCTCCAAAACTCACGCGTTGTCTCCTCCTTGTTGAAAGAGTCCGAATCGTCTTCATCATCATTATCGATTCCACTGCCTCCTCTTGTCAGACCCTTTGAGTTGAGCTCATCGGAAATGAGACGAGCCAACTCCTCCTCCAACATTTGCTTGACTTTGAACACGGGCCGCGAGTCAAACAAGTCCTGCTTGTTAATAGCAAAGAGAAAATCCACTCCATTGGGGATCTTCTCGGTGAGTGACAAGAGACTAAACAATTCCTTGGCCATGGCAGTGATTTTGCCCTCCTGGGTCAAACTTTGACTGGAGGAGTCAACCACATAAACCACACCTTTCAATTTGGGTACCGTGATGTCATCCACGATCAACTTTCTCAAAAGTTGAGAGTACTTCAAATGGCCAGGGTAGTCGATGAATTGATACTGCGCCAGGATGCTGGGGTTTGCAAAGGGAAGTGAGATTGATGTGACGTTGAGCTCGAGCGACGAAACAGTCAGCGCCGTCTGTTTGGCCAGCAACGAGTAGAAAAACGACGTTTTACCTGCTCCATTGGCACCTACCACCAAAAACGTTGGTTTGTAGTATTTGGAGGCCAGTTTTCGGGCAGAGGCGCCTGAGCCCAGGAAGTAGAACACGGTGGCAATGACCAAAAGGCCTACCACTAATGCGGCCAAGATGGTCTGGATTTTATCCATAGAGAAGTGCAGGGTATGGATTTTTGATTTAGATGGAGGAGTATGTAGGAGAGCTGTGAGGTGATGGTCAACGTGAGAAGAATGAAAAATATGAGACGGTGAACAAATTACTTGAAAGAAAAAAAAAGGTAAAAGAGCTTAGAAACTATGGCGAGACTAATAAGAAAGGAGTTTTATTTTTGTTCGAGAAAGCTGATCAATAGATTACTCATATACTTCGTACCTAAAAGTCAATGTCACACAAATCAACCTTAACTATATGTGGAAATCTGGCCAAAATTTTATCTCGGGAATAACATTGATCATAGTTGTCAACTCATGTTTCAACACATCCTTGTTTCCAAATATCTTCATCTAATACATTGCTAGTGCCAGAACTCACCTATTCATACACCAATTACTTTTTCTCAAACTCACCCATTCCAAGCAGTCAGGCTCCACAATCTCTACAACATCACATTATCTTTCGTTTCTTCCTATCTACATTAAGCAACAATCGAACGTCCGTACTCTCTGGCCTTCTGGATCAACAATTGGTCAACCAACACCAATGCAGCCATAGCCTCCACAATAGGAACAGCACGGGGCGTCACAGAAGGGTCATGTCTACCTCTTGCAGCCAAAACACCAGCCTTACCCTCGTAGCTGGCAGTTTCCTGCTCCTGCGAGATGGTGGCAGCAGACTTGAAAGCCACCGAGAAGTAAATGTTCTCTCCGTTTGAAATACCACCCTGAACACCACCAGAGTTGTTTGTCTGCGTTCTCAAACGCAAGTCGGTCAGCGAATACACGAATGGGTCGTTGTGCTGAGAGCCTGGAATGGCAGTGCCGGCGAATCCAGAGCCAAACTCGAAACCCTTGGTAGCTGGCAAAGACATCATGGCGTGGGCCAACTTGGCCTCCAACTTATCGAAACATGGCTCACCCAACCCAATAGGACAGTTTCTGATCACGCAAGTGACCACACCTCCGATAGAATCCTTGGAGTCTCTGTACTTCTCAATGACCTTGACCATCTGCTCTCTGACAGTGGCATCTGGACATCTAATTGGGCCAACACTATCCACCTGTTCTCTGGTGACAGTGTTCAACAAGTCCTGGAAGGCAGGATCCTGGGCATTTCTGTTCATAGACACTTCTCCAATGGAAGAGACAAATGCAACAATCTCGACATTGTTAGCCTTCTGCAACACCTTCTCGGCAATAGCACCGGCCGCAACTCTGCCAATGGTCTCTCTGGCGGAAGATCTACCTCCTCCAGAAGCGGACTTGACGCCGTACTTCTGGATGTAAGTCCAGTCAGCATGAGAAGGTCTGGGGTACAAATCGGTTTCGGAATAGTCGTGGGGTCTGTGGTCCTCGTTCTTGACCAACATGCCAATGGGCAGACCCAAAGTCTTGCCATGTTCGGTTCCTGATTGGATGAAGACCTGGTCTTTTTCGTTTCTTGGTGTGGAAAGAGCAGACTGGCCTGGTCTTCTTCGACTCAACTGAGGCTGGATATCTTTTTCAGTCAACTCCAAGCCTGGAGGACATCCGTCGACGATACAGCCAACCGACTGACAGTGGGACTCACCGTAGGTGGTGACACGGAATACGGTACCGAAGGAAGACATGGTTTAGTACTTTTGCGTTGTATAGAGAAGAGAAATTCGCTCTATTTTTTTTTTTCCACTATAAGGCCACTGTACAGTGACTCATGATCTGACTTACGGTGTGAAGGAAATTTTGGCAATAATCAAGATCATTTTTTTTTTAAGCCTGGTTTGGATTTCTTTGGTATGCATTTACTCTGCTGAAATATTGGCTTATGTAGCTATTCTGGAGACTTTTACCTAAGTAGGTTATGTCACTCGCATTCTAGTATGGTGTTGGGTAGAATAATCGCATAGATGTATGTATTTAGAGGTTTTGATTAGCTTTGAATGCTGGAAGACAATTTATATGAATTTGAGCAGAACTTACAGTTGAAGAGGGATTATATATATATATATATATATATATATATATATATATATATATATTGAGCTGAGGAAACTTGATATTTAGGTACAGAAGGCCGGTTACGGTAAGATGAAGTAAACCTTTGGCTCAAGTGATTCAGATTATGACGACAAGTAGATTTCTGTTTGCGACAAGCTATACCAGAAGATGGCAAATAATACGGTGAGTGTAGCGATTGCTTGTATAGGTAAGAAGTTTATGTGTATACTGTGGGTTCCTGACAATCAACTAGTTGTGGAACCTTCAGCTCCGTTTTCGGCGAGATTCGAGATTTGGAACTGAAACTGATGGATTGTTTAGGATGACGTTGATGGTGAGCATAAATGAACTGAAAGGGGTGAAGGGTCGTCAGAAACCAATAATTTATAATGTGATAATGGAAATATATAAACAACTCACAGGTATGAATGGTAACGCATGGAACAGAATTGCCATGTAAATATGAGAGTTGCGAAGGGTGATTCAGCGATACTTCAATTAATGGCTAAGGTTCTGAAGGAAATACTATGGTCCGTGGTCAATCGACAGACACACTTATTCAAACATTGGAGTTGTGTACGAGCTTCAGACTAGGATGGAAAGGTCATAATTGTTGGATACACCATGGATTGAAAAGAAATTTTTACATTAATTATAATAGAATAAATATCAGTAACGGTAGAATAACTCTAATGATTATGGTTAGCGATGAGTTTGGAAAGACATCATTAGGATTGTGGTAAGCTAGTAATTAGTAAAGATAGTTAGGAATGAGAATATAAGAGGTGAATTGATAGATCCATGTATCAATTGAAAGATACACGGAAAGAACAAAGACGAAAAATCAATATGATTACAAACATGTACAATGGCACAATTATAGACAGCTAACCATCTCATTAACTAAGCTTAATCTCACTTAATCTCACCTGAAAAGACATTCTACCACGAATCTCAATTCAAACCTAAATGGGAACTTCCCCGATCTTCTGATCCTCCAATTGTTCAAGGCTCCTATTATTCCGTATCCTAACCGGGAAGCCACCAATCCTAGTCCCCGGTTCTAATCTTCTGCATGCTCAAGCACATTCCGCAACTTTACAGTTGTGCGTGGTCATCAAATTCAACCAGCAGATTCATTTACAGTAACAGCAAAAACGAGAAAAAAAATGTCTGAAAGCCACAAGAATTTTATGAAATAATCATCTGGATTCTCGAGTTCATCTTTTTCTATCCATCTATTTAACTTGTCCCTCCGAGTTCCCCAAAAGTCCTTTCATACCGTTTCAGTTAATGCATGTAATATGGCCGTTTTAGGCAATACATAAACATTAGATCCACCAGAACCTAATACTCCTGGAAGATGCATTATTTTCTTCAATAATACAATTGGTAGCTGCTGGAAGGAATCTCCTTTTATATCTTTCACCAACTGCCATTTATCCCGTCTTTTCGCCTTCTACACTATTTCCCAGCATACATGGACTCATGTGGTGCCAGACGTTATTGCTAGCCTCGTGCATCAACTTGGTGTTTGCCCTGTGGGGCACTTACTACTCGTTTTCCGATGGGAAAATCTACATGAAATTGAAAAACAACGACTTGGTGGCCCTCAACTTTTCCATCACTGGCTTTGATGACTTGAACAAGTACTCACACTACTCGATAGCTGACATCAATATCCAACAGAACCAGGAAGTCTCTACCCTCAGTCTGCCTCCTACCAATTCTTCGGTGTTTTTATACAATTCGAACTTATATGCTTTCACCAGCGGTACTCAAGACTCAAGTTATGATATCTGCGGAGACGGAGTCATGCAACTTCTGAAGTATGATTCACATCAAGATGCCTGGGTATCTGCTACAGACAATTTGACCTTTTCGGATGTCTCCGACATATCCTTCTATCGGGACTCGTCATATTTGGTCACCGATGACTCTTCCACTGTTTACATTTATGGAGGACGGTGCTCATCTGGAAGTTTCTCCAGCAGAATGCTTTCCCTCGACATGGAAACGATGACGTTAGCTAACATCTCCACCTCGACAAAACCACAGGCATTCTATGGTGCTTCCAATCTATGGGCACCTAACCCGCAAAATCAGCTTGTTATCGGCGGCAGGGCCGCCTCTGGATGGATCAACATGTACCAATTGGCAACATGGAACTCTCAGTCGGGCTGGCTGTTCGAGCTGGTCGCAGAGGGCAATACCATCATAGGCTCACGTATCAATCCGCTCGTACTACCAATTTTTTCTCCTTTGGCAGACAACACCACTTCAACTTTCACTAACAACTACAAGGTTACAGATGTCCTTGCAATTGGAGGAGAATCTGCCAAAGGAAGCCTTTCGGACTGGTCCAAGCTCTCCATCTCATCTAACCAGTGGGAGTGGTCAACCATGAATACTTCTATTGAAGCAAGCGATGTTTTAGGTGCTGCCGTTATCTTCGATACTTTGGTAGTCGTCAATGGGTCATCCTTGACCAAAAGAGACACTTCTACCTCTTACACTCTCAGTCTCTATGATATCACCTCGCTGCTTAAACTGGTGACGGATCTCAAGTCAAACACGGTGACAGAAACACAAACATCACACTCCTCCAGCTCCAGTCATAACAGAAACACTATAAAGATTGTGATAGGTGTTCTTGTCCCATTAGTGGTACTTTCTTTGTTGGCATCTGCAGTGTTCTACTACTTAAAGAAAAGATCCACCAACGATGAAAAGAGCTTACACACGGTCGATTACCCATTGGGACATTTCCGTACCGCACTGGACTTCTCATACGACCCTCTCCGGCCCCATCCGTTGTACAAAAACAGTAATGACACCGCATCAACGCTAGAGGTCGGGTCGATAGACTCGTGGGTGCGCAAGAGACAAGAATACGATGCCAAAAGGCTCCGAACATTGAAGCGCCACAGCTTCTTGGCTTCCAATGAGACTCTAAATGGCCATTTGGTGGACCGCCATGAGCAGCCACTAATTCAAGACGAACTGGGTGAACGTGGTTCATTCAGCGAAGAGAGATCGAGCGGAGATATGGGACGTTTAAGTGAGGGAAGTGATGGCCATAACAGCAAAGAAAGATACAGCGGAGAAAGTAGCGATAGAGATGGAATTGACATAGCACAGGAAATGTCCCAGGTGGAAGTGTCTTCACCTCGGAAAAGTCTTCATAAGTCCTTCTCATACAGCCACACACCTCCACATCTGCCTCGATTGAAGAAGTCATCTAGACTCGATCCTGGATTCATCGATCTTGGAAATATGTTGATGTCAGAGGAGAACATTGACGACTCAGACTCGTTCGATGAGAACATGGACGTACAGGTGTTAGTGAGTTCCAAGCGGAAGTCTGTTCTTCGAGTGATGAATCCAGACAAGGATACGCTGGAAATTCGGCTGCGGGCACCGTCCAAGTGATGTATTATATGTAATGATAGGATAAGATAAGAGATTTAGTGAGAGAAGTAGCGAAGAGCAAGATTGATGTAATTTGTATTGGGTTACGGAATGGTAAGACATGACGAGACAAAGATAAGAGAATGGAAAAGGATAACCACAAAAAAGAAAAGAAAAAAAAAATTTTCGAAAAATAATAATGAAGAAAAAAAAGAAGATTGAAATCCTAAAACTGCAAGAGAATCTAGGTAAGACAACAAAAGGTGAAAGTGATTGAGAAGGGTAATAAGAAGTGAAAAATCTCAGAACAGAGAAAATTGCTTGATAACATGCACTTATAGAGCACATGCAACCAAGAGAAAGAACAAAATACAAGAACTTAAAGAAATCGAAGAATGAAGAGAAAAAATTAATAAAAAGAATCACAAGATCGAAGAACCTCTCGAATCACTTGATCTAATACTATCCAATTAGATCGTTACCCACTCATTCATTAGACGACTATCATTCCAGTCTCGCGACTTCCGATAAGCGTTTGACATCTACCCATTATCTTCCACACCAAAAACTCCGAATAAACATTCCGAAACAAACGCCAACGCCTCTATAGATTCCATTTCAATTGACTTTGGTGTCTGTGGCTTAAGATACTACTGCCACCTAATCTAATCTCCCTCCACTTCGCAGCACGGCCCTGTCACCACCAGCGAGTGGAAAGGACATACAAATATCCACACGACCAAAAAAAAGAGCGACCAAGAGCCGTAAAGGACTTAAAACATATCCAATTCCACTTTAATATTACAAATGCTCAAAAATAAACGTTCTTTCCACACATTATCACACATTCCCTTCGTTATCGTGCCAAAAATGCAATCCTGCAGGCATCCATGACCAAACCTTCCAAGTCAAGTGCTCCAGATCGACAGTTTTTGTTCAAATCACCACCATGAACGGAGAAGATTCCGATGGCTATGCCTTCTCACAGGCATCTCGGAACACTGCAACTGACACGGATGGCTACGTGCACCAAACGGGCTCGTTTTTCCAAACTGATTTGTCGTCTCCATCCGGCAACTTTTCATCCTACAACTTCATGGAGGACACAGACGACGCTGCCACGGCAAATGCTGCAACCGGTGCATCATTATCGGAAAACTCCTACCTCAACAATCAAGCAGATCCTACAACTTCCTCGGATCACATGAGCCTGCTCTTCCCTGTCCAGGAGCAAGTTTTGGATAGAAACACCTGGAACATGCCTGGAGCCTTCCAGACGGGTGATGCCATGGACTTGGACCAGCTGCCGCCTTTCACTGTGGCTCTGGATATCTATTTCGATGCAAATACCCCTACTATGTATGATGATACCTCAAACTCCGCCTACAAACAATCCATAATAGCCGAGCAAAAATACTCAGGATTGAGTCCAGGAGTTCTCGACAACAAAACTTCGGCAGGTCACCTACGAGATGAAAAAGATTTCTCAGCAACATACAATTTTCAGATGTCTGTACCAAGCCAGAATTCGTCGCAGATTGTGCCTCAAGGTATGCTGCTGCAGCGTTTGCCGAGCCAGAGCGATTCCCTCGATTTGGCTGGAGAATTACCTGAGAATTTCTCCCTGGACTTCCAGGGATTGCCGGGAACTGATTTACACAGCTACGCGAGAAGCTCTGTAGATCACGGCTTGGCATACCAGCAATACCCATTTGTAAGTGGCGATGACTATAAACTGTCAAGCAAGCGAGAATCCATAAGCCATAGGCTCTCTGTACTGGGACTTGGTGCAGATTTGCTGCCTTTGACCACCACAACCTCGCTCACACCCTCAGTATCGTCGTTACATCTGACCCAGCCGTCATTTCTCTCGGCTCATCAGTTCATTCGGTCCTCTTTTGATCAGCCTCCATCACTGGTGCATCGACCATCAATAGATGTGTACAATCGCCAGAGGCTCTCCATTGATAGTCTGAACTCCGGCGTCAATCCTCCAACCAGGAATCCAAGATCGCTTGCTAGCTACTTCCCGTTCATGGGAGACAGAGATAGGAAGCTGCCGGGGTCGCCTGCGGGAGGTGAGTGGCCACAGCAGCAACAACAGATACAGCAGCTGCGGCATCTCATCCGGAGTATTTTCAAGAGCAGTGAGCCAAGCCAGGTTGACGATGAGGATACTACTTACGAAAACGGCTTGTTTCCTGAAGATTTAGAAGACGATGATGCATTGGGTGCATTGGGTGATATGACTGAGGGCACTCCAAAGAAAGTGAAGCGTCCTCGCAGAGGTATATTCAACAGATTCAAGACTACTAAGAGTTTTGATGCCGATACAAAGCAAGATGCGAACAACATGGATATCAAGCAAGATAATGTTAATGCCGACCTTGTAAAGCAGGAGAGCCATAGTTCGGTTGCATCTCGGGATTCAGCTAATCAAAATTCTATTCACACGTCTACTCATGGCTCCAATCCAAATTCCCTCCAGCATATGAGCTCGGAACTGAGCCAAATGGATACTGTCGAGCCGGACTATGGTGCATTATTCCACGGGGTTGGAAAAAGGCGTAATCTTGTTGGCATGAAGAACAAGAAAGCTACCAAGAATGACACCATAAAAATGGAGCCAAAAGATGGAGAAGTGGCACCTTCAAATGAGAGAATATCACTGAGTTTCACAAGAAGTAGCCAGGATTACCATTCTGGAGACTCAAAGCTGGCACAAAGCATACAACTATCACAGGCATCTTCTGCATCCGGTGATGGTAGTAATTTGGAGGGAAATGCTTCTTCATTTGCCAGTGCATCCAAGAGGATTCTCGGATCTAGGCTTTTGAAGCGAAAGGCCAGCGCACGAGTGGCAGAACCACAGAGCGATGTAGTGGAAATTGACTTAAAATCATTAGATCTTCCTCCGAACACCGAAATTTTGTCGGAGATCAATACCAAGAGTCGAACAAGAGGAAGAAAGGAAGACAAGGCAGCAGACATGGTTGACCAGTCCAAGATCTACGTATGCGGATACTGTTCTAGAAGATTTAAGAGACAAGAGCACTTGAAGCGACATTTCCGGTCCTTGCATACCACCGAAAAGCCATACGAATGCCCAATTTGTCTGAAGAAGTTTAGTCGTACTGACAACCTCAACCAGCATTTAAAGGTGCATAGGCAAGAGGAGGAAGCCGCAGCAGCAGCTGCTGCTGCTGGCACACTCATCCCCGAAGAGAGTTAATATCATAATTATTGCATGAGATAAGTTACCGATGTATTAGACCTATGAAGTGAACCAAAGATAGGCGGAAAGCCTAGAGTATTAGCGAGCATGGCTCGACAGTAAAAAAGCAAGCAGGGGGAATAATGTATAGCCTGTGACTTGTTGCATTGCAATCGCCGGTGCCATTAGTCTGAAATGTAGCCTGAAGTGAAGTTTTAACCTGAAGGAGTCTTGGGAAGCCTTAATGCCCGAAGTTAACGCATTGTAAGTCCATTACAAGCCCAATTCGTCGTTCAACCTGTTAGAGGTGAGACCATCCAATATATTCTCCCCCTTGTGCTTGTTATAGCCAGGTTTCAGGACTCCTCCTTCACTTTCGGTTGTTCTAGAGCAGATTCCATTAGTCAAATGTTTTCTATAACCTTCGACACGTGTGAATTCTTTGCCACACTTGCACTTGCAATGCTTGGACACCATGTGGGATTTGATATGACGATTCAAATCATGCTGCCTAACAAAGCTCTTGGGACAGTACGTGCAAGTGAAAGGACGATCACTCAAGTGTGTCTGGATGTGAGACCGTACGTTGTATCTTCTGGTGAACTTCTTTCCACAATTCTTGTAGGTACAAGTGAAAACTTTGTTCTCATCGGGACCTTCCCAATACCTGTCGAGCTCACCTGGAGGTAGTAGCGACGTCTTCTTAATGATTCTCTTGGGCGAGAGTTCTTGAATGGCTCTACGCACGTCGTTATTGGCCTTTTCATTTGGTGAAATGATCGGGCTCCACTCCAAAGTGATCTGTTTCTTCAGCGGGGTCATTGGTGCCTGATTCTTAAGCGGAGTGAGCTGAAGAATCGTTTCGTTGGCATCGGTGACTGTGTCGTTGTTGAAACTGTCATTGTAAGGTCTGATCGGCGAGGACTTCAACAGTGGAGCCTGATACTGGTCTTCGTAGTAGAGTTCAGCATCATCTGAGAAGAATTGTGGATTGTAGAAATTGCGTTTCTCGTATTGAGATGACGCTGACGTCGCCAGGTTGTGACGAATAGGCGAAGAGTATGCTTGAGGCAGAGGACTATGAGGCTCTGGTGAATCTGCTGACAGGGACGTCGATGGAGGCGGCAAATAGACATTCATGTTGATGTTAAGTGGCTCTGCCGGTATCAGCCGCATATCTCTATTGACCGAGCTGACATTTCGGAGAGGCAGCAGTTGGTTTGGGGACATGTGCTTCATCATCATTTGTGGACTAATGGCCGATGGGTTCACCACTGCGGGAGTCATAACTGGGGTCATAGTAGACATGCCCGAGTTCATGTTGTTCATGCTGTTCATTTTGCTCAAGTTTGGGTTCATGGAGGTGTTCATGGGTCCATTGTTCATGGAGGTCGAATTCATTGAGCTCATTCCATTCATGGGCCCCGATTTGATCTGGTACTTCATGTCTGGCTCCTGGACCGGAATCGGAACGTACTTCTTGGTCTTAGAGTCTGCCAATAGTATATCAATATCCTCAGGATATTCTTGAGTCTGCTTCGGATGTCTGATGGTCGGAAGCGGATTACTGAGGAAGTCGTCAAAGTTGTGAGACGGGCTGCGCAGCGGTGACAGCGAATCAGGAGGAAATTTATACGACTTTGGATTGCTATTGGTGACGATAAGATCTTCGCTCTTCTTGGGGAGCTCGTCCGCCTCATCTAAGTGAATAGGCTTGCACTCCTCCAATGGCTGCGAAAAATTGAAATCAAGCTGGTCGTTGGTGATAGGATACGCTGAGCGAGATGCTAGCTGCGATGGCGAAATGGATCTTACAGCTTCAGAATGGGGCCGTAACCTGATCTCGTGTCCATTGAGAGATAGATCTCTTGTGTGTTCAGCAAAGCCAAAGATGGCAGTTCCACTAGGTTTCTTAGCATGACGGAAGGGACTGGAAAGTGCCAGTGGGGCAGTGGCAACTGGATAGCCCAGAGGAACATCAAGATCCTGGAGTGTAGTAAGCGCCTCATTGAAGAGATTGTCGAAGTTCTTGTACTCGGAGAAGTACTGGGAGAAGTCATCGTCTTGTGGAGGTCTGGATCTCTGGGTGGGGACGATGTCGTCCCAGCTTGTGTAAGGATCCATGGGGTCAGAGCCGATGGAAGATCAAGGGATATCGCGACACTTGAAGATGGACTGTGGTGATCTGGAGATCGTGGAAGGCAGTCGGACGAACTGGCAGGTTGGAATTTGTTGGTATTTGAGTATCTGGCTCGATTGGGAAGGTTTCAGAGATTGGCAAAGACTCTGAGAATATGGATGATTGGATCAGCAGAGAAACAGGGAGTTTAGCTTCAAGAAACAGAGGAGTAGGAAAATGCGGATGTATACATGAGTTAAAGCAGAGGTAGCCCAATTAGGCTGTTATGGTGGAATTTATAGAGGTCTATACTCTTTCCTAATTGGGAGGGAATCCAAACATATCAAAACGCACCATCGCTTGTGTGCAGTGGGAAGACAAGGGTACCGATGTTTACCATTTACTAGATTGGGTATGAGTATCTGAGGGTGTTGGCAGTGGGGCTTGCTTATGCATAGGGAACGAGGGCTGGTGACTTCAAGAGGGCTGAAGTAACGAGTTGCGCGGTTTTGAATTGCGCGTTAGCAATCAAGTTAATTAATGGGTGATAACAACGCAAGCTCACGCAGTGCGAACATGGTAGTACGGATTTGACGATGAGTTGTGTATTACACGGGATAAGTGAATGGGATAACATCAGTTGAAGAGTACGAATGGGGCGTGTTGAGGAGGGATGCTCAGCAGGCTAAGATAAATCGGAAATCTTGGAGATTGCCATTTTGGACAGCCGACTCACTTAAACTTTCGAGTGGTATCTCGTAAAGTGTTCGCAGCTTGAACGTGTGTAGGCTTAGTGAGCGAATGGGAACAAGGCAACGTCTGGAATTTCACGATCCACGGTGCATTGACGAATTGACGGAGCAGCTCGTCGTATGTTCGAGGGTTATTGTTTCTACAATTTCTGTTGTCAGTAGAGGTGTGATGGTTACTATGAGTTGGTCTTGTCAATGGTGAATCAAATCCTTTGGATAACTGGAAGCTTCAGTTGCAACGATGGGTGGTGAGATCATAAGCTATAAAGAGATTACAGGAGTGAGAGTGTTAAAAAGCCAGTAATAAAGAAGTTGAGGTTCAGAATTGCATATCATTAATTGGCTGGTGGTAACAAGTCGACGAGAAGGAGCTTAGAGTCGGTAGTAACCAATTGTATGATAACAAGAGGTGAACCATTCATAAGTTGACCATTGTCGTCTGTAATACAAATCTGCAAGGGAGAGCCTCTAATATTCACCTAAGAACTGCTCAATAGTCTCAGATCAGACTTTGGTGCTTCCATAGTTTCCATGTACCTTCTTCCCCGGATATTTTTTTATCACCTGTAGGTATTCTTCCGGCTAATTATGTTCTCGGTTAGTGCTTCCACATATAGTGTCATGGTGGGTACCTTAACCATACTGAGGAATTTCGCTTTTGCATTCCCCAGGACAATGACATTCCATAGAATTCGTACCGTCTGGGTCATTACATTCCAACGTTTACCTAGTGTGAATGTGAACTGTTCATACCATGAGAAGGATGAAATCCAAAAATAGCCTTATTTGTTCACACAGTCAATGTCTTTACATTCTAAAAACTCTCTTCTGCCCTTTATCTCTCCACCTCCACTGTGTCTTTATACTCTCCACCTCCGCCCAGTCTCTACTCCCTCATGTTCCATTCTCTACAATGTCCTTTCAATAGATATAAGATTCTCTACCTCGGTCGATCCTCATAATGCAACGATGCGTCTACTGGAGCAACAACATCTTTCTTGGGTCCTCAATCAACTCCTTGATGGTCTTCAAGAACGTCACAGCCTCACGGCCGTCCAAAACTCTGTGGTCGTAGGTCAATGCAATGTACATCATAGGTCTAGACACAATCTGACCGTTGACAGTCACTGGTCTCTGCTTGACACCGTGCAAGCCCAAAACAGCAGTCTGAGGCAAGTTGATAATTGGAGTACCGTACAAAGAGCCAAAAACACCACCATTGGAGATGGTGAAGGTTCCACCCGCCATGTCCTCCAAAGACATCTTACCATCTCTGGCCTTCTTACCCAATCTAGCGATCTCCTGCTCAACATCCAAGATGGAAAGTGATTCGGCGTTTCTGACCACTGGAGTCACCAATCCCTTTGGAGTGGACACGGCAATGGAAATATCCATGTAGTCTCTGAAGACCATGGTGTCACCGTTCTCGATGGAAGCGTTGACAGCAGGAATCTCCTTAGAAGCCAAAGCAGAAGCCTTGGAGAATGCACCCATGAAACCAAACTTGATGCCGGTCTTCTCCAACACCTCGTCCTTGTAGAGCTTTCTCATCTCCATCAAGTTGGACATGTCAACCTCGTTGAAAGTGGTCAATGAGGCGGCGGTGTTTTGGGACTCCTTAAGACGCTCAGCAATTCTCAATCTCATTCTGTTCATCTTGACTCTCTCCTCCTTTCTGGAGAAAGCAGTGAAAGACTGCGAGCTGGACTCCGAGCTGGACTCCTTCTTGACTTCCTTCTTTGGCTCTTCCTTCTTTGGCTCCTCCTTCTTGACTTCCTTCTTTGGCTCCTCCTTCTTCTCCTCCTTAGACTCGTCCTTCTTCTCTTCCTTTGGCTCGTCCTTCTTCTCCTCCTTCTTGGCACCACCCTCTGGAGCGGCACCTTCCTCGATCTTGATGATCTCCTGGCCAACCTCGACAGTGTCCTCAACATTCACCAAAAACTCGGTGATGGTACCAGCCACAGGAGCGTTGACCTCGACATCGATCTTGTCGGTCTCAATGGTAGCAACAAGCTCATCCACCTCAACGTAATCACCAACCTCCTTGTTGAAGGCAGACAAAGTACCCTCGGTGATGGACTCAGCCATGTCTGGAACCTTGACGGCGGTAGAACCGAAACGCTGGAATGTCAAATTCGTCAACCCTTTGTAAGAGGTGATCAATGGAGCTGGTCTCACGTGGAGGCTTCTGACCACTGGGGCCATGGCTGGAGCAGCAACTCTGGCGGTAGATTTGGCCATAGACACACGGCGCATACTGCTTCTGACAGATCTCGACAACATTTTTTATGGGTGCTTTTTAGAAAGAAGACTAGTTGGTATTTCTAGATGACTACCAGTGAGGTTTTTTATGGAGACTCCGACAACCTCCGGGGTCTGGCCAATTAGTGCGCGCGAAAAGTGATGGTGAGGAGAATGAGAATGAACGACTATTAAGTTGAAAAAGGAAGAGGATTTGATAGAGAAAAAATGTAGTGGATGATTCGCCGTTGAGGGAATGTGGCCTATTTGTCTCTTTTTTTTCTATAGGATCCGTCAATTGTTCAAGTTGATTTCATATTGTCACGTTGCTTGTTTTTGAGTCTCATCGATGACTCTGTGGGGCTGTGTACTGCAGAGAGTCGGACACTTAGCAAAACTAGAAAGGACTGGATGGCATTTGAGAGGGTGGGGGAATAGTGATTTTCCACCAATTATTTTCATATTTGCGGCGGGAAATGTTGCCGAATATTACTTATTCTGGGAATCGGTGGCGGGTATGATTTTTTGGAGTGAAGTAGCTGACGACCTCGTGGCCGTGCCAGATTACGGTAGGAAGTGCCACGGACTCCGAGTAGGTACAGGCCCGGTGCCGCTCGGAGTTGGAAACAACGGAAGAATCGGAAAATAGAAAAAAAAAAAGTACAGCCCTACGCGGGGGTCGAACCCGCAACCTTGTGATTAAAAGTCACACGCTCTAGCCATTGAGCTAGCAAGGCATTCTCCTGCGCAAAAGGAGTTAGGTTGTACTAGAGCAGTAGGTTCAAAATGAATCTAGATTTTCTGGGGGAATTTTCGGCCACGGGACGTTCTTTATCGACATCCAATTTTTCTGTAGTGCCCTGAGTTAAAGCTGACTTGTCGGTTGTTGCATCTGGACATGTTATTTTCTGGAAGTGGCAACTTGCGTAGCCGAATGGTGAGAGCTTTGGTGATGATAGCAGCATTTTAGCAACCTTAGTTTATCTACTCTCAACGGGACTATGACCATGCTTCTCAGCCTGGTCCCTGATATAGTACCCAATATACAAATGTTTCAAAAAAAGAACTGAAACAACAGGGGTTATATTAATGTAAGTGTTCACTTTCTATAATCTGGCAGATGCATTTTGGTCTATCATCTGCTAAAGCGCAGAAAGGGTGGTGAATTATAACTCAGTGGGTCATGTGACACGCCCTACAAATTAAATACCTATCATTTGGCCCGGATGATACATCCAGTAGGACTGATTCAAAAAAAGGTTGGCTTTGAAGTAGATTCATTGTAAATTTTCTAACTTTTGGGTTCATGATAGGTTTACTTGGAGTGTATTTCTAACAATCTCAGAATACGAGCATGCCAGCATAGAACACAAGCATAGAACTCACACAAGTCTAGGTTACACAACCCGCATAGAATACCAGAATGGAACACACTATGATGAAAGGGCCAGCATAATAGACCACTAGCACCAGCTTTTTGAATACACTAACTTTCTCCTACAAAAGCAGTTCATTATAGCCAGCACTAAGACATTGCATTCCATTGATCTCTAGTCCCAAGGCAAGTGTCTTGCTTGGTCCAATGTGTATATCCGACATGAAATATATTCCTGAACGTATTCTGATACTAATCTCCGCTGTTACCCGTAGATCATGATTCAATTGATTGCATTACCGATTTCCGTATTGACCTTTCCAGCTTTTCGCAGCCATTCCCCACATTTTCTCACGTCCCTTCATACATCAAATTATAACCACTAATACCATGGGAACTCTAGGAAAAACTCGTTAAACTTCCCAACAAGAATACTCGAACTTCCATTTCTTATCAATACCACCTCCTTCAACCCCTATCCTCATTCAATACACTTCATCCCCCCTTTGTCCAGCCGTTGTTTAAATATCCTGTACATAACAAAGTCACTGGCTGGCTGTTTATCTTTATCCGGATCAGGTTTGCTAATTACATATTTCAAATCTCACCGTTTAGCTGGCTCCCACTCCAAAACAGCCAGATACCATGGATGCCACCCCTGCGCTGCTGGCCAATTACCGCTTGGTCTCGGATGCTTCCCGTTTCGAATACGAACAGCAGCACCCTAGAAACAGATCCAGAAATGCTTCCCCTGCAGAAATCCACTCATCACCACTTTCCCTACCCATCGCAGAATCTCCAAGACCAATCCACGATATCCCCTTTCTGAATCCCGGCTCTAGTGCGTACGAAATGAGAGACGACCTCTATGATTTTTACGCTCGGCCCTCGCATGCCTCACTGCGTGGTGGTGCTTCCACTCCATACCCTGGTCCATCAATTCATAATCAACTTGAGAATCCTCCATTACCTCCCAAGGATACGAGGTCACCATACATCGCTCGACGCCACCTGCAAGCTGTCAACGATGATTTGCCTGCCATTCAAGACACTAGAGAATATTTGGGCATGCTGCTGCGACAAATACCAGGACACGAACGAGGTATAGTTGCTCCACCCCGTCACCAATATGATCAGGAGGAGCTCTTGCTAGCGAGATTCATGAACATGCCGCTTTTCCGCTCCAGATATGCTGAAGACTTTGACCCGGGCCATGTAAGCAACTACATCTTCACTGCCAACAACGTCATTGACTTCTTTCAGATTGCATTTGGGGTGATCATCACCACCATTGCCAGTGTGTTGACTTCTATCGACAATCGAATTGACGGCGGCTTCTACCGCTATTTCATAGCCGTTGGAGTCATTGTTCTTGTCGTTGCACTTTTGTTCATCTCGAAAACGATCAATTTCGAACGAAGAAAAGGTGTGTTCTACTGTGTGGTATCATGTATTCTCACTGCTGTTGCGCTCATTCTTTCAATCACATCAATCGCTACCAACAACAATTGTGCCACCCAACAAATCTGTCAGATGCGGAAGGTGCTTGCCACTTTCTCTATTCTCTCTTTTATTCTCTGGATATGTACCTTGATGGTGTTCCTCACCACTTTCTATATCGCCAAGTTGATATTGAATGACAGAATCAATCTTGACTACAACACTCCTCCGGAACCCCGGATGTCACACGATGCCCCTATTGTGGAGAAACTGCGCCCTTCCACCTATTACAAAGAAGACTCGACCATTGGATACCAAACTGATGCTGATTTGGACGACTTGAGGTTTTCACGAAGCATGCACAACTTGCCCCGTTACACGCTAGACGAAAATGGCAAAATGTATCCTTTAGAGAGATCCCAAGACCTTCGTGGAACAAAGCCCTTGATCGTCTATGCTCCTGAAGAACTTTTATTCTAGGGATATGTATTAAAGGGTTATGTATTGTAATATACTGGAATATAGGTATTTTCGCACAGAGTGGTTTTGCAACCATTTGACCAACCATGCTTTTAATGTCTTTTAACTCTCTAATCTGGCTATCAATTTGTCTGGCACTTTTTATTCCGCTGTTTGTCCCAGATTTGGTTCCTTCCACTGCTTTATTACCTAATTTGGTATTGTCTTCAGTGGAGTCTATTCACCGACCCCAAGCTTATAACGCTAGCAGAACCCACGACGCCATGTTTGATTTTTCCAAGGCAATCAATGATAGCATGAAGAAATTGACCTATTCAGTTCTCGCTAAAGTAAAACCTTTGTTCCTCTACGTTACTTCTGACGATTTAGACTTGCACACTTTGAACACACAAACCGCACTTAACCTACTCAGAACGAGCCCACCCTTTTCCACCAATTCTACTTTCAAATCTCTTCAAGTGGCTCCAATTTTACGCTTGGACCAATATTTTTCGGACCTGCTATTTTCAGCAACTCTTCCGTCCACCTTGCGCAATTTTCTAGCTACCATTGACCAGAGGTTTCTCAATAGGTTCCAGCTACTTGAGGAGCCTGTGGCTGCGTTTGTAATGGAGGTGTCCAGCAAGACGTCAGAGAAATCAGAGAAGAAGTCATCTCAGATTTTTGATACCTTCGCTTCATTTTGGAACTCCGCTTCCAGTTTGCCTCAGCTCCTTCACTCAACTTTCTGTACTTACAATCCTAACTCAACACAAGGCTATTGTATGTTGATCGAGGGAAACAGTAAGATACACCTATCAACACTTTCTGGGCTCTCAAAAAGAGACGGCATCGAGGATCTTGCCACTTCAGACGTCTTTAACTCTCAGGTGCTCCGCCAAGTTCAAAATAAATTGGAAACTGTTGCTCACAAAGTGTCTTCCAGTGCTGAATACCTCGCTGATGATCCCCTGGCATACTTAGACGACTTGGACGAACGAGTAGACAACAGAATCAAAGAAGTGGAGAGGAAAGTATTGAGGAAAACTCAAAAATTGACTACCATTCCCGGTAAAATTGATGTTGCTGTTGACAATCAAGTGCGTAAGCTTGCTGAATCAAGGTTGGAAATTCACGAGGACGATGATGCCGAGGATATATCACCTTGGTACCATCTGGAAAGAAATGATGGCGATGAAAGAAACGACATCACTATCTACGAAACCAGGGACAGACCGTTGCACTTCTCTAAAAGAGAGCAAGCGGATATAACCATTCCGCTTTCGCTCTTGCTGGTGGGTAAAAATACTCCAAGACACAAACTGTTTCAAAATGTTGTTAAACAGAGTACAGATCTTTCGTTGAAGAAACGGGACTGTGTTCCGGTTACCTGGTACAACGTGTTTCACCACAGTGTATTTGGCAACTACGAATTTTGCGAGTAAACTTACAAATTATAATATGCTCAAACCGATAATATATTGTCGCCGCCTCAACCTTGACTTTTACGTATCCACATCAAAGGTAATTGTTGGACTGGTTGTGAGGGGTCAGATTTCTGTCGTAGTAACCCTGGTAAGGAGCTCTAGTCTGTTCTTCCTGTCTTCCAGGATAGGAGGTGTTAAAGTTGTAGGCGTTTCCTGAGTTGTAAGCATTGCCAGAGGTGTAGTTGTTGTTATAGGCACTGTCAGAGTTGCCCACAATGGTGGATGCTGGTTGCGTTGGTTCCGGAGAATAGCCCGCGGAGTTCTTGCTCTCCGCGTCAGCGTAAGCTGAGTTATAGGCATTTCTTCTGTTGGAAGACTCCAGATCATCGAAGGAGTCTGCATCATCATATGTGTTCTTTGCATGCTCATGACCCTTCATTGCACTTGCTCCTAAAGCAACTAATTCAATGTCATCTCGGTCGTTTCCTCCAGCTGCTCCCTTGTTTCCTCCCAAACGTGGCAAGAATGACACTCTGTCATCCTTCATAGGTGAGTATCTAGTGTCTGGGTTGGTGTAAACCACAGCCAACACACATGTGACGATGGTGAAAATCAACAAGTACAACGCGAAAACGGCATTCACAACGAAGAACACGACTGCCATGACTGATGCAACCACTTGAGGTTGGTTGAAAACGTAAGAAAAGAACATAAAGAACAAAGCGTTGACAGTGTTGATAACAGCAATTGTGATATTGAAAACATTCGTTCTCTTATCCATGAATGGTCTCACCCAGCAAACAGCCACACAATGGATTAATTCAATGGCGAAGACAATAACTGCCTGGATTCTTCCATGTTTCTGGAGTACAGCAACGAACAAAGTCTTGAGGAAAATATAGAGAAGGGAAATTGCAACGAAGTAGTAGCAGTCTGCTCTGAATTGAACGTAAACAAAACCAAATTTGTTCAAGAACTTTCCATCTCCGTACAAGAGATAGGCTGGGTTCTGGTGCTGTCTGACCGACCTGCGACCATATGAAATCACTCTCACGGTAGCAAATAACAACAAACCGAGTGTAACCAAGAGCAAGAATGCAGCCACAACAACAATTCCGACAGAATCATGAGCGGTGAATTGCCAGAAACCCAAAACGGATATTTGTGGGAATGCAACAAGCAAAAGTCTGTACACGGCACCCTTGATAATGTTAGACCATTGCTGTCTGTACTCAGCAAACTTGCCCTCGTTCATCTTCTTTGAACGCACCAAGATTTCAATAATGGCCTTGAAGAACATCATACACACCACAGCGACGAAAGCGAAGAAAAACAAGAAGATGATACCCGTCATGTACAAATTCGTGATTTCAATACGTGCCAAGTAGGCTACTCTCTGGATTCCACGCAAAATCAACACCTTGTTGCCCATACTAGAGTCTTTCTCGTTGGTGGTGTACAAGGTGGAGTTCAAGGTGTCACTCAAGCCAAATGTATCACTGTCGATTGAAACACTGTTTCTCTTACTCATCATGTAGCGAGCACCTCCAAAAGGATTGTCAAGAGTCTGGTACATGAATTCCAATCCTCTCTTGGCCTTCTGAACAGAAATAGACAAATACTTATTTCCTAAGACGTCAGTTGGCAGGCCACCGGTAGACTGAAGGTACCAGTTTGCAATGTTCTGAATAAAGTTGGCTCTGATAATACCCAAGGACCACTGGAAATTCTGGGCCCAGGCGGATGCAATGGGAGGAACTTTAGCCACGGCCAACATTGAGGTAATGGCTAAAGATTGAAAGTAAACGAATAATGACATAGAGTTCGACGCAATGTGTGCAGCAGTACTTGAATGACCAATTACTGAAATCACACCCGAACTGATCAAACCCAAACCCGCAATCGCAGCGATTGGCCAGGCAGCATATTTGGTCTGAACGGTTTTACCGTTGGATACTGATGCCTCCACACAAGCCAAGTTGGTCTTGTTCGATAAGTCGTAGACGATAATACGCACACGGGCGTCCAAATCTGGAATGGTGTACGCCACTCCAGGAATCTGGTTCACGATGGAAGCGGAAACGTTCTGGGTGAAGGAAATGTCCAAGTGTCCAGACGTCAAGGGACAAAGCTGGGTGTAATCAGCACCAAAACTGCACAAGTTGACATCCTGTGAGACTGCCTTGATACCGTAGGCGATCAACTCGATGTGAGCACCCACTTTAACGTTGTTAATGTTGGAGATGGCCAGGATATCAAGAACCACCGACAGATTGTGGGGATAAAACACCACATTCAAGTACGAGGCCCATACCTGCGAGTTATCCATACATGTTAACAACGAGGTGGCCTCAAGACGCTGTTGGGCGGCTACAACACCGAAAAGTAGAGAAATCAACCAATAGAATAACATCTTGTGGTTTCTCCAGAGAGCTTTGGCAAGTAGCGTGGCTGAGAAAAAAAAGCCGTGGATAGGAAAATCAGGCACGTGTACCGGTAAGGTGGTAGAAGTAGCCGAGATGAATTTGCTTCTGGTAAATCCTCTGGTATTAGAAGACTTTGTAGTAGTCGGGGAAAATACCAAGTCTAATTTTATCTTAGGAACAGATCAATACAGGATCTTTTGTATGCAGATGTGTGAAATCCGCAATAGCCCATAATAAATTTATTCTGGGGCAGTGTCTAAAGGTAATATGAAGCATTTGGGGCTGAGAATGGGCATGTGCACATCTGGGCTGTGGAGATGTCCTCTTTGGCTCTAGTATGTTATTTTAAACGATTTTCGTGTTTTTTTCTTGTTCTTGGTCTCCTAGCTTTTCTTGGGTAAGGCTGTGTGATTTCTCATTTCGTCATCCAAGAAGGCACTTATGGCTATTTGCAGGATGAGCCAAAACAAAGTGCGGAATGCTACTCATCTTGTGATTAATGACTTGAGATTAGATACCTAGTATAATCGCGTGATCGTCTAGTATGGAATACCATTGGTGAGACGCTGGAACTCGTCGTATCCGGTTGTATAGAAACTCTCGTACGACTTATTGATTAGGCCCTTAAAAGTCACAGCTGCATCGCGGTCGGATTTGTTAGGAACAAATCTCTTTCTCAACTTTTTAATTGTAGATTCCTTGAAACAAGGTAAGCCACTGTCTAACATAGGGTTGATGCAACGCACAATGGTCTCCATGTGCGGACGACAGGCAAGGTATCCCTTGATACACAATTCTTCAAACCATTGATATGCTTGGGTTCTGTCCGATCCGCCAAGCACCATCACCATTTCCTTGGTCAACTTGAAAGGAACAGCTTCAAACTTTACTCCTCCAGGCACGATGTCAAAACAAAATCCAAAATCGATGTGCATGATGTGTCCTTGGTCATCGTACATAATGTTACCATTATGTCTGTCCTTGAATTGCAACAAGTACGAAATAACGGAGTAGGCTGCCAACGATCTGATCAAGTTATTACGGGCCTGCTGGAACTCAATAGAAGACTCGGGACCAAACTTGGTAGTGAAATACTCGTACAATCCGTTAACTGCTTCTCTACCAAGCATATCACGACTTGTAGAATTGGGCAAAACGTCAATCACACCACATCCTGGCGCAGTGGCCGTGACGCGGTAAGGGAACACGAATAGGTCCAATCCCGCATTCAACCAGATAGTTCTGAAGACAGAGATCAATTGAAGGGCCAACACATCCTGTCGACAATCATCGCCGACCTTGAAAATAGCGCTCTGCCACCTCTCAATTGGAACACGAATAATTCTTCCATAATCGTCAACCTCTTCCACCTCCTTCTTAATCTTGAAGGTAGCCATGAAAGGAGCCTTCGCATGCGATTGCAAAGGGCGACCAGATTTTCTGTTGATATCAACCAATACTCCATCTGGGTTACTTGGCAAGTAAACTCCTGGCTGCAAAGGAATTCTAGCCATTTCCTCGTCAATCTTTATCTTCTTCTCAGCCTTTGATTTCTTGATGTATGGCTTCAATTTGCCTGAGATAGAAGTAACTTCATTGAAAAAGCCGAACTCTTTCTTGTAGAATGCCAAATCCTCGTCACTGAAACCTTCTAACATCAATTTCTGGATTTCATCCAAGGTAGGCTTCAAGGAATCTGGCTCCGTGGAGTCCTCGTCTTTGTAACTATTGGCCAACATGTTCCAGATGATTTGATGAGCAAACAACTGAGAAATATGAGCGGTTTCAAGAATAAATCTCTTCACGTACCCCTTAGCATCGTATCTAAGTGATTGCACAATCTGAGGAACGTAAAAGAAAGTCAAATTCACATCGTGGAATTCCAAGGATCTCATCGTGAATTGCAATACAAATGGATTGTGACCAAATGGTGGCAAAAACAAGGTGATGGCATCAACTGGAGACAAAGGCTCCCAGAACAACAAGTAATGGTTTGGCATAGCAGTTCCAGCATTGACACCAATGAAGTACTGAACGGCATCGGGGTACTTGATGGCGGGAAGTGGATTTTCAAAGATCAACTTCTGAAGAAGCTCATCTAAGTTCTTCAACTTGTAACGCTGGGCCAAGTTCACTGCCAACTGTGGATCAATCTTGTATGCCTTAGAAATGTGGTCACCGCTGATATGGTTTGCAATGTAGGTACCACGAGAGTCATGTGGCTGGGTTGGATTCAACCAAACTCCGATATCCGAGATCTCGTCATCCATGAAGAACATCAACAATATCTTTTTCAGTTCCAAATCTTCATTTCTGAACGTATCCGTGGATGACATAACCTTAGCGACTTCCCTCAACAAGGTGTAGTCAGCCTTGATCTTCAAGAGGTTGTTACCAAATGGGAAACTTGCTCTTGATTTAAACCAGAACAAGGAACTGTCGAAAATCAACTGAGTGAGTCGCTGGCAACTTCTTGAGCCCAATTTCGTGTGATATGACAAAACATCGAATGCAAAATTAACCAACTCGAATCTAATAAAACGAGCGAATGGATGCAAGCTTCCATTAATAATAAATGTCAAACCAATGGTAACAAATCTTGTAAAAATCTTCAATAAATGGTCACTTTGATTCATGGTTGCCTCGAAATTAGACGACAATAAATTGATGATCATGGAATGAGGCAGAAAAGATTTGCTGACAGCCTCAGCTAGTCTATTTGTATGCTTAAAGTCACTTGGAGAATATTCCATCTTGCAAAATTCTGCGTGCTTCAAGTCATGGGCTTTCGAAAACACACCTTGTTTCAAGTGAATAGAGGTTTCCCAGCCTTTGGTAATCTCGGACAAGACAAGGATGGAAAGGTTGGGTCTCTCCTTCATGATAGTACCCCAAATATTTGTTGCTGCTTTCATTGTGGATGAATCGAAGACCAAGAATGGAATCTCGACCAAGTAACGAATCAACTCTGCCAAGTTGGAATTTTGTACCAAGGCGAACCCAGCAATTTCACTCAAAATGTCTATGATGTCTTGTGTGGGTACATGTCCATCAGGACTAGCAATTAGTTCCTTCAACGAGGCGACCTGTTGTCTCAAATCATGAAGAGCGCGTTTGCTTCCTTCTGGAGAATGGAGTGCCACCTTTTCCATCAAGTCGTCCACAAAATTAGATCTCCAGTTCAATTGAGAAACGAGAGAAGGAAGCAAGTTCACTGCACCGTGCTTTGCAAAACGTGGAAGGTGACTCAATTCTCTGTCGTTTGCGGTAATACTTCCAGCCATCTCCAAAGCAAAAGAGACTCCAAACTCTATCTTGTTCAAAGACTGTAAAGCATCTGTTTCAGATACGTAAGACTGGATTAAACTCTTCGTGTCAAAAGAACATGTCAAAAGGAGTAAGTCGAGCCAGCTCACAGCCTTATCGTGTAATCTGTTGAAAGTCTCATTTCTCCAACTATATGAATCAGGCAATTTCAAATTGATTCCAGTCCTCTTAGCCTTGTACAAGAATGTTGGCTCGTACTGGTTCGTTTCGGCGTCGATCACACTGTTGTACAACAAGGTCAAAATATCAAATAAAGCAAACAAACTCCGGTGGTGACATAATGCAGAAGGAACCTTCTTGATGAGCAAATCACAACACTGAATAGCAGCATCTTGCAAATCTTCAAGACCATAACAACAAAGTACCAACATTTGAGTAACTTGTTGGGCAATACTCTCAGCAGAAAATTGCTTATCTGCCCCGCAGTGAACTAAGCCAATAAAATCCTTGTTGATTTTGAATGCAATGTATCCAAGATATTTATCGATTCCACTGGTCCTCATAGAAGGATCCGAGTAATACTTCAAGACCGTGTGGCAGTCCCCAGTCTTCACTCTCAAGGATTCCACAAACAATGCAGCGGCCAAAAACATTAATTTCGAGTATGACATAGACCTAGGTACCTCAAAAATATCACCCACAATATGCCTGTGGTCTTTCACATTGTGATTAGAAGAGCCTCTCTTCAAAACGGTGTTCAATTCCAATGAAGTTTCATTTCTGCTCCAGGACAGCTCAGAAGCCAACGGTGGAGTGTTGTAAGCAATTCTTTCCAACTCATTGGCGTGAGTTTTGGCATTGGTAGAGTTGATTGAGTACCCGTGGACTACCATGTTGAACCAGATATTTCTGAACAAATCAGCAATGTGGTTCTCCAAGTTCTTCAAAGGTTTTTCTCCCTTGTGAGCATCTGGTAAAAGATCTGCCAATGGCTTCAAATATATGGATATTTGGTCACCAATCGCACTAATTTCGTTGTGAGATCTGTGATGATCTAAAACCTGAACGTCACCTTTACTGATTATTGCAGTTAAGATCTCCTTCAAGTAAGTGAAATACAATGGGTTGCTCTGGTCCAACTTCTTAGACAATGCAGATCTCAGCTCATGGAGCATAGACAAGATTCTGGAATCCTTTGCCTCATAAGCATCGAATGATAACTTGTGAAGTAACCTGGTGACAATCACAAATTCCCTCTCAGGTAAGTATGGCGCACATGACACCAAACCATCCAACAAGTTTGGAGCCACCAGAGTGTTCAAATTTGTCGTCTTCTGCGACAAGATAGTCACCGCTAAAGCACTAACACTGGGGTCCTCACATGCTGCCACAACTTCACTGATGGCAATCACTGCATTTTCACAGACCTTCTTGTACTCTTGTTCATTAAACCCAGACGCTTCGCGTTCAGTAGAGATACTGGCCTTCTTCAGTAAAGTGTTATTTCTAATGAGACGATTGGGGTTTGCCTCAGAGTGTCTGAAACCGTTATTTTCGCCAGTCAGGGTACTTCTCAAACCAGTACTTCTTCTGCTTCGCAGTTGTAATTGCAATGCATCATTACCAACAAGCAATAAGTTTGTCAAAGCATATATGGTAGTAACAACAGCATCCTGAGAAAGAACCTTACTGGCTATTCCCACGCTTTTAGATATAGCCAGACATTGAGCCCCATTCAAGCTAGGGTTTGCAACCAAAGATGTGAATGCACGGGTCAAAGAGGATCCCACAGAGGGATCCTTGAATACAAGCAAAGATCCTAATTGGAAAATGGCGGTTCCCAAGTTGTAGTCATGCATGACATCGAAAATACCAATGGAACTCAGGAAAATCTTCTTCGCGGCCAGCAAATCAACGTTGTCGGTGATTGTTCCACAGACAAGGACCAGTAATAACTCTGATTTGGCCAAGTAACCCAATTTCAATCTGGCAATGGTAGAGTATACAATGTAAGTCTCACCTCTGTCCAAGAACTCCATTTTCTGTAAGGCATTGTCGGCCAATTTCTTGATAATGTCCAATTGGTGGTCTGAAAGGTTAACCAACATACCACCAACTACCAGCGCATTCTCTGAGCTGACAAAAGAGTTGAGCGTACCATTGGTAGTTCCGTTCGCAGTGCCATTAGCAGATGCATTGACTATGCCATTACCATTGGCTTTGGTAGCACCATTTGGAGATAAGTAATAGTCACCATTGTCCATGGGAAACCCGTTCTGCGAGCCAATCTCTTCGTAATCTTCTTGGGACACCTTCGACAACAAATAGTCCATCAAGGGTTTGTTGGAGTTGCCCAACAAGGCGTTAGCGATGCCGTGCATCAACTTGGAAAGGCACTCCAAGAACAAAATGGGCGAGAAATCTGCCATCCACTCATGGTCGAGGTATTGGCGCATTTCCGACTGCGAGTACACGGAAGAAGAGAAAGCCTCAACGTCGTTCAAGAAGTCCACGTTATCCACACATGCATCCAACAAGTGGAAAACCTTGTATGCCAGGGGCAAAATAGAGAATATGCGAGCGTTCAGGTTCAATGCAGCCAAGAAACCCAACAAAGTGAGATAATCAGGTAAGTCGAGGTCATGGTTGGCAAAGAAGGACTCGACAAATCTGCCTAATGTCGAGATAACCTCCTCCATCAAGGAGTTGTCGAACTTGAATGCCAAGTTAACCAAAGCCTTGGTAAGACGATCACCCAAGATGTACCAAGGTGATTTTCTGGCCAACGAGGTGAATACGGGCTCGGAAAACTTCTGTTTTGGTAACCTGATCAAGTGCAGCGACAACTTATCCACCAAGGTACTAGCCTGAGTTGTCGCGGTCATATCAGCACCTGTAGCATCACATAGAGCCAAAAGGATCTCAAACTCGTTGAGAGAAAGCGCCTGCTTTGTCTTCTCGGGCTCCAGTTTCTTCAACAAATTAACGAAATCTGGAGAATGAGCGTCAGAGCCAGGTGACTCCACGGCCAACGCGGCCAATTTTTTATAAGCCTCTCCACGGATGGCCCCGCGTCTAATTCCAATAAATTCCATGCGTTTGGATAAAGAGAAGGACTTGGGTGGAATTTAGGTCAACTTGTAGTCTGGTCAAGCTGGGGTTGGTGCGCCATACAGGAAATACCTAAATAGTATAATAAGCTATCACATGGCGGACCATGGTTTGGGTGTGAAAAGTTGGGTGCACGATATGAAGTGATTGTGAAGCTGCAATGTTGATTAACCTGAGTGAACATTGTTTTGTAGGCGAGATAAAAATCGTGTGTTTCTATTTCAAGTTAGTGAGAACTTTGGGCTGAGGGAAGGTAAGGTAGTTAGGTGTGAACGTGAGAGTGAGAATTATCAGATGATCAAAATCACAAATGAAATTGGAGGTGAACGTGGAAGATGTGAATTGAAAGGCATGAGATATTTAGGAGACGAAAGAATCACATTTTGGGCATACGAAGATCATGCCAAGTCTGAGATAATACTTTAACAGTTCAAGCAATCTCATGTAAATTTCATTTTCATCATCATGTGTGTTTCTACTATTGCAATGAACTTCTCTTGTATATTAGGCACTACTACTTTCAGTCCCCGGTGATTTGATAGATAATTAGTACTACACTTTAGAGCTAAGCTTAGCAAATCTCTTCTTTGAATTGACCATTTATTGATCCTCTACCTGTACTGACACTCTCCATCCATACTCTCCATATTCTACAACAGGTGCTGGTGATGACATCTAATATACAGTGCGGAAATATTCCATGCTAATACCTATCCAACTACGAGTACGTCTCGATCAACGTATCTCTCAAGTTGCCTGAAATAGCATCAGGCTGTGCATCTTGCAATCTGAAAATCGACTCCACCACGCTCAACTCTGGAGCGGTGGTGTCCAAACCAGTCACTGCCAACCAGTCATTCACAACCATACCGGCTCCCACGACAGAGGATCCTCTGTTGACAGTTCCAGCCACAAGAGGAACCTGTAAGAGCGAAGACAACTCCTCCTGGTCCTGGATGGACGTCTGTGGGTGCACCAAACCTCCCTGGTTGGAGAGAGAACAGTAAGAACCAACCAAGACGTTACCGGCGATAGTCTGACGGAAAACCTCCACTCCCAAAACATCGGCAATCAACTCTTCAGTTTCTCTCTCGATATCTGGGTGTACCAATGCAACGTAGTCGTTGCAGCATATAACGTTACCCAAAGCAGACAATCTTTCCTCCACTCTCTGGATCTTGACCGAGTCTGGCAAGGAGTTTCTCAAGTGCATTAGTTCTTGATCGCTGGTCTGTGTAGGCACCAACAATCCTCTTCTGTTACCTGCGGTCATTCTACCGACGATTCTGGTACCAGCGATGGTTGTTCTGACGATGGGGATGACATCGCCGAGCTCAGCTTCAAAAGCAGAGTAGAAGTTTTCGGAGCCTCCCACAGCGACAAGACAGTAGGAGTTAGTCAACTTGGAGAAGACACCCACCTCGTTGGAGTTTTCAAATTGTGTTCTGGAAGCCATTAGTGATGAGAAAAAAATACTGGAGATTATCACTTTTTAAGATGAGGTGGGTGTGCGCACACCAACTTGCCCTCACTATGAGTAATCAACATAGATACGGAAGGAAAGAGAAGGATTCCATTTTTTTGGCTAGGTTTTCCTTTTCGGGTATTTTGTCACCCTTCGTTATAATATGTCATTTTGGGTTTGGGGGTTTGGGGTTTTTTCTTTGCCTGTTTTGATTGTTTGCTTTTTTTTTTTATTTTTTTTGGCCTGTCACTCATTTCACTTTTCGCAGCCATAGCTTACAGCAACTTCAAAAAATGTCTACATTAAGTTTCATTTATCCATCCTTATTACTATACATGTATGACCTAACTTTCGGCCAGGTTAATTGGTGAGTCAACTTTCGTTTAGTCAACGTCTTCAGCTTCGATGTCATCGTCGTCCTCGTCCCAGTCTGCATCCTCCATATCCTCATCTTCGGCTTCATGGTTAGGCAAAACCTCAAGACCCTTATCATTGCACACAACACGAGCTGTCTCCTTGTCCTTGATCTGGCCCTTCAACAACAACACTGCCAATTTGTTCAAGATCTCTTTCTGGATGAGACGGTTCAATGGTCTGGCTCCCAAATCTGGTGAGTAACCATGTGTGCACAAGTACTCCAAAGCCGAATCATCAAGATCCAAAGTGATGGCCTTACCGTTGGCAGCAAACCTTGTCTGGATTTCAGCAATTCTGATCCGAACAATCTTGGCAATTGCCTTTCTGGACAATCTGTTGAACACAACCATCGACGAGATACGGTTGAGGAATTCAGGCCTGAAGTGGTGTCTGACAGCCTCCATCACGAGCTCCTTGGTTTCATTATCCACCTTTGAGCCCTTGGATGCATTGATGTACTCAGCACCCAAGTTAGATGTCATAATGAAGATACAGTTGGAGCAGTTGATCACCTTACCTTGCGAAGATGTCACTCTACCGTCATCAAGAATCTGCAACAAAACGGTCAAAACCTCTGGTGCAGCCTTCTCAACCTCGTCAAATAACACAACAGAGTATGGTCTTCTCAACACTGCCTCCGTAAGAATTCCACCTTCTTCATAACCCACGTAACCTGGGGCGGCACCAAGCAACTTCGATGCGGACCATTTGTCACCCAACTCGGAACAGTCGATTCTGATCATTGCCTTTTCATCCGCAAAAAGGAAGCCAGCGACTTTCTTGGCCAACTCGGTCTTACCGGAACCGGACAATCCAAGGAACAAAAATGAGGCTGGTTGGTTGGGGTTAGCAAGACCAGATCTAGTCAATCTGACTGCGTTAGCAACGGCTTTGACTGCCTCCGGCTGTCCAACAACCTCAGAAGACAACACTTTTTCCATATTGATCAACTTCGAGTTTTCGGCCTGCGTCAACTTCGTCACTGGGATACCTGTCAACCGGGCAGCTGTCTCAGCAACTGCGTCTGGTCCAACAACGTTATTCAACATGTTATTAGTCGCATCTTCCTCAGCAACTCTCACCTCCATCTCCTCAATCAGCTTTTTGACGTCGGGGATAGCAAAGTATCTCAAGTCTGCAGCAGCAGCATTGTCGTGTCTTCTTTCAGCATCTTGGGCTTTGATTTCCAAGTCATCGAGCTTTCTCTTGAGCGCGATCAACTCGTCATGGCCCTTACGTTCTTGCTGGAATCTCTCTCTCAATGGATTCAAACGCTCCTCTAAGTCTGCCTTTCTCTTCTTAGCCTGCTCAAGACGCTCAGCAGACTCCGAGTCGGCATCCTTGTCTCTTTCCAAAGCGTTGATTTCGACCTCCAACAAGTTCAACTGTCTCTCCAAACTGTCCAATTCCTCGGGCTTGGAGTCTCTCTGGACAGCCACAGTGGCAGCAGTCTCATCGATCAAATCCACAGCGGAATCAGGCAAACTTCTGTATGTCAAATATCTGGAGGCCAATTGGGCAGCAGAAACCAAAGCAGAGTCCAAAATACGTACACCGTGGTGAATTTCGTATCTTGGTTGCAAACCTCTCAACACGGCCACAGTTTCTGGAATAGTGGTGGCAGGAACATCGATCTTCTGGAATCTTCTTTCAAAGGCACCATCTTTAGCAATGAACTTACGGTACTCGGCAAAAGTGGTAGCACCAATACAATGCAAAGCACCTCTGGCCAACATAGGCTTCAATAAGTTGGCAGCATCGGATTTACCGTCTCCCATCAACATATGAATCTCGTCAATGAAGAGAATAATCATTTCTTTGGACTTCTCGATGTCGTTCAAGACACCTTTGATTCTCTCTTCGAACTCACCTTTGTACTTTGCACCAGCAGTCAACGCACCTAAATCCAACGCAAAAAGTCTGGAGTTGGCCAAAATGCTAGGCACATCACCATCAATGATTCTTTGGGCAACACCCTCAACGATGGAGGTCTTACCCACACCGGCCTCACCGATCAAAACCGAATTGGACTTTGTTCTTCTGGCCAATACTCTGATGACTCTTCTAATCTCCTCTTCTCTACCAATGACAGGGTCAATCTTACCCTCTCTAGCCTTCTCCGTCAAGTCCTCGCAATATTTCGACAAAAATTCGTAGTTGGAGGAGGAATCGGCCTGTCTAGAGTCGATTCTCTGGTTTCCTCTCAACTCAATTGCCTGGTTCTTGATGGTGTCCACCTTGATCTGGGCCTCCTTGAAAATGTCCTTGATGGAGTCATCCTCCAAAAGTGCCAACAAAATGTGGTCCTGTGCAATGTAGTTGTCCTTCTGTTGGGCTTTAATCTTCGACGCCTTGGTCATCACTTGACCAGCAGCATAACTTAGTCTGACTTCATCCGGGGCAGGAGTCTGTGAGGGTAAACGCACCAAGTGCCTGTTGACAATTCTCTCGAAATCAGGCCACAGGTAGCGACCTTTCTGAATCAATGTCTTAAGGTATTGGGTTGAGTTTTCATCATCAGTAGGTACCATGGCTGCCAAAAAGTGCAATGGCACCACTTGGGAATTGGAAGCCTCTTGAGCCAATTCAGTGGCCCGCTTGATGATCAGTAATGCGTTATCAGTAAATTGAGATTCGTCCATGTTTGAACTTTCTTTCACTGAAGATTGCTAGCAGGTCTAAATGGGGGGCCTATATATACTGGGTGGGTTAGATGCCAGAAGATACTGGCACTTGCTGGAACCTTCTAGAATATGCAGTCCGTGCATAGGGCCTATGGTTCCACTAGTGGTGGATACATGGATTGGTCCTAGAATTATTGGATAATTTACTAGCCTCATTTACTGTGGGGTGAGTTGATGGATTTTGGATGGGTTACTGAAGATTGATTGAGTTGGTGGAACGACCAAGAGGAAATGTGAAATGTGGTAGGTATAATATACGTGGTGATAAGGTTAGTGGTTATGGTAACTGACATGAGAATGTCAATTGGCAAAGTTGGTACCAATATCCATTGGTCAATTGATAGTGTTTCAATTGATACTATGGATCAATTGGGTTCGATTGAGTGTGTAGAAGGTCTCAGGATCAGACTATGCCACTTAATATGCCAGGTTATTCCCTCATGAGATCTTTTTCCGTGGGACTTTCCTGTCTTCTTCGTGACCCATCCACTCCACCCGTCATTCTCATACGATCACGGAATGTATCGGTCGGGCCAATGGGAAGCTTCCGGCGTAGCTCATAGGCAATTTGGTCAATGATGAAATTTTAGGTTGTACAATGTTCAATTGTTCACTATCATTTCTTACTTAGAAGTAATTGCTAGGTTGTGGGGAATGTTCACTATCATTGTATACTAAGGTTTCTTAAAATTTGGTTAAGTATACTTTCGATCTCTCTCGATTATAGGGTTCTAATCAATCTTGTTTGTATATATTGGAGTTATTAAAGTTCAGCAGCACCCATAGTTCATTAAGTCGAGTAGCACCTATGGCATTTTACTACACAATAAAGCATTCAAGTTCAAGTACTGTAGGGAGGCTTCTCAGTAGACCTTTCTGGAGTGTCTCCACACATGCTAGTGCAAACCCGAAAATTGGTTGCTTTCTCTTACATGACAAAGGCTCTTATTCTTACATCTTGATTGAATCTTGCAATTGATCATACTGATTTAACTGATTGCACTGATTGCACCGAAAATATTGGCTAGGGATTACCAAAGACATGAGAAACCATCTGGAATAGGAAATTTTCGGCACTACAATGATTCTATTGCTATCCACCTCATAACTTTAAATATTAATAATACGGGGTAAAGTGTTTGCTTGCTCTCGTATATTGCTTCAGGACTAGGCCGAGATAGGACCCTAGTCGTTCGATTACCAGTTTCATAACAGAGAATTCTTGATCGCATGCAGTATGTTGAACTTCGATGAAAACCTTCACTACATTCAAAATATTAAAATATCTTTACCAACTTGAATTCAAATTTTAATTTATGATAACTAAAATGTAGCTAAAATCTTACCGGATAATTTGCCTTCAAATGTGACTGCAATTAGAGGCAATATTTCGAAAAATACGCGTTGGACATGTTGCACTTCGAACACGTAGGAAATTTTCACTCGATGCATCAAGAAAGCCTTTATGGCCAAGTTGGTAAGGCACCTCACTAGTAATGAGGAGATCGTCAGTTCGAATCTGGCTGAAGGCATTCTTTTTTCATTTCAATGAAGCATTCATAATTTTTTTTTTTATTTGTCTATATTTATCGCCAGTATTGTTGTTGGGGCTGGCCATATTGAGTTTGCTGTCCATACATTCCATTCTGGCCGGGTTGCATGTACACTTGGCCCTGAGCATACTGGAAACCCGTCTGTGCTGGTTGCAACTGCTGCTGCAATGGCTGTTGTATCTGCTGCATAGGTTGTTGCATTTGCATGGGTTGTTGCTGCTGCTGTTGCATCTGGCTCGTAGAAACGGCAACGTTGGTAGTGAAATTGTCTGGCTGATTGTAGAGAGACAAGATATTCTGCTTATTGGTCTGTTGAGCAATGAGCTGTGGGTTGGTCTGTTGCATTAACATCTGTTGGTGCTGTGGATTGTTGGGATCCAAGTACTGCTGGCCGTTCGAGTCGATATACGACACCTGTCCAGTGATTGGATCAGTGTATTGGTAGATCTGCGGCTGGCCATTCAACTGCACTCCCGTCTGGTTTTGCGAGGAGCTCTGTGAACCAGTCTGCGAGTTCCACCACTCAGAGGAAGTCGTTGCGGTAACCTGAGGTGCCCCACTATTCGAAGCAGTCGATACACCAGCAGTCGAGGGCCGCTTGGGCAAATCAGGCGGAAGCTCAGCCAGAGTTGGATTTACCTTGGAGTCGTGATCCAAAATGTCCAAGGCAAACAGAATGTCTCCCCTACTCAAAATCAAACTCTCCAACACGGCATCTCGGTCCGTGTACCCGAAGCCCAAAATCTTGTCAAGCTGTGAAGAGAACTGGGTCTGCTCGAACTGAGTGAGTTTCCGGTGCAGCAACCGTGGGATTTGACCCGTGTTTGATCTCAGACGTCCGCCGGTGAGTGTTGACAGCCGGGATCTTCCTGCCGGAGTCAGAGCTCCGCTATCGTTGGAGTAGCGGGAAAACTTATCATCGGCATCATCAATTTCACCCAGATCGTACCGGAACTTCTGCAATATGTACTTGTCCCGCATCCACTGCTCCACGGGAGCGTCGTTGTCGTCATAGTCGTGAGGAAAAGGTACTTTCTTGGGGTTCCAGCGCTGCTTGGCCTTTTTGTTGCCGATGCGGCGCAACAGGTCGATTTGGTCATCAGACCACGATTCAAGAGTCAAAGACTTAACCTTTGAAATGGGGCCGCCGCGAGGTCCGTTGGTTTGGAGTACCTTCTTATGGATGTTGGCACACCGGCCACAGAGCAAGATGCCCAAGTTCCATGACGCCCATGTGGGGTAGTCGCTGCCACATTCGCCACACTTGTTAACGTTACTTCTGCTATTGACAATGTCAATGAGCTGTTTTTCTGCTTGCTTGTTGTACCTTCTAGACATGGTGGTGAAGTAGAAGAGTAGTTTGGCCTATAAGGTGGGTGCAGGATGCGGGACTTGGTGGGTATTAGCGAGAAATGGGGGAGAACCGGTATTGAAGAATGTAGTGAAGGGATTGGATTGGTTGAGAATAATTTGAGTGTGGGTTGAATGATGTAAATTTAGCATTGGATATTATAAAGTGGGCAATTTCGATTTTTTGGTGTGTTTTGAGTATTTAGGAAGGTTGGCAGAATGCTGAGAAATCACGCTCGTTGAAGAATAGGGAGAACAATTCGAAGAGAACCAAAGATGAAGAAGAGAAATTTTTTTGGTTCTCTTTCTCTTCTTTCTTTCTTTTTTTTTATTTTATTTTATTTTGAATCTGAATGGAAAATGTGGGATAATGAAGTTACAAAGTTAGATTTCATTCAGTGAGCTAAATAACCACGTTCGTCTTCCAGGTGTCAATATTGCAAGTTTAGTATTGAACCAAGTGATAATTATTGCATTGGTAACGAAAAACGCCTCCATTCATATAAATTCCTTCAACTGATGCAATTTTCTTTTCAATTCAACCGGCTCGGTCCACATAATCCTCACTCTAACTCCAGTTATCAATTAACCCTTTACCTCCATTAACTATTTACAAGATCTATATCAAATGACCGACCAGCGATGTTCCGTAGTCTCATTGTATCCACATCCACAGTTATTTCCCCTACAAAATCAGTCACATCAATATCCTCCACTATGCTACGGAGCTGCCGAAAATGTTTGGAGTTCATTCGATGCTTGTACATGTGCACCTCTCCCAAGAGCACCGTAACATGATACTTGAACATAGGCAACCCGTCATCGAGTCGTTCTGAATTATAAACAATGGTTTTCCAGTCGTATTTTCCATCAAATGTTTGCACTTGTCCCTCGATCATCTTGCTGAGATTTCGCAAATACTCGTACTCAGCCAGAAACATACTTCCTGGTTGTGGAGTGTCGTTAATGTCTAGAGCAACAAATATGCTTCCTGACTTTGTAGACATGTAACAGCGAAGATGGGAATTGGTCCTGAGTGAAATGCAAGGCTTCTGTTTGAGTTTCAACATTTTGTCCAAAGTAGAGGTCTGCTTCTCCATCATCATATCTTGCGGAGGAGGACAGAGTTTGACAGAGCGAACTAGGCTTTCATGGAGTTGGCCAAACCGCCCGGGCTCCGCCTGAAAATTGGGAAATAAACTGACGTGAAGCAGATTGATAGCACCCACGTTGGAGTAGCCGTAGCGACCAAAAACAACCGGTTTATTCGCTCCCGTGTAATGCCACGAATAGCGCAGACGAACGTGAGGCATCTCAGCATTTATGGCCTTCACCACATGTTCACAGGTCTTTTGTAGCGACGACACCACACGGGCATCAGGCTGCCACGGTAGCAGTAGGAAACTCAGGACGAGCTTCTTTCTATTCATGCTGTAGTTTTCCAGGTACAGGACCAAGGAAACCAACTCAGGAGGCGGGAAAAGAGAAGGTGGAGAAGATTCTGATTGGCCCAAGTCGGGAGGGGTATCTTGATCTGAGTCGGACTCTTCGTCACTGGAGTAGGCAGTTAAAGAGTCCATTGGTGATGGGAAACATCCAGGTGCAGGAGAAATGGGGAAAGAGGCTGGAAAGTGGTTGAGTTATGATGGGTAAAACCTGGCAAAAGTAGTAATGAAAGTCGGAAAAGTAGAATTCAGGGGTGAGTAGACAAATGGGTCAAAAAGTAGTAGGTAATTGAAGAATTGGTAACTGAAGAATTGAACTGGAGATTGGAGTAATCACGCTCCGGAAGTTGTGATCAAGTGCTTCATGCAGGTAATCACCAAGATAGGAATTGAAGGAGGGGGAATAGTTGAGGGCACACAACGAGAGAGGACCAATAGCCTCAATGGATCGGCAAAAACCGATAATGATTTCAATGATCAAATGATCAGCAATGACTAAGACGACAAATACGAACTATCTCCATTCTCCACATCATTATAATGTTTTGACATAAACCTTCATACATTGTCAATTTCCATTCATCCTACTCACGCCTCATGCATTTTATTTTCTTGTAGTCATTTCTTAGTTGTTTTTGTAGTCATTGCAGCACAACTTGCGGGTCGTTTATCATTTCTTTGACATTTCTATGAGATTTCTTTTGTTTTCTCTCTGTTAAATCACCACGGAACTCCAGGATTTCAGGTTAATCATAGCCTTTGGCAGCGGTTTAACAAGGTTTCAATCACTTGGCCTGGCATCAACTCTTAGTGTCATTGGCTACTTGCCGGCACATGTCTTCCACTGTATACCAGTCCTACCTTGGCCTCTCCGCCCGGAAGAGGGATGCCCCACCACCTATATATCAATGAAGTGCGTGCACAGTTGCCCGCGCACGGATGAATGTTTCTCCGCCATGCACCTGTCACATTTCCCCAGAAAATCAACGGGCTCGGAGTAGCGATACTCCGACCGAATGCGTTTATCCTTCGGTCTCTCCGGACTAGGGGACTTTTTTTAATGTCTCCACACCCCAGACCATGATCTTTACTTTACGGCATGGGTTATTTTGCATGGCCTGACCACCGCGGACTTCCGCACTAGTTTGGCCCAATCACCGGTCGTTTTCCTGCGACTGGAAGATTCCGCCGCACATCACATCAGATCCCCCCAGTCTAACAATGATAGAATCGTAATACACCTTTAATTTTTTACATATTCATTTGTCACTTTCTACAGTACTGCCCCTGAATACAGCAACCAACACATACACGTAACACAAATCTCATGGTCTGGGTAGAATATCCCCACAACTTTTCGACCAAGTGCGGTTTTTCCCACCTCGGGTTCCTCTCTTGGTATTGTCGTGCCTAGGAAAACCTACTCCAGACTTCCGAAAGGCTAAACAATAGCTCTTCCGATGGAACTCCATACATTCACATTGGACCAACCATCGATCCTAGAATGGTCAACCAATATTATCCGGTATTCCCTTTCAACCGAACTCACCTCTAGCCTCATAATTATTTAGCCTCCCCTCCGTAAATGCTAATAGTATGCCCCGCATGTACCCCGACTATCTGCAGGCAGCACAAAGTTTTCTTCCATTCTTATGGAACTGGGGTAACTACTATATAAGCGACAGGTTTCCAGGTTAGAGTTTTTTTTTTCTTCACTCAACTAACTCACCTGGCAGTTTACAGTTTCGAGGCTATTCATATTTCTGCGTTTATTATCCTTCCCGCTTCCGCTTTTTTTCATATCCTGCCTGCTTAAAGTTACTGCTGGACATCTCATTCGCCATGGCTGTAATTAACAAATTGAAGAGAAAATTATCTCACGCTGGAGACACCATGTCTATTCACTCTGTCGTCGAGGACGAAGACATTAGAAGAGTTCCCATCCCAGATGAGGTCTACAACTATAAGATTGTGCTTTTGGCCATCACCGCCGCATCGGCTGCCATCATTATTGGTTACGATGCTGGTTTCATTGGAGGAACTGTTTCGCTTGCATCGTTCCAGAAAGAGTTTGGCTTGGATAAAATGTCCACTAGTGAGAAGCACGATGTCGAGGCCAACGTCGTGTCTGTTTTCCAGGCCGGTGCCTACTTCGGATGTCTTTTCTTCTACCCTGTGGGTGAGCTCATTGGTAGAAAATTCGGTTTGATTGTGTCTGGTTTCCTTTTGACTTTTGGTGCTGCTATCTCCCTTGTTGCTAACGGTGACAGAGGTCTTGGTGCTATTTATGCTGGCCGTGTATTGACTGGTCTTGGTATTGGTGGCTGTTCTGGTTTGGCTCCTATCTATGTTTCTGAGATCTCGCCTGCTGCCATTAGAGGTAAGTTGGTCGGCTGCTGGGAAGTGTCTTGGCAAGTCGGTGGTATCGTCGGATATTGGATCAACTACGGAGTTTTGCAGAACATCCCAAACAGCACAAAGCAATGGCTCATTCCTTTCGCTCTTCAGTTGGTTCCTTCTGGTGTTTTCTGGGCTTTGTGTTTTTTGTTGCCTGAATCTCCTCGTCTTCTTGTCAGTAAAGGTCAGATCGACAAGGCTAGAAAGAACTTGGCTTACTTGAGAAACTTGCCTGAGGACCACCCATACTCTCTCCACGAAATGGAGAACATCTGCAAGTCCATCGAGGACAACTTCAACGAGACCGGTAGAGGATTCTTTGCTCCAATCAAGGCTTTGTTCACCAGCAAGAAGTTGTTGTACAGACTTTTGTTGTCCACTTCTTTGTTCATGATGCAGAACGGTTTCGGTATCAACGCTATCACCTACTACTCTCCAACCATTTTCAAGTCTCTTGGTGTCAAGGGTCCCAACGCTGGTTTACTTTCCACTGGTATCTTCGGTATTTTGAAGGGTGTTGCTTCTGTTTTCTGGGTTTTCTTCCTCGTTGACACTTTGGGTCGTCGTGTCTGTCTTTGCTTCATTGCTATTCCATGTTCGCTCTGTATGTGGTACATTGGTGCCTACGTCAAGGTGGTCGACCCTACTGCCAAGCTTGCCAGCGGTAATCTCGAGACCACATCTGCCGGTACTGCCGCCAAGGCCATGATCTACCTTTGGACCATTTTCTACGGTTGCACCTGGAACGGTACTCCATGGGTTATCTGTGCTGAGATCTTCCCACAGTCTGTTAGAACCGTTGCTCAGGCCGTCAATGCTTCCTCCAACTGGTTCTGGGCATTCATGATTGGTCACTTCACTGGTCAGGCTCTTGATAAGATTGGTTACGGTTATTACTTCTTGTTTGCTACCTGCTCTTTGGTTTTCCCAATCGTCGTTTGGTTCGTCTACCCAGAAACCAAGAACATTCCATTGGAGGCCATCGACTACTTGTTCGAGGTGCCAGCTTGGAGAGCACACAAGTACGCTCTTGAGAAGTACGAGGTTGAGTTCAACAATGGAACTTTCCACCACGCCGATGAGGTCCAACAGCTGGTTGAACTGGACGCTGTTGAGAAGCTCTAATGAATTGGTAATAAATGATGACTTTCTTGAACAAATTTGTAGAATCAGCAGACTCTTCGGAAATCAAAGGATCATTCTTCATTCGTTTTGCGATGCTATTGGATTGCAGCCGTGAAATTGAAATTGATAAATTCTTCATCCTCGTGCTGTTAAACTGTCAATGTGAGATCATTCATCACTCGACTTCCCCTGAACAACTGCATTCGGCCAAGTCTGAATACCCACCATCCTGAAGCACTGAACAAGCCTCGTTCATTATAAAGAGACTCTAGTCAAATGATTACCACTTATGTTATGTATTTGAATAACCCATGCACAGCGCATCTCTCATGACGCGGCGCATGAGAGGAGCGCAGGGCAACTGGAGTGCTCTGAAATTGCTTAGCGAGGTTAAAACTTGTGAAGTCAAAAGCAGCAAATATTGCCCTCATCCTACTCGACATGATTGAACAGCAACATAATGGAAGATGTAAATTCGCTTCGTGTCCCAAAGTTACAAAATACAGGTACAGGTGGATGCTCTGATTCTGCTTCAAAGAAGGAGGTAATTCCTTCGATCCTCAATATTCAACTAAACATCGGTGCTTTTTACCCAAAAGATATGAAAGGATATACCCAGACAAAATTTCATTCGATTTCACCTAAGATTCGAATTTTGAGTTGACATTGTATAATTTTTATTTGTGGTGAACAGAATATGCGAGTATCTTTGTTAGTAGTGAGGCATTACATAATAGTTTAAGTATTAGGCTCGGAGGATGGAAACCAAAGTGCGTGATTATTGACTATATAGGGAGCATTATAGGACACTTGTATAGTTGTCAAAGCACACAATCATACCATTGGCAAATCGAATCCAGCTACTTAAGACAGTGGTACGACGGAATCGATCATGGATAATATGCACTCTATATTACTCAATCTGGATATAGGAGATAACCCATCGCCGGAGATAACTTCGTCATGTGCAAAACCTAAATCAGAGGAATTGCCAGATCTAACCTCCCAAACTTACTCCCCGCGTCCTCTCTGAATGCCTGATATACTGTAGAATGGCGAAATAAAGACTCCTTTAACTTGATCTCCAATATACTGCATATATATGAATGTTTTCATCAATGGTTGCAAAACAAGTAAGCAACACCGACCTAAGTAAAAGACTCCTATTCGAAATCATTCTAGAAAAATATACCTAAGTAGACAATACTGGATTAAGAGGAGTGCCTTGAGTCAAGGTCGTCTGGCAGATAAAGCACTATCATTGACGTGTCTATTTTGGTTCCAGTCACTTGACCAGCTCGTCAGTTGAAGATACAATCTAGGTAATATTTCTAAGAAAACCATGGCAAATACCCAGTTCTGACCGAGATTTATAGTTTTTGTTATCCATAATATTGATGTACATCCAATTTTGTGGTGAGTGACAATCAGGATCACAAGTCCTATGGTGAACTCTGTGGGGCGTGTAATGTTTGGAATTCCATGACATGGAACCCTTGTAGAGCAACTCACGATTTTCTCTTGAATATCAATTTCACGTCCAATTTGTTAAAAATAGGCATTCAAAGTTGAAGCAAATTATTAAAGCTACTTCAATGTCCCCCAATTTGCCACTCTAATTGGCACATGCACTTTGAGTCAATCAAAATGGTACCCCGAGAGACAAGGTCAGCGTTAATCATACCATTGTATAAACTCAGAATGTCGCAGACCCAAGGTAGCCCCGATTCTTCACCCACCTTGAACTATCGCCACCACTTACAACAAGGTGTCAGATTATAACGAGACGTCTGTATGTCCATTAGCATATGTCTTTACGTACTACATGGCGGAGATAACTAAAAACGTTCAAGTTGAAAGAAAAAGATCATTCCCCGCCAAATTCACAAAACCAATCTTGACCCACATTGTTGATTGAACACCAATAACGAAATTTCTAAAGAATAGTTGACGGAGAAAAAAAAATCAGTCGATATCATCACGATCAGCACCATGGTCTTTCCATTGTGTGCAGTAATATCCGGACATTTATCACAAGCGAGTTAAGTATGGGGTGGGGTATATAAAGGCCTGTCAATGCCTTGATTGGCGTCCAACATAATGCCAATTCCATTTTTGCCTACTAAAATCGAGCCGGAACATATGGACACGTTCGCGGCCATTGCTGACGGGCTTCTCCATGATGTTTCACCCGAAGTGATTGCAAACTCAGTGGTTGGTGAATTCCCTCGAAATGAGTTAAATGACTATGTGAAGAACGTTACTAGGCCGTCCCAAATTCCTGGCTTTAAAGAAGTCGTGCACTCGATTGTGAGCAAGAGTGACAATGCATCAGTTGGTTTGTTTGCATTAATTATGGGCGTGATGCAGCTGAAAGTATTAGCGTTCCCATTGACGGGTTCAACTACTTTAATCAGTGAAATGCCTCTCGAGGATAGACAGAAGGTACTTTTGGCGTGGAGAGACTCGCCAATTGAGGGCAAAAACAGATTGTTTCGCTTGATAAACGTACTCACTTTTGCTGGCTTCCAGCGTCTGGCTCCTGACATCCACTACAGAGCTATGGGTATTCCCAGAAGTGACTTGAGAGAAGAATTGTACGAAGGTTACCAGTCCAATGCCTATGAGTATAAGATGATGCAGCCACCTGTCGCTAACAATGTGGAACTATACTTGCCGCAGTTCGACGCCGTGATCATCGGATCTGGATCTGGTGCTGGTGTGGTTGCACATACTTTGGGACGAGAGGGCCATAAGGTTCTTGTTCTCGAGAAAGGGAAGTACTACCGCCAGGATGAACTTATCTTCAATGAACTGGAGGGCTTTGATGCTTTATACGAGAGCGGCGGTGTATTGTCGACTTCTGACGGCTCCACATTGATTATGGCTGGTTCGACTTTTGGTGGTGGATCCACCGTCAACTGGTCCGCTTGCTTGAAGACGCCATTTAAGGTTCGCAAAGAATGGTTGGATGAACACGGCGTGGAATGGGTCGCAAACGAGCTGTATGACAACGAGCAGGACTACGTTCTTAAGCAGATGGGTGCCTCCATCGACAACATTGACCACTCCTTCTCCAACGCCATGCTCTTAGACGGCTGCAAGCAATTGGGTTACGCAGCCAAAGCAATTCCCCAGAATACTGGTGGTCACCAGAATCATTCATGTGGTTACTGTCATTTGGGATGTAAGTGGGGAGTGAAGCAAGGAAGTATGGCCAATTGGTTCAGAGACGCAGCAGAGCACGGAGCCGAGTTCATGGATCAGGTGTTGGTGGACCAGATCATCCGAAACAAGAGTGGCCACGCTATTGGTCTCAAGTGCATTAATACCCGCAATGGCAATAAATTCACCATTCGTGGTCCACGAAAATTTGTTGTGGCATCTGGATCGTTGCAAACACCGATCATTCTTCAAAAGTCTGGCTTCCGCAACAAGCATATCGGCAAAAACCTCAAGTTGCACCCCATCACAGCCTTAACTGGTGTCTGGGATCACAAATCTGATCCTCAGCACCACTCCATTATGACCAGTGTTTGCACTGAAGCCGACGACTTGGACGGCAAGGCACACGGAGCTAGAATTGAGACCATTTTGCACTCTCCTTACCTTGAAAGTGCATTTCTTCCCTTTTCTAGCTCAGACCAGGCTAGAAAGGATCTTTTGAGCTACCAAAAGCTCTCCCAGTTCATCATCTTGATGAGAGATACACTGTCTGGAACAGTTACTCGCGAGGATAACAGACCAGACACCCTCAAGATTGATTATTCCATCAACAAGACAGACCGAGCTTTGATGGCGAAGTCGATCTTGATTGGTATGGATATCATGTACATCGAGGGTGCATTGGAGATCATCCACCCATACTGGAAGTGTGGCCGTTTCTCATCCATCAAGCTCAAGCACGAACGGAGCATCAATGATGCAGACTACCAGAAATGGAGAAAATCTGTGGAAAAGATTCCTTTACCAACTTTCGGACCAGGCTATGGTTCCGCCCACCAAATGGGTACTTGTCGTCTCACAGGTAAGGGTCCTAAGGACGGAGCTTGTGACTTGAGAGGACGTCTTTTCGAAAGTGACAACGTCTATGTTGCGGACGGTAGCGTGTTTCCTACTGCATCAGGGGCAAACCCAATGGTGACCATCATGGCCATGGCTCGTCACATTGCAGTTGGCATTGCAAAAGATTTGCTGCCAACCGTCAAACTTTAATTCAATTATATACGATCGAAAACGAAGAATCTTATATGGCTTTACATGTCTTGCGTGTCGTAAACCACACTTTCACAAGATAAGTAGTACTGGAGTTTCTTGTGGTCAGTCTCATTTCCCTCTATGTAGCCAGCAAAACCAATAGGGCCCTTGTCACACTCACTACAGATGAGGAGCCTCTCTACCTTCGCTAGATTGCCAACGTCTTCTTCTTTTAAGAGTTCTGGAACTGCCCTCGACACTCCAATATTGTCGAAATCCCATACGTCTTGAACTTGGAGATAGTAGGTCGATTTGCTAGCCATTTCTGGAGCATTACCAATTTGAAGCTTCGTTGCTGCGAGTGAAGGCAGAAGCTTAATAATGCGGGCATTGCACCCTTCGAATGGACATCGTATGATGGCCACATCTCCTGTGAGGTCGTGATACTTTACGATAGCCATGAGAAGTAGTAGTTTAAGATTTGATATCTTGATGAATCTATATCCAGTACTCTCTCTATAACATTTACCTTTACACTGTGCGCAATATACAATGATTATTACTTTTCTAAAGTATTTTGAGTTCGAATCCCCATTAGACAGAAAATGTCAGCATTTTATTGATCCAAAGTGATTTATTGAAATATAAATGTAATTTTTTTGTTACTTCCACCTAAGTATTTGAACTACCCCATCCTCATAGTGTCACTCAAGCATCATTCACACCAATTCATGATACTACATGATACTACTTATACCTTCAAATTTCTCTGACACTGCTCATGCACTATGCTTTACCATTACTCGCATTCACACCCTTGTCTTACTTTTGGTATTCATATATTCCTCTAACTGTATCTATAGTTTCTCACCCGGAGAAATCATCTCTACTGCCAACTCACTCAATGGGAAGTAAAGCTCGGCAAAAAGGGCGGCAGACCCCGAACTGGCAGTTCCCTTGGCGACTCTCATGGCTATTCCCTGCGAAATGACAGCGAGTCTTAAAAGTCCGAACACTGAACCCACCACCCACAAGTCAATAGGATTGTTTTTTGGATCGTTGTCTCTCCATTGGTGACCAAGTGTCTTCTGGTACAAATACAACAAATCCTTTACCGTGGAACTCAGTTGTGGGTCCTCCTTGCCAATGGTGACGGGGTCAGGCTGGAACATTATAGTATTAAATTGAACGGGAAGGATGTACGGCTGGAAGAAGTTGGCCAAGTCAAACATGGGATGGCCAAATGTACAGAGCTCCCAGTCCAACACTGCTACCACCCGAGGCTCAGTGGGATGGAAGAGAAAATTGTCGATCTTACAATCCCCGTGAACCAACGTCAATTCGTCTGGATCTTGTGGTGCATGCTGCAACGTCCACTTGCAAATAGCTTCCATGTCTGGAATAGGTTTCACTACTTTTGCCTGAGTGGCAGCCACGGCCGAGAGTGTTTTAATTTGTCTCTGGAAGTACGAGGGTCCGTTCTTGATCTTCGCAAGTCTGTCTGGCTGGAATTGAGGAAAATGCTTTGCCGGAAGATGCTTCACCAATTCGTGCACGTCAACCGAGTGTATGGCACTGATGGTACGCATGACATCCTTCCAGAGGGCCTCGTGTTCTTTTGCTTCCACACCATATAGGTCCGGACGTTTAATCAGTCTTCCATCGACATACTCCATCATGTAGAATACTGCTCCCACCACCGACTCGTCCTCACAAAGTAAATGTACCTTTGGCACAGGTACGGCCTTCTCAGAGTCTGCATTCTCATTGCTCTTAGAGATTCCAAGAAGAATATAGAACTCTCTTTCAATGGCATGGGCAGTCTTCAGGGCTAATTTAGAGTTGGCACTTGGCTTTCTGCGGAGAACGTAGTGGGCACCAGAAGCATCCACGACAAGATAAGTGGGATTGGACTGGCCATACCGAAACTGAGAAACTTCGAAAGGAGACTGGAACTGTGGTATTGATACACCTTTGATGATATCTTGAGGCAAGTTTGTCAAATACTTTTCCAAGCTGGAAACATCCAATTCGTTTCTGATTTCTGAGACGTCGGGCATAATTAGCAGCAGTTGAGAAGGATGTGATTATTCAACAAGTAAAATGTACTCCTTGTTCCTTGAAGATAGTGAATTATGGAGGATAAATACATTTACTTATAAAGGTTACCAAATTTCGTGCAGTATACCCCACAATAAGAATTTCCATCCTCGGGATAGTCCACATACACAATCATATTACCGACGGAGAAAGGATTAGTGCCCATTAATTTACTTACCAGTAGCTATGGTTATATATTTGTTTGAATGTTATTTTTAGAACCACCATAGTCGTTATGCTTTTTTTTATATGCTATCATGATGCTCATTATGGGTGCAACTTTGCTCATTTGACATTGAGCGAGTAGTAGTTATAGATTCCGCGCTGACTGAACTCCACAGGCCACACCAGCTCGTGGACCTGGCCGCGAATGTAAGACTTTTTTTTAACGGTGCTGAGGTTGTAATAGCCAATTGAGCAGTTAATCTTTCTTGACGCATACTTGAGAAATTCCGGTTTCGTCACCTTAGTCTCGATCTTTGCACCTGTCTCCAAGTCATAGTACACCATATTGGAGTTGGCACCGGCATCGGTCTTGCCCCCCGAGATGATCTGGTCGTATGAAGGATTGGATGAGTCAATCTTGTAGATCCAAGCTCTTCTTCCTTCGTTGTCGTAAAACTTCCAAGCTTGCGGAAGCCCCGAATTGCTTCCAATGGAAAAATCAGTCTGCAATGGATCCACCCGTACCGAAGATCCGCCTGTGAGATCATACAAAACCTTGTAATCAAATTCGAGCGCCTCAAGTCCAGAGTCAAAGCATGACTTCAAGAAGTTCGTGATGTTTCCTCTGTTCAAGGCCTTGCAGTTGGTTGCGTCAAGAAACTTGAGGGTCTTGTTGTCAGTCATAAATCCCGTCAAGTCCGCCATTTCCACCAGCGAGTGCGAGATCGTCAAACTCTCCAATTTGGAGAACTTGGACTTGATGAGTTTCAAGATGTTGCTGTTGACCGGCATGCCTCCCAAGTTGAGGTAGCGCAAGTCCGTAGCCTTGAGATGGTTCAAAGTGAACATGAGATACTGGTCAGTCAATGGAGACACCACGTTGGAATCAATCTGCAAGTTAAGCCACTGGAGTGAGTCCAGGCACACGGCAGGATGTTGGGTGAAGAACTGGATGAGGTCCTTGGTCGTCAACTTGGAGCATCTGGCCAAAGAAAGATGAGTCAAACGACATGAGCGAGGCATGTGGTCGAAAAGAAGCTTGGAAGTGACGGCCGTGTGGGTCAAATCGAGACGGCGAAGGTTGATTAAATGCGGAAGAAGCTTCTCTAACACAGCAGGACTCAAGTTTGAGCAGTCGTGGAATGAGAGCTTGAAGAGATGCGATAAGATAGGCTTGGAGGACACAATGGAACTGTTTTCCATCTCGGACTCAGAAAGATCGATCGGGTTAATCACCAACTCACGGAAAGCTTGAGCAAATTGAGGCAGCGATGCTCCGCAAAAGTCCAACGCCTGGATCTTGGGCATATCGTTGAACAAGGTCAGGAGAACCGTCACATTCAAGTCATCCTGGATATTTTCAGAAGCCAAGAACTCTACTAGGTTGGGGCACAACAGCAATGCGTGCTGGATGGTGTCGGAGGTGACCATCTGGATCTCCTGATTCATTCTGCCTGTTCTGCCGAGACCAATGGAAGTGAAGGTTTGGAAGTCCATGAACTCTACGTACTGGCCAAGATCGGGCTGGTTGACAATATTCAGCAAAAACCGATCGAATGAGTGCGGTCTATTGAAGATGGCATACTTGTAGAGGAATCTGATAGCCAACTGGTTGAATGTTTTCAGTAGAATTGGGATAGTTTTCAGGAACTTTTCCAAGTTGGCAGGTATGGAGCTGGTATTCTCGTCGTAGTAGACGATCTCAATGATCTGGTAGAGGATCTCTAACGGGAGCAGGAGGAGCGGGGAGAAGTTCTCCGAGTCCTTGATGTTAACAATCTGAGGATCCACTAGGGTGAAGTTCTCAGTGACGGAGGATGCGGAAAACTTGGACATCAGCGAGAATTGCGAGTCATTTGACATCACCGGCAGCAAGAAGAGGCCGCCCAGGTCTTCGGTGGACTGCGAATGTGGGCCATGACGCTCATGTTCCCAGTGGTCAGTATACTCCTTATTTAATACCGTGAAGATATTGGGGAGGTGGGGTCTTCTGGGTTTGGAAGCGGAGCCCAGAGACGATTGAGGGGTGAGCTGTGACGCTAGTACCTGTTTCAGCAGGTTTTGGCCCATAGTGAGTAGCGACAGCGAAAAGCACGGAACAGTTGAGACACTTGAGACAGTGGAGATGGAGCCTGAAATCATCTTATACTGTACAGGGAGCTGGGGTGAGAGGCAGGCCAGGAAGGGATAGACAGGACCGAAATGGGGCCAGAAAAAATATGTGCTAGGGCCAAGTGCCGGGAAGCGAAGGACGGAAAAAAAGGTAAGTGGGGGATTAAAACTTAAAAGGATGGCAATAGCCAAATGGCGAGAATTGGGAAATTTGCGAGTGGACGCGGTCGACAAATGGTGATGTGCAGCACAGGTGTCCGAAGCTTCGGCACGATAGCCAGTTGGTACAATGTCGAATGGGGGACCATTTATAGGTGCTTAGGTGGAGATAACATTTGCGGCGGTGCGTGTGGATAGTTGCGAAAAAATGCCACTAATGGCGCCGAATCGGTTATTTGGAGCCGGACAGGCAGGAAGAAAATGTGCGAGGTCTGGCATGGCTGGGGTGACTGTGGGGCCGTGACGAGAGAAGGCACAATATGAGTAGGAGAATGGGGAATTAAAAGAAAAAAAAAAAACAATGAAGAGATTTAAATGAGGAAAGCACCAGAAGAATTAAAGGAAATTAGGGTATTCTCGGATAGAAAATTTATTGAGTTTTTGAGATAGAGAATGTATTTGACTGAGAAATAACATTTAACATGATAACTTCAATACAGAAACAGAAATGTGGAAAGTGATACTTGTGAAAGATTGAAGAAAAGGCTGACTAGTTGCCGTTTAATGACACGAGAATGGAAGTGTGGTGGCCGCATAAAAGGTAAATCAGAAACAAGAAACTTTCTATTGTTGACGAAGTATGGGTTGAGTGACTGGATTAGTCGTGTGAAGGAATGTTCCATGGCACCATGGGAATGCCCAAATTGGTGTCAAATGACCTAAATGTATCCTCAAAGTACAACGAACAAATTACGGAAACAAAAATGGATCCTGACAAAATGTTCTTGAAAAAGGAGTCGGTTCATTCTAATATTATCGTCACTTTTGCCAGTAGAATCCCCACGTTGGTCTAAATGGTTCTTGTTTCATTTGATAATATGGTCATTATGGTCATTATTGTGCGACATACCCCGAAAACTCACTAAAACTCACTCCCCTCTAGTCACTTCTTCAATGCCCCTCTGCGCAAAATGAAGCGCAATCCCTCGTTTCTTTCTTTTCCCAATTCTTTCTTCCTGTCTCACCCAAATATTCCTCCTGTCTATTATCCTCCTAGTCCACCTGACCGATTCTGTGATCCATTACCCCGGACTGAGTAACACCCGGACCTCCCTTAATACCCACCTAATAAAGATATTCCTAGGCTACCTTTTATTCTTCATCTTTTTCATAGTCAAAATGTCCATCTACAACTCTGACAACGAGTCAGCCAGCGAGTTCGAACGGTTAGAGTCTACTTTGCCCGATCCGCTCCGCCGCTCAGCACTGTCTCTTTTCGAGAAATTGATCTCTCCATCCCAGAAAGACACTCACATATCTTCCAGCTATTTCGATGCTCCACTGCCTAGAGTGCCCAATTTCAACCCACTGAATTCATTGGGCGGAATTCTGAAGGATCAACACAATCGTTTGCTTCTGAAACTTTCCCGCTCCGAGAATGGCAGGGAGGGCTCGCCAATTCCCGTGCCTAAACCTAGCTTCAACGAGCTGATCAACAAACCTGCCATGAACACAAAGCAGTCGTCTACAGGTGTGTTGTGGGTGACCGAGAGAGCTACTGAATATGGATTTGGTGGCAATGGTGATGATACGTGGGCAAATTTGGGACAAGGTGCTCCAGAACATGGCGATACTGTTCCTGGATCTTTTAAAAGACCTACTTCGATCCCCATCACCGACATCAGTAAAGAGTACGCCCCTACCGCAGGTATCAAGGAGTTGAGAGAGGCAGTGGCCGACTACTACAACCAAACGTACCGTCTGAACCTCTACTCTAAGTACACCTACAAGAACGTGTGCATTGTTCCTGGTGGACGTGCTGGGTTGACTCGTATTGCTTCCATCATCAGTGACTGCTATTTGTCATTTTTCTTGCCAGACTATACTGCTTACGCTGAGATGCTTTCGCTTTTCAAGAACTTTTCGCCTATTCCTGTGCCGTTGGACGAGTCTGACAACTACGACATCCACTTGAACACCATTGAGTTGGAGTTAAAACGAGGAGTTTCGGCTTTGCTTACTTCAAACCCAAGAAACCCTACCGGTAAGTGTATGACGAGAAGGCAATTGAATCGTCTTCATGATCTCTGTAGACAAAAGTGTCTCTTGATTATGGACGAGTTCTACTCACACTACTATTATGATGATCACTGCTCGGGTTCGTCCATCTCATCTGCAGAGTACGTGCAAGACGTGAATAGTGACCCAGTTCTCATTTTGAACGGACTCACTAAGGCCTTCCGGTTGCCAGGATGGAGAATCTGCTGGATCTTAGGTCCAGAGGACTACATCAATGCCCTTAGTTCTGCGGGCTCCTTCTTGGACGGAGGTTCCAATGCTCCATTTCAATATGCTGCCCTTGAGTTCCTCAGACCACCGTTGAAGGTCAAGAATGAGATGAAGGCACTTCAATTGCACTTCAAGATGAAGAGAGACTACATCATCTCTCGGTTGAGTGCCATGGGATTCCATTTTGACGAAAAAAACATCCCCAACTCCACGTTCTATCTCTGGCTCAATCTTTCACATCTTCCTGGAAAGCTTAGCAACTGTCTCGGATTCTTCCATGAATGCTTACATGAGAAGGTGATTGTGGTGCCTGGATTTTTCTTTTTGATCAACCCACAGAACTTGAGTAGATTAGAGGATGTGATTTGGTACAATTTTGTGAGAATCAGTTACGGTCCCGAGTTGCATCAGTTGGTGATTGGAATGGACGGAATCGAGCGCATTTTGCGCAGATTTGATTGCTTGCCAGATGGATATGACGCAGCGAAGACTCAAAGTGCCGACGCCCAGTAGTAATGAATTACACATCTACAAAATAGGATTTTTAGGCACTTCACAACCAATCATAAATATTCTTTCATTCTTCTTGGTTTTGTTTCTACTTATGGCTTACCATTCTCGTCAACTCATACGCCTAACCTTTTCAATTTTCCCGCTAAAGCAATATCGTGGGGTACTCACGTGCGAAGTGTTTCTATCGTTTTCTACTAGTACCTAAATCAGCTAATTTTGATCATAATATCATGACAGAGGTCGGCTTGGCTACTTCAGCAGATCAAATAGATGCCATCATTGCCAATGCCTCAGTTCCGTTCCACTACGTATCATTCTTCACCAGAACACTATGGTACGGTCTGTGGCTAATACTAGTATTGGTCAACTATGTGTTGGTAGTTTTGCCAAAACACCTTGTTAACATGCTTCAGAAGCAGTTTCTGGTGACGCTATCGCTTCTGCTGATTCTCATCTACTTGACAATCACTGCCTCGTTCTCGTACTACTTGGTCAGACACAAGTATCTCACTCGATATTCGGCAGACACGGCTCCTCCAACTTTGGATAAATCCAAGCTGAAATTCGACTTAGCACTTGACTATGACGCTGGTACACGCAAGAAGAGGGGTGCTGATCGTACCAAGAACTATTTGGATGAGTTTCTCAGTGCGATTAAAGTATTTGGGTACTTGGAAAGACCAGTTTTCCATGAGCTTACCAAGAACATGACCACTCAGAAACTCTCAGCCGGTGAGATTCTTTATCTCGACGAGCACTTGGGGTTTTCTATAGTAGTGGAAGGTACTGTCCAGGTTTACATCAAGATGAAAGATCGGCCCTCTTCTAAAGTGGAGTTCGACGGCACTGAAATGGATGACACACTCCACATAGGCGACCAACAGTACCAGCTACTCAATGAGGTGAAGAGTGGAGCAGCACTATCGTCACTATTGAGTGCTTTGGACCTCTTCCGTTCAAGATTCTCTGGTCTTAGCTCGCCAAAATTTAGTCCTGGAAACGGCGAGACACAGCTGCCTCTGCCCTTTAAACAGAGGAGCACTACATTGTACAAACGCACCAATGGATCTGCTCAAATCGATCCTTTGAGTTTGAATCACGAAGTTGATTCTGCAAAGCACGATTTAGCAAATTTACTCAATAGCAACTATGCACCTTCTCCGTCTCTAGGTGCAACGTTTCCTACTGAAGAGTCCGCCATTGCTACTCCAGACAATGAAACAAACATCCCACTCCTTGACTCAGCATCCGTTTACCTTCCCGAAATTGTTGCTCGTGCAAAACCAGATAAACATGGACGTACTACTGCGACCATTGCCATCATCCCTGGTCTGGCATTCCAGCGTGTTCAGTCAAAATACCCGAAGGCAACATCACATATCGTTACTATGGTACTCACAAGGTTATATAAGGTGACTATGAACACTGTCCATAACTACTTGGGTCTCACCACCGAGCTTGTCGAAAGTGAGATTACGCTTAATCAGAACAGCGAAGCTTTCAAGCTCCCTGGATACCTATATGACAGCGTTAAAGAAAGTATGAGAAAGGTGCGAGGAAAATCTTCTAGACCTGATCAAAGTAGCCAAGTTGATATATTATCCAAACCGACCAGAAGACCACAGAGAATGAACAGAGAAAATTCTTCCCGCTATGTTGCACTTGCCTCTCGTTCCAAGCCTACACATCCAGGAGACTTGTTATCATCGGTACCATTGTCTAGAAGAGCTGATTATGCATCAATGCAAGTTTCCGCGCACGATGAAGAGAGCCCCAACAGTGAAGCAATAGCTGCTCGCAAATTTCTCAGTAGACAAAAGCATAGCTTTACGACATTGCAGTCAAGACTGGATGGACAGGAGAATATTCGTGATCGGTCCTTCTCAGATGAATTGGAGGAAACTGAAGAATCTGCCCTACGTATTGCGATTGTGGAGAATTTCTTCAAGTTGCTCGGTATTGAAGATAATGCAAGGAACTTGAATGGCTTGGCTATGCTAAGTGGCCAATTCACGCCCAGTTCATCTCTTGTTGGCTTGTCAACATTGATGAATGACAACTCTATCCCAATCAGTGGAGAGAGATACGTTTATGACGCCGTTCCCGATGAAATGCGATTTGGGTCTTATCCTAGTTTAGGAGGACGGAGCTCATTTGGAAATTCACGTAAAGTTTACAACACAATCCACCAAACCTTACAACTTGACCCACCTGCTCCTGGCGGTCCTCTCAATTCCAAACCGAGTTCAGGTTCAGCAAATACTCCAGATTTTACTACTATAAAGAACAGTTTCAGCAAGTATGTTCAAGTCAAATACTACCCACCGAACTCGACATTAGTTGCTCAAGACTCTACCGATACTGGACTCTACTATGTGATCGATGGTAGCTTGGATGTTTCATTCTCGGCAATACAGGGTCCGGAAGATTCAAGAAAGTCGAATGTTACCAAGAAATTATATACCGTGAACTCTGGAGGTTTAGCCGGGTACCTTAGTTGTATCGTTGGCTTCAAGTCCATCGTATCCATAACGTCATCGAAAGAAGCTGGATGCATTGTTGGATACATATCCAAAAGCGACTTTACTAGGTTCATGGACAAATTCTACTTTTTGCAACTTCCTGTCGCCTCAAAGTTGAAAAGTTTGTTGCCTCAGTTGATCCGAACAATCGACTTTGCTCTCGAATGGTGTCATATACCCGCAGGCGGAGTGTTGTGCTCTCAAGGCGATTTGGCAAATGGATTCCACATTGTCTTGAGCGGTAGATTCAGGGTTGTGAGGTACAAAAGAAAACAGCCCTATGATAGTTCGTCTCTAAGTAATCTTATTGATGATTCTAATTCTCCTAAATCAGATGATTCGAAAGAGTACGAAATCTTAGGGGAATACGGCCATGGTCAGTCCATTGGTGAAGTGGAAGTGTTGACAGCATCTAGAAGAACAAATTCCTTGATTGCCGTTAGAGATTCGGAAACAGCAAGAATACCCAGAACCTTGTTTGAGATGCTTATTTTTCAGAATCCATCAATCATGGTAGAGGTATCGAGAATTGTTGCCCAGAGAGCAGTGGAAAGTCAGGAAAGCGAACGTTATGCAAACGCAGCGGCAACATTAACGTCTTCTAGAACCGCTGATATCAATAGCGATTACAAAACAATCACTATTCTTCCTAGTGTCAATGGGTTGCCCGTGAGAGAATTCGGAGAAAACTTGGTGAAGGCTCTAAAAGATATTGGAAGAAGTGTCATTGCATTGGATCAGGCAACTTCATTAACTCACCTTGGAAGAAATGCGTTTGATGATAGGCTTGCTAGATTAAAGCTCTCAGGCTTTTTTGCATATATGGAAGAAAAGTACGAAACAGTGGTTTATATCTGCGATACACCATTGAAATCAAACTGGACTTCTACCTGTATCTCTCAAGGTGATTGCATTTTGTTATTGGCAGATGCTGAAGATGATGAATGTGCAACTTCAGTCGGCGAGTTCGAACGTTTACTTATCAAGTCCCGTACAACAGCAAGAACTGATTTATGTTTGATACATCCTGAAAAGTCCGTTCATCCGGGTTCAACTAGTATTTGGTTAAAAAACAGAATTTGGGTACATGGCCACCACCACATCCAAATGGAAATCCCCAAAGATGAAGCAATCAAGAACTCCAAAAAGAAGACGAATATCCTAGCAGAGATTGCTATGAGGTTAGCAAGTAAAGCCAATCCAAATATCAAAATGAAGTTTGAAAGTGTGAGGTCTAGAGCTGTCAATTCTTTGATCAGACTCAACGCCAAAGTGAACAGATCAGAATCTGTCCCTATGGTGTACAAGAACGACTTTTTGAGATTGGCTCGACTTTTATCCAACGAGGGTGTAGGCCTCGTTCTTGGCGGAGGTGGATCGCGTGGTATATCGCATGTTGGAGTCGTGACAGCACTAGAGAAGCATGGAATCCCCGTGGATCTTGTTGGTGGAACTTCCATTGGATCATTTGTTGGTGGTCTATACGCTAGAGAACACAACATCGTTACAATTTACGGAAAGACTAAGATTTTTTCAAGAAGAATTGGATCTCTCTGGAGATCAATTTTTGATCTAACTTATCCTGTTACCTCGTATATCACAGGCTATGAATTCAATCGGGGTATATGGAAACTGTTCGGTTACACCGAGATCGAGGATTTTTGGCTTAAGTACTTTTGCAACTCCACGAATATCACAAACTCGACAATGGAAATCCATGAGACGGGTTACGCATGGAGGTTTATCAGAGCGTCGATGTCGTTGGCTGGCTTACTTCCCCCTATCACATTCAAGGGAAGCATGTTATTGGATGGAGGCTATTTGGATAATCTTCCAGTTCTTGAAATGAAAAACCGTGGCGCCAAATATATCATAGCTGTTGATGTCGGATCTGTCGATGACAGAACTCCAATGAACTATGGTGACACACTATCTGGATTTTGGGTCCTATTCAACAGGATAAATCCATTTTCAAAACATCCAAACCCACCAAATATGATGGATATTCAACTAAGATTAGCATATGTTGCAAGTGTAAATGCACTTGCTCTAGCGAAGAGGACACCCGGTGTTATTTATCTCCGCCCTCCGATCGATGACTACGCAACTCTCGATTTCCTCAAGTTCGACGAAATTTTCAATGTTGGATTGGCATACGCTGATGAACTTTTGACTAAATGGGAGACCGAAGATAAATTGCCAAAAATCGCTGGAATGGATGGCTTGCATCTGCAACGAGGAACCAGCAGAAAGAAAATACACCGCAGAAACTCCATATAATACATAATATAAAGTGGTTATAATTCTATTGCTACCTTTATTATCCTTCCCAATTAAACCTCATCATCATCAGCTTTGTGTACAGCTTTCAAGGTATTGTAAAATTTGATCACATCAAGATGCGCCCTGACCCTTTCCTTACGGAAGTTAATCACCTGTAATCCATCTCTAGATACCGCTCTAGATAATGCAACGTATGCTTGTCCGTTTTCAAAAATTCGGGATAGGTCAATTTTGACCATTTGCAAAGTTTGACCTTGCGATTTGTGAATAGACAAGGCCCATGCAAGCATCAAGGGTAGTTGAACGCGCGAAACCAACACCTCACCAGTATGTTCATCATTGATTTCCCAAACTTCCGGCTCAACAACAACATCTCTCGTGGTTACTCCATCAGGATTTAAAAACCTGACCAATGGGTACTTTTGCCCGTTACTTGATTCTTCAAGCTTCTTGAGAAACTCCAATTTACGAGCAGCATTATCTGTGAAGGCTTGATCTTTCAGTTTAGCTTCATGCGACACATCTGAATCAACTTTACAATCCTCAGCGCTTGCGCTACTTGTCGAACTGGACTTCTCTGTTTTAGTTTCGTTGAAGAACTCAAAGACGTGATCCAACAACGGCTTATCCTTGGATGGATCCGAGTACAGGTATTCCGGTGTCAGCAAAAACTCCAGAGAATCAGAGGCATTCACCCTTTCCATAGCAGACTGGCTCATTCTCTCTAATGTTTCTTCATCAGCGTCGGGATTAGCCTTCGCCAATTTGACTTTCACTTGCCTCTTAGCCAACTCCTTCTTCAACTGTTCAAGTGAAATATTTGGATTCTCGGCCATGACCATCTCGCACATATAAGTGTCACGATCAACAAATTTTACAACTTGTCCGAGTGATCCATTGACAAGTTGACTGTCGAAATTCTTGATACACATGACCTGAGCCTTTTCCTTCAAAAAGAGCTTTTGAGGAGCCAAAAAGTTGCCGAGCATTTGTGATTTTGCAAGAGGCGGAAGCGAGCCTCCATCCCTAGCCTCGTAAACTTGAGCACTTCCTGTTAAGTTGCTCAATTTGAAATTATTGGCTCTCTCGACTTCAAATCGTGTGGCATACAACTCTGTGGGAACAATTCCGGTAGGACAATGCAATGGACGTGAGAGACGCAAGAATTCACGCTCTGTTTCGCCACTGACATATCCCATTCTCATCTCGTTCAACATATCAACGAACTTCTGATCACCTTTTTGACGGAAAACTTCTTGAAGTACAATTTTCGAGTGTAGGGCAGTCTGCCACGTATCACTTTGAAAAGCAAAAGCCATGTCCTCTCTTTCCTCCGAGCCATCAGGATGTATCTTCGCTTTGCTGACTGGGGGAAGTTGATAAAAGTCACCACAGATGATGAGCTGAATTCCTCCGAAGGGTAGGTGCTGTTTTTTCCGAATTCTTCGAGCTATCCAGTCAAGCTTATCCAAAAGTTGACCATCGATCATGGATATCTCATCAATAATCAAAACTCTAGTCGCATTCCAGCGGTTGACAGCCTTTCTGTTCTTTCTCACGACTTTCAAGAGGTCCTTGAGATCTCCTTTACCAAGACCAATTCCGGAGAAGCTGTGGACGGTGGTACCTCCTATATTGCAAGCGGCCAAGCCAGTCGAGGCAGTCACAGACACACTACCAGGATCAAACTTTCCTTTGAGCTGTTTGATAATCGCTTTTAGGAGCACAGATTTGCCAGTACCGGCAGAACCCGTGAAGAAAATCGACTTTCCTTGTAGTGCCAATTGTAGCACATGCTCTTGCTCGGCAGAGAGAATAATTGGCCTGACAACCTTTTGTTCTGGATTCAGTAACGCATCATGATCTTCAGACATGAGTGGTTTCTGAGTCGCAAGCTGGATGGTAGGATTTGGAAGAGATGACCTTTTGGTATTCACCGACAACCTTGCCACATCAATCTCATCCTTGAGTGGGACACTCGTGTGAAGTTCACGAATGGCAACAGAACCAGTCACTTTGGGACGCTTGAACTCACGCGTTGGTGAGCTACTCGGAGACAGCAGCATGGGAACGAAAAGACTCTGAGAAGCATTTTCTTTCAATGGTGGCATCGGAGATTTTATTAAATGTTGATTGGGATTCACATGTGGGGGTTTGACAGGAGAGTCAGGCGTTAGCCTGTCCAGCAAAGTCCATGCTGTTCGAGAGTTCACCAGATTCACCAGATTTGACGTGACTGGGAGAGCTGTCGACGGCTCAGGTTTTATTTCCTCCCGATTCCAAGCTTGTGTTAGGTCTATAATCTCACTTTTCACTGTATTCACCTTTTGTGGCAGAAGGGGCATTAAACTCGTACCCTGATATGTTCGACTTGGCGTTGAACATTCTAAAGCAACATTTCCAACCTCCTTTTTCATTTGCACCGGACTGTTCATGATGCCTACAAGATCATCTGGGTCAAACGGGTCATCGCTATCTGAAAGAACTTCAATAGCAGTGTAGCTTTCTTGATCGGAAAACGAGTCGTTAAAAGACGATAAGTCGACATATTGCAACTGTTTCAAGGCTTCATCTGAAGGGGCTAGGTATTTGTAGGTATCATGAACTGAGATGAATCTGGACATTACCATTGGAGCTGGGGTAGTTTGGTAACAGCGAGTAAACAGAGAGCACAAGATTTTGGACGATATTCTAATCATATATTTCTGCTGCTGAACTGTGGATCATGTGGCTGTTAGGAAGGTAAAAAATGGCTCGAGAATGGTACTTGTTGTTGCAGATAAGACGTGTGAGACTTGTGTAGGATGGAAATCACTGAAGAGAGGATTATGGTAGAAAATGAGGGAGAAGGTGAGGACAGACAAATGAAAACGAATATAGGAGAGTTGGAGAGATAAAGAGAATATGAGAAATATGTACGGGTATAACGAAGATTCAAATTTGGAAAAATATGGAAATTTAAAGGACGGTATTGGAAGTATTATGAAGTCAAACTGTGAAGATTGTGTCATGTGCATGTAGAACCATACTCTTGTATTACTTAAAAATTCATTTCATGAAGTTTCTATTGTATGTATTGCAATTGGCTAGAGGAAATGTAGAAGGCCCCAATGTCCGGAGAGGATTTGGATATATGATGGGCATTGTGACCGACTTTTTATGTTGCGAACTGTGATCTAAAATGGGCAAATCTGTTACGCAAATAGATCAATAAGATGAGTCTCTTACTTCATTGAAAAGAGATAGATCAATCAACAACATTTAAATTCCGGTCTTCCTTAGACTGTACCTGTGAAGCTTTTAGACCAACCCGGTCTTGATGTGATTCGTGGTATTCGTTCTGAGTTCCTTCTCAAAGAACATCATTACTATTTCATCAATAATTCCACTGTGAACTTTTGGAGACAAAACCAAAAAAGAAAAGAAACTTTCTGATCTTTATTTCTTCATTGCTATCCTTTTTTTTGATCTCCTTACTTTCTTCGATTCATTAAACTAACATCAGTATCTTCTTCTCGTTAGTTCGTACCTCACTCAATATGATCTCTAACTCAGACTCTTTTCCAATCACAGTTCAAAAAATAAAAAAATAAAAGCACAACCAAACCGCTCAATCACGTAAACTACTTTATCTCTTACCTCCTCCTCACCCAGGATTCCCAATGGACTCGTTGGTTGCAAAATCCTCCAGACTGCGTGCACACCACTTGTGCTGAAGTGTATATTGACCAAATCACACCCACCTATCTCCATCATCACCATGTCAGCACTAGAGGAAGATGAGGCGGTGTTGTTTGTTGCTACAGCTACCGCATTAGTGCGTCACCCCAAGAGCTTTCTTCGTATTTTATCCAAAGTGGTGCCTCTAGCAATTACTGACCAATTACCCTTCACATCACTGACCAATTTGTTAAGGTTGCTTCTCTCGTACACAAGTGCCGTGTCTACACCTATCGGCGACATTGCGACCATTGCTGGTGAGCTCACAGAATCTGCTTCTCTGAATACCTTGGATGAACAGGATCTCCTCACTGATGTCGAGGATGTTCTGAATTGGGTTATGAATGAGTATAACATAGTTCTCCACGAGCCATTAGGCGCAATTGTGCAGACTGCCAGAGATCTAGTAGTTGAACTGGCTGTGAAGGCTAAGAAGTTGGGATTCACTCCATCTGACTCGGATTCTCCCACTGACATCTTGCTATCTTTCGTCAAAGCGAAGACGCTAGAGTTGTCACTATACTATAACGACGTGCAAACCTTCCATCCTCTATTTCTGCTTCTTCAAGGTGATGAAAAATTCTCTAGCTGGTATAATGGTGTGGTGGCACCTTATCACTATTTCTGGCTGAATTTTGCCTCTTTAGATGAGTCAGAAGAGACGACTGATCACTTCTTAGCCATGAAGTCGTACTGGGATCAGTTTGATATCCTCATTGCCCCACTTGATAATCAAGAGTTGTTTTTCACCGATAAGCTAACGCCAGAGCGCTACTTGACTAATGTCATCCTCCCCTTTGCTGTTTACCATGACAACAACTTGCAATCATTGACCACTTGGATGTTCAACAAGCATCCACCTAGAAAGCCTTTGCATGAATTCCAGTTGTGGGATAAATGCATTAAGATCACTTTAAACTTTGTGGATTATAGGGGCCATCAGTTCCCTGACTCGGCCTATTCTGAGCTTGTTAGAGATTACCTTGCCGCCTGTATCTATTTTGGCTTATACAGACAAGAGGAAGTAACACCGCTTGAACAGTCAAAGATCTATGATCAGATTCTCGCATCTGCCAATTCAATGATTGCTATCTTGAAAATCGGAAATGTCGACCCTGTTCAAATGACCGAAGGAATCGATTTTGATAACCTTCCAAAATTCGATATGTTTTCCGATTTTGTCAAAGATCCCACCAATCCATTTTCATTCCTCTTTTCATCTTCTGTTCCACAGTGCCTTGTGACTTTACAACACTACATCAGAATTTGCAGCGAACTCTTTCCCGTTAGTCAACTAACTATTAAGGATTACTGGAAGTTGAAGAGCTCACAAACGGTCGACTTTTCGGCAAGGCAGAGAGCGGTTAGCCAGATATTAACCCAGTTGGATGAGACAAATTATCAAAAAATCATTAATACGGTGATTCTCTTCTCACAAGCATTTGCATCTGACGAAATTGCGGAGCAAAGAGAAATTGACCAAATGGTGTTCGAGCGCTTGTTGAACGTGAATCTCCTATCGTATGTTGTTGACTTCTATCAAAGTAAGGAAGGCGATCTTCAAATGTCTGCTAAGACGGTTTTCAAATTCACAATGACAAAGTTCTGGGATCTTTTTGACAATGCCGCCAGTCTTGATGAACGGATAGGCAAACTCAAATCAGCTAATCAATGTGTTGAAATCTTGAATGCGGTGGCATCCAGTGGCGGGTTGGATACTGAGCAGTCCAATGACCTCGCTCGAATTAAGCACTTACTAAATGCATTGCTGAAATTGAAAAACTTCAGGCTTGTGCTCGAGCGGAACCAGCCAGTGACTCCTAATCAGGTTGTGTCGAAGATCAAAAGACAGAGTACTGACGATATATACTCGCCTATTGCACTCATATCTACCGTTCTAGAACAGAACCCGAAGGCGTACTTTGCGTTTGAGAAACTCTACAAAATCGCATCAGACCTCGCTATCTATTTGGAACTTGAAATAACTGAAGATTATCTTCCAAAAGTTCAGTCTGCATGTATCGAGTCTTCTCTTGTTGACGGAAATTTTGATTTTGCTTATAAGCATTCAAAGAATCTTTTCGATTACTACGTGGGTAGGAGCCATGGTGAGAAACTAAATGAGTTCTGGCTTACGTTCTATCAAGTTGGAAAGTACATCTCGCCAGAATGGCACAATGAGTATGATGAGAAGGTGGAAAAAGAGAAGATTTCCGTGTTGTTTAAGCAGAGAGAAATCTTATCCTTAACATTGAAGCTTGCGAAGCCCACTACGTCAACGGTGGACAACAGTCGGTTGATCATAGGACAATTGAGACATATCAATCGAGAAATTAACGCCTGGTATGCCGATAACGACAGCCGTCGTGGGGATAATGTTCAGAGAGCTGCTCAATCTACGCATGCTCAGCTCCAAGATAACATCAACGGTTTGTTGAGTGAGGCTGCGAGCACTGCTGCACAGTCTAAGAACCAAGCCAGTAAGAAAATCTCCAAGCTTCTTGTTTCCGGTTTGGGATGGGCAATTGGAGCACAAGAGGGCGATATTGAGCGTAAGTAGAATAGTGCATTTTATAAATTTGTATAGTAACTGAAAAGTTCCAAGCATGTTGTATTCGAAGTATTGGTCGTGCCGTAGTAACAATGTGAGTATTCAACCTCACCTTACAACACCTTCATTCACAGATTTCAAATTTATACGCTATATGTCGGTATCGAAGCAACAGCAGGAGATCATAGATAATGTGGTGTCGAGCTTTCTAAAGACTAACGATACCCTAGCGAAACAGTACTTGAAGCTCAGACAGAATGTGGTCAATCTATCATCGAAGATCACGAGCGAAATTACAACCAGCGGAAAAATCAACGCAGAACTACTATTTGAACTCAAGAAATTGGACGTTGAATCGTCCCAGGTATCCCAAGCTTACGATATTTATTTGACTAGATTAGTGGATACCCTTAAGTATGCAGAAACCTACAAACCGCTGTATTTACTGAAATTGGAGCAGCAGTACGTTGCATTAACGGACGCAAAGGATAGCTTTACCACAAACATTGCAATAATAAGAGATCAAAGCAAACCCGTTGTCGAAAAGATGGCTAAAATCGTCGCTTCTTTTGACAAGGGTATCTCTTACAAACCTGGAAGTAGAGTACGGGGAGCAGACATTCTCACTGGAAAATCCAGCAATCCTAACCCAGACAGCACACTTATTGACTATGCCTCCACTGTCTTCGAAAAAAAGACATTCGAAGAAATGTTTGTTGATGTAGATAAGAAACTTCGACAACTAAGAACAGTTGATGAAATCAACGATGAAAGTTCAGAGGCGAAGTCAAACGAGCCAGCACCTTCGATCAACATCGGCAAATACTTGGATGAAACGCTTCAAAACAACAGAGCATACTTGAGACTCTCGGACTCGAAATATTCGTACGACATCACTCGGACCACCAGTGTTAACGTAGGAAGCACTTCGATGAGCTTGGACGACTGTAATACTGCTATTGAGAGCCTCATTAAGGAGATCCAGGGTTTGGTTGAAGGAGGAGCTCTGGCCAAGGAGAGATGGATGAGCAATGCCAGAAAGCTTGAGGTTGTTCAAACTGTGTTACAAAGTCTCGAGGAGACAGAAATGGAGGTCGATGGCTAGATGATGAATCCAGGCAATTTAAAACTTCCACAATATATACTCGCAGCCTTCACCCATAATCTACATAGCATAGTACACATAGCATTTCATGAGCGTTTATTATACATTGGGACATGTCCCCATCTAACACTATTACTCGTCCACCGGGCTGATCAAGATAACCGAGTCACCTCTCACAAACACCATTTCGGTCTTCTTGACCACGGTATCCTCCTCCTTCTCGCCGTAGATGGTCTCTTCTGCATCGCTCAACACCATGTTACAGTGAGAGTCATAACCTTGTAACTTTCCCTTCATTTCACGTGCACCTCTCAATTTGACAAGAACAAACTCATCTAGTTGGTATCTGATGAGATCAAGAGGCTCCTCTTGCTGAGCAGCGGTCTGAACACTGGACATGGGAAATATAGTAGTATGTAGTTGGAGAGGTGTAGGTGAGTGGAAAAGGTTGGGTGTGCAGGACCGATATCAGAATCGTTCATTGAAGATGATGAATTTATGTTATCCTAGGCAATTAGAGTACTTGAATAGATAATTCTTCTAGAGAGAATTCCTGGTAAATCCAATAAGACTCCTTACTTTTTCTTCTCTCAGAATTGAATGCTATATATTTCTTGTCAATACCTTTAGCTATAGAGTGAGCGGTGGGACGAGTCCCATAATCCCATTTAACTCATAATGTTCTCTTTCCATCTTCAAAAGTACTAAGTTCTCTCTGAACCTTTCTATTTTCAATCTGCACTTCTTTATTTGGCAATCTCCCACTCTTTTCTCCATTCCTAATCAGTGTTGATGGTGCACGTGACCTAACAGAGTACATAGTCAAAAAATTTTCGTGAATGAACCAACTCAATACACCATGTCGTACTTGCGGACGTTCCAGAGGGCATTCCTGGTGGCTTCCCGCTCGCTTGAGAGGACCAAGCCCCTCAAGTTTGCTGACATTAAGTCCATCAAGTTGAGGGCCCCCATCGTGCCTACTCACAAGAACTTTGATGTTTCTCCAGACCATCCATTATGGGCATTTTTCCCTGAAGGAAGCAACTCCGAGACATGTTTCAGAGAGCCAGAAGAGGTCAGCTCTGATTCACGTGCTTGGACTATGACCGAGTTGCGCAGAAAGTCGTTTGACGACTTGCACAGATTGTGGTACTTGATATTGAAGGAAAGAAACATCTTGGCCAGAGAAGTCAGATTGGCTCAGTCCATTGACTTCATGAACCTTACCAGATACGATGATATGGATGGCAGATTAAAGTTGACCCAGAAGAGAATCAAGCAGACGCTATTGGAGAGACAGGTTGCCTATGAGAGAGCTCAATTATTGTCTGAAGAACAGCAGGAGTATTTGCAGAGCTTCAAGGAAAAATACATAGATGCTGATGAGACGTCTATTGGTACTTTTAATGACAAACTCGTGCGTTTGCAATATGCTTTATTTGGTATCGAACCCAACTTGTTGGAATGCAATTTGGAGGAGGACATCAACGTTAAATTCGTTGAGGGTCTCAACTACGTGGCCAACTTGAAGTTGGAACGACACTTGAAAGATTTCCCTGAAGCCTTGGAGTTGCCTTTGAAGGGTGTCATGGAGGAGTTGCCATTTTTGTTGCGCGATGTTGAGGAGGCCATTGAAGAGATTAAAGCTATGAGAGAAGCTGGCCACAGCGTCAAGCTCGACAAGATCGATGTGTTCCCGTTCTTAAGAAATGCATTGCAGGCTGCCAAGGACAGCATGACTGCCGAGGCTACTGAGGAAAATTAAATATCATGTACATATAGAAGTTGGAGCCTTCCATTTCACAATATAAGGAAGAAGTATATAAGATAACCGAGAACAACAGGTAATTAATAAAAAATAAAAGAAAACATTCAACGCCACATTCATCCGTTACCACAGCTGGTACTGCTCGAATAACTCGATCCTTGCGTTGGGATGTGAATTCAAGTACTGCTGGACTCCAACCCTGGCACTGTCAACCATACCTGGAGGTCCACATGTGGCTACACCAAGTGATTGAGTCCCAGCAATTTCCATCTCTTGCTCAATCAACTCGTACATATCTGGCCTTCCCTCAAAGAACTGAATGAAAGAGAGCAGTTCCTTCAAGCTAGAAACCAGAGAAATAATGGAAGGTGTTGTACGGAACGACGAGTCCAGCAGATTGATTTCCTTCTCAACAACACAACTCAAGTTTGTGCTAGCACCGCGAGTCACGTATATATTCACCTCCACACTCAGAGCTTCAAGTGCCTTTAACTCGTTAAAAAACCACGAAATCGAGCAATAGTCACGAATGGTCCAGATCAACTTCACATGCTTGCTCGATTTTGACATTTCTCTGGCTCCAGCATACATGCCTGTGATTCCATTCCCTGAAGAGAGGAAAGTGAGTCTGTCCATAGTATGCAAAGGCATTCTCTCGAAATATGGACCCTCCAAGCTGACTTTTATGGTCATTTGGCGGTTTGGTTGATCCAAGAGCTTCTTGTACAATCCATGGGTCATGCCTCCCTTAATTTTAGCATACAAACACACGGTGTTCTCTTCAATGGGGCTGTCAACCATACAGAATGGATGAGATTGCCAAAAAGCAGTTGGTGTGAAGAAATGGACAAAACCATGGCTTCCAGCATGTGGAACCCACCATGATGGTCTATGGATGGTAACTCTAATAGTTTCCTCAGCCTTGAGTTCAATGGTAGCATCTCTGATGCCGAACAGAGCAACTCTAATGATTCTCACCAATGCATTGTAACCCCATACACCAACTGCTGCTATGAAGAAACCTTGAAGCTCATGGTGTTCGACATGCTTCCAGCCTCCTCCAATAAAGAGGATTGCAAAAATGTAATGAATCAAGAGGAACAATTCATACCTGTTACGACGGAACCAGATAAGAGAAAATAACATGAGATACCCGGAAGCAACAACAGCAATAATACCAGCGACCATGTATCCAGAGTATAAGTACAGTGGGAATTCACCATATTTCTTGATAGTGACAGTTTTTGCCCCGACATGAACCATCAAGAGCAAAAATGAGACTCTGGCAACCCATCTGTGGAAAATAAGAAACCTTGAGAACTGCCAGCCAGTTATGAACTGTAAGAAGTTATTTCTACCTCCAAAAAGAATCAAAACTGGAAGAGTGTAGGTCACCAATACTCCGCTTCTATCACCAATGTTTTGCGAAACAAAAACCAAGCCATGAGAGATGTTTGCACCGCAGAAAACGGCAGCAAGAACAAAGTAGCCAAATAGAAGTATGGCCTCAAACCTTAAGGGCACCAACCATTCAAAGCTTCCGCATTTCATGGTATCGAAGTGGTGGCTTCTTAATAATGGAGGGACAACCAAGTATCTTCTAATGAGACTAACTGGTTTGGAGAAAAAGAGCATGGTAGCAGTCTTGGGGAAAATGAAACGACTCCAGTTACAGATGCCTGCAATAATACAAACCACGAACCAGTACAGTGTCAATGCTGTTGAAAAGTACACCAGGTAGTTGGCACTAAGTCCATCCTTATAGATACCTTCAGCTACAGCGGAGATTTCAGCAGAAGGGAACAGGAGTGGAAGTGTCAGAGAAAGAACTCCAGCATTCAGTAACAGAGAGCTAACTGCAAAATTTGTAGCATTGGTGTACGATCTTTTGAATTCGAAAGTGGAGATGTCGCTTCCTACCATTGCACACTTTTGTAAGAAACTGTGGATGTATCTATCACCATAATCGTTGATGCACAAAGCGATTGATCCAAAGAATGGAGCATTGGATGTATCACAATATGTCGAATAGTCAGCGTCGTACGAGTGTGGATTAGCTTTCCTCATATGGAGAGTGGCACATGCCTCATAGACAGAGTCTACTCTCTTATGTATGTGGATGGATAAAGCCTGAGACCAGAGGGAGCAAAAGGCCACAATATGCCAAAGTGTAAAGTGCATGGTTATGGCAAGAGGATGCTACTGATTCTTTGAGGAAATTGCTTCATATTTATATTTTGATAGTCAGAGGCCGAGTGTAAAAATTCTCTGGGTGCAAATGAAACATAGATGCATAGTCCCAGCAATGTTCACGCAGGAAAGGAAAGACAATTACGTCTTGGTTTGCAGTATTCTAGATTGAGTTGTTGAAGTAGGCAATGCCGCGCGGCAACGTGGTGCTGACAATCAATAAAGGAGATTTGGGGAGACAGAAATTGGGGACTGAAGCAGGAGATCAAGCTTAGTTCTTCCCTCAACTTACGATTTATGTTCTCAACGTATTGATATTCTCACGACTACGAAAATCCAGAAAAATGAAAAAAAGTTAAACAGAGGTTTCAATCTTTCCAATTCATTGGTTGTTGGGTATTCAGCTGGTCCATATTTTCTTCACGCAGCTCCGTTTGTACTTGCCTGAGATGGAGCCGGCATTTACATATCAGGGGGATCATCCTGTATGTCGGTGTTTAAATTCAGCGACACACTGCCTTGCATTGCATGAGGGAGGTTGACGTTTTGGTGAGTCTTACACGAAATCATATATATGTCAACGCCTGACTAAAGCGGGAACAAGTTTTGCCTATATGATCTTCTTCTGTCGACATGTTGGATAATCACGAGAATATGCCAAGGTAATGTCGGTATTTCAAAAGTCCAGATTGATACCATGCATAGTCGCTCATAATTCACTGATTTCCCGCCAAAAGACACTCCTTGTATGCTTGCTGGGTGCACTTGCCAGATTCTAGTACTCGTGCGTCTATATATTCAGAATTAAATTTGGCATGCATTCTGGGGTACACTCGGTCATCATGTGTCAAACGAAATAAATGAGGGCAGTGCTATTGGCTCCACGTACTTCTTTGACGGGCTTCTTTTTGGTTGCCTTCTGGAATTTTGCTAATGTGGTATGTTCCATCGGGTAGTGATCTACCTCGCAGAGAAGTGCCAAAGCCACGGTCGTCGCCAGAGGCTGAATTATTTGCTAACTTCTAGACTTTCGGAATTCTATGAAGAAAGGCTGAGTGTAAAGTTGCTACTAAAAGCCGCGGCTGATTTAAGGACAGTTTGCGTCCATTCAGTGCAAGGGGGCTGTATCTTATGGTTATGGTATAATGGGCTTAACCATCTTATTTTTTTGACTTAGCTGTCTTAGGCAATGTACCTTCATCTTGGCCCTCATATGCATTCAATACCATACTGATTCATCATTTCTTGTGGTTTCTAAGACTCTTCAAATCATTAGTCAGAGCCCAGATTTCTTGGCTGGGTTGTTCTAGAGGGCCGGATTTCTTGTCGATTGTGGCTATTGTCTGTGTCTGAGCCCCACTACCTAAGCTACCTCTTCACCTGTTCCACCTGCTTCACCCAATCATGAGTGCGCACTACCTTCTCCCTACACACAAGTTGTTCACCACCAACTAACATACCCTACATACCATCATGGGAAATAGAATCCAGGGATTTCTTGCTGGTGTGGCATTGACCTCCAGTATAGTACTTGCGACCAGCGGACGTATTCAGGCCACGCTGTTGACGGCCGCGGGAATCATCAGAGACACTGACTCTATCATCAACAACCGCATTCTTACCGACAGAGACTCCCAATTGGTGCCATTGCCAGTCAATAAGAGAGTGTCAGCAACATATAGACCATCTGTTTGGGAGACCAGTAAGGATATTTGGAACGAAGAGATCATAAAGGTGGCCAACTGGTTGTACTCCATCAACTGGTACCAGTGGGGGTTAGAGGCTGACCGTAAGATCAATACGTTGACAGATAAAGTGGTGCAAATGGCGGTGGAAAAAAAGAATTAACCTAGATAATGCATGTGATACGTTCTGAAGTGTAGAATTTGGTATTAAAGGTTGTTGTCATTTGATAGCAGCGCCATGTCTAATTTGACTGCTTACTCAAAGAGGTTCATCTTCTCATTTCTCCTTCTCTTCTCTTTCTCTATTCTGCTTCTTCCATATTTCCGTTATTTCGTTTTTGTTTGCTCTCTCGTCGAATCTTTCTTGCCGGCGTAGAACTTCTTCACATCCAAATACACAACGTAGTTGGCAACAGGTGCAACAATCAGAAAAATCAACGAAACGAGGACCTGGAAAAAGCCCCAGTATCTAGGGTTCACGCCTAGAACCAGACTGGCAAGCACCCACCCGATGAAGTCGGTGTAGACGGAATCATAACCTTTGCTGAGCTTGTCCAACACCATGTCACAACATTCGAGCGACAGGATGGGTTTGCTCGGACCCTCGATGGTTTTGGTAATCTCTGGCTTAGTGAGCTGCTCCTCGGCATACCCTTCACTCTCAAAGTTGCCCGGAAACACGCACGATACTCGGTAGTTGAATGGACCCAACTCTTGTCTCAATATTATGGAAAGGGAAGTGATGGCTGCCTTAGATGGCGCATACTGGGCATATCCAATGAAAGGATATGATGCTACCGTGGAAGAAAATAACACAAGGTGACGTTTCTTATGTTGTTCGGGTCTCAACTTCTCATATTTGGCCAAGACTGCCTTGTGTCCAGCATGTACCGTGTTGATGGCCGTGTTATAGTTGATATTCATTCCATTGGATAATTCTTTACCGGTAAGATCACCAAAGAGCTTTGGAATAGACGAACCAGCACAACAGAAGACAAAGTCTGGATCAATATCTCTCTCCATCAACTTACTCCACATGACGACGGTCAGTTCATAGTCCGCTGCATCACATACGTAGTATTCAATAGACGATTCACTCTTTGAGTTGGCCTTTTCACCGGCTCTCTGCACAATTCTGGCCACCTGCTGCTTCAACTTGGATTCCGTCCGTGCTACTAAAATGACACTGCATTCTTGTTCGTAGAGTCTGAGAGCAATGTCTGCACCCACACCCTGAGAAGCACCCAATATGAGTGCTGTTTTACCTGCGGGCTTGAGATGAGATTTGGACCACCACATTACGGAGTTGGGTGGATAAGTGTAGAGAATTAGAGTGTAGAAGATACGCGGACTGATGTGCACTCATACCCAAGGTTTCCAATTTATTTGAACAAGTTCTCTTCCAAAACCTTTTGTTTCCTTCGATTCCATTGAGATACCTGATAGTTCTCTTACCGTTCCATTACAAATTTCTTCTACATCGTCTCTCTTCTCACCTCATGCTATGCTATGTACAAAATCTCCTTAAGCCAAAAATGGCGATTTGGGCACTACACCCTCTGGCTTGGCCCCTCTAGGCTTCACCGGAAGCTTCTTGGATGCACCATACGTGGTGTTGCCCTTGTGGAACTTCAACTGTGGAGGCAAGTTCTGTAAGTTCTTTTCTACCTCCTGGTTGGTGACGGCTCCGGTTTCCGGGTCCACCTTGAAGAAAACCGTCTTTGCCTCCTCAACAGCGTCTCTGAACCTCTGCTCGCCATTCTCTCTGTACCGCGTCAACTTATCAACGTTGTGCTGCGTCAACGCATCCACTTGCAACTTTTGCAACTCCAACCGTGCAACGATCTTCGCCGTGTACCAGAACTTGATCTCAAATTCTGTGTCTACCAACTCTAACACTGACATTGGAGCCTTATCCTCGCCCAATCTGGGCTCCAACTTGATGATTCTGGTGAATCCATGTGTTCTATCCGGATATCTCTTGCTCAACTCCTCGATCACCTTAGTACCCACCTCTCTCTTGTCTGGAGGCTGCAAGTAGTTGAGAGCCTTATTGGCCAAAAATCTTTCAGCTAATGGCTGGTCTTGCAACTTTCTGTTTTCGTGTAAAGCTTTAGCCAAAAACCGTTCAGCTTTGGCTTGTGCTCTTTTGGCCTTGGTTCTGCCTGTCACTATGTACTCATGGCGGATAAGATTGGCACACAAGTTCTTGTTCATCAGCTTGACGTGGCGCACCACGTTGGCGTCAAACTTTTTCAACGAAGGCATTGGTTGAAGGTCACTACAGTATGATTTTCGTAACAGGTTAAAGGTTTTTCGTGGTCGTGTGCACACCAGTATTGGAGGATTTAACGGATAGGGATGAAAGCTATGGATCATTGATCTACCGATTTTCAAACGAGATTTCTTATTAGAATAACAACTACTCATCTATTGTCACCTTGCTATTCACTGGTGCTATTTATTTCTTTCCACTCTTCTTGATTCCTCCGCCAACCATTGGACCTCCCTTCTTGGCCTTCTCAGCCATGGCCTTCTTAGCTGCAGCGTCGGCCTTTTGCTTGGCCTTAAAAGCCACATCCTCGTCATCGAAGTCCTGAGTTTTCTTCTTTGGAGCCTTCAAAGGCTTAGCCTTTCCACCTTGACGTCCCGACATAATGTAGTATAAAGATGCTCACATTTTTTTGATCAAAGATTGATGTATGTACAGGCAGGACGATGGAGAGAGTGATTGAAGAAATTACGAGTGAAGAATATAATACATACAAACGGTTGTTAGATGTTCGAATTGCTTGTAGATGGTGAATGTGAAGTGTTAATTAATTTTTTTTTTTAGAATGAGCTATGAGGACATAAGTGTGGAACATTCTACTCAATCATCAAGGTAGGAGATAACAAATGGACGGTATTGGTTGCTGATATTCACCAAACGTTAATGAATTTCGTGAATTAGAGCATCTTGAATTCATGGAAGTTTCATTTATCTGTAAATTTCTGTAAAGCTCAAGGTAGGTATTCGTGCTTTCCAGATCTACTAGGCAAAGTACTTCACCATTCTATTGAGTGATTATTTTTCTATCTTGTCAAAACTTATCATAATCATAGCGACATATCAAGGACCGCTTATAATTTGTAGCAATTTATATATGCTAATGAGTATTTTGCAATACAGACATTGTCTTTGGAATCTCATTTGATGACTCTAATTCCAGGCTCACTGAAACTAGCAGGACACCCGATACCCCATATTTTCCTCACTCTCAAACTGAAATTGAAAAAAAAAAAAAATTCTCTTCTCCTCTTAATTTCTTACCCAGTACCATTCTCCTACCCCCTTCTCCCCTATGCATTGTCCTTTCCTTGCTCCTTGTTCCTTGTTCCTTGTTCCTTGTCCCGTCCCTTTTTCTCCATTCCTACACCCGTACCCCCAATCTGGGACCCCACCTAAACCTCGACTTAGCCTACCTTCACTACCCCAATGGCAATTCTAACTACACCCGACAAGGAAAAAGTCAAGCGGGCGATCCCAAAAGCGTCTAACAAAGTAATTGACGCCACTATCGCCCGCCTCTACATAGCCTACCCAGACCCAACTCAATGGACTTATACAGGCTTATGTGGTGCCATTGCTCTCGTGGATGATCTAGTCGGCCACACGTTTTTCCTTAAATTGGTGGATGTGGTAGGCTCTCGTGGCGTGGTCTGGGACCAGGAGCTCTATGTTGACTTCGGCTACCACCAGGACAGAAAGTTTTTTCACACTTTTGAGATTGAGGAGTGCTTAGTTGGTCTCTTATTTGAAGACACCAACGACGCTGCACACTTTTACAAACGAGTTACTACTCGCCAAAAACATGCATCGAAGCATACGGCAAACAACAAGAATGCGGTGGCGTTGAAGGATCGTCTCGGACCAGCGGAAAGAATCCAGGGCTCTCGAGGCGAATATGTGGATGTGAACACCAACCAGCGCTCCCGTAGAGCCCGTGGTGTTTTGTATTATGACGACCAGCCTCCTCCAGAGTGGCGCTCGTTATATGCGGAGCTTGAGGCTGCTGGAATCACCGAGGATATGATCGCAGAAAACAGAGAGTTTATCAAGGATTACATTGCAAAACAGGGTGGACCTTTGGTGGGGTTGGAGCCACCAATTCCTCGTAAGTTCTCCACCAAACACACTGCATTGGAGCCTCAAACACCATCTTCTCCACCGCCCACTCAGGCAGCTCCTCGCAAGAAGAAAGCTCCTCCTCCACCTCCTCCCCCTGGAGCTAATATTTCCTCTCTGCCCGCGCCGTCTGCCTCGCCATCTCCGGCTCCACAAATTCAACCACCTTCTCATTCGCCTGCTCCACGTGTTCCGCCTTCTCTTCCTCCAATCAGTACAGCAGGACATGCGGCTCCTGGTAGTACCGAATCTGAAGAATCGTCACCGGCACCATCGCCAGCTCCTGCTGCACCCTCAACGCCTGCCCAGCCTAGATTCCGGGTTCCTCCAGCAAACGCAGTGATTCCAGCTGTTTCGCACACAAATTTACAACCTCTCAGCCCTTCCGTTGCAGACCGGCCGCTTCCTCTGACTCCGTTAGGAAGCTCTCCTTCGCCATTTAGTCCTACGGCTCCACAGATGGGCCAGCAACAATATGGACAGGCTGCACATCAGGCACATTCGGTTCCTCCTCCTCCACCAAGAGCAGGAAGTCTAAACAGACCAGTTCCTCCTCCTCCCCCAAGAGCTAATGCTCCAAATGCAAACGGTCGGTCCGGTCCTCCTCCTCCACCAAGAGCTGGTACTGGTCCGATGATGAATCCCCCAGCCCGAGCTGGAGCTCCTCCGCCTCCGCCTCCTCCAAGAGCTTCCAGGGGTCCAGCTCCTCCTCCGCCTCCATCTCGAGCTTCCAGACCTACACCTTCGGTGCCCCAGCCTGAGCAGTATACTGGTTCCCAACCCCAATATGGTCAGCAACAACAATTTGGGCAGCAACCACAATATGGTCAGCAACAACAATATGGTCAGCAACAATACGCTACACAATTGCCCCCTGCTCCACCTCAAAGAACCGCTGCTGCAATTCCACCACCTCCTGCTCATGTATCTACGCCTCCAGTTTCTGGTGGTGCAGCTCCACCTCCACCTCCACTTCCCCCACAAACAGCACAGTCTGCCCCACCACCTCCACCTCCACTACCCGCTGTCACTACGCTGTCTGCTCTTCCACCACCAGCGCCCCTGCTTCCTCAGCAATCTCTGTCTGCGCCTCCACCTCCTCCAATGCCCAGCCAAGGTATTCCTCCTCCCCCTCCACCACCTGCGCTTTCAGACATGAACGCTTCTCCTGCTCCACCATTGCCTCAGGTAGATGGTGGAAGAGATGCACTATTGGCATCCATTAGGGGTGCTGGAGGTATTGGTGTATTGAAGAAAACAGATAAGTCGCAGTTAGAGAAACCTAGTGTGCTTCTACAAGAGGCCAGAGGAGAGCCTACGACATCTCACTCTAGCGCACCAACAGGTGCTCCAGGACAGCCAGAGTCATTGGCAGATGCATTGGCCAATGCTCTTGGAAAACGAAAAGGAAAAGTTGCTGTGAGCGATGATGAGGACGACGAAGAATGGTAAGTATTTCCAAGTATATGATGGAAATGATTGCAAAATCGGTTGCATCTGCATTCTTGGGTGCGAAATCATTCGGTTGGCGCACATCGCATCCATTAGATAGATGCGATCGCAACCACTGGTTTTAAATAGACAATACATCCATGACGACCCCGTTGCCGGCCATTATCAAGGCGTTCCAGGGCGCGCTTGAATTCTGGAGCATTAATTGTTCCGATAAAGATTTGAGTGCCATTCCACCCGCAAAGACTAACGATCCACTCGCTGAAGTAGTGAAGATCGCTAAGCTCATCAAGGCCCATACTACCAAAGTTGGTATCATTTTCGAACCTTCTAAGTTGAAAAAACAATCAGAAGCTGCAGAGAAAACCGTCACCGACATGTCTAAGTCCTATGTGCTCTTCATGTCGGCGTTGGCACAGGTATCTCCATCGAAAGTGTCAGAGCTCTTTTACAAAGAGATCTTGAGCAAGTCCCAAGACCTTCTTGACAATACCATAGCATTTTGTAAGGAGCTAGCCGTTTTGGAGGATGAAGCCAGTAACGGAGAAACGAAAGATGAAGAAACAACCACAGACGAACCTTCTAACCAGGTGAATACGAGACTAGTGTCTGTAGGCAAGTTGTGGACCAACTGTGATGACTTGGTCAAGCTTGTGGAGGCCGGAAACTTAAAGTTCCTCGAAAGAAAGACTAAGATGCATCTTACACTCATAGAAGATGGCTTGGACGAGTTTTCAGAGTGGGCAGAGAACCCAGAGGAAGTGGATGACGAGGATCCATTTGGGCTTGACGACAGTTATTCAGATACAGAGGAGGACAAGGTTCCCTCTCTTGAAGAAGACTACAGCGATAATGACGACGATAATCTGGAGAAGCGTGAGCATCTTATATCATACTGTAAACTGTGGCTTCAGAAGTTCAAGTTGGTAAAGCTCCTCTTCTTCTCCATTAACAAGTCGTTGCCCACCATTCCTGCGGGATCAGATATCGACGAAATCTACAGAGTGGAAGCATTGATCTGTAAAGAAGTGGATCAACTTATTGTGGAGTTGATGTTGAACCAAATAATTGACGACGAAGTTCATGAGCACTCCACCGCGATCGACAGGGCCTGCTTCAGTATTCTTAATATCATCAAGAGAGCCAACAAGAACAATGACACCAAGACTAAATGGTGTGGCTCGTGGCTGGCTAAATTTACCGAAATCCTGGACTCCATGTATAAGAAATAATATATTTTAGGCATAGCTCTATTTGGGCTTTTCTGAAACTCCAAGCAGACTCAAATCACACTCAAATCTTGCATTTCGTCTCGATCACTAGCTATTCTAAACCCAATGCCTTGGCGTGGTGTTTGGCGTGCTCCTCAACAAACGAACTGATAAAGAAGTACAGATGATCGTAGCCATCGACGATGTTCAAGTCGATCTTGCCCTTGTAACCCGACTCTTCAGCTGCCTTGACAAGATTCTCTGGCTGTAAGTACTTGTCCTTTGCATAGAAGCCATCGGCTGCGCCTTGATGAATCAAAATATCTGGCTGATACTGTGGGGACTCTTTGATCAAGTGGGTTGGGTCGTACTTGTACCAGTCAGCCTTATCGCTTCCCAAGTAGTTGCCAAAGTTCTTCTCGCCCCACGCACAGTTCAGAGGGTTGCAGATTGGGGCAAAAGCACTCACACTCTTATATTTTCCTGGGTTCTTGAAGAAGCCAGAAAGTGCACCGTATCCTCCCATGGAATGGCCGGTGATGGAGATATTGCCAAAATCCAAAGAAGGGAAATGTTCAGCCAACTTCTCCAAGAGCTCTTTGTGCACGTACGAGTACATGTTGTAGTTAGTTGCCCAAGGTTCCTGGGTAGCATCTACATAGAATCCAGCACCGGTGCCGAAGTCGTATGAGTCGTCCTCGCCAGCAATGTTGGCCCCTCTTGGCGAAGTATCTGGAAACACTAAGGCAAATCCATATTTAGCCGCAAAGTACTGGAGGAAGGACTTCTCCGAAGCATTGTTGGGAGTACAAGTCAATCCCGATAAGTACACCAAGACTGGGATCTTGTCGGACTTGGAGGGAGGTACGAAGACGTTGACGTCCATCTTTGTTTTCGTAGACGTGGAGTCATGGGACAATTTAAGCAACTTGCCTCCGAATTGGTAGATTTCTGCTGTGGTGGAAAAAGACATGGTAGTCGATTAATGGAGAAGTTGGATCTTGTGGACGCTATATAATTGATAGTGTGCGGAAATATTATACGAATTAGGTAATGAGATGCTGAAGTTGCGGAATACCAATTATCACCAAAAGGATAGCCAACTGAGACACATTGCAAAGATTCTTTTGGTGAGTGATCTATGGCAATGTGTATACTTGAATGTTTTGAATTATTGCTTTACTTATTTAAGAATAAAAAAGAGGTACAGTTGATAAGCAAGCATCATAATAATGGTCCATCACAAGCTCGACTTGTTTCTGGGTTCGTACGGGTAAAACACAACTAAAACTGCCGAAACAAGGAAAAGAGCTCCTGAAACAAAAATAGGTGCTGAAGTGGTCAAATCAGCAAAAATGGCAATAATGGGTGCAAACACTCCTAGCACTCTGTTAGCAGAAGCTGCGAGACCAACAGCTGTTCCTCGGATCTTCGTAGGGAATACTTCTGGCGTGTACGCATAAAGCACTCCGTACATAATAGTTGAGAAGAAATTGAAGAAGCAATTCCAGGCAAGGTACGAGTTGGAAGTTTTGGCGGTGGTTGAACCAAAAAGGACAATTCCTGTCATAAGAAGAGAAACAAAGAGGGTTCCCTTTCTGCCGATACGAAGCTCCACAAGGACACCAGCGATTATTGATCCAGGAACACCTAAAACGGCCACGATCAACGTGTTTCGGTATGTTGTAGAGACACTGAGAGCCTTGTTGGCCGAACCCCTCTGCTCCAAGTATGATGGTAAAAAGGCATTATAAAGAGGAAATGCCAATCCTATTAATGCCCACGACGATATCACCAAAATCAGAGAGATAGCTAAACGACGAGATCCAAAACATTGACGAATGTGTGACAAATTATACCTTTTGAGTCTGGACTGTAAGAGCTGGTTGCCTCCTGAGGCTTCTGGGTGCTCATTGTCGAGGTTGAGATCATCAATTGCTCTCAATTCCTCTATTGTCAAGCTATGGGGTTTCTTGTTGATTCGAGAAATGTGGTTCAAGGTCTCAAGTGCCTTTTCGTCATTTCCTCGGGCCAAGTAGAATGTGGGGCTTTCGTAAAGCGGGAATAAGAATCTAGCTGAGAACATCAACAACGTCAACCCTCCCAAAGTGAACAAAAAGTATCTCCATCCTTTATTATCCTTTGATAAACACTCACTTGCAGTGTCCGAACAGGAGTAATTAGTGATCAATGCCCATGAGATTAGTGCCGTGACTACCTGGCCCAAACTCCACCATACAGACATTACAGTCAAGAGCCATTTGGAGTTTGTTGGAAGGGATTCCAAGAAAATTGCCGAGTCCACAGGCAAATTTCCACCGACTCCGAAACTCCAGAGAGCACAAAAGACTCCAATTGCAACAAACGTAGGGCTTCCTCCTGCGGCAAGCGAAAAGATGCCTGTGAACAAGAATGTTAAGTTAAATGCCCACCGTCTGCCAACGATATCTGCTGAAAGTGACCAAAACAGCGCCCCAGCTAACAATCCCAAATTCTGTGCAAGGGTCAAGTAAGGTGCTCTTCCTACCGGGTAATGAACCTTATCCTTCTCCACGAGACGTTGCAAAATGTAAGATGTTGCGGTGGGCCATGCGTTGTCCGCAAACCACCCAAATCCGGCCACGAAAAACAACCCCAATTGATAGCGACCGAACCCCATTTCGTCGATGGCTGATGTGATCAACATCGATTTGCGGATATAGGTCTGATTGAAGTCCGAAGTGTCAAAAAGGGCAGATTCATCATCTGAAGACACAACCACGTCCTCCTTGCTAACAGGTTCGTTTTTGCTCATAGTGGAAGTAAAATAACGAATTGATGTAAGGATAATGGCCTTAGTACAGGCTATTTGTAATCTACAAGATACATTTTGCCTGTACGTTTCAACTATAGAAAGGTCTTTCTTGCTAAAACGCCTGCAGGGTCCAGTGCATCACTGTGGCGATTGGGTTACATGCATTTTATATGCAAGGATTCCCCACGTCAAAGCACGCTCACTGCAGCCATGGCTTCCATTGCCAATCCCCCTCGCTTATCTGAAGTATGTACTGTTCTACCTTCCAGTAAGAATACCAATCTCTAGTACGAGAGACACTCTCTCTGTGGGCTTTCCCAATTCCACCTTTTTTGGCGTCCTCAAAGCTTCGCCACCAGCATGTGGCTAAGTTATGGCCAGTTTTCCGGTCGGGTTCTCCATACCAATATTTTAGGAGACCTCCCAGTATGTTGGCTTCTGCATGTGACTGCTTATCAGCTTCGTAGAGAAGATTGATTTTTTCAGGATCGGAACGAATGTCGGGTTTGAGAACAGACCGGAATGCAATCACGTAAATCTGGTGAGGAATTGGGAATCCCTTCTGTGATGCCTCGGCACGTATTTGTTCAACGATCTCATTTATGTTGAAGCTGGAGATGTAGTCTTCTACAGCATATTTGGGTGAGGTTGCACGCAAGGTCTGGAGAGCGTGGGCTGTGGCCTGAAACTCGGGCTGAAGCCTAGAGAGCTGGAGGAGGTGGTCTTGCTCAACATAAGGTGACGAAACAAGCGTAGTCATAGTAGTTGTTGTATAGCTTATAGAAGTAAAACATAATGTATTTAAAGTCTCAAAACTTTCAATTTTTTGCAGCCACAGTTGTGGCAGCTAAAGTGAAATGGTGCAAGCGATAATCACCACCAAGGCATATCCAAACACCTTCACCACCTCATAACCACCTGCAGCACGGATGAGTGAGAATCCGGCACTGACTGTACGGTTACCGTTGTCCTGGTCGCCGTTTGTAGTCCCCGTTGTGGTGAAGTTGATGCCTGGCGTATCATTATTGATACCACCTGTCCAACAGTATTCCTGGAAACAACGTTTACACTGGTCACTCTGTTCAACACCCTGTCTTTCCTGCTCTCTTCTAATAATAGCGCATGCAACACAAGCCTTCCAATCGCTGTCCAAGGAATGGTTGAGTCTCGAGGCAACCTCAAAACCATTCTTGATCATTCCCCTCTTCTCACTTTCATCGTAGGAGAGTTTGAAGGTCGAGGTGTTAGAGTAGTATGTGAATGGCCTATTGGCAGTGTAGACAATCAAAGGACTGTCGTAGACTTCCTTCTCATCTGCCCCATCAGGAAGTAATGAAGTAAGGTTTGAAGCATCGCAGCCAAAGAATGCTGGTTTAGCTGTGAGGTTCAAGTTACGGAACGTAGCGCTACTTGGAACATATGGGAAGATGGTTCCGTTTCCTTGACTCAAAAACTGTCTTTCGTAGGATGCGATCATGGCTGTTCCGTTAGGCCACGACTCGTTAGTATCTGCTGAATTGTCGTAGGCGAAAATAACGTCGATGTTTCTTTCTTTTTGAATCAACGGATACAATGGTATGTTCTGCAAATCTTCACCACCATCCACCAAATACAAAGTGTCGTTGTTGACAATGGTCTGCACGAAAGCCCCTTCGGCACTCTTGAATGGATTAGGCTTGTAGACTGCAATATCGTCCTCGTCGTGGGAAACAGAATCCAACATGCTTGTAATAATACTCTTCAATGTACTCGACAAGGAGGTGGTATTGATCTGTAACACAAATTGGTTAAACAAAGATGAGGATGTACCCATGACAAAACCTGCATTATCAAAACCGCCAATACATGTTCCATTGACGGGCTTTCCGTTCTTGACCTGAGTACCCAAGTACTTCACATCTGTGAATGAGTACAAAGATGGATCCCACGAGCCCATCTCGTAAGCATTGAACTCGAAAACGGTGGAATTTCCGGAAAGGATGAAAGTCCCTGGCGTTCTGCCGTTGGCCACCACAATGGGGAAAGGCATTTCGTGGCTAGTAAATGCGTCCAAGTCTCTAATCTGAGACCAAAGAAGAGAATTTCCGAAGTTAATCAGCTCAGGGAAGAATTGGTGGGAGAGTGCTCGACCCCAAGTATCAGTAAGGGAAAGCTCGAAGCCAGCATCCTTTTTATCGCTAAGATCGTCCCAAATACCATCATAATAGTTATATGCTTTGATAGGATTCCAGCCTCCGTAGTTGACAATCGAATGCTCCAAGTCCCAAATGGAGCCGTCATTCAAGATATCTTCGACAGATGTCCAATTGTTCAAAACCACACTTCCCACCAACCAGTTACCTCCAGACAATCCAGACAAATATGTAGCAGACTGTAGCAAGCCACCCAAGCCGGAATTGGAGGCATTGGTTGTTCTATTGTCCAAAGCAGCGATTTGGCCCGCACCACTCAACATGGCACGATATCCACCACCAGAAAATGCTATTCCAATGGAGAGCGACCTTCCATCGGTGGTGTTGGACAAGAACAGTTCGGCGTTAAAGTTCTCCAAGCCGGCCCCTTCTAAGAACAACTTCAAGTTTGTGTCGGTGACCTTATGTCTTTCTTCGATCCACTCGGCTTCACTTTCAGAGATATTATTAGCAGACCTCACGAAACTGCCGCTTGGACAGTCAATTTGGCCAGGCGCATAGCCTCCAGAAGGTGACCAGGCGGCAACTGATGAAGCCAAAAGTACTAGCGTCTGAAGCTTCATAAAGAGGAGTGTAGCAATCTGCGAGTGTGAAGTGGCTGGGCAGATGTTTTCGGTACCTGATGCGACTTCAACAGGACAATCGATTCTATAGAAACGGAAAACTGCACCAGTTCTAGCGTTATAGAAATGGATTTATTTGGAAACCTGAATGAGTGCCTTCAACTAAGAAAAAGGGAGAAGAAGATAAATTTCGTTAGAATCTGGACAATTTACCTTCCACAAATTTCGGGCCGAGCGGTCTCTTGTGAGTGAGGCTTGGCCGATTGCATGGAAGAGAACACAGAGGAAGTTTACGGTTTCTAGGTGGGCTTGACAGTACTTTTGGGTTTTCTTTTGTAATGATGTAGATTATTTGAACCATTTAAAGTTGTCCTTTTATTTTTTTGTCACCATTAAGTTTTCTTTTCATTGACTTCTTTTTGCTTATGTTTATACAACTTGAGGCAATATGCATTTCGCTTACATAAAAGACATTGTTGGTATGGTTGCGAGAAGAATATTTCCGTCAAAACAACAATTGGCTGGCAAAAATAGAAAACCCTCTAAATACACAAAAAAAATTTCATAAATCCATTCTACTATTGAATATTCAACAATCTGCTTTCAAATTTCTTCTCTTTTGAGCCCTTTTCATTGTCCTTACTTCCACCACCTCTTCGTGACCTTGCGACTGAACTTCGCAATCAACTCCATATCAGAAAACCCCCAGAATGAGAGGATTTTTATATTAACCGTAATCTACGAAAAAAGGTTCCGTCTTCCATCTTAGGATCTTAGACTTTCTTCTCTGCTTCTTCTTTCAGGCTGTTACCTCCGACATTTACCTCCACTACTATAATAATTGAAGCCTTCGGCTGTATTTCTCTGCAGTATATTTATCAGCCACCTTAATAGCACATTGTTCAGCTTAAAAGCCCATGCCTCGTCTACATTCCTCCTCTGACGCAGACATGACATCTGGTTTTGCTTCGAGAGTCTCCAGCACTATCAAGGACCAGGCCAACGCATTGTCAGGATTGCAGAGCCTGACATTAGAGTGGTACAGATCGCAATCGCGAGCAAAGCAGATCCTCCTAGCCTTGGGAGGGTTCATTGCCGCCATCGTTGGAGTTTTGGTGCTTATATTTCACCGCTATGTGATTGGAGCATTGGTTGAAGTTGCTGATTACTGGAACAGTCTCAAATATGGTCGTTTGATCTTGTTCACCTTGATCTTCTTCGTGGGGTTCCCTCCGCTACTTGGATATTCGGCCCTATCCATGCTATGTGGAATGGTCTACGGATTTCCAGGCGGATGGCCACTTTTAGCGTCTGCAACGGTTACTGGCTCGTTTGCATCGTTTTTGTTTTTTCGTTATGTGTTACGGAGCCGAGCCGAAAGTCTAGTTCAACAGAATGAGAAATTTAGAGCCTTTGCTGAAATCTTGAAAGAGGACGCCTCCTTATTCTTGCTCATATTATTGCGCTTATGTCCGTTGCCATACTCGCTATCCAATGGCGCGTTGGCTGCTATTCCCAATCTTCCAGCACTGACTTACTTCTTGGCCTCTTTGATCACTTCTCCGAAAGTTTTTATTCATGTGTTTGTTGGCCATACTATTAAGAACTTGGGAAACGAGGAAAGGCCCACGTCTGCTAAGATCATGGATGGAATCAGTATAATAATCACAGGTTGTGCATTGTCTTTGGCTTCTTATATCATCTACAACAAAATGCAGCAGAAATTGGACTCATACCACCATGTGCCAAATAGAGAGGGTCTTGACCATATGATATTTGGTAACTTCGATGATGACTTGGAATCTGGACCGACAGTGGAATTAGATGCTGCCGACTTTGACGACGACAATTTCATTATTGAGGATGAAGACGAAGACTTGCACACACAAGACATGCTGGGAAGCACGGACGATATTAAGAAACAAACTACAAGGGACTTTGAAGCTCCGATACGGGATGACGATGATATTGATGACTTGGGACGGCCCAGCAAGGCATACAGAGATTACTAACTGCAATATATAAGGTTCACTAAAATGAGATATGCTATTTCTATGTATGCCACCTTAACGTGACTCCCTCCAATATTTAATTTACATGCCGTTATGTTGATCGATGAACAACATTCTAGTACGGCGTTTCTCGATTCTGTCGTTGGTTGACATTCCATTCTTTTGCATACTGTGGATCTCACCAGCAGCATCATGCTCGCAGAAGATCTGATTGTCAATCAAGAAGTAATCTGACAGGATGGTTGAGTGACATTTGGTGCACGTAAGGCACGATACATGCCACTTCTGCTTCAACTCATTCTCAATGCATTCACCCTCAATTCCCTTGTTACAGGATTGGCAAAGAGTACCGTTAAGAGAGTGATAGTGATCGTGACAGAAAACATTATCAAGCAACACGTAACATGTGACATGTTTGTTGAACTTAACGTCGCAGCCAATGTATGCACATGAGAAACAGCCTCTATGCCACTGTCCACTCATGTCACCACTCTTAGAATAGATTGCCTTTTCATTACCCCGAGCATGGGGATCTATCTCCGTATTACAAACACGACATGGACCCTCCCCTGATGGATGTGTCGGACCTGCCGTGCTAGTTCTAAAGTTTGGAACCTCCATACCAACAACCGACTTGGGAAATGCATCGAACTCTTTTGGAGTTGGGTTGTGCAGTAGGATTTCAACATCATTATCATTCACAATTAATGAAGTTCTTTCAGCTTTCGTCTCAAGGGATTCGAGGACACCTGTGTTGAATCGAGGTGTGTTTGCACCCTTAAAATTGATATTCTTCAACTCCTCTTCCACACGATGATTCTTAGGGCTCAAAGGTTTGATGGTTTCCGGAGTTTCAATCTGGTCTTCGAATCCATATTTCATAACCGGGGTCGATGGTGAGTCGGTAAAGTGGCGGGGTCCTTGCTTTTGGAAACTCAATGGAGCAATTTGGTCACTCTCCTCATCCTCATGCAGAGACTCATGCTTAAAGGCATCCAGGTTGTTCGACTCACCCTCCTTCTCAGTGTCGCTGTCCGAACCCTCGTGGTCAGAAACCTGAGAAGCAATATCAATCTTTATTGATGGAACGTTCTGTTGTGGGAAGTCATGCAGAAGGTTTAATGCAGTGACAAACGATTCATCGGAATACTTGTTCGAAGACAAACTGGCATCGCTGCCCATTTTTAAGCTCTCCAATTGCCTTTCCAATTCAGCTTCAACTTCTTCATCTTCATCATCAGAACGTTCTGGTTTTGAAATGATCGAGCTGATTGTAGACAACTGAGAGTTTCTAAAATTAGTCGCTTTCTCTGAAGTTTGCAAGAAGTTCTCAAAGTCGTCATTAGACGTGTCCGTTGTTTCGTTGGACTGTCTTGCTGAATTGAAGCGGAAAGAGGAGTCGTCTTGAGAGCTATTGTTCAAGTCATCAAGACCAGGTTGGAACTTCTGGTATCCAAATCCAGGGTTCGAATCGTCTTCATTGTGCTTGAACTTTCTTGGTCCCCTTGCTCTGGGATCATACTTCTTATGCTCCTCGACCTCTTTTCTGAAGTCACCTAGAACTTCAGATAAGTCCTTATCCGCACTACCGAAGCCATCATGTAGTGGGTATGGAGCTGTGTTGGTGAGTTCCGTTGTCTTGACACTGGCTTCGGATGTTGTGCTATTCTTGCGAACAAAGTCATCAGTAGAGCTGGCAGATGTTTCCGGGGTATGACGCTTATAGTTAGAGTCGTCGAAAGTCGGAGAATCCGTGGCAGATAGGCTATCATTGGACATTTGAGGCATGCTAGCGGATGAAAAGTTGCTGCCGTGGATGTTGAGCGAGAGGTTCTTGATGTTTCTGTCACCGTCTGCTCTGAAATGTTGCAAATCGCTACCGTTGATCAGGACTGCTGGGTTAGTCGGTTGAAAAGGCTGGAATGGTTGAAATTGTTGGAATGGCTGATTCTGCTGCGGTTGAGCGTAGTTTCTCTGGTCGAAGTTCTGATCATGTCTCTGATCAAGCTTTCTCGACTGAAAATTCTTCCCCATCAAGGTGGAATTAGCCGATGGCGATACCGCCGATGAGGGCATGGAGGCCGAGGTCACTGCTACAGGATCAGCAGTTGGAAATGCAGTGTTTGGGGCAGACTTGTGGTTTGTTGATGAAGAACCATATGACATTTGGCCATTTTGTTCTGGCTTGCGAGGCTCATATTTGCGACCTTCATTGTGATGTGCTCCCATCTCCCAGGAGGAGTTCGAGAAGTTCGAGGAGTTCTTGGATATGTTTCCATGAATATTGTTATAGGCGTTTCCGTGGTTAATACCTTGGGCATTTGCACGAACATTCCCATGGCCACTCTCATGGTTTTCACGGGCATAACGTGTATGTTCTCCACCTAAACGCGTTGGACCCCCCAGAGGCAATGAATGTGACGAGGCAGATCTGTCCTGTTGGTTTCTGGTGACAGATGACGCCGAATCAGAGGCGATTCGAAGTCCACCATACCTGCCAGTAGGTGAGTGCCCTGGAGATTTCCGCAGATAGACAGAGCGGGCATCAGAGCCCGATCCCAAATTAACATCAAAGCCCGCTCGCTCGTAGACACCTCTGTAGCGATGTTCGGTCTTTAAAGGTGGGAAAGGTGAGTCTGAAGAAGTCATGGGTGAGTGTTCACCTTGGAAGTAGCTCGGAAGACTGCGCAATTGCATGGGTAAGCAAGAGATTAATGATTGCAGAAGAGAGCAGACTTGACGAACCAATCAATAAAATAATAATAATAAAAAAAAAGTAAGGGTTGGTTAACGCTAGTCAAGTGGAAGAAGAAAAAAGAAGTTAGATGTCTAAGCAAGCGGTGGTAAAGTGAGCCGCACCCGTACCCCAGGGACGAGAAGCCTCAACAACCGCGTTTTTCTGCAGGACCCACCAAAACATGCGCGTTTCAATTGGGAAATATGCCAGATCACTACGACATTGACGGTAGTCAACAAGAATTAGGAGAGAAAAGAGTGGATAGAGAAGGAAGAATACAGGAATTTCAGAGATGGCTTTCTTTCTTTCTTTCTTTCTTTCTTTTCATTATATACATCTTCTACATGAATCCATCAAGCCTGTCATCGTCAAAGATTTGTGTGTGGTGACATTTCTTCCATAGCAAGATTTGCGGTTTGGAAGGAGGTCAAGAGCGTCGTTTTGATGCTGGTGGTGACGCCTGTTCATGCCGGTTTTCATGCAGATTACGTTTACCTTGTACCGAGGCGAACATAGTGGTGCATCGGGTTAGATAAAGAAAACACGAAACTAGGAAGCTGCGGTGGGGAGGTGGAGAAGGCCGATGTCATATGAAATCGAAAGATCTATGATGTGAAAAGGCGATGCGGGGATGTTTAATAGGTGTAAGGGAGATCCTATTAAGTTACCTGTATATTTTAGAGGCAAATCTCAGGTTGGGGGAGAGTGCAGCGAGTTTAAGATGTGCGATATTTTCTTAGAGATTCAGTAGTAGTGTATTGTATCTGATTGAACAATAGGTTAACTAAGGTGGCTACTATTTGTAATAGAAGGTGAGTACTAAGAGAATGGGAAATTATAGTGATATCTGTCTTTGCGAAATTTTATGAGGTAAGTCAAGTACGCATAATATTTGACTAAAATTATTCTTATCTGATGTGAATCTCCTTAGTTGATATGTGATGTAGTATGTTGAATGGACTGACAGAGTCGTTGGCTTCGTGATCCAGGAGTGATGTAAATCAAAATCAAACCAACATGGTAAACTTGAATATCTAATGGTCTACTGAAATAGTCATATTTAAGTAGGGCCCACCTTTTCAGGTTGGATTTAATTTAGCGAGTTCACCAGGACTCAAGAGAATTCTTGAGGTAAACGACATGGTATAACTTCGAGCATGGTTAGTTCCAACCATGATGGATTCTATTATACTTAGAGAACGACTTTCTAACATCAATTCTTGTGTCGGGAATATCAGCATTCTAATTTCGAAACCCATATATCATCTCGTCCAAATTTCATAATGGCCAGTTCATGTCCTTACTATAATTGGACCTCACATACAATCATACGTTCTGTACTTCACTATATCTAGTCATAAGCTTACATCCATCCTGATGACTCCACAAACATAACAAATGACCGTTCTATATTACTTGCGTAGATCTCAGACATCTCCTTCAACTCTTATTCAACTACACACCCAAATTACACAATGCTCATCCGTTAATTTATTAATTACAATATTGTACTGAAGAGTTTAGATGTAACCGATTCTGTTGGCAACATCCAAAGCATCGTGGTCAGCAGTCAATCTGACGTAAGCCTTCTTGGTACCGTTTGGTCTGATCAAAGTGTTGATCTTCTCAATGTCGACCTCGTACAACTCCTTAACGGCAGCCTTGATCTGGTTCTTGTTAGCCTTGATGCTAACCTGCAAAACCAAGGTGTTACCGTCCTCGACCTTCTTGATGGCAGTCTCAGAAGCAATTGGGGTCTCAATGATCTTGTAGGCATCCAATCTGTTGTAGTGTGGGACGGCCTTTCTGGCGTATCTTGGAGATCTAGCCAACTTCAAGGTCTTTGGCAATTTGAAGGTGGTGGAGGTTCTCACCTTGGTAACCTTCTTGGAGTTAGTACCCTTCAAAGCAGATTTCTTAGCAGCAGCAGCAGTGTCTGGAATGTTAGTATAATGCGGATAAGACTTGGTGTTTCGACGACGGTTTGGTGGATATGTGGGGACGATCTATGAATTCATATAATTTTTTATGACTTTTCGCTTCGTTTTCTTCATTAATGGATGGAGCTTCTCTTCATGAATGGACTGACGGACAACATTGGAAGGAATGTGAATGTGGAGTGTAGGTGTTCAGGGAATTTGCGTTTGTGGATACATCGAAACAGAAATGGAGGGTTTCGTTACATACTTGGAGCCATCTTTGATGTATTCTAACAGAAGTGAAAAGACTTTCGACTGGGATTTGGGTGTATGAAAAAATTCTGCCTGGAGGCAGAGTGCGGGCCATCCGGACTGCATTCAAGCCAGAAGGAGCGTGCGAATTGGCACGTGCGGTAGAGTGACCGGGGAAAAATATCACGTGCAGAGTATTAGGGCATAGACCTCAAGATTACTATAAAAAGTACTAGTCAAATTAGTTCCGATAAGTTGAATTCCTTTGAGTTGATTCATAGCTAATTAGACTCAATAATGAATATTTTATATCTCCATTTGACCATTGGAAATATAATTCAGAAATGTGGACTCTAATTAATTGATCTAAGTGATGTAGATGTACATCACTGTACACGATATTGAGATCGTATTTACCATTTGCTGTTGGATACTAGTTGTGCTATCGTTACGAGTTCAAATGATTCGCTTGGGAAAAACTTATTAAATTATCCGTTCTTGAAATCACTTAAATCTCACTTGATAGCGATAGCTCTATTTCGTCACACATTCTTTCTATTGTTAGTTCCCATTAGGCAAATCAATCTTAGAACTCAATCATCCAATTCATCCACACACTGAACCCTTCAGTAACTTAAACTTCAATTATCACGTTCTTCACAACAGTCTCAACTGTCATGATTGAGTTCCTTATCCTCTAGTACTTCTGCCATCCATTCTGCTCAGTCTCTCCTTCACACTCTACACTTGTTCCTCCAGTCGTGAATATGCTATGTACATGAGTCTACAAACGACGCAACTTCTTCGATCTCGAACCACCGAACTTCAATCTGGTGTTGTCCGTCACTCTAACAATATGTGGCCGGATGCTGGCACCCTCCTTTCCCTGTAATGCCGAAGTGAATGCCTCTCTACCCTTGCCAAAGTCTCTCAACACCAACTCCACCTTATCGTTGGGCCCGAACAACTTTTTCTCCTCAATCATCTTGAACAATCTGGAGCTCACCTGGTATCCAGCCTCATACTCTGCTCTGTGGGCCTTTCTGAACCCCAACATACCAGCACTTACATGGAGCTTCACCTGGTGGGGCAATTGCATGTAGTACAACACCTTTTCGTTGTATGTCAAGTGGTCATTTTTCTTCATAAAGTCTAAATCTTCCACCACCGCCACAAGAGAACATAATGTGTTGTGTCTGTGGAAAGTGGCGTAGATCTTCCACATCACCACCTTCTCATTCTTCTTGTTGGTGAGGGCTTTAGCCTTTAAAGCCGGATCCACCGAGGTTCGGGCGACTGCCGAGAGCGACTGCGAGGTGTTGAGCCATCTCGACGCAGACGAGAAGCTTGCCAACAAATTAGTTGGACGAAGCAGCCTGAGTCCAGCAAACATTGTATGTGAAGATTGGAGACTGATTGGTGATTTTTTTTCTCTATGTATTTCGTGGTGGTGCACGGGTGTGATCGAAAACTAGGTGAGATGATAATTAAAGAAGAGGATATTGGCAATTGACGAAATTTGAAGGGTAATTTTATTTCTTTCTTTTTCCGAAGATGATGAAAAATATTCGTAATGGTCTCCAAAAAGTGTTTATTTGTCTATGTTTGAGGCAATTCTACTATAATTTCTCGTTAATGCGATTCGCGGATAGGTAATACCTTTAGAGGGTTTATTGTGAGCCATGTATAAACGGCAAATGAACTTGAACTTATTCGATTTAGATGTAAGACGTATAGTCGTTTTGTGGACATTCGCTGATTTCATAATACACTTCGATTGAGGCTTTGTTCTCATATCAATTCTCCCAATGTTACTTAGAAGTCTCGGTAACTTGAAGTAGATTTACACTCGTTTCTTTATAGTATTCAATATTTTGAATGTTCGATAATTGGACATTCCATCATGTATACTGTGAGTCGTATCTTCTTGATAGCGTTACTTGTTATTACCTTTTAGAGACCAACACAGGAGTGTTGTGCACATACAATGCAACAGCTATTTACCTTCCCAGTCATCTGTAGTTATCTTTTCTTTTTTGTAAATAGTCTACACCCTCTCCAGCATTCAAAAAGTCTTTCAAGGCTCAACACAGTCTACGAATTATCCGAATTCGATTTGATGTAATGGAGTTGTGCAATGGCCAATAAAGTATAAATGTGGAACCAGAATTTTGAGATTGAGTATCATTGATTTGTAAGCATGAGCGGTTTAACAACCTGAAGGCAAAGATAAAAATCCCGTGTATGCATAGAGAATCAAAGAGAGTTTTTTGATTTGTTCAAGATAACAGGATCTGTCAATTTTGCGTCATTAATCATCATTTGTTCTAGTGGACCCTTCCTCTCAAGATAATGGTTTCGCACCAGTGCCACACATAATCTTACAGAAACCCTCATGGATTGAAAACCCTATTGAAACCTAGACGAAGTCCTGAAAAGGAGATCAAATAATCTTTCTCAAAAAAATTTCTTCCTGTCACCTCATTCTTCTCATTTAAGAACTCGTCTCCATTCAAACGTCATGTCCTCTTTGTCACTTGCACACAGGCTTCCCAGCCACTCCTTCATAGTAGTTGGCCAAGACGACAACTAATACCAGAGTCATTCAAACCAATCTATCCTTGGAAAACCAATAGATCATCTCAATTCCAAGTAGAATCTCTATACGCCTTCGTATCTTTTCAAGAAAGAATACATCGCTATGTCCCTCTAATCACGTCTTCCATCTTTACTTCACGTGTCTCATAACCTTTTGGTGGTATGGAAAATATTACAAGTAACTTCAACCGAAAAAAACTCGTCCATGTAGTAACCTAAATTTCGCTCGGGCAACATCGTTTTTTGATTTAATGAATTCAGCAACATAGAACACTTTCCAACTCTTCTACTTGTAATTTTTTTTCTTTTGTTTCGTCTATCCGAATCCACTCCATATAATATCGGTGGAAACACCAATGGTGGCTTAAATGGAAAGGTTGGTGTATCACGTGCAAAGTCCAAGACATGTTGCTGGCTATAATTCCCGCATCGTAATCCCATGTTGTAATGAGTTTATAAACATCAATTCACTCTTCTAAACAGTGAATCTCCACCATCAATCAAAGAAAGCTTTAGCCACATCCATCGTATTCCAATTTGATTCCTCTTTCCCCAGAAAATCTATCTTAGACGGTGAACCTTACACGTGACTAGCACCTGCAGATACTACGATCACGGACCCACACTGATAACAACACTTCAGTACAAAAAAAAAACCGTCAACCTCCTTCACAAGCACGTTTCTACTTGTGCAATCCATTAGTCTTCCATCTAGGCACAATATAACTAGTTCCCCGAACACCATCACACATCCTCATAGAATTTCCCCCGTGTTCCTCCAGGTTCTTCTGCCAGAGACAAAGTCCAAATGGCCGAATCCAGCAATATCAACGAGTATATACTCAATGAGGTAGTCAACAATGAAACCTCCGAGTCCAAGCGAATGTATGTGAAAGAATACAAAAAGATTGGCGAGGGCGCCTTTGGAACCGTTGTCGAAGCCGTTTTGGCTGACGTGGACCTGAACGGCAATCCCGAAGCTAACCGAATGGGTCCTTTTGCCATCAAACGAGTGTTGGCACAGACAGAGTACAAATGTCGTGAGTTGGAGATCTTGCGCACGGTGATCCACCCTAATATTGTCAGCTTGAAGTTCTTCTTCGACAAGCGCAGTCTGTTAGATGGTCAAATGTATCAGAACCTAGTAATGGAGTGCTTGCCGTCCAACCTACAGAACGAAATCAAGTACTACCGCCAGTCCAAGTACACCATTCCTTACCCACACATGAAGGCATACACGTTTCAATTGACGAGGGCCATGCTCTACTTGCATGGCTTCAACATCTCACACCGTGACATCAAACCTTCAAACATCTTAGTGGACCCTTCCACGGTCCAGTTGAAGATCTGCGACTTTGGCAGTGCGAAGCAGTTGGAAGCTAATCAGCCTTCTGTCAGTTACATTTGCTCTCGTTACTACCGGGCTCCCGAGTTGATTGTTGGATGCACGGTGTACACAACCAAGATCGACGTATGGGGCTTGGGGTGTGTGATCGCCGAGATGTTTTTGGGCAAGCCCATCTTCCAGGGCCAGTCGTCCGAGCTACAATTGAAAGAGATCTCCAAGTTATTAGGGCCCCCACCCAAGACATTCTTTTTTAAGAGCAACCCACAATACCGAGGCAACATGTTCTCTAATAAGTTGTTTGGATGTACCATCAAGGAGCGGTTTGAGCAGATTTTCTCTAACTCGCCGCCCGATGTGATAGACTTGTTGCTAAAGATATTGGTGTACGACCCTGACTTCCGAGCCAGTCCCCGGTCTGTTCTCGTACATCCGTTCTTTGACGAACTAAAAAGTGAGAACTTCCAGGTTTATCCACGTGGAGCCAAGGAGCCCATTAAGCTTGACTTGTTCAACTTCTCCAAGTTCGAACTTGAACTTTTGGGACCTGTGAAAGACGAGTTTTTAAGGAGGTAGAGCAGTGGGCCAGGGTGACACATAGATTTGACTTATAGACGAGCATCCCGGTTGGGTCTTAATTGCTACATTATTTACTTCGATACCACGTAGATAAAGTGTATTACACTGCGCCCATTTGTCGCGAGAGTTTCTCCTTTGACAAGTTTCTACCAAGACAAGTTTCAGGACATGAAAGCTTAGTTCAATGCTAAACTATAACTGTACTCATCTTCGATGTTTTGTGACAACCACAAGACAATACAACTGAGCATAATACATCCGTTACACACAATGTTGGACACACCCATTCCCAAAGTTGGGAAGGTAAACTTGTGCATCAAGTACTTCAAGATGAATACCATGAATGAGCCGGACAATCCGCCTGCCAACAACGAGAAACCGAAAAACAAAATCACTCTAGCGGCCCAGGCATTGGTGTTATCGTCTCCCAAGAACAGATTCTGGCCCTCGGAGAACAAGTTGGACTTCTCGATAGAATTGACAATGATCATACCTAACGATGAGCAAATAAATGGAATCCAGTCCACAAAAGTAATGTGTACAACACTGGCGTTGACAGTCTTGGAGTAGACCGCAGCATCCACCATGGACCAGAAACCAATGGCAAAGAGTGCTCCGGCCAAATAGATACCGAAGGATCTCAATTTTTGTGACTTTGGAAGGTGGAGGAGTGATGCATCGAAACGGAAAAGATGCCTGCGCTGATCCATTGTGGAGGAGAGATTATGGTATTGGGGGTAGTTGAGGCTTAAAGTTGGTGGAGTTGACTGGCAATATAGGTGGGTGTGCAGGATCAGTTGGAGATAAGATGGATGTGGATGTCCTCAACTTGAAATTTATGGGGAACTTCTTTATTAAAATATTCTTGTTTCATTCTTTTTGCAGTCTTGCTATGTCAACAATCCTTTAATTGTCGACCTCCCATTTTAGAGTAACTGATCTTCTTGTCTTGATCTCGGGATTCCTATTTTTATGCATATAGCAAGTAGAATAGTAGTCGTCTCGAGCCTTAGAGTCCCAGTATTCATGCAGACTCCAGAGCTGCTCGTGGCGTATCGATATTTTCTCGCAATTCACCACTTTGTGGCATTTCAGTCTCTGTCAACTCGGCAGTTCTCGGCGTAGTGGTACCTGGTGTAGTTGCCATTGGAGTTCGATTTGGTGATGCTTCTCTCAGTTGTTCCACATGAGATTCCATTGGAGTGTCAGGTGTTTGAGTCCCCAAATGCCTTTCTCTATGTGGAAGGGTCAGCTTTTCCAGATGAGAACCCTCTAACTTCTCATACTCATCATTGAGCTCATACACATTGACTTTCCCCAGAAGCGTAGATGTTATCAATTTCTCGCCGTTCTCCAACATCGCAATATCAAGAACGGTATCACCAGGCTGCAACTGAAACACAACCTCCTTACTCTGTATATCCCAAAAAAGCACTCCAGCATGGTCCGAGCCAGACGCTACAAGGGAATTTTCAGTCACAGTGATGAAGCAGCACCCACTATCATACTTATTATTCACAATGTCACCATTTATGCCACCGTAGGTCTTAACAACTTTGTTATTCATATAATCCCAGAGTCTGATTTTACCATCCAAACTTGAACTCAAAATGTACTTTCCATTGGGAGATACCTGAATGTGGGAGATCGGAAAGTTCACTACATCATTTGTAGACGCTGTAGCAGTTCCATGTGTAGAACTGTTGTATACCAACGTCTTCAAGCATTGTCCAGAACCTAAATCGAAAAGTCTCATGAGTCCATCGTACGAGCCACTGATGATAATGGTGTCATCCGGCGTGAGCCCTACGCTACTGACAGGATCCGAATGTGCCGCCAATGTCTTCAAACTTCGCCCCGTGGTGAGATCCCAGATGACAATGGTCTCGTCTGCTGCCCCACTGATGAGAAGGTTACCTTTGGAGTTGAAAGTCATGGTAGTAATGTGGAAGGTGTGCTTCTTGAGAATGCGAAGGCACTTGCTCTTGCTGATCGACCATATGCGAATTGTCAAATCGTCGGAACACAGCGCGATTATGTTGCTATCTATGGGGGAATATGCTATGTCTGACACTCCCTTGGTGTGTCCCAGAAGGGTGCTAATGAGGTAGCCGGACTTGAGGTCATAAACACGGATCAGTCCCTTTGACGTGCAAACAGCAAACGTCTTTTTGTTTGGAGAAATCTTCACGGCATTGGCCAGCTCCAGTTCATTTGGAGATACCGTGTAGAGATGGTGATAAAGATTGGGCATTGTGAAGTGATTGACTCCGTTGGAATCGTGTACGTGTTGTAGACCACCATTGACTTCGGTTTTTTGTCGTTTAGCCTCCGATTCGTCCATTCCACTGTTTGGTTTCGACTGTTGTGAGGTGATGATGTAGTTGTGGATATGATGATTTTCACTTCATTGACAGAAAATCAATGCGCGACTCATTTGACTCAACAGGACAAAAAGCTAGAAATGGTTGAGACGCTACAATTTTCAGATGAGATCCGAAAACTAAACAACTCAAGACTTGCTCATTTTTTCGAGCCACGATTCCATCAAGTTTCGAGAAATTTCCTCCATAGGTCCCCCTCCCCCAGAGATCTTCCTCTTTGGCTCACTGTAGGCCTCAGTATTCAGTAAATTCGAAGGTATAATCAATCGCTGGAGCAGACTCCGTGTCGACTCTTGTGTTTGCTTGGAGATCTCCTTGAGAAAGTACTTCAAATATTGGCAAATAAGAATTCGTGTCTGAGAGTTGGAATCCGAGTACTGAATGGGCATGAAGAGCTTGATCATCCGGTCATTCAATGATACAAGATCATCATATTGTTCTGTGGTCAAGTTGACTTTCTGCTCCATTTTGTGAAATACCTTATTGAGTGTTTTTACAAGCTCCCCCTTCATCACGAGATTCACTTGTGGCGACTCACTCTTAGAGTATATGGTGCTTCCAGCAGGTGAAATGGATGTTTCTCTTCTCGTAGCACTGGGAGGCTTGAAAGCAGGCTTGGAAGGAGATACCTCCTGAAGCTCTGAAATAGAGCTGAGGTCGAATTGCACCGCATTGGTTTGCTCGATAATGGACCCGTTACGCCACTTTTCCTGGTTGAGTGCAATCTCAGTAGGTGCGTAAAACTTCTGAGTCTTAACTATATGGTTCTCTTGGTCCCATAAAAGTTTATTTGTTATTAGTTTCTTCAATAATTTGCGCCGTACTTCGGGAGAAATGTCTACCACCTGCTCGACAAATTTGTGCTTGAGGAGCCTGGATGCCGAGAGTCGGTTTTTTGCTTCCAAAATGAAGCATTTGCTCAAGAAATCTTTGAATCTGTCGGACCATTCTGTATGGGATTTCATCTGGATAAGTTCTAGAAAATCTGCATTAGTCTTGCAAGTCGAAATCTTGCGTAGGGCCTTCATAGGTGCATAATGATCTTGCAATGGTGGTTTCCCGTTAGCCAACTCGTACATACAACACCCCAAAGACCAAATGTCGGCCTTGTATCCGTGACCACCCATGTTGTTCATGATGACCTCTGGTGCCATCCAATAGGGTGTACCCACGGTAGTGTTTCTTCTGGAGAAGTTCGAGTACAACTGGGTCGAGACTCCAAAGTCTGTCAACTTAACTTCACCGTTCTGGCTGAGAAGAATGTTCTGTGACTTTAGATCCCTATGAATCTTTCCCAGTGCATGTAAGTAGTCCAATGCCAACAAGATCTGATGTGCCACGATAGCAATGGTCTTTTCATCTTGAATGGGCCCTGGTCTTAGAAGATCGAACAATGACCCTCCATTGACATACTCCATGATCACCCAGAGCTTATATCCCTTTACAAAGCAGCCAATATACCTTGTTATTTGGGCAAGCTGGCATTCCGATAAGATTTGGATCTCCTTGTTGACCTCAAAGATGTCTACCTGGTCATTTTCCAAGTCGATCTGCTTGATAGCCACTTCCACTCCCGTGGCCTTGACGATACCTCTATATACCACGCCGAATCCTCCTCTTCCAACCTCCTCACACACCTCTAGCTCGTCCGAGCTAAATATTCTGTCCATTTGTTTGGTTGATAAAACAAACAATGTAAATAGAGTGTGTATATGGCACAACTCAAGATGTGGAGACGATGGAATCAGTAGTTGACCACAGAATGCAAAATTCTGAAGAAAAGAAAAAAAATCAAAAAAATCAAAAAAATACAATTCATTCGAATGTTTAACTATATGTATGCTACTCTGTTACCACTCTCTTCCACCCCATGGTTCCTCAAGGACCTATCTGTAAACCATTGCTGCTCATCTTCTACACACTCATTTGAGAATTGCCTCTAGGTACTGCAACACATCTTGATCCCAACTACTCATCGAAAAGCCAAGGGTGACCTTCATACGGTTTTCAAATAATGCTTCCAGCGTTCAACTTCTCTCAGGTACTCCGACGGGCTTGGAGACCTAGCGTGCGGCACTTCTCTCGAAGTTGCGAAGTCCACCAAGACTACTTCAACGATGTCTTCGTCAATAATACACTTAAGCACGCCAAATCGCTACCGGATAACGAGTACGTAAGATGCACAGTATACGATAAGAACGGTGATATGGTTGTCCATGGGAAAAATATCCGCAAGCTAGAGTTCATGAAGACTTATGATTTAGCACCTAGAGATTTGAGAAAGATGGTTCGTTCTCACATCAGCACTGGCACTCCTTCGGGTGTGTTCGTAGAGTTCGTTCCTCTGTTAGCAACAAGGAAGAATTCGATTTTATTGAACTTGCTCAATATACGAGCCATCATCAAATGTGACTCGTTGGTTGTGTTTGATAACTACTCATCACTGGGACTAGGTTCGAGATTCAACGAGTCCCATTCACATGGTGTGTTCTTAAAGGAAATGTCTACTCGGCTAAAGGCATCGCATCCAGAAGCCAATACACTCCCTTATGAATTCAGAGCACTAGAGGGAATCTTGGTGGATGTGACGACTAACTTGAATACCGAGATGTCTGTCCATAAGAAGGTTCTCAGTAATATCCTATCCTCCTTGGATGATAGCATAGAGCGTACAAAGTTGCGGTATCTTTTAATTCAGTCCAAGAAACTAGGTCAATTCCGTCAGAAAGCACAACTTATCAAGGACTTGTTGGACTATTTGCTTAATGAGGATGACGAGCTCAATGCTATGTACTTGACGGAGATTCTGCAAGGTCAACAGAGACATTCATTCAACCATCAAGAAGTTGAGTTGCTTCTAGAATCCTACTATGCTACTATTGATGAGATCATTCAGACTGTGGATAACTTGATATCTCAGATCAAGACGTCTGAGGAGATCATTAGATTCGTATTGGACTCCAACAGAAATGACTTGATGCTCTTGGGTTTGAGATTTTCCATTGGTCTTTTGTCTATGGGTCTCACCATGTACATTGCTGCATTATATGGTATGAATCTTGAAAACTTCATAGAAGAGAAGGATGGCGGTTTGGAGCTCATTGTTGGCGTCGCAAGTGTCTCCATGATGATTCTCTTCATATATTGCACCAGACAGATTAAAAGCCTTCAGCGATTCACTTTGAGCAGTGCTTCCAAGGAGAAGGCAATGGCTGCCAGAACAAGAAATATTGTCTAACCTGGTTAACCCTCAAACTTGATTTCCACCTTGGGAACCAAGAGATTATTACCGCTTGGACTTCTGGGCATAAGATTGACGTCCATGGATTTCTTCTTTTGGTGCACTGGTGAGCTGCTTGGTGATGGCCTAGGTGTCGTACCAGTGCGGAACGGTCTCAACTCGAAGTTGTCGGCACCAAGGTTTGGATTAGGACTTTTGGCTTTGGGGGCGGAAACTATCCTGGGCGGCGTTCGAGGTGTATCTGGAGTTATCTCAACGTCTGGCTTCTCGGCCGTGGTTCGTGTTACGATTGCAGGAAGGGCATGCTTTTTTGCTAGTCCCAAGTTCTTTGCTTTTTGCTCTTGCTTCTCAAGGAATTTCGTCTCGCTTTCGATAAGACTTGACTGCAAGTTGGAGCGTACATCGATGTTTGCGAGATCACTCAAAATAGCATCGTATTCCACCGTTGGAGGTTTAAATCCTGTTGCATTCTTGACAACAGAGGGTCGAAGAATCAAGTGAACAAATGGAACTGTGCCAATGGCTTCCATCAGATTCAACTTTCTGATGATACCTTCTACCAGGTCTTCCTTAGTCCCAGATTGAACTGAATTAAGATCAAATACTTTTGAAATATGCTCCAAAATGTGAATAACAGAACTCAAATTACTACGAGGAATAGTCCTCAATACCCGATCAATTTCTAGAGTTGTGTCCGCCCCGCTGTTATTTCCTCTCTTATAGATATTGATCAAAGAATCGTAGACAGTTGAAGGAATGATAGAATCGCTAATCTCGAGGAGCCAATTTTTTAGGAAATTGACAATTTTCGACGCATCTTTATCCTTTAAAACTGAAATCACCTTCAAAATAATGGCAGATTCAACAGCGTTGTGATCATGGACGTTAAGTCCATCTTGAGGAACGAATTCTTGCACCATATTGATTATTTCATACTTCACCAGCCAATATTCCTGGTGTTTGATAGGGGCAAACCAATAACTCTGAATATCTGTATCTAGATTGTTTAAATGGTTCACAATCTCATATAAAAATATTGGTATTGATCTCACATTGAGTGGGTGGGAAGCAATTGGAGGAACCAGATCGCTGACTTTCAATTGTAAAGGAATATCCTTATATAAATTGAATCCCAATTTGATGTTCTGGAAATTAGTGTTAAGTTGACTGATACTCACATTGTCTCGCGTTAAGTAATCAGGGGCAATAAACGATGGAAAATAAATGCCACTGCTGAAGTTCTTAACGGTATTGTGGAACTCACGGTTGTAATTTTCTTGTTTGTTGTACTCCTCAATAAATCTCAGCGTGAAATCATGCATGGAAGTAGTAGACTGCAATGAATGCTTGTAGATGACCTCCAGTAACTTGGTCAAGCTCTGAAAAATCACCTCTATCTTGAGCTTTTCGAAGTGTTCGAAGTATTGCGACTTGTCATAGATTTCCATGTCGAGAAGATGCTTGCTTCTTTGTAGCTCTTCGTATGCTTCATTGTAGTTCGCTTCAACTATGCGGATGCCATCTTCGCCGTGTTTCGGTCTCATAAGAGAAGTCTTCATGGATTTAAACATACCATTGAACGTCTTAGAAGTTGAAGCGGCCATGTCGTTCACAAATTTTTGCGTGTCATCAAGCCTGATTTTCGTCATTTGCGATGGCAGAGAGACAGGGGCTGTCTCTGTACTAACAGGCTTGCCCTGGACAACTCGCATGACTTTATCCGACCACTCAAACCACATTCCATCACTGGTGAACTTCTTAGCGAAAAAACTAGTGCCGACAATTATCTTCAGGTTCATGAGATTCTGACCGAGTTTTTCCAAGTTGGAACGTGTTGGGTTGAATCCGCGTGGCCGTTCCTTGGTGAAATGATCACAGATTTGAACGCTAGAGAACAACTCGTTGGTGCGTCCTGGAATAGGAATTTTTCTTTTGGTTACTTCGATCGATCTGGTGAGCGCAGTGAGGAAGTCGGCCAATTCTTCAAGGTTTTCGAAATGCAAGCCACTAGCAATAGTCAAAGGGAATGTGAATCCAAAGTCGTCTGATTTCCTGATATCTATCTCGTCGAATGACTGGTTTGCTGAGTCAGTGGAAGGTGGGGGCAGGGAGATCTCTACTGGCCTGATGGGCTCTATAGATGGCCCTGTTACGTCTGGCATTTCATCTTTTGTGGCATCCACACCGGCTTTCTCACCGTCTGCAATCTCGTCGATCTTGAACTCTGCCAACCTCAAGAGAGTGTCGTACTCCAGCTTGAGGTTCTCGATCTTCTCGTAGGACGTTTCGTAATCCTGGAACAATTCCTCGAAATGCGACAAGATCACGTTAATCTGGGGTTCATGATGCTTGATAAATTCAGTGAGCTTATCTAGAACTGCTCCGTCAATCTCTGATGCCAACGCCAGCTGGGAATGCAGCTCTGTTGCTGTTCTCTCCACAAACTTTGTAAACACGTATTTTAGATCGAACTCCTCAGGTGTCAGTTCAGATATATTCCGCAGTCTTGACACGTGCTTTGCTTCGTTCAATTCCTTAAATGATCGGAAATTGCTATCTTTATCATACGAACTATGGGCAAACTCTGCCAAAAACTCCCCATTGGCATGGTGATACTTGATATGGTGAAAGATGAGTTTCCGGAGCTCATGGAGCTGACCTAACGAGCGAACCAGCTGTTTGGTCAATTTCTCGATGCTTGTGCGGTAGTCTGGGGACCAGTACACGTTGGCGAACCGTGGCATGGAGAGTTGTGATTAACAGATCCACCCATTTGATTCCATATACCTGTATTGGCACGTGACCGAGATGTTTCCTCGAATCGTGGCCATTATGTATTGTTAAGCCTCCTAGGCTTCGCTATGTACAGAAGGTGAATGTATTCTTCGCGTCTTCATCTCATCGATTAGGTGATTATCGAATCCAGCTTCGAGTTTGTGGATCAAATTGATGTCGTGACTGATACCCATTTTAGTGTTGGCTAGCTGTCTATAAGTGAGGACTAGCTTTTCAGGTACAGGATCAGCAGACTCCTGGAGCCCTAGTAGAGAAATAGTTGATGGGTCACCATTCCACCAGAAAGGATCATTCATCATTAGCTGTTTCTGTTCTGTCCATTGAGTGATTTCGTTTTGTTTGATTTCGTCCCACGGCATAGAGATTGCCTTCCCTTGATTCTGCAAATAAATGCACTTGGCCTCGAGGTCAATTAAATGGTGTTTCGTCAATCGTTTCATAATTTTGTAGTGTTCAGGGATGTCAGTTCGTGGTATAGTGTAAGGAAAGTTGTAAACTTTGTCATCGCTGCTTTTGCCCTCATTGATTTTGCCTTCGCCATCTATTTCTTTGCCCTTTTTGACATCATCTGCGTACTCAGTGTACTCAATAGGTAGATCAAGAGCCTTCACTGCATCGGTATGGATTAGACTCCGAACAAGCGAGTTGACGATGGCAATATCGTAATTATCATGGTTTACGCAAATCATCTGGATGAGCTTGCCGTAAACTTCAGCTGGCACTGTCACTCTTTGTTCAAGCTTGGAATACATACACAACGCAAAGTAGACTTTATTGGAGATGTTTGGATTGGCAAATACTCCGTTTATGATGTTCTTCATGGAGATACCGTCGATGGCAACCTCGGAGATCAAGCCATTCCAAATATTCCCTAGCTCTCTGCTGTTCTGCGCGTTGACAATGCTGTGGTATACAACCTTTTCAGCCAATCTTGGGTTGCTTCTCCAGTGTTGACGACAGAGGTCAGATTCCACAAAGTTGATAACTTCTGACAGCGACCTAGTGGTTCTAGCAAAATCCTCAAGTATTCTGATGCACATGTTGTTCAGAATGGGTAAATTTATCGAGGCTATCTTGTTGACTAAAATCTCCTTCAAGAAGATGTTATCGATGCAGTCATAGACCCTATTCCAAGTGGACAAATTGGCCCTCAAGTCAAGTCGTTTTGCTAGCGTCAAGTAATTGATGATTACTTTGTACGTGCTCACAAGGGATCTTCTGTTTGTATGGATACGGCAAATTTTCAAGAGCTGGTTTATAGTCTCGATATCAGGCTGGTGTCCATCTCTGGCCATGACAAGAAGAAGCTCTCTAGCAAATGAATTTTGGAATTTGTCGTAACCAAAGTACTTTATGAGATAGTTATATGTATGCACTGACCGGTATGGTTTGAATTGATCATTATCCAAATGGTGAGTGTACAATAGTATGTCTGGCACAATTCCACTTGCTAACGATGACGAATTTCGGTAGAGTATCTTCAGATGCGTCAAAAAGTAAATGTATTCTTGAAAGCTCTCCTTGGTAAGAGGATTGGGGAAAGATGGTAACTCGTGGAAGTGATATCGGGGCACATTTTTATAGTGGTTGCGGGAAAACTCAGTGTGTTCTTCTTTCAACACGCTAGCTAGCGACTCCACATTGCTCACGGTCTCCGCTGACTTCAAGTATTCCGGTGTAAGCTCCACAAGGAAGTCTACCATCTTGTTGAACACAAATCGTTCGCTGAGAAAATTGTTGAACACATCAATGCGATCACTACTCTTCTTGGATGCAAAATTGGCCTCTGCTCTTTCAACGTTGTAGGGAGCAGTATTCTCGGAGTATATCTTGAGTTGAGGCATGCTAAGGGGCTCTAGAAAGCCCTGGTATCTTTTTTTCTGGAATCCTCGTAGGTGAGGACGGAGTCTCTCGAGGTTTTCTTTGGGTACCCGATTTCTCGGAGGAGATCGACGACGTTTCACCGTAGAACTGCCAGCCACAGGCGATGACGACAAAGACGGCGTTCTTGTGTCCCTTCGAAGCAGCTCCATGTGGCGAGCCACTCTTGTGACTCGTGATAGGGCGTCTTTGAGTGAGCTCATGATCGTAGCATTGGTTAGATGAATTTGGTGAGCATTTTTTCGCATACATTAAGGTGGAGGACCTTTAGATCGATTTCTGGTGCACATTCACAAAATAATAAAACAAGAAATCGATATCACTCGCCAATCGAATACTGGAATACTTCTAAGGATGATCTTCTTGTGTTAATGCTTACTCTTTCTACTTCCTGCTGTAGTGGTGAAAATACACTGATATTGTTTAGTGATCAAGTCAACGGTACCTACAGTGCTCCCATTACGCTCATGTATTGCCCATCCACTTTCGTAGTCTATTACAGGCGCCCAATATGTTACATAAAGTCGTCGTCGCCGAAGTCGTCGTAGTTGGCTTCCATGTCGTCAAAGGCATCCTTCTTGAACGAGTTGTTCACGTTGGTCTTCACCAAAGGCTTGGCCTTCTTCTTACCAGCACCTCCGGTAGCAGTGCCTCCAGACTTCAGCAATCTGGCCTGTCTCTCTTGTCTTTCCTTATCCTTGAGCACCACAGCCAAAGTAGAGTTGACCTTTCTCAAGTTCTCAACACTCAATGGCCCCACAAGATCTCTGATCAAGTCGATGGCCAAACTCGAGGCATAGAGTAACAGGGAGTTGTCTGCCAATTCAGTCAAAGCTGGTCCCAACGTCTTTCTCAACTTCTCGTACTCCTGTTTGTTGGATGGTTGGAACAATGGATGGTCAGTAATTGGTGTGTCCTTGTTGAAAGCTGGCTTTGGGGCAGTAGTCTTGGCCAACTTCTCTCTGGGGTGTGCATTTATGTCATCCAAGCTATCGCCTGCCACTCCCAAACCTCCAAACAAGTCGGCGGCGTTATTCAAGTCGGCATTCAACTCGGCCTTTCTCAACAACTCTCTTCTGGTGGCTTCGTCCAAGGTGTCAATCTCCATAAGCTTGACGGTACCGTTCTTGGCTGCCAACTTCTTGGCCTTGGCCTCCTCCTGCTTCTTCTTCAACTCGGCCTTCTTCTTGTCTTCTTCAGCCTTCTTCTTTTTGGCCTCGGCCTCTTCGTCCACGTCCCACGACTCCATCAAAGGGTCTTCCTCTTCGTCCTCCCAGGAGGTGGCAGCGGCGGTTTTGCTGGTGGTTGGAATGTCAAAATCCTCGTCGTCCCAAGACATGCTAGTAAATGATGAAAACAGCTACAAATTTTTTTTTCCCTTCTGTTCTTATCCAAGGTGCACGGGTGTCCGATCGGGATTCTACCTCTAATGCTATGATAAGCTGAAACAAAAGAGAATTCACCATGATTCTGAGGGCACTTGGTGTTCTGAAGTCAATTTATGTACTCTTGTTCTCCTTTCATAATTCATTATCTGTCTGCTTGCACTCGTCGTTTTTTTCTGGCAATGAGTTCTATTTTGCTCAGTTGCACCTAGTTCTTGACAAATATACAAACCTTCTACTATTGCTCTACTTAGGCCCACAGTCATAACAACCAAAAAAACCACCCCAAAAAAAAAATGCAAAAACTCACACAAAAAAATCAATCAAAAGAAAAAGATCATGCTCTTCAATAATATAAATCGTTTCCTGAATTGTCTCCCTAATATGTTCAATGTGTTGTGTCGAACAATCGCTCTTCTCACAATGCACCACCACTATTGAAGATCTCACATCCTGCACACATTCCTAAACAACAATTACCTATAGTTGGTGAAGCTGGAGCGGAGTGGCCCCTTCCCAAAAATTCAGCGACTTTTGTAGCCAGACAACGTCTCTCTTAAGTCGAATGGACCAGATTCGCAGATTTGCACGCGTGGCTATTGCGAATGGCATTGATGTACATTCTCACGTCATTGTGGAAACCAGCCGTCTAGGTGGATACGGCTTGGTGGCTCAAAGCGCCATACAAGAAGATACTGTGGTACTACGCATTCCACAGAAATGTACCTTAGACTTGTCTACTTTGCTCGAGCTCGCAAATGCCATGAAAAATACTGACACCACGGGCAAGGTTGCAAAAGTCATCAACACAACATTGACCATTGGGTCAAGTTTCACAGAGACCGCTGTGGTGCGCAACTATATATGGAGCATGAGGATTTTGCAGCAGATGAGAAAGCCGGGGCTGTTGGAAGCGGATAGAAAAGCCTTCATTGACCAATATTTGGATATCTTGGCTACAACCAACATCTTAGATGTTGACGAGCACAATGACTCCTCAGATAGCCTTGTACAGTCACACATCAGAGAAAAGCGGAAGGTAGCAGCAGAGTACCAGGAGTTGCTCGAGAATCTCCCTGAAGTTCAGCCATTTCTCTCGTTTGAAGAAGCATTTCAGCTACACAAAGCTGTTAAGTCTCGAGTTTTAGAAATCCCGCATGCCATCGAGAAGTTTGTCAAGCAAGCTGAAGAAGATGACGAGGACGAAGAGGAAGAAGAAGGTGAGGATTTCACCACAAACGTCACTTTGGTTCCTATTCTCGATTTTGCAAACCATGCCGAAGAACGAAATGCAGTGTTCGATGTGGATAGAGAAACCAACGACGTGATTCTCAGACTTGATAAGGATGTTGCGGTTGGTGACGAAATCTGCATCAGCTACCTGCCAACCAAGGCTTTCGACATGTTCTTCCGCACTTATGGATTTGTGCCTGACTCAACTGGTTTCTTCAAATGGAAGATTCCTCATTTAAGCGAGGTTGTGAGCGAATACACGGAAGTCAAAGGCGAGAATTACGAATATATTGCCAAATGGCTTCACATTTACCCGTACTTGACTGTGATTCGGGGGAAAGATGGGAAGATTTGGTTGGACTTGAGCGATTTCAAGTTGCCTCTACTCTTGATTCGTGGCCTCCACTACAACGCAGATTGGGCCCTGAAAGTTGACTCAGATGAGTTAAGCCATATGTATCAAGGCACAATCGAGGAAATCGTGGAAGAGATGCGCAAGCAAGAAGATCACAGTGACGTGGTTTACGGTCCAGAAACCGTGTATGGGGTGACATGGAACGGCCAAGAGGTGAGTATTTCGAGCCTTATTGAGCAGGCATTGGAAGCCAGCGAGGACGCGGTGAATGATCTCATAAAAGCTGCGATTCCAGTGATCAGAAGCGCAATTGCCAAAGGTCTTCAAGAAGATGAAGCAACGATTCATGGCAGCGACAACACGGCATTAGCGGATTACTATGCATTTAAGAGGGCGCTACTAGAGCGAGTGTCTGAGTTTGAGTTTGACGACTACATGCAAATGATCGAGGGAGTCTACGATATAGAAGAGGAGTGATGCCATTGAATATTCCAAAGATAGTTGGGAGTGTACGAGATGCTGTGTGCTCCCTCAAATTGAGTACAAGTGCGACCTGCGATAAGTAGATGAAACTTAATTAATAATAAAATCCTCCATAACAAGATATCGAAGATCAAAGTACCAAAAATACGTGACATTGATTGTAATACAGTTTAGTAAAAGTCATCGATGTCAATCTCGAAAAAAAAACAAAAAAAAGAAATCAAATGTAAATAAGCCTGAGCCACACTACTTCACTACTATAGTGAATCGAACAAATATGTCACAGTTTCGCAGATTTCAAGCCTACCATCTGCAGCCACATAATCTCCAGATGATAAGAACCCATAAATCTAGCAGCGTGTTCTATGTACAAGAATATTCTCGAAAACTACCGTACTTTAATTGTAATCATCTTTCACTGACTAATAGGTCGGGTGTGCAGACATTTGTAAGCTCAATATGTTTCTAGTCCATTCTTGCTTAGGTAATGCGCGCTCTCACGTTGAAGGTATATAAGGAAGGAAGTCGTCGGCATTTTAATTAGATCTACATTTTCATAATCTACAAAAAAATGGTTGCTGTTGTTTCTACTAAATCTGATTTCGAGGCTGCTTTGAAGCACGACGGTTTGGTCGTCGTGGACTTCTTCGCCACTTGGTGTGGTCCTTGTAAGATGATTGCTCCATTGTTGGAGAAGTTCTCTAAGGAATACACTGCTGCTAAGTTCATCAAGGTGGACGTCGAGGAGTTGAGTGAGGTTGCTCAGGAGTACGAGATTTCCTCTATGCCAACTGTTCTTTTCTTCAAGAACGGTCAGATCGTTGGTAAGGTGATTGGTGCTAACCCTGCTGCTTTGAAGCAGGCTTTGGCTACCAACGCTTAGTGTTTTAATAACTGACACTTCGAGTGTTTAATAAATGATATATGTGATCGCTTTGTAATCGATTGAGCTTGCGACTGGTACCTGCCAATCGCAAGCTCTACAATTCGCTTCTGTAGAATACATATTACATTCTTAATACATGATGTATTAGGATCCCAACCCTATATATTCATAGGAGTACCATTACTCCTTTTTCAATTCCATTTTCTTGTGACTGATAAACTCCTTGACGATATCAAGATTATCCATACAATCGAACTTTGTCCTAAGTGCATATTGCACAACCACATCGTAAACTAAACTGTACTGCCGCATGGTCTGCACCATCAGAATTCTCTGCCGACGCAACCCGTTCACCAATTCATAGATAGGATCGTATGGGAGCTGGCATTCGTTGTCATTGTGCTTCAACAATCCAATCAAAGAGTCAACGGTACAGAATACGCCTGTACGTCCACACCCAGCCGAACAATGTGAAATGGTCGAACACCCAGACTGGGGTTTCACTTCGCCCAAAATGAACTGCTTCAATGAAACGACGCTAAGAATGTCAAGTGGATTGACCGTTACGCTCATATCCTGCCATTGGTTCAACTGGACCTGAAGCACGTGTCTCTGTAAGCCTTCAGTAGTAACTGTAAAAGATCTGATCAAAAACCTACCTGAGGTTCGTTCGCTAATAAGGTCGACAACAACCTCGGAAGATCCTGACTTGTAGACTCCTGGTTTCCAATATGCACTGCACTTTCTAAAACCACCCTCATATTCTTCTGTCAAAGATATGATCAAAAGACATTCCTGATCGAGTACACATTTCCAAAAGTCTCCAATGGTTTCTTCCAAAGGTCCCTGGGTTGCAATCACCTTCAAATCTCTTACTAGTTGCTCCTTACACCCCAGCAGTTCTGAAATCAAATTCGTGAATTCCAAATTGGGCTCCAAATATGACGCATTGATATAATCGTGGTCCAGCGACAGATCCAAACGATTCTCAGCTTGCAACTTCACTCTCGAGTGATCGTATAGAAATACATCTTTGTATCTGTTCTTATGCCCGTAATCCAATCCGCAGTTGATGATTGGCGAAATCTCCAATTTTCCGCCAGGGGTAATCAACTCTGGCTTGCTTTCGAGACTCAATGCGTTGTTGAGTCTCATCTTCTCACATACCTCCAACTTATTGAAATCATCCTTAATGTGGTCAGCATTGGAAACTGCATCCCTCAACCACTTTGGTAAGACATCTAATTCAGCCTTGGTAAGTTGCGAGATTGGGGTATCCATACTGGTACCGAAATCGAAATCAAGAACTTCCTCGTTATGTCTAATCTTGAAAGCACTTTGGGGAAGGTTTTGAGGAAGCGAGAAATTGGAAACACTAGGTGTAGATGTATCAAGAGCAAATGTCGGAATGCCAGCTGTAGAATGTGCACGTTCGGTTTTTTGTCTCAAAGTTGTATCGAGCGGACGGATTGCAATTTCATCACCATCACTTCTGATAGTAGGCTCCACAAGAGAAGAAATTTCCAACGAAGCAATATCTATGGTTTCAGACTTTCCCTTCGAGATCAAATCACCAAACTTCAGCGACAAGTCCAGGAAAGGTCCATCCAATAAGTAAATTGGAGGATCTGACTCCGCATCCCAGCACGAGTGATCCACCAATTTCTTGCACATATGGTACAAGCTGGCTGAGTAGTTATTGTTGTCATAAATGAAAATGGGAGGCATGCCATACAATCCACCAGGTGAGTCCTTGAACCGCGTATTCAGGGCCACATTCTCCGTGTTAAAATGCAAGTAGTTAAGAATGATGAGCCTCTCGTAGGTAGGCAAGGAATTGACGCACTTGGTCAAGTTAAACGTGGAACGACGAAGCAATGTCAGAGGGGGACAAACATTAATGGAGCCGGTGACATTTCCCTTTACAAAATCAGCAAACGAGCGGATATCCATCACAAATAACGAATGAAGATTTGTTCTGGAATCAATATCGTTCGAGGCAAGCATCTCTGCTATTCTAGCAGCAGGCATATACTTGATATTCGGGGAAAGGCCAAGAATCGCTGCCCGCATATTCTCCACAGGCGGTACATACAAAGATCTCTTCGCCTGCTCATTTTTAATAGTGTTGAACGACAAGTCCAGCGGTGAAAGGCTGGGTAGAGTTGCCTGTTTCCGTAGCGTAAGTGGAGGCTTTTGTGTAGTAGTTTTGAACGGAAAGCTGCCCTCACGTTCTGGTTGGAGGTAGCGATGAAATGCAAAATGGGAATCTACAGCAGAGTGAGCAAGTTGTGAAGGCAGCTCCTCTTCAATCCGGGAAAAGTTGTCATGGAGACGAGCAGAAGCTATTCCTCCAGACATCAGTTTTGGAATATGACGGTTTGCCATGGACAAACGCAACAGAAGGAAGTTCCGGCGGGATTTTGGGCTGCTATTCGCCAGCTCAGACAACAAAGTGTCGGTGGAATGTGACAAATCAACCGAATCCACAGAGATACCTTCCACTAAGGTAGCTTCAGAGGTGAGCGAGCTGATGGAATTTGTGCCCTGTTGATGGATAGTTGGCTTCATGTTGAACTTCGGACTTAATAACGGAGCCTGGGCCGACGACTTGATGGCAAAATAGTCACTTTCCTCGGCTACTTTGAGCGGAGTCGACACTGTAAGGCCATTCATCTGGGCCAGAAGATCGACTTTCTTGTCCCGACAACTTGTGTCGCCCTGATATATGGGAAATTTATAGTCCGAGCAACAGGAGCTGAATGTCATACAACCAAAGTTTCCAGTTGAGGACGCTGAAGTTTGTAGTGAAGGACCAAGGGGTTCTCAGAAGAATATGGTCGGTTAAGACTGAACCAAGAAGGTTAGGTGAAAGGAGATTTGACTTGGAGAGACGGTAATGACCAAAAGTTGAAACAAAAAGTTGAAGACCCTCAAGAAGGTAGACAGAAAAGATAAGTTGATAGCGATTTTTTTTCTAAACGATGGTGCTAAAGTCCCTTTGAAATGGATAATTCTTGCGGGATGCACACGTAAAACTATGACATAATGCGGTGCGGAATTGGTGGCACGGTCTAGGCCTAAGGCTCCTGCAGGAGTGCTCATAGACATTAAGAATGCGTCGCATACTCAACCGGCTTCTTTGGTGGTGAGAGTAGCCAAGTGGAAAAAAACAAGAAAAAAAAAATACAGGGTAGCCAACCGGATCATTACCTGCATCATTTGCAATTCCTAAACGTTTCGGTCAAACATTGGCTATGTCTGCTCTTGACATTCGGACCGACAACGGAGCCGCACATTCCTCATGGTCCAAGATCTGGAGACTGGTGCACCAAAACCTTAAAACCATTTCAAACAGACATCCCACAGGTTCGGTTATGCTCCCGGAGAATCACTCCCGCAAGCCGGTTGACGAAATTATGACTACGCAATTGCCGTTGAATCTTACGGTCACAGCGACAACGCACCATGATGGTAACAGCCACCGGTGGCGATATTTTCTATTTTTGTCCTCGGTTTGGTTTTTGCCGCCATCGAGTCAGTGGTGTAGGCAACCTTCATCATGGACCTGTAGCCAGCCTGCAGTACCAATCATCAACCATAGAACAATAGGGACTAAGAAGGGACCCTGGCTTAGCTGTTTAAGGTAAAGTGACGTAGAATCAATAGCAGGATTAAAAAAAAATCGGTGTGTATCGAAAGGGAAATATCAACACACTTCATGATTTGTTGAATAGTTGGCTACCTTTTCTTGTTAGAAAATAATGCTGGGTTTGTTATTTTTAGAACTAATAAGCCGTTGTGTCTCATACACGTCTCAAACACGCATGGCTCATCTCAACCTACGAGGCATCGAGACTTAATATCACACATCCATTTCCTATATTAGTAACACCTCATAATATTTCTCATTAAAGTGACGCCTTGTTGTGGGAAAACCTCTCGCTCCAGGGTAGATATCCGTGCCAACCCGACGTGTCATTGGGATGGTCTTCGGGCTTCCGTAGGTTCGGTATTCCGAAACACCGAAGCGGTGTGAGATCTCATCTCTGGCTCTTGCGTCTCTTGAGTTTCTTGTCATCGTCGCGCTCATCTTGGCGAAGCTTCGGAACTTCCACCCCCACCGCACCTCGTGATTTTCTTCTGCGCAATCTGTTTTCGTATTTCCCTCCCACTTCGGAGTGTGGTTTGGAGAGATCGATGTCAGGGGATGTACCTGTCATGTCTTGCAGATCCTTCGCTTCTTCGTTTACAAGGGTGCTCTTCGGTGTGCCCTTGGTGCTGCGGATTGCAGGTTCTCGTCTAAGTTGCAACCCTCCCGATGCCTTCACAGGAGGTGTCACCGACTTGGCTGTGATCTCTCCTTCTTCCTCATCATCGAACAAATGTGAATTGGGGATTTCCTTTCGGGCTTCTCCTACTAGATCCTCATAATCTTTGGCATCATGTGCCATCCCGTTCTTAATCAATTTTTTCATCAACTCATTAGATTCAGAATCGCTGGCCTTTCGCTTCTGAGGTTCACTTTTGCTTGGGCCGTCCTGCGTAACAGGGGCTATACTTTCCTCGGATGATCTGTGTACTGTGTTGAGCGTGTTGCTCAATCCGTTGAAGTAAATCTCATTGACGTTGAGGTTCTTGGTGGCCTCCAAGTTCTTTTCTTTTAAGCACTTCAAGCTTGCGAGCCCTTCCTCATCTTGAAATTCATCTGGTAAAATGTTGCCGCATCTCAAGGCAGCAGCGTCCTGCGATGTATACTCTTTTGAATGGGCAATTCTGCTATGATTTAGAAAGCCTTGAGCTGACGAGAAATTACTTCTCTGACAGTCTGGACACGTGAGTTTCACCACCACACCATCAGTTCGACGGTAGAGGCAGCCAGGAATGCGCACTGCTGGGCCATTTAGAGATGGGCGTAGCGAGGAGGTGGTGGAACGTGTTCTATAGGAATGGACTGGCTCTGCCTCAGCAAATATGTTCTCCTTGAATGTGGGATGATCGTTCAGATACTGCTGCTGCTGTAGCTTCGTATAATTCACAGAAAGCGACTTGCTGAGCACGTCGTAGTACTTTAACGTGAAATCGTTGGGCTCGTTCTGAAAACTGACGTTGTTAGGAACTTCAAAGAACTTACGAATCGCAAGCATCTGCGCCTCACATTTGCCTAGTTCCTCCTCGGTTAGTCTCAACTCTTTGTGTTTGAGCCGAATTTCAAGATCAACTTGATTTGTAAGAATGTGCCGAAGTGTTTCTGTGGGGATACCTTCTAATTTCTGGAGAAGTGATTGCTTGTCTATTAGTGGTGGGTCTGAGGATTGGATGGATTTTCCAGTGTGCGTATCCTCTGCAGAAGCCGAAACCTCCGGTGTGAACCCGGGAGTATCAGGTGTCATGGACTTTTCTGAATCCATGTTGGTTGGAGGCAAAAGAATTACTAGCACGAAAAAGCTGGTTCACTTTGAGTGTGCATAGGAGGTTGTCTTGAATCTCGCACTTGATAGCCCCACGAAAAGGTCAGGCAGGACAACACACTATGTGCACTAGATAATGGCCCTGCGATTGAGAATATCCAAGGGATCTGGACCAGGAACGCAAGCCAGAAGCAATTTTTTGTAGAGGGCTGCGACACCTTGGCGGTCCAATTTGGGGGAAGTCAACTTTGTTTTGGACGTCCCCGGTTTTGTTTGCTTCGAATTCGGGTTCTCCTGTGTCGATTTACTAGTTTCTTTCTCGCTCGATCTTCTCAGTCTAGTACTTCGCTTCCTGCTCTCTGAACTTCTCACAAGGATATTAGACAAGGGTACATCGCTGAGCTCCAATTCTGAATCGATGAATAAAGTTTGTGGAATTGTTGTTCTCGTGACTTGTAAGTCATAACATGCTAGGGGTAGAGATGCAGAGATGTCACTTGATGGAAGAAAGGAAGCGATCTCACCGTCTTCATTTTTTATTCTTTTTTCAACCATTTCCTCTAGGTTCTCCACCTCTACCTTTTTCTCTGTTTGTTCACGTGGATCAAGTGTTTCAAACAAGTTCTGTTCAATTTCGTTCTTGATTCCCGGTGAATTTGCACCACTTTGAACTTCGTTCTCTGGAAGCACCTCCAAATCTTCATTCTGAGCTATGTCATCAATTTCAAAACCCGAAATCATGAATTTCTTTTCTTTTGTCCCACCAGCCCCTCCAATCTCCTCCGTTTCACTTCGAATCGAAAACTCATAAGGCTCAAGCCAGTCACTAGTCAAAATATCCTTCGGCACCCTGTACAGTTTGATGGGCGTACTGGCCTTTAGGGGCCCAAATATATCTTCCAATTTTGACAGATCACATGGCACTTCTTTCACCGACCTATGTCTTTTTATAACTGCTCGTTGCCGCTGAGTCTTGGGCTTTTTCTTTCTACGAAGTACTGTTTGTTAGCGCTTAACTATTGCAGATGGAGCAAGGGCATACTTTTGGTGGGTTGTTGCGACATGATAACTGTTTTTATTCTTGAATTTTGTTTCAATTCTCAATATTCTGTCTGTGATTTATTTTTCCTAAGTTTCTGAGTATTTTTCTAATATCTTCATTTACAAGATAACTCTAATCACTCTGATCTTCCATACACTCCGAACCTCATACTAACAAACACTCAAAGTTAATTCTTTACCACCAGATCATTCTTACTCCCACAGTCAAACCCCACGTTTACCCTTAGTTGACCATGTCAGAGAAACCCATTTTGCCTTCAGCAGCCATGGGTGCACTTACCATCAACGACGTTCCCAAAAGCGGATTCGGATATAATCCATCAATAGGACCAGCATCCAATGCCATCAACAGCGAAACATCAGCCATTCTCCTCAATAAACGAACGGTCAGTTTAACACCAACATCGCATAATTCTATCTATGACCGAAACATTAGCTCCAAGAAGGTTAATGAGATCAGTCTATCTACACTAGCGTTTCTTTTCTGTGAGATCGTCAACTGGGCACACGAGCAGTCGAAAGGGATCCAGGACCTTGAAAACAGGCTCAATGGACTAGGCTACCAGATTGGTCAGCGTTATTTGGAGTTGGTCAAATTGAGGGAGGGAATGAAATATGGTAAACGAGAGACAAAAATCATTGAGATTCTTCAGTTCATCCACGGGCCCTTTTGGCGAGCAGTCTTCGGGAAAACAGCCAATGAGTTAGAGAAATCTCAGGACATTCACGATGAGTACATGATCATCGACAATATGCCGCTTGTATCGAAGTTTATTAGTATACCCAAGGAGTATGGCAATTTGAATTGTTCTGCATTTGTAGCGGGCATAGTCGAGGGAGCATTGGATAGTGCAGGCTTTCATTCGACGGTGGTTGCACATTCTGCTCCAGTGGAAGGACTTCCGTTGAGAACAGTGTTTCTTGTGAAGTTTGATAATCTGCTATTTACGAGGGAGGAGATACGGTTCAATTAAAATGGCGAAATCCAGCAGAGGAGGAGAAGTAATGAGAGAATTACATTATTGTGAACGATACAGAATGAATTTAAGAGAAATAGAGGTGACTTAAGGTATATTTCATTTGGAGTTTGGCCATATTGGTTTGTCATGGAGAACAACGATGACCAGAAGTTCATGGATTGTTTTTAACAATCTATAAAAGAAGAATTCCTTCGCAACTTTGTCCATAATTCGTCCATCGGTATTTGCAGATACGTTCCCATTTCCGATGATGGATGTCATATTGATGATGCGATCAGTGACCACCCGACTTGTACATCGTGGAAAACGAACATTTATAGGCATAAACCCACGAAAGCATCCCAGAAGACTACGAAAGCAAATTTTAGAACAGAAGTTAGCCAGAATAAATTATATCGAGCCACATTATCCATAGTATCATTAGATTAACTGAATAGACTTCAGAAGTAGTCTAACCTACTAAGTTGCGAAATCATGGCCTCACTGTGCACGACCTACAAACATTTTCACCAACGGCTTTTCCTTCAATAATCACCATGGGCATCACTATCAGAAGGGCAACCATTGAGGATGTCCAGGCGATGCAAAATGCTAACTTGCTCAACTTGCCCGAGAACTACCAGTTGAAATATTACATGTATCACATTTTGCTGTGGCCCCAGGCAAGTTTTGTAGCCACCACCTACGATTTCGTCGAAACCGAAGACGACACAGAACTGGATGTTGACCAACTATCGGAAGATGCCGAGGCGTTGAAAATAGCCGACTTGGAACACTTGGATCCCAAGGGTGACCCCGCATACATCAGAAAAGGCGAGAAGATCGTGGGTTATGTGTTGGGAAAGATGGAAGACGACCCCGAGGCAGAGGACAAGACTCCACACGGACACATCACATCCTTGGCAGTGATGAGAAGCTACAGAAGAATGGGGCTTGCCGAAAAGTTGATGAAGCAGGCATTGTACGCCATGTGCGAGTCATTTAACGGCCAGTATGTGTCGTTGCACGTAAGAAAGTCCAACCGAGCAGCGTTGCATTTGTACCGAGACTCGCTAAGCTTCGAGACCACCAGTATAGAGAAGCTGTACTACCAGGATGGCGAGGATGCCTACGCCATGAAGAAAGTGCTTAAACTAGACGAAATGCTTCCCTACCATGGCCACACTGAGGTGGACGACTTGCTGCTGGACTTGATATAGCTACCACCTAGACCATAGATGAAGTAATTAATATACACATGCAATAACCCTACCCTAGTATCTCTCCTTCATTCTGGAGGCCACCGTTCTCAAGTTTCCATACACCTTTCCTGGAGGCGAACCCAAAATCAACGACACCACCGCCTCTCTGGCCATTCTAATGTGGGTGAATCCTCCCAAGATGTGAATCTTGGAGTCTGCCAATACAATTCTGGTTCTGGTGGCATTTTCGATAGCAAACTTGGTCTTACCATCTTTTCCTGCAATTCTACCGATAGCTCTCGACAAGTGGTCACCGGTCAACGTCTTGACATCCTTGATCTCAAAAGTCTCGATATATAGGTCATCCAATCTCAAAAGAGCGATTGCATCGTCCACGTCAAACCCCAACGTGAATGCCTTGATGAAGTCTGCGCCCTTCTGCAATGCACCCTCATCCTCAGTGAACTTATTGGTTCTTAATTCGACGGTTTTGGTCTTCAAGTTCATTCTTACTTGCAACTTGAGGTGCTCAACTAATGGTGGATAAATCTTGACCCAGGTATTCTTCAACGGAGTCATTCTGTGGGGAGGAACGGCAACCTTTCTACTCTCTAACTTCACCTTCATACCGCTCTTACCAGCAGCAGCGAACTTGGGCTTTCCGGTCTCGTCCAACACTACCGATGTTGGCACAGGTTTGTCTTCAGCCATTTCCTCATCCTCAGCCACAGATTTGGGCTCAGCAGCATCGGCAACAGGCACATTTGTGGTATCAATCAAAAGCTCTTCTTCTTGCTGTTGCACTGGCTCCACAGCGGGAGCAGTGTTTTTGCGTGCGGTGGGGGCAGCCATGGGGTTTTAGATTTAGATCTTTAGAGATGGATTTTTTTAGGTTGAGAAGCGATGAGGACGCACCCTGTGCACGTGACCTCGATGGAGGACAGAAAACTTGTCATACTATGGGGAGAAAGATTTCACAAAAAGGAGCTAAAACAATTATGAAAATTATGTCAATGTGTTAAGCTCATCCATCTATTCCCATTCACTTGATTTTTGCTTCTTTTTTTTTCCAACCTCCCCATTCGTTCCTCGATGGTTGCCTTCGCGACTGTCTACAACCAGCGTAAAAGCAATTCTGGTGCCAGCAAGGAGCAGGGGCAATTTCTGTTTGCGGAGACCATTATATATAAATGGGCATTTCTATCATCGATTTAAACAAACTTTAGTGCCTCATTGAAGAATATCTCCATCCGATCAGCCCACTTCCCTATCTTGGATCCTGAATGGGCTTAACCCCAGACGTCCTCCACGCAATCCATATATACTACATAAGTTCGCACAGAAATCCGTCCCCGTATTCTTCAGCAAATTTTCTTTTCTAATACTTTCCAGTCTACTTTCACCAGTTCGCGCTGCTTACTCTGCCTTTTAGCCGGCCCATTCAATAATTTGTATTCTCGTTCAACACGAAGAATTCTGCGAGGAAAAACTTTAACATTTTCTCATGTTCTCGAGGTCTGCCAGCCTGATATCGTGTAGAGTTACTGGCTCCCATATTTCTCCGGGATCTAGGGCTTTTCCAAGGCTCACGCCGAGAGCATGGCACCAAATAGGTCCAGAACCACTAAATGTGGCTCGGTTGTTGCATAGTTCAAGTCGTCGCTGGAAACAACCAGTGACCAAGTCCCAGCTTCTAGCTCAAGCACAAAACCCCGTATCCAGACTCTGGGTTCATATCAAGTGGCCACTCACAAGAAACAACAGGCCGTTTTCCATGGACGACTTTACGGCATTTTCTTCTTGGCTCTTTGTGGGCAACGTCTTGTGGATCATCTTGGGTACCACCACCTTTGGGTTGTTCACGATGTATTCCGTGGACAAGTTTGACAAGTTCTATGACACACTCAAGGGTGAAACCGAAACAGGTAGCCAGACTACGGCTGAGTCGCGCAAGGACGACAGCTTCCTTGGCTACCTTGCACGTACCATTTTGTCCCATGGTCTTGGAGTCAAGATTGTATTCGAAAAGGGCAATGTGGTTCCCGAACTCATTGATGGAATGCTTCGTTTCAAGAACCTCAAGGTGTATTCCACCCACAACAAGGATGAAGTGAAGTCACTCGCATTTTCCGCCGCCATTCTGGAGGTGAACTTGTCTCTCTCGTTCAAGAAATGGTACGAGGGACGGGGCCTCATCTACGACTTGGAAATTTTCGGAATGAATGCCAAGGTTTACAAAAATGAAGACATGCCCGAGACAGACCCTCAGCTACTTCCCCAAGACAAGTCGATTCCGCTCAGTTCAATGGCCATGTCGTTCAGCAGGTACAGCGACAATGCCCATGTCCAGAACGACATCAACGAACACAACACGGAGATTCTCGAGAACTTGAACAATGTACCTAAGTCGTCGTTCATTGACGCAGACTATACGTTTGCCCATGTCAAGCTCCAGGACTCCCACATCGAACTTTACGAGAATCAAGACAAAACTCCATTCCAGATCACCATCTTCAACTGCGACATGCCAAGACTTCGTGGTAATCGGTTGTTGATCGATTTCTTCAATGCCAACAATGTCACAGGTGCAGTCAACAACTCCATGTTCACCATCCATAAACACCAGCAGTTCTCTGACAGCGACAACGTGGTGCGGTTTAAGCTCGATGGAATCAATATGGGCTCGCTTTCCAAGGCCAACCAGCAACTGAAATTCAATTGGCTTGTCAACGGAAAGGCCGAGATTATCGCCGACATACGCCTTCCTTCATTGGAGGAGAAGGAATTTGAGGATGGAGAGCTACTGGTGGGAGGCTTCTTCCAGAAATTGTGGGATGAGTTCAAGGACATCTCGGGCCCCAAGGAGGATGCCTACAAAAATGATAACGACACCAGCTTGCTCAAAGGTGCCATCTCCGCAATCTATGAGACGTTCAGCAGTCACAAGAATGAACAAAAGATGTCCAATGACTCGGAGTACGTGATCGTTAACTTTAAAATTACATTTACCGATTTGAAGGCTACTTTGCCTCTGCATTTGCCCATGGCTTCTTCGTCCAAAGTTCCTTTTATCACTCTTCAGTCATTGAGATCATTGATTGCTTACGTGAATGGTATTGAGCACCAGGACGCACTTGTGATCAAGACTACAGTGATCGAGAAGTTGTCTGACTTGTATGACTTGAACAACATTTCACAAACGAGGGTGTTCGACGCTATTGTCAGTGACATTTACGACGATCTCTTACGCATGGTTAAACTCGACGAGAAGAGAATCATCGAAGAGAACACCAATAAGTGGTCACACTCGGTGGTCAGCCAGCTTCTTCTTTTGGGGCTTGGTGTATTGGCCTGATATATTTATTTTTGCATCTAATGAATGAACGATAATGCTACTTCCCTGATTCCTTTTCCTTTCGTATAAGCGGCACACTAAGCTTAGTTCCACGCTTCATCATGAGCTCCTGCTCAAGTTCCTTTCCTACGGGCTTAGACCCTATGCCGAGAACCAAGCCTTTTTGGCGATGTGTAAGGTCTGTACTTCCTCCTTTGGCCAACTTTCCGTCCCATCCCATTCCACGGAGTAGGGCAGCTCCAAACTCCTCTACCGGCACATTTTCATAGTCTTCTTCAGTATTTTCCAGCACGCTTGCTGAGTTCTTACTCACATTTAGTACTAGACTTCCAGGATTTTCCACTACTTCGCCTTTTAGAAGCGAATCCCTTGCATTGTTGTCAATATCAGCCTCATCATCTTGAATGTCTTCGTTCTCCTTAGTTTGCGTTGACCTGCTTTTAAGTAAACCCGTACTTAAGTTTGCAGGAACTATAACAAGAGTATCTTTCTGATTAACCAGTTTGGAACCATTTAGAGCACCTCCGGAATTGTAGGCATCGATGATGACCTTCTGAGGCACATCTTCTTCTTCGGCCAGTAGAAGGTTCGATTTCACAGCAACTTTTTTTAGCGAGACCTTTTTGCCGTTCTTAGGCTTGGCTACTTTATTCTTCAAGTTCAACAGAAATCCACTCATGTGCTGTTAGTAGATGGTTGGTTTATTCTGTCTTGATATTCAATTCCCGTATACAATCTCACTATATATCTCACTATTAAACTCACTATTCACTACCCAGATGTATTGAGGGCCCCTCCATTCAGTCCTTTTAGTCATAAAACTTACCGCAATCAATATCACCATACATTTCAGAGCTTTGGTGCAAATGAAAAAAAAAAAAAGAATTGCAAAAGAAAAGTTACAAAATTGTTTCCCATATATTCTAAACTGAGCTTATATTCATCTCCATCTCTGCCTCCATACAAGCCATAAACTATTCGCGTCTTACCCAAGCGTGAACCAACTGGATCAAGTCGCTGGGTGCAACATGGATATTGCAGATCCGGTGTCTCGAATTCTGGACGTTTCAGAGAGCCTCAGCGAGGACTTCACCGACATGGAACAGAAACCAAATAATAAAACCATGCTCATGTCTCTATTATCAGGAAAGCAGAACACCAAGAAGAAACTACGAGGAAGAAGAAAGAAGATAGAAGGCTCCTTAAATGAGATAGCTGACGTTAATACCAACACCATGGAGTCTGATTCGAAAAGTCATGAAATTTTGATCAAGGAATCCATTGATCTGAAGCACATCGATCTATTGGAAGACATGGTACTTGACAGTGGAGACAACGCAGACAACGCAGACACTTCACTGACAGAAGAGTTATCAGAGATCACAGACACGTCGTTTGATGCCGCTGAGTTTGAGCGGAGGTTGCAGAGCCAGCGCACGTTGGCAGAGCTCGAGCTGAAGGTCTACAAAGAAGGTAAATCTGTTTCTGCTATGGACTTGTTGCGTGGTAGAAAAGAAAAACAGGACACCGTGGTCAAAGAGTCCGATTTGGTCGAGCATGTTTACCAGGAAGAGCCTGAAATCGTGGAGGTAGTGGTCAACAATATCACAGACCACATATTGGTGGAAGACGACCCAGTTAAACTTCTTGAACTGAAGTTTGCAAGCAAGAGAACAGCTGCACGCGACTTGTTTTCGTCCTTCACACCAAAGGCTGTGAAAAATTCCAAAGGAGAATGGACATTGAAGGTGAAGCTTCGATTGAGTCCACAAAAGTTGGCAGCTGTGAAACAATTTGAGAATCCGCTCATGGCAAAGGGAAACACTGGTCCCTGCCCCACGGGCAAGAGTTTCTTGAACACGTTAATGAAAACAAAACCAAGTTACGAGGTGACATTCAAACTTCCCAAAGATTTTTTACTGGAGATCAGACGAATAAGCAACCCGTTATATACTAAGAGTTCAGGAAACCAGAAAGGCAAGCCAGCAAACAGTGTTTTCGCAATGATGATGCAAAGCGCGAGCCAGACTGCGCTTCCAAAGTTGACGTCCATTCAGAGACTCAAAGAACTTTATCCTCCCACAATCCCCAAATCTTCATTGCATGTGTGCCCTCCAGACCAATACAGTTACTCCCTGGAGAGACTTAGAGAGCTACCGTTGAGGTCCGAACGTACACCCCAAATAGACATATCAAAGGAGCTGTTTGACTCCCTCCTAGAATACAAGGATACATTGAACTATGCAGAAATCAAGACAGTGATTTCCGACGAATTGAATCTAGAGACCATCGTCGACCGCATACCACTTGCATCATCTAATGCCGCCCACAAGCGCATTCTTGATGACTTCATTATGAAGCAGACAAATATAAAAAATTTGAACTGGCCACAGAAATTTCAGCCGGCCAATCTTGAAACACTGCTTTTAAGCGAATCGTCTCGAACATTCATCCGGGACTGGATTGACAACGCATTTTCTGTGCTCTCCATCCAATCCACCAAGACTCCTAGAAATGTTAAGCTACGGGAACAAGCCAAGAGACAGAGAAAACGAGAGGCTAATATGAGCTTTATTGTTGATGATGATTTCGAAGAAGAAGAGGACACAGATGAGGATATTTTCGTTCCGGTTCTCATAATCAGTGGGGAAACAGGCTCATGTAAGACATCCTCAGTGTACGCTGCTTTGAATGCATTGAATGGATATGTTCATGAAATTAACTCTGGACAGCAGCGTTCTAGAAAGGACTTGTACAGCTCATTGAAAGAGTTCTGTACCACTCAAATCATTCACCAAAACCTGACAGTCGATGGAACGACATTTCAAAAGGGAGTGGTTCTATTTGAGGACTGTGACATTCTCTTCGATCAGGACAAGACGTTCTGGACAGTTGTCCAAGACGTTGTCAACTTCTCCAAACGTCCAATTGTTATCACAGTAACAGACACTTCTGTCATTCCTCGTAACATTTGGGACCTTGCAGAAGAACAGAACTCCATTGTCAATCTTCTGATTCCTGACAATCAGTCTCTTCAACAATATCTCTGGTTGTGTGCGTACAGTTGTGGATACGACTTAAAAATTGGCCTTTTAAAGAAGATTGTTGATGATTGCCGTGTCGACACCAGCTATGACCTCAGGAAGGCTTTGATGATCTCTCAGTGGTTGTGTTGCCGATTAAATGCACCGGAAGGCAAAATTACGGAATTGAATTACGAATCCCCACAGCCAACCAAACTGACCAGCATCGAAGACTTGAAAGCTCTCGCTAATCGGCTTGATAATATGTCTGCTTCCGATATTATTGGAGAAAATAGCACATCCAAATTCTTGCACGACTCACACGAGAATGAACTTTTGGATATCTATGTTGTTCATGACTCTATGCTTACGAAACAGCCTTCCTTGCAGCACGAACTTAACATAGGAAAGGAATTACAGAAAATGATACATGGAGATAACGATCGCGAGATGACATTAGAATTTACCCACAATAAGCTTCGAGCGATTGTTCTTAAATTTCTCAGCTCTCGCAAGAAGAAGCTGCCTCGATTCCTACAAAACCTTCAAATTCTTCGAACACAGACCCGGAGCAGGTCGTCATCTGAATTTGTGGAAGATGAGCCAGAATTGCAGCTGTTACCGGATACATCAACGTGTTACAGCATGTCGCACTATCCGTTCATTCTAGACCTTGCTCCTTTCGCAAGACTCTGGTGCTGCTTCCAGAAAATGATCTTTGCCATGGATATCAAGAGTATGGAGAAGGGAGAGAACATCAACCTTGAAAGCTTCTTAGATTGGCGGAGATTCTACCATAATGTTGACGAAATCCTCGAGACGTCGCCGTTGAAAATGACTTAATAGACAAATTGCATACATTTTAAATCAACTTCGTTCCATATTTGAGCATTCCTCCTCCAAAGGATCTGGCTGCCTTGTGCTTGAAGTCAGTGGATTGTAGCCTTCTCCAAGCCTCTTCAATATGGTAGGGCTGTATGGGCTTTGCCAATTCGTCTGGTTTGTCAAACAAGTACTTTCTTTTCCTCTTGTTAATCTCCTTGTTTAGCATTCCTGTCTTCAGAAGTGACTGTTGGATTAATCTCTCTTCAGCAGCCTTGATGCCCATAGCTTCCTCGGTTAAGGAACACACAATCTCAAAAGTCAAAAAGCCCAAAATATCAATGACATCATCATTAGGTCTTGACTCGCAAATCTGGGAGATTTGGGCCCATTCCCTAAACTTCTTCACTTTTCTAAATGTGAAAGAAGCCTGTCTACATTCGGACCAATGCACATACTCTTCCTTGGTCATGTTTTTCGTTCTCTCATCGGCCATTTTCAATCTTTTAAGAGACGCCAACGTAGCGGCTTTCTCTTCATCATCCACTTCTTCAGCTTCCTCGGCTGTTTCTAGGTGCTGCTCACTGAACATGAATTGAACCTCCCAGGGCAACCGAATCTTCAGCTTACGATATCTTGTGATCATTTTAGATTGGTCGTTGGACGAAGCACCGGGACCTCCGCCTGCAGCAGCACCTTCTTGCTCCATAAATGATTCTGTTCCTCCACCTTCATCTTTGGTGTTTTTTCTCACATCCTTCCATGAGAGATATGTAATGAGACGGTTGACCTTTGCCCTGTCGTGTCTTATGAGAAAAATAACATCCTCTGGCGCTATGGATCGCGTGCCTCTGGCAGCGGCTGTCTTGGTGGACTGGAGGAGGATTTCGATAACCTGGCCCCGGACGATATCTTCTATAAGTGATGTCGTTTCGACAGGAGGATCGTTTGTCTCTCCCGAAACAAACATCATCTGTTGAACCTCTACACGGTATCGGTATTTATCTTGGTTGGACATGGTGTTGTCAGCGGTGGAACAGTTTGTCAGATAGTATATAGTTCAAGTAGTGTATATTTGAATGAGTTCTACGCACTCAGTAATTTGGGGAAGATAGTAGAATCAACTTAGTCGTGTCCCGTGAATTGACTATTATTGGGGGGAGACATACATGAATAATATGAATAAATTGGGATTTATTAAGAAGAAGAAGCAGCCACAAAATTTAGAGGTTATTGGGTAGTTTTTGTATAGGCATTTCCGGAGTGTCAATGTAGTACCTCCGTACATCACACTTATCTAGCTACAACCATTTTGACATATGATCCACGTGATGAAGGTGAAACTTTAGATTATGGAACGAGTCAATATGACATTTCCCAAGCGATCATTAGGAATTGTAAAGTCATAATTCGACTTCTTCTTTATCTTACTGTTCAACTTTCTGTTCTTGAAGATTTATGTTTCTCTTACACTTTCCAAAAATGTGAAGCTATCATTTCAATTCATCTCAATTAATTACATTGCCATGTATCAGCAATTCAACATTAATATTCAAAGTTCCCAGACATCACTTGAAATAATAACAGATAACCAAATCATATCGGTGGTCCAAATCTTATCCATTTCCTACCCTGTTCGAGGCAGCTGGTGCGGGTAACAGCACCGAAAAAAAAATTATATATATAAAGTGCGACGAATCCGCTTTTCTCATCTCATCAACTACAATACGTATGTACACATGTTGCAGTGAATATGATGAACAGAGTGCATTTGGCTCGAGACTTTCTGTCGGTGTGGAAAAAACCTAGCTACCTTATTTTTTTTTGTCTGACATTCATTGCATAACATTCTTTTATGTTCCTATACTAACCTACCCAGTGAATGCACCTTTGTTCACCACTTGTGACCCTCGTCTAGAATCTGTACCTCTCTAACTCTTTTTTACCGTAGTTCACGCAATGAGTAGCACTAAAAGCAAAATGCATAGCACCACCATGAGAATACCTATGCACCAATTGCTGGCAGTCTCTCGATTCTTCTCAATCACATAGTTGACTCTCTTCAAACCACGCTGGAGCTTATTGCCCACGGTATCCATCTCGTGGTCCAATTCATCCAACATGTACCCTTGGTCCTCCAACTCTCCACCCATCAAGGTGGCCTGTTGATTCAAACTTTGCATTGTCTGATGAATTTGGTCAAGCTGGAGGTCTTGTGACTGTATGAGCTCCTGTTGCTGAAACTGGTTAAATTCCAGGTCGATTCTGTTTGTTTCGCTGAATGGATTGCCTCCATCTTGGCTGATCCGATTGGACATGGTGGTGACTTCTCGTTGACGATGTGGATGTTTCTCTTTGGCTTCCCAATCGCTCTGGAGAAGATTAATTTTCTGCAGCAACTGCTTCAAAGTCTGCTTGCGGTACACTATGTCTGAGGACGTCAAGTTGAACTGGACTGGGTTGGACTCCAGGATCTTGACTGCCTGTCTTAAGTCTTCCAAGGTCTCCTCCAATTCCTGGTAGTTGTTGGCGAAATCCAACTTAGCATCTTCAGATACCACAGACGTAGAGTTGATGAAGTCGGTGAGACTGTTGATCTGCGCCCAGCAGTCCTCCTCCACCTCTTTGAACGGGTCCATGTTTAGTAGTGAAGTAGGAGAGTTGTAGATAGGTAAAAGTGTGTACAGTACAAGCTAGGAATAATGAGTAGGGCAGTAGAGGAGAAATGAAAGGAAAAGATGAAATATAAATAAAGGAAGCGGGAGAAAAAATGGGAAGGGAAAAGAAGCGATTTCATTCAAAAATATTGAATGGGACTTTATGTTCTTGCGTACCACTTGATATAGTCTTTTCTGACTATGTCGCTCAATTTCACTACATACCGAATCCTAACTAACAACCTCAATTGGCATCACTATAGATGGAGACCCCACAACATGAGAACGGTCACACCCATGTGGACGAGAAGAAACCGATAGAAGAGACTGCCAGCACCGTCCACCATACGCAGCCTCCAGTGCACGAGATGGTGGGAGGTTCTTCAGTAAGACAATACTTGAACAAGAATGTCACACCTCATCTTTTGGAAGGACTCAAGAAAATGGCCCAGAATCAGCCAGAGGATCCGCTTCGGGAGTTGGGCGAGTTTCTTATAGCAAGGTCAGAGAAATTGAAGAGTGAGCTGACGCAAAATGATCGATAGATAAAGAGAATCGGACAAACGAAGTAAGCGGAAGAATTGAAGAAATGAAGTACAATAAAAAGAAGGAAGGGAATGGAGACGAGAGTTATCAATAGAGGAATGAGTTTTGAAAGGTGGATAATGAGGACGAGAATTTTAACGATTGACCTTACCGATCATAATTACTCCAATGTCACAATAATTGTTTACACATTGGTGATTCGAGAAATTGGCATGGACACCTTGCAACAAAAAAAAAAAAAAATAAGGACATGCTTCATTGATTTTGTCCTATTATAGCGTTCTCCATTCTGATATTTCACTATTCTTCGGTCCTTTGCTCTTTACTTTCCAATATTTAGTTCCTTGCTACACACTTGATTTCCCATCACTCACTTTTACATCTCCATATCAACCCCCAATTTTATAATATACATAGAAAAAATCCACAATTCAATCATGATTCAATAAATTCTGTCAATTGATTTAGTAGCAGCTGGACTTTGTCCCCAGATATCACATCTTATCTTCTCTTCGTCTTCCACCTGCACACCTCTCCACGATTGCCTCATTATCACCAGAATCCCTACTATCTTCCTTCCAGCATGCCTGGAGACAACACCTTACGTCCGTATTACGACCACGATACCTTCAACGCAGGGTATCTGGTGATCTTTAAGCCCGGTGTGGGGCTAATAGATACCACCACGCGCAAACCAGTAACGGCTTCATTGGGCCACAATCTAGCAAACCAAAATGGCACTTTCCCGCCAGGAAAAGTCGGATTGCTGGCAATGTCCCCCTCCGGAGCTGATCTATTAATGAAATCCGCCGACAAGAACTACGTGTATGACTTGGAGCTCCTGGAGTATTTTGACATGAATAATTTGGGTGAGCTCTTCAAGAACTTGGTATGGAATTTCTTTAAGAACTACTGCAAGGTTCTTCTTTCACAACCATTGGAGATTGTGCGGTTGGTTCTTCAGGTTGGTTATTTTGACTTTACACTGCCTGCTAAAAACGACGCCAACTACTCACGTTTGATGGATGACATGGAGCCAAACTCGAAGTCCGTGGACTTGCTTTCATCTGATGACTACGAGGAGGAAATCGACTACTTCCAGCTGACAGAATTGGCAGAGGTGCCTGCCAATCGCCTCAAGAGGACGGAGACCCCTCCGCAGGTGAAACGGGCCAAAAGCAAGAATCCTAATAAGATCTATCCAATCTCTCGACACACCATCGACATCATGACGGCCATTGCATCTAAGGATGGACCATTTGCTTTATTCAAGGGTATTAACGCCTCGTTCATCCATTACACGTTGTCGCACACAATTGAGGCGTGGATCACTGGATTTTTATCGCCATTCTTGGCCATTCCTGATCCATTTTTCCTTGATTTGACTCATTCCACTGAACCTGCAAAGTCGCTTTGGCTCTCGGTCCTGGCTTGTGTGTTAGCAGGCGTAATATTGATGCCTCTTGACTTGATTAAGGTTAAACTCATGCTTACGCAATTTAACAAGCCTGCGATTGCCGAACCACATACTCCACAGGAGAGTATAATGACTACAGACAACGATGCTGCTCACTGGGCTGCCTCAACGTCTCCTGAACCAACTGCACTTTCCCATGCTCCAGAGCACTCGACCATGAATCAAAGATCTGTTAGAGACTCCATCCGGAATTTCCCTCATGGTGTGCTCCTCCGGCCACCTCCAACGATTGTGTTGCTTACGGTTCTCCATCAATTCTCCACTACTGTGTTCAGAAAACTGGCTCCTTATTTGTTGTTTGTGCGCTACAATATCGACTCATACCTGTCTCCCAATCTCTATACGGTGGTGAATCTTATGCTTCTGTTGATGGAACTCTTCATCAAGTTGCCCGTGGAAAATATGTTGAGAAAGGAGCAAGTTCGTTTCTTATTGACGCCCAAGCCTGTTTCGGAGGACCCATACCGTGTGGTGACTATTGACGACCCGAGCGAGAATTTGATTGTGACCTTCAATGGATGGGATGCGTCTCAATTGCTCGACGAGGAGGGCGAACAAAAATTAAGTTTCTGGACAAGATTCCGCATTTTGGGACTTTTCAACGGCTGGCGTGTGGGTGTTTTGAATGTGATAGGGTTCTGGGGCTATAACATCTTCAAGAGCTCAGCGGTGATGGCGGAGGAGAGACTTTAAGTCATGTTTATAGGATCATATGTATATGAAATCTCTTTTAGAGGTACCAATAGCTACGTCTGGTTGTACGAGGTAAGATAATAATATTTATGAATTTAATTCGAATGAATTCTTCTTTGTTCGCTTACATTAAATCTTGGTATTCTCCATTAAGTGCGATTCTAACAACCTTTATCTTGTACACCTAACTATCGCACTCCAATACATAACTTCTTCCACCACTATGTCTTCTGCTATTCCGTACAATCCAGACGACTTTGAAGACAATAATCCGTTTGCAGAGCCCGAGCAAAACATTTTCTCCCAAAGTGCACAGTCTGGCCATGCAGAAGACGAGAATGACGACAATGGTGAAGAGGTCGACACCATTAATGACACCACCACCAATGACAAAAATGACAAGAGTGAGGCGGATCAGGCCAAGTTGGTCAAACAGGAATTGATGAAACTTCTTCCTGAACGATTCACTGATAGATATTCCATGAAGATTATACTTCGTGCTGTCGAAAAGAACAAACCTTCAAATCCAATTTTACGGTTTGAAGCGACCGTTACAGGGTTGACCAAATACAGACAGAAAGTGTACAAGGATATCCGCAGAACATACAATGAGGTGGTCAAGTTCAACAATTACTTGATTGTGTCCAACTTGGAGGTTTTTGTGCCGGTGATCCTGCTGCCTACGACGCTGTACCCCACAGGTGGGGAAGATGAAAACAAGCAGCTTATGTATGTTTGGCAGGAGTGGTTTGATCGGGTGACCAAAAACCCGATATTGGTGCGTGATGATGAGTTTGTGTTTTTCATTGAGAGTGACTTTGGCTACTCAGTGATCAATTCTGCTAAGAAAACCCTGGTCGCCAGTGGGTTGGTAAGAAAGACTTTGAAGCAGCTTGCGGTGCCTTACGATCCCTATACGGAATTGGCAGAATTCAGGCCCATGATAAAGTCGGCATACTTGCTCTGCCAGAAGTTGGAGAAAGCCATGGAGAAAAACAAGAACAACGATAAGCAGTTGGCGTCGTATTTGAGTGAGCTCAGTACAAAGTTGAAAGGGTTATCACAGTTTGAAACGGTACATGTTGGTATGAAAAACATGTGGGAAAAGCTTGGGAAGGTGACGCAATTGCAGAGTGATTTGACGGTGATTCAGCTGATCAGTGATATGGGTGCGCTAGGTGATGGCGTGGTAGGACTCACCAACGACTTCTACGAGATCAAGGAAGCATTGACTAACCGTCACCTAATCATGCGTGAATTGCTCCAAGCACAAGCACAAACCAAGGCTAAGCACGTTCAGGCCACAAAGATCAAGAACAAGGTGTCGCTTGACCCCATCAAGGTAGATGAAGCCTTGCGGGCACTTGAATATGCCACCAAGGCAGAGGAGAGCCTTAACATGCAAGTTAAGAGGATCTCTGGTGAAATGATGTTCGAGAGGAAAGAGGTTGTGGAGCATGTGGAGCACAAGTTCCAACGAATGTTGAAGAATTTCGCTCTCAATCGTGTGGAGCAGCACCGCAAACTATTAAAGAACTTGGAGAACATCAGGCTAGATGTGCGTATCATCGACCTGAAGGGTGGACTCTCGCGATTGAATAGAGATAATCTTATTCAGATCCAGCACAATCTTACGCTGTCGCAACCAGCATCTGGAGACTCGTGGACTTCGAGGACGTTCCGCAGTTTAACGGAAGAACAAGCAGAGAAAGAGAGTCGACTCCGAAAGTCCGAGGAGACTGAGGTGGAGGTAGATGCCAAACAGGCAGCTTCAATCTTGGGGGCAGCCACTTTCTGATGGCTGTATCTCTGTGAAACCAAGCTTTGAATCTACAATGTGCATTTCTGATCGAGTTAACTAAATAGCGGAACATAACTTAATTGACCAAGTATCTCTTCTCGGCCTCCTTCCAGCTGATAACGTTCCAAATGGCCTTGAAGTAGTCAGCCTTGACGTTCTGGTACTGCAAGTAGTAGGCGTGCTCCCAAGCGTCAATGGCAACCAATGGCACCAATGGTCCGGTCACAGTGTCCTGGTTGGCAGTGGTGACCACCTCCAAGGCGCCACCGTTCTCCTTGTTCTTGACAATGAAGGCCCATCCGGAACCCTGAATACCTGCCAACTTGGCATTGGTGATGGATTTCAAGTTGTCGAGAGAGCCGTACTGCTCCTCAATCTTCTTGGCAAACTCGGAGTCAGACGAAGGTGGCTCACCACCACCCTGCTTCTCAGGGGCCAAGTTCTTCCAGAACAAACAGTGGTTGGTGTATCCTCCACCGTGGAAGTTGATGAGCTTCTGCAATTCGATGGTCTTCTTAACATCACCCTTGGCCTTAGCCTCAGCAGCCTGTTCAATTGCCTGGTTGTAGCCGGTGACATAAGTTTGGTGGTGCTTGGTGTAGTGGATCTCGTTGATTTGGGCCGAGATGAATGGCTCCAAGGCGTTGAAGTCCCAGTCCAAGTCTGGCAACGAGACCTTGGTTCTGATGGCGCCGATGGAGGCAAAGGCGGAGCGCGAAGCACGGGCGGTTCTCAATGTGGATGAAAGCATTACAATTGGAATTGGAATTGGAGAAATTACAAGGAAGCAAGCTTGTTATATAACCTCCGAGTGTATTAATACAGGACAAAACACTGCACTTTTATTGGCGAGCAGAGAGTATTGGAATCAGGAGAAGAAGGATGGAGAAATGGAGGTTGAGAAATCAGGAAAAATTGGAAGTTTGTTCAGTATATCCAATTGAAGGATATTAAACAATTTTTAACTCTTCAATCTCAATTTGGTATCGATTTGGTGGTGGTTTTCTCTGGGGATGGAGGTAATACACCCATACATCTGGAGGAGTGGAATTAGACTAATGTCAAAAAGGTTGAATTTCTAGATCTACGTCAATTGCATATCTCCTGGGGATTTTGGTGAAACAAAAAGCACCCTCATGTGTTGGAAACTATGAATTCTTTTCCATCTTTCTGTGAGCTGTGTATATTTCAAATAGTTGGTTCACCTTGTGGTGCAAAATTGGCTAGATTCGAGCGTGGGGGATTCTTAGTAATGGCTGAGAAGTATGTAGGATTGTGGCACAAGGATACAATCCTAGCATTTGTTGAAATTCCGTTATAAGCCAGTCAAGACGTCATGGTTGCTATTATCGTGTGAGTATTTTTGAAATAATCCGAGTGCTCCGCTGGTCGGATCCGAGTCTCGGTGGATTCAGGCACCAAGTTAGTAAGAGGTAGCTGCGACATTTGAGATTCTGAAAATAGCCACACTGCTTCAATTGTCTGTTCACTGTGATTTATTATTCGTTGTATTTGTACAGAAAGTGCAAGTAGTCTTAATGGAGCTCTGTGGAGCATGGGAAATGTTGAAAATTCGATTTATTAAAAGTACCTCCTAGTGATGACGTTGGCTTAATGGTTGATCAATATAGTCATAAGTTCGAATCGGCTTTACTATTCCTTGAAGGGAAATTATCCTTGTTTTTGATCTATCTCTGCTAGATGAGTTGTGGTTGAATTTTCTTTCTCGATCTGGTCCTCGTGTCGTTTCATCTTTTGTTTCTGCTCAGTGTGCTCTATCTCTCTGTCTAATCTCTGATTCATCGACCTTTTTTATTTTCCACTCCATCTCATTTACAACTTCTCTATTACTCACTATTTTCACTATTCTTCCTACTCTTGCTTCTCTACTCTCCATTTCCTCCCACCTCTCCCCTTTACAGGCATCTCTAATAGCATTGGATTCCCCTATATCTTAATTTCTCAACGCACGCAATCTCTCCGCAAGCTTATCCTCCTTCTCCTCAGTGATCGTCACTGGAGGCGTAACAATATCTACCTTCGTTTCGTTCAACCCTTGCTTCATCTCGATTCCTGCTTCATCAGCAATCTGGTTCATCAATTCGTCCACCTCCTCTTGTGGTGTGGTCAAAGCATTCACGTTGTTGGTGGCAGACTCATAATAATTGGTCAGTGCATCCAAATCTTCAAACTGAGTCTCGAATTTCTCCATAACAAGCGAGATTTTCTCCAAGTTCATCGTCTGAAGTGCCTTATCCATTCCTCGAATCACCTGTGTCATGTTGCCAGTAACAGATCTCATAGTCACAGCAGTCTGTACTCGCGAAGCAACAGCATCGATTCTGGAGGCTAGTCTGAGCAAGTTCACTCTTTCGTTCGACTTTCTGATGGCATTCTGGGCGTAAAGCTGAGCAATATCGTTATTACCTTGCATCATGGCTTTCTTAGTCTTTGCTTTCTCCTGCAACTCTTCTTTGGCAGCCTTTGCGGCTTGCCTATTCAACAGTTTGGCGGTAAATTTGAGCTGAAAGAGAGACTGCTCCAATCCGGCCATTTTTGGTGTAAGTATTAGTCTGAGGAGTTGATGGCCACTTTCCTATCTTATCTGATACTGCAGGTTATCACCATCATCAAGAGTCACTAAAGCCAGATACTTTTGAATAATGATACTCAACAATACTTTCTAAACTGGTGTTGTTTTTATGATCTATGTAATTTGGCATTTTCTTGACTCCCTAACTGGGTATTTCTGATATAAATGTTGATATCTTCAACTTTACCCTGGTCCCTTGTACTCGGACTTCATGTCACTCACAGATCCAATTATTCCAATTTAATCAGCTTTCCAATTCGGCTTGAGTTGTATGATACTAGGCAATTTAAACTAAACTAGCACATTATTATCCAAGTTAATCCAAATCAGGGGCATCGGGCATCTCTGCATCATCGTTAGCATCTGCCTGCGGTGTTGAAGACTGACTAGCTGGCGTTGCGGTCTGGGGTGCTGTAGTTTGAGTCACCGCGACCCGGTCAGAGGAATGCGTGGCCCGTGGGTTCGTCAGTTGCCTAGAAACCAGTGGTCGTTGGTGAATTCTGACCACGCTTGGTGTCGGATGTGAGGGAGCCTGAGTGGTATTGTTGGCTCGTCTTGCCTGATTTCTTGTCGCATCCAAATGGTGTCTCAACGCCAGTGAAATGATTCCTCCAAGATTTCCCCGAATGTCCGGAAGAAAGTTCTGAATAGAATTGCGGAAATCGGCTGCTGTTTGTGAATTACCAGCTTCCGGTTCTTGCACCACGGTTCGAATAAACGTGCTCGAATTAGTAGGTTGGGAGGTTGCAGCTCGTGCGGTTTGAGCTCCAGTCTCTGACTCATTTTCGGCGGCTCTTGCTTCTTCCCCTACCTGAGTTTGAGAGTCTGGGCTGATCGAAGTAGAGCTGCCACTTGAAGGAGTGACTGCCGTAGTTGAACTGGCTGAAGCTTGAGCAGCAGCACGAGCAAGTTCTGCAGCAGCGGAGACAACAGGTGGAGCAGGGGCAGGGACTGGGGTACGAACGGAGGCATCTGCTGTGGGCTGTGCTTCTTGGTTAGCTTGGGAAAAAAACTCCTGGGTTTGTGTGTGCACCATATCTCCGAGTGCTTCCCCAAGATTATTCAACATGTTCCGTATGCCATCTTCTCCAAAGTTGAATGTTGCAGTGGTATCAGTTGCTCTGTTTTCGCTCGGGGTATCAGCACCTGGAGTTGGAGGCACTGGGCCGTCATCTGTTCCAGAAGCAGCAGATGGATTAGTTCCATTATTTCTTCTCAATGTAGGTGGTGTAAATGTTATCGGAGACAGAATAGTCACTGCCGTAGCTTCCATATTGTTACCTGCCATGATGTCTTGAACAACATCGGGCGTAAGTATAGAAGGGCGGGTTCTGTTAGCTCGAGAAGCTGCCGTTCTGAAAGTATCGAAAGAAGTATCCAACGAGTACGACAAGTAGTTCAAATCTTCAGGTGAAACAGTGGCCCTGAGACGAGCCAAGATTGCTCGTGTTCTTGCAGTAATCTCCCGGATAGATTCTGTTGATTGGAGCTGTTGGCTGGCTCTTTTGTCCGAGAGTATGATCGACTGTACTAGCTTCTGGACAAATTGTGGAACCACAGTCCTCATTTTGTTCTCAGTGAACTTTGCTCGCAAATCCTGGTCCTCAGGAAAGTTTTCCGGGTATATTTCGCCTGCAACTGTCCGGAGTGCTGTGTGGAAACACTGCAAGGCAAGGAAACCAGATCCCAAATTAAGTTGGCAGTAGCCCAATTGTGCCCAAGCAGGTGTGAACGTTCTGTCGTATCGGAGAGCAGCATTCAAATCACTAACTGCTTCAGGAAAACAGTTGAGGCCAATGAATGCAATTGCTCTGTTCGTGTAGAGTTGTGGGACATTGTTGGAGCATGTCCAATCGCACAAGCTTATTGCCTCAGTGTACACCTTTATTGCTTGCGGATAAGAGCTGATGTGCATCAAGTTGTTTCCTTGCTCACGAAGCTGGCATACAACATCCGCCGTGGATTCTTGTTCGTCGACGTTGGCACTGGAAACCTGCAACTGCGACGCTAACATCGCTCTAAATACCCTGAAGAGGGTGTGAAAGTCACATGAGGTGCCGGAGGCTTCCAGTCGAAGATGCGAGACGGTGGAGTCGATCTGCATTGACAAAGCACCAATATCAAGCTGCTCCGTCAAGCTAGAAGCCATGTGTGTCAAGTATTCGGCTAAGACCTGTGAAATGGAATGGAACATCTGGGTATCTCCAACATTCGAACCCACAACCACCTTGGTAGCATTGATCAAGATCAAGTAAAGTTTCTTGCGGAGTTGGTTGACGAAGAGCAGAACACCTGTAAACTGTGCTGGCTCGTCGACCTTGGCCAAGATTTGCTCAGTGGTGATGGTATTGAGTACCTTGACTCTAGGACCTAAGAGCTGAGACTCCATGGCGTACGACAACGAATGTCTGTACTGACCCTGGGGACAGTTAAGAGCCAAATCGTCTTTCCTGTAGTAGTCAGCCAATCTGCGCAAGCCGAATTCTCGTACCAAGTGGAAGTTGGTGGTCATATCTTGAGCCCAAAGGGTCTGTTCTAGTGATTGGAAGTCCTCAGCAGGTAGGGCCAGGAACTTTGCTTCCACTTCGGCCAAGTGAGCAGTCATGGCTAGTGCAAATGCATAGTTGTATGCTGCCTCATTACTGGGTGAGTCTAGGGATTTCGCCATAGTTAATATCGAAGAATGGTGAGTAGACTCAGTGGAGGTTATACAGGAGTAGAGATCTGGAGAAGTAGAACTGTCACGTGTCGGAGTTCCACACAGTCAAACCATAATTGATGGATCTGATCGGAAAATGAAAAAAAAAAATGAAAAAGAAAAAAATGGATCTTGATATCTGAAGAAGGTATCGAAATTTTGTTTTTGATCTGGATTAACTTACGAGATGTATCGTTGATTTACGGGGTGGCTCACTCGTTAGCATGACCAGAAGAAGGTCATGGGAAGAATGATAGGAGAAAAAATAGGACACTAAAGTGCTAAAGACTCAAACCAGAGAAGCTTTCCAAGACAAAAATTTTCAAAATTGCTTCATGCAAGTGTTATTTAAATTCAAAGACTGAGTTCCTCATATCACAATCGCCTTTCCCTGATTTGGCCCATGTTTCTCGACAATATGTATGATCTTCGGATTTCAAAAGTGAAACTCATCAATTGTTCTCAACTTCGGATTCCCCAAAAATTTCATTCCCTAATACACCAACTTTCTTTTTTCCTCGATTATTGACTTCTGATTCTTCACTGAACTCCTCCCTTCAAATTCTTTTCCACCAAATGTATCCATAACCTTATCGCCCCTCTCCATGGTTTCTATCTCCGAGTCTGCGTATAATGTCACTCTGATCACCACTATTCTTTCTGGGAGCCAACCATGACAATGGCAGAACTTCTATATAAACCCAAATCAGAGCCTCAGAGAGCGCCCGTGCTGTTGCTCACTCCAGAAAACTGTCGATCGTCCACGCGGATCAGAGCATTCCTACTGTTATCAAGAATCGCAGCTGATGATACTATCAGGCAACATTTGAACGAAATCAAACCCAAACAATGTGACGATTACTTTGCGCGATCAATCTTGCCACAGTGGATTGCTCGTCAAGAGGCGATTCAGTATTGCTCGGATTACGCCCGGGACTTACACAATAAAACAGAATCAGAAAAGGTAGAGGTGAGTGGCAACTACGACTTGAGGGTCGATCCTTATGCGTTGAAGGACGCAAATGAACGTTTGGTTAAGCAGTTTTCCGAATGCTCCAATATCGAGAATTGGGTCGCTAATGAGTTGAGCGTTGAGTCCATCATCAAGGAACAGACTGCTAATGTGCTCAATGACAAGTGCTATTACAAGGACTGGCTTGCTGACTTCAGGCAGGCTCTCCATAAATAGGTTCTACGTAATTGGGCACGGCGTCAGAAGCTGCCTCTGTAACGCTCCAGAAGTGCTTCGTACGATTTTATGAATAAATCAATGCATTGACTTGATGTAGTTTTATGAACCATGGCTGTCTATCGTTGTGCTGCTGCTGCTGCCGCTGATAATGCAAACTTGTTTAAATTCTTTTTCGCCTCCAGTGGTCCTTGGCCAGCTGGGGTGTTGCCACTTCTAGATGCTGGTGGCCTTTGCGTTTTTTTGGTACTTGCCGCTTTCTTCGTCAAAGGTGGCTTCTTATCGTTCAACTTGGTTGACCTTTTAGTTGGCGCATCTGTCATCTTCCTGGTTGAGTCGTTCAGTGGTCTGCTGGGCGGTGTTTGTACGCCAGACTTCTCAGATGATGTGTTACTGCTGCGCTGCTTCATCTCTCTATCAACCACCTCTTTGGCATAAATGAGGCAGTCTATCCAGCCGATATTGGCACCAATTCTAACCTGGTCTCCATTTTTGTCCACAACCCGTGTGGGGTCTTTATATCTCTTAACGTCGTCTTCGCTGAATCTCTTGAGAAATACTAAATCACCTCCCTCCTTAATTAATTCCAATATGAGGTATCCAAATACATCTTCTCCTTTAAGACTTGAACCATCGCTCTGATCGTCATCAACAACTACAGATTCAAACTCGTAGTCGTACATCAGGTAGTCGCCACCTTGGTTGGCTGTCAAGTCCACCATCATCACATCAAGGCTATCGTCAATCAAAAACACACGAGCCTTGTTGGAGACACATGCAACAACCGGTGTCATGTGCTTATCCAAAATTGTCTCATGTCTTTGAATAAGCTTCTCTATAGCATCATCGTCCAAGCTTCCTGGCTTTCTGTTGATCAATCTATTGCTCAATGTCAGCTTCAATATAGTATCGAGCTTTATGATTTTCTCGTTTGAATCCAAGAAGGAAGATATATCCTTGAGTCTCACAGTGTTTGTAGCTTTCACCTTATCTTTCAAAGGTGGGAGAGCCTTGTTTAAGTTTTGAGGAGGAGAGCCAGCATTAGCTGTCTTGTTTGCCGTTTGTGGCCGTTTTAATGGCTGTTGCAACAATGGTAATTGTGGTGAAACTGCAGACCTCGTCTGCCCGTTTGGTGACTGAAATGCTGTATTGTTACGCAAGTTATTCATCTGTGGAGATCTGGGAGAAGGAGGCGAGATCTGAGTATCAGCCAATTTCTTTTCGAGATTTGGAAGAGCACCTTGCAGAGCCAATTTAGCCGCATTCTGACTAGTGATGTTCACAGGTGCTGGAGGCTCATGATGATGCAACCCATTTGGAGATGGAAATACCTGTTTGTGGTTTGCCTGCGAAATGCCATTGCTCCCATAAACATTGTTCGCCGTCTGGTTACCCTGCAACGGTTTCCAGGGATGGACACCTCTCGATGGTGATGGAGGAGTCATTCTTTGATCCTGATGATGTGCAGAATCGTAACGCCCGGGCGTGTGCTGTGGCTTGAGCGGCACGCTTTGTGTAGGCATGCCTTGATTGTTCTGTTGAACGTTGATCGGCATAGCGTGCTGACTATTTTGTTGCATGTTCTGTTGAGCGTTCTGTTGCATATGTTGCATACTTTGTTGAACGTTCTGTTGCAAGTTCGATTGCATGTTCGGTTGCAAGTTCTGTTGTAAATTCTGTTGCATGCCTTGTGGAATTTGCTTATTCTGTGCCATTTGAGGAGGCTGGGCGAATCCCTTCTTGATTCTAGTAGGAGGTTGGAAAGGTTTTGTCTTCGGTGCAATGGATGGCACCAAGTTATAATCAAATTGCTGAATCTGCGAATGCAATTGGTAGTTGGAAGAGGACTTGTTCATGTTTCTATTCGATCCCGTCTTGATCTGTGGTGCCGCATTATATGAGACCGGCTGTTGGGGAGAATAAGGTTCAAATCTGGGAACCTTTCTGCCCCAGATATAATCTCGGTCGTTCCATGGAATACCCTTGAACCAGGCCATGTTCTGTATCTGTGGGATGGTCAACCTTTTCAGAGGCTCGTACACCAAGATGTTATCCACAATATCCTTAACCATGGGTGGAACTGGTCCCCGGTATGTGTAGTTGAGCGCAATGATCTTTTCGAAGGTGAGATACTCCGTGTTGCCCTTGAAAGGCGGGAGTCCATTAAAAAACTGGAAGAGGATACAACCAATTGCCCAGATGTCTGTTTCAAAGCCGCATGCATTGTATTTCAAGAGCTCTGGAGGCACGTACTCGGCTGTTCCTACGAAGGAGCCCTTACGGTCCTGATCTTTCCGAGCATTCTCCTGAACAGAGTCATAATTGATCTTCTCATCCTGAGAATCGTCATCATCGCCTATTAGTTTGGCGGCGCCAAAGTCTGTGATTTTAAGGTTGAAGTCATAACCTACCAATATGTTCTCTGGCTTCAAGTCCCGATGAATGACGCCCTTCAGGTGTATGAAGCGCACCGCATCGATGATCTGTAGCATGTAGAACTTCAGTACGGGCTCCAGAAGCGAGCCAAACTTCGATATGATGGAGAGCAACTCGCCGTACTCGGCGAAATCAAGCACGAAAAACAAGCTCAGCTCATCCTGAAAGGTGTAAAACAACTTGACGATTCCAGGATGCTGCTGACCCAAGCGATGCAACGTCGTCTTCTCGATGTTGACGTATTTGATCTTATCTTCCTTGACAATGTGCTTTTTGGAGAGCACTTTGATTGCATATGTCTTGTTGTCATACAAGTCCATGGCCAGATACACGGTGGAGTAGGAACCTTCTCCGATCTTGGTTCCAAACTGATAGTCTCGTGCTGTACGTTTCCTGGGTGCTGAAGATGAGCCGCCATTTGTACCTCCATTTGATGTCCCGTTTGACGAGCCTGGGGCGGATCCTTGAGCATGGACTGGGTCTGACATGGACAAGGATTCAATTGGGAGCACACAAGTGAAGAGGTGAGCGTCTGTTGTGGAATATAGCGTCAAAAAACGGTTAAAAGAGGGGAGTTTTCGATGAAGGGGGACAGTTGGGAATGCTTAGGTGTGAACACCTTTTTTCTGATACATAGCGTTGTGATCTACTGCATGGAATGTGGAGGGATTTAAGCCTTTGACGTCAATGTAACCAGTGGCGGTGGAATTTGGGTAAAATAGTTAAATAATGTAGTTCTTCGTGTATTGGTATTATTTGGTAAACATGTGAGATATTTTATCTTTTTTATTTTGGTTCTGGTGGATAACGTATTTACAAGAATTTGGGGATGTTCCAAGATGATTATGCCACCTGTTGTATTTTGAAAGTGTACCCATGTCTACTGATGTTACCAAACATGATAGACAGATGAAGAAGTGCAAGAATATTCAAGAATCTAATCCTCCCGAGTCGATTTTCTTCTTTTTTTTTTTTTTCTCTAAACCTTTTCCTCTTCTTCGTATTTTCCTACTCCCATTGGTTTTTGTAAGTCCCAAGCTAGTGTGCACATCTTGAACAAGCTTTTCATCTTATCTACTGCTCCACACCATGCTCGTGCAAACACTAATACCGCGAGCCTCATGGGCCCCTCGCATCTTGGTACCCTTTGTAAGGTCGTTACATACGTCTTCGGGCCCTGAGCAGATCCGCAAGCTCTTCGACAGTCAGAAGTACTTCAAGAACTTCACTCAGTCAAGCTACTCCATGTTGAAAAATTCCAACGTGGGGTTGTTCCGCAATAGCAAACTTCAGACTCCTGAGGGACTTGTTAAATTCTCCAAAGAATCCCTCGAGCAGGCACGTCTGTTGGTGCGGACAATGCTTTTGGAGGCTAAGAATACCGAAGACGGAAAGCTCACTTACATCCGTAAGTTGGACCAGCTCAGCGACATTCTCTGCCGAGTGATCGATGTGGCCGAGTTCATCAGAGTTGTTCATCCAAGCCAGAAGTGGGTGGATGCTGCTCAGAAAACCCACGAGATGATGTTTGAATACATGAATCAGCTCAACACTAATGTGGACCTCTATAAAACATTGGCCAATATTCTAGATCTGTACGTCGCCAAGGGTTTGAGTGACGAAGAAATTGAAGTGGGCAAATATTTGAGACAAGACTTCGAGCGTTCGGGTATTGCAATGGACCCAGAGTCAAGAGACAATTTCGTGGCCATCACCCAGCAAATCTCCCTATTGGGGTCTGCGTTCAACAACGAGATCCACAATTTGGAATCGTACTGGTGTAGTGTTCCGCGTCACGAGTTCGAGAGTCTTGAAAATAATTCGCTCAAGCAAGAGATTCAAAGTATGCAATCGCGTGCCCAGGGTCAGAATAAGTCAGAAGTCCAAGTCCCTTTAGCTGGGCATATTCCTTACACCTTACTCACAAATTGCAAATCTGAGGAGATTCGGAAAAGAGTTTGGATTGCATTGCACAACTCCCCAAAAGAGCAAATCCAGACCTTGGATAACTTTATCAAATGCAGAGCACTCTTGGCAAATATGTTGGGCTACAAGTCATACGCAGACTACCAGTTGGAGCACAAGATGGCCAAGAACCCCAAAAATGTGATTACTTTCTTGAGAAACTTACAAGAGACTTTACTTTCTAAAAAGGATGGTGTTGTTAGTGAGGTCAAAGGTCTCTACAAATTTAAGCCCAATTGCAAGCCATTGGTTAGTGATGAGAGAGTCTTGAATGAGGTTAAACCATGGGATAGAGACTACCTCTTGGCTTTGGAAAGTACCTCGACGAAGTCACTCGAGACTCCAGAAAGTATCTCAAATTACTTGTCGGTGGGTACGATTATGAGTGGTCTTGACAAGCTATTCAGAAGCATTTACAATGTTGGATTAGTTCCAGAGAAAACAGAAAAGGGCGAAACTTGGGATCAAATCCAGGTTAGAAAATTAAGTTATGTCGATTTGTCCACCAATGAAGTGTTGGGATACTTATATGTGGATTTCTGGTCTGCCAAAGTACTTCCATCACACTTTACTATTGTTTGCTCAAGGGAATTAAATTCAGACATTGGAAGTGAATCAAGATCAGAGATGGAAAACTTGGTCCACTTAAGCAAAGATTCGGATTACCAGTTGCCTGTCATCTCGTTGGTATGCAACTTCCTGAAACCCAAGTGTGGGGGTCGCATAGCAGGATTTGCTGGGCGTGACGAAGATTGTCCTACCCTCTTGACTTTGGAGCAGGTGGACACGATTTTCCACGAGATGGGACATGCTACTCACTCCATGTTGGGCCGTACCAGACTCCACAATTTGTCAGGAACAAGATGTCAGACTGATTTCGTGGAGCTTCCTTCTGTTTTGATGGAACTGTTCAGCAGCGATCCAAGAGTGCTCTGCAAAATCGCTCGTCACCACAAGACAGGAGAACCGTTGTCTCGAGAGCTTTTAGAGAAACATCAAAGCAAGAGACACGCACTCAAGCTGTGTGAGGAGTATTTGCAGTCGAAGATGGCATTGTTGGACCAGGTCCTTCATGACGAAAATGTGGTGGACTTTTCGAATGAACAAGCGTTCCAACAATTCAGCTCCACTGAAATCTATCACTCACTTGAAAAGAAACTCAAGGTCTTCAGTGATGAGTACTCTACATGGCACGGAAAGTTTCCCCATTTGTTTTCTTACGGAGCAGTCTATTATTCTTATCTCCTTGATCGTGCCATTGCAGAAAAAATCTGGAAGGGACTTTTCAAGGAAGATCCATGGAGTAGAGAGGCTGGAGAGAAGTACAAGCAGAGCATTTTGAAGTGGGGAGGAACCCGTGACCCTTGGGTCTGCTTGGCTGATGCATTGGACGAACCGGCACTCCGGAAAGCGGATTCTCGCGCGATGGAGATCATCGGTCACCTTTAGATAGAATCACCTTGTATATATGGTAGCAGGTACTACTGCACGCAATTTACGACCCACTATGAAGCATCAGATTTCTAGCAGGACATATTTTCCACCACATTGATAACTATGCTACGTCGCCAGTTTTGTCGATATGCAAGTACATTCAGGAGTACTACAGCACTCAAACGGCCAGTTTTTGACATCAGGGCCATTCTAGCCAGAAGTGACGAGATGAGGACCTCCATGGAGAGACGTGGAGAGAGAGATACCTCCAGATTGGACTTCATTCTTGAGAACAGACAGAAGGAAATCGATCTTCAGAACGAAAGAAATAGATTGGTTAACGAGAGAAAGTCATTGGGATCCCGGATGGCTGGTTTGGTTAAGCAGGGCAATCTGGAAGAAAAAGCTGACTTGCAGAACAAGTTACTAGACTTCAAAACCAGGATTTCCGCCGTCGAGGCTGATCTAGATGCATTGTCTGAGAAAATCCACAACGCAGTTGAATCTCTACCTAACTGGTTGGATTGTAGTGTCCCACAAGACCCACTCGAGCCGGAGGTTGTGCAAGTAATTGGAGGTACTTCTTTGATGGAGATCGAGAGCAGCATGCCTGTGAACCAAAATGACCACAAGAAGATAGGTGAAGCGCTTGGACTCATGGAATTTGTTGCTGCATCCAGGATATCTGGGTCCTCTTGGTATTACTTGGTGGGTGACGGAGCATTGTTAGAACAGGCTTTGGTTCAGTATGCCCTTCGAAGAGCCCGCCAAAAGGGGTATAGGATGGTTGTCCCACCTTCGATTGTAAAATCTGAGGTTGTGAATGCCTGCGGATTCAAGCCAAAGGATCAAAATAACGAGAAACAGGTCTATGAGATTGAGGGAGAGGATCTCTCGCTCACAGGCACAGCAGAGATACCTTTAGGAGCCTTGCACTCGTCATCCACTATCGACCTTCCCAGAAAGTACGTCGGGGTGTCGAGATCTTATAGAGCGGAGGCAGGAGCTAGAGGAAAAGACACCACAGGGCTTTACCGAGTTCACGAGTTCACTAAAGTGGAGTTGTTCCATTTCACAGACTCTTCAAGATCTGAGAAGGATTTGGAGGAACTTCGCCTCTTCCAGACTTCTATCATTGAGGATTTGGGATTACGGGCTAAAATGCTCAACATGCCAACTACAGACTTGGGGGCTCCTGCAATGAAAAAGTACGACTGTGAGGCTTGGATGCCTGGAAGAGGTTCGTGGGGAGAGTTGACTAGTTGCTCAAATTGTGGAGATTACCAAGCTCGTCGTTTGGGTATTAGACATAAGAACTCTGCAGGTAAGTTGGATTATGTCCATACTTTGAACGGAACTGCCATGGCTGTACCCAGAGTGATTGTGGCCATTATTGAGCAGAACTACGATCCACAGACCAAAAGTGTGAAGATTCCAAGTCCTCTTGTACCCTACATGGATGGAAAAACTCACATTACTTAAAAGCTCACGCCGTACATAGACCCATAATTCCGTATGTAAATAGACCGACCCTGTAAGTTTCACCATTCGAAGTGTGAAATCACCTGCATGATTAAAACTCCTGGTCGCTATTTATTTGCTCGTAGATATCAGGTAGCAGGTCTGTTGCCTTCGTTGGCATGCTAATGATTCTCTTCCTGATGGAGCTGTGTTGAGTTTTACCCAATTGTGACAACTTGTCCACATGCATCTGCTGCAATCGGTCGTACTTCAGGGTGTCAATTTTGGACACCTTAGATTCGAGATGATCCACGGTGTTCGTTAGGTCAGTAAACTTCCTCTCGAGAGTAACTAGATCCAAGTACTTGGATTCATAGTACTTGCATAGACTTTCGTACTTCTCCTGAAGTTGTGCATGCTTGAATTGCAAGTCTTTGTATTCGTTCGTCTGCAATTGAGCCAGAACGTCAACCTGAAGCGATCTAATGGTAGCATTCTGATTTTCCACTAGTTCTTGTAGACGAATAATCTCGCTGTTGGAGTTATGTGTATCCAAGGCTTCAAGTTTTTTAGTTAATATATCGATGGTTGACTTTTGGGAGTCACTGCTGTGGCGCAAGAGATCGGACACTTTCGTGAGCTCATTAACGGTTTCAGCATTCATCGTTCCCATGTACTTTTCAATATCCTTTGCAGAGCCTTCCGAGACCTTATTCAATGCTCTTTCCACATTGTTGAGTTTCAGGAGTACCTCGATGTTGGCATCTTCAGGATCACCTTGTGAGTCGCTGATTAGAGTCTTGATTTGCTTTACAGACTGTTCTTGGGACTCTTGCAACAACTTGAAGAACAACTGCTCAAGTTTGGGAGTACTCAACTCATTTAGACGCTCTAAAATCTTAGATACGTCACTCTTGGTAGCATTTCCTTCTGTGGTTACCTCCTCGGAGTAGGCTGCAATGCTCTCAAGTAATTTGTTCAAGTTCTGGTTGTTACTCTTCAGTCTGTCGAATAATTGTTCCAAATCATCGTTAGTCTGCTTAGTCTGTACTTCTATTAACGCAAGCAGCAGCTTGATCTCTTCGTGTGATCCATGAATACACTCAAAATGATCGTCCAAATTATCATTCTGAAGGAAATTAAGCTTCCCCACCGAGTTGGTGTTGTATTTGCTAGGTGATATGGGCTTCAATGCTCTTTTGGGATTTGAGGGAGAATATTCCACGCTAGGACTCGACGTCATTTTCAGAGGCGTTGTCGTCACGTTTTCCTTGTCTATAGAAGCCATTGGTTGGTTTTTTTGTTATATAGTAGTCCGAAAAGGTAAACAACTCGTGTTGTGCAGGCTTGTTGATGGTTGAAACTCTGATTCGCACCCAGTTGGGCACCCAGTTGGGGATGAAGGTTGGTCCGTGACGTAGTTTACACTCCGAACTTGCTCTTAATAGCCAGCGAGTAAAATGACCGTTTCAGGCTCTCCACAGTTTCATTCATTGATTCAGAAAGTCCACTAGCATACTGGTTCATGCCTTCCTCCACGGCATCTAGGCCATCCCGCATGGTCTTCATGAATCCACCAGTACCAAATGCATAAGGGTTCGTGCTTGTGGCTCTACGAACAGGTTGCTCGTAAGCTTTTTCGGGCTCCTTTGATGCTATTGCGCCTGCGTACGCTCCATAGGACATGTTGGGGTTGGCTTCCGGACTGATATTGTACGCCAATTCACTTTCCGAGTGTTTGGCAGGTTTTCTGTTGGGGCCAGCGATCAACGAAGCCAAATCTTGGCTAGATATGTAGCTTGCTTGTCCCTTTGCCCACAGCAACGCACCTGCTGTTGGGCGGGGTGGAATAATGGCGTTCTTGTTGAACAATAAATCGGTAGGATTTGTCTTTGGAAGACTCTTATTCTTGGACTCATCGTAAATCAATAAATTCAATGTCTCCGAGGTGCTCATCAGGACAATGATTTCACCCGAAGATATCACGGTTGAATTTTGAGCTGCTCTTCCTTTCAAAACATTCTGTAGTTTCTTGTAGATGTCAACGGGGAGCTTAATGTCTGCAACGTCACCAAGAGAGGGAAGTGAAAAGAGCTTCACGAACCCAGTTTCCGTCAAAGCCGCTAAAGCTATGCCTTTTGGACGGATATTGACTATACCACAGGAAACACATGTCTCGTCGACCACTTTGTGAGCCAACTTCTGTTTAGGTGTCTTGAGAACTCTGAGGTCTCTTTTGGAACTAACCACTACGTAACCAGGTATAACAATGTTGCGGGCCAATGCTCTGAACATTTCAAGTGTCGCCACAGCAGATTCTCCAGTTGCCGCATTAATGGGCATTATCTTGTCCAATCGGGAATCCTCATTTTCTTTACTTCTGTAATTAAGTCCAAGTGTCTTGTCAGCAAAAGCGACATCAAATGCACCATTCGACTGGGGGACAATCTTAAAAGTCATTAGATTTCCTCCGGAATTAGTTCCCACAAATAAGAGTAAGGAGGAGTATCCATCTTGACCGTACTCCATGATGGAAAACTCAAGAGAGGTGACATAGCATTCTCCGCTAACTGAGGGCAAGTGTCTTGTGATGTTCTCTAAATTCATGATCACTGCTGGACCTCGAGAAATATCACAAACAACAAGTCTTCCTGATTTGTAACCCACGGCAGCAAAGCCAGCATCTGTCAGCTTCAAGCACGAGATTCTGTCACTGGATTCAGTTTGCAAGAGAGAAACTGGCATGAACGATGGTTGAGAAAAATTCCCCAGAATGCGACGAGACAAATCAATAATTTTAGCAGTGCCATTCGAATGCTGTACAGCGCACTGGTCGTAACCACTACGAGATGGAGGGTTAACACCAGCTTTAGTGAACTTACAAATGGCAACATTTCCATTTGCCAATCCGACTAGCATCTCACGGGATTCAAAACTGCACGATACACTAATTGGACGATAAGATGCTGAACCTGTTCCATTATCCAACGTGTCCTTCAAGTTGATCTGAACGATGGACTCGTCATCATTGTACTCTCCGCTGGTTACGTCCAAGAGACAAACAGAGCCATTCTCATGAGCCTTAATTGATACGGTATGATAACCTTCATCAAGGCCAATTGAGCGAGGATATAGTTTATTGGAGGCAGCACCTCCTGATAGCAAAGTATTTGGTGGTGCACCTTTGGCTCTTCTGTTAGAAAGAATACTGAACCAGTTAACTCTCTTGACAGATTCAGAAGACGAGAAGGTAAGGGGTGGAAGAATTGTCGCCAAAGAGGGAGGCATAGTCATATCCGGAGGTGAGAGCGGATTGAGGGGGCTCATGTATAAAGCACCTAAGCTTGACAAGAGAAAGATTCTTGAGGGATTGTGACTGCCATTGAAATATGGTTGTGCTTCAGCAGCAAGCGGGAGCAAATGAGTAATGTACTCTAAGGGACCCTGCTCTTGCAGTCTGCGGTTGAACTTGACATGAATCTTGCGTTGGCCCTCCTGCGGCTTCCTGTAGAATTCACCTTGCTTCTCGTGGGAAGTCATACTGTACTTCAAGGTATAGCCAAAATCCAAAATATCAATGACGTCTGGGGCTTCCGCGGTGGCTCCTGTTACAAGTAACAGTGTCAATTCTGGATCTTGGCCCGTGATCCATCTGGCTCTCATTTCTCCGCACGCACCCACCTGTGCCGGTGGACCCTGCTTGTGAAGTCCAGTTTCTTTGATAGTTCTGGCCTCTAGTAATGTGGCACTGTTAGAATCCCAAAACGCAAGAGTTCCGTCTGCGTGAACTGTGACCACATGGAGACCATTTGGGTGGTAATGAGCTTCAATCACCCTAGGACAAACCTCTTTCGGAGAGCCAAAAAGCTTCTTTTTCCCACCTGTTTCGATCAAATTGGAGTATTCAAAGCCTCTGCAACTAGGATCGAGTTGATAAATGAATGCATTCTTGATCCCTCCACTAGCTATGGAGTATTGGACGATACAGTGAGAGTAGGAGATCAACAACGAACCGATATCTCTTGGATGCCACTCAATAGACAAAACAGGTGACATCTTCTGCTTTGGCATCACCACCTTCTGCAAATTATCAACTCTGAATGGGGTTAATGTAAGACGATCAACATCGTAGAATATGAGAGAGCCATTGTTCAAGCCGACCACTAACCAGTCCAAAGATGGATCGGATTCCACTGCACATACGGTTCCATGGGCCAGGTAATGGCCCAAGATTTCCTTGGACTCGAGTGATAATACTGTGATTGAACCGGATGTTTCCACGCAGACCAAGTATACACCTTTGACGAATCTCAAATGAGACACCGAACCCAGTGACTTGAGCCCGAAGACAACCTCGACGGTGCTCTGCCCGTAGACATGAATCGTGTTGTTTGTTGTACCAACAGCTAATAGTGACTGAACTGGATCGTAGGCAATAGCAGCAATGGAATCGACTGGAAGTCCCAACTGGTCCCCCGCAGTAACTTTGAGATGTTTGGGGGAAACTTCTGGGCTTAGGTTTGAAGTACCTGAAGATTTGATGGCATTGCTGACGGAACTAAGTGAGAGAGGGGCTTTCCTCAGTTTGATTTTGTTAAACATGAAAGGTGGTCGTATAGAGTTGATCGGAGTGCAGGTGAGAAAGGTAATAAAGTAGGCAGAGTAGGAAGGAAGTCAAGAAAAAGAGTTAAGTTAAATATTGACGAACAGGGAAAGAAAAAATTGAGGATGATAAGGTGATGACATGGAAATGAGGGGTTAGGAATTGAAGCGTAGAATTCAAAAACAATTTACCAAATCTATCTAGAAATTATGGGGGGGAGTGCAGTCACATGGCTGAGTTCAACAATTCAGAACTGGTTGCAAATTCATCTATCTGTCTCCGATCCTAGAAGAACGAATTAAGCAATGACGACAAATTATCAATGAAAACTTCTCATGTTTCATTTTATCTTTATTTTTATTTTTCATTTATTTTGTACTGTTTAGATCATTTGGAAGTTCATAAATTGTTCTCTATTGTTCACTTCTTATTCGCAAGTATTCGCGGGTTTCCCGGACATTATCAATTCACGAAAAAGTCTACTTACACAGAAAAAATACTTAAGCTTCAAGATAGCAATAAGTGGCATTATGTCGCAAATATTTATCCCTCAAACTATCATATATGATGATTATAAACTCTTGAATGCTCTCTACCACTAATTATCCACATCTTTCAATTTCAACCAGAGGCACTGGTGTTTTGCACCTTAGAACACGTATCACAAGCTTCCACACTTCACTACCTTCTTCACAATTGACATGGTACGTTCCTTCCATAACACTTTCAATGAGCAGATATTAACTATAGTCTGATAAATTGGTTGGCTTGGCAATGCTTGCTGTTGCTACTGGTGTATTCTCCTACTACACCGCTTGGGTGTTTTTGTTACCCTTCCTAGACGATGACAACATTCTCCAGAGCCTTTTCCTCCCAAGAGACTACGCTATCAAGTTGCCAATCCTCTTGCTCGTATTGGCAATTTTGGCCGTGGGTACTTTTGTGGGAAGAGTGTTGTTGAAGAACGCTGAGAAGGAAAAGTTAAAAAAGAGTAAGAAATCCGACTAAGTACGTGTCGCTTTCGATACATTCCACAGAAAACTCTATTAACACAAAGGACGATCTAGTGATGCATCCAGGGAGCAGCTTATACTGTGAGCTCCCCCCCGATATTATTTGTTTTGGTCCAATACAACTTAGCTTCCATGTTTTATGATTATTTCAGACGAATGGTATAATCGCCGGTTTTGGTGATGTACTTGACACCTTTGTAGGGCTTTACTGAATCCCCCATTCCCTTAGCGCTGATCACCTTGAGGCTATCCACTCTTAACCCACTTGGAACTTGGCCCTTGTAAGTGAAAGAAACATTGTAATAAGAAGGCGACACCGGTTTGGCACTAGGTTTGTCTACCTCTGAATTCTCATGAGTAGATGAGCTTGCTGATCCTTCTGAATAATCGTCTTTTCCTCCCTTCGTGGAGATTATGCCTCTAAATACAGGCTGATTACCTGTGGACAAGTTCTTAATTGTCCACTCACCACGCCCGTTACCTTTGTAGCTGAAGTCACCATGGGTTGCTCTAATAGTCTTGATGTTTGAAACTCCATTTCCACATCCAGATTCGTCGTCGTCTTCCCCAGGAGCAAATGCAAACATCTCCACTGTGATACTTTCGATCTTCGGCACGGCCTGGAGCTTCAGAACTATGATGCGAACTTCAAATTCGTTCAGATGGATTCCAAGATCCAGCAGACAATCAAATTCAAGTGGACCGAGCATGTTCAATTGAGTTTTCTCAGGGAGAACATCCAAATCAACCAGGTAAGTCATGAGAGTGGACAGACCATCCGGAGGAATGAAGGTGAGTGAGCGAGAGCGCTCCCAATTGGTAGGATTTATGCACTGATGGAATTGAGGGGCCTCGATGTATGTAGATGCCGAGTTGAGTAATATCTGGAGCTGGGGAACTCCACTAATATGCGAAAGGCAGTCAATTTTCCCACTGATGGTACCTGTCAATGGGACAAGACGCTGACCCGGGGTAATGTTCGACAGCGAATAGAATGCAGAGTCGAAGTTCTGGGTGGTGGATCGCGTCTTGTGGCCTCTCTTGGGTTTCAAGATCACACTGACCTCTTCAACGACATCCACAAACATCTCGTTGTTTGTGTACTTGACGTTCGACCGACGCCATGGAATGATCTCGGTGTCTAGAACACGTGTTGCTGAAACCTTCAGGAGGGATGCCAACGACTTATTCGTGGCAGCAGCAGCCAATTCATTGCTGGTGCTCAAGATCTTCAGAAGAAAACTCTTCAGCAGCACCGAGTCTCGCAAGCGATTAAAATCGGTGATATTGGGAATACCATCGTCAATCATCTCGTTCACAAGCAAAGTCAATGTGTCGTTATTGGCGTCGATTTTAGTGGAAGCAAGAGGTGTACCAAAATACTCTCCCATGGCCTCCACCAATCTTTCTATCAAGACGAACGGAATCAATGGATTGTATGTATTGTATCCGGACAGCGCCGCCAGCAGGCACAAGACGTAAATATAGAGATTGTCTGCGGGCTGGCAACAGACATAATATTCGTCATTGATAGTCAATAGTGGTGGAGGGTTTGAATCGTCGAAGTCACCGAATTTCAGGCGGATGCCGTTCATAAGTGACTTGAAGCCTGGTGAGTACAGCTGTACTAGGTACTCATAGACCAAATTCTGTTGGCGGTCAGCAATGTAGACGGCCTCGAACATGGATGGGATGGAAAGGTTGTAGTATTAAAGTAGTTTAGTTAGTGGGCATATAACGGACAGGTTCGCATTTGACTACACCGCACTCAACCCGACTTGAGAACTCAAATTATGGGGATTCGCTGGCTATGATCGCACCTAGTAAACTACATTCAGATTCACGGGATATTTGATTAAACAAATATTGGGTAGGGGGGGTAAAAGGGGGTAAAAAAAAGTAGTCGAGCCGTTCTTAAATCTCAATAGGGTAAAATCTTTATCCTCTTTGGAGCCTTGCAACGCTGTTCATATCAGAAGCAGTAATACTGTTGGTTTGGGACAGTTCAGCACACACACACATTATTAATATAGCCCAAACACAAGCAGTAAGACAGCCCAGCACTTGCTGCTAAAACTCCAAGTCAGATTACTTGCACACTCATCTGCGCTCAGAAGAGCTTTCATTGAGAGGAGTGGATACATCATCATCAATATCATCGATGTCCACGTCCAAGTCTCTGATAACATTCTCCTCGATGTTCTTGACATCGGCCATACCGTAGAAAGCAATAGCAACAAGACCGAGGATACCAGCGATACAGGAGAACACCAAAGCCACAATACCTCTAGCAGTGAAACCAGATGGCAAAGCCTTGTGTTGAACGTTAGCACCAGTCAAATCCAAGAAGTTGACAGTGTTTCCAGCAGCGTTACCGGCGTAAGCGACACCAGTCTTGTTACAAACCTGCTTGAAGTTATCGGTCAACTGCTGACTCTCTTGCTTCTGCATCTCCTCTGGAGCCTCAATCAACACAATAGCCAAACCTTGCTCCAAGTGCCACTCAATGTGACAGTGGAAGAACCAAACACCTGGGTTGTCAGCCTTAAATCTCATGACAACATAAGACTGTGGGTTAACGTAGACAGTGTCTCTGATCATTGGGTACTCTGGGTACTCAGCATGGTTTTCTGGGTCGAATGGGACAGGGGACTCAGTGTCTGGCACACCTGGAGCCCTCTCGATCACCTGGAAAACGTGACCATGCAAGTGGAAGGGGTGCTTACCGGTATCAAAGTTGTTAAGTCTAATGTCAATGATATCGTCCTTTTGCAAGACAAAGGCATTGACATTACCGTAGATAAAGGAGTTGGTAGCAAGCTCACCAGCAGACAAAACGGTGGAGACAATTGGAACCTTTGGAGTGACGTAGGTGATGTTGTTGAAGAATGCGTAGTTGACACCGTTGCCCAAGTTGTCCATAGCAACGTCAATGGTGATAACGTGGTCAGCATCGTCCATGAGAGGCTCCTTGGAGACAGGCTTCAAGTAGAAGTCATCAAAGAAGTCAAGTTCGTCAACATAGTATTCTTCAGGCAATGGAGCCAGCTCATCGTAAACGATGTAGTTGGTGGAGTTCAAAAGCAAGTCGGAAGGAATAACATCCAACATGTCGTCGTCAATCTTTTGCATGAAAGCATAGTTCTTGCTGGTATCGTTCTTGGTGTGAATCAACACACCGTAACGCTGAGCAATTGTAATGTAAAGCATGTCGGTGGTGTTGGATTCAACATAGACACCGTCAACCTCCACAATCTCGAACTCGTGGTCCTCCATGTACAAGTACTGGGAGACAAAACCTCCAACATTAACAATTCTGACAAAGTAAGTGGTATCAGGCTGAACCTTCCAGGTGTTGTTTCTGGTGTCGTTGAACAAGGTGTTCTGAGGAATTGGCTCAGCACCAGTTGGGTTGTATCTGTTCAAAAACTTTGGAATCAACTCATCGGCCAGCTTGTGGTACCACTCACCAATAGACAAGGTGAGTTCCTCGTCAAACTTGAATGGGTAGTCAGAGTCATCCTTCTCTTGAATAATGAAGAGACCTCTCATACCGTCACCATACTGACCGGCAGTGTGCGAGTGGTACCAGTAGGTACCAACCTGCTCTGCGACAGTGAAGTTGTACAAGTAAGTGTCACCAGGAGAAATAGGACATTGGGTAACCATCTCAGGACCATCCATTTGGGCCGAACCGTTCTGGAACATACCGTGGAAGTGCAAAGTGGTGTTTCTGTCAGTAAAACCGTTAGTCAAATACAAGTTAACGGTATCTCCCTTCTTAACAGTCAAGGTTGGCAATGGCCAGGAGCCATTGAAACCAATGACTGGACGCTCTAAAACACCATCTGGGTTGGCATTGACCCAAGTGGTTTCAAAGTACCAGGTGTGAGTCTCGGCAGCAACAAGGCTGGCGATCAAAGAGAAGATGAAAACGGAAATTGCTCTCATGGTCTCTCTATGCAACTATTGTAAATTCCCCCTATGGAATAAAAGAACAGGCTGAGAAAAAAAAAAGAGAAAAAGGGAATTAAATTGACTCAAGGGGGCCTTATATATCTACTGGGCGACGCACCTGGTGGAGCGAGATGAATCTGATAAAATTCACCACCGACTTTCGGCAGCCGCAGCCAATAACATCAGTCTCCTGCAGCGCAGGTGGATTGACATGAAGTCCCGCATGGTCAATATGCATGAACTAAGTTCTGATTGGTTATTAGAAGAATGTTTTGCAGCTTATACTTGTCATACATGCAGGTTGAAGGCTTTATATGGCGGTGTGCGTCACATAATGTTGATCTATTATAAGGCAAATTGTCAAAAATTTTACTGCAGCCATGCAACCTTCATATTCGATGTGCAAGTGGTATCTGTCAGTCTTATTCTCCTCGAGTTCAACCAAAGTGTGTTGATCTTTCGAACACAAACAACAGGTTTCCCCGCCAGGTTCTTCTTCTCGATGAATTTCTTTTGCGTTAATGGCCCATGTCCTCTGTCAAGTTCCGTTAGTAATTTTTCCTTCATTTGGACCGGTTGGCCAGCTTCATAACCTCATAAGCGACCAACAGACAGGAAAGCCCACCGAGAGATCCACCGTCTCACCACAATAAATTGAATACCATAGCAAAACTTTTGTCTGGACCTGTCATGTGACCTGCGGGGGGTGTATTGAGTTAGCTGACTTCCCAAAGTTCTCCATTCGAACAATCGAAGGTCTGGACTTGGGAAGGTGAACCTATAAACTTTAGTTAACAGGCGTGAGGAGGAAAGTTGCCTGACACCGCCTAAATTTGCTGACTTTCCCACTTCTTGTCCATAGAGGTAGGTAGATGAATGCTTTTTTCTTTCCTCCCCCAGATTTTTGGAGACCTTTCTCGTCTCAGCCACCTGCGTCGTAGAAACGTCTTTCGGGTCCGACCAGGGTGAATTCGGAACAGGCTCAACTTCGCACCATTTCCGCGCCGTTTCCCCATGGTTTGCGCAGACCCAATCACAATATTGTATGGAGCCCTGGCCAGAACTCTTCGCAACCTTTCACAAGCTTGGATCTCATCACCATTTAACTACAAATCTTCAGATTATGGACAGTTGAGATGTCGCTCGCGGCCGTCCGTCACTTATCCTCGCTGCTGGCTCGTGCAAACGTCTTCACGCAAAACGTTGGCCTGCTCTGGTCTTCTTTGGAGAAGCTTCGACGCAAGAAGCTTTCTACAACTTCGATTGCGACCTCCACTACAACCTCCTCTGCAACTACCTCGTCATCTTCTAGGTCGACTGCAGTTTCTGTGGACTCTGACGCCAAGGTGGTGAAAGTAACATCTCCAACCACTCAAAAAATCGTCAAGGTTAACAAGTATAGACGGCCCTCACACCCAACGTCTGTGCCCTTGAGTAAGCTTTTCTCTACCAATTTCCCCCTCTCTATCACCGACCTGTTCGATGATTACTCCTATAGAGAAAATCCTCACAAGTTTCAGCACGACTTGTTGGCCACGTTGCCGTTCTATCCTGATCCAGATGCGTCTGGGAGATTGGCCCTGGTGATTACTACCCACCTCTCGTCTGGCTACGACATCAACGAGTTTGTCATTTATCCTCCAAGCTTCCAAAACAAGCTGGATGCTGAGCTGCTTGAATTGTATGATAAATGTAACCATCTAATCATGGTCCATGGCTACGGTGGAGGTCTTGGTTTCTTCTTGAAAAACTTTGGTCCTATTGCTCTGGAGGACAACTGGGTTGTTCATGCTATAGATTTACTTGGCTACGGGTGTTCGTCACGTCCTAAATTCACTGCTGACTCCCTTGATGCTGTGGAGGACTTCTTCCATGACTCCATGAAAGAATGGCTTCACTTGCGTCGTCTAGACATTTCTCCACAAAATAACTTATTCATGGCTCATTCCATGGGTGCCTACCTCATGGCCACTTACGGAATACGTAAAGACCCCAATTTTTGCAAGAAACTACTCATGGTTTCTCCTGGTGCCGTGATCAAACATAGAAAACAGGTCCCTGTGCCAGGGTACTTCGCCAAATTGTGGGAACAGAATATTTCTCCTTTCACTTTGGTGAGGAAAGCTGGTCCTCTTGGGTCCAAACTAGTGAGCATGTGGTCGTCTCGAAGGTTTGCCAACCTTCCTGAAAATGAGGCTGCATTGCTCCATAAATACGCCTACGGTATATTCCAAGGTCCGGGTTCTGGAGAATACATGCTTAACTATTTACTTGCCCCGGGCGCAGATGCTAGACATCCACTTATCGAAAGAGGAATCCACAAGCTCCGCTGCAAATTGCTCTGGTGCTATGGCCAAGAGGACTGGATGGATAAGAAGGGAGGTGAGTTGTGTTCCAGAATCATCAACTCGTTGTCGGGTGATCCAACTAAAAGTACAACCTGCGAAATAGAAAACGCCGGCCACCACATCTACTTGGACAATATTGACGAATTCAACAAGTGGGTAGTGGGAGAGATGAAAAACTTTTAAAGTGCATATCATAATGTTAGTTTCTTTAGTGATTTCAACTCCTTTTCAAATCTTAGTTTTGAATCCTTCATATCCTAGGACCTTAAAAGTGAACTTATATCTTGTGGTTGCTCCTCCGGCCCTTCGTATGCATCAATAATAAGTTTCATGGAAATAGGTAGATTGGGATCAGTGACCAATATTTCCTCTCCAACATCGACCAACAGGTGTAATTTAAGGGCGAGATTGGGTCTCGTTGTTGCTTCTAAAAACTCTGGTTGGCGCATGTATAAGTTCGCCCGAGAAGTACCTACAGAAGGAGTCCTCATCAAAACTTCCTGCTTCGAACCCAAATCGTCAATGAAATTTTGAAGCGTCCACCACTTAAAGGCACGTACATGCTTGACTTTAGTCCCACATACCGCACAGTTGGGTTTCTTGGAGTGGGCATAAGTGTAGGTGAAGATGGAATCGTCCCCGGAGTACATCATGTAGTTGTCAAGAATCGGATTGCAACTGGTGACAATCTTGAAAACTTCATTACAGCACGAGGCAGCGATAATAGCGTTAGTTGAGGCAATTGCTGGAATGATGTTTTTGACCACACCTAGAGTCAAGGCTCTAGTGACATTTTCAATACCGAATTGTTCAGCTCTCGCGAGAGCAAGCAGGTGCATAGTATCGACATCCTCTGATGCGTCTGCATCGAATTTCCTTCCTGGGAATAATCTCGGCCATTCCAATTGACTGGCCCATTCGATACAGTGTTCAGGAAGCCTTGGTGTGTTTGCAATAGTGCACACCGGATATGTGGTCTTGGGAGATATCATATCAAGTGAGCACTCGAAACACGAGGTGACAGTAGGTAAAATCACCCTTGACTGGCCCCTGAAGCCCTCGGTTCCTCCATCCACCAATGGAATCAAGTTGTTCATTTCAACATCAACAAACCCAACCAACAATGCGTTGATCCACCGACGAGCCTCTACATTATCTAGACCACAGATTACTACTCCGAACTGCTGGTAAAAGTCAGGAGTTTTGTCTTGAATCTTGCAGAAATGTGATGTGATTTGTAATAGTGGGTCCTTCATTCTGTCTCGGATGAAAGTGGCAGCCGTGTCAGCTTTAGACCTGCCGACATCCGCTGCTCGGAATAAAAATTGTCGATTTAGGTTCGAAACGTCCACGGTGTCCATGTCAATGACATGTATGTCCTTAAATCCGACAAGAGCCAAGTTCTTGAGAATCTCACATCCAAGACCTCCGGCACCAACAACAAGAATCTTAGTTGATGAGAGAGCCAATTGGGCTGAATGGGGCTCATACTCGTCGGGATACTCATTAAACGGTCCAGTAACCGCTAGGAGAGGCGTAATACCGGAAAGGTTCCTAGACATAAGAAAAGGTAGTAATAGATAATGATAATTGAGTGCAGGTCTATGAACTAGAATTCTAGAGTAACTGTGTCAAGTAGCTCTTGAAGTGCAACTGATGATGCGATAAAAATGGGATTGTCATGTAAGTCTTGAGATCGTCTGTTGTTTGTAGTTGGCGTGATTTTAGTCGTGCTGGGGTGTGATAGTGGCCCGCTTGTATGTAACAATCTATAGAATCACTATCAAACACTTTCCGCCCTGGCTGCTGTTTCATTCTCATCTGGATCCTTGTGTTGACGCTTAGACTGCGGATGCTGTGAGGGTGGCATTCCGAGGGGCCTTTTGCCAATTTGAGAACCCATAACTGGCGACAAAGCATTGGTGCGATTCATCTGGCTGGGTGTGTAAGCAGAGGGGATATCATTGCGTCTGATCTTGACAGATTTAGAAGGGTCCACTGTGCGACGCACGCTGTTAGCGACAAACTTGTGGTCGTACTGAGGAACGTTCAATTGGTCTGGTGTCTGCTGAACCTCCAATGCCTTTTTGGAGCTAGTGAAGAATACTTGTGAGGGCGTTTTGGCAGCTGCTGTGGGGTCTGAAATGGTGTCCGCGATGGCCAGTTTTGACTCGTCACTTTCCATTTTATCTCCCCCTCGCAGCAACAACTCAAGCTCATAATCGTCTAGTCTATCATTTAGCTCACCATCTTCAGCTTGTATGTCATCACTAAACTGGAACAGGTCGTCGAAGTCTTTCAAATCATAGTCATTCACAAATGCTGGTGCCTTAGCCTGAGGCGTCACTTGGGGTCTTGCACCCTGTAGCGACAAGTCGTTGTTGGATGTGTCATTGGATACTTTAGGTGTTTCAGTAGTGGAATCTCCAGGTGGAGGGAGAGCTTTAGCTAATCTTGCCTTTCTCGACAATTCTCGTTCTCTCTTTATCACCAAAGGATCTCTATAAAAATCATCTTTCTCGAGCTCCATCGGTGCCAACTTCACTTTCTGGGTCCTAGCTATGATGGTTTTGTCATAAAGACAATTTCCCAAAACGTTTCCAAAGCAGCGTAGGCACCGCTTTAACCCGTCTGTGAACGCCTCCTTTTTACACTTTTCGAAAGCAGCCGCTTTGGTCTTGGCGTTTTCAATGAATCCGTACCCAAAGTCTTCATGGAAAGTACCATCTTTAATAGTTATTCTCACCACAACCGAAAGCCCCAAGGACACACGACCTGATCCAAGCGAGTCTAAAAAATCGACTTGAACACTTATGAGCTCGGAGGACCATCCGTTAAAGCCAAAGATCTCGTTGGCTAAATTGAGGGCTTTCCAACCTTCTATATATTGGACACTCTGCCCGCCTCCGCCAGGCCTGAAACTCACATATTCGGGTCCCAACACCTTATTGAGTTTCTGCTGGATGACAATTTCCTCTTCGCGTGTATATGAAGTGGGCACGAATGGCTTTGAATTGGAAGAAGTGTATTGAGGACCGCCAGGATTTCTTTGGGGCAACTGGCTCTGATGTTGATTTGGCCGTTGATTTGGTCGCTGGTTTGGACGTTGGTTTTGATGCTGATTATTTTGGGGATTATGTTGTGGATTATGTTGGTTCTGTCTGTTGTTTCCATTTGGAGGCCTTGCTCCGTTATTGGGGCCGTTCATTGTGAATAGGTGAAGAAGATGTTGGTGATTTAAGAAGACGAGTAGCGTGTTGTTGTGGCGTGTTATCTGCAGGAGGTGATGAAGAAGTAGAGGAGAGAGAGCTGGTGATAGAGAATTTGTGGAGAGAAGAAAAGCAGAACATTGAGGGTCAAAAAAAGAAATGAGAGGCATTGAGAGATGAGGGGTTAGGGTGAGTTATACTCCTTGATTTCTATTGGATTAATTTTCACTGGAGCATTCCCACTTAACCAAAGATATAAAAGAAGCGTAAGCATTGTAAGCAATGTAAAGTGAAAAATCGAGATTGGAAGCTGGTAAAATAGCAGTGAAAATAAAAATCGGAATCTTATGAAAGCTCTCCTGAGTATGCATTTTGTTGACGTTTCAGTCAATCTCCTGATGGGGTAGCACATATGCTGTATTGGATACAAGACTTGAAGCTGATTAGAAAGCCGTGAGAAGTGATTTATATTGTGTGTGAACTCTTAACCGAAAGGTGGTCCCAATCCTGAGTCTCAAACGCCAGGAATTAAGATAATCACCTCCCACGAGCATTCTTTAAGATAACTAGATTACTTTAATTTGCAACCCAGTCTCAGTAAAAACCCATTTAATCTTATTAGACTAGTATCAACACTTTACTACTTTGCCACATTCTACAATATTCAAGAAATCATTCACAGAGTAGTTCTCTATTCATCGTCTATCTATTCCACCCTGTTCCAGCTCGTTGACCTTTTGTTCAATGATCTACCCCAGGTCCTCTAATTGCATATCGGGGCACATAACTCATAGGGTGATTCCCACCTCGTTAGCTGATGACTATTGTACATATATACTACATTCCTTTTTGTCGGATTCTGATTTAATTCAGATTCCTGCAATATCACCTTATAAATCGTAACAATTACCAGACTACCGATTCGCTTCTCCAGACTTCTAGTCTACGCCTTTTTATTATTCATAATAGCGTCCATATTCAAGGCCCTAGTGGGAAATCAACTTTCCCGTCCCATGCTGACCAACAAAAAAATATATGATGCCGTTGTGGTGGGCTCAGGTTTGGCAGGTTTGACTGCCAGTCTTGAGCTCCTGGCTAAAGGATACTCAGTGGCTCTCATTGAGAAAACTGAGAGATTGGGTGGAAACTCTGCGAAAGCTTCATCTGGAATTAATGGTGTGCCCACCAAATTCCAGGATAAATCTGATGGTGACAGCGTAAGTGCATTCGTGAACGATACAATCAAGTCAGGAAAGGGCTTGTCCGATCCAGAATTGGTGGACGTGCTTACAAGTAATTCTGCTGACGCTATTCACTGGTTGTCTGACATCCACGGCGTGGATTTGTCGTCTCTCACGGCACTTGGTGGCCACTCACATGCTAGGACACACCGTGGCAGCGGCAAGCTTCCTCCAGGTTTTGCAATCACTTCTGCTCTTTCCAAAAAACTTCATGAATCGAATGTGGATATCATGACATCGAGTAAGCTCCTGAGTTTTCTCAAGGAAGACTCAGAGGTGGTGGGTATTGAGGTCGAGGTTGCCGAAAATGGAAAACGCTCTGTTTTGGCTCACAACGTCGTCTTGGCCACAGGGGGCTTCTCTGCTGATTTCACTAGCACATCCAGCTTGCTCCGGAGATATAGACCGGACCTTTTGCACCTCCCACTGACTAATGGCCAGCAAACGACTGGAGATGGCCAGAAAATCGCCGAACGAGACCTCAATGCTAAGTTGATCCACATGGACCAGATCCAAGTACATCCTACAGGTTTCGTCCAGTTGAAGGACGACTCAACGGTGTCTAGCAAATGGAAGTTCTTGTGTGGAGAGCTTATCAGAGGAATCGGAGGCATTCTCCTCTCGCTGAAGAGTGGCGAAAGATTCGTAGATGAGTTGAGAACAAGAGACGAGGTTACCAGTCACATCATCTCTCACTGCACTACGAATGAGGACTATCCGGCGATTGCTGCTATAGTTGTTGGTGAAGAAGACTACAAGAAGGCAAAGTCTCACATTGATTTCTATGTCTCGCAACAATTGATGTTCAAAGGTGGAGTCTCTGACCTATTAGAGAAATTGAGAATGGTTGAGAACCACTCTATTAGTAAAGAAACTGTCAAACAAACTTTGGACCAGTACAACAAGGTAAGAGTGTCTGGCGATTCTCTTGGAAGATCAAATTTTGGCAACAATATAGACGATACGTTCTACTTTGGATTCATAACTCCAGTTTTACATTTTGCAATGGGAGGAATACAAATTAACGAGAATGGCCAAGTCATAGGTGAAGATGGCCCATTGCTGAATGTCTTCGCCATTGGAGAGGTCAGTGGAGGAGTCCATGGAGGAAATAGGTTGGGAGGAAGCTCGCTACTTGAGTGTGTTGTCTTTGGCAGACGGGTGGCACAGCACATTGCTCAGGAAGATCCCACCAAGTTGTGATCATAGCACGTAAATATTAATAATACTTTTAGACTAGTTAGATTGATAGGGAGTTAGCGAGCCCGGACTAGAGGTGCCTAAGGCATTAAGATTGGCCTCCGAAAGAACGGCCTGTGGTGTAACAACCGAGCTTTTGCGCTTTCTCCGTTCCTTTCTCTCCTTCTTGGCCTTGTCTTCTTCGGGAGAAACTACCGTGAAAGACATCATATTTTTTCTGCGTCTGACGCCCTCATTGACCCAGAATTCGTTCCGATAAAGCTCCCAACCCTCCCTTATATCGGTGCTGAAACTTCTCGGCATGAGCACAAGCTTCACATCATTGAGTCCAAAACGTGGTTGGCATTGCAGCTGTCCCGAAACCAACCAAACCTCCAACTTGGAGTTGGGATTCTGGATAGAACTAGGGAATGCCGTATGCAAAAACTTGAGTGCCATGGTGAAAAAGAATAATCCGAATACTCTTATGAGGTCTGCATTGGAGTCAGCAAATGAACTTTTAATCTTCACCAAACGCACATTCAACTGGCGGAGACCTTTGTTCGTGGAAGATAGAAACTTCCTCGGGAGAACAATGGTCTTTTGGTATTCACCAGACAAATGATACAATAAGAGCGTCACGCAGAGCGCTAGAAGAACTAGCTGAAGTACCACCCGAGAGGTCCCCAGATACAGAGAAAAATATAGGAGATGAGAGATGGCAGCAATCAACAGACAGAGAAACGAGAGAAATGTCAAGTACTTGCGTCTTAATGTGCGCTGCTGAATTGTCTGCTGTCGGAGACTCTCCTCAAGAATCAATAAGTTTCTGAAGATCTTACCGGTGGCCGGTGTTTGAGTATAACCTATGCCAAAATGCTCGGACTTGTGAGACTTTTCCGACATTATATCGGAGGTACGAGATCGCCGTCTGACCTTTTTCTTTCCTTTTGGAGTTAGAAGCGGCAGCGACGTCAGCGAGCTGGTAGACTTCTTACGTCGAGAACCTGAGAGTTTCTTGGATTGAAATTGAGACTCGGATTCCAGCGCACTAGAGTAGACCGCACTTCCCAGTGCTTCCCTGTCTTTAGCCAATTCGGCATCTGAGAATGTGACGCTGTCAAGGTCCAATCTTGGGGGCGGTTCCAAGTCCTTAGTGTAATGTTGAGATTCTCCATCGCTCACAGAGAATGGAGATCCTAGAGAGGTGAGCGAGGGAGTAGCAGCATCATTTTTGGACGTCAGTAGCATACTGTCCGAGTCGCTCCTACCGGAGAATTCGGGCGTGGTTGGTTCTTCCATCAGTGTATGTAATGAAAGGATCTAGTTAGAGATCACTTAAATTTGTCTGGCAGATAGCTCGCAGAGACTTCCCGAAGTAGATAATTAGGAGAGATGGGGAAGACACTGCAAGGTGTGGCTTTAAGCATAGGGAAAGTTCGAGGGGTTGAAGAACGTATTTTTTTAGGTCATTGTAGTAATCTAAATTATTTTTATGATTTTTGTAAATTTTTCCTACCAGGATTAGGTATAAATTCAAGAACTCTGTGAAAAATGGGAAGATGTTGCGAACATGTTGAACAGAACTTGAAATAAATGTTGGTAGAAAAAATCCAAAACAAACTAAAAACCGGAAGGAAACCAATGAAGTCAACTGCGACAAATCCACTTTCCATTAGAATACCCACAATTTTCTAACTCATCATGGTTTGGCTTAGTTCAGTACGCTGTCTGTCGTGTGCTGTAGCGGAGGTACAGGCCTACACGACTATACGTAGTGCACAATAACTTACAACAACCTACCTTCAATGTCACTAAAAGCACAAAAGGAGCAATTTGTATCGAATCTCTCCGGCGGCCTGACCCAAGAGATTTATGCTGTTACGGGAATCGCACTTGCTGGTTTTTTCTCGCATTCGTTGGTGAAAAAATGGGCCCTTCCTTCCATAGAAGTGCTTAATGGGCAACCGGTTCACTTCTTGATTGAATTCTATTTTGACGTGTTATTGTTGCTTCAGTCCATCACCATCTTCAGTAATCAGACGGGCAAGTTGTACCTCCATGCATTGTTACCGGGTATTGCCGTTCTTATTTACCAGGCATGTACTACTAATCATAAATCCAAGAAACCTCCGAAGAGTCAGAAACAAGTCCTGACTGAATTGCTTCCTAAAAAGTCATTCATCACCGTATACCGTGCGCAGATGATGATCATCACCAATTTGGCCATTTTGGCTGTGGATTTTCACTCGTTTCCTAGAAGATTCGCAAAAGTAGAAACCTGGGGAACCTCTCTTATGGATATGGGTGTGGGGCTGTTTGTTTTTGCCATGGGATTGGCCAACTCCCGATCTGTGATCAAGAAAAAAACGGCTGCGACAAAGGACTCGCAGTCTTATCTTCAGTTGATTCGCCAAAATACTGTCAAAGCGTTGCCTGTGTTGGCACTTGGATTGATCCGTTTGGTCTCAGTGAAATCTCTCGAATATCAGGAACATGAATCCGAGTATGGAATACACTGGAACTTTTTCATGACTCTTGGCTTGTTGCCTATTGTCTTAGGTATCCTCGATCCTATTCTCAACTACGTGCCACGGTTCTTCGTTGCATTGGCAATTGGGGTGATATACGAAGCCGTTCTTCAGAGCACATCGCTCACGAAATTTATTCTCGATCCTTCCAATAGAAGAGAGAACTTATTAACCATGAACAAGGAGGGTGTATTCTCCTTCATCGGATACTTGAGCATATTCATCTTTGGTCAGAGTTTCGGTTCCTTCGTGTTGACACTGCGCAAGACACCCAATAACCTCTTGGGTACCTATTCTGGAGTGAAGCCTCATAAGTGGTTGACGGTATCCCCTACTCGTGGACTTGTTATTTCGAGTGTTGTGTCATTCTCCATCTTTTTCTTTGTTAAAGAATCTAGGGCCACAGGAAGTGTGTCGCGGCGTATTGCAAACCTTCCATATGTGATGTGGACAGTGAGCTACAATTCTGCTTTTCTTTTAGGATATGACTTGATCGAACAAATGGTGGGACCCATTCTGTCTTCTATTCTAGAGGGGATCAACAATAATGGTTTGGCTCTCTTCCTTGTGGCTAACTTATCTACTGGGCTTGTCAATATGTCCATAAACACCTTGAAGGTAAGCAGTGGCATGTCTTACGTGATTCTTATTGCTTATGCCCTCACATGGACAGCGTTGGCCATTTGGTTGGATAAGAAAGGTATCTACATAAAGCTTTAGGTGCGACATATAGTTACTAGCTGAAGTTGAGCTAAACTGACGTCACAAAGGCAGATCTCAGGCGGCAACATCCACAACTCTAGAGTAACTAAGGAAGCTCGAGAGAGAGACTCTATTTCAGACCACACAATATACTTAGGGAAACCTCAATACAATATTCTACGTTCATACAGTGTATTTCTTTATCTGTGAAACCACACTCGGTGGTGCAATCTTAGGTGCACTCTCCGTGCTTCTAATACTAGGCAATACCTTGTTATCCGTTCGGAAGGTCCGGTTGTCCCTCAAAGGACCAATAAGCTCGCAACCACTCAAGAGAATACGCCAGAACGTGTGCATGTGCGGTATTTCATTCAAGCATTGGCTTCACGTTCAATCCGGTCCAGTAATTCTATAGATAGTGACATAACAAACAATTAGCAGAATGCGATTCGAGGTGGGAATCCACGGGTCATAAAAGAAAGCACGACCACCATTATGAAATCATTAAAATTTATCCAATAAAAGAAAAAGACACAAGTTGTCCAAGTTCTACCTCCGGACCGGCCATCATGTGCTGGCGACTGGCAATGACGTACCCTGGTGATCACACCCGTGCATCCCCATCGGGGAGCAGAATTATAGTTGGACCCTCGTATCCGTCGTATCCAACGATATACTTCAGTTCTACCAACAAGCTACCTACACAAAACTACCTATAGCTTTAGTAAGATGGCACTGTCAGCATCCTGGACTTCGTTCCTCAAATCCATTGCCTCCTTTAATGGTGATTTGTCTTCGTTGACTGCGCCTCCGTTCATTTTATCTGCCACATCGTTGGTTGAGTACTCTCAGTACTGGGGAGAACATCCCGACCTTTTGTTGGAGCCAAACTTCCTCGTTGGAAACGATAGTAATGATGAAAAGACTGCCATGGCCATCAAGAGAATGATTGCAGTCACCAAATGGTTCATTTCCACGTTGCGTTCTCAGTACTGCTCCAGAAATGAGAGTATGGGCTCGGAAAAGAAGCCATTGAATCCATTCTTGGGTGAATTGTTCGTAGGGAAGTGGCAAGACAAGTCCGAAGAGCAGAAATTGGGTGACAGCATCCTTTTGAGTGAGCAGGTGAGCCACCATCCACCGGTCACCGGATATGCCATTATCAACAAGAAAAACAACACGCTTTGCCAGGGTTACAATGGTATCAGAGCTACTATCAGCACCACCCTGATCAATGTGAAGCAGTACGGCCACGCTCTATTGGAATATAAGGACCTTGGCGAAGAGTACTTGGTGACACTTCCACCATTGCATATTGAGGGACTCATCACTGCTTCTCCTTTTGTCGAATTGGAGGGCACATCGTATATCCAGAGCTCTACCGGATACCTTACGGTGATTGAGTACTCGGGAAGAGGCTACTTCTCAGGAAAGAAGAATACGTTCAAAGCCAGAATCTATGAAGACAAGTTGTCAAGTGCCAACAAGGAAAATGCCATCGTGACTATCAACGGTCAATGGTCAGGCAAATCTTACATCACCAAGGGTTCTGCTAGTGCAAGCAGCAGCTCCGATGAGTTGTTCTATGATGCGAACAGCAAGCAGCCAGAGCACTTAACCGTAAAGCCAATCGAAGAGCAAAATCCGTTGGAATCCAGAAGGGCTTGGAAGAAGGTTGCCGAGGCCATCAATGTTGGTGATTATGATTTGATTCACAAGGAGAAATCCCTTATTGAAAATGACCAGAGAGAGTTGAGAAAGAAGGAAAAAGAGGCGGAGGTATCCTGGTCACAGAGATGGTTTGAACAGGTCGACTTAGCTGGTAAGCCCGCTGGATTTGACCCATTGATCAGTTTGGCTAACATGGCCAACTTGCAAATTTCAAACGTTCCTTCTGGGTCAGTTAAAGGATCGAAGTATGAGAGCGATGATGCACTCCACTGGCGGGTCAACTTGGACAAATGGGAATCCGAAGAAGAGATAAAGGCGTAGGAACGGTTCTGATAGATTGATTTTTATATCCTAATTAAATGAGGCTGATTATTTTTATTCTTTGTATTTGTATTGGCTGCAAAATGGTATTAGCTACAGGCACTTATCACAGACAGTATTGGGAATTGGAAAGCGTGAGTTTGAACTGTTAGGGCTTCATCACGTGCTTAGGAATAGGGCTGAGCAACACACACGTGATATCACTCTCACACGCACCCTCAACCTGCAGGTCATCGACCTCAAGATAACTACTGGTGTAAAGGTTTCTTCCCTCCATCGCACCCAGTGTAAGGAAAACTCCCATATTGCCTGCAGGTCCATGCAGAATTTTCTCACTCACTCTCACGGAAAAAATTTGACCTTTTTTCAAATCTTTTTCTCATACCAATCAACTGATACACAATGGCTGAATCTCACAGATGTATGTACAAAATCCCTATGAAACCATGACTTACAAGCATTAGAAAGTCCTCTGATATATCCTCCCGACTCATCCATCCATGTTCCAGTTTGTTCCATGTCTGTGACTTCCATCGTCGATATCGAATATTCATAGGTTTGAATTTTCATAGATGGAGCAATCGAATTCAGAATATCCAGAATCGTTCGAGTATTTCTACTCCAATAACCATTTCCAATTTCGAGTTGCCAAATTTTCATGGTCTTCTTCATTTACCAATACTAACATCCAGTGTACGTTAAGGGTAAGCACTTGTCCTACCAGCGTTCTAAGAGCGTTACCAACCCAAACGTTTCTTTGATTCAGATTGAGGGTGTCCAGAACCCAACTGACGCTAAGTTCTACTTGGGTAAGAGAATCGCTTACGTGTACAGAGCTTCCAAGGAGGTCAGAGGTACCAAGATCAGAGTTATCTGGGGTAAGGTTACCAGAACCCACGGTTCCAACGGTGTTGTGAGAGCCAACTTCAAGAAGAACTTGCCACCAAAGACCTTCGGTGCTTCTGTTAGAGTCATGTTGTACCCATCCAACATTTAAGTTGAATGAAGTCACGAAATCTTACCCATAACTCAATTGTTGAGCATGTCTACTACAGAAAGTCTACGGCGCAGCTGTGGCAGGTTGGTTCAGCGTGTATAAAATGAATTCTTTCACCTTAATAAAAACGATACAAAGAGTGATGTAGATAACTAGTGTGTATGGGGATTTTTTCAATTTATTGTATTATTGTATTGCTTTCTTTGAGTTACCTGTTTTATGTATTAAAGTTACTGAAGAATACTGAGGGGTCCTTTTGAATTGAGAGTAGCCATAAGGTGCGAATCGTAGTCACTGTCGAAACCACACCGATAATTACAGACAATTAAAAAATCACAACGTACTCTCTTACCGCAATAAAAAGAACGACTTCATTCGTAGTGATCACATTACCATTTTTAATCATTTTAAGCATCCAACTTATGATCTCACTTACCTGCAGTGCGCACTTGTCGACACTTCACCACTTAAACTCCATCAGCTTCTTGTAAACATGGCAGATCCGGAGGCTGCAGACGGCTGGTCAGACATGGACTTTGATGACGATAACTTGGACGTTGATCAAGATATCGTGGAGCCCGTGGAGACAAAAATTATTCCAGAAGTGGCTGAACTGCTTCCTTTACCAAAACTGGAGGTACCTGCGAAAGAGGACCAAGAAATAAAGAAGCAGAAGGAGCAGGAAGAGCAGGAAGAGCAGAAGGAGAACATAGAGGAGCTGGAGGAGCGGGAAAACCTAGACGAACAAGACATAAAAGAAGAGGAACAGGAGGAGAATGTTGAGGTTGAAGAGATACCAAAAGTCGTGACGGCTGTTGAACATGAAGAGCAAATCGACCTAGTATCTGAACCTGTTGATGTTGAACCGATCGAACAAATTAAACAACTACCTGATCTCAAACAAAACGGACACAAAGAGGAGGAGGAGGAGAATGATGCTGTTGCCGAATTGCGGGCTCAATTGAATGCCTTACAGCTACAGATCGAACAAAAAGACGAGGAGTTGCATACTTTAAAAAGCAGACCGCAGCCGGTGCAAGAGAATACCGACAACGATGCCGTGACAAACTTGAGGCATAAATTGGAGGAAGCAGAGGCAGAACGTGATGATGCCAAGCAGCAGTTGGAAGATTTCTTATCCAAGATCTCGAGCATGAAAAGCGTGGTTAGAAACTATAAAGCTGCACAAGAGGAGTTGGAGGAGGTCAGGGAGCAATTAACTCAAGCAATAAGTGAAAAGGAGGAAGCAGATGAGGAGTTGGCTGCCGTCAAAGAGAAAAGCCAGGGAAAAGATGCCGAAATCAAGAAGTTAACTGACACAATCGCACAGTTTAAGACCGAGAGTAGTGATTTGAATAACGAGTGCGACCGGTTGAGTCAGCAATTGACTATTTTGCGTAGAGAGTATCAATCGAAAGATGACAGTTTCCAGGATGAAAAGTACTCGTTGGAGAATGAGGTCAGCAGATTGGCCAAGAAAATTAGTGAGCATAAAACCGAATATAGCGAGCTTGAGTTGGCTAAGGAAGAAATTGCCATGGAGAACAAGAACCTAACCCTCATCATTGAAGAGCTAAAAGGAAAAATTGACTCCAAGGACGCAGAGGTTAACCAGTATTCGCTCATGGTTGAGGATATCACAGCCCAGTCCGAGAAGTCAATTGAAGAATTGAACGTGCAAGTGGAGGGCCAAAAAGCGGAAAATGCCAAGTTAGTTGAGCAGCTTGAGCGAGCACAAGTGGAAGCTAAAAAGTTGACACAAAGCATTGAGCAGAATACAGAAGAAATTAGCAGGCTTCAAGAGGAAACATCGAAGATCGCCGAACTTAAGGAGGAAGTTCACTCCAAGCAACTCATAATAGGCAAGTTGCGTCACGAGGCCATCATATTGAATGAACATTTAACGAAGTCGTTGTCTATGCTCAAGCAACAGCTGAGCAACACAGATAACACCGTTGATCGCGAGTTGATCTCGAACGTTTTCCTCAACTTCTTGCAGATTCCTCGCGGTGACAGCAAGAAGTTTGAGGCTCTTCTGCTAATTAGCGCTCTCCTTGACTGGGACGAGCCTCGCAAGGTCCAGGCGGGACTTTCACATAGCTTTTCAAAGGGCAAGGATGATGAGGGACGTCCATTGAGACAAAGTTTTGTCTCGTTGTGGACAGACTTCTTAGAGAAGGAAAGCAGCAATAAGACCGCAAAGTAGAAGAATGATAGCATTATGAAGGGATGTAGGTAGATTAAAAGAATACAGGAGATGTAAGAGGAAGTGGAGACAAGTTGGAAAACAAAGTCATAATTATTATGATTTAGTTTAAAGTTTAAAATGATGTACTTAAGGTCAGGTGGAGGTTGGTTGACATAGAAGACCTACCATGTCTATCGCTCACCACCCTATTATCTCCTTCCGTCAATTATTTTATAACAACATTTCCAATTTTTTGATATTATTTTTCATTCCCTTTCATTTTGCTCTATTCATCTTCTTTTCCATCTTAAAGTACTTTTTTTCACACACAACCACTTGGTCCTCTCTCATCTCCAGTACTGTACTTTCAAATCGCGTCTCACTCTCACTTAACTATCACTAGCTTCCAAAATGGTGGATATTCGCCTGTTTTTCGCCGGCGGTCCGCCTCCAGCAGATGTATGTATCAATTGCCAATGCCAATAGTCAATACTAACTTTCTCAGAAGAAGAGAGCCGCTGCTTCGAAGACTAGCAAGTCAGCATCTAAGGGAGGAGCTACTTCACATCCTAAGGAAGAGCCAATTTCTGTTGAGGATCAAGAACCTCCGGTCAAGAAACAAAAGCCCGACCCTGATTCGAAAAGCAAATACTTTGAACCCAAAAACAAGGGCAAGGAATTGAAATCGAGCTCGAATCCCTCAACACCAAAGAGGAAAGCTGCGAAGACCTCCTACGTGAACTTGGATTCTGATTTTGAGGACTCCGAAGATGATTTCAAACCCGGAGATGACCAGGATGAAGAGGAAGATGACTTTGATGAAGGTGACTTTGATGAGAATGATGAAGAAGAGGAACCTGAGCCAATGGAGGAAGACGATGAAGAATTGAGTATTCAGGAGATTGTTCCTCCCAAGAAGTCAAGAAAACGGGCTAAAAGCCCCACACCCGTATCTGCTTCTGCGTCTCCAGTTAAAGCAAATACTAAAAGGGCCGCAAAGCCAGTATCTAAATCCGCTGCCGTGAGTCCCGCAGCCCCAAGCTCAGGAGTTCTGGTTGAAACGATTCTCGCAGACATTCCTGATGCAGATTTGCCAGATGCGCCTGAATCTGAGGGCAAGTTAAATTACTTTGCATTGAAGAGCAAGCAAGCTAATGTGGCACCACCAATGGGAATCTCCGAGTTACCGGAAGCCGCTCCAAACTGTCTTGGAGGTTTAACCATTGTCTTCACAGGAGTGCTTCCAGGTCTTGATAGAGATGCTGCTGAGTCGCTTGCAAAGCGATACGGAGCAAAGGTGACCAAATCGATCCTGAAAAAGACTAGTTTAGTGGTTATTGGTGAAGAGGCTGGCCCTTCGAAGGTCAAGAAAATCAAGGACTTTGGAATAAAGGCCATCCACGAAGACGGTTTCCTCGATTTATTGAGGAGAATGCCAGCTGATGGTGGAGATGGAGCCAATGCTCAAGCCGCGAAGAGGAAGAGAGAAGAAGAAGAACAGTCTATCATGGAGCAGGCCATGGAGGAGGAGAAAGCAGAACAGGAACGTCAGAAGAAGAGGAAACTAGAGGAAGAGAAGAGAAAACAGGAGATAAAGAAAGATCCAGGATCCCGTTCTGTCCCTGCCCCTCCTCCTAGGGAAATTGCCGACAGCGAAAAATTGTGGACGGTTAAGTATGCTCCAACCGAATATAGCCACCTTTGCGGAAACAAGGGACAAGTACAAAAGTTAAGAAGTTGGCTCTTGAATTGGTTTGACAACGCCAAGAAGGACTTTAAGTATCCTGGTCAGGATGGCTCTGGAATTTACAGAGCAGCACTTATTAGTGGCCCCCCAGGCATAGGAAAAACCACCGCTGCCCACATGGTAGCGAAGGAACTTGGATTCGATATTTTGGAGAAAAATGCATCTGATGTCAGGTCTAAGTCGCTTTTGAACAGTTCAGTCAAGTCCGTGCTCAATAACACCTCTGTGGTAGGTTTCTTCAAGCACAGGGACGATGCGCACCACGAAGTTAACGAGAAGAGATTCTGTCTTATTATGGACGAAGTCGATGGTATGTCTAGTGGAGACCATGGAGGAGCAGGTGCATTATCTGCATTTTGCAGAATCACAAAGATGCCTATGATCTTGATTTGTAATGATAAGTCGCTCCCCAAGATGAGAACATTTGACAAGGTTACGTATGACTTACCATTCAGGCGTCCCTCGGAAACAGAGATGAGATCTAGATTGCTCACCATTGCTCTTCGAGAGAAACTCAAATTAGATCCAACCGTTATTGGTCAATTAGCACAAGCCACAGGAAATGACATTCGACAGATCATCAACTTGATGTCCACTGTCTCCAAGACTCAGAAAATGATTGGTCATGCGAACACGAAGGAAATTGCCGAGAGCTGGAAGAAGCAAACAACCCTCAAGCCGTTTGACATTGCAATTCGTATGCTTGCAGGAGGAATTTTCAACCCCAATTCAGGCAGTACCTTGAATGACAAGATTGACATGTATTTCAATGATATTGACTTCACCCCATTGATGATACAGCAAAACTATCTTTCAACGCGTCCCAGTGGTGTGCTGTCCCCACTTGAACACTTGAAGCGAGTCGCAGAAGCTGCAGATGACATCTCACAGTCGGATCAGATCAATTCGTTAATTCGGTCCAGCGAGCAACAGTGGAGTTTACTTCCTTTCCACGCGGTGATGTCGACAGTTAAGCCATCAATGGAAATCAATGGTAGCATGCATGGCCGTATTGAATTTACAAAATGGCTTGGCAATAACTCAAAGGGAATGAAGTATCAGCGTATGCTACAAGAGTTGCAATATCACACGCGTATGCGGACGTCTACGAGTAAAACGGAGTTGCGGATGGAATACATGCCTGTATTCTCTGAGAAGTTGACTTTTCCGCTTGTCGACTCCGGCGAAGAAGGTATTCCTGATGTGGTGGAGACCATGGACTACTACTACTTATCTAGGGAAGATTGGGACAATATTATAGACTTTGGGGTGGGTGCCAACAAGGGCGCGGAGAATCTTAAGAAGATTCCTACCAAGGTCAAGACAGCCTTCACTAGGAAATATAATAGTGCGCAACATCCAGTGGCTATCTACAAAACTGGCAATTCTATCGGAACAGGAAGAGCAAAGAAGGAGAGTGTTGACTTTGAAGGAGTGGTGGAGGATGACACCGCTAAGGACGATGAAGAGTCCGAGGCGGTGGATCCGGATGCAATTGATGCAAAGGACAAACTCATCAAGGAAGTGAAGCCTAAGAAGAAGGCTGCTTCAAAGAAGGCTGCACCAAAGAAGGCAGCGGCGAAGAAGACTCCAGTGAAAAAGGCACCAAAGAAGCAGTGATGAGAGCCCTGTGCTGCGCGCATAATTAAGCGAACATGGAGATTGAGTAGGCGATAATAAAGTGCATGAGTCTAGTAATTAAGGTACAAGAAGAATATGAAGGGAGACCAAAGGTACGACAAAAGTGAGTAACTGAGTACATGAGAAGTAAACTTGACAATGTAAAAGAACAAGAAAAGGAGGCACATGAAAAGTCTCCCAAGCTACTGGTGAGAGGATAGTGAATTATATTAGAGATAGTCGCTAAGGGTGATGCAAGGAGAGTGCAGAATGATGACAAAAAGATTGACGGATGATAAAAGCAATCTATAATTTTTCTTATTGAAGCAAGCCCAGTTGTACACCGTATGGACCCTTTAAGTTCTCCCCACTAACATCCCAATCAAACATGCATACTCAAATGCAACCCTGGCAAAACTAAACTTAAACCCCGCTATTCATTCTTTATTTATATTCCTCATCTTTTCAAGATTACGGTTATACAATGAGGACCTCTGATGATCAATTGTTCGAGCAATGTTCCAATTCCATTCAACAATCTTCTCCGATATCATATAATTCATAACCAACACCTAACATTCCATCATCTACATTGTGTGCATTTCTCCAACACTGACGACTATAGCTGTATTCTATCATTACACTGTATCCTGATACCATGCTTGATCAGTGTTCAGTCCAAGTTCAGTCCATGCTCGCTAGTCACTTATTACTCACCATATTCACAACTTCTCAATCAAATCGTCTTCTATTCCATCCACCAATATTTTCTCAATCTTCTTCCTTATTATGTTTAATTATTCATTTCTCCTATCCAAATTCAACCTATCATCGCGGCCAATCTCCTAATACCTTCACCTCCAGGGCTCGTGAACCCAGGTACGGCGTTCTGTTACACCCGTCCCACCCGTAACCCACGACTACACAGGTTGTATCTCGCGCAACTAAGCGAATTCCAAACCCATCCTTCTCCTTATAATATCTCTATGGGCCCGTAATGTCGGACCAAAGCCCCATGTTCAACGTGCCCCCGAAGCGCCACGACCAGCCCATGCTACTGCTACGCATTCCGTCGCCAGTGTCGCTCGGTGTCAATGACAAGGACTCTGGAACTTATCTCACGGCCAGTGGTGCTACCTCGAAGACCCCTGGCGGACCTCGTCGCAAGCCACCGCCAATCGATTTTTCCAAAATTCATGGCTCCCATTCATATACTCCCGATACTAGCAGTCCTTCCAATCCGTCTCCAGGCGATCGATCAATGTCCGATTTCTCCACTGTGCTTCAAAGCTCCGATCATCAGGGGACCTTTCCTGGAGGTGCTTCAGGAGTGGCCTCGGGAGCTTCTCGCCCAGTGCCTTTGCCGGGACAGTTCCTGTCTCAGTTGGCCACAACTACCTCGACGAATCCCAACCAGTCGACAAATTCAACAACTGCAAAGTACTCGACAAACGCTCGATCGACGCATCGAACACAAGCTGCGCCAATGCCACTTGTGCTGGCGTCTCAGAGAGTTAATTACACGTCACTTGAGCATCTCACACCTGAAGACTGGAATATCCTAGCGAACAACGACGACATCATAGAACTCAGCAAGTTGGGCGAGGGCAATGGAGGAAGCGTCTCCAAGTGCAAGCTCCGGAGCGGGTCCCCGGTGTTTGCACTTAAGTTGATCAATGCAGATTCCAATCCTGACGTCCAGAAGCAGATCATAAGAGAGCTACAGTACAATCGCTTGTGCAACTCGCCCAACATTGTCAAATACTATGGTACATTTTTGGTGGAGCTGCAATCTATGATAGGAATTGCCATGGAGTTCATGGGTGGCCGCTCGTTAGATGCCATTTACAAACGAGTCATCGAGATCGACTCCACAAATCGTATGAACGAAAAGGTATTGGGCAAGATTTCTGAGTCCGTCCTCCGTGGCCTCAGTTACCTTCATCTGCAACGAATCATCCATAGAGACATCAAGCCATCAAATATTTTACTTGATCGTTACGGCAATGTCAAGCTCTGTGACTTTGGTGTCAGTGGAGAGGTCGTCAACTCATTGGCCACGACCTTTGTTGGCACTCAGTATTACATGGCTCCCGAAAGGATCATGGGTAAACCTTACAATGTGAGCTGCGACGTGTGGTCCTTGGGACTTACTATTCTCGAAGTAGCTATGGGTCAATTCCCTTACCACTTGCAGACAGACGACACACCACTCGGACCTATCGAGCTTCTTTCGTTGATATTAGAGTACCAGCCTCAACTTGAGGATATTCCAGAGGACGGTATTTTCTGGTCTGACTCATTCAAGAGCTTTATAGACTTCTGCTTGAAGAAGGACTTCGACAAGCGACCCAGTCCACAGCAGATGCTCCAACATCCGTGGTGTATGGGACAGCTGCGGTTGCGTGTAGATATGGAGAAATTTGTGAAACGACTCTGGGGAGATAATTTGGATTAAGATGATATGGATTAATAAAGAACATTACGGTGGAATATGTAGAAACTGTGATCATGAAATGGCTCATTTTTCAATTCCTTCAGATAAAAACCACTCAATAGAAAAGTATTTGCCTAAGCAAAATATACCAAAATACTTTGAAACCAAAATCGTATGGAGTACAACATTCATAAATATGAAAATGAAATTATCTAGAAACTTGTCTACCGATTGTCCAAGTATTTAGCAGCCACCTTCTCAGATATCGGTTTATGCACGCCCATCCAACCAATCACCTCAGTCTCAAAAACCTTACCTACCATAGTTAAACACACTAAACATGCCTGTTCCATTCGAAGGGTTGTTGCCCTACGCTATTATGACGGCCTTCTTTGGCCTTGCTGGTCATGGTGTCGGTTTCATCAGATACTGGGACAACGGCTGGAAGAATGACAGATTTGACTTGGACCAGTGGGATCAAAAGATGATGGCCAGAGACTTTTTGTTGACCGGCACCAAGCGTGGCCAGCTGTCAGATGCAGTTGCTCCAGAGCACTTCAAGACCTCTCATATTGTCAAGGAGTCGTACTGGACGCCATACAGAGACCAGTTCTTCTCTTTCAGAGAGAGATTGTACAGAGGTTATGTTAGCGGAACCTGGGACTTTAGCTAGGCCTATAGAAATACATTGCACGGATGAGAATAAGTAGATTAAAAGAACATTGATATGTAAATCTTCAGATGTTTAGCTGTTTGGAAGGACCGAAACTATTGATACTCTCACGAGATGTTTAGCATCATTAGACATTACGATGTTTTAATGGAGTGTCAGATTCACATTGAATATCCTGTGGAAAGATTGGAAGATCCAACCAATAGCCCCAATAGAATAGGATGACGAATAGAGTTTTAAACAGAAACATGGCAGATTGGTTAACAACTTTAGTTAGGATGATGCCATCGTTTTACAATCACTAAGAAAACGTAATGCTATGCTAGTATACAATGCTACTTGAAGTTCTTGTAGCTCCACTTCTCCGTGAACTTACGGGCGTACTTTCTCTTCTTCACCACAGGCACTCTGGCCTCAATCTGTCCAGAAGCCTGCAACTTGTGCATGTGGTCATAAAACAAGTTTCCCTCCGGTTTGACGCTTCTCATGCTGTTGGTCAATTCATCAGACAATTTCACCTCAATTGGCTTGAACGTGACATCACTCTTACCATGGCGGAAATACTTCTTTGGCGCCTTCTTCTTTATCTGTGACTCTTTAACTTCCACTTCTTTCTGAATGTCCTCTAACTTCAGCAAATCATTGATTTGTTTCTTGAGATCAGTGAGCTTGGCCTGAAGCTCCATTCTCTTCTTGTGTGCGGCCTCTTTGTTACGCTTAGTCTTAGTCTTGATCTTCAACTCGGTTCTCTCGTTGATGGAGAGTTTGTACTTGGTCTCTTCATCCTCGTCCTCGGCAGCTTCCACTTCCTCCTCAGGAGCCTCATCACCGGAAGTGTCGATTTCCTTGTCGTCCAAAGTCTCAATCAAATGCTGGATGCGCTTCTGGTGCTCTTCCATGGCCTGGCGTTTCATCTCGAGACTCAGCTCGGCGTTGAATTCACGATCAATCAAGTCCTTCCACGAGCCCAACTCGGGATTGTACGATTTACCTGCGTGCACCAAGCCGACCTCAGTGGTTGAGACTGTGAGAGCGAGCGGAGCGTGTGCCATAGTCTTAGGAGCCTTGGTGGCTGGCATGTACGCCTTGAAAGCAGACTTCTTGTAGCTATCTGGCTGAGCGACTTCTTCCTCGTCGGCCCAAACATCCACATTTTTACCTCTAATAATACCGTCCTTGTCCAATCTAGTTTTGAGCTTAGAGTCGGTATTCAGACGCCCGGCTAGAGCCATCAACTGCTTGGCTTGCTTCTTGCTGACTTTATGCTTGACCTGCCTCGACACAAGAGCAGGAACTTTAGACTTGTTTTCCAAAATTTCTCTGCTTTTCAACTTGGAACCATGGGTCTTTCTATTGTCACCTTCATTATCAATGACAAAGTCTTCGTCTGTACCTTGCAACACTTCCTTCTCTCTCTTTGCTTCTAAACCTGCGTGGATATCTTGCACGTCGACATTTTTCCTCCAGGCCTTTTTACCTTTTCTTGAAGGCTGAGCCTTGGAAGTGGGAGCCATTATAGTATGGAGATGAGACTAAGTTTTTTGAGATGAGGTAGATAGATCGATGGGTGCGACATCACGACAATGTCGCGGATGAGCTAGGCAATTTGACCGGCAACGATTTTGAAAAAAGTGGTTATTTTTGAATTTCTTATGCATGGATATGTTGTTTGGATGGTTAATATGCCCAGAAAGTATTGATTTTAAAAAGTTCTAATGTTGGTTGCAAATTTAAATGGCTCCGGAAGTGATTTGACGAACGTCTTATATACAGGTCAGAAAACACCCATGTATGGGACTAATTGCTAGACAGGCGTTCATGGCCAGAAATAGAAGCAAGTCAAATGCTTCTGCGACAGATATTTCCCGAACCCCACCTCGGGCACATGGAGCGTCTGACATATCCGTGGTTTCAAACACCTATATATTAGAGGTAATACCATGTGAGAATAGCAGTGGAGACGGTTGTACCCCTCAAGGTGCAGCATGTGGTAAGTCGCATCATATGAAAAGTAGTTGACTTGTATCGAGAGGTTTTGAAGTGATCAGAGAATTAACTGAACAAATTTTTCAAATTATATAAATTGCACAAATTTTTCTACACATTTAAATCGACTGTTGAACTCTTTCATTTCATTATTGTATTTGTTTCATGTTCATATTTTTTATTTTTTTTCGTATGGTTATATTTCCTCATCGTCTACTCGTCAGGCATAACAACCATTATCAACCTTCTCCACCACCGCTCGACTCAATTCTCCATAATCATACATAGATATTCCCCCACTTAAACTCACATACAGTGGGCAGTGGTAACGCTTCACAAGCACCCGCCCCAAATTGGCTGTGAAATCGTGTAAATCCCCATTTTCCAGACCCTGCAACACACTTTGATAACACTCTCTGACCGAGGCTATACTATAGATGTAACATCCTAATGATTCGTTGCCTACCTGGTTAACATAGACCAAAATGGGAGCCTTTTTGTTGTCTGAGCTCCTCTGCACCGCCACCGTGTAGTCGTGCTCGCCCACGCTTACTGTGTCCGTTTTCATAACTGGATGATTGCTCAAATGCTGATGGTGAGTCTCACTTTTCACTGTCTGTTACTCCACTGAAGGTGGGGCTATTGTGCACACCGGGGTAATATGAATCTCTGATTAGCCGAATTTATGTCCGTTAATGCCTGATGCGTCCGGTGGGTTGCAAACCCATTGATGGAGGAGTTATGGCGGTATTATTTGTTCTCTTTCTTTTCTTTGTCTCCCTGTTTTATACTTAGCCTGACCCATACTCTCCATTGATAGTATTTGACGAGACAAGTATAGAGAATAGATATCCAGGGTTTTTTTGTTTCGTTTTTCGTTTTCTTGCCAGTATAATAAATTGGTTCATCGGCTCCTTTGAGTGGTAGTAATCGCGTGTTCTCGACTTTGAATATCGACCCTACTTCTCGAGTCGCCTTCTGTCTACGTCCCTGGTTCATCCTAAGTCCTTTCCGATCAAATTCCGATCCACTACCAAAGCTCAAGTCTGGAACTTGAGGTCAGATTCACTTCAGCACGATCAATTTGATCTTCTGAGTCCAAATTTACTGTCTCCAAGAGAAGTCCATCCAACCTCAAATCCACATCTCAGCTTCAATTCAAACTTCCCACTTCCCACTTCCTAATTGCCAGCCAATTGTCAATTCAAAATACCCACTTCCTACTTCAAATTCCGCTCCAATGACTGCTCTAGACAACCAAATGTTGGTGGAAACCATCTCCTCGTTGGTACTAAGCAATGACTCCTCTTCTATGCCTCCGGCCCCAGAGTTTCCTCTCCGAATTAAGGTTGACCTTGCGAATTCAGAAGCAAACGAGTCTCCTCAGCTGCTAAAGCTCTATTTATCTGACGAGGGCATACGGTGGAGTGCTACTGACCTCGTCTTGAGCTTTTCGACCTCCGAAAAGGCTGTTGCTTACAGCATCGTGACCCATTTATGTGACAATAATTGGAGCATTACCTTTGATTACGGTCAATTTGTCTCGCATCCTGGCATGCTTTTTGTGAAGGGCCTCGAAAGGTCTCCCTCACTACTTGAGGACCTTACTGACCATTTTAAGAAGCAATGTCGATACGAACTGCTTGCTGATGTGAATGTGATCGGTGTTCCTCCCGAAGAGTCTAATAGTTCAAATGCAAATGCCACTGGACATTGCCCCAACGAGGTGGCTGCTATCATCAAATATGACAACTTCTTAGACGCAGAATATGCGCTTGTCCACGCAAATGGAGCCAACTCGTTTGGTCCCAAAATGCAAGTCAACAGATACATCAGCAAGAAAGAACGGGCGCTCGCCAACGAGCAGAGCCCCAACCTGAGATCAAACTCATCGGTGAATCCCCACGAGGAATCAGTGGTATATGATACCATTGTGGTGGAGAATTTCAATGATTTTATAGCTGGAACCCTCAGTATCGAGCAATTCCAGACAATACTCGAGAAATTTGAGCTTTTCCTGCCAATCGAGTGTATATTCTTCCCTACCGCTAACGGTGAGTCTGACCGCTTGCGCTTCAAGAAGGTCGGATATATCCGTATAGAGCTAGATAAGGAGATGAACTTGAAACTTTTGAAGGCACTTTATTACCTTAATGGCTTGACTTTAAAGCAACTACTTGAATTCTCTAAGGATGATATTTACGACCTTACGCTGGATCTAAATATCCCTGAACGCGAGCGAACACTGAAGTCTGCTAAGTTGAAGTTGTCCATTGCACAGAGGAAACACAACCACCATCTCTACGAGAATTCTGACTCACTCTATGTGGGGCTAACAGACGATAATAAGGTTCAAGTTTTCGAGGCTAATGAGAAGCTTGTCGAGTCGGGTTTTATCGATCAGTTCTCTAAGTCTTCCAATTACCAGGAGACAAACGTTTATGTGAACAACTTTCCAATCATTTTTGAGAATGACGACAATCTATGGGCCGATTTCTGGAATCAGTTCGGAATAGGTCGCGTCAAGTCTGCCAAAATCATCAAACCTTACTTTTATTCAAAAAAGTCTGACGGAGCACTAGGAAAGATTGGCTTTGTCTTCTACGAGGAGTTCAAAATGGCTCTCCGTGCCATTATTCTCACCAACAACAAATCCATCAAGTACAAGAACTGCCCCAGCATATTGATTCAGGCATCGTTTGCTATTCAAAAACATAGCAGCTATTCGCAGCCACCAAGTAAGCAATCGCACTCCAAGTTTACTCACCCTGCCCCGCCCATGAACTATTATCCCCTCCATGAACCTTCGAAGCAGTACAATGGCGGCTCCCCTTTTGTTCCATTTCCGGAACAATATGTTTTCCATCCTTACATGATGTCGATGCCACATTATACACCGGGCATGCTTCCCGAAGATAATCCAGAGGAAGGAGTGGGAGAGTTTCGCAGGTTGCTGGAAGATTTCACTGGTGCCACCCCTGGTGGGGCCACGTTCCCTCCACACTTTGGCTTCTACTATCCTTACTTTCCGTATTCGGGACTGATGCCAATGGGTGCGCCTATACCTCCTCACATGCCAACGAATGGACTTCCGATTCCTGTTCAAAACCAAAATAACCAAAGATCCGAAAGGAAGAAGTCTGGATGAATGTCGCAAAGACTTTAGGGCATGTCCGTTTAAGACAATTGCACAGCTTTTCCACTCGCAAAATATTTATAACGACTGACGTTTCATCTACAATGTAGCCAAGATAAGTCTATAATGTGCTATTTACAACGAAGGAGGAGCCACGTCCTCACCTCTCCTTTTTGGAATAATTTTGGCTTCCTCAAACTGAACAGCTGCCTCTTCGGCAAGGTCTGGCTCGTCAACCGGTCTCACCTCTTGCACTTCTTCAATGTAGTATTTTAACATGCTCTCAATTCCGTTCTTCAAAGTGACCGACGAGGAGTCACAAGAACGACATGCACCCTTCAACTTGAGGTAAACTACACCACCATCTTCTTCAAAGTTCACAAATTCAATGTCTCCTCCGTCATCCTGAATGGCAGGACGGATTCTGGTGAAAATCAACTCTTTAATCATAGATACGATCTCGTCATCGTCCTCGTTGATCTCCATATCATTAGTAAGAGATGAAGACTCAGAAATCACTGGTATTCCACTGGTCAACAGTTCTGTCAAAATGGAGAAGATCTCAGGTTTTAGAAGTGCCCATTCGAAATCACCATCACTCTTCTCGATAGTGATGAAGTTAGAGCCCAACATGATGGATTTCACTCCATCAACAGTGAAAAGTTTCATTGCAAGTGGACTGGCGGCCGCTTCCCTACCGCTAAGGAACTCTCTTGTTTCATTTTCTGGTAAAATATTCATAGATGGGAGGAATTTCAAAGCATTCTCATTTGGGGTTTCTGCGGTTTGTATAAAGAGGTTCCGGAGCAGGAGACGCAGAAATGCTGGTACTGTGAGGTTTGCGCCGTTCAGATAAATGAACCTTGGCGATTTTGCAAGTATTCTGGCTAACATGGTCTGTATCTGGAGTATAGATTCTATTAAGATTAAGGCATCCTGTTCATGTTTGCGTGCACCCGTACACCGCTAAAAGCAACCACTCTCTCGGCAGAAATCGGTACCTGGACCCCATGCAGACCAATTAGTTGAAGAGTAACTTCTCGAACATGGATGCTGCCTTCTCTTCGAATTTGGTTTCGTTGGTATCGTTGCTGATAGACTGATCCAACTGTAATTTGTTCTCGGCGAGCATCAATATGTTCTCGTCAATAGTATCTTCTGAAATAAGCTTGGTAACCATAACCTCATTGGTCTGACCCACACGGTGTGCTCTGTCTTCAGCCTGCTTGTCGTCATGTGGGTTGAATGACTGATCGAAAATAACCACATTGTTGGCTGCAACCAAATTAATACCAAAACCTCCTGCTTTAGTAGATAAGAGAAAGACAGGGATGGTTTCATCCTCGTAGAATCGATCGATAATGTCTTGTCTGGTGTCCACACTGGTTTGACCATCGAGTCTCAAAAAGGTAATATTAGAAAAACTCAAAACCTTCTCAAGGATGTCAAGCATCTGTGTGAAAAGCGAAAATACTAAAACCTTCTCCTTCCTTTCAATTACGTTGTCTAACACCTCCAACAATTTCGTAATCTTCCCACTGTCCAACCACTTTTCCTTGTCAAGAACATAAGAACCAATGGTTTTGGGGAATTTCTCACATAATGCATTAAGTTCATAGTCACTCATGACTTGCATATCCTCGTAAATGTAATGTCTGTTGGCCGAAACATATTCAGGCTCTTTCATGATCTTCTTAGCCATTTCTTTGAGGATGTCGTCAGTGTATATCGTACGGAAAAGCAATGGATGCATGGATGCCTTCCTTAACGACATCATGACATTTGAAGATGATGCGATAGGTATTTTGCGAGCTTCTTCTGCTTCCTTGCCCTCTAGGTTTTTCCTTCTTTCTCTTTCGAGTTTGGTGGCCTTACCTTGAGAAATGTAATCACTGTAGATCTCTCTTTGTTTTGCTGTCATTTTACATTTCACAATCTCGTGGCTCTTTCCTGGCAAGTATTTCAATACTTGAGCCTTCTTCCTTCTCAACACAAATGGAGTCATCATTGTTTTCGCTTTGTTGATTGCTTGCTGGGATAACAATGGGTTATAATTGTCAGCACCATCAACACTGGCTTTCTTGTTGAATAAACCCTGCAAGTCTTCACGCTTTTCCACAAACAAATTTGGCAACATGAATGCTAAGAGGGACACGAGTTCCTTCAAATTATTCTGCAATGGTGTTCCCGTTAACAACAATCTAAAATCAGCTTTCAATCTCATCAATTTGTTGTATCTTTCGCTGCTGGAATTCTTCAACATATGTCCTTCATCGTAGACAATCATATCAAAATGTTGACTTCTCAAAAACTTGAAGTCCGGTGGGGCACCGGTGGCCAAGTTGTAAGTGGTGACGAGAACATCATACTGCATTTCCTGAAGCTCATACCTCAAATCCTCACGCTCCGCTTGAGATCCGTAGTAAGCCTGAACAATGAGGTCTGGGCAAAACTTGTTGAACTCTCTCAACCAGTTTTCCAAAGTAGACGAAGGAACAACTACTAAATGTGGCCGCTTCTTGTCTGAAGTCACCTTCAAATGCGCCATGAAAGATATGACCTGACATGTCTTACCAAGGCCCATTTCGTCAGCAAGGATACATGATAACTTATTATGGTAAAGCAAATTGAGCCAGTTGATTCCCACTTGCTGGTAATTCTTCAACTCGATGTCTGGAGCTAAGAGCGTTGGTTTATGCTTGACATATGGAAGGCTTCTCTTGTTGGACACGATATCGTCATCCTCATTATCCTCTTCATTGGCATCAACTTCCACCATGCTCAACTCTCCCTCACCGGTGATTTTTACACCCCACCTGTCCATCTGTGAGGAGATAAGGTTGCCGTACTCAGAACATTTCTTGACTAAAGAATCCACAGCCTTATAACCTTTCAAACTGAATTCGGTGCTTTCCACGATTCTCATTCCCATTGCTTTTCTCTGGCCACCACGTCTCTTTGTCTCCGGCTCTGGAGTTGCATCATCGAAACGATCCTCGGAAACCTCGTAAATGGTTTTGAATGGTCTCTTGGAGATCAAAAGATCGGCTATCTTAGGTTGGACATTACAAATCTCCACAATATCATCCACGGACGAGGAGTTCAAGAACTCTAAGATCTGGCCATCTATAGAGGTGAGACCATTGCTGTAGTGATCATCATCATCTTCGGCCGACATGTCGTCGCTGAAAACATCTTCCTCCAATTCATCGTCACTGTGCGATGTGCGGGACGACGACGACTTCTTTTTCTTTCTATTGGCTCTGATCTTCTCCTCCAACAAGTCAAGTTCATCTATTTCAACCGACAGATTCTTGCTGGTGGTCAAGCGAGGAATAGCCTCTTCTTTGAAGCCGAATGCCTGTGTGAGCACGCCAGGCAGACCTATCGCATTGGGAGTGGTGGACTGAGAGGTGGCGGGTGTGGATTCATCCATGTCATCAGCACGTACGAGCTTTCTCTTCTTCATCTCACCGTTGGCACGCAGAAACAAGCTATCAATCCGGGTCTGTGTGTTTGTTCTGTTTCTGTACTTTTCTAGGATGGAAACCTTGGGTTTCATGAGCTGGATCTTGGTGTCTGGAGCCTTGACGGCTTCCATCGACAGTAGCGATCTCTTTTGTCTAGCTTTTCCTGCTACCTTGACAGGCGAAGCATCTTCGTCCTCGTAAACTTGTGGTGCTGGGGACTGGATCAATGGAGAAGGAGGAAGCAGGACTTCCGCCAACTCCAATGCCCGAGCCTCTTCCTGGCGTCTATTTTCTTGTTCGGCAGCGGCTGCTTGTTTCTTTGCGTTTTCTTCTTCCAAACGGCGCACCGTGCGCTCGTTATCATACTGATTCATGCGTTCACTCAATGGAATATTATCTCCAAGCCACAGGCATATGTCCCTGAGATTTCCCTTTCCCTTGACCATGCCCTTAAAAATCTCAGGCTCTGTCAAATAGTAAAATCGTTTCTGCAACACGGGCCAGAACTTGTGGGCATAGAAGCGCTTCTTCATCTCTTCCTTGCGTTTTTCCTCCTCTGCGTCATGATGGCTGGGCATCGCATGGCCAGCAGCCACTGGAGACGATCTGACGTTGATGGGCGATGAGCTGGGCACCTGTAGCACATTCTGCTCCTTTTTCGGGGTCTGTTGAAACGCCATCTTGGGCTCAAACTCGTATATATAGAAGAGAGAGGTGGGTATGATTTTTTAAGCGCGTTGGAGTGTCTGGAGAGAAGAGGTGTTGGAGGATAGAGATGGAGACGTGGTTGATGATTTGCTTTCTTGGGTTTCCTATTGAAGGCTAAGACATAAATTAATAGGAGGTTCTCTTTCTTTTTTCTCTTTACTTGTCTTTTCTTTCTGTAGTATCGTTTGCTCTTCGGTTATTTAGACCTTGGGACCATGCAGATTATTGTCGATATGGGCTAATCTACAAATTAACAGTTTTCACAATAGAGCAAAAACGGAGAAAAGGAACTGATTTCGAGCTTTTAGCAATCTAGTTTTGACATTCATAACACATATACATCTTTTGTTGCTATACTTCACCTCTTCGCTGCTCACTTCCTCTCCTACTCATCTCTCACTTCTGCAGTCCGATAAGTAACACCTACTATGACCTACCGAATTCTAGCGTGTGGTTCCAACGGAAACTACCAGCTCGGTACAGGAGACAATGACGACTACGATACTCTAACACCTATACCCATCGCCATTTCTTGCCGGCCGGTACAGTTTGCGTTTGGTGGAAATCATACCTTGCTACGACTACAAGATGGCAGGGTCTATGCTTGTGGCGATAACACCTATGGACAATGCGGTAATTTAAAAGCTTCTTTGGTGACTGAATTTACCCTAGTACCTGGGAAATGGGCCCAAATCGCTGCAGGCTGGGAGTTTTCTGTCCTTGTATCCGATTCAGGTACCATATATACCTGTGGGCATGGACCCAAAGGAGAGCTCGGACTTGGAGCAGAAACCACAACAGCAGAAACTCTCACAGAAGTTCCATTACCAACAGGGTTTGAATATAGTATTGTTAAAGACATCAAGGCCGCCATTGGCCACGTCGTGGTGCAATACTCAAATAATAAATTCATAGGATGGGGCACTTGCCGAAAGGGCCAGTTGGGGCCGCAAGAATTCGAGATGACCAGTCGAGGAAAGAAACCATTGAGTCTGTATTGGATCCCTCGAGTTTTAGATGTACATGGTCTGCTAGTTTGCTTGGGAAGAGATCGAAGTGTCTTTACTGGAGAGAAAGGTATAACAATCATAGGAAAGAACCCACAATTCATACCTTGTACACCATTTAAGGTCGAAGCCATGTGGTCTTCGGTCCACTACAGCGAAAATGTCAATGGAAATATTCACCTTGTGTCACTTGGCAATAATCTGCATGGTCAGCTATTCCAATATCAAATCCCTGGAGAAATGGCGGACTTTGAGGTAGGCAGCGAACATGGCATTCTACTCCTAAAAGACAATTCTGTATATGCTTGGGGTTGGGGAGAGCACGGTAATTGTGGGAACAAGCAGACCGACAGTGTGACTTTTGACTATTTGAATCCCATTTACAATGGGGCCAATCCAGTGGAGCTCATGGCATGTGGACTAGCCACAACCTGGATTGTGGAGAGGATAGAATAAAGGGAAGAAAGGAGAGAGAAAAAAGAAGTAGACAACGGCACACAAAGGGAATCAAGAGGTGACGCAAGTATAATTTCCATAACTACAACAGTCTTGATGTAAGACATGTCACGAGGTATCTTTCCCATATTCATCTAATGCGTAAGATGTAGACATCTATGCTCAAAGATGGAAAATATGTTCAACGTGGTTGATCTAGGACAAATGTATCGGCAGAAATCAAGAGCTCGGAGATCAAAAGACCATCAAGCTGAAATCTGTCTTCTTATTATCCGAGATTCACAGCACTTTAGAAGCACTGAGAACCTGGAGAGAAAATTCGAGATGCGCTGCTCGATTTTCTATACTTTTCTACCGGTGTGCGGGTAACCACTATCAGCAAACAAGATATTTAGACTCAAGAAACCTGATCTGATTAACTATGTCGTCCATGTTTGGAGCTGTCTGTTCGGGCCGTCCTATGGAGTTGGCCCAGCAAGTGGAGCCCACCAAGTGGGTTTTTTCCATTGCCAATGCCTCCAATGTTAATCACATAGCAGTGTTCATACTTCCCCAGACCCAATTCACCGATAACAACTTCACAGCGCTAGTGTACTTCCAGCTTCCCAATTCCACTGATTTTAAGTTACTTGGAGGCTTGAATCCTTCCAAACCACTGGCCATTTTCCGTCTTAACAATACAACAGCGAAACGTACTGAGTCACATTTGGCAGACGACGATGATGCCATGAACGACGACTCGGCGCCTCCTGCCGATTATGTGCTTAATATTGGTATTTCTATCGAGCCTACTCCCCAAGCAGAGGCACTCATAGCACAGGAAAGGTCGAAACAAAAATCCATTCTCCCTGCCCCAACTTCGGGACCACCAGCACCTCTGCAGCCTCTGGAGATTGCAGGTTTGGCTAACAAGATCGTCAAGCACGCATACAACTACTTGGGGAGTTTCATTGATGGCTCTGGAAAGGTTCCCATGAAGGCTTTCGACAATTGGTGGGATAAATTTAGAACCAAACTCAGCAATAATCCTAACTTTTTAAATGAATTGGACTGATCTGCGAGCCCCTAACTGTTGATATGAATCTGCAAAGACAAAATTAACTGTGAAAAACTGCATTATTTTTGCTATGTACTGAACCTCGGACGCTGTTGCTTACAACAAAAGACCTACAAGTCCCACCACGAAAGCACCAGCACCAGCATTGGCCAAGTTGGCACCATTAGAGGACGTGGCTGCAGAAGAGGAGCCAGAAGAGGAAGCTGCTGCAGACGATGCAGCCGAGGAAGCGGTTGACGTAGAACCAGAAGCTGAAGCTGAAGCTGATGCAACAGACGAGGCACTGGACGAGGCTGCCTCGGATGTGGATGTGCCCATCACCATGGAGGATGTGCCCATTACCATGGTAGATGAGCCCATCACCATGATGGAGTCGCTGCCAGTCATGGCATGCGAGTGTTCGTCATCGTGAGCATGGTCTGCAGAGGCCGATGAACCGTGATCCTCGCCATCATGAGCAAAGGCAACTGGAATAAGTGCAAGGGCAAAGAGAGAGAAACGCATCGGTAGAGGTTGAAAAGAAGGAAGAAGTAGTGAGAAACAAGAAAGGAGGGGATTTCCACCTCATTATATAGTGAGTTTGACTGATATCGAACCAATCGGGCAATTTAGAGATCTAGTGAAGAACAATAGACAGAAAAAAGCTGGTATGTGGTTGTTGTAATGCCTTTAGATCAGGTTTATGACCACATCTACATACTAGAAACTTCGCAATCGCTGTTAATGTGAGTAGACACTGCTTTGTTCCATGGTTTCACCAAAATTCATCATTTCAAGTACTCGATAAATAGATGGATTCGAGAAACTTGACGAAGGAGTCCCACTGGAAAGGTAATTTAATTGACTCAGTGAGACGTGTTTAGTGGAGAACCCTGTCCCGATTTAGTGAATAAATTGCTCTTCAATAATGCATCCAGGTGCATTCCTAGTAATGCACAAACGACTACTAAAACGGTGCCCACAAAGTTTACGATAAAGGACCACAAAGGAAATGCAATATACTTAAAACGCTTACGTAATAAAGTGATTGTATCATTGTATAACTATTAAGGAATTGTCCAGCATAAATAGATTCTTTACAACAAGAGGCCTCCAAGGGCTACAAGGGCACCGGCAGCCAAGAAGGGACCATTCTTTCCAGCTTCACCTGAAGTTGAGGAAGAGCCGGCAGCAGAAGAGGAGCCGGCAGCGGAAGAGGAGCCAGATGCTGCAGAAGAACCAGAAGTGACTTTGGAACCGGAAGCTGTCTTAGAAGCAGCAGAATTGGCAGCAGAACCAGAACCAGAACCAGAGGTAGCCAAACCAGCTAAAAGAGACAGAAGCTGAGCAGATTGAGAGGCGTCCAATGTTGGAACGGAGAACAGACCAGTTTCTGTTCCACTCAAGTCTAATGAGGCCAGGCCAGTGTAACTATAGTGAGCAAGGAAGGAAGCCCAATAGGAAGAAGCATCTGTTGAAGCAGCAGAAGCAACAGTAGCGGAAGCAACCAAGGCAGCAATGGAGAAACGCATTTTGAAAAGATTATAGAGAAAGTAAGAGAGTGGAAAAGTTTGAATTTATGTTGAAAAGAGAAAGGGCCCTTTGTATTATATATGTCGGATGAACTGCGGGGGGCAGGGCACTCACATGGCCATACATAAGAACGAAGCACGACAATATCCGCGATTTATGGCGCTTTTTCAGTCCTAAAATAGACTCAATGAAAATATGTCGACTGAACACGCTTCGTGAGTGAAATTTTGCCCAATATTACCCGCAATTGCGCCTGGTTAGCCTCCTATAAGGTTAAGACGAGAGAGAAAAGTCAATGCAAGGAATGAAATATATGCAGTCTTCCTGATGGATAATTTCCTTTTTGGGTAAAAAGCTTTTCGGCTGAGTTGATTTGTGAAATATCCGGAAACACGCTATTGCCACGGTGGGAGACTCGACTCATCAATATTCACATCGGTAGTTCTAAGTCAATCGGTCAATTTGAATCAAAATGTATTTTTTCGTGACGATTGATGTATGTGCCAGTGCGGTTTAGTCGCTAATTCTAATTAGAGAAGCTTTCCAGCGCTCAACTTCGCAACAGTGAATTTGAGCCAAAAATGAAAATAAAGCCATGCTATACCAGGGCTCATACGTTTCCATGTGTCTGTTGCGCGTGGTAACTTTGGCAGGTTTTGCTGTCATCCGTTAACTGTCATCCATATGCTGCCATCAGCAAGCTGTCGTTCATTTCCTGTGCTTTCACTCTTGAACTTTCTTTCTCGTGGAAATTTTAACAGCGAAAATGTTAAGTCGTCACTGATTATGCCTCAAGGATTTATGCCTTGAAGATTGAAAACCATAATGCCTTCTGCTTTTGCACATCTTTTGGACTTCTCTACTACAATAGGCCGGGAACATTTTTGGCTGCGAACTACTTGCAACAGCTCCTGATAGTTACAAAGCAGTAATTATATCACATTCGCCATTAATATTGAATTATAATGGCCATTTCACTAAAACATTGCGTTATCTATTAGTTTCTCAAAATCATAAAATCACTAGCAATCTCAGCTGTTTCAACTCTTCATCATCAAGCCATCCTCTCCAATCTCGACAACAGATTCTCCGTCGGTGCTGTCTTTTTGAACTCTATTCATTCGTTCGTCATCGCTCAATTGAGAGAATGGAATAAGGTTCAACTTGTGGCACTCCTCCAATGTATACGAATCAAAGTAGTCGGCTTTGTCGGACTCCCTCGGATTCTTGTATGGCCAGATGTATGACAAAAGCACGTTCAACGAAAAAGAAATAGCAAATTCAAACACCGCACTGCCCTTGTAAAAATTATTAATTCCATCATTGATACTAATGGATGGTCTGGCACCATGGATCAATCCCGGAAGTCCAGGAGCGAAAGCAACAAACCATACAAAAAGCGATCTAAGGTTGAATCCATAGTAATACCAATAGGTTCCATCGGGGTCACTGGTGTATAAATGGGACAACTGAATGTGCTTTCTGCGGATGATCCAGAAATCCGACGTAATAATACCAATGATTGGCGACATGAACACCGAGAAGGAAGACATCACAACCACAAATGTCGACGACGTGTTGTAGAAGTCCCATGGCTGTACCACCCAAGAAAGCAAAGCAGTAATAACAGCACCTCTCCTGATGTTGATGTATTTTGGAAGCATTCCGGACATATCCATTCCACCTGCGTATCCGTTACCCATGGTGTTGAACACTAGTTGAGAGATGGTGAAGATAGTTCCACAGAAAAAAGCAGCAGCTCTGGATTTAGCCGAATAATCCTCTGTGAGCCACTTCATGATGATAGAATTTGGCATCCAATACTCCTCTCCGTAGTACTCCAACAATGCTGAAGCACTACTGAGTCCCATCAATGGGATAAGCGAACCCACTACAACCAACGCAAACCACGTTCCCCAGAAAGAGTCCCAAGGTCTTTTGGAGAAACGAGTAAAGTCGGATTGATTGGCCACGCCCGAGCTGAGAGAGCCGTACCATGAACAAATACCGTATATCCAAGCCCAACCTCTTGCACTGCTAGACATTGGTTGAGAAGAGTGCATGAGTGGACCGTTTCCACCATTGATATGAACAGCCCAGATTGTGATTCCTAACATAGCAAAGAAGGTGATGAGAGTGGCACCGATCATTGGCTTTCTGAATCTTTCTGGACGAATAAAGAGCAACGGAATAGAGATAACCTGAAAACATGCGAATCCAATCAAATCCTGAGAGGTCATATGAACAGACTCAGGAAGAGTGTTTTTCATGTTCAAGTAACTTTTGCTCCATGACGAGAAAACGCAGTTCAAGCACTGGGACCCCAAGTAAGCTTGAGAGCCAAACCAGACAACCGACAAAATCGTTCTCATTGCGATACCGATCAACGAGCCACGGATTCCAAAGACCACTCTTTGACAAATCGTATATCCTATATGAAAGTATCCACCGGGTGCTGCGTTTAGTAGCGCCAAAGAAGCGATGAATATGTTACCTATTAGAATGATTCCCATGGTTTCACCGACAGACAAACCAATAGACAACAACGAGGATGCACCAGACCAAGTACTGATGATCACGTTCGAAATAGACCAGTAGAACACATAAGACCATATTCCCCAAATACGTCTACTGGGACCCATGGGGATAATATCTTTGTTACTCAAGTAAGTGACATGTTCAGCCTCGTGGGCACCATGCTGGACCTTTAAAAGATCCAAAAATGATTGAAATGACATACCTATCGAGCAGCAATCAGGGAAATAGGTGCTGCTTTATATGTGTACCTGATTTGCATTCTCCACCAGATAATGAATGGTCGTATGAAAATTGACTAAAAATCTTGCGGAACATTATGATAAGCGTTGCGAATCTCCTTCCTGAATGAGATAGATCTGCGGCTCATTCCGCTTCTGATTTGGAAGTTAAGCCACGTTGACGTCGACTTTACCCGGACGTGTCGGCACAGTTGCCGCATACGGACAAACCGGTGGGCGTATTATTGTCAGTTCCACTCCGTCTTCTCGGATCTTCGCAATGGCTGCCTATTCAAGAGTGGATCGGAATAGGACAAGAGAACTCCAATTTGATCCCTGATGATAAATTGGACTCCCTATCTCCCTAATCTTCCAATTTTCCCCCCTAGATCAATCCAACCAATAACTCCATATGACTTCAGATTCACTTTTGATCGGAATAGATGTTGGAGGAACAAACACCGACTCTGTTCTTCTTGACCCATCATCATTTGGGACTGAAAACAGAGGTGTGTTGGCATTTCACAAAGCCGCTACCACAGCTGATGTGTCGGATGGAATCTCAAGTGCACTCAACCATTTGTTCGAAGACACCCACAAATACAAGAAACTGGATGTGCTTGCTATCACGATTGGTACCACCCATTTCATAAATGCTGTTATTGAGCAGGACACTGCAAGATTGCAGCCAGTAGCGGTGCTTCGACTCTGTGGACCCTACTCGAAAGGATCATATCCTTTCTCGGATTTCCCACCGTCATTGACCAGAATTCTCAAAGGGTACGTGGGATATGTCAATGGAGGAAACCGGGTGGATGGTTCCAAGATCCAGCAATTGGATGAGTCCGCCATTTTAGAACACGCCCGGAAAATCAAGGATTTGGGAATCAAGGCAGTGGCTATTGTGGGTATCTTCTCGATTATTGATAAAACTCAAGAAAATCGAGCAGTGGAGTTGGTGAGACTGGTCATTGGTGATGCCAACATTGTTGCCTCGCATGAGGTTTCAGGAATTGGGTTTTTGGCTAGAGAAAACGCTTCCATTTTGAATGCATCTATTATGGCATTTGCTGGGAAAATCATTCATTCGTTCACCACCTCGGTCAGAAAGCTGGGTTTCCACTGTCCCATTCTCTTAACCCAAAATGATGGTACCGTTCTTACCATTGAGGAAGCTCGCAATGCACCAATCCGAACATTTTCGTCAGGAGCTACTAACTCGATGCGTGGAGCTTCCTTCCTTTGTTCGAGGGAGGAGGCCACAAACGGAAAGAGTATTATGGTTGTGGATGTGGGTGGAACCACCACTGATGTGGGGCTTCTTCTTCCGAACGGATTCCCAAGGCAAGTTTCCTCGCATTCGGTAGTTGGAGGTGTTAGAATGAACTTTTCCATGCCCCACGTGGAGAGTATAGGTTTGGGTGGAGGCTCCATTGTCCGCCAGGTGGACGGTAAAGTAACCATCGGTCCAGACTCTGTAGGCTCAGATATCATTACTAGAGGACTTGTTTTTGGAGGAGATACTACTACAGCAACAGATGTGACTTTAGCAGCAGGTAGTCGAAGTGACGACCAGTCCTTCAAACTTGGAACCGTCCCTGTTGACAAGATCTCTCAGAAGTTTTCAAATGACTATGTTGCTTCTTTCTCAGCTGCTTTGAAACATAAATTGGAGATGGTCATTGACCGAATGCGTACTAGTCCAGATCCACTTCCGGTGTTACTCGTTGGTGGAGGCTCGTTTATTGCGCCATTAGAGTTGGATGGAGCATCGGTTGTTTTACGACCCCCTTACTATCAGGTTGCCAACGCAATTGGTGCAGCTATGGGTAAGTTATCAGCACTGATTCAAAAGATCGAAAACCTCAATCACATGGGAGAAAAGGAGGCTGTTATTGATAGACTTACTAAGCAGGTTACTGCTGAGATTGTTGCCAAGGGTGCTCTTGAGGAATCAGTCAAGGTGGTGGACTTGATGTACGATCCTGTTCCATACGTTGACAGAGCCTACTCTTTTGAGATCAAGGTAGTTGGAGATGTCGACTACGAAAGAGTGAGGGCAGCATACAACAGTATCACAAGTGAAACTAAAGCAGAAGATGACGTTTATGAAGGTTCTTCTATTTACAAACAGTCCAAGGATCTGAAGGAGATTGTGGATGAAGCAGAACTCATTGATCATGAGTCTTACACTCCACTTGTAAATGAGGATAAAGAATGGATCATATCAGAAACCGATTTGGATTACATTCGAATTGGAACTTACATACTTGGCTGTGGTGGAGGTGGAACACCATTCCCAATTTACCTTGAGATGCGGAATATGATTCGAGATGGCGCTATTATCCGGGTTGTTTCTATCGAAAATGCCCACAAGAAAACAGAAGGTAAGGGCACTTACGTCTCGGTGGGATTCGCCGGATCTCCGACAGTATCGGACGAGCAATTGACTGGAGACGAACTCGTGGATGCTTGTGACGCTTTATTCAAGTACATCAACCGGACCGCAGATGGAGTGTTTGCCTTGGAAATCGGAGGAGGTAACGGCTTCATGGGTATGTACCTTGGATCGTCGACACAATTGAACATTCCAGTGATTGATGCAGACTTGATGGGCAGGGCGTACCCCACTCATAGTCAGATTTTACCTTGTGCTCTCAACGAAGAGTCCGTATTAGAGATCACCTCTGTTTCAGATGGCAATGGCAACAAATTCTTGATTACTCTGGCTCAAGATGATACATACGTGGAAAAGATGATGAGGGCGGCCTTGTCCCAAGTCGGATGCCATGTTGGAGTTGTCAACACGCCAATGACTTCTGATGACTTGGTATCAGAGACAGTTCACCACTCTATTTCGACAGCTTGGAGAATTGGCAAGGCTGTGAATCTTGCTCGGCAGAGAACACACTTTGACCAATTATCCAAATACATCTTGAACAGTGTTGGAGGTGCGAGCGCTGGACGAGAAATTTTTGCTGGCAAGATCATTGGTGTGGAGAAGAAGCTATTCATGGGACATGTTTATGGAGAGGTGATTATTGAGAATGAGAATAAGGACAAGTTGAAGATACCTTTCAAGAACGAGAATATTGTTGCTGAGTTGCAGAAAGCTGGTTCTAGTGAGTGGGAGACCATTTGCTCAGTTCCAGATTTGATTTCTGTTTCGTATGCTGACAGTGGAGAAGCATGTGGAACTCCGGATTATCGGTATGGACTCATGGTGTTTGTCATCGCTTTTGCACCCAATGATCTCTGGATTAGCACCGAGAAATCTTTGGCAGTTGGAGGACCCAAGGGTTTTGGTCCTGCTTTCGAGCATATTGAATACAAGCCTGTGGGAAAATACTACAAACCTGTGTCTGTTATTGATGAGTACTACAGAGGCTGATTTTTTTATTGAATGCTAGATTAGATTCAAATTATGCAAGTATTGATTTGTTAGCATCTTCACGTTGACATTGACAGCTGTCTTGATGTTTAGACTTTAACTGTGGATATCTCACGTTTGCTTTTTGACAACTGGACAACATTTGATGATTTGACTCAACAAATTCGTCTACTTGGCCATTCTTACAGCTCGTACCCCGTTGAGTATGGAGGCAATCTGTTAATTCAACAGATCAATATATTTTTCCAGAAGTAGATTAGAAGTGGACATTCCATTTGTAATTCTCGTATTCCTAGGTCCAAAATTAGATTGCGGAGACAACCACTTCTACCCCCCTGCACTAACGATGTGCAGCTTGGTCACCTCGTATTTGGGGGACTTAGATAGGTGACCTATGTCATATCGCGAGAGGTTCCAATCTCTTCTTATTGGATCCTATTGTTGCTTTCTGCTCCACCATCGCCGTCAATAACTTGATTTAGGCGCTCATATCATGTGCTTGATTTGTTTATTTTTTCTCTCTCTCTCTTTTTCTTTTCTCGTAAACTTTTGCCCCTGGCCACTGATTATTGTTTTTCAATTTGCTCGGTTTGTTTCCCTCAGCCGCATTGTCACGCATAGCCGATACTCATAGCCTCAAGGCTTGGCGACCTCATTACCAAATTAACAGCATGTTCGTAATCATTGCTGCTACCTCCTTTCTTCTGGACTACTCTGTGGTTGTTGAAACATATTCTTCATCTTGAACTCGTTATCGAAATTAGATTCGTTCACTCGATTTCTATAGATTTGGTCAGCCAACTAGCAATCAAATTGAAATCGATCCAAAAATCTACTTGATCTACGTTTTGCTGCCATCGACATTTGCCTTCATCAGCTGTTCTCCTAAAAGACCTTAATGAACACGACAAAATATATTGCCATTCCATGGTTCTGTGCGCTCGTCGCAATGGTGATGCTCCTTCTAGTCAACCTTAGTGGTGCTATCGAGAATCTGGATTTTCTGAAGGATCTATACCTTACCGAATACGATGATTATCGTTGGACATTGTACGCATTTTGCGCAAGAATGTCATCGGAAAGAGTAAGTTGTGGAGATAGACTTGCTGGATACCCATACAATCTATACTATCTTGATAGTGACTATCCAAATATATCTGCCACCTACTATGTTCTGAGAGCAGCATACGGCTTTCTAGTGGGAGCACTAGCGTTGTCATTCGTGGTCAATGTCATTGGACTTTTCACTCTTTGCAGCAAAAGTACTTCTACATTGAGGGCCTTCAGAATCACCATGTGGATTACCTACTTCATTGCCCTCGCTGGTGTCACAGCAGAAACCGTCATCCATGCCATTGGTACACAATTTGTTTCTGGTGCCACCCTAGGTGTAAAAATTTTCGTATTCATGTGGATTGGTGTGGGATTCTTATTATTTGGCTTGATAGTCTCGGTTTTCTATCATGAGCCACCACAACCAATTTACGAAACCAAGGGTTACTACCCAGAAATGTATATGAACCAGCCATTTTACCCTCCTCCACCACCACCTATGGTTCCTCAGAGCCCACAGCAAGGTTACTTTCCACAGCAGGGACATGGACAGCTGGGCTACGGACAACAGGGCTATGGACAACAAGGCTATGGACAACAAGGCTATGGACAACAAGGCTATGGACAACAGGAGCAATCTCAACTGGAGTATTCACAACAGAATCGTACACATCTGGATGTTGGTCAGCAGGATCGTGTCAACCTGGAGTATGGACAACTGGAGTATGGACGACTGGAGTATGGACGCCTGGAGTATGGACAGCAGAAGCTTGGGCAGCAAGAGCAAGTAAATCAACACCCTTAAGTCCTGGCGTAATTGCTATAACTCGCAAGGAACATTTTATACCCATGTTGGCAAATGTTGTTTGATATTCTTGAAACTTACTGTAATTTTTGATTGAGCTTTTCTTGTCGTTCCTGTTGTCATTTCACCAATTTATGTTGATATTACCCAAAACCGAGTGTAATTTGCGAACCGAATAATACATTACAAAACAATCTTTTATCGAAAAAAAAACAAAGCCAAACTGAAGGTTTGAATAAATTTGTACCTTTGGATTTAATTGCGTCCATAGAGATTATAACTTCAATATGGTAACAGTTTCAGGTTTGGTGGGTAATGTACAACCTTCATTACATCTAATAACTAAATTTCTCATTCTTATGAAAAGTATCCACCAGGCTTAGTAAAAGAGCCTATTCAAGTGAGCAAATCCAATTAGTATTGTGCTTGAAGGAAACTGGGAAAGCTGGCATCCTCTTCAAGGTTTGATCTTTTACTAGGACAAGGATTTTTAAGGTCTAACAATGCGATATCGTAATTTAATGTGCTATTTAAAATCTTAAATAACATATACTAGGTTCTATAATGGACTACTTATGTAATCATAGACCTGTTAGTGTAGTTGCTGAAATAGCGGTGTTGGAACACTGCCATCCTCTTCTGAACTCCCACCACATCGACTAGACCCGACCATGCAAAGACTGCATGTATCTGGATATTATACACAATATATATAAGACAACCAATCATCTTACAACAAATGGTCGCGTGGTCTAGTTGGTTACGACATCTGCTTCACACGCAGAAGGTCCCCAGTTCGAGCCTGGGCGTGATCATTTTTTAGTTTTGCAAAGCGCTAAACTTCAGCATGTGTTTTTTTTTCTACCGATCAACCGGCCAGCGGGATCTAGTGGTAAGTTATAACCGTGAATAATGTAACTGGGCGCGAAGGTGAGTGCGGACACAAGTGCGAATTGGAATCGATCGAACCAAAAGGTGATCAGATTTGTATGTCGAACAGTCGAAGGTTTACACGATTACAAGAAAATCCGTAAGTCCCAAATTTATTGTTCTAATAAAGACCGACATTATGTAATATCATGATTTCAAATCCACATGGCACGAAAGTAGTCTATTACTCCTCTTCGTCACTGGTGTTCTCTTCATCACTGTCTTCATCAGCACTCTTGGCTTCGTCTTCCTTGTCCTCATCGTCCTCAATGTCTTCCTCATCGTCTTCTTCCTCATCATCTTCATCTTCATCATCTTCGGGATGGCTTCCACTGTCTTCATCATCGTCATCGTCATTGCTTGGGTTCACATCCTTCCATTCCACGTAGTTAACAGTAATAATCTTCTTACAGTTAGGCAACACCAATGGGTCAAATGGAAAATAAGCTTCAAGATCCAAAAACTCCTGTTTGTGTCTGAAATTTCCCACAGCCGAAGGAAGGCTGGAATTGCCCTGCATCATTGTTTCTCTTTTGTTGTGTTCAATAATGGAGTAGCAGTAGCACACATTGAGCTTGGTAGCGATCTTGGCGAAAATGTACACCACCGTCTCATCACAGTACTTCAATGGATTGAACTTAGCAATGATGACTCTCTGGAAGAATTTGTCTAGATCACATTCCCACTCACTGTCGCTGTTTCCAATATCTTCAGGAGACTTGGACAACTGCTGGTGTCTGAAACAGAAAATGTAAATTAATGCCTGGATGGTCGCATAGAACAACTTAAACCGTTCCATTCCACCCATCGAAGAGACCTCGGAGAATTCAAACACTTCGTGTTCCCTCTCAGCAATGTACTTATTAATCCAGCCTGTAAGATAGCTGACTATGAACACAATTTGGTGTTTTGTTAAACCCTTTGCTCTTGCAATGTATGACGAAAGATACTGCAAGGCCTTGAGACGCTTTTCAGTGATCTCATTTGGACTGAAAGCCACATCGATGAGCAAAACCAAGTAAGCGTCAGCTAACTCCGGTTGGTATTGCGAAATGTGGAACATCAAGAACTGGATGGATTTGGTGAAATGAGTGGGCAAGATGTGGGTCTTAAACAAAGACATGAGGGTATTGAAGAGATTGACACCAGTGCCAGCTTCGATTTGCTCGGTGGTGAAGGAGGATGCCGTGCTTTGGAGGAGAAGTTCCAAAGTAGAGTCGAGCTTGGATACTAACTTCTTAATGTTGACGGTGGAGGTCACAGTGTAAACCTCTATGTCATTTGGATCCTCAACCATCTCCGCATCGTCTATCTCGTCGTCATCGCCGTTTATGAGTTCCTCAATGCTATCATCATCCAAATCATCCAACTCGTTCTGGAGTTCCACATCGAGCTTGATGCAGCATTCTACCACCATCTGCCAAATGCTGAACTGCAAGTCAGGGCAGTATGAGATGACACGGACACAGTTGCGTACGTAATTTGTGATTTCCTCAGTATTCGAGGAAAGGTGGTGAGGAAAATTCTTGGCCAACATGGGAGGGATGGAGTTAATGCAAGTGGGGATGTAAGTGACCAAGCGCTGAAGCACACGGTGGTGGGGATAAGTATCGCCAGAAATATCTGGGAATTCCTTGACGATCTTTTTGATCACCTCGTGGAGATACTTGGGGAGAGATGACACAAGCACCCCTAGAAACTGCGAGTAGAGGTCTAAAAACGTGGCAAATGCTGGAGTATTCTTTGCTTCAGCTGGTATTTCCAACCAGGAGTAGCGCAACACTGCACCCACAAGAGCTGCGGACAAGTTGTTGTCTAGCTTTGAGACGTTTACTATTAGGCTCCTCAAAAGGATATTAAAGTTTGTCAAAGAGATGGACTCGGAATGGGAGAGGGGCAAGTTGATTTTTGCCGCCAATGCATTGATTTTTAAAGGGTCGTTCTGGCGGTTAGTATGGTATGGCAAAAAATGAAAGATGGGGCAAAAAACAGGAGTCTTCAATGAGGTATAGGGAGAATGTGAGATTTTGAGTAACAACCATACAATTCAGCACCGCCCAAAATATGATTCCGGGGGTCGAAAGGACCCAATCATTCATCTCAAATTCATCTTAGCGTCACCTCAAAGAATCCCCAACGCCTTCAATATTCAAAAACATACCTTTTCCATGGATTCCATGGCCGACTTCACATACACCGAGTACATTTTATCGGAGAATGCATCGGAGGAGTCCACCCGTGATCTTTTCTGGTCCGGAAGTAAATCCTGAGGCATATCTCGCTTCCTACTAAGCGTATCATGGACGGACATGATCATTTTCAATAAAGAGAAGAAGAGATGAGGCAAACGGTACAATTTTTATCCTAGTGCGGTGTGGTGCAGGAGCGATGCCATCCACAGTAGGAGATGAACAATCTGGGGGTCGAGTAAAAAAAGATTAAGGATGTGAATTCTGCCATTGAAAACAAGTGGAATTGTTTAATTGAGTGCATTTTAAACCATTTAGCCTTTTCCCCTCTCGATTATCCTCATTTTCACAATTTTGACCTGATCCATTGACTTCTCCTTCCTCACCGCATTTTTCATTCCAGATCCAGCACATTCCAACTACACCCCAAAAAGGGGGCTCAAAAAAAAAAAAAATAAGCAAGAAAATGCTATAAATGGATTCGAAGAAAAATGATACGTTTGCCATAATTCTTTTCTTGTTTATTCATTCTTTACCTAAACGTCGCCAACAAGTTCACTTCCTATCCCCACCTGAAGCTTCTCACCTGTAACCTTCACTTAATCGCCTGCATACACCCGATCTCCACTAAACCTCCACCACTATCTTGAATCTTATCATTTTGGGGAAACTTCACCGCCACTGCTGATTGCCATGCACGTGTACATTAAAGCACTTGTACTCTTTGCTATATCGGACCAAAGGGCCCGAAAATCTCCTTACAACTACGGTGTGCTCGTGGGCTCCACCTCTAACGCCGACACCATAGTTACTGACGCCATAGACATTAAAACAGATGACACAGGCACAGTAGACTTCGGCTACCTCCACCGAAGACTCGCGTTACTCCTGGCTGTGTCTTCCAACACGTCGGTAATCGGACTCTATTGCACGGAGGATGGTGACTTTGACGCCATTCTTGGTCAGTTTGCTAACCATCAAGACAAGGTACCCGCCGTATGTGTGACACTCGACAGCGAGAATGTGTTGAAGTGTTTCGACTCGGTGTCCAAGGATCCTGTGGCGGCAACCATTAGGCCGGGAGAATCGGAGGAGATTGCTACGGCAACCGTTCACAACCACGCCAATTATTCCAGCGAGGATCCGGAGCTCACTCAGAACTCGGAGGAGACGTTGAGCCATTCACTCGACCAACTCGAGCAGCTCATACGCGCCATCTTAGCCTCAGATTCCCAGGGTGATGCTGATGCAGACAAAACACTAGTCTACTTGGCTAACTTAGTCGCAGGGTACAAAGGCGAGGCAACCTCGGTCGACCACGAGCTCTACACGTCACAACTCAGCCTCCTCACCAATGAGCTTCTGATAATTAATGGACTGGAGTTGCAGTTCATGCGGCGCGTTGTCAGTTTGGTGAGCGAGCCGTTCTACCCTACATAAGATGGGAATCTACTTGTTACTTTTTCTATACCGTGCTTACCTATTCCGTCTCATGTTCTGCAATGTACGAGCAGAACCACTGTTTTTGACGTGTTGATGGAACCATGCGGTCCCCAACCTCGTTGTGGAGTTTTTTGTAGAGAAACACCATCTGAGCGTCGGTGGCACCGAACTTCTTGACTAGCTTCAGGTAGTAGAGGCCGCACGCGTTGCAGAGGGTCCTTACTCCATCGGGACCTCGTCGCCATTCGGGGGTCTGTGTCAGGCCGCACTGACTACAAACGGCGTTGGCCTTTCTCTTGCGGCCTCGTTTCCTAGGAGCTGAAAATGAATGGGAGGGTGCTGGCGTCGCGGCGTCTATCAGAGGGGAGCTTTGAGAGCCTGATCGGAGCGAATGTTCTGAATGTTCTGAATGTTCTGAATGTGCTGTATGTTCTGAATGTGCTGGATGTCTTGGATGTGCTGAGTGTATTGAACTTTCAGAAGCTGGCTGACTTGATTGCGCCGCATATGCCGAATGCGCCGAATGAGCCGCATGTATTGAGTATGCTGGTTTTTGTGAATGTAGTTGGTGTGACTGGAGAGGCGGGAGCATCATCAACTGCAGCTGGTAGGGCGCTACCTGTAGTGGGAGCCGCGGGGTGAGCAGAAACGGAAGCTCACAGAATGTAGCCATATGAGCAGAGGGAGACGGCGTTTTCAGCGAAGACAGCGACAGGCTGGGACTATATCCATTGGGAGTAGGAGCCACCGTGGAGCTGGCTATGGTGGAGGGATCAACGGAATTGCTGGAAGAGGAAGAAGGTCTGCGAGACATAGAAGAATCTCGGCTGATGCGTAATAGGATCTCATTGACCGATGGCAAGCGTACCTTGGACGACGGCGTGGGCGACATTTGGCTAGCGGGAACAACAGGTGGTCTCCAAAGATCGGGGTGCGCCGAAGTACTCTTCACCTCCCAATGTGAAGTATACATTTCTATAGCGTCTTCACAGTGGGGCACTGTCCCTCAATCCTTATATAGATGGGCAGCAGACTGGAATTGACGCCTAGGAAAAATGGTCCCGACTTGAAAATGAGGCCGACCGGAAATTTGATGGAGTGGACAAGCTGTCTACTGGATTAGAGACTGAATAGTAGTTCGAGTCAAAAGGGTTTTTATTGTGTTCTACGGTCGATTCTTTGACACATCGAATTTGCGCAGTACGGGAATCAATTGTTCCTTTGGAGAGGTATATGAGCGAAGTGTCAGAGAATTTGTCCCAATGTAGCATATCGCTACAAGTTGCACTATTGCACAAGTTGCACATGGTTCATTGTATGCTGCCTTCATCTTCTGGATATATATAGGGACCTTCTAAAGTTTGCCCAGAGGCTAGAGCACATAGGGGTTAGTTCCTTGCGAGTCTCAAAGAAAGGTCATCGGATCCGAGTACCCAATTGAGACTGCGATGAAGTCGCCATTGTTCCACTACTCCCTCGAGACTTTCTGTGGATATCACCACTAAATGAGCCACAACACAATGGTTTGTCGGTGCTGACCACCAAAAACCCAGGACGGTACAACACTGCTGGGTAGAGCAAATCAAGTTGTTCGGATTTAGCACAAGAAACTTCAGATCATCAATGAGGAATGTCATAAGTGACCACCCAGAGATCCAGAACAGACTGCGCAGACAGAAAAGATACATAACCAGAACCCAAAAAGAAAACTAACCATGGTTTTACGGGTGCTACCGCAAAAGAAGCACTGCAAAGAACAAAAAACAAACCACCTCACCCACAAGGACTGAAAACCTATTATCCGCAGATTTATTGTCCAGAATTTTCAGCTGCTCAAATCTGGGCGGTCTCACATGTGTTTCAGGTATGTTCCAACTCTCAGTCGTTTCTACCTGTTTAGTATTCACTGTGGGAGGGCCTCGCGAAATTACGAGCTGTCTAAGAGAAATTGAAACACCCCGTAAAAAACCTCGCTATAATCTCGCCTTGGGCCGAGAATTCTCCAAACACTTGCTGTGCGAGGCTCCCTCGCACATGGCGGTGATCAGCATTCTGAAACGCATCCATACAAGCATTCACTCCTGGGTCTCCCCATGATAGTGTAGTATACCTTGCACGGCCCCATGTGTGGACTGCACCGCTTCAGGGGTGCGTGAGTAGTGAAGCAACGTTTATGGACAAAGGCAGCAGGTTGGCTAAGCAGGACGGGAAAACATCTTAGTGCAAGCAATGCATACTACAAAGGAAGTTTACAGCAATGGCTTCATAATAGGAGGTGTTGCCCGCCATTTCTCCCGAGCACATTCTCCGAGGCTATCCAATGTAGTCGATCTTCTCACCACAAATGAGGAGTGCATTTGTCGTAAACAGTCCTGCACCTTTGGTGGTGGTGCATGGAGGGAAGTGGTTTGGGAAGTCTAGATTGCGCGAGGCTCTGTGTTTCAGAAATCCTCATCTGAAACAAGATCGGGAATTTTCTATTTAGATCGTTGTTTCGTCTCCCTTGTCTTTCCATTCCCTTCGTTTGTGCTTAGAAGCCCCACTCTCGGTTAACGCTCTCGTCCCTCGTGCTTGCTGGGTCCCGTGCAACCGTGTCCTATCCCCGTCGTTGATGCCCATTTACTTGATACTTGGATCATTTCACTGAACAGCCTCCGCACAACCTCACCTTCCCTTCCCTTCCTTTCTATCACCTATGTCTGAAGTGTCCGAGGACATTAAGGAGTCTCTTCGACTCATCGAGGATCTCAAGTTCTTCCTTGCCACAGCTCCCGCCAATTGGCAGGATAACCAGGTCATCCGACGCTACTACTTGAATAACGACGAAGGCTTTGTTTCATGTGTATTCTGGAACAATCTCTACTTCATCACTGGAACTGATATCGTTCGCTGCATCCTCTACAAGTTCCAACACTTCGGCCGTACCATTACTGACCGCAAAAAGTTTGAGGAGGGCATCTTTTCCGACCTCCGGAATTTGAAGGCAGGCGAAGACGCTGTGTTGGAGAATCCGAAGCTGGATTTTTTGGAATTTCTCTATAAGAACTCGTGCCTTCGTACTCAGAAGAAGCAGAAAGTATTTTACTGGTTCAATGTGCCCCATGACAAGCTCATGGCTGATGCGTTGGAGCGTGACATAAAGAAGGAAAAGATGGGACAGGTGCCCACTTCAATTGCCCTGCGAGAACCTGCTCTACTGTTCCACTACGAGGAAGATAAGTCCAGATCACTCTATGAACAACTCTCAGCCCACCTCAATCTACCGAGGTTTGACCCCGACACCAAGTATGATGCCGATCAGCCAAATTCGCCAGACTATGCCAAGGTTGAAGAAGATGCGAGCGGCGAAGATGGCGATTTTCCTCTCGACTACTTGGACAAGGGTGGCATGAGCGACTTCATTACGCTCGATTCCAACTTTCAGTCGGGTGCCTACATCAATTCGTATGACAATAATTTCGACAGCATCGACCCCAGTTTGTTCCAGAATCCTGTCAATGTTGCAAGCACTGATGATTACTTAATCGAGCAAACAGTGCCCATGCGGCCCACCGCCTCATCAACACAAATGATGTTTCCTCGCCAACCTCGGATCGTCGAGGAGCCGTTCCTTCCGTACCAAGGTACATTCATGCCTACTGCAACAGCGCCCCAATTTCCCCACTCTGCCATAATGGCTCAATTCCCTCCTTCTGCTATGGTGGCGCAATTCCCTCCTTATGATCCTGGCTACTTCTTCCACGATGCACCTATGGTCTCACATCCATCTGTCGAACCCGACTACTACCAGGCTCTGCAGATGGCCCCTGTGCAATCCATGGTACACTTTGAGCCTCAGCCTACAAATGGCTATTACGGTTACTACGATGACTACGAATACAACGCGAGGCTTGCCGCTCCTTCACAACGTCAGCAGGAGATAAGTGCGTCCATGATGAAAAAAAGACAGCAGCTCCAGCAAAGACGTGGGGTCCGTAAACCAGAACGAAGCACGCGAGTGGCAGATTACGAGGCCCGTCTCAATGATCATGTGAAGCAAAAAGAAGAGATCAGGTCGGACGAGACGCTCATACTCACGCCGGAGTCATCCATTGTCACCGAACAGCACCAGACGCATATCTAAATGTATAATTATTGACACATCATGTAGCAGAAGAGAATGGAGATTAAGATTACCTTGCATGTTTTGAGTCGCAATGGTCAGTGTTGTTCTTGGATGTATATACCCAAATGGGGTCTATTGCATATTCCTGTTGCATCGAGGGGAAGAATTTATTAAGATACTAACTTTTGATTTGGCGAATATTATTTAGTTTGATTTTGAGCGTGTGAAAAAAAAGACAAATCATTCACAAAAAACAATGGTGAATTGCTTCTTCTATGCGTCCACGCTTGAAAAATCGTCCCAAGATTTTTCCTCGACTTTCGACACAAAATCATCAACAGAAAGAATCTTGAACTAGAGATCACTCCAATACTCACAGAACGTCTTGAAGTCGAGGTAGACTATTGACTGAAGAACTCAATTAGCTTCATCTGTGGACCCGTAACCCGCCCCATTAAGTCATCAATATACTTCATTCCAGACTTGTCCATGGACGTCGACTTATTGCCCCCGGAAGCATCGCTAACGCGGGCAGCCCTTACTAACTTGCCGTAAGTTTGCAACACGTATTTGCGGACTAGCGTATCTTTGTGATCCAAAAGACCACGTAAGACATCGTCAGCACGACAGAACAAGTCTTCGTTGATAATCAATGCAAGCGTTCGTGCGGACATAAGCTTGAATAATGACTCCACAGCAAATCGTAATGCTCTAGTATCAATCAGCTGAGGCTCCTTCAATGTTTTGGAAACAATGTGGAAAAGTTCAGCGCTTGAATAAACTCCGCAGAGTGCTTCATCAAAAGTCTCGCTAATGGCGACGTCGAGCTCATGACTTGGACTGCCAAACTCACCACTCAATTCGAGTAACGTATGCCATAAATGGTTCAAGTTGATTCCAACCCGATTGATAAGGAGCTGCTTAGTAATAATCAACCCACTAAGCTTGTCGTGCGCTTTGCTTGAAAGAAAAAATTGCCATAAAGATTGTTCCACCAAGGACTGTCCCAGGCTGCTGAAAAAGTGGTTAAAATCCGGAGCCTGCTCATTCTGTAAGAATCTAAGTATGCCAATAAACTCTGTACCAGATAATTTGCACTCTCCCAATTTTTTGCACAATCCTTTGAATTCGTCAACTGTATTAGAATCGAAATCTTCAGCGTGGTGATCCAATGAAAGCTTTGCGACCAGAAAATTGAACCAGTTAAAATCTGTGTAACTATATTCCCGAATTTTTTGAGGCGAGCCAGCCTTGGAGTCTTCAAATATCGAAATCTGTCTATTTCGTCTCGATATCTTGTTCAAAGGATCCACCTTATCAATAAAAAGTTGGATCGAATTCGACTTTCCTGAGAGTTGGACTTGAGCGAAATCATCCGCTAACTCATGTGACAAGTCTGGACTGTTGAGTTTGGCAAAAAAATCCGTTCTTTTGATTTCTGAATCATGCGTGGAGAAGATATTCTCTTCCGGAGTCACTTCAGGTGGAGTCTCCTCGCCGATTGAGACAGGGTCATTTTCTGCGAGTGGAAATTCTTCCAGGCCACTTGAGCTACTACCCCTATCCTCAGAAGCCTCACGCATAGCAACATCTATTGCAGGATTTTCTGAATCAGTTGCATCCTCAGCCAAATCCATTTCATTATCCTCTTCATCCCCTTGCTTTACTTCGGGAATTTTGGGGACTTGTCCAGACTTTGTCACGTCAGTGAAATTCGAATCGTGAGATTTTGGTGGTAACAACATTGTGAAATCCGATGGTTGCCTTAATGGCGATAAACCAACTGGAGGTTTTCCTGGCGAAATTCGTGTGAGGTCTGTCATGTTAAATATTGTAACATCACCACTATACAGCAATGAATGATCAATGCCGACAATTTGCTCAACTTCAGCTCTCAAGCTGTTTGACGCCAGGGAAAGTTGAGCAACAAAAAGTGATTTGTTGATAGAATGGAGAGTTTGCAAAAGTAATTGATAGTCTGCAAAAATCCAAGACGAATCCACGATTGGTACCAACTCAACCAAGTTTGCTGTCAATTTAGCAAACTTAACATCACTGATTGGCATTTTCAAAATGACTTTATTCAAAAACTGAACTAGCATATCAAGAATTTTTGACTTGTACTTTATAATTTGCATCACAAGCAATTTTTCGTCCACTATGTTGTCCAAGTCTGCCACGTACGACAAAAGCGTGTTAATACTATCGTAGATTTGTTCAACCTCAAATAACGAAAGGATCAAATCTAAGTTCTTAGTGGAGACTGGCAGAAGAATTGCAATAATTCTGAAGAAATCATCTATCTGGAATAGACGACATGCTTTTTTGAACAAGCTTTCACCCTCCTCGAATAATGGTCTCAACATCTCAGTGTTCGATATGGATACTTTTCTGAGGTTCAGCTTTATTTCTTTGGAAATATCTTCGTCTCCAATAAGAGCATAACGCAAAAGGTTAACACCTTCACGGATGAATTCTTCTTGAGATGACAAAAGAAACTTGAGTATGGGGTCGTTCCGACCTTCGAAGGCGGCTGCTTGATCATTCAAAACTTCAGGCGACTGTTTGGCGAGTGTTGAAGCAGAGTGTGTGGAAAAGTGAAGACTTGGAGGTGATAGTGAAGGAGCAGATTTGATTTCCGAAGGTGGAGCAGACGATGACTTAATGACTTCCAACAGTGGCTGGGTTGTTGCTCTATGAGAAAATGTGGACTGAGCGTAGTGTGGTGCATGGCCCCTTTCTGTTCGAGATGGGCCCCTCAAGGGATCTGATGCTATGCGGTTGACCGATCGTTGGTTAAATTCTTCAAATTCGTTTGGTCGACGAGGGAGGAAACTCGAAGTCGAACGAGTTTCGCTCGTCTTTGCTCGCATCTGTTTATTCCTTGCCATGATTGCTTCCTTCAAAGATGGACGTGACTTCTTTGTAGTCATCAGCGATGTAAACTTCTCATCAGCAGGCTTGGATCTCTCGAGAGCCCTTATGACATTTGAGTCAAGCTTACCAAGAAGTTCATCTGCGGATTCTGGCAACAATTTCCGATATTGCCAATAAGCATCTTTAGCAGATTGACGAACTTGGGAGTTGGGATCAGCTAGAAGTTTTGGCAATAATTTTCCCACAATTTCGGAACATAATGACTGAGAATGACAACGAACTAAGTAGATTTGCAACCAGAACGCAGCGTAAGATTTTGTTGTCGTGCTTTTGTCGGTAGCCGCGGTGCTTATTCTCTGTATGATTCGGGAATGGAGGGTACAGTTGGCTAGAATCGAAGAGACGGCGACATTGGCATTGGTGTTTGTCATGTGCTTGGTTGCAGAACAAAGCTTGATCAAAGTCGGTAGGAAAATTTCTGCCAAAGCATCAAATTCAGCCCCAAAGAATATGGCCATCTCCTTCACCAACTGACACGAGTGAACATTTAAAGTCGTTCTCAATGAGAGCAAAGCTTTTTGAATTCCCTCAGAAAGCTCTTTGATTGCTTGCAACATTTGCAATCTATACTCACTTTGAGCGTTTCCGCGGATGATTTGACGCAACTGTTGAATGCTCTTCTCTCTCGAGATCCAATTCTTTTCTGTTTCTTTATGTTCAAAGCAAGGGAACATCGTCACAAGTAAATCATGTATGGAGCTTTCACTGCTGACATTCTTCGAAGGAAAATCCATGTCCAACTTATAATTGGCAAGCCCCTCAGTTAATTTCTCCAACTCCGACAAGGAAGTAGAATCATTTGCAGGTCCATTGCCATTCGTAGAATCACTGTGAGAATTTGAACCGCTGGTAGAGTTGTCCCCTGTAGAAGAGTTAATTGTGGATACGCTTATGTTCAGAGATGGCTCATTGGATTCTCCCTTGAAACTTGTGGATGGCCTGGACCCATATTTGCTTGATTTGTAGGTTGGCTGCGAATGTACCGACGGAGAGGTGTAGTCCAGTTCATGACTTCTGGAAGGCTTCTGTGGCTGGTGACTTAGCACAGCGTCCGTTCCCATGATAGATGCGCGTAACACAGTGGAAACTCCGCTTGACTCGAGCACTTTTTGGAGCTCAAACTGGTGGAGCTTGTTCTGCTTTAAGTCGTAGTAATTGGCAAACAATACCTTAATGTTTTCAACCAAAGTTGTGTTGGATGCATGCTTATTGAGCGTTTGAGCTAAAGGCGTGAAGAAGGCGTCTAGCTTAAAGTACGGGTTGATTTCTGTCAAGATATGGTTCAACCACACTACCGTCTCGTTGATGATGAGCAGGCTCCTATTTGAAAGGCCCACATCAATAAGTGCCTGTTCAACTTTCACAGGAACTGAAAGCCAGTATGCCTCGAGCGCTCTACGAGCTGATGCACTGATGGATGACTTCTTGTCGGCTATTCGAGGTATGACAATTGGAAGCACCAAGAAACTTTGGTCTGCCAACACTTTGCCGGTACTATCCTGGATACTCACACGCTTGACAAGGTGGCAAATGGAACTGAACGCTAAGGCTTGCACGGCGGGGTCTGTGGTGTCCATGACAATACTGAGAGCTTCGAAGTATTTGGGCACTAGAGGCAAGGCAACATTGTCTTTTTTGACGTGAGTTTTCAAATCTGTGAGGAGTGAAGTGACGGTTTGCGACTTGCCGGCAATAACCGCTCGATATAGCTCATCTCCGCTGACCACCATGATGAGTTTCTTTAGTAAGTAGTCTCTGGTTGTTTATTTGTATGTAGTAGCGCGACATCAACAGTGAGTGATTATAGACGCAAGAGAAGATAAGAGAACGATGAGCTGAATTCGGAAAGAGTGAAAAGAATAGGACATTAATGATTCTCTTGTATTTGGTATATGGATAATATAGTCTCTCGGGGGAGAGATATGTATATAAGTTTTCTTTGTTGGGTATAACGGTCACAGGTAGCTACTTTCCTTATATATTGTGAGGCATAGTATGAACTCGCACTGCACCTCTAGATTGACTATTGATCTATGGTACATTGAATTCTTTCAACATACTTTTGTCTTCATTGAGGTACTTCAATTCATTCATCTACGAATCACCTACAATCCCATCCCCTTTTCCTTCATCTTTTTCTTTTCTCCCATTTTACTTAGAGAATGCCCAGATGATCCCAAGAACCACTACCAGCACTCCCGTAATAATCTTCAGCTCCTTCGATGTGACCTTATGCAATGCATTGGATTTGTAAACTTCACCAGAAAAGGAGATACGAGAAACAGGTCCAGACACAGCTACCAGTTTGTTGCTGGACGTGGGTCCCACCGCTCCCACAAGTCCTTCCTCCACCTCGTCTACAACCACTTCTTGCACATTGCCAAAGAAGTCCGTTAATCTGACCGTAGAGACGTCTCGCTTAAACAAGTCAGTCCGGATTCCTGGATTTGAATGCACATTCTCGAACGTGTACTCAGCAAATAACTTATCCATCGTTACCATGGAGTTCTTGTCAATCTTTTCCAAGAAGTCAAGGGTGTAGTAGGTAAACCGATCAATAACCGCCACACCAACATCCATGTCCGAGTGATGGGAGTATGACGACTCTTCAATACGCGATGATCCAACAGCCAAGATGTTGGGCGAGTAGAACCGCTCGTACATGGTGTTTGCCTGACAAGTATCGATCATAAAGAAGATCTCGTTGTATCTCTTCTTCTCATGCATCTGCGCAAACGCGTCGGCAAGGTCATACGAACCGATCTCTTCAGCATCCTGGAACTTCAAGAACTCGTTACCCCCATGGCCCGTCAAATAAATGAAAATGTTAGAGTTTTCGTCGGTGAGAAGTCTCTTGCTTCGTGGATGGTTCTCATCCCACCGGTCCGTAAGCAACCGGACAAAGTTCTCCACCGTCACCTCGTATCCTCTGTAGTCAACTTCCACGTCGTCTCCGTATAAATCAATGGCCTGGTCCATGTTGTTGAACACAGTTCCTGGGAACGCATTTCTTGGATTACATGCGATGTCGTCAGCCAACATTAAGATAATCTGGGAGTCAGGAATACCAAGTCGCTTAACAGTTCTGTATAAGCTTAGCGTGTTGGCCATGTGTCTGTAGTTGAACCAGAAACGGGACGTGGACACCAAGACTGCCCAGTTGTTGGTGTGTCCTGAGTTGGAAATGATTTGCTCGGCCTCGTCGGTGGAGATTACGGGCTTTTGTTCATTGTCACTGTTTAATTCGGCTGCTGCTACGCTGATAGCACACACTAAAAGCGTCCACAAATGCCAGATCCACATGGTGATGATGCTAGATATTAGGCTAGGTGGTATTACTAAATAGTATATATGTATGCAGGGTTGTCGATTCACTAGGCTGCGAATGGTTGAGAATCGGTAAGTAAAGGTTTGGAGTCGCGAGACTGATCACTCTGGATTAATTTTTCTTCACTTGAATTATTATTCTTCTCATTTTGGTCATCATTCTGATCCTCTAAGCTCAATCCTTCCAACTCCTGTTTTAGTTTCTGGATCTGTCGGTCCACCCGAGCCTGGTATTTAGGTGGTGGTCCATACATCTTGCTCAAGGCCCATTTGACCCAAAGACTATTCACAGAAAATTTCATGGCAAAAATCAAGTTAGATGCTTCCTGTAGCGTGAACTTGGAGATGTGTTCTGCAAGTTGGTCACTCTCTTTGACCCCATAGACCTGACTGACCTTTGACTTGAGTCCACGAACCAATGTTGCCTGCTGTCGAGAGGTGGCTAGAGAATTTTCTGCGGGCTTGTACTTAAATCCCTGGTGCAAGGCATGTTCAGCCATGGCTAGAACAGCGGGCAACCCTCCCATCAGAAGCGAAAACTCCCTGGAACGAGCACATTTGAATTTGCTCGCGAGAAGCATTTGCATTGGAGTTGGGATGTGTCGCACAAGTTCAAAATGCAAATCACTGGCGGTTTCATCATCAAAGACCCCCTGTTTCCGTTCAATGGTGTAGTACGTGCTGTCCTTTTGGCCTGATGGAGCACCCCATTTGTTGTACTCAAGACGAACCCAGAACACCAGACTTTCGCGAAACTTCTTGAGAACCATTTCCATATCATTGAATTGCTCCATCGTTCCTTGTTGAAAGCTGGAAAATCCATCCACGGTAGTAAACTGAAGCTCTATACTTTCAATACGTTTCTGAATTCGTAGAATTCTCTGCACCTCCTTCTCTCTCTCATTAGCTTGCATTTGCGCTTTCATGGCATTCATCTTGGCCTTTTCCGCCTCTACTTCAAGCAAAGACTTATCTTCTAGTTCTTCAGACTTGCCGGGCATTCCAAGAAGTGTTGGAACAGACAGGTATCCGAGATCTCCAGCCCCCACCATATCAATAATATGACAATAGTCCTTGCCATGGTGAAGACGAAGTCCCCTACCTATCATCTGAATCAACAACGGCCGTGACTTGGTGGGTCGGGCAAGAATCATTGAGTCAATGTTAGGAATATCTGTTCCCTCAGTGAACACGAGAACATTGCAGAGAACCTGAATCTTCCCATCTTTGAAATCCTGAAGGATCGCCAGTCGCTCGTGTTTAACGGTTTCTCCAGTAACGTATTGGGCATTGATGCCATTTTCCTGAAAGACTCCACACAAAGTCTTGCAGTGTTCGATGTCAACACAGAACACCAATGTGGACTTAAAGTTGAACTTCTTACGTAGCTGAAGATAACCCTTGGCTATTTGCCAGTTAATATCTTTTTGGTTGACCGCCACAGCTAGACGTTTGGTCACATAGTCTCCGATACGTGTGGAGACATCTGTCAAATCTATGTCGGTATCGATGGTAGAAAACTTGACATCGCAGAGTTCTTTCTTCTCCACCATCTCTAAAAGACTTCTTTCAAACACGATTTCCTCGAACACTTTCCCGAGCTTATCTCCATCAGCTCTTTCCATAGTTGCCGTAAATCCCACCACATAGATACTCAGATCCTTTTCAAGGGCCCCAAAGTAGTTGAGGATCTTCATCCACGAGCCAGCAGTGGCATGGTGACATTCGTCGAGGACTATCATCTTATACTCCAGGGGATCGTACATTTCAAGGCGTGTCATTCGGACAAGAGTAGGAACTGATCCCACTATCACATCTGCGCTGGCGTTGGGCTTGCTTTTCAGCATATCGATCTGAACATTCAAGTCGGGATTGAGTCTGGAGATGGTCGCACACGCTTGTTTGACCAATTCTTCCTTATGCGCTAGCACCAACGTCTTCGTTCTGGTTTTCTTCAAAGGCTGAAGCTGTGGAATAAGAGCAGACATCACTATTGTCTTACCTCCGCCTGTGGCTAGAACCACAGCTGGTCTTTTGATGTTTCTTTCTGCTGCGACAAGCACACTTTTGACCGCATCTTCCTGGTAGTCTCGAAGAGTGACATCCTTGGGAAGTTTATTAGGGAACGGGAAGACAGTCCGTGCTAGAACACTGGAGCTGACTCTCCGAACTTGAGAAGATACTGTCATGATCGGTTTAGGTTATCGGCCAAATGCAGTGCTCAAATTTATGACATTCGATAGTCATGTCGGACAGAATCAAGATCTATGATCTGTTATGATACCGCCACAACCATGCAGAATTGGCTATAACTTAACTGATATGTTCATTTGCCATGTTACTAGTCTGCTATTACATTCTACATATACTTTTTGCCCGACTGAAATTTTCACTTGCAGTTTCTCTCATCTCAACCATCTCAATTGTCCTGTGTGTTTTGGCTGCGATTCTTAACTATGTCTTCATGATATCTATGCGGCTTCTCTTGAATACATTGTGGTAGAAAAGATCACTTCCCTCAACAGGCTCGATGTTGTTTTCGTCATTTGCATCGGGTCCCCGTGTAGTCATGACAACGTAGCTGCCGTCTTCTCGTAACGGATCCTTATTTGGTCGTATGAACTGACCTGGATTGATTACAACAACACCTTTGATCACTTTGGCAAAGTACTTGAGCTCCGAAGGAACTATCAAAACATCTGGTAGTGAGTGGCTTAGTTCGGTAACACCAATATATGGAACTTCCAAGCTTGAACCTCCCACTTCTGTTTCCGCCAACTCTTCGCCCATCATACCATCCAACAAATTGGTAACCTTTTCTCCTTCTTCTTTCGGCAACGCCACCCGCTTAACGCTTCCTGGAAATACAGGGTAGAACCGTCTTTGTTCAAACACATGGTTGGCAATTCTCTCGAATCTATTGGAGAACAACTTGCTCTTTTCGGGAGAGACTCCACTCTTATAAATATCTTTCAAGTCTTTAAACACGTCCGCATTGGAAGCACCCACCATAATCTCATTAATCGAGAAGTTGGATGGGTTAGGGAAACACTTGAAATTCTTAGGTAGGCCCAAGCGTTTACGGTCCAACGAAGACTGCGGGTACGAAGCATGCTTACTAGCAGAATCTTTCAAGGAAGGCAACAAAACAACTTGGATAGAAGGGTCAAACTTTTTGAGAACGGGAGTGACCACAGCTCTAAACAATTCATCCAAGTTTTTCGGTTGCTGGTTAGCCGCAGTATGGGGAAGTTCAACATTTCCTGACTCCACTGCTTTATTAGTGATATCGAGGAAGGGCCCGAATAGAAGGACTGCCTGAGGCTTTACCTCCGTATTGACATGGTCAACTAGTTTCTCAAGACGTGAGTAATCCAATGTGTGCTGGTTTGTAAATGGCCCAGCTGCGATCAATATCTTGGAGCCTTCTTTACTGAATTCTGACAATTCACTTCCAGAAGAGACAGGGGTACCCAACTGTGGTAATGCAATCACGTCGTGAGCTACGAACGCACGACCAGTTGGGTTTCTACCTCGCAATCCAACCACCTGGCCAGGGAAAAACGAATATTCTTCTAAATTCGATAAGTCAAGTGGAATTCTCTGACCAATTCCTCCCAATCTGGACGTTTCCAAGAACAATGACTTGTCGTTCAAGTTCTGAACGATCATGCTATCGTAGAAAGGCGAGTCTGGAACTATACGTCCACAGCAAACGATATCAAATTGTGAGCTCATACATGGGTTTCCAAGCTGAATATCCTTGTCTTTATACTCTGTCAGCAACTGCTGGCTAAACATATCGATCTGGTCGTCCAACACATCGGCACTTTCAAGGAGCTTCATGGCCATTGTCCTGAACTTGAACTTCTCGGGATCGAAGTTGGCGGTCAATTGCACGTTATCGGCGATATTGTCCACCTCCACGTCCGGGTTGAGAGTCTCCAAGACTGTGTTGGAGCTCTGGGCCTTGATGGGGCTTGATGCCACGTCCTTTTTTGAAGGCGACGAGTCAGGTTCGCTAGTTAAGATAGGTTTCTTCCGCTTCAACGACGGCGTGCTAGGGAGCACCACGCCTGGACTAGAGGAAAAGTCAATTGGTCTTTTATTGGAGAGATCTCGCACCTTCTTCACGGCAGGCGTTCTCTTTTGATGGTTGTTTGCAAGCAGATCTTGGAGGTATTGCTGGAATTTCTCGATGTTCACGAGTGAGAGGTCTGCGTCGCCATTTTCGTGGGTGACAACAAAAGCTTCCCATTGGATATAGATGTCCTCATTGGAGAAGTTGAATAAGTTCTGGACAGTCACGAGTCTGGTCAACACTTCGTCTTCGGAAGGGCCAAATTTTTTAATTAGCCACGATTTGGTGGCTCCATCCATGGTGGAAATAGTGGAGAAAATGTAGATGTAGATAGAGTAGATGGGACGCGTGTTGATGCAGTGCTGAGTAAGAGTAGGTGGAAAACATGATGAAGAGCAGGACGAAATACGAAGCACTCGAAGTGATGAAAAATTTAGGGGAGAAATCAATAATTGCTACTTAAATCCTGAAATGTAATGAAAAAGTTAAGTTTGAGGAAATTTAGGATTTGTTGGTTGGTATTACTTTCATTGAGACACGTATTGGAGAGGTAGATTAGCCTGGAGCGTGAAGTATCGACGTGAAAAGATGAACGTGTTTGGTTCAGAAAAAAAAATGTTGTGACAGAATCGTAGGTAGTTGTTGTGGAAATTAGACTAAGTAGAACATTTCATTTAAAAATAATTTTGTACCAAAGTACCAAACATCACATAGGTCACTTCAATGCTTGTATTTCGTTGTTGCATAATATTTCGCAGCTATTTTGTCAGGACAAGGAATCAACTATGGACTTAATAATATTCAAAAAGGTCAAAAATTACCGGGGCCATAATACTAGAATAGCTCAACATATCTCCATGGTCAATAATTGACTAAGAGTTAATTGATTGTCTTCTTTCAGTACTTGTCAACGTTTCAGTCCCGGTACTACACCTACCTCCATGAATCTTTACATTATCTTTATACAAGGTGTCGAAAATTACTCCTTAGCCTCCTTCGTCTCCTCCTTGGTCTCCTCCTTGGTCTCCTCCTTGGTCTCCTCCTTGGTCTCCTCCTTGGTCTCCTCCTTGGTCTCCTCCTTGGTCTCCTCCTTGGTCTCCTCCTTGGTCTCCTCCTTCTTCTCATCCTCTTCGCTTACAGCCTCGGAATCGTTTCTACCCTTGCGGAATTTCTTCCTCTGGTTATCCTTGAAAGAGTTACGTCTCTTGGTAACCTCGTTGACTCCGAATCTCTTACCAGACTCTCTCATCTCTCTGAAGGTCAAGAGCGACATCTTCTTCAAGTGATCCTTCTCGTCAACCTCGCCATCCGCAACAATACCCTGTGGGAATGCAATGGCAACACCCAAGAAGTATTCGGCGTCCTCCAAAGTTCTGAACTCCACGTCCACAACTCCAAAAAATTCCTTGTTGGATCTCGATCTGATTCTACGGATGGAGGACACAGACTTTTCCTTAGGCAAGTTGGGCACGATTTTGGTGTTGACCCACTCTTCTAACTCCTCCTGAGAAACACCAGTAGGGAACCCCTCAATGTGCACTGAGTTTCTTTTTCTGGTGTTCTTCAACTCGCTGAAATCCTTCAAAGGAGCAGTTCTTCTGATCATGTCCTCATTAGCAGACAAAGTCAATTTATCCGAGGTCTTCAAAGCCTCAATAACCTTCTCTTCGGGTCTAAACTGTCTCATACGACCAAAAGTCAAGATGGTCTTCAATTCGACCCATCCATCGTTGGCCTCGTAAATTCTCCACAAGAAACGATCCGTCTGAAGATTGGAGTCCGAAAAGTAGAACTCCACTTGCTTCTTGACCTTATCAGCAAAATCTTCTCCAGTATAGACAGAATCCGTCATGGCTACAGTTAGTCCTAGTTTGGTTTAGCTGTTTGATTTGGGCATCGTCCATTCTGCATGTATGCAGGATGAGAATACGGGCTTTACTTAAGGCATTTTGAATGGGACCCGTTAGGGCAACTGTCTCCAGATTATTCTGTTGGTGTACGGGTCTTTCACAATTGACTATCGTACAATTTGATTCACCATCTTATCTAATTACATGTTCAGGTGTTTAACTCATCTTCCTAAGCGCATACATTTTTACAAAAGTTTAACATCTTACCCTGTCACGTATTTATCTACCATGTCTTTCCCACAGGCTACTCCCGAGAGACTGAGTGAGCTTATTGAGAACTATGAGCAAGTATTGAACCAGGTTAAAAGCCACCAAAAATCGGCTCCCGTCACCCTTGTGGCGGTTTCAAAGTTGAAGCCTTCGTCAGATATCATGGCATTATACAACCACGGTGTGCGTCATTTTGGAGAGAACTACGTGCAAGAGCTCATCGGGAAAGCCAAGGAACTTCCACAAGACATCAAGTGGCATTTCATTGGTGGCTTGCAAACGGGGAAATGTAAGGATTTGGGCAAGGATATTGCCAACTTATACGCTGTAGAGACTATAGATGCCTTGAAGAAGTGCAAGAAGTTGGATGCCGCAAGAAAGGCCGCCAATTTACCTGTCATCAATGTATATTTGCAAGTGAATACTTCTGGCGAAGAACAGAAGTCTGGCTATCGTTTAAACAATTTGGAGGAGGTTTATGAGACTGTAAACTACCTTACAAGTAGCGATTGCCAGCATTTGGAGTTACAAGGCTTGATGACCATTGGGTCGTTTGCTCAATCTACCTTGGACGGTGAGGTAAATGAGGACTTTGCGAAGTTGGTGGAAATGAAGGAGATTCTCGATAAGAAGTACTCTACAGACTTAAAATTGAGCATGGGTATGAGTAGCGACTTCACAACCGCCATTTCTCAAGGCTCCACTAGTGTGAGAGTAGGTAGCTCTATCTTCGGTGCTAGACCTCCAAGAAACGGCCATTAACATAGATAAAACAACATATATTTGCACAAATGTACATCCTCAGAGAACATCTATAACTTTCTCAACAACTTCTTCAAACTCTTCTTTTTGGATTTCTTGGCTCCACTCTGAGAGTCTCCGGTTTCGGAATCATCTCCCTCAACTTCTGCTCCATCTACGTCAGCTCTCTCGTTATCAGCTGCGTCACTTTCATCATTGACTACCTCAGATGAGGATTCGGAACTTTGTTTCACTTCCAGAGTCTCGGCATTCTTGGCGGAATTTTCCTTTTCGAGCTTAGCCAAAGTCTTCTCTGTTTCTTTCTGGTCCTCCTCCAGGATGTGAGAGTTGTCATCAATAATTGCAGGCGTTGGTTTGCCCTCGCCGTCAATGGTGTCGATGATGGTGTCACCCCTCTCCTTGTGAGCTTCCAATTTTTGTCTCGAAGTTAGTTCTTCATTCGCAGATTTGGCCAGTCTGTTGACTAAGGTCGAGTCACCAGAAGTCTTACTGTACGAAGTCAGAGCACCAGTTGATTTCTCACCAACGGTTTCAGCAGGAACAGCAAGACCTTTGGCTTGTTGTAAAGTAGACTCGGGGCTAGTTTTCCAGTCATCGGGAGTTGGGATATCAGTTGCCTTCACCTTTGACGAGTAGAAATCTCTTCTCAACTTGATGTCATTATCAATGAAATCGTTGGAAACCTCAACATCTGACTTCAAGAAAGAGATAACCTTAAGTCCAAGGAAGTAGAGTGCAAAGAACAAGTGCTCAGAAGCGAAAAACACAAGGATCAAAACAGTAGACGAAGAGATATTCACGCTGGCCTTATCAAACGCAAATTGGCCCAATGGTTTGGGTGGCTTGGTTCCATGGCGGTAGAAAGCAGTGACCACAGGCGAAACGACAGAGCCGATCCATGTCAACAACAAAAATGCGTAGTCCCATGGGTGGATTGAGTCAACTCTGGTTGCGGCTGGAGGGCGGAAATACTTACCACTTGCCAACTTAAACTCGTCCAACTTAAATGTGAGCGCACTAAAAATCAACGATACAAGAGGAGCCAAAGTCCACACTGGACCAAACATGATGAGGTAGCCGTATTGCATGGCAAGGCCTCTGAAGTCGTCGTTGACGTTGTATTCAGGCAATGTCACTGCAAGGCGAACTCTCTTCAACCAGGCAGCCTCAACTGGGTCATCCTTAGTAACAACAGCCTTTTTTCCAGTCACCTTTTCGGTCACGAATTTAATAGTTGGAGCCAAAACAAGAGGCAAGACATACTTAAGAACAAGTGCAATGACCTGACTAATAACAGTGAAGAAGAAGAATTGGCCATTCAATCTCTCCTGATTGATAACAAATTCCTGCTGCGATTTGATCTTTGTCAAGTACTTGTATAAGTATCTGTTACTATTGATATTCGATGCAATAGTTTGCTGAATCACTGGTAACTGTGGGGTGATCAAGTGTGCAAACGGGAGGTAGATAAACGAGGTAATAAGCAATGGAACATATCCCGTCAAAAAGTTCAACACAAAAGTTTTCACAACAAACGAATCGGTACGTGTGTAACGGTTGTCGTGATTCTCCCACGTCAAGTACTGCTCAACCACAAAGTTGTAAGCAGCAGTCAAGATAGGCACGAAAACAGTGATCAACACAGTTGGCAATAAATTCAAAAGGCTCTTTCCAGGACCGTCATAGATTTCGGTCAAAAAAAATCTCGATAACGAAACAACCCAATTGGTAGGAAACCAAGATAGCAACAAATACCAAAGCAATTGGCACAAAAGCCACCTGCTTAAGGAATCTTCTACCTTCGTATCTGTCTCTGTGCTTGTAGGAAGAAACACGCTCAAAGTCTTTGTTCAATGAAGTGAGCTCTGCGTTGTACTCGTCAATCTTGTGGGAGTTCTGAACACCCCAGAAGTTAGCCAAGTAGCCCTCTCTTCTCTTCCACAAGAGCCAGAAACTAGTTCCCCACACCAAGTTAACAAACGCATAGGTCAAAGAGTAAGATTTTGACCTGACGTAGGCCATTAAGCCGAAAACAGACAAAATTGCCAACGATCCCAAGTAGAACGAAAAGAATGCAAAGTAGAAGCCAACGTGGGTGCCATAGAGCTTCGTGTATGATCCAAAATCAAAACTTGGGGAAAAAATTGATTTCTTTGTCTTCTCCAAGAGTTTGTCATCAGCCAAGTATCCAGAGATCGGAGTAATGGAGGTGACAAACTTCCATTTGTCTTTACCTGGTGTGATTGCGCAGCCGCCACATTCAACAGGATTGGACAAGTACGAGTAGATAATCCTCTGTCTGTCGGAGGAAGAATCGTCCTTGGAAGTAACTCCGAACTCGTAATTCTTAATCAAGTCTTTTTCAACCAACTCCAGGTAAGCAACGCCAGTGAGTTTCAAGAAAACAAGCACAGAACTGGACGCATCGGCTCCCGGTCTGGCCATGGTACTAAATCCCTTGGAGTCCAAGGTTTCAAGAAGCAATTTCAAGTTTGCTGTGTCTTTATCGTCATTCTTTGGGGAGTATTGAACATCCAAGACGAAGTCGGGCAATTGCGACTGAACCAGCATTATAAGAGGCTGGGATTATTTGGTATAGCAAGCAGAACAGGTGGAACAAGTGTCAAATCTTTATTAAGAAAATATCAATTGAACTACTGTGTCTTTTTCTTCCCGATTTTTGAGTAACCAAATGAAACGCAGTTGCTAAACTAGGGCTGTGTGGTGTACGGGTGTATCCATAGGAATTATACTAACCATGAAGGAAACAGCAAACGTGAACAACAAAGCGATCGATTATTGCTGGTTTATGAACTGAACAATAAGTATTTCTCTGGTATAAATTTGATTTTGGTTGCTTTTCCAAATTTCAACTTCATTTTCTACCTCAAATATCTACCACTTATTTCTATCTTCTTAATTATGTACATGTTCCTCTCCTATGTCTCCCCCACAATATGCATAGAACATTGATGCGCAAGAGCGTTTTGCTTAGGCACTTCATACTGCCTTGTGAAAATAAACACTATGGAAGATTCCTAATCCGAGATGAAGAATATTGTCGTGTGAAAAATACGTCATCAGTCAATTGTTGCATCTTCTCTTGCTGCTACTTCTCCTTTTTAGCCGTTGCACTTTGATGGTCACTGAAAGTTCTTCTGCAGGAAGTCACCCAGATACATCACCACCTTGCTCAAACTGAATATTGCCACTCCACACTACTTCCTTCATTACTTCCTTTAACAAATGACAATCACATATATTCACTCTGGTCCAGTGTAAGAGAATCATTGGAACTGCACACGCTCCGTGCTGCTGTCAGGTGCTCCTAGATCGCTAGTTTGCAACCATAGAGCTCAAGTTTAGCTCCAAGGTCTATTTGCCTTGGTTTTGTTCCCCCAGTATCCGTTATGTCCCTTACACAAGTACATCCCTGAGTAGTTTCACTACTAGGAAAACCATCTGCTGCTACTGCACTTCCCAATATCTGATTCTTCTTACCCTATCCAGATCTCCAGCTTCCCCAAATCCGGCTCTCCAGCTTCTCATTATCCAGCTTTCCTGTTATTAGTATTGCTTCACCCTTTTGATTATTTTATTAAAGTTCTGGTATCCCATGTCACCACTTAATGTTCGCTTTCAATTCTTCCCCATGAGGCCTATGATGTGGCGGAGTTCCCTAGTTCCCTTATGCTGGTCCAGTGTGCGTACTTGTGATTGTCATTGTTATATATTCTCATTCTTATATTGTACTAGTCTCTCTTACCATCCTATGAATGCCCGATCCACAAACCGGAAAACCCGAATGCGTCCGCTCTTCATGTCGCCGATTTTGTAGCTCTCTTTTCTCACCACCCCACTGTGGTCAGTCTCAAGAACTCGGATCTTCTCCTTTTTACTGTCAAACTCAGTAATAACTGCAGAGTAAATATCCCGTCCATCTCCGACAACAATACTCTTGTTACCAAGCCCGCCCAAACCCTTATGGCTTGTAAACTTGGCATTCTTCATGCACAAAATATCTCCTGGTCTGATATCGTCGAATTTCACAACGTTATGGTTAAAGTTCTTGTAAATAGTCGCACCAAACGACTTATCGCCAATTGGTAATAACAAATTGGGAAACTTTTGGTAAAGTTGGCCGAAGACACTAAGAACCAATCCCGTTGGTACTTTCGTGCCCACAAGTCTTTGAGCGAAACCCACAACGTCATTTCCGTAGAGAGCGTTATACTTGTGGAGGATGTCCCTCCGACTATTTGAAGTGTCGACAACCGTCATGTCAATCACCTTTGCAGTTGATCTTGGATCGTCAGAGTTGAACACAAGTTCAACAACAATCTGCGACATATCATGGAATAGAATATAGTAATCTTTGTAGACCAACGTCTTATTCCCTCTCTTAGTGATTGAGTTAGTGTCAACCTCGAAGATTAAGTCACTGCCAACCTTCGACTGCAATACATCAGGGATTTCGTTCTTGACCCACCATCCTGTGCTTTCGGTTAAGGAACCAAGCTCGTGTTGCAAACCAACAAGATGGGCCTCAGCTTGAACTTGATCATTTTTTCCCTCTTTCACAGACTTCGAACGTCCCAACTCATTTGACCTCCGTCCGCTATCCACGGAGCCCCGGCCAATTGAGCTCGATGTTGATACCCTAGATGGCATAGAAGGCAACTGGGTTGGTATTGGAGGAGGATGAGAAAATGTACTAGCTTTAGTTGGAGCTGCGAAGCTATGGTTTCTGAAATCGGGGCCATCGTCAGTTGAAGACCTATCTGGGACATCCTCAAACTCGTCCTCGGAGCTGTCTGTATAATCAGCCTCTACACCCGATGGTGTGGCAGGTGCCTGCGTTGGAACAGGGGGTGGAGGAGGCATGCTTGATACCGCAGGAGGTGGTGGCATGCTCGTGACAGCTGGAGGTGGAGGCATACTCGTGACAGCTGGGGGCTCTGTTTGTGGAATTGGTGGCATATCCGGAACCTTCAGAGGAATTGGTGGAGCTTGATCAGTAGGGGAAGCAGCAACTGCCGACTCTTCCATTCTGGTTGGAATAGGTGGTATACCCACTGGAGGAAACGAACTGGCTCCAGTTTCCAGGGGAACAGCTGGTGAAGCTCCTGGTGCAGGTAGTGTTACCGAAGGAGGTTGAGTGTGTGGAGGTGGAGGTGGTGCTTTGGTCGAAGTCGGAGAACGGGTAGGAAGGGCTGGAATTGTCTGTGTATGCTTCTCGGTGATGGTTTCAATCTCGAGATCAGGTGCTGCACCACGGTCAGAAACATCTTCATCTGCGTCGTAAGCAGTAACTTCTGGTTCATTACCGATCTTCGAAATAGCCAAGTCGATATCCTGCTGTTCCTCAGCCTCACTTTCGGACAGCTTCAATGGAGGTGAGCGCGACTGTTGTTCAACTTCTTCAAAGTTCTTCCCAGAGTGGTCCAGGACAACGTTATCTTCGTCTGGTAAATCTGACTCATTTATCACTTCTTCTTTTCCTCCCTCTCTAATCTGAGGCGCGATTTCAGATGTTTCTGGTTGAAATGCTTCTGGACCAGCTATCTCTTTGTCTTGTGATTCCTTCAAGATTTCAGGAACTTCCGACCCCACAGACATTCCTGGAATTGGAATTGCAGCTGGAACAGAACTTGTTGTTTCTTCTTTAACAACCTTGGGTTTGGTAGTGGTGGTCTTCTTCTTGGTTGGTGCAGCGGCAGGGCCACCAAATGGCGTGGGCATACCCATCATACCGAACATGTTTCTTCCACCAGAAATCTTGGCCATTCTCTCCACCAACTTACGCCTCTTGAGGTCTTCGTCGTCTTCCTCGGCTTCCTCGTCTTCGACTTCCTGGTCATTATCGGAGTCCTCTTCAACTTCGGCCCCATGTGTATCCTTTACAACACCTTTGTCCTCTTCTTGGACTTCTTCGTCATCTTCATTCTCATTGTCGAAATTCTGAACAGGGGCAGATTCTGAACCTTCCGGGATAGTCTGCTGAATGTCCGGTGATAATTCTTCAGCTTCAACTGGATCGTCTTCAGATCCTACAGTGTGGACTGAGCCTCCGGTGGAATTCTTCTGCACCTGCTTCTCCTTTTTACGCTCCTCTCTTCTCTTGAGAGCAGCAGCCTCACGCTCAGCCTCTTCCTGTTGCCTCTTTTGAAGCATGGCAATTCTCTCCTTCAAACTCATCTTCGGCTCCTCAGGAACCTCATCCTCGTTCTCATTGTCGTGTTCACGAACAATTTCGGTATTCTTCGCCACGTCATGGTATGCATGTGAGATGATATTCGATTGGTCTCTAGGCTTGATTTGGGGAACATACGACGACTTACCGGCGCCAAAGAACTGCTTCTTGACCGCATACGGATCGTCTCGCTGCAGAGGAGCCTTTCCTGGCATCACCAAGCCTGGAATTGGCACTTTTGGCGTAGATGCGGTAGCTGTTGGTTTGTCGACTTTGCTTGTCTCGAGCGACTCAGGCTTATGCTCCGACGCACCGGATTGAGAAGGTACAGGGTCTGATTTCAACCCAGACTCCTCAGTGGGCTCTGAATCTTCTGGAACAATTGAAGCAGGGGCTGTAGTGGCAGGAATGGCAGCAGGTTCTTGGGATTTAGCAACCAGTGGAGTGGGACGCAGTGCCGGAACCTTCACAGGTGGCTCCTCTTCCTTGATTATCTCAACAAAATTCTTAGGGAACATTCCCAGTTTGCCGTCATATGTTCCCGAGTACCATTCTTCATCCTCGATCTCGGTGACAGTTATTATCTGGCCCGGAGCAAACGTTAAATCGTCATCGTAATCGGACTTGTACTCAAAGAGCGCCTTGACTTTGAAAGGCGTGGACATGACAATTGGTTACGGGACAAGTTTTGAATGTGTTATGCTGAAGAATGAAGTGATGCAAGTGTGCAATTGGGTATAGCTAGATCTTTGTTGGAGTTGATCTTGGGGGACCCTACTGTATAGGGGCTGAGCGGTCACGTGTGGATGGTCATTCTAGAGTACCAGTAGAGGGTTAGTGTAAAGATGAAGTCTAGTATTGGTTGAAAGTTTTGATTTTTTCTGAGTTAAATTTTTTCACTATTTGATGGTTTGGTAATTCTCGTGCAATTTTGGTGACTTTGTGAGTCTTATTTCATGTATATTATTGTGGGTTCAGAGTGAGTGTGGTGTTGAGTGAGTTTAGAGGGAAGAAAACGTAGGAGATCGAAGTGGAAGAATGAGGAAAACTACGTAAGAACAATTTCAACTTTAAATTGAATGGAGTGGCAGATCAACTGAATTTGAACTTTGTCCGTGGAATTCCAGAAATGAATCGTTCCAATCCTATTGGCCTACACAACGTTAGTGTCTCATGCTTATTGGAATCAAACATAGACCTATTTCCAACCAACATACACAAACGGTATCAATAGTTAATTAAAGGTTACAGATATAGACTTAGAATTAAAGTATACCAATATTGAATTCTTTTTGTATGTTCAATTGGCCAATTGATGCTACACTTTGACTTGTCTACCTATATGGTCAATAAGATACATTTCGCCAAACACCAAGTACATTGAATGAGAAACAGTACAAAACAGAACAAAACAAAATAGAAACAAAATAGAAGGAAACAAAAGAGAACAGATAATTCAAACATCGAAAGTAACTAGGTGAATTCAATATCTTCTCATTCCCTGTTTTTCTTCACAATCTCATATCCTCTCTTATATTCTGGATATCTTTCCATTCGCAGCCAGTGCACATTTCCTACACTCTTAACTACAACTGCTTGATGCTCCAATAATTCCATCATTGATTCACCATTAATCAGCATAGAAACTCCTCCATACCTTTAAAACTTGCCGCATTCATCGTCGTCATCAAGATCGTCGCCAAAATTACTCCTTTCCATGTCCAAACGCTCGGCTTCAAGTCTACCCATCACTGACAAGATCCTCGCGTCCTTTAGACCTTCCAAGATCCTCAGCTATCATGATGGCGCCTCTGTGACGTGTCTTGACTTTGACAGCACAGGTCAGTACCTCATTTCGTCTGGCGTGGACAAATCCATCCAGTTGTATGACTGTCATAAAGGTGTACGCTACAAGGATGTTCAGTCACAGAAATACGGTGCCCACTTGGCCAAATTCACTCATAATGACCTCAATTGCTTGTATGCGTCCACTCCACAGGTAGAAGGCGACGATGCCGACCACTCGATCCGTTACCTCTCGCTCACATCCAAAAGCTATTTGAGATACTTCAGAGGCCACAAGGACCAAGTCACGGCGCTAGAAGTCAACCCCGTGTCCGATACTTTTCTTACTGCTTCAGCAGATCACACTGTTAAGCATTGGGACTTGCGGACGGCTACTTGTATGGGTAGTCTCGGAATGGGGCAGACTTCTGTTATTGCATTCGACCCTCATGGAATCGTGTTCGCTGTGGGAAGGGGCCCAACCGAACAGTCTGATGGAGTACAAGGTTCTATTTCATTGTATGATGTCGCTTCTTTCGAGCGTGGAGCATTCTTGACGGTTTCGGTGGCTGGTGTCCGCGGTGAAAAATGGACCAAGCTCGAGTTTTCCAATAATGGGAAGTACTTGCTTGTTGGCACCGACTCGTCACAACATTATCTTCTCGACGCTATTCTGGGCAAGCAAGTTGCAAAATTGGTGCTCACTCAGGAATACCACAAGGGCTGGTTACACTTTGACTACTCGTCTACTGGGTCAGTATGCTTCACTCCTGATGGACGATTTGTGATTGCTGGTTCCCCACATGGTACACTCGCCATATTTGACTTGTCTAAACTCGAAGGAAAGGACACTAAGCATTTGTATCCATTCAAAGTGTTAGATGGGAAACAAGGTGTCACCAAGGTCATTGCGTTTGATCCCAAATTGTACACATTTGCCAGTGCTGACGATAGTGTGGTATTGTGGGCACCTACGGTAGGCGAATACGACTAGATATAACTTATTGACGTCTGGTGGAACGTGTTGTGCACTTGGTATTTTACTACTCTAGATAATGTACTTCATAGATTACTGGATAATAGTGCGCATCTCTGATCTCAACTAACTACTATGATCATGCTAAGACGACTATATTCCATAACTTGCAAAGCGCCAACTCCTATTTCGAAAATAGAGTTCAAACAGAAATTAAATAGTCTACCGTTTGCTTCGGTGACCCTTCACCAACCACCACAAAATCGTGACTGGAGAAATGAGCCTCACATCTCCAATAAGTCTCTACCTTCAAAACCTATCGACATCCGAGGAGTAGATGCTGCTGCATATCCACATCTTCAGAAGAAACTGTTGCTTCGAGGCATTCCTGTTTTGGTGCAAAATAAGTTCTTCTCTGTGAAGTTTGTTGACTCCACCCATCATCTTTCTTTGGTGAGAAAGTCCAATATCGCATACACATTCAGCAACTATGGAACGCCTGTGTTGAACGATAATTCATTAGCCATTGCCTTTAAAGAGTATAAGGGTACTTACAAGAACTTAGATTTCTTCAAGTCACAGCCGCATGGTACTGATACTGCTTGTGCAAGAATCCAGTATCGAAAACGAGTGAAGAGGAGCCTCTTTGAGGCGCTCCATCATGAAATTCCTAATTCAAATGATACCGAGATTCGCTCTGTGAGTGGAATATTTCTCTTCAGGTTCTCTACATGTCCGTCAACAGCGGAAGATTTTGCTTTGGTAGACAAAGATTTGAAGGCAGGAATTGCAACGATATTACGGAACAAGCAATATAAGGCGAAACTCCAGCTAGTTACAAAACAACAAAATAAGGAATTTAAGAATGGCAAAGCGCTCGTCAAGCAAGTGACTATGGAGAACACCTTAGGAGCTAAGAGAGTTCCTGGTTATTACCCCAAGCTACCTTTCATTCTAGAGAAGATATAAGACACAATGACTACGTCAGGTTAAGTCAATTTGCCAGGTATAACTGCTTTTCCAGGTTTGATTACTTTTGTCCGGTATGATTACTTTGGGTAACAAGAATGCATTGGGGTGTCTATACAAGTGGAAGAACATTCTCGGAGTTTTGGCCAATCACGTTTCCAACTGGGTCGTACTCACAAACAATGTACAAGCCCCAACCAGAAGACGTGCAGTCTTTGTAGGCACATCCGACCTTCGTAGAGTCTTTCCATACCACTTGAGTGAAGTGATCATATGTGTTTGCACTGGAGTAGTCATAAGTTTGTCCTTCGTCGTACCAAGCCATGAGGGCAGAAGTTCCGGTCTTGAATCCGGCTGCCAAGTTCTCTCCGTATTGTCCATGTGTATGCGTGAGAATTCCAGAACAATCATAATTGTCAGCGTTATTTTTAGCGTAGCTGTATGGTCCATTGTCCCAAGATAATGGTCCTGAACCATGGAGGGCTCTAACCTTGTTGTGGGCATCTAAAATCTCCTTTGCGAAACTCTCGTCAATTTCTTCATTCGAGTTATAGATAGCATCATAAATACCATTAGTCAGAGTCAGAGTTGAAGCTGAAGATGTCGATGAGCCTGAGCCTCCCAAAGCAGCGATTAAGAGATTACCCGATGAGCTTGTCGAGGTAGCAGCACTAGTAGTGGAAGGCAAAGTCGAGGCAAGGATTGTTGAAGTTGTCTGGGTGGCGACAGCAGTGGTAGTCAAGTCAGAAGACAGGGTCGAGTCCGAACTGGAAGAGCCAAAGAGCAGCTTCAAAAGTGAGGAGAAGCTGAACAGAGAGTCTGAGCCAGATGAAGATGAAGTCGTCGATGACGAGCCATCATCATTAATTAACAGGCTCAAAGCATTCTTGAGAATATCAACCCAGCCACCAGAACTCAGAGAAGTCAGACCAGCTGAGGCAGCTGAGGAAGTAGCAACGGAGGCAGGAGTGACAGCAGTAGCAACAGTTGCACCGGCAGTTTCTGCACCGGCAACAACAGACTGAGTAGGGTTATAGTATGAACCGTCAGCATTGGTAACAGCAGTCACAGTCGCCCACGAAGTGATGGGAGCTGCTAGAACGATGTTGGTATAAAAGAGAGCCACAAAAACCACGAAACCTCGCATTGTGAGAAAGAAGACTTGAATAGCAGATCCTTGATCTACTTCAGGATAAGGAAAATTGACGATTTATAAAGCCACTGGCAATTCAACGTGCTTATTGCCCTACTAGGCAAGTCTTCAACCTTTTGGTTGCAAAAATGGCCTGCAGATAATTTCAGTACGAGGAATATGTGTTGCCTAAATAGGAAATCATGTCAAGATTCTTATACCCGATTTGGTAAATTGAACGAAAGGGCACTGTTCAGCATCGAAGGTAAAACTAAACGGATTTACCTAATGAGGTTGCTCAAGAAAAGGAAAAATACCTGAACCTTCATCTTGACTTCAATTCTCCACATTTTGTGGAAATCTCATGCTTTCTTCCATGCTTGATACGGTTGTAGGCACGTTTTCTTATTATCAGCTTGCCTTACAGGAAGATTTCTTCCAATGTTTCATAGATTGTACCGGAAACACCTCCTCCCGTGCTCCTGACAACTATGTCGAATTCTTTACCCACTTGGTCTAGGCTCTTCATCGTCACAAGCACTCCGGATTTTGATTTCATGGTATGCAAAATGCCTGCACCCATAACCAAGACACCCTCCTCTGAGTCTTGAGTGCTGTGTACGATTGCAAACCCAATTCTCTGTAAGATTCGGACGATATTTGAGGAGCTATGCCTGAACTGGGCACTAATTACCCCTCGCCTTTCTCCATCCACTGTTCCAAGATGCTCGCCGATCTGCAACCATCTTTTCTTAAACTCATCAAGAGAGCCCAATGCCGTACCAGATAAAGTTTTTATTAAGACGGTGGGAACCTTTAAATTGAGCGTATTGAAAGATCCACTGCACTTATAAGTCAACGACAAGACAGGGCTTTGGCTGTTCTCAAAGATATCGCGTACTTTGACGTCGATCTCCATGTTTGATTTGACTTGAATAGTCAGTTCAGGCACCTGCGTGAGACTAACAATATAGGCTGGATCAGTCCCTCTAAAAGCATTATGAATCTCCCGGACAGTAAATGCAGTAATGGTTGCGCTCGCCGTCTTTGCGGCATTGTTGATGATGGAAAATTGAACATGGATGTTGTGTGCCTCCTTGGTCGTTCTGTAGGTGATCTTCACAAGTTGATCTTCGTAAAATATTCCCGCATCATACTGGAGCATGCGGTGGTATCCTGGATACCAATTGGGGGACAATTGAGGAAGTTCTGTTAGGCCATCTCCGAAGGGATCATTGGTAGTCTCGTCAAAGTGTTCTTCATCGCTATATCCACTGTTTGGGGATGTTGACCTTTCTGGAATGTCTTTGGTGCTCTTAATAGCATTCACCAGGACAGAATGATTTGGAATCTTCAGAACATTGACGGTTGAAGAAGATCTTCCGTTAACCAATTTAACACTTCCGAGGTAGTTTAACAAAGTGTTTTTCTTATTTTCGAAAGGAGGCATCGAAGTAATCAAACTCTTTGCAAATCTGCGATCGGCTTCATCTCCGCTCACCATATAGCTGGCAACTTTCAAATATTCGTATGCCCTAGTTTGTATTTCCAAGTCTAAAGACTGTGTCTCGGCCTCAAGCAAATCTAAAATGTCAGGAACATAGTCTTCCAGAGAAAATCTGTAAATGAATTTGAGAAATGCCGTCAAAATAATTGGTCTAGATGCCAACGAAACCTTGAAATATGCCTCAAATAGGAGTTGGAACTGCTTTGATGGAGTGAAATGCGAAGACGCATCATCCTTATCCACAAGCTTGTAACCAAACTCACCCAAAATAAACGCGGCCACTTTGACTAAGTTTTCGGGAACGGTTCCACCCTCAGCTTTTCTGAGCAAATTGATAATGTACCTGGATGCTTTAGTATGTAGATCCTCGTTATTGACGACGATCTGTGTGATACGCTCCCAAACCTCAACATTTGATCTATTGGTTACACCCGTAGTCTTAGAAGACTGCCCACCTAAAGCTAAAAGTCGAAGCATGGTGGAAACATACCATATAGAGTCAGTAGCAAATTGTTCAGCAAGAACAGCAACTTTCACGGCAATGTCAACTTTAAGTGAGCTCTCTGCAACAGGATAGTAATCAAGAAACTTGGATATGATGCTTGTATAAGTGGAAGAGTCGCAAATGGTAAAAAGCAAATCCACAGTTTTCTTGCGGACAGAAACATCCTTATCGTGAAGGCATTTGAAAATATTCTCTAATGCTTCATTGAAAAAAGAGGTGTGTTTGGTTCTGGCAGATAGCTTGATCAATGCGTCTAAAACCAAGTATCGAGTATTAGTCTCGGAAGAGTCAAGAAGCGTAAGGAGAGCATGAATAGCACCCTCAATAGCTTCAGGTGATGCATCAAGAAACGTAGCAAGCGAAACGGCCTGAAATAAGATTGCTGATTGGGAGTTTCTATTTGGCAGGCCCTTTACTGATTTGGAAGCATTTTGAATGGATCTGGATACCACCTGGCGAAGTTTGGACACCGTTGAATTGTCCAATACTGCAGTAGTCAAAGGCACCACTTTCAGTTGTTCAGATGGAAGGAAAAAATGCTCAACTAGCTGAATGAGGTTGATAACAAGCCAAGGAGAAGGATTGTCGTAGTAGAAGTATTCGCGTGGACAGTCTTGGTCAACAACTAAAGCATAGAGGCGATTCGCTATTGACGGCACTATGGACTTGGCATAGTGCGGAGATACATCGGTGAGTAGTCTCACAAGAGGCACTGCCGAGAGTACAACACTAAGATCAGTCTCGTCAACGAGTGTCAACAACCGCGGGATCCAGTTGTCGTTGTTCAATATTACTTGTGGATAAAGTTTGAGCAAGACATTGAGAGCCGTAACTGCCCGCTTTTTCGTGTTGGCACGAGCAATTGGCGACACGCAGAAGCTATAAACCATGTCAATGATTTCTTGCCAGAGAACGGCGTCGGCGTGACCATCCGAGACCACCGGCTCGAATAGAACCAAGCCATTTTCGGGCATGACGTTGAAATTGGCAGCGATAAACTGCAATGCCAAACAATTAACATCCTCGGAGTTTGCCCGCAAGTCCAGTACCAACTCCGGGTGTACCAGGTCCAACAAATCGCTGTAAAATTCCAGAAGAGTGCCTCCATCTCTAGTGAAAAGTACTGACACCAGGAGATAGCCCAACAGCTTCTCCAGATAATCCGGCAGACGAATTAAGTCTAGCGATTGCACAAGTCCAAACTTGACTTCTTCCGTGTATCCCAACAAGTGCATGTAGATTAGCTTACATACGTACTTCTTCTTCTGGTAGGAATTCATGCCTGAGGCAAACTTCGTGCGGATATTGTTGATTTCCACGTTGATTCGCTTACGCTCCTCGTCGTAATCGTGTGAGTTTCGCAAGTCCGTGATGAACTGCGTCAACCCTTTCATTTGAGGAGCCATGTTGATGGTATTCAGACGGCCTAAGCTAGTGAAGTAGCTTTGGTAGTGATTCGCACCTGTACACCCGCGATCTTTGAGATTGTCAGTAGTAATAAACTGGAAAGGAAAAGAGCGTGGTCATAAATTGAAAGAAGTAAGTTTAGAAAAGTAGAGATTAAATAATAAAAAATTTAAGACTTTTTGTTGCTTTATTCTGTTTTGCTTTTTGAGAACCAGAGTTTGATGTAGTTATGTTTCATCCCATTGTAGAATTGGGTGTACATAAACTACTATAATGTCAGGTGAGGTCTTAGCTGTAGAGCACCAACATGGAAGACTCAAAAGATCACTGATCTATTCACATGTAATTTTCATTGCACTTTTTCAGTTTCACCAACTTGATACCTACGTAATGATTCAGTTGTTTTCACTTTAGCTTGGGTGCAAAAATTATAGTATTAGTCACGTGATAAAACTTGTAAACCGCTTCACCAACTAGAATTACCGTTACTCAAACAAAAACACAAGAATTCCGATGAAAAAAAACCTCGAAATGAAACTACTCCATAATTCTTAATCTCAATCACATATATATACTTTCGTCCACTTTTTCCCGCTCCAAAAATCAGGCCCACCTCTACATCCTCAAGCAGGTACACTTGAACGAAGAAAGTCAAGAAACCAATCGAACAGATGATAGAGAGATAATTACATATTCTCTGCTCTTGATATACTATTGTTAATATGTTGGTTTAATCTGAGCACATTTTTGAGTTCTCGTGCCCATCGGATGGCTGGAAAACTCTCCAGTCGATTTAGATTATGTTTACGCTGTTGCGTCGTATCTTAACTAAAAACCATTTGTGTAATTAAAACTAAGAATTCTATTCTATAACAGGCAATACTTTTTCCGTCTGCTGCCATAAAATTGATAATAATGATGAACTTTCCTTGAAAAAAAGGAAACAGGTTCAATTTTGCCCAAACGGGCAGTACCTCACAAGAGCCTATCTTTTAGATCTTACCAGTGCATTAAGTTCTGCTCCAAATCACCAGAATGGCAGGTCTATGCCATCACGATCCAGTGTCAGCAGATTTTCATAAGACCAACTTCCCAGTCAATCGAGCATTGTTATTAAAGTAGATCAAATTATCATAGGTACATCAACTCTGAACAGTATTAAGTAACTACTGCAATGAATAAACACAAACAAGTCATTAGTCATAATTAATTTCCACTCTATACCTTCTATACATTGACTACAATAAAAAAATTGTACAGCTAAAGTTTCATCGGATTCTGAGCACATGAGTCTATTGCATAATGTAGGTAATCAAGATCGGTCACAACATTAATCGTACAAGCATTCCTAGCCCGCAACCCAACCATGACTTCATATTTTTCTTCTTTTCCTTATTTACTTCCCATTCTCTCCTTTTGCCTTATCGCATTAATACCATCTGGTCAATCTCTCTCCAAATACTCCATTGCGACTATCTGTAGGCCATTATCGCATTGACTCACATCCAACCACTCATGCTTTGCTCTCGTCAAGCCAAATCCGTCTGTCGCCCCCTTATATCTACGGCTGCTAAGTGGAGAATATGTTCCAGGAGTTACAACTCACAGACAAGCCAGGACCAACAGAAAACATTCTTGCAAGAATACAAAATTAGATCGTCTTTGGAAAGACTCATTTACTACTATGCCAGCCAGCCATTGACCAAGTTCTCTATTCTGGCCTTGTACGACCAGTCACGGAAACTCAACAACTCAGTGATTCTACAGTTTGCTCGAAATACCGTAGAGCAGCTTTTGGCTTATAATGCCCGAAGACTTAGACGCTTCAGAAACCTACCATATTTGGTGATGTTGAATCCGTCAATCTCAGAGCTGTACAATATGTACTTGAAGACCATGTCTGTGCTCTTGAATGCGTCGCTCAATCCGCCCACCACTTTGGAGGAGAACGATAAATTCAAGAATGAGGTACTCAATAAGTTTATCGAGATTCATGCCGATGCATTGCCCATTCTTTCTAAAGGGTTTTCCGAGGTGATGCATTTGATCTCCACCAACGACATCAAATTGTTTTTGGACGAGCACTTGAAGGAGCGTATCAGCATGAGGCTCATAGCACATCAGCACATTCTGCTCACGGATTCATTGTCCACCAACGACTATGTAAAGGGCGGAAACTTCAACGGAGTAGTCAAGGAACTTGACATTCGGGCAGTGATTCAGAAGAATGCAGACTTGGTCAATGATATCTGCCTCATGAAGTATGACCAGTCAGTTCTGGTGAAAATCGATACCAATCTTTATCCACCCAGTTTCTGGAACCTGAGGGACGCTCCGCCATCGCTGTTGAAGCTCAAGAATGAGACAGACCCCATTATTTTCCCATATATCGAGTTCCACCTCGATTATATTCTCATGGAGCTTTTCAAGAACTCGTTCCGAGCTCAGATCGAGAACCATGTTTCTGATCCGGTTCAGGTGACTGTTTCCACATGCAACAAGCCCTCCTATCTTGAATTGCGAATCAGAGACAAGGGCAAGGGAATTCCTCCCAATGTGGTCAAGCATATGTTTGACTACTCGTTTACAACCTACGAATCTGGAGAAGGTGACAGTTACAAGACACTCAATGTACCACCAGGCGAAGGAGGAAACACAGTAGCGGGCATGGGCTATGGACTTCCCCTTCTGAAGAACTATATTGAGATTTTCAATGATACATTAGACCAGGAAATCGCCGACCATCCGGATCAAGAAGAGGTGATTCCTACAAGAGGTCTGTTGACTGTGCAGTCGTATTATGGGTGGGGCACTGATGTGTACTTAAAGACTGTTGGATTTTAGAGAGACAATACAAGATAATGTATAATAACATTATTGTTTCTTTCAATTTTTATTTTATTTTTTTATTTTTTTGTATTCATTCTCTTCCCTATTTATGTTGATCTTAGCTTCTATCACATACTTGCTGGTATTTATTGTCGTCTACACAGGTCATCCTACCCCATCACAAACCATATCAACTTTCTTACATGTCTGAAGACCCAGGCATCTCGCTCCCCCAATGGGTCATCACCCTATCGGGATACACGGCTCTGGTAGCCTCGTTGATTATCTTCCTTTCAATCTTTATGCATCTCCTCAATTACAGAAAGCCCTTTCAGCAGAGACTCATGATCAGAATTCAATTGATTGTGCCTCTCTTCGCCCTCTCATGCTTCTCCATGTTATGCAATCCTACGTCGGTGTTAAATAAGTTTATCATCGAACCAACGAGAGAAATCTATGAAGCTTTTGTCATCTACACCTTCTTTTCGCTCTTGACAGATATGTTGGGAGGCGAGAAGAGTATTGTCATCATGGCCAGCGGCAGACCGCCCGTTGAGCAAATTGGATTCATGAAGTGTCTTCCGCCGCTTGATATTCTGGACCCACACACGTTTTTGGCTGTCAAGCGTGGTATTCTCCAGTACGTTTGGCTCAAACCGGTAATTTGCTTTGGCGTGCTCTTTCTGGAGTTGCTCGGCTGGTACGACGTCAACGACTTGGGTATCACGTCTCTCTACCTCTGGTTCACCATTGTTTATAACTTTAGCGTATCTTTGTCGTTATACTCGCTTGCTATCTTTTGGAAGATCCTCTGGGTCGACTTAAAGCCATTCAATCCTGTGGGAAAGTTTCTCTGTGTGAAACTTATCATTTTTGCATCGTACTGGCAGGGTGTTATTCTTGCAATTCTCAACTTCACCGGTGTATTGCCTGGAAATAGTTCCCAAGATGAACAGGGTGCTCCCAACATTGGTGTGTCCATCCAGAATGCATTACTCTGCGTGGAATTGATAGCGTTTGCTTTTGGTCACTGGTTTTCATTCTCGTATCGGCCATTTACCATTTCTCGAATCCCCAATGGCAGACTTGAGTTTATATACGCCGTGAGGGACATGATCGGCATCAAAGATTTAGTTATCGACTTCAAGCTCACTTTCTACGGCGATTACTACAAAGACTACAAGCAATTTGATTCCGTGGAGGCCACAATTGCACATCCAAAGTCTCGAGGCAGAATGAGCAGAATCAATCAGGGTCTCCGATATCACAACGACGGAAAACAGAAGCACTGGCTACCTCAGCAGAATGCTGGAAGTTCCAATAAGTCGTCTATTCAGAGCACATCCGAGATAAACGCCATTCCCAACTACGGCAAGTCACGAACGCAGCTGGCTTATGCTGCATCTATGTCGCTGAATGGTACCTCCACTAGAGGAATATATCCATCTTCACCTAAGCTTGGAATTTCGCCGCCTGGGTCACCAGGAGGTGATGTGAGTGCTCTAAGTATTGACGAAACGAATAATATGGATGACATCATGAATGAGATTGTTCCAGATGTGAATAATGAGGATGAACACTTTGCTGAGGACGAGCAATATTACAAGGCTGCATCGTTGGTGGTAAATAACTACAACTTAGACCAAACCGAGGTAAAGAAATTGATCCACTATCCAATTGTCGATGAGGTTATTGGAGGACATGAATACGGCTACAAGGTCCAAAAGCTACGTGCTAGTCGTAGTCATCTCCATACTGATAGCCACAGTCGTCTGTCACAGCCACTCAGGCGTGATGAGTCGTTGGGTTACGGGAGTGTGTGAGACTTCTGTTAATGTTTGTGGTGAATGTTTAATTTGAGAAAAAAATAGTGGGTTAAGTGGGGAATTTCACTTTAGGACCCGTTAGACCTTCTATTGAATAATGACTGTTGAGAATGTCTAGTGTATATAATTGAATTGTGAGTGATCGTTAGTGGTATTGGGATAATTTCTCAAGTTTTTCCGGGTGCACACCTCACCTCATACAAACAAAAGATACGGCTGAAAGCGGAAATGACCCAAGCTAAATGGGTACGAAAAATCAGCAAATACAACGAAAGAAGTAAAATGACAGATGGAATCGTCTCGGATTATCTGAACCAAGAATCCCCACATCGAATAATCCCACTCTTCCCCTCTGTTGACTACTTCAGCCTTTTACCTGCACTCGTCAAGATTCCTATAATTCCGTGTCTACTACTACACATAACCAGATTTCAACCTCTCCACAGTTACCGTTCTTTCTACATATTCGAAGCAACTTCAGTCTGGCCATGTTCGAGACCCGTCGCCCGACAAACTTGGATATGTCCACAGACCTTCCGGTGACCACATTCCCTCGAAATAACACTCAGATCTCAGCCGAGTTGGATGACCAGCTTCGACCTTTGCTCGTCAATAGCGATTCCTTCGAATGTAACGCCAACTTCTCCACATTCCTCAAATTGGTGGTTGACCATCTCAAAGATTTGCCGGAGACCTATCATGCATGCCTGGTGTATGCCCTTCAGTTACTCCATCTGAATTTGTTCCAAAAGAATCTTGTCATATGCTTGGGAAAGATACTTGGACTCCTTAGTGTCCTTAGCAGCCTGGTGCCTGGGGATAACGAGTCTGAAACTCGCTACTTGAAGGAGTTGTTGCTGATTATAATGCTTTTGCTTTTGAAATTGAGCGGAGACTCCACGTCAGATTGTGATTTGAGCGTGGACGATGTGAAGCTTTTCCAAACTCTTAAGCTGTTGGGAATGATGCAGATTATAGCCGATTTCATTTCTGACCATATCGAACGCAAAGACTCTACGCACGCATCCTACGTGTTGTTGAAGTTTAGTTGTGATATAGTGTTCCACTATTTGTACCACGTTGTTCTTCTTGATGATAGAGAGTTCGCTGATCTCATGGAGACGCTGCTAATTCAATCTTTAATCGCAGATTTGCTCTCCAATGACAACTTCAATAATTACGAATTGGCAGGTGATGACTTCGAGGATGAGGCTAAACTTATAGCATACGAGGAGTTTAAGCTCTTGCTCCTTATCAACGAGCAGTATATGATGAAATCGCTTTCATGTAACATCCTGCAAAACAAGGTGATTGACGGCCTTTTAACTCAAAGAAAAGACTCTATCAATGGCATTTGTGGCTTTACCAACTTGCTCGTGTATCATATGAATCGGGAAGAGTCGCATATTATTAAGATCTTGATGTTGAAATTTCTTTACTTGATTTTCACTTCATCTAGAACCTCTGGTCTTCCATATCTCAATGATGTTAAAATATTGGTTGATATATTCATTCGTGAGCTCAACGATAATAGTTACTCGATTGAGACGGACGGAGATAGCACCCTTCTTGCGCTCACGTACTTGAAAGTCCTTTATCCCATGCTCACATTCTCTGAGCTTGGAAACTTGAATCCTAGCTACAAGGCGGCTGAACTTACCGAAGTTTTGCGGAATGTGGTGGTTAATTGTGATACGGGCAGCTCAGATAACGATGATGAATCTTTCATCAATCAAGATGTGGAAAGGCTTATCCAGACTTCAAGTATAGTAAAGATCGCTATGAAATGTCTTGCTATTCCTTGGTTGAAACGAGCAGGTTCTCGAGGCATCCCTACTAGGTTGATGAAGCATCCTAACCCAAGCAACGACAGCATATCATCGGCATCTAGCATAAATTCCAGAGGCGTCAAAGTGGAGGCTTCAGACCTTTTCAATTCCACGGATTCGTTGTCTTTCACCAGAGTCGCCTCTGTGAGGGCATCTACGAAGAATGATTTTCATAAGCATACAACCTCTCACAATATGAACCTTGAAAGTACTACAGAGGACGACTCACTGGAAGAGAATATCTTCGAGGTGAATAATCACAATATCTTTTTGCAGCCAAAGAGATCAAATAGCAGCAAAAGCTCGACCAAGAACCGACTGAGCGCTGTACTCTTGGATCTTCCAAAGGAGTATTTACGACACAAGAAGCTTCCTCCCTTGCCACAGGAAGCTAGAACGTCACCTCCCCGTACTTACACTTCGGTTGCGGAAAAGGCAAGAAGTAAGAAGGCTCCACCTCCACCTCCACCTCCACCCAGAAGAAGACGATAATGGCTATTACCTTCACTAAGATTCAATAAACATAAACGAAATTGCCAACCCAGTTTTAGATTTCTATATAATTAGGCCATGTCTGAGTCCTCCTTAAAGCTAAGAACATCATCAAATCTTAATCCATTGATCTCTGTTCTATTGTATGTGTCCAACTCCTTGTATGAGAAATGATCATCATCCTCGGGGTCGAAAATGTCATTTGATGCCACCAACACTAACCCTCTGGAGCGAATCAATGGGATGAGTTTTGGCACCAAATTAAGCAATTGAATAGATGTGATAATTCCAATCAAATTGTTATCAATCGTGAAATTAACAGCATCCTTGATCGATCGAATGGTTAGCTCCTGGTCATTGGCCAACAACTGATGCTTCAACTTGCTCTGAGCAGAGCGTGAGTTTGTTCTCTCCTGTATTAATGACTTGGCTGAATCTTCATTCTCCAAATCGTTCATGAGAAGGCCATTGGCGGTTCTCGCTTCGAAGCTCTTCTTGGAGTTATTGAATACAATTCCATTCATGATCAAGAAAACCGGAAAGTTAGGTTGCTTCCAGTTCAAGATCTTACAAACAATGGAGTTTGACGACAAGAAGATCAATGAGCGACTTCCATGGTGCTGTCCAACCTTCAGCGTTCTGATATGGTTGAAAACTTTATTCAAAGTCAGATCGATGAACGAGTTCAAGTTCAGTTGAATATTACCTGCAAAAGGAATGTTGTCCAACTCATAGAGAGAAGGGAACACAAGCTCGATACTGAGATTGATGTCAACATGCAAGATGTCCAAAAAGATATCTAAGGGAAGATAGATGATCTTTAAAAGTTTTTTGACATAGGAAATCTCTTGAACTGTCATTTTTGCTAAGTCAGACATGACCTTCTTGTAGTCAAACAATTTGGAAGTCATGGATTTGAGTTGGTCCAAAGACAAATTGGGCAAGAACAATTCGATGTTCTCAGCAACTGCAATGGCCCAGTGCGGGCACACTACTGGTGTGCCGTCATTAAGCAAACAGACCTTGATTCTCAAGTACTCACCAGACAATGAAGTAGCAGTCACAAATGAAGAAGTAGTACTCACAGCTTGTGTTGCATTTGGGTCTCCATTTTCTTGAGAACTAGCCGTGGGGTTGATTGTCGAGGTCAAATTCTGAGTTTGGTTAGTCTTGAAACTTGAGGGTGACAAGAAATTATTAGGGGATAATCCGCCAGCGGCATTAAACTTGACAGCAGGTTTGTTTTTGAAAAACCCAGTTGACGACTTCCAGTAAGTGTCGTACTTGGTGGTTTCCAACAAAGTTCCAGCAAAGGGAAAAATGACTTGATAGTTGAATTTCAACTCGCCTATGTTTCTCAATCTCATATCGAAAAGAGGCAACAGAATGGAGTTGATTTCAGGAGATGAAGTGTCAATCTGTGAGAAGTTCAAGGCAGTAGTTTTGGCTATCAACCGGGTACCAAACTTGGGGAAGATTTCAAAGTCGATGCGGAATTCATTGAGGGAATCAACCTCAGTTTGGAAGATGCAGTTGGTACTACCTTTATCTCCATCAGAAACAGGCAAAAGAATGTTTCTTGGAACAATATCGGATATGTTTGAGGTGATTGTGATTCTTCCTGGCTTCAAATCTGTGGCAGAATTGAATAAGTTGATGCATCTGGAATCATTGAGGAAGATCAATTCGATCAAAACTTTTTGTTCGAGGAAATTGTGGCCGTATCTTCTCAAAGGCAAAATTGGTGGAGGAAGCTGCAAATGTGGAATAGCATCGATGTTCTTTTCGACGTCTCCACTATCTTCCAGATCTTCAGCCTCGTCGAGAATGGACATTGCGGCCTCTTGGGAAACGTTCTTGTCAAAAGTGGTAGGTACGTCCGATTGAGACGGCGTCGTTATAAGTTTTTGATGATCAGACTGTCCATTCACGCCATGCTTATAGGCCAATAACTGATTCAAAACATTAATGTGGCCCTCAACGACACAGTAATACAAAACATTGTAGCCATCCTCATCCACGATGTCCAAATGAGCACCAAACTTGATCAATTCATTGGTGGTTCTCACATGGCCCTCCAGAGCAGCGTAGAAGATTGGTGGCCATTTATTGAAGCCATCCAACTGGTTGATTGCAGCACCAAACTGAATCAACAACTTAATTAGCTTGAAGTTACCAGAGCGTGCAATCACATGAAGTGGTAAAAGTCCCTCCACATCTTGTTTGTTAATGAGTTCAGGAGTGGAGCTGCTGGATTTCAATAAATACTCCAATGTCTTGTAGTCACTGAACTTGCATGCGTAATTGATAGGCAAGTATTGGAGCTTTGATTTATTGGATTTTGGAAAGCAGTTGCTGCCATTCAGAATGAGAATTTGAATCACTTCAAAGTGGTCATATTTGATGGCAAGTAACAATGGAGACATACTTTCGTTGTCTAAATCATCGATGTGAGATTCGGGGAAGTGTGGAAGTAGAAGCTCCAATAGATCCATTCTGTTATTTTGAGACGCAAAGTGTAAACAATTTCTGCCATTGAAATCTTTGCAAGTAAGCAAATTAGCAAGTGAGTCGGCGTTCAACGTCTTGATAATGTGATTGACAATAAACACTCTGGAATGGTTGATGCTGTCGGTCGAGTTGACAACCTTGACACCGTTATTAATGATTACATGGGAATCATCTTCCAAAGTGGATGCTAGTGGGATAGAACAACACTCGTGAATGATTGTTTTGCTGTTGTTGAAGTCATCAGAGATGAATTCAAAGTCGATGTCATAATTGATTAGTTCCAAGAGTGACTCAAGAAACGTGTCAGAGATCTTCAAGTTACCCACAGAAAGCTGGAAAATCTTTGACATTTTGTATGTAGCAGAAGCACCTGTCCCAAATTTGGACGACGACCTAACCTTCTCAATCCATCTGCTTAAAATGGACATATCAGGAACCTTAATGGTAGCCACATTTACAAAACTGGAGTAAAGCTCATCAATCTCGTTGTTCTGAAAACCCGTGATGGAGTTATGGCGAGCTCCTCCGTATGGCACGTTGTCGTCACTCAGACCGTTCTTTTCCTGTTTGATGGAATCTTCACCCAAGTTGGTAAGTGATGCACTGGCCGGAATTGGGACGGTGGAACCTGAAAAGGCACCCTTATAATTGATCAAAACTGTGTAATCGCCGTCCATTATGGACTCCAAGTCAAAAAGAGACAGAGTGACAAGATCACTCAACTCATTAATCTCATTCTTATGGAAAACAGGCTGTACACTCACAGCAGTCTGCAAAAACAATTCTTTTGTGTGAGACTTGGAACGTTTGTCCCATTTCTTGACCACTTTCAGGAATCCAGCCTCGTTGAGCTCAATGAATTGTTGCAATCGAAGCAAGTCCTGGTGGATCTTTTTGAAACTCTGGTATAAATTCAAAAACAAAATGGAGTTCTTGAAATTCAATGTGGATGCGTCCAGGGACGATTGTGCCAACTCGGCACTCTTAGACAAGAGTTCATCCTTCTTCATGAGAATCAAGTCCAAAGTTACTGCCAAATTGGCTTGTTTCTCCAAATAGAAGGAGTTTACCTTTTCCAACTCTCGTTCCACACGAAAGAAGAACAGTGCCTTATTTTCCTTCAACTTTTGTTGAATCAGGAGCTGGCTAGGACTCGATGGAGCGCCAAACTCGAGACCTCCAGCAGGCATACCCAACTGTTTGATGAGCTTCTTCAATGCCTTATAATCAATGAAATGGCCCGAGTACTCCGGAAGTTCGAGTTGGCGAGACGCCAAATATTTGCCAAACTTCATGGTGAACGCTTTTTGGACAGGGAAGCTAGGTTTTGAATACTGATGGTGGAGATGTGGCTGGTTATATATATACCTTTCACCACGTGGACTACGCAGTATTGACAGGTCTGAAAATTGGAAGATGAGTCGAGTATTCGGGGAACGAGGAGGGGAAACCAGAGAAAATTTTGGGGCTGGATTAAAGTATGAAAGTAGACTGAATGATGGGTCTATTTATATATATTTATTTTCTATGGTATGTGGGTGGAGTGTTCTTGTGTGGGCAGATTGTACACTTGATCTGGTCTGTACAGTGGGGTTGAATATGGAGGTTACGAGAATAGAATCAGCGGGTTTAGAAGTAAAGGTGATAAAATTTAATAGGGCAGATGGGCACTGTAAAGATGTTAGATTTAGGTCATATAGTAAATATAGTGGATATAGAGGTAGTTGAAGCAGCAAAAGTTGTTAATGAGTGATGAAAATGATTGTGTACATGGACTTGGACATGAAGACACGACGAAGTGAATACGTACATTAAAAAAGGTGATCAATATCCGAGACGTATAAAGAAGGTGGATAGTAGAGTTGGATAATGGAGGACAGAGGCTTCCCAATGTACTTGATCTACTTATTCCGCCCACATAGGCACGAACAATATCCAAAATGTTCCTGAGTATACAAGCTATCTACTTGCAGAAGTGAAACATAAAAATAAGGGAATATTGACCTTTGGGCATCTTCTTTATCCTTCAGGAAACCAATTGCTTGACTTAGATTGGTAATTCTCAATTGTCAGTCAATCATCATCCATACCTAAAGAAGAAGAGCGACACAACCATTGTACTCAACCATTGTACTCAACTATTGTACTCAACCATTGTAAATGAATTGAAATCTTCCACGATAACCCTTCTCTTCATGAACCTGATTGGAAACTTTCCTCAGTCTTGAATCCTTTGGAATATCATCATGAGCTAATCCGGGTTCAAACCATAAAATTCATTTCAATGTTCATTTCATTGGCCAATCCAATCAATTCCCCATCTGAATCAACCTCCACCCTCATCCATCACTTTCATATCCCTTCCTACTCCTCCCTCAAAACTTCATTTATTATTCTATACACCTCAGTTCTCCTTGGCCTTGTCAAAGAACTCCTTGAACTTGTCGGCATTTTCCTTGTTACCGAATCTAATGGCCAAGGTCTGTGCCTCAGGCTCACCCTCAGAAACATCAGCAGTCACAGTGTAAACCCACGATCTGTCCGATCCGATATTTGGCTTCAACACGTAGTCTGGCTGCACCAAGTGGTTGGCACAGATCTTCAAGGTTTTGTCTCTTCTCATCAAGATTCTGGTCTTACCTGTGGTCTTATGCTTCAAAAACTTGACATCTCCTGTGCCTCTCTCCTTCCACTCCTTGATGTCGGAGTGGAACTTGAACAACTTAGCTCTCACTTTAAAAACAACATCCTCGTTCTCCTCATTGGTCTTCACATCGACCTTCTCCAAATGCACCAATGGCTCGAAATGCACGTCGGTCTCTTCCTCGGCCTCGTTGTCTGAACCCTCCTTCTTGTCGGTCTTTTCTTCCTTCTTCTCCTCCTTTGCTGGCTCGTCCTCTTCCTTCTCCTCCTTCTTCTCCTTCTTGGCGCCGAACATCAGGAAAACACTGGCAGTTGGAGGCTTTGGAACCTCAGTTTCTTCGACCTTTGGCTTGGTATCTTCGGCTGACATGGTGTTGTTGATGTTGACGGGGAAAGGCCTATTTTTTTTCCTCTGTACTCAGATCTGGGGCGCACACGACTATATTACCATTTAATTCTATAACCTTCTACTCTGTAGTTTTACAATTTCACCTTGTCGAATATTCCGTGGTAAATTTTGCATTACATCTAAACTCGCAATACTGTTTACAATAGCTTTGACGCTCAGAGGTGGTCTGTTTGCTGAGCCTAGTCATCATCCATATCGGAGGGTTTGATCAATCCAGCAACTTGCAAATCCTTCTGTCTCTGTAATCTTGTCTGCTCTTGCTTCTCAAGCTCTTTGTCCTCGGCGAAAAGGTAGTCGGTAGGATCTCCTCCAAACTCTTTAATTTGCACAAGGAAATCTCTCAATGTTCCACTGAACTTGTTCAAGTCCTTGTACACAGTCGTCAATACATTCAAGAAGTTCACCAATTGGTCCTTCTGCAAATTCTCAAATGCCGATGACAACAAGTTGCCCAAGTACTGCTTCAAGTAGTCCGAGTTAGAAGTACCTTCTGGTGCTTGCTCGGAAGTATACAATGGCTCTTTGATCACCCCGTCCTGTACCAAATGAATCAACTGTGCAAGTAACTGTGCCTGGTATCTGAAGCCAGACTTGTGGTCGGGTTGTGTCAACACATAGAATGTATCCGACAAGATTTGGAAGTAGAAGTTCTCGTAGAATGCTTTGGTAAATGGAGTGATTCCAAGCTTTTCCACGTTCTCAATCAACTCAATGGTCAAGAATAATCCATTCTCTTCAACCTCTCTGTTATTATGCTTCAATGCCCACAATGCTGCATTGATTAATGACTGGAATGCTTCTCCGGAGAGCTGTAGCAATGCGTCGAACGATCTAGCGTTGATCTCCTTCAAAAGCTTGTAGTATTCCACTCTATGCTCAGGATACTCAACAAAGTCATTCTTGATCATGTCTAGAGTACACTCAAAAACACTCTGTAATATGAGTACGACTCCTCCAGAAATCATGGGGCCCACCTTCGACACGAGCGCAGTCATACAGTTTAAAACCTCTGCGTCTCTGGCATCTGGTACGTTGGTCTTGTAATCCTCCAAGACAGCAGCAAATAAGGGCTGTGCAAGGTCTCTAACAATCTCATCCAAGTTATCAGCTTGAATGATGTAGGTCTCAATCATTCTCAAAATCTCCTTCTTGATGGTTCTTAATCCTCTAACTTTTGGAGTTTTGGTTGCGATGATTCCCTCGTTGGCGACAGCATTAGAGATCATTCCACTGACGGCCTTGTATAACGACAACATGTCCACATACATCAAGCCGAGTTGGGAATAAAATCCAGGACCCATGGCTTTACAAACAGACACATTGGTCTTGATGATGTTAGCTATGATCTTAACCGTTTCGGTGTTGGTCAACAATTCGGGATCTTCAGCAGCCTTCTGGACAATAGCAGTCCATGCAACATTTGGTAATGCCATCAACTCGCTCAACAACTTGTCTCTAGCATCTTTTTGTGTTTGGGCGCTAACGATGATACCACAAGCTTCGTAGAAAGTGTGCACCTGTTGTGGCAGCAAATCCTCCGTAATAGATTGAATGTTGCGAATGATTTCATTGATGAATGGCTCTCTCTCTGTTGCTTGGGTAACCACAAAATGCCTCTTACATTTGTTTGTAATCTTGATGAAAGTGTCACAGGCCATGTCTTGCACACCCTCGTGGGTCTCGTGCATAAACTCAAACAACTTGTTAACCACGGTTTTCAAGAACTTCCAATGAGCCTTTAAAAATCTTGGATATTGACCAACAATGTACATGATGTTGGAGGCAACGACAGCTTTATTGTCCTTACCTCTCTTAAGTTCAGTCAATGATAACAAGTCCTTGATAACAGAAACAAGAAATCTCTTTTCCATCTCTTCGTTCATGGTACCGGAAATCGAACCAATAGCCCAACACAAAGTGTTGATGTTGTGCCAAGACCACTCACTCTCGTCAATCTGTCTGGCCAATTTTTCGTTCATGATCAGCTGAGTGTCCACGACATCCAAGTGAGTTAAGTAAACTAAAACTTCTCTCATGGACTTGTATAACTGAATAGTGTCACTTTCTTTAACAAATTCTCTAACAATTTCACCTTCGTCATTTTCCACAATCAACACTTCCTCTGGTCTGACCATGTTCTCAATGATGACCAATCTCAACTTAGACAAAACCTCTGCATACTTGTGTTGTCTCAATGGATATTTGGCCAAGATAGTTGGATCTGGGGCACCGTTGGAGGAAGGTCTCAATTGAGAACCATAAGAAAGTTGCATCAAAGGACTCATCTCGGTGGCTGGCAAGTTCTGGATCTCCTCGAACAATCCGTGCACGAAGGTGGTCCAGTAGTCTAAGCAGGTCTTGAACAATTCTCTTTCCTGGATACTGGAGACTTCTATCAAGTAATTCAAGGCAACAATGAGTAAATCCTTCAAGTTGTCATTGCGTTCCAACGCCAACAAGTGGTTATTCAAGAAGGTGCACAAGAACATGGCCAAATCCTGCAAGAAGGATTGGTCGTTGGAGTTGGCAACCTGGTAGGAAACCTTGAGTGGAGTCTTGCCCAAAGGAACAATGTTCACCAATTTTTGCATGGATTGCTGGAAAAACAAGATGAACTTGTCCTCGTTGGCAGGAGAAATCAAACTTGAGACTTCAGTCAAGCACTTCAAGGTGACGGATCTAGTGTCGGCAGGAGCCAAGAACTTCTCGGTCAAAAGAGACAAGAGGTCTGTTTGGAAGATGTAGTTCAAAGGGATCCAATGGATATACTTCAAGAGGGCGTTCAAGGTTGCGATAATCAAGGAGGGCTTGGTGGCCTTATCCAAGACCTCGTAGCACAATTTAAAAATCTCCTCGAATTCTGCTCTCAAGCTCATCTTCAAGGAGTTTGCCTTTGCCTGGGTCATTTCACCCTGGGAAAAGTCAAACACTTCTTCACTCATCAACTTCAAAATGATCATGTTGTTTTCGCAAACGTTGAACGAAGATCTGGAGCTCTTGACAATCTCCGGAATGAACTGAGGCCAGTTATGAGGCCATTCTTGCTTCAAGACCGAAACCAATGTCAAGTCGATCTTGTTAATCAAAGCACGTTCCTTCTCGAAAACTTGCTCATCATCACACAAGGCGATAATCATATTGACAATGAAATTCCGGATACCAATGCGTTCGCCTTCGGGGATGGTCTTCCATCTGTACTTGATCAAAGAGTTCAAGCAGGATAAGGCAATGTACTTGGACTGGGGGTTTCTAGATGAGGACAAGATGACGTCTGCACGCTTCCAGGACTCTGGATTTTCTTGAAACTGTGTCAAGATCACCAGCGCCCGCAGCTGGTCAGGTCCACTCTTGTAAAACGTTTCAACAACCCGATCGAACAAGTCGAGATCGAGGTCACTGGAGAAATCGAGAATTGCATCCATGGTGAGCAGCAGCCTACACGAAAACGGTAGGGCGATAAATCAGATGGAGAGGAAATTCAAACTGGAGGTAACGTTAGTATGAGTTGAGGAAAGCAGCCATGGGGAAAAAACTACTGAATCTGGGGAGGAAAAAAACAGCCATAAATCACAACAAAATTTGAGAAAAGAAGATCGGAATCCTCTTTTAGCCGATAATTCCGTGATGAATTGATAAAAGCCGTCATTTTTCTTGCTTTAATCCATCAAAAAATCATGTTCGGATACATAGTGGCCAACAAACAAGATGGGGTCGGTATTGGGAAGAAAAGGTTGGGATTGGAAAGGGAAATCGCCAGTCAAGTGTAGCGCATGGCAAAGTTTTATTGGCTGGAAAAAAAATAATGTTGGTGACATACCTTGAGCAGCAGGTGCTTGCTGAAATGGATTGGTTGTGGCAGGTTTTGGTACAAGCAGCGATAGGTCTTGATTAGTGTACGTGAGAGGTCGTGTATTTACCAGGGAAGAGGACCAGGAGAGTTTTGAACGGTTTCGAATTTCTCCGGTTGTGTGCCGGACAAGTCGGAGAGGTTGCTAGATATGCACCCGTACACCATGCAACAAGTGATCTGGCATTAGAATACGAGGAACGGTGGGGTTGAATTTCTGATAGAGGGTTATTCTCCATTGATATCATTTGTATTCGACTCAACAGCATATAAATGAATTTATGGAGACACCAATCTGTCTTTGTTTTTCTATTTCAATTTACCTAATTGTGGGAGATCTTTTGATCCTAACTTCAGTTCCTCTTGACTTCTCTCCCCTACTTTTCTCCTCTACACTAAACTCACATATCATGATTCCATTTTCTACTTCTTCACAAAGCTGACACCCTTGGAAATGTTACCAGACAACTGTTCAATGGCAACCTCCAACAACTTTTTCTCGTCATCGTTGATCTTGTTCAAAATGTCGTAGTGAACCTCAGCAATACCGTCCTTGCTCAAAGTGACTGGCAAAGAGAAGAAATCAAGGTCCTTCACCAACTTCTTGGCCTCGGAGGCACCCTTGATTGACGAGTCCAAGTTCAAGAAAGTGCACTCAGTCACGGATTCGCCCAGCGAAGCTTTCAACAACGACTCGGCCAAACGGTAACCAGCGTAGGCCATGGACAAAGTGGCAGAACCTGCACCGTTCTTGGCTTGGACAACCTCGTCACCACCAAACTGCACTCTGTGCACCAACTCCTTCTTCTGCTCAGCAGACAACTTGTCGTAGTAGGACTTAGCACCCACGGAGTACAATGGCACAATGGTCTCACCAGAGTGGCCACCAACAACAGGAACTTCAAAGTCGGTTGGCTTGGTCTCGGAGGCGAAAAGCTGCGAGATGAAGGTGTTGGCACGCACAATGTCCAAGGTAGTGACACCGAACAACTTGGCTGGGTTGTACACGTTGTTCTTCTTCAAGGTTTCGGCCACAATTGGCACGGTAGAGTTGACAGGGTTAGAGATGATCAACACAAGAGCCTCAGGAGCATTGTCGGCGATACCCTGCGCCAAACTTTGCACGATGGAAGCATTGATGTTAAACAAGTCATCTCTGGTCATACCTGGCTTTCTTGGAACACCAGCTGGGATCACCACAATGTCAGAGCCCTTAAGCGACTCAGCCAATGCAGTGGTGTCCTCTCTTGAGGAAGGCAAGAACGACTTGGTCGTAGCACCAGAGTTAATGTGAGACAAGTCAGCGCCCACACCTGGGACATTGACAACGTCGAAAAGAGACAATTCTGTCACTTGGGGATTGAGCTTTAACAAGAGCGACAATGGCTGACCGATTCCTCCGGCAGCACCGCAAACAGTAACCTTGACCATGGTGTGAGTTTTTTTATGTGGTTATATATATGAATGCAAAAGATTCTCGCAGTCAATGAGGTGAAAAAAGGGAAAAATGGGGCAAACCGATGGGCCTTTATATATGGGAGAGGAAAGTATGGGGAAAATGGTGCACCCGTCCTGCACCGGGCCAGTTTTGCATGTGTTCCATACTAATAGGTAGCTCCGGGTTCCCGGGCCCCGAGGGTTTCTGGGGAACAGTTCCGACTTCTCCGGGGTGCGGGTTGGTGGATCAAGTCGAGATTGGTTCGACTAATAGAGCAACTTTGGTAAGCATTGATTGTTGACGTGCTTTCATGGTCTCTATTATAGGGGGTGAGGGGAGGCCGGACTTACAGAAAGTCCGAGCCAATGTTGGGTGTGGAGCCTGCACTTGATCCCGGACTATGGTTCCCTGGCCTGTGCAGGATATATAATCAATTGGCTTGACAGATGGAAGAATGATTGGAGGATCGAAAATCCGAAAATTGGATGGGAAAGAGGAAGAGAGGAAACCGTTGAGAATCTTGGATAGAATGTATTCATGAATAGGTAGGACGGAGAAAAGAAGTAGGATTGTTTGGACAGGTTCATGGAATTATGAATTGTTAGTTTTCATGTAAGTTAATGTATGTATTGCGTAGTTTAATTAGTAGAGATCGTATTGGATAAGGTCGATTGGCCTGTTGCCCCACCGTGAAGTATGGAGACTCCACACCTTTCTTGAGTTTTTTTTTTTTATCTTGTTTCTCATTTGAGTTTGTAACATGCCATGAATTGAATTTTAAAGTGATTTTCTATATATTGGTTCAATGTACTTCTGAACATGGTGAGGAAGACTATGCAATTGAGTAAATGTTGAAATTACATTGATTATACATGGTTGATACGAGGAATGCGTTTATATCGAACCTCGAACACTATACTTCTCTGTTTGGAAGCGCAAGTGGTAGCTGTTTCTATAATAAAGCATTAGGGTTTGCAACAGGTGTTTCTTGGTGTATTGATTATCTCTAATGTCTTCTTTGATTCCAGAAAAGAGAATGTTCTTACATCCTTAAAAACGCAGTTTAGCATCTCATTGATCCTCAGCTCCAGGATAATCATTGGTTCTGGGATACTTTCACCTCATCCAGTGTCTTTGGAACGTTGAATTGACATAGATTGTTTGTATATCAAGTAGATCTTCAAAATCTAAAACACAAATTGAAGGAGCTGTTTCGGATATGGATGAAACTTGCTCTACCGGTCCCTCTTCCTGGGATCGATGTAAAACTTGCCTTGAATTCTCGGTGTACTTTGTTGGTTCTCGAGAACATATGAGATGATCATCGCTTCACCTAAGATATGGATTCAGGATGATTATATCGACTACTAGGTTCAGTTACATTGTTTAGTCCACATTTACTGATATAGAAGAATGAGAACAAGTGGTTGCAAAAGATTGACTTTCATCGAAACTTGTTGATACTTGCGAGGGCTCAGGTGGCAGAGTTCTATGAATTCTCACGAGGAATATGAGTCAAAGTATCAGACTACCCTTGGATAGAGGTCAGGAATCTCAAAAGTACCATATCTATCAAGATCAGATATAATGTGTGCAATTCATGATGGTTGAAGTGATCTTCTTACTTCGAGTTTCCATGTCAGGAGATCCCGCGAAATATAGAAAATTTAGAATTCTAAGCTTCCTCTAAATTCTTAAAAGTCTTCACTAATCTTTGAAATTCAGAGAACAAAAGAAACTATAAGTTTCAGGCAGATATTGTAGCCCAATTAACCTCGTCTGGTGGACCAATCGAATATACAGTATCAGGCAACCAGAAAGGACGTAATAGACAAACACGACACGGTACCATGTAAAGGATTTAAAGCTATTTTTGGAACGGAAGCCTGTTCTCAAGCGCCTGAAAGTCTTCCCTACCTTTGAACGTACAGAATTCCATTCTGAACGATCTTCAAATCCGAGACCTCATTGTTGGCCATTCAACTTGACCACTGCCAACTTACACTAACTTGACTAGCCAATAAATTCTCTCTGCCAATGAATGCTCTGCCAATAAATGACCTGCCATGTACTTCACCTGTCAACAACACAAAGCAATTATTCCGAAAATTAATAGGTAATAAACCCCCCAACAACAAAACATACTATATTACTTTGTATCTCCATATCCACCAGAGTCTTCAAAATGGTCTTTACTTAATACTACAGCGACCAGTCATACCCCAAACCAGACTTACCGGACTTACCCAAAACTACCCAGAACTACAACCACACCAGAAAGCCAAGACCTGATAACTACAATCAACGGTATCTGCCAACACCTCAACGTTTCATGTCACTCTCTCCACTTTCTCCACAGCTATTGTTGCAAAACATCTCGCAAAAAAAAATTGCGAAATCCCGACTTTGTTCGTATGTATGCACAAAACCTGCCTCCACCTTCTTGATGGAGGATTGTTCGGGGATCTATACCACGCCCAGCATTCTCACTGGACGAGAATTCGCTGACCATCCCCAAATAGGCTGGCGTGGGGCATTTTCTGCCTTGAGAAGAATCTGACCTGGACATAGGCTTAATAACAATCACCTCGTCACTCGCCCATCAAACCTCTCTTAACCTGATGAACACTTCTATTGTTTCTTTTTCTTTCTTCTGTTTTTTCTGTTGGATATTTTTCTTTTCTTGAGTAAAAACTCTTTTATACATGGAGGATGTTATTTTCACATTGGCTTCATGCACCTTGACCTCATCACCTAAGTATCCACATGACATCAGGACACCTTTAATTCCGGAACACCTATCAGCTACCATGTGTGAGAACACCTCTACACCTTCGATGGTCGGCAGAGGATCTTCAACACAAGGACCTGCCAGTGAACGCCTCGAAAAAATAATGGAAACGCCCCTAAATGACATTAAAGTCGGCCATATAGACGCTAAAAATACCGGCCATAGATTTACTTTTTATTTTTTTTTGTTTTCCCGTGTTTTAACACCCTGGCACTCTATTGTTAATGGAACTTCCGGATAAGAAGGGTGCAGTCACTCGACAATCGTTTCTAACCTGGGGTATAAATCTCCTACTCCATCGCTGTTATCATCTCGCCTAAATCCTTTTTTTTCTCCCCCAAATTTACCCCCCGATTTTCCTCCATTTTCTTCTCGATTTTTCCCCCTAAATTTCCAATCTAGCTTCTCATGGATAACCCTTTCCACAAGCGCACCCAAAGCGAAGATATCGACCCGTTTGATATCCCCGACAACTACTACGGTATCAAAACTGATCCTGGCAAAGCCGCTAAAGGGTCTAAGTTTGGGCGTGTGCGTACGTTTTCTGTATTTGAATCTAACAAAAATCGCTCCAGGGACTTTTTTGGCGACAGTTCCAGTGCATCCGCTGCACAGTCGGGTGACTCTGCTTCGGAGTCTCCCAGTCCATCCCCAGATGATGATTTTCCAACAAACGGTGTTTCTGATACCGCCCGTGCCGCTGCTGCAGCTACCGCAGGCATTGCCGGCGTATCTGTTGGCAATTCTGTTGCTTCCCATTCGGCTGCCAATGGTCATAGCGCTCATTTAGGTGCTCCAGACGTCAATGAGTTGAGAAGGGGCTCCATTGTGCCAATGTACAATGAGCACGAGTCCGCCACCGTCGATCCTCCCAAGCAGATGCAGCCGCCTCGTCGTAGAATGTCTATGGATGACTCATTCATGCGTCCCAAACGGTTTTACATCAACGACATTGATCTGACTCTTGAAGAGCTCTTGCAGAATGAAGATACTGACCACAACTTCCAGATTACTATTGAGGACTCGGGCCCTAAGGTTTTGAGACTCGGAACCGCCAACTCTAATGGCTTCAAGCAATCGGCCATCAGAGGCACTTACATGTTATCCAACCTTTTGCAGGAGTTGACCATTGCTAGACGGTATGGCAGAAAGCAATTGATTTTGGATGAGAGCAGGTTGTGTGAGAATCCGGTGGCCAGATTGAAGAGATTGATCACCACGCAGTTTTGGAAGGCTCTCACCAGAAAGCTCACCAAGGACAATATCGTCGAAATGGCTCGTGACACCAAGATCGTTGAGGAGATTGTTGATGAAAACGGTGTTCTCATCAAGTCCAAAGAGAGTGTCAGGTTGTACGTTCCATACGATAGGGAGGACCAGTATGAGTACTTTAGTTCCATCAAGAAAGAGAATCCTAATGTTAAGTTGGATGTCCAGTACTTGCCTAAAGTGATTGATGCAGAATTCATCAAGTCCATCAATAAGAAACCTGGACTTTTGGCCCTTGAGTCCAAACCAGACCCTAACAACAAAGGAAATCTTTTGAATGAACCTTATGTTGTCCCCGGAGGACGTTTCAATGAGCTCTACGGCTGGGACTCCTACATGATGGTTCTTGGACTCTTAGTGACTGTCACTCCTGATGACCAGACTAACTTGCAGTTGTCTAGAGGTATGACTGAGAACTTCATCTATCAGATCCATCACTACCACAAGATCTTGAACGCTAACCGGTCTTACTATTTGGGACGCTCGCAGCCACCTTTTCTCACTGACATGGCCATTCGTGTGTATGACAAGACAATTGAAGTCTGTCCTGAGGAGAAGAGCAAGGCCGATGCTCTCGACTTTTTGAAGAGAGCCACCCTCGCTGCCATCAAGGAATATAAGAACGTGTGGTGTTGCAAGCCTCGCTTGGACGAGGCCACAGGCTTGTCATGCTATCATCCAGATGGAAGCGGTATTCCTCCAGAAACCGAGGCTTCCCATTTCGATGCCATCTTGGCTCCATACTTGGAGAAGTACAACATCACCCAGGAAGAGTTTATCACCAAGTACAACGGTAAGGAGATTTCCGAACCTGTCCTTGATGAATACTTCTTGCATGACCGTGCCGTTCGTGAGTCGGGACATGATACTTCTTACCGTTTGGAGGGTAAGGCTGCGTACTTGGCCACTGTCGATTTGAATGCATTGCTTTACAAGTACGAGTCGGACATTGCCATGCTCATCGAGAAGTATTTCGGTGGATCTTTGGAATTCGATGGAAAGCCGGAGATTCCACTGGAGTGGACCAAGAAGGCAGAGCAGCGTCGTGCCAACATCTCCAAGTACTTGTGGAACGAGGAGGACTCGATCTTTTACGATTACAACGTGAAGACAAAGGAGCAGAACAAGTATGAGTCTGCTACCTGTTTCTGGCCCTTGTGGTCAGAGGCTGCTAGTACCGAACAAGCAGATGCGTTGGTAAAGAACTCGCTCCACAAATTTGAAGAATGGGGTGGTCTTGTCTCTGGTACCCTCGAGTCTCGTGGAGAGATCAACATCAGCCGTCCATCCAGACAGTGGGACTATCCTTATGGCTGGGCACCTCAGCAGATGTTGGCATGGATCGGATTGACCAATTATCACTATGGTGGAGCTGCCCGTCGTTTGGCATACAGATGGCTCCACATGATGATCCGTGCATTTGTAGACTACAACGGAGTGGTTGTAGAGAAGTACAATGTCCTTAAGGGTGCTGTTCCGCACAAAGTGGATGCTGAGTATGGAAATCAAGGTGCTGATTTCAAAGGTGTTGCTACGGAAGGTTTCGGCTGGGTCAATGCTTCATACATGTTCGGTTTGACGTTTTTGAACTTACATGCGCAAAGAAGTATTGGAGCCTTGGTTCCTCCGGGAGTATTTTTAAGGAACTTGAGTGCCAGCCAGAGAGTGTTGTATGAATAGAGTGTTACGAATTAATGAAAGATAATAGATTGTTTGAGAATATACGTTTTGCAGATATACTGAGAAGTAAATTGGTCGCAAGTCGTAGATTAAGATATAATGATGAAGGAAGTCATCATTTGAGATATATCCGATCACAAAGCAGAGGTTCATAGAGTTTAAACAGTAAATCAAGATTTAGTTCACGACTACAATCTCTGTCTTTTCTTGTGTGAATGGCAGGTTGCTGCGAAAAACGGTAATGCATAACTTCCCATAAAAAATTCTATTGCATCATCCAGAATCTCATATTGAAGCCAATAATAATATAAACGTGAGTGGCTAGTCTTTTTACACGATGAATCCTGGTCACCCATTTTTTTTTTTTTTGAAAATCGACAAATTTGTCACTATAACATTGATACCTAGGTATACACCCGTACACCATCAACCAAGCAGGTGGAAAAAGCTCTGCCCACTAGTAACTGGCAAAATACTATCACCAGCAAAATCACACAATGAGCCTGCTCGTCAGAAGAATAACTCCGAGACGCATATATGGGCTTTCAGGCTTAAGCCGGCAATTTTCGTCGGCACAGTACTTGTATAATGAGGCTGCTAGTAGCACATTCAAAACGGCAGTGGAAGCAGCAGAGAAAATGGTTCAACCAGCGAATTCCAAGGTTTTCAGCGATCCATTTTCTATTGTCAGCCACGAAATGTCGGGCTTGGCCAAGCTGATTGCGAGCTTAATTGGTTCAGGTCACCCCACCCTTAATCGTGTGTCTAGCTACTACTTTGAGGCTGAAGGTAAGAATGTCAGACCATTGATTGTGTTGTTATTGCTGAAGGCGTTACTGAAAATCCCCATTGAGGAGAGAAACAGACTAAAGATCGACAACTGCGACGTCACAGACCAACCTGTTTACCCAGGCACGCCACGAGGCACGGTTGTAGCAGGCAATTCAGTGAACAAGTCGATTTCTCCATTGGCGATTTTGCATGGTATCAACCCCAAGGTGATATTGGATCCGCTATCCAGACCAATGGATGACTTGCCCCAATTTGACGCTATGAACGGCATTCTCCCCAAACAGAGGCGGTTGGCAGAGATTGTGGAAATGATCCATACGGCATCTTTGCTTCATGATGATGTCATTGATCTTTCCGACGCAAGAAGGGGTAGACCCAGTGGAAACATCGCATTCACAAACAAAATGGCAGTTTTGGCCGGCGACTTTCTCTTGGGCCGTGCATCCGTTGCCATTGCCAGATTGAGAAACCCCGAAGTAATCGAGTTGCTTTCCACCACCATCGCTAACTTGGTGGAAGGAGAATTCATGCAATTGAAAAACACGGTGATTTCTCAGGACGAAACTACCATCAACAACGACGGCGATGAAAAGAGCATCCCCGTACCCACAGGCAAGGTTCCAGTGGAGCAGCACGAGTATAGCGTGTCCAAGCCAGCCAAGGTGGACCATGATACCAACGTGGACGCTGCATTTGAATACTACTTGCATAAAACGTACTTGAAGACGGCATCGTTGATGTCAAAGCTGTCCAGAGCCGCTGCGGTGTTGAGTGGAGCCCAGGATCACATCATCGAGAACTGTTACGAGTATGGCCGCAACTTGGGCTTGTGCTTCCAGGTTGTGGACGACATGTTGGACTACACGTCCAGCGATGCTGCCATTGGTAAGCCCAGCCAGGCTGACTTGAAGTTGGGGTTGGCCACAGCTCCCATTTTGTTTGCTTGGAGAGAAGAGCCTCAGTTGGGTGAGCTCATAGGTAGAAAGTTCAGTGAGCCTGGGGATGTGGAGGTAGCCAGAAGGGCAGTTAACAAGTACAATGGAGTGGAGAAGACACGCGCTATGGCGCAAGACTACTGTTCTGCTGCGCTCAAGAACCTCCGGCAATTACCTGAGTCTGATGCCCGGTCTGCGTTGGAATTCTTGACCCACTCGGTGTTGACCAGAACAAAGTAGTACGATTAGATGATGAGACGATAATAGAGGTCTTGTAAATATATGTTATTATGATGAGGAGTAGGAAGTGACTCAGATGTAATTACTTACATTGCATCATCACAAGTCTACAGTGAAGTTAGAATAATTTACTGGAGAGGATGGTGCAGAAAAAATTGCCTGTTGGCTGGTAATTATAGGAAACCACATTCTAAATATGTACATATTATTCTGACCAACGGGTATAACCGCTTGACAATGATTCTGGGAATTTCTGTATCTTCAACTTCACTAAAGGCTTAACTATGTAACTTAATTGGGAGAGCTTAACTATGCGAGTGCATGAAGCCAAGGTTACCCGCACACATCCATTCCATATAAATACTACCTCATCCGCTCTCTTGCACAGTATCGCCAGAAGATCAATTTCTTAATCGTACATGGTTCTTGCCTTTTACCAGAACCATCCGGGAATTGTCTTTGCTAATGGTGTTTTGTCACTTTTTGGAATATCTCTATGCGCTAAATCATTTATGATTAGCGTATATTTCTGGTTGCTGTCTTGAGGTCAGGACAGCCATGAGAAAGCGAGGGTTCGAATCGACAAAACGTCTCTAGTATAAAAGTAGCATAACTGTGATGTTTCCATTCTTCATTTACCACTTTATCGTCACGATTATATGTGAAGATTACAAGCAAAGTTGAATAAGGAGGACAACCTTCAATCTTTCTACTCAATTTCTCATCTCATGCCTAGCACTCTGTTACTATCTTGACTATGTACATTATTGCTTCAAGCTAAGCAACGACTGGCCGTACAACTTCTTCGCATCGGCAATCTTCACGAAACATCCCTTGGGTCCTGGCACTTGGCCCTTGACCACTAGAATTCCAGCTTCTCCGTCAGCATGCAAAATTTCGTTGTTGAATGTAGTACAGTTTCTACCTCCCATACGTCCTGCCATCTTCTTGCCTGGCAACACTCTACCGGGGTCCTGGGTGGCTCCCATGGAACCAGCAGATCTGTGGGCCAACGAAACACCGTGAGTAGCTCTCAAACCCTTGAATCCGTGTCTCTTCATCACACCGGCAAATCCTTTACCTTTAGATACAGCCTTGACATCTACCAACTGTCCAATAGCGAAATAGTCTGCTGTAAGCTCTACACCAGGCTGAATAAGCCCTTCATTGGTTCTGACTCTGAATTCTCCAAAGTTGGCCTTGGGCGTCACGCCAGCTTCCTCACAGATCTGGCGGGTGAATTTGCTAACGTTCTTCAATTTGTCCACGTGGCCCAACTTCACTGATGAGTAGCCGTCCTTTTCGACGGAGGTGTTACTAACGACTTCACATGAGTCGATTTCAAGAACCGTGGCTCCATACAGCTCGCCGCTCTCAGTAAACCAGGTGATCATGCCTCTCTTAATTCCAAGTAAGCCAGGTCTCTCCAAGAGCGACTTTCTCTCGTTGGACAGTGCCAAGCAGTGGTTGATTTTGGGCTGTGGAGTGATGGTCAGAGGAATCGAGTGAACAGATACAATTCTGGCCGCTCCACGCGATAATATGAGTGGTCTAATGCCTGGCGTGGCTCTAGCAGGAAGCAGAGTCCAGAATCCGGCAACCATGTTGTGAAATATGTGGTTGTTGGCAGGTAAGTATTATCCAACTTAGAGGTCAAATTTTTCGTGGTGAAGTTCTGGTGTGCACACGACCAATCTCTATAGTTAACAATATGAAGATAGTACAATAGAGAAAGGCTCTTAAAATGCTCGATAAAAAGATGTTTTGTGCTATATACATGGTGGCCGGACCCGGACTACTTGATTTTCTTCTGCTTCAACTTGATGGTCTCATCGCCAACGAAAATACCCTTACCCTTGTAAGGTTCTGGTTTTCTGTACTCTCTGATTCTGGCAGCGAAAAGTGTCACTTGCTGCTTGTCTACACCTTCAATTAAGAGTCTGGTTGGGTTGGGCGACGTCACGGTCACGCCCTCGGGGACCTTCAACCGTGGAGTATATGGATAGCCAACCTTCAATGCAACATAGGAATCTTCACCATCTTTTTCAATGGAAGCTCTGTAACCGGTACCGACAAATTTAACAACCGCCAAGTGTCCCTCGGATGTACCAATGACGTGGTTCTGGATCAAAGCTCTCGATGTTCCCCACAACGATCTCTGGATCTTATCTTCTGGATTAGCAACGCTCACGGTGACCTGGTCGTGGTCCTTGGCAATAGATACGAACTCCGGAACAGCCAATTTCATCACACCTTTGGGACCTTTAACCACGATCTGTTTATTCAAAGTGATGGTGTCTTTACCTTTGGTGAAGGACTTACAGAATTCAAAGGGAATCTCCTCGGTAAAGCATTCCACGCCCTCAGATAACCGCACAGGAGCTTTCCCTATGAAGGAGAACCTTGGGAGTGCCGAAGAAAAGTGTCTTGCACCTCTCAAGGGGACTCTGGCGAACATGGTTTGGTTTTGGAGAAATTGTAGTCGAAAATTTTGTAGTGAGAGTGTAGACACCCGTACACCGGGAGTAAAGTATGGGATAGTTGTTTGAAATTAATGTATTAAGGAAATGGGAGTATTCGATAGGTATTGATGATTTAACAAATTGGGATGATCTATTACGGCAGGAATTGGTATTTACGCCTATTGAGTTGGAATGCTGGTGGAAGAATGAAACGTAATTTTGGGAAGTTTGAGATCGAATATGAGAGTATAGTTGGGGAAAAATGAGAGGTGGATGAATAAATGTCCATTAAAAAAGTAATAATCGTAATAATAGTCAGTGGACCCCAAATATCTTTTCCCCAACAATGTCTTTATGACAGCCAATTTTAAATTTTATCTTACCTTCTTTTATTCATTTCAGTATTTATCTTTCCACATTATCAACCACTATACAGTGCGCAAAAAAATACTCATCTCTCATCTCCAAGACCTTTTGTCTCATCTATATCCCATCTCGTCTCAGTAACACACCATGGTTAGACAACTCAAACATCATGAGCAGAAATTGCTCAAAAAAGTTGATTTCCTTAATTGGAAACAAGACCAGGGCCACAGAGATACCCTGGTCATGGCTACCTATCAAATTCAGAACAGAGAGGATTACCACAAGTATAACAAAATCTGCGGAGAAATCAGGAAAATAGCCCACAAGTTATCGTTGCTACAACCCACCGATCCATACCGTATTAAGCATGAGCAGCTTTTGCTTGAAAAACTTTACAATATGGGCATCTTAGCCACCAAATCCAAAATCTCCGACTTGGAGAATAAGGTGTCAGTTAGTGCATTCTGTAGAAGAAGAATCGGAGTGGTGATGTGCCGGTTAAAAATGGCCCAGAAAGTCAAGGATGCAAACACGTTTGTTGAACAGGGCCACGTGAGAGTTGGGCCTAATGTCATCACTGACCCGGCATATTTGATTACCAGGAACTTGGAGGACTACTTGACGTGGGTCGACAGCTCCAAGATTAAGCACAATGTTCTTAAGTACAAGAACAAGATCGACGACTACGATTTGGCTTAGGGATAATAAACGAAGAATTGCATCTATTTAGAAATGAACGTAGCAAAAGAAAAAAAAGTTATTGGTTGGCATCGTCAATCAATGTCTATCTCGGTCAACTAGAAATTCGTGTTCATCATTCTTCTGACAGCACTTTTCCGGTTCCCTGGAATAAGGTCATCATTGGAATGTGCAAGTTCATCGCTGTTTTGGTAATAAGGTGCTTGTGAAGGCACTCCACTAGGCAATGATCCTGCTGGCTTGAATTTCCTCAGTGGAGTAATCTCCGAAACTGGGTTCAACATGACAACAGAGGTTCTGGCCAATTGCGAGGGTGAGGGCTTGGCGGAACTTCCGCTTCCCTTGCGCAACGTTGGAGGCAACTCTCCCATCACTGGGGATGTTGGCGATGCAAATGAACCCTGCGAGGACATGTATGGTGAACTATTAGACTCGTTAGTGGGCTCGAAATAGCCATGCTGGTTCTTCAATGAAGGTGACGTGATCTTCGCACGTGGTTGGTAATCCGTAAATGTTTCAATGGTGGAGTGTCTGAAGTCAGAAGGATGAGGCAAAGACTTGAGTGGAGGCAAGTCCTGTGGGGGTAAAGTCAGATCAGGCGACTGCTGCGACAGGTAACTATTCTGTTGAGCATAGTACTGCTGTTGTGCCGCAAAATCGTTGGGAGGAGGAGCATTGAACTGTTGGTGTGGATGAATGACAATACGAGTTCCGTTCTCTCCATAGAGGGGATTTTCCTCGTAGATGGATGAGGTGGTGGTTTTACGCTTATCGTAGTTGGTGTCACCTCTCAACTGGTCGTTGATCTTCAATCTGTCAACATCAAGAGCCGGTAATGGAGCCGAAGGATCGGCCTGAAATGTCCTGCTCGTAGCTTCTCCATGTTCGGACTTCATTGAGTTGGCACGGTCGAAGTAGACCTTGTAAACAGACTTCATTCTTGCTAATTCTTCTTCTTGATCTGCAGTCATCTGCGTGTTCTCCAAAGGTATCTCTCCCTCATCTTCATCGTCACTGACATTCTTCAACATGTTGAAAGCAGACATACGTGGAGATTTCTTGATGCTCTTACCTTTAGATCCACCAGACCTGTCAGGACTTTCTACCTTGTCGTTCTCAAAGCTATCATTAGAGAAATCGAAATCACCATCGGTGCGTTCCACTGGGGGATGCACGCGGGCTGGCAGTTGGAGGTCCTCGCCAGTGGTGTCGAACTGAGACTCAAACTCCTGGTCTTCGAATGGAGATTGGACGTTGAACGTTGGCACCGACTGCTGAGTCTCATCTTGGGTGTCATTCGCACGCTTGAGAGCAGACTTTGAGGTGGCATGCCTAGGGTAAACGTCGTCAGAAACATCGGTGTCTACGGACTCCACACCATCGGAATCAGGTCCGTCAGAATGGACGTGAGCCAGTTTGGCCTTTTGGTTCAAAGAAGTGTTAATGGCAGGTGTCAGCTCATTCTCATACTCGACATCGAACTGGTTGCCCAAAGTCTTTGAGGTCTCGCCGCTGGTGCCGTCGCTCAGGTCGAAATGTTCCTTAGTATTGTAGAATAACAGTGAGTTCGAGTTGTTGTCCAACTTGGTGTAATCACCCGATTGGAGCTTTCCAACCGGAGCTGCCAGTGCAGAGTCTACCTGGCGCAATGTACTCTTTTGCGGAGACACTCGTGTGCTTTCGGGCTGCGTTCCCAAAGTACGCGAATACATGGAGTTCGTTCTGTGGTGTGGGCCTGTCTGGTCAATGATCTGCTTAGCATACTCGTCCAAAGATGCCTTTGACCCCGTTTGATGTTGATACGGTAAGAAAAAGCCGTCCACGTAAGGATCGTTGTTCCCACGGGTCAGCAATGAGCCCAAATCGTTAGCAGACTTGCTGTTGGGCATATTCATCATTGGGTAGCCGCCGTTCTGGCCAAACATGTTGACAGAATTACGATTGGCAAATGGATCTTCCTTGGTGAACGCAGGGAAGTCTGGGAGCGCGGTGGAATCGCCGTTCTCGTCAAAGTCTGGGTCGTGCTCCATGGACTCCTTCTTGTCTTTGCGGTAGTTTTTGTACAAGAAGAAGCCTAGCACACAGAGAATAAGTGCCACGGGAATACCAACACCCAAACCAATCTCCAAGGCATTCTCGTTGGTAGGTTTCTGGCAGGCGCTCTTGTCCTTATCTTTGCCTTTACAGTCAAGGGAGCTGGAGCTCGACGACGACGATGACGATGACGTGGCACGCTCCACCAAGATTATTGTGGTCGGGGAGGGAGCCATTGGATGATCAAATGATGGATATGGATATGAATAAAAAAAAGGTTCCAGAGGCGCGACCGAATTTGATTTGAGGAAGCGAGCGGAAAGGTCAGCCTGTGGGAGAAGGAACAGGAATTTATGGAAGGTTTTTTATTTGACTTTTGGGCAAGATGCCTCGAGAAAATGGTATTTTTTTATTTTCGACTTGATCCGAATTTTCCTGCGACGCGCGCTAGATGTTTATGTTACGAGAGGCACGGGTGTGCTTCTAGGAATTTTGCCAGAAAGGAATTCGAAGTAAAGGAATAATTGAATGGAGAAGAATGGATTTTTGTGTTTGATGGAAATGGCCACTGTGTGGAAAAGTTGAATCTTCCCATTGCCCATATTGTCATGCTTTTGGTGCAGCGTGGCTGGATATTCGCCGATGAATGATCCATAGGTGATCTGTATGTCTGCCTGATTGGGCAGGACCTAGGCTCCAGGCGTTCATGTCGGCCAATGGGGCTTGGGGGCTGGGTCAATGGGTCCATGAGACCATTTAAGTCTGGAAAGACAAAGGTTTTTCCATTCTATTATTGGTGGATATTAAGGGATTTTGAAAGATTGTTGATATTTATCGTTGATTTGTATTGTTTTGTTGGTAATGTCTGGAAGCAATTAGCTTGGAGGTGTTAGAATGAAGGACAGGAAATCTCGTAAATTCTTTATAGGCGTTCCTTTCTTGTTTTCCTTATTGAATAGGGATTCTGTATTTTAATTTTTGAATATTGTATTTTGGAACATTGAATTTGACATTCTATGTTTATTATTATATAACTTGTGTTTGATTTTTGATTTAACTGTTGATTTTGTTCTGCTCTTCCAGGGTTGTGATATTTATAACTGGTGCGCCCTCTCTTAGCTTATTTTCTACCCTTAACAAATTCGTGGAACCATAATTGTTCAATTCCACCTTGCTCTATTTCTCCTTCTCTCAACACTCTCCATTTTCTCATCTACATCTTCATGTTTCTCTTATCCGATCCTCTATTAAAATATTTACCACGTCTGCATCTGGTCGTAGAAATCAACTCTCTTTCCTTCAGGCAAGTTCTCGACGATAACCTTTCTAGACTCATCAACAAATGAGTTGTGGCCACATGCAACAAATGCAATAGATCCGCTTGACTCAGCAATCTCCTCCTTAATAAGGGACTCGACGTTTGGTCTGCCGGCTCTGAAGTCAACAAACGACAACTTGCTCTTCAATCTGGCAACGTGGTCGGTGGTGGTCTCCTCGGTAGACTTCTTCTCTTCACTGGAGGCATCGCTCTCCTCGAACTTCTCAATGAAACACTGCTCCAATGGAGTGTTGTAATCAGTCACGTAAACAATTGGCTGAACAGAGGTGGATTGCAATCTCTGCAACTCCTCGTAGAACCATTCCACAGACTTCCAGTGACGAATGATCCAGTACAACTTCAACTTTTGATTGGTGGACTTCTTGGTAAGGTTCAAAGCACCAGCGTACAAACCTGGAATACCATTTCCTCCAGAAAGGAAGGCCACAGTGCTGTAATGTTGCAATGGCTGCTTAGTTCCGTATGGACCCTCAACAGAACACTTAATAAGTGCCTTCTGCTCAGGCTGAGTGCTCAAGTACTGGTACAAACCGTGAGTCATTCCTCCCTTGACCTTAATGTAGAAAGTGATGGTGTTGTCTTCAACAGCAGAGTCAACAATGGTGAATGGGTGAGACTGCCAGAAGCAAGATGGTCTAAAGAAGTAAATGAAAGCGTGGGCCATTGGGAACGGCTTCCAGTGTGATGGTCTTGGAACCTTGACCTTCAAGGTCTCGCCAGCAATCAATTGGACCTCGGCGGTTCTAACACCGAACCAGGCCAATCTTACTAATCTGATTGTCTTGTCGAAAGCCCACACAGCAGTAGCAGCGTACATGGTGGTCTGGAAGGCGTCATCTGCAACGTGAATCCAGGTACCGGCAATCACGATCACACCCATGATGTTGTGGAACAAAAGGAATCCCTCATAGTTTCTCTTTCTCAATGCCGAGAGAGAGTGAACACACATGATAGCACAGGCAATCGTAGCGACGTAACCCCATCTGACGTATGGTTTAGCATTACGAGCATCGTACTTACCAGCACCAATGTTCTTACCGTTGTAAGTCATACCGACAGCGTGCAACAACATAAGGATGAAGGTGGTTCTTCCGTACCAGTGGTGGACGACATTGAATCTAGCAAAGCTCCATCCGGAAATCCACTGCAAGAAGTTGTTTCTTCCAGCAAACAAGATCAATTGAGGAATGAAGTAAAGAGCCATGATTCCGGTTCTGTCGGCGATCTTTCTACCTATTTCGGCTGCTTCAACCTTCCAGATGGAGTTTGGAGAGTCATGCTTGTAGTCTATGGTGTTGAAAATAACACACAATACAAACCACACGAAGATGTAGATGGTCTCGATTCTGCCAGGAACAACGGCCTCGAACACTTTAAAGAAGCGAAGGTGCTCAGTTTTCTTGCGTCCAATCAAGGCTGGCAAGGTGATATACTTTCTGTACAAGTTAGATGCTTTACCGTTGAACGACTGGGCAAGCTTTGGAGCCATGTGAGAAGTGAGTCTGCAAACACCAGCAACGGCAACCAACAAGAACCAGTAGCCCAAGAGGATCCACGAGTAGATATTGGCTCTGTTGTAGTTGAAGTAACGACCAATTTGAGAGTCGTAAGCTCCTTTGAGGGTCTTGTTCTTGAAAGCAACTGGGTAGTAGAAAGGCTTGGTAATGTTGAAACCAGGTACAGCAGTGAGGTTCTTGACAGCGAATTTGGTAGCGTTCTCGTAAGATGCCCAGAAAGCTTCGTGGGTCAAGTTGAATGGAGCACATACGTCTTCGATAAAGTAGTCAATGGCGTGCTTGTGAGGCATGACATTTAAGCACATGGCCATGGTTCCCAAAGCAGGCTGGTTCTTGACGTTACAGAAACCTGCCTTATCTTTCTTAAAGAAAATAACATTCTTTTTAAAAATCACTTGGCAAGCACCGACGGTAAGCTCATCCTTGGAGTAGAGCTTGACTCCATCATCGTCCGCAAGCACGGTAGCTGCCAACAAGGCAGCAGAAGCAAGTTTCGTAAAGGAAACCATGGAATAGACACTGAGACGGTTGTGAGACTGTAATGTGAAAACTTTATGAAATATTCAGGCGGAAGTGAGGCCCTATAAATATTGTAGCATGCATGCGATGCTTACCATTGCACAGAGCATTACATGAAGAAGCAAGGGATGCAATTGGTTACAAAGTTGTATGGCTCTTTGGCTCGAAGCATAGTGGCATTTTGGAATACCTAATGCATGAGCGCCTGCAGGAATTATGTCACTATGCAAGGAGAATCTGCAAGGCGAGTGTTGATGGCAGTTATCAGACGGGATCAAAAATTTTCTTTTTCCGGGATGAGAGGGGGAGGGCGCAATCAACAGGAAGCGTTGAGTAGGATTGACATTTTCCGAATAAGGGAACATTCTTCGGAGTAGTACTAAACTGCACTGTATGAGCCCAATCTTCATTCCTATTCACTAGTTGTGGAATAAGAGGGAAAGAAAGTACCATCATTTTTGACGTGAATATGCCAGTGTCAAAGTGTCTATAGTCCAATCTGGGCCTGATGTGATTGGCCAAACGCAGTCCGATCGGAGAAAACTTGGCTCTAATCTGACACCATCTGCATAAAAATTTTTCTTGGCTGCATAGCACACAATGTCCCCGTTCCCATGGGTTTCTCCGATTGTCAAGACAGAATATGAAATATTGTAGTGCTCTACATTCCTGGGACGGATCCTGAAACCATGAAGTTCCCGAGATCTACGGGTGACGATTGTTCCGAAGGTAGCGAAAGTCGACACCTGTCAACGCTTTCCAAGCCGTACATCAAGAGATCTTGGCATATTATGAATGCTGGAAAGAGTTTCACAAGTCAAAGTACCTGTCAGTGTTTGAATGTTGCCCGGGTTGGTGCCTGGTATGGTATGTGTGCAATTACTGGTTTTGGACGTTGGATGATTGGCTGGTAGTTTGATATACAGGTGGGATTGAAATGTTCATATGCAAGGCGGTGAAGTTGAATAGGACTTAGATTACAAAGAAATTTTTTCCGAAGAATGTAGAAGATACTATATTTTAGCAACGGTTACAGCAGTTACAGCAAGTGGGATTGGATGTAGCACTCGTGCAAGTCACAAATAGTGAAAACCTCCACAACCTCATCGATAACTCGGATGTTTCGACGTTGGATTTCTAAGTGTTAGAAAATTACTCCTCTGCACATGGGGCGTTCTGTTTCCTATGTAGCCAGAAACAACAGGCACCCATCAATTGTGTTGTCTTTCTTGAAGGCAACCCATAAGTTTTTGGAATCACAATGATCCAATTGCGATTAAGTAATTAACATTTATAATTTGGCTATTGGCTGCTTAAAAAAAAAAGGAAAGAAAAAAAAAACCTGGTATGACCTTGATATAATTAGATTTGCAACAGATTTACCTTCAATAATGCCAACGGGACAGACCGGGTGTTCCTTGCACATGGGGTCTCCACCAAGAACAAAGAATAAGTGACAATTCGACAGCAAGATAATGTGGCAGAAATGGGCGAATTTTAAACAATGGGATTCAAGGAGCTCAATTCATGTCTGAAGAGGTTGGAATTGGAATTCCCCGAGTACAGGACTTAACCCATGTTCAGTTTCCTAATTGTATCCGTTTTACTCCGTCAAAATTGAAAGAGTACAGGACTCGCCAATTATAAAATAACAGGGCGCTTAACACTCGCAATTATGCATTTATGCATGAATCCCCTCGCCTGCATGAAGATGGCTCCTCGCATGAAGTTACTGATCAAGCCCGACTGATTGAACTGATTACGCCGTGCGACTTAGTGGAGTCTAAGTGGCACTTGTTACGTTCTTGGCAATAATCATTGGGGTGTTGGGGACATAATTTTTTGTTCTTTTACACTACAGAAATATTGCGAATTTGATCTAAAGTGATGGGCTTCGAGTTTCACTTGACTTGATGAATCGGTTGGATTTTCATGGCTTTGAGGTTTGGTGGATTTGTCCCCAATGATGCCATTGTGATTGAAGTTGGATATTTCCTTTCCTTTTTTTCTTTTTTTTTTTTTCTCTCTGTCTCTCTCTATTTCTACCCAATGACATCGATATAGCAAGCTCCGAAGGGAATCCACGTTTGAAACTCTGTTCAATCTGCAAGTGAATTCTTTTATATCATTCAAATGTGCGATGGGCAATTAGATCGGTGATGGAATTTCTGCCAAAAAAAAAAAAAGGGCAACCAATTGGAGTAGCCCTTAATTTTGAGCTTCTCCACTTTGTGAGGTTAATGGCATTCCCATATATTTGATTTCTTCTCCTTGGTGAGACTTTGAATAAGGTTCTGAGGAAACTCTTGTCATCTCCACACTTTCTGAAAGACTTGCCGAATCAAATAATTCATTTGAATACTATTGACATTATCAGGCTAATTCAAAATTGCTTCTTCAAGTCTGCAAAAAAAGTCGGTAAGAGGGCTTTTCTCTATACCTTTCGAACCTCCTCTTTTCTAGCTTTGTCCACTATTCTATTAATCTCATGTTTCCCAGCAGCCTACTTCCTTGATATAACAGTCAAAAGGGGGTAAATGGAGCAATGTTCTCTCACTGATTAGATTATGAAGAGAATAGTGTGATATTTGTGTTTGCTCCTCCAATTATTGGGAGAAACGAAAGTCCCTTTCATGTCTATCTTCGACCGATCTGTCCAGTATCTCAATGATCGTTACAACACATTTCCATTACGACGACCCTTCTCCGATCCTTCATACCTACAAATCCGAACAAATTATAGTCTTCCTTTCAAAATTCCAATTTTTCTATTCATTCCATATTCTAGCTACCAGAGCCATACGGATACACTCTAACAAGTTTCCTGTAATATCCCCCTCATTTCCTCCGTCAACTCGTCGTTGACAATATGAGAAGGCTTTCATCTATTAATTAAGAACCACAATTTCTTTTGCCTTCCACCCATACTTCCTCTTTCTCCCATTTCCATCCCATCTCGACTTCTTATTTCTCTCCACCTTCTTTCCTCTCGCCTTCTTCTCTTTTCTCTCCTTCTTCACTCTTCTCCTCGAGTTGCAAATCCATAAGCTGTTGCTCAAGTTCCAACTCCTCATCCACCAAAAAATCTTCTAATTGAGCTTCGTACTCTTCCTGATAATCTTCACGCTCTTCCTCCACTAGAAAATCAGGATCAAGCTCCAATGCATCAGCCTGTGCGCGAAGCTCCTCAATCTGCTTGTTATAGTCTTCTGTATCTGTCACTTTCTCTCGCCCTAGCGCCAACCGTGCCTGGCGATGAAGGCTCCGGATCTCTTCCATGGTATGTCTTGCTTTCTCGCGTTTGGTGGTCTTTTTCACCGGAGAAGACATGGGCCGGTAAAACCGTGCCGCCCTATTCTGCTGCGACTGCTCGATCTCCTCGAGCGCCGTTCCACGGATAGGCGAGCTGTGGAACATGATGATAGAAGTAGTTAGGTAATAAATGGCATTCTGTCCTGTGTGTTGCGAAATTGGCCATTGCAAGTCATATACTCCCAGCACTTTAAAATAAAAATTACATTTATCAGGGACAATGATTTTGACATGGAAGACCCTTGCCCTTTAAATATTCACCAATTCTACTCAAAAAAAAAAAAAGTATCAATGTCAGATAATACTTTCTATATCCGCACCTGACGCGACTCCGCGTCGCTCATCTCAAACTTCATGATCAGCCTTTACAAATCATCGAATATACAGTATATCGAAGTAATGCAAACTGATTTGTTGTAGGACGGACCACTCCACAGTACCAAACATGCAATTTGACGAAAATGATCTAATGGCCATGGACGCAGTGTCACGCTCCATAGTGTCGCTTGTTCCTCTGGTGTTCCCGCAGTCTATATCAATAGAAGACATTGTACTCACTAGAGTATGTTGTTCAGAGGCAGACATGGACGAATCCATGCTAGACCAGCTAGTGGAGGTGATACACAAATGTATGGGTAAATTGTACGTAAAGCATAAAGGAAAGAATTGGCGGGAGGAAAAACTCGACGAATTGACAGAGCCAGGTTTGGTTTTTACGTGGTATAAATGTGGAAATGATCTTGCTGCTTTCATCGCTTTTAAATTGGTTGAGGAGCTGTATGGCAAAACATTATACTTGTACGAGATACAAGTTCTTCCGAAATATCAAGGTAAGCATCTTGGGACGGACTTGATGAAGTACTTCCACCGTATGGCTTTGGTGGTCGACGCTGCGTCCACTGACTCTAAGGTGCCTTACCATGCAATTTTAACCACCAAGGCAACGAGCCTAACTGTGTTCTCTGATAATGTCAAGGCGTTCGCGTGGTATACCAGAATGGGATACATTCCATCTCCGGATTGTTCGGTTGATCGAAAGCTCCGTGGCGGAAAAGTGGTCAAACCTTCCTTCTACTTATTAACAAGACCAATAGAGAGTCCAGATATAGATGATGTAGAAAATGATAATATGCTTTAGTATTTTTAGTAGTTGCTAGTTTTGTTTCATTCTTCCTCACTTCTTGTCCATCACATTGACGTATCTTCGCTTTCCCTTACGTGCTCCGATTGGTTTATTCGAATCACCGAGTGAGAGCAAATCGTCAAGTCCGGCACTAGCCAAGTCCTTTCCTCCTCTCAATGCTGGCATGCTCTTCCTTGCAGAAAGCCCTGGCCCCTTGGGAGCCTTGGTATCTGATGTGCCAGCGTCTTGCGACCCTCTTCTATTTGGTTGGCTGGCAGGAGCCTCTTCTTCATCTTCTCTTGAGTTTTCAACAACGACACTCTTCTTTCCACCATCTGGCTTAATGACCGCTTTCTTCTTAGGTGGTGGCGGAGGTGCTGCAGCCTGAAGCTGTTCTTCGAGTGGACGACTTGTGTCTATCCACCGTTGAAGCTTCTCGTCATACTTGAAGGTGTTTTTCTGACCCAATTTGGCCTTGATCGCCTTAGGCTTGTCGTCATTCAGCAGCTTCAAAAGACCCAGGAACCATTTATTTCCCGAAGCGGTACTCTGTTGGCTACCTCTAGAGACTTGCCCCGACCTGCTTGCCAGTTCCTCTGCCTCCTTTTTCTTCTTCTCTATTTCCAATTTCTTGCGGTTTGCTTCAAGTCTGGCCCGTGTTTCTTCTTCATCTTCTTCATCCTCTTCCACGGGAATGTATCCAAGAACGGTATCATCCTTCACCTCATATTGCAGGTACATGTCTGTTTGATGAGATTGAGACAATCTGCTGGAATATAATCCTTGCTGGCCCACAACAGAATTGGCTCTGGTGGTATACTCTGGAGATCCTGGAATAGGAAACTCATCAAGTCCATTCTGGATATTCAATCCACTTGCTTTCTCCTCACCTTGGAAAGGATTGGCAAACTTATCCTTTGCTGAAGGAAGTGGTGAATTCAGAGTATTCAATACCAATGGAACCGGCTTCTTACCAGTGGGGCTTTCAATAACATTCTCCGCTGGAAGCTCATCAAAACTGACATCCACGTTAGCTGGGCTCAACTTATGGGTAGGAGCATATGGATTGGACTTCGGAGGAGCATATGGGTTTGTCCTTGGAGGACCATTCCTCCTCTTCGGAGGTGCACCAGCCTGTGGTGGAGGCAATTTAGATTCTCTATCAGGTTCTCCGATGTTTTCATCCGAGAATGCATGGACAATTGTCTTTTCTGATTTTCTTTCATCTTTTTGCATTTCATTTGCATTCTTCGCCTTTGGCTCTTCATCAATTTCTTTGCTAGCTTCTTCTTCGGCTTCTTCATTGGCTCCTTCGTTAGCTTCATCGTTCGCTTCATCGTTCGCTTCATCGTTCGCTTCATCGTTCGCTTCCTCTTTGGCCGCCTCTCTACTTTCATTTTTAGACACCTCTTTGCTTTCATCTTTTAATTTGACTGCCTGGTTGGCGGACACCATTGGCCTCTTTTCCAATGGTTCAGAGCTAAATTCAAACATGTCAATCTGAGCACCATCTGGAACTCCGGACAAATTGCTTGCTTGAACGTTTCCAGTATACTTGTTTGTTGATTTGCCGCCATGAGGTCCATATTTGTTGTTTCCCTTGCTCACTGATTTAGAAGCTCCAGGAGCATAAGGGTTGGTTCTTTGAGGACCAACGTGCTTCGATGATGCAGGTGGAGGAGGTATTTGTTCGGATTCCACCTCTTCATGTTCCTTAGCATCTTCAGCTGGCACATCCGCCTCTGATTTGACCAGCTCTGCGTTATGGGGATCTCTAGGCTGTGATTCCTTTGGTTCAGAAACGTTCATGATCACCTCTTTGGGAGAATCTTCTTTCTCTTTCACGTGTTGATGTTCCGTGACCTCAGGCAAATCTTTCACTACATCATCAACATCCGAATGGACTTCTTGCACATTCGAGACTGGGGTCTCAATGGGCTCAACTTCGTAGTTGCGGCCAAATCCCCTTGGAGATTCTACCCGTGGTTCAGAACGAGGTGGAACATCAGATTGTTGATCATTCCATTTAGTGTTCGATTTCTCGACAGTGATGGATGCATTGCTTTCCAGAAACTCTGGAATAGAGTGTGGTTTTTGTTGTGGCTTTCTGTCTTCAGAAAGAATACTACTCTCACTTTGAAGAGAGGACATGCGAGAATGACCCCTTGATGGCCGCCTACCGTACGTCGTTTCGTAGGGATTTTTGCTTTGCATATCAGAGGCTCCGACACCTGCAGTTGAGCTTCTTTTCACGCCTGTAGGAGGATGAGCAACAAATGATGGAGGCTGGTGGATGCTAGTCTGAGAAGCCAAAGACAGGGACGATAAGTGCGCAGTTTTGTTACCGTACATCATGTTTATTGGTGTGCCACTGTTGCCCCCAACTCTCTTCTTGTGAGAATGCTTTGAAGCTGGTCTCGCATCATCCTGCAAACTCACTTGAGAACCATTCTCATGTACGTGTCTTGTTAAGTTATTCATTGGGGCATGACTGCCCTGCTGACTGGCGACGGCAGAAGCAAACTTGGGAGCCTGATTTGGGTTTGGTCCACCTGGCGCATATCGCAGGGTAACTTGAGGACGAGCTGAATGTGCGGGACTAGAGAACTCAGTTGGTGGAACACTGACAAAACTGAGTTGAGGTTGTAATTCTGGACGATACAGAGGTGAGTTACCCATCTGAGAAACATCCAAAGCCGATGTATTTCTTGACACAGATGGACTGAACTTGCTGAATACTCCATTATCAGCCGGCTTAGGGGTAGTATCCTCTCCTCCAATGAATTTGTCCAAGTGACCCCAAACTTTATCAAGGTTAACTCTGCTAAGTTTCGTGCCCAACCACCCGGAATCGGTGGAGTTGGTATCGGATATGCGAACCAACAAGTTTTGGAAGTCGCGAAGTGCTTGAGGAGTAACTGATGGCGATCTTCCCAAAGTCTTCAACAAACCACTAATGTGATCGCAATACTTTCTAGATGTGATAAAGGACCCCAAATCTGCTGCTATTTGTGCAGTGGCAATCTTACCTGGTAACAAATGGAGCAATCCAGTTGGAGGGATATTGTTTCCCGTTATAGGAGACACCAGAAGAACATACTCATAAATCTCACTGTAAACCGGAGAGATGGTAAAAGTGCCAACCGAGGAAAATACGGCGCCATTTGCCAAAGGATTCAAGGACATGATGACACCTGCAAGCAGGAAACAAAGCTCGCTGGCCAAAGCCAAGTTGGCATCCGCCAAGAACTTACCATATTCAACTAAGAATTCGTTCGAGGCTCCATTGACTATGATGGCAGAGATAATCTCACGGTAATGTAATTTTCCGAATTCTCCTTCACTTGCGACGTTCAAGAAGTCGGAAACGGCACCCTTCGAATTTCCCACAAATGTCTTCATTATGATTGGCATCAAGTGTTGTACTCTGTTGGTCTGAGTCTTCTGGAATGGGAACATCATTCTAGCATAATCCGAGGCGACTTTTGAGAATCGTTCTGGAGAAATAGAATGTGCCACAACAAAACTGAGGGCCCAATCTTGCTTTGAAATTGCGTACTCCAAAGCAGCCTCACGGTTACCTGTCTGAATCAATGACCAGACGAAGTTAGTACCTGCTGTGTCTAATTTGTACGCATTGGCTGCAGATCCAGGTGTTCCCATATTCAAGTAAGTTGGGGGAATCTTCTGTTCCTCGTTGAAGTCGATATTTGGAGTCAAAATACCTGCTAAAACCTTGTGCAATGCCGGTAAGGTGAACTGACCATCGTGTTGGACAAGAGCATGCAAGACTTGACAGAGGACCGACTCATCAGAGTATACAGCCAGCAATGTTGCAATTCGCTTCTCCAACCAAGCTTCAAGTTCCTTCTTCTTTGACTTGGATTTTGTCAAAGGTCCGGGAAAATCGGCGAAAGGTTCCAATTTGGTTAATACTTTGGCCGTTTTCGAAACGTGAACATTCTTAATAACAGGCTCCATACCGTATTGCGCACCTGGAATCAAATAAACAATATTCTGTGAATTGCCCCAGTTGAAGATAGGTAGCTGTCGAGTGGAGGGATCCGCCCGTCCAACTTTCGCTACATTCTGCTTGCCAACAGACCTTCCACGATTTCTAACCATGGGCAGTTTAATTAAATTGGCAATAGGTCCCCCGGTTGCTTGAGCTGGAGCATACGGATTGACCTCTTTACCACGACCACCAATGATGGAATTCGTTCTTGAGTGACCTCTGTTGATTGCTGATGGTGCGTATGGTCCAGCATGCGGAACGTAGGGACTTGAAGCTGAACCCTTATCAGATGTTTTAGGAACGTTAGTATTGACCCGTGGTGAGACTGGATGATCACTCCGTCCCTGAGGCACGGGAGGGAAAGGTGTGGCCTGTTGGGAAGGTGGATGTCCAGGGTGGAGGTTACTATGGAGTAATGCAGGTGAAAAACGGTCGTGTTGAGCAGATGGTGCATAAACGTTTGCTGTCGGAGCTAAATTCATCGATTGTTGCCCTTGTGGTTGGAAAGTATTCTGAATTCCATGCTGGTTACCAGCTTGGAATGATGGACCACTCTTAGCTTGATGAAAGCTGTTCTGATTAGAGTTACTCTGGTTAAAGCTGTTCTGGTTAAAGTTACTCTGAGGTGGGAGAGGACCAGCAGGAATTGCTGCCGTAGGTGGCATCATACCAGAGGGTGGTATAACTCCAGAAGGTGGAATAACTCCAGACAGTGGTGCAGCTCCCGAAGGTGGCATAACTCCCGTGGGACCTAACTTTGAATGAATAGACACCCCAACCAGAGGATGATGTAAACCCGTTGGTGGTCCATTCAAAGGCAGATACTTGTTAGGAGTAGCTGAGGCACCCGGATTTTGAGAGCTGCTCGAAAGGTTAGCTCCCAAGGCAGTATGATGCCCCATTGGAATGTTATTGGTTGGCACATTCCCTGGTGCCTGGTTCGTTGGTATAACCCCCATTTGCGGTTTACCCAACATTGGAGAAACAGCGGCCTTGGGTGCCAACAGTGCGTAAGGATTTTTGGGAGACTTCTTCTTAGAAGGGAGGCTAGGAGCTACCGACGGCTGATTAACAGGCTCTACAGTATTCCCAACTTTTGCCACGGCTGCACGTCCCGGACGGTGAGATGGCTTTTGAAGAGTATCAGGGAGGTCTTCAAAAAACGACCGATGGCTGGAAGCGGCGGAAGATGACACCTCTGATTTAGCAGGTACTGGAGGTGCGTTAACGACTACTTCGGTACTACCAGAAGTGCTTGATGGGCCCGTGGTAGATATGATAGAAGCGGATTGTTTTGAATGAACTCTCGATGCTGGCTTAATAGAAGGCTGAGTGAATGTCATAGGGAAGTCGTAAGCATCGTTTTTCTTCTTTGCTGCATCAAGTTTCTTCTTTAATTCCTCCTCTGCCTTCTTTGGGCCCGGAATATCGGCAGAGCTGGGAAGCTGGTATTGAGACACCTGTTGAGTAGGATATGCACTTGGTAGCTCGGCTGCCTTCGAGTACTTGGATGCATTCGCTGATTGTGGCTTAGGCTTGGTGGCAACATTGGAAGTCTCGTGAATTGTTACTCCCGGCATAACTGAAGTTATTGGCTTAAATGGAAGATCCTGTTTAGCCGGCTGTACTTCTCGTTGAATTGGATGATACTCCTCAGTTTGTGCTTGTGCGGGTTGATGAGGAGTCTGTTGAGCAACCTGAGCAAGGCTCTGGTGAAGATTTGCCTCCTGATTCCAAACATCAATGTTTTGAGGTTGGATATCATCGTGTCCCCGGTATGAGTCTTCCAAAAAATCATCATCTTCCAAGAAGTCATCGTCAAGAAGTAAATCATCATCTAACTCTAATTTCTCGAGAGCAGCTAACTTCAGAGCATGGGCATTTGGTTCATGAGGATTCTCGGTCTGATCTTGCTCATTCCTATTGGACCCAAGTGCTTCCGATGTTTCCTCATGTACTGAGGCATTGGAACGGAACTTGTCACCATGATAAACAACCAGGTCTTCATTTTCAGTAAGATCCCATGGTAATCCGCTCTGTGGATGAGGCTCATAGGTATTTGTCAGACTTGCTAACCCAGAAACAGGCTCCAGCATAATATTTGATGGCACTGATTGCTCAATTTCTTGCCACTCCTGTACTGTTGCATTCGACTGCTCTTCACGTTTCCAAAATTCAGAAGCACCTTGATGTTCTTGAGTGATGACTTGCTCTTGCTGATACTGCTCGTGGTCAAACGGTTCCTGGCCATTCAGCACTGCATCATCCGGTTGCTGGTCTTCCTGAATGTAATTGATTTCGTCCCCATGTTGATCCTCGTGCTGATCTTCGTGCTGATCTTCGTGCTGCTCCAAATTAGAGTGTTCCTGGTGTTGCTGCTCGTGCTGCTGCTCGTGTTGCTCCTCGTGTTGCTGCTCGTGTTGCTCCTCGTGTTGCTCCTCGTGTTGCTCCTCGTGCTGCTCCTCGTATTGCTCCTCGTGCTGCTCCTCGTGCTGCTCCTCGTGTTGCTCCTCGTGTTGCTCCTTGTGTTGTTCCAGGTTGAAGTGTTCCTCGTACTGTTCGTGGTGGCCGTATTGTTCCTGGCTTAAACTATCCTCTTCATTATGCTCATGCTCATGATCATAAGGTTCCCGGTTTAAATTCTCCTGGTCATAATTCTCCTGGTCATAATTCTCCTGGTCATACTTCTTCTGGTCATAATTCTCCTGGAAATGACTTTCAAGATGAAGATCGTGGTGATTTTCGGGCTCAGTATCTTGTGCTACAGGGTGAAGTTCCACAGGAGCTTGGTTTGGCGAGGTAGTCTCGTGGAGCTGCCCCACTTGGTCCTGTTCGACATACCAAGGCTCTTCATTATGAACATCATTCGTATCCCACGAGACGGATTGCTCCTGATTTGAGTCTTCATTCCAGTCACGATCATTGGAGTCCCTCCAATCCCTCTGATCCCGCACCCATGAAGCTTGTTCGTGTTCGTAATTCGGGTCGTCAGGATGATGCTCTGATACCTCCCATGCGTGTTGGCGATCGGCTTGCTGTTGCTCCCATTGTTCTTGCATTTCGTCTTTAGAATAACCTTGGTCAACCGGAAGGCTCTCAGCCTTTTCTGATTCTAAAACCGGTGTTACCTTCTCATTCTTCAAAACGGGGTGTGATTTTTTCTCATTTAAATCCTGAAGCTCCAGGTTTTCCTGAGATGCACTTTGTTCTTCAAAATTTTTGTGTTCCTGGCCAGGTTGATACTGCGACAGGCGTGCCCCGTATTGATTCAGAGAAACGTTCGCATGCACTGGAGCATACGGATTGTGAACAGGCTGACGGCCATGAAATGCAGTTGCACTATGGGCCACAGGAAGATGAGATTGACTCTCATGGTCATTGAGTGGAGGTTCTTCATGATTCTTATCCCACGCCTCTTCTTCCCATTCGTCTTGTTCATTCCAATCTTCATTCTCATCCCAGCCGGCTTCAGGATCGGCTTCTTGGGCAACCTGGGTCGTCAGTGATTCCTGAGCAACCTGAGATTCATGGGCTTCTTGGGCTTCCCGGACCTCCCATTGGTCATCTGCCTCCCACTTGTCCTCATTCCACTCCTCTGGATGCTGTTCTTTGGCTTCCCAACGATCTTTATCATCCCACTCAGCTTCTTCATCCCAATTGGCATCCCATGCATCTTGCTTTGGTGATTGGGGCCCAAAGTTCTGGTTGACATGCGCGGACGATTTACTTGGTGTTTCAACGTCTCGAGTGGATGCTGTGCCGCGACGAGGTGGCAAGTGGTTGACTTTAGCTCCGGGAGCGCCAGCAGTCTCGACTTTTGGCGTCGAGTGCGCCAAATCAGAACCTTCCTGAGTCAAGAACTCCAGCAATTCCCCTAGAGTCAGCGCACCATCGACATGAGCAGAAAGAGATACAGGTTGATGATTACCCGCAGCATTAGGAGGTGGTCCAACTGTCATGCTTGAATGTGCTACCGATTGTGCGTTCAATGAGTTGTCGAACGCTAGTGTTCCAGAAGTACCGTATGTGGCAGGTTCTGATCTTTTGGCCGTTGCCAATGGTGTCGTCAGTGGCACCACACTGGGCTGAGCTTGGCCCGTACTGTACTGCTGTACGTGAGCACGGCGCTTGGTCCTGACTGGCGGTTTTCTGGTACTCATGATGGGCGTGCCCAGAATGAAAGTATATGATGAGATCTGTGGAAAATGGATAGGTGTTGACCAGTATGAACGACGACGGTACACCTGTGAGGGACTGTATGCAGTGCAGTTTTTCCGGGTTGTCGTGTTCGTTTTAGCGAGTGGCGAAGTTCACTTGAGCTGGCAAGAAAGCCACTGTGACCGAAATTACATCCCGATCCTTCTTAGGTGGCAAAATTTTTTAAATTGCTTCAGAGTTGGCTGTAGGCGAAGAATCTTCAATGTTAGGATTTGAGCGCGGAGAAGCGCCAACGCGAATAGTGATGCAAAGTAGACCAAGAGAAACACAAGAAAAAGAACAAACGGGGAATTGCCGAATAAGCAAAAATGAAAAAAAAAAAAAAAAAAAAAAAAAAGAGGGGTCGAATCAAGAATTGGAGATAGTGTATCTGTGATCACAGGCTAAACTTGAAATATACCTGATTTGCACTCAGTTTGACTTTCCAATAAAGCTGGAGTGAAATCACGTAGGGTCCTCACGTGATATAGAACAAAACGTGACTTTGCACGTGTAACATAAAAAGCCATGTCAAGGAAGTGTCCTGCACCAATAGTTGCCAAATTTACCCACTGTTAAAAATAACACTGCTATATATATATGCGAGCGTCTGACAATATATGGACGATCATTTCTGCATTTCTGTCATCGATTTCTCTATTCTTCGCTCCATCAATGCTGTCCTTCGGTTTGCTCTGCTTTTTCCATCCCGCCAGGGTACCACCAACCCCTGCACGTGCCAAAACTTTAACAAGAGTCTTTTGCAACTAGAATGTCATTAAGGGGATTAAGAACATGGGGACGTTTGGCGATTTGTGAATTTGGGCGGCTGGCGAAGTTCATTATTCTTTTTCTTTCCTTTCTGGAATTAAATCTATTACCACCCAAGTTATATAGTCAACGAGGCTGTGTCAGGTCAAGCGAATCACCTTACTAAACAGAAAAGTAAACGCTAGTTCTAGGAAAGAAGAAGAAAAATTGATGAAGATTATGGGAATTCGGACTTTTTCAAGGAATAGTCGCATTTGCAGCTTTGACACACCGATTCTTGCATGGTTTCTGACTTTCCCCAGAAGTGACCATTCATGTTGGATCCGATATGCAGTCCGATGTCAAAAATATGGTCGCTGCGGCAATTCTATTTATAAAATCCTTCTCTCTTCGTAACCACTTCATTGGCCGCCGCTACCTCAAGGTTCCGCTCATCATACGTTGCCGCTGTGATCGTCAAAAAACTGCCTTCGACTGATCCTTTGTCAAACAGATTCAAAACACCCTCGCCGCGTGACCATACTCAATTAATTCTCTTCTGCGACAAGAGTCGAAATAAACATACAACATGGGGAGAAGAAAGATAGAGATCGAGCCGCTCACAGACGATAGAAATCGTACCGTAACGTTTGTCAAGCGAAAGGCCGGCTTGTTCAAGAAAGCTTACGAATTGGCGGTGCTTTGCCAAGTGGATCTTGCTGTTATTATCGTGGGAAATAATGACAAGGTCTATGAGTTTTCATCGGTGGACACTAACGAGTTGTTGAAAACATACCTGCGGGCTAAGGTTCACGAGCTGAAGCTGCCCGAACACTACGGAAAGTACAAGAAGAAACTGCATTTGCTGGCCGGCATGGGTGCAGTAATTCAGGATGATCTCCATGACGTTCCAGTTGACGATGCCAATGTAGATAGCGACTACGATTCCGACACACCAGAGCCCAAGCGGAAGAAGACCGAAGCTTCTGAGCTGTCTATTTATTCCAAGAACCCCGTGTCCTCCAGATTTGCTCCTTTACCTCTGCATCCACATGGAGGGCAAGATGACCTTCAAACTCAGCGACCTGTGCTTCGAGTGCAAATTCCGTCAGACGTGAAGACTGAGGATGATTCAGCAAAGACCATTACTGCTCTAGACACCATGAACACTGGCAAGCATAAGCTGGGTGCACCGCAAGACGGAGACCATCAGGCTCCTCAGCTCAACACGGGAAACGCAGCACGTTATTCTTTTGGTAAATTCAAAAGTCCTGAAACGAAGAAAGTAACCCAGCTTCCTCTTCCTATCAGTCAGCTGCAGACACTGAGCCCAATTCTGACGACTGCTCCGCAACTTCCCAGCGGAATGCCATTTTTCCTGCTGTTGCCTAATCCGCTGCCGCAAGGCCAGTATCCACCGGCCATATTACCGACGCCAGTTTTCAATCAGGTATTTAACCAATGGCAGGGATCCGGTGGAGGAGTTAACCTAGGATCAGCAGCCAATTCTGCAGCACATCCAGGAGCTCCAACAACAGTGGCCGGCGGAAGTGGCGAAGGCGGTGTGATTGTACCTTCAGCCAATGCTGGGACTTCGGGACCTTCGAGTGCTGGAGTTTCTGGGCCACCAGGAGCACCAGGGGCTTCTGGAGCGGCCGCTACAGGAGTTCCTGGAGCTTCTGGAGGTGGAGGTGATGAAGAGGCGCCCAAATTCCGACCACCACTCCAGCAATTCAATGGCGATCTGACACCAATGTCTGCGCTCCCGTCACGATACATGAACGATATATTTGCGTCGCCTTCCAATTTGTATCCGGCGCAAGAGTGGCCCACGGGAATGACGCCGTTTGCGTCTTCCATGCCACATTATTTCGTGGGGATGGTACCCAGTGGTAGTGGGGCCACGCCGCTACCAGTGAATATGTATGCAAATGCTCGACTGTCTCTACTGGGGCAGCCACAGCGATTGCAATTCCAGCCACCAGGTCTGGGAGGAACACAACCGCAGGGCCAGGGGCCAGAGTATGGTCAGTATTTTAAGCGGTGAGAACATCAGAATCAGATAATGTGATCAGGTTATTTTGGTGGTACCATTCTATGGCTAGTAACATAAGCAATGGCGGATAGTAGATGTGACGGAGACAATGGCTCTGATGTATTAATAAAGTGAAATCAGGCATAAGGTAAACATCGGCTATTGTTCGAACAAGAATTGGTGTCATTACAGCACGGCTATTCATATCGAAGCCAGGCGCTACTTATCAATTTTCAAATATAACATTGCTCAATGAACTTCGGAACCAGCTAATAAAACAATGCCTTTACAAGACTTTACCTCTCACTAAATACTCAAACCTACAAAATGCCATACATACAACCAAACAAAACAATGCAAAACACCATACAAGCAACCCAAAATACAACATACCTTACAAAGTTGCATAAAGAAAACACAAAGTATAAAATACCCAAAATGCAAAATACAAAATAAAATTACAAAAAACTTTCAATATTAACATCTACAATATTCCTCTCGGCATCGCAATCAATGGTTGCCAATACAAATCAATACCTCATTGTATTTCGCCTACCACAAGCTCTCAAAATGTGAAAGTCATCTATTATCCTCTTCTCCATCTTTATAAAACATTTCTATTTTCAAATACAAAATTTATCAAGCCATTTCAAAAATCACTCCAATCCCTGATCTAGAAATTACCGACCCCCAAGCTAGGGCTTCAGCCCTCGGCTCCACGTGACTGCGAACCTCACCCTCAAACACACCTCCGTACACCCGATCCGGCAGACAAGCCGTTCGCACTGGAGCTCCAGCGAGAAAAAAAAATCATTTTCCACCATAGTGCTAGAAAAATTTTTTTCTTCTAATCCCATCAGGCTTACCAGTTCAACATGAAGGTATGTGAACATCGCCATATCCGCAGAGTTCTCAAGTTCTTCCACTTGCTGTATCCATTTTTCCCACTCAGATGACCACGGCAATTATTCCTCCCAGTACATGAAATTGTCACCATCACCTCACTGATGAAAGTTCAATCATGAAAATCCTCCTCCACCACATAATCTTCAATTTTTCCAAAACTATCCAGCAAAAAAGACTCTCTGAAGCATCTGCAAATATTTGTCGTTTAAATTTTCAATTACTAACCTTCAGTTAAACATCTCCTACCCAGCCAACGGTACTCAAAAGGCCATTGAAATCGAGGACGAGCACAAGTTGCGTGTCTTCTACGACAAGCGTATGGGCCAAGAGGTCGAGGGTGACTCTGTCGGAGATGAGTTCAAGGGCTACATCTTCAAGATCACCGGTGGTAACGACAAGCAGGGTTTCCCAATGAAGCAGGGTGTGTTGCACCCAACCAGAGTTAGATTGTTGTTGTCTAAGGGCCACTCTTGTTACAGACCAAGAAGAGCTGGTGAGAGAAAGAGAAAGTCCGTCAGAGGTTGTATTGTCAACCAGGACTTGTCTGTCCTTGCCTTGGCCGTTGTCAAGCAGGGTGAGCAGGACATTGAGGGTTTGACCGATGTCACCACCCCAAAGAGATTGGGTCCTAAGAGAGCCAACCACATCAGAAAGTTCTTCGGTTTGACCAAGGAGGACGATGTCAGAGACTTCGTTGTGAGAAGAACCGTTGAGAAGAACGGTAAGACTTACTCTAAGGCTCCAAAGATCCAGAGATTGGTTACTCCTCAGACTTTGCAGAGAAAGAGAGCTTTGAAGGCTAAGAAGATCAACAACGCTAAGCAGCAGAGAGACGCTGCCGCTGAGTACGCTCAGTTGTTGGCCCAGAGATTGCACGAGAGAAAGGCTGAGAGAGCTGAGATCAAGAAGAGAAGAGCTTCTTCTTTGAAGGCTTAAATCGCATCCCCTTCTAAAATCCCCTTCTAATTGGTATATTGCTACATATAAATTTACCGTTGTTTCGATGGTGTGTAGGTGCTAATTGACGACTGTACTTTACTTATTTGTAATGTAGAGCTCGAGAATTCTGTCTATTTGGTATTGTTCAAAACTGTACTTCTTGTATTCAATAATGCTATTGCTGTGGGCCTATATCTATCCTCTTGGAATTTTCTTCCTCCTCCTCTGAATACCCTCTCTTTTTTACCAATCTTTTGATGTTCTCATAAACTTGATCCGTGGTGATGTTGGATGCATAGCTGAAATTCTTCTTCACGTAGTTATCTTGCTGCTCTTTGTACCTTGGATCTCTCAAGAGGACTCTCAAGTGCTGGTCAAACTTCAGTTCTGCAACCATCTGGCCCGTAATTGGACATTGGATGCGCTTTTCATCGCCTTCTCTATTCTTTCTCTTGAGTCGAGATTCTCCGGCGGCCCTGATTTTCATTCCCTTTGGAACTGCGCTGAGCTTTTGTACCTCTGGCATTTTCACTTCATTCTGTTCAAGCGTTTCTGGCGACTCTTCGTTCACCTCACTTTCCTTCACTGGCAAAACCTCCAACTGTATCTCTTTAGACTTGGCCAGTAATGCTCGGTAAACTACGTCAGCCCTCAGAAGAGGCACCGCCAATTCTGAAACCTCATCAACAGCATCGAAGTTGACTTTGGCTACAAATGTGAAATCCTGCCAATCGATCAGAGCATACTGGAGCTGAGAATCTCTCAACTCCGACTCCTTGGCTCTCCTATCCATCTTGTGTTTCTTTTCATACACAGCTCTCTCATACGCATTTTGAAACATTTTCTGAGGTGTAGAGCTAATCAACTCATCTATGTGCTTCACAGCCTCGCTGTTCTTCTTGCCTTTAGATGCATCTATAATTGCAAGGTATTGGCGAAGATAGCTCTGGAAAACTGAATGTAGACTATGTCCACGGTTTAAAAATGCAAACTGGCTTCGATTGCCTTTTTTATCCATGTATCTATGAAGCGCTTCTGTATGTTTGGAACTGTTGATTGCACTGTACTGAGCTGTGAGTTTGATCACATTCAAATCGTAGGTAGAGATAGGCGGGAGCTCTGTCACGAATAGAAACTGCAGCGGTTCATGAAAAATTTCTTTTTGGTCGTTCTGGTTAACTGCTTCTCCATTTTTGCTCACACTCCGACCCTCTAGTAGAGACTTGTAGTATGAGTTATACTTGTCTGAGTTGTTCAAGAAGGAAAACTTACCATCGGAATCGTTTTGAAGAAGTTTTCGCTCGAAGGCAGTTCCATTCTTCTTGACATACTGTGCCGTTTTCTCGATAGTTGTCTTTATATCCTGGGGTGGTTCAGACATGGTATTTGAAGAATTGTTAGTTGATCAGTTGAGTGCAGGTGAGTAGGAAAGAAGTAAGATGATGAGCATGGATTTTCAAAGTGAAAGAGAATTAACTGGAAAGCTGGTCAACTTGGGAAAGCGGTTAAAAAAAGAGATTTCATAGGAAGTGAGTATTTGGTTTCCTTCTCTTTTCATTGTCTGATCCTTTCAATACTTGCTTATTGAAAACTCAAAAGCCATGAATCCAGTCTGCACTCAACGATCTCAAGATCGCACAAACTCCAAATATAATCAACAGTTCATAAACATTAGTTTTATCCGGTAAATTAGAATTTTGGTGGAAAATTCAGAGATTTCTATTTCATATTTCCTCATAATTCTTATAAAACGTTTCTCATCAACAATTGGCACTCTGGCCGAGTGGTCTAAGGCGCCAGGGTAAGGTTACCTTACCATACTTTCCTGGTCTCTTCGGAGGCACGAGTTCGAACCTCGTGGGTGTCAATATTTTTTTCCTTACAGTGGCTATGGCTTCATTTTTGAAAATTACGTCTTCTCAGATTGAAACCTTCTCACATCTTATAATTCTTCCATCTAGTACATTTCCCACTACTCCAGTCTACTATCTTTGGAGCAGCCTGTCACGTGTTTACGTCCATACAAACCGCGGGCCGGACATAACTAAGAGTACGCAGAGTTAACTCCAGTCATACTTCAAATGCTACATTTGACCCGAGACGCCCAGAATAAGAGTATCAGTGCACTTGAAGAAAACGAAAATGACTACAATAGTGGCTACGAGTCCAGCAGTTCCAGCGACACAAACTCACTCACGGAAGATTTGGATCAGATTGGCCGTATTCAGATCCCCAGACTCTCATCGTACTTGAGCAAGGAGAATCTCCCCAGCCTCTCCACACTTCCCAGTCTACCCCATTTCCCCACGTTCAACAATTTGACGAGTCTTCCATCTTTTCCAAATTTGCCCTCGGCCAATCTTCCGTCGTTTGACTTGACTGAATTCTCTAGGTATGTCTCTCAATATGTCCAAAATGCCACCTCCAAGATGTCAGGATCAGATTCCAAGGAGATTTCGCCCGAGGCTGAAACCCGCTTTGCCAATTCGGTAAAAACAGCGCTAGCAACAAGAATCCAAATGACAACCTTCTTGTCTGACTTGAAAGGTGGTTTGTCTCTACGAGCTGCGATCGATAGGTTGCAACCACTCACAGATGTAGTACACGAAGCCATCACGTTGCCTGCCGATGACGAATCAGATGATGAAATCATGCAAAACGACACTGAGCCTGTGGTGGTGGACGAGATCGTCAATCGGGAACAGCCTATAATGACGGAACTAATTGTTCCAGAAGGCGAAGGGAGCGAGGGCCAAGGGAAACTGGCTCGTCGAAAGCGTTCGCACGCGCATAAGCGGTCGTTTCATATGAGCAAATTGGCCACCAGTCGTCTTTCTGATGGCTACGATAGCAGTGCATTCACAGGAAGTGATGTGGACGAGCTAACGGCAGAGGAGGCGCGGGCCTTGACTCATTTGGATTCTCTCGATGATTTTTTCAAGGAAGATTTGCTTCGAAAGAGAATTCAGCGAATTCAGTCCTTGACTAATTTAAGCCAGCAGCTGAAGAACAAGTTGGTGACCAAGCTCATGATGGGTAATTACTACAGATATATCAACGAGAAGTTGTGGAACGAGAAGGGAATCACGCTAAGAAAGGAAGGTGGACTTACTTTGGATGACGATCTGTTGGCAGCAGCCACTAATGATGAGTCCGCATCGGACATGTATGTTGATAAAGGCTCAGAGAGTGATACTGAGGACACTAATAATAATAATGACAATTTTGATAGTCAACATGAAGAAGACACTTACGAGGATGACTTTGGGTATGATTATGATGATGACGATGACGATGGAGATGCAGTGGTGCTTACTGAGGAAGACCAGCAGCCGTCATTTTTTGATGAGAGCAGAAACATCATGGGCTGCAGCCACTATCAGCGCAATTGCAAACTAGAATGTCCAACGTGCCAAAAATGGTTCACATGCCGTTTCTGTCACGATCAACAGGTGACCGACCATAAGTTACAACGGTCCGAAGTGAAGCATGTGCTCTGCATGTTCTGCAACACCCCACAGTTTCCTGACTCGAGCTACTGTGTCAATTGTGAGGAGGAGTTGGCCAACTACTTTTGCTCCAAGTGTGTGCTATACGATAATGATCCGGCCAAAGACATCTACCATTGTGACAAGTGTGGCATTTGTCGGTTAGGACTTGGACTTTCCAAAGACTACTTCCACTGCGATGTATGCAATATCTGCCTTTCCATTGACTTGAAGGAACATCACAAATGTGTCACCAACACAACGCATTGCAACTGTCCCATCTGCAACGAATACCTCTTCACAAGTGTCAGCAAAGTTGTATTCATGAAGTGCGGACATCTGATCCACCAAATGTGCTACGACGAAATGATCAAGCATTCGTACAAGTGTCCCGTGTGCAAGAAAACCGTGATCAATGCTGAAACGCAGTTTCGGATTCTAGACCAAGAGATCCGACAGCAGCCACTTCCTGCTCCCTACAATATGTGGAGGTGCATTATTAGTTGCAATGATTGTAAAGGAAAGAGCAACTGTGCATATCACGTTATGGGACTTAAGTGTAAGTATTGTCAAAGCTACAACACACATCAAATCAAGTTGATCAAGCCCGAAGAAGAAGTTGACGAAGACAATGACGATGTCGATAGCAAATCCATTGGCGAGGAATCCAATGAGCGAATTACTTCGATGCGGCTCATGAAAACCAATTTGGGTTCCAACTTCTTGATCGAGGGCCAGAATGACCCCAACGAGCCGCACGAAAACGCCGATCGCGAAGTGACTATGACAGATGGTGCAGATGACGATGTTGGCAATTTGGTCAATTTCAGACGGTTGACCAAGGCAATTTTAGGCAACAAAGATGTTGACCGCCACTCTGTGACCAAAATGTTCCAAACTTTCATCAATTCCAGTATAATGGACATTGCCGAAGCCGAAGTGGAGTCGGATGCCAAATCCGAGATGGAAATTTTTGGAGGTTTCTAAGTTTGGGGACCGTTTTGGGCCGCCTGCACAGACCCCAACATGTCTGTTTTGGGCTTCCCCAGATGACGAAAGGGCAGGTCATGCGACCAACGGACGGTGTGTGGGTTGTTGTTGGAGGCCATGCAGCAATCTCAGCACGATCCGATCAACTTTCTTGGGTCTTTAGAGCAAGCCATTTGCGTTGGAAACTCTTGCACGTGACACACCCACTTAGTGAATAGCAAAAGCAAGCATTGGAAATTTACTCACATGGACAATAATGAAGAAAACACCCTTGAAACAAACGAAGTCAGAGAAAGCAAGTAGGACATAACCTCTTAGTTTCAACTTGATCTCAACGATTTTTAGCTGACCCTTCCGCCCCTCCCCCAACCTTCCCATGTTAGGCTAATTTGGCAACCTCCTTGTGTGCCGGTCGTCACCACCTCGTTCCGCTTCGTACACCATCAAACCCATAAGGCAAACTCCATCTAAGTTCTTCTCCACTCATCTTCTTACAAAAAGGACCCAAGGATATGAATTCGATCAAAAAATTGGTCATATCTTTGGAACCTTTCTACCCTGGTGCATCGCTCAGCTCCACCCCTGACCTAGATCCATTGAAGACGGTTGCGGAGGAAGATGAAGACAAGATTGATCAACCTGACGAATTGGTGGTCGAAGACACAAAACTTGTACGGAAACGCACTTGGTGGTCCGTCATTTCAGCTGTCTACTTCACAATCTTCATACGACCGGTGCTACTAGTCTGGCTTTTGATAACTTTCCCATTCACATACTTCTTCGAGCATGATTATCCAGCCATGGAGACAGAGGACGAAAATGAAGCCGATCTGCGTCGCGAGATGCTGAGGTCTGATATTGATGAGAAGACCGAGCTTCTCAAACGGGAAAAGATCATGGCTAATCACATAAAGTCCCCTACCGCATCCAAGTACATTATTCCGCCCCCACCACGTCTTTTCCCCAGATCCCGTAATCCAGAAAAGAAACGCAAACGGAAAACGCTTATTTTGGATCTAGACGAGACACTTATCCATTCGTTATCACGAGGTGCCCCAAGATCGTTGGGTTCCAGCAACTCATGTCACATGATCGAGTTGAAGGTCAATAACGTGGCCACGCTTTACTACGTCTACAAGCGACCATTTTGTGACTTTTTTTTGAAAGAGATATCACGGTGGTTCGAACTTCAAATCTTTACAGCGAGTGTGAAGGAGTACGCTGATCCCATCATTGATTGGTTGGAGAGCGAAATCGTAGATCACAAGCTGGCTGGCAAATCAGGTGCCAAATCCATCTTCACCAAACGCTACTATCGTGGCGATTGCACATACAGACAGGGGGTGGGCTACATCAAGGATTTGTCTCAGTTTGTTGCTAAGGAGGAGGATCTCAAGAACGTGGTCATCTTGGACAATTCTCCTGTCAGCTATGCCTTGCAGGAACACAACGGAGTGATGATAGAGGGATGGATTAACGACCAAAACGATCGTGATTTGTTGAATCTATTACCGATGTTGTATAGTTTGAGTTTGTGCATTGATGTGCGTTTCATTATTGGTCTACGAAATGGCGAGAAGCTCTTTGAGCAAAAGTAATGAGGGTTTGGGTTAAGACACTGATAGGTTAGAACGGTTATACATATGCTTATAAATTGGAATGTAGGAAGATTGATCTAATTAACGGGATATTTAGTATGTTCAGTAATTGTATTATTTTTTTTTTTTTTGATGGCAATGTTCTATCTGTAATGTCGCTTCACTGAGGAATACTTTGTGCTTTCTCACCAGATTTATCAATGCTCACACAATGTAAAAGTAACATTACACCACCAAAAAATCATAAACGCCACCAAATAATCAATAATCTTCAAAACCATAAACATTACTTAATTTCAATACATCTGATATACTCTCCCAATTTTATTTCTTCTTGCACACACAATAATCTCATGCATCTGGTTTCCATACCTCGCGACATCTCAAATCGACTCAAGTCCATCTTCATACTATGGTCTCACTCGAACATATCCATGATTGCTTGCAAGCACAGCCGAATTCCTCGGAAATTGCTAGTACCCTCAATAACTTGGGCACGCTTCTTCGAGATGAATCCAATCGTGCGGACCCACTCCTACTGAACATTATTCCTCTTGTACTTCCATTATACAACGCTGAACCTTCCGAGGTCATCAGGGTGTTGGTCAATTACACCGCAGACAACGAAGAGAATCGAGTATACTTGACATCACAAGACCCACGCGTCCACGATTTCTGGGCTGAGGCGATGTCTCAACTCAACGACACAACCTTAGGTCTTCATACGGTTCTTCTCTTAACACAATTCATTCACAATGTCGACGACGACAAGAAAAAGATCATGGTAACTTCGCTTCTTGACCTCGGTGTTGCAGAGAGGCTACTTGACTACTGTAGTAGCTGTGAAGAGAACAACAATCGTGACAACCTCTCGATGCCTTTAGAGCTTCTCGCGGAGTTCACTGCCATGAACCCGAAGAAATTTGGCTTGAAAGATCTTCTATGGGTGATTCACATCAGCTCTGGAATTATCAATGACTGTGATAGTGAGGATTGCAACGAGATGTTGTTGTATTCGTCGCAAATAGCCTTGAACGTGACGAATGTGGACCAATTGGATGGGTTGCCATCCAGCGAGACCTCTCCCATCTTGGAAATCTACGACCTCATGAACAAAATACCGTCTGATTTGGAGAACATTGCACATATCAAGAGAAATTTCTTCTCCACTTGCGGAAACATCTCATCGTATATCGACTACGATAATATGCTGGACCTAGCCTTGAACAGTGAGAATCTTATCAAAACCAACAATGATCTCTATGTGGCTGCGGCACTGGCCATTCTGATTGGAAACTGTGTGTCCAGCAAAGAAACCCAGTCGGAGGTAATTGACCAACTTAGACAACTTGCAGGCTTTGAAGCGATTGTTGAAGCTGTTCTACATCTTCAATTCGGAGATGTTGTTCAGTATCAAGCATTGCACTTCTTTAACAATCTTTTCACTAATGACACGGCAGATATCATCTTGAAAGAAGAAAATATATCCCATCTCGTTCGAATTTCCAAAGTCGTGGTTGATAACTGCAAGTACTACAAGGAAATTGGAGGCATCTACTTTAAGTTTATGCGAAAGCTAGTCACTACAGGCTTCGTGGGGGACCGCAATGTGTTTCTGTACGGCGATGTTTGGAACCAGTTGGCTTCCGCTGAGTCCGACTCGGGAATGAGTGAGGTCGAGATGCTTCTTTTGCAAGCGATTTCCACATCACCAGTGTCCAAAACCCAGTGGATCGCCAACTCTGCTCTTGTACAAAACTTACTAGCAGAGACCCTCTCGGTTGAAGGAACTATCGATGGAACATTGATTCTCGCCAAAATCAAGACGTTGGCAGTTCTACTTCAGAATTATTCTTGTACAGATATGGAGGCAAGTTTAGGACCAGAAACGTTTGTGAAGACGTTTGCCGAACCTTTCTACAAGTTGATGGAGCAGCTCTCGCAGACTCTTGCCGAAAGCACTACAAACCACAATGCAGCCGGCCAGAAAGCAGCAGTTGCCAATAATACGAAATATGTGGCTGCCATAGCAGCAGAAAAATTCTCCCAGTTGCAGACCCCTGAGCCACTTTATCAGCAGATCGTCACTGTGTGTTCTGCGATAGTGAGGCATTGAAAACGGGTATGAACGGCATTTGGCGGGAACCCGCGGAGAATCATGGTGGGGTTCTGTACCTGAACACAGGATGAAAAATTACCTTGGTAGACACTACTGTTGAAATTTCCGCCAGTGACTCAGAAGTATAAAGTGACCAAAATCCGCCAAACAGCTTCAATATTTTTGTTTTTTCCGTTTCCATCGCATAATGACTGTCAACTCCTACTTTTCTCAACTTCAGGCCTCCAAGCTCGACCCTATCGTGGAGCTCATGACTTCCTACGCCAAGGACACTCATCCTAACAAGATCGATGTCAGTATTGGAGTTTACAAGACCGAAGAAGGTGATCCCAACTACATCTTCCCCTGTGTCCAGGCTGCCAAGGAGAAGTTGGCTGCCAAAGATCCTGGCCACTGCTACACTCTGATGTCTGGTATCCCCGCATTTGTCTCTAGTGCCCAAAAAACCATCTTTGGTGCCAACCACGATGATGTGGTTTCTGTCCAGGCCATCTCGGGTTCTGGAGCCTTGCATTTGGCTTTCAGTTTCCTCCTCCAGACTGGTCTTCACGACTTCTACGTTGGTGCTCCAGCCTGGAGTAACTACCGTTCCATGATTGAACATGCTGGTGGAAATTACCACGAGTACCAATATTACGATCCAGTTGCCAATGCTGTGGACTTTGAGGCTGCTGTGGAAGCCTTGTCTACTGCTCCAGCCCGCTCTGTATTTGTCTTGCAGGCTGTGTGCCACAACCCTACTGGCTGTGACTACACCAAAGAACAGTGGGCTCAGATCTTGGATATCATCCAAACCAGAAACATCTTCCCCCTCTTTGACATTGCATACCAGGGATTTGCCAGTGGCGACATCAACGACGATGCCTGGGTCATCAGAGAGGCCTACAAGCGTGGCTTGGAGTTCGTGGCCTGCCAGAGTTACTCCAAGAACATGGGCTTGTACTCCGAGAGAGCTGGTTGCACGCACGTCCGCATCAATGACAAGGAAGTGGCCAACAATGTTTCGTCCCTGTTGGTTGCTACCATCAGAAGCGAGTTCTCATTTGCTCCAGCTTTTGGTGCTAGAGTTGCAACAATTGTTCAACAGGACGAGCAGTTGAGCAAGGTATGGGCTGAAAATGTTCTTGCTGTCACAGAAAGACTTGAAGGTGTCAGAAGACAGGTTTTGAACAAGCTCACAAAGTTGCAAACTCCAGGGAACTGGGAACCTATTGTTAAGCAGAACGGATTGTTCTGGTACTCTGGATTGACACCTTTACAGGTTGAAAAGTTGATTGAGGAACACCACATTTACGGAACTTCCAATGGTAGAGTGAATGTTGCTGGTTTGAACAGTTCCAACATCGATGCCTACTGTGAGGCCATTGATGCTATTGTTAGAAAATACCCATTTGAGGCTTAGATTTTGGTTTTGGAAAAGTTTGATTGACAAGTAATGAATGGAGTAATAGAGTAAAAGTTCAAGAACGATTGCAGATTAGTGGGCTTAAAAAGGAATAGATTGATGTTTACGCTTGATTGTAGTCTACATTTATCTTTCTATTCATGCATTGTAATTCTGGTATGAACCACTAGGTGGAGAAAATCAAAAGTGAATATTGCATCATTATGATGTTTGCTTGTGAATCTTCTTGAGATGGGCCTTCAAATTGTCCTTTCTATTGAAGCGGCGCCCACAATCAGGAAAATCACATTGGAAAGGTTTATCAGTGGAGTGACTTTTGAGATGCCGCTTGACGTGCTCAGGTCGCTGGAAGCGAGCAAGGCACAAAGGACATTTATGCTTTTTCTTGGGATCGTAGACGTCTTCTTCTGCCTGAACAACGATGGGCCGCTTCAGGTCGGAATTGAGGATCTCCTCCGCAAACTTTGCAATCTCATCTGTGGCAGAAGTTTCATGGATCTGGGACGCAGTTGGGTATGTGGGAACTGAGCCAGATCCAGAACGTGAGCCAGGCATAGTCGATGAACGCGATGAAGGAGTTGAATGTACGTGCTGGAGCGAAGACGAAGAACGTGTAGCAGCTATGGGCGGTAGAAGGCCATTAGATGTAGCAGTAGGAGACGCCTGAGTGATCCCAGAATTGGTGATAGAGGCAAGATCTATCGATGCTGGATAAGACTTCAATGACGATGGCCGATCTTTGGCCATTAGTTCAGGCAGCAAGAGGTCTATGGATGCTGACTTTCTGAACGGGAGGGGGGTTGTACCTTGGAAACCGGAGCTTGGTGGAGGCTCCACCTTGAAGTTGCGCAGACTGGCAACACGAGTGAGCTTGTTCATTGGCTCCTGGAACGTGTTAAAGGACTTAGCCTTGCGTAACTGTTTACATGCATCGTCCTCCTGGTCTTCGATTTTGATGGACTCCATGGTATCGTGACGACGGAGAACTGGAACACCGGAGTAGCCCTGGGACATGGAGTGAGCACCCAGTCCCCCATGACTCAGGTATGGCAAGTAGCCCAGCAGGAGCCCCAGGCTGGATGACTCGACTAGCGAGCCTCCAAAGCTGTGATTCTGTGAGATGGGGGTGAAATACTGAGGAGCAGCCATGGACTTCGCCGGAGTGGCTAATGGCGTGGCATCGTAGTCGCTGAAGCTGTTGTCCAATTTGGGTGATATGAAGGACATTTCAAACGGATTAGAGCCCAAATGCTGAGAGCTTTGTGAGGCAGGGTTGTAAGAACCAGAGCCCTTCATGTTGGCGATGGTTGCCAACATGTGGGCCGAGCCAGGTTCCATGGCCTTCAGGCGGGTACGGCGATGAGTCTTTGGAGTTTTGCCCACTTTTAAGCCCGGCGAAGGGTTCTGGCCCCGTAATGGCGTGGTGTACAAATTGACAGATGAAATAGATGCGGACTTCTTGCGGCGAGCCGGGGTGGTCAGCACCATTGCCAGGTACGGAGAGTCCAAGAGCAGCTGGTTGGAGGCCAGCAGCAGGAGTTGGGGCATCAGGTCGCCCAGATGCAACGTGGATGACAGTACCGAGTGGGTGAACATGCCCAGAGGAGGATCCGCAGATATTGACACCGAATGGGTATGGCCGGTGACCGGAGCATAGTTTTGCGCCGAGAGGTTATGGGAAGACATGCTGTGGGACGCAAGGTTCTGATTTTGCGGGTTGTAGCGGTCGTCCAACGACACGTTGCGCAGATGATTGAAGTTGAAGCGAGAGCCCTGGTTCAACAGAAACGGAGCCAGAAGCAGCGCCAGAAACGGCGCCAGCAGGCCATCCACCGAAAAATGCTTGGAATGGCGGGCACTGTGATGCAGCAGTGGCGCCTGAGCATCGAAATCCAAGTTCAACGCCAGGTCGTAATGGAAGTCGGGGAGGTCAGTCGCAAAGTCCATGTCGTCGTAGACTGGACTTTCGTCCAAGTCTCGGGGCAGAAGGTCCCTTGCCTGGAAGTCTTTGATGGTGTTGTCCTCGTCCATGTGTGGATCAGAAGCGAGAAACGGTTGCGAGAGCTGAGTGGGAGAGCTCATAAGGTACTTTTCCATGTTCCATCACCAGCAAAGTAGCGAGGCTTGGAATGTACTGGTTTGGCCAACTAAATGGGAGCAGCAGGTGAGGCTTGGATAATTGACTAAGCAGGCGAAGGGGCGGGGTGGGAAAGGAATTTTCACGGCCTGGAGTGACGACGAGTCGTGAGTGGATAGAAAAAATTTTCTGGTTGTTTGGATTGACTCGTCGAACGAACTTCTAGCGAGAATCGGATAAAAGTGACTTGAGATTGGGTGAGTATTTTTTTTCTTTTCTCTGTAACGGACTGTGAAATGCGACTGATAACTTATGGTTGCGAGTACTTCCACTAGTGGTTTGGTGCCAGGGTTGGCGGGAGGGTTTCGAGACAGAATTGAGGGAAAAGAAAAAAACGTGGATCGACTGGAGGACGTTTTAGGGGGAAGAGACTTTACGGACGTGTTATTTTCCTTGTTTTTTTTTTTTTGTTGAATAAATTTCAAATCAGACAAATTGTGAAATGGGTTGTTTCACATTGTGCGCCTAATGTCGGAGACTTTCCTTCTTTGGACAAACAAGGCGGTGAGGTCAAATCCGTACCTTCGACGCGTGTGGAGAATTAATTACTCGCCTCAACGGAAACGCGTTGTTTACGCCGAGATCCGCCGAGAGGTACCGATGTTTCTCTCGGAGATTCTCCGCGAATCGAAATCTGGGTTGACTCTGCCAAAAATATTTACGATGAGGCACGGGTTTATGTCTAACAATCAAGATTTACGGAGTGTAATAGAATTTTAAATATGGATGTAGCTGGTGATAAATGAAGTGGATATAATCAGGGAATAAATTGGGTGATTTTCAAGATTGATGCGAGAGCAGTAGGAATTTTTGATGCAGCGTCCAACTGGGGATGTCTATGTTGTTGACTAAATGTCCATGAAGATAAGATGTCAGGAGCAAGGTCATGGAAAAGAAAGCAAGGCAGTGACATTTGGGGCAAGGTCGATATTGAATTTTGAGCTCCTTTAATAAACTGGGTAGATTTGCTTCTGTCAATTCATCTATGACGTTCGAATTTACGCATCAGCTTGTATTGAGGAAAATCAAAATGTGGTCTGCAAAACATAAGATACGGGAGGTAATTATTTTGCACTTCATACCTGACTTCTTTTGAATAGCTCCAGATAATAATTGGTGACGAAAGTTGCAATTTGTACGGAATGTAGAATTTCATATTGGTGTTCTAGTGAGATAAGTGTTTCTAGAGTTTCAGACAAACAACCTTCCGCCCACGAGAATGAAAGTAACGGATCTCTTCGTTCATCTTAGCTAGGAGCTTGGCCAAAAGCTACTGACATTTCAAAATCTAGCTTTCAGCAGCTGAAAGAGCCAAACGAACATAAATCCAACAAAAACACGAGAGCACATATCTAAGGAAGTTAAATCAAATACTCGTCACAGTCAGATTATTCTCCATGATACGGAAGTACAAGAAAATAAGAGTGTCTATTGAGGCAGTAATGAATCCCATATTGGAATTCATTCAATTTTAACGATGTGAGGATACTCAGGAAGTCTTACTGAGGAGAGTGGTGCAAGGTATATACCACAGTACAGATAGCCATAGAGCTCCCGAGTAGCAGATTACCTTTTTCCGGAAGTAAGTCGATGCTTTATGCTGCTGGTAGAAATTAGTACATTTCTGCAAACCCATTTATGGTCGTAGCTGGCTGTGCTTAACATTTCAACATCCAAGTTTTCTCTCTTGTTTGTTTGTAGCTAGGAAGAGTTCTAGGATGACCAGACATTATATCAAATTAACAGACTTTGGATCAGAAAAATCTTACATAATGACCAAACAGGCTAAGCTGCAGTCTCTTCAATAGAATTATTTCACATTATGGTGGAATTCATGGCAGAATTTCAATTGAGAATCGGAAGTTCCCCGTTTCTAAACCCCACAAAACATATGCCTAGCATTGCATTCTGCAGTCTCAAACATCATTGTCTACTCTACTCTCTACCCTAACTCTCTCTCTCTCCAATTCATTGACTCATACTTATGGGTTCTGCTTGACAAAGTCAACACCCTTCTTGATGTTACCAATCAAGGTCTCCTTGGCCTTCTTGACCAACTCCTCCTCGTGGTCAGAAAGCTCACCCAATGGGTGGATGGTGTGGACACCCTCTGGACCAAGAGTAACCTTAGAAGAGAAGAAGTCAACACCCTCGTCCTTGAACAATGGAGAGTCAACAAAGGTTGGCTCAACAACGTCCTTCTCACCAGACAAACCGTTCAAAAGAGAACCAGCGAATCTAGCACCAGCCTGAGCCATAGACAAGGTGGCGGAACCAGCACCGTTCTTGGCCTGAACAACCTCGTCACCACCGAACTGGATTCTGTGGATCAAAGCGTCTCTCTCCTCAGTTGGCAAGTCCTTGTGGGTAGTCTGAGACAACAATGGAACAATGGTAATACCAGAGTGACCACCAACAACGGTAACCTTCTCGTTGACTGGGTTAGTACCGGCAACCTCGGAGACAAATCTAGAAGCTCTCAACACATCCAAGGTGGTAACACCGAACAACTTCTTAGGGTTGTACACACCCTTGGACTTGAACACCTCGGCCACAATTGGCACAGTCGAGTTGACTGGGTTGGAGATGATAGCCAATGCAGCCTCTGGGGCGTACTCAGCAGCAGCCTTAGCCAAGTCTCTGACAATGGAGGCGTTAGTGTTGAACAAGTCGTCTCTGGTCATTCCTGGCTTTCTTGGGACACCGGCTGGGATGACAATGACATCAGCACCAGTCAAGGCGTCCTTCAATCCCTCAGGCTCGTAGCCCTTAACGGTGGAGTTGGTTGGCACATGGGAAACATCAGCAGCCACACCTGGAGCACCTCTCAAGTCGTAGAGGGCCAAGTCAGTAACCTTGTGGTTCAACTTCAACAAAAGCGACAATGGTTGGCCAATACCTCCACCGGCACCCAAAACGGCGACCTTGAAGGCGGAAGATGGCGAGGACGAGAAAGATCTAGAAGCGACTTTGAACATTGCTAGAGTTTTATGTGGAAAGAAAAAAATTCATCCGGAATTGGGAACTTTATATAGTGTTGAGGGTGGGCCCGCGGAACCTTTTTCGATCACCTTGTCAACCAATCAGATGGGGCTAACCTCGCTACTGCACTGGGGTCCGAGCCACTCCGAATTCTGGGGAATCGGAAGAGTGGAAGAGGAAAACAATTGGAGGACTTTGAGAGACTAATGGGGTGGAATATTTGTTTGGAAGGGTTAGATCAGGAGACGGTTTTTGAATTTGGCCTTGAAGATTTTGAGAGGCACATGAGGCTATGTTGCAATTGGTTGAGTCAAGTTGGAGGTTTGTCGCAGTCAATGGAGCAGAGAAAATTTGAGATTATGGGGGAAGAAAATGTGGAACTCTGGGGATGATTTTTGTAGATTCGACGAACAAAAGTTATGGAAGAATTGCAGAAATGTGGATATTCCTCTCGATCTGACTTGACAATCCGCTCCAATATGGCCATGACATGCAATTTTTTCTGGTTTCGGTGATTAAATATTGTGGCTGGAGATTTGACTGTGAAAATGGCTAAACGGCTCGATCATACAGGCCAGTGGTACCCATACCAATGTCTGGTTTTTCCGGATGAGAACTCTATTTGAGATTCTCCACGTGATGAAATACAGACTATTAGTATTTTTTGGGACATCAGGGTTTGGCCTTTGTGTGTTTCTTGCTCGATTTGCTCAATCTGTCTTGGTATTACTGACAATTATGATCTCACCAATCATCGTAAAGTCCTGATGAGGATTTTGAATAATGGGCGAGAAGTCAACATAAGACAAATTTTTGCGCCTAGATTTCAGAACCGATGTGAAACAGTAGAAGAACTTTGCCGGGCCGAGATAGTGATCATTGCTTTCTAAAAATAGTTTGCATTCTGATTTCGTGTGACTTAGGTAAGTAGAAACATCGGTATTATTGGTCTGTGCTTTCGTTTATTCTATTAAACTTCTCACCACAAGAAAGTGTGCCAAATGGAACTGATAAATCGTGAAGTCATTACCGATAATAAGGATGATGTCCACTTCAAAAATCGAAATTAACAACCATATTCATCACGTTGTGAAACACCAGCCGAGTTGGCTATTGATGCAGTTTAATCAGCACCCACTCTACAACCCTGATTATCTGCTTAGTACAATCATACTGTGAGTAACAATCGTTCTCAGCAAGACAAGACTCAAATGCAGATACAACGTACTGGGCATCTTCCCTCACACACCTCGTGAAAGCAACCCAAGCATTCAACTGACCATATTGAAGAGAAGTGCTGAAATAAAGTAGTCATACTCATACTGAAAACCTGAAAACAAACAATACTAAACCGACGCCCCATATCATTTTCTTGTTTAGTTGACTTCATAATTACCACTGAGAGAGTAACCCATTTTAATACTTTAAATACCCCAAAATACCATAATACAGATAACTGTATTGTTATTGGCGATTCTAATTGGTAAACGCAAGAATTATGGTACGTCAATTGACAGTTGCTTCTGCAATCTGCGTTTCGTTCTGGTCTAGGTCAATCTGATGAAATTTCTATTGCAACTTATAGACACCTCGCGCATATTGGGACAACAGGATTTATAGAACATTTGGCTTTCCATCAAGACGATAGAAAAGTTCCTTCAAAATTATCAATTCCGACCACTAAAAAAAAGCATAAAAAAACAATCATTGTAAAACTAAAAACAATCTATCATTAAGTACCTCCCTCAATTTCCGAAAACGGGCTGCTATTATTATGCAGAGCCACATTAGATGTTTCATTTAAAAAAGGATTGCAAGGTTTCCAAAGGAACAGCCGAATTTGAAAAGTGTTTGTTTCGACCATCACCACAATAAAATCAAGTTACAATGGCCTCGAGAAAGTATCTTGAAGCCTCGCATGTCTTACAAGTTTACCGTCAATTTATCAATATGGTTGATGCAAATTGACAGAATAATACGAGGACATGCAGTCAACAAGTATATAGGTCTGCACTCATCAGAAGGACGAAATCATTTGGGGGTTTTTGATCTCCCTTCAAAGATTTCAGCATAGAGGGTTTCAACGTAGTTGAAAGCTGCATCAAAACAGGTATTGTGAGCTCATAGCAATTGTCTAACTCGGGAAGTGCTTATGGTTATCTTTTCCTCACTCCGATCGCCAACGTCCCAGTATCGAGAACACAACGCTGGATTTTTGTTTAAAATTATTCGAAGTGGAATTCTATTCCTTTTTTAACGCAACCATCATAGTCCAGGCTTACCGGACAATACTCAAACTTTTCTCTGCTATCAGGTAATTCAGACACATGGCTTTATGAGCCACTCATTGTCAAAACACTTTCCCTATTTTTTTTCTGATTTTTTGGGCACGAAAGTGCATAACAAAACACAAGTCGTGAGTTGACACCTAAGATCTGCCATGTCAAAAAAAAGCCTGAAAATACACATGACAGTATCAGAAATCAAAATCTTGGGCCACATAACCGCTCCCTTGTATAAACCACTTCACTGCCCTTCTCACAATCAGTATATCTTGTCCAGTTTTTGTTAATCAGCATGAGTTTAGGCGATATCATTGGAATTAACATGAAGGAATCCTACTTACTGTGGTATGACAGTGTCGTCATCGGTTACACTTAACAGTGGATTCCTTCCGCTGACTTTTGTGAGCTTACCCTTAACATCTGCTCGATAGACGACACTATAATTTCCCTGCGCACATTTGCTGTTGTTGTAGGCTTGAGAGGTTTTTATGAAGAATTAGAAGTTAATGGCGATGATGAATCCACATGCAACATAACGGAGACCGTGACACTGACTGCGACCACAGCTGAACCCTTATTTCCTGCTGATATACAATTAAAGAAGTGATTATGCGGATCATCGGCGGTGACAGTATTCATTGCTTAATTCCTGCGTGCCGTAATTGTGCCTCTTACAAAACTGGAACTTGTCACACAAAGCGCTCCAGCCGATGGCAGCAGTAACGGAGTCTTATTTCAAAAAACCTGTGAAGCGAACTTGCGTTTTGCTGTGAACGAATTGGTGTACGCATTTGAAATCTGGCCAGAGCGACTTTTTCATAAGAAACACTATCTGGTTTTTCCGGATGGAAAAAATTCCGAGTTCTCCATGAGTAATGACTTCCACGTATTTTGTTTGGGATCATCAGAGTATAAATTTGGAGTGATGCTTCGTAGATTTGCTGTGTTCTGGTGTTCTGACAATTAGATTCTCATATTACCAATTCTAAATTATTATTCGTTCTTAGGTAGTTTTTTTTTCCTGGTTATTATAACTTATTGATAGTTTACTTTCAAAAAATTCAACATACAAAACATCCATTTGTCGAGATTGTCACTACAAATTCTCTTCCACTCTAGTATAGGTAGGAAAGCCTAACCGTGTAACGGACTCGATTTTGACACAAATTCCCGAGAAGCAGTTTGAAACGTTAAGTTGTATGCCCAAAGTCGTATGGAAGTAGTTATCTCTCCTGGTGTCTTTCAAGCTAACCGAATTCAAATCGCAGTAGTCTTTCACGGCCATGAGTGAGAGGAGTCCTACCCATTACCATCGAACGACCAATGGCAATTGCTTTACGATTGTTTCATCTAAGACAAGGTGGTTTTCGGAGTCGCTTCACTACATCTTTGAGTTCAAGCCTTTTTGTCGGTAGAAAATATAAACTTGGTGCATACTTCGCGTTCTCTACACTGTTGCAAGCTTCTTTATTTCAGCATCAAATCGGATCGATGCTGACCATACTGGTAGAAAGAAATGAGATGTTTACACAATGTATAGAGATATCTATTTCTCCTTGCCGATCGTTAGTGAGCTATGCGCTGAAGAACGTCTAGGGGCCTTTGTTTCTGCCTTATCAAAATAGCGCTACCAACTGAAATCAAACTCTACACAGCATCAATAACGATTCTGGATGAACTGTCGCGATGTTTGTAGATGGATTGGAGCCAACTACGGTAAAGTTCGGAAGCGAAACACAATCAAGACAATTGAATAACCCTAACGATTTTTCCTTTTTTGATTTATTATTGAAGATTCTGGCCAAAGACACACTATAATTATAGTTAAACTATCATAGACCTTCGTTTCTATTGTCATCCGGATAAAAAGTTAGCTTTTGAAAGATATATTTTCCTCATGTAATTCTCAAAATAATTTCCCCCAACAGAAGCCTTTATGGCCAAGTTGGTAAGGCACCTCACTAGTAATGAGGAGATCGTCAGTTCGAATCTGGCTGAAGGCATGATTTTTTGGTGTATCGCGACTTCATACTAACATTATCTTTATATTCTCATCTTATCTTTTTACTCATCATAATGTCAAAAGACCAAGCTAAAAAACACTCTATGGACATCTCCCACGTGGCGGCGGTGGAATTGCCTCTCGTGGTGAGGAATACCGATAAGGCAATTGCCATGTTGGGAGGAAAAGACAGAATCAAAAGAGCTCTCGATTCTCAGTATAAACCTCAGGCTATTCAGCCCAGCAGCCATTCCGTGGATGACAAGAACTTGGAGTTGCGCCTCCGAAATGATCCATTTCACCATCCTATTCAGGCCTCTTTCAACAGAAGAGAGAAAATTCTCCTCAAAGTATCGATCCCAAAGTCCTCTTTGCCTAGTGACTACTATGAAAACCCACATAAATATACCATTCGGGACTTGATTGGGAGAAATTCAGATAGTTCAGGACCCTCGCACAAGGTTGAGCCTGTGGCTATCATCAACAAAAATTACACTTTCCGTGCAATTGCGGACTTTCAGATGTCCACCAAGAACAACCAAACTGTGCAAGATTTCAATAAGAATATGCTCAATGTGCGTAACTACGAGGACTTGGAGAAGTACTATAAGGAGAAGCTCGAGGTCAAAGACGATTTTAAGGACCTGCTGAACTATGAGAATAAAGTCCACAACTTTATTCCTCCCCCACATTTCAGTGGAATCAGATTCCCTTTCGACTTCAAATATCAGAAGAGTCCCTACACCGTCACATTAAAAGACACCAACGGCGATGTCAAGGTTGTGATGAAATCCGACAGCAAGAAGTTGTTCACGAATACTGTGGATTACTACGGAGATTCAGTGCCCCAGTATCCATTGCCAGAAATCATCAAGAACTACGACTGGCTCTTGAAATCAGATTTGTCTCAAGAATACGCAGATAAGAAATTGTTTGATTGCATCCAATACTTGACCATGCTCTTTGATGTGAAACCTATTTGGCTTAGAAAGCTGCTCATTGATGCAACACCAGAGAATCTCAAATCTGCTGTGAAGGAGGCATTGCCGTACGTCTCCTACTGCTACAAGAACGGACCGTGGCGGTTCTGTAACGTTAAGTTGGGTGTGAATCCTAAACATGACTCCTCTTACTGGATATACCAGAGTGAATACTTCCGGTTACAAAGACTTGCGAGAGCTGATGGAAGGGAATCAGGCGTGCGGATAGTTCCAAATACCATCAAAATATCTAGCGATAGAACAGACATTAAGCTCTCAGAAGATTTGTTTTTCACCGGACTAAAGCTTCCCAAGGCCATTAACTACCAAATTGGAGATATTATGGACGCCGATATTCTTCGGGTGGTGGAGAGAGCTCAACAAAAAGATGGAAGCTTTTTCCGAGAAACCGTGGACTCACAGGATGGATGGGTTAAAAAACAAGTCATGGAAACCATCCGCAGAATTGTCAGGTATAAATTGCGTCGGTTGCAAAAAGAAGAAGCGATAGACTCGGAGAAAGTGGAAAAGATCATATCTACAGACTACACCGAAAAGGATTTGGCTGATGGCCATGGAAAGGAGGAAGATGACGATGATGAAGACAATGAAGTAATTGATAATCCTGAAGAAGAAGACGATGGAGGAGAAAATGACGAAAATGAAGAAGCTGAAGTTGAAGTTGAAGTTGAAGAGGACGAGGACGCGAACGATACTCCCATAGTCAACGAGGAAACTATTCTCCACCGAATTAAAGAGGTGGACCCACAAACAGCAAACAAAATCAACTCCTTAGTGGGTCTCATAAAACAGGATTCTATCGATCAGGCATAGTGTTGCGGTTCTAAAAGGGTTTATTCTATAGTAGGGTGGAAAAGGGTCTATGCACACCAGACGAAACTAAACACGTATTTCGGTGAGAAAACTGAATAGTGGTCTCTACTCCGTACAAACAAATGACGAAAGCCACCGAGACATTTGTTGCAGTTTTCGCAGTCAGCGCAGTGTACTTTGCACTCTACTCTGGCGTTATTCCAACGACCACATTGATCCACGATGAGATTTTGCCATACTTGCCATTCTGGGGGTTGGTGACCTTTGGTGCATACGCATTGGGCACCTTGGGTTGGGGTGTGCTTACTTTCAAAAACAAGGAGGCCAGCTACAAGGAGTTGTTGCAGCAAATTGATGAGGCTAAGACCTTCTACAAGAGCAAGGGTCTCAATTTGGATGAATAGACATGAATAAATAATATATGCAAGGGGTCAGTGGCCTACTGCTTTTGAACCTGGAGTATGTAGCAATGCCCAGACCAGAACCCCAAGAGCATCGACAAGCTTCGTAATGAACTTGAGAGTGATATCAGTAGAGCTTTTTGAAGAACACTCAACAATTGAACTGTAGGACAACACCACTTTAACGTGATGAAATAGGAAAAGAACTTGTAGAACAACTAGGCTTCGACCCGTTGCTGCTTCTGCTGCCGCTGTTGCTGTTTTCTCTTCTCCCTCATTCTCTTCTCCATCTCAGCAAATACCTTAATCAGTACTGGCACATTTCCCCACGATTCCCTCTCCTCCACCTTTCGAGCCTCAGTTGCCAGATTGGCAAGTGAAGCGGGCAAGTTCTGCTTCTCTAAGTATTGGACAGGTGGATGGAAGTCTGCGGGCCACACTCCGCCTCTCTGCACTAACTTCTCTGCAGCTTCCTTCCTCTTTCTGTTCCAATCTTTAACATCGTCGTTATACATCTCCCATACGCAATTTATACATCCACTCATGCAGCAATTGTCTGGCTCGCCCGGTTTATCAGGAACCTCGACGCCGGCGATCATTCGTGGCTCGCCCACGTTCATTCTACTGGAGCTTTGTCTGGTTTCTCCTGCGATTCTTCCTCCAAACACTCGGGCAATCTTCTCCTCAGCAGTCATGTCATCTAACTTGTAGTTGCCTTCGAAAGTTGTCTTGGTTGTTTTCTTCAACTCCTTCAACTCCTTCGAAGTCATTAGCAGCGCTTCAATGGGTTCCTGGGGATGAGTAGCCGTTTCTAATAAAAGATCGTAGAACTTGTACTTGGAGGACCACCGCCTGCTGACGGCCGAGAAACTCCTCGTGGCTGTGAGTCTTATTGTGTTTCTAATCATCTAGTCTTTTTGATTGGTCACCTAGTGAAAGTTGATTGGTGAAGCAAAGTTGGTTGGGGTAAGAAGTATGTGCACGAACGCAGTTATATAGCTTACCCAGTGGAGAAGATGAACAAGCAAGACGGGTAAAATTAGGTCAGCTAATAGGGAGAGATAAAATATTCGGAGCACAATTTCAAATGAAAAAAAAAATACAAATGCTGAAACATGGAATGGGTTTGGGTAGACTCGATTCGGTCTGCTTAGTCATATTCAGATAGTTTATACAGTGTCGATGTCGAAGGCTCTCAAAGCTTCGTCTATGCTGAGGAAGAACCCGTCGCCTAGTCTGGTGGAAACGTTGAAGCTGTGGTTCAGCTCAGCGGTATCAAGCAGTAGGTACGATCTGGCCTTGTAAAACTTGGTGTAGTTGCTGTTGACTATCTTTGTAAGTCCCAGCCGAATGAAGCGATCTCTGACCTGTGAATTCATTGAAACTCGGCAAAAACTCACACAGATTTTGTCAACCTCGCTGTATCTTTTAACAGTTTCATAAAGTGCTTGCGTAGCAGAGGCGTCCATCGACGTCATTCCCTTACAATCGATGATGATGAACTTAATGGCTCCAGTGTCAAAGCCACTGATTGAGGGCTGCGAAGGATGGACAGAAAGAGTGCCGAACTTCTCGATTCTAGTAAGTTTGCTGCGAAGATCTCCTAAGTTGGCAAAGTTCAACGGTTCAGGAATCTTGATGATCAAGACTCCTTCGATCTGCTGAATTTCTGCCACAAATTCAGCCAAGTTTTCTCCCACCTTGGAGGCTGATGAAGGTTGCTCCACATGCGACGTGAAGCTCTCTTCAATCAACTCATCGGCATTACGAAAAACAGAGGTATTGGGAACACGTCCGAGGATGTGGATTTGGGACCTTGTACCTTGCTTGATAACTCTCACCACGGCAATGACAACTCCAAGCATCATTCCCATTTCCACAGACCAGAATATTGTGGCACAAAAGACTGCAGCAAGAATCATGATTTCATCGTAGCCACTGATACTCCAGAAAAATGCAATATCTTGAGGAACTTCCTCCAATATAGTAATACCGATAATGGTGGTGCTCAACGAGAGAACGCACTCAGGCAAGTAGTAAAGTGAAGGTAAGAAAAGTCGAACTGCCAAAAGAATAGTGAGTGACATGATGACAGTTGCTAATGGAGTGGAGGCTCCGGCAGATATGTTGATCTTAGATCTTCCCAACGCTCCAAAAGAAGGCATCCCTCCAAAGAAAGTAAGGGCAAAGTTGCATGCACCAAGTGCAACTAGCTCTCTGTTTGACGAGACGTTATAGTTGTATCTAGCACCGAGTGCTTTTGTTGCGGTAGTGGAGTCGAAGAAGCCGAGAAGGGCACATAAGCACGATGTGGTAAACACTTGCTTGAAAAGCGGGAGTCTGGATACATTGAATGGGTTGATGAAACCAATTTTATCGCTTTTGGATCCATCGTTCAAGTTTCCCACTACCTCGATTCCGAGACTCTGCCAGTCGAAGCGATAAGACAACCCCGTTGCTATTACCACCATACCTAACAACTCTGGAAAGTATACCGCCCATTTCATGTTGAACTTGGATAACAACACCGTTTTCAACTTTCTGATTAAGAGAACTGTCGCCAACGTGACAACCGTGACGACGACAGTGTCCACATGGGCTTCCTTACCATGCTCGAAAGCGAATGTCAACTTGTCTACAATCAGTCTGTGAGGAAAATGTACAGACAATTCCTGGAGCCCCATCTGAATATCCAACTGATTGGCTATCATGATCACACCCATGGCACCGATAAAGCCCTTCAAGAGCGACCTAGAAAGAACATTGTCGAGGAAACCCCATCTAAGCAAACCAGTTGCTAAGAGAACGCCCGACATGCCCACGGAGATTATGGAGCTCACCTCCAACGGCAGGAACTTCGACAAGTCACTTTTTGAATGCAAGAGTGTCTCAATCATTTGTCCATACAAAACAGCTGTTCCCGGCAGCGGTCCCACTACCAAAACAGGAACACCGCCAAAGATGGCATAAACTAACGCAACTGTCGCTGCAGAATACAATCCCACCAACGGAGGCAACTTGGCCAATGATGTAGCCAACGACATCACTAATGGGATCTGGAAACTGGCAAGCGAAGTTCCAGCAAGCAAATCGCCAATGAAACTCTTTCGGGAGTACTGTGGGAGCCACCTGAGAATAGGCAAGTAGTACGACACATATGCATACCAGTCGAAGTCCTTAGCGGTGATGAGATCGAAGTTGATGGAGTCAATGTCATGGTGTTCCAACACAGGTTCCATGCTTCGAGCAGACCTGATGGACTGTGACAGAGGAACCGTCAAAAGAGGTGGCCTTCGCTTAGAAGGAGGAGGCAGACTAAAGAGGAGTCGTGTGTTTTCGGTGGGGGCAGTCATTGTGTGGAAAAATGCCTGTGGTAGAAGTTGTAGCGGAGTACAATAGCACAATGCCGAGCAATGATCAGTGCGAAAGTGAGTGAAGTTCGGTGAGTACGATAATGCGACTTGGAATCGACAATTAAACCACTAGCAACGATAACAACGCCGAAAAGCCAAAGATCAAATCTAATTGTAGTATTGATAAGGACGGAGAAAAAATCGGATCTACAAAGGTAGTGCGGAGATGGTCGTCTGGTCGACATGATTTCTGATTGTGAGCTCTGAACAAAGAAAATACTGTCCTAGGATCTCAATATGATGAATAAATACTTAAGTCTTTTGCAAAATAATCTTCTCCAAGAGCTCGTTTGTGCCAAAAGGATTTTGCATGTAGAGATTATGGCCTCCCTCTGCCACGCTATGGTAGCTGGCCTTGGTCTCACCCAATGTGTCATTGATATGATGCACGAGCTTCTCTCCAGCCTCCGAGTTCATGAAGTCATATTGGCCATAGATGATGTGGGTGTTGAACTTGGCCACATCCTCTTTGCGGGCGCTGGCGAACTTATCGAGGAGTGGCCATTTGCTGGTGGTGGCTGGGGTTAATAAATACTTAATGTGGGTATCCGACACGGTTCCATTGGTAATGGAATTGTATAAATACTCGATGAGAAGCCGGCACTCCGAGTTGGTACCATACTTCAACTCGTTGTGGCTGGAGAACACTTTGGAACCACCAAGTTTCTCAATTACTCGGTTAATTGCAAAGAGCTTGCTGTACCACATATCGTAGTACATGTCCACACCCCATGGACCCAAGTACCGCATGAGTCGAGGCAAGTATGGCTGCACGTAGTACCAAAACGTCACGGTTTTTTTGGACAAAATGGGTTGCCTGCTGAGGAAATTGAACGAGGATGGGTCCAACGAAGGCAGAACGTCAGTGCTTGGCTCGGGAATTGGAGCGGTCACCGCATAAGCATGTCTCTCCACACCTACTGGCGACAAAAGCAACAAATTTTCAAGACTATCAGGATATTTCAACGCATACGAGCCTGACCAGTAGCCTCCGTACGAATGTCCAATCAAGTAGTCGATTTTGCCGATGGCAGAGCTCTTTCTCCACGACTCTAGGGCATCAATGTAGTAGCTCTCGATGTCTTTCAAAAGAGGAATCATCTGGTCTTTATAATCCTGGCATTTCTCTACGTCCACGTCGTAACCATCTACGAGCTTGTAGTATTTCTTGTATAAGCTCTTGATGTCGGTGGGCAGGTCATCTTTGATTGTAATGTGTTTCAGTCTTGGAATGGGTCTGAAATACTTGATGGATGCCAACTTGGGGTTTGCTGAGAGTCCAAACGAGAGATTGTCCAAGAAATGGACCTTGTAGTTGTGCTTCAATCCCTTGAACTGGTTGACTAAATGGAAATTACGGGCAAAGCACCCCAAAGATGCACCGTAGCCATGAACAAACACCACATGCTTGGTGTCATACTTTGCATCGTTTACCACCTCAAAAGAAACTTCATTTATGTAATTTCCAAGATCATCAATTGGAACCTTTCTGAACATTCGAGTTACTCCGGCATTTTCGTCCAAATGACCCGGAAACAGAAGATTCACAAGCTGAATCTGGAGCTGTTCCAATCTTCCAGGCTTTAGTGAATTCCACCATATTCTCACGGTTTCTCGAAATGGGAGCTTTTTAACCACTCGAGCATTAGGCTTATAGTTTGCTGGAAGCTGAAAATGTCTCCAAGGTGTAGTGGATAGTTGTCGGGTATATCGAAGCATTAGTTGGTAATGTGAGGTAAATGGTTGGATGGAATTGGCTGTCGCGAATGTATGGGGACATTCCGTGGATAATTGGGCCATTCTGATACTTAAGTTTACCAAGGCATACCAAGTCCGCTGGTTAAGAATTTCACATGGCAGGTAATTTTATATTCGGTCAGCATTATTTTACTCGGAAAACCTACGATTATCGGGGTTCAATGGCATTGTGGTGGAGTGGAACTCTTTTTTGTGAGCACTTGTAATTCTATAGATGAAAGCGAAATTTAAAGGTTCTTCATTCTGTCATTTGTCATTTAAATATTTGTAAATAATTATTTGGTCTATCAAGTGTTCTGCTTTTGCTCCTTCGTTGATCTCTCATTGTATGAACATTGCTTTGGCATTTGCATCAAATTGTGGTGGCTCAACCCACTCTTCGCCTACTTCTCACCTTGGCCACCATCACCTGGTGTTCCAAATCCCTTACCTTAGCTTCCAACTCCTTTATTTTTTAATCTTTCTCTTTCGCCTCATTCTCTAAGTTAGCACGGCTGACGTCCTCGGTCACTCTAAAATTAAGTCCAATAACTCGCTAAAGGCATTCATTTGAAACGTCGTTAGAATAAATGAAACTGCGAGTGAGCTAATACTCTCCCACAAGAAATTACCTACCGTGAGAGATTGAGTACTCTTCGAAGTGTATTCGATGCTTATCGGTGGTATTACTGGGCAGGAATACCTTGTGGTGGACAGTACCAAAATGCAGAATGATGCATAGCTAACAACATAATAGTAGTATCGTTAAGTGCACCTAATTGCCAACAGCTTTCAGCCCTCGACATAAAAACGAATCATTTAGAACCATTACACTTTTGAAATTGCAAACCGAACTTGGTCTCCTTTTATTGAGTCATGAATGATGGACCCCAAGGCATCCCATCATGGTGGTCGTTACTTATATACATCGAGCCTCGGGCTAACTATTTACGCATTCATCAGTTGTCCTCTCCCTTGACCAAACCCACCTTGGCTGGTCTCAAAACTCTCTTGTTCAAAAGATAACCTGGCAGCTGCACATGGAAAACAGTACCTGGCTCCTTGTCTGGCTGAGGAATCTCAAATGTGGCCTCGTGGTGGTTAGGGTCAAACATTTCGCCCATAGGGTCGATCTTCTCAATACCGTGCTTGTTCAAGGTCTTCTCGAACACAGTTCTGGTCATCGAAACACCGTCAAACAAGTTCTTGACCTCCTCGTTGGTCTCCAACGTCTCCTCCTTGACAGAGTTCAAGGCCAAACCGAAGTTATCCAAAGACTCCAACAAGTCCTTGGCAAACTTCTGCAAGGCAAAGTCCTTGGCCTTCTGCATCTCCTTTTTAGTGGTCTCTTGCAAGTTACGGAAGTCAGCAACGGCTCTGGCGTAGTGGTTCTTCATGTCTGCGAGTTCCTTGTCTTTGGTTTGCAATTTCTCTCTCAACTCAACAATCACAGGGTCTTCAGCCTCAGCAGATTCAGCGGCTTCAGCTTCTGGAGCTTCAGCCTTCTCGCCTGTTTCTGCCTGCTCGGGCTTGGTCTCGGATTCAGAGTCCTTGTTGGCTTCAGCCTTAGTGGAGTTCAATCTCACGGTGTGAAAAGCTGCAAATCTTGGGGCAACTGCCAAGGTTGGTCTTGCTGCTCTTAAGACAGGCATACGGACCGAGGATCTGACCACGGCGGTGTAGAGTGATCTGTGCATGTTTGTTCAGTGTAAAAGCTGGTAGTAAGTTGATCACTTGAGCCGACAAATTTTCAGGCCCAATGCAGGTCCAAAAGCTTGGAAGGCAAGTGTTGGCAACATTCGGAAATGAGAGATTAAGGAGGAAAAGAGGAATTTTGAGATTGGGGCCATATCAAATTAATTTCTTTTATCTTCTTCTTGAATTGTTATCAATTCGTATTACTGTTTTTGTCTTTGGTCTGATGGGAAACTGGTCCCACTAGTGTGTATATATGGATTTGCAAGTCCAAAGCATGGAAGATGATGTAGAACAACCAAATACGGAAGGTCAAGTGGGGATAACAATACGATAAGGAAAGCGGCGCTTTCGGTCATTTCACAATTATTTCACAATGAGTTTTGGCGCCTCTCCAAATTCATGCGTCATTTATTGTTATCTCGCAGCCTTTTATCTGGTGGAGAAAGGGCGACAATGAAAATTCGTATTCAGTCATCTCATTAGTAGCCCGATATAGGAAATAAACAAAGAAGACAAGTTTTGACAAACGGTTTCTGGAACCCTTGGTAGATCATGTTGCATAGAGGGTGTTATCACTCTAAGTAAAGTTCGGCCCGCAGTGCGGCGAGATAGATCGGCCAGCACCATATACACGAGTCAAAAGGTGACATCAAATTGTTACTGCTTTTAGCCACTTCTCCGGAGGTCTTCATACAAGGATTACTGAATAATTTTTTTACTGAGAACTTTAGCTAGAAGAATTTAAGTTGACTGATGCCTGTAGAGCTGGTTTCTAAGTGAAAGGGGCCATGGAAAAACCTTTGAATTGTGACAGGAAATAGACTTTTAGATATTACTTAAGAAATGGATTTAAGTACCGATAATGCTTTTACTGGGCGATGATGAGATTAACGAGTTTAATCCGGATAACAAAGGGGAGAAACTATAGATCATTAGCTTTTACAACCAATAATCACGATAGCCTGCAGTTAATCACATTGTGCCTGTACATAAAAAGTCACACCTGTCTTACCTGTAATGATAACTGGGGTTGTGCCTTGTGACTGCATACCAGATGGCATTTTGGTCGCACAGATAGCAATTGCTCCAATTCGCAACCATAACCGTTATGACCTCCAGGTTTGGGTTGCACTATATTTACTATAAGTTCGCCCCATCTACAAATAAATCTCATCATTATTCAAAACTCGCAGCCATGTCCAAGGATCTTCTGTACACAAACGAAGAACTTGCAGACTCCAATAGTTATGATGATGACAGAGACAATGGCTATCAGGAGCCCAAGTCAGCATGGAAGAAATTCTTGACAAAGATTCAAGTGGAAGAACCTGGAGATTTGACCACCGTGCAAAGGTATTTGTTCAACTACGATTTACGTCCTGTTGAGGCTGCACGTAGACAGTGGTCTTGGTACAACTACGTTTTCTTTTGGGTTGCCGATTCGTTCAACATCAACACTTGGATGATCGCCGCAACTGGTGTTCAAAATGGAATGACCTGGTGGCAAACTTGGCTCTCTGTGTGGGTTGGTTACGGACTTTGTGGTGCTTTTGTATCCATCTCCGCCAGAGTCGGTGTGGTTAACCATATCTCCTTCCCTATTGCTGTGAGAGGCTCGTTTGGCATTTTCTTTGCCATTTGGCCCGTCATCAACAGAGTGGTGATGTCATGTGTGTGGTATGCCGTGCAATCCATGGTGGCTGGTCCTTGTATTGGACTCATGTTGAGAAGCATATTTGGCAAGAATTTGGACAAGACCATGCATAATGGAATCAGCAACCCCAACTTGACCACTTTTGAATTCATGTCCTTTTTCCTCTTCTGGTTGTTCTCCTTGCCTTTCTTGTGGATGCCACCTCACAAGATCAGACACTTGTTCACCTTCAAGGCATATGTTGCACCCACCGCAGGAGTCGGCTTTTTGATATGGACTTTGGTCAAATGTAACGGTGTGGGTCCTGTCATTCATCAGAAGGCTACCTTGAGTGGTTCGGCTCTTGGTTGGGCCTTTGTGGAGTCGACCATGAATTCGTTGGCCAACTTTGCAACCTTAATCACCAACGCACCCGATTTCTCCCGTTTTGCCGACAAACCATCTTTCACCAACAAGTATTTGGTTCAGACAGTTTCCATCCCCTTGTGTTTCTCGCTCACTTCCTTGATTGGTATTCTTGTCAGTTCAGCTTCCACTGTCTTGTACAATGAGACGATGTGGTCTCCATTGGAAGTTTTGGGCCGTTTCTTGGATGACTACACTTCCGGAAACAGAGCTGGTGTTTTCCTCATCAGTTTGGCATTTGCCATTGCTCAGTTGGGTACAAACATCTCTGCCAACTCTCTCTCTTTTGGTACTGATGTCACCGCACTTTTGCCTCAATACTTGAACATCAAAAGAGGCTCTTATCTCTGTGCTTTGTTGGCTTTGGTTGTCCAGCCATGGAACTTATTGTCCAGTTCCTCAAAGTTTACCACCTACTTGTCTGCCTACTCGGTGTTCCTTTCTTCCATTGTAGGTGTGATTTGTTTCGATTACTACTATGTGAGAAGAGGATTCCTCAAGTTGACGCACATGTACTCAGTGAATGCCCCCGAAGATCCAAGCCAACGTTCTTTCTACATGTATAATAAGATCGGTCTCAACTGGAGAGCACTTGTGGCATACCTCTGTGGAATCTTACCAAACATTGTTGGATTCGTGGGTGCCACCACTGGTGAAGACAAGGTGCCAATAGGCGCCATGTATGTTTACCGTATAAACTTCTTCGTGGGATTCTTCTCATCGGGACTTGTTTACTCTCTTCTCTGCTTCCTTTCGCCGATTGAAGGTACACCTAATGTGGGGCCATTCGAGAAGTTGTGGCTTGAAGAGCCTCAAGACGTGGAAGATTTCGAGGAGGAGTTGCAGGGTCATGTTGTTCACGATGGAATCGAAAAAACCCAAGCGTTTACTACGGGACATTCTAAGGACGAGAAGTTCTAGCGGAGCAGGCTCCATGTTAATAGTGAGATTATCATATTGTGAAGAGTGTTGGAATGTAGTTGAAATGTAGAAATTTCGAATAAATAATATAAAAAAGTTAACAACTAATGCATAATGTGATATTCTACATTTCGAATTTGCTCAATTCCTTAAAGGTTTCATAGTTACATCTTTGTGCATCAAAAGCTATATCGCATAACTCCGGAAAATCACCTGGTTATATCTCCAATGCCGCGAGTATATGACTCATTCCGCGCAGAAGTCCACTATCGGGCCGGGATTGTGGGGATTATGCAGGAAGGGTACGTCTCCAGATAGCCAATTTTTCACAACTTTTCAGCCGACTCGACTTTTGAATTTACATTTTCAATTCTTTTCTTATTAATTTGCTACCATGTTGTCCAGATCGGTCCGCAGAGCTTTCTCAACCTCGTCGCCAGCCTACAAGAAGTTGACCATTGGTTTGATTCCAGGTGATGGTATTGGAAGAGAGGTGATCCCAGCTGGTAGAGCCGTGTTGGAGAACTTGCCAGCCAAGTTTGACTTGCAATTCGACTTTGTTCATTTGGACGCTGGTTTTGAGTTGTTTCAGAAGACTGGAACTGCTTTGCCAGATGCCACCGTCGACACCTTGAAGGCCAAGTGTGATGGAGCATTGTTCGGTGCTGTGTCTTCTCCAACCACTAAGGTTGAGGGCTACTCTTCTCCTATTGTTGCTTTGAGAAAGAAGTTGGGCTTGTACGCCAACGTCAGACCTGTCAAGTCTGTTGAAGGAATTGGCAGACCCGTGGACATGGTGATTGTTCGTGAGAACACTGAGGACTTGTACATCAAGGAAGAGAGGACCTACACCAAGGAGGATGGAACCCAGGTTGCTGAGGCTATTAAGAGAATCACAGAGACTGCCACTATTAACATTGCTAAGATGGCTTACGACATTGCCTTGCTGAGACAGGCCATCAGAGAAGCTTCTTCTGACAGCTCTCTCCATTCTAAGCCATCAGTGACTGTGACCCACAAGTCGAATGTGTTGTCCCAGTCTGATGGTTTGTTCCGTGAGACCTGTAGAAAGGTCTACGATGCCAACAAGGACAAGTACTCGTCCATTGAGTATAAGGAACAGATTGTCGACTCTATGGTTTACAGAATGTTCAGAGAGCCTGAGATTTTCGATGTGGTCGTCGCTCCAAACTTATACGGAGATATCTTGAGTGATGGTGCTGCTGCTTTGGTTGGTTCTTTGGGTGTTGTGCCATCAGCCAATGTCGGTGCTTCTTTTGCTATTGGTGAGCCATGCCATGGTTCTGCTCCAGACATCGAGGGTAAGGGTATCTCCAACCCAATTGCTACCATCAGATCCACCGCATTGATGTTGGAGTTCATGGGCTACCAGGAAGCAGCCGCCAAGATCTACGAGGCTGTGGATGCTAACTTGAGAGAGGACAAGATCAAGACTCCAGACTTGGGTGGAAACTCTAGTACCCAGCAGGTGATCGACGATGTCGTTCGCCGTCTTTAAGTTTAAAATACGAAAACACGAATAAATGCTCTACTGTCAATTTCTATGTCTGTCTAATGAAACATGCTGCGAAGAACCCAATGCCTCCATCTTCCTTTGGCACGGACCGAACGCAACCTCCGGCCATTTCTATGCATTTGTCTTTATCGCCGTCGCAGATCGACGTGAACTCTTGCTCCCAGCCTCTCCTTTCCCAAGATGGAATGACAACCTCTCTCTTTGCCAACGTCCAGCCCTGCTTTTTGATATCTGGATCGCTCAACAAATCCACCACAACTCTTTCGTTCTCGTGGGGATGTATGGAACAAGTGGAGTATACAACCTTGCGGGCACTAGGAAATGAGAGTGCATGCTTCATGATCTTAAACTGGAATCCTGCCAACTTGTTGAGTCTCTCAGTGTCGATTTCTTCCTTAGTCTGTTCTTCAGCATTGGCATCTTCAATGGCTCTGCCAAAGATACCTGAACCGCTACATGAAGGGTCCACAATTAGACCCGTGATAGTTGGAAAGTCCTTGGGGCTGATTTTTGTGAAGTCTGAATGCGTAGGGTGTATAAGATTCTTCTTGCTCTTACCAGTGGCCTTCTCGCACATGGTTTTCAACACTTTCACTCTCTGGTTATCACGCTCAAATGCATACACTACACCGTTTTCATGATTATTCACATAAGAAGCAGCATGAGTAGTTTTATTTCCTGGAGCAGCGCAGGCGTCAATGACCTCGCTATGGATATCGTTCTCATCATAGTTGAGGATCTCTGCTGGGAAACACGAAGCACGATCCTGAATGATCACTTCTCCATGCAAATACGCATCTGTCGAAGTGAGCTTCTCCCTAGGATGAATTCCGTATAGGTTTTTAATATGGCTGTCCTGGTAAATGACGCCAGGCTTGGTGATTTCCTCGATGGAGTCCACCTTCTCCAAATTGGAAAAGAATGCATGTTTCTTAAATAGTGATTCCGCATCTGTTTTGATGGTGTTGACTCTTATCCATCTGATAGGGGTCTCATCATCGTCTAAACCATCCTTTAGTGGGAGCTGGTCCACAGACTTCACCTTATGTTTGAGTTTCAATTTAGTGAGCTCAGCTTGCATTCGTGTCTTATTGAGAAGAAATGCATCCTTGATAGGGTGCTTTCCCAGCTGGATTCTTCCTTTGGCAGAGAAGAGGAAGTCATGGACCAATAACATCAAGAGGGAGTCCTTGACCTTTAATTTTTTGATTTGTGGAACATCTTTGAGCTTCGATTTGCGAATGATCTCGTTGATGTACTCTTTATACTTCAACGTGCAAATGACCAACGCATAAACGTGTTTCGGAGAGTTTGTAAGCTTGGCATTGAAGATACGGTTCTTCAAGCCTCTGTCACCTTCCTTGACGAATTTCTCTGCTTCGAAATAGAGTTTCATGGAGTTGGAATTTGCAATCGTGCAGGAGATTGAGATGAGATGACATGGGTACAGAAAATGGGGACTAGCCGATTTCGAGTTTCTTCAATAAAAATGTGAAAAAGACTAAAAATTTCATTACGTTGTTCTATCATAGAGAAACTATTTGGAAAGGTAAGAAAAGTACGGGAAACGGAATTAAACCTGATGCCAAGTCTGACGAGATCAATATTGATAATCTATTGATCTCGTCATACGGACTTGGTGTCTTTTAAGTTCACGGAATTTTGAAAACAGAAACAGGCAGAAAAATCAAGGATAACTCAAATTTCGTTAAATTGTTCTTATCAATTCGCTTATTCATAATTTTTCGGCGATTTCTAGCAATATAGTGAAGTACCCTTTCTTTAGTTCGCAACTAATCTCAGTTAGAATCATGGCTTTACAGAATCATCTTAGACCTTACAGAAATTTGTTAAACACAAAACATGCCATCAAAAATCGAAAATTTATCCTTTTCGCCCGCAAACAAACTCATGACTAAGTGCCAAGTATTATTTATTTCCTATCCTCAGAGACGTGTGACTGGACGCTAGAAAGGTAACAAACCGTGAAATTACTAAAATCGAGTCCTGCGTGGTCAACTGGTTGCCAATTGCACAGTATAGAACACCACCATCTAATACCAACACCCAGTTTCTAATAGAAGGTAAAATTTCAACAAAACATAATTCAACCACTCTAATACTCGATCACACAACCATGTATTTTTTTGTCAACTCCTCGTCCCCATTTTATTTCCATGACTCCCCTTTCTCCATCTGCGGTGTACGGATGCCTAGCCTGCCTACTCAACTCCTACACCTGTTATCCACAGCCTCCACTTCAAGGACTTCTACCACCACCGAAATGCCTCCACCTCCACCGAATGCCTTCAATCCAGGCACGCTGCTTACGGTAGGATCGCACCAGGTGTCTATAATCAAGTACATCTCGTCGGGAGGCTTTGCTCATGTGTATACATGTACAATTGATCCTCCATTCCACAATAACACCACCGCATGCTTGAAACGGGTGGTGGTACCTAACAAGACACAATTGACATTGCTTCGTCAGGAGGTTGATGCCATGAAGCGGCTTCGCGGGAATACTCATGTGGTTTCATATATTGATTCTCATGCTTCAAGGTTGAATGTTCCAGCTCCAGAGCAACCGCAGCAGTACGAAGTACTATTGTTGATGGAATACTGTCTGCGCAATGGATTAATTGATTTCATGAATGCTAGATTGACTCACAGACTTACAGAGCCCGAGATTCTCTCCATAATGAGCCAGATAACTACTGGTGTGGCTATGTGCCATCACTTACACCCTCCGTTGATCCACAGAGACATAAAGATTGAGAACGTTCTCATTGACGCAAACGGAACATACAAGCTTTGTGATTTTGGTTCTGCTGTCGAGTATAGTGGTGTACCCAAAACCTCTCAGGAACTTCAACTCTTACATCAGGACATTATGCAACACACAACTCCCCAGTATAGAGCTCCAGAAATGATAGATTTATCACGGGGCTTTCCAATTGACGACAAGCTGGATATCTGGGCTCTAGGTGTATTTTTGTATAAATTGTGTTACTATACCACGCCCTTTGAGCTGCCCCAACAGCGAACTTTGCAGGACTTGGAACAACTGATTCTCCACTCGTCGACCACGCTTCGATTCCCCCATTCCCCACCATTTTCTCCCAGACTTCAGAACATCATCAAGTGCTGCTTGCGGGAAGATCCTCGCAGAAGACCTAATGCTCTTCAACTTTTGCAGGAAGTGTGCTTGATGCAAGGTATCAAGCAAGTACCAGAGGTAATCCCATACTCAGTGAGATTGCAAAAGTCTCAGGCAGACATGAATATGCTGAATAATGGAAACTCTAGTGGTACACAAATTACTCAAGAGACACAAAAGGTTACTCTTAGCTTGAAAGCCACCAAGTCGCCTCCTGATGCATTCGCTTCGATTGACAAGAGCAAAGTTTTGAGCATGGGATCGACCAAGTCCACTCTCAAATCTAGACCCAAATCAGCAATCTATGCTTCGGAAGGTGTCATGAAAAACAGCGATTCTACAACCTCTTTGCAAGATCTCATCAAACAGCATGTCAGCGAAAGCTCGAATGAAATTTCTAATATCAGAAAGTCCGAAGAGTTGGACCGCGGTACCTTGGATTTCTTGAGGTCTAAGCATGATGTGCACATATCGTCATCCCAGAACACTGGTGGCTCCATTAAGTCGGCAATCAAGAATGGTCTCCGGAGAATAAGTACTGGTGGATCTATTGGGCCACAGAGAAGTGGCTCATTCGGCCAAAAGCGGTCCAATACCCATCCAGTAAAGCAGTCGTACACTGGGTCAAGGAATGTGTCAGATGAAAACTTACGTGTTCCATCTGGCGAGCAGCCAATGAGAAAGCAGTCAATTCAAAGGCGCATGGCAGCTCTTCTTAAGAATAGCGAAAAGAAACCTGCAAAGACAGCGTCAGGATATGGAAAGTATACCGACACAGATGATCTTCTCGCTATCAACCATACCAATCTTTCAGCTAACGCCAGTGCAGAATCACTAAGTTCCTTAGACACACAGACACCAACATACTATGAGTTTGGTGAAAAGTTGACTGCCGTCTCCTCGAAAGGATCTGTCAAGAAGCTGGTGTCACCTCCGTCGATAGTCATTGAAAAGCAAGTTCCAAGCTTTGCTCCTAAGGCTGCCAAATATGGCAAGCTCTCACACAAACGCGACAGTCCTCCTTTATGTCCCCCAAGTTTGAGCCATACTCCAGGATCTAAGGGCCTCAACAGTCATACCTCGAGAAACTTAAACAAGGAGACAAAGCAGGGAAACAAGGAGAAGACTACAAGCAAGAAACCACCTCCAAAACCCAAGAAGCCACTGCATTTGCAAGTACATGATAGTAGTGATAGGAGGCTCAGCACTTCAAGTGATGTTTCCTTGCCGGACTTGGATGATCTTGAAAAGCAGTTTTCTAGAAGATTTCCCAGCTATGTTTGAGCCCATCCTATACTTACTTAGGCATGTTGGAGCGTTCTTTACTATACATAGTTTTTTCTAGGACGATTCTGAGCCCGAGTATTCCACAATAGAATCCAAAATAAAGTCAACACCTTCATCAAACTTCTCTTGAATAACATCCCACAACCCGTCCACCGAAGACTTCAAGACACGACCAAACTTTCTTCTGGGTCTCTTTCCAACCTCCTCCATATCACCTCTTGGACCTGTCGTGCCACTCCAGCAAGGGTTCATGTGACTAGTGAATATGACAGAGTTCTGGTAGTACCAGTCCACCATAGACTCATCCATCACTGGAACCAAAGATTTTAAAGTTGACCGACTGACAAAAACAATAGTGCCCTGAACCAAGTCCTTGATCTCTTGCGATGGTCTTTTTGCATACAAATGAACTATTGACTGGTATGCATCTCCAAAGCCAACAAAGACCAACTTTTTTAGCGATGGAAAATAGGTCAAGTAGTTATCCCACACCCACAATAAGAGTTCCTGTGCAAATATTGTTGGATTATAGTTGGAAGGTTTCTTCTGGCCAGTTGAATCTTTGAAGTTCAAAGAAGCAGCCATAGCCTCAATATATGACGGTACATTGATGTCAATGTAACCAACCTTATCAGTAACATTTTCATTTGACAATTCATCCAGTATCTTGTTCATAACCTTCGGTAATGGATGTTCTAGCACAACAGATGTACTGCTTTCGATGTACCCGTTGACGGGATTGATGTTAGCCCACACTTCTGGGGGATCATGAATACAAACAACCACTGTGCTACACTCATTGATATCTGGGCTAGCCAAGACCAAATCGTCAAGATGAGACGGTAGATCGGTACTGAATACTGGGTATCTATCGTCCTTCAGATCAATCACAGGCAAGTTAATAAAGCCATACTTGGAAAACAGTTCTTGCGCCTGGTAGGCTCTGATAGGTTCAGCAAAAGATAAGATGCGGCTGCCGGGCAAGTCAAATATGTCTTCAAAGACATGAGCTGGGTTGCTAGGTTTCATACACTTCCAGTATTTGGACTGGGTCTTCATGACCTCACTGACCGTTTCTATGGCATCTAGACGAGGCTGGGTGGTGATGGTTGCCTCTGGTGGCTCACCAATCAAGACTTTGGCCACAGCCAATGCACTTTTACTGATGGAGTCCAAGTTGTATCCACCTTCCAATATAACAGTAAGTTTGCCCCGCGCAATTGCCTTTAGCATATGGGTCAATTGGCCATAACCGGCCGGAGTAACATGACATTGACCAATCAAATCACCATCGGCAGCATCAAAGCCTGCACTAACGATCACCAAATCCGGGTCGAATTCACTGATGATTGGTATAACAATCTTGCGAAAAGCGTAAACGTAGTCTGCGTCTCCCACTCCAGAATTTTGCCACGGGATGTTAACAGAAAATCCTTCACCCTTACCGTCACCAACCATTTCATGTCCTCCGTACTTCGTACCAGGATAAAATTTTCCGTTTTCGTATCGATGAAGAGAGATGTATAGTACTCTTGGGTCGTCGTAAAAGGCGCGTTGAGTACCGTTTCCATGGTGGATATCCCAATCAAGAATGACAATTCGGCGAACGGAATCCGGATATGATTTGAGAATGTTCTTTGCCGCAACTGCAACATTACTGAACAAACAGAAACCCCCAGGAGCATCTGGCTCGGCATGATGTCCTGGTGGACGAACAATGGCGAGAGAGTTTTTAACACGTCCGTCCACAACAGCTTTACAAGCCTCAATCAGGCCGCCACAGGACAACTTTGCCAGTAGAAAGGAGTCGTTATTCACGTAGATGGAATCACCTTTCTCCGTTTCCTCAAGTAATTGGTCACGAGACATGGCCTCAGTGGAAGCGATGAACTTCAAGTGCTCTTCAGTATGTACTTCCAAAATCTCGTCAGCTGTGGCTTCTCTGATTGGAATCTTCTCCATGAGTGGTCCAATGTCGTCTGTTCCAGAAAGAGATTTGTCAAGCACTAAACCGGCCTCTGCCAACTTCTTGTAAATACGGTAAATACGCCTGGGATCCTCAGGATGAGGGTCGATGTACTCAAAATAAGATGTGAAAATCTTAGCATGGTATCTCATGCGGACATCATACACCAATCCTGTTTTGAGTGGGCTATAGAACAATTCAGGCTTCTTGTAAGGAACAACCACGATGGCTGTTTCTGCTCTTGGTCTTTTAGTCCCGTTCGACTGCAGTGAGTTCAGTGGAGCATTTTTTGCCAAAGAATTCTCTTGAACGTTTCCATTAGCTTCGCCATTTTCAATTTTTGGAACGGCCTCTTCGGGCTCCGTCTTCACCAAGTCAATTTCAGTGTCGATAGGCATGTTGTTTACGGAGGGCCCCGGAGAGTCTAGCTCTCTCTTCTTCTCGTTGGCAACTTCCATCGTGCCTTCAGTATTGAATAAAGTAGTTTTTGAATTCGAAGTCCCGTTTTCACTTGGAAGTAGTCAAGGATAAACGAGAAGAAGGTTGCAGTGATTGAGACGTACTTGAGTGGCAGCCTGCAGGAGTTTACTGGATGGATTGGTGTTTAGAGAAAATGACAATAGAAAACATTCCATGATGGCAAAGACGTATGATTTACGGATAATGAAGATAACGAAGAAAAAAGCGTGCTGGAGGTAGTTTCTGGAGCCTCATGGTTGTGGGGGATGACATTTCACTCAACGATGATAAATAGAACTCCGGTCCATGTTCATATTTTTCCCCGGCCTCTTGGGGTATGATACACTGGACAGATCATGTGCGTGATATATAATTAACGACCAATCAAGCAGAAAAAATTGACAAGCCACGCCATCAAATATCTAAAAATGTTAATTTTAAAGGACAGTCTCTGGAAACTCACTAACTATTACCACAACTGAAGACCTTTCAATCTCAATGAGCATTCTCGCCGAATCCCACTGGTCCCATATGTCGGCCATGCCTAAACACGCATAAGTACGACTAAAAGAGTTTTCACATAGGACATGTGAAATATGCATTAGTAGGTTGTTTTTTGAAGACTTCGAACTGGGGATAAGAGATGGAGAGGATTTCAACCCCGAAAGATACCACACACTCAAAATTTCGGCTAGCAAAGCCATGAATTGGGATATGCCACCCTGCATGCGTTTGAGTCCCGCGCCAATCTGTTGGTGTTCCTCTCTACACCCAGGACATTGCTTTTTGACCGAGTGGGTGCACACCAGGACAAGTAAAAGTTGGGATAGAGGGGACCGAATACGTCAAGTGTGAAACATGTGCTGTGGATCATTGACGAAAGCTACCACATCTCTAGATTTGTGCCCATGGCATGTTCATTTTTGAATAGAACGCTACGGTGAAGAGTCTCTAGATTTCAATCGAGAATGTGGTGGAATACCATCAACCCCGAAAAGGTTGCTCCTACGATAATTTTATGGCCATACGAAATTGTTGCATCTTGATATTGATCACGTTGAGCTAGAACATGAATATTTATTTGCCAATTCTAATATGGTTTGAACCTGCTGGACTTCTTTTTCTCTTTGTGTCTTTTCTTCGTATCCAGTCCGTCTCTATCGTTTCTGTCTTTCTTCTCTTTCTTCTCCTTTTTCTCCCTTTTCTCCTTTTTCTCGACCTTTTTTTCTTTCTTTTCTTTCTTTTCCTTCTTGTTGATCTTCTCACTCTCACCCACCACATTCACAGGTAACTGCCATGCTTTGATCGTTCCGTCTTCTCCACACGTAATAGCCTTGTTGGTGTTTGGGATCAAAATTCCATCTCTCACAACCTCCTCTCCATGAGCACCAGGGAAAGAAATGGCGCTTCCCACAGCAAATGTCTCGTTCTCAGCATCGAAGGGAATGACTGTCAATGAACTCCGCAGATTTGCACCGTAGAATACATGGTCACGGCCGATATCAACAACATACTCGCAATTGGGCCACAAAGACCGAACATCGCCCAAATCATTTGGAGGAGGCTCGTCGTTGACATCGTAGTCGGTACTGTTGAGCTCGAAAAAGCCCAAGGTCTCCATGTGTGAAAGAACAGAAATTCTGTTTTTGCCAGTGAAGTGGCACGAGTGGACAGAGGCGAAATTAACCACCTGATGCAATGCTTCGTCTTCATCTGGTTCATCCAAGTTGTAAATATTGACACAACCATCTGTGGACCCAGACATTAAGTAGTTGTAGGAGGGGTGAAACTTAATATCAGTAATGTCATCATGGTGCGAATCCACAAATGAGCGGACTACCGAGTCTGGGTTTTTTAAGTCCCAGATGTGTAACTCAGCATCCACACCTACCAATTCGGTGCCTCCAGCCAACGCCAGACCTTTGGATCCCAAAGAGAGAAAGTTGGACTTTTTCGGATTGGACAACGTCAATTGTGGCCTCTGAAGTGCCTGGCGCAAGTCCCAAACCTTTACCCCATCGGTGGACGCGGACACCAAAGTGTTTTCGTCTATTTTCTCGATGTCATTAATGCTAGACTCGTGGGCCTTGATATCAATAAGTGGAGCATTGGAAAACTCCGTAGAGTACAATCTGAGTCTTCCTGAGCTGGTGGATGATACAAAAGATCCTCCCAGAATTTCTGGGAATAGCCTTAGCGATAGAATCCATTCATCTGGCGCCAGAGTCCAAGTATGGATTAAAGAAGTCATGGTGATCATCGCAGCCTGTATGATAGCTAAAGCACTAGTTGGAGATAAGACAAAGATGGCTGGGTTTATACTGTGGAATAAAGCTGAGGTCAAGAGTTTGATTCTTTCTTTCTCCTTTTGTTGGAAATACCCCGAGTTATCTTTTCGAATTTTCTTCTATTTTTTTGTGTCACCAAAGCAACATTATCACTTGAGCAAGACATTAGTATACCTATACTATATCTATCATCAAGTTAAGAAACGAAAAACTAAAATTCAGAGGGAAATAATAAAAAAAAAAGTCAATGAATCTAATTTCCTTTCACTATTCATGTTAATACAACTGTCTCCAATTTAACTAGCATCACATACTCAAACCCTACTCAACCAACTCCTCACCTGCACAAGGTAAGAGTTGTTTATTCTATCTCATCTTCGTGTTTCTTCTACCCATGAGTAGTATTGTTAAGAAATCGTCGCAGTTCACGCCAAAGGTTAAACGAAGAGCTCTTCGTCGTGGCTCTGCCTTAGCCACTCCGCCCACAACTCAGGTGGATCCATCAGCCCCTACAACTCAAGATGAAAGTATACAAACTCCCCACACTCCTCAAGGTACTCAGGCGTCTCAACCTCTGGGTGTAGGTGCTTTGCCCCTTCTGAGCTATGACATGAAGCCAGCGGATTCTTCCGACAAAGCTGCTGGTGAGATCCCACAGAATGTGGAGGTGGATCCTATGGATACTACAAGCGTTCCTGAAGTAGCCATCGAGGAAAAGGATAATGATGACGAGGATGATCACTATGAGAATATTGATTTCCAGATACCGCAGAAGCGGTCTCATAGACGGTCGTCTGTAGCTGGTCACAGAAGACTCAGTGGCATCCAGCAATATCGTAGATCTGGGTCGATTTCGGGAACGCCAGGATCCCAGGGCCCTGAAGGTGAGACAAACAAGGGTGGACCAGTGGTGATCGGTATTCCCGAGTCCAAACCAGTCAAGAGAAGAACTTCTTTTGCAGCTAGAAACAAGAAAATGGCACGGAAGGAGACGCCTACTGCAGAGACTGCGACAATCAAGGAGACTCCAGAGAGGGCAGAAGACGAGGACGAGAGGACTTTGGACAACGAGGCAGACAAGAGTGAGGCACAGAATGATTCCAACAAACATGTTGACGAAGGAACCTCCAAAAAAAGTGGGCCAAATGGTGAAGGTTCCACAGATACAACCAGACATTACGAAGGTGATTTCGTTTACGGATCTTTCGAAAATGGCCCACTTATGAAGTACAAAACACTGGAAAGGGTAGAATCAGAATTGCCCGTCGTACCAGCAGGTTTAGTGACTACCATTAGCGATCCCAGTCAGATCCCACGAAGATTGGATGCAGCAGATTGGAAGCTACTATCAAAGGTTGAAGTTTCAGAGACCTTCAAAATGGGAGACTTGTGCAGACCAACGTTACCATTTGGTTCAACCAGTGATAACTATGAGAAATCCATCAAAGCCAGAGACGCAATTGAGAGAAATCGAAAAATTCGAACTGAAGCCAGAAAACATGCACGTGAATCCAGGATACCATACGACGTTGCTTTTCAAATTATCTCCACCAAGAAACGAAAAGAGAATCCGCAAGAAGGGGTGGCCAGTACTCACATTCTTGATGGAGATTTAGAGGAAGATGAAAGACACACTTCCAACATCAAAATGACTGTTGTGGACGGAAAGCTTCAGGTGGACCAAGATTCGATGTTTAGGGGCAAATTGCGGGCTACTGCTGGTGATAGAGAGCGGGTCACAGAGAACTCATTCGAGAATCCTATCACTTCAAATTCTTACAGCAATCTGACACACACAGATACTTGGACGCTAGATGAGTTGCAGCAATTCTACCGGGCCCTAAGCACTTGGGGTACGGACTTCACATTCATTGCACAGATGTTTCCGTACCGTACGAGGCGGCAGATCAAGCGCAAGTTTATCTTGGAGGAGAAGAGGAATCCCCAGCTTGTAGATTTGGCATTGAAGAGGCAACTTCCTGGCAGCTTTGAAGAGTTTGAGAAGAGCGCGTTGCCGAAGGAAGAATGGGAAGACCTTGTAGAAAGAAGGCAAAAGAGCAAAAAAGATGAGGAGCAAGAAGATGTTCTCAGCGGGCTACCCTCCAAAGCCAGATTTGAACTTGAGATCCAGGAGCTCCAGAAAGAACACAAGAGACATATTGAGGAGATTACTACTGAACGTGAAAGAGCTATTAAGGAGGACTTAGAAGCCAGTAGAAAGAGAGAGATTGAAATTAGAACCGGAGCCAAGCCAATGACGAGATCGCAGATGAAGGCTGAGTTCAAAAAGAACGAGACAGTGGTTGGCTCTCTTGATGACCAGAGTGCATAAGTTATTGATTGGAGAATAATTATAGCCTGCACACAATGCTGCGATCTCCCCATCAACAAGTCAAAATGACTCTTATCACTCGTGCAGCCATTGATCAACAAACACCACATTTGAATTATTCCATGGTTCACCATGAGTTCCGAGAAAAACTACCTGTTGGAAGTTTCTATGGATGATGGTAAAAACTTGGTGACTTTTACCGTCAAGGCGCGGCCATCGCGTTTTTACAAGTACGTCCGAATTCCATTGGCGTCCGTGCTCATTGCATATCTCTTACCCCAGATGTATAAAGTGCTACAACAATCTAGAACTTCTGCATACGAAATATCTAGACTTTTCAAGCTGGACATATTCACAGTTGAAAGATTCGACCAATCGCACTCTGTGGTTCTCTTTTTAGTGGGTTTTTCAGTTGTGGTTCTCCTCTCGCTCCAAGAACAATCAGATAGTCTTATGGTTATGGAAGATATGGGAATTCAATTAAGCAGCCGTAAGAGATGGCGGTTTGATAACCGTGGAAGCAACAAAGAGTTCATTCCCAGGTCTGATATCATCGATATTGTTATTCATGAGGGATTCCACGGATACGGACAAGTGATCTTCTATATGTGCATCTTGACGAAAGCGCAAGAGAGGAGCGGATCCGAAGGAAACGGAATCAAGGTGGTTTTTCCCAACTTTCTTCCGAGGAAGGACATTTTGTTGCAAGTTTGGAAGCTGAGTAGGAAGATGCTTTACGGGGAGACACGAAGGCATTTCCGGCGAGTTCCCGGGCAAGGACTTCGGGAAGTGAAGCATTTACATGAATAGAGAAGTATCTCAGTGTACTTACCTTAGAAATTAAAATAAGATGAAAGAATCTCAGTACATTAGTCCATGGAGTCCAATAGCAGATACTTGAGCAATGTCTAGCGCAAAAAGAAAAAGAAACCAGCAAGCGAGCCGAAGAATCCAACAGGCAATGCCAATATTTAATCTAAGATTTATGCCCATAATCTGAAGCCTCGTCAATAACCAAGTGCCGGTTCACCATGGGAAAGCACGTTCATGGAATATCGGAGTTATAGGTCCGAGGGATTGATCCGAAACATTAATACGATAAGGAACCGAAAGTTTCGAAAAGCAGATGCCAGTACAGAAAATACAAAAATATCATAGATGAATGGATCGCTAGGACCCCAAATGTATTATAAGTGTATAAGTAAACCGAACCCGAGATTATTGTAGTATGAGACCATATTTACTGGCCAAGCTGCTTGAAAACGTAAGCAAACTTCTTCTTTTCTGCCAAGGCAGCTACCAGCAAACTGGCACCCAAGTAGCAGGCGACGCTCAATAGCAATTTGGATTGGTGGGCGGACATGTGAGACATATTGAGTATTTGAGATGCAAGCATATTTTGATGTGGAATGAAAGAACAAAACAACTAGAGATTCTACAAGCTTATATAGTGGCGGAAGGCATCGCGTCTGGCCACGTTAACCCGTTTTCTCCCGCAGGCGTTTGTGAGTCAAGGTGACTCAAGGCGAAGAGTTGTACGATATGGGTCAGAAGACGAAAATGATTCCATTCGCTTAAACGGGCGAACCGAGGTTTCTGCAGGACATGACTCCATGAAGGGTTAATAGAATGGGGTAAACGAGGAGAAAAAAATTGCGGAAAAAGATGGTATGATGAAGCAAGGGCAAGTTTTAATACGTGAGGATAATTTTTGGGAGCACAAACGTGGTTGTAGTGTCCGAAACATGGAGTGATGAGAAGTGAAAGAATGGTGAGATCGGAAAAACCAGCGCAAGCCGCACACGGACGTAAACCTCCGACGGAAAGACACGGGGAGCCACACAGCAATGTTTCCGGGAACAGCCTTGCGATAAGTGGCTCCCAATATGGCCAAGCGAAGGGTTAGATACGGGGGGGGGGGGGGGGGGGGGGGGGGGGGTGGGATGGAAATGGTAAGTGGAAGAGGAGGGAGATAGGCAGATAGAAGGGATTCAGTGATTCAAGGGATTGGTGGAAAAGGGACTAAATCGACAAAGGATTAAGGGATCGAGAGACTAATGGGAAAGTGGAAGAGAGAAGTGGGGAGACTAAGATGGGAAGAGAGGTTGATATTGGGAGCTCACGTAAAAGATGTTAGGAAACGCGAAGGGAGGGAGAATTATTGAAAGTGACACCACTGAGGAGAGAGCAATCGAATGGAAGAAGGACAAGCTTGAGGTAGTAAATTTAATCGTTAGATGAATTCTGAATTAAATTTGTTGAAAGGAATTTTGAAATATATTGTTCAATAGAATTTTTGAAATAAATCATCAAACACAATATGAGATTTGATTATTGTGGATTCACGTTACGCATTAGACACACCAGGAATTGAGCAATGTTATCCGAGAAAGTAAATCTCAACAACTTTCACATGGAAACCTTGTAATTCATTCAAGATGATTGGAGCAAATACACACTCACAGAATTCCGATATGAAAACCTAACAATAGGAATAAGCTAAAAAAACAATGAAACAAAAGAAACCAACCATAGTAAGTCGAAACCTTATCAGTATCTACAAGTCAAGTGACTAGACATTACGAATCAAGAAACCATCTTCTCTGCATCATCCACTCCCTCAAGTGTCACCCTACCGGACTCAGGACACTCCCAAATCCTGAGAAAACATGCACGATATTCTGCAAGCTGGCCATTGGTGCAAATCTTGCAATGGACACCTGTATGTGCCATGCGGACTAGTGAAGACAACTCCAGACAACCATATCGATACTCATGTTTTTTGTGTGGAACACCTTAATCATGTCTCCACAAAGACACCAAAACTTTCAACAAACATAACGTAACCTTCCACTAAAAAAAAACAAACCCTTCCCCACTTTTTTCTACCCCGTATCTCATTGATATCCAGTTGTAGACCTATCCGTCACTGCGCACCAACTAAAGTATGTGCGTGGTCTAAACGCCAAAACACCCACACACCACTCTCACCAAAAAATTGTAAACAAAAAACTCCCGTCACCTTCTCCAAAAAACCTTCCCAACCCCCCCGCTACCGCCTCCATCAACGCATTTTTATCGCCTTCGACGCATCTGCCGCATCGTTTCATCTGCCGCCGCCGTTTTTCCTCTAATTTGGGTGTGTTTTGCCGGTCTCAATATTCCCATTTCCCTCAACGTCTGGCTACTACTATTCCAATCCTCTCCACACCCAAACCAGGAGCTCCCACAGCCAGATCCATGAAATTCTCCTGAGTTTCTATTTGCTAGCGTCTCGAGTTTCCGACTTTTTCTGTCCTTCCGGCACTCTCCAACCATTCGTCATTCATTAACGTCACCCATGCCCAACTCAAAGGAAGGTTCCAGCCCCAAAAAGTTCTTCAAGGCTTTGAGCGTGTCGCCTTTCCGCCACTCCACCCGTGCAGACCCGCAGACACATCAGAATCCGCTGCTGGGCCCTCAACCGGTTTATGATCTGTGGCAGCACCCTCCGAACTCCTCATTCATCAACAATTCCTATAACCCTTCGATGTCCTCGTTCAACTCGACCACTTCCAATGTGCACCAGCTGCAAAGGACTCTGGGCTCTTCCACACCACAGCCGGGCAGTCACCATGGCCGCAGCCACTCTCATGACATTCTTCATTCGCATTCGAGATCTGATCTGGCGCTGAAGTCTTGGGCCTCGCTAATCCCGCCAGTACCCAACCAGCCGCGAAACGATTCGTCAAAAGAGTTGAAGGTTCAGCTGAATAGACACACCATCGCGGTGCTGCCTACTGGCCCCAAAAATGTTCCTGACTTCCTCCAGCCTCTGACAAACCCGGATGCCGAAAGATCCTATGTGATCTCCCGCGGGGATTCAGAGTCGCCAATGTTCGAGGTTTCAAGCGAGCTGCTGCTGTATCTCAATCACTTCCCACCACTGGACCAGGTCCAAATTCCTGGTCTGTTCGACTTTGCTCCCAGAGAACATCCATCTCGTCCTTCAACAAGTACCCCGCCAAAGAGGTACTCCGAGAAGGGCCACACGCGTCAGAGCTCGTCCCAAAGCAAATTATTTCCACCAACACATCCTCCCGGTCTTGAGCATCAGCGTCTGCAAGAAGCTGTTTTGATAAAACTGAATAATCCATTCTTACCACCACAGAACCTGTCTGAGCGCCAAACACAATCTCACGACAATCAGCGTCACCAGAAGTACCAACAGAATCAGCAACAGCAACAACAGCATCAAAGGTCTCTCCAGCAAGTGCCACCACAGCAGCAACAACAGCATCAGTGGTCTCTGCAGCACGCACCAATTCAACAGCACCAGCAGTTTCTCCTGCAGCAGCAGATGGCACAGCAGCAGCGTAAAGTTCAAATGAGACAACCTCAGAATCCACAGTTCGACGATCGCTCTCAATCACAACCGCATTCACAGCCTCCGCAATATCAGCTTCCGTCACATCCATCACCAAAACAGGTACAGAAGCAACAGCCTCAGTCCAAGCGTGCTACCTCTGAAAAGAAGCGTAAGGTGTGCAAGAAATGTAACCAAGTCATTAACGGGCAATTCGTTCGTGCTTTGGGAAGTGCCTATCATATTGATTGTTTCACTTGCTACCAATGTGGCAAGCAATGTTCTGCAAAATTTTTCCCTCAAGAAGTGAAAACAGAAAACGGCGAAGTTATTCAAGTTCCTCTTTGTGAGTATGATTATTTCAGGAAACTTGATCTTATTTGCTTCGAGTGTCACAACGCTTTGCGGGGACCATATATAAATGCTTTGGGAAACAAATACCATTTGGAACATTTCAAATGTTCAACTTGTGGGAAAGTTTTTGACTCTGACGAGAGCTACTACGAACATGATAATAATATTTACTGTCACTTGCATTATTCCAAATTGTTCGCAACGAAATGCGAGGGCTGTCAGTCTTCGATCGTTAAACAATTTGTTGAGTTGCTTAAAGGCGGAAGAAATCAACAATGGCATCCAGAATGTTACATGGTTTTTAAATTTTGGAATGTTTATATTACTGCTGACTGTGTTGGCCTCCAGCAAAGGCTTGGAATGGATATTATACTGGCCAATTTGAACGATATCGATCCAAATGATCTATTGATCGTCGAACATCAACTAGAAACGGTCGTTATGAATTGTTGGCTAGTCCTCTCTGGTTTTGAAGAAATCTCTGCTACATGTATCTCAGAAATGCTTTTATGTGCTTGTACAGGCAAGAGAGGGCAGGGCTTATTCTCAACTGGTAAGTTGGTTCTTTATGTTGAAGTTCTTTTTGATGCATTAGATTTTGTTCAGAAAATGTGTTTGGAACATAAACCAGACCCGAACCAGGAGAATGCACAGAAAAACTCTTTGTCTGAAGAGGTTTACTCGGTGGATGCTTTTGATAAATTCCAAACTCTTCGGAAAGAGCCAAGAAATATCTCTGGAAAGTTGATGAGCTACTTAGCGATTTTGCGTAAGTCAAACCAACTTTCAGACTCGGGCAGTCTCTCTTCTGAATTATTATCTGTTGTTACTGGTTGCGCTCATTATTTGAAGCTTCTCATCAGAATCGGATTAAACAATGCTTTGAAATTGAACAAAATTCGTGGCGACACCAAAGCGCTTGATGGCTTTTTGATGAGAACCAAGAAATTCGATGACATCGAGTCTGCTGATAAGCTTCCTGGAGACTCTAGGATTTCTATTGGTTCCCGCTTGGCAATACCTTTGAATGCATCCGATGCTTGTCGAGCATGTCTGAAGAGTATTGAAAAATCATGTGTTCGTTACAAGAATCTGAGATGGCATATGAAGTGCTTCGAGTGTTCTATCTGTCACAGACAGCCTTCACCAGAGTTTGTGGTCGAATCTTTTGTCTATGGTACTGACGAAGTGGTTTTATGTAATGAATGTGCTGCAACTCGCTCATCAAGCAATTTTGGTTACTCCTCAGGTTTCGTTACCGTCTCCGATTTGTCCCAGTTGTCGTATCTCTTGAAGATTGCCATCTTCCGGTCGAGATCAGCAATTAAGAAAGATTCTGATTTGGGAAAATCAGATTCTGCTCTTAAAACATCCATGACAAATATTGAGGAAGAGCCCTCGGAATCGGAAACAGAATATTCACGTACATTGAACGATGTCACAGAATTGAGAAAGAAGAGAGAAAGTCAAAAGTTGTCCAACTCTATCAAGAAGAATGCTAGGAAATCAGTTATCATCGAAGCACCAGAGGCTGTTGCTGCCAGAAAGGACAACACCATTGATGAATACGAAGACACGACACAAAGAAAGAGCAGTAATGCTTCGTCGCTATCATTTGTTGCACTGCGTAACGATTCTGACCAGTTCGACTTCCAGAGTGGATTTAAAATCCGGGACGACCCACCTCAGAGATTCGCAAGTCACAGCCTTGACAGGACTTCTGACTTGTTGAAGAATGAAAAATCCTTAACGCTTGATGACATTCCAAGAATCGTTGCTGCAGAGCAAGCCAGAGAGCAGAGACCCAACGCCTTCAAGCACCACAATTCCTTATATCAGAAGAAGGCTCAACGTCAGCTTAGGACTGTTTCAGCAGCGGGAAGTGTGCTGCGCCGTGACTCTCTGCGTAATTTCGTTGAGGCACCCGCCCCAGGACAAAGTTGTGGCTCAAAGTACTATTCCGAATTATCGAAGAAAGAACATTTCATCTTGCGTCACATCGCGGTGGAAGCATTCCTTAACATGGGTGATTCTCACACAAGAGAAGAGCTCATAAATCTTATCCAGACTCGCAAGCTGCCAACATTTTGGGACAAGTTTAAGTTTGGAGGAAGCGAGAAGAACAAACACATCAATGTGTTTGGCGTTGAGCTCAGCGAAGTTACTAAGAAGTACGGTGTTGATTCTGACTTAGGAGTCGGACCAGCTCAGCTTCGTATCCCAATCGTCGTGGACGATGTGATTAATGCTCTCAGACAAAAGGACATGTCAGTTGAAGGTATTTTCCGGTTGAATGGTAACATCAAGAACCTTCGTGAACTCACCGAACAAATTAACAAGACCCCATTGAAATCTCCTGCTTTCAGCAACTACTCAGCAGTGCAACTAGCCGCTTTAATGAAAAAGTGGTTGAGAGAGATGCCAAACCCATTATTATCATTTGGTCTCTACGATGTTTGGATCTCTTCTAGACGAGAGAAAGTTCCTGCAAAATGTAACCGAATCTTAGAATTGGCATATTGTATGCTTCCTCGAAGCCACAGAAACTTGCTTGAAGTGTTGCTCTATTTCTTTAGTTGGGTTGCATCGTTTGCTGAGATTGATGAAGAGACCGGCTCTAAGATGGACACTCACAACTTAGCTACTGTTATTGCACCCAACATTCTCTTGTCCAAAGAACAAGCGGAAACTGGAGGCAACCAACTCAGTGAATCGCATTTCATTGCCATTGAGGTAGTGAACCAATTAATTGAAATCCACGAGGAGCTTGCCGTCATTCCTCCAGACTTATGGGAGTTCTATGAGAAATGCGAATTCCAAAACTCCAAGGATGAAATTTCCACCAAGGATATATTCAGCAGGATCTCCAAGGTCGCTAAAGAGAATCCCAATTTTTTTGACAATTACTTGACCATGGAAGACTCTACCGATGCTACGCAACCAAGCACCATAACGAGAGGTCAAACCAAGGTGGAGCATGCACCCGACCCTCACCCATAACGTAATGACGACACACTCCCACACCTTTATCTTGTACACAGTGCGATTTTGCTCGCCAAAAAAAAGAATCCAGCTTACTTATAATCTAAAAAATCTCCGATTTAAAATTATCCATTAGCTATGTCGCTCTCATCGGAGTCACTCAAAGATATCATCCAGGAGAGACTTCAGGCTTCGCTCGTCCAGGTTGAAGATATGTCTGGAGGATGTGGCCAAGCATTTGCTGTGATCATTGTGTCACCTCTTTTCAAAGGAAAGAATAAACTAATGAGACACCGGTTGGTCAACAACAGCCTCAAAGAAGAAATCGCTGCCATACACGCATTTACCCAGAAGGGATTCACGCCTGAGGAGTGGCAAGCACAAGGTGGAGCGCTCTAGCTTGCCGAATGAAGAGCTAAAGTGCTGACCGTCTCTTATGAGTACGAAACTTAACACAGAGAAGCAGCCAGGCCACCAACAAAAGCTTAAACAAGATAATTATTATGAAAGGATAGAACTTAAGGCCGCGTTCACTGGTCTGAGCGACCAATCCGATCAAAAATGGAATGGCAGCGCCTCCTCCACCGCCAAATGCACAGATGAACCCAACACCACTGGCATGGTACTTGACCGGTAATATCTCAATGGCCGCCACTATGGTTGTGGGGAAGATGGGTCCTACGAAGAGCCCAGTTAAGAAAACTACCGGGAACAAGATGCCCACGGCTGATGTATAGGCAAACATACAGAATACACCGTAACCAACTAGAGACACGACAATGTACACCCAGTTGGCGGACAACTCACTGGAGAAGTAATGAGCAGTGACGAAACCGAGACATATACGGCCAGCAGTGAGTCCAGTCCAGAATGTGGTGGCCATATATGATGACATTTTATAGGTGAGGTTCTTAACTCGCAAAAGGAATGTAACCATCCAAGCTCCAAATGCTACCTCGGCGCCCACGTATACAAACATGATGATTGAGAAGAACCAGACAAGCTTGGAGCGGAGTGACTGTGAGAGACTAGCGGCCTGCGAGGATGAGTCGGATTCAGAGGTGGTCTCATCATCACTAGCATTCTTGTCTTCCAATTGTCTTCTAGTCTCTTTTAAGATGACAGAAAACTCATACTTAGCAGGAGTCTCACGACGGAAAACTAAAGCAAAGAAAAGCAAACACGAGGCAGCCACACAGCTGAGCACCAAGTAGTACGAGTTCCAGGACCATGGGTTGACGTCTCTATCGACCAAGTGGGTGATAAGTGGCGGGGAAATCATGCACCCGATACCGTAGCAGCCGTGCAAAATGCCCAAAAGCTGATTCAGATCCACGAGGTTGCCCATCCAGCCGTTCAAGCCCGCATCCAAGCTGCCAAAGCCAAGTCCACTTAAGACATAGCACAATATGAACACGAAAAACGGCGGCCGAGTGCTTAACACCAAGTAGCCAAGGGTCATGCTGGTAGTTCCCATGATGACCACCCCTCGAACACCCAAACGACGGTGACATACTTCGGTGAGTAGCGCCATGGAGAAGTACCCACTAACAGAAGCCAAGAAGACGTAGCCCGTCTTCAAGTCGTTGATCTTATAGTGTGCCTGCAATTCGGGAATGAGCGTGCCCAATGTCTGCTCTGCAAGTCCAAAGAGAATGAAATTGCAGTAACTGGCGATGATTTGAAGCTTCAATAGGTTACTGTCACGCCAGTTGGCGGAGTCCACCACAATCTCTTCACCTCTGAATTCCACGGTGTATTTTTCGCTCACAGGAAGTGACGCCAACTTGATAAAGTCCGGCCCATCCAGATCGTGGAAGGTGTCGTGAGGCTCTGCATTTTTGTTCTGATCTTCAAGGAAAGGCTGTTCGAGATTGTCTAGCTCGAAGCTCATGTGGATTGGATCAAAGAGAGAAACGAGGCGCAGGGAAAAGCAATATTTTTACTTAATGACAAGTAGCACACAGCAATAATTGGATGTAACTATGAGAAAGGCTCTGAAGGGCAGAAATGAATTGTGGAGCCAATATCGAGTGGGGCCACGAAAGCTGTGAATATGAATAGGTAATAGTACTAGGTACAGATTCTGGGGAGCATTATGCAATCCTATTACTTTTCCCAATGCGGTAATGCTACCGGAGGGGAGAACACGGAATACGATAGTTGGAAACCTTGGGACTTACTGGATGTGAGTCAGAATGGGACAGCTGACGGAATTATATAGGTCGTTGTTTGAAATGGGTGTAATTGGGTGTAAATGAAAGAATCAAATGGGGGTGAGAGTCGGAAAATGAGAATTATTATGTGAGGAAACAGTGGTCTGAGAAATACAGCGGTTGATTCAGACAATAGATAAGTATTAGAATTACAAAAATCTTCCCAAAAACATTACTTTGTCCGATTTTGATCATCTTCAATATAGAAAATTGCCAATTAATTTTGTTGATAGTGGTTCTTCCCTTTATCGATCTATTCCTAAGACTTTTCTGTCACTTTCCTTCCGCTCCACAGTATCGGAATTATCTCAAATCTCGAGCCTCGTAATTACGCTCACTACTCACTACATGAGTAATCACTCTCTAGCAAACACAAGGCTTTTCCAGCCAATCAGGGTAGGAAGCTGTCTTCTCAAGCATCGTGTGGTGCATGCTCCCACGTCAAGATCTCGATCCAGCGTTGATTTTATCGTCACGGATATTATGCTTGATTATTACCAGCTGAGATCTCAATATCCGGGCACCTTGGTTATTATGGAGTCGACTTTGGTGTCTGAGCTCGGAGGACTCAGTCCATTCAAGCCAGGTGCTTTCAACACTCGCCAAAGGGCTGCTCTCGGCAAGATTTTCCACGAGATCCACCAAAATGGCTCGTTTGTCTCTATCCAATTAGTTGCTCCGGGAAGAGTAGGCGCACCTTCTCTTGCCAAACAACATAATGTGCCGCTTGTAGCTCCATCGGAGATTTATATTGATGACGCTCAAAAGCAGAAAATCGCCGATGCTGGCGTAGAATTACAGGCTATGACTGAGGCTCAGATTGCAACCATTCAGGACCAGTTCGTGGATGCTGCCGTGGGCGTAATTGAAGAAAGCGGAGCGGACTTTGCAGAAATTCATGCAACTTCTGGATTTTTAGTGGAGCAATTCCTCTCTCCCTTGTCCAATCAGAGAACCGACCAATATGGTGGTTCCATCGAGAATAGAGCCCGCTTTTTACTTGAGTTGGTCGATAAGTACTTCAAGCACCCCAAAATAGGTCTGCTGAGAACAGCTCTCCGTCTTGGTCCTTGGTCTACTCATAATGGAATGGTATACCCTGATTATGAGAACATTAGTGATCATCCTATGCTCCAGATTAGCGAGTACATCATGAATGAATTGCAGAAGCGCAAAGATAGCGGCCTGGAGATTGCATACGTGTCGATAGTAGAGCCGCGAGTGTCGGGAAGCGCTGATGTTGAAGGCTGGGAGACCTCCAAGCAGTCCAACTCGTCACTTTTGCCACTCTACGATGGAGTAATCATTCGCTCCGGGGCATATGCTACCAATTACAAGGGAGAAAGTTTAAAGTCCAATGTGGTTCGGAAAGTTGGTGATACATTGATGCATTATGAGCAATTGTTAAATGATGTCGAGGCTGATGACCGAACCTTGATTGGACTTTCCAGGCCATTCACCTCGAATCCTGATTTGATTGAACGATTGAAGAAGGGTCTTGAGCTCACAGCATACGATAGACAGTATTTTTACACTCATACAAAGAGAGGATATTTGACCTTTGGCAAGTATGACGAGGAAGTTGTTTTGACAAGCGACGAGTTGGATGAAGTTGGAGTTCCAGTAGCTTGAAATACAGGGAAGAATACGGATCGGTGAAATAAGTGGAATCGCTGGCTCTTAGCGTCGTCGCTTTGTAGTTGTACTGAATACTTCGCCATTTTGAATAAGGAACTTTACAAATAGATACAGAGACATATATTCTTTATAGATAATACATGAATTTTGTTGGAACTAGGGTTTCTACTGTGGATCGCAATAAGACGTCAAAGGAGTATATCAGTGAGGTTTGGGCACACCACAGATTTACTTATTTTTCTTTCCAGAACAACTTGGTAGAGGTCCTGCTCCTTTCAAATTTTCAGTAATAATGTTGATAAGTCTATGTCAGCATCAGTTCCTTCGCAAATTGAAGAAATTCAAGTAGAGCTTACCTCTTAGGCACCTAATTCTTACAAAATCATAAATCCGCCTCCTTAGCTTAGTGGTAGAGCGTTGCACTTGTAATGCAAAGGTCGCTAGTTCAATTCTGGCAGGGGGCAGGATTCCAAGCGCAAGTGGTTTAGTGGTAAAATCCAACGTTGCCATCGTTGGGCCCCCGGTTCGATTCCGGGCTTGCGCATTCTTTTTTTCATGCCAATCAAGTTGATTTGACTTCAATCTTCTACTTTTTCTTTTTTCTTTATGCCTAGTCCAACCTCGAAAAAAGCTGTCACTTCAGCCACAAATGCCAGTATGTCAATATCAGAACCAATGTCGTCACACTCTTACTAACATCAAAGTCCAAAAATTGTACCCATTGAAGCTTGCTGACAAGTCATGGGATAACACTGGATTGCTCTTGGATTCATCAGCCGAGTGCAACGAAACCGATGCTTGCAACATTCTCTTGACGATTGACCTCACTCAATCCGTCGCTGATGAAGCCATTAAGAAGAGATCCAACTTGATTCTTGCTTATCATCCATTTATCTTCAGAGGCTTGAAGCTGATTACATCCAAAGATCCACAGCAGAGGTCTTTGATCAAGCTCATCCAAAACAACATTAGTGTTTATAGTCCACACACTGCTATCGACAGTGCAAAAGGAGGAGTCAACGATTTTTTGGCTGATGGCATCACCAAGGTGTACCCAGAAGCTCAGAGGGAAGTGATCCAACCAGACGCAGAGGAAGAAGGCTGTGGAATGGGACGTTTGGTTACGCTCAAGGAGCCTGTGCCGCTTTCGAAGTTGGTGGACAACATCAAGCAGACACTCGGACTCAGCAGTGTCCAAGTTGGACTTGGAAGAAACGAAGGTAAGGAACAGGCCGTAAGCTCCATTGCAATCTGTGCTGGATCTGGCGGAGGAGTTTTCCGTGGAGTAGATGCTGACTTGTACTATACTGGAGAGTTGTCGCATCATGAGGCGTTGTTCTTCACCGAGTCTGGATCGTCGGTGATTGCTTGTAACCATTCCAATACCGAGAGAGCGTTTTTGAAGGAGTTGAGAGAACAATTACTTCGGGAGCTTCCAGACGCAGAGATTTCCATTAGTGAGAGTGACAAGGATCCATATGAGACATGGTAGAGATTTAGGAATTGTTTGAAGGTGTTAAAAGTGATCTTTCTGCATTACATTGCAAGAATGATACTATGAATGTACGTTACTTCTCCTTTCATTTTTCTTTGTTTCACTTCTTTGAATTCGTAACTTTTCAACCCCAATGATTGTGATTTAAGTGTTTGTTTGTTTCTCTTCCGTTTTCTTCCGTTTTTTCTTGTTCCACACGTTTCTTACTGTGTCTTGTCTTCCTTATCGTACTGAACCAAATGATTCGCACTATAATCAATCCTCAAATTCCCACACTAAACACAAATTAAATACTCCCATTTTATTTAATTCCGATCATCTAAATAATTTGAAACGGTATTCTACACGGCAAACCATCCCCCTTAAAGTTTTAACACTTTCTTTGATTTCCAATTTATTCCACATGTTCTCTTATTTTCCAACCTTCTATCTCCTGTAGTAATGTCCCCTCGCTCATACTTATCGTAATCTCTGATCACGTACAGGCATCTGCGGAACTATCAACCTCATCACCTTCAATATTCACCTTCATCATAATCTTCATATCCTTCGATAATCTCCAAACAATATCCTGAGATCTCCAATACCGCTACCATCCAATATAAAATCATTTCGTTTTGCTATCCCATTCAGCATGCTGGCCTCGTCGTCTTCTTCAATAGGAATACATCACATGCAAGGTGATTTCCCTAGGTTTAACGTCAAATCCACCCTAGTGCCTTGTACAGACACAAACTATGTGTTTCTATATGGTGGGTTTGATGAAAACGACAACTTGGACAGCAATGTATACCTCTATAATATGACATCCCGTATGTGGGAGGTGGACAGTGCCCATACCGGTCTCTATCGAGAGGGCCATCTGGCACTTTACTTAGGTGATGGAAATGTGTTTGTTTTTGGCGGAGTACCCGAAGATGAGGTACCACGACTGGATCCCCATGCGGATGACCTGACTCTTCGGAAAGATCTGCCAATGTTGATGTATTCGGTGTATGATCGTACATGGCAGAGTGCTCCATCTCTCTTCCTAGCGAATGCTCCATCATGTCGTTCAAGACATGCATGCTGCTTGTCTGAAGATGGTAGAACTATATATTTGAGTGGTGGACTCATCAACTCGGCACCGTTGGCTGATTTGTACAGCTACGACTTGAAGTCTGGCACTTGGCTGGGTCCAGTCGAGTTTGTTGCTAGATTCGACCACAAGATAGCCTTCCATGATGGCAAATTGTATTCATTTGGTGGACTTGATGGCGAAATGAACCATGTCACCAATAAAGTTACGTACATGAACTTGGACGACCTCAGCTTGGTGGATGTCATTACCAAAGAGGGCCCGAGGAAAAAGCCCATCCTCAACTCTATATCAGCGGGGGCAGATTTGTTTGGTGGACCGCTTTCTATCCCCGAATACACCATTCATCAGGAAAAAGCCGTGGATGAAGATACCGAGACGCTTCCAGCTACATTCGAGAAGATATGGCTCGACTCAGGCAATCCTCTCGTAAAGTTGGAGGTTCGTGTGCCTCCTTGGGGGTGCGAGAGCCACCTTCAAGGTATCTCGGTCACTCTGACAAATTTGTCCTCATATAGCAGCGTATCGTTGTTGACGCAACGGGATATTGAACGCTACTTCACTCTGAACAACGTGATATCGTCTCTTAATAATGCTTACCAATGGAGACATGCCTTCGTTGTCAAAGACAATCTCTACTTGCTTGGACATGCCAATTTAGATCCAGAATCTGCACTTGCGCAGAATAACTTACTCTCAACGGTGTTGGAGGTCAATTTGCGAGACTTGGGCATCGATATCCAGTCTGAAACTGAAAAGACCCCTCTCATCAGTGATCTTGCAACATTTTTCTTGAGTGGAGAATACACTGACTTTGTCATGTTTGCATTCAAGGACCAGGAGACTAAGGATTGCTACGCTTCGAGTGATCTGAACGCATCGATCCTCATGGATGAAGGGTTCGTGGCAGAGAACTTGCTTCCAATCCCCGTACACAAGGCAATTTTGCTTGCCAGATGGCCACATTTCCGCAGGGTTATAGATAGCGGAATGAGTGAGACCCAATCAGGCCAGCTATTTGTCCCTGAACCGTTTTCTCCTGTGCGTGCTCTTGTGTACTACTTGTACACTGGAACATTGGACAAGAACGGAGTGATGGGACCAAGCTTGACTGCAGTGGAGTATTCTGCATTGCTAGTATTGTCGCATCTCTATGAGCTTCCCAATTTGGCTTCTCAAGTTCTCGTTGTCTTGTTCAAACTGCTCTCATCTGATGTGTTCACGTTGCCCGAAGCTTCTACTCCAGAAGATTTGGAGAATACAATCGACTCCATCTTGCGGATTTGGCAGAATTCGCTCATTCTGAACGAGGAAATGTTTATGAGCAAAGTAGAAGAGATAATCCACAACCATTGGTCAATTGTTTCCCGGTCTCGTCTGTTCATGAGTTTGTCAAAAATTCTCATTGTCAAACTTTGCCAGAACTGCTTTGATCGGAGAAATCATCACAGTCCACCACCCAAACGAGACTCATTCGACTCTGCATTCTCTGGCACTCCATCCCCAGCGGTTCAATACCGGAAGGAACATTCCAATTCTCCTTTCACAAAAACCTTCGACGACGATTTTGCTTCTCCGCATGAATACCTCAGACATAGCCACAGCTTGTCGTCATTCCCCGTATTACAAAACATCCCCAACAGCTTTAGTGATTTTTGAGACTGGGTCTGGAACTACTGTTTTCAATGCAAGCTTTATAAAATATACACATAAATTAGACTTTTTCTTCATCGTTGTTACCGCCAAATAAAGATCCCACAGCATCTAGGAAACCGTCCACAGCATCCCCAACGGCATCCTCAGCATCTTCCCAAATATCATCGATGCCTTCAACAATTTTGCCAAAACCACTTTCATCATCAGATGTGCCCTTTTCACCATCTGAATTGTCATCTGGTGGGGCAACAGAGGAGGATTCTTCAGCATCTACAGCATCCAGGAAGTCACTTGGTTTAGGCAACGAAACTGACGTGACGCTCAGGAACGAAGACTCCTCAGACAATATGGACTCATATGGATGTTTGTTCAGACTGACAGACACAGTAGTCTGTCCCATCCCCTTGACTGGCTTACGCCACAAAAGATCATATGTTGCATCTTTTACAACATGTTCGACTTCGTAAGGCAAGTTCGGATAACTCAACTCATCCCTCCAGTCGTTGGGAAGAAGGTTGTTAGATGAAATAGCGAATCCCTTACTATCAGCTGAAGATCCATTATTAGGCGAAGGCTTGATATCCAAAGAATCGCAGATCATGCCGTACACCTCTGTATTGGCAAAAGGCAACACCTTTCTCGATTCAGCCAATTTCTCATTGAAGTACGGGCCCCTTCCCAAGAAAATCGCCCTCATCAAAAGGTGAGTATTGTTGTATCCGTGTACACCGCGAGGGTAGTATTGGTTATTATCTTCTTTGAATTTCTTGTGAGTTGTGATGGAGTAACCAACATTGGGAATTATCCAGATGGGTGCAAGTCGATAATTGAATTTGTGATCATTTTCCTTCCCTCCAAAATTGTACTCTTTAGGAATGTCTTCCACACGGTAGACAGAATAGTTTTCGGTTATGTTCTTCTCCATCTTACTCATTTTGGAGTCGATCTCGTTCATGATGTCATCCACGGAATGACCCTCAAATGGTCTCAATCCAAACAAAGGCCAGCCGTCAACATGCTCAATTTTTGAGGTATCTACTACATCATCAAGGAAAAGCAAGCGATCATTTGAAGTAGGAGCCATTCCATGGTCGCTTACAACAACCAAGTTCACGATGTCCGTCAAGTTTCTAACCTTCAACAGTTCGATCATCAACGCAACGAAGTCATCAACGTAGTGAAGCGCATCGGTCAAATTCTGACCGCTAATTCCAAATTTATGGCCAAACTGGTCGATGGTGGGCACATATGTCAAGATAAGTTCCGGTCTGTCTTGAATCTTCTCGGTGTCTATCCACTCCATGACTCTCTCAACCTTCGACGACAACAATTCACTTCCGTTGTACTTATCTACGAATAAAGGTCCATTATCTCCAATGGTGGGAACCTCGCTACCTGGCCACATGTGCACAGCCGAGTTGACACCATGCTTGTGAGCAGTGGTCCACAAAGGTTCTCCGCCCTGCCAAAACTGGGGATCAAACCCATAATTAGGATCCGTATTAATGAATTGCTTCCCCAACACGGGGTCGAAGAAAGTATTTCCCACGATTCCGTGCTCGGCGGGATAAAGACCGGTGATAAGAGTCCAATGGTTGGGAAATGTCGACGACGGGAATGATGGCACCATATATGGGGCTCCATAGTCTTCGACCATCATCTTATGCATTGCTGGCGTATTCTGTGGGTTGATATAGTGAGGGTGGAATCCATCAAGCGACACGAGAATTGTCGATGGGTAGAAGTCATGAGTAGAATTCGATAAGATCCGTTTCTGGTGTTCGTGAGGTTGTTTTTCCTCTGCAGAAGCATGACTCAGATGTCTCCGGAAGAAAAAAGCACCCACTATGCCCACCAACACAAGTGCAAACAACATGATGGTCTTGTTAAGCTTTTGGTTGAGTCTTTTGATTCTGTAGTCACGGAGCTCATCACGAGGATCGGAATGTGATGCATCGTCATCAGAAAGATCAAAAAAGTCCGAACTTTGGGAGCCTCTCGCAAGCTCGTATGACAGTCCTAGCAGGCGAGACGAGAAATAGGATGAGAGTTTGGAAATCCAACCTGAAGGTTGTGGGTCCTCATAGTCTAAAGATTCAAGAAAATCCGAGGACCGGTTGCGTTCGTGACGAGAATTATTTTGTTCCAGAAACAACACATCATCCTCCGGGTCATCTAGATCGACCACAGGGATATCGGCAGCATGGGGTTTCCCGTATTCAACAGACATGGTGGTGATAAGAAATAAGAATACAGGAACACCGTGGTACTTATGGAGATGCGATGCAGTCGAACTGATTGGCAGGCTACAAGAGGTATTGATATTAAAGATAGGAGAAATGAGACTATTAAAAAATTGTTATATTATGAGTTGAATTTGAAATATAGAAATGAAAAAAAGTAGAAAATTGAGATAGAGAATTAGATTACATGGATGGTTGCAGCGTGAAATTCGAGAGTGAAGATATGCACGGGCATTCGATGAAGAGAATTAGACCAGTAGTATCGATTACCTAAACACGAACTAAGCTCTGTTTTTTCGTCCGGCTCAAAAAGACCTTCACCCGTAATGCCATCAACTTGTCATCCAGAAGATCTGCTGCTTGAAGCTTAGCCGTACACCCAATCACAGGACAATTTATAGGCAAGCTGTCCTGGAACTGTCTCATGATATGCTTTTTTTCGTAGATGTGATGGCATTTCCGGGATGAAACAGGCTCTACAAAATAATTCAAGGACAACGGATCTTTCAAAGAGATTTTTCCTCCTGCAACTGCCACTTCGTCATCGTTCTGCTCGTCCGGAAGCGGATCCTCCGGGTTTTCCACTACAAACAATGCATTCTTGAAAAACTGGTACATCGAGTCTCCCTTCAATAAACTCTCGTAGCTGGTGTCATCCTCCTGCGCAAGTTCATCCACTATCTTGTCTGCAAAGTTCTGTTTCGTCACATCTTTATATATGTAGTAGTTATCAAGACTCAAGTCCAGCTCCTGTCTTCGACTTTCGACAAATTCTCGATGTGCTGCCTTCAACAATGATTGGAGCGCCTGAAGACGGTACTTCGAAAGCAAAAGCTTCTTGAGTGCCTGGAGCTGGTTCGAGAGGTAATTGTTGCACCTGTTATCTTGGAGAAGATGGGAATTTTCACTCAAATATGTGAGGAATCCATCAGTGTTCTTGCGTAGTATTACGAGTCTATCGTCGATCTGGTTTAGTAGCTGGTGAGCAGAAAACTCTGTGTTGACGCGTAGACTCAGATGGAGAGGAAAATAAGTGGGGAGATCCGATTCGAAATTGGGTTGCACAGACTCCATTGGCTGGAGTATGAGAATATGGATTTTGATCTAGAGATAGATTAGTGTTTATGTTATGTATGCACACCAAACATAGAGAATACATGCTATTCAGCCTTTCCTTTGCAAAAGATGAGTTTGTCTATGAAATAGTTTATTATGAAGTTCATATTGAAATTTGAGAACTCCATATCAAATGACAGTCTCCATCTGAAATTGTGGCAATGCTATTCTTCTTCAGTCTTCGTATTTATAGCCTTCAAGGTTAATAGCGTCTTTAATTTAAACACAACCACAAGTGAAAAATAACTAGTTTATTCAAAACCTGATTAGGGGAGCACTTATGATAAAAAATAGACTTCCTTACAAATTCAAATAGAAACCATCCCCGCTTTACCGATCACTATCTCTTCCATTACCTCTTCTCTTGGAGATGTTTGGGTTTCTTCATCATCAAAGTTCATGCTTCACCATCTCCATTCAATACTTCTCTAAATTCCCTGATCCGCATGGCAAGTCTCGAAAATGTCCAGAAGCGCCTTGCTTCTCATGTCGAGACCATTCAATCCACAGAATTTCTTGAGCAGTCTCTCAAATTACTACGACAATTGCCATTCAAGAACATCAGATGCATAGCTTTAGGGTCTCCAACTCAAGAGTTCCAAGCATTATATCAACTAGCATTGTTGAAGTTGCTAGCCAAGGAATTCGACATTCCACCAGCAAACATTTCGCTCTACGATCCCATCTTTACTGATGATGATGTGCATTTATTAACTACTTTCGAGAAGTATGTAGTGGACGAGAACGAGCAAACATCACCACAATACACCTCGGAAACACTATATTACATGCCACATGCTCCACGTAGCGTCACGGACCGCTTCTTAGCCAACGTCAAACCCAACTGGATTTTAGGAAACGATGTTCGCGTCACTGCGGGCTCATTGAGTCAGGCCAAATTCTTGGAGGAGTATCCACGGTTGGCCAAGCTTGTCCACATTGCAGAAGTACGCCATACTGATGCCAAAGAAGCATCGACCAATGTTTCAACAGATTCCATGGCATCGCCAAGAACGCCAGGTCTGCAGCAGTCGGAGTTCAAAGTGGTTACTCGGCGAAAGAGAAACCGCCCAAAGAAACACGTCTATGTGGAGCCCAAATTGGACTATGATCTGGTAGATGTATACTTTGACACAATTACCGTCACTCGCATAGACAGTCCCGACTCTGCGCCCTGGAATGACTCCTTCAGTGATTTGGCTCTTAATGTAATCAACCCAATAGAACCAAATAGGAACTAATAGAGGCTGGAAACGCTAGATTGATCCATCACCCTTAGGTTAAATACTCTCATACTTAAATACCACACCCATACCTATATCAAAACTCTGTCACTAATGTACACCCAAAGCTTGTTATTGCATACGCTGCTTTTTCTGAGGTTGTTCCATAGGCTCTATCGACTCCAACAACGGCGGATTCATCTGGGCTATATTCGGGCTGAGGTGTGTCATTGTGGATGCAATAGGTAGCAGTTCAATTGGCGGCTGCAGACCATTTTCAAGAGGAAGACTCAGGTAATCTGCCACAGGAGGCTGCGCCGCAAAGTCCTTGGGGTTCCCAAGCAAGTGTTTGGACAAAATCAGGTAAAGATCTTCTTTAGTGAACGGCTTGGCTAGGATGTCAGACATTCCGGTTTGGAGGTATGTCACAAGGTCGTTGTCCTCGATGTTTCCCGTCATGGCAATGATTGGAGTCTTGGTGTCAAAGCCTCGGATTACACTGGTGGCACTGGCACCATCCAAGTTCGGCATTACAATGTCCATCAACACCAAGTCGTACTTGTTACGTTCAAGTGTAGTGATGGCATGTAAGCCGTCGGTAACCACTGTGACCAGGCAGCCATATTTCATCAAGAACTTGCGGCAAAGTTGAATGCACACATTGTCGTCCTCCACGAGCAAAACATGGAATTTTGGTTTGGGAACCAGCTGCGTGGTTACCGGTTCAAATGTCAGTGGTTGAGCGACTGTCTCGCTGTGAGACCTCAGATGTGAACCAGCCAGAGCTTGAGCAGGCAGATTGCGTATACTACCCGAATCAGGCTCCATCTTGACGTCAGGCAACAGCAGTACCTGTGGAGCCAGTGCCGTAGGAGGCAGCACCAATCCTAGCAAGCTGGGGTTGGGTAAGTCGAGCGGAGGCACTTTAATGCCAGCTTGGTTTAGGCAGTGCACAAGCACACCAATCAGACGGTATTGGCGCTCGTTGTAGGTGCGGAACGCCACCATGCTCTCGAGAACGGCGCGATATTTATCCAGTAGCGCCTTGTGCTCCAGTTGGAGCTGGGCGAAGTCCAGGCGAAGAGCCAGCACTTGGGAACTGTAGCGAGAGTTCAAGTCTAGTGAAGGTTCCTTCTTGAGCGGGGCTTTCCGCCTGATATTCTCCAAAGCATCACGATCATCTTTGCGGAATTCAGGATGCTGGAATTCCCACGCATCCTCGCCATACTCGTAGGTTGATTTCTCCTCGTTAGAAATCTTAACCTTATGGAAGTCGTACTTGTTCAACTGGCGCACAAACGACGCAAAGTTGCTATGTTTGAAGTGCCGCGGGAGGATTTCCTTGGTGAATTCGTTGGTGTTCAACACCACGAAGCTGTTGCCCAGCGCCGTCCAACGAACAACATCCATGTACTGGTCTTGCAGTAGCATTTGGAAGAGTTTCTTGACAAAATCATTCAGGCCAGCGGACCCGCTGTCTTCTTTGCGGGACGCCATCATTAAGGGAAGGTTGTGGGCGAATATGCGAAAAGATTAGGTTTGTGTGGAGCTTTGTTGCTTTCTTGGTGGCCTTGCCGGATAGGAAGCTATGAAGAACGATAATATGGGTCAAGTAGACCGCACCATGCTGCAGGAACACGATAAATGGTTGTGGGAGGAAGTCCACCTACAAGAGATAGCCATGGAAACATACAAAGAAATAGAGAGATATTGAATTTTATTCTTCTTTTTTTTCTTTTGAATTATTTTGGAACTCTGGAGTATAAAAATATCAATGGTTTCCAATGTTATGCTCTTCTCGGCGATCTTTCCCTAATGTTTTTCAAACCTCACTGGACTTTTCTTAAGCTATGGCCCTGCCTATTAGCCTCTACCCTATTAGCACCAAGCCTTTCTATCTGCCCACAAATGCGGCCGAATGTTGTCAGATGTCCTCAACTGCCTCGTTATTACATATAGACGCAGGCCCGTGGAATGGGGGACGAAGTATTGGTTCCGAATCTTCCTAGATTGGGTATGGGAGTCGGCAAACATGCATTAAGGTTTTTGGCATTTCCTCGACCGTGCAGCCCTAATTTTTTCATGAAACTTCGTAAAATGCACCGTTTTCTTACTTACGTTGGGTCCCATTTATGGGTGAAGGAATCGTTTCATAATCTTCTTTTTTTTTTTTTTTTTTGTAAAATTTCCAATAGTTCGGTCGTCACTGTAAATTATAGCATTCTCGAATAACGTTAGCCTTTGCACATTGTGGTTTTCCATCGCACTAGATGGATTGTGTTACCTTTGTCTTCAGGAGACCCTGGCATCAATTCCCACAGCAACACAATTAGCCCGACCTGCATTCGAAATATCTACTTGTGGTCTGGAGAGGCTGTCAAACAACTTTGTTTGCTTTCTTTTTGGAAAATACGAAATCTCAAGTAATGGATATCGTTTATTGCAGATTTTTTCATAAATAATGGGGCCCCCTTAATGTATACTTGGCCAATAGTTCGGGGAAGCTCGGTATATATTTTTCTCTCACTGATTGTTCTCTGCGGCCATCCTGCAGATACTCAGTTGTGCCAGGTGGGAATCTGCGTTAATGGTTGTTGTACTCGTGCCACTCACATTGGAATGGGCATGTATCTCCTATTGGTGCGGACAGATTTTTGGCAGGATTACGGTTGTATTTACGGTGACATTTACCGTTGAATTTACGGAGCATTTTTCGGTGTCAAGCAAATTTTATGAGTAGCCATTTTCTGCTCGTCCCCTCCTGTCACCGCATCTGCACTAAGTGAATACTTTTGTTCCTGTTTTCCCTCACAATTCGTCGTGTGCCAGTGCACTGTTCAATGCAACATGCCATTCCCCAGCCACCATTATTTGCGCATTAAGCAACTCCACCAAACCGTTTTTCTGCACAAACCGAACGTTTTGCGTTTGTCCAGATTGCGTCACCTCCACCGACTCAATCTTGTCAGTGATGCCCAACACAGTAATCTTCTCGATCTGCAACTGGTTCTGGCGACCATATTCCTTGTCCTCACTAATAGATAAACCCTCTATGCTATGCTTGTCTGCTGCAATGGAAACCAATGTAAACTTGCCCTGCTTGTAGTCAAAAGACTCGCCGTCGTCCATGTAGAGCTGTCCCACAGCGTGTCCGTCTTTGTCCAATGCAATCACCAACTGGTAGGGATCGTTTCTCATGAGTCGACTGGATCGTCTGTACCTGGATCTGGTGAAGAATAAATGCCCTCCCTTGATTAGAAGCGGAATGTCCGAAAGCTTCACCTCTTTGCTGTAAATTCCAGGTTGAGAGATTTCTAATGGGTACCCCAGCTCTGCCTGTCCATTGGTGAAGTCGTAATAATGATTGTCGTCTGGAACATAAATTTCCACCACGGTCGCATCTTCCTCAGTCACCGGCTTGACCAATAGCCCCGAATTTCCTAAGAAAAATTGGTCATCAATTGCGTACGTGTCTGGATTCCCGGGATTCTCATACACTATAGGCTTCCAGATGGGTGCTCCAGTTATGCTGGCCTCATAAAACAAAGTGTAAAGTGTAGGCAACAAGGCATAGCGCAATCTGACAGCATCCCGCATAATCGATGTATATGGCTCACCAGCAATCCATGGTTCTCTTCTTCTGGAATCTATATGTGCATGAGCTCTGAAAAAGGGGTACCAGATTCCTGTTTGGTACCAACGAGTCAAGAGTTCTTTAGATGGATCACCGAAAAAGCCACCAACATCAGCTCCGGCAAAAGGCATTCCCGCCACATTCGATGTCAACACCATGGGGATTGAAATCTTGAGGTACTCCCATTTGGCCATGTTATCTCCTGTCCACATGGCTGCTGTTCTCTGTGATCCAGAGAAGTATGATCTGGTCAAAATAAATGGCCGTTGTCTAGAGGTCAGTTCAAGTCGTTTGGTCAAAGAATGGTATGTAAGGTCATGAAATGATTTGCCCCAGAGATTATGCACTGATCTGTGTTCCCAGTCACCGTAGTGGAGATTATCTTTTTCAGACGAGGTTTCTGGTCCATTGAAGAAAGAGGGCTCATTCATATCGTTCCAGAGATGAACATTAGTATTTTCGCCGATGAATTTGTTAGAATTTGAATTTTCAAAGAGTTGGTCCCAGTACACTTGTGCCTTGGGATTCAAAGAATCAATCCACACGGACTCGCCGGGCCAGCAATGGCCCTTGTATGTCTCGTTTTTGAAGTCGTTGATCGCGAGTTTGTGCTTTGCAACATAATTGCTGACCTCATACTCTGTTTTCAAGTGGGGATCAACGATCACAACAAGGTTTCTGCCTGTGTGATCCAAAGTCTCCAACATCTCGAACGGATGGCCAAACGTGTCCTTGTTCCATGTGAAATACTTCTTCTTCTCAGTATACTCAATATCCAACCAGATGGTGTCGTATGGAATCCTGTATTTGTCCATGTTAGAATTGACCTCGAGTACATCTTTTTCGTCATTGTAGTTCCACCTACATTGATGGTAACCTAGAGCAAACTCTTGAGGAAGCGCAACATTGCCGGTAAGTTGACCATACTTGCCGTTTATCCCCGCAGGGGTTTCAGCCATTAAAAGAATCACATCCAATAGCCCGTTTTCAGAGATCCAATGAGTTCTGACAGAGTCAGACTTATCGATATCAACAAAAGTATCGGCTGCATTGAGCCAGAAAACACCCACAGAATCATCTGGCTTCACGGCTACCATCAAAGGAATTGCTCCGTACATAGGCATTCTTGAATCTGTTTCGTACTCGAAGATGTCCACGTTGAAAAGTCTGTATGGCCATTTACTACCCACGGTACTCTTCAACGAGAAAGAGTCTGCATGTTCTGGTATTCCGTAAACATGCTTGTAGTCATGAAAGTTGATGTCAATAGCCACTGACTCCGGGCCCAATGGGATGGAGTCCTTCTTAGAATCCTCAAAGGAATCCTTGAACATATCAAAGTCCAGCTCCAAATCTGGCCAAATGTTGTTGACGTTATCCAGTTCTTCTCTGTAGTGTTCAATATTCAAGAAATTCTGTTCGTTGACAATTACCTGGATAACGTCATGGCGGTAGAGGATGAGTTTTAGAGGGCTAAACAGGAGCACAGCTTTGTAATGAAGTTCCTGGCCAAACGAGAGGGAAATGTCATTGGCTGTTATATCAATATTCTGTGACACTAATGATTCATACTTTTCTGACTCGTGGGCGTCAAACGCAGCCTTGCTAGCCTCATTGTACCTTCTGGTTGTCAACTTTCCTTTGGTGAATTGTCGATCTTCATCGATCTTGAACCGAATGCTTTCGCCTTTAACAACCGAAAGCTCGAAAGGGAGCGCTACCAACGATTGCAGAGGTAACTTCTTGTAGATAATACCATTTATGGCTTTTTCACCCACATGGATGGAGTCTGGACTCACAAAATATGGACTGTCGAAATGTTGGATTTGCTGAGCATAGTGACGGTTTCTAGCGCAGAAACCCGAATTGTCACAATTTTTGAAGAGTTCCTCCTTGACTGCCCATACTCGAAGGAAACTAATGCTCCAAAGTATGACAATTTGAAAGTACTTCATTGGCAGAAAGAGCACCGTGTCAACCGTCGCAACCGATTATGGGAAGCAATAGTAGTGTGTAGAAGTGGTGAAGGATGTGAACTTCTGGGTCCGTAACGCTAACTTTACAACAGATTTGAGAAGACATTGGGTTTTGGTGAGTACGAGATATTGATGATTTTGAAATAGTTGAGTTTCTTATGAATGGTGATCAAGAATAACGTGGAATGGGTATTTTAGATTAGGGTTAAGTTCACGACTAGTACTAAACTAAGTTCAGGATAATAATTAGGAGAAGAACTAGAAGAGAAAAGGTTGTGGATGGGGCAAAGATCGGGTATCTGCTAATGTGCAACTACAGAATTGGACATTACGCTTCAGCTTTTCTTTTTCCCTTTCATTTTTTATTCTAGTGTTCTTCATAATTACCATAATCTTTGGTCAAATGCTCATTGCTGGTGATTATGTTAGTCACCGAGGTCAGTTTGCACAAACATCCGAATTTTTTCTTAATCTGAATTATTCATTACAATCTTATCCACGTTACTTTCACCATTTCGGAATCATTCTTTTCAAAAGTCATTCCATGATCATTTATTACGTCTTCCAACAGTGACTCTCCAGCTCAAATTGGGTCGTGTGTGGCTCTAACGTTCAAGAGTGCGACCAAGTCAAACCCAAAAAAAAATACACCTACACCTATACTCCACAGTCAGATATCCTTGTACGATCCACCTTCCGGCAGATATCTCATCTCTTGCAAATCTTTTCATCGTGGCACTCTCGACATCAGTCCCTTTGGCCATGGAAGACAGAAAAAGGCCGTTTGACCAGGTGGAACTGGAACAGTTCCAACCTTCTAAAAAACCACTAGAGACGCTAAGCGACAGCGGGCCGTTGACCCAGCAGGATGTGGTGTACTTCAAGAAAGAAGCCATTTGGCGCCAGATGCGATACTACAAGTTGCAGGTGTCTGAGTTGACCCGCGAACTCTCCAAGTATGAAAAACGTTTCCAAACTTACGTGGCAGTGCATCTGCTTCTAGAGGCATGGTACCGCCAAGTTATCCGAGTATGCGGCAACCAGAAGCCTCGGCCGTTAGATTTGGCTGGCTCTGCTGACGAAATTGGAGCCATTCTAGACGAAAGACGAGATACCTTGGCCAAATTGTTGAAACCTCTTGTAGCCGCCAATGAGGACGCAGACGCCGACTTGCTTGATGCAGTGAAGTTGGAGGCTGAAAAGCAACTGGCTGAGCAGCTCAAGTCCCTGTTGGAAGACCAGCTTTTGACGTTACAAACAAAACTTCAAACTTTGCAAAAGGTGGAGAACCGCAAAGAATCGGCCACTTTAAAGCGGATGCAAGATGGGGCACAGGTTAAAAAGGAGGAGCCATCCAGTGCATCCAACGGCGATAAAAATGGTAGCCTGACCAAAGAGGCTAAAGCGGGACAGGAAGCAGCCTCCTCTGCAGAGAAAGAAGAGCTCGAAAAGATGAAGATCGAGTATGAACAATTGAAGGCTGGGTATACCTCAATCGAAACCCAGTTCAAAGATGTCAATTTGAAGTTGGCGGAAGCAGAAAAGTCCAACAATGACTTAGAAGCACGTCTCAACTCCTTGACTGACGCAGACTTGGCCAAGTGTTCACGTCATGTCTCCTTGGTTGACCATAACAAATCTTTGACAGAAAGCCTTGCGCAGGTCAACAAGCTCAAAGACGAGTTGGTTGAGAAGCTTCGGGAAACGGAGGAAAAAGACGGCAACTTAAGAAAGAGAGTAAACAAGGAGTTGGAGGACGAGAACCACCAGCTCCGGGAAAACCTAAGTAAGACTGAGGCTGACTTGGTCCGTATCCGAACAGCCCGAGACGAGCTCTTGGGCAAACAGAATATCTTGAAACAGGAGATTGAAAACAAAAAGACCAACGAGGAAGTGACCAAATTGAATGTGGTTTTAAACGATCGACTTAAGAAACTTGAAGAATCGAGACAAAATGAATACAAGGTCGATGATGTGGCCAACTTGGAGCTGTTGGAAAAGCTGGAGCTCATTCAGAGACTTCAAATCTTGAGTGGGGAAGTGAAAGATATTGAGAAGGCGTTCCAGGACACCCGAAACATTCTGTTGGAAAAATTGAAAGAGACTGTTGACCACGAGGGGCTTGTGAAGAAGTTGTCCATTGAAAAGTCCAAGGCTGACCAGAAGTACTTTGCAAGTATGCGGTTGAAGGACTCATTGGTTTCTGAGAATAAGATTTTGAAGACACAGGTTGCCAAGTCACAGGAGTTGGTAGTGAAGCTTAACGAATTGGAGAAGGGCTACTTGAGCAAGATCGATCTTTTGACAAAGAGCGTGAATGATCTTCGAATGATTAAAGAGGGATCGATACATGAGACAGCCAAGCTCCAAGAGAATCTCAAACACTTGGGCAAGGCTCGCGAAGTAGCCTCCAGAGAGGCGCACCAGTTGAAAACAGATATTAGCGAGTTGAAGAAGGAAAAGAGCGATTTGGCCAGCGAACTTAAGACGAGAAAGATTGCAGAGAGCAAACTTGAGGCCAAGCTTCGGGCTACGGAGAATTTGCTTCTGAAATACAAGCTGAACAATACTTCTTCGATTCTCCAGGAGGACGAAAAACAGTTGGAGGCACTTCGGTCCATTACCAAGTGTTCTGTTTGCTCTAAGCATTGGAAGAACACAGTGATTACTGCGTGTGGGCATGTTTTCTGTGATGGTTGTGTCCAAGAGCGTCTTGCCGCACGTCTTAGAAGGTGCCCTACGTGCAACAAGGGATTTTCTTCGAATGATTTGCTTTCGATTCATCTTTAGTCTGTATTATAAGTGTATATTAGCATTGGTAAGTGTAGAAGAGGAAGTTAAGACTACAAGATATCGAGACAGGAAAATAGGGAGAGATATCAATAGTTTAAACACGAAGTGGACGCAAATTACACGAAGATGTTACACTCAGCTTACATGACGTTGGCCAGTCACATTGAAATTTCCAGAACGCGTCCGCGTCTGAAGTCAAATGGGACCTTAAAGTCCTCAACATCAATTGATATGACCATTGTTACCGGTATTTGATATTTTATGACTGTTCACTCATAAATCTTATCTGCTGATGTCTTCCAAATCTGGAGGTGATGTATACGTTCTTCGAGGACTTGATAATCACCACCACGCCTATTTAAGTGCGACTTACATATTACGACACCCAAGATGAACTAAAAGAAGTCAAGGAGTACAAGTTAGAATAATCATAGAGAAGATAAAGAAAGTCGAAGAAGTAAAAACAAAAAATTTCTGTTTTTCTTTCAAAAATCCAGTCCATATAATTCCAATCTTATGTCTATCACTTATCTCCCCAGGACATGACAGCCACTCACACGAGCTATTGGACTGGCTGGTTGATGCCTCTGCAGGATTGCGGTGGGTGCTGGGTGTTACCCGACGCAACCGAAGGATGAGGATCGTAGCAAGAAAAAAAAAAGAAAAGTAGTGGGCAACCCCCTATTCCCATGAAAGAAGTCCACGCAATTTTTTCAAGAATGGGGAGGAAAGCAAATTTGTCATTTTATGCCACTGGCCAAAACAAAAGAATAACGGATTGTTTGTTGCAAGAAAGTTAATTTTTTTGAAATACTGAAAATTTTGATGATGCGCGTGTGCCGACCGATTTTGCCTCCCATCATCAACTGCAATCAATATCCGCCAGAATGGTGGCAAATTTTGTCTGATTTAAATCGTCGTCACGGCAATAACCGCCATCAAGTTCTCTTTGGCCATTTGTCCCTACGAACTTTGTAGTATTGCCAGTCAAACCCGACAAGAAGGCTTGGCTATGTGCAGTAGGCGTCGTGTTTGTAACCAATTCGACACAGTATTTGAATGTCGCGCCAGCAAAAAGCGTGAGATTATAAATAAACATGAATTTCCTGCGAATCCAAGAGTCAAAAATTCGCAATTTTTTCGTTTTTGTTCCTTTCTCCTGCTACCCGCACTGTTCCCGGCACGACCTTTCTGTCCCTCTGCCTCCGTTCATTGGCTGATAATTAGCAGGTGTACAGGTGAATCTTTTTTTTTTTTCTTACGAAAGGCCTCTGTGGTTTATCTTCACGTGACACCCAACCATGTCAGACACTCTGGCCCAGGTTCCTGAGACTACAACCCCCGTCCAGACTCCCTCGGCCGACGTTTTTGAGAAAGGCGACGTGATGTCGCCGCACACTGACCTACCAGAGGCTGACGCTCCGGAGAAGCCTCTCTCGCCACCCAACCCATCCCCCTCACCCGAGAAGCACAAGCTCGATGCCGAGGATGACGACGAGGCATCCAAGAAGCAGAAGACCGAAGAGGTCCCCCCTGCCTTGGCCAACAGCGCGGATACCTCGTCCATGACTCCAGCCCCAAAGCCACCGACAGAACCAGACATGGATAATCTCCCGGCTGATCCAATGCCCAAGCATCAAACTAAGTTTGTGCTCAACACTATCAAAGCAATCAAGAGATTGCGTGATGCTGGGCCCTTTCTACACCCTGTGGATGTGGTGAAGTTGAACGTCCCATTCTACTACAATTTCATCACCAGACCAATGGATCTTTCGACTATTGAAAGAAAAATCAACTTGAATGCCTACGAGGATCCCCTGGTGGTTGTGGAGGATTTCAATCTCATGGTTGAGAATTGCTTGAAGTTCAACGGTGAGTCCTCAGGAATCTCTCGCATGGCTAAGAACATCCAGGCACAATTCGAGAAGCATATGCTTAATATTCCTCCAAAGGTCTTACCTAATAACGGCTCGGCCGCCGTGGTGTCGCCAGCTAATTCGAGAAGAAGAACTGTTCTTGCTGATGATATCAAGAAGGAGTCTGTTGCTGCCCATAGACCAAAGCGTACTATCCACCCACCCAGATCCAAGGAATTGCCTTACGATGTGAGACCTAGGAAGAAGAAGTACGCAGCTGAGTTGAGATTCTGCAACCAGTTAGCCAAGGATTTGACTTCCAAGAAGTTATACAACATTAACTTCCCCTTTTTGCAACCCGTGGATCCCGTTGCTCTCAATATTCCCAACTACCATGAGATTATCAAGGAGCCAATGGATTTTGGCACCATTCAAGGTAAGCTTGCAAACAACCAGTACGAGAATGGCGATGAGTTTGAAAGGGATGTCAGATTGATCTTCAAGAACTGTTACCTTTTCAATCCTGAGGGAAATGATGTGCATGCAATGGGTAAGAAGCTCGAGCTGATCTTTGACAAGAAATGGGCCAACAAGCCAGTCCCGGCAGCTACTCCAACTCATTCTGATAATGAATACTCGAGTGATTACGATGATGATGATGAACCGGAAATCAACGAGTCAATGTTGTCCAACATCCCGGCTATCCAATTTTTGGAGAACCAATTGGTGAGAATGAAGAAAGAGCTTGATGAATTGAAGAAGCAGCATTTGGAGAAGTTGAGACAACAGCGCGATGCTAAGAGAAAGAAGAAGAAGTCCAAAAAGTCTAAGAGAGCTAGATCCAACTCTGTGAGTGAAGTGGGTGTCGAGCCTCAGCCAGTGGTCACTTATGAGATGAAGAAGCAAGTGAGTGAAATCGTTCCAACTTTGAACGACAAGAAGTTACAAGCTTTGATCAAGATCATCAAAGATGATATTGTTATCAGCGATGAAGAGGAGGTGGAGTTGGATATGGATCAATTAGAGGACCGTACAGTTTTGAAGCTCTACAACTTTCTCTTTGGCAAAAAGGCTGCTTCAAACGCAATGAAGAAGATCAAGAAGTCTACATACTCGTCTGGTAACATCGACCAATTGGAGCAGTTGAAATCACAACTTCAGCTCTTTGATGATGCCGAAAGATCAAACGGACAAACTACGTCTCACTTTGATCTCAATGCCATCCCTGCCCAGGAGTCTTCGGATGACGACCTCTCTTCCGAGTCTTCTGAAGAGGAGTAGATGGCAATGTGCCCCTTGCAAAGGCACATCTCCCTGTAATATATTCTGTACTATAAATAGTTTCTGCAATGAGGTTCATGATTATCAAGTAGGTTTTAAGCTCGGAATTTTTCTCTGGTTCCTATGTGGCCGTAGATTACAGTATGGGTGCGGAAACCTGCGCGTTTCTGCCTTCCAGATTGGGAAGTGTTTTCCGGGCGATGAGTCCTTCATCGATTACTAGTTATTCTATCGTTCTCTTATCCACTTATCAGCTCTATCGTATAAATAGTTGCAGGGTCCCCGGGTTTCCAATATCTTATCAGTATGACTGTACCTGCTAGAGATCCCCTTCACAACCCTTTGCATATTCTCAAAACATATAAGCGAGACCATGGTAGGCCAGCCTACATCGCTGGACCCATGGTGAGGTATTCCAAACTTCCATTCCGTGAGCTTGTCCGCCAGTTCAATACAGATATCGTGTATACGCCGATGATTCTTGCACGGGAATTCGTCAGAAACGAGACTGCTCGCGTTAGCGACTTTTCCACAAACGACGGCGATAAACCAGTGGTTGTCCAGGTTGGCGTGAACAACGTCGAAGATCTTCTTAAATTTGTTGATATGATACACCCTTACGTGGACGGAATCGGTTTAAACTGTGGTTGCCCTATCAGAGAACAGGTGAGAGAAGGCATAGGTGCAGCCCTCATGTCGGAGCCAGAACTTGTTTCCAGTATGGTCAAAGCGGTGAAAGAGAAATATGGAGACAAAGTGTGCATTGAGACGAAGATCAGAATTCACAAGGACCTTGATGAGACGATCAGGTTCGTGAAAATGGTGGAAGCTGCTGGTGTAGATTATATCACTGTTCATGGACGTACCAAGACCACGCGATCTTCGCAGCCAGCAGATTGGAATGCCATTAAGTTGGTGAAAGAAACTGTCAACGTGCCTGTGGTAGCCAACGGAGATTGCTTTTCCTTGGAGGACGCTGAGAAGATCGCAGAGCTCACTGGTGTGGATGGGATCATGGCTGTGAGAGGCATATTAGCCAACCCAGCACTTTTTGCTGGCTACAATATAACGCCTTGGGCTGCAGTGGAAATTTTCTGGGACTTGGCTTCCAGTTATGGACTCCCATTTCGTATTACACAGCACCACTTATCCCAGATGATGGACAAGTTGGTTCCCAGACGGTACCTCAAGGAGATGTGCGAGTTGACGAACTTGGTGGATATGATAGACTGGTTTGATGACCACTTCGTGTTGAGAAGACGTGGAGAATCTGGCTTTGCCACTGCTGAAAAGCCAGATTGGAAGACGGCGAGAGAAAACTTTGCTCGCATCTAATAGGTTAATATGGATTTGGTAATTTGAATTGTAGTACTCATTATAGAACGCCATCACTTGGTACTACCAATCAACTCCTTGTTCTGAAGTGATATACTTTTCGTTTGGTTGTTCACCTTGTAGATACCAACAAGCTGTTGAGCAAGTTCGAACATATTGTTTCTCAACGAAATGACAACAAACTGGGCATTCTTGGTTCTTTCCTTAATGTAGTTGGCAACAATAGATACATTCCTGAAGTCCAAGGCAGCATCGATTTCATCCATAACGTAGAGAGGGGTGGGCTTGTACTTGTGCAAGGCGAACACCAACGCCAATGAACTCAAAGTCTTTTCTCCTCCGGAAAGGTTGGAAATGTTCTTCCATGACTTTTTAGGCGGCATCACACTGAACAAGATACCTTCAGAGAATGGATCCAAACTGTCCACTAACTCGAGTTCAGCGTTACCTCCCATGGTGATCATTTGATACATCTCCTTTAACGAGAGAGAAATGGTGTTGAAACCCTCCATAAACTCATCAAGTCTCTTTCGCTTGAGTTCCTCACAATGATTCTTAATGCTGTCTCGTTGCTCCACCGATTCATTCAAATCAGATCGCCTCACTTCAAGCTCTTCCAGCTTCCTTCCGTATTCTTTAAGAACCTCGATATCGACTTTTACACTATTCATGTAGCTCTCGATCTCGCCTATCTCCTCCTCGACATTGTCCAAGTTTACACCCTTGATTTCTTCCTCGGATAGTTGATAGATCTCTGATCCACTATACCTTGCACGTTCCGCTTCAGGCAACCAGTCGATGTAAGTCGAGCTGTCACGCGTAACTAACTTTCCAAGAGCTTCTTCCGCTTCTTCGATTGCGCTTCTATGTCTGCGTATTACCGAGTTGACTTTCTCGAGTTGGTTCCGGAGTTCAATTTCATCAGACTTCAATTCATTGATTTTAGAGGAAAGCTCTTCCAACTTGTCAACAACATTCTCGAGCTTAGATTCACGATCGCTCAAATCAGAATGGAAAACCTCGGCAGTAAGCTTTAACTCTTCGATTTTGCGTCTCTTCTCCATCAAGTCTTCATTAATGGAGGAAGATTCCTTTCCGGCCAACTCCGATTCTTTTTCGCTGTCGGCAATAATCTTGGTGTGCCTCTTGATGTCATTCTCCAATTTCTTGATGGTCATCACATCTCCAGAGGTCTTTTCATGAATGATTTCGATTTTTTGCTTGATAGAATCCACCTTAGAATTTTGGACTTTCAACTCCACTCCACCTGCGTCCATGATCTTTTCTTCCAACTGAACTATTCTTGATTCAGATTCTATCATTTGCAGTTTGAGATCATCCCGCTCCTTTGTGAGCGTCCTAAGCTCGCCATTCTTTAGCTCTAAAGCCTGATTAGACACATCAGATGCACTTGCACGTTCCTTTTCTGCAATAAGCTCTTTGCAAGTTCCAGAAACCTCTTTCTTCTCGGTAACAAGCGCCCTAATATCCAATTGAACTGTTTGAATAGCGAATTCTGTTTCCGGCTTCATATCCTTTAATTTACGAAGCTTCATCTCCATGTCCTGGCATTCTTCACTAAGAAGATCCACCTTGGATTCCATGCTCTGCAACTCCTCCTTCATCTGAGCAATCTCTTCTTCAGTGTGCTCAGACTCTTGAGTTACTGCGTTGGAAATAAGCTTCATCGCACCTCTCGAAAAGCTGTTACCACCTCCCGACATAGTACCTGAGGTGTCCACAACTTTTCCATCCAAGGTCACGACTTTATATCTCTTTGGTCCGTAAGCCACGGACTTGGCTTCTTGAAGATTAGTTGCCACTAGAGTATTGAACAACTTGCTATAAAAAGCAGGTAAAAACATTGGATCTTTTGGTTGAATCAAGTCGAATAGTCTCTTGACAGACATTGGGTTTCCTGGAGTTTGGATTGGACTCAAGTCAAACTTGCGGAGCTTATTCAAACAAATGAAACTGGCGTATCCAAGCTTGTTCTTTCTCAAGTATTCGATACATGTTTGAGCTGTTTCAACAGTTTCCACCACCATGGAATCAAGTCCAGGGCATGCGGTGGAGATGGCAATGTCGTACTTGTCATCGATCTGACCAAGATCTCCAAGACGGCCATGGAATCCTTCTATTCTACCGGACTTTGCTAAGCGCATCAAGCTGACAAGAACCTTGTTCTTATTTTGTAAATTTGCCATGGAATTCATGGCGTCCTGGGTCTTTTGTCTGGCAGACGCCAAACGAACTCTTCTTGCTTCGAGTTGCTTACGTGAGTTGCGGCACTGCTCCTCACCTAAAGCGATTTGTTCGTCAATGCTCGAGAGTTTCTTCTCGAGCGCTTCGATTTCAGATTCCTTCGTCTTACCTTCTTTCTTGATATCAACAAGTCGTTGAGACGCTTCGCGGAGCTTCGTATCGGTCAATTTGGATTGGTTGATTAGCATCTCGATTTCTGAACGCACGAGATCGATAGAGCCTTCCTTCTCTTTGAGTCTATCATTGAATGGCTCCAATTCTTTTTGTAAATCCTCGATTTCACGGGAGAAATGGGAAGTTTTCTGGGTGAGGTTCGTTCTAAGCCCAGCGAGCTTCTCCTTTTCGTTGTCAAGAGACTCCTCTAACTCTTGAAGTTCTTTCTTGAATTGCGCCTCAGCTATCCTCAAGTTGTCGAGCTGCATCGTTGAAGAAGAGAGCGAATTTTCTGAATTCAGTTTGGTTTTCTGAATTCGCTTCAACTTGTTTCCCAAGTTTTTAAGCTTCTCTTCTAGCGAAACGGTTTGACTGTTTATCGTCTTCTGCTGCTTGTTGGAAGCTGTGATTTTCTCCTTAAGCTGAGACATGGCATTTTGGAGGGAGGATTTCTCCTCGTTGGCTTTATCTACCTCTGTGCTGAGTTCCTTGTTCTTCTCGACCTCTTCGCTCAACTTCTCTTTGAGGTCAAGTGCCACTTTCTCGTTTTCCTCTAGATGCTTGTTGTTCTCGCTGATGCTGACCTGGTATTTGATGGAGCGCTTGTCTGTGAGTTTTTTCTCCATTTCCAAAAATCGAAGTGCCTCATTCTTCTTCTCTTCTAGCAATGCTGTATCTTTTTCCACCAATTCAAACCGGTTCTCTTTCTCGAGGCAGAGCAGATTCAACTCCTCTACTTTGACCAAACTTTCGTCAATCAAGCTCTTGTACTTACTGGTTCCTATGATGTCCTCCAAATACTCTAGAAGTCCGTCGTCATTTTCTCTCTCAGCCTTTGGCTTCATCTGTGCGATCGACTCCACCTCACCCTGCAAAATTAAGAATCTCTTATGATCGAGGTCAATGCCTTGTCCACGGAGATAAGTGGTGACATCTGTGTAACTGCTGTTGCGGCCGTTGATAAGGTATTGCGAGGCATTGTTTCTTGTTGCCCGCCGACTGATGATTATGTCGGAATCAGGTACTTTGTGGGCCACATTGACTCGTTTGTCATCGTCCACCACATGCATGAAGTGAATATCTACCTGGCAGAAGTCTAGTTTCAGTCCACCCTCTGAGTTGTGTATCAATTCCGAAAGCTTACCCTGTCTCATTTTCAGCGCACGGAATCCGAATACAAATAACATGGAGTCGATGACGTTCGACTTTCCAGAGCCGTTGGGACCCACCACGGCCGAGAATGACGCGTTGAACGGGCCGATTTCTTGCACTCCAGCATAAGATTTGAAGTTTGTTAACACCAATTTACAGATGACGAGTCTGGGTGTGCGCTCTGGTGGGCTGGAGCTTTCCTTTAGTCCTTGGTTTGGAGAAAGAGTGCTCTGCGATACGGGGGCTTGATCCAAGCTGTTGAGCGAATCACTGGTTGTTTTAAATGCTTCATGGCCATTCAATTGAGTCTTTCGAGCACTCGGGCGTCTTTTGAGCTCTGCAGCGTCCTCATCGGGGAGATTGTTTGCAGAAGTCTCTGCATCCGTAACTTTGATTTCTGCAGCGACATCAGCAGCCATGCGCGAACTGACGGGTGCCAGTGTACTATCAATATGCTTTTCTTCATCCTCCTCTTTTTCCTGTTCTTTATTTGCCTGATTTTCGCTTTCTTCCTCGTCTATCTCGTCCTCTTCAGAAACTATTTGTTGTGGAGTATCTCCGAGAGTAATCCCCAGGTTATTCGGTTCAGACGACGAGTTTTCATAATCGCTGTTGTTCACAAACGTCGTTTCATCCTCCATATCCATGTAAGGCTTGGAATGGCCAACTCGGGGTTTGGATCTTATCATGGCAGGAATGATCTGAATATCAGTAGCGTGTTTGGGTTGTTTATAGAGGTTGTATGTAGGAGTAGGTGGAGAAGATGGGAAATCAAGTAGATGCTGATGTTAGTGTGAGGATATTATTCGATTGATTTGTTTCAAATAGCGTTCGGAATTCGTTTTCGTCCTAATTGCTTTTTACGCTTTATTTTTTGGTTTTTCGTGTGTTTTTCGATTTTGGGTTGTCTTGGTCTGTCTGGTTGATCTTACTTGATGTTCTCGAACTAGATGTCTCAATTATGCTAATATACAGATGTGAATGCCTTAATGCTCCTTCTTCTCTTTCTTCTCCTTTTTATCCTTCTTATCTTTTTTCTCCTTTTTATCCTTCTTTTCTTTTTTCTCCTTCTTGTCTTTCTTCTCTTTCTTGTCTTTCTTCTCTCTCTTTTCTTTCTTTCCCTTCTTTACTTCCTCTTCTTCCCCTTCCTCTGCAATGATCTCTTCTGCAGCTTCCTCTTCTAATTCGTCTGCAACTTCCTCCACTTCCACTGCAGCTTCATCGACCTCCTCAACAGCCTCATCGATCTCCTCCTCTGCAGCCTCGTCGATCTCAATATCTTCAGCACCTGCATCATCTCCACCGTCAACAGTCTCGGTCTCTTCTTCATCAAATTTTATCTTCTTATTCTGACGCTGTTCGCTATTTTCTTCAAGCCCATGCTTTCCTGTCTCAAGTTCTGCCAGAAGTGGAGGTAATCCTCTCAAATCTCTTTGAACTCTCTTGAGCTGACCCAACACTGGGTTACTGCCAGCCATGTTGGACATACCGGTGTTGGTGAAAGTGATCTCGTCGGTAGAGCCTGGGACGGTTGCTGCGATGGACTCAGAGGTAGATATAAACTTTGTCAAAATGGCCTCGGCCCGGCTCTTGCTAATGGCATTCATGCCCTTAACATGTGCCACAACAGGTGCATTGACTGCATTCTGTGCATTTCTTCTTGGGCGATAAGTCGACATGGTGGTTGCCAGACAAGAAGCTTGGATTGTCACTGGATGCGATGGAGTTTCTCATCTCGAAAAAATATCACTTTCTTAGTGCGCAAATTTACCCGCGGTTCTTACTTACGCAGTACACGTGAGCACACCATTTTGAGAAAAATTCGACCTCCACATAGATTCAAGACTTCAACACCTTCACCACCCAAATGTTTTCCCTTTCACAAGCCGTGAGCAGGTCTGTCGCAGCTAATGTGGCGCTGTTCCGCCACTTCTCTATTATGAGCAAAACGCCCATGACCTCTTCGTTTGGGGTTTTCAAATCCAACATCTCCCAGCCACTCGTTAGCCCGGAAAGCCAGCCGGTCTCTGCCTTTCTGTTCATCACAAACCTCATCCAGAGAAGATTTAAGTCCAGAGGTAACACATATCAGCCTTCCACATTAAAGAGAAAGAGAACCTTTGGATTCTTAGCGCGCTTGAAGTCTAAGAATGGAAGAAAGGTGTTGGCCAGAAGAAGAGCTAAAGGACGCTGGTACTTGACTCATTAATCAGACCCTTTAAGTGATCAGCATTCACATCATCAAACATTTCTGTACATACTTGCAAAATAGACGTCATTTAATCATCTCCTAATGCCTTGGAGTACTGTTGTTCGATCTCATGAATGAGCTTCTGTAAGGTAACAATCACAAACTGATGTGTAGCATCAGGAAACTTATTTCTGTGTAGTCCAAACCACTCAAGTGGGGGAGTAGCATTCCCAAGTTCCTTTAATTGTGGCGCTTCGATTACAGGCGGAGCCATGGCAACGTACTGGAACTTCGTATGATTGGCAACTTTATCAAGTGTTTCATTCAAATCGTTCACGATGTCCTCGTTTGGATCTTCAGGTTTCTCGACCATTGTCATTGGATCAAGTTCTTCGTCTTTTTGATTTTCAAAGACCTTACTCTTGATTTCATGTGCATCCTTTACTGGTAGCACCGCCTCCTTTCGTTTGTATTCGGTTCGTGATGAAAGTGCTCTCTTGTGGGCAGCGTACATTTCCCGAACCAAATTCACGGATCCAAGATTCCATCTCACGTCGACAGCACCCGAGAAGGAAGACTGGAATAAAAAGTCAACCACATTGGTGTTGTACTTCTGGTAGGTCCTCATGGAGATCATGAACTTAGGGAACCCAAGAATATTACCTCCCTTGCACTTTCTAGCATATTCCACGAATTGTTCGACTTCAAAATCCTTGATTTGTTTAGGGTTCACCCCCGCAGTATTAGATAATGACGCATTTAAGTTGTTGAGCTGAAGCTCAACCTCATTCTTGATACCTAGGGAATACTCATTCTGAACAAAGTTGGCCTGTGAAGTATCCAACGATACAACAAGCACTCTACTATCATCTAGAGATTGTGGATATACCTGAAGAGTAGTCATACCCGTGTTAACTTCGATCTTGGTCTCTAGTTTTTTGGCGACTTCAAGCAATTGACTGGGATCGATCTTCTCTTGCATTAAATGCTCTTTGTTGGAATCCTTCAAAATCTCCTTATACGACTTTTCCTTTTCTTCAATCAAACGCGAGACGGTAGAGAAAATATCAGAGAAGTCAGATGCTGCTAAGGACGTCAAGAACACTTCAACTCGGTCGTACTTTATCATCACATAAAGATGGTCTTTAGAGATATTAATTCCATTCTTCCGGTTAAAAGCATCCATTCTCCATCCTTCAAGGTTGGCAAATGCGAACACATGGTCATCAAAAGCAACCTTCAAATGCACTTTGGCAAATCCAGCAGCGAAAAGTACTAAAGGAATGTCCAAGTATGGTAGCTCTTCGAATTTCCATTCGATTGCAGAATTGAGAAAGAGCTTTTCAATTTTTAAGTATCCTCCCAAACGGCCATCACTGCCAACAACTAAAGTCTGGCAACCAAATTGAAATTCGTAGAACCAACTGGAAGTTTTTCTTGAAGTTGCCCAAGCCCTATCAAGATCAAGAATAATGATTCCCAAAGCTGCGCCAAAGTCAAACTCAAGTGATATGTTCGAAAGAATAAAAGTGAGTGCAACTGGAATGGCGTAAGTTGAAGATACCTCTCTGAATTTGGCATGAGAACTTTTTTGTACCGATTTCTCTGATGGAGTATCAGAACTCATTTGTGAAAATTGGTATTTCTTTGGATACCAAATGTCCTTGAACAAATCCACATCTTGGTACTGTTTCATCTTCACATAAGCAGAAACATCACTTATGCTTACAGAAGAGACCACATTCAAGTCTGGCTCAAAAGTTATTGAACTTGAAAACAAGACACTCTTGATATCAAATGAGCCACTTCTCTCGTCAGAATATATATGCTGTAAGGATGCAGAAATTCCGCTTAGTTGAATCAAGACATCAATGGAGTTATAATCCAATCCAGTACAACCGTGTATCGAGCCACCCTCAGATTCAACGATGGCTGCAACTTTGGCGGTAGGTTCACAACTAAGTGACACCCTTTGTTTCTCAATAATGAAACCGAAATGGAAACTTACTTCCTTCAAGATGTTTCCAATACTGCGTGACATGTCTGATGACTTTTCATTCAGCTGTCCATTCAGTGCCTCGGTCACTTCTGGAGATTCTTCTGCGATTGGCTTTGAAGATCTAAACATCAGCTTGGACGCATCAACGAAGTCCATCAACACAGGAACACATGATGAATACAATGTATTGTCAGAAGGTGACAATAGAATTTCGGCTTTGACCACATGCTTCTTCTCCAGATTCTTTTGATGCTGGTAATTGATAGCTGCCAGTACAGCAGGCGAATGAACAGATAATGAAGGTGGATTATCCAAGTTATCCTCCTGCAAACGATATATGAATACCTTTGAACCTGCAAAGTTGGACGTAATATTCACATTCTTGAACTTCAAATTGAGCGGACTCTTGCCTTTCCGTTTTGCAATTGAGTCTTTTGAGCCCCCTTTGAAAGGTGGTGTAAAATTCTTCTCCTTCTGCATGTTTCTTGTTCTCTGTTCAAAGTACGACTGAACTTGTGACCCAGACTGAACGGCACGCTCGATCAAACTTATGGAATTGGACATGAATCTCACATCCAATTCTTCTCCAATGATTTTGATCCACAACCCAATTTCATCAGACAGGAAATAGTTGATTTGCAAATGTGGCATATATGCGCGATTAAGACTATCCACCTCACTCAGCATACTGTAGAAACTGGTCGTTGTTGATCCATTCGCAACAGAAAGATATCCTTCCATTAATGTCAACTTGCCTAAGTCGGCTTTAGTAACAGCAAAAACCCTTTCAGCGCCAAGAATGAATCCCGGGTAGTCCTTGTGGGTGGAGCCAAAAAGCCATCCGACGCAGAAATTGTAGGAGAGGAAATGAACAGAAGAAAAGTGAAAACGGCCACTTTTCTGCAGACTTTCATCTTCAATTTGCGGGTTCTCAACTTCACAGACATTAAAGTCTTCTTGTTTAGGTTTCGCTTCTGAGTATGTTACCTCAGTCTTTAGCATTTCGTGCTTCTTTAACACCCTGTTTATGCCATCAGCAAGTTCGACCATCTTGAATAATACCTGGGGACTTAGACAAATCCGAAAATGTTGTGATTCAATTTGCAACGATTGAGCAGGTTCATCTTTCTTTGATGTATTGTCGTTTAGAACTTTTATGGCCAAACTAAAGTCCAAAATAGTTGACAAAGCAAACGAAAACAGAGGGTCCACGATTGTGATTCTTGTAGAAGGAATAGTGAGCTCGCCCCAAATTGGTGTAGTTTGTCCCAAATTACTTCGGTTGATATTCGCAAAGACCCAACTGATGTCTTCGAACTCAAGAGAGAAACGACAACGATCCTTATGAGTTGAAAATCCGAAATACTCTAAGTTCACATTCAACTTAAGGGCTAGATCATCGAAGTAACTGGATTTTGTAGTTGTGTTTTCCACTGATAGCAGCTTTGTTTCTCTTGGTGGGAAAACTATATCTCCTAACTCTAGAAGTGTTTTTATCCTGTTTTCAAGAGCTGGTTCGTGTTTGATGATGAGTTCAAGAGTTCCCACGAGCAGGCCATTTGTCAACTTCAAATACCCCAAGTCGACTTCTCCTGAAAGCAATTTCAACTTAGCATCCAAGTTCATGCGGGACAGTACTAACATTCTTGAATGTTCATAATGCAAAATTTGTGATTCATGCAAGAAAAAGTCCATGAAGACCGATTTGTGATAGTATTTGAAGAAGACGTTTCCGTTTTCATGACCGAAAGCAAAACTGCACTTGAGCGCAGAATAATGGATCCTTGCTGGATACAATAGCTCAATTAGAGCAGTGATTTGGCCGATACTTAAGTTTAATTTGAAGTTTGGAAGTTCGTTCAGTGTCTTCGCAACAGGGGTTGCAGACACGTTCTGGCTAAATGGAAATATGGTCTCAAGCTCCTTCAAGTCCTCGTTAACCAAATTGCTAAGGAATTGACATAATGAAGCGTCCCTTTCAAGGATCTTGAATTCAAGCTCATCGAGTTTCACATCCAATACTTGAGAATCCACTCTGCCGAGTAAGCCTGAGTAAACAAGACAGAGATCTCGCAAAGACAACCCAATAAATTCGTGATCATTCTCACCAAAGCTGATACTATATTCACTGGACTGTGAATTCACGCTCATTTGTTTGTCAAAGTTTTCTGTGGTGTGAAGCTCAAACGAGGACATGTTATCATAAGTGTAAAAGTCACAGAATATATGTGGAAGGTCGAATCTCAAATGAACAAGTCTGAGGTGAAAGAGGAACGACATCGATTTCATCAGTTTGACAACTTCGGGAGCCCTTTGTGCTTTCCGTAATCTTGAAACATCATTGGAAGTGTTCTTCCTCTTCTCCAAAAACGTTGAGACTGTTTTCATTATCTTGAACACTGTTGGCCTCAAAGCTCCATCGAAGGCCTCTATATTGATAATAGCGTTCATCTTTTCGATTGGTTGCTGCGCATTTAGTTCGGGGGCTTCGAAGTGAAAAATGCTGGAGGTAACTCCATGTAAGGCAATCATGTCACTTTCATTTCCCACAATATTCACCCTGGTAATTGCATGCCTCAAGCTGAACATGATTCTAACGTTCTTGTCGACGGCAGTATCAATTTCTCCGAATAATGCATGAAAATATTGTGATCTTTGAGCCATGTCTCCTTCCCAGGGACGCCAGCTACTAAATAGTGAAATTACCTCTTTAAGTGCGTCTGGAGGGTTCCGCCACTGTCGCAAATTAAATCTGTCTCTCTCTGCCTCGTAGATCGCTAAATTATTCAAGATACTCCTGAGTTTAGTAATCAACTTCCAACTATCGTAAATTCTGACGTGATCATCGCAAGCTTTAAGAATTGTGGCAGGTTTTGTAATCACACCAGGATCGTGTTGCATGTTTGCATCCCTGGCTGCCAATGTTAACATGTGGATCAATTCCTTCCTCCAAACATCAGCAGCTTTAAGTGCGCTTTTCATGTTAGAGATAGAAACTGATAACAATGATTCAATCAGATCCAAGAATCGCAACGTCCACTCCAAACGAGTACTCTCTGCGAAAGTTTCAAGCTTTTTAATAGAACCTGATACCACTAGCCCCGCTGTACCATCTTTAGTTCCCCAAGATTCAATATCACTCACATGGACTGTCAACGGTGATCCAAAGAAGTCAGGATCGTGCGCTGAGATATAAATCTCTCTCACATGAAGTGCAAACGTTACTGAGTTGACTTCACGAAGCGTGAAACCTTCTCTTGTTCTTTGTGTGATTTTAGAGAATGCAATTGAGGGTTCCAAGACAGAAATTGAAATTGCAGGTACCGTGGGAGATGTACAGAGAACCAGATCAGGCGTTGTAAGACTCTTTTCAACGACCTTTAAATTTATCGTTGGGCACACAAACCTAACATTGTCAACCATGGATACTGGTAAAATTAGCATCTTAAGATGCTTCACAGTTTCAACCTGCAATCTGTCAATAAGGAATTGCAAGTCGAGGTTTTGGAAACCTGTCATTAACGAGCCCAAGGAGCTCGTACCTTCGGGCGTTATAAATGCGTCAATTGCACCAAACTCCAACACAAAAGTATCATGTTTTAATCCGGGAATGTGAGGTGTTTGAGGGCAGAAATCTTCATTACGGTAATTAGTTGTAGGACTTATGTCCTCATCCTCATCCTCTCCCATTTCATTAGACGACAAAAGTGATGCATCATCTGAGTCTAGATCAATAGAAGATTCATATTCCGAATGCAAACTTGTGTATTCCTTAGTTAAAGGAAATGAACCCTTCGGAAGTGATACACTTGCAAACAATGAACCCAAAGCATCTAAGTAGACATTGTTTTTATTCTGACTGAATAAGTTGAATGGAATACGGTGAGTTGGTGCATCATTTTTCCTGACATACATCTGCTGATTTTGACGATGCTCGAGCATATTAGCTTTTTGGCAGATGTCAGTTAATGTCAAGGATGTCTTCAAGGATCCCTGATGTAAAATGCCCTGTGTTTCATTAACCACTTTCATAAAAATTTCTGGAATGGAGAGAGTAATCCTGTCTGAATATCGCTGGTTAGCAATATCATTGAATCCAATAAGTAGGTCGCTCAAACAAACCTCAAAAAATGTGTTCTGGACCCCAGTTGCTAGTTTCATCGATATTTCGGGGCACCTGAAACTAAAATTAGCCATGTCATAGACGATAGGAATATGATAAATGAGAGTGTTCTCGAGGTCCTTGAAGCCTAAGACAAAATCAGAGAACATTGCTTTTAATCCCGTGAGACAAGCTGGCTCACCCTCAATTCTTATCGTGTCACTAGCGAAATCCCACTTACAATGGTAAGTCAACAAATCAGGTGCTAAACCAAACATTCTATGGGTGTGAACGCTGAATCCGTCGAATGTTATATCTGGCTTCCTTAGCTTGGAGGACTCTTCATATTGAGGAATGGACCAAATGAGGTCTTTGTTAGGAAACTGCTCGGGCATGAAGTAGTACCCGAACGCGGTGCTGAAGTCTGCTTGCATATCCATGTAAAAGTGCGTCAAATGAATGTCGACATCTAAATGATCAAACAATAAGCCAATATGATGTGCATGGTCATAAATTTGACAAGGCAAAATAATCAAACCTTTGCGTGCCAGGAAGGTGAAATGCACATTCAAATCATTTTCAGTTTTGAGAATGTTCCAATAATCAGGTACTTTTTCAAATTCTCCTGAAACAGTGCTGGCATTAGAATCCTCAGAAGCGGCAAATGCTTGACCATTGGTATACTCCTCAAAAGTCTTGAAATCTTTGAAGTCACCAAAATAATTCTCTCTGAGTGTAAAAAGATATCTGATAAAGTATCCGTAAAATAACATAGTTATGTTATCACCAATTGCGTTGATAACCGCGAAATTGTTGTGATCAACCTCAACAGCATTGTAATATTGGTAGTAACCAGCAATCTCGAATGCATCTGTAGAACCCATTTTCTTGTTTCCTTTCATGAAGGCACTGACAGTGTGCCAAGTAGGAACCTTTAAAAACAAATCAAGAGAAGTTGTGAAAATCTTGAAGTCAACTTTAGTGCTCTTCGAGAATGGCCCGTTTAGTGGAATCACTGATTCTACTCGAAGCAGTTCACCTTGGAAACAAAGATATTTGTTATTGTTGAAATCCAAAGCATCATTGATGATGTTGTGGTCATTCACGTTGAAGAAAAGTTTATAATCAAGCATTTCCCAATTCAACAAGTACACGTATTTCCGATAATACTCATAGGGCACGGGGTCTCCAGACGAGAAATCTGCAACGACGTCTGTCATCAATGAAATGTGCTCTCTCAAAAGAAAGAATCTGATGCTTTTTGTTCTGTTCTTGAATTTCCAGGTACACTTGCCATTCCACTCCAACGGAAACCCAATATCACAGTCAAGTATATGTTCATCAGCAGAGAACATTATGTCATGATTAACGGAAGTCCTAGCTTCCGGTCTGTCCATATACACAGAGAGAGTATTTGGCCAGCCTGATGGATTTGCTAGGTACGAGGTAAAGGAAGAAATTTTGGAGTTTTCTCTAAGTTTGAGCTCGATCCAACCAAAGGGTCGAGTAATCTTTTGCTGGCGGTGGCCCGTTGTTGTCAAAATTTCCTTATCTTTGCTCAACTCACGAGTTGGGAGTCGAAAAATAATCTCGTCTTTAGTGAAAATGCAGAGTTTGAATCCAGCGTATCCTCTTGGTGAACCAGGTTTGGTGGAAACTTTAGAAGGTTCACTGTCTCTAGACAAAGGAGGGAATAGCATCGTTTGGATAGGACCACGCTGTCTATCAGCCCAGGATCCGTAGTGAATGGTAGCCATAGAGAAAACTAAGTCAACACCAAATTCAGGTGCCGTATAGTTGACAGCTTCGTCTGAGGAATCAGGAGGAAATACGCCAGGAACGTCATAGAAATAAGTAAGCTGGGTAGATGCTGTATCTAGCACCAAACTGTATTTTGCGTACTCTTCGATATCGCTGATTTCCACGACTTTTTCATCATCAAAATCGTCGATGTATCTTCTTAATCCACGCCAGCCTGTAGGTGCAAAGGGATTCTCCAGGTGAGAGGCTTTCTTGCCTGGCAAGATCCTATCCACCATTTTCCTAATTCTGAGGAGATAGTCATGGTGGGAGGTGGTAGACTTTTTCTTGGTAGCCTGACCAGCAGGTGTCTCCAGGGTATATCTTAGAGGATCATATGAGATGTTTGGTTTCAACGAGACCTGGAACTTGTCCATGGTAATATCGAGTGAAGTACGATATTTATCAAGTATGCATGGAGATTTGGATACATCTAGAATGGCATTTCCATTTTTGAAAGACGCAACCAATATGGATGGTGTAGTAGGATTTCCCACAACAAATGCACCCCTTTTGATTCGAATACGAATTGGAAGTAAATTCATGGGGAAATTTAGCGGGTTGGAAGCAACAGAGATGTCGTTATCACCTGAAGAAGACAGAGACTCACGTTTTGGGTAAGTGCCCGAGGACAGCGAGTCACCCAGCGACGAGGAATAGCGGAACAGGGATTCCTTCTCGCTGGTCTCCGACTTCTTCAATGCTTGAACGATATTGTCGTAGGACACACTTCTATTGTACATGAAGACCTCCACGCCATCTAATAGTAACACAATGCTCGTCGGGAGCTTCGTGTTGTCTTCAGGCGTCAAACCTGTTTCTTCACCCGGCGAGTCCTGGCCTATGGCCATGAAATACTTGGATACTCGAGTGACTCGGAATAACCAGTAACGCCATGTTAGGTTGAGGCGAGCAATGGAGATGGTGTAGTCAGATGTGGATAAGACCACATTCCTTGCAGTGATACGGCCACCCAATGGAGATACACGGAGAGCTTCCAAGGTGACACGGGTATGATATCGCTTCCACACTAATAGGCGGAGCAAGAATGACAAGACGAATCCTACTAGTCTCGGAAAGTAAAAGACAAACCCTAGTCCGAGAATGAGCGCTAGGATCCAGTCAGAAAGATAGACCCAGGTGGACAGCGAGAGCGCACTTGAGCCTGAGATCACGGATGAGAACCGTGTAAGACCTGACATGGTGCTGTCTTAAGCTGGGTATCTTCAGGTGACTTTCGGTTAGTACTTGGATCCGTACCTCTGTAGTAGTAAGGATACTATCAACATGCCTTAGTGCAGTTTAATTGTTTTTAGCTGATTGTTTTAATTCCAATGATACTTTTTAATTCTGATCATAATGATCTACATTTCTTTCCGTAACCTCGGATGTTTTGTTTTTCTGTTTTACCTATTCACGTCTTCGAGGGTCGGTTCTCACTTTGATCTAAACTTGCCATTTTACCAATAATTCCTGTCATGTACTCCACATAGCAAACTACACAATTCCACCCTAAAAATCGGAAAAACTATGAGAAAAAGAAAAATCAAACAGGTGCATTCCGAATACTTCAATGTAACATTGGGATCATATATACTGCCAAAATTTCCCATTTTTGCCTCATAATACCGTTAATCTGAATCTTAGTCTTATCGCCTGCATATAAGCTACGATTTCCTCATACATCCTAAACACAAACAATCCACAATCCAAACGTACTTCTTTCTTTCTTTCTTTCTTTCCCATCATGTCTAACCAGATACGTATCAATGTACTAGACCAGGAAAATGATCACAAGCGTGTTGCCGGAAAGACCAAAACGCTCGACCAAGAAAATGTCCGTATTTCCCAAAAACGGTCAGGTCCTCAAACTGGATCTCATGACCAGAAGCGTTTAAGAGTTCCTCTCGCGGGAAAAGACCAAAACCTTGTTCCAGGGTTGCAGCGGTCCAAATCGTCAGCGGCAAATGTCTTTCAGACCCAACCGCTTGTCCAAAATGGAAATCAGGCGTTGAACCAGACCCATGGCCAGAATCACATTCATAATCCTAATATGCTCCAGCGCTTGCGCCCTGTGAGCACCTCATTCAAACAGCCATCGTTGCTCAAGTCAAATTCATCCTTGGGATTCACTCACAGGCCGTCCAGCCTGTCTCTGGCCACGCAAATCCGTAATGCCAATCCCCATAAGAATACGATTTTTCCTCAGGAAGACGCCCACAGAAGCCAGGAGTTGACACCGAGGTTTTCCACAGATTCGGTCAAAAAGAGCTCAGCAGCTCCATTACCACCTTTAAACATTTCTCTAGCTGATACCATATCCGAAAACACACACCGTTTGCATGCCAGTAACGTGCAACAGAGCGTTCAGCATCCCGGAGACCCAATCAAGAGAAGTAAAAGCGCAACGAAGAACGCATTGATCGAGAGTCTAGCTGAAGATCCCGATAGTATCGAAATGGTGGCACATCAGGATCTCCCTGTTCCTCGTCATGTTCCTCTTGGTGTCACACAATTGCTGGCACTAGACCTAGAGTTTATCCGCACAGGAACCAGAATTCGTACAGCATCGCCAGCTCAGGATGTCTCATTCGAATCTACGTGGGATGAGGATAACATTGACGATGAAGAAGAGAATATGATTCTCGAGGGAGAGCTTGCACAATCTGGACTGGTGGGACTTAGCACGGAGGAACTTAACGACTTACTTGACTTTTAAAGCATGCTAAGAAAACTATTTACATCATAAAAACATATATACATGGGAGCTTACTGTGTGGTGCACTCTGGAGTATACTCTGGAGGATGATCCCCATAGTGCTCTGAGAAATTAGCATAAGATTTGTCATCTTCCCTTGGTGGATTGTAGTCAGGCAATGCCTCTTCTCTAGCGATGGTGAAGTCTGTCACGTACTCAATGTTGGCCTCTGGCAATGAGTCGCCCAGAATCTCTTGCTTGGATTTCTCCTTAAGCTCTGTAGGTAGCAAATTTTTGAGCTTGACCAAGTCGTTCTTCTCTAAGTACCAATTGTCAGGAGGAAATTCTATGTCCATTTCGATGTAAAGATCTCCTCTCTTCTGGGTGGAAGAAAACCATCCTGTGCTACCCTTAATAGGCATACCTTCTCCCTTGATCTTGAGATAATCGCCTGGTCTCACCACTTTACCTTTTGGAGTAGTAACATGGATAGCACGGCCGTCCAAATGCTTCATGACCACCTTTGAAAAACCCGACAAGGCATCTACGAGCGAAATTCTGTACTTGATGTACAAATCGTCGCCCTTTCTAACTATTTTTTCATGATCTTTGCAGTGAAACGTTAAAATGACATCACCAGTCTGCTTACCTGGAAACTCATCAGACTCACCCTTTAGAACAACAGACTCTCCACTTTTGGAGCCCGGCAAAATCTCAAACTCGAGAATCTTAGTCTCCTCCACTACCTTCTCGCCGCCACAATGCTTACACTTATCCTTGGATCTCATCATCTTACCTGTTCCTTTACACGTGGAACAGTCCACATGGAACTGAGAAACCAAGCCGGGCCCAACACGCTTGATTTTCGTGGTGTAACCCTTTCCGCTACACATGGTACACTCCTTCACTGCTGCCTTCTTGCGTGCCCCGGTGCCCTGGCAAGTGTGACAAATGACGTTTCTAGTACTGGTGATTTTGACCACTTTACCCACATACAACTCTTCAAGGGTAACATTGACTTCCAATTCAGCATCAGGAGTGCGGTTAACCGTATTAGAACGAGCACCTGGTGGTGCTCCTGAGTTGTACAGCGAGAAGAAATTGGAGAAGTCGTCTGCTCCGTATTCCTGGTATCCAAACCCATTACCGAAAGGATTAGCATCAAAGCCTGCCAGCCCAGGACCCATACCATTACCCATACCATCTGTGGTTCCATATAGGTCATATTCCAGTCTTTTCGTGTCATCGATCAAGATTTCATACGCATGGGAGATTTCTTTGAATTTGATTTCAGCTTCTCCTCTCTCTTCTTCACTCACCTTGTCCGGATGGTACCGAAGGGCAAGTTTACGGTATGCACGTTTTATATCGCCACTTGACGACGAGCTGTCGATCTCGAGAATTTCATATAGATCGAGACCCATGGTTTGCCATTGATTTGTTTAGTGATGATGGGTTTAAAAGATCTGGTGGTGGGGACTGCAGGTATGTAAAGGCTACAGATGAAGGTTCTAGAGATTCGACGAGAATGGGGAAAAAATGACGGCATGCGAAAAATAAACATAGCAGAGGACTCCCTAAAAAAATGAAAGAAAGACTAAGAAAAAAAATGAATTCCGACGTGGACAGGATTCGAACCTGCGAGAGCAGAGCTCATGAGGAGGTGCTGGAAGCCTGCACCTCACGCCTTAACCACTCGGCCACCACATCTGATTCGTATGTGGTAAGTAATTTTTTGTTATTAGAGTGATTCTGAGAGAAATTTTGGGGTAAAAAATACGATTTCTTTACCATTCCCAATGTACAATTATTTCAAAATTCTTTTTTTCTTATTTGAGGATACTCAGTTTGATTCCAAGTTCGATTTAGTGCTTATCGAGCAAATTGGAGTAAGAAATTGCCAATGGCGCCATACCTCAATTTTAATAATAACGAAGGTGAGAAATGTTTCTTGACTGTTACTTACAAAAATCGCCCTCCAAAGGATCCAATTCTAATCACATCGAAGTGGAACGTGAATCTTCTTTCAATTATGCAAGGATTGATAAATTTTTAGTATACTTTCCCCTTGCCATCCACTCATTGATTGCTGTAAGGTAACATCACACCCGTACACCACAGCTTAATGGCAGTCACTAAAATCACAAGATTTTCTTCATAAAAGAGAGCAGTAAAAGTAACGGAACGAAAAAGAACACAAAAGCCTGTGTTTCCCAAATAACTTACGAATTGAAATAAGTCGAAATGGCCAATTTCTCCTAATCACCCAGCCCAGCCCCTTGAGTATATGCAGTACAAACATATGAGTATAATCAACCACCATTTATATTCATCAACTCACCAGAAAATATCATGAAGAACCAACGAAACAAAAATCTTCCCAACAAAATAGCCCTAAATATCTAACATTTTTTTTTACCAACTTTTCCTTCGTTGAAAATCATCCCACCTACTAGACACCCAATTGTGCTCGGGTGGCAGTTCCTGCACGTCCAGGTGTCGTGTTCAGTGAGCATTCCGGAAATAGTGGTCAAAGATAGTTTTCTTCTATTAACCTTTAAAAGTTTTACTATAACAATGGTATGTTTACCCCATACGGCCAATGGGGCAGTCACAATCTCCCCCTCTGCAACACTAAACGCAGTTCCTATACTAACAAGTGCAGTCTAGATCAGGGTATGTTTGACGGCACAGACGTCATATGTTAAGGTCTCCATTAAGGAGTAGTAGACCAAATACTAACCACCAGTGTCGCTGTTGCTGACGAGTCGTTGGCTGCCTTCAACGAATTGAAGTTGGGCAAGAAGTTCAAGTTTGTCATTTTCGCCTTGAACGACAAGAAGACCGAGATTGTCGTAGAGGAGACCTCCACCAGCGAGGACTATGACGCTTTCTTGGAGAAGTTGCCAGAGAACGAGTGTAAGTATGCTGTCTACGATTTCGAGTACGAGATTGGTGGAGGTGAGGGTAAGAGATCCAAGATTGTCTTTTTCACTTGGTCTCCGGACACTGCCCCAATCAGATCCAAGATGGTGTACGCTTCTTCTAAGGATGCTTTGAGAAGAGCCTTGAACGGTGTTTCTGCTGATATCCAGGGTACTGATTTCTCTGAGGTTGCTTATGAGTCTGTTTTGGAAAGAGTCAGCAGAGGTGCCGGATCCCACTAGGACTATATAGCCAAGATGTTTTGAGAATGAAAGTAGTGGATGTAGTTGTAAATCTCCGGCTAGTGGTGAAAAACCATGGCTGAGGGTGTTTTTCAAGCCTAGTTGAGTTTCTCTGACTCTCAATGGAAGCATTTGAAGCATATTTTGGCTAGTTGTACAATTAGACGATAGTCTTATCGACAAGTACCGGATAATGTATCGAAACGATGGAATTGGTGTTGTGTGATTGATGTCGTTGAAATCTTCCTACTGAACTCAGTTCACGGAATTCTGGGACGTTTTTTTTTCCAAATCCATGTTCAGATGGTCATGATCTATTCCACCAATGGCCAGTACCAGTAATCCCTTTTTAATTGCGCTATTCAAAAACATTCCCAACTCATTCCTCATTGAACAAATTACCCTGATAAATTCTTCTAGTCATCCGATTATGATTTCATCGCTGTCTTTTGTCTCCATACCACAATTCAATGTTTCACCGCTATACTCACTTTTCTCACCACTGAGTCATCCCAATCTATACCAACCCATAACAATTCTACCATGAATCAGCTACAACTACCCCAACATTGATTTTACTGAATTAATTTGCCGGGTGTTTTACTTATTTCCTAGCATTTAAAAGTTTCCACCTACCCATCCTCTCAAGTCTCCAGACCATAATTGGGGTCTATCTCCCTGCATCAACACCCTCATCTTATCAACTTCTGAACCACACCATCACTCTTGGGTTCGTTGGCTTCGTACCTTCCAAAACTTTCAAAAGCCACTGTTTCTCATGGGCACCGATAAGCCAAAGCTCCCTCGGGCCACCTTAGAGCAGAAGATCAAAATCCTAGACTATTACCAGAACTCGCAACGACCCCAACTGGATACCGTTGAGAAGTTTAAGAACGAGGTGGCTATTTCCACCTCCACATTTAACGAATGGGTGAAGCACCAGGACGAGTACCGTGAGCGGTACCAGCAGCTGGTAAACGACTTCCAGAAGAATGCCAAACGGAAGGTCAAGTTTAAGTACGACAAGATCAATAGAGCCATGGATTTGCTCGTCCAGCAGAAATTGGAGAGAGGAGACGAAATCTCCGAGCCCATCCTTCGAGGCTACTGGCAGGTTTACGCCCATCAGTTTGGTGTGGATAACCCTAAACGCTTGATAGGATTCTCTCATGGTTGGCTATCGCAGTTTAAAAAGCGCCATGGACTTTCACGTAAGAAGGGAGCCAAGGATCTGGATCTCACCTTGACCACCAACGAGAAACTTCTCTCTGTTCTGTCTGCTGATGCCGTAGAATCCATTGGAGGAGAGAAACTGACATCTCCGAACAAACGAGACACAACTCCAACTCAGGCGCAGTTTCAGCCTCAACATTCCCTCAGCTTTCCGGGTCAATTTCCCATTTACAACGAACAGGATACTGGGAACAAACACCGGCCTCTTTCTCGTGGTGCAATGACTGGTCTGCACGGATCTTTAAATGGAGATTCAGGTCAAGCACAGACAAATCATAACAGTCTGATCAATACAGAGTCGGGTCAAAGTTTAGTGCTGGCCATGAGTCTACCCATGGCGAATGAGGAGCGGGTTTCTGCAGCCGACGTCGAGAAGTTCATATTCACTATTGCGGATCACTTCTTCCATGAACAACAATACCAGTATCCACAGACAGTCAAAACCTACCAGGAATTCAAGTCGCTGTTTCTTAGTGAAAGGCTTATAGATCTACGTTCGTCTAAAGAGGGACCCCCACAACTAGTTCCAGTGACCCCAAGTCCGGGTGCGGCCAACATGGCAGCGATGCTGGGCCTGGGCCAGATCCAGCTTCAGAGCCTGAACCACATCCAGAACCATCTACTGAGCCACTTGCTGAGTCAGTTGCAGAAACAACGTAGCAACCAGCTACAAACACAGATACAGAACCTGGTGAGCCAGATACAGGGAATTCTGGAAGTGGATCCGTTGGGCCAGAGCCATCGCGGACTTCGTCTGAGATTAGCGAAGCTGAGACATCAATTCTCGAAGACCCCCAAGAGTCATCAAGTGCTACCAAGTCATCTGAGCTCCCAGAATCACCAAGGTCAACTGGGTCATGGTCATCAGAATCACCAAAGTCATCAGAACCATCAGAACCATCAGAACCATCAGAATCACCAAAGTCATCAGAACCACCAGAACCACCAGAACCACCAGAACCATCAGAACCATCAGAACCATCAGAACCATCAGAATGTTCAGGATCACCAGAACCTACTGAACCACCAGCTCCCAGTGCATTCTAGTCTGAGTCATTCACACTCCACCAATGCCAGTCACGGTATTTCTACCCACCTGGGACCCCCAGGCAGCCATTCTAATACAAAGGGTCCATCTAAGTCAAGATACCTGGATTCAAACATGCAGCCATTACCTCTGCCACAGCTACTTTCCCTACATCGTTTACACCCACTTGCACGCAATCCAGATTCGCTGACTCAAAACGCCAACCAGCAAAGAGACATACAGCAGCTTCCAGCTCAGAACTTTGCTTCTGGTGAAAGAGAAAGCAGCCTTGATGAGATGTTTGTACGCGACGGATCCAATCGTTTTGGAGACCAATGGCAGCAGAAGTCTAGTCTGCGGAAGATCTGGGAACAGAACAAGATCATGTTATCGTAAGGTGACTGGTACTATGTTAGCGCATGCTCACGGATGAGAATCTTCTATCGATGATGGGGCAATCATCGCGTCGTATGTTAGGCTATTATCCGTCTAATACACTTCTCAATAAATGAGTCATTTTGTTGACACTTGGCTGGTTGGTAATGTCCATTGACGACTGGCCATTTGGTGTTCTGATAGATGGTGCAAATTATCCTAACATGTCACAATCATAGATGGCACCTAGATCACAATATAGTCGTGCCCAACCTTGCGATATGATTATGAGATGCAGCCGTTTTGTGATGGGATGGTTTTGCTGATGGCCAACATACATTCTGATACAAACTATGGTTGTTAACAGTCTACTGTATTATAGGTCTACACTATTATACCCTTAAATATCATTTATTTTCATTAACCTATCCCTTGTGGCCTACCGATATCCACATTATCCCAGGTGGGTGTAATCTGTCTCTCCCACTCTCAATTCATGCACTTGTGAAGACAATTCTTCCCATTGAACTTTTATTTTTGGGTTTCCATCGTGAGTTGCTGTTTTCTTGGGGCAATCAGCACAATTGGCACATGCCTTGGATCCATCCTCCAACACTAGTTGTCTTTCTGGAGGACAAGAAGTCAGCTGTGTTTCCGGGTGCAATTCAATGCGTTTTCCCGGTTGCATCAGTCTGGGAGTCACTTTTGGAGACATTTTTGAGGTCATATTTGGATCGTGGTCTATTAACAAAACTTGGTGAGGATCCAGGTGTTTAGCGTAGAGGTAGTTGCGTAGAGCCATAATGAAGGAGAAAATTAGCCAATGGTGCGAGGCGGACCAAGAGATTGGCTCGTTCGGCCATGGTCGGTATTTATAACTATTGGGTGCGAAAAAGTGTCCTCATTTCCGTCATGGAAGAGTGGTCCGACTTTTTTTTTTTTTTGACCGTATGCATGCACCTTCGTTTAGGATCATGCGATTGGAATAGATACTCTATGGGGTAAAAGGCGCGGTGAAGTGTCATCAACGTCGTGTTTTCAAATCAGATTTAGGATTTACATCCCTACCACTAGCATTTGGTTGTCAAGTAGAGTTCCGGTAGAGTCTGCAGGGTATAAGCTTCTTTGAGAAGTCGTTTAGTGGAAGGGGCTTCCGGGATGAACGGGTTCAAGAGGCTCAGGTGCAAGGCGTGTAAATATCGCCGCCTGTCAACTGGCCGCAAAAGATGCTCCATTTGTACAGTCTCATAGGTGGGACGTGAAATTGTCTAGTTATGCGATAAATGCTGTTGTGGGTGACTGGTGAATTTGATGCCCACGATGACAATACCGATCACAATGGTGAGGAACTTGTACTTGAGGTTCTCGTCCACAAGTGACTCTGCACCCTTAGATCGTTTGACTAAGTGCTGCTTCCCAAATATGAGGTAACGCATCTGATTGAAGGTGTTGAGCTTGTTGTAATCAATCTCGCTTCCCGAGCTATTTTCCGACTCATACTCCTCTTCTTCAACGAGCATGGAGCTATTCTCTTCATCGTCATCATCAATAAATGACACCTCCTCGACGTTCATGGGCCGGAAGGTCTGCGATTTGAACTTCTTGGGAGTTCGAGTGTCCTCCTCGTTAAGATATACCTGATTCTTTCTCGAAAGCACCCGCAGATTATACTTACTTTCATGGTTTAAAAAACCGTAGTCATCACAATCATCAATGGAGTTGATGAAATGGCTATTGAACACAAAGTCCTCTTCTTCTTCGTTTTCCGGCAGTCGATCAAATCCAATTCCAACTCCAGGTTGAATGATTGAACAATTTCGATTGTACTTGGACGAAAGAATCGGATTGATCGAAACTGACCGTAGTACTCTCTTTTTGTGAATTAACACATTTCTCAGTTTCTCAATGAGTTTTGCGTCTGAATACTCAATGTTACCTCTGAGATTTTGCTTGCTAGAGAGCTTCTTGATGTTCTTTTTCTGCTTTTGCAACTCGAACCCGATATATGATAAAAGTTTCTCGTTGTGTAGCTTTAATGATTGCAATTCGAACTTGAGCTTCATGATCTCTTGCTTGGTAACGTCATTGCCCAGGATGTTGAAATCAGTCATCAAACTTGAGCGCTTGGAAGAAGAAGTGATGACAGAATTGCGCTTAGAAGAGTTATCACTGTACCCATTAAGCTTCATGAATGCCTGTTCTCTATCGCCCTCCAAATCTTGAGCTTCGTCGACAGTACGAAGATGGCGTAAATAATCCTTGTCAGGAGATGATGCACTTCGAAGTTGATGATCTAGCAGCTCAAATTCAACCTTGATGGGGATGATATCATGCGAATTATAACGGGAATGATTAGGTTTTGAGCTCGAGTACCTCTTCTTCGTCACAGTGGCCGAGTTAGGTGTTGGGAGCATGTCAACCATCGAGTTACTAGTGTTTGCCAACTTCAAAGGGGACAATACAAACTCTTCCTCTTCGATCGTAGGACTATTAAGAGACTGCAATTTCACAGGGAGTGATTGTCGTTTGTTGAGTTGGATAGATGGATCCGCAAGAGGCGGAGATGCATTAATGTCATGAGACAAGGGGGGGATATTAGTTGGCGGAAATTGGAAATTCTGAGACACATCGAGCGAGTGGTCTGAGAATGGATATTTGATGGGCGACGACGTTTCGACCTCGTGGTTCTCCATCTCCTCTACCAATGAATCTAGAAGACGGGTGCCGTGAACACTGCCATCGGATTCAGAGTCCGAATTCTGTCCCTCGTAGGGGTTGTGATGGATGAAGCTTTGACTTTCACCTTCACTGAGATCTTGAGTGTTTGCACTCTCCAAAAGAAAGTCCCTCTCTTTGGTTAAGTATTCAATCTGATCCATTAAGAGGGCTCTTGAGTTTTGTTCAAGTTCTAAGTTACTCTCGAGCACTTTGTAACTTCTCATCAACTTACCCAACTTTTCCTCCGCTTCTGATGACACCGCTTGGGAGTGGATTTGACCCACTTCTAACTTCTGAGAAATGCGGTGATTTCTGCGTTGAAGTTCTTCCATAGATTCTTTGTAAAATTTTATTTCTCTTTCAAATAGTTCATTGTTTTTGTGACGTTGTTCCTCAAGAGAGCGGATGATCCTTTCGGAATCAGAAATCTTAATGGATAGTTCTTGGACAAGTTGGGACTTCTTGTTTAGCTCCTCTTCTAAATGGGAGTAGTCTCTGCTGACATTGGCCAACTTTGTGGCCAATTCCAGATATTGTTTGTGTATTATTTCATTGGGCCTCGTGGGGCTCTCAGTTCTGGTTTTTGAAGGACTGCTTGACAATTTTGCTCTCGAAGGAGTAATATTGTTCATGGCGGTCGATTTTAGCGGCGACCGAGTAGGTGTCAGTGGTTGGTGAAGATGAGATTGAGTGATCAACGTGCACTCAGGAGGAACATCCATTGTGAGAAACAAAATATGGCTGAGAAGTAAACAGAATGTACCGGGTACTGGTAATGTGGATCGAGATGCAGACTGAAAGGCTGCGGACAGGATACTTTAATGATGGGTGGGTAAACGATTGGCAAATAGTTGGCGAATGAGTTCTCAAAACGAATGAAAGCAAAGAAGCAGAATATGGAAGAAGACGAGCAAGATGGGACCCGGTTATCAAGTTTGGACTTAGCACGAACAGGTGAAAAGTGAGCCGGCTATTAAGGACTGGTACACAGTAGAGCCAAACAGAAAAAAACCAATCCACCTAGTAAACAAAGCCTGTAAACAAGGTCTTGTTTGGGTTTGGCCCCAATGAGGCAAGTGCCCAACGGCTTACCCACAGTGTACACTACGTTGTGAGCGCGCGCTAATCACAAAAAAATCAGAGAATTCATAGGTGGAGGGAAGGGTTTATATAGACCAAGAGCTGCAAATAATTGCAGTTGGTCACATGAACTATAAAGTGGCCATGCTTGCCGCATATTTTTTTTTCTAGATGAAATTAGTCCCTTCATATTACTATTCATTTCATCTAGTAAACTTATGAATGAGAGGAACAAAACCACATTGTTTAAAACAAAAATAACATAATTACACTGTAGTAGACAGTAGAAAAGAAAAGGTACTGAATATCACCAGGAACTAGAAAGTCTAACTATAGAGAGGCGGAAGAGAAGTGCTTGTGAGAGCAGAAATGGATCAATTAGTGGAGCAGATTGTTTCACGTTTTGAAAAACTGCTCTCACATATTGTTTCAAAGTTGTGACAATCCATAAAATTATGAAAGCATATTAACGGGATCTTTAGTTTCTATTTTTATGTTTATTTTTATTGATTTCAAAGTTTCTGGCCCCTCGAGCGGTGCGGTTGCTATCTTCGTTGTATGTTGTCAATCAACTCCTCCACAGTATTGCAAATCTCAAGGTTTGTATTCAGGCCAATTAGCCTCTATCCAGTTCTTATCATAGTCGTGCGGAGGCTATCAGCTCGGGGAAACCCGAAAGGCACAAAACGTATAAAAAGCTAGCAATTCCGGCACGTGGAATTTTCAACAGATCACCATTATGCCAGTACAAGTTCAAACCGAAGAGTCCTTCCACAGCAACGTCGTATTGAAGTACACCGACGTGATTGGAGAGAAGTTGGGAGGAGCAATTGTGCGATTCTCTGACGAGTGGTTTGCAGCCGCAGAGAACTTGATCAAGCCTAAACCTCCAATTCGTGATGCTTCCAGATTCACACACGCAGGGGCTTGGTACGATGGTTGGGAAACCAGAAGACACAATACGGAGGAGGCTGACTGGGTTATTTTCAGAGCTGGCGTTTCTTCGGCCAAGATCATTGGCTGTGAAGTGGATACCGCATTCTTCAATGGTAACCACGCACCCCACATTTCTGTTGAGGGTGTCAATTTAGTTCACGAGGCCGACTTGAACGATGAGTCGTTAGTCTGGGAGGAAATTATCGAGAAGACCGAGTGTGGACCCTCGCAGAGACACTTTTTCGTGAGACCTCAAATCACCGATGCAAGCTACACACACTTCAGATTGAGAATGTACCCGGACGGTGGAATTGCCCGTTTCCGTTTGTATGGTACTGTGGTGCCAATTCTTCCTAAGCTGGAGTCAACGATTATCGACACTGCTTCAGTGAAGAACGGAGGTGTGGCTGTAAAGGTGAGTGACCAACACTTTGGAAGTGCTGATAACCTTCTCTTGCCAGGCCGTGGACACGACATGTCAGATGGATGGGAGACCAAAAGATCGAGAACTCCGGGCCATGTGGACTGGGTGGCCATCAAATTGGGTGCAGTGACTCAAATCAAGAACATTGTGGTGGATACTGCTCACTTCAGAGGTAACTTCCCACAGAAGATCAATATCAAAGCATTCAACGGCTCTGAAGTTCCAGCATTTGACTCCGACAAGTGGACAACCTTGGTGAGCGACACTAAGACTGGACCGGATGCCGAGCATAAGTACGAAGTGAGTGACGAGAAGGCATACTCACACGTTCTCTTGACTATCATTCCAGATGGAGGGGTAAAGAGAGTTAGAGTAAATGGACTTATCAAGGCTTAGAATGGGATTATTGGAGTGTCTGGAATACAATGACATCAGGCAGAGAATCAATTAAAAGCAGAAGAATCAAGAAAGTCGACCTGTCAAGCTGTAGTATGTCTGAATGAACCGATCTATATATATTAGTTGCAAAAACATAATGCACTTGGACAAGTATTTCGTCAACAATAAATCACAATCTGAAACAAATTAACAAACAAAACAGAAACAGAGTATAATTTCTTGCAATCTCTGAACTCTTTATTTCCTATTCTTACCTTACCACCTCCACTTCATTTCGTTCATAAACCTTCATTACGTTTCCATACCCTTTCCTACACCTACATCGCAACCTCATCTCACTAAATCTCATCAAATCTCGCCAAATCAAGATCCATATAAGATCGACAAGAGGATCTCGTGATTTCCAGACCATCAAACCTTCAGAATTCCAAAAATGGAGCGAAAGCTCTCGCTTTCCACCGTCAAGTGCTGCCTTGGAATGCGTATACCACCCAATGACTTCATGAAATACAACACTAGTGCACTTACTCCAGAAGATGTTCAGCTCAAGCTCTTCCCCCTCTTAGAGACCATTGCTACGTCCAATTGTTACTATGTCAAACTTTTTCTCAGCCACTACATCGACATACTAGAAAAGTCCGATGAACCCATCGTGGACAACATCTACGAACTCTACTGTTCACCTCGTATTCTTTCAGCCACTCCACTCCCTCCAACCGCAACAGATACGCTACAATATGTCATTGATGAACAAGGGAACAGTGTCAGCATCACCGAAACTCCCAAGATCATCTCTGGTGCTGGAACTACGGGGCTCCGAACTTGGGAAGCAGCACTTTTTCTTCTGGCTTTTCTCAATGGAGGGTCTTTAGAGAGTCCGAAACTTCAAGGTAAAACCGTGGTGGAATTGGGAGCAGGTACCGGATTGGTATCTTTGGGACTTTTAAAGAATCATGACAAACATAAATTTGCCAAGATCATGGTGACAGATGGAGACTCGGCACTTGTGGAGAACCTCGCAGCCACACTTTGTCTAAATCACATTGACCGGTCATTAGTGGAGACACAACAGCTTTGGTGGGGCACCACTGATCCACATGATAAGGACAATTTCGTCCAGCATCCACCGTTTGGCCAAGTGGTGGTGGCAGCTGACGTCACTTATGATGGTCTGGTAGTTCCACTGTTAAGTAGTACTCTCAAGGATTTCTTCAACAATGGAGCTGAGGTTGCTTATGTGGCTGCAACGGTGAGAAACACAGACACGCTTGCAGTGTGGGAGCGAGAGTTACTGGAGAAGTTTGTGTGGAGCGTATGTTGTAGATGTGAAGTTCCACATGATGACTCGGAGGTTGCATGGTATCGACTTGGGACTCCAGAGATTCGCATCTACGAGGTGAGAGATAAATGAGAGCGTGAAAGGAAAAAAAGAATAAATTGAAGTTATAGAGGAAATCACAAAATAAATAAAGACAAGAAGTTATGAGAGTAGTGAGAAATTTGGTAAGAGTTGTGAGAGTTCGGTAAGAGGTGTGAAATAGAGTTACGAGGGTTCAATAAGAACTTGGTGAATGTGGAGTATACCAGCTCAAACTACCATACGCCGTTAATTTGCTTAGAGAAATCTTTGAAGTTTCGTTCTTTCTTTCTTTCTGTCTTTCTTTTTTTTTGCCCTCTCTTTTATTCTTTCATCCTTTTTCCTTTTTATTTCTTTGAATTCATGACCGTCCTAAGAACTGCTATAGAATCTAAGAATGGTGAAGGAATATTCCACAACATGCTTTTGTTAAAAGCTGAGAACCAAATTTTCAGCTATTCACGATTTCAAAAATCACTCGAAAATGTCAAGAACGTTAGCAATAGCTAATATAGGCAAAGCATAAAAAGAGAGTATGGGAAACGGATCTAAATTTGATAGGTTTGAGTCTTCTGGACAAACATTGAGAGAAGATAATAGGCTTTGAATCCTTGGAGGCTGAAAAACGATTTTACAAATTGAAAACCTTATGAATTTTGAGTCGTGATGCTTAATCTACGTTACTCAACAGTGAATGATCAAACGTCTATAATTCTCTACTATTAACTTCGAAATTAGTTTGTGCGACAACAAGCCCTTCATCTATAACAAGGTTGATGTTCTATCCCTACCACGACTAATACTCGAAAGTGTAATCAAACCAAAAATCAGCATTCAATTTGGATAAAAAAAAAAGAATTCCAATTCCAATCCTATAATTCAATTGTACTGCCTCGTTCAATTTCCCACTTTATTCCCCAGAGTAGTCTGTATTGTATACACACCTGGAGCCACCACCAATTCTCATTGGCCAACACCCGCGAAACCCGACTATACTGCGAACAAAAAAACTCTCTCACCTACTACTTTCTTCAACACCATGACTGTCAAATTCGCCACTCCTGTGCTCAAGTACTACTGGCCATTCGCCACCGGAGGTATGTCAATTGTGGGCGGTGATCCGTAACCTTTTAATCGAGAAAGGAGATCGAGACGTGAAGTGGATTTTGTTTTCAGCGGCTAGGAAGGTCTCAACGGGACTGAAATTAGCTCTCGTGGACTTTTTTAGATTCTGACTTTACCTTTGTCTGTTCTGTTCCTTCTGAAGTATCCATTGAGATCTCCAAGTACAATTCAATGCCCAACTCCACCCTGAGAGTATCGTTAGCCGATTGAGCTTGTTTAATCTACTCAATGTCTGCTATCTTTCCATCGTTTGTCCACGAAATGTACTTCAAGTAATATGTCCATCATATGTCGATCCTATTTCCAAGCTAGTCCAGATTCATAGTTGCTGTCGATGACAACTTCTTCAGATAACAAAGTATCCAGAATATTTTTAATCTAATCTCCATTCAGGATCCAATTCAATACCAGTGCAATCCTTTCTCCAATTCCTAGATCTTCAATTCTCGATTCAAAATTCAATTTCCATTTCCCATACTAACCTGCAGCTGCCATCTCCTACGCCTTGATCTGGAAGGCCGCCAGTGCCATGCAAGACACCGACGAGTTCATCAACGACCCAAGACACCCAAGATTTGCCAACGGTGGTAAGTTCATCGACTTGGAAAAGAAGGATTAGTCAAAACGCTCTATAGTGCAAATTTACATCATTGAAGAAAAGGCAGATCCCGGTTGTCCGGTTCTAGTATTTGTAGAATGAGAATATGTGTGAATGGGGAAAAGGTTCTTGTTGCTTTTACGACGCAGAATGGCACAATAACTACCTGGCTTTCGTATGTCTCACGTTGCATGGTGCCTTATTGTCTGATTATGTTACTCGGTTAAGCTTCTTGGTGATTTATCTTGGATATCACGCATTCCATGTGAGCTTTTCGGATAAATACCTCCGAGATAACAAAAGTTCACGAAATCACAAGTTCTACAATTCTGTTGGTTCTACAATCAATTAATCATTCCTTTCTATTATTTCTATCCATCCGTAAAAACCCAAACCGTACCCATGCCTTCCTAACGAGGAGTAACCGAAACCAACCACTTTCTGTAGTTGGACTCCACTATTCCGTCGTCAAGCTGCTTTTCTTCCTGAAATGGAGATGCATAAGTGTAAGAGGCCAGCTGGGGGAGCAGAAACACGTAGTTAGAGTTGCAGGGCATGGAGGGCGAGTGCTCTTGCAAGCAGAAGTTGCACTCGTACATCAAACCAGTCACTGGGGTCTGTGGCTGTGAAAGAGGGGATTCTGGTGTGTCCACGTAAGAGTCCAGGTAGTGGGGGTTCCACTCTGACTCGAAGTCGATGTCAATGTCGATGAAATTTTGAGGCTCAGCAACCTGGTACATTGTGGTATAAATTGGTAAACTTGGAAGCTGATAAAGGTGGTAAAAAATCAGGTAATTAATTGGATCAAGTAACTTGGAGAACTTGAAGTGACGATGTCAATTGGTAAATGATTCTGAAACAATTGCAGAATAGAGTAAAAACTCGAAACAAATATAACTGGTAAAAGTATAAAAGATGTTGAGCAAATTATTGGCGTACTCAGTTGGTTTTATAACCTCTTGTGACTCAGACTCCGAGTGCGGTCAATTAGTGAGCAGAGCAGTGAGTCAGCCACACAAAAAAAAGTTTTCAGATCTGACAAATATGACAGATACAACAAGTTCAAAATTTATTATAATCAAATTAGAATGGCTATTCAATAAAGCTATTCTATTGTGTTCGTGTTCTTGAGGATTAATGATTTATCCATCATGGAATGGCACCCTCTTATATATCTAGTAGGTCTACTTGCCTTCGGTCTCGGACACTGTTCCTGCAGAAACTACATTGTCCACCACACCAGAATGTGCCACCACGGGAGGTTACAGTGGTGGTTATCCACAGGGCTTGTGGGCCACAACCCGTGGCACGGGCCACAGTAGAAAAATTTTTATTTGCTATTTCTGCATTTAGAGTTTGGCCGTTTTTGTTGTGATCTGCGTTTTCGTTATTTACCCTATCTGACAGCATATTCTGTTACTGTGTTTCACGTGAGCAGGCGACATTGTTTGACAGAAGTTGGAGAGAAAATGTGGTGGAACCTCACGTGAGCCCTTTTTTTGACTCCACCACTGTTGATGATGAATTGTTTTAGGTATGGTTAGTGGGAAGAAAAAAAGTTTAATGTCTGATTTTGGTTATTTGATCTTGGTCATTTGATTTGGGTGTTTGGAGGTTGACCTTGGATGTTGGGGATTCAATAGAAGATTTTCGGCCTTGCATCGCCTGGCTGTGCGTAAAACCTTCGGTCTAGAATTGGTGCCTAGAACAGTGATCTGGCACCTGTCTGGTATGTACCAGATGATTCCTGTGATGAGTGGCGTAGACAAAGGTTCCAGGAGATTCCATGACCATTGATGATATTCTGGAACTGGTGTAAATGTCGTATGGTATACGTGTTAACGATGTATGGGGTATGTATTATATGGTCTGGTAGTATATGCTCTAGTTTAACTTCCTCTTTTGGAATCTATGACCTTTCATGTTCTATTTTAATATTCAACTACCCCTATCTGTCTCGTCCTCTCTTCCCATGGGAATCAGTTTATTTGTGCTCTCATCCTGAAAAGCCAAATCGTTCACATGTCCTACTGCGCAATGCGTAACTACTATTGGAATTAATACAATAGCAATTGACTACTATAGTACCGAATGTTTGATCTCCATAAAATCTCCATGTAACCTTTATGCATCCTCCATGTAATAAGTTTTCTCCATGTAACCTCTACTTAATTGTATCAATTCATAATTTATTTTTCTCCAATAACTATTAACCAATTTCAACCTCTTCAACCTTCAGTAGTTCCTGGTGCGCCCTGTTGATGTGAGTGACATGCACTACTCTACTCACGTTTACTTACCCATACTTACCAAGACATATTAACCGTCTGAAACACTGCCACGCTGCATCACTTCTGACCGTTACAGGACTCGTTTCACATTTGTCCATCAATTTGCATCTCCTTACAGAATTTCATCTCCCTCATCTTATTCATCTTTGCCTTGTTCATTTTTGCCTGGTCCTTCTCCTTCATCCAATCGTCAACTTCCTCATGACCATCTACGCCTTGTACATCTTTGACAGACATTGCAACTGCATTTACTCTCGGGAGTACTCGCAAAAGCCAAACGATCCAGGCTCTGTCAACAAAAGCAACGAATCCGACATGGCAAAGCTCCTCTTTGGAATGGTGTACTCGCTCAAGAACCTCTCGCTGAAACTAGGACCCGAAGACTCCTTCAATATTCTTCGCTCATTTAGCACCTGTCACTACCGCATTCACTTCTCGGAGTCGTTATCCAACTTCAAGTTTGCCCTTATTTCGGACTTGTCTGTTGAAAACTTGCAGGATGCCTTATGGCACCTTTATTCCAATGTTTTCGTCAACACTGTCGTTCTCAATGCCCTAAGTCCAGTGGAATTTGGTGAAACCTACATCAGCAACACTTCATTTACTCGTGCTTCCGATAATTACTTGAGGACCTTACCTCAATTTCAGTGATTGTGATGTTTATGTTGAAATTGCCATCTACGTTCTTTGAATTCCCAATCCATTGGGATGCTCATTATAAACAGTTGAGTGTAATGTTTATCCTGCAATGCTATTTGGGCAATGACCATTTTTGAAGCCTGCAATTGACATTCCCGGGTTCAAATCAAACGCCGTTGATCCATAAATACCCCCGTACATCTGATGGCTATCTAAGTGGAAATCCGTACATTCTAAGCAATTTCGGCCCGAGGAGGTACAGGTTCTTGCTACTCATCGTGAAAGGTTGCCATATTAATGCTAACGAAGCCACTCTGGATGGATTGAGTCGGTTTTTTGTTATCTTTTTTGGCAACTGTTGAATTTTCGGCGTTTCCCTTCCACCATGTTTTCATCGCTCAAAGTGGACCCACGTCCCCCAATTCTAAAGTCTCCACTTCAGGAACTTGCTTTTCAAGCTACCATTTGCTTGGCTCAATTCTTGAGTCAAGGCTCTGTGACAATGTCGCTAAGTACCATGAATATAGTCTTGGAGTCGTTCTCTGAGCGTTCTGGCCACGAGGTGCCAAGTTCTCAAAAAGTGTGGTTCATGGGTTCTTATGCGTTAACTTTAGGTACTTTTATCTTGATATCAGGCAGGCTTGGTGATCTCTTCGGATTGCGCAAAATTTTTGTTTTGGGATGGCTATGGGCTGCATTCTGGTGTCTTATTACTGGTTTGTCATATTATTCGAACTCGTCGGAGTTTTTCATCATCTGCCGTGCTTTTCAAGGTATTGGCTTTGCATTGATTATTCCGTGTGGAATGGGTATCATGGGCACCGTGTATCCCAACGGTAAGAGAAAAAACCTTTCATTTGCATTTGTGGGTGCATCCGCTCCTGTTGGTGCGACCATTGGGTGTTTAATGGCCGGAGTGGTTGGACAACTTTGGTGGTGGTGCTGGGCATTTTGGCTCCTCGCCATCTGCTGTGTGATCCTCGCAATTCTTTCGATGTATGCCATCCCTGGGGAGTTCAAACACCATAATTACACCTTGCGTGAGGCTTATGATAAATTCGATATGTGGGGATCAATTGTGGGAATTGTGGGCTTGATTCTCTTCAACTTTGTATGGAATCACGGTCCTGTAGCAGGCTGGGGACTGGCTTACATCATTGTATTGTTGATCGTCAGCATCGCCTTGCTTGTGGGATTCTTCTACTTGGAACTTTGCCTAGTGTCGCACCCACTCTTACCCCGGTCTATTTTCAACCGTAGAATTGGCTTGGTGCTTCTCTGCATGTCTCTAGGTTGGGGTCTGTTTGGCATTTGGCAGTACTACTACTGGAGTTTGATGATGAATTTGCGTGGCTACACCCCCATCGCTACTGCTGTCACTTACATGCCCTTACTCATCCTCGGTATTACTGCTTCACTCTTCGTGGGCTTCTTCATGTCTAAGCGTCGTGCTCCATACATTGTGTGTGGAGCAATGATTGGCTTCATGTGTGGCTGTATCTTTCTTTCGATCTTGCCTGTACACCAGACCTTCTGGAAGCTCTCGTTTGGCCAGATGTTTCTTCTCGCTTGGGGAATGGACTGCTCGTTTCCTGCAGCATCCCTTATTCTCTCCGATTTCCTTCCGGAGGAGCATCAGGGAATGGCAGGCTCTTTAGTCAATACTGTGGTCAACTACTCCGTGTCGCTCTTTTTGGCTATTGGTAGTACTGTAGAGGTCCAGACGTACGCCAGAACAGCAGACTATTTGAAGAGCTACCGTGCAACCGTGTACTTGGGTATTGGAATCTCAGCTATGGCCGTTTTATTCTCCATAGTGTTCATTGCTACCGAACATGGAAAACATCATGAACAACACCATGAAGAAAAGAGTCATGAACCCACTATCGAGCAACTGTCCACGCACATTGATGAGGAAACCAGCGATAAGGATTCCACCACCTAGCATTGCATAATAATTAATATAAAATCAAAAGATATTTCTATTCTTACTCCAATTAGTTCCTGCATAGACTGATGGACCGAAAACATATAGAAAAAAACCCAAGCTAATAGTGACAAACTTAATAGACAGGGCTACCGTCACCAAAATCGCTAATCAATCGGTCAGAATTCTATCTAATTACTCTTGGCAAGAATCTTTTCACGTGAAGACATTCAAACTGATATATCCGCTGTCAACTTCAATTTCGTGACCTGGTGTTCTACATTCAAGCTAGTGATCATAGGTTGCATCAAAACAGTGATAGTCCAACAGTAAAAAAAATCAAAACAAGTGCATTTTGTCAAGGATGTCGACGGTAACGCAGACTACAACGGCCAGTGGGACGCAATCGCTAAAAACAAACAAAAGAATCCAATTGGAGGTGCTTATAAGAGAGTTTCAGCAGAAGTTGGGAAATGACTGGGATAAATACCATGAGGCGCTCACCATGTTCCTTATTGGTAAGTTGTCACGGCCAGAAATGGTGGCCATAGTGAGCCCACTACTAAAAGATGGTCTCTACAAGTATCACAACAAGTTTCTACTATTGAACTTTGCCAATTCCTTACAGGATAGTCCAGCAGAGTTCTCCAGCGAGCTTGCATCATTCTGGAACAAAAAGAATGCCAAGTCCAAGAATGTTAAGTCAACGCAATATGAGAAAATCAAACAGAGTATCATGGGACTTCCATTAAAGGAAAGACGAAGAATTCGTAATATTACGCGAGAGAGTGGGAAGAGAAACAAGCTCAATGCGGGTATAACTTTGACTCGTCAATCCTTGCTTCCCAAAATTCCTATGATTCAGGATAAAGAGCAACAGCAGTTGCAGGTGAATAACTTGGTGCAATGGCAGCAAGATGTGGTGAATGGAATAAACACTCCATTGGCTTCTACGCTGTACGAGTTACCTGACTACGATAACTTGTCGAGACGGGTGTTGATGGTTATGAGAGAAAACGGTCTCACCGGTGGGGTCGGAGCACAAGTCCTTGAGATCATCAGTCTTGGTCTCGAGGCTTACTTGAAAAACATCATCGAGAGTGCTATAGATGTGGTGCGGTACCGTGAGAATAAGTACGCATCCAATTTGTTTCTTCAAGCTGGACTACAAGGAAACTCAAAGGGAGGTAGCCAGATGAATGGCTCAGACTTCTCCAATGGTATGTTTGGAGGTGCTAGTCGCAAGAGAAAGCATGAGGAAATCGTCGACACGCCCAAGCTGACCGTTGTTCTCAATATTGACGATATGTACAACACTTTGGAGATGTTCCCACATATGGTTGAGCCTGGAGGACCCCGTCTCCGTCTTCTGAACGTCATGTTGCAAGATGACGACATGGTGCCAGAAAACAACTGGGGCTACACATTGCCTCCCAAGCCATTAACACTTCAAGAGGAAAATGGAAATTTGCCATTAGCCAACGGCAGTCTCAAGGATCAGATGAAAGAGGATGGAGAAGCGGATAAAATTCAAGAGAAGAAGGATGGAAGCGGTAACACCATTTCTGAGCCAGCAAGAGCTCAGCAGGTGTTGCAGCGTGACACTTCTCATATCGGAACAGTCAACGAGTTGAAGTGGGTGCTACATGATTTAATCTCGACAATGTAGACTGTGTATACTAGCAAATATCAATGAGATGTGAATGAATGTAGTGAGCTTGGTCATCTGTGGAATGTACTGACTTGATCAAGTAACTTGTGGTGTTCTGTAGTAATATCACAAACATTAATCACTTTTGTGTTGGATGCGAGGTAGTTAAGAAGTTGCTGAAGAATTCCGTCACCAGATGCTTCGAAATATTGAGACTGGAGCATCGGAGAAATGTTGGATACATTAAGAATAAAAAGCTGATGAGAGCTTATCTTGGCACCTTTGGACGCCGCGGTGGTGATAATGTGACAAACGGCTTTGTCGGTGACATCTGCTTCCTTGATTGCAATCAAATCAGACAGACTGTTAATTGTCATTCGCTGGCTGATGACATTCAATTTTTTGCCCAGAAAGTCCAAGGCAGTCTCTGTGGAGTTGTTGAGAATGTCCACGGCAGTGGAATCGATGACTAAACTTTGAACATTGTAGCTAATTGTCCAGCCATAATGTGTATATCGAGCCTCGGTATCGCTCAAGTATGAGAAGGCATTCATTAGATTGTATGATGGTGTTTTGCGAACAGAGCCCGAAAAGATGATTGATACGTCGTTTTTCATCAATGCCTCATTAGATAGTAGCTTCCACTCCAACGAGTATTTGTCATCATTATCCTCCTCAAGAAGTCCCACCTTATCAAACTGGTATTGTACTCCTCCAACTACAGCATCCTTCTCATCCACCAAAATTAAATCATCGCCCGAAATTCTCACAAAGAGTCTGGCTCGATTCGAGAAATTCATAATGGAGTGTTCGAGGATCCTTCGTGTGGCCATGTAATTCTCATGCCTATGACAGACTACAAGGTACTTCTCCTTTTCGGCCATGAGCTTTGCCTGCCAGTCCAAATCGTCCCCTTGCAAGTTTCGGAGTTCGTCATTTAGGCATTGAAGATGATGTTCATGCAGCTTTTTTGTCTCTTCGAACATGTCTATCTTCCTGTTGAGCTCATCGATTTGTGTGGAAATATCGCTTGCTGTGAGCTTCCTGTTCTCAACATCTTTTGAAATTTCCTCGTATTCCTTCATTACCTTATCAAACCGTTCCTGTTTCTCGTGGTATGTAGCAGTAGCCTTTTCGACTATCTGGCGTTTTTCATGCAAAGTTTCCTGTAATTCCTCATCCATGGCCTTTTGTTCTGCCGCAAGAGAATTGATTTTCCTGTCAATCACCTCCTGGAGCTGTTGCTCCAACTTCTCCTTCTCCTTCTGAAGTGTTTCGCCTTGTCCTGTCAACTCGTGGTCTACAAATTGTGTTTCCTTCACTTGCTGCTCCAATTGAAACTTGGCCTCGTTATAGTCGTCTTTGAGTTTGAGCATGAGCTCTTCCAATTGTAAATGCATCATCTTCTCCTCGTGAGCCACTTTTGAATTTACTCTGGCTTCTGTGTCATCGAAATCCTTCTCAGCCTTGCGATTCTGCTCACGGAGCTCTCCCCGGCGCCGCAGAAGGTGCCTTATTTGGCTCTGCAACTCCTCATTAGTGTCGAGCAATGAATGAAGTCCATTAGCTGCTCGAAGCAATTCCTCATCAAGACCTTTCAATTTGGCTCTGAGGGCGTCCAATTCTCGCTCCACTCTGGCGTTTTCTTGTAAGCGGTCACGTTCATATGAAACCTCAAACTTGGGCAATCTGATTTTGCTTTTCTCGGTTAAGCTGGTGTTCATGGCGATGTAGCTATCGACCTTAGTAGGAATTTTAGAATTCTCTTTACTTCGATACGTTAAACGACCTTCGCTGTGACTTACATCACTTCTAGCTTCTCTGGATGGAAGCGGAATGTTTGATGTGGCCGAATGCTTCCATTCTGCATCCGAATGGTTGATGTTCACCATGTCAAATCCTAGTCCACTGTTGGTGTTGACAATGTCACTAAGAACTCGGCGACGCTTACTGGGCGATGAAATGTTGTGTTTTGTAGTAGACGACATGGTCGGGTGCCCTTTTGACTTGTAACAGAGTTGTTTGTAGATGTACAGTGGTATCAAGTGTGTTTTGGGTTCAGTGTTTTGGTTGTGTGTAAAAGGTATTAACAGAGAGCGAGATGTCGATCTGATGGGCAAAGAAATGAGAACAGAAAATTGCAAAATTGACAAGTTCGAAAAAAAGAATGTGACAGCAAATATTTTAGAGTTCTTCTCCTTAATTTCGGAATGGATGTTCAGATGGTATTGGAATGTGTTCAATTTCATCATGTATGGTTGCGAAGTGGTGACTCAAAAGTTCCGAACTTGTTTTTGGTCAAGAAGGGATGTATCTTCTCTCTTATTAGCTCAATTTTCTCTTGTAGCAATTTTAAGTCGTCTGCTTCTAGTGAATTTTAATCGCTATCTCGCTTATGACGAATTTCCTCCCTTCTTTCGATAGTCTGCCCACTGAGTTTAAAAGTCTTCTCTCTGTTGTAATAGATGATGCAGATCTATACGAAAATCACTTTCAAAAATGTTGAAGGAGCTTAGAAGCAGATGTTCTTGGAATTTTATTCCAGGAGCTCCATAAGGGTACGACACTTTTTATCCAACCAGAGCTATTATTGAGGATTGGCGATTCACATCCTGAGAAGGTTTTCAATACATTTCGAGTGTCAGTGCCTTATGTCAACCGTAGAGATTACTTAAAGTGAATTGTTCCGCCTGTCACACTGAAGTGAAGTTTCCCAGACTCCGTTCTTCGTCTTTTTATTCCTCTTCGTGAACCTGTTTCATACCAGAACACAGTACTTGCTGAATTATATTAGATATACAACACGAACTCGGGAACTTCAAAAGTGAAATTTTGAAAAGTTTTTGATTCGTCTCGCGATTTACTATTGGTTTTGAATATATTCATGACATTCACTTCTACACAGTGAAGTAATGTCATTTCACCAAAGAAGTGATCTCGGGAATATACTACTGATTTGGACATTTCAAATTACATGTGCAGATGAGTTAAATATCAAAAAGATATGTTATGAAACAGCTTCTCCCGAGCAACAGAATCTCTGATACAGTTAGTCGAAAATTAGCCAATGCGACCCCATTCCAACCTATTTATGCTTCTCGCAAAACTCTAACTTCAAAGTCCATATTTACGTTCCACTCTTTTTATTCTCTTTTTACATTCTCTCATCCTATCCCAATATTTCACAATGTGAGGTTTATACTCCCTTCTCTTATTATTGTTCACTCTCTCACTTTCTCACTTCTCACTTCTCACTCCGGTCTCGTTCTCATACCATTGTATAATCACATATCAACTCCTCCTGCACATCCTATCACTAATTCCATACAACACACCTACAACCTCCAAGTCATGGTTTCCTCACACAACTCCGGCAGGTATTCCAAGCTCGAAAGTAAGCTGGACACTGTGTCAGAGTCCGAAATGGATGCCGGTTGTGAAACCACAGAGTTCCTTCCCAAGGATTCAGAGACTCTATGGGAAGGCGCCGAAGTCGCCTCTGTCGAGTCCAATACTCCTTCGGTGGCTTATGAAGATGCTGAAGAGTCTAGCCCGTATATAGAAGGCAGCTCCTCCAACTTGGCATTCACTGGAGAGTCAAATTCCACCAGTGAAAACAGACACGGTTCTGACCCAGTCACTGCGCCTTCGGCAGATTTGGAAAGCCAGCTGCTGAATGGTCTGGGCTTGTCGGCCCGCCAGCGGGCTCTCAACGTGATCCAGTACATTTTCCCTGTCAGACAGACATACGAACGGCTCAGTAATGGTATTGCTACTGGTAGAATGCAAGCCAATACCCCAGGTCGGTTTGTGGGCCAGGGCACCGATGGTGTATTCCGCAATCTCATGGCAAAACCTGATACCGAGGACAATAGAATCACCCAGGAGCAGCATCCTCCGACTTATGAGGAGGCCGCTGCCGATGCCACCCCGGAGTACTGGGAAACCACCATGATCAGTCCTATGTACGAGGACGAGGTGTTTGTCCAGGGCCTTCCCGTGGGTAATGTGGCCAACTTTGTTTGGAATGTGCTTGTTACAGTTGCATTTCAACTTATCGGCTTTATTTTGTGCTACTTGTTGCACACTTCTCATGCAGCCAAACAGGGAACACGTGGAGGACTTGGTATCACACTTGTTATGTATGGATACAGCATTATTCCCGCCAACTTCGGTCATTCTGACCGGATTCCCATCAAATTTGTGCCTGATGAGCCCAACCTGATCGATATTTCAGCTCTGACTTCGATCAAAGGCGAACATTTCGACACCTATCTGCTGGGGTTACACCTGAACGACGACACAAGCACGCTCCTTGCGGCCACTAAGAAGCCCTATTTTGCTTATGGCTTGATCGCACTTGGCATATTCATTATCATCAAGTCCATAGTGGACTTCTACAAGGTAAAACAGGTTGAAAAACTGATATTGGCTCCACAGCGTGCCCAGGAGGTCCACACGGTAACTGACAATGTAAACGAGCATGAGGGTCCTTAGCATGTGAACTATTAGATAGGTAGGTTATAAAAGGGATATTGTTAAGACCACATAGTAGGTTTGTGGCACTATTTACGAATCAAGAGAAGGGTGGTAAAAGAGGGAAAACCGATCCAATAATTAACTGCGCATGACATTTTGCTTAGATTTGAAAGATTTTGCTTCTATTTTTCGTCTTTATTTCGAAATTCATCGTTGGTTAGTATATGAGTATTCTCACTTCTCCCAGAATCTCAACAGACTCACTCAAAATACATCTGCAATTCTAATACCTAACAATTATGAAAAAACAAAAATCCGTCGACAAAAATCGGGTTTTTGACTTTCTGATACGAAACTCAATAATAAGCATGTCTAATATTATTTTCGTGGCTTCCACCTATTAGATCTCAAATGCACTTCACATCCCATCAGCAAGTTAAATTAATGCAAGGTTCAACCAAAGAAATCCACCCATAACGTCTTTTCGACATTGCAGGAACATACTATACTTTGATAAACGTCGTATCGAAATTGTAGGAACATAGAATACTCTATGACATATGCTAAGAAAATACCAAGTGGCTCAATACACTATTCCAGCCTTCTATCCAACCTGGTTCGTTACAATTATTCAATTTCTCTTCTTCTATATTGGGCCGGTCTACGGGACCAGACCCCTCCATATTTACAAGTACACCTAGCTGAAATCCTTCGATTGCAAGTTCCTCGTCATAGCAGGCAAGGCTACACGAATACCATCGAGTTCCTTAGACATCTTCACCTGACAGCCCAATCTAGAGGTCTCGGTCAATCCAAAAGCTAAGTCCAACATATCGTTTTCATCGTCATCAGGCTCTGGGATCTCATCGTAGAAGTCCGGATCCACAATTATATGGCATGTGGAGCAGGCACACAGACCTCCACAAGCACCTTCCATGTCAAGGTTGTAGGCTTGAGCAATGTCCAAAAGGTTATCTCCCTCTGCAACTTCGAAAGTGTGTTGGGTTCCATCCTTAGTTATGAAGGTAATTTTCAACTCTTCTCCTGGCTTGGGCTTGTGGATGTGGCCATGGAGAGCAGAAGCCGAAACCTGGAAATGTCTACTGGCAAGGCGATGAGTCAACTTCATTTGCTGAAGCAGAGAACGCACCTGCAAACCCACCAAATTGACCGAGCGAGCCTGCCCTAGATAAGGGAGACATGGTTGTCTGGCTAAAATTCTAGACAACATGATCAGTGGAAAGACAAGGTTGTGACGTTTTTTTCATCGGCTTATGAGATTTCGAGAAATAGTAAGCAGGATGTGCGAATAGAGATGACTGAGCGATAAGTCAGACACGGACTTTTTGAAGTTTACTGGGATTGAGGACTGGATGGGTATTTGTAGTTATTTTCGTAAGGTTATTGACACACCTTTCTTTGTTATAGTTATTGTGCGTTTTTCTTTCGATTTTTGTCTGGTTAATGTTTTTGCGACGTGCAATCTAATTGAGTTGGAGCGAGAATACATTGTTATAACAGTGCGTAAACTTCATGGAGCAGTTAAGAATTGAAAAATGAAGAAGAGATCACATTCTTCGTCGATGGGATGTGTTTTCAAGTATTCCGAGCAATTATAGGCCATGTCTTGTCAACTCCGAGGTTGTCGGAGCTTTACGCCTCGGACACCGAAGTTATTGTAGGAAGTACAAGATAGAAACGGTGACATGGCAAGTGAAGGAACTGACAACTGAACGTGAATTACCGAGACAACATCTGAATTGGGCGAAACGACCGGAAATTTTCCGCTACCACCGAGAAGTTTTCGGGAACAACAAATTGATTACCGATCTGCTCACGGAAGTCATCGACCGCTTGAAGATTTAAGAGCCGCAGTGAACGATATTCAGTGATCTACAGTTCATACCATAAGTCATTTATCCTAGAACAAATGAAACAAATATTTCAGTGTATACAAATCCCAGTCCATCATGCTCACCAGAACTTGCTGGCAAGAACTAAGAATATTAGCAAGATCAATACAGCAATGATGGCATAACTGATAAATTTGTTGGCAGTAATGCGTCGAGTCATCAGTTTAAGAGTTTGCACAGACTTATCAACGTAAGTGTCGGCAGTCAGCAAAGTGTTTCTTGCATTGGAGATCTGCTCTCTTTGAGCTCTCAAGTCATTCAAGATGTTGCCTCCAATACTCTCCGTTTCCAACGCAATACGCTGCGAATCTCTAAGTCTGTCTGAAGAACGCTCCAACGAGGCGTTGTTGCTCAAAAGCTGCTTACGCTGAGAATTGGCCCCAGAGTCGTCATCATCGTCAGTATATCTATTTCCAAAAAGTTGAGATCTGTCCTCCTCATCCAATAACTGCTTCAATCTTGTCTTATTTTCTTCGACTTCTGCTTTATACTGACGGATACGGACGTTATACGTCAGTCTTTGGTTTGCGGGAAGACTCTGGACTTCGATGTTCATCTGATCCAATACTTCTAATGCTTCATCGGTGGCATGTTCAATGGCTTGTAATGCATTTCTGCGTTGTGGTCCAGAAGCGGAATTTGCAGTTGCAAACTTGGCCTTAGCATCCTGGATAGCCAACTGGAAGTCTGACTCGTATGTGGCGAAAAGATCTGACATGATGTGGTTACAATAGATTATAGTACAACAAGGGAGGCTGAATATTGGGGGGTACTCACGTGACCCATGAATTAGATATGAGGAAACTTGGTAGCCAAATTTGATCTATGTGATTTTGAAAGTGTCTATTAGGCAAGTGGTATTGAAATTTTGCTTTGGATATAAAGTAATGTAATTTTTTGGTTAATAGATAGTAGATTCCTGGGGCAACAGAGTACTGGTGACCTTGCGGTAAGTGCACGACCATCCTGCTTAAAGTCACATCCACAGTGTACTTTAGTATGGACTGTTCAAAGTATTTCCAAATTGTTTGGGGGGGGGGGTTTAGAGGTATGATAGCAAGGATGTTCGAGTTTTTAATCGAAATGCATCAATCGCTAATTGCCATTCAAGACAGTGAGATACAGAGAATAATCGTAAGTAAATGTTTTGCAATTAGAGGCAAAACTCCAAAATAAAGAAAACGAAGGTAATAAACACAACAAAGTATTCCATGATGGTGCATTTAAAATTTGGCTGGACTAGCTTGAAGTATTGTGTTTGCAAATGCTCACTTCCATATCATCTTAGTCAATTGACTGCGAAAACATGCATAAACTCTCCTAGTTTCGACTCACAAAAGATATTTTATTAAACTGTGTAAACTCACTAAATAATGTAGCGTGACCACATTTAGTGTCTGGTCTCAAATTCGTCTCCCTCATCCTCATCTGTTCTAGACTTGTATTTGTGGAAAGCAGCTCTGATCTGGCCGACCAAGTTATCGTCATATGTCTTAGAGTCCACAGAACTTCTCGAAACGGATCGACTCAACTCAGAGTCATAATCAGCGGTGACATTTCTTTCCCCAGTATTCAAGACCGGCACGTCACGCTCCACGTTTTCTTCGTCTCCAAGATCCAAAGAATGGATGGTCAAGTTCAACAAAGACTTTCCACTCCGTCTGCGCATCAACCTTCCAGGGAATGGTCCCGCCTTAGGAGCGAACTGTCTCATCAAATCGTCCTCGTCTTCATCCTTAGTTGGTGAGTCCTCCTTATCAAATGAATGGATAGAGTTACGTCTTGCTGGTGCAGGATGTGGAGTCTTTGGAGTCTTTGGAACTCTGCAAGATACACCGTTATCATGAATCCACTTTGCAACAACTGCAGTCCATCCACACTGGTGCGAGGCACCCAACCCTCTGCCAGTGTCACCGTCAAAATACTCGTAGAATGGCACATAATCCTTGAAGTGTGGATCTTGGTTGACCAAGTCGTTGTCACCGTTACAAGCTCTATTACCCTTCACATCGGGAAGGAACAAGTGGATTAATCTGTGTTGAATTTCCTGAGCACACTGGGCCAAGTTCAAATACTCACCAGAACCCTTTGGACATTCCACCTTCAATTCTGGGCCATAGTACAAATAGAACCTCTGCAAGGACTCCACCAAGAGGAAATTGACAGGGAACCAAATGGGACCTCTCCAGTTAGAGTTACCACCGAACATTCCCGAGTCAGACTCTCCAGGAAGGTACTTGACTTCATACTTTTGGCCGTGGACATCCAACTCGAATGGATGATCTTCGTGATACTTGGACAACGAACGAATACCAAACTCAGACAAAAACTCGTTCTCATCCAACATTCTCTCCAAGATGGCAACCAAACGGTCCTTGTTCACCAACGACAACAACAATCTCTCGCCCACACCACGGTGAGACATAGAGGCCATATTTCTTTCGGCAACCGATTTTCTGTTCTCTGTAAACCAATCCAATCTCTTCTTGAAAGATGGGAACTTGTTCAACAATTCTGGCTCTAAAGTTAACGAAGCATACAACGGAATCAAACCCACCAAGGATCTAATAGGCAAAGACTGGGTGTGGTCGCCAAAATGGATAGCATCGTAGTAAAACTTGTCCTTCTCATCCCACAAGGACTGCTCCGTTGGTTGCAGCTCACCCTTTTTGGCCCCACGGTAGGACATGGCATCGGCAATTAACATGAAGTGCTCAAAGAACTTTGAAGCAATATTCTCATAGACTGGTCTCGTCTTAGCTAATTCTAAAGCAATGTTCAACATTTGCAAGCAGTAGAAAGCCATCCATCCAGTAGAGTCGGATTGTTGCAAGGTACCTCCGGTTGGCAAGGGCTCAGATCTGTTGAAAACACCAATGTTATCTAAGCCCAAGAAACCACCCTCGAACAAGTTATTACCGTCAGAGTCCTTTCTGTTAACCCACCAGGTGAAGTTAAGCAACAACTTCTGGAAAGAGGACTCCAAAAAGTCCAAATCCTCAATACCGTACATCTTTCTCTCGATCTTGAACACTCTGTAGCATGACCAAGCATGAACGGGTGGATTCACATCACTGAAATTCCACTCGTAAGCAGGCAATTGACCATTGGGGTGCATGTACCACTCTCTGGTTAAAAGCGTCAATTGCTTCTTCGCAAATTCCGGGTCAATCATGGCAAAAGGAATACAATGGAAAGCAGTATCCCAAGCGGCAAAGAATGGATACTCCCATTTGTCAGGTAAAGACAAAATGTCATCAATGTACAAATGCTTCCAGTCCTTGTTTCTGCCGTTAGCTCTGTTCTCTGGTGGAGGTGGGGTGTTTGGATCACCGCTCAGCCAGTAAGAGTGAACAAAGTGGTAGAACTGCTTAGTCCACAACAATCCGGCAAAAGCCTGTCTCTGAACTTGTCTCAAGTCGTCAGAAAGAGGCAAAGGTGTGACCTTCCAGTAGAAGGCATCCGCCTCGTCCTGACGTCTTCCAAATACGTTATCAAACTCGAACTCATCGATCTCCTCGCCACTCTTCGACAACTTGTAACGGATGGTAACGTAATCTCCAGGAGGAACGCCTCCATCCTGATCGAATGAAAACATAGCTGCAGCCTTGGTACCTTCTCTATCTGGGTTGACAGCATCAGTCTTTTTATCCACCACAAAGTCGTGGAACGCATCCTTGACGTACTTCGCCTTGTTCTCCTGGCCATACAAACGCTTGCTGTTCGTCTCATTCTCGGTAAACATCAATTGAGGTTCCACATCGGGAGAGTTCTCGGTGGCACCGGGAGCTGGAGCGAAAACAACGTGACGGGTGCCGAACTTGCCATGGTCAACCTGGATGGAGTAGTCGCTAGTAGCACTCATATGTGGTTTACCCTTGCTGGACTCCTCCGTGCCCCAGGACCAAGTATTTCTCAACACAATGTGAGGCAATATGTGCAATGGGGCAGATTCGGGACCTCTATTGTACGCGGTGATACGGAACAACAACTCCTCAGGATCATCGTCAGACTTTGCCACCTCGTGAACGACATCGAAGTAGCGGCCTTCATCAAAGATTCCCGTTTCAGTGATCTCGTACTCTTGTTCCAATCTGGAACGTTTTCCACTCTCGGTCACCAACTGTTCGTAAGGGAACTTACCCTGCGGGTATTTGTACAAGTACTTCATGTACGAGTGAGTTGGAGTATTATCCAAATAGTAGTACAACTCCTTGACGTCCTCACCGTGGTTACCCTGAGAGTTTGTCACACCAAAGAGCTTTTCCTTCAAGATGTCGTCATTACCATTCCAGAGCGCCATTGACAAACAGACCAACTGGTGGGTATCACAACAGCCGGCCAATCCGTCCTCTCCCCATCGGTAGGTTCTGGACTTGGAGTGGTCAAACGAGAAATCATCCCAGGCAGACCCGGATGCTGAGTAGTCTTCCCTCACAGTGGCCCATTGTCTCTCAGAGAGATAGGAGCCCCATCTCTGATGATACTTGATTCGTTTTTTATTTTCATACAAACGCTTTTCTTCGGCGGTGAGCGAGTTCAAGAGGTCTTCCAGCATGATCCTTGGAAAACTTAAAGGAGGATGTGAATCGGAGGTTTTTGAGGTAGATATGCGAATTGAGATACGCCTGCACAATCACAGTTGCTGTAGGATATTAATGCGGCGAACACTTGTCCCAGTGGGGGAAGTTGGGGCGCACACAGTGTAAACCGGAAAAAAGACATGCGAGGTGCGCAAAGTAAATTTCGGAATGATTTAGGGGCCCACTAGTAGTTGAAGTATTTGCCCTGGTATGAAAGAAAAGCTTTTAGGAATTGATACAAACGTTTGAGATTTTGCCATTATATCAATTTGTCCCGTTCAATGCCCATGTTGCTAGCTAGATCTAGGCATTTCTTGGGTATGAGGAGTGATAGACAAGTTGAAAAGGGATGGGAGACACCTGCAGGATCAACAAGCACGGAAACACGATGGCCGTGAGCATTTGATTTTTTTGACCATACAACGAGTGGGTTAGAACACCCAGATAATCCGGAGAGGTAAAGGTGTGTGCACTTATTGGACATAAAGCAGTCATCACTGTGTAAGGGTGCTTTAACCGGGAAAGCCGGTGCCATTACACAAGGGACAGGTGGACTCCGAGGCTGGTGGAAAATAGTGCATTCTAGAAAGGAAAAATGATTAGCACCATGCAGGGGGGATTTGGGGGCCTGGTCTTGCGGCCATACAAGATAGAAAGTTGAGCATGTCGTTCGAAGTTCAAGAGTTATAGAGTCGTTCAAAGTTCAAGATTTGATGGATGAAATTATCTTGATCCTGAAGAAAGTAGTGGAAAGCTCAAAACTCATCGAACTGTCGCGAAGGAAAAAGAAAACTGTTTCCGGGGGAAAAGAAATGTCAAAGGTCGTGTACGGCCAGAATGTTCCCCCACGAATCAACCACGACGGTAAGATATCGCTGGATTTGTCGGAACAACTGGCAGTTTCGCGGGGCAGACTGCATAAAGCTCATCTCCGGACTATTTCTCGGGCACTTAGACGATGGATGGATGACTGGGTGCAAAATCTATATAAACCGCCCAATTTCATGGATATCCCCCATCCACAACATTCTTTTTTCTTCCAACACAATGACACTCACTGATTACAAAACCATCATTAAGCCTGACCAGGACACCCAGAGCGTCCCTATGACCGCCCCACAGTTGGAGGGTACTGTCATGGACAGATTTCAAATGCATGGAAAGGTCACCGTCATCACGGGGGCAGCTGGTGCCATTGGAGGTGCTCTTGCTGAGGGATTTGCTCAGGCTGGCTCCCACGTGGCCATCATGGATTACAAGTACGATCCCGAAATCGACGAGCGTTTGTCGCTGACCTATGGTGTCAAGGTTCAATCGTACAGAGCCGACATCACCAATTATGAGATGGTGCAAGATGTAATCCAGCTGATTTTGTCCGAGTTCGGCCAGATAGATACCTTCATTGCCAACGCCGGTGTGGTGTGGACCACAGGCTCCATCTTGAACGAGGATTCCACTGTGGACAACTGGAAGAGAGTCTTCGATGTTAACGTCCACGGCACTTTCAACTGCGCTAAGGTGGTGGGTAACTACTTCAAGCAGAGAGGCTCCGGTTCTCTTATCATGACTGCCTCCATGAGTGGTCACATTGTCAATGTGCCTAACTACCAGACTTGCTACAACGCATCGAAAGCTGCTGTGGTACATATGGGCAAGTCTCTAGCTGTTGAGTTTGCCGGCTTTGCTCGTGTCAACACTGTGTCTCCTGGTTACACGGACACGCCATTGTCTAGTTTTGTTCCTACTGAACAAAGAGCTAAGTGGTGGGGTTTGACTCCTATGGGTAGAGAGGGCTTGCCTCAAGAATTGGTTGGTGCATACTTGTACTTAGCCTCTGACTTGGCTACTTTTACCACTGGAACCGATATCCGTGTGGATGGTGGCTACACCTCTGTATAATAAGCGTCATTCGCAGGAAAGGTGACTCCTTAACTATTTGCACAATATATTAAGTCCTCTAGATTCAATGACCAGCTACTGGGGACGTTATAAATAAAAAAAATAGAGAGCTATAGATACCGATTGTAGTTGATACTCAACAGGGAATGTGGAGAATTTGAGTGAATGGGGAAACTGGTCAAATAAGGATGGAAAAAAATAATGACTCCGGCGTGATTCGAACACGCGCATCTTACGATAACAGAACTTGAGTCTGCCGCCTTAGACCGCTCGGCCACAGAGCCACTTTATACTCTTGAAAATGCCCGAAAAATATATAGAGTAAATTATTTTTACATATTAGGTTTTCGGCTCTGTTTACAGTATGCGTGAAAGAATATAAGTATAGAAGTTCCTAAAAGCATGGGGAGGTCATTATTTAGGGTTTTATTTGAGTTTTGCAAGTATATGTTATTGACAATTGAAATTATATCAAATGGCTCTGTGGCCGAGCGGTCTAAGGCGGCAGACTCAAGTTCTGTTATCGTAAGATGCGCGTGTTCGAATCACGCCGGAGTCATTATTTTTTCGTTGTGTGGTCGAAAAGGTTTTTTTTTTTTCGTTTCTGGGGATTTCCCAGTCACTATAGCTTGTAGCGGAAATTGGTGTGGGCCCTGGTGGCATCTTCTTGTACTGAATAGAAGACAAGATTATTATTCTAGTGCGAATATTCCAATCTTCAGTGGTGAATAAAAGGTTTTCTTTGATTCTATGACCAGAAGCTCAAAGATATTATCATTAAGAGACCACAAAATATTAATGATAACACTGAAAATTTTTTTTTTAGAAAAAAAAGGTAACTTTTTGAAGATTTTCCTTTAAAATTCATGGTATATATGTTTGCTACCTGAAAGAGTAATAATCGGCGGTTTTAGCTCAGTTGGGAGAGCGTCAGACTGAAGATCTGGAGGTCCTGTGTTCGATCCACAGAAATCGCATAATTTTTTGTTTGCCTCAGTGAGCCACAATAGTGGTTATAACCTGTAAGGTATTGTTGTTGGTATATAAGTTGAAACATAGCCGTCTTTTTCATTTCATTTTCATTTTTTTTTTCCATTTAGAAAATTTTCAAACGAGGAAGATTAAGTACTCATCAGCTATGAGTCAAGCTCTGTTGACTAATTAGCCAGTTCGAAAACTCCAGTTTACCATGATACACCATGAGATTGTCAACGATACCAACTTGAGACTGCAGTGCTAGATACTATGATCTTCACATATCATACAATGACATCATGCGCTGTCATCACTCATGATTCACTACAAAGCTACGAAAGATATCTTGCTAAGCTAAGATATCTTAGTTCCACTGTCTACTATGCGCGAGAGCATTCCACATAAATGGAGACAAAACTACTGGAGACTCACAGGCTACTACAAACATTGAAAAGTCGATATATTAGACGAAGGAGTCGTGGTCATTACGCGTATTGTACAGATTTTTTAGTGGAGATCTTGCACATCTTCTCCCCATCCTCCCATCATTCAAACAATCGTCAACTCATCTAGTTGACAGAAACACAGTCCTTGGAAATGTGGCCGGTCTTGCCACAGTTGTAGCAAGCCTTGGTCACCTTGTCGGTGGCAAGAGTGCACTCCTTGGAGATGTGGCCACTCTTACCGCAGGAGTAGCACTTGACAGCGCCAGCCTGGCAGTCCTTGGCGAAGTGGTTTGGGCCACCGCACTTGTAGCACATAGTGCCCTTGGCGCCGCCAAACTTACCGCCTCTTCTTGGAGCTGGAGCAGAAGATGCACCGCCCTCGTTCTTTGGGCACTCTCTAGAGATGTGGCCAAACTCAGAGCAGTTGTAGCACTTAGAGCCCTGAGCGCTGTTTGGACAGTCGCTCTGGACGTGGCCGATGTCTCCACACAAGTAGCACTGCTTGGAGGCGGTGGACTTTGGCTCTGGACAAGCGGACGACTCGTGGCCGGACTGGCGACAGTTGTAGCACAATCTCTCAGTCTGCTGACAGTTGTCGGCGATGTGGCCGGTTTCACCGCACTTGTAACAGGATCTTGGGAACATTTTTGGTAGTAGGTTCTTAAGAAGAAGAAGAGAAAATTTTTTTTGAGACGGGTTTTTCTGGCTGCGAAACGTGACACAAAACCACTGTCAGTGACTGAAGTTGGGGGAAAGGGGGTTCACCACGATCTCTGAGAGGATAACGGTGAATTATAGATTTTGAAATTTTAGGGTTTTCTTCCTTTTCGGGTGTTGGTTTGGCAAGTTGAAATTAGTGTGATTTGGCTGAATTTTCGGTTAGATAATATTGTTCAGTGGAAATTGGGTGCGACTTGACATTGCATTTTACGAGGATATATAGACAGAATCGAGAGTGCAATTAACTGGACCAAGAAAAATGGCATGGAAAGGGAAAGGGAAATGAGAAAAAAGGGGGAGGAGGAAGAAGAAATTTTATTATTAAAACGAAGCGGAAGAAATCAATCGAATATGATTTTAGGATATTGGAGGATCGATGTTATTGAAGAATGTTGAATGGTATTCTATTGCGCATTCGCAGATTCTACAAAGCTTCAGTTCTAGACTACGAACATTCCGATTCAACTGACGTTCCTGCGACCCTTGATGTGAATCTGGATTTCTTCTTCATTTTCTTTCGCTGAACTATATGCTTTTCTAAAATATTTTCAAAGTTCTTGCAGCTGCAGTTTGTGATTCCAGCTTTCATTCATTCCTTATTACACAGATCCACTCTTGACCTCTCAAGTTATCTATCTCTACTCTACTTTTATGATATATTTTCCTCTCTCTTTCTTAACTTATCTATATTACTCTTAGCTTCTCGGATAAATACCCCGGTAAATAGCGTCACCCGTTTGCACGGCCTGCTTCACCTCTTCCACATCATGAACCCTCACCATGTCCGCCGACTGCTCAATACTGGCAACCACCGTTGCAGCCGTCGCAATAACTCTCTGATCAGCAACAGCTTGACCCGTAAGCGTTCCCAAAAACTTTTTGCGGCTTGTGCCAATTAACAAGCCCATACCATGGAAACTCAAATACAGATTCTTATCCAAGTCAATCTGAGCATACTGCTTGAATCTCTTTGCGTGGCGAAGGATCTCGAGATTCTGCTTAAGGTCTTTGGCAAAACCAACCCCGGGATCAAGAATAATCTGCCATTTCTTCACTCCTCTGTCCATTGCTGCCTGGATCTGCAGGGCTAACTCTCTGCATACTCCATGAATCACGTTCACATCCATCAATGGGGGAAGAAGACCAGAACGTGGGTCAATAGAATACTCGATGAGACTTGTGGGACCAGCGTTGTACTCGGTGAGCTTGCTCATGGTGGCAGGAGTCCCTCTCGTATGACTCATGATATACCCACATCCATGCTTAGCCACCACATCAATAAGCTCATCATCGAATGTGCCCATGGAAATGTCGTTGATGATATCCGCACCAGCAGCGACTGCTTGATCTGCTACTTGTGCTCTGTAAGTATCCACAGAGATCAAAATGTCATCTAAGAGCCTCTCTTGACGAATGGCCTGAACAACAGGGATCACTCTACGGAGCTCCTCTTCCACCAATGGCTCCACGCTTCCAGGACGAGTTGAAACTCCTCCGACATCGATAACATCGGCTCCTTGTTCCTTCATCTTGAGAACTGCTGCTACAATTTGGGAAGGTTCCAAGTGATACTTGTCTCCTCCATCACTGAACAGATCAGGTGTGGCATTGAAGATCCCCATGATGGCTGTAGGTAACTTACCATTAATGTTGAATCTGAGATGTCTTCCTGAAGTTCCTGGGATAACAATGTCTAACTCAGAAGACTCTTGCACACTGGGATCGGTAGGAGTGTTGAGCAACTTCTTCAAATGATTGTGGATGGGCTCTGCTGTAACTGGGTGGAGAAAATCCGGGTTCAAGAGCTCGCAGAGAGGTTGAAGAACGAAGGTTCGGTCCAACATGGATTTGTGAGGGACAACCAAATCTGGGGAGTTGACGGTCACATCATCGAAGAGGATTATGTCCAAATCGATCGATCTAGGTCCGTTTTCGAAATCCTTCACTCTGGCAAGTTTCCCATACTCAATGTCCTTAAGCACCAGAAGCAACTCATGTGGAGTCATATCGTGCACAGTAATCTTGAACACTCCATTGTAAAAATCTGGCTGGTTGGTGTAGTACATGGGCTTCGAAACATAGAGTGACGACGTAGATTTTACGCTTATCCTCTCATGTCCGTTCAAAATTTCAAGAGCCAGCCTAATGTGGCCAAGCTGATTTCCCTCATTCGATCCAAATGCAATATATGCCGTGTGGCTTCCTGAAAAAACCGTTTTCGACTCAACAGGCAAATCAAAAGCTTCTGAAGCTTTAGAAGCTCCAGAAATGCTAATAGGCTCCTCTCCAGCAAATTCAGCCCTCGTGCAAAGACAAGAAACCCCCACACCTTCAGTATAAACGATGGCATTGGGTTTTGTTACACGAACGCTTACCGATTCCACCGCGGCGAAGTTCTGAAGAATCCATTGTGACGTTCTCTTGACCAAAGCCTCCACAGTCTTGAAATTGGCTTGCTCAAGGTAGTCATGAACGGACTCAGATACCCGTGGAACATTCAAATGGGTAGAAGGCACAGACATGTCGATATCAAGCAGAACAAACTGCTTGTTGAGTCTTTCAAAGGTGAAAACACCAATAAGTGTAAGAGCACGCAAACCCTCGATGTGATATGTCCCAGATTGAGGGCCACTAAACGTATATGAAACTGGAGCTCTGATATCAAGCTTTGGAGCTAAAACTTTGAGATCGACTGAGGTACAGATAGCCCTTTCAGTCAGTAAGAGGTCGAATACGGCTTCTGCAACACCTCCAAGCGACTGGAAATTGCGTTGATGGCTCTTCTTAAGAAACGACGAGATCTTATCGGAGATGACAGCATAATTTAACGAATACTGGAGGTTATCGGAATCAGAGGCCCTGGAAAAGTCTGTGGAGAACGCAACATCGACCAACACTGGATGCGGCACCGGCTTCTGCCAGTGGTCAACGCCAGCAATGGCAGAACCTTCAAGTCCACTGATGTATACTTTGTCGGACATGCAACGACGAAAAGAACCCGGGAAAAAACGTAAGGGCAGCGCCTTGAGGGCGTGTTTTGCTAGTGAAATCAACGTCAGTCTCAATTGGGATGCTGGAGACTGTCACCTGAGTGAACGACGATTACAAGAGGAGTTTCAGACTAGTCAAAAGTAGATTCACTTATACAGAGATATGGAATAACAAGACCGAATGAAATTATGTGTGGAAGTTGGCAATTTTTCCGCAATCTCTTAATGTTGAAGTTGTGATAGAAGAAGTCTGGGGTTCGATGGGAAAAAAATCCTACATAGTCATCGATAAGGCTGAGGAAGACATGGATAAGTTATTCTTTACGGACGAATCTAGGTAATTCGAAATGAGGACAATTCGTCAATATATTCCGTCGTATATAAAATTACCAACTCTTCTCATCTTTGTTGATCAGAACCTATTAAAGCTGGACCTATCATATGGACGGTTGGAAAAGTTAAAGTCCTATGGAAACTAGCATCCTGAAAGGTGTCAAGATACCAAAATAGCGAAGAACCCCGAAATTCACAAATTAGCAACGTGTACGTGACGTCGCTTAAATTATCTCCTCGAACTCCAAATCATCGTGGAAGTCTATGTCGTCTGCTACCTTACATCCGTAATCCACCGTATCCTTCATGAGCTTCTCGGCGTCGGGCTTCAGAAGCCCCATATCCTCCATGACTAGCTTCAAAATGATCTCATTGGCTAAAACATACGTGGAAAACATGTCGGGAGTCCAGTACTTGACAGTCTTATTCAGTGACTTCGATAGTAACTCACTGTATTTGTTCTGGAGCAACGTCGAGATAAACAGCTGCCGTTGGAGCCCGTAGAATCCACCTATATATTTCTCCCATTTAATGTCCCAGCGCTCCTCCAGTGTCATGGTGGAGTGATTCAGCATCTTCCTTTGTTCCAGAGCCAAAGTGTAGTAGAAAGAGAGCTCCTCCTCGCCGGCGAGGATCCTAGGAATGATGTCAATGTGTTCGAGAGTGCGATTTTTCAACATGGTCTTGGAATTGGGTAACGGGAACTTCGTGTTTTTGTACTTTTCCTTGACTTTGTCTGAATTTAGGTGGTGGAAGTTTCCCTGAAGGATATCTGAGGGAAGTGAGCTGAAGGACTCCTGCTTCCGAGTCGGGGTTGTATTCGCAGACTTTGAAGATAGGAGCTTATCCAATTTGTCAAATGCCAGCAGCGCAACCGAGTTAGACGACTTTGTATGTGACTTGGTAGATGGAATCTTGATTAGTTGGTCAGCATCGTCGTGATCCTTTTTGTAGATGAACGGTTTTGGTTTTTTGCGGTGGGGTCTTCTGCTACTTTCAAAGATGGATAGTGGCAGCAGTGAATCTGAGGCCCTTTTCTTTTTTGCCAGGGTATAGACTGCCAGTTTCTTCATAGATGGTTGATATTGGTGTGCACAGTAGAGGAAGAGGAATGGAGGAGGAGTAAGGTGGACCGTTGAAGCAATTCAAAGATGAGCAGGGAAAATGTAAATTAAAGACTTGGCGAAGGAGACAGACGAATTATGATGTTGGAATTATAGAATAGCGAAAAGAGCAAATAGACATTGGAAGTAAAAGGCAAGTAGACAGAAACAGAGAGATACAGAGATAATGAACTTACGAAGAGGAGAAAAAACAAAGAAGTAGCGCAGAAAAGTACAAGCAATGAAACAAAAAAAATGCGAAAAAAACAGTACATTAGAAAGTTTAATTCAGTACAAGTAAACTCAAAGTTCAATCACACAGGGTCTCAAATCAAAAAAAAAAAAAATAAAACACCGATTCATGCAAATAGAACAAAAGGCATCAGCATGAAAGGTATATATTGGACCGGATCTCGGGTAAACTGAAAAAAAAATAGTTCACGCAATTTTGATGCAGCCTGTTCAATACTGGTTTTGGCTAGCATCACTGTTGATCAACATTAAACATTTCACGAACATTCAAATTCAATTGTATTCATCAACAATTCCTCTCACTTTAATGCATTCACTAGATTTCTCTAATTCAAAGTTAAAAGTTTTAAATTACCGTTTGTTAATTGTACGTCGTAGAATATACATCTAAAGATATTGATGAAATCAATGGTACCTGATGGAATATACCGCTTCACAACAAATCGTATGGGCTTCAATGCGTCACAAGAGGGACATTTCTCGTGCATGTTCCCAAGCTAAATCGGCTGGAAGAAACGCCGAACCCCCAATCCGCTCAGACCAATTGTGTGTGGCAAAAACTTCAAACCCTATACTTTACAGATAAAATTGGGGAGATGTTCCTCAACAATGCAGACTCTCGAAAGTACCAGAGAAGGTAATTGCACTCGGAACATTAAATTATTCAAAAGAGAGTGCGATACTTCGATTTCAATCACTAGCAGAAAAAATATATTTCATAAAAAAAATTCATCCCTATCCATCTTCGTATTATTCCCCTATATAATCCGTCTCCATTGGTTATTTACACCCATTCCTCCGCGTCGCTGTCGCTGTCGCTGTCAACGGTGCTATGCACCTGCACATATTAAATGAGTACCCTCCAGCACCACGTGGGTTCCCATAGAGAATCCAGGTACTTGCCACAAGACCAACGATGGTTTGTGCATTCCTCAACCATTGGCTGCACAAGCGAGCATCTTGTGAATTGGTCACGTTAGTCTATTTATTCCATCGGTTTTTCTCGAGCAATCACCGACGTCTTTTTTTCTGACATTCTTGACCCTTCAGTGGTGCGTCTGCGACCTGCTGCACAGTGCATCTCTCTAATTATCACAGGTGTCACCGAAAGCCTTGAGCCGTTTGGTCGACTTGCACATTCCTTGGTTGTTGCGGAATTTGTCCTCTGCCGCTCGCCTATTTGTTCTGAAATTTGTCAACTGATCTGGACAAATCTTTTGGGCTATAGATCTGGACGTCATCTACGAAGACTAGTCTGTTTCCTGGAAGGCTATTAAAGACTGCTCAACATTATCACTGATTGTGGCTAAACACCGGCTATTATATTACCACTCTTGATTAGTGCTTAGTAAAAGTCACTCACTACAAGTCGCTTATTGCAAGACTTTACTTCAAGTGGTTACCTCCTCTTACTACTATTGCTTTCTACCACCGAAGGCTTGAACAGATTTCAACTGTTTGTTTAACATTGCTGAGGCTCACGAAGGCTACTTAACACTGCTGATTGTTTAACTGACGACTAACAAATCCATCCCATGGAGTCGGATTGGACGTTTCTGCCTGGAGAAGTGGCCTCCAATCACACCACACCAGGTGTCTCCCACCACATGCCTTCGGCTATGAAGAAGCTCCCGGACCCACCTCCCATGGAACAATTCTCCGACGAACAATTTTTGCTCCATCAGATCGACGAGTCCCACCTACAGACAGAATTTGATTTGGACGGAATCGACTTCATTGTGCCTGAGGACTTAGGCGCAAATTCCAAGGCATTTCCCCCGTCAGCATTTCCTGAGAACACCCCGGCTTTGATGCCCAAGTCCAACCAACTCCCGCTTCAGCTGCCCATTCTCCCGAGCCAAAATGAACGTTCCTATAACGAGGAGCATTTCATTCAGCGCCAGAGACGCTCCAAGACAGACCAACTGCTTCCGGCAACTCAACGCCTGCTGCACCGCCACTCTCTGCAACTGCATCAGCAGCATGTACGCCCTGATGCTGTTTTCACGCCGTTGGTGCTGCCCGCCGTCACCCCTATGGACCTGGAGGTCAACTCCAACAAGCAGCCCTACAATGCCGTTCAAACGTCGTTTGAGCCGCTCACGTCACCGGCTCTAGCTGCTCAGCAAGCATCCATGGGCGCAGACCGTCGCCGGTCGCTGTCAGCAACCTTCGGTGCTGACGATTATTCGTCGAGTCTGGCCAAGCGCAGAACTCCACATCTGACACCCAATCTAGCTGCACATCCGGGTCTGAAAATGAAGCGATCACCATCTTTAAGGAAGGTTCCGCAACTGTTCGAGGCGTTGCCAGACTCTTCTTTTGAGGGCAATACCAAAAGCTCAGAGACGACACCAATGTTGCCACCCCAAAGCAAGAGAATCGTCATCGATGGCCAGATCAACGATTCCAACACTCCCAACATGCCGCCTGCTACAATGATGGGCTTCACCATGAACAGGTTGGCCGAGCTGCAAAGCAACCGGTCGTCAAGCCCGTCTCCGTCGCTCACTCCCAATTCCTCCAAATTGCCTCGCAAATTGCGAAGAGATTCGAGTTCGTCGGTGAAGTCGGCCGGAAACACATTTAAAGGCGGCGATAGCTCGCTGTCTGAGACTTCGCCCGTCATTGAGGCACAAAATGGTGACTACGGGGGAAGAAGAGAAAAACCCACCACCAAAAAGGCTTCTCACAAGTTGGCTGAACAAGGACGACGGAACCGAATGAACCAGGCGGTCTACGAGCTCTCTAAATTAATTCCCAACGATTATCACGAGCAGGTATCTATTCCGTCCAAGGCTACCACCGTGGAATTGGCTGCTACCTACATTCGGAGACTTTTGGATGAGATAGACGAGCTTAGGAAAGGTAGAAGATAAGAAAGAAAATATGACAATGGATAGACGGCCGGGGAAATTCAAACGAGACGGGAATTGACCATATTACGAGTCAACGAAAATAGTAATAAGAATAGTAATCAAAGTGGGGACTTGTAGATCAAATGAGACAGATTAACTCACAAACGATCCGATTGGACATAAGAAATCGCAAAAAATATATGGACGAGACAGGAATCGAACCAGTGACCTTCTGCTTGCAAGGCAGACGCGCTACCAACTACGCCACACGCCCTTATTCTGCAGAAAATATGGTCGGGGAAGTTATCAAGTGATATTTATCAGCATATGCAGGTACCAGTCGAATAGAATATTCTTTCTGATGCTGAGTGTTTACCAGTTATCCGAAAGTTCCCAAAGTCACGAGCCTGAAGGCGTCGGCCCGCCGCTGCCTCTCCCTCCTGATGACCCACCCCCAAGCGCTCGCGATCTCTCTATCACTGACTATGAGACTGTCTCCATTGGAGGCCCCTCCGAGTCCCTTTCACAAGAAGTTAATCAGATGGACGTATTGACGGCCGCTGAAAACTCCTCCGAAGGCCTCATGGAGCAAGATGACTCCGAATACTTCAACAGCTCGTCTCATTCTGACCTGAATGCCCTGGATACCGATGAAGATGAATTCTTACGTCCTCCCCCAGATCTCAGACTACCAACTCCTGCATCTAATCATGCAGCCAACTCCGCCGTTGCAACTTCAGAAAATTCCCAAAACCAAAAAAATACCAATGATTCCTCCTTGATTGAAATTCCAGAAAACTGCAAAACTCAAAAAAACGTTATCAATGAAAATACAAATCAAAAAAAAAATCTCTCCATGGCGGAACGCCTCCAAACTAATCGCCACACCACCAGAGGTAACTCGGCAATCATAAGCGATTACAAATATGTCAAACAAGAATTTACTCTGCGTTTCACTGCTCAGGAACGTATCAGATACGAAAGTCAGCTTAAGGTCTTAAGCCAGATCATGACGTCTTCGGAGATAATGCAACACCTAGCCGAACTCCCCGAATCGGATTTGTCTCTCAAATTGAAAGTCATCAATCCTAACGATGTTCCCGTTCAAGAATTGACACAAGGAATTCAACAATGCCTTGACCGTCTTATGGTCAACGTCAGAGAAGAGCTTTTCCAAGCAAAATCCCTGACCGAGCAATCGACGGAAAGGGCAAAGGAATATCTTGATTCCCAAGACGACATAAATGTGATACAAACCAGAATGGCCAATGAAGTTCAATTGCTTTCGTCGGTTGAGAAAGACCTCAAAGCCCTTACATCAACTGCGAGTCGTTATGTTGCCTTAGCTGCTGCCAAACAACACCGCATCATCGCAGGGATGGTATTCTTTCCCAATATCAAGATTAATGAGGAAGCGCAACGATTACTTTGTGATCTTTTCGACGATGATTTACCGTTTCAGATTTATACCAATCCTCAAGAGACGGTTAAATATTTGGTGGATGTCCTCACTTCTCAAGATCTTGACTTCAACGACCAAGACGACAAGGTTTTTCGCCTTGGAACCCCCAGACCAACTTCTGCAAGACTTATCGCAGTTCAAATCGACTACCTTCCAACTCCGCGGGCGAAGAATTACTTCCAGCGGTCCTTTCTCCATCATACCGATAAGATCCTAAAGTGGGAAGTAAGGGAGCTGTCCCCCACAAAGGAGACAGCTCTAGCCTTGGTCCATTTGGGACAATCCAAGGTGCCTCCAAAACATGTTTCTAAAAACATCTGGCTTGAGAACCAGGAATTCCTAGTTCCATCTATCTATTCCTTCTTCTCATCTTCGTGCGATAAGTCTAAGAAGCTCTTCGAGAAAGCCACTTCAGAAGGCTATACTGGGCCAGACCCAGGTAGCCACCTCACTTATCTCAAACAGCAACATGATGCCCACCTCAAACACGCTGCTGCTTACCCTCTGAGACAGCCAGCTTATGACATCGTGGGCATGCAATGTACAATTCAATATGCTCAACAATTTTGTCCAGTATGCCTTGAGACGGACCATACCTTGAGTGGATGTACTGATCCTCGGAAAGGCTGCAAAATATGCCTGGCCACTACTCACTCTTCTTATCGGTGTTGGAGACGTTGCGCTTGTCGGTATGCTAGACACCTCAAAGGCTCCCCGGCTTGTCCTCTCTCCCGCACCAAAGAGGTACCTCCTCCACCACCCACCGATTCAACTGATGACTTTACCCTCGTTACCAAACGTGGCCAGAAGCGTCACCATGTCACGATGGAACAGGCTAACAGGAAAATGGATAACCCATCCTCAACAATGAGGCCACCCAACCCCTTTGGAGCATTGAACCACTTCTCAGAAGAAGATGTAACTGAAGAATCCTCAATGGATTCCGTCCCCAAAGATTCGTCACTTGAAATTGCTGACAGCGTTGATCCCCCCACTCAGTCTCCCTTTGCTGAACCAGTTCCCACACTGGTTGATCTCCGAGAGGCTGTCCAGGAAACCACCGAATCAACTATCCATTCTTCAACCACCACAGACGCGGCCTACAATGAACCCCAAATTGAATCTGCCACAGGAGCTGAGTTTGGTTCTCAGCCACTTCCTGTCGACCATACCGCCGATTGGACTGGTCAACAAGACGTTCTTATGGAAAGCTCAGTATCCCCTGAACCTTCTCAGCCTACTGACCCTTCCGCCCCTCAACAAAAGGCTACTTCCGCTTACCTTCTACCAACCACAACTCCCATGGAGGTCTCCATACCTCTCACACCGGTCTCTCGTCCGAGAATGCACCACGAGCCTGCTGTCATAAGACGCTCTGCACGCCTTGCTGCTAAACAACCCTCGCCTTACTCCAGGCCAAAATTGGCTTCTCACTCCAAGGCCCACCACGGCCCCTCTTCTCGCCATTCAACTCTCAAAGATACTCAATACCCTACTGGTCCACAAGACCACACTATGCCAGCATTCCCCGCTGGTTCTGCTCATGACGACGCTGGCCCCACTGGTTTTTCTCCGTCCCGTCATGAGCCACCTGGCACAGTCGTGAACGTTGAGCCGCCAGACCCTGGTCCGCAGGATCCTGATATCCTTCGACCTGTCCCGACTCCAAACGAACTGCTGTCCTCGTGTCAAACATCAATATCTACCGCCTCCAACCAAGTGCTATCCTCATCACAGGAACCCCTGGAGGCTATCCCAACCCGGGTAGATACAACTCTCCCTAGCTTAGGAGATCATTAACTCAATCGCGATATGACCAAGCGTTCCCTTCCGCTCAGCCATGTGTTGAGCAAACTACGTAAAGAACCGTCCAACATATTAAAAATCGCCTCTTTCAATATGGAGAAGCGACCTCGACATGAATTTGTGTGTACACTAGCACGCAAATTTGACATTTTCCTAATTCAAGAATTCGTGGGCAGCACTGACAATTATACCACCTATCAACAATTTTCAACCTCCCACAACTACCAGTTCTATTCATCTCCATCCTTGAGCCGTACAAGGGCCAATCACTTACTTGACCCTCAACTCATGCCCCAGACGGGTATTTTTCTTAATCTCAAGAAATGTTCAGTGATCAGTCAGAATGAGATCACACAGAAGATCCAGCCACAAATATACTGTAACGACATCCGGATTCGGCTTCCAACAGGCGAGATGGTTTTGATTGTGAACGCATATCTCCCATCCCAACCTAAAACAGCCCAGGTTATCATCCTTCAACAACTTCTTCCTCACCTCCAGGATTTGCAAACAGCATATCCCGATCTTAAGGTCATTTTCGGGGGTGACATGAACCATTCCATGGAGCGAACACCTAGTCTGGAGCAACGCCTGGTGTCGAGTACTCTCGATATCCTTGCGGCGCTTGACCTTGTCGACATTGGGATCTGCAACCCAACAGTTTTCACCCTTCCTACAAACCACGGTACACTGCCTCGCCGTATTGATCGAATCTATGTTCCCACACTGTGGCAACCTCGAGCCTTTCAATACCAGCTCTGGAGACCACGCGGCATCACTTCATCCCATTCATTAATAGCAGCCCACTTAGTCATTGATATGAACCCGACAAACACATTTGGTCTTCGCCGCTTCCAATATCCCCTTGGCCGGCTCCTGCCTTTGTATGAAACGCAGGGCCAGATCACGGTGAATCCTGACGGTACATTAGACGAGGCGATTGCTGCTATCACGCAAGAAGGCCTCGAATATATCCAACTTCATCGAACTCTAAGACGGATTGATCCGGAATTTGCCAGATCAGTTCGCGATACGAGCACGGAACACTTAGAAGACTCGGCAGAAGCATCACTACGGTCCTTCTTTCAGTATAAGTCACACTCAGCAATGGTGTTCCATGACTTGACAAATGTTGCACAAGGTACTCGGGCCAACACAAACGCGGATATGCTACGAATGGTCACAAGCTATTACAAAGCACTTTATAGTGAACCCACTCCTGGACTCACAGATCGTGCTCTCAAAGACTATCTAGGACAGATAAAGGTGAGCCTTTCCGCACAACAAGCGGAACAGCTTGACCGCCCTTTCACCCAAGAAGAACTCACTGTGGCTCTCAAACTATGCAACCATGGCACAGCCCCGGGCCCCGATGGAATTCAATATTCAGTCCTCAGATATCATTGGAAACAGTTCTGCCCAGTTCTCGTCCGTACTGGAAATGAGCTTTTGCAGACAGGGATGATGCCGGACGCCTTTCGTGAAGTCCTCATCACACTAATCCCCAAACGCCACCATTCAGCTTCCACTGATGTGACGCATTACCGCCCAATACTGCTCATCAATTGCTGTCTCCGAGTTGTTAGCCAAGCTGCTAATACCCGGATACAATCTATTGCTGATACTCTTATTGGTCCTAATCAACGGGGCTTCATGAGCAACAGACGTATGGACGAAAATCTTATGGAAACACGCACCCTTCTCAACCTTATTAAGGAAGCGTACCCGAAAGATGATGCATCTGCACCAGAACGAACCATTCTTATGGCCGACTTTAACAAAGCATTTGACCGAGTCTCCCACCGATATATTCGCCAGGTTCTCTGCCATATGGGGTTTGGACCTCGCATGACGTCCTTCCTTATGCTGATAACGTCCGGCCAAATCGGTCGGATCACTATCAACAACTATGTTGGTCGGTCTTTCCCACTTCTCAGCGGTGTTCGCCAAGGCAACCCTGTGTCTCCCATTCTCTTTAATCTCGCGATTGAGCCTCTTCTATGTCGCTTACAACAAAATTTGATTGGCATCCCAATCGAATATGATCCCTTGCAAATCACGATCATGAAGTATCATGCCTTCGCTGATGATGTTAACATCTATCTTGGCGATGTTCGTGATTATGCGACCACCGCCGCGGAACTTGGCTTGTTTGAGAAAGCGAGCAGTAGTCTTGTAAATACTGACAAGTCAGTCCTTTATGGGACTCTGCCCGGCTTCCAGCAAGGTCATGATCCATTTCTCCCTTACCCACGTAAGCATTTGTGGACCCGGAAGGCTGATAGCTCTTTAGAGTTCACTGATACGACTTACCTCGGTATCCCACTTAATGGTGTTCTATGGGACAGTTATCTTCGTACCCTTCCTTTTCTTTGTAAAACTCAAGCGTACCAACTGCTCCGTCTTTGCGTCCGTGCCATGGGTACCAATATCTACGTTCACTCCAAGTTGCCTTTTCGAGATCTTCATACACCAATGCCATCCCGGCCTCTTAACCGTGTTAAGTTCGCCATTTCTAAGGTTTTTTACGGCATTTCACTCAAAAAGTTATACACCCCCCCTCAAAAGGGAGGGTATGGTCTAATTGAGACGGGGCTTCAACTTCAAGGGCATCGAGCCAAAGTCATCTACCATGTCGTCACCGACGACCAGTCTTGGTTTAGTGCTTACATGCGATTGAAGTTCATGCACCACATGGGCACTCTTGCTCTGCGAAACGCTCATACCTCCTATCAGGCCCTCGAGAAAAAGCTTGGCTATACCTACATTGGGTGTTATAACTGGGAAGATTTTCTCTTCTCCCGACACCGTACTTCACATCTTAACCTCACCTTTACTGCGAGCGAAGTGGCGTACCTTCACGCTTGGGATAAACATGCCCCGAAAACTCGGGCCCCCCGCTTAAGACCGCACAGTGCTTCGGCCACTCAGCTCATGACTAAAGTCCAGGCCCTGGCCCAACTTAGTCCTGAAGAACGCAAATGGTGCCAGGCAAAGAATTTTGCTTCTCTTAGCCGCAAACACCACCGCAAAGATACGGCCCTTCGCTCTGAGCAACTTCTGCGGCTTCTTCCTCTTTCTTATAGACATTGGAAGAAGTTCTGGAAGGAGCTTTACCACTTGGAATGGCAACTCGGCCATTCTTTGGAGGCGTTTCATCGCTTCAACATCGGCTCCTTCTTCCCTCGCATTTCGGGGCCCACTGACGTGAGAATAACTCAGTGCATGTTTTGTATGCACACAATCCCTCATGCAGTTCTAATTAGGCATCTCTATCAGTTTTGCAACTGTACGAGGGCCTTATGGACTGCGGTGGGTCTACTGGGTGAACTTAACCTCGCCCAAATGATCGCACCTCTTCCTGTTGAATTAGACCATGCCCGTAAGGTTGATCGCCTAGTACGTATCATTAAACATGAATACGTCCGTCGTCACCTCAAGAGCCAAGAAGGGGACAGTTTACGGCCCCTTCGGCCACGGGACGTTCTTTATCGACATCCAATTTTTCTGTAGTGCCCTGAGTTAAAGCTGACTTGTCGGTTGTTGCATCTGGACATGTTATTTTCTGGAAGTGGCAACTTGCGTAGCCGAATGGTGAGAGCTTTGGTGATGATAGCAGCATTTCAGCAACCTTAGTTTATCTACTCTCAACGGGACTATGACCATGCTTCTCAGCCTGGTCCCTGATATAGTACCCAATACACAAATGTTTAAAAAAAAAAAAATGGTGAGATCTTTGACGAGGATAGCAGTATTCCGACACCGCTATTTCAGCAACTGCACTAACAGGTCTATGATTACATAAGTACTCCATGATATAGATCCCAGCATACGTTATTTAAAAAAAGTACCATAAAAGTACCACCAAAAGATGTCAAAGGGGAGAAGAGCCTTGTGTATGTTTTGTATGCAGAAACTTCCCCATTCAGTCTACCAAGGCAAATCTATCAGTATTGCAACTGTACGAAAGCCTCGTTGGCTGTAGAGAGTCTCCTGGGCGAACTTAACTTGCCCAAATGATCGCTCTGCTTCCTGTCGAATTACATGCCCATAAGGTTGATCGACTATTACGTACCATTGAACATGAAATACGTACGTCGGCACCTCAAGAGCCAAGAAGGGGACAGTTGACTGACCCTCGGGCCACGGTGCGTTCTTTATCGACATCCAATTTTTCTGTAGTGACCTGAGTTAAAGCTGACTTGTCGGTTGTTGCATCTGGACATGTTATTTTCTGGAAGTGGCAGCTTGCCTAGCCGAATGGTGAGAGCTTTGGTGATTATAGCAGCATTGCAACCTTAGTTTATCTACTCTCAATGGGACTATTACCATGCTTCCCAGTATGGTCCCTGATATAGTACCCAATACACAACTGTTTGAAAAAAAAAAAGAGTCTTTAACTTCTACCTTTGGGGAAAAGATTCAATCGGATTGGGATATTTCAGGTGTTCGATATGGGATTTTCCGAATAAAACTATTTCACCAGGGGTAATCTGCCTCAAGAAACAATATGTCGACATTGCCGCATATGGATGGCTTGCACAAACCAGTAGATTATCACAATTCTTCATAAGACTTGCATATTCTGTAATTCTGCCAGACTTGAGTATAGATCACGTCAGCTTGTATTATTCGGTAGATAAGGCAATATGGCTTTTCTCATAATCCACAAAGTGGTGACAGCTTGAAAATTCCCTGAAGACTGGCGTGGTTGCAATGTGACTTGCCCCGCCCTATTCCGGCTACCGCTTTCACAACAATGCCAGAGATAAGGTATGGCATGTAAATTCCGTTATGAAATCCACCTGTAAGTTTCGGAAATATGGTCAATTGTAGAAAAGGGATAGGCTGTGTCTTCAGGGATGGACAAACTGAGAATTTCTAGCACGCCCCGTGGCATAAATTTTAGTCACAGAATCTCCACATTAGCCATGCTGAAACGAATTCCATTTCGTGATCATCTCTGATGACGTTCTGTGAACCGAACCGAACCGACTCGACCGGCATTAGCATGAAGTAACAAATCGAATTCTGTTCTAGACTGGTGTTTGAATTTGCAATCGGTTCGAAATTCTTCGTAATTTCCACCACTATCACTGGCCAAGAACTTGGCGTCTTGATAGGAGCCAGGAAAGTGTTGATAAAATGTATGTCTGCAGTACCAAACGGTTTTTTCGCTTGCGTTTTTTACCCTTTTTAGTTTGGATAATCTCTTCTTGCAACAAGTGTGGATTCTCGATTGCGAAATGTGGATGCAACGTCCTACACTCAAAGCGTCTGCCACGAAAAACTACCTCTCGCGTTATATACAGTACCCATTTCCTTCACCATTGTCACTTCCCAAGCTATCGAAGGCCATCAACAGTATGGACAAGAGCAACAAGACATCTCTTGGCAATGTAGTCCGGCTTTTAATTGTTTCTCGTAGCAGGTAAAAAATCTGTTGGCGTCATTTGCAGCCATAGTTGCAAGTTTCGCTCCCTAGGCCGTACTTATAATGGAGGATGCTAGCCCAGTTCTTGCAATCACCATCAAGCCATGTCTAGATTCTGGAGAAGCAACCTGGAGAAAAAGGAGACCACAGAGGTCAAGGTGAATGACTTTGAGTCTATTTCTTCTTCGGAGAAGCAGTACGACCATATCTTCCAAGACCCAGAAGCCCTTGCCTACTACAGGGCCTTGTATGAGAAAACCAATTATGAATGTAAGGACCATTTGGATCCTGATCTCACTTGGACACCTGAAGAGGAAAAGAAGATTTTGAGAAGAAACGACTGGTACGTTACTTTTTGGGCGTTCATCATGTTTACGGGTTTAAATCTCGACAGATTTAATATCAAGAATGCCCTTGCTGACAACTTATTGGATGATTTGAACCTTAACACAAACGATCTCAACCTCGCCAACACCGTCAACCTTATTTGCTTTTTGAGTGCTGAGCTTCCATCTCAGTTAATCTCCAAAAAATTGGGTGCTGATGTGTGGATTCCCATTCAAATGTGTATTTGGTCGGTTGTTTCAATGGCCCAATTCTGGCTTAACGGAAAGACTTCGTTCGTCATTTGCAGAGCCCTTATTGGTTTGTTTGAAGGAGGTTTTATTTGTGATGTGACCCTCTGGATGTCTTATTTTTACACCAAGAGTGAACTTCCTTTGAGAATCTCCTTGTTTTATATCTCCAACTTCTCCAGTGTGATCTTGTCTGCCCTCTTGGCCGCTGGACTTCTCGAGATCCTGACGCCTTCGGTCCCTGAAGGCTGGCGTTGGCTTTTTATGATCGAGGGAATCATTACCTTGCTCATTGGTATTGCATCTTTCTTCTTCATGCCTGCTTCGGTCGTCGATACCAAAGCTTGGTACAGAAAGAAGGGTTGGTACACTGACAGAGAAGAGAAGATTCTTGTCAACAAAGTCCTTCGTGATGACCCAAGCAAGGGTGACATGAACAACAGACAGCCTGTTGGGTTAAAGGAATTGGCCAAGGCATTTTTCGACATCGACATGTTGCCAGTGTACATCATCCGTCTTCTTGGTGATATTGGAACACTGCCTGTTGCGACATATTTATCTTTGACACTTAGACAGTTGGGCTTTTCTGTGTTTTCAACCAACATGTTGTCCATTCCATTCAGTATCATCGGTATTGTCAGTATGGTTCTAGTCACCTGGCTCTCAGAAGTGTGGAATTCTCGTGCTTATATCATTATGATCACTCCAATTTGGGTGGCTGTGTGTCTCTTACCATTGAGATACTGGGCCCAAGCCCAAGAGGATGTATGGGGAACATACGCTCTTTTGACAATTTTGCTTGGACATGCTCCAATTTGGCCCTTGACCATCTCTTGGTGTATGGCCAACTCTAACTCTGTCAGAAGTAGAGCAGTTTCTTCCGCTGTGGTGAACATGTTCTCACAAACCGCAGGTATTATCTCGGCCAACATTTATAGAGATGATGACAAACCTTTGTACCATCGTGGAAATGTTGACTTGATTGGAATCGCTTTCGGGGCCATAGGTGCTTGTATTGCTGCAAAGTACTATTATGTGTTCCGCAACTGGCAGAATAAGAAGAAATGGGATGCTATGACTCCTGAGGAGCAAGACAAGTACCTTGCCACAACCACAGATGAGGGAAATAAGAGAATCGATTTCAGGTTTATTTACTGAGTGAATAGAGAATAATTATTGTGGACAGTCCAGGTAGGAAATGCAACAGGCGAGGTACCTATTGCAACAGGTGCAGATTACAAAAATCCTTGGCGATTTGGTGATCTACTAACGTAACAATATCAGGGCTTTCAAGTTGTTGGGTTATAGACCATGACTTGCATCATGGAGAGTTGTTTGCATCATTTCGATGAATATTCTGGGTTTTATTTTAAGGTTTTACTGAGAGTTCGGAATTTTTGTGAGTTGTCCGGAGAACTTAAAATTGCTTTTGAAGTATTTTTTCTTAGCAACTTTTAATTTCTCAAAGAGAGAAAAGCATCGCTAAGCGCAATGCCGGTTCGGGTAAAAGAAATAAATTGTGGGTCTGTCTAATGAATGTCAAAAAGGCGTCAATGGGGAGCCACAGGATGACATCTGTCTTATGTGTCGGATTTTTAAGTTGGTCTGCAGGACATTATGGGGCTGGAGTATTGCAATACTAAAAAATCTACCTATTGCTCCTGCATTGCCTCAATGGTTCCACAGATTGCGAGATAGTGATTTGCACCCACAATCACGTGGAATGTATTGATTTGCAAAGATTTCGATGAGATGATGAATTCAGCCCATTATGGAATATATATTTAAAGGGATAATTGGGCACTTTCAAGGACTTTAATTCAAGCAAAAATGAGCTTTCTCTGGAACAAGAAGGATTCTGCCGACGACAAAAAAGAACCCGTTGACGTCAAGACCAACTACATTGAGTCGGACACTGCCAGTGAGAAGAGTTTCGATCATGTTTTCCAGGACCCAGTGAAACTCGCCTACTATAAGGATTTGTACGAGAAGACAAATTACGAGTGTAGGGAATATTTGGACCCAGATCTTACTTGGACCGCCGAGGAAGAAAGAAAAATTGTGTGGAAGAACGATTGGTACGTCACTTTCTGGGCATTCATCATGTTTACTGGTTTGAATCTTGACAGATTCAACATCAAGAATGCTCTTGCTGACAATATGTTGAAAGAGTTGGGACTTATCACTAATGACTACAATCTTGCCAATACCGTCAACCTTGTTTGTTTCTTGGGCGCTGAGCTTCCATCCCAGTTGATTACCAAAAAGTTGGGTGCTGATGTGTGGATTCCCATTCAAATGTGTCTTTGGTCCATTGTATCGCTTGCCCAGTTTTGGGTCAGCGGTAAGGCTTCTCTTGTGGTGTGCAGAGGTCTTATTGGTTTGTTCGAGGGAGGATTCATTGCCGACATGACCCTCTGGATGACTTACTTTTACACCAGAAAAGAGCTTCCATTTAGAATTTCTTTGTTCTATATTTCCAACTATTCCTCAGCCATTCTTTCTGCCCTCTTGGCAGCTGGTCTCTTACAGATTCAAACTGAGCGTTACCCAGAGGGCTGGAGATGGCTTTTCTTGATCGAAGGTGTCTTCACTTTCTTGATCGGTGTTGCATCATTCTTCTTTATGCCTGCTTCGGTTGTTTCTACCAAAGCTTGGTACAGAAAGAAGGGTTGGTACACTGACAGAGAAGAGAAGATTCTTGTCAACAAAGTCCTTCGTGAAGACCCAACCAAGGGTGACATGAACAACAGACAGCCTGTTGGATTGAGGGAATTGATTGTTGCTTTTTTCGACATCGACATGTTGCCAGTCTATATTGTTAGATTGTTTGGAGATATCAACTCTTCTCCAGTCACTACCTATTTATCTTTGACTCTTAGACAATTGGGTTTCTCGACTTTCAAGACAAACATGTTGTCCATTCCTTTGAATGTTATTGGTATTGTCAGTATGCTTGTCATCACATACCTTTCAGAGATTGTGAACATGCGTTCGCTTTTGATTATGATCACTCCAGTCTGGACAGGTGTTTGTTTAATTGCATTGAGATGGTGGCCTCAAGCTCAAATCAACGTATGGGGAACCTTTGCTCTCTTAACCATTATGCTTGGTCATCCACCAACTTGGCCATTGTCTATTTCCTGGTGTATGGCTAATTCGAACTCTGTCAGAAGCAGAGCTGTTTCGTCAGCCGTTGTGAATATGTTTTCCCAGGCAGCTGGTATCATCTCATCAAATATCTACAGAACTGATGATGCTCCTTTGTATCACAGAGGTAACGTTGTGTTGATTGGACTCAGTGGTGCAACTATTGCCCTGTGTCTTCTTTCAATTCTCTACTATAAGTTCAGAAACTACCAGAACGAGAAGAAGTGGAACGCAATGACCGTGGAGGAACAAGAACGCTACGTGAAAGAGACAACAGACGAAGGAAACAAGAGAATTGACTTCAGATTTGTTTATTGATTAGATTTAATTTATTGGAAATTATTGGGTAAACTCGCTGTAGATGTAGTTCAAATGGGTGTTGGTTATAACATGGACTCTCGACAAGGAAGAGAAATAAGTAAGCGATATGAGATAATTCTATCGATAACCATCTCTGTTATAGTGGCTCTATTGGAATTTGAATAAAACTCGATTTTTGCTTGCGTTTTGCAATAATTCGGGAATGTTCTGAATGTGAGAAATTTTTAAGTTTGAGATTCTTTTAGTAATGATTGGGGTCAACAATCGAAGAAAAACCAAACATTATCGGCCTTTCTCAAAAAACAAAAGGAATAGGAAAGTTAGTTTATAGTAGTGTTTTCTAATTCGAAATTCAATTCTCATTCTTGATTTGGATTCTTTTTCAGATTCCACGTTTGAGGACTCTTGATGTTCTTGGAGGACCTCAAAGTGAAGGTCTGCACCTTGAATCCGAAAATAAACTTCTTGATGAACGTAGAATATACGAAAACAAATATTATTCTGGAATTTTTTTTTTTAAAACATAATAATATGTACTTTATCAGGGACCATGCTGTAAGAGCATGGTCATAGTGCTAGTAGAGCATAGTGGAAAATGAGGTTACTGTTCTGCTGACATCATCACCAAAGCTCTCACCATTCGGCTAGGCAAGCAGACATCTCCAGGAAAAGACATGTCCAGAGGCGACTGCCGACAGACCAGTTTTAACTCAAATTACTATGTTAAAATGGGGTGTCGATAAAGAACATCCCGTGGCCGGGGTGGCTGCAAATGCACCCCATCCTCCCGCCTAAGTCGTCCCCGGACGAACTCATGTTTAATAATACGTACCAAGCGATCGACTTTACAGGCCTGTTCCAAGTCGACAGGAAGTAGGGCGATCATTTGGGCAAGTGAAAGCTCGCCCAGGAGGCCTACCGCCGTCCACAAGGCTTTTCGTACAGTCACAAAACTGATAGATATGCCTGTATAGATCCGCATGGGGGATACGCTGCATACAGAGCATACATTGAGCAAGTCTCCCATTCTTTGGCTCCGTCGTCCAAGGGATGTAGGAGCCGATGTTGAAGCAATAAAACGCCTCCATGGAGTGGCCTAGTTGCCATTCCAAGGCAAAAAAAGTACTTTTCCAGATTATATTAATAATAGGATAGTAATATAATTCAATCAATATTTCCTTTCAACAAGATGGTTTCGTGGTCTAGTTGGTTATGGCATCTGCTTAACACGCAGAACGTCCCCAGTTCGATCCTGGGCGAAATCAAATTGTTCTTTTTTTGCCATTTTCATGGGAGACTCCTCAAGTAAGAAACTACATATATCATTTAAACAAATTTTGCTTTCTTTACAAGTTTATTAAGGATATGTACATTACTGTTTGTCCTTCGGCAAACCCTTAGGATCATTTCCGGATCTCAACGACTTCACATAATTAGTGGCCTTGTTCAAGTCTCCCTTAACCTCCAGAGCACCAAGCTTCCATTGGTAAAACATGCCATGCTTGGCTCTCAATTCCTTCTTCTTTTTCTTGACCTCTCTGTTCACTATTCCAATTTGCTCATCATATGGAATTCCGGCTTCTGCCTCTGCGATGGTCTCCTTACCAAAGAGGATATCAAAAACTCTGCCGTCCGACCAGAAGAAACCTCTTCTGTCCACGATCCAGGTCTTCTTTTTGCTGATTTCCTTCAACACGAAGAAGAAGAGTGACTTGTCAGAAGTACCATAGAAACCTTTACCTGTCCAAACTCTGGCCTGATGCTTTCTGGCTAAATCATGCAATGGGACAGTAATAACTGGAGTAGGGCGACCGGGAATAAGCGAATATGACGTGAACCGGACATGCTCCACGGGCCCCGGAAGATACCACATACGTCTTATAAGACGAGTGGGGAATGTAGCAATATGATAGGACATGAACAAAGCTAATGCTCCAAGAGAAGAGTAACCAACCAACTGCTTAGCAAACTCTCTCTTCCTCAAAGGTTCAGCCAACTCTTCCTTGTTCTCATCGTAGTCTTTATTAGCTTGGAACCATGCAAACTCTAGCAAGACACATCCGTACACAGCAAAAACCACAGCACAGCAGAAACAGGCAAGGAAGTAGAGTCTATGTGGTTCTGCTTCGTAGATTAGTTCTGGTTTTGATTTGCTTTTCAAGATGTGAATCACTTGTCTGAACGTCATTTTTGGGCCCACTCGTGGAACACCGGGACGGGGCAAAAGGGTTGGGACATTCTCTTTGGTAAGAGGAAACTTTGGAATACGTTCTCTCAAGTCATTTGTCTGAGCGGCCTCTCCAGGAATGTGCTGCTTCAAGTGCTTCCATTCTCCTTGACTAGGCAAGTCTTTCTTGGGGTTGAAATTCTGGGGTAAGTTTGAGTTGAGACGAGAAAAACGGAAGTTTAGCACCGATCTGAGTGGCATGGGCCTGAGGCCTAGTCGGGTCACCAACATGGAGATATTTAAATGGTTAGTAGATGTTAGTTGATGAAAATGTATGTGCAGAGAAATTACCTGCATTCTGTATGGTGAAGCTACTGAACCGTATAGATGGAGGAGAGTTGCTATTTATATTTATAAACTTTCAGGAATTAAGAAAGTTTGTCGTTGTATTATTTTTTTTTTGTTGTGGATAAAATCGTCCACATTGCAAAATGCTCACTCATTTGGTGCTTAACCTCAAGTCATTTTCTTCGTTAAATATGTGGGTCTCCAAAGAACGAAGTTAATGGAATTCCATTGAATTTTTAATTCATTTCAGCGTTTAAAGAGAACCAGATTGAAGCTGCTAGCTTTCAGTCGAATGCCATTTTGGCTCATTTTCACGCTTTTTTAAATGGTTCACGTTGCATAAACTCTTTCGCCTAGACCGGGACTATTCCTTTTCTATGAATTAGCTCCTTGTAACCACTATTGCTCAAACTTTCAATAGAAACCAATATGAAATATCCGATACTTTTAACGATCTCGATGTTTCATCAATGACTTGACCTTAGGAGCAGCCGCCCCTCTCATTGTAAACATGTTTGCTCAGATATCACTTCAGAGCCTGTACTTCACGAACAAATTTAGGCATAGGAGAACCACAGATCAAATCACTCCATTTATTCACGTATTCAATTGTGAATTATTTTAGGCGTTTGGCAGTACGAAACTCCAAAAAAGTAAAGTCAGTCCCTCATACGTACTCACATTGACGTCCTGAACAGGGATTACCATGGCCACAGTTTATTAGACAAGGTGAATCTCACGTTAATACCAATTAGTGATCCCGGGTCTGTTGCAATGTTTTGGAATCCACTTTTCTGCACTTGTCTAACATCAATGAATCTACCCGTAAGGCTCCCTATTTCCCCTTCACCTTCGACTCTGCACGTTTTAACTGAACCGGTCGTTGACCAACATACTTTCCATTCATTTCCTTGAATGCCTTCAAATAATCTTCGGAGCTAGCAAACGCAACAAACCCATAGCCTCTATTCTTTTTTGTTTTTGGATCAACAGGCACATTCACCTTGCTGACACTCTGGTAACGGGAAAATGCACCGTGAAGCATCTCATCTGTAGCCTCGGGACCCAAGTTTCCAACAAAGAGACGAAAATGCTTAGGATTCCAATTCTCTGTCTGTTGCAAATGTCTTCCTGTTGACTTGGTGCTGTGGAGGTAAACCTCTGGCCTTTTCCCTCCAGCGAGGCGTCGGTCCGACAGTTTTGACGTATAAATTTTTTTCTTCTTGACAATGTCTGGTTTCAGAGACATAGCAGTTTTGCGATGAGTTGATTATAGGACTTGATGATGTGATGAGATCTGTGATGTATATAATGAACAGTCGGTGATGTACAGTAGATCAAGTGTTGGCTGAAAGGTGGAAAGATCCTAAAACAACACGAGAAGCCTTCGATTTCTATAGAATAATTGCAAATCGACAGCCTACTCAATCAGAACTCTTGAATATAGTTTTAGCTAACTTTTCGCAGTTTACACTCCAGTGTAATGTACTAACACTTGCCATCAACATGGGCATCAACGAACTAATAACTTAAAGATCGAAATTTCCTGAAGAAATTCTACATCCAGATCCCTCCATTTTTGTCTACACTCTCTTACCGCTGCTGATAATATTTCTAGCAAGTTTCCCAGCCATTCTTCACCTCCTACTGCCCCACCTATACCCAGTGCAGTAGTTAAAAAATTCATACTCATCACCTCAACTCCACGCCCAAACTACACAATCCCACCCAATGTTCATCCTATCGGAACTTTCCGACTTGATACGAGTCCCGCCTCACTCCTTCAACATTCCCATTCACAAGGTCTTGAAGGACGAGCTCCATCAGAAATATTCCAACAAGGTCATTTCAAGTTTAGGTTTAGCCGTATCTATTTGGGATTTACTGGATATCAAAGACGGACTTCTCCGGCCAGGAGACGGAGGTGCATATGTTGAAGTCAAGTTTCGAATAGTGGTGTGGAAGCCGTTTATTGGCGAAGTCTTGACAGGTTGGGTCACTGACTGTACACCTGAAGGAATCAAGGTCAGAATGGAGTTTTTCGACGATATTTTTATTCCTAAAGGCTATCTTTTTGAGAGCTGTGTGTTCAAGCCCGTGGAGAAGGCGTGGGTTTGGCAGCCAGATCTGGACACCGAGTTGTATATCGATTTGAACGAGAAGATTCGCTTTAGAGTCGAGGAAGAGGTGTTTGTCAACATCAAACCCAAGTCCAGTTCGGAAGCGTTGGGACTAGAAGAGGTGGAGAATAAAGCACCACCATATGCGTTGATTGCATCGTGCCAGACGGATGGTATGGGATGTGTATCATGGTGGGACTAAGTGATAAATAAAATACTTGATAGATGATGTATTAGACTGCTTAATTGTATTGCATGTACTCGGATGTGGAAGAGAATTTCAAATTGCCCTTGATAACCTTCTCGACAGCCTGCAAGAAGTCCTTTTCTGTGGCAACCTTTCTCCTGGCACGAATGGCAAACATACCAGCCTCCGTACACACGGAACGCAACTCAGCTCCAGTAGCATTGGGGCACAAACGAGAAATCAATTCCCAACGGATCCCCTTCTCGCAACTCATTGTTTTGGCGTGAATGCGGAAGATGTTGGCACGGCCTTCAAGGTCGGGAAGCGAAAACTCCACCTTTCTATCAATACGACCAGGACGCAACAATGCAGGGTCTAAAGTGTTGGGTCTATTGGTGGCAAACATCACCTTGATGTTGCCTCGAGGGTCAAAACCGTCCAATTGTGTAATAAGCTCCAACATTGTTCTTTGCACCTCGTTGTCTCCTCCGGCTCCGTCATCGAATCTGGCTCCTCCGATGGCATCAACCTCATCGAAGAAAATGATACATGCCTTCTTGGTACGAGCCATCTCAAATAACTCACGCACCATTCTAGCACCTTCTCCAACGTACTTCTGAACCAACTCAGAGCCAATAACTCTAATGAAGGTAGCATCCGTACGGTTAGCCACAGCACGCGCACAAAGCGTCTTTCCCGTACCTGGGGGCCCGTATAAAAGAATACCCTTGGGAGGATCAATGCCCAATTTGACGAATCTTTCTGGAGATAAAAGTGGGAGCTCCACCACCTCTCTCAACTTTTCAATCTGCTCCTTGCATCCACCCACATCACCGTATGTCACGTCCGGTTTCTCCTCGACCGTCATCATTGTCACAGAAGGATCGATTCTTGGTGGAAGCGGCAACTGGATTTCGTACTTCTGTCTATCTACACCAACTCTCATACCTTCCTCGATATCTGTAGGAGACACTCTTTCTCCCAAACCAACCACGAACTTGGCGATTTGCTTGATATTGATCACATACTTCAGTTTGTTGTCGGCATTGGCAAGCAATCCCATTTGTGGCGTTGGATTGACGGCCTCAATGATCTTGGTACATCTGGCCACCTGCAATGGCTGTTCCTGTGACATTCTCTGCTTGTCACCCATCACATCCCATAGATGTGGAGCAGACAATCCTGTGTCAGATTCCTTGATTCCAATATTTTCCTTGATACGCTCCTCAATGTCCTTGAGGTCTTTCTCGATTTGCTTTAGTTGGCTCCCATAAGGTGCTGCTCCATATGTTTTTAGAACCTGGATGTCGCCCTCGCTGAGAGGAACAACCTTGTTTTCTTTCTCGTCCTCGTCGGTAGGTGCGACGTACTTGTCCCAGTCAGCTTTAGGTGGCATGGTGTGGAGTAATACTACGTTGGTGGAGATGTTGAGGTATATCGCCACTGGCGTGCAGAAACCGAAAATGGCAGAGGAGTGAAGCTTGGGAGGGGGATTGGATTGATGAGATAATAAATAGCGAAATAGAATGTGGATTATGAGATATTACGGCGATTAACTTTTTATCTTTTCGAGTCTTGAGATGTTGATGACTTTGTGAGGGATAGACTGACGTGTTGATGAATCTAGAAAGTGCGACTAGGTACTGGTTGCGAATTCTCATACGAGTTGAAATTGTAATGATAGCCACGAATAATTTTCATACATATTATTTTAACTTGTTTTATGATCGTGATTTTGAATTGTATGCTTTTAAGCAATCTCTGCCTCCGATCTTCATATTCCCATTGTCAGTGATACCATTTCTCTATCGTTTACTTCTTATTTTCTTCTCGATTTATCCATTTCCTACCCTATAATTGCTTCAACCTCCTTGACCAACGCATCTAACTCCTCACGAGTAGCAGCAAACGAATTGAATCCCATGAGTTTGGTGTTCAAAAGCGTCAACTTCGTAACACTCCCATTAAGTTTCTCCAAATATTGTTCTGGCCGATGCCTGCTATCGACAAGAAATTTTAGGAGATTGATAATCAACTGCAAGTTGCTGTTGAACTCCGCCAACAGTGTACTCAATTCAGCCAGCGTGAGGTTGTCACGCAAAATCCTCAAGAGAGACTCGATATTAAAATCGACCACCTTGAAAAACTTCTTGAACCAGAATAACGAATACAACGACGTCCCCACTACTCCTTTCTTGCCCGTCAGCTCGTTCAACAACAAACTGAATGAATTGGATAAGAACTGAAGAGTGAACTGGAATGATTTCGTCGACGACACTTGGTCAAGCTCTATGAGCAAATAATAAAAGTCCAAGTGTATCAAACCAATAAAGTTCTGAAGTAGTGGCAGTTCAGCATACTCCTTATGAATCAACAGCAGGATAGCCACTCTCCATTTGTCCAAGTCACTGGAATACTGTGTAAGTGCTTCTGCCAGTTTTTCTGAAAGTCCCAACTTGAGTGAGATCATTCGATCTTGCAAGAGGTGGATGGACACAGATTGCTCCATAAGAGAAGCGAGCGAGTCTTTCTCTCCAGTGTGTAAAGTATCTCCAAATGTCGATTCTAGCTTGATGATCTGAGTCGGCATAAACTGACTTGGCTTGTCTAGCAATAGCGAAAGCTCCTTATCTAGATTGAAGATGGTCCAGAAGCAGCGCTTGCGCATGCATTGGTTATTCTTTCCTGTGAAGTCCGTAAGAAAGATAAGAAGCCTGTTCAAGAAGCCAACCACGTTCCAGACGAGGTTGCCATTACTGACATTAATAGCATAGATACACAATAGAATAAGCAAATGTGCGGTGTGCAAGTCTTCCTCGGACCGAATGTCGTAGCTGATGACATCCACGATCGACTCGATGAGCTTGACACTGAAAAAGTCCTGGGAGTACTGAGTGTTGTTATTGGAGTCATAGAGTATACAGCCTACCGCCATGACCAAATAAACATCCATATTGACAAAGGTATCGTTCTTGAAGGAGATGCTCTTGAACTTCTCCAAAAACAGAACCAGGTTGAGGAAAGGATACTTCCACTCATAGTTGGCGAAAAATGTATGAACAAACACCAGCGGAAGCGACTCGTCCTCGATTGCACGAACCACTAAAAACTGGTCTTGTAAGTTTTGGCGATTAACATCCAGAGTCGGCGACCTGAGCATGCGACTATGCAAGGACCCAAAAACACCATTCCTAGCTGCACTGTCGTGACCGTTGCGATCGGCTTTGGCTGCAGTTTGACTGCCCACATTACTTCTGACCACAGTGGTTCCATTAGAAGTCGCTGGAAGATCGATATGGCGGAACAGCTCCTCATTATCATCCCGATGGACCAAAGATGCGATGGACACCGATGAAGACGGTTCCAGCGGGTCTGAATCGCCTTCTTCCAGTTCCTTTTTGCGCCGCTTGTTACGTCTGTCCACGTAGTCACACTGTGACCCTGTTTTGGTGCAATATGAGCACCGAGGGTAAGTTCTAGAGCACTTTTTCTTGAGTCGATAGCATCTCACGCAGTTGGACAGGTGATGGGTCCCACTGGTCTCAAATGACGGCTCCAGGAACAAAGGAAGATTCTCGGGATCGCCTTTCAGAGACTTGCGCACGTCTGATTGGTTGACGTTTAGCCTGAATTTGGATGCCACCGTTCCATTTCCCATTAACTTTCGATAATAGAAATCCGTAGACATGATGTGGAGAAATCAGCAGATGGAATTTTTGATGATGAACAGCGGGCGGTGAACACGTGCTCTCGTCGATTTTGAGGAATGAGAATCAGAAATCTGTCAAATAATCCAGAAATTTCTTGTGTCTATGAGTTAAGTCGAATTTATATATAATGGAGCCGATTGGGGCGGGCCCGATGGTTCGGAACTGACTCGATGCGGAAGGTGTGACTGATGGTGCACGGGTGTAAACGGCGCCGTTAGCTAACTTGTGGAGTAATGAAGGTGAAGAGTAGATGATTGGGTGATTTAAACAAGTTTCCGCCTAGGATGGTTTAGACGAGAAGATGATTGGGAGAGTATGTAAAAAAGAATTTCAATGTTTCTCATATTTGTTTGAGTATACGTTTCGGCAGATTTTAGACTGTGGCGCTGGTTATGATATGTTGCTGTGACGAGCCATAGTTTAGATTGTTTTATTGTGGATGGGTATGTTGTAAATCCTGGGAAGATACGGGGTAGGAAAGGTAGGAAGGACGGGTACATTTAGGAATTATTGGATTATGATTTTCAAATATACTGAGTTTAGCGCATGGGTTTTGTTTCAATTGTACTAGTATTCTGAAAATACGAATTCTCATGCTGTCATATTCAATGGTACATAGCCAGGACTTCACGATCAAAATGTAGTCCAGTTGTGATTGACCGAAAGGTTAATCTTGCCGATTTCCGAGATATTTCGTAAGCTGGACATAATTCTCGTGCTAGTATTGTAGCCATACCCAGGTAATAATTTTAACTCAAATTATGCTCCTTCAGTTTCTAACCCCCAATCACAAAGATAATTGGATACATAGTAAGGTATTACATAAATTTATTCTTAGGTTATCTCAGTTATTCGTTATCCATAGACTCCATATGTATTTTATTTTCCTTATCTAGAATTAATCTTTCATTATATCTTATGCAACTTTTACAATGTCTAACAAACACAACAGGGTCCTAAAGCTACCAAAACGTCATATGACATACCAGACATAACCTTCTTAATTCATAAACTTTTCTCTCAGTTCAACCTTTCCACTTCTTCACTTCTCTCATATACTACACCCTGTCCTTCCTTATGTTGTTACTATTTACAGATCTATGCTACAACCTCTCCCTCTCTCTCCTCAGCAGAGGCCTCAGCCTCAGCCTCTCTCAACCGTGCGAACTCGGCCAACGCCATATCCTTCATCTCCTCCAACAAAACACTCTGATACTTGGGGTTGAACACAGGCAAAGACTCGTGCATGACCAAGTCGTTTCTCCAATGCTCATCTGCGCCCTTTCTCCACAATGACTCCCAGAACGCGGTGGTGTTCTCCAACTCAAATTCGTCAATCACCTGAGCCAAATCAGCAATGGCTTCCTGTGCATGCGTGGGTCTGTACTGTCCAGAGTACCAGGTGTTTCCCTCGTCGTTCTTCTTTCTCATGGCCTTAGCCTCTGTCTTCAAGTGAATATCTCTAGCCTCTCTCAACTGCAATAATCCATCGTAAGCAGCCACTGCATAGTCATAGTTGGCAAAGTTCACTACACACATGATTCTCCACAAGTCATTTCTTCTACTGGGCTTTCTGTTCTCCCAGTTTGGTCTGAGAAACTGCGTGTCAATCTGGTCTTGATGGTATCCGGGCACCTGTGAGTACAATACCTGACCCGAAAAGAGGTTCTTGAACATGTAAACTTGAGGAGCCAAGTTAAGACGAGCAAGCTCTTCCTGGGTCTTGTAACCTTGTGCAAGGCGGGAGCCCAACACCTTACGAGCCTTCATTTGCTCTATGAGGTGTTTCCTCATCTTTTTCTCTGCTCTCAAACGCATGATCGGCATGTTGGCTGGAGTTGTTAGTTGGTAGTATGGTTTTAAAAATTTTTGTGAAGTTGGTAGTTGGTGAATGTGCAGGACATGATATTTGGTGAAAGATTTACGACGATTATATTGATCTTCTTTTCCTTAATCGTCTTTACGAAATTTCATTTCATTATGTTATTCAATATCCTCTGAGACTGCGGACTATTTTTTAATAGGGCGTTTTGACTCGCTCAGTTCATTACATGAAATGAGCATTGATGTACTCTATACCTAGACACCCAATAAGAAATGCTATTGATTACATTGTTTTAACCAAGCAATTCGATCCTACTTTCCAAGATATTCGATCAAGTTTATTAAATCCTCAAGAAAAGACTTCTTTTGATCATCGTTACCTTCCACAATTCATTATTTTCCCATCTTGATCACGTGCATATGCAACAAGTTATCATCATGGCTTACGACCAAAGACAAAAATCGCAACCATATGTTGATCTCGACTTGAAATCCACCTCAAAATTCCTCAATTTTCATTTTGCGACCTCAAATTAGCCATTTCCAGTCGAATTCTTCTCGGCCTCTGATCTCGACCACCTGCAGTAACATTATCTCCATTTTATTCACAACCACATCTTCATCCATGAATACACTATCCACGCTATTCGAGCTTATACCTCTAGGCTCGATTCTTCTATTACTTTGTGCATGGTCATATCGGTTCTTTTTCAATCATGAGATCATTCGGAACTATACAAACAGGCGTCATGTACCCAAATCTCAAATCAATGACTTGATAGGCAAGGAAGCTAACGAGAAATACGGATGCACGCTTCTCCATTTGAACGTAGAAGACGAATTGGAAGAAGAGAAACTGCCTGTTCTGCTGCGAAAACCATATGCTGAGCTTCACCAGAAACATGTCCACCGGGTAGTGGGATTAATCTTTTCACTAGTAACTGCACTTTCCATTGAGTTGGTTGGAGTATTTATGGCGCAATTGGTAGGCATCTTTGAAGCAGATACTCTGTTTTTGCGTGTGGGAATCCGTACGTTGGTCATTCTAGTCACAATGGTGCAACCTTTGCTCGTAGTGAGCTTATACATGAACCAGGACTTGCTTCCCTCGTTTTCTGGCAATTCTCCCGGCTCCTTCTTGAGAATAGCGGCCACTTTTGCCTTGTGTGGCGCGTGGTTCTACTTCTTGCACCGAATTGGCGAATTGGCCAATGCGTTGGGTGCTATCTCAGATAAATCTTTCCTAGAGCGAAAGACCAATGAGGTGGTGCTTACTGGAATCACCATCACCGCCATATTGTCAGGTGTAGGATGTGCACTGACACCAGTGAGGCGATTCTGGTTAGAGAGAGAGTCACAGATGAAAAAAGCACGTACGAACGGCAAGGCAAAAGAGACGCAGTTGAATGACTTGATCCAGTCGTACAATACTACGAAAATGCTCATCAGCAAGAGACAGCACGAACTAAATGACTATTTGGTAACTTCTGGTGGGACTGTTTACAATCAAACAGGTCCAGATCAGGTTCGACTGCTCAAAGGAAGTGGAAAACAGCTACTCCATAAAGTGCAATCATTTGCCAGTATATCAAGTTTTGGAGGAAATCGTGAAGAAGAAGAGCTTAAAAGAGAAATCGAATCGTTAAAGCAGCTCAAGGCACTGATATACAGTGATGTGACTCGAGAGCTCCACAAATTTCTACTCTCGAAGAGATCAACGCCAATCTCCAACAAGACATTCGAACAATTGGTAAAGGCATTTGATTTAGCATTTGCCTTGTATTGTATTTATCGTATCTTCAATGTGTTGTTACTCCGTCTCCCATACCAATACTTCTGGAGCTCGGAAGATCTCCATACTAGTAATAACATCATTGATGATAAAGAGGTTTCTGGCGAGGCACTCAACAAAAACACCAAGGATGCATTGGCAATCACCATCGCCAAGATCATCCAGTCAGTGTTTGGGTACCTTCCCATGTCCGAGGTACAACTTATCAACCAGGTCAGTTTCATTCTTTCTGGATCGCTCTTCGTTTGCTCTTTTCAGAATGTTCTCGTGACTTTCAAATCGTTGGGTCGTTTCCTTCCTACCACAACTACAACAGTGTCCTCTAGTGTGAAGAGTTGGCTTAAGAACTTGGTGGTGAGTGAGTTCTTGGCCATCTACGTAATTGCTACTGCGCTTCTCATTCGGACAAACTTACCCGAGGAAACCGCCAAGCTGATGCTGCGAATCCTTTCTCTCTCAACATCTCTATCGTCTAGCGTCAATGGTATGCAGATAGAAGTGGAATTCATCGATAATTGGTTCGATAAAGTGTTTGGGCTTACGTGCGTGATTACTATAATTGTAATTCTCCTGAAATACTTTATCGAGTCTGACAATGTATACGACGATGGTTACGATGAGGAGATGTTTATTGAGGATCCTGCAAGATTCAAGATGCTGTAGCCTCAGCTAGAGGATGGTATTGGAGGGACTTTTAGAATGCGCAGAGCTATGAGACTTGAAAAATACACAGAAGGTACTGAAGAGTACTTGAATGTTTCCAAAAAAAAAAACATAAGGGAGCTATCGGTGTTGCTCCACTTCAGAATGTCGGGGAGGAAGGGAATTTTCTTCTTTGTGCATACCTCCTCTGCAGGCTGGTTGCAAAAGGTTTTGTTGATGTGCTCCTCAACATTGTTCAACATTTATCTTCGCCAAACTCCATGATATTCATGACATGGTCGAATTTGGGTACCGGAATTTTACAATCCGTAATAATCACTATACTGGCATGCGGCTCGTCATTACTACCACAGTCTAAGATTACAAGAAACCATAATGACGACCAATGATGCAGTCGAATTAGAGAATAACATTGGGGGTACTGAAATCAAAGAATCGCTTCAGCATATTATGGAAATCCTTGACTTAGCGAATGAAATCGAGGTTACCAATGTGAGCTTTTGTTAATAACTCTTTATCTGACGGCTCGATAATATATGGAGCGACTCTGATATTTCCCAGTGATTTGGGAGTTTCATTTGTCTGAAAGTCCTAAATCTCGAAATTTGTTGGACGGAAATTAAGAACACGATCCTTAAAAGATCACATTGCTCAAGGATATCTTGAACTTTTCCTTTCTTGGCTGGACTTTTTTGTATAATTGATCACTTTCCTACTACCAATGATTAAGGAATTATCAGGGACAAGTTTGGAGAGTTATGGCACTGCCATGTACTTTCAGGTGCAATGCCTACCACGATTAATTAAAATCGGTGGATACAGATCGTCCTCGGGTGACAAGAGTATCTCTTCAATGGACACTGACTTGACAAGCAAGCTAACTCAGTGTCAAATAAATCACAAAACGAACTTCAAGCAAGTAAATTCATTATACGAAGATCATGAAAAAATATACATTTGTAGATCCAGACAAGACAAAAGTGACCAAAAAGTCAATGAGGAAAGTTCCTAATATGCAGTTCGAAAGTTGACAAAATGAAACTCCAGTGCAACAGAATAGAAAAGACTTTGCTTTACTCGACACGGTTTATGAAGGTGTAAAATCAATATAGAACTTTGTGATCATGACTAATAGCAACTTAAAGCACCGGGCCAAACTACCCCGTCTTGAGGATATATTTCTGAGTCATTGAGTCACGTGACTCTCCACTCATATGGAAAAAATCCCACCTTTGACGCTTCAAATCTAGTCAACTACACGATCACCCTGTTGCAATATTTGAAAAGAAGCGTTACAAGCGTGATTCAGAAAGCTAAAATGTCTACGAAATCGCCATTCCCCTTCTCCAGAGAGAACTTGGAGCAGGTGTTGAAGAGAAGATTCTTCTTTGCACCAGCATTTGAAATTTACGGTGGAGTCTCTGGTTTGTACGACTACGGTCCTCCAGGATGTGCATTCCAAGCCAACATCGTCGACACTTGGAGAAAACACTTTATTTTGGAGGAGGACATGTTGGAGGTCGACTGTACCATGTTGACTCCACACGAGGTGTTGAAGACCTCTGGTCACGTTGACAAGTTTGCTGACTGGATGTGCAGAGATTTGAAGACTGGAGAGATTTTCAGAGCTGACCACTTGGTTGAGGAGGTTTTGGAAGCCAGATTGAAGGGTGACAAGGCCGCAAGAGGCCAGGCCATCACTGAGGAGGAGGATGAGGACAAGAAGAAGAGAAAGAAGAAGGTTAAGGAGATCAAGAACATCAAGTTGGATGACGAAGTTGTCAAGGAGTACGAGACTGTGTTGAACCAGATTGACGGTTTCTCCGGCCACCAGTTGGGTGAGTTGATTGTCAAATACAACATCACCAACCCAGCTACTGGAGGACCATTGGAGCCACCAGTGGAGTTCAACTTGATGTTTGAGACTGCTATTGGTCCATCTGGCCAATTGAAGGGTTTCTTGAGACCAGAAACTGCCCAGGGTCAGTTCTTGAACTTCTCCAAGTTGTTGGAATGTAACAACGAGAAGATGCCATTTGCTTCAGCTTCCATTGGTAAATCTTTCAGAAATGAGATCTCTCCTAGAGCTGGTTTGTTGAGAGTTCGTGAATTCTTGATGGCTGAGATTGAGCACTTTGTTGACCCAGACAACAAGAACCACCCAAGATTCGATGAGGTTAAGGACACCAAGTTGAGCTTCTTGCCTAAGGATGTCCAGGAGGCTGGCTCTAACACTTTGGTGGAGAAGACCATTGGCGAGGCTGTGGAGACTGGTATGGTTGACAACCAAACTTTGGGTTACTTCATTGCCAGAATCTTCTACTTCTTGTTGAAGATCGGTGTGGACCCATCCAGATTGAGATTTAGACAGCACTTGTCCAACGAGATGGCTCACTACGCCTCTGACTGTTGGGATGCTGAGTTGCAGACCTCTTACGGTTGGATCGAGTGTGTTGGATGCGCCGACAGATCCGCCTACGACTTGAGTGTCCATGCTAAGAGAACCAACGAGAAGTTGGTTGTTAGACAGGCTTTGCCAGAGCCAATCACTGTCGAAAAGTTCGAAGTCGACATCGACAAGAAGAAGTTCGGTCCCAAGTTCAGAAAGGACGCCGGTGCCGTTGAGAAGTTCTTGACTCTGAGAACTGAGTGTGAGTTGGAGGACTTAGGTGAGGAGTTGAAGGCTAACGGTAAGATCGTCGCCAAGGTTGACGGTATTGAGAGCCCAGTTGAAATTGACGGTGAGCTTGTCAAGATCGCCAAGGTAAAGAGAACCGAGCACATCCGTGAGTTTGTTCCAAACGTCATTGAGCCATCTTTCGGTATCGGCCGTATTATCTACTCCATCTTCGAGCACCAGTTCTGGGCCAGACCAGAGGACAAGGATAGAAGCGTGTTGTCTTTACCTCCATTGGTCGCCCCAACCAAGGTGTTGGTTGTTCCATTGTCTTCTCACGCCGACTTGTTGCCTCTTGTGAAGAAGATCACTTCTGTGTTGAGAAAGGAGCAGATCCCATATAAGGTGGATGACTCATCTGCCTCTATTGGTAAGAGATACGCCAGAAACGATGAGGTTGGTACTCCATTCGGTATCACTATCGACTTTGACACTGTCAAAGACAACTCGGTCACTTTGAGAGAGAGAGACTCCACCAAACAGGTGAGAGGTTCTCTTGAGGACATCATTGAGGCTGTCAAAAACATTACCTATAATGGTGTGTCTTGGGCTGAGGGTACTACTAAGCTCACTCCATTCGAAACTCTGGCTGAGGAGGCTTAATTTGTAAATGTACGAGCCCATGGGCGTAATGAAACGAAGTAAAGTAATCCTTAACACGAAAATGAAACTTTAATTTTCAGTTTGCTCTGTATTTATTGAACTGACGCAGTGGACTTGATTGAATACTTCGGATGTAACTTCCAGTGTTCCAGTTTCCATTATCCGTCCCCCAGTTTTGCTTGCCCAAAATTCCATGAAGAACTTAAATGTGATTCTGCAACAGAACTACACAAAATGCTTGAACCCAAGATTACCTTTTGTCTGAATCAGATTCGCTTACAATTGTGATTGAAAACTCATGTTCTTAACTTTTATTTCAGTTGCCTAAGATTTCCTCCAAGAATGCATTGGAGTTAGGCTGTCTTCCAAGCAACTCTTCCAAGATGTCGAGAACCTCCTTGGAGCCACCATTCTTCAAAATCACATCTCTGTATCTAAGTCCACTCTCCACGTTCATAGGATCAGACTTGAAATGAGTGTAATAGATGTCAGTTGCGAACACTTGAGAGTACAAGTAGCCGTAGTAGCCAGACTCGTATCCTCCCGCAATATGACCAAATGTGGCGTAGCCCTTGTTACTCACACCACCATTTGAGATCAAGGCAATTTCTTCACGCAATTCATTCCACACCTTTGTCAAATCGAGTGCATCGATATCTGCCTCATTGTCAATAGTATGGAGGTGCATGTCGAAAAGAGCGAAGTGCATCTGTCTCAAGTTAAACAAGCCGGTGTTAACATGCTTGGACTTGATCAACTGGTCAATGAGATCATCTGGAATGGGCTCGCCAGTTTCGTAATGAGAAGACAACTGCTTCAACTCATTCTTGGACCATGTCCAAAACTCCAACATCTGCGAAGGACATTCAACAAAATCTCTTGGAACGCTAGTACCATGGAATCTGGCATGCTTAGTTTTCGACAACAAGCTGTGAACTCCGTGGCCGAGCTCATGGAAAAAGGTGGTCACCTCATTGTGTTTCAACAAAGAAGGCTTGCTCTTACTGGGTTTGGTAAAGTTGCACACCAACGACGAGTATGTTGGCGAGCGTGTGCCGTCAGCCCTTTCAAAACCTGGTCTTAAACCAAAATGAGCAGCATGTGTATATTTTCCTTCACGGGGGTGAAGATCGAACAAGATCCAGCCCTTGAATTCCAACTTTGGCTCTCCATACTTGATGTTCTGGAAAACGGCAAACTTACGAACATCTTCGTGCCACACAGTTTCCGGGTCTGGGTTTTCAACCTTCACAAACTTGACATCGAACAAAGTCTCATAGAATCCAAACATCTTTTCGATTGTCAGGTCAAGTGGAAAGTATTCAGAGATTTTCTGGTGGTCCACTTGGTACTCCTTCTCCAAGAGTAAGTTATCGTAAAAGCTGGCATCCCAGGCGTAGTAGGTGTCCTGTTCGGGTAAACCTCTAGCCTTCAAATCCTCATTCTTAAACTTCAACAATCTTGCCAACTCTTCCTTACCCAATGGCTGCAACTTCGTCTTCAAGTCTTCCAAAAACTGCAAGACGTTCTTCTGGTTCTTGGCCATTCTCTCTTCCAAAACAAATTCGGAGTACGTAGGATATCCCAATAACTTGGCAATCTTGTATCTAATTCGGATGATCTTGTCCAAGATTTCTGCGTTTTGAGGCACCTTGTTCAGGTTGGCGATCAAAGCTGATTTTCTGGTCTCCTGGTTCTTCGCATATTTCAATACTGGAAGAATGTCAGGGTACTTGAAGGTCACTTTAAACTTCTCAACGCCGTCCTCCTCAGTCTTTTCGAACTGTTCCATGACAGATTCTGGAACTCCTTCCAATTCGTCCGCAGTGAAAGCGAGAAAATCGTTCTCCTCGTTCAAATTTTTTGAGAAGGTGGTGGACAAGTTGCTCAATTCAATTTTTAACTTCTTCACCTCCTCTCTCTTCTCTTTTGGCAAACCCAATCCGTTTCTTTTGTAAAACTTTACTGTCTTCTCCAAGAACTTCAATGTTTCGGGATCAGTTTCGTTAGAATCCTTGATTTTCTCCCACAACTTATTGTAAACGTTGAACACTTCCACTCTGGAATTCTGTTCGATGGAGTTTTCGTCCATCAACTGTTCAGCCTCAGTGGAAGCATCTCTGACGTTTTTGTCTGTGGACACATATTGGTAGAAAGTGATCAGACTTTCTGTGAAATAGTTCTCATTCTCGCGATTGGCAGTTGGGATGAGAACATTCTCAACGGTTGGTTCTTCGATAGCGGCAATCTGGTCGTTGAACTTAATCTCGTCGGCGACATACTGTTTCGCTGCCAGCAAGATCTCCTCTGGAGTAAGAATCCACTTTGGAGACTCCTGTTGTTCGGCCAATTTGACAAAATCCGTTTCAGACATGATAATTCTCCAGACGACTCCTATAAAAAGTATTCCGATGGCAAGTTTCCAGTGTTGCACTGAGGTCATAAATTGGCCAGTCTAGGATTTTCTGGGGTTCGCTTGTATCATTCTGCAGTATCGATAATGCTGGCCAACATGTACTGTGAAATAAATATGGTCGAAGTGGTCGGTTATACGAACTCATGTTTGTGTACCAAATTCAATAGCTCTTATGAACTAATCCACTGAAAATTTCTCTACAAAAAACTGTCTTTTGTGCGTTGTTACGTGAGTTAGAGGCTGAGTACTTGGTGGTGCACTTACGACGAAGTGCGCGATCAATAATGGGTTCCGTATTCTTGTTAGCTTCAATATCGTTACATTCAAATACTTAAAATTCGTTCTTGATAACATATATTAGGATCTACACTCTATTTAAAAGATTTTTTCATCCTCTGAAAAGCATTTATTAGATTCTGTATCTGAGACTAAAAGTAATTGCAGCCTCCCAGTGTACCTAAATGAAGCTGCCATCTTCATCAAAGCTCTCGCCACTTTATAAGACAAATGTTCTCTTTATGAACATGAAACTAAGAGTGGTTTCTTCAATATTATATCAGATATTATCCAAATTTTTAACTTTCTGCTCTTTCAATTTGGTCTAGTTAACTACTCAAGTTTACTCTTCAACAATCGGGCGTGTGGTCTAGTGGTATGATTCTCGCTTTGGGCGACGGTTCAGTACACTGAACTGACATACAAGCATGCGAGAGGCCCTGGGTTCAATTCCCAGCTCGCCCCATTTGTTTTTTGAATTTTTTTTGAGCACTAGGGATTTTTTTATTATATTACCTTTGTTCAATCTGTTTATCTATTTCTTCTCTAATTTTTACATCACAAAAACCTCAACTAAGCGACCGAAGTCTATGCCGTCACCATTATTGAGATCGACCACTCTCAACCCATCTAAGTTGAAGATTCCCTTAGCAATTCCAATGAGCTGGATCTCAGTCTCAACTACCTGGTTGGGCTCTATAGGACCAAGGCGAACATCATTGGTGAGTAGAACAACACCTCCTCTACCCAACTTCAACAGATTATACTGAGAATATAACTGCAGCTTATTGTAGATATGTAGGCTGGAGTCGGTGGAGTCATCAGGACACACCATATTTGTAGATGAAACATTTCCCAGAGCGGCGCCACTCGAAGAATCGTTCTGCAAATAAATTGGGTGCCGTCTTCTCGGATTTTTGACTATTAAAGATAGATTCAATGTTCTGCCTGCCTGGTTGATTGCCTGGATTTTCCAGGTGACAATTTTACCGAGCTCAATGCTAAGATCTCCCTTGAATGTGAGGAAGAGACCTGTGAATGCGAATGTCATGTTCGACGACAAGTTTACCGTAACAGATGAAGAAATGGTTGGTAGCGTCAACATGCTCTTTTGATTCTTCTTGGACAATCCCTGCCCTCTCGTTAAAGAGAGTAGCGGAGAAGAACTGGATGGTGGAATATTTCTTATCAGTGGAGAAGAAGGAAAGGCAAGACCGGAGGATGCTAGAGGATGACTGACTGACGGGGACAGAATAGAAGGCGTTGGTAATGCCTTCGACTTGTGGACTCCTGTCACATTATGGGCCATGGCGGTCTTTCGTGGTAGATTCCCATTGTGCTTAACCACAGTAGCAAGAGAGTTGAACTGAGATTGCACTTGGAAGTTCGATGCATTATTGAAAGTTTTCATTGCGGCGCTTATAGGTGGAGCCAAGATGCCAAATTCGAGTAAAGGCGACCACAGCGTTGAGATTTCGTTGCTAGCACTAACGTACTCTTCCGTGAAGTTATCATACATCTCTATGCGAATCCTCAAATTAACACTGAGTGGCCGCGCTGTGTTGAGGGGAGCACCGGTGGCGTTTTTCATCTGGCTGTCCAAATAATCGTTGTTGATAAGTTTGTAAGTGATGTTGACCACGTCGTTTATGTGACAACGACGAGGAAATGAAAGGTGACCTAGCTCGGTGATTTCACCGGAGCGGAACTTGACCTCGAGTCCCAAGATGTTAATGTAGCATGAATCCTTGTCTTCGGTGAAGAGGTTTAGCAACTCGCTGGATGCCTCAATGCTCAACGTACTCAAGAGGATATCGTTGCGGCCACCAGGCTTGGTGGACCTCAATTTGACAGCAAGAGGAATGGATAACGCAATACTGAGTGAGGTCGAGTCGTCTGGACTGGCTGGTTCGAGCTCTTCGTGGGTCCGATCACCTAGAGGCTCAGGTACGTCAACTTGTCCATGCTGTGATTCCAGCACAACCAATCTCTGGGAGAACAGGAACGATTGGGAAGGATCTTCAGAAATGTGAAAATTAAGACCCTCGAACAAGTTCGCGGATTGCGTGGGCAGTGACGATCTCAGGTTGACATCATCAATACCCTCATGCGCTGGCACTTGCAAATGTGGATTTGCAAGCGATGCATGCAATGTGATGGGTCCTGTCATATCGTGTTTGGGATAGCCGACCGGAACTTCAAATTTCCATATGGTCACGGAGCTTGCCGTTCCGTCGATGTCCTCTTCACATGTAATAGGGTTCTGGACAACAGCACTAAGAACCTCCAATGTCTTAGGCGGAGTATCATCATTCGTGGCATTATAAGAGATTCTCAAGCCTCCATTGGCCAGCCGATACGCCTCTGAGTTGGACTTGAGCTCCAAATACACCGTCTGTGGCGGATCGGACTCAGATATGTGATTTGTATGGACAATAAAGCCGACCACCAGTTCTTCGTAGAATAACATGGATCTGAGGGGCCACGATGAAAGTTTCCTGAAAAGGCCCGAGCAGTCATTCTGATCGAACCTCTCTATTAGCGGGGAAGTATTTTCCGGGACAAAGATAGTAATTCCCATGTGTGTTCCACTGTTAGGGCAAGATCAAGATTGTTTAACGTGGGTAGCTTGCCATGCAGTGCGACCATAGCCTACTAGGAGATATCATGTAATTTTGAGAGCAAATTTTAATGGTGAGTTTATTATTCGTTGTAATAAAGATCTAAACTATGATTTGAGTTTGCTTTTTTGTATATTCGGTTGTTGCTTTCGGTGCGTTGATGATATGAGTTGGACATCTTGAACATCTCAGTAGATAATGGAGAATTCCCTGCGACATTAGGGCTATGAATGGAATACAAAGGTTTGGGCTAGAAGATGTAGCTGAATGGATATTTATACTTGAAAAACAGGAACTTGGAAGGTAGATTCGATTTTTAGGCACCTAATGTGTGATATTGAGTAGTGTTGAAGTTTCGTGAGATTCCTGAAAAGTGTGAACCAAAAGGGGAATTAGACAACGTAAAGAACAAAGCTTTCTGTTAAACATTCTGTTTTTTTTTTTTTATTTTCTTTTTTCGAAACTTCAATTCCTTTACTGAGTTTTGCCTAAAACCGAACAGTTGCCTATGTCTATATTTTTTTTGCATTGAGCATGGCTTACTAAGTTGAGTTGGAAGCGAAATATGACTATCATAGCCTTAAGACTTCATTGCAAGGCAAAAAATTTGAAAAGTACTCGCTGCTCAAACATTACAATTATTCATTTCATCGAGATATATCTTGTTCGAATTAATACTAATGCAAGTGATACTTTATTAAACCATTTCCTTCGACGTAGCTGGACGCATCGACGTAATCACCATCTTCACGAAGTTATAAGCCACGCCACAAAGACAACCCAAAGTGATGCTAATGAGAATACATGCATAGATTGTGCTGATGTATCTGAAGGCCTCCATTCCTTTGTACAAATTGTACATCTCGCCATTGCACAACGACATAGTGCCCAAAGGGAAAGTCATGGACCAGAAGCCACGGTTGAAGCGAAGGAATCCAGAAAAGAGACGCTGTACAATATTTCCCTCTGTTCCGTCATAAATATGCTGAGTATTAGGTTTCCTGGCGAATGGTTGCATTTTCGATAACACCGAAGCAAAAGCCAAAAACGTAAAGAAATATCCAAATGCCATGAGTGAGGCTGCAAACATGGTGGAGGTCGCCAAAAGTGCCGTGGAGAGAATCACTGGCAAGTTCGACAAGTCCTGATTATGTGAGTTCGCAGCTTCATGCAAAAATGAAGTATAGGACGAGCTTGCAACGTTGTTGCTATTCTCCATAATGATCTCCACGCAGTTGCGACCAAAGAGCAAGATGGCATAAGCACCTTGACCTAGGAATCCGATGGGCAAGAACATGGTGAACACCTGACCCGTGGCAGGAATCTTGTGAACAAACATTCTCCAGAAATTGACCAGCACAACAATGAAGGCAAGAATCACTGCAATAGCCCACATGACAAACGATAAGACCATGGTGGTGATCTTCATGTTGAGCTTAGGCAAGTCAGGACAAATGGAGCCACCTAATGCTGCACACACCGTGAGCGTTACCACAGGCAACAAGAAAGCCAAGCTAATGTTGGAGGTCTTTAAGACATTTTCTCTCTTCCTATGCTTTCCCACCACTGAGAAGAAGAATGTTAAGAATGCTGTGTACACTGAGCCAAACACAGCCACCCACCAAAGTACCCACACAGCGTAAATCCAGGATTTCTCGGTCAACGAATGGAGCATATTCACCAAGGTAATGAATCCCATGACAAAACATCCCATTGCAGGAGCATGCACTGGATCTCTATGGATGCGGTACCATAGGTGAGAATCTTTAAAGAGCGCAAATATCATGAGCGCCGTCAATGACAAAAAAAGCACCAAGCACACGACGCTGAAGATGATACCACAAACTTGTAGCCATTTGGCTGGAAATGGGAAATTGTACAAGATGTTGGAGCAGATTCCTGTGCCCATTACTGAAGCAAAGAAGACCGGAGTGAAATTGACCACTAGCTTTTCGTTCAACATGAAAAAAAGTCGGGACAGCCACGAGGGCTGGTCATCACAAACGAAGGTCGGGCTATTGGTGTTATTCGAATCCTGGCCATCGTCAAACAGACGGTTACCCAGTGAAAAAGGCAGAATTTGCTGTTGAGGTAACTCAATTTGCGGAGTGGGGGACATCTTTTGACAATGCAGCTTAAAAAACGAAATGAGGGGCAGATCACACAGAAAAACAGTCAATATAAATAACCAACCTAGGAGTTAGAGATACCAAGGTTAAAAAACGGGGAAAATAGGAAATGGATGTGACTAACATTTTCAGTTAGCACGATGCATGACGCCACAATCGCGGTCATCCGTCCGACGCGGACCTTCCTATTTAGGTAACTACCGCGAAAATTGCCGCATAGGGGGCAACCGTCGGGTCATCTTTTCCGAAAAAAAGCAATCATGACCCACCGCTTTCCGTTACATAAGAGGTAGGCCCGCTCAGGGCCGCTCATTTTGCCGTATTGGATAGTAATGGCCCGCTCTAGACCGCCGACATACCTTCCCAACATGGTCAAAAAGCGGACCCGTGCATGATGTGGTCCATATTGTCACCACTACCACAGATCCAACTATATATAGACCCAAACAGGTGTATATAAAGATAGACGCTTCCCTATCACTTATATCGCCATCTGTGGCAGATTTGCAATCTCCAAACTAGCTTTTTAACTTTTTGACACCTTTCCAGCATCCACCTACCTGTTTAGTTCATACAGGAAGGCATCAGAAAAACTTACCAATGCTTAGTATCTCCAAGGTCCAGACGGATGTCCCAGTATTGATGTGCACATCCAAACAACCACCAGTAGCCACATTTGGATGCTTGGACCAGGAATCTGACCACGAACTAGTGTTGAACAACGCCTTCGGCACGCTTATCGAGCGGTTGCGGGCCGTTTTAGGCCAAAGCAAAGGATTGGCTTCAGATGATATCGATATCGGCCACATTAAGCAAATCATGGAGGAGTACCAGTCCGACGAGTCCGAATGGGGTAAGTTTGCATTGGGAGATGCCACGAAAGGCTACACGAGGAACGGTGTGGTGAACATCAACGGAAATGCAAATCTTCTTATCTTGGTATGGTCCCCTGGAAAGGGCAGTGCCATCCACGACCACGCAAACGCACACTGTTGCATGAAGATCCTCAAGGGAGAGCTTCTGGAGTCATTGTATGATGTTCCCGAATCCGAGGGCCATGAGATGGTACCTAGAAAGGTAACGGTGATGACTCAAAACGAGGTGGGGTACATTTCCGACAAGATAGGCTTGCACAAAATCTCTAATGCCTCCAACAAGGACTTCGCCGTGTCGTTGCACTTGTATACGCCTCCATATGCGTCGCTTTATGGGTGTTCCATGTATGAGTCACGCACTGCTGTCAAGCACCATGTGAACATGAGCAAGTACTATAGTTGGCAGGGCCAGTTGGTGAATGCGAAGGAAGCATCCACATGCTAACGGAGTTATTCAGCTATTGTTAGGAAAATTATCCACTTGTTGTTTTGTTTTTGTCTTTGTTGCTGCATCTCGTCCTTTTTGACAGTCTTTCCTTCTAGTGGTATCCATGCATGTTTCATTTCTTATAGAGCGTTGGTAATATGAATACAGGTTTTTCATGACGATAAGTAGGTTTTTTAGTAGGTGGTAATCATAATCATCACTGCTATCCTTTTCCTGTGATTTTGCTCTCACCGTTTGTACTTGGTGGGCCTGCTGTGGTCTCCCAGATCCTCAATGTCCCTATAGTCTCTTTTGAGGATGTTCACCTCAATGGACGAAGAGTAAAAACTTCCCAAATATGCTTTTTTGGTTTTGGAAGTCTCCGCTTGGACCTTTTCAACTTCATAAGAGGCTCCTTCATCTCTGTTCATCTGTCGCCGAAGTGCATCTTCTTTCTCGTTCTCGATATCTTCTAACTTCTTATGATCTCGGAGTTTTCTGTCCTTTTCCCGTAGTTTCCACAGATTATATTCTTTTTCCGGATCAATGTTGTCCGTGTCGTCAACACCGTCGAAATCCTGCTTTGCCACCTCTTTGGCGTCGATATTTTGGTGGTGCTCTGCTCTGGCTAGAGCCACATTTGACGTTGCTAAAGGTTTACGTTCAGTCTTGGTGGACGACTTCTTGAGAAATACTGGTCTGGCAAGAAGATCAGAATTGCTATCGGAGGTGGAAGATCCTGAATCTGAGTCACTGGCGGACTCTGAGGAATATTCACTTGAAGACATGAATTAGGTGAAAAACTGTGGCTGAAACCTGTATAGGTTGGAAGTGCCCATCAAGAAAAGATGGGTTAATTGGTCTTGTGTGGGTAATCAAATTGAGAGCTGGTTAGAAGATATGAAATGTATAGAGAAATCAGCAGTTCAATTTTGACTTTAGCAGGCAATTTTATTGGAGATCTGCAGTCAATGAGGGAGGTATCAATTTGTACATGCTAGAGCTGGTCAGAGTAGTGGAGTGAATGAACGTTTGGTGAGATCAGATTTTATTCTGTACAAATTGAAAATGCAAAAGGTTCAATATTATTAGAACAGTTCTCATATCACCATTATAAGTTTTTGTTTGGGCCTATTCTTATCTTTTTTTGTTCGTTACCTCAGACCGTCTTAACTTTTACATGTTCATATGGCCAAAGCGAAGCAATCACAACCATCCCAAATCCCAAAGTTATCACTCCTAAAGCTTCCAAAAATTTCCAATCTACAGATCTCCAAATCTCCAATCTACGAATATCCAAGATTCCAATCTACAAATATCCCGATTCCCAACCACCAATGTCCAAATCTCAAATGAACATTGATTTCCTCATTGACTTTCGCAGCTTATAAATCCTCCGCTCACTTGTCAGTTGCATGGAATTCAATTACCAACTCACCATCATCACAATATCGTCAAACGGAAAAAGAGAAAAGATCAAAAATCAACCAACTCACCAAACTTCACAATTCTGTCATTTCTACAATTGCAACCATAATCTCCACCATTTTTTCCATCCCTAATCTCTGATAACGACCTGCACATCACTGCTGTATCGAGACACTCCAAAACCCTCGAACTTCTAAGTTAAATCAAACCAATTCTCAGAGTTAACATGGCCTCACAGCAGTTGGTCTACTTTGGCCCGCGGCCGCTCCAGCCACTCAACGGTAAGATGCGCCACGGCTTTGATGAAGACTACAACTCGGAGAATTTCCTCAGTTCCCTCGCGAATACATTCTACATCTACTTCGACGACAAAAGACATAATGCCAACGGCAATCCTATCTCGGACTCCATGAAAAAACTGCCGGAGCTCGCCAAGAACTACCAGCCTATTGTGGATTGGAAAGTCATGCGTGAGAGACAAAAGACTGTCAGCGCCGTGCTTGTACTCTGCCTCAACCTTGGTACCGACCCTCCAGATATCATGAAAACCTATCCCTGTGCCAAACTTGAGGCTTGGTGCGATCTGTCAAACTTCTCTGATAATAAGAAGGCCATTGAGGCCATCGGCAAGAATCTCCAGAGTCAGTATGAGACGCTTTCACTCAGAACTCGCTATAAACAGTCGTTAGACCCATGTGTTGAGGACGTCAAGCGTTTTTGCAATACTCTTCGGCGTAATGCAAAGGATGAGCGTATTTTATTCCATTACAACGGCCACGGTGTACCTCAACCAACCACCAGCGGAGAAATCTGGGTGTTCAATCGAGGCTACACTCAATATATTCCTATCTCGCTTTACGACCTCCAGACCTGGTTGGGTGCGCCAGTGATCTTTGTCTACGACTGTAATAGCGCAGGAAATATCGTTCATAACTTCAAAAAGTTTGTTCAGAAACGTATAGATGACGACAATGAGGGAAACCACGATTTGAGTGCTCCTTCGCCAACCTCAGCATATCTTGACTCCATTCAGTTGGCCGCATGCAAGAGCAATGAGATCTTACCCATGAGTCCCAATCTCCCTGCTGATTTGTTTACATGCTGCTTGACTTGTCCGATAGACATTTCACTCAAATGGTTTATCATGCAGCTGCCTCTAAAGAAGAACTACTACCTGATGCTTCCACGGAACTCTCAAGGCAATGTAATTGTTCCCGGTAAATTGACGGATAGAAGAACTCCGTTGGGTGAGTTGAACTGGATTTTTACCGCCATCACAGACACAATTGCATGGACCTCGTTGTCTAGACCTATTTTCAAGAGGCTTTTCCGCCAGGATTTGATGGTGGCTGCCTTGTTCCGAAACTTTCTTTTGGCTAAGAGAATCATGCCCCACTTCAACTGTAACCCTGTCAGTGACCCTCCACTACCGGAATCTGTACGGACGCATCCTATGTGGGATTCTTGGGATTTAGCAATCGATCAAGTGTTTGCGCAGTTAATCAAGAGTGGTAACCCAGATCCAATGTCGGGCGGTTTGAGCTCTCCCGCACCTTCATCGTTACCATCAAATGGAGCCAATGGAAACTCGAATGGTTCGGGTTGGTCTTATTCGGCCAATGGATCCGCAAGTTCGACGGTTGCTAACGGTCCAACTCCTTCTTCTCAAACACTTGCAAATTACCAGCATTCTACATTTTTCGAGCAGCAGCTCACAGCATTCGATCTCTGGCTCAAGTATGATGGTCCCTCAAGTAAGGTTCCTCCCGAACAATTACCCATTGTTTTGCAGGTGTTACTCTCGCAAGTGCATAGACTCAGGGCTTTGATTTTGCTATCTAAGTTCTTAGACTTGGGTCCTTGGGCTGTTTACTTGTCACTCTCTATTGGAATTTTCCCATATGTGTTGAAACTATTACAATCGCCAGCCCAAGAATTGAAGCCTGTTCTCATTTTCATATGGGCACGTATCATGGCCATCGACTACAAAAGCACTCAACAAGAATTGTGCAAAGACAAAGGTTACAACTACTTCTACCTTATTTTGAATTCTAGCCCCTCGAATCCAATTGGTGCACCTGGTGCTCCAGGATCCGCCAACGGCAGCGCTGGATCTGCTACCATCATCGTCAACGATGACCATAAGGCCATGAGTGCGTTTATTTTGACTTTATTTATCAAGGACTTCAAGAATGGCCAGAGGCTCTGCTTCTCTATTGAACTTGTCAATAACTGTCTCAAATTCTTGTCAACTAGCGAAAACCCATTGTTGAGACAATGGTGTTGTTTGCTTTTATCCCAGCTATGGTTGAAGTATCCAGATGGCAAGTGGATTATTTACAAGGATGGATACTTGTCTAAGTTGCTCGAATTGATCAACGATCCAATTCCTGAAGTGAGAACTTCGATTATTGTTGCCCTCACTACGTTCTTGACAGAGTCTTCTGATGCACCGAATGACCTGCCTAAGAAACCAAATCCGCAGATGTCGTCACTTCCCCAAAATGGCCTTTCCTCCAATGTTAGTGCAGACTTGAGAAAAGACGAGTTGCGCCAGCAAGACTTGAGACTAGCCAACATAATCTTGCGTTTACTTGGAGACGGCTCAACAATTGTCAGAAAGGAGATTGTCTTCTTTATTAACAGATTCATTAAGATCTACATGAAATTTTTCTTGGTTGTGGCCTTCAACCAGTTGGAGGAAGAAATTGTCTTGATAGACAATCCAGCCAATTTACAAGATTTTAGAAAGAAATCTCCTGCTTATGGTTCTATTTTCAGTTCCATCTGGAAGGCTTTGTTGATTCTTTCCGAAGACCCTCACCTCGAAGTTAAGCAGTTGGCAGAAGTCCTCATTGATTCAGTCATGGTGAAATTGAACGAAAGTGAACTTGGAGGATTGGTCAAGGAAATGCAAGACTATCTTTTGAGTGAATCCACTATCAACATTAGTGACAACTTCAGACTGGCTAAACCTATTGTCAACAGAGCGCCTATGTCTATGCAACACGATGCAGTCAAAAGACAAGCTTCGAGTGGATCTGTGATCAACAGGAAGAATACCTTAACAATCAATGGTTCATCATTGAAGACTCGTGCGATTTCTCAAGGAAATTTGAACAAGCATTCAGAGGAGGATTCTGATGCTGCATCCATAACATCTAAGTTGAAGGGCTTGGGAATTGCTAAGTTGTTCAAATCCTTCCAAATCAACGAAGACAACGAAATCAAGAACTTCACAAGAATTCTCAACCCTGGTCCAGTGCCAAGTCAGTATGGGGCTGAGTACAAGCCAAAGACACCTAGGTTTATTCAGCGTGAGATTAGCAAAGAACCGGTATTGCCTGAGGATTCTGGCTTTTTTGAATACAGTTGCGAGTATTTCCAAGAGCCCCAGATGTCCAAGACGGAAATTGACGAGCCTGGCTCTAGAGAATACGTGAAAAGACTCTGGAGACAGAATAGAAACGAGCAAACGATTCAAGAAACACAACCTCAAAAGAAAATGGCAATCAGAGGAGACTGGAACAGAAACTTGACCATTCTCAACAACAAGAGCCAACCCAAACTTATCAAGTTTATGCAATTTGAGAAGTTGTTGGTAAGCACGGACGAAAAGGACAGTGTCTCTGTTTGGGACTGGGACAATAGCGAGATCGTAACGAAGTTCTCCAATGGTAACCCATTCGGAACCAAGATTACGGATTTGAAATTCTTAAACGAAGACGATTTGCCGTTGGTTTTGACTGGTTCATCTGATGGTGTCATCAAGATTTATAAGAATTTCCATTGCGACGGCGATGAAGACAAACCAGTGGAGATGATTGCTGCATGGAGAGCATTGACGGATCTTCTATTGACCTCTAAATCATCTGGGTTAATCAGTGAATGGCAACAATCTCGAGGGTCATTGCTTGTGAGTGGAGATGTTAAGATCATTAGAGTGTGGGATGCCCCACGTGAACTCTGTGTTCTTGATATTCCTGCTAGGTCTTCTTCCTCTATCACGTCTTTAACTTCTGACCAGGTTGCTGGAAATATTTTCATAGCTGGTTTTGACGATGGAAGCTTGAGAGTCTACGACCGGAGACTCGATGCACGTGAGTCAATGGTTCAGGTGTGGCAGAATGGCCGTGGAGGAGCTAAGAACATAGGTAAAGGATCTATTAGAAATGTTCACATGCAGAGAGGTGGCTTCAGAGAGTTGGTGAGTGGATCTTCTGATGGATACGTGAATTTGTGGGATATTCGGAAGACCGAGCCTGTGCTTACGTTTATGAGTTCAGAAAAGAACATTCGGTGTATCGACACTCATGAGCACGCACCCATCATCACCACTGCATCAAAGTCTGTCAATATCTGGACTACTGCGGGAGATATGGTGTCAACTTTGAGAAATCCCCACGACAACTACCTTACTAACAGGACGTCGAACTACTTATCCAGCATTGCATTCCATCCTCACAGAATGATGTTAGCCACTAATTACAATCAGGATGGTCATATCAACATCTATCAGTGCAGTGACATAATCTCTGAATATTGAAGTGGACTGATGTAAGTCCGCGAACTCGGACTTCGGTGCATAAAAGGCATATTCAACCATGAAAGTGTTATCAAGGTTTGAATGCTGGACAAGGATGAGTACAGAAAGATGAAAAGGATAAATCTTTCAGCAGAATCTATTTCACGCGGATCCCTGGTCTTCCTATTTGCGAAAGATAGAGAGAACCTTAAAAGTGTGTCATTTATCGTGGCTACTATATACAGGATGTTCATTTAGTGAAAAGCTCACTGGCAACCTTCACAAATCCTTCCACATCCACACAATGTCTATGTCATCGGAGCTAGCCGCTGCGATCGAGGATGAGGATCTTCACATAAATGTCCGAGACTTGGCTCCAAAAGGACGAACTGGGGACATCTCCACTTTTCAGCGCATGATTTCAGCTTGTCTGGGGTCTTTCATCACGTCACTAGTAGTTACTCCGTTTGATGTGGTCCGGATTAGAATTCAGCAACAGGAAGTGATGCCTAAAGGATACAGCTGCTGTGAGCCAACGCCACAAGCCGCGCAAATGATAAAGTCTGCAGCTGGGACGATGGAGTCACCTGCTCCCGGAGTCTTTTGGATCAATCAGCATTATTGTTCTTCTGCAGAGCAATGTCCTCGCATAACCTCAACATTCCAAGGAATGATGTCCATCAGCCGGAATGAGGGTCTTGGCACGTTATGGCGTGGTCTAGGCTTGACCTTGTTCATGGGTATTCCAGCCAACATCATCTACTTCACAGGCTACGAATACGTCAGAGACCACTCCCCTATCCTGAACCATCCACTTAATCCATTACTTTGTGGCCTGTTTGCACGAACCGTGGCTGCCACTGTGGTTTCACCGGTGGAGCTTCTCAAAACTAGACTTCAGTCGATCCCTTCAGAAACTCGTGGTGTCCAACAAAACAAAATATTATCCACATTGCTTAGAGACTCACTTGAGGCCATCCGCGCTAATGGATTGGGATCGATGTTTACAGGATTGAAGATTACACTCTGGAGAGATGTGCCTTTCCTGGGTATTTATTGGCTGTGCTACGAACTTTTCAAAGACCGCATAGGTCGTACCATAGGGGTGGATTTTGATGCCACAGCACAGAAACAGGAGGACTGGAAGGTTTTCACCACTAGTTTCTTGTCGGGTTCTGGAGCCGGAATCATTGCTGCATTTTTCACCAACCCATTTGATGTTGGCAAAACTCGTCTCCAAATTGCAACAGACAAGAAGCCGCATACCAAGCACTCGATGTTCAGATTTCTCTACTCCATTTACTCCAAGGAAGGTGTTGGTGCACTTTACTCAGGGTTTGGTCCTCGTGTGATGAAGATTGCTCCTTCTTGTGCAATTATGATATCCTCGTACGAGATCGGGAAGAAAATTTTCAAAGACAACTTATAAGGGAATTAGAGGTTACGCTAGTGTATATAGAATGGAAGCTTAGCCCCAACCTTCCTGGTTTCGTTCGTACCGCTGAATATCGTAGGCTGCCCAATCATCCACATCTTTTGGATCTTTCCTTTCCATGCTCCTCAATTCACCTCTGTGGTCAATTCTCGTGTCAGCCCGAATGTCAGATCTCAAGTCTCCTCTCATCTCCGATCTTCCATCTCCTCTTACGTCTGACTTCATGTCGGTTCTTAGATCAATTTTGTGGTCAGATCTTATCTCGAGGGGCCGTTCATCTTTATCAAGGTTGCTTCTACTAGAGTCTCTGATATCCCTTGCAATTTCCCTTGCAGAATCTCTGAAATCACGACCTATTTCCTTCTCTCCGGTTGCAATGCGGGATACTCCGCTAGTAGGTGAACTCATTCTTTCAAGTCGACGATAGTAATTCGGATCTGTATCTCTCAAGGTGGCTGCGAAAGCATTACAGCTTCTAGTCATATTAACAATAGAGCCTTGGAGCCAAAGAAGGTACTCAGTACATGCTTCTCGCAAGCTGGATGAAGCAATTCGCATTAACTGCTGCTCTATCAACTTGAGGTTGTATTCATTCTCTTCAATCTGGTCTAAGAAAAGAGACGTCTGTGCTGCTTTGGGGCCATGTTTCATGGCTGTGGCATCAAATTTTCTCTGGAGATGATTGTGCTTTTCCAACAAGTCTTTTTGCCGGGCTTCTCGCGTGGCGATAGCTCCCAAGTGAACCTTTAGGATGTTGAGACGGTCACCTTGGGCCGAGTATACCACATTGACACAGTCGAGGAGTTCAGAAAATTCACGAACAACCAAAGCGTTTTCTGGATTAGGTAGTTCGGCACCCCACAAGTCAAACGCCTTGAGAAGTGCCTTGTTGGTCATGTCAACCTTCTTTTGATGTTTGTGAACTTTCTCAATGAGTTTCTGGAGATCGGACGCTCGCCATTTCTTCAGTGTACCCGAGCGGGAGTAAAGGGGTGTGATTTTGCTGAGCATCTTGACCATGGCTGCTGTAGTTGGCCGAGTCAAGGTTGCGTACGCAGACTGAAGCACGGTAGTTCCATGAGACTCTTTGTCGTTCATGGTCGTGAAAAGAGATAGTGGAGAAGTGGTAAATGAAAGACAGAGCAGAAGAAGAAAATTGAAAGTGGAAAGATCACGATTCAAAGAACAAAAAAGAAGAGGAAAATCTTAGTTCGAATATTGGTAAGGATTTCCAATAAAAAGTTCAGTGTAACCAATTGGCAGACCAATATGCATTTGTACCTAGTGCGCTTCTCGTATTCTACTTCTTCGACACCTCCTCGTCGATGTTGAGTCCCGTGACCGCGGAGATTTTGCGTCTTAATGTCTCCACACCAGCGTGGACTTTTTGTTGGCCAGACTTTGCTTTCTGTCCCACCTGATCAACAAGATCTCCTGCCTTTTCAACAGCACGAACCTGTCCATTGGCAATTTCAGGCACTGTGCGCTGCTCTACCTTCCATGCAAAGCCCATGGTGTTGCTGAAAGTCTCGGGCAAGAAGTACTTGAACGCCGCCAACCCAAGTCCAAGAGGGAAGAATGTTCTGGCCAAAATGCCTCTCTGTCTGGCCAAAATGTTTCCTGAAAGTCCGGCAATCACAACGTAGATGGAATTAGGCAAAAGGTCTTCTCTCTTGTTGTGCAATGCACTCACCGTTCCCGTAACGTTTCTCTCAATGTCGTAAACCTTAGCCTTACCTTCATTCAAGTATTCTTGTGTGGAAGTGTATGCTCCAAACAATGTCTCACGTACAGAACGAAAGACACCTTCAAGTCCCGAGGTAGATCTGATAGTGACTCCATTGACAACCAGGCGAGGTCCCATCAACTCCACGTTGGAGTCTGTGGATGGAATTATGGTTCCTGGAACGGGAACAACGTCTTTCTCGTCCTCGTAGAAGGATCTTTTTGGCTCGCAAAGAATTTTGGACTGCGATGTAAAGACAGCTGCAGAGGCCGCAAGGGCAGCAAAAGCACGAGACATGATATGTGCTGTCTAAATTTTTCTAGGTTTTGTTGAAGGTGAGTTTTTGGATTAAGACGCTCTCATTTGTAGTTAGCTGGTGTACGGGTGTTGTTGTAGATGTAAGATAAAGTGTGTATTATATGAAATGAATGATGCTTTTGTTAATGTAGATAGATGTTTCAATTTTGGGAAATCTTAATATTTAATCGAAAAGTTTATCTGTTTCTTCTTTCTTTTATGGTTCTCAGGGCCGGGTTGATGGCCTCATGTGGCTTTCACATTATCAAAATTATTGCATAAAGGTTGAGACCTCAGAGGCACCAATGATGAATTGACAGTGAAAGACCCGAAATCATACAAACGCATATGATTTCATTCCAAACCATGCCACCTATCTTTCATTTCTCCGTTAACTCTTTTACATCTCCCATTGAATACGACTAATCCTCCGCTTCTGATTGGGTGTATCACGTGACTTTCGGGACATCAGTTAACTCATCTCAGTTTCAACCATCCATTACCATTATCCAACATGCTTGCGTTGAGACGAAATTCCAGTCTTTATGCGCTCTGTCGTATGGCTAATAACCTTAGTCTTCGAAAAAAGTCCACAAGCGTCTCTGAAAAGCTCACCATGGCACAAGCTCAGATGGAATTCATGACACAGGAAAAGAATCCATCTCAAGGTAGCCTTCCATTTGAAATGAGGAGACACAGCGAAAGTTTCGGCCAGTTGGTCAGAAGTGAGCACTGGAAAAAGAAGGGTGACCTCAACGACTCTGAGTACGTCAAGACCATCGAGCTACACCCGGAAAACCAGATGGAATTGCTGCCTTCTCCATTCAGAAACGCAGACGGCTCGTTTATTCAGGGAAACACCTCCGAAGAAGCTAGACTTCATCCACTTACGTTAGAGGCACGTGTTGACCACACGACAGTCAAGCTTCCTGATGAAATCGCAAAGGTTATTAACAAGAACATCCTCCTGGTTGTTTCCCCTGATAAGCTAAGAGAGAGATCAGCGTTGGTATACCAGAGCTTGGAGAAAGAGCAAATTCAGAAAGCGCCAGATCTGAGCTTGGAGGCAGATGCACATATTGCATCGTTGTTCCTCCAGAATTATTCGCATGCTAAGAGAGCACTCTCTGAGCTCAAAAAGAGAGTCGGAGACTCATTCAATCCTAAGAGCATTTTAGATGTGGGGTACGGGCCAGCAACAGGAATGATTGCATTGAATGAAATCATGGGTGAAAATTTCAGACCAACCACGAAAGAAGTATATGTAGTCGGGAGATCCAATGCAGAAATGAAAAAGAGAGCTAAAATCCTCTTGTCCAGACAGGTATGTGAGATCCCAGATGAGCACGAATTGACCAAGGCTGCTCAGGAGGTGGTGGAAGATGTGATTGAAGATCAAGAGGCCGAGGAAGGCGAGAAACCGGACATTTCAGAAGGATACACTAATTTCGAAGAGAAGGAATACATTGGTCCAGTTGATGCATCTCAAATTAAGATCAGAACTAGATTGAGAGATGCATTGCCCTCCACTAAGCAGTATGAGCTCATTATTGTCAACCAAGCGTTGCTCACGCGTGAATACAGTTTTCCAAATGACGTGGATACCAACATCCACATGCTTTTGAGGCTTCTCAAACCTAATGGACATTTAGTTTTGATTGAACGTGGAAATGCCTTGGGATTTGAGATTGTGGCCAGAGCAAGACAGATCATGTTGCGTCCAGAATCTTTTGAGAGCGAAAAGGGGTCAATTCCTCGACCTTATATCAAAGGATCCACATATAAGCCTCAGAAGATCAGAAGAGAGGACCAACTTATCACTGAAGATCACATCAAGTTTGAGGAGCAACTACTTGAGCAGTTAGAGCGTGAAGATTTAGAAGAGGAACTTGCACAATTGAACGAAACTTTGGGCGAGCCTGAGAGTGGACTTGAGAAGGAAATCATTGCAAAGCATGGTCAAGTTACAGAAGAAGATCTCAAGTTTGAGTTTGAAGACGATGAAAATTATGATGTTATTCCTGTGGAAGAGGAAGGACGGGCTATTCTGGATACTCCGACAGACAAAGTGGACTACCATTTGAGTGTAGTAGCTCCATGTTCCCATCACGCAAGATGTCCTCTTCAACTTGGTGATCCTAACCTTTACAAGGTTTCTAACCATAAGCATCGGCTCAACTTTTGCTCTTTCAATCAAGTTGTGGAGAGACCAAAATACACCATGGAGCTCAAGAGAGGTAGAAGACTTGCTACTCAATGGGACAAAGGTGCACACGATGGAATGGGGATCGACAATCTTTCCAAGAAGACTTTGAAGAACCTTGAAGGCTCGGGACGTCCTGGAGGAAACAACACCGAGTCAGGAAACTTTTCGTACCTCATCATGCATAGATCACCCAATGATTCTTCGACCATTGCAAAAATTGAGAGCGATAGAGCACATCATGCCGATGTCAGTCAGCAAGCTGTTCGCTGGCCTCGTATTCTCGAATTTCCTGCTAAAATTAAGAACAATGTCAAGCTCAATGTTTGCGCTCCATCTGGAAACATCGAGGTATGGCAAGTGCCAAAAAGTTTGGGCAAACAAACTTACCATGATGCCCGTAAGATGAGACAAGGGGATCTCTGGGCATTGGATAAGAAGAGTGTTATTGTTAAGAACAGGTTGTCACCAGCCAACTTTGACAAATTGAATCGGTTGGCTAGTACCCAGCGTAAGTTCATCATGAAGGAAAAGAGGAAGAAGCAGTGGAAGAAGATTGTCAGTCGTAGCGAGAGTGATTTTGAGGAGAATCCAATTGAATTGGCAGACGAGTTGGCAAGTGACTTGGAAAGTTCAAAGAAGTACAGAACTGAGGGTAAGAGGGCCAAATTTGATGTGAACCCTCGGACTTATGATGGAAACTAATTGTATATAGTGGGAAGAATCACCGTAATGTGTACATAGCAATTGATTCGAGGTCTGTGGAATGGAAGAACAACAGATGTAGATAGAAGCGAGAGACAGATGGAGATCGAGGTAAGAGAAAGATGAGATGGTAGTGAGAGAGACAGATGGACACGACTGATGAAATGGCACTAATATCAATGACATAGATAATGGGAGCACAGTTGAGTTATGATAATGAATCTTGAGAATGTTGGACTGTTTCAGATGGATTGCTTATGTATTAGAGCTCATAGAGTACACTAACTAGGAAGATTCACGATGAGTACGATGATCCACACTACTGTTATCTCTACAAGTACTGTATTCTTCAAACACTGGGGTGTATTGCCTATAAAAACCAAACAATGACCGTGTATGCTCCGAGAAGTAAACTGCTGCCGTAGCTATATCTATAATACAAAATGCATTCTAGGGACATGACGAGGGCATGGAAACGCCGCTCCACCATACAAACGTCTTACTCAGCACTTTTTCGTACGTTTTCTATGGAGCAGCAAAGCGTTACCACGGTCGTTCCTCCCGACTTCCTGTCATTAAATGCAGAGGACAGATCCCTATCTATTATGAGTAAGCCATTTACTTTCTTCTGAAAGAGCAGCCCTCGGTCAACTTAGCCTTACCACCAGTTGGGGTGCACAAAACATTGGCACATCCATCGCAGGTGACGGCGGTTTGAGCGTGGGAGAACACGGTAGTGATGTTCAAACATCCTGGACACTTAACGTCCATGAAGAACGATCTTGGCGCTTGCACCAAAGTCTTCAACTTGTATTTCTGAGCCTCGGTGGCTGGGTTAGGGTGCAACAAATCTTGAACTAAAACCATGGTGTATTGCTTTGATAAAGAAGAAGGAGGAGAATTTTTTTTTCAGGAAAATTTTTTCCGTCCCTCTCACACGACGGAGGAGATTGGGTCACGCACGACTCTTGGAAGTCTAGAAATTACTAGAAGCGGGTTAGGAGCAAGGTGTGGAGATTTGGTGGGTTCAATGTTAGACGAAATGGTCAGCATTGGTTTTGATAAAGATTTCATAGATATTCATTGATTTCGAATTCATTAATTTTGTGGTGGGGTTACTGGGAGTGTGTGATTTATGTACAGGAAGAATAATTCACACTACGAAGGATTAGATCAAAGTATCCCATCAGGATACAATGGGAGCTGCTAAATAAAATGCTTTAAAAATACACTGATACGTCTATATGTTCTCTATGTTTTGAGCTTGTTGTATTTTCACGTTCTTCTCAATGATTGATGACCATATTCCCATGTGCCTTCCTAATTCCTATTAGACTGTTCTGTGAATAGAGGGCACAATGCCAAAAAAAGAAACCACCAAGGAACTCCGAGGAATTCCATCAGAAGGTCATAAGCCTGGAATCGGTAAAACAAAAAAAAAAAAAGAAAGCAATAGGGCAACATGAAAACAAAATCAAACTATTCGGACGACCTCGATTTCTTATCTCTCTTTGAACAATCGGCCATGTTTAATTACAGTTCCATTTTGGGCATAATTCATGCACACACATCAGCTGCAAAAAGTCGAGAGGACAAAATATAAACTTGTAACATCTTTTGAAATATTTCTTTACTTCCTTTTGTCATGACAAAACCCACCAGAACTGCCTCTGATTCGTCACCTTTAATGAAAAGTACCAAATCTGGCATTCTGTCTCGTGCAGCCTCTTCCTTCTCTCCAAGTGTGGTACCCAGCTTCAATTCTACAACTACATGGTGGAAATACAACTATTTGGCTATCCTGTTCGTAGTGATCCCATATTTGGTGTCTATCTTTTTCTCTTGTACGTCTTCAACCAATTGGGCCTCGACTATCTCGGATTTGCTCTTGGTACTCGAGGTGGCATGGACTGTCAAGTTTCTCATGACCTGGCCAACTAATTGGACAGACCAGCTTATTTTGTCGAAACGGAAATTGATTAACTATGTGAATTCGATCGATTTGGTAATTGGGAATTTTCCCAATGGTCCAGAAACTGCGCTCAATTATGAGGTCGCTGCTAGTAATCTCCAGGCTGCTCAGAACCTTCACCGATACCTAAAATATGGTTTCTTGGCTGAATTTGGCGGAGTTCTTGTTTCAGCTCTACTTTTCAAATGGATTTGTCTACAGTTGTCGGCTGTAGATGGTGCCGTGGGCTTCTCGGAGGTCAATATCGCCATGTTTGTTCTATGGGGAACATTCAAGTTGTCCATCCATCTAGCATCTGTAGTTTATGACGAGTCATCTTTCGATTCCGATACGATAGCTGATGGCGGCTACGTGACAGAAATGAATTTGGACTTTGTGGCTAGAGTGATTTGTGAGAGGAGTAATGCTGCTAGGCAGCCACGAATTCGGGTCAAATCTAGTGATGTTTCACAAGTTCCGAACAAAGAGCCCCCGCATATACCGGCTCCCCACATCTTTGACAACTCTTCTATATCGATCATGCCTTTTCCACTCTCGTTATCAAGAAAACTGAAGGTTTTTCCCAAAGCATCCAAAGTGCGGACACTTGCGGCAATTCAAGAAGTGATCGAACATGACGAGATTATTCAGTCACCAAAGTCTGCAAGATGTTTAGCAGAAGTATCTGGAATTCAAAAATACATTCCCAATCCACAAAATCACAAATCTCCTCCGATTCAGGTATCACATCCATATTCTATAACTCCTGGAATCTCACCTGTCCAATGCTGTTTAACAGACACAGATGAATCTTCAGATGTTCCAAGAGCTCTTGGATTTTTTAGGATTTCGATAGCAAAAATTCACCAGTATATGATTGATCCTGAAAACCACAACAGCATCAAGCTCTTTGAATCGCTCTACCAGAAAACTCACCAATCAAGAATCAAAGTGTTCGATTCAGTATGGAACCTATGGGAGTACATCCAGAACTTCGACATGCACAGTGGATTCTTTGGCTTGTTAAACATTGCGATATTACACCCGCTGAAAACTGTTATCAAAATTTTCTACGGGGTTCTTTTCTTGGTTCCTTTCAATTTGGTGAAGTTGGTGGTAGCCATAGTATCCTTTGTTCCTCGTACTCTTGTCCGCATCTTTATTATGGCTCCTATTTATTTGGTTGTGAAATACGCTACAGAGAACGGAAACAGCAAAGGTCTGATCAGCGGAATCCGAGATTATCATGTCCAAAACGGCATTCCCGTCTCTGCAGATCATTTAACCCAATCTATTTGCAGAGCTATACTTGCAAGAATGTCTAAAGATCGAAACAGTTATGCAGGCTAGCGGAATTAGGTATCTCCCATCTCATTACATAAGCACTGGTGATGCTGACAGAAGTGAACCTCACAATCCTACGTTTCAATCAGAAGCTCAAGACTCGATTAGAAATTCTAAATCTAAAGTGGCTCATCTTTACTTTTGAGCCGTGATCTTTTTGTCTCAGAATTGCTCGCGTATCACTGATTCATTAGAAAGACTGGACGTCTTTCACTTCCGAAATAGCCAACAAGCGAAGACCTAAGCAGGCCCGCCCCCCATACCGAAAATATGTTTATCGGTCGAATTACACGGAGGGGCGGAGTGACGATGAGAACTCCGACGCAGAGAATCAGACAACCGACAACTTCGGAAACTGGCAGGATTTCAGTACTAAAACGAACTCCAATATTCGTTCTGTGTATGTGCTAACAAGCCAGAGGCAAGTTAAAGGCAACATATGGCCACGATCGCAATTTGAGAAGGTTGATGTTCTCGAATGGTGTCTCTATCATGGAAGTGAAGCTTACAGAGCAAGGTTGCTCGAATTGGAAGAGGAAGAAAGGAAAAAGAAAGAATCCGCTGGTATGCTAGCACTTCCGCTTGAACTCATCATCCATATTCTCGAAATACTTCAATTCCACGGCAATCTCAGGCCCAAATTCCTCCGTGTGAGCAGGCTCTTTTACATGGTCACCCTTCCCATCATCTACAGGTATCCAATATTGAAGGGAAACAACTTCTTCCAATTTGTCGACACCATTTCGTCTGATAAAAAGATTGGTGAATTCATCCGCATACTTGATCTTTCTAATGTCAACCAATCTGGAAAGAATGCTTTTGTTGCCAAATTATTGAAGAGATCGAGGCCATTTCTCGAATCATTTACTGCACCCCAAACAAGTTTTGGGCTTGGGCCCTTGATGGCCCTCCGTGGTTGCCAACACTTAAAAGTGTTGGACCTTAGGCTCGTTTCTGAGACCTTGAATCTTGAAGAGCTTTTTCATTCCATTCGTCTTTTGGATAACCTCACCCATCTCTCTTTTCCAAGATCGTCCTTGGAGATCAGCAATTACAGTAGCATCAAATGGCCACCCAAACTCGAATTTCTACGTGTTTCTGGAGGAATTTCTGATGATTTTCTTATGGAATCTGAGTTTCCAGAAACCATTTCGCATATGGAGTTTGCCCATTGTCCCAAAGTTCGACATGTTGGCTTCCAGCATTTTCTTTTCAACGTTGGGTTCAATTTGAAATCGCTTCGAGTTCAGTTCCCCATGCCTTGTCTTCAGTCCAACTCTCTCGATATTGTTTTCACCTACTGTCCGAACTTACTTGTTCTTGAGGTGTCGGTGGACTATATGCTGTCAGAGTTTTTCGATGAAGAGTCACTCCCCATGCTTCCTTATCCTCGGCCACTCCGAACATTGTACATAGATAGCAGCGGAATGCTTGGGACCACTGATAAGTTGGATCCATTAGACTTGGCTGTTGCACTTGGGGATGAAAGGCTTCCTAACTTGAAGAATGTACGGTGTACTGCGAAATTGGGATGGGATCCTAAAAGTGACAGCGTGTCGTATATTGCAAGTGAGTTAGATGAGAGGAGAGGAGGGCTTTACATAGGTTACTAAGACGTGAATTGCATTTTTCGGAGTGGGCTGAAGAGTTGTGAAGGTATCACGGAACTATCATTGATAGTATTTGACTACTTGATCCTATTCGACTGGATCAAATTAACCATTGGTTCAAAAAGATGTATCATTTTATCACTATTTATCTCAAGGGAGTATTCATTTTTGCTTTATAAATTCTTCTCGGTACCTTGAAATATTCTCCACCAACATTTAGTCTCACCCTGCACAAAGTTTAACCATGAATTAACACCTACTAGTTTCAACCTCTATCAGCCAATGGCTTACCAAGAAAAACCATCTGGTCTTCCACCCGGATACAAAAGCGGTGGCTTGAGGGCTTACTTCTCCACAACAATTTCACCATCGTTGCAATCTCAGTCCAAATTGAGAGATGTGGACCAATTCTTCCTATTTGGGCTAGGTGGATTAGCGTTTCTTACACGCTTCTACAAACTCCCGGAACCGCCCAAAGTAGTGTTTGATGAGGTGCATTTCGGAGGATATGTTAAGAATTACTTCGACGGTGAGTTTTTCGTGGATGTTCATCCCCCATTAGCGAAACTCATCTATTACTGGATCGCAGTATTGTTCAAATGGAACGGTGAGTTTGACTTCAACAAAATTGGTGATGTTTACGATGTCTCTGTTCCTTTCCTTGCCATGAGATCCTTTTCTGCATTTTGTGGTGCCCTCACTGTCCTTTTGACTTATCTTACCCTCAGGACCTCTGCTTGTCGTCCTTCAACTGCGCTTTTCGGAGCTGTTCTTCTGCTTGTGGAGAACTCGTTAGCCACGCAGTCGAGGTTCATTTTTCTCGATGCTCCATTGATATTTTTCACTGCTTTAGTGACTCTTTTGTTTGGTAAATTCCAATTGGCCGTGCCTTTTTCAGGAAAATGGTATAGATATTTGTTGGCTACTGGACTTGCATTGGGATTGACCATTTCTACAAAGCTCCCCGGTTTCTTCACCCTTGCCTGGGTCGGAGTTTGGTCCTTGTACCGGATCTGGTGCTATGTGGGTGATTTGGATGTGACATACTTCCAATTGTTTGGCCATATCGTTTTCAGAGTCATAGGACTCTTCCTTGTTCCCGTGACAGTATATTGTGGAATCTTCGCTACTCACTTTAGACTTCTTCCCAACAACGGGCCAGGATCTGGGTTCGTCTCCCCTCAATTCCGCGCGGGATTTGTCGACTCTGATATGATCAGAAACACGGCTGTCGATGTGAGCTATGGAAGTACTATTACGGTCAAACACCATAGACTGGACATGTATTTGCATTCACACAAGTACGTCTACAAGACGGGAACAAAGCAGCAGCAGGTTACCATGTATGGCTTTGCTGATGATAACAATAGTAAGTGGGTGATTGAAACTACCGGAGTCAATTATGACAGGAAATTTGACACCAAGTTCCGTGCGATCAAAGATGGAGATTCCGTGAAACTTTACCATAAGCTCACCAAAAAGTATTTGCGTGCTAGTGATGTGCGTCCACCTAACTCTGAACACGACTACTCTAATGAGGTCTCTTGCCATGGTAATAGAACGGACACTGCAGAATCTAACTACGAGTGGAGAGTGAGGATTATCGGGAAGAAACCTCATGCAGAAAACCAGCTTCCTCTTCGAAAGTTGAGAGCTACAGAGAGTGTGTTCCAACTCGTGCACAAGGGGACAAACTGTGTTCTAATGGGCCACGGTACTCACCTTCCTGGGTGGGCCTTCCACCAGAACCAGGTCCTTTGTGTGAACGATCCTACCATTGCCAATACGTTGTGGTATATCGAGAACAACAACCATATAATCATTGACAACGATAATGCAACCTATCCTAGAGTCAAACTCCCGGAGCTTCTGTTGTTCAGAAAAATCTTGGAGTACCACCACTCGATGTGGAGAACCAATAATGGATTTGTCAAAGAACATCCTTACCAATCCATTCCATTTAGCTGGCTATTTGATATCAGGGGAATCAATTACTTTAGCAACGGCCATGGGAATGAGAAGTTGACTGATGAGGATGGTAGTCACATCTACTTTCTTGGGAACGTGGTCATCTACTTTACGGGAGTATTTGTGATTTTGCTGTTCGCAGCCAAATTTGCATTATACTTTTTATGGCACTTGAACCCTTTCAAGATCCCTAACGAACAATTTTCAGAGACAAAGTTTTATTTCATCTCCTTGCAGTATGTGACAGGCTGGTTCTTCAACTTTTTTCCTTATTTGCAAATGAGCCGTCTGCTATTTGCACACCACTATTTGCCAAGTGTGTTCTTCATGATCTTAGTCATTGCACAGTTTATGGAGTATCAGTCCACATTGCGTCCTATTACTGCTAATGCTCTAATGGTCATCATAGGAGGAGCTTCAATCTTCTTCTTTGTCAAATTTTCACCCTTGGTGTACGGTCTGCACTGGACTGTCAGTCAGTGTCAGCAAGCTAAGTGGTTCCCAACCTGGGATTTTGATTGCATGGCTTATAGTCACTGAAAAATGTAACCTCGATAATTTGATAATAACTTGATAATTACGACCACATCTTTGTAGACTATGTTCGAGTCCGGTAAATGCCTCCAGAGACATCCACTATAAGATCTTCACACCACTTGAGAAGTTCGTCCTTCTCTTTGATTTTCGCGCATCTATCCTTTTCCGTCTGCTCTAACTCATTGATCAAATCATTGATAATCTTAAGCTGTGTTTCAGGTAGCGTACCAATTCCTGGTAAGGAATCAATGATCATGCTTATTTGTCTGGATTTCAAAATAATGTCTGTGGAAAGTTCATTAATGACAACTTCAAATGGCGCCTGTGGAGCTGATCCACTGGGAGCAGAGTTCGCTTCACTGTTCTCTTGGTCTTTTTTGCCTGGTAATGGAGCGTTGGCAGCTACATTGATAACTGAATTGGGGTCTGCGTCCAACGGGGCAAGATCGCTTTGAGTGTTCACATAATTAATCGTCGCATTGAACTGTGCCACTAATTGATCCAAGCATACCTGGAGCTGTGTAAGCCTGTCAGCCATGTTGGATGATGAGGTATGAATAGTGGTCAAGATCTTTGGAAGTCAAGTCAGTGTGTCTGCAGGAGAAGAATTGGAATATAGACATTGACAGAATATGGACCGCTACGAAAGTAATTGCAATGTTGACATTCATATTATGATGATAATTCTAGTAAAATTTTCTCTTGGACGATTCTGGTTAATATTGGATCAAAACCTGTTTTTTGCTTAGATATTTTACTGTTTGCTTTAGCTCTCTGATTGCGAAAACTACAAGAAAAGAGAAATCTTACTAACGTCTTGAAACTCAACAGTAAAATAGATTATTATTCTTATTATTGTCAATATTGTTATTATTATTATTATTACTACTACTATTATTATGCTTTCCACAAACATTCTGACTATGTTACACGGAATGTTGATTATCCCTTTTCAATTTCGCAGCCTATGATCCAATATTAACAGTGAGATACATTCGTACATGTCAGAGCATACGGAAAAAATAGAGAAACTACTGAAAGTTTGATCTTCAAGTTAAAGTATTTGTTGATTTTATAGTGTGTTGTCTCATTTTCAGGAGTCAAACATTGCTAATCAATGCTCGAAAGTGCTAAAGAATACTGAACAACTTCGCATATACAAAATGACCATATTATCATATCCACTGGATGTAGAAAAAGATCACAAAAGTCCACTAAAATAGTTGATTGAAAGCCAAATAGTCAATTATACTGATTTTACGCCTTGTCACATTTGCAGACACAAAGCCACAGCCACAAACACAAATAACAAACCCGTACACCAAATATGGAAAAACCTTTACATCAAGGCATAAAACCCAAGCCTCCTCTTAGTTAAGATCTACGGTATCGAAATACTCACAAAGGAATACAGCAGAATGGTTTGATTTTCCATAGACAAAGAAAAAATGATAATAAGCCAAACAATTTAACCAACTAAGACCACTTAACATACTTTCTGGCTCTCTACATGACCGAAACTATGTGAAACCTATCCCCAAACTCAGGAGCTATATGTATCCTGCACACACCAAATTACGTTTTGAAATGCCCCTCTTCCCTTCTTACTAACAACAAAAGGTTGACAAGGAAATATGCCCAATATAGAAAATATTTGAAGCTTAAAGGACTAGAATCAATGATAAAAAACCATTTTAGTTCTTTTGTAACTACAACCGGATCCAGTAAATTCTCACAAGATAAGATCATCCTGCATGTATCCGATGGCTTCTCCAGGTTTCGATTATGACGCACCTCCGACTAACATACTACGAGTAATCAACTACCTTTCTTTCTGAAGTCTTGTGTTTCCTTTGAGCTTTCTAAATTCGTTAATGTTACTGCTCTGTTGTTTCTGAATTCTCTTCCTCCACCATGTCTGAAACTCCCATCTGGCAACCAGACAGTGATGCAAGCAGCTGTGTATTATGTGATACTCAGTTCACTCTATTTAACCGGCGCCACCATTGCAGAAAATGTGGACGGGTTGTCTGTGCAACGTGCTCAGCCCAGCACATCAACTATTTCCCTAACTCTCGTGTTCTATTACCCGATAATACTCTGGTGAGAGCCATTCCTCAAGATCACTACAGAACATGCGACGAGTGTGTGGAAGAGGTACGGATGATTCGGAGAGCTCTCTTTGAGTCGCCAATATCAGAGGCGCTGCCGAGTGCTTCCCATGCTCGTTCACCAGATTTGGAGGACACTCCAGAGTTCGAACGCCACAGTGGTGCCTCCATCACCAAGTACGCCTCTCGTGTGGGCACCGCCGCCATGGATCTGACCTCGACACTCGATACCCGTAACGGCGACACCGACAGCGATGACAATTTGTGTCCCGTGTGTGGTGTAGACTTGTTGAAACTGTATGTTTCCGAGGTGAAACTGAAGAGACGAGAATCCAGCCATTCAGACTATGAGGCGTTCAAGGAGAGCCATATTAGTGAATGCTTGGTGGCATTTGACTTCGCAAATGATCACAATCGGCTTGGCTCGCCTCCAGGAGCATCCTCAACCAGAAATCGAATGTTGGTCTACAACATACCTCCTTTCCCCAAACCTAGCTATGAAATCATCGACGTCCATCAGAGCACTTCCGTGGACACACTTCCACAACTGGACACAGCTTGCGGTCTGGTGACATCAAATTCCACTGTCCAACTCGAGAAGGACGTTACAGATTTGGAATGTGTGATCTGCTTAGAAGAACTCAGGCCAGGTGATAAAGTGGGACGCCTCGAATGTCTCTGTGTGTTCCACTACAAATGCATCAAGGACTGGTTCAATAAGAAAGGCTACGGTGAGTGTCCAGTGCATTTCTTGCATCATTAGTTGGTGTACCTGGGTCATGCCCTCAATGGTTGGTTAAATTTTGGGCAATGTGATAGATTGTTTCAGTTCTACTCTCTATAAATTAATTGGAATCTTTTCTTAATAGCTCTCAGTAATTATGTTGATTTACCCGTATATAATATGCTGTTCCCTCATGCTAAAATATCGACTGTTGCTAACGTTCTTCACGATCAGCGTCATCCCTGGATTTTCTCTTACCCCCCTTCTTCTCGTGGAAATCCTTTGTCTGCTTGATGGCCTCAGCAGTGGCTCTGTCCACATGAACATGCAATGCATCTAAGACATCCTTAGGAGGAGCAGGATCCTTTGGAAGCTTTTTCTGCAACACGGCCTCGATTCTCAAGTACATTTCCAAATCATATTGAGTAACCAACGAGATAGACTTACCAGATCTTCCAGCACGTGCGGTACGACCGACTCTATGAATGTATGCCTTTGAGTCAGTAGGAATGTCGTAGTTGATAACTACATCCACGGAAGGAATATCAAGTCCACGAGCGGCCACATCGGTTGCAATCAAGATGTTAGCTTTTCCCGACTTGAATTTGTTTAAAGAGCCCAATCTCTGGGACTGGGTCAACTGGCCGTGAAGAGGAACAGCAGAAAAACCCAAGATTCTGGCAAGCAATGCTGTTCTTTGAGAATGTGCACAAGTTCTAGTGAAAATGATGATGGATTTTCCCATGAACTCATTAAGAAGGTGGATCAAGTAAGTGTTCTTGTATCCGTCGCTAACCAACATCATAGACTGAACCAAGTTGTCAGCCGTCTGGTACTTCGAAGAGACAGCAATACGAACTGGATTACGCAAAGAAGCTCTCTGCAACTTCTCGATCTTGTTGGTCATGGTGGCAGAAAAGAGATAGGTGTTTCTCTCCTTAGGAATCACACGGAAGATCTTATCGAGCTCTGGACCGAAATCCAAGTCCAACAAACGGTCGGCCTCATCCATGACTAAATACTTCAAGTTTCTCAAGTTAAAGCCCTTGGTGTGCTCCAAGTGGTCCACAATTCTACCTGGAGTTGCAACAATGATGTGTGGCTTTCTCATCAAGTCTCTTGCCTGGTCCATCATGTCCATTCCTCCCACCACACATGTGGTCCTAAGACCCATCGACGAGCCTAAGGCATCGAAAGTCTCCTTGATCTGGTAGGCCAACTCTCTTGTTGGAGCCAAGACAAGACCATAATAAGGAGTCTGGTCATTCCAAAGCGACTGCAAAATTGGAATGGCAAATGCAGCAGTTTTTCCGGATCCAGTCACTGCAAGACCAATGATATCTTTACCTTCCAAGGCATGTGGGATGGCTTCTGCCTGAATTGGTGTTGGTTTAGTGAACTTCATGCCCTGGATGGATTCCAAAAGCTCTGGAATCAACTTGAGTTCAGAGAATGACTCAAACTTCTTGCTTCCATCATTTACACTAACTTCCTCAATAGCTGAAGATACTTTGTCTTCATCGGAAGGTTTCTGGCCCAACTTTTGCTTCAAAGCATTTTTCTTGATTTTCTCTGCAAGTGCTAAAGCATCCGTTGATCTGTTGTGAAGCTTGGATCGTTTTGCTGTTTGTGCTTTGATAGCCATGATTATCTGTAACTATCTTTTTTTTTTTTTTGTCACAATACATTTTTTTTGATATCGGTCTGCATACAACACACAGTACTAGCAACTTCCAGCTTCTCTATTTCGATATTGAATATTGAAGTGGCAAAACAAAAAGAATGAGAACAGTATAGAAGCTCAATTAGAATTCTGAGCTACCCAAATGACAAAGTATCCTGGAAATTCAGCGGTTTCAATCACTACCCCAAGCATGGTGTACGGATGTTTTGAGCACACATCAGACCCCATCGCGATGAGTAGAACCTTCACCTTTTCCATACTTTCCCCAATATCTCAAAATGGCCAAGAGAAGAGTCAAAAAGAGAACACACCAGCCTCAGGACCCTGAGCAGCTTGCGAAAATCCCCAAGTCAATGGTGCTTGCCCTTGGTGAGTCACTTAAAAACCACTCGTTGGCACAATTGGTGAAAGATTTCCGTCTTGTCATGCAACCCCACACAGCTATTAACTTAAGGGAGAGAAAGGCTAACAAGTTGAAGGATTTCATCGTGATGACGGGTCCTCTTGGTGTGTCCGACCTTTTTGCATTCAAGCAATCCGAGTCTTCTGGAAACATCTCCTTGAGAATTGGTAAGATGCCCAAAGGTCCAAGTTTACAGTTCAAAGTGCACTCATACTCGTTGATGAAGGACGTCGGACGCATTTTGAAGCATCCAAAATCGATGGGAAAAGACTCGTCAGCATTTCATGAACCACCATTGTTAGTGATGAATGGATTTTCCACGAAAATGAATGAGATGGAGAACCACGAAAAATTGATGATCACAGTGTTCCAGAACCTTTTTCCACCCATCAAGCCTCACGAGACTAGAGTGAGCACCATAAAAAGAGTGTTGTTGCTTAACAAGAGCGCCAACGGAGAAATCGAATTGAGACACTATGCCATTAACACGAAGTTGGTGGAGGAGAGCAGGAACATCAAGAAGTTGATCAACTCTCACCACAACATGAAGAAGAAGTTGCCTGTTATGACTACGCATAAGGATATATCCGATTTGGTCTTGGATCCATATTCTGTTGGCGGTCTTACCTCGGATTCCGAAATGGAGGACGAAGCCGTTGTGGAGATCAAGAACGAGCAGGCCAACTTAGTCAAAAAACAGGAGTCATTGCCTACGTCAACCACAAGAAAGAGAGCCATTAAGCTCAGTGAGTTGGGCCCAAGAATCAATATGAGTTTGATCAAGATTGAGGAGAACATGGTGGGATCCTCCAAAACCATCTATCATGCACATGTTCATAAGAGTGCCGAGGAGCAGAAGAAGATGGAGAAGCATCATGAGGTGAAACAGCAAGAGAAGGCTGCTAGAAGAGCGCAGCAAAAGGCCAATGTGGATGCGAAGAATGCTAAGAAGAAGGCCAAGAAGGACAGAAAGGCAGCATCCAAAATCGGTGAGACTGGAGACGATGAGAATCAATCCGACAGTGGAGATGAGCCTGAGCTCAACCCCAGCGACTACGAAAATGACAGCGATCTTTTCAGCGATGCCAACTAGACTTATTTGATCATTAAATATAGCATTACGTTTCTATTTCCTCGATAAGCGCAAGGATTCTCTGCTGTAGATTTATCACCTTAACAGAATCGGCTAGAGCCCTCTTGAAGTGATCTTGCGCGGTCCGCAATTGATAAGGAACCAACCCGCCAAACTGGTTAATTGGATTCTTGTAAGTCTGAGTTTTTCTCGTAGGATCTTTGGAAGATTCTTTGGACTCGAAGTCAACCGTCACTTTACTCTGTGTATCCTTGACTTTGCTTTTACGGTTTCGAAGTTCACCTGTAGATGTGCTGACAGATGTAGACTCGACGATACCATCGTCCACCTGTTTGTGTTCTTTCCCCCCTGAAGTTATCTGTTCTCCTTTCACAATCTCATTTTGATCTTCCTTCATTTCATCTTCGTTCGCCCTCTTATCTCTATCTTTCTTCTCACTCACCTTTCGTTGCTTTTCTCTCTCGTTCTGGGCTTCCAAACGATCGATCACGACCAACTCGCCATCGTTGGCCACTATGGTACATGCGCGATACGGTCTTAGGTCAAAGGAGTCCACACCATGTCTTTTTGTTCCATTGTAGTTTGCTCGGCTCAAATCTTGGAACCCTTTGACGTAATTCAAACGCATGGAATCATTTGCCAACTGTTCATATTCATCAAGAAGCTCTAAGAGTTGGCTGACTTTGGAGTCTTCCTCGGCCAATTCTGGTGTAGATGAGCCCGGAGATAATATATATGAAGATACAGACACTTCTGCTAGCTTCTCGGTGACAGCTTCAACAGACATTGGTGATCGTAGTTTGTCTTGGGTTGAAGTATGTGCGCAGTACCTTAACAGATAGCAGGTCGAACCAGATAAAACGATTGTGTTCGTGGAGGAAGAAAATAAAATTTTGACCACAAATTATTTAATTATTGGATGTAAAGTAAAAGCTACACTGAAATTTGTGTTGGGTGTTGGATTTTAGACATTTCTTTAAGTGGGCATATGGAAATTCAACAAGCAGCAGAATTTACAAAGAAAGTGCAGCTGCTAAAGATACATAAGGAAGAGAACAAGCAAAACAGCATGCTCCAGTACAACTTGGGGCTTCTCACAATTTAGTATAATGTTGTTTTCTGTATTAGCATATTGTAAATAGTAGGCAGAAGCACTTTAAATCTTGTAGAGCCTCTTCAACCGATTGAATTCAGTGCGAGGAAGAACTTCCCCGAAAGAGACCGTATCAGTTGGAGTCAGAGAAATGAGGCGTGATTCTGCTTCTGATCTTTCCTTTTTCCTCATTTGGTTGCCGTGGTGCCAGATGCTCCAGATCAACTCCTCCTCTCCCAACTGGCGATTATTCTTCGACTTACCTAAGTAAACTACCTCCGACAAGTCATGTAAGATGTTGGCGGTAAGTCCCCAGACGTCGTAGATCCTTTCGTTGGTGGTAGAGTCTCTGCGAGAGCCCAATTTGCCCCAACTAGACAAATCCTTCTTTCTTCTCTTAGTATGTGAGCATTCCTTTCCCAAAGGGGGTGTTTGAGCCCTTTTTTCCACTTCGTCTACAGACTCTTCACCCTCAGAGATCTCTGATGCCGACAAGTCGTCAAAACCACGGAGCCAGCTCACCTCTTTGTCGTTTGTCTGAAGAAAAGTATATGACCTCAAATGCCATGGAATGCCTCCCCATTTGACCAAATAGTGCGTTCTTTCAAGTGCTTCACGTGGAAGTTCATCAGATGCTGGAAATAAAAAGTCCCGGAGTGGACACGAAAAGATACTGGAGCTTTCGCCCGGATTGACTCTAAGTTTCAAGTTATGCAAAAGATCCGGCTCAGACAACTTGGGGTCAAACTTCATGAATCCGATACATGGTCTGACGGCAGAGAACGTCCGGGACAAGTAACAAGGTAACTCGGCGACGTGGTCAATGGTGAATCCGTAGTTTTTCAAGAGGAGATCATTATCTTCGCTGAGACCTATCTCCTCGCTCATTTCACGCCGTGAAACCTGCCACGGCAGCTCCTGAGCAGTGTCAGCTTTTCCACCAGGCAAGGAGATGTGGCCCGGGAAGTTGCGGAGCCTCGATGACCGCTTAGTCAACACCACACGTAGTTCCCCAAACTGGCCCATGAAGAGAAGAATGAACACCGAGGCTCTGCGAACCACGGGCAAACGGCTCCAAATGGAGGTGGGCAGCAACTGGTAGTGGCTGGGAACAAAGTGTTTGATATTTTCTAGGAAAGATTCTTCCATTGCAGGAGGCATTGGAGACTGTGGCAGAAGATTCAGTGATTGGAAACGGGCAGGATCACGTGGAATCTGGGGAAGGAGAATGTGTAGGATTCTTGAGGAAGTAAGTCAAGAGAAAGCACAAGTTGGGACGGGATTTATGGTGCATAACGTTAAGATTCGAATAGAGAATAAATCTAGAGTGAATTTGACTTTCTTTGATGGACCACTCTCACTACCTATCGAGATGGTGTATAAATACCTTAGGTACTAGAGGGAGTGTAGAGGAAGTGAAGGGGAAGTGAAGATAAGGAGATAAATTATTTACATATGGAATCTGGAGTGCTATACTGAATAAGAAAAAAAAAACAAGCCTTACATGTATCTAAATTCTTCAGTTTCCAATAATGTAGTTACTCTCAAAATAATTTCGATTACTCTCGGAACATTCGGGTGCAAAATATGAAAATGTTGCAGAGGTTTCAAAGTCTCGCATACAACCTCCACTTTACGTGTCAATGAACTTATGCAAATCAATTCTATGAAATATATGGTGAAGAAGAGAACGAAATGTTAATTCTGCCATAATTGTAGCTGATGTCATAGGTTTCTTCGATCAGTTATTGGAATACGAGCTGTTTTTCCCAACAACAGTAGTTATACCTTGTAAGAATTGACCTCTCAACCACTTCTTCTCGGCAACCCAAACATTGACACTGTTGGTTCTGGATCATGCAATAATTGGCATCTCTAGAAGAATGAAGTAATTAGACCTCCCGTGCGTCGAGAAGCAATAGAGAAGCAATAGAGAAGCAATCTTGTACAGCTATGATTGTCATTGACAGTCAAATATTGGCACAGCCTCAAGATCGACATCCACCTCCTCAATCAGCGCAGGCGTTTGTAGAATTAATTTGCCTGTTGGCATTTTCTGTTTGGCCTAGAAGATATTGGGATATGCTAAAAATATAAAATTCCTGTACTGTTAACGAGTAGTGAACTCAATACTTGAAGCACCAGTCAAAACGGGACCCTTCTCGGTGCAATTTTTTTCTTCTGTTCTGGGATGAAATATGAAACCACAAGTCGGCATGAAGTCCCATGATTTTTTTCTTTTTGGTTGATGTTTGCCGATTGATGATCGTTATTGGCCACACTGTCTCTTGCCTTTGTAGATGTTGTAGATGTTTGCCCATTGTAGATCTTCATCGGCCGAACATTATTTACCGACTTTCTTTTTGCCCGTTGAATGACCAAGATACAGCCACGGTGGTCCATAAATATGGAGTAGTGGCCTAGTGTGGACTCAAACTTTGAAACGGATGATTTCAGTACTGCTTTTACTACTTTATCTTTTAGCGTTCACCAATGCATACTTGCGAATGGATCTTTCCAAGGTGTCAGAGTCAGATACTCAGCACTCTAAAAGAGATGCAGTGAACGGAAAAGTTTCCAATAGAAATTCCTTTTATACAGCCCAGTTCAAAGTTGGGTCAAGGAGAGATGAAGTTGAGGTGTTTCTTCATTCTCAGTTGAATGGATTGTGGTTCCCTTACTCAAGGTGTGACAGGCCTAGTTCCATTTATGATGATTTAACACGCAGAAATACAATTGATCTGTCGGAATGCTATGATTATGGAACCTTTAACCCTAAGAACCTGACCACATTTAGACTCTCTGAGAAGTATTTCGAAGTATTTTGGGATTACTATACTGCAATTGGATACTTAGGAACAGATGTGGTCGAATTCGGAGATACTTCTTCAAATATTACATTTGGTGTGGGATATTATGCTAGAACGATTGGTCAACTTGGTTTGGGTTTCCAGTATGACTCAACACAATCTAACTTTACTAGCTTTGGGGATCAGTTGGTCAAAGATGGCGTTATATCGCGAAATGCTTATTCACTTCAATTGGGTGCAAACAATGCCTCTGATGGTGTCCTAATGTATGGAGCTGTGGATCACGGCAGATATCACGGCACCCTTCAAAAAATGAAAATGGTCAATACTAGTGCAGATGGACAATTTGATGCGATACTGATCAACTTCGATGGCATTCTGTACTCAGGTGGTTGGAATTCATCAAACTGTTCTGTTAACATTGATATCGCAAGAGCTGGGCTGCGCCTTCCCAGTCCTGTTGTTCTGAAATTAGCAGAATTGCTCCATGGTTTTTATTATTACATCGACACATCCTCTTATCAAGTTCCTTGTTTCAATTTGGAACTGAGAGATGTAATTCGCTTTTACTTCAGTGGGGTTGAGCTTCAAGTGCCAGTGAGAGATTTGGTGACTCAAAGTTATTCAAGATGCTGGCTTTCAATAGGCGAAAGGAAACAAGGACCATACTTCATTGGCCAGGACATCTTGAAAAGTGCTTACCTAGTTGTTGATTTAGAGGGTAGAGAAGTTGCGATGGCACAAGCAAATGCTATTTCTAACGGTGAAAACATTGAGGAAATCGGAACCGATATCCCACTGGCATCGGAAGCTCCATTATATTCATATAGTGAGGGTCAAGACAAATACTACACGACTCACTCTCGAGGATATACCATCACTCAAAGAGTTTCGGCGAGTGCTGAGAATCATGCCACCTACTCAATGGACACTAGTCCCTTGACACTAGACGGAGGTGGAACAAAATACGTTCAATCTGCTACAGAAGAGTACTGGCCAACTGAAAAAACGGTTGTGACCACAGAGACTGGGTCTATTCCTAAGTATATTTCCTCTAAGGTTAAGGCAACAGGAACCTATACTCACACTACCACAGATGACCTGGGGTAGAGGCTGTTTTGACAAGTACTTACGAGTATACGGATTTGACTACTACTAAAACCGAATGGAAAAAGCGCACTTGGACCTATACTTATTTAACGACGGTATCTGTTCTTGGTGCACCTCGGCGGGAGGATTTTACTAGCGAATCTAGCAATCCTGGTGTGGTTACCAAGTACCTGCCATCTATTATTTTTTTATTATTGTTAGCACTTTTATAGCATACCAACGTGTGAAAATGTGAGATTATAGCATTCAGTCATTGAGCTGAGAGGTTTGATTCATCAAGAAGGGCAATTTTCTTTTTTCTTCCACCTTTGATATTGTACGGTTAGTTGCCAACACGCAACTGAGGTCACATCAAGATGAGCGAGTTGAGATTTACCATATCGTCTCTAGGTTATGATTGTGTGATCTTGAATTTAGAGATGGAGGTTCAAAGAGGCATTAGACTGTTTTTCTATCTTTAACTCCCTTTCCATACGAGTTGCGAGGTTGCAAAGTTGAAACCCACAAAGCATTGTTGCAGATTCTAGCTACATGTCCATTAACGTATGCAAATCAATTCTATAAAATATATGCTAGTGATAAAGAACGAAATGTCCCCTGGACTTAATCTCTCTCCAAGAGGACTGGCCACTCGTTGATGTCGGCATTGTTGTAGATAATGTCGTAGGTTGCTTCAAACAATGGGAACTCGGCCTGCAAGTTGTAGTTCTCCAACAATTCATGAACCTCCTTGGCAGTGATGATTCCTTGAGAGGATTGGCCGTTTAACAACTTCTTCTCGGCCTCCCATGCATCGACCTTGTTCTCAATCATGTAACGAGCAACCTTAACGTTTCTACCTCCAGAACAGGTGGTGATCAAGTCAGCAACACCAGCAGACTCCTCGGTGAAGGTGGTGGACTCAGGTGCACTCAAGCCCTTGATTCCAAACTTCTCCCAGTACGATGCAAAGTGAATGATTTCCTTGATACCAATTCTCATGATGGCAGCCTTAGCATTGTCACCCCAACCGGCACCCTCGACAAATCCAGCAGCGCATGCGACAACATTTTTTAAAGCTCCGGCAATAGAAGCTCCAATAACATCCTGAATCACTCTGACGTGGAAGTATGTTCTGTGGAAGGCCTCCTTCAAGATGTACTCATCAATGTCCTTACCTTCACCTCTGAAGTCGGAAGGAACATTGTATGCAATGGAGGTCTCAGACCATCTACCTTTAGCAACCTCGTTGGCAATGTTGGCACCCGACAAGGCACCACAGTAGATGCCCAAGGTGTCAGTGATGGACTGCGATAACAACTTGCAGCCACTAGCATCCACCTCCAAACCCTTAAGACAGGAGATAGCTCTGGCAGTAGGTGAAACCTTTCCGACTAATTGCTTGCAAATTCTAGGCAAGAACTGATGAGGAATGTTGAAAATCAAGAGATCAGCATCCTTAACGGTTTCCACAATGTCTGGGTTGGCAACCAAGTTTTCTGGCAACTTAATTCCTGGCAAATACTTGACGTTCTCATGTTCGGTGTTAATGATCTCCGTCAAATTCTTACCGTCAACCTGTTCTTCGAAAACCCACATGTTAACATCCTTCTGGAAGATTTCTGGCTTCTCAGCACAGTTCTCAGCGACGAGCTTGGCCACAGCAGTGCCCCAGTTACCGGAGCCGATAATGGCGATCTTGAATGGGGAAGCGATTTTGTAAGGAGTAGTAGTCATTGTGATTGTTGATGAATTGAATGAGAAAATGGGATTGACCTTGCTTTATATATGATTAAGTGGTTGTGAAAAGCAACGGAACATCTAGTCTATGCTTTTTCCTTATGTACACGACAATCCTGCATCAGTTTTTCCGATGCGATTGCTGAAACCAATAGGCAATGTAACATTACATCATGAGGCAACAGCCAATTTTGCCCACGTATTTTCCTTTTGACAATTGGTCTGAAGGATACAATAATCTCACAACCTCTAAGTTTCTTTTTCCAGACACGATAGCTCTTTACGGCGAGAGTTAATCCGGATCAATCTTGTAGGCATTTGCGTGTCAAGTCAGATAAAGATCAAATTTCCCAGAAGAGTGGCACCGTGCTTCCATAAACTTTCACGTTATCGAACATATCCCTATCTGGCACCTTGAGCCATGCACCTGCACCATTTATCCCAAATGTTTCTTCAATTCGGCACGAAACGAGGTACTAATAACACTCCTTGAGCGTTTCAGGTATATTGTCGTCATTGATATTTACGGACCTTTGGGCCGTTTCGTCATTCCTGCACTGGTTTCTGCATTCTAAGTTCAGGTGACGTATCGCCGGATAAACAAAGCATCTAGACTCCAGATCCGTTGTGAATCAAGTTGGAAAAGCAATGAGCACACAGATTTTCTCATCGTAAACGCCGAATCACTTCAACTCCGGCTTCGTCGGCTTCATTGATAGTCAAATGTCCACATTTGGCAGTATTCTTGATTAGTGAAAATCGTCATCGTTCCGGTAGTCATCGTAGACATCTTGCCACTCTTGTGGCATAATACCCTGCCTTCCCCGCGGCCCACGAGTCAGCCATGTCTCATTCTCTTCCCAGTCGCGACCATTAACTTGACCTCCACTTATAATCTTGGCGGCCTGAAGCGGCGTTAGGTTTGAAGGCAAAGTACCGTCTTTGATATGTGCCAATGGGTCTGGCAAGTGGCTAGTGACATTTTGTGATTCGTTGGTGACTCGTGGTGGTGCCTGTGTATCTGTTGATGAGCCAAAGTACCCAGCCAGATGCACTGGGTGATGATAATCAGGCTGCGACTCCTTTTCATGCTTGAGTGGGTCACTTAAATGGTTTCGGATATCTTCACCCGATGACTTCTCCACTAATTTGTCGCCCTCCTTGGAAAGTTCCACTTGACGGTTGGAGATCAGAGACATGAGTTTGAGAAAGTCTGACTGATGAAATTTTGAGGACGTCTCCTCCGAGGTCAAATTCTTCTGAGAAATCATGGACTTCTTCACTTGTCGAGCTGCCTCTGCGAACTGCTCCTTCTCGGACTCATCAATATCGGTTTCATTGAGTTGATCCATAGATTCAGCTTCTTCCAACATTTCCCTCTCTAACTGGTCGAAATGGCTGTCAAACTTGGCACTATCCACTTCTGCCGAACCATTGATTTGCATATTGCTTTCGTGTTCCTCACCAAACTGTCTAAACTGCTGGTCGTACCCCATCATGGGCCTGTAGCCTTGAAACTGGGACAGGTTCTGGCTCTGAAACTGGCCTTGGAATTGGCTCTGGTTTTGGTGCTGAATGTTCTGCTGATGCTGAATGTTCTGCTGCATGAACTGCTGGTGCCAGTCGGACTTCTGTGTTCCCATGGCTGGGGCAGGTCTTTGATTTACCTTATCTCCGAGAGATAAGCTGTTGAAGTCTTGCACCCATGCCTGGTTGCCCAAGCCGCCCATTTTCTGGAGCGGCTGACCGGACAACGGCAGATGTACCTGTGGTCGTTGGGCGGCAAACTGGGGCTCAAACGACATGCCTCCGGCGTTAAAGCGTTGAAACTCCTGGTTGAGATTGTTGTCCACCACTCCATGGCTACGGAAGCCATTCTGCTGAATGTGATTCTGGCGACCCGCAAAGTCATTCTGGAGTGACGAGTCTCTTTGCGTGTGCTTGGAAAGCTGAGTCAAGGCATTAGATGGCCCACAACTGGCGTCCATGGTTTAGTGAAGTGTTGACTGTGATTATAGGGAACTTCAGGGAACGAGAAAGTATATGACGCCGCAGATTATAGTTTTAGGGGTGTCTTCTTTGATCTGTGGGATTTACTGTCTTTAGAGTCAGAATATACCAGGAAAATGGCTGTTATATATAGTTGGAGGCTGACATATATGGGGAAAAAAAATCCTGTGATAGTTCCTCGGCCTGTGTTATCTACAGGATCTACCCCATGGTGGGGCAACCATGTGTATGACCATAACTCAAGAATCATGAGCAGTTCAGTGGATAAATTAAAATGGAAAATGATCGAGAAGTAGCAGAAGCAAATGATAATAAAAAAGAAAAAAAAAAAAGGCAAAGGTAATCAAGGTTGAGAGGGTGAAGAACTATTGGGAAGAAGGAAGAAAATACGAAATAGATAAGATGTCCATAGGTTGACTTTCGCAACCATTGAAACCTTATCTCTTTTCCATATCTTATATCAATAATTTTTCAAGGTAATCTAGAAACTTTTACTACAATGTCGAATATTCCACAACAATCTCGTTCAATGTCTCATTCCGATTGTTATGTATCCATCCTATTCATGTCATACTTCCTTCCTCATTTCCATCCTTCGTTGGCTTCGCTATCGAATAATTCAGTGTATGCCTCTCCAAGAAACTCATGGACATTAGACGTCTGCATGGCTCTCCTATATTTCTCAAAAGCCTTGAAGCTGGCCAATCTCACCAACGAACACGCAGCAAATACAGCCAAGATCGACAGCTCGTCCTCGTTCAACTTCTGTTTGGGTTCGCCCCAAAAGCCAGCCTCATAGTGCTGTGCCCAGAGCAATAAAGTAGCCATTGCTCCTGTTAAAGTATCGCCTTGACCTCCGACTCGGCGAACTGAGCCCGCCATATTATTGACTAGAAAGCTGGAGTTCCGAGCAATCACTTCGTTTTCGCCTTTTCTAACTACAATGACTCCTCCCAATTTCTGAGACACCAACTTGGCAGTCTCAATAGTATCAGAATCGTCGATAGATAACGCACTGCAGATGCGACCAAACTCCACCACGTTGGGAGTGATCACGGCCTTGCTGTAGCCTTGGATGATCAGAGGCTTCACTGAGAGCAAATATAGCGAGTCTGCATCAAGAATTACCGGTTTATTGGCCACCTTGATCTCCTCTACTACTCGAATGAGTGTTTTGAGCATCAATGGGTCGCGACCAAAACCAGGACCCACAATGAACATGTCAATTCGATCAACCAACGTCATCACTTTTGGCAAGATGTGTTTCTCAATGATTAGGTCCAAATCCTTCAGCTGTAATGCATCCTCAAGCAGCTTTGACTGCAACTTTTCCCATACTTCTCTTGGAGCAAACCTTTCCACCTCAGGATTCAGAATGTCGTAGAGATACGGATGAACCATTAAGTCTGGAGAGTAGCTCTTGATAATGGGAGCAGCAAGCTTTTCGCATACAATGTGGCTCAAATCAGCACCAACCAAAGCTGCCGAATGACACGAGAAGAACGGTGCCCCCGTATAGTCTTCGCAGCCACCAAAAACTGCCACCTTGCCAGCTTGGCCCTTATAGTACGAGGGTTTCAAAGGCTGGATAATTGTGCGGGCCAACAGGAGAAGTTCTTTCTGAGATTTGCCTCTGAGCATTGTGGGGGAGATTTAATGATTTCTTTAAGGTAATATGTGGCCAGAATTGTTAATGGGCCAGAATTGCCAGAATTGCTGTTTGACACTAAATAAGATAGTATGAGCGAATACAGTGTGTGCAAGATCAGATCGGATCTGTGGGAGAGATAGTTTGGAGTAATGAAGCAACAAAGGAAAAAAAGATACAGTCCATAGAAAGAAAAGGGAATGGATAATAGAAAGGGAACCAAAAATTGAAGGAAAAGTATAAGTATGGGGAGAAATTAGAGGTATAAAAGAGAAATGAAGGAAACTTGAGTGAGAATTGGAGGAATGGTTGAAAATGGTGGAAAATGACGACACAAGATCGAAAAATATCGTGGATAGCCACAAGAAATCAACGTTAGATGCCATCACATAGTGGCTAGTGAATTGCTCATGTTCCTTATAATTACATGCCAAATCGCCCTTATTATTATGATTGGTCCGTAAGTCCCGTGGATCCTCACTGCCCCCCACATTTCTAACATGCACTGAGACAAGTAGTAAAATATTCAAGTTGATGACTAATGTAGTACTTTACACTCATGCAATTGCGCCTCCACAACAATTGTACCTTAATTTTTTAGAAAGTCACAGGAAAACTTCCCATCTCAATTTTATATTTTAAGCCTAGTTTATATTGGGCCATGTCGGGTTGCACTCTTGCACTTTTCCGAGCATCCAAACCTCTCCGATTGTGGCCCTTGGTGTGGATTTCAGACTGCAGATAACCATTTGATAAAACCACCAGCAATATTCGTTCTCTGATAGCAATCAGAGGACAAATCCACCAATTAAATAAGTCTTATAAGTTATAGTCAAGAAGGAACTACATAACAATTATAGAATCCTCAATTTCACCTCATTCACAATTATATTCTTCAAAGCGAACCCCTAATTCATCAATCCAATAGAAATGATTCGCACTATGTGCAGTATGGAGATTTTCCATATATAAACCCCGACAATCGAAGTTGCTCCACACCCACCAATTGAAACATATTCACATTATGTCCATTGTTAGACCATCCTCAAGATTACTTTTCCCAATTTTGGGAGCTGCTGCCGCTGCAGGCATTGCATTCCACTACTCTAGCCCAAGAATTTACAACGAGCCAGGCAAGACCTTTAAAGGTGGGGACGAGTGGATTGACTTGAAGTTGAAGGACTCATGGAACATCTCTCCAAACACCAAGCACTACGTTTTTGAGTTGGATGACCCTGAGAATGTTTCTGGTTTGGTCACCGCATCGTGTCTTTTGGCCAAGTATGTGACTCCAAAGGGTAACAACGTCATTAGACCTTACACCCCAGTGTCTGATGTTGAGCAGAAGGGAACCATCGAATTCGTGATCAAGACTTATCCAGAAGGTAAGTTCTCCAAGTACGTCCACGATTTGAAGCCTAACGACACTGTTTCGTTCAAGGGTCCAATTGTCAAGTGGAAGTGGGAGCCAAACCAGTTCAAGAAGATTTCCTTGATTGGAGGTGGTTCTGGTATCACTCCTTTGTACCAATTGATCCACGAGATCACCAAGAACCCAGAAGACAAGACTCAGGTTGATTTATACTACGGTTCTTTGACCAAGGAGGACATTTTGTTGAAGAAGGAATTAGACAAGATCGCATCTGAGCACAAGGACCAGGTTAAGATCCACTACTTCCTCGACAAGGCTCCAGAGAACTGGGAGGGTAACGTCGGTTTCATCACCAAGGAATTCTTGAAGGAACATTTGCCAGCTCCATCTAAGGACAGTAAGATTTATGTGTGCGGTCCTCCACCATTGTACAAGGCCATTTCTGGTAACAAGGTTTCCCCAACTGACCAGGGTGAGGTCACCGGCCACTTGGCCGACTTGGGTTACACCAAGGAGCACGTCTTCAAGTTTTAGATTGTGTAGTCCATAAAAGGCACAGCCATTGTGAAATCATCATAAGAAGTAGACAACAACAGATTGAATTTTTTAAAGTTTCATACCCAAGACCATTTTCTCTTTTTAATGTTTTCCCGTTTTCTTGGTCTTGCTGATAGTATGTATAATGCGCATCTCATCACAATTTGTTATCTCCACTCTTTCAGTGAATAATGTCTGTCAAAGTGGCAATAGAAGGTTGCTGCCATGGGGAGTTGAACACGATATACAATTCTCTTGAAGCAGACACAGAACTTCTAATAATTTGTGGAGACTTCCAGGCTCTACGAAACGAAGCAGACCTAGCCACGATTAATGTGCCTCGAAAGTACTTGCGTTTGGGAGACTTCCACCAGTACTACCTGGGACAGAAGACAGCATCGGTGTTGACAATTTTCATAGGGGGGAACCATGAGTGCCTGCTGTACTTGCGGGAGCTTCAATATGGAGGTTGGGTCGCCCCCAACATCTACTACTTGGGAGCTTTTGGTGTAGTCTGGTACCGGGGCCTTCGAATCAGTGGACTTAGTGGGATCTGGAATTTCCGCTCCTTTGCTTCATGCTTAACATCTGATGCGCCAGAATATTCACTCCCTTACCTGGAAACAACAATCAAGTCGATATATCATGTGGCTCCAAAAGATTACTTGAAGTTCCTTCTCAGTGGACCTTCTGATATAGCAATAAGTCATGATTGGCCGCAAGGGGTGTGGAACTGGGGAGATAGCAGACAACTTTTAAGGCACAAGCCATATTTCCGAGAAGATATGAACAGCGGCCGATTGGGCTCGCCGTTGGCTAGAGAAGCTTTGGCACTATTACGACCACGATACTGGTTCTCGCTGCATTTACACACGAGGTTCACGGCAAGAGTCCAACATCAAAAGCATAGAAAGAGAATTAAAAAAGAAGTTCCAGCTAACTCGAATGAGCTTCTGTTGGATATGGATGGGGAAGCGACTGAGAACAAAGAGGATGAAACGAGTAAGGATAAGAATGACATTTCGGGAGACATTGAGCTGGAAATGGATAATATCGATATGGAAAACCTTACCACGAGCAATGAGAACAAAGACGAAAGGGGAAAAAGGGACTCGAAAAAGAGAAAAGTTGAGCAGGCAGAAGTGACACGGTTTCTCGCATTGGACAAATGCTTACCCAGAAAGAGATATCTTGAATTCATGTCTATTGAGCTGGTTCTGGATCATATTTCTAAGACCTCTAAAAAGCTTTTCTATGATTCCAAGGCACTTGCAATCCAGAAAGTTGTTGAGGACTTCGTTGCCTCAAATCCACAAGTTTTGCAAGATCTTGGCCCATCGAAGGTATTGAGTGTAGAAAAGATAGGCAATCTACTAACTGAGTTGGGGGAAAGTGTTTCTTTTGCTGAGCGGAAAATACTGACCAAAGATCTCGAAGTCCCTGATAACTTTGAAGTCATAGCTCCTACCGATAACGGAGCCAAGTTGCAATATTGGCCAAACAACCAGACACAATATTTGTGTGAGAAATTCAAGCTTCCGGTTGTCAATCTTAACGGAGTTTGAAATTAGTGGTGGAGAGTTGTTCACATCAGTAGTTTGAATAGGTGCGTCATGAAGCTTGTAATTGCATACTCTCTTAACCAACCGTTTTAACACCACAAATCAAGAATATTTTTTTTTTTTTCAAGATAACGTAGAAAATATAAATTTGTTTTATTTTTCGTATTTCCATTGAAGCTTCTGCTTTTTCTTTTTCGTCCTTTTTCACCTTCCATAGTGTCATTCCTCAACTCAGATCAAAGAAGCTTCGACATACAGTCTTGATTATTGATACACTCCAACTCCACCTTAATGTCAGTTTACAATTTCATCGCCCATTTCCTAAAGGAAAACGGCTACGATGAAACCCTCAGGACGTTTGAAAAGGAACATGGAAGTCAAATATCGACAGATTTACCTCACGACGAGGCATTGACTGATATCATCACTGATCGCATGAAATACCTATCAACCCAATCCCAGCCCGATGCACGGCAAGACTATTGGCTCCAGGAAGATTTAGTGAAGATCAAAGAAGCACAGTTTAAGGAATGGTCTGCGCCATATCCAAAGAAGAACAGAAGATTGGGCTTGCTAGACGATTTGGTTGTCAGCTCAGATGTCTTCAAGAGCAATGACACGGCCTACGTCGTTTGTGGAACTTCAGGGAAGGCTTTGGTAGTTTTCGACCTTCAAACAGGTACAATCGTTCTCGAGATCAAGGATGTTATTGGCAAAGTTGTCATTCGTCGCATAGTGGTGTCTTCTCAGTACGTCCTCTTGTGTGGAATGAACGGTAAAGTATACGTGGGGTCATTCAGTGATGATATGAAAAGTTTTGACCTTTTGTTTGAAGAACAAATTCATTCTAGATTGATAACAGATGTAAGGGTTGTTCTGTGGAATAATCACGATCATTTGGTGTCAATGGGATGGGACTTTCTTGTGAAGGTTTGGAAGATCAATTCCGACAGCCTCCAACAGGTTGGAAAGCCATTCAAATTGGCCAATCAAGGAACGTGTTTGGACGCATGCAACTACAACGACGTTTTGTACGTGACGGTCGGCAAGAATGAAATTACACTCATGGATGTACTCCGAATGGATGAAACGCATGAGCTTCAATTGGACTGCCGGATAGCACTCAATGACGCAGAATTTTCAGCTTCAGGGTTCACTCCCATGTGTGTCAAAATTTTCAACCAAGGAGGTATTCCATTGGTTGCAGTTGGGACATCTCACGAGCCTTATATGAGAGTGGTGATAGTTTCATTAAAGGATGTTGGCTCAGAACACGCAGATATCAAGCGAAGTCAGATTATTGCCAACTTGAACACTATGTCACCCCAAGATAAATACAGCCAGGCAAACATTGCTTGGAGATTCGATGGTAGTGGGCTCTGGATTATGGGAGAAGACGGAATCATCCGAGGTCTTGACATTTCGAAGCAATGTGTTGCTTTGGAACTCAAAGAGCATGATGGACGCATCAAGACATCGACGGTTTTCGAAGACATTGTCATAACCTGTGGAACCGATAAGCAAATACTAAAGTGGATACACGAGTAATGGCAGATAAGTCTGAGAAATTGTCTAGTACGACTCAAAACTAGAGAACACAGAGAATAGAACGAACAAATGAGAGATCAAGTACTCATGAATTGACTTGATTTGAACATTACAAATAATGTGATGGGCTAATATTCCGGCATCGTGGACCAGAGGAAGACCAATTAAGCCTACGGAATTCATGTTCTTTGTTCTGTCGATAATGATTTGCCCTTTTTATCACCATAGACTTCCTTTTCTCCAGCATGATTAAGATTGTCATGTACCTCGGTATCAAAACAATATCAAAAATTGCAATAGCCTCAGACATAATACAACACCTGCCCAAAGAAATTTGCAACCTTTTGATTATATCCCTCATTTCCCATTACCCGAGACCCCACCGTATATATCCATTCAAGTTCCGATACCTGATTAATTCTACCGCTGCGTTATATGTATCGGTAGTTACCTCTTGGACCCAACCGGCCTGGATGCAGGTGTGTGGGGTTTATTCCCCTCGGAGTGCTGATGGCATGTGGAGTAACGGATATCCTCGGGTCATCGCGGTCTCACGGTCAATGTTAGCAGCGGAGCAATGAAGATGTTATAAAACCGATCCATTTCCTAGAAAAATTAATATCAGACATTTTACGTATTTGCCTTCTTTTTTTTCTTTGTGACTTTCATATAGCGTTATAAACGTCAGCGAACTTTCGATATCGCATTACGTTCCAAGCTTAACTTTGTTCAGCTGCATTTGACATTTCATCTTCGTCATTCATCATCACATAGCACGAATTATTTATTATGGTCACACTCACACCTCTCGAAAAGGCTGCCAGTGGTGCTTTGGCCTCGGTTGTTGCTAACACCTTGGTGTATCCCTTGGATTTGAGTAAAACTATCATTCAGACCCAAGTCAAAAAGCACAAGCCAAATTCGGAATCAAGCGAGGAAACAGACTATAACTCGACAGCCGAGGATGCAGTCTTTATTCAGAGAGAGAAAGCCGGTACTTTGAAGTACAAGAACACGTTGGACGTGTTGCAGAAGATATACGCCAAGAAGGGCGTCTTGGGCTGGTACCATGGCTTGCTTCTGTCGGTATTGGGAACTGCTGCGCAGAATTTCTCCTACTTCTACTGGTACACCATTGTCAAGCGTGTTTACGCACAATTGACCAAGAAAGCTGCTTCTCACAAGCATCTGACACCTGTGGAGTTGTTCTTGGGTGCTTTGGCCGCTGCCATTTCCCAGCTCTTCACCATGCCAATCGGCGTCATCACCACCCAACAACAGACAGACAAGCACCACCGTTCCTTGTACACTTTAGCTAAAGAGATTTATGTTCACGACGGCATCCGTGGTTTCTGGAAGGGGTTGAGTGTCTCATTGGTGTTATGCATCAATCCTTCCATCACGTACGGCTCGTATGAACGGTTGAAGCAGATTTTGTACAACGACAAGGAGTTTTTGGGCCCCTTGGAGAGTTTCAGCATCGGTATGTTAGCCAAGTCCATGGCAACCTTGGCCACGCAACCTTTGATTGTTTCCAAGGCCATGCTCCAGAAGAAACTGCATAAGAAACCTGAGGGCCAAACAAAGCCCAAGATGATTTTAGATCCAGATCACGAGGACGATGAAGAAGAAGTTAAGTTTGATCTGTTCGTGGATGCGTTGGCCCACTTATGGCACACCGAGAAGATCCGCGGATTATACAAGGGAGTTGCCCCTCAATTGTTGAAGGGTGTCATTGTCCAAGGAATGTTGTTTATGTTCAAGGACCAAATAGACATGTTGTTTTTAGTTCTCTTAAAGATGGTCAAGGCAAGAGGCAAGGTGAAGTTGGTTAAGGGCTCATTATAGATTGTCTACAGTTAATACTAGTTTGGGGAACAGAACCAAGTAAGCTAAAATTATCTTGTAGAGAGTCAAGCGTCCTTATAAATGATTGCAGCTGCAAATGAGGCTGCAAATAAGGTTGCAATTATCCTACATGGATATAAGTACAAGATCAGCTCGGTGACAAAAGTAACCATAACATGACATCTCATGTGCACTATTTATTGAGGGCTCAAGCCCTATTGCACGTGACCAGGAATTGGACGCTTTGTGTCAGGCCACACAACCGCACCAAGTTTTGCTAACCTGATCACCTGCAGGAAGTTTCCAGGTCACGTGGATCACGAACCTCGCTGGCGAGGGAAAAAAACTATAGAAAAAATTCAAACTTTTTCCATCTCATCTTCCTATACTGATCAATCATGGGTAACGGTAAACCAAGAGGTCTTAACTCGGCCAGAAAATTGAGAGTCCACAGAAGAAACAACAGATGGGCTGACCAAGCTTACAAGGCCAGATTGTTGGGTACTGCTTTCAAGTCCTCTCCATTCGGAGGTTCTTCCCACGCCAAGGGTATTGTGTTGGAGAAGATTGGTATTGAGTCCAAGCAGCCAAACTCCGCTATCAGAAAGTGTGTCAGAGTTCAATTGATCAAGAACGGTAAGAAGGTTACTGCTTTCGTGCCAAATGACGGTTGTTTGAACTTCGTCGACGAGAACGACGAGGTCTTGTTGGCTGGTTTCGGTAGAAGAGGTAAGGCTAAGGGTGATATTCCAGGTGTCAGATTCAAGGTTGTCAAGGTTTCTGGTGTTTCCTTGTTGGCTTTGTGGAAGGAGAAGAAGGAGAAGCCAAGATCGTAAACGGTTTGTCTTAGTCCTGAAAACTGTATAAACTCCCAATTCATAATAGTACGATTACATTCGTGTAGATGTTGTAGGTTGGAAGTAAAATTATGTGAAAGGAACATGGGACGTTGTCGCCAAGAGTGCTTGTAGATCTTGTCAACCCAGATAACTTACTTCTGACAGATCATATAACATTGTCTCTGTTGCTGAAATCCAACTACCTATCCAATCTATGCATTAACGGGACCTCCTAATGACATCTCGTACACTTCTAACTAAAATGTTAAAGCAGGTTATCTCTCTTTCTCATCCTCTACCTTGATTTCATTCTCTTCTACTTTGCTTTCTTCCTATCTTCATTATTTTACATAGACAAGTTCTTACCCTCAATAGATGGTCCCGACTTCTTGACAACCTTCTTTCTCGAGTTGGTCATCTTTCTGTTGATACGGTTGAACATTTCTCCTGAACCCTTCTGCTGTCTCATCAATAAGCTTGGATCAACCTTTGGTGCAATCTTGTAGGCGGTGGTTCTGGCACTAGGGATGGCAGCACGGTTTCTTCTTTCAGCCTGTTGCTCATACAAAGTCTTGGACTCCTTAGTCTTATTCTTTCGCAGTGACTGCAACTTGTTAGTGAATTTGGACTTGTTGTAGTCGTGGAACCTGATGGTTCTGTCCTTGTACGAGTCGGACTTATTCAAGATTGGCCGAGTCCAGTCCCCTATCAACCGGTCCACGATTTTCTTCAAATTGGGCTCGGTTCTCTTGCTTCTCTGGTAGAAGACCAACACCTTTCCGATACCACTCGCTACCAAATGGTCTGTTTTGATAGGCAACGTTGTCAACGACTGCATCAACTCCTTCTGGATCTGGTATGCTGGCATGGAAGCGTCTGGCAAAGGTTCGAGCCACAATCTGACGGCCTCAAGAAGGTTATTATCCAAAATCGAAATGGCCAAGTCCGCCTTAGACAATGTATCCATCACTTCCTTCAAAAGTTTCAACTTTTCTGTTGCGATCTGGCCCTGTGAATTCTTCTCCACATCCAAATTGGCTGCCTCGATCATCAAGTTCTTCAACTGATCGATCTTATCATCCTGCATTCTCTCCAAGTCGTCCTCATCAGCCTTTCTCTTTCTAACGGTTTTCGACTTGACTGCCATAGTCATTCTCTCTTCTAAGAGTCGTCTCTTCCTGGTGGCTGGGTCTTCATTGGAGTAGTCAATCACATCGTTATCGGCATAAATATCCTCCGATGGCCGTTCGGCCGTAAAGTTTGGAAGCTCAGGTGCCTCCTTAGTCTTCTTACGGATGATCTTTTTTCGAGTAGCATTGCCCTCCTTGGTTTTATGACTTTGCATGCTGTAGATATCTTCGTCGTCGTAATCCTGTTCGACATTACCATTTTCGGTATTGGTGGCATCAAAATCCTCATCTCCAGCGCCTTCATCTGCATCCTGTGCGTCTTCCACGCCATTATTGCCTTCAGCATCGTCTGCTGCCTCGTCGTTTGGCTTCAAAATTTCATCATCTTCATTGTCTTCAATGTTGCCTTCGTTGACATCGGCGGGAAGCTGTTGGTCATCCTGCAACTGCTGCTCTGATTCCACCTCGAACTGCTGAACCTGCTCATCCTGGAGAATATCGGCCTCCAGAGACATTTGGTGTATAGTTGTGACTATGTAGATGTATGAGTAGTTTCGATGAAGTTTATGGGAAATGTCGCAACGAGGCGCGACATTATTGACTGTCAGTAAGTGCTTCAAATTACATCGTCTCCTAATCTATTTCAAAGAAAATACTTTTGAATTTTGCCTTCTTTAACACTCAATAATTCAATTAGTTTACTCCCCCACTAAATTCTTCCGAATTTACACTGGTTCGTCAAGGGCATTTTAGTCTTGGGGTAGGCTGGTGTACGGGTCTTTTGCATACCCCGACGCCGCCATTTCAAAACTGTTGCCAGCGACATAGTTAAACATCTCCAGGTATCAACATGTCCCAGTACATTGGTAAAACCATCTCGTTGATCTCCAACAAACAGCTCCGTTATGTTGGACTTTTGGAGAACATCAATGCCGATGATGCCACTGTGTCCCTTAAGTCTGTGCGGTCGTTTGGTACTGAAGGCAGAATGGCCCAGGAAGGTCAGCCCAACTTGGAAGTGATGCCAGGAACTGATATCTACGAGTATGTGAAGTTCCGTGGCTCCGATGTCATGGATTTGTCCGTATTAGATACCCCAATTGACCAGGTTAAGCCGCAGGTGCCCTCGTACTACCAGCCTCCTGCGTCTACTCAGCAGCCTCCATCTGGTGTGACTGCTTCACAAGCTCCTGCCACCACTACGGCCGATGCTGCCTCACCTACAAGCACGTCTGCGGCTCAACCAGCACAAACTGGAGCCGGTGCTACCGTTGCTACGGAAACTGGAGCCGCCAGATCTGCTGCACCGCAGCCAACCTCCACGACCACCAACACCCAGACGGTCACTGCCACTGCCACTGGAACCGCACCTGAGTCAAAACCTCAGCTGACGCCACAACCTTCGAAGCCCAGAGCGGCTAGAACGTCTGTACCAGCATCTCAGCCAGGAAGTGCACCTGCCCCAAGTCGTTCCAAGGCAGAATACGATACGGCATTTGATTTTGAAGAGGCCAACTCCAGGTTTGAGAAGGAGAGACAGGAACACCAACAAGACAAGCCCATGTACGATAAAAAGTCTTCATTCTTTGATGGAATCTCGTCGTCGACAGAGCAGAGAAGCTCTATGAGATGGAACGAGGAAAAGTCGCTCAATATGGACACATTTGGCCAGAGCTCGGTGGGCAGAGGAAGGGGCAACTTCAGAGGAAGAGGTCGTGGTAGAGGTCGTGGAAGAGGAAGAGGCCGTCAAGAGGCAAAGCCTGAATGGGCGTAAAATAATGAATGGATAGATGATTCGATTGGAATTAGTAGGTTGACAAGAAGGTAGACTGGTTCGTGTAGGTTGGCTGTAAGGTGTTAAGGTAGGTTGAGATTTCGGAATTTTGTTACGGAAGGTATTTTTATATTTACTAAGTTCAATTAATAAAAGAAAGACTGTTTTAGTTGCCTAATAAATGAATTCATGGTAAACTGTCACTGACACATTCTTATCTGTAGATTGATGCGAGCATACCAACTGTTTATGGCCTAGAACGATATACCGGTCGATTCCAAATTTTGTTTTAAATATATACTAAGAATTCATATTAATTTCTCCATTCATCTCTCTCTGTGTTGTCCTGTTTTCACCTTGTCCCCAATCTATCATCGGTGCCGTCCGGTCTACGGCTCCTCTACACAATTTTGCACCCACGAATCTCAAGAAATTCTACAACCATGTATAAACTCGTTGATTCATTTTCCGTAGATGGAATCATCAACCAGCGGATCACCTTAGATGTTCCACTCAACTATTCGAAGTTGAACAATGGCAAGATAACCATTGTTGCCAATATCATTCAGAAATATGACCCTTCCATTCATGTGGACTCCACGGTGGTATTTCCAGACGCTGTTAAGCCCATCGCCTACTTGCAAGGAGGCCCAGGCTTTCCATGTGCGTTGTCATTGACCAATTCGGGTTATGTCAAGGTTTTGTTGGAGAAAGGCTATCTGGTCATATTGTACGACCAAAGAGGAACGGGACTTAGTAGTCCAATCGAGGTATCAACCATGGACAGAACTGTTGTGAGAAACGATAATGAACTGGATGATGAACATTGTAAACGTCAGCTCGAATACATCTTGAACTTTCGGGCCGACAATATTGTTGAGGATATGGAGGTAATTAGAAAGTCTCTTTTCGGAAAGAAGAAGTGGCTGCTTCTCGGACAATCATACGGTGGGTTCTGCTCGTTCACATACATGTCGAGGTACCCAGACTCTTTGGAGGCTGTAATGGTCACTGGAGGCGTTCCTCCTATTGGACACACCGCTGATGATGTGTACAGACAAACTTACAAGAGAACCACTGAGAGAAACGTTCACTACTACCGCAAGTATCCCCAGGATATCCAGAGAGTCAAGAATATTCTTTCCTATTTGAGCCAGAACGATGTACGGTTGCCCAATGGAGGAAAACTTTCTGTAGAGAGGTTCCAGCAGTTGGGCATTAAATTTGGAGCTTCTGGGGGAACCGATAGTCTCCATGCATTTGTTACAGAGTTCTGGTGGGCCCTAGACACCTCCGGAGCGCCAACATATTCGATTTTGAACCAGATCCAGAACGAATCGTCATTTGATACAAACTTGATCTATGCTTTGTTCCAGGAAGCCATCTACTGCGATGGAGGCAGATCCGAAGGACAGAAGTCAAATTGGGCCGCAGATAGAACCAGATTCGCCGCTGGGAACGAGAATTATGTCTACACCGAGTCGCTTGCCTCGTCGCTGTCGCCTGTGTATTTCACCGGAGAAATGGTCTATAAGTCCATGTACGACGACTATGTGGAGTTGGCAAAGTTGAAGAAGTTGGCATTTGCATTGCATGAGAATACATCATGGAGCTCCTTGTATAACCCAGAGGTGTTGAGGGAATTGTCCTGGGAGAAATTGCCAGTAGTGAGCACCACATATTTCTATGACCAATATGTGGACTTCCAACTCACTATGGATGTGAAGGAAAGAATCTTCCAAGGAAACGGAAATTTGAGACAATACATCACAAGTGAATTCTTCCACAATGGATTACGGGCCGACCCTGAACGAGTGTTGAAATCTATGTTCAAGTTGTTTGATGGAGAGTACGACTAGAATCATGATCTTTACATGACATCAAGAAATAAATACCCATTAATATACAACCCTCTAGAAGTACGTGTTGGGAGCAAATCCAATCCTTCTGTGTGGTACATCTCCAGTTGTACCCACAAACCAGTTTTTTCCATCATTGTTGTAGGTTGCGCTTACGGATTGCAAGTCGAACACAACTTCAACCTTGTCCCCGACAGAAAAGGATAGGTCACCGGGCTGGACCCCTCGAAAGTCTCTTTTGGCAACTACAATTTTTCTTTCTTGACCATCACTGGATTCCTTTGCGTGGTCCAATGCCTTTTGGAAGAACCGGTTCAACTCGTGCAATTTGTATGAGATAGTGTTCTTGTTATCGAACACATCGTTATGGTTGGAGTACTTATCCAAGTTGACCCACAGAGATATGTCCAATGGAGCCTCAGTGATTTCATTCTTTGAAAAATTGTAGAGCTTGATAATTTGTCTCTCAGCCTTGTCTGGGGTGACATCATCAGCCAATAATATGCTGGACACTTCCGACACTGTGGTACCTTCGCTTTCTGAGTCACTGGAAGACAACAACGAAATCTCCGAATCAGAATTGATGGCATCAACATCTGCAAAAGCTCCCAGTCCAATAACAGGTGTGATTGACCCAGCTGGCGAATTGAGAGGAAGCGGAATACTCCGACTATCATTTCTTGGAGGTAAAGGCGGAGGTGTCCGAATGTGAGGCATTGTTGGATGCACTTCAGAGTATTCAAGCACCCTTTGTGGGTGGTAGGTCTCTGACACATTCATGCTCACATCACAATAGTTGGTGAATGAGCGCAATGGGTCAGCCATGGTATGGTTGGTGAAAATTCCGTTCTGTGTATCCTGTGGTTTGACTTTATGCAGCTTTTCCGTGACTTTCTGAGCCATCAGCGTCCAAGCCTTTGATATTTTCAGCGTCTTATCGTTGTTGTCTACCTCTTCATCCAAAAGCTGGGGGTTTTTGTCGTAGATGGTCTTGAGGAACGATTCAATCTGCAATCTCAGTGCAGTGTTTGACGTTTCCCATTCGTCAATAATTCTCTCGTAGGACTTGCCTGCTTCGTCTTTCTCTGAGTCGGCATAACCATGAAACACTGCAAAGTACCGGATGGTTCTCTCGATCTCTTGGTAGATTTTACTCTGGTTGCAAATGATCCATTTAGTCAAACTCTCTACGAACTCCTCCACCAAAAGCAAGCACTCCGGAATCACTTTCTTTAAGCGATCGCTGATATTGTCGTGGAGCGCTTTAGCGGAACTGAGCTGCGTTTCAAGTCGTGAAAGGTCCCGCTGCTCCGCATCGGTCAAGGGCGTCTTTTTCTTCGTCAATCGGTCAGTCTTCCACTCTAACTTGTCGCATTTGGCCCTGTGAGATTTTCTAGCCTTGATTACCTTGAGCACATGCTTCAAGTGAGTAATGAGTGCCTCTATTCGAGACTTCAAGTATTTGGCATTGGATTCTGCTAGATGTACCACTTTGGTCTGTAATTGGTCAATCGTGACCAAATAGTTGGAAATTTCATATTGGATACTTGGAATGACAATCTGACGCTCTTTAGGATGCACCAGCACGGTCTCTGATGTGAGTTGCAACCTGTCAAATTCGTCATAGTACATCTGAATATCATCAAACGTCAACGAGTCCTCGCCTACCAACTGCTGCAAGGAAATTGCAGAGTTGGTGGCATTCTTGAAAAAGTAGGGCCAGAATTTCAATGCCATGTGGCGCGATTGTTTTTCGAGAAACTTCATAGCCGTGATGATCTGCTTGACATCGTGTTCAAAGGCTGCGATAAGATCATCATCCACCGAAACGTCATTTTTGCCTGTGAATTTGTTTTTGACAGAGGATCCAAACGACAGGCCAGCATAGTGGATGTTGGAGCCCACATGGGCGAATCCCAGCTTGAATTTTTCAGTAGTCATGAAGTTGTGGCCATATGTGGAAGTTCCGGAACGGAACTAACGTTACTAAGCCCTGCAGGCCGTTAGTCCCACCACCACCAATAAACGACTATTGGTGGGGGGAGAAAAGAACATCACACAACAATTATGATAATTAGTGACAATGAGAAAAATAATAAAGAAGATCCATGCAACTGCTGGACATTAAAAGGTTTTTTGCCGTCGATGAAGTGCTCAAATTCATGTCGTAGTTAGGACCCTAGAAGTTAAGTAACCCTGGATGTTGTGCGACATTGGAGTTGATAAGTTCAGGCGAAAAAAAAAAATGACAAAGCAATAAAATACATGAGAAGCGGGAAAAATTGGGGGAAAAGGAGAAAACTAAAAGAAATGGCTGATTAGCACAGAAACAAAGAAGCAACTGTCATATTTCTAAATAATCAGAAACAGAAACTATTGTTTATCATTATAGCTTGTAAGGAGCGAGATCCTAATTCTCACTGCACGGGGCCCTTAAAAAATTTCGTGAGCCGGTTTCGACGGCCGTTTCTACGCTTCCACGCCCGTTTCCATACCTGAATGCTCGCCGATTTCCCTTACCAACTCGCCATTTCTCATTACTCGTAATATTTTCTCTCATCCCAGGTGACACTCCCCACGTTGGCACCCCACAGCCAAGAAATGGAAATGTTAGTGGCGCAGGGCTACCGTTCGTCCATTTTCAACCAATGATAGACCTGTCCAAACGCTCGGACACTCGGTGACATGGTTGTCCTCTGCGAACGAAGCATGTAAAGAAGTTTAAGTGCGACTTCTAAATCTTTAGTGGCCACCACATCATCCATATAAAAATACAGGCAAAAAAATCACCGTACTTCAGCGGGGCAAATTCCGTTCGCTTTCCTTTTGAAACGTCCTTCTGTTTCGAGAAGCCCGACATGGCTAGCCTTGGCCCCCTAGTCGTAAACTCCCGCTATACAGTTATGAGTTTTGGGTCCCCTCATGACTGCATCGCACTACATGTCTCCTTTTGGCCCAGGAACAATGTATATGCCCGATAAGCAATCCATCTAGAAAACCACCATTGATTTGTCATATTTTTGATTTTTTTTTTCCACTCTCTGGTGCACTTAACTTGGAGAACCATCCGAACTTTTGCATGACTCCCACTGGCCCGCTGCCACTTCTCTCACCAACCTATTCTGGTTATAACTTTCACTCGGTATGATCTCTTCGGTCAAGCCTTTCCATCCACCTGGAGTCACGTCCATGTTACCGGTGGAGAATGCCGACGCCCTGGCTCAAGAAATTGGTCAGCTCAGTTTAAATATTGGTACCAAAGAGGGCCACTCCAACGCTGTCGAGGCTGAAGTTCCCCAACCTGTTGCTTCTGTAGTTGCTCAAGTACCTGAGGATGCTCAAATTCCCGACGCTGCTGAGCTTAACAACACTGCTGAAGTTCAAACTGAAAATATTCATCATGACATTCAATCTGAACCTGTTCCTACTGAGAATATTCCCTCACAGGCGGTTCCAGACTCGTCCGCCGAGTTCTTGCCAGAAATCTCGAAAATGGTAGGGGTAGACTATGTGTATCTCTCCAGCAAACCCATTTTCGATGGAGCTAATGGCGTTATCTACAGAGGCACAGACACAAAGAATACAACCGTTTTTGTCATCAAAACCGTCAAGGTTCAAAAAGATCAGCTGCTTGCTACGTACAGAAGGTCCGTTATCCGTGAGTTCGACAACTTGAAGAAGTGCGCCAACTCGAAGCAGGTGGTGACTGTGGTAGATATTGCCGCCAACCAGGACTCTCCAGATCTCTCGCTCATTGTCAAGTACTACCCCAATGGTGACTTGCTCGACTTTTTGTGCAAGCTCCGCACCAAGAAGGTTGAACTCAAGGGCAACTTAAAAGATGCCATTTTCAAGCAGATTGTACGTGGTGTGGACTTCCTCCACCGTCACAACATTGCTCATCGTGACATCAAGCCCGAGAACTTTCTCATCGATGAGTGTGGGGTCATTAAACTCAATGATTTTGGCTATTCTCTTGACACTACCAGATTGGACGAGCAGCTTCTTCTCAACGATTTATCGTGTGGAACGCCATCATTTAAAGCGCCTGAGCTCTACCAAATCGAGAAAGCTGTGGCCGAAAACACCGACTTTGATGCCAAACTGATCGACTTTAAAATGGTGGACATTTGGGCTCTTGGAGTGTTGACCTTCCAGCTCTTCCTCATGTCGAAGCCATGGCAGCACGCTAATGTTGTCACTGACGCCAAGAACATGGTGATGGAAAAGTTCATCAAGTATTATCCAGACAATGAGAAACATTTGATCAACTTGGTCAATAAGCTTAACGATCGCAACCACAGTGTTTCCACAAACCCTGCTTTGTCTTTGTTCAAGAAGTTGCACTACGATGCCAGAATCCTGGCTCTTGAGATGTTACATCCGGCACCAGAAAAACGTTGCACCACTGAGAAGCTTTTGCTTTCCAATTGGCTTACCCAGGCATATGCTGACCCCAAGGATTTGATTAAGTTGATTCCCAAGTAGGCGTGGTCGTTTTGTGAGGGGTCGGTTTTTTATTTCTTGATGTTCGTGGTGGCTGGAATGTTTGGGATGGTAGAATTGGTAGCAAATCTTTTTATTATGGAGTGTAACTTTTTGGGGGCTTTCGATTATCTTGCTTTATAGTTTTATGAGAAATGGGAACTGGACGAGTTCCGGGTGATTCAAGTAATGTAATCTTTAATATACCGTGGGATTATTGAATTGAGAGATCTTAGTGTATATGTGAAGCTCGAACCACGAGATCTGTACCTGATGTAGGGAAGAATCTACAGTCCTTGATGTACCAGCCGTATTTCATATTAGTATTTACCTAAATAGATCGACAGTCATGACAGCGATAAATTATGAAACCGCAAAAAAATATGAGTCGTTATATAACAATTATTAGTTAGAGCAATGAAAGCAAATAATACACATGGAAACGAAACAAAGAGGAATGAAACAACATGAGAGTGATTTGGTTACAGCCAGTATACACCGGTGTAAATGACGACGTTCGTAGCTTCCAACTAATTGTGATAGTTCAGATACCCGTAGTTGCCGACACCGTTGGAGGCGTTGCCGTTCGAGGTAGATCCTTGCTGGTTAGTTGAAGTCCTTCTTGGGTTTCCAGGGCCACGTACACCCAATGGGTTCTTCGAAAAGGAAAGTCTGATTCCTCCTTTTCCATTACTTCCATTAGGTCTGGGCAATGCTCTACCGTACAACTCTGCTAACGCAATTGTAGCATGGGCAACATCCTCAAACTCAACAAAACACATAGGGCCGTGGTTGTGACTCGATGAGCTGGAACTGGCGCTGGATGACTGGTTCTTCGTTCTGAACGACAAACGACGGAATCCCTTTTGAGGTGCAAACAAAGAACGCAATTCAGCTTCAGTAGCATCCGGAGGCAAGTTGCCAACGTACAAAGTGTTACATGGAGGATTCTGGTCTGCTGGGTTAGCTGGAGGAGGTACCCTTGCAAGCAAAGAAAGATCAGGAACATCCTTTGCGGGAATCCTGGCGGAAGAGGTTGGAGTAGTTGCAGAAACCGGTTGCGATGTTGTGGTCGACAGTGCAGAAGGCAAGTTACCTGATCCAGAGCCTGATGACAGAGGACCATTGCGGTTTGTCGAGCTCGAAGGAATGGCCAAAGGAGCCAACGAGCCATTTGACTGAGTTGGACCCTGCGAGAGGATGGCAGCTACGGTCTGAGGCTGTTGCAGTTGGCTAGATGAGCCAGCAGACTGGCCCAGAGCGACGGGGCCACCGTTGAAAAAGGCCGAAGAGGTTCTTCTTCTGTCGGCAGACAGCAGCGATGATGACACACCCGGAGCCTGAGCTTGGTTCAGCTGTTGCTGTTGGCCCGATGGTTGCTGTTGGGCCTGGCTCTGGACGTTGTTCTGGGAGCCCCAATCGAAGCTGTTATGCACGGAAGCAATTCCAGGGGTCTGAGGGTTGGAGGGAAAGGAAAGACCAGATGGGGCTTGCGAGCCCCAAGGATCACGCACCAAGTTCTCGTATTCGCGGGCATCGCTTTGAGATTCCATCATGAGCAAAGACTTTCCAGTGAGATCACTCAAGTCAATGGAACCGGTGCCTGCGGTGGAGTTTGGAGTAGCAGCACCAGAGAATGGGTCGCTGAACAAGAAGCGAGAGCGGGTGTTTCCCACTGACTTGCGTTTCAGGAAGTTGTCAAAACCCGATGCACCTGCCTGTTGCTGAGGCTGGGGTTGCTGTTGTGGCTGGGACAGCAGCAGCGGCACGGACTGAGATATCAGCTGCTGAGCCAGCGACGATACGGGATGCTGAGAGTGATGCAGGGACTGATGCTGAATTTGATGCTGAGGAGGAGAAATGCCAGCCGAGGACAATCTCATGCTATCAAAGGCGGAGGAAGTGGATGCCACCGCGGCAGAAGGATCGAAGTCCACCTTAACGGGGCCAAAGGAAGTGCCAAAGATTTGTTTCCCGTCGAGCAACTTGCCAGTGGTTACACAGGTGGAAAATGTCTTGAACTGTGCGGTGACAGTGTCGTCATGCAAGTCGATGGCTACAATATCGTCGTTGACGAGCGCAAAGATGAGCGCGGCCTCACGAGGGCTCAAGTCGGGCGGTAAGTTGGTGAGCTTGAGCACAGTGGGCAGCAGAGGCTGCGGATGCAGAGATTGCGGGTGGGAAATGGCAAATGACGAGGGGGAAAGCAAGCTGGGTGGCGCGGGTGGCACGGCCATAGCGGCCATGGGATTCATCAACGAGCCGCCGGCAAACTGAACATTGGCTTCCGAGGTCATTGGGAAAATGCTGATGCTATTGAGGAGATGAAGTAGTGGTGACTAATGCAAACGACCAACAATGGAAAATATGTGACAGCGAGAGCGCCGGGCGCGTGTGGTCGGTGTATTCAGGTGATATAACAGTGGATATTGCCACTCAGGGATAAAACGCAAGTGGACACTCTCGGTGGGGGGGCAATTAGACGCTGGGATGAGTTTTCGCTCAAACTTCAACCGCCACAACTTTCACGAAGCGGGACAGGATGAACTAAAAAAAATGGGCGATAGACGCGCGTGGGGCTCGGGCGATGAAGACACGGAGGTGAAAAATCGCTGCAAGGCGGGAATTTTGTGTTTTGTACTTCGGTGGTAGTTGGTGGTGGAGTAAGACTTGTAGATGTTTTATTTTTTTTTTTTTTTTGAGAGTATGGCAAGCGCACTGTCGTGTGTGAACCAGCCTCACGCCCTCGTTTTCGCCCTCGTTTCTGAGCCCGGTCCAATCACAGGCCGCGGGGGAAACCCGGTCCGTGCTGATGGTTACACCTCGGATATAGTTCAGTGGTGTAATTATCGGCACGGCTTGGGGATAGAATTCCAATGGGGGGGTCTAGTCCTTGGAAGCCCCTTATTGTGGTTATTTCAGGGTGTTTTCAGCACGAGTTTTCTGGCCGAGGTATTTATTGTGGCAGGACTGGTATATTGATCATTTGTGATCGGCCGTAAATGGCTTTGGTGTACAGGTTTTCGTCCCTTACTGTTCTTTCTTCGATGATTCTCGCCCTGTAGAGTAGTTACAACCGTTGAAGCTGGAGTGCATACAGGATTCAACGGTTGACTATTCAAAGGCGAAGAAACTAATGGTAGGGAAATAAAAATAAGAAAAAACTTAAGCTTATTACTTGGGTTGAAAGTGTTTGTTCAAGGGAATTTCTTGGCGTTTATGACTCGGTGATGCTGTTTAGGTATGGGTTCTGATGAGACTAATTCGTGGTCGCATTCGTATATATGTATGTTATGTATGGAATGGTTCAGCCGTTGACTAAACCTTAAATGGAGGATGAGATGGAATGAGACGAGTTTGCAATTGTAGAAGATAAAAAAATGAATCACTTAACACTTTGACTCCTTCGCTTTGGCTATTTATTGCTGAGTGTGCAATTAGAATCTCATTTCAATCTTTACATCCAAGAAGAGGAAGCCCTGCGAGTATTGTGTAATATTAGACCAAAAGTTGCCTGTCTAGTATGGTTAGTTATTTATCTCTCAATGAACATCATGACTATGTGTCAATCATGTAGACTGGTATTAATTATTTAGTTGCTGGTCTACTTTGAAGTCGTTGAAGCTCCTCTCCTAAATCCACGTTGAACACCTGACCCTCGTACGATTGGTCCGAGTTGTCAGAATTACTTTCCCCATCTATTCTGAATATCGCCGTCTTTGGATCAACATATAGGTCTTTCAGGCTCCGGTACTTGTACTTTTGGGGGACTTTGGTTATCACTCGAGCTGTTTGTATAAACTTCTGATGTTCTTCCTCTTGAAGACTCACTAATAGAATCTCGTACCACAATCGGCCCTTCCGGAACTTCACCTTGATTGAATAATTACCAGAACACATTAATCCATCAAGGCATCCTTGGACGTTTTCAATGAGCTGACAGTGTGAAAACGGTATAATATACGATATTTGACTGGTTTTTGTCTTCTCTGAAACGACTAAATGGTACTCATGGCACAAGATACTCGCCAAAACCAGAGCTGTCTTGAACTGCTTCCATGCCACATTCTTGACAGTGACTACCAAAAAATCTCCGATAAACACTAACGGACCAAAGCTTTGTGGAACTTTGTCCACTCGTCCCACGTAATCCATCGTCTGGCCAATTTTCTTGAGAGTGTCAAACCGGATGTTCTCTGTCTCAATCTGCATGTCTATTTCAGTAAGTTTATTACAAATTGCCTCGAGGTTGTTGGCCAAGAATGAAGTGGACGGATGATGACGAAGAATGGACGAAAGAAATAGCGGATACTTTGCAATTCGTGCAATGGGTTTTTGGAGAAGCAGAAGCACGGACAAATCTTGTCTTCGCTGCTTGGGCTGGAACCTTTCGAGAAACTTAGCAACTTCGGAAAGAATTCCCAGCTCGAAGGGAATTACCCTGATATTCATGAGATGCACCACCAAAGTGACGGTTCCCGTATATTCAATATAACACGAATTTGTCAAGACTTCCTCCAAGGCTGAGAAGGTGGATTCAATGCTCCTTTGTGCCATAGTGGAGAGAAACATCTCATGATTCCGAATTAATTCTGCTAGAAGCGTGTCCAATGAGACTAGAGGCGTGCAAGTGGTTGAAAGGTTGTAGCATCGTACCAAACTTGGCTCTACAAAATATCTTCTGACAAGCTTCAATGCGGAAATGAATTCCTGCTCTGATTCCTTCAATTCTTGTAATATTCGAAGAATTTGTCGAGTTTTGGCAGTGAAATCGTTATCTAATGGTGAAAACAATACCTTAGGAACAGGTGAGACGAGATCTATTGTGGATTCACTGCCTGGATCTGGGAGTGTCGATGGTTTTGGTGATGATTGTTTCCTGGTTACAATTGCAGATTGGTGGACTATGCTAAGAGGATCTGCTGTTTTGATGGCTTCAACGTCCACAAGATAACTTCTTGCAAAGAATAAATTTTCGTTATCTTCAATAAGCTTTGGGGAGTCATCTGATTTCGGGGCTGGATATGGTGTGCTCGGTCCCTTTTTGAGATATTGGTATTTGTCCTCATGGAATAGTTCAAACTCCTTGCACTTATCTAAATTTGCCGCCACGTCATCAACTTTCAAATAATCCCTCTTTCCTTCAATGTAAGGTACATTCTCGCCGAAATTGGCTACCGAACTCAGTCCTTTCAATGCCTGTGTGAGTAACTTCATTCCAGAATGCAGTGGTTCTGGATCTTTTAACGAACGTAAAACTGTCAGATAGGAGAAGATTGAGTTAAAAGATCCTGGAATGGGAGGCACAGCTACATTTTTCTTCCGTTTTCCTTTTTGCATTCGAAACATGATGGGTTTGTGAAAGTGCATTTGTTCGCTCCTCATCAACCCTAAATGATATAGAGGAAAGAGCAAGATTTTAGTCGACTTCCTCAAACAATTAAATTTCCATTCTAATCTATCAGAATGGTTCATCTTTTCTTCCACCTGCATTACAATATCATCTTATCGCCATATTCAATTTCCAATTCTATCTACCTCTAGAGTGTATAGACTCCGCATAACTGTTGTCTATCAACTACTCATCCAAATATGGCAGACCTTCTAGATTCACAGAAACACGTCAACAGCGTCTGTCTAAGCTTGCTCCTTCAGGAAATCGTGCCAACATCCGTTCGTGTTTCCCAGAAACTCGCCGAACCTCCGCAAACGGAATCGAAAGACCTCCAAACAAGAATCGACACTCCATTGTCCACCTTGGCCCACGACCTTCCCGGAAAGATAGCAGTATTCACCTCGGATTTACTTGCTGCCGATGATGTGACCCTAAGAATTGAGGCCTATGGCTACGCTTTGGGACTACGTCTTACAGAAGTGTTAATGTATAGAGCACCAGCAAATAACAAGATCGTGGACGTGCTTGATATCATGAAATTCTTGTGCCGAGATGTGTGGAAGTGCTTGTATGGTAAGCAGATGGATAATCTTCGAACAAACCACAGAGGCACGTTTGTGCTAATCGACAACGACTATAGACTCATATCAAACTTGAGCAGTGGAAAAGGCACCCCGGACTCCATTAACAAGGCCCGTTCGTACGTTTGGTTTCCATGTGGAATCATTCGCGGCATACTTATGAGTTTTGGGATCGAGGCGTACACCACGGCAGAGATCTCGCAGTTTCCAGCGGTAACTTTCAACATTCAAACTGCTATCAACAATTGAGACATGAGAATACATGGATAGCAAGTATTCGTGGATACACAAGGAAATTTAGATACCCCTGGGATGGTGTAGTTCAGCAATAATTCTCATTTACTTGGTGAACACAGGTGGCTCTTGGTCTTTCTGTAGGTACCCATGTCCAACATAAGCTTCAACTCCACGAACTTCACCTTCTCAATGGCGGTATGCAATAGGATTTGCTATGCGGTATATGGAGACTGAGAATTTACGGATGAAAGTTTAATGAAGCTAAGTTAATCGTGATTGTTATTCATTGTTGAAAGATAATGGAATGATTGTTGATATATTATTGCATGAAAGCAACTTGAAGCTCTCACTCGACTATATTGAATGGTCCCGTTGACTCGTTAGATGATCACAACATTGATGCCGTATCAATAGTTTTGGTTGCGAATGGCAAGTTTTGTAGTAGTTCATTGCATTAGCCTAGTCACTTTAAGACATGTTCACCAAAAAAAATTTGATGTATCTATCAATTAAAGAGGGAACTTAAAAACCTTCTTTCCTATCTTGCCCATTTCATCTTCATTATAAGATTGAAATCTCATTATCTAGTATGTATTTTCCGACAACTACTTACCGTCTGACAAGCATACAGTACATCGATCTAACTCATCTCCATTATGAACAATGAAACCACTCCGACTGCTCCGTCTCCTAGCCACAGTCGCTAGAGTCAGATCCCGTGCTACTCTAGTGGAAAGATGCAATGCTCAAAATGTTCTCAACATGGACCCTATCCAAGTGTCTAAGGACGTTGATCTTGACTATAAGAGATACAAGATGACCAACTACGACACCAAAATCAGAGTTAACAACTTCCTTGAGGCAGTGTTTTCCAATGACTTGGTGCGCTCTGTCCAGTTGTTGTCCAAATTTAGAATGAAGTGTTCCATTAACAAAGATTCAGATGCGTACGTCCGAAATGTGGAGGTGTATATTTCATGCTTATCCACGCTACTAATGTATGCTTCTAACAAGGACACAGCAGCAACGACATTTCAGAACTACCTGCTGCTCATATCAGAGGTATTCAAGGTGCCTAAGCATATTTCAGAGGAGCGACAGGAAGATATTAGAAGCATCCATATCATGTTGGTCTTGGTGCTACTAAAGACCCTTCAGCTGGTTCCAGCTAACCAAAAGCGAACATTGGCAGTTCTCAGAGCACAAATATTTGGCTTTACAGATGCCCATGCAATTGGAACTACTGAAGTTCTCGAAATTATCAAAACAAAGAATCCTGGTTTAATTGATCAGTACAATTTCGTATGGAAGACAAATGTTTCGTTTGAGCAAAAAGGTGAGGAACCCCATATCAGCATTGCCAATTACTTGAATCTGGACTGTACTATGAGTTACAAGGGACTCTGCAATTTTGTGGCTAATGAACTGTTTGACTCCTCAAAATTTAATCAGGGAACCCAGCTTAAGTATTATGAATTGTACGAGAAGCTCGGTGAAGAGGATAAGGCTAGATTCATGGAAGAGTATCTCCAGTTTAATAGAAAGAAGCAGCTCTTGGTCGAAAGGTACTGCCAGGACTTGCAGAGTGACCCTTTGAGTACAACCTCCAACAAAAATAAGGTTCAAAAAGCTTTAGCTCTTCCATGGATTGCTGAAATCCATAGAAGAATATGCCTGGAATTGGACCGCATATTTGCTGGAAAGTCTCTGCATTCTGAGCTTTCGAAGCTGTTCCTTCCACACAGTTTCCTATTTCAGCAGGTTTCGAAGGAAGTGATTACATCGATGGTGCTCAGAACATTACTACGGGAGACTCTCAAAGACAGCTCGCTGGCTTCGGTTCTCCGAATGACAAAAGAAATGACATTCATGCTTAAATTTCATGTCAAGAAGACTCTGAACTTGGCCCCGATATTCAATCGTGCTGATTTGTTCCTAAGTGAAGAAGATTCTATAGCTTTGTTCTCAGCTCTTTTGAAATTGACCATCATGTGTTCGAAATTAGAATCATTAGGCTTGTTAGATACTTATCTGGATAATGGGTCCCATTTCTCTGACCTGATGTTTGCATTCGATTATGAGCACACAAGTGAAGATACACCTGGGTATAAAAGAGCAGGTATCATTAGGGCCCATCCGTTCTTACTTCGCAATTCTGCTATTTTTGATGAAATATTCCAAGGAGGAGCAACATATCTTCCTATGATCCATCCTCCGAAACCGTGGCAGTCGCCTAGTTCTGGCGGCTTTTTATCCGATATTGCACCACTAGTAAGATCCCTGGAGCCTGAAATGTTGAACAAATACTTGGTTCAAACGCATTTGACTGGTCAGTTGAATTCCACCTTCGATAGTCTAAACTCTTTGGGTGAACTACCATGGGCTATTAATGCTGACATGGAGATCCTTTTCAGCACAGTCATCTCACTTCCTGGTGGATTCTTAAATATTCCGCCTACTGGCGACTCCATAGCGAAGATTCCTAAACCGAAACCACCAAGAAGGAGCCAGTTCGCAACTTCAGAAGATTATTCTGCAGCCCATAAAGCTTTTCAACGTTCTCTAAAAGAATACAATGAGAATGTTAAAAATCTTCGAAGCCAAAGGTCCTACTATGATATGAATGCGATGATAGCAAATGCTCTTAACAAGAAAGGTGAAATGTTTTACTTTCCTTATACGCTTGATTTCCGTGGACGAGTTTATCCGGCGGTTTCTGTGTTGTCTTATCAAGCTGAAGATCTCATCCGTTCTTTGCTTGTCTTTTGGGAAGCCAAACCTCTCGGAGAAAATGGCTACAATTGGCTCAAATACCAACTTGCGAACTTGTATTGTAATCGGTTTATGACTATGGAGGAGCTGTGTGAATTTGTTGAAAGCAATAGATCCAATATAGAGAGATCGGCGCAAAATTCTTTGAACGAATTGTGGTGGACTGAAGCAGACACACCATGGCAAGCTCTTGCACTTTGCAAGGAAATCAGCAAGGTTTGGACTTTTCAAGGGAACGTGCGAGACTACATGTGTCGTATACCGATCCACATGGATGGAACTTGCAATGGGCTCCAGCATTATGCCGCCTTGGGAGCAAACGTTGAGGCTGCAAAGTCGGTTAATTTACTCCCTAGCCAGAAAAAAAATGACGTTTACCTCACTGTGTTAGGACTAGTCAAGCAAGAGGTGGCGAAGGATTGCAAAGCAGAGGATACTTCTGTTCGTATGCTTGCACTCGAGACACAGAATTATCTCTCCAGAAAAGTTGTCAAGCGAACAGTGATGACAACAGTTTACGGAGTTACTCTCTTTGGAGCATACCGGCAAATCAAAGAGACTTTGCCATTAGTGGATGCCGGTGGGTCGCCCATTCTGAATCATAGGTTGACCGAAATCCTGCTGTATCTTGCCCGTCAGGTCCTTCAAGCAGTGAGCAATTTGTTCGGCGAAGCAAGGGCTATTCAAAACTTTCTCAAGCAGAATACTTTACGATGTATTTCAGCGGTTGACTGCAACACCGTAAAGCATTTTAAGAAAATCGATTTTTTCCAAAAGCTGTACAAGCCCATGATGTGGACTTCCCTTTCTGGGTTTCCTGTCATTCAAAACTACAGAAAGAAAGATATCAGGGAGATCAGAACTGTTCTTCAAAGCATCACAATCAGAAGATCAACTTCAAAGTCTCCCATAGATTCACGCAAACAGATCGGAGGAATAGCTCCAAATTTCATACACTCACTCGATGCTCTCCATCTCCTCATGACAAATTTGGCTGCAAAACAAAACAGCATTGCATTCGCTGCTGTCCATGACTCGTATTGGACACATGCATGTGACGTTGCAACTCTCAATCAATTACTTCGCCAAGAGTTTGTTCGCTTGCATTCATCTGACATTCTACTCAATTTCTACAATGATCTCAAACACATCAATCGAGATGCATACCAGCTTGTATGGGTTGAAAATCAATCGAATGAACAATTCGTGAGAGAGTTAAGCTATCTTCGTGGCAAAAGGGAAGGCACAAAGAAAAGAGAATGGCTTAATCTGTGCTTGAATGAGGAGTTAGTGAATCTGGATAAGGCAGCGAGAATTGGTGACTTGATTAAATTTTATAACCCTGAACTCATCCTTAAAACAAAACATAACGGAGAGGGCGTTGTCTATGACTCAGAACTCAATGTAAGGGCTTCGAGGTCGTTGGTGTCCTTCTTCACTCACACACCATTGCTTGTGAAAATTCGGCTTTCACCAGTTCCTGAAATTGGGGATCTCGACATCCAGGAGGTGCTACAAAGTCAGTACTTCTTCTCATAGCGTTGGTGTTATATAATACATTTTCTGTAAATAGTTAGGAGGTTTCACGCTCGTCAATCATTCGTTGTAGTTTCCCAAAGATCCTGTCCCTGTGTAATGCTAAATCGTCTTCTTCTTCGTCATTGAAAAATTTCTGTCTTTCAAAGGTCTCGTCGTTCTGGTAATAGTCATCTTCTAGAAAATTGACACTCTGCTCTCCGTTTTCATCAAAGAATTCCTCGTACAACTCATCATATTGACCTTCCTGTTGGAAGTCACCATTGAGGTAGGCATGACCTTCAGCCGCCTCTGCAGATTCTAGAATTACCGGTCCAATCTCTTCATTCTCGTCCTCTTCATCGTAAGTCTCACTAAGCGCCCCCGCGTCTTCGTCCTCCGGATAGTCATTTTGATAGAAAGATTCTGCGTTTGAATCTTCGTCGTCAGAGAAGACCGCGCCATCTGATTTCTTCTCATCATCCGATAGCATGAGGTCATATTCATGGTCATCGAAAAACTTGATGTAACCAATTTGTGATTGAGGGAAATTTGCGTTGGTTATTGGTTCCGTATTCGATAGTTTGTAGACATCAAACACATAGTCGTTGGCAAAGTCTTCGTCGGTTTCCTTCTTAGTGGACTCAATATCGGACTGAGAGGTGGGTTTTCCACCTCTTCTCTTTTTCCTTTCAGATACTTCCGTGTCCACATTGAGGAATGTATCCACCATGTCTGCTAACTCATGGGGGATGACCGCATCTTCCTCAGTCTGCTGCTTCGGAATGACAAATTGACGATCTTCACCTTTAACAGCTGCTTCTGAAAGTACCGATCCTAGAATATCGTGGTCACCCTGATTGACATTGTCTGTCCTTGCCAATTGAAAGTACCAGTTCTTGGGAGGTTCAGGCTTAGGTGTGGTTGCTTGTGAGGACACAGGGGAGGAGGGCTTGGATCTTTTTGCTGCAGGCTGGCGATCAGCCAATATAAGAGCCTGAAGTGGATCTTGGCCACGCTTTCTCTTGATTCTGAGAATTTGAGGAGGTTCGGTCATCAATGATTGTAGTTGGGAAAGTGTGACATTTTCTGGGGTCAGTGAGAAGATGGTGAGTGCAGGCATAGAACCTCTGGAGTACCACATTTTGCACCCATTCCATAATTCATTGTCTCAGACCTTCTTGCCTCTCTCCACTTCATCTTTCTCTCTTAATCGCATTTGCTAGCCGTCTTGTTCAAATTGCTCGTAGCTATCATGATTACTATTACCTCTTCTCTCTTTTACCGAGCTCACAAAGACTTCAGGAAGTTGTCGCACAGAATAGTGGGCCATTCTCTTGACCCCAAAATTGACGTTGCTGTAGTGACAGGTGGTGCTTCTGGTCTAGGGAGGGAAGTGGTAGCCCTCTTAGCTGCCCGCGGAGTCAGAGTGGCGGTGTTGGATGTCAAGATTCCCTCTCAAGACCAATGTGTCCAAGGTACAAAGTACTATCAGTGCGACGTGAGTAATCCGGATCAAATCACATCCACAAAGGAAAAGATCAATAGCGACTTGGGAGTCGTCTCTGTGTTGATAAATAACGCAGGCGTAGCAAATGGCAAGCCCCTCTTGGACTTAGATTATGAGGAAATTGATAAGACCATTCAAGTCAATCTTCTTCTGAGTTTCTATACTACTAAAGTGTTTTTGCCAGCAATGATGGAACTGAACCGCGGTTATATCATCACAATTGGTTCAGTCTTAGGGTACATGTCTCCAGCAAGGTTGAGTGCATATGGAGCATCCAAGTCTGGGTTGGTTGCCTTACACGAGTCTCTCACGTATGAATTGGGTCCCCCGCTGTTGAATCCTCATGGGATCAAAACCCTTCTAGTTTGTCCTGGCCAGATGAGAACCGATCTTTTCCGTGGCGTTCTGACACCTTCATCGATTTTGGCACCTGAGTTGGATCCAAAGTATGTGGCTGCAAAAGTTGTGAAGGCTTTAGAGTTGGGGAGACGAGGAGAAATCAGATTGCCATTCTATGGAAACTTTCTTCCCGTGTTCAGAGCAGTCCCGTGGCCAGTAACTGAGGCCGCTCGTTATTTTTCAGGCATTGATAGCAGCATGAGAACCTTTAAAGAATCCATTTCCAGAATCATCAGCAGAGAGCCTTCTGCAGTTAACACTCCGACCATCAAGTAAACCATGTGATTTACCTGGAGCCCAATAGCATCGACATATCTAAATTCCGAGTAGTCCACAGTGGTATCGCATTCTCTGCGGTAATGTTTAATTCCAACTGAATCCTGATGTTCTTGCGCCTGCTAAAGAGTTTATTGATGTCCTCAAGTTTCGTGTAGAGTTGTTCCTTATACTGTAGACTGAAAAGCTCCATCAATTCATCCTTTGGAATCTTGGCCACAAGGCAATTATCTGGGTTCAAACACTTCTCGCTTGAGTCCAGTAGAATGAGCTCAAGCGGCTCAAGATGTGGATCCGAAAGACGAATTTGGCCATCTGTCAGCTCATATACCTTGGTGCAAATGTATGACAAATTCTGTGGTATGGTTCCTACCACATAGGCGGAGGTAGTATAGATGCGATTATTGGGTATCATTGGCATGCGGTTCAACTGGGACAAGGTGAACAAGCCGCTTGCTTTTTCATCTGCCAGCAACAGATCTGGAAACTGTGACACTGCCGGGAGTTGCGATTCCGGAAGTAAGGACTGTTGAGGTGAGTAAGTATCCGGAAGTCGATGATTGCCGTGGCCAAGTTGCGAGTCTTGCTGAAGACTTTGGAGCTGCGTCAAGTATTGAGACTGAGTTTGAGTTTGTATATGTGGCTGAGCAGGCTGAAATGCGGGCTCCAACATATCTCGAAGTTGTTGTTGCAGATCTAGGTCATCGAATGAATGCTCTTCCTTAATTGGAGCCTGAGACTCGCTAGAGTAGCTCGTTGCATCAGAGTTGACCGTCAATGGTCCCAAGTACGAGTTTGCACGCTCAATTGACTCCGGGCTTAAGCTTGCAATCACTTTTGATGCTAATGACGCGTGCTTCAACATAAGCAGTCCACATCTTTCTAACATTCTGTCCCAGAACAGGTCAATGTTGGGAGTTTCAGCAGAAAGAAGAAATGCCTGCTGCACATTTCCCATCAAGTGTGTCGGTTTCTTCTGCAATTTGAGCTGTAAGTTGGCGAGACAGAGTTTCTCATGAAGAATCACCCAGTTGTTCTGAGACAATGTAGCATTCAGACGTGCAAAGAACTCTTCGCCTGTGACTTCTTGATACTTCTGCGCAAGTCTGTTGAACAATTCTAGGTTCAACGTCACATGGAGAATTTCCGTAGCCGACACATCGATGTTTGCATATGTTAGAGAACTTGGTCTGTCTCCAGCGATTTCTCCCTTGGAGGTGTAGTCTGTGACCTGAAGATCGGCAAAATCTTTTTCGGTATCTATTCGAAACGCTAGCACATGGCAATATAGATTTCCCAGAGCGTAAGTCTTGAATGAAGCGTCACATACGCTGAAAACAGGCATGAGCTTCGATGGTGGATGAATGACTTCTATATGGTATATAAGTGCGACATGTTATTAGAAATGTGGAGATGGAGGCTCCAAGACATAATTGAAAGCTATATCAAACAAAAAAAAATGGAGCATTAGTAAAGTATTGTTTTTGACCTAATATGAACGAGATTGGTCTTCGTTTGATCTTTCAGTATTGTTTTTTATATGTGATCGAAATGTTAGTACTGATATTAGCACATTCGCAGCTAAAGTTCATAACTTCTCACATTAATGTTGATCGAAGTGCACAATGAGAAAACACAAAAAGAAGTAACAAAAATCGAATACTCATTCATATGACATGTGGTTGATGGGCCATCCGCGAATGTGGTTGAAGAAACTAAAATTTGAGCGACTTATTAATTAATCTCTAATTTGAAAGTGGAACTTCCAGAATAATTATTCTGGCCTACAAGTAGACCCCTGGGATCTCTATTGAAGAGAAAATCAGCAATTTTTACCTGAAACAAACTCAAAAATTTAGTTATCTATTCACTAGTCAAAAATATTCTTTTAATTCAATGCTCTCTAGGACCGGTAGTCAGCGTTGATGGAAATGTACTCGTGTGACAAATCGCAGGTCCAGAACAGAGCTTCCTGGCCACCACCAGTACCCAAATCGATCTCAATCTCCAAATCTTCCTGAGACAAGATCTCCAGAGCTCTAGCCTCATCCACCAACTCGGGCTCTCCATCCACAAGCAACTTGAGAGTCTCGGAACCGTCGCTAGGGATGAACGAGACGTTAGTTTCGGCGGTGTTGACCGAGCCGGACGACACATTGGCGTAACCAATGGCACACAAAATACGACCCCAGTTGGCATCTTTTCCGTACATGGCAGTCTTGACAAGAGAGGAGTTGGCCACAGTCAGTGCAACCAACTTGGCATCCTTGTACAGCAACGCGTCCTTTACACGGATGGTAATAAACTTGGTAGCTCCTTCACCATCACGGACCACCAACTTGGCCAATTGCTGGGCAAATTCAGTAATCTCTGCTCTGACCACCGAAAAAGCTTCAGCGCACTCAGCAGTACCGTCAATAACTGGTCCTCCGGCAGCACCGTTGGCAATTGCAACGATCGTGTCATTCGTGGAGGTGTCTCCGTCAACAGAAATGGAGTTAAATGAACGGTCAACAGCATACTTGACAATTTGGTTCAAAGCACCAGAAGTGACAGGAGCATCAGTAGCGAAAAAACCCAAGAGAGTAGCCATGTTGGGGCAGATCATTCCTGCGCCCTTAGCCAAACCTGCCAACGTGTAGGTGTGGCCATTGACATCAAACTGCTTGCTGACCAACTTAGGGAAGGTGTCAGTAGTGCAAATTGCCTCAGCACACTTCATCCAGTGCTCATGCGTAGAACCAAGGTTTGAAAGTGCAAGCTTGGGAATCCCCTGGAGAATATTGTCGATGGGCAAGTTGTTGCCAATGACTCCTGTAGACATGACCAATGACGAGTCTTCAGAGTTCTCCAAGACAGCATCAGTGACACGCACCATATCTTGGGCATCTTTCAAGCCCTGGGTACCTGTAACCGCATTGGCGTTTCCAGAGTTTATGATCAACGAGTTGATGACGCCATCCTTTTCCTTGATGATCTTTGCAGAAACTTGAACAGGTGCGGCCTTGAATTTGTTTTGGGTGAAGCAAGCAGCAGCGACAGCTTCATTGCCAGAAACATTGTGGAGCATAGCCAAGTCTAAGTTTCCATTCTTTTTTATTCCAGAGTGAATACCTCCGACAGCAAAACCTTTAGGGTACACACCCGATTTTGGAACAAAACGTTCAGCCTTGGAGAGCTGCAACAAGCGAAGAGAGACTTTCATTGGAAGAAAAGATGGTGGAAAATTGATAGTGAGTGCATTCGTGGAAGATAGCGAACCGCGCTTACCACATTAGGATGAGTCAAATCGAGGCAGGACACGATGAGACTATCCAAAAGCTGAAAAGTCGAGAATATATAGGCATGAGCAAAAGCAAAAGCAGATGCAGATGCAGATGCAGATGTTAATCAAAGTTTGGGAAGCTGAGGCGAAAAGAACAATTTAGGAGAATCTGAAGGAATTTAAGACTCGATACATGGGAAGTTCATCATGAGACGGGTTGATAGTGAATCAAGAGCACGAAACATGCGAAAAACTTACTACTTATTAAACCGGGATGGTTTTGACGTACAAGCTGCTGGTTTGTCTATCGATTGTTCTAATTGTTGTTCGAAAGGTTGTCTGGTCTTGTGCATCCCAATTTCAAGATCAGAAATTGAAAATATGGAAAACAAACCTGTCTTAGTAAAAAGACCCACAATTATCTGTCCAATTATTAACCTCCCAAAAAGAGACACATCTTAATTGTACTGAATACTCTCTCTATCTGCTGCTTTCACACACCCCCATAAATGGCACACCTTACCTACATATAATACATCACCATCTCGACTATATATTTTCTTGTTTACAATTTGTAACATTCGAAAAATATTTGTAAGTTCAGTTTTTCAATCAAATCTCTATATTTTTGCCAAACGCTCCACCTAAACTTGTTTTTTTCCACGCCTGGCCAATCCACTCTTGAACTCCATTTGTTGTTCCTGTACTCGCACTACTGGTTCATTCGAAAAATTCTACTCAACCAACTCCTGTCTTCTCCAATGAGTGCCTCCATGTTCAAGGGGTTGCCAACCTCGAAAATATTGAAGCAGATTGCCAGATTGAACAATATCACTGGAACTCCAAGAACTGCTTTCAAATTCGGTCCGCTGGTCAAGAAGATTGAACTAATCATATTACTGAAGAACATCTTCAAAGCTAGCTCTGGATTGAAGAAGTTTTGGAGACAAAACTTGCCTGTGTTAAAATACCATAATGATGACGTTGAATTTACTTTGACCAGGGTCAGAGCCATGTCCAAGGAGGAAATCGCTAAGGTTCCTACTAAGATTGTAATTCATCTGGCCGACGGAACTAAGAGTGAGGTCGACTGTGCAATGCAAACACACAACCAGATCTTGAAGAAGCTAGTGAAGTCTACCGGTGCGGTGGCGATGGCTGCAGAGGATCTCCACACCATCCCTGTACCAGAGAATCACTTACCATAGGACCATAGTCATATTACATGTATATATATAATCAACACTCTAGATCTTAGGAAGTATGCATTAGTAGTACACATTGAGAGGTGTCGGTGAACACCTAACGATCACATAGCGACACGGATGTTGCAGGAACATCAAACCCGGTCAGCAGGGTATGTCCCAGCCAGCTAGGACAGTAAGAAGGCAAGCATCGCGTCTTTTCCCTTGATCTCCAAAAGTTTCTTGATCTGGCGAAGTTCTTGTAGCTCTTCCTTTGATACTTTGACACCAGGCTTCCTACCGCGCTTAGCTCCACTGGGCTTGACGGTCCCATTAGACTTCGAATGCAGAGGAAGGTCGCGAGTATTAGAAGAATCCAGTGAGACGTTGGCAGAACTCATACTGCCATCGCTCTTCATGTTTGAAGTAATACCCGTCTCTGATCTTAAAGTAGACATTGCAGCGGCGACCAACTCATCCAAATTAAGCGGCGTCCCCTTCTCAACTGGAGTCTTTTGCAACTGCTCCAAAACCTCGACAGCAGTTGCATCTTGCTCCTCTTCCTCAGTCGCTTTTTCCTCATAGCTGCGAAGTTGCTTCATAATTTGATTTTTAGTATTGCGCGTGGAAATAAAATCAAGAAGAACTTGCTGCTCCGGAACTCTATATATAAACGGTTTCTGCTCTGGGTCGTCGGCATTGGTCATTAAGAGCACCTTGCCTAACCGACGTGATCCTCTAGAAACCACCCGACCATCGACTGCATAGTTTTGCAAGAAGTCTGGGACTTTAAATTTCGGATCCAAATCATCTTCATTGTCCGAAGTCTCTTCGAAATTTGCCTTTTCAGCTTCATCAACAAATGCCATCTTATTAGACACAAAATCTTCCTTTTGATACTGTAGATATTCATGTAGCAAAGGCTGGCGGTGATCTGAAAGGTAAGGCTGGTCATTATGCTTGATTAAAAAATTACTGGTCTGCATTAGCCGTAAGAAATGGCTATGCATTGCAGCATCAATGACTGTAGTATCTCTGAAGCTGCGATGTTCCAGCCAATTGGGAGGCAATAGCGACTCAACATGATTTGGACATCTCCACTTGAGTCCCAATGTTTTGGCCAGGGCCAATGGTTCGGCCAAGCAGTCAAGATGCCATCTTAGAGGACAGTAGTCACAAGAAACCAAAGTCCGTCTTTGTAGTCCAGATTTTCGACAGCGATGGCACAAATATGGCTTTCCATCCTTGTCATAGAGCCCATCGATGTCCAAATCTTCATTCTTATTATAACCCACAAGCTGGCCTCCATTGATCTTACTATAAGATAACTCTGGCTTCAACAGCGTATCTGTGTACTGATGGCCGTCACCACTGCTGACACTAATGAAGGTCCCATCTCTGAGACGTTTGGGTAAGCGGAACTCAAACGGATTGCGGCCATGGAGGGAATTGACAAGTGGACCAAAAAGGCCAATCTCGTTCCACAGTCGCCGCACATCCATTCCTTGTGCCGCACGACAATCATTACAGTTCCAGTTATCTTCCGGAACCTCTCGAATAGGGGGATCACAGCATAGTAAATGGAAGGACTTTGGACATGAGTCACAACAAATGAATATACCTGTTCCACCGCATGCGGCACAGTAATCATCATTATCGGATGCATCTTCTTCGTCTGCCGGTGGCTCAACATCGTTGGGTACAAGTGAGAGTGAAGGTTTTCTAGGCAGAGTGATTTTGAGACGCTTAGTGTTTCTGGAACCAGGCGTACCATCACTCTTCCGTTTAATGCTTTTTGGTGTCGAAGGAACGCTCTTGTTCTTGTTCTTATTTGGTGGTCTACCACGTTTTTTCACGAGTGGGCGAACTGGAGTTCGCAACTCGGAGTCTTCTGTGAGCTGGTCCAGCCTGGCAGTCTCAAGCTTAGATGCGTAGCTAGACTCAGCTTCAGCAGCAGCCGCTTCAGCAGCCAGATCAGGTGAAGGCGTTCCTTTGTCCTTTGGTTTTCGGCCACGGCCAGTGGATTTGGGTTTACTTTTGTTGGGTGGAAGTGCCTCGAGAGGGAAACCCAGGTATCCAGGTTTCGGCACCGCTAATTGCGGCTCCACAAACACAGGCAGCGCATGCCTTGATCTCGATCTTGGCGAAACTGCTTTCTCAGGCTTCACCGTCTCCGCAGGTTCCATCTTAGGCACCGGGCCCAAGTCTGCTGGCAATGGCAGTGCCAATAGCAGCATCACCAGGATCTGGCGAGGACGCACATTAGCAGGAGGATCCAGAACAGGTGTAGAAGGCACCACTAACTTCTGAACTTCCGGTAGTGCCGCCGCTTTCTTCAACATACGGGAATTCTGACGTTTTTGATTCGCTAAGGTCTTCTTGCTAAGCAGACCAGGCTTGCGGCCCCGTTTTTTCTTCTCTGGCACTTCAGCACTAGCCTCAGTCGGTGGGTTCCGCGGACGGCCCCTTCCACTGGCAGCAGGCTTTTTTTCTGGGCCGGGGGGCATTGTTGTTGGGGTAATTACCGCTCAGTCGATGGGATGATGAGTAAAATGGGCACCACGACGAATTGAGCGGCGTGAGAAAAAGAAATTGCCGTGATTACTGATGAAACTTTCCGTCGAATGCTGTTTGGTGGAATCACAGTCGATGCCGATTGGATTTTTTCTGCTGGCGTTAATGAGAAAGGTGTTGTTGAAGGAAGATTTTACTTTCATCGCGCGGAGTATGAGGCTGGCATTAATGATCGGAACAGACACGCATGAAATTTGTGATTTATCTTACTTGAATTCATTGGCAATTAATGTTTGACTATTATTGAGGTCTGAAGAATCCAATTCAATTTTCCATAAAATGCAATTTGTTTTTACTCTAACGGTATGGTGGTTGTTCCAGAAATGTAAAGTGAAATTCAGAGAAATCCATGAGGGCACCACGAGTCATTGAGATTACATTCATTTTATATAGAGATGGAAGTTAAGACATTGTTGAATTTAATGACTGGCCGGGGTTTGATTCTTGTCTGGCGAAATCCCAATTAAAAATTGAAAAGAATTGCAAAGTGGAATCTTCAAACTCGAGTAATGTCCAAAATGCCATGATGTATCGCAACTGGAAAGCTGGGAATACCACAAATGACATGACAACGGCCATTAAATACAAAAGTGAAATAAATGTCATGTCATGCTTTTTGTCCTAAGCCACCCGTATAGCCTTCGCCCTTGCTGGACTCCCGGTGGAAAGTGAGCATGCACGATCTAAAAACGAAATGGGCAACCTATTGGCTACATATTTCAAATAGAAAACAATCAGTTTATGATGGACAAGTGACATGATTATGTTTGCCAACTCCAATCTCACAATGTGGCCAATTTTTGTTTTTTTTGATGGTCTGGCATTGCTTTAGTGAGGGTTACGAACTCCTGGAAAGGGGTCCTAAAAGCTCTACATACGAAAAAGTAGTCATTGCGTGGATAAAGTTCATAGCGAATGTCTCAAGCAGCAGTCTTGGCTGGCTTCTTCTTGGACTTCTTCTTAGGCGAAGGCAAAGGCGTAGCAATTAACTTAGCAATTTCCTCATCTTGCACGGACTTGTCGGACTTATACAAGTCAGTGTCAAACGAAGGGCTGGTGTACTTGACAATACCTGCCTTAGTAACAGCAAAAGTGGTGAAGAACTGAGCAACGTATTCACCTTGCTTCTCTTCCATGATATCGTAAGGCAACACGATTTCGTGGTTGCTACATTCGATCAAACCAACTCTCACTTTTCTTGGGTTCTCAAAGATCTTCACGTTGGCAGGAAAGAGACCGTCAACCTTCTCCTTAAATTCCTTCAAAGCCAGGTGCGAGGACTTCAACTTCAATGAGTAGTTGTTTCCGGTCAACTTGTGCAATGTGGTCTTGAACTGAGACTTCTTGACTTTACCCTCAGTGGAAGTTGAAATCAAAATGTCCAATCCGTAAACGTCGAGCTCCTCGATTCTGTGTACATCCATCTTATTCTTGTGCTCCTTGGCAGGGTTCAAGATGATCTCTTTAGGTCCATACAAGACGTTACGTTCCTGGTTATGGGTCAACATAGACTGGACTGGAACTGTACCGAAGTCCTTGGAAACCTTGTCGACAATGTTAGTGATGTCCCAGTTTCTGTTACCAGCTTTGAAAGTTCTGATAGCAGCTTCGGAGCAGTTCCATGCGGACTGAAGCAAGTCAGCCTTCTGGCCAGTAACTGGATTCTCTTTGGACTCTCCAACCACAGTGGTCTCTCCAATGATGGCAGGGAAACCATCCACCTGAACACCAAGCATAATGTTGACAACATCTCCGTCCTTCAAAGTCAAGTTAGCCAGATCTTCGGCATCTTCTGGAGACAAATGAGCAGGAATATTGTTAGGGTTAACACAAGTTGGGAATGCAATGCCCTTAGACACTTTGGACTTCTTCGACGAGTAAATGAGCGCAAGTTCCTCGTTCATCACCTTGTCTCCAAGCTCACACAACTCAAACACAGTGGCTCCGTCCTTAATGGCGGCTCTTACCTGAGCCATCGCCTTGTTGGAGATGGCACCTGCAGTCTTATATTTTTCGACAACTTCAGGGTTGGCGATAGTGTAATCGGGTTGAGATTCTGAAGTTAGTGGAATTGGAACAAATCAGGGCTTATTAGCCACTATTTGCTTACATACCTTTGGCAGACATTGTCAATTGGGTTGGTTTGGAGTAGTTGAAGATGGAAAATGTCCAATGTGCACTGGGTGTACGGGTGTGATGTTAGCGTTGCCAGGCAAGATTTATTCAAATCGTTAGCAATGAATAAGTGGGAGACAACACAAATTTGTGTTATGGCCCTATAACTACTTGACGCTTTCCATACATGCTCAATTCGCTCATTTGATCAATTCCAACGATTTTGAGTTCTGGTGGCATGATGATGGTGAAATCTTGAAGTTTTCGACATATCATGTCAAGTTTTATGACTAAGCAAGGCGTGAATTAAAAACATAAGACTTCAACTTCAATAGGTTTTTCAGAAGAAAGAGACCAAATTTGTTACCGGGAGGAAAATTTCTTGCGTGATGGCGATTTACTCTATGTTTTTGAACTCCGATTGACCTGACTTATACTAGTATTTGATATTCTCTCTGAATGTAACCACTCTATTCATTGACAAAAAGGAGAGCCTTGGTGAAGACCTATGAAGATTTCTGGATATCTTGTAACTTGTTGATTGCTTTCAAATTCCAAAGACTTAATAATCAGTAGATATTTCTATTGATCTCACTGCAGCTTTCAGCTCTATTTGCTAAACATCATCAATAATTCTCGTAAGCGAGGACAAAATCACCACTTTTCAGATACCTTAGTGATTAATTTTCAGCTCTTTGGCCGTAGTTACGTTGAAATTTTGCCGGTTGCTATTTTCACAAGAGCAACTTCACATTATGCTTACGAAGAGTATTTTGACCATAAAGAGGGCCATGGAAACATGAAGAACGGATCGGAACCTGTGATACCAAAAAAGAGAGAATGGAAAATCACCACAACATAAATAGCACCAAATTAAGCCAGTACATAATGACATATTCATCCATGATGGTTTCCATTTCCTAACAAGCAACTTATGTTGCTCCTCAGTGGACACTCGAAAGAAGTTCATGACATTCTAAATGCATGGAGAAACACTACTTAGGAGGACAGAAGCGCCATATTGGCACTATTCGGTCCTTCGAGAACTTCGTGACAACAGAAAATAGGCTTTGAGGCTTATGAATTAACTTCAACAATGGAGCCGCGAAGGACTCCACTAGAGAATGCACAGAATGGAAGCATCCATCAACAGAGAATTTTCATGTAAGAATCGGAATAAACGCAATTGACTACGAAATTCAAAGTAACAATTGCCGAGAATCTCAAACTACTACATAACCCCAACACCTTACTATGCGTTGTCAAAGGTTGGGTTGTCGCAATTGGCCACGAGTGAGGAGACCATCTCGAGCCAGTGGTAGCGAAGTAATTTCATCGTTATTCACGGTCCAGCCTCACCAGCATGCTTCGTTCCCTAAAATCGCTTAATCAGGTAATGACCGTAGTGGTAAAAAGCGACATGCTTTGCTTGACAAACTTTCTCACGCAAGGCCGACTCGGTACTGTTTATTGAAAGAAGGTCAGAATGCTGAACCAAGTAGAGTCCACTGCAGCCTGAACCAAGTAATGGTTATATTTCATGCACAGGTACCTGCGATTGCAACATCTATATTTACAAGTTGTATGGGTGCTGAGATACTGAAATTGACCTGCGACATTTATTGTGCTGTCACATAATGCAGGTTGCAACAACCTGTACACGGGCAAATGTTGAATTTCTAAAAAAAACCGCTGACCATGAAATTCACTGGGTAATAACCAACAATACAGTAAATGCAATACCGACGAGCACAATACTGCAAATTAAGGTTGCCTCGACATTGAGCCATCTCTTTAAAAAGCTTGATTTGGTAGGAATAACCCCCTCTGCTCATGTCAGAATTCCATTTCTTGTTTGCATAGATGTCGTAAAGCACCAAACGCAAGAGTATGGGAGCAAATAACCATGTCTCAGGGCATTTCATACCACTAAACAAGACTCGAGGGAGGTTGCTTTCCGGTATTGAAAACCCAACCCCGCATGGAGTATTGATAGATAGGGAATTAGAGAACGTTGAAGAACAGGGCACTAACGAAGCAATGAGGTCAAATTGCAATACGAAGTAGACTGCACATTTTTCTTCTCGAAGTCCACCACTGACCATGACCTGCAGCGCAAAAGCCCAGCCCACTGAAGAAAACACACCTAGGGCTACTATTCAAGATCATCTGGAGGTGAACAACTCCGACGTATTTTTTTTTGAAACATATTGTATATTAAGTCCTTTTACGTACTTTGATGACTGCTTACTTGCGTCTTTGAAGGCGTCCCCGGAGGCTGTATGTGACTATGCATGTAGTCAACATGCGGTGCGGAGACACGAGAAAGTACTTCTTCCCTTTCCTTCCAAGTGCTCCAACAGTGCTTTTGTAAAACAATCGATGATCAAATATGCTTGTTCCGAAGCAGCCGATGAGAAGTGGAATATTACTACCAGTGAAGTTGCTGTAACGCACTTGCATATATGGTAGAATAGGCTTCTGTGGTAAAACCTCTAGTGCACCAACATATGTGGAAAAGGATTTCGGCAAACAATAGAGGTGCCGCAAAAACAAGTCGTTGAGTTTTGCATAAAATGAAAAAATCTAGCAGGGTTATTAATCCCCACTTTAGGAACTCCTATTTCGTCCAAATGCCAACGAGCATTTGTGCCCTTGGTCGGCTTAGGACATGCAGAGAGAAAAAAATAAAGTTACCTTGAAAACGCGGACGCACTAAATGCTATCTTATCACAACCATGCATTTGAACCACGCAGCGTCGCTTGTATTACTTGTTAGAACTTGCATGTCTTGAATCCCGAATTTCTCCCCTGCTTCTGACCTACTTTCGAACTATCTGCTAAAAAATGTTGCCCTTTCTGTAGCGAGGGTCATGCCTTTCCTAGCTTTATCGCTTCAAATTGCACTAATGGCAAGCGAGGCTCTTTTTTTTTTTTTTTTTTTTTTCATCTGTGATAGGTGACAAGTTCCTGTCTCAACAGATGTTGCATTCCAGCTTCGCGTGATACGTAGAATTAGAAGTCTCAGCCAGAATCGGCGGAGCCCGACAGGGCCAGGGGTTCTAAATCCCTGTGGGTAAAGGACTTACTAGCCACTGCCATTGCGAATGACTGGCAAAAAGGTTACGTCTGTGAATCTTGAATGCACCAAGAGTAAAAAAAGTCGAAAGAGAATTGGAGACGTGATGGCTCAAGCAGTTGAAACCGATGAGATCGATATTCGAAATGCGACTAAATCTACGTGGGCTTTGTGGGTTTGATTGAAGGAAACACTCAAGCTCAGATAAGTTGCATTCTCTAGTGTTAGGGATGTATAGGGATCTTTAGAACCAACTTGCTCCCCTCCATGGTTGTCTATCGAATTGGCCACTGTGTTCTTCTTTTTTTTCCTGTTCTTTTCATTCCTTTTTTTTTTTTTCTGTTTCAAATTTCCGAAGCCTTTTCAGCAATGAAATTCTAGTCGCCTGGTTAGGCTTTTTTTCCATAGTTATTCCGCGTTGTTCGACTGAAACAATGTCGTATCCACCAAGGTCCCAATGCCTTGGGATTATCTTCTGCAGGCAAAAACTTATGTCATTTGAACCCACTTGATAAACTTCAGCATAATTGAATTAAAAGGACGAGGGTCATCAATGCACTGTCATTTCTGTTAACTAAATGTTGTGTATCTTATTGAGGTACATTGAAGTTTTACCGAGCTGTCAGGGCCTGTAACGTAAGTGAAGAAATTCTTAGAAGACTCGCAGGTTCCTGAAGTATCAGCATCTAATCCAGAGGAATGATTCCTGAATAACCGCCAGGTTGAAATGCAAGTAGGACTCTTGCATAAATAGACCGTCGTACTCTTACTTTATAGGAACGACGACACACATCATATAGCAGAATATGGAAGAGATGATAAACGCCACTCTTCACTATAAGAAACAAAATGCTTCAAAAATATCAGGTCTTCAAACTAGCGAGGTACATATAAGTAGGTAGTTTTCATTATGTGAGTTAAAGACATTTTGAAGCGGGTCCTTTGGGAGTTCCAAAGTTGTCATTGATCAGGAGTTGCAATATAGAGAAAAGGCAGCTCAGTAGAGTATTTCAAAGATTTTTTTTATTGCAACAAGTGTAGGTTCGTTGCGTGGCTGGCAAGAACAAAGAGAAATTAAATATCGTAGTTAGGAAGCTCTTTTCAAGCATTGGGAATGGAGCGGAGAATCAATTTTGTGGTTCCTTGCCGACGAGTAAAGAAAAGCTTAAATACTCATTTGTTGTAAAGGAACGATCCGCCTTGCCAATTTAATACTTTCAGAATATTCGGAGAGAAATTTCGATTTCACTTCAAAGAAGACCGACTCTAAACAGGTGGAGTTCACAACTGAAAGTCTAAAAAGGAGAAGACAACGTATTAAAAGCTTATCTGTTATTTATTTTCTCGTGATGGAATAGGTCTCTCTAACAGACCGCAGTTCTACTACCGATGAATTTTCAGTTTCCAGCTTGATTAATTTTGGAAAGGCAGATCTTCTAGCTTTTCTATTTTTCCCCCTTCAATATCTTTCACCAATTTTGCATCAATTAATGCAAATATGGTGATGAGAGGATTCGGGAAATAGTAGCCTGAAACTGAAACAAGTCTCAATGAACATAATTTTTATTCGCTACTCGGACATTAAGAAAATAAATCGTCAAATGTCAAGCAAGCCAACGTTCGGAAAGGAGAGAAGAAATTACTTTTCCTGAAAATTCAACGGTTGCACATTAAAAATGCTGCATTTCACATGACATTCCGTTGTCCACAACTGAAGAATCAACATTGGATAAACTCTAATGGATCTTTTGTACACGATTTTCAGTTTATTTCCTTTCTTCACATGGGTTGCTTCTTGTCCAAATTACTTTCTAATCAAAGGTGGTTGAGAGAGCCGAAATCAAAGAGGTACAACCCGATGACGCGACGGAATCAGAAGCAATAGAGCAACAACGTTTGGTTTTAGAGAAATCAATAACGAAACAGAGAACATCTGGTCATTTAGCTCTCGAAAATACAGAAGGGAGGTGGCTCAGTACAGCACAATCTATTCCGGAAATGAAATCAGTCGTCTCTTCTCGAAAAACGTCTTATATCGAATCCAACTAGCGCAGCCAGATGCAAGAAATCTGGCTAGGAGAGATATTCAGAAAAGAATAGGGATCCACAAATAACACTAGTTACCTGGCAGATGTATGTTTGTTTCCCACGCAAAGGTCTCTGCTTACTCATCTGAAGCAAATATACGAGTTAGCCGACAAGAATCTTGGAAACAAAAGATTTAGTTTATGAATGAGCAATTTTGGCCAAGAGTTGTGCTCATGCATTTCAATGGAGCTCATTGTTACTTAAAGGCGACGCAACCTGTGAAGAAGATCTGAAATAACAAACAGCAAGAAAATAATGGCTAATTAGTTTCTCAACAAACATTGAGTTAAAGTTAAAAATTAAGTTAGACCTTATTCATTCACAATAACGACATCGATAGCATTGTTAATGACAATATTCAAGTGGTTTCATGGCTCCTCTGCATGCAGACACCTATGTCGCAGAAGTATTGAACATATTTAGGTTTAAACAACATCTTATAGAGACCCTAATCTCTTGGAATTGTTCCAAATGAAACGCCATTCATTGTGGAATTATGTCCATCAACTCTTGGTATTGACCATGTAAGTTCGACCAACAGCCAGGACAATCCCACGGACCTGGAGCCGAGCCCAAAAAGTGAAACAATTGACGCAGTCAAAACCAGAGAGGCATCGAGAACAGAATAAATAATCAATCTTGGTTGTTCTTTCTTTCTAAATGTAGTCTCCATGTGTTCACTTAACTACATAACCTTGAAACCCATACGGTCAATACACAGGACTACAAGTGTATATTTCCACAACAGGTGAATGTAAACTAACAAAGGAAATGCATTACATCTTTGAGAATTCAAATAACAGAAGTATCAGCTGAGACCCCAGAATCTTTAATTCTCCACTAATCTTATCAATTTTAACCAAGAGTGCACCCAGTCTAAACAATCCCACTTCGCCACGTGACTAAAAACCCACCTTCCAACCACTTAAGCCGGTCAAGACCTATTCAAAACATCATCGTGGGTCGACAATCTGCTTAACAGTCTGCATTATTTTCTGGCTACATGCCTCTTCACTTCTGATAGTTACCCTTCTACCATTTCTGTCCACTGAATTGTTCAATGTCTCTGGAGAAACGAACCTCCAGACTCTTTGGGTCGAGAATCTCCGCTATTTTCTCCTCCAATGACCACCCACACCTTGAAAGACGGGATTCGACCACCCGAGGCGCTTCGCTGGCTCAGGCCAATGCAGCAAGAGCCACGGCACAGCCGCTATCGCGAGCTCCGCTTATCAACACGGGACACAGCATGACGTACGGTAGAGATGACCTTTCGACCTCGAACGCTCAAGCTGAAACTGGCGCAAACGGACCCCTTACACCGAAAAGAAGCACCAAGGGACTTGCTACCTACTCAAATGCCGTGTCGTCGCCGGATGTCACTCCTTTAGCGCTGCCAACTGCGAGTACAGGCAGACGTCATAGAAAACCTCCACCACCACTAGATCTTACACTGGAGATACAACCTAGCCCCTTCAAACAGCTACTGCAACTCCCAGCCACACAGCTCACTTCAGAGAGTACACCTCTGCATAATGTTCACGAAGGACTCACAGATATAATTGATTCGCTCGAAGAGGAAATTGGCAACATGATGGGAACGCCAGAACGAACACAAACGTTCCATTCTTCGGACCTGAGGCTGGTCTCTGCAGAACCAACAGATCCGCTCAATTTCCGAAAACCTAACGTTATACCAGAAGTGAATGTCCATAGCAAACTGAGGGTTTCAAATGAACTGGCTATAGACAACCAAAACGCTCGTTTTCCATCGCAAGGGCTTATTAAAACCAACGCATACGTTCGTGAAATGCCAGGACTACCCGAAGAACTTCGTACCCAGTTCTCTTATAGTCTGCCAGAGAGACGTACCCCTTCAACTACGGATAACCTGCCGCTTCTACTCTCTCCTTCAAAGGATATAATACAGGGCCCCCTGCTGCCAGCATATGGCATTGGTCGCCGGAGTATGGTCACCAGTAAAGAGCCTATCGACTCAATATCTCCAGCTAGCGGACTTGGATATGCCAATCCAGATGTGGCCAGCCCACTCAAGTCCAATATTAGTGCAGATTCAAAACTGCCAATTTCAGGAGATTTCGAATTTGCTGCAGAAAATGATGAGTACAGCCTGTCCGATGACTTAGAAAGTATGCACACACTGGAGCAACAGCTATGGCCGGCAGATACACATTCTCTATCCACACAGAGTAACTCGATCACTGCCAGTCGCGACAGTTTGGGTGCCCAGAACCTGGAGAGTCTGAGGCCGGCGCTGCTCATGCGCAGCCAGGAGAGCGGGACAGGGTCAAACTCGCGTTCCGCCCTGCCTGCGTTCTTTGTTCCTGAAAAGATTGGCGATTCTACCAATGGATCGAGGTCAAACTTGGACTTGATTCTTGAGAATGCGGATGGCCCAGAACCTCCCAACCATAGCAATTTTGGCCCCCTGAATTCTGTGACAGGGACAAATGCAACTAGAGCTTCTATGAGTCAAAATGTACAAGCGAGTCCTGGTTATCCACTTGCGGAGAACATTGACATGTTACTGGGATACACATTTGGCCACAGCAGCCCGCAGAATCCTCGCAGTCCACTCAAACCTACGCCAACATTTATGTCTACTGAATCTGGAATGTCTGGAGTTTCTGGGGTTTCAAGAACGTGGTCAAACTCAGCACTGTTAAAAAACTTTCACCAACGGATGCTGCTGGCTAGCTCGATCACATCCAATTTATCCAACAGGCCTGTTAATTTGGCCACTTTGAAGCGGTCGTTTAGTCTTCGCCCTGGAGAAGGTGAACAATCTGCTTACGTTCAGACTATTCGAAAAAGAGTAGGTACTTCTTATAATGAAACTGGTCCTGGCAGGTGGAAGTTGCCTACCGGTATTATGCCTGTGGACAAGAAGAGCTTGTATCTTCAGATCAGCAACAAATACAATCGTGGTGGAAACAGCGCACGTGGTAAGAAGGCCAGTGGAGTGGAGTTGAAGCATGGACATTTACGTCCACGTATGTTAGCGGCGGAGGTTGACGATAGTGATGATAGCAACAGGTTTGGATCGTTGGGTCGGTCAATATCTAATGCAGTAACCAGTTCCACGACGCCTAAAGGAATAACTCCAGTAACGTCGAAGTCCTCAAATTCCATCTTGGGAGGTATTTCCCGAGAGAGCTCTCTCAATCGTTCCAAATCGCTTGCTTCGGGCTCGACAAATAACGATATCCAAAGCGTGCGTACGAGAGACTCTAAAGTTTCTCGAATTGACAGTGACGCGTCTTCATCGAACTCTGATGGTTCAATCTCTGAATACAAGTTCCTGGATGGTTACTACCAACATCCAAGATACAAGTATGATGATGAGGCAGACAGCGAGCGATTCAGCCCTTCAACAGAAGATGGAACAATGAATGCAAATTATGACGACATCGACGATATCAACGAGGACTACGATGATGAAGAGGAGAAGCCACGTCTTTTCCTTGCAAACCCTGATCTGTCCAGTGAGGAATGGAATTAAGATGGTGACGACTGGGACCGCTATATTGACATAATGTGGTGAGGTTAATATAAAAGAGTATCAAAGAATATAACTGAAGGAAAAATGATCAATTAGAGAGCGCGGATAAAAGAGGAAAGAACTCGACATAATGATGAATATTCGGAGGTAAGAAAGGATAGTAGAATACTATAGAGGGTATTAAACCTGGACACCAAGCTGAAGTTGAATCTTAGGCTTAATATTGCACGTGACCACAATCACGCGCCTTTTCCTCGATCAAATCCTCCAGGTGTTAATTCCAAAACTTGAAGCCCGTCAACACACCCGTCCAATTCACAGGTAAATTGTGTTTTCTATATCGTCATAACCGTTCGAAAACCCTTCTTACCCGTATTTGCCATGTCTGACGCCGGGTACACGTTGATTTACGAGCCCAACACGGCGGCCAAATCGTCGGTCAATGAGTTGAAAACATTATTGGAAAAGTCCAAGGATGACGTGAAAATCGCCACCATGAAGCGCATCATCATTGCGGTGCTTAATGGTGACTCCATGCCAGACTTGTTGATGCACATTATCCGTTTTGTTATGCCCTCGAAGAACAAAGAATTGAAGAAGTTGTTATATTTTTACTGGGAGGTTTGTCCGAAGTTGGATGAGCACGGCAAGATGAGACATGAGATGATTCTTGTATGTAATGCTATCCAGCACGACTTGCAGCACCCTAATGAGTATATTAGAGGCAACACTTTGCGGTTTTTGTGCAAGTTGAAGGAGCCTGAGTTGTTGGAGACTTTGGTACCTAATGTGCGCCAGTGTTTGCTCCACCGCCACGCGTACGTGAGAAAGAATGCCGTTTTCGCTCTTTACTCGATCTTCAAGGTGTCGGACCACTTGATTCCTGATGCTCCAGAGTTGATTTACGGCTTTTTGGCCGAGGAGTTTGACTCTGTATGTAAAAGAAACGCATTTGTTTGTTTGGGCGAATTGAACAGAGATGCAACCTTGCAATACATCCAGGAGAACATCTCTGCCATCGAGACTTTGGATCCTATTTTGCAATTGGCGTTTGTGGAGTTCATCAGAAAGGATTCGTCTTCATCTGCCTCTTTGAAGCTGCAGTATGCTCAATTGATCACTGAAATTATCGAGTCCTCCTCAAACGTAGTGGTTTATGAGTCTGCTGTCACCTTGACTGTTTTGTCCTCGTCTTCTCAATCTATTTTGTTGGCTGGTACTAAGTTTGTTGACTTGGCTACTAAGGAGGCTGACAACAATGTCAAGATTATCACTTTGGAACGTATCAACGAGTTGAACAAACAATATCCCGGTGTTTTGCAAAGTTTGTCCTTGGATATCTTGGGCGTTTTATCCACCCAAGACATTGATGTTCGTAGGAAGGCTCTTGATGTGACTCTCCTGCTTGTCACCAGCAGAAACGTCGAGGACGTTGTGAAGTTGTTGAAGAAAGAGTTGCTGAGATCTTCTACCACCAGTGAAGACAAGAGCTCTGAATATAGACAGCTTTTAATTAACGCGATTCACCAGCTCGCCATTAACTTTGGCGAGGTGGCTACCAACGTCATTGACTTGTTGTTGGAGTCTATTGGCGATCTTTCCACGAGTGCCGCCTATGATGTCGTGACTTTTGTGAAGGAAGCGGTTGAGAAGTTCCCAGAGTTGAGGGAGCCAATCATCCACAAATTGATTAAGAGCTTACCTGATGTCAAATCGGGTAAAGTTTTCCGAGGTGCATTGTGGATCTTGGGTGAGTACTCTGCTGACGATAGTTCTGTGAAGGAAGCCTGGAAGTTTATCAGATCTAGCATCGGCGAGGTTCCTATCTTGGCCAGCGAAAAGAAGAACTCAGAGCCTAAGGATCAAGAAAACGAAGAAAATGGAGACGACGTGGTCTCCAAGCCTAAGAAGGGCCCAGTCGTCCTTCCAGATGGTACTTACGCCACAGAGAATGCTTTGACTGCAGAGGTTAACAATTACGAAGATGAAGATGCAGCTCGTATTAGAAAACTCATTTTGGCAGGTGACTTTTACTTGGGTGCCGTTTTGTCTTCTACGTTGGTCAAGCTTGTATTGAGATTGACTCAAATCCAAACTGCCGAGAAGTTTGTGAATGCATTGAAAGCAGAGGCATTGTTGATTATGGTGTCTATTTTGAGAGTGGGAGAATCTACTTATGTTTCTAAGAAAATCGACGAGGATTCCGCTGACAGAATCTTGGCCTGCATCAAGTTCTTGACAGACGACGAAGATAACCAGTTGATCGCCCAGGGATTTTTGGAGGACACTAAGGATGCATACAAAGCACAGATCATCAGCGAGCAGAAGAAGAAGTCGAAGGCTGAAGCAAAGGACTTCCACGAAAACGCTGAGCAAATTGACGATGCGATTATTTTCAGACAATTCGAAAAGAACAATTCTGCTGCGAAACGCGATTCCGATGATGTCCTTTTGGCTTCTGGTGCCACTGCCAAGACTGAAGAATTGTCTTCTAGATTAAACAAGATATTGCAGTTGACTGGATTCTCTGACCCAATCTATGCTGAGGCTTACGTAAAGGTACATCAGTTCGATGTCACATTGGATGTGTTGTTGGTCAACCAGACTACCACCACGTTGAGAAACTTGTCGGTGGAGTTTGCCACTCTTGGTGACTTGAAGGTTGTGGACAAGCCAGCCACAGCTAACATTGGTCCACATGGATTCCACAAAATTTCCGTCACAGTGAAGGTGACATCAGCGGACACGGGTGTCGTGTTTGGTAACATCGTTTACGACGGACAGCATTCCGACGAGTCTACCATTGTCATCTTGAACGATGTGCATGTTGACATCATGGACTACATTAAGCCAGCCACATGTACGGAAAGCGTTTTCCGCAAGATGTGGAACGAGTTTGAGTGGGAGAACAAGATCACCATTAAGTCGCAAATGGGTTCTTTGAAGGAGTACTTAGAAGAATTGATGGCTGGTACAAACATGAACTGCTTGACGCCTGGTGCCATTGTTGGAGAGGAGTGCCACTTTTTGGCAGCAAACTTGTATTCTCGTTCTTCATTTGGAGAAGATGCATTAGCCAATTTGTGTATTGAGAAGCAGGCCGATGGCCCTATCATTGGTCATGTCAGAATAAGATCGAAGGGCCAGGGTTTGGCTTTGTCGCTAGGAGACCGGGTTGCATCTATTTCGCGTAAGAACAAGGTGTCTGAGGTTTCCAAGGTCTAGACGTCTATTCTAATATTTTTCTATTGTAAAAACCACTTTGAATCAATAAAAGTTTTGTTGTGTATGCTTGTGTATTCTCCAGACATTTAGTAGTCATCATATGAAAGCACCTATTTAGACAGTAGATATGATTGCGAATATATGAACGAGAGCACTCTGTTCTGATTCTCTGACTTTTTCTGCTTCTCATCGTCCGTGTTTCCCAACTTATCCCCTTCGTGAACGCTAATCACGTCCAATAGTTTGATGTTGGCATCCACATTGTAGACATTGTAGGAAAAGCGCAGAAATATGTACACCAAGCTATTGAACAATGACAGGAAGTCTCCACTCAAGGTGGCTGTGTGCAAGTTTCTGTTGAGATTGTAGATGGAGTAGTCAATTGCCTGGACCGGGAACCGAGCTGCTAAGTTATCCATTTCTAATGGAGTAGCTTCCACTAAGACATCCAAATGATAATTATGAGATTTTAGCGTAAATGGCTCAACCTGAACAAAATTGTTGAGTTTGCTATTCAATAAATACGCTAAGTATATGGCCACGCTCAGCGTTTGCTGAAGAGTTCCGTAAACGGTGACAATTCTATCAACATTCAATGGAGATTTGTCTGAGATGGAAAACGAGCTGATTCCGAAATCTCTCTGGAGTTCCTCCTGGATATCTGAGGTGAAATAGTCGATTTCTGAATCGCACATGACGATTTTAGTACACGAAGCAACATTCTGATCTTCTGGCACTTGCAATTTCTGAAGGTATTGCTTTACTTTAGCTGGTTCAACCACAAGATTTGAAGGTTGCGGAAGGTCTGAATCCTCAAACACTAGAAGTTCGGATGCAGTACTAGTTGATGGAGAATCCTGCCTCCTCTTCCTTGTTAACCTAGACGTAGGTCTGGACTTCAGAAACATTGATCTTAGGTCTGATGATAGTGGAGTGCATGAGAGATCATTCTGGTTAAGTATTATAATCACGTGACCATAAAAATGGCCGAGTTGAGAAAGAAGCACACCCGTGCACCACTCACCCATCTCATCCCAAAAAAAACCATCAAGCATTTTTCCATTTTCCACATAACTTAGCAATGGCCAAGAAAGATAAGGTTGAAGAGTCCGGAGAGGACAACTACGATAAGAGAATGGCTGCTGTGTTGCCATTTGCCAAGCCACTTGCACCAAAGAAATTGAACAAGAAGGTTCTCAAAACTGTCAAGAAGGCCTCTAAGGCTAAGCATGTCAAGAGAGGTGTTAAGGAGGTGGTCAAGGCCTTGAGAAAGGGCGAGAAGGGTCTTGTTATCATTGCTGGAGACATCTCCCCTCCAGATGTCATCTCCCACATCCCAGTCCTTTGTGAGGACTCTGCAGTTCCTTTCGTGTTCATCCCATCCAAGGAAGACTTGGGTTCTGCTGGTGCCACCAAAAGACCCACTTCTTGTGTGTTCATCGTTCCAGGTGGAGGAAAGTCCAAGAAGAACGCAGACAAGACCGAGGAGTACAGAGAGGCCTACGATGAGGTTGTTAAGGAGGTGAACGGATTGGAGTAAATGTAATATTACTTCAATTCGAGATGGTCCATGGGGCCAACGCACAGGCTCCACCAGCCTGATTGTAAATTAACGGCATTATTTCCACAGATCTGTAACTAGACAATACATGAATCAGTTAGAAGAAGAATTAGGCAGTGAAGGATACAAGGAGAGAATGAGAGTACGAGGGAGCAGATCAGAGAAGTGGAGAGAGCAAAAGTCAGAGGAGGAGAGAAACAAAAAGAGAAGAAAGCGGAAGAGATTTTAAGATGGAAAGTGAAGGAGCTATGATTTAAAAAGGCATCAAACAAATATAGTTGTTGAGTCGATATTAGACAACTGTTCGAAGTCTGCTTAATGTGAAAAAATGTAATTGGAATGATTGATTATTATAAATGCTTCTGCTCCAATTATTTCCTTTATCAAGTTTGGAAATCGACTCTTGAGCAATATAATTTGTTTTCTGATTTTCACAATGTATCTCTTTAGTCTCACTTTGTTAATTTCCGAGTTTAGTCCACGAGCGTCGGTATCGTCAAAACTAGGCCAACTATTTTCAATTAAACCAGCCACCTTCTTGTCTCTGATTCCATTCCTTACATTTTTGTTGAAATTCACTTTCAATTATACTCATATACACACAAATTCACAATAACACTACTCTTTGTCACTGACAAGAGAAATGGAGTTCTTTTCAGCATCATCTTCCAACTCCTTAGCCCTCTTAGTATCTCTGCGGGTGAAGTAACACGCCAACAGTGTCAAAACAGCACCAAAAGCATTCAAGCACGCGGTGTATGTGAAACCAATGTGGTACACTGGCTTATCCTGGGTGTTCCACACAAAGATAGGAACCCAAGCACCAGTAACGTACGCCAAAGTGTTCGTACAGACAACGACGAAGTTTCTCTTCATATCATCTTGGAACAAAAGCCTGTTAACCCAAGAGTAGATGAAAGGCTGGCCGAACGAAGGAGGAATGCCAACCAAGAAGTAACAGAACCAATGAAGCCCTCTAGGGATCTTCCAGTGAGCAAGCAAAGCACATCCGATCATCAGCGGAATAAAGAAGCCGTAAACGTAGAAGTGATTCTTCTTTCCTCCAATGAAATTATGAGAGTATGCCAATACCAACGTCACAAAAATGGCTGAAGCACTCAAAATGGTAGGATAGGTATTATAAACGTAACTGCTCACCTTCAAGTCAAGCTTCATCCAAGTAGTGAAAGCTGGCTGAGATGCAACAGCACAGGCATTGTTGTAGGCCAAGAACAAGAGAGGGAAAACATAAAGATGCCAGGTGCTGAAGAACGATTTAATTTTGGGCCAGGTATATTTCTGACGAGTGTTCAACTCTGCTCCGATAAGTCTTCTTCTCTCCAAACCAACAAGTCTATCTTCCTCAGTGAAGTACCAAGCGTCGGTGGTCGATGGGGTATTGGGGTCCACCATCATAGTGTAGATACCCACGGGCAAAGAGATAATAGCGTCAAAAACAAACATCCACTTGAATGGAGGCATTGATGAATGTGCAAATCTCTTCAAAAGTCCCTGTTGCAACGGACCCGATATCAAACCGGCAGCATTTCCAGCCACTGCAAAGTAGGCACTTCTAGTAGAAAGTTCAGCCGCACTATAATTACTACCGACCAAGTATTCCATTCCGGGGAAGAAACCCGACTCCAACAAACCAAGGAAAAATCTCAACGCATACACAGATGGCAAGTTCTTACATGTGATCATCAACACAGTTAACAAAGCCCAAGTGATCTCCAAACCACCCAAGTAGTATCTTGCCGAAATTCTGTGCAAAATAAGATTAGAAGGAATTTGGCCGATAATGTATCCAACGGTCCACAAGGTAACCATGTAGTTATACTGGTTATGTTCCATTTTGTAGTATTCGTCCATTCCGTTAACGTAGGCAGTAGCAATATTGGACTGATTCAAGTTCTTGATGAAGTAACCGAACATGGAAGAACTCAACAAGAAGAAGTCAAGTTTAGCCAAATACTTCTGTTCCTTAGGATGCTTTCCGGTACCATCCCAAAAGAACTTTCTGATCTTGAAAATAACAGATTTTTCTCTTCTTGCAATCTCTTCTGGTGTCAATTTCACCTGAATGTCGATATAAGGAAGGTCTTCCGAAACCTCAGTCTCATGAACATTCAATCCACCTTCTTTTCCTGTAGAACTACCTGTAGAGTTCTGGTCCGATGTACCGGCAGGATTGTTTCTCCGTCTATAGGACTCAGTAATCTCTGGTCCTTCAAGTGCTCTCTTGAGACCTGCCCAAATTCCCATTTTAGTTTCTGTAGATTGAAAGAAAACAAACGGCTCTATCCCCTTTATATATTCGGATGTGTCTAATAGATAAAATCAATGAGTTCATTTCACGTCGGGATGATTCTATCGGTGTGGGTCCTACCTAGTATGGAATACTAGCAGGTTCCCCGATGCACGATTAAAAATATGAATCAAAGTGATAAATCCTTCTGCCAAGAATACTGGCCAATAATAAACGAGATCCAGCGAGTATATGCACTGCTTTATCGGTTTTTGACCCTGTGGCTGGACTGTGGAAACTATTTTTCGCAGCCACACAATAGTTTTAACTAGTCGGAGACGTCAAACTCTGTCACGTGATCAAGCCACATGTAGATGGTGACAATTAATGAACAATAGTCTCCACACTTATAAGCGGAATTTTTTCCGCTTAATCTACCAAGGCGGGCGAACGGCTAATACGAGCCATTTCCAAGAATTTTACAGTTTTGGGAATGGAATCCGACATTGTCTATTGGTAGTTTAAGGCGGGACATTTATTGTTTTAGGCATTTGATCCCGGCAAATGGGTACTCTTTCTCTTAGCATGTTACACCATCGCCGGTAACATGCAAATCTTGCTTAGTAATGCATTGCAACCCTAATAATTAGCTAGCCGTTCTTTTTATCTATTTCAGGGTGTGGTTGTGTGGATTAACATGCCATCAATGAATTAGCCACCATACATTCGGGTTCAGCCGGTATCGTTCACTGCCAGTTTGAAGTATGCTGTAATATTGTGTTGTATCTGGTTTTTAATTGAAAGGAGCCCTGCTTTGTGATGTATCCCAGCGAATAGTGCTCGAGGTTGACATCAACAATAGCATGAAAGATGGCATAGAGCAACGGAAACATTATTAGTTAGGTCCCGTTGTGACCCGCCCAAATTTTTTTAAATCTTTGTCTGTGTTTGTCTGTGTTTGACTGTGTTTGCATGTGCTTGTCTTTGCCTTGGTCCCTTTGTTTCTGTCTTTGTTTTTGTCACTATGGGTGACATTTACGAGTTCTGGACTATCACTTTGGGCGATGTCTGATGATTTCGGAAACGTGTTCAGCTAAGTGACCCGAGAGATAGGAAGAGGATAGAAGATTTCCCGACCCGAATAACTTCAAGAAATTAACATCCCGAAGAAATGTAAGAAAGTGTGCAGTGGGATGCCTCCGATGACTATGATATATCGGTAGTGATGGGCCCTATTCCGGACCTCTCATAACATCCACACTGAAGCCCACAGCTGATATATCGTGGTAATGGTTGAAACCAGGACCATGCAAATATCCACATGGACATTCGGAAGCCAAAATTTTGGTGTCCATGGCGTCGTTTGACTTCTCAACGGTTTGGGATGGAGTCATGGTGCCGTTCAGTCGGATCTCCGTGCCAACCTTGGTGACAACTATCCTATCACTGGACTCTATGGATCCTATTTTTCTGCGTTTTGCTTCAGGCAAGATAAGAGACATTTTCAATTCTTGATCCAGCGAAATGAACCAATAGTAACCAGTAGAAGAGAAGGCATCGATTTTGCAATTGGTATGGCATCGTCTCTACTATATACAGGAAATCTGGGTATTAGTTTCCAGAACAGGAGATTATTGAGTAGTTGCAATGATGTGTGAATCTTCGGGTTTGAAGGAACTAGAGTTGCGTTTTAATTCTGACCATTCTCGAGGTGATTCATTTTTTTTTTTTTTTTTTTTTCATATGTTCGTGGTTGAACACTATAGTAGTGAAGGATTTCCAGCTCGCAGGAGTCAAATTCACTATGCTCATCAATAGATATATATGGTCCTGACATATAATGTGGTTGGGATTGTAGTTCTTTTTTTTTTTTTTTTCATTTTCTTTTCACCTCTTTGGATTATATCAACTTGGCCGCTATAAAGCCGAATTCCCGCTTAACCTTAGCCCTCAATTTCACTTCCCAATTTTTGTCTAGAACTGACCTGGCCGCCGGACACTGCACACAGCAACACAGCCGGACAGTGATCAACCAGATATCTTAATCTAACATTATCTACAAGCTACAAGCCATTTCATCATGGGAATCAAGAAAATGTTCACCAAAAAGGAGCCGACTGAGCAGGAGTTAATAAACGAGATGCAGAACGTCGGAATCTCCACTAAGAGCACCAACGGCCGTCAAGAGAAGTTTGGAGCTTTTAAGAATTACGCTACAGAAAGACTGAAGATGAAGCCCGGTTTTGCCCCCGTCAATCCCTACTCCAATATGAATGCTTCGCTGAGTAACCCTTATGCCCAGAATGATACCAATCAGGACGGTCAGAGCGGTAATGGCGGTGCCAACGCTCAATCAAATCCATATGGAAATCTGTCCAATCCTTATGGCGCTCTGGCGGGCCACCCTCAGTCAAGTCAACAAAGTCCTTATGCTAGCCAATCAGGGCAAAACAGCTCAAATCTGTACGGCGGCAGTCGCCCCAGTCCTTATTCTAGCTCAAATGGACCATCCAGAAGTGGGAATGGAGCTGAGGCCACCCGTCAACAGGCTTCGAACCCCTACGCACCTAATAGAGGTCAACAAGGCAGCAACGGTAGCGCATCTTTGCCTTATAACCGTACTCCTACTGGAACTTCTGTGGCCGGTGGCAGAACTGCTAATCCATACGATTCTAGCTCCAGGAGCTACGGGGGCAATACTAGAGGCGATGAAGAACTGATCCTTGACTTGAATGCCATCCCCACTAACCAACCCGCCGTTCAGTTGAAAAAACCAATCCAACGTTCAAAAATGAACGACACAGATACTTTGGATTTGAACGATGAGGACGATTTGAATGTGGAAGTTGACGACTTTTTACCCGAACAGGAGCAGGTAAATTCTGAGGATGAAGAGATCGAAGCCATCAAGCAGGATATTCGTTTCACTAAGCAAGAGTCTGTGGCTCTGACCAGAAACACATTACGAATGGCACAGGAAGCTGATGCGTCAGGAATCAACACGTTGGGAATGTTGGGATCGCAATCGGAGCGGTTGTACAATGCGGAGCAGAACTTGCTCTTAGCTGACACTCAAACGAAGATCGCCGATGACAAAGTCTCTGAGTTAAAGAGATTGAATCGTTCGATTTTCGTGCCTGCCACAGGCAACCCTTTCAATAAGAAGCTGAGATTACGCCAGCAGGAAGCAAAAATGAAAACACAGAAGGAGCAAGAGAAATATTTGAGAGAAACAAATAGGCAAGGTATGTACGCCAGTGAACAGCGGGTAAAGCAAGGTATTACCAATAATGCGACCAATTCGGACACATATAACAAGTACCAGGATGAGAAATATTTACTGCAGGCTAAAAGGTACCAATTCGACGCCGATTCGGAAGACGACGACATGGAGAAAGAGATTGGTTCCAATTTGGATCAGATTTCCAGCTACGCCAAAAAGTTGCAGAGTACTGCATTGACGATGAACAAGGAAGTCGACGCACAGAACGAACGGTTGAGAAAAATCGAAGAGGATGCTGATCGGTTGGACATCAATGTGCACCTCAACTCTACTCGGTTGAACAATATTCGTTAAGAAAGCTTTCACATGCATTAAAGGCAATCGAAAAGAAGATGATTCCTCGGATGTTTTGTCAATTCTGCTTCTGTTTATTTTCTTGTGGAGTTAATTTTAATCCAAAATAGTACGTTAACCAGCGAAATGTGAAGGGAACTGGACAAATTTGGAATCCGAAGGACGATCTTCTAAATTTAGCAGCCGCATGTCCAAATCCGTGGGGGGCTTATGTGACAGACAATATAATTTTTTACCAATGTGTGACTTAATTGTGCAGTATTGAAGCTGAAAGTGTGACATAGCGAACATCAATCTGACAATTTTTGGTTCCCTTGCATAAACATACTGAGCGGTGCTCTGTGGGTGAAAAGAATATAAATATTGGAGTTTTCGTCCTTTTTAATTGTCCATTCTTTATCATATCCTAAAATGTTGCAAATTGCTACCTTGTTGTCTCTCGCTGCTTTTGTTGTCGCTGACCAGACTTTCCAATTGACTGCTCTGGGATCTACCGTGAACACCCCAGTCACCTATAGTGACTCCAGACTTACCTTGAAGAACGGTGACGTTGCTACCTTCACCTTAATTGAGCCAATTGGTTACTTGACTGTTGGTGACTTGTATGCTGCTTCTACTCCACTGAACGGTCTCGAATTGACCAGCCAGGACTCTGCCTCCAGATCCTGGGGTATTGACAGTGGCAAGTTGAGACTTGGCGCCACTGGTTCCGGAAACCTCTTCTACGCTTGTCCTGATGGAGATGCTTACTTTCTTCAAGGCTTTGCTTGTGACGGTGGTGAGCAGGTTGACTTGATTGTCGGTGATGCTGCTGCGCAGACCACTACCCCAGAGACCTCCCCTGCTGCTGAGACCTCCACTGCTGCTGAGACCTCCACTACCGAGACCTCTTCGACTGCTTCCTCCTCTACTGAAAAGTCTACTTCTGCTGCTGCTTCTTCTTCTGCTGCTGCTTCCTCTTCTGCTGCTGCCTCCTCATCTGCTGCTGAGAGTACCTCTGCTACTACCAAGACCGATGTCTCCTCTACTTTGGTTACCATCACCTCTTGCTCTGAGGGCTGCAGTGCTACTTCTGCACCAACTGTTTCCAGTGCTGGCTCTGGTGCGCAAGTGAAGGTTGCTGCTGGCGCAGCTTTCGCTCTTGGTGCTTTGATGTTGTAAGCATCTAATGAATTAAATGAATAATAAAATGCACGGCTTGATTTCGAAAATTCTAAAAGTAGTTTCAAACAACTTTTTTAGCGACTACTTGTTTCAAGTAAAAAAGAGAGTAAACACATGCTACCTGTATTGTTTGGTTGCAATTTCTTGATGGTTTAGGCGGTCGGGTACCTCACTTTGTACGGGACATTGCTCAGACTTGCTATTTTGAGGTTTGTAAACGAGTCCATCTATTTTGAATTATATGCTCCATGATGTAATATGTTACGTTTTCAAAACAATGCAACATTGCATTGGGAAGTTTTGAGCAGCTATCCTATTGTTATCAGGCAGGAAACTACAAGCGACTTGATTTGGGATTCATAATCTGATGGCATAGTACGTACAATGTACAATGTCCTATTGTGACATTGTGACCTCGGGCTTCACGTGGTGCTAGGGTTTAGTTGCTGTACACAGATTTGGAGTGAAATCGAACAAAACCATGATGGAACTCTGAGGTCCAAAATAATCTTTATTCTCCCTCTTGACTACTTTTTTTATGGATTTTTCCTCGGTTAACTTCCAGCTGAATTTTCGTGCCAGTTCCTCTCAATCCATGTCAAATTTGATCAAGTATTCGCTTGTTACGTCATTATGGACAGTTGTATACACTCCCGAGTGGTTATCTATTCCCAGTTGAAGGTTTTCTTAAAACTACCACTCCTCTTGAGAAAAGTTAAGCGGTGATGCTGCATGTTCACATCAAGGAAAGCTTCCTAGTAGGAAGAGCGCTCTTGAATTTCACGTCCATCTTTGTGTCGCTCGGAGTGTTCCTCTTCGGCTTCGAACAGGGGTTGATGTCATCTTTATTAACCAACAAGTACTTCAAGAACTACTATAACAACCCTTCACCTGCTGAGGTTGGTACTATGATCGCCATTTTGGAGATTGGCGCGTTGTTTTCGAGTTTTGAAGCGGGAAAAGTTGGTGATAAGATCGGCCGCAGAAAGACAATCCGTTACGGATCATTCATTTTCGTAGTGGGAGGAATCATCCAGGCTACGTCGCCCAACATTATCGTTTTGGGATTCGGAAGACTCGTAGGAGGTGTTGCAATTGGCTTTTTAACTACTATCATTCCCTGCTATCAGCTGGAGATTAGTCCTCCATCTGACAGAGGTTTCTATGCCTGCTTGGAGTTCACAGGAAACATCGTGGGCTATGCAACCAGTATCTGGGTAGACTATGCCTTTTCTTTCTTGGAGAGTAACTGGTCCTGGCGTCTGCCTTTGTGGGTGCAAGTAGTGATGGGTTCTTTGCTCTTCTTGGGGACCTATGTGATTGTGGAGACTCCAAGATGGCTCTTGGACCATGACGAGGATATCGAAGGTATGATTGTCATCAGTGACTTGTACGCAGATGGTGATGTTGAGGATGAAGTGGCCAAGTTGGAGTTTAGACAAATAAAAGAGAACGTTTTGATTGCCAGAGTGGAAGGGGGAGAGAGATCATACAAGTACATGCTTACTCGCTACACCAAGCGTGTTTCCGTGGCTTGCTTTTCCCAGATGTTCGCCCAAATGAACGGCATCAACATAATTTCTTATTATGCGCCTATGATATTCGAAAGCGCTGGCTGGTACGGACGTTCCGCGATTTTGATGACTGGAATTAACTCTTTGGTTTACTTGGCCAGTACTGTTCCGCCGTGGTATTTAGTCGATGGCTGGGGAAGGAAACCATTACTTTTGTCAGGAGCTGTTGTGATGGGAGTCTCTCTCTTCTTAATTGCATACTCTCTATTTTTGAATGACACCTACACTCCGCAGGTCGTGGTGGGTCTTGTCATCATCTTCAATGCAGCATTTGGTGCCAGTTGGGGTCCTATTCCGTGGATGATGAACGAGGTGTTGCCTAACTCAGTTAGATCCAAGGGTGCTGCCATGTCCACAGCCACCAATTGGCTCTTCAACTTTATTGTCGGAGAGATGACACCAATTTTGTTGGACCTCATCACCTGGAGAACATATTTGATTCCGGGATGTTCATGTGTCCTTTCCTTTTTATGCGTGCACTACTTGTTCCCGGAGACCAAGGGCTTATCATTGGAGGAAATGGGATCAGTATTTGACGACTCGTCCTCCGTGTTCTCGTTCCATTCTGGATTCAACTCCGGAAGCAACGTTTACGGCTCTACAGATAGCGATTCGAGACATGGAAGCATGGTGGATGGTTTGATTGGAGAATCTTCCGTGCGTCCTAGCGCGGCCCAAAGAGCCAGAAATCCAGCCTCCATGAGATCAGAAATGGATGGACTAATCACCGGGACTCCGACTATCCCACACATTTCCAACACGGAGGTGTTGAAGCCTGTGGCATCTGACGTATCCTCAGTGCACGACGACAGTGCTACGGACCCACCGAGCGTGGATGCGATTGTAGAATTCAAAAAAAAGAAGGATGCCGCTTCTTGGTGGTCGCGGTTTAATTCCAGATCTGCAGACTACGAAGCATTGAATTAGAGGCAAATTTAGACCATATTAAACATGCCGTATACGTCGAGAATGTGTAGATTATTCCCGCTTAGTGCCGACAACCACATACCACTACACTATTTTTTTTTATTTTTTACCCTACACGATACTATGTGTAGGTACAGAAGGGTCTTTATTTTTTACCGTTACATTCCCAATGCAATCCAATGACATCCAAACCTCACAGATGGTGGCATTAAAAAACGATCCAACATCACCAATGAACGACTGTCATCTGATTGTTTGTTTATGTGAGTGTTTAGTTGAAGCACAGTGGTCAAAAGTTTCACCTAATCCCCCAGCCTACACTGAACATGCTCACCTCAAACCATTAAGTATAGGAGGTCAAATTCCTTCCCCTGACGTGATGGTAAGATGGCAGCCAATCAAGGCGCATTTTCGCAGAAAAACGTCATACTGTTTCCTCACCCTGCATACAATCCAGGAACGACAACACTGTTTATGGTTAATATGCACAATCTTCAGGGCTCTCGACAAGGTTTTCACGTTTCGTTTGATCAGGGCATGTTGGGCAAATCTATATATTCTCTGTCTTCTCTTTGAGGGCTTGGTATTTGTTTTTCTTGTTTGAAGCTATTAAATCTCATTTATAATTTCTATCATGTCGTTACTTCTTGACACAGACGTCACCCTCACGGCTACACAGGCTCCAACCGTCACTCTTCTACTGGGCCTACAACAGTTGACCTCGGTACCTCCAAATTTGGCCAACAAGGACAACAACCGCTCAGGCTCATCAACTTTGGCCTTGAGTATGGGAAATGATACACAGGTGGCTTCCATGTCACTGAGCTCATTCAATCTGACTACCTCCAGTATGGGCAGTGGAGCAGTACACCACTCATCCAAGAAGGGAATACTTCTTGCGCTATACATGGCTGGATCCGTGTTGTTTGCGTCGGTGCTTTGAAGAGGCGTCATAAGGATACAATAACGGAAACTCTACATGAGTATAATTAGGCACCAGTGGGCACTTATAGGCGATACATAATTGAATATACCCGGGGAATTACAAATCACAGAAGGTAGTACAGAGAAGATGAATAAGAATGTAAGATATCGTCATAGATCGCTACTTAAAACTGATTACTCTAAATGGACTCTTATTGTGCAAAACATACTGCAAAGCGGCTTTTTGTGAGAGGTTTAGGTATTTTCACTTTCAGATTGTGGAGAAGCTGACTTAGGATATTCTTCACGATTTAGACGGAGGAAACGTCATTGGAAGGATTGTAGACAGTAATACTCACTTAAGATAGACGACCGCGGTTATTTTTTTCGTCCGTATTGGGACAACCTATCAAGTTTAAAGCTGGCCACAGGAATGTCACTCGAAATCTGTATTGCTACCTATTCATGATTAAATGAGGAATTCACCTGAAGAGATGTTATTAGATAGAAAAGAATCATTACATATGACACATTTATTAACGTTGGAACAATAACTTAACAATATTGCTCTTGGTCTCCGTGGCCAGTCGTATGGAATACGTACAGATTACTGACAACTCTCATCACCTTCTACAGGTAGTCGATCAAATCAAGTTCCAGGCGCCAGTCCTTGAAAAATGCCTTAAAAGTCTCCACGCCGATACCAACTTCCTTGTACCCTGCCGCAGCACGAATACTATGCATACTCAATTGTGCAAGTCCCACGTCAATGACTCGTGCACCCGTGTCGACTGCAAGCATAGGACCGATAGTTCCTCCAGAAGGCATGTCATTCCTGATATGAAATTGCTGCAATGTCAACTCGTTCTTAGCAGCCACGGCCTCCATCATAGCGATTCCAATCAGGTCGGTCATGACATGCCCATTGGCATCCTTCTTCAAAGTGAGTCCAATGTTGGGTAGGGGAAAGTGGTTGGTCAAGTATGCGGAAGTAAAGTTGGGGTTGAGCAAGTGTGTGACATCCGCGGAGAGAATGATGGAATTGGCGAATGCAACCTTCACCTCAGTTTGGGAATGTCCCAAACTGGTAATCAAACTCTCAATAGCACTGTTGAGAAATTTTCCCCGGGCTCCAGTTCGTGTGGCAGACCCAATTTCCTCGTTGTTAGCCAAATAGACAATGGAGCATCCAGAGTAATTGGCCAAATCAAGCGTGGACGAAAACTCAAGGAGGCCGTGAATGGCACTGTATGAACAAAGACGGTCGTCAATTCTTGGTGCAAACATGAAGTCATTCTTAATTCCTCCTCTGACAGCCGCTTGGACATCATAAAGATCAAGATCCAACGCAACCAAGTTTGCTACGCTGGTTCCAGCAAGATTGGCAACGTAACGAAGTAAAATGAGCGAGTGTTTTCCGTACAAAGGAGACGCCAACTCCTCTTTTGTAGCGGGCTCGTCGTCTGCGCCGAACGCCATGACAGGCACCATTTTTGTCTCCTTGTTATAAGGCTTCTGAGCAGTGGCACCGAAGTGCGGAGCCAAAGTAGGAATTCTGCAAATAGCATGCAGCCCCGAGGATACGAGCTTGGCTGAAATTGACCTGGTGGTGGCATCCCTAATGAGCACCCTCCCAGCGATTCCCAAGTCTCGATCCAACCATAAATGGTTCAATGCTCCAGAATACGGAGCAACTCCAAGAAGCTCATATCCTGAGACAGGACTTTTGAGCGATGTAGGCTTCAATTTAGCAGTGAGCGCATCAACGTGGGATCCAACAATTCCAAAACCATTCTTTGGTTCCCATTTGCCCCCCACAATAAGTGCAATCAACGACTGCTGGTCTCTTGATGAGAAATAGAGTCCACCTTCAGCATTGAACTTCATGGGTTCCTTCTCTGACAAATATCTGTAATTCAGACTTTCTAGGAGTCTAGAAAAGTAGTCAATTGCGTGGTATGTAGTAGGGTTGGTATCGGTAAAGTGCAAGTATTTCGAACAATAATCCGCATAGAAAGCGTCAGACGTTACGCTTTCTTTCACTTTAGGTGCTACATTTTCGGATACTTCCAAGTTTTCAGGCAACTTTGTGTCAATTGATGAACCCGAGATGAAGATGTCATTATCGATGGTATCACGATCATCATCTTCGTCAGTTAAGAAATCCTGCTCCAGCTCGGTAGTTTCAGGGTCCGTGGACAAAATACCATCGGTATCAAGCACCACAAATGAATTTAAGAGACCCTTGATATCGTCTTTGTTCACAGGCTCCATGTCAATTAAATTGAGGAAGGTTGATTAGAGATTATTTAGTTAACCAGCATTATCAAACACAGGACAAGAGATTCTCACGTGACCATCTGGCAGATTGGATGTCCATAATGACCCTTGTACACAGTGCCGAATGATGATCTTGATGTATGGGGATGCATGGTAAAACGTACATGGACTCCTTCGTGTTTTATAAGTAAATTAAAGCCGAACCGAGAGAATATTGAGGAGGTTCAGCATATGTGCATATGAGTGCGTTTTTGATGCGCAATTGAGGTGCCTTTGCTTCTGTACCTCGGAAAGTATCATCCGATGACCGGCGGGGCGCCATAGAGACGGGATTGGCGAGGCGGCGACATAACCAGAAAAGATCGGAGAGACACAGATTAAAGAGAAAGAAAAGAAGAAGGAGGATTAGCATGTTTGCGGTTACAAATTGCAAAAGTTGTCGCTGCTTGGCCTTGAAAGCTGTTATATTATCCCTTCGCTTTCAAGAAACAAAAGGTGATGATGATTTGATATACGAACGGTGAGATACAGTTGTCGAATTCTTTTTTCTTATTTTTTACTGGCATTCAACTGCAGAATGTTTTCTAAATTCACCTGCATACGTATCTTACAACTTTTTTGGTCATGCTTTCATCCAGTATTCCCAAACGCGGATCCTCTCTAAATTGAAATTAGGTAGCGAGCTTCCCCAAATTTTTCCGATCACGTGACATATCAAACTTGTTCAGTCATATTAAGGAAATACTTGAAGCATCCCATAATCGTACTATCCAATGGACAACTCCACGATAATATTTGTTGTGACATTAGTAGTGGCCTTCATCTTTCTCAGGTGGTTAATCTCACCAATCCCCCAGTCTGTTCCGGAAGAATTCAACATTCCCGATCCTCAAAGACAGAACAACAGAAGTCAGACGGCGGCACCAAGATCAAGAAATCGCTCTTCCCGGGAAATTACCCCTTCAATGATTGAAGTGGTTCGTGCAATCGCACCTCAGCTCACGCCCTCACAAGTAAGATTCAGCTTGGAGAGAACAGGATCGGTGGAAGCTACTGTTGAAGAATACATGGAGAATGGCAGCTTGCCTTTCCCGCCTGGTGAAACGCCTGTGAGTCCAATCGCGGAGACAGAGACACATAATGTTGCGCCCCTGGGAGTTCTGGAGAATTTGATTGAGAAATACGGTTTAGACTTAAACGGCAGCCATAACGAAGATGTGACGGAAGTTTCTGGGAAGTGGGGCAAGGACAAGAACGAGCGTCAGCAACTTTTGAAGAGGAGAAGGGAAGAGATGATTCTTAAAGCTCGGAGACGTATGGAGAAGTCCTTGACAAATGATGCTTTCAGCGATGACTAGTAGTAACATCAATATTTTCATGTATGTCGGGGGAAATTTGCACACCATTTCATTATATTTTTGTAACGGTATTGTAATTGCCGAATCACATTCTCAATTCGTAAACCTCTCGAGGCACATCGGATATGTTAGATTGAAATAATTTGGAACTTGAGATGAACTGTGAAACTTGAACGACTTTTCGAAAAGACGATAACATACTCCTCACTGAAGGGTGTAAAGGTTATTGCATTGATTTGTAAGCATTGCATACGAGGTCAACACAATTCTAGCTAGATTTCACAGAGTTGCAAGTGCCCCCTGTTAATATATTATTCCCAACGGCCTACGCATTGAGCCAAGCTGTCTTGGCCGGCTCCCCGAATTGCAGAATAAATATGTTGCTATATTATGCGACAAACGAAGTTCATATTGTCAATTATGAGAGAGACTGTAGATCTTCGAAATGTATGTGTTGGTTGAGATGGAGTACGATCTTCAAAATTAGATCAAATCAAACATGCGGCTTCTGCGTCTTAAAATAGTCCTTCACCCCAGCGCAAAACTGTAAGCATTAAAAAGATACAAAATAAGAAGAAAAATATTCCAAAAAATTTTGCACAGTGATTCTGTTCTAGATGAGAGAACCATCTGCTGCATGAAAAATATTGACCGCTGTGGGAAGGATCGGAATAAGTGCAGAATGTCGCATATCGGCAAGTCTCTGGTGGCCAAAGGGAGGAAAGTGTAATCTTTATGAACCTGAGCTTGAGTTGATAACGTAGAAAATACATAACAGTGAGCGTATACTTGAGTCTGATGTGTCAAGTTGACATCTGGAATTGTACGGCATTGATTTGTGAACTCCTGTCTGCCATGGCGAGAACAATAGAGTTGGTTTGCAGAAAGTTGCCAATTTCAAAACTAGAAAACGTAATCTATGCCCGCTGCTTTGGGTAAAAGTTCAAATCCGAAAGGAAGAAGAGGAAAAGAAAATACAAAAAAAAAAAAAATAAAAAAAGTGTAGAACTCACCCCTTTTTGGAGTTAGCTTTATTTATTCCGTATTGACAAGAGTTGGCGTGATTCGTCTTTTCTTAGCCACCTTTGATTTTTCCTGTTCCCTCTCATTCAAAAAATCAGTTTGAGCTGTTTGAGGACTTGCAGTAACTGGTTCAGCCATAAATTGTGAAAGTAATGAAGGAGTAACCAATGTGTTTGAAGAGGTGGACGCAACCGGCTCCAGAACTTGCGACTGCTTTTGATATTCTGGATCTTCTTCAAGTGTGTCTTTATCCGAAACCATGATTGGCCCACTAATTTCAACATGAGAATTTGGTGCTGCTCGATTTAACAGCTCCACCTCCTGCGATAGTTCTTTTGCTAATTTTTGCTCCAATTTTTGCTCCATTTGTCCCAGTCTTCGGTTGTCACTCGTACTTTCCGTGTCCATCATATTATTTACTCTTGCCTCCTTTTCTGGAATTTTTTTTTCATCTTCAGTAGCAGTTCCAATGTTGTCATAAGGTGTTCCAAAAATTCCTTCTTCGAAGCCAATGACTGAACAAAATCCTTCTGCTGAAGAGACAATTATATGCTGCCCATCGTTGTCCCAGGAGAGGTCAGTGATAGTTAAATAATGTAGGTTGGACAGTGATCCTATAGGACGCAAGCTCTGAGTATCATAAATGAACACAGAATCTTGAGTGGCCACAGCAAACACCATTTTGTACGGAAGCTTGAAGGCCATGGTTTCCAACGAAGGCAGCACTTCGTATGTGATCGGATTGAACGATATCGCAACAGCGGGTTTCGGAAGTCCCGGCAAGTGACATACTGGAGGTTTGTTCAAACCTGAGCGAGTGTAAATATACACAGTATTTAGGAAAGTGGAATCAGGGGTATCCTTGTCGTCGGTATTGTCGTCGTTCTTGTATATACCCAGCGGTGTTAGTAGAAGGCTTCCATCAGGTGAAAATGCAAGTCTTCGGAAAAACGACTGCAAAGTTTCAGAATGGTAAAGGAGAGAAGAGCGCTTTAAGCGTTTGAGCACTTTTCCCGTACTTGGAATAACAGCCGCAAGTGATTCGCTCGGCAATGTTTTGCGTTTTGGTGATGTGAATACCTGATGCACATGCTTTTGGGATGGTGGACTCATGGTTTTAACCAGGGTAGGCGGGGACCGCGGAGAGCCTTCCGTGGAGGAAAGTACTGCTTCCGTTGTCAGTCCAGACGAAGTGTATCCAGGAGTCAGCAACTTGGATGAGGGGAGCTCTGCCCTGAGAACCTTGAAGAACAGCGTAGGAACAAGCTGAAACGGAAATTCTCCGACATTCTCTTTCAATGAGTAAATATGCAAAGTTCGGTCTGCTCCTTGTGTGGCCAAGTATTCGTTCAAAGGGTCCCAAGTCACACCTTGCACGTAGTGGGAGTGGTCTGCCAATTCACATAGCTTCTGGCCCTCAACACTATAGATTTTGGTGATATTGTCCATGGAACCTGTGGCAATATACTTGGAGTCTGGAGACCAGCAAATGTCGTAGATTTCCAGTTGTGTATTATTAAGCAGCTTAACCACCCATGATTCCTTCACATCATCGTCATGATGGCCAAACTCCAGCACAATGTGATCAGCACGAGTCCACAAAATAAGCATGCCATCATCACCGGCAGTAGCAAGAATTTGTCCTGTGGGGTCAAATTTGACCGCATTGACCGCCTGGGTATGTTTACGGAGTGTGGAAAGATATTCCACAGAAGTCTCCTCGAGGTTTGCCAAAGATTCATACTTGATGCTCCACACACGAACGTTGTTGTCTCCCCCTGCGGTGGCTAGACGCTGTGACCTGGCATAATGTACTGGCTGCAAGCTTACCGAATATACTGGCTGGCTGTCGTCATGCCAATGGACAGCAATGGTTGCAGAATTCATTGGGAAAAAGTGGTAAACAAGTTCGAGGTCAATGTGCGACACAGTGCAGGCTGGTATAGGTCTGCTTCGCGGTAGTAGGTGAAGCTCGGGTGAATGTGCACAACGTGTCGGGATTTGACGCATCGTTCTTGAACCGACGTAGGGAAAAAAAGAAACGAGAAGCTCGCGTTTTTAATCTTTACTGAAAAGTCTTGATAACCATGCTGAATGTGGATTTCCCAAATTGCGATGGGATCCTGCGGCGTATGGGATGGTGTTGAGGTGCATTTGTTCCTTATTGAGTTCGGGATCGATACACAGGTGGCTCATGAAAGATATGCATATGCACACCTCCTAATTATCTGGCATGCTGTACTTAAGCGGGGTTCTCCAGCCTTGTTTGGCCGACCCAACCACCGATACAGATGGCAAAGTCAACCGAAGTTGCCTTGAAGATAACCACATTGTGGTTAACACCTCCCTATGATATTCTCATATTTTGTATTCATTGGTATTTTTCTCTACTCAAATACTTTAAAGCCTTGGGGCCAACAGACCCTGTCTAACTACTTCAATAGTGGCGGTGGCTTTTGCTCCCTCAAGTTCGGCCTACCTGCGACATGACAAATTGTACGGATTTACATGCTACTGACATAAAAATATATCCCGCTTATTATAGCCATCCAATCTTCATGCAACCATCTCTGTTGGTTTGTAATTGTGATCTCCTGCGGCTGCTTCATCACGGAATGCAATCGCCAGGTACGGCCCGTTAATTTCTTTTATTTTTCTTCTCTTCCTTCACTAAATTTGCGAGTACTGCCCCGTATAATGTCGCTTGAGTGATAGCGGGAACAGCAATCGATCACCAATCGGTCAGCATAAATTGCACTTACGAAGTGAGACAAGCGCGACACATGGACACACAATCGTCCACACACACACAGGCACACACACATATAAATGTAAGACCCTATGACAACTAGAATGACAAGCCTCAAGGCGTGAAACCTTATGTGATGCAAGTTCTGAATTCGGTCCGTTTAACAAAAGTTGTAAAGCGGAAAATTGGCGCTATGTGCTATATCGGCCATGAACACTGGTAGAGTCTTGAGGGGTATGGTTTTTTCTTGGGACATGGCCTTCAACCAAGTACTATATGTACCCGCCAGGGACAGTGATCATGTACTAGCATAATAGGCGCTGATACACTGATGGATCTGTGTGATGCAAGGTGTGCATCATCTTAGTTACGAATATCTGAGGACGGGAACCTCTTGCCCGCTCTTCTACTTCAGTTTTCACTATTGAACATGGACGCACTAAGAATTCGTATCGAACCGTACTGCGATGTCGGGCTGCGGTCAAAATGCACATACCAAACGTACATTTCTTGCAGAAATGGTTCATTCTCGGGGGAGGGAAAATCATGCAGCCAAAAAAAAAACTTCGAAAGTTTAGCCACAGGATCTTCGGGATAGTGGTAATTATGAATCTCACTGTGATAAATCTCTCCGCGGTTTACTGATCCTAGGACAGATTGAGTGATCAGCAAACCTGAGGCTCCGTATAGTTGTCTTGATTAGATTCAAGGTCATCACCAGATGCGACAAGTCTGATATCAAATCCTTAGCATTAAATGTAACCAATGAAGATTGCTAGACAAATTTCTTGACAAGAGTGTTCGTTAAGAATGCGTGTTAAAATGCTTGACAAGTAAGCTCATGGGAGAATTCTGGCTATCATGTTCAAGACTCTCTTATTTTTCCGAAATGTCCAGCGGGTCATGAGATATTGATGTTGAAAAGTATACTGGAAGCGAAGGTTTTGCGTTTACTCGCAAGTCATCACGATGCATCCTCTTCACAACGTCAATTTGAAATCTTTGTTTTCGTTCTTGACCTTGTACATGAAGTTGGCCACTATCTCATTTTCACGACAAGGAGCTGCAAGGAAATGTTTATGCACATGGCTAGCAAACTCCGGTTTCGAAATACGGCCCAGCGACACCGCCTTCATGGCACTGTAAGTTTTCTTTCCAATCTCAGACAGAAGTATGTTCTCATTCACCGATTGAATCTTTGGCAAATTCATGCCATATTTGAGATTGTATTTATGGAGAGCCTCGTTGTCGAGACTAAGAAAATCCAAAGGGTTGACTTTGGGTTTATCCTTAGGACCATTTGAGTGGATATGCTTCGAAAGAAGCTCGAGTTGAGCAGCCTGAGCAACAGCATTTCTGGCCTTGTTAGCGGCTCGAGATGTCGTTCCCGTCTTAGATTCTGATTCCGAAGCAGAGTCTCTATGTTGAACACGAGGTGGCATTTTGCTATAGAAAAGTAGTTTTTGGAATGAATGAGACTTGTTGATAGGTACCGGAACTCGCATATGCACACCGATATGTTATGGACGATAAATCGTAGGAGTTGGAACTTGAGACAAAATGAAAAACAATGACAACATATCTTATCTCTCTCTCTGTTGTGTCTTCGAATTTGCCATTTAACGCCAGACCATTTTCCCCTCGAGCCAGCCATTATACTAAATTGAGCTTAATTCCACAGCAAGTGTTGAATCGTCCTTTATTTTACCACTGAGAAAATTAAACTTAATTGCTCTTGAGATACAAAAGAGGCTTGTTGTCCGCTTTTTCGTAAGTAGAAAAGTAGGATTATCCCACTTTAAAAGTACTCTAATTATTTCTTCCACACTAGAAAAGTCAACAGTCCATATCGAACTCATTTAATGATATGTTTCAGCTTTCCTTGCTTTCCCAGCCTCTTGGTCATATTCGATTTTCAGATCCTTGAATATTTAATTCTGAGTACCATCGCAGTAAAATATGCTTGTACGGTAGGATTTGAGGTGGAAAATATGGCATTGACGAGTTCGGTTGGCTACGTTGCATTGACATGACATGTGACAAGCCTTTGCACTGGCATATTCGTTTAGTTATTGCCATTTGAAGTGACTCAATGGTCCTTCGTACTGTTGAATTGTTATCATTTCAGTCAGGGTAATCAGCTTCTGCTCAGAATTGCAATCTAAAAATCAACGACTCCCCGACACTGTGACCTTTCAAATTTTTGTTTTCGTTCTCTATTTGGAACTCTTCTTGCTTTACCTCTCGTCTTCTATTAATGAATAAAAGGTTTGCTCAATCCATTGTCCTTGGCTCTGTACTGATGATCACGTTATAATGATCGGCCAGACCATTGGGGGGAGGGGAGACCTCTAATATGCTGTATCATGCATTATAGTGGTTGGCTCGTAGTGCAGTCTCGGCATCGTATCTAATTCTATCCTTGCATTATTTCTTGCATTTTAACTAGACCTCAAGCCCCTATCCAAAGCACGCTTATTTGCTTTCCATAATAGAAAGCTCCGATGAAAGGCCAAGGATGATTCTAATTGTGCAAAACAGACAAACCAAATTTCGACAGAATCCTATATCTTCTTTCAACAATTGATACCCGATTTCCAATTTTAACTATTCATTTTGCGAACTATTTCCTTATTTTTTAGGTCGACATCGAATGACTTTTTCGAGCCCTGTACTCAATCAACGATGCGAGGGAATCTTGCAGAGGGTCCGAGATCCGACATTGCATTCGTCTTTGGCCGAACATTCAATCTTTCGATTTGGGGGATAAGCCGGCTAGTTGACATAATGCTATTTACAGCCTTTCGAATGTAGCATCTGCATTCAACTTTGCGAGGTTCCCAATTGAGGCCATTTCCATCCTGTCCCGCCCCTCTCCCTCCAAGCCTTCAATATTGAGGCATGTGCATGAACGCTACCTCAGTCCTCCGACTTGTACTACACCCCATACTCCACCTTCCATCTTTAGATTTTATGGCAGGCATGATAGAATGTGTACTTCTCATTGCCAATTGTGCCCACTGTTTTTATGTTTTTGTGGGTCGTCCTGCTCTGGGCATTCCCACTGTCGATGTGAAAAGGAAGTCCCTTGTCAGTCGGTCATCCCATCGAGTGGGTCAACATAATTCTGGCATCAACTCTAATTCAAATACGAACAAATATTTGTCGAGTATTCTGCAGTTCAATTTTGTTTCCTGTTCGATCACCTGCGTAGTTGAACCATGATGCGTATAAGCTGATAGTCGTACTATTTCATGTACAGCAAGGATGGTGCTGATTATCCGTTCAAGAATACCATACCTTGACGCTACTAGAAGCCCTGTATGAAAGAAAATCCGTACACTCTAACTTAAGATTCACATAGCGATCGTGCAGGCAGAGCGCAATGTCATGAAATTTCAGGTCGCGGTTTTCCTATGTTTCATTTGTACTGAAACTTCATTAACAATAAGCTTAAGACAAAAGCATAAATAAGAAGTTATTCAACATTCATAAAAAGAACAAATGGTTTCCAAGTGTTCTGGTTGCCAATCTTCACGCAAAATCGTAACAGAACTTGAAGACATCTACCTCGATATAATAATTCTAGGATCGCCCATTGCTATGATCGCGCTCAATTATAAAAACTTCTAATTCTTTTTTTGTTAGATGACATTGTGTTTATTGACAATTTGCGTAATGTAATTCTTACGGGGGATTCTCGGCTTCGCATTGTTATGTGAAGAATTAATCAAAATAGAAAAAAAATCAGTGAACGTCCAGCCGTTTCGTCCGCCAAACCTATCATGGTATCCTGGCCTACTAATATTGTTGTAAAAGTTCAACTTCAGTGAGTTGCGCAATCATGAAAATCTTCAGCATGCATGAGATTACATTGCATCGCTTAGACATTCATTACCTGAAGATTGAAAAGGTCGGTGATAGCAATATGCTATCGGGCAAGGTAACGGGGATCTGAGACTTATATCAATCCACAGCCGAGAATGTCGACTACCAATTCTCACCATGTGTCGTTTTCCCCCATGACTCAACGACTCGGCAGAGCCGATCCTCCTAGGATAGGGACATAAATAAGGATGTGGTACTTAAACAAGAAACAGCAATAATATTATTTGACAACGGTGTTAAAATCCCTCCTTGTTTTTCTCACTGGAGATCGGAAGATTGTGAGCTACCCTGACATGAAATTAGTAAAAGGCTAGGATGAAATTGGCAACTTCTGGACCATTTTGAGAGCAGTTCCTTTATATTCTTGGACACATTGATTAGAAATAATATATTCGGTTTTCGCTTACCGTTAAATTTTTATGGCTAGACACAGTCATCATGATCACGAGTTTAAAAAGTTGCTCCCAACCTAATCGAGGGAGATATTCGTCCGCGTACTGTACAAATTCTAAACACACTAGTTACTCAAACCTAGATAAAAGAAAAGTTAAGACAAAAATAAAAGGGGACTTCAAATAAGTTGATACAGCAGATGACAAGGGGTGGTCTTATCAACGTACATCAGATGCTCCTTTCATAGTCAAGAAAAAATGCACACTATTCCTGTTAGAGAGACTAGGAAGCACGGGAATGCTAATTGCTGGTTATGAATGGAACACGACATGCATGAACCATTGGACAAGACGCAAGATTGAGTTGATACACACATTGCAGGAGCTGTATGGTATCCGATGTACTGGTTATGATACTAGAGTAGTTTAAAGTGAAGGGGATGCGACCTCAAAAGCCGCGATGCATACAGTTGCTTGAGGGCTAATGCAATGCCATGCGCTGTGCTTAACTGCATCATGCGCGGAATTTGAATGAATCCTCAACCACCTCCGATGTTGACACTAAAATCAAACTCTGCAATTACTTTATAAGCCCACTTATCGCTCTCTGCGGCAATCATAAGTCGCTTTTTTTTCTTTTCGCTATCTTTCTTTCTTCCAAATCCGAAGTCTTCTCAGCTTCGAGTCCTTTGCTTGTATTTCCCCTAGCTTACATCCAGGCGACTGTTCCACTACTCAGAACAAACGTTTTTTCATGCAAATAATCTCAGAGTTTTCCTCGGTGTCCCCTAATGAGTCCTATCATGGACTGATTCTCACACTCCAAGACGCGCTTCTAGTTCTTGAAGCCACGAGACTCAACATTCTTCCCAAAGTCAAGAGAAGACTCAACGATGCAGAGCGTAAGAACATTAACGCAGGATCCGTATTTGCCTGGAATGAAACAGAATGCGGAATGAAACGTTGGACCGACGGTAAAACTTGGCTGGCGTCCAAAGTGAAAGGGCCATTTCTCACTTATCAGGAGTACGATGTGAGTCGTAATGTCAAAGCAAATGGTTTGATCAAGCAGAGTTTCTCTCTTACAACCAAACAAAATGAAAAGTTCCATTTGATTGCCTACTACAGCCTGCTGGATGGTGGAAAGCCTCCTACGGGAGCTAAGATTCCTTCGCAAGACAGTTTGTTTGCCAAACTACTGTTTGACCCTAACATCTATCTGAATGATGTTTTGCATTTCAACAGTCCGGACTCCCGGACCGGTCCCATGATGCCCCAACAGGTCCAACAGATACCTATGCAGCAGGTGGCATATCAACAGCCCATAGACAGACATCTTCCGGGTATCCCTGTCTATCATCCGGTGCCTACTACTTACTACTGCCATCCTCTGATGGTTCCATATCAGTACTTGTCTGCTGTGCCAATTCCACAGGCCTATCAGCTACCTCAGCAGTCTGTGTATCTCCAGCCTATTGGTCCTCATGGTTACTCGTACCAAGAGGGTCAGCATCCTAACTCAGCACACGAGCACTCGGGTGTCCATTTGACTCAGGGAAATCCACAAAATAGACTGCTCTCTATCACATCGATTCCCCCAGGGGCATTGCCCTCTCATCATCCCTCTGCACCTCCAGCATATTTGAATCACGAAGCGCAATCTCCTGCCTTCACATACGGAGTGAAAAGAGTCGAGCTGTTGCTGCTGCTCCCGTCACCCAAGCTGTCCAATCATACATCTCCGGCATTAGGCAATCATTCGGACGTAAGACCTGTCATGGGCCCGTCAAAGTCGTATACAAAGCCCGTGAGGCTTCCGTCGGCACAAGAACTCTTGCAACCAGCGGAATTGCCATATATTCGCATGCCAGGAATGATTAGCAAACTAAGGGAACCCAAAGTGTTCTCCGTTTAGAACAATGTCTTATGTAGCTCTTACATTGAATAATGAATCATGGTCGAAATATTTCTGTAGCTGAAATGATGAGCCCCCATTTGTGCTTAAAGCCGGCGCCCTTTATTTTTGACATAATTTGTATTCTATGTGAAATCAGAAAATGTTCTCATCTTTGGCTGACCACTCTTAATCCAAACAATGACCCCATTTTTCTAGCGTGCGAGAATGACGAACAATACCTGCTTCACTCACGGGCAGCCTTTTCCCAGCTCTTCCTCTTCTTTTCCAACGCATATTTCGTTGACTTGACTATTCCAGCGGAGAATATACCTTTCAAGGATTGAATTAATGCTGGGTATGCAATGGTAGCCAGCAAAGAAGCCATTAGCGCTCTCTTCAACCCACGATCCATCAGAATTTCTCGCAAATATGGTCCTACGGCCATCTCTTTATTGTTCCCTAAGAGAACCTGCTCTGCGCTATCATCTTGAAGTAGCTGCAGCTTGTACTTATTCCGGTAGGAATTAAGTAGTTTCTTTCGAAACTGAAAAGGGAGAGTTGCTAAAATCTGGGACACTGAATCCTTATTCAATCGAACTTCATATTTGTCACCAAGGCGAACAAGGTAACCTTTTTGCATACTCTCTTCCAAGTAAGGATGGTAGAGAAAATCAAACTTCTCTTTCTGCTTGCTTACAATATTCCTCACTTTGTTGGGGTTTTCTCCACCAACTACCATTCGTGGATCTCCCATATACGATAGCAGCGCAACCTTTTCATAAATCCTTGTGTGTGTCAACAGTTCACTCTCCTTGCCTCTCGATAGAAGTAGAAGTGACAAGTTGAACGCGCTCCTTAGATTGTGATCATTGGCCCTTCTCAAGGTCTCATCGCCGTGCAAGTACTTAACAGGCTTTTGAAGTCTTCCGGCTATGTAAAGAGTCGACCATTCTTGAATGTCTTTTAAAGCTGTTTCCGTTGAAACTACTCCATATTTCACCATGTTCTCGTTACCTTCTTGATCTTTCAAAGCAACATACGGATTAAAATAAACTCCAGCGCCATAATTTTGTACTGCCAATACAGCATTTATTCCCAAACATAGCAAACCAGAATAATGGCTTCTGTTTCGTTCTGTATTCAGTATGTGAAACCTCAACGGATCGTCAACAATATGTATCATATCTATTTGCGGCCTTAACTTGTCGTATCCAGCCTGTTGGAAAACTCCGGATCCATAGCCAAATGCGTATCTTATATCATTCACGGGGAACTGATTAAATAGCAGACTAAGTTGCTGGTCATTTTCTGATAGAACCAACTGATTCGCAGTGTTGATGTCATTTGTAATACCAGTTGTGTAAAATCGTGTCCCAAAGAATTTGGAGAAACGAACCTTAAAAAATCTAGCACCAATTCGTCTAAAGAATAGGATCGCAACACTTCGCGGTAGTAATATCTCGGTCATTCCACTAGAAATTAACTAGTCAAGAATAGTCTATTGAGAAAGGTGACCAGTACACCAGAGGAACTCGGAAAGTCAGAAAATGCAAACTGTACACCTGTACCTCCCGTATTGACAAACGAGTGCAACCACTTCTGCATCCCCCAAACGTTTGAAATGATTACCCGGGGAAAAGTGGCCTCATCTGAATTGGCATGTGATATTTTTGATAATAAATGAGGTAACAAAATGTTCCTCCTTCATTGTGGGCGGGGCATATACTCTGACCTCTCAGTGGAGTAGGTGATACGAGAAATCTCAAATGTTTATGATCCAACATTTTGCACGGCCACAAAGACTGTAGTCACATTTTGGGATGCTAAACTGCAGGGAGGCGGTACGTTCAAAGTGCGGGACGGTGCATTATGTCGCCGTTTCTTCGTAAGACATGCCACTTGTAGCCTGTTCAAGGAGTGCTGATACGCGGGTAACGAATGGCCGTAATGGGCCGTCTCTTCTGTGACCTCGTAGAAAACAGCATCTTCAAAATTGATGAAACCCGTAACTATGTGTAAACTCGGCTCCTGTTTGTACTATTGCGATCTAGAATCCATTTTAGGTGGCGAACTGAAATGTATAATTCCGGCTACAATTTCATAATAGTCACTCCCCTGACTTCAGAAAATAATGCTTTTTAATGTGGGCGCGTGCGACGTCAGATTCAATTAGCCAGTTGGCTGGTTGTGTTACTAATGCGCAGTGGCTAAATCTGTCAATTGTTATTTCAGAAGAACAATGAAGTGTGATCGGAGTGTGAATATAAGAGTGAACAATGCTCAAAGTAAATCTCCAAAACATCTTACTCTTCGGCCAAGAGCGAAAAAAATATTTTGCCTTCAAGAATAGTATGATAGGAGAAGTTGAATCAATGTGACCGAGGTCAAATACGGAGTTACGAAGACTCAATTACCTCGCTAGAGTAACGGGACATCATATTGTAGCAACCCTAAAGTGACTTCATGCACCTAACAAGAATGCATCATGCATGACCCAAAAGGTGAGGGAGACCGCCTCGCCATTCGGTTGGCAGTTAGTATACCGCACGAAAATGCCAGGACAAGCCTTTCATGTAGAGTGACTTGATGTTTTGCCAAAATTTCTCCACCAACACATAAAAATCAATAATGTTGATTGTGCAAAAGATTCATGATTCCTTTACTGCCTTAATGGTTTGACTTAACAATAACCGCTAAAATTTTCCTCTTTTGAAGACGTGCTTTAAGTGGCAGCCGTTACTCGCTACCACTGCGACTTATGTAGGGGACACCTAATTCTTCCGATACCTTGCATCATACATGCAAGATCGATCATGCATGAAAGGTGTTGCATTATAATTCTCTAATGTTTGTTTTTCAAATTCTATTAGTAAATTCCTATACAAACTTTTTGAACTGGAATGGTGACACAATTGCTTTGCTTGAACTAAGAAAATCCATCCGACTTCCTTGCGGTTGAACTTACCAAAATGTCATGTTTGTGCAGATCGGTTGGCTAGCCCTGAGGTAACCCTATGCACATGTAAAAAATAAGATTATCGTGGCAAATATAGTATCGGACATTTTGAGAAGCACTTTGGGTTAGAGCTGGTAAGGTTATTCAACCGAAGTGCTAAAGTCGCGTCGGCAAAGTTACTACTTCTGGCAGGTTCGCATACCTGTTGATCATATGGTATGTGTAGGGTTATCTTGAATCACAACAGGAAGCCAACGTGAATGATAAAACACCAGTGTAGACTTGGTTGAAGTTTGACAAGGAAATGACCCGGAAATTGAAAACGAGGAAATGAGAACAAAAGTTGGAAAGTTTAAAAGAGTTAGCATTTACTTTTCAACTCATCGATTCGAAGTCAAACTTGTTTTTGACTCTGAATTTTCCAGATGAGTGAGTGTTTTGGCTAGAATTCGTAACTCTGTTTTATCGGGCTAAAGATCTGGAATTCCATGGCACGTGTGCGGGTACAACTTTCCTTTTTGACAATGTAGTTGCTTCCACATCGACAACCATATTGTGAAGCAAAGCCATGGACCTTATCAGTATGTTGATCAGAGCTGTGTTGGACTTCCGCCATCGTTACCAAGGCTCTCACCAATCGTCTGGATCATCTGAAAAAATTCAATAGCTGGATATTCACAGTCCTCGTGTATTCTCCGGATCTAAATAATAATTATCACACCTTTGCGTGGAATATGCTAGGCGACCTGACTTTATAGTGAAGGCAATGATTTGCAAAACGCACGACTTTCGATGGTGGTGGTGGTGTTCTATTTACGCCCTCTGTTCTGCATATTGATATTTGGTGTCACGTGTTTTCTCAACACTGAATTAGTCACTTCTTCAAGTTTATCAGATCTTCATTAACGTCAAAGATGTCTTCTCAATCGTACAGATCTACGCGTAGCGCATCCAAGCAGGACCTCTCCTTCGAGGAAGTCGTCATGACTGGATTGGCTAAGGATGGTGGTCTTTTCATTCCTTCAGAGATTCCAAAGTTACCTGCGGACTTCGAGACCAAATGGAAAGACTTGACTTTCGAGCAGCTTGCTTTCAACATCATGCGACAGTACATTGCTTCTTCTGAAATTCCAGATGAGGATCTCCGTCAGTTGATTGAAAAGTCCTATTCTACGTTTAGAAGTTCTGAAGTTACGCCAATCAAAGAATTGGATGCAAGCAAAGGTTTGTATTTGTTGGAGTTATTCCACGGTCCCACTTATGCATTCAAGGATGTTGCTTTGCAGTTTGTCGGAAACTTGTTTGAATACTTCTTGGTGAGAAGGAATGCAGGTATCACCGACCCAGAAAAGAGAGAGAAGATTACTGTTGTTGGTGCAACCTCTGGAGATACTGGATCTGCTGCCATTTACGGTTTGAGAGGCAAAAAGGATGTTTCTGTGTTTATTTTGTATCCTACTGGTCGTATTTCGCCCATCCAAGAAGAGCAGATGACAACTGTTGAAGACCCTAATGTACACACCTTGTCTGTCAAGGGAACCTTCGATGACTGTCAAGACATCGTCAAGCAAATCTTTGGTGAAAAGGAATTTAACGACAAGTACCATGTTGGTGCTGTCAACTCCATCAACTGGGCTCGTATTTTAGCTCAGATGACCTACTACTTCTACTCTTACTTCAGTTTGCTTAAGGTTGTTGAGTCTTCTGGCGTCAAGGACTTCAAGCCAAGATTCGTTGTGCCTTCCGGTAACTTCGGTGACATTTTGGCTGGTTATTATGCTAAGAAGATGGGTTTGCCTGCTGATAAGTTGATTATCGCAACTAATGAAAATGACATTTTAGACCGCTTCCTAAAGACGGGAAGATACGAACGGGATGGTGAGGTGAAGGCCACCTACTCTCCAGCTATGGACATCTTGATCTCGTCCAACTTTGAGAGATTATTGTGGTACTTGGTTAGAGACAATGTCGCTGGAGGAGATGATATTGAGGCTGGTAAAACCTTGAACGACTGGATGCAACAGTTGAAGTCCACGGGTTCTGTTGTTGCTCCAGAAGCTGTTACTGAGGCTGCTAGAGTCGATTTTGATTCTGAGAAAGTTACTGATGAGCAGACTGCAGTCACCATCAAAGAAATTTACACAACCCATCCAGAGAAGTATGTGTTAGACCCACACTCCGCTGTTGGTGTTACAACCTCGTTCAGGAATATTCAGAGAGATAACAACGCAGGCGTATCCAAATACCATTACATCTCTTTATCCACGGCTCACCCGGCTAAATTCTCCGAGGTTGTCAATAAGGCGTTGGATACTATTGAGGGTTATTCTTTCGAGAAGGATGTTCTTCCTGACGAATTGAAGGCGTTAGCCACTAAGGAGAAGAGACTTTTGCTCATTGATGAACCTTCTTTGGCTAAGGTCAAGGATGCAATCGTAGAAGAGTTGGCAAAAGAACCAAAGGACATCTAGTTTTATTATGTACTTTATCGAGCTCTTACAAAACTAATCAAGGTACTAATCAAGTATCAGCATTTCTTAAGCTTCACTTTTCCGTCCTCTACATTGACTTCAAAACCTGCTTCCTTCAATGCTCGATCGTCAACCACTTCTTTCGCTTCAAGTTGAGCAACAAATTCCTGATTCTTGAGATTGTTCTCCAATACAAATCTCAAACAAAGTATTGCCCGTTCCTTAATAAACGGATTATTGTCATCTATTACGCAGTTTGAGAGGAGTAATTCCAAGCCATGTAGTTCTCTAACTTTTTCCTGAGCCTCAAATGAATTATGAACTATGAATGCTAGGATTTCCACAATTAGAGATTTGACCATAGGAAAATGCACTTTACCTGTTCTCTGAATCGGAGCTCCTGAGGCTTTCTTGGTCGCTATCTCGCCATTTTCATGTGCCGCTCTGAAAAGTCTTATCAAAGGATCTAGGGCATTGTAGAACTCCAAAAATTGTTTTGCTTGATGATACTTCATGAGATCCGAGATGATGTCAAGCGCAATAACTAATTTGGCATGAATGTCTTGGAGCTTCGAGCCTTCCTCCTTGGAAAAGAGGAGCCGGATAGCAATATCAGCCCACTTTTCAAAGAGTGAAAATACCCATTCCATTATAATGATACATTGAGTGTTGTCCCATTCCTTCTCGGTAGTTGCGACAAGTCTGGCAATCTTTAAAATGGTAGTGGACTCATCAGTTACTTCTTTCTTCTCGATCCAATTCTTGAAGCTTTTATCGCTTATGATCTTTTCAAGAATGTAGAGGACTTGCTCATCGACAGATTCTCCCACTCTTAATGAACTGCTGTTGCCAAGGATCAAAGCTTCTAAGAGGTTCTCGTTGCATTCATCTTTCAATAGTGAGGTGACATTATCATCGTGGCTGAATATGCCATTCAAGAATATAAGGAATGGTTGTCTTATGCTTTCGTCTTCCATTATGAGTGTGAGTACCGGATCAAAAGTTTGGGAGACTAATTGCAAGTTACAGTGGAAATTCTTCCCCTGACTCAAAGATAGGTTTGCTAGTATCTCAATATGGGTACTCAAGCATTTTCTGAAAAAAAGGTTCGATGGTCCTATTTTCGTTATGAAATGCTGAACATTTAGTAACAACATGGGAATATCGACAACCGCTTTTGTGGAGGTTACCAAATTTCTCAAAAGAATCAACATTCCTCGTAACACTCTGACATATAAAGTCGCTATTTCAGACTTTTCCAAATCGACAGTCAATGAGTTGGTCACGACATCAACAACTGATTCAAGGAAGGAAAAGTCATCTGCTAAACTTATTCTAAACTCATGATCCAAGGAAGTTGCGGAGACAAGCGCTCCCAATTTCTTGAGAGCAGTATTGTAATCTTCAGTAGTGCCTACTCTTTCTAGAACTGATCTGGCTTGCAAGATTGTGTGGTCCACTTCTATTCGATTCATTGTTGTATGAATGTTATGTCATTCAGGCATCGCATGAAGTCTGCACTCCTCTCATACTGCTTTAGTTGGTAAATCTTTCGCTTTGCATGCGAGCAATATCGGTTCAATTCCGATTGATTCCACTATTTAATTTGTATTTATAATAATTATACTTTATTTATTAGAAAAAAATGAGAAAGATTTGATTAGATGTACGTGTAATTTTAGGTTAAAGCTTGTATATTTGCCTTTACTTATATTAAGTTAGAGCTACATTACTTCGCCACTAGTCTTGAAACGAATAGTTGAAAAAAATACAACAAATGAAGATGCTATTGGTAAAACGAAGGACTATTTCCATGGTTAATCCATGATAGTCTGGTTTCTATATAAATCGCATGCGTGGGGATTCTTGAGGCAGAAGCGCGGAACCAAAGGTGAAACGGAATACCCCAACGCCAACAAGAACTCTCTGAAATTAAGAATACGCAGAGTCATCCAGTTGGTTCTCAACCGACCAGTAGTTTGATTCACATTTCCACTCCATAAATTCTCTGCAAGAGCAGCTGAACGCGGCCATAATTTAGAGGTAAGAACAACCGAATCAACTTGTTCACTCCATAATGCTGCCTCTGCTCCAAGAACGTGTTGCAGTTGTTCTGCAGTCAAGTTTGCGGTTATATTGAAATTGTAGATTCTCTGCCATGTCTTGTAGGGACCACACCAGGAGCCCCCCAAGCCTTGATTGAATTCATCATTACCACATGTTTGCACATACCTAGGATCATTAGTAACCCAACCCCCATAGCCGCAGTCGAGATACAAGAAATCATTCGCGGAGATGATCACATCGTACCCCCTACCAGTTAGAACTTGTACATTAGCGTTGCTGGCCGACCATGTCTGCAAAATAGTATCTTGAGGAACAGTAAACGCTCCTTCTGGAGAAGTGAGTATATCTTCCCACATCATCAATCTTCTGTTGGGAACAGACATGAGAATAGGAACCGCTCTATCAACCCAATACTGAGACAAATCCTTAAGAGTCCGACTGGAGTTAAGCGCGAACCACTCTTGTGTCACAGTAGAATAGTTATAACAATTTGCTTGAAGCTCATCAGCTCCAACGTGGAAGATGTTATCTTCAAACAATTCACTGAGATCTTTGTAAATACCTTCCACTACTTCGTATGTCTCATTTTTTAGAATTTCCAACTGACCTGGAGGTGGCTCCACGGCCGTACCTTCTGACCAAGCATCGTTAGACCACCAAGTGTTTTCGCATGCCAAAATTGACTTATTCAATGCAGTGTATCCAGCACGGCTGTGCCCTGGCATGTCGAGTTCTGGAATGACACGAACTCCTTTCAGTTTTCCATATGAAATAATGTACCTTATATCTGACATCTCATAAACCTCACTTTCAGAGTATGCATCTTTTGACATCTCTGGGTAACTATTGAGGACCAATGGCCACGATTGGCTGTCCACTAGATGCCAGTGTAAAACATTCATCTTTGCAAGAGCCAAAATGTCGATTTGGTCAAGAATAGACTCGATGGTAAGAAAGTTTCTTCCACTATCAATAAGCACTCCACGATGAGGGTAAAGTGGCCAATCCTTGATTTGGACATTCAGTTCGAGGTAAAACTTATCACAACATTCGTCATAGAACACGATTTGATTCAAGGTTGACAATGCATGTAATGCACCCCATGGAGTTTCGGCCAAAATTTCGATTACATTAGAGCCCGTAGAAACATTCATGGAATAGCTTTCATCAACACCCATTTGCAAAACCAGAGAATCATTCTCAACCGAAATGACAATTTGTGTGAGCACGATGTTTTCAGTCAAGCTCAGGGCCAACTTTTCACCGCGAGCTTTATTCTCAATGGTAATTGTTGATGTATTTAATGGATACGATGGCATTGGCTTTTCCCAAGTAGCGGGTAGCCACTTTATGTGCCACAAAGAGTGCATTGCTTTTCTATATGCATCTTCAACAAATTCTATGGGTGGATCGACTAAAATACTCACAGATCTACTAATTTCATGTGGACTGAACGTTCCCCATGTAATATTTTGTGGAGCGGGAAGAGGGTTGGACCTAATTTCGAATGCTGCAACGTGACCTAGTGAAAACAATGTAATGAGTTTGTTCCATTGAGCTTGCTTCATGACAATAGTAGGTGAATCACAAATGGTTAAATCTTGGTGGTTTGAAGTGAGTTAACTGAACCTTTAACACGAAAGGATATCACCGTAAATTTATTTCATCTATGAATGGAGTTAGCGTTCAAGGTTAGGACACATTCTGTCTGCACTCTCCCACCACATTTTGAAGAATCCGTTTCAATATGAAAACAGAGAACATTTTCAGGAAGCATCTCGAAGTTGTGACTTATGAATTTGAAGTTCAAATTATAAGTATGGGTATTTTCTAAGCAAAACTTACTTGGATTTGGGAGTAGCAGTATTATGCAAAAGGCGTGAAAGAGATTTTCACTGGCGAACATGGAATACAATAGAGATTGAAAAGTGTAATCAGCACACAGTCGTGGGCCGACTTTCATCTCTAGCCCAAGATAATTTGGTGCAAGATGAGAGGAATTCTTAGCCTGGTTTCGTTAAGCCATATTCTTCTCCATTTCCTCTTCTTCCAGTAGTCCACCTTGATTAACAGATACTGGCTAGTCAGTAACATCAGAAAAAAAATTCAATCTTGAGGACATTCCATGTTTCCCGAAATAGAGTGGTTCAGAGAGATCGCTGCAAACGAACCCAATTTAAGACGAATCATCAAAACCTTTCTGTTCGTATTCCTGTGTGATACTATTTCTCATACTTATCTGGAACTCATGTCTTGCCATTGGACATCCGGCAACTTATGGAATGAGGATGTACTTTATCATTTATGCAATCACTTGAATCAGAAAGAACTTCATTCTGCGAGTTTAACATGCAAACTTTGGAATAAAGTCGCCAATCGGCGGTTGTATTCTCATATCTATATATCTGAATCCCCCAGCCAAAAACACGTAACTCGGGTTCTCTATGAAGATTGGCCGATAGTTGAAAGGCCGTCGATCGTGAGGAACGATTTAAGGAATCCTAATTGCACACTCAAATTGTTAGAGAATAGTCTTCTTTGCAATGTTGATCTCGCCGACCTTGTTCACTTCATATCTATCAGCGATTTGGCCTTCATTCTATTTAAGCTTAAGAATTGGGGACTCCGGCTCTTTTCGAAAAGGTTAAGGTTTATTCGTTTATGTGATCTTCCGTTGCAACAAATTGCACTCGGATTTGATTGTCTAATGTCGTTTTATAAAATTGAAACCGTAATGGATGCAATCCAAGAAGTGCATGTCGAAGGCTTTAAAGATTTCATCCAGTTGGTTACTCATGCTGACAATATTCAGCGACAATTGAGGATTTCTTCATTGTTCATTTATTCTTGTGATGACGATGGTATGAACGTTTATGCTAAATCTAGCCAAGTAATGAACGTACTAGGACAACTCAAAAGGTTATCTGTATGTTCCAACAGTCAAGTATGTCTTCAAGTCTTCTCGAGGTTGCGGGAAACTTATGGAGATGGTTGCTTGAGTAACATTGAGGTCCTTTCATTTCTGCATTTTCACATGACCGGCCCGTCACTTGACCACCAATCACAGAAGAAATTGGCACTCACTGACATCTCTGCACTTCTAGGTATCGAACTGCTTAAATCATTGATCGTCAATATAGGCTGTCAGATTTGCTTCCAGTCCAGCCTCCATGGTTCTTTCAATCCCGACGAGAGACCGCAATGTGATTGCTTGCAACAATTCTTCGAGGAGTTACTTGATCTTGTATTGAATTGTTCATCGATTGAGAGAATAAGTATCAAAAATCTTCAAAACAAGCTCCAACCAAATCTTACTGCCACATTTCACTTTAAAATTCTTTTATCTGACTTCCTAGAAAGTATTAATCTAGCTGGCATCTCCTTGAAACTTTTTGCTTTGAATACCAGTTGTGAATTGGCATTGCCTGATACCGTTCTAGTTCCCTTTCTAGTTGACAGGATGAATACTGTCAATGAGACCTTGATGTTCCAACTATCACAGTTAGAGGCTAACGTCGTTGCTATCCTGGACTATTTCGAGAGTTTTTTTTCGTGGTCAAGTCAGTATCGTTCGAAAGATTCTGGTGTTCATTTCCTATCCACACATTGTGAAGAGTGCAAAAAGAGTTCTCAGAAAATGGAGAAATTTATTACTGTGAACTCAAATATTCAATTTTATCTTAATCCAATTTACAAAACAACTTTGACGGAACTACGTTACAACTTATTGCAAAGTCTTCTCCAAATTCTCAATTGTCCTTCTTTTGCAAGATTCAAATTTAACCAGAACAATCGCAATGTGCCTTCCAGTAACGAAATTAACCAGTTTATTAGTAACAATAACGGAAGTCAAATAATCGATCAAGATTTGCTTTTGGATGAGGATCTTTCTTTGCATCATATCTTCAGGCACAATGACTACAAAAGAATGGTTGAACGTCCGAGCCGCGAATTTGACAAGGTAAGCGAAGTCTGTTGCGATTGTGATGGGTATGAACTTGCAACTTTTGCGCAGTCACTTCGACATGTACTCGAAGATTCAAAACTCAGCAATGGTCATACAACTATTCTTAATGGCTTCAAGTTTGAAACTGGTTTTGATTCTTCAGAGGCTTTTTTTATTCATTCACAAGAAATTGGAGTGATAGACGCCTGAAGCTGAACTCCTATATAGATTAATGTCAATGATTTGCTAATACTTCATTATTAGTTGTAAAACCTGGTCCTGGCCTGTGAAAGATGTGGGGCATTAAGCTGGACAGTGTAAACAATACTATTAGGTGTTCGTGCCTTGTGCAACCACAACGACAAAGGAGGCAACTTGAATGCAAGAAACATATTTTCACCTAGTTGTATACATGCTCGGGACATGCTAATTCTAAGTAATCCGGACCTGACTTACTAGGACATTCTATTGTATACTAGCCACAAATAAATTATGTTAGTGAATAGATCATAAGACCTTAAGTGAATTGAGAGACTTAGACAGAATTTATTAATGATATATATCTGAATCAGTGATCGCCTGAAGTCACAGTTGCTTCATTGACAAATGCGGAACTTAGAAAGATTTACTTATGATCTAATTGGAGGGATGTAACTAATTGTAAAGAAGTACTCTTCAAGATTTAAACTGCTTTCGTTTTCCTCAAGCACACTTTTCAAGCAGAGTAAGATAATGAGACGTTTGATGTGATGATTGAAAGACCTCCCAAGAATTTGTTTGGGTGTTGGACATCAATTATGGTCACTTCTTTGCTACTCGGGTCTATTATCAATAGTCACGTTTGGGTTACGAGCATTCTTGACAGTTCACATGATCCATCATACAATCGGAAACATCACATCCGTACATCTTGATAAGAGTTGATTTCGAAGGATCTTAGCTCAATCAGCCGTCTTCGAAAGACCAACACAAGTCGGCTTTGGGCATAGTATTCTTGTGCAAGCACATGCAATGAAATAAATGAAGTGGTTTGTAAATTCATTCCATGTGCTCCTCTGGTCTAAGTTTACTATCATATGACATGATAGTTTATCGGGTCTTCGGATAATAATTTCTTTTTCTTTTTTTGATCGCAATTTTGCTTCGATTTCTCCTATTCTCTACACACAATTATTGCCTAAAATCAGCCCCGATACAGTAATTCGATATTCAGCGTTTTCCTTGCTGGGCTCGGATATTCATTTTATCAAGAGGCATTTCCAGTCTAAAGCTCGAATTATTGACTTTGAAAGCTATTCAGAGCATCTGACCATCAAAAGATCCGAGAAATCCGGAACATCGCACCTGATACTCGATCGGCCTATCGCTCTATACCTGGCGGATCAGAATAAACCGTCCTCTCAAAACGTTACAATAATTCATTATAGATTCATTTAGACTTCTCCAGAGTTTCCTTGTTTGGCATCTGATAAGCTGAATACAACTTCCAAGTGAAGTGCATCAAGAAATCGAGTGAGATAATGTCGACTACTTTTGTGTTGAATCCTGCTATTTTGCAAGTTAATGTCTTGCTGGAAAAGGTGTGCTCAGGACTCTCAAGCCCCAATACAATTTCCTTGCAGAATAGCGCCAATGAAAACGCTAGTGTCGAAAGTCATGATTTCGATGCTACGAGTCTGGGATCCTCCGAGTCTTCAGGTCTCTGCGCATCAACAAGCCCAAGTCTGACCTTTCAGACTTCTCCATCTACATCTTTTGATACAATCGGTGGAAATCATGTCTTCCAAAGAAAGCAAACTCAACGAGGCCAGTTCTCTAATGTGCTGGAATTCTTACAAGAAGATTACTTGCGATTCTTGGAGCCATGCCCCGTTGGGCCGCCTTCTTACGAAACTCTTCCACCAGGAGGCTGTCCAAGATTTCCAATTATGGATATCAATCTAGGGAGTGAATCTCTTCCATCATATTCACCTTCTGCGTACAAGCTCGGTGTTGTCTACCGAAAGCTTGAGTGGCTCTCGCCGTACGAGCCATCTCCCGTTAGATCTTGGAAAATGTTTGTTATTGAGTTGAATTCCACTCAGCTTAATTTCTACAGTATTCCAAGTCGATTAGAGAGCACTCTACTTGCTTTTGAAAACAATCAATCAGATGAGCCAAACGCAGGACAAGTCAATATGGATTCGATCCAAAAATCATTCAAATCACTTGTAACCTCTCAAAAGGATTTAAAGTTTCAGCAACTTTGCGATGATCTTGACTTTTTGAAGAATAAGGATGCTGATGATACTGATGATGATGGTTACACCTCGTCAGCTAGTCTTCTAAGTAGCAAGACTACTAGGGGAGATAAGAATAGACGGTTGCTGAGATCATATTCCTTGCAGCATGCACGTATCGGATTAGCAAGTGATTACACGAAGAAATCGAACGTGTTGAGATTAAGATTGGAAAATGAGCAATTCTTGTTGAACTTTTCGTGTGCCCAAGATGTTATAGATTGGAATATGGGGTTATGCGTTGGTCGTGATGTTGCGATGGATCTTGTTCAACGTGAAGTTCCAAGATACAGAACAGTCCCTAGACGCAGACGAACACAAGTCACGGGATCAACTATCTTTTACCACGAAGCAGTAGCAAGAAGGAACAGGGCTCATTCGGATACCCTGTTCGAAGTTAACTCCGGGCTCAGAAGTAAATTTTCCAAGCTCAGAACTAAGTTGAGCTCCCTGAGCCTCACCCACTTGAAGGGAATTAACAGCCAAGGCCAAAAATCAGTACAACAACAACAGATGAAGCAAGTGAGGCAGTTCAGACAAGCTGTCAGAGCTTCGATGCCTGAAACTTTTGCACCAGTTGGAAGCATGTCATCTATGTCTTTACAGCGGGAACTGAATAGACAAGGACCTGGATTGCCAGCTACTGGGGCATCATTTTCTATTGCTGGGGCTGAAGAGGATGAAGATGTGCAATACAATACACTTGCTCCCCATCTTAGTCAAACAGAGAATTCCTACGAAGAAGGAGACGAAGACGTTCATAATTTAAGCGATCTTCACAGGTCAGATGATGAAGAGGACTTTGATGTGGATGCCGATGAATTTGCTGAATTAGCGTACAATGGTCGTTCTCGAAGAACAACAAGCATAAACGGGGGACAAATAGGTAGGGGTGATCATAAATGGAATCCTTTGCATAAGCCAGAGAGCAACAGAAGATTCATCAGGAATTGTCTCAAATGCATCAAGCCATTGACATTTGATGAACCGTGGGTGAACAAATTGCTTATGAAACCATGTCTTATAACATCTTTGAGTCAAGTTTACCTTAAGAGCCAATATAATGGACTCATGACTGAAGATTTCAGCACAACATCATTAGCTAGTATGACAGGCGGTTCTGCTTCTGACTTGTCAAGTCTCAGAGAATACAGTTCACATCTGAGAAAGCCCCCATCTCTCAAAGAAAGTTTTCTCAATCCTGATGTGCTGCTCACTAAGGTTTCGAATCATAACTTGAGAGAGTTTGTGGTGGGTTGTCATTCTTTGATTCCTACAGAATTATAAGCTTCTTTTTTACGTGTATGTAATTGGTAATTTACTACTCTTCATTTCCTCCTATGTAGATTCAGGACTCATTAATTTATTCTATCCTTGAGCTTTTCATTGATTTTCAACTGCATAGCCCTAGACTCAAATGCCTCTATCATTGTTTCACTAACTTGCTTCTGAAAGAGTGAACACATCGTGTTGTATAAGGGATTCTTGAATTTATATTTCAAGACAAGTTCGACATAGGTATCCAGTTCATTAGTAAAGCGGTTTTTCACTTCTTTGAAGTTCCACTCATTGTAAAGATTATTGAACAACAGAACAGTCACCGATTCAGCAATTACTTGCTTATTCTTAATGCAGCTGAGACTACAAGTGAATTTCTCATCGTATTGATTCCAGCCAACTCGAAATCCTGCCTCGCTTGGTAGAGTTGTCTCTTCAGAACGTTTACTTATGAATGAATGAGTGACAAATGGAACGAACTCTTGATACTTCAGCACATCGGCAACTACCTGAAAAATTAAGCTTGGAGGCACATTGACTTTCTTGGCAACTCTGAAAGATCTTTCACCGCTTGCACGACTTCCGAAACTTAGAAAGGTTCTCCGTGGTATATAGTAAATCCGATCTTTAAACATGGTACGTTGGTTTTTTCTTTGAGATGCAGGGTTCTTATAATATCTGGCACAATTTAACAGGGAATCTAATGGCTCATTTATAAACACATTAAATGTACATTACTAGATAAACTTACTGTAGTATACTTTATTATGACTTTTGCTAAGTAAGTTAATCAGCACGGGTGTAGATGGCCTGTTTGGAGTGCTTGACGATTGGTTTGATGACACCATCAGACTCCAATTGTCTCAAAGCAACTCTAGCCAAAGAGCCACCGATCTTCAATCTGTCAACCAAGACGGAGACAGAAACGTACTTGAAACCTGGCACTTCCTTGATGATTCTGTCATACTTCTCCTGGTCCAAAATGACAACGTGCTGAGCCTTGTCCTTAACCTTACCCTTGTTCCACTTCTTCTTACCCTTCTTACCACCGGCCAAAGCAGCAGCAGCCTTGGCGGCCTTAGTTTGTTGAACCTTTGGAGCCATCTATAAAGTTAGTAAATAATTCACGGGTTTGAGACAAAAAAGACACAATATGCTTCTGCTCATTAACAAGCTTGAAGTAGCTCTCTGTCGAGTTGTTGATTCTTTAGTTGGGTCACTTTTCACGACGATTGCAATAGAAATTAATGTGGATTGCCCAGAATCAATTTGAGAAGCTTTCAAAGCACAGATCAATCACTCATTATAAAATTCGTGGGCCGTGACCTTGTATTCATACACTCACGGACACAACTTTGAAGATTCGTTACATACTTTGATTCACTGTTCTAGATAGTTTCAAGAAAAGTTCTTAGATTTTTTTTCTCAATTTTTTCAAGCGAGAAGCTGGGCGAGTTATGTCACGTGAGTAATCCGTTGAAGCCCTTGGCTTTATCGATTTTCTATGCAGAGAGCAGAAGCAATTTCTTGCATATTGAACAGTGTGTTACATTGCACGTGACTAGTTTATTGTTAGGGTATAAGCCCTAATTCCAACACTCATTCCAAACACCCATAGAAAACGTATCTGGAGTATTGCGGAATGGCCAAACGAGGTGCCGAGGAGCAGATCACGAAGGATAATTTGAATCTCCAAGATAATGATTCAGATGAAGTACATGGACCATCGTATGCAAGTGCTGATGTAATTGCCAAAAGACGAATTTTGAAACCTAAGGGCAAGTCTCTCTCAGGTTCCAAGAGTAGCCCTCAATTCCACTTCTCTGCAACAAGCAAAAACGCTACTATTTCTTCGAGTGTCGATGTGGTTAAGAATCTGAAATTGAAAGCTCTCAACCTCAGGTTTGTTGAGGCAGTCAAATCTACTGAGGGAGGTCAACTTGCGGATTACAGGTCAATTGCTCACAAGTACATTGAGTACTACTCTTCCATTGAAACTGGAGAAAGCTCCTCTTTGATTTCCACTTCTTCTACCCTCAAGACCAAGGAAGCAAGTGCAGCTGATAAAATCGAGACAGAGAAGAAGAATCCATTTGCCAACATCTCATTTGGCAAACCAGCCATTGCCCCGAAACAAGTCCAGACAAGCGAGAAGAATGTTTCCGTCGATAGTGATGGCGATAGTGACACTGAGGATGAAAAGAAAAAAATTCGGATAGAGGGCCCGAAGTTCACCTTGACGTCTAAACCTACCATCAAGAAGTCACCATTCTCGTTTGGTCCCAAACCTGCCAAGAAAGTTAATGATGACTCTTCGGACTCTGAAATTGAAATCAAAGGGCCCTCATTCACTTTTAACAAAGTGATTAAAGACCCGGTATTCAATGTAAAATCTGAATCAACTGGTCAGGCGCAAGATGCAAACGTTGAAAAGATTGACTCAACTAAGAAAAACGAGACAGAGGATCAGGCTTCACGTTCAACTAAAAGCACATTTTCTTTTGGAAGTAAGATGGAGTCTACTTCTAACACTCCAACGTTCCAGTTTGGCTCTACAGCACAATCTAAAGACAAGCCTTCTGAGGAGCCTCCATTCCAGTTTGGGAAAACAAATGCAGAATCGGCTCAGTCGAATCCTTCGTTTCAATTCGGAAACAAGGATAGTCAATCAAATGATTCAAAACCTATTTTTCAATTTGGATCATCAAATGCTCCGCTGAGCAGTACTCAGCCAAAGCAGGCAAAGCAAGCATTTCTGTTTGGTTCCATTGGAACGGGTGCCCTAGTGGGCTCGTCATCCACTCTGCTCGGACAATCATCTCAAACTATGCCTTTATCGACCTTACCTTTTGGTGGTCGTGGGAACGAGAATTCTGACAAGCCTGCTCTTGGCTCCAGTTCGGGGTCGGCTTCTACTCTGTTCTTTGGTACTTCCAACAACTCCGTGCCGTTTGGTTCTAAAATAGCCTCGACCTCCTCCCTCGGGCAAAATAATACAGGCTCCTCGACTCCTTCATTTGTGACTGGTGCACAAACTGACAATATTTTGGATGTGTCGAAAGGTGCTGACTTGGTGGCAGAGGAAGATTCTGGAGCTCAATTTACACCTGTTGCATCTCTTGGAACGGAAAAGGTTGATACCTCCAATAGCGGAGAGGAGGGCGAGCAGATTTTGTTCCAACGCAAAAGTAAATTGATGCTACTCGATGTTCAGAATAAAGAGAACCCATATACGAATATGGGTATTGGCGAATTAAAAGTATTGAAAGGTGAAAATGGTAAGAGCCGAATTTTAATGAGAGCAGATGGTGGATTGAGAGTTCTTCTTAATGTCTCTTTGTTGAAGGACATTACGTACACAACAATTGGAAATGGATCTCTTGTTCGCGTTCCTGCTGTTGGCGACAATGGGGTACTCCTGACGTATGTGCTAAAGGTAAAAACTCCCATCGACGGAAAAGAACTATGTGATACCTTGAATAAGGCTAATAACGTTTCCGCTCCTGAATAATTTTTATATAGTTAGGCACTTACGAATTTTGGCTATATAGTCTACAAAGTAACCAACATTTAGATAGCGTTGACGTGATTTAATGTTCGCTTGTAAGTCAGGAATTTCTGCGTCTCTAAAACATCTTTCTTAGATCCAAATAGCTTGTGTGATGTGGTTTTCAAGAGGGCCAACAAAGATGAGATCAAGAAATGTTTGCCTTCGAATATCCATAAGTTAAGAATTTGAATGCTTGATCTGCAGTCAATGCGGCTCGTGAACAAACTAAGGATCTAAATGTATTGGTGTAATACCAAGATAATAAAAGTGGTGATTCAGTGGAGGATGTTCAGCTTCTAACTTCTCTGTATACTGTTATAATATGCAGAGTGCATATATTCAGAAAGCACTGCTCTGTTAGATAAGACTCCCATCCAGGCGCATGGCCACAAGAGGATTCAATAGATCATCATAAACAAATACACTACCATCGGAGAGCGATGGAATTATCCTGAAAGACCTCAAATAAGATTGCACTTCAATTATGCCTATGAAAAATATACTATTGAAACTTGATTTTTCATCGGAAAGGCGATTAATGAAGTCATATAAATAAAGAAGACCTGAAATCATGATCTCCTTCACTTACTCATTTCGAAGCTCCGGAACCTCGCAATAAATGCTACTCGAGTCCTGATCAATGTACTCATCAATCGAATTGTCGTTCTTCCATTCCTTGAACATAGTAGCGAATGACATTTGGAATAATGAGCCATTCAAAAATAAGTTGGCATGAAATCACTTTTTTGTGGAGTGGTTTGTCTGATTGTCGCACGTTTAAAGGTTGGAGTACCTATCCGGTAAATGTTCCTCATGAACCGATCGTCTCTGGGCCATCGCATCTGGGAATCGACTATTGTACATTACAATCCCTTTCTTGAAGCTCACCTTGGATTTTGAGCTGCTCGTTCCGTCTCACTTGGTGTAAATCCTCTTTTCGAATTGCAACGAGAATGCCTTCTTATGTTTCATCTTATCATGTTCATTCTTTGGAGAGAACCAAGTTGGGTGAGTATAAATGATATATATAACGTAGCCTCTATACTAGGATTTGAATATTCTGACTGATCTAATAGGAGAAAGGCGGATCGTCCGGGATCCAAACGGTCACTCATTCTCTCTACACTAAGAAACAGGTGTTACAGTTTCTTACTCTCCTGAACTTGTTCAGCTACTCGAAATCTCCCCATTGAACTTGAGAGTAAGTTCAAGAGCGTCAGGAGAATGTTGTGTGGCTCTATTAGCATAAGAGATTTGCAGAATCAAGCAAACGACGATCTATATGGGGTTCCAGACAAAGTCCGGATAGTTCCACCTTGGCTATATCTACTGAAGATTGACGATGTCCTTTATGAATCTGTTGTATTGAAGCTCAAGTAAATGTTGATAAGAGGAATTCCAAATTACTTCGCTCTACATGTTGGAGCTCTATTGCACGTTGAAAATATCGACATCACGATCAATAGCTTCATCCTCGTATTTGTTGTCAAAGTCGTAGGAGCTAATCTTTGTTCTTGCCGAGTTGGCCTCGAACCATACGATACTTTGATTTATGCGCTGTTGCCTTGAGTTAAACCGTGGGGACAGTGTCAAACCGGAAGGAGCATTCTCAACTGACAAATGACTTGACTCTTTGATGAGCAGATCAATCTGTCTGCTTCGTGGTGTTGCGGGCCAGTGGCGCCTTTCGCCACAAGAAAGAATCATTGACTCTCGTCGATATTCGATTTCCTCTATGAATATTAAGCTGAATCGAACCCTTAACTCCCAAGTTTACAAGAAGTATAGATTGAATCACTGAAGATTTTGTTCGTCTCAAGACTCTTGAGATCAATTAATGAAAGTACATCAGGACAGTCAGTTGAGTAATGATTTTGATACCTAACTGTGTTTCAAACCTTCTTGGGCAGTGCATATCAGAAGCGAAGAAAATAATACGTAGACATCTACTGCAGTACATTAAAGTTACCTTTATTTACAAGTACTTAGATGCTATTTACAAGGGGATCAACAGTTCACTGAATCATTTTTTGGTATCATCCTTCAAGTTAAAAAACTTTCCTAGCATCTTTCCAATTCTTTGCAACTTCGATGGGTGTAGGTCATTCTCATTGTATACCTCAGTAGTCTGACCATCCTCCTCATCAAGGTCTAATTTCCAATCTGTATGCGTTCTTTTCGCATTCTTATCATTGAACGCATCTGCTAATGCCTCCAACAATGCTGTCTGTACTGGTGTTTCTGGAACAATAGTTTTCACATTAAGAATAACATCCATGTCACCTCTATTGTTCATGTTTCTGTTAATTGGTACACCCTTTTCTGGAATAGTTAATTTTCTTCCAGACTGAACACCTGGTCTGACTTTTAGTTTGATTTTCTCACCATCGATTGTTGGTACAACTATTTCTCCACCCAAAGCGGCCGTAGTCATCAAGACTTCCTGATTTAAGACTATATTGTTCTTCGAACGCTCGAATACTGGGTCTTTTTTCACATGAACCCTAACAATCAAATCACCGTTCCTCGTTTGATTATAGGGATCCTTTGTCACAAATGGAGCATCACCTCCACCAGGAATTCTCAAACGAGTACCATCTGCGATTCCACATGGTAAGTCTACTTGAGTTGACCTAGGTGCTTCCTCGACACCATTTCCGTGACAAGTTGAGCACTGGTCATCTTTGTTAATAGTTACACCAGACCCATGACATGTACTGCAAGTTGAGGCCATATGGAAGCCTCCAATAATGTGAGTACTTTGTCCCGTTCCGTGGCACGAAGGACAGGTATTCTTTTTCTTTCCCAGCTTTAATCCTGAACCATGACAAGTTCCACATGAGTCAACAGCTTTATAGTTGATATCAACCTTTGTTCCGAAAATTGCTTCTTTGAAAGAGATCGATTTCAAGACCTCAATATTGTCACCGACGTGCTCTGTCACGAATGAGCCTTGTCCTCTGCCTCCTCTGCCTCCTCCGGATCCTTGGTTGAAGGCTTGTTTGAAAAGGTCCTCAAAGTCAAACCCCATTCCAGAAAAGGGGTTCCCCTGGCCACCACCGAAAGGATTTCCCGAATGTGAGCCGAATGGATTACCTCCATTTCCATAAGGGTTGGCATTGCCATTCGAATCAAAAGCCAGCGCTCCAAATTGGTCGTACTGTGCTTTCTTGTCTTTATCACTTAATAGTTCGTAAGATTCCTGGATCTTGTGAAACCTTTTCTCTGAATCTTTCTCTTTGGATACATCTGGATGAAATTTCTTAACAAGTTGGTAATATGCTTTCTTAATATCAGATGCACTTGCACTCTTCTCGACACCGAGAACCTGGTACGGATCGAAGTCAATAGAAGATCTCAAGGATGAATGGAAGAGTCTTTTCCATTTGTTGTGCAAAGTACCACGAGGAATCCTTAGTGATTTTGTCAGTCTTATAAATGTAAACATTCAGTGACTAGGAGTATGATTGAACCTGAACTATGAACGGAATAACGAACTTCTTATTTCTTCGCACTTGAGTGAGATCGAAATTTTCTAGAAGAATCAATTATATCACGTGATCGTTTAGTTGTCTCAATCTATTCTCACATATATGTACATACTTAAGATTAGCGAACACATCTTCAGGATCATGATGCTAGTGTTGGATAGCACCGGCTGCTCCCGACCTAAAACTTCTGGTCCCAAGAATCCAACTTCATAGTACCATTTTCTTGGAAATTCAAATGCATCTTGAGCGCATCTCTCAAGATGTGGGGCTCGTGCAAGGAGGTTTTCTTCTTAGCCTCGAAACAAGCTCTATCAAAGTACTCATGCAATTGAGCCTTGTAGTCGGGATGAGCACATTTGTCAATAATTTCGACTGCCCTTTCTCTAGGAGCCATTCCTCTCAAATCAGCCAAGCCTTGTTCAGTAACAATAATATCTAAATCGTGCTCCGTCTGATCAACATGAGGGGCAAATGGAACAATACAGGACACACCCGTTGGATCAGTCTTGGATGGTCTAGCAGATGGTGTATGCATGATAGACAACTTGGCATTTCTCAAGAAGTCGGCAGAACCACCCAATCCATTCAACATACGCGATCCCATAACATTCGTAGAGTTGGCATGAGCGTACATATCAACTTCGACAGGAGTATTCATGGCAATCACACCCAACCTTCTGATGATTTCTGGAGAATTAGATACTACTTGAGATCTCAAACACAATTTCTTGGAGAATTCATCCCAACTTTCATCGAATCTCTCAAATCCTGCTTCAGTCAACCTGATGGAAGTAGCTGTGGCAAAGTCCAAAGACCCAGAGTCGAAAAAGTCAAGGAAGGAGTCCTGCAAAACCTCAGTCCACACGGTCAAATTCTTAAACTTCGAAGAAGCCAAACCCTCAACAACAGCATTTGCAATATTTCCAATTCCAGATTGCAATGGCAACAAGTTTGCAGGCAATCTTCCCATCTTCACTTCGTGCTCGAAGAATTCAATTAAATGGTCACCAATTTGACGAGACATAGCATCGGATGGTGTATTTGGAGGAACTTTATCACGGGAAGTAGACTCAACAATTGCAACAACCTTCGAGGGATCCACAGGAATGGATTCTCTTCCCACCCTATATGCAACGTCGGTGTGTGGGTAGGGTTGTCTAAATGGCGGGTTGACAGGCAAATCAATGTCGTGAATTCCCTCGAAAGATGGTGTTGCAGTGTTGACTTCGATGATAATCTTGTCAGATACAGAAATCATTTCGGGCGAAGCACCGACTGCTGGACCTGGGACGATAGAGCCGTCCTCAGTGATGGCAGTAGCCTCGATGATTGTATAATCAAGCAAATCGTTCTCCTTGTTCATTGTGTAGTATCCATAGGTCAAATCCTGAGGAAACATAGACAAATGCTTATCAAAAAACAAAGTTCTGCCTTCGTTAATGGCCTTCGCAATGGGCTTACCAACTTGATGTGGCGATCTTCTCAAGATCATGTCATGCTCTGCCCATCTTGACTCCTCTGGACCAGCAGAAGCTCCGACGAACAAATTGAATGCAAACTTACCTTGCAAATTGTTCTTTTCAACATGTTCAACCAAAGCGTGAGGAATCGCCTTAGGTGCACCAACACCGGTAAATCCAGACCAACCAAGGTATTGGCCGTGCTTAAAAAGCTCAATACATTCTTCTGGCTTTCTCAACTTCTGTAAGTATGGAGCGTATCTCACCCTCTGCTTCAAAATAGCGGACATTTCGAGAAGATTTCAAGACTGGGATTGGATTGGGAAAGAAGATGGCTTCTGAAGAGTTATAAATATAGGATGGCGGGGACAAGGTGGAGTTTCTGTTGTGCCAGACTGTGCAGGTTTTCCAAAATTTCGGTTAGTGTACCAGAGTTTTGGGTTAGCCAACAAATAAGATCACGATACGCGATTGTAAAATACTCCTGTGTATACAGAAACTTAATAATTCAAAGAACCGAGAAGTAACTGATAGTTGATATAACAATCGCAGGTTGATAAAAAACTTCTTTTATGTGATTTTCTCGGGTATTTATATCAAGCTTGAAAACGAGGTCCGGTGTGGAAAATAATGCATTCCTGCGTGTAACTACCAACATCAGTATCCTCGCCTGTCCGATACCTTTGTATTCCGAGACTATTTGGGGTATGATTTGGGGTGTGTGAGTATGTGCTATTGCATAACTCTACAATTTTTTATCAATTGTCCCAGGTTTCCAATGGAGAGGTTTCAATCATTATTTTTTCTATCCCGGCGTTCGGACTTTGCGGGACACTTCTGTCCTGTATTAGAGATGTGGTGCGAGATATTAAACACGAATCATATCTGTTCATTCCACTTCGACGTCCTAACGGTTAACTCTTGTGGGGCTAATAGGAATTTTGTGGGGCATTTCCGCGTTCTTGAAATCCTGGGGTCGGTTTTGAGGTTCCGGGAAGCATCTGGATCGTGCTTAACAATTCTTCCCTTTATAGAAATTAGTTGGTTCGGTAGCCTAGTCAATCAAATTGCGATAATTTGCAATTCATCAGCAAACAGATTAACTACAAAAACTCTTCAAATGTCACAGCGGTACTTGGTAAGGTACATGTTTAAAAAAAAGGCGTTCATTCAATGTTCCGGTCCACAGGAATTGTGTATCATTTTATTGGTTGTCGTGGTTTATTCTTGTATATCCACGGAACCGATGTGTAGGATCTCGGCAATAAGGAAATGACAAAACTGATGTCAATCTAGGAACTCCTGGTAAAATAAGTCTCATTAGAATGACAATTTAAAGCGAAATTGGGAAGAAAGTGGAAGATGGTGACTAGTAATACAACTATGATCAACATATCAAAAGTTGTTTCTTGAAGCTTTGAATCGACTAGTACGTTGAACTCCCTCTACAGGCTCAAATTCAGAGTCCTCCAGAGGCAGCTTATTAAAAATCTTGTGCCTCAATCGATGGTAATTATCAACAACCTCCTGATTGATTACAGACATCTGTACGTCATCTTGGAGTTGTGAATCGTTAGCTTCTTCGTCTGATGACAAATCATTTTCAATAATCAGTTCTTTAAGAATTTCATCATCTGAGTCAGATGAGTCAAAATTGGAGTCTTCAACATTGCCCGCATCTTCTTGTTTTGATTGGTACATCGGCGGAGTTACCTTTGACCCATTCTCAACAATCTTGTTCAACAATTTAAAGTCTTCCAATTGGTCCACTACTGGGCCAGACACTTCGATGTCATCGTCAAACATCCCTACATTATATGCTTGAACCATGGCATCTAAATCGTCGCCCAAATTAGGTAGATCGATATTTAGTTGCTTAACTTCACTCTTCAGAGTACCAGAAATGACATGTGCCGGTTCCACAGTATCTCTAGTCAAGTCAGGCTCCACAAACGCGCCATCCTTATTTTGTGGTAGTTGGATGCTAGTCGACGGCCCAGTCATCATTATCCTTCTCAGTGGATTTTGTGCGACCATAGACTTGAACTTGGACCTCTTCTCAGCTAAAACTTCTTTTTGTAACCTCGCCTTCAATTCCTTGAAGTTTTGATCTTCCTTTGTGGTATCATTACAAGGCTCCGACACCTCAACAATTACTGGTGAAGTGGAGTCATTATCTTCATGCTCCACGATATCAGTAGTCACAGCGTCAGTATCGGTAACTTCATGAATTACAGGCTGCATCACAGCTGCTGTCTTCATGCCTTGTGAATTTCCTGTTAATATCTTGTTCTCTTTAAATTTCAGAATTTTCCTTTGGTATTCTGTAGGGCGCAGCTCCTTTTCAACATCCTCAATTTCCTTGATTTCAAGAGTTTCACTGAAACGGACAGATTTTTTACCAATTTTTGCCCCTTGATTGCTAGCTGTGTCGGTATCTTCGGACCTCTTGATTCTCAATGATTGAATTTCTTTCCAAAACCGCTCCTCAAGTTGTGCATTTTTTGGTAAAAGAGAATGCAAAGTTTCATTCTCTGTCAATTCATCTTCATCAGATTCCACTTCAATCTCAAAATAATTGTCGCTATCTTCGTCTGATTCAATATCGATGTCCACGTCTTCACCTCTAGGTGTATCTGCGCTTTCTTCGAGTTCACTTGCTATTAATTCCAATTCATATAAGAGTTCTTGGTTATTAGAACCTGTGCTGTAAGAATTTTCAATCGAATCATTCTTTCCAGACGAATAATCAACCCTTGTTGGAGTGATTTCGTTCCTCTCGACTTTGTTGTCGTGGTGAGGATTATCAGACTGAGGAAGTAATTCCATATCATTAAGCAAATCCGCCATTTGATCTCCGGCGGAAGTGTTCAAATCCGAAGCATTCAAGATCATTGCGTCTTTCTGTCCAGGCAATTGCGGTTCATGTATAGGTTCGATGTCATTTCCATTGGAGTCTTTTAATCTGACATCAACAATATTTCCAAGCTCATCTAAATCTTCCTGGATATCAACGATTTGTGAGCCTTCCTTCTTGATTCCATAATCGTCTCTAATACCATCATCAAGGAGATCAAACTTCAGCTTTACTTCTATCGCTTGTACTAACTTTGCTTCAACTTTCCTTCTTTGAACTTCCAATTTTTGAATACGGCGATCTAAGAATTGCAAGGTTTCAATTTTTGTTCTTTCAGCTTGATATCCGCCTCCTATATTTACAATGATTGGCTCTGAAACGATCTTGTGCACTGAAACTTTCAAATCTTGCAACTCTGAGAGCTCTTGGGCTAACTCTTCTTTCTCAGTTTCCAATATCATAATGGAGTGTAATATTATTTGCTCTAAATGAGCACTAGGGATATCTTGGTTCATGTGTGCTATTGCTCTCTTATTTGAATATCTGGAATGCGATGAGCATTGAATTATCTGGTCCTGGATGTATGATGTTGTGTGGAATCTTATGGGCCACTACAAATGAGAACAAGCGTTCTTTCAGTTGAAAGGACGCAATAGGATCTTCACTTATGTCTTACACTGGTTTTTTTTTTGTTTCTTTTGCTCTTTTTTGCTTTTTTTTGCTCTTTTTTGCTTTTTTTTACACTTTTTTGCTTTTTTGTTTTTTTGAAGTTCTCATCTTTTCATCATTTCGGAGTATCTCGAAATTAATGCAAAACCTATGTAAAAAATGAAATCGTCGACTGATAACCAAATAAAAGCAATGAATGTATTGCCCTTCGAGAAGAAATCCTAATTTTCAATAATATTCCTCGAATTATATAGCTTGGTTCTCATTCGGGTCTCATTTTCTCGAACACGTTCATTTAGATTATAGTACTGTATTCTAGTGTCAAAATTCAGAACCTTCTACAACAATCATGTCTCCAACACCTTTACAGATCAAGGTGAAAGCACTTCAACGATTGACAACAGAAAAGAGTTACTATGCTAAGGAAGTTGCCGAGAATACTCAAACCTTAGAACAAATGAGGGCAAATGGAGCTGATCCTTATGAGGTAAAGAAACAATCTCAGGTATTGGACGAATCCAAACGAATGGTTCCAGAGTTAGACAGCAAGATCAAAGAGCACGCTCAAAATCTTTCAGAATTCTTGAAAGTTTACAATGGTGATGAAGATACAACTTTTGCTAAATCATTGATTCAATAAATGTTCACAATTTCAGTGTTCATCTAAGAAATTATCGCCCCCACCTGGTTCATGCGAAGCCATTTCTAATTCCAACTTATCATAGAACTCTTTATTTTCGATCCATCTCTCATGTATGTCAATATCATTGTGTACTCCTGCAGCTTTATTTCTAACTGCTTCTGCCCAGATCAGGTCCCCACCTAATTCGGAGCTCCCTAAGCTGTAACCAATTGTATTGTCTATGACTTGAAGCAAATGAATCATGGAAGCTTTATTTTCCACCGCTAGCACTTCGAATGAAACCAAATTGAAATCCTCAACAAGCGTTCCAATCATTTCAGTCAATTTCACAAAATTCTTACCCAATGTAGTTGGTGATTCCCTATCAATGAGGGGTCCTAAATAACTCAAATCCTGAACCTCAGTATAGTAGTCAAGCCGCAATGGTAAGTTTCCATATGACAGTAGCATGTCAACTTTGGAGATCACGTTCACTTGGGGAAGATCAAGTTGTAACATTGACCGTAAACTAAGTAGAAGGATAGAAATATACTGAGACGGGCTTGTCAAGTATATGGAGTCAACTAGTGATACAACGCATAAACGGGCATCCATACTATTGGCCATGCGCTTGAATATCTTGAACAATGAATTATGATGAGTGAACAACTCGACTTGACCGGGACAGTCAAAGATGAGATAGTTTCGACTTTGTGCCAATTTTTTAATTTCTCCGAGTAGGATCTCAATACCATTTTCATCGATACTCTCGAGAGCATACATAAGTCCCCCGTTTGGCCCGAGATTGTTCTTATTCATGACATCTTCGACTGTGATGAAATCTCGAATATCAAAATCGCATTTAGGGTATGGATGTCTTTCATTAGCCGGATCAAGATTAATGATGCTGCATTTTCTACCTATAGCGGAAAGAAATTGATACATTCCATGACAAAACGTCGACTTTCCCGAGCCAGGTGGTCCTATTACGATTTGTCCGAACATGGTTTTGATAATGGTAGTGCCCCATCGGGAAGCTATATATACCGGTGTGCACACGCACAACACTTGAGGGCGAACGTCTAATCACCTAAGCAAGAGTACAACAGAAATCAATCATGCCAGCAGCTTCAAATGAGACTGCCTTTCTCAAGAAGACAGTCACAGTGTCTCCACTTGTGCTATTGTCAGTAGTTGACCATTTCAACAGAGTTGCGAAGGATTCGAAGAAAAGAGTGGTGGGTGTGCTATTGGGTGATACATCTTCCGAGGTCATTAAAGTCACTAACTCCTTCGCCATCCCATTCGAGGAGGATGATAAGAATTCCTCAGTTTGGTTCTTGGACCATAATTTCATTGAATCGATGAGAGAGATGTTCAAGAAAATCAACGCCAAAGAGAAATTGATTGGATGGTATCATTCAGGACCCAAACTCAAAGCGTCTGATTTGAAGATCAACGATGTATTCAAGAAGTATACCACTAACCCACTTTTGGTTATTGTGGATGTTCAACCACGCTCGGTGGGGATTCCAACGGATGCTTATTTTGCTGTTGACGATATCAAACATGATGGTTCGAAAGCTGAGAGAACATTCGTTCACGTTCCTTCGTTGATTGAGGCAGAAGAAGCCGAAGAGATTGGCGTGGAACACTTGCTACGTGATATAAGAGATCAAGCAGCAGGCAATTTATCATTGAAAGTAACTCAAAGTTACCATTCGTTATTGGGCTTGTACCAGAAGTTGCGGGAGATAGCAGATTATCTTGAGAAAGTTTATGAGAAAAAATTGCCCATCAACCATTCAATTTTGGGCAAATTACAAAATGTTTTCAACTTATTACCAAATCTCGCTCATGGAGATTCGCCAACAGACACCTTCTTGGTTGGTCACCGTGTGGACAATGTTGAGGATTCTTCAAATCCGTTAGCAACTGCTTTTACCGTGAAGACAAATGATGAGTTAATGATGGTCTACATTAGTACTTTGGTCAGATCAATAATTGCTTTCCATGATTTGATTGAAAATAAGTTGGAGAACAAGAAGTTAAATGAAATGAAGCAAAAGGCGGGGTCCGATATCTCCACTGAACACGAGTAATGTCGATAGTGCAGGCTGGCCAAGTAGTCGTGTATTTTTAGCCAAATGAATAAAATCATTTTGAGGGTTATTCAAACAATTAATCAATAGAAGTAATGGCTTCGAGATTGATTGGACTGGCCAGAAGTTTTCCGTCTAATTTCCATTTCTTTTTTTCAAATCGTAATCATACGTTAAAGGCTGGGCACAACTTCATACTGAATGTATTCTTAATAACCAAATCTACTAGCCAATTTGCTACACTCTCCTCAGAGAGAAAGCTTATGAATGATGTTGCCAGGAAGGTATTATCGTGTCAGGAACCAAATAACAAAATTGGGAGGTCGCCTGATACGGCTGATCCAAACTCAAATATTCCATTTCAAGTAACTCCTAAGAGTGTGGCTAATAAGAACAGTGAGAAGAAGCAATCGAGCCAAAGCATACTCCGCTCTTACTTCAAGTTGACAAAACCAAATTTGACATTTCTAGTGACATTGAGTTCGATATGTTCTTATGCGATCTCTCCAAATTCCGTCTCTGTTGGCGAGTTAGCATTTCTTACCATTGGTACAGCGCTTTGTTCAGGTTCGGCAAATGCTATAAATATGGGAAGAGAACCAGAATTTGATAAGAGAATGACCAGGACATCCTTGAGACCTGTTGTGACGGGCTTGATCACTCCAAAACAGGCTTTTCAGTTTGCTTCTGTAACTGGCTCATTGGGATGTTTGATTCTTTATTTTGGTGTGAACCCCATAGTCAGTCTTCTTGGATTTATCAACATCGGACTTTATGCATGGGTATACACTTCACTCAAGCGAAGATCTATTTTGAATACTTGGGTGGGAGCACTTGTTGGAGCTATACCACCGTTAATGGGCTGGGCAGCTTCATCTTCCCTTGCGCATCCTGGAAGCTGGTGTTTGGCAGCATTACTATATGCTTGGCAGTTTCCACATTTTAACGCTCTCTCCCACAACATTGCTGACCAATATAAGCAAGCTGGTTACGTGATGACTGCTGCGGAGAACCCAAAGCTTAATGCGAGAGTGGCCTTACGTTACTCTCTTCTTATGTTCCCAATCTGCTTTGGTTTAAGCTATTTTGAAGTCACTGATTGGTTCTTTCAAATTGACTCGGGGATTGCTAATACTTGGATGGCCATATTGGCGTATAGATTTTGGATGCAACAAAAACATAACCACGCCTCAGGTCACACAGCAACACCAGATGCGAAACAGATGGCTAATTTCCATGCCCGGAAGCTCTTCTGGTGCTCTGTGTGGCAGCTTCCTGTTGTATTGGTATTAGCAATGCTTCACAAGAAAGGGCAATGGGATCGACTTTGGCACTATATGGGCTTGAACAGCGAATATTCAGACCCGAAACAAACAAAACTAGCCATATAATCTTGTAAATATCAAATAAACTCAGTCATTCCCCTAATTGTAAACATGAAGTAAAAATCATGAATGATTAATACTGATTTTTCTAAGTTGGGTGTCGATGAATTTATGGGAGCTCAGATCAACCATCAAATTGCTCCAGGCGTTACTTGATCCAGAGTCCTGAAATTCCATGCAAATAATGAGCTTTCCACGTAATTATTGGCGATACTTTATGTATCGCCAATGGTTCCACGCATGAGTATTGGAAGAAAAAAGCAGGGTAATTTTATTATGATTTATGTCAATTAGCAACATAGGGCAAATAGTGAGACATTTTCTTATCACTTGTAGGTATTGTAAATTCTGCTTCTATAAATGTATTAGTATGAGGTAATCCTAAATTTAAATGGAAAACTACATTATCTCTATAATAACCTAAGAATATACAATGACCCTACTTAAATTAAGAAAGCATAATAAAAAAATTACAGAATTCAGAACTGAATTAAAATACTTTCAAAAATCTATAGTCAACGAACTCTGACAGACGAAAGTCAATACCATTATTTAACCGTTAAAGGCTCAATGTGCTATTCTTTTTGGAGTTTCCTATGAGGTATTCCTTTCTCAGTTTCTACTCTAGTCTAGTGTCCATCAATTGGTGCAGCAATTGCGAAGATTCTAAACTTGGAGAATTCAATTGGTCCCTTTTACCTTTTCAGTTGACCGTTTATCTCATTTTACTTGTCTGTTATTAGCGAAATTATACAGATTGTTGGTCTTTTAACCCCGTGCATTTCTATAATATAATATATGACCCATTCATTTAGTGAGAATACGTACAATAAATATAGAAATAATATCTTTGATGATATGAATTGAAATGAGAAAATTACTCTTCAATAATAATGATGGATCATTAATTCAAATTCTATTTTTAAACAATCGCTTTATAGGATGTTTAGATATCCTCCTATTACAAAGGTTACCTCACATTGTATAGAATTCGGTTGTGGTTAGTGATTAAACTTGATTAAAAAATAACTATTACCCTAAGTTAGCTATTCTGAGTTTCTTCGGCCCAATAAGCCGAAGAAATGCAATTTCTAGAATGCGTAATTGGGTACATAATTGCGACTTAAACAATTATTTGTATCTAAATACGTATTCTGGAATACTATCCAGTATCATCCCATTTATAATTTCTTCCAGCTCAGAAATTATAATGATATCAACTTAATTAGATTGACAAGTGGATTGAATGGATTTTATTATATTGAAGCTAGTTATTCTCTATTTGGAATGAATAAATATCACTTTGTATAATTATTATTCTTTCGTTATAAGGAAGAAATACCGAAAGCTGGAAATGAAAAATTTGAGGACATTATGTTGGAGATGAACCCAATCATTTGACATTGAAGCTCATGATATTTGTGGAGTATTGAATGGGATCCATTCAGAGTACAAAGTGAATAAATATAGTTTTAGAGGCATTAGTTACATTCGCGCAAGATGAGCTCTATATCAGTTGAGCGAAGCTTTCAATATATGCAGCTGGGTGTGCTGCCAATTACATGATGCGAGATGTATCTATCCTCTCGTGATAATTGACGATATTTAATTATACTAGCTGTTGATTTCCTCGTTGGAACTTATTAATGCTTCAGCAACTTTTATGCTAACATCATTTACGCCGTTAGGAGATTACAATTTTATTTAGATGTGTTTTGTCCCTGAAGTGGTAAAAGGTATGTCTACATTATATAAGACTTTTGAGTGTTAAGTAGGACTCACAATCACCGCCTTTATGTTGAAACATCTGAAGGAATTCGTTTTTTTGATGAAATGGAATGTATTATTACCATTGTATCTGTTCCAGAAGATAGAGCGCACAAGGTTTGTGGATGCAGTAGTTGGTGCTAAGATCACATTGGATGAGTGTAGATTAGATTGCGAAATAGTTAATGAGAATGGTTGTAGTTAGCTAGTTAAGATCAAAGCTGAATACGAACATTGGTGATAAATTGAAATCTTTATAAAATTGATCAGGGTCAATTTATTGTAATGTTGAGGCTACGTGATTTCTGCCCCTGCTCTAATAATGACGAAATTCAACCGGGCAAATAATAAGTCTTAATCATGATGGGGTCCTGTATGCATTGATGGTCCATAATATGGTCACGTGCGGACCATTCTGTATGTGAACAGGTGGGTTTTTGGTAGGCTTCAACTTCACAACAACATGCCCATTAAATCCTTAGAATCGTTCTTGTTCGAAAGAAAGCTTGTCAATACCAGCTCTATTGAAATACTTAAGAATGCCACCGTTGGAATTGATGTAGAGCATTATTTGAGTCGGATTTATACGTTCAAGAAAGAACAATTCTTGTTCAGTGTTGGGGGGGTTCCTTCTTCCCTAGAAAGCTATATTCAATCAGACTTAAAAGTATTTAAAGAGTTCAATATCAGGCCATTATTTGTCGTACCTGGTTTACATGTTAACTCCAAAGAAGGTCAATATGTAACGAATGAGTTATCTCAGCAAGAACAACACTTGGAAACTACATGGAACAAGCTTTATTCAAAACACTCTAGCCCCAATGGATCCAACTACGTTTATCTGAGTGAGTCTTTCAGACTACATGTCGATCCCTTGCCCATCCGTCCAATGGTGAACGATTTAGTCAAATACTTCATTAAGAATGGAATTGACTATATGATTAGTCCTTACGACGCATCTTTCCAATTATCTTATCTTTATCAGAATGCACTCATTGATTCTATCTACGGCTCAACTGATGTGCTTCTCACGAAGATCGATAAATTCATTTTGGGTATGGAGTTCCAATCAAAAGACTTCAGATATGTCGATAAACAAAAAGTGCTTAATGAGTTGAGTTTAACCGAAAGACAATTTATTGACATAAGTATAATGGTTGGATGCTCTCCTCAACCGAAAACCTTCTCAAATCTTCCTCCATTGCCAAAACCCAACCCGATGTCACCCTACCAGCAAAGTTATTTCAAATTGGCATTGGATATCTTCTTTCAATTTAGTTCTTTCACCGGAGGCTCTAATGGGGATTTTTTCGGGTATATTTCTGGCTTAAATGATCCTTCCTTGGTTGAGTTATACTTCCGTGGACACGCAGCTATAAAATATATGCCCGTCTTGAATATTGATGGATATGCGGGTTTATATTGCAACGAAATGCAAAAATTAGGATTGGCCGACGACGTCGATTTGTGTCAACCTGAGGATCAAATCCTTCCGAAAGAGAATCATGAACAATCGAATTTGAGTCTTAAGGTTCCTACCGAGATCCACAATGTTATTTCGCAGAGACTTCCTCCTGAAATTTATTTATATCAATCGCTAGGATTGTTACCTTTGAAATTTCTTGAGGCGATTACTCTGGGAGTTTCAACTATTCGGCCCCCTCTTGAAAGCGGCTTGGGTGAAGGGTACAAGAAGCTCATAACATGTGCCGATACCATAAACACCTGGGATTATCAATTCAACTTGATAACCCAGCTATTGGCAAGATATTATCAAGTCAAGAAAATAGAGGTCGTATATTGGTTTCGGGATGAGAAGTTAATCTTGAATAATCGCCTAGTTCCGCCAGTAAGTACAAAGGTCAATTTCCTCCACATGAACTTACCTGATACGTTCAATTTGAAAGATTTCCTCAAGCAGTTACCGCCAAGTTTTGGAGAAACTGCTGAAACAGAAGGAGGATCTCTTTATGACCCATCCCTGGATGGGAGCTTGGTAGCCACATCACTTCTTAGAGCCTTGTTTGTCCATAAACTCATTGACAATTCAACTAATCTGGTACAAGCGCCATTGAAATTACTTCAAAGATTCCTCGAAGCGAATCCTACAATTCCTGGTGAGTATCTTGAGGAAATTTCATTGCTTGTTTTATTGTTAAGCAGTGGGAGCTACAATTTGTTTTTAATTGATCGCAGCTACCCTAGTGTTCCAAAAAGCTTTAAGAATCCTGGGGCCGACGAGGACTTGTTGCTGGATGAGGTTAGACAAGTTGCGCTCGCTTCAAGGATTTTTTCTTTGCACAGATTCAACATTCATCCCATCAATTATCAAGGGCCAATATCTAGAAGCTTGCTCAATTTCAGAAGTCATTTGACTTTTGTAAAGGAACTTTTAGTTACATCTATTGAGACATGTCTTGTTGATTTGGTCGCACGGCAAGAATCGGTCAAGTTAAAACATCAATCCAGAGATCTGTGGTATAACTTGATTGATCAATTGCCTTTTTACTCAGATCTAAACAACACTTTGCTTGGAGTCGTCTATGAGGTATATTTGGAGAATTGCATCAAACGCATGAAATTGACTCTGTCAGTGGAGGAACTGATCGCAACTTCAAAAACTTATTTGTTGGATCAAATTTTGCAAGTGAACAATCCGTCCTTTAATATCAATCTTAGCAGTATTAACAGCGTCACTCCTGAGCAATTTTCGAATGATTTACATTCGGGTATCAAATTGTGGGATTACTTTGTGGAGATTTCGAAGATTGCAGTTGAGATGAATGTTTTCGTGTCCGAGACTGATCTCAAATTAATTCATGACACCAATGAACTTGTGCATCAATTTGCAAACGTATAGAGTTCCCAGGGCTACTGCGTTCGAATTGAAGTACTTTTTTTTTAATTGATTGTAGTACCATTTGAGTGTGTCCCTGCATGTCATTTTCTAGTTTCCAGTAAATGAATTACTTACTTCCACTGAACATGAAGGCTATTCCCAGGAGCAAGAAAGTCCAAAAAACTTACTCCAGAATTATAAGGGCCGCTCATGTTGATTTATCTAATCAATCTCTTCCAAAAGTCACAGGTTGCGGGCCCTTTGTTGAATTACTGAAGTTCAAACCGATTGGGACTTCAGGTGCTCTTTTGAACATCCAAATACCTCAGTCTGGTCATCTCAAAATAAGATCCGCCTCTATTGTTGCATTAAATGGCAGCGTTGAAGATCTAGACGCTGAGCTCAGGCCATTCAAGCAAGGGGTGTGGTATCAATCCCTCCGCCTGAGATCTCCAATATCACTTTTGGTATCGGGCGGGCGCTTTAACTACCTGTTATTGAAGACTCATAAGGGCGAGAACTGGCTTTTCAAGGACTTGGAGAATGTTATTGCATGGTCTGGTTGTGACTTGTCTATTTCTCTGAGAAAATCAGACACTTCGATCTCCTCTTTGCATAGTGAAGGAAATGGAACAATCGTGGTACAAAGTATTCTGAAACTCTTTGAAGTTAATGTTGAAGTTGGAGAGAGTATTCTCGTGGCGCCAAGTGCCATCATTGCCTCTAATGTGACCATAGACAAAAGAGTTGAACTTCGTGATGATCATATTTCAAGGATATTCTTGAGTCCATCGTCCTTGAGGGCAATTCTGATCAAGTTACCCAAAATTCATACTCAATACTTCTCAAGGATTTATCGTACATTAAAAGAACGGCTGAGAATTTTCTTGAATTTACCTTCAAGGGATGAAACCCCTCTTTCAAAGTTACGGTCAAACTTGCGATTATCACTCAAGAGAATTACTAAACTAACTACATCGCTAGTGGCAACGCTATTCAAGAAAGATGAACATTACTATTATGCTGTTGACGGTCCAGCAAAGATACTTATAGCTGAACAACCTCGGTTTCGCAGGGAATTGAAGAATGGACTTTGAATAGAGTGCACATTCGCATTATATCTTAGAATAAACCACTTTATCAAATAACATAGATTATGGAGATTACAACTAACACATCACCTGAAGATTGGAGTTTTTTCGCAAAGGGTGCAGCAAACATCCTCTTCAAGTATTCTGGATCAAATAATTATTTGAAACACAAATTATTAAGGTTGCGGTTAAGAAAGGCGGAAAATGAATACATTTCAACATGTCAATTGTATGATTTCATTGAATTGAAATGCAAACCGCTCTTTCCCCAGCAGATTATCGATGTGCATTTGGTTGTGTTGACTACTGAGTTTGTGTCTGCATTGGATTGCGAAGATCATGAATTGATGTTATCTGAACAATATGGTCTCTTGATCCCCAACATCTTATGTGGTAATTTCGAAAAGCAAACTCTATCCAAATATTCCAGTCTCTACGTTGGGACTTCCCTGATAGAAGCGGCAAATGGAATTGTTGATACGGTGATTTTAGAGATGAAACCCAAATGGCTATATGATAACTCATCCAACTACTGCCGTACATGTCTGCTCAACCAAGCCAAAGGATACCGGAGGCACTTTTGTCCGTTAGATTTTCTTTATCCAGAAACAATTGAAGAGGGACTCCAGGACCTTATTGGATTGATTTCAGGAAAAACTAGGAAACTAATTGAAGTTCAAAATGGAATCCCTTTTTTAAGTTTGCTAAGAGTTTTTGTGGAGAAGGAAGGAAATGTCTTCCAAAAACTTAAAACGTATCAAGAGGTAGAAAATGAAAGCGACTTCATTGTCAATTTGAAATCTCAGGATGATGTACTGGAGAGATTATCATTGATTATGACGCTCCGTGACGTTGGGCTATTTATCAAATGCGAGAAATTTGATGAGTCAAACGATGTCCACAAGAGTCAGATAAACAGCGCCAATATTGTTGTAATTGAAGGAGAAAAGTTTCTTTTGACATCAAACATTTATGATCTCGACTTGAAATCTAAGCTGAAGTATAAACATTGGATTGCAGTGGAAGAGAAGCTAAAGGAAATCTACAACTCCAACAATCCAGATTGGAGATTCTGCGTTAAGAAAAACTCTTTTAAGTACACCTGATAAATAAATCTAGTTCACCATACGTCCTCTTGGTACTTGTTCTGCACCTTGAGCGATCTAACAAGATCCGAAGCCTTCTCTAACAGCAAGCCTCTTTCCTTCGAAATGATATTCACAAAGACTGCTTGAACATCACGAGCCATCTTGGAAGCATCACCACAGACATAAATGAATGCGCCCTCTTCCAATAATGCGTTGATCTCCTTAGATTTGGCAGAAATTTTATCCTGGACATAAACTTTCTTTGATTTGTCCTCTCTAGAAAAAGCGACGTCCATTTCGAACTTATCACCAAGTTTCTGAGCGTATTCGGGCCATTCACTCTTATAAAGGTAGTCCTCATCTCTATTTCTGCATCCATAGAAGAGATTGATCTTTCCCACTTTAGCATTCTCTGAATTTTGCAAAAGTGCAATCCTATCACGAATGAACCCTCTCATAGGGGCAATTCCAGTACCAGGGCCAACCAAAATAATTGGGGTAGAAGGGTTAGAGGGCAATTTGAAAGTCGACCTTCTAACATGAACTGGAAGCTTAAATTTCTTAAATTTTCCTTTTGGTCCATTCAAATCGTAGGAAGCATACACATGGCCACCTGATTTGTTCTGCTGGACTTCGATGAATTTCAACAAGTTGGTGGCAACTCCGGTAACTATATGTCCAGCATGTTCTTCGGCCTCAACCACTGCAGTGACATGAATAGATGTCTTTTCAGATAACGAGGACGAAGAAATAGAGTAGTATCTCGGTTGCAAGCTTGCAATAAGCTCAATCAAGAAAACAAAGGGAACAGACTCCCAAATAACACCTTCAGAAATTCTTAAGAGAGCATCCGCTAAGTTCAAGAATTTAGATGAGATTTCCTTAGCAAACGCATCCTTGTCACTTCCTAGTTTTAGAGATGCTTCTTTGGCATTATTATTTGGAGCAAACGGAGCAATGTTAACAAGCGTCTGTCTTGAAATTGGTCCTGAAATCTCCATATGATGTCTGATTGCAGCTTCATATGTTATAGGGGTCGGAAAAGGGAAATGAACGGTTGAGTCTAATTTCTTCAATGAAAAAACTTCATCAGCTTTCAGTTCGAGGCCGAAACATTTCAAAAAGCGGTTAACATCCTCGTCTGAGTTAGACGGCCAAATTGCAAGATGGTCACCAGTAGTATATCTCAAGTTAGATTCTGAAATATCGAATTCCGCATGAACACACGACCTATCTTTGGAATTGAATAACTCGAAACTCTTCGATACCTTCGCCAAATAAGGATGTGTGTGATCAAAGGGACCTTTAGTAAGGTCACCATCCATATTAATGTAGGCCCTATTTGGTTCACCAGCAGAGACTCCTTCGTCGTCAGCAGACAATACATTTTCTTCAATTAATTCGAAGGAAGGTTCGTAGACCAGTTCGTGTTCGTCCAAATTCAAGTCATTCTTCAAAGAGTCAAAACATGCTTCCTTCCAAGACAAAAAGTCTTCATCCATTGTTCCAACACCATCATCACCTTGTCCGTAAGGAGCTATCCTTTCAGCACCTAAATTCTCAAGTTTCTCATTCAACTTCTTTCCCATAGCATTGAACAATTCGTAAGTAGAGTTGCCCAAGCCGAAGACGGTGTATTTCATATTGGCCATTTGGTCAGCTTCGCTTTCTAACCAGTTGAAGAATTCCACAGCATTGTCAGTTGGCTCTCCCTCTCCATAGGTCGCAATCATGAAAAAGAGGAGTGTTTCAGGTTCTAAATCTTGCAAGGTGTCGTAATCATAGTCGGCCAAATCGGCAGTTAAAACAGATAGACCGAATTTTGAATGCAAATCCTTCGCCAACTTGTTGGCGTAATCTTCAGCAGTGCCAGTTTGAGATCCGAAAAACACAACGGCATTCTTCTTGTTATTCTTTAATGTTTTAACGAGATCACGATCATTGTCCTCTGAACCTGCCGCCACAAATCCCGCAGAAGCAGCATTGCTCTTGCCGAAGTAGTCCTTACCAAAGTAGAAAGCTACGGCAAGAGCTAAAATCCCGATAATTGAGATGTCCAAAGTGTCTAAAACCATTTTCGATTGAGAATATGAAGTTTCAAGAAGTGCGAATATGGGCGTAGTTATATGGCACTATCTTCAGGAATGCCCGCTTCTCGGAAGTGCATCGTTAAGTCCGTTACATACGCCAACATGCGAAAAAGAATCTATTAACTCATATTTAATTTTGATTCCATGCTGAAGATGACTTCGGAGCAAATGAATACATTAACAGATGTGCTGATTTTGTAATGAATATGTTTCTAGGTCTTTCCCGAAAATGCTGTGGTTCAGACTTCCATTTCTTGATAACGTGAGCAAATGGTCCCACAACGGAATAAGAAAACACATGGCCACCCCGCGCTAGCATGTGCAATCAGTCCATTAAGTGAGCCAAATCTCTTTCAGTACAATAAAGATTTGGAAGCATTTTAATCTCTCGCTACTGGCTCAGAGAGAGATGCTTCAGGAAAGCATCTTTGGACAGTCTTATAACATTTTAAGTGCATATCCTCATGGTTAAATAGACCTCGTAGGAACCTAAGAATGGATTTCGGTTCTATGTCTCTTAAAGCAGCTTTTCCCAAGCAATAGTCAACTTGAGAATTTTGGTCTGCTCCTGTAACAAGCTTCCCGATGTATTCCCTTCGCACTAACTCGGAGAGAATATCTTGAGTATTCTTGTTGATGTTGGCTACAATTGAACTAAGGTTTTCTGAAAGCCCAAAACCATCCAATACTTCAAGTAGATTGGTTTCCCTGACCCTATTCTCGTTGACAACAATAACTGAAATAATCAAAATCACTATCCCAGCCATGATAGTCTCGGGTGTATTCACAATAACATCTTTTCGTTTGTGATTTGACATGTGATATAATAAATCATTGAAATTGCTATCTGCTTGATTGATCCCCACATCTTCTCTCTTTAGAAGCCTATCTAAAGCCTCTCTGGATGACAATTGAAGGTTGTTCAGAAGGAATATCTCATTTCCCGACATTATAAGTGTGATACCGAATAAATCTTCAAATTCTTTCTTGAGTGAATTGAACCATGTGATAATGTTGCCTTTGAGATTATGGCGATGAAGAATTGGCGCTAAGTGATCCTTCCGAATTCTCTGATTTCGTGCGTGTCTTGTAAGCACTAACCGTAGTAAGCTCAGAAGAACACTCGAGTCTATTAATCGATCGTCATTATTCACCTGTTCAAACGGAGTTTGTTCGTCTTGATATTCATCGTTGTCAAGTTCTGAATGCGAGCGTTTTGACATCAGTTTCTTCAAGAGTATCTCCAGCGTTTTCCGCGTTGAACGCCGAAATGTTCATTCCTGTACTTTGTTAGGCAGTCACCAAGCCAAAAGTGTTGAGTTAGCATAGATAGAGTAGTGGACAGTCACCGTGTTAATTCTAAGGAAGGTAGCTTATAGGTCATTTATGTTTTATTATTTTCTCCTAGGTTAGACCTGATCTACGTTATGCTTTCTAATCCCAAAGGCTTTAACTCCTTATCCACAAGAGTCCAAGATTTCTATTTCGAAGAAGAAAGAACCTACCATAGAAGACACAGAAAGGATTAACATGACTAACACTGAAGCCAAAATATGTAAAATGTTGCCAACTGACTTGATAGATGAACATGTTGTCCCCACAGTCAACTTATATACAGAATCTCAAACAGATGTGAGCAAACAGGCCGAAATAACATATTGACTAGTCAGGATGAAATACGACGACAGCCTTCAAATTAAACAAAGTATAATTGCTTTCGACTTAGATAGCGATTTTGCAACACCAGATCTCCGAAATCTCCAATATGAAAGTGCAACGGACCACCTCATTTGTCCGATATGCCAACAACCGTTCTTGCAACCAATGACAACTATATGTGGACATACTTTTTGTAAAGAATGTATAACAGAATGTCTTAACGTCGGGCCAACACTGGAACCAAATTTTAGAAAGGGATCTTGTCCTCTTGATCGAACACCTATTGATGCGACAGACCTGAATGAACTTTTTCCCACTCCCTTGCTTATCGCAAACATGGTTGACGAGCTAGTCGTACGATGTTTGAATAATGAGCGTGGATGTACCTGGAAAGGACGTAGATGGGAAATAGAGAACCATGTCAAACACTTATGTGGCTATACTGGAGTCCATTGTAACGGTATAAGAAGTACAACATCCCCTGATCATTCGAATGAAGAAACAAACAAAATTAAAGAATTACAAGAGGCAGATGAAACAATCAACTGTCAACTTTTGGTGGAACGAAGATTCAGCGAGGATCATGATGTGTGCGTTCACTTGATTTATGGCTGTCTGCTTTGTGGTGCGGAAGTCACTAGAGTGACGGAGGGCCAACATTTGTTAGAGGAATGTCCTTTGAACTTTGCGACTTGCGAACTATGCCAAAACGATATGATACCACACAAAAGTATGAAGAAGCATAACGAGAATTGCCGTAAATCAGGCAGAAAGCGTTGTCCAGCTCACGAAATAGGCTGCGAGTGGACAGGCAACAATGAACCTGCCTTGGAAATTCACTTGCAAGGTGGTAATTGTATGTTCAACCTGCTACTACCATTTCTCAAGACAACTGAATCTCGTATTTCGGAAGTGGAAAACGAAAACAAATACCTTCGTAAGCAGATTCAATACATCTTGGATAGTATTGTCCAGGGCAAGGTTACCAACTTAGGGTACAGTGAGTCATTAGAAGAGATTGGAACAATAACAAAAGATATCGCCAGGCTACAAGATCAAAATCGATTGCTACACTTGGATTATGAAATTGAGAGATTGCGTTCCGAACTCGATGAGAAAATCAACCCATTCATGGAAAGAGAGGCTAACAACTTGTCTGACCAACAAGCTGTTTTGAATGGTTTGGTGAACGATAATTGCATGATGAAGGACGAAATGAACTTACAGAGAGCGTTAATCAATAGCCTAAGAAAGCAGGTGCAGTTTTATTCCTTCCGCAACAGACTGCACATTTCGCCAGGTACAATGATCCAGTCATTAGATGTGGATGATTCTCAATCGCCTTCCAGATCTAGTTCAGAAGAACGCATCAATTTGAAATTATAGAAATGAAGACTATATCAAAATCACCACAAAGCTTGAACACCATGCCAGTCTTGTCTCTTACGCCTGTTCCAGTAACTGTCACCACCAGTCCTATATACCCATTCACCTGAATCCGGTTGATCTGGAGATCCACCAACTTTTTCAAAGAATAAGGGACAGTATGATTGGTTAGATTCTTCCGTTTTCTTTCTCCTAGCTCTTTGCTCCTCTTCAAGTTGCTTTTTAAGCCTTTCAGCCTCATCAATATTCCCCATCTCATAACTGCGCATGTCCGGTCTCAAACGAGAGTCAGTTGGCGGTAAATTGCCTTCTTCTATTGAAGTAATCTTATTCAAGCTTCCTGCAAACTCAGTGAACCCAAATTTTTTCTCACAGTTAGCTAGCAACTTCCCGGCTGTCCAGATTGTTTTCTCTGTTGTTGTTGTCTTCAATGTCATAGACTCTGTCCAAGTTCCTGACACTGTGTAAGGTAAAACATTCTTCTTTCCGTCATAGGCTTTGATTATCAAATCTTCTGATCTGCCACTGAACATACCTCCTTTGCTAAATTCTACTACCGCTCTTTGTCCAGAGCTTGACTTAATGGTGATGGCTTCTGAAGGCTCAGTGTACTTCTCGCCTGCGATAATGTTCTTCAAAACGCAAGTTGGCTGAGACCAGGTGTAAACTTCTCCACTTGATCGAATCGTCAACTTCAATACCCCCTTAGTGTATATTTCAGAAGTTTTGCCCCAAAACTTTTGAGATGGCGCCGGACTGAAAGATAATGTCCAATCTCTTGCCTCAACGTACAATGCGAACACTGGAGGTCTGTGTGAAACCTTCTCGCTGAGAAGACGGAAACCCTTATCCTCCCTCACAAGCTCAAAAGTCTCACCAAGCATGGGATTGAAAGGTTTACGAGAGCTCCTAATCTTCTTTCTCATGCATGAAAGGTAACTTGCCGCAAAAGCAGCGATTCGCAAAATCAATTCTCCAGAATCTTCAGGGTATTTTCCTTGCAAAGCATTGTCAACTAAATCGCAATACTCCAAGATTTCAGCATATCTCTGCAATATGGTGATTGGCTCATTCATATCAACAGGCATGGACAAAGCAGAAAGGTCTTTCCCAACATTTTTGCGGACAAATGAAAGAAGACTCGGAGGAACGTGATCGCAAACAGGAATCTCACAGTCTCTGTCTATAGAATCCATCGGTAACGGATATAATGTCGAGTCCGCATTGTCAAGCCCTGATTCAACTTTTGAATCATGAATAGAAGCAGTGGGTGCTGGCAAATCTTCGGAGTCTGCATCGCTATCTGATGATGTCGATATTGCCGATCCCTCATCAACATCGTCGCCGTCATCTTCTTCTGATTTCTTGTCGGTCAGAGAGTCAACAAGAACCACCCCGATTTCGTCAATATTCTCGTGGGCATCGTAAAATTCATTGTTAGATACGATAGACGAAAGATCATGTCCATTTTCGTTATCGCCTAGAATTCGTTTGACCTGAGCAGCTAAATTCCTCACTTCCTCCTCGAATTGCACTTTCGTCATTACCTTCACATCGTGTAGCAATTTGACCAATTCATTATGTACTTCTTCCAAATGTAACATATGGTTGTTTCCATGGTCAACATTGTTCTTGGAATCCTTTGCAGGATGAAATTCCGTTCCACTTTGATGACTCTTCTTAACTGCATTGAAAGCATTGACCCATGAGTCGAAATCTTTATTGTTGAGAGTCTTGAGATCCCAAACCTCCATCCCTGAATCGATGAATATTTCCCGGGTTTTAGAATTAGCGCTGATAATGGAATGAATAATAGGCATTTGTCCCCTAAGCTTGTTGTCGTTAGTTTTGAAATAGGACAAGGTGCCATACTTAAAATTGAGAATAAAGAAACGCTTAACATAGCCTTGAAGTTTCTTTCTTCTTTTTTTTAGCAAAACGCTTTGCATTAATTCACCATTTTTTGGGTGCAAAATGTTGTTTGACATATCACCAGGCTCATTAGTAGTAGATTCGATAGGACCATTTGCGAGCCTGGAGTTTGAATTCATCTTGAGTGAAAGAGACTCATTACCACCAACAATTGAAGAGCTGAATAGAATCTTTTTGCTGATAGTCTTTGAGAATGAATTGTCAAAGATAAAAGCAAACATTCCACCATTGGTCACTTCAAATTTACCACGTACCAATTCACCAGAAACAAGTTTGTAATAGTTTTTGACAAGGTCCAAATCAGAACTGCTCAAATTGGAAGAAAATGTCGAGGATCTCGACTTGGTTTTGAAGACATTCAGCTCCGTGATCTTGTTAACCGAGGCAACAGATGCTGATCTTAATCTTGATGAATGAACTGAGGGAGGTTCATCTAACGCATACATCCTCGCATTCCATTCAGTAGATGCTATTCCAGATGATGATTCCATATGGGCAGAATCATTATTATCTAAGTTATCAAAATTCTGTTCCTTCTTGCGATAAATTCCAAAATTAATTGATTTCTTCAAGGGTTTTATCTGCCAAACGATTGAACAATTGTCCGGGGCCCGAACCCATTTGACCAAAAAATCTTTGGAATGAACTTCTAAAGTTTCCATTTAGTCGATCAAAGAGAGAGAAGTAATGGGTAACTAGGCCAAGTCCACTATTTATAAACTAAGGCTCGTGCACATTCATGTGGAAGTCAATAAGAGTGTACAGAATTGAACGAAACAGTATACAGCACTCGTGTAGTAACACATGGATGATACATTAAATTACCAATTTTTAGGTTTAATTCAATGTAGCAATACATAAAAAAATTCATATTTAAAATGAAGTGGTTCCAACTTTAGTATTTGCACATGTTTGTAAGTGAACGTTTAGGAATGTCTACCTTAATTTTTTCATATGCGTTTTGTGTTCTTTTTTCGCTTCCTTAGGAAGCGGGGCGACCAAATTGCTTTTTTATAAAGAAGGCTTGTGAAGAGGAATCCAATGTAGTCCATAATTGGAGGCGAACTACATTTAATAAACTAAAAAGAAACCTTCAAACACCAGGCAATCCATCACAAAAAATGATCACGCCCAGGCTCGAACTGGGGACCTTCTGCGTGTGAAGCAGATGTCGTAACCAACTAGACCACGCGACCTTTGATGTAGGTTGTTAGGAAACGTAATCAAGGTATCCTCACGATCAATGGTCTAAGAGGCATGGTGAGAGCTTTGACGAGGTTGGCAGCGTTCCAACACCGCTATTTCAGCAGCTACACTAACAGGTCTATGATTACATAAGTAGTCCATGATACAGAACCTAGTATACGTTATTTAAAAAAAAAAAAAAAGAGGCCGGTGAGGCCGTAAATGAAGGCCTAGGCTTCGTCATAAGTCCAGAACCATCTAGTCAGGACTAAGATGTCGCACATCTTAGATTCAAGTCAAGGATCTGAAATGTAGATCCATGTTTCAGATGTTCCTTGGCCCCGCCTAGTGAAACATATCCTAAACCAATATCAAACCATCTTTGATATTGGAAGGAGCTAGACTTCATAGAATTGAGGTATAAATATGAGAGGTCTGGTCCTTTGTCCTTAACCAGGAGATCCTCTAACCTTAAGCTTAGTTAAAACTTTGAAGTACTATAATTTAAGTGATTATTGATTATCTCCTAAAACTTCCGACAATCTCTGACCCGATCGCTAACATAAGTTCTTACGATACGCAATAAGTCTATCCTCACGAAAAATTATTCGGCCACTCTCAGGATTGATATAGTACCCAATATACAAATGTTTAAAAAAAAAGTGAATGGTGAGAGCTTTGGTGATGATAGCAGCATTTTAGCAACCTTAGTTTATCTACTCTCAACGGGACTATGACCATGCTTCTCAGCCTGGTCCCTGATATAGTACCCAATATACAAATGTTTCAAAAAAAAAAGGCTCTTAATATAATGTTTCAAAAAGTCAAAAAAAATCCCTTTCAGCCCTAGGACGACAGAGGCAGTAATCAATATGCGCTTTCAAAACAGCATGAAATGTCTGGCGTTGTTCCCAATTCTAATCGGTCGCACTTTTGTGATCTATTAAAAATAGTTCTGTGTTAGCTTGTCATCCAATCTTTAAAGTAGTTACCTGAGACATTAGCTTTGCTGCTACGTGGTACACATTTATCGAAGCGTTGCGCACTCGAAATGGTGCCTAGTGGAATGGTGAGAGCTCTGGCAAGCACGTTCCTTCAATGTTTCATTAAGCGTCCATACTAATAGGTATGACCACAAGTAAATAGTATATAATAATACCAATACCCTAACAGGCGTGTGATTACAGATGTAGTCCCAGATATAGAATTTAGTTTCGCTTTTAAACAAAAAAATGAACAAAAAAGAGCTTCAAAGTAGACAACGATAAAAAAGAAAGAAGTCAGTACACTCTTATTTAGGGTCTAATGCTTCTGGAAAGTTCAGATTGATCTCATCAAGACTTTGATGGCAGCATCTTGATCACGCAATGATTCTGTTCCAGGATTTTTCAGGCACTCTCCTCAGGCGAAACTAATATTAAAGTATCACGAATTGAAAGGGATGATGTCTCTTTCAATTTGCTTTCAATTTTGTCTTTTCTTTTGTCACTGGTTGGCAGAACTTCTTACCTCAAACTTTGTTTGATTCCAAAATACGATAATTGAGTTGGTAATAATATCCTTCTTTCTACAATTACTAGCCCGATTGCTATAAATTAGGGATCCTGCCACCAAAATTAAGTAAAGTTAGAGGTAATTGCGGTTTTTGTACGAGTATTCTTTTATTCATACCCCTTTCGCCTGCGAATCTAGACATGCTTCATTGGAAAGCTGTTCGAGAGGAGTAGTACTTAGCTTAATCTTGACAAAACTGTCGTACCTCTTGTAGTGAATGAGGAGGACTAGCCTGGAGTCCTTCCACCCCTTGGTGCCTACCGATTGCAATTGGCTGGAGATGGCTCAATCAACTCTTGATTAGTTAGCTTGACAACGCGCTTGTGAATCCAGTTGAAATTATCACCTGTATTGATATTTTCGGGCGTATTGAGTGTCTCATGAATGAAGGACGTCCCTGATATTGAATTTCTCATGCCCCAAGCACAACGGTCATCTTCCGTAGCTGCTCTTGCATTGAAAAGTGATGCTAAAACTTCAACCAATTCTTTCCGGCTTCCATAGGGCTTGAATTTATCTTTTTAGTCACGAAAATGCCTTCACATGACCTAAATCAGTGTCGGGAGATGAGAAGGAGCCACAGAAGTAGATAGAGTAAAACCAATTATTGATTGACTTGCCTGAGTTCACAACTAAATTTTGAACAACCGACAGCAATCGCCACTGCCAGGATGAAGTTGTGGTCTTCACCTCCTGCAAATGACAACTTACAGTACATAAAAACAACCCATATCAGTCCCAGACTTGAAGGGTCCATACTGTGAAGAACTTGCTGCATATGGTCGGCTAATTTTATCCGTTTGGAAACAGGCGATGTAATGAATCTTTAATTAAACGATTGCCTAAAGGAGAAGAGGCAAAATACTACGTGGACCATTGTAAGAAATCAAGTCAAATTTCACAAGGGTGACTATCGCCAGTTGCCTTCTAGAGTTTTCCTAGCTGATGATTTTTTTCACCATGCTCCACTCTCTTTCATTTATTTTTTGAGAGTAGGAATAAGTTGCAAAAACTGCTTATGATTCTAAGATCAGAAAACAATTCAGTATGCTCTTAAGTGCGTCGAATATACGTTTTTATAAGTGATCTAACATAGAAAAGGAAATTTAAATTATCTATGACGACAATAGCCTCACCCCAATGCCGATGTCAATTGTGGATCCAACAGAGCACATAACCATTTCCGCATTTTAAGCGGATTTGCGGAAATACTGAAACGTAATCCGCGATTGATATATAAACTCCAATGGAGGCCCAGTAATATATTCTAATCATCTTGAAATGACAAACGGATCAAACTCACATACGCACAACCTTTATCCAAACATCATTAAAGACAGTTCAACAGGGTCCGCTGGGATTGTGGCAGGTGAGCTTGTTGCGGAGGATGAAGGCTTGATCAGTATAAAGACCTTAGGGGCCCATTCCTACGGTGCAATGGAATCGAGCAGCTCGAAGACCTCAGTGAATGTTACCGAAGAAAGTATCGGAGAAGCAGCAAGTATGTCTGAGGAGACACAGTTTGCTTTACCTAGAGCTCAGCTAACAATGGTAATTTCAAGTCTCTATATGGCTAGCTTCTTGGCTGCTCTAGATACCACAGTCGTGACCACGCTTTTGACTGTCATTGCATCAGAGTTGGATGCAGTTGAGAACATAGGTTGGATTGCGACGGCGTACCTCCTCTCATGTTCTGCATTTCAGCCACTTTTCGGTAAACTTTCAGATATCTTTGGACGCAAGGTTTTACTTCTTGTTTGTTGCTTCTTCTTTGCTGTTGGATGTTGCATCTGTGTCACTGATTCACTTTTGTGGTTAGTGGTGGGTCGGTTTGTTACAGGAATTGGAGGGTCTGGGTTGACTACACTCGGAACCATCACGATGTCTGACTTGATACCGCTTAGAGAAAGAGGCTTGTACCAAGGATTGGCTAATATCTTCTTTGGTCTCGGTGCAGCTTCGGGTGGTATCATTGGTGGATTAGTATCTGATGCGTTGGGGTGGAGGTACGTATTCATAATCCAAGTGCCCCTTGCGGTAATTGTGGGAAGTGCACTTTGGATGTTCTTAAACTTACCTGAAGGTTCCCCTGGCTTGGGAGCTGAAGGATCGGAGTTTAAAGATAAGTTGAAGAGGGTAGACTTCTTGGGTGCTTTCTTCTTGGTGAGTTCCCTTATGATTATCTTAACAGCCGCAACATTAGGAGGTCAACAATTTGCCTACTCGTCCATGACCTTTATTACTCTTGTGGTGGTGTCCTTGATGCTACTCGGGAGCTTTGTTCTCACTGAATTATTTATTTCCAAGGAACCAATTATTCCGATGAATCTTATGGTTGAACGGACTGTTTTAGCTTCCTCATTAGCCAATTGGTTCTATACCATGGGAACCTTCGTGAACCTTTTTTATGTTCCGTTGTTTTTTCAAATTGTAATTGGAATGTCAGCGACTGACAGTGGCTTGCGTCTTGTTACAAATTTTTTTGCTGTATCTCTAGGCTCTGTGGGCGCTGGGTTATATATGCGTCAAACAGGCAGATACTATAATTACGCTGTTATAGTGGGTATCCTTGCACTTCTTGGCATGGCCAATATTATTAACTTGAATGCAAACTCAGCAATATTTACTCAGTTCACGGTAATGTTGCTTCCAGGGTTTGCTTACGCATCCATCTTGACCATCACTTTACTTTCATTGATCGCTGCTGTGCCTGTCAAATTCCAGGCATGTACAACTTCTATCCAGTATACTTTCAGAGCCACGGGATCAACATTAGGTGTGTCTATTGCCAGTGCTATTTTCCAGGCAGCGACAAGATCAAGTTTAAGTGAGAAATTACATCAGATTATCTCAGATGAGGATTTAGCCAATCAGATTTTAAAAAGGGCGATGGAAAATACGAACTATGCAAAGGAAGCACCAGAAGCTATTAAGAAGGCAATCAGAAGCTCCTATGGTTTAGGATGTAGAGGGGCTTTCATTTTCAGTGCTATTTGCATTTTTCTTGGCTATACTTCCTCCTTATTGATGAAAGAACACGTCTTACACACAAGTATGAATAGAGATTGAATTAATGCAACATTTTAAAACTATTAACACTAGTTTATGTATCTGGTTCAATTGTCTTCACGTAGTAGTGATGGTTTACACCACCAAAAACAATTAAGTTGGCATTGGTAGGTTCCACAGCATTTTCATCCAACGAAGTGTCTATTGTGTAGAGGTTATGGTGATGATTAGCGTTCTGCATTGGCGTTAATTCATCATTGGAGCTTGAATTCAAAGTGAATTGGGAATCATCGTGGTTCATGGGAGCAGGAACTAGAGGAGATGAAACATACTTGCTTTTTCTTTTGAATAAAGAAGAAGGAGTAAGTCTGTTGACACCAATAGCATCATGGACTCTCGGAGATGAAATGAAGCCTGTTGAATTTGTTGAACCAAGAAATGGAGAAAGAACTGGTGAAAGAACCTCATCTTGGCGAATGGCATCTTCGAAGGTTTCCTCGATAACTTCCTCAATAAGCTCGTTCTCTGTTGTAATGTTTATGTTGATCAAGCTAACAGATACTAAAATTGAAAGTACCCCAAAGCCGTAGAGGAATAAGTTTGAGGTGGAAGAATCGGAATCTCCTCCCGTGACATGAAGAATAATGAAATCAACTAGAATGGTGATGGGGATAGAAGATGTCAACGCTAACGATGTAACTAAGGGACTGGTGAGTAACATTGCAAGGATTGTGACATAATCCGAGATCACAGAAAACACGGAATTGATAAGCACCATCCCAAAAATCTGCCAAGAAGGAGGGAGCATGAATTTTTCAATTCCCAAATGATGAACTATCGTTAATATTGGAAATCCCATAATAAAGGTAAAAACTCCCACCCACCCAAATAAATGACGTTCGTTGGTGGTTTTCTCACCTGTGCCACATTTTACCTTCATTAAGAGCAAATATAGTGCGTAAAAGAAAGCACCCAACAAAGCCAAAAAGTTTCCAAGCGCAGGGTTTTTGGGTTTGAATTTATTACCATCATTTTCACCTACCTGATTTTCACTCACATTGATCAAGATGACGCCAGCTAAGCTTGTAGCAACACAGAAAACTTTCTTCAAAGTGAAACGGTCCACATTCAAGTAAACTCCAACAAAGAGAGTGAACATGGTTGTGGTAGATCCCAAGACAGTCTGATTTGATGCAGATGTGTATTGAAGTGCCAGCATCACCAAAACATTGTATGAGTAGTATATGACAGCAATGAAACCTGAAAGCTCAAATATTTCTCTTCGAGTCAAGGGAATTGGTGCATTGAATTCGGAGTCGGGTTTCTCAAAAGGATGCGCCTCTGTCACCACAACGTTTGAATCCAGACTTGGTTCAAAATCTGACGCTGATAAATCTGGTGAGAACGGGGCATTCTCTTCTGACTTCGTAGAGAGAAGTCCTTTGATGAACAAAAAAACTTCAGGAACAAAATTTAACATAAAGCATGAACCTGTTAAGAATGCAAGGAACCAGGGCTTTCCGAACTCGTCTCCTTTCAACACCGAATTCACAAGTTCAAGGCCAACTATCCAAGTAGATATGGCAACTATTAAAAATAGGACCCCGAGGCGAAAATTCTTCTTCTCCTGGTCATTAATTATATCAATAACATCCTGAACTTCTGTGATAACCCTTGCTTGAATCTCCTGTGTTCTGATTCTGGGAGAAGTGACCAGTCCTTGAGGAGATAAGGGTTGCCCCGAAAGACTACCGAGAGAAGAGAGTTGCTTCCCTACCAACTTGCTCAGTTGTCCCATCCTGTATTCTTAGGAATGAAAATCGAACTGAATTACTGTTCGGAAGAAGACGCAACTTAGAATTCACAACATCTTCGATTGATAAGAGTGCCTGCAAATATGTCGGATCAAACAGCCAAATTGGGACACGAATGCATACAATATGCGCGGAATGATGTGAGACCCATTTAGGTATTCCAGTCAGTTCTTCATTTCGCAAAATATTCCATTCAAAGGTGAGGATAACGAATTATAGGAGCTCATGTATATAGATTCAGGAAAGTCAAACAAGTAGCTTTTGGGGCTTTCTGTCGGCAATGTGAATGAATACTCCATGTAGCTTTAATTAAACACCCCACAAATGGAAAAAAGCGGAAAATCAGAAGCGAGCTGCGGCGTCAAGGCAGAAAGCGATGTCCATTTTAAATAGTAGTATGGAAGTACAATTCAACAAATTTCTAAAGACATTATTCAATACATAATTCGACTTGGTATTCAACATTTTCACTTAATAATTCCAATTGTAAGTTGCAGCCAAACGCTTATCTAAATGTTGTTTAGCTGTGATCGGAACTTTCTCCTTGTTCGCTCCTCTCCCTGTGATAGATCTCACACGGTCACTAGGAACAGGTTCCAACAAGGTTTCATCATTAGGATGACTGAAAAAGACAATCGAGTAACGATCCTGACCAGTTTCCTGAGCTTTTGCTGGAAACTTAACCCGATGGACGGTTGACTTCAACAAACCACCAGTCCAGTATGACAATTGATCTGCAATGTTTATAACAATAGGAGCTGATTCACCAGCAAACTTTGGATTTGCCAGAACATAAGGAACAGCCTCCCACTTTTTACTAACTGGAGAAAGAATCTCCAATCCTTCTTGATCCTCTTGTTGGAACAATAATGTCATGGAGCCATAATCGGTATGAGCTCCAGCTCTAATAACAGACTCCGGACTCAAAGATTTCTGTCCGGGATAGTGGAGGAATCTAAATGTTGTTCCAGATGGCTTTTCTGGAGCAAATCTAGAGTCAAACCACTCTTCACCAGCAACGCCGTCTGCATCCTCGATCTTCAATCCTATTGCAAGAAGTCTTAAGATTCTAATCGACAACTGAAACAAATCGATAGACATCTTCTTAACAAGCTGAATTTTCTTCTCATCTTTTGTGAACCAATCAGGGACCTCTTTTTCCTGCTCTCCAGTGACAAAATTAAGTCTACTGAAGTTGAAACCTTCTTTGGGATCTCCCTGCTTTTGGGTGGAAGGATCCAAATTCTCACCTCTGTAATCAGTGTAGCCACTATTAGTCTCATCAATGAGGTATTTTTGCTTGTAATCTGCTGGCAATTCAAAGAAGGACTTGGAGAGATCGAATAGATCAGAAACTTCCTCAGCAGAAAAACCATGTCCTTCCACAAATAAAAAACCTTGGGAAGTTGCAGCATCTAGTAAAGCCTCTGCTGTTTGCTCGTCGGTTTTCGATATATCCACAATTTTCAAAGGATTGTTTGCAATACTCATTTTTATCTTGGTGAAGAAAGATATTGGGGCGGAATCCGGTATTTTATATTACTCCAGACTAGGATGAGTTGCGCGGGATTGTATCGTGAGCCGACGGTACCAACTCCAACATTTCGCACAAGCCCGCACCAGAACGCACAATTCTATTCAAAATGACTTTTTCCTATTCAGGAATCCAGTTGTCGGTTGTCTCACCCTATCATCTTCAACGTCCATTGAATTTGGTCCTTTACTTAGTTTTTTTGATGCCGCAGCTTTACGATTTAAGATTCCGCTCGGTACAGTGTAATTAATTAAATGACCCCATACAAAGATGGCAATAATTCCAACACTTTTCTTCGTACAGATTCATTTCCTAGGGCAATTTGGTGAGTCTATTTAACAGTATTAAACAATTTAAGCATTCAACTTATAGGTTTCACTTTCAGACGGTGGGCTGAAAGTGGAGGCGGAGACTCGAGTTCAAACACCATGCTACATTCGGAGTCAATAGGTTAGGTGCCCTGATCATGTATCCGTTTTCTTGCAGAATCAGTCGCGTACTTAGAATTATTAACAAATGACTTCGAAGATTGTCATCGGAGGTGATGGGCCAGAGTTCGCCGTCAATGTTGTCCCATGCTCTATCCATTATACGGGAGATGCAAATACTGCAACCTTCTTTGAACCGTCCAAGAAACATATCAAACAAGGAGACAACCATGTTGTCACTGCCCAATTCAGAGGATTGAAGCTTGTTGGAGATCAAATAGACATAAGCAACAAAAATGGCCAAATTCTCACAAGCTCAGAAATTCTCGTCAATGATCCTTCTAAAAGTGATGGTGATATATCAATTGCGAAGCAGTATTCTGCTATTGGTAATTTTCGGGAGCTTAATGTTTATGGACACGATAATCCGCTTTCCCAGAACTCCAAGTGGAAGATGCTTGATGAATGGGAGAAAATTGCTGAAGCCATACACTCATAAGTTATATTTGGGGTTATTCGTGACGGTTGGCAAGTCAACCCTTGTGACTATATGATGCTTACGCAACTGAAGTTTCGCCCCTTCTGTCATTGTTCCTGAAATCGCTGAGTTAATCCATTCTTTCCCAAGAAACTCGACTAGCATTTTGTCGCTGTTGCCAATATCATCTTGTGGAATCCAAACATATGGTAGCTTGTACTTGTAACATGGATGGTAGTATTGTTCGGCAGAATTCGAACTATCTTCATTATCTGGCGATTCAGCTTGTGAACCGAAAAGAGTGAGTGGGATAAATCGAATATGTTTCTTGAAGCGATTATGCATGTAGATGTTGCCTAGCAATGTGGCAATAAAAACAAGCACCATTGCAAACCCTTGAGCTTTAAGAGGGCATGTTCCGTCTTCGTCCTTATGTGACAAGCAAACACCCATCAAGCAAAATTCTAAGCAATATATACCGGTGTATAGTTGAAACAATGCTTTTGAATATACTCTTCCATAAGTTTCGGATGGATTGAAATGGCCGTAAACGTAACGAAGCGAGTATCTGTAACATACAAGGAGGACCACGAAAATCACTATCATGAAAATTGAAATCATGGGAGAAATAACACAGTAGGTAATACCAATAGTACCATAAAGTGAGATACAAGGGTAGACTGATCCCCAATTTATCTTCGGTATGTTTCGGCGACGTTCTGCCTTTGCTCTTGGCGTCACATTCCACCACAGGTAAAAACAAATTTCCATAAAAAGCTCTTCAACCCTCAAAAAATGGGATCCACATATTGCAAATGTTTTAACAGGAAGGTACTTGAAAAAGAATGTTGCACTTTTGGGGATGTTGCCAGCTAGCAATATGGGAATTGATACTGGTTTATCAACTACCTGGGCAATTACTGAAAGTAGGCTGGACAGAACGGAGACGACCAAAAAGTGTTGAATAAACAAGAAAAGAAAGTACCAATTTTGTAGATCCATTTCCATTTCACTTCCCGTCCACATGCCCTTTAGATATGTAAGTTTCCTCATAAGCCAATTCACGAAACCAGAGAAAGTACTCAAAAGAAGAGAGGGGAGTATATTAGAAATGACGATCCTCACGTTCGGGGCAGATTATCTAGCCACGAAAGGAAAGGAAGTAGTCTCGAAATAGTTGGAAGATGTGATAGTAAAGTAATAAACGATACTGGCACAACATAAATCATACAAAGAACAATAAACATGAGACAAACAAAGTATCGTTGAAATTCAGTGAAAAAGCTGTCATTTTGTACGAGATTCCACCATAAAATATCAGTCGGATTAACCTCAGAAACGCATCGATTGATACAACCAGCTTCCTGGGATAATAAAAGCTGGCACGCCATATTAGCAGCTTCTTGAGTTTTGAACTGCAAGAAAACTCGACTTTTCTTTAAGACACTCCCCTCAACAATATCTATCCTTCGATTATGAATGAAAGAATAATTATTTCGTAATGTCGTTTTGACCCATTCTTTTAAATGTGTTCGCTTCAGAAGGCCACATACCCTGACAATTCCCGGAAGACGAACTGAAATAAACCTCTGAATTACAGGAATGTGAACAGGAGGAAGGAATACAGGAGGGAAGAACAACGTATCTTTCGAATCTCGAATCCTCATTAACCTTTCTCTACTAGCGTATCTTTTAAGAGTACTTACCAAATACTTCTCAAGTAGATCTAAAGCAAGTTTAGCTTCGCGCCATTTCCACCAATAAACTTCAAAATCATCCACAAACCATATCTCTTTGATACCTCCCGGTAAGTTTTGGAAGTGGTTTTTAAGTATGAGTTTATTTCTCATTATCTTCGGGACATTGCCGATTAGAACGACTGTTGAGTGTAGTTGCAGCCTGTGTGCATCAGAAGACATGAATTTCTGGCGGATGCTTATAATATTTTCCATTTCAAGGTAAACCAGTAAGCAGAATGATAGAATGGTAACAATCCCACATACTAGATGGATGTTGATTCTAACCGCATTATTTTGGGAGATATTGGAAATACTAAATTTATCTATGCCCACTGCAAGGTGACCAGAAGAATCTCCGAAATAATTAACTGGCAAAAGAATTATGAGGTTCAACAATCCACAAGTCGAGAAGAATATCAAAAGAAGAGTAATAAATCGAAGAAAAAAGTATGCATCCAATCCTTGTGATAAATATGATTGGATGTCGTAACGCAAGGTGGGTATTATCCATCCGAAGAAATCATCGGAACATTCATCATGCTCACCTCTTTTTGGCTTCTGATCGCATATCGGCAGATATATCGATTTGTAAACCACTCGGAGGTAACAAAAGAAAGTTATCTCTATTATGCATATACAAACTGAAGCTGTGAAGTGCTTCAGTAGTTCCTGGAGTTCTGTACCTGAGGATTGATGTGCTGATCCTGTTTGAGTAGTGTTCAAAAAACCATCAAAAGGATCCAGAGCAATCAAATCAGAAACATAAATTGAAGCTACATCGACAAAATTCATTGGAGTATATATGTGATTTAAAGAATCCACAAAGTCATGGTATAGAATGCAGTCTTAGGCTTCCTTGAATGCGACCTCTTCGGGAAGTTTGAAGGAAACACAGAACATAGGCTTCGTTGGTGCCACCTTGCGGACTAAATGAAACTTCATGTTTTCAATAGGAACTTTGAATTGGATCTGTTCCGTAATGCGTTTGTGAACACGTCTATGCAATTCATCCATAGTGGGTTCCTGTTCACTAGGTGAGAACTTTTCAAAGCAGTGAACGTGAACATTGGGAAGTTCGAAGCTTTCATCCGCTTTCAATCTTTCTGCCACTTCTGGAAATCTGCCATATAGTCCAATAAATTCATTCAAGAACGTTATGGCAGAATCTGGCAAGTTCATGACGTAGTGTGATATATACTTTGGAATTTCCACACTTGTTATTTCAGTTTCCCTTATCGTCGTTTTCTCCGATGTTTCTGGGTCCACTTTGCGTCTCTTGATTGTCTTACGTTTCTCCACATGACCCTCTGACTTCACCCAATCCTGAAGTATTTTAGGTGATTCTCTAATAAATTCTCTTCCATCCAAGTTGAAGGAACGAACAAAATTTTCCACGTTATTATGGGTAATATTCTCCTTGAGATACTTGTATGATTCCGGATTCAAGTCGTTTGCCAACACGATAACGTTCTTTTTACCAGCAGGAACCAGGAAAGGACCCACTCCAGCAAATACGTCAGCCACTACTTCGGTGGGCTCAAACTGATAAATCAACCTTTCGTGTTCAGTGCTCAAGCGCGAGTTCCAGTAGACAGAGCTGAAGTTAAATTTGAATTTACAGCCACTCTCGCTCTGCTCTACTATGAAATCATCCTTACCAGCTAGGATCTCCATTTTGAACGTTCTGAACTTGGCATCGATGGTATCCACTTTATCCACCACAGTTTCAATCTTCGAGTTCTTGTCGAGAATCACCTGGCCAATAAACCGTCCATATGGTTTGAATTCCTTTCTCAAGTTCAAATGAGCGATATGACCAGCCTGGGCAAAGCCAGTAGGGATTTCGTCTAAGAGATTCTCCGGCAAGACAGCCCTCAAAATATCGTCAGCCTTCCAAAATGAGTAGTCTAATTCGAGGACGTAGGGTTCTATAGTTAGATTGTATTCATCGATCTTGTCTAATGCTGTCTGTGACAATTTCGTCTTGTAGGTATCCATAGAGTCAATATCTTGTCTCAACAATACTCCTCTTGTGTCATGTAAAGGAACAATATGTTTCACAGCTGGCATTAGCAAAATTTCACCCTTGCATGCTTTCACAAACTGACCCAAATATTTGGGATCTGGGAACGAAACAGCTAAAAGTTGAACTTTTTTCTGAAAGAATGAGCGATCTAAAACCTTCATTTGTCTATTTATGGGGGGTCCAAATTTGTCTTGCATTATTTGTCTTCTTTCTGTTTTGTTCCAAGGATGAAGGTTGCGACTGAAAGCGAAATTGAAAGTAGGAGATGATGGTTTGGATCTAGTAAGTAGCCCTCTAAGCATGCGAGGTAATCTCACGAAACTAAAAATGAAGGTCTATGGTCAGTTGGCATCGCAGGACCTGCACAATATCCTCTTTCATTTAATCTTTCAACTTTCTCATCAAAATATTAAGAGTGCAACTATGGAACTGGTTATAACGGTTACAAAACCTGCCCAGAGGGTTGATTATATCAATGATGGTTCGGATATTGATATGTCTGACGTCGAAGAGACTTTAGCGCACGACTCAGAAGAAAGCAGCCTCGCAAGAAAGAGTCAAAAAGGTGCCATCGTGACACCTGGAGAGCTCGTGACAGAAGACCCAACGTGGATGAAGGGTCATGGAACATATTTTTTGGAGCACAAAACTTATTCCTCTGTGGCAGGAAATGTATCGAGGGTGAACAGATTATTGAGTGTGATCCCCTTACGAGGTCGTTATGAGGCCGAGACTGGTGACCACGTAGTTGGAAGAATAACAGAAGTCGGTCAGAAAAGGTGGAAAGTGGACATTGGATGTAAGCAAGACGCGGTATTGATGCTAGGGTCCGTGAACCTTCCTGGAGGAGTCTTGAGGAGAAAGTCCGAAAGTGACGAATTACAGATGCGAAATTTTTTGAAAGAGGGTGACCTTTTGAATGCAGAAGTTCAGAGTATATTCAGCAATGGATCTGCTTCCTTACATACGAGATCGTTGAAATATGGAAAGTTGAGAAACGGCATTCTCTTGAAAGTGCCTTCAAGTCTAATAATAAAGCAGAAAAATCATTCTCACGATTTGCCAGGAAATGTGAGTATCATCTTGGGTGTGAACGGTTATATTTGGGTCTATAAGACTGCTACCTTCAAGAGCTCAAGCAAGTCGAGCGCCTCGACGAACAAGGCGCAAGCGTCTTTTGATACAAAGGGTTCATATAATCCTGGTCAGGGAAGCGTTTCCATCACTAGACTTGAGGAGGAGAGTTCTTGGGAGATTTACAGTGACAAGAATGATCCAGACATCAGTTCTAGTTCCAGAAATACTATAACTCGGTACAGCAACATTATTAAGGCTTTGAGTGCCTGTGAAATGGGCATCACTGAGCAAAGAATCAGAATGGGTTACGAGGCTAGCATGATGTACGCAGACACTAGCAGTTTACTCGACAAAGAAGCACAGGAGGCATTATGCCAGGACTTAATAAATACCGAAAAGATGAGGGGTTGATGAAAAAACATCGCTGATGAATAAACATTAGTATAACCTGTATTATTTTGGTCTATTGCATGCAATAATAATCATAGAAGTTTCCTTCTTGTAAAGTAGCACTTGTAGTAGATGATTTGACATAAACCAAAAATGCAAATGCATGCGATCAAGACGATAGAAGTTCGTGTATAATCCTCATAGATGGCTTCGTTGACATCTCGTAACTTGGATTCGTTATCCATCAACATCTTGATGATTCCTTCTGTGCTCTTCAACTCCTCACTCACCTCATTTAACTTAGTCTGAAGCAGGTCCATTGCTTTGTCGAAGTCCACCTCGCTGAAATCAAGTTTGAATTCATTGTTTTCGTCAATCTTAGCATCGACGGGATCATTCAACTGGTTGAAGTATTTGGCGTAATGATTGTAATTAGTTTGCAGCAAGCTGGTAATGTTCCGTATAGAAACGTGTAACATCACATCGCGAGGATGTTTCTGGAAACTCCATGACTTGTCAAAATATATGTTGTCGAAACATACGTAAATGTAAGACTTGCCAGAATGCACACTCATGAGATCATTATAATTGTCTCTTGGTTTTTTCGGATTGGAATTTTTAATGCTTTCTAACAGGGTAGGGTTATTCAAATTCGTGAACATGAATGTTTGTTCGTCAGCCATATCTTCCATAGATTTAAGAATGTTGTTTTCGCTGTCGAACACTTTCAAGTTCAATTGTTGGGAGCCAATTCTATCACCACTATCCACAGTGACAAGGATGACGTCGTCTTTGAAAGTACGATAGCTGATGCAATTCATCAAGTTATTCAATGACGAGTACTTCTTCTGATCACCCGTGACCACTGGCGGAATCGTCATGCCTATTGCCAAACAACTTGAAATACAAATGGAGAGCGCTAAACCCCAAAGTAGCTTCAAGAATAGCAACTCCATGACTGTGAGCGATGAAGTAAGTATGTAACGGGAAGTTCAGGATATGGTTGGATTCAATAAGTGGATCGAACTAGAATGTATGTGGCCACCTAGTTCCTTGTGAGGTGAAAGAAGTAAATGGAATCCAGGAATACTCCTTAGGAGTAAAAGGGAAGTATGTGTTAAGCGAATGGCAGGCAGTTCAATGAAAATTGAGGAATCAACTGGACTTGCTTCAGGAAGCACCTAGGTGTTTTTTTCTTGTCGTTTTTTCCCTATAGCGCACCTCAATGTGTGTACCGTTTAGGAAGGGAAAAAAAAGAGAATCCCTGTATGCACCACTAAAGAATTCAGTGAATTCCGAGGGTGTTGTACGCGAAAAGCATAATGATTGTAATGAAAACGGAAGCTGTCTATGTGTTTTCACTTTTGACTTTATGTTTTGCTGAGATAGAGAACCATTCTGTTCTGTAACAAACAAATTAATTTGCAAGACGTTTTAAAGCTGCAGAAAGTCATATTTACGGCCCGATGTTCAGTTTGTCGAATTGTACCTCTGAAGGCTAGGCGCATTCTCCTTATAGAGAAGCAATTAGTCACTCCCAAAAGTGCAACTTAAAGTCATCCTTCTTTTCTTTAATTTTCTGAGTGACAGTGTCAACTGTACGTTTAAATTCTATAGCAGAATGATACCACAAAGCAGAAGTAAATCGCTTAATACTGCTGGAAGCAAGGTTCGTATTCAGCAACATACCTAATAAGGGCGAGACAATAACCCACGTGACCTCATGACTTTAGACCGCAACCTCTCCACATTGCGTCCCCTTTTACGACCATCAAATTGCTCAAGCCTTTTACTACCACTACGAGAATGTCTGAGCTAAGTGCTTCTCTTCTCAGGCTCAAAATTCTTGACTCTCTTCGCGCCGGGGAGGAGAGTAAAGTCGATCAGTTAATCCAGGAACTCAATTCTGTCGATTCCACCGTGGACACATCTGAACTTATCAAATTACGGGAGACCATTCTTCATTATGCTGTACAAATTGCTCCTTTATCGATGATTCAGCACTTGGTTGAGAATGAATCCTTTCGGTTGGATATCAACGCTCAAGACTCTGATGGGAACACTCCATTGCATTTAGCAGTTGCTGCCTCCAGATTCAACATTGTGAAGTATTTATTGAGTTTGCCAGATATAAATGATACAGTCACAAACGGGGAAAGAAAGCAGCCTGTGGAATTGGCGAAAGATGCCAACATTGCGCAGCTTATGCAATACGAGCGGGCCAAATTTGTGGAGAAATCTGCCACTGAATTGCGGAAGTACTTCAGTGAGAGAGACTTCGACAAGTTAGAGGACCTTTTGGTATCGAATGCTAGAGCTTCTGAGCTTCTCGACATCAACGGAGCCGACCCCGAGACAGGTAATACTGTCTTGCATGAATTTATCAGGAAGGAAGATTATCAAATGTGTGACTGGATATTGAAGCATGGAGGTGATCCCTTCAAGAGAGACAAGCGTGGCAAACTTCCGATTGACTTAGTTTCGAGTAAAAGCGATCCAATCAGGAAGCTTATCAAGTCAGCGTCGAAGGACCAGAACATTATGGATCCCGTTGCATCTACTAATAGTGCCAGCAAAACAGGAGCTGCTCCCACATACAAAGGTTATTTGAGGAAATGGACAAACTTTGCGTCTGGTTACAAATTGAGATACTTTGTGTTGGATCAGTACGGTATGTTATCTTATTACACCAATCAAGGAGATACAAACAATGCTTGCAGGGGCTCATTGAATCTTGGTTATGCGGCATTGCACTTGGATTCCTCTGAGAAGCTTAAGTTCGAAATAATCGGTAAAAATGGTATTAAGTGGCATTTGAAGGCCAACCACCCTGTCGAGACGAACCGCTGGGTATGGACTTTGCAGAATGCGATCACAATGGCCAAGGACAACATTAAGCGGAAAGTGGCTAGAATTCCCTCCAGAAAGAGCTCCGGTGTAGATGATGGCACAGGAAAGGCAGCCGAGGATGCAGTTGTTTCTGAGGAGGAGAAGAAGCGTCGTTTGCTTCATATCCCAGGACGCAGAAAGCATAAGAAGTCTCCAAGTCAGGTGTCCCTTGCTTCGTTTACTGGAGGCTCCGATATCGAGGATGCCATGTCCGTCAATTCCGTTGAATTGAATAGAGCCAATTCTGTCAGCAGTAATCATTTGAGGCAAATAAAAGAGTCAGAGGCTCTTGCTGGTTCTAGGGTTAGCGTGGATGCACCCTACTCAGTTGCGGAAGATTTTGACTATGACTTAGAGGACAGTGCTGATTCTGACTCCGAATTGAATTCTACGAATATCAGCACATCCAACGAAGAGGAGATCAAAACGTCGAGGGACCAGATTTATGCAACCAAGAGATCCCTTAAGGTCGAAACAGCAAGCCTCATTGACTTATTCAAAGTTTTGGCAAATAAGGCACCTGAAAATGACGAAGAAACTTATTCAATTGGATTGAAGACGTTGGCTAATATTCAGGATTTGATCGAACAATTCGACACATTCACTTTGGTCAGAGAAGAGAAGCTTACGAAGAAGATTGAACGTCAAGAGGAAGTTAACAAGTTATGGGAAAGCTCTATAAGACAGTTGGAAAGTGAGATGCAAAAGCACGAAGAAGCACTTGCCAGTTATGAGGGGAAGAAATACAAATTGAGAAAGCTTCTTGAATCGAAGGGTATCTCGTCACCTCAGGTTTCGAACGAACTGGCAATTGGGGTCGGTTTCAAATTTGCTGGCACCCCTCCTGTACCACCTGTTGAATCTTCTGAAGCTCAAGACGAGTCAGCTTTAATTGAGGAGATCTTCCAAGACTCGGATGACGAATTCTTCGACGCAGATGAATTTGACGATGCTACCGAAGAGGGACAAACCCTTGAGGGTGCTGATACAGTAATAAGTGAACAAACAAAGAAGAGCAGGGAAGTATCCCCTGAGATTGTACAAGAAGAGCAGAAAGAAACTAATGAATTACCTGGAAAGGAATCCTTGGCAAAGACTGATGCCCAGCTTAGAATTCTTAAAAAGATAGAGGAAGAAGGCTCGTTCCTTGGTTACGAGGAACCTCCAAGAAAGAAGCTTGCTATGGACGAGGACGATAGACCAAAAGTTGGATTGTGGGGTATCTTGAAGTCCATGATTGGTAAAGACATGACAAGAATGACCCTACCAGTCTCTTTCAATGAGTGTACCTCTTTGCTTCAACGACTTGCTGAGGATATCGAATATAATGATTTGTTGACGACTGCAGCTGCTATTCCTGATTCAACTTTGCGAATGGTGTATGTTGCTGCATTCGCTGCCTCCGAGTATGCGTCTACAATCGACAGAATTGCTAAGCCTTTCAACCCTTTGTTGGGAGAAACGTTCGAGTATTGCCGTCCAGACCAAAATTTCAGGTTGATTTCCGAACAGGTTAGTCACCATCCACCAATCAGTGCTTGTCATGCAGAGTCCATCAAATGGGACTACTACGGCGAGAACGCTGTTGATTCTCAATTTCGTGGACGTTCGTTCGATTTTAAGCACTTGGGTAAAATGTTCTGTGTTATTAGACCCGATAGTGGAGTTGTTAGTAAATCTGGGGAAAGGGTGGACCACGAACTCTACAGTTGGAAAAAGGTTAACACGTCTGTGGTTGGAATTATTATGGGTAACCCGACCGTTGACAATTATGGAAAAATGGAAGTCCACAATCATACCACTGGAGATGTTCTACAAGTCGATATGAAACAAAGAGGATGGAAGGCGTCTTCTGCTTATCAACTAATCGGTAACGTTTACGACTCGCATGGTAAAGCACGTTGGGCCATTGGAGGTCATTGGAACTCGCGTATTTATGCTAAGAAGGTTACTGGTGAAATTGAGGGCAAAAGAAGAGATTCATTAATTGAAGCCAAGGAAACCAGTAACCTGGACCCTTACAATGGAAAGAAATTCCTTGTATGGGAGGCTGCTCCTCGTCCCAAAGTCCCATTCAATTTGACCGCTTTCGCCGTTACCTTGAATGGTCTCACTTCTAATCTTAAGGAATATCTTGCTCCAACTGACACAAGATTGAGGCCTGATCAAAGAGCAATGGAAGACGGAAGGTATGATGAAGCATCAAATGAGAAGCACCGTGTTGAGGAAAAGCAAAGGGCTGCCAGAAAGAAACGTGAGCAAAGACGTGAATCTTACAAGCCTCAATGGTTCGTAAAACTGAAGCATCCTGTTACTGGTGATGATTACTGGCATTACAATGATCGGTATTGGAGTAAGAGAAAGGACAAGCAGTTGAGCAATAGTGGAGATATTTTTTAGATTCTGTATGAGATTTTATGACTTGATGTATCGTAGTTCTTGGTTTAGCTCACCTGAAGTCTAGTGTTGTAGATGAGGGCAGTAGGTGCCCCTATGCGCAGGTCCTCATCTCTTCTTCTTTCTGATTGATAAGAGTAGCTCTTCGGGAATGGCTAGAAAGAAAACGGCAAACACAACATCGGCTCTTGAAATGGAGTCCTCTGTGCCTCCTATTGTTGAAATCAATTATGTGGACCCTCTCTTCACTGTGGCCGCTCACCCCATTAAGCCAATTATTATGGCTGGTTTAGGAACAGGTCATTTGTACTGCCATTCATACAATGCCGAAAGCCTTGAGGAAACAGTTCAGAATGAAAGGGAAAAGGCAGAACTTAAAGAAAAGAATTCGACCAAAGTTTCAATATCGTCAATCAAGAAAAAATGGTGGATTTCAATGGATAGTCTGGACTTAGGGTCAACAGGCGATTTCTCTACCAATTGGAAGACCAAAAGACATAAAGGATCTTGCCGATCGGTCATTTTTGATATTCTGGAGAACTCTACAGGTGATTTTATTTACTCTGTTGGCACTGATCACATCATAAAAAGAGCATCTACTGAGACCGGAAAAGTCACCGCAAAGACATCAGTCTCGAACCATTATGATGGTAAAGATGCGATAACTAATATGTGTCTCTCGAGTACCCATCCATTCTTATTGACTGGTACGGAGAATGGTCATGTTCTAGTATTTGACAGCCATGAGTTGTCAAGTAAGAAGTTAAAATTCAAGTTGCCAAATATCCATGAAGATTCGATCAATAAAATATTACCCATGCCTGCCATATCTGCATATCATTATCTTACACTTGGATCCACAACGCTAGCACACATTGACATCAGAAAAGGTGTTATAACCCAGTCTGATGATCAAGCAGACGAACTCTTATCAATGTGCTACGCTACGGACAGTATAAATGCCAACAAGAATGACACGGTTCTTGTTTCTCATGGTGAAGGTATTGTTACACTTTGGAAAAACTCAAACAACGGTCTCGCAGATCAGATTTCGAGAGTTAAGGTGAACAAGAATGCTTCCATTGACGCCATTATCCCAACAATGAACGAGGGGGTAGAAGATTTGAAGGACTCTGTCTGGTGTGGAGACAGCGAGGGTATTCTTCACAGAGTTAATTACAAGAAAGGAAGGGTCGTCGAGACCAGAGTCCATTCTTCTGTGATGGGAAAACTAGGTGGAATGGACGAAGTTGGTGGCCTCGATATTGATTACGATTACAGATTGATCAGTTCTGGAATGGATGGTTTGAAAATCTGGTCGGGGCAACTGGAAAAAGACCAGCAAGGAGTGCTGGATGATGACGATCTGGATTCCAGCGTTGATGATTCGGACGACATACACAGCGGAAGCGATTCTTTTTTTGACAACACAGATCTGGAAGGAGAAGAAGAGGGAGAAGAAGAGGAAGAAGAAGAGGAAGAAGATGCGATAATTCCAAACAAGGACGAGAATGACAGCGAAGAAGTAGGCTTTGATGCATCAGAAGGATCTGAAGATGAAGAATCGACACCTTCAACACATTCAACACCTCAGATTGTGAGAAAAAAGAGAACTGATATTGCAACAGTTGTGATGAAACCTAAAAAGAGAATGATTGACATCAACAAAATTACAAGAAGCGAACAACTGTCGGAAAGCGGGCAAGAGCAACAAAAAAAGAAACAGAAAAAAGTGAAAACACTGGTTCCAAATAATGGAATTGCCAAATTTGATGGTCTTTGAGTTCTTGTATATTATATATCATATAGTAATCGCAATCTTATGATGACTTTTGGAAACCCAATAAGTCAAATACAGCTTTCGACAAAACGAACCAAAGTTGACTTTGAAAATTTGCTCACCACTGCAATGTAAAACAAGACTCTTAGATTATGTGGTACTTTACTATAGTTCCTCTCTAACTCTTTTTTTTGACCACGGCTTTTCACTACCATTGCAATCAGTACATAACATACTGCTCACGTGAGAATTGTGTGGAAGGACTCCCAAGTTACTGTCGACCTCACTTCAGCAAACACCAGCGCCAAAGCGAGACGATTAGTCTGTCGGAGTACCAGTTTAAATTATTCCTAGATGGATTTTCTGAGGCTCTTAAACGTCGAGAATGTACTTCTCGGGAGAAGGGGTCACTATCTCAAGGGAACACTTATCTTATCTAGATTCCATATGGTATTCTTATTTACCCCGGAAAAACCGGGATCCACTCCACGAGAAATATGGATTTGTTATCCAATAATCGAGCGGATTATCAAGGCACGTGGATCTTCCTGGTCGAATGTTGCTATCAGTTTCAGTGGTACAGAATTGCCCATGCTCAAGCCTCCCCACTACGACGATTTCGATAAGTACTCCACCTCTAACATTCGGATCCAGTGCAAAGATTTTACATATTATTCTTTCGACTTTGCGAATGATGGAATATGTACAGACGTTTTCCAGAAACTCAGCGAGCTTGTGACGGCGCCCAAAACAATGAACTCTATAAAGGAGTTTTATGCGTTTGACTACAAAGCAAACGTCTTAGAGTCACGTTTGGGTAGCTCTGGCTGGTCAATTTACGACCCTGTTGCTGAATATACAAGACAGACTTTGATTGGGCACGAGGCTAATGGCAAGTGGAGGTTGTCTCTCGTCAATAAGGGATACAAGTTCTGCCCCTCATATCCTCAGAGTTTTGTTGTACCACTGTCGATCTCTGAAAGTGTATTAAAACATGCCGGAAAATTCAGATCAAAGCAAAGAATTCCGGCCGTGGTTTATAAACATAGACAGGGAGAGAATGGGAATATCATCGCCCGATGCTCGCAACCTCTTGTTGGTTTAAACTTACAAAATCGTTCTATTCAAGATGAGAAGCTCATTGAAGAGATTTTCAGGTCGCAGGAAGTGGAAAGGGGGGCCGGAATCTCTGATAATAGTGCTTTTCGAACTCAGCCACAACGTAACCTAATTGTTGACTTGAGACCAATTACTAACGCTATGGCACAACACGCTCTTGGAGCGGGAACCGAGAGCATAGAAAACTACAGAGGAAAGGGCTCTTCTGATTCTGAAAAGGGAGTTAAGAGTTCGCAGTCAGATAATTCTTCTAGGTATCAACAACAAGTTGACAAGATTTTCTGCAATATCGACAACATTCATGTAATGCGAGACTCCTTGAACAAGCTTGTATCGATATTGAGCGATTTAGATCGGTATCCCGTGACTGCTAGTGGAAGTCGCCAAAGCCCTTATCCTTTGTTGCAACAGTCCTTAACAAAGACTCAGTGGTTGCATAGGCTCTCGATTATTCTTCAGTCTGTGGATAGAATCACCAAATCAGTTCATTTAAACAACACGAATGTTTTAATTCATTGCTCGGATGGTTGGGACAGAACATCTCAAGTTTCGGCATTGCTGCAGCTTTGTCTTGACCCATACTTTCGGACTATTAATGGATTCATTGTCTTAATAGAGAAAGAGTGGACAAGCTTCGGCTTTAAATTCTCTACTAGAGGTGATCATGGTGGATGTATGGGTGCGTTGATACCCAAAATAGCCAAAGAGAATAAGGAACAAAGTTTACTGAACAATCCAAACTCTCACACTTCTCATACTTCAGCTCCCCCTATCATGCAACCTAGTGAGAGCATGAACAATGTCAATGGAGCGAAAACTGTGTTTACTTCTTTCCTTCTGAAAGCTGCGTACCATATAAAGAATACTGCTTCTGCAGCTGCATCTTCTAACCTTGCAAACGATATCAAGGGTGAGTCCACATATACAGTGTACTCTGGTAGTTCTGAGCGGTCTCCTGTGTTCCATCAGTTTTTGGACTGTGTTTACCAAATCTTGCGTCAACACCCGTCCAAATTCGAGTTTAACAGTCGCTTTTTGAAGAGGCTCTTCTACCATTATTACTCATGTCAGTACGGTACTTTCCTTTGCAATTCCGAGAGGGAACTCAAGGAGGAGCATAATGTTCAGAACCATACCGTATCTGTATGGGATTATTTCCTTTCGCGGTCAGGAGAATTCATCAACAAATCATTCGAGGGGTCATCAGGAGATGATGTCATTTTCTTTAATTTCTCGGATGTGCGTTGGTGGTATGAGCTCTATGGCAGATCCGATGAAGAAATGAACGGGCTATCAAACTCATTGGATCGAAAGTTTGCCCAACTAAATCTCAGTCATCAAAATTCTAGTTCAGTGGAGTCTAGCACTACACTGCTTGTCAGCCTGGCGGCTGCTAAGAAGTGACTGTCATCGTAAAGCATATTAATAGCATTCAATCCAGCATTATTTACCAAACCCGTATCGGAAACGGGCCATCTGTACTGCATTGACAGAATTGTTCTATCTAATCTCAAAAATCTAATCGCGAATTATGTCCGACTCGGTAATACAATACAGAATCATCTTGATTATTCTCAACCCTTATTATTCTTGCTTTTGTTGAGGATCGCCATGAGACGCTTTCATCACAGTCCAAGATTACGTTGCTTACGGGTCTATAGCACTTACACATCTGGACCCCACGGTGTGGAAGGTAGACTTCCATATGATTTCAAGAGCACCTCGCCGGTGAATAACGCACTTGCTATCACTGATCCTTACATGCTTTATCAAAGCTATATCTCCCTGGGATTATTAGAGAAGGATGCCGACCAGTTGCGTATCATGAAAGAATTTCAGAAGCTTTATCATCGTGTCATGGACTATAACCCTCCGCAAGATATGGCGATCAAGGCTTCCCTTTTGCTAAGAAAACTCGAGATTAGAGAGGCTGAAGAGCGACAGAATGTCACATCACTACGCCACCAGCCCCTCTATAAGCTTCGCCTGTGGTTTAGAAAGGATATTAACAAGCAGAAGCGAGAACTCGTACGATTCATGTCTGATGAAGAGGAGCTTCATAATATTGCGTCTCCACAGGGTCTCTTGGTCAATGGGGAGGTTGGATCAGGAAAATCTATGCTCATGGATATATTTGCCAACTGCTTGCCCCATCAATCAAAGATGAGATGGCATTACAATAACTTTATTCTCTGGGTATATGGAGAGATCCATCGCATTCAGAAGGAGAGAATGCTTACAGCTTCGATCAATGGTAAGCATAAAATGACCATGGAGAATGAATTCATTTTGTTTGAAATCGCTCAGAAAATGATTGCCAATAGCACGATATTCATGCTAGACGAATTCATGCTTCCTGATGTGGCATCGGCTCAGATCGTCAGAATCTTATTTACGTATTATTTCAAGCTCGGAGGGGTTTTGGTGGCCACATCAAATAAGCTTCCTGAGGAATTGTACTCATCCGAGTTCAATAAGTCTCGCTTCAAATCATTCGTTGGTATTCTCAACTCTAGGTGTGCAACAGTTGACATCAAGTCTGAAACTGACTATAGATTGAAACTAGCTCAATCATCTACAAAAGCCAAGAACTCGGTTGTTATAGAAGGAAATAACAACCATGAAGCAGAATGGAACTATTTGATAAAATCGAATGCCTTGGGCATAGAGCCCAACTCAGAGATCATGGACCCAAAGGTGAATATCGATTGCTTACCCTCCCAAGCAGCTTCGATCACAGTTTACAATCGATCATCAATGATTCCAAAAACTTTCAAAAATAACGCTGTTTGCTTGTTATCATTTGACTATATTTGTCGAGAAAGGTTTAGCTCATCGGATTACATCACTCTTGCATCTGTTTACAAGACTGTTATAATAGATGATATTCCTGTAATGACTACGAAAATGAGAAACGAGGCGCGTAGATTCATCACTCTTTTGGATGCACTTTACGAGGCAAAATGTCAACTTTTTATCCGAACAGAGGTAGAAGTTGAAAATTTGTTTTTCCCTGAAGAGGCAAAAGATGTCGAAATCGAATCTAAGGAGGTTCAGGAAGAGGAAATGTATGCAAGGACTACTTTGGATACTTTAAATCCCTACAGACCCAATGTCACTTCTTATGATCGTGACTATGCCAAGGAGTTCAAGTACAGTTCGAAGAAAGTCGATTTTAGTAATGCACTGGCATTTACAGGAGAAGATGAAAAGTTTGCTTACAAGAGAGCTGTGTCTAGAATTAAGGAAATGGTTGGATCGGATAACTGGAGAAGCATTGATCGCTGGGTTCCCATTGATATCACTATGCGGCCCTGGGAAGATGAAAAAGCAGAACTACTGGAAGAGAGATTATATGGGTATAGTCTGACTCCAGTTGGGTCAGAGGAAAAGGTTCTGGTTCATGACGTGAAGGAGGCTCTTAATGACTCTCTTCCTAAAGATGTCAGTGTGCAATACAATATGCCATTCCGTGAGTTCAATCATAAGGTTGCACCATCCATTTCGAGGCCAGAACATTTCTGGGCAAAGGGGAACTGGGAAGATGGAAAGCTGAAGAAAATTAAAGATAGACTCGCACGAAATGAACATAAATACAAAGCGACTACAGTATGAAAGGAATGTTTGGCGGAACATGAAAGTTTCCCCACACTATTGGCACAGGGAATGGAAAAAAATCCATGATTCGAAAAAAAAAAATTACTTAGACTTCCAAGAAAAAAAATCATTCATCGAGCATGAATTGGAAAGGGAAATAAAAGCAAGAATAAATAATTATGAAACTGCAAGCTTTAAGTAATTTGTCCCACTCGAATTATTGGTGTGAAATTGTTGAGATCATGTGCACGCGAAATTCTTCCCCCGGATAATTCAACTATCTCCAGATTCTTTCGATTCAACCTCTTCCCATCAAATATTCTATCATGGTCACACTCTTAACGGCTGAAAGATTAGTGAAGCTCGCCTATAAGTACCCCTCTCTTCACAGCAACTGGTATATTATTGCCTCTACAGCGCTCACAGTTGTAAACCAGCCCCAGGAAATTGGTAAGATTCTCCACTTTGCATTAAGACAACAGCTTTTGGAGGCTACGACCGAAAAGACACTTCTAACAGATACTTATATTTTGAAGTTGGCCGAGGATTCCATTGCCTCCGCTGTGAAATTCGAGGACTTTTCTGCCGTGGGTGTGAATTTGCCAGATGTGCTTATTCCCTACACTTATCACGATAAACTTCCTCTCGGCTACAAGTACAGCAAAACTGAGGACATACATGCGTGTCAAACTGCTGTGGCTTCGAAGATTAGAGAGGCCATCTTGAAGGCAGCTCCCATCGCTGGTTTACCAAAGCTGATCAATGCATTGACGGCGTTGCGGAATGTCACCCCTAGCAGCATCAAGCCATTGCTGAAATCTTGCCGTCCGGTAACTGTTTACCCTGGCCACGTCAGATCGTCAGATTTGGTGCATGAAGATTTCGCAGGAACGAGATTTGACGAATCCATCCCAACTTATGATACTTTGGATGGTCCTATCTGTACCCAATCAGTAGATACGAAGCAGGTCGTGGAAAACGAGGTTAGGGGACTGGAATTCTGGAATGCCGTATACGGTAAGGTGAGCACTCGAGTAAAATCTCAAATGTTCAATGCCTACCCGGATTTGTGGCAATATGCTTTCCACAATGTATACGCGCCGCTCTTAAGTTACACCGGCGTCTTGTCAAGTTTAGAAACATCGTTTTGTGTTATAGCCGCATTAATTCCACAGGACGTCAATCCTACTTTGAAAGGACATTTGAAGGGGGCTATTAACTTGGGAGGAACCAAGGAAGAGTTAGACGATATTCGCCTTCTTGTTTTTGATATTTGTGATTGGAGTGGAAATGTTCAGTGGAAGGGAGGGAAGGAAAGTGTAGCCAAGTTGTAAATACACTTAGTCAACTACTTTGTCTCGTTTCTCTGTCGATTATGAAGATTCGGTTCAATGATGATGAGTCGATTCTTATAATGCCTTATTTCTTTCGTTGATGATTACATCGGTGTAATTATGATTTGTAATTAAATGCCACGATGGTGGGACTCAAATGCAATTCAAAGTAGGTTGTGTTCGAATGAATGAAATCTAGACTTTTGCAACGTTGCAACCAAGATAAAAGAGTACAAGATACACTTAAATAGTTAAAGAAAAGACAGACAGTTATAGAAAAAATTTGAGGCAATCTTCGTTAGACTAGTGTCAACCGTGAATACGGAAATAAGTGATTGTACCTCATTTTGGAAGCATGGAGATCAAGTTAATAAGATATGGGTATGTCAGATTCGGTAAAAAGAAACCTGAAACTTTCCATCCGTGAAAGGTTAGCCTGTGAGGTGTCCAAACGATATCACCGTTCAATCTACGTAGATTGTGAATTCTGGGTATTAGTTAATAAAGTAAGAAGTTGCAGGACAAAGTAAATCATGGGAGTGTTTGGAAACCTACTACACTATGAACGGAATCTCATCCTGCTTAACATGCAGAACTCAAACAGGTTTCAACCTACTAGGACAATCACCCAGATGATTACAATAGAAGAGCTTATTTCACAATTTAAAGCTGAGAGGTTTCTTAACTCGGATCCACAAACAAAAACGTTGGCGATCCTTGGATCGATAGGGGATGAGCATGCAATCGTAACCATTGAGAAATCGGCCTTTGGTTTCGTCGATGTATCAACCTTCAAACTCGAAAAGGTGGTTGAGACAATTAAGCTCATAAACAATAATGATATATACTACTGGTCACAAGCTAACTTGTCCCAAAATATAGATGTGAACCCTGGCGCTAAAGTGAACGTCATTTATCCAGCAACTGAGACTCATATCAAAAAGTATAGTGACCAGGTGTTTCATTACATCACAGAGACCCCAGAGGTCTACAATGGAAAGGTGAAGGCATACATTGAAACTCAGAAGGGTGATCGCATCAAGTGGGTACACAACATCTTGTATCATGGTAAAGAATCAGAAACATTTGTTCATCACGATAAAGATCCACAGAATGGGTTTGTTCTACTTCCAGATATGAAATGGGATCATGTCACCATGAATGCTTTATATTTGGTTGTTATTGTTAACAGGACAGATATTGCCAGCGTCAGGGATTTGAATGGCTCTCATATTACATTTTTGGAGAACTTACAAGAGACTGTAAAGTCCATCACCAGCTCGAAATTCCCAGTTCCTCGTGACCAACTACGTGTGTTTATTCATTACCAGCCTTCCTACTATCATTTCCATATCCATGTTGTTAGTACGTCTCATGCGGGGTTGGGTAACGGAATCAACGTTGGAAAAGCCATTTTGCTTGACGATGTCATTGAGAATATAAAAATTGCTCCCGATTATTACCAAAAACGTACTTTATACTATACCTTGGGTGAGAATCATGACTTGTGGAAGGTCCTTAATGAGTAATGTTTTGCGGATAAATTGTATGTCGATGGTAAGGCAAGGCGATGCTTGATTCGAGAGATATGATTACGTTCTTGTGCTTGTTTCGAGAGATATGATTAAGTTCCAGCTTCCAAATGGTGTTTTCCGAGCAGATTTCTAGAAGAAGTAGTAGAAATCTTTCTTTTCTTTCAATATATCTCAATATTGAAACTTCAAGTTGAATATCTGTACCACAAATTATACTATCACAGGCCATATCTAGAAAAAGAATAGGCTACAAACTCTCTCCTTTCTCAATGAATTCTCGAAAAATCTTTTATTGTCGTGCATTATTATCTATATTATCCAGTAATGAGATCAGAACGAAGGGTGGCAGCAACTCCGCTCACAACTTAATTCTGTTTTCTCTCTGAATCAAATAGACTTGTGAGCCACAAAAAACAAAGAATGCTAAGTATACAAAGACAGCTCCAAACACAGTGTGAGCCACGGCGTCTCCATCTTCTGGGTCGCTGGTGGAACCCATCATAGACTCATGACCGATCTTGAACAAATAACCAATCACAGACAAGATGACAATTGCAAATGCCGACAAAACGGTACAGAAGTATGCCTTTCCCGTGGAAACTACCGGCTTCATGATATTAGTGGAGATTAACTAATGGAAGTTATTCGGTGAATTCCATGATAATGAGGGTGAAGTGTGCAGTCCTGGGCTCAGACGGTGGGTATGAAGACCAAGGAGGTAACAATGAGAGATAATTCAAAGGGGAAAAAAAGCATTCCTATTCGAGCAACGCTACCATATATATGTAAAGAACTATGTTATTGAATGAGGTTTATATAATGGTTGAACAATCAACATCTTTAAGGATTGTGCGAGTGAGCTTTTCTCTTACTGTAGTGGCCAGCTTGCTGTTTGACGTAAAGAATCGTGATGGTTCCAATAACCAAGGTAGTCAAAACCAAAACAATATTGATCGGTGTTGGGTTCATCTTGAATGTAGTGTGAGTGAGTTTATCCAAAGTGGACTGGAAGAAGTTAACAACACCCGAGATACAGATGATGGAGCCATAAACAGTTCCGAAAGTGTCGAAACCAAAGACCTTAGCACAGAAGTCGGAGATAGCAGTGTAGAAAAATGGCCTGTAGGCAACAAAAATGGCCACGTTGAGTAAACCGGCGTAGAAGCTTGGAAGAAGGCCAAGAACACCTATAAGAAGGGAAACGAGAAGAAGAACAGTCAACACAACAACAGTGGAGCAGTAATCCAAGAAGATACCAACAAATGGAATCGAGATGATACCACCAAGAGGCAAGGCAATATCGAAAAATCTGTTCAAAAGAGTAGCCTTGGATACAGAGTGTAATAAGTATGAGTACTGAGTACCAACTGTAGCTACAAAGTAGTTCAATCTCAACATTTGAATTGTTGCAAACAAGCACATCAAATAAAACCATGGAGTCTTCAATTGATACTTGGCAGAGTAACCGTGCAAGATACCGAAAATACCACCTGAGTGCTCAACCAAAAATTCTTCTCCCTCGGTAGCATATGGCTGCTTCAAGGCGTCACCAATAGAGTCTCTTCTACCAGTAGCTGGTGGATGGTGAGCAACTTCAGAAGCTAATAAAGCGTCAGTTTCAGTGGCAGCTTCGATCACTTCAGCTGAGTCATTAACACACAAAGTGGTGTCTGGAGCAGTTTTATAAGAATCGGTTGGCATGAGGACAATCTGCATAATAGTGATGAAAGTAGGCACTAAAAGGTAGATCTTGAAAAACTGGTCAAGAGTAAACGTCTGATTAGAAGCGTTGTAGACGATTCTGTAAACCAAGAATAAAGCAGAAGAAGCATCAAATGCACCAGTGATGATAGCCAAGATTGTACCAGATTTTGAAGGGAACGAATTCGACAACTGGAAGGAAGACATGTAGGCGAATGGACCACCAAGAGCCATAGATCCATATCCAACTAAGTATGGGTCAATGAAAGACAATAATGGTGATGCCTCAATGGTCTTACTGAAAATAAAAATAGCACATGCAAGGTAGAGGAAACCAGCGCCAACAAGACCACAAAATTTGGGTCCAAAAAGATCCAAACTTCTACCAATGACAATAGCAGACACATTGGTCAACATGGCACCCACCGTGAACATCATGTTCAACTTCAAGTCCTGATCAGTGCATTTGGCCACGGATTCTTCTTCGGCGACAGTCACAATGCCCTTGACCAAAGACAATGTCAAAGATCCAAACTTTTCTGGGTCCATCACCAAGGTCTGACCCCAACCAGATGTGGTGCCATTGATGGAGATGTCGCAAACGCTTTCGTAGACCTTCTCTCGGATCAAGACGGGTTTCAATGCAGCGAATCCAAAGATTGGACCACCAGATAACAAACACCAGAAGATAGCACTGGCACATTGTAAAAGACGGCGATTTGCCGGCACCTCGTTTGCAAGCATAATAGAGGTGGAATTTTAAACTTCTTTGATGGGTGGAAAAAAAAAAGAATGAGGAATAGCTGAACCTCAAGAGTGAATAGAGGGAAAGCCAGGAAAATTTCGCCTGAAGCCCTGGTGAAAGATAAGAGTTTTGTGCAATATCACAGGTCGGAGAGTTCCGACGAATTCCTGAATGAAGAATGGATAAGCAACGGAATTTGCATTGAATATTGCGTTTTTTTTACAAACTGAGATCTCTAGGAATTTTCAGATAGGGGTTTGTGACACTCTTTACACCACTACGGTGGCATTTTTTTTTATCATCCTATTATTCAGTCGAGTATTTCTGCAACCACGGTAACTACCGATGTAATGGTATGCAGTTCCCATTAGTTGCCAACAGAAGTACGTACGGCATCACAAAACTATCGGCATGCCATTTACTCGGGTGTGAGGTAATCCTTATTCAATTGGTGTACGTTCACGAACAGGGGTAATCTTTAGTGCGTAGATTCCGCTGGGTTTAGTGATTCCAATGAGGAATTTATCAGCTATTCAGGAAAGAAAAAAGAGCTATAAAAAAGAAGGAATGTATTGATCGAAAATAAGATAAACTCTAGAAAATAATAATGAAGAAGAGCCAGCCAAATTGATAAATCAATGTAGACCTCAGCGAATTTTCAAATTTTACACCACATGCCGGAGTTTCAACTATTCTTAATGATAGAAGACGTTTATCTTCCCAACCCGTTAGTCCGTTTTGTGAGTTTAGTTGTATTCAACTCCGATATTTTTACTTCTATGTACTTACGATTTTCATTGTTTGGGTATGTAGTTTATCTCGCCAATTGATAGAAACAAGGAGGACGAGTGAGCTGGTGGAAACCCTATAAATTTGAGAAATTCTAATCCGAAGGATATATTGCAAACATAATTGTCTTCGAACTTATGTTTTCATTGAGTCAGATCCATGGAATACGTAAAGTTGTTACTTTGCAGCCTTACAGTTCATCAGATGACAGCAGTTCGCAAAAAATTGGAGTTATGTAATAAAAACACGAAAACTCACAACTGCGAAAATAATTAATAAATGATATAAATTTGATTTGTATTCCCCTTCAAAAAAGTCATACATAGTTCAAATATCGATCAGTTTATTAATCGACTTTAATTCGAAGAAGCATGTTTCTTGAATACAAAGGAAATAGCACGTACGTCACCCTCACCCCCATGAAAAGTGGGGGTCACATGTTGTACGTACGTATAGGTATAGGTTAGTGCACTCCAAAATCAATCAACCACATTCTTCTAAAGTACCATGTCTATTAAACCATATGAATTGAGCCTCGAAGAGTTGGACGAATTGGAAGGCACTGAAATCACTCTCCCTTACTTCAACACTTCGGTGGCTTGGGAAATTGGCCTGCTTGCTAGACAATTGGCCCAGGAGTTCAACAAACCAATTGTCATTGACATTACGCTTTCTAGTGGACAAGTTGTGTTTCATAGTCCCTCCAAACCCGGTTCTGGACTTGACAATGACTTTTGGATCAACAGAAAGAAGAAGACTGTGCTTCGTTTTGCCAAGTCTAGTTTCTTTATGGGCCGCAAATTGGCTTTCAAGGAGAAGAGTGCCGGAGTGCCCTTAACTTTGGAGTCGACCTTTTTCGTTGATAGCAGTGAGTATGCTACCCATGGAGGCTCTGTTCCCATTAAAGCTGATAACTTCGATGGGATTTATGGTGCATTCACTGTCAGTGGTTTGGCCCAGGAGGAAGACCACTTGTTCGCATTGAAAGTGTTGAGAGAAATAAAGGCAAAGTTGAAGTGAGTATCGCCTGAAGGAGCGGTTTAATAATAATATATATCGAATCTACTCCGATAAACAGAATTGAAATTGTAAGTATCAGTTTTCCAAAGTATCGACTTTGCGACGATTGACGTATTGACAAATGGTTTATGTGACAATGGTTTATGTGACAATGGTTTATGTGACAAGAGCAGAGGCGAGGTGATGCAAATCGATAAGTCAACTTCCAAAGATATTGTTCAATAGTTATGCTCATTTCAAAGGCTCGCTACTTCAGAACCCGGACATATCTGCTAATCTTCCGTGAATGAATAAAGAACTCCTTCAAAGAGAGCTTAGCAATTTATGCTGGTACATATTCGCATAATGGAACAAACAGTAGAATCAGTTATCTTTTTTTTTTTGAAACATTTGTATATTGGGTACTATATCAGGGTCCAGATCTGAAAAATCGAATTTTTATGTTTTTAGTTAATGAATATAAATTATGAATAGAAAATTAACTCAGCGTGTAGCTTCACTAGCTCAGTTGGTAGAGCGTCAGTCTCATAAGCTTAGTTTGTGCAATCTGAAGGTCGACAGTTCGATCCTGCCGTGGAGCACACTTTTTTTATTTTTTCTTCGAAGTTTGTTCGTGTTCCGACAAATTGAATTTCAACGACTACGAGTGAAATATTTTCTGCTTCGCAAATTTATGCGTAATAGGCAGCCGCATACATCTCATCGCAGGAATTAGATTTTTCCGGGATTTTTCTCTAGCGTAGTCCACAAAAGATCAGATCGTTAGCTGCACAAAGAAATACCGCGCAATTGATACCCCTAAGCGCATTATATCAGGAGTGTGTGATACTATAAGAAGAAGAGGCTGAACAAAATTTCTTATTACAACATACTTTCTTCCAGTGTCTTGGATTTGTGATGGCTCAACTTTCATCTCAAGGCAACAACGCTATAATCTACTTGACTTATGCCTTTCTTCTTGCCACAGGCTTATTGCTTGCATGGAAGTTTGGCAACAAGAATAACTTTTTGGCTTCCAATGGAACCCAAAGCGGACTTCCTTTGGCTGTCAACTTCATTGCTTCAGGTACGTATTAATTTATTTTTGCAGCTTCAACTTGCCAGCGGGTGCACTTTCTTTTCTACTTAGAACTGAAAGAGCTGAGACAAAACCGTTTGGACTCGATCAAGATCATTCTTGCGTGAGGAGGCTAAGTTGTTCAAAAACAGTAATTCGGAAATTATCTATGTGTGTGTATTATATAAGGTGGGAAGTCAGTCAGGGTGACTCTGGAATACTCGGGGAACCCCATTGTGCGTCTACACATTCAAAGTCCATGTGTATGTGCGGTGTGGTCATGGTCGCTCAAAGCTTAGTCTCAGCCTTGACAAGTCCGTTGTACCACATTGCTAGCAAACTTCAGAAACAAAACTCATCCATTTGACAATTGCCACATTGTGACTGTTTCCGAACATACAACTGTTTTTGCTTAACTATGTTCACCTTCCTTGATCTTCATCATTTGATTCACCTTTGTAAAATGCTAACATTGCAGCCATGGGTTGTGGTATTTTGACTACCTATGCACAGATTGGAAATCTCGCGGGTTTGCACGGCTTATTGGTTTACACCATTTCTGGAGCCATTCCCATTTTGGGTTTTGCAGCTGTCGGTCCGATCATTCGTAAGAAGTGTCCTGATGGTTTCATCTTGACCGAGTGGGTTAGAAGCCGATTTGGTATCGTTACCGCATTGTATCTTTCTTTCTTTACTTGCCTTACCATGTTTTTATTCATGATTGGAGAGTTGGCTGCCATTAGAGGTGCTATTGAGACCTTGACTGGTTTGGATGCCTTGGGTGCTGTCATTGTAGAATGTGTGGTGACTACTATCTATACATTCATTGGTGGATTCCAAGTTAGTTTTATCACCGACAACTTTCAAGGTGCCTTGGTACTTCTCCTAACTATTATTTGTGCAGCTGGTATGGGATCTTATATCAACATCGACAAATCCTTAATTGGTCCATCTCATTTGTTGGAGGCCAACAAATTGGGCTGGCAACTTGTGTTTATCTTACCTGTTGCAATCATCACGAACGACTGCTTCTTGTCTGGTTTCTGGTTGAGAACTTTTGCAAGTAAGTCCAACAAGGATCTCTGGATCGGAACATCCATTGCAACCTTCGTAACTTTCACCATTTGTACTTTGGTTGGAACTACTGGTTTCTTGGCTGTCTGGGCTGGATACTTGACTGTGGGTGATGATATGGGTTACAATGCCTTCTACATCTTGCTTAGTCAAATGCCTCGTTGGATAGTGGCTTTCGTGTTGATTTTCGTGATTTGCTTGTCTACTTGTACCTTTGACAGTCTTCAAAGCGCTATGGTCTCAACTATTTCGAACGATGTCTTCCGCAATAAGTTGAAGATGATTTACATTCGTTGTTTGGTAGTGATTGTAATGATTCCAACCATCGTGTTAGCTGTAAAAGTCGCAGACAACGTCTTGCAGATCTACTTAATTGCTGATTTAGTTTCCGCAGCAGTTATCCCAGCTATTTTCCTTGGATTGTCTGACCGTGCGTTTTGGTTTCTTCGTGGATTTGATGTGATGGTTGGAGGTCTTGGAGCATTATTGGCTGTATTTGTCTTTGGAACTATCTACTACGGCAGTGCAAAGGAAGGAGGAAAACTTCTTCTTATTTGGAACGGCTTGTATGACTCTAGCGACTGGGGAGCATTTGGAGCATTTGCAGTTGCTCTTGGTTTTGGTTTGATCTTCACTTTCGCTAGTGCTGGTCTCAGAATTAGCGCTCTCTATTTGTGGTCTAAGGCCAAAGGAACTGAATTCACCGCCTTGGAAAGGAAGAAGACCGAAGACGGTGAGGACGTTGAGATCGAGCAAGCTGAGTATGGTTCGGTTGATGAATCCAGCTCTAAGGTCTCCAAGGTGTAATTTGGCTTTCTTGCTTATCACATCTTCTATAATGTAATTAATTCTTAATCCAATCAAAGAACTTGATTAGGGCTATTTCTAGAATGTAGATGTAATATTTAAAATTGTCGAAGAAAGAATAGCGGAAGAAGGTATAAAATTGTTCTTAGGTTGGTTTTGACATTCACTCGATATAGAAGGAATCCTTACCGTAGTCTGGCTTACCACCCAAGGTGTTGAAAATGTCACCAGTGTAATTCTCTGGCTCAAATTCCTTACCGGAATAATATACATCATCCCAGTTCTCTAAGATGTCCGAAACAATTGGCATACCTGCAACCACCAAGTTAGAATAAGCTGCACCGCTTCCACCGTCCTTTGGATTGTTAAACCAAGAGACAGTGTCGTTCGCTTTTGATGGAGGAGGTCTAGTCATGTCAGAAATAGTTCTCATAACAATAACTCTGTTAAAGTCAACAAGGCCCGCTTTATCCAATCTGGTGACGGCCTCCAAGGATGCATTATCTTCTTGGGCGGTAGCACAGTAGACAGCCGAACCGTTAGACATCATCTTAGAATAGAAGGAGAAGTAGTCACCCAAAACATTACCAGTGAAGTAGTTATCAGATGTCAAAACATCACACTTGACGACAGATGGCAAATTTTGAGCAGCCTCGTATTCATACAAAGTTCTGAACTCAGCATTTGCCTCTGTACCGTTGACCAACTTACCAGTCTCTGCCAATTCCACTGCCTTGTCTCTTAATTTCTCGTTAAGTTCAAAGACTTCAGTTCCATATGCGTATGCCGGGTAGGTCCATGGGTTATCAGTACCGTATGCCCAATAGCCCGAGGTCCAGTTAGGGTGAGTTTGAATGAACTCTTGGTAAGACACCTGATATTCCAAAGCAGCCTGAACAGCGTATTTGGCAAATGTAACAGACCCCAAAGTAGTGTGCTGTGGCTCACCTCCAGCAATACCAGAAACTAAGAAGTAAGTCTTGGTTAAGTCGAAAATTGGGGACAACCCAAGGGCAGTCATGGAAGAAGCAGCGTTGATCTCACCCTCGCCAGTGGTCATTTGACAGATCGAGAAGTTGGTTGAACAATGGATGGTTGGGTATTCTGGAGACAATCCAGGAAGAGTGATGTTGTGAGCGAAATCCAATGAACTCAACCAAGGCTTCGCTTCGTTACGAAACATGTTGATGACAAAGACCTTTGGCTGGAAGATAGCGGTCTTACCAAACGAAGTCTTCAAGTCGTTACTCTTGGTGGTGACATCTTCAAGAGCAGCTTCAGTAGCATTGGTCTTTCGCTTCTCCAATGGGTGAGCAGTAACACCCAAGGTGAGAGCCGCAGCTGCAATAAGATTGGAAAACTTCATGATGATTGAAAAGTATATCAAGCAAGGAACAAGGAAATTGACCGCTATTTAACTTCCCAGAAACGACGACATCTTCCTAAAATGCATTGCCCAACGGAATTGCCGCGGCCCTCGGGGAGACAATCAATGTATCGCAGTGAAATACTATTTTGAATGCTTATCTTGTGGGTACGACATGCAGCAGTTGAAGAGACTCCGGCATTTGATTTCTTTTTCCAAATCTATGTTGCATGCGCTCCCTGGAGCTCCATACTGTTCGCCCGAGATTTGGATATCGACAACAGGCTCAATTTGATCTTTAGCACACCAGCGCTACTAGGTTTTGGATAATACTCTTCTTCTACAAGTTTGACAGGTTTGCCCAGAATTTTTCCTGACTTCCTAACGAGAAATGCATCCCCTGCAGGTGTCAATGCACGGCACTGATAGCACTAGAGAAGTTGCCTAATGCGGATGCCATAACAACGAAAGGGGAAAACTTGTAAATTTGTCCTGACTTGGATAGCTAATTGCTTTCGACACCGAATGACAATTTCTTGTTATTACATTTTGAAAACACGGGATCGTTGGACTCAATTTGTAGTGGTGGATGTGGAAAGAATTATTATTTCCAATTCACATTAAAATTGCAATACTATAAAGAAGAGCTAAGATGGAAAAAAAAAAAGAGCAAGTATAACAAAAGCATTCAATTGAATTTTACGCACTCAATAATTGACTCCTCCCAGAAGGTGTCATTCCACAAGCCAGAGAAGGTTTACAGACGTCCAAATTTCTTGACAAACTACCTAATCCAGCTCACCAATTCTGTTTTGAGAATTCGAATGCCCAAGCATAATCTCTTTGGCTTTCAACCACTATCGTTTTACCTTAGTCCCTCCTTTCTCCAACGTCTTGTCCAGAGTAACAATTCAAGTATGCCGACTATATACATTACAACTTTTTATTGAATAATCTTCTCCTCACTCACCCAATGCACGGGAAGTGACCAGTTTTAATCCGATTTGACAACAAAGAAAGATTACAAAAGAATCTTTCCGAGCGCCTGTTCTCTTTTGCCTAATAATCCCGCTCTTTGCGTCGAAATCACCAATGAGATAAGCTTAATGAGAAAGTAAATTAGAAATAGCTGTAAAAGAAGGATTTGCTATCCGAATATGCTGTCCAGAAATACGAGGATTTGAACTCGACTTATTTGCATTCTATGAATTTACTGTTTTCCATATCATTTAACCTATGACCACTATCTGGGTAAAGACGATCGTCTTCCAACTTGTTGTATGCACACCAAAAGACTTCACAACATCATCTTGATCTACATACAAATTAGTGTTGGCCACCGAGATATCAGAGAATGACAACCTCAGAGCCCGAAAATGACTCTAACGATGCGATTCATGAATCTCGAAAACGATCCTTCGCAGTAAGCGTATGTTTGACATTGTTTTTCTCGCTTGTACTTCCTACTAACAGTTTATTTAGTCAGGCCAATCTGCTGAGCAGTACATGTCACAATTGCTAGCCCAAAAACGTCTAAGGCTTGGTGACGACGAAGAGGACTCCGAGAACTCTGATGAAGATTCGGATCTGGAGGAACCGTCACAGAAGGCGGGATACATCAGAAAACTCACATTGAAAAACTTCATGTGCCACGATCACTTCGAGTTGAGCTTTGGTGCGCAAATGAATTTTATCATCGGTCGAAACGGTTCAGGAAAAAGTGCTATTTTGACTGGTATATCCGTTGGGCTTGGTGCAAAAGCCACGGATACTAGCAGAGGATCATCCATTAAGAGCTTTATTAAGGATGGCAAATCTACAGCCCGAATCATTGTGGAAATCGATAACGATGGCTACGATTGCTTCGAAAAAGAAACTTACGGTAAGGTTATAATTGTGGAAAGGAAGCTAACAAGAGAAGGTGCAAACTCATATTCGATTAAAAGCGAGAATGGATCATTGGTCTCCAGCAAAAAGAAAACCTTGGATGATATTCTACAGAAGTTTTTCATTGTGGTAAACAACCCACTCTCCTTCCTTTCACAAGATAAAGCTCGTGAGTTTATTGCAAGCAGCACCGAACAATCTCGCTTCAACTACTTTAGCGAAGGTACAAACATCCAATCGATTCTACAGAATTACCAGGAAGCTTCTCGGAATATTCTAAGTCTTCAAAAAAGATCGGTTGCTGCGAAGGATTACTTCAATGAGGCAGCACAACGATATTCAGAGTGTGAGAGGGCATATCGAAAGTATAAGCACTCACATACATTGCGCCAGCAGCTTGAGAAAATCAACGGTAAGATTTACTGGTTCAATGTCGAAGTACTTGAGAGGAGAATTAAGAAGAAAGACAATGAAATCGAAGCTAAACGAAGCGAGCTTCAGGAGATCGACAACAAAAAGGCAATGAATGATCAGAACATTACACTCAATGATGAAGAACGAGATAGTCTTCAAAACGAGAAGACTATTCTAAACGAAAAGTTAGTATCGCATGAAGAGGCTGTGGCACATTCTGAAAATGCTCATACGGAGGCAACTAGACAAGTCCAATCATACAGATCAGACTTGATGAACTACAAAACCGAGATTGAGGATTTCTCCAAGCAAATCGAGAAGCATAAGAAAGAAATGGTCATGGAACAAAAGAAGATCGATGAAGCAAATGGTGGATCAAAGGAAAAGATGGGCGAGAGGTTGGAAGCCTTAAGAAAACGACAAGAGGTGTTGATTAAGGAGAGAGACCAACTTCAAAGTCGCCTCCGAGGAATGGAGGGTACTTCACCTGATATGGAGAACCTTCGCAAGGAACTTGAAGAATATAAGCAGTCCAAAACTGTCTTGCTTGAGAAGAAACGTAGCATTGAGAAGAACAAGAATGATAAATACGCTGCTTTCGGCCACAACATCAATTTTCTCATGAGAGATATCGAAAAGGAAAAGAACTGGCACGCAAAGCCAATCGGACCTGTTGGATGCTTTGTTAGTGTTAAAGAAGAATTCTCACAGTGGGGAGACTTGATTAATGCCACACTTCAGAAGACTTTGGATTCCTTTGTGGTTTGTGACGAGCACGACAGGCGCATATTGAGTCAGTATATGAGATCAAAGAAGATCTTCAAGACTATCATCGTGAGAAAGTTTGAGAAGTTTAACTTCAACTCTCAGGCTCCCCATGGGTACAATACAATTCTCGATACGCTCAATATCCAAGACGAAAACGTAAAGTTTACTCTTATTGACTCTAGTGGAGTTGAAGAGATGATAATCTGTGACAACATCCGTGATGCAGAAGAAGTTACGCGGCGTCCGAATGTGAAACATACCTTCTGCCTCAACGACAGAAAATCAGGTATCCGGATTACTAGACCCGGTGGCCAATTGGCCAGAGATCCGATTTTTTATTCTCGTGATCTCCGGAAGCTTGCTGGAAAAGTTGATGGAAATGAAATTGAAAACGAATTGAAAGAGGCTGAGGCTGAGGAAGAAAGACTCGAAAAACGGAGACACAACTTACGAGCAAAGGAATACGAAGAGAAAAAAACAGTGCAAGGAGAGTTAGAGGAAAAGAAAGACTTTTTAAAGAAGGTCAATAATCAGATATTCACTGCGGAGCAGATTCTTCAGGACGAAGGTGACTATGGCCGTATCGAGAGTTTGAAGTCTCAAATCGAAAATTGTGAGAACCAAATCAAAACAAGAGAAGGCATGTCGCTAGAGCTTCTCCAGAATTTAAATCAGTCCAAGGTGGAGCTATCATCGTTGAAGCAGAGATTACAAGAAGCAAAAGCTCAAAAGGAAGATATCACAGATCAGGTATCTTCGCTCGAAGAGAAAGTTTCTCAATGTCAAGAAACTAGTCAACTTCTTGCTGCAGAAAACGATGGGCTCGAGAAGCGAAAGGCAGAAATTGATTTTGAGATTGAAACTAAAATCGAGAGGAAAAACTCAGATATCACCAAACACCAAGAATTGGAAACTGCTGCCCTCGAGCATTGCCAGAGAAGTGACATCCAAATTCTCGAGACGGATACCACAGAGTCAATCACTACCGAGTTTCGAAACATACAGCACGCAATTGAAGAAGCAGAGAAAAACTCGAATAAGACTTTCGAGGAGATCCAAGATGAAGTTCTTAAGAGCAAAGCATTGAAAGATCAATGTGAGAATAGCCTTCTGGAGTTGGAGAGCGCAAGAATTACATTGGAGAACGACTTGAATTCTCGATTTGAGAACTTGAACATTACAATAAAGGAAAAGCTCACAAGAGCAAGACTGTCGTTTGAGCAATCACTTGCCCTTCGAGGCTTCAAAGGAAACTTGGAATTTGACTTTGCCAATAAGAAAGTAATCACCGAGGTTCAAACCAAGGATGACAAGGAAAGACGAGCAGTCCTGTCCTTATCTGGAGGTGAAAAGTCGTTTACACAAATTGCATTTTTGCTTAGTATCTGGAAGGTAATGAAACCACGAGTATGTGGATTGGATGAATTTGACGTTTTCATGGATTCTGTCAATAGAACAATCGCAATTCGACTTCTAATCCATGAGCTTCGAAACTCGAATGCGCAATCCATCTTCATTACTCCACAGGATATTGCGGTGGTGGGCGATTTGAAAGATAGCGAAGATGTTCGAATTCACCGTATCAAGGCCCCAAGAAATGAATAGAACCACGGGCTATGTACATTAGGTTATTTATAAACGGATGGAACAGGGTGTTATGTAGGTGTCGTCAATATCGAGAGCACGTAGACGATCACACGAGGAGGAATCCAAATTGATTCTCTTCAATCCATTTTGTTTCCAGTCTCCAAGAACCGACTCGACATCTTGCTTGGACACGGCTGGTGATGCAAGTAGGGCCTCTAAGTAGCTTCGGCGGCCAGCATTCGTGAACCCATGAAGCTGTTGCCATTCAACATAAATCAGAGCTAAAATGTAGTCCAAGTCTTTGGATGTCTGTTCACTGGAGGATGCCTTACCTTCATAAGCTCTCTTTAACGAGCGAAAAATGCACGTGAAGACTTCTGGGCCAGAATAAAGAACTTTCTTGGGAAGCAGTGGGTAGAGTTCAGGCAATTTACTGATCACAGCCCACGCAACTTCGACATGGCCCAATTCGCAAAGGCTGACAGCAACAAACTTGTGCAAAGCATGATGATGACGAGTAATTAGAGTCAATAATCGATCCACCACTGAGTGCTTCTCCGAAATTAGTCTTTGCGTGTGATCTCTGACAAGCTCATGGAAACAAGGCAAGTCAGACACTCTTGGAACACCATCAAGAATCGTCCAATGTGGTTTACCGGACTTGTGGTAAACGTTATACTCAATATGAGGCTGGAAAGGAGTGATATTTTGAGTTCTGACTTCATTGAGTTGAAGCTTGTCCAATTTGTGATTTCCAAGGCCAATATTGTTGATGATATTGCGCTGGCGCTCTTTGTATCCCATGCGACTCAAGTATTTAAGTGAGCGAGCAGAGTCCTTTGGATCTCTATATTTTGTATGACCTCTATACTTAAGACACAAATCAATAAATGCATCTAGAGTTTTTGTGAGATCTCCAGTTCTAGCTAACGCCTCCACGCGGGAAATAGTTAGAGTCTCGTAGACTTTTCTGTGTCCGAAATAAGAGTAGTATCTCTTAAAGTAGCTCCGAAGCCCCTCCACAGCTGCCAAGTTCCCGCTGTGAGAGAACACAGTCGCCAACAGAGCTATAGCAGTAGGCAAAAGAAGGAATGGCACTAAATGATTTTCCTGAATGAACATTGACCTGTTTGAATATGCTGCGTAAGGATTTACAATCTCATGATATACCAAAGACGCAGCCGCATGATGCCCTCTCATCGATGCCTCAGACGATAGGATAGACCAGAATTGATTCGAGAGTTTGTAGTGAGCGTTGTCACATTCGTAAACAATATGCACCAAGGCAACCACCGCATTAAGATTGCCTTCCGCCATGAGCTGGAACAAGAAGTCTTCAACAAGATTGGAGAACAATTTGGAGTTGACATTATTTGATATATGATAGAAGATATCTTCCCCTGAATGCTTTTCCTGAAGCATGGTCAGCAACTCCAAGGACTGTCTGACCGACTCAGATGACAATGAAAGGACTCGAAGTTTGTCATAGGGGTAAAGTTTGGAGTAGTCAGTCAAGAGGTTTCGTATGGCAGATGGTTTTGTAGGTGTGAGCTTTAATTTCCATGCGGCCAGATCAAAATGTGACGTTGAAAGACGCCGGAGAAGGCGAGATCGTAGCATTAAATGAAAAGAAATGCGATAAAGAGTGAATTACGAATTCAAATAATCGCCACAAGTTGGGGTAGTACGAATCTTTCAAGATGTCGTGAATGGGTCTTGATCTAGAAGTGGAACCAGAAAACTCTGTGCACTCCAGAAATTGTTAGACAACCTATAGCCATTTAGTGACATGCTTCCGGTAAAATGAGGGATAGATAGGGAAATTTGATTGCTTTGCAACCAAATTTTGCTATATTTTCTCTGGCTTTTTCGTATTCCCTAATTTTCAAAGATTTTCTTAGTTGATCAGTTTTAATGGTTAAACATATGCTCACAATGAAACAAAAAAAAAATTGAAACAAGTTATTAAGACTTGGCTCTCTTACAAATCCGAGCTTCCAAATCTCCTATTAAATCCCAATATGCTATAAAATCCGTGTGAGAGCCTTTCTATTGTATTCCCCATGTCCAAAATCCAGACTGTCACAAATTTCGCGACATTCATCATGAAAATCTCTATCACCTACAACCACCTCTAGTCATGCTTAGACTCGGTGCCTCCCGTGCAGCAAGATTTTCGGCGGTTAGAATGCCACAGGCGAGCCTCTGTATCCCCAAGGCATCCATGATGGCACCTTTGGGTATCAGATTCAACTCGACAGCAACTCAAGAAATCAAGACGAAGCTCACAGATTTCGCTTCTGAAAGTGCTGCTGCCATTGACACTGCAACAACGACCACATTGCACTCAGATCAGATCGGGTATTTGCAATCTATTGGTCTTGGAACTGGCTGGGGTCCAACGTCCATGATCGAGAACGTTCTTGAAATGACCCATGTGTACACTGGATTACCATGGTGGGCGACCATTGTTGCCAGTACTGTGATTATCAGAACTTTGATGGTTCCTATTTACATTAAGTCTTCGGCAAACATGGCCAAAATGTCCAAAGTGAAACCACAATTGGATGTATTGATGGACGAGATCAGAAACGGTGACAACGAAGACAAGATGTTGGCAATGAGAAAGAGAAGCAAGTTGTTCAAGGAATATGGCATCAAGACCTCACACTCGTTCTTACCCATTCTTCAGGTTCCTGTTGCATACGGATTCTTCCAGGCCACAAGAAAAATGGCCGAGGCCCCAGTTGAAGGTTTCTCGACCCAAGGCGCTTTCTGGTTCGAAGATTTGACCGCAGTGGACCCATACTTAGGCTTGCAGATCTTCACTGCCCTTGTTGTTACTGGAATGATGAGAATGGGTGGAGAGACCGGTGCTCAGGCAATGAACCCTATGCTAAAGAAGGTTATGACTTGGTTGCCTTTCGCCTCCATTTTGATTACTCAAAGCATGTCTTCTGCTGTGGTGCTTTACTTTGCTGCCAATGCTGTTTTCTCCTTGATCCAAACTACCGTTTTGAAGAACAAACATTTCAGAAAGTTGGCCAAGCTTCCTCCAATTGAGACTCCAGTTCCAGTTCCAGGTGCCAAGGCACCTCCTGCCACTTTGTCAGAGTGGTGGAAGGACTTCAATGACAAAATGAAGAACCAGACTCACAACAAGATGAGTAAGACCAACAAGCAGTTGGAGGTTATGGAGAGAAGACGCGGCGCTGCCAACGATGGTTTCATCAAGAGACATTAAAAATTTGTATATAGAGAGTTTATGCTTGTAAAATAAAATCGTATCATTAAACTGTATTCTAAGAATTAAACGTTATAAATGGTCAAGCTTCCTTGGCGTCGTCGTCATCTGGCAATGCGGGAGCAACCTTGAGAGTTCGTTCTTCAAAGATCTCTTCATAGTTGTCAATAAGCTGTTCTAAAATGAAGTTCATCACTCCAAAATTGTTTATCAACGTGTCCAAATTACTAGCTTCCGTCAACGCAGGTCCAATGACAGTAGCCAAATTGGAAGCATTCATACGGTTATGCTCGTTCTCTTGGACCACTTTGTTTAAGTGTCTGATAAGATTTGCAAGCGTGGAATAGTTATACTTTGGAAGTTTGGCAAGGACACGCTTGTAGCTGTCAATATCGATTGTTGGAGTGCCATTTTGAGTCTTAGACGAGTCCTGTCTCATGGGATAAAATAGTTCAATCACTTGGTCAGTCAAAACTGCGTCAGGAAGCTCTCTGAAGTACAGTTTGATGCAACTGGTAAGAGCGTGAACATCAATACTCCTCTTCTCAAAATCGAGAGTGCCAGTTCTATCAATCTCACTTTTGATACTTGCGAGTTCACTTATCGAAGTACTAATTCTGTAAATACCAACATCCTTCAAACCTTCTTCTTCAATTGCTTTATAGATCAAGTCCAATATTCTTGGTGAACTGTTGTTGTCACGAGAACACACAACCTGGAGGGGAACTCCGAATGTTGTGAACTCATGGTTATGCTTCCAATTGATCAGTTTGGAGTAGAACCAATGCCTGTTTGCATGAGTAAGGCACCTCAACCAATCCTTCAACTCACTATCTGAAGGAGATTGGAAGAAGAAGACATCATTGGAGCTCTCGTGATCCATTTTGAAACAGTTGGGTAACAAGTAAACAGGGAAAATTTTTCTGTCTTTCAACTGAATGATAACCACTGGCTTAGACTTGGGATCGGACACGGAAGAAGGATCAGGAAGTTCTCTAAATTCAACCACACGCTCTGAGGAGGTCGTCAAACTGAAAGTTCTGGACTTACTGAACAATCCACTGATTTTGAAACGCGAGGAGGAGTTTGTCTTATAAGACAAAGATTGACGTCTTAAACTGGAATTGGATGTCTTCTTTGTAAGACCACCTTCCCTTGCGATGCCAGACTCCAAGGCACGTCTTGAATCTCTGTATGCTTTCTTGGACCCATCCATTGTTAATATCGCATATTGTTCTTTAATGACTAAACGGAACAACTTTCTGCTCAATCTTTCGGTCTGAATATGGTGCCTTAATTCGGACATATTGCAGAGCGTCTCGTCTAATCTCATCAAGAATTCGAACTCTTTTGTGTCATTGTGGAATTCCTCGTTCTCATCCACGTCTTCCACGCTCAACTCTTTAATGAGCTTGAAAATGAGATACCTCTTGTTGAAATTGATGTTGTCTTTGTAGAAAGAAGGACATTTGTTAATCTCTATCAAGTTTTCAATGATCCACCCGAAACATGGAAGGAGCGGTTCACTACCCATCAATAAATCAGAGTGTTTGATATGGGAAGGCAAAAGGGATTCCACATTGTCATAAGTCGCATTCATATCGACCTCCTCCACACTTAAGGAATTTGATGCCTTGACCCACAAATTAGCAAAAATTCTGCTTTCTGGAGAGTAAATCACATTCGTAATCGCTGTCTCAATACAAGAGGGGATCTCATTGTGATCTCCATCAAAGACAAACTGACTTTCACTCATCTTGAGCTTCGAAATCTTCATCATGAGCAACAATGTTTTCATACGGTCAAGTCGCTCTTCAGTAGTAATGTTGACGTCGCAGAGTTGAATGAGAAGATAACTTCTAAACTTGTAATACAACTTGAACAACTTATTGAAAACCACTGGAAGCTTTTTCAACACAGTATCCTTAATGCCCAGGTCATATAGCGACTCAAAATATGTCATGACGTTGGATATAACAACGAAGTCTTCAGAAACATTGGTTCTTTGCATATTATAATTGAGAAGCGAATAGTTTTCAAACAGATTTTCCAAAATCTTGAACATCTTAAACCAATTCTCAGGTGTAATGCCCTTGTAGAAAACAGTTAGCAACTTGTTGAATTTGTTCAAAAACTTCTCAATTTTGTGAATATTCTTGTGACTTGGCAAATTTCTGTTCATTGGAACCTCATGGATAGAATTCGAGAACTTAAACTCATGAGTAAGAAACTCTTCGAACTTCAGTGCCTCAACGGGTCTGTAGCTCTTCTTGACAAAAAGTTTTTTAAGTCTTTTGTAATAGTTAACCAAGTTCTCGAAGGATTTATCCAATTCGCGATCAATCTTGTTGGAGTTATACCATTGCAAAATCTCGTTACTGTAGAGTTTCAACAACTTAATCATTATCTTCTTGTTCTTCAAGTCATTGGAAAAATTGGAAAAGAAGTTATTGACGAGCACAATTAAGGACTTGAGAATATTAACCTGAATCTTTAGAAGGAGCTCATAGTCCACATCGCCTAACTTACTCAAATCAATTTCCCTGTCCACTTCCCAGCTAGGATATGTCCCAAACACAACAGGGTCATAACGACCTTGCTTCTCGTAGTATTGCTTCTTCATCACCGATATGACTGCATTACCGGAGTGTACAAATCTATGAGCCAATTTTTCGAGCAACTGTTTGGTTGTCATGAAGGAGCTATAGTTCAACATAAAGACAAAACGATACTCAGTAAGATCAATAAGATGGTTCTCATCAAAATATTTTGAATCGATCAATAAAAGGTCAATCAATTTGTCGACACTTGCAAACCTGGGAACGTACTTTGGTGATTGAATATGCAGAGCGAGATTAGAGTTATTTGAAATGAGACCAAAGCTGCGATGTTTCTTATCAAGTCCGGACGACTCCCCATTTTGCTCATTATCTTGGATTGAAAAATTCTTAAATTTGTCAGAGTTGAGGATGTCGTCAACATCAATTCCAAGCCCATCGTCATCGCCGCCACTAACTTCTGTAACAGAAGTGTTGACAGTGCTTGCAGAATCGAAGTCAGAAACAAAGTCGTCAAGTCTTAGTGTAAGTTCAGAATCCACGACAATGCTATGTTTGTCATCTGAAGGGATAACATTCGTAAGATTAGGAAATCCGACCAAATCATCGTATTTCTGCAAATTGATTAGAAAATAGTGATTGTTAAAGGTTGGCAATTTGTCATCGGTGGACGGCTCTTTACTCGATGATATTTTCGATTCAGAGTGCTCTGGAACTGCAATGACTGAAGATGACGAGGAGTTAACAGACAACGAGCTTCCATTGAAGTTCATGATCTTATGCAAAGTATTATCAGCTTGTGGAACGTTCAAGTAACTCTCCCGAAGGCTAGGTTCAAACTGAAGTGAGAGCTTCATGATATCCTCAAGATTCACTGACTCGCAGTTGTGGTCAAGCAAGCGAAGCAATTTCTTGCGCAATTTTAACTTGACTTCAAACTTCTCTTCGTGCTCTGAAGAAATTTCAGAGTCAATCATATTCGCTTTCAATGATGTGGGAAGGTTCTTCTCATCATCTTTATTGACACCGAGATAGAGAACTTGGTTTAAACTCTCGTTGGAAAAGATAAAACTCATTGAATCATATCTTTGCAAAACATCTTGATTGTAATGAATGATCTCATTAGAGTTGAATAAGTTCCTGAGATAGTCGTTCCAACGGTCAAAGGAATAGTTAATTTTGCGCCAAACAGCGTCAAGTTCTGGAATGCTTACTTGCGAGACATTATTAACGAGCAAGTCCCCAAAATAAGGAATGACCCTTTCCTTTGGATAAATTTTGCCCAAGCCACGAGGAGCCATTATGTGGTAAGACTCCTTTGAAGCCGCGTTAGACTCAGGCTCGGTTCCAACTACAGACGAGGTCCCAAAAGTGATCAGTTCGTAACTGTTCGCCAAGTGGCGGCGATCGAGCTCAAAGAGGACAGGAGACCAGTCATTCTTCAATAACTTAATATAATCAGGAGAAACGTGAGTCCATACAGTTGTCAAACGAAGGACAGGCTGAGAAAGAATAATAGATGAAATACCCAACCACGAAGACATATTTCCCAGTTTATCCAACAAACAACCAAGGTCTATCCATCTTTCAAGGATATGGGCTCTTTTCTCTGGAGTAGCATGTGGATTTTCAAGGAATAAATGATGAACAAGCAAACGTGACAAGTAGTGAACATGATTGTCATTATTGAAAAAAAGTGGATTCTTTTTGTAGAACTGATTACCCGTCATATTTTCGGAGACAGAAGAGTACAATAATAATGACTTATCTATGCTAGAGTTCCAACTGCCAAAGAACTCGAGATCAATAGCAGTAATGGCACTTGCAAGGTCAAACAAGTTGATGTCATTCATGAAGATGGTGGAATTTAATTCCAACAAAGGATTTTCAGCAGGCGTAGAACCTGCGCTGGAGTCCACGAGGTTGATCAGATCAAGTAATATTCTTTGTTTTCCAAGCATGTTTGCTTTGAAGAAGGATACCAAGCCCAGAGTTTCCGGGGTAGCAAACTCCGTGAACAATTCCAAGATTTCGAGCATCTGATTCGCGACATCCGAGTTTAGGAGGTAACCGCAGAAGTTCTTGTCAATGTGCTCAAACAAGTGGATTACGCGTCCAAAAATCTGTGTGATAGTCCCAACCTCGCCAAATTTGCCTTGGAAAATAGCCGCAAGATACATGTGCATGAGCTCGAGCGCCAGGCAAAAGTTCGAAAACATGGGAAGAACCGATAAGAGCTGTTCAATGGCCCGGGAGTTGATATGCGCATCAGCAAAGATGAAGAAGTGCACCAAAGCTTCCAACGATGAACCCACGAGAAACACGTCGCTGTCAAAATCATACTTCAAGTCAGGATGTGGCAACCCGGGGTGCCAGTATGTAATTGTGATTGGAGCTGTTGCATTGGGTGTATCTGTCACGATCTCGGGCACTGTTGAAGGGTGGGAGTGTGATCCATTGTTTCGGGCTGTCACATTGGAGGAATGATCGCTCAACATTGGGGACTGTGGAGGAAGGGCCAGATCCGACGAAGGTGGAACAGTAGCAGAGGAAGACTCTGTAGGCGCGTAGGTGGTGGCATCCAGGGCGAGTGAATCGGCATCGGCAAGCTTGAGCACATCCGACAGACTCAGACGAAACAGGCGAACGTTCATCAGCAGTGGAGGGCGGTAGACGTATAAATGGGAACCGCGAAGCTCCACGCGATATAAGCGTAGCAGCTGTTCGGAGAAATCTTGGGTTGAAGAGGCGTTCAATACGCCGTTTACCCACAGATGTTTGAGTACCTTGGAGTCATAGTCATGTTGGACTAATGATCGCACAAGCGACACCTGGGCTGCTTCGGGAACTGGGATGGTCATTGAGGACACGGACAACGAATCAGGGACAGAGTCAGGATCTATATTGACGGATGTGGATGCGCTGGCCATGGAACGCCTCTTGGAGGACTTGCTCCAGATTTTGCGCATGTTAATCAACCAGATAAACGGATTACTAGCAGAGAAGTCACCGATGGACTAGGGAGCAAATGTCGAAGATTGGAAGTGAAAAAGCTGGACAAAATTGATCTGGTGTGGGGGATGGTTCAGGTTCACGACCTAAAAAAGACGAGTGTTCTGGAGATTTTACCGAGTCTTGCGCACGCTGGGCAAAACCTGTTCCTGGTCTGGAGACGAGAATGGTGCGGGCTTGGGGACTTGCACTACGTCTTGTATAATGTTGCCTGGAGTACGCGGGAAAAAAATCAATCTAGAGACAAACAGTCAGGACAGATCTGGCGAGGGTGCCAATTATAGAAACGTACTTTTGAATTTCATTAGCGAATTGGCATGTCGTTATTTTTTTCGTTACTTCTTTGTTGTTTTCACTTTAGCAAGGCTAGTGAATGATGTCTAATAAGCGGTGTCATTCTCACCGTCTTGGGGCCGCATTCTGGTTACTGTGAGCGTGTTCTGCCACCACGCTCCAGGGCTCCCACTGCAGGGTCCAGTGAACCTCAATATGAAACAGTTACAACACGTAAAGGGGGGAGAGGGACAAAGTGACTTCGGTCTTACAACTACAAATAGGTAGTGCGACTCACGGACAGTGGATTTCCGCCATTCTTTTTATCTGCTTTTCGCAGCTCTTTCAATGACTTTTCAACCCCGTTTCGAGGACAGACGCACTACACTGCCTGGCACAATAGCATGCCCTGGGCGGAGAAAGTCTTGAACGCAGAGGTCCGCACATCGATAGTCAATTTACGAAGTCGGGGATGATTTCTGGGTTAAAACCCTTTATTATCAGACCTACAAACGGCGACGCGGGCAAACGCCTCTTTCTTTTCATCTGGCCCGTTTCCTTCTTAGGTAGTTAATGGAAGACATGCAGATGGCCTCATGCGCATTTCCAAATTTTTTGGGGTTGCAAGGAGCGATAACCTATTGCCTGCGAGGTTCGTACAGATTTCCTACATTGATTCCGGATTCGCTTAATTGACATAGAGAATACATTTAACAAACATCAGCATTCTAAGATGACCGTTTAAGTTTTCGTTGGTTTCTGTTTCACCGTTTATAGCGGACCGTTGTTGGTGTATGTTCGCGTTCGTGGGATACTTTGGTCCTACTACATGTGTGGTAGAAGCATTGTAGTCAATATCCTCACAAAATTTCACAAAATTTCACAAAATTCTAAACCTGGCCGGCGATCGGTGAAATGATCGGTAAAAAATTAATGATTTTCATTAGTGCAGCCACATAATTACATTTCTGGATTTGGACCACTTCTTCAGTTTTGGGATGGAGTTGACGTTGAAGTGTAGTTGATGAGACGGGAGGTGCATTTGCTCGGTAGTTTACCACTCCAATGCCTTTCATGGAATAATTTCGATAGTAATGGCATTTTCAAAAGTTACTTATGACTCTAGCCATTAACTGGCTGTGCAAATCCTGCTCATTTCACCGGATATTTGCCTCCAGTCAATTTGTTTTAACTACTCAAGTATGCGGAAGACTATTGCCTGTATGGCTTATACAGATCACCTGAAAAATAATTGACGACACCGAAAATATCACTCCACCATTAAGAATTTGTTTGACGGCATCTCATGCACGGACATAGGGGTAAAAACAGACATAAGCTATACTTGGCTGGAGGTATGTCAAGTAACAATCAAAATTCATTTACTACTTCCACTGATCTTGATACTTTTGTTCGTATTCAGTTCCTTGCACCATAGATAATTTCACAAATATATTGAAGTTCAAGAGACAAGACAGAAGAAACTTATGGAAAAACGGGGTGTCTTTATTCTCAGCTTGAATCTTCTCCTGTAAAAGTTTCTTCTATTTCAGATCCCTTCCAGTTAATACTGTTGTACCTAGAACGGTCTCTCTGCAGTCCACAACTAATTCTTCGCTTCAACATTACTACTGAAAGCTGCTATGTTCTGGAAAGCCCTTCGACAAGGGCCCAAATGGACCTCTGCAAACGCCAAGAATGTATTGATACGATTTAACAGTACAGACGAATTTAATTATCTCCACAGAAAAGAGCTCATTAGCAGATCTCCACAGTCTTACTACCCGACGATATCTTCGGTGCGGTCATCGGCACCAGTTCTACGAATTCCCGATTTTGTACGGTCCTATGGACTGATAGACTTTAAAAAGTATGAAAACAAGCGCCACTCCGATTTGGTCCAAGTGGAGGGGCGCGTTAAGTCCATACGAAGGGCAGGCAAAGCTATGTACTTCATTGACATAGTCCAGGATGAGACAAAACTTCAGCTTTGCGCATCCAACAAGCTATTGACAGGTATGTCGAGTGAAGAATTCTCAAAAATTCACACTTTTATTCGAAAAGGTGATCACATCGTTTGTGTTGGTCATCCATCTACAACAAATGTGGGAGAACTTACTGTTAAGGCCATGGAGCCTATTAAAGTGACAAGTCCATGTTTGAATTCCGTCACTTTGCCGGACAAAATGAGTGACCGCAAGTTGATAAACAGCCATAGAGTCTTGAACTACTTGGTTGATGTTGATCTGAAACAGAAAATCTTGGTCAAATCAGCCGTGACTGGAGCCATTAGAGACTTTTTGACGTCAGCCGACTTTGTTGAAGTACAAACGCCAGTCATTGCTGGGGCTGGCACGGGTGCAAATGCAGAGCCATTTATCACATCCCTGAGAGCGTTGTCGGACGAAAAACTCCTGCTTCGAGTAGCACCAGAGCTTTGGCTCAAGAAACTAGTAATTGGAGGATTTGACAAGGTGTTTGAGATTGGAATGAACTTCCGGAATGAAGGAATTGATGCAACACATAACCCAGAGTTCCAAACATGTGAGTTCTATCAATCATTTACATCTCTTTCCCAGTTGATGAAAATTACTGAGGATATGTTTGCTTTCATCTACGACGTGTTAGACAAGAAGAGTGACAAGTTGCAGATATTAAGACCTCAAATCAAGAAGTTAAAAGCTTTTGGTGCTGGTGATTTTCCCCGCTACGAGTTTATTCCAATGATGGAAGAAAAGACTGGCTGCAAAATGCCTAATGTACTCGATACGGAGAATTTGCTTGAGTTCTACAAGCAAATTAATCTCGAACCACCATCAACTAAATCGCCTGCAGCACTTCTAGATAATTTATCGGGAATATTCTTGGAGTCGATTAGCGAAGAAACGCCCGATGTTCCAATATTCATCTACAACCAACCATCTGTGATGTCCCCCCTCGCCAAATCCAGCATTGTGGAGTATGGCGAACGCTCATTTGATGTTTCTTTGCGCTTTGAACTCTTTATCAACGGTAAGGAATATGTGAATTCATACGAAGAAGAAAACTCTCCGTATGCTCAAGCTGAAAAGTTTGCCTTGCAGCAACAAACAAAAGCAGAATTCAAAGATAACGAGGCACTCATTCCAGATTGGTTCTACGTCCAGCAAATGGAATATGGCTTACCTCCTACAGGAGGATGGGGATGTGGAATAGATCGACTCAGTATGTTATTCAGTGGATCTGAAAGAATAGAGGATGTCTTGACATTCGGCACGCTCCGGGACGCTATCCGGCAATAGAACGTATATAGGCCCATAATGCAGACATCAACATTTCCAATGCTTTCAGTAGTTTCATTTATTCATTACTTAGAGACGATACAAGAAGTAAGGACTCTTATCTCCCATTTTTCGAAGTTCTTCTTCAGTGTGAGAGTCATATTTGCCAGCAGCCACGTCCCTCTTTCTCTTTGCATTGGAATATTTGTAACCAAAGATGGTGATCAATAAGAAAATAATACCCATACTGATGAAACCAAGCTCCAATGAATGACCCAAGATGAATCGAGGCAGATCTTCAGTTCTGTAGAAATTAGAAGCGAACGCTCCAGAAAAGTTTCCAATACCAATTTGGAAAGCCATTCCGACTGCTCTCTTGTAGGCACCGGACAAATTGTTTGAGAACCAGATGACCACAAGAGGAAATGCTGGGTATATTCCAAGTGCAGTTATGTAAAGTGCTCCATAAAGTGCATTGGGCAGTTCCTTTGGATTGAGCGTGATACAAATAATGTACCCAATAGCCATACAAGTATAGTTGAATAGCAAGAACGGCGATCTCAAACCTACCTTATCACTGGCTATTGCCTGTAAGATACTGAAAATGGCAGCCACAATATAAATTGGTGCAGTCATTAACTGTGCTTTTGTGGAGGCATAACCCAAGCTTTTGACGATAGTTGGTGCAAAAAGTGAAATGCCGTAGAGTGGTACACATACTCCGTAGTAGACCATGAGCATACACCAAGATTGCCAGTCCTTGAAAACAGCCCAAACATACTCCCTGCTATTGGAGTCGTCTTCGCCCAAATTTGCAGGCGCAGGGGCTTCGTGGGCAGACTTCTTCAAGTTCAGGCCGTCGGAGTTGGAAGAGTACTTCACCTTGTAAGTAACAAACTCACGCTCTCTTGGGGTTAAGAAAGTACACTCACTTGGGTACAAGGGGAAATAGAAGTAGGCAACAATAGAGAAAACCAAGGTAAGTAAACCCTCCAAGATAAAGATCCATCTCCATCCCTCATAGCCACCTACACCATCCATTTGTGAGATTCCAGCTGCCAATAAGCCACTAAAAGCACCTGCCATTGAAGCAGCAGAGAAGAAAATGGCTTCGCGGACCAACACTTCGTTTTTCTTGTAGTAAATCGACAAGATATAAGAGATTCCTGGAAAAAGAGCTGCCTCGAAGATTCCAAGAAGAGCCCTTGTTGCCAAAAGTTGGTGGAAGTTGTTCACAGTGCCCATGAGAGTCATAACGATAGACCAAAGCACCATTGTCAAGGGAATGAACACTTTTGGCTTCACATGTCTTAGGATTACATTGCAAGGAATCTCCATCGAAGCATAGAAAATGAAAAAAATTGTTAAGCATAAATTGTATTGGTGGCCGTGGAGATTCAAATCCTCAGCCAATCCTTCAATTTTTGCATTTCCAATGTTACCTCTGTCCAAGAAGGACAAAAGGTATAAAACAGTAAAAAGTGGAACGAGACGTAAATCAATCTTACGCAATAGCTTTTTCTCGTCAATATCAGAGAAATCTGGTTGCGATTCTCCGCTATCTGAAGCAACAGCTTCGATATGCTCAAAGTTTGGCTTGTCTTTCACAGAACCCATAGGAGATTTTGATATTAAGTGAGCTTAGTAATCAGTTTTCATTCTACATTAATAAGGAAGTTGTGAGATATTTATATCTTGCAGTGCAATGTTATGAGCCGTACCCCACAATTGTTGCAACAATTATCACCACCCCTGCACAAAATACGGTTTCTGGTAGAGGGGACTTCGTGACATCATTGATAAGTGAGGTGGGAAAAGAAAGCAAGGTGACAGAGTGACATAATAATTTGAGATTTCGCAGATTCAGCAATAAAGATGATCTAATGAAAAGACTTAGTAAACATGCGAAATCTGTCCCATTGAATAGGTACTTACTGAGTGGTAAGATGCGGGATTGGGCTCACTAGCCGTGTCCACAAGAATGGATAGGACATCGGAACAACCAAAGAAACTCCTCATTTCGCTCAGGAACAACGGGCTTTTTCTGGCGAAAACCTCGAGTTTCCACGGATCGAACGTCCTCCCCACCAACTCCCCCACGTATGTGGGGGGTCGTCACGAGCCCTGCGATATTTCAAAGTTGCCATATATCGAAGTTTCAACAGATTGCTTAATCTGATTTCTCCAGGAAAATCGTGATCCTCGGTTGAATAATTTATAGAAACTGAAATATGAAGAACTGTTTTGAAAAGACCCAAAATTGACTCTGATACTACCCTGTCGGAGATTAGTTGCCAATCCCGGCCAGAATTGATGAGATCCTGAGTACAGTCTTAGTGGTGATAACGGTGGGACCATGACAAATCCACCTTCAAGCGCGTAATCGAGGGGAAAATTCCCCGGACATTCATAGCAGGGTTATCTAGGTTAAAATGAGGGGTGTCAGTCCTTTTTGGTTGGAATTTCTGTGGGGTTGCTTTGTTACGTGTCATAAAGTGACTTATCTCGCCAAGAAGTAAGGATTTGAAGCGCAAAGGAAAAGAGTAAGTGTGTATTGTGGGGATGAATAAGTGAACTTTATCAACAGACAGATCAGTTGCCAGCAATATTCAATTATAGTGTGACCAAGCCACAAACAAGTGATCCAAATGCTCTCGCAAGTTTCATGCTCCCATCGGAAAATTAACCGCCCTAGAGGAGGTTTTGATTGTTTTCTACTTGGGGGAATACTTGAGTATAATGCGGCTCAGCACGTTGATGAATTTGGGAAGTCCGGACATTACGATTAGGAAGTCCGGCCCTTTACTTTGGGGAATCCGATCATTGGACTCAGGGTTTCTTTCGTTTTGTTATTTTGAGGCTACAGTGGCTGAAAACTCTAATTATGAGTATGCGCTTGAAGTTAACCAACTTCCAGTTACTTCAGTTAATTAGGCAATGCATCCATTTGCCACACCTGGCTAATCGGATAAATTTGCTTGAAATGTGCCAATAACATTATTGACGTAGTTCATGGATGATTTCATTTAATGTTCACCATGCTACACGTTCCTTGCCTGAAAGGAGTATCGATGGTTTCTGTATGAATAAGTTGGGTAACATCACGAAGCTAGAACTTACAGCAACCAACTTGAAAAATTATCGACTTCGAGCTAGAAATAATCATTATATGCTTTCAATTTCACTCAATCATCTGCAATCATCACAATTTCCTACTTTGAACATGTGCGGCAAGGTCAATGGCGAAAATTCCGTTTGAAATTTGAAGATTAGTGAGCCATTTGAAACTCTCATTACCGTAAGGCAAGCACCATTTAGCAGCACTTCATATTGAAAGTAAAGCAGTTCAAGTTCGCAACTGCTTAGGACATTAGCAGCACGGCTGATGTAGTCATCCTCATTGCTGAGGACCATTCCCTACGTAACACCATCAGACGAATAGATATCTGCGATAAAATCCCACCCTTGGTCAGTTTTATAAGTAAACAAAATTACAATTTTGTCTACCTTCTCGGTGAACATATAGTCATTGATTTAATTGTCCCTGGTTATGTACCTATTCTTAATTTCGACTACACGGTATAAGACATCGAAGTTTCCAAAACAAAAACGACAAAACTTCCCATCCATTCTCGAAAATCCAAAATCTAACCACGAGAACGTGGAAGAGAGCACAATATAAATTTTTAGATTTCAAAATTTCAATCATCTCCTTAGTTTACAAGTTGAAATGTCAAAATCTCACCAGGTCCCTGTCCGAGGCGCGGCCATTTTCGCGATCCGATCTAGAAGATCGAGAACATTTCAACTACAAGCAAAGTCTACAATATCCCTGCACCAGAAACAGAGATATCGAGTCTCGTGATTGGTCGCATTGAAAAAATCCTTCAAGTAACCTCGAATTACCATGAACTTCGAGGAAAAAGAAGATAACGACGGTGTACGGCTCACATGGAACAATGTTCCAAAGTCCAAGCTTCAAAACCACCGGAACATTGCTCCATTGGCTGCTCTTTACACTCCTCTCAATAACAAGCTGTCAGTGACATGCTTAGATGTGTCCCAGATGATGAGATGTCGTCAGTGTAAGGCATTTGTCAATCCATTTGTCACCATCAACCAGCAGACATCAGATATTTGGTACTGTCAGTTTTGTACTTTTGGAAACCGCTTAACGTTAGCGGAGGATGGCTCGTTTCCAGTGTCTATGCAGCCTGAACACTCTACAGTGGAGTATACCACGGGAAGAACGGCGAAGCTCCCCCCAATCTTCTTATACGTGGTGGATACTTGTTTTGAAGGAGATGATATAGAGGATGCATTTCTGTCGCTTCGGGACCTGTTGATTCTGTCACTTTCTTTGCTTCCTTCCAACTCTATGGTGGGAATGGTCAGTTTTGGTAAGCATGTACAGTTGCACGATTTGTCCATGCCTAACCGGAGTTACACGTTCAATGGTGAAAAAGATTACACTTTGCCTGACGTACAAAAGATTTTAGGACTCAACTCGACCGGTTTGGGAACTGCTCAAACTGCTTCTTTGAGTTCCATAGCACAAAAATTCCTTCAGCCCGTAGACTTGGCCGAGTACCAAATGAGTTCCATTATCGAGAACATTGTCACAAATACTTTTCCTCACAGCACCAGAGATCGGTCTGAGAGAGCAACAGGCTGCTCGCTCAACATTGCAGCATTAACTCTTCAGGCTATTTTAGGAAAATCTGTTTCTGCTGGTGGTCACGTCATGTGCTTTGTGGGAGGAGCTGCCACTTATGGCCCTGGAAAAATTGTGGGAATGCCATTCAAGGAACCAATTCGGTCCCATCACGACATTGACAAGGCAAATGTGGCACAATTACCGAACATTTCTAACGGAAGCGTTGCCAAGGTCGACACACTGCTCTTTAAACAGGCAAAAATATTCTACGAAAAGGTAGCCAAGGTGCTAGTGAGCATCGGAATCAGTTGTGATTTCTTCGTTGGCTCCTACGACCAGGTGGGGCTCTACGAGATGGAAGAAGTTGGGGTCAAGACTGGAGGAGTGGTAGTGATGTGCGATTCCTTCAGTACTGCCATGTTTAGGCAAAGTTTTTTCAAATTCTTGCGTAAAGAATCGTCAGATGCCGACGGTTACCTTGATATGGGCTTCAATGCCACTTTAGAATGTCATGTAACCAAAGACTTGCAGATCCAAGGTTTAGTGGGCCATGCAACTGCTTTACCGATGCGTAAAGACAAGGCAGTTGAAGCAACTGTCTCATCGCTAAGTATTGGAGAGGGAAATACAAATGCATGGAAGTTGTGCAGTGTGAATCCCCAGTCCACTTATGCTATCTATTTCGATAAATTGGATTCCCCACTGATTGGATATGCGTTTGTGCAATTCACTTTTCATTATGAGCATCCAAGCGGTGAAATGCGTTTGAGGATCACCACTGTGCCTCTTGCAGTTATCGCTGATTCAGATAACCACAATTTGGAGATCGGATTCGACCAGGAAGCGGCTCTTGTCGCCATCGCACGTAATGCCATTGACAAATTGCAATCGAACGTGTTCAGCACTAAAAAGTCTACCTATGATCATTCAGATGTTGTCAAGCACTTGGACAGACAGCTCATTGATTTCTGCTCGCGATTCGCTGTGTTCAATCGTGGCAACTTGTCGTCATTCAGATTGTCAAGTAGCTATGCCATGTTGCCTCAGTTCATGTATCACTTGCGCAGATCGCCATTCATTCGGGTTTTCAATAACTCACCCGATGAAACCAGCTACGTGAGACACGTTCTCATGCACGAGGATGTGACAAACGCCCTCATTATGATCCAGCCTTCGCTTCTCTCGTACGACATTGATACTTTTGGAACGGAGGACGAAAATGGAGAAATAAACGAAGACCCCGAACCAGTGCTCCTAGACTCCATGTCGTTAGGTCCCACCAAGATCTTGCTTTTGGACACATTCTTCCATATCTTGATTTATCATGGTTCAACCATTGCCGAGTGGAGAAAATTGAACTACCACAACATGGAAGGTTACGAACACTTCAAAGAATTTTTGGAGGCACCTAAAAGAGAAGCCATGGAAATCCTCATGGATAGATTCCCATTGCCCCGTTTCATTGATACTGATGAAGGAGGATCACAAGCCAGATTTCTCATGGCCAAGTTGAACCCATCTACAAGTTACGCGTCTAACCCCAACCACTTGTACGGCAATCAGCTCGACGTTCTTACCGATGACACCAATCTCCAGTCATTTATGGACCTGATCCAGCGCATCGTAGTCGGAAAGAAGTGACGGCATTACATCCACACACCGAGTGAGAATTACTAATATAGAACATGGTCCAGGCAGAATGAGCCCCAAAATGAGGGGTCTCTGTAAATATGATTATGCACCCTGTCATTACTCAAGTATAATCCCCGCCTAATATGGCATTTACCCCATCTTTTTTTTTTCTGTATTGCCTTGTGCAAACACTGCCCTATATATAGTGCTTCTTGGACCTACCAAACTTTTATACAATTGTACTGCAGAATTGTACTGCAGAGATCCAGGCCCCAGTGGTGAATAATTCCCATCTTTACATCTGCTACTTCTTCCCCATCCAGTGTCTATATGAAGAGAAAACATGACTGTCCATCCAGCTCCGTGGTTAAGCACTATGATATAACCATCGACTATGTCGACCAGCCAACCAAAAAAGATCGGAATTCCACAGTTCGACTCCCAGCAGCCTTTCTTCAAAATGAACTGTGGATGCTAGACAAGTGGGTTCTTATGGCGCTCCAGTCGGTGATAGACGGCAGTTGCGCCGACAAAACATGCATGGAAACTGACAATATCAACCATCTCAACTTTCTCGTATTTCTTGATGCTCAAGGCAAGGAATACATCACTGATATACGTGACATGTTTCCAAACACCTTCGACCTGCTAGTGTTTGTTTCGCTGAATATCAACGCTGAAAACTTTGATACTCTGCGAATTCACTGCTCCAGTACAGAAAAATGCAAGGAACTAGCACTGTATTTTAATATTTTGGACCCTCTTGGTGGTGGCACCTATCCGCTCAACTATTTGATAGTCACAGATTCAGATCTGTTGGTAAGGTGTAAGTTACCTCTTCGTATTGGATGGCATTATGGGCCCCACCAGAGGTTTGGCGTGAGTCTTTCGGAGTTGCAAGGACTTATCGAGGAGTATTTGGAGTTTTTCACTCTCAACAGGTTCAGCATCGCGTTTTAATGAGTAATGATTATGGATAATGGCTTTTCTTTGGTAATGTACATCTTAGTGTAGAATCCTCACTGTAGGAGCGCCAACTTCTGTTGTTCCAACTCCTTGTACTCGTTTCTCTGTTTCTCGATCTCATCTTTGACTTTGGCAATATACACATCCATACGGGCAATTTCGTCGGATTCGTCGGTCCGAAGGAACTCCTGGTCTCTCTTCTCGGGATCGGTGAGTTTATATGGAAGCAAGTTCAGCGGTTTGGATGTGAGAATCTCGAAAACTGCCTCGGTTGGTTCCTGAAACACCAACTCGTCGAAAAGCACAGAGTAAACCTCACCATTCTCTCGTGGCGGTGCCTGTGGATTGTACGGATGAAGTTTCAACGCATGGAATATCTGGAAATTCTTCTCATTGATTCCCAACTCAGAGCCACCATGAAAATGGATCTTGATGATGATCTCAAATTCTCCCCAACCTGTCTCCGTCACTTGGTATGGCGGTTGCTCAACAGACCGCACCGGGGTATCGTAAGTTTCATGGAGTTTGAAAGTAACTCGCTTTATGAGTGGTGTCAAATCAATGTTTCCAAGTACTGGCTTCAAAAAGACCGTCCATTCATGGGTATGGTCTGGTGGAGTAGTTTCTGTGCGTTTTTCGGGACTCAAGCGCTTAGCACTATTTCCGTATAGAATAGGAACGGAGATGGACACATTTTTGATTCTTTTGGACATTTTCTCTAAACTTCACAGAGGCTGTAACTAAATGAAAGAGTGTTGATAATTGCATGCTACTTCAATATTTCTACATTAATATTGTGTGCACACCAAAGCTTGGAGTCTACAATTATTCAAATAATGGCCGGAATGCACCTTACATGACGACTTTCATATTTATTGTGGAACAAGCGGTTTCCATTCTGCCATGGCTCTTCCAGGTGTATCCTTTGGAGTGGTCGAAGCTGTACGTGATGGTGGAGGGGTAGGTCTGGACGAAGCCTCTGGCTCCGCCGACGCCGGTCTTGGAGCTGAAGTAGCCGGCATGTCCCATTTGGCTGCTGTAAGAGCCAGTGGTTTAGCAGGCTTAAGTGGCTTCAACGGAGATGAATGTGGTTTTGATTCTCCAACAGGTGACGAATTTCTTGGAGTTGAGGAATTGCTTGGAACCAAAGGCGCAGAGTTGAATGCAAAGTTGTGTCCAGGAATCTTTCGAGATGGTGGTGGAGGAGGTGGTGTAACAGAAGTCGCCAGGCTCTGACTTGAGCTCAACTCCAAGGATTGATTCTGAAATTGTACAGGAACTGGGGGAAGCTGTCGTGGGAGTTTAGCTCCATTGGATTGGCTGGAAATGTTTCCACTAGAACTGTTGCTTGAAGTAAACGTCTTCCGACTCATTGGCGGAGGTGGCACTCGTCTAGGAGTAGTGTTTACTGTGGAAACAGTTGAGCGACGGGGCGGAAGTCTAGGGGAAGGTTCGTCGAGAAGATTCAATTCTGATAAAGCTTCGGAGCTAAAGGATGATCCTGGTGAGGTTACCGATCCTGAAGTATCACTTCCATTATTGAAGTCAATCAAGCTGGTCGACTCCCCGTTTTCTGCTTTATAAGTTCTGTAAAATCGTCCCGCTAAAGCAAACTTTTTCTTCTCGTCCACAAATTTTACTTTGCTCTTAAAGGTAGCATAGACTGGCTTGTGATCACTCACAAAAATGTCCATCACTGCATTGTAGTTGAGCTGATGCAAACTCTTGGGGTCCAGCGATCGGTAAAGTACTCGATCAGTCCACGATGGCACTCTCTGCTTTTCGGACGTATCGTAATCCGAAGTTCCTTTGTCAAATTTGTACGTCGGATAGAACTTGACCGGATTTTCTTTGAACCCGTAGAATGAACCACCCTTCAGGCGCATTTCATTCTTTAACTGGTCCACCTCTATCAACTCATCAAATGCTCCGCTTTCTACCAAGCTTCTGCATTGGTCGTTGGGAATATTGATTCGATAGTTCAAATCACCAAACCAAATGATATGATCGTGGTCACTTATGGTGTAGCTGCGAGGGAAAGTTAAACCTTGCATGATCGATGTGTAGTCGTTGTGTCTCTCAACAGTAGCGTTGACTCCAGCAGCCAAATGTGAAGTAATGAATGCAAAAGTCGTCGACCCAAAATCAAAACGAACAGCACATGCTCCCTTGTTGGCAGTAATTCCACCCAATCCAGTTTTCTTGGAGGATCCAGCCACTTGGGTTACCTTGTCGATCTGTGAGCTCTTGACAAAAAAGAAAACAGCCATTGAGGCAATAGCTTCTGTCCGGAGAAGCAAGTATTTTTCTTGCTGAGAATTGAGCTGCCTTTCTAGCAAGGCGGCCCATTGTCCTGGTTTGGAAGTATCTGATGCAAGAATAGATCCCGCGTTCAACTCGATCAACTCTTGCAATCCAATAGCATAGATATCAGCACAACCATGAGTGGAATTCTCTGGAGGAAATAGAAAGTTCACAAGATCGATGTGAGGTCCTGGTGTTGCTGCATTAACATTGAAAGTTCCAACAAAGATTGAAATCTCCTTTCGCGTAGTATACTCACTTTCGACCCTTCTGAGCTGTTCAGTAACATACTCATTACTAGGGTCATAGATCTTCACAGGAACGGATAAACGGCCCGATTTACCTAGTAACAAATCAATCGTTGATTGCTTCTTCAGGTCAACAAAGGTATTCTGATACATACGAGAAACCGACTTCGTGACATCGGAGAGTGCTCCGGCGAGGTTCATCTTTCCCGATCTAGAGAAAGAAGACTTCAATGCATTCGTACCAGTGTAAATTTGTGAGATAGCATCTCCATTGTCCGCCCACAAGGTGTTGTGCCTAGAGAGGATTTCCTCCAGTCTGAACCGGTCTCTTGGCAGATTACTATGAGTCAACGATTGGTTCTTGATAATATGCTCCATAACACATTGGCAGATCACCTGCTCAATCAAATTGGTTCTGTCCAAGCAATCAAGACAATTAACTCGGAACACACCATCTTGTCTTGTGACTACCTCGTTTTGTTCGACATCAAAGTTGAACCATCCAAATGTCTCTAAAGAATCGTAAAGCTGAGGCAAAATTTTCGAAGCTCCTGCGAAACCACCACTCAGCTGCTTTGTTTCAGCGTGGAAGTCGAAGGCACTATAAGAAACTCCGTCCTTATGATCAGAGTGGGAAAGTAAATCTTCGTATCTGCGCAGAACCTCAACTTCTTGAGTTTTCGTCTTGGAGAGAAGATTTACAATATGACACACACCGTACCTCTGACAAATCTCGTCAAAATGCTTGTCAAAAGATGCTTGTGTAGCTCCTTGTGATCTGGTGATGGTGATCTTTGGGTTAATTAAAGCAGAGTCCTGTTCCCAAAATGCGGGAACAGATCCACGAATCTGTGTGAATGAGAACACTTGCTGCATCGAGATATTGTTGTATATGAACTCTGTCTCGACGAAATTAGCCACATTGCCATCGTCGTCTATTCCTCGAGCATTGAATCTTGTTCCTGCTCGTTTCCATGACTGCTTTGACACAATAGTGATGGTGTCGCCTCTAGAGCCTAAGCTCATAGACTTGGCAAATCCTCGAATAACAGTAGTCATGAATCTGTTTTTGTTCAAAGTATCCACTGCAAATGGATCCAAGGTGCTTCTGAATTTGATCAACTCCTCCATTAGGTAAGAGTTCCACATGTATTGTTCCTGGTAATGCTGTAAGTTGATATGAGGCACATCGTCTGAGACAGAGCCTTCACCCAATTTGGCTTTGTCAATGCCTCTGTTCTGCAATAGAGATGTCAAATCAAAGTCGTTGGAGAAGTAGAATGATCCATTCGAGAGCAACTTCTTCAACTCGAAGCATGGATGCGGAGCTCGAGGAAGATTGGGGTCAAAGTCCTCTGGATCCGCACTTGTTTCTACCGGCATGCCGTTTGAATCCAAATTAACGTAGTCCCAGTCGTTGGAGGTCAAAGAGATAAATTCCACAGCGAAGATTTTATTGATGGACTCGTATGCCACTGGAAATGCCACGTCCGTCATGGCACCGGTAATGACAGCCAAATACGTCAGATTGGCGACATTGATGAGTCCCAAGCATCCATGTATCTCTCTGTTTATAAGCAACTTGTACTTCTGAGAAGCAGAAATGTGTGAGTTGGGTTCAATCTCCAACGAAACTGGCGCCGAAGCTGTAGAATCTGGAGATTGCTCCGGTTGACGGAACGTAAGCGCATGTGTGTCTGAAACCACAGCAATGGTTCGAGGCTCCTCGCAAAGATAGACCTTCATGATGTGGTAGAGAGACGATTAACTGAATCAATCCCAGAGTATGTTTGTCGAGACACCCAGACACCTTAAGTCCCAGAATCAAGTTGGAAGTCGTTGCAAGGATGAAGATTTTAAAAACAAACTTAGTATATAAAGCGGAATTTCAAAAATAATAACTTTTTCTTATTATCCACAATTTCATTCCTCGACCGCCGTTATACGTTCCAAGCAACACTAACAATACCTCTTGTGACTTTATGGCAGCTTACACCCGTGCACCTTGCACCATGGCCTCCATAGCAAAAAAACTTCGACAATCGAAGTCGCTTTCATATACTTATTCACAATGGCTACCAACTACCAGCTTACATTGTCCGACGAGTCCAAGGAGAGAATTTTGAAGCTCATGGAATGGTCTAGAACCGCTGCCCACTACGGTTTCATTCCTTTCATTTTGTACTTGGGCTGGAACGCTACTCCAAACAAGCCAAACTTGTTCAACTTGTTGAGCCCCTTCCCTTCTGCCTAAACATGTACATAGAAATATAAATTGGAGATGAAATAGTGTAGATCTGCGATTGATGAGGTTTCAATCTTGTTTTTTATGAGTTGCCGGTTCCAATGGCAGTTTATGAAACCAAGAATTAAAGAAAAATGCTTTTGCCTAACTGAGTGGAAGTTTTGGAGAATTTGACTCACATCTACAAACTGTCCCCTTATTAGAGTAGTCCTCTTTTTCCGAATTCATTGACTTCATTTTCGTCCCATGATAATGGACTTCACTCTCATACTCATCTACACAGAAATCGTTCGCATCTTTCTCCACACTAAAATGTCCGATCCATGGTCACGAAGACAGATCGAGATCGTGTCGGGACTTTCGGCAGGCTTCGCCACCACCATAATAACCCATCCACTTGATCTTATAAAGGTGAGGCTTCAGCTCTCGACGTCGCCATCATCTCGGCCATTTGACTCACTCCGAAACGTCATCTCTGGCATAGTCCAAGATGCCCGGGCCGCAAGATCGGCCGCAATTCTACAAAGACCCCAAATATACTATCTCTTTCAGCAGTGCTACCGGGGAGTTGGTCCGAACTTGGTTGGAAACGTTTCTGCATGGGGTCTCTACTTTGCACTTTACTCTGAGTTCAAGCAGTTCATGCCAACTGCTGATGGAACCACAAAGTACTTCACGGCATCTACACTCGCTGGAATATCGACGTCTGTCTTAACAAACCCGATCTGGGTGGTGAAGACACGTATGTTGAGTACGTCCAATAGAGCCACTCACTCATACAAGTCTGCATTGGATGGAATCCGGCTGATCTACCATAAGGAGGGAATCGCAACATTTTGGAGAGGAACATTACCTTCGTTGTTTTCAGTTTTCCAGGCCAGTTTGCATTTCACCTTCTATGACCATGCGAAGAACTACTTGATGGAGAAACTGAACTCCACGAGCCTTTCCACCTTGCAATACATATATGCATCAGTAGCATCCAAGACACTTAGCATGGCAATCTGGTATCCAACGCAAGTTGTTCGGTCAAGACTTCAGAGCTATAATTTTGATGGGGAACGAAGAAGCTTGGTACTGGTAATAACGCAGATCTACAAGAATGAACGTGGCTGGAGAGGATTCTACCGTGGGCTTGGTGCCAATATTGTCAGGGTGCTTCCCTCGACCATCATCACGTTTGTTTCGTACGAAACTACCAAAAGTTATTTATCGGAGGCATAGAAGAACATTCAATAGACTTGGGTAGACGTATAGTGTTCACTTAGAAGATACCCGCTTTCTTTTTTATCTCGATTCATTTTAAATGTTTCTTTTCTTTTAAGAAAGAATTGGTAGGGCCCTTCCAATTCTTTTTCATTTTACAATGTAGTTTTTCCTCTCTTATTGTATTTCCATTTCTCTTCACGCTCTATACTCTACACTCTGTTTTTATCGCGTTCTATACATAACGTGTACTACTTCATCATGGAAGCAGAATCCCAAGAATCGAAGAGGAGAAAGATCCACGTCGAGGAAGGTTCAAAAATAGTCTCCTCGGAATTAGATTCTATTTCACCGAATATCAAGGAGGGACCAGAAAGTCCAAATGGATCCAGCATTGAAGCCAAACAACAAGGTACTACTGAACTAAAAAGTGAACCAGCAACAGAGACAGAGAAACCAACAAAAGCTGTAAGTGAGTCAGGAGAATGGATTCCTAAGTCCATCTCTTCTATCGCTGATATGTACAGCTTTGATTCCTCGACATACCATTCACCAATTCCAACTTCCATAACGAAAAACCTAAAAGAGCCTGTCGTTCTTGGAGTTGATGAGGCAGGGAGAGGCCCTGTGCTTGGACCTATGGTGTACGGAATATCATACTGTTTAAAAGAGTACCAACAGCATCTCAAAAAGAAGTATGGTTTTGCAGATTCTAAGACGTTGAAAGACTCCACGCGTCAGGATTTATTCAAGTTGATTGACCAGGAAAACCACGATCTCTACGATAACGTCGGGTGGGCAACATGCACCATGACGGCCAAAGACATCTCCAATGGAATGCTCCGAAGCGTGTTGGGAGCAGGTTCGTATAACCTTAATGAACAGGCACATGACACAACCATCCAACTAATAAAGGACACGATTGCCAGCGGAGTGAATGTGCGTGAAGTATTTGTGGATACGGTGGGACCTCCAGTGACTTACCAAGCTAAGCTCCAAAAGATATTTCCTGATGTGGACATCACCGTAGCGAAAAAGGCTGATAGTATCTATCCAATTGTAAGTACGGCATCTGTGGTTGCCAAAGTGACCAGAGATTTGAATTTGCAATGGTATAATCAAAACCACGAGACCCTCCGGGGCCACCGCATTGGGTCCGGTTACCCTTCGGATCCTAACACGAGTAAATGGCTCACTGGCAATGTGGATAAGGTGTTTGGATGGAGTCATGGCCTTGTAAGATTTCTGTGGCAGACAGCTAAGGACGCTTTGGAAAGGAACAAGGGTGTAAAGGTGATCTACGAGGATGAGTGTGTGAATGATGGAGGTTATGGAGATATTGGGGACATGTTCGGAAAGAAGAGCAACTTTGTTGTGGACGCGCTGTTTTACGGGCGTGAGGCGGACATTTGAGGGGATAACTCCCACTGATTGGTGAGAGTCGTTTGGAGAGTAACGTCGACTATGTCAGCTAGCAGAGTCATTAATCATTGCTTGTAGACCAGTGTCTAGACCAGTCAAAAACACCGTTTCTAGAAAGAACAAAACATACTTCCATAGTCAACGGTACAATAGAGCAAACCATCACCAACCGCTAATGCTCTATGATACTAGATACATGTTCAATATTTTTTTTCATCTTTACTACTAATCGATCACTCAACATTGAAGTAGTGGCTATAATTCTCTTTCATCGTTTTTTAAATGAGCCCAACATCTTCCATCATAACAAGCATTCTCGACTGGCTCTTTATAATTCGACTGTCAACCTCCAACTTTATGACCTCTGTTGATTTTATGTTCAATACACGAAGTAATCACTTTTTTTCCGCCTACGTAGAATGTTAACCCCCTTTCCATCTCCATATCTATCAAGACCTACAAAATGGCTGCGAAATTCAACAATGCGACTTCTTGACAGATCTGTCAACCATACACAGAAACAAAACACATATTCCTATTTTCCGAATACTTCCTCCATATTAAATTTCAATAAATTCCCCAAACACATCTGATACTCCGAATCGTCAAATCTTCAGAATTCAATATCCACCTCGCCGTGGACTAAATAATCTCAAATCACCCTCTCCCATATCTTTCCTTCCTTCTACCAAGACAACGCACCCGTGCCTCTAGCCGACCCGGACATTCATCCCCGAGCAACCGGAACACATCCATGCGATGGTCCAAGTTCCTGTACAACAAGATACTCCAACTAATCCAAAAAAACTCAACCATCACTTCTTCCTCACCATGTCTGCCTTGTTTGCACACAGAGCTGCCGTTGCCTTCCGTGCGGTGGGCGCTGCTTCTTCCAGAACCTATCTCGCCTCGTCTTTCTCGTTGCAGATGGCTAGACTTTACTCGTCTGGAAAGTTCCCTCCTCATACTGTGATCCAGATGCCTGCATTGTCTCCTACCATGACCCAGGGTAACATCGCTGCGTGGTCCAAGAGCGTTGGTGACGAGTTGGCCCCTGGTGAGCCAATTGCCGAGATCGAGACTGACAAGGCCACCATGGACTTTGAGTTCCAGGAAGAGGGCTACTTGGCCAAGATCTTGTTGGACGCTGGCTCCAACGACGTGCCTGTCGGTAAGCCAATTGCCGTGTACGTCGAGGACAAGGGTGATGTGGACGCTTTCGCTGAGTTTACCGCCGCTGACGCCGGTGAGGGTGCTGCTGCTCCAGCTGCTGAGGCTGAGAAGCCAAAGGAGGAACCAAAGGAGGAGGCCAAGGAGGAGTCCAAGGCTGCTCCAGCCAAAGAGACCAAGAAGGAGTCTTCTGCTTCATCGTCTGCTCCTTCTGGCAGAATCTTTGCCTCTCCATTGGCCAAGACCATTGCTTTGGACAGAGGTATTTCCTTGAAGAACATCAAGGGTACTGGTCCAAAAGGTAGAATTGTTGCTGCCGATGTCGAGAACTACAAGGCACCAGAGGCTGCCGCACCCGCACCAGCTGCTGCCGTCAGCGCTGAGGCCACCTACGAGGATATTCCAATCACTGGAATGAGAAAGACCATTGCATCCAGATTGTTGCAATCCACCCAGCAGTCTCCTTCGTACATTGTCCAGTCGCAGATCAGCGTGTCCAAGTTGTTGAAGTTGCGTCAATCGCTCAACTCCACCGCTGACGGCAGATACAAGTTGTCTGTCAACGACATGTTGGTGAAGGCCATTGCCTTGGCTTCCTTGAGAGTGCCAGAGGCCAACTCTGCTTGGATGGCTGAGCAGGGTGTCATTAGACAGTACAACGTTGTTGATGTTTCTGTTGCCGTTGCTACCCCAACTGGTTTGATTACCCCAATTGTCAAGAACGCCCACGTCAAGGGCTTGGCTACAATCTCCAAGGAGATCAAGGACTTGGGTAAGAGAGCCAAGGAGGGCAAGTTGAACCCAGAAGAGTACCAGGGTGGTACCATCTGTATCTCCAACTTGGGTATGAACCCAGCCGTCACCGCCTTCACCTCCATCATCAACCCACCTCAGTCCACCATTGTTGCCATTGGTACCACCGACAAGAAGGCCGTCCCATCTTCTGTCAACGAGCAGGGCTTTGTGTTTGAGGACGTCATTACCATCACCGGTACTTTTGATCACAGAACCATTGATGGTGCCAAGGGTGGAGAATGGATCCGTGAGTTGAAGAAGGTCATTGAGAACCCATTGGAGTTCTTGATCTAAGCACACGCCATGTCCATAAAATAATGTACTTACTATAGAGCAACCTAGAGCGACTTAGAGGTGTAGGTGAGTAGAGCGATAGTCAAGTGGTAACTCAGGAATGAACCTCAAATAACGAAAAAGAAAAGGAGGACCGAAGAAAGTAGAAGTGGAAGAAGAAGGAAAGCCGAAGTAAGAAGTAGATAATTCGAGAAGTTATTAATATTGCCTAACTATTCTAATGCAGAATATTCAACCTCTCCTTGAGTTTCTTTCACCAGAAGTATTCACTACGTGCAAGGCTGGTCACTTCAACGGCATTTCCAGCCCATGCCATTGAAAATTGAAATGTACTAATTCGCAAATTCCGATGCTTCGCAATATTTATTCGTATTCAATTAATTTGTTCACCAACAGCCAAGTATTGAGGTGGTCTTCAGATCATCTTGTTATCTACCTCCTTCTCTTCGTTCTCAAAATACTCAGTAGTCTATCTGACCACTGGAACCTCCTGCACACAATATACTTACCTTCTAGAATTAATTCTTATCAACTCCCATGAAAACGTCACAATTTCTCGACCAATGCAAAATAAATTTAAAGTTGAACGCTCACTAATCCCATTTAAACCCCGGATTATTTTCTTAACTCCTCCAAACCCCAACCTTTAAAACATCCCCCATTCAATCAAGAGTCCGGCACACAAGCCGCACAATTCCCGCACCGTTCATTGGCTACCACTGCTTTTTCAACCACTCACCAATTTTAACCTAAAAAACACACCCATTTCTTTCTCAACATCACAATGATTCGTGGATTCCGCTTGGGAAGCGTCGCCGCTCGCCGTTTCGTGTCTACCGCAAACGCCTCCACTAAGTACACCACCTTATCCAACGGTGTCACCGTTGCTACTGAAGTCAACCCTCATGCTCACTCTGCCGCTGTGGGTGTTTTCTTTGGCGCTGGTTCCAGATCCGAGAACCCATACAGCAACGGTGTGGCCGCATTGACCACATCCGTGTTGGGCCGTGGTATCCAGAATGGCGTTCTTTTCTCTTCTGAGTCTACCAAGGAGATCAACGGTGTCATTGCCCACTCCACCAACGCCAACGCAACTGTAGCTGCTACTGAAGTGGCCAAAATTGTGTCTGCCGCTCCTGAGTTCATCGAAAAGGCCGACTTTGCTGACGCTAAGGCTGCTCAGTACGCCAAGGCTGTTGCTTTGGAAGCTGAACCCTCCAAGATGGTGTTGGAGCACTTGAATGCTTCCGCTTTCCAGGGCTACTCCTTGGGCTTGCCAACCTTGGGTACCACTGACTCCATCCCAGACTTGGAGAAGCTGGACTCGCTCCGTTTCTTAGAAAAGCACTTGGTTGGTTCCAACACTGTGGTGGCTGCTTCCGGTAACATTGAGCACGACGCCTTGGTCGATGCCTTGGAGGCTTCTTTGAAGATCTCCGAGGGCCACAAGCCTGCTGTTGCCCCAGCTTCGTTCCTCGGTTCTGAGGTGAGATTGAGAGATGACACCAACCCTAAGGCTTACGTTTCTATCGCTGTTCAGGGTGAGGGTGTTACTTCCCCAGCCTACTACGTGGCCAAGGTCGGTGCTGCTGTTTTCGGTGACTTCGACGCCAAGACCGCTCTCGCCAAATTCACATCTCCAAAGTTGGCTTCCATTGTCCAGGAATACCATATTGTTGACAAGTACACCCACTTCTCCACCTCGTACTCTGACACTGGTTTGTGGGGTTTCAACGCCGAGATCTCTAACATCGAGCAGATTGATGACTTTGTTCACTTCACTTTGAAGGAGTGGAACAGATTGACCGTCTCTATTACCGACGCCGAGGTGGCTAGAGCTAAGGCTGCCGTCAAGACCGAGATCTTGGCTTCCTTGAACTCTCCACAGGCTATTGTCTCTGACATTGGTTCTAAGGTCTTGTTGAACGGTTACAGAGCCTCTATCTCCCAGGCTTTGGAAGCCGTGGATGCTATCTCCACCAAGGATGTGAAGAACTGGGCTTCGGTCGCATTGTGGGACCAGGACATTGTTATCGCTGGTACCGGTTCCATCGAGGACTTGTTGGACTACAACAGATCCAGAAACGCTATGGCCATGATGAGATGGTAAGCGGTTCTAGAACTGTAAATTGCCTGCCCGGTATTCTAATTGCATCAACTATTCTAACGAATACAAAATATACAACTCGATCTCTTGTACATGTTAATTCATCGTTCCTATCAAATAATTCCACTCCGCTTGAGGCTTTGTTGAATAATCATGTCGGTGACTGCCGTCAATACAAACGACATTGACTTCGTATCAGTGGCGCATGTGCGGTGGATGTAGATTGGTTTCTGAGTTCTGTTTAAACCTAAAAGTCTGCTCTCGAAATAGTCTAGCACTGAATTTACATCCAAAGGATCCAGCTTATAATCCGGGAAATACTGAGCAATTGGAGACAGCGGGAGTTTCTTCTCAAGCAAATCGACCTTATTCAAAAACAAAATGAATGGGGTATTTTGAAACCACGTGGAGTTACAAATGGCCTCAAATAATTGAAACGACTCGTTCATGCGGTGCACTCGACCATCTTCGTAAAGCATCTGGTCATACTCCAGCACTGCCAATACAAATATGATAGCATCGATGTTCTCGAAGCAATGAATCCATTTTTTTCTCTCTGACCGTTGCCCACCCGCATCTAACACCTTTAGCGTGGTGTTATTGATTTCGAAGGTGCTCTCAGTAATTCCTGTGGTCTTGATGCGGCCCATGATGATATCTTGGTCTGAACTTCTGTACATTGGATTCTTAAACTTGTGGACATTGTCGAAGTAGTATGACACTGACAGCTCCAATTGGAAGTTATTGGACTGTTGGTAGCACTTTTTGATGCCAGAATCTTTAGTCCAAAGCATGGAGATAGCTTCAGCCTGTTCAGCTCGCGAGAACTTCTTAGCTTGTCCTTCCACACATACTTCTGATTTATCATTAAACTCGCACGAAAGGAGCAGCGTCATTTCGGGATCTATAGGGCCACGTTTCAGATCATATCCCACATAGTAGTCCCCAATCAATGACATCTCTCCAGGCTGGCAATCCTCGATTCCCTTTGTTTGCATGATGATCCGCTTGAACTTGACCAACGACAGATTTGGCTGATCACAATCAAGCGGAATACCAAGCTTTCGAGCATTGAAGATAAGGACTTTCATAGACTCAATCAAGTCAAACCAAATGACCTCAGTATATTGTCTACGTTCAAAGTCTGTAAATGAGTGCTTGTGCATAAGTCTCATTTGCTTGAGAACTGTGGACTTTCCAGACTCACCAGCCCCTAATAAGAACAATCGCATCTCTTTCTGTTCTTTCTTCTTTTTCTGGATAAGAGTCCGGTCAATAGCGTTGGACACTAATTTCTGGCTGAGATACAATTGGTCAGCATCCGATGCCATTGTACTACCTGCACAGCCCATGATAAGATTGGGATGTTGTGCTATAGTGCTAGGAACGAGTGCTAGAGTAGTAATCCAGATGTCATGGGGATTATAAGTCAATGTCCCACCGGGCTCTGCAGGCACCAGAAGTGCCGATTAGTTGCATGATCGGAGATCATTGAAAAATTAGTTTTTTCGAACTTAATCTTCATGCTTTGTATTGTGGGCCAAATATAACACTAAATGGCTTGTTTCAAGATTTTTTTAAGCCAAAATTCTCGAGTTGTAGTTGGTCAATTCCATGTTCAAGTATCCATTTGAAAGGGTCTATCAGTATCATCAATGAGACTAACTGCAGGTGTCCACTTCGGTCTACTGGCAAATCTGAAACATGTTTCAGAATGACGATCGTTTTGGTAAGGAGGAACATGATAGGAAGCAAAAGAACGGACATATCTTGACATTGTGATTAATAGTCTATTCAAAAATGCCAAAAAGGAAGTATCTCGCAAACGATGATGCCAATACTCTTGCGAACCCTTTATATTGACAGATGATAATTGCCACAAAATAGTATTTGCTTACCGTAATCCGTTTGCAAAAATGACATGAGGATGCTGCGAATTCCAAGCCAATGGACCACGGTAGATTGGACCAAGATGTGCACCACAGTTGACCCCTTGTCGAAAAGACAGGATGCTCAACTAATCTTTCGAGCTCTAGACAGTCCACACAATAATATTGTATAGTGTAATGACTAAACCAGCGAGGACTGCACTGTGCTTAAAGAAAGTAGCCAAATTCCACTTTTTGGAGAATCTTCTTACGATCCGCTTGGCCCTGTTGATCTCTTTCCATGCCTTATCCGAGGAACTGACAGACGTAAATGTGTAGTTAGACAAAGACACCACTGGTGCGGAATGCGAAGTGGAATGTGCTGCGTCGTCTTGTTCTTTCAAGAAGTTGGACACCTTCTGTGACATAGCAGGCGGACTATCCATTAGTATGGCACTTGTATTTTCGTCCCATGAGGGAAGAATAGAGTAGTTGTAGCGGCTGGATCGTTGCTTGATACTCCATGCCAATAGTATTAGGCCATTGGCTACAGCCATCAACACATATACGTAGACGTCCACGTACGGAACAGGCAAATAGCAGATATGAGTCTCATATTGAAATTGCGGAGCAAAAGAATATGAAAGAAGCTGAACGGCAGGATATTTGATTCCCATAGCCATACTAATGGACTTCACAGTGACTTCTCGAGCCTTTCCCGGGTGGACTACATCACAGTAGTCATGGTCGTCTCCAGAGAAAATGAGTGACGGTTGCACTTTTTGTAAGAGTTCATCGGTAACTTCCTGGCTGAGTGCCAGCTGGTATTGGTAGCCTGCGTTCTGGTAGAAGTTTTTACTCTCCCTAAGTGGCCCACATGGATGTTTCTCCACATCTCTACGCAAGGGAACATGTGAGAGGAGCACACGAGGCACCTTCGGTGGAGGAATCAACAGCAAGAACCGCGATGAGTCTGCGCTGATGTCGCTGTTGCCCGACAGTAAGGACGGAGTATCGAGCAGAACGAATTCTACTCCATTAATAGAGTGGATGACATTTGGTTGGCCAAAATGATTCAGAAACCGTTTTTGCAGCAAAGGTTTCACACCGTCACCGAATCCAACATCGTGGTTTCCAGGCAAATTCGTGAAAAAGTTTAATCCACGCACATACTTCTTGGGCCACCTGTTGAAGATACTTTCAAACCTTGCAAATTCCTTTTCGTAGTAAGCATCCTGCAGCAGCCGACCGTTATCCAAATAGTCGCCTAGGAAGATGATATAGTCTGGATGGAGCGAGTTGACCAACGCCTTGTAATTCTGCTTTAGGTACACATCCACGGTATGCTTGGAGAGCTTGAGTAATAGGTTGTTTCTACCAGGATATGTGTGGTTGTCGATTAGCTGTGGGTCCGCCACAAGTAAAACATTAGTCTGAGTGCCTAATCTTCTATCAGCAGTTCTCAGCGACTTTTTATTGGCGACCGTAGCACGGATGTTCGTGTTGGTATAGCCTGTAGTGGGCAACATTCCAGTCCACGAGCAACGATTGGCTGTAGATCTCGGCACCACATGTTCGAAGTAGATGAATGCTACACACCACACCGCGAGAAACAGAACTAATATATGGTGGCTGCTTCGAAGCTTGGGAATTAGTGGCATGCTAGTTGACGGAGAGATTCAATATTCAATGGAAGATGTTGGTGCAGGAGATCAATGGTTAATTCCAATCTGAGATGGGAAAGGATAATGGTAATGTAAAGAAAAATATCGGGAAAATTTACTTCGGTTTTTCATTACTAACTCATAGATATTTGCACGTTTCCATGTTTTAGTTAATTCTAGAAAATAGGTTATTTTTAAGGGTGATCAGTCAATTTTAAGCTTACATGTATATGCCTGTCCATTGATATAAATCGATCGCGTTTGTAGTGACAGGATCTGAGTTGCCAGAACAAGAATAATGAGATTATGACTTGTATGTTTTCCCGAAAGTTGCAATGAAATTCAATGATGAAGACTGTAATAAGCAACCTTTGGAATACATCTGATACTGTAGAGCAGCATTGGTATAGGTTAATATGGTTATGCTTCCATAGTTAAGCTTCCATAGTTAAGCTTCCATAGTTAAGCTTCCACAGTCAAACAGTCGTGTTTAAATTGTCATACTTAACTTTACACAGTTAAGCTGCCATAAATTAATTGAGATCAAACCACCAAACCTACGATTCCATAATCCACGGCCGCTTAATCCTCGCATCATCCGATCTAACTAGTGCATGCATTATTTAGTTTTTTTACGTCTTGTACTTCTTGTACATTTATAAGATCACCTGCGCACGTCGTATTCTCGTACCCACTACTCCAATGTCACTTGACGATTCGCCCATAGTGTGGGCCATTTGCACGATATTAGTCGTCGCCTTCGTATACAAGCTAATACTTGACCATACTCGTGATATTCCTCTCGAATACTTGGAACTGCAGAGCGTGGTGGATTCCACTAGAGAGAACAATGAGCTGGCCATCTACAAATCCACGAAACTAGACTACTCGTCGGGCCTTCGAGTAGGTCTTGGCATCCGTTATGACCACTATAAGCTTCGTAATGGCAACTTATGTGATGTGTGGGAAATCATGTTGCGATGCTTGAGAAGCGATGACCAACGAGTTATTAGGGTTGGCAAGAACACGGTGAAGGTCTCGCATTTGAACTTCCAGGTGGATAAGTTGGCCCAATTCTTGCATCATGTTGACGAGGTCTGCGTTGTATCGCTGAAATTCATTGCCAGTGCACCTGTATTAGCAATTACCATTGCGTGCTTTGTGTCAAATACAACGTTGCATGTTTATGGTGATGGTTTACTAGAACCAAAGGGAATGGTTGTGGAGGAAGAACATGGAGAATTCTACTTGTCTATTGGCACTAAAAAGACCCTGGTAACTTCAATTGTGGGTGAAGTCCGCGAGAAGACCACCTTTGAAAACGTCTACACTCCAAAAAAGGACAAAGGAATCGCCTTGAGAGTCACTTCTCCCATCAACGCGAGGGTCTCAGCAACCACAAACTTCACCCAGACCAATTTGGTATCGGCTGCAGCCAGCTGTGTCAAGCACTTACCTCCAAATCTCGAGCTTGGCGAGAAGGACCGCGTCGCAATCATCCAGAGTGTAATCAGTAGCGAGAACATCTCCAGTTCGGTGGTCAAGATGCTCACAGCTTTTATTTCTCAAGCCGAGCTCTCACTCAGTTGGATAGATCAATCCACCGATGAGATCATGCTGTGGAATCCGACAATTGTATGTGGAAGTGTTGATTTTATTCAATCCCTAGTTAGTCCACCATTAGGAGTGGAAAAGTTGCTCTACTACCACCGGTTATTTGCTCTTTCGCGTCTCAAGTTCAGTCTGTTCACGACATTCAAGAAGTACCCCGCGTTGCGGTTGGTTTTCGCTCACAGATCACTCAAGTCCAGACCATACACCAACTGGAACACCGTCAGAGCATCATTATGTGTTCAAGTGGTGGAAGAGTTGGGCTACTTCAACGTAGCTGGTCCAATGATCGTCTCTGATGTGTATGACTACCGGCAATTTCCCGAGTCGGTCACCAGACAGATTTCTGCGTGTGGCACAGTTGTCCAGGCAAACGAGGCCAAACTTGTCAATTACAACGGCGTGGATCCTGGTGATCTCTGTATCCGTGGATACAACATTGGAAAAGCCACCACAACCATGGCCAATGTGGGAGAGAAGGTGATTCGCCCCGATTCGAACGGCTTTTATACATTTCCTGTGGAAGCACGTTGGGGAACTGATGGGTGTTTGTATATAATGCTGTCCTAACAATACATGGTAGATTTAACAAATGGATGGGAAACATAATTCGAGGTTAACTAGGGAGTAGAAGCCTTCTCTTTGCTTTCGACAGGATCAGTCACTTGTTCTTGGGGGACTTCTTGAGCATCTCCCTGACCATTCTTCAACTCCCCATCATAAAAACTGCTCCACAATCTGCCCACATTCTCAAACTCCTTGCCAACCTGAATGGACTCATTAAGCGACCGATTAAGGGTGTCCAAATTGGCTACTACCGAGTCCATGGCAGCAGCAATTTCCTGCACGAGGTAATCTCTTTGTTTTTCAAACGTGTTGGACATGATTGCAGGAATAAAAGTGGTAGTTACAACGCGAAATGTGTAGATAGTGGAATCTAACTGTAACTACGCACTGAGACTAATGTCGTAAAATCTTAGACGAGAATATGGAGTAATTTCGGGAGGGGATGTCAAGAAAGAAGATATTATTCTTATTGCTAATTACTGAGATGCCGTGTCATCTAATGCCGCGCAAATGTTATCTAAACTCTGAAGGAGATGGTTTCCAGTCAAGGTAGTTACTATTCGCTTTGGGTCAAGACGATTAAGACTAACAATTGTTCACAATGATGAATCATGAAAAAAAAAAAAAAACCGACTGTACGCGACAATCCTACGATCTTTGATCTAGCCCCTCAACGCCAGTGAAGTATAAATTGGCTCGTGTGATTATGATTGTATTAAATTCTCCCCATTTGAGAATACGTGGTTGAGCATCGTCTAGTTATGATGCAGGAATAACAAGATAAACCCGTACACCGGAAATATTTAACGAGTTTTTGTGAGTAGATTTTTTTTCTTCATCATTATTCCTCCAGGTAATTTACATTGAGCGGTCATGCCGGCAAGTCCCTAGTGTGAACGTACTCTCTCGCCTGGTATAGCGACCAAGTGACAGTTCAGTCAGAGCATCTTTCTGTGAGGCTTCGACTCTACGTTTACTTGAACATATGTAGAGCTTTTCTTCGAAAGGACAAGATCTAGGTTCGACAAGGAGCAAAGAGTAGAAAAACGATAGAGAAGAGAAAAAAGGAACCCCAAGTGGATGTGAAAAAAAAAAAAAAGATCTCCAATAACCCTAAGATGTCAAGGGTCCGGATAAACTACAATCTGATTCAACCAACCCAAGGAACAATCAAAGTAAATCTTTTGTACCGAAATTTAACCCTCATACCCGAGAATCAATCCAAACGAATCACACAATAGCAGCCCGTCTAGATTACCAATTCCAGCAATTACAAATGCATTTTTAGTTGTGTCATATGCTCCTTCCAGCCCCTAAGGTGCAATGGCTAATCCCAGATCTGGACAAAAAAAATTTGCTACCATCCACCCATGCAACACATTAGCCTTTCAGGCCATTTTCCGGTTTAACCGACTCTACATACATTAGCAATATCTGCAACGAATCTTTAACGCCATCGTCAAATCAACTCAGCCTCAAACCTAGCCTCACCTGGAGCCCAGCAACATTGCAAATCTTGATGCAAAAATTTTCATTCCAAACTTATTCCGTTGTTACTAATGCGCAATGTCCTACATTGATCAGTGATCGGTTATAGTTCTGGTACAAACTACAGGCCAAGGTTGGAAGTGCCGGAACCCCGACTAAGCCTGCGCGATGGCAGACGTCGGAAGCCCTATTGACCGCACCAATAGCAGAACGGTGGTTGCCGCGGCAGCACCACTACCAAATAGAGATAAGGGTGAATTAGACAGACCTAATAGAAAGTAGGAAAAGCAAACGGGAAGGCTGGAAGAGGCGGCGGAAAAGGCTAAGCACGCAAGGCGAGAATCAAAAAAATAGACAAACAGAAAAGGAAGCTAAGAAAACCTTCAGAGTATTTTGAAGAACAGAGAGAAGCAAAGTGAAATATGAAGGAATACGAAGGATACCTGAATGGAAACGAAATCGACAAAAAAAAAAAAAAAAAAAAAAAAAATTGACATACTCTCAAGGCAGAAAACAACAAATGAAAAAAGGGAATAATTCAGAGGCAAAAACAACAGAAGAAAAAAAAAAAAACGAATGTGCAACCAAAACACTTCACTACGAAATCACAAACTCAACCGCCACTTGACAAAATGGAGGGGATTGGGATGAAACATGGATATTACGGAATGTCGTACCCTTCGATGTTTCATAAAGTGTGCGTGACGGAATTGGCTTCTTCCTAGCGCGGATGCTCCCTGCTCATAGTATGCGCATTAGCAGGCCAGGACGCCATCTAAGAGGTTAGTAATAAAACCTGGGAATAAGTAATAAGCACCAGCGATGTGACCCGCTCATGTGTCATCGAGGTTCTCTCCGAGCTTGTCATTTTCAGTGCTATCAATTTTACACTTCGTCACCCCTCAAATGCATTTTCTTCTTAACCTCCTCCCTACAGTTTCTAAACCAACCAAGTAAATATATTACATACACGCAGCATCACTGCTTTTTTGGAACCTAAAACTTCTTGCCCACGCAAAAAGAAACCAGGCACGGAGTGCTCTTCTTTGCCGCAGGGTGCTTCTTGTTGCACCTACGGTCGTAATCCTTCTTCTCATCAAACTTCGCATATGACTTATTGTGACAGCTGTTCAGGCTAGACGCTGAAGCTGCAGTGGAACTAGACGACATCGACAGTGTCGATGACGTGGACTTCTTCTTGGATAAAAACGGCATTTTGTGTTCCCGGGCTAGTAGGCCATGGTAAACAGAAACTGGACACTAAAGAATGAAGGAATGAATGTGTAGCGATACTGAAGGTACCGAGGGAAGAAGTCCTAGTTAGAGGTAAATGGGGGTAGGAGTCGCAGCCAATGGCAACTCACGCACAAGACGCAAATAGGCACGAAGACGTGGATAGGAAATAGATCCTTTGAGGCCGTGGGGGTAGGATGGAATCAAACGTTTATCGTTGAGATAAAGAGTCGCTACAAAAAATCCATCCTGGGGGGGCCTACCATCAATATATAGTGGCAAGTGAAGGGCATGCACTTCTCTTTCGGGTCGCTCCAGAAAAAAATTCCCTCAATCCTGTGTGCCTCACTAGCGGCCCATAACACGAACAAAAAAAAACTTTTGGCCAAAGTGCAGGTGGCTCCTCTTGCTCACCCAGCCCTTACTAGTGTCACCTGCCTGTAGTTCCTTTCGGATGGTTATTTTCTTTTGTTTTGAGGTTTGAGGTTTTGTGGTTTTGTGGTTTTGGGCATTTGCGATTCCTATTTTTTGGGTGGACTCACTAAACTTTTTGGTTTTCCCGCTTGGTGACTCAGCCGGGAATTCGAGTTTTCCCATGCTATTTGGTCTTCCAATTTCCGTGGACGCGTTGGCTGGTAGCCGGTGAATTTTTGCATTTTTCCTCTTTACATTCTCATGGGGGGTTAAAGGGTAATATTTTTCGGCACACTCTTTTGTCTCCTTGCACCTTACAAGTTTGTATTTTTTGAAAGCCTACGTCAGCGATCTCTCCGTCCCTCTTTCTCACTCATTAATTACCAGTTAGTCACCCCTCTTGAGGGACCCTATACTACCTATTTTTAACCTTCTCGTCCCTAATGTCTGGGCGCTTAATGCTAAAATCACTAAACGGGGTTAGTGGAGTTTCGTTGCGCTTGAAAGTGAAAGTGGCCTGTCCTGATGTCACGTGTGCGGCAAGCAACTATAACCTGGTTGCCTATTTGGGCAAAGTTGTACTTCAATTACGTAACTGTCACATTTTAGCTTGGGTGGAGCAACCGTCTCCGTCCTGCAGAAACCTTTTCCGGGGTGAAGACTTTGTGAAGAGTCACATCATCCTCTTTTTGATATTAATCGACAAGTCACGTGCCAGCTTTGCCCCGCTTTGGTTTCGTTTCCTCTTTTTCATTTTCCATTTCCCAGCTCCCTTTTCACATTGCACGGTTCTACATAATGCTACGTTGCATCTCTCGACATTCTGTCTCGTGGCATTCACACTAACAATTCGCGTGTCGTGACCTTTCCCTCCCCTCTGTAATCGCCGACAATGGGAATTTCAGGTCTGCCCGTTAAACTACCCTGCTGCTAGGTTGGCCCTGTCCCTTATTACGAAACCATGCGGCTATTATTCCATCGCCAACATTTATGGTGTGGACACGACCCCATCATGAATCTCATCACCACACCAGACACTATAACCTAATCTCTCTAACCTTCACGTGACCCAGTAATGTCAGAAAGAAAGGCAATCAATAAGTGGTATCCACCAGATTATGACCCTTCCAAGGCGCCTAAGAAGGCCAAGAAATCAAATGCCAACGAGAAGGTGCGGTTGATGTTGCCGTTCTCCATGAAATGTCTCCAATGTAACGAATATATTGCCGCACGGAGAAAGTTCAATGCTAGAAAGGAAGTGACTGCTGATCGGTACATGGGAATCAAGATAATCAAATTCCACATCAAGTGCCCACGATGCAACAACGGCATTGTGTTCAAAACTGACCCGAAACTGGCCGGATTCGTCCCGGTGGAAGGCGGTGTGCGCAACTACGAATCAGCTACTGAAGTGAAGATCAAGCCTGTTGAGACAGAGGATGAGATTTTTGCCCGACTTGAGAGAGAAGATGAGGAGAACCAGAAATTTCACGAGCAACAAGATAAGAGAAAGCACAATCCGTTTTGGCTGGCCCAAGACAAGGATACCTCCAAGGACTCCATGGCGAACCTTGAGGATAAACTCGTGGAGCAGCAAAAAGAACAGGAGATGCACGATCATTTGGCATATTTGCAAGCAAAAGCTCAAAAATTACAACAATCTGGTGGGTCTGAAATTGTGGCGGAAACGTTGAAAGTGAAGCTAGTGGAGAAACGGAAACTCGAGTTGGATCATGAGAATGATGAAATCGTCAAGGAGCTTTTCGCCAGAAAGATTTCAGGACACCCACAGGTTGTGGGTGGGGTAATTAAGGTGAAGCGAAGAAATCTAGACAACAAGGTAAGGAAGCAAATAGAATCGTCTGGAGACCATAGAATAGAGCAAAGAGAGACAGAGTTGAAATCAGACAATCCACTGAAGTCAGCATCAGCTGAGCTGCAAACTACAAATGAGAATAGTCATGAGGTTATTACTAATTCTTCTAGCACTACCAACTCAAGCAAATCTACCATTTCCTGTCAACCTACAAAAATTAATTTCCTCCAACACGAATCTCTATCGTCTGTTGCAAAGTCAAATATTGATGCGGAGAAGACCAGCAGTCCTGCCGCATCGGGATTATCAGCTCTCGCGGGCTACTCATCAGACGACGATGACTAGACGCGGGATGATGAATAGTCACGCAATTGGGTTTATCACAGTTTGCTTAAGCGAGCAGGTGCTTTCGAGGCAGATCTTCAGCACTGTGATGTCATTTAGTTAATTTCTTTCCCAGTGCAGGATGGTCACAATCTGATAAACTCCACGGAAACACACCAGTTAAAAATAGAAGCACACATCTAATTTGTTAACCACAAAATTCACACACCCGGAGCGGACATCACTAACATCGTAGCCATCATGGCCCTGCTCTCCTTCTAGAGAAACTGCGGCACACATTCGCCACCAGCAGTGGGTTATGGACATTTTCCCTCCTTTTAGTGCATGGTTTCAGCCACTCTTTATCTGTGAATGCGTGCTTGAGTTCCATAAAGCGTACATTCCTATCTCTGGGGGAAAAGCACTTAGATGCTTCTCACTGCCGTCACGATCGGTCTTGTCACCACTGGCGTGGTTTCTGGTACCTCCGTACTACTATGTCGATCTCAATATGTCAAGCGGCCACTGCCGTTACAGTTAACACCCCCACTTCGTTTCACTGTGGCACATAGCCCGGTCAGCCAAAACATAACGGTACTGGATGCCTCCACTGACCACATTGTATGTGAGTTCCAACACTCTTCATCGTCAAAAATAGTCAATAATTTGTACCAGGTTTTTGGGTCCGTAGCCATCGCCCACTCAGATAAAGAGGTGGCGGTGCTTCATCGGAATACGGTGGGAAATGGAGGTTACATCGAGTTCTGGTCTCATGACTTCCGACAAAAGTCGATGTTGCAAAGCTTGTTTTCTCGATGGCAAGGCGTCCCGAATGATCAGGACAGGGAGTCTTCTCCTCTCCGAATTTACATTTCCTCGAAGCTTGTAGCTGGAGTATGTGAGTTAGAAGTACACAACTCCTCCACAAAATATCTCTGGTCTGCGGAAGATCTTGTGTTGTATAAGGTGGATGGATCTACTCAGAGACTAGCAGCAAACATCGATGAGTCTAGCACACGTAGAGGCCGTCAAATGAAGACGATACTGGATGATTCGCCTAACTTAATTGTGTATAACGACATTATCAACCCTTACCTAGCTGTGTGCACAATGTTATTCTTTATGCTCCAGACTAAGCGTAAGAAAAGTTGTTGAGCGTGGCAACATTCATCTCCGGTGGATCCACTTGCTGCTGATAAGAATTCTGAATCTCTATAAGCTTGTCCATGAGGAGAGGTACAGTTTTGGTATCAATATCTTTGCGACAAAGAAGAATCCCCCGGACGTACTCGATCGAACAGTTGTAGTAGGTGGCAAGGATCTCATGTTCCCAAATATGTGGGATTTCCACCATTGGATTCTCCACTGTTGCTAAAGTGGTTAACAATTCGAGTGCAGTCAAACTTCGCAAAAGATACACGGCATCTTTTCGGGAGAATAACGGGTCGAGACCCTCGTAAAGAATGGCAATGTCGCGATTGACGGCCTCACTGAATGACTGGAATTTTTTCGTGGATGTGGGGTCGATTCTTTTCCCGTCACCATGTAAAATGTTTTGATATCCAATCCGAAGATACGATGCAATGAAAGTGTCTAGAACAACTGTGAAAGTGAGACTGTAGAGGTCATATGATGCATAGCTCTTCAATTCTTCCATGTACTCCACAATAGTTTCCACCACCTGCTGGGCCATGTTTAGGTCTCCAGAATTTTGATTGGCACTGTTGTACCAAGACTTCGTGAACAAAGTGGACAAGGCAGGAAGTAAATCATTAATGATTATTTCTGCTATGGAACGGATAACTTGCGCATTTAACTCTGTGCTTGGGGAAAGCGTATCCTGGAACGCATCTTCAATTCTCGTCTGGTAGGTTGAGTGCACTTTGCTCATGTAGTTGGGCATAAACTTGTCCTGAAGTCTATCAGTGTTGACCTCATAAGTGTTACCAAGAGCAGCAAGGTACTCCACCAACCCAGGCTTGGATATTTGCGATTTCTCCTCTGGGGTCATGTTTTCCACATCAAGTTCTTCCTGGGTTCTGGATTGCATTCTCAAAAACCGCTTAGTTTTTGACTCTTTGATGAGATACCTCTCGTTATTGTACACTGACATATACTTGTTGACCTCGTCCTCGACTAGTTGCATGTACGAGAACACTCGTTTGTTGTAGCAACGAGACCAATTTTCAATAACTCCAACTAAAACCTTTCCATATCCGGAGTCCGCTGCAACGTCTGCTTGGTCCTTGAGCATACTCAAAGTCGTTTTGAAGTCTGGTAAAACATAAACATCCGAGGTTATTTCAAGGGTGATGATGTGGTCAAATTGGTCAAAATCCTCCATAGTTTGTGCATAGTTGTAAACATCAGGAGGTTCATCACGGTCTCTGAACGACTTTGACTCCTGACTAATCAAGTTGTCATTCCATTCCTCCATTTTGGACAAAATAACCTTCAAGTAATCATCCAAGACGCTGTTCTTAAGCTCTTCTCCCAAAATGGACTTTTGCTCCTTTTGAAAATTTTCAAGCTGTAACGAAGTGACAAACTGGTTGTAATGAGAGTCATACTCCAAGATCCGCATAAGATCTTCCGCGGGAGGATTTGTGTTGATCAACTCCATTGTGAATTTGTGCAACTTGTTGTAGTAGACTCCATGGATATAGTTACTGATTTCCCAGTGACTCGGGAAGAGTGGAGCAAGGGTGTGCACAACGAATACCAATTCATCTTCAAACCACTCGAGGTTGTCATAAACAAGCATCTTATCCTGGTAGAAATGTTCCACACACTTGTCAAACGTGTCTGCTAGACTCTCCTCAAGCTTGGTGTAGAAGAACTTCTTGTAGTGTCTCATTTGAGTTCTCGTTTTGGCATAATCTCTCACCATCGAGCTATTACTATCCACAAGGCGCAAGTCCCGCATCAAGTTGACCTTCAGATCTTCAGTGGCTTCATGCTCAATCACACGCACCAATTTGTTCACCATCTCAATATTTCCTTCCTTGACAGCTTCAGTAATACTAATTATCACTTCTTTCATAAGCTCGTCAAAGTTCCGAAACACAGCACGCAGCGGTTGAATGATCTTGGTGACAATAGACTGAATGTCATCTGATAGTTCTGCTGATTGGTCCTCCAAGTAATCCACAAAATTGCGTGCCTGAGTCACATTGAAATGAATGCGATAGAAATTGTACATGGGGTATGCTATATCTTCGGTCACTGCATCGAGTTCCGCCTTGATCATGTTGTTAATATGTTCCAAGTACTTTCTATAGTTGGCAATATCCGTATACAAATTCTGAACTTGCATCATGGTTTGGTAGACGCCTGAAATAGTTTTCAAAGTATCATATTCTTTGACTTGAGTCACTGATTCCGTGTAAACATTGTTGATACGCTCAATGTTCGACTTGACCGAGCTGAGTTTATCCACAGCGGTTTTCAACCTCTCCAAGTTCTGAACTACCGAATCAATTTGTTGCAGAGCAGCCGAATTTAACTTGACATCGATGGAGTTTCTCTCCTTGGTGAATTGTTGTCGGAGCGAGTCTAGTTTCAGCAAATCGTCTTCGACCTTGATAAGATTCGATATTCTAGATAACGCTGCTTCACTCATACCATAATATGTTTAATTGGAAATATGGAGGAGTTATTATTTTGGTGTTGAACTTGTTTATTTACATACAGTCTGGATCTCTCTCTTACCCACCTTTTAGATATTCACTTCAATGATTCGATACCTACACTATTTTAAAACGACCTTCAATTACATAGCCTACCTATACTTCCCAAAATGGTGTAGTCCCGACGGCTGTTGAGCTGTCTCTATACAATCATGTCCAATTTATTTTCTGTCCCATACACCTTAACTCTGACTGCCTCGAGGCTTTTGGGTACTATTGTTGTTGTATCTTCTGCCCTGATGATGTTGGTTGTAGTTATTCTGGTGGCCCTGATTGTGCAAATGGCCCCCATACGGATTACTACCCATCATCATGTTTCCGCCAGCGGGACTTCCAGGGCTTACGAATCCTTGGGGAATGAACCCAGGAGGCATGAACTGGTTGTCATACATCATCTGGGGTTGTCCCGGAGGTACGCCGCCTTGGAACTGCTGATAAAGCAATGCAGCCTGGAATTGCTGTTGCTGGAAGTGTGCTGCCATTGATGCCTGGCTTTGCATGTGTGGTGAAAATGTACCACTTGGTGCTCCTGGGAACGCTCCCGTCCCTCTCTGAGGCGCTCCTTGCACCATTACAGGGCTTGGCATGTATGGCATTCCTGGACTAGGCATCATAGAAGGTGTCTTGCTGGCTGGCAGAACCTGCAGCAAGAGATGCTTTTCGTAGTTTTCATCAATAGTAGAGTCCCAAGTTGGAGGCGTATGGAACGCTTTTTCGAGGATAAGAGGCGTAGAAGCATCTTTATGATTTCTTTGAGCAGTGGCAAACAAATTGAATCCACTCTTCATTTTCTCGATCTTTTCCTTTTGACTTGCTGCTGTAGGAACCTTGTCCTGACCTCCGAAAAAATCGGCAGCAGTGATCTGGTGGTGTCTTTTAACCTGCCCAGAGCTCGAGTTGCTCGAATATGGTCTTTGATTATGCATTCTTGGAGAAGGATTGTTTGGGGACTTTGAAAACGAAGCCTTAGGAGGCACAGGCGACGACTGCTGGCCTGGTTTGGATGACGGAGTGAACACTGCAGCCTTAGGATTCAACTTGAACAGCTTAAGGTCCTTCTTGGACTCCGGCGGCGAAGCAGCCTTTTTTGGCGGGTCCAGCTTGCGCAAGATCTCGTCCTGCTTAACCTTATCTTTAGCCAAAATTGGCAAGAGGTCATTGGGCATTCTATGAGGAACCTTGAAATTAGCGCTGAACTCTTTAAGTGCGTTGATTTCGCTTTTGGCGTTCAATCTAAAGGATTCGCCATGCTGGGCCACTGGAGGTTTTGGTGGTATGGATGATGGTTTGGGAGCCGTGGCCTTTCCATCACTGGTTTCTGGAGAATTTTCACTAATTGCAGCAGCAGGGGCCTGAGCAGGTTGCGTTGCAGAGCTCGATACAATGGCAGGATCATTATGATACTGCGCAGCACGTTGCCTTGGGGTTGCGTACCTTCCAGTGGCAGGAGCAGCAGCATTCTGGTCCTTCGAAATTGAGGCACTTCTGAGGGCAGCCATAAGCTCTACACCTCTGGTATCCACAGAGTCTGCAATAACTCCGGAATACTTGTCCTCCTCATCCAACCCACTATCATCAACTTGAACGCCTCTTTCTTCCATGACATGGCGGTCAGTGCTTGATTGGCCCTCGATCTCACGAGCCAACCTTTCGGCTTTTTCCAACCGTTGTTGATAGTCCAGAGCAGACTTGTCGATTCTCGTTGTGTACAAGTGCTCATCGTAAGTGGACTCCACACCGAATTTTTCTTCGTTCACCTTGAACTGGTCCCATGCTCCATTGGACGAGTCTTCCAAAGTCAAGTCTGCATTATCGTCGTCGGCCACCCAGCGTTGCAACTCTCTTTCACGTACTTGAAACCTCGAAGAGATATCCGAATCGGTTTTGAATTTTGAGGCGCCCACTTGGGGAGCAGGCTTGGGTGTTATCGGCTGAATATGCGTGAGATTCTGAGCCGGGATAGGCTTTGCTGCCAAGATGTCAGCGAGTTTGAAGTTGCTCTCGTAAGACTTGTCTGGCTCCCCTATAATACCAAGAGGGCGACGTTGGTGGCCCTCCTGAGACTTTTCAGCGCGCGTAGGAGGATTCTCGACTTTCTTAATGGATTCATTCAGAGGCTCGGGTAGTTTCTCCACTTTTGCTTTCCTGTCGTCTGCTGGGGGTGTCAGACCGGGATCCCTGGCCAATCTGACGTCGATATCGATCAAGTCCTTGGCTTGAATGATTAGCTGCTCTGGCAACGTGTCGTCGCTGTTGCTTTTTTCATTAAGGAGTGGTTTGGACACCTGGGTGGGTTTGGCCAACACTACCGACAAGGCCGAACCGTTGGCGGAGGATAGATCAACAGCCAGCAAAACACCCTGGTACTTTGCACCCGAGGACACGGTTGCAATCACTTGTTTGCCCGAGGCACGAGCCAATATGTCCACCAAGCGATTATTAGCAGAGGATTCGGCGGCTGAGGGAGAAGCCTCTTTCGTTCCATTGTGCTTGGATCCAGAACGGCGGTGGCCATTGATTCCCGGTGTCGGAGTAGTATTCGAAGAGGACGTGGAACCATTTCCCGCGGTACCCGCAGGCTTCGAACGGTGTTGGCTCTTCATGGTGCAATTGGTGATGTGCAAGCGGGATATGCGGCGATGGCTGGCGCTTCGACAGCTAGCAACAAGGGGGAATGTTGATGGCGGTGATTTAGATAAATAATGGAGTGAGCACGGTGAAGCAGAGACCGAGTTCTCAAACCAAAAAAAAGTGCACGCAGCAAAGAAGACCAGATGGAAGCGGCTACCGAGTGGTTAAGGCAGACAAGGAAGTTTGTTGCCGTTGGGATACGGGGCTAGAAGTTGCTTGGCTGGTGGTGACAGAGGTACGGTGGTTGAGGTACGGTGGTGTTATGGCCTGGAAAGATGAGTTTTGCACGACAGTTACCCGGCAGAGGAGAAGAATGGCATGGCAGAAGAAAGACTGAAGGGTGGGAAAGAGATGTTTGAAAAATTTCAATTAATAGAGAGCGAGGTTTAAGATGATGGTAATTTCAAAATTTTGCTTCAAGAAACTCACCTTGAATTTTCTGGTGTCACTTTTCTTTAATATCATGATGGTGAATGCGCGTAGAATTACCTTTCCTGAAGGTGGAGATCAGATAGTGCCAGAAGTGAGACATGGGTATACAGGAGAAACGGAAAATAAAAAACGGGTTTATTCTGTGCAAGACAATGCTTTGGGGGTAAGTCCATTCAAAGAACGAAATAATGTATTTGGGGATGTTAATAGTTAATGAGTTTTTCAACGTCGTAAGATCTTTCTGAATTCGTCTTATATATTCCACCTCCGACTTGACTTCTTTATTTCAAACTCTCCAATATCGTGATCTGATTCTCGTTTAATAGTCATATTTTCCTAAATCAATGCTTGGACAGAGCCTTCATCACTATGGACTTCCTCTAATTTCTTCGAATTCCGTTCCATTCTCTTTCATGCTGTTAGCGTCTCTATTCCCCTGTTTATGCTTAACAGCATAAGCCCTGGAATCCAAGCCCAATCTCCACATTCTCAACAACAGTGTCCCAGTACAAAATAACAAACTCACGAACAAACTCAATGTCCTCCGATGAGTAAGGATCCAACTCCATATCCACAATATCCTGGTGCGTAAGCTCCAATGTTACCCTCGACACCAGATCGTTGGCCCGGTCCTCTACGGTCTCGCATACTATCTCGTCAATCAAGTAGAACCATTTCTTCGTAAGCTTGTGGAAGTGGCTGACAATCATCGTGAGTTGTTCAAGCTGCTTCTGCATGGATTCTCTCGTCTCTTCAGCTTCGACATTCTCAGAGAACGCGTTCTCAGTAGTGGCCCGGTTGGTAGTGCCTGCACTAGCAAACCATGCAAACGCCAGCCAGATGTATTCTCTCCATGACATCGGGGACGTGGCCTCATCCAACCACCACGAAGGCTCGTGGTCCAACTTGATGTTGCTGCTTTCTCCATAGATGTCGAATCGAAGGGTTGAGAATCGAGAGTTGGACGTACGAATCGACGACGTATCATCACCGGTCGCGTTTTCGCCCTCGTTGGGAAGCTGCTTGTACACCTTAAGAAACTTTGTGTAGTCATTGAACGTTGCACGAATAGGCAGATCCAACTTATCGCTGGCCACTAGTTTACATGTTTCAGCATCGGTGGAAGGCATGACAATGGCATAGTCGTAGAGGTTTTTTTGATACTTCAAGATTTCGTCGGATGTGCTGGCAATGAACCCCGGGTAGTGCTCCAAATACTTTGTGTTCATGTCCTGAAGCCCCACATTGTACAACGGCTGTGAGTACAACTCGTGCTGGTCCAAAGGTTCCACATTAACATCCTTTGGAATCACACTCAAGAGCGAAATTATGTAAGCCATGGCTCCACAGAGCTCGGGATCACGGTCGCAAGGCTCCTGAATCATTCCTGAACCTTGTGAGGAGTGGTTGAAGATCAATAGGCGTTTTCTAACGAGAGCTGCCTTATAAATGGGGAACGTCAATGGTCCCATGGCAGAGAGAGCCGCCGAGAGCTTCCCGAGTGGATGTCTGAGTATGGTGTTGAGGGCATGTGGCGAGTTGGGTTTGGGAAGGTCTAGCAAGCCATTGCCGGTAAGATTCTGGTAGAGCGTGTCGAGCCTCAACAAATCCTCATCTTTCAAAAATTCCAGGAGAGTTTCCTGGACAGCATCAAAATGCTCCCAACCCACAGTACCAAACTCGTTGGGCTTCCAGAATTTGCCTTTAATAGGCTCCAGAAGGATACCAATCGAATACATTCTAACCAAATCACGGTTAGTTTCCTCATTTTCATTCAAATCAAGCTGTCGGAAACATGCCAGCCCATAGTAGAGTTTGCCATTCCATTCATGTGTTAAGTAGACGGTAGCCGTCTCGAATTCATGGACTCCAGACGGTAGAGCCTTGTATTCGAGACCGTCAAGTGAGATGTTAAAGGATGTCTTGGACCACACCATTTTGTAGCCAGATTTGCTGTCGAACTTGACCAAGAAGAGCGCCGCCACTTTGGACGTCTGGTAAGACATTGTTTCTGAAGATGTCAGCGACATTTATAAGTGGTTTGAAAGAACAGGTGTAGTTGTAGATGCGTTGGTGCAGGATGTGGAGTAGCAAGTAGTAGCAAAGTTAATGAGAAGATGACGACGCAAAGAAATGAGGTGAAAAGGGGGGGTTTTGGAAATAACTGTTGGAGTTGATAATAAAGATGACCAAGTGAATGGAAGATGTGAAAAATACATAGATTTTTCCTTCAAATAAGATTAAAGAGTAAGTTGTCTCAACCAAGTCACGTGCGAGTCTTCACTACTCAAACCTTTCACTTTCTTTACTGACTATGGATCCTAGAGTTCGTCAGCTCTTTAAGCTGCTCCTCTACATGGGCAAGGAGTATCCTCAAGAATCGGGTGGATATGCTAAGTTTTCCCAGGGTCTTAAGAGGGCGTTTCGTTCCACATCCATCCAATCTGAAGAGGATATGACGAAAGCTTTAGCCAAGGGAGAATACATAACTAAAGGTATGTGTGATGATTCAATTTGTTAATTTTATAATTACTGTATTTGTGACTGTTCGTGGTAGCATTGCTACATATGCCTATACAATAGATATTACTAGTTGTGCATCCACTAACAACAGAATTGGAGGCCCTCTACTTCCTCCGAAGGTATCGACATCTCAAAAGGGCATACGAATAATTTAATGCACTTTTATTTGTATATATGGCGACTAGGCACGGATTCTCAACACAAAGTTGACCACCACTGCAATCAAAAGGAAGATACACAACATGGTAGGGCCAAATCTGTCATCATATGGGCCCGAGCCTCTCAACCGGATAGCCTTGGCTCTCCAGTGGTAGGTGACCAATGCGTAGACCATGGTCAACATGGCAATGAATGTGAACAAACCAGCACTGATTCTTCCAACCAGGTCTCCGAAGTTCAACAAACCCACACCCAAGGAGCCCAAAATGACGGTGAAGTTCAACCAGGAAAGGAAGGTTCTCTCATTGGCGAAGAACACTTTTGGCTCGACTCTAGCAGGCAAGGCGATTCTCTTGTTGGTCGACATTGAAGATGAAGAAGTAGTAGATGCGGTGAAGATACCAGGGAAATTGGAAAGTGTGTGCCGGAGGAGGCTGCACGTGGGATAGATAGCGATAGGAATGAGAATGAAAAATTGATGAGAGACTATGGGGACCCCATTGAGAACGAAGTGTAATAATGAGGTTTGTGAAGAGATGAGTGGGGTTGTATTATATTTATTTGAGCAGCAATGAAAGTTTGATAAGTAGTGCTTTTTATATGATATCAAGGGCATTGTGCCTGACAGAAGTCCGCATTGGAGAAGTTAATTTGGAGAAGGTTGTAGGAATCTCAATAAGGAGCTTATAGAATTTATTCAAGGGGATTGTATTATTCATTTGTTTTATAAGTATTGTTAATATTGTGGAATTATGACTATGTGAATATATGAATACGTAGATATAGTAATATTACGAGAGTAATATTTTTATGTGAACTTAATTTTTAACGTAGGGCTGGCTACTGCGACTCTGTCTAATTATCGAGTATTATCTGCACTACCATAACAATAAAATATTAATACACCCTTGCTTAATTTTGCAGGCCTTTGTAGATAAATCTTTGGCTTATTGTATAAATTCATTATAGTGATTTGGTTTTGTTTTATTTGTCTACAATTTCTCTATTGTAGCTTGTTTGTTCTTTTTGATCTTTTTTTTTCATTTTACCCACACCTCAAGATTTTGGGCCAGAGTAGATAGCCTTTCAAATTTTCGCAAACTTCAGTATTTTCCTAAGCAGAGAACAAACTCAAGTTTGTTTAAAATAATAAGCATACTTATATTATATATTGAATAACCACAGTTTTCTACCCAATAGCCCTGTTCAAATGAATATATCACTTACTAACGACTTACCATTTATGAGACAGGTTATTCAATATCAGAAATCAGTTGATTGAATTCTCTATGTTCATTGAAGTCTCGTAGATACGTAAAACTTATCGCCACAAGTATTGCCATGTTTCGATGGACACGTTGAAGGGTAACAAATTTGAATATGATATCGACAATGTGAGAAGTATTAGTAAGTGAAGCTAGGTGCACCAGGTCTAACTATAAGCCATTCTATCCATTTGGAATTTGCAATGTGTTACATTCCCAAAGCTTTTTCACATTTGACTTCATTAAAATCGGAAACGTATCCCCAACACAAAGAAACGAAAACTTCACTCATGCCTTGCTGTATTTAAATGCATTTGCTTAATGCACAGTCGAATTAAAACAACAACAAATTGTATTGTTTAGTATATGGACAAATGCCTCAATAAATTATTGATGAAACTTAGGAAGTTTATTAGGATTATGTTTAGTTATACGAATTGCAGATACATTAATATTAAATTCAATGGCTATAATGTTATTAGTAGCAGCAACAGCTAAATCAGCACAATTAACCTGTCAATCATTAATGATTTCTCTTTGACCCTCCCTGCTAAGATATCATTAATACTGATACTTAATATTACTTCTGATAGAGCAACCAGACCTAATAGAACATGTAATTAAGTCCCATCTTCGGTCTTCTCAAGTATTCCACCAATCCATCACAAATTATCTCAGTAGTGGAAAAAGTGAACACAGTGGACATAGTGGACCCTGATGGACCTTAATGAAACCCAACAGTACCTCATGCATGATCGCCTCAATTATTCTTAGATTCCATTCCATTCTAATCCGCTTTCGTGGTTCCACTCATAGATCCTAGACATTACAGCTTGGCTGTACAAAGGACCTATTGTTCTGTCCAATGCATTACCAGCGTTACGAGCCACCTTTTTGCAACCTACAATCAAATAGTTCTTGTCATACATTAATAAGTTAATGGCGTCACCAATAAATACGCTGCAAACCAGGCAGTCACACATTAATCACCATTACGATGGAAGGGCAATGGCACGGGCGGTGATATAAGAGTTGGTCAGGGTGGCGGTACCTGCAAAGGCATTGTAGAACGCAATGAAGGCGGTAATCACACCAGTAACACCACCAGCTCTGGACAACCCAACCTTGCCAGTAAAGTCAGCAGCACAAAGCAAGATGAAAGTCAAGGTCAACATAGAGAACAACGAGCAGAAAGCCACGGTAGACTTCAACGTGCACAAAGTCAACATGAAGGTGAAAATGGCCCATCCCAACAAGAAGAATGCTACGGCATCAGACATCTGCTCGGTGCCTTCATAAGACTCCGCGATGCCGAAAGCCTTAAGGTTAATAGCAGCAAAAGCGAGCCAGAAACTACCGTAAGAAGTCAATGCACACAAGGCAAACGTGTTACCCACCAAGCCTTCCCAAATTCCGGCAGCAAACTGGGCAAAGCCTCCGTAGAAGCAGGCCAAACCAAGGACCACTGCGTTGGTGTGAATACCCATGGCCTGAGCATTGTACATCGACAACACAAAGGTCGTCAAGGCGAAACCACACAAACCCAATGGAGATGGGTTAGCGAACAGGTGAGTAGGGTAGACAGACAAACCGGGGTTCAAAGTACCACCGAAAGCAGCCATCAACTCATGCTTGTAGTATCTCTTGTTGCCCAAGGTGACAAACTCATCGCCGGCACCCGAGTGCTGGACTTTACCAACTGGAATGTGGTGGTCTTCGAGGGAGGTCATTTCTTTGGAGGAGTGGACAGAGTCGCTGGACATGATGCAGATGAAGTCGAGAATTCAGGCGATGCAGCGGTTTTATAGCAGTAAACTTTGTGGGGAATACCCAATGGTTTGCCAGGCGTGTGCAGGTGGAACCACCTCATTTTCACCACTTCTCTTTGGTGGGTAGATGCCATGTCCTGTACATAAGCAGGTTTCACCACAAATTTGGCTTGACCGCCTGCAGCGATGGTTGCGGGTGAGGCGAACTCCGACCGAACGAAGCCCCACACCCTGCCAACGAGGTGGGGGCATTGTGTACAAGCCAGTTTGGGGAGATTAACCAGTGGTTAGCAGAGATGAACCGGAGTGGAGAGGTGTTACTGTGGCACTGGAACTTTGGATGATCATGGTGCTTTGCCATGGTAAGTTGGGCCCCAACGGATGTACGACGTGAAGTAGCAAGCCAAAAATGGAACATTTGCGCGAATGGCAACATTGCCATTGGCTAGTGCGAACTTGGAAACCTCGGGCATTCCTCCGCCAACTCCGGGGCCACCCCCACACAAACATCCGTGCGCTGGTTCCACGCAGTCCTCGGGTGCTTACACCACCCTATCCACGCACGTTACACCACGCAGTCCACCACAGCAACAGCATCCTCATCTCCGAAGTGGTGATTTGTGGGGGTGTGAGCCCATAATTCTTAGTCAAAAGAGTAGCTTGTAGCTTGGCGTTTGCGGAGGCTGGTGGAGTTGTGCAATGTAGTGTGTGATGGTGGAGTCAGTAGCTCGGAAGTCTAATGGACGGAGATGGTTCGGTGTTGCCTAATAGAAACTAGGCCGGAGGTAAGTTGGTCTTCGGGTGAAATTAGAAACGCTGCTTCATGCTTCGTGTCTTGAACAATGCAAGGTGTACCCCAGATTATTCTCGCTATCTGGAAACTCGGCATCTGACGGATGGCCGCGAGCTTATTGATCAATGATAGAAGATTGAAATTGGAAGTCGATTCATATCAAATATTTTCAAACAATCGGAACAAAATCTTTGCCCAAGTTCTTGAACTTCTTCTTGCTAATAGCAACCCTGCCATGGACCAATCTCTTGTACATCTGGGCAATCACTTTAAACAAGTGATTCTCCCCATATGTCAGCACCAAAAAGTTCATCATACCAGCTAACAAAATGATCCAATAGGCTAAAGTCGACATATCTGTCAATTGCATAAAGTCACCCCACCATGAGTCGCCCTTGATGAAGAAAATACCCACCGAAAGCATAAGCGCAACAACCAAATTGATTAAGAACGGCTTGTTTTTCACGGTTGGTTCCCGGTATGGAGGTCCTGTGCTCAACACAACGGCATTCAAAATGTATTGGAAGTTTGTGAAAAGGAACAACACCGTATTATCGGAAGATTTGACATCATCATCACTATCTGAGGGAATGGGCTTCACATACCATGGTTGATCTTGCACGTAGAGCCAGACGGCAATCTGGAAAACAAGGATCACGACAATGTGACAGACAAGAGGGATCAACACTTTTGGACTCACCAAATTGGCTGTTGGTCTCTTGATCACGAGCCCACTATAGGGACTAGACCACGACATGAGAATGGCCAACGGCAAAATCAAAAACAAGTCTATGTACAAGAACTGAAAGTCTCCAAGATTAGTGCCTCGCTTGTATAAGATGCTCACTGTGATAAATTGAATGGCCGAGTACAACGACATGTACTTGAAACACGAGAAGCTGGTTACCAATGAGGACCGGCCTTCCTTAATCACATCTAGAACGCAAGATATTTCAAATATTCTAGATGTGAAGGGTGCAGCCACGGATGCTTCGGCTTCACTCAAAGAGATTCCAACATCGGCAGCCTTAAGTGCTCCACAATCATTGGCACCGTCACCACAGAATCCCACCGTGTAATCAAGTTTCTGAAGCTGCTGAACCAACTCATGTTTTTCATCCGGTGACATCCGGGCGAAAATGTTACATCTCATCAAAATAGCTTGAGTGATATTTTCTCTCTGAAGTTCCGCGAGCACATACCTGAAGACATCACCAGTTAGCGCCAAAATATACTCGCTGACATCATAACGAATGTCTCTGGATGTTCTTTGAAGGGTAACTGGATCCAATTTATTTTGCGGGTCGTGGATATCCTCCCATATAAGTCCGGTGTCTCCTGTCAACGAAAATTCCTCATCCGAGGCAAATCTCGGAATGTAAACCTGCGTCACCGCTGGATCAATTAACTCACATTCACGTCCAACACTAACTGCAGTCAAAACATTATCTCCTGTGCACATAACAGTCCGAATGGCTGCAGCTCTCAATTCTTTGAGAGTGGCTTTGGTGGAGGCCTTCAACTTGTTCTCAAAAACGATGAATCCGGCGAAACTCAAGTCATTTTCCGCTTCTCCACGCTCAAGAGATTTAATATTGACCTTCTTGTTGAGTTCTTTGTATGCACATGCAATCACTCTGTAACCTCCGTGGGTATATTTGTGGAGAAGTTCTTCAAAATTGGCTGGAATGGTAGTGGGGTCACAAATATCCAACATCACTTCCGGTGCTCCCTTGGTGAAAACATACTTGAGGCTGTCCTTTTCAACGACAACAGACATTCTTCGTAATGCGGCAATGAACTCGTACTCCTTGAAGATTTTATATCCGAACGTTTCCTTGCCAACATGTTCATAAACCAAAGGAATGTTACTTCCGCCAAAGTCTTCCGTGAAGTTCCATCCGGTGAAGTCAAACATTTTCACATCGAGAGGATCTCCCACTAATTTATCGTCAATGAGCCTCAACGAATGACACGATGCCATACATCCAAGCAAGTATTTGTCGCTTTGAGTCTTGTGTGAAGAAAGCTCAACTTCATTTCCAAGTTTTTCTATCGTTTCAAGAATCTCTTCGAAAACAATTTCTTTTCTACCTTCTGCATTCTTTGTAGGATGAACTCCTAAAATATCGAGTCCATCTTCAGTCAACGTTCCCGTCTTATCGAAACAAGCAACATCCAACTTTCCTCCAATATTCACTCTTGTAGGTGCTATGCAGAAAATCTGTTTGTTCTTCAATCTATTGACCGCAAAGGTTGTTCCAATTGTCAAAGTCGCTGGAAGGGCAGGGGAACAACAATGGTGATTATGTCAAGAGCTCTCAAAATCATGATTCTCTTTGAAAGTCCCAACTGGATGAAATTGTAGGTTGAATAAATGAAACCGATAAATGCAATCAAAGTCATGAATCCAATATACTTGAAGGAGTCTTGATAAAACTTGAAGCCAGTAGGTTTAGGGAACAACATGGATCTAATCAAAGAACCTTTCGTGGTATTGAATCCAGTTTTCAATACCATAGCAAGAACTGGCTCGTCATTGGAACTTTTCATTTTGAGTAGCTTTGTACCATTGTACAAGAAAGACTTCGCTAATACCGGATGTGTAAAGTTCTCAGTAAGATACTTGACAGTCTCATTTGTTGCACTAATCTTAGACACGGGAACACTCTCTCCAGTCAACATGGATTCGTTTACGACACATTCTCCGTTGACCAACAAGGCATCACAAGGAAGGACTGTCATGGAAGGATCCACTTCGAAAACATCACCTGGAACCAAGTCATTGGAATCTATTTGGGTCCAGAACTCATTTCTCCATGCTCTAATGTCACATGAGAATTTGCTCATCTCTTGAAGTCTCTTGATTGTAGACTTGGTTTCAATGAGCGAATTGGCTATGGAAACAACCGAAATAATGAAAATGCACGATGCGTAGTAAAAGTAATCATCGGCAAGCCACAAGAAAATGGAAAATATCTGGAACACATAGAATGGATGCAACACTTCGTCCATTAGCAATTGAGCGATGCTTTTCTCTTCGATGTTTATGTTATTGTGGCCGAAAATTGTGGCCCTTTGTTCTTGTAAAGTCTGCGAGGTACCATCTCTCAAGTTCTTGACGTTGAGCCAATGAAGATCGTACCACGTCGAGTTTGTTCTAAAAATATCTTCCACCGGGTTGTAGAAGAAATTGAGGTATCTGTAGTCAAAGGAGAGAATGAATGGAATGGTAGGGTTGGATTCCTTCACATCGTCTAAGTGTACCTGGCCATCATCATCTTCCTTTGAATTAAGCGTCATGAAATGAGAAAGACGTCCGCCAAATCTCATTCTTGAAATGTCCTTGATAGTCAATTCTCCGTACTCGTTTTCGATCACTACCCAGTCTGCCTTACCCAAGGGACAGCGAGTACCCTTGAGATTAATACGATAACGAGGAAGCCAACGGAGAATCAAGTAACCAATACCGAAGGAAAAAATACAGATGAGGTAGTATACAAAGACTTTCCACCAACAATTGGAGTAGCCAGCAATTCCAATGACAATGTCCTCCTCTGCTAAGTAGTAACGTTGATACTTGGCTACTGGGAGAAAATCCTCCAAAAAGGCATGTTCATCAGAGTCAGAAACTTCAGACCGCAGACCGATCGACCGTGAGCTCTTGGAGCCCGAATCTTCGCTTCTGCGTCGGTATCTATCATCAAGCATCGTAGCGTAGGTGCTCTCGTTGTCAGAATCATCCTCTACAACTTCTTCACGACGCTGGTGGGGCGATCTAGGCAACCTTTCAGCAAAAGATCGAGCACCTTCCAGAAAACGTTCAGAAGACAAGGAGCCTCGGCTTCGTCCATAAGCTTGCATTTCATGTACAGACTCCACGGCATCCTCATTTTCTTCATACTTATCCACCGAATAGTCCCAATTAGTATCGTAGTCGACTGGGTCCGCAGGGTTCTCCAATGTGGAGCCTCCAGGAGCCTGTTCGATCTCGTCAGGAGAAAAGAATCGGAAATTCACACTGGCCGTGTCAGTGGAGGCATTCAGCTGTATAGGTCTCAAATCCAAGTCACGGCCCCCTGTTCCGTACAGACGAGCAGTGGTGAGGAGTGGAGATGTTTCTCTCAGAACACCATCCTCCGACCTATGGGAGCCAAAATGATGAGGGTAGTGAAACGACGAAATGGAAGATGGAATGATCTCCGAGGCAGCACCAGAGAACATTTCGTAGTTGTTCTCATCCACCATGGAATCCATGGACACCACACTGTTTTGGCGTGAGCGGCGCCCAATGGAAGATGATCTTCGACTTTGGTGGGAGATGGACAGGTTTCTGCCCATATTCTAGTTTAATTTCTATGGTGTTCAAGTTGGATTTAGCAACTCAAGCGATAAGAGATTTTTTTTCGGGAGTGCAGAGAGTCATTAAGTGGTTTTGGTAGGCCACCGATATACAGCGTTTTTGGTCAAGGTCGAAAGCTCAATCTTATTTAAAAAAAAATTTGTTCTAAATGGAAACAAAAAACCTCAATAAGAAAACTTGTGATTTGATTTCCAAATTCTTTTTTGTGCGGGTTAATGATATGAATTAATGCTAGTAATTCTCAGGAAGAGGTTCCAACATACATAAGTTGACTTTTGCGCCATTACATCGGACACCAGCAATATGGAATTAAAAATCATATTAATAACAGGAAGCTATTTCGAGTGGCTATTCAGTTTCTTTTAGCCGTACTCATTAAGTCTGTCTTCCAAATTGGGTTTGTGAAACATAGAGTCTGAGGATAAATTCGGTTTGCTCAATCAGAATTACCCAGGCTGATTTAGCCCACTGTTAACAAAGCCAAGTGAGTGTTGAATCGTCAATATCATCAAAAAATCGAAATTACAATATTTGGTATCAATTGCTGTCCAAGCTAGTGTGGATATCTTATGAGGTGTCAATAATGAAGAAAGATTGGTCATATTTAAGGAGCCAAGTAAGTGGCAGCGGTGTCAAGTCAACTGAAACACGTCTCAAACCTTGTAGATTAAGAGTTTTTTGGTACGAAAAGGAAAAAAAAAACATTGAGCCAACTCCCAGGAGCTCAGTAGGGGCTGAAGACGGTTTTATTATAGATGTGATAATATTGCAAATTCAACCTTGCCAAAAATTTAAAATTTACAGGTTCTTAAGATCAGATTCATGATTCTGCAGGGGATTCTATTAAGGGAACTGTTTTTTTAAGGTCCTAGTTGATGTGATGTAGTTACGAAATTCAAAACCCTCTCATAGTTCAGAAGTTTATGAATGGCCCTAGTAGCCCTATTACTGTAACTGGCCACGGAGCACCTTATTAAAGAATTTAGTGCAAGGCGTACCACTTCCAAATTGCACGAAAAATGAAGTTGCTTGAAACTATATCGTGTCTTAGGAAAAGTCCCAACATGGAGACAACTTGAGACTTGTAGTCAACGCATTGTTACATAGGAAGGACTGAGCTGAAAAGAACCCTGCAGCGAAATCAATGAGCAGAATTAAACCAACATGGAAGTTGACAGCTTGAGAGTTACGCACAAGAGTGACTAGGGACATCACTTAGAAGGATGAATTTCTAACATATAGTGTAGCTGGCCTCTAGGGTAACCACTGATGAGACAAGAGATGTATTAGAATGATTCTTTCCCTGCAATTAAGTCTGCAAGGCAAAAATGAACCCCAAGGGTGACATGAATCATGAGATGATCGAATTGAAAGGTTTAGATTGAGTTTTAAAAGAATGAGTACTGGATTCATAAAAATCAAACTCCAAGCTGGAATGATAGGATACTTGACTGATCAACTAATAGTTTCTCCTTCAATAACAACAACTAATTCCCATGAAAGGTAATCAGCAGTATTAGCAATCCATTGAAATGTAGTCATAAAGACTGTATTCTGCTCAAATGAAATTTTCACCACATTCATACTTCACTATAACCAACCCGAATATTAAAGTACACATGTGGGCCACTTAACTTTAACCCTGTCGTATCACAACCTTCGAACAAATAAAAAGTAATGAAAGTCAAGAGCGACAATTATAATTTACTTACAATTAAGTATTATTTTAAGCCGTCACCTCCAAAATTTATAATATTATACATTCATCCTAAGAACTTGGACCGTTCCTGCACATACATGCACCATAACAAGATTCTCTTTACTGTACTCCATCATCTTTTGAAGCCATGGCCCTCAAACTCAAGCTTAAGGTCAATCCGTCAGCGTCTCGCGAAGACTCACAAGAAAATGACCAACCTACCCTTCCGCGAATCAAAATTAAGCCTCCCAAGGCCGAACCTACAGATGGAGTGTCCAAACCCAAGAAGAAGGAGAAACTCAAGAAGCTCAAAATCAGCTTAGGAAAGGCGCTGCTGTCTTCCCAAATGTCAGATACACCCACATCGTCCTCCCAGACACAACCCATTTTGAAACGTGTGCCAAAGGTGAGAATTAAACCCACTAGAATCCCAGGAGAAGGCTATGACTCGGAAGCACCAGATATCGAAGACGATCCATTGATTGAACAGGGAATCGTGGTGAGATTTGCAAATGACGTCAACCTAGATTTCATTCACAATGCTGCCGATACAGGCGATTTCTCCAATGTTAATATCAAGTGGATCACCAGAGATAAAGCAGTGGTCAATGTTAACCTGACGTTATACTCTGCTCGACTTATCGACCTTCCCACGTTGACCGAGCTTTACAAAACTGTTGACAAGAAGAATATTTTCAAAACGATAGATATCAGTCAGGTATTGCTCGTTTTGCACCAAATCAACCCGAAACAGTTGAATATGGACCAAGACTTCGAGGTACCGGAAGAATACACCTATGTTCACCCGCTCTACAAGCTTTCAGTCAACAAGGAAATCAGAAACACGAAATCCGTTTATAGGAACGGTTTGGCATATGCATACGAGGACGTGTACCGTAGATTCCGTCCCAAAAAGACCAATCCTCGTGTAATGGCCGATATCGAGCTGCGTGTGGACGAGCTTGTTCGGAGAGACCAGGATGCACAGGAAAGCCACTATGAATACGTGGATTCTCGTGCACCTACGCATAAGTACGGGGGCTCTAGTAGCCAACCTCCAGCTTCGGTATCTACTACTCCGAGACCCAGAATGGAAGAGGGAGACAGAATGGAAATCGACAGAGAGGAAGAGGAAGAGGATGAAGACGAGCATCAAATCGCACTTGATCTTGAGGCTGACATCGATAACGTGCTAGAGCAAGAGCTCGCGGAAGCGCTTGATTCCACTTCGAACAACGCTGCTGCTACCGTTTTGATGAAGTCTGAGTTTGACAACGAAGATGGAGCATCCGATGCTGGCGAAGAGGAGGAGCAAGCAGATGACGATGACGATGACGATGAGGAAGAAGAAGAAGAAGAGGAGGATGAGGATGAGGATGAGGACGAAGACACCAAGCAAGATAAATCGCGGGTCAAGAAGCTCGAGGAGGAGATCTCTGATCTTGAGCGTGCAGCAGATAAACAGAAGGTGTTACTTGCAACCGCAAGTTTCAAGATGATGAGAATGAAGTTTCAGTCCGCTTATAACAACTTGAAGGGACAGCTTGATCAGAAGAAGAGAGAATTAGCTAAGATCAGAGAGCAACAACAGAAGTCACAGATGACAATCGTTCCAAATTCCAAGAATGACGAGGAGGACGACGAAGAAGATGAAGATGACGAAGATGAAGATGAAGAAAACGATCATGATGAAGGAACAGGTCCTCAAGATTCTGAGGTTGCCGAGTCGGTAGCCAAGCCGACGGAATTTACGGAGATTGACAATGAGGCCGATGCCGATGATGACGATAACGACGATATCGATGACTTTGGAGGACTTTTCTAGTCAATCTCAGTATGTTTCCGATGCTGACTCGGATGGACCGCGGGAAATCACGTGCGTTCCGATTGCTTCTCAATTTAGAACCGCTGCAATTGGTCAACGCAATTAAAGAAACCAGAAATAGGATTTCACATTTGAGAACCAAAGAAGGTTATTTATTGACGGTATTCCCACTTTTGTTATTGTTGAAAACTCAAATTGTTGTCTGATTTCCACTGGTCGAATCAAATTGTGGGGGGCATCGTACTGTGTATGGACGCAGAGAAAAATTAAAATAAAAAAGAAGCCTTAACAGTGGATTGGTCTGTTTGCTCACTGCTTGGTTTTTCTCCCACAGGTGTTCGTTCAGTACGAATCTAAAGTCTATACACGGAAGTAAAACGTTCACTCTCAGTGACATCCCTATTTTCCGCAATGTCCACCAACTCCATCAAGTTATTGGCTTCCGATGTCCACCGGGGTCTCGCTGAGCTCGTAGCCAAAAGATTGGGTTTGAAGCTCACTCCATGTGAGATGAAGAGAGATTCTACGGGGGAAGTTACCTTCAGTATTGGCGAGTCCGTCAGAGATGAGGATATCTTCATTATTTGCCAAATTGGTTCAGGCGTGGTCAATGACCGTGTGTTGGAGCTTTTGATTATGATCAATGCTTGTAAGACAGCCAGTGCCCGCCGAATCACCGTCATCTTGCCTAATTTCCCTTACGCTAGACAGGATAGAAAGGACAAGAGCAGAGCTCCTATCACTGCTAAACTCATGGCCGACATGCTCACTACCTCTGGCTGTAACCATGTCATCACTATGGACTTGCACGCTTCGCAGATCCAAGGCTTCTTCGATGTGCCAGTAGATAACTTGTACGCTGAGCCTAGTGTGGTCAGATACATCAGAGAGAAGATCTCGTATAAGGATGCAATAATCATTTCGCCAGATGCTGGTGGAGCCAAGAGAGCCGCAGGTTTGGCCGACAGACTAGATTTGAACTTCGCTTTGATCCACAAGGAGAGAGCTAGAGCCAATGAAGTGTCTCGCATGGTTCTTGTGGGAGATGTCACCGACAAGATCTGTATTATTGTGGATGACATGGCTGATACTTGTGGTACGTTAGCTAAGGCTGCCGAGGTTTTGTTGGACAACAACGCAAAGGAGGTGATTGCAATTGTGACCCACGGTATCTTGTCTGGAAACGCCATCAAAAACATCAACAACTCGAAACTTAAGGCCATTGTGTGTACCAACACCGTTCCATTTGAAGAGAAGCTTGACCTCTGTCCAAAGCTAGATACCATTGACATCTCAGCTGTTTTGGCTGAGGCTGTTAGAAGACTTCACAATGGTGAGAGCATTTCGTATTTGTTCAAGAACGCTCCATTGTAAGCGAATAAGTATGCAAAAAGCGTAAAAACAGACCTTCGATTCAGGACGAGTTGTAGATATTAGACAAGGCAACCGATATAGTTCAAGTGTAATATAGATTTATTATAATTAATGCGTACAATGCAACAACAATTAATGTCCAGGTGGAGGTGAGTACAGGCATTGGTGTGAGTATAGTTCTGTAGTGAGAATAGTGAGCATAGGTGACTAATAACACTGTTCTTCTTGTCCCAATATGGCCAGCGAGAAAAAGTATGTATTATAACTCTAAAGAAAACCCACGTCTTTCATAAGTTCTTCACTAACTCCAGGTTTAAAGCATGTCTTTTCGGTATGTTGTTTTTCAAACTATAAAGTTCGAGTGTAGCTAACTCTTTAGACATGGATGGAACTCTCCTCAATACCGAGGATATTTATACCGAGGCTTGTACAGCTTTGCTTGCCAGATTCGGCAAAGGACCTTTGACTTGGGACGTGAAACTCGGGTTGCAAGGACTTCCAGGTCCTGAAGCTTCCAAGGTCCTTATAGCACATTACGAGATACCTCTTACACCCCAAGAGTTTATGGCACAGGGCTTTGCTATCCAGGAAACGTTATGGCATAAGTCTGATTTCTTGCCTGGAGCGTTGGAATTACTCCACGACATGAAAAAGTCTGGTGTTCCCATTGCACTTGGAACGTCCTCCAACAAAGTCAATTTCCATCGCAAGTCTGGCCATCTCCAGCATGGATTTGACCTCTTTGAGCATCACATAGTCACCGGAGATGATCTGCGTATTCCTCCTGGAAGAGGTAAGCCCAACCCAGACATTTGGCTCGTGTGCTTGGAGAGTATCAATGCCTCCAGACGGGAGCAGGGCCTTGAGATCATTGATATTGAGGAGTGCTTGATTTTCGAGGATGGAATTCCCGGCGTGATTTCGGGTATCAATGCAAGGGCTACTGTAGTGTGGATTCCACATCCAGAGGCTTTGGTGGAGTTGAACGGTAAGGAGAAATCCATTATTGGCGATGGAGGAGAGGTGATTGCTTCCCTCAAAGAGTTTAATAAAGAGAAGTATGGTCTTTAAAGAGGGAGAGAGAGAGAGAGAGAGAGAGAGAGAGAGAGAGAGAGAGAGAGAGAGAGAGAGAGAGAGAGAGAGAGAGAGAACAAAAAGCTAAGACCTTAAAACCTAACTTAAGGAGGACAGTTATTAGAATACCAAGAATAATAAATGACTGACATCACAATGTTTGCAGAATTGAAGGATTCTACAGTAACTCGCATTTGAGACCTGGCCATCTATTCAGCTCAGCAGTCAGTAGAATATAACTACTGTGTACCAAGCTGATAGCCACAACAAACGAACCATTACCAAGAAAAGAGAAGAACAGAATCAACCAGCTAAATCCACAAATATACCAAAATATCAATTTACTCGATTAACAAATTGGCATGTGTGTACCACTCCAATCTATTCTGACGAAACATGTATACACGATCATCTCAACTAATCTGAACTCACTTCCTACATCAGCTAACCATAGCATGATAGGCACAGATTCCTATCGAATAGTTATAGAAATTTCCGATCCATCATCTAACGCCCAAGTGAATTCGGACTACAGATATTCCACAATCTTGGTGACTTCTATTGATAATCTTCCAGGCATGAATCCAGGCCAATCCTTAGAGCCCATGAGAGCCAAACTGTTGGGTGAAGGAGTCATCAGGCTTCTTCGAGACTTTGAGGATGAAGATGATACTGAGGTGTCAAAGACTACTACCATTACAAGTCCCGGAGACGACACTATGGTAGCTATAATTGCTGTCCCCACATACTTCACAGCCACCGATCTTTTGGGCTTTGTTGGAGACCATTATATGAAAAGCGTCACGCATATTCGCATTCTCAAAAGTGACAAGGTGAACCGGTTTATGGTGTTGATTAAATTCAATAATTTGGTCAAGGCCGAGGAATTCCAATATCATTATGATGGAAAGCCTTTCAATTCGATGGAGCCGGAAACATGTCACGTTGTTTTTGTTAAATCCGTGGTTACAGACACCACTTCCAGCACTATCCCCAACAAAGACCTGTTGATCCCGTTTTTGTTGGACGACCCATTCACAGCATCTCATGAATCTTCTGAGGACTCCACATCTGGCAAACTAGATCTGGAACCTGACCCCATAGAACTTCCAACATGTCCTGTTTGTCTCGAAAGACTAGATTATGAGGTTACAGGCTTGTTAACTATTCCATGTCAGCATACTTTCCACTGCCAATGTCTCTCTAAATGGAGAGACGATACTTGTCCGGTTTGTAGATACACCAACAACATTTCAAACCACAAGATACGACGTTCCGTCCGGAGATTGCTGCAGATCAACTCAAGAATGTTTCAAAGACTCAATCAGCAGCCCATCGAGGAAGAGGGTGCCAATGAAACGACTGATCAGTGCATGCAATGTACGGCGGCCGAGAATCTATGGGTCTGCTTGATATGTGGAAATGTTGGATGCAGCCGATATGCACCTGAGCAGCATTCATTGAAGCATTTCGTGGAGACAGGGCATTGCTTTGCCATGGAGCTCAATACATCTCGAGTTTGGGATTACGCAGGAGACAACTACGTCCATCGATTGATAGCAAGTGAGGCTGATGGAAAAATCGTGGAGCTACCTGAAAAAGATGCTCAAAATGAGACGAAAATTAATCTGAAGGACAACGATAACACTGAATATTCCGAATTACTCTTGAGTCAGCTAATCAGTCAACGAGAGTATTACGAGCATTTGCTCAATGAAAACGGCCCAAGTCAGGGCATGAGACTGAGAAGAGGCTCATCTATCGTAGAGTCTGCATCTACGAGTAAGAAACTCAATGATATGGAGTCTCAGATTGCTGAACTAACTGATAAGTTCAATAAAGTGTCTACATCAGTTATTCCTGCCTTGAAACAGAAGGTCGATATGAAAAACACATCACTAAGACTTGCTATGAAGGAGCTAGAGGAATCCAATGCAATGAATGAGGGACTTTCAGCCAAGGTTGAGTTCTTGACAGAAGCAAACAAGAAGCTAAAGGCAGAAAACGTGGACTTACAGGACCAAGTAAAGGATCTTATGTTTTTCTTAGAAGCTCAAGAGAAGTTCAAAGGAGCTTCCGATGAAGTCAGGGATGGAACGGTAGTGATCCAAGAGCTGAGCAAGAAGAACAAGAAAAAGACCAAACGGTGAAATAATGGTTGCAAAAGAGCGTTGGGTGGAGTTGTAATGCTTAACTACGAGGAGGCACGGGTGTTGACACTTTGGTGTAAGGGTTTTGAGTTACGTGGTGTACGGATGTTTATTATCTTTGTGGATGGGTGTTTGTGGACAACAATTTAAAACACCAAATCAATACATAAGATACCAATTCTGAGGGTCCGAAGCGTAAGTAGGGATATTGCAGGGGTCTACTTATGGTGTCAGACGTAATAGATTTCAATTATCTCAAAATCTACCTGCAAAGCATCTGATGTTACAGTCAATAGCCCAAATTCAAGATCAATTAGTCTTTTATCAATCAAACAATTAATTTCAAGTTTCCCGAAGTCATGCTTTCATTGTATATTCCTACTTGTCCTTGCTGTTTAAACTATCTTTGACAGGTTCCAATCATCGGATCCTGCGCATATAGCGATGAGACCTCAATAATTTTTTTCGCAGCGACCTCATTGAATTCTCATCTGTTCAGTTTTCTCCACATATCCTCAAACCCAAAATGGACTCTGCCTCAAAATCGCTGCTCAGCAGTAGTGAGGTTGCATTCCCCAGAGGTGGAGCTTCGGTTTTGACTCCGTTGGAAGTCAAGACTATCTCCAATAAGGCTACTGAAGATGTCCTCTTCGAGCAGGCCAATGATTCCAAAAAGAGGGTCAGCTCGACGGCTTCTCAGCCTTCCAAAAAGAGAAAAAAGCAAAAGAAGAAGGATGATACCGAAACCGAGGAGAAGTCGATTGCTATTGAGCATTTCACCTTTAAGAACATGATTCCTGGCTCATCTGTCTTGGGTCAGATTGTGCGTATTGACAAGGTCAACCTTACACTTACATTTGGAGACAACTTGTTGGGCCAGATTCCTATCACTGCTATTAGTAAAGAGGTTTCTGCCATGATCGAGAAATATGAGGCTTCGCAAGAGTCTGACGATGAGTCTGATGACGAAGGGTCCGGCTCTCTTAATTTCAAACCTGAGTTTCCTAAGTTGAATGAGTTGTTCACCATTGGCCAGTGGCTTCGTGCACAGGTGACTCCCAGCGACGAGAAGACCAAGAGAATTACATTGTCTATCGAGCCAAAGGTGGTCAACGCTTCTGTTGAAGAAGACGACTTGACTACTGGAAACATTCTCCAGGCCTCTGTCAAGTCTGTTGAAGACCATGGTATCATTCTCGACTTTGGCCACGACGAATTTTCCGGCTTCATTTCAAAGAAGGAATTAAAGAAGGCTGAAATCGACCCAATATCTCTTAAGGTCGGCCGTGTCATCCTCGTATCTGTCATCAGCAAGAACAACTCTATTGTCAGTGTAAGATTGGCAGAAAACGAGAACGTTTCCAAGAAAACCACTATCACTGCTATTTCATCTATTGATGCTATCCATCCAGGTGCTGTCGTCAATGCCATCATTACTGAGGTATCCAACAACGGTGTTTCTGCCAGACTTTTTGGTCTTGTGGATGGATCTTTCTCACTTCCACATGCAGAGGAGTTCACTTTGGAGAAGTTAAAGAACCATTTTGGCGTGGGATCCACTGTCAGAGCTCGTGTCATTGGTATTCTCACACAGGATGGAACCAAGAAGTTTGTATTGTCTAAGTCTTCCAAGGTGATTGCCTTGGAGCCTGTGTTGAATAAGGAGCCATTGGAGGCCTTCCCAACTGGTTTTGTTATCAACAACGTCGAAGTCATTGGTTCCGATGACTCCTACATCTACGTCTCTATGGGTTCTTCATCTATCAAGGGACAAGTGCACAAATCTCAGACTGATTCAGAGTTGGACATCGATGTTAACTACAGAGTTGGCACAAAGCATGAAGCTAGAGTGTTGCGTTACTCCGAGATTGACAACATGTTGCTCTTAACACTTAATCCTAAGGCTGTCAAGTCCAAGTTTGTCTCGGCCGAAGATATTCCGGTCGGTGAGTACATTCCATCCGTGGAAGTCACCAAGATTCTCCCTGACGGTAAGGGTATCATTGTCAAAATTTTCGGGGACTTTGAGGCTCTTGTTCCTCCAACTCAAATGTCAGACATCAAGTTGGTATACCCAGAAAGAAAATTCAAGGTGGGTAGCAAAGTTAAGGGAAGAGTCTTGTTCAAGGCCGGCAAGAAGTTGTTTGTGACCTTGAGAAAGAGTTTGGTGAACATGGATGACGATGCGATTGCAAGCTCCATTGATAACCTATCTGTGGGCTTCAAGACTTCCGGTATTGTTGACAGATTCATTCCAGGTGGTGCTCTTATATCTTTTTTCGGAAGCTTGAAGGCATATTTACCCAAGAATGAGATTTCCGAAACTTTCGTTGAGAATGCTAAGGACTACTTGAAGGAAAGCCAAGCTGTTTCCGTGAGAGTTTTGAGTGTGAAGCCTCTGGAAGGAAAGGTTTCCGTGACATTGCGTCAAGCCACCGAGCTCAGCAACAAGCAGATAGAGCACCTTGAGGAAATTGAGATCGGAAGAACCATTGTGGATGCCACAATCGCCGAAAAGGCAAAGGAGTCTATCATTGTTGAATTGGAAGGTTCCAACTTAAGAGGTATTATTGCCACTGGCCAGTTGTCTGACGGTAACTACGAGGAGAACAGAATCATTTACAAATCCCTTAAAATTGGGGGAACAATTGAGGTTGTCATTCTTGAGAAGGATTTCAGAGCAAGAGCTGTGATTGCTTCTGCTAAGAGATCATTGGTCAACGCTGCTAAAACCGAGACCTTGCCAGTGCATTACGAAGATGTCCACGTTGGAAACTTGGTTTCTGGATACATCAAGTCGGTCACCAGCATGGGATTGTTCGTCTCTTTCGCAGGTAAATTGACTGGATTGGTTTTGGCCAAGAATGCCACCGAAGATCCAACTGAGGATTTATCCTCCAAGTTCTACAAGTACCAGTCTGTTGCCTGTAGCGTCATTAAAACGGAGGACGAGAACAAGCGTTTCATGTTGGCACTCTCAAGCACTCCAACCAACAAGGTTAACGCAACTTCGAAGTTGAAGAACCCAGTCGACCAATCCATGAAGACTGTTTCAGACTTTTCTGTTGGTGTCTCCACTTCTTGCGTAGTTGAGTCGATTGAACCAGGTTACTTAAATGTTCGTTTGGCTGACAACTTGTTTGGAAGAATTGAGGCTCTGCAGTGTGTTACTTCTTGGTCTGATATTAAGAATCCAAAGGATCCTCTTGCATCATTTTCTGTTGGCAAGAATCTTAAGGCTAAGGTGATTGGATACTTCGACACCAAGGCTCAGAAATTCTCTGCTGCTGCCACCTTCAACAAGGAGACTATTATCGAGTTGTCCATTCTCAAGAAGGAGATCAAGAGCAAACTGCCATATAAGCCACAGTCGCTTTCTGACATCGATGAAGGTTCTGAGCACGTTGTTTTCATCGAATCTTATTTACATGGTGTGGCAAATGTTTCACTTTCTCCAAATGTGAAGGCCCAGATTCCAGTGTATGCTCTTTCTGCAAACAATGATGACTACAAGAATTTTGACACCTCATTCCCATTGGGTACTGCTCTCAGGGCCAACGTGACTGGGTTCGATTTCCAGCATGGGAAGGCAATTTTATCTGCTAGATCCGAGCCTGTAGAGTCCGTGAGTGACCTCGAGTTGAACGAAAAGTACCCAGCAAAGGTCTTTAAGATTGCTCAAGCCTTTGTTCTCGTGGAATTGGCTCCAGGTGTTGTTGGTTACTCTTACATTACTGATGCCTTGAACGACTACGACCAGAAGTTGGAAGAGACTTACAAGCAGAACCAGGCCGTTCTTGTCACCATCACCGAGCTCGATAAAAAGGAAAACAAGTTTAGCGTCAGCTTAAGAGATGAGGAGAAAGCCAAGGACAAGCCAGTCAACTCTATCGACGAAATCAAGCGTGGTGATCTTGTAAAGGGTTTCATCAAGTCTATCAGCGCCAACGGTCTCTATGTCTCCTTAGGTAGAGAGTTGTATGCTTTGGTGAGAGTTGCAGACATCTCTGATGCATTCTTGAGTGACTGGAAGAAGTTTTTCAAGCCATATCAGGCCATCACCGGAAAGATCTCCCAATGTAAGGCTGAGGGACGTATTTTGATGACTTTGAAGGAGAGTGAAGTGAACGGAGACTTGACCAGTTTCAGAACCTTTGAAGAGTTGGAGGAAGGTCAGAACTACGATGGTAGTGTCAAGAAGGTACACGACTTTGGTGTTTTTGTCAAGTTAGACGACACTGCTAACATTAGTGGATTGTGTCACCGTTCCGAAATCGCAGATACTCCAGTTGAGAGTGTTGAAGCTTTGTTCGGTGAAGGTGACCGTGTCAAGGTCAAGATTTTGAAGATCGATAACTCCAAGAAGCAGCTTTCATTGGGTATGAAGGCTTCCTATTTCACCAACCTCAACGATGAGGATGTGGACATGGAAGCTGACTCCGAGTCTGAGGAAGATTCTGAAGATGAGGTCATGGAGGATGCTTTTGATGAAGAGAAGTCTGACTCCGAAGATGAAGAGGATGACAACAAGGAGAAGGCTGAGGCTGCTCTGATCAACGGTTTGTCTACTAACGGTTTCGACTGGACTGCATCCATTTTAGACCAGGCAGATGACCACCTCTCGTCTTCTGATGAAGAAGATTTCACGGAGATCAAGAGGAAGAAGAAGAAGGGAAAGAAGCAGGTCCAAGACAGAACTGGCGAGATGAACTCTCGTGCACCACAGTCCATTGGAGATTTCGAGAGATTACTTGTTGGTAATCCTGACTCCTCCGTTCTTTGGATGAACTACATGTCGTTCCAGTTGCAATTGGGTGAGATTGACAAGTCCAGAGAAATTGCCGAGAGAGCTCTCAAAACCATCAACTACCGTGAAGAGCAAGAGAAGATGAATATTTGGATTGCTTTGCTCAACTTGGAAAACAGTTTCGGCACTGATGAGTCCTTGGATGAAACTTTCAAGCGTTCGGTCCAATACATGGATTCCTTGACCATGCACCAGAAGTTGATTGGTATTTACCAATTGTCTGAGAAGTTTGACAAGGCCGACGACTTGTACAAGGACATGACTAAGAAGTTCAGCAGAGAGGTTTCTGTGTGGGTCCAATATGGATCTTCATTGATGGATCGCCAATTGAACGACGAAGCACACGCTCTTTTGGCTCGTGCTTTGCAATCTTTGCCAAAGAGAGACCACATAGATGTTGTGAGAAAATTTGGACAACTCGAATTCTCCAAGGGAGATGCAGAACAGGGTAGATCTTTGTTTGAAGGTTTGGTTACTGACGCCCCAAAGAGAATCGATCTTTGGAACGTTTACATTGATCAAGAGATCAAGTTCGGTGATAAGGAGAAGGTGGAGTCCTTGTTTGAGAGAGTCATCACAAAGAAGTTGTCAAGAAAGCAGGCCAAGTTCTTCTTCTCCAAATGGCTTTCGTTTGAAGAGGAGAATGGAACAGAACATTCTGCTTCTAGAGTCAAGGCTCTTGCTGTGGATTACGTCCAGAACCAGTCCAAGGACGAGGAGTAAATCCTCTTGTACATTAAGATCGTGTTTGGTTCACGATCGTATATAGTAGTCATTATAAATGCATCCAAGTTTAGCTATCAGCCGGAATTTTCTTCTTCAGATTTTGAATCAAGCGTTTTCCAATCCGTGTCCATCGTCTGCCTCTTTGCATATGGCTGAGAAGAGTTCATCGAGTATCTCGAAGAACAACAGCTTATTGAGGAAATCGTTCTGGAACATTTCGAATAAATGAATACTTGCCTGGCTTGTATTCTTAAATCCGAAAATCTTTGCACACGTTTCGTTCATGAATACTCGCAAAATCACATTGGCTTCATCTCTTGTTGTAGATTGTTCTAATTTGGTTCGTAACTCAGGAGATTCTCTAAATTTTCCATTCGGAAAGAGTAATTGACGAAGCAATCCAAGTATATCCAATACCTTCTCTTCTTGTCTCCAATTAGCGTCAACTTGTTGTGTAATTGTCTTTTCAATGGCAGATCCAAGTACCTGTTGCAAAATCACCAAAAGCGCTCGTCCCCTTAACCAACTTTGTGAGGTTTTGAGATTAAAAATTGTCATGAGTAAATCCGATATAGGCTTCACAAATGGGATTTTGGCTTTGTCCTTTCCAATATCATCAAACTGCTTCAATTCTCGCTCCATCTCTTGAATGTTTGCCAAAATTTCCTGTTGTTCCTTTTCACTTCTGGGACGAATAGTGGTGGCCAAAGGTACTCTTTGACTCATCTTGCCGTAAAACTTGTTGAAGAATGCATCAAAGCTTTGTGATGACTTGGTTCCTTTTCCAAGCAGAAAATCTTCTGAAGAAAGAAACGAGCGAAACACTGCATCAGAGCATACTTCTGGAATCTTGAGAATCGATTGCAAATACTTCTCAAGCATCGGTTTTCTGAGTTCCACCTGTTGTACTTTCTGAAACTTCAACATAGGAACGGTCTTCTTTGGAAACTTAATGTTGGCAACTTCTGGACATCTTTTCTTCAAGTACTCATTCAATTTATAAAACTGACTGAATCTTCTTGCAACAATCCATCCCGCGATGACCTCATTGGGATCATCACTTGAAAACTTCTGAACTTCGATAATATAGAGAACGTATGGAGTGGTATCGTCGTTACCAAAGACACATGATTGAATTTGCACTTTGGACTTTCCGTATAAACTGTTCTCGTTCTCCTGAACAATATATTGTTGTCTCTGAAGCTCTTTTGCGCTAATTTCTCTCTCAACACTAACTTTAGATTTCTTTAGAACTCGAAGTTCGGGAACATTGTTTGTTAGCTCTGCCTTCCTGAGCAATGAAGCTAAAATATTATCTTGTTCAGTGAGGTTCTCGATATTCTTATCCAAAGTTGCGATCTTCTCGGATAGGCTTAAATCTCCAGGTGCTGCGAGTAGAATCTCCAGGCTGCCCAATTTGATATCTGGCAACTCTGTGGACAGCAGTAATGAATCAGAATTGACCGACTCGGGCCCAGAGTCATCGTCACTTCCCTCGTCAAAGAGTGCTGACATCCTGTTGGAGCTTGTATTGAGTTCATCCAGTTTAACTGCTTCTTCAAAAAGACTAGAGCTGTCGCCAAAGAGATTCTGACGACTCTCAGTACTTGATTCTGAAATAATTCGGCTTGGCGGCTGTCTGGTAGTCTCAAAAAGTGACACTGACTCACTTTCTTCACCCGACGATTTCATGATTCTTTCAAAAGCGGTAGCAACTGCCGAAACGACTCCTGGACTAATTGAATTATCTTCGAGATCAATGTCATGATACGAGGGAAGATTTCTTCCAGCAAAAGAGAGAGAAGCTTCTCTGCGAACTCTTCGATCCAGTTTTCCAAATTCCAAATCTCCATATCTGTTTGACTTCTTGAATCCACGAAAATGGTGGTTCTTCATGTGTTCTACTATGTTTTCTTGTAACAAAAAGAGCGACTTCCTAGCTTCTTGGTACTCGGCAGCCTTCGTCTCATCATCAGCACATTTCACGTAAGAGGTAACGCTATCTCTGATTTCGTCACTGATTAAAATATTCGGATTATCAAAGTATGTTGAGTAAATTCGAAGAATATCATCCTTGTTAGAAAACTCAAGTAAAAGTGGAACCTCTGCAGCATCAGAGACTTCTAGAGGAGCTTTAATACGATCAATGGCCTGCCAGAGATCAATGTCCGATTCATGTTTTTCCCTTTTAAGGTATTCACGGAAAACAGCTGCAAGTTTTGGTTGATTGAGAATAGCTTCCAAGGTCACTGTTGTGGGTAATGTTGTGTTTAGCTTTTCGTTAACTTTCTCGGAAAGTGCCGACAATCGTGCTTTTTCTGGGTTATAACCAGCCGAGCTTGTTGCTAACAGAATCTGCTTCTCTTGAATCGCTTTCTGAAGCTGCACAACTTCATCTCTTGTCTCGCAATTGTCAACATAATTCATCCACAATGAAGCTTTTTCTTGAGTCAAATTCGTTGGCAAAGAAGACGGAAGAACTAGCAGATTACTTTGAGCAGTATGTTCAGCCAAGGCTGCACGGAGTCTTTTGACTTGATGACGATGCTGCAAATTGTCACCCATTAACTTGACTACCATCTGGTTGAAGAAATCACCTTCACTCAAGACTTCAAATACATTTGCTAGAACAGTGCACGCAAGCAATTCTGTAATTAGCAGCAACACGGTTGGGTTTGAATTCTCTTGGTCAGAGAGTAAGTACGGTAGTACTGACCCCACTTTATGTCGAAGATATGCCTTTTCCTTGGTTCGACGGTTGGGCCCTGGAAGTAAAAGCGACACACCATCATGAAGACGGGCTCTGCCGAAGTTCTGAGCTGTGATGAGCTTGCTCTCAATTGAATAACTTGTATCGTGCGCTTTAGTTGTGGAAACAAAATGCGTATAGTGATCAGTGACAAGAGGGATTATCTTATAGACTAGTAGATTGGCCAAATTGATATTTGCAAGGCGTTCTTTCAAAGTTCGAACAACTTCTTTCAACTCCAAGTGGACCGAGTCTTGAAAAAGCCGACTGGAGGAAATTCTTGTGAACCACGAGTCCACGAATTCCTGGAGAATCAAGTTGAACATGTCGTCAAGAGATTCTGAAATGAGAAACGACTCTGGTATAGCTGGAGCTTCAAGAAGCGATCTATCGACGGTCAAAGCAGCAACCTCTGCATTCCAATTTGCCTTTGTGAGGAATTTGAACCTCCTGACTCTCCGTAAATACCCTTGTTTTTGAGGTTTTATCGTGAGAGCTAGATATAGCAGGTATGCACCTAGTAGTATTGAGAAGATCAACCACCACAAGATTTTGCGTCTTAGACTTGAAAATAGTAGCACTATTGCAATCAAGCCAGCTAGTCCCTTAGAGGAGAGCTTCGAATTGGGATTTGTCATTTTGGTCAATGATTATTTCATATCATAGTTGAAGCCATAGTGGTGCAGGTTATGGACTCGAGAGTGTATAGAGAGGATTGATAGTGGGATAGGACTAGTCAAAAGCCCTACTACTTAATTTGTAGAACTTAATATGATATAGATCTATATATGGAATGCTTCAATTAAATGCGACGGTTTATCTAGAATATATCTAGAGATCTAGCCTGTAGATATGCTGATGATTATGATTTGAGATCAGGCCTTGCGTTTCTTAGAAGGAGCGTGTTTGGACAGACGTTTTCTCTTTTTATCTAGCTTTGATGATTGTGTTTCATTCGAATCTTGCTTGATCTCACATATCTTATCTTGATCTTTTGACTGTTTTTCTTTCTTTTCTTTCTTTTCTTTCTTTTCTTTCTTATCCTTACTCTTCCTTTCCTTATCTATCTTCTCCTTCTTCTCCTTCTTCTCCTTCTTCTCCTTCTTCTCCTTCTTCTCCTTCTTCTCCTTCTTCTCCTTCTTCTCCTTCTTCTCCTTCTTCTCCTTCTTCTCCTTCTTCTCCTTCTTCTCCTTCTTCACTTCCAACACCATGGTCTTAACCACAGCCTCAAACACCTCCGTAGCCTCAACAGTAACACTCTTCACATGTGCATTTTCTGTCTTTCCAACAGTTCCAGCTAACCCTTCGCCTTTCACAAACATTCTATATAGCGGTGAATTGGCTTTTCTGACACTGTCCACCACTGCTGCAGTGTTCTGCTCAAAACTGACTCCATCGTTTCCGTTAGTCACGTCTAAGTTCTTGAGTTGGCCATCGAAAAGTCTTTCCCACCACATGTCTGCATCATTACCTTCTGATCCGAGACCCTTCGTGTCTTTCTTATGCTTGACCAAAATGGGCTTTTTAAGACCCCCTTTCTGCAACGCTTCGCCTTCCTTCCATCCAAACGATTGCAAGTACGAGCTGGCGTTCATTCCGCTTCCTGTACTTTCAAGTCTAACTTGGATATATATTTTCTCAGGTTTGAGATGCTCATCTAGCGTAGCCATGCAGGTTCATCAACTTCCTTACTACTTTAGTTATGCTGGAATCCACCGATTTGAATGCTGATCGACCAGTTGTATCTCCAGATATATTGTGTATAAATCTGTTTCTAGAGCTATGGAATCAGCTGCTAGCAGATGGACTTCCAATGCTTGCGCTTTGGCGTGAGAAATATAAGTACAGTGGATTAACTACTGACAATATCAAGGAATGGCAAGAATGTATTCAAAAGGAGGTTTCTGACAGCGAAGAAAAGAAGCTTGAAATTTGTTACTTGTTGAAGATATATGCCGAGAAGTATCCTACTCCAGAGAACTACTGTCGGTTTTTCGACCATGCTGGATATAATGATCGTGAATTCTTGCTGAAAGCGTTGGCAGATTGTGGTGTCAACTATGTGAGTAGCCACAAACTCTGGGACAAGATCGAGCAGAATAGTGAGATTGGACCAGAATTGTTTGCGGAACGCTTGTTGGTACCTCATAGAGAGATTCAGGCTACATATGAGAAGTATTCATCATGGGTATCCAGCCATACACCTGAAATATATACACAAAGTATGAGGGAAGCTAGCAAAATGGTGAGAGAGACAGAAAAGATGATGAGGTATATTGAGAAGTTGGAGAGTCAAGTGACTGAGACGCCGGAAGATCCACAGGTTTGGATAACATATATGAAAAAGCTAGGTAAGTTTGCATCGAAAGTCTACAACCAGAAGGAGCCGTTGATCAATTATAACACAATCAGACAGGTTTTTCTTCGATCTCTTTTCAACGGACAAGATAGAATTTCTGACGTCAATTGGATTCCAGTATGGATAGCCTACATCCGTATTTTAGAAGGAAGTGAAGAGATTTTTTATCTGGGCTACTACTTGCAAACGATCAATGAGTTTTGTCGAAGTTTTTCATATTTGGCAGAAGCATACATTCCACTATTACGTAATGTTTGCATCGAAGAAGAGGTTTGGTCGCTTCTGAAATTGGTTCTTGCTCGTATCAACACCAATGGATGGGCTGAGTCTGCGGAAGAATTGATTGGAGCATCTGTTCGTGCAGATTTGGGTCCTATGAAGTGTGCAAAATTACTCAAACCATTCGGAGAAATAGCTGCCACTACGAGCCTTCATAAAGACCATAAATTATTTCGATTAATCATCTCTTGGTTAGAACGTACAATGGATGTTGATGCTATTTCTCTAGCTAAAAGTCTAGTGATTGAGTTTTTTGAGAATTTTGCTTCAGAAACCGACGCTTGGATCTTCTGTTTCCAGTTTTTCACTCGTCATCTGGAAAAACATGCCAAGAAACTTCTCACTCTATGGGAACTGGATGCCTTAGAGGTAGACAAGCCGGAAAAGCTTTTGAATGAGATACTTCTGTATGCTCGAATGAATAGCCCAGCATACGCATACATCAATACCATGAACATGGTCGATTTAGTTCGAGAACAATTGGACAGTGGCGTGGTTCAGGAAACTGCGCCGGAAACAACTGTCGAAGAACCGGTCGAGAAGAAGACAAAGTCTACTCCACATAATGAGGAACTACTGGGCAGAAACAGAGAGCAATTCCGCTTAGTTTTGTCTCCAGTGACTACTGACATCACAGAAGAGGATATCAGAGCGTTTTTTGACGGATACGGCAAGCCCATATCTGTTCAAATTGCCGACAACTGTGCAATCGTAGAATTGAACTCGGAACAAGAGGTGATGACATGCTTGACTCGTGACATTAAGCCACTAAAAGGTGAACCCGTCAAAATCTCGAGATTATTTGCCAACACTTTGTGGATCACTAACTATCCACCACATTTCTCGCTACGAAATGTTACCGACATGATTAATTCTTTCGGAAAGACAGCCATAGATGTGAGACTACCACTGCAGAACGACTTGAAGCAACGCAGATTCTGCTATGCAGATTTTTCTGACCCCGAAACCGCTCAGCATGTCCGAAACAGATTAAATGGTCTTGAGGTGGAGAATTATACCGTCCAAGCTGAAATATCCAACCCTACATTGCGTAAGGAGCGCAAGACTCCACCTATTGCTCGACAAGTATATGCTCACAACTTGAATTTCAAACAGACAACAGAACAGACATTAAGGGAGCTATTCCTGAAATTTGGCGATGTGGAAAGCATTAAGTTGCCATTGAATGAGACCAACAAGAATAGAGGAAACACGAACAACGGATTTGCATTTGTAACTTTCACCACTGAAGCTGCAGCCAAGGAAGCACTCAAGTTGGGAGGAGCACAGTTAGATGGACGGAGAATTGAAATATCAGCCGTAAAAACAAAGCAAGTTCTTCACAATATCAACGCTTCACATTTCAAGGCGGATAATACAGTGAGTATTCAAAATATCAGCGAGTTAGTTACTTCGGAACAGTTGAAGGTGTTTTTGGGAGAGAAGGTTGGGCCAGTGAGCAAGCTACTTTTGCAACCAAGCACCAGATCTGCATTGGTGGAGTTTGAGGCATTCAAGGATGCCGGCAAGGTTGGACTTTTGCTAGAAGGTGTGGACTATCAAGACCATATATTGCATGTGGGGCTGAAGGACGATTTCGTCAAGAGTGGGACCAAACCTAAAACACCAAGTATGGTTCCTCCAATGTTAATGAGAAGAAGAAGAAAGTAAAATGGAGAGCAAGACGAGAAGCCAAAGATGCGGAGTAAAATTACAGATGAAGACAAAGCATAAAAACCGACCAGGAGATGATCAAGTCACGTTTAGTATCATATAGTGAGTTTGAGACCTGACTCATTAATTCACACCACCCATATATATTATGCACTTCAAAGACTTAAGTATGTGACTACAAAATATAATTATTGCCATGATTTTATTCATATCCCTCGAAAATTATTCCTTAATTTCAATAAAAGCACATTCGGATTTTTACAAAATGACATGTAAAATACCTTTCTTGATTACTTTCCCTACTTTTCTCGCTACAAGTCAAAGTAGAGTCTAACCTGTATCAACATATTTGCGAAAATACAAATTTTCAAGTGACTCTTTTTTTCACAAATAACCATGAGTGCTACCATCAAGTTGGAAAAAACCGACAGAAGGGACACTCTTGTCGAGATCGAGAAGAAGTACCAGAAGTACTGGGCCGACAACAAGTTTTTCGACGTGGATGCCCCCACTTTGGAGGAAGATGCTGAAGATGATGCTGATGTCTTGAGAGAGAAGCACCCCAAATTCTTCGTCACTATGGCATACCCATACATGAACGGTGTTTTGCACGCTGGTCACTCTTTCACTTTGTCCAAGGCCGAGTTTGCTACTGGATTTGAGAGAATGAACGGAAAGAGAGCCTTGTTCCCATTGGGTTTCCACTGCACTGGTATGCCAATTAAATCGTCTGCTGACAAGATCCAGAGAGAGGTGGAGATGTTCGGTGCAGATTTCTCTGGTGCTCCTGCGGAGGATGAAGAAGAGGAGGAGACTCCAAAGGAGGAGAAGGCCAAGGAGGATCCTACCAAGTTCAAGGCTAAGAAGTCCAAGGCTGCTGCTAAGCAGGGCAGAGGTAAGTACCAGTTTGAGATCATGTTGCAGCTTGGTCTCTCCAAGGAGGAAGTTGCAGCTTTCGCTGACCCTCAACACTGGCTCCAGCACTTCCCACCTTTGGTTCAGAAGGACGTTACTGCGTTTGGTGGTAGAGTCGACTGGAGAAGATCCATGGTCACTACTCCAGCCAATGCCTACTACGATGCTTTCGTCAGATGGCAGATCAACAGATTGAAGGACTGTGGCAAGATCAAGTTTGGTGAAAGATACACCATCTACTCCGAGAAGGATGGCCAGGCTTGTTTGGACCACGACAGACAGAGTGGTGAGGGTGTCAACCCACAAGAGTACGTTGGCATCAAGATTGAGGTTACTGAGTTTGCTGCTGAGGCCCAGAAGATATTCGCTGAGAACAACTTTGACCTCGCCAACAATAAGGTTTTCTTGGTGGCTGCCACCTTGAGACCAGAGACCATGTATGGACAGTCGTGCTGTTTTGTCTCGCCAAAGATTGACTACGGTGTCTACAAGGCTGCCGACGGTGTTTACTACATCACTACCAAGCGTGCTTTCAAGAACATGTGCTACCAGAAGTTGACGCCTCAGAGAGGTGACTACACTGCTGCTTTGACCATTAACGGTAGTGCCATTGTCGGCTCCAAGATCCACGCTCCTTTGGCTGTTTACAAGGAGTTGAGAGTACTTCCTATGGACACTATTTTGGCCTCAAAGGGTACTGGAGTGGTGACTTGCGTGCCTTCCAACTCTGCTGACGACTACATCACCACTAAGGATTTGGCCAACAAGCCAGAATACTACAAGATTGAGAAGGACTGGGTTCAGACTGATATCGTTCCAATCATCCATTCCGAGAAGTACGGTGATAAGACTGCTGAGACCTTGTGCAATGAGTTGAAGATCCAATCTCCAAAGGACACCGTTCAATTGGCCAAGGCTAAAGAACTCGGTTACAAGGAGGACTTTTACAACGGTACTATGATCATTGGCAAGTACAAGGGTGAAAAGGTTGAGGCAGCCAAGCCAAAGGTCAAGGCTGACTTGATCGCTGCTGGCGAGGCTTTTGTCTACAACGAACCCGAGTCCCTTGTGATGTCCAGATCTGGCGACGAATGTATTGTTTCCTTGGAAGACCAGTGGTATATCGATTACGGTGAAGAGAACTGGAAGGCTCAGGCCGAGGAGTGTCTTGCTTCCATGGAGACCTTCTCCAAGGAGACCAGACACGGCTTTGAGAGTGTTTTGGATTGGTTGAAGAACTGGGCTCTTACAAGAACCTACGGTTTGGGTACTAAATGTCCATGGGATGAGTCACAGTTGATTGAGTCTTTGTCTGACTCCACTGTCTACATGGCCTACTACACCATTGCACGTTTCTTGCACTCCGACTACTATGGTAAGGTCAAGGGTAAGTTCGACATCAAGCCAGAGCAGATGACCGATGAAGTGTTCGATTACATCTTCACCAGACGTGATGACATTAAGACCGATATCCCATTGGACCAGTTGAGGGCCATCAGAAGAGAGTTCGAGTACTTCTACCCATTGGACGAGAGAGTTTCCGGTAAGGACTTGATTCCTAACCATTTGACTTTCTTCATCTACACTCACGTTGCCATCTTCCCCAAGCAGTTCTGGCCCCGTGGTGTGAGAGCCAATGGTCATTTGATGTTGAACAACGCCAAGATGTCTAAGTCCACAGGTAACTTCTTGACTTTGCAGCAGATTGTGGAGAAATTCGGAGCTGATGCTTCCAGAATTGCTTTGGCTGATGCTGGTGACACCGTAGAGGATGCTAACTTCGATGAGGCCAACGCTAACGCTGCTATCTTGAGATTGACCACTTTGAAGGAGTGGTGTGAGGAGGTCAAGGCCAACAAGGACACCTTGAGAACCGGAGAGTTCAACTCTTTCTTCGACGAGGCCTTCGACAACGAGATGAACCACTTGATCGAGCAGACTTACGAGCAGTATTCTAACACCTACTACAAGAATGCTCTTAAGTCCGGATTGTTTGACTTCCAGTCTGCCAGAGACTACTACAGAGAGTCCGTGGATGTTATGCACAAGGACTTGGTGTTCAAGTACATTGAGGCCCAGGCATTGTTGTTGGCTCCTGTCGCTCCTCACTTCGCTGAGTACTTGTACAAGGAGGTGTTGGAGAAGGATGGTTCTATCCAAACTGCTAAGTTCCCTAGAGCCTCCAAGCCAGTTTCCCAAGGCTTGTTGGACTCCTTGGAGTACGTCAAGGAGGTGGCCAGAGCTGTTCGTGATGCCGAGTCTGTTGTGTTGAAGTCTAAGAAGGGAAAGGCCGAGGTTGATGCTTCCAAGGCTGCCTCCATCACTTTGCTTGTGTCGACTTCTTTCCCAGAGTGGCAAGACGAGTACATTGAGCTCGTAAGAGAATTATACGAGAGCCACACATTGAACGACAACAAGGTGATCAAGGAAAAGGTTGGTAAGGACATGAAGAGAGCCATGCCATTCATCAACTTCTTGAAGCAAAGATTGGTGAAGGAAGACCCCAAGACAGTTTTTAACAGAAAGTTAACGTTTAACGAAGGTGAGCTTCTCAAGAAGGTGTTGACCATCATTGAGAAGGCACCTACTACTCTTAATGTTTCCGAGGTGAAGGTTGTTGCTTTCCCTCATGGTAGCAAGAGCGGAACCGATCTTATTTCCGGCGAGGAGGTGGCTATTACTGCTACAGGCAAGGTTGTTGAGGCTGCCGTTCCTGGAGTTCCTGGTATTTTGATCAAGAACGTTGAGTAATGTATAGATAATAGAAGTATTGTGTAAAGGCTGGGGGTGGGGATTGTTCCGCCATGTAAAGGAGTATTGTAGGGCAGAAATATTTGTATTAGTCGTAATCTTGAACGTTTCCTCGAGTGTCTGCTTGTACAGGTGAAATCTTCCATCTGAATTTATATTGCCTCCAGTATTGTCCCCAGATTTCCATTTTTCACACTACATTCTCGAAGCTATGCTCAATCTGGGACATACCAACACACCTGTACGGTGTGCGAAAAAGAAAGCAGATTTCATCTTAAATGTTGAGTTTATTCGAGAAACGCCAGTTGAGAAAGCAAGAACATTAGAAGAAGATTGAGCTAAATTTCAAAATAAATTTCATCATACCATTCAAGTATTTTTGTTTTCTACCATCCTTCGCCCGTCCTCGGCATCTTCGGCCCACCCTGTTATCACGTAATAACACCCGTACCCCACAGACCTGTATGGCTTCTCCAACTGTGATTCCTTACAATTTCTATTACCTATCAACACCATCACAAAATAGACACAAAACACATCGAAAATTTCCATCTAGTGAGCTCTGGTCCTCGTCAAACTACTCTGACTTCATATTCTGCATCCGCCATGTCCGACGTTCCTTCACAGTACCCGCTCCTAGGTAGTACTCCCAACTATGACACGAAACTTGCAGACCCATCCGCCAAACTCGTGGACTCCTGGCTCCAGGAGTCGTACCTGCCATTTTCTCTAACCAGTGTCTCTGCTGTTCCGAGTAGAGAGTCGCGTAAGCGATTTCGCGCTGGTTTGGACGCTGATGGTCCTAGCCCTACCGATTTGGCTGTTCAGGTTAGAGAACCTGACTCGGGAGATGAAATGATCATCACCGATACTGAAAGCGGCGCTGATGACATCTCTCACGCGTCCAAGCGCCGTTTAACCGTCACCCTGGGCGATCTTTTAGGGCGAAACCTGGCCAGAATTCTGAATCTTCAACTGGCTCATCCGCCATCAATACCATCAGCAGTTTCGCTTCCCTCGGCTACTTCAACATTAGCTGTGCCTATAGAGAAGGACCAAGTTCACCCTTGCACTCCCTCAGGCATGGAGGAGTCGCTCACCACCACGCCAGTTTCAGATATCGACGAGCAGAATCCTCAGCAACTTGTCCTTCCTCTGCCCCTGGCATCTCCCGTTCAATCGGTCACAGACAAGCCATCGGTCCACGAGGAATTAGAAAGACAACTTCTGAAGGTACCTAACACGCAGGCTGAGCTCATTGACCTTCTTCTTAACTTGAGCAGTTATGTTCTGGAAGCAAATAGAAATAACCTTGTGTTTGGGTTGCTTCAACATGTTGGAAGACTGCTGCTCCTGTCATTATGCGGTATCATCCAGGACAGTCTTCGTCGCGATATTCTTCTGAGCTTGCCTCTTGAGGTGCTGTTGAATATCTTGTCTTACTTGGACGCGAAGAGTGTTTTGGCCGTATCGCTGGTTTGTCGTCGCTGGCTTCGTCTTGTAAACAACACAACGCTCTGGCGTAACATGCTCATACGAGACAAGCTAGTCACTGATGAACTTCACTTATATTACGAGTTGGTCAATCCAGCAAAATTATTTGCAGAATGGGCTAGTCCTAGCCCTTACTTGAGTGAGCTCAATGTTGCTCAAATTCTTTACAAAAAACGATCTATTATCTTGAGACGGTGGATGGATCCGAAGTACGAGCCCTCGCGTATCAGTGTTGCGGGCCATGGTTCTAACATTGTCACTTGCCTCCACCATGATGAGGAGAAGGTAATTACTGGTATCGAGGGTAAACTGATCAACGTGCATTCCACGAAAACTGGAGAGTTGCTTCGTGTGTTGAAAGGTCACGACGGAGGTGTTTGGGCTCTCAAATATTTCTCCAACACCTTGGTTAGTGGCTCTACTGACAGAGAAGTTCGTGTTTGGAACATCCGCACTGGTCGTTGCACACATGTCTTCCGTGGCCACACCTCCACGGTAAGGTGTATGGATATCCTTCATCCAGCTAAAATTGGAGTGAACGACAACGGTCTGCCTATTATGTATCCTAAGGAGCCACTTTTGGTGACTGGATCCAGAGACCATAACTTGCATGTGTGGAAACTTCCACTTGATAACGAAGATGTTGGAGCAGATGAAATCACTGAAACGAAAACTTATGATGCCAAAGATCCTTCAAACCCATATATTGTGGCCATTTTGACTGGCCACACTCAATCTGTGAGATCTGTGACTGGATACGGAAATATCATTGTCTCAGGCTCATACGACACCACAGTCCGCGTCTGGGATTTGTTAGAAGGGGGAAGATGCAAGCATGTTCTTGAGGGCCATAGCGACAAGATTTACTCGACAGCCCTCAACTTCGAAAAGCGTCGTTGTTACTCGGGATCGATGGACCTGTCGATTAATGTGTGGGATTTCGAAAAGGGAAAGCTCCTTTTCTCACTAGAGGGCCATAACTCGCTTGTTGGACTTTTGGAACTCTCGGATGGATACCTCGTTTCTGCTGCTGCAGATGCTACTTTGCGAGTGTGGGATCCAGTGACAGGTGAGAATCACAGCAAGTTGAAGGGCCACAATAGTGCCATCACATGTTTCCAGCACGATAGTCTTCGGATTGTGAGTGGTAGTGAACGTATGCTAAAACTATGGGACATAAAAACCGGTCGGTTTGTTAGAGATCTTCTTACAGACATCACAGGAGGTATCTGGCAGGTGAGCTTCGATCCCGACCGTTGTGTTGCTGCAGTGCAGAAACACAAGAATGATGCCGAGGAAACTTACATCGAGATTTTGGACTTCAGCACACCATTGAATGGACCCTCCAATTTCAACTCGAATCTAAGTTTACCCGCACCCATGGAAATTTAAACCTTCCTCTAGTCATCGCCGTATTATTCCCTATATACCCATTATGTCGCAGAATACTAGTTTAATTCATATGGAGTTTCAATCCACGAAGTAGAGCTTCCGGAGCTTAGTCAACCTCTCAATTCCATCATCAATATCAATGCTATTCCGTCTCTTTGTAACCTGCCCATCCATGTTGAGTACCTGATCCTTTTCCGAGAGATATTCACCTTGTCGTCCAATGTTCTTCTCCAGATCGTACATCATGTTCTTGAAATATTCAAAGAACGGAATATCTCCAACATTCTGGATATGTGAACACCAAGGCTTATGGCAGTAGTAAGGGTCAATCTCCTCATCCTCCTCCATCTCGTCCATAAACTCTGTCGAAAAGCCAATCGTCAGATGTGCTGTGTGTGGCGGAAACTTGCAGGGAGTCAAGATCTTCGACGAACTGAGAATGGGCAATTGAATTTGTTCTTGCTGGCCATGTTGCTTGATAAAGACTCGTTGATTGCAATCTGTGCAAACGAGCAAAAGCACCGTCTGCGACGAAAAAGTTTGGATGTTTAAGTCCCAGCCCATCAGTGCTAGTGAATGAAGCCATGGCGGGCACATGCGTTCGAGGATAACAGAGAAGTTCTCCTTGTTGTCATGGAAATACCTTGCAAGAAGCCATTTGTTGGACACAGTTACCAATCGAGTGAGGTCATCAACTGAGATTGGAGGTGACAAGTTGCGGATACTACCGGAATGCTCCAGAAGTATAGGTAAGTTGTCTGTAAGGTTACGTAAGCACTTGAGGTAGTTGCCTATTAGGATTTCGTTAGTTTCACTGATGTAAGGTGTAAGGTAGTAGACACCAGCTAACGGAGTATGGACTTTTGTCCACGAACAGGTCTCGACATGGCCGGTAGTTCGTATCTGTTCGATGTACAGCAACTTCAAGTTGTTGTTGAGTTGGTTAATGTCCTCCAAGTCGAACTGGAATGGAACATACGCAGGCTGCTGGTCCACGGAATTGAAACGGAGCACAAGTTCATGTCCACAAGAAGTGCATTTTAGATGATTTTTCGTGTTGTTGTTGCGAGCAATAGACTCACATGCCCATCCACCAGCAGCACAGACAAGTTCTGTCAACGACTCTTCCCCGGAACCGGGTGGAATATTCCAGTTGAGAGCATTGAAGGTTCGAAGTCTCTGCAAGAGTAACTCACGCGAATATGGATCAAATAGTGTGGAGCGGCCGTTAATATTGTCAACGGACGATTCTAGACCCGAAGTCTTCATTTTATGGTAAGCATAGTGGTGATTAGCTTTAACCAGCCGGAAAAACTGTATGTCTGGGTGAGTAGCATAATTTGCTGGAGTTACCGGAGCTGAGCGGAAATGCAGCATTTCTTGGGGAAGAGTTGATTTCAGAAATAGCTCAAGATAGTGATCTAGGACTTTAGGGGTCCCGGCCGAGAGTTCGGAGAGATCCATGTGGATTATAGGTGTGGAAAATAGAGGCATTTCCGAAATGGTTCACATCACGTGACTGTGGCATGAATAAAATGTACAGGTATGCTCTTTGTTATATACGAGAAAAATTGACCCGTTGATCATGTCCTGGATGTTTGGATGTTCGGGGAAAGACAAGGTTTGTAGTTGGAGTACAGGAATGGAGGCAGGAGTCAGCAGGGGTCAGCAGTTAAGCTGAGAGCGGATAATTGAAGTTTGAAGATGAATTTAAAGATGGATTTCGGAGTTGAATTTGAGGTTTCCATGAAGTTTTGGTGACACACGTCATTCATGCGCAGTTAAGTACATTTTTCGGCGAGTGCGTGGATCAGTTGAAGTGTAGGCAATTGATAAGATAAGAACCTGTTCAATAACCGAGAAAGACAGGAGAAATCTAAAAGGAAAATGGAAATTGTAAAGTAATCAGTTCAATGTCATAAGTCTATTTCATTGGTTTTGGGGCAAATTGACCAATTAAATGATCGGAAGTCCTCTGCCCAAAAACCTATATACCAGATAGGTGAGTCCTATGGATCATGATCACTTTTCCCATTCGAATCATCGGCCATCGTCTCCATGTTTGTCACCAAATGAAATTCCAACTGCAGATGTCATCCTAGCACAGCCTCAGTGTCCAAAGTATGCATTAACATTCAGCCGTTCAGTCCTTGTCCATGACCTGCGAGAAAGGCGGCTTAGACAAGTGTTCAGGTCAGTTGGTTGAGGGGCCCTGGTCGCGCAATAAGTCATTTACTATAAATATGGGGAAGGACCATTGCCGATACCGAGCTGAATTTTAATTCTCAGAAAAAGTACATGTCAAAAGATCAAGCTGCCGGTGGTCCTCCACCATATTCTCAAGGAGATGCCAAGTTGCCAAACCAAGGAAAGGGCAATTCTGGTCAATACCCAGGTCAATTCGGCCAGGGTCAATCCAGTCAGGGTCAATTCGGCCAGGGTCAATCCAGTCAGGGTCAATTCGGTCAGGGACCCCAAGGTCAAGGTGTTTATGACCTGAATCGTGGTTTCAATCTGAACCAAGGCTATAATCAGAACCAAGGGTTCAATCAGAATCAAGGTTATAATCAAGGTTACAATCAGAATCAAGGTTACAATCAAAACCAAGGTTACAATCAAAACCAGGGGTTCAATCAAAACCAGGGGTTCAATCACAACCAAGGTTACAACAATCAAGGTTACACTAACCAAGGATTTAACCAGAATCAAGGATTCAATCACAATCAGGGCTACAACAACCAAGGTTACAACAGTCAAGGTAATCAAGGTTACAATCAGCAACATGGTAATCAAGGCTATAACCAACATCAAGGTCAAAATCAAGGCCCATCGCATGGTCATGGCCCATCGCATGGTCAGGGCCAGCAAGTAGACCCTGACGACCCCATGTGGTGTCTTCAAGGGTACGATATCATCTACATTGTTGACGACTCGAGTTCCATGTCGTGGGAAGAGTCGAACTCGAGAATTATCCCATGGCCTCATGCCAGAAATGCATTGGTAACTTTCGCGACCGTCTGTAGCAAATGGGATCTGGACGGCCAGGATCTCTACTTTATCAATCGCAATGAACCGGTACTTAGAGCTTCTCCTCAGCAGATAGAGCACGCATTCAACCTGCGTCCTCCTAGTGGTGGTACCAATATGGGCAGAAGGTTGCATCAAGTTGCTACCAATTACTTTTCTCACTATCAGCCTGGAAGGACCAAACCGGTCAACATCATCGCCATCACCGATGGACAGTTTTCGGATGACGTGCTCAGTGTGATCCAGTGGATTGTCAATCAATTGGATCAGGTTGGTGCTCCACCCAATCAGTTAGGTATCCAATTTGTCCAGATTGGTGCTGATAAGGCTGCACGTAAAGGATTAGAGAGGTTGGACGACGATTTGAGTCGTGGAGGTTTCCGCAGAGATATTGTGGACACAGTTCCATGGGCTCCAGGAAAGTTGGACGGTGCTGGTTTTGATGGGAAGTACTTGATCAAAGTTGTATGTGGAGCCATCAATAAGAGATTGGATTATACAAAGGTGAAAGGAGCGAAGATGGGAGGTGGTAAAGAGGTGGACAAAAAGAAGGATAAGGATAAGCACAAGTTTAAGAAATTCTTTCTGTGATTCATGAGATTTCAAAAATACAGACTGCAAAGATCAAAGTATTAAGTAGATATTTACGAACAAATTATTACTAAAGAAACTAATCCAGCAAGTAGCAAAAATGCGAAAAACTTTCAATTCGTATTTCTACTTACACGCAATTCGTAACTTAGATATTTCAACCAATGATTTTCGACATATCATGCCTAAAATGCCTGCCTTTCTGTCCTTGCCGATATTTTGTCAATTGGACAATTCACAACATAACGACTACTGTCATGTATTTGTCCAATCGAGACTACTATCATACATAAAATCTCCACACTTTACCCCATCATCACTGATCAACGAAGTCATCAAAATAAGCAACAAGTCATTGGAATCTCTTCGCCCGTACTATCGGAACACGGCCCGATCACGTTTAGTGTTTATCAATCTAATCTGTCGTAAAACGCAGGCAAGCGTCATTCTGGCTCAGCCTCAGCCTCATGACGCACTGTCCAATATAATATGGAGGTAATGCTGCTAAAGTACTTTTTTTTTTTTTTTAAAGTACTTTCTGAGTTACCACTCCACATTTTCTTCCCAATTTCTCCACAATGTCTTCAACTGGACATCAAACAAGACAAAATTTGAAGCAGTCAACTGTTACACCCCTGGCGCCTCCTCCATATGCCACTGTCAGTTCTGCCCCCACATTATCAAGTCTTCCCGTCAGTGACGATGAACTTGCTGGACTTCGTGGATACGATGTCGTATACATAGTGGATGATTCGTCATCCATGTCATGGGAGGAGAGTGTTTCAAAAATCATTCCGTGGCCCCATGCCAGAGATGCGCTCATCACCTTCTCCACATTATGTGCTCAATGGGACGAAGATGGACAGGATGTGTATTTTCTCAATCGAAATGAGCCAGTGCTCAATGCTACACCGCAACAAATAGCTGAAGTGTTCAACCTGACGCTTCCAAATGGAGGGACCAATATGGGTGCTCGGCTTGCCAAGATTGCTAGAGCCTACTTTGAAGAGTATGATGCTGGAGAAGTGAAGCCAATGAACATTATTGCTATCACCGATGGCCAATTTTCAGACGATGTGATCAGTGTGATCAAGTGGATTGTTGTCCAATTAGATAAAAGAGATGCATTACCCAACCAGATCGGAATTCAGTTTGTACAAATCGGTGCAGACCGGGCAGCAACCAAGTGCTTGCAAATGTTGGATGATGATCTAGAAGATATGGGACTTTCCAGAGACATTGTCGACACGGTGCCATGGAGTCCCAGGAAGGTTGATGGGCCTGGTTTTGATGGTAAATATTTGATCAAGGTTGTATGTGGAGCTATCAATAAGAAGATTGATAACCAAGGGAGAAGAAAGAAGGGCACTAAGGGCACAGAAAAGCCTCAGAAGAAGAAGAGCATGTTGAGACGGATGTTTTCTTAGTGTCGAATGCTTAGTTAGTGTCGAATGCTTAGTTAGTGAAGGAGTTATGTTTCATTCATTTCGTTAATATTTTTATGTCGGTTACGGTTAGTTGGCATTGTAGAAGGATTGAGTAAGTTATTTGTGCATGAACTAATTAAGTATCATATTGTTAAACTCAAAGCTTGTTCAGTCTTTAAAAGATCTTGGACGTAACTGACTCCAGGATTAATATTTCGTATATTAACGAGAGCTCTGATTGATATGTCCTGGACAATGAATATTATGGAAAAAGTTGTTGTTGACATCTTCGAAATTGAGTTTGATTATATGATCAAAACCCTCAATTCTCATACATGGTACATGCGAAGTCATCTTCAACACAATTAGGAATTGAACTTCACAAAAAAGGGATCGTTGAAATACTCAGGTACGCTCAAACAGGATAAAATCAAAGCTAGAAAAAAAAAAGTGAGTTAAATGACAAAATTATCGAGTTTCGAGAATCCTGGGGAAATGACTTCCTACGTTCTGTGGGTTAGAATGCAGATAAATTGTATGGTGCAGAATGCTCTCCTCACATGGCGTCCTTATCTCGTCTAATCTAGGTCGAGATTTTGCTTCTCTAGTTATATATCGAAATTTATCTGGTCACATATTCTCTGTTCTAAATGAATGATTAATACTGGCCTTATCGTCACACACGTGAGACTAAATGAGTGCAATTTGGCAGGAGGATATTTTTCCTCTTTGTTAGCGTCATTAGCCCCACGTTGTACCTTGTAGTTACGAAAACCTTCATTTCTACTGGGAATGCGCAGCACATCACGCCTATTCACATCCAACAAATTAGTGAAACGACTATTTGTATGGAGTAACAATAGACAATTCGATTAGGAGTACATTATAATATGGGGAATTTTTCCATGTTTCAATGATTCCTTCGCAAACGTGGACATGTCTTTGGTCACGTACAATGTGCACTTGGCCAAATATACGAGCTTCGCTAGAGACAAAAGCCCCCCTTATCCGTCAAGCCTAATATTCCTTATTATTTTAGTTAAACTATTTTAGTGAAGCTATTTTCCTGTTTACTCAACATTCTTTCGATGCCACCACCTTTGCCGCTAAGAGTCAATGATACTTCCACAGGTAGGAATGATCAGCTTCCACCTTACTATTCAAGTCAGGAACGAAACAACGCACCAGACTTGCATCAACAGCAGAGACATGATTTTCATCAGTTTCAGAACGGCTCTTATCCTCGGGCCCCTTCTAATTTCCAATCTCAGGGACAGAGTTTTCAACCACAATACATTGAGCAAAATCCAGACCATTTCAAACAACAAACCCCAGGCCCAATTGGCGCTTCATTCATGATTGACGGGAAACCCTATCAAGCTTCAATGCAAACAACCACAATAGATGGCGTGCAGAATCAATTCGTTACTCTTAGGCAACCTGATGGAACAGTAAATTTCGTCAACATGACAACACTGAATGTTGTAGGTGCATTGGGCAACACTTTGAATATGTCATTTCAGGGAATGAACATTAAAGGTAACAGTATTGAAAGTGGCAGCTTCAATACAAGCACTACCACGGCGTATCCTCAATTTCATCCAGGTGATGGGTACAATGGTCCAATTTCTATTCCTGGCTCGGTGGTGTCCCAGATGTCAGGAGTATCCAATGTTAATGGTGTAATGCAAGGTGGCTCGACTGCCTTTGTAAATGGCTTTCCGGTTCACGCTATGAATATGGAGACTCAACCCAACTACCTGGCGATGTGGAATGGAGAGGATTATTCATACGATGCTTCTAGGGAAAATCAAAGAAGTTCTTTGAGGAAAACTATTAAGAGGTTATTCAGGTAGCAGGTAAGTGCTAGGTTACTCGTTTGACTCTTATTGACAGCATCTGAAAGAAAAGAGTAGAAAGTTCTGAAGATCTAATGGTTAACTTTAATTGCTTAAATCTCTATCTGGTATAGAAATATAGGAATAATCATTTATATCTGTAGATTTGGTCGTTGATGAATTAGGTCCATCAAATTATAATAACCTCTTTCTTTGGCCTCATGATTTCTGATTTATTATCTGTTTCATCTCAATTAAACATCGTTAAGACGGAAAAGATATCATTCTTTGCAAAGGATACATATGCCGTTGGCATAGTTTTCATTCGTAAATTCATGGAGTCCTTGTTTCCAAATCAGAAGAATTGCTACAGAATTATTATTAACACTTGAAACCTCCATCCTCTGTCTCATTTAATCAGATGATGTTCGCATATACGAATTCACCTTTACCAAAATTTATTTTTTTAACAAAGAAACTTTTTTTTCATACTGATTACTTTCCTGTTTCGCCTGAACTGACGTGTTCTGAGCTTTAACATGTCAGGCTTCAAATCTTCTCTCTTGACGTTTCTCTCAATCTTCAACACCTTCACCTCCACTTCATCGCAACGTCAAATTCAAAGTCAAAACTGAGCAATATCTTTTTTAGATACATTTCATAATGTATCACTATAAAATTCATCTTTTTCTTTCTCAACCTTCAATTCTTGAACCCTACAGCCTTTCGAGATTCACTAGCTCAATTCCCCAGTCACCTCCCTGCACACCACAACTTCAACAAAAAAACCTCCAACTCCAACCACATCCAGCCAAAATGTCCAGAAGACCCCAGCTAGAGGAAATCGACGACGACGAATTGGAAAATGCCGACTTTGACTCCGCCCAATTTGACTCATCCTTGAGAACTCCGATTGCTCCCATCAATAAACCTGTCATCACCAGATCGCAAGATAACGACGATTCTGACCCTCCAGTGGTTGCCCCAACGGCGGCAGCTACTCCACTCAAAAAGAGAGACGACATCGTGGATCCACAGAAATTTTCTAGTGAGGAGAGAGAGCAGCTTCGCAAGTTCCAAGTGCTCTACCCATGCTACTTCGATAAGAATAGAAGTCATAGTGAAGGTAGACGAGTCAGCGCCGAAAATGCCGTGGAAAACCCGTTGGCTAAGACTATCTCCGATGCTTGTCGCCAACTCAACCTTCCGGTGCTTCTTGAGTTGGACAAGTCCCATCCACAGGACTTTGGTAACCCAGGAAGAGTGAGAGTGCTTCTTAAAGATAATGGAGTGGCTGGAAACAGCAGAATCCCGAACAAACGAAAGTTGTTGAATATTGTTGCAGACTATTTGAAGAGCCATCCAACCACATTGGCCAGCATCGGTCCTGCCAGTGGAATTCCATACCCTAGAGAGTATGAGGGTAACTTTGAGCCCGAAGAGATTCCTAAGGTGAAGGGCTTCAAGATGAACACAATTGTGCCAGTGCACTCGAACTATACGTTGAAGCATCCAATGACGAAGGTGATCTATGATCCTGAGCCCGAGGCCATCGAGGCTCCCAAACTTCCAAAACAGCCCAAGAAGAAGATCATGAAGATCCGTGGGTAGGTACATAATGAATGCAAGGAGACCACAACCTATGGTTACATAGAAGATGCTGGTGTGTAAGTCACTAAGTACAATAAGAGGTATGAATGGTAATTCACTGAGTATGATAATTAGGTATCTCTATCTAATCTGGATTTCGAAGTTCAATGAAATATGTTATTTATTAAGTATCAGAGGACAAAGATATGATGAAGTGAAGAGTGCCACTGTAGTGCGTCACTAAAGAGTTTACAGAATCTTTGCTTAAGTTTCTCAGAATACTGGCAATGCTGTCAAAGTACAAGTTTCCATAAATCAATATCCATTATGCTATCCACAAACATAACTATCCTAATTATTCACGACATGGAAGGACCTAAGCACTTGGAGAGTACTTCTTTCTGTACTCAGCAATGGCAGCCAAGTTCTCTGCAGACAACTTGTCTTGCAAGTGAGAAACAATGTCAGCCAAAGACACAATGGAGTACACTGGGATTCCGTATCTGGCACTCACAGCCTGAGTAGCAGACTTGTCCGAGTCAGCAGTGGTTTCCTGTCTGTCCAAAGCAATAATGGTACCCACCACGGTTCCCTTCTCCTCTCCAATAATGGCAAAAGCTTCGTTGATGGCAGTTCCAGCAGTCATGACATCGTCGATGATCAAAACCTTCTTACCTTCCAAAGCACATCCCACGATCGAGCCACCTTCACCGTGATCCTTCTTCTCCTTTCTGTTGAAGGAGTATCCAATGTTGGCGTAGTTCTCTGGGTCGAGCTCTGCCAACTTGGCCACTGTGATAGCTGCCAAGGGAATACCCTTGTAAGCTGGGCCAAAAAGGATGTCGAACTTGACACCGGCGTTGATGATGGCCTCGGCGTAAGCGGTGGCCAATGTGGACAACAACTTTCCGGTGTTGAACAAGCCCAAGTTGAAGAAGTAAGGAGACTGACGGCCGGACTTCAAGGTGAAAGTACCAAACTTCAATGCCTGGGACTCCAAGGCGAGATCCAAGAAGGAGGTTTGGAAAGATTGCATAGTGTCAGAAGGTTTAGATTTAGGTGCCTGTATTTGCCTTTTCAACTCAACCAAATCGCCCGACTTGCTTCAGCTGAAAAGGAGGAGAAGGGAGAAAAAAAAGATAAAAATTTCGAGAAGAGGAGGTTGTAAAGTACTGGTGCCTGGTGTACGGGTGTGACTTCTGAAAAGTAGGTGCACAAAGATCGAAGTTAACAAACTGAAATTTGTAAAAGAAGTTGAATTTCTGATGATATCAGTTATTTTTATTCGCGAGGGAAAAAATGAATTCGAAATCTAAACTTTGATGTTTTTCCTTGCCAATTTCTACCAGACTAATGGTACCACTCGCTGATAATCCATAGATATATCACGATTCCGGTCAAGATGATCCCATCTCATCATGGGAACAACATATGACCATCAAACAATTTTTTAAGAATTTTCCTGATTTCTTTAAAATTCTTTTTTATCCCTCTGTTTTTGATTTTTATTTGTCTTTGTCCTCGTTCTTTCTCCTCCACCATCACCAACTCATTTACCCTGCATACTCATCACAACTTACTATCTCCATGAATGAAAACTCCGAGAAGAGAGACTTCGTCCGAGTCGTGGAGGACCTCGAGGACCAGCAAAGGCACGACCTATCTGTGCATCTTTATCTGGCATATCTCCTACATCAGGTGAACCCATACTTTCCACATACAAGATGGGCATCATGGCCTGTTCGTCTACCTAAAGTAGCTGATCCTGACCTCCGAGGAGGCTACGAAGATATAGCCGTGGACAATCTGTTCCGTAACTTGCAAGATGGAATCGACTGGGCCACCAAAATTGACATCAAGAGTGACTCCGTGCAGAGTGCTCCAGAGAGCCCCAAATCCAATGAACAAGTTATTGATTTCCAAAGATCATCGGGACGGTTGGAGTTGACGCATAAACGGTTGCGGAAATCGAATCCCAAAGCTGCTGTGGTCAACGAAATGTATGCCGCATTGCACAGAGTCATTTACAAGAAGGCTAATCGACTTGCCAAACAAGGTCAAAGAGTCAATTTAAAAGAGACAGGATTCACGAAAAAAATGGCTCTTCGGTTAGCGAATAGACTCGGGAATGTTTTGTCGACGTTAGAAAATCAAGGAAGACGCAGGGGGTTCTTTCCTAAGACGTGGCAGGATGTTCTCATTGCCAATCTCCAGATGTCTGGACTTGGCGAAGTCTGTGACATTGACAGCCACAAACTTGCATACATGAAAGCTAAGAAGCTCTTTATGGACTACAATCACAAATATGAATACGATGCAGATACCTACGGTGAATTTGAGGGTTCCAACAAGATTCCAGAGTTTGATGTGGAGCATCATTTGGCAACGATAGAGAAAGAGGGTATAGTGAAATATTCTGCGAAAAGACCTCCATTGGAGAGATTGGAGGCAATGAGACAAGAACGTGCTACGAAAGATCATGTATTTTGGACCTTGCTTCGAAATAAAATGACGGCAAGACAGCTTTCGTGGAAGGATTGGGATGTTCTATCAGATTTTGAGGTCACGGAAGGAGAATATCAAGAAGAAAGACAGAAAGAGTTTACAAATCACGCTTCGACACTCTCGCCGAACTCGTTTAAGGTGGACGGTGCATAGACAATTTACATTAGAAACATGACCCTAGTGTCATGTGCGATTAAGATAATTTTAGACTGCGAGCGGCCCTTATGCTCTGAAATGGTTTGGTTAAAATTCGTGTAGTTTTCGATTACGATCGTGCTCTTAAGCATTTTATGCTCTCTTTTGGAATGTGGAGGTGATCTCGGTGCCGAACACCACATCCCAGAACTTACTGGTGACTCCAAATCCCAATTCATAGTTCTTGTAGTGATGTTCCAAGTGGTAAGTCTTCAAGTCCTGGAAGTACTTTGGTAACTTGGTGTGGTGAAGCACGTAGTGAGTCACGTCGTACATGATGTAGCCTAAGAACCCACCAGCGAAAGCGGAACATGCCATGTAGTAAGGGAAGGCAGCAAACACAAGTCTGTAGATTGGGTAGCACAAGGCTACGAACAACGTAGGAGGCATGACCAATCTGTACTTATCCATTGGTAAATAGTGGTGCACACCGTGCAAAAGAAAGTGGATAGTCAAGAAAATAGGGTGATCTGGCAAATAGTGGTCTAAGTGGAACAAGAATCTGTGCAAAACATATTCAAGCAAGGTCCAAACACACAATCCAAGAACCCACATACTCAAGGCTGTGATCTTGCTTTGGCCTGTGAAACCAATGTAGAAGAAGGCAAAGTTGACTGGGAGCCAAACAGCAGGAACAACCCACCATGGAGTCAAGGAAATAGGTTCCAAGAAGTTTCCGAAAAGCTGAGCAGATCCCTTTCCATAATGCCGAGGACGATGCACCTGGTCCAAATAGAAGTCTTTGGAGAAGTTGCTGAAAATCATCTGGGGAAGTAAAGGCCTACTCAAGTCCAAGAAGCGATGCTTGCGAGCATCCTCAGAATAGTCAGTCTGGATCGACAACGCTTCAGCAGGTGGCAACTTGTCATGGAACTCGTAAGTATCAAACTTCTCTTCAGTTTCCGCAGTAAATTTAACCTCCACTGGGGTCTTGTTCTTGTTGTTCAAGAGTTCGTCTTCCTCTTCGGCTGTGGCCAAGTAACCCACCAACATCTCATCGTCAAGCATTTCGTAAGCGGATTCGGAGTGCTCGTGTGATTCCATATCGGCCATTATCTTGGTGATGTCTTTTCCAGCGTATTCTAAGATGATATCGTCTCCGGCTGGATGCTCATCGAGAAATCCGGTGACGTTATACACTTTTCTATTGTACAAGGTGACCCAGCAGTCATTTGGGGAAATGTGCTTGGCGACCTCTGTGGCGGATAAAAGGGGTAGGTTTCTTGACATGTTGGATCAGAAAAAAAGAACGAACGGAAATGGAAAACGGTTGGCACGGATAGGTATTTTCATTTTGGGGCCGCGCCTACCTTATATTTGTTAATATTTGATGCACGTGACCAAAACAGAAAGCAGGTGATTCTGACTATCGTACGTTCAGTAATGGTGCCGCAGCATCAGGTAATTTTGTGATTGACAGATAACGTTGCAAAACGGAAAGTGGGATTCAAGTCTGAAGGGTTGAACAAGTTTAAACATTGGAAGGATAGGATGAAAAAAGAATGTATTTACTTCAATTGACGCGATCTTTAAACGGATAATCTTACTTATGGGAACACCGTACTCGAGTATGTATGCATTGATAGTCTGGTTAGACTAATATTTTTTGTGTGTCTTGGACGTCTAAGTCGAGTTTGATGCTGTCGAATGCACCTTCGTCAAGATCGTCATCGGTCTCGAACTCGGTATCGGCCTCGTCCGGTGTAAACATATCCATATCGTTATCAGGCTGTTCAAGGTTTTCTTCCAGTTCCATCTGTTGCTCTAAATGCAACGTATGATCCACTAAGTTCAAGTATGCATACATGAAGTTTGAGAGAAGCACTTGCTCGCGTAGAGACCGCTTGGGGTTAGCTAACTTAAGATGGGACAACCGATAAATTGCACGCTCCACGTGAACAGGGAAACGGTAGTCGATCATCACAAGCGTTGAATGAGAAGGAGGTGGCAAGGGAAATCCAAATGCTGAATCCGTGAATTGAATCGGCTGATTTGGCTTGGATGTCCGCTTGATAGTCTTCTTGAGCTTTTCCTGAACTTCCAATGTAGATTGCGGCTTAGCCTCTTCTGGACTTTCTTCTTCCACCTCAGGAATAGTGTCCTCGACTAGAGGTTCTGCCTTCTCTTCGTGGCTCTTGCCGATTTGTTTGAACTTGTTTTTAATTCTAGAAGTCACCGTTTCGTCACTCTTAGAGTGATGGCTGGATTCCTCTTGTCTTGCTTTCCGACTATCAGACTTCAGATCCACCACTGTCTCCTTAGACTCTTTACTGTGGTTAGACTTGGCGCTGATCCTCGAAGCAACATCTGTAGTGTCTGAAGTATCCACATTGTCGGAAAACAGATTACGAGGAGATATTTGCGTACTTGATTTCTCGCTAGAGACAGAATTGCTTCTCTTTTTCTTGAAAAGCTTAGTAATGACATTCTCCTTTCCTGTCGCCTCATCTTTCTTGGGAAGCTCTCTCTTAGTAGAATTGATTTCTGGAGACGAAACAGAACGAGCTGGACCATTGTTAGTCTTTTCTTCGATAGTCGAAGTAGCACTAACCGAACGATCTCTGGACCACAACCAAGATTTTTTTCCTGTTTTCTTCTTATCTGAATCTGCCTTGGCTGCCAATGAACCAAATGATTTCTTCTTCTTCATTGATGCATCGGACCTTGATGTAGCCGTCATAACTGGCTCATTGGCCGTCTTGGGCACTTCGTCTACTTTGTTTCCGGAAGCTCGCTCGTGACTGGGCTGGTATGATTCTTTCACCATCTCAGTCTTCTCATGATGCAAATCCTGGTCCGTCGATAAGTCTTCTAGGCTGACCATCAGTTTCAAAGAGGGTCTTTGCTCATCTCTACCATCAGTCACCAATTCCGTGTCGGTTTTGATCTCAGGTTCAGTTGACAACGCATGTAAATTGTTAGATTCCGAGGTTGGAGGAGTTATATCCACAGGAGATTGCTTGGTATCCACAGTAGGCTCAGGTGTGTAGACACTACTGCTTGGTGTTTTTCTAGAAGTGGTTCTTGGGGTGGTCTTGACAGTTGCTCCACGGCCCGGCCCTTCCGTCTCAGTGGCAAGTTCTGTTAGAACATCCTGCTCCATTCCAAGTGAATCTTCGTAACTCACATCGTGTGAGGAAAGATCAAAACTGAAATCTGGTGTCTCCTGGACTCTCTCTTTTTGAGCTTGCCTGACTGGAGCTACATCCTTTTGTGCTTCTTTGGCTAGACCCTCTTTTGGATCAGACTTAGATAAACTCTCTTTGAACTCATTGATCTCATTTCTTAAAAGATCCAAATTCTGATTGAGCTCTTTCGATTTATCTCTCTTAGAAAGGCCCATTCGAGAGGTATAAAATGGATTGCCTCGATCTTCGTCGCCATGTTGACGACGGGTGCCAGTCTGAGGCACAACTGCAACACCAGACTGGCCCTTGACTTGCAACATTTGTTGGTGAGTACTCCGCGAGTGCTGATGTGGAACATTATGAGAAGGATACGCATTTTGAGCATTCTTTTGCAGTGGATAAGATTGAGCAGGAGGTATATTCTGAGCCTGCTGAGGATATGGAGCATTTTGATTGAAGGGAGAGACCTTTCTTTGACGCGATTGATGAGGAACTTGAGATGAATGAGAGGATTTCAAGGGCCTAGAATCCATTGGATATGCTGTGGATGGCGAAACTTTCCGGGAGGATCGCTGTTTCTCTCCTTGATAAGTAGTGTGACTTCTGCCCTTAGAAGAAGCTGAGTTTGTATGCTTTGGATTTTGATGACCATATTTGGTGTGATGCAAATGGTTTTCAAGCGAAGCAGAAGACGATGACGCTGCACCATATGGAGAGTCCCTCACTTTGCGCATTGACGCTGTCTGTGATTCTCTAGAAGACGAACTGAGCGAATCTCTTGATGATGAACCTCCGGAAGGAGACTTGTAACTGAAAAGGATCTGAGAGCTTCTAGGGTTTATGCTTTGAATGCTCAATCTGGAGGACTTGCTAGAGTTCTCCACACTCAATAGATCTCCTGATGCTCCAGTAATTGGCAACGATGTCCCCGAGAGGTTGTGTCTCAACTCAGCAAGCTTTTCAGCCTTGTGATTCTGTAATTGAGAACCCAACTGTCTGGGAGTTGATGATGGACCTTTGCGGTAATCCAAACGACGACTGCGCTTCAAAGTGAAGTCTTCGCCGTACTGTTGAGGATTGACTCTTGTGCTGGATTCATGAATAGGTTGTCTGGACAGCAGTCTACTTGATGGAGACGCACGTCTCTGGCGAGACTGTTGAGGATATCCTTGGAACACTGGAACCTGGCCCATCATTTGGTTTGACATAACGTATGACTTTCGAGAAGTTGGTGATGTTTCGTCGACTCCAAAGTCTAAGAGTTCAGCCTGATTGGACGTGGGAGAGGATCGGTTGGGCGAGTTCATCTCATCAAATGCGAGTTTTTCCACATCCGTATATCCCAAAGATGATGTGGAGAGGGAACGAGCTAAGGTGACGGCGTCATTGGAGTCCATTCCTGCCATTCGGGAAAGCGCTTCTAATTCAGTGCTAAGTTCACGAAGAGATGGATTGCTGAACCTGTTGGAGTTATCGAAATCCGATTCTTTGCCCGATTTGGATCTGTTGATGGCCTGGGTAAGTTGGTCCTGATCTGTAGTGGAGAGAGAGAGACTGGATCTCTTCGATCGCTTGGCCGACTTACTTCTTGACAACTTGCGCTCCAAAAGCTCATCGATAGTGCTTTTAACGTGATTTTTGAATTGCTGGGGGTTGACCTCCGGGTGCAAGTTAGCAGGGACCCAAAGCAAGTCCACGTCGATATTTTCCTGGCTGAGTTCACTATTTGCGTCAACGAACTCCTGGTCCATCAAGCGAGAGCGTCTAGCTGCCGAGTGGGAGTATGAAGATGGCACTTCGGAGTCTTTGAGGGAAAGCTGGGCCAGTATGTTGGAGTCGGAAGTCTGAGGAGACGGAGTCTTGGACAAAGACAAGGAGTCGCCTGAAAATGTGGAGTCGTCATGGTTTTCCAGGTCAAACATATGCAATTCAGCCTCCGGGACAGGCAAGTCTGGGTCATGGTTCATCAAGTGGCCGATGGAAAGACGCTTAAGCGCAGCCACCATCTGTTTTTCTTGTTCGAGGCCCTTCACCGCCAGTTGGTAAGAATCTGGTGAGTTTCGGCGGTGTGGTGAGGGAGATTCAGTGGATCTGGATGACATGGATGCAGCGGATGGTGGGTACTAACGAGACACCGTGATGGGTCTAATAGGGAACGGGTGAAGCACTCTGGAATAGGGACGGTGTTGGGAGCAAACGAAGGAGAGAAAAAAAGGGAAACCGGTCGAGTTTGACGACGATTTCCTATGCAAAAGATGAATTGGTAGCGGCAGAAAGTGATGGCGGGGCTTGGATCCACAAGTTTTGGTGTGGAGCTGGGGCAGGTGCCTAATATTTTTTCTTCAAATGCTGGGTGACGTTTGATCTATTTTACTCGAGGTTTGACAACATTGTCGTGTTGTACTGTATATAATCCTTTTTTGAAGGATGTGAAATTGACTATAAAACGGAGAGTATTGGAGATTTTGAAAAAATAGGTGGTTAATATTGCTTTTGATGTTGCTATTCTCTTTTTTCATGCTTTTTTCAGGTGAAATTGTTTGGTGAGAAAAGGGGGACGGAGAGCGGAAACACTAAGAGGATTCGCGACTAATGTAGGAACCGAAGGTCATGTGGAGAAGCGAAGAGAGAAAAATAGAAAGGAGAATAGAAGATGAGAGTAAAGAAGAAAGAGGAGAGAAGGGAAGAATATAGAGACAATAAAAACGACAACAAAAGTTGAGGTTCATAGCTTGGTGGATAGATAGAGCATTTACATATACTATGACATTTGAAATAGCAGGGACAAACTACATATTCCTCTCTGTTTCAGGCTTACAACACCTTGAAAAACATCACCACCCCAATAACCAACATGCCACAGTAAACCCAGAACCAACGTGGATGGTTTTCTCGCATGTCGAAACTCGGAAATCCAATTAAATTGCACACACCATGCACCACTATGGGACACCATAAATTTTCACCTGAACTAATGTACATGTAGTTGGCTAGCATTCCAAACAAAGACGTATACACCAATTGCACAAAGACACTTAGAAATATCTGAGAAACTGGATACATATCACGGTAGAGCTGTATTCCGTGGTGAACGTGAGCCAATCCAAAGAGAAACGGGGAGTACACTGTGATGTGTGATGAGTAGGGCTGAAGTATTGAAACCACTCCTGCTCGGTACACCAACTCCTCAGAGACGGGTGCAAATACATGGTCTCTGAATCCCCATATGCTCATGAATTCGTCGTGAAGGTGCTGTTTCCACATTCGTGCCAGGCCGGTGACCACGTAGTTGGCAATAGGACCACAGTAGAGTAGTAGAATCTTGAACAAAGCAAGGAAGACGTTGCATATATCTGTTTTGAAGCTATGGGTATTGCAGAAGCCTGGAAAGAGTCCAAACTGACGTAATGCTGTAGGGTAGTCCGCATAGTTGCCAGAAACACTCAAGATCCAAGGAAGTAATATCACCATCGCTAGACATAGAGTGGAGATGCGAGAAAATCTGTATTTGATGACTAGAGGATCATTTCTGTCGAGCAACGAAATCGATAGGGGTTGGTGGAAACGAATGGCTGTTACGTAGGATGTGGCAAGGGCCACGCTTGCAATCCATGGTAGTAGCATGGTGAAACAGCAGCATGCATGTAGTGAGAATGTGTAGATGATGAATGTGGAGTGAGAGAGAGAAAAGAGAATGATAGAATAGAAAAATCGGATAATGAGGAAGAGAGAGAGGAATTAAAAAACGGTTACAGAAGACAATGAGATGAGTTTCTGTGAGGAAATGAAGAATGAAATCGTTTAAATAGTGAATTGAACATGGCATTCAAAAGCTGAAGTGTAGACAAGTTTCGTTGATATAGAGAAGGTTCCACTAAACCACTTCAAGCTTGACAAATACTTATACTTTTGTGGTTTTTTTTTTTTTTGGTTCTTTGAATGATTTGTTATATTTTCATATCTTAATTCTCTTCTCATTTCAAATTTTCGTTTCTTACTATTCACTGAGGTTACAAATTTCCATTAGTTCTCCATATTTCACAGTTCGCACCCAAAACTCCAGATCTACCATCTATCAAGTATCCATAACATTACATCCGCAATGTTCATTGACATTCAAACAAGTATGATCCCTAACTATTCTTAATCCAATATCCACCATTATCCCTCCGCAAACAAATTGGCCGTAATGACCACAAATCATGTCTCACATCTCGATCCCCACTAAAGCAACTGGCCAAAGTCAAGAAAATTCTAAAAATACATTCTTTTCATCTCGACATCATCCATGCAATCCCCCAAGACAACTTTTTCTCATAAAAATGATATTTTTCCTGACCGAAATTGAAAATCCATCATTCCCTCCCACCCAATAAAATACGGCGTTATTACTCTGACTCATAATCGCGACTGATAGCGTTATCACCCAGTACAGGACCAACTATTAGTGAAAATTTTAGCAGTAGGACCTTTCTAACCCCACACATTATGTCCATGTTTCAATCTTGCCGGCTCGCCAAGGGCTTGCGCACATTTGCGACATCGCCCTCGCTTCTTCGTGGCCAGAATTTGACCGAGAAAATCGTACAAAAGTATGCTGTTGGTCTTCCCCAAGGTAAGAAGGTATTCAGTGGAGATTACGTTTCCATCAAACCAGCCCACTGCATGTCCCACGACAACTCTTGGCCAGTTGCCACCAAATTCATGGGTTTGGGTGCTAAAAAGGTCAAGGACAACCGACAGATCGTGTGTACTTTGGACCATGACGTTCAGAACAAGACGGAAAAGAACTTGGAGAAGTATCGCAACATCGAGAAGTTTGCTGGCGAACAGGGGATCGATTTTTACCCTGCTGGTCGTGGTATTGGCCACCAGATCATGATCGAGGAAGGTTATGCTTTTCCTTTGAACTTAACCGTGGCCTCTGACTCACACTCCAACACTTACGGAGGTGTTGGATCGTTGGGTACTCCCATTGTGAGAACGGACGCAGCTTCTATCTGGGCCACTGGCCAGACATGGTGGCAAATTCCTCCTGTTGCTAGAGTTGAGTTGGTGGGCGAGTTACCTAAGGGTGTCACCGGTAAGGATGTCATTGTTGCCCTCTGTGGTATTTTCAACCAAGACGAGGTGTTGAATCACGCTATCGAGTTTGTAGGTGATGGAGTCGCCAAGTTGCCCGTGGATTACAGATTGACTATTGCCAACATGACCACCGAGTGGGGTGCATTGTCTGGATTGTTCCCAGTGGACGATACCTTGGTGGAGTTTTACAAGGAGAGAATTGGCAAGTTGCCACAGCCACATGCTCGTGTGAACGAAAAGACTATCACAGAGCTTGAACAGAACAAGGTGACCTCAGATTCTGATGCAGTGTACGCGAAGAACTTGAGAATCGACTTGTCTTCGCTCTCGCCTTACATTTCCGGACCTAACTCGGTCAAGGTGTCCAACTCGCTTGCAGACTTGTCTGCCAAGGATATTAAGATCAACAAAGCATATTTGGTGTCGTGTACCAACTCTAGATTGAGTGATATTAAGGCTGCAGCTGACATTATCAAGGGCCACAAGGTTGCTGATGGTGTAGAATTCTATGTGGCTGCTGCATCCTCCAATGTCCAGAAGGACGCCGAGGCCATTGGTGCCTGGAAAGACATCTTAGATGCCGGTGCCATTCCACTTCCTGCTGGTTGTGGCCCATGTATTGGGTTGGGTACTGGGTTGTTGAAGGACGGAGAAGTTGGTATTTCTGCTACTAATAGAAACTTCAAAGGTCGTATGGGTTCCAAGGATGCATTGGCATACTTGGCATCTCCTGAAGTTGTTGCTGCATCTGCTGTTTTGGGTAAGATCGGAGGTCCCGAAGAGATCGGCGGTAATCCAGTCAAGGCTTCCACTGACATCGTCAAGTCTGTGGAGGTGACGTCTTCTACCGCCTCTTCCGCGGACTCCGGTGCTGTTGAGGTTTTGGACGGCTTCCCTAAGGCCATTGAGGGTGAGTTGATCTTATGTGATGCCGACAACATCAACACCGACGGAATCTACCCAGGAAAGTACACTTACCAAGATGACATTCCTAAGGAGAAGATGGCTGAGGTTTGTATGGAAAACTATGACGGAGAGTTTAAGAACAAGACGAGGGCCAGCGACATCATCATTTCTGGTTACAACTTTGGAACTGGTTCGTCAAGAGAACAGGCTGCTACATGTATTTTAGCCAGAGGCATGAAGTTGGTTGTTGCAGGATCATTTGGTAACATCTTTTCCAGAAACTCCATCAACAACGCCTTGTTGACTTTGGAGATTCCTGCATTGATTAATCAGTTGAGGGAGAAGTTTAAGGGCGCTGACGAATTGACCATCAGGACTGGTTGGTTCTTGAAGTGGGATGTTACCAAGGCACTTGTGACGGTTAAGGACTCGGAAGGAAACGTTGTTCTTGAACAGAAGGTTGGAGAGCTTGGTACCAACTTGCAAGATATCATTGTGAAGGGTGGTCTCGAGGGTTGGGTTCGTTCAGAGCTTTCGAAAGAGTCTTAGTTATTTTAAGCAACCTTCTATTTATGTTAACCGGCAATCTGCAGGCGTGCGCCTAGGGTGTAGTTTCCAATATTGCATTTATGAAGATATACTTATTCAATATACAGTGCGGTTCTGACGCAAGGTTGCCTATGTGCGGCGCGGTAATGCATAACTGCGCTTTTGACAACTACGAGAGTAATATGCCGTACACAACAGAAAGAACATGAAAAAAATAGGGGCGAGCTGGGAATTGAACCCAGGGCCTCTCGCATGCTTGTAAGTCAGTTCAGTGTACTGAACCGTCGCCCAAAGCGAGAATCATACCACTAGACCACACGCCCGAATTTGATTAAATAATATTTGTAGTACATTATGTTCAGAGTGCTCATAATTTTCAGGCATTTTTCCCGGATTTTTTGAATCAACATTAAAGAGCCAAATATTGTCAGCTTTGGCGATGATGGAAGCATTTTACCCACCTTATTTCAGCTTCGCCCAACAGGGATATGAGCATGTTACTTCATTATTGTCCGTGGTATACCTAATACACGATGTTTGAATTCTTCCCCGTCGTAATTGATATCACCAAATGGTAAATTACTCAACAAGCAGCTTTTCTTGGACATCTGCATTTGGTGTAATGGCCTCATGGGAACGCTTGCAAGTATACCTTCACAATAAAAGCCGTGAGTGCGGAGAGTAGTGTTTCAAGTTCTTGCCCCACGTGCACGCTGTTTAACATGAAATTGTAATTGTAATTGTTTTAGACAATTAACATACGTAGTGATTTCCTGTAGCGACATTACATCAACGGATAACTAGAATCATTGAGGATCCCTATAATTTCAACACTGCTGATGTAAAGGTATCCTTGCATGCTTATAGTTAGAAGTCTGGGTACATGTATGCAATGAAGCAGAGACAGAAATAATACGATGATATACCGGCTGACGTCATGCTGATCAAATGATGAAAAAAGCGTGAAGGAGAAAAGTAAAAAAAGTCAAGAATTCGCATTGAAATCTTTGGAGATCGGAATCCTCCACAGATGTGGGAAGAAATAAAAAAGAACCTTGAAGCACGTCAATGCGCTTATACTACTGGTCATTCACATGGAGTTATGACGCACAGGTTCCTATTGTTATTTGTTTGAGATTCAGTACAATATCTTTCTTTCTTTGACTTCGACTCTTGCTCTGGCAGGCAAGAAAAAAAATAAAAAATAAGTCCATCCAGATATCTTAGACTTCCGAATAACTGAAACGAATGTATGTCTGCGACACTGGCTGATCTCATGCACAGAAAATCCCAAACAACATGCGTTGCAAGTCGCACCCTGCTAAGTATGTCACATTTAATGGGCTCATTTTGGTATTGACAAGAGAATGTCAACAGACATAGCAACAAGCAAACAGAAACAATGCATGAGGAAGAGAATGATTAAAATAAAAAATTTTTACGAATTCGGAGAGAAGTTTTCTCTATTGTTATGTTCCTCTTTACTGTTTTCGGCAAACTCATAATTTCACCTATACATGTTCAGGTCATGGAAAGCGTGTGCTTCCTTTGCGCTTTTGAAAATCCCCAGCCTATTTCCCAACAAAGAAATGATCCCGGGTTTGTTTCTGTTTATGAGAATACTTTTTTCTCTCGCCGATCCTTTTAGCATCTACGCTTACATGGTCACCACTTGCGATCGTTCCGGCAGGAACTCTCGGAATTTTGATTGTCTAGATTGTATGGAGTAGCGGATATTGCATGAGCCTATGAATGTGACCAGTTGAGGAGGCAATGGAGGCAAGGGAGGGATTCGAAAAGTGTTTCTTTCTCCATGTAAGAGCCATTCAAGATTTACGTTGCAGAGGCATGTTTTGTTGTATTGATCTAATGAGCCGGAGTTGGCGGATGGGCATAAATAGGTTTGGACGACAGTGCATCGAACCGATTTCTCACAAGATGAAAAGCGGGGAATCTTCGATGCTCCACATCATGATCAGAATCATCAATTGATATTCTTGTACATCTGAAGCTGGAAAAACTTTCGTATGAGTCTGACATTGTCATGGGCTTTGTTGAGAAACCCTATGGCTCCTTCTGTCAACGCAAGTACTAGGATAAAGCAGCTCATTCCACAGTAGATAACAGTATCCACTACGGCCACCATTGGGGTGTGAAAATATCGCTCGTACATCTGAGACATCATTGTGAATGGATACCATAGAATGGTCCAGTAGGTGACGAAGTGGCTGGCAGGCTCCACAACGGTTTGCGTGTAGTTGCTCATGTCAGAGGATGGTATTTCAACGTTGAAAACAAAGAGCAGTTGGAGTCATTATATATGTGGCTGATTCAGCAGCAACATTAGGCTTGTTCCCCACTCTTTGTAGGTGGCTTAAAGATCATGCAGTTCAGTGCCGTTGCCAATACATGCCATGAGACATTCCATCAAGTGTATGCAGGTTACTGTTCCATGCTGCTAAAGAGCAAGTGATGTTTGTTCTTAATCTCATGATAGTAGCTACTCCACTCGCTGCTGAGCCCGTTGCTATTGGTTAGTGCACGGTTGATCACCTTAGACAACTTGATTACCGACCGGAGTGTGTTTTCGTAGCTTTCCAGCTCCTGCGTACTGGCTTTACTTCGAAGTTTCTTATTGATCACCTTAGTAAGCGAGGCGATTAATTCGTGCTGGTTTGTAATCTTGGTCAAAATGTTCTCATCATTCTGGATGAGCTGGAGCAAGTTCAACACCGTCAAATTCACGATATCGTTCTCCAGGTCATTGAGACCTTTAACCAGTAACACCTCGAACATATGCACCTGGTCAACCACACTGTCATTGTTTTCCATCTTCTCCGTATCCACGCTGATGATAGCACTCAACAACTCAAAACTCAATTTACGCACCTCGAGTCCCTCATCAACCACGTATTTGTATGGGCCCATTGGGATCACCTTTTTAAACTCTTCCTTGGCTGATAACTCCTCATAGATGTTAGGAAGTATTACATCGTTGATTATTCCTGACAACGAAACACTCTTGTTGTAGATGCCAGTGAGCAACGTGCTCACAATAGCCTGCTTAAGCTCGAGATTGAGGATGGAGAGGAATTGCAACATCTTTTCAATCAACACAATGTTGAAGTCGTCATTTGTAGTACTGAGAAGCTGCTTAATAATCACCACTGAAGTGTAAACCATGAATTCGTTGCACACATCTCCTGAGTTCAGATCTAAAATTTGCAAGATTCTGCTTTCGTAATTCTCAACCTTGTCAAGATCGGCTATTTGGCTCAAGATCAGTCCTGCCAATCTCAATTCGGCAACGTCTGCGTGAACTAAGTTTCCTTCTCTCGAGCCAAGCACTTGAATGATACTGTTCCATATGAAACTAAAGGAGCCAGATTTTTCTTGTGCAGAATCTTCCTTCAAAACTTGCTTAATGGACACCAATACAAGACTCCCTTTATTCCGCTCATCCCTGTTGGAGGCCAGGTAGCAGCTCAATAATGTAGGCAAATATTTGTCCAAGTCCCTTGTAATGCACAAACCCAATGCTCTAGCAGCTGCCAAGCAAACCTGCTCATTCGCATCAGAATTGAGGATGGCGAAGAAATCGTCGAAAGTAATCTTTGTGGACGTAATTTTCAATGAAATACAGCCCAAAAAGTGGATATCAAAAATGATCTTGTCGATCGCCACTGACAGATCGCCATCATGAGCGAATTTAATGAGTTCAGATTGAGCGCCTTCCACCTTGTCGACGAGATTGTTCAGTAAGGCGATCATAGCCAAAATCTTAGAACTAATGAAGTTCTTGAGAGTGAGCTTTGTCATTCCAATAGTAAACAAATCATCTGCTGACAGAGTATGGTGTTTAGTCAACTGCGAAATCAAGTATTCAATGGCACTCAAATCCACATCGTCAACATCAACAAACTTCGTGTTAATGACATTGACAATAAGATTCTCAAAGTATGCCCCGTCTGCTGGAATGTGATCTAATATGTGCCCAAGGATACGCAATCCCTTATTGACAAGAGTCAAGTCATTAGAAATCATGAGAAGATCGAAAATGTTTGCCGACAAGGAAATCAAGTCCACGGGGTCTCCATGATAGTTGGTTTTCTCGAAAATAGTGTCCAACAAAAGCAATGAACTCGAATATAAACTTGCATCACTTGAACTTAAATATGCATTAAGCTTTGCAACAATTAAACCGCAAAGCTCTGGTGATGAAAACAACTCTGGCTTCTTGTTGCAAACTGTGACCAAGTTTTCGATTGTGAAATTGACAGTTACCTCATAATTTAAGCTCTCTTGATAGATTTCGATCGCGTTAACGAGATTGCCAGGGGTGATTTGAAGGTTGACCACAAAAGAAGTCAATGTGCTGAGAAGATTTTGCTTGACATCACTAGAGAGCTGCTTCAGATTCACATTCGTGGCAAATGAGGCGAAAAAGTCTTTGTTAAGTTCCTCTTCGTATACAACATTGCCAGAAACTAGCTCGAAGAGAGTTCTACACACGAAAAGAACTTCTCCAATGAATCCATGATATGAGCTTGAGTCGTTTAGAGATTTTCTCAAATCGCCTATAATATAGGTCAAAAGCGAAACTGGAATCGATTCAAGTTCAAAGTTGCTCAAGATCACTCTGTACAAGCGAATTAAATCAGGATATACCTTCAAGTTCAACTTGAACGTATCGAGACGATCGAACAAATTCAGAAGAAATGAGTCGGAGAGCGAGTTGCCTGCTCCCACGATCAAACTTTCAATCAATGCCTTTGTATTGGAAAAACGACCGATATTCTTGGTGGTGAGGAGGTAATCAAAAATCTGCGTCTCGTATTGAGAGGCATATCTGGCACACAAGCGAGAGTATAGAGATTTTCCACGGTTTCCCTCAGTAGTCATACTAACATCGGAATTGGATCTTGATCTCACAGCATCATTCTCACAACTTCTGTCCACTAACAAAACAGAGAGAGCAATTGCCTCGCTGGAAACCATATCGTTCTTGTCGTTTATGGCCCGGACTACCAGCGAAATTAAATCCTCGTCATAGATGGTTGTAATGAATTGTGGAAAGGAAACAATCAAGTGTTTCAACAACACAAGCGCCTGCAATCGCAATTTGGCGGCTAATCCGTCATTTTCTCCGCCGTCTTCATACTGCTCGATCTCCTCCTCATCATCGGAGAAGTCAATCACAGACTCCTCATCATCTGAGTATCCATCAGAGCCCTGATCAAAAAATGGGTCGTAAACAATAGCCTTATTGACGGTATCTACCACTGATGCGGCATAATTTATGGCAAAAACCTCATATGGAATACACACAACCAAGCTGGATAATGTGATCAACGCATCTTCTCTAACCAGGTTAGTGGCCACAAGCACATCAATATCCAAATCCTCTACATCAATGACCTTACTAAGGCCAGCCAAGTCGATATTGCCCATGATGTAGGAGAAAATGCTCTGTGTGGAGCTTTCCAGCAATACATTTCCCTTTGCCTTCTTGACATGCACCAAAACTACCTGCAACAGGGTCAAGCAGATATTCTTGGCAGAATGGTCTCGGCGTGATAGTAAGTAACCGTTACTGATATCAGCAAATACCTTATCGTAGAATTGGATCTCCTCTTCATTCGTGGAAGTAGCTGAGTCTACCCATTGCAATGCACAGTCAATGGCCATTATAGATCTTTTGCTGATAATTCCAGACTCTCTGTATGCTCCATCGACCAACGAAGTGATCATGGAAGACAATTCTGCCGGGGTTAATGTGGAACCCAAGTTCTTGATCAAATCAATCAAGATTTCTATGTTGTCGATAGTCAGGATGGTCTTATTAGCAAATAAGAGCGGTAAAAGCAAGTCCAAAACGTCACGAGATAACTGCTTGCTGAATCTCGAATGGGAATCATTGAAAATCGACCTCAATGCTAGGTTGGGAACTGAAGTGGTGAATTTAGAGGTGTTTGACGCCCGATTGACTTCCTCATACAACCTGGAAATGACATTGATGATTTCTGCCGGTTCAATATGACGCACTATTGGTGCAAATGACTTGACGGCCTGATTCTGGACCTCAGTGGTGGAATCAGAAAGCAAGTTAAATAGTGTAGGTATGAATGTGGACACATAACGCAGTTGCACCTTTGGATCATTGATATTTTTTTGGAAATCTTCCAATGCCATGTACCGAAGATCCGGGTCGACATCTCGAGCTCTGTCCTCCAACTGTCTGATGTTAAATGTAGACATTGTAAGGTGTAATTTTTGTTAAATGTGGAATTGTACGACTATGGGTCATAGCCACTGGTGTACGGGTGTGAAGCTGGGTAAAGCCAGGAAATTGAAAAAGTACTACGATGATATAAACGAATAAAATGTTGGTTATTTAATGCTTAATAATGCAGAATGAAGTTGTTTGAATGATTGAGGATCACTTCTTATCCTTTCTATTCTTGACTTTCTCTTTCTTTTCCTTTTTTTCCTTCTTTTCCTTCTTTTCCTTCTTTTGCTTAGATTTTTTCTCATCCTTCTGATCCTTCTGATTCTTCTCATCCTTCTCATCCTTCTTTTCCTTCTTTTCCTTCTTTCCATTATCGAGATCTAGCTTCTCTCCTTCTTCAGTGCTGTACTGGTAATCTTCGACCTCGATATCTTCTATGATCAAATTGTCCTTCTCTTCTGTTTCCTTCTGTACTGTTTTCTCCACAGTCCCATTGTCTGCAGTGTCCTTAACGTTCTTCTCTTCAATCTCCTCAGCATCCTTCTCGTCTGTCTCTTCAGCCTCTGTCTCGACACCCTGGAGTTCAACAGTCTCGTCCAATGCCTTCAATAGCTTATGACATCTCACAGCGTACTCCCTCAGAGGTCCCGATTCTTCCTGCTTCATCTCCTTCACTTCCTTGTCATCTTCCTTCTTTTCATTCTTATCTTCTTCGCTCTTGTCTCCATATAACTCGGCGTTCACTTTCTCCTCGATTTCTTGAGCCACCTTATTCCATTCCTCGACCACCTTCTTCAATTCGGGAATCAACCGCTCACGTGCTCCTCCCTGTAGACCCTCAACATAGACAACGAGCGCATTTTCGTACTTTTTGGGGATTTCATCGATATTCTTAAGGATCCAGTTCTGTTTCTGTTTACTGAACTTCCAATTCTCCCGATCGTCAGCATACTGCAGCAAATACGCCAACTGGTCTTTCTCTGGAGGAGGTGCTCTTTCTGATTTGGGTAGCTTGACTCTTTTGGGTGGTTTCTTAGATTTGGTGTCACTTTTCTCTTCTTGAAGTTGTCTCTTTTTATTGAGCTTTTTGGCAATTTTGTTGGTTACAACATCATGCTCCAAGTGCGTAGTAGTGTGGAGAGGATCATCCTCGACATCATCCTTCACCTTAAGTCCCAAACGCTTCCATGCGGGAACGTTACTCATTATGACTTGTAAGAAGATTTGAGAGATGGAATTGAAGATTAGATGAGTTTGATGAGCTCGATACTGCATAAACAAAGAAATCATTTAAAGGTGGGATTGCCATGGGAATGAATATGAAAACACGGGAAAATAATAGATAGATACTGAAATTTATTTTGAATGAAGTCAATCACTCGAAGAATATAAATCGGAGAGAGTTTTTTGGCATTGGGCGTCTCCAAGGCATCTTCGGCATCGTACAGGAATACACAACTTTCAGGATAATACATTCAGAGAAAATTTTATTGTATCTTTACCGTGAAAAAAGCATCAGAAATAATACTACCAGATGTTGGAAGGTTTCAAAAACCCTCAATTACGTTTTTAACTTTTCGATAGCCAACTGACAATAGACTCATCGCTAGATATTATATACAGTACCAACATATAAAATTATTCAAGCCCGCACTTTTTCCTTTTCAACCTTACTACTTGCAAGTAATAAACGTCTTGCCCTATTTCTATGTAGATTTGCAGATGTAGGGAACCCGGAGCAATCTGGACCCGGCACATGGCGCATCCATCGCTGCGTGCACTTCACATCGAGCTAGATCAATGGCACATGGTTTGAGTCCATCATGAGGGTTACACTTGTGGTGGATATAGAGATTGTGTACATTTTATAACGAAAGTGAGTGGAGAACAAGCTTCTTGTAGCCCTGAACGGAATCCAAAAGATCCTCATTGGACACAAATTCGTTGTCTCCATGAGCAACATGGATAGATCCTGGACCATACAAAAATCTCTTCTTCAAAGGAATAGTGAGGTTAGGAATATCCGTCGTATATGCGACAACGATTGAGTCAAAACCTGGTACATCGTAGTCCAAGAATTGTGGGTGCAGACCGTAAGCGTTGACAGGCTGAACATGTTCAATGTCATCAACCACTGAGTGGATCAAACTTAAGACTTTTTTGAGATCATCTGCCACACGGATAGCCACAGTTGCTTTGCCGTAAGCAGGAACCACGTTGGCAGCCACACCAGCCTCGATCTTGCCGATGTTGATGGTGGAAGGGCCCAAAAGGTCAGACTTCGGCAAGTCCAACGTTTGCAACTTGTACAAGATAGGAACAAGAATCTCCGTGGCAGAAATACCAAGTTCTGGATATCCTGAGTGAGAGGCATGGCCCAAAACCTCGACGTCGAAAAGAACAATGCCCTTGTGACCAATTGCCAACTTATTCTCAGTAGGCTCACCAAAGATAGCAATGTCCCATTTCACTCCGAGATCCAGGCTGGCTGCACGCATACCAGGACCAGAGGTCTCTTCTCCGACAACAAACAAAAGCGATACTTCTCCTTCTTTAATTTTCCCCTCGCTGATAAGGTCGAGAACAGCGATAATCTGAGCAGCCACAGACCCTTTGGCATCGCAGGTTCCTCTGCCACGAATGTCGGTTCCGTGCACCAGGTAAGGAATAAATGGTGGCACAGTATCGATATGGGAAGTTACCACGACGGAAGTATTTCTTTGGGAGCCCAAGTAGGCATAGACATTATATCTTTCTGGACCTTCCACCTTCTGCAATTCCACAGTGAAACCGGCATTTTGAAGGTACGAACCGAGCCATTGAGACACTTCAAGTTCGTGGCTACTGATAGACTGGTGCTCCACCAAATTACGGTGCAACTTGAGCAAGGAGTATTTTTTATCTACCACATAGTCTTGCAATTTGGAGAATGCTGAGTCCTGCGAATATTGGACCATAGAAACAACATTTTGGGTGTTTTCAAAAGCAAACGGGTTAAGTGCAATAGCCTGGGAAGCTAATACGCTAAGGGTGTAAAACTTAGACAAAAGCATAGACAGTAATGATTCCTAGTTTAAGAGACGAAGAAGAATAGTGTGGAGTCTGATCACGTGGAAATCCACCAAAGTCATAGTATTTGAAAACCAAAATTGAAAGAATTTTTTAATAAAATACTGATATCTCCGAGATTGTTGATATTTATTATTAGTAGTTTATACTCCAAAAGAGATGGACTATATTTTTTCATTGGTGATGGCCTCCTGCCCCGTCTCATTCTGGGCCTGCTTCTGTTTCTGACCCTCTGCCCAGTTTTCAAATTTCAGCTTCAAATCCTCAGCAATTTCTTTAGATGCTGCTTCAGGATCAGAGGCATTCTGCATTTTGTTAAACATATTGGAGATGTAGTTGAAGGTGTTGGTGACGTACTGGTCCATGTTGGGGTTTTCACCATTAGGGTTCAATAGCTTGCGCACTGCATCCTCGAGTTGCTGGGTTTGCTCTGGCGTGGGCAAGTCGTTTTTCAATTTCTGCTTGTCTTCGTCGTGGGGTTTCTCGTCTTGAGTCATGTTGTAGATTTCTACTACACAAAGTAAAAGTTGCTGTTACTTAAATACCTAGGAAAAGATCATGTGCGTTTTGGCTATTACCGTATGGGGAAATTATCATCCATGAGATAGTCGCAAGTAGAATTCCATCGAATTGTCCAGATCATTGCTTTGCTCCGTGCTGGCCTAGGTCGCCTTCGGTTTTACCTAAGTTACCTTCAGCTTTACCCAAATTGCCCTCGGTTTTGCCCAAGTTGCCCTCAGACTTCCCTAAGTTCCCTTCAGTCTTCAAGTGACCTGAACCTCCAAGGTCTCCTTCAGCCTTCCCAAGATTTCCTTCAGTTTTGCCAGCATCTCCTTCAATCTTACCCAAGTTACCCTCAGTTTTGCCAGCATTGCCCTCTACCTTACCCAAATCTCCTTCAGTTTTACCAGCATTATCGACCTTAGTTTCGTACTTGCCCAAATCACCTTCAGCTTTACCAGCGTTTCCTTCAAATTTGCCAGAGGATGCGGTAGTCACGTTGCTACCGGTGGCATTTCCCGCACCCTTAATATCTCCCAATTCTCCAACCTCTCTAGACATTTTTGTATGTTCACGGAGCAAGGTATCACGATGCACAATGCTGAGTACTTTAGAGCACAATCGGCCTGCATCCACTGCAATGACCTCTGACGTAACACTCTGGCATTCAAGTGCAGCAACGCAGCTTTTTGGACTAATATTGGCGCAATTGATGATGCCACCAAGTGCCGTTCCTATACCTTAATCATCTGGTTAGACCAAACAGCATTGATGATGATGGCTATGGTCCAGTTGCCCTGCAGGTACGCCATTAAGCGAATGAATATGTCCAGAATCAACTTCATTTCTAGCATCACCAGCCAATCCACCACACCAATCAGTCCACCACTCATGTCCAGGCGGTCGAAAGTGTTAGTGGTAGACTGGGATGAGACCATCACAGTCAAGGATACCACGCTGATGGTGGCAGACGTGGCCTATAGCCGCAATCGGAACTTGCCGCACTTCTCAACCTACTCAAAGATTTACATGAATGCGTTGGCAGCATACAATATGCGATGCAACGCAGACCACGACGCCAACCGTCCTTTACAGCAAGAAATCGACTACCAGAAGGGCTTGAAAGACGTGGAATTGTCCTCAATTTCGGCGCTAGTTCAAGATGGTTTTTTTCGCAACTTAACCCCAGCAGATTTTTCCGAGAGAGCTTCCAAAGTCGATCTAAAGCCCGGATTCGTGGAATTTGCAAAAAGAATCAGCCAATCGAAAACTCCAATTTACATCCTAAGTATTAACTGGTGCAAAACCATGATCGAAGCGACGTTGCGGCTTCATGGTTTGCAAGGTTGCGTGGTCTTGGCCAATGACTTCGAAGTTGACGAATTTGGATTAACTACAGGCCGGTTTACCAAGCCTGAAATCCGGACTGGTTATGATAAAATGATGGAATTGAATAGAATCCGCCAAATGCACCCAGACACTAATATTGTATATATCGGAGATAGTCGCGGAGATATCTTGCCGATGAGAGTTGCAGACACTGGTGTAATTATTGCTGGAGGTAGAGCGAGGTCATATTTCGCCAGTGTTCCGCCGGTTAAGGCAATAGGCAGTTTGCAGGCAGGAATATGTGAAGGAGATTGGGTAGAAATAGATCTGGTTTGGTAGACAATTACGATAAGACAAGGCGAACGTCGATGATGTAATGAAATACACACTTATCCACAAATAGCAAAGTGAATCTGGATGCCAGGAGTAACTCCTGTATACCAGCAGATCAGTACATGTGCTGATCAGTGCAAAAGTTGTAGGTGGAGGAGAACACGCGGTTGTGAAATGCTGGCTGCATATACTTCAGCTGTACCATTACTGCCTCCAGTTCGTCGTGCCGGCATACGGCTGAACATGAGCTAGCATGCCTCCATGCATAGGCATATACTGCCCATATACATACCCTGGATGATTAGCTACTGGGTAGCCTTCGCCCATTACATGAGGATGCGCCAATGGTGACCGATGGGGACCCTGGCCTGGTCCTTGCGCAATTGATGGTGGCGTCATCATACCATTAGGAGGAGGTGGGTACTGGCCCTGGAGTGGTACCTGACCTTGATAAATGTGCGGTGGAGCCTGATGAGCCATTGGCTCTTGCAAGCCCCAGTGACGTGGGCCCGGAGGAGGGAGCTGTGTAGGCTGGCCTGGCAGTTTATTGTCAGGCTTGAAAGGCTGTGCAAGCTGGTGCATTTGTTGTGGTGTTCTGTCAGGAGGATATGCCGGGTGTGGAGGGCCTGGTGAATTGTTAAACTGCTGTGGTTGTGGGGGCATTGGTGGAGGAATCGTTCTTCCCATTTGATGCATGCCATCACCAGCAACGGGACCTTCATAACTTCTTCCTTGAGGGTTGCGTCCAGGGTAAGGGGCATCTGAATATGAAGGAGGTCCATACTGGGGATATTTGTCCCGGCCAGCCGGTTGATCTTGAGCAGCAGGATTTGTGCCCTCGCGTTTAGCATCGCCATTTGGTGCTTTGTTAGACCCTTGGACGAAGGCAATCCGCTCCGAAGGTAACAAAGTGACTAAATCACGAAGGAAATAGTTGGGTACACCCAGCGGCTGTGTGAGACTCGGCACAGGGCCATTGCCCTGTGCTGCTGCTTGCAACTTCTTCGCTCTATTGTCGTAGTAATCTGCGGTCTCGTTGTCGTGGAATGCACGGAAACACATCGCGGCCCTGGAGCAGGCATCAGCAGCGTCCGCAAGCTGATCGTCACACCGTTCGTAGACACAACTCAAACCTTCCCATGCAGCGGCAGTTCCTGGCAGGTTCTCATTCAATTGAAGTCTAAGAGCCTGTGAATATGCAGCTAAGGCATCGGGAAGTTGTTTCAACTCCAAGTAAAGCTTTCCCACTGCCAACCAAGTTATTGGCAGGCTGGAGGCCCTTCTCAAAGCAATCTGGTAGGAGTCGTATGCGGCACGAGGCAGGTCAAGAAGATTATAGGCTTTACCAAGCAAGTACCAAGGTAAGAAGTCGCCTGGCGAATTCTCGTTCCCGTCATCAGACTCCTTGGGCTCTCTCAATTCTTGAGGCTCAGCTTCAACCACCTTTGTTAAGAGATCCACAGCCTTCTCAGTGTTTTCCTTGTTGAAGTTCAACAAAAGCAAATATGCATGAGTGATGAGGATGCGAGGAGAAGGACCAACTGCCACCTCGGCCCGTTCACAGGCCTCCAACGCCTCATCAATACGGTTGGCCCGCTCTTTCGCAGTTGCAAAAGCACACCAGAGTGCAATGTACTCATCAGCACGGGCCAATGGTGGAGGTGGTAACAGGAGTGTAGCGGTCAACTCTGCAATCAGAAGATCAATATTGCCGTCAGCAGCAGCAATGGCCGCCTGAGCTCTTGCGCCAGCGCGGATAAGTGTCTGTGCCAGTAAGAGACAGAGGGCAGGGTCGTTGGGTTTGAGTTGCATGGCCAGTTGGATCAGCTGGTGTGCCTGTTCATTGAGTCCAACCAACAAGTATGATTCCGTGAGCTCGCGGTAGTACTTCAGGCTCTTGGTGAGTTCCGGAAATTGCTCGGCGGCTCTAGTGAGGCGCTGGATCGATGTTTGTGACCCGACGGTTTCATTGGCGCTGATATCATTCATTCGGAGCAGAAAACTCCACCCGATGAGAGCATCCACAGAATCGGGTGTGTGTGTTAAAGCTGACTCAAACAGCTTCATTGCAACGGCAATCATTCCAATGGTGGTTGCGCAGTTACCTATGGCAATCCAAGTGTCGGCGGCCTGAACCATATAAGAATCTTGTGGAGCGGAGGGCGCATGGCTGTGACGTTTCAAAGCTCTGGGAGATGTGGAAGCGGATCGTTTGCCCATGTTCACGGGCGGTTAACTATGATAGGATTTGGTAAAGAAGTGTTGAACGTAGAAGCGGATGTCAAAGATGGAAGAGGCGCCAAAGATTAAGGTGGAATGCAGCGGTTGAAAGGATAGAAAGATTAGTGCAACGGATTTGGCGGCGTGGATTGCTATAATGACAAGAAGAAAAGTAGCAAGGAGGAAAAAAAAGCCACTTGGGCAGTGGTAGTGAGCGAGCGAAGTCTGAAATGCCTAAATTTAACAAGCAAGACATCAGGTGCATGGCAATAAGGAGGTGCATGCATTGTACGTATGTATGTTAGGTATGCAATGCATGGACACAATTAAATGTTAGGGACGTAGGCGCATGCCAGTCGGTGCTTCGCGGTAAATCATGGAGGCATTCATGTATTGAAGAACATTCGGTGGTGCGCGAGTTCGTAACCCACACACAGGGTCAACATATGGGTGTCCTTCCCCCTCGTTGGCTTCAAGTCATCCCTCGTCCCGTTTGTATCTTGTCAAGCCTATGCGGGATAAATTCCAACTTGCCGTCATTTGCATCCTTGAATGTCTTTTGTATATGTGCATGCACCTGCTTTTCAATTCTGCAGTGCTTGCGCCAGCCTATCTTTCGCACTTGATGTATCACCTCTAATTACTCCATACATGTCTTGGTGTGAAATTCCATCTCTAGACCACCTCTAAATGCTGGGAGGTTCGTGTCCACACCTTCAATCTCCAGGGATAAGCCCGCTCCACTGGTTACATTCCCATTTGACTTCTTACTTTACGATGTGATAGACCTCTCACTGCATACTCATACTCTGCGATCGCCCTCTGGTCCTTCCTCATACATTACAACTGGCCGCCCCAGCGGATGTATTCAATACGGTGACAGAGAAGGAAATCCGATGTGTATTCCGATCTACAGGTCTGATACTTAGGAAATAAGAGCTAAAGCTACAAAAGACGTGGTCTGGAAATTTCTCATGGAATAATGTTTGGTGGATTAACTTGACCCATGCAAGCATACAAGGTATTGTTTTTCTCTGGAATTTCGCACTTGCTCGGAATTAGTTTCTGGAGACGATTAGTACACCAGCGTTGTTTGACACCATTCCACGAAATGTAGTCAGTTCGAAACCTTTTACGTCAAACAGCTAATGCCTGTGCAATTCAACCATTCAATGGGGTGTAGTAGTGGCAATATGCCACAAGCAAATAGTTGGAATTTGGTTATGACACAGTGTTGCCATGCGCATACTGGTGTTAGTTTCATGATCTGGAACCCATGGATGATGCGCATGTCCCTATGCAAGATGCTTCCAGACGCATGCTGCCATGCACATGTTCGACGCAATGTACCTGCACCACTCGCTAGTGCCTCCTGGGTAGACGAACGTCATCTTGCTAGCAATGTTGTTGAATTTGGCCGTTGGTGCGATCAGGTTCGTACTTAATACATCACCAATATCCCTCAGGTGTAGATTGCTCGCTAGCAATTGCCCATCCAAGTTGATCTGTATTCATGGTCATGTTTATCATGTGAATTGCTTAAGAATGTCAAAATTGACACCTTCACCACTTCGCATTCAGGTCCATCTGAGTTTTTCCATACATAAACAAGTGCACTGTGAATGTTAAAGGAGCGAAGGCTTAGAATCTTTGGTGTATGACTGTTGCATTACTTGGAGAATCATTATTTATTTATCTTGGATATAAATTGGAGGAGGAGCGTGCGCAAGTCGATGGTAGATCGTAAGACTCCTACGCAACAGACCAAGAAATACTACCGGCATGTTAAAGATAGTCTAACTTCAATAGCCTGCATGACGCATTGTTCGAGATGTACCCGCATGTGCTATGCTCAGCGTGAACGTTTTTATTGCAGCCTGCATGGCCATTAAAATTAACGAGGTTGCAGCACTTTTCCGCAACTTCCATCCAAGAGAGATCACCACTCTCCTAACCTATTATTCATTTACCATCCCAGACCTGTTCCTCCCCTGGTTTAAGATATGCAGCTTGTTCTATATTTAACATCCCATTGCTTTCTCATTGCTTTAACATTTCACTTACTTCCGGCTTTCATTTTCATAATGCATCCGTGTGTCCCCTTCATATACCTTGTTAAAATACTATGGAGGACTTCCATGCAGCCGCACATTAATTATGCCGCTAAGCATCCTGTACGTCCACGCCATTGATTACGAGCGCATCATTCTCAATTGGGAACAAGGTCCCAATATTATCCACTGCCCGACCATTTGATTCATCTGATATATTCGAGGTGTTTATCTGACTGCTCGTGAGTATATGATGGTATTGGTCAATGCAAAGAACTACATATTCATGTTGGTTGTGTAGCAAGGCAATGAAATATTTGCCCTGAACCAATTTGCAGTTTACCGTTTGTTAAATATGTACCATTTCGAAATTTAACCATGAGTGCGTCGACTGACCTCATACCATGCGCGATGCCCAACCCGACCATATACATTGCCTCTTTCTTCGACAAACTGGCCGTAATTTCCGCCACTAACTTGATTCGGTATTTATATAGAGTGTTTGGGTGACCATGCGGCAAAATCCTTTGGAACAATGAGCTTGTATGAGGTCGTAACTCCGACACGAGCATAATAACATTGCGCCCGTCATTGGCTTTAGTGAACTACACACACACATCTTGTTGATCCCAACATAATACCATCGATCCGACTGACACAAGACGGAGTGATTACGTCGACTTTATGGGTGGATGTATTTATGAAATGGTGTCTGCTGTGCCTGGCGGTCCTTAGGCGCAGCATTAAATCATCTGCTGAAGAGCTGCAGCAAGCGGCATGCACAGTTGTCAGAAAGAAAATGACTTATTGCCCGGTGTGTCCACTAGGTAGTGGGAGGAAAAATAAAAAAAAAAAAACAATACGGAATGGTCCTTTGCAACACAATACCCTAGTTGCTCAATACAACCCGCACTGTTGCTGTGGGTTTGTCCGCGGCGCATTTTATTTGGTGGGTCATACACTCCAATGGGGCGAGGTGGTTGGTTAGCCAGGGGCACCGTTAATAAGGTTTTTACCCAAAAGTTGCTGGGACAACTATGATCTAAGGAATGGTCCCATAGCACTAGTACGTCCCCAAACGTTCTGGATACATGGCAGAAGCAAGTCTGCTGCACATGATAAGAATTTGACAAGGCATGGAACTATGGTTTCTGCGGCATTAAGACCGATTGTAAGATCTGTAACAAAGCGTACTAAACATCAGACGTTCATGATGCACAGCTGCCCATGTTAATGTGTGAGAAGCATGCTTCCACCTGTAGTACATCCAGCGGCCCACGTCACCCACCGGTGAAACGTAAACTTGCAGCATGTCCTCTTGGCGCTCGCATAAGTCGAAGCACGCAAATGCACCTTTGGCGTCAATTTGTTTATTAACACACGACTTTGCCGAGAATTCCAGTCCCCGGTCCGAGTCACGTGATCTAATGGCTAGCGACAAACGACAAAAGTTGCCAACTGTACTCTTCAACCGGAAAATCTCTCTCCTCCCCTCCCTTCGGGTGCACGGGTGTTTTAGATGCACGATTATATATATTCTAAAATCTTACAAAATGTTATAGTCACGTGCATCATCATCACCAAACTACAAATGAATAAGTTTCTCTATTTCGTGTCCAGGCGCCTTAGTCTACTAAGACCTGTTTCTTGTATTCGATATAGATCTCCTATCGTGACTTGGCGACCTCGTTTTGTCTCCACAGTCCCAAGCAGTCGCATCTCGCTGCTCATCGCGGATTCTCTTCTACCTAAGTGTGGATCATGTGGAGTGCTACTTCAGAGCGAAGATCCTGACAAAATGGGGTATTTTGTGGACACTAAAAACACTAGTAACGCAAAAGCTTTCACTAAGGAAGAAGATTCCGTCCACCAGCGCCTTCTTCGCGCCATGTCTGACCAGGACAAATTGCTACTACTTAATGGAGCTTCCATGTCAGTACCAGATGCCCAAAGCGAGCTATCAAAAAGGAAGAAATACGACCCAGACGCCAAGGTCCAGTGTACTAGGTGTCGAGATGCATTGTTTCGTTCCAAGTTTGTCCCCGACCAGTATAAAGTGGACTCAGTGTCTGAAGTTATGGAGAACATTCCTCCTCATGCCAATTTGGTGTATGTTGTTAGTGCAATGGATTTCCCCATGTCTATCAATGAAGATGTGTTCAAATACCGTGGGGCTAGTACCATGAAGTTTGTTGTGACCAAACTGGATCTTTTTTTCGCTAATAAAGCCATGGCTGCCAAATATGGTCTCCAGTTTTTCCACGATTACTTCTGGAGAACATATAAGGTACCGCCAGAGAATGTCTTTTGCGTTTCTGGCGCCGTGGACTGGCACACAGAGAGGTTGTATCAAGCTGTTCAAGATAATCTGTTCTTCATTGGCTGTGTTAATAGTGGTAAGTCTACGTTGATTCTGGCCCTCTTACATATTGCCCAGCAGAACCGGCAGAAGCTCCCAAATGCTCGGAGAGACCGAATGGCGCAAAGATTGGATGACATGGCCATCTCTAATAGTAAACCTACCACTCGCCAGGCTCTTGCCAAACACAATTTGGCAGCCATCAACACTTTCAAAAAACTTCATGGTCCGGGTACTTCGTACATGCCAGGATTCACACGAGGCAACCTTCCATTTGAGCTTTCTCGAAACATGACCATTTACGATGTTCCTGGGTTTGCTTCTTCGAAAGCGTCCCAACTCTACGAGTTTATGCATGCCAATGCCATCAAGTCCATTCAGAAGGGCCAGAAAATGCACAAGAAGGGCACATACAAGTCACACTACGAAACTGCCAGGGGGGGGCAGGTTGTGACGGTTGGAGGACTCTTTTTTCTCCAGGTTCCGCAAAATGTCATGTTACAGGTCCGGAATGTCGTAAATCACAAGATGCATATTTTTAAGAACATGGAGAAGGCACTCCAACTTTGGAACGATCCACATTCCAACCCGGCCCTTCGTGACGTGTTTGCGGTGGATTCTTCGAAAACTCAATTGGTCAAGTACATTATTCCATCGTTCTACGGTAGTGTGGACCTAGTGATCCGGTCGGTCGGATACATCACCATGACACCAACCGGCAAGTTCAATGCCCATCAGCCGTTTACGGTGTATTTGCCGGAAGGACTCGAGGCTATCATTCGCCAGCCTATTACGCGATACATTACGAGGACTTTGGCAGGTCGAGATGCACAGGGGAATGTTCTAAAGAAGGAAAATTGGAGGGAGAAGAGCGTGACAGAAGTGAAACGGTATACTGGCAAAAGCCCGTTTGTGAGCCGTCTAATTCCAGGTGAGGGTCCAGGCAACGACGCCGAGATTATGCAGAAATATGTGCAACAAGTGAAGGGCCACGCGGTTTCTCATGCGACAGTTTCCGACGAAAACCAATATACTAATTGGGTGTAAAAAGGGCCATTCTGGATGGTGTCCAAATTCATGTACATAGATGCGGAGTTCCAGATATTCAACGCAATTGTAGGTCTCGGCTCGTTCACATTCAACAAGCATTGTGGGGCGCATGCTGCCGCATGCTAACACATGGTGACCCATTCCGTCTATTGCAAAAGACCACATGGCAACCACAGACGATAAGTGTTAGAGTCGCAACAAGCGCAACCACATCCACCCTCCGATTAGTCCTAAATTACACACCAATAGCAACCCCAAGCGCGAAATGATAATTCCTAAAGTGGCAACATGCAACCCAGTGCGCTAGTCACTGCATGGATCGACAAATGTAGGAATTGGGTAACCGCGCCAGATCTCAGATAGATTTTGGGGCCCTGGACGCGTCGAAGGAGGTCTTGGGAAATCGCGGACGTCAACACCTTCGTGCATGCAATGCATGAAGCCATGCACAGCATTCATGACAAAAGTTTCATCGCAGCATTGAACCTTCGCGTGCCTAGTATATATACATTGTACTGGGTTCTTTCACTAGACAACGTTTTTCACTCATTTTTGAAGTTGCCAACTGGGTATCAGTAAGTTCACTGGTGTCATGATTCGCAGTCAAAGCATAACGTTGGCCGACAAGCGCAAAACTGGGCTTTTGAATTCCCTCCGTAATAGGAAATCCTCGTCAAAAGACTTGAATGGCTTCCTCAAAACCAGGACACTCAATGAGACCAATACAGATGTCAATAAGCGTCACTCGGTGATGTTAATGTCGCCCAAAGAGAAAGATTATCAGCATCACACCAAGGAAAACAAGGAAAACAAGGAAAACAAGGAAAACAGAGCCAGTTATAGACTCAGCTATAAAGAGGAAATCAAGAGCATCAAAAAAGATGAGAACCAACCGGAAATCGTCCGGGACAGCATCAGCGGAAAGGAGAAGAGTGTATCAAGAAGGGCGCTGAGGATTTTCCGCCTGAGAGTAACTCCTCCATCGAGTGAGAAGACCATAGCTACAGCAGGCCTGGAGCCCAGTGATGTGGTGTCCATGGAGACACTCAGTTTGGATCCGTTATCACCCAACACACCCATCAACATCAAGTTGGAGACTTCAGAGTTGAGTCCTCTCACGTTCCAGGAATTTGCCAGCTACTTGCAGAACTTTGACGATGAGCCTTCTACCCCATCCAAATTGCACCGTACTGTTAACATCGCCAACATTCAAGACTTAATCAACAGCATGGATGAGAAGATCTTGCCGCTTGGGAACCGCAAGTCGCTAGATGTGGAAGCCAATGAGTTCAAGCAATTACAGACACAGTTGAGCAAGCAGCCGCATGACTTGAACTTATACTTGGTTGAAAACGCTATGTTCATGAGCTTTTTCCAGCGCAGCTCCGACGAGGCCATCCAAAGACTGACTAGATATTGGGATGAGATTGACGTGACTGAGACATTCAAGATGGAAAAGTATCATTTGGATGACAACATCTACATGCATATGTAACAAGGGTATGGGTGATTTTGAATTATAGATTCTGTAGAACTGTAGGAGATATTTCATGTGCTGTTTACTTAATTTGTCATATCTCTTCTCTCATTCTCATGTCTCTTCTCATCGTCAAATACATTCCTCAACACGTTTCATTTCCCGATCTTACATTCCATTTCTGATCTTACAATTCATGTGCTCGTCATTTCTATTGTCAATTTGGAGCCGCTTATGCTTTACCTCGGCTATCTCTTCTTTATGCTAAGGTTACCCTAAATGGTTCTAATGATAATAAAGTACTGTGACGTGCCGAAAAAATTTGTCATTGTTTGAGGAAATAAACTCTAATGTCGAATTCCGCATCCACTATTCTATAATTTTTTAACTGTATTTTTTTTTTTTTTTTGTTTCCTCCTTTCATTCTTGCTTAATTTACCCTCATTTCTTTCTATTTAAGGCATTTCTGAATAGTTTCGTAGCTCATTTTCAAAAGTGCACCCGTACACCACCAACTTACTTAGGTCAAAATTTCCTCGACAAAGTCAAATCATCACCAAAATGTCTGCTAGAGAGGAGTCTGACGCCTCTGCATTGCTTTCTTCATTGTCGTTGACTGGCGCCTCCGGTGCTAAGGACACTAATGATGTGGAACTCCCAATTACAGAGGAGGCAGAGACGAAGACTGAATCGAAAGAAGCTGAATCGAAGTCTCCAGCTGAACCAACAAAAGACGAGCCAAAGACTGAATTGGAATCCGAATCCAAAGCGGAGCAGGACACACAGTCAAATGATGGAGCAGAATCTGCCGCTGTAGGAGAAGCTGAACCAAAAGAGCCAGAATCAAATTTGATCAAATCAACATACGAAGTCAAGGTCAAATTGGCAGACTTGCAAGCAGACCCTAACTCTCCACTATTCTCTGTCAAGTCGTTCGATGATCTCGGACTTAAGGAAGAACTACTCAAAGGCTTGTATGCCATGAAGTTCAACAAACCCTCCAAAATCCAGGAGAAGGCATTGCCTCTCTTATTGAAGAACCCTCCAACTAATATGATCGGACAGTCTCAGTCGGGAACAGGTAAAACCGCTGCTTTCTCCTTGACCATGTTGTCCAGAGTTGACGAAACTGTAAACAACGTCCAGGCCATTTGCTTAGCTCCAGCCAGAGAGCTTGCAAGACAAACGCTTGAAGTCATTCAGACCATGGGCCGTTTCACCAAAATCAAGAGCAGATTGATCATCCCTGGCACCTACTCGCATGAAACCACTTTCAACGAACAGATCTTGGTGGGAACTCCAGGAACGTTGTTGGATCTCATTAGAAAGAGAAGAGTCAATGTAAAGAACGTCAAAGTGTTCGTGTTGGACGAAGCCGACAATATGTTAGATGCACAGGGGTTGGGTGACCAGTGTATCCGTGTAAAGAAGCTGTTACCTCAAAGTGCACAACTTGTGTTGTTCTCGGCCACTTTCCCTACTGAGGTGAGAGCGTACGCCGAAAAGTTTGTTCCTAATGCCAACTCGTTGGAGTTGAAGCAGGAAGAATTGAACGTGGACGGTATCAAGCAGTTGTACATGGACTGTGACTCTGAAAAGCACAAGTTTGAGGTGTTGTGCGAGTTGTATGGATTGTTGACCATTGGTTCGTCAATCATCTTTGTGCGTAGAAAGGATACTGCTGACCAGTTGTACAGATTAATGACCAAAGAGGGTCACAAGGTTTCTGTTTTGCACAGTGACTTAGATCACGGAGATAGAGACCGGTTGATTGACGATTTTAGAGACGGCAGATCGAAGGTGTTGATCACTACCAACGTTTTGGCCCGTGGTATTGACATTGCATCTGTCTCCATGGTTGTCAACTACGACTTACCTGTGGACAAGGATGGCAGACCAGACCCTTCCACATACTTGCACAGAATTGGCCGTACTGGTAGATTTGGCCGTGTTGGAGTGTCCATCTCGTTTGTTCATGACAAGAAGTCTTACGAGGTGTTGCAGGCAATTCAACAATACTTTGGTAATATCGAGATGACTCGTGTGCCTACGGACGACTGGGACGAAGTCGAGAAGATTGTAAAGAAGGTGATTAAGAGCTAGAACAAAAGTGAGAATAATATACGGAAGACAGTTTTTAAGAATCCATGGTATTCGTAGAGATCTTGTATTTGACTTCATGCATCTCAGTTACTAATTTTAATTTTATCATTATTACTATTGTAACTGCTGTTAATTATGTAACTACCATTTTGTTGTTACTTTTATCATTGTTACTAAATCACTGTTTCTTTGTTACTGTATCATTGTACGAAACTTCCTACGAACATACTCCAACAAATTCCTTTCCATGCCACATCAAATATCAACCATCTTACAAAATCTACTTCACTGGATGCTGACTATATATTTCACCAAAACGTCTCTATGTACACTAGTTCTCAAACACCACCGAAGGCTTGAACCGACGTGGCGCTCTCTTGGCTGCCACACTCCAATCAATGCAATCCCACAAGTTCTCCAAGTATTGCTGCTTGCCAAAAACTCCGTAGTCTCTCATGTATGCTCTCATAGACCCGTCAAGCGCAAGCAATGGCACCAACTTCTTGTCCAGGAACAAAAGTGCCTCCTCGGCCTCTTCAACCGTTCCCAACGTCAACAAGTCCTTTGCTGGAACAACATCCTCCTCCACAACGTCCTCACCTTCTTGCTCTTTGCGTTCCTCTTGTTTTCTCTTTAAGGCAGCTTCCTTGGCAGCTTTCTGCTGCTTCAATTTTGTCACTTGGCCAGATCTGATGGAATCATCTACAATTCCAGCATTGTATGTGTTCACCACAGCCAACTTGTTATACGACAAGTCAGAACCAGAAACGTTACGCAATGTCGACTCGGAGTAAGTTGCCTGAGCCACTAACCATGTGACTCCGTCTCCCTTAATGCTCTTTGCACTGTTGAGCAAAAGTGTTCTGAACTCAGCGATCGATCCAAACGAGTCCACTATCCACTCCACCAATGCCTCATCTCGAGGCTCATTGGAAAATTCAGTAGCAATGCTTGGTGTCTGTAACAACAGTGACTCCTGCGCCTTGACAACACGCAGCTGAGCATCGTCGGCTGTACTAGGTTTCAAAGATTCCAAGCAGAATTGCAAGTTGTGCAACAAGGATGCCTGGGCGTAGATTCCCTCCAAGGCAGGCTTGTTGAACGTAACGGTGATCAACTGGTTCAAGTCTGCGGGCGGGTTGGCCACCTTATTTTCCTCAAGCTGTGTGTTCAAACGGTTGACGATGGCCTGTCCACGACCAAACCATAATTCTTCAATTGATTTGCTCAGGTAGAGGCCGTTAAAATTCTGGTTGGTCGATTTGAGATTTTCCAAGAGCGGGATCGTAGGGAGAATGTACGATACCGATCTGCGGGAAACCAACGAACGGGGGGCCAGAGACCTGAACATTTTATTGGGTTGAAAAAGCTGGAGCTTGTGAGTGTTAAAAAATTGCCTTGAAGTGATGGTGTGCGCACGACCTGGTTCATTTTGATTAGAGTTGGCACTAATCTGGATTTTCGAGTCTACCCCAGCTCACATGCGCGCTTTCTTGCTCTAGTTGTATATTTCGTAGAAGGAAGTATCCTATTATCCGGACAGAAAAGCAATCCTGTCTCCCATGTTAATCTATAATACATACGTGTTAACGATGTGTGTCACCAATGGGTCAAAGCAACTGGTGGGGCAACTGGTGTGGCAGTTTCTTCAGCATTATCTACTTCTTCCAACCTTCAAACTCTTAACTCTTCTTAATAACGACGACCCTGCACCATTTTCCTCTTCCCCGAACGATGGCCTAGCGTATTCTCCAGAGTTGTCATGCGACGACCTTCTAGATGTGGATTCACTCTGGGAGTTCTTGCGGAATTTCTGCACTAATGACTTCTTTCTTCCCAAGCCGTTGGATGGAGGAGTCAAGTAGTCATCACCACGTGGAGCTGGCGCACCATCAAGAAATGTAGAGGTACCCAAGCCCGCAGTGGTTGGGCCATGCACAGGTGCAGCCTTTTCGTTAGCATCGAATGCCAACACAGAAGGATTTAATCTGGGAGTGAATGCGGCTTGTGGATCGTTGGAAGTCCTGTTTGTCTTTAGAACAGGTGCCTGATTATTCTTGTTGGTGCCAACTCTCCCAACAATCTCATTTTGGTCTTCGGAGAAGTTGCCATAAGCTAGGTTCATGCGGTCATTATTATTCACTCCGGGGCCAAATGCTTTCATGGAGGTATTTGGACCATCAGCAGGGAAGGCCATGACTGGCGCATTCTTTTCGTTTTTGTTTCTGTGTGGGGTACATGCGTCGAAGGGTCCGTCGTGGTGGAATCTTCCTCCGTAAAACGCACTAACGTCTAACTTGTCAATAGTGTCCAAGTTCTTGGAGTTGTGTGGTTGGGGAGCCGCCTTTTTCTTGGATGGAGACTTTGTTCTGGAAGACGACTTGTGGTGGTGTCTGCGTTCGCCATTGCTTCGTTCACCGTTGCTGCGATGTCTGGATGAGTCGCTCTGGGAACGATGAGGTCTGCTGCTTCTGGTATGAGAGGAGGAGGAAGGTGGCTTCTCTTGTGGGTATTGTCTGGAGGCAGATTCAGAGCCAGCTGCTTCTTCATATGAAGGAGGGGGGGGAGCGGAAGGCTTCATTTCCCGGGATACTGACGGTTTTTTCTTCTGAGTAGTCAGGGGGGGTGGAGGAGGAGGATCTCTGTGGTGCTTATATTCACCATTCATTGCGGACGCAAATGGATTGTTGGAAGACATTTTTCTTTGGGAGTTAGTAAGGTAGGATTTTAAAAAAAAAAAAGGCGGAGGGTGTCACGGAGTAGGAGGCACGCAAGTCAACAAAAGATTGAAGGCTGAAACTATGTCCTGCAGGAAATTGAGGATGAGTGCGCGCCTTGCTATCCAAGAGCAAGCCCAGTGATGGTAGGTCACGAGAGTGTGGACGCGCACGTGAGGCTTAGTGGGGAGGACCGCATAAGGAGACAATAGCTTAGCTAGCCGCAATAGGAGATTGACTGAGCGCTCTAGGCTATGCGTCTGGCTGCATCTTGAAGCTTGGGTTTACGTGAGTCAAGCCTCCCGAAGTCTCAATAAGCGATCAGGGGTATTGGAAGGGACGGCAAGCCGCAAAAAACAACATGAACTGAATAGACGATTGATCGTAATTTGGGATCTGATATGAGGCGAACTTGGTGAAGCTGAAAGGTGATGTGTGTTGAACGGCGAAGTGGGCTTCCAAGATGCTGGAAATGAAAAGTGTGCGCCCTCCAAGGCGTTCAAGCGCTGGATTAGCTGTAAATTTTACACATTCAATGAATTGTGAATCTAGACACTTATATCACTTGCGGCACTAGAAAGCGTAAAATCCTATTGTTTGTGATTTCAGTAGGATTTCTCGCATGCGACAGCTGACAAACAATATCGTGATCGATTTCACTCCGAAGTTTCCCTAGGTGATTCATATCATTCGCATCCACTCTAAACTTTTCTGCATAACTCATTGCTTTCACCTTTCAATTCACGTTTCATTTTCTACTTTGATTTTTCTTCCATTCTCCTTTCATTTCCTCCATTTAATTTCTCCTCTTGCTTCATTCTTATTGTCTAGTTTGCTTGTTATCTTAATCCCCATTATTGATCTTTTCTCTCCTTTGTTCAATAGTTTTCTCGTCTTCAAAGACTGACTTCGTACCTCTGTTCTTTCCGTAATCATTTTATTCTTTAAAATTCCAGGTTTTTTCTCTCCTTGTCTTTGTCATTCTTGTTCCCTCTTCTCTCTCTCTAAATATTTCTATTTCTCTCATTCGTCTCTACTTTTAACCGCCGCAAATCAAATTATACATACCTGTAGTTCACATTACTGTCGCTCCCCGTGCGTGACTGGCCAGGAAACGACGGTCTCGCAAGTGGCGCATCTTCATCATCCAGCAGTTCAATAAGCTGCTTATTCTTCTTGACCCAATCGTCAAAAGTCGAGTTGGTGGAATGGCCCAGACCTGTTGATCGGTTGGATGAACCTGTCACATCTTGCCGGAACGGATTGTTAGAAGAGATTCTCCGGCCCGAATCAAACGATTGGTTAGGCTGTTGATACATTGTAAGGGAAAAGCTTGCTTAGAAAGGAAATGGATGTAAAGGTGAAGGTGATCTGGACTCTTGGGCGGGACACGATGTCCTCACGCGTCTATTTTAGAGGCACGGGTGTGGCGCATGTGGAATTTACTGATTATGGAAACTATATAGATTTGGAGGTTTTTGGAATTCGTTCGTTAATTTTAGTGATTTGGAACTTTTTCAATTTTTTTCAAGCGAATATACATATGATGAATATGTTCGCAAAAATAGGATTATAATTCTTGATTCAGTTATTCCGAATTTCATCGTGGTGTTATTGACAATTGAGATTATATGCGAATTAGTTTGCAATAAGTATTGAAAATTTCAGTAGACGTGAGAAAAGCAGAACATTGAAAATCTAAGTCATTACACCGTGGAGTTGCAAAGAAAATGTAAAAAAAGCGTATGGAGTGAAATTAAATTATAGAGATAAGGATGTTTAGGTTTATGTAGTGGTGTAAGTATGATAGAACTAGAGATCATGAAGAATCTACAGAATATGAATAAGATCAATTTTGACTTCATACTTACTCGAGAAATAAGAGAATTGAAGTCAAATCAATTTTTTATTCAATATAATAACAGTGATGTCCCTTATATAATGGTTCTGGTTATTGTGTATTACTGCCTTTATAGATTGTTAGGACTAACTGTCAACTCAGTTGTCATTCCACCATCTGTGATTTCTCCATATCAATCCGGAAATTCTGGTCGGACAAGTGCCATTTTGTTAATCACCGAAAATAATCTACAGAAACGATAGACTCAGGTATTAATCTAATTAAATTGAGAAATCAATTCCTCCATTCTAAATGGGGCTCCACCCCAAAACATTACTCCACTACTTTCAACTCTTTTCTCTGTTTTACACCCAACCACATTCCCTCTACACTTCTCAAATACCGATCACTATTAACACACCAAGAACTAAATATCTATATCTCTAGCTCAAAATGAGCTCCATGTCCAATCGGACGGAACATTGTTCACCAACGATGCCCGTCTCTCTTCTTGGGGATTCTTATCTGCTCGATTCACCGATGAATGCACCAGCGTCCCCACATACGTCGTAGATGTATATGGATTCTCAATAAACACATATGGAGCCTCTGACTCCTCGCTTGCTCGAAGCCTCTGATTGATGGCATTAACAAGCCTTTGGTAGTTGGCTCCACATGTTTTACATGTCTTGCATTGCTTGAAACGGGGATGGAGCATCAGAACACCTGCTCCACCCACCAAGTTGGGGAATAGCGGAACCACAAATCGTGCTTTGGAGTCCATCATCACTCCACCCACTGCATCGTCTAGTAGGCCAGATTTGATGGTGGATGTGGTTGAGCTCGCATGACTGGCATTTGACGAGCCACTGTATGCTCTACGAGAAGATGTAGTTGTCTGTGAGTCGCTTGTTCCGTTTTGACCCGTTGTGCTTTCTTCTGGTGTTGTCACCTGGAAGTAATGCATTTCCTTGCTTTTGTGAAGACAATCCTGACAGAAAAGCATGCCACAGAACCGACAGTGATGTCTGCGCTTGCGTTGTGGGGTGAAGAAGTTGCCAAATACTTCAAAACATTTCATACAATGGTCCAGCAGATTGTTGGGCATCCAGTGATTGTGAGTGGGCTCCTGCTGCGTATACTGGTCATAAGAGTCTGGGAGTTGGAACGGATACTTATCAATCTGCACCATTGGCGTCAGAACCTCCAGTTCCAGGGAATGGTCCATGTCCATCTCGTCTTCGTCGTTGGTGGGGCGTAACACTGCTGGCGTGCAGAGTGGTTTTTTCAAATTATAAACTTGTTGCACCCCTGGCCCTTTTGCGCCCATGGTAGGCGACCGAACTCTTCCACCGACCTCGTCCTTGACCTCCGTACGTTCCGTAGTCATGGTGTTGCTGTTGAGGTTGTGCATGGCTCTCATGAGCTTCGTATGTTCCAGACGGTCCAGACGGTCCAGACGATCCAGCAGTACGGTATTGTCCAGACAATCCGAGCCGGTGTCAAGTTTGGAAAGCACGTCGCTACCCTTCATGGCCCCTACGTAACTTCTGTTCATGGATGTATCGCTTCCATCAGACCTTTTCATGTTATTTTCATTGTTTGCTCCAACGCCATGGGCTTCCTGTCCATTTCCATTTCCATTTCCATTGACTCTGGTTTCATTTCCAGTGGACAAATCACGAATTTCCGTGTCCCCGTGCACTTGTCCTTCTACTACCTTGCCCTCGTCTAGCTCAAAATACCGGTTGCTGGCATAAGTCAACACCGCATTTATAATCATGCCAGAGCGAGGCTTCACAGGCTCCAGATTACGTCTGGTGGACTGATTTAAATCTGCGGTCGCCGGAAGATACTGTGAAGTCTGCTCTGTGCTAGTGGCTGCCGTTTCGTCATCGCCGTTGGTGTCGTTTTTCTGTGCCAACATTAGCACCAGCTCATGTGACGTCGATCTAGACAGACCCAGAGTCAGATTCTTGCGGTCCGTGAAAGGTCGAGGCGACTCAGGCTCGTAGGTGTAGTGGTTGACGCCCGACATGCGTGGTGCTCGGATTTGTTCATCATAATCGATGTTGTTGAAGGTTGCTTTGGCAGGAGGTTTTTTGTCTGGAGAGGTTTTATTAAGAATCGAGGAGATCACCGAGGTGGCATAAATGTTTTTGATAGGTTTTTTCAGGAACGAGAAGGGCGGGAGCTCCTCCACGGAAGCACTGTCCTGCTCCTCTGTCATTGCAAAGACGATAGATTTGGCGGAGGGATTTTTTTTTCTCTCGTAAGTTGGATATGAGGGTATTTTTAAAAGGTCAAGGTAATTAACCAACTACTAATCGGTGCCGATTGTCTGCAGGAAGAAGATAAGGATTTTGGGGGGACGGGATTTCCGATACTTAAATTGGGGATGTACGGATGTAGGCCCTAAAACCGGGAGAAATTACTTTGACGAATGGAACGTGTCGATAGAGAAATATTTGCTTGTTAGTTACCATGTCAACCAGAAGTTTTATTTCGATTTCATCTTGGTAAGTTGGATTTCCGCTCGAACTTGTTAGATGATTCTGCTTACTGCACATACCCGGGCGCTGGTGCACAAAACGCATAAATTGATAACAATCAAGGTGATAGAGAATGGAAAGAAAGCCGAGGGAATCAGGCAGAGAGAAATTCATTGTTTCATTGCGTAGAACGGCTTGAATTCAAGAATATTCCGGTTCTTGCCAACAACCTAAAAAGTTTCGACCTAGCTTTTGTGATTGAGAATGGCGAGCTGTGATTGGTTGGCGATATGCGAAGATCACGTGTAGAAATAGCAGCACCGAAAACTTTTTCCGTCCTTAAGGTGCAGCTACGGGATATTAACCCGCATGGTTCCTAGCAAGAGACTGCATACTATTTCACCGCCACTTCCGAGGGACTTGCTTGCCCTGAGTGGGGGGTGCGAGTACTTTGCCTCATTAGCCACGCCACGCCCCACCACCTCACAACTTGTTTATTCCCACGAGCACGTGAAAGGAGATCACGACAGCCATGACACGTGACCAACTAATCGGAAAACGAAAACATCCCGCCAACCGGTAACGGCGTTCAGCGGCTACAATTCAAATAATACAATATTTCACTTCATTTTGACTATCTAATCCTTGGTCACAACGTATAAAGCGTGTAAGATGGCTGGGAACCAGAAGAAAAGACAGCAAACTAGGTTAATCCAGAATGGAGTAGTAAGCTGACATTTCATAAACACAGCCAATGGAGGCAAGAAGATGGCTAAAGCGGTTAGTATGGGCAATAAGGAAGAAAATTCCCGGGAAATTTGGGAAGAAGCCAATTGCGTCTAATGCATACCTAAGATGATGGCGACGATCTTTTCGCTGTTCATTTTTTTAGATAGTGAAAGGAATTAGGGGAGTTGGTTGAGTTTTTATGGTGAGAATGCGTCTAGGAGTGCATACAAGCAGTATCTTGTCATGACCTTCCGCATGGGGACAAGTGGACCGTTGATAATAAAATTAGGTGGCTGGTAATTGTTGGAATGACGGGAGAAAAGGCTGAGTTATTTGGTGCAAAGAGAATTTTGACTTCAGGTTATGAGCGATTATGAATGGCGAGGCTGTCTGTGATCGAAGACTAGTTATGAACCATGCACTGATGCGTAGAACATGTAATTAATCTATGGCTGTCATGTGGCTGAAAATGGTGATGACTAAAAGGTTGGTACATGACTTTGGCGAATAGGGGAAGGCGGCTGGAGAATGAAATACCAGATTTTAATGATATTTTGTCAATTACTTTTTGATAATTGTCTTGATGAGGGAGATGACTCGTTGTGTAAATGACGGAATACGATCATGATGGAACAGGCATGAAGGAAACGTAAACGAAGGAAATGTACATAAGGAAATGGGACTGAAGAAGAAGCAAGTGGAACATACATAAATTTCATTGAACCTTCGATAGAGATCGAGAACTATGTTGAACATTAGACCTTGCCATACGTTATCTACCTACCACCCTAACTTCATGGAAAATGGCTAAAATCAAAACTAAAGACCCACACTACACGTTCAAGATATCTTCACTTCATTCAACAGATTCATTCAACATTCGTTTATTCTTTCATAATTTACTGCATCAACTTCCCAGCACTCTCACTGGTCTTCTCGCCTCGTTCTCTGTCGACTACGGCAGTGCGTCTCAACACCGCCTCTAACTCACTCGAGTAGGGAGCTTTTGTCGTGGTGGGATCGTTGTGGTTCTTTACCACACGGTAGTAGTTCTCGTAGAAGTTTCCATCGTAAACTCCAATGGCTGAATTCAAGAGAACATCAGGAATCTGAAACGAGTCCGTCAATGGCACAGCCTGGCCACGAACTTCAAGGCACAACTCTGGAATTAATTGCGAGTTGATGGCCATACTCAACTTGGCGCTCATCACCTCATGGCCAACAAACTCCTTAGAGAATGTATCCAAAATGGAACTCAGGTAGTACAACTTCTGCACCTTGGCCAAAGCAAACAAGAGATCAGGTCTACTCAACTTCTCCATGGCTCCTATCAACAGCTCCAAAAGGTAGTGGTGACAACGCAACTTGGCCAAAAGTACCTTTTCATAAGACACAGCGTCCCAGCTTCCGGTAGATTTGACCTTAGCTAACGCCGCCAAACCAACCTTGACAATTAAAGCCTCCAAAGCTCTGAGCACATGAGGTGCCGACAAATCAGTCACATCGTTCAACAAGATCCCCGAGGCAGAGAGCTCTTTAGCATTGTTCAAAAACAGCAACGTTCCTGGGATCTTGACGTTCTTGTCCACCACACTCTGGATGTTCTTCATCAATGTTCTGCCAGCAGAAATTCCCAATACGTTGTTGTCTCCTTCCCACGTACATTGAACCACCCAGTCGTCGTAGGCCTTTCCAAAACCGCTGTAGGCCGAGTAGCCCAGACCTCCACATGCTTGTCTTGTTTCAGTGATGCAGAGTTCTGCCAACCATGTCAAGGTAGCTTTGAGGGCCGCAGAGTCCACGAAAAGCGACTTGGTGCCCACCAACGACTTCTGAATGCCCTTTTCGTCCTTGCGGGCGAAGGCCTCATCGAAACTGTTTACCACCTCATCATGCTGTCTCTCTAAACGGTCTGTTCCAATGGCTGCAGCATATGTCATGGCCAAATATGGCATCAACCGACGTTGGTGCAATGGGTAGTTGATCAATTGCGTCTCACCTGGGGCCCTGATGGCATCACCCTTGAATTGACGTCTTCCCACTGCGTATCTGATGGCAATGGTGGTGAATCGAGCACAGATTCTGTATGAGTCAGATGCCATACCCACACGGCCTTGCAAAAGCGAAATGTAACTCAATTGCTCCAATGGAGGTAAATTCACCTTACCCTCACGAGAAACCTGACAGAATTTCTGGAGCATAAAGAAACGTGGAATACGGACACTGGAGAACTGGATCCAGCCATTATCCACACCCTCACGGCCCATCTTTGATCCGATGTCTCCAATGCTCACACCAGGCATCAAGTTATGGTTGGAATCTCTCAAAGGCACGACAAACGTTTTAACACCATAGTCCTTGCCATCCACAATCAATCTGGCATAAATAGAAGAGTGGGTGGCCGAATGAGCAGCACCACCGATCCACCACTTGGTGGCACCAATGTGAGGCGTATTGATAATGAACTCATCGGACTTTTTATCGAAGGTAGCAGTGGTCTCCACTCCAGCAGCATTGGAGCCATGGCCCAATTCGGTCATTCCGAAACAGCCCCAGATCTGCTTCATGTACTTGGCCTCCTTGTCAAGGCACCAATACTTGAATTGAGCCTCTGTACCATTACCCTTGATGCAATGAATGAAAAGCCCCAAGTTTACAGCGATTCTGATTCCCAACGATGGGTCGTACATGGTGACCAAGTTAAGACGACGCCAGAAGTCATCGTAAGGCTCCAGCTCCACGTACTGAGTCATTCTGCCAATTCTCTGTGCTGTCTGAGCACGATTTTCACCTCTGGACAATTCGTAATCTTTAAATGAAGGTGCAAGCACAGGATCTCTCTCTAACAGCTGATAGAGTTCCAAGATTTTGGTGGCCTTATCTGGTGTACCTTCTAAAACATTGTACATGTCTTGAGGATCAAACTGAGCCTTCGATCTTTCTTCAGCCATCAGTGCAGCCGGATTAGGACCAGGCAGGGTGCTGACCAGAGACGTGGTGAAAGCCATGATAAATAGAAGATTTTTGTGTTTTGAAAAGTTAATGGATTCAAAAGCCAAGTTAAGCCGAAGTTAAGCCTATCTGTAGCCTTTTTATGATGAAAGTTTCATGTTTCGTGGTTGATTGCACTGTTCTTATACTGGTAAGTTCACAGGACTGTACTGAATGGTTAGGATTTTGTGGGGTAGCTCCCCTCAACTCTTTCACAGGATTCCACGGAACAGCCACCTATCAACACGGAAAAACCGGCAGGTAGAGATCAGGTGGTTTCAAATGACACGATCTGGCGTTAGGAGGTAACAGTGGGGGTGTTTCCGGGGAAAGATGGGATGGGGCCAGTAATGGGGACATGGTGGTGGTTCTGTACTGCAGAAAGCCCGACAGAACTCTCGGAGTCTGGGGTAGCCGGTGTATCAGGGAATGATTAGGAGAAATTAGGGGAAGGGATTGAATGGGGTTGTGGGTGGGTGTCGGGATGAAGAAGAAATTATTTAGGGAAGGAATGAATAATCGGGTTCGATTTCATTTTTTTTCTTAGGGGTATCAGGGCATGGGAGGACAATACTCGTCGTGAGATTGTCAATATTGGCTGAAGAATTTATGGCCGAGGCAGAGAATGTTAAATTCCTGATTAGGAAGTTTCTGGCCATTAATGAGTTTAAGAGTTTGATTTATAGATTCCAACAAGTATTCAATTTTTATTGTTTGAATTGAGTACTCTATGTTTTGTGAACTTTTTGTGTGTTCAGATACTTTTGAAATATGGAGATCATTTCTAAACTGCTGCGATCTGATGTATTTCTATTTTATCCACGCTTCTGGCCCTTTGAGTTCGTACTCAATTATGTTTATTGCGTTCCAATTATTGTTTTCGATAGATAAAGTGTTGAATCGGTATTAAGTTTTTACTGTTTTCATGACTTTGACCTTGTATATCCTCACCACTAACCACTGATCTTGTCTTATCAGTCAAATCAGTAGTATTCGATTCATCTTTGTTTGATTTATTTTCTTCTCTTCCATTCTACTTTTCTTTCGTACTCACAATCTGTTTCTTATTCTTGTCCTCTTCCCTTTCTTACTTGGCTCTCTGAAGAACATCCTTATCCCAACTACATCCCAATTACTCGTATAACTTCATGTATTCTTCCTGTATTCTTCATAATCTCAACAAATTACTTAGACAAAATAGATGCGGTCTCGCTAGACTTCTCGCCTCTGAGTCTGGTATCCAAAGAACTTCTACCCAAGAAGCTCTCAAATTCGGCAGAGTATGGTGCCTTGTGGTTGAATGGTGGGTTCAACTGCTTCACGGTGGAGAAGTAGTTCTCGTAGATGTTACCATCATATTTACCAATCTGCGAGTTCACCAAAAGATCAGAGAACTGGAACGAGTCGGTGTAAGCGACAACATTAGGTCTGATTTCGGCACACAAGCTTGGAATGATCTTATTGGTGATGTCGTTGACAACAACAGATGGCACAACATTGTAGGACAAGAAGTCACCAGAGAATTTCTCCACAACATTAGAAGCAACGTACAACTGAGCAATGGTCTTCAAGAATGGGTTCAATTCCGTGTCCTTGTTCTCCTTGACTCTTCTCACATACTCCGCAAGGAAGTAGTGGTGAGCCTTCAACTTGGAGATGGACAAACTTGGGGCTCCAACAGAGTCGAAGTTACCATCGTTCTCAGCCACCACTTCAGCTCCCTTGATAGCAATTCTGGTGATCAACACCTCAATAGCCTTCAAGGCCTTGTCGAAGTCTAGCAAGTCAGAAGCCTTCTCCACAACATATTCTGTGTTGTTGTACTTCTTGGCGTCGTTCAAGAACGAAAGAGAGCCACCAGCCTTGGTACCCTTCTCCAAAACGGCGGAGGTAGCCTTGATGATTGGCTTACCAACGGACATGGCCAACACGGAGTTATCACCCTCCCAAGTACACATAACGACCCAGTCGTTGTATGCCTTGCCGAAGCCGTTGTAGGACGAGTAACCGTGGCCACCACAAGACTGTCTGGCCTGGTCAATAGCATCAGCAGTCAACCAAGTGGCAGTAGACTTCAAGGCAGCAGAGTCCACAAACAAAGACTTCATGCCGGCAATGGAGCCCATGATTTTCTTCATGTCGTTGGAAGCAACTGCAGCCTCCAAGGTGCTGACAGTCTCGTGAATGGTCTGCTCCAATTTGTAGGAACCAGGACTGAACATGTAAGCCTGGGCCAACAATGGCAACAATCTACGCTGGTGCAATGGGTAGTTAAGCAATTGTGTCTCGGTACCATCCTTTTGAGATTGTGACTTGAACTGTCTTCTGCCAATAGCGTATCTGAGAGCGATAATGGCAAATCTGGCAGTCCATCTGAACGAGTCCATCACCATGGACACACGGCCGTCCAACAAGGCCGAGTAGGCCAATTGCTCCAATGGAGGCAATGTCACCTCTCCGTCGGCGGTCACCTTACAGTATTTCTGCAACATGTAGAATCTTGGGATTCTGACGGACGAGAACTGGATCCATCCATTGTCGATACCATCTCTACCCATCTTGGCACCAATATCACCCACAGCCACACCAGGCATCAAGTTGTGGTTGGCGTCTCTCAAAGGCACCACGAAGGTCTTAACACCATAGTCCTCGCCGTCCACAATCAATCTGGCGTAGACAGAACAGTGGGTGGCCGAATGAGCAGCACCACCGATCCACCACTTGGTGGCACCAATATGTGGGGTGTTGATGATGAATTCATCGGTCGTCTTATCGAAAGTTGCGGTGGTCTCCAAGCCAGCCACGTTGGAGCCGTGGGCCAACTCGGTCATACCGAAACATCCGTAGATATGTTTAAGGATCTTTGTTTCCTTGGTATTGGTCCAGTAATCAATCTGGGCATCGGTACCGTTACCACGCACACATCCAAGGAACAAACCCAAGTTGACTCCGATACGGGTGTTAACCTGGGGGTCGTATACTCCAATAAGAGAGCCTCTGGTACCCGAGAACTGGGCGTTGTCCTCCAAGTACTGGCCCAAACGGGCAATTCTCACGGCAGTCAACTCTCTCTGCTCGGTCTTAGTCTTATCGTAGAAGCTGGCATCGTTGGCCAAGATTGGATCTCTTTCGAGCTGCTGTTGCAATGTCTTCATCTCTTCAGCTTTCTCTTCAGATGACTCCAAGAAGTGATGCATCTTGACAGGGTCGAACTTGCTGGCGGCTCTCTCAGCTTGGATGAGAGCCTGAGGGTTAGGCGCAGGGAGTGAGTCTACGGTGTTTTTTGTGATAGACATGATTGTTGATTGAAAAAAGGTTTGGCGAATCGAGGTGCTATATATATATGCGATGAAATTGTGGAGAAGCTGGGGGACCTCGGCATCACATGCCGAGGACCGCGGGGCCGACTTACCGAGCGGAACACCAGGATGGAAACGATGAAATTTGGGACAATTTATATAATTTTAATAAATCAGAATATTTTATATAGCAGTATATTAGCAATTTTTTATTTTAAATAAATTTTATGTTGTTTAATTATATGATTTTTGTCACTTTTGTATTGGTCATCCATTGAATAAATCATGGCTGGTTGATTCGGTCAGCCACTACCGCACTCTTGAAACTATAGTCGGAGGTACGGGTGTGGCAATGTGCCAGTGTGAGTGAGATTCCAATGGCGAACAAGCAATGGCCTGATAGTTAAGGCTCACAAGGCAAAAGAAAAAAATCAGAGGCGTCTTTTCGCCAGAATCAGTCCACTATAGACAATGGAAAGAGAGGAGAAGTTGCAGCACAAAGAAACCGTACGTGAATCTACCAAGTGATGGTGGACGTTATTGAATTCACTATATACAAAAGTTACAACTGAGGAACCAAAAAGTCCATCAAAGGTGACTGGATGAAGGCGACACCGGCAGCAAACAACGAGACTTGGACGGCCACGGTGAATGCGGGCGAGTTCTTGATTTGCTCAAAGGTGGATGGTTGCTTAACTGGAGCCATGATGAGTTTGTGGGAATGACGGGTTGATTGTGAGAATTTTTTGACATGAGTGGGACGTCGAGGTCACGTGCAGGACGGTATTTCGTGGGAACAGGGTTGATAATCTGGGGAAAAAAATCAAGGTGAGCTGATGGAAAGGTTATTATGGTTGTGAAAAGTGGGCTGGAGGAAAACTGAATTGGAGAGATTTCATGGCTGGAGCAGGTGATGAAGTGGGGGTGGAATATTTCGAGATTGTAGGGTTGGAAATGGTAGGAGATACCAAGTAGAAAGTAGTGAGGTAGTAGGAAGAGAATATGAAAGGAAGGAGAGAAAAAGGTTGAAAGGAGAAAGTAAAGAGACCACAGAAAACCAGAGACTGTGCTAATTGGAAATTAGCAGTGCTCTTGAGAACGTTGGTAAAATATGAAATGTGAAATATGAAATGTCTAGATTTCCCCATTATTGCTATCTTCACCTCACGAATTACTAATTACTACAATAAGCGTGACTGGAGTGACCAAGAGGCGTCACTCTTATGGAAAATAAGAAAGAGAAGCCAAAAGAAATTGTTATTAAATAGGTCTTACGACAGACAGCTTTTAGGCACGGTATCTTGAGAATGTAGTTGGGAATACGATTATTGATTGATGGACCAGTTGTAAGAGTAGTGGGAACGTACCAAAGAAAACCCACTTTACATTCATGGAACGATTTTCCATGTAGAAACACTAATTCACCCATTAAACACAACAAATTCAGGTTTGCTAATGCTGATTATCATGGGCTTTCCTGCTATGGCTACTCAGAATATGACCTCATAGGTGCTAATGAAAACTATACAGAAGAAAAATAGCAATATAAATCCGAATAAAATAACTTTGATTCTACCGTGAAAAACTAACAATCTCTACTCGTGATTTTTACCCATCCAGATTTAATTTCATCCATCTTTCATCAATTATTCTTTTTTAAGCACATAAATCCATCACCATGAATTGCCAATAAATTTTTGAATCTATACAGATCACAGAACTTTTCTAAAAATACTCATTCATCTATACTTCTCATATTTTACCATATCATTACCATAAAAATCAAATCATCATGTTAATTATCATATAATTTTCAACATCGTTTGCATTATCATTGTCACATAAATTTCATTTCATTTTCACATCTTCCTTCATTCATCACCATTCCTTCACTTTACCTCCTCCATCTCATTCCTCATTCCTCCATACACCACCTTCCACTCACAACATCTTTCATCATGGCTTCCGTAGACGTCGACGTGGGCGTGACGCCCTCCACCACCTACTCTCTCGCAGGCAAGCAACTCAAATTTGACTCCAAAAAAGATATCGACGCCTACCTCCCCGACCTCGTGGCCATGTCTAAGGTTTCCAAGATCGACTTCAGTGGTAACACCATCGGTATTGACGCCTCCGAGGCCTTGAGTGCCGCCATTCTCAAACACAAGGATTCCATCGTGGAGGTCAACTTTTCGGATTTGTACACGGGCAGATTGAATACAGAAATCCCTCAGTCGTTGGAGTTCTTGTTGCCTGCATTGTTGCAATGTCCAAACTTGAAGATCGTCAACTTGAGCGACAACGCCTTTGGCTTACAGACTATTGATCCAATCGAGGATTACCTCCAGAAGGCTGTATCCGTGGAGCACTTGATTTTGTCCAACAACGGTATGGGCCCTTTTGCTGGTGCTCGTATTGGTAAGTCGTTGTTCAAGTTGGCCAAGGCCAAGCAGAATGCTGGCAAATCCTCGTTGAAGACGTTCATTTGTGGTAGAAACAGATTGGAGAATGGCTCCATTAACTACTTGGCCATCGGCTTGAGAAACCATAGCGACTTGCAAACGGTCAGATTGTACCAAAATGGAATCAGACCCGCCGGTATTGCCAAGTTGATTTCCCAGGGTTTGTCCAAGAACAAGAAGTTGAAGGTCCTCGACTTGCAGGATAACACCATTACAACCACGGCTGCTATTCCTTTGGCACAGTCGTTGGCTGCTTGGACTGACTTGGAAGAGTTGAATTTGAACGATTGTTTGTTGAAGCCAAAGGGTTCTTTGGTGGTTATGGATCATCTTGGCGACGGCCATGTCAAGGAGCACTTCCATACATTGAAGTTGCAGTACAATGAGTTGGAGGTCGATGCATTGGAGAGATTGGTGCACGTGGCTACCAAGAAGTTGCCCAAATTAAAGCTTTTGGAGTTGAACGGAAACAGATTCGACGAGGACTCTGAACATGTGGAGGCATTGACTGCGCTTTTTGAGGATAGAGGCTTTGGTGAACTTGACGAGTTAGACGACTTGGAGGAAATCGACAGCGAGGACGAGGATGAAGACGACGACGAGAACGAGGACACCTTCGAGGACGTTGACGTGGAGTTGGACCAATTGGAGAAGGAGTTGGAGGGCCAATCTGTGGAGGACACGGACGCTTCTGTGGACGACATTGCTTCGGAGTTGGCCGGCACTCACATCAAGTAGCTAGGAATAGTGGATGTGTAATAGAATATATTTAACAGGTCATAAAGTAAAATTAGTTGGTGGGCATTTTGGCAATGGAGACCGGCACCTTTACCTCTACCAACTGGTCGCTGGAAAGCCCAAAACGGATCTTGAGGTAGTACATTCTCGAGAGCAAGCATGTTTGGAAATTAGGTACCAATGTGAACTCGTCGTAGGACTTGTAGCCTGGCTTAGGCAGTGATTGGTTGGCAACCTTCTTCTGTGCCTTGGCCACGTCCACGCAAACAGAGAACTTTTTAACGAATGACTGGCTGCTTTGCTCTTCCCAGGGAATTTTAACACCTCTTTTGGTGTAACAGCACTCTCCGGCTGCATCGATAACACCCACATCATGAATCACCAAGTTGTTGTACTTCTCCTCCAAATTAGTCATAGCGCTCAAGTCTTCTACCAAAGACTTCTCAATCTTGAAATTAGATGTGCCCAATTCAGTGGCTAACTTACACAATTCTTTGGAATACTCTCTGAGAGGCTTCTTTACCAAATGGGTGAAGTTGTCAACTGGAGAAGCGGTGAGATTATTGCTGAAAAGGAAATCATGGTTCAATTCCACGGGTATTTGTCTCTTGTTCGATTTCAAGGTGAAAACAACAAGCTCAGCAGAAACATGTGTAATCTCTGGTACCTGGTTGCCCTTCGAGAGGATGCTTGCAGGCGTGAATTTGACCTCAAGAGGCACCTGGATCTTCCAGGCTGCATCGTCGACTTTTTCGCCAAATCTAAAGCGCTTGGGAGAAATGTAATTCAAAAGATACTCACTCTTCAGTGTCAGTATAGTGAATGTGCCAACTGGCTTCGAGCTCCCAAAAACCGTTTTCTTAATCACGGGAACCACCACATTGTATTTGCGATCTACCACCGGGAACTTTGTGTCCCGGCTCATAGAGTCATACCGGGTGTAGAGCTGGCGGGCTTTCACAGCGTCATTCTGAGCCCTAGCCTGAACTGCTTCAACAGCAGCCAAACGCGTGGATATATCAATAGTGGACTTGTCATCAAGCAGAGCAATAGTCTTTTTTAGCTCTTTTCCAATCTCTATGGATTCCTTCACTCGATTGACAAAGTTCTGGTACAAAACTCTCGAAGCTTCATTGTTGACAGCCTTCTCACCTTCACTAAGCATTGGTGATTCCTGAAGAATACGGACATAAGACACCTTTTCTTTTAGAATTACGAACTCCTCACCCTTAGCGTTGATCAACTTCAATGCTTGGTCATTACCTCCCCAATTGTATTTATGCGCTTTACCAATGAAGCGAGTCAAAACTGCGTAGTTGGTGGCAGTGTCAATGAAGGAGAAATCGTCAACGTGCGCATGTTTGTTGTTCCATTCTTTTCTCTCTTTTCTAGAGAGTCCTAGCGTAGGTGGTAATTGCGTGTGTCCAGCAAGGTTGTGGTCGTTACACTCGGAGTCTAGTAAACGAACTGGAATCTTGAATGTGAAAAAGCGTTTGTAAAGCTGACCAGGCTCAATTCTTTTGCTCAGACTAATACACAATCGCGAGCCATCCCGTGGGTCATATAGGTCACAATATGGATCGGGCTGCACTTCGTCCGTTAATAGTCTATTGATCAGGGCATGGTTCCAGGAAGCAGCAAAATCGTACATTTCCAAGAATTTGCGAACCTTAACGGGAGTCACATCCTTGGCATCCTTAGGGTTTGATACCATGAATGTTCCTTCAAACAAAACGTAACACATGTCAAAAGGTACTGGGTTCTTACCGTTGTTTCTGATCAAGACGTAGCCATTCAAGAAATCGCCTTGTTTATACTCGAAGTTCAGCGGATCTATATGCTTCGGTTCCTTACAAGGCTCGCCCACTTCCTCCGTGAAGTGAATGGAAATCTCCAAGTTCTGTGAATAACAGTTGGAGGAGTTGGTCATGTTACGTAATTCGTGAACGTTATCCAAAATGGTTTCTCTCCAAGAGGTTGTCAGCTCATCGGCAACAATGAGACTACCGGACAGAGAAGAGTCTGCCGATGTGCTGCTCAATGCCAACTGCTCAGAAGAAGCGTGTGAAGAATTGTGGCCCTGACTACTGCTGGATACCGTGGTTATAGCGGTGTGTGCCTCACTGGACCAATGGGAGTTGGAGCGGCTATCGAGCTCCGAAGATGTCGTTGAAGCCTCCACATACTCCGGAGGGTCTTGCTCACCGTAAAAAGTTGATTGGTACATGTAATAAGAAGGCAAGATCGACCACACTGGGTCATCTTTACCAGCCTTTGACTGTTTGGGTTTCAGCATCAGGTCCGAGGCAGCTTGCTCGCCGTTAGAGGAGCGTTCAGCCATTGAATAAGAAGGTGAAGGTCAGAAATACAACAAGAGATGTGACAAACCCCGCCAGGTCTACTATATATATATAGAATTTAAAGGAAGCTTAGTAATTTCGTGAGTCAATGTACGGCAGTTAAAGCACACAATTATGATGCAGGCTACCAGTGGAGACTAACAGTCAGACCAGTGATGCAGGCGACAAGGGTAGCCGTGCAGGTAGGAGGGTATGGGAGGACGGATGAGATTACTCGAGAAGCTTCCTACAGCCGTAGCGGGGTTTCGGCTGACTATGTCAGCGATACGAGGTGGAGTTCCAGGTAATGGAGTTAAAGAGGAAGTTTGCTACGGAATGGAAAAGGGAATGGTAAACATGACCTCAAAGTATGAATTTAAGGAGGTCAAAGAGGATTCTAATTGGGTGATTGACAACCCTTAGAGCCGTGGCCCGAGTGTGAATTACCGACAGAAGACGGATATAGTCACCTTTCGGAGCCCGAGATTGGAGTGGCTTAAATTCCGCACTAAACGGAAACCAAATTGCGAGAGGAGAAATCAGGTAAGCGCAAAATGAAAAAAACGGTCCAAGATTGCAATTGCGTTTTGGGTTGCTTAGAGAATCATGAAATTGACAGTCGAAGTTATGTAGTCGAAATTGTTTGGTTTGGTTTGAACTTTGACATATGTGGGATATTGTCTATTGGTTTGATGCCTCGAATGTCTTTTTTTTTCTTTGCTCCCAATAACCTCCGCACTTTAAAAGCTGATTTAGGTGCGTCTGCCTGAACTCTTGCACCCAGACTATTGTTGAAAGAATAGAAGGTATGACTCACTATTTGTGATTATTGTATAGGCTGAACCGGCCGATCTTTGCATAATCAAATTTTCTGGGATTGCATGCCCTTTTGATAGCGATGGCTTTCCTTTAAGCTACTCCGTTGATACTTTACTTGTTATTACTATGAGGTAATGCCATTCGTGACTACTTTTCGCTAATACCATTGGTTTGGATTGTCTAGCGTCGAGATCATGTTTTGGTCTTGAGTGAGTTGTGAAATTCAGATAATAATGGTTAGAAAATATTAACGGTCTGGAAATTCTTTTGTTTTCTTCGCCCCACTGGTGCATAAATTTGTAGATTTCCATTCGGTTCGATTCCCTTCTAATGACGTGTAATATTGGTTTTTACAACTGATCCTCAATTTCCACAGAAAATCAATTTGCTCCTAGATTTCGTCTTTTCTTCCTTTTTTATTTGATATTTTTATTGTCTCCATAGTAATTTTGTGTTGTTTTGCTATTTTGATTTCATTCCAACAATCCACTTGTCCCAACTTCTTCGTTCCAAAAACATCCTCCACACCTCTATCCATCCTTACACCTTCGCATCCTCCATTCTCTAATTACACCAATTCTTTATTATCCCCTACTCATTCTAACGATGTTGTCTATTCTAATTAACGGCCCCATTTCTTCAACTCATAGTACCTAAGTGGAGGATACACCACTCCACTGAATCCCATACAAAGCCACATGGCAATATCTCCTCCGAACTCGCCTCCAACCTTACGTGCCAATGGGCCGACCCAGTAGGCCTGTGACATGCCAACGGCTGCTCCAGTGGCTCCTACAATGAAAGAAGCAGTAGCTGCGAATCCATGGGTCAAACGGTCGTAGTCGTTCCAGATACGGAAGTTGTAGTGAACGTTCAGTGGCCCGGTTAATTTTCCGCTGAAGGCAGTGTGCTTTTCAGGTTCCATCTCTTTCTCCTTGGTAAACAAGTGAGCGAAACGGTCCGTCCGGAAAATGGAGTTCTCTTCGAGCAAAATAATAAAGTACATGGAGATCCAGTATCCCACCATTGGCAAGAAGTTGCCCAAAATAGTAGCAAACTTGTAACGACCTACAATGGCACAAACCAAGTAGACACCCGTCAAGAAGATGGCCCAGATCCACCGGGGAATTCTGGCCAACGGCATGGCAATCAATTGGACTCCAAAGGCAGCAGAGTAGGTATTCAAAATATTGTTGGAAATCAACGACAAGAAAATTAAGCACAACAAGAATTTACCTCCGGCTCCCCACGGAAGGAAAGCTGCGTTCAACAAGCCTCCCATTCCCAATGACTCATAGGCCTCACCCCAAGGCTCATAGTTCATCGCCACGTTTCCGATCAAAATGGCAGCGACACCAACAAATGTGGTAGGGATGGCGGTTCCAAGAAGCGTTAAGGTGAAGATCTGGATATCGGGAGTGTCCTCCGGGAACAAAATATAGTAATCAGAGGCGATAGATCCCCAAGTGGATGTAATAGAGTAACACAAGGAGAAAAACGAAAAAGCGTTTCCACGCACGGTGGCTGCATCCTCCAGCGGAGAGTCAGCAAATGACAAGTAGCTGAACTTCTTGGATGCTACCACATACAACATCAAAAAGGCAAAGTTCACAGGCAAACTGAGAAAAGCCTCCACACGAAGTAAATGCTTGATTCCTCCAATAGAAATCAACAACGAGACCACAGCAATGATCACAATGGCAACCACAAGTGGAATGGATCCGTTACTCATGGCTGACAAAATCTGTCCACCAACGACACAGTTGACAACCGACCATCCGAGAACTCCCATCATACTCACCAAACACACCAATTTGACAGTCCACCAGCCAAACAAGAAACGAGCGCTGACCATCTGTCTACAGCCGGACCTGGGGCCCATGAGAGAGCAGTATGCAGCAATGAAACATCCAATGAACTGTCCTAATAGTCCAGTGATCAACGTCTTCTTCAATCCAAGACCAAAAAGTAACGGTCCCAAATAGAATGACGACATGGATGATAAACCTCCACATGCAGACAACCAAAGTCCCGTGACAGTGATAAACTGCTTGACTCTATTGGTGGACCGTTCATAAGGTGGAATTCTTTCAATGCCTCTAACTTCCACACCTATAGAGTCTAAACGATCAGAAAACCGTTTAATAAAAGCGAACTGCCGAAGTGACGTGTAATTGACGTCCTCTTCACTTGCCGTCTCAAACGTGATATGTCTTTCGTCCAGTTTGGGCATATTCACAGATACCAAAGAAAGGGAAAGAAAGTGGTTTCAGTGGGGGTTTTCACAGCCTTCCTGTCACTTCGAAATGTGCTCATTATGACTCTTACTAGAAGTGGGTCTGCGTAAATGGTATTTATCTGCAGGATAACTATAAGTGTCAATTTGACTCTGATTTCAATGGCACGGCTGATACTACGAGTAAAGGATCGGATTGAAAGGGTTGCTGTTGTATAATGCTACCAATTAGGTTTGATCCTGGTCTACATGGCCTCTCTCAAAAAGTAGAAAGACAAAAAGAAAAGCCCGATGCGGGGCTCGAACCCGCAACCTTTTGATTGACCTTATGAAGATTAAGAGTCAAATGCTCTACCGATTGAGCTAACCAGGCTTTGTTGTTTGTCTAATTCCTGAGGCTCATATATGTGAAGATAAGTTAAAGTCAATTTTCCACTATTTCAGCAGCTACACTAACAGGTCTATGATTACATAAGTTGTTCATGATATAAAACCTAGTAAACGTTTTTTAAAAAAAGGAATTTCATTTTAAACATCTAGTATAATGCTTTAAAAAAAACTTTCACCCAATATACAATTGTCTTAAAAAATACATTCTTTTCTAGCAGAGTGGTAACTGTCCAGATTTAATATGATCAGTGATTTTATCTGATTAGAGCTTTGTAATGTACCTTCTTAAAAGAGTGGGTTTCAACGATGTTCGACGGTGTTGATGGGATCCCAATCTCTTCCTAACTTTAGCTCAATGGCAATATTGTGAGGCATGTTCGGGTACCCAAGATCTGACTACTTAAGAGAAGTTGCTTCTTCCCTGTACTAGGCGGATCGGAAACCTAGGACTTCGAAGTAGATACAAATTACACAAATTGACTTCGCTTGAATTTGACAATGGCTTGTAAGAAATCTCATTACAAACTTATAATTTCATGTCTTGAATTACTGGAAATGATATCTATGCTTATATCATCTACATACAAACACTTCCCTATGCGAGATGTCTGAATAGAGCACACGTAAGTCTTTTCCTCCAGCATCCATCATATTCAAACTTTCTGGAAATGCGTTAGTGTTCTCACATAGAAGACCAAATGTACCTAAGGACGTTTTAGGGTCACTAGAATGTTCAAATATCATTTCTTTAGAAATTCGCAAGTCCCTTAAAGTTGGAGGCAAATGATTACAGTTTATAGCTGCCAAATCATTCTCCGAAACATCGAGTTTCTTGATGTGAGGAATGTGAATTTCCTTAAGTGAATGCAATGAATTTCCTCTAAGACTCAAATCCGTAAGTAAAGAAGGTAAATCAAGTCCGTTGACAATCCATGGAGAGCGAGTTATACTCAAAAGTCTCAAAGACTGAGGAAATTGAAAATTCTGGAATGAAGTCCTCTGAGATGAAAAATTTTCTTTAGAAATGCTGGTATGTGATAGGGTAAGTTCCTCAAGAGATGAGGGAAACTGAATATGGTCCAAGCAAACGTTCTGCAACGTCAAGTAATGCAATGAAGGGAGGTTCAAGACCGTGAAAGTGTTCCTGGAAGTGACATTGAGCTTTTCAAGATTTCCAGGAAGACATGAACCTAATAATGTAGTCATCGAACTATCCAAAACGATAAGCTCTTGAAGATTAGATAAATGGGACAAATCAGGAAGGGCTTTCAACCGAGAGTCAGCTAATGTGAGCTTTTCCAACTCAGTAAAGCATACTAGTTCCAAAATTTCTGGACTTAAATGAGTGGCTTTGAGTGACAAGTTCAAAATCAGACCAAAGGCTTTCAAATTAGATTCCAGGTGGCCAATTGGACAGTCCTCCACCTCTAAAGACTTTAAAGTGACAGGAAACTTCACTTTAGCAATAGTATGGAGGTGAGGCAGCAGAGCCAATCTCAACGACTGGAGATAAGGTAAGGTGGAAAGATCTATGTTCTCCAACGACTCTGAGGTTGTGTTGGATAATGACAAATGCTGAAGTGTTGGTGGAAGTACACATGAGAAGTCTGGATTGTCCTGGTATAATTCGAGAGATTCCAAGTTCCAACATCTGGATAAGTCTAAGCATTTGTCATTTTGGAAGTATGTTAGAGAGTTCATGGATTTGGGCCAGCAAACAGGAAACACCAGATTTGAATCGATATGCAAATGCTCCACGGAGTCAGGGATCTTTATCTGAATGTATTCCTGACAAGAATCTGAGTACGTAAGCAGAAGTTTCTTAAGCTTGGAGAAGGTGGGCATGGCCAGGAAAATATGGTCGATGAAGTTCTTGTATGTACTAGACGAGAAGTTAAGTGACAACTCAGACATGCACGGAGCAAGAATATCTGTGGACAGACAGAAACGATATATTCCGTCCTGGAAGAAGTTGTCTTTTTCCACCAGTACATGGACGTCTCTCAATGGGTGCAAATAAGGATCTTTTAAGAGTAGCAAGAAATTCTCCGTTTCACTCTCGTTATATGAGTCAAACTTGAAGTCAACACCAATTGGACATGTGGTGGCCGGGTGAAGATTGGCCAATTTGAGAACCTCTCCAATAGATTCATCCAGTTCAGAGAGTATGAACCGGTTTCGACAAATGCCTCTGACTACGGGGTCTAGCAATGGGTGGGATCGGAAATCTGGACAATTGGATAACTCATCCAAGAGGAAATGTAGAAATTGCACTGGCAAGAAACCAATTATGATTTCTGAGATGTCTTCTGGAAGAGACCAGAGATTATGCATGGAAGGTAGGGAGTATAATAACAGGTCCGTAAATGGATGAAGCGGACGAATGGAATTGACTTAAGGAATGCAAAGGATTTGAAGGGAAATGGGAAAATTAACAAATATCAGGATGATATAAATCCCCTGGGAGGTGGACCAAAAAATCATTTTGAAATGTCTCCAGATTTAAAAGAAATTAAATTGGACCATGCATATGGCAGATCGCGATGACCATCGGATATTAATGAGCGGAACCCTCCGAGTTGACTTGGAAAGGATTCGATTAAGAATAAATTAATATGATGGGAATTTTTGAAACTATGGACGTCGATGTCATGGTCCGTTCATTCAAATCGAAAGAGAAGGACAGAGGATATGGGGTTGATGAAGTGTAGAGTAAGAATGAATAAATAAAAGGTAGTGACAAGAGTGAGAATGTGTGACTACGATAAAACGAACGAGACAATAGGGTCCAACGGAGAGATATGTGTATTTGGATTTTTTTTTGGCAATGGTGAAAGTTTGTTCTTGGGAAATTCAATTAAAAATACAATTGAGAGTGAATTAGTGAACTTTGACTCTATTCAGCTCCATGCACATACTATCAATGCAATGATATCAACAGTTGACATGTCTGTGATATCAAAAGCACACAATATTGAAATATCATTTGTAGTTAATTTTGAGATGCTTCGCCCCATTTTTAGCTGCAATTACTAAATCAAGGGTAAACTTCAATGATGATCACAGTGTTGATGTGCAACAACTACCATCTCACACTGTCAGTCTACAACATGGACTAAACGTCGGTCATTATGCTCTGAAACCTCACAAACCCTTAAATGTACCTTTATTTTCTATTCTCCCTCACTTCAATAATGCATCTAACGTCTCATCATCAAACATGTTACTTCCAGATTGAAGCGTCTTGGCCAACATCACAATGGATTTCTCCGTAAAGTCTGGCTTTTTCCGGAGTTCATCCAAGTCATTGGCAAAGTTGCTCGCCATGAACGCTAGATATTCGTTTTCCAACTGCTGTCTACCTTTGCTCACGGCCACTTTGGCTTCATTAAGTGGAAGGTTCTCAGTGGTGGTGAATTTGATCTTGGCCAACTGCTTCTGTGTTTCCTCCAGGAGGGTCTCCTCCGTTACTGCTGGTGCCTTCTCGGTATCAGACTCCATGTCGATGTCGTCGATATTGACCTCGGCTTCTTTGACCTCATCAGTGGCTTTTATTGCGAGAGAGTCCTGATCTTTGGAATGAACAACCTGCTCGGACTCCGAATCGGAAGAGCTGGAGTCGGACGAGAAATCCTCCGTTCTTCTCTTTTTTCTCCGTCTATTTCTGGTGTTTGTAGGTGCTGGAGCCATACTATCTATTGTCAAAGATGTGATGCGATGACTTCTCACTACTTACCTACATTTTGTATGGTGTGCACACCAACTTAAGGTTACTAATGTACATTGATAAAATCTCAACCTGTCAGAGGATCTAATTACTCCTGGCGCGGTTTCTTGGACTCTTTTGCCGTGCTTGGTTTTGCTTTTCTCTTCTTGACCATCGAGCTCAAGTCATTGACCGGAGCTGTGGTTGTAGGTGCTTTCTTCACCATGGATGTCAAGTCTGTAGCACCTCCGCCGCCAATGGCCTCGCCTAACAAACCCTTGATCATGTCCATCTGCTGGGCCTGGATTTCTTGCTGTGGATCCTTTTCGAGTTCCTTGTAGCGCTCCTGAAGGTCGCGTAGTAACTCACGAGTCTCTGCTTTCGCAGACTCGTCTGTCTGAGAACTTGCTCTTGTCTTTACACAGTCAATGGCCAATTTCATCTGCTGTGCAGCCTTCTGACGCAGCTTGGGGTCCTCCACGCAAAATTCCAACGCTAATGACAACTTGTAGTGAGATTCAGATACCAACGCAGACCGTTGGGCATCGTACAACTGTGTGCGCAAGTTGAGACAGCTATCCAAGTCAATTGCAGCTTGTGGGAAGTTCTCCGACTCCAAGGACACCTCTCCAAGAAGATCGTACGTCTCTGAGAGCTTTTGCAAGGCAGAGACGTACTCCGAGGTGGGTTCTTCGTCGTCCTTCAAGTATGGTACAGTAAACTTGTCTTTCTCGGCTGCCAACAGCTCGACCTTCTCAGCGAAAATGGATCTGGCAAGGTCCAAGATCTCCCAGGCCGCTTCGAAATCCGATTGATCATCTGCCTCCACCAATCCGTGGTCACCTCCATTCTCAGCTTCATTGATCTCATTGTTCTCCTTGTCCTCGTCATCCTCTTCCTCTTCCGCGAAGCCCTCTTCGAACTGGAAATTCCCATCTTCTTCTTTTTCATCTTCTTTTTCCTCCTTTTCTTCCTCCTGGTCATTAGGAGCGCCTCCTAAAACGCCAGACTTGGCTACTCCATTCTGGAACAAAGCTTTACCGTAGAGAAGAAGCAAATCTGCGTCATCTGTGCCATTCTCTTCGTTAAAAGCAGCACATGCATCAGCATATTTGGAGGCAGCCAGGTCGTAGTCCTTAGCAGCATAGAACTTGGCTGCCTCTGTAGTATTTTTGGTGACTTCCTCCGAGTACATTGAAGATGGTAGTACGCGTAGTGCGACTGTAGAGAAGATGAGGATTTACATGGAGAGTTGAAGCACCAATGAAGAGGGAAATGCAGATGAAGAAAAAAGACACTTCAATGGAGTAGAAACAGGTTCAATTGGGACTTGTAAATTATTGTTCATCCTGATATATATAGGCTTGAACAATTATTTGATGTTAATGGAATATGTAGTTGTAATGGAAACCGGAAGTCATTCGGAATAATTGCTAAGTGAACCAAGAATCTGACGAAAATCAATATCATAAACTTCTTGAGATCTACTACTTTGACACACTATTCAGTTAAAAAATGATAGGAAGCTACCATCCAATTCACCAAATGAATGATATATAAGACTCAATTCTTTATAAAATGGACCTCACTAATTTACACCGCTATCTTTGAAATTCACCACACTAAAAAAATCTAATGGGTCTATATTGGGCCTGTCACCATTGTACACTCCTCACCCCAGAAGTTCACTTAAAAAACCACAAAAATCAAAATCCTCTTCGCCAGTATTTGATTCCACTTCATATTCCACTTTTACTAATTTTCATCGGCCACCATCTCTTTGGCTTACGTATCATAACCAATGTCCCAGCCGTTGAAACCGGCACGTGACTGCACCTCACTTTGAACCCCAGGCCGATATTAACTAACAACCTCTACGTTTTCCCGCTTCTCCCTGCTAACTTCTACACGAACTACAGAATATGTCTGGAATTGGCGGGGCAAACAACCAGCGTAAATCGCTAAGGCGAAAACCCCCACCAGCAATGGACGATTTTGAATTGAAACCTACAGACCATGCGGCTCCTCCACCATTTGTGGGTAATGTTCTGTCATCTACTTCAAACCAGGAACCCTTTCCAGATTATCAGTTTGCTAAGACTTACGCTCAAAATATGCCTCCAGAACGGTCACCGATGGAAATCAACACCAATTTCGTGAGACCAGATACAACATTCACATATGAGGAAGATTACCTATCACACGAAAGCCCACGACCAATGGGTCCTAAACTGTTGCCTTTTGACGACTACATGCCTCAGCTACAAATTCCTGAACGCCCGAAGCCAAATGGCGAAACTGGAACCGGACATAGTGGGTATTCCTTCGATTCATTGGCAGGTGGAAATGACAGTCGAAATAGCCAATATTCTTATGATAATTACGATGGTGATTTGATCCAGGAGGACCATTTCAAATCCAGATCCCAAGGTGAGAATTCTTTCTTCGATTATTCACTGCGCGTTGACTACTCTCGAGAAGATGCTTCCCACAATTTCCAGGACGCTTCTAAGATACTTCTGAGTGATCATAACGCCACATATGAGGAATATAGAGCCCTCAATAATGCTACTTACACTTACAATGATACTAGGATCTCCTCTCAGGAAACCTACAAAGCCACTCACAGGATTTCTTCCCAGGACACTTACAAAGAGACTTACAAAGACAACTACAACGAGTCTTACTTCCAATATGAGAGCCGTGACAACGAAATTGAACCTCACGACTCGAATGGATCCCAAGGTCTGTCTTCTTACGAATCGAATCAATACGATAGCTTAGGGCCCTCTCGAGGGCAGCAAAGAAATTTGCTCGAAAGACATCCTCCACAAACTGACCCCTACAAACAGATTGATCCTAATTCCTCCTTCACACACACTAATGCTGTCAACATGTCTCTCCCAGAGTCACTCGAGCCTAACACAAGCCATTTAGATACTCCAGCATCTAATGGAATTTCAAGATCCCCCATTTCTATCGATTCAGGAAGAAGCAGGTATAGAGTGAGACACTTCCAGAATCTGGGGTCAGAAGTATCTCCATTTGAGGACCAACCTACCGATGGAAGCGAAGAAGCTGGTGTTGCAACACCACCTTTCCTACGAAAACGTCAGTCAGTTGCCTCAGCTATATCCACTCACAGCCGGAACAGATCGTCTGTAGGATCCAGTCTTTCTGCTAATAATGCCCCTTATCCGGTTGAATCGGAATTATTCGATTCTGATGATCTGACTGACCAGGATTACTCCTCCGCGTCCCGTTTGCCAAACCAAGGTACCCCTTCAAGAATTCCAACTCTCGTGGACGACCTTTCACGAACGAAATCGTTCGCTGCGACGCTAAGCAGCTCTCCAGAGTATAAATTCCTCCGAAGGGCTCCCACCAATAGATCTCTTTCCTCGTCTCCTGAACTGCAGAATTATTCCAGTCCTCTGAGCTCTCCTTCAAAAGCTCTGTCTTTTCGGAGTCCGTTATTTTCCCACACATATTCAAATTACGTCAATGGTAGTCGTTCTAGCCGGTCTCCGTCTCCTAAGAAATATGGAGAGTCGCCACCACGCACGTTACTTTATCCTACCGAAGACTTCGTTGATGACTTCTGTAATGATTCCCACTTCCGTACTCCTGATTGGAGTTTGATTGAACATGACTACCCGGATATTGATGATTCTTATTTACCCTCACCGTCCACCTTTGACTATGATAACCTTCCGGTGATTCCAAAGCAAGACATTGAAACTCCCAACAGAAACGTCACTCTTAAGTCCACCATGTCCATGTTCAGGAAGAGTCAGCAGATTTCAAAATACGACGATACTCTTCCTCCGATTCCTCTCGATTTGCCGCTGTTACCCTTCTCTTCTTCAGCTTTGACAACGCTGCATTACGCAGCTTGTAAGAATGTGTGGTCTATGAAAGAGGTGTTTGCTTGGTGTATTGGGCTCAGTGGCTGGCTCCACGATAACGATATATCTCAGAAAGAATTCAGAAAGGCTCTAGTTGAACTTGTCGTTTTTCACAAAAGACATATTCCTATCGACTTGATCAGTCGGAACGTCACACAATTAATCTCCAGTTTCAAAGAAGCGGGCGTGATTTTCATTAACCCTAAACTCGACGGAAACGGCGTGCCTCAAAATCAGAAAGACCTTTATGTAACTATCGATGTTAACGGCAAAATTAGTGGAGTGTTGGTGGACTTGACTGATTGTTACTGCAATGACAAAGAGCACTCATTGATTCCAAGCAAAGAAAAGCTATGGAAGTGCTGTTCATCACGGTGTCAGCTCAACAAGACCATTGAACATGAATATCGTATGAAGCACACAAACATTGCTGACTTGAAGTTAGGTGCAGATTGGGCAAACCATTGGCAATTGACAGCAGAAGATGTTAATTTGGATCTTTCAATTTCCAAAAGACAATCACTCATTTTTGATCTCATTAAGCTTGAGCAAACATTTATTAACAGAGCTGAATGTTTCATATACATTGCTGCACCGCAGTTTGTTAACGCAGTAAAACTTTTTGCTGGCCAAAGCAATATCGCCCTGGCGAAACTCATGGATGATATCATTAAGCCAGCAACGGAATTGGTGAAAATCCACCGAAATGTGTTGTTTGAGCCTTTGCTCAGAATCTTAATAGCTGATGGAAGACTCATTTTGAATATTGGTGAAATATCAAGACTTTATGAGGAATGGGCAACGGTTGCACGAGCGCCATTATTGAGTTACATGAGTACAGTACCCATGATCGAAGATCTCTTAAGGCTCGAGTCTCTCAAAGCGTGGGATGAACCTTTGAGGAACAATCCGAAAATCAAAGAGTTACAAGTCAACGGCAACCTACTTTTGATGAGTACATTCAACTCACGTTATCAGCAGTTACCTCTTCAATTGGCTGATATCAGAAAGTCATTTGAGGAACATGGAGAAGAATATGTTAATCTCACGAAAGCAATTGATGCAATAAAGAAGTTAGGAAAACGAGTGAATGAAATGAAGGTCCATGCTGACAATATTCATTCATTGCAAATGCTCCAGAAGCAGCTCAAGTGGAAGTCCAACATTATTCAACCTAACGTCAATCTCAGTCTGGAGAAGAGAAAATTCTTTTTCAGAGGTGACGTCTCAAGGAAAGGAGATTTGAGGATCAATTTACACACTGTTCATTTAATTGTGTTGGATAATTATCTTCTCATTACTGAGAGGGTGAGAAGTCAAAAGGCACTCAATTTCAAGGTTGTTGAACCTCCAATCCCCGTTGACTACATAATTCTCGAGAATAGAGAGAAAGAAAGCAGCATTGCTTCGCGTGTGTCGACAAATCCCAACATTTCGAAACAGGAAGCGGACGAGGAGCTGGCAAGTTATCCATTTAAGATTCGATATGCTGGCCGAGGCAAGGGCCAATCTTATACTTTCTTAGCGCCCAGTGAAAATGCTCGAAAGGGATGGTTTGCGGTGTTCGAAAAAGCACGATCTAACATGTTGAAGCATGTTCTTCCGTTGACTCCGTATGCCTTGAAATTGATTGACAATTCTTATTTTGCATATGAGCAAGCCAACCGCATCACCAAGTTACCAATTCTTCCACCAAATGATCCAGTTTCGATACTTGCAAGAGGAAGCACTACCAGTATGAAGAACCGAGGCGTCCCTCGTGACATCTACGCTCAAGGAATTACCAAGAATCAACTTGCCTACAAAAAGATTCTTTGTGCTGAAAAGACTGAAGTGTCTGGAACGCAATTCACCTTCTTGGGCCTGAGCAATGGAGTTTATTGTTCAGACATGAAAAACAGGTGGAAAATGATCATCAATATGACTAATGTGACCAAGGTAACTGTTCTTCCAGCATTTAATATCATTATTGTCTTAGGGAACAAGAGCTTGCGATACTTTCCGTTGCAAACCTTAATTGATATCTACTACGAGCGCACAGATAAGACATCATCATTCCAGTTAGGTGACAATGCAGTTTTGTTCTACGAAGTGGGTCGTCATAGGGGTATTCCAACCGTTTTCGTCGCTGACAAAAAGACTGCCAGCAGCACCAATTTCGTGGTCTATGCTTTTGAAACCGATAATAACGGAATCTTTAGCTCTTTTAGAGAAATCAAGAAGTTCTACATCCAAGCCGAGTGTTACGGTATCTCAGTATTCAATTCTTCCGTGGCAATCCACACTCAGAGAGGATTTGAAATCTTGGATCTTCAAAAGCTAGCACCCAGAACAGTACCCGAATTACAAGCACCCGAACAGACCAACAAGAAGGTGGATGGCTACAGCCGCAAACCTGCGCAGGGAGTCGATGCCATTCGGAAAATCATTTCCCATCCCACAGTCAGGCCCATGGGAATGTTCAAGTTAGCCAACGACAAAGAGTTTATGATGGTATACAATGAGTGTGTCATCTTCGTGAACAAGACAGGAAAGCTTTCCAGAACCGACATTATGAGATTCGATTTCCGACCACGAAGCATTTCCGTTCACGAAAACAACCTATTTGTGGTATGTGAAGAGGTGATACAGGTATGGTCCATCAGCGATCAAGTTCACGGTACCAATAAGTTAATCCAGGTTATCCCAAGCAAAGACATAAGTTTGCTTAATACCCAGCAACTTTTGTTCGGAATGGCCCATCCTCGGATATCGGGCTTACAAATCTCATTTTGTTTGGAACCAAAACCAAACGGTATCCCCACTAGCTAAGTTTTTCCCCAACGTCGGTTCGAACTATACCGAGATTCCATTTTCAACAGCGCGACTGTTCAACTGCCGAGGATGTTTTGTGTGGGGTATGGAGTGTGCAGTGCAACTTGACATACAATCTCCAACTATATATATCTCGGAGATCTAGATTATCCATCCTTATAGAACTCAGATTTTATCTAGTGAAAGATGGTCGATTTAAACGTCAATGGCAAGACCGCGGTTGTCACCGGTGGCACCAGGGGATTGGGCCTCTACACTGCTGAAGCATATGTGCTCAATGGGGCAAAGACTGTGGTGATCACTTCCAGAAAGGACAAGGCATGCCAGGAAGCCAAAGAGTATTTGGACAAGCTCGCCAAGGAGAACGGCAAGTCTACCAACGTGATTGCACTTGCAGCAGATTTGGCTAAGGAGGACGACTGTCAGAGATTCTTTGATGAGGTCTCTAAGCAGGTGGATACTGTCAACATTTTGGTTGCTAATGCTGGAGCCAGTTGGGGTGCACCATTGGAGGACCACCCTGTTTCTGCTGTGAAGAAGATCTTGGACTTGAACGTTGTGGCTGTGTTCCACACCATCAAGCTTTTCGCACCATTGCTCGAGGCAGCTGGAACTGCCGAGGATCCATCGAGAATCATCATCATGTCCTCCGTCGCTTCTTTGGTTTCTGCAGACCCAGTTGGAACCTACGGATACTTAGCCTCAAAGGCAGGTGTGTCGCACTTGGGTAAGAACTTGGCCACACAATTGGGACCACGTAACATCACCGTCAACTCCTTGGCTCCAGGATTCTTCCCAACCAAGATGTCACAAGGAGTGTTGGACATGGCCGGAGACGTCATGCTGGATCTGAACCCACGTAAGAGACTTGGAGTCAAGGAGGACTTGATGAATGCAGTTCTATTCTTGAGTGCGAAGGAATCCAACTACATTAATGGTATTGTATTGCCAGTTGATGGAGGTGCGCACAATGGAGGTTCCTTCACACCTAAGATTTGAAATACACGAAGTTAAGAGTAATCCGAAGTAGGAAATAAGAAATACAAGTGGAAGAGCGAGAAAAAAAAGTAAACGCAAAGACTTCAGTAGCCTGATAGAGCGGGTAAACTCTCAATGGGGATTGATTGAAGCTTTTCCAACCTGTGTAGGACAACTTTGCTCGATTGAAGATAGAGACTTACAAGATTAATTTCTAGACGAACAAATTTACGATCCAACGTACCTTTACATCAAATACATAATTAACAAATAATTATGGGATTATCGACTTCTAAAATCTTGGACTCGCTCATGGAGGGTACTAACTTTGATCGAGAAGAGATCGACCGACTCAGAAAGAGATTCATGAAGCTAGACAGTGACGGTAGTGGAACCATCGACAAGAATGAATTTCTAGCCATTCCAGGAATCTCTTCCAATCCATTGGCATCGAGACTAATGGATGTTTTTGATGCAGACAACGATGGCACCATCGATTTCCAGGAGTTCATCACGGGTCTTTCGGCATTCAGTGGCAGAACATCCAGATCCGACAAGCTCCGGTTTGCATTCAAGCTCTATGATATTGATCAAGACGGATTCATTGGAAATGGCGAATTGTTTATTGTGATGAAGATGATGGTGGGAAAGAACCTTCAGGACGAGGAGCTCCAGCAAATTGTGGACAAAACGATCATGGAGAATGACACTGATGGTGATGGCAAGTTGAGCTTTGAAGAGTTCAAAATGGCTGTGGATCTGAAGCTGGTTGCCAGTGCATTAACATTGAGTGCATTCTAGGTAGCTCTAACATAGGGAAATATAGTAATTGATAGGTGTGAAATAAAAAATGAAACTTTGACCGTAACTCAGCATAAAATCGTTGTGACTGCTGCATTAATTAGACATTGTATTTTACTGTTTATAATAGTTTATTGTCTTTTCAAGCATTGCATAATGTTCTGACGTGTTCATGGGTATGCACAGTCGTTAGTATAGAAGCATCATGAGATCTGATGGACCTCATAGAGAATGAACGAAAAATCGACGCCATAAATATCCTTTGTTTACCTATTCATTTGATTTATCAACACTGATAAATATTTTCATTCCGTTTAGGTACCTCAAAGAAGGTAATCTCGCATAGAATCATCCCCTTAAAATCTCAGGCAGGTTATGGTTTACATTTGCTTTAGGACTTCTACAAGCTGTCCTGACCTAAATGTCATTAAACACATATATATAAGTTGGGTGTCTGAGGTGGAGAAATCGTAGCTTCATTCTCTATTAAGTATCGTAGAAGCTAGTTTATCTCTGATTGTGGCACACTCCCAATTGGAAAGTCATGTTTTCCCCACTTCTACCATATCATTCAGAGATCTTCCATATAGAAGCTCTTTAAAATTATTCATATGTCCATATGTTGATAATCACATTGAAAATTGCAATCTAGGTGAAGTCAATGAACTCCAATGATTAATTGACCCTCTTCTATCTACATCTCCCAACTACATCCAACCTTCGAGAAACATTTTATTTCATCCAGCTATAACCGATCCCAAACTTTTCTCTTTCTCCACTTCTCCCCTCATTCTTCACTTCTTTCCTCTATTCTATCATCATTACCCTCACTTCCTATTCTCATTGAATCTCTTATCATTCTGTATATATCCTATCAGTGCGATCACATCTCGAACTTCACATCGTCACCGTTGAACATCTATGCTGGCATCCGGGTTTGAGCTGATCAACCTTGCAGCGACACTTGCTGAGCCGCAAATGCCCGAATCGTCTGATGATGGGCTAGATCCCAACGAGTTCTTGTCTCAATCGCATGTTCCTCTGGCCCCACCCAGAGCTAATACCATCAGCCCTATCCCCATCGAGAATATTGACATGACGCCGAAGTTTCTGAACAGTGAGTTGTTCACCAATCCCAACATGCTCTCTGAGTCAGATGTGTTGGTGGAATCCATTAATGTGGACTCGTTTCATTTTGTTTCCGCTGACTCCATGTATCGAAACACCCATAGTCGTATGTCCAGTACTGGCGAGTCACCGCTTGAGCATTTACAAAGCCGAAATCAAGCATTAAATAATGAAATGCGCAATCGCTTGCGTGTCCTTGAATCTACACTTGCCAATGGAGAAGATTGTACGGAAATCAGGGAGTCCTTGACCAATGGGTTGGCCCTCCTATCGGAGAATAAATACCTGCTCCATGAGATTTACAATAAGGAGCTAGCGTTTGTCAATGCATTGCTAGTTAATTTCGAAAACTGGGATCGCAATCGTTCCAGAGTACTTCGGCGTATCCAGGCAATTAAGAGTGAGGGCAATAGACACGGAAAGAAGCTTGCAGGTCTTCTCAATAAACAGACGGCCATTGACGACGAGATTCAACAGTTGGAAAGTAGAATCGAAGTTCTTCGTGCGAACAGGGGAGCAATCACCAAGGAAATCGATGAGACTAGCTCCATTTTGGAGAGCAAATCGGCAAAGTATGTCAATATCTTCAGAGACTTGGAACGGCAAGGACGTGATGCCATCAGCGAGTACTTATACTCAAGTGGGATACCTAAGAATAATCTTGAGATCCTTTTGAAGTCAGAGCCAGTGGAGGCGACTTTCTCATATATTCACGACAACCAGAGATCTGACAATACTATTAACATCGCTTCGGATACAAGAGGTATCGAACACCCGAAGGCTGCAAATACCCAGTCAGAAGAGCCTAAAATAACAGCGAGCACCATGGGAATACAGCCACTAATAATCTCTGGAGATGAGCCCGAAGTTGACCCCGGCGTCCCTCAAGTCGAAGAGGAATCGGCCTATGCTATGGGATATGCCAGAGGATCCCAGCGCTTAGAAAAACTACGAAAGGGTATAAGCAATATCGTTACTCATGTGTTCCCACCAGTTCAGAATGGGCATAAATCTGCAAAGAATGTGGATGACCAGCTGAACGTAATCACTGAGAAGATCGACTTAGTGCCGATAATTGAGCTACTTTCACATAAATCTGATGCTCTATCCAAGTTGACTGTCGACTTCTCCAAACTGGCTGCCGAGTATCATGATCAGAATGTAATATTGAAAGATATCTACCGCAGTCTCGGTTCTAATGAGAGGACCATAATCTCGCTACTTTCCAACACGAGCCCGTCTCCAGAAGACTTGGTGTCACTTCTTTCCAAGTCTTACTCTGAATTGAAGAAGGTATTGGAGAGACAGCTAGAATCTCGGGTGAGATCCTCAGGGCCAAAGAACAAGTACTTAATAACTATATTACATCTTGAACTTACTGCTGTTGCCAAAGCCATGAGCGAGTTGTCCCAAAATTCAAGTTATGAATTGCAAGTACCTCTGCTTGGAAGCTCTGTCGATTCTTCAATGCTGGATTCTCGGGCCGAATCAAGAAATAATTTTGCCATATCAGGAATCACTTCCGCTGGCTACCGTCCACCTACTCATTCTACAACATTCACTTCTCATGCAAGTCCAACTGTCTATAAAGTTCGGCAAGATTCTCCTTTTGCCTCTTCCTCTAAAGGTCTGAAGAACGAATAATATACGCTATGGCCTGTTTTGGGGCCGTGGTCTTTTGATAAATATGCTTGAACTTTTACCACGATTTGGTGGTGGCTTGTAGTATCCACTATTGGTGGCTTCTGGAGTCCCTTCCGAATTTGGGGTTTGCTGACTGGTTAAGTTACCATGTCCACGGTGTGCTCTACGATCGGCTGACACCTCTCTTCCGCTAGCTTTTCCAAGTCCCCTTCCTTGTCCATTTTGATTTGAGCTGGTAGTACCACCACGAGGCGGATATGTCCCTTGGCCCTGATGACTTCTTTGAGGAGGAATAGATTCTTGAGCTGGTGACTGAGCGTTCAGACTAGACGCGTGGTGAATATAAACACCTTTCTTGTGTACTTTGTTTTTGGGCTTACTCCCATCTCCTCGAGCTGACGACAAATGAGTCTTGCCAGAGTTACCTATCAGGGAAATACGTGGCTTCTTCGTGTTTGGAGGTTCTGGAGACTGGACGACCCTCTTAGCAGGGTGTGTTTCACTTTCTTTTAAAGAATTTTGCTGCTCGATCAATGAGTCTGCAACAGATAATTTCGTAGATTCATTCAATTCGCAATCCTCTGGAGTACCAGCAGAAGATGTCTCTTGACTTGTCTTTTTCAGCTCCTCCTCAACCGCTATTTCTCTGGCGGCTTCAATTTGGCGTCGCATACTAGGATTGTTCATGAAACCTGGTTGGACTGATGTAACACAGTTTCTTGATTCAGCGTCACTAATCAACTTATTCCAGATCTTGTCACGCTTCAAAGAAGCCTTGTTGCCCAATATCCATAATGTCGTACGTGCACGAGTGAGAGCCACATTCATACGTCGGATATCACTTAAGAAACCAACGCTTCCAGTAGGACTTGCACGGACACATGACATGATGATGATCTCTTTCTCCTGACCTTGGAATCCATCCACAGTGTTAAAGTCAATCTCACTTAAAATATTCCTTCCCCATTTGCGTTGAAAGAGGTCCCGAAGTGTTCTGATTTGCTCCTTATATGGAGAAATGACACCGATTCTGCCTTTGAACTTGTTATCAGGCAAAATCTTCATGAGGTTCTCAACTAGCTCGATTGCAACCTTAGCTTCCTGAGCGTTGAAGAAAGACTTCGTTTGATCACTTTGTTGATGTCTACTGACGATATCAAAAAAATGATACGGAGTCAAAGGATACTCTTTATGCCAAGGTCTGTCATTTTTCTCAAACATGCCTTCACCATCAGACAATCTAGAATGGTAAAACTCGGCACTCGGAAATTTGGAGATCTCAGGGTGCATACGATATTGCACATCTAACAAATACACCGACTTGGGGCTGTTACGTTGCATTCTGACAAAGAGACTCTCCTCGTAGTTGTAAGACGCAGCAGCTTGCGACAAGACTGTTGGCGGCAATTGATTAGGATCTCCAACCATGATACATTTCTTGCAACCATATCTCAATGGAATTATAGCAGACAACTCCACACATTGGCATGCCTCATCAATAATAACTTGATCAAATTTCATTGACATACTCAGTAAGAAATCATGAGCAGATCCTGATAAAGTGGAACAAATTACCTGAGCCTCAGAGAGGATCTTGGCTTGTGCTTGTCGTTTCTCAATCTCCCTCGTACGATGTGCGATAGATGCTTTTTCTCTCTGCTCATCTAGTTTTTTTCCAAGTTCTCCTCTCTTCTTACTAACCTCTCTCAACTGTGCTTCAAGTGACAATATTTCCTCATCTGTCAATGATTCGTTTTTGAGTTCTTTTCTCAATCGATCACGCTCAGCGATACATTCATTATGCTGCAGTCGGATGTTAGGATCAATTGAAACTTCATTTGTCCTGACTTGTAATTGGCGATCGACGAGCTCTTCGAGTCCAAACTCCTTCACAGCTGGATTCAAGGCATCTGAACGACCCAAACGTACGATTTTGGGAATAAATTTCTTTCCGGAAGCGTTAAAAACACCATCTTTCAAACGTACAACCAATTCGTCGATTGCAGCATTACTGGGTGCACAAAGCAATACTTTCGGCCCAGTACTCTCTTCAGGGGATCCAGTTTTGGAGTTGAGCAGGCCCATTGTAGTAGGAGCCTCGATCACATTTGCTTTTGAAGATTTGCTTAAGAAATGTCCTACGATACCCAAGATCGTTTTGGTTTTTCCCGTACCTGGAGGACCTTGAATTAATGAGAAACCTTCGTTCAGATGGGATCCCAAAATAGCTTTAGCTTGTGATACATTCACATTGAAAGTTCTGCAAATTTCCCTAGCATTATCGTCTGAAATATCAACTGGTACGGCTGGTTGAGCTTTGACAATCTCATCGCACAAATCATAATATTGCAATCCTTTGAGAGAGGAGAATTCTCTCTCCATCGTCGTCATTTGCATTACCTTCATAGCAACTATTACGGATTTAGGAGTCAAAAGACCCATCATGGATCCCTGTGGATACACACGGAGTGTCAAATCACTGTAGTCTGGATTAACAAACTTGACTTCTCTAACCTTGGCCAAACAGGTTTGAGTATTCTCGTTCTTCAAATATCTTGATATATCCTTTGGGTCGGTGATACCCTTATCTTGAGTGTAGCCAAGTACCAAAAGGTCTGTATCTCCAATTTTTCTGTTGATTAGGTCAGTCTTTTTGATGGAAGTGTAAACATCAAAAAACCCATCGCATGTGGTTCTACTTCCAATGAGAAGCTCGAATGGAAGCTCTTGTCCCGTAACACGAGAAGATTGAATACCTTGCCAGCATTCTAACATTAATAAAGGTTCGATCATGGCAGTGTATTCCTTCGCATTTGCATACTTGTCCTTGATTGGATGATATATTGATCTGTCATCGGTAGGATAGTTGCTGTTGCTAGTATAGTTCCACTTTAGAATAGTGGAATAGAGGGGTTTAAGGTTCACATTCAAACGCAAACGCATCCTCTCCTCTTCCAAACGCTTTTGGTCAATTTTTTTGCTTGCAGCTATTTTGACAACGGGCCGTCCATTAATATCAAGTTCCGTGATTTTGCTTTTCTTCTTTGATTCTAGGAACAAATCGGACACGTCAACATCCTCTTCGTCTTCAGAAGAGTCCGATTCCGGTTTGCGGTGCTTCAATTGATTCAAAGAGCGGCCAACAGCAGTTGGTTTCAGGTTGAATCCGGCTGGTCTTGCTGGGGCAGGGTTAAGTGGTGCAGCCAGCGGAGCTCGTTTGTTCTTCAATTCACTTCTGATAGCCTCCATATTATTCGATTTGAACGGCTTTGGTGGTGGTGGAGCAACAGGAGCCTCATTGGTGACCACACCAAATCTTGCTAACGTCAGTTGCTTAATTTGGGGCTTTCTTGTCTGGTATGCGTATGTTGCACCAGGACTTACTGAAGGTGAAGCCCGTGAGCCAGCAGCCACAGAGCTTGCAGTTGCTCCTTTTCTTTCTCTTGCCGTATCGTCAATAATGAACTGGACAAGTGTGGGATCGAACTCACTAGCCTTGGCGAGGACCTCCAGCCTTTGTTGTTCTGTAAGTTTGTTATTGAACTTCTTGGCCTTTGCACCGTACTTGGCGAAGTTGGAAATGAAGGATCTGTCAACGACAACATTCATTTCTTTAGCAAGATCAAAACCTTTGAATACTAAACTCAAGCAAGAGTTCAAGAGAGAAGGGTCCCCTAATCTGAGCCAAACAATCACATGATTGAATGCATTCATGAATACAGAGAAAAGAGCAGCTTGCTCGTCCTTATCGTCGCTGAAAAGCTCAGACAATGTACGAAATGAGTCCAATAAAAGGTGACTGGTATCAAGTGTATCACGAGTGAACTCTACCAAGTCCTGAAGATGGTAGAATCCAGCCCATACTAGCGTTGACTGATACACCATGATCAAAAAAGACCAAGCATTAGACCAAAGTAGTGTGATTTCATCTCTACACTCCTCAGCTAGAGCGTTGTTTGTTGTTGTTACGCCACTCAAGGGGTCTGTGAGGGCCTTTATGACGTCCATCATTATTCTCATCACTCTTGGACAAGGCTCATAAAATTTCACAGTGGTAATGTTTTTTAGTGCCGAGTTAATAGCTTTCAAGTTTGGATTCAAGTTTTTGAGAAGCTCTAAAATTGCTTCGTAACGACCTTCAGAATCAAAAACTTGGGAAACCAAATTGAGTGCTGCCTGGCTTGTTTGCACACAGAAGACAGCATTCCACAAGGAGAGAAGACACATTGGCTCGTTTAGAATTTGCAGTAATTTCTCGGGATCTGCCAAAGACATCTTCTCCAAAAGAGAACTGATAACAGTGCACAAAGTCAGCGCTTCTCTGTTATGAATCTTTATGGCTGCATCGAGTTCTTTGGAAATCTCCTGGTTCTTCTTGTCTTTAAAAATTATGATGAACAGAACGTTTTCGAAACATTCCAGTAGTTGCGACACGAACTGATTGGAAAGTGGCATAGATAGAAGCAGATTCCAGAGTTGTGATTGAGTGTCGAAAAATGTAGGATGTTCTTTGCGTTCAAGTGTCGCTGAGTTGTTGGCTGCCACAAGAATGTCATACTGTAAAGAAAGACAAATTAGACTCATTGCGGTGGATTGGTATCCGGTGTTTCTCTTTGTCAACAGAAGGAAATGGGATGCGTGTTTGGAAACGCACAGTCTCGAATCACGCATTTTCAACAAATGGCTCGAAGAGGTTGTGGGAGTGATACCACTCAAGTCCAAGCATTTTGCAAGCATTTTAGCGGAGTTGATATTAGCTACCAGCTGCTCAGCTGTTTCAATCAGAACTAGGAAGTCGGTAATCTTTATGACAGCAGTTTGTTTCTGAGAAGGAGTTAGACTATCAACAAACGCTGGCATCCAACCCAACAAATCATCCATGGAGTAAGCTGTCTGGGGGTTCCTTGTAGCTTCACGTAATAGACGATGGTAATTAGTGTTTCCAAGGATGCCATCCAAGATCTGAGTGAAATGAAACCCTTTTGCGATGTCCCAAAAGCTCACAGGATAAATTTTAAGAATTTTCGGAAAAACCATAAGAAGTTGCGGGAACGGCTCGTCTAAACTAGCCAATATATTCATGAAGAGAACCCCAATCAATGGCAGAAAGCGCAATTGGTGGTGTGCACTCATTTCCTCGATATCAGCTGGCCGAAGAAGCTTTGTGAACTCTGAGGCAGAAAGCTTGTCCGCTAATAATGATACCATACTCCAGAATCTCTTGCTTCGAGCTGGAGAAAAGTGTCTGGAGTCTTGAAGTTTGTAAGACTGTTGGTGAAACTCATCAACGACCTGCGGATCAAGCTGCAATGGTGATTGTCCAAGTGCCGACCAAAATGCTTCAATTAACTTATCATTGGTCTCTGGTGTCTCCACTAGCAAATATATGAGACCTGGTGTAAGATACGATGGTGGATGGATCACATCTAACTTTGACATAACAAGGGACACAAATTCTGGATTCTTTCGAAGTATAGAAGGGTTTGTAATTGCTTCAAGATATGCATTGGCCCCTGCTGCCTGATTACTCAGCAGCGAATCAAGAGACTGTTGGATACATTCAAGTCTCCAATTGATGATGATATCTAGAAATTGTTCGAGATGATTGACGGAAACTCGACGTACCAACATGAACCGCAGCCTTATCTGCGATAAGCATCGCTGAAATCCCCTTATACAATCTGGACATTGTGAAAGTGACCGGTTCATTCTTTGCTTGACCGTGTCTCCCATTGCAATATGCTGACCTGGAGGAAAGGAAAACATCACAAGTGAGTGACCTGCAATTGGCTGTAGATTGACATTACAAAAGAGATGGATTTCATCAGCTAAAGCTTCCAGAGAGAGCATTTGCATACATTTCATGAGCACCTCCGATTGGATAGGTGCGTTACCTGGTTCTCCATAACTTCGGACAATGTCGCCATTTAAAGCTTTAAGCGCCTCCACATCCATGACAAGTATCTTCTAGTACGGAACACGTCCTAAATGTGCTATTTAAAGACCAAAAATATATGCCACAGAGACTTTTATGGTATTGACTTGTCTTCGATGATTCAACCTTTAACGCGGTAGTAGGTGAAGAGGACTATCTGCAGGACAGATGAAGATTAGGGCTGGTGCCATGATCTACAGGTTTATCGTAAATTGTATAAACTTTTTATGTTTTGACCTATTAAGCTCAATTGCTGATTAAAATACTTCGTTTGTTGTACTTTGTTTGTGTCTGTAACTTTTGGTTGTCAACCAATTTACATGAACGTACTTGTAGTTGTATGGATGAAAGCTAATCACAAATCGAGATAGCGTTCGCTAATTGCCTTCGTTATTAATCTGCTCTACATAAGCACAAGATCAATGTCCAAAACATTGGCAGCAGTGATCCAGTCTTCTCCAGTCTCCCAGCACCGATTCATTATCACAAGACTTTTAGTGGCGTTGATGTTTCCATCATGTGCAAGTCTTGTGAATCGTTCAAAGAAGAATTGTCTTTTCAGCATATCCAAAGTCTCACACGCAGCGCAGAAATGGCAAAAGATTGTACAAATTTCTGCTGGGCTGCCCAGTTCCACGCCATACTCAAGGATTTCGGCCATATTATCTGCTAGGTCCTGAACTAGTGGTGACAGCCTGGGGAGCAAGAGCACACGACGATAAAGATTGAGTAATCCAGTGTCAAAGAACAACTTATTGGTAGCACGTAATATGTTGTCATGACGAACAAGCTCGCTTATATTCCGAGTGCTTCGAGGACTGCTAGATTTTTTCACCTTTAACTTGGACTCGATAAGCAGATCAATCGTTTTTTGACGATTTTCCTCTCCATCCTCGTACCCTTGAATGAACCGCTCTTTGAGTTCAAGTGCAGCGGTGATGATTTCAATAGGTAGCATGTTGTGGTTGGCATCTTCAGACTCCTTAATTTTGTCCACCTCATCAATTAAAAGTGATATATTGATGTAATGTGGTAGAAGACGAACATCAAAGCCAAGCAAGTAGTCAATGTCAGTCTTATGATTTCCCATATAAGCCGAGTTGATATCGAGCGTAGAGATGTTCACCACCGGCGTATATGGACCTTTTGTTCTATAAGATCTCAAGTAATTTTCACGCCCACGAGTCGAGGAAAGTGCACCAAGCACATCAACATAGGCAAACCACCTCATGAGGAAAAATGCAATATCGCTTTCGTCTCGCATTTTCGAGAGAAACGAGTTGGATGATGCTGAAGAAACACTGTCCTTGTCAGATGTTGGAGAGTCAGCATAAGGTTGCTGTTTGATGCGTCTCGCCGACACGATCTGGCTGGCTCCAGTGGTGTGAGTTCTATGTTTCTCAAAATCGTTGGAGTTGACTACTTCGTAACATGAAAGTAGCAATATGGTTGCCAAAGTTCCGTCGGAGGTTGACTCTTCTTTGTCATGGAGTTGTTTTAGAAGCTCATTGCACGATCTTCCGAGAAGCTGGTCGATGATCTCCAGGTGGTTCCGTGAGGCACCGTCCATGTTGTCTCTCGCTCGTGCAGCAAATGCAAGGATAGTGGTCAAAACTCCAGGATAATGCATGGCCATTTGTGGTAAAAGAACCTTGAATGGATTCTCTTGATATATGTGAGATGGCGCAGGGACCAAATTGGCCGATGCCACATTGACCCAGAAGTGGAGAAGCTGTCTGTAGTAAGGAACGTTCATGAGAAGCTCTGGAAGCGGCGTTAACGGTGGAGGAATGCGTTCCATAGAGTTTATGATGGCGAGTTCGTGCTCCTCATCGAGACTTTTATGCATTATGAGAGGATCATGGTTAGGCGGTGTAGGAGTCGAGATCAAACTGGGTGATTTCGTTTCTGGATCCTGCTTGATAAAGAATGAAGGTGACTTTTTAGACCATTGTGTGGGGTGCACCATCTCCGGTACGAGGTTCTTTGGCACTTCTGGAAATGAGTCCTCGATGCGGGCGATATCTGCCGAGTAGTTATCGTAAAGGTCTGCAAGTAACGGCGAGTGCACAGGATTCTGAAGTGAATCATCTGTTATAGGCTGTTCAAGCTGCGTGTTCATGAACGAATTGAATATCTCTGAATTTCGGAGGCTCAACGGTGTATGTCCGTGGCCGAGAATATCTAGACTTGAAGGAGGATCGTGGGCATGCGAGAAGGCTGCCAACGGCTCGGATTCATCTATGGGCTCCACCTTCACTTCAACATGAGAGCCTTGGCTACTTGAAACACTTGAAGCCACTTGAACATGCTTTGAAAGCGGTGACCCGTTTTCCAAATGAGGCTTCACATCAAACTTACTGGAGACAAACTTCACCACGGCAGGAGTATCCAGTAGTGGTGGAGCAGCGTCCTGTGGGACCAGATCAACAAACGGTGAAGGTTTCCGTTTAGCCTTGTTCTTGTAGGGTCGACCACCCCATGTCAATTTGAGTGAGTAATCGCAGGGCTTTCCAATCCGAGTACAGTTGGAGCACAGAGGCCGTTCTTCCGTACATTTGATCTTGAGGCTTTTGCACAGATGGCAGCCCAGCCGAGATCGACGGATCTTCTTTTTGACAGGGCCTTCAGACGATATGGTGCTGCTCATGTTGGACAGACCATCTAGCGAAAGATGGGGAATATAAATTTTATTGATTGTGCACAACTAAGAGGCTTTGCACTGCGACTTGTGCAGTGATAATGAAAGTTGGCATTTAGGAATTGGGAGTAGAACTCCGAAAGTGTTAGAGGGGAGAATGGAAGCCAGAAATGGGCTAAGATGATAGATCTTGGCTTTCTCTATAAGGTTACTAGCAAATTTTTGTACGTAGTCCTTTGATGGTGGAGGAGACGAAGAGATGGACATGAGGGTGTCGTGAGATGGATAATCGAGATAAGTGCGATAGTGAACAATTCCGTTCCGTGGATTGTAGAGGAAGGTATATAGCTTACAAAGCCAGATGTGAAGGACATCTGTGTGGTTTTGTGGTTTTTTTGGGGATATAGTTTGAAAGGAAGTGGTAGGGATAATGGGAAAAATGTGGAGATGAAAGTGTCTTTGGGTTCACACTTCGGATGGAGATCCATCGAAACTAAACAAGTGTCGATATACCCGTTGGTTAGCTGCAGGCAAGAATGGGTTTCAGAATGTTTGGAACATTTGCCTGGCTTGGCCGAATAAATTGTTTGATTCGCATGACATTATACTGAGTTAGTCTATATTCACTAGTAAGAATAGATTTTCGCTCTCAAGTGTAATTCTGATTGGGCAGGTGTGGACAGTTCTTTTAGTATGCTGAGTTTCCGCGTTATGTCTAGACAATGGCATGTCTTAGTCGAAGGTTGTGTCGAATGTATCCAGATTATCGAATACATTCATCTGACAATCCGTCAACAAAATTGAACTTAGAGTTGAAACAAAGCTGTATGTATGTCCTGATAATTCACAGGTTTCTGTTATTCCCCATTCCAATACCTCGGCTTCAAACTATTTACTATGGCTCAATTCAACCATTTGCCATTCAGCTTGCGATCGTGTATTAATCCGTTAATAATCCTTTGAGGGGGCAGCTCGGTCAAGAAGTCCTCCCTTTTTTTTCTCCGTGTCCTTCTCTGTGTACTTCTTACCAAAGAGAATCTGAAGCAACTTTTCGTAGAGCTTAAAAAGATACCCTGCAGCAATGAGCAATCCAGAAAGTATTGTGGCCAACTTAGCTACGAACTCGATAAACGAGATTCTCATCTCACGGATTGTAAGCTTAATGGGCTCGAAAGAGTAAGAGAAGGAAATTCCTGGTGTGCCCCCAGAAGCTCTATGAATCTCTGTCAATGCATACTGGTAAGTATCCACAACCAATCCGAGCTTTTGGTAGATTGTTGGCACCACTTTGGCAAAGTAAATGTATGACTGCGTATGCTCCTCGGTAACCTTGCCGGTGAAGTCCAATGGGTTGACAATGAATGGATAGAACTCTCCAAAGGAAAATTCAGAGATCATGTGAGTGAAGTTATACGACTGCAGCGAGATTGACAGCCTGTCAGTGGGCAGAAATGTTCTGGGCAAAATCTTGAACTCACCCTTGACGTGGTTTACGGGAATGCTGCCAAAAATATGGCATGCTGGTTCGTGTTCGTTGACTCTAGCTCCAACCACGTTGAACTCCGCCCTAATAGTCTCTTGCATGATCTCATCGAGGTCTGGAGTCTTGTAATCAGAGTTCTGGCTGTTGATAGCGAACTGTTCGGGCACAAAGAACCCAACACCTTGGAAGTTTAGTACTTCTCTAGCCATATAAGTGTCATAGGTGATATCCCGGACATTTGTCGTGAGAAACTGACATGGCATGGCCACAAGTATATCCACATTGATCTGGAGATCCGTTCGGATGGCTTTATCCACTGCAAACTGGTGATCCACATAGCCACCAAGAAATCCTCCGATTTGAATCCAGATGATCAAAAGGCCACAAAACATGGTGAGCATAGTGGAAAACCCTCCTCGCTGCGACCGAACCGAGTGCTCGGGTGACACCTTGGGAAAGGCATCAAACACCCGTACTTTGCTGGAGAAATTGTCCATGTCCAACGGCTACTAGGTTGAGGTTTATAAAACTTGTTTCCGCTACGTAACTACCTTAGCTTTCGGTTCACATGCAGGCCACATCTTCAACACCATTCACAACGTTACCTTCCGTGGTGGTCTAGAATACCGATAACATTCGCGAAAGAGTCTGCGGCGTCTGAATTCGGCCGTGGAGTCCTGATCAACAGGCAAGTCATCGTAAATCCACCCTTCTGTATCATCCCGGCAACTCAAGTGTTCCTGATCAATGCCGCGTGCAAGCAAGAATTCGAGTGGTTTCTGATCAATGCGCCAGTTGTTGGCATATCCAAAGTCATATTTCCACTCAGGAGGTGGGTGCACTTTAGTAAGTGCGTCCACACCGTGCGGAAGTTTTCCGGAAACTCGAACGGTGTCCTTGAAATCGAAAAGACGTTTAGTGTATGCGTACAAATTCCACTCATGTTTGAAGAGATCTCTCTTCTGTAGCTCATAGATTTCCACTACGCGTACCTCAGGCTTGTCATCAACGATAATATCATGTCTGTCGAATGATTCGAATGGCAACTTGAGTTTCTTATCTCCCACTTCCTCTTCACTGTCGGCATCCTCTTCGGTAACTTCCGCCACAGGCTTGCCTTTCTTGTTGTTATTACTCAATGTCACAAGGTACTTCTTGGCCTTCGGATGACATAATAGCATAAACACCCATCCAGACAGAATAAATATCATTCTCCAAGGTATGTACTTACCAAAAAATAGTACAACCGATGTGACTGCAATAAGAACGTAGAAGATGAATGTGGTGAGACGCTCATCCTTAAATCCAACTAAATCAGTTGACATTTTTTCGCCTTGATCAATGGAGTTGAGAAGGTCGGTTGTTAGGTTCTGCAAATCACGCATATTCATGAGCAAAGATACATTTTTCTTGACAATCTTGGCCTTCTCTGACGTCTGAACCTCTTCTGCAACATCTAAAGTTTGCAGTGCAATAGAGGAAGCAGACTGTGGCTTTTTTGTAGCATGAAAAGACCCAGAAGAAGTTGAATATGTCTGAGACAATGAGTCTTCCTCTGACATGGGCTCATCAATCATGTCCATGATCACACTTCTGTCGTTTGACTCATTGAGAAAGTCTAAGAAAGACTGGCCTCTTCTAGGCACCTTGATGAGTTCGGGAGTATCCATAGGATGTCTATGTATGTATGCTGGAAGAATAATGCCGAAAAGAAGTACCAATAACGGCAATGCAACTACCAAATGAGGCCACAAACAGACAGCTGTGTAGAACACCAACACACACAATGTCTTGGTTGGTCTCTTCCACGTGAGTATGTGGACTAAACCGTACTGGACTTTGAAGACCACACCCATCTTAGCACTTAATCTTTTCATGTTAGATGTCAACAATATGAGCGATAAAGGAGCTTTCTTGCTTCTAGATGGATCGTGCAACCTTTGGGAAAGCTCCTCTGCATCCGCAGATCCCTCATTCATAGTATGTTGCACCATCTTTTCCATGAACCTATCCATGAAGTGAAACTTCTCCTTGCTTTTCTGGTATTCCTCAGCTGACAGCGCCATATTTTGCACGGCCTCTACCTCCGCCTCCGTAAACTCATAATCTTGTTCGAGACTCTCTCTATTCTTCTTTTCCATCTGCTCTAATCCCAAAGCAAGAAAAGAGGCTGCTGTGCCTGCTGCTAACCCTCGGTTCGATCCAGCCTTGCTTTCAGCGATACTAGTTGAGTAATCATATAATGACGCCATCACACGAGCCCTTCTCGATTGCCGATTAGTATTGAGGTCTGACATGATGTTCAGGATAGTCAAACAAGGGATTGCTGTATCTGCGACAGCTATCTAGATTCACCTGATGTTCTCCTGGTGTGGGGAACCTGCACTGTAGCATATGAAAGGTGCGCGACTTGCTTGGGATGAGCTTGTTATGACGGTTGCAAACTGTGTGATGTAAACATTACGCCAAAAAAGAGCTCTCCAATAGCTCTCTAGGATTCTGTCTATCAAGTGGATCCCATTGAAAAATTCGGGTCAAAAATTTCGAGAATTGCGCGATTTCTTGTCGTTTCTCTCTCACACTATGTAGCCTCAATGCGACTTCAAGAGATTTGGAGTTGAGCTTTACATTCCTCTTAAATGGACTAGGTGCTGTGCCTGTTGTTGCTCTACCAGCAGATTGCAACAGCAAATTAAGGAATTGGAGGTTGATTTTTCCTTCAAGATTGAAGAGCGAATAGAGGAGAGTTTTCTTGATCTTTCGCTCGTCTATTGGCATTCGATTGCGACCATTGAATACGGGATCGGAAACCAAAGGATCATTGAAGTTCTTGGTTCCACCCATTTTTAGTTGCAGCATAAGCCGCTTACGTTCAGAAACAATATAGGAGCTAGGCGGAGAACCAAATAGTTCGAGAATTAGGCCAATCTGTTCTAACTCTGTTTTGCCTGGCAAAAGCGGAACCCCAGAGAACATTTCTGCAATGACACAACCGAAAGACCAAATATCAATCTTGCTGCTATATTTAGCACCAAGAATTACCTCTGGTGCACGATAAAATCGTGATTGAATGTATGAAAAAGAGGTTTCTGACTCCAAACAGGAGGAGCCAAAATCAATGATCCGAACTTCAAAATCAGGAGGATCTTGAGACGAGTTCAGGTTGAAATTGGAAGGCAAATGAATCATAATATTCTCTGGCTTAATGTCACAGTGAATCACTTTTTTCGTGTGAATATAATCTAGGCCCTTTAGAATTTGGGTAGCAAATCGTTTGAGAAGCTTAAAAGAAACTCCCAGGAAGCCAATGATTTCCAAGAACGTGTAAAGATTTACAGAAAGTACCTCTGTCACAATGCACATGTGGCCACGAAAATGAAAGTGGTCACAATAATTTAGTAAATACTGATTGAACAGACCTTTTTGAGACAAAAGTTTAAGCATTTTGATTTCACTCACTGCTTGAAGAGACCAATCGAGCTCATTTTTAATGATCTTAATTGCAACGTACCGCTTTTGTGTGCTGTTTGAGTACTTGTGGTCGGAGCAAAGTACCACGTTGCCAAAGGACCCGGTACCCAAAACCAGCAAGATTTCATACCGAAATTCAATCTGTTCATTGGGTCGAATAATATAGTTTCCATCGGAGTCGTCAAAGCCGTAGTTGTTTTTGTAGCTGGAGATATTGATATAAGCTTCACTTTTCGTCAATGATTGCGGTGCATAGTATAGATGTTGTTTTCTCATTACCTCTCCACGTTCATATATGGAGAAGTTATGGCCCAGATTATCTAACAACTCCTGTGAACTAAGAGAAGGGTTAGGAATCATATCTATACCTAAAGAGTTTGTCTCTTCAAAAAGAGCAGGATCCTTATTGTAAATCGCTCTGTACATGTCCGTTAGGGTCAGAAGCTTGGAAGGACCATTATCCTGGGTGTAAGATGCTAATGACAAAGAAGATGCAGATTTTGGAATGGTGGACATGGATTTGGGAATGCTTGAGGACCGTGGCATAGTCGGTGGTTTTGATAGGTTCGCCGTTTTGGAAATGGAACACGACTTTGGAATGCTGGATGATTTGGGAATGGTGGATTTAGATACAGAGGGCATGCCTGGAGGTGCGCCTAGTTGCAGAGCCCCGCCAACATTCCGATCACGTAATGGTGTCCGCGTCTTGTCCATTTTGGCCCTTTGTTGCACAGAAGTGTTGTACAAGCGGGTGTATACGTCTTCTTTAGCCTTGGAGGTATATGCTGTAGACACATGACGAGACGGTGAAGCATTGCAGAATAAAGTTGGTTTATCTCCAAAAGAATCTGTGAGCATCGGAACATCTGGTTTGTTTGTAATATGAGCCAAGTGGTTGCCTCTACTCAACTGGCGCTTCTTTTGTGCTGGTCGCCTGTTGTAGACTTCCGAGTGAGAAACGGCTCTTGTTTGGGCAACACTTCTTTCTGAACTCGACTGCTTCTTTCGTGAAGACGATGTTTGCTGCATGAATGAGCAATTTGACAAGTCAGTTGGCTGTTTCTGCCTAGCAGGCTTAAGACTGGATGGAGAATCGGCGGCATTAGGTGTCCCCAGACCACTTCTGTGTAGCTGTCGCTTCTGGACAGCCAGAGAAGTGGAACTCAGTGGTGCTATTTTAGATGTCAGGAGCGTTCTGGACTCTGCACGGCGGGCTGTAGAGAGAACCGGTGCCCGAGATGGTGTAGACCCTGGGTAGTTCTGAGGGTAGAGGCTCTGAGGGTAAGCTTTTCTGGGAGACTTTGGCTGATTTTGGCGATCAAAGGTTGTTTTGTCGATCTCTATGCTTGCAAATCGGTCATTAAGACCGGGCGACTTGTTTTCCATGACGGCAACAAAAGATGTCTGTTCAAGTATAAGATCTGAATGGGTTCACAGGTTGAGGTCCTGTATGTTGGACCAAATGTAAACAGATCAGGGGAAGCGGAAGGGACGTGTAGATGAGGGAGATGAAGGAGTTTGAGAGTAATGGGGAGCTTTAGCGGGTAGCCATTATATGGTATGGTGTTTTTTAGTATTCATTGAAGTGGGAGTTACTAGAAATTTTCATTTGATAAGATTAGTATTGTCCTGCAGATACATCCATTCTAGATTTCCAGTCTATATCTTCGATTCCTATACTAACCTCTCTCATAGTTAACTCATCTTATTTTAGTTACCTATAGTATTGAAGATTTAAGGATCACCGACATGTCTTCGCAGAACTTGGTCACGGATCCTCACGCATACACAAGCAAAGACCTTCTTCTCCTAACACAGCTTTTGCATGGAGAATCACTAATACAACCAGAGGAGGTTGTCAATGCAGACCTTTCAGATATTGGAAAGCAATGGTTTGAGCACAAAAGCACCCAGCTTTCACGTGGTATAAAGGAATTTCCTCTCTCAAAGGCACCTTCAGGGCCGCAGGTGCTCAAGCTTTATGAGAATATGCTTGAAGAGAATGAGAAGTGTTCAACGACCACCGATTTGGCGAACAATTACTATTTTAAGAGAGTGGCGGAGTTGGAAACAAGGTTATCACAAGACAAGGATCGGTTCAAGCATTTGTTGGAGTAGGTGAAGGAATCTGACTTGGATTAGGCTGGAAGATATTCTGAAGGATATTATGGATGTTTTGTAATTCATGCTTCTTTGAACTTTGACCGCTTAGAGATGTCATTTGCAGAAAGGAAGCTTAAAACTCATTATTCAAGTTCCATCAGACGATCCTATAGATGATAGACTTAATGAAGGAGTTCATGCATCTTATAGGGTGAACTACGAATTTTTCATGACTTGCCTCATCTGAAGCACAATCGCAGTCATGAAGGTGGTACTGATTTCAGTTGAGAAATTATCATTGGTCAAAAATGGATTATCTATTTCCATGATAAATAATATAATTCAGTACTTTCGCACTAGTATGTCACCAATGAGAAAAATACTGATTCACTATTGTAATACAACGACCTCAATATTAAAATTATCTACGAAATTCGTCACCTCAACACAATCTCTAGTAATCAATAAACTTCACCTCTACTAACTGTTATCTCAGTACTCTTGCACATTCTTCTCTTTTGCAACTTCATACTTCCTTCCCTCTTGACATCCATCGGTCCCCCCGCACTTTTCACATGCTCAACTACTTCACAATATATAATCGCCAATAAAGCCTATCCAACGTCTCGATACCCAAATTTAAAAACAAAACTCTTCTCGTCATTCCATTCTTACTCTCTGAAGCCCATTTTTTTTTCCCATTCAAAAACCATCCAGCCCTGCCCCTCTGTTGTCCTCATCAATGTTTCCCCCACACTATCCATCTATACAGTAGCCTCCACCGACATCTCTACAACCAACTACTTTTCTTCTTTTCCAAATGTCGAAACGAGCTCGCCAGGACTCGCTCGCCTTGTCGCTATTCAACGCCTACAAGTCGAACCGGTCGCTCTTCCTCAATTCGTCCTACATTATCCTCATCACCGCTGCTTTTGCTGGAGCAACCAACTCTGGAGCGAAACCGAAAAAGAAGGGCTCATCCGGCCATGATTCCGGGCTTGATAAGAAACCGCCCAAAATGACAAAGGAAGACTTCCGTGCGTTGATGCATTCGGCGCTTCCTTCCGTCAAAAATTCCGCCGTTAGCTACTTATTTGCCCACTTGGTGTTATTGGTTGCTAGAGCTATGTTGACCATCAAGGTTGCCTCGCTAGATGGTAAGTTGGTGGGTGCCTTGGTGTCCAAGAAGCTCCGAAAGTTTGGCCAACTTTTGGCCTTCTGGATGTTCTTGGGAATCCCTGCCTCTTTGGTAAATGCCTCCCTTAATTGGACCAGAGACAAGTTGCGCCAGCAGTTGAGGACAAACATGAACAATAGCCTTATGGAAGACTACTTGCCCGACAACTTGGATCCAAATTATTATGCGCTTATCCAGTTGTCTGACAGCAAGGTGCGTGACCCCGATCAGAGAATCTCCACCGATGTGTCCAGATTGGCACTGGCACTTGCAAGTCTCCCAGGACAAATCTTGAAACCCACTTTGGACTTGCTTTTGTGTGCTAAAGAGCTTTCTAAGAGTGGTGTCGGTAGCGGTGAGGGCACTCTCGCTCTTGGAATCTTAGCCCATTGTTCCACAACCATCCTCAGATTCTTCTCTCCTCCTTTTGCCAAATTGGCATCAGAGAAGGCCAATTTGGAGGGTCAACTTCGTTCGGGCCACTCCAAGATCGTGGCAAACAACGAGGAGATTGCCTTTTTGCTGGGCCATGAGCGAGAGTTGGACTACATCGACTATTGCTACTACCAATTGGAAAGATTCCTCAAGATGGAGTACTGGAAGCGAGGTATCCATGAGATTGCTCAAACCTTCATTGTCAAGTACTTCTGGGGTGCTGCTGGTTTAGTCTTGTGTTCTGCACCAATCTTCATCAACAAATACTTGGGAAAGGCCCCAGATCCTAATGCCACTGGTGAGTTCATCACAAACAGAAGATTATTAATGAGCGCGTCGGATTCGTTGGACAGATTGATCTACTCTAGAAGATTCTTGCTTCTGGTAATTGGCCATGCCTCCAGAGTCACGCTTTTCCAACAGGCTTTGTATGACATCAAGAGAAAGAGACTCGCCAACCCATTGGAATCCAATGAAGGTAAGGGTCATGTATCTTTCGGCGAAGAGATCACTTTTGACGAGGTCCGTCTTGTGACTCCGGCAGATGTTACATTGATTGAGTCTTTGAACTTCAGCATCAAGCCAGGTGAACATCTTCTTATTGCTGGCCCCAACGGTGCCGGTAAGTCGTCTATGTTCAGAATGTTGGGTGGATTATGGCCATGCAAGAAGGGACACATCACCATTCCTACTTCCGAAAACATGTTCTACTTGCCTCAACGTGCATATCTTTGCAAAGGTTCTTTAAGAGAACAGATCATCTACCCCCACACGTTGGAACAGTACAAGACCAATAAACACGGCAAGACAGACGCAGACTTGGCCGAGATCTTGAAGATTTTAGACCTTGGAGATTTGGTAACTTCAGAAGAGTCATGGGATAAGGTGATGAACTGGAACGAGGAGTTGTCAATTGGTGCTCAACAAAGATTGGCCATGGCCAGATTGTACTACCATCAACCCAAGTTTGCTGTTCTCGACGAGTGTACGTCGGCAGTTTCACCCACTATGGAGCAGTTCATGTACAAGCATGCCCAAGAGATAGGAATTTCGTTGCTCTCGGTGGCACACAGACCTGCTTTGTGGCACTTCCACAACCGGTTGTTGAAGTTAGATGGCAAGGGAGGCTACTTCTTTGGTCCGCTAGATGCAGAAAGAAGACTCAAATTCGAGGAGGAGAGATTGAAATTGGAGAAGAATTTGAGAGATGTTCCTACGTTGAGAGACCGTCTCGAAGAATTGAGGAAGGTTTCAAGTGCACAGCACATTCGGTACGAGAATTCGCACCGCAATTTGGTGGAGTTGGGAAGCTGAGGCGATGAATTTTTATTTCTATAGGTAAGAGGTTCGAGTTTAGTGATTTTAGATGGAGTAGGTGAAGACGATGAAGATGATTCCGTAGATGGATTAGAATTTCGATAGCGTTCAGTAGTTACTGAGTTAATAGAGTACGATTTCTGTACGTCTACACATTTGTCTGTAAGTTTCGCGAAGTTTAGATAAAATCAAACATTAATGCTTTCCGGCGTCTTCTCCAGACTCGGACTCCCGTTGGGTACCAAAGTCTATAGTCGTCAATATTCACTACCAGCTAGCAGTGTGGTGATTGCCTCTATTGGAAATCCTTCACCCCAATACGATGGTACAAGACATAGTGTAGGACATTGGGTATTGGATGAAGTGAAAGAGAAGTACTGGAAAGACTTCAGCAGGTTTTCAGGTGCCAGCGGTGTGGAGATAGCGACGTCAGAAACCAATCCCAACGTACTATTAGCCAAATCCATCAAAAGCTACATGAATCTTCAGGGTAAGCCCATTTCCAAGTTCTGGCAGAAATATAAGAAAGAGGCACGGCTTGTGATCGTGCACGACGAGCTCCAGATCCCACTCGGAAAAGTGCAAATCCGGAGAAGAAACACTAGTGCCCGAGGCCACAATGGACTCCGGTCCATTGACAACTCCATGGGCAACGATTATACAAAGATCGCCATTGGTATCGGTAAACCTGCAGCCAAACATGATCTGGTTTCGGACTACGTTTTGTCGAAGTTTACGAAGAATGAAATGGATGTGCTTCGGGAGGTGACGATTCCAAGGGTTGTACAAATACTAGAGGAAATCAGCCAGGGCAAGTATATCAACGAAAGATATGAAAAGTGAAGGGGAGAACAAGATCAAATGATAGGCATGTAAATTAGTATAGAAGTGAGAGCAGGATGACACTAGACATATTTAGACAATCAAGAGATTTGCACTCTCACAATTTTCAATCACTCATTCGATATTAATAATGGAGCTGAGAGATTTTCTGCAAAATCAAAAACTCTAACCTTGAATAATTATTTTCTTAATTCATATGTTATTATCTCAAGTACATCTATAGATACTCTAATGACTGATATCAGTGCAGGCATATGGAGCGCACCGGTACAACTGGTACATCACTTATCAACAGATTAGATAAGTATAAAAAGGACAAAGGCACAAACAAAATTGTAAAAACCGTAATCAAGCCACTGATTGCTTGGCACAACTATTTAAGCATCGCAATCCCCACTCTTTTCTCGAACACAAATCTCTCACCATCCATGACTTGCTCACGCACTTAAACGGTTTGATCCTCTACACATTCGCACAACCACCATTTATCGCTTCTTTCTATGGAGTTCACTGTCACGTTAACGTCCGATCGATCGGTGGTCCGTGAATCCATCAAGGGTATGTCATGAAATCAATTTCTTTCATCTTTAACCCATACTAACCCCAGGTGTCTTGTGGACCATCTTCTTCCACCGGCTTTTTGGCCCCGTGACCCCCATAACAACTGAGTTCATGGATATAGCGTACCCTATGGCTGCCAATCTACCGGATCTCGACTCGCTCATTGACACTAAGATTGATGAGTTGATCCGCAAGGACTTTGGCGGCCCGTCAGTCACCCAGCCCCGTGTAGGGGTGTTGCTAGTGCAGTTTCTTGATGGCAACGGCAAATCCAAGAAGAAATCAAGCTGGTTTGGCCACGTCACTGAGGACAAACCGCTCACACCTTGGGAATCTTGGACCCTCAATGTCATGTGCCTCCCGTTGGGAGACGTTGATCTGCCTGGACCTGGAGATCAAGCGCTCAACCCAGCGGAACGGCTGCTTCAGCTCTCACTCCTGAGTTTCGAGAGCGCGTTAGCTGAAGTCATGGATCTCGTGGACCATCACAAACATCACATCCCGCCCATTATGACGCTCGATGTGCTGCCGTTTCCTTACGAGATCACCATCGATCCCAAGCGAGAAGGCACCCAACAACTGACAGCCGAAGACGAGTCATGGGGCCACTACATTAAGAAAATCATCGACTAATTGCATAAAGATGGCATAATTCTACTTACGGTGGTCCTTGGGACTGCCCAACGGGCCCTTGCCTTACAAGTTGGCACTATACATGCCTTCGTCTCCTCTCACCAAGATACATTCGTCCTCGTGTACGGTGATGTCGTACAAGCCAATATCTTGAGCCTTCTCCAATACCAGCTGGTCGTAGCTACCGGGTTGGAACCACAATCCTTTGACGATGCTCTTGTAGTCAGGGAAACTGGCGATTTCGTCCAAAGTCTTAAGCGTGATAGGTGGAGGTGTCAAGAATGAGATGCTCAAGCCGTTGGCTTGTGAGAGTTTGTGGTGAACGATATCTTGATTGGATTTGAGTGCCTCGAGGATCTCAGTTACTGAAGAAACCACAGTTTGGCCGAGAATCTCAGGTTCGTTAGGGTTGACCGGCACTACTGGCAATTCACGAGAAACATACCATGAAAGGATCTTAAAACCAAACTTGGAGGGATTTTTGGATGCCCCAACAACGGCATATTGTCTACCTGAGTCGAAGAACGACTTGATTTTGGTTTTCATGGACATATTTGGTATTGGGAAGGGTGTGGAGTCAATCACAAGCATTTATAATCTGGGGAACTTGGTGTACGGGTGGGAGCCATTGTTTAACTCCAGGCATGGGAAAGTGGCATACACTGGCACATTTCGAATGAAGGCTAGATCGCCGAAGCCATGACAGTTTATAGAATAGGAGCAGAACACAAAAAGCAGATGAAAGTGAGATACAGGGAGGATACGGTGAATATGTAGCATGTAGTAAGATCTACGATTATGGGTATTGTAGATGGTGAATTTAACAGTGTTGAGACAAAATAACAAGACAGAAAAACAAGTCAATCTTATCACCTACAGTAATTCAAAGCTAATTCAAAAAAAAAAAAAAAAAAAATTGCAAAGCTCCAATAACCCCATTTGTTGATAGTGGCCTGCATCTCACACTTCCACCTCTAAAACTCCATTCAGTCAGTACCCATCTCATCACTAATGGCTCGAGAAAAACGGACCAAACCTTGCAGCAACTGCAAACGGTCCAAAGTCAAATGTGAGTACACGGATAAACTACCGTGTATGCGATGCGTCAACAGTGGCCAGGCATCTACATGCCAAATCATGCCTAAACTTCCATCGCTCAAATTACCTCTGCTAACTTCTCAGGGAGTACCAAGCACGTTTTCATCTTTGAATGTTGGCCAAAACATGCCTGCTCAAATCCCTCCACAGACTCTTCCGATTCGTCTGCTTCCAAATAACCTACTATTTATGAACAATCAGCCTGTCCATCAAGGTGTCACGTCAGAAATTGAAACGGCTCCTTATAAGCCAGTACTGACCATTCAAGGAGTATCCTCTATTTCGACACATAAGCACACCGAGGTTGACTGGAAGCAGTCCATGGAATCCAAAATCAATCTGTTTGATTCCAAGTTCAATGAGTTGATTGATACACTCCGAGACAACCAACGTCAGTTGGCCGCGGAGCGGGAACTTAACCAGCAATATTCCGCTCAAAATGACCGCATGCAGCGTGAAATCCGCAACATCAGTCTCCAGATGTATCAGAGTCGTTCCACAACTCCTATGACTCTGGACTATAATGATCTCAAGAGACCATTGGCTGACTCTAATCCGGAACTGACCAAGCGGTTGAAAAGCTACGGAGAAAACGATTTCAGAAACAATGTTATCTCTATCGATGAGGCACGATTATTGTTTTCATATTTCGACTCCAACATTTCTCAGCAGCTTTTCGGCTTCGAGATTCTGAAGTTCTCCGTTGACTCCATCTGGGAGACCTCTCCTATTCTCATATGTGCTATTTGCACCATTGCATCCATGCATTATCCCGACATTCATTTCTCATCCAAGCAGGAGCCTTTACAAAAATACTTACAGAAGCTCTGCTCTGACCTTCTTTTCCAAGGAAAGCCCAGAACAGAAAGAGAAGGGTTCAATACCATTGTTGCTCTAGTTCTCTGCAGCTTTTGGCTCTCGGATTCACAGCGATTTACAGGCTTGGCCTTGCAACTAGCTAAAGAATTTGAGATGAATAAGCCTACTTCGTCAAAATCCAAGGACTCCTTGCCAGACAAGGACAGACTCAAACTATGGTACTTGCTTTACATCCTTGATGGACAACAGAGTATGAGTTTTAATCGTCAATCACTCATTAATTCTGATGATTACTCACTCAGACACAGCCGTGAGCTATTACTACCCAGCATACTGAAGCCCACGTTGAAGTCCACACACGACACTGTCGAGTCTGACTTGCCCACCCAGAAAAATGGAGGAGAACTCATTAGCAAAGACAAGTGTGAGGCAAGGCGTGGTGAATTGACAGCAAACTTTACAGATTTCAGACTAGTTTCTCAGGTGGAGTATAACCAAGCATTGAATGAAGCTTTCAAAGGAAGTGCATGGGACCTTATCGCTCCATCAGCTTTTGGCATCCCGTCAAAGTCTAATTTAGACTTGGACAAGTGGATGGTTTCCTGGACAGTGCTATTGGCTCCCATAAATAATGGTTCTGTGTGGCTGTCCAAATCAACATTGATTTACTACAACTTTGCAAAGATGCACATTAACAGTTCGCTTATACGGCAATTACAAGTGGACACAGGTGATTCGAACGTGATGTTCCCCAACTGGGACAATATCGATTCTGTTCTAGAAAAGAACAAGGCAAATCAAGTGAAAGAAGTCTCTCTAGAAGAAGAAAATGACAGCGCTGAAGAAGAAGATGATGAGGAAGAGGAATTTATTCATAACAATGAAATCGTAACCCAGGATCAGGCACTTCTCAACATGAACATTGCAATGAATGCAGCTAAAACAGTTCTCAATCTAGTGTTAAACGATGCCGACATTTTGAGCAACTTGAAGTATGTTCCGGTTCATATCCACATTATGTTATACTATGCTGCCTTGTTATTAGTGAATCGTCGTATCACAAATGGCAATAATGAGGCACCGAGAGATTCTGACTTTTTCCAAGAGAATATTCACAACTTGAGAACTGTTAAAGTGTTGCAGAAGAAAATATCGGTTAACTTCCCTACCGACAAGCATTTTGGAGATCGACTCATCAAGAGCTTAGATAACGTTTTCGTTGAGAGACTTCGCAGATTGAGAAACGAATTGAACGAGGCGGACTTGGACGTCTCCGTTAAGGCCGATTTGATGAACGAAATTTCTATCATGCTTTATTCAAACAGTCCGTTGGAAATGGTTCCGGACTCGACGGATGCAAGCAGTCAAGAAGCGTCTCCAAAACCGGAGAAGATCTCTGCATGGCCAGGTTCTCACCATGGACATCCTTAGGTGCGTTATTTGTAACCGTTCACAAAGTTCACAAAAACACACATTTTCTCAATGAAAGTCTCATCTGAAGAATCAAAAATGGGTAGAATTTTTCGTCGCATTATATTCGCCCCTCCGGATGGCGATTGCAAGCTCGGCTTAAGCTTGTCTGGAATTCGGAGAAGTCCACAATGTTTAAGGCAATCCCTAAACTTATCAACAGCAACGGTTGATGACGAATTCGAAAAGTTGTTAGATGACCTTGACCAGAATGAAGCCATGTGCAAAGAGCTTATTGAATTATTTCATCACTATCAAACTTGCTTAATGGATTTGCTTCAGAGTTCCTTCAAAGTCGGCACTTCGATGAAGCAGCTTTTTCATCTGCAATTTGGTGACAGTAGTGAAATTCTGGTTGGATCGGAAGAACAATCCAATTGTAAGAGATATATCTCCATTATAGAGGAGTCATTATTGTCCTTGAAGGATACATTTTCCACTATTCCACAGTCCATAGACACGGGGTTCTACCACATTTTGGGATTTTTTGACACCATTCGTAAGAACATCAGGAAGCGAGATATGGCTCTTTTAGATTATGACAAAATTCTCGACAAGTTCGACCCAATATCCATAAAAAAATCCACTGGTACCCTCAGCATCAAACAAACTCAGCACTATCATAGCATTGAACGACAAGTTGACCACTACAAGTCTGTATTCGACAATTTGAATAATATGTTGAAAACTGAGCTTCCATATTTTTCTAAATTAGTCTCTCTTCATATGGATTTGATGTTTCGGTATATTTTTTACCTTCAGCTCACCAACACTTACCAGTTTAACATGAGTCTCTTGACCTTAGGGCCACCCATGAAATTTTTAAAAGATGAAGTTGTCAATCCTGAATTTTACGCCAGCCTCATCGGAAACTGTGCCGTTTCCAAGTTGAATGATCCTGATTTGAATATCATATCATTTCACAAGCTGCATTTGGAACTGCTTGTTTACATGGAAAACGCAGGTGTTAGGGATAGTCGCATGAACTTTGACCCATACTTCAACTACTGTATCGCATTGTTTAATTTCTCTGCGCAATCAATGGGCGATCTCAATTTCCGAAAAGGAGAGATCATCAAGGTGATTCTGTCTGTTGGGGAATGGTGGCAGGGGGAGTTGGGAGATGCAGTTGGAATGTTTCCATCAAATTACGTAAAGATGATGACCAAATAATGCTAATTAATAACGCCAAGTACAAAGTAATGCTAATTATTTGCGTAATCCTGCTCGTGTCGTCTCCAATACCGTAGAGTACACTTACCTGAACAGAATTCTCTCTTGATAGGGACCTCCTTATTGGCCAATATGTCCCACCACTCAATAACCTCCGCATATGGCTCAACAACAAACACATTACACTCATTACAGTGTTCCTCGTAGTTACGCTTCAAAATAGCCTTGGCTATGAATGGGTGAAGCACCTTGGGCATTGTTTTCTTCCATGACTTTGTTTCTCGGTATGTTACGTCGTACCTTGCAACCGCATCGAGACATAGAGTCTTCAATGTTGGGACCATGCCTTTCTTCTGGAAGTAGTTGATTCTAGAAATGTACCTGAGGCAAGGATCTTGGCAGGTGCCAACTGTGTCGACTATTTCAATTGCATTGGCGTGCACGGCTTCAAAAGGATTTGGACCAGCTCGGAACGTTGCCAATTGAGGAAGCTCTAGGATCTGCGCGGGGAGGTAAACTAACCGATTGGAGCTAATATTTAAATCCACTAAGTTCTTGAGGTTGCAAATTGCTCCCGGTATGTGGTCGATCTTGTTGTGGCGCAAGCTGAGAACATTGAGCTTTGTGAACTTGAATAATGCAGGGTTTATGGAGTGTAGCCGGTTGTTGGTTAGATAAAGCTGATGCAAAACTTGTGTAGAACGTTCTGGATCAAAGATAACCAAATTCTCAAGGTCTTTGACTTGTTCAGGAATCTCAGTTAACCCCATACCCTCCAAACTAACTGATGGTGACACATCTTCAAAAGCCTGAAGGATCAAGTCTCGAGCCTTAGCATCTCCAGACCCAGTATGAGTGCTGGCATCTCCCATGTCAGCATCCGTAGACGGACAATGGATATAACTGGATGTTTTGAAGCGATTGAATGGGTCGATACCGAAATCTGCCTCGGAGCTCTGGTTTGCTGTTGCTCTAGCAGGTCGCTTGACTGGCGATGTAGTTAACTCTCCAACCACATTGTAAGTATCCACTGGAGAGTCTGGCATGTTGTAATTGGAAGTCGAAAGGTCGTACTCAGACATGTGTGGTAGCACTGGAGGACTACTGGGTAAACCATGGGACTGAGAGTCGTCTGGATCGGTGTCGATAGGTGGGTTGGTCAAACCTTGCAGAGGAAACGAGCCAAAGTCACGCTTCTTGACGTCGTCCTTTTCGTTGAAACTCTCTCCAGCGTGTCTCTTCATTGAAGGCATGCTTGCTAGAAAAGGCGCCGGCACTCTTTTCTGTTTACCTCTCGTGTGATACATACTCTCTGCATTTTCATCAATGACATGTCTTTCTCGAGGATCTGTGTTCAAAGCAGTACGTTCATTTGCTGCCGAGGTGCTGAACGCAAATGGCAACAATGGGTTGTTTTTCTCCATGTGGAGTAGTATAGGAAAGTATTATTTTAGGAGGAAGTATTATTATGGGCTTCGGACATAGGCAGGCTACGCGTTTTTTCTGGAGAGTCCGGGTCGGGATCTGGGGTTTGGAGAAAGTAGTCCCATATGATAAAATATGTGATTAATAATCGACATTCGACGGTTTTCACTCTCCAACATGCTACAGAATGGAAACTACAACTTGTCGGAGTTACTTGATTGCTTAAATCCGTAAGTCGATGAAACTTGCGTAGTGATGCTTCTTATTACATTCGCACTTACTCTACAGTTCTTTACTTGATCATAGGAAATTAAGACCGGCCTTTTCTCCCAAAAAAATTAGTAAATTGATTGTGGATAATTTAAAGCAATTGTTCTGGACTAGCTTGTAGATGAAAACACACCATAAAGATGGAGCAGTGATCATAATCTCGATTACCATGATTATTGTTGATGCAATTATTCATTTGAATAGAAGCCAATTTTCTCCAAAGCAAAAATGACAAAACAATGATGGGATGATGCTACAAGCCATAGATAGAAATCCGAAAATACAATGCGGAGGTGTTCTTAATAGCAACTGAATATTTGCCGACATTCCCTCTTGATTGAACTATCTGTATTACGATGCAAGGCATTTGTGACCAAATGGAAAGAACAATATCGCCCAATCCAGCCCATGATTGAGTGCGGCATACTAACTTCGGATCGACGCTCTTCTCTTTTTCGAGAAGACAAAGAGGTATCGAAACTCCTCCGAATGTACTCGAAGTTGTGATCCTGACAACCATCCACCCATAAAAGGAGGCTGGCGTTGTGTAACGAACTGTCGCTAATATTGTCTGCATCTTAATTATTTTCTGCCCATAACCGAAGATCTTGAGATTTCAAAAATTATCATGATAAGTCCACCCATGTGGATAGTACCACATAAATTCTCTAGAAATGACGATAAATACTCCTAAACTAAGATTATTGGAACTTTATGTAGCATATTCTTTATTCAGGTACCATGCCCCTCCCATTGTTTACTCTATTGTTGGAAATCAATTTTTGCGAAGTTGGCGAAGCCCATACCATCGATGTCAGCCTACGTGGTTACCAACAAAGAATGGAAAATAGTCAAACCACAAAAGGGGGTTGTCCACCAGCACCCTTGCAAGCGAAAAGGAGCCAGCATTTGGTGCCCAAAATAGTCTTCACGTAGGAATATTTCAGAAATTTCATTTCATTTCATTTCCAGTCACTACACAAAGCTGCATGTCTATGCTTTAATCCACATGAAATCCGATCTGAATCTGCAAAGCTGCGCATGTCTGACATGTTTCCTCTTCAGTATAAATAACTGAACGATTCAACCTCTTCTTCCTTCCGTTAAATCAATATTCCAATGTCGAGTGGTCGAGGTCTTCAAATGTATCTGAATCATGGCTGCAAATCTGAGGATCGCCGTATACCGTCCTTTGGTGAGCTCCTCAAGGCGTGCTCCATCCCACCAGGCCCATCACTTCAACCCTCTGGAATCACTTCATTTAAGGTGAGTAAAGATGTGGATCGTTATGTTCAATATTATCCAAGTCCGCCTCAAACTGCTCTGTCATTGCAATTCGTTCCACGCCCCGCGTTAACTTTACAGAACAATTTTCAGCCTTTACTACCACCATCGAACTGGATGGCTGCCAGCCCTCCCGTGAGTCCACAACTTTCATGCAGAAGAAAGTCCTCCGAAGGGGACGGACGTCAGTTGGTAAACCTTGTTGAGATGGACAAAGTTCTTCTAGCGAAGCAAAGTCCAGAGCCCATAACGAAAGAGTCCATTAAGCGACTTATCGACTACCACAAGAATGCAGCCAAGCTTTTACTGCAAACACAAGGAATAATATCAGGAAAGGTTAGCAAGCCAACCAAAAGAAAAAGTGACAAGAAGCGGCCATCGAAAAAGCTCAAACAATCGGTAAAGAATGATGATCATGGTGAGCTTTCATTTACGGTGAAACCAGTGGAGGTGGCCACCACAGAGCCTTCGTATCCGTGCCACAATAATCATTATTTGAACAAGGACTTATGCATCAAGAATAACACTAAATGCTCGCAATGTGGATCGACAAAGACTCCCGAATGGCGGTCTGGACCTGACGGATGTCGCAGTTTATGCAATGCTTGTGGACTCTTTTTCACTAAATTGACCAAAAAAGTGGGAATGACTGCTGCCAGTGAAGTGCTTGCAGATCGTAAACGTGATGGAAATCCACTTGACCGGAGAATTAGTATAGGGTAGGCAAAATGGAAAGGTAATTATTTCTCATTGTAGCTTTTGTAGTAATGATTGGCCAACTCTGACAACCATTTTTCATCTATGACCATGCAATTTCTCATGTATTCCTTGCTGGTCAAGACAAGTTCGTGGTACATGACAAATTTCGGAGGAGGTTTCACCGGGAATAAACCCGACGATGGGTGAATGTGCACTGGCTGATTTCTTTTGATCAGAACGTAACTGGAACCTAGTTTTGATAGCTTCGCAACATTTGGAAAAAACCCACTGAATAACGATTTTTGAATTTTTACAAGCTTCTGGTTATCGTCTCCGGTCTTTTCCACCTGAAGTCCCACCTTTTGGCACAATTGTTCGAGCTGGGCACGTACTTCTTTGATCCTCTTCAATGTTCTATACTGAAGAAAATTATCCTCACACCAAATGTTGGAAAATCCAGTTTCAGCCCATTGCTTCCAGATATTGAGAAGCGTCAAATGGTCTCCCAATTCGTGGGCGAAACTCAATTTTCTCTTATCGGCTTGTTCTTTCTTGTCCTTGGGTCGATAGAATAAATTAGAGGATTCTGACAACATGGCCAAAATCGACAAGATTTCATAGGTGACCCCATATTGAGAGCTAGTTAATAAACACTTGCAAAACATTGGATCCATGGGAAACTCAGCCATTTTACGACCTGTTTCCGTGAGCTGCCCTTGAACATTAAGAGCACCCAAAGAGTAAAGAAGTTCCAATGACTTCATGAGTGTTTGCGTACTGGGAGGATCCATGAAGTCGAAGTGAACCAAATCCGTGATTCCCATGGACAAAAGAAGAAGCACCACCGTTCCCAAGTTCACACGCAAGATTTCCGGTGTTGGGTTGGCCATTAACTCATTGTAGAAAGACCACTTGGTAAAAAGTCTGTAACACTTTCCTGGACCAACTCTTCCTGCTCTACCAGCTCTTTGATCTGCAGAAGCTCTAGAGCATGGAACAACCACAAGACTCTCCATACCCGTGGTTGGATTAAACACATTCTCCTTAACGTATCCTGGATCAACGACATATTTGATTCCATCGATTGTGATGGATGTTTCCGCGATATTGGTGGCCAAGACAACTTTTCTCGAGTCTGGAGGAGTAGGCTCAAATATCCTGGCTTGCATTGCTGGAGGCATATTGGCGTAAATGGGTGCAACTATGAGACGCTTAATCAGATCACCGAGATTCTCACATGCCTCGTTCAACGTCTCTGCCATTGTTTCAATTTCGTCTTGACCTGTCAAGAACACTAAAATGTCCCCAGGAGTTTCCTGCTTCATATGAATTTGGAAAACGGTGGTAATTGCTGCTTGAATATAGTTAGCTTCAGGGTGCTTGGTGTAGCAGATATCCACTGGAAATCTACGCCCGGGAATCTTGAAGATCGGAGCATCGTTGAAGTAGTTAGCAAATTTTTCGGCATTAATAGTGGCAGAAGCGACAATGATTCGAAGATCCAGTCTCTCCTTGATGATATCCTTCAACAACGTAAGTACAATTTCTGTGGAAACTGTACGTTCGTGCGCTTCATCAATCATCAACGCACTATAACCAGTGAGAAGTGGATCTGAGAGAAACTCTCGAAGAAGCATTCCATCAGTCAAATATTTGATTTGTGTTTTGCTGCTCAGCACATTTTCAAATCGAACTGAGTATCCCACCTCGTCACCTAATCGACATCCAACTTCATCAGCAACTCTAGAAGAAACAGAAGTAGCAGCCACTCTTCTGGGCTGGGTGCATCCCACTTTTTGGATTTTGCCTCCTGATGCTTTCGTATACCCCGCTTCATAAAGATACTGGGGTAATTGGGTAGTCTTACCAGAACCTGTTTCACCCACCACTATGAGAACTTGGTTCTTGTCTATAGCTTCGAGGAAATCGCCTCGCAACTTGTATACGGGAAGCGATTTTCTTACTTCTTGAATTTCACGACTGATTGTGGGCTTCAGACTAGGAAACTCTTCGGCTTCCACTTCATTGTCTCCAGTAACATCAGCAGAGTCATCAAAATCAACGAATTGCGACTCATCAAATACAAACTCGTAGTGCCCCTTGTCTGCTAACTCAATCTTATCAGGATTCGATGCCACAATCTCTTGCGCCTTTTTAAGCTGGTCTAATTCCCATTGATTGTCGAATCTCAGTCGTTTCTCCTCTGGTTGCTCTTCTTGTGTTGGTCGAAGCAATTCCTGCTTTCGTTTACGGTCAATATGACCTTCTGCCGTCTTGTACTCAGACGGAAGTATATATTGAGTGCCTTCATCTGCAGTGGAACTGACAGACTCTAAAAATTCCCGTTTTTCCCTGTACTCTGCTGCCTGTTTTGGTGTTAAGTCAACCTTCTTTGCCAACCAGTCCACATCCCGCTGGATCTGCATCACTTGTGAGTTATACCTTCTTTTTAGATACTGCTCAGGCGTTTCCTTTAGCCTATTCTGATTGTTTTGAGTTTGAGACCTCTCCACCTGTTCTTTTGTCTTATTTATTTGTTTGGGTTCACTAACAAGTGTTGTCTCAGTCACTGTCTCATTAATAGCACCATCAGCCACTTCGTCATGCACGTTGTCCACGACACTAGCTTCTGCTTCTAGATCTTCATAATCGTACTCTTTGTTTCTTCGGTACCCTGTGCCCGTCTTTAAGCTAGACATAACCCTATAAGTTGACTGTTTGGCACTACTGTATATGAGTAGGTCAATGAGCATCGCAGGAATGTAAGCCCCAAATCAAGAATCAGCCATCACCATCTGGCAGCAGCAGCAAATGTCGCCTTTGAGCCACAAACCTAGACGTTCGTCTCGTATTGCGCCAAATGACGACGAGAGCGGATCATTTTTCTCGCCCACGCCAAAGTCCGAACCCCATACTTCGGTATCGGACTTGGATCTCTACAATCTTAGCATCAAAACCTCCGGCCAGAAGAAGGTCACCTACATTCCTCCATGGACGGAGCCATATGTAATTGGTGTGGCTGGATTTTCTGGATCAGGAAAGACATCCATTTCCCAGAGAATCATCCTGGAGTTGAATCAGCCTTGGACCGTTCTCTTGTCGTTTGATAACTTCTACAATCCATTAACTCCGGAGCAGTCGAAACAGGCCTTTGCTAACAACTTTGATTTCGACACCCCAGACGCTATGGATATTGACATGGTTGTAGAAAAGCTTACATCATTGAAGCAGGGAAAGAAAACAGAGATTCCAGTCTACTCGTTTGCTCAGCATACTAGAACGGACAAGACCATCACTATTTACGGAGCAAACGTCATAATCATTGAAGGTATCTATGCCTTGTACGACAAACGTCTTTTAGATCTCATGGATGTCAAGATCTTTGTGGACACAGACTTGGATGTCTGTTTGGCCAGAAGACTCACCAGAGATATCTTGTATCGAGGAAGAGATTTGGAGGGAGCGTTGAGGCAGTGGGAAACGTTTGTCAAGCCCAATGCCGTGGCATCGGTGACACCCACCATGCAAAATGCAGACTTGGTTATTCCTAGAGGTCTCGAGAACACCACGGCCATTGAGCTAATGATCAAGCATATCCAGAAGCAACTTGCTCTCAAGAGTAGCTTGCACCTTCGTAGATTGAAAAGTTTGGGACTTGGATCCAAATTCCCGCTTCTGGCGTTCTCTAACTTAAAGGTGCTTCCAACAACCAACCACACCGCCGGTATTCACTCCATCTTGTTCAGTCAGTCTACAGACAGAACAGACTTCATTTTCTACTTCGACCGTATAGCTAACTTGCTTTTGGAGCTTGCACTCGAGCAGTTGACGGTGTTTGCTCCAAAAGTTGTCAAGTGTCATGGTAACTACGAGTTCAAAGGCGTGGAGCAGACCCAGGATATCGTGGCTGTGAGCATCATCAGATCTGGTGACTGCTTCATGACGTCCATCCGCAAAACATTCCCAGCTATTCCCATCGGGAAGCTTTTAATTCAGAGCGACTCACTTACTGGCGAACCACAATTGCACGCGGAGTCTTTACCATCTACAGTTAGTGGAGCCCAGTACTTTCTCTTCGATGCACAAATCATCAGTGGAGCAGGAGCCATTATGGCCATTCAGGTGTTAGTGGACCACGGAATCAACCTGAAAGATGTCACTTTGATCACATATTTGCTGACAGAGATTGGTGTGCGGCGTATATTCCATGTGTTCCCAGAAGTGAAGATTATAGTAGGAAAGCTCAGCAACGTGGAGGAGTCTGAATCCAAATATAACAGTGAGAAATTCCATGATACGGATTGGCTTTTCCGTACAAGGTTCATCGATTCGCTCTACTTCGGTACGGATTAGTTGAACACCATTTATTACCCTAGCATTATTAACAAGAAATTAACAGACTTGACAGGATGTGATATTTCTCGATTGTATTTCTGTAATTCCAACTTTGCAAGCAACTATAGCAACTCATAGCAACTTATAGCAACTTATAGCAACTAGTAGCAGTTAGCGGCAACTAGGAGCAGCTAGTAGCAACTAATAGCAGCTAGGAGTAACTAAAAGCAATCAAGACGACCCAGCACCAATTCAGAACTCCGACCACATAATAGATACCTTAGAGCAGCAACTAAAACCGGATCCCCATAGCAACTAATTATATCTCCAAGCATTATCTATTAAGAGCAACATCACAACACAACATTATTGTTTCTCCACATAACAGCTTCAAATAGGAGCCACTGGGAACCATACTACAGCAACAGAGCAACAGCAACTCCAAACATAAACACCAACCTAAGAAGTAATCACAAGTACTAAGCATCGGGATACAGATTGCGGACCAGCTCTGCAGCTTTAGGAAACAGGAACCGAATCGCAGTAGAATTGCGACGTTGATGGTTTCGATCCCAAGTCTTGGAGGTTAAACTATATGAAGCAAACCGCTGAGTGGCATCATGATTGACATCATCAAATGAATTTGATATGTTGTTGCTGAGAGTGTGCAAATCACAGATGGAATACCGTCTAGGCTTGAAATCAGCTTCCAGAGGAGTTGAAACATTCTCACACGAAGACAGACGGCCAGCCAGAGGCCTGGTATCCAATAGAGGTCTGCTGTCGACTAGAAATGCGGAAAGAGGCTCTTTCAATTCGTCCAGATCGGCACGAGGATCTCTTTCGATAGCAAGCGAAAATCTTCTCTCAACAGACATGGAACTCCGAGTAGTGATAAATAGGATAATTCCCAAGATGGCACACCAGAATGGGTGCAAGTCCAGTTATATAAGGTATTAGCAAAACAATACGAAGAGCGACAATATAGTGTGTCGCCAACCTTGAAAGATAAAAAAGAGAAGGTTCAAATTACTCCGCAAGCATTATTTCAATCCTCAAGTGTGATGCCCTGGTTGATCACGTTATCGTGCCTGGTATTCGTATTTCTTGATGGGAGCTCCTATGCATGCAAGATGCGACAGTGACTAAAAAAGTTGGACAAACTTGAAAAGGAGGCTGATAAAGTAGAGGCTATTCTGTTTGACGAGGCCAGAACGTTTATTTTTACTGGTGGATTCACTTAGGTTTTGAAAGGTTTTAGGAGAAATCAGAAGGAAGACTTGGAAAGAATTATGCCACCACTAAATGTACAAAATGACCATTGGGAAGTTTAATGAAGTGAGATAATAATAGGTGAGCAGTTCTGGGCCCTTGCGGGCGAATTGTTGGTAACGAACAAATATATGGGAAAACATTCTTGACCAATAAACTTTATATACGCGATTGTATCCTAAGAACCCGATTTCGAAGCAAAAAGTTCTCGGTATCAATTTATCCTTTTTTTATGGGGAAAAATCATTGCCTTGGCCTGGGGTAACTAAGTCGTTCGATACTTATATACAGGACAAATGACTCGGAACGAGTACCGGACGGTACTAATGATTCGATAGGCGGTCATAAAGTTCATCTGTAAAGTGGGTTAATACTGGTTCTCATGGAATTGATCGTGACAAGACAGTCATACGAAAGTATGAAGGCTGATAGAGGAAAAAACGAATGTTCAATTAGAATTTTTGACATCTCTTTTTTTTTTGTTTTTTCGGTTAGGGTTTTTTATCTTCTCACTCGCCGTTTTAGTGTGCTCATTATCTGAATTTGTCTTTATATTTTGTCAACTCTTCTCACTCGTTCTCCACCTTATCGTCCGAGCACATTCCTTATAGGGTAAAGACATTCTAATGGTCGGAAAGGATCCACCAATTGACCGGGGGCGGCTATTATTTCCGGTGCTAACCTGAACATAGACAGTTAGAAGCTGCCGTTGCATAATCTTTAAAATTTTTTCTAAGATTTTGTCAGATTCTTATGGACATTAAACTCCGGTCGCTATCTCGTTCAATGACCATGGAAAACTCTCAAATGTTAATAGCCAGCCATTCATGATAACCAATTCACCCTAAAAATTCCAGAAGAAAAAAAACAATACCCGCCTTCTTCTCCAATTTTCTACCTTAGATCACTAAAATCACACCATGTCTTTCCCCAGAAGTTTCCTCATTGGAACTTCCTTCTACCCCACCACGGTTGTATTGATAGCAGCCCTGCACCTGGAAACCGCTGTCTACCAGTCAAGCCCATCCTAAACTTCCCATAAGATTTTCTCCCCACTATTCCTTATGGTTCCGGTTAAATATCCCGGCGTATCCGCCGGCTCCTTGCACCGTCTTTTGTGGAACCAGGCTATGATCGCTCATCGTCGCTATGTGTCCTTCACACCTGCGTCGCAACTCACGATTAATGACTTGAATGAGTCAACTTTGGAAGCAAAGTACGCAGTCAGAGGAAAAATCCCAATTCGTGCTGATGAATTGCGTTCCCAGATCGAGAGCGATCCTGAAAACCACGGTTTGCCTTATGACCGTATCATTAGTGCCAACATTGGAAACCCCCAGCAATTGGACCAGAAACCTTTATCTTGGTACCGTCAGGTATTGTCATTGATGCAATACCCTAACTTGATCAGCAAAATTGATGGCTTGGATAGTGAAGTTAAGGACAAGTTGTATCCACCGGATGTGGTGGAGAGGGCCAAGAAGTTATTGAAGAGTACTGGTTCTGTTGGTGCGTATTCTGGTTCTCAAGGTGATGCTACAGTGAGAAAGTCGGTAGCTAAGTTCATTTCGGAGCGTGATGGCTACCCTGCTAAGCCTGAAGATATCTTTTTGACAGGCGGTGCTTCTGCTGCTGTTCTGTACTTGATCCAAGTTTTGTCTGCTGGTAAAGATACCGGTTTCTTGATTCCAATTCCTCAGTATCCATTGTACACTGCCTCCATTGCATTGAACAACGCCGTCCCAATTGGCTACTACTTGGACGAGGACAACCACTGGTCCACGGACCCCGAGCAAATCCGCAGCTTGATCAAGGAAAACAAGGACAAGGGTGTCAACCCTAAGGCCCTTGTGGTGATCAACCCAGGAAATCCTACTGGTGCCATTTTGTCTGAAGAGGACATTGCTGCCATCATTGACATTGCTGCTGAGCACGGTCTTGTGCTTATTGCCGATGAGGTGTACCAGGAGAATGTTTTTGAAGGCAAGTTCGTGTCTATGAAGCAGGTATACGCCAAGATGCTAGCAGAGAAACCTGAAATCTACAAGAATGTCCAGCTTGCCTCGTTGCATTCCACCTCGAAGGGTGTCAGTGGAGAGTGTGGTCAGAGAGGTGGATACATGGAGTTGGTAGGCTTCTCCAAGGAGGTCAGAGATATCATTTTCAAATTGGCATCTATCAATCTTTGTCCTGTTGTTTCCGGCCAGGCTCTTGTAGAGTTGATGATCAACCCTCCAAAGGAAGGCGATGCCTCCTACCAATTGTACCATCACGAAACCAGCTCTATCCACCATGACTTAATGAAGAGATCGACCTTGTTGTACGAGGCTTTCTGCAAAATGACGGACTTGAAGTGCAACAAACCTCAGGGTGCCATGTATCTCTTCCCTAGCTTGTTGTTTACCAAGGAGAAGTATCCTACTTTGTTCGAGAAGGCAGATGAGTTGAACTTGACGGCTGACGAGTTTTACTGTACCGAATTGTTGGAGAACACCGGTATCTGTTGTGTTCCTGGTAACGGATTCGGTCAAGTTCCAGGCACTTACCATTTGAGAACCACCTTTTTGCCTCCAGGAACTGCTTGGATTGATCAGTGGGCCAAGTTCCACGACAAGTTCATTGCCGAGTACAAACAGTAAATAGTGTATGCAAATATTTTTTTCTAATTTTACTCCTTCTTGACTTTGGCTGCATCTCCGAAGTCTCCAAACACACACGCCGTGGCGATGGATACCCAAGCAGGCAACCATCCCAAAGCAATAACAAACCATGTCCAGCATTGCAATTCATCCCACGATGTCAACAAGCCCCTAGTCAATACCACCACCTGTTCGAACTTACCGCCGTCATAGAGGTAGCCAAACAAGGGAATTGTGATGAACGGCGACGACGATAGGAGGCATAAAGCAATTCTCAAATTTGCCTTGAATGGAGGTATCTTTCCAGCGACTTTCTGGGCAATGATAGGCAGAATGAACGTTAATGGTAATGCACAGATACCGATAGAGAATGCCAATGCAAAGTGCACGATAAGCAAGCTAATGATTAGCATAGCGATAAAGTAGAGCGAGAATGCCAAAAGTAAGTATGAGACAGTTTTGGACAAACGGAAAGAGAAGTTGTGACTGAACAAAGTTGCAGAAGAAGCAATAATAGTAACTGCCATCATGGTCACGATTATGGTGGATGAGATCACATCTGGGGTGTCTGAAGACACCACCAAAGACATCATTGCGAAGGCACCAGCCAAGCAGACAAGTTCAATGCCCGTAAAAATTCCCAACAACGAAGCACCATTTAAGAGATACTCTGTGGCACTTACTCCATTCACAAGGCAGTAGAGTGAGCTGATGGCGAAGGAAAGCGCCAAAAGGGCCGCCGATGGCAAATACGTGCCAATAGAAACAAAATTGAGAGGAGCAAGCATAAGATAGAAGAAGAACGACTGGTGGAACTTCTCGAGAAGATTATTGACCGCACGGAAGGTCGAATCGACGATACGTCCAAATTGAGTAATATCTGGACCTCCAGTTCCCACAGCCTTGATTGTGATAGCCTGAATTTGCCGTCCCGAGAATGATTCACACCCAGGGGAGTTCCTCTTCAAGCCCGAGCTTGCCAATTTAACTATTCCTCTAAAAAGAGTCCTCAATCTAGAGTAGTAGTCGTTTCTCTCAAGCTGGTCAGTGGGCGAGTTCTGGATACTAACCTTCATCATTTCGTTCCTTGCAATGGTAGTGGCTGTATTGATGAGATCCAAGTTTGGCAACTGTCCATTGAGTCCCTCGTACGAAAGTTCCATATACTCGAAATTGTCGTGGTCAGATGCGTACTCCATGACGATAGCAGCCTCAATGGAACCAGCCGTAACATCCAACTCAGTATGGTAAGCTTCTACCCATGAGCGAAGCTCTGCATGTGTGTTTCTGGGAAAAACAAGAATGATATTCTTTTGCCAGATGGACATTCTTGTGAAATACCTGGCCAAAGCTGGAGCAAGCGAAAACGCACCAACATTGGGGAGCGCGTCCAGTGTGAAATACGGAGCAACCAACACCATAGCCTCGGTATTATCTCCTCGAGGAGCATGCATCACAGCATACATAGTATCTCTGCCAGACTTGGAATCAATATGGTGGGAGACCTTCAACCCTATATCTTGCAACCAATCTTCCAACACTGGGTTATGGTCAGCCACATCGTTAAAGTCCCACTTCTTGACCTCCAGACGGTATCCACGTACAATATTCCATTCACTTTCACGGAAGTATGACGTGACTTGGCCCGGCATCAATGCATTTTCCGAAATGTATGTGTTTCTGAATTGGCCGTCCAAGGGCAATACTAGGAGCCACAGAACACTAGCAAGAGCTAAGAAAAACGACACAAATGGGAGCGCCCGAATGATTTTGGGCAAGAGCCCAAGTTTGTGGATCTTACGAAGAAGCGATTCTGCCAATGCCATTTGATGGGTAATTCGTTACGACGTGGAGAATCGTTAAGTGTACTTTATAAGGTGTACGGGTGTGGAAGAGATACAAAGAAAATAATCAAGACACAAGATAAAATAGAAATTTGAAATAATAAGCAAAAATAATTAAGCGAGATCATTGTAAATAAGATCTGCTACTTTATCAAAATAATGACTTTTCTCATGGCCGATTTATATAGGGTGTACTTTTTGTTGCAACATTCACCTCACCGTGGACTCTGCAGGTCATAGAGCCATTCCCATGAATCCCATCTCTTTCTACAGAAGCATAACTCGACGAATTTGTCGTTTACCGTTAGATGTCAAAAGCATTGAGATTCTACAACTGTCTGTTAGACAGTCTTTTCGATCTGCCAAGTCGGTGTCCTCCTACTCCATTGTTCATCGCAAGCAGTATGATAGACTTTCCACCATCGTGGATGAAATCTTGGAAAGGAACAAATACAGAGAGTTAGGTACCCTTTTAGACTTTATCTACAAGGATAAGGGAAACTTGGAGCCCTGGAAAGCACGGTTTGCCAATATTCGCTACAACAGATGGAAGTCAATATGGCCCCAGATCCATCTACTACGAGAGTTTGGAAAACCGAAACATATTTCCGCATACGACAAGGAATTAAGTCGTATGGATGGTGTCGGTGAGTTTTCCATACTTAAGGAACTAAATCTTGCTGTTCCACCAGATCTAGCTCCACTTGAGCCTCTCAAAAAGCACTCTTCAGGATCTGACCTCAATGCTTTGTTTGAACAGGTACAAGACTTTCACAAATTTTTGAAAAAGAATTCAAAAGCACTCATGACCGTTACCTTAAAGCCTTTAGAAGTCACCTACGAGCCTTCAAGAATAGGACTTCCCCTCAGTGTTGCAGCCAGAGAGAAGAAACTACGATCGAAAATCACATACATAAAGTCACTTTGTCAAGAGTTTCGACCATTAAAAGACGGGTCGCTACAGCATCTCATTCTGGTTGCAACCGATGAGCCAGGACCTCAAAATGCCATCAATCCGAACTTTCACCGGCATGCAAAGAGGGTTCGTGAAAGGGTGGAAAAAGCGTCTCCTTTAGAAAGAAAATATCTTCTCCAGAAGCAATTGATACCTAATGATCGAAACATAAGATTTCTCTACCGAGGATACGTTACAAAGCAGTTCACCATCAGGGATGGGCGCTACACTATGAATCCCATGCAAAATTTTTATGACTGATGGCTATTCCAGGGTTTATACCCTAACTATTTGAGTTGAAAAACCACATACTCTTTCTTGAAACGGTCAAGAACACAACCAATGATATGGGATGGATCATCCACACCATTTACAGCCAACATAGCGGGATTCTTGATGAAAGATGACTCGTCAAACTCCAAACTGCTGGTTATTTGAGGGATCTCCGTGGACTGGCTCACATCGACTAGGTCAAGCTTGAATTTGTTCGAATCCTTATAGAATATCAACATGCGGTCTCCACTAATATATTGGTGGCTGATAATTTCTCCGGGAAACAGTATTACCTTCTTTTCTTGTGATAGCTTTCTCACCTTGAGAACAGAAAATGCATTATCTTTTGTAGTAGTCACGTACACGATAGATTGTTCAATATTGATATCCCACAGGGTTTGTTTAGGCTCCAAATCCAAAGTGAGCGGCGAAGCAATTTGAACTTTGCTCGCTATGTATTGCTGAACACCTTCTAGCAAGTTATGGTTGAGATCCTTGTGTAAAGTATTGATATCTTTCTGCAATGAAGTAGTTTCAGTTTCAAAGTTGTGGAGCGCCTCAAAATTCACATCGTCTATGTCAACGTACTCAAAGAATCCCGAATCGAACATATGCACGTTGATATACTCCAAGATATCAGTGGATCTGAACTCCATGGTAGGGTGTGCATTGAAAAAGGCTTCTGGGTCATTATCTTCACTAGAAAGCTTTTCAATCACTTCCACCTTGCACCAGTTCAAAAACTTATTAAAGGATTCTTGCTCAGCATTGACACGCCAAATGAACGCATAGAACTTTTTTGCTAGTTCTTGTGATTGCTTAATAACACTTTTGATTGAGTCAACAGACATTCCTAGAGCCTCTTGACGGGAATTCGTTTCTGCTATGGCCACACTTTCAAGGTAACTGAGCAAAATGATCAACTTTTCCAACGCCAAAATAATTTGTCCAAACAGGACCTTCCTGGCTGTGTCGTAAGCAGCATTTCCTACAGACGACACTCTGGCAAGTCCACGTTCACCAAATTGATTGAGCCAATAGTCTTTAAGGGACTTCGGAATTAATGCAGTAACAACCATCTCCGTGAGTTTCTCGGCAATCTTATCCTGGACATCCATTGGAGTGGGAAAATCAGTAGTTAGGTCGACATCTTCGTCAAGTACATCTTTGAAATTTCCTAGATGAAGGTCAAGAACCTTGAGAAACCCTGTAGCCTCGGAAGCAATCAACGATATCTGGTCACGAATGTGGTTGATGATGGAAACAATTCGCGAGCACCACTCAATGGTTTCTAGTAGATGTCTTCTCTTTAGCGAGTCTTCAATCTGCAATTTCAACTCACATAATTTCAACTGGCACTCAGAGTCCTCCACAAGGAAAAATTGAGAAAAGAGACTCTCTGGAGTAGCATGCTTCAAGTACTTGCCGTGAGGTGGAATCTCCACGTCGGACACTGTGAACAAGTTGTTGAAAGTCATGGATAGCAACGAATTGGTGTTGACCGAAAACAAGCAATCTAGGAGATTATCGCTGTCTGTCGTAGTAATAACTGAATCCGACATCGTTTGAGTAGTACCTCCGTGGCCTGTAGATCCATTTTCCAAAGTTACAGTTTCCACTTCATTGGAGAGTTTGGGCATCGACTTCAAAATGTCCAATTTGAACACATCATTGAAGATATCACCAAGATCATCTTTATCTCCAATCAGTGTCTCAACGTCCATGAAACTCCAACTTGTCAAGGTAATTGGAAGACCAGCGCTGGTAGGAAGCAGACTGACCAATTTTCCATTGTTAGCATCATACACTTTCATCAAGGTATCTGTACCAGACACAACGAAGAACTTGCCGCTACGATTCCATTTCAAATCTAGAATCTCTGTACGGTTATTGATGGAGTATACACGTTCTCCATTGAGTCGGAATACCCAAATGGAAGTTTTATTCATTGAAACTGCCAACAAGTCCATTTTCGGACACCAACTGAGGATATTTCCATCTGGAAATCCTATAAACTTGTTCCTAGAGAGCACTTCTAGGTTACTCGGTGCATCACACATATGTAGTAAAGGTGTCTTAGAAGTTCTGGTATCATCAATAGTGTGTGCAGTCAAACATCAACAGTCATACCGATCAAGAGTATACAAACTCTACAATATTAAATATTCATCCCAGTATAATTCAATCATACATCCAGCTATCTAAAAATATTTTTACAGGTTTCGTGGCATCGTAAGCGATCGGCAGAAGAGGGTATCATTTTCTCTTCAAACGCATCGAAAAGTTGCGGCCTATGAGACTTTTCTGTCCAAGGTAACTTTTCTGTTCAGGGTAATTCAGCGGGCACTTCTGGTCAAATATGAGCAAGTCCTCAACAGATGAGAGTCCCTGCGTATTGATCTTCAAGTCGTCCACTGGAGGTGTCTTGGGAGACAAATGGCCGGCAACTGGGCTCAGCAAATCATGCAGCATTGGAGGAATCGAGTTGACACTCAGCGAAGATCTGAATAAACCGATGAAACTCTTGCGCTTACTTGAGGCCCTTTTTGGCATTGGCGGACGTTGTGACACGGGGCTCGAAATGGTAGGGACAGACTGAGATGTAGGCGAACACGTCCCGTCAGAAATTGGAGTGCTCACATGGGACTCCTTCCGCTCGGTCTCTGTATTCGTAGACTCTCTCAGTTCTTTAACGTGCCACAAGTTCTCGCTTGATCTCAACATCTCGTGTGGACTCACTGCAGTGTGTCTACGTTCTCTGGTGAGATTCTCGCTAGATAGCATTTTGTCCGGACTCTTGGATCCGAAATTTAGCGAAAAACGCTTCGACCGATTGGCCGGAAGGTTGTATGAGTCCCAGAAGATTGAGAATCGTTGTGAGACAGACTTGCGTCTGTCCGAGGAGTTCTTGGAGGGAGAACTCTGGTGAGAAGAATAGACCGTGATAGGGGAGGTGGTGAAGGACTCAGATGAGGTGACAGAGACAGTGTCGATATCAAGCTCCTCAAGCCCACCGACAATGTTCTTGTAGCAGACATACTTCTGTACGAAGCTATCGTAATTAAGCACCAAAAACGTGAGCAACGCCTGGAAGGGCAGCAACTCCGACAAGGATTTTGTGTGGAAGATATAGGGCTGGAAGATAATGGACAGATTGGCCACAGTCATCTTTGTCTTGTCTTCGTGAAGTGATAGCTGTTTGAGTTGCAGAAGCAAGTAAATGAAGAAGTTATTTTTAGCTGCAACGTTTTTTGTGAGGATCAAATGAGACACCGTTTCCAACAAGGCATCAGGGTTGGTGACAGTTGAGTCTGTCGAGTCCGTAGAGTCTGCAGCATCTTCCACTACGGAAGGAAGAGTAACAGCCGAGCCAAGCGAGGTGCTTGCACTCTTAAATGAATCCATGCTCATATCACTGTTACTACGTGAATGTGATACGTACAACCTGTGTAACTGCGAGAGGCAGCTGGATGAAAACAAGCCATCGCAGGAGTCCAAGTACTCACGCAAGAATTTCTTAATAACGCCAGCAACGTCGTGAGCACTCGGTTTCTTTTCAGCTTGAAGCCAGTCAATGTACAGCGAATAGTCCGCAGAAATCAGTTTCATACGGCGAGCAGAGCCACTCACACGGAAAACACCTTCAACTAAAGCTTCCGACAAGATGTAGTTGAAGCAATCGTGAAGAAGCGTGGGAACGTCGACAGTGACCCCATCAACCTCAACAGAGGTGGTGGGCATGTCCGCAGGCAGTAGCGGCAGACGCGAAGTGGAAGCCATGATTTGGGCGATTTGGACCAGATCTGGCATTGAGAATGTGTCAGTCAAGAACGACGTTTGGCAGGTTATAAGTGCGCAGTGAAATGTGGAGACGATCTGGAGGCAGGTGTCGGGCGAGATATAGCAAGCGAGGGCAGCAGACACAGGCAGCAGGAATGACAGCAGCGAAGTCTGGAGCAGAAGCGAGAAAAAACGGGACTGAAAAGAAGAAAAGTTGCAAGGGGTCCTTAGAAAGAAGAAGAAGCACAACAAAAATTAAAACTCGCTAGTCGTAGGCGCAGGTAGGGCCAGATATCCTGGGGGAGAAAATCTTCGTGCCTCAAGATATTTAACCGAATTCGTCAGCGTGTCGCATGAATATCCGATGGAAAAGGCAACTTGCAATGTCACTACAGCCCGGCGTGCATTGGACAATTAGTCCCATGTGCCGGGTTTTGTATTATATAGCTGAAATCCATGACTATGTGCCAGACTTCACCCTGGGGACTGATCTAGACTGGCACCAAATGGACAGGACTGAAGGCGGGTTCATAACTTGATGGAGTTTTTTTTTGGCTTCCTCTCACTCGCCATCAAATTGGTCTGCGGATTGAGGCGTGCGAACCGCAGTACGGTGGCTTTGGCGCGAAGGCTGGCCCCTAGAGAAGAAAATTACAAGTTAAATGTTCTCCTCCCAAACCGTTATGGAGGAGCGGCTAGGAAATTTTTTGGCGAGTTAAAAAACTTTCCGATCGACAAGGGGATGAGTCGATCGCAAGTCTGAAACAATGTAGTTTTAACTTAGAGGGGAGACCTAAGGTGTGACGGCGGGGATTTAAACACAAAAAAATTTTTTTTTGGTAACTTCATTAGGAACTCCGGCGTAAAACAGTCACTTGGGCATTCCAAGGTCACACCTCAAATGGGCCAGGACAGTGCCAGGTGATATAACCGTTGCCAGGCGGAGTATAGGGTGTTCTTTTTTCTGTTGGTCGAGGGAGTATATCACGTGCGAAAATACACATTCACATGGAGTGAATACAGTAGGGGAAATGGAATTCCCAGTGTCATAACTACAAAAACAAAAAAGAGTGACAAAGCCGACGCGCTTTCACATTTACGGGCAATTTGGTCATGTGAGTTTAGTCGTGTGAATATTTGCACATGATTTATCGCACGTGCAGTTCGAATCTTGCAACTATCTTGTAAACCATCATGTAAGATGTATTTATTCGGAAAAATTTTTTTGGAAGATAGGACTTCGAAGTGTTCTGGCTACTAAATATTGTATTCAGGGAAACATTTGTTACGCTTAATCCATTGGAGCGGTCTTTCGTGTCACCTTTTGTAACCGTCTGTTCGTAAGTGACAAATTAAATCTAGCAAAAATCTTAACTTTCGCTTCTCATGTAAGCAATATGAGAAATATCCCCGTTCAACTTTCTTCTTCCAAACGTCACAAATTCTGTTCAAAGATTCTGCCATCCTTTAAATTGAAGTTCTGAGAAACCTAAAGTCGTGGTTTCCTCTCCGTTGCTAGAGATCAAAGTCTTCTTCTTATCTTCCAAAACAATTTTAATAGCAGTTTCGAGCGAGATTATACCACAATTTCATCAAATTCCTCTGGCAGGATCAGTATTCAACCTTCCAAACGTAATATATAGATTCCTGTATATAACGCCTCTTGCCAATCTCCAATATTCACCATAATAGATAATCATACATATTCAATGCCCCAAAACCTTAACCCACTACATCTTTCAAACATACTGAACAATCCCCTAACTCTATCACCCTTCTACTACTCTTGCAACACATCTTTCCCGTCAGATCTGTATCAACCATTACTACTCTCCTGCACCCAGCACCAACTACCTACCATCAAATTTTTCTCACTAACAGTCTATTCAAGACTCTCAAACATGCTCTCGCTTCCCTTTTCAAAATGCGTGGGTATCTCCAGCATGTTCGCGCGTGGTTTCTCTACCTCGTTGCTTGCCCGCAATGCCGTGGCTGCCTCTCGCCCATCGCCAAAGGAATTTGCTGTGAAAGACCCAAAAGTTTTGGCTAAGAGAGCACAGCGCAAGAAAACTAAGCATAAGCAGCCTCCACAATCTCATCCATTATACATGGAAGTGCCTCAGGCAATGAAGTTCCTTCGTGCTGCCGAGGTAGGTCAGCCAGCCAAGAAAACAACCATCGCAGTTCAGTTGATGGTCATTCCAGAGAAAGGTTCTACACCTTTGCAAGGCAAGATTTTCTTCCCCAAGCCCATCAAAGACAACAAAGTACTTGTGTTTACGCTGGATGACAACACACGTGCTGAGATCAATAAGTTGGACGACACCATTGTGGTGGGAGGTTCTGGTTTGATTGAGCAGATTCAGCTGGGAGAATTGGACATTGGTAAATTCAACCAGTCGTACGCCACGCCAGAAATGGTTCCTATGCTCAGACCAATTGCACGTGCGTTGGGTCCTAAGGGATTAATGCCTACAGCTAAGAGAGGAACTGTGTCTGAAAGTGTTGTGCAGCTCTTGGAGGAGAACTTTGGAGCCTTTAATTTCAAGCAAAAGGGTAACCTTTTGAGCATTCCTGTTGGACGTTGTGACTTCAGTGATGGGGAAATCATCCGGAACCTCCAGGCAGCATCTGATGCTGTTTACGCCTGCCAACCTCCAGGAACTAAGAAACCCAACTTGATTGGACAATGTTATATTAGCAGCACATTGGGACCGGCCATGGTGATTGACTTCAAGAACTAAATGTATATAGAGAAGCGTCAGGCTCGAATCGACATGAATGAGGACAATGGAAGTAGCGGCGGAGCATAGTAGGAAATGAAGCTTAGTGGATATACACTTCAACTTAGCAGTGAAGTTATCCACGGCCCATGGTAGGTCAGATCACGAGGTAATTCGACTCAGGTCACTGCGTGACGAGGTGTAGCTACAAAATATTTGCATACATTCAGCTCCCAAGCATTTGGAAGATAATATTCCTACACTACACCGACAACGAGTGCTTGGAGGCAGCAATGAAGTCATTGGTCAGCTTGTTGGCCACGCCTTGAGTCATTCCAAATCTCTCTTTTGCATTATTCTTGGTATTGCAACCTGCTCGTGGTATGCTCTTGGTAATGCAACGTTACCCTCGCGTTATTCCGGCTTTGTTTCTTGGACCTCGGTCATCATGGTAAGAATGGTGCCACATTGCTATATTGACATGCTATGAATTCTTGAGTACTCCATCGGCTTTATCGTTGTGCGAAATGAAGAAAAAAATACACTCTCAACTAAATATCGCCGTGTAGTTGAATTTTCCGAAATATTGCGGAGTCGATCGCCAAACCCAACTGTACTCTCGGATTTCAAACTCTCTCCTCCGTACCAACTCTTACTCATGCATGCACGGGGAATAACGTTGTTATTCTGACAGAGAACCTAACCAGATATGAGCGGAATAACGTCGTATACAAGAAATTTTCATGGGGTTCTGAAAAGCTCTCGGGGAAAAAGCACTAGAGGCGCAATGCATGCATTCGGGTCTTCCTTGGCTGACCGCAGGCATTGTGGCAATAAGAAGATTTCGAAGGGACAGAAAATAATGCGGTTCTATGCAAGATTCTTAACCGTGACGATCAATCTCAGAAAAAAACCTTCACTCGCCTGAAATGGGCCATGTCACCCAGGTCGAAATCCGTGGCCCTTGTGTACTATAAATGGCTATGTGATTGCTAATCCTCCAGAGTAGGTAGCGGTAGGGACGAAAATTAAAGTATTGAGGACGAGTGTTTGTCGTAAGACCAGGATCGGAGAAAAAAAAATAAAAAGCAATAATAATGTGGCACGGAACTAATATACGAAACCATTAGAAAAGAAAAAAATCTAAACTGATAAAATATCGAGAGTAAAAAAAGGAGCGAAAATGAAAAATAGATGAAGAATGAAAAATAATTAGAAAATAGCCACAGAAAACGCTTTGTAAACGTTCAAAGTCAATTCGAAGTCTCATGGAATTCAACCAAGACAGTGGTTTCTAGAACTGCCAGGCAATACACTGTTCCGACGTTTCATTACCGAAGCTGAGTATTCAACGAACAATAAAGAAAAAGAATACCGCAAACTTTAAGGGGATGCATGCACTAGGTGAAGTAAATTGCTGATCTAGCCACAGCAAATTTCCCTAAATGGTTCTTCAAGTTGGTTACTGTAGGATGTAACCACCACTGCACAATTGCCTAGTCACCCCCCACCGATCCGTAATGGCATTTGTTTACGCCAGCAAAAGCTCCAGTATTGCACCCTCATCGGTCCTTGAGTCAACGGCCCCGGAATGGACGCTCGGCGGACTTGAGGGACTGATAAGATGTCCACGCGAGGCGGTTAAAGTGCGAAGGTTTGTATTTTCATGCACTGAACTCCACATCATGTACTGATGCGACCAGTCCTGTGCGAGGTCAGGCAGTTAAAGCCCCAGCAAACAAAGAGCAGATCTACGGAAGAGCTTTCAAATGAGAATGAAAGCGGGACTCCAAACCAGGAAGACATTTGAACGCAACAAATTGTGACCAAGTATTAGATACGAGAAAAGTCAACACATAAAAGTAAATGGAACGTCCCAAATAAAAACTCTTCATCCTTCCACATTCTCACCAGCCGAACACCACAGCAATCTCGAAACGTTCTTCGGTAACCCTTCCAAGTAGTCTCTCTCTATTTTAAGCAAACTCCTCTCACTTCCAGTATATGCATCCCTGCAAAGATTGCGTCCATGTGCCCTTGTCCCTAAGATGCTATTCGGTCACTTGCAGGAGAGAAGGGAAAGGCTGACTGAAATCCTGTGAGGGAAAAAGATCGGGCAAGAAAAAGTTTCGCTCGGTAGGCTTTTCCGCGGTTTGGTTTTCCGCCTCTTAGAGAAGAGGTTTCCATCAACTTTTCCTATCACCAATTATTTTCTTTCTCATCTCTTTGCTCACTCTTAAGTTCGCAACGTTCTGGGATATGCGCATGGTCGATCATGTACCCATGAAAAAAAAGAAATGAACAAACCTCTCAAATAGTTCAATGCACAGGGCCCCGCACCTGCATCCAGTCCGGTTTGAATGCTAGAGGAACCATGTCACTTCAACTCTAAACCGTCCTTCCATCTTTATATAGCGGTTCTTCCGTCGTAAACACCTGAACGGCCCTGAATTTTTTTCGTTTCATCCATCCTTATCCTAACGCTTGATACCCTCCCGTTACCTTCCAACTGCTTCAAAGAGCTGCCTCCACTGCGTGTTCCTCCCAAACCCCCAAATTCATCCATCTGTGTCGGCCTCCCATAACTAGGAAAGGTAGCCTTCACCACCATGATGCCGCCAAATCGAAACTTCCAGCCGGCGAGCTCATCTCCGTTGGCGATGGCACTCAAGCCACTGGCGCCGCAAAAGGCCCCTGAAGGCGTCGCTCTGCTCGAGCCGGTGCCACTGTCGCCATCGCCTGTCCTGGAAGAATCTGACGAGTTTTCCATCAACTATAACGAGGCTCCTGTCGACGAGGACGACTATGACGAGCTACATGGCTCCAAGGCTGTCCCATCAACTCTCTTGAATAAGCTTGCAACATTTCCATTGTTTAAAGACGCCCCCAAGTCCTTCCATGCGAAGGTAGCTGCCAAGTTGAAACTCGTCCAATACCATCCACAAGAATACATCATCAAAGAAGGAGACTCGGCTCTATCCATGTACTGGATCCTAAAGGGAACGGTAAGCGTCACCTCCACTGATGGCGAATCCGTTTATGCCGAGTTAGCTCCAGGTGCATTCTTCGGAGAAATCGGCATTCTATTCAACAGACCTAGAACAGCCACCGTAGTGGCTCGCCTGCGTGTGTTGGTGGGCGTGCTTACCGCAGATGCCCTTAACATCGTGCTTCGTCTGTATCCGCTCATAGAGCGTAGAATTCGAGATGAAGCCCAGGAAAGATTGGCCATGCAAGAAAAGAAAAATAGGGCCGAAATCCCAATCTTGAAGCCAAGCAAGTCGCCGGTACCCAGCATGCAACCACTCCTCCACGCCCTGCGTGCTCCATTAACGCCTACGTCTCAAGTTCCGCTGCCTTTATCTCAATTAGTGCATGCTTCCCAAAAATCCAGCACTCTGGCTGTGCTGATGACCCTGGCAGACAACGTGGACCAGACTGTGTCCATCCAGGAATTTATCAAGTCTGTTCCCATGTTCAGCAACCTCCCCTCGCATATTATCCATAGACTAGCATTGGGTGTCGAGCCAATTAACTACAAACCCTTTGAGTATATTTTCCATAAGGGCGATATCGGCACTGGTATTTATTTCGTCACCCACGGCGAGGTTGAGGTTGTGGACTACTCAGGTCCTACAAATAATATTGAAAAGGTATTGGCTCGTCTCAAATGTGGCTCTTATTTTGGTGAAATGTCTTTCTTGGACAGCATCAATGGAAAGTCCATGGAGAGAAGTGCAAGTATCCGTTCTGTGACCTCCGTCGAGCTAATCGTGATCCACAATGACCAGCTTGAAACTGTCTGTCTCCAATACCCAAACGTGGCCGATGAGATTCTTCGAACGGCCAATGAAAGAAAGAATTCGAACCAGTCCGCTCAACGATCTGAGCCTTCTCATTTCCCACTCAATTACTCCATGCATGGCTTAGAACCCAGAAATATTCCATCCCCCTCCCGTTCGCCGTTGCTGGCCACTGAACAGGCCGAATCGACCATTTCAGATAAGCCCCAACCAATGCCAGTCATTGCTCCACAGCCTGTTTTGTTCAATCCAAAATGGTCCTTCGGTGGCTTTGACTCGCTGTCCCAAGTCAGAGAAAGGAATACAAGTCCGTCTTCCATCACCTCCTCGAAGGAAAGCGATCTTCTCTCCAGCAACACTTCAATAACTTCTAGGGGTGATGATTTCAACAGCAACTACCGCAAGAGAAAGTCCATGTGTGCTTCTCCATCTCCAGTTCTCCCAACGGGCCCGTTGGACTTTTCTGTGCCACCCATGAATAGTATTGTCCCACTTAATGTTTTCCAGCCTCCTCTTTCCAAGTCTCAGTCGTTTCAGTACATGCCTCACAACAAGAGAATTAAACTAGCAGCATTGGCAGGAAGAAGACGTTCATCGGTGTTGATCAGTACTGGATCGATTCCTGATAAGATTCTCTTGAAAGTCTTTGAATACCTTTCACTTCCGGAGCTTATGAAGCTTAGAATCGTGAGCAGACGTTGGAGACAATTGTTGTACATTGCTCCAAATCTTTTCCAGACTCTAGACTTAACTCCGTGGAATACTAGTGTTAATGATGCTGCTCTCATTTCTATTACCGACCTTGTGGGGTCGAGGCCGCAATATATTGACATTTCGAACTGTTTCCACATTACTGATGAAGGTTTCAGTTACATGGTCAACGAGATTGGTATGTCTGGAAACATCAAGACTTTGAAGATGAAATCCATTTGGGAATTGAGTGCCATGGCAATCATGGACTTGACTTCTCCTTCTGTTGGAAAACATCTCGAGGAAGTGGACCTTTCCAACTGCCGCAAAGTTAAAGATAATGTTGTTGAGCGGCTTATTGGATGGACTAACGAGGGACTGCAAAATGGATTCCAGCTCTCCAACACAGATCCCACTTACCACAATGTCACAGGTTCTAAGAACTTAAAGATCTTGAATTTGGGTTACTGCAAACATTTAACAGATAATGTGATGTATCACATTTCTTTACACGCCAACGAGAGATTGGAAAGTTTAGACTTGACTCGTTGCACTACAATCACAGACACTGGTTTCCAGTATTGGACGTACAGAAATTTTCCCAACTTGAAGAAGTTGTCATTAAAAGACTGCACTTTCTTGTCAGATAAGGCCATCATTTCGCTTGCAAATGCTGCACCCAACTTGGAGATTCTCGATTTGAATTTCTGTTGCGCTCTCCTGGACATTGCTATTGAGGTTTTGTGTTTAGGATGTCAGAAATTGCGTGAATTGGATTTGTCATTCTGTGGCTCTGCTGTTAGTGACTCGTCATTAGTGGCCATTTCGTTGCACATGATCAACTTGGAAAAGTTGGTTGTAAAAGGATGTGTGCGTGTTACAAGAGCAGGTGTTGATGCACTATTAAGTGGGTACTCTCCTTTGAACTACATCAACATCAGCCAGTGTCGCAACGCACACATGTACCCGGGAAATATTCCAGCTCAAAAGTTTCAAATCAATCCAGCTACAAAATCTGCATTCATTTCAGCTGGGCCGACACAAAAGATCATTGAGATTGTACTTTAGTGTACAGTTTTGGCCAAGAAATACTCTACCAGTGAAGTTAGAACTTCACTTTTCGTTCGCTTGTTTATTTCTTGTCATCTTTTTTTTTATTTTTTTTTTAATTTTGGCGTTTTACTAGGTTGGAATCAAAAAGGTTATTTTGTATTTTTGTAGTCTATTTTCTCCTCTTGCCCTTGCTTTTATCTTCAAAATCAATGTAAGCAACAGGTATTCCTTTCTTCTTCAAATAGTCTATAATGGTTGGTCCATGTGGTCCTTGCACCATAACTTCAGTTATAGCAGGATTGTGGACACTTTGACTCACCGAAGTCGAACCAGAGCACAAGTTTTTCAAATCTTCAGCAAGACTATTTGGTCTGAGATGAAACTTCTCGAAGTTCAGCACACTGGTGGTTTTCTTTCTTCCCAATACAGTTTGAGTCAAGATCTTAATTTTAGGAGGATCTCCCCTGTGAACTGTAACTGAGGAAGAGAGTTCTTCCTTTGGCTTCAACACAGCAAAGTTTGGCGAAAAGTTTCCAATGAAAGCGGTCAATAATTTATCTCTGGGTACCGAATCATTATTTCCTCCTGTTATTGACAACAAAGTCGCGTCGAGGGCAATATTTTTGGGGTTGGACTTGTCAACTAGCTGCTGAACCTTGATATACTCATTCAATATATCCTTAAGCTCTGCTTTAGTATACAATGCATTGTAATTCTTATCGAGCTTGTTGAACACCATGCGGGCCTTGTTGGTTGGCTTGTAGAGACTAACCACATTCATTTTGTGGTCAAGTTCCTTCTTGCTTGGAGTTGAGCCGGAACCTTTACCGTCCTCCATTGTCTTGTGAGGAACAAAGTTAGCGACAATTTCTGGAGATATGTTAATAGCCACTACACTAATGTCATCTCCCTTTCCTTTCAATGTGAGGTACTTGAACTTTTCCAAAGACTTCAAGAACTTGGCGCTTTTCTTCCAGGAGGTCTTCTTTATGTTGCAGAACTTGGGTTCTGTTTTTGGAAAATTCTTTAGAATATACTCCATGAACTTGGACGCAGTCATGGGTAGCTCTAACTTGGAGTTCTTAACCGTTTGAATGAACGATCTGATAAAGAGGTTATCGGTGTCTTCTACAGAGAGCTCCGACACAGTCTCCGCTAGGTCATCAGACAACAGATGAGTGGGCTCTTGTGCTTCTTCCGTTAAATGGTAGTCTTCTTCTGCGTTTGGTACAGATGACGATTTTCCAGTCTCCTCTAACTCCTCTGTCTGCTCTGTTTTCTGTGTTTCATCACTTTCAGCAGCTGTGGGTTGTTGAGCATTGACCTCCTCGGGTATTTCAAACTCTCCATCATACAACTTGAAGAGCTCGTCGTCAAATGAGTGGATCATGGTGACTGCAGTGCCTTGTCTTCCCACCACATCAGTAAATTGAGTCAAGTTGAGAGAACAATGACCAATAGCCATGATCACCGTAGGTTTCTGGTAGTTGGCCACACCAACCAATTTACCTCTAGTCATTCTTGGATCAAATGGAGGAATGCATCCTGGCAACATCAAATTGGCATGGTTGGAAAGTCTGTCAATCACATGTGAGTTGGTCAAGACGATTGGAAGCAAATACGCAGCTTTCCACAAAGTGAAGAGCGTAGGGTATGCAGCATGGTCTCGAGGCTTGAACCAGACGGGGCGTTCATTGGAATCAAAATAAATTGTGCCTTTATGGCCTTGGATACTTTGATACGATGCCTGTTTGATGGGAGACGGCACTAATGCAAGTTCGTCATCTTTGGACAAATTATCCTTGTTGATGCCGTACTCCTTGCATATTTCAGTTAAAAGATGTCGCCTTTCAGACGACTTTATGTTTGCTGAACCCTTTGGTTGTGGAGGTTTCTTAAACATGTGGTATTTGAGTGGATACAGTATACAGAATGAGAGAAGAGTTGCTTTGGGGCCAAGAACTGATAGAAGCCAATTAATGGATGTGAGATGTCAGTGAAGTTTACAAATGCAGATTCGCTTTAATATCTTTACGGTTGAATAGTTTTATGTATGGCTGTTTTCTCAATATTCTTATTCTTCAGTATTTGTCAATTATTTTGGTGCTTCATTGAATCTCAAAACTGGACTGCTTTTGTCTATATGCGGGCTCCCATGCCAATAATCATAAACTTCAGAACAGTTCCACCAAATGAGTTCATCAAAAAAATTAAGTAAAACAAAGTATAACAGTTTTCTGCTCAATTACCGAATTCTCTTATACTTTTTATTATAGTTTATACAATTAAATCCCGGATTCAACCACGATGGCCCTCCCCATACTTTGTATAGGTGGCATATTATATCGCGACCTATAATCATCTTTACTACTCCATGAAGACCCAAGAATCGGCCACAAGTGCCACCGTCAGGCGCTCCATCATATACTTGATGTGTGCATTCATCGTCTCATGTGGTCTTCCCATGTTCTTGTATACGACCCTGATTTACCGGGCCGAATTGCCAGCAGACGAGGTGAACTCCAGACTCATGGACTTCAGAGATGCTATCTCGTTCGAGGTGCCTGTTTACGTAGATATACCGACAGCAGACGACGAGTCGCTTTTGGCTTGTGAGAAAGCGGCCAAATCGCTCATTGAACATGACTACGCCTTGAAGAACACTTGGAAATTACTGTTGAAAAAGGCTGAATCCCACACGATCAACCCAAACGAACACTACGTGGTCGTTTTGAAATCTGGCGACAACGACGATTTCGAGGTGTCTTCTACATCCAAACTAATCACCTTGATCTCGCCACGCACAGATTTCTCTCTGATGACATACCTTTTGGCCGGAGCATTGGTCAAGGGTGTGTTTTCGGAAGAACTTGGAGTAATGGAGTCTATTTTCTACGGAATCAAAGACCTTGATCTTGTAATGCCATATTCGAGCACATACAACGTTGTTTTCAATCTTTTCGTCGAGAACGGTAAGCCTGTGAATTGGGAGATCGAGAAGGCTCTCATGAAGATCCAGCCAGTATTTGATTCGCTCCAACACTACAGCAACTTTAAGATCAGTACCCAGGTACAATACTACTCGAAGTTGAGAACGGAACCCGTGTTTGATGAGCTGAGAAATGTCAACATCATAAAAAAGAATGACTTGTCGACTTTCATCAACTTTGGTGACTGGAACTTGAACAACAACGACATACACCCATCCATCAACTTTCTCATATACTTCTCAGAGAGCAATTACAAGAAGGTGCCTTTGGAGATCGAGGATTCGACCACGAACTCCTTCTTGATTCCGCAATGGGGAGGTGTGCAAATATTCAACAAGAAGATGCCTATTTTGGATGGCTCTGTTGTGACCATCTCTGAATTGGAATTGGAAAATGTCCTAGCTACGTTTGCATCGCAATTATTCGACTTGTTAGGAGTTCCCAAAACCCCAAAGTCGCCTTCCATCAGAATTGATAGCTTGCACAGAGTAAGAACTCTCAAGAATTTGAAGACTACTTTGGACAACTTGGCTTCGTTGATTAAACTAACTGACTCACTCAATGAGATTTCTATTCCTGAGTCCACAAAGGCCCATTTCATGGAGTCTGTGTCTCTTTACGATCAAGCTTTGGAAGCAATCAAGAAGTCTGATTTCTCTAGCGCAATTGAGTATTCCTCGGAAAGTTTGACTAGCTCAAACAAGGCTTTCTTTGAAAAAGAAATGGTCCAGCAGGCATACTTTCCAAGCGAACACAAGCTTGCTGTGTTCCTGCCCTTGTTGGGCCCGCTCTGTACAATTACAATTCTTGGTCTCATCAAGTCTTTGAAAGACAAGAAGAGCAAACAAAATGAGAAGAAGGATGTCGAGCTGAAGAAGGATATCTAAAATAATGAAATCTTCATGATTTATACATTGTTCTAATTGTAGGCGAATGAATCGCTGCGTAGAATAAGGTTCCTCTCCTTCAATGCATCGAGATATTCCTTCCATAATGGATCGGCCTTGCTCAAACATTCCACGTCTCCGATGAGTATTAAGCCGTACTTGGCTCTTGTTAAGGCAACGTTCATTCTACGAGCATCGTTCAAGAATCCAATCTTGTTGTTTGGGTTGGACCTCACACATGACATCACTAAGAAGTCCTTTTCTCTACCTTGGAATGCATCGATGGAAGCGATCATAATGTCGGAGACAGTATGAATTGTAATAGGCTTTGATTCGTTAAAGAAATCATCACGATCGATTTCAACATGAACTTCCAACTTTTCTGGATTAATGAGCTCGTTCTTTACAAGGGTCGAAGAAATCTTATCTCTTTGCCCTCTGTATGGAGTGATGACACCAATATCTGCTTTCTTGACAGATTTCTCAAAAATGAGATTTGTAAGGACTTTCTCAATATACTTGATTTCTCCAGCATTTGCATATGTCAAGCCAGAATCCTCCCTGAATCTTGAATGAACATGCATCTCTGGTGATTTGCCACATGTATCCCAAAAGACAACAGGATTTGGTGGAATTCCTTCTCTTTGTCTGTTCTCAGCAGTAATACCATCTTTTAATAGACCATCGTAAAATTTGTTTCGTGGAAATTCACTGATGGCGGGATGCATTCGGTATTGTGTATCAAGCATATGAGGAGTCTGATAAGAACCGTTCAAAAGAATTCTTTCAAATAAAGACAATGAAAGATTAGGTACCTGACTGAAACTACTCAACTGCTTTTGGTCTCCGACGAAAACAAACTTTTCCACACCTGGGACGGAAAGCGGAATCAACGTCGTTGGTTCTGAAGATTGTGTGGCTTCATCCATAATCACCACTGGAATTTTTGGAACAGACTTCAACTGATTTCCTCCGGCAACAACTGTCGTGGTAAAGATGACTCGAGCCAGAGCAATGAGCTTGTCTGAGTAATCGATTTGGGCAGAAAGGACCTTTTTATACAGAGTCTGACTAATCTTGGACCCAGGTCTCTTCATTTCTTTGATGAGGTCTTGAATTTGAGCAGGAAGTCCATCATATACCTTGTGGTGCAAGCAAATAGATGCCAATGGATGATCTCTAGAATATTCAGGTTCCTTCTCGTTGGAGACAATTCTCAAGATGGATCTACCATGTTTTTCCAACAATTTCTCGGCAATGTTGTCGATAGCGATATTAGAGGCCGCAACAACTAGAATTGGGAAAGTGTTCAAGTTGTCGAGTAGTTGCAATATGATCTCGTAGATGGTGGATGTCTTACCGGTACCTGGAGGACCTTGCAAAACAGTAATGGAATTATTCAACACTGATTGCATGGCCACTTTTTGCGAGTCATTGAACGTATCTTTGGTAAACTTCAAGTAATTCTTGAAGAAAATCTGTCTGATAGGCTTCTTTCCTAAGATCATGTCAATGAATTTCGGGTTCAGAATTCTGGACATTGCGAGGAATACTCGACTGACGGGAACCGAGACAGGCAAAACACGAAGAAGGTTCACGTTCACAGACAAAGGCAAAGGTTGCTTGTTCCACTTGTACAACTCCACGATGATTTCAAGCATCTTGGGTCCTTCGTATTTTGGGGGTCTTCTGCCCTTTTTGAACTTAGGAGGCTTTGCACTCTTCGGAATCCTTGACTCTGCAAGAACAATGTTGCCGTACCAAGGAATGTCCTCACCGAGGACTAACATCAATGACTGTCCCACATTGAACGGAGTTTTCTTCAAGTTCTGCATCTTTCTCGACACGTATCTATCCAAGATCTCCAGAGTCATCAACACATTGATCTTGAACTGCTTGTGTTTCCTGTCTTGATCTGCATACCACTCAAGATCAAACTCACCCGGTACAAGCATGGAGTTGTTACTCATGTACATACTAGATTTCTCCTCCAAGAAGAGGTTGTAGCACATCTCGTTGAAGTATTGGTCCATGCTATCGTATGTGAGCGGAGGCGATTTTGCTGGCTCATACTTGGTGATCCCTGGAGGCAAGGTGATGGCAGGGATAGGCTGAAGTTCAGCTAGAGATTTGGATCCATTTAAATTAGTTTGTGGATCCTTTGCTAGCTTCTCTTTAGTAATAGTATCCATAGAACGACTGTCTTGTCTACCAGGACTTTTTTTACCATCCGAATTGCCACGAGCTTCTGATTTCAAGGTAGCATTATTAGTTCCTGCTACTTTGATGTCCTTCTTCTTTGGTTTGTCTGGCTTCTTGGAATCCTTAGTTTTCGGCGAGTCTTCACGAGGATTTCTGCTCTTCTTTGAAGTCTTTCCATCAGTTTCAATGCTTGATAGCTTTGAACTTTGAACTTTCTGCTGAGGCTTCTCAACAGGGGTCTTATCTTTGCTGGTTTTCTGACTCTCGGGCTTCTTAGCGGAATTTCCAGATCTAGCATTTCGATCATCACCTGACTTTGGTGAAGAACTCTTGGAATCAGTAGCAATGGCGGTCTTAATAGTCGACTTGATATCCTTCTTAGTGTTAGACTTTCTGGCTTCAAGCTTCTTTTCCTTTCTGGCATCGGTTTTCTTCACACCTTGTGCTTCAGATTTCTTCACATCTTGCTTCTTAACCTCCGGCTTCTTTCCTTCCAGTTTTGTTGCCTCCAGCTTCTTCTCCTGTTTGCCAGCAAAAGATCTCTTCACAGGAACTGGGGTAACAGACCTCGAAATTGCCGGACTAGGGCCTCCCGAACCCACAGCCTTAATTGTCTTTCCAGACTTCAATGCTGCTTCGGTGGCCTTCTTGTTCTCGTAGTGTGCCTTCCGTTGCTCTGCATTGGGATCAACTTTCTTTGGTCTTGCCAGACGACCTCCTTTGCGGCCAATCTTCCTTTGTCTACCTCTATTCTTATTTCCACCCTTTGGAACATACTCTTTGATGCCTAAAAGTGCAGATAAGAAGTCATCACTTTCTTCACTTGTACATTCATAGTTTTTGAAATCAGCCTCATGTTCTTTCAAACATGCTCTGCACACGATTTTTTGGCCTGTTTTATTATTGGCAACCCATAAAGTGGAGGCCTTGTGGCATGTCTCACATTCGATGTCTCTAAACTTGAAGTACTGAGGGAGTTTCTGGAACAATGAGCCATTCGAGAGTGAGTACTCCGCCAGCAGCTCCCCTGGCTGTTTCAGAAGACATTCCAGACATAGAAGTGCCATGTCGGAGTATCCATAACGGACCATTTTGAGGATGTTGATGTTGGAGTCTTCACATTCTTCACATTCGATCTGTTCGACCAATGGGTTGTAGACGATGGTTTTATGTCTTGTTTGAGAGATATGTTTACCCAAGTCATCCAGCTGCTCGGAACATGTCTGGCACGAGTAGGTCAACATGGTGGTGTAGAATGTGCAGAGCAAGCGATGGAGGTGAGAAATTGAGTGGGACTGTGAGATATGAGATAGTGCGGACTAGGAGAAATATGAGAAGTATGAAAATTAAAGGAAAAACATGAGGGAATGGAATGAAGAGGGGATCAGAATAGAGGCAAAAAGACAAATAAAAGAAGAGAAGGGACAGAATTAGACTATCATTGTTGGTAAGAAATAACAAGTTGAAGTTATAAGTGAATGTGCGACATGATTTCCAGGTACCAAAAAGTGACGTATTCCATTTTATACTTGTCCGACAGCATATTACCAAAACCCAAATCGAAACTCACGTAAATAACAGAACGTCTGAGCATTTAAAATATAAATAAAGACAAATAAAAATGAAAAGAAAACAAGAAATAGGCTTCGAAAAAAGAAACCTCTTAAAACTAGGATATCACATCCGTAACTGTCCATTCCATTCCCAGCCACCCTCCACGTATCCATTCCAATGAAAGGCGCACGCTTTAATAATAAGCCCCGGGACCAAATGAAATTCCACCATCTTCACCACCGGCACCAACTGCCATATACCAACAAATTAGTGTCTGTCCCCACCAGAATGCATCCAAAATTCCATCAAAACCAATTTGAAATAATTGAAGCTAATAACCCTCCCTACTTTAGTCCCCAATTTCAACACTATTTTAGGAAAATTAAGTGCCGTTCCTTCATAGATCGGGGATCCAGTTGGTCGCCCTGGCACAACGCGTTGTCTTGTGCCTGACGAAAAAGCCTTTTGGGATATCTAAACTAATCATTGACGTTTTTTTTCTTCCTTCACACCGACGTGCTGTAAAAACCACAAACATCTGAGATTCAACTCTGCTGCCCAAAACTCCTAAGGCACTCATTCAGTTTTACACAACGTCTGCTCTTTCAGGTGGTCTGATTTGCTCTTAAAGAGCTCTTTTACCTTCTGCTACATTCACTCACTTCACAATGGTCAATGCCCACTACAGCACTTCGTCCAGCGTCTACTCGCCAATAGAGAGCGAGTATAAATTCCATGTACCCACGGCCAGCCATGCCATCATCGAGGAAACTGATGAGGACGAGGAGGAATTAGCGTCGGATTACTCCGCCAGCATTCACTCCGCCAGCATCCATTCATCTGTCCAGAATCTCCGGCGAAAATCTTCTCTGGAGCTTTTCGGCTCAGAATATATTCAGTCAGATGCCAGCATCCATTCGTCGACGCGAATGCCCGAGCTTTCAAACCAGACATTCAATACATACGTCACCGCAAATGGTTCAAGTCCAAGCTTCACCTCCATCAACAACTCGCTTCTAAAAACGCAGTCTTCCGAGCTGTCGCATTACGGTACGTACTCTGGCGAGGTAGACAACGATGAGACCCCACGAATCGATTCCTCTGGCAGGTACTTCAACGATGTCGTGGACAAGACACCATTGATCGGCAGCTTTCCTCTCGAGGACACTCCCTTAATCTCTTCAACTGGGTATAGAGAAGATGCGCTCGAACCTCTGGGCATGGAGCCTGAAGAACCTCTCATGCTGCATCTGAAGTCATCTGCATCGGATTTGGCACTGAAGTTTCAGAGACTCTCCGTGACATTACAACACTCCGGCCTGAACATCTCGCAGCAGTCCTATAACTTTCAGACTAACTTCCAGCTGAACGTACAGAGAGCAAATTCTGTCAAAGCTCCACTGGCTTCCAGAACCAGCGTATATTATAAGAAAATTCACTCAAAGCCCTCTGACGACGACAGCAACAGTCATACTCCACTGGGCGCTCACTCTGGAACTCCGGGAGACTCTCACTCTGTTTTGAGTGGTGCTAGTTCTGATAATACTCGCCGAAGAAGCCAACAGAGCTTTTCTGGTGGTGGAGCCAGCGACGAAACAGCCGTTCACCATGGTTTGCATGGGCGTAATGATCTGTTCAGAAAGTCTGTTTCCAGACCGCAATCCATGGATGGTGGTTTGAATATATCCTTCCACAATACTTCTGAGCAGACTGCTAATAATACCACAGAGGACCTTACTGCCAACATGGCAACCTCCAACTCTACTGACATCTCCTCAAGATATTCAACGGCCCTCAGCACAGAATCAACCAGGGAGGACATGTCTGTTCTATTCATCCGTGCACTTCACTCTTTTGATTCTACCGAGTCTCAACTAGAGTCTGACAGCTCGGTATGTTTGTCTTTCGAAAAGGGTGAAATTGCATTTGTTCATACCATAGATGACTCAGGCTGGGGTGAAGTCACCTTAGTCGACTCTTTAGACAGAGGATGGATTCCCATGAACTATTTCGCTTTGGCTGTCACGACTGCGGCTAGTAGTTCCGATGAAGAGAACATGCTGTCCTTACACTACTCTCGCTACTTGTGTCCACTTTTACATGCTTGCGGAAAGTTTCTTTCGAACCCATTATCGCATTCGTCTCGAAACGGAACTATGACATTTTCTATTCGTACTGTCAATGCTGTTCGTGATGGAGTGCGTGTGTTGCTTCAAGAAACCGATTGTTTATCAAGATCTAATGAGATTGTCATCAAGAAACCAGTGGTGAGGAAGGCACGGAAGTCTTTACTTTCAGATTGGTACACCTTAATGGTTCGTGCAAATGAATATAAGGGCACATCCAATTTTGAAAAAATTGAGATCTTGCAATTGTTGATACTTCAGGTGATCAGAAGGGCTACAACTTTTTTCGAGGTATGGGCCGCAGAAAGTAGCGAAATCATTAAAAGAGAAACAGAAATGAAATTGCAGAACGACATGAATTCATATCCTCTTTTACCCGCTCCTCCGTTAGCAAAGCTGAGAGTCACAGAAATCAATGGCACTCTTTATTCATATTTATCATTGATTATTGGTCGATTAGACTTGATTGAACACAACCCTACTGGTTGTGACTTGCTCGAGACTATTACCCACCATATTATCCTACTTTTGCGAGAGCTTTTGTTTGTTTCCAAAACAGGGTCGGACTATTCTTTGGAGAAACCAGCTGATTTAGATGGCTCTTTGGATGCACTTTTATCCCTCGTGAGCGAATTGGTTACTGTCGTCAAGAGTTTGGTTATTTCTACCGTGAGCGAAGGGGATAGATCAATTAATAAGAGAGGAGCTCAAGACACTGGCGTATACACATACACCGAGGAAGGCCAAAATCTCATTGTTGTAGCCTCGAAGATGATCAAGGCAACTGGAAGTACCGTTGCGTCGATTCGAAAACTCTTTGAGTCTATTGGTGATTTCAGATTGAGCTCTGAAAGATCTTATCCTGACTACACCGAAATGAGAATCGAGCCAGAAGTGTTTATCCTGAAGTGCTCCGTTGGCATGGTGAAATCTCATTCATTGAAGAACCACGATTTAAGAACCATGAAGCTGAACAACCCCAAAAAGTCCAATAGATACTCCATGTTCAGATCGGGAAAGGCCGGTGATCTTGGAATCACTCCAAATGGTGTTAACTATATGCATAAGGTGATGATTGTGGATTCGGGAGAAGATTCAGTTCCATTTAGTCTGGAATTCAAGGATTACATGAGCAATCCAGAAGATAAAGTGGAAAATGAGACATATACGATCAGGGATGAACTATTGATTGATGCCACGGGTAACTTCTTGGGTGCTTCGTTTAAGGGCTTGGTTTATACTTTGACCAACGAAAGCTCCCCACCAGAATACTTCTTTGTTTCCACATTTTTCATCTGTTTCAGAAATTTCGGATCTGGCATTGATCTAGCGGAATTGTTGATTGACCGTTTTGATTCGGCCAATTTGAAAACAAAAATAACAGACAAGCCGGACCCCCAACTGGATATGAAGCTCAAGAGTAGAAGAAGATTGGTGTGCAAGATGTTCCAAATCTGGATGGAATCTTATTGGGTACATGAAGCGGATATTTCCCTTCTTTCTACACTCGTTAATTTCTACAATGAAGGTGTCTACAAGCACTTGCCGATCGAGGCAATGAAGTTAATTGAAATTGCCGCCAGGCTCTTGACCAGTGATTTGAACAATGGTAAGGAACAGCTTGTTGTTAGAAATATCACGCTTGCTAAAATCCAGAGAAAGAATTCGTTCTTGAGCAAAAGGTCTTCTGATGCGTCGTTGAGTTCACGGTACTCAATGGTCGATGGGTACGAGCTTTCCAAGATCAACACCAACAGTTCCGTAACCAGCTCATTGAAATCAATTACATTACCCATGCCTCTTGGAATCAGTGGGCTGACTTCATCAAGTTCTTTGTTGACCAAGGGCCAAGTTTCAACCATTGAGAATGTTGTGGTGACATACAGAGCAATTTTAAACGAGAATTGGTGTCCTCAGGCTTATGTTGACACTAAAACGTTTATTTCTATGGGCTTGCAGCAGATTTTGCCAAGGTGGTTTGTTCTCTGTGAACAAAGTTGGGTGTTATCGAACTATAGAACAAACTTGTTAGATTTCAATGGATTGGAGCTCGCTAGACAACTCACACTCATTGAATCAGAAATCTTTTGTGCCATTAAACCAGACGAGCTCTTGAACGGGAACTTTACATCCAAGAAAGCGCATTTGAAGGTTGCACCCAACGTGAGACTTTCTTTGTTGTTTACCAATTGTTTATCTGATTATGTTTTGGAATCTGTGTTACAACCAGATATCAATCAGAAACTCAGAGTTAATATTGTCAAAACCTGGTTAAAGGTTGCGATCTCATGTCTTTATTTAAGAAACTTCAACTCATTGGCTGCCATCATTACTTCTTTGCAATCGCACTTGGTCACCAGATTGAGTAGGGTGTGGAGTGATCTTTCCGAGAAGTATACAGAGCTTTATGACTATTTGAGCAGTGTTGTACATCCTGAGAAGAATTACAGTGTTTATCGAGCTAAATTGAAGAGCTTTCTTTTGTCCAATGATTACAACATTCCGGTTGTTCCATACTTCTCCTTGTTTCTTCAGGATTTGACATTCATTACAGATGGAAATCCAAATTTCAGAAAGGCTAACACTTTTTTGAACCAGAAGTTGATTAATATTGACAAGTATCTCAAGATCACTAGAATCATTGCTGACATTGAGAGTTTGCAAATTCCGTACACTTCTCCTTCAGGAAAGCGAAGAAACAGTACAATTTTCAACAAGGGCAATGGGTCGGCGTTAAATGAGGAATACTCCATTGCACCCGTCGCTTGCTTGCAAGAATTGATTTTATTGGAGTTATGGAAGATTTCTGAATTGAACAGGAAGGAGGAGGATAGAGCATGGAAATTGAGCTGTCACATTCAGCCTAGAGACACTCCTCGAGTTAATTCTTATCAGGAGGACTAGAGGTAACCAAGGTTACGAAATGAATGGAAGAGAATGGGAGTGATGTTTTTCTATAGATAAGGAACAAAGGAAGCTCCTCCAAGTTTGAGACAGTAGAAAATCAAAAGAAAAAAACTCATACAAAAATGTTCGAAAAGAAACCTTGACAAAATGGAAAACTCTTCAAGTGTTTAAACTTATGAAACCCCATTGCTGCTAATTCACTAAAAAGCATAGCCATTCTAAAATCTCAAATTCGGATTCTCAGCACTGTACATTATTCCTTCCAAAGCTTGACTCAATCTACACATACGTCAAGTCACGTGCGATAACACGGCACCCCGACCTGAATGAGTCACATTATCTTACATGAAGATGCGCACTGGACATAATCACCTCTCTCCAACAATCTATTGGACGATGTGTAGGATCATACGTGCATATACAAGAATGAAAAATTTCCTACCCTGTTGTTTTCTCCACATTTGTGCAACTTATAAACCATTTCATTGTAAATGTTGGCTGCTAGAATGCGTTTGAGAGCCTCGCGGCCCGTCGGAATGCTCCGGACGTTGGCTACACTGAATGATATCAGTTCGTCTTTCAATATTCCCCAGGATTATATCTCGAGAACTCCACCATATGCCAAATTGATTCAGAACTTGCAGACGGTCAAGAAGCTTGTAAATGAATCTCCTTTGACCTTGGCCGAGAAGATCTTGTATTCACATTTGGTAGACCCAGAGGAGTCCTTGGCTAGTGCCAACGGTGACTTGTCCAACATTAGGGGCCTCGAGTACTTGAAGTTGCATCCAGATAGAGTGGCCATGCAAGATGCTTCTGCTCAGACTGCTTTGTTGCAATTCATGACCACTGGAATGTCCAGCACTGTTGTTCCAGCATCTATCCACTGTGATCACTTGATTGTGGGTAAGGACGGTGCTGATACCGATTTGCCAAGCTCTATCATCACCAATAAGGAAGTGTTTGACTTTTTGCAAAGTTGTGGTGAGAAGTATGGAATCCAGTTCTGGGGCCCAGGTTCTGGTATTATTCATCAGATTGTTTTGGAGAACTTCTCTGTTCCGGGTTTGATGATGCTTGGTACCGACTCTCACACTCCCAATGCAGGTGGTCTTGGTGCCATTGCCATCGGAGTTGGAGGTGCTGATGCCGTGGACGGTTTGACAGGTACTCCATGGGAGTTGAAGGCTCCAAAGATTATGGGTGTTAAGTTGACAGGCCAATTGAGTGGCTGGTCTTCGCCAAAGGATGTCATCACCCATTTGGCTGGTATTTTGACCGTCCGTGGTGGTACTGGCTACATCGTGGAGTACTTCGGTGATGGTGTTGAGACCTTGTCTTGTACCGGTATGGCCACCATCTGTAACATGGGTGCCGAAATTGGTGCTACCACTTCCACTTTCCCATACCAAGAAGCCCACCGCCGTTACTTGGTGCAAACCAACAGAGCTCCTATTGCTGATGCTGCTGATATTGCATTGAAGAAGTTCGACTTCTTAAAGGCTGATGAGGGGGCTGAGTATGATAAGGTTATTGAAATTGACTTGTCAACGTTAGAACCTCATGTTAACGGTCCGTTCACTCCAGATTTGTCTACTCCTATTTCCGCCTTTGGTTCTACCGCCAAGTCTGAGAGCTGGCCATCCACTGTTAGTGCTGGTTTGATTGGTTCTTGCACAAACTCTTCCTACCAAGACATGTCTCGTGCTGCATCTATCATCAGACAGGCTGAGGAGGCTGGATTGAAGCCAAAGATTCCTTTCTTTGTCACTCCAGGTTCTGAGCAGATCCGTGCCACCATCGAGAGAGACGGTTTGATTGATGTTTTTGAGAGAAATGGTGCTATTGTGTTGGCCAATGCTTGTGGTCCATGCATTGGTCAATGGGACAGATCTGACGTGCCAAAGACCTCTACTGATGCCAACGCCATCTTCACCTCTTTTAACAGAAACTTCAGAGCCAGAAACGATGGTAATAGAAACACTATGAACTTCTTAACTTCTCCTGACATTGTGACTGCCATGATCTATTCCGGTGACATGAACTACAACCCAGTGACAGACTCCATCAGCAAGGAGAACGGAGAGCAGTTTAAGTTTGATGCTCCTCGTGGTGAAGAATTACCCGGTGATGGATTCATCAAGGGCCGTTCTGAGTTCTATCCTGAGGCTAACCCACAGCCTAAGCCAGAGGTGACTATTAACGTGTCACCAGATTCCGACAGATTGCAGATCTTGGAGCCTTTTGCACCATGGTCTGGTGAAGAATTGTCCACCACCGTTTTGTTGAAGGTTGAAGGTAAATGTACCACTGATCACATTTCTGCTGCTGGTTCCTGGTTGAAGTATAAGGGTCATCTTGAAAACATCTCTTACAACACCTTGATTGGTGCCGTAAACAAGGAGACTGGTGAGGTCAACAAGGCTTATGACTTGAACGGTGATGGTTACACCATTCCAGAATTGATGTTTAAGTGGAAGAGTGATGGTCGTCCATGGATAGTTGTTGCTGAGCACAACTACGGTGAGGGATCTGCCAGAGAACATGCTGCCATGTCGCCAAGATTCACGGGCGGATCTATCATTTTGGTCAAATCCTTTGCCAGAATTCACGAGACTAACTTGAAGAAGCAGGGTATGTTGCCATTGACTTTCGCTGACGAGGCTGACTACGACAAAATCTCTGCTGGAGACCAAATGACTACTCTCGATTTGAGAGATTTGGTTGCCAAGGACGGAAATAATGGAGGTTTCTTGAAGATGAAGGTCACCAAGAGAGACGGAAGTGAGTTCGAGATTTTATGTAAGCACACCATGTCTAAGGACCAAATTGACTTCTTCAAGGCCGGATCTGCCATCAACTACATTGGTAACTTGAAGAAGCAACAGGAAGCAACAGCTGCAGGAACTGCTTAGCTCATTCCCAACCCAGTGTCATATTGATAAATAGCATAATAGATTAAAATGATTCTTTTATTGTCTGCTCTAGTGGGGAGCTATAAAACTGACTCTTGTGTATAACAATAGAGAGATTGTAAGAAAGTAGCAAAGAGAGCGTCTTGATGCGAGGAACTAAATGTTGGGGCAGAACTCTATGGAGAAGTAAAAGTCGATGAGGTAACCTCTCAAGCATCAATCAAGTCATGAGACTTGTCGGCGTCCTCTTCCTCCTCGTCGTCATCCTGATCACCAGCTCTGTCATAGAACTCGTTCAAAATTTTTGGACTAATTCTGTTCAACAACTCCTTAGGATAGATTCTCAACAAAGACCAGGCAAGGTCCAACGAGTCGAAGATACTTCTGTCCTCGTAAGCACCCTGGGCAATGAAGTTCTTCTCGAACTTCTCCAAGAATTCCAAGGACAACTTGTCTTCGTTGGACAAAGCCTCTTCACCGACGACGGACTTCATGGCAGCAGCATCCTTACCAATAGCATATTTGGCGTACAACTGGTTAGACACATCACCGTGATCCTTTCTGGTCATACCCTCACCGATAGCCGACTTCATCAAACGAGACAAAGATGGCAACACATTGATTGGTGGGTAGATACCTCTGTTGTCCAATTGACGGTCAACGAAGATCTGACCCTCGGTAATATAACCGGTCAAATCAGGGATAGGGTGAGTGATATCGTCGTTAGGCATGGTCAAGATAGGAATCTGGGTAATAGAACCGTTTCTGCCCTCGACTCTACCAGCTCTCTCGTAAATAGTGGACAAATCAGTGTACATGTAACCTGGGTAACCTCTTCTACCTGGCACTTCTTCTCTGGCAGCGGAAACCTCTCTCAAAGCATCAGCGTAAGAAGACATATCGGTCAAGATCGTCAAAACGTGTCTCTCGGTCTGGTAAGCCAAGTATTCTGCAGTAGTCAAAGCCAATCTTGGAGTAATGATTCTCTCAATAGTTGGATCGTTGGCCAAGTTCAAGAACAAGGAGGTTCTCTCCAAGGATCCGTTCTCCTCGAAGTCCTGCTTGAAGAATCTCGAAGTCTCCAAGTTGACACCCATAGCGGCAAACACAATAGAGAAATTCTCTTCGTGACCGTCGTGGACATCCTTGGTTGGACGGACCAAACCAGCTTGTCTACAAATCTGAGCAGCAATTTCGTTGTGAGGCAAACCGGAGGCGGAGAAAATAGGAATTTTCTGACCTCTAGCAATGGAGTTCATAGTGTCGATAGCTGACACACCGGTGGAGATCATTTCCTCGGGGTAAATACGGGCGTATGGGTTGATTGGGGAACCGTTAATGTCCAAGTAGTCTTCGGCAAAAATCTTGGGACCCTTGTCAATTGGACGACCAGAACCGTCGAAAACACGACCCAACATATCTTCAGAAACGGCAATCTTCAAGTTTTCACCGGTGAATTCCACACGGGTCTTCTTGATATCAATACCAGATGTACCTTCGAACACTTGAACAATGGCTTTGGAGCCTCTAACCTCCAACACCTGACCGGCTCTAACTGAGCCGTCGGGCAAGGTCAAGTTAACAATCTCATTGAAACGTGGGAACTTGACGTTGTCCAAAATGACTAATGGTCCATTGACGCCGCCAACAGTGTTGTAGTTGATTCTAGGCTTAATCTTGAAGCCCTCAGTGACGGCCTTCTTGTTCAACTCGAACAATTCCTTGTCTGACAACATGCTTGAGCGGGGTGATGCAGTCGTTGATAGATTGAGGGGTAAGTGTAACCAACGAGTAGAGAAAAACGCTCGGGAGCTGGTGAGGGTTATCGGTTTTTTGTCGATAATTAGATTGAGAGTCGAGATATTAGCGGCCTGAAATTTACGCGTGCCATGCACATCTTTACGCAGCACCCTTAGACCACCCTTAGACCGTAACCCGTGACAAATAAAAATGTGGGCAATGAGGTTGATAAATTCATTTAATAATTCCATTCTAGTACATTCTGCTGAGAACGTCCCAATCATCCAATTGATGGCGTGACTCCTCCAACATTGATAGCGTAGCCAATTTAAGAGCGTCGTCTCCCGCGCTTGTCAATGATTGCGCTCGGGATCCTCCGTTTCCTTGTGCAATTAGCTGGTGCACTGTAGTCATGATAGCTCTTGGGTTTAATTCCGTTTTTTTAATTGTAGAGTCGCCACTAGCTTCATTTCGGCTGAAACTTTCTGAACTTTTGCTTTCGCCATTGTCACTGTTTTCCAGGTACGTTTCGCTAACGAGACCATAGATGTTCTGATCCAACACCAGATGCTCAGGCACACTTGGCTCCACCTTCCGAGAGCGCTTGTTGCCAAATAAACTATCGTAGAAATCTCGTATTCTCGAAACCTTCGCTTTCGTGGCGGGAGGTGTTCGAGGCTGGTAAACCGAATGATCTTGATCAAAATACTCTTCTACCTCTTGAGTGAGTGCAGAGCGTGAGGTGCTGGTCAGAAGTGTTGGCCCTATCAGACTATTGGTTCGAGAAATTCTCTCACGCTCGAGGTTTCTTAGCTGCTCACTTTCCAAGTACTTAAAGTAAGGCTCCATGTCGGCAATACGTGCCAAAATGGCTTCGAAATCACATACCGAAGAGTCCTTCTCGGTATCATTGACCAGAATAACACTCGAAAGGAGCCCTCCGCTGAATCGGAGCTGATTGATAGTATTTGTGAGCGAATTTCCTGAAGATTGGCGACGAATCCTGTTTTCCGGAACTTTATCTAGAGTGTACTTCAAGAGAACTTGGAAGTTCAAGACAATCTTGACTATCACCAGTAGAAAACGCAAGTATTCTTTAGACAGAAGCCGAGTGAATGGCTTGGTGAGAATTTTGTGTGGCACAATCACAATTTGCTTTCCTTTCAAAAGAGATCGAGTGGTCTTGGTTTTGCTTTTGGGAGATGGAGATTGCAATGTCTCCTCATTGCTTTCAGAGGTCACCACTGTATCAAGTGAGAAGGACTCTTTTTCGGGGCTCTTTAGGGACACTCTGCGTTGAAGATTTACCGTCCGAAAGGAAATTGGAATGTGGATTACATTGTTCTTGATGACAATCTTATCACTTCCATCTTTGGCCAATTCCACCTGTCTATCTTGGGGATCCAATTCTGAAGCGGGGGTACTACTTCCGTTGGATTCGGGAGCAGTAAGTGTCTCTGGATCGTTGACTATGAAACTGAACTTCTTTTGCACAAGATCAAAGAAGTTGCTGTCTGGAAGTAGCTGTTTGAGGGTATCGAGGTAAGGTAGGTCCATCGCATTATCGTTGATGGTTAGCATGTCGTGTAGCAATACTTGAAGATAAATTAGGTTCTCGAGAAACATGTTGATGGTCTCCAATTTGTTATTAGAGAGAAACGTCGGTAGTTGGATGATGGGCTGACCAAAAAGTTCTAGTTTGGTCTTCCCAGCCTTGCGGGTACCACTGGCTAACTTCCAATTCTCGTAATTAGGAAATGCAATTTCTTTCAAAACCTGGTAGTTCCGAACTTGCAGGTTGACTGCCTGTTTGAGCACGTACTTCATGCCGTTGCCCTGAATTCGGAAGATATCCACATCTACAGCATCCGATTTCTTCATGTAACTTGTGGAGAGCTCTTCTCTTTTGTTCACAATGAGATTTTGCTTCCTCGCAATCTGCTCTCGTAGCTGTTTGACTCTGTCCTCTAGTGACTCCACTTTTACTTGTAAAGACTCGTGAGTGGCCTGAACACCGGCGATTTTCGACCGGATATTTACCGTATCCAACTTCTGGAGCTGGAATGCCAAGTTCTTAACGGCTACTAACCGTGGGAATGGCAAATCTGGCTTACTAACATCGTTGAAAATGACATCCGGCGGGAGATCTGCTCCAAAAGCCAGACGAAGCTTAGCAAAGTCATTCTCTGTCATTCTACGCGAGCGAAGCATCTCACAGGCAGCAAAAACGACATTTATATCATTTCTCAAGATCGAATTTGCTCGTTCGTTCTCCACTACTGAATTTCGAATGATTTCAATCAGGTCATGGACACAGTTCCCACATAGTAGATCGCTGCGTTTCGGGTACTCCTTCTTGGAGCAGATGGGACACTCTGCAGCGGGCTTTTCGCGAAGTTCTCCGAACATGCCGTTAGCTGCCGTGTCCAGTGCAATTGATATTGGAAAGGATGGCGGGAGTGGCAATATTGGGTAGTTAAATGGGTTAAGTAGTTACGTCTTGTATGCTGTAGTGATAAGGTGAGTGGTGTGCAGGTGATTGTGATAGAGGAAGGAAAAGAATACATGTACTTTTTAAAAGGTACACCAAATACATGTACATAAATTTTTGAATTGATTGTGTGTATATGCATATATATTACATAAGTTTATTGAATATACTTCGTGAAGTTACAAAATCATAATACATTACATTCGTGAGAAATATCCGATTCCATTTGTCTTTCCTATACCTGTAAGACATTCAGTTTCCATTATATCCTGTGGCCCTAGCCTCTAACCACGTCTCTTTCTAGTTTTCTGGAGCTTTCGTCTCTCGACCAACTCACGAATCATCAACGCAAGAACCTCTTCCACGTCCTCGTTGGAATCCAATGCAACAAAGCCACATCTCCACAACTTGGCCAAGTTCTTTCCGTCCTCCATCAACTTGGGAGATGCCAATGGTGACTTCAGATTGGTACACACAATCCAGATGGGTGGTGGACACAGTGGAGATGCAGGGTCTATCGATGTATCCATGAGTTGGATATTCTTTTCTGACATTGAAGGCTGGTTTCCACGCTCGTTCCACATGTTCTTAAGAGCAGTCTTGAACGAAAAGACATCTCTCTCCTCTCCCAATTCCCATCTTGTTTTGTAAGTGTAGTACTCCTTCCAGGCCTCTTCCAATGCATCCTTCATTACTGGGAGCAAACTGAAGGTCTTGTCATTCGCATTGGTGTGAAGTGTGAGTGACTTTAAAGTTCCATCTTTATTGTATGATTCTGCTGAATCCACGGAGGTCGAGTACAACGAGTCCTCGTTGCTGGTGGAAGGACTGACCTCTTCATATGAAGGTGGCTCTGTTGTGGGGATGGCATTATACACGAAAAAATATCCATCAACCAGACCATTCATCTCGCTGGCTCCACTGGCCACAATCAATGGGTTGGTCGATACTGGCTGGCGAGGCACATCTGCCAACTTATGCAATACATCCCTGTCTAAGCGAACATACAACGAAGCCTCCAAAAAGGGAACGATCTGGCTCGGGTTGAATGCGGGGGTGTCAATGAGCTCTGTCATGATCGGAGTGACGCCAGACTCCTTCTCGCCTGCGCTTTTCCGCCTGTACGACGCATAGTAGCCATTGTTTCCCGTGATGGTCACCGACTCTGTATCACTAGCAACTGTTGGCGCAGTTTTCAAGTAGTTCTGTTGGAGAGCATTGTACACCACAGGACTTACAAGCACATTGGTCTGTTTCAGCACAACTTTCAATGCTTTGGCGGACAGTGTCTCGTCGAGAAGTATTTCCAGGTCTGTTTTGGATGGGGCAAAGTTGAAAAGCACCGGCACCGTCAGCCGCAGGGGATAGTACGTGTCACAATATGTTCCAGTAGTGAGTTTGGAGATGAGGGCAGTTTTCCCTGACTTAGGCCCCCCAAGAAAGGCAAGCCTCACAGGGTCTTTAGTGTTCACAGGAATACTGAGATTCGAAGGGGCTTTCTTCCGCAGCGGCATCATCGTGGTGTGGAGAACTAGACGGTATGCTTTTGATATAGTGTGGACCGGCACGCCGATGTTGCGTTTCGAGTTGCTACTCGGAAGCGCCGCGGCACCAGCCACAGGATTATATCCACAGGACTACAGCCGCATCAAGTGAGACAAAAAAAAAAATGGAGATGACACGAGGTCAATGGGGGTAATTCAACCGGAAAATTTTTGAATGAAGCTTCGCTGGAAACATTTTAGGACTTTGCAGCTTTTTTGTATTTTGTTTTCGTAGATTATCTGGGCTTTCTCCATGTGCAACTTCTTACTATTGGTTTACGAATTTCAGTTTCTTGTAGTATCGTCTTTTCTGGTTAAGAATCTGCTGAGGTTCGAAGCGAGAGCGGCTTTTTCAGATTCATAACTCTTAGATAAGAGAAAACAAAACGGGAATTCCACGGAATCCCCCGTTTATTGCTTTTGGAGTTGGTTGAGCGCTTTTCGCAGCAATCTTCAAGGAGGCTTTATGAACTTATCGATATCTGATTGAGTTTGTATGTCATTAAGATTGCTTCAAGTTTTCTTTTTTTGGGTTTTCTTGCTTGATTTTTTCAATCTTTTGTGTTTTCATGAAAGGCATCACTATATGTCGTAGTCCAACCTACCCTGCCCTGTCCCCCTAAGAAGTTCAAAGTTATAATAGCGAGGCGGCTGTAGAAGTTGATTTCTGATTCTCGTCTAACCGTTCTATTTCTATGCTGGACATGTGGCAACACCTAACTCAGAATCGCCCTGGCCGTAATACAAAAACCACTTTCCCTTGAACTGGACAATCCCCTCAGTAAACACCACTTGGTTAACTTGGCCCGTCACCTCGTTTGGACGCTCTGGAACCAAAATAGGCTTCTCCAACCTTGCAAGTGGTCCGTCCTGAAGGTTGTCATAATCCACCAACATTTGCGAAATGGTGTAGGTAGCTCTAGGGTACTGCCCAGCACCCGTGGTGGACGAGTTGTAAAACAAAATATAGTGGTTCTGATGCTTGTTTCCATTTTCGATTTTTATTGGTGCTGGTCCAGGCTCAATCAACCGGTCCTGCCAGTTGAATTTCCCCACAGTGTACAAAGACAGTGAGTAGTTGGAGCTCACAAGTCTCCAATTCACAAGATCGTCGCTCTTAGCAAAGTAGAAGCCGGATTCACCCCAAATCATGTAATAATTTCCGTCCCAATGCTTGTCTACGAACACAGCCCCAGACTTCAGCCATGCCGTCCGGATGAACTGAGAGCCATCAAGTCCGTTACAGATCTCGCTCCAATTGTCATCGCGGATCACAGGTGGATGTTTCTTCCAATGGAGCAAGTCCATGGACTCAGCCACACATAACCGGGCCAAATGGCGGTCGTACGCGGTATAGGTCATGATAAACTTCTTCGAGACGGGATCTCTCACGATTCTGGGATCCTCGCAGCCTCCTCCTTGCTCCCAGGGCTCTGTAGGGTACAAGATGGGCTTGTGGTAACGACGGAAGTTATAACCGTCAGTCAGCCATGCCAAGCCCACGCTCAGTGTCCGGGCCCTATTCTGTGCTCTGTAGAGTAAGAACACCATGTCGTCAAGAACAATGGCGGCCGCATTGTAGATGTAGGCCTCCTCAAACTCATTATCGGGATTCGGCTTCAAGATGGGATTATTTTCATACTTCAGGAAGTGTGGCCCGATGGGGAACAGCGATGGCGGTTTGTAGTGCTTGTCTCCATCTGGGGTATCTGGGGAGATAACTGGGACCTTCATGGAGTGTTGGGGTTCTTCTGATTGTACGAATTGTACAGTTTGCAATTTTGAGAACTTCTCTTTTTGTTTAATTCGTGATGGCCAATTGAACAATCCGAATATGCGTTCTTTCTGACAATTCTGGTGGGGCCTTCCTTTTAGTCGTGGTACGTAGAACTCAAATGTCATGTCTGCACTGCATGGGGGACTAGAGGTAGGACCCCGAAGCAATGACAGAGAATGTGAGGGTAAAAAATGGACCTGACCCAAACAATCAAAATAAGTAAAAACATACCAAACATTTCAAAAATTCTCAAATTATATATCACCTTGGAATTTTTGTATGTTTCCAAATACTTCCAAAATCTCCATTTCCCGAAATCTCTATGACAAACTCCCCCCTTTCTGTCCTCCCCTAAATTTCCTCTCTACCCCATCCAGCCACCCAACTCCATTGCTTGCGCGCGCAGTAGGTCAATCTCTTCCTTTCTCAACATCTGCACTCTAACATTATACCCCCAGCTTTTCCTACCATCTTTGGTCTTTCTTCCCTCCATTTTCTTTCTACCTTTTTCCCGTCGGCCTGTGCTCCATCACATCATGGGACAATTGTTGTCGCATCCCGTGGAGGAGAAATCTTTAGACTTCAGGTCTCACGACTCCATCTCCTACTGTATCGGGTCCATGCAAGGATACCGAATGAGCATGGAAGACGCCCACGACATCCGTATTTGCGAGGATGAGTCGGTGGCAGTTTTTGGCGTGTTCGATGGCCACGGTGGCAAGGAGATTGCCGAGGAGCTACGCGATAAGTTGGTGTTGACGGTGTTCAAAACACTCACCAATCAATTGCGCCACGACGCCGCTACGCCGCTTGCCACCTTGCTCCGGCAAATCAAGGACTGCTTCTTCTTGGTGGATGCAAACTTGCCAGAACCGGTGGCCGCCAACTGCGGCTCCACCGCCATTGTCACTGTGGTCATCGCAGGTAGATACATCATCTCCGCCAATACCGGCGACTCGCGGGCCATTCTATCCCTCCCCGGCGGCCGCTCAAAGACCTTGTCATTCGACCACAAGCCGTCAAATATGGGCGAGCGAGTACGTATTGAAAACAGCGGCGGCTATGTTGTTAACTCTAGAGTAAATGAGATTCTTGCCCTTTCGCGAGCGTTTGGTGACTTCAATTTCAAAATGCCATGGCTTGAGCTTAGCTCTACAGGCCGCCACAATGCCTATCTCGAGGCCAACCGTCGTTTTGCTCGTGACAACTTGGTCGCATTGCCTCCTGAGCTCTACCAAGTCACCGTAGAACCCGATTTGTTGGTATACGACCTTCAGGCGCTAGCGCTTCCGGAATTCTTGGTGTTGGCCTGTGACGGCATTTGGGACTGTTACACAAACGATCAGCTTTTGCATACTATCCGGAACAAGCTCCGTGACGGGTGGAACCTACAGCATATCATCGAGTATGTGTTGAATGACTGCATCAGCATGGCCTCCAATATCACGGGAATTGGTTTTGATAACATGACCTTGATGATTGTGGTACTACATCCAAACGGAACATTTGAGCTGTGGAGCGACACCATGGAGAAGACGATTGCACAAGAAGAATCTACTCGCAGGTGATCAGCTTCTACAGTGATTATTTAACTTATTATGCCCATTGATGGGAATAGAGACGAATCGTTCGTCCTACTGGGAAAGCACACAGAGGCTTGTTGACTTTCCATCTGATATTCTTATTGTATGCTTGATACCTCTGCTGGCGATGACTATCTGATGCATTTGCCTCCAATGCATGTTGACAGCTTGTCTTCAATTGCACTTTTCAATTGTGTATACCTAGGCTTTCATGCTGCTAAACATTATATGTTGCTTCTACCTGTTGCAGTTGATGGTCTTACAATACATGTTGTTGCAACGTGTTGTTCAAATGGAACAACTCCATTGGAACGACCGGCTAACTCACGACTTACTGACTTACCTCGTAAATGTTTACCACATACAATCTGCCTACTCTGCCATTCATACACAAGATAATAAGTTTGTGAAATTTGACTAATGAACCTCTCTTTGTCATAAAGACCCTCAATTTCTTATTGTCAACATTTATTCTTCGCCTATGGCCCGATCGCAACCTCAGTCCTCCACACAACACAAAAAACATGCAATCCATATACGGACTTAAGTCACAACGAAACCTGCCAACTACTCGTCCTTCAAACAAACATATCTATTCTTTGCATTTGCTTCGCACCGTGCTCTAGGCCCTTGTTGTTGCTACCCATTATCACACATCACCCCCAAGTCACTTTTAAGACTCTCTAATTGGACAGTTCAATACAATCTACTCCACTTTCTTCAACACAAGTTGCTCTCCATGTCGTACACTGAGACAGATTTGGAATATGAGGACCCCATCTTGTCCCTCGCAAGGGATCCAAATTTGAATAAAGAAAAAGCGAAAACTCTGAAAATCATTCTGTTGATACAGGGTTTTCCTCTCGTGGAAAGAAAGGTATCCAGGCTCTGCCAACTAAGCTTGACCATCCTACAAACGCTTGAGAAGATCGAGCTCAATCTCAAGAACTGGGCATTTATGTCGTTGGATATCAATTCCGCAAATCACTTCGATACTACCAGCAGTAGTGAAATCAAGACATTCAACAACAATGTTTCGTTCAGGGTCATTCAGCTGTGCCAAGAACTCACTCAAAAACTTAACAAAATCACTTCAGATCTTGACTTTATCACAAATGCGCTGCGATCCCTTAGTCCAATTGAGTTCATCAGCGATAGCGGAACTCTTCTCACTACTTTGACGTTGAGAAATATCAAGTTGAAGGACGAACTTCGTGACAAGGTAACCATTGCATATCTGAAGGCCAAGCTCATTACCATAGGAACTGACCTAGAAGTGATGTTGGTTGATGGAGATTCCGACCAGAAAGCTACTGTGGAATCTTACAAGCACTTCGTGGTGAGCTTACTTGGCCAACTAAACCAGGCCGTGGAAGACGACGACATAGAGGAAAGGAATGAATGTCTTGCCGTCATCAGTGATATGGAGCAGATGTTTGAGGTCTATAAGCATGAGAGAGCCCAAGCGGCGGCAGAGAATGAGGCAACAGAGAAAGAAGCATTGGAGGTTCCAAATGTTACTGGCTCAGGGCCATCGAACTTGCTGGAATCCCCTCGCCACGGCCATTCTCATCTGGACGATTTTGCAATGGTTCCACGAGCTGCAGAATATTCGGACGAATACGAGTCTTCTGACGACTTATCCATGTCCCACTCTACTACGCTGTACGTACAACCCATGGTTCACTCCATCACCAAACATTCACATCGGTCGCCAGAGACGGGATCTACGTCACTTGAATCGACCAGAAGAGGCTCGTTCTCTTCATTTGCATCTACAAACATCTTACAGAAGTCAACTATTAGTGAAGAGTTGCCATACTTAATGTCTGCCTTTAATCTGGCCAAGACCATTGAAGAGGACCTTCACCATTTCAAGGAAGAAGAAGAGCCGCCGAAGCAGCCTGATTCTCCTAAGAAGAAGGAGAAGCATGCATTGAAACAACAGCTTCCACATAAGAACCATCTTCCACAGACTACATTATATTCGGACAGTCAAATACTTGACAGACCAATTCCCTCACCAGGAGCCTATTTATATGCCAACAACTCGTTGCTTTCCAAGTTTGGGATCAAACCTCAGGTGATCACTACAGAGTTGCCACGCCACTTGGGTAACAGCTTCACCACCAATAGAAACAATCAACTCGCAACTCCAGATTCTCCCTCCTATACTTTTGGGAGCAAACTTCTTAGTGGGAAGAAGGAGGACAAGGAGAATGCGAAGTCGAACATGCTTCTAACGAAAGAGAATCTCGAGTCACATACACTTAAGTCGTTGATCCAGGATCCGTCCTTGGTTGCCGACTACGTTGAGTAGCATCAATAAACATTTGCATTTACCTATTTTTTAGTGTCCGCTTGGCACTTGTACAATTCCTTGACGAAACTTTCACCCCAGTAACCAGAAGTGAATTTGGAAATGTAATCGAAAAGTCTCTTGAAATTGAGCTCTCTCTTCTCTGCTGGTAACGTCAAACTCTCCTTGATGGCGTCACTCAATTCCTCGATATTCCATGGATTCACCACAAGTGCACCGTTCAAAGACTGTGCAGCACCGGCAAACTCGGAAAGAATCAACGAGCCCTTGTTATCTTCCTGGCAGGCAATGTACTCGTAGGAAACCAAATTCATTCCGTCTCTGGTGGAACTAATCAAGCAAACCTCAGACATGTAATACAAACTGATGAGTTCCTCAAAAGGAATGGACTTGTGCAAGTAGTGGATCGGAGTGAATTCCACTGTGCCAAAGCGTCCATTGATTCTGCCCACAAGTTCATTCACATTAGCTCTTAAACTCTGGTACTCCTCCACGTCACCTCTGGATGGCACTGCCACCTGCACCAACACCACCTTCCCCACCCATTCTGGGTTCTCGGTGAGGAAAACCTCAAAAGCGTGCAATTTCTGTGGAACACCCTTGATGTAGTCCAAACGGTCAACGCCCACGATGATCTTGGTGTCTCCAAACTTCTTCTTCAACTGTTCGATTCTCTCAACCACCTTGGGCTTTCTAATACCCTCAGTAAACTTGTCCACATCAATACCGATAGGGTATGCACCAATACTGATAGAACGACCCTCGTATTCGATACCATTAGGCACAGTCTTCACATTGGACACTATTCGAGCCACTGAAGATAAGAAATGTCTCGCATAATCGTAGGTGTGGAACCCGATCAAATCACAACTCAATACTCCCACCAAAATTTCTTTTCTGACAGGAAGAATTCTATAAATTTCTGACGAGGGAAACGGCGTGTGGAGGAAGAAGCCAATGCGGATATTCTTCTTGGAGCTTCCGAGTTCTTCCCTCAACATTTGAGGCAAGAGCATCAAATGATAGTCATGGACCCAGATCATATCGTTGTCATCCACCTGCGAGGCGATCTTGGCAGCAAATTGCTTGTTGGCCTCAATGTATGCTGCCCAAGCGGTCTCGTCAAAGTTCATTTCTCCTGGATGGTAGTGGAACAAAGGCCACAAGATACTATTGGAGAAACCATTATAGTGCAAGTCAGCAATGTGGTCGCTCAAGAAAATGGCGGTACACTTGAACTTGTCCATAAGGTCGCTATTGACCTTATCCTGCTCGTCCTGAGGAATCTCCAACCCTGGCCATCCAAGCCATTGGAATTCGGTGGACTTCTTCAAACCCTGGAGAGCAGTCACCAAACCTCCTGATGACATGGAATAGTCGTAGGATCCATCATCTTTCCGGGTGATAGTAACAGGCAATCTGTTCGATACTACAAGTACTTTTCCCTGTGCCATTCTTGATATTGAAAGAGCAATTGATGTAAAGTTGTGGAGCAATTAACTTGGAAGGATCTAGGTATCACCTGCTGCTGCCTGCAGACTGGGGGACACGGGAATTTGGGTGCAAGTTGCTTCCATGCATGGGCAATCTCGGAAAAATTGTGTCCGAGGAGGCTCAAAATGAATAAAGTAGAGATGTAGGCAACGTACAATCAAGCAGTGTGAAGACGTATGAAGAAAGGGAGGGATCGGGTAAAAGGTGTATGAGATCAAGAATTCTGATTTTACCAAATGTACATGTTTGCTTTTTGGAGTGACTTTACTTATTGCTCTGAATGCAAGCTATGTGGCAAGTTTCATTTAATAACGTATTCATATGGAAAGGATTGCTGAGTTATTAACATCAATAAGAGCCATATAAATATTGGCAGCCCTCTTATCGCATATTCGTAGTATCTCTATGAATCTCAAATTGGAGGGTAAGAAAACGAAGAAAGGACGAAAATCGTCAAAAACTTAGAAGAATTGGAAATGCTAAACTCCCAAATGAAACCAATTTGCAATAATTAATTTATCTCTATATCTCTCATAAATGCAACTACTTTCAAAGAATAAGCGCAACCATCACTCCAGCAACAACCACCATGCTCATGCCTACCTGACTGGCCCCACTCTTATCTGGAGCAGTATCTGTGCCATTCTTAATGTATGTTCTATTGGAGAAAGGCTGTGGAAACAAGTCAAACTCCACCAATCTCTTAAAGTCCCACTCAATAGTAGTTTCTGTCTTGTAACACCAGAAAATCCATCCCTTGGTGTTGCTCTCATACTGGTCAAGCTGGATCTCTATGAACTTCCGAGTATCTCTCTTATGCTGATCCGTCCACTTGCTCCAGTCATTGATGTTAGCACAATTCCCAATTGACTTGTCCTCTATCGGATTGTTCGTAAATGGATAGGTACCTTCCCACCTAGAACCATAATGTACACTGTTAAGCCACGGAGTGCAATCCGTCAAGGCTGCACTCCATTCGCCAACTACTGACGGGTGTGAGCTCTCGTCACCAAGACCCGACGAGTAGTTTTTGATGTTTGTGATGCGCTGTGCAATGGAAACACCCAACTGACCAGAAGAAAATACCTCGTAGTGATGATGGTCGATCATGATGTTGTAATTCTGAAGTCTACCCGAAAGTTTTCCTCTGGAGTCCAAAAAATTGTCCCAGTATCCAGCACTTTGAAAAGCATCATGGAACACAATCGTATTGTTGGTATCCTGATATGCTCGGGCATCCAAGTAAGACTGGTTGTAGAATGATTTCAACTTGGACATGTCTAATTTGGGTCCCAAGGGCTCGTTGAGTACCTCAATCCCAAGAATAGTGTCTCCATATTCTTTCGAAAATTCCTGGCTACCGTACTTGATGTAAATTTGTTGCAAAACCAGAAGAGTTAAGTTGACATACTCTTGCTTATCTTGCCATCCAGGCTCATTAGCCAAAAACAATCCAGAATTATCAAATCCATTCTGAGAGCCCGGAGCACCGTGTAGATCGATCCACACCTTCAAATCATATTTATGGGCCCAATCAATAGCCTTGTCCAAGTACTCTTGAGCACCCAGAACGTATGGATCCTCAGGAAGCATATCGAAGGCCCAATATCCAATTGGTATTCTCACCATATTGAACCCATAATTTTTGATGGCCTCGAAGTCTGACTCGTTATAGAATGTGTCCCAGTGGTTCGAGAGCCTCTTGATGGCTTCATCTTGACCGAGATACTCACAGTAATGGTACTCGTCATCAGGAATGTCCGAAACATTTTTGGAGGTAGCATTGAACTCAAGAAAAAGGGAAGGGGTAATATACGGTTCCAAAAGCAACCACCCACCGAGGGCTACTCCCATGTATTGGAAATCATTGGAGGTATGTGAGTTTGTATAATTATAATTATCTGTGATGTTAGAGAACGACGTGACGTTGGCGACGGTATAGTTGAATGCCATCACTACCTTTAGAGATAGACAAAGCGATAGAAGCGACCAAACCAACATTGACGGCAAGAGAATGTGATATAGTGAGAGTTGGTATGATGTTGTGGTAACTATACCTGTGCACTAGAAATAGGCTGAGCAACGGGCAGATAAAGAGGGCAAATGGTAAGAGTAACACGTTAATACGAAAAAGAGAAGACGAGAATGGAATCCGAAGACATTGAATTGCACTGCTTAAGTTGGTTGAAGATTGAGTAGATGTTTATTCTTTAATATCTGGAATTAGTGTAAGTTACATGCGACTTTCATTGGAGAACATTCAAAATCATACCGGAGACAATCATAAGTTCATTTTAATGAACAGTAAAATCATTCGTCCACATTCCTTAGTTCATCGATCCATGATGCTCATCTTCATCAGGAAAGCTCCAGACTCGAGACATTCATGCTACAAAGCAATCTACCTCGTACAATCATCAACGCTTCATTCGAATATATACAGATCATTAATCCAAGTCGACCTCAGCTGGCTTGGACTCCTCGGCCATAGCAGCTGCAGCGGCACCAGCAGCACTGGCAGCGCCACTCACGCCACCAGGTCCTCCAATAATGTTGGTGATGGTGGCTGGAGGCTGGAAAGCAATCATCATAACCAACAACTCGTAAACCTCCTCAGGAACAGTCTTTTGGTAGATACCCATGATGTCAGTAGGGTTAGGGTACACAGCCAAGGCCTTGTAGAAACGCAAAGCAGCATCGATACGGGTGTCTGGGTTGTTGGCCAACTGCTCACCAGTAGCAACCTGCTCCATGAAGAACTCCTCCTTCTTGGCCAAGTCAGTTGGAATTGGATTGGCGGCCAAATCCTCAGCAAGAGCCTTCTTGACCTCAAGCATCTTGTTTTTTCTGGTTTCCTCTTGGACCTTAGCGGCCTCTTTCTGTTGGTGGGCCTTTCTCTTCTTCAATTGTTTTCTGAATTCTGGGGAGTTTCTGCGGTTGTAGTCGAAGTACACGGCGTACGCAAGCACTCCGGCAGCGGCAACGGAGGCAACAGTCAAGGCTCTACTCATTATATTGATGAAAAGTCTAGTTGTTGTAAAAATTTTTTGTATGGAGAGGGTGCAGGCACTAGTATGGAGGTCGATTTTGATATTTCGGTGACGTTATGGAAGAACGTGCCAGGGGAATATTTTGATTGATTTCAGTTGGTACATCTATCGCAAATATTGGCACTTTTTTTTTTTCAGAAATCTTGGTCATGGCATTTCAAGTTGGTGTACATCTCTTATTAGTACTCTGCCTTTTTGTCTTGATTAGTGCTTGTTCTTAGTGCATAGTGTGCTCGTAAACTACTCTCAGCAATGTATACTAAGACAATTGTTCACTGCAACCCAATAGAAATTAATATCAATTTATTGGTCTCTCTTATAATCATAATCTTCGAAAATCATAATCTCATTTCCCATTCTTGATATCACTAGATCTTTCATTAAGATAATCCACTTGTGGAAGAAATCTACGGAACATGTTGGGCCAATCCAAATGAGTAATTTGCCTTTGCCTTAAACTTCGCTTCCAAAAGATTTTCCGGTGATCAATTTCTTCCCTCATTGATCCGTTCTCCTATGTCTCCTCTTATCTTTTTTACGTCGTGAAGAATTAGTATATGGCACTCGCAGGTTGGTTGGTGTGGGTCAGTGTCATTTTTCGATCAATCTAGAACATGGGAGAGGAAATTCAAGATTTAAGCTACTTACTCACGGTGTATTGATATCACAATTCATACTGTACAAGTCCGGGGATTCCGTGCTAGTATTAAACATTCATAGACCACTTTGTTTGCTCATTCGCTCCATTCAAACATAATTCATTAAGTTCAATCTATTAATCTCAGATCTATTTTAATCCATTGATTGTTTTTGTTCTCCTTAAGTAATTCCGGGAGGTCCAAGAGTAAAGTCGAACGACGGATACCTAAGAATGGAGGCTCTATTATAGTCTCCATAATGTCCACGGTCTGGGTTATACTTGGCAATACGTAAATAGAGAGGGATTTCTTCATCAAAGTCTTTGGACTCAGACTTAACCGATAGTTCAAGAAGCTCTTTGAGTTCAGAATCACTTTCAAATAATTGCGTCAAGTTCAAATTGCCATTGTCGGGGCCACGGTATCTCTCCACATCATTCACCAAAAGTGAAACATCAGTGTATGATTCCAAGTTACTCATAGATGTTGCATTCAACTTCTCGCTCTCAAGCTCCTTCCAATACAACGCTCCATTTTCCACCAAAGAAAATGTGGGTGCATAAATTTGTCCTGTTGGTTCATCTCTCAAAAGCGAGAGGTTGGTCTCGGCGATGGATGCGAAGCCCCATCTGGCTACTCCAGAAAGGAAAAGTCCAAGTAAGATACCTTGGAAAGCATAGGCCGTCTTTCCCCTGGTAGAGCATCCAGGAATGAATATTAACGCAAAGATGTAGTGGTGAATTCTCAAGGAGAGACCAGGAATATTGGCCAAGACAATTAAACTAGCAAAAATCATTCCATATACCAGTAAGAGTTTCCAGAATCTGCCCAGAAGCCATACATAATAAGCTTGAGAAATAATGCAGAACACTAAAATACTTCCAACAATCATTACAGTCATAAACGCTCCAGGTTGTTGCTGTAAATCATGGATGGTAAGTCTATCCACGGGCAATCTATCCAACGTCATATTGTTCAAGATTCCAAGCCAGAATAATGGATACCAGAGAACGAGCCTCAAAATAGTAGAGTAACTGGAATGGGGCAGTTCATAAGTAAATTGTTCACCGGAAACTTCTTCTGGTTCATCTGGAATACGATTGTATTCCAGTAATGTCTCAAATGTGCGTTTCACACTAACTTTCCACAAAAAGAAAAGAACAAAGCATGTAGGAAGAAATCTTTCAAGACTTAAAGATATAAGTTGGTAAAATGACTCAGGGTCTTGAGGTTCAACCAAAACTGGGGGATCAGTAGCCAAAGTGATGGTCCAAAAGCCCACCAGAGCCATGATCCAGTAGAAGGCAGCTCCAGAACCAAGAAAGACAACTGGGATGCCCATTATCACGTTTAGAAGAAGGACCAATAGTCGAGGATCATAGCAAAAGGTCACATCGCTGGCAACAGATTTGAAAAAGTACAGATAGGGGAAGAAACTGCTGAAACCCACTGAATCGGACACTCCATAGTGGCCCTTGGTGTCCGGAAACGAAGCTCTGGCGCCACTAGAATATGACACACGTGCACAACCTCCAAAAAATGGCGAAATGGCACCCGAATGTACCGCAGCTCCACAAGGGTACGAGTCAGCTCTGTATGGGTACGAAAGTACACCTTTCTCATCTTTCTTCTCTCCTCCACCAATGAAGTAGCCTCTATAATTGATGACCTGATCTCCGACAGCTCTCAGGGAATATAACCAGCTCGAACGGTCACATAGAGCCGGGCATCTGAAAATGACATCGCCAGCGAGTCCTACAGAAGGGCATCTTTCGGCATCCAAACCACAGGCAGCATTCTTACCTCTCCAGAACTGGTCAGCTTGACCGCAAGTAAGGGAAATTACCAGTGTGTTTTCTCCTTCAACCTCTGGAATTTCTACCAAGTATGGAAGTAGAAGCTTGCTCCAGAGAGTGATCCATACAGCCAAATAGATAGCTAGTAGTAATGTGCGGGACCAATAGGAAGTTTTGCGACGAAACTTCCCTGGAATGTCCTCAACGAATTGTAGCGACGTTAATGGCCGCGGTGGGGTGTCAGATACGATATCTGGACCACGCCATGCTGCTTTGAAGAAATCTAAGAGTCGTTCTCTCTTAGAGTGTTTTATCCAATTTGGGGAATACCCATTGAGATCATTCAGGTTCTGTCCACTTCGATACTCGGAAGAGCCTTCAACAGACAAAGAATCACTTGGAGTTGATGAGCTAGACATGGATGAAGCCGGATCATGGGGCAATATTGGAGGAGAACGAGAATGCCGTTTCGTAAGTGAAGATAGTGAAGAAAGCTCCACTTCGCCGGACATAATGCAATGTGGATTGGGATAGACTGTATTGTAGCCCTCGTATCAAGACGGCCTCCGGTAAGGGATATTATCAGGAGATGTCGACAAGGGTTATCAGGTGAAATCACGTTTAATTTTTGGGGATTTTTTTCAAACCTTCCGGATGATCCAGTGATACTTCATTCTGCAAGGTCTGCTTCTATGTCAGAAAAGTCTACTTTCGGATGCGACACGCACAGCGAGTTGTGATAAATTTAGGTAAGAAAATATTGTGAGGGAATATGCCCAACCAGAATTTAAGGGTTAGGAGAATCCATGAGATAGATAGGAGATAAGTGAGATAGCAAAACTGTATTGCCAACAATGCATGATGACAACAAAGAGCAATACAGTCGAAGAGTAACCAAGCTAATTAATTTGATCACAGAATTTAAATTATACAAGTACTGGTGCAAGTTTCTGTCACTTGCAAGAGAATTAAAATTACCAGCTGCTTGGGCCGAAAGACTCACCCTCGTTAAGAAGGATGGAGATGGTTCCGTAGTTGGTGTCGAGAGTAGAGTTCACGACATCATTACCCCACCAGCTTGGGAAGTTTGTGTTTGTCAACTGCAAACACAAGAAAATGATCATCAACGAGTAGGCCAATCCGATATCCAAACCGGCCGAAAGCGAATAGTTGTACTTAAACCACCAGTGAGTAAATCTCTTCTTGACGAAGACACCGAAGAACATACCGACAATACAGTAAGTAGAGTAGTTGTATGGGGTAGCTGGAGGAATGTAACCGGTACCGGAGAAGAAAACAGGCCAGTTCAACCATCTAATCTTAGAGTTTGGCCATTTCTTCAAAATCAACCAGTTAACAATAGGCAACAATCCCAAAAGGAAAAAGAAAAGAGTTTGGTGGTAGACAGCACCATCACCGAACACTCTCTTTGGACCAATGGCACCCCAAATAACAGAGGCGTTGAAGAACACTCTACCGTTAGGACAGGTGTATCCACTGGACTGACCTCTAACACACAAGTTGTCAATGGCACCGTAAGACCATCTCAAAACACCAATCTGGACAAGGGAACCCCAAAGGGTAGCCAACAACTGGGCACTGAACAAAAGACGTGGAGACACCTTCATGTAGTGACCCAACTTCATGTCCTGGGCGAAAGTAACAGCCTGGTTGTTGGTGATGTAACCGAAGGTCTTGAAGAACATCATGGCCAATGGCTTACCTGGAATCATGTAACCGATAATGAACTCGGTAACGACGTTCAATCCCACTGCGATGTTGGTCAACGAGTAAATAATACCGACGGGCAACAAGAAGACAATGGCGATGATAAGAGCGACGATTAAGGACCAAACAGGCATCTCGGTGTTCCAGTATCTGATGGTGACGATGGAGAGGGCAAAGGCACAAAGGAACACAATACCGTACCACCACTCAGGAATGTTTCTGTAGTTCTGTCTCATCAAACGAAGATGGACATCTGGCTTCTCCTTCTGCTTGATCTGGTTGATGATGTCCTTACCGTGGAATAACACAGTGTGAACCAAAGTAGCAATAATGGAGGCGAAAGACAAACCGTAAGAGATAGCAAAGGTAGAAGAGATGAACAATGGAGAGTAGTTCTTGTACTCCTCTTCGTTGAAGGTCAAAGTCTTCTTGTCAACAATTCTAGAAACGTTGTAACTCTGCTGATATCTGTCGTAAGAACCAGAGTCAGAGAATGGCAAGTACTTGGAGTACCAAGTGTTGGTGTAGTAGATGGCAGGAACAACGATCCAGAAAATAATCACGATAGACGAGAAGATGGTAAGAATGGTCGATGCTGGTGGAATCAATGGAGAACCAATGTAACCAGCAATCTGGTTCCAGTCAAAGGTGACTGGGAACAAACCCATACCGGAAGAAGCACCAAACACCTGGTTGACCTTCACGTTGTTTGGAGCAATCCAGGTTGGCCAAGCAAAGTAAGACAAGGCGGTGAAAATGTAACCTGGGAAGAAGTACCAGAGGAAGTTGGCGGTGAAAATCAAAGCGAAGAAAGCAAATCTGGAGATTCTCCATCCGTTAGCCTCGTGGTTCTGGTTGATATGCATGTTGGTCAAGAAAGTAGCACTGACCAAGTTCGATGGCCAGATAGCAGATGGAGCCTCAACCAAGACCTTACGAGCCATACCAGCCAATGAGAAACCAATAATCTGGGTAGACCAGATGGCACAGATGGCGAAACCAACACCGAAGTCAGAGCCGTAGAACTTGTTCTGAGCCAAAAGGATATCAGTAGCGTAAGCAGCACCACCACCAAAAGAGACAGAACCCATAATGGTGATAATGGTGTGCTCCTTAAGGTTGAAAGGACCAGGGTTCAAAGGCATACCGAAAACAGAAACGTTTGGCATGACCTTTTCCCAAGCCTTACCGATAGGATAAGCCAACACAGATGTAACATAAGTGGTGATAGAGAAAGATGGCGAGTGCATGGAGAAAAGCATATTCATACCACAACCCAAAGTGGTTAAAAGGAAACCAATAACCCACATACGGATGGTGTTTTGTGGGATAGTAGGATCATCGGTGGAAGGAACAGAGGCTCTCACCTCAGGGTATGGAGAGTCGTCATCGACGGTAACAGCTGCATACTCATCGTTAGAGAGCTTTGCGGCAATAGCGTTATCGGTTGGATCGAACTCTTGCGACTTGGACACGGTAAGACCGATCTCATCGCCGTTATCGGAGGAGATTCTTTTCTCTTGCTCCGTGTTGGAAAGCACGGCCTTAATTTTTTCCATGATTGAAGAGAGAAGAAACGATTAAAATTTTTAAAGATTTCTTACGATCGGCAATATATATATATTTATACTTATATGTGGATGATCGACCAGTATTACTCACCTGGTGCCGCGTAGGACAGGTGTGGAGATAATATGACCTTATCACTGATTGGGGAAGCATGCAATTGCCTATCACAGGCTGTAACCTTTTGCCTAATGTTGTACGGCTGCGAAACTACCGATACCGGCATGCAGACTGTGCTCAAGTAAAAAAAAGAAAATAATGACACAAATTTTGACGTACGTCAAGATATTTAGATTACTTCTTTACTTGCACATTTTTGAACTCCAAACTGGACAAGAATATTCTCGCTTACCGACTCTCTCTGCTGCATTTCCTTGAGTATCTTGGCAATTTTATTTCAGGTGTTGGGATCAAAGATTGTTTTCTTGTCATGCGTGCTACTAACGATGTTGCATGATGCAATCAGTTGATGCCGCGCAGTGATGAGGCTCCATTATAGCGAGGAAAAATGCAATTTCTGATGCAATTTACCGTGAGCAGTGCCGAACGAAAGGCACCGACTCCTGCTCCGTTAATCCTATGTCGCTGAGCCTCTCTGTCCGACTAGTCTTGGCGAAACGGTGCCGTACAACAAGTACTTCCCTAGCATAAGAATGCATAAGGAACAATAGTGCACAGGATATAGACCCAAGAGGGCTTACAAACTTAGTGACGGGACTAGTCTTACAGTTAAGGGAATCAGTTCTAGCGATAATTTATATTAATTCCGAAGACAAGCAAATTCTAGTGTACATAGCGGTAAAAACCAAACCCGATTAACCAGAGCACATGGTACAAGACTCTGGGTTGTTGATTGCGCAAGCGATGACCTTGGAGCTGAAGATATCCCCCTCCGTATCTTCTGAAGCTGCAGGCTCTGCGGAGGAGTCGCTCTCTGAGAGCTTCAACTCCGCAACAGAGTTCTCCAACGACGATGGGGCCGTAGACTCCACACGGGCTTCTTCCTCGCTAACGGCACTGATGTTGGGGGAAGCGGAGCCACTTCTGCTGGAACCTCTGGCAATGTACTTTCTCTGGTTCAACTTCTCCAAAGTAGCAACAGTCTTGTGAGCATCGCCAACGGAGTTCTTGTCGACAGTAAACTGAATTGCAGCAGCAGCAGCCTGGGTTCTCAAGTAGTACATACCAGTCTTCAATCCCTTCTTCCATCCGTAGAAGTGCATCGAAGTCAACTTACCCATCGTTGGGTCTTTAATGTGGATATTTAACGACTGCGACTGGTCAATGAATGCTGCTCTGTCGGCTGCCATGTCGATGATGTGCTTTTGAGAGATCTCCCACACCGTCTTGTACAAGGCTTTGATCTCGTCTGGGACATTAGGCAAACTCTGAATGGAACCATTGTTGCTAATGATGTTGTTCTTCATGGCATCATTCCAAATACCCAAATCCACCAAGTCCTTCAACATGTGTGGGTTGACAATTTGGAACTCGCCGGCAAGCACTCTTCTAGAGTAGATGTTCGAAGTGTAAGGCTCGAAACATTCATTGTTACCCAAAATCTGAGAGGTGGAGGCAGTTGGCATTGGTGCAACAAGCAATGAGTTTCTCAAACCGTGCTTAGCCAAGTTCTGCTTCAAAGTATCCCAATCCCACAACTCTGATGGCTTTCTGTTCCATAAGTCATACTGCAATAAGCCCTTAGATGCTGGGGAGCCTTCGTAGGTCTCGTAAGCACCCTCCTCTTGAGCAAGCTCAATTGAAGCCTCGACTGCACCGTGGTAGATGGTCTCGAAGATCTGAATGTTCAATTCCTTAGCTTCCTGAGAGTCGAAAGGAATTCTCAAGGCCATGAAGGCATCAGCAAGACCTTGAACACCAAGAGCAATAGGTCTGTTCCTCATGTTAGATCTTCTAGCCTCCTCGACTGGGTAGTAGTTACGGTCAATGATTCTGTTCAAGTTTCTGGTTACAACCTTAGTGACCTCGTGCAACTTGTCGAAGTTGTACCAAGAAGAAGTGGTATCTTTCTCAATGAATGAAGGCAAGGCGATAGAGGCCAAGTTACACACAGCGACCTCCTCTGGAGAAGAGTATTCGACAATCTCACAGCACAAATTGGAAGACTTAATGATACCCAAGTTCTTCTGGTTTGTCTTCTCGTTACAGGCATCCTTGTACAACATGAATGGGGTACCGGTCTCAGTCTGAGCCTCCAAGATGGCGTACCAAAGCTTCTGTGCCTTGACAGTGGATCTTCCACGGCCCTCCTGTTCATATTTCTCATACAAAGCAACGAACTCGTCACCGTAAACGTCGGACAATCCAGGAGCCTCGTTAGGAGAGAATAAGGTCCATTCACCATTCTGCTCAACTCTCTTCATGAACAAGTCAGGAATCCAAAGAGCTGGGAACAAGTCTCTAGCTCTAATCTCTTCCTTACCGTGGTTCTTTCTGATGTCAACAAAGTCAAAGATGTCTGCGTGCCATGGCTCCAAGTAAATGGCAAAGGCACCAGGTCTCTTGTTACCACCTTGGTCGACATAACGGGCGGTGTTGTTGAACACACGCACCATAGGAATAATACCGTTGGATGTACCGTTAGTACCAGCAATGTAGGCGCCAGTACTTCTGATGTTGTGAATGTGCAAACCAATACCACCGGCACTCTTGGAGATCAAAGCACAAGTCTTTAAGGTGTCATAGATACCATCGATAGAGTCGTCCTTCATGGCAACGAGGAAACAAGAGGACATCTGAGGGCTTGGTGTACCAGCGTTAAACAAAGTGGGCGAGCCGTGGGTGAAATATCTGGAAGACATCAAGTTGTAGGTTTCGATAACACGCTCAATGTCGGCACCGTGGATACCAACTGCAACTCTCATGAGCAAATGTTGAGGTCTCTCTGCAACCTTACCGTTGACTCTGAGCAAATAGGATCTCTCCAAGGTCTTGAAACCAAAGTAGTTGTAGTTGAAATCTCTGTCATAGACGATAGCGGAGTTTAACTCATCTGCGTGCTCACAGATGATGTCGTAAGTTTCCTTGGAGATCATTGGCGAGTGCAAACCGGTCTTAGGGTTGATGTACTCGTACAAGATCTTGGACACCTGCGAGTACTGTTTGGTAGTCTGCTTGTGCAAGTTGGAAACTGCAATTCTAGCAGCCAAAATGGCGTAGTCTGGGTGGATAGTGGTCATGTAGGCAGCGGTCTCGGCGGCCAAGTTGTCCAACTCGATAGTGTTAACACCATGGTAGACACCAGAGATAACTCTTTGGGTGACAGAAACGGCGTCGACGTGTTCAGCATCTAAGCCGTAGCACAATCTCTGGATTCTGGCGGTGATTTTGTCGAAGCGCACGGGCTCCTTACGGCCATCTCTTTTGAAAACGTACATTATGAAATGGGTGGTAGAAAAAACTTGGACAAACTGAGAAATAAGGCGCCTTAAATAGTGCTACGCGTATGCACAGGATGGATGCGATCAAAACAATGCACGTACACGTAACAGGGCTACCTACTTGTAGAGGAAGTTGGGGTAGATGGGGATACTGTAATGTGTTTTGAGGCGTTTTTAAAGGTCAATACGGATCTTTGAGGCGGTGATAGGTATTCTGTCTTTTTTTTCCCACTTCTTTTAGTTGCCTTTTGAGCCAAAAATTATGATGGGTCTTGAAACTGGGAACGACGCGCGTCTGCAGGACGCGGTGGCTCGCGCACACGTCTTAGTAATCCAAATGGCAAGCTTACGAATTTTAGACCTACAGAGACTGGAAGAAATGGAGGATAAAGGTGACATCGAGAATGAATTCAAGAGAGGTGGCTTCCTCAGATATTTTAGTTCAAATCAAAATATTCTTTTAGGGGCAATGTCTGGGTGTTGTTGGTTGTGAGTCTGAGGAAGATAAACAACACTGTATATGAAGAGATGGAAAAGCATCAGAGCACCAAATTAGGAAATGTGATCTTGACCGACTCGGTTGCTTTCATCAGTGGCTGTCCTGGGGATAAACATAGGTATTGCGTAGAGAACATGGTTTGGCTTTGAATTTGAATACGGGGTATATTTTCGTTAGGTCTTGACGGAAGAACTTTCGCATGGAGTTCAGTAAAGGTTGATCTATATAAGTTTGGTCCATGAATTGTACTTGAAATCGGAATTGGAAAGAAGATTAGAGTGTGAAGGGTAACACTCACTTCGGGCATGATATGACTTTCCAATCGGGCAGCAAAAAATTGTGGCTCCCTGGTTCTCAATACCCTTTAATTGAGAAGCCTCAAGCTAAACATTACGAACAATTACTTACCAAATTTGGGTGTGTAAACGCTTTGATTACCCGTCGGAACCATCACTCCACCTCATCTCGGGTGTTTTTAGTTGTTCCCCCATTGCTTTCAGACTATCTAAGAGCATATTGCCGTATCGACTTACTTTGTCTCCCCTTCATTGTTTGCCTTAACTTATATTAATTCTCTCTCTAAAGATGCACAATCTCTTCCCATTCTCAATCATGATTATCTTTCTCTTTCTCGATAGTTTCCTGTCAAACTCCTAGGGATTTTCTCCCGTCTTCCACATTCATTGTGGTATCCATTATTGGACAATCACTACGTACTTTTCCTATCCATTCACTTCCTCCAATTGATCAACCTCACCTCTACTTTCTACACTTCTTTATTCAGTAGTTCATTGCTATACGCTCTACTTGGCTTCCTCCTTGGTGAAGTCGCTATGTGGTTAGTATCCTCCTGTAAACATCTCTCACTTAATACATACTTGATGATCTTCTCAAGGTCGAATTCCTCGTCCTTAGTAGCAGCAACTGGAGCAGCAGCAGCTGGCTCAGCAGCGGCCTTCTCACGGGGCCAGGCAGCAATAGCAACCACCGATCCCAAAGTCAAGAGGGAAAGCTGGGGTTAGTATGAAAACGGGCTAAATATGGCTGAGAACGCCCGTGGAAAGGACTTCTCACATCAATTGGGTACGTACAATATGTGGCTGGACTTGTTTTCCGAAAATTGTGTATGCGGCACCCATGATTTATTGGTTTTGAAGATGAAATGGACTAGCCGGAGTCGGCACCTGTCGCAATAAGATTGGCTGTTAGATGGGATGTACGGGTGTGATCTGGGTACCTAAGGCCTTAATCTACCTGATCTTATTACAGAAGGAAACCCGATTGCAAGAAATCTTGTATGAATTTTTCCTTACAAACCACTCGCTCTAATTATATTCCTGTTTGGTTTTGTTCATCGCTCGCACATGCTTCTCTCCAATAATTTTCATGTCCAAACTTGCTTAGAACCTTGTAGGCCTCTTCATCGTCTCTAGTATACATAGGAGACCATTTCCTAAACAGCAAATCTTTTAGTTGTCCCTCCCAGATCACTGTACATTTGTTGGCAGATAAATCAGCCCCTGCGTTGGATTCCGTCCATTTAATTCTCTGTGTCATGAGTTTCCTGTAGAACTTGATACCTTTCGCTCCTCCCTCTACAATAATAAGATTGAACCTCGGGTTTTTCAACACAATGCCCAAGAGATCGAGTTGCTTGGCATTGATGTCCACCTTAAAGAAATGTTGTGGGTCTTCTAAGTTCTCCACACGATAAACTGTAGTAAAGTATCCTTTGTCCATATCCTTTTCATGCTGCTTTTTGATCTTTTCCTGCTTTTCTTCTTGAGTTAGTTTCCGAGCCTCATTAGCCTTCAAATGTTTCTGAATTCTGTCTTCCACTTCCTTGCGGACTTTCATCTCCACGCCTGTTGGGTCTTTAATTGCTTCATTGGTAAGAACATTCATCAAGTTCGAAAGCTTCACCTTCGGTGGAGGTGGGGGATCCAATCCCAATTTGATTCTATCTTGTTTTTCCTTGTGCTTGGCCTGTCTCTCGTTTCTTCTCTTTCTCTTCATTTCTTTCTTGGTTAAATACATGGTATTGTCTTCACTGCTGTGTTTTTCCCACGGAGCTTTGATAGGAACTGGGTGCTGGATGTATATGGATACCGGTGCATCTTCGCTGTCAAGAACGTACTTCTTCTTCTTATCAAAGAATTCATCATACAGCCTTGTCTCTAAGTATGGACGATCCCACCACTCGATAAGAGGAGGAAAGTGTGGCTTATATAGAACTTCCCGAGTATTTTCATCTGGAAGTAAACCCTGCGCTTCTGTTTCTGCCCTCTTAGCATCCAATTGCCGAAGTTCTTCTTGCTTTGTTCTAAGTGCTTCACCTTGAGCTATGAATTTCCCTTTTGGATTCAAATTCAATGGTCTGGCCTTGTGTGACGATGAAAAGGCAAAACTTGATTGATCCAAGTAGGGATTTAACGATGTAGCATCGAAAATGCTTCTGGTGTTTTGTTTTAAAGGATTGTGATTCTTTGCTGACGGTAGCTGTACAACTTCTCGAAGCAATGGATGGATGTCTGTATTGAGTCCACCAGATTGAAGTTTTGAGGGTTTTTCATCTTCATCGTCAGATATGTCTAATCTCCTTTTTCTGCTTCGGTTTTGCTTTTTCCAGGAAGACATGGTAGTGAAGATGGAATGTATACAGAGTGATTGTGGGAGTATGATATTTATTTAGTTACCCAAAAGAATGTTGACTTTGATTTTACTAAGATAAAATCCAAAAAAGAATTCTTTACTAGGCAGAAGAATAACGCTATGGAATTATTATATTAAACCAAGAATTGAAATTATACCCACTATTTAAGTTCAACTTTTTGATATTACCCTATCACTAATCATCACCCATCCATCTCTCTACATACACTACCAAACAGAGTAGATCAATCCATTACTCCATGGAAAACCTAGACCTAAACGTACTTTTCGCGGAATGGCTAGAAACAAAGCAGGATGAGCTCATGAAGAAAGGCTCCAAGTTGGCCTATGCATACGGAAAGGCCTTGGACAAACTCAAAAGCTACCCAGAGCCAATCACTACTCCCAAACAACTAAAGGGTATCCAGTTTGTAGGAGAGAAAATCTTTATGCTACTATGTATGAAGTTGAAGAAGTATTGCTCGGAACACAGCATCACACCGCCTCCAGCTTTTGAGAATTACGTGGTAGAAAATGAAGGAGGGAAACGTCTAGCGGAACTAGATGACGAGAACACCAAGAAGAAACGACGTATCACCAATTGGGTGCCCAAAAGAAGGTCTGGGTCATGGGCAATTTTGGTCTCTCTATATAAAAAAGACAGGTCTCGCCGTGGAATCACCAAGGAAGATGTCATTGCTGGAGCGTCTCAATACTGCGATAGCTCATTTACAAGTAACCCAGCAGCTCGAGATTTCTACTCTGCCTGGGATGGAATCAAGACCTTGCTTAAGCGTGAGCTTGTGGACTGTGTGGGAAGAGCGCCAAAAGTGTATCTCCTTACAGATCTGGGTTTCAATATGGCTAAGCTCATTCTCCAAAAGGAAGGTGGAGACAGCTCACCGGTACGTGAGTCAGAAATGTCGTTCGACAATGGCGTAAGAGTCACGCCAACTTCCAGAAGTGAAAATGATGGTGTTTCAATAGATTCACTGGCATTGTTTGTTCCCACTGAAGCTTCCAGTCCTCTTCGGAACAAGCCCAGCAAGACACATAATCGCGTACAAAAGGTTTTTGATGGCGTTTCATATGATATTTGGATGCCAGGAGAGTTTGATATAGTACTCATCATGGATAACAGAGAGGTTCGGTCACTGACAGAGAGAGACTTCTTCCAAAGGAGAATTGTTGACAACAACGTCAAGTGTGAGGTCCGCAATTTATCTGTGGGCGATGTGTTGTGGATAGCTAAACATAGCAGAACAGGGAAAGAGGTTGTACTCAATTATGTTTGTGAAAGGAAACGGCTCGATGATTTGGCCATGTCTATTAAAGATGGTAGATTCGTCGAGCAGAAAAACCGTCTACGCAAATCGGGGTTGAAAAATGTGTACTATCTTGTGGAAGAAGGTGGGTTGGGGGATGTCGAGCGCATCATGTTGATGAAAAAGGCTATTGAGACATCTATCGCGATGGTTATCACTGTGTCTAATCTCTTTCTCCAACGATTCCGTAGATCTGACGACACAATCGAGTGGCTTGTTACGATGACCCAAATATTAAAGGATAGGTATTCCACACGTCGACTTTTGGTTGTCAAGCCTCAAAGTGTCAATAGCCAAACGGAATACTTGCAAATGCTAGAATCATTCCGGGAGAAGTTTGAGACAAGAGAAGCAGGTTATGAATGCGTGCACACGATGGCAGTGTACCAAGCCACTTTGGCCAAGACAAATATGATGACTGTCAAGGAGATGTTTATAATGATGCTTATGCTGGTCCGGGGAATTTCGTTTGAGAAGGCAGTGATGATCCAGAATCATTTTGGTACACCGAAACGGCTACTTGAGTATTACCACGAGGAGAAGCGGGCATTGCCAGAGCCTCAAAAGCAAATGCTCATGAATGAGTTGTTTAATAATCAGATCGGAAGCAAGAAAATCAACAAGGCAGCACTGGTGGCCATGTATGAAACTTGGGGTGTTGAATAATGGCTGCGAATAATAAAAAAAAAAAAAACGGAAAAGAAGCCAAGCCAAGATGGTCTAGAGTGAATAGATGAAAAATGGCCAAAACAAATATGTATATATAATCGAAGTTATGGAATAAGGAAATAAAAAAATTAAAATTAAAATTAATTAGAGGTAGTTCTATATTCCAATGTTGATCATTGTAGCTACACCAAGTTTGGGCACCGCACACTAGTTTTTTCAAAGTTTTTTTCTACTACTACAGAACACCAAGCAAGCACCATGAGAACTTCGGCGGTGGCACTCAGCAAGAGAACCATCAAGTACGGAGGTAAGTCGGGTATCTTGCCTGAAGTGCGTCCAATCTTCAAAAACAGCCCCATCAGAGCCAAAACGGAGCATGAGAAGCAAGAAGAGAAACACATTGAACAGGGTTACGCTGACGGTATTCCTCTCCCTTCCAAGAAAGGGTTCACATTTCACCGCCAACCAGTTGAGAAGCCTGTGATTACCGTGGAAGAGAGAATAGAAAAACAAATTGCCAGAAAGCCAAAGGCAGACAAGTCCACCTTGAGTGGAGACGAATTGTGGGCCGTTCAGAGAGACGAAATCAGAAGACAACATTTGAAGGACGCCTACTTAACAGAGGAGAAGAGACTTCGTCGCATTGATGAGTTGAAAGCCAAGGCATTGGAGTCTGATCACAAGCATCAGGATGAGCTGGAACACTTCCAGGAATCCGAGGCAACCAAGTTGACATTGCCAACGCTTGATTCGTACTTGAAAGGCCCAATCATGAGACCCAGAACCAATGAGGAGCAGGCCCTCTTAGAAGAGAAACGTTTGTTGAACAGAAAGTCTCGTGAGTTGGGGCAGTTGGAAAACAGGGCAACTGAGCTCTTGGAGTTGTACCATGCAGCAGGTAAGTTTATCACCACTGAGGAGGAGTTGGAGGTGGCCATTCGTGATGCCTTTGAGGTTAAGGTTGGCCGTTTCGAGTCGTCGGAGAGGTTGATCGAGGACAAGCTCTTTGGGTTCCACAACACTTTTGCCAATACCAAGTCTACGGAGAGATTGGTCAAGGATGTAGCATTTGGAGAGATTGACGGCCAGCCTGGTCTTGATACCGTTAAAGACACTTTGAGTGGAGAGGCTGAGAAGGTGAGAAGAGCAGCCCAGACCAAGCTCAACCACTCGTAACATGTACATAGAATATATTGGAGGTTGTGATAAGTGTAGGTCAATGATATGTGTGAGTTGAAACTGAGGATAAATAAAATCTAAATATGAATAAAGAGGATATATTGAACCTTACTGGCAATTTTCAGCTTCCGTTATTTTATGTCCTTGTGAGGAGAAGTGCAAGTTATAATCATTATGAAGATTCTCAAAAATCAAGTGCACTTTCTTGAAAAGTAACAATTGTTGGCAGGAAATTATGAACAGATTTTTCAGAAACCCACTTACAACAAATTGAATATTATAGAACTCAATACAATTCCATGAAAGAAAAACCTCTACTATTTCTAAAATCCTTCTTCGACTTCAACTTTTCACAAACTTTCCTTCTCCCACTACTCCCTTCACCTCATTGTCCCTGCATCTTCACAACCATCTTCAACCTTCTCGACCACACCTCTTCAATGGCACCATCAAAGAGGATCACCTCGTACAATTATTATTTTGGCAAGGTTCTTGCGAAACGATTACGGTTTCTTCACAAAATCAATGTATTGCTTTCCATTTTCGTGGCCATCTTGATTGGCTTTCCCTATAATGGCTTTTGGGCCAACGTTGGAGCAACCCTATATCGAGCCCCAGTGATCTTCTTGTCCCTTTGGCTAGTCAAGGTTTGTAGAGACGCCAATTCCACTGTGGAATACTCGCGTTCCAAAACCTTGGCCCTCCATATTGTTCAGAGTGTATTTACTCGTCGATACTTGGTGACTTTATGCTGCTTTGCTACCTCAGCATACATTGCGTTCTTCATTTTCATTTCCCAGCTTCCTTTGGCATCTCAGTACTACGTGGTGGCCAAAGAGTACCGCCATAAACCTGCCGTTAATGATGAGTGGGTCTACTTCTGGTTTCATGCCTATTACATCGCTTTGTTGTACGCTCTCCAACATATTGTGTTTCAGAGAAACAGACTCCGCTTCAAATATGGTGTCAACACTGTGAGGCCGGAGTCGGTGCTCTTCTCCAACGTTATTTCTCTTTTCGGTAACGCTGTGGCCTTCAATGTGTTGTCAAGTGCATCAGCACCTGTGGTGTACTACTGTGGACGTTCGATCATCTACAAGATCAATTGGCTTTTCTTTGCAGCTCTCAAGTTGGACTCCTCTATTCCTCGTTTCCATATTGGCTTTTCTACTTTGTTCAATGTCGGCTACGTCTCATTTTTCGTTTTCTGCGCCTGGGAACTTGTCAACCACGTCTACAATATCTATGCCACCATTGGCTGCTTGGACGCAAAGAAACCAATCAGTAGCTACAGCGAGGACCCCATTGGCACTTTGCTTTCAGGATTGCGTGACATGGAACCTCAGAATCAGTTGAGTCGCTTGTCAGCCTTTCAAGAATTGGCATACATGGCGAACACCCGGAATGCGGAGGAAGTCAAGCGCAGAAATGCAGTCTACAATATCGCTACGCGAGGCAGTTACGTATGGCCCGCAATTTTGGATGAGTGTGCTTTGGTAATTCGTGAGGTTTCGTCCAGAGTTAACTATAGACTGAAATCCGACATGGCAGCTTTGAAGGAGACACAATTGACTATAAAAGAGGAGCCTGCCAGTTTATTCAAACAAGAGAAGTTTATTTTCGGCAATTCCTACGATACTACGGTGGATACTTCGGAGGCAAACATCACAGCCACATCCAGTCCTTTGAAGAAGTATGAAGATGCTAAATCCGTGCAGAAACAACCAGGGTGGGCTATTCAATTCCAAAAATTGCAACAATCTCCTCTTGGGAAATGGATCTCATTCAATGTGTTGAAGCCAATAAGAGCATACGTTGTTGCATTCGTGACTCCTAAGCCCACAGAACCAAAGTCGTTTGCTCAACATTTACAAGCCATCAAGGCTCAGTTCCATAAGTATTACGAAAACTTCCTTTCATCAACTATGGGAATATTTTTCCGCATTTCAATCAAGCGTGATGCGGAGTCTCGTGTGGTAAACCCAGTTAACTATGGAAATGCGGTTATTGCACTTACCGGTCTATTAATCCACGCCGTCGAAGAGGACAGAAGTGGCACCATATCCAATAACCACATCAGTGAGGTTCTCAACTTGTTAGAGCGCCCAATACGGGCATGTGCGAACTACACAGACATTCTCCCTGCTTCAGTTTATGTTCCCCCTGAACTTCGTGGAGACGAACAAGCCACGAAGCATCATTTAATTGCGTTATTGCATGACTTGACCATGAACGAGTTCTTCCAACTTTGTGTCAAGTACAACTTCAAGTTGAACGACTTGCAATTGTCGTCAAGAGCATTCAAGCTAGCAAAGTGGGTCATCGATGCTTCAATTGCACAGCAACAGAAACAGGCGCATTCTCACAGTGCAAAAATTTACTAATATGTATCAAAAGTAATATATTGGGGTCAGACTTCGTAAGTGTTTTTTTTTTTTAAGCGTTTCTCTCTCTAGAGTTGTCGCTATTTGTCGGACTGCCTGCCTCACCGCTTCCTGGAGTAGGTGAGATGTCAAGTAGCACAGGCTTCAAGACTTCCTCGTCGAACTTGGTGAACCACTTCGCATGCTCTTCAGCACTCAAAAATGCACCGAGAACTCCAGCTGAAGGCTGATTAGATGCTGCTGCTGCGGGGATATCAGAATTGACATTAACAGTTCCTGCCAACAAGTCGTCCACATCACTGGTGTTGAATTCATCATCGTCATTCATAAGCTCGTGTTGAGAGCTGAGTGAATGCAGACTGCCAGAATTCTTAATGTAAGGCGAGGTGATATTCGAAGTGCTTTTCCGGATGACGTTATTGTCACTGGCCTTGCGGTACAATTGCTGAGCTGGGTTAAACCTTCTGTTGCTCATGACATTTGGTTTATTTGTGAGTGCCAATCTTGGAGCTTCAATATCGAACTCATCATCCGACATATCGTGTTCATCAACACAGCCAACTTTAATGCCCAAAATCTCGAGCATGGAGGCCGTGGTACCACCAAAGAATATAACAGTGAGCACCACGACGACCAAGACAGTAGCCAAGAGGGCTGATTTCGCTTCCCCCACAATTCCAAGAGCCAAGGCTACACCGACCGCACCTCTCAATCCAGCCCAGAAAATCATCATCTGGTAAGAATGACTGATTTCCTCTGGAATGGACTGTGAAGAGATTCCTCCATTCATGTAGTTTGTACGGTTGAACTTCTCGAAACGAGCTCTGTACAAAAAGTTCAAGAGTCTAGATAAGGGGAACACAGCACACCATCTAGCAACACAGATCAGAATAAAAGTAACGATGATCAACAATGGCTTGAACACCAATTCCACCTCAGTAAACAAAGTTAAACCCAAGTAAATAAAGATGAAATTCTCGGACAACTGAGCCAAAAACTGGAAAATGTACTTCGTTGCAATCTGGGTTCTTCTGGACATATTGAAGTATGCATAATGTTTCAAAGTGATTCCCGTAAAAAGCAAAGAGACGATACCAGACATATGAGCACCATTGGAGAAGAAATAAGATTGGTACGCGAAAAGCAAAACCAAACAAGTTTCGATTTGGGGATATCTGCGAATGTGAGAGTGCTTCAAGATTAAGGCAATTATGATACCTACAGAGATACCAATAATAGTGGAGATGGTGAATGTCATCAAGAACAAACCCACACCTTCAAAGAGCGATGAGAAAGTCACATTCTTACCATGGAACTGTTGACACGTTTCAAACATAACGATGGAGATCGCATCGTTCAAAAGGGATTCTCCGAAGATAATGGTGTACAACTTTGGGTCCACCTTGTAGGCGTTAAAGATGGACAAAATGGTGACAGGATCAGTGGCTGAGAGAGTAGCTCCAACAGCCAACGCATCCACGAATTCCAAATGAACACCATCAACACCTAAAGCTGTCCAAATATAAAGGATCATACCTAGCACAATGGCGGAAATGAAAGTTCCTGGAATGGCAAAAGTGAGAATGGAGCCGATATTGCTGAAAAAATTCGCCTGATGTAGCTCATATCCCGAATTGAGAATAATAGGTGGTAACAAAATATTGAAGAAGTAGCCAGACTTAAATTTGACGGCATCTTGGATGTAATGACCCGGAGCAACACGGATGATAAGACCCACAACCATACCGTAAAAGATGGAAAGCACCGTCTCGTGGATGGCTTTGATCCTTCGCTGCTGGAGGTAGTAAGACGACCACAACGCGGCACATAGGAGAGACAAAAGAATGAACAACGCCCACGAAGAGAATACCTCTTCGGTGACCGGATCGGGCTGCTCCTCCTCAGGAGTGGTGACATCGGGTATATCTTCGTCTTCAGGGGCAATGGCCCTCTTGATCATGTACTTGGCGCCATTCACGACGAGATACCTGGATAGATCACTTAGCACGGAAGCCATGATCTATAGGAATATGAGGGATGAACAGACAACGGTAATTGCGGAAAAGAAGAAAATCCAGATTTCAGATTCAACTCGAAAAGTTGTCAATAGTGCCAGGAAACAAAAGGAGTGGAGGTTGTTATCGTTGTTTGGGAGAAATTGAATGGAGACTTCCTGTGTGCAGACCAGTCGAATGGGAGTTGGATATGAAGACAAGAAGAAGAAGTGAGAGAAAAGATTGACATGTGATTCAAGATTTGAAGATTTTGAGGTTGAATTCATGTCGTTCAGGTGGATAAACCCGAAATTGAGAAAAATGGTGGGTGCATGTGAAGTGGAGTAAGGTGCAAAAATATTGACAGGTTGACGTGTTAAAGATACGATAGTGAAGCGCAAGGATTCTGATTGAAAAAAAAAAAAAAGAAAGAAAAACAATGATGTGAGAGGAATGTGAAATTAGTAGGAAGGTGATGTCAAAAGGAGGTGGAATGGTAGTCAGCGAGGAGTAAAGTTTTTAATTTCCATTCTCAAGGCTGATGTCGTTGGTGGTCTGTGCAGACAAAAGTAGTTGACACCTAAGTCGATTACGTATCAAGGGGAATGGATCTAGAAATTAAAGGGAGCTTTAGTTATGAGTTTAGAAATGGTCACCGTGTAATGGAAGTAACAACAGAGGATGTTCGATAGGAGGTAACTCGATCCTCATAATTTGTTAAAGGGTCTTCAAAGAAATGGTCTTTCAGTTGAGCCGATCCGTGAATTTGACCAGTTCTCACAATTTGTTCGGCCCGTTGCAAGCAAAGAATATATTAGTAAATGTCACCAGGGCAAGGGAAGTGAATTTCGAAAACTACTGCGTGACGGGTAAATTACAGAGTATGAGAGATGTTACATCTCCAATCATTATTCCTCGAATTGTCCAAACGTCAGATTGTCAAATGTCAAATGTCATATTATTCAAATATCAGAATTGTTCAAATATCAAGCTTCCATTTAAAACCTAAGAGTGTAGGTAATAATAGAATAGTACAGATTTAATGATGTGGATAGTGACGAACATTGACCCACAAATCATTGAAGAACTCAGAGTTTGGCGATCTAAGAATTTGAAATTAGGCACTTGTGAAAATTCGATAACCTCAAAGGACTTTCAATTGCTCTTAGGTATAAACCAGGCGCAGCCACCTTCAAATGAAAAGCCAGGAGCTACTATGCCACCCCAATAAAAGCCACACACTGTGAATCTGAAAGAAAGTACACCTTCGCAGGTACTGAAACATATCAAAGCAAGCTAGTCAGATAAAAAATTGACAAAAGTTTGGGTAACAAACGCCTTTAACCAGCACAGATTTGGGGCTGCTCCATATTATAGAAAATGAAACACTGAAGAGGTATTATCCAGATCAAAAGCTGCTTCTTTCGCTCTCAATTACATATCAGTTATGGCTTTGTATTCCCTGATTCCGATTTTCTTTTCCCTATTTCTTCTATCTACCACGGATCTTATTCCATCTACTTATTTCATACATCCTTCCAATTTCATTCTAACACACCGTAAAAAAAACATCTAGACAATATCTTATGTACTAAATGCACCTTGCTTTGGCATTCTTCTTCGACAATTGGCCGATTTCCCCACAATGGAACGAATTCACGATAGTATGCATCTTGCGATCTGGTGTCCCTTTTGATCAACACTCTTGCCCAAATGAGAACGACCTGCAGGAAGCAACATTCCAGGGGTATATTTGGTTAAACGTGGCTGGTTGACGAGTGAGAACGGCTAAACTGTGGAAACAAATTTCATAAGAGATCAGTCTAAGAACAGCCAAGTTATTGCTTTGTTTTACCAAAAATGTCTCTAAAAATATCCTCATTTATGTTGATAAACATCCCAAATATAAATACAAAACTTCGCGGTTCTGCATTAACAAAAAAAGTCCGAGCCCAAACATGTCAAAAAAAGCAATTTGAGGTACAGGTTTAGCACGTTTAGAGATCTTTGATTTGGTTTTTTTTTTTTCTTCTTTTGCTGCCTTGCCCAACCGTCTGTTTTTTTTTCTTCTACATCGTCACTCGCTACCCCCCCCATTCACTTCTTCTCCTTGCATTACCACCATGTTGAGCGTCAACCACAGCGTGGAAGACATCCACAATTATCCATACCCTCAACGTACATCGCAGGTCAACCCAAATTTATCATCTACCAACATCTCCCAGTTGAACCATCCTAGGGCCATTCGATCACCGTTGTCCAGTTTCACTCCTATCACTCCGCCAACTTCGAATTCGCCTACTCCGGTTTTTGAAAAGTCTCACTTCTTTTCTCTTGGGTCCAATGCTGGTTCTACTGTCAGTCTCGACACGTTTGCTTCCGTGCCCGAGGAGCCCGTGTCAGATTCGTGGCTTCTGAAGGCACTTCCTAAGGTCAACTTGGAAGTGGTATCTATGTGTGCATTATGGTACGGCTTTTCTATTGTGTCGTCCAACTCCACCAAGGCCATTTTGTCCCGTTTCCAATACCCAGTCACACTTACCCAGTTCCAGTTCATTTTGAACGCATTGATGTGTGTGACACTCTTCGTGGCTTTGACAGTGCTGCCCACGCTTGCGTTGCGGTTTCCGAAAGGTTCGGTGCCAGATTTGCACTCGCTCAACCATTCGGTCAAAAACTTCATCACCCCCAATGCATTTATTATTTCCACCACATTGCCCATGGGCCTTTTCCAGTTTGTGGGCCATATCACTAGCCACAAAGCAACTTCGGTCATTCCAGTATCATTGGTACACACCATTAAGGCACTCTCGCCCATCACAACTGTATGTATTTACAGATTCGTGTATAAGGTGCCTTTCAAGAGCGTCACCTACTTGACACTTGTTCCCTTAATGGCAGGCATTATGTTGACCTGCTATAAACCCAAGCGTGCTTCTTTGCCTGCTGACGACCATTACTTTCAAGGGCTCATATATGCATTTATCTCGATGTTCATTTTCGTCTCACAGAATATCTTTGCCAAAAAGAGATTAACTGTGGAACCTGAACAAAAAACTAACTCACTTCCATCTTTCAAGAAAGATGACACCAAGAAATTGGATAAGTTGACCATCTTGCTCTTTTGCTCCGTGCTTGGATTCCTCTTCACCATGCCATTCTACATTCTCCTGGAGGTTCGGAATGATAAGTTTTCGCTAGCTCAGATGACAAATGAGTTGATTGCATTAGTGTTTTTGAATGGAGTCTCGCACTTCATGCAATCATTACTTGCTTTTCTGCTTTTAGGAACCATCTCACCTATTAACTATTCGATTGCCAACATTATGAAGAGAATCGTGGTGATTATCGTTGCATTTATCTGGGAAAGCTCGTTTGGATTTTCAGGAATTCAGACGTTTGGCATTGTATTGACGGTTATGGGGCTCTACTGCTACGACCGTTGGGGGATTGCTAGAAACAAATAATTCTAATAGTATTGATAAAAGAATACTGTTTTTCTTCAAACATGTAGTACTAAGGATTATCAATTATAATATAGATAGGCGAGATTAGTGTCATGAATCGCTCTTGATTAATAACACGAACTTGTCAAATGGTTGCTAGAATTGAGTCAAACCACCAATTAGTGACCTGCGCCGTCAGCGTTCAACATCTTCTTGAAAATATCACCAAATGCAACCATGAACACCGTCTGCCACACACCCAAACCGATTCTAGGTGCAACACCTCTGTACAAACCCTTCACACCATTGTTCTTGTAGATATACTTAGCAGCAGAACCAACAGTCAAGTTCTTGGGTCTGTTAGGATCGTTGGTCTTCGACTGCATCTCCACTCTGATCACCTCGATAGGCTGGTTCCACGCAGATAAACCTCCACCCACCACCGAGGCAGCGATCTTCTCAACAGCATTCAACTTATCGTCACCCTTCTTTCCGGTCAAGTTCTTAATACCTTCTTCAGCCAATCTTGAGAATCCGAATCTGGAACCCCAGTTGGTCATTTGTCTAATGGCCACTGCGTTGACACCCTTGTTGATACCTCTGATACCTTCCTTCTTGAAGATCTCACGGAATACTTGGAATGAGGACTGTTGCACAGCGCCAGCCACGTTAGCCTGCTTGGCTCTGGTGATCTCGACCGTCTTCATACATGTACAGAATCCCATGGTAAGGTATGCCTGGGCCACACCACCGGCCACCCCTCCACCCATTCCGGAGACGAAGTTGCTGGCACCCATGGTCCTGAATCTATACTCGGCCTCGGCAGAGACGAACAACAAGACAGCACCCTTTGTGGAAGCCTCGATCCATGCCCATGGAATCAACCCCTGGTAAAAACCGAACAAACCTCCACGCGACCAAACCAACTTTCCAGCCTGGACCAACGACAAGCTTCTGTTGGCAGCCATTGTGGTTTTGATAACTTCGAGCGGCTGGCCCAAGGTGGTGACCTCGGCCAAGTTCAAGCCGGCACCCAAAAGGATGTTGGAGAAGTTAATTGGCTTCTTTTCAATAGTGGTCGACATTAGTGATGGTTGATAGAGTAATTTTTTTGTTCAAGTACTGCGCTATCGGGCCCGGGACTGCAGAAAGCCATGGTGGGGCAGGTGGAGTTGGTACACGACAAGGGAGACGACTACAAAGAGAGGTTGTTTGACGAAAGAAATAACTTGAGTGTGATGAATTGGCATGGGGGATCGATTTGATGGTTTACATTCTGCAAAATTTTGGTGTGGTAACGAGATTAAGTCCATACAAGTAGTGGCTGAGATAGCGGATAACCTAGAGACGTGTAGGTGCGATAATGCTGTCAAGGTGGGGTATCGGAGAGAATCGGAGATCAAAGAGGAGAAAGGAGACGATAGTAAAATAATAGAAGGTTCAAAATTGTTGAATATATATGAGGAGAATGAAGACATGAAAGAAAGAACCAACAATACAGGAAGGGTCCGAAAATCACCACCACGGACGGACGGGAGGACTAGGGTGTGAAGTATGACGGACAAAAAATTGTCCCTGTGATATACAGAACACAGCTGATATGAAATCACACGAAAAAGCAATAGTAGAGAAAACGATAGAAGAGAGAGAGAAAGAAAATAAAGAAGAGAGAATTAAACCGAGAATGGAAGATTACGAAACTGGAAAAATAAATAGAAAAAACTCGGACAAATGATAGATATCGTATTCGCACTAGTCCCGCCATCTTATGCCACGGTTCACATCCCCAATCTGATTGTTTCCTCCAGGGCCACCAATCTACCAATTCCACACGACCTCCAGAGTTACCTACCAGGGAAAGATCTGATAACAAAAAGCAACTAAACATTGCCCACCACGCTTGCACATGTAAAATGCCTCCACAGGTGCATTGTCACTTGCATTCGAGTCCTCCCTCTACCTGTAATCCTCATAATTCCTGTTACTCACGAACTACTCTTGAATATCCAATCACCTCTTGGTCAAAGTAATTCTCACCCAAAAATTAGTTTGGGTGCGAAGTTTTTTTTTGTTTTATTTTTTTTTGGGTCCGCACATCTTCGCAGCCGTTATAGATCAGACTTTCGACCCATCCAATTGACCTATTCATTTCCAACTTTATCAACGTTCCCACATCTACAAATTGTTTCTTTACCCATATCCGGTAAATGTCCACCATATGCTGTGTTCTTTCCCTTTTTCTCCTGCCAAGAATCCTTCCGCCATACCTCCCTATATAAATCAGACTATCCTTGCCCTGTGCACAGTCGCTCGTTACTTTTTTTTTCCCTTATAAGTGGTTCGTTTCCGGTTTCGCACCCATTTCCACCTTATTCACCTTTCTTCCTTTTCCACCCCAAATGGCTCAGGTTGCTTCCTTGTCGTCCACTTCTGGCGTCTCGTCTTTGTCCGCGTCTGGTGCCTCGTCTCGTCCTTCCGTGCAAAAGAAGGGCAACGTTGCCTCGTTCACCTCGAACTTGACTGCCGTGGATACCTACGGTAACGAGTTCCAGGCGCCAGACTACACCATTAAGGACATTTTGTCGGCCATTCCCTCTGAGTGCTACCAGAGAAGAGCTGCAGAGTCTTTATACTATGTGGCCAGAGACATTGTGTGTATGGTGGCCATCGGCTACGTGGGTAACACCTACATCCCAGAGTTGCCTAACGCCTACTTGAGATTCGCAGCATGGGCCACCTACTCCATTGTTCAGGGACTTTTTGGAACTGGTCTTTGGGTTTTGGCCCATGAGTGTGGTCACCAGGCATTCTCCGACTACGGCTGGCTCAATGATTTGGTCGGTTGGGTGTTGCACTCTTACTGGTTGGTGCCTTACTTCTCGTGGAAATTCTCTCACGGTAAGCACCACAAGGCCACTGGCCACATGGAAAGAGACATGGTGTTTGTTCCAAAGAAAAGAGAGCAGTTCATCAAGGGTAGAAACGCACACACTCTCGAGGAGATCGCCAGCGACTCTCCAATTTTCTCCTTGTACACTATCCTTGTCCAGCAATTGGGAGGTTGGATCGCTTACCTTTTCGTCAATGTGACCGGTCAGCCTGTGGCCAAGACTGGTTGGGGTATGAGTCACTTCAACCCAAGCTCTGCCATCTTTGAGGCCAGAGACTACTGGTACATTGTGTTGTCTGATTTGGGTCTTTTGATTCAGGGTTTTGTATTGTACACGTGGTACAAGAACTACGGTGGATTCAACTTGCTTGTGAACTGGGTCATCCCATACATTGGAGTTAACCACTGGCTTGTGTTCATTACCTTCTTGCAGCACCTGGACCCTAAGATGCCCCACTACGAGGCTTCTGAGTGGAACTTTGCTAGAGGTGCTGCTGCTACCATTGACAGAGAGTTTGGTTTCATCGGTAAGCACATCTTCCACGACATTATTGAGACCCACGTGTTGCACCACTACTGCTCTCGTATTCCCTTCTACAACGCTCGTCCTGCCTCCGAGGCTATCAAGAAGGTGATGGGTAAGCACTACCAGCACTCGGATGAGAACATGTGGGTTTCTTTGTGGAAGTCTGCTAGATGGTGCCAGTTTGTCGAGGGAGACAACGGATTGTTGATGTACAGAAACATCAACGGCAACGGAGTTGCCCCAAAGAAGACGGCCTAGATGCATTTGTCTTAAGGTATGGCATCTGCAATTAGAGGTGACGCTAGCGTCCAGTTGGCTTCATCATTAGAGTATATATAAAGAGGTTACTGTGGGAATAGACTATGCGATGCCAGGGATCAACACGCGAGTAGCTGCGGCGTACTTGGAGTAGTCAGGAAAGAAAGATCCAAGAAATTCTTCCTCGTACTGAATTCTAGCCTTGAAGAATCCATGTAATTTGTATGTGCCCACTGCAGCCATTACCCAGTTTCCGAGGATGATCTGCATGCCCACATACCACCAGAAGTAGCCAAAGTAACTGGGATGACGGAGGAAGCGGTAGATACCCGAAGTAACCAATTTATGCTTTTCGGTGTGTTCTCTTTGCACATAATGATTGAATGATTCACCAGCAGTGGCCATGGCTAGGGTCCGGCAACCTTGACCTACAACCACTACTAAAACTCCGACATTGAGAGAATAGGTCAGGTAGTTAAAAAAATAGTGGACTGTTACAGTTTCAACAACAGAAGCAACAACCACAAGATGCAAATCTCTATCTGTAAGAATGAACGAGTCGTCATCGACCTCCGCTGTGTTGTAATATGCTGTGGTGAGAAACTCAAGCATATGGAAGATGGAGGTTGCAAGGCCATAAGCTGCTAGCCGAAAGATAGTTGAGTTGGACAGATTGAGCCAGATGATTGCTAGAGCTGCCAGAAACACTGCTCCAAGTGCAAAAGCTTTGAGAGCCACCACATGGAGACGTACTGTGGGGGATTTCATTATGTAGAGTGTTGATCAAATATGTGAGAGATATGTAGGATTGATAAGACGAGATGGAGCTGGGAGGAAAGGAGAAATTGGGATGGGGGAATTGCCGAGAGGATAATTTGGAGAAGTGATTCGATTAATTGGAGGAATCAAATTTTATGATGATTGGATAACCGGAGATTTTGATAATGATAAAGATGAATGGTGACTATGGTTGAGGTCAAGGATGAAATGGGAAAGTGTGTCATAAAGTAGAATGTTTCTTGGAATTGGGGTTTTATGCCAATCGAGTATCAACACATTATGGTGGAAGTTTTTGACTTTATGTAAATATTTGGTATTCTTCATGGTATATTTGAAGTATTTTGTTGTCGCCTTACAGTTCTATTTGAATCATTTGACTTTCAGTTCAGCTCAGTCCATATATACCTACTGGTAGCCGATCGTTTCAAATAGTTCTATGAAAGATAAACACGTTGTAGATCATTCACTACAAAATTCAATTTTCTTTTTCTTCATTCCTAATAGATATTGTTTCTCCATTGTCCATTTTCCATTCAGTAAGGTGTGCCTGTAAACATTTCTTGAGATTACGTCAAATTTGGAGATATTCATAAAGTACTCGTACACCTTCCTAACATTCATGTTGCGCTGAATCTTATCCATGAGACAACTAGCTTACCAATGGCTCACACTCACTCTTACGACGTCACTCTCCATCTATGGCCTACTATATACGCGCAACACACATCTCTCAACTTACATCCTACTCTGGAGCTTCTTTCACGCCAGTGAGTATCTCACCACCTACTACTATCTGCCACGAACTGTCACACCTTATTCGTTTTTAATGTATGGAGCACGGGGCTCAATCCACCTAGCAGCGGTCCATGTAGCCAGTATTCTCGAGCATATCATCACATTGCGGCTCTGGAATGGACATGGAAGCATGTGGGGAACACCACTAGCAATTGGTGGAATTTTCATTCGAATGGCAGCGATTGCTACTTGTGGAAACTCTTTTTCACATTATATCGAGACAGGAGCTCGTTCTGGTGAAAATCATCCCAACCAGTTGATTACACATGGCATCTATTCGTGGTGTCGACATCCAAGTTACATTGGGTTTTTGGTGTATGTCGTAGGTATGCAAGTTATCTTGGGGAACATTTTACTTTCTTTATTGAGTGTAATTGTTTTGGGTCGGTTTTTCGTCCAGAGGATGGGTGTGGAGGAGTGGATTCTTGTGAATCAAATGTATGGCCAAGAATATGTGGAGTACCAGAAAAGGGTAAAACGGATGATACCTGGGGTGTACTAGCTAAATTCGAAGGAAATTGAAAGAGCAAATCTGTCATCACAATGATAAAACAATTGAACATTAGCATTTGAAATCACTAGTTAGGGAGACGGAAGGTGGGAGGCCATTATAGATGTGATTGAAACTTCGATAATGAGATGCTTAAGTAGCAGACGGTTTCTTCAATAAAAGGGAAGATAAATCGTCTTAACCACGAACTCATTACTAATACTCATTAGTGTCGGTCGTAGACAACTTCAACATCCAGATTGCATATATTAATGATCACTCAATTTAAGATCAATCGTACTCTTAACTGAAAATCACTCAATTCCTCCTCTGAAGACTCTTCAAGTCTTCAAACTTGTCGTTACTCACTGAATTATTCATTCATCTCTCGTACCCAGAATCAATTGCTCCATCTACCATCCTTCAATTGTCCCATTTGATTGAATCACTCAATCAACACCTACACTGACCTGTAAACTTCTCGTTCCTATATCCTACAAACTCTTGTTCATAAACCGTCTTCTAGTGAACGATAACCAGTACTTGCTGGGAACGTTCTCGTCATCCGCATAGATTCTCTTCAATAAACGGTCAGCTAACTCCTGGCGGAACTGCTGCAAGTAACCACGCAATAAATCAGCTTCGTTTTTGTTGCCTGGAGCCTGGTAAAGCGCATTCAATGGGAAGCCAATGTCACCTGGCAAAGCAAAAGAGTCCAAGGCCAAGTTATTTAGTGCCCGCACAGCCTCCTTGTAGGTAGTTCTGGCATTCAACTTGGACAAACAATCACTGACAAACAAGATACCGTAGATGAGCAAACGGTCGGCAGGGCCCTTGATGTCGAAGTTCTTGAAAAAGGAATTTGCTCTAAACAAGTCAAGAGTTTCCTCGATAATATCGTACTCGGAGGTTGGCGGATACGAAGGACCACGGTACTGAGTATGGATTGGCAATAACACAATGTTGCCGACGGTTCTCTCCGACGATTCGTTGAGAAAGGTGGAGTGGTAGGCTGGCATTGTCAATTAGATAGGGAGATAGTAGATTAGTGAAATCGGAGGTAAGAGTTACCTTTGGGGTGTAAGAATACATGCAGTACGCTTATATGGAGACAATTGGAAGGTATTAAGAAAAAGATGGAAGGGATCCGCATGATATGGGGAAACGATGAGAAGAATTTGAAAAGGGATCGGAAGAAGAGTAATAGGGGGATTTGCAATTTCAATTTCAGCCCTTTTTTCACAAAATTATATCCAGATATAGTTTTTGGTGGGCGATCAGGTCAAATATGAAATAGTTCCCATCAAATGTTGATGCCAAGCCTCCGAGATGGATACCAGAAACAGGATTCATCAATTCTTTATTAACTTGAGATTGGATATCACCTTATGAGGCGGTTCTGTCCGTAGTTAGTGACTGAATGGAGAATGCCCTTGAGCTATCTGCAGACGGAAATACGAAACCATCTAAAATGGAAACACTCACAAAAAAATCGCTTCGAGGCGGCGGAAAAGGCACAACTTATAGTAAACTGCGCATTTCAATGGTCCCCAAAATGTAAACTTCTCAACTTGATTATATTTTAATCTAAAGTGAGCTCTTCTGGATAAGTCTTTACACTTGTAGATCATGGAAACATACACCTGTACACCATTACATTCGGATCACCATGGTATGTTGATGGATCCCCACCGAGTCCTTTGATAAAGGAAAATATTCGAAAAAGTTAATCAGAAAATGAAAACCTCGTTGTCAACCTACCGATATCTCGTTTCCCCCCGCACACGATGATTCCGCATTACACTTAAACAAAAGTGCATTAATCTCTATAAATAAAATTGGACCATGTTCCTGCACATACACACCCGACCATTCCCACAGCAACAATTGTGCCTTAATTGGAACTCTTCCACCAAAGGCTACTACGGGCAATAGACTTCATCGAGCAGCACCTTTTTCTTGAAAGGCAGGGACTGGTCATATCCAACTGAAGAAAACCCTTACCTCCCGTGCCCCTACGTCCACGCCCACGCCCGCACCTTCCTCCTCGTCCAATTCCTTCCAGTCTTTTATCTCCCCGTCGTCTTCGTCTTCTCTCTCCTTAGTATAGGCGACACTTCCGACCCTTACACACGATTCCATTGCCGGAGTCCGTGCTGAAATCTTTGCTACGTCTGATCTGGCCGACGCCGATCGCTTGACCTCCACTGTTTCCACAGCCATTTTTCACCGATTTCGGTATTGACCTTCGTCAAGTCGGAATTACACCATGGCTCACTATAACCGGCCTTACCAGCCCGAGACCTTAAACGTTCCGGAGCACCTAATACCTCAAGGGATGCTAGACCCGCGTATGGGGCTGGCGAATGCCGACAACCAGCCGCAGCTGCTGAATTACATGATGTCTGGACGGCCAAACCTGCTGGACAATGTTTCGCATCTGCGCCACCCAAACACTCAGCATCAATTTGTTCAGAGCGGGCCAAATGGAACCGAAGCTCCTCATGTTCACCGCCAACATTATGGTACCCAAATGAATGGACCCAGTCGTCCCAGAGTTCAAGGTCCTGGCCAAGGATCGAATCAAGGTCCTGGCCATGGCTCTGGTCATAATGGTCCGACCATGAAATTGGGATTAAATCAGGCAAACGATGTGCAAAAGGATGCTCTCCAGTACCAAACGTACCCAGACTACCAACAGCACCAACAGCACCAACATCACCAACATCACCAACATCACCAGCAACAGTATTCCAATCCTCAGTCCCGTCTGAACCATCACAATCACCAGAATACTCAGAGGCCGCAGATGCAGTCAACTCAGACTTCCCCCGCCTACGGCCAAGGTTTTCCAAATGGATATGTTGCCGGTGGTCCTGAAAGCCCTAGTGCATACGCTCCACAGATGAGATATCCGAGTTCTGAGTACCTTCCAGACGGCCATCAAAGATCAAATCAGCGGACACAGGGCCCACCGCCACAAGGTGCCAATCGACCTCATCCTCATACATTGAACCAATCATCCAGACTGACTCATCCATATGCTCTGTCTCCTGTTGGTTCAGGCTTTGATGCCCCTGTGAATCCGGGTCATGGCCATGGAAATCAAGGTAATGGAAACCAGATTCCAATTGAACAATCTCCATATCAACAGGCTCCTAATCAACAAGTCCCAATACAACTAGCTCCAATTCAGCAGGGTCCGCTGCAATTCAATAACTCCGCACACGCTAATAATGGCAGAAGGCGGCCTCCGCCGTCGTCAGGTTTCTCTCAGGTCCCTGAAGGCAGAAGAGTGCTCACCACATCGTCAACTGAGCCTCAATTGGCCATGAATTCTCAGGGCCGGAAGGAACAGGATCCAGCGGATACCCGGACTAAATCCTTGTCCAGCACGTCCATGAAATATAACAGTTCCTCTGGCTCGAATCACATGGGTGCTAATCAGGGGCAGAGATCAGTTTCCGCTAGTAATGCCTCTTTCTCATTATCGTCAAAATCACGTTCATTTAGTTCGTTGGGTAAGTTGTCTTCGTTGTCCATGAAGAAATTCTCCAGTTCGTCTTCTTTACAGAAAGCGGACCGCGTGGTGTCGACCTCAACGTTGGCTTCCCAGAAGACTTTGACATCGCAATCAAGAAAGCCCGTGGTTTATCCTGCAATTCTTTCAAGGGTCGCAAGAACATTCAAAGAACATATGGTTTTGACCATCAACATGAAAGACGGCTTGGAATACCATGATACATTTACAGGAAAGAATGCTGTCGATGTCCTTTGTAATATTATCCGCACAAATGACAGAAATTTGGCTTTGTTGTTGGGTCGTTCGCTTGATGCTCAGAAGTTTTTCCATGATGTCACCTATAATCACAGATTGAGGGATTCGAAGAATGAAGTCTACACTTTCAGTCGTGTGTATAGTGAGGTAGATTACTACCATGAGGATGGAACTAACAGCAACAATAATTCCAACAGAGGTTCTTATGTGGGTAATCAAGTTCAAAGTGCCACGCAACCTATTGGTTCCACACCTCCTTACCCAACTTCTAATCTTCCTCCAAGTGTTCCTGGGAGTCCCATTGAAGGTTTTACAGGAAGTTTTACAAGTCTCAATAAGGCAGGTGAAGAAGAGGCCCCTGCTATCGGTTTGAACGGTGTCTTTACTATTTTGACAGATTGTTACTCTCCAACATGTACTAGAAACCGCTTGTGTTATTCTATTGCATGTCCACGTCGTTTGGAACAACAAGCGAGACTCAATTTAAAGCCTAGAGGTGGATTGAAGAGAGCTGTATCTAAGCTTTCATTGCATGATAATGAGCCTGCTCAAGCAAAAACATTGTGGTACGAAACTGTTGATCAATCTGTTCTTGATAAGCTTGATAAACAGGAGAAAATGAGACAAGAGTTGATTTACGAGCTTATTTATACTGAGAGGGACTACTTGAAAGATTTGGAGTTTATGACAGACTTTTACATCATGCCTTTGAGGAACCCAGCTAATAATATTATTCCCGACAGAGAAAGAGATGCGTTCATTAGAACAGTTTTTGGAGGCGTCAACAGTTTGCTCAGACTTTCCAGAAGTTTGAGCGAAGCTTTGACTTTACGTCAGCAATCTCAAAAGCCCGTGATTGAGACTATAGGAGATGTGTTTCTTCAATATGTGGGAAATTTTGATCCATTTATGGAATACTCTGGTAACAAGGTATTCGCAAGTTACGAGCACGAGAGACAGCAACAGGTTAATTTCAAATATGCTCGTTTCTTGGAGTCTATTGAAAAGAGGCCAGAGTCAAGAAAGCAGGACTTGTCTTCATTCTTAATCAAAGGAGTTCAAAGACCAGCAAGATATCAATTGTTATTGGGAGGAATCTTGAAGAACACTAAAGAGAGCTCTCCAGACTATAAGAATCTTGTCCAAGCTAAGGAGGAGATTCAAAAAGTTTTGGCGAAAATCAATATTCAGACTGGAGAGAGTACTGACCGTTATAAGGTCATGGTTTTGCATAAGCTCTTGGGAAGACAGACTTTGGAAGAGCGGTACAACTTCAAGTTAACATACAACAACAGAATCATCTACCAAGTCACGTTGAGCAGAAAGAGGGATAACGAGAAGATCGATTTATATCTATTCGAACACGCATTATTGTTGGTAAAGCACAAGGTTCAAAACAAGCGAGAGGTTTACAAGGTGTTTGAGAGACCAGTTTACTTGCCATTGTTGTTCATGAACAGCGGGTATGAGACCCCAACTTTCAAGACCATTCTCAATTCCAGAGAAGAGTGCTCGATTGTTTCCGATCTGAGCACCAGAAGCAGGCCTGAAGTGTCTGCTTATAATCCAGTGTCTTCAAACCAGCAGAAGTTCCAAATCAACTTTTTTGGATTGGGATCGAATTCGATGCATGTGTCTTTGTTTGCAGACGACTTATCGAGTCACAATCAATTATTGCTGCAGGTGCAGACACAACAGAAGAAGTTGATCGAGAAGCATGATATCTTCTCTTTAAGTAAGTATGAGACCAGAAGGTTTACCGGAAACAACAGAATCAACTGTGGTGTTCCATGTTACGGTGGAAAGAAATTACTTTACGGTACTGATTCCGGAGTTTGGGTTTCGACCGTGCGTTCCATCAGTATGACATCCAATGAAAAGATCTGTTCTGACCCTACATTGGTGATAAGCAAGTCATATGTGACGCAAATGGAAGTCTTAGTCGAATATTCCAAGTTATTGGTTTTGGCTGACAAAACATTGTATGAGTTTGACTTGTCTTGCACAGACTCCCTTGACCATGTTAAAAATACAAGAAGTGGAAAGATCATTTTGAACCATGTTTCTAGCTTCAAGACTGGTGTGTGTGTCGGAAGATTGCTAGTTTGCGCTGTCAAGTCAGGAAATGCAAGGGCCATCAGTATTGTTGAGCCCACAAATCCCTTTGACAATAAAAACAAAAACAAAAACAAGCGGTCTGAAGTTAAAGAGATCGTGTTCACGTCTGACCCCATCTCGATTTCATTCTTGAAGACTAAGTTGTGTATTGGATGCACCAAGGGATTTGAGATTGTGTCGCTTGAGGCTGGCAGAAAAGAGCCTATCTTGGACGAAGCTGACCCTTCTTTGGACTTTGCAACGCAACGTGAAAGCGTCACGCCATTGGCCATTCACCGCATTGACAAAAACTTCTTGTTGAGTTACAGTGAGTTTTCGTTTTTGATCAACCAGAACGGATGGCGGACCAAACAGGATTGGGGAATCTTCTGGGAAGGTTCGCCCCAAAGCATTGCATTATTTTATCCATATCTATTGGCGTTTGAGCCAGGCTTCATTGAAATTCGTGACCTTGAGAGTACCGCATTAATCCGTGCTCTAGTTGGAGAGAACATTCGGTTCTTGCATTCGAATGAACACGAGGCACTCTATGTTTGTGACGAAAACGGTTACGATATTATTGTGTCGATTGACTTCTTGAATTTGAAGCCGAAGCCTGCCAAAAAATAGCGGAACCCGTAAGGGTCGATTTACATCCGCGAACAGTATGTACTTAATAAAACTCATTTGACAGCCCGGGAATTCCGGTGCCCCTGAGGGAATTACAAATAAATCCGGTTGTTATAAGCAAACATTACCGAGATGATAGAAAACAGAGGCTTAGGTATGTACGATGTCTTCACAATGCATTATGATGTCGTGTCTATGGTCAAGATCAATGCGACCCTAAATAAGCGGAGAATTCGGATATAGTTGCATGTGACAGGCCGTTTAATGTGCACTCCGGCGCGCTCAGCAAGAGAATACTTGGACAAACTTCACAAAGAATATTTTCTTTAAGCAACATGGACTCCATCTTCAAGTCTACTGAGCCACTCTTCCAGGTGAGCGTCCCGTCTGTGGAACGCCCCTTCGGTATTTATTTGTGGCCACTTTTCTCTGCTGTCTTTGAGAAGATAATTGGTTACCCAGCTGAAGAGTTTGAGTTCGTCAACGGCAAGACCTTCTTGGCCAACGGCAGACATGCCCTTAGCATCATTGCTGTTTACTATGTAGTGATTTTTGGTGGGCGTGCCCTCTCGAACGCAGTGAATGCCCCTGCCTTGAAGTTGAACTTTTTGTTCCAGCTTCACAACTTGGGGTTGACCTTGGCTTCATTGATTCTCTTGCTCTTGTTGGTGGAACAGTTGGTTCCTATCTTGTACCACCACGGTTTGTTCTATGCCATCTGTGACAAAAAGGCATTTGCTCCTAAGTTGGTGACATTGTACTATTTGAACTACTTGACCAAGTATTGGGAGTTAATCGACACTGTTTTCTTGGTCTTGAAGAAGAAGAAGTTGTTGTTTTTGCATGTTTACCATCACGGCGCCACTGCACTCTTGTGCTACACACAGTTGACCGGTAACACTTCTGTTGAGTGGGTTCCAATTGGATTGAACTTGGCCGTGCACGTTGTCATGTACTGGTACTACTTCTTGAGTGCCCGTGGTATCCGTGTGTGGTGGAAGGAGTGGGTGACAAGATTCCAGATCATTCAGTTCGTGTTGGACTTGATCTTCGTGTACTTTGCAACCTACACCCACTATGCTTATGCGTACTTCCCATCGCTCCCACGTATGGGCGACTGTTACGGAAGTGAGCTTGCAGCTTTCTATGGATACTTAATTTTGTCGTCATACTTGTTGTTGTTCATCTCATTCTACATCAAGGTATACAAAACTGCTGGCAAGAAGTCAGCTAAGAAGGCTGAAGGCGTAAGTGTTGGCCAAGCCACAGGAGCAGAGGTTGCAGGAAGCAAGGCCCGTTCCAGAAAGGCTTAAAGACGAGTAGGAGGAGATAATTAGCTAATTGCGGGCGTGATTTGGCTGAGGCCATATTTTAGAGAGCGTTCAAATACAAGTGGTAATGATGACATGTAGGAAAGTATCCAGTATATGGAAAAATAAGTATCTGCAGAAGAGCAAATGTTACGATGGGCTTCGTGCAGGAGTCTTGATGAATAGGAGAAGCAATGAATGGAAGCAAAAAGATGGATAGGAATTACTGAAGGAAACTTCCGGAAGATGGTTTTTGAGGGGCAGTCACCAATGTCTACAGAAACTCAAAAAATCAAGAAAGTCCTGCGATCCCCTGATATTTCCAAATTAAAGTTGGGGCGGAAGCTGCGGCTCCTAGATGAATGTTTTTTGCGCATCATTTGACACCTGGAGCAATCGCGAAATTAAGAATACTAAAGTGCGATCGTCGCAGTGCACACAGCCCAAGAAACGGCCGCACAAACCAGCCGTGCGAAATTCCAGACCACACCAAGACCTATGGCCAAGGCGACAAGAATCCACGACAAGCAAGCAAAAAACCAAAATAAGAAAACCAAGCGAATCACGAAAGCAAAATTTAGCCGCCATTCCAATCCCATATTCACAAGACTAAATGAACCCAGATAATTTAACAATTGCACTCTCCTCTAGATCGTTTCGCACAATGTCGGTTCAATCGTAGTGCCGTCTACCGATGGCCTGGTTCCATGGAGAGCGAGGCCCCAAATTCGTGGGGCTTACACTCCACCACCCCACCCCGTCCTGCCCTACCACAATACCCAAAATTTCAAGTAAGCTTCAAGCCCTTTTCCAACAAACACGGCCAGATATTCATTGCCGCCGTAATGCTTGTCGAAGTAGTCCTGATCCTGATGATTCCAATTCCGTGCTGGCGGTATTCCGTCGGAGTGTGCATCTCTGCCGTGCCCCAGTACCCACTGCGCCCGCGCATACTCGGCTCGGGTGGGATCAAGCTCATCCCGTAGTTACCTCCGACACCTTACCACCGTGCGGGTTTTGAATATGCGGAGCCGGAGAAAAAAACGAACGCAATTGTCAGCGAGAAGCTAACTTTTTTTTTTGGATTAAGGATTTTTTTTTTCCTCAAACTTCCATTTGCTTCTATATCTCTTCGCTTCGCCGCCGCCACCTTCGTTTGGTCAGACATCGCCACTGAGCGTTAATGCCGCACCAGCCGTTGTCCCCGCCAACATAGGGGTTCCACGGAAAATCTCGGGGTGCGTATGGGCACGGTAGGGCTAAATCTGCCGAACATGTCAGCCGTCCGTTCCTGTAAATAGCTCTCACCGGAGGTGGCGGAACTGTCTACCGACGTTGTCTCTATCCGGTTGCTTATATATCAGGGCGCTGTCGTCGCATGGATGTACGAATAACTTTTTGAACAAATTGGTAGATAACAAAGACTAACAGGTTATTTAATCCATAAGGACAATCACATCATTTCTCCCTCCACAACTTACCATTAAGTTTATATCCTTTGCACCCAATAGCCGCCCTTCCGTTCATATCCACCATGGGCCACGATCTTGCTTGCCAGCTCCCTTCCATTAACCTGCTCTCGTTAGATCTTCCACTACCGAGACTCCAGTACTACCCTGTTTATTACGACCAGAATGTGCCTCGCCAGCCACTTCTGATAGGTGGCCTTGTGCACGCTGTCCATCCTCTTGGAGTGTCTAGTGGGGTCGTAAATGCCGCGATGTCGCTGGCCCCACTGGGTTTAGTAGGACCTAGCTCAATTTCGCATGGGGGTCCAATCTCTGTTGGCGCATCACCCGCCACTATTGGTGGTGCATCATTCGTTGCCTCCCAAGCTGCGCAAGTGACCCCAGCGGCTCCAGTGGCGATGCTGGTGCCCATGGGTCACATGTCGGCCATTGCCCAGGTTTCTGCTCCAGTCGCACTTCCTAATGTCAAACGTGAGGTGCCTACCATTGTTGCTCCGCGCGCACTGCCGGAGCCCTCCAGTCGCGCGGCAGGGTTCTCTGGTCTTACATCATTGGCGGTGGCTGCGGCTGCCAACGACTCATTGGTGCCCCCGCACCAATATCTTCAAAATCACAGCCGCAGTCACAGCCCCAACCACGCCATCACTCAGGATACCACCAAACCTCAAAACCAGACCCATAGCCCAGACCATCACAGCTCTTATCACAAGCATGTCCATCATTCTGATCCTGAGACGAAAAACATCTCCAACTCGGTATCAGCCGCATCCAGCGCAGTGTCGCTGCCCTCTACATCTGCGCTGTCGCTTGATCTTGCGGGACATGAACTGGCTCCAAAGGGACACTCAGCCGCGCTGTCTACACCCACCAGCCCCAAGTCGCCCGAGAAGGACTGGAAACCCCGCAAAAAGCGTCAGTGCCCGGAGTGCCATCTTTACTTCTCCAATTTGGCCACTCACAAGTCTACTCATTTGAAGCCAACATCTCGTCCTCATGTGTGCAAGTTGTGCCACCGGGGCTTTGCAAGACCCAACGACTTGTTCCGCCACTTTAAGTGCCACTGGAAGGAGATTGGTGCCGATAATGGCCAATTCCGCTGTCCTTTCAAGAGCGGACCCCACGGCGACCACTGCTGCCATACGCTGGGAATCTTCTCACGGTGCGACACTTACAAGAACCATTTAAAAGCCATTCACTTCCAATACCCTAGCGGAACCAAGAAGAGCCAAAGGAACCAAGTTCCTGGCAACTGTCGCTTATGCCATGCTCAGTTCCGCAATGTGGACGAGTGGATAGCCACCCATATCGATGCTCACCAGTGTCCATATGGCATGAAATAACTGCATTATGTATCATGTCTTACGATTAAAGTTGTAGAATTTTTGGTGGGCTTGCTACATCCTATTGAACTGTCATTCAGTTGATAAGGCCCTTGTTCCTTTCCACTTAAGTTTCAATTGTAATTATCTTCGTTTATTGTGCTTTCTAATTTCCCTCCGAAAACCCTTCAATGTCTCGGTGCGGGGCACCTTTTTTCTATGTACCGCACCTCGTATAAACCTATCAATTGACTTGCTGCTTACTTGTCACAAATGTTCCGAAGTTTCCGAAAGTCAAGAACCCGCCAACCTAACACCATTATGAGCTTACGAATAATTAACCGTAAACCACAACTCATGATGGTCTCCCTGTTTACTCCAAGATTAATTCCGCCCATCCGTGAAGTCCGTGCGAACGAAATAAGCTTTTGAACATTAATAATACTATACGATATACAATACTATATCCATTTTGGGTGACATGGGGATAACAACTGAAGGGGAAATACCAAAATCCTAATCCTACTAACGTCGCTGGCCCCGGATTTTGTTTGGGTATTCTTACTAATCAATTACTTATCGGTTGGACTGACAGAAGCCGCGGGAAGAACCCACAAATTATTTGACTAACGGTTATCGGCCCATTTTCAAGGTTTGGCCCGAAGGCCGGAAGTCAATGGGACTAGTGTCCTAGTGTCTAAAAGGGAGTTTTTGATGGACCAAGCTCTTTGAATCGAATGCATCCTTCAAATTGTGGGGTCCAATTTGTCAGAGGGATTGTTATTTTTGACAAGTTAGTCTGTTTTAAATCCGAGCCGATGCCGATGATTTTTTCCTCCGGATATTGTAATCTCCGTCGGTCAGAAATTCCTATAGTCGAAGGCATTTTTGTAAAAGGATGTAATTTCTCATATTGAAAATAATTTTTGGAATTTCGGATATCAACATTACGTTTCATTGATATCTTTCTATTTATGTCGATACGTGTCCATTTCTGTCCCTTTTCGATTTTTGATTGTCTACCTCGGCTCATTCAACTACATTATTTTCCGTCTTCTAACTCATTCGCACTGCTCTACCACTATCTTCTAATGTCGATCTCCAAACTAATAAAGGTGATTGCTGCCATTTTTGCAGTGTCCACTTATAAAACCCTCCCCTTTGCATATTTGCTCCGCTTCCACTATCAGGTGTTTGCTCATTTGGTTAGAAAAAGACCTCAATACCTCAAGACTAAGCAAAATACCTTCGGTGTGGGAAATCACAAGTTGGACATCTTCCGTGCCGTCAAATACTCCACCTATGCCTCGCCCTTAGAGATAGATATGTACTTGCACAAGTCCAACTCCACGTACTTGTTGGACTTGGACATTGCCAGAAGCAAGATGGTGCTCGTGGTTTTCCAGAAGTTGTTCATGCGGTACTGGGGAAACGAAAACGGTGAGTTCAAGAGAAAGTCTATCAGAAATTCTCCTTTCATTCCCGTTGGAACCGTGCAATGTGTGTTCCGCAAGGAGATTTTCGTGTTTGAACGTTACGATATTATTTCCAGTGTGATGGCCTGGGACAATAAGTGGTTGTATGTGTTACTGAAGTTCGTGGCATCCGACGGAAGAGTGTGTTGCATTTGCGTGACAAAGTACGTGTTCAAAAAGAAGGGTAGAATCACCATGAGACCTCGTGAATACATTGAGGAGATGGGCTTATACAATGAAGATGTGGAAAAGATCAACGAACAGAATTACAAGTTGATAGACCACCTTGAGACATCCGACGGCTTGGAGGAGTTGGCCGCAAGAATGACTCCTTAGATTAAACATTAGAGAAACCTTCAACGGTAGCTACACTGGTAAACTAACACTAATATATTAGAGAAATATTACGCAAGACCGAATCCTTCGTGGCCCTCTGTAATGGCAAGAAGTAACGATCCACGAAGCGTCTCATACGAGTCGTATGCGGGGAGATCCACTTGGTTGAAACAAGTATGCGAGGAAGGCAACCGTTCCGTGCTGCCATAGTCTCGATGAATGCTAAACTTGCAACCTCCATTGGCTCCACGCAACTCTTTGAATCCATTAAGTGGAACCTTCGAAGTTCCCGTGGCAAACTGGAGAAGTTTGGCCCGTTCTTCATTGTCAAAAGACTTCACTGCCCTCCAGAACCATTGGATTTGCTCAGAGGACGGAGAATAGTTAACGTATGTGGTATTGTTTTGCCAATCATTCACATCAATATCTGGTAACCCACTGATTAACAACTCAAGCTCTTGCTCATCGAATATTGCAATCAAATCTCGGGGAATGATCTCATGGAATCCGGCAATGAAATTGTTCATCTGCTCAATCACCGAGGTCTGCAATCTATACTCAACAACCAAACGCACATACTCTTGCTTGTTGGCTTCTGTCACTGGAATGTTGCGTCCATCTGGAACAAGATCGATAATCTTGTGCTCGCCGTAGTCGTCAGTTTCGACGGAAAAATCTTCGGTAATGATGTCGGTGATATCGTTTTCAAGCATCCACATCAAAGACTTGAAATACTCCAAATCAAGATTTTCCATATCTTTAAGAGATACGGGACGATCCAAAATTTTCTTGTAGACGGCTCTACTGAAATGACAATCCAAGAAGCAATCATCAAAGATAGCCTTACCAATTATCCTTCCAATGAATTTGAAGAAACTTAGATGCTCTGGGTTAATGTAGGAAGTTCGGTTCGGATGGAATGTAGTCTCATCACTAGCAACAGCCGTGAACAATGCATAGTCTGGGTTGAACATCTGTCTGGATAAAACTTGATACCATTCTCTTGTAACACCACCAGCATCAATTCCGGCTTCTCCTTTGAAATTAACTTCCAAGCGGGAGTTTCGGAATTCCTCAACGGATTTAAAGAACAATGACCGGTACGAATCGAGGAACACTTGGTCACGGCGGACGTTAATGGTCAATTTGTTGTTGCTGATGTTTTGTTCATGCAACTGACGGTCAAAATAGTTCTTCTTGTTGTCAAACTCCAAAACCTTTGGATTCCTAACCAACATACTAAAAGGACCACTCATCAAGTTTGGATTGGACCTTACCATCAGATTCAATATCTTCTTATGCTCATCTGTAAATGAAAAGAATAAACTCTCAATTGGCTCTTTGGTGAAATCAATTTTCTTTGCCTCATATTTCATGACATCCTTGATCTTGAGTTCTTTCACTCGACTGTGTTTGCAAACAACCATAAGGGCCTCAATTAGTGGAAGCAAGGCAGTTGCCACAGTCAACAAGTTGGAATTCTCTTCCAAGACTCTTAAGCAATCACTGAGTGCATCCCAGAGCATTCCAAGTTTGAGATGCTTGTATAATCCTCTAAGCTCATCGATGTCTTTCAGATTCTCAGCGATTTGTTTGTTCCTACTTTCAAACATGTAGTCCAAGGCCGTCAAGATTCTAAGTAGCTTAGATTGATCTGAACTTGCCGCAGTGAACTTGCTTATTTCCTTGTTATTATCACTCAAATCGATGATATCGTCCAACCTAGCCGTCAAACTCTTCAAATCTTTGATGATTTTGTCACCCAATTCCGTTGCTCTCCCCGATAATTCATCTGAAAGTACTTTCTGAGCATTTTCCAATAATGAAAGATGCTGCATAGCGCTGATGGTTCTTCTGAACGTGGTATTAGCACATTCATTGGATGTGAGGATACGAACCATTAACCTCATATTCATATCAGGGATAAAGTTGGTATCAAATGACGTTGGGTGCTGCTTTGTGGTATCACGGAGGAGCAATAAAGGTCTGGTTGCGAAATGCAAAACATTGGCTAGCAAGTCAACGAAGAAGTGTTCCAGATTAAGTAGCGGGTTATTCAAAAGATTAAGCAAAAGATTAATAGGATATCTTTCTTCAAGTGACGATTGTGCCTTCAACTTATTCTTGCGTTGATTCTTCTTCATAATGAAAGCATTTTCATGGTCAGTCAAAAAGTAAAACCGTAAAGCACTGTTCTTTTCAAGGAGATAATAGACAGCTTCAATAATTTGCACTCCGATGATAACCGGGGTAGCTCCGACAGGAAAGGTATTGTTGACGTCAATCTGCTGTGGTTTCACATTGAGAGCCCTAGCTGAAACTTGGCCAAACATCTTCTCCAAGGATTTTTGACTGTGGAGCCCATCATAAAGAATAGCAATAAGTAATCCCATTACATCAGTTCTTGTAGCCCTATTATTGCACAATTGCAAAAGAGTCAGGTAAATCTGACTCCTTTGATTGACCGCTCTTGGGGCAAACAACAACCTCACCAACCCGGACACACCAGCCCTATCGATTAATGGAGAACCAAACACTTTCTTTTTTGTCTTATTTGCTTCTGGTTCAATTGGAGTTTCAGCAGGATGTTCCATAGATGCATCCAGCATATAGCCCTCCTCATCGTAATCATCCTCTTCTTCTTCACGATCCTCATCGAAAAAGTCTCCATAACGGAACTCAGAGTTAGAGGAGAAACGGCGAGTCATTGACTCCAGCTGCAAAATTTCATCTCTGATGGAGTCAGGCAAAGCCTCAAGGAAGTCAGGATCAATTTCACGGATTTCGCTATCGTTGATAGATGCGTTTGCTCTGCGTTCTCGAACATGTTGGGTAAATACTTCTTGACGCATATCTTCAGGCAATGCTTCAAAAAATTCTGGATCAATGTCGGTTCCGCTGATATCAACTTCACGATCACCAATCCAAAGCATGACCGGCTCACGCTGTGGTGCAGGGTTGTTCTCTTGCTCGAGCTCTCTCTGCGTGGCTTCCTCATCACGCTTCCTCTTCAATTCTTCCTTCCGTTTTCTTGCTTTTTCTTGACGTTCTTTGTTGATCCGTTCCTTCTCTTCAACTTTCTTCAAGTAGATTTGATAGCTATCACCTGAGATGTTTTCAATAATCTTGGTTCCGACTGCTTCAAGGAATTTTGATTGAAAACTTTGGTAAAAAATCGAGAAGGCTTCTTCCCATCTCTCGCTCGTTGATCTCATGTACATGTTGTCAAACGAATTCTTCATCGAGAACCCATTTCTGTTATTGAGAATAACTTGAAAAGCATTATCAAAACGAGGCAAGAAACTACCACCCGATCTTGGATTGACAATCTGGAAAGATGGGCGGTTATTACCATTTCCGCGAAGTTGAGCGAGATCAGCTAGAAGTGAGCCCGAAACTGGCAGAGTACGGAAAACGTCAAAGAAAGAAGTTACAAACTCTCTAGTAGTTCTTGAATTTGGATCTTCCCCAATGACCTCATCATCCATATCAACTTCGAAGTTACTTTCATCCTCAGTAGGAACTGATTCGTTCTCAGAGAGGTAATCCATTTGCGAAACATCATCTTGGCCATCTGCATATCGGTCATGTAGTCTAGACAAGCGATCATCACGGCTTCCCTCTTCTTCATCAGCGAAGGCTTCCAACCACTCATCCAATTCGGCGTCATTATATTCTTCCTCATCATCTTCCATTTCTTCCTCCTCATCAAGGAGTTCATCATCACTTACTTCTTCATCATCAAATCCGTAGAAGTCCGATAATTCTTCGTCGCTTTCAGATTCAGATTCATTTCCGGAATGTATTTCAAGCTCATCGATGATTTCAATGTCGTTTGCGCTATCTTCACTATCGTAACCTTCAAGATGTCTTTCTATGTCTTCTTCCATTTCGTCATCCTCAAGATCTGAATCAATTTCTGAATCACCAGACAATCCACTGTTTTCCGACTCATTCTCTGAAAGATCAGAGCCTGAAAGCATTTCATGAAGTGGGCCCTCTTCATCGTAGTAGTTCTCCTCATCTTCGGTATCAAGGTCCACATCATACATTCCCAAGGTAGAATTTCTGAATAAATCAGGAATTTCTTCCTTGTCGTCGACGTCATCCATGTCATCTTCATCCTTCTCGGTAGGACTATTCGATTCGAAAATATCGGCAAAAGCTAATTTAATCTTTGCCAAACTTGCCAATGGCTTAAGACCTTCTTTAATTACCCGCTGAACCTGAGGAAAGTTCAAATCTAATTCAGCAATAACTGAGGAAATCTGACATGGCAACTGATTGTCAATAAATGCAGAGGCGAAATAGAACTGATCCACCTTTGTAGCATTCTTACTCAATAAGGGATAGCCAACTTCTTTGAACTTATTAGAGAGAAGGCACCCGCATAAATCAAATAAGTCATGAAGTTTGCTGTATGAAGTTACTGTCTTCGTTACTGTCGACAGGGTTGTTTTTAGGATCTTAGAAATGATTCCCACCAAGAATTTCCTGACGATAGCCATATCTGCATCTTCCTTTTTGGGATCAGGCTCCTCATCACTTGGCAAAACAGGGGTCGATACAAGTGCAAGCAAAGCAATTTTCGAAAGTGAAGATACAGTTTCCCTTCTATCGTATTCAGATGGAGACGAATCAACGAAAAGTTGACTTGGAATCAACTGATGGATAAAGAAGTTCAAAGATGTAGAACGAGGCTTGTTCTTGTCTTCCACTATATTCTTCTTTGAAAAGGTAATAAATTCCAATTTTGCCTCTTTGTATGAGCCCAACAATTCAGTGAGTGCCTTTAACAACACGCAAATATGACCGAAAATTGGTGATTTAAAATGGATCTCCATTGATAAGTCCTTCTTTTTCTTGTTGGAACTCTCGTTTTCATCCTCAAGAATTGGCAGAGTAGCCCAGTCAGTCTTACTTAAAGACATCAATTGGGATAAGAGTAAATGGACTAGACCAGTAGGGAAGATTTCCAGAGTATAATTTGCATCCTTCATATCAACATCTTCATTTTGTTTGTTTTTCGTACTCTGATCAACAAGGAACACCACGTCGCCTGACTTGCCGTTGAAGTTGTGAAGACGAAGGAGCTTTGAAGCTGTTTCGATATACTGATTGGGATCACGGCTTACCAAATTTTTTGTCTCGTCCAACAACCTGGTTAATTCTTTTTTCTTTCCTGAATGCTTCGTCATCAGATGTACGATCTCGGCTGTCATGATCGTATCAACCAAAGATTTGTTCTCGAAACATGCCCTGTTTACCAAGATTAGAATGTTCTGAAGCATCATATAACCATGGTGATCTTTTGACTTGGTATAGACAGAAACCTTCAGAGTTATGGTTTCCAAAACAGAAGATGTGGCAACTTGAACCTTGTACTTGTCATCTTTGGCAAAAAGGTATAAGAAACGGCAGATTCCAATTGCAGCCTTAATGTTCTCTTTCGGATCGAATTTAGAAATAGCTTCCAAAATGGTAGTCTTTAATTCTTCAGTTACATTAAGGTTTGGAAAATAAGGTTTCACATCCTCCAATAAAGATGGTGGAGTTTGACTGAGAATAGGCTCAATCAAACTCAAACCAGCCATAAAGTAGTCGGTATCTGCTAACTCTGGCTTCATTGAAAGTTCCTCAACAAAGAAATTTAGGAAAGAATCAAATGCTGCTTGTTTTTCATCATGAATCTTGCTTGGAGAGACAAAAGGATCATGGCAAAGTAGAACTTCAAGTAAAGAAATTAATCTTCTCAATCTCGAAATCTTTTTTTCAACATCTGATCCAGATAAGGACTTTATCTCAGCAAGTAAAGTATCATAGACTGTCTTATTGAGTCCTCTATCCTTCAAAGTTTGCGCAATTGATTTATCAACATCCTTAGTGAATGAGCACAACTTCAATATGGTCGAAGAGAATAATTGGTCACCTTCTCCACGCTTTATCGCAAGAAGCTGTTCCCGAGCGTCTGTATGCACCGGTTCATGTTTGAATTGAGGTAAGTCATCAACGGATGCAAGCTTTGCCAAACATTCTGGCCATTCGGGATCATCTTCAAAATCATCCAGATCCATCTCTGTCATCTTTGAAATAGATTTGGCACTCTTTAAGTAGCGGAGGGCGGCTTGTTTCTTGACTCCCAAATACTCCGTGAGATATTGAATCTGGTCTAAAGGAGGTGTCATGGCCATATGGTTAAGAGGATAAAAGTCAGACACCGGATCAAGAGCCCAGACTTGACGTACTAAAAATACAAGTTTCTCAGCAATAACAGATGGAAACAGTTCAAAGATCGAAAAGTCACCCGATGGAAGAAGCTTGGATTTGGATCCAAGTGTATTGACAATAAGGTTCATTATCTGGCAAGCCGCCTGCGAAGTGATTCCTTCAACTATGGCGGGATCATGTTCACAGTATTCTTTATCGTAGAAGAGGAATGTGAATGGAAGCTTGGTAACGAAACCATGTGTCAAGAACAAAGCAAGGAAATTCAAACACGTTTTCAAAAGGGAAAGTTTGACGGAGACAGGGGAATTTTTCACACTTTCTGTGTCCTTGAACTCGCTCAATTCTTTATATGGCACTTTGAGTAATTCGTTGAATGTACGAATCGAATGATCCACGATATCTTCAGCGATGTTGGTAGTGTAGAAAAAGTACAGGATTAGGGAAGTCGAATATACCTCTCTGCCCTTATCCTTACTCGTGGAGATGAATTTAATGGTATCAATTACAAGCAACTCATAGTTGTCTGCCTCTTCTGGTGCCAATTTCTTACCAAACTCCAACAAACCTTGAAGACCGGTAGCCAACCTTTTGGTGGAGACAACAGCAATCCTTCTCCATTCATCTGTGAAATAGTCCTGTCTCCTTTGCATGCAACTTCTCGAGATGCAGTTAAGGATGAATGCAGAGTTAAGTTGGAAACGGTACATGAGGAATCGCAACTGGAGAGTGTTGTTGAATTTTGCTGTTTTTGGAACATTATCCTTGTCCAACTTTGAATGCAAAGGGAGAACTTGGATGGGACAGTTGTTGGGAGGGATGTCCAAAACAGCGGCTGTGCCTGCTATTATAGAATCAGGCAACTTGAACCGGATGAAAATCTCCTCTGTAGTCGAACGGCCAAACAATCTTACCAAACGGTCAACAAAGTCTTCATTTCCTTCGAAGTAGTTAATGAATGCCAAGTATCGTTCATTGAACATGATGTTGGGCGTCAAGTAAATCTCTGTGATTGTAAAAAGTAAATTGGCGAGAACATTGAACTCCTTGAGCTTCTCATTAGCAGAGGTGATATTATCATCAAGTCTGGTGAAGTAAGAAGTTGACAGAGTGTCATTGATGAAAGCCAATGCGGTTTCAGATTGCAAGAGCTTATCAAGACTTTCGAGTATCTTAGGAAATCCGTAATTTCGATCTTCATCATCCAAGTACTTCAAGATCGACATGAAATTCATCATGCCATCAGTTGCCAGGTAATCAAAGGTTGCATTCTGTAAAGTAACAAAATTCTGAAATGAATGGAAGTCGATTTCTCGGATACAATCTTTTCCCCATTGACCACTGTCTTGGAGTAAACCACTCATAAAACTGAAAACGTTGTCAACAAGATTAGAGCCTTTGTTTCCTTCCCAATCATCGATTTCATCTTGGCCGACTTCGTTCATGAGGACCTCCTCATCCGCACTTTTGTAAAAGTTTCCATGCTCTTCAGACACATAGAAATGTATTGGTCTTATATGCTGGTTGGCAAAACTTGGGAACTCCTGAATAAGCTTCTTTAATTCAAACATGATCACCGGACGCAAACTAGGATAATGCCTACCTAGCTCGTCCATTGAGCATCCAATATTGGTACTCATATCTGCGCGCATTAATTCTTGGGCGTAGTCAACGTTGTAAAAAGATTTGAAATAAACACCGATAGCATTCGATTCTGTGACACTTTTCAAACCTTCCTTATTTAAGGAAATAGCACCCAAGACTTCGAGAAGAGACATCAATAATTCAGGAGATGGCATGAAGAGGTTCTCATAATTGGATAAAATAGTTTCAATGACATTAGCCTCGCGCAAAATTGAAAATGCAGTTGGCTCGTTATGAATGATGTACAATACAGCATCCAAAGTTGATGCAAGTACGAATGGGCCAAATTTTGATGGGTTCATGATGATCTTGTTGAAACTAGTCAAAATGGAGGAGTCGAATAGATTTCTTAAACGATCGCCAGCTTCTGACTGAACAAGATGAGAAACAAGCTTTAGTAAATTTCTGGTATAGTTTGCCTGTCTCAAGGTGATTGTGTAGTAAACAATTACGTCTTTTGGTGGACCTCCACCGAATCCAGGATTGTCTAATGCAAACTGAACCTCGTAGTTTATAGTGTCAATGAGCATCAGAAAACCGTTGTTATTTGCGAACTCTGAAATCAACTCCGGAGATGTGGTGAGGAAAATGGCAATAGTATTAACAGCTGCAGAACATGTCCACCTGAATTTGGTGTGAACGTTGAGGAAAGACATCAATTCATTCAACATTCCTCCTGAAGCTAGTCTTGGAGTCAATTGTTTGGAGTCCACAAAGTTTCCCAAGAGCGTGAAGAAGCTGAGATAACCTTTCTCGTAGCAGTTGTCGTCCTCATTTCTAATCTTCTTATTGATATGTCTCAATAGCTGATAGATCATACCATGGCTGACATTGGCACCCAAATGACGGATAAGTTCAGTATTCCAGAAGCGCCTCATGGAAATTGATTCAAGTGCCTTCACAGCCGCGTAGAAGATATCATTAGTGACAAGATGTGAATACTCTGGCGAAATGACATCAACCAAGAAACTCAAGGTGTAAGGATCAGCCTCAAACAAAAGTGAGGAAGTGTATTCCGTGGAGCAGACAGAGGACACGAATGCAATTGCGCAGCACTTGATTCGAAGAAGCTTAGCACGTAATCTTAAGGACTCATACAGTCTGGTGTTGAAAGCTTTGGCATTCATGGCTGACAAAGAGAAAGAGAGCAATGTCTCCTGGGGCAAAACTTCATTCGCCTTGTCGTAGATCTGCTCCAAGGTCATTTTTCTCACTTGCTCTTCGTTCAAATGGAATGTGAGCAAGCCTTCGGACTGAGATGATGCGTCCTTCTTTTTGTCCTTCGATTTGGGTTCTGCTTTAGATGCCTTATAATATTGGAACAGAATCGCCTTCCATTTAGAAGGATACTTCTTCTTATGATCGAGTGTATCCACTAGACTGTACTGGTCATCCTTCTCGTCTTTCTGTGAGTCATTTGATGCTTCGCTTTGTGACTTCTTCTGTAGAAAACTGGAAGGAATTGGGGGTGGAAACGCTTTGGCAACGTCCAAGGCCTTTGTTCTTACCGCCTTGGGCACAGCAAACCGCTTGCTCTGACTGGAGAGCACAAAACGTTCTCCAAGAAAGACAGCCACCTCAAACGCAGCCAATTTCACGTCTACGGTGGCTGATTCGAGTAATTGATAGATACGCTCAGAGCTAGAGTAGATGCTGCGGTTCTTGCAATGATCCAAGAGCATGGCTGTGAATTGTAAGCAAGCAACCAAAAGCTCACAGTCTTCCGAAGCAATTTCCCGGAGCTTACGCAGATCTTGGTCCAAGCCGTATTTGGCAATCTGCTTAGCGAAGATATCATCAAACAAATTTAAAACCCGGATCCATACGAACAAATCACCCGTGGGTTTTTCCCATCTCATATTATCCTGGAGTTTGCGGGCCAAAAGCGACTGGTCCACCGAGCAAATCTCGTCGATCAACGGTAAGAGAGGTTTCTCACGCTCAAGTTTGTTCAATTTGCTTCTTTTGGACACAATCATGGTTTTTTGACGATGGTCTTGGTTTTTTGGTCTTCAAAGTCAACTTCTCACCTGATGTAATGATTCTAAGACCAGGAGGGGAGAAGGCAGCAAAGTAGAACAATCAGATGAAGCAGCGAAAAGCAATAGCCAATTGTTGTACACAAATAAGTTTTAGCAACTGGAAATATCGAATACTTGCTGGGGCACTAAAAGAGTGATTGAAGGAGGGTAAATGGGAGGCAGAGGTGTGGGGGTTTATGTGTAGAATCCTACAAATTAAGTGAGAAGACTAAAACTCTAGAACATCAGAGAACTTGAGGTGCGAGACCATCTGTCGAGGATTTAATATAGTTCGTTTTGCTTGATATTTACTGACTTGCTGCGTCTGGATTACTTAGTTCGCTTCATCTTCCTTTCATTTTTGTACCACATATACCTATCCTATTCCTTTTTATGCATCATGTCTACAGTCAAAAGCAAAAAGTCCATGCTCCCGCCCATCAACTTGATTTTCAAGTACTTACAGCAACAGTCGGTGGTTACGATATGGCTATACGAACAGACACAGCTGAGAATCCAGGGCAAAGTACGTGGATTCGATGAGTTCATGAACATCGTGGTGGATGAAGCCGTGGAAGTGTCGACGAAGGACGGGTCTAAGGAAGAATTGGGCCGTATTCTCTTAAAGGGTGACAACATCACCCTCATTTCAAGTTTGGATGTATAGTTGTGTATTACCTGAATACTATTTGATAGAAGTTCTCTTTGACTGTTTGAATGATATTAGTACCAAATCGCTGTCATTTTCATTGTAAGAATCCGTTTCACTTGTGACTTCAAATGTTTCGTTCCTTCCAACCTCACCGCTTCCATTATTATCCTTGTTATAGTTTGTATTGGTGTGACGTTTCCCATCACCTTTGTCCTTGATATTATCTCTGTCCACTTTGTCTCTATTTCGACTCTCCTCTTCGTTACATCGCCTATCACTATTTTCTGGCGTCGTTTTCTCTATCGACTCCTTGCTCAACTCGAAACTCACTCTCTTCTTCTTCTTGGGTGATTCGTCAAACTTTCCATGTCGTATTTTCATCCTTCTCTCTCGTTCTTCCTTCAGCACTGTCGACTTGTACAATTGGATCTGTTCCTGTCGAAGTAGATGATTTTCATCTTTTTGAAGACTAGACTTTGGCTTCGGCTCGACCTCCTGGTCAGGGCCAGGAGATGTCATGGTTAGTGATTGGCACTGTGTAGAGATGAGTGAGCATAGTTAAGACTTGAGTTGGTGATGACCAAGGTAATGAAGAATTAAGGGGGGTTGGGGCATGCTGATAGGCTAATTGCTGAAATTATATAATATCAGACAAATGGAATACTAAAATATTAAGGAAATTGCCAGGGCTGATAATATTTTGAGCATATATGAAGTTCTACGGAACTCTTGACATCTACAGTATCTATACGAAGCAGTAGAAATACTATTGTCCATAACGAGAACAAAATTTACCTTTCCCACCAATGAAAGAAACTATCCGAAGGCATGTGAGGATATCAGAATTGACAATTTTATGTTATGTATATTTTCCATACCCCCTACTTCTCCCTGACAGTTTCTTAACCTCATGCTACCATCCAAAAGTACATCCGTGCCCCACTATATAATACACTTCAACCTGTCACTTCATAAACATGATGATTCAAGCTAACCACGATACACCTCTTTTCACGAGGAATCGTTTACATTACAAGCCTCCGTCATTCCCCAGGATAGACCGGCACGAAATTTTATATGACTTCTCCACCCAGAATGACTTCAATTCGAACCTGAACAACACTTCTGCATCGGCCGTTGTCACTTCCACAACTTCCACTTCATACACCTTGTTCATTGTTGCATTTCTCAAATCTTTATTTGATAGGATCAAAGTCATTCTAGCCACTAAGAGCAGCTCGAACTCTCAAGGTGCTGAGGACTCTCATCAAGAGGAACCACTACTACAAGAAGATAAATTTGGTACCTCAACCCCTCCCGAGGCACTTGATGTGTCTAGTTATGAGAAGTCTGAGTCGAAAGAACCTCGTTCAGTTAATATTCTCCCGTCGGACTTGAGCGTTATCTCCATCTCTGACTCTTCCCAGGACAACCTTTATCAATCTATCTTCCAGGTAGATTCAGATGAAGAACTCGATGGAGAGGGTCAGTATGGTACCAACTTGACCATAGACCACAAAGCTGGTCATTATAATGACTGGTCTGCGAGCACTTTTCGCCATGCAAATTATTCGTTTCTGCCAATCATTGACGATGTGTACTCAGACATTTTGAAGCCTCTAGACGAATATGATAAGATTGTTTCCAAATTCTATACACCATTCCGACCTGTTCCAAAAGCAAGGTATTCCGTGACCGACGCGGTGCTCTCTGCCATTCCTTCAAAACTACCTACCAACTTCCTAAAGAAAGAGAGAGAATCTATCCAAAACCTCATACATAAGGAGAGAACGACCCTCAGAGCTGTGGTTACACCGTTGACTCCCGATCAGCTTCAAATAGTTGAACTGTACTGGCGAGCAGGAAGGTCCTCCCAGCATATTGTGTCTGGCTTCTCCATTGATATTACAACGAAAGATCTTCTGACACTCGCCGATCGCCAGTGGCTCAACGACAATGTTATCGATTTCTACTTGAACCTTGTCACTGAGCTGACTGAGCTGGTGTATTGTTGGACCACCCACTTTTTCACCACATTAAAAAAGAATGGCTATAAGGGTGTAGCTAGGTGGGCCAAGAGAAGGAAAATCAACGTTATGACAATGGATATGATCGTGGTACCTATTAATAGTATGAACACACATTGGTCAGTCGCGGTGATCGACAACCTCAACAAAACAATCAGCTACTTCGATAGTCTTTCGTCAGGTGGAAATTTGCATGCGGTGCAACTTCTAGATCAGTACATGCTGAATGAAGCCGAAAGATTAAATGTTCCTCCTCATAAATATGATCTTCAGCCTAGTATGAAGACACCTCAACAACAAAACGGATTTGACTGTGGAGTGTTTACGTGCACGGTATCAAAATACATTGCAAAGAAGGCACCTCTCCTGTTTAGTCAAAAAGATATGCATACCATAAGACGAAGGATGGCCTACGAGATAGTCCACAAGACTTTGCTACCAGAAGGAAACTTAAGTCCAAACTTATAGTCTGATATATACAATATACATTAGAAACCAAACAATCCGGTCTTCTTTGGTTGGGAACTCATGTTCTGAATCTCCTTAACTTGCTGCTCGTAACCCAGAACCTTGTCGGTGGATGCAGAAATCTTTTTAGCCACATACTCCAATCTTTCCTTCATTAACTTGAGATCTGAGAGTCCACCTATCTTTGCAATTTCGTCTTCCAACTTAGCGATCTTTGCATTTTCCAACTTAATAAGTGCGTTGTAGAAATATGTCTCATAAACCTTGAACACTTTCTCGTCCGATACCAATTCCTCAAATGCAGCCTTATATAATGGTCTTCCAGTGGTAATGCTGCTAACAATACCTTTGTCTCTCTTTAACGCAATTAAATCGTTCTTCTCCAACACAGACAAGGTGGAAACTGTATCATAGCTAGACGTGAATAATGGGGATTTGACCAACTCACCGAACAGAATTGAGTCTTCCTTAGCTAAAACTCTCATCAAAGCCCAGATCTGTGCCGTGTTCCAAGTCACATCACTTCCTGCCGAAGGGTTTTCACTGATGTTCAAGAAAAAGGTTGTGATTTGTTCAGCAGCTTGGTGAATCATCTCCTTTAATGCATCGTTGGCACTCTCTCCTGACTTCACACGTCTCACAAACGCTTGTAAATCAAGCATTCTGCCTCCGATGGGCTCCAAGCATTCGTCAAGGTTGTAGATATTCTTCTCCGATTGGAGCTGCAGGCTCACGTATTGCCTGGCACTTGCCAGTGAGGCATCAGCCAAAGAAATGGACTTGAACACTTGGTTGGGGAGCGCAGCAGTCAAATGCAGTGTACTTCCTGAGTCCAGCGTGATGAAAATGACATGCGCAGTGTTGCTCTGGATAAGTTGACCAGCCCATTCAGCAAGTCCTTTATAGATAAAGTCGTTGCTGCTCTCGGCCTTTCTCAAAAAGTTGTTGATCACAATAACGGGCTTAGCCTCTGGATTCAGTTGCAAATAGTCATCTTCCTTGATGTCCACGAACTTATCGACTGAATCTCCAGAAGTCTTCTTCTGTTGCTGGTGTTCGTACTCACACTTGAAAGCGTCAAAATTGGCCAATGCAACCTTTCTGATGGCAACCAGTGTCAACAGAAGCATGTTCTTAAACTGGGTTTCCTTGGACTCACTGAAACCTGATTTTTGTCCAGTCAACCCCTGCAAACCCAAATCAACAAACGAGGATATTGAATTAGTCCAAGTGAAGAGTGGGAAGTACCCTAATTGGCTGGCCGTTGATTTCAAGAAGGCATTATCACTTCTAGATTTGATTAAAGTGTCACAGTCAATCTCGAGAACTCTTTTCAGGAATGCCTCGTTGAGGTGCAAGGCATGCTCCACAACAAATTCACGCTTACCAGAACCCTTTGGACCCTTGACAATAATGAAGGTGTTGGCGTTTTCACACACCCATAATTTCACCTGATTTGCCTTCTCTGTTCTTTCGGACCAGAACATGTCAGCGTCTAGATTCTCAAGTTCGGGTGAGTCCTTCTTTTTGCCTCTCAACAGACCAATGGAATCGTCAAGGAAGTGACGGCCGTCGTTGATGCTAGAGACCACTAATCTATAAGGAGTGTAGACTGCTTTCACGAACCAGTTATCCTTGTGGGCATCCAACGAGTACACATGTCTGATCTTGAACTCAATGAACTGTTCTCTAATAGGCTCGAAGATGAACACCGCAATAGTGGCCAAAAGAGCAAGGAGCACAGGTATTGCAATACGCTGATGATTAACAATGAAGTCCTTGATATGATTCACACTTTGTCTTGGAATGTACTGCAAGTGCAAGCTCGTTTTACCCTCGTTCAATACCATTCCCGTCAAACAGTTTTTAGCTCTGATACAGGCATCGGTAGTCTTGAATATAATTGTAGCATAAGGAGTCGACGACGAAATTGGAATTATATCAATAATGAGACCGTAACGTCTAAACAAAAGATACAATTCTTCTTCCGTCAACGGCATGCCATCGAACTTGACCTTCAATTGCGACGATGGGAATCTGCTCAAATCCTCGATCCATGGTGTACCTTTCACCCTATATGCCCTTGGATACGAACGAAAAAGTGTCAAGAGACCACCAGCAATCAGTTCATATGCGGCCTTGTTGTCCTGAATATTCTGCTCAATTGTCTCTGTGAGTTCTTTTAAGTTGGATGTTGGAGGGACAAGAAACTTAACAAAAGCACCACCATCTCTTCTGAAAGGCACGAATTCCTCGCATTTGGTACCCACGGGTAACGTTTTCTTGTCCGATTGGATTAACTTGTTGACCCTGTCCTTCAACTTGTCGTCATTGAACAGGTTGCGGAACTTCTTAAGGAACGAGAAATACCTAGAATAGCTCAACTTGGTCAACCATCTAGGATATACGTTGTCGATGAACATCAAAACTTCGGTCAGCTTCAGGTAGTCCATAACACCGGTTATTTCTGCAGACTGCTTGGAGTCATTAACATCGGTTTCACTCTTCAATTTCTCTACATCAGATTTGCCAGCATCAGTGGAATTGAATCGGACATTGAGGTTGGGGTAGTTAGCCCAGTGTGGAGCCAAAAGGCGTGAAGAACTGGACCGTACGGCGTAACCCGAAAGTGCCAGTCTAGAAAACATGAAGGTACGCCAATAAGTTCAATTGATGGCAAGAGCAATACAAGGTTTATGGAGTGATTCCTTTATAGATTGCTACTACTTGTATGCAAGAGTGTCTCAGATCAATCAAGTCCAGCAGAAGCTGCCAGTTCCGCTCCCCTAGCGTGTCTAATTTCCTAGTGACACTGTAAGAGCAGAGCCCAATTGATGGTGAATATTCTTCTAGGCTTCGCTTTGAATCACCCTACCATCTGGGTCGGTAGGGGGATCTTCGAAGAAGCCAATACGTAACACACGGGTCTGCACGTGCACAGCCATATCCACCAGGTTGAGCCTGCTAGGTATGGCGGAACACATGTAGAGCGTGTCTAGGTTTATATTAGAGGCAGAAAGAAAAGAGTATGTAGAAAGTAAATTATCTGAGAAGTTTTTCGTGAAGATATAGTGTACATGCAGTATTGTAATTAGGGTTAGCTGTAGAGATGGAAATAGGCAGTTACGAGAAGGAAATTTGGTATGGATGGAAAAGAAATTTGAAGTTTTATAGACAATTGGATCTAATATAAAATTAAATGTCTGGCTAAAAAGAAGTTGGTTTCGTCTAATAAAGTAGTCTGTTGTGCACAGTATAGCAGTATTGAAGTTCACTTAGTCTTGAGACTCGAAAACTCTGTACCAAAATTATCAGGCAACATTTTGATGGTTCATTCTTACCTTTCTAAATAGCCAGCTTCACATAGCTTCCTTCTGTTATACCTTTTATACCTTCATTCGTGCTCCATATATACACATGAACTCATAACTAATCTAACGACTCTGCAGGGATGTCAAGCTGCTTAAAAAAATCACGGGTGCAAAGTGGACGGACCTTTGAGTCTAACACCTCTTCTGATTTCTTCTTACCATTCTTGTAGTTCTCCCGGATATACTCTTTCATGGAAGCGATTGCAGCCTCCCGACAAAGTTCACGGAGCTCCGATCCAGAGTAGCCCTCTGTGGCATTAACAACCGTCTCGAGATTGAAATCCTTGTCGAGATTGGCGTCGCGTAGAATCTTGTTGAGAATTGCCCTTCTCTGGTCCTTGTCTGGTTTTCCAATCGAGAATCTCTTGGGTAATCTTCTCATGAAGGCCAGATCAATATCTCTTTCACGGTTAGTGGCGCCCATCACCATAACGCGCCCATTAGAAACCAATCCATCCCATAATGTCATGAACTCGGCCTTCAACATGGCACTGACCTCGTGATCACTTGAAGATCTGTCTCTCAAGAATGAGTCAATCTCATCGATGAAAATGATGCACGGCTGCAACTTGTTGGCCAAAGAGAACACAGCATCTACAATCTTGTTGGACTCTCCGTACCATTTGTCCATGACAGTCAGCATCCGGATCAGGAGAAAATACGCATTGCTTTCCTTTGCGATGGCTTTGGCCAACATGGTCTTTCCACAGCCGGGAGGTCCATAGAATAATACACCTTTGGGACTCTGTACCAACGACAGATACGCAGAAAACAATTCCGGCTCTGTAAGCGGCAAAATGACAGCCTCATGCAACTCATCTATGATATCCAGAAGTCCACCAATATCATCAAAAGTGACTTTAATATCATCAGGAGAGATTAACGAGTTGAGCAAAGACTTCTCATATTCATTCAATACAATTCCCTTAAGACTGTCATTGTTGGCCTTGAGTTTTTTCAACACATTTGAGCTGTTTTTCTTCAGTTCCTTATTTCGGACCGAGTTGTCGATGGAATCATTAAGCAAGTGGTTGATCATGTAGTACATGGAGAGACCTGCTCCTGTGAGAAAGAAGAGATCTCCCAAGAGCTTGAAATTGAGTTTCATACCCCAGAGCTCTGGCTTCATGTTGTTGTTAATAAGTAGTTGCCAATAAGAAGTTTGGTGGTCAGAAGTTGCCTTTCTCACATGGTCCTTGCGGTGTACGGGTGTGTACCTACAGTTGCCAACTGTAGTAGGAAAGGACACCGTCAAAGAAGAGAATCAATAGACAAGATTCTGTTTGCTAGAACAAAAATCTATTGATATAATTGAGTGCTAAGAAGCTCTATGGCTCAACTACTGTTGCATTAATTTCGATAAGACTTTATGTAAATTTGAGGAGGTACGGGTGTCTCCACACATACACGATATTTGGAACTTTTGGCACCCATCTCATCTCACCATAATGGCTAGGTTTGATTCAGAAGAACCCCACGGAATTAGACTTCCGGGTCAGGTTTTGGACCAAATCCGATCCAAAGAGGAAAGTGGCGACTATAATGATGCCCGTTTTGGTACCAAAAGAAAAAAGTCCCAGAAGCCAGTTTCTAGAAAAGATAAGAGAAAGGAAGAGAGAAAACTCAAGAAACAAAAACGTCTGAACCACCAAGAGCCGCACAAGATTCAAAAATTTGAAACGAAGCAATCCAAGGCTCCAGGTAAAGGACCTTCCAATTCCAAAGCTATCAAAACCGATCCTTTGGCTGCTCTCGCTGCATTGAAGGCTAAGAAGAATAAAGAAACCAGTGAAGTGAGAACGGTGAAGGCAGACGAACTCGACGATCAGTTCTCGGATGAGTTCGATGACTTTGAGGATGAAGAGGTGGATGAAGATCCCTTGGAAAAATTGCGTGCTCTCAAGGCCAAAAAGAAGGGAAGTCTGGACGTTAGAATCGTGAAGGAAGATGATCTTGAAGATGACCTTGAAGATGACCTTGAAGATGATTTTGATCTAGGAGATGGTATTACAGTAAACTCAAACGACGACTCAAATGATGATTTTGGCGGGTTTGAATCTGAAGAAGAGGACGAAGAACAAGTGGAGGAGGACCCGATGGAGGCGCTCAGAAAGCTTAAGGCTGGCAAGAAACAGTCCAGTGAATTGCGAGTGGCAAAAGAAGATGATCTCGATGATGAAATGGATTCGGATGAATTTGATAACCTTGATGAGGAAGCTGACGAAGATCTTGTAGAAGGAGATGAAGATTTAGGTGATTTCGATGAGGATGACTTTGATGAACAAATTTCAGATCTTGAAGATGAACAAGAAGAGGACCCGCTCGCAAAACTCAGGGCCCTCAAACAAGCCAAGACTAGCAAGGCTAAGAAGGAGAAGGTCATTGAAGCCACATTTGTGGATCCTTTCGAAAACGACTTGGAATTCTATGCCAAACAGTTGGGTCTCAAAGATGGAAAGAAGTCCAAATTGGGTAAGACCGATGAAGATGACGTAGTGGGTGGCTTGCTTGATGGTCTTGACTTCGACTATCTCGACGGATCAGAGGAAGAGTCGGAGGGAGATTTCGGAAGTGAAGACTATGAAGATGAACCGGATCATCCCAAAGAAAATCCTTTCGTTGCACCAGTTACTGAAGGCAAAGAGTCTGATGAGACTTCTGGAAGTCGATACATACCTCCAGCATTGAGAAGAAAGCTCGCTTTGGAGAAGTCGGAAGTTTCCGAAGAGACCCTCGCTCTCCAGAAATCTATTAAAGGACCCATCAATAAGTTATCTGAGACTAACGTTGGATCAATTGTTAATGAGATTAATGGCCTTTTTTTAAACAACCCAAGACAATCAGTTACTGAAAACTTGACATCCGTAATCTTGGACTCCGTCATCCAACAAGGAAGACTTTTGGACACTTTTGTCTACTTGCATGCTGTTCTTGTAGCAGCCATTTATCGTCTACAGGGCGTGGACTTCGGTGCCTATTTCGTACAAACTTTAATCGAAAAGTACGAGAAGCTCAAAGTTGAACCTTCCAAAATGAAGGAAACAATCAACATCATCTCGTTGTTGTCGTCTGTGTATGCATTTCAGCTTGTCTCTTCCAAACTATTATATGATATCATTAAGGCTCTTATCGATGATCTTTCTGAATCTAGTGCAGAGCTCTTATTGAAGATTATCAGAAACTCCGGAAACCAGATGCGATCTGATGATCCCACTGCACTTAAGGAGATTGTATTGCAAGTGACCAAGAAGCCTGCTTCTATGAATCAGAATGCGGTTACTACCAGAATGCAATTTCTAGTTGAAACTATTGGCTCGTTGAAGAACAATAAGCTCAAGGATGTAAACGAGTCCACACATCAATTGACCATTCGTTTGAGAAAGTTCTTAGGCACTTTTGTTTCGGGCAAGGCAATTGATCCCCTCCAAGTTAGTCTTGACGATATTCACAATGTTGAGACCAAAGGAAAATGGTGGCTCGTGGGTTCTGCTTGGAAAGGTGAAGACGGAGCTGCAAAGACTGAGTTGGTCAATACGGACGTTATGAACGACATTCTTGATAGCGCAGATGTCAACTGGATCGAGTTGGCTAGAGCACAGAGAATGAACACGGACATCAGAAGAGCCATCTTTATTTCAATCATGTCTGCCAATGACTACATTGACGCAGTCACGAAATTGGACAAATTGGCTTTAAGAAAATCTCAGGAGAGAGAAATTCCTCGTATTGTTATCCACTGTGCTGTTGTCGAGCCAGCTTGGAATCCATATTACGGAATCTTGGCTGCCAAGCTCTGCGACTCTCACTCATACAGAAAGACATTTCAGTTCATGCTCTGGGACTTGATCAAGGGTTTTGAGGGGTCTTCAGGTGATGATTCCGATGAAGAAGAAGATGTCTTCTCTGGATTTGACGACAATCAAGACGAAGACGACAAGCTCAAGAAAATCTTAAACTTGGGGAGATTCTATGGATACTTGTTTGCTGAAGGATCATTGGCTTTGCATGTTTTGCGTACTGTCAACTTTGTTGCAGCCTCTGCAGATAATAAGTTGTTCATGGAAGTGTTGTTTGTAACATTCCTTGATCAGATTGGAAAGAAGTCGCAGGTCAATGCTATCGGTGTTGGCTTGGTGGGAAAGAAGAAGATGTCAGAACAGAAGTTCGAAGACAGAACCCTCATTGAGAGACTTCTCAAAGCGAAGGAGCAGCCAGCACTTCTCAAGGGAATCCAACACTTCATCAACAAAAGATTGAGAACCAGTGACTTCATCACTGGCAGAAAGCAAAGAAAGAGAATAGAATGGGGAATTGGTGCCATGGGCGATATCATTGATGAATTTGTTAAGGAGTACGACTTTTAAACCGTATTGGGTATTTATAGACATGCTAGATATACACTATATACATAAAATAATTATTACAACAACTCGAGAATAGCCACCGACTCCACATGTTTGGTTTGTGGATAGAAGTCAAAGCCAGTGACACCTTTAAGCTTGTATTTTGCACTGGATCTTTGTTGGAATCTTTCCAAATCTGCCAAATCTCTGGCTTGCGTGAACGCATTGCAACTCACGTAAACTACGGCCTTAGGTTTGAAGTCTAAAATTTGTCTCATGAATTCTGGTGTTGATCCTTTCCTGGAAGGGTTCATGAGAAGAACACAGTCTTCACCTTTCACTCCTGATTTGAGAAACGTCTCGTCAGTGAACATGGCATCTGAATTACCATGTACAAACTCGATCTTGTCTGGAACATACAAACCGTTGATTTTAGCGTTGTGGTGAGCATAGTCAATGGCCCTTTTAGCGATTTCAATTCCAAAAACTTTTCCCTCCTCTGGGAGCGTCTTGGCTAGCGCAATCCCAAGAAATCCTGATCCGCAGTATGCATCGACCAAGTAATTGTACCCTCCGTTAACCTGAGAAAGTTGGTGTGTCAAGAAATCTAAGAACGTCAGCAAGATGGACCGATTGTTCTGGAAAAACTCATTAGCCTCAAACTGAAAAACGACGTCGTTTACTTGTTCTGTTATCACGTTCTTCCTGTTGGTAAGACACACGTTCTCAAACTCCCCAGTGTTGTGATCAATTCTCACACTGTCCCTCAAGATAAAGTTGGAGTTGATTCTTTTTGTTGGTTTTGTTTCGATGTACCGTTTCACATCTTCTTGAAATGTGCTCTTCACTTTTGGAAGCATCTTGTTAATGGACACTGCCGCAATTGGACAGTAATTCACATCCACCAACCGCTTCCCAGGGCTTACACTATCAAAGCCAACCGGAAGTGGAAGGTCCAGCAATTCAAGATGCTTATGCACAGACGAGTGTGGGGTAATTTTAGTCCTATAGGCATATTGCATTGGGGACTCCAAGATGTTGCCAAAGTTGGCGATGCTAGAAGTATCCAAATCGGGGTAAAAATAACGATATGCCCGCTGTATCACGTCACGTTTGAAATCTATCTGATCCTCGTATGTAAGCATTTGGAATTGGCATCCACTACACTCTTCGAAATGTTCACAGATCACCAACCGATCGTTTCTCTTGCTTGTTTTCCGGGATTTCCGAGAAACACTAATCAATTCTGCCTCAGCGTAATACTCGTGATGCCTTCTGAGTGTCACGTTGACGATATCACCAATGGTAGTCTTTGGCACCTTCACCACTGTCAATTCATCCCCATTGGTATCATTGTAAGAACTTCTTGGGATCAACCCGAGTCCATCACCTTCACTGGTGACCGAAGAGATCACCACATCTTTGACCTCGATATTTCCACTTGATCTAGTGAATAGAAAGTCATGTATGAGGCTTTCTGGGATTTTTACCTGACTTAGACTGACTGACCGCTGAGCAAGTGCTGTTTTAATGTCTAGATGGAGAATATGGTCACGAGACGTCTTGTCGACGGTTCCTCTTTTTGTCTTTCTTCTAAGAATGGATGAATAGGTGCTGTTGCCATACAGACGTGAAAAAGCTATGGGTAATCGGGACGGTAGGCGAGGTATCATTGGATTTGACTTTATGTAATGAGCTACATCGCGAATTAAGTGCGAGAGTATTGTAAGCAGCACTGCGCAGTGGAACCCAACTCTCGATAGGATTATCATGCAGAAGCAATAGCAGGTTGGCTAACATCCTGAGCCTCTTCGGGGTAATTTCTCAAGTCGAGACTGACAGTCTTGGAGCTATTTTCCCGTTGTTCTCTGTAGATTCCCACAAGTGCATCGGAATGCTCAAAGAGCTTACTCTTCAATGAGATGAGAATGAACTGGAACCCGGGACCAGCACATTTCTTGATGTAATGTGCGATTTTAGTCACATTCTTGTTATCTAATGCTGCATCAATCTCATCAAGAACAAAGAAGGGTGAAGGCTGGTATGAGTGAATGGCGAACAAGAGTGCCAAGGCAGCCATGGTCTTCTCTCCTCCAGATAACAAGTCCATGTCTCTAAACCGCTTCATTGGTGGCATTGCGTGGTACTTGATACCGGCTAAGTATGGCTCATCTTCATCTTCCAAGGTCAAATATGCTGATCCTCCAGTAGGGGATGCTGCAGACTTTGTAAGTTCCTTGTAAATGCCATCGATCTTGCCAGAAATGTGATTATATGCTTGCATGAAAAGCTCAGTACGGCGCAGCTTCACCTGGCTGAATCTGTCCATGGTTTTCTTTTCTGTTTGCCTGGCTTTGGTGAATTCCCTGTCGAACTCCTTCAACTTTTGATCGACTTCACGCAATCTTTCCATGGCTTTTGCGTTGGGAGTCAACTTCTGGAGGTCTTTCTCCACATTCTCGATGCCTACCTTTATCTCGGCCTCTGTTCTAATAGAGTAGTGGTCCTGGAACTTTGGATCCAACATCCCATAGTCAACATGAATCAGATATGCTGCCTTCGAGACGTCCTCATGTTCGCTTCCAAGTGAGATAGAGTCGAGGAACCCTTCTTCTAATGGCAAGTCCACGTTTTCAATCTTGCAATTCTTGAACATGTTCAAACGCTCCGAATCAACTCTCAAAACAAGTTCCTCGCAGTTCATCAACTCTTTCCTTAATCCTTTCAAATTCGTCTCGATTTCTTTCATCTCGGTCTCCTTAATCTTTGTCAACTTCATCTTGACATCAACACCAGTTTCAAGATTAACCTTCGTTTGAGAGATGGAAGCAAGGTCAGTTTCTTGGACACGAATATCATCATTCATTTTCTTCATAGTCGCTTCAATGGTCATGGCTTGTTCTTTGAAAGTGGGTAAGTCAGCCTGCAATTTGAGTATTCTGTTGTGGGTTTCTTCGATTCGCTCCGAGTGGAACAACAATTGATTTTGACAGAAACTGATAGCCTTGTTTAATTCCGCTCTCTCCCTTGCACGAACTCTGATCGCCGAGCCATGGGTATATTCGTAGTCCCTGATGCTATCCAAGTTGTGAGCTGCACAAAAGTCAGAATATACCTTCCTTTGTAGTATTTCGATCAGTTCCTCAAGCAGGGCAATTTCTTTCTCGATGGCCTCCACGCTTTCGCTCTTTTCAGTGATTAGCTTGTTCAATTCCGCGATGGTGTTCTGATGAAATGCTATCTCCCGGTTTCTTTCGTCAATCTGTCTCTGAATGCTAGATTGAGTGCTCTTATGTAATGGAATTTCATCATTGAGGACACTGATCTCCTCTGTCAAAACGTTGATGTCAATGGCACTGGGTTTGTCAGCCTTGGTTCTTTCCAATTTTCTGGTGAGTTCCTCCTTTTTGAGATTGAGATCATTCCATTCCTCTTTGCTCCAGCGACGAGTTGATTTGACATTCAGGTTACCACCTGTCATAATACCTGATTTATGGATGACTGAACCATCAAGTGCAACTAACTTGTTATCTAGCGGGCGCAGTGAGCCCCACTTCAATTCTCTAGCAACATCCAAAGAATCCACGACAATGCTGTCACCCACGGCAAATCGAACTGCTCTCTCAATAGACGGATCGTCAAACTTGACAATATCAATGGAGGGACGTGCACTTTCACTTATGGTTCTCAAGTAGTTTAAGTTGACTTGCTCATTGACAACCGAGTCCAACGGAATGAACGTAACAGTTCCAGCCCGACGCTCCTTCAAAATCTCAATGCACTTATACGCAACAGCTGTACTTTCAACAACGACAGCATCGTAGTTACGCCCGAGAACTGTCAGCAAAGCCGTTTCGTATTTTTGTTGAGAGGAACGTACAAGTTCACACATCATACCTTTAATAGAGCCATCCTTTAGAAGGTTCCGCAACATAGAGACATTCTCGCGAAGCTTCTTATGCTTTTTCGATTCGCTTTGCTCTGAAGAAAGTTCGTCTAGCCTTATTAAGGTTGCTCTTAAGTCTGCATTAAGATCAAGTTCAATATAATTGACTTCTTCTTTTCTTGCTAAAAGTGCTTCCTTCGCGATAGTCTTGGTTTCTTTCTGCTGAACGACCTCATCGAGCTTCGAATTAACATCTGCGAGTTTAGGGTTCAAATTCAAGGTGACATCAGCCTCCAAGTCGGAAATTTTCAAAAGAGCATGTTCTTTCTGAGAATTGAAGTTACGTAATGATGACAAGAACCCATCCTTATCTCCCGTCAACATGGCCAACTTTTCTTCATACTGTGAACCCGAGTTAGCAAGAAACTGTTGCCTCAAAATTTCGTAGTCCTTGATGTCTTCGGGTGAAAGTTTAATCTTCTCGTTCATAATTCGGACTTTTTCTTCGAAGTCAGCCTTTCTCTGTTGAACTTCAGCTAACTGCGTCCTGAACTGCTCCTCCTGTTGTTGCTGGTTTTTGACATCAGCTTGTAAGTCAACGATTTTCTTCTCTGTCAAGGCGATCTTATTTTCGTAGGTTCTCTGCTTTGCAATGATTGGAATGAGAGAACGCTTAGACCTTTCAGACTTTGAACGCAAATCCGCAATCGAGGTATCGATTTTCTTTGCCTCTAAAGTCTTCTCGGCGAGATCGGCTGTCAAGGCCGTGTATTCTATTTCATATTGTGAGAGTTTTTGTTTGGCCGATGTAATTTCGTTGGAGATTCTTCTTGCATCTCCTAAGAGCTGGAAATGGCGTTTCTCGTTGTGAAAAATTCGAAACAAATGCAATGTCTTGCCCAAGTCGTTCTTCTGGTTTAATTTCAATTCAAACAACTCTCGTTCCTTCATCTGTTCCTTATATTGTTTCGACTCGAAATTCAAGTTTCTTTTACGCGAAAAGACTTTCGCCGACATCTCATGTGCTTTCTCCTGCTCTTCCAAAAGCTCATTATATTCAGACACATACTCTGCTGAGCCACTTATGGTTTCTATGGACGTGGCCAAGTCTCTGGCCGATTGAGATGCGATATTCTCTATATCACCTTGGAATACTAAAAAGTTCCTGGCCTTGACAAGAATGCTTTCCTTTTTCAACGCCATGGTGTATTGGAGTGCCGTAACAGCTCTGTCGTTGATTTTATACTCAGAAGTTCCCGCAGAAGTAATTATTCTCTTGAGATTCATCACTTCTCCATTATCCTTCTCGTACATGGCCAAAACATGAGCAGAGGTAGGATCCTTTGCGGAAGAGTCACTCTCCCCCGAGGCAAGACGGCCTCTATATATCAAATCCTTCAAGTTCTGTGATCGCAATTGAGAGGACTGGACGCCTAACACGAACGAGATCGCGTCCATCATGTTGGACTTACCGGCACCGTTAGGTCCAATTATAGAAGTGAAAGCCGAATCGCCGAATCCAAGCTTGGCTGTACCTCGGTATGACTTGAAATTGTGGAGTTCGAGTCCTATAAGCCGGCCCATGGTGATGTGTTGATTTATGGGTGTTGTTCTGTTGATTTGTATACGCGTTGTGCAGGAGATGAGACATGTAGTAGTTGATGTTTGAAGTTACGAATAGTGAGAGGAATGCGAAATGAACTTCGAGGTGAAAGTGTGGATTCTGTTGTTTGAGCTTTGTAATTTAACGATAATGTAAGTCAGAAAATGGACTTAAATGATAGTTGGAATGATAAATATCATTTGTAAGTAAAATTTCGATTTTTCATTTATTTGGCTTCTTATACCATGACTGCGAAATTTACAAAAACTACCGATTGTCTTATGATTAAATTATTCAAGGTATTTCTTCCCTGACATTAGTATTTAAATCTTAAAACGCATTCTCACATCCGGTGGAACAATTCGTTTGTAATACTAAACAGATAAATCTTCCAAACCTTGACCATTCTCAATAAGTAACATGACTAAGTTCTACGCATGGAGCAAAATGGACAACACATTTCAAAGAACAAAACCTTTCATATCTTCTACAATCTGATTTTCAGATATACTATTAGTTTGTGTTTTCCCTTCTGTATGTGATATTCAACCAAATAAGGTGACGAAAGTCTAGAACATAATTACGCTTGTGTTGTTCATACCCGAAGAGACAAGGCACAGAAGGTCAACACCACAGTTGTAGTGCAATATCATCAATACAACCATAAAAAATACTCTTCAGTGTTACCTTAGAAGCACATAATATCTTTTCTGATCCAGCCTGAAAATCCAGTCTGCAGCTTATTCATTTCGGATCTTTTTCTGCCTCGTACTTACTTCTGTGATCGTTCACTAAAAATGCACACAAAAAACACAATTCTTAATAAATCTAATAAAAGATTAACAAATTCAAACCTATTTTGCTCGATGTCCTTCTTTTACTCCCGTTTCAGACGGTTCTATATATATATCCTTATCGGAGGTCACGTGCCATATCCACTCAATCTAACGGCTCCACAATTCCATTCAAACAACCAGCTCAATTCTAATTTTTCTGCCACCCGCTTATTATGGAAAAAGAAAGGTTATTGCCCTCCCATAATGAGGAGGAATCTGCTGAGGCCATCAATGCCACTTCCCCATCTTTATTCTCAAACATTTTCAGCTGTCTTCCCACCTACAAGAAGAATGACGAATCTCATTTGGATGAAATGATAGCTGCAGACGACCCTTTGGACCATGAGCCACTCCCACACTTGCCTCCAAGTCTTAAAGTGGAATCGTCCTTGAATTCTGGCGAGAGGCTCACTAAACTCCGCCAATTGATGAAAGATCATGGCATCTCTGTCTATTTAGTCCCTTCAGAGGATGAACATCAATCAGAGGAGACTGGACTCTCTGAAAAGAGAAGAGAGTTTCTCTGTGGCTTCACAGGAAGTGCTGGTATCTGTGTGGTAACATTGGATTCGAAAGAAGAATTGGAGGGTGAAGCGGCGTTATCAACTGATGGACGCTACTTTCTCCAAGCGGAACAGCAGTTGGACCCCAAGTACTGGCGCTTGTTGAAGCAGGGAATGGCTGGTTATCCAACATGGGAGCAATTTGCGTTTGAAAAAGCTGCCGAAAGCAAGTTCTCCAATGTGATCTCTTGTGACCCCAAGCTTCTCAGCTTATACAAGGGAGAGTACTTCACAAATATGCTGAAGCATAAGGGCGTGCAATTCAAGACATTGCTAGAGACAAATTTGGTGGATGAGGTCTGGGGACCTGAGAAACCTTCTCGTCCTACTGACCCAGTCTACTCCTTGCCATTGGATTTTGCAGGAGAGACGACTTCAAGTAAGCTTCTCAGAGTTAGAGAATATCTCGCGGATAAAGAAGCCACGCATTTATTGATAACTGCACTTGACGACATTGGATGGCTCCTCAATTTGCGGAGTGATGTGGACATTCCTTTCTCTCCATTCTTCTACTCTTATGTTATAGTCACTGGGGACTCTGTTGTGCTCTACGCCCAGGACGAAAAATTGAAGAACGTACGTGAGCACTTGGGCAGTATTAAGGGACTCACTATTAAGCCATATGGGCAGTTTTATGGAGACTTGTCCATGCTCAAAACGACCATTTCCAAACCTGATATCAAAATGGTACTTCCATCCAAGAACGCATGCAATTATGCTTTGGTGAACTCACTACCACAATCATCAGCTAAGCAGGGAATTATTTACGATTCTGTTGTTGCAACTATGAAGCTTTTCAAGAATCCAACGGAACTCTTCAACGCTAAAATTGCTCAAAGCAAGGACTCGCTTGCATTTATAGTTTTTTCTGCCTGGTTGGAGAACCAACTCATTCATAAGAAAGCCAAAGTTGACGAATGGCAGGCTGCCCAGAAAATTTACAGCATCAGGTCTAAACTTCCTAATTTCAAAGGCTTGTCTTATGAGACCATTTCTTCGAGTGGTCCTAACGCTGCAATCATTCACTATGCACCTTCTCCTACCCAGCATTCAGTTATTGATCCAACAGTTCCGTACTTGATTGATTCTGGTGCTCATTATTTAGAAGGTACTACTGACATCACCAGAACTTATAAATTTGGCTACGAAGGGTTGACGAAAGAATATAAGAAGTTTTATACGCTTGTCCTCAAAGGACATTTGGCCGTTGCTATGGCAAAATTCCCAGCTGGTTCCACTTCGACAGGTGCTATTCTTGATGCTTATGCCAGACAACCATTGTGGAATGAGGGCTTGGACTTCAATCATGGCACTGGTCATGGAGTTGGCAGCTTTGGCAATGTTCATGAGGGTCCTCTTTACATTTCCACCACTGCTGGCGGTGCAAGCCACGACGATTTGTTCAAAAAGGGTGCCATTCTCACCGACGAACCTGGATATTACGTTGACGGCGAATATGGATTTAGAGTTGAAAGTGAACTTGAAATTGTTGAAACGGACGATTCCTTTGGCAAAACGAGAAGTGGAGGTAAGTACTTGGGATTCAATTACCTCACCAAGGTTCCTTTCTGTCGGAAATTGATTGATGCTAAGTATTTGGCTCCGGTTGAAATCACTTGGATCAATGAGTTCCATTTGGCAGTCAAAGCTGAGTTTGGTCCTAAGTTATTGAGACTTGGAGACAAGAGGGCATATGCCTGGCTCGTAAAAGAGACAGCACCCATTTAATAAGTTAAAAGTTCCAATATTATACCCAAAATATACTGATTACTATACAATTAATATTTCAACAATGAAGTAGTTACTTCAGTTTGAATGATGGTGAGTAAAGGGTAGGAAATCCTAAACTCTTGCCTTTGGAAGGAGGCTTGGAATATGCCGGTCTCTGGAAACTTCCAGGTTTCCTCAAGCCAACACTGGGAGAAGGAATAGTGGAACCTGCTAACCCAATCTTGTTTGAAATGAAGGGCGATGGCTTGGAAATAGAAGGAGTTGGCTTCTCTGGCTTCACAATGGGGGTGCTGGTAGCAGGCTTTTTGTATTGTGGCATCTTGAGGGCACTGGTGGCATTCCATAAGTGGCTTGACGTAGTTGAATTGATGGAAGTTCTCAATTGGTCAATCTCTGATTCAATTCGAGATACCGATGATTTTTCTTTCTCAAGAAACAGACCAGAATTTTGCTCAGCTCTTGTCCTTTTAAAATCACTAGTCAGAAACTCTAAACCAAGACGCTTTCGGGAATTCTGTAATATTTCCAAAGCCGATTTTCCTTCACCAACATTTCCAGCTGCAGTGAGCGATGAAAACCGACTCATAAGGTCAGAAGTCTCGGATGGCGTTGTAGCAGAAGGTCTGGAAGTGTTATAGACTTTGGAAAGGAACGGAATTCTCATGAAAGTGCCGGAGCGAACAGTAGAGTCGAGGACATTCGTTAAAATCTGAGTCACGGCACTCTGCACTGGTTTACCATCTGCAAGCCCAATAGATTTAGCGTAGGTGGATGCAGCCACTGCTGTTGCGGCAGAAGTAGCTTCCAAAATAGTTTGAGGATCATCGTCCAATCCAGTTTCAGCAACAAGACTAAAAATGTCTGTGACCCGCTTCACAAGCTTAGGGTCTTCAGTGTAGGCACTGACCAACGGCTTTGTTTCAGCAGCTTCCGAAGAACGCATGCTCAAAGGTTTTTCCATCTCCTCCTTTTTTTGTTTCGCCAAACGCTTTTCTCTTCTCTTATTGAACTCCTCTTCAACCCACGCTCTCTTCTCTGGGGTAGATTCTTCTCCGAACATATTATTGGCTCTCTTGATAACTCTAGATCGAAGGTCATTATCTTTGTTTCTCTCTGCGTTTTCTTCTCTCCATTTCTTCTTACGCTCACGATTATCAATTCTAATTTTCTCCTTGTATTCTGAGGAGTCTAGTTCTGGTTTAATTCCAGCTAAAATGTTCCTCACTCGGGAGTTGTTGAAGCTGGAGAGTGTTGAAAACGTGGACTGATAGTAGTCAGAGAGATCCTCTGTTTTGTCTATTTGAGCTCCTTCAGAGTAGCTCACAATAGAATCCTTCTCATTGAATAAACCCATCACATTATCTATGAGAGTCATTGCACGTTTTTTGAGGTCGCTAGCAGTCTCGCTAGAAAGAAACGATTTGGTGGCAAGCAAATTCTCCAAGAAGAACTTTTTCTCGTCAGGATGGCTCTTAGCTGCTTGTAAAAGATCTTGAGCCGCTGTGCTCACAGAAGATGAAGTTTTGTTCAACATAAGCGCATTGGTCATTTGGCGAATCACCAGCATCAAGTTCTGTGATTGGTTACCCGATTGGATATGGTGAGACAACGATGACAAAATATTTGACAACTGAGGATTCATGGCAGGATTTCTTTGTTGATCAGTACGCATAGACTCTTCGAGTGACAGAATGGACGAATAGTCTCTTCTTGGGACATTCATGGAAGATCTGTGCAAGGCTAACGTCTCAGCAATAGACAAGGACTTAGCTGGTCCTGATGAAGTCATCTCAGTGCTAGTCTTCTCTGTTTGTAGTGTATCTGTTTTTTCCAACACTTCTTTCATTGACAATGCCGCAATAGCTGCTGCAGTGGAAAGATTCTGAGTTCGAGAGGAAGATTCCTTGTTCTCATCATCATTCAAAGAAGTGAGCAATTCTTGTGGATTCAGCATGGCCATATTAAAGGCATTCTGAAGAATTTCGTTCATCTGCAATTTTTCTAAGTCCTGCTCTGGACGATCGGCATCAACATCGTCAGTCACCGCTTTCAGCATGACATTCTTGGCAGCTGTTGCAATTACATCCTTGAGTGTTGCCACCTCGTATCTGTCCTCGTCTTTGTTTGCCTCCATCTGGAAATGTGCTAGCACATTCTCATCAAGATGTGGAATTACCTTCTTTTCCTTCTTCTGGTCAACATCCTGAGAACTTGCCATTTGTTGCACTACGTTCTGAACAATACCTGCGAGATCAAAACCAGTGTCACTGTGCCTCCTTTCTGCCGGCTTATTGCCCATGATCTCGTTAAAAGATGCAGTAATGGCAGCCGTCAAGTCGTGGTCATGGTTAGTATCGGCGTCTTGATGGCCGTGCAGCACGTCCTCAATGTGTGAATCTTCAACAGCATGCAGCCCTTCACTGGGCTGGTTACTATTAGGAAGCTCATGGTGGACGTTTTGATCGTAGTTCTCGTCTTGTGGCTGTGAATACTCAGCAAGCGACTTGAATGCTTCGCCAATGGCATCCTCGAGTTTATCGTCTTCTGGCGAGTGGGTAGCACTGTACAGCGCTGGCTCGCTTTCGTGTTGCGGTTCTGTAGATTCCTGTTGTAGATCTTTCTGGTCGGTGATGCTCTTGAATGCATCACCAATAGCAGCCTCCAAATCCAACTCGACCTGCTCTTCATCGGACTTCTCTGCCTGCAGAGGGTATGTGGAGTATTCGTCTGTGGGGCCCTGTTCTTCAGGCTGATAGTCACCATGATGTTTCTGGCCGTTTTCATGATCTTGGTGAACAATCACATGATCTGTCGGTAGTTCGCCATGATCTGCCTGTTCATTTTGAACACTCTTATGATTGTGTGCATCATCTGTCAATGCACCTTCCAGAGTCTGTGGAGCTCCTAAGTCTTCATTGTATTCCTCTTTGAATTCCTGATGGTATCCTTCGTGCTTATCGGCCTTGTCTTCCTTGTATTCGCCAAACTCAGATCGTAGCTGGTTCTCTAGTGATTGAAATACGTTGCCAACAGCAGCTTCTAAATCCACATCCATCTCGTCAGCCGAGTGGGATTCTTCATTAATTTCAGCGCTTTGACTTCCATCACCGCTTTCACCGTGGATAGTTGTCTCATCGTCCTTATGTTTCTTATCAGCCATAAACCCAAACTGTTGGAAAGCGTCGCCAATGGCACTTTCCAACGCGAAATCATCAACGCCTACATCGTCATTTTCGTGGGGAATATTTTCACTGGTGTACTTGTCGTTGTCAGGATGGTGCAGATCCAGGTTGTCTGGGGCCATCGCCTATAGTCTGGGGTAAGGTTGAGAGTCACAAGGTCACTGTGACTGTTTTTTTTTTTGGATATGGGAGATGGACATCGGTTATCTGCAGTACAGTGATAATATAGAGTTGGGAAATGAATTGGGGGTAGAGTATTTGATAACAAGGGATAGTTAAAGGAATGAGAATGGGTGATTTGGCGTTCATAATGTGATTCCGGGGTGGTGATGGTGTAGTCATTGTTTGGTGTGCGTAAGTAAGTTCATGTAAATTGTGTCGGAGGGACAAATGGTTGCAAAAAAGTGAGAACCACGAAAAGGAATGATTAACAAGAAAAGATGAGAGACAGAGAGTTCGTATTTGGGCAAAATCGGAAAAGTCAAATAAAAAAGCATCGATCGAAGATTTTTATGGCCGAGAATAACGAATTGAAGAACTATACCAAGCACTAGAACTTATAGTATGATGCAAAGATAATCAACTACTAGCAGATTAATATAAAAAGAAAGTACCAAAATGCACCTAAACTACTAATCAAAAGATGATAAGTTTTCGTACAAGTGATTGAAGATGGTAGTATCCGGATGATGATATTTAAGTGAACACTATATACAACAAGCTGGTTAATCGTTCTATATTTGTTCCATAACTTACATTTGTTAATGAATGTGCATAAAGATTAGTTACAGTAATGAGTATTACCACGGGCACGTAGATTATTATGGGAAGTAAGATGGGCCCATAAGTAGTTTATGTGAGTGTTTGTGGCATAAACCAAGAATACAAAGTATCAAATGAGCTCTCTCTAGATTTTTCAATTGGTGACGGGTTAAAAGTACATTCACAGCTTCAAGAATAAAGATCCAGATCACCTAAGCACTCAAAGAAAGTAAATAAGTACCAGACCCCAAATCCTAAAATTTGGATTAGTGGTTTGAGGTAATTAGTCAACAAGAAAGAAGATTTCAAAAGCAATTCTTCCAAAAGTCATAGATGAACCTGCGGCAGCATCTCCATCGATCACCAAGCTTCGCTTGTGACTTTTCTCGAACTCTCAGGTATCTCTATACTAAGCATTATTCATAATGATACCAAGATTCAAACCAAATTTAGATGCTTTCATTATCTTGTCTGGTTTTGTTTCGGTTATTTTGAGCGCACTTCATGAAGACAGAAGCTTTGTTGAAATTTCATCTGTTAATTGTGGACTTCAATTGCCTTGCCAAATCAGACAAACTTCAAAGTTCATTTTTTTTACTGGTTTTCCACCGTTGTCTTCCACATAGTCCGAATTTTTGACGAATTTTTTACCTACTCGACTTCAAGATGTAAATGAAGATTCCACTGTGAATCTTATCTAAGTTACTTTGGTTCTGTGAGTCTCTGAGTCTTTGGTCTGTGTGAATTGGATTCCTTGAGAATTTGAGTCTTCGAGTCTATTTGAAGTGACTCACATAAAACATACATTTGAGATGACTCTACTTATGTAAGATGTTCTCTTCTGTCAAACACTACAATTTCTAAATTATTCACTTATTGTTTTTCCCATCTCAACAGTCAACAACTCACCCCTCTAGTCGTGCCTATTTACGAGACATTCCCTTCACTTAACAACGGGCCAAAATCGTCCCTGGCAACACCAAATTATTCCTTACCATTCAAGTCATCCTAGATACGCGCCAGACTTCACCCAATTGCCCTAAAATTGTTTCCAACCATTTCCTGGCCGTCACCATCATTCCTCCAACAATTACTAGGTGCAGGCCGCATCCATATCTCTTGCCACACCAAACACCTTCTCTTGATTCCCTTCACAAATGCATATCACATTCAAGGATTTGAAGAAACAGACAGTCCAGGTGGACCTCGAGCCCTCCGACACGGTATGTGAGCCGTTTTTCTGGCGAATTCACCCCCGCAATGGACGCATTCGTGTCCATTCCAACCTCGATACTAACATTCCAGGTGTTGTCAGCTAAAGAGAAAGTTGCTGCTGCCAAGGACGTTGATCCCTCACAATTGAAGTTCGTCTATTCGGGAAAAGTGCTACAGGATGAGAAGACTCTCGAAGACTTCAAAGTCAAGGACGGAGACTCGGTCATTTACATGATCTCCAACAAGAAGGTTCTGCCTCCTAAACCAGCACCTGCTGCTCCTCCTGCCACTGCTGCTGCGCCACTGTCGACTTCGGGGGAAAGTACACCTTCTGCCGAGTCGGCTGGCGCCGCTGCCGCCGCCGCTGCTCCTTCAACCACCACCGATGGAGACGCAAGCCAAACTGAATCTTCGGGTTCTGGCGACTTCTCCCTGGGCCCTGTGCGTGAGGCTGCTATCCAAAGCATGATGCAAATGGGCTACGAGCGTCCCGCCATTGAGAGGGCGTTGCGGGCGGCGTTCAACAACCCTCACAGAGCTGTGGAGTACTTAATCACTGGAATCCCCGAATCATTGGCTCCAGCCCCTGCTCCAGAGGCTCCAGAGGCTGCAGAGGCTCAAGGGGCCGCTAGCGAGGATCACGAAGCTGAAGATGACCACGCTGCAGATACCAGCGACATCACGGAGAACGCCGAGCCGAACGTCCATGAAAACATGTTTGATGCGGCTGAAGCTGCTGCGGGTGGTGAATCAGAGGCCGGAGGTGAGGTTGAGTTGGGAGAATCCGAGGAAAATCAACTCTCGATGCTCCGTGCAGCCATCCAGAGCAATCCCGAGTTAATCCAGCCGATGTTGGAGCAGATTGCTGCCTCCAACCCTCAAGTTGCCGAGTTAATTCTGCAAGATCCAGAGAGATTTATCAGAGCATTTTTGGGCGGCGAAGGTGAAGACTTGGGATTTGAGATCGAGGGTGAGGGTGAGGACCAGGACCCTGAAGGAACCGTGAGAGTAATGTTGACCGAGCAGGACGAGAATGCTATCCGCAGATTGTGTGAGTTGGGCTTTGACAGAAACTTGGTGATCCAGGTCTACATGGCTTGCGACAAAAACGAAGAGGTCGCTGCAGACATCTTGTTCCGCGATACGTGAGCACTGCAGAGCATTTGCAGGTTTTTTTTTGTATATTAGCGACTAGAAGTGGTCGATGCACTGGTAAGTGGCTCTGTCGTGATCAGTGAGGGCAACGTTTCCTGGCCGAACAACGACGACCGCATCCATTCCCGCCTCCAATGCGGCACTGACCTCCTGGACGTTGTCCGAGTAGAATATAATGTCGTTTGGCTGACACCCGATGTCTTTTGCAATGTTGATGTAAGAGTTCTTTTCCTGCTTGAAGCCAGATGTAGTGATGTCAAAGTATCCCAGCAACTTTGGAGTCAAGTCCTCCAGTTTTCCGTTGACATTGACATGGCTGAAAAGCAATTTCTGAGCAGGAACACTTCCTGACGAGTAGATATAGATTTTCTTACGGCTGTTAAGCAATTCAATGGCATCTTCATAGAGTGGGGCCTTCAAGTCACCTTTATCATACCCCAGTTTCCATACAGTACCCTGGAATGCCTTGAGCGTAGGATCTTTGATGTCATTTTTCACAAGATTGTCGATATGAGCTTCCAAAAGTTCCTTCGTTTGGAGGACTTCAGTGGGGAATCCCAGAAGCACCTCGGAGAGGCTATTCTGGTTCTTAAGTAAGGGAAAATCCAATGGTTCCAAGTACGTCTTGTACAGCCCAAGAAAGTAGGGAAAAAGTTCGTCCTTAACAAAAGTGATGGGACATACTGTACCTTCAATATCTAAAAGGAGGATCGACATGTGTGCTGGCAAAATTTGGTGGTTCTATAATGTTAGTGAATACTGTGGAGTTGGATAGACAGCCTCGGTGTTGATGATATTACCTGCAGTATGTTAATATCGTTAATTAACGGAGATTCCAAATGGGATATGAATTCATGCCAATGGAAAAGGTTACAAGAAAATTCCTTTTTATAATTAACTTTAAAACCTCTCACTAAACCATTACAGTTTCCTGTTCAACGATTACTCACATTTGCTGATTTCCTCTAGTCTAATTCTTATCAGTCCCAACAGTCTGCATACACCGGCGATAGACCCACCAGGCACAGTAGATCTTAACGATTGTACATGGCTCCACCTCAAAATAAATCATTGAGATTCAGATTATCAAGACCAATAAGATTGCTTACTAAATATTGTGGCTGTACAAACATTAATTTATAGATATCCATCTTGGTGGTGGTTAAAAGTTGGATTCAAACATATTCTCTTGCATATCAACGGATATACACAAGTCACAGGCCACATCTGACCAGAAATCCTCAAATGATCCTTATTGACGAAGATAGGGATTACGTTAACGAAGACCACATCCATTCTTTTGCCAAGGCATTGCTATGGGACGACCAGGATGATGATCAAGTTTCAGGAAATTCAACTGGCTACTCACTGCCGACCTATAAATCTGCCAAACAAGAGGCTGATGCACTTGGCCTGCAACAACTAGGCCAAAATGCATTCGCCTTGTCTCCTGTGACGTCTCCAAATAGTTCTGGGCACTCAGAGAACGGTGAAGTGTCGAACTCAACAACATCCAAGCTGGCAGCTTCTTCTCTGGCTAAACCTTCCTTAATCGTTTCCAAGAACGATTGGTTTCCAGTGGGAGGGCCCAAACCACGTCGTAAAAAGGGGAAACCTTCGACTTCGCAGCGACTCAGTAATGAGTTCCGACTGCTGGCATCGTACTTTTTCTTCCGTTGGCCAGTGCTCTTCTTTGTCGTCTTGTGGGTACTTTTCCTCACTACCTTGTACGCCGTAGTTCGGCTATACGTGGCATTGCTGGAGTACTTCTTTACGTGGACTGGGCAGAGAAAGGTGCTCCGTAACAAGCTCCGGGCATCCAAAACCTATGAGGAGTGGGTCGCTAACGCTATTGAGCTTGACAAGTTTTTGGGTTTGGACAGATGGCTGGATAATCCAAGGTTTTCATACTACGACTCACAAACCGTGGCAAAAACCATGCGCAAACTTAAAATGCTCAGAGAAAAAGGTGATATCGCCGATTTGATGGTGTATTTGCAAGGTTGCTTGAAGTCAAACTTTGCAGGTATCGAGAACAGACAGCTTTACTCGCACAGGTATTACGGCACGAAGAAATTGGTGGAGCAGTACATCGAGGAGGTGGTTCTCTGCATCGATGCTGTCACAGCTGCCGATGCTAACACCGTTTCACCTAAACAGAAGCGCCGTTTCTTCCGTATCGTGTCTAAGAATTATGGAAAATCTGCCCTTTGCTTAAGTGGAGGTGCTTGTTTCGCCTACACACATTTCGGACTTGTCAAGGCACTTCTTGACAATGATCTACTTCCGCTGATCGTTTCTGGAACGTCTGGGGGTGGTCTTATTGCTGCGTTGACTTGCACTCGTTCCGATGATGAATTGCGCAAACTTTTAGTTCCCGAGTTGGCTCATAAGATCACGGCTTGTGAAGATCCATGGTACGTATGGCTCCCCAGGTTCTGGCGAACTGGAGCCAGATTTGATTCGGTATCTTGGGCCAGAAAGGCAAATTACTTTACCAAAGGCTCCAACACATTCCAGGAAGCATACAAGATCACTGGCAGAAAACTTAATATTTCGACAGTTCCTGCCGAGCCCCACTCTCCAGTAATTTTGTGCAATACCGTCACTTCTCCAAACTGTATCATCTGGTCTTCTTTATTGGCCTCGTCCGCTGTTCCTGGAATCTTGAATCCTGTTGTGCTCATGATGAAAGATCCAAATACTGGAGAGGTTATTCCTTTTAGTATGGGTAACAAGTGGAGAGACGGCTCCCTTAGGACGGATATTCCTGTGGATGCACTCAATACCTATTACAATGTCAATTTCTCTGTGGTTTCTCAGGTAAACCCACATGTGTCTCTCTTTTTCTTTGCTCCTAAGGGTACCGTGGGAAGACCCGTGGCTATCCCAAGGCGGAAGACTAGAAGGGAAAAGTATGCGTCATTGCGTGGAGGTTTCTTTGCAACAGCCTTTGAACAATTGCTCAAGTTAGAAATTAAAAAATGGCTTCAAATTGTGAAGACATTGGACCTTTTACCTAGATGGCTGGAACAGGATTGGCTGAATGTGTTCTTGCAAAGATTCACGGGCTCTATCACGATTTGGCCTCGGAACCGATTCAAAGACTTTATCTATATTCTTCTGGATCCCAACGAGGCTCGCATGGCCGAATACTTGGAAAAGGGCCAGCGGAGTATGTTCCCCAGGCTCTTGTTCGTGAAGCACAGGTTGAGTATTGAAAGGGCCATTGAACGTGGAAGAAAAGCTACCAAGTCTACGGCTTCTGAGGCTGGATTGGCGAGCAGCAGATCCCCATCTGCTGGTATTGGAAGCGATGGTGATTTTATGAACGGTGATGGTATTAATATTATGGGAGGCATTGACCAGCTTGGCGATAATTTACTTTCTGAGTCAAGTGACGATGAGATAAAGCGGAAACTTGCGGTGTCTCCTTTCGATGTGATGTATCACGACGAAGATACTGATACTGATGATGATGTCGATGATGATGACGGTGATGATGGCAATGGTGATGGAGAGGTTAATGTTGATGTTGATGACGATGATGAGAATGGAGTACTCAATGGAAATGATGATCACTATCTTAGTGATCCTGATCAAAAAGTCAAATTCAGAAGAAACACCTCATTGTTTTAGGCCATGTTTCAAAGCTGCCAGTATCAAGGAGCTAGCTTTCGCTCATGGCTTTGGTTATGGTGGCATTGAGCTTACCGCAATCGCCAATGTCACCTTCTCTCTCAATAATTTCGTGAACATACTTGTACACATATTGCATGGATGTTTCTAGCAATTCATTCTCTTCACGGGAAAACTTGGAAAGGACCCAAGAAGCCATTGCATCTTTTGATGCACCCACTGGTTTGGGACCGATTCCTACTCCGAGCTTATATCCTTGAATCGCCAGAGAATTTAGGACTTGGGCAACAGATTTAATGCCGTTGTGAGATTCATTTCTCTTGAATTGCTGGAGCCTCACCTTGGGCATGTTCAACTCGAAATCGTCGTACACAACTACAACTACACATTGCCGCACATGCTCCTCAGTAAGGAATGACCGGAGCAGAGCACCGGAATCGTTCATGTAGGAGTTGGACCTGACGAAGAAGACATTATCCACTCTGGAGATAGAGTATTTTTTTTTTCTGGTCATCGGAGGGGCATCGAAGCCTTCTTCGAGCTGTTTCAAGATATAATGGCCAGTTGAGTGGCGATTTATTGGTCCAGGATTTCCAAGGGAAAAAAATATTAGGCTGACCATCATGAAAAGCAATATATGTCTATAGTAGCGATGTAATAGATGAGATTAGTATGGCGTGCACACCCGTACATTCCATTTACGAACTTGTCACTTCACCTAAGAAACAGATACGTTAAACAGACCAAACATGTCTGCAAGTCCGGTTGACCATACATTTGAGGAGGAGAATATCAACGAGGTTGATTCCTCAGAGTCGCTGCATAGTCAATCACAAAGTGATGATGAAGTACAGGTTCCAGACCTTCAAGAAGACGAAGATGAAGAAGATGACGACTTTGGATCGTTTGACGAAGCTTCTTTCGAAGAATTCCAAGAACCAGAACCCGAAAGACATCCTGAAGAAACGAAGAAGATCTCTTTGAGCTCGCAAGATTTTCTGGAAGCTCAGCGATTTCTGGATAGAGTGGACGAAATATTGGATGAAGTATTCCCTGAAATCCAACACAGAGAAGTTGCACCCACGCCTCTATTAAAAGCCGAGGCTTCGAATAAACTCATTACACTCTCACGGGCTCCACGGCTAAATCCACCAAATTGGATAAAACTGAAAATACGTCACAATCTCTTGATCAAACTCGGAGTGCCAATAAATCTCGACGAGCTTGAGTCTCCCAACACCATCAACATCTCCGCCACAGCAAACATCACTAACAATAGAAGGAGATCGATTAATGAGCAGGACCTTAAATGGGAGCAGTACCACATTCCAGAGGTGGAGACATTCAACCTTACATCAGAGCAGAAACACGAACTAGTAGGTGAAACTGCTGAGGTGCTTTCTAAGATTGAAGAAGACAACTTAAACAACACATCGCAGCTCTTTTTGGAGAATTCGCTGGAAAGCACGCTCGATATGAAATTAGCTCAAATGAAGGCTAATTACGACCAGTTAATCAAGCTTAGTGCCGTTTGGCAGGACCAGATGAAGGAGCTTCGAAACAGCCAGGAAATCTACGAGTCGGTGGTTCAGAATATGGTAGGATACAGCCAAAAGCTCCAACGAAATGAGATCATTGAGCATCTTCAAAAGACAAAAGGCAAGAAGGGAAAGCGAACGTTTTAGAAATATTATTAAGAAAAGCATTAACTCGTAACATTGAAAGTACATCCGGAAGTCGTTAGCCCTGCAAGTTGAAAAGGGTGCTGAGATCGTCATGCAACATATTGTCCTGATCGACGTTGGCCTGTAAGTTCATATTGATGTACGAACTGTCCATGAAGTTCGTGAACAAGTCTCCATTGCTCATGTTAGTATTGGGACCAAGCCCACTTCCATGGTATGGCGTTTGCGAATCTGCGATCTCTTCTTTCGGACGAATGAATCCACTCTCTCCATCGGGCATCGGTGTATGTGACTGTGAAGGTGGTACACTGGTAAAAGCATGGGGGAACAACTGCGTAGGCTCGAAGTTCTCGTAAAAATTCTGACTTGTTGGCATCTTTTCTGTGACCAACGAGATATCAGGAAACGAGTGCTGCGAAGAAGGTGAAGTTTCATGATTCGACTGCCTTCCTGACTGTGTTGTGGGCTCACCTTGAGTTTCTTTGCTGTTTTGGTCTCCGTTCAGCTTATATTGACGGACCAACTGCTCAATATCTGGTGGAGAGTGATTGACAGGTTGAGCATGGACAGCATCCTGAACGGCTTCACTATATTGGCCGCCGAGTGGAGAAATTCCTGAAGTGGCCAGCGTTGGAGACGTGGTCAGGTGCATCTGTCTTGATGCTTCCATATCACTCTTGTTTTCTTCCATCTCGTGAATATAAGATGCACGTTCAATCATCTCTGCTCTTTTGATTTTGTCATTGGCCTGTTTGTCGAACAATTTTATAAGCACACTGACTATAGCCCAGTGCTTACCTAATTCCTTCAAGACGGCCCGCGAAATAAACAATGAATCAGACGCAGTCGACGCAATGACTTGATTCGAAGAATCAACGTGATAAACCAACATGATCAAAGCACTAAATAAGATGTAAACAAACATAGAGGGACAGTACCTGATCTTGTGGTTGTCAAGAAGAATCTTAGAGACAATGGAAATCATGCGAGCCGACTGGAAAGAAATACCCCATGAAGGGTACTTGTAGTTGTTTGGATTGGTGGAAGCAGAACGAGCCATGCGCACCAAATTAGCTCTGTGAATTAAGTACAATCGATTGTAGTATTGCGCATTGAGGAGACAAGCAAAGAAGTTCTGTTTCAGAGTGTCAGTGAGGGAGAACTGAAGCTCGGGGGGCAAGTTGGTGAACCAGATACCCATCAACATGTCACATCTTTGGATGACGGAGTATTTGTTGATGCGTCTCATCTGCTCGGCCTTGACTGTGTATTGGTGCTTGATGATGATTCCCGTGATTTCGGCGAGCTTGACAAGATGGATGAAGTATAAGGCGTGGGTGCGATTGACTGGGTACGGCGAGACAATTCCCAATTCGGGATCACTCTCATCGAAATCCTCAAACGTTAACATTGGTACGTCACAATCGGCAAGATCGATGGAGGTTGGACGACCAAACGCAATGGCAACATTACGGTCTTTTTCAAATAGACACCACCAAATTCTGCGCCAAATTTTCTTTTCTGTAGCAGAGAGAGCATCAGAACGCGAGATATCTCTATGAAAACCGAAACCTTGCGCTAAACTCACACCCACTCTGGTCCAGTAGAAAGAGTTCCGCGTCACGTCCTCGGGTCCATCCCAATAGTAGCCAATCAAGATCACGGACTGCAAGATAGATGTTGGATCACTTTCGTAATTTGTCTCGTAGAGTGCTCTAGCACGGCGGAAGAACGTGAGTGACGCCAATTCCTTCAGACCTTTGCTATCAAAGAGAAGCGGATTGTTCAGAACGCGTGAGCCACATAGCAATACCGCCTGTAGCAACATTAATGACGGACTGTCGTCTGGATCCTTGAACTTCCGCATGAACTCCTCTCTGTTAATGACGGGCATTAGAGGATGGACATGTTCAAAGTACAGTTCGATGAGGTCGTATGCCAACTCAACGCCCGGGAGCAAGAAAGCGCCCCTCAACTTCAAGATCTCCAACTCTACCAGGTCAAGCGACTGGTCGGTATTCTCAAATAGCTCCAGAGTCATCTCCACATGTGGTTGACCATTCAGAAATGACATCACTCGGATGGACAGATTGCCCACAAATGTTAACAGCGCACGCTTGTTCTTCATAACATCACGCTTGTGCATGGAGGGCCTCGTTTTGTATGTAGACGTCAACGATGGAGGGACGCTGATCTGCGAGATATTGTGGATTGGTTTCAGTACAGCCGGACCAACTCCCAGCGACAGCGACAGCTCCAGCGGTGCCATCTTCAGCAGCTCCATTTTGAGGCCATACTCTGTGACCGACAGTAAAGTGGCCGTATCTGGATGGCTTGTGGCGGCCATAGTCATGGCGGGCGAACTCTCGACGGCATGTTCAGAAGACATTCCAGGCAGCATTTTTCGTTTGACAGATTCCGTGGCTTGTCCACGCTTGCGGGTCTCAGGAAGTAAACATTCACATCCGAAGGTGATACAGTTTGTGCACGGGATATGAATTTCGGCGTCACAGCGCACTTTCCGTGCTCGACAAACCTTACAAGCCCTAGAGCCTCGAGGCCGTTTGTATTTAATGGTGTAAGCCTTTGGTTTATCGGTCACTTTTGTCGATGCGTCAGCACGATCGCCGGCGGGACCATCATTTTCGGATTCTCTTTTGACTTTAGTCATTATAAAAATAAAAAACTCCGAAGTGGCTGGGAATCTGGCGATGTTGTTAAGGACAAAAGACTTAAGCTGGCGACTTGGGAGGCTCAGCTGCAGGATAGGTACAGGGAGAAAAAAGCGGGGGAAATGTGCAACAGCAACAGACTCGCGAATAACTGTGTCTAAGAAAAGTAATAGATAACCGATGGAAGAAATCGGGTAGATTTTAGTGGAAAAAATTGATAACTCAATGCGTCACTTGGCGCTCGGGCCCACGGAGTTTCGGGTTACCCCCCATGGTTTGTTCATTTTCGGTTATGGAGCTTAGGGAGGAGGTTCATAACTGGGTGGCCAGTCGATGGAGGCGGGGAATTATCTGCAGGACAAAATATTGGAAAAATGATATATTGAAGCCTTAAAGGTATATAATAGATTTTTCTGCTAACGTCGCACTCGTGTGCAAGACTCATCTTGTTAAGTGTTGCGGAACGGACGGAGTAAACGGAGTGGATAGCATGAGAGGAGACGGAATAGACGGAAAATCGAGAGGGGTTCGGTAGGACCTGGAGAAGTCCCGAAATCGTGCCGAACGAGGCGTAGGAGCGGATATTGAGGAGAAATGGCCGAGTAGGAGATTTTATTGAAAAGATCAGCAATTGGTGTGAACCGTAGATGTCTGGATCTTTCATGGGTTTGGTTAGGAGGAGGAAAGAGTGGATGTAAGGTATATGTAGAGTATATTGTTTAAGATTCAAAAAAAGAAAAAAAGACACCAAGGTAGAGAATCAAGAAAAAAATCATAGAGAAGTGGTGGAGAAGAAAGAAGAATTTAAGCAGGAGGTGAACAGAACTAGACTGGCATGACTGGTCGGATTTGGGAACTTCAGTTTCTTTATATATGGATGGTACTAACTTCTTATGGTGCGTAAATCACTCCCACTTGCTAGGGTTCTCCATTTCTATTTTGCAATTACTGTTTTTGACTAGAAGCTTATCCTTTTTCCTTCATTCCTGCTTCTCACTCCAATGATGGTATGTTCGGTGTATCTTAATTGTCAGATTTCTTCATTTTGCCCTTGCCCTCAATTGAGATTTTAACTTTCCTGTTCAAATCATCTTCAATAGTAAGTCATGATCAACGTGTACTGGAGCGTAGCATTGCGAAGAACTTAGTAATTGGGCTATTAACAAACTAGAACATTCCGGTCTGAAGTGAAACTCCTCTATTCAGTTATTGGAGACTCCAGATTAAGTCAAGTCTTTCACCATCACTCATATTCCGGATGATTGCAGTGAGCTAGAAAAACTTGTTTCCCATTCTTCGGTATGTTTTAAGAAGACAAAAAGCGAGAAAATATAAGAGAAAAGACAAAGAGTTGATCAAAAATGATGGTATGTGAAGTACAGAAACTGTGATGTTGTAATGGATAGACCATTACGATTTTGAAGATCAAGACTGAGCTAGAAATATTCTAAGATATTCTGATCACTGGACACACGAGATACTTTGACTTACTATGCATTAGTAAGTGACTTTATAATTTAATGTGTCCCACAATGTTCTCGTTTTGAAATTACTGTGATTGTTTCTACAATACAATATTTGAAATTAACATGTGTCCAAGAGGTACCTTGGTTAATTTACATCATCACAGTTACCCTTGTTGGCTATAAAAGCAAATTAGTTTCAAGATTTACAAGATCTTTCTGTAATTTGTTTAACTCCTGACAATTGGGAATTAGGACCATAATCGGGTTGAAACTGTGGATCAACCAATCAACCAATATACTGTTTCTGTCCGCGAAACGTAGTAGTCATTCACAACAACAAATCTGACTACAAGGATAGTAATTTAAGCTTGGAACGCAATTTCAAATTAACTTATCAAAGGATTATCATATCTCCAGACAAGCAATATTAAGCCTATCCGACATTATTCTACTTTCAAGATTTTGTTCTTCAAGCCATAAAGCAGGTTATATAAAGCGTTCTAGGTAGTAGGTTATTCTAACTTGTCGGTCCACAAATGAAACCTCCACACCGAGTCACTTTACCAAGTATTTTTATTAGTGTCCTCTCTCAGTAATTAAACCTCACCTCGTCTCTCAATTCCACTTCTACATTAAACCTACATAGATCACCACACCTATATTGGTCCACATAAAAATCCTAATGCGGCATTAACCAAAATCGTTAATCAAAATCAAAAATACCAACTTCCAGAATTAGAAAATCTCTCCCTTATTTCCTCTTCTTTTCATTTTTTTTTTTTCGTTCCACCACTCCCTCTATCCCATCCTCTCCTCTTCTTCTCACTCTCCTGTACATCTTCAACTCATGTCTTACCATTGGAGAGACTGGGCACTAGCCTCGACGCTAACTCTAGCTACAGCGTACACAGCATGGACGTTACTTTCACCTAAGCTGTCGCAAACCGCATTGCTTCGCCCTAAAACCAAGGGCGTGGCTTCACTCATTGGCAACACTCCCATGGTTGAGATCGAGTCGTTGTCTAGACTCACTGGTTGCAAGATCTACGCTAAACTAGAGCTCATGAACCCCGCTGGTCTGGCCAAGGACCGTGTGGCTCTTGCAATTATCAGAGAAAACGAAAAGTTAGGCAACTTGAAGCCTCATAACGGTGATGTCATCTTTGAGGGAACTTCAGGCTCCACGGGCATATCGTTCACGGTTTTGGCCAATGCTCTTGGCTACACTGCACACATTTGTCTTCCTGATGACACACTGACGGAGAAAATGCAACTTCTCAAGTCGTTGGGCGCAGTGTTGGAGCCTGTCAAGCCAGCACCAATCGTGGACCCCAACCAGTACACGAATGCGGCAAGAAACGGCGCTAAATCTATCAACGAAGATGAGCTGGACCCAAGAAATGCCATTTTCGCCGACCAATTTGAAAATGACTACAACTGGCGTGTTCATTATCGCACTACGGGGCCAGAGATCTGGCGCCAAACCGAAGGTGATATCTCTGCGTTTGTTTCGGGTTCTGGCACTGGGGGTACTATTGCGGGAGTTTCCAAATACCTCCGAGAGAAGAAGAGTGACATTAAGGTGGTTTTGGCCGATCCTCAGGGCTCTGGGTTGGCCAATAGAGTCAATTATGGGGTCATGTATGATACTGTGGAAAAAGAGGGAAAGAGACGCAGACACCAAGTGGATACTATGGTGGAAGGTATTGGGCTCAATCGACTCACCTGGAACTTCAAGCAGGGAGAACATAATATTGATGAGGCCATTCGTGTGACGGATTCCCAGGCCACTAAGATGGCCAAATTTCTCTGCGTGAATGATGGACTCTTTTGGGGTCTGTCTGCTGCTGTCAACTGTGTGGCAGCAGTGAAAACAGCGCTCAAGTATGGCCCCGGCCAGAGGATTGTGGTGATTGCGTGTGATTCTGGAGCTCGACACTTGCTGAAGTTCTGGAAGGTGGCTGCTGAGGTTCCATCTACGATCACGTTGGAAGAGATTTTGAACGAGTAAGTATTGGGTAAGTATAAAGGGAGGTGAATATAGAATACGAATGGACCAATGTGAAATATTACATGCAATCGTAATGGACTTCTGAACAACAATTGGTTTTGTCTGTTCAAGTCAAGACCATCATTGATCGAAATCATTGTCAGGTGGTCTAGTCTACAGTCAGTCTCGTAACATGGAATCTATTCCTCATAATTAGGTATTACTGCTCGCAATCTATAAGCATTACTCCTTCACTAACGAGCGCTTCTTCTCCCGGTACAATTTAATGGAACTCAATAACGACGCACTAATTCCCATCCAAATCTGGATGGTATCAAAGTGGAGTGCGGCGTTGAACACCGTGTAAGAATTGAAGACAATGTCTGATATCGTCTTGTAGATATCCAATCTAGCATTTGTCATGCGGAAGTGGATTTCCTTGAGTGCCTGTGAATCTCCGGAGTCGTCGTCAGGATTACCAAAGTCCAGGCTGTGAAGGGCCGTGCCGCCCAAAAGCTGTTTGGAGATTGCTCGTGCCTTCTTTTTAACCTGGATCTGAATTTTGACGTCCATTTCCTTCTGTGAAAGTCGGTTCAAGTTGTTCCAAGCATTGTAGAGGGCCAACCACGAGTCTAGATACCAGGCATACGACTCGTGCTTCCCAACAAACTTGCGGAGGGTGGGGTTACGCAAGAATTTGAGTTTGTAGAGAAGGAGTGCCTCGTCATTGAGTGAGTAGTAGAGCGAGATTACCTCGCCTAGCGTATTGTTGTTGAAAAACATGTCGTTGATCTTCCATGACTTGGTTACTGGATCATGGTACGTGGCTTCACGTAATTTCTTGAAAAGAGCTCTGAGACGGAAAGGCGACTTTCCAAACCGTAAAAGTTGTCTGTAAGTTCCCAAAGCCGGCACCCAGGCCTTGAATCTCAGGCTGAAAATAGAGCATGCCAAAATCACCACTATCTTGGTGAACTCCTGTGGATGCTGTACGAAACTCACCAACAAGTCCATCATCCTGCCCGTCTCGCGGTATGTCTTGTTGATCAGCTTGATATTGACCACATCGTCACTAAGATACTCTTGGGTTTTAGCCGAGTGATGGAGGAGCAACCTCAATGTATACTGACCAAATTTGGCCATTTTATCTTTGCCTGTAATATCATTCAACATCGACCACAACACTTCCATGCTGTGTACTCTTTTCGCTGGCTGCCTCTCGGGAGGCGGCGTAGGTGCTGCCAGGTCTGCTTTGGCACTCGAATATTTTGGCGCAGACATTACACGTCCCATAGGCGATGCTGTAGGACCTCCGCCTAAATGGCCGAGACCTGCTGCAGCTGCTGCCTTTCCAGGTGTTATAAAATGGACAGGAGCTGTTCTGTCTCTTGATTTTGACGGGGTTTCCGTCTGGGTTACCACTGTGGACATTCTTGCTTGCTCGTAAGCTTCGTCCCACTCGCTAGAGAAGTGGAGAGGACTATGGGAAAATTTAGGGTTATAATAAGGTGGAAATTGAGCTGGTGGGCCCACGTTGCTTAGCGGCTCGGGATTCGGGTGGATCTGGACAGACTCCATCGTCTGTATGGAGTGGAGGAAAGTGTGGTATTTATAGGTGGATTTAATACCTGGGGATAATTTTTTGGCAAGGAGGTATGGATGTTTGCTGGAAATGTGACTGTGCAATGTATTCACTAAACAGGATGAACTAAATGTAGGTGGTCAATTAAAGTCAAGGTTGTATTTTTTTGATGTCAAGAGAGGAGATTGATTGTTGGTATTGCATACAGATCAGATTCGACATGAGTCTTTTATAGTCAATGCAACGTGACATTATGCGGGTGGTGGGTAATGTTCCATTGAATGTACTGCAACGTTGCAATTGAAATCTATAGAAGCTCCTTCTTTTTAATTGCAAGACTTGATCCCATATTCTTCTCAATATCAAATCTTTCATCATTTTGAAGTGCAACCGAGGTGCGAGCGGAGATTATATTCTTTATATGGGAGGTACGGATGTAGTGCCCCACCTCACCTATGCCACCCCGCTATAAGAAAATATCAGGTTCAGATCTGCTCTTTGAAAGTGAATCGTTGAGCTACTTAACATACTTCTAATAATTTTATACTGATAAAATATCCGTATATAGCCGCCTTGGCAGCATGCAATAATAAATAGTCGACTAGGTCGAGAATTGAAGTCATTATTCGTGAGCATCCCCATTGGCTGGACCATTGGTTCCACCAGTGGCTCCTCCATTGGCTACTCCATTGGCTCCTCCATTTATATCCCCATTGGGCCCCATCACGAACGCTCCCACACTGCCCAAGTAGCCCTCGTGCCGCAAAAAGTACGATTGCATCTCTCCATTGGACCAGAAGTCCAGTGCGTAGCTTAATGTGTGGATGGTTTGGACGTGACCGGATATGTAACTACCTCCGAAGTAAATTCTCTTCAAGCCAAATCGGCGAGCTTGCAAATATGCAATCTGACCGATGTTGTTGGATATCAGGTACAAGAGAGAACGCGCAATGTCCTCTGGCTTGAAAAGAGCCAACTTCTCCAGTGTGGTAAGTTTCTTGTTCAGCTGATTGAAGCGCAACTTCTTAAACACTTTAGCAAACGAAGACGCAATGTGGTTGGACTTCAAACCGATTTTATTGTAGCTGGACCCGTAGATGTCACCCACGAGTAAGTCGATGTTTTCGTTGTTTCCGCGTTGAGCCATCTCGAGCATCTCGTTGTAGTCTTTAGCATCAGTGAGAAGCAGGAGAAGTCCCCACAAAGTGCCTCCACCCAAAGACGAACCTCCAATCCGCTCAAAGCCATTGGGGCCTGGACCCACCACTTTGATCATGGATACACCTGATCCGATGTTGACCAATAAGTACGGATAGATCTGATCCTTTTCCGTATAAGGGCTAGTGATAAAACGAATGTTGTCACGCTTCAAATCGTAAGTGAATATTTCATTGGGGATTTTAGTAATGAGCCAGTCGAGGCCCTTGATGAGACACTCCATCTCATCTTTCTTCACAATTTGCATGGGTAACTTGTGTTTCTTGAAGGTCAGCGTCATGAGTTTGTAGAATTTGTGAGCACCTCCACCAGTAGCCATTATGTAGGTGATGGGTGGGTAATCCTTGGTGATAATGCTTTTACGAATGAGCTTAATCATGAAGGGAAGTACCTCCGACTCGAAGTTCCCAGTCTGGAAGTCCCGAAAGTGTAGTTTACCGCCATTCTTCGTGCCCGCGTGTCTTGCAGCAGTGAAGTACACTAATTTGGTCAATGTTCCCCCAATGTCCACGGAAATATGGACGATTTCCAGATTGTGCTTAGGTAAGTTGATGTTGTGTGCGACAGTAGAGTCTGTCGACACGTTTTTTGAAGCTGGAATCGAAATGGCGGAATCTTCACCTTCAGACTCCAGCGACATATCGGACGTGAGTGGTGATGCCGACGAAGATGACGAAGGCAGCGGAATTTGGCCTCGGAGTAGATGGTCATTGGCGATATTGGCGCCCAGACAGTCGATTTTGATGGTGCCAACAGGCACCGCACCAAAGTCTATGTTATCCACAATCAGCTGTTTGGCCATGGAGACAGCAGATTTTCCGATCGAAGTGTATTAGGAGAAAGAAGCTTCACAAGGTATAGGCGGTGAGATTTTAGTTGAAAAAGCTGGCGAGTGTACCTGCAGACTAATTTTTTTGTTGGGGAGGACTGAGCACCGAGGCCGAAACCGAGGAATAAAGTGGTGGATACAGAGGCTTATATAGTAGTTTATGAGAGGGGTCGCTTTTGTGGACGTGGGGAGCCAATTATTTCCAGGGAAATGTTTAACTAAGGGAGGTTTTCCTTTTTTTTGGCTGCATTGGTCATCACTGGTCTGATCGTATAGGTGCGACTGGAGATGTACGGATATGTACCGGATACTCGGTTGAAGGATTTTGTGGGGTCGAGATAAGGTGTCGGAGACCGGAGATGTAGGAAACGGGTGGAAGGAAGTTATGACGGAGTCAGGAGATTTAGGACTTCGTTATTGTGCTTTGATTTTTAAATTTTTTTCGATTTGACTGACGTATCGAAGTTTCGGTGGCTAGAGGTTGACTTTGATTGTGGTGAGGGCATATATGGTGGAGATGTGATTGGGTCACAGATGGTACAGGTCTGAATGACTTGGAAGATATGACTGAGATTTCGAAAAGGGTATAGATAGAGGTATTGACAGTGGTGTTAATTAGTGTAGAAGAAGGAATGCATTCGTTTGTCGAAGACGTCGATTAGTAGATATATATACTGAAGAACAGAAAGTCGACTGGTTTAAGTATCAATTCTAAGCAGAACTTGATTACCAACCTTAGTTGCCAACGGAGAATTGACATAAAGCCTATGGTTAGGCGCTATGTCAAGTTAAATTAAGAGGTCGCTATTATGCGCTTAAAGTGACTTTCACAAGTGTAGTAGACTAGCTTGCTCTCCAATTTAAGGTCTATCAAAGGTTCATGCATTTATAAATGTTTGGCCTTTGAAGGATTCATGTACTGTGCGCAAAATGATGTTGGATGAATAGATAGTGGAGATATCATCGTTGGTTTTGTGAGGTTGCTGGAATATATTATCCTTGTTACCTTATTCTTTTAAGTTACTATCGGTATTATCAAGTTTTGTGAAGGTCCTCACTTCTATTAATCCATTCTATTCTTTGCTAACCATGGTTCATCCCAATTTGAACGTTCTCCATCTGGCACCTCTAGTCTACCTGCTTCACTTCTTTCTTCTCGTCTTTCCTCTCGTCTTTCTTCTCGTCTTTCTTCTCGTCTTTCCTCTCGTCTTTCTTCTCGTCTTTCTTCACAGTCCCTCCCTTCTGTACATTCGTCTTCTTCCTCGGCTTCTTCCTCCTTTGAGCTTCATTATCACTCCTATCTTTTTCTCCTGCTTTCTTGTTATCTCTTCCCTGCCTGTCTCTCTTGCTGTCACTCTTCTCACTCTCGGGAACCTGGAATGCTAGTGCTTGTCTATATGCGCTCCAGAGAGCCTCCTCGCTGGGCATTCCCGTAAAGATTCCTGGGTCTATACTATGCAAAAACTGGAGAATCCGCCTGGCATTCTCCAACGACAGCTGTCCACCTAATGTCATTTGAAGATGTAAATACTGCAGATCTTCTTCATTCTCTGGATTAAACGGTTGATATTCCTTAACAAATCGACTCACAATCATCTTTGTCATCCCCACATTACTTTTTGACTTGATCTGCTGGTGGTTGTCGCCTCGCCTTCTCATTCGATCATAAGTCAAATCCCAGAGCTCTTTCTTGGGCATTTGCGACTCTACAAACTCTAGCGCAATTAGACACACATTTGGAGCAGCAAATTTGCTGGTGATCTCCGCTCGTTGTTTCCTCAATTGGTTGTTTCGGTCTAAAAGAACAACATTTGTCTTCTTTATAGCGTCGCTCAATTTGTGGTAGAAATTATTCTTCGATGAGCAGCTGTCGTTTTCCACATGGGCCCAATCGGGATGTAGTGAAGTCAAAATACGGAAAGTGGTGGATTTCCCACATCCCACCGTCGATATGGGAACTAGGATGTATTTCATGTGGATAGTACCTATAGTAAGTTGGTGATAGTGTCTTCTAGTGTGCACACACTATATTAGAAGGTAGCAGAATTCTACTTAATCGTAAGATACCAATTAGAATTCAAAAAAAGGCTAAAATTTTGCGTTGTCTCGTACACTGTTCGAAATGAAGCGTAACTATTTTCAAATCGGCAATATGAAACTAAGCTAAATTACAACATTTCGCAACCTTGACATTTTGAAGACATTCTTTTCCAATTCAGACCATGAAAGTACTCAAAACTTTCGATTTACAAAGCAAAATAATGGTTCTGCCAAAATTATTTAATCTAATTCAATTTGAACCCCACTACTTGGAACATCTCTTTATCAAGCGACGGAACCTTTGAATCTCCTGAACTGAACAAACACTGGTTGCTTCTCCAAAACAAGATCAACATCATACACTTTCACATCATTTCCCTTCCATTCGTACTCTCCCTCAGGCAAACCTTCGAATTTCTCATACAAAGCAGTCAAGTAGATATTCGACTGCATGGGTGGAATGTCTTTACTATAGGTTCCCATAGTAATGTGCAAGTACTTATTCAAAGGCTCCAAGGCAGGGTTCTGTTTTGTCCAAACTCCGTTGACCTGTTTATATGGATCAGAAAGCTCAACCTTCAAAACAACCAACTTCTTTTCCACCACCACAACTTTCTGTAACTGAATATCACAGGTTTGGTCACCTCGAATTCTTTCACCGGACTTGGCACTCTCTCGCAATTTCAACACCTCAAATCTTCTTCCGAGCTGCTGCCACCGCTCCTGGTTGGTCTTTGCAGATTTTACTTTTCTGTTCTTCTTGGTTTTTTTGGGCTCGCTCTCACCGTTCTTGGTTTCCTTAACTGCGGGCTCTGAAATCGTATCATCCTCTTTAAGTCCACTAATATGGGCCAATGTGACGTGAAATTCCTTTTGCACTCTATTATTCAGTATCAAGTGCTTCCAAGTTGCGTTGTCATTCAAAAGCTCATTAATCTGGCTGCGAAGCTGCTCTGGGTTATTAATACCAACTCCGTAATACTCCGCTCTTCTATTATCTCCGTTTCCTTGAGCAATATCCTTGGTAAAAGTTGGTTTATAACTCTTAGCAGCTTCGTATGCCTGTATCCATTCAAGCTCCGAAATGTCCCTAGTGGCGATGTCTGGGAAGCGCAGTTGGAGGGTAGACAAGATCTTCTTAGCGATATCAAGTGACGAGTGTTCACCATTGATATTCACATTAATGATAATATCACAGTTGTTATCTGGATACTGGTAATACTTTCCTTCAATAACCAGAGGAGCATGCTCAGAGTCGAAGTCATCAGTTTTCTTGAATTTCGGAGGAATTGCACTCCGATGGAATCCACTCAAAACGTTACGAGCATTAATAATATCTGCTCCGGCTTTGATGGACTGGTGGTTGTCTCCACGATCAAGAAGTCTCTTCTCGGATATTTCAAGGAAATTCTTGGAGTTAATGTCACTAAGGAAATTGACTCCGATGTAAGCAATGGCGATGTCAGGAGGAACAATGTGCTTTCTGGCTGACTCAATACCTTCAAAGAATTCTTTCCTGATGCGTGTCATGTGGAAGTTTTTATCAGCAAAACAGATTTGTGAATCATTGACGCCTTGTGCTACTTGCTGGTGGAACTCGTCAAGGCTAATAACATTATCGTTTTGGATATGTTTCCACTCTGGGAATAGATTGTTCAAAGTCATGAAAACAGTAGTTTTTCCTGATGCTGGCACGGCCATGGGCATGATCACATAGTGGACTTTAGTGGCATCCATTAAGGCCATCAATTTCTCCGAGAGGATTTCGTCATTTTCATAACCTAATAGGTCCATGCCTGAGGTCGCCGAAAGGCCCTTGTATGCTAGATACTGTTCTCTTAACTTGATAATACCGATCGACTCTCTGTAATCATTAACCAACTGCTCATCTTGGTCAAATAGCTTCTTCACAAATTGGAGGTAATCGAGGGTGATTGCCTTGTGCTTTTTGATGGACCGCATTATTTGAGCTATAGGCTGGCCGGTGATTTTCTCATCCTTTTTCAGTTGTCTCTTATCGCCTATCAACTTGAGCGAGACTGAACGAAATTGACGGAAGAGGAAGTACGGCTCATCGAACTTGTACTTAAAAAAGTGAACCAGATCGTTGTTCTGACTCCGAACCACAAATCCCTCCAACTCTCGGCCATGGTATACACCTTTGACCTTCAACTTCTCGAGAAACTGCCATAATTCGTCAAACTTGTCAAACACAGTATACTCTACTTTTCGGAAGCCCCAAACGTCTGCAAACTGCTCCACCTTGTCCAATGGGTATGTCTTAAATTCTCTGACATTGAAATTAAGTCCATGCAAGTAGAGTCCCGACAATTCTGGTGGATACTTGACAATATGTTCCTCGAATGAATCATCGCAGAGTTCTAGAACAGCAGTCACATTCATTTTGTACAACGTCTCTGCGAGTTGCTTAGAAGTTTTTCCCACACGCTTCAATTGGTCGTGAACCGCTTTGTTTCCGTGTTCTACGTGCTTGAATGCAAAATCACGACCAACGGGTTTCCCTGTAGAGTGCTTGGAACATACCAATAGCGTACCGTCTGCGAGGCCAGAGATTAAAATGATACAGCCATTCTCCTTAGTAGCAGCACTAAAGGGGCCAGGCAACTTTTGGAGTACCTCAAGCTTGGTAGCAGCCACTTCATCCACATTGAAGAACTTATCATAACCACGAGCCACAATCTTTCCATCGTGAGTAAAAAGTCCCCTAGCTCTGATGGGGAAAACCACATCTGGCTTACTGTAGAAGAATTCTTGGAACTTCCAACTAGCCACTTGTGTTGGTCCTGTAGCTCCATCTACCATGTATAAAGATCTAGTTGCCAATCCTCCATCCGAAGGCTTGAAGTACGTGGATACGGAGCTGGCGGGGCCGTAGATGAGATTGTATATGTACATGAAAAAATTGTAAAGCCAGTTTAATATGAAGGTCGGCAAAGATGACTTTGCATTCTTGCTCGACGACTCTGAAGATTTGTTTGATTCAGAGGTAGTTGAACCCTCAGCAACTTGCCATTTAGGCGCAAGCCGGGGAGCAATTTTGAGACACTCGTCAAGATGCAAGAAGAGGTCGTCTAGTTCTTCCTGTGAGTCGTATATGGGTGGCAATGGCTCGAACATGGGAGAATAAAACGGCTTTGAAATTTGGCAGTGATATATAGGTGATGAGTATGTTTAATCATGCAGAACCAATTGAATATAAGCAGGAGAAGGCGAAAATGAGTCAAAGTGGAGAGCTCATACGGGGAGAAAATGGGTAGATATGGAGTGGTAAAGAGTCATTAATGGAGACGGATAACACTGAATTTGGATTTATGGGAAAGTTTTGAAGTTATCATAATATTTTTTGTATTTTTTCTAATTACTCAATGGGACTTGGAGTCAGTACTTAAGTATCGATAATTAGAAAAAGGGTTTTTAAAAAAAACCAAAAAAGAAGAGAACCGGGAAATGATGAAGTCAACATCGATCCCCTTCAAAAATTACACCGAATACTGACCATAATCCATTAATATGTACCAATTCTCTGACTTCATATGGTTGTTCCTATACACAAGCCATTATCAACAAACTAACCTCCACCAACAGTGAACCACCTTCAAATTCATCATCAATAGCCAGACTTTGGCCCCAATTGCGCTGCACTTTTAATTCCAGATATCCAAATCCCACGTGAATGTTTAGTGTGGATGTTGATGAGGCCGATGTGGCCGTTCTCTCGCAGAATCTCGCCAAGTCAAAAGATCTCTTTCGGAATATTGCCAGTTCGCTCCAGAACATCTCATCCAAGACGCTGACGGCGTCCCGAAACATCCGCCCGGTATTGTCCGAATTCAATACTCTTACCTCCAAGAAAACTAGGGTCGAGGAAGGCCTCCAGCTTTTACAGGACGTATCGGAGTACTCGTCTCGAGCTGCTGACGCCCAAAGAATTCTCAATGGACCCATCGAGAATGCTGGAACTCAAAAATACTTAAACACTCTTGAAGAGTCCAAACAGTTGTTGCGGAAAATGAAGACGGATATCCGGGAATTCGATGGAGTGGTGGTTAGCTTTGGAAATGCCGTCGATTTGGCTGAAATGGCGGTGGTGACGCATTTCTCGAAGATGGTATCCAATGTGGATATTCAAAATGGCACCTTGCCGCGGTTTTCTGATGCTTTGGCAGCTTTGAGCTACTTTGCTAATCAGGGAAATCTCAGAGCAGGTCATGAGGCAATGGAAAAGGCGTTTTCCCGTCAGTTGACTAAACAGTTAGCACCTTTGGAGGCCGCGTGCACATTGAAGAAAAGACAGAGTAATATTCCTTACGAGAAGGGCTCGCTGGGGCTTTTAGTGTACACGGAGGAGTTTTTACGTTGCGTGGACTCGTTCAGCAAGGTATGCGATCAATTACAAATACTGGGGTCGCCTGTGTTCAAAAACAGCATTGCGAGCTACTTGGACACTCGTTTAACACCCATTCTAGCCGGCTACAATACTTCCATCGACCTGACCGGGCTCGCCAACCAGGATATTGCCGTGTTGGACATATTGGATAGTTTGACTGTATTGGATGCCAGGTTGAAGCCATACAAATGTGGATTTGAGTCGACTCGAAATGTGCAGCGTGAGTACATGAAGCTAGTCGAGAAGGCGCAGGGCTTGCTAACAGTCTGGGTCAAATATATCGATCAGAGAGTCTCACTGTTGGAGAGATATAACGAACACAGTATTCCCGAAGTGGTAGTAGAGGTTATTTCGAAAGTACGAAAAGTGGCCGAGTTTCAGTCACTTCCGACACTTTTCGAGGATCAGAAATTGGGCTCGTGGCTTTCTGTCAAGCCTCCGTTGCGTTTTGTTACCGTGTACACTTCTGTGGTGCCAGGTGCTGAGTCCACAGCCCAGGATCCTCAAGCATTTTTGGTATCTTCATATTTCCTGGATTTGATTGACGAGCTTATGGTTAATGTGGAAATCAATTTGAAAGAACAATCGGGCGACAACATAAGGAAGCTGACGCAAGGGTTCATGTTGGTCAAGAATGTGGTGATGATCGAGACCATCATCAACCGACTGGAAAAGCTCTATCAGAAATTAGGACTGATTGGAATGGAACGACTCCAACGATTGAAGAATAGGTTTCTCAAATTGTTTCTTGACGACTGGAATTATGCTTCGTACATCATTATTAGAGACATGACCCAAATCACGACCACCAACGCTATGCATGGGGGACAAAACAGCGCCAAAGAGAAGGAGCAGATCAAAGAGCTCTTCAAGAACTTCAACGAATCCTTTGAAGAGGCGCTCCGTCACTACGAAAAGTTCAACATTCAAGAAAAGGACTTGCGGGTTTACTTGTCCAGTGAAATCAAGAAGCTCATCATCAATGCTTACAATAAGCTTTACGACAAGTACGGAAGTGGCGAATTTACAAAGAACCGCTCCAAATACATCCGGTATGATAAACTGCAGTTCGAGCGTCTACTCAATGAGAAGCTTTGAGCAATTCTATTCTGTGGAATGAAACCATCCTCGGAGCTATCGCCATGACCAGTCCGACGCGGAACTTGAACTCCATTGTGCACTTACGATCGTCCTGCACATCACCTGCCGAGTGCGATATGTCCCAGAAAATTATCTGGGCGATTTTCCATGTCACTAATTTCCGCACCCTCCACTTGGCAATCAATAGCGGCTTGGCCGCGGAAGTGTCCACCGTAAATGATCAACTGCAACGAGCTCATTCGAGAAATTCAATTAATCATGACTAGCATTCACAACCTCATAAAAGACTGTTAACGGTCACCCCACAATTCGTGGGGGGTCACGTCGAGTACTACAGGGCCTGACGCAGAAAAACTTCGGCCGCATGCTTATGTTGTCAAATGACTTGACGTTGCACCATGCCAATGCCAAGGTCGACTGCCCTTTCTACAGGATGCGTCGCGGAAAACAAATTCCCTATCACATACCCACATTCGCACCCCCTGCATAGAAAAGAGCCAAAAATTGACACATTTCGATTAGGACCTACCTCACCTCTATCAAGCGAAGCAACCCTCTGGGAACTCGTGTGGTAGGAAAGCTTCCTAAGTGTGAATTACCGATTCCCCACAAACCAAAACGCGGTTTCTTCTACACAGTTTAATCTCACTTTGCCCCAGCGGCAAAGAAGTTAATTCTTGTAGAGAGGACAGGTTCTTGGCTCCAGCGGATGCTAAACATTCAATTGCACCTGCACAAAATAACTTCAGTGTTTAGACAGCCTGTCAAGTTTCATGTTGTACTGTGCCTTTCTATATACTAAAAAGTTAGATACTTCATGTGTTAGTTAGATGACTCAAGAATGAATCGTATTGGGGCCCCCGGTAACAACATAACTTCAAGCTACTAAGGAACAAATCCCCCAGTCACTCTGATTTGCCACTTAGTGTCAGGTGAACATGGGTTGACAAGCCGTCAAGAGAAAAGGGGAAGGCTGTGGATGACTATGAACCTTGGCAATATGAGTAAGATGACAGAAGCTACTGCATATACATGTGAGTTCCGAGGGTCCAAGAAATTTTCGCTGCATACACTGCCTTGAAAAAGCTTGGCATGCTGAGTTTGGCATCTTTGACATCTTGACATTTGCTTGGCATTACTTTACGAATTGCTTCGTCAGCAAGCACCATAAACTCAGTCTTTAGCCCTTTTTCATTTTTTTAAGACTCATCTTGCCACTGCCTACTAGGAGATGGTGCGAACATTTGGAGATAAGTAAAAGCATCTCAATTTAATAGTAGGTTGCATCAAATACGAAGATCACAAAAGCCGGAAGCGGGAGAAGCCTGTCGGCAAATGTGGGTAGCCTGTCAAACTCCAGAACACAAACGCCCGCAATCTGCACGCTTACATAAGCGTGCGACTTCCAGGTTCGTCTATAACAGAAATCGCGAAACGCTACCTCATAAAGCCAACTTGACACATTGCGGAATGTCAGTGGCCACTAGACCCATTACACTACTTGTATTATCCCCTTCCCGCTGGGCACCTCAGTGGCGATGCAATGCGAGCTGATGTACCCCGGACATCCTGGTGGGCCGAAAAGGCTAATATGCGAATCATTGCCCACTTCCAAGACTTTTTTCCGCACATCGATTCCGTTGGCCTTTTATGCACCCGGAATCTGACATCCTTGGCTTAGTGACCGGATCTCACAACCGGCTTTCTATAAGACCCTTCGAGTTCCCGTTTTTTTCTTTCTTCCCTTTTAAAACATCTCCATACTTCTTTTATAATGAACAACAAGGTCACTTTGCCACCCATCTCGGATATCTTTGCCAACAAGGAGCCTCAGCACTTGGGAGCTATGGGTCCACACCAACTTCCATACTCCAGCGCTGGCGGGTACCCTGTCATGCCAATGTACTCATACAATTATATGAATGCTGCTGCCGCAGCCGCTGCCAAATCCAGTTTACCACCCTTGTATCCTGGTACCGGTTCTTCTTACATGTACGGATCAAACTTCTCTGGCTACTCTGGACTGGCTCCAGCAGGCGCCAGATACCCAGTCGGACTTCCAGTGCCAGCCACTACTCTGGGGTTGACCAGCGGAAGACTGCTGGTGGGATCAGTTTCACGCAGACCATCGATGCAAGCACCATCTTCGCCACCAATGCGTTCGCCAGAACTGGAGCTGTCGTCTCCCGAGGCAGGAAAAAGCAGCATGCTGCAAACTCGGTCGAGAACAAGAAATAATTTGCCTAAGGAGACAACATATATTTTATTGAAGTGGTTGAATGATCACTTGAACCACCCATACCCAAACTCTTTTGAGAAGACACAATTAATGATGACGACGGGGTTAAACCAGCAACAATTAAGTAACTGGTTCATCAACGCTCGCAGAAGAAAGATTAAGGCGTTGCGCCAAAGACAAAAGCTGACGTCCAACTGAGGAGACTGCACCACCACTAGGAAAATTTATTAACTAAGAGATATGATCGCGGCTAGACCGCATGGGTTTAATTCAAGTATATAGGATCAGGTCATTAATATTAAGGATATCAGGGATATTTTGATGATGTAGATGAATTTGGGTGGGTGCATACTCTTTCGAGCTATGTACAGGATGGCTGTCATGAGGCAAAGTGAAGTTCGTAATTGAATTTAAATAGTGATGGTCATGCCGGAATTTCGAAATGGGCAATTTCCGCCCATAAAGACCTCGTTTCTCAAAATTATTACCTCTGGTCACGTGTATTCAGTAATAAATTAACCCCCGTATATCCCCGGATTACCCCGGAACTGTTTAAGCAATGCATGGACACTTATAAAATTATTATTTTGAGTGCTGCACTCAACCTTGTTCTGGCCAAGTCTTGGCCCACGACTTTGTGGCCCAAGATTCTCATTTTCTTGGCATGTGCGTCTGTCAATCCTGCCAAGTCGATTCACCCCCGGATTCTACCAACCCTGCTGACACTTTCTATTTCAGGATATAGTCACTCCGCTTTCTTAAAGTGGAAGTCAGTCCTAGACCCTGTGACAACCACCACCTGTGACAATATGAAACATGATCCGAGGGTTGTGGAACCTAAATTTGTGTGATGCCCTGGGTTTTATTGAATAAACGGTCAATATGCCAAACGAGCAGAAAAAAAATCCCCAGAGTCAAGAAATTTAAATGGTAATTCCAGACATCCGGCCACATTTCTTACCCGCAATCATACCTGACAATAGGAATAAGCGTGCAACGGCCAATTGTCATAAAGTCCACATAAATGTTTCGTTGTGTTTTTCGAGTCCACGAAGGTGACATCTTAATCTGCAGGATAGAAACAAACAAGTACTGACCACGAAAACAAATGAGAAGTACAATTTCAATTGGTGTACGGATGTCTTTAACCGGCTATGTAGTAAACGTATAGAATCCACAATTTCTTCTACAAGCCATGGCTACTACTTCTGATGCGTTGATAGCGGTAGCTGATGAGATTTTGGCACGTGTGGATCACCTTTCTGCTGTTCAAATCTCCAAAAAGGGTCGCAAGTACAAGTTTGTTAACAATAACTTCCAGAGAGTCAGAGAGGAAGATAAGCACTTGATTGTTTATCCTGAAGACTTGGATAAAAATCTTTCCACGGTTCTGGCTTATGAAATTCTTCGAAATATCAGCGAGGACATTTTCGAAACCCATACCGACCTCTGTCTTTCAATTGTGGGAGCAGCACGGGAGTTGGAGGTTAATGGCTGGTACGAGGAAGAAAACTCACTGGTGATCAACTATAGGGTGCTGAAGGCTAACTTTAACGATACTAATCGTGAAACGGCTCTTCTGTTTGCGCAAAAAGTCACTCCTGAGCATCTCCATAGAGCTTACATTCTACTCTACTGTGCTAAATTAAACTTCTTCCATACTGATCATCACATTGGTACCAAACTTGAAGGAGCCCATGTTCGCCAGTATGTTGAAGAATTCTATGGAGAAGAGGCATTGGAGCTGCACATGGTACTTGTAGCTCTTAAAAGCTTTGTCCACTGGGCCAACATCAAAGGTCTTTTATATAAATTGGAGGTGCCCAACATTGACTTGGATAACGATGCAATTCAAAAATTCTCAACGTTTCCGGACCCTCCAGAGGAGCTTCTCTCTCATGTTTATGACAGATACCCTAGTGGAACTTCGAAGTATTCACTCATGAGAAAAGCAATGGATATACTTGCAGATTTCGATTACTCTAAGTTGGTTCCATACCCACAAGGTGAGGAGTTCGACATGAAATGGCTCTTTGATTTGTGCCACAACATAGAGTCTGACCCTGTTCGCTACCATTTGCGGTCAGTTGCCAAGAGACTCTCCAAGGACCCGGTGAACTTGCAAGATCTCGCCAATCAACATGCAAAGAGTGCCAAGTGCTTGCTTTCGTACATCAGCTTGGTGTTGAATGTATTTCACGATAGTGGAGGAGAGTTTTTGCTCCAGAACTCCAAGATTCCCAACTTTTCTGACGACCTCATTGGCCAGTGGCCCGACTTGTATGAGAACTTGGTTAAAATCAGCAACAAGATCGATGAATACGAGGAAAAGTCGTGGGACTCTGACGATATAGTGAGTCGACTTTTTGACGGAAGCAGAAACGTTTACGACGAGGTTTCAAAGATGAGGGACTTGTATGCTGAAGATTACGAGTGAGTCCCCTAATATTGGTGTTGTGAATGGTGGGCTTGTATCAGGGAACTTGTCAAGTGGTTACAAAGATGCCTATCATTGTCATTGCAAGCCTGTTTTGAGGTTAAATCAGTTGAATGTTCCCTTGAATGGTATCGGATAGTCTGGGTCTTTCACTTTCTTCGATATTTCGATGTGGCTCTGAATATTCTGACATCCATGGTAAGTACTAGACACTTGGTATGAAATTCTTTGGATTACCTGATGCTTCTATGGTGTGATTACCTCAACTGACTTCAATTCTCGGATCTCCGGGTATCTCTTAGATCGGCAACCGGGAACTCCTCGAAGAGGAATTTCCCCATTCCTATCGAAGCCCTGGGACCTCCCTTTACTCGCGTCCGTTAGTTCTCCTTCCGGGTCCTTTGTTGGTCGGGCTGACTTACGAAGTCACAATCCACTCAGTTACGACTCCGTCATAACGACATCCACCGTCAACCAAGTCTTCGACAACGACTTCCGGTCATTCTTAGTCAACTTTCACAACCCTGCGTCATGCTGCCCATATTAAGTACATGTCCCTAAGCAATTGGCGTTATTTTGTCTCAACGTTCATAACTACCATAGTACGTAGTTCACCTGTCTGTATCTTTAATACTCCACCTTCTATCTAAGAATGGCTTATGTCTTGGAAGAATTGACCGGCCGCCTGTTGATCGACTACACCCGAGAACGCAATTCTGAGGTGTGGCGAGGTGATCTTGACAAATATCAATATGTCACAGCTAAGTATGCCTTGCTTAAGACAGACATAACCTCCTCTTACCCAAACCGTATGGTCGTATTTGCCATGATAGACAAGAACACAGGTAGCATTGTCAGCTCAATAGAATTATTAATAAGGAAATCCTGGAGATTCTCCAGAAACAGCAATGGGTCTGTTTGGAAAGAAGCCATTCTCAGTGGTTGCGTTGCTGGAGTGTTCACATTTCCTGAGAATAGAAGACAAGGATTGGCCACATTGATGGTGGGGAAATTGGTGAACAAGGCCAAGGAATATATAGGTGATGGGTTTATGACCTTGTATTCGGAAGTTGGGGAATTTTATGCTCGAAATGGTTTCAAATCGTACCATGTACCGTTGGTTCGTGTTGAAATCAACAAGCAGTCACCAAACGCTTTGAAGGTTGAGTTGATCAAGTACCATCAATTTGAAGGCTTGATGGGGCAATACAGAAAAGCGTTTTTGCTTGAAATGGAGCAAAACGTTCTCAATGATGGAATTCAACGGGTGTTTGTTGATCCAACTTCTTCTATTCTCGACTGGTTCCATCTTCGATCGAAATACTGGCACATGTACTTGTTTGGAACAGCGAATGTTGATCCATACAGTCAAAATTATGAAGAACAAGTGAGGGAGTTTTCAAGGCATGAGCCTGGTTATTTTGGCCTAAAAGTTATGGACTCTACCAATATCAAGGGCTTCATTGTATGGTATAACGAGTATGGAAAGACTGAGCATAGGTCAATTGTGCTAAAGTTACATGTTTTTGCGGGCTACGACAAGGATGAGACGGCAAAAGAACTTCTTGATGCCATGAAGGGTTATTATTCGGAGAATAGACCTCAACATAGGCAATTCAACACTATCGAGTTGTGGGTTTCGGAGTTGAGTGAGCGATTGTTGGGAATCTTGAAGGATGAAGGAGCCAAGGTGGTGGAGAATCCTGATTTGAGTGCCATTTTGATAATGGAAGATCACACCAAGTTGGATAATGGAGAGATTATCTGGGCAGACAACACGAAGTTGCCATGGGTATGACTATGAGAGATTCTCAGAGGTAGGTGATATGAAAGACCAGTTCAAAAGAAAAGTTGAAGTGAATCGGTTGAATCTAAATGTTTGGCATAATGATGCGATAATTCAGGTTTTATTCACTTGTTTCGGGTGACTATTGAACTATCCAATTTCTGAGAATTTTGAAGTTGGTTGTGTTTGAAAATGTTAAGTTGCAGAAAATCAACAATGCTACATATTAAATGGCCAGTTGTGAATGATGAAAAGGATTCATTTCAGCATGACCTAAATATCGGCATGGCAAACATGATGCTGACCATTGCTACTGATATTGTGGAGAACTCTACCATTATGCCCCGCTCATTCACTTCCAGGTGGTGTTGGCCGCCATTAACCGCTGGTAGCCGACTAGTATACTTGCGGGAAAGTGACCAAGATTTGAATTAGCTTCTATTAATTTTTCTTTGAATTATGTTTAATTGACATAGATCATCACTGATCATTATTCGTTTGACATGTATCGAAGGCACTTGAAAGATTGAAAATTAAACCCTCATAACATTTTATCACATTTCATTTTTTGATTTGTGTTTTGTTCTTTTGTTTTTATGCGTTCGGCTTACTTATGTATCCGTTGTCTCTCCCACCTTCATCCATCCTCTCAATTTCCTTCTATTCTTTCACATAATCTAAACGGAAATCTTCCTCCGCATCAAAAACTTGGAATACCAGTATCCACGCCTGCATGGCGCTTGCTTCCTCTTTCGACCAGGAGTCTTTGGCTCCAATATTCTCTTACCTTCCGTTAGAGATAATGCCTTCCGTTAGAGGCTACAATTCTTGCCGTGTGTAATGCGGTCCTTAATGTTATCTACTAGTGCAATGGCATTCTTTCATACTGTATATCAGCCATTGTTATCAATTGTATTTATAATGAGTCATTTGCGACATCGTTAGTTGTTAGATTCACCTAAATCATTCAGTGATTGTCCATTTAATCACTGCTGACGACAACTGGAACTAGTTATCTCTCCACTAATCAATTTCTTTATAGAATTTGATATATTACCTCTTCCAATCAATCTATCATGACCAAATCAAAAGAAGATCCTAACGATTACATCTTGCAAAGATTATCTGATGTTCCCACCGTCGATTACACTCGTGAGCAAAATTCTGCTGCGTGGAAAAATCTTCTTAGTGCTCAAGAGTATATTGAAAGAGAGCGCTGTTTGGGATTGTCCAAGATTGCGTCTTCGGATGTCAACAGATTAGCTGTCTTCGGGTTGAAATCCAAAGATAAGCCAGACACGATTGTGGGATCATTAGAATTGCTCATCAGAGAGGCGTGGTACTTCCACAAGAAATCCGATGGCTCCGTCACCAAGAAGAACGTGCTCAGCGGCTGTGTGGGTGGTGTCTATACCTATCCGGAGTATCGAGGCAAAGGTTTGGCCACTATCATGGTGGATAAGTTGTTTGAGTTGGCTAAGGGGTCTGAGTACCTTGGGCCCGATGGTTTCATGTTCCTCTACTCAGAGGTAGGCGAGTTTTACACTCGGAATGGCTTCAAGTCGTTTGCTGTACCGTTATTGAACTTTCCTCTCAAACCTTCCAACACTGCGTATGAAAACAGCGCCAATGTCTCTTTGATCAAGTACCATGAGTTTGATTCATTGTTCGAGCAGTACAACCGCCACTTCGAGAAGGAAATGATTGCCAAGGTCGAGGCTGATGGCGTGGACCGAATCTCAGTAGATCCAACCTCACAGTACATCGATTGGTTTCATTTGCGAGTGAAATTTTTCAGCACGAAATTGTTTGGCCACTCGGATGTTCATATTGACCCTAGAACCGACACCTACGAGGAAATTGTTGACAAGGTTTCAACCATTGAGCCCATTTACTTTGGTATCCAGATCACCTGCCCTACGACAAACGCGTTGAAGGGTTTCATCGTATGGCAATATGAGTACGGATATGACCACGAAAATAATGTGTTCCAGAATTACGCGACCGTGATCAAGATCTTTGTCAATACGCCCCATTTTAACCAGGAGGAGACTCAGTTAGCACTCATCGCCGCCATGAAGAAGTACCTTGAGGCCAAACATGAGCTGCCGCAGATGTCGAACTTCCACAAGATAGTCATTTGGGAAACAGAGATCACGGAGGGTGTAATTGCATCGTTAAAGACTAAGTACGGAGGAGTTGATGGTTTAGAGAATGGATCCAGAAGTGCCATTCAATGCATTGATGAAGATCAGGATCAGAGGTTGAAGGACGGACGTATATTGTGGGAGAACAACAATAAGTTGCCGTGGTTTTAGAATGCCATTGATACGAGTACTTTGAATTTATCACTTGTAGTCGTTAATGTCTGGTCCATCAACGATTCTAGTGTGTGATCATCTATCATTTATATCAGTAGTTCCCAATTAAAAGTTTTCGTATCCAAGTTTTCTGTATTAAGATTTCTTTATAGATCTTTTCCGTCACTTTCTGTAGTGTATTCTATTTTACTTTATTTCCAACTCGGTATCCTCTGTTCCTTTCCTACAATACCTGTATCTACCAAAAACCATTTTCTTCACCACCATGGAACTCCTACCAGAAGGCCAACAAAACACCACCGAGGTGTTGTGGGAAGATCAGCAAAAGATTAATAAGTTCTCTTCTCTCATCAACAAAAAGGATGAGTTGACTGCCAGCCTCGAAAAGTACAAGTCCGAGAAGGAATATATGGACGATTTAGCTCAAGAAGTTGAGATGTTAGGTCTTGAATCTGAAGACAGTGATGAACCTATCCAGTTCAAGATAGGCGATTCTTTTGTGTTTTTGCCTATGGATGTTGCTGTTGAAAAGATCGAAAAGGAAGATGGCATTTTGACTGAAAAGATCTCAACAGTTTCCGATGAAATCGACGAAATCGACCAGCAACTAGCGCAATTGAAGGCTCACTTATATGGCAAGTTTGGCCAGAGCATTAACTTGGAACGTTGATCTAATGTACATTATTGTTACTTATACTCGTCTAATGAACGACTCCTGGCCCCGTTTTTCGGTGGGTCCTGTTACTCCAGATCACTATCATCTTCGTAGTCTGGCATCATGTCCTGCAACATTTGCTCTTCTTGTGCCCGCGGCTTCTTGGAAGAAGGTGCTGTTGGTGCGTCTTGTTCAGGTCGACGCTCTTTCTGACTATCCTTGCCATGTGACACCGGTGGAGCTGTATGGTTTGAATTGGCATGTGCATGTTTAGCTCTTTGATGTCTCTCTGCCTCTCTCTGCTTCCATGCCTTTTCAATAGCTGGGCACGCATCAATGAGCTCTTTCTCTCCAACTCCATCCTCTATACTGTGAAGAATTTTCTCCACTACCGTGTAGTGGTTACCATTACTCTTGTCGTTCCTGAACCGGAGCATCTCCCAAAATGGTGGCTTACTGAGTTTCTTTCGGCATTCCACAATTCTACCTTGCAAAGGCTCGTTTAGCTCCTTAAGTTGTTTCCAGTCTTCCTCTTCAAGATCCATTTTGGCAAAGGGTTCGTATTCTTTTCCTCCTTTCCAAACTCTCAAGTCAATGCTCTCAGGTACACTGTCGTAATCGAAGTATGTAGAGTCAGGATCGTGGGGATCCATATCGGGATCCTGATATTGCTTGAACGACATCTCCATCTTGAAGTCGATGGTGTTTTCATGCGCTGGTTTCCACTTGAGCAAAGTAGCATCAGTTCCAAACACGTATGGCGTCTCAGCGCAGGTAAAAATCAATCCATCTGACTCATGGAATAACTGGTCTTGCATCGCCAAAACCACGTTCGCTCTATACGACAGTTTCATCATCTTGAAACTTACCTTGAACGGAAAATCGGGGGAATTGACTATTTCCGGGTGACGTGCCTTGAAAGCATCAAATGGTTTCATGACGTGCTCTGTTATATATCCGAGTCTCTTAGGTAGTGGTCTGTTTGTGATGTCTTTTTCATTGACAACTAAAGCATCAAAAATACAGTATCGAAGAAACGCCTCCAGAACATTCTTCGTCTCCAAGACCAACTCACCATCTAATAACGTTCCATGGTGGAAAGTCCGGCCCTGATCTTCGCTGGTAGTGAGAGGAAAGTGTATATTCGGGATGAAGTAGTATTCGTTTTCTCTGGTTATTAGAAAAACACCTTCTCCCTTCACAGGATCATTAATCAAGAATAAGAGACAACGCAAACCATCAGACTTTTCGCATACAAAATACTCCCTTCGCTTGAGTACGTCTATGTGGTTCCGTTCAAAAGATACTGGTTGAGAACCTGGAAACTGGGTGTTTTTTCTTCTAAGTAAGTCTGCGAGCATGAGACGCAATTCTTGTAACTCCTCATTCTCGATTTTGGTACCCGGAATAACCGGCATATCTCTGTCTGAGAGTTTCAACATTGCATGCCGTTGTACACTAGTTTGAGTTTGTTGACAAGGTAGTTATAGTGACTTTTGTTTGGACATTCACTAAATTTAGTCACGTGATTAAGCTGCGCGTGATTTTTTAAGCATTTCCGCAAGTCCTTCATAAGCATGTATCTCTCACAATATTCACCTTTTTTATGACTCTGTAGGCTGGTATACGTGACGAATGTGATCTGAAGGGCCGCTGATTCCAAAATTAGTCCCACTAAGCGGCTCATTGAGTTCACGTGCAAGAACATCACCCTCACCCTCAGTGATTTCGTGGTTTTCATCTTCTCCCAGTTTAAAGCAGTTTTGGCATTGCACTCCTTTCGAGCCTTCAATGGGCCACCATTTTGGTGAGGATTTGATGGAGCAAACCTCACAATATTTCTTTGGTTTGGAATCTTCTATCTGTTCAGTAGCCTCCAGAACCGGATTCTGTTGCAACATATACTTGTCAACCATAGTGACGTAATTGTAAGCCCTCAATTGAGGGCCACTCAATTTCGACATGCTTGCCTTCACCAAATCCTCAATAAATAAGCTAATGAGAGGCTTTTGTTCGCTGCTTTGTGTGCGGCTGCCCATTGAACGCAACTCGTAAACTGTATTTTTCAGCTCGTGCTTCGGACAGACCAAGATTGGCTCCAACCTACCCAGTTGATCTCCAATATAAGCAATTCCTGCTGCTCTAGATGCCTTTTGCGGTACCAACTTGAAACCTAATTTGTATTTTGCAGTGTCTTGAGCACAAGTCAAATGATACTTCGTTTCTGATTCATCACACATATCACATTTGATCATGGCTCCGTTGGCTATGTTGCAAATTCCACAATGGGACTCACGATTGTCAATGAAAAGTTTTGAAACACTCTCAATAACAGCGGTCATGGGTCTCCAATAGAAGGCATGAGTGGTGTCTTTCGCAAAAAACGGTGGAGAGTTCACGTTTCTGAACGAAGTTTCGTTGTAGGTGAAGAGGGCACAAAGTAAATGGCACCATTTCATATTCTCCATAACAGGCATCAAGTAATCTGGTCTGGCCTTTGGTGATCCTAGAATTGACATCTCCGTATGTTGCTCATTGGCAAGACAAACACAACACAGGTAAGTGGTAGAATATTGAGGACTTAAGTCATTCACACAAGGTTCACACATCCATTGCATGATGGGTCTCAGCTTACCGAGTAAAGCGATTCCAGCACAAGAGGCATGGACATTAACTCCACAATTCGAACAGATTAGCATCTCCTGGATCGACTCGGCTCTGTCATCATGCTCAAGACAAATACAGCAATCTCTTTCAAAGGTGTAGAATGGTAGATCCATCTTGAGAGGATTCGAAACAGAATACGCTATCTGTCTTAAGTCGGAGAGTTGTCGAAGTTTGAAGTTGCAAACTATGTGCTCAAGAACGTTGTGGTTCAATTTAGCAAATTGTGGGGCATCTTTTCCACCAGGAGACTTCGGAACCGAACTTCGATAGTTTGGATTCAAAATGGGATTTAGAAAGAAAAACTCCTGGCTATTCTTCTTTTGCCGCTTTGGAGCAGTTGATTTAGTAGCGGTGTGTTCAAGTGCGGCGGGTTTTTCTGTGTGGTCCGGAGTCTTCCTCTTTCTCTTCGTCGTTGTCGTAGACTCTGTGTTTGAAGTATTCTTTGTGGATTTCGTAGTTTTTTTAGCTGCCAGTCTTGGCTTCTTAGCAGGCGGAGGTACCTTCTCTACCTTTTCTGTTTTCACTATGGTGGTTCCATTCTCAGCAATCTTTCTCTTTCTCGAAGTACCATTGACAGAGACCTCCCTGGGATCCTCCTTCTTTTCTTCCTCCTGCTTCGATGAAATTGAGAGTTGCCTGGATGTTAATCTTGCCGTGGTAGGCGATTCCTTGCTTGCTGATTTCGGTGTTGCCTTGGCAGTGGACTTTGGAGTCTTTGCAGGAGTTTTTGGTGCCCTCTTCTTTTGAGGTGGAGGAGGAGCAACAAATTCTGTTCTGGTGAAAAAATCAGTGGTTCCGGGACCCAGTTTCGTATTAGATGGAAGAATCACACTAGATGAACAATTTTGCTTGTTGGAATCGTAACTCAAATTCCCACCATCGGCCTCAGCTAACTTCAAAATACGTTCGGCGTCTGCCACTAACTCAGATTCAACTTTCTTCTTGTATCCTCCAATACCTCTGGCATTCTTTCTCTCCACCTCAAATGGATCTTCCCAGTAAACAGCGTAACGTCTCCAAAGTTTAGCACATCTGCAACATAATGCAGTGACTGTTTCTGGGTCAATGTCATCAGCTTGAGCAGACTCTTCATATTTCGTGGTGCCATCAAATCCAGTAATTTTGAACCAGTACTGCGACTGGTAAGACTTGCAATGTTTACAGCGGAACAACTTCTGGTGCTTGATGATTTTTTCGTTCTCGTATGCGGAATCATCGTCGCTATCAGCAAATTCGTCCACAGCCGGCAAGACTTTCATTTCGGACTTGCCATCTTTCTGAGACTTCCGCTTTCTTCCTGGAAAACTTCCCCAAATTTGACGGCCCTTTTTGGTCTTCTTCCAAAGGTAGTAATAACGCACCACCATGGGACAGGGCTGAGTCTTCACTTCTTTGAATGTCGGATATAACTCACTTCCGTACTTCTTGATACCAGCCTCAAATCTCTTTATCTCCTCCTTACTAAGCGTGGGCTCTCTCAATGAACTTCTTGTGAGTTTATCAGCCAAGGCAAATGCTATATCCACATTCCCACCATTGTCATTGTAATACTTGACGATGGCATCCATAAAGTTTGGAGAATTCGGAGACATCTCGAGTCGCTCTGCAATAGGCTTGCACTTTTCAATGTAAGAGTCTAACGTCTTGAAATCCTCAGCTTTGTCCTCTTCTCGGGGTTTCCACATTAATGTACAAGTTTGACCATCACCATCGTCCACTCCTCTCTCCATGTAACCTTTTGGACGTGGCTGAAGCCATTGTGGGAACTCTTTCGGTGAGACACCCTCATATTCTTGGGGAACCGGAAGCTTTTTTGTGTCTTCTTCGACAGTAGCTCTTTTTGTGATTTTGCGACCACCAGGTCCCTTTTTCGCTTTGCTCGAACTGACAGTGTTCGACTGAAGATCGTAATATACAATCGGATGATCTTCAAATTCCGGGATGTTCAGTGCCTGATACTTGGCTCCTAAATTAGTGCAAGCTCGAGGGTATGGAGATCTATCGTCTAGATCTACGGCATCTTCGAGTCGAGTGTGGATACCAAGGTAGCGGAGACTCCACTCCTCTTGTAGACGGCGGTCCTCAACCGACAAATCTGCATCGTTCTGCAAAAATTCAGTAGCTGCACACTCAAACTTGGGGAGAATGGCTTCGGGGGATTTCCGTTCAGGGAGATCATCTTTTGGAGACAACGACTCGCTGATTTCCAGAATCTCCAGAATCTCTTGCTCATTGGTAGTTCTATTATCGTGAGCCAACATGAGGATTTTCTTGCTCTGATGTTCGATCTCGTGTTTCTTGGTACAAGCGGCACAAGACCAACTGAAGCCTCGACTAGGTTTTTTTAGAAGCGGCGGATCTAGACAGAGCATGTGGAAGTGCTTGGCACATCCACCACAAGCCACGGAATCACTGGATGAGCACCATTCAGCACAGATATCACAGTGCGAGCTGGATGTGGAATGAAAATTATTAATGAACTGCTTTGTTCTGGAGGCTTCCATGAAGACAAACTCAAATCTCTTGTTCAATGCTAAAAGGTAATGCTTGGAGTTGTTGGCAGCGTTGTCCACGTAGCAGAGTAGCGTGGACGTCTTGATGATGTCGTAGAATTTTATCATATAGCGGTCGAAAAGCTTGTCAAAGTAGAAACAGTTGGGAAATGAGCTGTAGTACTCAACAGCCGTGGTATATTTTGTCTGGTCAGTAGGTGGCGTATAGAACGCTTCTACATCCAGACGATGCTTCACCATCACTCTACCACGGAAACTTGAAAGTGGGCATGTATCGCTGTGCATGGAAGCAAAAAGCAACCGAGAATCACTGGTGTTCTTGGAGATGTCTCGAGGTCTGTAAAACCACTGGATCTCGAATACATAGTTTTTGGCATCCTCGATTTCAGACTTTCTGTCGGATTCTCCCTTCACTTTACGCTTGAACCCCATGATGCGACCCACATAATAGGGTTCCCCCGGGGGCTCGCTGACCATGTAAATATAGTCACCTTTTTTCAACTGGAAAGAAGTCACACGCAGCTTTTTTCTGGTCTTGGGAATGTGGCCCGTAACTTGATTAATCAAAGTTCCAAGATGCTTGAGTTCGTCCTCTTCTGTCAGGTAAAAGGGTTCAAGAAGCTGCTCAGGGCATGTAAGCAGTTGAGTCCTCATATCCACGAATGCTCCAGCCAAATTGAGCTTGTTGGAGAAGATATCGGAATTGGAGATCGGTGGCTGCCAATTGTAAGGAACCTTCCCTCCAGATTGTGGTTTCGGGGTCACGGAGCCTGGAGACGTCGACTTAGACGATGCCGCTGTCGAGTTGCGCTTTTTAGAGGAATTTCGGGGCGACAGCGGCGGCTTTTCCACAATCTCTTCAATCATGGCTTCTGGAATGGCATCCAGGTAATTCTTGTTGCCGGCAGCTTTTCTCTTGGGACGAGCCAGAGTCATGTTGTAGTGCCGATATTACTTCGAGAGTGAATGGCCAAGTGGCGAAATACAGTGTTTTCCTGGCAGAATCGTTGGACAACTAGGAGGTGGTGAACGTTGCCAAATGGGAAATTTCGATATGATCGGACAGACGGCCGAGAATACACACAAAACAGGAGCTGAAGAAGAAACCGTCTTGTCAAGTAGAAACTCTAGCCAGTAAGCACTTGTGTTCGGGATTCAAACCTGGTGTCCGAAGATGTCCAGAAAGAAAAATGTTGCACAAGTTCTGGTGCGGTATGGCTGATAATTGGGCACAATAGGAGGAGACACCAGCCACATGTTCAGAAGAGACGGTCAGGGTTGAAGCGAGAAATTTGTAGTTTTTTTAAAACCAGACGAAGCTGGTGGAATTGCTGGTTTTGGTATTTGGGTGGTTTTGGGGACATTTGGGGATGATGAAATTCGCCCACTTGAATGTGAGCATGAGGGTGGAGTTTCACTGTTCTTGTCGAAAGAACATGAAAACAAACAAGAAAATCAAGGTAAAAGATATTTGATGGGCCTTAGGTTCCATCTCTTATTTCGGTCGTTTTGAATATTTCAGACCATTTGTAGTGTTTTTTCTTCTCTCAAATTATACATATACCTAAGTGGGTTGGAGTTCTGTTCTGACTATAATTTCCATCACTGAAAGGGGTCACTTTCTCACTTCGTCACATCTTTTCTTAAATTAATCTATTCTTCATTTCTATTACTAAACTGTTCCATCCCGTAACTTGGCTTGGATGAGCTCCATCTCCTCCATGGTCTGTGCACTGGCTAACTGAGCAACCAACTTCTCCTTCTCTTCCTTGCTGAGTCGACTAACGGTAGTGTTCATCATTCTAGTCTCTTTTGCTACAGGCTTGGCCTCTTCACCTCCGTGCAAGAGTGCCACAGCAGCAGCAGTAGCTGTGTCGAAGGACTCTCCAAAAAGATCAATTGCACTTCTTCGTTCGCTTTGCTTGACCTTCTCACAATCAAGTACCAGAAGTGTCGGGAGTAGCCAGATAACAAATTGCCGGTAGTGGTGCTCCTTGCAGACGGGGTTGCCTAGTAGTAAGAGTGTGTGAATCTTGTCAAGTGTTCTCAAGTTTACCAACAGCTTAAGAGAAATCAAATTATTCAGAGCGAGCAGAAGCGAATTCAAGGCCACGTCTTTCATATCTCCAATGGCAGAAATATTATTATTGGCAAGTAAAACGGTTTCCAATGCTTCCCAAGTGGGGAGCAGTCCAGCCTCGTCAAGCATGTTGTTGGTCAAATCCACTACAGCAAAGGCTTCATTGGCCAAATGTAGACTGTCGATATCTGAAACTCCCAAATCGCGAAGGGAAAGGGTGAGTTTCCCTTCAGGGTTGATGACGTTGGGAGCGTCTTGGATCACCAGGGGCGTTAGCTTCATGTTAATGGTGACGAAGACAAAGATTGATCTTGAGTCTGGGATGAGTGCAGGATGTGGAGATGGAGTAGGTGAGGTTGACATGGGAAGACGTATTAGTGAGATTAGCCTAAAAAGTTAAATGGATAAGAACTAATTCGAGGTTGCGAGAATCTTCATAGAAGGTTGATAGCATGTTGACAGAAAGTTGAAAATTTCCATAATCTGTAGCACTTGTAGTCGTTTCATCACTGTGGTGGCCCCAGTTCATGACCTTGGCATTGAAGGTATTCGTTGCTATTACTTGTACACAGTTACTGTAGACACGCAATTATTGGTTTCAAGAACCTCCCAGATACACCGGTTGTATCCGTATAGTTTCAGCTGGCCCCACGTCTTAAATTCATTAGACGGCTTTGAATCAAGCAGCTCCGACGACTGCGTAAAAAGTACTTGCTTGTCTAGCTCACCTACTTGGATGATCTCCAAGTCTTCGTCGTTGGTGATCTCTGATTCGTTCCTGTTCAAGAGAACTGGTCCAGCCTTGTCGTTCTTAATAGCATCCAAAAAATCCGAACTGAACTCATCAAAATACATCAGCGAATCAACGGTCATAACTTCATTGTGCCGGTGAGCTGAGATCTCCCAATTGCACTTGTTCCATTGCATAAAGTCGAGCGACTCGGCAATGCCTCCGTTATGGAAGATAATCTTCTCGAGAATGCCTCCACCTTGCAGCGGAGGGTTCAAGTTATAAAGAAAATCTATGCCATGGCGAAAGTAGTTATGAAACTTTTGCACAGAACCTGAGTTTTCTGTTTCATTGCTCACTGTTTTGAGGTGTTTATGAATAAGCAACCTAGAGTCAAATTTGTTGAAGTATGCATCCGGGGGACCCAAAAGCCGCAATATATCTTGCTGAGTTGTCTCACCAATGGTGATTTTTGCCTGAGGTGTCTCATTCTCGGCTAAAAATTTGAATTCAGCTGTACCCTCCTCTAGATTCACTGAGACTTTCTCGATAGACAATTGCGTGGCCTTCTTGGCCGGAGGCGCCACATACTTTCTTGAAATGGCACGCAACTTCCGATGAAAATCGTAGTAGTCTTCGCCTTTGAAAATGGCCACGGACTCACATGGTATATCATGGGCACGGTCCCAATTGGTGAGTTTGGACAAGATGTCGTTCTTGTCGGACAAATGGGCTACTTTGGCCAATAATTCGCGCAGCTCAAGTCGAAACTTGAATGACACTCCCGGATAGCTAAGTACATACGTTTTCTTTTCCAAGTTGAGAACACCCGGATATGTGGGACCAAATATCTTATTGTAGATCTCCTTGAGTTTTGGCGGCAGCACTTGCTTACGATCAGTGAGACCGAGGATATCGGAGCTTCCCACGAGCTCCTCATTGCTGGGAGTAGTGTAAACGATGTCATTAAGCAAGTCGCCGTTGTAGGTCAACTTCATATGGTCAAAATTTAGAACCTCGATAAGCACCAATTCTTGGTTGCGGGAGCTCTCAAACATGAGCCGGACACCCAACTTGGGAAGTGTAACCAATATGGGTGTGTCTAGAAAGCTCTGGGAGGCGTATGCGATCTTGAGCGGCTGGTTCAGCTCCTTGAGTCTATTGACGGTGACATAGAGAGAGTTACCCAACATTAAGGTATGGTTGAGGCCCTCACCAGGGATAATAGCTGCAGACATAGGTAATCGACTATAAATTGCTTGAATTTAAGGGATTTTCGAGAGTTTTGTGTGTGTTTTGTTGTGTTTTTGATGTACTTTAGAAGGAAGGTCTGATAAAGATAGAGGGAGTGACCTGTACAGGCTTATCGCCCACGGTGTGATAACAGGAGGGGCGGATCTACAGGTATGTTTTCATGAGTGAAAGGGTGTTCGATTTATTTTATGTTTTCGATTTATATTTGAATTGGTATTTTTGTAGATAATTGTATATATTTATATTTTCATGTTACTTGGTGCATTCTGAAATTTTGAAATGATTGTTATAATTCTGAGGTTGATCAACGCACCAAATAAAGTGGAAGTAGAATACACAAAGAAAGCACTAGACTCAAAAGTTCGGTATTATAGTCTGAGGACAGACCCAAAGTTGTGAAATGAAAACAACAAAAAGAACAGAATGCGGCCATTCATTGAATGATCTGATGTACACTCATGTCCATGAACATTGCATTACTTCTTCTTAATAAATATTGTCAATTAAATCCATTACTATTACATATCCACACATACATTACTTAGCCCCGCTGTTGTCACTCAGATCGACAGGAGAAAACGTCTCGCCGTTAGGTGCTGTACCTTCTACACCCTCCACATGCTTCTCCTTCTTAGCTGCCTCTCTCAACTTAGCAACTTTAGGGTCGTTGGATCTGATTGGCTCCAACACATAAGGCGAAGACTTAGGACCCAAGCCAGTCGAGTCCTCATCCTCCTGGTAGTAGGCGTACTCACCAATCTCGGCCAAGTCTACACCCATCAACTCCTCATCCTCGTGCAATCTCAATCTCAAGAATGGAATCTTGTCCAAGATGTACAAGATGATAGCAGTAACGGTGAACGAGTAGGCACCAATGGACACTGAACCGGCCAATTGGTAACCCAACTGAATATAATGGTGGTTCATCCAACCTCCGTCAATAACAGTGGAACCGTCGGTAGCAGCAACGTAGTCAGCAGCAAACAATCCGGTCATTAAGGAACCCATGAAACCTCCGACTCCGTGCAAAGCAAACACATCCATACCATCGTCAATCTGCAAGATAGACTTCAAGTCCACGGCAAAGTTACAAACAATGGCTGGAACCACTCCGAAAGCAACAGCAGTGTACACTGGAACGAAACCAGCAGCAGGAGTGATACCAACGAGACCAGCAATGGCTCCCATACACAAGCCAACGGTGGACCACTTACCTCCAGTTCTAAACCAGTCCACAATCATCCAGGTCAAACCACCGCAAGCAGCAGCCAAGTTGGTGTTAACACAGGCATACCAGGATCTGATGGTAGCGTTACCAGTGGAACCACCGTTGAAACCAAACCAGCCGAACCACAAAAAGATGGTTCCAAAGACAATGGAAGTGACTGAGTGGGGCTTGTACTTTGGCACCTTACCAACAGTCAAAGGATCGTGTCTCTTACCCAATACAAGCGAGTAAGCCAAAGCAGCGAAACCCGAGTTCTCGTGGACTGGTCCTCCACCAGCGAAATCCAATCCTCCCAAGTTGAACAACCATCCGTCACCTCCCCACGTCCAGTAGGCGATAGGACAGTAAACGACAGTCAACCAGATAAAGAGGAAAACCATCATAGGACCCAACCTAGCTCTTTCACAACCAGCACCAACCATCAAAATGGCCGTCACGGCTGCGAACATACCCTGGAACAAGCAGAACAAAATATCAGGCAAGGTGGTAACAACAGATGGTGCACCAAGCACTTGCTTCAAGCAGAAGTTATCCAAAGTACCCAAGAAGTGAGAAGAGGTGCTGTGGGAGAACACAAGCGAGTAGCCCCAGAAGAACCACTGGAAGCCAGTAAGACAGGCAGCCATAAGTGAGGCCCATAAAAGTGAAAGAGCATGTCTTTTTCTAGAAACTCCTGAGTACAACAATCCAACTCCAGGAATCATAATCCACACCAATACAGCAGAAGTGCCAACCCAAACCATGTCAGCAGCAACAAACTGTTCGTTCAAGTTGACCGTGAGAGAGTCACCTCCGGTTCCGGTTCCTGTGAACCCTGAGTCTGAGTCTGACATTTTATTTTTTTTTTAATTTGCAACAAAGTACGTGGAAAGGGCAACAATCCGTCAGGTATTTATATCACCAATTCGTTTATGGTGGATAAGCACGGGCCAATCAGAAAACAAGTGCCCTTAGCGATAAGTGATTTTTTTTTTCTGGTTCGCAGCCCGTGGCATGTGATTACTTGATATATTTATGTGGTTCGACACATGAATTTGTCGAAACCAAGTGGGTTGGAGTGTATTCAGCCTCTGATTGGTGTCCCTGCAACTAGTTGCTTTTATGTTTTCGTTTTTGTCTCACTCAATTCCACTAGGACTAAATTGTGCGATTGTCCCTCAAGATCTCAACTTGAGTAATTCCTGTACACAAGATACCCTTATCTTCAACACTCCATACTACTCCACCAATCCCGCCGGTACCGGTGGAGAAGACAACTCGTGCTTTTATGCTAACCTCTTAATGCCATGCGTTTACTGCAACTCACCTGCCCCATGACTGCATCTTATGAACGATCCAACACAAGATCATCGGTATCGGGGGTTATGTACAGGCTGGTCGCAACTGATAACGAATCTACTGATAAACAAACGCCGCTCCAGTAAACTACTAGATCTGGTTTCGAGCTCTCGAAATTCAAACTCGACAGTTTAATTGGTTGGATATCCATGGCCGGAGGGCCAAGAGTCTTCATTGAGGTTCATTTCTACTTTTTGCAAGAGTCAACCAAAGGGAATTTCTTAAGTAGTATAATAGTTTGAGTTGACCAATCGGCGGCGCGCATCGTCACTACCTGTAGGCATATCTAAAGATGACAGCAATGAGCCCCGACGATTTCACCGGTGAAAGTATTTTTTGGTTTGAGTACATAGCCGAGGATTCATGGCCAATAAGGAGTGGACGTTGGCGATAAAGGTGAAGATGCTTTTAAAAAACCAATAAAAAAATTGCTTGAGGCAGAACGGAAACTTCAATGAGATTTGGTGTAATCTCACCACTGTGTTCTCATGGCATAATCGAACTTCTCCACTCATTGGCTCACGATAAAGGCTTTTTGGCTTGGCCCTCAGGGCCCCCAACAATGAGTCATGGAGTCCGACTCGTGCTTCTCCGCATTAGATACAATAGGAAACATAATTGAACAATACGGCGGTGTTTAATTAGTTGTAGAGTAAAGATAGAGTGGAATTAACCAAATGATTGAACACTAAATTTATTGAAATGATCAGTCATACAGTGGTCAGTTTTGAATATTGATTTAATGAGATGCTTTCAATTGTCGTGAATCGTCGTTGTTGGTTGTTACCTAGCCAGTGGTGTGACGTCTAGGTTCCGAAACCGGTTATTTAGGCAATGCGAGTAGATCTGCCCGAGATGACGTTTGATGGCTTTGTTTTGATGTTCCATATGCGGTAAGTACGGCAAGCTCCGGCTAGATGATTACGAGAACTTAGCGAAGGTGAGGAATAGACTGGAAAGTACATTGGTGTGGTCCGATATGGGGGGGCTTATGCACAATTCTTGACAATCAAGCAACTGGCACATGGTTATGGTTGTGGTAATGGTTTGCATCGACATTAAGTAATTTTCAGTCTGAGATTTTGATATCATATAGAATTCATTTTATGTAAGATAAGAGACCAATTAGCAGGATGCAGAGAGCAGGAACGCACTGACATGAAAGTTTAGATTAGAAAGTCGAGAATAATAAAGGACAAAGCCATATGATGACTAGAGTTTCTTAAAGAACATGAACCTTCAGATACATCAGCATCTTTATTCCTAATTGTTCGACAACATGCAGCCCAAAAGAATCAATTGACTAAGTCAAGAAGGGAGGGTCTGCAAGTACTGTAACGGGAGCAAGTGGCTCCAAGAACTTGAAGTGATAATTTGGAACCGAGTTGTGGACAGTACAATGAACGGAGTGGCAGAATGAGTATATGAGTTGAGGAAACATTGTGGTCAATGAGCATGGACTGGTCAGAACCATTAGAATCGAGGTAAGCTTGGGGTCACTTGACAATGAAGACATTGTTAATGGTAAACATTAACCAGCATCATGAACAAATGGGCGTTATCTTCTGTCAATGGTAATCTAATAAGGAGACTTGCCCAATCACCCATTAGAAGACACCATAATTGTCTCTATGACTAGTTTCTTGTGTTTTGCATCTTCAATTTTTCCATCTTTCATCTTAGAGATATTTCATTCAACTCTTCGAATCCAGGACGTTTTTGCTGTTCAACAATCTTTAAAGTCTCAATCGCAGCATCCAGCAAGAAGTCTACCAATCGTCTCCCAAATACAAAAGGGCAAACCCTACGAATAGCGATGACTTTCAATATCCAAAATTATCAGTCACCGAGTACACTTCAATTTTTCGAATTATTAAAATTATATAGTTACCAGGTTTTGGCATCATCAAAATTCACTTAGTCATCAAAAAAGTTACAGTTTCCATAATTTTCCCAAATTCTCACCGTTTCTCCTATTCTTTAGATTTCGCTCGATCTCCACTTCAATTGCGATCTTCAAATTCCCTCCATTTAAAGATCAAAGCTTTCCGGATCAATACTTCTACCGCCAATCCGTCAAAAATTTCAACATTTTCTATTTCTTGTTCAATTCTTATCGACCACTCTATCAATGCTTTGAACCATCTCTTACTACCCCAACCCCAACTCCGCCTCCTGCATACCGGTCCGCTCGGTTTTATTAGCTTTCCAGCCTCAAAACTAATCTCCATCACAATATGGCAGAGTCGGACTTCCCTACGACCATCTTGACGTCTAAAGAGCCCGAGGATGTGGCCAATTTTCTCCCCCATTCATTGCACCTCAGCTCCGCTTTGATTGAAAAGAATTTGGTTGCCTGGTTCTCCAACTATTCCAACATGCTCATAAGATACAACCAAGACTTGAATCTGTTGGTCTCAAAGGGTAGAGACTTTTTTGAAGGCACTGGCGGCGAATTTGGTTCCGTGGATAAGATCTGGAACTGCGTGGCCTCTAATGTCATGTCGCAAATGGCTGTCAACGACCTGTTGATCAAAGCAATCAGAAACGACATCTTGACTCCGTTCAATGCGGCGTTCAAGACGGACTTCAAGTACCCGGAGTTAATTGTAAACTCTAATGAGTTGTTAGAGATGCAGCATCATTTGGGAGACTCCAATGGCGCCTACAATTGGAACGTCAAGGCGCCAGCAATCTTGTCTAACTTTGAAAACTATAAGCGTTACGAGAAGGACATGTTGTTCGCAGGATTCCTTAGCTACTTAAACACCTACAACTCCAAGACGTCCAATGTGTTGTCTAAGAACGAAAACGCCGTCAATTACATCTTGAGGGAGTTCAGCGTGGACTCGGAAATGGAAAAGTACACTAACTACATGATTCTGGCTAAGCCACCTGCTGCTACTCTTCCTCCACCACCACCTCCTCCACCTGCTGCTGATAAGCATAGCAGACATGCCTCGTCTCGTGCATCGGTGGTGTCTACACCTTCCGTTCTGAGCGGCGAGAAGAAGAAGTCGAAGTTGCGTTCGAAAATGGGCTCCATTCTTGGCCGCAAAAAGAAGAATTCGCCCTTAAAGCACTCAGACACCATCCCTGAGAACCATTCGTTGGCCTCTGCACCTTCTAGACAACCCTCTAGGCAGGCAACTAGCGTATCCACCAGTGAACCAGTCACTTCTGGCCCCGGTGCTTCTGCTTCTCAGAATGCTTACGAACCCTCCCGAGGACTGGGTATTGTAAACACCACTGGTGTGGCTGCTGGTGTTGGTGCTGCTGTCGGTGCTGGTGCTGCTTTAGCTGCTGGTCTGGCCACCAACTCTGACCAAAAATCTCACGACCGGAGATTCTCGGGATTCCAGGGCTTGGACACTAAACCACTTCAGCCTTCGCAACCTGATATTTCATCTTCATCGAATGGAGCAGGAAAGGAGAAGGACCTCCCTAATCCTCTTGTTGCACAGCCAGACACCAAAGAGTCCCCGGAGATTGTTCAATCCAATATTGGTAGATCTGCCGAAGAAGATGCAAACCTTGTTAAATACACCTCCTCGGACGAGGACAGCGATGTCCCTACTGATAGAGACGGCAACGCCATCACTTTGCTTCAGGCCCATAATTTGGATCATCCACCTAAATTAGACAAGTTGGATACCGATTCTGATTTCCGCTCCAGAAACACGTCTTCTGGTAAATATAGTTTTGAGTATGGCGATGAGGAGAACTCTATGTCTGCCATGACACCAAAATCGACTGCAGCTCCACAATTTGGTCTTTCAGCTCCGTCGGCTACTCAGCCTGAGGTTTCTCTGCCTATTTCAAATGAAATCGCAAACGCCCAAGCTACAAGCCCTGAGCCTATTGTTACTCCATCTGCCAATTCTTCTCGTCCAGCACCACCTCCTCCACCGTCCAGAAAAGTACACAACATTGTTTCCGACAGCCACGCTACCACCAGTCAAAGAGATGTGAGCTCTCACACTCAACCTAACCTTAGCAGTGCTCGTGAACTGTTTGTCCAGCCTCATTACACTGGTGGAAGAGCTTCATTGATAAGTCAAACCACAGGAAACTCTCTTTTCAAGCAAAATGACTATTTCAAGCACTTTGGATCAACTGACGGTTTCGTCGCCGATGGGTTGAACACGTCCGTGGCTGAAATAGTCAATGCCAACTTTCAAAGTGGGAAGCTTACGAAGGCTGTTGTCCTTGGAGAAATTGCTTTTAACTATAACTCTTCCGAGCCACTTGATTCTTACGATGTTTTTATTCCTACCAAGTTTACTAAATTTTTGTTGAACGATAAGCTCTTGCAACAAACCGGTGAAGGTCTGTACAAGTTGGATATTCCACAAATACAATCTAAGACCTTAGGTGGTGTGAAATATATGAAGGACTTGAACCAGCAGGACCTTCCACTTCTTATTAAGCAAGTATGGAGGTTTGAGCCTCACCAGGCCAGTCTCATCATCAAATTGAGTTTAAATCCCTCTTACAACAAATCGGTGGAATTTGAGAATGTGGCTATTTCAGCTACCCTAGATAGCTCTGTGACTTCCACAAGCGCATCTTCGAAACCGGAAGGAACTTTCAACAAAGATTCAAACCGAATCTCATGGAAATACACTAAGCCGTTAGTGCTTAGCCCACAAGCTCCAGAATTAAAATTAATTGCAAGAATTTTGACCGATGGCGAGGCTAAAGAGGCTGCTTCTGGAGTGCAAGTGAAGTTCTCCATCAGCAGTCCGCCAGTTCCATTCACTGAAATCTTGGACTCCCAAGGAGCTGCTGTGCCTAGCGTAAGAAGCTTGAGTACTGGTAATTACAGCTCGCACATGTGATCTTTACAAAAACTATTTGAATAAACTGTACTTCGTTATCATGCAAGGATCTAGAGAAGCTTCAGGTGCTTGATGTCCTTTCTCAATCTGTAGACAAAAGTTGCCAAAACGGCGATTCCGACAACAAGAGGGAGCAAAACCCACTTAAGTACCACGTTAAAGAACTCAGAAGAATCATTTGGAGTAAGCGATTCTGTCACAGACTTATACTGATCATGGAAACTCTTGTGATTGGTAGAGATCAGCTCCACCTTTGTGTTGAGAATACTCAACTCTTTCAGGTGATCTCTGATTTCGTTGACGACTCTCTCATGCAAAAGAGACATGGTGTTACTAACCTCCTTGAACAGAGTAGCAAGCAATGACTCGAATTTGTTGTATCTATTCTTCATTTCATCAAGAACTTCCACCTGCTGCATTTGAATCTTCTTCACATCATCCAACACCGATTCCAAGTTCTCGAGCTTGCTCATGTCAACCTTGTTGAGCATTTCTTCCAAAATAGCCAATTTGGTGGAGATGTCAGTCAAAGACGAGTCAAAATTGGCCGTGCCTTCTTGTGTATTTCCTCCATTTTTCTCTGCACTCTCTCTCTGAAGGCTTTCCTGGAATTGCCTAGTTTTCTCCATGAGTGATTGTCTAGTAATCTGTGGCGTATGCGTAGGAGCCTGCTTGTCGGTGACAGTAATATGTTTGATGGAGCCACCAGTGATGATGCCGTGGTCATCTATAGCATTCTCGGTCAAAAATGGGTACACATTCAACTTCAACACCTCCCAGTACTCCTTAGAGACTTCATTGGTGGAAGCTGAAACACCGAATCTCAATTCCCTGGGGATATTGCCAAAAGTCAATTTGTCGGTCTTGAAACACAAATTATTGTCGATCTGCACCTTGAACCAATTCGTCTTTGCGGAGTAAGAGACACGAAGGGTGAAAGGGATCATGGAATCTAAGTAGTTGATATCACAGCCTCCTAATGCAGCGTCCTTGACATTGACGGCTTCGTGTTCTCCATCATTAGCAAAGATCTTGAGACCTCTCCGGTCCTTATTGTTGATCAAGAATTGAAATCCATCGTATTTCTTTGGACCACCAAAATTCAGGAAGTCGTCCAGCATCAGCCCGTAGGCATCCAAGAGCCAGAATGCAAAACCATTGGTATCATAGAACAGATGATCGTCAACTTCCACTTGCTCGGAATTTCTGAAAACAACCTCAATTGTCCACTCATCCTTAGAGTTTTCTAACGTATCATGTGCCCAAATAGATCCCAGATTCTTCTTAACTACCAACCTACCTGCCTCGAGCTCCATATCACCCTGAAGAGACCAGGCATTCTCCAAATCACCAACAGATTGCACTTCTAACAAGTTGGGGAGCGATAAGGGTCCTGGGGCTTGATTGTACTCGTCCAGACGAGCAATATGTGCTTCAGGCAAGAGAGCCAATACGTTTGTGGCTAGATACAATGGTAAGAATTTGGAGAAATGCAACATTGACTATACAATCTGAAATGAAATTGTCCAAAGGTGTTTGTCGCAGGAATGTACTATGCAAGACTTGACTACTCGAAGATTTGCCCTGTCTCCTGTCAGGTATGAACATCCATACCGCCTAAATCTGGACAAATTGTACCTGCATGGTTGCCCATCCTGCACTATGTTATCATAGCGCTTTTGTATGCCGCCTTGCAGATATCAGAATCAAGCAGCCTCTATCGAATCCTCATCCTTAGGAAGTATCCTAAATGAATTCCATTGTGGATATCCTCAACAAATACTTTATTATTGAGCCAGCAATATGCACTGATCTTTCCGATGTGCAGCTCCAAAACTCACTCAAAGGCATGAAGGGCCGGTCCGCACAATGTATGATCCGAGTGTCCAGACTATCTCGTGAAGAAAAACTCCGAATGGTTGAAAATGTGGACATCTCCATTTTCAAGCGCTATACTTGCCTGGTATGTCTGAAATCTTTTGTGCAAAAAAAGCGAGATGGAAGATTAAGGTTAGTTCGTCACCTACGAGATGCTCATGAAGTATCGAGCGACGCTTGCCAATCAACATCATCATCTGCTTTGCCAGCTTCAAGCTTCACAGACAAAGAACCCACGAAAGACCTCTACAGCATATCTCCAAATTCCAAAAGTGATTCGGACCTGCCTTTGTCCCGTACTTTTGATGATATCTTTCGTGATGATACTATAAATCCTCCGATACTGCTGAAATTTGTTGAGCAGGACGAGACCCACAAGTTTACGGAACATATCTGCAAGCTCATATGGCGATTTAATGTCCCCGCTCTGTTTTTCGGAAATGAGCTCTTCAAAGAGGGTTTGGGCGAGCTGTTGGTCACAGGACTTCCCCATTTACCCAATCTCATATTAGAAAGAATGGTGGAGTCCACTAATCGAATCGAAGCACTCATTGCAAGCCAAAAATACGTTGCTTTATCCTTGGATTACTTCGATTATGGTCAAGTGCCTGTCCAATTAATTATGGTACACTTTCTTGACTCGAACCTAGCAGTAACCAAAAGACTTATCTCGTTCAAGGCAGTGAGTGACGATCAGAGCAAAGTTGAAGTGTTCAAGAATGCGATAACGCATTGGAAGTTGGAACTGAAAATTTTGAGCGTGACTTCAACAAACTTAGGACAGTCTGAGCTTCCAAGAATGCTTCCAAAAAGAACTGTGTTGGAGAGATTATTCTCACTGGAGATCCCCTCGTTCAATGAACTTGCGAGATCATTGGTAGAAGTCCTCTTTCAGGAAGATTTGAGCAGTTGTGAGATCCGGAAAGGAGAAATTGTCCATCAGGAAGATACCAACAGTCTTCGAGCTCTTGTCTCGAGATTAAAATTAGCTGTGAATTATGTGAAAGAAAATGCTACAAGGGAATCGTATTGGAGAAATTCTTTGGAACTTGAATGTGGTTGGTCTGCAAAGGATACTGATATTTTGCTTTGGAATGGGGCTCAATGGACGGAATTCTGCGAGATCCTCGCACGAGTCCCCCAATTTATCAACCCATTGAACGATTTTCTACTCTCTCAACATCGGAAGGATCTAGCTTTGAAAGATTCAGAAATTGAAGCGTTGGCTCTATTATTAAATCTCACGCGACCGTTGTGCTCATGGTGCCATGACTTTGCTAGTGACACCGTTCAGATCCATAACTACTTTATTCATATAAAGAAGGTTCGCTTGTTGTTGGCATACATGAGTATGTGTGAATTATTTGACAGTCGAGTCCCAGAGGCTTCACGAACTTTTGAGGATTTTGTTGAACGCTTGGAATCCGACAAGCCACTATATAAGTTTCTACAGGCAGCATACCTATTAGGTGGATGTTTTTCTCCATATGATGATGAGGCCTTCACTGAGTTGAAAAGAGACTTTGTGGATATTCTATCTGAAGATGTACAATACCTCTCAGCAAATCCTCAAGCAGAAGTGGATTCCTTTTTCGCCCATATTTCATCTTCTCGAAAACCGGCAACTCTGCCTGAAGAGTTTTGGAAGGCAGAAAAAGAAAACTTCCCATCTTTGTTCAAGGTAGCTAGAGTTGTGTTGACTGTTCGTCCAGTAACATTAAGCCTAACTGCCAATACCGGAAAATATGTTCTTAATCACTTGAGGTCGCCTAGACATTTGAGCCGCTCAGAGGGACTTCTCATCACCGCCATGGAAGATGACAACTGAATGATTATTTTTGATTTTTACGACCAAGATTCTTGCGAGCCTTCCAAATACCTCCGATTCTCATTTTGGGCTCTTGAGTAGCGTATGGAATGGCAGTATCGTCGCTTATCAATTGAGGCATGAGGATCTCCACCGGTGGAATCTCTCCCTCTCCCCGAATTAATATGAATCTGTGTCCATTTTCCAAGTATGGTGATGTGGACTCGGAAATTTGTTGTGGAAAACACGGTAAGTAGACATTAATATATCCGTCTTTGGTATTGACAGAGTGAACCATGCAAAGGCACACAAAAACGACTTTTTCGGGATGAACACACTCGATTACCTGCGGTCCCAGAATATTGTTAGATCTCATTTTGGTATTGGCAGTAGGAACTAAACATAAGCCCATAAGGCTAGTCTCTGTAAATTGTAAGATATGCTCCGGTGAATTGGCGACATCCAAGTCGAATCCCAAGTCGCAGATACCAGCCAAAGACTCTGGCGAGTTCCTATTGAAATATAGTTTCGTTGGAGGTGTGAAGAGAATGTGTCTGACGAAATCAAATTTGAAAGCACTCTTCATATGGTGAAAGTATGTCAAGCGATTGTGCAACTTTATCAGTGAGGGAGTCACCTTGGGGGCAATTCTAGTTGCTTTCAAGGTGATGAGATTCTTACAAGTTAACCCTGAAATCACTTCATCGTCTGGGTTATCTTGAGACTCGAACTCCTCTGCTTCGAAATCTCCCACGCTGATAGTATCGTTATGAGTTAAATATACCACCAGGCTGGGATTGATTAGGCTAGTGATCTCTAAGAGGAAATCTTTCCCCAACCCTCGTACCCATCCAGGCGTATTAACAATAAGTGGAATCCCCTGAGGGTATAAATACAGAGTGTAAAACTCCACGAGAATTCTACAGCACTTCATGTAGTGTTCCGGAAGGTCGCCCGCTGAATTGAATCCGTAATAGCAGAATTTGTTCCTGCGCTCTTTTAAAGCATTTGTTTGACAGAAATGTAGTCCAAACGTCGGTTCAGAATGTACAGTAACCGATATTGTGCCAGGAATGGAAAACTCGGAATTGGATGGATCTAGATCCATATATGCGACCGGATTGTTGATCGTGTTGGTCATATTGTTCAAGAGAGACTTCCCAAGAGTCGATTTACCACAATTTTTCGATCCAATCACAACAACAGATTCCGGAGTTGATGTTGGAGTTGTTGATAGCTTAGTCAATGCATTGATGCTCTTTATGGTTTGCGCAGTATAAAATACCGCAAAAAGATTGTCCTCAGGCTCCATTACCAACTTGAAAGTGTAAGTCGAGGTTGGACGGTAGTGCATTGTCTTCAACAGTGGACAATATTGAGCCAAGGCTGGTAAACCAGTACTTAAGTTACGGAGTTCGATCACAGTAGTGAATTTCGGCATCAAACCATTCACTTTAGGTTCCAGGTTGCCATTTTTTCCCGGTTTGGACCTCTCTGTCCGACTGGTACATTCTTGCGTAGCGCATATCACCAAAGGAGATTGGCTGTAACACAGCACAATGGGGTGTACAGCACCTTCCTTGATTTCATGGAGATTGTTAACTAGAATACGTCCTCTATGTACCAACAACTCGTATGCTCCCACTGCAACGATGTGGTTTGTGGTGTCTAGACCTAGGAAGATCGACGTGGATGTATAGATGGTGTTCTCCAATGTCGGAGTGAAGTTGCTATGGGAAGAAAAGCCCTCTAATAGGGAACTCTGAGGGCTTGGAGGCTCAAACGGCGACTTTGGGCGCACATCCTGGGCCCTGAGAGCTGCATAAGCACTCATTCCATGAATAGATGATTTGACGGTGGTGTGTATAAAAGACGATAGTAGATGGAGATGATGGAGGTGGGAATACTCGAGAAATTTTGAAGAACGATGAGATTCAATTCTCTTTAATAAGTATATTTTGAAGTGATTTTCAATTTCTTTTCCTTTTTTCTCTTCTTTTCTATTCAACATGAACTTGAGAATGGGTAGGATTTGACTACTAGACGGGAAGGCGGATGCAATATATAGCTCCAGAATAAATTGCACTATAGCAACCTAAAGTTATAAAGTGATTCAGAATCCAAGAAATTGATATGGAAAATTTGTGTTCTCCAAGCTCATGAATACAAATCTCGAGTAGTTTCGTTTGGATTGTGTGTGCATGTTAACGGTGTTCTGTTAAAAAGCAGAACTCTCCGATCTAGCTTCGAACATGACAAGCCGGATTGGAATTCTTTCAGTTTGTATAAAAAAAAAAAAAACATGGCTTGGCTATCTTCGAACCTTAAGAATTTTAGGGTTATCTCAGGAAAAAACTTGCTGAGACGTAAGTGAAGTTCAACAGGAGGAAACTTGACTAGTTGGCCATGTCGAAAAGGTAACCGACGAAATGGATGCCACTGACGAAATGGATGCTGTGTTCGTCGTCAGGTCTTCTTCTTTTCCCGTTTCTAGAACATTTCTTGTGGTGTGCATCACTACCAACTATTTCCCTAGTGGAATAATTTAATGTTTGTGCAACCACAGCAAACTAAAATTGACATTGTAACACTCTTCTTCACGTGTTCCTATTGTCATGATAAAATTATTAAAGAGTACAACTCGCTTACTGGCCGAAGTTCATCACATTGTTTCATTGCTTTCCGTATTATGTACTTGAGTTGGATTAGTCGAACGAACTTATTGTGGCCTGTTCTGGTGTCGTATCCAAATTCTTTCTAAGTAAAGTGCTCATAGTGTATAGCTTTCCAACTCTCTCTCTTCGCCATGTATGCTCGACGTGCAACATTATGCTGTTCTTTCAAATCTCAATCAAAGCATTCACTCTGAATTATTTCAAATCTTGCATGTATTATCTTCCTTCTAATAATAGCTAGATCCCTTTTGTAGGTTTCTTTTATAATTAATCGCTTTAGTACCAAAGTACTTGCGCTAAGTTTGCGCTCATTCATATGAGCGTGGTTGAAATGCAAAGTGAGCAATCTGTAGAAAATGTTAAAACATGATGACAAGTAAAGGTTCCATACATATATCTATTGACGCGCTTAGCTTTTTAACAATAGTACCTTTAGTAGTTGCATGGTGTTGGAAAGAAACGTTGCAAAGTGCAGAAGTGTCACTGGACAGAAACTCCTTTGACAAGTGCCTCCAGCCAACCATTAATGGAAAGTAAGGATTATTGATCGCAAATATGGTCGTTAAGTGATCCTATAGTTTGCTGGCAATAACATGCAAAAGAAATTCACCACTTATCCCGTTGAATCTTCCTAATTCTTGCCTTAATCTCATTTTCAATACTTCGATCACAACTCAAATAAAGTCCTCGTCTGCTACTCCATCACTTACTTTCTATAATATCGCTATATTTGAAATATCTAAGTCTCTGCACTTATAAACTTCACCTATGTTCTGAACCATTTAAGCAACAATAATGCTCTCAAGAACCTTGGCTGCCTTAACAACATTCTCGTCACAGTATCTTCTTCCTGTCAACTGTAAAGCAATAGGGGCACCAGCAAAGTCCTCAGGACTGGTGTAAAGTGAATATTCATACTCCTCGACTTCATTCCTAGGAATGAAACTCTCGTCCACCTTGTCGAGCTCATTGTCGACCTTTAATCCACTTGGGAATACCACGTTGGGGAAGTCAAGAATATTCCAAAGGTTGGAGTATCCCCAGTATTTGATGACTTCGGGCTTGGAAGCGACAGATGCGTATGTTGGTGAAAGGATGAAACTGATACCCTCATCATTCATGATCTGTGTGTACTTGACTCTGTTCAGATCTCTGGTGTAGCAGATATCTTGTACACCTTTTCCTGTAAGTCCAGCGTCTCCGCATCCAAAAGCAAGGTAGATATCACTCAATTTGGTCAATGGCTCACCAGACGCAGCAAGTGCCTTTTTCTGTGCAACATTACCGTCGTAGTTGTATCCAGAATTGCATGCCTTCACAATCTTCTCCACGTCGGTGTTCTTCCACTCAACGACTTCAACACCAGCTTCCTTAAGCTTCTCCTCGGCAATCTTAAGGGCCCTAAGAATTGGTGGGGTGGGCTTTACAATGCCGTCATCGTAGCAAATGGCAATCTTAAGAGACTTGGCTTCAGGCTCTGGCACATCCCTCCAGGGGATTGGAAGAACCAAAGGATCTACGGTCCATGGTTCTCTATCAAGCAAAGACTTCATGAAGAGATCAATGTCATCTGCATTACGTGCCAAAGGTCCGAGAACAGGATACACCACTTCCTGGCCCTGGTCAACGTAGGCACTCACGGAATTCATGAGCGAAATTCTCTTCTGAGTAGGACGCAAGCCCCAAACTCCACAGAAAGCAGCAGGGACACGGATTGAACCTCCAATATCACTTCCTAAACCAAAGACACTACCTTTCATAGCTGCGATTGCACCCTCTCCACTCGATGAGCCTCCCGGAGTCAAAGAGGTGTTGTGAGGGTTTCTACACTTACCAGTAATGTTGTTGTTAGTACACAAGTGCATCAACAACTGTGGCTCGGTGGTTCTGATGTAAAAAATGGCTCCTTGCGCCAACATATCTTTCAAAGTCAATGCAAACTCGGGGGAGACATTATCCAACCAGCCAACGTAACTCAGGTGGGTCACCTTGCCTTTATAGCTGTAATGCTCTTTCAACGATAATGGCAAACCGTGCAAGGGACCCATGGTCTTGCCATGGGTCTTGTAGTACTCATCTAGCTCTTTGGCCCTCTCGAGACCTTCGTCAACGAAAAGTTGCATGGCACAGTTGGTCAATTGGTGGGCAATGGTTGCCCTCTTTGCAAAGGCAGTAAAAACTTCAACAGCTGTCAATTTTCCAGCGGCCAACTGAGCAGCCAACTCGGTTCCAGGTGTTTCAGTTATAGCCAACTCCTCTGGAGTTAAGAACTTGACTGCGAACTCAGTAACATCCAATCCTTTGTCCAACTCCTCCTCGGAAGGAAGTAAGTGGTCGGGGGCCTTGAAGTCGTCAAGGATACCAGCTTTCAACTGATCTCTGTACTCTTGAATTTTTGGTTCCCACTCAGCGAATTTCACTGGATCTGAGGTGGTGTTGGTGGTTTCTGAGAACATGATGGAATAAGTATATGAACACTAGAAGGAGGATTCAAGAGAAAAGAAATGACAGTCGTCAAGTAATATAGGCAAGTGTAGAAGTGATGATCATAAAAGTGGTGATTATGGAACATAAGTACTTGAAAGTGCCGAAGTGACTTACCAAATTGGGCGAGGAATTTGTGATAAGAGGCGTTATCGCGACTTTGCATCCAAGTGGAAACTTGCATGGAGGCAGCTGTGCATTATGCAGCCCACGACAACGCATGTACAACAAAAAAAAAAGATCAGGTGCATTACTGAAGATTATCCGATTCCAATCAATCATACAGATCACGAATGCCTCCAGCAGTCGACAAGTCGCTGGTACCCAAGAAACGGCGCAGCCGTGCAGGGTGTCTAACATGTACGTTGGATAGTTTATTTTTGCTTATAACGTTTCCATTGGGCTCAGGGGTACTAACATGATTAGGTCGACACCGCAAAATGAAATGCAATGAAGGAAAGCCTCAGTGTCACAACTGCCATAAGTCGGGTTTGGAATGTGTTTGGCCCAATCTGAATTTTGCTTCGCTACCGCATGGCGCAAACTTTAAAGTCCAGAAGACTCAGAAGAAAATAGGAACTGACTTCATCTTCTATGAGAAACCAGCCATAGAATCAAAGAATGGGAATGATACAGACAATGTCACTGAAGGATATTTAATTGACGAGAAGGTTGAAACCATTCTAAAGGATCCATCATCTCAACCTTCGCCATTCTCCCCTTGCCCGACGTTCTTTTCAAGAGCAGCAAATAATTCAACAAATACCATATCATCTGCAAGTTCAATGAATTTCCAATTAGCAGGAGATTATTCATTCGACAAGGACATAGGGACGTTATTGAATAGTCCCCGGTTTCAGGATCTTGTGGTCAGCACAGTTGACCATTGTCCACCACCCTCCACCATGTTTCTTCTTTCTGATTCAAGTGTCTCTGACCAGGAAGACGAAGACCGCATCATCCAGGAATATTCCTCTCCAGTCACCTATGAATCAAGGCTAGGGTACTCGCCTCTCACGGGAGCTGCTTCGTGGAATCCTGGAGACTACACGGTGGTAGATTCCCAATTTCTCCATGCTTTCATAAATGGGTTCATGCCCGCTGTATCTCCACAATTTTGTCATCCTAGACTTCAACCTAGAGCTGTTTTCTTGCCGCACGGACAATCCGAGCCTTTAATGCAAGAACTTTTCTTTGCTTGTGGTGCTGCGTTCATGGGTGGAAACAACCCCGATCTAAAAGCAGTGGCAGAAAGGAAATATCACACTGTGTTCAACAAATTCACTCGACGGTTGTCCCAATCGAATGGTGTCATCGAGGAGTGGATGGTTGTAGCCACATTGCTTTTCACCCTTCGGGACAAATTCACAGGCACAACACCTGAGCTGCCAGTGGCACACTTATCCCAGACAATCAACTTGATCCGTACCCTTCGTGCGCAGTTGGGAGACTACTCAATAACCATGAAGTTCTTTGTTGAAAGCTTCTTGTTCAACTACAGCGTGATGCTCATATCTGGAGGAAAGATGATTAGAGAAATGCAGCTCCCTTCGCCATTTGAGATCTTCGATGAATGTAGAAGGGCTTTCAACTACCGACCCTTTAGGTGTGCGGTCCCTTTCATGAATAACCCAGTATTTGGGGCAGCAAGTCTGGCATTTGAATTGGCAGCGAAAGCTTCGTGGCTTGTATCCAAATGTCCTCTTGACAAGCACGATATGGTGATAGTATGCGATCTCCTAGGCGAGACATACCGAATGGAAAGACCAGAAATACGACTAGGGCCCGGAGACAAAATTTCGGCCCAAGAATTCGTTCAACTTCAAGAAAGTGTTGCTGTGAGTGATGTGACCATACTAGCGTGCCAGCTACTTCTCTTGAGGATGTTGAATCCCGGACTTCTTCTGCTGCACGATATCGTCAAAGAGCGTGTCAAGCAGATAATTACACTCTTCAGGCTATTTTCCATCGATACACAGCTCTGGGTTGTATGTAGCTGGCTGCTCTTGGTTACTGGCCTAAGTCTGGAGGATTTAACTGACCGCCAATTTATCCAAGAAGTGTGTTATAGAAGTGCCAGGACATGTCGAGCCGCCTTTCTAATTCAAGTTGCCCAATTTTTGGAAAGGGCCTGGGGAACAAACGAAGATCCGGGGCCAGGATGGAGTCTTCTTTACAGTAGCGCATTGTCGAAATCAATTTGCCTCTGAGGTCATGTCAATTTGGGATACAAAGATGTATGGAGTAAGGTACTTAAAAATTTTTGTATATTACTACAAGGTTCTGGGCAATGGTAAGTACGCATATAGGCGCCATGCGTTGACGATAATTTCTTTCTGTCATTCGTCAAATGGGACCCAAGAGGATCGGTGTCAGAAAAAAACTGTTCATCGTAGATAATGGTAAAGAAATAAAATAAATGCAAGATACGGTTGTGGCTAGGTCCGACGTCTAGGATCGGAGCCAGAAGGAAGATAATCCATTGAAAATAATCCCAGAATATAATGCTCTAATTGGGGTTAATGATTACATTCGCAACCTCTAGATTGGCAAAGCTAAGGTGCTATCTTAGATGATATGGTGATCGTATCAAATTAAAATGGACGATCGCTTTTGCTTATCTACTTCAAGGAAAGCTGGAATAGGTTGAAGTCCCGGCCAGAGACATTTAACCCTTATCGCCTTTTTTATTCCATCCTTATCAGTGGAAGGCCCTATGCGGTAAGCAACGATGATTCTCCGAAACTGTCAAACTGACATCTGTGGGATCGGTTTGTGGTTCTGTGCTCTCTAATGTGAATTTGAAACAATGTTGTCATATCTCTTTGAATTTTTCATCAGCATTTGATGTTGCTGAATTACACTTCCATACGTTCATTTACCAAAATCTTATCATGGTCATAATCAACGCATTCAATGCCCTGAATTCTAGCAACAATAAAACTACCACATCCTACTTTTTACGGGCTGCCATTCTTACACCACTTGTGATCGAAGTCATTCCCATAAGAAAATCTTAATAATTTATCTCGGCAGTGAAATTGTTTGGCAAGTGTACTTGGTCATAGGGCGGAGATGTTCATGCCGAAGTGCACTTCCCTTTTGGGAACTCTTATCGGACTGGCCAAATTTCGCTGTTCCAACCACTTTCTTTTCTGAAATCCGAGATTGATGAGTGGCAGACGGCCCCGCAGTAGGAACGGTTGCCTCACATGTATGTGTTTGCGATTGAGTTTTGGAAATTTATGGTCAAGCGCTCTGGGGTTAGAAACATCCAACGGATAGTGAAGATCTGGGGTTGGTGAACAACAACCATCGTAAGCACCAAGGAGAGAAAAATTTCGCTTATTCAATTAAATAAGTGATGATTGTATTCTGTTATCTTACTAACTTCAGGCCGACATCGCAAGACGAAGTGTAATGAGGGCCGACCTCAGTGTGCCAACTGTGTGAAGATGAACATTGAATGTGTGTGGCCAGCATCACTGCTCGCTAGTCTACCTCATGGAAGCAGCTTCAAGATTAAGAAACTTCCTAAGAAGATAGGGGTTGATTTCATTTTTTATGGAGATCAGAAATGCGGAGAAACCAATTCTCGGGTTAGCCAAGTGACTTCCAAACACAAAGGCACGAAGTTCAAAGTCCATGAAATGAAGTTCAAGGTCCATGAAATGAAGAAGGAAGAGAATAATGATCTTGTGGAGAAAATTTCAACTTTCCAGGAACCTTTGAACCTGGAAAGTTTAAGTCTCGACGATTTGATTCAGAACTCCCCGGACCAGGAAAATTCAGACCTGGATCCATTGGGCCTGGAAGCTTTGGACCTGGACGCTTTGAACCTGGACGCTTTGAACCTGGACGCTTTGAACCTGGATACTTCAAATCAGGAAGTTTCTGAGAAGCTTTCTCTGTATGAGAAACTTTGCTACAGTCAGTCCGAAGACAACCAAGATGAAGAAGATCATGAATTCATAGAGTCTTCACCTCAAGACTTTGCCAACTCTCTCCAAGTTAGTTTCCCAAGGGAGAATGACAACGATGATCTAATAAATTCAGTCTTTCCTCTGTTTTTCAACTCACCTCAAGCGCTTGATGACGAACAGAATCTGGTTCCATACCTTGGCCTTACGCCGCTCTCAGGAAATAAAACCTGGTTAAGTGGAGTGGAATTCTCCAACAATGAACCACTCTTTCTTCATGCGTTTATCCACGGATTTATCCCGTCTATCTCGCCTCAGCATTGTCATCCACAGCTTACTCCCTTGGCTGTTTTTGTTCCGCAAGGAATCCTTGAACCTATAGTGAGAGACGTTTTCTACGCCTGTGGTGCAGCATTCATAGCTCATGGGAATCCACAGATACTTCCGATCGCCCGTCGTCGTTATGCCAACTGCTTAGCCTCGTTTGCCAATCGTTTGTCGGCTACAAAAGGCAAAATTGAGGAGTGGATGGTGGCTGCTGCTCTACTCTTCACTCTCAGAGACAAGTTCTCAGGGACAACGCCAGAACTTCCCACTACACACTTGTCAAAAGCAGTGGAATTAATCCGTATCCTACGAAAGACAGCCGGTGACAAATCTGTTACCCTCAAGTTTTTTGTTGACAGTTTCCTCTTCAACTATTCTGTTGTACTCATTACAAGCGGACCACTTGCCAAAAAACTTTTACCTTCGCCATTTAAAATTTTTGATGAGTGGCGTTCGGTCTACGAATACCAGCCTTTCCAATGTTTTGCTCCATGGATGAATAACCCTGTTTTTGGAGCAGCAACAAAATCATTTGAGCTTGCTGCCAAAGCATCATGGCTAGTGCACCTGTTCCCACTCAACGACAACGATATGGTCACGGCATGTGCCCTTTTGGCAGAATCATATCAATTGGAGCTGCCCAAACTTTCCAAACCTACGAAAGAATTGTCATCCCGAGACTTTCTACATGTGCAACAGAGCGTCGCCGTCAATGACATCTGTAAATTGGCTACTCAACTTCTCCTCATACGACTCATGCATCCCACTTTGGAACTGGGCCACGAGATTGTCAGCTGCAGGGTCAGGCAAATTTTAGACATTGCAAAGACAATTTGTAAGGACTCCACTCTCTGGGTCATCTGCAGCTGGCTGCTCATGATAACTGGCCTATGTGTAGAGAACGATGAGGATCGAGAATTTGTTCTGGATAACTGCCGTCGAGCAGCAGAACTTTTCCGTGCTGCCTTATGGGCGAAGATATGTGACTTTTTGGAGGAGGCATGGGGTTGTGCCGATCATCCTGGCCCTGGATGGAATCATATTTTTGATGTCAAGGCATTACTGACTCTCTGTCTCTGATAGCCCAAGAACAAAAATACGTTGCTATTCGTTGCGGAAGTGATATTAACAATAAGAACTAATTTATTTTGAAAAAAGCGTTATACGATAAGATTGACAATATATAATAATGTGAATGACAAGTTGTAGAATGTGAATGAAATTCTCACTAGGTACATCGGGGAATTCTCAGCCGCCATGCATGCCAATACACGTTAGTATCCGTACGCTCCATCAATAATCTCCAATGAATCGTAGCTCCGATAAGCCGGGCCCCTCCCCCATAACTGAAATCGGATTCACTCGCCCTGAACGGACACGGAATGGTATCACGGAATGATAAGACTTAAAGTGGCTGACTTTGGTTGGGAGCCCGGATTATGCGTTATGCCGACATCTCTTCTCAATGTGGTAAGTGCTGCTGATAACCAGGGTAGAATATAATGTGATAATGATGTATAAAAGATGGTCGAATGTACTTCATCTCTCTTTATCACTTAGCTAACTTCCTATTCAAACAAATAAGGGTCAATAGTTTGCTGACAATAGCTTTGCTATATTCTGACTCCAACAACAAGTGAAAAATTCTGTGATAAATCTACCAAGACTATCAATACCAAACAACCAATATGACTCTTGATTACAGCGTCATTCCAGGTACAACCCATTTGGTCAACACCGAGGGAGTAACTGAAGTTGTGTTGATTCCCACACCTTCTGATGATCCTAATGATCCTCTTAATTGGAGTCGTGGCCGTAAGTGGCTTCACATGTTCTGTATTGTGCTTTATGTTTTTGCTACTGGTATTCCAGGAACGTGTATCTACTCAATTCTTCCCGACATTTCTGGTGCTCCAGGTGTCGAAATTTCTGTTGGAGAATTGAACGCCGGAACTGGTTACGCTTTCTTGTTTTTGGGACTTGGATGCTTGGTTTTCCAACCTTTGGCGTTGCAATACGGAAAAAGACCCGTTTACTTGTTCTCCACCTTGGCCACTGCGTTGATTTCATTGTGGCAGCCATACATCACCACGAACGGCTCGTGGATTGCTGCTAAGATTTTGGCTGGTCTGGTTACTTCTCCTATTGAAGCATTGCCAGAATCTTCTATCTCCGACATGTTCTTCGAGCATGAGAGAGCCACATACATGGGTATCTATGCTGTTGCTCTTTTCGGTTCCAATTATGTCGCCCCTTTGGTGGCTGGTTTTATCAACGAAAACAGTCAGGGCTTGGCTGTGGGAGGCTGGAGATGGGTTATCTTCTGGTCGGTGATCTTCTGCAGTGTGAGTTTTGTGTTTCTCTTCTTCTTCATGGAGGAGACCAACTACGAGAGATCTTTGAGAGTTAAAAGAGGTGCTAACGATGAGCCACTTGCCGTAATTACCAGTCATGGAGAGAAGAAGTCGCCTGCTATGGTCTCTGTGAAAGCTGAGATTTCATCAGAGGATGGTGAGGGCAAAATGTACTTAGAGAACCAAGCTGTGTTGATTGATGCTGATTCCGATTTTGAGTATGCTCCAGTGAAGACTTTTGTCCAAAGATTGAGCTTGACCAGCGGAATGAAATCCAAATTCTTGTTGTGGGAGTATGCTAAGGCACCATTCTACATGCTTCGTTTCCCTATTGTGTTGTGGTCAGGATTTCTTTACGGCTCTTCTCTCTTCTGGTACACTGTCTTGAACGCCACCGAAGCTGTCGTTCTCAGTGCACCCCCTTACAACTTCTCAAGTTCGATGTGTGGTTTGGCTTATGTGTCGCCATGTATTTTTGTTGTCGCTATCTACTTCTACGCTGGATGGACTACTGACTGGCTCAAGATCTTTTTTGCCAAAAAGCGTAACGGAGTGTCCCATGCTGAAGATAGATTGTGGGCCTTGTCTGTTTACACCGTGTTGGGACCATGTGCGCTTATCTTGTGGGGTGTAGGAGCCTACAACGGCATCCACTGGTTTGGAGTCGTCATGGGTTTGGGTTTAATGGCCGGCTTGTGTATCATCGGATGTGTCAATGCTGTCACCTACGTTATTGATTGCTATCATGAGGTTTCATGTGAGGCTATTGCCACTGTTATTGTCATCCGTAACACAATGAGTTTTGCCATGAGTTATGGAATCACACCATGGATCGAGAACACAGGCTTGAAGAACACCTTCATTGCTGCTGCTTTTATTTGTTTCTTCTGTATTGGAACATTTGCCGTGATGATTCCAACTGGTCACTACTGGAGAAAGAAGACCAAGGACTCCTACTGGAAGTTGATTGAGCATAGAAGATCCCTTGGTATCCACCACTAGAGAATATCTTTAATTATATGTTGTGTGAATATATTGTAGAGTGACTAATGTTACGCCGTGAAGTTCGAGTTATATGACAAGTAATTGGTCGTAGTAGAAGATCATTGACAGATGTTTGTTATGCTCTTGTTCTCAACATTCTATGGTTTCAATAAAAGATATCCTTTCTAGTTTTCAACTGCAATAGTCAATAATAAATTTGTGATAGGAAAAAATTAACTTATCGAGTCAATTTCACAATGTAACTAATCAAGATATAAATATTCATTCTATCAGTCTAAGTTCTTCTTCTTTGAGCTATTCCTAATCTTCTCTGGCCTTTAAAGGTTGTGCGAAGTCACGAAACAACTATTCCGAGCCCACCAATCAAGTTGCATACGATTCTTTACATCTCCACCGGCATCGGAATTCATAAGGGTCCTCGCATCTAACCGAATCAAATAAACTTCCAGTTGATCTATACCTTTTCGCATATCCCCATATGAATGATCGGTGCACCGCTCTCTCTTACCTATGTATTCGGTCTAAGGCGAAGATTGTCGGACTCGTGCGAGGATGTACGGGTGTCTTTTCGGAATTCTTATCAGTAATTCATACAACATGGTGATATAAATTGATGTAGATTGGCCATACAGATGTTTTCTATTTATCAAATCATAAATCATAATGAGTTTGGAAATCCCTAAAATTAGCTTGCACGACTTTGCTAATAGACGAGAGCAAATCAAGCAAGAGCTCTACAATGCAGCTGTCAGTGTGGGTTTCTTCGTACTTTGCAACCAACAATCGCCATCAGTACAAGAGATCGAAAATGCATTTGCAATGTCCAAACAATATTTTGATAAGCCTACAGATGTCAAAGAAAAGCTCCCTTTCAAGAAGTTATTCAACTGCGGCTACGAATTTAAGGCTCAGGTCAGACCTTCGACTGGTACCAGAGATTTGAAAGAGACCATGCAACTCCAGATGCACAGAAAGAATTCCTATTGGCCCTCTGCAACAGATGTGGGAGAAGAGTGGAGAGAGAACGCAACTGAGTTTATGGAGAAGTGTCAGAAGTTGAGTATGGATGTTTTGAGCTGTTTGGCAGAGGTTCTCGGATTCGACGAACATTTTTTCGTCAAAGCACACCAAATCCACCAGGATGATGCCCAGTCCACGTTGCGGTTGTTGCATTATCCAGACGTCACTGGTGAGGTCTATGCCGATAACGAGTGGAGAGCAGGAGCACATACTGACTTTGACTGCTTGACCCTTTTATTCCAAAGAACTGGAGACCACGGATTGGAGGTTTGTCCTGGAAGAGATGCGCATACAGATTTTGCCATTGGAGATACCTGGTATCCTGTGGAGGCTAAGACTGGGGAAATTGTGGTGAATATTGGAGACATGCTCATGTCGTGGTCTGATGACAAGTTCAAGTCCAACTTTCACAGAGTCAGAACCCCAAAGATTGGCGAGAATCAGACCTCAAGGTACACTATTGCTTGGTTCAACCAAGCCAACGAAAATATCGTCATTCAGGGCCCAGATAAGAAGTATCCGGCCATCACAGGTAAAGAATACATTGTGGAGGCCATGAGAAAGAACTTTGCTAGGTTACTGGAAACCAAGGCATGATGTTTATTGTGATTTTTCTTAGGTTGGAATTTATCTAGCAATCAAATTTCCTAATACATTATGAGCGTAGAAAGTTGTATCAAAACCAAGGGTCATGTTGTATCAAAACATGGGTAGGAACCTAATTTGGAAAGTTCGTGACTCCATTTGTTTAGTATTGGTCATGATATATTGTATTAATAGCAACATGTCGTAAGTTCACGTCTTCCACTGTTTCAATTTGTCCACAAGTGGTAAGACATTGAAAAATTGGTAAATGAGTAAACTCCTTCGTAAACTAAGTTTGGTTACATCATGCAATGTACGACCACCAAAGCATAGCTGCCACCTACATGTCTTGACATTCCGAAATGTTACATTCTTATTACTTTCTCACGATGCACCTTCCATTTACGTACACCTCGCGGACGTTTCGGTCATCTCCATTGAAGACCCATTTGTCGATAATGTCTTGAAATTTCTGCACATCGTCTGCATTCCCCAGCCTCAAACCGTTCAAGTCTGGGTTGAGGAATGCAAAAGTGTCGAAAGGTGATACATCATCCTCCACGGAGATCAATTGACATTCCCACTTCTTTCCAACATCAAAACTTCCTAATTGGTCTTCGTAGCCACAAACTCGAGCACCTCCAAGTGTTGCTAAGTACAATGCTTCGTTTACCGAGAGCTTGTCCTTATCATTCTTTGTTTTCATAGCGACATGACGCGAAACAAGAACCGCATGTCTGGCCGTAGTTAGAATTGAAGGAGAGAATCCCCCCGAAACGTCAGTCCCAAGGCCAATTTTTGTACCCCTATCGAGCATTTTTCTAACATGAGCTTCTCCCGAAGTCAAACAACTATTAGACGTAGGACAGTGGGCGATGCCTCCATTCCGTTCATTGATGAGTTCAATTTCGTTATCGGAGACAAAGATGCAGTGGCCCAAAATTGTCTGTGAAGACAATAGGTGGTAGTAGTCGTAAATATCAGCATAAGTCTTGCAATGCGGAAACATCTTGAGAATTCGCTGCACCTCGTCTTCCGTTTCGCTCATGTGAGTCTGAATCGGGATGTTCAAGTCCTGGCTGACCCTGGCAATTGCGAACATCAAGTCCTCGGAGCACTTGTTCGCATTCCGTGGGGTCAAAACTGGCTTGAGTAACGAGAAGTCCTTGTCAATGCTCTGGATATGGTTGATCACCTCCATATTCGCAGCCATAGCCTCTTGAGAATCTTCGTCTTTATAGTCAGGCAGACCACAATCCTGACAACTTCGACCAATCAAGGCTCTCTGGCCCTGCTGGAAGGCACAATCGGCCAAGATATTGGTGGCCTCAACATGGATGGTGGAGTAGTACGCACAGCATGTAGTTCCGTTTTCCAATGTCTTTTGCACCACTTTTTCATACACTTGTCTGGCGAGTTCAGGGTCCCTGAGCTGTTTTTCCACCGGATAGGTGTATTTAATGAGCCAATCGAAAAGCGTCGAGCTTCCGAACACTCCGCAATTGGGGTATTGTGGGGCATGGATGTGAGCATCGATAAATCCAGGCACAAAAAATTTGAGAAAGCCATCACCTGAGTAGTCAACCACCTGAACATTTTCAGCCGTGAGGGACTTATCAAAATTTAAGGCCTCTTCCAATGGCGACAACTGTGATTCCTCCAATTCCACATATACGATGGTGCCTTTCTGGTCAACACCTATACGTGCTCCTACATGGACATCTAAGCTACCCAAATCCGGGGTATGAACAATTGTTCCATGGTAGACAGAAAATGGCAAGGGAGCATGAGCAGGAGAAATCATAGGGATCGATAGAAACTATGTGAGAGAATTTGGACGATCGCAGGCACTTCTGGGGGCATCCCGGGTTTGTCTTATCCTATTTCCGCTTATAAATGAGATAACAGTATTGGTGAGATTTGATCGCATTAAACCGAAAAAGTTCGCTCCAATGCGAGAAATCAGTAAGTGCTCGCAACCTGTCCAACGGTGCTGATTAGGATTACTATCTCGAGCGGAAATTGAAATTGTAATCATTGATAACGAATTATTTATAATGGAGGCATTCGGCTGGCTCTCTAAGCACATATATCTTCCATATATGGACAATGGCAGACATTTCAAAGGAAAAGTCTTTGGCAGTAACATACTCCCAGCAAAGTGCCTCAGTTGAAGACAGATGGAGCGCCCGGGAATTGGCAAGAAGATTACGCTTCAAGTTGTTTACCAAGGATGGCTGGCTAGGCGATTATGATTACGCTTATATGTTCACGCCAGATGTGTGGCCGTTCAACAGAAAATATAAAGAGTATCACCAACCGTTTTTCGCAGTCAATGAGGAACTTCCCATTGTGTTGATGTTGATGTTGGGATTTCAGCACGCATTCACGCTTATCGGTAGTTTGATAGCCGTTCCTCTCATATTTGGTATCGAGATGAACTTCACCACCGCCCAGACCCAGCATTTAATAACCTGTACTTTGATTACTGGTGGTGTAACCACGTTTGCTCAGATTACCAGGTTCCATATTTACAAGACACCATACTATGTTGGAACAGGCATTTTATCGGTGGTGGGTCCCACTTTTGACATTTTGGGCATTGCTGGCTCCTACGTTTCCTCGCGCTACTCCAAAGGCACCTGTCCAGTAGCTGAAGATGGAACCTACTTACCTTGTCCCGATGCCTTCGGGGCCATTCTCGGAACTGTGCTCTGTACTGTTTGGATCCAGGTAGCCATGGCATTTTGCCCACCCCGAGTCATCAAAAGAGTGTTTCCCACCATGGTTTCTGGAACCTTGCTTTTGCTCTTGACAGTGTACTTGGGTGGAGCAGGTATGAAGAGTTGGGGTGGAGGAGCTGGTTGCTACGGATCAGAAGATGGGTGTACCGTTGGAATCCACACTTTCATGTGGGGAAACCGCCATTTCATCGGATTAGGTTTCTCTGTTTTCATATCCATTCTTATCATTGAATATTTTGGCTCTCCTCTCATGAAAAGCTCTGCCATTATTCTCGGACTTGGTATTGGCTGCACTATTGCCGCCGCTACAGGCTACTGGGACGGAACATCCATCATTTCGGCACCAGCAGGAGACTTCATGTGGACAACGAAACTTCACTATTCTGTGGACGGTGCTCTTGTATTGCCTCTTCTCATCATGTTCTGTGTTGAAGGTGTCAGTTGCATTCCAGACATTGTTGCAACCGCAGAAGTCTCACGGTTGCCTATTGACGACGAGTACCTTCAATCCCGAATCCAGGGTGGAATCATGTGCGATGCGTTCGGAAGCTTGTTGGGAGCAGTGGGTGGGGGCCTTCCCATGGTGTCACAGGCTGCTAATAATGGAGTAGTCGCCATCACAGGTTGTGCGTCTCGTTCTGCTGGCTGGACGGCTGCGGTGATTCTTATACTTATGGGAGTGTTCAGCAAGATTGCGGCTACGTTTGCAACTATGCCCAAGGCGGTGTTCGGAGGCATGCAAACGTACTTATATGGCACTATCGGTGTAGCCGGTTTGAAAGTGTTGTCGACAGTGCATATGACGCGAAGAAACAGGTTTATTCTAGCCAGTGGCTTAGGGTTGGGTTTTGCCGGTGCAGTTGTTCCCGACTGGTTTAATTCCGTTCTTGTGTTTGATAACATCAACCTGTCTCTTGCTGGCTTCCTCGAAGGCATCGATTTGATTGTCGAGACTAATTTCATTCTTGGGGCTACAGTTGTTTGCTTACTCAATTTGATTATTCCTTTGGATAAGGAGCTCGAGTATGCTCCCGCGGTCGAGACGGTTTAATGGCAGACGAAGTAGTGATATGTTCTGCCATGATTTGCGAACAGAACAAATTCGCTATAATCACCTCACCAATCATGTTCTGCTAGAAGCAATTTATAAGTTGAAAATATTGACAATTGTAGACTGTACTTGAATAATTTTTTGTGTGGTAAATCATGTTTTCGAATTTTCTCATGGAAAATCGTTTTGCGATATGTTTGACTTTGGCGATATTATGGTTAATTCATAAAGTGCGCCTTGTAGTCTGGCCCCCAAATGACTTTCCTAAGAACATACCTACTATTCCATTTTACGTCACTTTTATAGGGGCTATCTCAAATTGGGATCAGGAGAAAATTTACAATGTATACTATAGGGAAAAAATGGAGAAATATGGCGCAGTCAAGGTTTACTTTGCTTCCAGGTGGAATATCTTGGTCACAAGACCCGAATACTTGGTGCAAGTGTTGAAAAACAACGATACTTTTGAAAAAAGCGGCAATCAAGAGAAAATTCCTCATAGTGTACTAGCTGAATATACGGGGGACAATGTGATTAGTGCTGGCAACGAGAACTGGAAGAAGTATAGGAAAATTGTCACCTCCAGCATCCTATTCCCCGACCTTACGCCATTAGGGAGCAACACTGATGAATTTGTCTCACAATTGAAGCAAACAGCCACAAAAAATGAAGTCGCTGTTTCCTCGTCGATACAGAAATTGACCATGGCAAATATTGGTGACTGTGTGCTTGGTGTGGACTTGCACACCTCAAATCAATCTGGGTTCCAGATATACCAGGAACTTCAGAAAGTAAAAGCCCAGATTTTCCGGCCGCTCTTCATGAGCTTTCCTTTCTTGGACAGCCTACCTATCAAAAGTCGGGTTCTAGCTCGGAAATCCGTACGAGCTTTCAAGGAGCACTACTGCCAGAAAATAGTCGACGAAATCACACCCGAAAAGCTCCCTCGCCTTGGACCCAAGCTTGCCTCAAGCTTCCAACATCATGAAATCTCAGAGAAGCAGTTCCAAGATAACGCCATCATCGTGTTAGTGGCAGGGCATGAGAATCCTCAACTTCTCATCACATCCCTCATGTATATTCTTGCAAAGCACTGTGACGTCCAGCAAATATTACGCACTGAATTGAGCCACTACGAGAAGAAAGAGGACAAAGAAAAGTCTCCGTTGCTCAATGCTGTGGTGTATGAAACCCTAAGGTTGTATCCACCCATCGGACAGATAATCAACAGAAAAACCACACACAAAGTTTTCCTCGGAAATGACGTTGTCATTCCCAAGGACGCCTACGTCGGATATAATAACTTCGGAACTCAAAGAGATTCAAAATACTGGCAGAATCCCGACGACTTCCGCCCTGAGCGGTGGGGCCAGACTTATAATGAAATACAGAGCAAGTACGCTATGGCCAAGAGCAATTGCACATTACCTGCTTTTCACGGAAGAGCCCGAGGGTGTTTGGGTGAGAAATACGCCTTGAAGCAGGTTAAACAAGTGACGGTTGCAATTGTTGAAGAGTTGGAATTTCTACTTAGTCCCGAGTGGAACGAACAAATCACCTCAGCAGGTCCCATTTGCCCTCTCAACTTAAAGTTACTTATTCGTCCATACGACAAACCTAACAATAATAGAGGCAACTCTGTTATTTGATATGTCTAATCAAAGAACTGATGGGATTTTCCGCACAACAAGGAGGTTACATTACCATTGGACCGAAATATGGAGAAAGGAGTAGATCTAATACACACCCGTACACCAATACAAAATTATAGATAAACGGTTCAAGCTGGTAGTGATCTGTCAAAATGGACGGTGTGCTCAAGAAACGAAGACCCGAGAGGATATCCAGAGCGTGTGAAAACTGCCGCAAACGGAAAATCAAGTGTTCTGGTGGACCGGTGTGCCGTGAATGTTCCAAGTACCTGGAACCATGTATTTTCCGGAAGCACTATCGAGAGTTCAGGAAGGTTGCAAAGGCAGAAACCCCAACGTATGTTGTTTCTAATGGCATTTGCCCTCAAGATTATACTAATCTTAGTCTGGATATCAATAAACATATCCAAGTCCCCGACTACTTGTCGGTGGGTCTCAGTAGTGGGAATGCCTCCAATGAGTACTTTGGTCCTGCTAGCAATTTCTCTTTTGTAAGCCAGCTAAATCACTTCCTACGAGAGCTCGAAAAGTCAGACAACAATGATCATGACGACAAATTGTCTTTCGACAGGTTCAACATGAAACCCACAGTTCTAGAAGAGTCTTCTTCAAATAATTTCACCTTGGCTAGCATTACTTCTGAGAAGATGCATTCATACTTGGTGGCGTACCTTGAGACATGGACGGTTCCATGCCCTATTTTTAAAGCGGAGGAGCTATTTCAGTTATCATCACAGACATGGAAAAATGCCCATGCCCCTGATATAGACACTGCGCTACTCTATGTAGTTCTATCGATGGGAGCATCGGCAGCCTATTTTGATCAAGGGGGCAGTCTTTCTGCGTTTCCAGAGAGCCGGGGTTTCTTTGATTTAGCTGTTCAGACCGTGCCTTCCATTTTCTCTCAGATCACTTTCGATGCTGTAAGAGTACTCTTCCTCATGAGCATCAGCGCTAGCAACCTTGGAGACACTGCTCTTTCATACATATATTCCGGAGCTGCCGTTAGAACGCTGATTGCCATAGGTCTCCATAAAAACAATCCTGTGAGCAGCACCTTTGACATGCATCACCAAAGACGAGTGTGGACATCGACGTGGCAATGGGAGAAGTACTGGAGCTTCTGTGTTGGTCGTCCAAGTTGTACCAGAGATGATATGCCAATCCCATTGGTCGTCACCGAGTCATTTACATGTGATGGCTATGGCGAACATGGTCGATTCAAGATGAACGAAGAACACATGCGTCTCCGAGTGTTCTTCGGAGCTACATGCTCCAAGATTCATTCGGAGTTGTACAATTCTAAGAAAGATCTTTTAACTATACTCAGTACTGTTGAGAAGTTGTCGAACGACATAGACAACGCATACTTTGCAAGCAAGGTTCCACTTCTAGTACAAGCCGAAGTAGATGAAAGAGCCAAAGACCTCGACATCATCGCAGTCCGCGAGTGGTTTTGGATCCGCATTTACTACTTATACTTGAAACTCATGATTTTCCGACCATTCTTGATTTTCCATGCTTATTTGAAGAACACGAGCGCAGACGTCCCAGTTACCATTCGTGAGAGACTCAAAGTGGGAAGAGATATCTGTGTCAACGTGGCCATTGAGCTTTCTACATTCATTATTAAGTTGAATACCCAAGTCCGGATGATTCAACCAATTTTGTTTATCTGCACGTACCTTGAGAGCACGTCTACCGTTCTATTGTTCTACATAGTGAGCAGTCTAGCAAATATTCCAGGAGATTTAGCCCGCAAGATATGGGATGTTCTCCAGGATACGCGGCGGTTTCTCAATGGTTCTTCTGGGCCATATCTTGCCAGCACACAGCTATTTGCCCATGATGGGTTGAAATCCTTATACGATGTTCTCATGAAGAAGGAAAATTCACAGAACAAGACATACTTTGACAAGTTTATGCAACCCGTTATGATCGCGACTCCTGTGATGGAGCCCAGTGAGAGCGGCCAAAAAATTGAATGTGATAATAATGACGGTGATGTGCTCGATACCTTAGACACTGCCGGATTAGAAGACTTCTGGAAACAAACGTTGGATTGGATCACCTATGCTTGAGCTATTTTTGACATGGTTGCAAAACATCGTCGGTTGAAACAATGTCATGAACGTCGCAAGTTTTGCTTTCATACGGATTTGGATTAATTGCCATAATTTGTACTCATTATACTCTGAATGGAAACAAATCCGTTGCAATTTGTTCTAAACAGGGTCAAATAATTACAATGATGTATTCTATCCAAAGATGAGGTTTAGCATTTTTGCATGGAACTAGAGCCCTGTACAGAGCTCACTGAAGCACCATGCATCCTGCATGGGTAAGGTGGTGAAGTCATGCAAGGCGGACTAGCGCATTTTGCTAGACGACGACAAGAGTTGCCATAAGTACCAAGGCACCAACGGAACGGAACGCGTCTACCAATTGGGCAAGAAAGTAAGTACCGGACCGCCGGCAAAAGTGAGGAACGCTTTTGAACACAAACAGAAAAGGCTGCACAGGCTGCGTCGAAAACAAATAAACATTAGAAACTCCAAGGCACTCGTACCCCAAGTTTTGTAATGTACTGACGCATGGTTGCTTCCAGGAAACTATGGGTCTTGAGCTAGCTATGCGGTTTGGTACAGGCTAGACCAGGGTGCTACCCCATTTACCCCTGGACGGTTCACATGGCCAAGTGCATAGTCCTAAATTGTAACCGAGCAACAGAAATCCTGCTTTTTGTGCCTGAAAGTCAATCTGCAGAAGCATCGTATCATTATCTAAGCCTCTGCCCACTCCCACAAAACCGTCTAGGAGCCGCGACAATTCCTCACTGACACCGGAACATGAGTGCAATCAAACCTGAAAGCAACGGAAGTGATAATTTCCCTCTAACTATGAGCCCAATTGACCTGGATGGAGTTACATAACTTATGCACACTAATGCCAATTTCCCCTTTTCTTTTTATTGTTCTTATCGAGGTTATTTTGTGACCTTTCTTACTGCGAGAAGACTGTTATGATTTGCCAACCGGCTGTCGATCGTGATCGTCAATACTTCGTAGAGTGCCGTGAACAGTGCGAGTGTGTGGTGAACAGTTCGAGTGTACCGTTTGGACCTGATTGTTAATTTTGTGTTCATATTTTAAATGGGCGATTGTTTGCATTATGGCAATCCAACTCCCCTGACACGTGCTGACTCCAAGATGTAAGGTGTCACCACACCCAGGTGATACTCAGTGTTCTGGAAGCTTTGACTACCGTCCTGCACTTCTACCCGAGAAGCTTATATAGCGGGTTATGCATTAGTGGAGCCTCGAACAGCAGGGGACCGCCAATGCGACAGTGTGTATGCATACCCGCTTTCGTAAATTGCTTAATCGACTTTTGTCGCCTCGTTAGCGACCCCCCAGTGTCACGCGAGAATTCTCGTCTATTGTACGAAACCTCCCCTAATATTAGCCATGCATAATAAGCACTCTTATTTTTAGCAACTTGGCAATGTTTGGTGCCGCCTTCTCATTAGGGCACCTGATCGTGAAACGCTTGCATCCGCCTGCTTTTGCACCATCGTTGACCACAAAACCATCTTCGTGGATCAGAACTCTTAACGTTAGCATATTAGAGCAATCGTTGCCAAAAAATAATTAAACTATTTGTAACCTTGTAACATGTAGGTTCAATACTAACTTCTGCGACTAATGTGTAACCATTCTGTAATTATTCTGTAACCATTCAATGCTTGCAACTTCACCCAGTATTGCACCTCGAGCAGCATTGTGATCGTACCCCTTAGTATAGTGTATTAACGCCTTGCATGGTTCCTAGGATGAATCCAAACAAATACAATCCCAATTTGTACGTTTTGGTTGCATTGGCCTGAAAGCAGTCAAGATTATGCAGCAGGTGAACACTGATTAGCCGCTACGGTGAGGTGCAGCGTGTAACATGCATATATGTATAAGAATTATCACTTTACGGAACCCACCAAACCGCCTCACATAGGCGAAAGTTTTGTCATAAATACAACTGACAATTCCTCTCAATTTCGACTTTTGTTTTTCCAGCCACAACCATGTTAGTTGATTACGCTTTGATAGTTCCATTGTTAGTCGCACTGGTTCTGGCAACCAAGTGTAACTCATACAATGCCTGCCCTGGGAACCTGTTTGGTTGGGGTCACAAGAATAGGAACATGCCTAAGGCTGATATCTCTATTAGCGATGTGTATGCTAATGGTGACGGCTCTTACAGTGTCAACCTTAACTTCCAGTGTGACTCGGCCTTGGCCACAGAGTCCTTGAACAGTTTACAGATCTTGAACCTTGGAGAGACATACACTCTTTGGTCCAGATCTTCTAATGTTTTTCTGATTTCTAACTGTGCCTCTTGGTCGAAGACTGTCAAGGTCACCCCAAACCAGTCCAAGGGTAGCAAGAAAGTTTGTATGCCAAACTTCCAGATCGAGTTCGATTGGTGTCTGAATGGCTGCGAAAAAACTTCTGGATGCAAGTCCTGGGGTTACTCCAAGTCTTACACTTACAACTCTGGTTGTGATAATGATTCCCCAGACTACTGTTGGGATGTTCCAAATACATCTACCAGTACCACCTCGACTAAGCCAGCATGGCCCACTACTGACTGCACAACCAGTACCACCTCGACTAAGCCAGGATGGCCCACTACTGACTGCACAACCAGTACCACCTCAAAGTCTACTAAGCCAGGATGGCCTACTACTGACTGCACGACCTCGAAATCCACCAAGCCTTGGACACCATGGTGGCCAACTACTGACTGCACCACAACCTCGAAGTCTACCAAGCCAGGATGGCCAACTACTGACTGTTCAACTACTTCGAAGAGCACCCCAGGTACTCCAGGCACGACCGAGTCTACTAGCTGCGAGACTACCCCAAGTACTCCAGGTACTTCCAAGTCTACTAGCTGCGAGACTACTCCAGGTACTCCAGGTACTTCGAACACTACCCCAGGTACTTCGAACACTACCCCAGGTACTTCGAACACTACCCCAGGTACTTCGAACACTACCCCAGGTACTTCGAACACTACCCCAGGTACTTCGAACACTACCCCAGGTACTTCGAACACTACCCCAGGTACTTCGAACACTACCCCAAGTACTCCAGGTACTTCCAAGTCTACTAGCTGCGAGACTACTCCAGGTACCCCAGGTAGTTCGAACACTACCCCAAGTACCCCAGGTACTTCGAACACTACCCCAGGTACCCCAGGTACTTCGAACACTACCCCAAGTACCCCAGGTACCTCTAACACTACCCCAAGTACCCCAGGTACTTCGAACACCACCCCTGGTACTCCAGGTACTTCCAAGTCTACTACTACCCCAGGTACTCCAGGTACTTCCAAGTCTACTAGCTGCGAGACTACTCCAGGTACTCCAGGTACTTCGAACACTACCCCAAGTACCCCAGGTACTTCGAACACTACCCCAAGTACCCCAGGTACTTCGAACACTACCCCAAGTACCCCAGGTACTTCGAACACCACCCCAGGTACTCCAGGTACTTCCAAGTCTACTAGCTGCGAGACTACCCCAAGTACCCCAGGTAGTTCGAACACTACCCCAAGTACTCCAGGTACTTCCAAGTCTACTACTACCCCAGGTACTCCAGGTACTTCCAAGTCTACTAGCTGCGAGACTACTCCAGGTACCCCAGGTAGTTCGAACACTACCCCAAGTACTCCAGGTACTTCCAAGTCTACTACTACCCCAGGTACTCCAGGTACTTCCAAGTCTACTAGCTGCGAGACTACTCCAGGTACTCCAGGTACTTCGAACACTACCCCAAGTACCCCAGGTACTTCGAACACTACCCCAAGTACCCCAGGTAGTTCGAACACTACCCCAAGTACCCCAGGTACCTCTAACACTACCCCAAGTACCCCAGGTACTTCGAACACCACCCCTGGTACTCCAGGTACTTCCAAGTCTACTAGCTGCGAGACTACTCCAGGTACCCCAGGTAGTTCGAACACTACCCCAAGTACTCCAGGTACTTCCAAGTCTACTACTACCCCAGGTACTCCAGGTACTTCCAAGTCTACTAGCTGCGAGACTACTCCAGGTACTCCAGGTACTTCGAACACTACCCCAAGTACCCCAGGTACTTCGAACACTACCCCAAGTACTCCAGGTACTTCGAACACTACCCCAAGTACTCCAGGTACTTCGAACACTACCCCAAGTACCCCAGGTACTTCGAACACCACCCCAGGTACTCCAGGTACTTCCAAGTCTACTAGCTGCGAGACTACTCCAGGTACTTCTGAAACTTCTAAGACTTCTAAGTCCACTCCAGGTACTTCTGAGACTTCTAAGTCCACTCCAGGTACTTCTGAGACTTCTAAGTCCACTCCAGTCACCTCTCCAGGTACCTCTGAGACTTCTAAGTCCACTCCAGGTACCTCGAAGACCACTAGCTGCGAGACTACTCCAGGTACGTCTGAAACTTCTAAGACTTCTAAGTCCACTCCAGGTACTTCTGAGACTTCTAAGTCCACTCCAGGTACTTCTGAGACTTCTAAGTCCACTCCAGGTACTTCTGAGACTTCTAAGTCCACTCCAGGTACTTCTGAGACTTCTAAGTCCACTCCAGGTACCTCGAAGACCACTAGCTGCGAGACTACTCCAGGTACGTCTGAAACTTCTAAGACTTCTAAGTCCACTCCAGGTACTTCTGAGACTTCTAAGTCCACTCCAGGTACTTCTGAGACTTCTAAGTCCACTCCAGTCACCTCTCCAGGTACTTCTGAAACTTCCAAGTCCACTCCAGGTACTTCTGAGACTTCTAAGTCCACTCCAGTCACCTCTCCAGGTACTTCTGAAACTTCCAAGTCCACTCCAGGTACTTCTGAAACTTCTAAGTCCACTCCAATTACCTCTCCAGGTACTTCTGAAACTTCTAAGTCCACTCCAGTTACCTCTCCAGGTACCTCTGAGACTTCTAAGTCCACTCCAGTTACCTCTCCAGGTACCTCTGAGACTTCTAAGTCCACTCCAGTTACCTCTCCAGGTACCTCTGAGACTTCTAAGTCCACTCCAGTTACCTCTCCAGGTACTTCTGAAACTTCTAAGTCCACTCCAGTTACCTCTCCAGGTACCTCTGAGACTTCTAAGTCCACTCCAGTTACCTCTCCAGGTACTTCTGAAACTTCTAAGTCCACTCCAGTTACTTCTCCAGGTACCTCTGAGACTTCTAAGTCCACTCCAGTTACCTCTCCAGGTACCTCTGAAACTTCTAAGTCCACTCCAGTTACCTCTCCAGGTACTTCTGAGACTTCTGAGACTTCTAAGACTACTCCTGGCAGCTCAACCTTTGTAGTGACCACCACGACGGAGACTTGCGAGACGACCACTGTGGTCACTATAACTTCTTGCAAGGAAGAGCACTGTGAGACACACACTGTCCCAACTGGTGTAACTGTTGTGACCACATCTACAGAACAAACCACTACTGTGTTCACAACTTACTGTCCTCTCACGAGCGTGGTTACCAAGACGATTCCAGGAAAGCCTACGGACGTTGTCACTGAGACGGTTCCAGGCAAGAATGTTGAGGTGTCTCCATCTGTTGTTACCAAAACTGCTTCGACCACTGCTGTTGTTACTGTCACCAAATCTGGCCAGAAGCCTGTTGAGGAGTCTACCCAAGCCACCATTGTTGCCACTACCACTGGCAAGGAGACCACCGCCGCCTCAGAAGAAAAGACTTCCTATGTCACAATCGTGACGACCGAGAAGTCTGTTGGTTCTGGAGGTGAGGAGACCTACGTTATAGTGACCAAGACCACTGTCGCTGCTGAGGCTACTAGCCCTGCTGGCACAGAGGCAACTGTTAACGCAACCACTGAGGCAAACACAGTCGCTGGTGAGGCCCATGCTACTGCCGGAACTGGTGAGACCGCTGAAGCAACCACTGTTGCTGGCGAGGCCACTACCCTTGCGGGCACTGAGGCTACTGCTGAGGCAACTACCGTCGCTGGCGAGGCCACTACCCCTGCGGGCACTGAGGCTACTGCTGAGGCAACTACCGTCGCTGGCGAGGCCACTACCGCTGCCGGTTCAGAGGGAACTGCTGTGGCCGGCGAGGGAACATCAACCACTCTCGCAACTGTCTCCGTGGAGGGCACTTCTGTTGCATCTGCATCTGCTGCTGCAAGTGTAAGTGCATTCGAAAACAAGGCCGGCTCCAACAGAATCTCTAACACATTGGTGATTCTTGGTTCTGCGTGCCTTTCCTTCATGTTCATGTAAGGATACTTCGCTCATCTGGAACTTTTCCAATTCGGACAAATTCGTATTATCTTTCATTTCAGATCATTCGTTCGCAAAATTTTTCTTGAAGGGCATAGACCCAAAGACTATCACACATATAGGTATAGGACTAATAATAGAGATAGATGCCTTTTTTCACAATCCATTGGTATTTTCCGTCATAGAATTACTAAATCGGTGATGTTAACAAGTTCTCCATAATCTCATACCATGCTTGATATAAATCAAATTCTAATGTGAAACCTTTTCAAGTGTTACCAAATTGAGGACTTATTACTTGCAGACTCTATAGATGAATTAAAAGATTAAAGGTAAGCGCTTAACCATACTATGTTCCAGTGAGGGATTGTACACAGGATATACACTCAGATCTTTACCTCTGGCGCGAAGCATAGGAGTTCTATTTTAGCGCAGACGATACCCATTTACTATGCTGTGCATTGATTGTAATTTTAGGCGTCAAATCTAGTAGTTTTGCAGGTGTTATGCAACAGAAGTTGCGGTACTAAGTTGCAACCTCCCCTACCATCTTAAAGCATAATTATAGCCAGCCACCTGTAACTCTGCTATCACCATTTGCAACACGGATTTGCCATGGACAACGACGAACTTGGGCGGTTTATGCCATAGTATGTAGACACAATGACCTCCGTTACTTACACATGCATAAGTTTTATGGCGACCAAGCACCAACTTGGTTGGAGAGTTGTACACGGTTGCTAAGTACATATTAATTATTAAAAGCGACTTATACAAAATCCTTATCGGAGATTCCCGACTTTTCACACATCTGGCGGAAGTTGCTATCGGTAATCATGTACAAATCTTTGGGAGTTCCGCATTCAACAATTTCTCCATTATCCAACACAATAATTCTGTCATAACTCAAGATAGTCTTGAGACGATGAGCAATACATAACACCGTACAACGATTGAAGTGTTCAGCAATGGTTTGTTGGATGCGATTGTCTGTTTTATAGTCCACAGACGAAGTCGCTTCGTCCAAAATGAAAACTTTTGTCTTTCTGACCAACGCTCTGGCAAAGGCAAGGAGCTGTCGCTCTCCTAACGAGAAATTGACACCGTTTTCTTCTACCTCCTTCTTCAAGTGGAATTTTATATCCTGATTAGTCTGTGCTGTCTCCACCTCGCTTTCATTAACAAGCCCGGCACTCACAAGCGACTTCCAGAGTTCAGCCTCAGTGAAATTGTCAAATGGGTCCAAATTCTTTCGAATTGTGCCCTTGAATAAGACGGGATCCTGAGGAATAATACTGAGGTGTGATCTCAAATCCTTTAGTCCCAACTTTGAAATATCGGCCCCGTCTATCTCTATTTTTCCTTCCTTCAACTCGACAAGACGGTACAATGCCGTCATAATCGACGACTTTCCCGCTCCCGTGCGGCCGCAGATTCCTATTTTCTCATATGGCTTGACGTCTAAAGTTAAGTTCTTGAGTACAAGTGGGAGATTGGGCCTGTAAGCCAAGGAGACATTCTCAAATGAGATAGCACCCTCATTTGGCCATGTAGGGGAAGGTTTGGTCTCCGAAATCACATATGGTGCCTCCTGCTCGAGATCAAATCCATACTCACAAAGTCTTTCTACCGAATTCATTTGGTTTTCAACTTGAGTGAGTGTTCTTATCAAAACTGAAAGCAGTCCAGCAATCAGCAACACATAAGAGAGAAGCAAACCAGTGGACGCAGCGCTGATCTTGAAAACACGGAACACACAAAGAAGACTGATGATGACTGCGAATAGCGATGCAACGATATCCAAATGGATGGAGAGCCATCTTTGATTGGCCACAGTGAGGTAGGACGCTTCATTCGTTTTGTTGATGTAGACATCGTTCTTTCTCTTGAATCTCGCTTCCGCATTGTAGGCCTTAATTGTCATCATTCCACTAAGAATCTCGTTGAAGTTGTTGTAGACAAAGGATCTTTGAACAGCCTCCAAACGCTTAATTTCTCTTGCAGACGCCTGATAAAAATTACCAATGGCGACAAACAAAAATCCCAAAAATGGCACAGCAATGGCAAAATACGGAAGATAGATGATACACAAGACCAAAATGCCGAAGATGCTTCCGATGAAGTATATGAGTACTCTAAGATCGTTATTGATCTCATTATCTAGAACATCACTGTCTTTGGTGAATCGGTTGAGCAATCGCCCCATTGGAGTGACATCCATGAGAGACATTGGAGCATGTAACACACGGTGCATAGCTTTCAAGTTAAGAACTTCAGCGCTGGTGTTGGTCAAATAAGCGAGCGCAAGAAATGCAAAGATGAGGAAGAAATAAGCACAGAAGGTGAACATGATATAGATTCCAATGTAGAAGTGATCACCCTTATGCCTGAACCTGTAATCAGCCCAGAACGACAACCATGTGTTGGTCATGATCTCACAAACATGTGCGAGCACTTCCAGCATAAAGACAAAGATTGCAACTGAAAAGACAGGGAATATACCTGAGCCATTTTTAATATAACGTTTGTAAACATCAAACTTGATGCTGTTGACGGCTCTGCGCTCTTCTTTAGTCAATTTACCGTCTTCACCCATATTCACATTGAAGTTCTTACGAACTGCCTCGGAATCATTGGTTTCATTAGTCTCGGATTCTTTGTCCTGTCTTCCTTCAACTTCTTCTTCATCACTGTCATTAGCCTCCGCTGGCGTCTTAGTATTGGCCCCAAGCGCCATCAAGTTTCTGAAGTTAGTATTGCGTTGTTTAAGATCCTCCATGGTTCCGTGGTCGATGGTCCCGTCTCCATTCAAGAAGACAACCATGTCAGAAGAGCCGATAAGTGAGATTTGATGAGTAGCAAGTATTCTCGTCTTTGTAGCCAAAAGTCCAAGAACACAATTCGTCATTATATGCTTTGCAACCTTCGCATCCACGGCGCTCAACACATCGTCCAATAATATGATATCGTTATCGGCATACACTGCCCTGGCCAAACTAATCCGGGCTTTTTGGCCTCCCGACAATGTGATGCCCCGCTCACCGATTTCTGTCTGGTCGCCTGCTGGAAGTATCTCCAAGTCGCTTTCCAAAGAACACGCATATAATGTATCATTGTAGCGTTTTTCGTCATATTCTTTTCCAAACAAAATGTTCTCTTTCACTGTGGTATTCTGGATCCAATGGTGCTCACATAACAAGAGAGAACCTTCCACTGAGAGATGTCCACTGGCCAATGGGATGAATCCGGCAATGGAGTTCAATAGTGCGGACTTTCCAGAACCGATCATACCAGTCACAACAACAAATTGTCCGTGGGCAATACTCAAATTGATATCCCTGAGTCCATCAAACTTGGTTGACATCGGGGTGCAGCTTGAGGTGGAAGCCTTGTCATCAGTCAAAGCAGAAGAAACACTGACAGTTTCATCATTTCCCCCACTTGAACCATCCCATTTAAAACTAGCATTCGTGATTGAAACTGCCAACGTCAGCTTCTCCTGAAAACTTCTCTGCTCCTTGATATCACTGCCTTCTTCGGCAGCGAAATACTCGCTAAGTCTCATAATGCCAATAATAGCATCAGAGCCGGAAGACAACGCAGCAGGCAATACAATGATCTGCGAAGCTAAATTGTTGAACAAAGAGATTGACGAGAACAAACTAGCTGGATCTCTGGTAGAGCCAGACGTGGCGTAGAGGGTCAAGAATGAAGTCATGGAAGCAAACAAGGTCATACACACTGAAGTTCCCACCACCAACGAACGAGTCTGTTGCATGCGTAACACATACTTCATTTCCTGCGACCTAGTTTCAATAACCTGCTTCTCGTATGCGTCTTCCCAGCAGTAAAATTTGATTGCTTTTAAATTGTTGAGAATCTCTTTGACGAGACCCACTCGGATGTCCGTGTACTTGTTAGCCCTGATTCTAAATCGGTACACTCGAGACACTGCAAAGGAAATCACCACCAAGTAGACTAAAATCATGCCCACACCCACAAGCGAAACCAGTCCGATGTTGTAGATCAATATGCCAATGGATATGCCGAGTGAGAATGGAAACGCAATGAGAATTGGCTGCCAACCCAAAGCAAATTCAATACGAGATACATCCATTCCCATCAATGCAGTGATTTTGGACGATGGATACTTTACTCTGGAGGCTCCGCTTAACCGAAACGACTTATTGAGAATTGATTTGATTAACACACCTTTTGCTTGACAACCTGTAAGCATGGAATTCATGAACGCATGGTTGAACAAGATACCCACCGCCAACACCATGAATGAGCATCCCAAGGCGTACCCAACACCTTTTCCATTATTAACATTGTCATCACCTGTTTTTCTCTGAACAAATTCAATCAATTTTCTAGCAAGCAATGGATTGCATGCACCGGCACAATTGGTCAAGATCATGAAGAAACAGGCGAGACCATACTGCAATGGAAACGTTTTAATCAATGCCCAAAGAGCCACAAAACGAGGATGACGGAAATCCTTCATGTCTTTTTCGGGCGAGATTCTTTCAGATTCACTTCGTTGGGACTTTTTGGATCGTAAGTGTTCTGCTTTCGCTTTATCGATTGCCAGATACATGTGCAGCTCGAAAGTATCGTTGAGCGCCTCCACCTTCACTTTTTCGTTTAATTTGAACAAGTCATCTACAACCAAAGTTCGTTTGTAGCCGGTTTTCATCACTGGATGGAGCCACCAAAAAAAAAGCCATGAGAATGGGTTCAATTTCTCTGGATATATGATGCGCTCATCGTCATGTGGAATGGGAGGCACGTCTTTGGAGAGAAACCTTGTCAAGAGACGTTTTTGTAACTGCTGGTCAGCCATGATGGGAGATGATTATATCTGTAAAAGGAAAACGACATGGAAATGGTTCCATGTCAAAGAGTCAGCCTTAGCATCAATTTTTGCGTTACATGAAAAATGGGCCTTGGCATGGCATTTCTGACCACTTGACAGTAAAGTTAAGGCCGAGCCCCGGAGGTATAAATTGTATCATTAGACTTTACATATTGTTAGATGCACATTGGCACGTCTTGGCACTGACGCAGAAGGTCGTTCATTGGATGGCATTTGTAAGTGCATAATCTGATGCATCAGTTAACAAGGGAATATGGTAATGATCAACAAAAATGGAAATAACTAGAGGAGAATGTGAAATCAATGGTGGTTAAAGGCGTGATGAATGAATTCAAGCAATCAAACAACATGAGATTACTGAACATGGTGTAGTTGTGAGCGTAGAGTACTAAACTAGATTGGTCGCACGGCAGAACTTGACGGCATATACAAGCCAGAGGTTTGTTGTGGAGAATTTGATCGACAGAGACGTCTACCCAGAGGACGTTATTGCAATCAATTCAGCCACGAATAGACAGCGACTCTTGCTTGCAGGAACACTAATCAGATGCAAAAGGTAAATCCTGGTTACAACCAACTGCATTCCCGTCACGGGATTGCTACATACGCCAATGATGTTAAAGATCAATGTCATGCCGTTCGATTCATTGGCTGGGAACAATGAATATGCCGGCTAGTCGGAATTGACAAGGACCCTGGGATCAAGAAAAGGAATTGCAAACCTTAAAAAATTGAAAAAGACATAGCAACACAAAAAAACCAAAAGAAATTACAATCATTCCAGTTCACATGTCCATCGTACCACTATAAAGAGGCGTGGAGCCAATAATCAGGTGCCGTATTGCAAATGCCAAGGAGCAATCATATTCTAGGATCGTCAGAATCATTGTCCAGTGTCACCGAACGATGAGAAATGAACCATGATGAATTTTTGGACACAGGATTGAAGGATGAGGCAGGATTGGACATCGCTGTGGCTACAGGTTTTGTGCATAACGGGCAAAATGGGGTAAAATGAAAGCGGAAACTAGTTAATAATATTGGACACTAGGATCTATTTATGGCACCAAGAAGGGAATCTCCGTAATAATATTATCATTCGGAAACCAATCTGAAGAGTAGGTATGAATTTATGAAAGTGGATAAGTTGACACGTAGAGTTCTCAACTAAGTAATTAATTAAATATTGGCTGAGATATTGCTCACAAACTCGGCCACCCGTTGCATGCGAAGCATCTAAAACATCTAGGCACAAGGTAAAAGGTAAAATTCTTACAAAACCCAATTTCAACATTTCCGTTCCCGGCAATCCATCCAACGACCTTTGCACCAATCACACCACCTGGTCATTACAAACCTATTGTTTTCTTTCAATGCATTGGCACCTAAACCAAGGTTGAATCGGAAAACCCGATATGTCGGAATCAAGATGGATGGTGAACAGTCGAAGAGCACACATTAATTTCCTTATGACCTAGAAAATTTGCATTTAACTGAGAGTTAGAACAATATAAGCCAATAGGGAGGGTGGTTGTTGACGCAAAGTCATAAGGGTTTGAAAATCGGCAAATCATTGTCTGGTCCGAAAACCACATCAACCAATGGAGACTATTTCGCTACGGGCTTGGCAAGGATAGTTACGCAGGTAGAACCAAACCACAGAGGTAATTTCGCAAGCATAAATAGGCATGTAGATTTCTCTATTATGATCCACAACAAAACATGGTTGCTTCTTCTAATTCTAGTGACGACAAGGTCGGCGACTTGTTGCCCGCTTCCAGCAATGCCAGCAACTTGGACTCTCACGAGAAGGTTTCCACCAGAGACTCTTCCGAATTAGAAACCACTAAAATTCTCGGAGAAACTACCAGATCTTTTGGTGTGCGTCGTTCTGAGGTATTGGCTGCTCAATGTGAAACTCCATTGAAACTTATAATCTTGTATGTATCTATTTTCGTGTTTTGCTTATCGTTTGGTTTGGACGCGAACGTCAGAAGGACCATGATTGGTTATGCTACCGACGACTTGGGTCAGCACTCATTGTTGGCTACCATTAATGTGGTCAGCAGTGTCGTAGGAGCAGCTTCCCAGCCAACTTATGCCCGGTTGTCTGATGTGTTCGGAAGAGTGGAGCTCATTGCTGTGGCCATCATAAGTTTTATTGTTGGAACGGTTTTGCAGAGTCAAGCTAAAACGGTTCAGCAGCTTGCGGCTGGAACGGTGTTTTACCGGATGGGATACTCCGGTTTGCTTGTGATGATCAAGATTATTGTTGCTGACAGTTCATACTTAAATTGGAGATCAATTGCCTCAATAACTCCACAAGCACCGTTTATTATCATCACTTGGATCGCCGGAGACGTTTCCTCGTCGCTTTTGGCTCACCACATCTGGAGATACAACATTGGTATTTGGGCCTTCGTTGTTCCATTGGCCGGTGTTCCCTTCTATGCCTGTGTTCTCTACATGAGAATAATGGCTGCGAAAACTGACGAGTGGAGTCGCATCCACAAAGAAGAAAAGGATGATAGAGCAGCAGCTGTTGCAAAGTTGAACGATGGAAATTCGTCTTCTTTGGCCCTCCGTACCAAATACAGAGCTGTCGAGTTATTCTGGCTCATAGACTTGGTGGGTATTCTCTGTATCATTTGTATTTGGGGTCTTATCTTGGTTCCCTTCACTATTGCTGGAGGAGCCAAGAAGACGTGGTCTCAGGCTAAAATCATTGTCCCATTGGTGCTTGGTGTACTTCTTGTACCAGTTTTCATCATTTGGGAAAAGAAATGGGCCAAACATCCAATCTTCCCTCTTCAGTTGTTGAAGGACCGTGGAGTGTGGTCTGCACTTTTAATTGGTCTTCTCATGAATGTGATTTGGGGGTTGCCAAATGGCTATATGTACCCGGTTTTGGTTGTAGGAATGAGAGCGTCGGTCAAGGCAGCCCAAAGAATCACCTCGTTGAACACATTCGTCGGTGTTTTGGTGGGACCTGCTGTTGGATTGTTGGTGGCTCGTGTACGTAGAACCAAGGGTTTCATCATGACAGGAGTCATGCTCTGGTTCGTTTCGGTGGGTATTTTCTACCATTTCAGAGGCAGTAATGACGGAATCCGCTCTGAGTACTTCCTCAACGGAGTCATTGCTGGTGTGTGTATTTGGGGAGCTGGTACTGGATTCTTCTCTTACAACTTGGTGGTTTCCGTCCAGGCTTGCACCAACCACGAGTACATGGCAGTGATGATTGGTGTGATTTTTGCTTTGTACAATATTGGAACCGCCATTGGAAGCTCCATCAGTGGAGCCATCTGGACTCAGCAGATGTACGATAAGATCTACGACGAGATGGCCGACGCTGGGCTCAACACTACTTTGGCGAATCTTGCTTACAATTCACCTTACAAGTTTATTGTCAGGTACACTTGGGGAACTCCAGAAAGAACGGCTGTGGTTCATGCATATGCCCTGGTGCAGCGGAATTTGTGTATTGCTGGTCTTGCCTTGTGTGTTCCATTGATCTGCTTGACCCTTTTCTTAAGAGACCACAAACTTCCATCGCAGCAATCTTTAGAAAATGATGTGGAGAGCCAGGACAAGGTGGCACTCAGCGACAGACAGCGTGGTATTGTTGTGAACACCAGAGACGAAGACCCAATTTTGAGATTCTTGAAGGGGATCTTCAAAAGAGGTTAAGGGTGGTGTTTAATATTTTCTTCTCCGATTAGGTAAGCCACCTAGATATTTTTTTGTGACGTATACAGAATGAATTATTGAAGTTTAAAGGGAGGTGCAGCGTACAATATCCACGAGAAACTGTAAAATCAAATCCATTAGAAACCGGGATAAATGACAGGTGACAGAATTTACAAAAGGTAGAAACATCGCCAAAATTTGAAATAAGTGAAATTTACCTACAATTTTCCAGAAAGTACATCTAGACCACATACAGAAAAATAAGAGAAGTAATATTTAGATTGTGCGTAGTCTATTAATACAAAAAAGTCTCGAGAATTCAACCCCCCGTATGAACTTGGATATCCACTCAATGTCCCCAAGATCCCCCCAATAACCCCGCAGATAGTAGTGTTTCAAATCGGATGCACACTGATTCATTATCTACTCCCTATTCCAGTGCACCAAACACAGTTTCACATCAGCCTGCCCGATTTTTCAATGTATGAAATCATTCGTAACTGGGCACATACTTTGATTGGATTTTCCGGTTCAAGAAATGCGTTACGAAGCATTCCCTTCTATTCAGATACACTTTATTCTAATTAAGAACACATTGTAAATGCTGGCCGAGATTAGTCTACCACTCACTACAGAAAATTTCTTCCCAGTATCTTAGATTAAGATACTAGAAATAAGTACTACGCTTTTTGCCAAACTAAAGGTAATAATTTCCTGTGATTTCATAGTATGAAATTTCGACGGCATAGAACTCTTCAGATCGGTTTAGAAGGCAGATCTTTAAATAATTATGGCTTCACTTCTCGCTCCGTAACCTGGCTACACACTGAAGATACATGTTCAAGATACTGGTGCAGACTGCAGAGGATGAGGAGAGGGGCCCTGGATCATCGAACGGATTGCCTGATGTAGAGATAGCGGATCTTCACTTTTGGTTCCGTCCTGTGTTTATTCACTTGATTGGTCGTATCTCACCATGATGTATGTTATCTTTCTATCATAATGTGTACTTCGATGTGCGTGAAGCGCCATTCTACGTGTGTAGTGACTGTGGGGTAGGTATTGTTTTAAAATCAATTGGATCTCAAAAGGGGGTATACTAAGATAATACACAAAGTCAACAATCGCTTTTGAGAACAAATAAAAAAAAACACAGACATGCTGGAGAATGAGAAGAGGAGGTCCAAACCCCGTCATCATATACAGCTGATAGGCCTACTGAATATCTTGTAACCATAGAGTGTGTAGAATCTTCGTGCATTGCAGTCCTCTTGCGTATGATACGATGAATACGAACGGCTAAGTATCTTGCATCAACAATAAAAGCCATGATTTTAGAGTCTTTCGCACACAACCACAAATTCAATAGTTGAGCCATCAAATGAGACTTTCCATCTCCAATTCTCTTTAGCACTGGCTACTAAATCGTCTCGGGCCACTCTTTCCGAAACTCAGTCTCTGCATGTCCAACACAGTCATGGGACAAAACTGGCACAATGTGGCTTAAGCGCATGTTGATGTATAAACCGGGCCATTTAAGGTTCTCCCCGTACAGGCTGAGAGCATCCGAAACGCAAGTAATCTAACGAATTCGGCAAAATCTGTTAATCAAAGTTTTTCTTGCGATGTGGACCCCGGGGGAACTTATAAACACCAGAACCCTGATTTGAACGATTTCAGTTCTCTCATTACCAAAACAAACATGTTTCAACCAAGCCAAATTGAACACCAGCCCAGATCGAAATGGCGGGCCCGTATTCGCCTGTTCTCCATGTCACTGCCAAAACCTGACAAAAAACTTGACAAAAAGGTCCCACTGCTTTCTAGCTCTCCTCTGTCGACACCTGCGTCTTCACCTCCTCATTTACAAAGGAATCTACATCGAGAAGCCGCAAGCTTCCTCACTCCTCTAGAAGTTCATAACGACGATTTCTTCATTCCACTTACTCACCAAAAAGGCGTTCTTGTGGGTGACATTATTCTACCTCCACCACCACCACAACCGCAAAGGAAATTGCTGTACGGTGAATCATCCAAGCCAGTGGAGACATACTCCAGTATTTTGGGTCCCGCTCGCAAGACCCGAAACTTCTCCGATTCTTTGAGGTTATCATGCTTTATATGCCAGGAGCACTTGGAATCAAAACTCGAACTGGAGAAGTTGGTGTCGTTGAAGTGTGGCGACTGTGTTCATGGAGAATGCCTTCAAACAGTCGTGGAGTACAATGTGTCACAGATTCAAAAAATTGGAGACTATTCGACGTCAGGCGACACTCCTAGATTGCGAAGCTTGATATTTCCCAAGTGTCGAGGACATTGCTGTATCTCGGCCCAAGTATCCGCTCTGGTATGTCCCATAGACCAAGAGTTGATCGAATCCATCATGTTCGATTCTCTTCTCGCATTCAAACTTGTACGTGTTAGTAATAGGACTCCTTCAAACCAGTCTCCTCAATCTGAAGAAATTTGCCAGTTTCCACTGCTCCTCGAGTGTAGACCCGACTCCAAATATTTCTTCAAGGCTGACCAAATCCTACGACCACGGTCCCTCTTTTCAGAGGTATATCAACGCAATGCACACCTCGATATCACCGGTGATAGTCGTCCGGTATCTCTTGCACCTTCTAGCATTACTCACGCAACGATATCGGTAAGAATCTCCGAACATGATCACATTCCTTTGGAAAAGCTCAAGAGCACATTCATCAAACACATGCTTGATTCTAGTGACTCCATTGACTTGTCAATGCTTGTTGCTTTGGGTCCGCTCCGTCTTGTGGACAGACTTTTAGTATCCAAAGATTATTCCGAGTACAATGCCTCGCAAGTATACTTGTTTGCCAATTACTTGGTAGTCTGTCAATGTCGTCTGCCATTGTTACTCTCACTTAATGACACAACATCAATCCAAATTCCGGAACTCGGAGTGATTGAAATAGTGTTCCGCAGCCAATTAGTCCTTACCGTGAGATTGAACTCAGACACGGCGTCCATAATCGAAAAATGGGGAATTGCCCTCTCGGATGCCAATTTGATTGTTCCTCCCGAAATCTTTACTTCTACCTTGTCAGTGTTTGACCTTGAACCCCCGTTTGTGTATGACTACACCTCTGGCGATCAAGCGTCTTCCATAGCTGGAATCAATACAGTAACTGGATATACATTTGGCAAGCAAGTATCTCCAATTCAGGAAAGCTCGCTCCAACCTTCTCCGGTGGAGAGCGAGCCCACATCGCAGTATCTGCAAAGCAGCAGCATTGCTGAACATTTGGTTCGTTTGAGCGTGTCTTCAGAACTGTCATTCCTTCCTCAGATCTCACCTTTGAAGATCAAAAGAAACATTGCTTCGATAATGAATTGCTCTGATAGTGATTCCGATTCTGACAATGAGTTGATTACTGAGGTATTGACCAAGATTCAAAATAACTAGGAACTTTTGAATTACTTAGAAAATCTATTCATCTCAATAAGGATTTTGTAAACCCAGCATTCCCTTTCTTGTCTAGACCTAGCAAGAAACACCATCTTTTTGCCAGTAACTCCCAACTTTCGGACCATAGTAGTCAATCCGGGATTATTGACTGCATTTCTCCCCATTCTTTGATGGAACGTAGAATGCTCTTTGAGACCTTTTTTTAGTTTTCTTTTATGACCGAACCACAACGTGAAGCAACGCTGAGAGTCTTCTTCTGATGATTTCCAGCCATCAGAGTATATCCTGGGAAGATCGTTTTTGCCTGGTTCAGAAAAATCAGAAGACTCAATGAGATCTTGCCAAGTCTTGTCACCGGAATAAACGTAGCACAGCGATAACAGGATGGTAAGATAATGCTTGAAGTAAGGAGTTTTCTTCCAGATTCCGGAGATCTTGGACCGCTGATACAAAGTAAAAACCACCAAATATCCAGGTGTCAACAAAACATAATATTGGTTAAAATTGGAATGCTTCTTGTGTTTGAGATAGAGATATCCAGATTGAATGACGGAAGTAGCCATAGCCATTGAGCTGGTGTTGAACAATCGATCATTTCCGAGTGCTAACTTCTTCTCGAGAACTTTCGTTTGATGTGCCTCGTTTGAGTCGTCGAATTCATTAATTTCGAGCCTATCACAATTGAATTGCTGGGTCATGACTTGTTTTGCGATGTCCTCGAGTTTGACATTCTTCCAGAACTTCACGATTTCGTTCAAACGTTGAACCCATTCATCACGAATAATCCTAGAAGGAGCCATCAATTTCAACTTACCACCATTCGCATGTACAATCTCAAAGGCACAGTCTATTATATCTTCATCCTCTATCATCTGCGTGGACGAGTACCACAAGAATGATTGAAAATACCGATGGTGTTTAATGATGGTACTCATCAGAACCGGTCTTACCTCTGCAACAGAATTTAAGTCAACCATAGCGTCAGCTTTAACGATCTGCTGAACTTTCCTCTCGAATTCTTCTATTGCTTCTGCATCTTTCTGAGCAAACTCTGGCGACCCGAGCCATGTAATATGCTCACGCTCATCCAACGGAAAGGGAATTTTGTAGTAAATTTGTGGTAAGAGGTCTCTCGTAGCAGAGTTGTCGTTGGCAGCATTCATGAATGCATTTTCTGGTGAAGGAGGAGTACCTTTGAAAATCTGAGAAAATAGCAAAACGTTATCGCAAGTATAGAAATACTGGATTCGGTAGAAGGGCCGAAGAAACGAGACTTCCTCTCCAGAGATATTGGTAACTCTGGCTAGAAATCCTTCAATTGAATGCGGGCGCTCCATGGGCTCTTCGTTAGGTGGACTCGCAATCATAGGAGTACCGGTAATCTGGCGAAATTCAAGCTTGGATTTACTACCTTGTAATCGATTTTGAATGAAAAATACTCGGCTGTTGGCGGCAGCCCATTCGAGTCTGTCATAAAATTTGAAGCAGAGCCATGGATGGGTGTTAGTCTTGAGCCATTGATCGACTCCATTATTAACATGTCTGATTCTTTGAAGAGATGAAAGTAATTCCTGCCTTAAAAACTCTAGGAGTTCACCATGTCCAACATAATAGCCCTTTTCTAGCTCCACAACATTCAATACTTTAGATGGATGGAGCGATGCATGAAGCATCTCATCAGGAACATTGACGGTCAATTGCAAATCCAAGCCAGTCAAGTGGACACCAATGCGTGAGTTCATATCGTCACGAATGATTTCTTTGATAATGAAAAGCCATTTGAATGCAGTGGATACATACCTCGAGTTAAAAATGTACTTGATGCTCTCATTCTCCTTCTTATCGATCACAGAGATAGATTTGTCGGCTGTTGAATAGAAATCCGCCTTCAACTTGTGGCTGAGTGGAAGCGCATGGTCGGGTTTTCCTTCAAAATCTTTTGTCTCAGATACTTCAAATAGCTGGATCTCAAGCGAAAGGTGCTTCGTTTTCCGCAACACTGTGTAATATTCCTTCCATCGATCGAGAATTCGGGCATCATCGTGCTCACCCTCGCTGTGAACAACGACGTCTCTGCACGATGTCTTCTCGATCAAAACTAACATTCGGTCCACACGAATAATCTCGCCCGCTTTATATTTGGACATGATGGACTCCACAACTTTCAGCTTTAACCTCAGACCGGTGTGTTTGGCTCTTCCTTTGGAACGAGATGCAAGCGAGTGCAATTTCCTTAGCATGCGATCATGCTCCCTTTCAGCACGAACGTATTGTTGTTTTTCAAAGGAAACACCTGGTTGCTCTGGTTGTGGCAGGGCAAAGGAGATTTTGGATCTCTTGGACAGCGTCGATTTTCTAGACAAAGTGGACCTCACGTCAAACTTGACTTTAGCCAGAGACAGGTATGGATTGGTAGAAATTCTGGAAGGAGCCAACGATGAGTGAGATGGAACAGCGGTCACAGGAATTGATGGTGATATTGAACTCGTTCGCGATGTGTTGTTGGGGTTCTTCCCCAATATCTGAATCTGGTAATTAGATCTTACTCCCACGTCCTGAGGTTGTAGCAGCTCTATCTCATCCGCATTGAGTTCTCTTGTGTTGGATGCTGTTCTTGATGCTTGATTCGCAACAGTTGGTGATGGACTTCTTGACGGAGAGGTCGACTGAGAACGTGACGGTAAAAGAGATTGAGGTTTCAGACCGTCTACTAATGGCTCCCGAGCATACGAAATTCTCTCCCCAATCTCAAGACCAATGCTTTTTTTAGTTTCATTTTCTCGATTTCCAGCATCGTCTGGACTCTGAAGAGACTTTCCATTCTTTCGTAATCCGCCCTCGGCTTTTAAAGAATTCTCGGTGTCTGGAGATAGTAGAATGTACGGCGGTTCATGAACTTCACCATTTACATCCACAGGAATTGGCACAAACGGTATCAATGACTCAATGGAGTTTGTCACAAGAGAGTCTACAGACACAGATTCTCCAGACTCGTATGAGTTGACGTCAAGATTCTGAAGATTCCGATTAAGAACGAACTCGCCAATGAAGTCGTCTTCGTCCGGCTCTGAGATCTCCAGAGAAGTTCTCCCGTCCCTGGCGGCTTCCATGAGACCTTTGTCAATACTTTTACTAAGGCCAACCTTACCAATTTCCAGATCTGCTGCTGGGGCATCAACAGCAGGAGCAGAGCCATCAAACAAGGGTCTATCAATGCTAGCCAGTGACCTTCCTTGCTCATAGTAAGCATCCTCAAGCTGTTTCTCCATTTGACGGTTCTGGCTGGTGAAAAAGTTGAAGTCCTCATCAGGGTCATCTGGATCAGCGTACTCGTCAAATTGGCTGTCTTGAATGGGCAGAAACCAGCGCACACTTTGCCTAATGGTGGAGGAAGCAGATTTGAATTGCCTTTTGACAGATTTCCGTGCTCTTGTGGCAGTTCCAAAGATCAATCCCGTCTGTGGCCCACCTAGCCACACATCAGGTATAGAGCCCAAAAACACAGATGTAGACAAACGAGAGATATCTTTGGGAGTTCCATAGATCAAACGGAAAGTGGTGAATGCGCTTTTAGGTAGATCGAATGTTTTCAAAGGCTTCTGGGACTGGTCAGCCGGCAAGGTGTCCTCCCAGTCCGAAGGAAGAGTATCTGGGGCAGCCATGGATCAGAGCATCAGGTATGAGGATATTTGAAATGCAAAATGGGAAAATGACAAACACAGAGCCTGGGATTTATTCAAAAGAAAAAAAAACCAAGGGCGAGGTGTGAATTAAATGTAATGTGGAAGAGAGTATATTGGTATACATTGCCTGCATGTTTTGGTTGCTAATGCTATCAGACGATGGAAATGAGTAAACAGAAAATTATGGTGGATCTTGAAAAGCAATTGAGAGGACAATGCTTCTAAATATTCAAGATCATGCATTCTCTTTCCTTTTCTCCTTTTAACTATTGGTTTCAATATCTACATTCTAAATTTCATAGTCAATTCTTCAAGTATATAGATAGACTATCTAGGACTTAATGGAACCCTGCGCAACTACACAATGTCCTCGTCTTGGATCCCAATGGAAATTCCCTCGGGACTCATGTTCTCTGGCGGAGACACGCTAGGCACAGCTTCCAAAATGATGTACACGAGGCCAATAACAAAAATAATAAGGCCAGAAAAAACCCGGAACCAGCTGGCTCCATTGATGCTGGCTCCAATAAACGTATAGACTTAGGTTAGTAGTGAAAATCATGAACAGAGCGCCATATGGCACCAATTGATACATACAGACACCACGGCCGATGAAGGAAAACAAAAATGATCCGTAGGTGTAGGCCTCGGGAGGCACCTGGAATTCTGGGGGTTAGTAAGGGAAGGATTGGCGAGTTAATCAGTTACATACCAAGTAGCCCAATGGCGGCACCAAAAACAGTAATGTAGACACCAATGACAAACTGGAGTTAGTAGAGACGGGTGAATATCGTGCTAGAGACATACGTAGTGACTGAAGTTAGTAAATGTGGGGGCGTTGAGATGGAAAGGTTGGTGAAATTGATACGTACATTCCCGTGAACAACTGGGAAAGTCCAGACAAAACCTGGGGTTAGTAAAGATCAGGAAAGAGAGAAGAGTATCTGAACATACCGAAAGAGCTGCCACAGTTAAGTTGGCGATCTTGAATGCGCCATTCAAGTCCAGCCCGCTGAATGCATCCATAGTGAAGAAGTAGAGAGAGTGTATAATTAGAATGTTAAGTTATATGGGTGGAGGATGGTGTGCAGGTTGATTAGAGGGGGAGGTGGGGGTATGGCAGTGGAAGGTGCCATTGTTTTCACTTCAAGTAAATGTTGTGAAGTTTGGAAAAAGTCATGTGTCTTGACTTTCTTCTGCTTGAATTTTTGTAGAATGCTGTATGTTTTGTTTGTTTGCTATATCCTATGTTGATCAATGTCGTCATTTGTTCCGTGCTGTGTAGGGTGCATTCTACAGGCATTATCTACTGGACACTACTTTCAAGGAACATTGACATTTCATCGATTATATTTTGTAAGAAAAATGAATTATGTTAATTAATAGTGCACGGTGAACTCGACTGAATTAGTAAAATGGTTGAAGTGCATTTTAACCTCCAAACTTGGTTGTGAGATCAACACAGTATGTTTGGCAGTATTAAATGGTGAAGAAATATTGCAGAATTATACGATTGTCTAAAAGTGTTTCTGATCGTGCTAATTAATTGAAGGTTCCAAGGTATTTTATGTGGTCTCAATAAGAAAAAAAATTTGTTATTCACTCTCAGAGTTGCGATTATGATATTCTGAGCAATTTTAGTGGCAAGTAGAAGCATTACTACAGAGGGTGGACAGAATTTACAGGCACAAATATGGCTTAGAATTTGTAATCTCAGAATCGTCTGAATAATCAAGACATTCACTAAAGCAAGAGCACGGAAATCCAGCGAGTTACATGAACCTTCATGAATATTTTTGTAAGTAGAACCCAACAGATGCAGCGGACTCTGGTGAGAATAACCAATCAGCCCCCCATTGCTTCTGATGGAACGGAAATCTCGAAAAATCGCAAGTGAATCATACGGAAACAAACTTCATATTTTATCTGACATGAATAAGTAAAGAATTTCGTCCAGTTCTTTCAAGTGCATATATGACTTCTTTGGAGCATTGGAAACATGAATGGTTCCAAAGGTGAGTTTAATACGAAACTTTAAAGTCGCTGGCGATATTAAAGAGTTCTGGCAGGGATCCATTTTCTTCGCCCCGTCGTGTTTTATTCTCATCTACTTATAAAACACTTGTAATAAGTGATGTTGCTTCTGTTTCCTTCAGTCTAACCATGGTCTCACAAAGTGCAACTGATGTCCCCATTTATGATCAAAAATTCACAAGGTAGACTACGGAACGTTCTCAATTTTCAATTATCCAGTCACCAATTTATCTCTTTTCATGGCATTTTTTCCCTCCGCTAAGATCTATCGCTTGGCCCAATCTGGTATTCACCAAACCTGTTTTTGTTGGTATCTATAAGACGCACTCCCACCTCCACTTCTTACCACAAGTCACCATATCGTCACCTTACGAGAACACATATAAACGATTTATTAATAGAAAATAATGTGTATCAGACAATGCATATACTACACTCTCTTTTTTAATCCTTTTTCTTTTGATCTTCTTTTCAGACATCTTCGGGAACACGTCTCGCGTCACGTGGATCACCCACCATAAACTCTCTCATCTACGATCTACAACCCTATCTCCAATGTCCGACAACCAAGTCCTACGTCTTGTGGATGAGCAAAATAGCCCCAACAATAATATAAGAACCAATGCAGAGTTGCTATTCAACCAATTAGCTGCTCAAAACCCTTCTCAGGTGGCATACCAACTTATTGAGTCTTGTGGATCTCCACAGATTCCCTTGTATGTTCGTCAGTCATGTTTGCTTCATTTGAAGCGCTTAGTGCCCAAATTTTGGTCCATGGGGTTTGAGCTGTTTGTGGGGCCTCCCATTGACCAGGAATTGAAGCGCATGATCCGCTCCCGGTTGCTTGAGTTGGCCGCTTCTTCTGAGCTGAAAATCAGATCGGGAAGTGCCTATGTAATCGTGCAAATAGCTGCCGCAGACTATCCAGATGAATGGCCCGACTTATTGGACCAATTGTATGCTCGTTCGGTAGATTTTTCTAATGAGACAGCGGTGGTGGGCTCATTGGCTGTACTCAATGATCTCTTCGATGACTTAATCACGGAGGATCAATTTTGGGAGGGCGGAATTGGAGCTAAGTTAATCAGCCACATTTGTAACATTTTATCGCAGGACTCTTTGTCTTCTGCCGTGAAAGCTGCAGCTCTCAAGTTGTACTGGACTGTGTTTAGCACTTTACTGAGTGCTGAAGCTACTAATCTGGTGGAGCGGAGAAAGGCTGTTAACCACCACATTGCGAGCTTTGCAGAGCTTCTCTACCAATTGCTTCAGAAGCTGTATAAAGTGTCAGTATCTGCTGACTCTATTCTGTTGGTGGAACTCGATTACAGATGCAAGTTATACACTACTTTGTCTCGCCTTTTGAATCACTTCAGAAAGTTTGTGGGTCCAAATCTTGGCCATTCCATCTTAGGAACCGTTCTTATCGACCTTTCATTTGGCTCCAAGATCTTTGAAGTAATTTTGGTCAACGCTGGGGATGCTGGATCTATTGAGAAAACTGACGATCTCGATAACCCAGGCAAATGTATAATAGATTTTCTTTGTGAACTTTTCCTGACGCTATCATTCCTTCAACATGGTCTTGTGTTGCAGAGTACCGTTTCCCAGGGAGAATTCTCCACGTTTGTTCAGAATTTGATCTCCTGTACTACCATACCAGAGGAGACTGTGGAGACATACACTAGTGACTATAATACCTTTGTCACCGATGTCACTGGCCTTTCATCTCAATCCACTGTTCGTGATTCCATTGCGGAATTTTTGATGGATATCAACGACACTGATGCTGCTGGAATCTTCGAAGCTATTCGGGAGAACACCGTGAGTGCCCAATTGCAGTGGCGAACCAAAGAGTCATGTTTGTTCTTGGCAGAATCTTTATTTCTGAACGAAGATGCAGAGCTGATTGGCCAGAACCTTCCATTGAGCTCATATTTGTCAAGTTTGAATGAGTTAATATCTGTTGAGCAAGGTCCATTCAATCACGCGCTAGTGATTGCTAGGATCGTACTTCTTTTGCCTCGCTTCTTTGAGAAATTCAGAGTGAAGTTGGACCTTAATTCATTTGGTGTCAACGAATTCACGAACACTCTCGCGTATGCGTCGTCCAAATCTTCTATTGAAATGTTTGACTTGGTGCGCTCCGCTGCTTTGGTGAGTTGTACTTTGTGGAAAAATATCCCAGGACTCACCTTATCCAAGCTCCCAAATTCTGCTCAAATTGATATTTTTGAGACTTGCGTTGCCATTTTGGATGATAGCGATGAGGACACCCTTCCTGTCTTGTTGGAGGCTATCTCTGTTGCCATTGACATCGACCACCAATACCCTCACCTGGCAAACAATGTTGAAACCACAGTGGTGGATTTAATCTTCAAGATATCATTCAAAGATCCCGCCAACATCCAGTTGACCATCGACTCCGCAGATTGCTTGCAGACTCTTTTGGCCGGAATCACTATGGATCAGTACCTTCATGTGTGCCAGCAACTGGTTCCCTTCATCCTTGAAATCATCAGCCGCTCCTTGGAATCAGTAACTGTTGAATATACTCCTCAATTGTACTTGGCACTTGAGCTTCTTGGGTACATCATAGGGGCTGCCCCGACTACGCCAGGGCAAGTGGACTCGTTCCCTCCGGAAATTTTCACATTCACGTTCCCAGTTTTGAAGGATTTGATTTTGAGAACCAATGACGACCAAATCTTGCAAAATGGAGGTGAAGTGTTCAACAATCTTCTTCAGAAAGCATCCAAATTCTTTATCGAATATGTTGAACCTGCCACTAATCGGTCTGGTTTGGAAGTGCTTTTGGAAGTAGCCTCCAAGTTTTTGTCTCCTGAGTTGTCCGATAGTGCTGCAATGAACTGTGGCTTAATTGTTATATCGTTGTTTGAGAATTTTCAGTCGTCTCTTGATGGAAACTTCTTCTTCCAGCTTCTCCAGGCTACGGTCCGCCGTGTTGTTATCGCCAAAGAGGTTGTAACCATTGAAAACTTGATTATGGTCTTCTGCAAATTGGTATTAAACACCTCGCCTGAACAATTGATAGATGCTTTAACGAGCGTGGATATTGAAGGAAAGAGTGGACTCGAGTTGGTATTGCCAATCTGGTTCAACTCCTTTGAGATCACAAGGGGATTTGAGAAGATCAAACAAAACATTTTGGCCTTAGGTAAGATTTTCTCCCTCGCGGATGAAAGAGTGTCCAATTTGATTGTTAATGGAGACTTGATTCCATACGACGGAGATCTCATCATCACGAGGTCCATGGCTAAGACTATGCCTGAAAAGTACACCCAGATACCTGCTCCACTCAAGATTATCAAGTTATTAGCAGGAGAATTGGGTTTTCAATGCCAGCAACCGGATCCTAACGACTACTTACCAGACCAAGAAGATAATGTTTCGGAAGATGAAGACGGGGAATGGGAGGACATGGACGACATTGGAGTACCTAATTACGAGAAGTTGAAGTCTTACGTGGACTCAGATGATGAGAACGGCGGAGACGACTCCACCGACCAAGGTATCAAAGATATGCTAGTGCAATTCTTCAGAGAATGCACAGCAAAGAATCTTGGTAACTTCCAGTACTACTACGAGATGTTGAGTGACGATGAGAAGAAAATCATCACCGAAAACCTTGTTTTCTAGATTCATAGACTAAAAGTAAATTCGTAAGGTGCATGAAGTATGAGAAAAGGATGTACTATTGTTATCTCCAGGAACCGATGATGTCAGTGTGCACATAGTCCAACATCTCGATGCCTTCATCCCATCTAATCTTTTGTAAAACGTCTGGCACCCCAGTATATGCGTTTGAAAATCGCACAAAAATTCTTCACGATGTCATTTACTACAAAAGTTTTGCCCGTTAACCGTGAGGCTATCTCGTTCGTTAACGATATGCCGATTTTTTCAGATGTCGTTACTAAAGAGAATCTCGAACTCGCTGCAAAGGAAATTCAGAAAGCTGGTACCGTGGTAGCATTTCCAACGGAGACCGTATATGGTCTTGGGGGCTCGGCTCTTAATGATGAATCTGTTAAATCAATCTACAAGGCTAAAAACAGACCAGCAGACAACCCACTCATTGTTCATGTTTCATCAGTGGACCAGCTCCAGCGATTGATTCTTACAAAGCTGCATACCATTCCTCCTGTATACGAAAAGTTGATAGAAAGGTTCTGGCCTGGTCCTTTAACCATTCTTGTTCCTGTGGAAGAAGGCAGTCCCGTGCTGAAGTTAGTAACTGCTGATCAAAATACCGTGGGTATCCGAATGCCCGACCACCCAGTGGCCAGAGCACTTATAGCACTCAGTGATACTCCAATCGCTGCACCCTCGGCCAATGCATCCACCCGTCCGAGTCCGACATTGGCCAACCATGTCTTGCATGACTTAAATACCAAGATTCCGTACATTTTGGACGGTGGTCTGTGTTCTGTGGGATTAGAATCGAGTGTTGTGGATGGACTTGTGAGCCCACCAATGCTTCTTCGGCCCGGTGGACTTACAGCAGAGGATATTCGTGAGTATGGAGGCGGAGAATGGGAAAACTTAGTATTGGCTAAGAGGACAGCAGGGGACTCAGAGACGGTAAGGACGCCAGGTATGAAATATAGACACTACTCACCAACTGCCAAAGTGGTGTTATTTGTCGATTGTGGAGATGGAAAGAGTGCTGTGAGCAAGTACATGGAAGGGAAGGATATTGAACATGCAAAGGTGGCAGTTCTTCGAGCAGGCAAATTTGTATCGAGTGGAGAGTTGGGACTTCTGGGAGCCATTGAGAGAAGAATGGGAAACAATTCAGGCGAGGTTGCGCATAGCTTGTTCAAGTTGCTCCGAGAGGTTGATGAAATGGATGTTAGCTTGATTATTGTAGAGGGAGTGGAAGAGAGTGGAGATGGATTAGCTGTCATGAACCGACTCTCCAAAGCAGCATTTGAGACAATTACTGGAGAAGAATAGATTGATACACTGGATCAAGAAATTAATAGTGTAGTTAGAAACATTAAGTTACTCCTTCATTGAGCAGTTTATTGTTAGCATTAGTCTGGCTTAGGAATGTCTCGTGTGGTCGATTCATCTTATCAGTATAGAAGAAGGATAGAGCAAGGATCCAGGATTGAAACATAAGGAGTTGGGAAAGTTGTAGCTTCATGAAGACTTCTAATTACCATCTAACCATACGAACAATGAACCGTAGAAGATTCGGGAAGCTCAGGACCAAGAACTTCTAAAGAAAGTGGAATGAGTTAATCCGGCATAACTATTGATACTTATGGTGCTTAAAGTCACAAGATTTTCGTTCCAATAACCGTTTCGGAGATGCCAATATTAGAATTATTACATGTGAAAGGTTAATTACCAATGACAAACACCAGATGAGTCCAAATGATAATAATCGCTGATGATTCTTAACTTCAGATGGTGTTGATAGTTTGTGAATTGAGCCGATTATTTCTTAAGTTGAAATCACTAGTTACATTTCTTATCTACATATTTCAACTTCTCATGTACGTCGTTCCAAATATATGGGTGGTGTAGATGCCACTTACGTAATCGGCATCGAAGGAGACAAAATTCAATTAGTTTCACCCCTACCAAGTCATATAATCATACAGAATTTCCAGTAACTTCAAAAAAGATGGATTTCGTACATCATACAACCTTCACTTCTATTCATGCCAAGAAAATTTTGTATGGTATTATGTTTCTCACAAGGCCGATGTTGATTTTCTCCAACCTTAGCATATAGTAGCAGAAAGTAGAAATATTCCGCACTAACGGGAACATTACTAAGAGGATAACACCGAGCGAAAAATACCAACGGACACTGCCAAATCTTCACATTTCATACATATATACAACATACAGCAGCCATCCAAACCCAACTATCGCAATCCTTAATGATTCATATTTCTACCGCTTTTCAAGCCAAATCAGTATCTCCATCAACTCATCGCAGTCGCGGTGCTCACCTCACACCGAGTGTTAAAGTCCGTAGAAGCAATTCAAACCACCCAATGTAAAATTGCTACACCAAACACAAACCAGACCAAAAATATCATCACATGTTCACTATAAGCATTCACATCCAAATATTACTCTCAGATCAATAATTCCCCAAGTCCGAACTTCTACCTTAAGCCCTCAACCTTCTATCAACGGTAGGCCAGGGCTTCTTCGCGAATTCTGTCTACACAACCCTCTATCGGTGAGAAATTTCGCTAGACGTATCCTTTTTCTCACTAGTGGATAGTACTGAAGACACCGGGCCCGTACCTACGTCGCCACATACGCATATACGATGAGCGACAATCCGTTTCTACTAGCCGAAAAGGCTCCCTCGCGGTCGTCCACCCCGTCCGTCAAGTATTCCCAGGCATCAGTTGATGCCACGGTCCAAGAGCTCCAGACCGACAAGAAACTCGGCTTGTGCAACAACCTGGACGTGTTACATCGGCGCCTGATCAATGGTGTCAATGAGCTCAGCTCCGATGACGAGGAGTCCTTGTTCAAAAAGTTCATCTCGTGCTTCTACCTGGATCCTTTGATTTTGCTTTTGATTGGGTCGGCGGTGATCAGTTTCTGGATGGGTAACGTGGATGATGCCGTGTCCATCACATTGGCCATCACCATCGTGGTTACGGTGGGCTTTGTCCAGGAGTACCGCTCCGAGAAGAGTCTTGAGGCTTTGAACAAATTGGTGCCTGCTGTTGCTAAACTTACACGTAATGGAAACACTTCCACGGTTTTGGCTTCTGCATTGGTGCCGGGAGACTTGGTGCACTTCACCCAGGGTGACAGAATCCCTGCTGACGTACGCTTGACTGAATCTGTACACTTATCTATCGATGAGTCCAACTTGACTGGTGAAAACGCTCCTGTTCGTAAGCAGGTGGGTGAGATCCAATACAATTCGCTGAAGGACGTTCCTATTACAGAAAGAACTTCCATCGCGTTCATGGGTACTTTGGTGCGCGATGGCCATGGTTCGGGTATCGTGGTGGCCACTGGTGCTCAAACGGAGTTTGGAGTTGTTTTTGAAATGATGTCGGAGATCGAGAAGCCCAAGACTCCATTGCAGCAGGCCATGGACAAGTTGGGTAAGGATCTCTCCATGTTCAGTTTCATTGTCATTGGTATCATCTGCCTTTTGGGCATAATCCAAGGTCGTGGATGGTTGGACATGTTTCAGATCTCGGTTTCTTTGGCTGTAGCTGCTATCCCCGAAGGATTGCCCATCATTGTCACCGTCACTTTGGCCCTTGGTGTGTTGCGTATGGCCAAGCGTAAGGCCATTGTCAGAAGACTTCCCAGTGTGGAAACCTTGGGAAGTGTTAATGTCATTTGCTCCGACAAGACAGGAACCTTGACTCAGAACCATATGACCGTCACCAAGATGTGGGCCACTGACTTCCACGGCTCCGGCTCATCTGCCAGCCCTTTCTTGCTCGTAGAGAAGTTAGATGACAACACTTTGGCACATGCCCTTACTCCAAACATCCAGAAGATTTTGGAGACGGGTAACCTCTGTAACAACGCTCGTTACTCTCAGGAGAGTGAAAAATTTGTGGGAAATCCTTCTGATATCGCCCTTGTGGAGAGCTTGCCTCACTTCGGACTTGATGATATTCGTGGAACTAAAGAACGATTTGCAGAATTGCCCTTCTCATCTGTTAGAAAGATCATGGCTGTTTCTGTGCATACTGGCGATATTAACAAGTCTGAAACTCACGTTAAGGGTGCTACTGAGGCCGTTTTGAAATTTTCCACAAAATATTTAGACGAATCTGGAAACGCAAAACCTTTGACCGATGACTTCAGGGAGCTTATCCATCAAAAGTCTATCGCGTTGGCTTCTGAGGGTTTGAGAGTTCTTGGTTTTGCTAGAGGTACCAACAAACTTGCAGCTCACGAGAACGGTGATCCTGGACTTCCTACTGACTTGACTTTCTGTGGCTTGGTCGGTATGAAGGATCCTCCTCGCCCTCACGTTGCTCAGTCAATTGCAATGTTGATGAAGGGTGGTGTCCATGTGATCATGGTAACTGGTGATTCGCCAACTACTGCTGCTAACATTGCAAAGCAAATCGGTATCCCTGTTGCCAGCAATGATGCCATCATGACCGGAGACCAATTGGACAGACTTTCCGAGGAAAGTTTGAGTCATGCAATTCATAATGTCTCCATCTTTGCGAGAACTACCCCGGAGCATAAGGTTACCATCGTTAAGGCTTTCCAAAGAAGAGGTGATATTGTTGCCATGACTGGTGATGGTGTCAATGATGCTCCAGCTTTGAAATTGGCCGACATTGGCATTGCTATGGGTAAGAACGGTACAGATGTGGCTAAGGAGGCTGCTGATATGGTCTTAACTGACGATGATTTCTCAACTATCTTGAGTGCTATCGAAGAAGGAAAGGGTATTTTCTTCAACATCCAGAACTTTATCACATTCCAGTTATCTACATCTATTGCCGCATTGACTTTGATCGCTTTGTCTACATTCTTTGGATTTGAGAATCCATTGAACGCCATGCAGATCTTGTGGATTAACATCTTGATGGATGGTCCACCTGCGCAATCTTTGGGAGTCGAACCTGTTGACCATGAGGTGATGAACAAGCCTCCTAGAAAGAGAAACGACAAGATCTTGACGGAAAAGGTTATCAAAAGAGTCTTACAAAGTGCAATCATGATCATCATCGGTACAATGTACATTTTCGTTAAGGAGATGAGAGACGGCCAGGTCACTGCAAGAGACACTACCATGACATTCACTTGTTTTGTTTTCTATGACATGTTTAATGCATTGGCTTGTCGTCACTACTCTAAATCCGTGTTTGAGTTGGGTCTCACCAACAAGATGTTCAATTTCGCTGTCCTTGGTTCTCTAATGGGCCAGCTATGTGCCATTTACGTTCCCTTCTTCCAGTCAGTGTTCCAGACCGAAGCATTGTCGTTGGGCGACTTGGTGGGCTTGTTGCTTCTTACCAGTACAGTTTTCATTGGAGATGAAGTCCGCAAGTATTTAATGAGAAGGAACACTCCGTTTGCCAATGGCTTCAACTACGGGGTTTAGCTTCAGGCAAACGACGAAAAGGAGGCTGACACTATGCAATGTACAAGGAGCTAATGTCCAATGGAATCGAAGTGTAAGCTGAAACCGAGTATGTACTATATAGTCGTTAAGTTCATTAGAATTTGGTTATCTCATCTAAAGTCACCACTCCGGAGAAGTCCTTGTCTTCAAGCTTTTCATAAATCTTCAATGCCACTTTCTCTGTAGAAACTGGTGGCTTCACTATTTCATTCAAAAGGGACACATGATTTCCGAAAATCCCACTCTTAATGTTATATCCAACATCCAAAAACTTGCTGAACAATTTTCTGTTGTTGGTCAAAGGCTCAGACTCGTCATACATGATCCCGGGTCTCATGAGAATGGCTCTAAGTCCTTTTTTGCATTTGAGTTCAAATTCAGCCTCTCTTTTGGTGGTCAAATATCCATCCGGAACGATTGGAGGCTTCATCTCAGCTGAGATATATACAAAAGTGGGGTTTTCCTTTGTTTCGGCCAAATATGCATCAGCAAGCATAACAGCAGAGTCTCGTTGGATGGCCTCATACGTAGTTTTGGAACCTCTCTCCATTGGGTTGGACCCTTTCAACATGTTGCCAAACTTCTGAATATCGTTAAGGAAGTTGAAGTTGGAATTGGCCACTTGCTTGTATCCCTGGTTTTCAAACAAGAGTCCAACTGAATGCACTACAGCAGTCTGGTTATGCAAGTACTTTCTGTAAGATTCTGGGTCGAAGAGGTCTGCTTGGGCCCAGTTGACCTTGGAGATCCATGCATTATCTGAAAAACTTACTGGTGATGGAGGTTTACCAGAACGAGACAAAGAAGTGACAGACCAGCCCAATCGTGCACCAACCTCGCATATTTTCCGGCCAAGGAAGCCGTTTCCACCGACAACGGTAATAGTATTCATGGATGTGGAGGAATTGGGTGGGTGGAACAACTTACGACTATGTGATTGGAGTGCAGGAGATCATATAGCAAGTGAGACTTTATACGTGGAGGTACAAAAAAATGAATAACATATAAAAAAGATGGCTGTAACAAGGGGATGATAAAGGAACATGGAAGACTGAAAATTGGATACGGATCTAATTGGGGTTTAAATCTGTCAAGGTGAACTACAATTTCAGTCCAACATCTGTACGGTTATGATGACTAGATGCCAGACCTACAAGCAATGTAATTTCGTATGCTTATATTATTATTAGTGCTAATTAAAGTGAAATGCAATCATAAAATGCTTATTATCCGGAAAATGCTTATTGTCCAAACTTTTTTCTGAACATCACAAACTCCTCATCCTCCACTTCTTCGAGTGATGGTTGTCTGTGCAAATCGAGTTTCTCTTCGTGGTCAGTCTTCGTGCTGACACTTGGAGTCTCGTTCTCAGAGTTAATGGACTCAGTGTCGGAAAGTGTAGTATCGTGAATAGGAGAGGATGGGACATTGACCTTGGCTGGCTTTGGAGATACTGGAGCAGATGGAGTAGATGGAGTGGATGGAGACTTGGCAGGTTTCTCAGAAACCTCGGTCTCTGGCTGATTGAATCCTAATGGCATGAATCCCAGACTTCCAAAGAGAAGTCTGAGTGCTTCTTGTTGAGCTGCGATTCTGCGCTTGTATTCATCTTCAGCTCTCTTTTCAGCTTCTTCTCTCTTCTTTTGCTTGACAGCAGCTTCTCTTCTGGCTCTTTCCTCAGCGACTCTCTTTGCTTTGGCTTCTGCTTCTCTTCTAGCCAATTCCGCAGCAACTCTGATGGCTTCCTCAGCCTTTCTGGCCTCTTCAGCCTTTCTGGCCTCTTCAGCCTTTCTGGCCTCTTCAGCCTTTCTGGCCTCTTCAGCCTTTCTGGCCTCTTCAGCCTTTCTAGCTACTTCAGCCTTTCTGGCCAATTCAGCCTTTCTTGCCTGCTCGGCCAATCTCAAAGTTTCCTGCTTCTCAGCTTCTCTCTTTGCTTCTCTCTTCTGAATCTCAGCCCTTCTGACAGCAGCTAGTTCCTCATCCTCCTGTCTTCTGAGAGCTCTCTCCTCCTTTCTTTCCTGTCTTCTCTCCTTCTTCAGCTTCCTGCAACATTCAGTCTGGCTGCATACGGCAGGAATACCGAAAAGATTCGAGAGAACGGCGTTGGCATAGTCATCAGAACAGTAACGAGCCTTCTTGGGAACATTCAACACCAAGACATTCTGGTCCTCGTAGTATTCCCAGTCGATCTTTTCGACATCAATATCTTCCAAACTGAACTGGAAAACCTTCTTGAAGTCGTCTTCTGCAGACTCAAGCACCAAGTTGACCAAGTGACTGGCGTATGGGTATTGAGTTCTCAACACCTTGACCTCGTACAGATTAAAGTTTCCGTTCTTCTTGAAAATCTGTATTTGGTAAGCATCTTCGGTCTCCACCTTCTTGACAATCTTTGGTCTTGTATCCTGGTACTGCTGCTGCAACATACGTTGGTGTTGCTGAAGCTGTTGCAAACCCTGCAAGGAATCATACAAGTTAAGGAAATTGTATGGGGTAGTGTTAACTGCGAACATTGTGTGTTGCGATATTTTGAATTTAATTGATGAGCAAATATTCCTTAGTAGGCTCTTGTCTTTTTATATTTCATGACTGGTGTCACCTCATAGAAGGTTCCAGAAATTTGCACCCAAAGAGTGGTTTCTGGAACCTTCGCGAAGGTAGGCACTGCATAGAACAAGGGACACTGCCAGTCATTCTGCTGACAAACAACACATTGGGGCTCTGGAGATTTGTAATAGGGAGGCGGCAGCTCATTATTTGCCCCTAAGAAGTTGCGCCACTCGTACTCGTACTCCGTGGCGTGTCACTTATGCTATTTATATCTATGTCGTCGTATTCTAGTTTGCCATCAATAAGTATGCTTGATCTTGCATACAATAAAATAGTCTCCAGATAGTACGGAAGGAGAAAGAATCTACACTTGGAAAATAATTGTTCACTTAGCAGAGTCATTTCTGGGATGGCACAATTCGGTTTGAAACGATGAATTCTTTATTGCATCTAATCATACTCCTTTACACTTCATACTTAACATTATTATATTGGGGTATACTATATTACAGATCGAAGGAGGAAACTAGACAGTTATCGTCGAGTACAATGTGGATGTCGACGTCACCGTTTCCGTATAATCGGTCAAGTAGTAATCATAATCAACATAGCACACGCCAGACACAATCAGTGTCAGTGAGCCTTCAAGGATCCAGCTGCCAGACAATGAACCTTCATAATCATCTTCATCATCATCTTCATTGTCTGCTGTTTCCGTAGTCACCTTCTGTGAAGACAGAGGCGTCGTTGGAGCTTGAGTAATGCTTGAGGAAGTGGTGGAAGTAGTAGAAGTGTTCTGAACAACAGAAGTTGTAGCCTGAGTGGTCGAAGTAGCCTGAGGTACGCTGGACGAAATGGTTGCAGGAGTTGCAGCCTTGGAATTGGATATCACAGAAGTCGTAGATGTAGAAGACGAAGACGTCGTAGAAGTCGACGAAGACGTCGAAGAAGTTGACGAGGTAGATGGCGTGGAAGTTGACGACGTCGTAGTAGCTGGTACCGTCAATGCACTCTCCAATACACTAATATAAGTGTATGGGTTACCGAAGATGGTCACAGTGTATGTGGAAGTGTATCTCGTTGTTGTCACAGTCACAGTTGCAATTTGAGTGTTGGTGATGGTCGACATGGTGCCCTCCACCACGTTGGTGGATGTGATGGTGTTATCGATGGTCTTGTAGACTTTGACAACCTGGACACCACGTTTGTCGAGATCATCAACCTGTGGAGCAGCGGCTACCGGAGCCGGAGCAGGAGCGGCCGCACAAAGCGAGCCGAGAGAAAGAAGCGAGAGGAAAGTTTGAAGTTTCATAAGGAAAGACTGTGGTGAGGTGAGGATGCAAAGGAGCGTGGGTGCAAAAGAGTGACTGGGATCTGGAACGAGACACGGTAACTGGTGCTTTTGGTAGTTTTTGTTTGAGTTTTGTGGATGGAGGGGAAAAATCACGTCGATATATGGGGTTTATAAGTTATTTCTGAGAAAACTGGCCAGCGCAGCCGAACAAGCAAGTGAATGACCGCTGGTTGCAAAATGTACGGTGATGTAGAGAATTCCATGCAAGTAGCGGAGATGATATTGACAAAAATCAGGCATAGAGAGCACATTGCTGGCTCAAACAACCAAGCACAGGAGATTGCCAGCAAAAAAGTACCACACCATGCATCGTATGCCGATTGAGTAGGGCATAAATTTGGCAATACCTGAGATCTACCAGCCATGGAGGTTGGACTTGAGTGGCTGTCTGCAGGAACAGCTGGGTGTTGCGACCGTTTTGGGTATAAGTGAAGATTCAAAAGCTGCGAAAAAGAGCTGGATGGATGAATGTATGGACAGATGATATGCGGGATAGAGCAAAATATATTGGAGATTAGCGTAAATGGAGATGTTCACATGTACGATTTGCGCCAAAGCAAATACACTGGGTGGACGAACTGATGGTAAGAGTAGGATTGGCAGGATAGTTGGTGGTGCGAATTGAGAGTGGAGAGCCACATGGCGCAACTAAAGTTGAAGAGAAAAATCAATTAAAATTTTGGAGGTAGGAAACCAACGAGGACGAAACTGAATTGGATCTTCTAAAGCGCAATTCGCAGTTTCCTCATATTCATGTCCGTCGTCTTAACCTTTCAAACTCCACATGGTGATAAAATCCCAAGAGATATTTGATGACAATCCTGATTGGACAGAAAGGATAGAGCTGACTTGGCACTGAGCAGTCGAACGCCTCAATTGAACAAAGAGCTTGTTACACTGTTTCAAGGTAATGTAAAGTAAAAGGGTATGTAGATTACAGCATACAGTCCTTTATCCTCACTGGCAGTAGAACAGTAAGGAGGTGAAAACAGCCTCATATGGACGTTCCATGTGAAATTTTAGAAGTAAGTGAAAGTGATTATAGGATGGGACATACTACAAAATGATTAGATACACCCATGAAGTGAACTTTAATTGAGAAACAAAATGATCATTCAATTATGATTTATGTACCAGGAGAATCTTTCTTTCATATTTCAACTGGCTCCTTGAATCATAAAATCCTAACTTCAATAGAGGACGCATTGAACAGGTAATGTGCAAGTGTCTGTTGAAGAAGTACTTTTGGCACCAATGATAGCATTCTAATCATGCATCCTTCCACAGAAAATACTTGGTTTCATTGCACCCATTGACTAATCCAGTGGTCAGTTTTTTCAATATTTCGAGTATTACCATACTTCAGTTAACTGCTTTGTCGCAGAATTTATATGTTATGGGCACATCATTTGTAGAAGTCATGCCCATGAAGGGACAACAGTCAACCTGGTCCTTTAGAATCTTACGGCCACTTTAAGAGTTTGCTTTCATTTATTTGATAGACAAAACTTTCAAGATCTAATCAGATTATTGACTAAATTATTACCATCGGATGGAGACCCATCGAACTAAGGTTTTCAACTGGAACGAAGAACATCCTTGGGAGGATGGCTCCCAACGGTACCTCGTTAATTTGCTGCTCCCTGCAGATTCTGAGGTTCCTTGTAATAAGGTTTTTCCAAAGTTGAATGTTTGGTGGTGGCCTCACTGCATGACAACATGATATGCCTGGATTAATCGATTCTTCGTGGGACGAGCCAGTCTTGAGATTCGAATTTGTTCAAGTAGTCACAAACAGTAATGTTACATTCCAGGAAATGCCTTTGTTCTTGATGTTTAATCTGGCCATCTAGTGAAATGTACTACTATTGCTTCAGACCAGTGTAACAAGATGAAGAAACCTACCATCTTTAGAAATCATCTTTCACCCAATGACAATCCTACCCGTTATCCATTAAAAAATGATCCAGAACTGATCAAAAGTTAATCATGACTAAAAAACAAACTTTAATTTAGCCAGAATAACCCTCTTGTTTGTCTTATAACTGTCTTGTCTAAATCTAAATCTGTTTAAGTGGCTGCGAAATTTTCCTTCAACCTATTGCATTCTGTCAAGTACTGTACCCAGATGGCCGACCGACAGTTCCGCTAAAACCCTCGATATTTATGGCCTTTATAGTTATAAGAGTCACGTGCCCTAAAAGTTCCGGTGGTGTTATTTGCCCTACACCCGTACATCGCGCGTCCCTTCCAACCCCCGTTTTCTAATCCAGTCCGACCCTCGACTCTACTTCCGGTCATAAACAACAACTCCAAATCACATCCGATGAGCTACTTTGGAAACAATAACTCGGGCAACAACCCACTAGCTTTTCCTTCCTATAATCAGCTGTCGCTCCAGCTGCGCAACATCGCGGCGCTTAACAATATCACCGGGTCAGTTTCTCAAATTCAGCACCAATTCCATCGTCAGCACATTGCTCCACATCTCCAGCAGGGTCAGCCACAAACACAGGGACCAAATGCTCCACTGGTTGCCAATGGCGCGGGCGCCGGCCGTGGGAATACAGTCAACACTGGGGGGCAACCTCCCAACAGACCTCCATTGGAATCTCAGCAGAGCCAGGGTCTGGGTGGCTCTCAAAAGGATAAGAACCTGACAGACAACATTGACGATAAGCTCTTGAAGCGCGAGCGGAAGAACCGGCCGGGCCAGAAGTTTGGTGCAAAGAAGAAGTCGTGGGTGTGGACATGGTTTGTTCAGGATCTGAGTGATCCAAATGTTGCCGTGTGTGATTATTGCGGCAAGATTATTACTCGGATGCCTTCCGATAAGGGTTCACCCAAGAAATTGAGTGAACATTTAAAGACACATAAACTTAGCAAGGATCTGATCAATACGACGCGTCCAATTCCCATTGATGGGAATGGCATCACCTACACGCTGGGTGGGCTTCAAATGGCTTATCTGGGAACATTTCCGCTGCCTTCTGGTGGCAATGCCGTTGTTTCACAGAACAATGAAATGCTTGTTGAACAGCAACAGCAACAGCAACAACAACCACAACAACAGCAACAGCAACAGCAGCAACAGCAGCAACACCAACAACAGCAGCAACAGCAACAGCAGCAGCAGCAACAACAACACCAACAACAGCAACAGCAGCAGCAACAACACATGATTCAGCACCCGATGCTGACTCAGAGCCATGCTCAGCCAGCACCACAACACAACCATGACCAAGACGATATCTCACCAGAACTCAAAACCAAAACCAAGTACAGACGGACAAATGGCATGCAGAGCCTTCCCAACGATCGAATGCAAATACACCCACAACTCTCGCATCCCAATGCTGGCAGCCAGAACAACACCGTTCAATACGGGAGAAGGTTTATTCTGCCAAACTTCGACAACACGCCGTATCTGGCAGGCAAGTTTCACCGGCACTTACTCAAGTTCTTGACTGACAACAAACTCGCTTTCCGTTTATTAAAGCTGCATCTGTTCCAACAGCTTATTTACGATTTGCGTCCCGATTCGATCACCGATTTGTTGGAACTCACAGGGCTATACTCGTCATTTGTCGAGGTTTCACGAGTCGCCAACGATGCAGACAACCAGGAAGCTCACGAATCATCGATGGCTGAGGCAAGCGTGGTGAACACTTTGGCACAGGAGCTCATCAAGAAGTAGGACAATGGGTAAGGAGAGACTGGTACTGAAGAAATTATAGCGGTCAAGTGTATAGTACTTTTAGGAAGAGCACTGTGCTTAATCTATTTATTGATTGGGAATTTGTTAAATGAAATATACTATGGATATGGAACTTTCCACCTTAGAATGTACAAGTATGATCGATTTGGCTGTGGAAGCTTCAACCTTGGTAACGGAGAATGCATTGCAAGAAGGAACCTACAACTTATTCCTCCGGACCAGTACCTCGTGGTTTAATGCGACCTTAAGGGAGATGTGTAATTTAAGTATGTGTAATTTAAGTTTTTCAGTAATGTTGGTTTCATCAATTGAATGCATGGTTTACACTTCAATTCACTTCAGTGTAGTTGCCCCTATTTGTCTGACGCATTTGCCTGCTCTTCAGAAGTAGCAATCTTGAACTCTCTTTCGTTAACTGCATCCAATGGTAAATACAGTTACCACAATTGCCGTATCTGCTAACACAATCAAACAAATTGTGATCATACAAATTCCCATGGACCAAATAAAATGAAAATCGACAAAAATTTATGACTTTTAATCCTGAAATTGAATATACTGAACCTCAGAATTTATCCTTTTATTTCTTCCTACCCTTGTATTTTAATGTATTTTCTTATCGAAACCGTTGTAACCCACTCAGCACAAGGCCATATCTGTGGCGAAGTGACCACGGAATCAGCTCCTCAAATCCATAAAAATTGTCACAAAAACGAACATCCCTCATCTTATCTCCAAAAATTGACATTTAGCCTCTTTATAACTCTCCACTCATCTGTGTTCCTTACCTAAAGTACCCCACTATTCCTTCAGTTATCGCTCAGGTCGTGCACCACTCACACTATCACTAGATCGCCATTCCACCTAATTATTCCACATTATACACTAATGTCTGGAGCTTCAGATTTTCTCTCCAAAGGCATCGACCTTGTACAGAAAGCTATAGAGGCAGACACTGCCACCAGATACGATGAGGCCTACAAACTCTACTACAATGGCTTGGATTACTTGATGCTTGCGCTCAAGTATGAGAAGAACCAAAAGTCCAAGGATTTGATCAAGTCCAAGTTCACCGAATACTTGACTCGTGCCGAGCAGTTGAAGGAGCATTTGGAGAAACAGCAGTCTAAGTCTGACGCTGCAGAGCTGTCCGCTTCCGGGTCTACAAAGGCGAAGAAGTCTGGTGAAGGCGACGACGATGCTGACACCAAAAAACTCCGTGGTGCATTGGCTGGAGCCATCTTGTCGGAGAAGCCTAATGTGAAATGGGATGATATTGCAGGTTTGGAAGCTGCCAAGGACGCATTGAAGGAGGCTGTCATCTTGCCTGTCAAGTTTCCTCAGTTGTTCACAGGAAATAGAAAGCCCACTCTGGGTATCTTGTTGTATGGTCCTCCTGGTACAGGTAAGTCTTACTTGGCCAAAGCAGTTGCTACTGAAGCCAACTCGACCTTCTTTTCTGTTTCATCTTCGGATCTCGTTTCGAAATGGATGGGTGAATCCGAAAGATTAGTCAAGCAGTTGTTCACCATGGCCAGAGAGAACAAGCCAGCTATCATCTTCATTGACGAGGTGGATGCATTGTGCGGACCACGTGGAGAGGGAGAATCGGAGGCTTCTAGAAGAATCAAAACTGAACTTTTGGTTCAGATGAATGGTGTAGGAAATGACTCTCAAGGGGTTTTGGTGTTGGGAGCCACCAATATCCCATGGCAGTTGGACGCAGCTGTGCGTCGTAGATTTGAAAGAAGAATTTACATTGCATTGCCTGATCTTGAGGCCAGAAAGCGCATGTTCGAGTTGAACATTGGTACGGTTCCGTGTGAATGTAACCAGCAAGATTTGCGGGTTTTAGCGGAGATGACCGACGGATACTCTGGTCACGATATCGCAGTAGTGGTAAGAGATGCGTTGATGCAGCCCATCAGAAAGATTCAGCAGGCTACACACTTCAAGCCTGTGACGGAAGATGGAGTGGAGAAGCTCACACCATGCTCACCAGGAGACGCTGGTGCCCGAGAAATGAGCTGGCTCGACATCGGCACCGACGAGTTGAAGGAACCGGAATTGACCATTAAGGACTTCATCAAGGCCGTCAAGAACAACAGACCAACAGTCAACGAAAAGGATATTCAGAACCACGTTGATTTTACCAACGACTTTGGCCAGGAGGGTAACTAATGGCTAGAGGGAACTAATGACCTTATAGAATGCACAATAATAAATGTACTTTGCCTGACTGGCAGCTATTTACAAGGTTACTTGTGCTATAGAAAGTACTCAGAAATCTACTCGAATTCACACTGTTCCAATGTCACCAAAAATTATTAATTAACATATTTGATGCTAAGTAGTTTCATTTCTTTTCAAGAGCAAAACCTTTTATAGTACTTAATCTCGGATTTCACTACCTTGAAGATATATTCATCTTTCAGGAAAATTTACTTTATGGTAAACATACATTCAGATAGACCCCATCAAATATATCCTCACTATACTACATTATTGTCTCGTTGGCGAGCGCTCTCTCAACTTGTCAGCAAACAAATCCTCATCAACCTCTCTTCTTGCTCTAGTTTTGAGCTTTTCTGCAAACAAATCCTCGCCCAGGTCCCGGGTCTGTCTATCCAGGTCTCTAGAAAAGTTGCCTCTGCCACCACCATTACGCCCTCTTCTTGGCTTCAGTCTGTCTGGCTCGCCATGGAGCAAATAGTATCTTGAGTAGGCAGCTGCGTTCTTGACCTTGCGGTCAGATTGTAACGACTGTCTAATGTATAACACCACTGATGTTTCATCCTCATCCATTTCAACCGCATCCTCCTTCTCCTTTTCCACAAGCTCTTTCTTTGCCTCAAACAAGTCCTTCTCCTCCTCTGCTAATCTCTTCATCTCCTTCTGGTACTTGTGAAACGCAATGCTGGGGTTGTATGGCTTGGACTCCCTCTCCTGAACAATGGACAGCACGTATTCCTGTGAAAGTTCGCCTCCATTGTAGACTTCGGACGTGCCGTTTGGCCCGCTGGAGATGGACAATTTGGTCAAAGCCAGATTGGCATCCTCGTGGGTCTTGAATACCACGTTGACGTTGGTATCGTCAATCCATTGCACACGAAACCACGTGAGTTCATCCACAGCTTCGTAGCCAGCATCTGTTTTCGTGTAATTGATGTAGTAATCAACAAATGCCTGGATGTCTTCGGTGGACAAGTTGTCAACGCCTCGTATGTGGAGAGCTTCTGGGCGCAAGGTATGGGATTCGCCGTTGATGGAAACATCCACCTGCTGCAGCTCCAATTTTTTTCCTCGATCGTTTTCTTCGTCGATCGTGCGGGTCATGAACCCTCCATAAGGTGCTGGATCCATGGTGGTATGAGTTTTCTATTTTCGCAGTGAGTAGAGTTTTAGTGCGAGCAGCACGAAGGTTGACACTGTGGAAATTTGAGGTTGTTGGAATATTCAAAGTTAAAAAGACTTGAAAACGATTTTTACAATATATGTGACTTCGTTTGTTTTGAGAAATTGGTATAATTGGGAATCAAATGGGAATATATTGAGCGAAAGGTGAGCAGTTACGAGTGTTGAATGTATCTTCTGAAAACACCCATAACTACAAGAAGTTCAATAATTAAATAAAGTAATTCTGAAACCTTCAAATCTCCAAATTTTTTGGTTCATTTGTCCACAAGATATTTTCGATACTATAATATCATTTACGGTTTAATGGTATGTATAACTGATCGATATGTTCTTTTATTATAGTACATAGTCCTAAGACTTCCATTACTTCGGTATCTCCGTCTGGTGGCCCCCCGCATATCTATCTCTATGTCGTTACAAGTCTCTCCTGTCATTCACTTCCGTCAGTCACCTATGTTGATCTCCTCTTTCGGTCTTCTCTTTCGCTTTCCATTCTTCCTAGTTTTTCTCTTCCTTTTCCACATCCTCTCTTACAAAAAGCACATTGTTGCACCGAATGAAAATTTCCCCAATCTTCTCCTCCTTGACCTCATCTCCCTCCCTAATCACCTCAAAGGTCTCGTCAAGCTGAAGATTCATATAGTTGTCGATGGCCACAAGCGTGCCTTTATATTCCATCTTATTCCATTTCAATCTGACAATCACTTTCTTGTTTAGAAGCGTTTTCAAAAAGGGCTTGGGGTTGATGGGTTGAAACTGCGGTTAGTAAATTGCTGAGACTAAATTACACTTGTCATATGGCACCTTTGTACATACTGAAGACATCGCTTGAAAGAGTTGTAGTCGTTAGTTGGAGAAGACGGGTGCAGGAAGATCCATTAGTATCAGTCCAATTAATTTGCTACAACTGCTAAAAAAAAAGTAACTTTGGATGGCAAAAATATGTTCTTGAATGATTCAAATTATCACAATTCTTCTAAAATATTCATAATTTACCTCTCTCCACCCTTTCTCTTACTAACAGCTTTCTCCAGTTCTCCAGTGTACATGCAGTCTACACGTAGTTCAACCTACCTACATAGTCCGATACCAACTATTGACATCAAAAACATCTGGAACTAACTACCAAAAGCACGAAAAGCCTCACTCCCGAGCTGTATAAACCATGTCGTTGAATACTGTTCTCCTTGCTGGAGCCGCAATCCGGTTTGCTGTGCCTACGTTGTTGCCTCAAATCACCGACATTTTGGCGGCCACTGTCGAGGTTTCTACGCCAGTCGACAGTTTCAGATCCATCAAAGAAGCATTTTTCTATTTGGACCATGGTATGGACGTCTACGATGGAGGAGTTGTTTACCATCCACCGCTTCTTGTGTCCCTTTTGAAGCTTATTCAAGAAGCTTCACCGTCTTACTCTAGCATTCTTTTCAATCTCTTGTTCACGGTGGTGGACGTAGGAATTGCGGTGAAGTTGGTGAATTTGAACAGATGGTACAATGAGCATCAGTCTCGAAGATCTGGCAAGAAGTTGGTAGGTTTTAGTGACGCTCTCATGGCTGCTTTCTTCATGTTCAACCCACTAATGATTTTAACATGCTGGTCGCATTCCACGCTGCCTTTAACTTACTTTCTCATTGTGGAACTGTTGAATCAGGTGTTGGTGGATAAAAATCCTTACAGAGGGTCAATTGCATTGGCGGTAGCTGCATATCTTTCCTATACTCCAGTATACCTCATTATTCCTCTTTTGGCATTGACTTATGCACTGGGACAGACCAGTGACTGGAGAGACGAGATTGTTCAGTGTGGTGGAGTATTTTTTGCATCCGTCGCTACTCTCATGCTCTTATCTTTCGTGTTGACGGCGCTGCCAGATTTTTTTGATCAGTGCTATGGAACGGTGGTGCTGTACCTGAAGATCTCACCCAACATGGGACTCTGGTGGTATCTTTTCACAGAGATGTTTGACTTCTTCCTGCCATTATATCGGGGCATTTTCAACTTGTACTCCGTAATTTTCATTGTTCCAATCACAGTGCGTTTCTTTGAATCTGAGACCAAGCAAGGCGATTCCTTTTTGGCCGTAGTCATGTGCTACGTGTGGTTGACATTCACAAAGCTGTATCCAATCATCGGCGATCTTGGTCTTGCTTTGTCAATGTTTCCTATTTTCAAGAATACTGTGATCCCACACGCGAAGTTCTTGTTCATTACAGCATTAATGCTTATAGTTGTGTTGCTTCTAGCACCAATCTTTTACTACTGTTGGATTGTTTTGGGCAATGGTAACAGCAATTTTTTCTACAGCATGAATCTCATTTGGGGAGGCGTGCATGTTTTGATCTTCTTGGATTTCCTTTGGGGTAGATTGGTTTATGATTACATATTGACACATGACGTCAAGGAAGAGCTGACACTTCGGTTGACTCAGATATGAGAGTACATGCTCGCATAGACCAGAAAGTTAGCAAAGTAAATAACAAAATAGCGAAGAAATTACCACGAGCAACGACCTAGAAGTGTATGACCCGAGCATACGGCTGACAAGCAATTGTAAGTAATTAAGATACAAGTTTATGGTGACATCGAAAGTGAAAAGAATGATGACAGATAGACATCAAAGCAAAGTTGACCAAGTAAAGAAAATGAATGGAAGAAAACAACTCCTTTAACTTATGTAGTTCCTCTCTCTCACATACTAAGACCACAATGGGTTTGCAACGATCCTGTATATTAACATTATCCACATTGGCCAATTGGTTTATATTGAATCCACCAAACCCACCCCTAAGCTTCAATTTTAGGCTCAAACCCAAAAGTATCACCTTTTAAACTTAAAACTATCCTCCAAATTTTAACATCCCACAGTTTACCCTCCAAATCAACCCTCACCACTTCTTCTTGGTCACGTGACACAAAACCCAGCCAATCACCGCACCCAAATTTCTCACTCAACCTAATTCGAAAAAAAAACCACCAATCTATCTTCTTACTTCCCCAATGTTGTCTCGTGTTTCCGCCCGTGCCTACAGCACTGCTCCTGTGAAATTGGTCTCCAGAGATGCTTCCGGCTCCTTGTCCACTTTGTCCGTGAAGGTGTCTAACGCCGGTTCCAAGTCCGGTAAGGCAGGTGTCGCTCACCTCTTATCCAAGTTTGGATTCCTCAACAACGAAGTCAAGTCTGCCTTGAGATTCACCAGAGAATCCGAGCTTTTGGGAGGTAAATTCTCCTCGCACGTAACCAGAGATGCTATCGTGTTGCTGACGCAGTTCTTGAAGCAGGACTTGCCTTACTACGTGGACGAGTTGGCTAACACCTTGGCCAAGCCATTGTACAGACCATTCGAGTTCACCGAGACCGTGGTTCCAGTTGCCAAGGCTGAGGCTGCTGCTGGCAACGCCAACAGTGGCTTTGTGGCCTTGGAGAAATTGCACGAGCTTTCGTTCAGAAGAGGTTACGGTAACTCCTTGTACTACCACGACTCCAACAAGGTCACCCTTGACGACGTGGTGGACTTTGGAGCTGCTGCTTTCACCAAGGACAACGTGTCCATCATTGCCTCCGGCGTCAACGAGGCTGACTTGGCTGGTTTCGTGGCCGACTCTGCCTTCTCTGAATTGCCTTCTGGCTCCATCGCTGCTCCTGCTGTCAAGTCCCACACCGGTAAGGAAACCCGTGTTGCAACCACCGGACCATCTGTTGCCGCCATTGGTGTTCCTGTGGCCAAGGGTGACTTCGCCAAGTACGAGGTTTTGGCTGCTGCCGCTGGTACCTCTGTTTTGGCCGGTGCTGCCTCTCCATTGGCTCAGATCCCAGGCGCTGACTCCAAGTTGTACAAGTACGAAGACGCTGGTTTGTTTGTTGTTTCTGTTTCTGGTGCTGATGCTAGCTTGGTTGCCGAGGGTATCAAGTCTGCTAAGGCTGCTGTGGAGAAGATCTCTGCCTCTGACTTGAGCGCTGCTACCAAGGCTGCTGAGTTGTCTGTAGCCTTGCAGGACTCCTTCGAGTTCCCACACGACATCACCATCTCCGCTGACAGCGGCAAGGGTGCTAAGTTGGGCGAGTTCAACTACGTGGCTGTTGGAAACACCGACGTGTTGCCATTTGCCGACGAGTTGTAAAATAATCGCATAGTCCTGACCTAGAGACGTATATAAGCATAAAAGGAATTGTTGAACGACATAGGCTTGTATATGAGATGTTTAATTTTGCATATCTCGACCATCAAATCTACGTCATGATGGATTAATTTATCTTTACTAATCTACTTGGACGACGAATTAATTATCCAACTAGCTTATTGATACGTTAACTAGTTCCTTATTTTTAGTCCCCACTTGTCAATATAATTCCTTAGTCACTGATTTGTCACTAGAGTACTTCATTTCATTTTCACCCCACGAACATCAACTAGAGCAATAAAAACAAAGACAAAGAAATCGTACGAAACATAAAAATCATCTAAATCATTGAAGTCATTGAACTCAAAAAATATTCAAAATATTCACCTGTCACACATTTCTATAATAAACTCATGATGGCATCACCGACTTTCCTCCTGCACACGGCGCCAACCACCTTTCACCGCTCATCTTCAAAATTTCTCATCTTCTCTTCATCAAAATGTCCGACGTTGAAGAAGCATACAACGAAGCTCCAGAAAACTTCGAGGACTTTGATGCGCCAGACCACTTCTCCGACGATGACTTCGCCGAACCCGAGCCTTCTGCAGCTCGTAACGGTGAAGATACCGAGATGAAGGCTGAAGATGGAAGAACTATTGTCAACGGTGGTTACAGCGAAGCTGACGCTCAGATCCGTGTGAAAACCGCCAAAGAGTTGTCTATCCCAAAGGAGGACCGTACAACCACGCCATACATGACCAAGTACGAGCGTGCCAGAGTGTTGGGTACTCGTGCATTGCAAATTTCATTGAATGCACCAGTTTTGGTAGACATTGAGGGAGAAACCGATCCTTTGCAGATCGCCATGAAGGAGTTGACACAGAGAAGAATTCCGTTGGTTATCCGCAGATATTTGCCCGATGGATCCTACGAGGACTGGGGATGTGATGAGTTGATCATCGACAATTAAGCATTGTATAATACAGAGGGCAAGGCCCATTAGGATATGAGTGTAGCAATGGTGATGTAAGATTTACTGGAAGACGAGAAAAGACACTGAGAGTGAAGCCTAAAGTGGAATAGACAATGAGGACAGCTGTGATGTTAGAAGATCACATGTGTTTACCCAGGGCACTCAAATGCTGAACGTTTAAGCTCGAGCGACTTCATGATTATTTTAGAAGATTTTTGCTCACCGTAATCCTAGTCTGTTTCATTCTTTTATTCATTCAATATTCTTGCTCTTGACCCTATTCAATATACGCATCAATCCAGTTCGATGCATAGAAAAGACGTTTTCCATCCATTTGCTCCTTGACAAATCCCTTAGTAAGACTGTCAAATACTTGCCGGGACAATCTATGGTCTCCAGAACCAATGTCTCCCATCTGTACTGAACAACATGCCTCCTTCAACTCATCTACATCAACCACCAAATCATGAGCATCTTCCGAGGTGAAAATCTTGAGTGCATTGACTATAGTGGTCTTGTCATCAACTTTAGCGAGCTCACCAGCCAAAATCTGCGAGAACTGAGCAAAAGTAATCAGCTCGTTACCTTGGAGCATCAGCTTCAATGTTTCCTCATCCGGAAGCTCAATACCTAGAGTTTTGTGTACATTGGTGAGGTCCGACAATGTGATTTTCCCGTCCTTGGAGTCGCTATCAATAAGAGTAAAGGCATTTCTGACCTGAACCTTTTGTTGGTTGGAGAGGGTGAGAACGACCATCTGGACAATATCGAACGAGACAAAATTAGTAACGATGTTCAATATAAAAATCAACAAAAATTTGACAAAACCGATCTGACTCTGAATAGCGTATCTGAGTTGAAATTGTCTGTTTGGACTGTAATTATTAGAACTATAAATTTGAAGCTTACCTCAAAATATTGGCAACTTACTCTATCTTCAATTTGTCTGGATCCAGAAATCATTTGTACAGGAAGTAAACAATGCGTGTAGTGAAAACCATGGGATTGACAGAGGTAATTAAGAAAATCAGAGAAAAATAAAAATAAAAAAAACCTGATCAATGTCATTCGATTTATCTGTAAAACTTTCCTATTTCCTCATCTTTTCCATTTTACCGTGCTTTGCTTGGAGGACCTAATCTATATATCTACTAGAATACTCATTAAATACTACATCTACATCTCAAACATCACAACTTACTCGCTAGCTTAGTTTCATTTTACATCAGTACACTAACTTCACACCAGTATATCAGCAGCAATGGAGGAAGATACACTATATAACCAGCCTGTTGTCCTTGATAATGGATCTGGAAATATCAAAGCCGGCTTTGCTGGCGAGGAAAAGCCTCGAGCTTATGGACCCTCGATGGTTGGACGCCCAAAGTACCAGAAAATCATGGCCGGCTCGCTGTTGTCGGCGATTGAGGAGAACTTGTCACGCTACAATAACTCCGAGGCGTACGTTGGATCTGTGGCGCAGCAGAACCGTGGACTCTTGAAACTCAACTACCCGGTAGAACATGGAGTGGTAAACAATTGGGACGACATGGAACGTATCTGGCACCACACCTACTCCAAGGAGTTGAAAACAGCTCCCGAAGAGCACCCCCTCCTTATCACCGAGGCTCCTATGAATCCTAGAGCAAACAGAGACCACATGTGCCAGGTTCTCTTTGAAACTTTCAATGTGCCGTGCGTATACGTTTCTGTTCAAGCTGTACTCTCTCTATATGCTTCGGGGCGTACTACGGGTGTGGTGATAGACAGCGGAGATGGTGTGAGTCATATTGTGCCCGTTTACGACGGGTTCACATTGCCTACCCTGATCAAACGAATGGACATTGCTGGACGCGACATCACCGACCATCTAGCGTTCAACATTCGGCGAATGCTGGGAGTAGCACTTCTGCTGAGCTCAGAACTTGATATTGCACGCGCAATTAAGGAAAAGTGCTGCTATGTGTCCAAAGACCCAACCAGAGACGAGAAAATGTACAGTGGAGTGTCGTATTCGCATTACATGGCAGCGGGCAGCTCTGGAGGGGATTCTGCGGGCATGTTTTCGTCATATAAGCTTCCTGATGGGCATACGTTGACGCTTGGAGTGGAACAGTTCCGTGCTCCAGAGATTTTGTTCAATCCTCAACTCATTGGTGACGAATCTCCTGGTATTCACGAGCTCACTTCGTTAGCCATTTCCAAAACGGACTTGGACTTGCGTCCTACGCTCTATCAGAACATTATCTTGTCTGGAGGTACCACACTCCTCCGAGGGTTTGGCGATAGACTTTTGGCTGAGCTCAAGAACAATCAGTATGCAAACACACCAACAATCTGGGGATCTCGAGTAAGCACTGCGAAGGAAACTCGAATGAAAATCAAGATATATGCTCCGCCAGAAAGGAAATTTAGTACATGGATCGGAGGATCCATTTTAGCGGGACTCTCTACGTTTAGAAAGATGTGGGTAACGTCAAAGGAGTATGCTGATGATCCCGACATCGTGCATCGCAAATGTATGTAAGGATAGTTGCTTTCAGTATTTTACCGTTTGTGAACTACTTGGGAACCATTTGAGTTCTACTTCGGTTCTATTTGAGCACTTTTCGTCAAATTAGTTGATGTCATTGTATGTGAAAACTTGCAAGGCGAAATCTTCATGGAAAGCATTGATTCAGGGCTATCATTAGTCACATTGTCATAAAAGATCTCTAAATACAATAGTATCTGTCACCGAAGTCTCCCAAGCCGGGAACGATATACTTGTCTTCGTCCAACTTCTCATCAATGCCTCCAGTGATGATCTTAACATCTGGATACTTGTCTTGGAAGGTCTTGATTCCCTCGGGAGCAGCTAACAAGTTCAAGAAGAAGATTCTGTCCATTCTAACACCTCTGGAGAGCAACACCTCAACGGCCATCATGGCACTGCCTCCAGTAGCTAACATTGGGTCCAACAAGAACACATAACGCTCGCTTATATCCTCAGGCAACTTTTCGTAGAACAACTTGGGCAATGCGGTCTCTTCGTCTCTCTGAATTAAGATCTTTCCAATTCTCACTGAACGACAGCAGTCTCTCAAGCCCTGCTCCATGGATTCTCCGGCACGGACAATGGAAACACCACAGATCTTACCCAAGAACTTGGCACCGGTGTACTTGTGGCCTCCATGGCATTCGATGGTGGATTCTTCAACAGGCAACTGGTTCAAGCCTTCCTCGACTAAAAGACGGATGATTCTGTCTGAGTAGAAGACAAAATCGCCTCTTTTGGTGGTCTGGTCTCTGATAATGGAGTACAAACCGATAAGTTGGTTAGTCTGAGGTAATAAGATGACGTTTTTACTGACTTCGTTGGCCATTTTGAGAAGTGATGAGTATGATGCGATGAAATGTGAGAATCCTGCGAAGGTTCAGATAAGACGGCAGACCCTGGCTGGAGAAACTGTATCAACAATTTAGTAACATTTATTATTTAATCTTGTGTCAATTTGGCTCTGAGATTAGAAATTAATTCTCAACTGTTGCTTTTTATGGAATTAAGCTTCTTTGACGTTATTTTACTGTCACAAATGCAACAAATAGGGACTGAAGGGAAATCATTGAAATGAATAACAAATATCAGTTCGAAACCGGGTACAATAGAAAATAATTTGGGGGCCTTCTTATGTTAATGAACTTCTTTTTTCTTGAACGAGGGACCCAACTAGAAGCAATTGTCAATGGTAGAGTTCTGAAGGATTAGATCTTTTTCGATCCACTGTCAAAAATGAAATATTAAGTTTCGAAAAGTTATCATCAAGCAGTATTTGGACAGAAGAATATCAGTAAAGATTACATTTATTTCTTTTATATTTTCAATTTACTTGGTGACAGTTCATTGACAACCTCTTTCCTTTTGACTTTAGCTTCAATTTCTTCATCCTCCAAGTTTCTGCATTCTCTGATTTTCTTTCTTTCTGACTAAATTTTGTCTTCACATCAATTCAACGTTAACTGGCCTTCTCTCTTGACTCTACATGATCTTCCTCTACTTCACATTCGTATACTATACATTTATTGCTGCTGCACAACAAACGGGTTGGAAATGCTCTCCGTGCCCTCCAATGGTGAAAGCATCAACAATTGAGGGCCCCTCACCACCACCGTGCCCAATTCCCGGGTATTCTCTGTCAAAATCGACTCGTCGTCCTCGTCACGGAGCTGTTCCACCACCTCTTCCAAAACCAAATTCATCAACTGGTCGTATCCCTTCAAAATACCTACCACCTGTCTTCCACCAATGAACTTGGCCACCACTTTCTGATTGTAGTACTTTTTCAAATCCAAGATGGCTTCCTTCTTGGGTCTGTCCTGCTTGGATGCATTGTTACCTCTTCTGTCGTTTCTGTCGTTTCTGTCGTTCCTATCGTTTCTGTCATTTCTGTCTCCCCTATCTCTATTTCTATTATGGAACTGACGTCCCCCTCTGTTCTGTTCTGGTTAGTACTAGGCTGCTGGCTGTCTCTGCTGCGTACATACATTGTCCATGGTAAAGAGAGTAGTTGGTCAACGAATTCTGCGCACTAGCTACAGGATTGTAGGTAGGATGGTAAGTTGTAGTTTCTAATATAGTAGACTATAATCTGCCAACTTTTCTTCCCGCAAAGGCTCTTCTCTATTCATGGATATTGCCGTTTATTTCACGTCCGATCTCACGTCGTCAGAGAGACGTATCTCGCCCCAATGGACGGTCAGCTACTTAAAACAGCGTCTTGAACAAATTACTGGAATATCGCCAGAATACCAGCAGCTTCAATATTTCCCCATTCGAACGAGTAACGAGAATAGACCTATTGGTGGCACCACCGCTGAAGATGAGAAAACTATTAATGACTACGGCATTGTAGCATACAGCAGGATTCATGTTGTGGATACCGACCCTGAGTCCAAATTGAAGGGATTGGCCAACGAAGCCGATGCAGAAAATGCCACATTCAAGCTCTCTGAGGAGGAATATGCAAACAGGGCAGACAGTGTGTTGAACTGGAAAAAGCAGCAGCAGTTGGGAAGGTTTGACCCCCAATTCAATCAGCACAAAGATTACATCCAGAAACAGAACGAGGAACTTGCGAAGAGTATCGAGGTAGGAAGCCGATGCCGAGTGATTAATATTGAAGGCGAAAGACGTGGCCAGGTAAAGTATGTGGGACGCATTGATCAATTGGACAAGGGCGAGAATGTATGGGTTGGAGTTGAGTTTGATGAGCCTGTGGGCAAGAATGACGGACTGATAGGAACTTTGAGGGTTTTTGAGAGTCGTCCCAAGCATGGATCGTTTGTGAAGCCCAAGCAGGTAGAGGTGGGCGACTTCCCGGAACTTGATCCCTTCGCCAGTGATGAGGAGGAATTGTAGATGAAAATAGTGGGAATATATGGAAATATTTAAGGATAAGAAATACTCTAAATACAGCATGAGATTAAGATGATATTGGAATTTAGATGGTGGAAACCTCTCGTGTTCTATTTGTGGGGCTTATGTACATCAATTACAGCACATGTTATGGATAAACCATTGATCCAATTCTGTAAATTGAGATTACATTGGATAAGTGGATTATGCACAGCATTATAGTATTTATGTTTTATTTAATTGTTCATGGTAATCAATCTGGTCTTTCGCTAGTAGGATAGAGACCAAATTTAAGACCTACAGAAATACAAATAACTAATAGAATCAAATACAGTCAAAATAAACTTAATTATAGTAATACCTTGAACAACTAGTATAAAATTCCTATCCAACTATCCGAATTTTTCAATACAAAATTGCATTGAAATTGCCACAACCTTCACACCAAGAGGCACGTCGTCCGGCATCCCAATCCAGTAACAATCTTCAACGGCACTCGCGGATTACCAATCCCAGCTTCATCATGGACGAAAAACCAGAACCCCCCTTTCAGTTCATCTACAACTATGTGGACCAAGATACCTTCACCAAGTATCTCCGGTTGACTATCATTGTTTGCATCTACATTTTTCTCAGAGGCTACTACTCCAACTGGTCCAAACAGAGACAGGTCAAGAATCAGATTGATTTGGACAACAAGTTGAAGGCAGAGGAAAAGAAGCGTGAAGAACAAAAGGAGGAGGAGAAGCTCGAAAATTTGGACAACGAAGCCAAGTCTTTTGGTTGGGGAAAGGCCACCAGAAGAAACGTTAAACGTCAAGAGAAGATTTTGCAAGATGCTGCTGAGGAGATTCGGGAGCGCAAACAGACTGCTTACGATGCTGCCGAGGACCATGACATTGACGATTTGTTGGAGTGATGTATAGACAATAAAGCCGATAGTAATGACGATATGTAGAGAAGATGGTGGATGGTGTTGAAGAGTTGAGAAAGCACTGAGTGAAATATCTATGATATTTGGGTTTCATGGTCTGAACTATTGTAGAAAGATAACCGGAAGTGGTGGAAATGACAAATATTCGATCGGTTTTATTATGTTTTTTGCAATGTATTCTCTCTTTTTTGATTCTGGATCGCTGAATTCTTTAGTATGTATCCCATTTTCAATATGACGTACTATTGACTTGCCACAGGCCAACCTTCACTAAAAGTGCGAAACTTGCTATCAACCTCCAGAGCTTATCATAACCTTAATCAAAGCAGAAAAAATATAAAAGAAAATAAAAACTTTACAAACAAACATACCTTGACATATCATACATACATTATATCCAACAGAACTTCTCAAATTGTTGTCTAGTCTTAAAAATTAAATCTCCACGTGATTAGTCACGTGACGCTCATTGCGATGCCCCAATCTACAAGAAAAAAATCGTCCCTCCATCCATCACAAACTAAATCATGGCTGGTGATCCATTCCTTTCAGATCCCTCGAAAAAGAGGAAGAGGAATAGAGTAACGAGTCTTGCCAAGAAACAAAAGACTCCAACCCCTTCGCCAGCGCCCCACGACTCAGAAATATCTAGTGAATCAGACCTTTCTGGATCTGAAGATGAAGCCAAATTCGAGAAGGAAGACGGAGATTTAGAATCCGAAGACGAGTTTGCCGCTGAAGGAGCCGCCGAAAAAAGAAGAAGACTTGCCAAGCAATATTTGGACAACCTAAAAGCCCAAGAGATCGATGGTGATGACTTCGATGCTGCAGACTTAGATGAGGACCATTTGGCTCGGAGACTTCAAGAAGATGTGGCAGAAACAAAAGGTTATGTGTACAAATTCTATTCTGATAAGGTGGAACCACAGTTGGGTGAGGTGCAGCCCAGAACCGTCCGTATTGGCTCGAAAAACGTCACCGGTGTTTCTGTGAAATACCCTTACATATACACTGTGTCCAAAGACATGGAGTTGATCAAATGGCGCCACACCAGCGGCAAAAAACCACAAAGAGTCAAACACACCAAGGGTGGCTCCAGATTCTTCAAACTCAATGCGTCTAATCCAAGTGCCAATCACCACTGGGACCAGATCAACTGTGTGGCTGCTTCACCTGATGGGAAGTTTGTTGTCACAGGAGGCAGCGATGCTAGACTCATAATTTGGTCTGCGGAGAACTTGTCATGCTTGAAGGTGTTGGATACCAGAGAGGCTGTCAACTCGATCACATTCAGAAGAGGCACCGACCAGCTTTATGCCGCATGTGCAGACTTGAGAATCAGAACTTTCTCCATCAATCAGTTTGCCCAGTTGGAGATCTTGTACGGCCACCAGGATAACATTACGGATATTAGTGCATTGGGAAGAGAGACGTGTGTTTCGGTTGGATCGCGAGACAAGACTGCCATGTTCTGGAAGATTGCCGAGGAATCTCGTTTGACTTTCAGAGGTGGAGATGCAGAGAAGAAAAGAAAAAAGACAGATGATGTTGCTGCTGCTGCTCCAGAGGCTGCCTTCCATGCTGAAGGCTCTATCGATGTTGTTTCCATGGTGGACGAATCACACTTTGTCACTGGATCCGATAACGGTAACGTTGCATTGTGGTCTTTGTCTAAGAAGAAGCCATGTTTCACACAGAGAGTTGCCCACGGACTACTTCCTCAATTTGAGCCATCGCAAGCCAGCGCGGAAACCCAAGAGGATGTTGCAGCAAGACAAATTCCTGAAAGACAGCCGTACTGGATCACTGCAATCTACTCTGTACCATATAGTGACATTTTCATAACCGGATCCTACAGTGGAGAGATCAAGGTGTGGCGAATTGACAGGGAAAACTTCAGAAAGTTTTCTCTTCTAGGCAGCGTGGCAATGAAGGGAGTGGTGGTAAACATAGATGGTGCCGATTTGCAAGACGACAAGAAGTTGGTGGTGTACGTGGCAACAGGCAAAGAGCATAAGCTTGCTCGGTGGTTGGGCAAGGTTGAGGGCCGGAATGCCTTGACGTGCTTGACGTTCGATCTTTAGCATATAGCATATCGTTAAACGATTTACGAATAAGGTGTAGTAATTTGTATAGATGTTTATTCAGAGGCTCGTTTTGAGGACCCTAGTTGCGTTCTCAATTTCATTTCATTTGCATCTCTTCAGTGTCTACTGCTTCAGTTCTTCATAGTATTCTTTCCTACCTTTATTGTACATCTATTAAAATGCGGCCTCATCATCGCCGTCATCTCCCATATCGTCATCTCCACCATCGAAATACTTCTCTGCATTATAATCGTCATCGTCATCCTCCTCAAATTCATCGTCGAAGTCGTCCTCTTCGGCCTCTTCTTCGTTCTGCTGCGATGGATCCGCATCTAGATCCTCTGCCAAACTCTTCAATTTTTCCAACATAGACTGCGCCGTATCTTCAGCCTCATTACCGTTAAACTCGGTTAGGCCGCCATCGACCTTGTAAGACGATAACAAAAGTTTTTTCTTCTTTTTGGAGATTCCCATCACAGAATACAACTCTTCAGGGAAAAATTCTAGTTGATATGGATACTCATCTATAGAACGGCCAACTTTCTTCACTTTCTTGTATCTGTCGGAGTAGCGTTGGATAGAGTCAGCAGAGCTGCTGACACCTTCATCCTCAGGCGAACCAGTATAGAATGGACCATCATACATCAATTTGGCAAATGCTACTGCCTGTTTAGCTGCGTTCTGTTCGTAAGGAGCTAGAGGACCATGTACGGGGAGTTCAAGGCGCGGTTTTTCTGTAGCCTGACCCTGGGAGAGCACATCAGAGTAGTCTAGCCCAAAAGGTAAGAGCACACGTCCTGATGATTTGTTTCTGAACGACATGTCAGGTTTTGAAAGTTTACTATGGAGAATGGAATTTTTATGGATGCTGTAGGCACGTGATACTGCACGTGACGCGATGCCATTCTTTATCTCCTCGTATGTCGTGTAACTAAATTGTGGAATTTCATCAGGGTTATGAAATCACCAGGAAAGCATATACGGTGGCAAATACGGAGAGAAGACGGCTTCGGACGGTGTAGTGAGTCACACGGAGTTATTCTCTAAAATCAGACATCTCCGCGATTTGAAGCCACATGCATTACATTAAAGTTGAGAACATTTGACATAAAATTACCAAGAGTTTTATGGTAGAAAAAAAAGACAATAGAAGTCTAGATCAGAGTTTGCGCCGGATAGTTTGAAACTACCAAAAACCAATATGAAGGGCGAAAGTCATTTATTTTCCCTTCCACGGATTACCACTTATCTCCCGAATTGGGAGCCGTCTTCGTGCGGCTCCCCCACGGCTCTGACAGGAGGCTATCAAGAATGATCAAAAAATCGAGGCGAATGAATAGGAGCCACCACAAGGAACATAACGGTCTGATATATTTAAAACAGCTGAATCTCAGGTTTCCTGAACGATAACTGTTTATTTTAAGTTTATATCGACGTTTGATACGTTGATACATTGACACGTCTTTGTTTGATATCCATTTGACACATTGACCATCATGCAAGATGTCGAAACTGCCACTTCAAAGTCGCTCAAACAGAAGCGATTGCTTTCGTTTTTGGTGAGAAATGTTGCTCCTCGAGCAGATGCGTCGGACAAAAAACCGTTCCCTGTGGGGAAGGCCGGTGTAGTCTCTAAAACTTTCTTCTGGTGGACAAACCCTATCATGAAGGTTGGATACACCAGAACTTTGGAGCCCAACGATTTGTTCCAGCTCGAAGGAGATTGGACTGTAAGACAATCCACCCAAACTGTGAAGGCTGAATTGAACAAGTTATCTAAAAGTGAATTAACTTACAAAGATATCATGCTGGTGCTCATTCGCACATTTTGGCAAGAATGGGTGAAGATCCTATTGATTCTTACGTTGTTCGGCACAATGGACAGTTTCAGTCCTCTTGTAACGAAGCACTTGATCATTGCCATTGAGGAACGTATGTCGGGCTACAAGAATGCGATCGGAAAAGGTGTTGGTATTGCCGTTGCGTCTAACTTCATGACTTTATCGGTGGAAATCTTGATAGCACATGCATCCTTCCGAGCATTAGCTTTAGGCACCAGGATCAAGTGCATTCTTACATCTTTGATCTTAGAAAAGCTGTTCAAGTTGAGTCCAAAGGGACGTCACAAGTTCCCCACTTCCAAGATTACCTCCATCTGTACGACGGACCTCTCTCGAATTGAAATTGCATGTCTTTATGCTTCTTTCCTTCTTCTTGCTCCCATTCCTGTGATCGTGTCCATTGTTCTTTTGGCAATCAATCTTGGAGTCACTTCCGTAGTATCAGTTGGATTGTTGGTGGCCGCCTCTATCTCGTTGTCATTTTCGGTCAAGAAGCTTTACGCATACCGGTCGTTTGTGGTCAACATCACCGACAAGCGAGTGAACATAATGAAAGAGATTGTGTCGAACTTAAAGATCATCAAATTCTACAACTGGGAAATGCCCTACTTTAAAAGCTTAATGGAAGCCAGAAACAGTGAGATCTCGGTGATTTTGAAGATTCAGACATTAAGAAACATATTGAACACGACTTCTATTACCTTGACAGCTTTGGTTTCTATGGTTTCCTTCATTGTTTTGTATGCCATCGAAGGTCGTTCTCGACTGGCTGCCAATGTCTTTTCTGCCTTGCAATCATTCTCCACCTTGTCTATCGTCCTTAATGTCGTCCCTTTGGCTCTCTCATCTGTGGCCGACTTCGTCAACGGTTTAAAAAGAGTGGCCGATTTGCTCTCTCAGGAGGAAGTTTCAGGTGAAAGTCACTACAATATAATTAGCAAGGATGGTCCTGCTATAAATGTCAAAGATGCAACATTCATCTGGGAACAATTTGATGATGAAGATGATGCAGAAGATGAAAAATCGATCGATGACGGAAATGCATCTGTTTATAATCAGGGAATTGCCATGAAAGATTTGAGTGGAATTTCAGACAATGAAAACCAGAATCAGAAGCTTATGTCTTTAAACAATGTGAATTTGAAGATTGATAAAGGTGATTTCGTGGTCGTCACGGGCTCCATTGGCTCTGGAAAGAGTTCGTTATTGAATGCTCTCGCAGGATTCATGACTTGCGAGTCTGGCTCGGTTGAAGTGAACGGAGAGCTCATTTTCTGCGGAGAGCCATGGATTCAGAATTGTACCATCCGTGATAATATCACTTTCGGAATGCCATTTGAGAGAACTCGCTACGACGAAATCATCTATGCCTGCTCCTTACAAGCGGATTTGGATGTTCTTCCAGGAGGAGACTTGACTGAAGTTGGTGAGAAAGGTATTACGTTATCTGGTGGACAGAAGGCAAGAATCTGTTTGGCCAGAAGTTTGTACCACGGAGGAGACATCGTTCTCATGGACGATGTATTAAGTGCCGTGGATGCTCGTGTTGGTAAGCACATAGTTCAGCAGTGCTGTCTTAACCTTTTGGCGGGAAAGACTAGAATTTTGGCTACTCACCAGTTATCGTTGGTGGAAACAGCAGACAAAGTGATTTTCATGAATGGTGATGGTACATTCGACTTCGGCGTTTATGAGGATATTAAGAAGAACGAGAAGTTTGCCAAATTGCTCTCGTACAATCAACAGAAATCTGCAGAGGAACAGAGGAAATTGAAAGAAAGTAAAGAGGCAGCTCTCTTAGATACAGACTCTACTGACATTACGGAGGTGATTGGCGAAAGCGAAGACAAGGATAGATTCGATCAGCTGTTGAAGAGAAGAATGGTGAAAACCGATGATATTACTGAAGTTTTCGAGGAAGTAGACGAGGAATTCGAGTTTAAAGACGTTTACGCCAACAAGGATGCTTCTAAGGGAAAAATCATTGAGGAAGAAGAAAAGGCAGTCAACTCACTCAAGGGGTACGTTTACAAAACTTATATCAAGTTTGGAGCCGGAAAAATCACTGTTCCAGGATTTTTGGTACTCTTCACAATTACTTCTGCCATTGCTGTGTTTGGAGAAATTTTCTCGAATACTTGGCTTTCTTTCTGGGTCAGCGACAAGTTTGACAAACCTTCCAATTTCTATATTGGGCTCTACGTGTTGTTTACCATGCTTTTCTTCATTTTCTTACTCTTCGAGTATGTCGCAGTTGCCTTTGTTGCCAGTAACGCACTGAAAAAGCTCAATATCGCTGCTGCTAAACGTGTCTTGGGAGCTCCGATGAGCTTCTTGGACGTTACGCCGCTAGGCAGAATTCTTAACAGATTTACTAAAGATACTGATGCCTTGGATAATGAAATCGCAGACAACTTGAAAAGATTAGTCTATTCATTATCATTTATCATCGGTCTGATTGTTTTGAATTTGATCTATTTGCCATGGATTGGTATAGTCATTCCCTTACTTGGAGCTGCTTATGTTGGTGTGGCCAATTACTATCAGGCCAGTTCTCGAGAAATCAAGAGATTGGAGGCTGTTCAAAGGTCGTTCGTGATCAACAATTTAAGTGAGATGCTCAATGGTATGAGTACCATCAAAGCTTTCAAAAAGAAAGATTATTTCCTTTTAAGAAACGAACGGTTCATGGATGAAACAAATGAGGCAACATTTCTCAGCAATGCCGTATCCAGGTGGTTGGCAATTAGTCTTCAAATGATTGCTTCGACATTTGGTTTGATAGTGTGTGTTCTTAGTGCTGCTGGAGTATTCAAGTTGCTGCCTGCTACAGTCGGTTTGTTGATCAACAACGTGATTGGATTGTCTTACCAGCTTTCTGCTATCACTTCCTTCATCACCCAAGTGGAAAATGACATGAACTCCGTTGAAAGACTCATTTTCTACGCGGACAAAATTCCCCAAGAAGAAAATCCCGAGATTCAAGGTCTCACCCCACAAAAGGAGGTCTGGCCGTTATCCGGAAAGTTGGAGTTTGACAATGTATCCATGCTGTATCGTCCCGGCCTCCCTCCGGTATTGAAGAACCTCTCGTTCAAGGTCCAGGCAGCAGAGAAGATTGGAGTATGTGGAAGAACCGGAGCCGGCAAGTCATCTATCATGGCAACAATCTTCCGACTCCACGAATTGGACTCCGGTGCTATCTTGTATGATAACATGGATATATCCAAGCTTTCACTAACAGCTCTTCGAAGCAATATCTCTATAATTCCACAAGAGCCAGTGTTGTTTTCGGGTACCATCAGACGGAATTTAGATCCATTTGGAGAGCAGACTGATGATACTCTTTGGGACGCATTAAGAAGAAGTGAGATCTTGTCTGAAGAGGAGATTGGGGTCGAGAGAGCTAGAGCAAAGACGGAAGACGCAGAGAATATGCACAAATTTCATTTAGATCAGATCGTTTCTGAGGAAGGAGCCAATTACTCTGTGGGAGAGAGACAGCTTATTTCGTTTGCCAGAGCACTTGTTCGTAACACGAAGATTTTGATTTTGGACGAGGCAACTTCGTCCGTTGATTACGAGACAGACCATAAGATCCAGAGCACTATCAACCGAGAGTTTGGCCATTGCACAATCTTGTGTATTGCCCATCGGTTGAAAACGATCTTGCATTACGACAAGATCTTGACGTTGGACAGGGGGGAGATTCGACAATTCGACAAGCCGAAGGTGTTGTTCCATGAAAACGGAATTTTCAGACAGATGTGTGATCGGTCAGGAATAACGGCCGATGATTTCTAAAGTAATTTTTTTTATAGGAATGGTTTTATAGGAATGGAATGAAATGTTTAGGTCTGCAAATCAGAGAAAGTGAAAGGGTTGCGATAAAAGGTTGTGAAGTACCAGATCGGAAATACAGAAGTTGGAATGTTGGTAATAGAAACTAGTAGATAAAATATTGAAGTTGTGCCGTAATTGTTAGGATTTGGCGACTCAACTCGCACAAGAGAACCTTGAAATTTGAATTCGTCTTTTTTAGTTTTGGGAATCAAAATCTCAGATAACATGTAGCTTTTTCTATGGGAATTTCAGTTCTTGTAGTCAGTCGCACTCTTCCATACAAGTATTAATCCGCTTGATAATTCCAACACCTTCGTAAGAATTTCCACAAACTCTACATGCCGAATTCACATTCCACATAAAGATCAGCAAGAGGATACTAAACATCCACATCTGCTCACTTTCACGCCTGGAGCCGCCTCTCTTCTGGGTTATTAGCCCTATGTCCTTCGAGAACAATATGTTTCGACTATATTCAGTCTCATCGATTTCAGAACCAAATATAGACAATTTAGAAGCACACAAGCCACACCATACATTTGTAAAAACAACCGACTCTACATAAATAAGACAACAGAGAAGTTCTTAATTAACATTAAAATTGAATGCAATCCAATTAAATTAAAAAATAAAAGTAATAATAATCTTCCCTCTATCGAGCCTCCCGCACTACCTCCATCATCATCAGCTTCTGGCACATTGATCCGCATATAAACAAACCAGCCTCTTTTGCTGACCTACTGCACGGTTGAACTCAACCACGTTCAATTATCTTGAATACCTTTCATTTTCTTCTTATTTATCGGCTACCTCCGTTGCTGCCATCACTGACTTCAATCTTTTTCCAATCTTTTTCCAATGGACGGCCCGGAATCTGCTGATGGAACCTTAATCATCATGGTCTGTAGGGCCAAACACTTGCCTAACCGTCGAAAGCTCGACAAGCAGTCGCCGTATGTGTTGCTCCGAATCGGCACCACTGCTAAGAAAACGCCCAGCCATTTCCGGGCGGGGCAGACTCCAGAATGGACCCACGAAATCCGATTTCAGCTATCCAGAGATCGAAAGCCCATTCTCAAGCTTGACGTCTTGGACGAAACGAAAAACGACCCCACGCCTATCGGCAACACTGAGATTGACTGCTCGCATGTGTTTCTGGACCCGGCCAACTTACAGAACGGTGGGAAATATATCTTGGACAATTGGTACGAGTTGACATGTAATAATCGCCAGGCAGGCATGATATACCTAGAAATGACCTTCTACCCCAGCGCGCCGGTGCTACCGCCCAAAGTTTCTATGTCGTCTGTGTCTTCGGAGCCTCGTGATTTACCCCCAATTCCTGACTCGGACTTACATCGTCTGGACCCGGTCAACATAGCCGATGATGTTTTCGTGTCGGATGATTACAAAAAGAAGTCCAGTTTCTTCCGTCACTCTGATCCTAGCCCTCCCAAGGATGATAGTGTGTTTGTGAGCGGTCTGCCCAAAAAGAGCGGACGTTTTGCTGCGTTCAAGAGCAAATTCAAGGCCAAAGAGCCCATATCGTCTATCTGGAGCGAAAAACAGAAACTGCCAGCTCAAACGGTGGCCGTCGATGATATAATTACACCAACCATGTCGCCAATTGACAATCTAGACCGGTTGCGAGCAGATATTGGCGTCATTTCACCTCCAGCGCCTACTCCCCCTCCACATTCACCTCTGACTTATTCGGCTCCAGGATCTTATTCCATAGACTCTCGAACGAAGTCGCCGCCACACACACCAGTGGCAGCGTCACATCCACACCGAAATTTTCCTGGAACACCATTTCCACCTAAGTCTGGTGATCTGTATTCCACCCCAGATCAATATTCTACCTCTTCGGACAGATATTCCAGCATTACGCCTGAACTCTCTCAAAGTCAATATTCCGAGCAGAATATGTTTCCTAGGTCAGATTACGGATACCCCAACGATAGAATCTCGCCAAATCCTCGACTTTCTCCTGGCAGACTTTCTCCTGGCAGACTTTCTCCAGACAGACTTTCTCCAGATAGACTTTCTCCAGATAGACATCCCATGGACCGGCCCGCAAGGCTGTCGCCAAGGCTGGCAGGGAATTCCAAACTGACAAGTCCACGCCGAAAACCTCCTCCACCAGATATGAGCGACGATTTCTCTAAGCTCAAGCTCTCGCTGACCACTTCAATTCCATTTTCAGCAGATTCTTTTGGACTAGATGACGATGACGAAAACGATGCTTTGCCTACACAGGTCTTCCACTTGGGGCAGAAGGTCCAGTCACTTACTCATTCTGCGAAGGATAACACTCATTTGAACCCCAACGATATTGATCCAAAATACTATGCGCCGTCGCCATCTGAGCAAATGGCAAAGTCTTGGAGACTACAAAATGGACAGGCCAACAAGAACGACCTCAAGGTGGACCTTAATACTGAAACTACAGGATACTTGGGTGACGGGAAATGGCAAGCCAATCGGTTTTCTCCATCGGTGTTTCTGAGAATTAACGACGAGAACTCCGAGAAAGAGAATAAGCCTGCAGTTCCTCCCAAAATACCTAGGGGACTCAGCGAACTGGAGTATTTTGTTCTCGAAAAGGAAGCTTATCTAAAGGATATTAATGGGCGGCGTATTTAAGTAAACATCGATTGAGGGTATAAAACAGCGTTTCAGAAATAAATTTGTAGCCAAAAAGCAATCTTTAACACCAAAACTAAACTGGGCCAGGCCATCAGGGCCATGGTTGCAAAAAGGAATGTTGGGAGCTTGAATCAAATCAAATCAAGTTTGCAGCGATCACAGCAATCATACCAGCAGCCACACCGGCGCCAGCAGCGATACCCGAGCTGGAGCTGGATGGAGCAGCAGACGAAGAACCAGCAGCAGCGGTGGTGGTAATTGAGGTACCAGCAAGTGTGCTCTGCGAAGCCGACGACGTTGTGATGTGAGACTTTGAATGGGAGGTTGAGTTGGAGTACAGGCTAGCGGTGACGGTAGTGTTCAAAGCAGAAGCCACAGCCACCACACCCTTATAGGAAGACAAAGCAGCAGCCTTCTTAGCAGAGGCAGCAGAAACAGAAGCGACGGAAGCAGCCGATCTCACGGATTCAACGCTAGCAGAAGAAGCTGCAGCAGCAGCGGAAGTAACTGAGGCAACAGAGGCAACAGAGGCAGCACTAGCGGCAGAAGCAGCACTAGCAGCAGAAGCGGCGCTAGCGGCAGACACCGAGGAGGCAGAAGCAACAGAAGCAACGGAGGCGGCAGAAGCAGCCGAAGCAGCGGAAGCAGACGACACCGAGGCCTCAGAAGCAGAAGAAACCGAAGCCTCACTGGCGGCAATGGCAGCCTCAAGCGATGACAGCTCCTCTGGGGTCAAGATTGTGGTGGTCACTGTAAGCGTGGAAGTGAGGGTGGTGTTCTCATCGGCGGCCACGGAAACAATGGCAGCAGCGAGTGCAACAAGCGTGTAGGGAGCGAATGAAACCATAATGGAAGCGATTGGTCTGTGTTTTGCAATGTAGTGAACTAAGGGAAAGGAATGACTAAGGGTAAGGATAGCGGTGTTGCAGCGAGACAACGAGGGAAAAGCGAAAGCGTTCTAGCAATTAGGATAGTTAAAAAGAAAGTAGTAGGTACTTTTTTTCTTGTAAGCGGGAATTATGTTGATGATATTGGATGGAGATGCGTTGGAATCGGTGGCCTGCTGCATGATTCACGTTTACGGGACGGAATGCCTTCCCAATAAGGGTGTTTACCTTCCTAATGGGGTAAGACGGTGTCTATTTCCGGGGAGTGACTGCAATATATGCCGGGTATGCATTGACCAAACCTGGGCGGACTGCTATCTGCAGGCGTTACCGAGAAAGTCATTGAATTTTCGAGAATAGTCCAGTGCGGAAGCGTTTCGTTCCAAAAAGGTTAGACGGTGGGGACGAAATTTTGGGATGACAGGATTCGAGGGAGTTTCGATCTCTAATAGGGGTCGATGACGGAAATGTTTTATCTACTTGTTTTATTAATTGCTTGGTAGACGCCAAATGCATCACCGATCAGCAAATGTGCCAATGTTTCTAGGTTAGACTGGTGGAAGATTGGCGACGAAGATCGTCGAAATCTTGACTTGGTCGATATTAGATAGTAAGGCGTAGGCAACCAAAAGTAACTTTACTGTCGCATGAGCTTCTGAATCTGGGAATCGTTCTCAAATGGTCGCTGTGCCTGTTGTGAACCCTGTGGAGGCTGCGTGAATGTCAACAGTGAACCTCGGTAACCAAAATGTGGAGACGTTTAGACTTGCGCTTCACAATGTGAAACATGAAATGAGGAGAGATTCGATTGAGAGGTGGAATTGGACAAATAGCAAAGAAAGTGAAAAATGATAGAGAGGACCATGGAAACAAAAATTTTTGTGCTATTTATCTACACTAGGTTAGCAATATAGGCAGGAAATTCAATGTGAATTGTGAATTGATTGACATGTGGAGGCTTTTTAGGGCGTGGAAACTGGTCCATAGATGTGGTCAACTTATTAAGGTTTTTCTGGATTCTCTGGATTTGTTGGTAATTCTGGATTTTCTGGAGGTTTAGGTTTAAGTTTTTATTGCTAAAGTTATGGGTGTGCTGATGTCTTGTTATTGTCTTGTGTTTCGTAATATGTCAAGTGACTAATTACTGTCTATAGTGTGGTGATTGGGATCCCGGCAGGTTACCTGGGGCGTGTCTCTGCTGTAAGTGTCAGCTGAGAATTATGGAGGGGACTTCAGTAACCAATAGATTGATTAGTTGGGATGTGTTTTGATACCTTAGGTCATTCGTTTGCCTTGGAATGTTCGAGATGGGATCATCCTTGGAGACTACGAGAGTCTAGAAGAAGCCTTTAGGGGAAAAAGAACACAGAGGACTAGAAGAATTTAAAGCTTTCTAAAGAGTATTTTAGAAGGTTTCAAAGTAGATACTGAAATTTTGAAGAAGGGCATGACCCATTCCTGGTCATCAACTAAGTCAATGTGCTTCAAACATTAACCAGCCTGTTTCAACTTATTCATCTTATTTCTTCAGACTTGAAGTTGATAATTGTCTTGTTAGAATTCTAACTGTAAGTGTTGTGATTTGTTGTGGTCTTAGATCTTCTTGAAGTTGAACTTTTGGCATTGGGATGTCTCACCACCTCCTCCCCCTCAACTCGAGCAACCTCTGGAAAACTTTACCATCTGATTTCATGTATCTTTGCAAGCGTTTGATATCCAGAATCACCAAATCCATTGTTCGATTTCCGGACTGTCGCTTAAAAAATATTCTGGGATCCAACCAGACACAATTGTAGACTGGAATAAAGCTAGTCAAATGAAAATTCATTCAATTATCCCGCAAGAGTTTGTTGAATCTTGTTCCTAATGTTTCCATATGTTCTCCACGTCATATGGTCACCAAGCAGAGTTTTTTGTCCTATAATTGGAATGAAAAGGAAGTGAATATTCCAGTGCAGACTTATGCTTCTTTGTGGTTGTTCCATATCGTAGATATCAGTTGAAAAACATAATCTACTACGGTGAGTAGTAACTGAGAATTAATCACCAAGCTTAGATTGAAGAAAGTTTGTGAACAAACTCTTGATTCCAACTATTCGGTTCAATACTCGTTTCAGCTGGAAGAGGTAGGTACTACCAGTTATTTATTCCAACATCTTTCAAACAAAATTCGAAATATATTTCCGAAACAAGTAACTTGGTTTAATACTCAGTAGTTTTTAATCCAAAAACATGGGATCCCATACTTAAAAAAGCAACCTTGACAAATCCTCTAATGTGGTCATAATCCTGGCTCTATTTCGAAGGCTGTGGCACTCGTTCATCTAGCTTCTAAAATGGAGCTTAAATTATTCGGAATTAATTTCAGTCCTTTTAAAACTTTGTGGTCCCCCTTTAATTGCCCATTAGAAGTTCAAAGTGGCTAAAAATTCCAGCAATCAACATATTTGAAATCTTAATATCTGATATTTAAATCAAAAACAAAAATCCAATCGATATCTTCAAATCCCAACTTTCCTACTCAAAAATTACATTTCCAACTTTCGAAACAAAACTTTTCTCTTGCTTGCAATCAAACTACCAATACATACCCCTTCCGAATTACAAATCAGCAGCCCGCCAAAGCCGTACAAAAGACTTGGATACTTCCCAATATGGTTCATCCATTTCCTTACTTTGTATAATTTCTTGGCCTGTGAGCCTTACGACATTCCGTAGCTGCAAGGTAAGAAGGGTCAACTTGCAGATTTATAGATCATTACAGGTATACAATTCTCTGTGTTCATAACGAGGATGCGTGTAAAAGGTTCTCCTAAATGTGTCGCCATGTGGTGACAGATTGTCTCACCTCTTTCGTGGTAACTTTTCATTGTGAAAGCGACAAGAGCCATATCAGATTGTGTTGCATCAAAACCTTGTTGTGCCACTTCTCATTGTGTGCTTCTTTGTATTCACAGCTATTGTATGCTTCCTACGATCCGATTGTTTCATTGATCATGCTCACTTCAACATAAGCTAATGCAGGTTACCTACTACAACAGAAATATCCACCACTGTTACGGAACTAGGTAATTTAGACATCTTTAGATAGTTCGTAGGTGCTAGCTTATTGTTGATTTTCCCAATTTTTCGATTTTACCTTTCGTTAACTTTCTTCTCTGAAGCTTTCCTTGTACTTCGTTCCCTCGACTTTCCGTTGTTCTTCAAGTCTTTCTCCTGCCTACACCTTTGTTTGGCTTCACACGACCGAAAATTTTATACTGAACTTTTTCATACAAACCTCCACAACAGCACCACAATGTTCAAGGCCAGTCTCCGCAGATACTCCATCAAGCACTTACCTGTGGAAACACAGCCTACAAACAAGTACAATGCGGCTCGTTCTGCCTTCAACCTCAAGCCTGTCCCCACCAATGGCCTCATACATAATCCTCCGGCTGCCATGCCCAGCTTGAAGGACACGCCTAAGGTCTTTTTACCCAAAAGTGACCCCAGATTGAAGTTCATGGCCGACAGATTCAAGGTCTACTCCCCGGAGGAGCTTGCCGAGATGCCCGTGATTTACGGAGCTAAGAAAGACTATGACTTGACTCCGGAAATAATCGAGCAGATTGTCAAGTTGAGAACAGAGGACAGCAACAAATGGACAATTGCTAAGTTAGCTGAGAAGTTCAACATCGATGCTAAGAAAGTTAATGTGATCACGGGATTCAGCTTGCAGAAACAACAGAAGATGCTTCAAGAGTTGACCAAGTTGAAGAAGGGTTGGTCTCAAAGCAGAAAGATGGCAAGAGAGGACAGAACGAAGAGAAAACAGATGTGGTTGAGGGGTGAGTTTTGATGGTTGAGTGATTGGATGAGAACTGAGTCGCCTGACTGTGGGCTTTCCAGCGTGTCTTAATCATGTATATATCCCTGCATTTCTTGTATATTTGACACCAATATAGGTGACGGCATTTCGACATTTTTTGTAGGTTGCTGCTGGCTTCTATAAAGGTATCGGCTGGTATCGAACATTATAGCTTGTAGTCAGATTGGTGCAGTTGATTGCGGCGAAAGTGGAGCCGGTCAGTTGGTGTGTCGAAAGAAGCAGTGGTAAAGAATGCTGGACAGCTATTGGGCCTGTTCCTCGACGTTTAACTCGCGAAGAGTGAGAATATCAAGCTCTTCGATGTTCTCTTGGACGTTGAGCTTGAACAGAATCACATAGTTGATCAACTTTTGAACAGTATCGTGCATCACCTCTCTTTGTTCCTTGATGTGGTACTTCAACTCTTGAAACATAATGTTTAATTCTTTGTGTCTTGTCTCCGCATCAATCACTCCCTTGTTCACGTTGATCTGCATTCCTTGTAACTCTCGCTGCATTTTTTCGATTTGCGCTGTATAGCTAGTACCTTCGCTCAACATTGTATCGAGTATTTCGTCGTGCGTTAATTTATTCTTTGTCACTTCAGCCTCTAGTCCTTCGATGTACTCTTGCTGATCAAAGATCTTTTCTGAGTATTGATCCACCTGTTCGCCAACCTTAAAATTGTCTTCTTGAATGCGGTGGATTTCTTGAGTGAGCTCGGAGCGGCTCTCTAGGAGTCGAATCTTTTCCTCGCGTAGCGTCTTATTAAGAATGTGTTCTGGATCGAGTTTGGCATTTTCTTCCAATATTGATGTATTAATCGAGAGTTCAAACAGTTGGTTCTCGGAAACAGGAATGCGTTGTGTCATTAGATTGTATTGATTGACAAAGCTTTCAAGACTCTGCAAGCTCTGCCGAAGGTCCTGTTCCTTCTTCGTCATGCCATCTTCTGCATCTTTGATGCGATTGTAAGTGGAATCAATGGCTTTGGACAACTTGTCACGTTCCATATTCAGCTTGTCAATATCACTGATTGAGTATCCTTTGGTGGAGATTATGTTTTCGAAAGTTTTCTTCTCGGTCTCGAGATCCACAAGCTGTTGCTCCGCCTGCTCGATTCCTGTCTGCATCTGTTGCAATAGTTCACCCCACTTGGCCTGGCGAGCCTCCATCTGCATCATGTAGTTCGAAAACTGCTTCAAATCGTTCTCCAACGCCTTTGACTTCGCCTCGGCCTCTTCTAGCTCACTGTACTGTTTATTAAGTTGGTCAAACTCTTTGCGAAGTGTCTCGCCAGCCTTTTGCTTTTCTTCTAACGCAAGAATCACATCGTTATTGGCAGTGTCGAACGCCTGTTTCATCTCCTCATAGAACTCCGTATAATCCTCCTTCTGGTCAATGAACGCTCGATATGATGAGATGATATATTTAATAAACACGCGGTCGAACACATCGTCAGGCGCTATTAGCGAGTCTTCGTTGAGATTCAGAAGGGACAAATTAAGTTTAACTAGCCAGTACAACATGCCTAGAAAAGCCGACCAATTCTGGCCACCCACAGCACTGATTGACGAGCGGTTGATTCCATCCAAATATGGATAATTCAAGATTTTGAGAAGCAGAAACACCTCTGTTTCAATGGCCCTGGTGAACTTATAATGAGGGTCTATTCGCCCGTAGAGAAATTGAAATATAAGTACGAAATCCTTCTGTGTGGGCTGCCGAAGCGTTTTCTTCGTGATAGGATGGTTCATCTCGAGCTCGAATTTGTTTGTCACAAGAAAGTCGTAGATTTCCTCCAGGATCAATGTCTGGTAGTTGCGATCCCTCAATGGACGCTGATCTCGTCTTTCGGACAAGGGGAACAGATTCTGAGAAAACTGTTGAGACTGCGAGTTCACCGTCTGGGACGATCCAGGAGCCTCGGAGTTGCCATTAACGGCATATACGCTTTGACGCTTATTTGAAGCTGGAGTCATAAGTAGAGTCGATCTTCTTTTAGCGGACTCAAATGAGTTAGACGTGCGCATACCGATGGATGCCCTGGTAGCCCCAGCAATGGAAAGCCGTTGAGTTTTCCGAAGGAGCTGTGCTGCCGACGGAGTGTGGTGTTCCATATAGATATTTTTGGGGTTTGTATGTTATTGTAGATGTATAGTTAGGTTTTTGTTTGTATTTTGTTTGTTTGTTTGGTCACGTGTGCGCACTCGCGTGATCAATATCGATTCCTAATCCCGTCATACCTACAGGCACACACACACACATTTGACCACTGTTATATAAATTTACAATCAAAAACAAAGCGGCCAATTCGTTTGAGAATAAGACCAAATAAAAACAGAATTTGTATATCCCTCCAGATTCTACCGTTTATCTTCCAAACATCCGTACATCTCGATAACGATAAATGTCAATTTCTGTATCAAAGTTTCTGCCACCCCTCCTCTTCCCAGGTTCTCCTTCTCTATGGATCACGTGCGCTGCTGGCTTCATTCGCGTTCAGGCATCATGCTTTTGTTTAGAGATTAAAGTTGCCAATAATAAACTTACCCTGGCCCCCATCCAGCCTTATAACTTCAGTTTGCCGCTCCTATAGGTATTCTAGACTCTGTGGTATTCTCTTTATCCTTTAGCTTCCTCATTTGCGCTCTGGCTCACCTTCTGGACCACATTTGAATTGAGTTGTTCGTTCCCGCCCATATTTCGTTGAAACGGACCCCCTGGTGGATTATTCCTAGTTAACTTGGTGAATCTTTCCAACTGGACGTTCTACTGGACGTTTTCCGCCTCTTGTGATCGTTTCAGCTTCGTGCTGACGTCATTTTGTTGCGTTTCTAGCAACTTCCCCCCGCATCATCTCCATCACGACTTCTGTCAAACCATCCATGTCCTCCAACAAGTCTGGCTCGCCTGTGCGGCTGCCCAAACCTCCCAAGCTGGTTAAGCTCGAGGTTCCAATGACTCCGAAGACGACCTCATCGAAAAATCGCATGCTGATGCTCTTGGTCACTCCAGAGCAGCCTCTGGACTCTCTACCGTTTAGTCCTGGGTTAAAACGCACCAATCTGGGCACCTTGAAGTCTCCAGACTACAAACTTAATACACAAGGCGGCCAGTCGCCGTATATGACATCCTCGGTGCTTAAAACACCGAGGAATTCTGGCTACGAGTCCGATGAGAGAGAGACTCCCCATCGGAAGCTTTTGAGAACGCCGCAGTTCTTCAGTCCCGGCAGAAGACTTTTCGCAGAGGATCAGAGCCCCAATAAGCAAGAACTACTGGAGATAAGCACCCAGTTGAAGAGCAAACTCAGCCTGGCACTCGACAAAGTCAAGGGAACTGAGAAAAACGGCGTTGCTCCGGTCAAACTCGACTTCAGCGATCTATCCTTCACAACAACTCGTGAACTGTCGCCGAAAAAGCCGTTTCTGCAGCCATCGAGCACGCTGCCTCCTTCCAGCTCGCTCATGAGGACAAACATGAATTTACAGACACTTCAGCAGCTGCCAAATGTCCCCAGAAGGCATCTGCGGTCGCAGCAGATTTTGGATACAAACTTACGACAACCATCTGCTTATGGTAATGATCGAATTTCAATCCCCTCACCTGATGAAGAATCAAGTGCGCAGAATGCTTTATTGGCCGCGTTCTCCAGGCTGCAATCGAGAAACAGACGATACTCAGGCACTGAGAGACGACAATCAGTCGTTCTGCAACTCAGAGACTCACCACATGTCAAGCTTCCCCCTTTGAATGTCGCCCTTGGCAATAATCAGGGCGACAACGTTGAACAGGAAGCAATTTACTCTTTAATGTCACTATCGTCACCACAGTCAGTCAAGAAGTCACATGGAACACCAAGTGCTCTGCACAGCCGGCTGCACAGTCGACTGCAGAGCCAGAATGACTTTTCACCAGTTTCTTCACGATCTTCCTCTGTCGCCGTACAACTACCTCCGATCTCGGGGCTTGTTGGCAAAGTGGATAATGACGAGACGGATGTGGAAGATGACGCTACAGACGAAGATTTGTCCTCGTAATTTTGCACGAGGAGGATGGTATACATTACTCGATTGGGTAATTGGGCAGAACGATTACAAAAGCATTTTCTGGACTTGGTATTAGTTCATTGAGATTTCTTCTTCTTTCTCGCCTAGATTGTGGGCTCAGATTGCAAAATGATTTGTGGATCTAGCCAATTGCGGGTTTTCCCAGTCCAGCAGGCTTGGTTGGGATAATATATATTAGCTGGCAAATTACGTTTAGCACTGGGGTTAAAAGCTACCTTCAATCTACAGTCGAATTCATGCAATCTTATTCTCATTTGTCAACATGTCAACTCTAAATTCAACAATGGCAGCAGCCTTTTAGCGGCCGAAGCTCTTCATCATATTGTCTTCCATTATATTCGCAAACTCCTTCATGAAAACCTACAAAATAGTCGATACCAACAGAAGAAAATTTTTGAGCCTTTCACAAGTGTCCAGGTTCTGATTACTTCCAAAATCTCTCGCCTTATCAAATCAGATAATGTCTAAACAATTATTATCCGTTTGGATCGCTTACCTCATCTGACTAATCGCATAGTTAATCACTCCACTGGTGTGCGAAGCTCAATTATGACTGGTGTGACCCAGAAAGAGCCAATAGCGACATTGACGAAGGTCAGTTTGCAATTAATAAATTGCCGATTCATTCTAAGGTCTCTGTGATCTCCAACTATTTCCAATATGATTTTGAGGTGGATTCAATTGTGTCTTCCTACCGTAGATACATCCAATTACTTTAGTCTATGGGTTCTATTGCCGGAACCGGTCAAAGATTCCGCCAAGTTGATTAGGTGAGGTTGGTGTTGTCTGCAGGTCGATATCTAAGGGCTCGTTACTAATGAAGTTGAAGAAAAAAAAACTTCTTCCTTCAGTTTCCTTTCACACTTTCAGTCTTTTTTCTACTCATATTAAGCTTTAAATATTTGCTATCGTGGAATACCTTCCTTGCTTTGAAGAAAATCAACCTGAACCACTTTCTTTGTTCAAATCACCAGACTCATTACTAAGTCGCTCAAGGATAATCGACTCGACACATTTATTTGAACCAGCAAACTCTAGCACTACTAAAACGAACAAATATTCATAATGGCCGATGTCCTTTTGCTATTCCATCCCACTGCAGTGACGGATGAGGCCTTTGTTGAGTCCAAGAAGGCTGAAGTTGCCGACTCGTACCCATTGGCTAACATCTCGCAACATATCATCGACAGAGTCGCCAATAACTCTGTTGAGTTGGCTGGTAACGCTTTTGACCACTTGGTTTACGTTAACCCCAACGAGAACCATTTGGCTATCCCTTCTGTTGTGATAACTAAGTTGTTTAACGCGTTGAAGAGCAATGGAACTCTTCTGGGTAACTTACCCACCGACCAGGACTTAGATGCGCTTATGAGCGGGTTCATTGTGAACTCTCCAGGTAAGTGGACTAAACCAGCACCGGCGCCAGCTTCTACCGTTTTACTTAAGAAGAAATCTGTCACTTCTGGTACAAAGATACTTCCATCATTCAAGAAGGCTACAGTTTCTTCCCCAGTGGCCATGACAGATACCTCGGCCAACAATACAGATGTAGATGAAGAAGTTTCTATGAAGAGAAAGCTTGACAACACCAAGTTGGCTTATTTCAGTGACGAGGAGAGCGAAGATGATGATGATCTCATCAGCGAGAATGATTTGATCACTGAGTCACAAAACTTAGGGCTTGACGTAGTTGTGCCTAAGAAATGTGAATTGCCAAATGGAAAGAAGAGAAGAAAGGCATGTAAAGATTGCACCTGTGGACTCAAGGAGTTGGAAGAACAGGAAGATTTGAACACTAGAAATTTGCAAGACACCATCTTGGGTAAAATGGCACAACTGGCCACATTGGAAGCTATTAAGATTGAGGAGAGATTGAAGAAATCTCAAATTAAGTTCACCGAAGAAGATTTGACCGAAATCGACTTCACAGTGGAAGGCAAGACAGGAGGATGTGGATCTTGTGCTTTGGGTGATGCGTTCAGATGCGACGGATGTCCTTACCTTGGGCTCCCACCCTTCAAGCCAGGCGAAGTGGTTACACTTGACAGCTTTGGAGAGGACATCTAAGTATATACGGGCATTATTTATAGGACAGGTTGGTTAATTGCAAGACACACTCAAGAATCTGAAAATGTAGGAAGGCTGTGGCCCATCTAGAATCGGAAATTTGGTTAGTAACACTCGCCGTGCATGGAAAAGTGGTTGTACTTTTAGAGCCATTTTGGAGCTTTTGCGTTTCTACCCGATTATTATTTCCCAATCTTACATGATGTCCAAAAGCACCCATCGATATGCGACCACAGAATATTTTCTCCAAAATTACGCCAGTAGACATCCACGTGATAATGGTTTCAACCAGAAGCCAAACCATCTTATGATCTAGAACAACAAGAGGAACATTATAACCCTTAAGCACCATGCGAGGATTTGCCGAGGACATTGTTCCAACTAATTTAGGAACTTCCAGAAAGATCGGCGACAGTGTGCTTGCATTTGAGCCACCATGAGGCTTTGACGTGCTTTTGACAATATAATTCTCTTCCTTCAACAATCGAGATCGTCGCTAGTTCGTGCTTGACAAGGACCCCACCTTGGTATTGGAGGCGACCTTGCTTGGTAGTCGTCATTCGGACTTGTCCAATTGTCAGAAGATTGGCAATGTTGGATGATTTGCAAGCATCAACATGTTGAGGCTCTCAATGGCCTGAGATGACGTGGCATATGCATTGACCATTGCTTTCTAGTCCCATTACTCCTTATGCAATCGCAGTCACAATGTTCATCGGAGTCTCTGGATCAAATTTACGTTATCTTTAGTCACAATGAGCCATGCACAGGCACTTTTCATAGATGATTGAATTATTCGACAGAAAAAAGCGCAAGAATCAAAAGAGAAAGAATCAACAGAATGAGATTGAAAAAAGCAAGATTATTAGAGCCAAGTGGTACCAGACATTGTCAGGAAACACTTCCCGATTGGAACTGTAGAAATGTTTTCCAAATGGTGCAATTATGATGACAAAGCAGGACGAGAAAATCTCAGCTATGAAGGATGAACTGATTTCTCTACTGATGGTTATAGTCTCACACGTGCAGAGGGGAGAGGTATGCGTCTCGTTGGGGCCACAAATCACTAACTTGAATAGTACCATGGACTGAACCACCGACAGAACCAAATTCTGCACGACAACGTCACGATCACCGGAATGGAAGCTCAAACGGGTGTTGCACCATGCAAGGGCGTGACAGATATTTTGTCCTGCAGCAGTGCATGCATATCTTGGCGGAAACCAACTGCCTGTGACGGAGATTCGCAGGCCGTGTGGAACATTTCGGTGCTTAGGATTAACTGTGCTCCCACATGGGTGACCAATGTGGCAGTGTCACTTCACTGGACCCTGAAATCCTTAGCATTCAGCAGCAGATCTGATTTCAGGTTGCTTGAGTGGAATGAGACTAAATAAAAACAATTTGGCCAATCTGAAGAACAAAGGGAAAAGAATTTTTTTTAGAACACGGTGTTTCTCGATCAATGCTACAAATACGGAGAAAACCCGCAAAAAAGCACTTGTGACCATTAGTCCAAACCAATGCGGGGGCATGCAATATTTGACGCAGTCTTGCGCGCAGTCTGGCGTGGGGTTAGATGCGCAAGTGAAACTCCCTTTTTAAAAGAATTGAGGATAATTGGGGTAAACTATTTGCATTTGCAAAGACAAATGCACCTACAAGAGTGCCAACAAAGATACAGAGGAGGCTTTTTCTACTGATGTCATAGCGATCGGCAATACATGTATCATGCACGGCGTGTACAGATTATGTGGTTGATGTGCATACATTTTGGCGGGAAGGTTAATTCAAACGCATGTCGCGACTCCTTTGCCGACAGGCTTTCCTTAAGCGAGCCGATAAACGACCAGGGTCCATGCGATCAGAGGCACAATGTAACAAGAGCGTCGTTGGACATGCCGAAGCCGAATTGCCAATTTTTATGTTCTTCTACGAAAAAAAAATCGCCCTCTCATGACAACTGAAAATATTATTAATACTAATAACCTGCCCCGCTCAGCCGCAGGCCAATGACGTCCAAAAAATATTCTTCAATTCCGTACCTTCGACCTAAACCATACTGACATTCCGATTTACAGACAAACCGTAGTGAGCCAACTTCTCCTCTGTGGTGCTCTTGCCTTCACTTTTCTTTTTTGTCATTCTCAGTTGCATTATTGGTGAATGTCTGGACACTGGATTTTTCTTGTTTTGCTTTGTAGTTTGGTCGTCATCTACTGCTGGGGCTGGCTAGGCATGGCAAACCCCTCGTAGCCAGAGTAGGAGTTACCTGTAGTTGGTGTGGGGAGAGAATTGAATCGCTGCTGTCCGTGTGCCAGGTCGTATGCTCCGTAAGGTCCCGTCAGTGCCTCAGGGGCCGCATACTGTTGCAGCAGACCTTGGAGATGTTGTTGCAGAGTTTGCTGCTGGGGCAGTTGGTTCTGGTTCTGTTGTGGTGCCGATTGTTGCGCCTGTTGTTGCGCCTGTTGTTGTTGATGGAAGCTTTGCTGACTGTGATACTGCAGCATTGGTGTCAGTCCCAGCAGCATCTGATCGCCATAACTGAATTGGCTAGCAATCTGCTGATATGGGTACACGTACAGGCCCATTTGTTGGGACAAGTAGGCATTGGCTGGTTGTGCCAATTGCTGCTGTACTTGCTGCTGTGCCTGATGTTGCACTTGCTGTTGAGCCTGCTGATGAGTCTGCTGTGAATATGGCGATTGTGATCCCATCTGCGACTGGTACTGTTGCATCAGGCCAGGTATCGTCTGTTGCTGTGCCAAGGGCAGTTTTTGTGCCAGCAGCATCATCTGGTGGTCCTGCTGGGCAAGGTAATGGGTCTGTGGCTGCACGGCATGGCCTTGACGAGCACCTTTCAGGTGACAAACAGGACAGTTCTTGTTCTTGCCATTGCGGCGAGGAGTATAACGGTAATTGGGATATTTTTTGGCGTGATTTTTCTTCTCCTCCTCCGCCAAATTGTTCCAATGGTCTCTTTCACCAGGTGAAAGGGCTCTCCACCGACGACCCAACTCCCTTGAAACCTCGGGGTTTGTTTTCGCCTCGGTGGCCTCATCAAGCACCGACTGGTGGTATTTCTGGCGGAATAGAATAAATGCATTTCGGGGCCGTGGAATTCGATTAGGGTTCAGTTTGCAAATACACTTCTCCACGCCCACTCCACTATATCCACCAGCCGAATTAGCCATAGTATGTGGAGTCAGCATCATGTTCAGAGCAATGTAGTTGGAATTGAAGGACGAGGCAGGTGTAGTGTTAACACTCAGGTGGTACAGGTTGGGGGTGTTCTGCAAAGCATCAGTCTGCGCCTGTGAGTATGAGGAATATTGTGACGACAATAGTCCGTAAGCCATATCAGCCGATTGTGGTTGATGACTCAGACCCTGCGTCTGATGGGGCTGGTGGTTAAAACTTTGGTGGTGGGCCAGCGCCTGGATCGACTGCGAATGGGGCTGATGATGCAGAGCCAGGGTCACTGGCGCTGCCTGGGACGTCTGCTGCTGGTACTGGTACTGCTGCAGTGCATCATAGGCGTACTGTTGGTTCACAGGCATCATACGTGCTAACAGAGGAAGCAGATGCGATACCGAAGCCGGGTTAGAAGTAGAATGCTTGGAATAGTCTTCGACACCAAGATTATCTTGCTGGTAGTACACTGCTGTGGACATGCTCTCAGCAATTGAAGGAACGGTGACTGGAAACAAAACTCACCAGGAAGGGCAATGTGGGATGGGGAGATGCCGTGATTTTGAGTTCGAGGCACAAATAGTTGTGAGGATGGAGAGATGGCGGGAGTGAATTAAAAAAAAGCCTAGCGGTAGTAGAAGCTTTTTACAAATCACCACAAAACAATAAGATGGCCATGCAAGTAAGTGGAAGTCAAAGCCTTTTTTAAATGAGTTCCGAGAAACAGAAAAGGCCCGTTGCGGTGCACAATAACCGGTTGCATTAGGACGGACACAATCAGAAACGCACTTTGAAAATATCGCATCCCCCATGCAGCACTTGCGTTGACCTGCACAAACCCTGTTCACCCACCGCAGCAAAATGCCGCTCCTTCTTTAATGCTGGTGCAGAGGGAGTCCCTGCATGGTTGAAGGTTGGGAAGCGAGGCGGATGCACACGATTTAAGACAGGGTGAAATGGGGCCATGTAATATGATTTAATGTTAGATTTTAACTCAAGGTGGGCTAAGATTGAGTTTTTACCTACCGATTAAATAGGTGGTCTGGATATAAGAGAATGTTTTAGATGACACAACTTACGGATTCTCCTAACTTCGTGATATGTGCTATAAATACGGTACTTACTCCCTGCAGATACGCTCGCCGGCAAGGTTGGAAATTGTCGATCATTGTGCCGGGATTTCCTCCTCAATTTAGCACACTGGCTGCGGGGCCCCATGCATCCAATGAGTCTCACCTGAGAATCCCAACCTCTCACTAATCTTTCGCATTGGCTTCCAGAGCTCCCCGTGCTTTTGCTTTGCAGCTGCCCGAAAAGCTTCCCAGTGGCCACTCAATAACGCTAAAAATCAATTCTACAATACGGTTGCATTTTAGCAGTTGCGTTGCATTACATGTGTCTCCCCGTTTGACTTTTTTTACTTTTATTTTTTTTTTTAGTTTACCAGAGGACGGCCAATTGGACGCCAAGTGACATTCCACCATAGGGCATGTGAATGTTGTGCAGTGCCACTCTCCCAACTACCACTTTTATCCTGTGGGTCCAGGCTTCGAGTGTCCCCAAAGACTAATGCACCTAGCTCATCTGAATCGGATATAAGAATTTTCCAGACTTTCTTTGTCTGGCGCGTCTTAGAATTCTTAAGCTCCATAATCCGCCTGCGATCGTCAGGAGGGATTGGCAAGGCGTGGGCTTAATCCGGTGTTGAACACTAGGAATTTAGTCCTGTAGATAAGTGAGGAACAACAACCCGTACATGCCGGTGGTACATCTGCAAAATCCGCTGTACGCACCGCATCGTGCACTATGCAAATGCGCGTATCTCCTAGATCCTCCGCTGACAATTGTTCTTTACCATAGGTATTTATATCGACCTAGCCATGAACGTCAATCAATGAATCCTACTCTGCGGCATCCAATGTCAAGTCCGACGCCCATATCCAAATCTGGCTTCTCCGTCGAGGTCTGGGCCCCGGAATTGTTGTTCGTGTTGTTTATTAATTTTGTTTCCATGGACTCTTCGGAGCCGAAATCCATTCCTGGCACTACTCTGGACACACATACATCCTGCTCGTAAAAAATCAAGCCAATTCTTTAACTCCAAACTCAATTCCAAAGAGGATAGTGCTAGGAACCCTGAGGCACACCATTCTCTGGTGGGTGATATTGGTTCCTCAGTTGCGGCATTGAAGGTATTTGAAGCCAATTTGTACGGACGAAATACATTGTTGGCCAGCACAGAATGAAGTTTTGAAGATTGAACGTTTGACCTCTCAACAAAGGCATGAAGTCAAGTGCCATTGCGAACATGTTTGGATGTCATTGACATCAAAGAAGATTTTAGTCGACTGCACGCTTATCTTGGAAGATCGTCGGTGAAGTCGGGCACAGAGTACCCGAAGTAGGCCCTGCACGGGCCGGGAGCGAAAGCAGATCCGAAACTATCACTCAGTGATGGTGAGCTACAGGTGTCGACAGTATAACACACATGGAAGCTTCGGCTAGGTGATGCGTGAAGAATCTCGGCAGCCAAGTTTGGAACACTTCCGATTAACTCTGTGGTTGGAAAAGTGGACATAACTTGCCGCGGGCTCGCAGCAGGTACAGCTATCGCCGCATCGTGCAGTAATAAATCCTGCAGAATGCCCCGCTCCGGTTGAACTTCCGTGCGATTTGACTTGCGCCTTCTGCAGAAAGGGTCCTGGCCCGTTTAGACTTTGACCTTGTGAATTGCATTCTGCACATATATCTCCGGAAATATGATTGCCGCTGTCTCCAATCTTCACATGAAGATGGTGTAACCTCTAACTTTGCACATGGAGCATTAGACTTCTGGTTATTTCCTGGGTATTTTTTACCAACCGTCAACTATATGCTGCCAACTTAGTTGCTTTCCTTCATCTACCCCTCAATCTTATCAATTATTCCGCATTGGACTTTCTCTTAACCAACCACGCTCTAAATCCGGGAGGAAACCATTCGCCGTATCTGCTTCTCTTGCATTCATGGTTTCGCATCGTATGTTCTTAGACAAAACCTTGATTATCTGCTCTATATTTCACACGTTAGCCGAATCATGTTCCATACTGTGTGTTTCATACTGTGTGCATCGTATTTATAAGTAGTGTCTTATTTGGGGGGAGTGATTTGCAGATGACTCTGACCAAGATGCGCCGGATGAGAAACATGCTAATCCATCGTTGCAGGTAATACAGCTTCCATGAGATGCGGTCAATTCAATTGCAGGATCCAGAAGATGAGTATTGTCTGGGGTGTACCTTCTGAGCGTCAAGAATGCCACCTGTCGGAAGGCACACAAGTGCCCCAACCATTCAATTGTGGCTTTCACAGAGGCACTGGTTTGGACCCAAGGGCAGGGAGGGGTCGTGGCTGCAGGCACACGTTGTCAGTCTGAAGTTTCTTCCATTTCACTAGAGACGGAAGATGACAGATCTGCAATATCTCATGATAGCCGTCTGGAAGAGAGCGAGTAGGCGCAATTTGGGTATGAAATGATAATTTCCACCTGAGATGCGGCTTGCGCATCTTTCTCTCCCGCGCTGTACATAAATGTTCTGCAGCGAAGCTGTCAACCATTTGAAAACTCACCTCATAGATTTGCTTCAACAGTGCATGACTGATCACCATTGCATCGCGGACATGTAATGTATATTACGCATCACCACTGGCGTATTTATAACTTCCATCCCTGATGCTTCCTTCTCTTCTCCATTCTTGCCCTTGACCAATGTCAGCGCATGATCTGGATCGTTTTGTTGTCTCTTTATTAATTTAATCTCGGCGAAATGGCTGGGAACAAGTTAAAATATCACAATTGCTCACACTGGTCAAGAAATGTTTATGTTGGCCGATTGACTCTGTGCGCCCAACTGTTCACTTGCATCGGTACCGCGTCCCGACCTTCTTTGCTCCTGTTGGAGAAACACTTGCCGAGTTTGCTGTAGGCGGTGCTAATGGCATCATTCAATTGTTGGGTATTCACACTCAGTTTCATTTTACAAGCTATCAAAGCACCGAATCCAGTATGAATTACGTCCCAACCAGATTTATTATTCCATTTTTCTTTCTTTTTTTGGTTATGCTGTTTGTTGCCCCTCAAATACCTCTTTCCATTTCCATCTCAAGGTCTCAAGGTCCAGAACCATATTTTCTAGCTCCAAATCCATATTTTCTAAGTAGATGATCTAGTTACACACCTCGGTAATTTCAAGGTTCGGATGTCTTATTCATTTAGCAGATATTATCGGAGAATCCATATGGTTGTCACTTCGCAACCTGCCATACATTTATGGGGTCGTCGCCACACACGCAATCTTCTTTTGTTTATTGGTTTTTGGTTTTTGGTTTTTTATTTTTCACCTGGCCCAAATTAGGAAGCATCCACTTATGATCGTAACCCGCTAATATTTTTCCTAATTTGTCGTGTCTCCTCCGCCTCATATTCACTCCCGATCTAATTCTCCAACCTTCAACTTCGTACTGCAGATACTGCCAGTAGTCAAACTACCTCAACCTTCTTGTCCAACTACCGAGTAGATACCATGGAATTCTCAATTCTCAATGGAACTGATGAGTTCCCATACCCCCTCACCATCACCAGGAATGCATTTGCTGATAATGCAGATTTTGACCCTGATACTTTCCTATACACTAACCATCGGTTCACGTCGCTCGATTCGTTGATTTCTGACTTGACCACCCTCTCCAAAACGCTTAATCAGGACCTTTTGGACCTGGTCAATGAAGAGTACTCCAAGTTCATCCAATTGGGAATGTCGATTGATGGATGTCTTGAGCAAATCAACAACATTTCGCTTGATGTAGGCAAGTTCAACGGTCTACTCGACCAGTCATTGGAAGACTTCACCAATTCTTCTGCTGTTTCCGAAAAGGCTCTCAATCATAAGAAAAGACTCAATTTACTCAAAAACAGAGTTAAGCTAGTGATGCTTCTACATGAACAGTGCTCAAGTTTCGAGACTTTGTTAGGGTTAGATGTGGGAAACGTTAAGCCCGAACATTTGATGGCAAAGTTATCCACTTTGGCCACACTATACCTCTCTGTCACAAAGATTCATGCCATCTTGACAGAATCACCAGATGTGGAGCAAAGTGTATTTTTTGAGAAGGTTGTGAAGACCAAAGTTGTATCATTGAAGTTCGAATTCAAGCTGTATTTGGATGAGCTATTTAGTATAGCCAAATCTGACTCAAATGCATATGGAGCTTTGACATTGCGTCTTCTTCATGTGTATCGTGTCACTGGACATTCTTCCGACCTTCTAGCATTGTTGCATAAGAGGACATGAGATGGTGAGAATTATGGGTGTTTGTTAGTTACTAATAGAAAATCATGGGGAGATGGCCCCAAAATTTCGAGACAAATGAGGTTTGAAATTCGTGAAATGTCCTACAAGGACGTCCAAAGCCATGAGGGACATGGAAAGTCATCAAAAGCCTAGAGGAATTACTGGACATATAAAACCTGCTATTATCATGTATCTTGACAAAAATGTGGTCTACATATCCTATTTTTGGAATGAGTCCAGTGGCCGAATGTGCATTTTGGGTTTGCCAGACGTTCCAGACCTCGAATATGTTGGCTAAAGCACCCTTCGCTAATTCATTTTTTCCCCAAGATACAAATTAACCTGATGTGCAGCTCTCCTGCTATTGTGGGAATGAACTTAAAAGTATATGAGGTGTATATTACCAACCTTACATTTACGGTACTTCAATCATTACATCAGGCCAGATTATCCAGTTAGTGCAGAAATGGAACGTTACATTATGACCCGTATGTAGGCATGCAACGTCGCGAGCACTATTACGTCTGCCCAGTGAAATCGAATGAAGGTAAAAATAATATTGTGGAAGCGGAGTCGGAGTTCAAAGTGCAGATGATCTTATTGATTTCGTATGCTTTTGTTCATTGCCGTTCCATTGTCTTTAAATGAAATACTGATCTGTGTGAGCAGATCGTGAAGTTTCAAAAACTGGAGAAGATTCTTGAAATTTTGAGAATTACAACTTTCTTGGTTTAATCCGTTATATTTTTTTCAACATTATCGTACATTTTGCCAATTGTTTCAATTCCTTCTATCTAGTTCCCTCATCCAATTCCTTCCAGTTCTCCCAATTTCTAGTTTACCATCCAAGCAAACTTTTCTAAGTCGTTAAATGAAAATTTAACCCAAACATTTACGAACTAGGCGTAATATCCAATCCAGTTATTTACTCAAGCAAATCGAAAATAGATAACCTGAAATTTCCAACTATCTTGTAATTATTATTGTAATCTTCGCAGCCATTGCCATCCTCACTTTCTAATGACACTCAACCACATCTTCCTAGTTAAATAATTTATCCCTTGAAAAACTAGAATTCGCCCATCAAACATCAATTTCTTCACTAGTTACAACATCCTCTATCTTCACCGCTAATGACACAATCAATACAAATACTCCAACTCCATACCCATTTCTACTCTCATGCGTAATCTCAGGCACCAACCAAACCGCGACAAAAGACAGTTACAACTCATAGATTTTCGGTTAACACACGCCTTCCGCATCCAAAAACTCATATAGTAATTCAGCTCTAGAACTTCACCTCCACCATGGTTTTCGGAAAATACTTTACAGCCAGACACGAGTGGGAAAACGTGGACAAAAACGAATTGCCCAGCGACATCCCCGAGGTCGAGGAGGTGGGCGCAACCTCTGCTCCTCTCTTATCGGCAGCATACTTCATTGGCGCCAGATGCAAACCATACAACGACGACTTCATGTTGTGTAAAGACGAGAAGAATGGAGGTACCGTAGAGTGCTTAAAGGAGGGTAGAAGAGTGACCCGTTGTGCAGTGTCTGTTTTGAAGGATTTGAATAAGTACTGTTTTGACGAGTTCAAGTTGCATTACGAGTGTTTGGAGCAGGAGAACCACAGATTGGGCTCTTGTAGAGCCAGCGAGAAGATCTTCAACAAGTGTGTTTTTGACAACTTGAAGTTGGAGAAAAAGATTCCCGGAGTGGAGCAGCAGATCTTCCTCAAGGAGAATCCTATTTACACGGGTACTGGGAAGGACAAGAGTGTGGCCAAGGCGTTTTTGGATACCAAGAGTGCTCCTGCCGAGCTGTCATAGCTATTCATGCATCAATAGATACGATATTGGAACTTTGTAGGTGAGGGAGGATCAAATTGTGGAGAGAGAACCGAGCCGGAACGACTGAGATTCCTTTCAGGTGTGCCTTTCTAACAGTCTAAACCTCTGATTATTTCTTTTTTGTTCTTCAAGATAACTTCCCAATCTCAACTATACTCTTTCTATAGTTTCTTTTCTCTCTATCTTCTCTCACTATTTATTCCATGTAGTGTCAAATGCACCTCTTCACATCTATCAGATCTTGCGGTCGTGCACACACCATATCATCAAGAAAAAGTATCAACACCACATCAGCACCTTCTCTTCACATTCTATGTTCGGCGCATCCTCAGGAGGCACAGGCCTCTTTGGCAACTCCAACGCAAACAATGGCCTCTTCGGAGCCAATTCCTCTGCTCCAACCGCTCCAGGTGCCTCTGCTGCTCCACAGTCAACTAGTTTTGGGACGTCTGGAACTTCTGGCTTTGGAAACTCGAACCCTCAACAAGGGGGCCTTTTCGGCAACAACAACAACGCATCTACAAACACAAACACGCTTGGAGGAACAAACGCAAGCACGGGTGGCCTCTTTGGCAAGGCTCCAGCGGCCCCTGCCACCACTGGAGGTCTCTTTGGAGCTTCAAACAACGCTCAGGCTAATCTGGGTGGGCTTTTCGGCACTGGCAACTCTACAAACTCTGCATCCACTCAAACGGGGGGATTATTCGGAAAACCTGCCGCTCCTGCCACTTCAGGTGGCCTTTTTGGCGCAAATAACAACGCTGCCTCCACAACACAACTGAACGGCTTGTTCGGCAGTAAACCCGCCACAGGAGGTCTTTTTGGTTCCACTGGCGCCAACCCGTCGAACTTCTCCTTGGGATCTACTGCGGGTGCCAGCAACCGCCCCGGTGGCTTGTTTGGTGGGACCAACAGCACTGCTCCCACTGGACCCGGAAATGCTACGGGAACAACCACAGCATTCGGCACGAATAATGCAGTAGTAGCCCCAGGAACAGCGGGAGCATCTTCGGGCTCAGGACTTTTCACTAACAACACAAATAACGCTCAGCCATCGTTTGCGTGGTCTTCACAGCAAAACTCAAGTGTCCCTTCCAACCAATTGAACTTGCAGTTGTCCCAGGCACCAGCAAAGGCTCAGCAAAGTTCTTCCACATACACTCCGGCCATCAATGACCAGCTCATCAAATTGAAGGAGCAGTGGGACCCCTCGTCACCTAAATGTGTGTTGAAGACTCACTTATACAACAAATTCAGTGAACAGGAGATGGCTGTGCTCATGCAGCAGCCCAGACCCGCTAATGAAACGCCTGAAGATTGGGATCATGCCATGTCCAACCGTCCGGGCCCATTGTATTACCCAGTGAAGGTTACTTCGTTCTCAGAGGTTGCACAACGTATTGAGGTTCAGTTAGACCATGTCGCTAAGGGCCGCATTTTGCTTAACACAATCAACAATGAACTGAATCAGTTGCTGTCGAAGCATGACTTAGACAATACTACGCGTATCATGAAGGCCAAGGTCAGGCACACCAAGCTCGCGCGTCGCTTACTTAGACTCGCAACTATCTTGGCTATTCTCAAGTTGAAGGGGTATCCGTTGTTGCCAGAGGAAGAGGAAATCTCCAAGCAGTTCCAGGCACTTAACGCCAAAATCACTGATCCTAATGCTCCTGTTGGAAAGCTTAGCGATCTCTATGCTAGGTTGGCCATTCTCAAGGGCAGAAGCGAAGAATTGTCACATCAGTTGGAGTCTTCTATTCAAACTATGAACGGAGGCTTGAAGAGTGTGACCAACGACTCACGCGAGGTATCTGGTGAGGGAAACACGCAATTGGACCAAATTGTCAGTCTGTTGACGAAGCTTCTTTACAAACAACAAGTTGGACTCAGCTACCTTAACGAGGTTTTGCAGAAGGACTTGGCTGTGGTTGACGAGGCCACTGCTAAACGTTAACTGAAGCTGGTTGTTGGCTAGAATAATGTTTCCAAGTTCATTTACTTTTTCCTCAGCAAGCGTTACTTCATTTGTCTATAAACCCGGAGAAAACTTGTTTCCCACGAACGTTACGCATGGCAGGCAGTCTTCCCAAATCAGTGATGTTTACATCGCCATACTCATTAGCATCCACGTCGACAGTTGTGCTGTACTTCTCGCCGGTAATTCGCAGCACGGCACGCATCCCATTCTCGACAAACTCCGGTTCCATCTTGTGAAACTTCTGAAAATTATGCCTCACCCCAGCCAAAATGTCACTGCGCCGAAGCGTGGTTTCTAATGTGGTAAAAGGGCTGTTGACCGTTGAACTGCTCATACGGTACTGCTCAGCATACTGTCTGGCCCCAGCAGTTAAGGTATGCTTAAACGGCACCTGTACTCTCCCCTGGAAATAGAGCTCGTCGTTCTCGATATATGAGTACCGACAAATGCCACAAATGGACTTCAAATATTCGCTCAACTCGTGTTGGCGTTGTCGTAGCGTAACTGTAGTTGTCTTGATACCTGAGTCCACACCACCCAATGGGTCTAGTTGACTCCTCTGATCCGACGCATTTAACAAAACCGTCACATGACGACCATATAGGTTTGTATCTGTGTGTTTGGCCTCCTGGACATTGAAATACTCCAATGTTCCCAACTTCTGGAAGCTATCATATAGAAACTTCACCTCTTTGCTATTGGTGGGGACAGGCGTTAATCGAAATCGTGCACCCACACAAAATTTGAAGTAAAGTGCTCTTCTGGCCTCTAGAGACATTGCAGGACCAATGTCGTTTTGGTCGTTTTGGATTCACAGAAAGAGAAGATGTCTAATCGGTCACTGAGATGATATACCTGCACAGCACCGACTGCTTCTGTCAGATAATGTTACATTAGTATAGGTAATAGGGCAACTGAAAATAGATAAATCTGCTGGTATCACGCTCCTTTAAGCATAATGGCGTCTCTTCGGCTACTTACAGAAACCATTTCGGCAGGACTCAACCGCAATGTCTCAGATACCTTTCTGGAGTCCATTGTCAGAATATACAAGCAAAATGGGAATAAAGAGCAGTTTGTGGGAGCAACGGCAGCATTGGGGCTCTCGGGACTGCTATCAGCCAATATTTACGTTTATATCAATGACAACATTGGCAAGATTGAGGCAGAAATTGGTGGAGATTCCATAATGGAGAAACGAGATGAAAGGATTAAACCTAAGGCAAAAAGATCAAAATTGACACTAGAATTTGATGATGATTTGGATGATTTGGATGATTTGGATGCAGAGACGTTGGATTTTCCCCAGAAAAAGGTAAAGAAGAAGTTAACCTTCAAGAAAATTAAGAAGGAAGACGCTCAACGAGTTAAACAAGTTTTGGTGAGAAGTGAGGTTCCCAAAAAACAGGAGGAACCATTGCCGATTAAGAATGTTACTCCAAAAGAACAGCTGGTTGTTACGTCTCACGAGAGCTCGCTACCGTCGCCTGAAAATGACCCAATCTTCCAGCTAGATACAGTTGAAGATATCGACAATGAAAGAGACTGGTATACTCAAGAAGAGAATGGATATGCGGCTGTGGAACAATATGAGGACTTGGACACAGAGTACCGGCCACGGCAGAAACCAAAAATCGTCCGGTCTAACCGAACTGGAGGAGGATATGATGCTGAGGGAAACTATGTGGATTATGACCATGACAACGGATCCATGCACAATACGCTCCCGATTCTTTCCCACTTCCTAGTACCTCCATTTTTGCAAGATTCAAAAGACTATCTTTTCCTAGAGGGCCAGAACCGTACGGCAAGAAACATGGGGCCCAGTATTAGTCCCATCAAGGACCCGCTGTCTGAGTTGGCAGTGTCTGCTCGGACAGGGAGTTTCGTGGTGAAAGAGAGAAAGGAGAAAAAGGAGAGGGCTCAGCAAGCCAAAGACCGGTCTAATTTGCTGGGCTCAAACATCGCTGGAGTATTGGGATTGGAAGGAGATGAGACTATGCCGAAAAAGCCAATTGAGGCTGAAGACAATCAACCAGCAAGCTTTGAGCAAATACAAAGACAGAGAAAACTACTCCCAGCGTATGCCGTTCGAGACGAGCTCATGCGAATAATTGCAGAAAATCAGATTGTAGTAGTTATTGGAGAGACTGGATCTGGTAAGACCACCCAACTCACGCAATTCTTATGTGAAGAGGGATACGGTAAGAACCTAGATAAGGATGGGAAAAAATTACTCGTGGGCTGTACGCAGCCTCGACGGGTGGCTGCCATGTCCGTTGCTAAGAGGGTTTCGGAGGAGATGGGATGTCGATTGGGTGAGGAAGTTGGGTATTCCATTCGTTTTGAAGACAAAACAAATGCCAAAAAAACGAAAATTAAATACTTGACCGAAGGTATTCTACTTCGAGAAATGCTAGGAGATCCTAACTTGGAAAACTATTCGTGTATTATCATGGATGAAGCTCACGAAAGAACATTGAACACAGACATCCTTTTGGGGCTTTTTCGGAAACTACTACGTCGTAGGAGGGATTTGAAACTAATCGTTACAAGTGCAACAATGAATGCTGATCGTTTCACACGATTCTTTGGTGATGCACCTCAGTATTTCATTCCCGGTCGAACTTTCCCAGTGGACGTGTTCTATTCCAAGTCAGCATGTACTGATTATGTGGAGACCACTGTCAAACAGGTAGTAACTATTCATTTGGCAAACAAAAAAAGTGACGGGGACATTTTGGTGTTCATGACCGGTCAGGAAGATATTGAGGCTGTGTGTGAATTGATCCAGGAGAAATTGGCTCTTTTGGATAATCCTCCACCCCTTGATATTTTTCCAATTTACTCCACTCTTCCTCAGGACCTTCAGAAACGGATTTTCAACAAGCAGAATGCAGAGAGACGAAAAGTGGTGGTTGCAACCAACATTGCAGAGACTTCGCTTACTGTGGATGGAGTGAAGTATGTTGTGGACTGTGGACTAGTGAAAATGAAGCTCTTCAATGCTAAACTTGGCATGGATGCCTTGCAAATGGTGCCCATTTCGTTGGCCAACGCTCAGCAAAGAAGCGGAAGAGCAGGAAGAACCGGACCCGGTATTGCTTACAGACTCTACACTGAAAAGGCTGCCAGTGCAGACGAAATGTATGTTCAGCCGATTCCAGAGATCCAAAGAGCAAATTTGAGCTCGGTGATGCTTATGCTCAAGTCTCTCAAGGTTGGCGATGTTATGGGCTTTCCATTTTTGGATCCTCCACCTCCAGACTTACTCAGTTGCTCACTCTACGACTTGTGGGCCATGGGTGCACTAGACAACCAGGGAAACTTAACCGACCTCGGGTCAAACTTGACGCTTTTCCCTATGGAACCTACGTTAGCTAAATTGATTTTGATATCTTGCCAGGATGCATTTCGATGCTCTTCAGAGATTGTCACTATAGTTTCCATGCTATCTGTTCCGAATGTCTTCTACAGACCCAAGGAAAGAGCTCAAGAGGCTGATTCTATCAGAGAAAAATTTCTAGTTGCCGAACTGGACCATTTGACGCTTTTAAATGTGTATACACAATGGGAGCAGCGAGGACAATTGAGGAATATGACTCCTCAAAAGTTAGCCACCTGGAGCTCCAAAAACTTCTTGCATCACCGGTCTTTATTGCGTGCTAGAGATATCAGGAATCAGATCTTGCTCATATTGGACAAGAACAAGTACCCACTAACAAAGGCAAGAAACGATACAGATATCAGAAGGTGTCTCTGCGCTGCTTATTTCCACCAGCTGGCTAAATTGGTCAAAATGAACGGAGGTGGCCGAGGTCAGGCGGAGTATTCCAACCTTCGCCAGTCATACATGAAAATGTACTTACATCCCACCTCAGCTTTGGCCGGAGGAACCGACATCAGTCCACTGTATGTCGTTTATGACGAATTGGTGTTGACAACCAAAGAATACATGCAATGTGCCACCGCTGTTGAACCTGAATGGCTTCTTCAATATGGATACTTGTTCTTTGGTGTGAGTCTGAGTGTCAGAAAACAGTTGCTTGGACAGGTTGACTTTGACATTGTGGATAAAGCAGAGTTGGAAAAGGAGCTCATGAAGGCACCAGAAGAGCCAAAATCGAAGGAAGTGGAGAAACGTAAGACGATGAAGATGAAGAGGTTCTAGGTCTCGTTCCATGCTTGCTCTTGGCTAGTGCTACATAAGGATAGGTAATAACAAAGAAGGTTGCAACCGTGAAGTTATAGCAAGCTGTAATGGTTGCAACATAGAGGAATAATCCGATGTGCTGTTAACCCACAGATTTTATCCCATAGGCATTACCCGACAGGTTTTATTCCACCAGGTAATACGCGACATGTGTTCACCAGAGTTGTAACCATGCATCGCATTGCATGGACATTCTATTGTTTCGTCGGATCATTCTATATTCATTACAACTGTACATTATCAATGAGGCGTGCTTCGCCTCCGGTTGCACGAGGCACTCTCACTGCTGTGGAGATAGTGGCCCCTACCTCCGGTGTGACTTCTTCTAGATCCTCCAATGTTTCGGGATGGGAAATGGCAACATATTCCACCGTGTAGGTTTCTGGCATTGTATCGTAAACCTTCTGTATCTCTTGCAAAATGGACTTTGCTGCTACCAGCGTTCCCCCACCATTAATTTTCCTACTGTAGAAGTCCTTACCAGCACATAATCCTTGGTAGATGATTGCACACTCGTCTTTAGTTTGCTGGGACAAATATTCATTTCTCGACAGCATAGCAAGCCCGTTTGGCTCTCTTAGGGTAGGCAAAACATTCACCTCTGTGTCGAAGAGCAAGTCCTTGACCATATTCTTCACCACCACACACTGCTGGGCGTCTTTCTGGCCAAAGTAGATATTTTCTGGAGAGACGATGTTAAGCAACTTAGCAACCACGGTGGCCACACCCCGGAAAAATGCCGGTCTCTGAGCTCCCTCTAGTTGTTCTGAGCACCCCTTGACGTTGACAAAAGCACCCTTCTGTTTATCCACCTCCAAAACGATTCCCGAAGGATACATTTCCAGAACCTTAGGAACAAATACAGCATCCACGCCCTTGTGCGGGAAAGTGGCCGCCAACAAGTCCAAGTCACGGTCTAACGCCCGAGGATAAGCGTCCAAGTCCTCATGGGGAGCAAACTGTGACGGGTTGACGAAAATCGACACGATGGTACGATCATTATTAGCCAACGAATGTTTGACCAAGTGGCAGTGGCCCAGGTGGAGAGCACCCATGGTAGGCACAAAGCCGACCTTCTCGTGGTTGAAAAGGCACTGGCGGCGCCATTGGCGAACTTGCTGCACTGTACGTAGCACGGGCACCGATCTGGTCATAGTGGTAGTTTGTAGATGAAAATTTCGCGTGGGGTAGAGATGAGGTGTTGAATGGTGTGGGGGAGGGGCGATGGAGAGACGAACTAACGAAGTGGCCGGAGATTTATGGCTATGAGTACTTGATGAAGATCAATTTATAAGGTTTCCAAGAAATCTTCCAAGTCGAGTGACTCATCAGTTGCCATCGGTCATTCGCACATTGGATAGAGGACTTTTGCCGAGGTGAACGATGAGATCAAGAGAGTAGTCGGTGAGGGCCGGAATGTTGAGCTGAAGACAAAAATGAAAAATAATGGCTTTATTAGGAGATTCTTGGTATAAAATGCCCAGGTTGAGTGCATAATTTTGGTTATTCGAGTCTGCACTGCGTATCTGAAGTCACTGAGGGCCATTCAAGGTAATATATTTGATACTGTTGTGACTGAAACGTGATAATTTAAAAGAATCAATAAAGACGGATATCTACTAGTTGAAATGCATTTGAATCTGGATTCGATTAGAAGGGGTGGATCATTTCTTTCGATTAATATTTGTTGCACCAAGTACTAAAACTAGGTGACATTATAAGAAGTGGATTCGATTCTTCATATGAATTTCGCAGCCATGAGCTTCGCAAGTACAGTACTTTTATCACAGTGATCTTATGTCATATTCAATATCATTACATCGATTCATATCCACCAAAAACCTTTGCGTTTTTTGTTTCCTATACATCCTCGACTCTCGCCCTGTAATGGAGTTTTACGTCTTCAAGCTTTTTTTTTCAAAATCTCCTTCTTCCTGGATGTAATTTCATCATTTCCTCGCCTAAATTCTCGCTGCTTAAATCTTATGTCAATTCTCACGTCAATGCTCACACTAAATCTTTCAATTCTCAACTATATTTTCTCACCAACTTTTCATCCAGTTTCAGCTTCAAGAATGTCTATACAATTAACGTCTAGCCAATTTGACATTACCCTCACTATTCTTCCTCTCCACCTCCTCTCCACTCCATAAATATAACCAATCCATATGGAGGATCATCCTCGGCATCTGCCCCGCTAACTTATTAATCCATTCTACATATATAATCATATGTTCCGGCTTTACAACTCTTTATACTTGATCCACTTATGTCCTATACAGCAGAAATAAAAAACACCGGTGCTGCGTTTCCTAGAGGCGCAGGCTCCACCGTCTTACCTACTGATAGGTTGAAGGTGGCATATCGTCGCTACAAAACGTCCCAGCCAATTCCAGAAGGCATCGCCAAGGTCAATTTCATCTTCGCTCATGGAACGGGCATGAACAAGAGCGTGTGGAGCTACCACATCGATCAGCTCTATAAGTTGACCAAAGATTCTGATGACTGGAGAGTTGACTCGGTAGTTTCTGTGGACTCAGCAAGCCATGGAGACTCGAGCCTCTTGAACGAAGGCAAGATTGGCTGGTCTTTTGACTGGAGAGATGGTGCAAAGGACTTGATCAATGTGGTAAAGCATGAGATGGATTCCACCGGCGACTTTATTCCTTCTACTACCACCAGAAACGTCCTTGTGGGCCATTCCATGGGAGGCTTCATGGTATCGTACGCTGGCTTCCTCGAACCTTCTTTGTTTGACTCATTGATTTCCATTGAGCCCGTTCTCTATTTTGATCCGATGTTCAGGGAGTTCTTTCTCCTGAGAGTGAAGAAATTGGGCAAGATTCTCAATGATGAGTTCCCTTCTCGTGAAGTGGCTCAGGCTTTCTACTCGAAGAGTTTCTACAATGTCATGGACAAGCGCGTGTTGAATGATTTTGCCAACGACGAGCTTTACGAGAAAAATGGCAAGTTTTACACCAAAGCGTCTACGAAAGCGCAGTTAGCTACCTACTTGAGCGCATTGTACTGTATTACTGTTGGTCAGGAGGCATTGAAGAATATACAGATTCCATTTTTGCATGTGGTGGGGACAAGGGCCATGTGGAATCCTCCAGATGCCGTTGAGTACATCCGTTCGGCTGTGCCACAGCAATTTATCTCAACAGCCGAGATTGATGGAGACCATTTGGCCCATGGAGATAAGGTGGATGATACTGTGGATTTGATCAGAAAGTTTGTTGATGATAGGGTTGCGTTTATTAAGGAGAGGGCCGGGGAGTATCCAGAAGTCAAGTATAACAACGATCGGGCTGCCATTTTCAATAATAAATGGAATGAAATGCTCAATGGAGACACCGAGAAGGCTGTGTACTTTGGTACGCCCAGACCCAACCTTTAAAGAACAGAATAGTGGGCTGAATTTAGGTATGAATATAGGTATGAATATGGTTATTTTGAATCTGTACTAAATTGGTTAATTTGCTAACGATAATTACAGTTAGGTGACAAATTTCTCCAACGGTGATGAGCACGAATCCATGAGATCGACATGAATCAATGAAATAAACATAGCACAAAATCAGCATTACCTTGTAGTTGAAGCCCTGGTTACCGAACTTAGATTAATAATCCCAACATCAGTTTCTCATATATCTCCAACACGGAGTACTTGACCAAACATGATTCAGACTATAAATCCAATACATAATATTTACTTATTGAAGAAAATAAACACGATAAATAACCATTCCTTTCATTGTGAAAACTCATCCATTTTTTGGTTTAACTCTCATCTTCCTCGTTCCTCCTCGTTTATAATAATTCTCAATTTTTAGTTGGTACTCGCAAATATACCCTTCTCACCAATATTTCAAAGTCTCAACATAAATCTGCTTTCTTACTTAATAATCTACTAAAATTGTCAAATATAAATCCCACATTCTCTATTCCAGTAACCACAGCAACCGTTTAAAACTGCCAAATTGACAGTTTTTCCGTTGTCCCTGCCCTATCCACATCGTCAACTCCTCCCGAGGATATTGCTTAAAGTGCAGGCTATAATCCCACGAAATATATATAAGTGGAGCCATTCGCTCCTCCACATCCAATTCTGACTTCCACAATGGATCCTGAACATTCTGATCTCTATTCTTACACTTTAAAATCCACCCAAGCCGCCAGTCCGCGGTATCCGCAATCGCTTGCGCCAGGAGTTCGTGGGAATGCGTTGAAGATCGCATATAGAAAGTATATGGCGTCCAGATCACCGCCTCCAAAAGCTGTTGTGGTCAATCTCGTGTTCATGCACGGAACAGGAATGAACAAGGGTGTCTGGCATTACCACATTGACCAATTGTACCAGAAATGTTGGGCCGTGGGAGTTCATGTGAATATGGTGTTGGCTATGGACGCAGCGAACCACGCAGACTCGGCCCACCTCAATAAGGGCAAGCTCGGAAAGGTGTTTGACTGGCGAGATCTGTCATACGATGGAATCAAGATGGCGGAAGCTGAAAGTGATGAGCTATTAGCAGGAAACAAGAATGTGTTGGTGGGCCATTCCATGGGAGGCTTTGTGAGTCTCTACATGACGATTCTTCGTCCAGCGCTTTTCGATGCGTTAGTGATGCTCAATCCCGTGTGCTATAAGATAATTGAGTCGCCTTATTACCCATTCGTCGCGTGGGAGAGCAAAGGGTACATGGAAACGGAATTCAAATTGAAGAGCCCCGAGAACTGGAAAGAGCATGTGTTCAAGTATATGCGCAAAAGGTCATTTTTCCGCGAGTTTGACGACAGAATTCTCGAGAACATGATGGCGGACGATATGCCAGAGGGACCAGTCCAAGAGGGAGACGAGTGGGTTGTTCGGTTGAAGACTTCGAAGATCCAGACACTTATCACGTATTTTGGAGCGTCAGAGGCTTTGCTGATCATTCCAGACATATACTCATCGTGCCATGTTCCGGCCTATCGTATCTTGGGCAGTTTGGATACCACCACGGAGGAAGTCCAGAACAAATTGGCCAGAGCACTTCCACAAATGCAGACATACTTTTTGAAGGGGGAGAAGCATATTGTCCAAGGAATCCATCCAGATATATTTGTTGATTGCATGACATCCATTTTGATGGATGTGAAGGATAAACCCAAGCCAGTGTACCCGATTGTTGATCCAGATCAACGGCTGAAATTATAATAGATTGGAAGAAATGACGGTGGAGCCATAATTTATAAGGGTTTGAAGAGATTTAGATAAAGATAGATAATTAGAAAAAATAGAAAAAATTTGGAAGTTTAAAAATATAGGAAAAATATGCAAGGTCACAATGGAATGTATATTTCGTTATCTTTATAACGGCAAGATGTCACGTGCAGCTATATTGACAGAAAAAAAAAGTTCCAATCTCATCTCATCTCATCATCATGGCTGGTAAAGAGACTGTTTTGGCACACATTGCCAACTTCTTGAAGTCCGACAAGGACTTGAAAAAGGTTAACAAGGCATTTTCTGATTACTTGGAAAAAAACAACATTGAGTTGCCCACAGTGGCTGGAGACTTGGAGACTTTGATTGTGGAAGAGAAGAAGTCTGAGGCTGAATCTGACTCCAGCGACGATTCCAGCGACTCGAGTGATTCTGATTCGAGCGATTCCGACTCAAGCGATTCCGACTCAAGTTCTGATTCTGAATCTGAAGACGAGAAAGAAGAAGAGAAGGAAGTGGATGCAGACAAGAACGGCTCGTCTGAAACTGAGTCAATCTCCGAGGAGGAGAAGAAGCCAGAGATCAAGGGAGACTCTGAATCCAGTGACTCCAGTGACAGTGACTCTAGCTCTGACAGTGACTCTAGCTCTGACAGTGACTCTAGCTCTGACAGTGACTCTAGTTCTGATTCTGATTCTGATTCTGACAGTGACTCCAGCTCTGATTCTGATTCTGATTCTGATTCTGATTCTGATTCTGATTCTGATTCTGATTCTGATTCTGACTCTTCCTCTGATTCCGACTCAGACTCAGATTCAGACTCCGACTCCAGCTCTTCTGACAGCGACTCCAGCTCCGAGTCTGAGACAGAACTGACTGAAAAAAAGAGAAAGGTCGAGGAAGCTGAGGAACCTGTCGTCAAGAAAATCAAGGTCGACCACATCTCTGCTACCCCAGAGGCAGAATTGCTTCCGGGCCAGAGAAAGCACTTTTCCAGAATCGATCGTTCCGTCATCTCCTTCGAGGACTCGACATTGATGGACAATACATACAAGGGAGCTGCCGGTACCTGGGGAGAGATGGCAAACGACAAGTTAATGCAAGTGAGAGGCAAGGACTTCACGAAGAACAAAAACAAGATGAAGAGAGGTGCTTACAAGGGAGGATCCATTACCATGGCTTCGGGATCCTACAAGTTCACCGATTAGGCAGCATATATTTAATTCACGGCATACAAGAGTGGAGCACGGATGCATATGTAGAGTTGATTGAGATTGTCGAGAAAGAAGAGTTGTTAAGGGAATAGGTATGGCAAAAAAATGGGAACGAGTAAATTGTAGTAGAGATTGAATTGGGGGATGCACAGTTGAGCAGACTCGACATATGGAGATAGCAATTGGTAATTAGAAGTAATTCAGACTTGAAAATAATCGGGAAATACGTTACACCAAGAAGTTCACAATTGGTTATAAGTATGCTTTAGTTGGTTGTTCATGAATTGAATATGAGCTCTTGTCAATGTTGCCAAACACGTCAATAACACGTCCCAAGCACTCAAAGCTCGGGCCACTTCAATGCAATTGAACCGATATATGCCACGGAACACCAAAAAAAATTCATACATGTTTTAAATTACAGCGTACATTCGTTATCTCTTATAAAAAGACTGGCGTGCACACAATAGCTTTATTGGGTAGCCCCATCTACCAGCAGAAGTGGTCAATTTTCCCAATTAAGCAAGTGATTAATCCTGGCCAAGCTTATTGTTGGCACTTTGTGCAAGAGAGCCTCTCGACAACCACAAGCACACGGGAAGTACCAACATATACATGGCAACCACGTAGTTGGACTGGTTGGTGTCACCCTTGGCCACAAGAAGCACGTTTGTAGCGGCCAACATGAGAAGGAGTGTGACCGCAAACGAGAAAGTGATTGCAATCTGGAAGTTGGTGGACATTTGTCTGGAGAAGAATTGTGTAAGTGAACTATTTTTCAAGTAAAACTTGGCCTTTATGAGATTGGGCAACTTGGTCACGTGTAGTTTCACCGAGACCCTGCATTGGTCTTTCGCAGGAAGGTTCCAATCCTTTTTCAATTGTAGAAAAAATGGATAGGTTGAAATCTTGGTGAGATTTTATAAATCAAGAAGCTTAACCAGATCTTGAATATTCAAAGAATAGAATTCTTCAGAATTGAATGATATTGTGGTTTGTATAGCCATGGTTAATGCTCGAGTGGGCCCAATTGGAAAATTGGGGGTAACTTATTGAACTGGCCTAAAAACTAGAATCTCGTGAATTCGATAGAATTTCCTTGATTGGGACTATTGAAACAAGAAGAAAGCTAATCACGATATAAATCAAATCTATCTTAGCTATGCTCGTGTAGGTTCTTCAAAAGCTGAAGAACGCTCATGGTGCCCATGTGAACGGAATTTGACACTAAGTATAGCACAACTGGTAAGACCTTCCATTCGAAGAACATTCATTTTCAACCATGAGGAATTCTAGTCGAAATCAAATGAAGCCAGATTGAGGTGAGGTACTTTAGCATGAGATTTGGGAGTAAAACGATATTCCGAAAGAAAGTATTGTAGTTTTCAAACAAGATGATCAGTTGCCTGCACTATCTGTTCTCAGAAGACTATTGATTCTGTAAACTCGTCCATCCACTCTTAACACTAGACATCTTTCTCTTTCATGACCATTTCTCAAAGTCTTTCCCCATTCTAATTATCCTCATGCTTTTTTTTTTTTTGATCCCATACCCCATGATTGTCCATAATCCCATTGTGAGCACTGTCGTACACATTGAGAGCAAAAAAAGACAATACGAAATGTCACACAAGTCAAGCCCGTCGTCACATCCTCTCTATGTATCAATGACATCTTCTTCGTACGAAACCTTCGATCAAAGATATCTAGCTCTACAACAAAGAGACCCCGACTCCGAGGGTCATTTCATCTACTGCGTTCTCTCCACCAACATCTACTGCCGACCAACGTGTTCGTCTCGTCTCCCTTTACGGAAGAACGTCGTTTTTTGCGAGAATGTGGAAGAGGCAGTCAGTCGTAGCTTCCGGCCTTGCAAACGGTGTAAACCAGACATCGAAACAGGGTGGAATCGAACCAGAGAATGTATTGTGGTAGCATGTACTGTGATTGGATACATGGCCCAGCAAGATCAAAAATTCGATGTCGATAAGGTGGCGGCTAATGTAGGACTCTCCAAATGGCACTTTTGTCGAGTTTTCAAGAATTACACAGGGTATACGCCCCGGAAGTTCTATCTACAAAGTAGAGGAGGTAAAATAACTCCACAGCCATTGCCATTGATACGAACGAAAAAGTTTTTGCAGCAGAAGAAGCGAGAGAAGATTCACGAGCAGATTGAAAGTCTCTTGAGAAGCTTGCCTGATAGTTTGTTTAATTCAGAAAATGAGGGAGGTGACTTGGTTGTTGGGGGCGATAAGGCAATTGTGGATGATAAGTTTGGGGGAGTTAATATGATTGGGAAGTTTGGGGGAAGTTTGGAGGAGATGAAGCGTTTGCAGGGGATACTACGTTTGGGGGAGATGATATATTTGGGGGAGATAATACGCTTGGAGGACACCACAAGGATCAGACATTTGCAGGCGAGGATACATTTGGAGGTGATACATTGGGGGGCCAGATATTCGGAGGACTACGTGGGGGAGCAGGGCACACAAGGAGTATACAAACCGACACTCCGACCCCGACAAGCAATAAAGACTCAAGCCGGATATTAACCACACATATGCCCTTAATTGAAACCAACCAGGCTAATAGTCAAGTAGCCGATTGCCACGCCGATTGCAACTCTGATGAGTATACCTATCCGTGTGAACGAAACCAAATTGAACTGAGCCAGAATTCGTCTGAGGAAGAGTTGTGGCTTTTCCATATTCTTGAAATCCCTTTAATTCCTTGAATTTACTGTCAATTTAGACGCTCGCATCAATGTTGGAATTATGAATCTCAACAGTGGATTAGGTTCTTTACGTTTTTAGTGATCCGCCCGCAGGCCAGTGCTCACACTCCGCAACTATATGTGGGTTGACATATGGACCCCAAAAAGTATTTAAGAAGTCTCGAATCGCCTCCAAAATTGGAAGCTTCGGATTGAAAGCTTATCAATTACATTGACCTAAATTTTGTGAAACATTTAACATTGAAAATGCCTCTTACACCACAATCTACCTACACCCTCAATAACGGTGTCAAAATTCCCGTTATTGCGTTGGGTGTCTACAAGACGGAAAATAATGTCGCCAAAGACGTGGTATACGATGCCTTAGAAGCCGGCTACAGACATTTCGACTCAGCGGAGTTGTATGGAAATGAAGCAGAGGTTGGCGAGGGCATCGCCAAGTGGTTGAAAGACACGGGCACCGACAGAAGCGAGATCTTCTATACTACTAAAATCTACGATACCCACCAAGGTTACGAGGAAGCAAAAAAGCAGATTGACGTCAGTTTAGACAGAGTCAAGGCTTTGGGCTACATTGATTTGATCTTGATTCACTCACCACTCACCAGCAAGAAAAAGAGACTTGGAACATGGAAGGCACTCCAAGAGGCCGTGAACGAGGGTAAGGTCAAGTCAATTGGTGTTTCCAACTTTGGTATCCATCACTTGAAGGAGCTTTTGTCCTGGGAAGGATTGGAAATCAAGCCTGTCACCGACCAGGTGGAATTGAGCCCCTGGTTGACGAGAGAAGAACTCGACAAGTATTGCAAATCGGAGGATATTTTGTTGCAAGCATACTGTCCGCTTACCAGATGTGAGAAGTTCGGAGATGCCACTCTTGTGAAGCTAAGTGAAAAGTATGGGAAGTCGCCAGCGCAGATTCTCATCAGATGGTCGTTGCAGAAGGGTTTCAATGTGCTCCCCAAGAGTGGCAACAAGAAGCGTTTAGTTCAGAATCTTGATGTCTTTGACTTTGAAATTCTGGGCGAAGACATCAATGCACTTTCGCAGCCAGGAGCTAAAGAGTCATTTGCTGGATGGGCTGCAGACCCATTGGAGTTCAAGGATGACGATGAAGCTGAATACAGGGAGATTTAGTGAAGAATTTGGATCTAAGATGAAGAATTTGAATGAAGAATGGAATCTGTAGAGGAGAAGTCGACTACTAGGAAATATGGTGAAAAATGTAAGAGGAATCGCAGGAGAAAAACATGGCAACGAACTGAAACGTAAGAATTAATTACATTAAATCTACTAAAAAGTCAAACCATGAGTATGTAATTCATTCTGGAAATCACCATAACTACTTAGATCTTCTTGACCCCCTTGCTACGATAATTCATTACAACCTCTCAAAAATTCTGAAACGACCAAAAAAAAAATGACGCTCCAACATTCTTGAAAACCAATAGTGACCAAAGAAAGAAAACGATCCAAAGAGCATTCTGGAATATTTCAAACTGTCATCACTTCCGCTATATCCATTTGTCAGATGATCCTGCACATATATACATAACCTAGTGATTCCCACTGATCAATCCATCTTTCACGCTCTCAGGTTCTTTATCATGTCCAGAGTCAACTACGCCGATCTCGAGAAAGGAAACTTCTCCGATGACCTGTACGACTCTTATGATGAAGAATCCCACTCTCGCAAATCCAAGGACGACGACTACGCTTATGGAGGGCCAAATCCTAGAAAGAGGAAGCAACCTACCAAGAAGCCAAGAACCACCAACGACAATCTCCAGACCGCAGCAGTGCGTAAAAGCAAAGTAGACAATGCCATTGATGTGGTGAATCAGCAACTCAGTGACGAAGAGTTCTCCGATGACCAGTTGGTGGAGCTTACGCCAGAAGTGCCAAAAGATTATGTTCCTGATGCTGTGTCCAAGGTGTTTGGTCGCCTGGACTTTCTGTACTTGAAGTTGAAGCCAGATCACTTTTCGCGTCCCATTTGGATCTCTCCTACCGATGGCCGTATCATTTTGGAGTCGTTCTCGCCTTTAGCTGAGCAAGCCCAAGATTTCTTGATCACAGTGGCCGAACCCAGATCCAGACCGTCACATATGCATGAATACTCCATCACCTTGTACTCATTGTATGCTGCTGTGTCTGTGGGTCTTGAAACGGACGATATCGTGGCTGTTTTGAACCGATTGTCAAAGACTCCCGTACCGGAGTCATTCCTCAAGTTTATCAGAGACGCTACCGTCAAGTTTGGTAAGGTCAAGCTTGTCTTGAAACATAACAGATACTTTGTAGAATCGACTCAGGCGGACATCTTGCAAATGCTTTTGAAAGATCCTGTGATTGGTCCATTGAGAGTCCAGGGCGACCATAATAAAGACTTGCTACAGTCTAGTGCTCCGAGCCAGGGTGATCTTGTTATTCCTGGAACTAAAAAGCCCGACGGATCTGAACCAAAACCAGATGGGACTGTCGAGGATATTTTTGCATCGGTGGTGGGGAAAAAGGCCGAGGATGAAGATGACGATGACCTCGATACCGTTCATCTGTTTGAGATTGCCAGTGAATCTGTTGAAATTGTCAAGAAACGATGTTATGAGATCGAGTACCCTGTGCTAGAAGAATACGATTTCCGTAACGACGACCGAAACGCCAATCTCGATATTGATTTGAAGCCATCTACGCAAATCAGACCCTACCAGGAGAAATCGCTTTCCAAGATGTTCGGCAATGGTCGTGCCAGATCGGGAGTGATTGTTTTGCCCTGTGGAGCCGGGAAGACGTTGGTGGGAATCACCGCTGCATGTACCATCAAGAAATCTGTCATTGTTCTTTGCACGTCATCTGTGTCGGTGATGCAATGGAGACAGCAGTTTTTGCAATGGTGTACGATTCAGCCAGAGAATGTGGCTGTTTTCACATCGGAAAACAAGGAGATGTTTAGTAGTGAAGCTGGTTTGGTGGTTTCTACTTACTCCATGGTTGCTAACACTAGAAACAGATCTCACGACTCTCAGAAGGTCATGGATTTCTTGACTGGTAGAGAGTGGGGTTTCATTATTTTGGACGAGGTGCACGTTGTGCCTGCTGCCATGTTCAGACGTGTGGTCAGTACTATTGCTGCTCATGCTAAGTTGGGTCTTACGGCTACATTGGTGCGTGAAGATGAAAAGATTTATGACTTGAATTTCTTGATTGGTCCAAAATTGTATGAGGCCAACTGGATGGAACTTGCTCAGAAGGGCCACATTGCCAATGTTCAGTGTGCGGAGGTGTGGTGTCCCATGACAGCAGAATTCTACCAGGAATATCTTCGGGAATCCGCACGTAAGAGAATGCTTCTTTACATCATGAACCCCACAAAATTCCAAGCTTGTCAATTTTTGATACATTACCACGAGAAAAGAGGAGACAAGATCATTGTGTTCAGTGACAATGTTTATGCTCTTCAAGAGTATGCACTCAAGTTAGGTAAGCCATTTATCTATGGATCCACTCCTCAACAGGAAAGAATGACCATCTTGCAAAACTTCCAGCATAATGAGCAGGTGAATACGATTTTCTTGTCCAAGGTCGGAGATACCTCCATCGATTTGCCTGAAGCCACTTGCTTGATCCAGATTTCATCGCACTATGGATCTAGAAGACAAGAAGCACAAAGATTGGGTCGTATTTTGCGAGCCAAAAGACGTAACGATGAAGGTTTCAATGCTTTTTTCTACTCGCTAGTGTCGAAAGATACTCAGGAAATGTACTATTCTACCAAAAGACAGGCGTTTTTGGTCGACCAGGGTTATGCTTTCAAGGTGATCACACATTTGAGTGGTATGGAGAATCTTCCCGATCTTGCATATGCTACCGCCAGAGAGCGGCGGGAGTTGCTTCAGCAGGTATTGTTGAAGAACGAAGATGCTGCTGGCGTGGAGGTTGGAGATGATGAAGACACCAATTTCATGCCTAAAAGACTCAAACAGGAGGCAAGTAGTGCAGCCAGAAGTGCTGGATCGCTTGCCGGGTTGGCAGGAGGAGAGGACATGGCGTACATCGAGTACAGCAAGAACAAGAACAAGGAGTTGCGTGAACAGCAGCACCATCCATTGATCCAGAAGATGTATTACAAAAAGAAAAAGTAATGGAACGAGGAGTGGCACAAGAGAAGAAAGAGAGAGCATATGAGCTGAAGGACTGATAAGAGAATGAAAAGAAAAACAAAGAGCGACGAAATTCCTAGTGAAAGTTTATAGATTTAATGTACAAGATGTACGGAGAGGGCCATCTGAACCAGACCGTCAGGTAAAGGAGCACCGGGCTATCCAGACTTGCCAGCCACTCAGTCGTATGATGACCCGACAAAATTGCCGAAGTCATCATCTTCAAAGTCCGAAATTGGTGTTGGTTCTCTCAGCTCCTCCACAGGAATCTTTAGGTTCTCCAAGATTTTGTTCTGAAGTAACCAAATGCTTATCGTACAGAAACTTATCCTGATAGTTCCGGAAGCGCCGTCTATAAGTGGCCAACGTCTCAGCGAACAGAATTGCAGTGAACTCGTCTTCGAAACGAAGTCCAAGTGCAATCTGTAAAATGCACCCTTTCGTATCTTCACCAGAGTCCAACGGATGGTAACCTGCTCCCGGTAGCTGTGCGATGATCTTATAGTTTCTAGAAGATGTAGGCGATACCTGAATAGTTTCAGAGCCGTCGTTGGAGATTTTATAGTGCATATCCGACTCGCTGAACGGATTATACCAAACTTCAGCCCATGGAACATCACTCTCCAATTCGACAAAATCCTCCAGAAGCTGCGTGATCACTTCCGGGTTGTATAATTCAAGTTTGAGCCTGAGCCCTTCAAAGGCGCTGGAAGCGGCCGTGTCGCCAGCATCGGAGACCTCTTGCTCGCAGAGTCTTAGATGGCCCTTCCACACGATATTTTCGGCGGATGTGTTCCATTTCTTCAGCGAATTTTCCCCTGGAGGAATCCGGAACACTGCAACTTTGGCATGGAAAGTCTCGTGCGAGACCACAGTCATGGGAGTAGATGTAAGTTGTAAAAATGGAGAAAATGGAGATCTTTGAGTGGGGTAAGACAGTGAAAGTTAGTACTGGAAGTAGCAGTGGGGAAAGAGTCGGTAAGAAGACGATCGATGTGATGTCAAATCAGTATGGAGAAATTCAGAGACGTTGATTGTTGCGGAAATACTCGTCAATCCGTTCAAGATATGAAGATCTGTAGTAATTCTGTGAGTAAGCATTATATCAGTGGGGGTTGGTGTGTTTCATTATGAGTTGTGCACTACAAATACTTACCAGTAAGAAAAAAAAGTTCATGCGGTCCCAACTTTGAAACCGTATCCTCACCAACATATACACTGCTATGTTCAAACAACTTGTGGGAGGTTCGAGACCACTTCTAAGTGGCGCCATGCGGACCCAGCGATTTTTCTGCGTGTCAAACGGCCGTGCAAGTGAGTTTGACGAGCTCAAAGTGCTGGAGTCCACCAAGAAGAATGCCACCACGGTTTTCGACATTGATGAGTTGATCGCCAACTCACCCGGTCTTGTGGATGGCAACCAGAGCAGAAGAAAGTATGACGATTACTCTTTTGGCAGTCTGGCCAAGGACCCAAGAGAGGTTGCAAAGGCCATTAATATTACTGGACCAGCCAGTGGCAGATCCGTGGATGTCAAATTCAACAACGTGGGATTTGCTATTGGTAATGTATATTCGATTTTGAGAACCAACAATGTCAGAACGCAGTGGAACTTACAGAAGAGATACATGAGACCAGCTAAGTACCAGAAGGATAAGCACAGAAAGTGGTGGAGAAAGCAGTTTGCAAAGGGATTCTCTGACTTGATGGCTCAGGTGACCGATGCAAAGAGAAGGGGATATTAACGTGTATATATAAAACATAACCATTTAGATGAGCAGAAAGTAGAGATCGAGGCAGATCAGATGAGTGGGACCACCAAATTTTAGACCAATGGAGACAAACTAATAGAGACCATAGAGGAAGACCAGAGGAGACAGAGAAAGAAATCAGGTAACATTAATCTACTAAAGCATCATCAATTACAATGAAATAGTAAACTACCGTAAGATCAGCCCATTGACATCTCTTATCACTTCAATTATGACATCTCTATCTTCTATTCACCTATGCACTCAGAACCTTGTCACTTCCTTTTCGACCGGCCCCCGGCCGCTATGTTACACTGAAGCTTTTAGTTCTTCTTCACCCCACTCTTCTTCACCTGCTTCTTATCCTTCTTGAAGTCAGGCTTGCCATTAAATGACTTATGAACTCTGGTCTCCAACAGAATCACGTTGTTCTTCACCACAATTTCTTTGGCCTCCAAGGCCTTCTGTTGGTCCTCCTTGTTTCTGAAGTCACACAACGCAGTCTTCTGGGTTCTCTTGAAAAATTTGATATCACCAAACTGCTTAACAAGCGCACCTCTCAAGTCCTCATCATCAACCTCGATGTTTCGAATGTAGATTGGGTACCACTCCTCCTTTTTGAACTTGCCATTGGCTGGAACTGTTGGAGCAACCTGAGTGGCAGGTGGTGTGGACTTTTTAGCAGCTACAGGTGTGGCTTTTGGAGACTGAGATGTGGCCTTTGGGACCTTGGGCTCGATGGCAGCCAAATTAGCCCAAGTGGGCTTAACTGCTGGCGACAGAGAAAATGGCTTTTCTTCCTTCTTCTGCTCCGTCTCTGGCTCCTTTGCTTCGTTTGCAGATTCTCCAGACTCAGTCTCCGGCTTATCTTGGTTCTCAGACTTTTCAGCAGGCTCTTGAACCTTGTTGGTTTTGTCAACCTTTTCAGGCTTATCGGCCTTCTCAGTCTTTTCTGTCTTCTCAACCTTTTCCTCAGATTTCTCAACCTTTACAGGCTTTTCGGTGATCTTCTCAACTTTGGCAACCTTTTCATCCTTTTCAAGCTTCTCAATTTTTTCAACCTTGTCAACCTTTTCAACCTTTTCAACCTTTTCAACCTTTTCAACCTTTTCCTTTTCTGTCTCCCCCACCTTCTCCTCAGCATGCCCGTTAGCATCCACAGCACGGACTTCCTGCTGGCTGAATTGCTCAGATAAATCCACAAACTTCAACAAGTCGTTGCTAACATCATACACAGTCTTATCCTTGGCCTTCAACACAAAGGTCTGAACAAATTGCAAAAGCTGACAGGAGCCTCTCTTCCATGATCCACATACCACAATCAAGATACTGTCACTGACCGATTTCTGGAAGTCTGCTCTTTCTACCACGATCTTGTTTGTCTCGGTGACAAGGCTCTGGGCAGCAAAATGCTTTTTGATAGCTTCGGTGCCAGTTGCCAGGTTGACAGTTTTGATCGACGAAGCACCATCGGCGGACGAGCCAGTGGCTTCAGCAGCCACATCTGGGAACTCATCATGGAGAAGCGAAGCATGCTTGTCGTAGAAGGCAAAGAGTTTGGTAATGTCGCTCGTGTAGGTAGTGTAGTACTTATCGATGAACAACCAGCCGATGGACTCGATAGACAACTTGTCGTCGGACAGTTCGATCTTTCCAGCAGCAGCAGCTGGGACGGAGGATTCAGGTTGAGTCATAGCACGTGCAGATGCAGTGGCAGCAGTGAAATTATAAATGGTGATTTGTGAGCAAGTGAAAATTTACCAGGAGTGCAGAGAAGTGGGAGGGAAGTGGGAGTCGATGGTGAAACTGGAGGAAAAATATCGAAGTTGAGGGACTTTTTAGGGTCATAGTGGTAATTTAGGGGGAAATTTTAGACTTTGAGGGTTTTCATTGGGAGTCCTTATGGAGCTTGCGATGTTGATTATTATTAGAGGTGGTGACAAGGTGAAGGTGCGAATTGAAAGTAGACTAATTGGTGATTGAGGAGTGGATAACATGAATTGGCATCCAAAGAGTTACAAACATTCCTAGGAAAAGAAAGAGAAATGATTAAAGAAACAAAGAGAGAAAGAAAGAAGTTGTAGATTTCCAAAGTAGTATTTAGGAGATTGAATATTAAACATTAATAATTGAACATTGAAAATTGAATATTGAATGATGAAGAGATCAAATACACACCTTCAACATTCTACACCCTATTCTACTAATCTTTCCAACAATATACATTCCGAAATTCTAACTGGACTCCTTCAACAACTCCTCCAAGATCTTGTTTTCCAACTCCGTCTTGTTGGCTCCGTTGAACGACTTGATGCCCATTCTTCTCAAAACGTCAATGGCAGTGCTTCTGGGGAATCCCATGTTCTCAAACTGACATACAATCTCATCGTCAATGCCATACAACGCAGAGTCGCTAACTGGCGCTTTGTTCCCTTGTGTCTCATCTGCCGCATAAACCTTGGTCCAGTAAGCAGCTGTCTCTTCATATCCGGCCTTGTCAGTAATGTAATGTTTTGCAACCTCTGCGTCTTGAGGGTCATTGGGCTCTGGTGACTGTAGCAACGACTGTAACGACTGCAACGACGATTTCAATGTCAAGATTGGAGTCCATGCATCTTTCAAGATATCCAAGCAAATGGCTCCGGTTACCGAAGAAATGTTGGGGTGGTACACCTTGGTCAAGAATTTCATGGCCGGAGGTTTGAATGGGTACTCGTTGGGGATGTTAATATCCACCTTGAAAACACCATTCTCATATGGGGTGCCTGGAGGTCCTTTGAAGTATCCGGTCAAGTGGGTCAAGTCACTTTCGTTGACCAAAACAAGCGAAACTCCCGAGTGGGTGTCCTGACGACACTCCTCGAGTTCCTTGGCGATTCTTTTGACTCTGGACATGTTTGAATTGTGTAGTGACGTGGTTTTTGGGTGGTGATAATAATGCTCACCTCTATCTTGTCGTGTGCACTACGAGCTTCCACTATGACAAATCTATATTACAAATAATATACACACAGCCGTAGCTGTAGAGTAGACGCAGCACATCTGCACAGGCAGGAATGACGTGCTTGACAAAATTGACATAACAAGTCAATCCGAGCTTCGCTTTGGATTTGCTTTCCATCGTCATGCTTTTATGTTTCTGGACAATGCCTCAAACAAAATCTTCATTTCTGGGGTGGCCGACTTGACAAATGGCAAGGAGTGGAACTTGTATTGGCTGTTTCTCAAAATCTCGGCCAACACCAATGACAAGCCCCATGGATGTGGCCGGTTGACAAGCTGTCTCTCGAGCAACACACGAGTCATGAGCTCCTGGATCTCTGTGTGCACTTCAACAGTTTGCCAGATGCTTTCAGTGCCAAAAAGATGCAATGCAAGGCTAATAAACCATTGCGTATGGCTATTTGGATAACGCAATTGGTTAGCAATTGCTGCAACGACGTGGTATCTAAACTCTGTAGTACCTTGGTTCAAAAGATCAATAACCAATGATGCCTGGGACGACTTGACGTTGAACAGTTTGCTGTTAGCTGGCACTCGATCCTCAACTGCCGACATTCCAATATGCAAGATCAAAGCGTTGATGAGCTTCACATTGAAACTAACGACATCGAATCCAAACTCTGTCAACTCTTTGGGGTGATTGAGCTTTGTTCCACCATATATCGAGCGCATCAATGCCGGTGCTGGAATCCGCAAGAAGTTCTCCGTAGGCTTCTTCAACCCGACCTTACTCAAATCATCCATAGGTGCATAATAAACCTCCGGAGCAGTGTCCGAGTTTGGGATCGAGTCCACCAGAAGCTTGGAAGAGAATTGATCCACTACGGCAACTGATTTAGGAGTTGCAGACAAGATGATGTTTCCAAGTTGTATGTAACTAGGAGGAACCGCAGAAACTAGCTGGTAATGACATGCGACTAGAAATTCTGGTTCATCATGCGCCAATGCTGTGAAGAGACGGTTGATGGCTTTAAATATGACATTGATGACATCGTGATGAACAACTTCGTCCTTCGAGTAGATGTTCTGGAACTTTAAAAGTGCTGTCAAGAGTTTTACAGCAACACCGTATCCTTCATGATTGGACAAACCTAGAACCTTAGGCAAAAACATACGGTGTGAAATCAAAGAGATCCATGCGAATGTGAAGCCAGGGTAAACGATAGGTTGAAGGGAATACAATATCTCTCCCATAGTTATAAAGAATTGAGAGTCCAAATGCTTCGTTGAATCTCCATCGAACACGGAAGCATCACACCAACCGCAGAAAATGGAGGAGAAGAGTTTGAAGTATGCTCTTTCATTCCAAGTGGTTTTTGATACCTCGTGCTCGTTGGTCATCACAAGAAGTACAATACTCATGATGTTCTTAAGATACTCGATAGCATCATCAATATGACTCTTGCTAAAGCGCAAGATGATTTTGACAATAAGGAGGGCAAGACAGTCAACCGTGAGATAAGTTTCCCTCTGAGTGCGACTTCTGATCTCATGTTCGGTAGCGAAGGCTGCAGTGGAGATTTCAAGGGCGGCCTTAAAGAAAAGCTCGAACTTCTCTGGTTCAGTGAGGATACCGTTCTTGAATAGACCCTCTATGAACGCATTTTGTAACCCTGCGATATCTTCTCCATGTCCCAAAAGCTTGACCCATTCGGTGAACACGTATCCCATTTGAATATAAGCCCCAGGAGACCCGGTTTCACTAATTACGGCAGGGTGCTTTGATTCAAGAAGTAAAGTGAATAACTCATCACGAGCAAGAGAACTTGCACGGTGTTCCTCGGAGTCTCCTGGAACGTACGCATGTAATGCCTCAATTGTACAAGCGAATTCAGATCTCAAAGCAATTGGCCTAATTGAGTCAGAACTGAAAACATTCAACAACAAACTAGATGCAAACTTCACAATGGACGGGTTACTGGATTCAGCAATAAGCTTTCCAATTGAGCTATCAAGCTTTAGTGCAGAAACCAATTGGACTTTCAATAAGGAGAAAATAACTGGCATATTGAATTTTCTTTGGTCAACAGAATGGACCATCCACCAAGTAACGTCCTTTGCTGTTGAAGGGGAATACTCACACAACTTGTCCAAGATAACAACATAAATTTCATTGCTCATTGGGTTCTCGTGAACTTGAGTGAACAAGCAGTTCACTGCATATTGTGCAACCTTCAACAACAACTCTGGGTGCTTCAAAGCGTTGTTCTGGCAAAGAGTCAAAGCTTGTGTGAGGGCTTGTAAGATCGGATGGTCAGCGCCAAGTTCACTCAAGCTTGTTTCCTTAACACCAGATAACATTTGAATAGATTTCTCGCACATCTGAGTAATTATATTGAAAAGCTGATCCATTGAGGCAAAATCGTCTTGCTGTAAAGAAGCAACTGGTTGTTGAGGAGTCAATTGACCAGCAACAAGACCATCTTGCTGAAGCTGAGGAGCAGCACGCACAGCTTGACCCTGTTGAGTCAATGGATTCTGTAATGCTTGCTGCTGACCCGCTCTCTCAGGTTGAGGTGGTAGAGTTTGCTGTTGCTGCTGGGTCTGTTGAGATTGTTGCTGCTGGGCTTGATCAGCACGAATAATGAAGGCATTGGTTCCGAAGTCAGTATATATGCTGTACTGAGAATCCCTAAGGCCATCTGGTTGTAATCCGAGCGGAGGTGGCAACTGCAAAGAATACTCAGAAGTGCCGTTCTCCACAAATGGCTTTCCAGCCGGATTGCGCTCACGAGCAAGGATTTGAGGGTGCATACGTTCATCAATCAATTCACTGATATTGCTTGCTGCCAATTTCTCAATAATTTCAACACATAGATCCACGTTTGATTGAATTGCAAGATTCAATTCAGCCAATGGCATCTCATTGAGATTGACTTGATTGCCCAACAATTGGAGCATGGTAGCTTCAATTGTTTCAGTCAATATCTTTCTACCACTGCAGACGACCATAGCATGAGCTAGCTGCTGAGCCATGATCTGGTAGCTGTTTCTAAACTTAGTCACATCAGCTTCCGTAGCAAAATCCTTCTTCACCAATGCCTCAGTAGTTGTCAAAACAGCCTCGGAGACACGACTCAAGATTGGGACCGCACATTCTCTAACAGCACGAGCTAGGGAGGCTTGGAAAGCACGTCTCAAATTTGGGTTCTGGGTAAAAACAGTATTTCCCGACAAGTTTCTGAACGAAGCATCCAATTGGTTGCTGCCAGGTGGAACGGCTCTATCCTCCATTTGTCTACCCTGTTGCTTGAGCAGGTGCTGCTGAGATTGTTGTTGCAAAACCTGCTGCTGTTGTTGCTGCTGTTGCATCAAAGCGGCTTGTTGTTGCAAGTGTTGTTGCATTTGTAAGTTGTGATCAGGATTCTCAAATGGCATCTTCGTCATATCACCCTGGAGCATATTAGGCTCCGACCTGATACCAAACATGGCAGCCAATGCCTCTGGTTTTGGATTATGAGAACGTACAAGGGTAGAAGCCTCCACATCCTTGACTGTCATGTCAAAGGAATTCAACAAAACTTCAATCTCAAACTTCAAGTTCAACTTCAAGTCCGCACACTCATAGAGCTCAACTAAGACCTTGATGATACCAAGAACCCATGGATTTGGGGGTCTGAACACCTTCGAATGGCTTGCCTGATCCAAGATCTTACATACGAATGGAATAATTAAATGCAAAGTCTTGAAATCAAAAGCTTCCACCAACATGTACTTCAAAGCAACCTGATCTCTCTTTAAAGGTCTATCGTTCGCCAAAGTAATTCTTCCTAACCAGGCACCAAGGTTTTTCAAATTTGAACGTTCCATGGACGTGTCCTTGAAAACCTTTAGGAGATGATCCACCTCAAGAAGAGTAGTATTTAAGACGTACTCGTAGAAAATTGCATTGTTCAATGCAAATACCAAACTTGAATACAATGCATGATTGTTGGGCTCCGACTTGGCTCTCTCGGTGACTAGATAATTAGCAAACCAAGCGAAATACCTTTCCTCAAGTGAATCACTGACTTCCGCAAGCTTTCCTCTCATGTTGTCAGCAGTCATATTGTTCACAAAGAATAAGAGTTTGTCTGAAACAACTTCACTGGGATCTTCTTGAGATACGAAGCCAATTGTCTTTCTGACAGCTGATATCGAATTGTAAACAACAGCGTTCTCATCCTTGGCTGGGATGGCGTTCTCGGTAGCTGAAGATTGAGCAGGTGCTGCATCAGGGCATGCAATACCATTGGACGCATCCTTCACAATCTGGTACATTCTCGCATGAGCAGACAAAGATTGGCACTTCAAAAGATGTTTGCAATAAATTGGATACTCATGCAATCTAGATTTGAAGTTGTATAAAGACTGAACAGCAAACTTGAACAAGTGAGAATCCTGCGGTTGGTTGCATGATTCCCAAATGAAATTGAGAGCGACAGTAAGAGTGGTACCCTGGATCAAATCTCTCTGTAAGAGAGCACCAAACAACAAAGAAGTAGAGGCCAATGCGGTCAATGGGTACTCTGAAAAGAATCTGTACTCATCGATCAACAGGTGTATCATACATGAAAACACGTCCTGATCGTGTGGTACATCACTCACCTTCATCCGAACAAGCATGTCAACAATTTCCTTAATTTCCATTTCTTTGTTGTACATCTTCGAATAGTAAGCCTTCATTTCCTGTTCAACCTGGGTTGGGAAAACGTTGGCATACTTTTCCTCATTAGCCAAGATTGCAGCGTCATGTCCAGTACCAAAGTTGATAAGACGTGGGTAAGTAGTTAATAGCGACAACTGCAAGTTTTTCAACCGGTCAGAATCAACTAAACCTTGGGATCCCTTGAGAACCTCCAACAAATAGTGCACAACCGAGACCTTTAATGCTTTGTTGTTTGGACGAAGCTCGATAGTTCCTTGCTGTTGTTGCTGTTGGAGCTGTTGGCCTAGCTCAAAATCTTGAGCCGTCTTTGTTTCCAAAATCTCGAGAAGAGAAGAATAGACGGTTTGCTTCATCTTAGTGACCTTAAGATCGTTCTCAATTACCGACTTGCAATCATATCCGAAACTCGTGGCCTCAATAACAAATGTCAAATACAAGTTGTACGTCATGGAGTTGGCCTTCTTGAGCAAGTCATCGAGTAAACCAAAAGACGCCGAGGCCAAGATTACTTTGTGCAAGGCCTCTGAAGTCATTCTATTGGTATAATACTCAATAAGCTTGGCGATTGCTAACTGGATATCCAATTCTTTGAAACGCTCAAGTACCTTTTCCAATTGGGCCAAATTGGAGTCGACAAGTGGCCTGTCCATCATAAAAGCGAAGATTCTGTCAATGCGATCGAGAATAAATCCGTTCTTATCAGGGATTGACAATGCACCAGCAATGACATGGTGGGGCTCCGCTCTGCAATGCAAATCAAAAAATTGTGTGAGCCAAGAATTGAGTTTTTTGTCGCCCTCAGATTGCATCTTGTTCTGATGAGGACTTTGTGAGTTGATCTTAGCCATGACCTGAACTTCGAGTTTTGCGATGTTGATAAATCTCAAAAGCTCCGGTTCAACACTGACCTCATCTTCGTAACAGAGAGTAAGGGTCTTCAGGTTCAAAATATCAAATGCGCCTTGTTGGGTGTGCATCGATTGTAGCATATACAAGAGGGTTTTGTCAAACCACCACTCGTAACTCAAGAAGATGTCAATAAGACCTTTTTTGAAATCAAGAGATGACAAAAGTTGCGTGATACTTGCAACTGAAGGCTGGCTGTTGCGCTTCGATGCATCGAACAAATACTCTTGAACCTTCGCGAACACATTAAACCAATTTAAGACATTGTTGGAATCAACAGACTTCAAGCACGTTTGCAATTGCGCGCCTTTGGCATTTGCTTCCGGTAAATTATTGACAAAGGTTAATGCAGTGACCCCACCATTGGTGGTGGAGAGACCCTGGGAGCCAGGAATGAGGACTTCAGCTAAAATCAAGGCAACACTGGAGTCCGCATCATCTTGTCTAATCTGAAGTACTTGGGTAAGGAGCTTCTCGGGTAATAAGTTTTCTGGGCCCACCTCAATCAATAAATCTTTGAAAGACATGTTCAACACCTCAAGGAAAAACTGCTCTACTGGGGGGATTTTCAGATCAAAAGCGTTGAACTGACCAATCACTAAAAGCTTGTGTAAAAATGGGAATGAAGGAGACTGAAGGATACTTCCAAGAAGGATGTATTGCCACGAACTGTCTTCAGGAGTTGTTTGAGATAACGCAATTTCTGGGATCTTTCCCGCTGAAGTGAAGTAATCAAGGACTGAATCGTCTTCTGGGTCTCCAAATTTGCTAACTAGGACAAATTTAAGTAGCGGTCCAACGTCGTGAAAAAACGTAAAGATTAAAATACCAAAATCAGGTATCTTTTTGAACACAGGCTCGAATTCCTCAAGGAAAAAGTTTAGGTGAAGTGGATGCTTCTCGAGATACTTTAATTCAAGTTCGAGAAATAAGTTTCTAGGCTGTAAACTTGGGGGCAAGCTAAGGAGGCAGGAGCTAAGAAACTTTCTGTAGTAGATCTGGTATAGGATATGGAACCTAGCACCTTCAGTATCAAGAATGTAGCGACACTGAGAGAAGTGGGACTGATAGTTCTGGGTGTTTAAGTTTGTCAAAAGAAACGAGATTTGGTTGATGACCACAGCCACGTATTCTGAATTGTTCTTAACGTCGTTCGCTTCTGCGTCGATGATTGCGGACGGGTTGAGAGGTTTCTGGGACAAAAGCTCTTTCAAAGTAATAGCAGGCACTGATTCGAGGCCCTGGGGGCTGGCGGGAGGTTGCGAAGACACGGTTATGGGAATGTTCACTTAGTATTCCGCCAGTTTTTGGTGTGAAAAATGGGGGTCAATTGGGACGATGGAGCTTGCGAGCAGTGATTTCCATGCAAGTCTCAGGTTGACAAATGTAGGATACAGATCTAATCAGTAGTCTGGAGCCTGGAAGTGAAATATATTCAGCGTCTTGGGTGAGTTAGTATGGGGGCAAAAAGACTGGGACGAAAAGTTGGAATTTTAGGCGTTTTGCGCCGCGATTTTCGGGAATGGGGGTGTTTGCAGTTAGAAAAACACGCTGGCGATACCATACATACGAGTTTCGACACGTTGGCGATAGTTCTATGGTGGATCAAATTAGTAGTTCTAAAATTTTTGGGAGTGAGCGAACGAGTAACTGGGGTTACCCGGTTGTTGGTGTACGGGTGTAACTACCAGTTTGGCTGCTAAAGTAGCAACAGGTGTACAGGTAGTTAAATGTCTGGGAATTTATATTTGTAATAATAATTTTACTTGTTTGTCATGCTTTGAGTATTTAAATAGTAGGGGCTTTTATTATCAAGATTAAGTTTTCAAATGTTGTATATTCAATGTCGCTACCTAGGAACAAATGGGCAACAATCAAGCATAATCAATGAACAATAAAGACCGAAAGGCCATAAAATTTGTCTTTGCAAAAAGGAATTTGAAAAAATCCAAAAATCTTCCTAGATAACTAGAAGCGAAAGTAAAAGCATGAGAATCAGGCTAGCAGCTTTAGAAGCAGAGTTGAACAACGTGGACGCACTTACAACATCAATTGTCAGAGAATCAAATGTCGACAGCGAGGTTAAGATCTCAGCTTTGGGCGCAGCAATTGTCCACAGTGACGTATAAATCTCCACCTTTCCATCGATAATAGTCGTGTCTACGACTTCTACTATCAGTGTTACCTGGGGCGAACAGACGTTGTTAGTGCAAGTCGTTGCAGTCACCACGACTGTCTTTGTCTCCCCAATTGTCACAGGTAACTGTTCGCAGCCACCATCCGAACACCTGGTAATAGTCACCGTACCCTTGGGCACGTTGCATCCACTAGTACAAGACTTGGTGAGAGGAGTGTTTGGCGTTGGGGTGTTTGGCGTTGGAGTGTTTGGTGTTGGGGTGTTTGGCGTTGGAGTCTTTGGTGTTGGAGTGTTTGGCGTTGGAGTCTTTGGTGTTGGAGTGTTTGATGTTGGGGTGTTTGGAGTTGGAGTCTTTGGTGTTGGAGTGTTTGGTGTTGGAGACTCCGGACTTGGAGATACTGGACTTGGCGACACCGAATCTGGAGGCGTTGAAGAGCTGATTTGATCAATACTGGATGAAGTTTCCGTGCTGGAGCTCTCAGTAGATATATCAGATGTAGTCGACGAAGATGTCGAAGCCGACGAAGAAGGAGGATTTTCATTCTCGTCAATTAACCCCAACCCTTGTCTATAACTAATAATATCGGTGAGATAATAATCCCAGTTCCAAGAATACTTGTCGCCTTGAAGTGGCTTTTGAGCCCGCATAAGAATTCTATACTGACCCGGCCCAATCTCTCTCCCAGAAGTTAACCCACTGACCTCGAATTTGAACTTTCCAAAAATTGTTTCGTAATATGGAAATGAAAAGTCCTCTGTTATCTCTTCGCCTTCTGGAGAACTGGTTAATTTCCCTTTCAAGGGACCAATAAGCCCATGGACTGGACCCCACTTGCCTTTCTTATATTGTGCCCAATGAAAGTCTGTCTGAACAAGATCAAAGCTGTGATACTCTGATCCGTAGTCCAAAGTATAGGTGAAAGTAGGCCATTTGTTTTTAGCAATAGAAAATGTCGACGGTGACATCGTTGGCTTCTCATGAAAGGGAAGCCATGATACCACGCTTGTCTCGATTCCCATATACGGAACAGTGATTGATTCTCCAAGATCATCTTTGATTTTAAAGTATCCTTGCCATGTCAATGCCCTATCTTTAGCAGTATTGGCTGAGCTGTGAGCCAATATCTGTACTTACCAACTTGGCCTGGTTTAAGGGTAATCTTTCTATTGTGACTGACTGTCACCGCTGCTGTTTGATCACTTGCTGGAGGATAGAATATAGCAGGGCCCCGAGACGTAGATTTGGCTAACACTGACCTTGCATTGCCAAAGTAGACTCTGTAAGTTCTAGTCTTCGTTCCCGTATTCTTCCATTGGAGAATCCCGTCGCTCTTCCGATGACCTGGAGAAGTGTCGCCCCATGAAAGAAGAGGATCGGAAATGAGCTCATGATTGGCGTATAAGAACTTCCACGCATCGACCATTCCCGCACCCTGATGTACAACCGGTTCTCGCCATTTCGTGTTAACTTTCCCGTCTTTGAAATGTGGCATTAAGTTGGCAGTAGAAAGAAGTCTCTTCCTCACCTGGTCCGGAGTAGCATTAGGGTTCTGACTCAAGTATAAAGCAATTACACCTGCCAAATAAGGTGCGGAGAATGAAGTACCACTGGATACTTTGTATCGATTATTGAATCCAGCACCAAGAACGTTACCTCCAGGACCCAGGATTGACGGATAAAAATCAGCAGAGTAAGTTGGTCCCCAAGTGGAAAAATCTGACATCTTGCCAGCCCACGAATCCTTCCTGCTTGACATCACAGGCTTAGCTGTATCAATGTTGACTTTCACCTGGAAAGTTCCCGAGGTGCCTCCTTTACTCACTAACCAATCTCTGACACTTGTCTTGGTTTCACCGTATCTTGAGGATTCTGAGTAAGAGGGAATGCTAGAAAAAGAAACAAATCCAACAACATTTGGATACAAAGAATAGAGTTTTGCACTATCGCATGTTCTGGCGTATCCAAGAAGAAATACTTTACCTGGACTGCCACCTGGATATTTGCATAAGTCATCAACGTATTCAGCATTGAAAGTTCCTATTGCATTAAACGCAGTGAGCCTAACGTACTCCACAGATAACTCGTCTACACCAGAGATGATTGTCATTGGCCACATTATCACGCTGGACGCCTCAACAGCACCAACGGAGATCACAGAACTTTGAGATCCGAATCTCTGAGATTGAAATAATCCTAGATGGCCATTATTTCCAGAGGACACAACCACAGGAATCTGTCGAGCTATTTCTGCAAGTTTCAATCCGTAGTAACTGTTCTTGTAGGAGGACATTGGAGATCCAAGTGAAATCGAAAGCACATCTACGCCATCTTTCTTTGCTTGAGTTGCTGCTCTCAAAATGCTTGCATGTGGATGTGTTCCATCGGGTACGTCAGCAGTTCGGTACATCCTGATGGTTGCGTCGGGAGCCACTCCCACCATTGATTTGGAATTGGCACCAATAATTGAAGCAACAAACGTTCCATGACCGTCTGCGTCAGTAATGTCCTTTGTTGGATTATTGGGGTGCACAAAGTTCCATCCGTCGATGGTTTTTCCAGCAAAAACTTCGTGTGTAGCGTCGATTCCAGAGTCGATGATACCAATAACCACCCCATTACCTCGGATACCATTTTCATGCAACGCCTTCACACCAGTTACAACATGGGGGTCCCAACTGGGTTCCAGAAGTGGTACCAACGAAAAGTAGCTACTGATAAACTCATTTCTCAGCACACCAACTGTTCCATCGGCTGCTTCGATCAAGTTCAGAACAGTCAAGTTAGTGCTGTTATTTTCATTTTCGTTCAGTACCAGTAATGTTACAAAGTCGAATTCTTCGCTCGCAGTGTCGATGTCGTCAATATTATACTGGAATCCTTCCACCTCCAAGTTCTCCCACAAGTCAGACTGTGACTGTTGGTCCTTTTCGAACTGAATGATGTATACACCCTGCTCAAAGTCATTGACCGTTTGATCTGGAGCATCTGCCAAACCCACTATTTCCTCAACATCAACATCGTATTCCACTTCTTCCGTGTACACCTGTTCCATATCGACTAGAGGTCCATCCACGTCTGTTTCCAGAGCTGTTTCCAGCTCTGTCTCCAGTTCTGTCTCCAGTTCCGTCCACAGACTGCTCAGCAGCTCAATGAAGTCCAGACTACTGATCAGCAGAATTGAGTCCAGTTCCGTCCACAGACTGCTCAGCAGCTCAAAGAAGTCCAGACTACTGCTCAGCAGCTCAATAAAGTCCAGGCTACTGCTCAGCAGAATTGAGCCCAGCTCAGTCAGACTAGAACTCACCAACTCGATCGAGTCCAGACTACTTAGTAGTGAGGAAGTGTCCACTTCTGTAGAAGACAACAGTGATATCTCCAGTGAGGAAATCTCCAGCGAGATTTCCAGCCCCACAAATACTGAAGTACCAAGTGACAATAGTGCAACTATTCCTATCAATTTCATTATTGTCGTTAGACAGAGGTGGGAGTGGCCCTTTTATATTGCAAGTCTCGAGTTCTCAGATTCTGGCCGAAGTCCACCTTTTGCATGCTGATGCTCAAGCTGCGGCATTCACATTCAAGTAAGAATTTCACTAATATTCCTTGGCCGATAAATGACTGCTTTTCATATTCAGTATGTTTGGATTTGGCTGCGAATTGGCAGTATGGGTGATGCATGCCAAACTAACTCCTAAGTAGTACCAAATTCTTATGGCCATGAGAAAATTCAAAACCTACTTCAAGTCTACAGTATTTCTTCAAGAAAAAATAATCTTTCTAACGAATACTGTGGCATTCTGGCGAAAGCGACCTTACCTTTCCGCTGATCAATTATTGTTGCCCTACGTTTAATGATCTTCGCATTTTCGGGCAATGTAGCAGGAAACGGCGTCAGCCGCCTTTAAGCCTTTGACACGATCTGACATGACCTAAATCTTGAACAATCATACTAATAAAAAAATATTGATAGATCATTAACGAACCTTGCTGTGAAATCCATTTGATATCGTACTTTATAATCAAGTCTTCGCTACTATGACCTCTAAATCTCCATCCGATCTATAGGATGAGAGTTGGCCGTAAAGGATAGGAATTGCGAAGCTTCATGCATGTTCTGGTATTATTTTGTAATAACATATATTCTTTTAATAGCACGAGGTGGAAATAGCTGAACCGGACTGGCTGATGCACTGGTTTGAACATAACGTCTCAGTAACTTTGACGAATTGTTAGATTCGAACTCTGTGAGTGTGGTGGAGGGATTTCGAGAATACTAGTGGTAGAGTTGGTAAAATTTCGGAATCATTCGGTTAATACGAACTTCTGACGAAGATCCAAAGGAATGTGCTGGATACATTGTATTTGTAAGATATTGCAGAAGAGGATTTTCTCCTATTTTTTAATCGCCACCCCTAACTTCATATCTAATTGTTCTTCGTCACTAAAAATGAAAAATGTAGTACGGAAAATATACTAGATAAGTTATAGAGGATGCAAAATCACAAGGGTAGAAATTGGTGGGTGAGTTTCTACATTTCCTCCAACAATAGTGGCGTCCACGTATTCAATACCAGAGCAGCCTTAACCCAACAATTTTGTTCGTAAAAGTAGTCACTGACATCATAACAGTCTTGGTTTCGCCTCTTGTCACATGAACTTGCTCTCAGCCACCGTAAGAGCACTGAGGTGGTGATGCTGACTTTTCTTTCGTCACATCCAGTAACAAGTGTCAGTAGTTATTTCACTTGTCTTCACCGTTGGAGTCAGTGTTTGAGTTAGAGCCACTCCTGGTGGAATGCTAGAGGGCCCGCATTGCTTACAACAAACAATACAGAGTTGGAGACGAATTGTTCAGGGAGAATTCCAAAGCAATCATTGGTCATTTCTACCAGACCTAGTGTCTAATGGTCAGCATTGAGACTGTCACCATTGTTGTGAATCTTCAACAAGAAATAATCAAGTTTTGACCCTCAGTGGAAATTGCGTGGTCAAATTCGTATCAATTGGACTCCAGCATGCTCCACATGTCCGTTCCTTTTTCGTAACCTTTGTTAATTGCAACATAATAGCTTCCTGGAACCACTTAAGCATGCCAAGATCGTCTAGAGGTGCCCACCGCTATTTCATCTTCAACCGCATATTCTGCTTCTTCTCCATTTTAAAGCTCTTCTGTTTCCAGTTGAAGAGCTACTAACGTAGTAAGCCAGAGGATGGCCAACAAATTTAAAAATCACTTTGTTGCTTCTACAAAATACGAACTTCGGCTCTTCATATCTACGGATTCCTGAGCATTTGGCGGAGTAACGAACACTGCCGTGAAGGGTGATTCCTCAAATATCAGACAAGTTCCATGAATAGGCGGTGGGCGGCTAAGAATAGAATTGTTGCTGGGTTTTGCCCGATTTAACCGCATGATGAACATTGTGGCCGAATGTGGCTGAATGTTGGCCGAATTCTATGGTTTATTCAATGGCTGCGAAAATCGGTATTGGTGTACAATATATGCGATATCATAGTTTGGAATTCATTTAATAGATCCACTAACATGAAAGTTGGCAACTTGATTATTGATGTATTCTTGAGTTCCAAACGAGGCGGATGGTCATGGTATGGTGCCAAATCCAGAGGTCGGGCAAACCAAGGAATGACACTATGCAAACTACTTAGTCATAAGTCGTTGCTAAATTGTTATACTAAAGTTACTTTCACGAAAACAAATGGCTTGGTTTAATATTGATCCTCTGGTGTTTCGGCCGTCTGTTATCAACTGCAATAATAAATCTTCATAATTGTAAATTCAAATTCCCGGAACCTTAGCCGCCAATCTCACGATTAACTTCATGATAATCATCTACGAAATTTACCATAACTCGTGTATTCACATAATCCCAAAAGGCCAAATATCCGTGGCCGATCTCACCAATTTCACCAATTTCACCTGGACAGAAATCTCGACGATCACTCGCCCAAAAGTACATGGGCCTATGTGCCCAAATCAATATCAAGTGCTTCTCTGATTTCCTCCTTCAAAACCTCGTCTTGTAATTGTCCATATGCCTTTTTAAGGTAGAACTTCAACATTTGATTTTCCAGAATCAAATCGTCCTCTGCGCTTCTGGACAGAAGTGACCGTGCATCCATATCGCTGAGACTTTCGTGTGACAATTTCCAGCCAGGAACCTTCAAACTGTCGTTATGAGACCGTTCAGAGTATGTACTGCCCACATCTGAGTAGATGGAGTCATGGTCAGTTCTGGTGGAGAAAACGGACGATGTCAGCCGGTTTCCACGAGTCTTGGTGAGAGAATCGTTTGAGCTCAAGGAAGATGCCGAGTTTGGTCCACTAGAGAGCGGCGAAGAGGTCAGTGATGGAATAGATAAGTTCTTGAGCATATCAAGAACAGACGAAGTTGTACGCCTGTGACTCTTCTTGACTGGCGAAAGCTGTTGCGGTGGAGCAGCACAGTTGACATTCAGAAACAACAGCTCGTCCCAGGACAAGAGCAAATCGCCAAAGAAAGATGTCAAGTTGTTCACTGCATTTCCCCATTTAGACTCGTTCAAAAGATGCTGGTATACGACTTCCTCGTCACCTTCGCCAAAGGACATAAGAATGGGTCTGTTCTTGAGAAGAAGGCCAATGGAGATCTTGAAAATACCAACCTTCCAGCCCTCCATCATGCAGAAGTCCACGATGCGGTTGTTGACGGCCAATCCTGGAGTGTGGATCAACAGAATGGAAAGCCACCATTGGTACAAGAACACCTTGCAATCACAGAAAGACGTGAGGTGGCTCGCAAGCTGTGGGTCGACTCTGCAGAGTATGTTGACGAACTCTTCAAACCACTTGTCGAGGGTTGAAGACATGGTAGCAGGAACGAAGATACCACGCAATTCAGGCTCACATTCCATTATCTTGCACAATGCATGGAACGTCAACTCCAGCTGTCTAAACTGGAAATATAGTGTTCCAACTAAAAAAAGGAGACCCTGACAGTAGCCAAGCTCCAAGTCGTAGTTGGCATAGACGTTCAAAACGGTGAGAAGATCGTCAATAGTCTCCTTCTTTTGGAAAAACTCCACAGCAGGGAATGTTCTGGACAAATCCTTGTTGATCTGTTTGGAAATATCTCTATTGTATGAGTGCTGGAAGTTCTTGAAGATTTGCTTAGACACACCAGGGATTCCACTATGGTTTGCCTGGTTTATCAAAATCAACTTCTCCCACACAAGAGGCACGAGCTGGAATGGCACGCCAGTCTGCAAGAAAGCCATCATTGTGTAATTTGGAAGCGTCACAATGGTTTTGTATGGGTTTTCAAAAAACGATATCCAGTAGAACTTCTCCAATTCCGACAGAAAGCCGGCTTTCTGGGAGGCGATGAACTTCTCACAGCATTTCTTAGTAGAGCCTCCAAAAAGTGTTCCACAGCTACTGCACGTGTTGATTGTATCTGAGTCATAGTCATAACTGGCGAATTTGTCAAGGAGGACCGACTCGGAGATCGAATCCGTGGCTCCATCTGAAAATCTGTTCAAATCAACTCTCAAGTCTAAACTGGTAAGCATGAGGTCATTTGAGGGGGCTACAAGGGAAAGCGACTCCTCAAACTCCATAAGAGACTCGTGAAACATAGGTGGTAATGATACTGATGGCTGGAAGTGATGTTAGATAGTCTGAAAAGATTCTAGTGAACCTGAAACAGTGAAGGTTAATCTGAAACGATAGTGATAACCTGAAGCAAACAGAAGATATAAATCTAGACAGTAGTAGAGGAAGACGCAACTGAGTCTGAGACAACGAATGATCCCGTAGTACCAAAGGTGGATGTAGAAGGAAAGACAAGGGTAGGAGGCACCTAAAGATATACAGATGGGGAAAGAAACACTTCAAGATCGCCAGACTGGTCCCGTATAAGGAAAAAGCTTGCACATGCCTTAATGCGGAAGTTTGTGTATACTGCAGCCGCATGCAGTCGCGTCGCCAGTGACAGGTACGGTGCGTTGTCAAGACAATAGAAGGAGTTAGTTAAAATAAAGGAGGCACAGTTTTTTTCTGGACCAAATGATGATTCAATGGTTGGAATTGCGGAAATTATATCAGATCTTGAATTATAATTAGATAACTGATGGTTGAGCCAAGAATAATGTCAGGGGTAAAATTCATGGTGGAAACAGGTTCTCCAAATAGTGTTGCATATGAGTGTTTCAGTGCGTTTTGCTTGCAAACAAATCGTGGATTCTGCAGGATACAAGGATATCTTAATTTGCTAGGTGCGTCGTAGGGTCCAAGACAAAGATAGTTCAGTCATACCGAGGGAAGTGCCAAAGGAAAAAAATATCTATTTTGTGAAGATCGATTCTGATTGGGCGAACTCAGGTCTGGCCTATACTTTTTAGTCTTAAAACTTATATTTCTACCCATAAACATTTGTCGACCACTGTCTGTAATTGTACTGATTATAGAATATAGGTTGTATAGCCACCAACTTTGGGCTGAAATTATCTCCTCGGAGATACTGTGTTGCTGACGTCAATTCACTTGTATTTTCTTCTGGAGAGAATCTCAGCTAACTCATCGTACTTATCCTTCCCAAGGGAGACATTGGGAAGTCTCAATGGTCCAACCGGTTGGCCAATAATCTCAAAGCCAGCCTTGATTCCCGCAGGATACGACCCTCCTTCCAAAATGTTGCACAATTCCCATAAATATTTCCATTGTTCGCGAGCTTTGTCGAGGTTTTTCTCTTGGGTAAGTGTATTGTAGAATTCCACACATTCACGAGGAACAATAGATGCTACTCCCCAAACACCGGCCTGAGCTCCGTGGGAGAACGCGAAGAATGTCAAAGTGTCGTACCCGTTGAAGCATTGAAGATTTGGAGATGGGTTGGTCAAGAGATCCGCTTGTTCCCCAGCATTTCCAGAGGTGTCCTTCAAGTAGTCAAAGCCTTTGATCTCTCCAAGCTTACGCAACTGGTTGGCAGAGAGATGTACTCCAGTAGCACTTGGCAAGTTGTAATACATCAATGGAATTGAGATGGATCCGCAGACATCCTCGAAGAATTTGTAGATCACGTCGAAAGGGAATGGCTCGTAGTATGGTGGAACCATCATGATGGCATCTGCACCGATCTTCTCAGCGTATTGAGCCAAATCAATGGCAGCCAAGGTAGAGTTGCAGCCGAATCCACAAACAACAGAGAGACGACCTTTTCCAGCGTCCACATAAGCTTTCATAACGCTTTTGATTTCGTCGGTGGTGAGAGCAGGAAATTCACCAGTAGTACCTGTGGTGACTATACCATGTACACCAGCATCGACGAGTCTGTCGACAATGGCTGGGATCTTGTCCAAGTCGACAGACTTGGAGTCCTTCGAGAGAGGAGTAGGAACAGCAGCAATAATACCTTTGAGTTGAGTCATGGATGGGAATTTATTGAAGAGAGGTTTGGAGGCATTTATATGGGGAAAACTGGGGAGCGTCGGAAAAAGTCCGATAGGTGAAAGTAGGCAAGAGATATGGAAGATCTCCTACAATGTCGGATGCGGTAATCCGGTTTGGCTACTTAAAGTAGCGGAATTTAGTTATGGACATTTGGAAGTTTGTTTGAAGAGCATGGGGATCTAAAGGAGAAGTTGAATTAATCGTGAGAAAGAAGTGACCATAGATTCAGTTAGGTAGAAAATACTAAAAGAGTAGTGGATAGGCGGAGACGTACAAGAAAAAATATTCAAAAGTTCGAAGGGGAATTGATTGCAAACAGACTTGACGGAATGGGTCTACTTTGTGTTAGTTTGGAAAGTGACAAGTAGGCAGCTGGTGATCTTGATATTAATGTCTTGGTGATGATAAACTATACAGGTGTGAAGACGGAATGGCATCAAGCGTTGAGGCAAGTCTAAGAAGACGGATATACAGAACTATGTAGAATCAGCAACCAAAAAAAAATGATTGCTTCATTGCTGTAGCCATCTTTGAATGTTAACCAGGTCATTTAGAAAGTCTGATCATCACCAGTAGACTTCATCATAAATGACAACATACTTAATGACGAATACAACAGAAATATACCCTCATACAGTCAGATTTTGATGGAAATGACAATTAACACTAAAGAATACCAGGTAGATAACATTCCAGTTGAGAATCGTTAATTTCGTGAAAGTAGCTTATGTAGTCTCCTATTCTGTTGGTCCGCTTCTATCTAGAGAGTAACATACACGCAACCCCACAGTGGCATATTTAATTGACCAAACTATATAAACTTTCCATACTTCCCAAGCCGCCAATCAATACTTGCCAGTCACAACTTTTTCTGGAAGCATATCTTAACAATCAACTCTTTACAATTAGCACATATAAATCTCCCCTTATTTTCCCAATCCCTTTTCTTTATCTTTCACGGCATAACGCACACCTGCCCCGCGGAATTTCCTTCCCGATTGAATCTTATCGTCGGACCGTTCATCGGGTTTTTTCCGCACAGTTATCTATATGAACCTCTCCAAACCCCAACTTCCTTCCCCAATGGCTTCCACTATCAAATTATACGGCGACGCATCCATCGAGTTGCAAACAGGACTTTTCATCAACAACGAATTCAGACCCTCACGCGACGGTTCCCTGTTTACCACGCCAAATCCTGCCACTGGTGAAGATTTGGCTACCGTGAGTGCTGCTACTGCTGAAGATGTAGATGAAGCCGTGGCTGCTGCCAGAAAGGCATTCACCACCACGTGGGGCCTGAAGTCGACGCCTTCGCAGCGTGCTGAGATTATCAACAAATGGGCAGACTTGATTGAGCAGAACAAGGAATCATTGGCAATGTTGGAAAGTTTGGATAATGGAAAACCGGTTTGGATGGCTCGTGACGTGGATATCGCCGACAGCATTGGGTGTCTTCGGTACTACGCTGGGCTTGCGGATAAGATTGAGGGACGGACAGTGGAATTGCAGGATGGTGTGAAGTTTGCATTCACCAGGCCTGAACCAATTGGGGTGTGTGGACAGATCATTCCCTGGAACTATCCGATCCAGATGTTCATGTGGAAGGTGGCCCCTGCTTTGGCTGCGGGAAATACCATAGTCATCAAGCCGGCTGAGCAGACTCCATTGAGTGCACTTCGTTTGGCAGAATTGGCTGCGGAGGCTGGTTTTCCTCCAGGAGTGTTGAATGTGGTCAACGGACTCGGCGCAATAACTGGAAACGCCATTTCTTCCCACATGGACATTGACAAGGTGGCTTTCACGGGATCCACCATCACGGGAAGAAAGATTATGGAGGCTGCCTCGAAGAGCAACTTGAAGAAAGTGACTCTCGAGTTGGGTGGAAAGTCGCCAGTGGTGATTTTTGACAGTGTGGATATTGACCAGGCTGCCAATTGGGCATGTATGGCTATTCTCTTTAACCACGGCCAAGACTGTTGTGCGGGCTCTAGACTTTTCGTTCAGGACACCATCAGCGACAAGTTCTTGGAAGTGCTCAAGAAAAAGGTGGAGGAGATCGTCATTGGTGACCCAGAGAATATAAAGACTTTCATGGGCCCATTGGTCTCCAAACAACAGCACGACAAGGTCAGACTGTACATCAAATACGGATCCGAAGATGGAGCTTCTGTTCTCTCTGGAGGAGAGGAGAAGTTGGCACACTTACCAGAAAAATTCAAGAACGGCTACTTCGTTCCACCCACCATCTTCACTGGATGCAAGAAGGGAATGAGAATCGTTGATGATGAGATCTTTGGACCTGTCCTCGCAGTGCAGACATTCTCAACCGAGGAGGAGGCAATTGAGTTAGCAAACGACACATCTTACGGGCTTGGAGCAGGAATTTTCTCCCAGAATGCCAGTCAGTGCATGCGTGCGGTCAACGCTATCAAAGCTGGAACTGTGTGGTGCAACCAGTATATGGTGTTGAGCAATGCAGTGCCATTTGGAGGTATGAAACAGTCTGGATTTGGCCGTGAGCTTGGAATTGAAGGCTTGAAAGAATACACTCAAACCAAGGCTGTCCATTGGAACTACGGAGATGAGCTTCCTTGGCCACTTGATGGAACCAATATTTAATTCGGACAATCTGAGTCGAACAATCTAAGTCGAACAATTTAGGTCGGACAATCTCCGAAGTAGCGCTGAAGTAGAATGAATAAAAAGGTTGCAATTCAAGTTCAAATTTAGGGAAAGGTTTTTTAATTGATACATGATTCTCATTCAAAGTGGGCTTATATTATTTTTCTCTTTTTTTAGTTTCCTTTAGGCTTTAGGTGACCAATTGAGTTGGGTCAAGTAAAAATTACATGTCGGACTTATCAACCCCACATCAAACTCACTATCGAAAGTGATAGGAACATGAAGGCGGCACTACGCAAAATTCCTGCTTGTCAGCGATGTCACCTGCGGAAGAAGAAGTGTGACTCCAACTTGCCGGCGTGTTCCAACTGTGCCAGTGTCAATTCTGAGTGCTTGAACTTTGATAAGATATTGGGGAGGCCAATACCGAGACATGTGCTTATAACACCGCTAGAACGCTCTGAAAGTGGCTCGAAGAACTATGCCACAGAAATTGCTCTGGATTTGGCTGCAGATCGGCCTAGTTTAGACGAGTTGGATGAAGAAAAGAGGAGTTACGGATCCCCAGCCTCAGATCAGCTGGGTCAGAGTAGCGAAAACGGCCGGAAACGGCACAAAACAGACCTTCGGCAGAGCAACAGTACTAACTACGAAACGTTTGACGACGTCAATACGTTTTCGATGAGTGTCAACACCATGTTCTCCGGCCCGGACAATACGGCCAATGTGATCGATCGGAATCTCGAAAATGAAATGAACGAATATGATTCGAGTACCACGCGAGGCGTCAGAGAAGAATTCATAGCCAATGAGGTGAAGGCAGTGGTAAAGCTTGAAAATGACGTTCTCAGTGCTTATCACAAGAATATCGTTCGGGACCAGGCCACAGACATCTCAGCATATGAGAAACCTTTAATGATGAGGATTTGCAAGAGATACTTCACGTGGATGAACAGCTCTTACCCCGTGATGCATGAGATCTTGACTTATGATCTTCTTGAAAGATGTTGGGGAGGTGAAGCATCCACATTAGACTGGTTCCAAATGAAAATGTTGATCGCTATCGCGCTAGGATCCATCAACAGACCCTACATCTCCCATTCTGAGATTGGCCAGGTTTCCAAGATGTTCTGGAAGTCTGCTATGACACTCTTTGGCCGTGCCAACACTGGGCTTGCTTCGCTAGAAAATTTGCAGAATGTACTCTTGCTATTACAGTACACTTTGCTAGTGCCAGAAACAGGAAGCTTATGGCAGCTTTCCGGAACAGCCATGCGCTTTGCTACCGGTATGAGTCTCTACCTTGAGCCCACTCCATCACAGAAGTTTGATCCTTTAACGTTGGATTTACGGCGAAGAATGTTCTGGACCTGCTATTGCATTGACAGAACCCTAAGTACTGTGATGGGTCGCCCTGCTACCGTTCCAGATTCGTGGATCACGGCAAAGCTTCCATCCATTTATGAAGACAAACTTATCACCACCAAATCAATCACGCCAGGCCCTGCGTGCAATCTCAAGGTGGCCATGGTGGTCCACGTTGGAATTTGTCGACTCCAGTCAGAGATACATTCCCGGCTCTATGGCCCAGTGGTGAGTCCTGATGAAATCGATGTAGAGGCGCAGACTACATGGACTTGGCAGATGTATGATCAGTTGAGGTTTTGGCGAAACTCACTAGTTCTTCCTACGCCATTAATCATGAAAGAATGGACTGACTTCCAATTCCATCTACTGGTGGTTTTGCTCTTGCGGCCGCTGCCTAACAGGCCCAATCCAAGTGACGAGGAGTTGCATGTGGCATTCCACTCTGCCGGAGAGGCTATGAAACTTGTCAAGACAATGCATCGAGACCTGCTGGCAGAGTTTTCGTGGCTCACCGTCCAGAATCTATTCATGTGCGGGTTGACTTTCATCAACTCGCTTCGAGAGTTCTCCAACAGAACGCCCCCCAAATCCCTCTGTGTTTCCTTCGTCGATATCGTTCTACAAGTCCAAGCATGTACTTCGATGCTCGAAACGCTTTCGGCATTGAAAGTTGGAGGTGACGATAAGATGCGGAATGTTTTCGAGGTGGCTTCCTCCAACACACTTCACGATGTAGTGAAGAACTTTTCCAGTCTGAGAAATGCTGGACTGTGTCACTGGGAATTGCTCGCGAGGTCAAACAATCTTCTGTTGCAGCGACCAGTGGAAATTGACAAGATCAGCGTTCCAATCCAGAATCAGTCACTTCTCGAACCGTTTGGAGGTGACGATCCTCGCTATTACGACTATGATGAGAATCATTTCTATCTTCATGATACTGATGCGCAGGTGTCTGGCCAGGATGCCAGTCCCCACTTGTTAGTTCCGGATGGGGAAGAGTCGTACTTCAAGGTGTCTATCTCGCAGAGGAATTCCAGCGATACGGAAGTCACTAACACAATCTTTGGAATGGATGGATTGGCTGCCATTTCGACCGTTGCATCCGAAGCTGAGCCATTGGTGTCTGCTTTAGCAGACTATGCTGCTGTTCTGGATCAAACCACGGAGTTGGAACGATACTTTCTTTATCCGATATGATGTGGGATTTATTTATTTAATGTAGAGTCTGAAGAAGGGTTCAACTGTTGGAAAGCACTCTAACGCTTTCTAACAAATTGCCTCGCACAAGTGATCAAGTCTATATAGAGAGACTACTTACCTATAAATGTTTAAGATATATATGTGGATTACGCAATTAAGCAATTATAATAGACTTTAGCTCATTATCTATTTTTTATATGCGTGTTTTTACTTTCTTTATTTTGCTATTGGATTTTTGAACTCCCTTCGCTCACCTCTTCTTCTTCCATTGGACCAAGTGTTTATACGACAAAAAACAATAACTAGCAATACAAACCAAAATTCGCCAAAAGTAACAAAACCAAAATTGCCTCTAACACCGAACTTTTCAATTCTTAGTCAGTTTTCACATATTCACATCATCCCCTTCCACCTACTCGTCAATCCATCGCGACCTGTACGAACCGCCATTCACCATGGTCTACTTCTTCACTGCCAAATCCAGTCTGGACATCGACGACTTCGGACTCGGAGATGACTCAGAACACACCATCTATATGGGAAAAGATAAATTCGAGAATGATCCGTTGATCCGCAAATCTCATCCCAAGAACCTCTGGTTCCATGTGGACAAGCACTCATCTGCACATCTCTACTTGAAGCTAGACTTGGAGCAACAAAACAAGAAGTTTGAGGAGTTGAAATTGGATGAAGAGCTCTTGGTGCAGATAGGCCAGTTGACTAAGGCAAATTCCATTAAGGCTAACAAGCTTAATAGCATCACCATCATCTATACTCCGGTAGACAACTTGAGAACGGATGGGCTGATGGATACGGGAACAGTAACATTTGTGAATCCACAAAAAATCAAGAGAATACACATTGCCAAAAAGGACAATGCTATTGTGAATAGGCTCAACAAGACCAAAAAGGAGATTCTGACGGAGGAATTTGTCAAGCAGCTGGAGGCGGAGTTGATTGAGTGGAAAAGAAGCAAAAAAGACCAGGAGAGAGAGTTGGAGCAGCTGACTAAGGAACAACAGAAGAAGTTTCTTGAGCAGAAGAAGTTTAATAAGGATCCATATGCTGATTTATTCACCGAGGAGAATCTTCGAGCCAGTAGTAATGAGTTTCGGAATGAGAACTGGGTGGAGGATGAATTCTGGTAGTATATGGTAGTATGTAGTCAAGTTGATAGATTGAGTAGTCTTGTAGGTGTGGATATGTGGGATTATGACAAATACTTGTAGTTCTCAACTTGAATCAGAAGGCGGTATGGTTGTTCGGATTGTTCAGTTGATCAGAGTTAGCATTCATGACAAGATGGTGTTACGGACTCGAGTGCAATTTATGCTGTAACAACAGTAACGAGTGACTACATAACTGAAGTCTGATAATTCACTTGTTATGTTATTCCTCCATTGAGCTGAATCATTCATCTTATCACCATTTCCGATATGAATGTAAGCCCATTGAGCCACCAATTCTTATCTTCTCTCCTTCATCTTCTTCCTTCCTTTCCATTCCTTTCCTTCCTTCCCTCCCCGTCTCTACTGCTACAGACTCTCTCGTCAATTGTATATTCAATGCTAGATAACGCTCGACATGCGAGGCCTACTCCTGTTCAATCTTGATAGGAAACTTACCGGCCTCTCTCTGGTCGTTCCACTTCTCGACCCAGTCAACAGGACACAAAGAAGTGAAGGTCTTCCAGAAGATCTTGCATGGCTCAAAGTCCTCACCTTTGACGGCCACACACTTGTGGTAGTCGACGTAGTTCTGAGCACAGTGCTTTGTCTGGTTGGTGTATGGGAATCTTGGGTCGAACTGAGGAGTGTCGAACTTGAAGTTTTCTGCGTCGATGGCCATGGTTGATGGAGTATGGGTTTTTTTTTCTATAGCTGGGTCTTACGATTTTGTCTTGCGAAATGGGTACACACCATTGGTTGGTGCTGGTCTGTGTGCAGGCAGCTTGTTTGACCATTTAATATGGGAATGACATCCTGATGTGGGGGAGAACATGGTTGAGTGAAATACACGTGTTTGTGGTGAGTATTACGATAATTTATGGACGTTGTAGTTTTTGTGATGTCAACTTGTCCAATAATTGTCCCGGAATATGATCTACTTTGTTTCCATACAAATTTGGATATAAGTGGTGTACGGATGTTCATTGAGCCCAATTCCACTTAGCATCCCTATCATCCAAATTACTTACCTCTCACATAAGATTCGATTCCGAATATCTAGATTAATCCTTGTTTATATACTTTTCTGTCATGTAACTCATTGACCCTTCACCTGTATTGTCCAATCCCCGAAATCGGCCTTTGGTACCTCTTCTAACGATAGTATGATACTCATACATGGAACCTCGAATACCTTATGGCCCTTGATTTCTCTCAAAGCCGATTCAGTCTTGTCTCCGACAATCTCATCGCCGAAAAAGATCTGCACGTTCTTGATGCTATCTGAAGCCAGAAATTTGGGGTTGATGAGCGACAGTTGGACATACATCTTATTCATTTGAGAAATCCTCCCACTTTGTTGCTTCACTTGCTCCACCACGCTCACTAACTTGGCCAAGTTGATCCCTTGCGATGCCACCATGATCACTTTGTGTGATTGTAGGGCTTTGGTGCATGCATCAAGGTATTTTTTGGCTCCAGAATTGCCCACCACTATTACGGCAGTATCCACGTTTGAAGGGCACTTCAACTTGGCCGTCACCTCCAAATATTGGTGGCGACAGTCGCTGACGAAAACCTTTGACTCGTCTTCTGCCACAGACTGTAGTCTTTCTTCGCCAGTCATGTAGAGATGAGTTGGTGACCTGTATGAAGAGTAGTGAGTCTAGAAAGTGAAGGTAGGACTTGAAGGTGAACATTAAAAATCGGTATGAATTTTGTAGTGATTAATTCAATTTATTGTAATTAATTCATTGTTATGTGGAAGTAAGGACATTCTTCATAAGAAATAGATTTTTGTGCTTTGCATATTATGATTAGACCTTACATGGAGATCAATAAATAGGTTAGAGAGAGGAGAAATTGGAAATTACCGAAAGTTTCAAAACTTTTATTGATAGTAATTCATTTCGAATTCTAAAATCCAATACAACTTTAATGGTTCTTGGAAGTATTTTGATAACTCTCTTGTGAAAATTGAAGGAATGTGGCTGATCAATCGAACGATGCTACTTTCTGGAAATTCTTTTACTTCCGGGACAAATTCGTTCCGTTGTCAACAGTTTTGTCCTTTGAATCATTTGCTTCTTTCTGATTTTCTCTTTCTAATTTTTTCCCCCCTGTAGTGGGAAATTCAGACCTTCAGGATTATTGTGAACTGTAGCATTCTTTACATCCATCTCACTATTACCTCCTGTCTTATCATTCACCTTTTTCAGTTCAGGTTTTCTGCCCTTCTTCCGTTCCGCGCCCTTGTCTTCCTTACTTCTTCTCTGCGTAAGATTTCGTTCTTTAACACTTCCTCCACTATTTCGGCTGCTAATACTGTTCTTACTGTTGCGACTCTCGCGACTATTGTTGGCACTATTATGGATGGACAGCGTCGTATCCCACCGTCCGTATCGTGTGCTGGTGGATGTATCCATAAAACCGTCGTAATTGATCGACTCCAATAATTCTGCGTGCTGCTGGAGAAGAACGGCTGGTGCTGAGTGGTCATGTGAGGGTGTGGGCAGATGATAGAAACGCTTAGGTCTTTTAAGTGGTTTTCTGGGGATTCGTTGACGATAGTCTGCGCAATCTTCCAGGCGCCCACTATTGTTACTTTGGCTACCATTTTGATGGGTTTGGTGATTGTGATTTTGGCAATCATTTGGGCAATCGTCACTGCGCATTTGTGAGGGAAATGGCGTGGGCGTCCTTTGTGGAACTACATGGTTAGGAAAAATAAGGGCTTCTGCTCCGATGGTGAGGTCTTTGAGCTGTGGATCCAAGTCCATTGCATTGTCGTCTTTCATTGTGGAAGAAGAAGTTGCACAAATGCGAGTGCGATGACTCCAAGTGATAGAAAGGGCCAGAATAAAATCACGAAATTGAAATTGATAATTTTTGAAATTCGATTTTGATTTAACTTATTAGATAATTTTCAAAACAGGAAATTGAAAGTCAATTGATTTTAAAAACGAGATTCAATCATGGCATTTCGTGTTTCTATGTGAGACGTTAAATTTACCGTATCTGGCTCATGTAGGCGATGCAATCAAATTGCGAGAAATTATGAGCAGGAGAGTCACCAATCGAATCCATTGTTTCCTATACACATCTAGGTTTATTACCAACTTTGTGTAGTTTCAACCAATTAAATGACTTCAATTAGTCAAGCGTTCCAAATGCTCCCATTCACCATGCTCACCTATGATGTGAAAATCACATCCCACCCATCTCATCTCATCTCATTCCTGTCTCACAGCATGCCAATTTTTTTTTTAAACCATCGTCTCCTCTTTTCAGTCAACCCTACAGGTTTCGAACCATCTATTTTCATTTTGCCCGGTCTTCTGCCTGCATGCATGGAAGATACGTTATGTTAACGCCATGTCTGATAATCCTTGATTGCCTTGCCAAGCAAACTGTTGACACTTTTGGCATTTTGACCTGTCAAAAACAGATAAAAAGCCGCTCATAAATTCTTGATTTAATCTTCAAAGGTATTCCAAAAAGCTCCGTTAAGTGTCAGAATTACCTTTTTGTGATCTAAAAGCACTCACTAAATGCCCTAAGCCCATCCATTCGTCCCGCCAGTGTAAAAGATATCTCTTCTCGCATTCCCTTGACTCAAGCTGCACAGAAATTATATCCATGCTTATTGGCTTGCCAGCCAACATCGCCGCAAAAGCGGCATTAACAATTGCCCCACAAGCAGCCCGTCCGTAAATGTCCAAAGAAATATTTGCAAAAGCTTGGAATCTTTGTCCCGGAATTATAAGTAGTACCTAATGCCTCACCTCTATTTGGACCTTACTCCCTCCCAATACCATGGTCAACGTCTTTAACGTTCAGATATTCTTCGTGGTCTTTAGAGAATCCTTAGAAGCTGTAGTAGTGGTGTCGGTGCTTTTGGCTTTCATTAAGCAGGGCCTTGGTGGCTCGTCCATGGACCCATCTGTCAACAAAAAATTGATCAGACAGGTCTGGGTCGGTGCTCTTCTAGGCGTTGCTCTTTGTATTGTCATTGGTGGTTCGTTCATTGCAGTCTTTTACTCGTTGGGAAAAGACATTTGGGCCAAGTCTGAGGACTTGTGGGAAGGTATATTCTGTATGATAGCAGCATTGTTAATTTCACTCATGGGTATCGCCATGTTGAGAATTAACAAGATGAAGGAGAAGTGGAGAGTGAAGTTGGCACAAGCCTTGCTCAAGACACGCGAACCCGGTCAAAGTCGCTTCAAACTTGGCCATCTTTCTACAAAGTATTGTATGTTTATCTTGCCTTTCATCACCACTTTGAGGGAAGGTTTAGAAGCAGTGGTTTTCGTTGGTGGTGTTGGCTTGGACAAGCCAGCTTCATCTTTCCCTCTTCCGGTGGTTTGTGGTTTGATTGCGGGAATCCTAGTCGGCTGGGCCATGTATTACTTCGGAACGACTTCATCCTTGCAGGTATTTTTGATCATTTCCACTGGTATTTTGTACTTGATTTCCGCAGGTTTGTTCTCTAGAAGTATCTGGTTTTTCGAGATGTATGTCTATGCCAAAAGGACCGGAGGAGATGCTTCAGAAAATGGTTCTGGACCAGGAACATACGATATTTCAAAGTCGGTTTGGCACGTCAACTGTTGCAACCCACAGAGAGATAACGGATGGGACATTTTCAATGCTTTGTTGGGCTGGCAGAACTCTGCAACCTATGGCTCTGTCATCTCTTACAACGTATACTGGTTGGCACTTATCGTAACCTTGATGCTCATGATGTACGAGGAGAAGCATGGACATTTGCCATTCTGTAAGACTCTCAGATTGAGAGAATTGAACCCAATGTATCATCTCAAGGGAAAGAAGAAGCTTGAGTTGACCAACGCGGAAAAGCAAGAATTGTTCAACAAGGTCTCGGAATACCGTATCACAGCTTCCGAGGAGGAGCAGGAGGATCAAGAGAAGTCGAAAGATAATCACTCCAGCCCCGAAGTTGCCATTAGGCGTTGAGTATGATGAATTTTGTTTAGGTTGGGAGCTTTCGGTTAATGAGGACACACACACACACACATACACATAAATCACCTATTGCCGAAAGGGATCAACCCATTCAAGTTCAATCTATATGTTGCCATTGTTGGGGGGTGTCAATAAGGGGAACATTTTTTTACCATCAGTCGAGCCGTTATAAAATTATTGAAGATGTAGAAATCTTAAAGTATCAAACAAAACAAGAGAATTCGATTTCACTGTTCCTCAAAGCTCTAGCCAATGTGTTGTCGATGTCCGATTGTGAGAATCCCAAATCTGAGAATATCTTCTCAACCTGTTCGATATGCCCTAAAGTGATTTGCACAATATTGAGGCAATGATCGTCTAACTTGATCGAATCACTCCTTTCAAAAACCTCCACGAAGAAATCAAGATCGAGCTTCAAGTTGCCAAGCACTCTTGCAATGAGCTTTTCCTTCTCTGAAATGGCACGAATGCACAGAAGAAACTTCAACAAAAATTGTCCTTGCAACTCCAGGATAATCATAACGAAGGTTTCGGGATCGGCGATTGGCTTGAATACGTGAACCAACCTTACAAAGCGCATCAAAGAGTCGTAGACAAAGGAATCGATTTGCAAGGTGCGTATTTCCTTATTCTCAACCAGCCTGAAATGCTCTTCAATTCTAGCATCGATCCATGCCTTCTCGTTCTCATTGATGTCATCAAGAATGGTAAGCTTCACTTTGTCAAGGTCTGCAAAAAGTTTCAAGTTTTGCTTCAGCAAGGTCTTCTCGAAGAGCTTGTCAAATTTCTCAATAATGTGTGGGTAAATGTTCTCGCCGAGAACCGTGAAATTATTCATGGTCAAAATCTTGAATATAATTTGCTCAATATCGTGTTCATATAGGTTGTCGGCATCGATAGCACTCTTTTCAGCGGCATATTGCTTCACAATGGAGTCCACAAGAACATTCATACTTCTCATGAACTGAATCTCGAGACTGACAAGAACTCTTTTGCTAGGGAACGATGCGACGACTCTGACTTCCTCATTTTCCTTTGGAGTCTCAAAAACCAACTTCGCCAATTCTTCGAGAACAAAGATCTCGTAGAAGTGTAATATCCGCATCAGCTTAGTGAATACAGTGGCACCACGGTTCTTGGTACCCATTGAATCATATTGCTCCCAATTTTCAAGATCGTAGAATTGTGAGCAGTCATTTACCCAAGTAGCGCAAACACCTTCCAAGATCTTCTGGTCGATGATACCTGCCGCATCTCTTAAGCTCTTTATCTGTCTGTTAGTGTCCATGCTTTGTGTGGAGTTTCCAACCTTGACAGTGCACTGACCAATGAAAGTCAACAACTCTCTGATTTTCCCGGAAATGTCAGTGAGGTAGAAAATCGTAGAAAGAGAATTCGTGTGATATGGCAAGTAGGGGCAGTTGGTAGGAGTTACTCTCATCTGATCGACGGCACTCTCAGAGTCAAAGACACCCACCAAGGATGTGACTTCGCTGTTGATGAACGAGAAGAAGGCATCCCTCAACACTCCATCCGGATCAACATTATATCCATTCTGGCCGTTGGCATAGTGATTGTAGTTCTTGACAAATTTGGCTACCATGGAATGGAAGATGTCGTGGACGTATGTTATGTAGTTGGAGAAGACTAGCCAGGCCTCGTTTATAATAGAGAGATCCAAGTTTTCGCTGTTGCCGAAGATCTCGCAAATGATCTTCTCTTTGTCGGAGTCAATTTTGGGTGTCCGCATGGTCGACGAAGCACGGAAATAACTCTCTACACTCTCGAACTTATCATCGATGTAACGGATGTATGAGCCACCCTCTCGCAGATCTGCCAAAGATGAAATGTAGTCCATGAGTCTTCTCTGCATCAGAGCAAATTTGGTCTCAAACTTGGAACGCTGAGAGTACAAATCACTTCTTATGCGGTCAAGCTGTGAGCTGAGAAAGTGAAAGATTGGGTTTGTATTCTCGGAGTTGTTATTGAGTCGGTGTAACTTGTTTACAAGATCAATAAACTTGACGTCCAGCGCAACTTTTCTGTTTAGTTTGGCACTTACCTCGTGGTCCATGGCTAGAAGTTCCTTGAAGGCCTTCTTCCGATACTCAGAAGCGATGTTTTCCACCTCAGTGAAGACTTTCTCTAGGGCCGTGTTCTGGATTGCCTGATCCTGTTTTACACGGCGGATTTCGTCGCTGTCATTCGTGGCCTCTGCACGTTCCAATTCACTCTTCTGCCTTCCCTCGATAAACTCGCGTTCCTTCAAGTAGTTATTGTAATCGTCAATAAAAGAATCATGGTCATGAGCGGATAAATACTCTATGAATTTGTGGGGGAGATCGAAGAGAAACTTGTTCTTGTTGACAAACTCAATCAAACGGGTCACCTTGGCCTCTTTTGCGTTGTGATCCATGATTGGCCGGATCATTAGTGACGTGGACATGTTCAAGTTGTTGATGGATTCGTCTAACTCTGCCAACAACGACTCGCCCTCCTCGAACTTGCGTTGGTTCTTTCGTAACGCAGGATTAAACACCTTGGACCGTTCCAGGTCCTGTTGAGCCCGCGACTTCAGCGCCTTGAACGTTTCCAAAACATTATCTATGGCAGTTTTACACGATACAAACCCGTCGAAATTCTCGTTCAAAACGCTTTTCAACTGCGAAGTTTGTCCACGTATGCTACGGTCCAACCCATTGAGAGACGTAATCAACTGCTCAATTGACGTATCCTGGTGCACCACCAGCAAATACGCCTGAGAATTGAATGCTTGTGACGAAACCATGAACTTGTTGACCTGCGGGTCATTTTCCGACGAGATGGCACCTTTCCGTATGAGTGTGGCCGCTAAGTCGTCTCCATTAAGTGGATCACGGAAATCTTCCTCCGTGTGGTGGTGAGGCGTCACTGCGGCATCTGGCTTGAGGAATTTACTCAAGGTGTCGTATCTGTCAAGAAGGGTCATTTCATCGAGCAATTCAGAGTCCTGAAATCCTTTGGAGTGGCCACTATAATCTCCTGGATCCTCCAAAGAATCTACATGATAAAACTCCGCGAGAGTCTGCTCGTTGTCGTCGTAATTAAGCATGTTAATTATAAACTCAATGTCTGGGAATTAACTATGAGTATGTTGAAGGTCGTGTGGACCTCATAGCACGTTTAACAATCTTCCTCCCAGCAACTGTTGTCACAGCCTGCACCAGAGAAGACCATCAAAAAAGTTTTCGGGTAACCCCTTCTTATCACTACGGTTGCAAAATCCATTCCAGGCAACTGAAATCTGGTAATTCGCTTAGAAATATAGATTAGCTTCCTAATAATGGAAGACCAGCAGGAAATTGGTGGCGCACAGGCACTTCTCCAGCTCGGAACCAAAGACACCAAATCTGATGACAATGATCATCATGAACATCATTCTGACCACGAACAGTTGGGAAACGTTCATGACAACGGCTCCAATGACGTTTCGGACATGCTCGAGGAGAAAGAAAACCAGCAGCTCAATGATGCCGTTGAAGCTGCGGTCATGAGGTATGTCGGAGGTACATTAGATGGCGATAACCATTCACTACATAATGGTCCTGAGACAGAAAACGACAACGACGCCGTGGTGCACGATGTGAGTGTACTGGACTCAGTAAATGACGAAATTAATGGCGACTCTAGCGGGCATTTGGGCCAGAAACGCCGGTTGAACCACGACGATATCATCTCCAACATCAGTGAGTATCAATGGGATCGGTTTTTAGAAGAGGATGTGGCTGCAGACTTCGAACGGGCATCTCCAAAGCGTAAGAGACGGAAAAGTTACGGTGGTGCTAACGACATCGACCCGGAGCTTGCGGGTTTAGACTCTACTAGCGAGCATGACCAACTTGTACATGCTGCCATCATGGGCGCTGGCGAATTAGCCAACCAGCTTTCCATCCCTTCGCGACCAGTTCACAACATCAATGTCTCCCATCGTCGAGGTGCTGGTGAAAATGAGCCCAACGCCATTAACCAGTTAGCACATGCGGCAACTGCCCTTTCTAGTGGCCTCAAGAGCCAGACCAAACAGCGCAGACCGCTCAAGAAAATCTCAGAGACTTTTGATTCATCCATTCCTTCCAGACCCAAGTATGATCACTCATCATTAGAGTCACTCATTGAACAGGCAGCCACCGAGTCGTGTATGTGGTATAACACCCGTGCCGAGTCAGGAATCGGTGGTCCTCGGCCGTTCTCCCGTGAGGAGATTCACATTGTGGAGAATTTTGTCGATGGGTACTGTCGGCTCAATAACTTGACCCGTATGGATATATGTCGCAGAGTGTGGTCTAATGAGAGAACGAAAGACAATTTCTGGGAGTCGGTGACAAAGGCACTTCCCTATAGATCTAGAGCATCCGTCTACAAGCATGTGCGTAGACAATATCATGTATTTGACATTCGAGCCCGCTGGACACCAGAGGAAGACGAGCTTTTGAAGAAATTGGCTGTGACGTGCAAGACCAATTGGAAAAAGGTTGGAGAGATTATGAACCGAATGCCCGAGGATTGTCGTGACAGATGGCGTAATTACGTCAAGTGTGGCGATAATAGGGCCAGTAATAAGTGGTCGGAAGAAGAGGAAAGCACACTAAGGGAAATTGTCATGGAGATGCTCACCAATGAGTCGCATAATATGAAAGATAAGCCTATCCTGATCAATTGGACACTTGTCAGTGAGCGTATGAATGGACTTAGATCAAGAATCCAGTGTCGATACAAGTGGAACAAGCTCTTAAGACGCGAGTCACTCTCTCGAGTGGCCATGATGGATTCTGATACGAAACTCTGGCTTTTTAACAGGATCATGGAAGCAAACTTCGCAGACATAGACTCAATTGATTGGGACTACATTTTGCACTTATACCATGAAGAACACAAAGGCAAACCGAAGGTCTTATGGACGCTGTCGGACTTTAAGGTTGGTTTTGAAAAGATGAAGACCCTGGTGCGTGATAACAAAAACCTACCCTTGCATGCTCTTCTCGGTAAGCTTCTCTCATCGCTTTATGAGCAGACTAATGCAGATCCCAAGAAAAACGAAAAGCCTATTGCATATGACCTAGAGCCTAAGATGGAACGAGCTGACGAAGACGAGGTCGAAGCTGCATCGGTCGCTAACGCCGCAGTGGCTGCTGTCTCTTCTGGAGCAACTGAGCAGGAATCTCAGCATCAGGAGTACAGTCTCTGGCGATAAATCGATTGGTTCTCAGCCAATTCGTGAGTATGAAAGAAAGTTGCAACCTCTCATTTTGCGTCCTGCGTGTAGTTCTCATCTACCTCCGAACATAAACACTGATGATTTGGAAATACATGGATCTGCAATCAGAATTAACGTTGGAAAGTGGAGACTTCCCCGATGAGTTTCAGGGACTTGCGAATGACGATGTTGTAAGACGAATGCGCGAGTTGGAGCAGGAGCTCTTGGAGTTTCAGGAATCAAGCAAAGAGCTCGAACAAGCATTAGAAGAAGAGCTTCAGCAGCTCGAAACGCAAAATAGAAAATTGTCACAACAGATTGTCACCAAGGATGCTAAGATTGCAGATCTCAACGCAAAAGTTGTGGACCTCTCGGCAGAAGTTAACACCTTGACACTGCAACTAGTTGACTACAAACAATCCAACGAGCAAATAATATCGAAGTTGAAACTGCAACTTGTGGCTGTTGAGATCCTGAACGAAGACATGGTGTCCCACGATAGAGTTCTTGAGCACAAATTGAAGCTTTCCCAGCAATTCAACAATGAGCTTCTCGAAAAGCTAGCCTTGGTGGAAAATGACTTGGAGATCGAGCGTGATATAAACGCTAAACACTCGCTCACTATCTCGAACTTGGAGAATGCAAATCAGAAGAAGCGGGTTATGAAGAGAGATAGCACCTTCCAGGATCTCACGTTTGCGGATGGCACGATCCTAGATATTAATGAGATGCTAGCGTCGGAGCCTCCCACGATTTCAGAGACCCGACAACTTCCGAAACTGGGGTCGCTTCACATGATACAGGAACTCTATTCGAAGTCCGATGCATTGCTAAGTAAAGTTGGAGATTTAAACTCGACTTTGAAATCCTCCACAACCACCGAGACGCATCGTTCGTCTATCATATCGAAACAAAAAGACAGACTCCGGTCTTTGTCAAATTCGCCATCGGTGACCAATCTATCGAAACTTCAACGGAACAGCGAAGCCCAGAAGAGTGGAGAGCTCCGGGAAGGGAAGGGCCCCAAAGTGGACGAACGCAAATTGTCTAGACAGGCAACCAAGACAGGCAGATTTCGTGATATCGTCAAGTACTTTGGGAAGTGAAAAACGCAACAAAATGACATGAGAGGGAAAGTTTGTATTATGTCGCAATAAGGTTTGTCCAAGGTAGGACGGACCTCTTATAGAACAATACAATATGGGATTATGGTATTAGGTGTGTTTTTGTAGCTCTATGTACTGTAACTGTCAAGGTTTTCTATTCCCATTTTGACAGTGCTTTGTTGGATATACCGTTCCATCTGGGGAAAGTGTCCACATGAATTCCGAAACAGTCAAGAATCCTTCCCGCGCTCTGCTCCACCACGTCGTCTATCGATCTGGGCCTAGTATAAAAAGCTGGGACTGGCGGAAAAATCACCGTTCCCATCCGACTGAGATGAAGCATATTCTCCAAGTGGATGTCCGACAAAGGCGTTTCTCTGGTCACCAACAAGAGCTTTCGTCTCTCCTTCAACGTCACATCTGCTGCACGAACAATAAGATCTTCGGTGTAACCTGTTCGAATAGCTGCCAAAGTCTTCATCGAGCACGGAACCACGATCATTCCGTCTGTTTGAAAAGATCCCAGAGAGATGGGAGCACTGACGTCTCGGCTCACATAGGTCTTTGTGGCTAATTGCGCGACGTCCTCGGGCTTATAGTCTGTTTCGTATTTCATGGTGGCTGAACCCCATTTGGAGAGCACCAAATGAGTTTCTATTTCAAGGTCTCGCAACATCTGGAGCACCCGCACTCCTATTGCGATGCCTGTGGCACCTGTTATAGCCACCACGACCCTTTTCGGTCTTGGAGGAGCAATTCTTGTGATTGGGTGGGCACCTTTGTATTGTTCAAAGCCTGGGAGCCCATAGCGAACGTTTGATGATGCGGAAAAGTGACGTTTTGACACAATACAGAACGGAATTCTTTGACACATTTCCGTGTGGAAGAACCCCATACTCCACACTTCACTTTTGGCTATAGACAGCTTTGATCGTATAAACAACTGATTCATGGTGTGGTAAAAGAAGCAAGGTAAAGTAGCAATAGAAAGTCAAGGAAAATAAAGCAAGAAGAACGGCAGCTTCGGAAATATTCAGTTCTCCGCTGTCAAGTTTTTCTTATTTTAGTAATCGGCACCGGCGTTGTTCATGTATGATATGCGCGCATCTCGGCAGGTTTTACCGCGCTAGACAATAAACGGATATAAATCAGGAACGGCCCACACCGAAGACGGAGCTAAAAAAAAAGTCAAAAGATTCTCCTTGCTTTACCAAAATAAAATGTCTCTGTTGAAACCTGCTGTGCTGTTCCGTGACTTCTTGGCTGTTTTGAAGAACGATGATGACCTCGTAGAGATCACCAGTGAGATTGACCCACATCTTGAGGCTGGAGCAATTATGAGAAAGGTGTATGAGTATAAATTGCCAGTCCCATACTTTCGGAATCTCAAGAAGAAATCCGAAAACCCCGATCCCGAGAATTTGTTCGATATGGTCGGATGCATTGCAGGATTGAGAGATGGTGCCAAAGGTGATCATGCTAGAGTGGCTCACCACTTGGGACTTGACCCCAACACTCCAATGAAACAGATTATTGATTACTTGGTGGAATGTTACGATAAAACTCCTATTCCTCCTCAATTGGTTGAACGTGAAGAAGCTCCGTTCTCTAAGCATGAGCTTTCTGGGGATGCTATCGATTTGTTCTCGTTGCCTGCTCCATTCTTGCACCCAGAGGATGGAGGCTTGTACATCCAGACGTACGGAATGTTCATTTTGCAAACTCCCGACAAGTCTTGGACCAACTGGAGTATTGCAAGAGCTATGATCTACGATAAGAACCACTTGACGGGAATTGTCATGAATCCTCAACATATTCAGCAAGTCTCAGCCAAGTGGAAGGAGGCAGGTTATGGATCCAAAATCCCATATGTGTTGGCTTTCGGTGTACCTCCAGCAGCCATTTTGGCAAGTTCTATGCCTATTCCCGATGGTGTCAGTGAAGGTGATTATGTTGGTGCATTGATTGGGGAGCCACTTCAAGTGGTCAAGGCTAAGACAGTGGATTTGGAAGTTCCTAGAGATTCCGAGATGGTTTTCGAGGGATACTTGGATATCGAGGAGAACCTTGTGAAAGAGGGACCTTTTGGTGAAATGCATGGCTATGTTTTTCCAGGAACTGGACATCCATGCCCAAGCTACACTGTTCAACATATCAACTACAGAGATCATGCTATTTTGCCTGTTTCCAACCCTGGAATTTGCACGGATGAAACTCACACCTTCATTGGAGGGTTGACCAGTGCTTCTTGCAAGCAGATTGCTTTGCAGCATGAGATTCTTAGCAAAATTGTGTTGGATGTGTTTACTCCTTACGAGAGTCAAGCCTTGTGGTTGGTGTTGAAAATCGACACCAAAGTGTTACCTACTTTGAAGTTGACCAAGAAGCAGCTAGCAGATTTGGTCAAGGAGGTGTTTTACTTTTCCAAGCCGGCCAGAATCATCCACGAAATCGTCTTGGTGGGTGATGACATTGACATCTTCGACTTCAAGAAAGTCATTTGGGCTTATGTCACCAGACACACGCCTGGCGACGATATTTTCTTGTATGAGGATGTTCCCTCGTTTCCTTTGGCTCCGTTTATCGGTATGGGACCTCGTATGAAGACCAAAAAGGGTGGAAAGGCGGTGACGGTTTGTTTGTTTGATCAACAATTCGTCGACCCAGACTTCCCATTTGTTGGTTGTTACTATGAGTCTTACGGTGAGCTTTGCAACTCCATCGATGAGAAATTTGCTTCCTTAGGATACAAGTGAGGATCTCCTGTGATTTTTAAATACTTTGAAATGTTGAAATCTATGCCTTTATTAATTGAAGCCTGTATGGGTGCAAATTTTCTGCGTCTTGTTGGTATAATCCAGTATATTTGATAACACGAGAAGACAACAAAGAATGGGTTACAAACAATATAAAAGAAAGAGAGATATGAAATGCATTTCCAAGATGTATTGTACAAGCGATCTTTCTTTTGATTGAAAATACCCTTTTTCCTTCATCTCATCTCTATCCATTTCTCCACTTACCCCGAACCAAAACACGTATATTGGTCACGTGCTCTATATACGCTCACGTCAAAGTCTCGAACGGCCATTTCCACTCCATCTATCCATCATCATGTCTAAGGGCACAGAAGAATTGGTGTCAAATTTCAACAAATCCGATGTGCTTGAATACTTGACTAATTTGGATTTCACACTTTCCGGCTACACGGATGTGGGTGACATCGACTATGCGTCTGTCTATGGAGAGTTGATTAGTCTTGTTCAAGTGTTCTGTGACCCCAAATTGGCCAGCGAGGATGGAAAAGTTGATTCCAAGGGTCTTTCAGCAGCATCTATATTGCTTTTGCCGAAGAAATCGCATACCCTCTTTGCTTTGCTCTCAAGAAACCTCATCAATGTGCTAGCTAAACTTCCCAATAAGGTTTACGACACTGCCAACAATCTTTTGCCTTTCTTGGTAGTAGATGAGAACGGGTGCTTGTATGTCAGCGGACAGTTGGCATCAGTTTTGCTCATTGACGTTTTGGAACACTATCCATCACAACTTCCAGCATTGATAAACTTCGCCGCAACAAGTTTGTACAAGATCCTTAAAAAATCTCCACTTGTCGATGGCAACATCGCGTACTTGTTGAGCCGTATACTTGCAGTGGCTCAGAAGTCTGATATTGACGAAAAATTCCAAGCGAAATGGATCAAGCTATTGCTGAAAGCCATACTGTCGTATCCAATTCTGAATGGAGGCTCAGAAGACCAAACAGCCACAGAAACGTCCACTGTGGAGCTTACAAAATACTACATCCAGGCCATGAAGAACTTATTGGTGCTTCTGGTTTCGTCCAACTATCAACAACTTCTAGAAATCTCCACGTCTTCTACATCTGGCTCCAAATTAAAGCCTGAGGCGCTCATGACTCAGCAGGGCTTGTTCCAAACGACTCTTTTGACTACACATGACAAACTTTTCCATCTTTGCTTACTGTCCCAGTTTAGGGAGATCAGATCATCTATGGTAGACTTGATTTCAACATTGCTACTCAATTTCGTCGACACAGGCAAGTTCAATGCTTACGAATACTTGCTCGACTTGTACACTATGCCTAACCTCAATTATTGGGATGAGAGCTTACAGATTAGCTTGGCTGAGGTCGAAACAGCCCTGGAAACAAGGAAAGACACCAACTTGGTGACTACACACGATAGTGATTCAATTATCCTAGCCAATTCGAATATCTTACTAACACAAATTGGTGTTGTGGAGACATTTATTATGTTCACTCAGCTTCAACTGTTCCAGAATTGGGAATTCTACCCCACTCATATATGTTCCATCCTTGACAGTATCCTATTGAGATTTGGGGCTCTCAACAATCCAGCACATGTTCAAAACCAACAGTGGGTTCGTACTTTGTCACAATGGAGATCCGTGGTTGAGTTTCTATTGAGGGAGAGTGGTTCTGCTACTCATGAGATTTTGGCTACTTACGTTGCACAAAAATTCTCAAGTTCGCGTGATTCAGAATCTTTGACAAGGGATAATTCTCCCGTTCCTGGCCAGTTGACAAAGGAAAAGAGACGTGAGTCGGGCTTGTTCAGTTTCAAATCGTCAAAAAAGTCCAGGAGCAAAGGTCCGGTTAAGGAAATCCATCCATATAGCAATGGGTATCAGTTGAACTTACTTTGTTGTATAATTGAGTGCCTTCTTCCTTATGGAGTGGACTTTGCTTTTTCAGGCAAGGCAGAGGGCATCTTTTCTGAAGATGAGAATCAGGACAATGATCAATCTATGGCAGAAGAGGAAGATAAACTCACTTCCAAGAAAAGCAGCTATGTTAGTGCATTGCTCTTAATTCTACTTGCCAACGACTCCACTTACGTCCGAAATTATGCATTGACCACTCTTATTAAGTATGTACAGATTAATAAGGTGGAGAGTAATCAGTTGATTCTCAATGTGTTCCAGTTGGTAAACAATGAGTACGAGGCCTTCAACTCAGCGCTGACGGAATCTCCCGTCAACTCTCGCGATAGAAACATTTCTGCGTCGGTAACAGTGAGACTTTTCAGTTATTCCTTAGCTTTGGCATCCCTTATTAAACAGGCCGATGCCACGGTTCTTCAAAACTCCACTATCGCCAAGATTTTGAGTTTCTGTACGCAGAATTTGAAGCAATACAGTAATCTGAACAAGAAGTATCTCAAAAGTGCAGCTTGTTGGGTAATTTTGTCTGCCTTAGTGAAGTTTTATTCAGATTCAGAGTTTGTGAAGTTGAACTCGTCGCAATTTTTGGTTTTCTGGAAAAACCTTCTTACTTCACAGTTCATCAGTTCAGATCTCAATGCCAGTTCTGAGCAAGGACAGTTAGTGGAAATTGTGAATAACCTCAAGTTGAGAAGTTTGAGTCTCATTTGTTTGATTAACTACATTTGCTCGATTCCTTTGACCCCAGATTTGTCAAAGCAGCTTCAATTTCTTCTTGTTAAGTCCCATAAGTACATTATCTACTTGGAAAGCAACTTGGAAGCAATTGGCTCAATCACAGGATTTCATCCTCAGGCATTCAATGAATCTGATTATAATCCTAACTTGGTAAACAATTTGCTTTTCTCTAATTTCAATGATTCCAAGGCATTGAGCATTGATAAGCAATTGATAAGTTTGATACTCTACAATAAGAAAATTGTTTTGAATGGTTTCATCAAGCTTTCGAGCAGCTTGAAGTCGGATGTTAATTCCAGTCTCGTGGTTTTCTTAATGAAAGTGTTCGCCGACTCAAGAGCTTTCTCCAGGCTGACTGGGGCCGAAATCAAGGAAAAATCAAAATCAAGCAAGTCCAAGACAACTTCGCTAGCAGCACATGAGGAGACTAATTTGATTATTCTAGATGAAGAGTATAACTATAACTTCGGTGTTACTAGCAAGTTCACATCTTTATCCAACAATATTGATGAGTTGAACAAGTCTGATGATCCTCCTCACCAGCCCGACCACTTTCTTCACTACAAAGATCCATTTGGCTACAGAAAACCTGGCTATTCCAAGCTGTCGATAGAAAGCTCTTTGGAGGACCCTGCCCATACTTGGCTTGACTACTTTGAATCTATGATCGGTCTGCCTTCGAGTCATAGTGTCAATTATGATCCGTGCATCTTCATTTTGCAAGAGTACTCATTCCGCCATCAGTTTTCCACTAATTTGATCACCTCGCTAATTGATTTGTCGATTGAATTATTCCAGTTAGTATTCCCTAGCTTGAGTTTTAAAATTCAATTTTCCTTGCTAGAACAGCTCAGGTCTTCACTCTCAGCAAAGAATCTCGATCCTCTCAGAAAGCGCGCATTGGCTGTGAATGTGAGCGTTGCTCTCCATGGACTATTGAATAATTTGGCTAAGAGGAGTCGATTTTTGAGTGAAGAGTTGGTTGCTCTAATTCTTGAAATAGTCGGTCTTATTGAGGTTCGCAACGTTGCTCTTGTCACTATTTGTGCGGACTCGAATGGCTTGGCCACATCGTTGTTACCAAAACAAAAAGTTGAAGAGACGATCGCTAAATTCATCAACGATATTGTGAGTAATACGAATCCCCATACTAGAGGTAAACTCTTGCTTTCGCTTTCCAAGATCAATCAATATTGTCATGTTGGGTTCTCTGAGATAGTCGACGTTGTATTCCAATTACTTGCGGATCCTCATCCTGTTGTATCATACTATTCCATTACAGCAGCTGGCAGCATCGCGGAAAATGCCTTAGGTAATCAAGCTTTGATGCAAAAATTGATCGATGTGGTGCACATCAAGCTCTTGAACGATGATTTCAGTTTAGCGTTGTCGAACAAGTCCTCGATCAACATGAGATCGACTTTTAATTCAATGGCTGCGTTGTCACGTTTATTGAAAGTTGTTGTAACTTCATTGGGTCCTTCTTTACGAGATTTGGACGATGCATTTAAAAGTAAGATTGTGCAGCTTTTACTTACCATGTCATATGGTATCGGAAGCTCGAATCTGACGGAATACAACGCTGTTTTGATCAGCTTGATGACATCCTTTCAAGAGTTGCTTATATTTGATTCCAGTTTCGTTAGCTCCATCTGGTTCAGCAGGATGTGCAAGTTCTTGGTTACAACTAATCTCAAAACAGGCTTGGCTATCATCTCGCCAACATCTGTCAATTCAGAAGCAATTTTCCCAGTAACTACCAGCTATGAGTTATATGAGCTTGCGTACTCTGGTTTAGTTGAAATGACAAAGATTGGATTGCCAACCTTGAATAAAGACACACTTAGTCTCGCTTGGGTATCAATGGAATTGCGTCCATGCCATTCGCTTAATGAGTTGATCTCCTTCTGGATAGAATCTAATATTGAGGCTCTGTGGTTTTCACAATTGACTGCATTGTTCAAGATATCGGTGAGAAGATTGATTGGGCCATTCATCGAGACTCACTTCCAGCAGAAGTTGCTTCCTCTCCTGCAACGTCATAAGAAGAAGATCAATAACACTATTGATTTTCAAGACGAAGAAGTTCAGAATATTGTCAAAGATGATGAGAGTAGTCAGGACAAGAACGAGCCCATTTCTTGGGAGTTTAAGCTCTTTGTCTACGATTTAATTATCAAGCTTTTGGAAATGGCTGAGAAAAGACCACTGTTGGTCGAGTCTCTCACACCAAAGATCCAAGAGATCGTAAGAATGTCTTTCTTGGGAACAGCTGCACCTATCTCGGCTATCAAACTGAGAGGTGTTGACTTGCTTGATAAAGCATTGAGTATCTTCGGTCACCTTGAAGACCCTCTTTATCCTGGCGTTTCAATCTTGGAGCAGCAACAGGCACAAATCATTAGTGCGTTGATCCCATGTTTCGGATCGGATAGCGGTCCATACGTTATTGTTAAGGCCATCAATGTGTCTTCAAAGTTCATTAATCTTCCACGGATTAAGTTTTATTCTAAACAGAGAATTCTCAAGACTCTAATCTACTTATTGGAGGAGATTTCGTCCAATAAGTTCCTCAAATTCGTCTTCTTGGAGTCCATGGCCGAATATGGACGTAAAGCTATCCAGTTATCCATTTTGAACTGTTGGGCTAACTTGAAGATTAATTTGGAGGAGCAGGAGGAGAACGAGCCTGAGTTTGAAGAGATCTTAAATAAGTACGCTGACTTGTTGACATCATTGTGGATCTTACTGCTTAAGGATTTCTCAACAACCAAGTATAACCAGCCGGATTCCAAGGAATTACAACTTTACTCTACATACTGGCTTAACTTCGTGGGCGTTCTCAGCTTGGAATTAGAGAAGGACCATTCGCTGATCAACAAGTTCTTGGAGGAGGAAGAGTCAAGCTTCTTCTTTGTCATGTTCTGTCAATGTGCCGAGGCATTGATCAAAAACCAAAATGTTTCGCAAGTGTTGTATTCCGTCAATCGTTTGGTCCAGATTCCTGAGCTCGTTAGGACACTTTTCTCCGATGAGCTATTCGGAGAAGTCATTGACCTTGTAGATAGATTGGTTCTCATGGAAGACGATACTGAGATTAAGTGTGAGGTCATTGACACAGTCAGTACGATGTTCCGCTCCTACTCCACCTCCGTTCAAGATTTCAGATTCGAAAAGAAGCTGTTTGAGTTATTGAGAGTCACTTTGTTGCCATTATTCGATATCTTCCCCTTCTTGCGGCTGGATTATAGTCCAGACAATGCGGGCCACAAGCTTCTTTTGAAGCACTGCAACAGTGCAACCAACTTGCTTGTATTAAAAAAGCTGTTGTCTGCTGTGGTGAACATGATCCAACAATTTGACGACGAAGCGAGATACGACTTGTCGTCGTGCATTTTGTACATCTTTGCCAAAATCTATGAGTATGATGACGACATTTTGATCAGTTTGGTATTGCCATTCTTGAAGTCTGTTGTCTCAGAAGCATCTTCCAAGTTGGCGACTCCCTTCTTGGATATTTTGAGACAAACGGACACTTTCAGCGCAGCCTCTCACAAAATCAACTACATCTTAACTATGACGGTTCTTGTCACTGGGGGAGGTGTTCAGTTGAACAGTGAAGAAGTAGATCGGTTGGCTAGTGTTCTTGTTGAATGTCTCGATGACCGGGAATCGGCCTCAACAGCAGTGCATGCCATCAAGTCATTGATCAAGCACTCATCTTCGCCCTCGAGTGGTCATATCATGAGAAAAGTGTTGAAGTTGCTTTTGGTGGCCCTAGCACTGGACCACACAGGAGTCGATGCCAAGATCGCATTCGAGATCATCATTTTGTTCACCCAGTCATCTGCGTTGGACAACGAGTCGAAAGTGACCGCCATGTACGCTATTGTTGTACCATTACTTGTTGAATTCGAGCAAAGAGATATCTTACCCCTTGAGTATCTCAATGCCAAGATTTTAGCCCTTGTGAACTACAACCCCAACGCGTTCAAGTTGGTTGTGAATGAACATCTTGATGCGGATCAGAAGAGTGCGGCTGAAAGGTTGGTCAAACTCAATCAGAAAGACCTGACTACATTTGAGGGAAGCGATTCAGAAATCGAACTCAAAAACTTTGCAATATAAACAAGAATAAACTCAAATATCCCCACTCCCAAAGTATTATAGCCCTTGAATACGTCATACACGACTATTGTATTCTCCTGTGTCTCCGCAAGTAGTACATTGGGATGTACGGATGCTAGATGGGCTTTTCTTCCTGTGATCCAAGCTATGTAGACGATCGTATAGTTTTTCTTTATCATTATCAGAAACAAAAATGTGGTGGCTGCAGCTCGTTCTATGGGCGTCTGTTTTGTCGCTGGTACTCGCTAAGACCCACGAGTTCCATTTCAACACCTCCCTCATTGATGCCAATCCAGATGGTACATACCAACGAAAAGTCATTGGAATTAATGGTCAGTGGCCGCTTCCCATAATAAGAGTGGCAAAAAACGATCGAGTGATCATTCATTTGACCAACACTATGAACGACCGTAATGCCTCTCTCCATTTCCATGGTCTTTTCATGAAGAACCAAAACTCCATGGATGGTCCTGAGCATGTTACGCAGTGCCCGATTGCTCCTGGTACGACTTTCATCTACGACTTTGTAGTCGAACAAACCGGTACTTATTGGTATCATCTGCATCTGGGGTCGCAGTACAGTGATGGACTCCGAGGCATGTTCATTGTGGAGGAAGAAGATATTACAGATTATCCATTCACATTTGATGAGCAAGTGCCACTTAGTGTGAGTGACTGGTACCACAAGGATAGTTTGAAAATCATGAAGCTGTTCAAGTCGCGTTACAATCCAACTGGAGCAGAGCCTATACCCCAGAATTCACTCTTTAATGAGACAAAGAATGTAACGTGGACCGTGCAGTCAGACACGACGTACTACTTGAGGATTGTTAACATGGGTATGTTTGTGAGCCAGTACTTGTATATTGAGGGCCACTCATTCACTATTGTGGAGATTGATGGTGTTTACGTGGAGCCAGTGGAAACCGATACTTTGTACATAGCTGTGGCCCAGAGATACGGCGTATTGCTCAAGACAAAGAAGGATCCAAAGGATCCAGTGTTTCGTTTTGTCAATGTGTTGGACCAGCCAATGTTGGATGTTCTTCCTGACGATCTTCAGGTGATTTCCACTAACTATGTTCAGTATGGAGACACCGATGCCGAAAAACCTGTGCCTTTGAAGAACGGGAAGGGCTTGTTCGACAAACTCGTGGAAACCTTGGTTCCAGTAGATGATTTCACCTTGCGCCCATTAGATAAGCAGCCATTGCTTGACGACCACGATTACCAGATTGTTCTCAACTTTACCATGGAGAATTTGGGCGATGGTGTCAATTACGCTCTCTTCAACGGAATCACATATACTGCTCCTAAAGTTCCCACGCTTTACACGGTGTTGTCAAGTGGGGACTTGGCCACAAATCCAGCCATCTACGGCTCTAATACCAACACATTTGTTTTGCTGCATGGAGAAGTAGTTGAAATCGTCCTTAATAACATGGATCCTGGTCTTCACCCCTTTCATTTGCATGGTCATACCTTTCAGGTGATTTCACGATCCGAAGGCACGGAAGACGAGAGCAACCCACAAATTTACGACGAAAAGAATCCTGACCATACTAAGTTCCCAGAACATCCTATGGTCCGTGACACGGTGATGGTCAACGCCAACGGATTCATTGTTCTCAGATTCAAAGCAGAAAACCCAGGTGTGTGGTTCTTCCACTGTCATGTGGACTGGCATTTAGAACAGGGTCTAGCGATCACATTGGTGGAAGCTCCACTTGAGATCCAAAGAGATCAGAAGCCTGTGGACGTCAGCCACCTAGCTGTATGTGCAGCCAATTCCATTCCAACTAAGGGAAATGCAGCTGGTCGTGCTGGCGTTTCTGATGCTGATTGGCTTGATTTAACAGGTGAGAATTTGCAGGTGAAGCCATTGCCAGAGGGATTCACCACAAAGGGCTACGTTGCTATGTTGGCATGTGCGGCTGCTGCACTTTATGGAATCTTTTCCATCTACCAGTACGGAATGGAAGATATCAATTCCGACAACGCCGAGCACATGGTTGCAAAATTGTATCTGTTGTTGGAGAAGTACGACTTAGCCGAGACTTCAACGATGTTGACTCTCAACAGCAACGGAGAACAGGTGGCCAATGTTTCCGAAGAGTGATGAAAGTTGACGTATGGGTTTGCTTTTTTTTTAACTAAGTTGCATCCTAATTGAAAGGTATTATCAGGGCACCAATACTCTGACACATGAAACTCCCAATTTCGATATCATCTGTAACCACAGTCAAAGTATTTACTGGTCCAAAAAAACCTTCCAAACTAATTAAAAACTTAATGAAGCCCAACTTGCAACCAATTTAGTTTCCTATCTCCTACTCCAGATTCCCGGTATGTGTGCACTGCACATAAATTACTTATCATAGGGGCGTAACCAGCAATTCCAACATCTATCAATCTTCATGTCGCTGCTTTTTGAATGGGCTTTCGGCAAGAAGCTTACGCCTCAAGAGCGTCTTCGAAAAAACCAGCGGGCACTCGAGAAAACTCAGCGAGAGTTGGCCCGTGAAACTACGAAGTTACAAGCTCAAGAGAAGAAATTAATGAGCGACATCAAGAAGTCAGCCAAACAGGGCCAGATCGCTAGTGCAAAGATTCAGGCTAAAGACCTTGTCAGAACTAAGAACTACATCGTCAAGTTTAACCTGATGAAGGCGCAATTGCAGGCCATTCTGTTGAGAATTCAGAGTGTAAGAAGTAATACACAGATGGCCACCTCCATGCGAGATGCAACCCGGTTGTTGCTGGGCATGAACCGACTGATGAATCTCCCGCAATTGTCGAGAATAGCACAGGAATTTGCGCGTGAGAACGACATGATGGACCAGAAGCAGGAATTCATGGATGAAGCTATCGACGATGCCATGGCCATGGATGAGGATGAATTGGGCGAGGACGAACAGGTGGACGAGATCTTAACTAAGGTGTTGGATGAGATTGGAGTGGATTTGAACACTAGCTTGAAGGATACGCCAAGTCAAATCAATGTGGAAGAGACAAGAAATGCCCCAGTTGCCCAAGCAATTGGAGCCAATGAAGAGGATGATTTGCAAGCACGGTTGGATAGCTTGAAGAGGTCGTAATGTGCGGGTAAGTGATTGCAATTCTGGCTGAATGGGGACTACTGAAGCGGATTGCTGGAGCCAGATGCTGGGGTGGAACGCCTGACTGAAGTCGTCGAACATCCCTGATTATTAGCATCTTCTGGATATGCAGCGTCGGTGTTTTTGAGCGAATAATGGAACCGGAATATAAATTGTGTGCTTTAAGGTCTACCTATATCATGGGTGTTGCTGTATTTCGTCACAGACGTCAATAAATACTCTAAATGATACGTCTAGATGTAATTCTTCTCCTCCAAGTACTTGATAATCACTTGAGCGCTCTCCTCCACACTCTGGCCATCATAGTTCTTCAAGTGAATCTCTGGCTTCTCTGGAGCCTCGTATGGAGCAGACACTCCAGTGAATTCCTTGATGATGCCTTCTCTGGCCTTCTTATACAAGCCCTTAGGGTCTCTCTCCTCAGCTACCGAAACTGGCACATCGACGTAAACCTCAACAAATGGCAAGTTGTCCTTGTCGTGCAACTCTCTGGCAGTTCTTCTGTCGACCTTGTATGGAGAAATGAACGAGGTCAAAGTGATGCAACATGAATCAGAGAACAATTTCGCAACCTCAGAGATTCTTCTGATGTTCTCATTTCTGTCGGCCTCGGAGAATCCCAAGTCCTTGTTCAAACCAAAACGGACATTGTCACCATCCAAACGGTAGGCATTCAAGCCTCTCTGCAACAAGGCCTGCTCGATTGCACAAGCAATGGTGGACTTTCCACTAGCAGACAATCCAGTCAACCACACTGTGGCGCCCTTCTGCTTTCTAAATTCAGCACGCTCGCTGTGGGTCAAATTTTCGTGCCAGGTGATGTTGGTAGCCATTTTTTGGTATGAGATTTATGACTTTTCCTATTGGAGGACTTTATTACAGTTTTATGGTTAGAAATGGTTGAAAAAAAATGGAACAATCGCACGTGACTTCACCTATATACCTCTTTATCTGGGTAATCGATTTATAATGAATCTCTCTATCTTGGCTGCCTGTGCGCGCTTGAAATAATTGCTATTTATATACAGGCCATATATGGTTTCTTCTGATGAATTGATAACAATTACCAAGAATTGTGGCTTGACTTATAATCATATGAGCAAATGATTAAAATGAATAATGAAATTTATTGTGATTAGAAGTAAATTTCTTTATTGATTCTGTGGTGTACGGATGTTCTCGCAGGTCTATTAACCTCTCATTACCCATGACTCCAAATCGGAGTCATCTCCATGCCCGAGTCATCTGCCGTATCGCACTAACTAAATTATCAACTCATCTACTCCATCTTCAACACTAATGTCGCTCACCACAACCAATTTAGACGGAATTCTCCCTCTCTTGGCTAGAGGAAAGGTCAGAGATATCTATGAGGTTGACGACAAAACCCTTCTATTTGTTGCTACCGACAGAATCTCAGCTTACGATGTCATCATGGCCAACGGTATTCCTGCCAAAGGAAAGATCCTCACCAAGTTGTCTGAGTTCTGGTTTGACTTCTTGAGTGAGGTTCCTAACCACTTGCTCTTAGCTCCAGGCAGCGAAGATCTTTTTAAGCACTTGCCTGCGCAATTGTCTGAGCCAAAGTACAGAGAACAGTTGGAAGGTAGAGCCTTGCTTGTCAAGAAGATGAAGTTGATCCCATTGGAGGTTATTGTCAGAGGCTACATCACTGGCTCTGCTTGGAAGGAATACAAGAAGTCCAAAACTGTTCATGGTTTACCTATCGATGCTGATTTGCAAGAATCTCAAGAGTTCCCTACTGCAATCTTCACACCATCCACCAAGGCCGAACAAGGTGAACACGACGAGAACATTTCGCCTGAGCAGGCTGCTGAGATTGTAGGAAAGGAGTTGTGCGATAAGGTCGCAGCCATTGCAATTGAGTTGTACACCAAGGCTAAAGAGTTTGCTAAGACCAGAGGCATCATCATCGCAGACACCAAGTTCGAATTTGGATTGGATGAGAACGACAACGTGGTGTTGGTTGATGAGGTTTTGACACCAGACTCGTCGAGATTCTGGAATGCTTCCACGTACGAGTTGGGTAAGTCGCAGGATTCTTACGATAAGCAATTCTTGAGAGACTGGTTGACTGCCAACAAGTTAAACGGTGTGGACGGTGTCAAAATGGCCGATGACATTGCAATCAGGTCTAAGGAGAAATACGTGGAGGCCTACGAGGCCTTGACAGGCTCCAAGTGGACCGAGTGAATGCATTAGATTATTTGTTCATTGTATACTCCCCCAAACTATCAATATCGGAAATTTTGTCGTAAATACTGCTCCTCATACTCGGGGATATTTCGTTTCTGGAGAGTTAACTGCTCAAATTCGTCGGTAATGCGCTTTCGATAGTTATTGTATCCCATGGGTCGAAGTGCCGTCTTAGTTACATCAATCTCATACTCACTGTTTCGACTCTTGAGCGGAGCACGTCTTGAAGATGGGACCACAGGTGGGTTTCCACTATGCTGCTGCACAACTGGATACTGGGCATGCTGGATGTGCTGTGAGGGTTGTTGTAGATGTAAATGTTGTTGATGGAGACTTTCTTCCACGAATTCTCGTGGACCCTTTGGCTTGCTCAGCTGTGTTCTGTATCTCTCCTGAGATGACTGAGATGAGTCGGATTTCTTTCGACTGGGTTCCATGTGGTCCACCGTTCTGGGTTTCATCAACTCGGAGAGCCGCAGCTGGACTTCCTGCTCCACAACATGCTTGAATTCACGCTGGTAGTTGAGTCGCATCTCCTTGGCCTCTTGGTCCATCTGCCTTTTTCTAAGTTCGAAATCCTCGAGCAATTCCTTTTCGAGTTGCTCTTTCTGTGCTATGCTCTGTTTTTGTAATGCATGATAATCGTCATCCAACGCTTTACGTTGGCTCTGAACCTTTGCTTGCAAGGCCCTGACATTTTGCTCTGTTTTTTTCAACTCTTCATTCTTGATTAGAAGCTGCCTTTGGAATTCGTTGAGGGTGGAGCTCATGGCCTTCAACTCCATCTCCTTTCGGAACATCTTGACGGAGATCGTTTCGAGTAGCTCGTAGCAAGTTGGCCGGTTGTCTGGGTTGACCGTGATACTTTCGTTGATGATGTTCCTCAATTGCTGCGAATAGTTGGGTGAAATCTCAGCAATGACTCCACGCTTGATTTTCATCTGAAGTTGAAGATGCGTTTTTGCTTGAAATGGAGGCTCAAGGTTGCAGAGTTCGTACAAAACACATCCTAATGACCATATGTCGCAGACTGGCGAGTACGGGTTGTCCATGAGCACTTCTGGTGACATGTAGTACGGGGTTCCAACGTATGTCTTCGCAAAGTCATTCAGAGAGGTGAGCATCTTCGCTAGACCAAAGTCACCGAGTTTGATAGTTTTCCCGGAATCAAGCATGAAGATATTGTCAGGTTTTATATCGCGATGGATAATCACCCTCTCTGAATTGACCTGTGGCTCCTCTCCATTTCCAGAACGAGAGAATAGATCCACATTTTTGGCATCGATGCCATAGTGACACCGGTGCAATGCAAGGAGCATCTGCACTAGAACTTCCCATATAAATTCCTCGGGTACAGACTGTTTGTTTCGTTTGAATGTCGAGATGACTTTAGCCAAATCTCCTCCATCGCAAAATTCTTGGTAGATATGGATGGCTTTCTTTTCTGGAATATGATCATGGCGCATATACTTAACAATGTATGGATGATTTAGTTCTCTAAGAATCCGAAGTTCGGATATTATGTGGTTTTTCTCTTGAGCATTCATCGACGTGTACTCGATCTCTTTGCGAACTAGGATAGTGCCATCTTGCTTCAGTCGGACTTTCCTGACCGTACCGAAGGAACCCTTGCCAATGATTTCCAAGGGTTCATACTCGTCTCCAATGGAACCCATTGAGATAACAGTTGGCGAGCAATACCTAGGTTCTAGCGTCCTCGCAAGTTTTTATTACTTACCTCCAATTCTGAATATTGATAATTTATCCGAATCGGGTAAACACATTTAATTCGTTGTACCTAGACGGGTATTGTGCAGGATGTTGTCCACTATTGTTCATAGACGAATCCCAATTGAAACCTTCCCCAGGTTGGGGTTCCTGTGCGTGTTCCCCTGGTAGTGAAAAGGAAAAGACTAAGATGTGAGGGAAGGGTAGCAGAAACGAAGTCTTGATGTCTCGTCCTCATAGGTATTTTTCCATCTGCATAGTATGGCCAGAATGTAAGAAAGTTATACTATCTAAAGCACAAATAGTAGGCTCTCTTCTTCTCCTTCTGGTTCCGTTGACCATTATTGAATTATCAGCTCCTCTAGTAGCGGCTAATCAGATCAGTGGTTTGCAGTCAGGGTTCGGCTTCTATGCCAGGTAGGTTTCAATTTACAGAATCTGGCATTGTGCGAGCATTCTGTACAAAAATCGTGTTATGGTCAGTTGTCCAAAGAAGGTAGAAAGTGCCGGCAAAAATCAGGAACGGTAACTGCCACTCCCAAACTTGGCTCAAAGGAACAATGAAAAAGTTGCTTTTATATCATGCAATTAAAAATTGCAAAAACTCATAATAAGTGCTACTTCTTTACGTGGCTCAGATTTTCATCAGATGCATTAACACATGCCCCTCAACTTACCTCCACCACATAAGTATTCGAGCATTTGATTGCTCTAAGTAGGCCGTTTCAGGGGACTATTGGCATTTTCTCTTGACGGATCTCCAAGTCAACAAATGCTTGGGTTCCTATCTGTTTAAGTCGCCGAAATAAATCTAGTAAAGTCAGTACGCCAGGTTATGAGAGATCCTTGTCACAGAGCAGAGACTAAACTAGAGATAGGGAGACATGACTGAAGCCTAGGCATAAATTCATTGAATTTGGCTCCCACATTTGGTTTCCTGTCACGGCTCCTACATGAGGATACGTAACGACTCTAAGTACATCGACTTTGAACTTGATGATGTGGCAGCTGTGAAGTGAAATAAGCTCGAAGAGACTCTCTACTGAGATAAAGCAACTGGTTTTCAATTTTACAAGAGATATACTGTCGGTCTCAACAACGTTGGAGTTTTTCACTTATCTCAGGAAGACATCCAGCACTAAGTGAATGGTGACAATAATGAGATAAACCCCATAATCCCAAAAAGTTAATGATCATTTCAGCTTTTCAATTGCGCAGATTCATACATTGCCTGTCAGCCACTTTTGCCCCGAAGAGTTGTAGTCTTGTATTTGTGACATTATCATTACAAAGAATTTTCATTCCAGTTTCGTTTCTCCTAGTAATATCGATTCTCCAGTGACAAATTTTGTAGATAAGAACGGCAGAAAGTATTTCATTTTCTCGTTTGCTCAATTCTAGTTCAATTTATGAAATTTCAAAGGCAGAATATCTAAAAAGAAGGTTCTCATTAACGGCAAAACATTTCACGTAAAAGAGTACCTCACTGCACCGTTCCACATTTGGAATTCACTAAGAAATACCATCGTGGAACTCATTGAACGACCGAATGCTCAAAGCATTTCTAGAGGTGGTCTGGGATGGTTGTTTTATTAGCATTAATGATACACGTTTAAGACTTAAAGACTCAATAGTGGTATCACATTATCATCTTCGTTCTGGGCTACCTTAATTTTCAAACTTCAATTCTCTCCTTTCACATCCCATCATGATAAATATTAGCAGAAAGTCAACAAAGTAAAGACCGAAGAGGGTTTCATGATATCGTAAATGGGATTTCTTTACCCCGTGGCTTTGACCAGAAATCAATTACAGCAAAGTGACTCCAATTGGGTGTAGGAAATTGCTCATAACAGTTTCCTAACTTTGGAGGAACAAAAATCCAAGGTCTTCTGACACCATCAAGAGGTAACGTAAAATTCAACATGACTAAGCAATTCATAGTTATTTCACATTTGGTCGGCACCTCTGTTTGCAAGTTGGTCTGCAGCCTCGTTTCCAGGAATTCCCCTATGGCCAGGCACATGGGTCAATTGAACCTTCAGCGAGGCGTTGATTTCATCATACAATGCCACAGATTCTTCAATCAAGTCACGGTTTGCAATCTCTTGACCAGTGCTCGACTTCCATCCATTTGTTTTCCACTTCTTGCTCCAGGAATCAATCGCATTCTTGCCATACGAAGAATCGGTCAAGATCTCATACAGCTTGTCGCTTCCTGGATTCTTCTTCACATCGTCGTAGATATCTCTGAGCGAGTGACGTAAGCCGTGAAGCTCGGCTCGCTGGTTTGTTGGCTTGACTCTCCGGACATCATCTACATCGGAAAGGGGAACAGCAGCGTTTCTACTGTCACCTGGACCGTAATAGACACCGTATCCCAGCTTCGGAATTCCACTCTTACCATTACCTCTGGAAGCACCATCAACATAGATTTTTTGATGGTTAGACCGGGTCGAGCTGGCACGGGGAACACTAGAGTTCAAGGAAGGGATCTGTGTGGCTGAGTGAACCGTAGATGGTTTATGAATTCCACCAGAAGTTCTGGAACTGTGATAATTCAAATTATCAGAACTGGAGGTGTTCGTACTAGATCTAGAGGAATTTGAAGAGCCTGATTGGGCAAATTGAGTGGCTTCAGAAAGAGTATTGAACTTCTTGTATCGAGCACCTGAGTACCCATTGACATTGGACTTACAGTCAGACCAATTTGAGTATACCCCGGTCAGACGACCTTTGGCAACTGCATAATATGGCATTTTGGGGAGTTTTCTAATTTTGAAAAGTGTGTAGACGGTTATCCTTGGAATTATGATCTTAAGAGTTCTGATTAGAGCGAAGTGTTCGTACAGGTCCACCAGTTTTCTGAGGGACTGACTATTTACGACTGTGGAAAACACCAAGCACCTTGAGGATGTGAATTATAAGAATTGGAATTGGAAATTAAACTTGGATCAGCCAGCTATCTAGTGGTTCGGATCTATTAAATACAGGTTTTGAAGTGGTAACTTAGTAAACAAGTAAGGTCTGAACAATATGCAAATATGGAAAAGGAGTATCTGAAGTTCCCCTCAAGCTCATTGCGAATTAGTGTCAGGTTGGAACTTGAAACTTGTGGGGGATACCAATAGCGAAGTTTCATGCAATCACGTATGTTATTATTTTCTCTGTTGAGAGATACCAAAAATGATGGCGAACTATAGAATTGGGTGCGCTTCTCTGGCCAAGGGACAAGTCTATGTTACAGCCAATTGTGTTTATGGATCCCAAACCTTATAACAGAGTGCCAACAAAGAAGGTTTCATAACAACCTTGACAAAAAGAAAAAAAAATGGTAGAGGAGATTTCAGCTATAATTGCACAACTCGTTGTTTAGCCTTTCTGGAATGGATACCCTTTGAAAATAGTCGCGATTCTCCTTTGCTGATTCTATAATGTAGACCCAACTTTTTGACATACTGATTCTCTATTGAATAGATGACTTTGAGCAATCATATCCCTGTTCTATATTTGCCAAACTCATAAATTCTAGTGCATAATTCTTAACTGCATTATTATCCCAAAATTAGCCCATTTTCTGCATTTCATGGTGGCTTAGTTCATTGTATATTCAAGCTTAACCTGTAATTATTGACCAGGACCTATCCTTAGAAATCATGGTATCGTAAATAACATGATAAAAAACCGATAATGGAAATCGACCCGGATGATTTAGTTTGTTGTCAACTGTCACTCGATACGCATTGTCTTCCTTCAACATCAATCGACACCTGGTTACACTTGGCTAGTCTCCGTTCTGCTCTCTTTTGTGTATGAGGTCAATCCAACTTCAAGTGTCTAGACTTCTCTCAATAGATTACATGCAAAGTAGTATATTAAGGTTTCATTATCAAGTTCTCCTCTCCTAATACACCTCAGTATGGGAGATAGGGTTCGCAGTTGAGGAGTCTCCTGATAGTACATGGATGAAGCGTATATGCTGAAGACTATATAGGAACCGTAACGTTATTAGTTCTGGGTAATATTTTTGAAAGTATATTCGGTTTGTTATTGCATCTTGCAAGAGTCATGGTTCTCACACGAGAATTGCGGTGAAATCAGCAAATACCACTAGGCGTTGCAAATTCATTTTTTGAATCGCAATAACTTACGACTGAATACACCGAATACATTTACCCTCGCAAAAGTTCCCTTAGAATGACAGAAATGTCTCGATCACTCTTACTTCAGTTAGACAGATTCAGACTTCAGTTCAGAAAAGGAACTCGTGGCGGTATTAAATAGTTGTCATCTTTCGTTAGAAACCTACTCACTAAGTTACTGTATGACTGACACCATATTTCTGGATATACTTACATTTCACTTCGCAGCAAATATAACATTCTCCTGAGAACGTAAACTTACGCGACCAATTGGTAATGGTCAAAAGATCAGAAAATGGTGTGCCTTCTGTGGCGTCTCAGGGAAGTCACCCCCATCAAGAATGCTTATGAGGTTATTATCAACGACTTCAATGCGCATTAGTTGGCCGAATGAGGCGTCATGTATTGTTTTACATGAAATTAGGCGCTGTGCTGAAATAGAAGGTCGTATCATGAGAAATGCAGACCTTAACAATGTGTCAATCTCCGCTGACGTATTTACGACGAACATAACACACCAATACGCCTGACGGCCTGTCTAGAATAAGATCCTGATGCCGAGTAAAATACTAGCACCTAGTTGAATTGGGTACTGTTAGTTGTTGAAATTCGGTATAAGTAATCATTACGTTCTACATAAATATGCCTTATTAGGAAATATAACCAATTATCTTGTTCAAAGCACAAGAAATATTGACATGTGGATTGATTTTGGTGAAGATTGATTCCCATGGTCATCTTGCATATTATGCTTGGCAGTCCGTGGAATGCGTAGACTGTACTTGAGAGACGTGCGTTCAAATAGTGAGCTACATGTAATTGGTCAGCCACATTCAAATAACAACTACAGTCTCGATCCTGTATCAGTCTCGTGCAAGATCAAATAACACGCAGTAATGCTTTTATTCGGGAGGGGGCGGGACATTTGGGATGAGAGAGGGGTAAGTAAGGATGAGATGAATAAGATGATTTCAAGATGAGTTAAATTCTTTTCAAGTAAGTTCGACTTTGAGCTCTTACAAACTTGAGTTAAATCGCAATAGAGGTACTGCGAATTTCTTGTGTAAGGCAAGTATTTTCATGAATGCATTGAATTCAGAAGTGTTTGGAGTGAAGGGACCGATGGAGAATCTTGCTAAAATCGTAAATGCACACTACTCTAGTCACATTCATAGGTGAAACGTATTTCATGGTTTTATTTGTTATAAGTCTATGATATGTTAATGATAGTTATTACTATGCTAGGTTCGCCCATGGTTCGAAGGTAATCTTAACAGCTTTAGTGTAAGAAAATAAATGGACGGTCTTCTGGAGTGTGAAATTCTACAACAACATGCGAGGAATATGGGAAATGTACTCTACCAAGAAGAATGAATCTCACATGAATAATAATGTAGTTTGTGACTGAAATTTTCTAATTTTCATGAAGGTGGAGATACTGGCTCGAAATTTTAAGGGTATTTATTCTCAAACTCTTTTGTGATTTATATCTATAAGTCAGGAACTAAAATATTGCCTGGAAAAGGAATTTTGAAGATTCATGAGTTTTTTTCTTTCAGTGAAGTTCGGAAATTCCGAAAGACTAACCCTTTCAAAAGAACCATCTGCCTTCTCGATTCGGTGGTAACCTAAATTGGTAGATGTTTCACCCCTTTTGAAAATTTCCTACAGAAAAAAGAGTTTCAATATTACTGATAGATTATTGCCCGTCTAAATAATTTTGTTCCAAGCACCAATTCCCTACATTTATTTCGTACGGTTTCTGTATTGGTGGCGAGACACGATTTATTCTTTCAAAATATAAGAATGTATCCCGATGCAACAGAACATCATTTACATTGGAATATCAATTATTCTTCAAGAGAGGGCATATCCTCACTTAGAGCTTTTCAAACAATAGAATAATATTTAGAAAATTATCCCTGAGACTGCCGTAATACATCATCACCACAACTCTATCGGACTTGGACCTTCATGCTGCACACCCGATGAGTGAATGCTGAGATCGATGGGATCCCCGTGCATTGCATCTTGCATTTGGATTCTCATTTTCGGATCTGCACTATCAGAAAGAAACCCTACATAGACGATTAGGGGTGTATTAGAACCCTTACGATCGACGAATTTTTTTGAATTGGAGTGATTGGATTTCCCACCTAATTACCTTGATGAGATTAAAGTTTTTAATCAAAAGCTCACACTGCATGATTTACATCACGAATTTGAGTGATGGGATTGAGGCTCAGAATTAATAGAAATTACGAGAGGTAAAACATGCAGTCTTTTTCGTAACCATAATTTCATCTCTTGAATTCGAGGTACTACTGATGAAACAAAACAATGGGAGCAAAAGAAGCAAAAAGCTAGACTAAGTAGGGAATATGAAAGTCATAACATACAGGACGATTAGAAAGAACTTTTCGTGGTAGGATAAAAGCGTGAACAGTATTATTTTATAGCACACCCAAGCATCTAAGTAGCTATTCCCCATCTTGATTTTTGACGTACATTTTTATTCATGAAGTTTGACGAAAAATTTAACTTCTGCCTCAAGATAGGAAGCCCATTTCAAGGAATCGATCCGTTACCGGATTTTACATCTGAATGTTATTTGCTGTCTAGTCTATCACAACTACACTCTTTTAAGCCTTTAGACTTAGGTCTCCATCTCTTTCGCTAATTTACCTAATCAAAAAATCTCTATAGTGACTAACTTGGACCTGCTATATGTATCACTTTTCTTCATAGTCTAGTGGTTGTCCTTATTAGATTTCTGACTGAATAGGGACATCTCAATATCACATTGACCAGCAATTAAAGGCTCCGCAATAGGCTGGCAGTCACTTGGCTACCCTGCTGCATTCGGCATTGTATATCGCGAAAATATTATTATCGCTGATCACGAAGGAGTGAAATTTCAGAAGGTATGTTCCTCAACCTTAATATCCCTTATTTTAACAAGCTGATAATCCTATTAATCAGTAAATTAACTCTCGAACACTAGAAATGTACGGTCATACTCTTCAAAACTCCCAACAATGACAAGGAAGTAAACAATTCTTCAGAGGATCTCATTGTTTATAATCACATGAATGGTTGAAGCACCACAAAATTCGTATTCAAGTGGAATGAGGACTAAACAATGAACAAAAATAGAAGGACGATCTTAATTTTCCCATTTGAGAAAGGGTGCTACCAAACTTTGCTCCATTGCATCAACTATTTTGTGGAATTACCCCATACATACAAGCATTAATAAAAAATTGCTTCAAAAGTAAGTATTCTATACACACCTTTTCAATTGTTTGTAGAGAACAATGCCATCCATCGAAACCCGAGAGCTCCGCGAGACTACCAAAGGTTATGATTTTGCTAGGCCACAGTTAGGTTCAAAAACTATTCACAACCTCTATCAACAGTGAAATCACTCAGAAACTGATTGCCCTCGCAGTAATTCACTCTACATGAAAGACAGAACCGTAGTTCTTGAAGTGTCTATCCGTAATTGGTAGAGGGTCTTAGTCATTAATTTGAGATATGCAGGCTACGCAACCTACGCATTCTTCTCTACACATCTCCAAGCTCCACATTGCCAACCCTCATGGTAAAACATTTGATTGTAACTTCCAGCAAATTAATGGTCATAATCTGTAGGAGATTCCTTTGCTCAAAGTGTATCAACATTCTCTGGCACCGAAATCTCAGCATGGAGATACGTTCTTCCAGCAATTTCAGGAAGAAGCAACCTGCATAAAAACATCACAAGCTACATCCCGTGTTCCGGCCAATTGATCGTATAAACGGTTTCATTTGCCGGGATGATCTTGTTGGTTGTTTTACGTTAATAGTAGCTAACAGGCCGAGAGCAATACATACATAACGACCGTCCATTAGTTTCAAAATTGGGAGATTGGAGACAAGGTCAAAGGCAACACCCACTTTTTCATCAAAATTCAAGAACAGTGATGTTCGATGGAGATATTACAACAATAGGAAGCAAGTAGGCGCCCCATCATAAAATATTGAAATGCAGGGCCTAGTTCCTTGGTTCGCGCAGACGCAACAATGGCATGCAGATCTCCATAGCGAAGCCGCGATTTCGCAGTAGTGATTTTGCAGCAGTTATTTTGCAGCACTCTGCAAGCTTCCGATTGCCGCTGAAACTTCTTAACTAACTCTTATTTAAAGATGAGGTACCCGTGTCTTTTCCTTCTTCTTGAATACAATTGGGAATTGCCATGCAACCGCTTAAGCTCTTTGGTTTAGCGGCCATCGCTAATCTTGTCCATGCGGCAGTTATTACTATTTCTGATACTTCGACGTTATCAACTACTTCCTACTCACAGAGTTCATCTGACTACTGGCAGATTGAAACTGGTGCTGCGCTTATATTGCCGGGTATCACTCGTTTTACGACCGGATTAAATTTCTTGAACTATGGAGACTTCATTGCGAACGTTAACGCAGGCGGAACATTGCAAATGGATTCTTTGACTAATCAAGAGGGTGGTAAAGTCAGTATTTCTGCTCCTGCAGATTTGACTTTCATTTCAGGTAACACATTCTATCAAAGCGGTACCTGGACTATGACGAGTGTGGGGCCAATGACTGTGGAGATGAACACAAACAGGTACATTCTCACCAACACGGGTAGCTTAGAGTTTTCTTCTGGATCCACTCTTCTGATGACTATTGAAAAGGAGTTCGTCAACAGTGGTGATCTCACTTGGCTGGCTACTGGAAACGGTGCCTGGGAGTTCGAAGAAGACATGTCCAATAGCGGAACAATGACATTGAGTGCCAGTTCGACAAGTGATAAGGTTTCCATCGGCAACCCCTTCACAAACTCTGGATGGTTTATCTATAAATATGGTCTGAATACCGGTACCGCTTACGCCGGAACTTCCACTTTGACCAACCCAGGTATTATGAATATCTACGGTTCCACAGGCAGCTCGCAAATGCTGAACTCTGGAACCATCTCTAATACTGGTTCAATTTGTCTTCAACATACAACATATTTTCAAGCCAGCGCTGTCTCTGGAGGCGGCTGTTGGTTGCTTGCCGATTCCTCCAGTTTGAACTTGAGGACTACTATCAACAGTTTCGCAGCAACTCAGAGCATTGTTTTTCAGGATTCCACGTCGTCCGTGAACATCAGAACATTAGATACAATTCGTGTTTACAAGCTTTACAATGTTCAAAGCGGTCAGACCTTCCTTACTTCGTCAAACCTTATTTCCAGTGCAACCTATGATGCCTCAACTGGCTACTTGAAAGTACTGAGCCTGAGTGGAATAACCTCCCAAGTCTTCGATATCGGTCTTGGTTATGACCCTGCCGGATTCTCTGTTTCTAATAACTCTGTCTCCTACACAGGTGATGCCCCAACGGAACGGGATATTCCATACAACTGTATTTGCGAGCCACGTATTTCTTCATCGGAGGCCCCAACTGAAAGTTCATCTGAAAGCTCATCTGAAACGACAAGTGAAACTTCCAGTGAAACCACAGCTGAGACTTCGTCTGACATTACCAGTGAAACTTCTGAGACCTCATCAGACACTACTGCTGAGACCTCGTCTGACACTAGTGAACCTTCTGAGACCTCATCAGACACTACTGCTGAGACCTCATCTGAGACTTCGTCAGACACTACTGCTGAGACCTCTTCTGACACTAGTGAACCTTCTGAGACCTCATCTGAGACCTCATCAGACAATACTGCTGAGACCTCTTCTGACACTACTGCTGAGACCTCGTCTGACACTACTGCTGAGACCTCGTCTGACAATACTGCTGAGACCTCGTCTGACAATACTGCTGAGACCTCTTCTGACACTACTGCCGAGACCTCATCTGAGACTTCGTCAGACACTACCGCTGAGACCTCATCAGACATTTCGTCAGACACTACTGCTGAGACCTCTTCTGACACTAGTGAACCTTCTGAGACCTCATCAGACACTACTGCTGAGACTTCAAGCTCCAATAATACTGCTGGCGAAGGCGCTACGCAATACACCACGACTTGGACCACCACTAATTCTGATGGTGTTACCACTACCAATTCCGGTGTTGTGATTGTGACCACCGACTCTGATGGTGCGCTCACTACCACTACTTCTCAGTTTGGCGAGGGTGCTACACAATACACTACTACGTGGACCACCACTAATTCTGATGGTGTTACCACTACCAATTCTGGTGTTGTGATTGTGACCACCGACTCCGATGGTGCGCTCACTACCACTACTTCTCAGTTTGGCGAGGGTGCTACACAATACACTACTACGTGGACCACCACTAATTCTGATGGTGTTACCACTACCAATTCTGGTGTTGTGATTGTGACCACCGACTCCGATGGTGCGCTCACTACCACTACTTCTCAGTTTGGCGAGGGTGCTACACAATACACTACTACGTGGACCACCACTAATTCTGATGGTGTTACCACTACCAATTCCGGTGTTGTGATTGTGACCACCGACTCTGATGGTGCGCTCACTACCACTACTTCTCAGTTTGGCGAGGGTGCTACACAATACACTACTACGTGGACCACCACTAATTCTGATGGTGTTACTACTACCAATTCTGGTGTTGTGATTGTGACCACCGACTCTGATGGTGCGCTCACTACCACTACTTCTCAGTTTGGCGAGGGTGCTACACAATACACTACTACATGGACCACCACTAATTCTGATGGTGTTACCACTACCAATTCCGGTGTTGTGATTGTGACCACCGACTCTGATGGTGCGCTCACTACCACTACTTCTCAGTTTGGCGAGGGTGCTACACAATACACTACTACGTGGACCACCACTAATTCTGATGGTGTTACCACTACCAATTCCGGTGTTGTGATTGTGACCACCGACTCCGATGGTGCGCTCACTACCACTACTTCTCAGTTTGGCGAGGGTGCTACACAATACACTACTACGTGGACCACCACTAATTCTGATGGCGTTACCACTACCAATTCCGGTGTTGTGATTGTGACCACCGACTCTGATGGTGCGCTCACTACCACTACTTCTCAGTTTGGCGAGGGTGCTACACAATACACTACTACGTGGACCACCACTAATTCTGATGGTGTTACCACTACCAATTCTGGTGTTGTGATTGTGACCACCGACTCCGATGGTGCGCTCACTACCACTACTTCTCAGTTTGGCGAGGGTGCTACACAATACACTACTACGTGGACCACCACTAATTCTGATGGTGTTACCACTACCAATTCCGGTGTTGTGATTGTGACCACCGACTCCGATGGTGCGCTCACTACCACTACTTCTCAGTTTGGCGAGGGTGCTACACAATACACTACTACGTGGACCACCACTAATTCTGATGGTGTTACTACTACCAATTCCGGTGTTGTGATTGTGACCACCGACTCCGATGGTGCGCTCACTACCACTACTTCTCAGTTTGGCGAGGGTGCTACACAATACACTACTACGTGGACCACCACTAATTCTGATGGTGTTACCACTACCAATTCCGGTGTTGTGATTGTTACAACCGACTCCGATGGTGCACTCACTACCACTACTTCTCAGTTTGGCGAGGGTGCTACACAATACACCACGACTTGGACCACCACTAATTCTGATGGTGTTACCACTACCAATTCCGGTGTTGTGATTGTGACCACCGACTCCGATGGTGCGCTCACTACCACTACTTCTCAGTTTGGCGAGGGTGCTACACAATACACTACTACGTGGACCACCACTAATTCTGATGGCGTTACTACTACCAATTCCGGTGTTGTGATTGTGACCACCGACTCCGATGGTGCACTCACTACCACTACTTCTCAGTTTGTTGAGGGTGCTACGCAATACACCACGACTTGGACCACCACTAATTCTGATGGTGTTACCACTACCAATTCCGGTGTTGTGATTGTGACCACCGACTCCGATGGTGCGCTCACTACCACTACTTCTCAGTTTGGCGAGGGTGCTACACAATACACTACTACGTGGACCACCACTAATTCTGATGGCGTTACCACTACCAATTCCGGTGTTGTGATTGTGACCACCGACTCCGATGGTGCGCTCACTACCACTACTTCTCAGTTTGGCGAGGGTGCTACACAATACACTACTACGTGGACCACCACTAATTCTGATGGCGTTACCACTACCAATTCCGGTGTTGTGATTGTGACCACCGACTCCGATGGTGCACTCACTACCACTACTTCTCAGTTTGTTGAGGGTGCTACGCAATACACCACGACTTGGACCACCACTAATTCTGATGGTGTTACCACTACCAATTCCGGTGTTGTGATTGTGACCACCGACTCCGATGGTGCGCTCACTACCACTACTTCTCAGTTTGTTGAGGGTGCTACGCAATACACCACGACTTGGACCACCACTAATTCTGATGGTGTTACCACTACCAATTCCGGTGTTGTGATTGTGACCACCGACTCCGATGGTGCGCTCACTACCACTACTTCTCAGTTTGTTGAGGGTGCTACGCAATACACCACGACTTGGACCACCACTAATTCTGATGGTGTTACCACTACCAATTCCGGTGTTGTGATTGTGACCACCGACTCTGATGGTGCGCTCACTACCACTACTTCTCAGTTTGGCGAGGGTGCTACACAATATACCACGACTTGGACCACCACTAATTCTGATGGCGTTACCACTACCAATTCCGGTGTTGTGATTGTGACCACCGACTCTGATGGTGCGCTCACTACCACTACTTCTCAGTTTGTTGAGGGTGCTACACAATACACTACTACGTGGACCACCACTAATTCTGATGGCGTTACCACTACCAATTCCGGTGTTGTGATTGTGACCACCGACTCCGATGGTGCACTCACTACCACTACTTCTCAGTTTGGCGAGGGTGCTACGCAATACACCACGACTTGGACCACCACTAATTCTGATGGTGTTACCACTACCAATTCCGGTGTTGTGATTGTGACCACCGACTCCGATGGTGCGCTCACTACCACTACTTCTCAGTTTGTTGAGGGTGCTACGCAATACACCACGACTTGGACCACCACTAATTCTGATGGTGTTACCACTACCAATTCCGGTGTTGTGATTGTGACCACCGACTCCGATGGTGCGCTCACTACCACTACTTCTCAGTTTGTTGAGGGTGCTACGCAATACACCACGACTTGGACCACCACTAATTCTGATGGTGTTACCACTACCAATTCCGGTGTTGTGATTGTGACCACCGACTCTGATGGTGCGCTCACTACCACTACTTCTCAGTTTGTTGAGGGTGCTACACAATACACTACTACGTGGACCACCACTAATTCTGATGGCGTTACCACTACCAATTCCGGTGTTGTGATTGTGACCACCGACTCCGATGGTGCACTCACTACCACTACTTCTCAGTTTGGCGAGGGTGCTACGCAATACACCACGACTTGGACCACCACTAATTCTGATGGTGTTACCACTACCAATTCCGGTGTTGTGATTGTGACCACCGATTCCGATGGTGCGCTCACTACCACTACTTCTCAGTTCCCTCGATCTTTAGCTGCAGGTGATTATACCACGACTTGGACCACCACTAATTCTGATGGCGTTACCACTACCAATTCCGGTGTTGTGATTGTGACCACCGACTCTGATGGTGCGCTCACTACTACTACTTCTCAGTTTGGCGAGGGTGCTACACAATACACTACTACGTGGACCACCACTAATTCTGATGGCGTTACCACTACCAATTCCGGTGTTGTGATTGTTACAACCGACTCCGATGGTGCGCTCACTACCACTACTTCTCAGTTTGTTGAGGGTGCTACGCAATACACCACGACTTGGACCACCACTAATTCTGATGGTGTTACCACTACCAATTCCGGTGTTGTGATTGTTACAACCGACTCCGATGGTGCACTCACTACCACTACTTCTCAGTTTGGCGAGGGTGCTACACAATACACCACGACTTGGACCACCACTAATTCTGATGGTGTTACCACTACCAATTCCGGTGTTGTGATTGTGACCACCGACTCTGATGGTGCGCTCACTACCACTACTTCTCAGTTTGGCGAGGGTGCTACACAATACACTACTACGTGGACCACCACTAATTCTGATGGTGTTACCACTACCAATTCTGGTGTTGTGATTGTGACCACCGACTCCGATGGTGCGCTCACTACCACTACTTCTCAGTTTGGCGAGGGTGCTACACAATATACCACGACTTGGACCACCACTAATTCTGATGGTGTTACCACTACCAATTCTGGTGTTGTGATTGTGACCACCGACTCCGATGGTGCGCTCACTACCACTACTTCTCAGTTCCCTCGATCTTTAGCTGCAGGTGATTATACCACGACTTGGACCACCACTAATTCTGATGGTGTTACTACCACCAAATCTGGTGTTGTGATTGTTACCACTGATGCCGCTGGTTCATTGTACACCACCACCTCTCAATTTGGTGAGGGTGTGACTCAGTACACCACTACTTGGACCACTACCAAGGCTGATGGATCTGTTGAGACTGATTCTGGTGTTGTGATCGTTACTACTGATGCCGCTGGTTCATTGTACACCACCACCTCTCAGTTTGGTGAGGGTGTGACTCAGTACACCACGACTTGGACCACTACCAAGGCTGATGGATCTGTTGAGACTGATTCTGGTGTTGTGATCGTTACTACTGATGCCGCTGGTTCATTGTACACCACCACCTCTCAATTTGGTGAGGGTGCTACGCAATACACCACGACTTGGACCACTACCAAGGCTGATGGATCTGTTGAGACCGATTCTGGTGTTGTGATCGTTACTACTGATGCCGCTGGTTCATTGTACACCACCACCTCTCAGTTTGGTGAGGGTGTGACTCAGTACACCACTACTTGGACCACTACCAAGGCTGATGGATCTGTTGAGACTGATTCTGGTGTTGTTATTGTTACCACTGATGCCGCTGGTTCATTGTACACCACCACCTCTCAGTTTGGTGAGGGTGTGACTCAGTACACCACTACTTGGACCACTACCAAGGCTGATGGATCTGTTGAGACTGATTCTGGTGTTGTTATTGTTACCACTGATGCCGCTGGTTCATTGTACACCACCACCTCTCAGTTTGTTGAGGGTGCTACACAATACACTACTACGTGGACCACCACTAATTCTGATGGTGTTACTACTACGAACTCTGGTGTTGTCATTGTGACCACCGACTCTGATGGTGCGCTCACCACCACTACTTCCCAGTTCCCTCGATCTTTAGCTGCAGGTGACTATACCACGACTTGGACCACCACTAATTCTGATGGTGTTACTACCACCAAATCTGGTGTTGTGATTGTTACCACTGATGCCGCTGGTTCATTGTACACCACCACCTCTCAGTTTGGTGAGGGTGTGACTCAGTACACCACTACTTGGACCACTACCAAGGCTGATGGATCTGTTGAGACTGATTCTGGTGTTGTGATCGTTACCACTGATGCCGCTGGTTCATTGTACACCACCACCTCTCAGTTTGGTGAGGGTGCTACGCAATACACCACTACTTGGACCACTACCAAGGCTGATGGATCTGTTGAGACCGATTCTGGTGTTGTGATTGTTACCACTGATGCCGCTGGTTCATTGTACACCACCACCTCTCAGTTTGGTGAGGGTGTGACTCAGTACACCACTACTTGGACCACTACCAAGGCTGATGGATCTGTTGAGACTGATTCTGGTGTTGTTATTGTTACTACTGATGTCGCTGGTTCATTGTACACCACCACCTCTCAGTTTGGTGAGGGTGTGACTCAGTACACCACTACTTGGACCACTACCAAGGCTGATGGATCTGTTGAGACTGATTCTGGTGTTGTGATCGTTACTACTGATGCCGCTGGTTCATTGTACACCACCACCTCTCAGTTTGGTGAGGGTGTGACTCAGTACACCACGACTTGGACCACTACCAAGGCTGATGGATCTGTTGAGACTGATTCTGGTGTTGTGATTGTTACTACTGATGCCGCTGGTTCATTGTACACCACCACCTCTCAATTTGGTGAGGGTGCTACGCAATACACCACGACTTGGACCACTACCAAGGCTGATGGATCTGTTGAGACCGATTCTGGTGTTGTTATCGTTACCACTGATGCCGCTGGTTCATTGTACACCACCACCTCTCAGTTTGGTGAGGGTGCTACCCAATACACCACTACTTGGACCACTACCAAGGCTGATGGATCTGTTGAGACCGATTCTGGTGTTGTGATTGTTACCACTGATGCCGCTGGTTCATTGTACACCACCACCTCTCAATTTGGTAGTGGTGGTGCTTTAAAGACCGAGACAGATGTTGTAGTTACTACTGTTGTTGCAGGATCAACTGTAACTAGTACTGTTTGTACAGTTTGTACGAAGCACCAGTCCACTTGGACAACAACTATTGTTGCTGGTGTTACCGTGACTGTTTGTGCCGATGTCGTTGTGACTACTGACGTGTCTGGTAAGGCTGTGACTTCCTTGGTCAGCTCAGGCGCTTCTATTCAGAACGCTGTTACGTACACAACTACTAATGAAGTTGGGCTGACCGTTACTGTTTATGGTATTGTTAAGCTGACTACTGATCAGTCAGGAAATGAACATGTCTCTACAGTGTCTATTTCTACCGTTCAGAGCAAGAGTGCTGCATCAAGTGTCGATGTGACGAAGATTGTTACGTACACCATCACGCACCCAAGCGGCCAAGTTGAGACGAAGACAGGGGCCTTGATCGGCACCTCAGACTCTAACGGAGCATACACCGTCGCTACTATTCCTCTCTCGACCGAAAATGTTGCCGGATCAACTTTGAGCACACAGTTTGTGAATTCTCAAGCGAAGTCGACTTCAGGAAGTGCTGCCTCTGTCACGGACATATCTCCTATTGCTGGAGGTAGTAGTTCTGTTAAGCTGCTCAATTCGTTTATGTTGTTCGGGCTTGCCGCATTGGCTTTGTTCTAAGCATCATTCTATTTCGCAAATGTTGCACTTCTTTACTCAATTTCAGCTGGGACTTTGCAGCGACAGGATTTGCAACACGGATTTCGTGCAACTTTATTGAAGGTGGAATGGTGATTAAAGTTGGAAATCTGCCTTCATCGTAAAATTTAACCATTTTCGACTCCAATATTTTTTTTTTGAAGTATTTCATAATTTCAATCCATTTATTCGATATAGTTTAAGTTACCTGTAGAGTTTTTTTTTGTGAAGCTGGCTTACGATCAGCCAACGGATGAGTAATCTAAGACAACTAACAGTCCCTGTAACCAAACTCCTTGCGTCATAGTGGTTAGTCAGATTCACTAAGCCAGCCATTAGAAATACAAAGCTCGGCCATTAATTCCTCTTTCCAGTGTTGAGAGAAAGTCAGCACAAAAGAAACCCGAGGGTCATCAGGCCATCGAAGTGAATCATCATTAGCGATAAGCTGAGTTCTCCGCGCCACGGATCGCCAGATCCTCTTCTGGAAATCTTTGAGAATACGAGACGAAATACGAGGAAGCTCCCCTATTAAAAACATGCGTCTCTTAGGGAGGTAGTGGTTACATTTACGATTGCACGAATCCTACCTTATCTTGCCCGCCGATAAACCCAATCATATCAATCTCTGCAACCATTTCTGATTAACCTTGCGCTCATTTTCAGGACACAGTTGAATCAAGATAAGCTTTTGAAATTGAACTACGATGATGTTTCTCCTTTCCTTAAAGCGGCGAGCAACATTCTGCAAAAGTTGCAGGCTTCCCAATGCGGGTCGGCATCGGGCAACATGCATATCCCTATACGAACAACTTCCAATTGAAACTTGACTTCGAATCGAAGCTCTGGCAAAATTGGGCATGTGAACTTCCCAGTTGGCGAACGTTTGGTACTGAAAATGAATGTCACCACATCACATCATCATAAGACATGTTCCCACTTTTTAGCTGATCTTTTCAATATCTTAAACTATTAAATCTCGAAACCTGTTGGCCTAACATGTAGCAGATCTTAGAAATTGCGATGGTTCCCAAAGTATAAAAATTGTACATTCCCACTTCATCTGAATGACATCATGACTTTTGAAATAGTTGTTGTTTGGCTCTTTTTTTTGTGCTTCACCTCTGCAATTGGCCCAGATAATGTGGAGTTCTGGGTCACCCAAAATACTGTGGTGATTAACCCGGGAACCTTGACGTATGACTATAAAGTTCGTATTAGGTCAGGAGTTTTCTGTTCCGTTTTTTATCCTTTGACAACCACTGTCACGGCAGGTTTTGAAGTTGAAGAAGATGCTGCCTGGTACATTATACCCCGAAGCAGGGCAGAACCTGAAAGTGAAACAGAATTTTCCTTCTCTTCCTCTGGGAACATCCTTAATAATGGCGACTTTGACATTGATGGCTATTCCGCCTTTTACCAATTCACTATGAGGTTAGAGGCTTTGGGTAGTTTCGTCAATAACGGAAACATGTGGCTCTCTTGTGGAACACGTCCACCACTGAATATGATAACCATTACTGCCGAAAACGAGATGACAAACACCGGAAAGTTGTTCTTGAGGCTGCAACGGTCTCCAATGCAAAAGCGGTTGTATTACGACTATCTTGATAACGCCGATCATTATCCAGTGTGGCTCTCTAGCTCTTCGGAATCCGTCCAAAACCTGGGAACTATTTGTCTTCAATCTGTGTTTTGGAATCAAAATATCAATGTCGCGGGCAGTGGGTGCATCAGACTATCGCAGAGTGGATATTTAAAGCTTCACTTAGACACTTATTCCTACGATCAATCTCAATCAATTTACCTTTTAGATGATTCTGCCCTTTTCATTCTCGACGGTATCTCCGGAGCCAGTGGAACGAAAAGGTTCAATGTTTATGGATTCCAAGAAAATCGACCAATCCTATTTACATTCCCATTTTCGAGCTTCAGTTATTTTCCTGACACTGGAATTTTGTCCGTCCTTTTTGAAGATGGAGTTGTTCTTGAGTTTACGATCGGCAAAGACCTCGATGGCACTCAAATTATATATCTACAGTACAGAGAAGATTTAACGGCAATCTGGTATGCCTCTTCCAACCCAAGAATAATTCCTGATTCTTGCAATTGCCCCGAGTTCCCTATCGCACCACTGGCATTACCTGTCCCTACTCCTGACGCCTCTAGCTCTGAAGTATCTTCTTCATCTGAGACTTCGTCTGAAACTTCATCTGAGACTTCATCTGAATCTTTGTCTGAGACTTCATCTTCATCTGAGACTTCGTCTGAATCTTCATCTGAATCTTCATCTGAGACTTCGTCTGAATCTTCATCTGAATCTTCATCTGAATCTTCATCTGAATCTTCATCTGAATCTTCATCTGAATCTTCATCTGAATCTTCATCTGAATCTTCATCTGAATCTTCATCTGAATCTTCATCTGAATCTTCATCTCAATCTTCATCTGAATCTTTGTCTGAGACTTCGTCTGAATCTTCATCTGAATCTTCACCTGCGACTTCATCTTCATCTGAGACTTCATCCTCACCCGAGTCTTCTTCTGAGACTTCAATTGAATTTACATCTGAGTCTTCTTCTGAGACTTCAATTGAATCTACATCTGAGTCAATTTCTGAAACCCCGTCTGAGAAACCCTTGGAGAGTTCATCTGAGTCATCTTCTGAGAGTTCAACATCTGAAAGTTCATCAGAAATATCATCAGAGTCCACTTCTGAGTCATCCTCTGAGAGTTTACCGCTTAAGATTTCATCTGGAAGCTCCTCAGACATATCATCAGAGTCCACTTCTGAGTCATCCTCTGAGAGTTTACCGTTTAAGATTTCATCTGGAAGCTCCTCAGACATATCATCAGAGTCCACTTCTGAGTCATCCTCTGAGAGTTTACCGTTTAAGATTTCATCTGAAAGCTCCTCAGAGAGTTCTTCTGAGACCTCTTCTAAGATTTTATCTGAGAGCTCATTTGAAACTTCCTCTGAGACTTACGCTGAGTCTGAGCCTTGGTCTGAATTTTGGTCTAATTCTCGTACTGAAGTTTCGTCCAAGATTTCCGAATTTGTGACTTCTTCAGAGCTTATTTCGGACTCTACTGGGGAGATAACAACTGAAATATCGTCTCTTTCGTTATCTTCGTTTTCTGGAGATTCAACTACAACTTTGTTGGAATCTGAGATTTCGTCGAGCGATGAAGGTTCTTCCCAGAAGCTTTCGGAGTTCTCATATTATTTTTCATCTGATTCACCTTCTGGACCTTCGCCAGAGATTTCCTCTCAGACATCCTCTCTGTCAACTTTTGAAGCTTTGCTTAAGTCTTCATCTATTTCGTCTTCTGAATTGTCCGGGGAGTCTTCGTCTGGATATATTTATGAATTATCATTAGAGTATTCTGTGACTTCTTCTCAATATTCAATTCAGTCCTTTGAATCTGAATCTGCAACTTCAGTAGACAGATCTTTTGGCTCAGAGTCTTCTTTTGTTCTCGAATCTTCGTCTGAGACATTCTCGAAGAGCGCCGATTCCACTTTTGAGTCTTCTTCTGGATTCCATTCTAAAATATTCTCTGAGACTATATCAAGCTCTTTGTTTGAGTCGTTGTCTTTATCTGAGTCTCTGCTTCCATCTGGGTGCGTGTCTGAAATTGCATCTGAATCCACATTTGATTTCTCCTCGAAACAGTCATCCATGTACTCAACAGAGTTCCCTGATTCGTCACTTTATTCCACCACTGAATCCGTCACTCTCGAGAACTCCGTCAAGCCTAGCTCTATTGAGACTACGTCTGTTGCTGTCTCTACTGATTCCATCGCTACTTTGCATACGGCAGCTCCTTTGATCAATGCGGAAGCCTTGACTGGACTCAACATCATCACCAACATCGAGGTGCATGATAACTCCACTGGAACTCTTGACGGCCACAAGGACCATCTTTTCACAGTCCGTGTCACAATCAAGAGTGAGACTGCTATTACATCAGGCTCATATGTTCAATTCACCCTTCCAGAGGTCTTCTACGGCAACTTGAATCCATTTGAACTTTATTCTCGTGATGGAGAGTATGTGGGTAAAGTCACGAGTGATGACTCTAATGTTTTTACTACACTCTTTGATGGTGAATTTGGTGCCACTCATAGTGATATTGAAGGTACATTTACTTTCAATGCTAAGTTGAGATACACCACTGCACTTTCCAAGCGTGCAGAGTTGTCGTTGGATCTCAGTAGACCTGTAGTTCTGCCATTTGTATTCACTACGGTTTCCTCTGCGTTCTCTCACTCAATAGTGTTTGCAGACGTTTCTCTGAACGAGGTTGTCGGAGAAGTGCTTATCGGAGATGTCTACGTGTTTTCTGGTGACTTTGTCTTAGATGCATCAAGTTCATCTTCTTTTCGTGGATACTCCACCCCATTCTCTTACTCAAACAGCACAGTTTCTGCCTCCGAGATAAGTACGTCTCTGGCTGTTTACACGTCATGTGCTAATGGTGGCTGCTATAGTCCAACGCTGCTGAGTTTAACTGCTCTATACGTCACTACTCATACATCCAAGGATATCACTTACGATGTCACGAAGGTAAGTAAAGATCTGAATGTGATTGTGACTAAGGATCTGACGGTGATTGTGACGGTTACTTTATGTTCCAACCATGTCTGCTTACCAACGACTTCAAAGGCATTGGCTTCCGTCGCAACAACTATCATACACGGGGAGGTGATTTTGTATACCACTTACTGTCCACTCAGCGGCGATAGGGAGAAGGTTGCAAAGGAAACTTCAGGTTATAACGCTGGAGCTAACGCTGGAGCTAACGCTGGAGCTAACGCTGGAGCTAACGCTGGAGCTAACGCTGGAGCTAACGCTGGAGCTAACGCTGGAGCTAACGCTGGAGCTAACGCTGGAGCTAACGCTGGAGCTAACGCTGGAGCTAACGCTGGAGCTAACGCTGGAGCTAACGCTGGAGCTAACGCTGGAGCTAACGCTGGAGCTAACGCTGGAGCTAACGCTGGAGCTAACGCTGGAGCTACCGCTGGAGCTAACGCTGGATCTCAGGGTGGTACTGGACCCGTAGAACCAGGATCGGGAGTCTATGACTCTCACAAGTCAGAAGCAAACACTGAGCAATCAACTACAGGTAATTCAATCTTGAACAATGTCACCAAGGCTGGCACAGATGCTTCAAGATCAACTTCGACAACACTCACAATCATATCTCCAAGTGTATCGATCAACGAGAACAACTCTCTGGAAAGCTTCTTGGCTAGATCCATAGCAGCTATTTTTGTTGGATTGATGTCGCTTGTTACGGTTATTTTCTAGGCTGGACGAAATCTATGTATTTTCGACAGATTGGGATTGCTAATTTGGAATGTTCGAGACTAATGAAGTCTAATAGTTCAAATCCTTAGATGTTTAATATCATGTATTCAAGCAAAAGGCATCTAAAAGAATTTCCACTCCTGAAACCTTAGGCATCCTTCTTACAGCTCATTGACGCTCTCACTCACCAATCACCTTTGATGATTATTTTTGCCTCAATATCTCGTCAATTACTATTTCAAGTCACTTTTTCCGTTGTTTTATTAATCAGTGTTTGTTTAATATATGTTTCAGATTTTCTTCCCAATCACAGTATTACGGAGTGTGGATGTCACCATGAAGTTTGGTGCGAGCCCTATTGTGATATTCAAAGCAACATCGATAGAAATCTCTAATGCAACTATACCTGATAGGTTGCATATAATAGCATATTTGGATAACTTAAGTAAATGGGCAATAGAATTCGTGTAGGTTACTGATGGTTTGATGTCTTCAGCATGACTTTGACAGAACTACGCGAATTTGAAAATGTTTGACTCATTTGAGTATGATGCCTCAGTGCTCAATGCCACCAAACCAAAAATAGAAATTTATGTAGAAGAGTATTGTTTGAGGGCGAAATGAAAGAGGCAGATGGGAATCGATTCTATGTCATGACTGCATCCTTCTCTACTTTAACCTTTTACTCGATGCTTATACAATTTACATAATGTAGTATTGTCAACTCCACGCATGAAATAGTGCAGTTTCTCAGATTCGCTGGTGAATATGTTAAAATGTTAAGGTGCATCCTCTTGAACAATTAAATGATCCTTTGATAAAAAAAAAAACACCAGTGTTTACTGCCGTGAACAACGCTAATTCCAGCACTGTCAAACTAACACTGCATCCAATCTTGCGATTGCACGTCTCTCTCGTATCTTGGATACGCCGTATTTGGAGTTCTACTCGGAATAGTGGAACAGAAAAAGAATAAAATACGTGTGCATTTGTTTTCAAGTAAATCTAAAGAATCACAAGTGGTCCTGCTGTTGAATTACGCTCTTATGTTAATAAAAGCTTCTTTACCATAACGGTATCAGCGAAAATTAGAAACCTCAAGGAGCCTGTTATCGGGTTGTTTCAAGACAATATACACAATTATCCTGTAGTTGTTTGATGAATGCAGATATGCAACGTGGGATTGGAATTGATTTCAAACTACAGATTTCACGTTTCTATTGGGTAATTCTACTCTTCATTAACTAATGAAGAGCATGAAAATTTGAGGAAAGAGTTAAAGACGGTTAATGGAGAGAGTATGGTTCCTGTAACGTTCGCACTGATTGGAATTTGCTCATTCATTGATATGTTCGAATTCCAAAGGCAAACATTGGTTAGCATTGCAACGGAGGCTATTGAAGGCAGTTCGTAGTGTACCGAGGATTGCAGAACGAAGGGAGAGAGTTTTTTATTTTTCTCCGAGGGAGAGTTGGTAATCTGTCCAGAAGAGATATCCGTAGTCCAAGCCATGTTTAATATTCTGTATTATAATTACTTTTATAAGCGAGTATACAGTGGAAGTCAGAAACAAACCAATAGATTAAAATAGCAAGTGATAGAGATAAAGATTGTTCAAATAATTCGAAGTTCAGAAGTTTCAGAAAATTATTGAAAGATAAATTTGAAGATAAATTCGAATAAATTAGCAAGAAATCCAGAAGGTTGGAGATTTCTTTTCAAGATACAAGTTTTGCAGATTTCAGAGATGACTGTATTAAATTGGCAAGAAGAAGGTGCAATGTAAAATGTTTACAATTCAATAAAGTAGAAGATCTTAGTATAGGATTGATGCTTAGGAAATCCAAGTCTGAGGGAAATAAACTTAGCAGAGACATTAAGAGACTATAATAAAAGATAGCACGCAGTGACTGAAAATCCGAATTGTACTTATCTTTGTTCATCCGACAGTAGTTTGACTGTTTTTTTCCTTGTACAACTATAGTAGAAGGAATATCCAATAATTATATCACTTCGCGTGTGTCTAGAAGTTTAATAAGCTTGATTTACTCCAGTTTGGCGGAAATTGTGAAGTCTGCTGATAGACCAATGTTCGATTGACTACCAACGCTTTTTATTGTCTACTAGAGACTTTCGAGGTTTGTCTTTGGTTTTAGAATTATGTGAAGAACCCTATATCAAGCGTCTCATTAGAACCTCGGATAATATCAAAGCAAGCGTCCCGTTCCCGTTCAGGGCGAAGAATGCTGACCCTATATTGTTTGTGTAATTCTACTAAGTTGAAGCATTGAAAGACTTTTTGAAGTGCGGTCACTAAAGTAATGCCATTCTACATTCTATAAGGTTGGTCGCATCAACTTACTGCACAATCAAATTTTCATGGAAAATCACGATATTGCCCGATCTGTCCAGATTTTTCATTTGTTACTGTCAATATGGGCAAGAGAAAACAAGTTGAAACCTATCCCTTTATACCTGACACGAACACGTTTATATTGAGGAGTCATTTCGCAGAAATCGTAGATTGGTGCTCACTCCAATGAATTGGAGAACCCAAACGCTCGAGAACCTGAGAAACTGCACTCAACGCCTTGGAAAGCTTATAATGGAAATGCTAAATGGAGTCAAGGATATTGAAAATTCTTGTGTAGAAAAACATCAAGAAAACTTGGAAGAAGCATAGCAATCATCTATCTTCCACAACGGTCTCTCGGAGCTTTCATCTGAACGAACTCCGATTAGTAGTGGATGTAAGATTCCGAGGGGTGACGTAGATAGCAAAGTACTAAGGTAATAACTTGAGGTACGCAACTGAATTTCTGAACTCTCGAAACAACATTATTCGGGTAATATGTCATCCAAGAAAAAGCTACGTAAACTCGGACTCTTGGACCGCACTTCTTTCAAGCACCGTGCCCCGAACTCTCGCTAGTATCATCCTGAATGTATTTCGGCGAAAAGTAATTAAAAGGGATTTTCAGGGGCGTCCAGAATGAGTACTTCGATTCGGCGACAATTGATGCAGACATTCCCAGGTTATGTAAAGAGCACATATGTTTGTAAGCGAGCCACTTTGCATATGTTTATTAGGTACTAGTATGTGCCCCTTACACAAACTAAATCGATCTTTGAAGAATGTTTGCTAATCCGCAAACCCCAGCACTTTTGAAAGCATTGATGTTGTTCTTGGCGAAGGAATCTTTACTTGTTCTGCGGCATGTCGTATATTGGATGCATCTTCCACGCCCTGCATACCCGGTGAAAATCACGCACCGACCCGCCCCAGACTTAAAGCCTATATTTGTGGAAGCATAACCTGATTCTTTCCCGTTGACTGTGCCCAGTGTCTGTTCTTCGTTGGATGCCCTTGCAGTTTTTCCTGAATTGATTTACATACTCGGCTCTCATGTCTTCAACGAGACTATGGGGAATTCACGCTTTACATGTACAAGGTCACCCAATTTGGGAGGTCTTGAGATGTATTTTTACGCCTGTGACAGATAATATCTTTAACCGTCAAGTTGAGAGGACATTGATGAGACTACATTGATTGCCGTCTGAACTTCAAAAAAGTTCTTTCAGATGGACCCGTTCATGATAAGCGAAAGGATGTTTGTGCAGAAAGTGAGGCTGAGCAGGTAGCGACTCTCTGTTCAATATTCTGATTTTGATTCTTCCAGGAAAATAGAGTTTACGATAAGTGTCCATTGCGCTTTCTGCAACAAAATGACTATATACAGGCAAAGAGAGGCTTACCTTCTCTGGGCATGAATAATTCGCTGTCAAGGAGAGCAAGGGCGCATATGTCACCCTAAGCCGAGGCAGGTTCTTTTTTTTTTTTTTATGTCCCAGAATTAGTGCTTGCGAAACACCTTATATTTCCTGCCATCCGAGTTTACTGTCTGCATTCGAACCAATGAAACTTTAGGAGATTGCAGAATTAACATATGTTGTCAGTGATCCAGGCACCTGCCTGTGAATCCCAAGCTTGATCTTCAAATAATTACGAAGACGGAATTGATGCTTTCGGATCGGTGAGAGAATAGGGAACAGTTGGCAACAGGGGGCACATAATCTCTGACCCATGCATTCGGATGTACTCTTTTTATACTATTGCCTTTTGATCTCCACTCATCCTCCTCAAAAAGCCCGCAACAATATTGCTTCAATTAAATCCCTTTCTCCTTGTGGAAGAAGACTTGGCCCCTTAAAATTTAATCGAATTCAATGCATGGGCGTTGAGTTCACACACACAGATGGTTGATATAGAGAGCCTGAGTATGCGTGGACATCTTCAAGACGTTATTATTTTTTCTTCTGTAGACCGACAATAAAGGAGTTGCACGACTGGAACCTCAACCAGATTGTCCTTCCACAGAATCCCAAAGGAATGCTCGTCTCCTTTGAACTCGTTTATCTTTCTCCACACAAGATGTGCACATGATCCCTCTGCATATGTATAATGAGTTGTGGGATTGCTTCACAGGGTTCTACTTTATGCATGACATCACAAATTTTATGCATCCGGCATACGGAACATCTCCCAAGTTTCTTTTCTCCACTGGACGAAGCCATTTTCGAACACTTTGGCGTTACCTCGCGCCGAAATTACGCTGGACTTCAAAGCTTTATGCAAGGTTACTCCTATCAGTTGCCCTCGTTATACGCTTCAGCATTCCGTACGTGAATCTCTTTTTACGGAGATTCATCATTTATTTTCCGTAATCTTTTTTGTTTTACGATTTTTCTTCAAATCAGTGGCACAGAAGCGAATTTACTATCCAATGACCATATATGAGTTGGCAATAACAAAAATAGTTCATGCAAATTATGTAAAGCTTCTCGAAGCTGGTCACCCATGCATATTTTGCGCATAGTTCCGCGGCGTCAAGCAGCACCTTTTTGGGATCATTTCTCGATATCTCAACTGTAAAGAAGGGTAATCCAAAGCACTCCCACTGTTACAGCGGTTAAATAGATTTCGTAGTCAATTCAGTAGAGCTTACGAAATTTTAAAGTTAGCTCACCTCCGCCATGCCGATTTGTGACCCATTTTGAATACAATTGACTCTCTCGCCGTCAATCTGACTTCTTGCCGTTGAAAGCCAATGCTATGCATGTGGGAGTGTTGATGCTCGAAAGAGATGATGTTAATAGGTTAAGTATCAGTACTTGTTAACCTTAATGTTTTGAGCCCTCAAGAATTCGCGCCTTGAGAAAATTATTCTGAGGATGGTGAAAAACAGTTAGGTATCCGAGATGGCGCAAAAGAGGGAAAACACAGCTGGGAAGCGGGAGATTTGATGTGTACCTCGAACACATTTGTAAGCGACTAGGCGGACAGCGGCCGTGTAGGACCACAGGATCAAAGAGACATAACCATCAACAATATTTCTCAGCCACTTTAAGGTTGTGTTCATTGTATAATAAGCAATCGTAAATAAAAATAGGAATCATGCAGTCGGAATGCTGCGTCGCTTTAATCGTAACTTTTCAGTGGTGCACTGGCAATACCCTCTATATATACATTATGGCCATTAATTCACCAATGCTAGAAATTTTCTATAATCCGCTGCCAAAATGGTTCCTTGGCTTGTAGGTTTCCTACTTGCGGTTCTTCTGCTCAGTAGAAATGTTGCCGCCTTATGTCAGCCACTGAGTCTCACTGCTACAGGTTTCAATGTCAATTTTTATAACTACGGGTTGTACAGCCAAGCTGGATGGTCAGATGACTTTTTTACTGGCGGTTACAAAGATGCCGGACTCTTACATTCCATGGGGAATGTCGTTGACATTAACTTCAGTTTGCTTCAAACTCCACCTTATTATGCCCTGTATAACCTTATCTATGGCTACAATTTGACTGTGTCCAATTTTTCGATGGAGCTCACTGGATACTTCAGGGCCCAACATACAGGAACATACACCTTTAGTATCGTCGCCGATGATGGAGTCACTATTCAATTTGGTAATGGTGTTTACTGTTGTGGCGATGTCAGCGGTGCATTGGGTGATACCAGCTTTGTTATCAACTCTTTGAGAGGACCGGGCGGTGAACCACCAGCGGCCTATAATTCCTTCAGTGTTTCTTTACAAAGTGGTCGGTACTATCCCATGAAATTAGTCTTCTTCAATTGGAATGGTGCATTGGAACTCGATGTCTCTTACGTCGATCCCTTAAATAACCTTGTCCGTGTATACGATAACGTTTACCAAGCAGAGTTTGCGTCTGAGGTTTGTCAAGTCGAAACTCAGACCACAACTTGGTCGGGTACTTTTACTCTGACGTATACTACTCAGTTTACCACCTATACATCCGGTGGTACTGTTTACTCTAAAGAAATTATAGGAGTTGAAGTACCTCAGTCAACTACTACAAGGGCATGGACTGGGTCCTACCTCACTACAACAACTGGGCCAGTGACTGTAACATCAGGAGTACTGACTTACACAACTACCGCGGTCATAGTCGAGACTCCAATGTCTACTTCAACAACTACCAGGCCCTGGAGTGGATCTGATACTACGACGTTCACGACGTTGACGGTTGTTACTTCGGACAGTACCACCTTCACAGAGCACTTAGTTGTGATTCAGACTCCTACTATTCCAATCTCCACCACCACTGTGCCATGGACTGGCAACTACACAACTACAGTTACTGGACCAGTTACTATCACATCGGGTTCAATTGTCTACACTACCAGCGCAGTTACTGTTGAAGTTCCGATGCCAACAGAGACTACTACTGAACCTTGGAATGGATCAGGCACTACGACGTTCACGACGTTGACGGTTGTTACTTTAGACAGTACTACGTTCACAGAGCACTTAGTTGTGATTCAGACTCCTACTATTCCAATCTCCACCACTACCGTTGCATGGACTGGCAATTATACCACTACAGTTACTGGACCAGTTACTATCACATCGGGTTCAATTGTCTACACTACCAGCGCAGTTACTGTTGAAGTTCCGATGCCAACAGAGACTACTACTGAACCTTGGAATGGATCAGGCACTACGACGTTCACGACGTTGACGGTTGTTACTTCGGACAGTACCACCTTCACAGAGCACTTAGTTGTGATTCAGACTCCTACTATTCCAATCTCCACCACCACTGTGCCATGGACTGGCAACTACACAACTACAGTTACTGGACCAGTTACTATCACATCGGGTTCAATTGTCTACACTACCAGCGCAGTTACTGTTGAAGTTCCGATGCCAACAGAGACTACTACTGAACCTTGGAATGGATCAGGCACTACGACGTTCACGACGTTGACGGTTGTTACTTCGGACAGTACCACCTTCACAGAGCACTTAGTTGTGATTCAGACTCCTACTATTCCAATCTCCACCACTACCGTTGCATGGACTGGCAATTATACCACTACAGTTACTGGACCAGTTACTATCACATCGGGTTCAATTGTCTACACTACCAGCGCAGTTACTGTTGAAGTTCCGATGCCAACAGAGACTACTACTGAACCTTGGAATGGATCAGGCACTACGACGTTCACGACGTTGACGGTTGTTACTTCGGACAGTACCACCTTCACAGAGCACTTAGTTGTGATTCAGACTCCTACTATTCCAATCTCCACCACCACTGTGCCATGGACTGGCAACTACACAACTACAGTTACTGGACCAGTTACTATCACATCGGGTTCAATTGTCTACACTACCAGCGCAGTTACTGTTGAAGTTCCGATGCCAACAGAGACTACTACTGAACCTTGGAATGGATCAGGCACTACGACGTTCACGACGTTGACGGTTGTTACTTCGGACAGTACCACCTTCACAGAGCACTTAGTTGTGATTCAGACTCCTACTATTCCAATCTCCACCACCACTGTGCCATGGACTGGCAACTACACAACTACAGTTACTGGACCAGTTACTATCACATCGGGTTCAATTGTCTACACTACCAGCGCAGTTACTGTTGAAGTTCCGATGCCAACAGAGACTACTACTGAACCTTGGAATGGATCAGGCACTACGACGTTCACGACGTTGACGGTTGTTACTTCGGACAGTACCACCTTCACAGAGCACTTAGTTGTGATTCAGACTCCTACTATTCCAATCTCCACCACCACTGTGCCATGGACTGGCAACTACACAACTACAGTTACTGGACCAGTCACTATCACATCAGGTTCAATTATCTACACTACCAGCGCAGTAACTGTTGAAGTTCCAATGTCTACTATCACGACTACCGTGCCATGGTCTGGAACTTTTACTTCAACTTACACCACATTAACCACTGTGGAAAACGACAGTACTACTTACACCGAGCATGTTGTAGTTATTGAGACTCCTACAGCCGGACTCTCAACGACTACAGTTCCATGGACTGGCAACTACACAACTACAGTTACTGGACCAGTCACTATCACATCAGGTTCAATTATCTACACTACCAGCGCAGTAACTGTTGAAGTTCCAATGTCTACTATCACGACTACCGTGCCATGGTCTGGAACTTTTACTTCAACTTACACCACATTGACCACTGTGGAAAACGACAGTACTACTTACACCGAGCATGTTGTAGTTATCGAGACTCCTACAGCCGGACTCTCAACGACTACAGTTCCATGGACTGGCAACTTCACAACTACAGTTACTGGACCAGTCACTATCACATCAGGTTCAATTGTCTACACTACCAGCGCAGTAACTGTTGAAGTTCCAATGTCTACTATCACGACTACCGTGCCATGGTCTGGAACTTTTACTTCAACTTACACCACATTGACCACTGTGGAAAACGACAGTACTACTTACACCGAGCATGTTGTAGTTATTGAGACTCCTACAGCCGGACTCTCAACGACTACAGTTCCATGGACTGGCAACTACACAACTACAGTTACTGGACCAGTCACTATCACATCAGGTTCAATTATCTACACTACCAGCGCAGTAACTGTTGAAGTTCCAATGTCTACTATCACGACTACCGTGCCATGGTCTGGAACTTTTACTTCAACTTACACCACATTAACCACTGTGGAAAACGACAGTACTACTTACACCGAGCATGTTGTAGTTATTGAGACTCCTACAGCCGGACTCTCAACGACTACAGTTCCATGGACAGGTTCGTTTACCAACACGGTAACTGGACCAGTCACCGTGACGTCAGGATCAGTAGTGTACACCACTAGTGTTGTTACTGTTGAAGTTCCAATGTCTACTATCAGGACTACCGTGCCATGGTCTGGAACTTTTACTTCAACTTACACCACATTAACCACTGTGGAAAACGACAGTACTACTTACACCGAGCATGTTGTAGTTATTGAGACTCCTACAGCCGGACTCTCAACAACTACAGTTCCATGGACAGGTACATTCACCACGACTATCACTGGGCCTGTAACTGTGACGACTGGCTCACTGGCATATATTACCAGTGCTGTTACTGTTCAAGTTCCTGAATCCAGGTACACGACAACTATTCCATGGACTGGAAGCTTCACTCAAACATATACTACTATGACGACTGTCACATATGACAGTACGACTGTGACAGGGCCATTGATTGTGATTGAAACGCCAATGTTCACAAAGTATACCAACAGCACTTCGTCAGGAATTATACCTCTGAGTGCGAGTGAACAGTCTAGCGCTTTGAGCTCAACCTTCGTAGGGTCAAATTCTGACTCCACAACAACATGCCTTAATAGCCAGTGTTCACCCCTAACTCTGAAATCCTCGATTAGTTTCAGTACTTCCGAAGTTGAGTCAAGTGTTTCTTCCACCATATCTGGCGTTGTAACTGACAGTACAGATACCACTACAGTTGATAGTACTGTTGACACTTCAGTCGACTCTAATGCCCGAACTTCAACGTATACTACACCTGAAACTACTGCTGATACTACTGGTCACACTGGTATTGGTATTACAACTCAGACTACCATTGACACTACCACTGATGCAGCCATTACCACTTACAGTACATTGAGATATACTACAATCACTTACATCTCATCTGCCACTGAACAAAATGGTTCAGGCTCGGGATCAGGCTCAGGTTCTGAATCAGGATCAGGCTCAGGCTCAGGATCAGGCTCAGGCTCGGGATCAGGCTCAGGTTCTGAATCAGGCTCAGGCTCGGGATCAGGCTCAGGCTCAGGATCAGGCTCAGGCTCGGGATCAGGCTCAGGTTCTGAATCAGGCTCAGGCTCAGGCTCGGGATCAGGCTCAGGCTCAGGCTCAGGCTCAGGCTCAGGCTCAGGCTCAGGCTCAGGCTCAGGCTCAGGCTCGGGATCAGGCTCAGGCTCAGGCTCAGGCTCAGGCTCAGGCTCAGGCTCAGGCTCAGGCTCAGGTTCAGGCTCAGGCTCAGGTTCAGGTTCAAGCTCAGGCTCAGGCTCAGGCTCAGGCTCAGGTTCAGGTTCTGAATCAGGCTCAGGCTCAGGTTCTGAATCAGGGTCAGGCTCGGGATCAGGGTCAGGCTCGGGATCAGGGTCAGGGTCAGGCTCGGGATCAGGGTCAGGTTCTGAACCAGGCTCAGGCTCAGGCTCAGGCCCAGGATCAGGCTCAGGCTCGGGATCAGGCTCAGGTTCTGAATCAGGCTCAGGCCCAGGCTCGGGATCAGGCTCAGGCTCAGGCTCAGGCTCAGGCTCTGATACATCCAGCTTACTCAACTCTTCTACTGTGCATTCTTTGTTTGAGGGCTCAGGAGCTAAACACTCGATGCCCTTCGCAATGCTTTTATTCGCATGGATACCCTTAATCTGAAGCATTTATTGACGCTGCTTGTTCTTCCATCTTTTCACTTCAGGCCATGTATATCAAATCATTTATTTATTTCTCGATTCTGGTTAGGAAATTTAAGTTTTATTTGACTACGTCTGTAATCTAGGTTCCAATTTTCACCAGAAAAGGAGCAGAGTAGCTGCTAATTCTCGCACCTCACACCTATCACCATGCGAAAAACAATCCGTTGTTAGTAGTTTGGCATCGAATGTCCCATGTAGACCAATTAGGGGACACTATGATTCGCCACTACAGGTAGTATGTGTAGAAGAAGTGAAGTTGGCTAAATTAGTGGAAGACTGGAGTAATGTATGGATTACTATGAGCACATTGCAGGTGTGGTTTACAGAACTTAAAAGAAAAGTTAAATAGAAACTATATACATCTACATGGAATGAGGTCCTTCACTCATCACTGGAGGTGGGTGATTTCTTTTGCAAAGCCCTTTTTCCATTGCTAGAAACCGAGAGAATAGGCGAAAGTGACCACTCAAGGCTTTAAAATTATAGTTTAACAATTGTTGCGGCTTCTCATCTTCAAATTATACACAACAGGAACCATCCGGTATCGTTCTAGACTTGCTGATTATGAGCACTTGTCGTAGTCAAATCTTTAAATTGAACCTAATAGGGCTCTGAAGTATTGCAACTACTTACTAAAATTAGAAACGAAAGATGATTGAGGAAGACCTTAAAGAATGAGGATAAATGCACGTCCTCCAATTTCTTAGCATAAGAAATCAGCTATTCCTTGGGCTGCATGTAGATGCTCTAACTCCGCTTGTTCGAATGTATACTTTGAAGTTCAACTTCAAGTATTGATTCTCCCCTGTGTGAATTTTACAAAAGAATCTTTTATTTTTCTAATGCATATATCTAGGTACTTTCTGAATTGAATACTGCTGGGATTAAGACGGCATTTGAGTTCGACACCCCATTACAGGGAAAGGTTGAAGCAATGGAAATTGTGGCGTTTTTAACGCCGTGCTTCTGCATTCTGGCTTGTATCTCGGTTTATCTCCAAACCTGGTTCGTTGGAAGCCTTCAAAAATCCTTGAAATTGTCTTGCTTAATTATACAAGCTTTTGAAATTCGGCATACCATGGTACAATCAGGTGAAACCGTTCCCCATCAACATAAAGTTCATGACTTTGTAGGGAGTAAGTAAAGAAAAATGGTGCATAATGGAGCACCAGAGTGATCGTCTAATCGCTTGGACTTGCCCCATGGCGTCAAAACTTTAGAACTATGAACATGACGTCACACTGAAATGTGCAACTCGGACTAGGTTAGGATCTAGTAATTACTGTGTCTTCTTCTTAATATCAACAAGCTGACAGAATCAGATTACAAGAGTCTCATACTAACTGGAACGGCCAATGCTGCATACCAACAGTTCCAACAACAAGGAACGATCTGTTTAATTCGGGAAAGTAAAAAGCCTTAACGCATTTACGAGTAACAAATGATTGTCGAAGTTCAATTGAATCTAGTGAAAGCAATCATATTTTGTTTACCTCATGGCCAATCCTCTGATTTATAGCTTCGGACTCTGCACATCTTCTAATTCCGTTCCTTCAGAAACATCTTCATCTAATATTTAAGATTTTATTGGATTCTGGATAATGCTACTCTTAACCATATCAATCAGTTAGAAAATTAGTTTTTATTTGTCCACTAATTCTCGAATTTTGTTTTATGCTACAAAGGGTAGGTTTTGTAGTTTCCCCGATCGAACGGGGCCGAAATGCGAATCGAGACTCATTTAAGGTAGTGGTTGCGAAACTGACCAGGTCAAATCGAACTAAAATAAGAAAAGCAGCAATAATCTCCCAAAATACTAGTCTCAACCCCTAGATGAATAGTCAAAGCCTGTGTTTTTGAAATGCCCCATATGGTCACAACGTGAGTGATCTTTAGTTGCGGCTGTGTAGTCTGATCACATATGATCAGACTGTAAGATGAAGTTAAACTAGTTGTAAACACTGAAGAACAATTTTAACATATTTGAGGAGAATTATACTCCTTCGATAACCTAACGTTGAAGGAGGTGCGGGGCGACATCACACACCTATCGCACCTTAGAAGTTGAGAATTGATAGCCAATTACAAGACTAATCGGATAACTAAGCGATATGTAGCGACTAAGTCACATTTCCAAAAAGCTTCAATTCAATGAACAAATAATAGAGAAGATGTTTTGAAGGTGAATTTCAAAATCGAGAACAAACCAACGCAACAAATGGAGAACTAAAAGAAAGTGCTTGTGATCTCCGTCCAAATAAGAAACTAACATGCTTCCAGTATAGTTGCTAACTGATGATAAAATAGCACTTGAGCCTCACTGTCTGTTTGCACCACTGCTCGGTCAGTCACAGACTCTGCCATCATTGGCACTCAGAAGACCAGTATCACAACCATCTGTATTCACCACTGCTTTTGTCGTTTTCTCGCCGTCACAACTACTATTGCTTTCGCCGATAATTCTCAGAACGAAGTTGCCATTGTTCTTATTGGTGATGGGCATCTGTTTGTTGGCGAGGTAGTATCAGGAGTATATACCTCTGGTATTTCCACTTCACATTCCGTACCTTTCTCACTCGAACAGCACTGTTGCTTGCACTGAGACGGGCAACTCAGGTTGCCGTTACTTCCTATGTTAATACTTGCCCCTTGGTAAACCCCTGTTAGACTCAAGAAGTTCAACTACACCTAGTGCAGGGGATATGACCAGGGCCCCAACAGTAATTGTGGAAAACACATTTTGCTCATATAATGTGTGTGCCCCAGCGACTTCCAAGGCATTAGCTTCAAATCAGGATCTAAATCCAACACTGACACTGGATGATTCTAATTCTAATACTGATACTGGATAAATCGTCGACTTCGGAGGAATCCTCGGATTTAATTCCGGGTCTTCCCTCTACCACTGGACTTAATGCTGGTTCTGAAGAGTGGGACCTCGTTCTGGAGAGAATCCTACTCAGTAATTTGGAACTAAGTCTGCCCAAAATGCTATAGGATTGGCAAGTTTGGCGGCTGTTCCCAGGACTAGTGTAGAGGTTACCAAGTCTAATTCGTCAATACTCACTCATCAGCGCCAACTTCATTTCTCTACAACAATGAAGGACCGGAGCGCATCGGTCCGGATCTTTGGCCACTGTCATCATTGGATCGTTTTCGTTGGCCATCACCATTTTTTAGTTCTTCTTTTTGGTTCAAGAATGCTTTGCGCCATGAAGCATACTCAGAATGAAAGAGTGGAAACGCATACTCATGATGTGACGTAGTGGTTTCTTCCCCATGAAAACAACACATGAACCATTGCTTATTATTTCTACTTGATCTAGATCATACATCACCTTACCACATCAAATTGAATCAACGAATCAATTCGTACAAATCAAGTACCGGCTATAAGGCTTCTTACCTTAGCTATAAATTTTTGATGAATGACTATTTTTTGTATACGTTCCGCCTAATTCTTCTTATAGACATACACAATTACATAACGAAAGACGTGCGATTCAGAAGATAGCGATCTGCCTCAGGTGCAGAGTGTAACTTCAGATAGAATCTGTAGATAGTTTTTGACAAGTATGCGGTCTGTTCCGGGTTGCTGGCCACTAATGATATTGTAGAATAAGGACCAAACAGCATTAGGGCAATGCGTGTGGTTTGAGATGATGAGTGGTTGCACTGTGGTTACTTGCTCTTACATTTTTGTTTTGTGGTGGCTGATGGGGCAAGTGATCGCCAGAATGGCAGTGTTGTATTATGTAATGAGGCGTTCTTTATCCACGAGAGGATTTAAATATTAATGGTGGAGCAACACAATAATAATAAGATTATGGAGTTATGATCGACTGATGATTGGTACTCAACATCTCTTTGATAACCACCACAATGTGTTCGCCAACACCGAAAGTCTTCATTTCGATTTATTTTGTTTCTCTTCACAGATTTGGTCTCAGTGCTGTTTCTATTACTACATGTTTCTGTCAGAAATTTCATACAACTCTTACAAACAAAATTATCAAACTTCCTCGACGTGCTCCATGGAATGCTTATTTGCTTCGACGGAGTTAAGGTGTCTGTTGGAAAGTTCAGGTGCCTCGTCGCCGAAAACTTGTGCCACTTCCTCCAAGGTGTAACCAGACGTCTCAGGGAAAGTGAAGAAAACAATTATAAGCTCCACGGCAAGAATACAACAGTACACAATATAGTACTTCCATTCAATGGCATCCATCGCAATTGGATTGACGTAACCGTTGTAAACCAAAACAATCATCATGCTGAATTGCATGAGGTTAATACCTTTTGCTCTGTGGGAGTAAGGCAAGACCTCAGTAAGGTATAAGAATGGCAAACCGTTCAAACCAATGTCATAGAACAAATAATAGAAGAAGATCATGGTAAGCACACCATTGGCCAAGGACTTATCCTTAAAATCTCTCTGCTGGTTGAGAGCTGACAAAATTGTCCAAATCACATACGAAAGCAACATACCGGAGATACAAGAAATGAACATGGTTCTCCTCTTGAAGTAGCGAACAACAGAGGCACATGTGAGACAGATGACAAAGTTATAGATCATTAAGCATCCGTTAATCTCCAATTGTTTCTTTTCTTCAGTGATACCGATGGAAATCAAGACCTTAACCAAGTAGTAGGACACCAAACCGTTACCCGAAAGCTGCATCATAATACCAATCATCATAGCCAAGAAACCTCTCTTTCTGAAGTTCTTCTTAGTAATGAAGTCGAGGTAGGAGGTGTTGGCTTGAATCTTTTCCTGTTCCAAAGCACTTTCAATTTCTTTCAACTCGAACTCAACCAAAGCGATATCTCTAGGATCCTGGGAATTTCCGATATGGTGTTTCATCAAAGTATTTCTTGCTTTCTCCACATTGCCCCTGGCAATGTGAAATCTTGGAGATTCAGGAATCATCCAGCAAAAAGCAAGCTGAAAAACAGGCAAAGCACCTTGCAAGTAGGAAGGTACTTTCCAGGAAGCGTTTCCATTGATTGTTCTGGTTCCATAAGTAACCCAGGCAGCCAAGATAGCTCCTAAGTACCAACAGATGTTGTAAAGAAAGGTTGCAACTTCTCTGTGCGTAGGGTAAGACAATTCGGATATCAAGGTGGGAGAACCAATGGTAGCCACTCCAGAACCGAAACCAATAATAAATCTGGAACCCAAGAAGAAACCGTAACTGTTAGAAATACCTTGCAAGATGGCACCAAGGATAGTAAGAGCCTGACCGGCAACGAGAACAGACCTTCTTCCAAAGCGGTCGGCCAAGAAAGGTGCGAACGGAACAGCGGCGATAGAACCAAACAAAGTACCGTTACTCAAAGCTCCAAGTTTCTGACCCTCGGGATGGCCCATAGCAGACTGCCAATGGGACAAAGATTGCAAACCGTTCAACATGGAACCATCGTATCCGTTGTTAGTCGAAGTGATGGTGATCAAGAAAATAGCAAACGACAAATATCTCAAGTGGGGCACCTTGTACCAAGGTCTCGTTTCAGCGATGTAGTCATGAACAGACAACTCGTGCGTCTCGAGAACTTGCTCGTCAAAAGTGTGTCCCTTCTTGAGAGGAGACTCTGATCCAGAACTGTCAGCCATTGTAATTGAATGAGTGGTGATCGATATCTGGCAATGATGCTAGCGAAGACCTAGATATTTATATTTACGATCGGCGAGACATATTATAGTCCAAAACCAACAAAATGACCCCGCTATCCGATTGGAGTAGTTTCTTTCGGGCATTAAACAGCGTTTACTACAAAATTGAAAGCTTCCCGGGTGATTCGAAGAGAGTCTGCCGTGAAGCCCTGGTGTGGCTATATGATTCCAAATTGGTGATGCTCCTGAGAGTTCCGTACACCCTTCGATTCCGTTTACACGATTTTCATATTTTTCTATTTATGGCCACGAACGCTAGTTCATGTCAAAACTTTTTTTTTATGCTCCAGGTATTCACTGGACATGCTTGATCATGAATTAAAGCTGTGAGAACTGGTGATGATTGGGGCCAAGTAATATTATCCCCGTAAATCAGTGTCCGATAACGTTTTCGCATGGTTCTGCAGTAGAGAAGCCAGGGATATTCTTGGCTAGAGATTTCCTTTCTTGTAAGGCATGGCTGGGGTAAAGTTGGGGTCGAGTGGGGCAATTTCGAGAATAACCCACCCCACTTGAAGTTCTTCGGTCCCTGGGTCGACCAATCTGGAAATTGAACGCTAGCTCCAAACTACTGCCCTTGGTGCATTGGGTAACTTGCCCAAAGAGGGTTATACTGCACATACTAATCGAAGACGGACTTCCGCATATTCACAACTCCAGTCGAATTACAAGGACTCGTATTGATGAATAAAAGGTTTCAACTTCTGTGACCGAGGCTTCAAGCACCGATGTCACAGTGAAACGAAATAATTTGTAAGTTCAGCCAGCAGGTGTTCAATCTGGTATCTTGTGAGATTGCCCTTGCTTTAGGAAGTTGGCTTCTAAAATAGTTCTATTCTTGCATTCGAAATTGTGTAAGCCTCTGTAGGTAAATTAAAAGGCGATAATGCTTTTTCCAAATTCTTTAGTTTGCCTCTAGTCTTAGTTTTGAGAGTGACTGTCCAGATCTTAAATTTTTAAATATTCATTCAAGATTTCAAAAGGGAGCAATTTGCGAATTTTTTGTTTCCTTGTATCTTCTTGGCCGAATGCTATCCTGTTCATTCTGCCAGCTGGGCTCCTAAATCTGCTGACACTTCTTGCTAATCTTGTTGTTCAGAACATACCAGAGAATCATAGCTTCACTGGCCAGCAATTCGACAATGGATTGTTTTCCTCCACAACTTACTAATAATGAGAGCCAAGTCCATCTCTGAGTTTAATTACCATATTGATATAGCAAACAACACATAGGAGTCATCTTGAATCAAGTTCGAGCTTGAAATTTACTGAACCGGATCGAATAATAATTCTTTTGCAAGGTACGTCATGACTTTCCAATTACTCAGAAACTTGTGGTACTTCATTAAAGGAGTGCAATCGGAGTGAGAATGAATTACTAAGAGCTAAAGAAAAAGGATGGAGATACATTAGGCAGTCCAAGCTTTGGGAGAGGTTCAGTGCAACGAAGAGAAATGGAGATTTGGGTATGAAATGAGATTTTTGGGGATCAGGTACATTTGTTCTGGCATAAGGGAAATTGAAATGTGATTCATAAGAATTGAAGGGGTAGACAGGAGCGGAGAAAACCATGGATTAAAATGTTTGACATCCCTTTCGTTCGACACAGGGCCACGAATCATCTAGGAAAAGGGAGGGGAGGATAGGTCACCATTCTGGAAAAGTAATACCTCTGAGCGCAAGTAACAACCCTAAGTGGAAAGCCAGAATGGGGTTCTTCTTAAGGTTAGAGAAGAGATTGTCAAAACGTGATGACGGCAAAATATGATTCTAGTCAATTCATATTTGGTTTGCGCTGACCTATAAGATTTTGAATTCTTCCACTGTGTGGCGCATTAGGCGAAGTATTCAATTTAGATTACATGAATATTCAAGGTTCCGCCGACTAATTAAAATGAAAAGAATAAGTCAAAAGAGAACGCGCCGAATTGAACCTGCTACAAGATGTTTGAGACTGAGAATTACATAGGTTCTACAGCTAGTTCAAATTCAAGACCTGGATCCAATTCGGGTTTTAATCCAATTCCGTGTTTGGATTTTAATCTGTTTCTGCTTTTGACCCCAGTATCGAATCGCTATCTCTGAGGAATGGATCGAATGGAAGCACTCGATCGAAAGCAAAGTCAAATGAGAGTTCTGGATTAGTAGGTGCTGCACCTGGAGGTTTTATCTTGCAAGTATCAGGACTCAACTTCATCAAAGTGCAGGTATTTCGATGTTGGCTGCAACCACTAGAACTGGCGCGGACACCACAAAGTAAACATCTGCAATATTCGCTAATGTGGTTCCATCTGTTTCTCTCAATGAGAACAGCACTCTGAACCTTTCACGTCCAGACCATTGTCCGGTATCTTTGTTATATTGTTAACTCTAGATACCAGTAATACTTAGTTGATGTTGCTTCGATAGATCCAGTTTGGGTCTTGAATCATGAAAGCTCGTAACTCGAATATTATTATCAAAGCTAAAATCAAGTCGTAATGACTTGGGGGTGCCAAAATGCGACAGTTGCATTTGTTGGATACTATTTTTGGTTTTTCGTTCATCGCCGTAGCCATGTTAATGACACTGAAACACTGAACAGGGTAATTGGTGTTGAACTGCGTAATTAGGCAATTGACTCAAAAAGAAGAAGAAATCACATTAGTATACTAAGCGGTATTTTATATTTTAGTGATGCCTTTGCATTATTCCGGTAGAATTTCAATGATGTAATTTTTCTTTCCCTGGAAGTTATAGTGTAACTTAAAATAGCAAAGTTTACTTAAAACTGCTGATATTTTTATCTGAACTGATATGAAACATACAATATCTCAAAGCACCTAATGAGTGGTGTGTGAGTTTGGTTGGTTCAGCGTTGGCTTGTACAGTATATGCCATAACAAAATATTCCTGGTTCACAAAATACGTTAAGGGCGATATAATCGCTGAATAAGTATTAGTTGTTTACTCTCGTGTCCTCTCTACATCCAGAACCAGAGTATCAAAACGCAAAGTGTGTTCCTGTAGTGTGCATGAAACGCCCTGTTCAGATCAATATAGCAGGTTGCAGACGGCAATTAAATCGTATTTCCTTCCCTACTCGTAACGTAGTTGATAAATCTTCATCAAATAAGTTAATGTATTCACTCTCTTAGAACATTTTTCAGGTTTGGAGTCTATAATATCAGGATCCCTTGAGATAATTTTGACTCACTTTTGGGATATTCTGATGTACAAAGCCTTTCGACTTTATTTCCAACACTTAACGGTAGCAATTCGAATTGAACTGCATGCTTGAATTGTACGTCCGAAATAATTAAGAAATGAGAAGTCTGTGAGCTTCACAACATACACATCCCAAAAGGGGCTATCAGTTTAGAAAACAGGCTTTGTGTTTGGACAACCGACGTGAATTTCTGAAATTCATTAAGAGTGATTTCAAGGACATAAACGATAAGAACTTTGGTTCGTGAATAAATATAAAAAAATAGTAACTAATTCAATTGAGCTAAAGGAAACTGCGGTCAGGGCTAACTAAGTAACGAAAGTTTAGGCGAATGATGCTGCATCTTGTCCAAGCATTTCAAAAGGTACATGTCGGTAGTAAGATCTAAAGAGGAATGATGCATGAATGCGTCATTTTCGTGGAATTACCGTTGACTGTTTTCATGTTCTTTTTTTCACCACTGCATAACATAGCACAGCGACACTGTGAAATTATGTCAATGTTCATGCAAAATGTTGGTTTGAACGTTGCAATCATACAACCATAATTCAGATTTTCAACACTGTAGTGAATTCTCGATGAGTTGCCGGTGAGAATCAGGTACACAAGTTTGAGGGATTGAATGAGCCGACAGCTCGAAATTGACTACAGAATAAATGGCCCAGTTGACCAAATTTTGTCAACTTAATGTGGCTTGGCGCTAGTAGGAAACTTGCCACGTTTTTATGAGCATGGCACAATATAATGCATCAATGTATATAAATATGTCTTCAGAGCCATTAATTTGCAAAGGATATCGAAATGCGTTTCTCACATTGTGTGGCTAATATCTTGATGTGCGGATTTGTTGCCGCTCGTAGCATGCTCCATAATGGTATTTTGTTCTCTGAGAGTGATATTACAAGAGCCAAGTATGGTATCGACAACGAAATTACACCATACTACAGTACATACCAGCAGTTGTTGAATAGCGAAGGTTTGAAGAGCAGTTACGCTCCTCGTCCAGCCAAAGTTATTGTGCGTGGTCCTATCACGGGTTTCACTCAGAATTACCCTCAGCTTTATGTTGATGCTGCTGTTGCTTACCAAGTAGCCTGCTTATGGACAGTTACTGGAGACGAACTGTATGGCAATCTTGCTGTGAAAATTCTCACCAGTTGGGCAAATACCTTAGAAAATGTTACTGGTAATGTGGAGCGCTTCTTGGCAAGTGGAATATACGGTTATCAACTCGCTGTCACTGCTGAAATGATGAGAAACTACGAGGGATTCACTTCCGACAATCAAACACTGGTGAAGGACATGTTGCTCGATATTTTCTATCCGTTGTCCTACGAGTTTTTGACTGAGCACAATGGCCACGGCCCAAATGATACTCATTACTGGTCAAATTGGGACTTATGTAACATTGCTTGTGGATTGGCAGTTGGGGTCTATGCAGATCGTCCTGACATTTACGAGTATGCTCTCGAATACCTCCATAATGGTGGAGGTATGGGAACGTTAAATAATACATTCCCTGTAATCTTGACACCGGAGGAGTCCAACAATACGTTTGGTTTGGCAGAGGGCCAGGAATCCGGAAGAGACCAAGGTCATGCTGGATTGGAGTTTGCCTTTCTAGCAATAATTTGCCAGATTGCTTACTTACAGGGAGATGATTTGTGGTCTTACAATGATAATGTGATTCTCAAAGGTGCAGAATATTTTGCTCGCTATAACCTTGGATATAATGTCCCATTCAAGCCATACTATTCAGATGGAGTTCTCTTAAGCACAATTGGATCGGACTCAAGGGGCGATTACAGACCTATTTGGTCACTCTACTACGCAACGTACGTCAATGATAGGGGGTTTAATGCTACATATATCAAAGAAATGTTTGAGAGCAATGACGTTGAAGAGGGAGGAGGATGGTACGGACCTAATAGTGGTGGATATGACCAGCTTGGGTTTGGATCGCTAGCCTATTGGACATATGGCAATTCATCCACTAACAAATAGGTGTCAGATAAATGGATCTTTTTAAAAAGTTATTAAGAACACTACGAACAATTGATTAGCACTAGTTACCTGCAACGTGCCCCCATATAGATCAAAAATAAAGCAGGGATGAACTGTGCCTGTAAATATAGCAATCTTCCAAAGCATGCTCAAACACAAAAGATCATCATTTCGAGGTTTGGAATTTTTTCCTCGGATAATACTTCTAGTTTCTAGGTTCGTGGCATGTCAATAATTTCTTTTGTGAAACCATAGCTGAACTATGCAAGTATGAATTCCTCATTGGAACTACAGGACAGCTATTTGGAATACTTGGTTTGTTGTTACATGGTGTCCCTCAGTTCTAATCCCCGCTTACTGGCCCTTTCAGAATTCAAGCAAGCCTGGAAGTATATGCTTGTGATATTGCACATCAACAAAAGCATCTTGTCAAAGTGGACTTCATATGAGAAATGATCGTGAATCACGAAGCTCTCGTATTTGATTCGTTTGAGTTGCCCATAATCCAGCTAACCATTGTCAAATTCTCCAGCTGCATTCAAGTTCTGAATGAAAAGGTCATTGGCTTTTGTGATTTCATTAAAGATCAGAAGTAATCATTCAATCGTGGTGCCCATGAGTGGTTTTAGTCATTCATAAGAAGCCATGAGATCCTCTTGGATTTACCATGAATTGCTATTAAGCTTAGGCATCAGTTACAATTTCCAATCTCTCTTAAGACATCTGCAACGCTTATAGTTCAGCCAAAAGGGTTATATCTAGGCTGCATTGATTTTGGCGATACTCGGATTGCAAGGGATACGTTGGTAAATTCGTCATAAATGCATTATTGAAGGAACGAAATCTCCTTTCCAAACATTTTTCAGTCAGAAAAGTATATCGAGGAAATCGCAATCTAGAAAGCAAGGCCACAAAGGTGCTTTCTAATAGAAAATTGGGGACAATTTTGGTAATACTAAATTATAACCGAGGCAGCGATCAGCGTTCAGATAATGAGAACTGGTAGAATAGATGCGGCTGACCGACAGATAAAGATTTCCTCTCTTATTGCTATCCGAATAGGCAATTGTTAGAGATGAATACAGAGAGAATTGCAAGAAGACAAAGTGTTACCAAATAGTATCAAGTTACATCGTGATTAATTCAACATGCAATGGGAGTTGTAATTGACAAATATAATGGAAGGGGAATAATAACGTGGAAATTAGCAACACAATGTTTGAAGAATATAGCTCTTAGGTGTGCAGAAATTATCATGAGGATTACTCTATGCATTGAACTCACTTTTGCAATTTTCTTTACACCGAACAAGCTATTTTGAGTCCCATTTTCTGGAAATCATGTGTTTGAGTCGATGTTGCAACTGACTTCATCTCCTACGGACTTCAATTCGTGATCAAATGAAGACCTTGGAAGTGATAATTGCACTCTGTTGGTATTGTGTCAACATGTTCGACAGTTTTTGCCTAATTCTTCTACCCTGACAATCCAAGTAGTAGTTGATTGCTCACTTCTGAAGAAAAGATCATTAGGGAAGTGGAAAATGCCACTAGGTCATCGATTGAGTTGAAAACATTCAAGTATTATCAATTAAATGAATGTTTGAAAGATCCAATCAATTGTTTGTTCTTAATTTTACTGCTTTTGCAATATTTTTGGAGAACTCTACCATGTATCAGGCTGCCACACTCTACACTGAGTTGGGATTTGACCATCTCAAGACAACACTTCTCATGGTTGTTCAGAATAGTTTTGGTACTTTCTCAGCCATTTGTGGAACCATCGCACTCTCTATCTACAGAAAACGGTCATGCTTCGTTGCTGCAGCATCGCTAATGCCGTCTCTTTCGGTAGCTATATCTTTACCTTGGAGTATTAAGCCGGGTAGTTTGGGTAGAATGTTCTTGACAAGAACCATTGGAACGGCCCACATTTTCGTATGGTTTGTGAGTCAAACTACGGCTGCTCACAAAAACGTTGACCAGAACACTTCTTTTTATGATTGCTTACTCTATAAGTAACATCATTGCGCCCCAACTAAGGAGATCACAGTACAAGCCATACTAGAGGCTCTCCTGGATTATCCAAATCATCTTAATTGGTTCACATCCCAGTCATTATCCTTGTGATTCCTTACATTTTGTCAAGAAGAAACAAGGGGCGCCTTGCCAATTTGAACAATGACAATGAAGATTATGGTTTTGCGGACACGATAGATGAAGATGGAAATCATCAAGTATATTGACGGTGAAATATTCGCCGAAGACGTCCTTAATGTGATGTTGGAAGCCTCAATGGATCTTTCCTTCGAGCATGATTGGAGAGAGGGTGATGTAGTGATTATAGAATTATCAAGTCAGCCGCCGAAGAGAGCCATGGAGCAATGGGGAACGAAAAGTTTTAGTGAGTATGTGGGATAAGGCGGATAAAAATGTATATATGGTTTGGAGTCCTTGATGTTTCCATAAAAGAGTATTCCTTAGTGAATGAATTATGACTACATAGTCAGTTTATGATCTTCATATGGTTGAGGATAACAGGAATGCACGGAAGTTCCTTCGGGAGTGTATATCGGCTAAGTTCATGTTATGACAGCCTCCTCGCCTTGCCCGAATCACGATGACTGACTCCTTCTTTTTAGGTTTCACCATTAAGATTGTATCATTGAAGTTCAATAAAGTTACATTTCTCGGAGCTATCTTATGATTGCAGTATTGTGAACTCTCAGATAAGGGTGTTGGTCTCAATTATTCGTCAGAGGTGAAATAGCCATTCGACCTTGATCACGATAGATCTCACACTTAGCATGGTTCTTCGAGATTTGCCTTACGAAATCCAATGCGAGATCGTGTCATACTTGCCTAAAAGAATTCTAGCTATTCTTCTAGACGATATACCACCAGATCACGTACTTAATGCCCCCGTAGCAAGCACAATCTACAGACATGTTAGAGTAGGAGTTTTCTACTCCGCTAACGACGGACTCGAGGATCCTAACACCCTCAAAGAAATATCGATAGATGAGCTTGAAAAATGTGCAAAAGGAGTATACCAAGCGAGAATTCATACTCTTGGAGTAGCCTATATTGAGGACGAGGAAGATTATTCACAATTAACCAGGACTTTGAAGAGCTACCCTCTTTTTTTCAAGAAAATCCCCAACATTCGATTATTTTTCAACCAAGGTCACTATCTTGCTGAATCAGTGAAGAAGTTTCCTCGTATTTTTGGTGATAATTTGTCACAATTAGATGCTCATTTCGATGATATTGAATTTTTGGAACTCCCAAAAAGTTTGGTTTCTTTGAGGATTATAATTGATGTTGATGATGATTTCGAGGAAGAGGAACATGTATCCCTAAGATTTCCAAAAACGCTAAAGAAGCTCATCTTGACGGGTCTCTGGTACGATAATTGGGCGTCAAATCAACTTCTCCCACCCAATCTCGAAGTCTTGAAAGCATCTGGTCTCACGAAGTTTTGGGAGCACTACCCCCTGACAATCCATACCATTGAATATGCAAATGGGTATATTACTTCATTTGCGGATTTCAACCTACCTGATCATCTTGTTGAATTGAACCTAGTAGGTTTCGGCGCTAGCGGTAGTCCCTTTGTCAATGCTTCTTGGCCGTCAAATTTGAAATCACTAAATTTGTATCGTACCCCATTAATGGATTTTGAGGGTGTCAAGTTCCCAGAAATGCTCGAGTCGCTCAATTTACATGATACTGGCATTGACTGCCTTAAATCTGCTGTGTTTCCAAAGCTGCTCAGATCACTCATTTTAAGTGACAATTGGATAAGGGACTTGAGTGGAATTACCTTCCCAAACCTACGCTTTCTTTGTCTTGATAGATGCCTTTTAAAATCCGTCTCCACTATTGCATTTCCAGATTCCCTAGAGACACTTGAGATGAGGGCAATAAAAGTAAAGGACTGGGAAAAGGCCACTTTGCCACTGAAATTGAAAGTTTTGAAAATCTTTCTCAGAGATACAAATATCAATCTTCCTCCACAATTAGAGGAATTGGAAGTGATCTATAAGAGAAAGACTTTCTTAAAAGCGGGATTGACATTACCTCCTCTGCTTCGTAAGCTTATTGTGAAAAAAGAGCGCTATTATCATTACAGTTGGGGAAGAGAAGAATTATTGCAGAATGAAACAACTTAGCTTCGTTTTTTATTGTATAATCATCTTGAAGACATCTCATGAGTTTGTTATGAAGTGTCAAATTAAGGGAGGTAGAGGTTTTTATTAAGTGTCAAAGAGCGGTAGTTCAATCCACGAAGTGGGTTGGATAAGGTAAAGGACAGGATCTATAAAGAAGCACACGTTTTTATACCTAGATTCGTAGCGGTAAACAACTCTAAGGGCGCCGGAAGCCAACTCTTGATCAACCCTGGACGGTACTCTCTACATGACACGATCGTTTGCACGTTCGTTCCAAACTGAAACTCTTCAGTAGGTAAAAAAACCAGCTGATTCTACCTAGAGAGAAAGTGAGGGGTCCTTATCCAAGCCGCAGACTTGCATCTATCGATCATCTCCTTTGGGTAGCGGCGTGTAGACTTTCCGCTACTGGGGCCTGCTCGTAAATTCTCGCGCTGATCTTTATGCGTTCTTAAGCGTGCTCGTAAATTCTCGCCGTAATATTACGTCCTTTAACACGCTTGGTGCTTTCGGTCGCGTGCATTAGCAGCCGCTTTCTACTCACTTCTGAATCTATACCAAGCTTTCTTATGGCATCAATTCCACCCAGTCGGCTCAGTTGCCATTCTCGCTTGCCTCTGGGATTGGAATCGTAAGGGTATCGATGAAAGAAATGCATTGCGTGCAGTATCTGTATAATGTGTGTTTAATACATCGTTCTTGATGAAGGATAAAATTGAAAACGTCTGACTGTTAAATGAAACTGCTGGTTATGAATCTATAGTTGTTTTACTCCATTTCCTCTAGACCCGGATTTTTGCATGCGTTTTGTGTTTTTTTGATGCTTTCATATTTTTTCATCCTTTTTGACATTCTGCACCCAAAATACAAAAGACTTAAATTGCCAAGGCTACTCACATTCGTATTAGTGGGAAACGAACACATTCCACCGAAATTCTAATCATGGACAGTTTTCAAAGTGTCGCAGCTGTTTTTCGTGAATTAATGCCGTTTCCAAAACAAGCTAACTAATCAGGGGCTTCTCCACCAGCAAATACATCTCCGCTCTTTTGTCCGACATGTTCCGGAAAAAATTAAGTAGACAATCCAGTTGAGGCATCATCTCTTAGAAACCTAGATTGAATGCGTTCACCTGATCATAGGGATGGTTTAGCCTCCCATCTTTCCGACTGCATACCAGACTACTCTAGGTCCTATACACATCTCAACTGTATCAGGTGGTGCTACACAAAACAACTTTACTCAATTCACATTTGCACTCGAAACTAATTTAAGCTTTCTGCAATACGATCCCAAGCCAGCAAGTTTCCTCTCAAATTCTTCTGAAGGAAAGGCATCAGAGCTTTAATGAAGAAGGACGCACTGTATCTATATCCTATGGACTAGCTCTCATTGCTGCTTTCATATTCTCTCATGGGATTGTACTTATTAAATTCTGGGCTACATATGTGGCCCGCGCGAGAATTGGAAATAGGACACTTCTCATACTTACTTTGGACTTACATATATTGTTAGGTTCTGCTAAAGGGACTGAAAGCAATCTATCACTCGAGTTTTGGATATTGGTGGCTCTTGTCGTACCAATTTTGCAAGATAATTTGAGAACCTTGGTACCTTTCATCCTTGTCCTCATCGGAACGTTTGCAGCTTTAGAAGTTACATGAATTCGTCCATGGAAACTCACGAAGTGGATCGCATAAAGTGAAGGACAGGATCTACAAAGTATTTCCGTTTTTCTTGCCTTGAGTGGTAGCCGCAAACAGCTTTAAGGGCGCCGGAAGTTAAATGTTGATCGATCCTGGACTGCTTTCAATAATACGTATGTTTGCGCGTTCGTTGTTGCACTACTGGTAGTACAAACGTTGGGTTCTAATTGAAAGTTCATGCATGCCATGCCGCAACCCAACGTACATGTCCCCATTACTATCACCTTTTTGAAGTTCTGTATAGAGGGTTAGTTATTCCCATACTTTATTCAAAACATAAATGTTACACTCGTGTTATATGTTGTCCTACATAAGCCGTCAGAGAAGTACAGGACTGTTTCAAGCTTTTGAATATTTTGGAATTTATACACACTCTTATGAGAGAGAGATCAGTCCATTTTCCATAATTTTAGGTGTGTTTCAGAGGTATCTAGATTATTTTATAATCTATAAGAATTTTTAATAAATATCAGGTGTTTTCACCGCATAAAAATACGTTAAACTATTATAGTGATGATGCAGTTGTACGTCCTTTTGCCGAAGATTTACAGTAAAGACAGTTGTTCATTTTCCTTATTACGTAAGTAAGACACATAAACTTAACCTTGCATAGTGAAGGAACACTTTCACCGAGTCTCAGGAAGCTTGGCAAAATCCTTCGCCACTTTTGTGTCATGTTGTACATTCAGAAATATCATTCATTGGGTTTTCCAGAGGCAGCAGAAAAAGAGTCTCCTCTGGGCTTAATATGTGAATGTGACAAATGGCCAATATGAGACATAGAAAATGCGTGCCACTCCATCAAAACTACCACGCTACCAGCGTTTGCAAACCTAGTTTGCCTATGTTGATGTGATATTTGAATGTAGTACTCGGAAATAAATGAATATCGTAGCAACAATTCTCGCGATGAAATTTTATCATTCAAGAGTTGCCCGATTACGAGATTAATACGTGCCTATGTTGCATAACCTGTCTATGTTCCATACCACACATCTGTATACCCTACCCTGATAATTATTCTGCTTCTACAGACTGAGTAAGATTATGACCAATCAGGTTTATTCTAGCATATTCCCAGGCTCTTATTTCATTTCGTGAGCTTAGCCACTCAGACATATTTGTTAATCTTTCCTTTCCCCTATCGTGATCTTCCGTGCATGATTACGACAGCCATATGCGAGCGAAATGCATTTGCCACTTATCACAATTCCAACATTAACAAACCCAAAAGACGAAAGAAAAGTTTCCAGAAACAGGTTATAGCTGTCCCAATTAGTTAGCTACCACACCAACATTGGTGCTGGGCGTCTATTTTTAATCAAAAGTGTCAGCTGTTGGCCGATTGGTTGTGCGGCTTAGACCATCACTTAAAATAGACCGACCTGCCATTCTTTTGTCGCACTCCACCCATGTTGCTGTCTGCTTTTTTGCCTATCACAGCATTCTTGGCTATCTCTGTTGAAGCAATTGCCCATAAAAGGGCCTACGATGGTGCCTTACAGGTCGATTTCAACGTTCTTCGTGGATCTTCAAGAGCAGGCTTGGCTCCAAATCGTCAAGGCGGGCTCGTTAGACGAGCAGATAGCCAAGATACGGGAAGTGGCCTTTTGGTATTGACCAGCCAACTGATGCTTTACACTTCTGACTTGTATTTTGGATCGAATGGACAGAAGATTACCGTTCAGGTGGATACTGGGTCTTCAGATTTGTGGGTCATGGAGAACGACGTGGTGTGTAACGCAAGTCCTGATACTAGCGGAACTGAATCACTGGCACTGGATCAGGCTGCTATTTGTACCAGTCTCGGCACCTTTCAAACTGGTGAGTCTGACACCTTCAAGTCCAACGATACTGAAGCCTTTTTCTCTTACGGAGACTCAACTACGGCAGAAGGAATTTGGGGAACAGACCAAATTGGCTTCGATGGATTCAATATTTCCGATTTCAATTTTGCTGTGGTTTCCGAGTCCAACTCAACAATGGGAATCTTGGGAATTGGCCCTCCAGGTGGGGAAACAACAAATACCACGTATGAGAACTTTCCAATGCGTTTGAAGAGCGATGGGCTCATCCATAAAAACGTATTCTCGTTGTATTTGAACCAAGTAGACTCCTTGAATGGCTCAGTGTTGTTCGGAGCCGTGGATCATGCCAAATATTCTGGCACACTCCAGACAGTTCCAATTATTTACAATGATGTGGCTAGTGAGTTCTTCGTTGTGTTGGACAAAATAACTTTGGAAGGTGACGGTTCCAATGAAACAGTTACCAATGTTGCAGTGCCAGCGTTGTTAGATTGTGGAACCGTACTCTCTTATTTTCCTCAAAATGTTCTAGACCGTTTCATCAAAATTTTTGATGCTGCCTACTCCGAGTCAGAAGGACTCTACCGTGTGAGCTGCAAACATAACAAGTCAGAGGTCAATGCTATTTTTGACTTCTCCGGTGTTACGATCAAGGTACCCATGTCGGACTTGATTTTAACTGACAAAGATATCTGTTATCTTGGATTATTAAGCAGCCCCAGTTTGCAAGGGAATACAGGGGCTGTGTTGGGAGACAATTTTTTAAGAAGTGCTTACGTGGTTTACGACTCTGATGACCTCGAAATTCTGTTGGCTCAAGCCAAGTATTCTGATGATCAGGATATTGAGGTGGTTACGCTGACTATTCCACTGGCTGTAAGGGCCCAAGGATATTCTTCAACTTCTATTAATTCTAACGCTAGTGATACTGGATCTGCGCTGGAGTTGAAAGTCACTGAAACAGAGTCATCATCTAGTTCATCAAGTGCACTGGGATCTTCTTCACCCAAGAATAGTGCTGCACACAAGGAATCTGTAGCATTGATTATTCCTATTTTCCTTCTCGGATGTATAACAGCATTTGTGTGGATGTGAAAGAATTGAAGGCATACTAGATTTGTTGATTGAATGGTTCGAAGAGGTTGCAACATCCAGGGCTACCCCTCCTCGTATGAACAGACACTCGATAGACTTCATATCCTACATTCATGTTGTTCTTAAAATTCAGGGTTTAGAACTGAAATTTGTAGGGACGCTCAATGATACGCTTGTTTGCACGTTCGTTCCAAACTGAAACTCCTCAGTAGGTAAAAAAAACCAGCAGATTCCACCGAGTGCGATATCGGGGTTTATATATCCAGGCCCCCAGGACTGGATGGATGTAGTCCGATAATCGAATTACTCCCCTGGAACAGCGGCGTTTAGTGGCGGCGGGACTTTCCGCTTCTGGGTCCCGCTCGTAAATCCTCGCGCTAATCTTTGTGCGTGCTTTAGCGCGTTCTCGGCGCAGCTTATCGCGTTTGATTGCAGCCTTGCGTCGACTCGCCTTGAGTTCATTATCAAGGCTCTTTATGACCTTGGTGCGAGTCGCTTTTATCGTAGCACCTGCTCCAGATCCTGTGGAGAGGTGGGTAAAATAAAGTCTGCAGATTCTAACAATTGGGAAGTTGTTTTTCGGGGAGAGACAGCCTAAAGTGGGCTGTCCTGCAGATCCTTGGATCGGTTGGCCTAACTATGCGCAGATATACGTACATTCGATGCTGAATCTCGCAGTTGGAGCTCTTTTCAAAACTATCCATTGAAATGAGTCTAAAACTGATGCCTGATATCTTATATATCCATTTTAGTTAGACGGAGTGGTGAGTGAATGATCTTCAGCGAAATATTCGGTTGTAATAGATTCTTTGATTTTTGCGCGGTAATGGTAGATTATTGCAATTTCGTCCCTCGCAGGATTGGATTTGACATATATTTATCTTACTCGGGTCTTCTGGAGAATTGTTATTAATACATTTTCTAGCAAAATCTTTCTCAGCTATACATCTATACTGTCGAGCTGTATGAGTTTCCCATACTTCGTTGTACTTGTCACCTTTGAATGCAGTAGTCAAGAAGCGGCGAAACTGGCAGGGTAGCCTCTTTCCCTGAAGTGTCATAGAAGTGGTACCGCATAGTCATCCCCATGGCAGTAATCAACGTGTCGATAAGGATTATCGGTAGTTGTAGATGACCGACATGGAATGATTGCCTCACCAATAGCAGCACGAATAGGCAATTGCTAAAGAGGAATAGAAAGAGAATTGCAAGGACATAGAGGATTTCAAATATTATTAAGGTGCTCTACAAACTATTCAAGGAGTTTAATAAGTAAGAGATGAAAAATAGTGGACAAATATGATGGAATAGAGATAAGGCGGAAATTAAGTGTTGAAAGGGAGAAGGAACGATGTGAAGACTAATTTATTCCAACTGGCACAGAAGCTTACGAAAACTAAGGACCGAAAACTTGAAGTTGGCGATTTATTATAAAGGTTACTCAAAGAGTGAAATATAAGAAAGTACATATTGTTCTAAAAATTCAAATTGTGTATTAAACATTTATACTCGTATTCTGAAATACTCTCAACGTCATTTATTTCTTCATACAAATATTGCTTAGAAGAAATATCAAATAATTTAACTATTTTGCGTGTTTTTAAAAGTTTATCAATTTTATTATTATCTTCTTTATTATTATAATATCTAACTAATCTTAAAATATTATATTCAACAAAATCAAAATTTTCAATAAATTCATCTTTAATTGTATATAGTGTTTTACTATAAAGAATAATATAGAAAAAAATTAACATTATTTGTTTATAGTCTAACAAAGTTAAATTAACTTCAAGGTCAGCAAATTCATAATTATAACATATTCTAGGTGTATTAATAAAAAATTTGACAGTAATCGTAGATATTGCGAATTACTACCTCGCAGTTATTGTACGTGGCATATATCTATCTTTTTGGGGGTTTTTGGAAACTTGGTGATAACAAAATTTTGATTCCTAGAAATTTTCTCAGGTGTGCGTCTGCACTGTTAAGCTAAATAAGACTTTCAGACATGTTCGAAAAAATGTAGCTCGGTTATCAGGGCTATAGTATGGCTGCATTGATTTGGCTAGCCTCAGTTTGCAAGGTTGTGATGATCAGTTCATATCAATGTGAACCTTTACCGTTGCCAATAAATTTCATCTTTTCTTCATTCACGACGAAAGTGGTTAGCTCGTCATGAGAGTATTACTGAGTGGGTGGATTTCAAGTCAAAAACGTATATCTGACAAGCACTAATCTGGTAAACAACGATACGAAGGTGCTGTCAAACAGAAAATAGAAAACGGGGAGTTGGTTTTGGTACTGTACCGTTGTATCTCAGGCAGTGATCGACAAATCGACAGGGGGCGGTAGAATAATTGTGGATGAGCTGAGAATAACCTTTGCTTTGCCAATAGCAGTACAAAAAGGAAATTTCTGGAGAGGAAAGTAGAGAAAATTATTGAAAAAAATAGGGTTTCCTGATAGTATAAACTGTGATTTTTTCAAGTAGTTTGACTAAGGAGAGATGAAGAATAGTAGACAAATGTAGAAGAGAAATAGTATGGTGGAGAGGGATATGTAGTGGAGAGGTTTTTTCTTAGGGAGGTAGAGGTTTTTCTTAGGGAGGTAGAGGTTTTTTTTCTTAGGGAGGTAGAGGTTTTTTTTTTCTTAGGGAGGTAGAGGTTTTTCTTAGGGAGGTAGAGGTTTTTCTTAGGGAGGTAGAGGTTTTTCTTAGGGAGGTAGAGGTTTTTCTTAGGGAGGTAGAGGTTTTTCTTAGGGAGGTAGAGGTTTTTCTTAGGGAGGTAGAGGTTTTTTCTTAGGGAGGTAGAGGTTTTTCTTAGGGAGGTAGAGGTTTTTCTTAGGGAGGTAAGAGGTTTTTCTTAGGGAGGTAGAGGTTTTTCTTAGGGAGGTAGAGGTTTT